GTGCATTTATTGCCTAGCGCATAGCCAGTATGCGGCTTCTCGCTCTTATAGTATAATCCCTTCTTTTTCTTATACTTTAGTCCTTATAGGGAGGTTATCTATTGCTTAGTTGCCCTTATTTAAGGTGTTACTGGGCGTTATTAGGGTTATTATAACTCCTAGTGTTTGTTTATTTTTATAGTACTAGTCCTGTTGTCTTTGTAACTGTTTTTCTTTTTGTTTAGGGGTTTAGTTATGGTATTTCTTTTGTGCCTTCTTGGCCTTAACTTCCTTGGTTTTAACCTCTATTTCCTTCTGGTAATGTTCCCTGATTTCATTTAGGGATTCAAATGGGTCGGATGGCGTTTTAACCGAGCTATCTGGGTGTGCAACCCATTAGGTCTTGGTTTTAGTGTCTTTTTCCAGGGCTTTTTTATTAGCCATATTATACCCTATTCTGCACATTCCCAGCATCTAGGTGCGCTATGCCATTTAAGGTTCCTATTAATTAGTTATTCTAAGTGTTTACTTACCTTGGTTTAGGTCTTATGGTTTTCGCGGCTTAGGGCAGTTTTATAATATATATCCTAACTGATTGCAGTTATAGCACTTGCATTTGGATATGTCTCTTCCTGGATTGTTTAGTTATATGGCTCCGAGGGCCATAGGTCCAGGTTGCATCCCATGCAAGGTATCGTTTCGCTGCTGTCGCTGGTTTCGAGAGTTATTCTTATTATAGCCATAGTTATTTCTGTGATTATTGTTATTGTAGTGTTAGTTTAGAAAATAGGGGTTATAGTTGCTTCCCTTTCTTGTGGCATTGGCTTTCTCTCTTCTGCGTTTATACTATTATTTGTCGATTTTGATGGCCATGGTGATATACTCCGTAAGATTATCGGGTCTATCTGCCTTATAGAGTTTATCTTTGACCTCTTCTTTTAGACTGCAGTAGTAGATTTCTATAAGTACTTTATTATCCTAATCAGTTTTAGCGGCAAGTTATTGAAACTTGGCGGAGTATGCTATATATAATCCTTGCTGTTTAAGACTAAGGATTTCAGCGGCTGCTTATCGTTCTTCGTTAATTATGCCGAAGTTATTCTTCAGGAGTGCTTTAAAGTTAAGCCAGTCTGCGAATACGTTCTAAGTTTCCTGGTCTTGCTAGTTATAGTTATTTTCCAGATAGTCTTTCCAGAGGGGTTTAAACCAGTCCTTGGCGTCTCCTTGGATTAATAGTGCAGTATATAGCATCTTCTTTGCTGCAGTATCCAGTTTAGTGGGGAATAGCTTAAAATGTCCTTTTATACGGGTAAGGAATAGTAGGATATCCGCTGCTTTCCCTTTAAATAGTTCCGGGGTCAGGGGCTTGATAATTTCTCCTAGGTTACATCGATTATCGACAGGGTTAACCGGTGGTGCAGGCGGAGGTTATTCGTTTACTCTCCCCTATAGGGTTCATATAGTGTTCCTGAGCTATTAAAGCTTAGCTATCATTTCAGCCATGCTAGGAGGTAGTCCCGTGTAAGGTGGTGCCAGTCCGTTGTTATTAGCGTTAATAGACATCGTAATAGTATAGTAATATTACTCAGCGTTTATGCAGTACGTTCTAAATAAGAGCTATTAATATATAACGGTTAGGTTTTCCAAGGGATAAACTAGTCTATTTTAAGTTTATATTGGCAGAGTCGTAGGGCATGTAATACTGAGCGATTGCAAAGTGTTATGTCTCTTAATAGTGAATAAGGCGGGTTAGGCATATTCAGGTAAAGATGTTTTAATTAATAGCTAGTAAGCTAAGTTCTATCTAATGCTTAAAGAGTATAGCTATTTATACTAGTCTAGAGGTATAAGGCAATAGGCATTATCGTTATACCAGTCTTAGACCGAGATACCAGGTCGTCGGTCCTGGACCGATGTGAAGTTATTCGGTCCTCGTCTAATTGGTCAGTATTCAGGGACCGAGAGTTGATCTTTCGGTCCTGATATAATTGGTGTAAAGTGAGTGTGAAAGTGGGTCATGTCAAAGTGGAAAAGTGTGAAAGTGGGGTACATATAACCTGGTCGTAACACTATTCTTTATCTGCCTATAGAGGTCTATAAGGTACTTAGTTAGTATAAAAGTATAATTAATAGTTTTATATATCTTATGCAAGGTCTATAGATCTCCTGGGAAGGTAAATCTCCTCTGAATATATTATATTAATAGCATTACTATAGTATTATAAAACTAAGAGATAAGCCCTTTATACTTATAGGTATCTTCCCGGAGATTTATAGTATATATAATAGTTATAGTTCCTAAGGGATAAACTAGTCTATACTAAGTTTATATTAGTAAATATATAGGGTATTATAATATTAAGTATAGTAAAGTATTATATTTCTTAATAGTAAATAGAGTAGGTATAGTATATTTAAGTAAAGATATTTTATTTATAGTAAGTAAGCTAAGTTCTATTTAATATTAAAGAGTATAGCTATTTATACCAGTCTAAGGGTATAAGGCAATATATATTATTATTATATTAGTTTTAGACTTAGAGATTAAGTTATTAGTCCTAGACTAATATAAAGTTATTTAGTCCTTATTTAATTAATTAATATTCAGGGACTAAGAGTTAAGCTTTTAACCCTATTATAATTAGTGTAAAATAATTGAGAAAGTAAGTTATATATAACCTAGTTATAATATATATATTTATAACCTAATAGATAATTATATAGGCCTTATTATTTTTCAATTATAGCTCTAACTACCCTATACTAGCTTAGTTATACTATAAGCCGCTAGAATCTATAACTTATAGCTTATAATAAGACTTATAATATAAGCCTTAACTTATAGCATAAGCCTAATGCCTAACTATAAGCTACTATAAGTATATATATATATACTTAGCATTAATTAATATACTTAGCTTAATAGCTATTAATAAAATATCTTTACTTAAATATGCCTAACCTGCTCTATTTACTATTAAGAGATATAACACTTTGCAATTGCTTAGTATTACATGCCCTATAACTCTGCCAATATAAACTTAGAACGGAATAGTTTATCCCTTGGAAAACCTAACCGTCACATTAAGTCTATTAATCTCTAGTAAAGAAATAAGACTGGATTGTGACAACTACATGGGAAATAATGCCTGTGCAGTGGCGTCTATAGTGGCATGGCTTTACTAATCCCAGGGTTAACCTCCGCCCAGGAACGGGTAGTGCAATAATCCATATCGTATTTATTATAGCTTGGTTGTAAGTACAACTGCAATTACTGCTGTAGTAACTGCAGCTCAATCTCTTTTCCTGTCCTCTAGTGGTAGGACTTTCTCTCTGTCAGGCTTTTCTTAATGTCCTCTATGTAATTTCAACAATCCTGTCTAGTTAGCGCCTTTCTATAAAGCCCTAGCTACAGAGCTAAAGTAAGTCAGGCAATAATCGGGATATTATCGTTGGAATGTCTTAATATCTCTATGCACTGGCTTCACTCACGTTATACTGTTTATTTTCAAAATTAGCCTTTAACGTCTGTGGTATAAGAGGCATAGCCGGACATAGAGACTACTATTTAGGCTGTTGGGAATTCTATGTCTTACTGCACTATGCGCATTAAACATGCTAATAATTACACCTATGAACGATGCAGGGCCTAGACCTTAGTCATGAGTCTAGACCTGTTATTCATTATCCCCCCGCTAAGGTTTTCCTTGGTTAACCACTGGATGTTATACATAAGACCTAGCTAATAACAGTGCTAAAATTATATAGGTTAAGAATTCAACCATAAGTCTATAGGATATTAAAATTTCTGAAATAGCTTGGACAATTTAATTAGAATAGATAGGAATTCCTAATACTTAAGTTTAAATATTCGCCAGTACTAATATATATTTAATAAGGAGAGAACGGCTTCAGAATGTACTATATAACAAAAAAAACTTAAGGAAGAAATAAAGTATGTGGAAAAATGATAGCCTGGTATATAATAGGAGGACACGGTGCATACACTCACAGACAGATATAACTTTGCATGGGCCAGATAAGTTGTATTTTATCGAATTACAAATAAATACTCTATATAGTAAGGAGATAAAAGTGCTACCATTGACTAGAACGACCTTTTACAACTGTACTCATAGTCTAGACCGTTTGCTACTCTAGACAAACAAGGGAGCATAAGCTCCGAAGGTACCGCCACCGGTCTAACTTACCCTGACCCTGCCTGAACCTTGACCTTATCGGGAAAGGGGTTGCACAATTACCGTTTGAGTACCCCGCTATGGGTTTGTCACAAGCACCACTCCACAGCCTGGTAGAACTGTGCAATGGCCACATGATAAGCCACCCAATATCGAGTCCGTGTACGGAATAGCATGTATACAGCCTTACCTTGCTTACCTTATCGAAAGGGCTATTGTGTCTGCAGCCGGTCAAGCAAGCCGCTTCTGGGCCCTCGACAAGGTTTATACCCAAAAAAAACAGTGGACCGATATTATATTCTCTTTCCCCGAAGATCTTGAGAAATTGCCCACGTCGGCAGATGATATACAGAGTTCTAGGCTGACTAGCACTATCATGTGATAGGGATCCCTGACATCGCTTAACAGTTCTCCTCTCAGCCCATGCTGATGATGACAGCGGGCTTTTTTTCGCCGGCAACATATTAACAAGCCACAAGACCTTAGTCCGCTAGGGGTCAAGCCATGACGATCCGTTGACGAAACGTCCTCACATAAGCAATTGGTTTCCAATCCTCAGCTGAAAGCTACTATTAACTAAATACAGCAGCGGTTAGCGCCACATTAGAAATTTATTATTTTCAAGACAGTTTGTCTGTTTAGTGGCGTCTAGATATTCGCAGACCTAGATGCGGTTATAAGCGTATATGAGACTGATATTAGGACAGTCTGCAATTACATAGCAAAGCTATTAAGGTATATATAGGTTGATATAAACCCCCTAAATCGTCTCTATGTTTCTTTTTCTATTCACTAAAAGCTACCTGCAGTAACTCAATCGAAATGCTACAAACAACCTCCTACTTTATCAAATCATCAATCCCATTCTATCACAATGCCGTCAAGTCCCTTATCTTCAAATGTGCAGAATTACTTATGGGCATTTTTGTTTATAAGCTATTCTCACTGATTGCAGCCCGATTAAACAAGTTTACATCATACCTCATGCTTACAGAGGATTACATCCAACGCACACTCTATATTTCATCCCGCGGTGTATCAAGTGCAGGATTAGTTGTACTAGGCTTCAGTCTTCTCAATATCCTGTTATCACTATATGGTACACTTCTCTGGGCATTAGATGCTCCGGGGTATATATCCAGAGTATCCAATGCAACAGCTATCGACTACCAGGATCAGAGAAATGAGAATCCGCCGTATATCATTCAGCTCTCACTGAACTCGACTCAGCTTAACAGTACTGAACGGAAGCTTCCGCAGATGATAGGCTCAGACCTTTTTCTTCCCGAATTGAACTATACCTTAACTGGCCTAGTTACAAATAGTCATGGAATGCCAGAGGTTATCCCATATCCGCGATCAAACTCCACTGGCGCCCGGATTTGGCTCGATACCGAAGGGTTTTCAGTTTCTCCTGATAGTTATGTTATGTATCCCGAGAAGCAAACCCTTGATGGCCATAACTATACTTTTGATATCGCATATCTCGATGGATCAGCTGTTTGGAATAGCACATTTAGCAATGTCTTTGCACTAGACTTTGTGAAAATGGTTGCTGGAAAGCCAGAGGTTCATTGGGATGACGAATCTGATAAGAAGTTCGACTCGAGATATATCGACCCCAATAAAGAGGATAACATCTGGTTTTCTTTTGGCGCTGGCGGAGGTTCTGCGCTTCTGAAACAGGTTTTTACCGTCACCAAGGGGAGAAAACGCCATACTTTTATCGATTCCACACTTAAAGTCACCATGTTAACTACCCCTGGAGTTTTCTTCACCGACAGGGAGGTCACAGATCTCGTGGGACGCGCCTGGAGCACTGATGCACCAGACAAAAGTGCTCCACTTATCGGTCAAATTACTAAAAGTATAATAAATGCTCAAAATCAGGGCATGAGCTATCACTTTGGCGGGAATATGCTCCACAATGGCAACAAATCTGCTATACAACATCACTGGGGCTACTATACTGTGGTAAATAATAATGAGACTCTATACTCTCTTATTAGCATTACTGACACCAATATCACCCTTATTCGATCTGAAACCATCTCTATGACGCCAGAGCCTTTTGAGTTCTGTGAGAGAACAAACTCTCAGAACGAAGCCTTTGGTGGAAGGCTTATGCGTATCGACTGCCCAGGCAATATAGAGAGTGCTAACCCGAAGTTCTTTGGCCAAGTCGACACTACAGCTATACTAGTTGGTCATGGGCTAGGCGATAGTCGATCTAATATCAGCTCAGAGTCACTTAATAACGACGCCTTGAAATGGTCTCGGAATAACTCAGAAACCATTGAGTCACTGTTGATTGCGAGAGCTTATACTGTCAGCATTGATCCTTCTCTCGTGCAAATCACTGTGGATAAACTCATTGTGGCTATATCCTACCTTCAGCTCGCTCTTAGCTGTTTAGCTTTACTTATGGCTATAGTCTTATGGCTAACTCATTTCATCCTTATTGATACTCACTGGGCCAGCTCTCCCTTGGCCAATCTAATTTATACTACATCAGATATGAGTAGTACTAAACCTAGATACATAGCTGGCGATCCTCGAATAACCTTACAGTCTGTGGGAAAGAAGAAGCTATTGGCAGTGGATGGAAAGATAGTAACATTGAATAGCCTTGCAGATACTCAAGTAGAACCTCTGGCTAGTCCAGCAGCATATAGGGATAGTACGAAAGATCATACAAATGTAGGAGGTTATCCCATAGATTAAGACAATTTAAATACGAGAGGAAAGAGCCAATACTAAGTTTTTAGTTTTTTAACTTATTATTATTGTAAGTGTAATATCAGTGTTGAGATAGTAATAATTATCTTTATAAAACTATGGTTATAGGTTAATACTCTTATAAAGTTTATACTATGAATCTGCTAATATAAGAGGCTATATATCCCCGGTTGCAGCGAAGGGTTGATATGGTCCGCTGCAAGTACAAGGCTAATGGCTCGTTATTGTCTATAGGCGAGCTCTTGAGTCTCTCCTACTGTAATGCTCTGCGATCGACTTAAGAGTCGTCCTATCCTGTCCTATCTACCCTACTCAGGTATTACCGACAGGAACGGGGCCCATTCTATGCTTTAGACCAATTACATATGCCAGATTCGACAGGGATTATAGTGTACCAGAACGGGGCCTCGCAGATGTAGCTTGTGTACTGCCTGCAAGACCAGGACCATCCACAAATCGTCGATTTCGCTGGTACTCGTGCGTCTGCACAGATTTATTCAAGTCCTGTTGTTATTCCCAAGTTCTGTATTGACCGCTCGAAACTAGTCCGCGTACACGGCCCGCGGGCACCGCCGGTCAGATCAGTCGAACATCGCGTTCAACAACCCAATAGGCTCGAGATGACCCAGAGACCCATGCTTGCAAATACACATTCTCGAAATGTGTCTCAGTGTCTGTTTTCCTGGTAGGTTTTCGCAGGTGCTTGGGATCTTCGGGTACATCTTGGTTGTAATGCCGCATGATGAGCATGCGGTTAAGAGTGCGATATTTGTATTATAGATAAGAGAATCCATCGTAAGACCGGAAGGAGCCTTTGTCTTTAGGCGAACCATATGGAAGAGGCGTAGTCTGTTCTGGGTTTTTCAAGTTCAGGATAGCTAATACCTTGCTGAGACCTTTCCGCCGAGATAGAGGAATCTTATATTTTTCTCTTAAATGATCGGTGGGGTGGGAACCATTAGGGGAGATCGTATGGCTGCAGTCCTCGTCGAAGCAAATTAGTAATCGCGAATCAAGGTGAACCCATAAAGAGAGCGGCTCGAGAAATTGAGAATGCGACCGAGAAAGTTGTATCGTTGCCATTGGAGCAATAGGTAACGATCCCATAAGATTTACTGCTTGCTATAGTATTCTGTGGTGATTACTACTGCTTTTATGTATCATTATGTTCTTTTCTTGTTTGATGTCTTGAAGATAGGGTAACAGGTGAAAGCGATAGGGAAGATAGAAGAAACGGGATGAAAGTAGGAAAGGAAAGAAGCCGAAATGTATACGGATAAAAATAGATAAACAACAGGTTGTTTTTGCTGGTCTTTGTTCCCACATCAATGTGCACGAACAAAAAACTTAGAATCTAGGGATGGTTATCCCGGAAATTTTCGGAGGAATTGAGGTTGGCATAGACGAAAAGCAAATAACCCGACGGGATTCTGATAGTCCTTTATACAGTAGGGTTATTGGTAGTAGGGTCGCTTATCAAGGAGATTGGAAGTCTTTGGCCGAGGATTCAATACTTAATATCCCGACGATTATTGATCAGTTTCTGGAGGCTTCCAGTCTCGATGCAACATATAAACAGTATATATTTTCTTTTTACTTGGCTATCTGTTCTCTATTGGTACTTTCTGGCCTAAAGCCAATTCAGTAGCCAGTTAAACTGGGGCGCTGGAACTCCACGTTTTAACTCTGTTACAGGTGGATAGGAGTTGTTTCAACCAAGAGGAGAGTTATTATCACTTTTATATTCAGTGGATGCCGTCGAGCTTATAAATATATAGAAAAGCATTTATCCCATAAATAACCTTCGCTTCTCTCCGATCTCTAAACGGCATCTGCTTACCCTGTTTATAAGTATTTACTACCTTTTCTCATTTGGCCTGGTGCTTTTCCTATTCTTATTCTCCAGCAATACAAAATGCAGTTCGCTTTAGTCTCGATTCTTTTCGCCCTTGGCGTCTACGCCAAGAATGGGTAATCCTAAACTTTTGCACCGCTCTATATTGAGTTCGGCTCTGTCAACACGCTATTCTAGTTGTAGATTTCCCGACGGCCCAGACTGCGTCTCACTAGGCAAAGGGAGTGACGGTTTAGAAATTTTTCGTGACAATGACGGCTGCTGTCTTCTCCCTGCCCGTTGCGGTAATGAAGCCGGCGTTAACTGCCGTCGCGAGAACGAGGGTCCCAATGGTCTACCGATCAATACAAAAAGGGTTGCACACCGTCGCAGCGCTCAGAAGAACTATCGAGCATAGGTAGAGGAATAGGAAGTGACAGAGAGGTGGTTAAATTGTGTATAGCAGAACTTTGTTATTACTATTGGCGCAAATGTCGTCCGTCGGAACCCGTGACAGCTTGGGTCACCTTGAGCTAAAAACACTTCTGCATCCATTCGTGATCCAAGTGTTTGTTTTAATGTCCGTCCATTCATGTAATTATATTCTTTATGTCCCCGTCATCTAAGTTACACCCCGTCCTAGCTGGAATGTCCTTTATTTAGGTTAACTTCAAAATTCGTCATACAAAACATGATGACTCCGATGCCTACCCTAGGATAAGAGATAGACCTTTGTATTACAAACAGTTGACTGGATGTAAGAACATCTCCTCCAGCTGTAATATTTCAGTTCATTTCTAACAGTCTCTAACGCAACAAATAAGCTGTACAGGGACGTCACTTTCATCCCTTCACAAGCTGAAGGACTGCGTCGACAATCTCTTCAGCCGCAGTAGCGAGAAACGCACGACGCGCCTTCTCAACTATGACTACCCTGTTGATCGCCCCTACAGCTGCATACGTCTCCTGTCCCGTTCGGGGCACAACACGATCAGCCCCACACACAACGTAACCAGCCTTGTTGTCTTTATGTCGGAAGAGACAGTACTTGTGGTTGCGCGTGTCTTCGGATGAGGTAGTCGTCTCGAGTTCTGATGAGATGGTACTGGTTATAATAGTTGATAATTAAATCTGAGATAAGGTAATAATAAAATCTATCGATCGTGGCTTGCAGGCGCCACCATAGACACCCAATGGGGCCAAGGCGAAGCAAGACAAGGTGAAAGTTTTAAACCACATGATTTTAAGCGTAGAGAGATCTAACGCCAAGAAGCGTCTCAGAGATATTTATGGGGAACTGTTACAAGGGACGAGGGAAATTACAATACGGTGAGGCACAGTACTTTGTATGTTAATGAGCTGAAGTCTGAGGAACTATTGATTTTCAGTCCAGGGGTAGGAATATTTCTATTGTCACTTCGCCCGCTAGTAGTTAAAACGGTCTAGTTATCACGAACTCATATTGAAATATCAGTAGTAAAGGAGGGTTGTATTATATCTCGTCATGGAATCCGGGAACACCCGCGGCATCTGGTAACCAGATCAGATCATACTTTACTCCACGTCGGATCAAAATTTTCACTAATGTCTTATGCTCCACGCTCATTGCTGGCCTACATAACAGGCCATTTCTTTTAGCTTGATTCGTAAACCTAGATACTGCATACAGCATATGTCAATTCTGGTCTTATTATTGTTACATTGTACAAAGCACGCTCTTCACGGCCCTATCATCAGAGTACTTCTACTCTGGACCCTGGTCGACCGGCTGTGGGATCGACGCTGCAGATTACAAAAACAGTCCTCCGCCGCCTCGTCCACGTATCCCTGTAAGTCCATTATGCATGTCTCACCCGCTCGCCTTGTTTCTGCCTTGTGTCTTTTTTTTTTTTTTGTCTTTTCTTTTTGTGCTAGGTGAATGGCCAATTTAGGATGTCAGTAATTTCTCATTGCGGTGACTTTGGCAGAGCTGAACTGTGCCGACATCTCCGCATGTGCGTAAAGAGAAAACTGAGCTACTTAAGCGAGCCTATCCACATCATACCATAATCTTGACGGTACTATAAATATGTGTTCTTGTCAAACTGCACACATGTTCCCGAATCATTACTCATGCCACTCTCTGGCTTCTGGTCACTATGCGATTAATCGTCTGCTTGCAAGTTGTTTCCCTTATATTTGATAGGAGAGTTTTAGCTCGTTCTAGCTCCGATGGTCCAGCAGCACGGTACCATTACCTGAACCGTTACAAAATCGAAACGTCACAATGTGATTCCAACAAGGAAGTTGGTGTTAAGGCGCCATGGAAAAATATTTTTCAGAGCCTGACAGATCAGGAGTATGCTGATGTTACTACATATCTTCACAAGCAGGAGGGACTCAACTTGACTGCTATTGTGAACTCGACATCGTGAGTCGTCAACTTTTCACTTTCTTCATCCTACTGGCTCTACGAAAAATTGTTGCTCTATTGGCTACCTTCACACGCTAACAAGTCATTGCTAACTTTATGAAGTTGGGACAATGTCATAGTGTCTATGGACTTGTTGCAGCCAAACAAGACTGATGCCTTGACATATCTTGAAGGCAATGGGCCAGCTCCAGCTCGGTATGCGCGGGCCACGCTGCAATTCAACTCGCAACTGCAACCATACATCCAAGAGTACATGGTTGGCCCACTACCTATCCAGGAAGGTTCCACTCGATACGAGGAGCTCAACTACATGTTCACATCTGGACGTGGTCGCATTAACGTGTACAACGCTGATAGTGAGGCCATTGCTGCGTTTAACCTCGTTGTTGGAACAGAGATACAGAACATAACCAAGCAGCTTCTCAATGGCGTACGTAACCGCTGTTTGACAGAATATTCAACGCTCCGTGCTAATGACGTCAATAGACTGCTACAGGTGCTGAAGACGACAGCCTTCTGATCGCAGGCAGTGATCCTCTGATCCACAACAACGACAAGGTCTATCAGTGGAACGAGTTCTACTCTGCTCACACTGGTGAATTCTTTTCAGAGACAATCCTCCCTACCAGCCTGCAGTTCAAAGTTGATATCACCGGTCGAGATCCTTCCAAATGGGAGGTGGTCGGTTGGTATTACGACGGCAGCTATTGGCCGACGACCGACGAGTTCAAAGAGGGATCCAAGACGCTAAAGAGAAAGCCAGGACCCAACGTTGATGGGCTTTGGACCTCTACTGACCAGCAAGATGACAAGTTACCTCTTGACCACCTGAACCCCCCTACTGCTGTTCAACCAGATGGTCCACGGTTTGGTCTGGATAGAGAGGAGAACTACGTTGAGTGGAGTAAGTGCACACATTGTAATGTTTTGTTATTGAGCTTTAGCTAAAAACTATTTAGTGGACTTTAGCTTTTTCATCTCGAATCACAAAGAGACTGGTATGCAACTCCATGATGTCAGATATAGAGGCGAGCGTATCATCTATGAGCTTGGCCTCCAGGAAGCGATGGCACATTACGCTTCCCAGGATCCGCTGCATGCCTCATCAGCATATCTGGACACTTCATACGGCATTGGTACCAGCCAATGGAATCTCGTCGACGGCTTCGACTGTCCTTCTCACTCCACCTACCTCAACACATCTTTTTACATCAGCGAGATGACTCACATCCACCCCAACAGCTTGTGTCTTTTCGAACATGATACTGGATATCCTATACAGCGGCATTTGACGGGAACGCATGTTTCCGCGACCAAGAACATTGTATTTAATGTTCGTAGCGTCTCTACAGTTGGAAACTATGACTATTTGTTCGAGTATACCTTTCATTACGATGGGTCCATTAGCGTCACTGCCAGAGCATCTGGCTATATCCAGGGAGCGTTTTGGTCCGGGGATGGTGATTATGGCTTTCATATTCATGACAACTTGTCAGGTTCTATGCATGACCATGTTATCAACTTCAAGCTCGATCTGGATATCAAAGGCAGGAAGAACAGTCTGTTAAAGACTGAGTTTGTGCCCATCTCAGAAGTTTAAGTTGTTCTCCATCTACCATGCAACGATGTACTAACTTAAACAGATACCCCTGGTCTGAGGGGCAATCGATTAACACTATGAAGGCCAATCGGTCGTACATAGCCAGTGAGGACAACGGCAAGATTACATGGGCTAAGAACGGAGCAGCTGCATATGCTGTTGTCAACAAGGATGCTCTGAATGATTTCGGAGAGGCACCTGGCTACGCGATCTCTCCAAGTAATTATCTCCTACATATAAACCTGGGCGACACTAACTAGTTTTACAGACAGCGGCAGCACAGGGCACCTAACGGTGCAGTCATCCTCAGCTCTTGGACAGTCCGCAAACTGGGCCAATCACAACATTTTCGCCCTGCAGCACCACGACACCGAGCCGAAAAGCGCTTACGCTTTCAACAGTTATGATCCGCATCACCCAGCTGTAGACTTCAATAGATTCTTCAATGGGGAGAGTCTTGATCAAGAAGATGTCGTTTTGTGAGTAACCCTTCCTGAGCATTACTATTACCCGAGGCTAACAGTTACGCAAGATACTTCAACCTCGGCATGCACCACCTACCCAATACGGCTGATCTGCCCAACACTGTGACGACGAAAGCCGTTTCGTCGATGATGATTACGCCTCAGAATTACTACTCAGGCGATATCTCACGACGAACTATGCATCAAGTGCGTGTCTCCTATGACGAGAAGTCAAATGTCACTGGTGTCAAGATGTTTGGCATAAAGCAGCCTACTTGTGCGTTTGATATGACCAAGGCCGCACCCAAGTTAGATACCTTCGTTGGAGAGCTTCAGATTCCTAAATTTCCATTTAACCCGAGTAATAGTCTACAGACGAACCCCGGTGGTTAAAAGATAATAGTAGGGAGAGAATTAAGGTTCTAGATTCTAGGACATGTATTTCGATTAAACTAGCTACACGGAAGATGAGGTCCAGATCCAATTAAAATAACATAGTGGTAAGTAAAATAAGTTCTTACCGAGAATTACTACGAGATACGTACTCTCAACTCAGGCTTAGCAAAGTCAATCCAACTTTACAATAATGTACAAACACCGATCCTTCGGTAGAAACCATCACTGGGATTATCAGAGGGCGCAATGAGTAGCGCATCTGCCTTGCTTGGGCAGTAAGGTCAATTACTCCATTTAGTTCCCCTGTGTGTAACGAGAATGAGGTAGAATCTGACTCTATGGTTGTCCATGGCGAATGAGTGCTTCCTTCTGCAGTGTTGTATGTCCATCGAACATGGTCAAAAGGTATGTTAAAGTCGTATGCTGTCCACGACCATGTTGGGACTCTGAACTTCTGGCCTCGGGGAAATTTGATCAGTTTCAGGCCATCACTTCGCTGTGTATCCCTTGTCCATAAAAGGCTGCGCCCAAAGAGTGCTCCGTTGAATATACCGTATCCGCCGTCGGTCTTAAAAGCACTGACCAGCCGTTGTTCTAGCCCGGCTACTGATATGAGCCGATCATGGATCTTTGCTCCTCTGGTTGACCTCATAGCCAACTTGGGAAAGTTGGGATCCCCAAGGAATGACGCCTGGCTACTACAAGGTCAAGGTCAGCAACGAGGATTGTAGAGATTTTTCTTGCCTTACTTAGTTTGGCCTGGTGAATGTCTCGCAGCGCACGCCGTGGCCACACTCCCAATAGGTCTACTTCTCCGCGAAGTATATGGTCCTTGGCGCAAGAGCACGTTCTTGTAGGACCCATCCACGTGTATTCAGGGACCCTTCTAATACATCGTGCTGAAAGTCGTCAACATATTCACAAACGTAAACTGGATTATCGGCAAGATATCCATCCAATCTCACTACCTCGTGCTCAGGCCTTTTCCACAAAAAGCCACTTGATGTTCCGTTGGCACGACTTGCGGCAATGACGCAATATGCCGAGCAGAAGACGGCCTCCATCCTTTTGACTTCAGTATCGAAGTCCCCATCAGGTCCTTGCACAATACATAGCGAGTCGATCCAGAGATATGGGACACCAAGTGCCCGGGTCACCTCGACTGCATGTCTGAATGTGCTTGGGAAATCTTCTACATGGATGCCAGCGCTTAGTCGACTGTCAAGATTTTCTTTCGTTGTGCAGAAATAGTCTTGATCTATTCCATTGCCCCAAGGATGTGATAGGGCAATATATCCAAGCTCGCCTCCTGCTGGGCACATATATGGCACTGCTTCGCGAAGGAAGACGTTCGAGCTTCCACTATCAACCTGTCCAACTTCGATCAGGCGAGTTGGAACTTCGCCGCGTGATCTATCTGCGGGATGACATTGGGGATGATGCAAGTCGCAATCTCGATTCCATGTTATCGGGAGGTCGTAAAACGGGACAGTTTTGGGTTCAAAAAGCTTGGGCAGTCCAAGGTAGATATCATCAGCGTGTAGGTGGTTCTTTTTTGAGTTATCTGCTTTCCATTAATGATTCAAATACTGCTGCATCTGGCAAAAGTTTTATGTACCCGAAATTGTAGAAAGTGAGAGTAAGGGTATTTTCGAGTTGTCCATGACAAGTGAGGGATCAGATCTTCAAATATGCATGACCTCCAGATCGTCGTAAACCGATATGGGAAGAGAACGGTAAATAAGGCCGTGCAGTGAACACTGCTGAATCTTGGATCTCATAGTCGCCAGAGTCTCCTTCAATACGGGCTCGTCGCTCTGATAGTCAGGTTTCCTACAACCATCACATAACTTTGTTTTTTGCTGTGACCTAGATATGCTGTGCGTGATTGTTAGTTCGTGATGCTTTAGAACTCCAAGGGAGGTAGCCTTATCTTCCATCAAGTTCCAAGTGTTATTAAATTCTCCAAGTCAGATTGATGATAATCTATCAGGGCTTGCTCCTCTGCTTACTGCCCAAACAGTAAAGTCACGATTAGTAAGATAAAGACTCTGACCTTATATATATTATGCAAGCTTACAATCTTGTTAAATTAAAGCGCTGGTAAGTTTATGGATACAGATCTATCAGAGCATAATTCAATGTTGCTTATGTGCTATAAGACTAAATTGTGTTAGGCAGTTCATTCCAACTAAAAACATTACAAGTATTTCTCACTTAAACTGTATGTAATATATAGTGAGCGGCGTTTATGGGACGATATTTTAGCAGAGATATAACCCATATACTGAATATAAAATAGCTAATATTGCTGGCGAGCTCCTCGCTTATATTCCTACTTACAGTCTATAATACATGATAGTAATAAAACCAATTAGCCATTTTATTCTCTCCGACCTGCCGCCAATTTACCTACATCCTGTTTTATATCAGCCATTGCCACTATCAGTCAGCCCAGAGCTCGTACCAGATTTGATGGTTTTGATGCGGAGCCTTAGCTGGTTGACAGGAAGCTCTGTCTCCGAACCTTTTGCGGATGAGGAGCGGAAATCCCGTTGCGGCTTTTGTCCGACGACAGGTATGCGCCTCCCCTACGTTCATCGTCAATCGCCGGTCTCTTGATCTTTTGCAAGACCCTTTCGAAGTCGTCCGTACTGGCACGACATCGCTTAATGTCGTCCTGACTCATGTTTTCCTTAGGTAGATTAATAACAACAAGCTTATCTCTGACTAACATAACGAGATCTGTGATCTCACTTGGTGTGGCACGATTGCATTCAGGGTCGACTTCCAAGATATGGCTAATCCATCTTCGCGCCGTGTTACTCACTCGAGCTTGTCTTGTGTATAGATCAGCTGTAAAGTACAACGTTTCTCGATAGGCATCGATATCCTTCCCCCCATCGTAGAAGCTTCGCAGTCCCTCTTCATAGTCATATAAGAGACAGATGGAAAACTCGAATACGATACATCCCGGGAATAGACGGGGCCCGATGGTAATGTTTGGTGACAAACGCGTCTACATAGCCGTGCTATCATTGCAAGGAGCGTCACTGGCTTTTGACGACTATGGATTGGGGCGAGAACCTGAGGGTGTCGTGGCCAATGTGTTGAGAGATTGTCGTACGAGGCTGAACATGTCGAACATTTGCAGCTCGTGTCGAGTGCAATCGCTGTATTGACGTTGGAGTGATACTTTGGTAATGTTCGTTGTGACCTTATTCTCTGGCCTGACCATGACTCGTTGTTCGGCTGGAGGAGGTGGCCCGGGAGTATCGGTGGAATAAGGCCACAAGTCCCATAGGAATATGTCGGAACAGCTATGTAGCCAAACGTCACTGAAGTTCCCACTACTGCACTGTGGCATGCCATCGATTGGAAGAAATGGTCTGTAATTCTTTACTACCCATTTGTCGTTGATCATTGATTCTTAGATACAGACGCGTGATCAGTGAGATGTTTCTGGGGAAAATAACGTGTCGAGGGCTGGAACTCGTTATTGCCGCCAGTGGCGTCATAAACTATTGCTCGTTTCTCGGAGCAATGACCCGTGCCTTGGCAGGAGAACAGTTAATTGAGGAAATATTAGCCAAACATACGATAGGTACGCGCATCCTCCGTGCGTCTAACAAAGTCGCAGATCAGCTCTACGCGGTATACTATGGATGTCAGAAGCTGCAGCCTATGTGTAATATCCCCTAAGCTGGTTTAACTCATTGGGAGATCTCCTGGTCCGCAAGGTTGCCATGAATACATTTGAAGTCGCTTATCGTACCCATCAATGAACGACCTATCACGCTCTCCGGGTCTTCACATCATTGTCAAGCCACACCACACAAAGGCCTATCCACTCCAAGGTGAACAAATCAATGGTTCAAGACTATGACCATATTTGCTACCCTTCATTAAATGACACTAGATATCTCCGCTGCAAAGCAATACGAATGATGCACCGTATTTTTGACCTACCACATTTCTATACTCACTACCTATATCACCAGGTAGGAAGATGTTTTTCCAACGACTCAAGCCTCGTCTACACATTTGTTTCTTCACTGTCGCCTATATACCAGACCAGTTGGTCAGTATAGGCGCAAAGATACGTGTATACTGTCTCTTCCTCATGTAGTCCAACAATACGCAACAGTACCCATCAAGATAATAAACAGGCTTGAAAATGTAGGTAGGAAAGAATCGCCATCTTGTCGGTAAACAAGTGCCCAGCTCACAAAGGATTTAAAATTTGCACGTCCTAAGTCTGGATGTCTTGAAGAAAGAAAGAGCGAGTGGTTAAAAGTGTTCACAAGTGGTCGGTCACGAGTGGTCGAGATTTTTACCACTCGCTCCTTCCACCATATCCAAATCTCCGCCCTTGTTGGCCCGTGCTCCCTTCCCCATGCAGGTCTCTACATGTTGACAGGTCCCAGCTGAACAGAATTTCCCTTCTTCGCGTTACCACATTCGCCTCAACCGATCTAAATATCACAGCGACCCGTCTCGCATTTCGAATACAATATTCTTCTCTTATTATCACATCCCGTTTACTACACCGAGTCGACTAGCAATATCCTTGTTTTTCCGCCTATGAGTCCTGCACAGAACGGATGTTCCTGGGCCTGATGGGCAACCTGTCACTGACAAAACTCATACAAATTCAAAAGCTTTTCAATCGAGCGACGATGCTAACATCATGTTGAAGCTCAAGCAGTTCATTGAAAACTGTGTCGACAGCTCCCCAACTGTCGACAAACCCCCCGAGAAAATCGTCAAGTCGAAATTCGCCGACCTCTCACCTAGCAACAGGATGGGAGTGATCTCAACCTTGAAGATAGAGTGGCCTAAGATAGATGTAATGAAATGTGTGGTCGAGACTGTTGATCGCTGGCTGAAGCGCAAGACCAAAAACACAAGCAATATCGCCTTCTTCGATCGAAAATGGAACGGACGTCGGAATTGGGCACCGGCTCCATGGTTCAACCCCTGGCATGGAGATGGAATGGGGGAGAACATCGTCACCCCGATCATCACTGCTACCAAGATTGCTCTGTGGCATGGAATTCCCCTACAACCTCTTTGGCAACCAGGTGACGAGCTGTTTGAGGCCGTGAGCAATGGTCTACTGATCAATAAAGCACGCGCCTAAACTTTGTATACAAGACCTAACCATTAGAAACTTTAACTACTTTTGGAAAGTAATATATTAAACTATTATATTCAGTCTGTCATTAGTATTTTACTCAATTTTTATACTAAGAGGTTTCCGACAATGGTGACAGCCCATCCTGGTACTCAGGGACATTACCTTCGCCCTCCAACTCTACAGGCCGGCTCCCTCTGCTATTACTGGCAACTTGATAGTCACTCTTTGGGCTCATCCTCTGATGCATGTCAGGCGATCTATGCTGACTTGTTAGTTCAGACGGGGGATGTGAAGGCCATGTCTGTCCTCCGTTATAAGACGGCGCTACCGGCGACGCCCAACCTCCCGTCCCAGCTGTAGCCATATCGTTCTGCAGTGGTGGCGCCGCCACAACATGATCTTGACTGTAATACTTTCGCCTCCTATAAATAAGGACCCCACATCCTGCCAAAGCAAGGATAAATGCCACACTGCACCCAACGGCAATTCCCGCTATTGCCCCAGAGCTAAGTCCTGGTGACGGTTTGCTTGTGTCAGATGGTGGCGCTGACTCTTTGGTACTTGTTGCAGTCGCGCGAGTTGCAGTCCGGTCCCCTGTCGGCGCAGTCCGGTCCATCTGTACAGCCAGGTCTGGAGCGTCGAACCCACTAACTGGAACTGTCTTCGTTGCAGCACCAGTAGGCTTCCCCCCAATGGCCGTTCGAATGTCAACGGGCACAACATACGTTGTTAGGTTAGGCTGATAAGCTGCCCAAATTGCATCCTTTTTATTCTGCCTGCCCAAATCCATATTGTGTGCGCCCTGGATAATTGGTACATCACAAACTTCGTCTGTGGCGTTAGAGTAGGTCCCACCAATAACAAGCATCTGTGCATCCTTCACCACGTTGCAGCCCATCATGCTCTTAGGGAAGGCGCCAGTGCCGTTACGGTAGGTTGGGTATGGTCCTCTGATCCATTGAAAACTTGGTATAGTGAGTATATAGATGTCATCATATCCTGTTGTGTCTGGAGGGAAACCCCCACCGCCATAGATGTAACTGACAAGGTTAGCAATTTGAATGAAAAGGAGACGTGAGTGGCACTTACATATTGTAGCTTGACTGATCTTTTGCCCAGGTGGCACCTCCGCAGAAACGACGTCTATTGTTAGGAGTATCTCCTGATGTCTTTTGAGTATACCATTTTCCATTTGCAATATCGAATAGGAAAATCTCATCCAAAGACTGGGGTGTCAAGGTTCCGTTGCCATATAAGTCTTGAGTGCCTCCAAAGTACACTAACATTCCGCCGTCACCAACAGGAATAAATACCATAGCTCCCTCTGCCCTTCCTGTTCCATCGGGTCCAGTCAGGTTACTCCACGAATTTGCATCCATCTCATACTTAATAAGACCACTGGAGGCTTTTGGCGGCCCTGACCAGCCTTTAATAGATGCGTTACTAAGCCATCCACCATAATAGTAGGCCTCTCCCCTCGACGAGATTGAAACACCAGCTCCATAGCTAGCCGCTTGAACCTCCTGTGGGGGGGCTCCGAGTGAAACCCATTTATTGTAGAGGATATCGTAGCTATAGAAATCGGGTGAGACCGGCGGTGTGTTATAGTATTCGCCACCGTAAAGATAAAGCCTTTTGTTAATTGAGTCTTCCCAAAGAATACCGCCACTAACGCTTGGGATGGTGTCGTTCTTTGATAGGTTGGCATAGAATGGGGGCATTCCATTCTTATCGGCGGTTTCAATATCGTGGAACGAAAGAAAAGTGTCTTCAATCGCGTTAATGCACATTTTGGAAGTCTAGGCCATGATACTAACTGGTCAGGTTGGTTGTTGCATCCCGGTAATTGATTAGACCCCCATCGATGTACAGCCTCCCGTCCACTACAGCAGACTGATGACCCCATCGGCGACAGAAATTCTTGACTGGGTCATTCTGTCCGAGAGTGTTACCACTAAAGCAGCACAGAAGGAGTAGAAAGGATGGGATTATCCACGAGAGCATCGTTGGGGCACCCATGGCGCCGCAGTATTGATTTTTAACTGTAGAATTGTTCTTGAAGCGATTATAAGCCCCAGGGTCAAATAATGATATCGAGGGCTTTTATTTCACATGATGGAGAGGAGGGTTATAAGTAGTGGTTTTGGAAATAAAGCCCCACTTATCACCTCTCAACCTAAAGTGGCAATCAGGGCTTCTGGTATATTCGTGATGAAAAACGCAGATCATACGACTCTCTAGTGGACAACCTTACATACGTACAAGACTTCTGGGAATAGTATTAACCACGGTACATCAGCGCCATAGTTTAACACTACATAAGGCTTAAACTTAAGCCCCTTATGCTGATGATGGTTTTATTGCACTGTGATAATAACGAAGCCGGAAAAGGAATTAGTCTTGATCTAGACCAGACCTACAATAAACGCCGAGCTAAAAACAATACGGATGGTAATAATGAGGTTTTCCAAACTTCCGTTTATCAACGGACCAAAGCTATCAAACTTATCAGCCGCAAATGCTAGAAGATTGAGCCTCCGTTTCGGGACGGAATCCTCCGCCGGCTTTATACTATGCGATGCAAAGCAGCCTCTTTTCATAAGCCATAATTACGCCACTGCACGAAAGAAAATGACAGATATTTGCACTCGCTTAACACAGCCAATAGGTAGGTAACACGAACAACGACTCGGTCGCAGACGTGCTAATCGACTTGGGTCTTGTTCAGCCATTCAAATAGTCCATGCAGCCACTCAGCCGCTGCGCTCTCGGATGCATTTTAGCATTCCCAAGTCCATAGAGCCCAACGAATAACCTACCGCATTATTCGAGGGGTGCTTATCGTGTTTTGGAGAGGCGCTCTCTTGGACGTTTGAATTCTCAAGTATGTCATATACCAGCTTACAAACGTCGGTAATTTGTTGTGGTGCCATTGCGGACCTTTGTACTCAGTAATTTATAGGAGATCATGTTCACAGATTTAGTGATGTCGTAGCAGCTAAATGTCATAATCGGGATAAGGCTATGTAATCGTTAAGGCGTCGTCGATTAAATTATAAAAGCTTTTGCAAATTATTGCCGCTGTCTACATAGTTTTGAGCTGCGGGGAAGTTCTCATGACTTTGGAACTTTCAATTTCAGGTTTTAAATACTTGCTATTGCTGCTTCAGGGTATCAATTATATCGAGAGACATGGGATATACTCACCTTAATAGTCAGTCTCAATCGGCCTGCGTAAAAGTGTTGAGATTGCAGCATTGTCCGCGTTATTAGATCAAAGGTCTTTGGGTACAAAGTTAAATATTTCCACAGCGTTACCCGTTCCAGATATCATGCCCTTTTCGCCTATATACATTTTTTCTCTATATTTATGTCAAATCCCGAGTCCTCTAAGCCAATCATCGCCTAGTATAGGCTTTCGATATGGGATAACAACGATTGAGCTACGGTAGAGCAATCCATCTTATATAACCTAGATCTGCCCGAATTTTTCTCTCCCTGCAAACGCTTATCTCATGTGTATTGACCGTACATGAGTATTTTATGATAAAATATAATTTTCTCTTTTCATTGGCTCGTTATCATTTGCCATTCCTACAGATCGAACAGATTGCCTCTACTTGTTGAGATATCAACCGCAATCGCAGAGGTACGACTTTAGTGGGCTATGACAAGGGTTCATCGGCGAGCGATTTCGTGTCTTCCTGTTAACTCGACCTAATCTGACGTTCTTTCAGACTTCGATACCTAGAGGGGGGATTGTTGGTCGTCATTACCGAGATTATCCCTTTCGTCATGCCACTTCCAAGACATAACATACCTAGCCCTGAGTATGGCGAAGTTCTTCTCAACAGAGGCAATGCCCCATGCCTATTAGGGCCGGTGATTGGAGGCCACAAGGTTGCAAGTTCTGCACATCTGTTAAATAGTAGATAAGCCATGATCTTTTTTTCGACGATTTACGGAAAACCCCTATTTCGATACTCTTGAAACCGATTCAAGCCCATAGGTGGAGTTCGGCATCCCGTCGATTGACTTTTAAAGACATGCATGATGATGCGAGATGTCTGACAATCCCATAGATTCCATCGAGCTGGATTCGTTATAGTCGAGTTTTGGGACACGGACCTTGGTTTCCTCTTACGGACTTTTTTCATGCCGAGGGAATGCTTTTTGTGTGTACCTTCAACGTGGCCTTGCACGCTCTGACACTATATGTTCTGCGACCAATCACAGCGATTCTAATGGAAGTACTACGCCGTACATTTGCAGGTAAACCCTCATTCGTCTCCACTTCAATTCTTCTTAGCGGTTGCAGTCGGAGTTATTACCAACATAGGAGACTATAATGCATATACAAATAGCGACTCCTCATCCTACCTCGTCCCTTTCGAACGTCATTCTCAAACTTGTGGTATGAACAATATGAGTAACGAAAGTGGAAGCTCGACAGGACTGCTGCGTGATATCGTCCAGCTTGTCGCCGACGAACCCAAGACCGCCATTGGTACTGTAGTTGTTGGTTTTCTTATCATCTTCATCGTGAACACATTCAGAGCATGGTATCGACTATCTCATGTACCGGGGCCATTCTTTGCAAGTTTCTCTAGATTATGGCTACTGAGAGCATCGATGAGGGCCCAGCAGCCTATGGAGATACAAGCTGCTAATGAAAAGTACGGTACGGACAACGATGCACTGTTACATACCCTCGATACAGTTACTAAGAAATGATGTGTAGGATCCCTGGTTCGTATTGGGCCCAATGAGTTAGCAACAGACGACGCCAAGCTGCTCAAGAGAATCCACTCTGGTCGTTCATCTTATACCAGAGGACTGGGTACAAAAAGCCACGGTTGACAGTCTCCAAGTAACATACTGACAAGTTTAGGTTTTGAGTCTATGCGCTTTGAGCCAGGCAAAGACAACCTATTCTCGATGCGAGATGAAGAAGGCCACAGGAAGCTACGTAACAAGATGGCAGCTGGTGTACGTCTCGTCTTTCAACGTCTACAAGTCCACTAACAAACTGAATCTTGATTTTAGTACTCTGGCAAAGAAAACCCTTCCCTGGAGGGTTCTGTCGACTCAGTGATCGCCAGTTTTATTACGCTCCTTGAAACGAAATATTTGTCGACTGAAAACGAATACCGTCCCATGGATTTTGCTGAGAAAGCTCAATTCTTTACTCTCGATGTTATCAGCGATCTTGCTTTTGGACAACCTTTCGGATACTTGACGAAGGACGAAGACGTGTTTGACTTTCTCAAAATTACAAGGGCTTTCTTTCCATTCACCGTTACCATTGGGAACTTACCGTGGATGATATCTCTGCTTCACTCTCGTTTGTTCAGTGGTCTTGTGCCAAAGGATACTGACAAGGTTGGGTTTGGTGCCTTCATCGGGTAAGAAGTACCCCCAAGTAGTATCGGACAAGATTGACTTTGTAAAGTGTTGCCAAGAAAAAGGTTGCGGAACGGTATGCACCGGATGCAGCCTCACATGCTGACATGCTAGGGTCTTTTATCAAGAACGGACTTGACCAGGAACAGACATCTCGCGAATCACTGCTGAATGTCGTTGCTGGAAGTGAAACAACCGCCACTACTATTCGCATTATAATGCTATGTATATTGACCAATCCAGCTGCGTACAGACGCCTTCAACAGGAAATTGACGATGCTGCCCGGGCTGGAACAATTTCAACTCCGATCACTGATGCGGAAGCTCGCAACCTGCCTTTTCTTCAAGCCACCATCCAAGAAGGTCTTAGGTTTAAAAACCCTGCAACAGCACCTCTTTATAAGGAGGTCCCGAAGGAAGGCGACACTATCAACGGCATGTTCATCCCCGGAGGCACTCAGATTGGAATATCTGCATTTGGAGTCTACCACTCTAAGAAGGTTTTTGGTCCGGATGCGACCGTCTTTCGGCCCGAGCGTTGGTTAACCGCTGAGCCCGAACAACTAGAGCTAATGGCTGAGAGTGTTGCGCTCGTTTTTTCGAGTGGAAAATGGCAGTGTCTTGGAAAACCTGTTGCAATCATGGAGTTGAACAAGATATTTGTTGAAGTAAGTTTTTATTGCTGAGCGAATGAGGCATGTTGGGACTAATATAAGTGGTAGCTGTTGCGACGATTTGACTTTAGCATCGTCAAACCTGAGAAACCTCTTGATATCTTCAACGCTGTGAGTACCTTTACTTTAGCAGTAGAGTGAAAACTTACATATTTATCTAGGGTGTTTGGATCATTGAAAATTTCAACGTACGCATTACGCGACGCGAGATTCAGGCCTATCCCTGCGTAACCAAGTTGGGGTTAGACTAATTATTCAACACACGTCATGGTCTACTCGCTTAATCACTTGATGTAAATTTCCAGGTTAGATAACTCTAATAAGAATTATCAGATACGAGGGTTAGGGTTATATGCTTTATAAACGAATGCATAAAGTGTAATTTTATATGATCAACATCAAGTGTACTTGGGGGCCGTCTTACTGAATGGCAACGGCTACAAGTATTCCATTGTATCGAGTCCAGACCACAGAGCCACTCACACCAGCCTCCAAATAAGATACTCAAGCTGATGCTGTTTCAGGATAGGACTGAAAATTCGCTCTGCAATGCGTGTAGGCGGCTTGTCAGCCTTGGCAGTTGTCAAATAGCTAGAGATTCTGCAGATTCCTTCTAGTCTCTCCTCCTCGGCCAGTCTCATAGCGAATTCAAAAGCCGTCCTAGGAGGAGGAGGGTTGTTGCTCTTGGGAATCATAAGGATGCCGAAATCATCGATTGCAGACTGTTCGTTAGGTGTGGTTGAAAAGACTTCACTGGTCCGTGTATCCGGCTTAAGGATTTCCCCCCCTTTATGCTGCTCCCCAAGGTCAGACGACCAGGCTCGGAGATTTTGAGTTATTTTGACGTTCTCATCTATGAAGTTATGGCTTGTAGTGAAGACGATTGCTTCTTTTTGTCCAGGAATATTGACAAAGAAGCCAATGCCACCTTTCTCCACAAAGATCTTCTATTTGGAGACGGGACATACTTCGGAACTTTGGTAGTACTTGTTGGTATCATCCTTAGTAAATCTTAATCTCGCTATAGCTTGGCTAATAATAATGTCGCTGATGGATTTAAACATAACGAACCGGATCCTTCTCACGCTCTCGGCCAGCGTCGCCGCCTCGACGGTCTCGGTGCCAAAAATTCTGGGAAACTTCTGATGAAACCATAGTGTTTGGGTTTTCCTGGAGACATGCAGTTGATAAAGGGAGGCACTATCAGATCAATGATCAACCTGTGATACCAAGGAGCTCTAGACTTGCGCGTGAAGGTTAATTGATACCTCGGCCAAAGCTCGTTTGTAAATTTAACAGCCACTATTTACCCTGGAGTGAGCTGTTCTATTCGATGGGTGTTCTTTTCGTCCAAACTTCCAAGTGCGGTAACATCGTACTGAGACATGTGACTATAAAGATTCTCTTTTGCGAAACATAAACCACGAGGTAGCTCCCAGACAATAAATTCTAATGTAGAAGATCAAATGGTTTTCCCAAGTCTTTCTTCTGTCATAAAACTCATATCACTACGCCTCTTTGCACCTTAATCTTTCGCCATGAGCGGCAAAATCAGAAGTATTGCTCGTACCCTCCGCTATGCGAGCCACAACATCCTTGCCAACGGTCATCTTACTTCCTTGAGGTTCAAGGCCGTCGTCTTGTCGAGAAAGTCTACGATGGCGACGAACTCAAGGACCAGCGAATGGTTGCCGTTGGATTAAGAGAGGGCTCAACTGCGGGTTACGCCGTAGCTAATGACAGGGCGAGTACTCGTGACGAAAATACAATCTGAACAATTCCAATATGTGACAAAAAGACCTGGGCCGTGTACATCAATGACGAAGGCCTTATCAGGGTCAGTGAGTTCGATGAGGATTCTGAAGAGTGGGATGAAGACGAGCCGGAAGGCCTTTCTAGTGATATTTCCGTCAATAATCAAGGTCACATCACTGTCGCTGGTCTTCCTAGCACGAACTCGGTTCTTTATCAGGCAAATGTTGGGACTATCAAGACCATAAAGCATGACAAGGAGTCCAGTACTTGGACTGAGGAATTTGATATCCTTGGGGCAGCAGCAGTTGGTACTCCGATTGCCGGTTTTTCGACCGACAAGGCTCTGGTTGTTAGTTTCATCGAAGAAGACAACGAGATCCATACCCATACCCGTGACTTTGAGACCGGCGACTGGACAGGTAAGCATGGATCAAACTCCTCTCTGACATCAATCAATCTCACATCAAGCAGAACACAATATCCCCAAGTCGTCCTTTGACGATACTGTTGAAAGTCTGATAGGCGCCCAAGACCAAGACAGCGGCAATTTTGAGACCTATGTCTTAGCCAACGACACAGTCTATAACATCACCAAGACTGGCTATCGCGAAACCGTCAGCTCTTTCAATCGGGATGGAGACTTTGTGTCATACACCGAGGCCGAGTCTAGTGGCTGGTACGCCAACAACTAGGGTAACTATTGTGGTGGCTTTACCTGTTATCGCGACTGTAGCTGCGGCTGGGATGCCCTCGTCCAAGCTGTTTCCCTCGTTGGGGAATTTAGTTGGACAGTCCGATATGGGTGCTTCGAGTTCAAAAGCACCTTTCTTTCTTCTCATCATTAAGACATTTTAACTTACATTCACTCATAGATCCCATGGATCAATTAGTTAGTCAGACCTCCCCGTAGGTGCTTAGATAACAATATACTCTAACGTAATCGAGGCCTACTTCGTTGGTAGTCTAGCCATTGTCTGTAGTTATAATCATCCAGTCGACCGGAAGGTTACTCTCTCTGTACCAGTTGGCTAGATGGTACTGCGCGGTCAGGATGATGAATGGCGGGAAGACCCAGCCTTGCGCATATGCGCCTTAGATCACCGTTGCCTACTCTAGATTACCGGGCTGTGCTAGCTTGGCCTTGCCACGGCCATCCGAGGTAGCCACCAACATGCATGTAAAGATGATATTCATTATAAAGCCAGTCTCGTCGAAGTTGTAGGTATACTTATTTAGTATGCCATACTTGGCTTTAACGTTATAAACAAGTGTAAATCACTCAGAAATAACCTTTGGATTTTCGCATTTGGCTCTCTGATAATCAAATTTCCGAGAAAAACATATACAGAGCTCTAGCCGGTGTCCAACAAAATTAGAGGACCAGTTCTTGCTAATAGCTGACGCATCGCATGTGCAAAGCAGTTGGTTGGCCATATCTTTCACGCCACGTAATTTAGGCGGGAAAGATCGTGTACACAACTCAATCACATACTATACAATGTCCACTTCTTCTAGCTGTGTAAGCTTCCTTGAATCGGGTTCGATATCGTGTCGTGCAACAGCGCCATTGCGTCGTCGGCGAATGGTTCGATCAGATACCCCATAGATTTTTACTGCGGCCTGTATACTGAGATTTTAGTCTTTCTAAATAGCTTCAAGAGCTGGGTTAACCCTGGCTGTGTATGGAACCAAAGACATGTGTTATTGTGGTGGTTTTTGGATGCTGAATGTAAAATAAACGCGTCGCGTGGAGAAGTGCGCCTATTGAAAATAATTAGTAAGTGGATAAATTGAGAGGCGAGCGATTAACTAAGAATGATAACCAGCAATGCCGGGTTCAGTATTATTTACTGGTTAAGATAAAAGCAATACGATGGTACTTCATACGACCCCTGTTTATCGCGGTCCTCTCTTCCTAACTATGTACATGTTCCGAGTTAAATTTACTTTCGCGTTTTATCTCGACGGCTGAGCCGTCTTAACCGAGTCGGCCGCCTGTTGCACCAATTAGACGAACGACTCTGAGCATAGCCACGCGATCGACAGTCTGTTCATTCAGAATAACCTTGCAGAGTCATTTCTGTCTCAGTCTATCTCAGCAGGGCAGTGACGCACTGGAAGAGGTTTCAGATGTTGCTTTCAGCCATGGCTGAGATAATAAATCAACTGACTCAATAGTGGACTTGTCAGAAGTTAGTAATACAGCTAATTTTTAACTATAAAGCTTCACTGTGGATGTGATTTGCAGAAACTAAGCTGGTAGTATAGTAGGTCCTTTTGAATGTGCCTGTGGTTATATCTTTGTAGGATTTAATGCTAATCGAATGCTGGAAACATAGAATGCAAATGAGTATCTAAATATAGTTCTATAATAGGGCTAGCTTACTTTAAATGTTATACTTAGTTTCGTAATATTACAAGTGCCTTACTATGGTCGCTTTACAAGGCGCAGTGGCATTGAAACAGGTGATATTACAACTGGTAGAATGGATATTGATAGACTGATCTCATAACTTCCGGAAATACACAGACATTTCTGGTCAAATTCGGAGGTACATGGCAGATCTTACTTACTCGAAGCTAATGATAAAGATGAAACATAAGTGCTGTAGAGAGGATCAAGCCAGTAGCATCTCAGCCTCATCCTTTCAAGAATGGCAGTAAACCCCATTTAGGTGGGCTTGCTAGATTTGCCATCGAATTGGCCTAGATAATTGTGGCAATGGTCTCCTTTACAAACTGACGATCTTCGACAAGTACCTGGTCGTTGTTCATTCCTCATATTCACCCAAACACAAGGGAAGTAAGAATACCGATGGGAGATTTATAGTTGCATAACACAGACCGCGCACTACTTCTGGATGGAAGTTTTTCTTGTGAGTCCTGGTTCAGTCATAGAAACAACCCACCCCCACGGAGACCATTGCGTGGGAAGCGTTCAATATGTGAAGATGATGCAGCATTGTTTTGAAGAAGCCTCCGTGTCTCAATAACTGGAGAAAGTGATGTCACGCACATGTATATCGTTGTGAAGGTCAAGGGATACATAGTGTCCTCTGGCATCATAACCCCATCCTATACGAACCTCGACAGTTGATGAAGCGTGACGATTCTAAATTGAGCGGAACAGGGTTATCGGGTGCAGAATGGTGGAAACAAATTCCGATTGCTCGTATTTGTAAAGACTCGTCAGCCTGCCAAGCCTCAAAATGGTCGCCGAGCTGTTGATCTTGATCAGTGAGAACCCACGCGGCGGCCGACGCTAGGTACCAATCGACTGATCAACCCATGGCAAGCCAAATTCCCGTATCCAGGACTCTTTGCATCTTTAGGTATAAGAGCTAAATAGCTGCAACGCCATTGAGAAAAGTATGCTGAATGTTGAAAAATACAGTGCCAGCAATCATGCTTCTGGGACGCAACCGAGTCCTGACTTTGTACGCTCTTTTGGCTACTATCTGGCTGTCTTTGTTCCAGCTTTGTAGACTTTATACCTACTACGATCCGTCGTCCTTTTTCTACGATTCCCAAAAAGCTTACGAAACGCGATACACGGACCTGAGAGTAAAGGAAGCCGACCACCTCCTCGATATGATCGACAACGCTTCAATCGACGATAAGATATCGTATACCAACTCGTTAAACACTGATTTTAGCACACGAGGTCAAGAAAAGAGAATATGTGTCGGAATTCCCAGTGTCAAACGAGGGAAACAACATTTCCTGCCGAGAACCCTAGCGTCCCTGATGGAGGGCATCGATGCTAGAGAAAGAAACGCCCTTCGCATTGTCGTCTTACTAGCCGATGATGACCCGTCAAGTCATCCAGCGTTTGGTCAAAGGTGGCTTCATCAACTAGCTGATGAAATTCTATTGTATGGCAATGATTCCTCTCCGTTAGTGCCCGGTTCATATCGCTACGTGCAACCTATCAAGCTGAAGGGGGACAAAACGCTATCGAGAAACGACCGAGTACACCGTGACTACGCGACCCTGATGGAAGATTGCCGCAGAACGGGAGCAGGGTACTTCGCCCTTATGGAAGACGATGTCATCGCTGCTCGTCACTGGGCGAGTCGGCTACTAGACGGCTTAACATACCTCGAACGCACTGATAACACGGGAAAGTGGCTTTACCTCCGACTTTTCTACTCAGAAACATACCTCGGCTGGAACTCAGAAGAATGGCCCGAATATCTTGTCCGTTCGCTATGTTTCTACACCATAGTACTCTGCTTATACCTTGTTGTTATTACAGTGGACATGCGCCGACGGTCTAACGTCTCCTATCTCATGGCTCATAGACATGATGTACTCCATTTGACATTCTGGGCAGTCTCTTTTATCATTCTCTACTTCCTGGCTGGTAGACTAACTGTGGATCCTTACAAGGAGGGCATTTGGGAAATGCCCAACTATGGCTGCTGTGCACAAGGTCTTGTCATGCCAAAGCAGCATCTCCATGATTTGGAAAATGCGCTGCATGCAGCTTCGAACGAAATTGCGGGTGACTCTCTTATCGAGAAGTTCGCGGATGACCGAGTCTTAAAGAAGTATGCTTTAGTGCCAAGTGTCTTGCAGCACGTGGGTATCAAGGGTTCTTCGGATGCTCAAGGGAGCAAGAAGACCACGTGGAATTTCAATTTTGAGAGGGTTGTCTAATGGCATTGCGATACTCTCAGTCCTTAATTCGTTGCGGGAATAACCGAAATCAAGACATCGACACCCGATATCGGATGTCTATCATTACTCATTCACAATATGACACGATCTAACCATTGGTCACCGGGTATGAAAACTGCAGATCTTCTCCCCACAAACATCACAGCTACCCACGGTCGAGTTCTGGCAAGCTTCCAGTGATCGCCTACACCAACGTTTAAAGGTATTCTTGGGATGCGGCCAAGTCTGGTTGATCCAAGCTAGCTCTATGGCCATGAACAATTATGTCAACACTACGTGTTAACTATAAAACACAGTCCACGAAAATACATATCAGACTGACAATGAATGAAATGTTAACATCTGACTGATTTTGCGCCCAATGAGTCATCTCTTTAATTGTAACTAGGTATTGCTGGGCGACAGTGGATCCGTGGAAATGAATCTGAATTACAGTCTCTTCTCATTGCATTGTGTTTGCCACTCTTTCCAATTGCTGAAAGTTGAGTGATAAAGGAAGTGAGATCTAGCAAAGATAGATTACGCGGCGCCGAATTGATTGGTTACGATGTCGAGATTAGTAATTAGTCCAGGATATTTCGCTTACGACCTGTCCTGTATCCAAACGTCACAAGGAAGAGTAGTCCTGTGTCAAAAGCAGTTTGTCTGACGCAATTGGTAACTAGATTAAGGAAGTGAAAGTAATAAAAAACAATACAAAGGATAGTAAATATCAAATTGGCCCCGCAGCTACAATCCAACATGACTCTTACTCGTTGCTACCCTTCTCTTTGTCCTCCTCTTTGCTTTCGCCCGCTTGTGCCTCTGCCTTGGCCAGCTGCTCCTCGAGCTTCTTCTTTCGTTCGAGATTCTTCTCGTGTGCCTTCTTCTCTGCTGCTTGTTTCCTTACCTCACGTTTCTCGCTGATCAAATATGTTATATTTGCGATGACTGAAAATAGGCCCTTGAATGCAAGCTTGAAGTGAGAGAAGGCTTCGCGGAAATGTTCTTTGGTCTCGTCGTAGTTCGCTTGAGCCATAGTCGCTTTTTTCTTGATGCGATATGCTTTTTCGGCCTTTGCAGCTTGAGCATATTGCTCTGAAGCCACCTTACGGGTCGTCGCCAGATTCAGCATGGTAGCAGATGAGGTTGGGCGAGCTTTGGGAGTTTCTGTTGCCACTGTATCGTCTTCAGGCAATTGTCCTGCCTTCTGAGAATTGGAGCTTTTGGTTGTAGAAAACATTGAAAGAATGAGAAACAAATTGTATTAATGAGCGTGGTATAGAAGAAGTGCGTTGTCAAAGGGAGAGTGATGGAATGTTGAAAGGAAGTGCAATTTGAGACATAAGTTGCAATATACCACTGGAACTACATCCCTTTAATAATAGACATAAATTCATTTTTCAGATGCATTCCCCGTGCTCAAGATAGTGGTGTTTCAATTTGAGAAGGACGCTAAACGCACAATTAAAGTGAAGTGCATAAATGAAATATCAATCTATTTATAGGCTGGATTCATGCAAAAATGAATTATAACACATAACCCTCGGAATTTACAATGTTATCTCTTATAATGAACTATGTGAAAATATAATCTTAAGACTCTCTAGCGTTATGCAAGAAATGCTTATGCTCTAGTATGCAAGGTAAATTACACTGCTTTGTTTACATAGCAGACTGTGCGCTCTAAAGAGACTGCAAGGTGTTATTTACTACTTAATACCACGCACAATGAAACGCTACTATTTTTCGCTTCAACAGGAGCACAGATCATTAGACATATCGAGCCTTCCTAACTAGATGTTTAATCAACATGCTGTTGTAATCCGAACTATCTAATCCCGTAGCATTATCATGCCACCCTTCCAATCTCCCAACTCTTCGATATTGATCTTAGCAGTTTCCTTGAACCCAAACTTGCTGTAAAAGCTTTCAAGACCGGCCAGACTAATAAGCCAAGCAACCGACCCTTCCTGATCAACAGTTCGCAAGTCATCCTCAAGTAAAAATTGCCCAAGTCCTTGACCTTGAAGAAAAGGGTCGATAGCAAGTAATGCCAGATATTGGCCTTCTCGTCTTGCTGGGGTATCAAGTACCCTTGGCTCAACAATAGAGAGGCTACGCTCAAATGCTTCCATATTTCTAGGCTCAAATCCATGCACTGGGGAAAAAAGATTCTTAACAGAAGTGACAACTTTGACAAATGGACAGATCCAAAATGCTGGATATTTTGTTAGCTATCCGATCAAAAGCGTGGGGACTTTGTAACCTTACAGAGACTGGATATTTTTTGTAAAAATGAGTATGAGACTGTTGGTCGCTTCCACCAGGAGAAGCCAACAGGATAATCGTGCATATCAACGATCACTTTGAGCGAATAGCCCAGCGTCCAATACCGGCACAGATTTCTGCGGTAAGCCCATGTATAGAAGGACTCAGGTTCTTGTTTTCGTGTTGGAAAGAAGAACTCAATCAAGGGCTCGTTACCAAATGACCAGGCGTACAATCGAGTGACAGCAGGCACGTCAGAGTATGTCGCCGGTCGAATGCGGTATTTATTATAGGGTAAGGACGGTTGTGACATAGTGCATATAACTCCGTGCGCCACGACGGATTCGAGGGTTGGTAACAAATAATCAATTACTCAAACAACTTCCAAGGTAATATAAGAAGGGTAATAATGGAAATTTATTTGTATTATGTTACTAGGGCATTAAATCTCTGCATGCCTGACATGCCATTAATGATTATTAAGCTAAATGATAATGAGGTTTATACCGCATTCAGTTAGACTTCGTCAATATTTTACAAGGGCACAGAAGGGCCACCGTAGCCGCAGCACTCAGCTGTCAAAGTTGTGGTATGGACACTGAACAGACTCATTTTTATCCTGTAGGCATAACTGGCGAATCTCGCTTGTGCCAGCCGCACCGTAGTCTGTCAAGTCTGGGCTAATGCTTATTGTATCGTACTTCTGCAAGAGGTTTCGAACTTTGTTTTGTGCAGCCATTCGTTTTTCAGGAGTTTGAAGAAGTTTGTCCAGGACCCATTTCGGCTGCAGGGCAATTAATGGCACACTCATATGCCTGCTCCAGCGTTCTTGATGGGCCGGTGTCAACATGACCGGGAACACTGGCTCTCCATTGAAACAGAAAGTCCATTTCGCATCCTCTGTGTCTTGTGGGATGTCGTGTGGCCAAGCTTTCGGATCGCAAATACGAAGGCCTCGAAGCATGTCCCAGAAAGTTCGATTGTGCTCTTCGACAGTGCGTTCCTTCTCAGAAGGTGCGCTGATAATGACAAGGGATGTGTTTGGACCCAACGAAGTTGAGATACGTAGGTAATTGGTGAGAGCCAGCGCTATCTTGCGTACATTACGTGGTTCCGATGGGTTATCTGAGTCGAGGAACACAAAACGATGATCTCCTGATCGATAGCCCATCGTTGCATATACGCATGGAAACGTTTTCATGCCGTTCCCCTTGGCTAATATTGTGCTTTTGAAATCATGATATGCAAGTCCCTGCCAAGTATTCTCGTCGAATAGAACTTCGACATCATCTCTGACGACATGTTAGCTTTACAAAGTTAATCGAGTAGGATGGAAACAAACCTTGTCAAAAGCTCCGCATGTGAAGTTGGCAATAGTCTTAAGGTTAAGGCAACCGCATCCCGTTTCGATGGTGATTTTCTAAGTCTGAAATCGTTCGTTGCGGATCTCAGCTTCTTTATGAGATGGTTGATAGTTCTTTGGAATCGTATTATATCAGATAATATTGAAAATGCGACAACGAAAAGGATGGCATTGATTGCTAGTTGCATGATGCTACAAGATCAAAAAAGCTTAGACATATGAAACCAGAAAAAGACAGGTAGCTTCGAGGTAACGTCGTTTCAACTTATATTCGGTGTCATGATATTAGCAACATAAACACGTCTATAAATGTATCGATCGGCAAGCTGGAGCATAGGCCGAACGTGTCATTGATATGGATAGGCTCAGCTGATAGGTTCGGGCTGTGTTATTTAGTCGAGAAAATAAATATCTGACAGAGCCGTGACATGGCATTTCTTACAGCATTATGTCACTTTGCTATCATTGTGTTACTTATTGATCCAGCCCAAATCGAATCGATGCATGCGGCGTGCGATGATGCAGACATCCCTACCGGGATTTATGCTCCGATATAGACCACTACAGTGGAATTTCCCAGTGAATGGTGACACCGGCGTCTTGCCCTTTGGTGCTTTGCGTGCTTGGATATGCTAGTCTTCCCGCAATTGATCGATCTTTCAACACTCGATCCTAGTGAGGTGGCTTCTGGAATGTGGGGCTCCAAGCAAAAGCTGGGGAAAGGTGGATGAGGATGAGGTCATGACCCTTCATCCTCGCATCATCCATTGACATTGAGATAATGTTGTCATTTCTGATCAACATTAATCCGAATACAATTGCTTTGCTATGTAACACAATCTCATCACAAATATTCGTTGTGCATCTGGAACGCCCTCAATATTTGGAAATCCAATTCAATCTTCAAATAATTTGTTCTATCACGCCAACTAGGATGGAGGACACTAGACATCTGTCCGACGGGATAATCGAACTTGCGCCCCGCACAGGAACTTCATTCCTCGTCAACAAAGGTCAACGTCTGGTGGTCATTGATCCAAAAGGCGGCCAAGTCTCTGACCTCGTGGTATTTAATCGGGAGGACACTGACGAAGTTATCTCAAATGGGCGCACCTTCGACTACGCAGACACCATATACCTGACAACTGGCCACCCACTGTACTCAAATCGCAGTAATGTCATGCTCAAAATCGTCGACGACACTTGCGGACGCCACGACTTTCTACTTACCCCATGTTCCAAAGATACCTTCCGAATCATATATGGACACAAGGAGCCGCACCACGGATGTTTCGGCAATCTTTCCTTGGCGCTAGGGAAATATGACATCCCACCGGACCGGATCCCTTGCGCCTTCAATTGCTTCATGAATGTGCCTGTTGACGGCAAGACAGGCAAATTCACAGTGAACCCACCGATCAGTAAGCCAGGTGATCACATTGACTTTGTCGCGGAGATGGACCTTATCGTTGCAATCACTGCCTGTTCAGCTGGTAAATCCAATGGAGGAAGCTTCAAGCCCATTCAATACAAGATAGTCTAGAGTAGAAATGGAGAAGTCTAGCTCGGGAGTTATGCACATCCTCTGCCACTAGCCAGCAGTAATTCCCAAATGAGAGTTCAGATCTATGCATGTCGTTAATCTCGGAACGAAGAAATATTGTTGATGACATATATGATGTCGCGTCAACGATCTGATCAAACGCGGCTTTTGGAGAGTTAACTCAGGGGCAATCTCCCGCAGGTCATGCCTACTGCAATCCCGCCCCTACGTAAGTGATGTTAGGTTAATGCGTAGTCAGCTTGTTCCAACAAGGAAAGTCTTGAACGTCATCCTTTAGTGTGTTTGACTGGGCAAAGGAATGGAGGGACGGGTAGGAACAGCCAGAGCCAATAATCACTAATCCAGTTCCAATTTTGGCGCTTTCGCCTTGATCGCGATGACTCGTCGGATCAATAGCCCAGTGCTATGGTTATGATGTGCTTAGTATCTAGACTGTCCCTTCGAGTTTGGTTTCTGCAATATCTGTCGACATGAATGCACAGAAATTTCGACTTCTATCTGTCGCGACGACATAATCTATCGACATTCTCTTTGCTACTAGCGCCGTGTCAGACTTGGTAATTGTTAGACCTCTTTCTCTCCCTACTGCCCCATTTGTGCCACCATCTCTACAAGACACAATGGCAACTAGTGGCCTACTTGAAAAGGCTGTGGAAGGGAAAGGAGTTCATATCGACAGCGACAATCGTATCTGCTGGGATGAGGATGCGGAACAACACCCTCGTAATTGGAAGTTCGGAACTAAGACATACACAGCCGCTCTTATATGCTGGCTGGAGATGTATATGACGGCAATCAGCTCCTCTGGGGTCAGTCTAATTACCGATACAGATGAAAACCTGCTGACGGCGTTACAGACGGCTACCGCAGAATCAGCACGAGAGGAGTATGGTATGAGCAGAACACTGGCATATTTTGCCTTTGTGTCCATGTAAGCCTCACAACATATCATAACGACAAGCCTTATACTAAAACCAAAAACAGATATTTACTGGGCCAAACTATAGCTGGCATATTCTGCTCACCAATATCAGAGGTATTCGGAAGACGGACCATATATATCCTTGCAGCAACCCTCTTCTGCATTGCCTCGGTAATTGTGGCTGCGGTACCGTCAGTAATTGCTGTATACTTTGGTCGATTCTTTCAAGGTGTGGCTGCAGCAATTCCTGCGACTGTTGCGTTTGGTAACTTTGATGACATGTATAATGCGGAGCATAGGATCTGGGTTGTTTACATATACACCATTCTAGGGATGCTAGGGCTAGCACTTGGTCCCATCTACTCAACCTACATTACTTCAAGCATGGGCTGGTAAGTTGTGAAGCAAGCAAGACACTGTCTAGACTAATGAGTAACTAGGCGTTGGGTGTACTATGTCTCCACAATCGTTATGGGTGCTACCGCCGTTGCATGCATCTTTACAAGAGAGTCAAATGCAGACCAACTGTTGGCTAAGATTGTTGAGAAAATACGCGAAGAAACTGGCATAGAAGACTTGCAGCCTGACCACGCTGAGGGAGGAAAACTGACCGTCTCCTCCTTTGCACGAAACACTCTCTTTCGACCCTTGAAGTTCCTTGTTACGGACCCTTTAGTGTTTTTCTGTGCCATACTATGCGCCATCGCTTTTGGTCTGATATACGGTTTGACAGAATCACTGACCATTGTATATACGGCGTCGCCTTTTAAATTTTCGGAAGACAACTCCAGCTTGGCATTCATTGCCATAGCGATCGGCGAGATACTGAATGTTCTGCCGCGTTTCTATGACGCATATCTATATAAGAAATACCGCAAAACACACCGACGTATCTTACCCGAGACCAAAATCACATCATTTGCCATCTCCGCCCCAGCCCTTGCCATTGCTCTATGGCTCTTCGCCTGGACCATCCCACCGCGGGTAACAAATGTTCCTTGGCCTGTGAGTATGATTGGTCTGGCGATTATTGGATTTAGTGCGAACGATTTCAGCTACGTGCTTTTTGGATACGCCACTGACAGTTATGGCAAGCATGCTGCCAGCGCTGTCAGCGCCATAAGCACTACACGCACCTTGGCCGCTGCAGTCTTTCCACTCTTTACACATCAGATGTATACTGGGCTGGGCAGTAATGTAGCAACGAGTATCCTGGCGGCAGTCGCGAGTCTGTTTGCATTTACACCATTCCTGTTCCTAGGATACGGAGAAAGGTTGAGGCATCGAAGCAAGTTCGCAGCAGACAATGATGAGGCTCTGGAGCAGGAGAATTCGCATATGAAGGATAAAGGGGAGAATCAAGATGCTGGTAGCGCATGATTGATTTTGAAACCAAATGCATGGCCACATCAAAGGAGGATTGAAGGGTGCTATATGTACCTATATTTAGTGCGAACAAAAGACCAGCGAAAGAACTGTGCTTAAATGGCTATAAAGGGACATTACTACCTTGATAGACTGACAGTGCAATGTATGAACGAATCGATTGAAGAACTAACTAAATTAGAGGACATATAAGTGTGGTACATGATATAATGCCATGATCATGCGCGTGATATCCTTCACGTCCAACCTTTGCCTCCTCAAAACATGTGCACCCGTCTGGAAGAGTGATACATAGCTGGCAGGAAACCCTTATTCTCATCGACGCTCTCAACCGCAGTCTGAAGATTCTTAGGTGTCCTTTTCAACACTGACGTTGACAGGTGCTTGTCGAGATGTTTGGCCTGCATCTCACAAATCCTCTCATATGCGGCGAGAACAGTGTACTCGCCCAGAGCAGTTACTGCTTCTTTACCCTGGTCGAGTAAATCCTTAAAATTCCCTGCTCCAGATTTCCCATCATCTTCGGATTCCACATCCTCCTCAACCTTCGCATTCTTATTACCTCCCTCGTGAACTGGCTGCTTTGACACGGAGGGTGATGTGGAAATAGATCCCATACTCATGACTCTGTCAAGCCCTTGATTTCCTGCATCCCAAACCCTTGCATAGCTCTCAGTTGCAATCTTTGAACCCTTGTTCAGTCTTTCCTGACCCTTGGTGGCACTGGCTGAACTGCTGATATACTTGTCCAGGACATTACACATCTTTCTCTTCTTCCGATTCATGTAGGTTCTCCAGGCATTCATGAGCCCGGGTTCAATGGCCGAGTTGTCGAAATCAATATCGCTTGCTGCGATGCGATGGCCATAGAAGGAGTGAGTTGAGCCGAGCTCGAGGTAGCACAAAAACCACTTTGCCCCTTGCGCCCCAGAGAAGCGAGCCAGGACCCATTCGCCAGCAACGAGTTGAAGCTGGGGCTCCTGAATGAAATCAATAATACGTACAATTGCCTTCTCCTCCTCAGTAGGCTTCCAGCTGGTGGCTATGATCTTGTCGATCTCGTTCCAATTGTTGTTAGATCGATCATCTTTAGGCGAAGAACCATCGTGCTCTTTTGGCTTTACAGATCCTGTTATCTCCAGGTTCCCATGGAGCTTGCTAGCTCGATCTTCCTTAATGACTCTATCCTGAACCACTTGTTCAACGTCAAGCTGCTTCTTGAGAATGTGTTGGTCACAGGCGAAGTTGACAACCACGCTAGCGAATCCCGTACTGATGATGCACCATCCTGAAATTTTCTGTTTTGGGCTAGTCGCTCGTGCCACTTGTCTTGAGAGCTTCTCCCTATCGATCATGCTTACAACAATGCGTTGTATGTCAAAGATACCTTCAATGCCAGAGCTATTAATAATAATAGGGTTAGGACAAGTCAGGTCGTCGGTAACATGAAGGCCGCTCGTTCTTGGATCCCGACTTTCTGTCGCAGCCTCTGGCTCAAGTGTCTTGGAGTCAAGTTGTTGTATCTTGCTGGGTAATTTGCCGGATTCTTTGATGCTTGCATCACAAGATGATAAGCCTCCTAGATATGCTTTCACTTCATCATCCAGAGACAACCACTCAGGCACTTGAGGCTTTGCAAGCTTCTTTGGATCGGGTGAGACTAGCATTGGGCTAAGGTCACTCTCCACCGGTTCCGAATGATGTCTCGAAAATGACGGTTTGCTAATCCCACCAAAGCCAAAGCTAGGCAGCTTTGGGGCTTTGAGGTTAGGCTGAAGCTTCATTGCAGATAGCGACGGCTTGCTAAAGCTCCTCCCAAACGCAGCATTTCCACCAGGACCCGATGAAGGGTTACTCTCCATGGACTCTTTCGTTTCGGGCGGTGTCTGTGGTGATGCGGATCTGGAACCGTACAACTGGATGTACCGCAGGATCTTACCAATGCTGTCTAACTCCGGACGGAGGACTTCAAAGCTAGACTCTCGAATGAACGCACATATTTGTTGCACCCAATCCAATGGAAGACCTTCGCGACCCTTAGTTTTGATGCAATCTATAGTGTCTCGAAGCAAAGTTATGACACCATTGTAGGCCAGCATAACCTCTTTACGCTTCCTCTGCACACCTGTCGAGATCATCATGTTGTAACGTCGACCATGGTCTTTCTCATTCACATATGCCTCGTGGGAAGCAGGATACATGGAACGGCCCCGAACTGGGCTTCCCATACCCACGCCCGACCAGTTAAAGACGGAGACATCGTTGTGGCTTACCACGACCTCATCCAGAAGTCGTGACAAGGCTTTCGCATAGCCCTCGGCGTGGAATGACTGAAAACGCACACCGAGAATTCCCATGAGAGAATAAATATGATCAACGGGCACAGTGGCCTCCCGTTGGCAGGAAAGCTGTAGAACCTTTTGAGCGGAGAACCCACTGCGAGTGATTCCTTGCTTCCAAGATTCTAGTTGATGCACTTGACCGAACTTTGCAATCAACTTCCGGTCAGAGACAACTAGATCCTTTGTTACTTGAACAAAAGAAAACAAGAGAAAGTTCATGACGTGTTGCGCCTCGGCCTCCGGCTTGGCCTTGTCCTCGTCCTCGTCCTCGTCAGTCACGTTTCCTGATAGAAACTCAAAGGATATCTGGCTCTTCAACATGCGCAAAACATCTCTTCCATGGTTATTTAGCCCATCCTGCCTATCCTTGACAAGATTCCAGGCTGACAGATACACAGAGCGACTCATCTCAGGTACAGCTGTTTCAGTTGTCATCTCGGTGGGGAATACGAAGCCCAGCGCGTGGAGAATGGATATGACACGCAAACCGTCCCTGACGCTCTCTGAAGCATTCTCATCGTCACTGTCGTCGGCAATGATCACATCATTCTTACCCAGGAGTGACTCAAGGGCCTCAGAGTTCACGATGGCCCTTAAAGTGTTTGCTATGGCCTCTCTTGACAAGCCTTCAGAGAACATGCAGGCTATGCCGCCAGCTGTGTAAATGTTGATGAAGGGGATCAGTGGATAGACGTATCCAAGGCTCTCCACTGGTCGACTCAATGACTTCCCCTCAGAATTGGTGAAGAAGGCCATCTTACTCATGACCAGCTCTTGGAGTGTCCATGCCCGGGTTGCCCATTCAATTTTGTCGTCTGCAATAGCTCTGAAGCTGGCAATGGCTTGATGATGCTCGACTGCCTTGCCCACCCCACCCATCTCTCCCTTGAGAAGATTCCAATTACGAATTGCATCATCAACTTGCAAGTCTGTGTCAAGATGAACGAGGCAGAACTCTGCATTGGCGTACCAATCTCCCATAAGCGAAAGTGACTGAGACAGCTCTCCGTAGTTCAGCTTGTCAATGCAGCAAGTATCGGACCAGATGTAGGAGGCCCCTCGCTTAGGGTACAGCTTTGTCCTGAAGATTTCACGAGCCTCTTTCATCGAGCTATCGAGTTTCATGGCCGATTTCCAGCGCTGAAGGAGTCGTATCATCTCATTGACAGCATCGCTGAGTGGACGATTGTCGCGCAAGAACATGGTTGCGTTGTTTGCCTCATTGTTACTCGTCCGTTTGACCTCGAATGCTTGTTGTGCATCTGCGTACTCCTTTTCCGCTTCATCAAGAACTGAAGATGCGGGAATGGTAGGACTAGCGACCTTATCTTTCGCTTCACTAATGACGGGAGACGAGGTAGGATTGGAACCAGCGACCACTTTTTCGCTGCCGCCAATGTTCTGCTGTATACGCTCGGCAAGATGATCAAACATGTTTTTTTCCATCCTAGAGCGCTCGACGTTTGACTTCTTTCGGTCTCGATCCTCCCGTGCGTCATTAAGCTCTTTTGCGGCGCCGCCAGCATTGACGCTCATAGCTAGCAAGTCACTAACAGTCTTGCCTTGTGAGTTGTCGCCAAGTAGAGATAAGATTCTGTTTTCTTGCTCCAGAACATCAAGCTTACACTGCTCGAGGACAATGCTAATATCACTGTCCGGGATATCGCAAGAGTTGTTATCTCTGCGCTCAAGGTGCATCATTTTTGCTCGTTTGATGTGAGCCAAGGTGATCTCATCACCCTTCCATCGATGCGACAGCATGCAATACGCATCCAAAGGATTGGTATTCCACACATCGACAATGTTGCCTGTTTCCAAGTCTATCAGACGTAGCGGTCGCGGTGCTTGGTCGACTTCTAGTGAATCGATGAAGCCGATGTCATGAAGCCCACTGGAAGCATCGTTCCGTGACTCAATAAATCTTGGCTTGAAGTCAGGGGTGAACCACAGATTCAAGATGGTGCGGAGTTTCTCAGGACTGCCGCCGATATCGTCAAACACCTTCCTGAGATACTCTGGTGTCATGTCAGTGTACGTGCTTAGGTCAGTAACCCTCGCTATCTTCTCAGTGAAGTTGTCCATGGTCGTTGGGTCGATTGAAACTTTTCTCATTAGTATGTTACTTGGTGATAACATTGAGCTCCATCCCAGACGTGCAGACTCATAGGACAACCTTTTCTAGCAAAACGCAGCTGCGGAGAACGACTACTGGCCCGTAGTTGGTGCTGTTGTAAGTTCTTGCAGATGAAGACCGCTTCTTTCTGGAGGCGTCGCGGCTCATACTACGAGGTCTTGATCGGCTTAATCTTACCCACTGATGTTCTCGCACGGTACATATGCATCGTCATCAATATATCTGCTGACATGCATGTATCTGCCACTCTACAAGTAACTTTATCTAACGATGTGTTGTCATCCCGTCCCAGAAAATGATCTTCACCTTGGCGGAGCTGAATGTTAACTGTCTAGCTCAAGACCAATCAGAAGTGATGACAGAGTTCAGTGGTGACTGCCTGCATGAGCTGAGCAACCTTGTCCCCGTCTAAACTGTCCTTAATTGGATCTAGGGTTACATCTGCTTATGTAGCCGCCATTTGTTCGGCCGAAAAAGAGGTCTGAGAGCGATGTTCAAGTCCACATGAAATCAATGGAAGAATGCTGAAGCGACTGCCACACATTTCTCGTAACAGGCTAGTAATACATGCTCAAAGACTTCAAATTCTCAGTCGCATTTGATTCTTTCATCAACAATTATCCTGGACATGGCATCCTACCACCGTGTTCTTGATACATTTGACAGATCAGTCAAGCTCAAAACTCTCGAATGTGACTAGTATGTCAAAATTCTTCTCTCTACTCACATTAAACTCATTTGATATCAGTGACATTCACCCATGGGACATCCTTGTGGATGGATCACGTTGGGATGGCAAGATTCGGCTTATAGGTTTCATTGATGTATTTTTCCTCATCTGTTACTCGGGTGATTCTCGCTTTGAGAAGGGCATTATAATATACAGTGAGATAACAGCATTCCACAGTCGCATGATACTTACAAGAAACAGAGGATGATGTTTTTATCCGCGAAATCCTACAGCAAGCCGATGTTACTGCTGCAGCGCTAGGTCTTGAGGTAGTGAACAAAGATGAGATAATCGCCGCAAGGGAAAAAGATCGAGGTAAGGACAAATGAGACCCAAGACTCTCAAGGTATACTAACTTCCAAATAATTTTCAGAACCAATTCTTGAACGATACTTCAACTTCCAAAGCATCAAAGGTGGCCTTGACTATACCATAACCAGCCTCGGGCACCAAATTGGGGTCAAGACGCGGTACAACAAGACAGAACTGAAGAAGTATGTCATCAAAATCCGAAAAGGTAGAGATTTTGCAATGAAAAGTAAGTCAGGCAGAGTCTTGAGGTGCCATTGCTCACGCGGCCACAGAGCGCATCCTTCGTGGGGTTTCCCAACACGATTTGTTTGACTTGATGCACGATGCAATTCGACTGGGAATTGTGACACACGCAGAGCTTGTCGGACATATTGTGGGTAAAGCAATTGGAGGCACAACTGTGGAGGATATGGGGTCCAAGTATTTTGAGGCCATCACTGGCGCTAGAAGCTCGCAGAATGTGGCGTTAGCGGGAGATAGATGAGAGAGGTGTGGAGAACGGGTATCAGGCACTGAACGGATTGACACAAGTCGCAGTAATTTATTTTTGTTGTCACGCGTGATTGTCTTTGGCTGTAACATGGTTCATCTCCACCATGAATCCCTGCACATTGTCCACAGTGGAACAAGATGTTGCATTCCCAGTGTCAGATACACAACCGTGATTGGATGAGTGGGCTCATGCTGACATTAGGCGCCAACGAGGAGCTCTGTGCGCACTGCATCAGCCCTGCAATGTCATGTACAGTAATATCAAAGGGGCAGAAGGACTAGGGTTTACCGCTTCAAGTGTCAAGTCAGATCATCTTAGCAAATTTTAGCCAACCTCATTCCCAGCCATCGCCGTATGTACCCATTATTCGAGCCGAGCAGCGCCTCAAGGCCTCGAATATTTGATAACTTTGAAACTCGTGAGTTTACGACTTTATCCTCAAAATCGGCTTTTCTCGTCATGTCCTCGACAGCTGTCCCAGACTCGGGCTCAAGCGGGGGGAGCAACGATGACAACACTGAACTCCTTGTGGCGGTTGTTGCACTCGTGATCTCTGTTTTAGCCTTCGTCATCGCCATCCTTCAAGCTCTTCAGCAATATCTTGCCACCGCTACCGGCTTCTCCTCTTGCAGCGAGGCCGTCATAGGGAAATGGTCCCAATTCGCTAGGCGTCAAATGGTCTGGAGTGAATTTCGATTCGAGGTACAATTTGAGGCCCCTGTCATCTTTGTCGCCAAACCGAGCAATACCAGAGGCCCTTTGGGCGACGATGCTCTGGCCAAGGATGAAAGCAGAAAAATAATTCGGTTGGATGGCAGTAACGCCAACTTCAAATACACCGATACTGTCAAGGAATATGACGACAATTATAAGAAGAGCACACAGCAGGTTGTGCACACGGCTGACAACGAGAAAGCCACTTGGTGCGCTCTTCTCATGGCCATTGTCCGAATGGAAAAGGAATCTCGCGAATGGCAGGGCAAGAAATCAGGAGAGTGGCGCAAGGCAACTGGTCCTCCTCGCCCAGCACTTGATAAACCAGACTCCCCACAGGAACCTGATGCTCACCACTCCCTGCTTGTCTGTATGCAGAGAAAGAGACGTACGTGGGACAGTATGCCCAAAGACTTCGCCAAGCCTTATGCCACCACTACGATATCCCACATCGTGGAAATTGCTGCCATGTTAGGTATCCATTGGAGGCAGTTCGACTTAAACAACGACCAGTACCGCGCCCAGGGTAACGGCTTTGTGCTATATGGTTCATATACAGATGGTCTTGGCATATGCTTCAATTTCCAGAAGCAAGGGCCAACGTGGTTTGAGAAAAACCGCATTATACCCAGCTACAACGTCAAGCAGTTGTGTTTTGGTATGGCTCCAACGATATTCTACCAAGAGCGGAAGGTATACGCAGACGAAGCCAAAGGCGCCGAAAGTCTCCAACTGGGAAGTCTTGCTGAGATAGCAAAGACGTTGGTGGTATTTGGTTGTGATATTAACACGGTCAACTACTTTCGCAAAAATACTGATCAAGCACGTCATAGCCACATTTTTGCTGGTAAGTTGTTTTCAATTGAATCAGTTAGGCGATCAAATGCTAACCGAATAGTTCCATTCGAGATACTTGGCATGGTTGGCGAGATGCTGCATGTGAAGGATACCGTATTCCGCATGCTTCCAAACCCAACAGTGTTCTTCTGGGATCCCAGCACTTTCTCTCTTCCTACACTACTGGCAGAATACATCACCTCGTTGCGGCTTCTACGAGACCAGTCTCTGATCGGAAGTGAGCAAATAAAGCGAATACTAGAATGGGCGGAAAAGGACCAGAAGTTTCCACTCTTGCGGAGCGAGGGATCAACATTGGACGTTTTTGGCGAAGACATCAACGGGGCCACATTGATCAACGGCCTCAACCATCTTCGCGGCGGAATCGAACTGTGCGACGAGTACTTTGGGAAGATGGACAAACCGGGTTTGTCAATGGTCAAAAAGGTCGTGCGTGTCCACATCCAAGAGGTCATGAGTATTCTGCACGAGAAGAATGAGTCCGAAATCAGCAATGAGACCGCCGATGAGGCTTTGAGTGATGCGCCTATCACCATCCATGACATTGATTCGGCATCAGCGGATGAGAGGGAAAGTCTCCTGATACAAATGTACTTCGCTCGTGTACGGGCTAATGTTCTCCGGATTGTGAATCAACATGGCCTTCCTGGGAAGCATACGAGAGCCAGAAAAGACTCCTTCGCTTCAGACAGTATTTCGAATCATGGCAACTCTAAACATCCCAATAGGTACGAACCTAACGAAATCAACGAAGTCTGGTGCACACTTCTATTCCGTATGTTGTGTTGGTTGCAACTACACGATTTTCACAAGATGGATTTGCACATCAGCAAGAGTGACGCCTATGCAAGTCGAATTCCGGTTTTCATGGTCTAAGACAGATTCCACTCGTAAGTCGGCTCGTGGGAGATGAGCATGAAGAGTGCTATAATATGTGTCACTAGTTATGTCTGGGAAGGTAGCAGTGCAGTGCACTCATCTAGGAATTAAAATTGTTCCAAACAATCTAGAGTCACGTTGAAAACTTATGGAGTTATCGATGTTACTGGAAGCCTCTTTAAATATTGTGATGTAGTGGAATTTGTAAATTTACTCTCATCTGTAAACATTTTTTATCCATTGGCCACCGGTGCGTTTTAAGTAGTTATTATAGTGCAGGTAGGTATACAGTAGGTATACAACATCATTGTTGACGCAGTACTGCATTGTCTTGGTGTCTGAGGGGCGACGGGAGCAGATGTCATTGTGCGTGAGAGCCTTTGCATCCCTATTGGTTTTGGCCCAGCAATGGATCTCCATGACGTTGCCGTGGTATGAAACTTCTGACTCAATGGCATCCATATCCAGCCAATAATTTTAAGTTGCTGTTGTAGTATATATTACTGCTCAGAGTTACAAAAGTTAAAAGGCTCTAGCCTTCGTAGTGAAAGGTAAGCGTTAACTGTACTTGAACAAAGACTAGGGCTTTTGTACTACAATTGAAATTTATCCCGCTGAGTTGTAAAAGGACGGTGGCTCACAGCAGGATTTATATCCCTTCTACAAGTAGACCAGACAATGTGGATATAACTAGGGAACCGGTGATCATCAATCACTCTCTAGCAAAAATAACTGATGCCGTTCAGGGCGGTCTGCTTGTTTGACCAAGACTGACTGAGGAAAAAAAAACCATGTAGAGCATTGTCTACCTCTCTGAGATATGAAGGCCAATATACTCCTTCGTCGGGGTTTAATCCCCTAATCCCGAAGGCCGCAATCGAAGTCGCTTGATATGTAACCATAGCTGTTGCTGGCGCTAGTCCTGAAATGGATAACCGAATGGTAGCCCACCTTCCCCGCGGTTTCGACCTGGCTTACCAGCCAATGGTATGCCTACAATTTTACCTCGGCATAGAACGAGTCAATCAACCTGACTACAATGGCACAAAGTGACAATAGGAACAACGAATGTTTTCGAGGTATAAAAATAATGCATTTGAGCCTGTAGTCGGTTAAATCAATATTCCATCAATTTGTACCTCCCATTTCTGTTAATAATGTCCACATCAGAGCTTCCCACAATGATGTATGCTTGGAGAAAACATCGAGGAAGCCCAAAACCAGTACGTGAGAATCGCTAAACATAGACTCCCATTCCTGACATGGTTGAGGTTTACGAAGAAGTCCCTGTTCCCAGTTTGTCTTCCAATGGCATCCTTTGCAAAATGCTCACATCCGGTGGTACGAGCAACGTCTCCCCCAGCGAGGATCCAAAGTTAACCGTCATCAGTTTGTCGAAGTGACCATTCGCTACTTAATATAGACAAGCAAGCGTCTTGGTTTGAAGAAAAGTATATTCTAGTATGGTCATGATACACACATATACGACCATTGCTGATGATGCAGGGACACGAAGGCTGTGGTCAGGTCATTGAACTAGGCAGCGCAGTACAAACTAATAAGATCAAGGTGGTAAGACTAGAACCCTACGCCATGAATGCAAACGCTGATAATAGCTCTAGGGTGACATTGTAGCTCTTCATGCAGTCCCCGGCTGCGGAGAAGACAATTGCCCAGAATGTTCCCGCGACTTGTCACAACTATGTGAAAGGGGATATCACTCTGGGATTGGTCAGGATGGCTTTTATGCGCCCTACACAGTGGTAGATATACGGGGTGTAGTAAAGGTTCCAGAGGGTAAGTATATGAGCGCAAACTCGATTGTTTTGTGACTGATATCTTGTTAGGCGTCACGCCAGCGGAAGCTTCGGTAGCTACAGATGCTGTGAGTACTGCATACCACGCCATCATGAGAAGAGGCGAAGTCAAAAAGAAAGAGACTGTCTTTCTTTTTGGTCTAGGCGGCCTTGGGTTCAACGCCCTTCAGATATTGTTGTACATTGGAGCTAGAGTCATCGTTTCGGATATACGACAAGACCTTCTTGACGAAGCAAAACATCTAGGCATTCCGTCTAGCGATATTGTTCCGATTGGAAAGTCTCCTCAAGATTTTATCCTAGAAAGTTGTCTTTCGGGTAAAATCGATACCGTTTTGGATTTTGTTGGCACTCATCAAACATTTGAAGATGCTCAACACATCGGTAAGTTCATCCTTGTGACTTCATCGCTTCGATTAACAAATTCAGTTCGTCGTGGTGGCAAGTTACTTTGCATCGGAAGTCTTGATACAGAAAACATCATTCACATGAAGATTGGGACAAGAAAGAGGCTCTCATTCATCTTTTCTTACGGAGCCCAAGTGGAAGACCTAAAGCAAGTTCTTGACCTCATTGCAGCTGGGCATATCAGGCCTCGTGTAGAGACACGAAAGATTCTGGAATTTGAACAAGTTCTGAAAGAGCTGGGAGAAGGCATGATTAAGTCGCGGGTTGCATTACTTCATGAATAGCATGATCTAGTAGAAAGAGGCCATGGTAACTATGTTGTGTTCATCCATTCACACTTGCACTTGCTGGTAAACTCGTTCCAACGGCTGCAGTAGTTCCAGCATCTACTGGCAAGATGGCTCCCGTGATCCACCTAGCATGATTGCTTGCCAGAAACACAACAGCACAAGCCGCATCCCATCCTGTACCCTCTGTCCCCAGCAAGCTTCGTGCCTTTCTCGCTTCCCTGGCCTCGTCCGTCATTCCTTTCGCATACATCATTGGGGTATAAAGCATCTAGAAGAGTTAGCAGTATCGTAGTTGATGGGTTAAATACACTTACTCCAGGACAAACACAGTTGACTCTAATACCATCTGGGGCGTGATGTGCCGCCATGGCTCGTGTCATATTGACGACGGCGCCTTTAGCAGTTGGGTAGAGAAGATGCGGTGTTCCGCCCTTGAGACCAGCCACGCTCCCCATGTTGACTATAGATCCCTTTATCTCCCCAGAGTTAATGATCATGGCTGGTATAGCGTACTTTGCCATCAAAACCATGCTCGACACATTGACCTCGAGGCCTGCTGCCCAACTAGCCATGTCAACGTCAATTGCTGTTCCTGACGCCCCTGCTATTCCGACATTGTTGACAAGTATATCCAGTTGTCCGAATTTATCAAGGGCCAATGCAACAGCTTTTTCGCAGTCACTTGCAACTGTGACATCTCCTTGAGCTGGAATTGCATTCTTTTGATCTGATGATTTTCGATTGGCCATTTCAGCTGTTTTGGTAGCCCACTCCAAATTCATGTCAAGGCATATCACACTACAGCCCTCATCTGCCAGCATGATTGAAATGGCTCGACCATTACCGATTCCATCTCCAAAACAACCGGCGCCAGTGACGATGGCGACTTTGTTTTTTAGTGATCGAGAAGGAGGATCAATTGGTATTGCCGAAGCCATGATGCGATGTCCAATTTTGTCTGAGTATTGCTGGAATCGATAAAGTAATAGATACTATTGGAATTTATTCTTCATGTCGTTTTGCCACCATGCTGTATACTTTCTGTAGTTTATGGCAAATTCTCGGTATCAAATACAGCGGTTATCCCAATTAGGCATTTCCGGACCCAACTCCGACCTCAAGTTATGCGGTTGGGCCGAGGTCCAATTGGAGTGATTGCGCAATGGACTAACTAACTGTTGCTGACTGGAAAGCCCGCATCAGAGGACAACACACGTTGACGAAAACACCTCTGCGTCATTCAAGTTGGAAAACCATCACCAATCACCATGTGCGACTTCTCCGAATACGGCGGCAAATCGGGAGAATGGCTTGCAGTCGAAGCAAGCCTACCTACTCCTCCTGCTTTCGCGGATATCTACGAGCAACAAAAGGTAGTTAACCGAGGCCGTGAGGAAATCTCAGCCAGGGACATGAAAAAGCTGTCTGCATCTATTAGACTAACGGATCATGATATTCTGGCAAGAGACGGGACTATTCTAGAGGCACGCAGCTATAGACCAGTAGATGCCGAAGCAAACGATCGTCTTCCTATTTACATCCACCTTCATGGAGGAGGCTATTTGTTCGGTTCTTTATCTTCAGAAGATGCAATATCTACGCGAATTGCACTCGGTGCTGGAGCAATAGTTTTCAATGTCAACTACCGTCACACACCCGATGCAATATATCCCACGGCCTGGAATGACGTAGAGGATGCTTTCTATTGGGTACACAATCACATCGATAAGCTTCTTGGTAACCCGGATCAGGTATTGGTAGGGGGTATTTCAGCTGGTGCTCAACTTGCAGCTGCTCTGGCTCTGAAACAAAATGTGTCCTCTCCCGACATACTTCCAAATCCCAAGATCGCTGGACAAATACTCATGATTCCCGCATTGGTTCAGTCGGAACAATATCAGTCTCAACTCGAACAGCTTAAAGACCCCTCCATATCCTCATACATTGAGAACGAACATGCTCCTATCCTTTCCAAGAAGGTCGTTGAGTTCTTTACTGGACTACTCAAGTTTCCGCTCTCTGCTTCTGACGATACCGATCTTCGGTTGAACACTGGAAATGCCTCAATCTCGCAAGTAAAGGGGTTGCCACCTACAGTACTGGGTATAGCTGGCCTTGATCCGTTGAGAGACGAAGGCTTGCTTTATGGAAAGAAGCTGGCTGAGGCAGGGTAAGATCGCCACCGATAGCTCTGTAAACCGGTTTCTAACAACTCTTGTTTTAGGGTCCCTACGGATATCCACGTTTTCAAGGGCTTGCCTCATGGTTTTCGCCGCTATGGGGAGCAGATAAGTGAGTCAAAGCGATGGGATAAAGTCATGGAAAATGGGATCAAATGGGCAATCTCAAACCCTGAGTCTTCCTCGAAATTCGAGGTTAAAACGTCCTAGTACCAATTTGTCCAGACTTATTCAACAAGACTTGAAATAACACAAATATCATTTTCTTTACAACCTTTAGTTATACCTCACTACAAAATCCGAGTACTCCCTAGCCTTGACTTCATCACATCTCCTTCGATACCCTGGGGCTGGCCCGTTGTATCGTGTCATCGACCGTTTCTGCTTGTGGGCCAAGTTCTTGTTTACCCCAGTCATCCAAGAGTCAACCTCATTAGCCAATAATCCTTCGCCGCAGTCATGCACGTGCTGCGTCCAGTCCTCCATACCTTTGTCAGTCGCTTCCACATAAGTGACTTTATTGTCGCGGGCATAATGGATAAATTCAGCGACCCAGTCAGCAGCATACTCGATTGACCTATAAGAATGGGGTTGTCAGTAACTTTGTATAGATATGTGTTGAGAGTAAGCGTACCTCGGGATGTTGCCAAACATTTGGTGTGGTCCCATGATCATAAACATGTTAGGAAAGTCTTTGACTGTAAGCCCGAGGAATGTCTTGATTCCATCGGCCCACACATCTTTCAACTTGTTGTTATTACGACCTTGAATATCTACGGCATTAAAAGAACCAGTAACAGCATCGAAACCGGTAGCGTAGATGAGAATATCAAGCTCATGAAGCTCGTCGCCTGTCTGAACACCGGTTTCTGTGATCTGGGAAATCGGATCTTCCCTTATATCCACCAACTTGACATTGGGCTGATTGAAGACCTCGAAATAGCCACTCTCCAAAGGGACTCGTCTTGTACCGAAGCCATGATTCTTCGGTATTAACTTCTCAGCAATCACTGGATCATTGACTCTCGAGCGAATTTTGTCTGCGTGAAACTTGCTATACAGCTCATTTGCCTTGTGATCTGTGAATACATCGGACGAGATACTGAGAACCTTGGCAAATCCAGGCAAAGCATAAAGCTTCTCCCAGTGTTCTTGGCGTTCTTCTTCTGTCATAGAGAAGATGCTCTTGGGATCGCTCACATGGATAAAGCACGAATACGACTCGAGACATTGGCGGAAGATTTCTGGGTATCTCTTGCGGATTTCCTGCATCTCCTCGGGACTAATCTTTGTATTTCTCAAAGGGGCTGTCCAGTTGGGAGTTCTTTGAAATATCGTTAGGTGCCCAACCTTGTCAGAGATTGCTTGGATGGTCTGGATGGCTGTTGCACCTGTGCCAATGATACCAACTCGCTTTCCAATAAGACTGGAAGCATCACCGGGCCATCTTGCCGTATGCCATGACTCGCCTTTGAAGTTTCGAACACCAGGAATGTTGGGTAATGTCGGCTTGTTCAAGATACCCATCGCTGTGATGAGGTACCGGCATGTGTAATGGGATCCATCTTCATCTTCTAGCAGCCATGAAGAAGTATCTTCTTGAAATCTTGCTGACTTGACGCGCGTGTTGAATTGCATATTGCGCTTGAGGTCGAACTTGGAAGTGAGATACTGGATATACCGAAGTGTTTCTGGTTGAGGGGCGAAATGTTCTGTCCAGTTCCATTCATCAAGAACCTCTTGTGAAAATGAGAAGATGTACGAATAACTTTCAGAGTCAAATCGTGCTCCAGGATATCTATTCCTGTATTGATGTTAGCTGAAAGTCAATGTATATCGCGATGCATGAAGTTGCTCACCAGAACCAAGTCCCGCCTTCAGCAGATCCAGCCTCGATTACTTGTGCTTTTAAACCGAGCTCTCGCATACGGTAAAGGCTGAGGATTCCGCTGAGCCCAGCACCGATTATGAGAACATCGTAATCCAAGTCATTGTTTGGCGCTCCAAAAGCATCATCTCGGAGTGGATGCGCTGAAGGCATTGTAAGTTTTCTGAGTATAAAGCGATCAGGATTGGGAAGGCCGAAGAGACAGCGTAAACAGACACAACAGAAGACGTTAATGGTTCTGCAATCACAAGACAATGTGTCGAATTGAATGATTTAAGCAAAGAGAAGCGTCGTCGTAACTCATGTTAATAAAACACCCCGCAAAACCCTTGTCAACCCCGCGTTGTCTGATCCAGGGGGAAGATCTAGGCCATCATGCAACCGACATACCCTATCGTGAAAAGCATGGCTTTTCCCAAACAGGATAACCATCCCATAGCCGAACATCCTCGTGGTCAGTTGGCACATCATAGCCGAGACGTATCCGCTTTCCGGCAACTTAATCTAGCCTACCAATGATGAAGAAACGTACACTAGTCAATGGAGGTAATATGACGCTAGTGAATGTTTATTCCAAGCTACATACGTGGCTGTCTACAACAATCCCTCGGTTTTCCAATAATTCTCCAAATCACGGAGGAACGCCCATTTCAATTCTTGGCCGAACCCTTGAGCTTTCCAGTTATTTAGGCTTTGCGGAAAGTGCGGTACACCGTCACGCACTGTAGAGTCATGAGCCACAATAACAAAAATGTTCTCGTTACAGTCCAACTCTTGTAGTTGCCCAGTAGTTTTGGTGGCGAGTTCTAGATCCAAGCCGAAGGTCAAGTCAAAAAGACTATCGGTTGGTTTCCTTCCCCGTGACTTCTGCAGACGTTCGAATGCTTCGCCAGGACAGAGAACACTGCCTTCTTTTGGATGACAAGGGTGTGGAGAGATAGTCTCCGGGATTGGAAGATACTCAGACGGTCGGAAGATACCAGCGTAATGACAGACATCTCCGCCCATGAGAACGAACGTATCTGGATCAGTAGTCGTCCTGGCCAGGCCACAAAGATGGCCTACAGCATGACCAGGGCTATCAAGTAGATAAAATGACCCATCTCCGAAATAGTCAAAGGCGGGGAACTGGCCAATCTTGAGTGAGTTTGGTCCTTCGAAACTAATCTCTCGTAGATGACGGTCACTAGTACCTATTAATATTAATTCATTGGCAAAGCTTTCAATGAACATACGCGTAATCTTTTTCTTGGATGGGTGATTCCGGATTGGCCGGAGCACCTGGAAGCATCGCTTTCTTGAAGCCGGGGCCGACAACGAGATCCGTTCGCTGCGGAAATGTGGAAGGGTCGCCAATGTGGTCCCAATGCCAGTGACTACAAGGCTTCAGTAACATGGACACCCTAAACTCTTTTCGGTGCACCGAAGATTACTGACCTCCATATTACAGCTTCGATATCTTCCAGAGGGACATTATGCTCCTGTAGAATATCGGCCACATTACCTAATACCTCAATATTGTATTTCGTAGTTGGAAGATAATTAACAATTGACGGTGCATAATTCTCATAGTCTTTCCGAATTCCCAGGTCAAAAACGAGCTTTCGGCCAGACTTGTGTTCGAGGAGGAATGATAACGACGGCGAGGTCTTGAATGTCTCAAGACCTGGGACTGGAGGCGCCATGAACCTCTCAAGAATTGCTGGGCCGAAATTAACGGGATTAATGAGCTTGAGAGCTCGCATCGCCTCTCCGCTGGGGATCTCGAAACGCGTGCTTAGCTTCATGGTGGTTTTTCTGTAGATAGCTAAGAATTGGTTGGGTAGAATTGTAACATGCAGTGAGACACCGTCAATCAAAGTTGAACAAATACAGAGTCGCGATTACGACCAAACATCAAAAAGTGGCGCCTGCGATCATGAAATTAGCGCCGAGTCCAGGTCATCGGCAAACATTTCGGTAACCTTGGTCGGGTAAGGCCGCCCAGCCACAACTACAGTACGACAACTCCATCTTTTCCCCGTACCCCAGACTACCATACCGCTACCCCAGGTTATCCCTGCTAAACAATCCTGCCAGGATTCGACATAAGTATCCAGCCCTGGCACTCGAAATGTGACAATTATTAACTCATCAACAAACACAAGATCAACAATGTCCGGCTCTGAAAAGGGACCTACTACCAATCACGATGAAGGCATGGCTGAGATACAGCCGAATAAAACGGTTGACACCGTCCATAAGGATGAGGCCATGAAAGTTCTAGCGGCCTATCAGGGCGATGAGATGTGGACGGATGAGGAGGAGAAGAAGTTGCGTCGCAAGATTGATTGGAGACTTATGCCTGTTCTCTGTGCAACGTACATGTTGCAGTATTACGACAAGGCCATGCTTTCTCAAGCGGTATGTTCTTGTGTATGATAACCTGATCTTCACTAACTCGTGATTGTCAGGCTTTGTTCGGACTGAGAGAAGACTTGGGTCTTCTTAGCGGAGATCGATACGCCATGTCAGCCTCAATCTTTTACCTTGGTTTCATTGTGGGAGCTTATCCGACCATGATGCTTGCCCAGCGATACCCGATCGAACGAGTTGCTTCTGGCATTGTTACAATCTGGGGTATTTGTCTTATCTTGACGGTGGTCTGTAAGGATTACAAGACCCTCTATACCCAGCGATTCTTTCTTGGATTTTTGGAAAGTGGCATTAGCCCAATGTTTATGATGATCGTCGTAAGTAGCATGCCTATCGATTATTTTCCACACACTAATATCTTTAGGGGAGCTTTTACAAGAAGAATGAACAAGCTATGCGAATGGGGTAAGTACTTGCATAAATTATCAGTATGTATATACTGACTTGAAGAGCAGTATCTGGTACAGCTGCACTGGTTATGTCTCAATCATCTCCCCCCTTGTCAATTATGGGTTCGGTCTCCTCAATGGCGGTATTTCCTCTTGGAGATATATGTACTATTTCGCCGGTTCTCTCACCATCGTCTGGGGTATCATACTCGTCTCCGTCTTACCTCCGGACCCAGTTCGAGCCAAGGGCTTCAACGAAAGAGAGCGATATATCCTCGTCGCTCGACTCAAGTCAAATAATTCTGGAGTCCGAAACACCCACCTTAAGGTCGCCCAGATCTGGGAGCTTTTGCTGGATATTAAATTCTGGGCCGTTTTCGCTATCGCCTTTTTGTCAATGATTGCAAAGGCGCCCATCTCTACATTTGTTCCTATCATCATCAACGGATTTGGGTTTAGCACTCTCAACTCATTGCTGCTTATGATGCCCTGCGGTCTGTGTGCAGGAACTCTTCAACTGCTGATGCCTTACCTTGCCTACCGATACAAGAACGTCAGAACGTATTTAGTCTTTGTTGCTCAGCTCGGCACAATTCTGGCTTCTCTTCTTCTTTGGCTTCTGCCTCAATCGGCAACGGGTGCACTTCTCTTTGGGGTGTATATTCTTCCCTCTGTCGGTGGTGGCTATGCTGTGCTTATGGGTCTGCAAATTGCCAATACAGCAGGCTATACAAAACGTTCCGTCGCTTCTTCTGGCCTATATATCGGCTACTGCCTGGGTATGCAAACATCCACGTCTCTTGGAAAAGGCAACTAACACCGCCCCAGGTAATTTTGTTGGGCCCCTGTGCTTCAAGAAGGAAGACGCGCCTCGATATGTACCAGGATTTATTGTCGTGGTTGTGACGGCTATTGTTGCTGCCTTGTTGGCAATTGCATATCGTCTCATGTGTATGTGGACTAACAAGAATCGCGACAAGGCTGGTATCATGGAAGGATTTGATCATGCGTATGAAGACGATCTCACCGACAAGAAGGTCAGTGCATTCATCCCTCGTGTTGAGCAACTACTAATATGCAAGTCAGAACATGCAATTCCGCTACATTCTCTAATCCTGTTTAGTGATGAGCTTGGTCTTGAATACGTATTCTTATGTTTGGTTTAGATGTTGTGTAATTGAAGGTGTTATACGATCTTGACTTGACTGTGATGTTATGCAATCCGATGATAATTAACCTGCAAGGGGGTGCTCTGGATTCCTAGAGATAACGGGTTTTTAATTCCTGTGGGTCAATCCTCGAAGGAATGACATTGATTGTTCCGTGGGGATTAAGGTGGCATCTTATCTACACACGCTGTCGGCGGAATTTAATCCAAATTTGAGCCATTTGATTGAATGCCACTATTATACAGGCACCTACTTCTGTTCTGAATTTCCAATTGGTCGCCACCGCCATGGGTAGAAAAAAACAGTTGCTCCTATAAACCTTAAAATAAAGTCTATTCAAATCACAAGTAATTACAATTCTAGAAATGTTCAGAAGAAATTAGATGTATTATATTGCAAAGCTCTCATTTCATATAAACTAACACAAACTACCCTAAACCTGGTATGAGATATGCCACCCAACTATCTTATCTTATCAGTGCCGAGACACGCCAAGCTAACGAGTAGTTTCCCCGCTTCCCATCCTGAGCAACCAGCTGCCCTCGGCCTTTAACTTGGGTCCGTGGACGGCTTTAGGGGCAACGTTAATTTAATATATGGGGTACATCTCGGCAACCCTCAATTTGCTTCCCTACCTTCACTGTATACTGTTCAAATCCGTCACCAGGCAATGACTGAACTCATTGGCAATTGGCTCCACTTTACAACTCAACAACCGAAACGTAAACGTGCTGAAGCCGTTTGTTTCTTTTGTCATTCGAAGAAAATCAAGTGCGATCTGCAGGTGAGTTTTCCCATTGCCGAAAATGGATGTGCCGAGTGCTCATCGCGTAACAGAGCCGAAGCTCGCAAGGTCATGCGAGATGCTCCAACTGCGATAACCAAGACCAGGACTGCCATCTTCGGCCGTCCAGAAGAGGCAAGCAACGCCGTAGAGCGTCTACTCAAGCAGGGTGCGACGCTGAGACTGATGCAGTTAATCCAGGTGGTGAGTCAGCCTTCGTCCTTATTGTCACTCGGACCTCAGTAACAATGTCAAGTGGATGATGGGGACGATGGTAGACAAGAGCCTGATATTGCCAATATCGAATTTCAAGATGATCTAGTACACCATGGCATTATTGAATCACCGGCCTCTCCACCTGCCTCGACACCGCACGTGGTATTTGCTGCTCCCTCAACCGAGCCTCGCTCTCACATGTCTGCCGCCCATCAAACCCAATCGAGCACATCGCCAACGGAAGGCGCCGGTCGCAGTCATGCAGGAGATGTTGACACAGGATTCCTCCAAGTATACGGACCCGAGAACCAACTCGACGCCGAACAACAAGAGCTCGTAGCAAATCTCGAGCTTCGAAACCCAGCATCAGATCCTAGACAACAAGAACTTCAACAGAGTTTTTCCGAAACATATTTCGAGTACTGCTATCCTTGGTGTCCTGTTCTTGACCGCCAAACACTCACATCCGAACTGGAGAAATCCCCCCTGCTTGCGAATGCTCTTGCGCTTGCTGCGAGCCATATACAACCACCGTTAATACCGCACGAGGGACCAGCTGCCTACTACAAGAAAGCAAGAATGATGTTTTATGAAGACGAGGAGCCGGATATTCTTACGGCATTGAAGGCTATTTCGATGTTTTACTGGTGGGCACCGCAATCACCGGCTACAGCTCACCGGCATGCTTCTTGGTGGTGGACTTCTGTGATAATCAGACATGCGCAGCAGATGAACATTCATCGTGAGCCGAAAGACGATACCGCCGTATCAAGTGAGATACATCTCAGCTTACGAAGGAGACTGTGGTGGACTGTCTTCGTAAGTTTATTGTTGCTTACCCAGGTTGGAAACATGCTAACCCTTGTCAGGCGCGCGAGAGACTCACATCCCTTTGCCAAAGCAAGCCCTGTATCATTTGTCCAGAGGACATGACCATCAAGGAAGTTCAACCGTCTGACTTCCCGAGCGACCCGGCATCTCAAAAGAAAGGCCGAATATTCATGTATTGGGTTCGTTTATGTGGCATATTGGGCAAGATATCCAAAGCGCTGTCCAGGTCTGTTGACTCGACGTGTTCTCCATTCCCCAAAGAACTCCGACAGGAGCTCGTTGGCTGGGTTCAATCATTACCACCGGACCTTCAGCTTCCCATTGGTTCAAGTCGTACAGAACTTTTTGACCGCGACGTCCATCAGTTGCATCTTCCTTACCTCACGGCCATTATCATCATGCATCTTCAAAGAACGACCCCAGATCTACCTCAAGCTCTCCCACCAGCAATATTGGCAGCGTCATGCATCGCTCGAGTTCTTAGAGACATTCTATCTCGCGGGAATGCGCGTTTTCTCATGGCAATTACATGCTGGTATTGTGGAACGGCCTTCATTGCACTTCTACAAGCAGCTCGGATCAAACAGTTCTCGCAGGAAGCAGAAGAGGGTTTAGACATTTTGGATCAAGCCGTTGGCCAGCTCCAGCATATGTGGGCTTCTGCGAATGTCATAAGACAAGGCTTTGAACGACTTCGCGCAATGCCTCGAACTATGATACATGCTGGCAAACCCAAGACTACTACCAACAGTGGTGGTGGAGGGGATACAAGTTCACCATCCAGAGATTTTGACTGGGTGCTCCTGTTTCCATTTGTGACGAGATCGACGAGCAGGATCACGGATTGTCTCCTTGCTGACAATGAGTTTGGTACCACGACAACAGCTTTACCATCGCCGGAGAATGCCGTTTTTCATGAAGACTTACTCAATCGCTATCATGATTTACTGGAACCTTTTGTTGACTACAACTTTGACTTTGGAACTATCGAGTTGGATATTCTTTAATCACAAACACAGGCCTCCGGTTGTCATGTACTGTGAAAAAGATGCACATGCTTAAATAAAACTCTTGATGATAAAAAAAGGATTGAACATGCTACTATCTAGACTAGAGAGCTAAAACAAGGATATCTTAGCCATTCGTCATTCAACGTCGAAGTGTTTCTGCTTTCTCCACATACCAAGACAGATCGCTCTCAGGATCCATCTCAAAAGCCGTAAACCCATTACCCATAAATCGGAAGGGATTCGACGTGTTGTACGTGATATCATAGTCCTCAGCACGAATCTCCCCAAGCATACGGTTGAAAAGATGAGCACTGCCACCAAAAAGCGCCGTGACTCGACCATCAACCCTACCTCTCTTGTACCAACTTGTGCAACCACCGCTCCAAACAAGAGTCTTGTGGACTTGATCACAATACTTGATAAAGGCATCAACCTTTTCCTTTTTCGGAACGACGTACTTGATGTCCTCAGTTGCCATCTTCTTGATCCACTTGACGAAGTAGTCGCCTGTCCAATTGAGGGACTCTACAAGTGAACCATGGCCACCAAGACAATTGGGACCCATCATCATAAAATAATTGGGCATTGATGGTACAGCGACTGAAAGATATGCTTCAGGGTCTTCCTTCCACTGTTCTCGGAGGTCGATCCTATTGAGGCCAACAATAGGATACCGGGGTCGGAATGAGACATCGAAACCAGTGGCATAGATGACTGGGACACACGTCAGCATTTCTGCTTTCTGGGAGATAAAGCGAGTTTACTTACTGACGTCCACCTCGTGCTCCTTACCATCAGCAGTCCGAAGACCTTTCTCTGTCACTTGCGTAATAGCACTGTCTGTAAGATGGCAGTTCGGTCTCAGGAACGATTCCAGATATCCCGGGCCTGGCGTTATGCGACGACAACCTAGTTCCCACTTTGGTATCAATTTGGAGCACAGAACTGGATCATGGTCAAGCTTCTCGGCCATCTGCTCAGCCGCCATCTTCATTCCTGCTTCATTGTTCTCTCCCTTTCTAAAGACATAGAAGGACTTGTTAGTTCGTGAAATAATTCCCTTGCGGTGCTGTAGATGAAGTTCTGGGTCTTGAAACCGTTCTTTGTCTTGAGCTGAATACCGAGGATTAGGATCGTCATCCTCTCGACCTAAGTGTTTCGATGGAGGGGCCCGGTAGAAAACCCAAGCTGGACCTCGAACGAAGTTGGTCACCTCCGTGCCAGGTAATTTGACCATCTGGGGAACGATTTGAATTCCCGAGGAGCCGTTACCGATCACGGCTATGCGCTTATTGGAGTAGTCAAAGTCATGATCCCAGCTGGCTGAGTGGGATGTATGGCCCTTGAAGTCTTTCAGACCGGGGATCTTTGGCCACGATTCGTGTCTTTGGACAATTAGTACTGAACGAAACAATCGCCATGGTATAAACTTACACGAGGACTCCTTGAGCTGAGATCAATACGTGGCAGTATTCCTCTCTTTGGACACTCTCATGTTCTACCGTAAGTCTCCATTGACCTAGGTCATCCAACCACTCTGCCCCGGTGACCCGAGTATTAAGTCTCAAGTCACGATCGAGGTTCCATTTCTTGACTGTTGCTTTCATATAAGCTAAGATGTCACCGCCACTGGCATAGAACCTCTCCCAGTCAGGATTGGGGTCAAAGGGAAATGCCTAGATATGATCAGATAGAGTCGTGGATATGAATCAAGGAGACGTACGTAAATATGAGCGGGAACATCGCATTGAACCCCGGGATAATTGTTTGCCAACCATGTGCCGCCAATATCGCTTCGGGCCTCGAAGATGGTGTGATCTACAATGTCTTCCATCTCGGGGAAGCGGTGCTGAAATTTGTGTGCCATGAGAAGACCAGAGAAGCCGGCTCCAATGGTAACGACCTTGATCTTGCGTGGCGTATACGCAAACTCTTGGCTGAGTTTGAAGGGGTCTGTGATATGACCATTGGTACTACTGCGAATCTCATCTGTCTTCATGACAAGTTCTGGAAGTTCTGTTGCTGGTATCCGTGAAATATCCACTGCCACTTGGGCTTTGGTCTCGGGGGACTCAACAAACGCAGGCATGGTGACGAGTTGGAATGATTCCTCCAAAGTCGTAGTCTGTGGCGAACTTCAATTGCAGTGGATGGATTGGAATTGAATGGGTGATGTGAATTGGGATCATACGTTGGCAGTTCGAATTTTCTTGTGATACTTCAAGTATTTACTGAGGTACTCATCATATCCTGTTGACGAAAGATTCCTTTAAAGAACCTCATTCTGGAGTCGCATACAGCTAAGCGGCACTAATCGATTTCCCATTCAGTTCGGCAGACGCCGTATTGGGCCAACGTGCTACTGTCCCCTCTAGACATCACTGTTCATAGCCGAACATGCTTTCCGACGTTCAGCTTCTCACTCCCAGTGCATCCGGCATTAAGGTGCATGCTTGGCGCGCTCTGCGGCTACCCCAATTGGAATTGCCGGTCGTTGATCGACATCGGAGACTCAGTGCGGGGTTGGCAAACGATACCCGCAACCGAACCTGGCCTTTGAAGATGATTCCTATGGAGAAATGAAAAGCCAGCAGCTTTAGTTCTTCCTTTTCATATCTAGTTTGAGACTTGCCATCAATTTCACGATATAGGTTCATAACCTATCGTTTGTACAATTTATCACACAAACTAATACACACATCGCTTCCCAACACTCACATACACCACCATGACAATAAACCGTTATTCCTATAATGGCCCCATAGATCACACAGTCATTCCTCAACTTGAGAATGTGCGTGGAAAGTCAATCATTGTGACAGGAGGCGCCAATGGTATGGGCGAAGCCTTTGTAAGAGACTTTGTCGCCGCTGGTGCCTACGTTACTTTTGCCGATGTCAACGAGGAGCGTGGCCATGTAATTGAAGCGGAACTTAATGCTAGTGGCACAACCTGCGCTTTCGTGAAATGCGACATCAGAGATTGGGAGCAACAAAAGACAGTCTTTGAGAAAGCAAAAAGCCAGAGTGCTAGTAACAGCATTGACGTTGTTATTGCCAATGCTGGCATTAGTCGGAGTTCCGGCGACAGCTTGTGGAACTTGGATGGTAGGTCTTAGCACAACTGTGGGTGATGAGTTTGACACTGACTGAAGGACCTAGATCCCGAAGGCGAGCCAACAAAGCCTGACCTCAATATTGTCCGGGTCAATATAGATGGCACATTCTACACCTGGAAACTAGCCGTTCATTACTTCCGTAAGCAGCCAGTCAATGAAGAGCGCGATCGTTGCTTCATCATAACCGGCAGTATGGTGGCATGGATAGACTCTCCAGTAAGTCACCACCGAGATTTCATAAAGGCTTTAAGCTGATTGACACGCGACAGGGCAACTGGGAGTACACTGCGACGAAATATGGACTACGTGGTTTTATGAGAACAGCTCGAAGATCCAGCCATGAGCAAAACATCCGAATCAACTACGTTGCGCCATGCTGGATCAAGAGTGCTATTCGAACAGCAGAGTATGAAAAATGGCTCATCGATCATGGCGTCGAATTTGGCGAGCAGAAGGATGTTTCTAGCTGCATGTTGCGGATTGCTACTGATAGGACCATTAATGGTAAGAAGCCTAACCGCCATCTGAAGTTTCCATATGTTAACACCTATCAAAGGGCGGTCCTTGATGATAACTCCTCGGTCGATTGCAAAAGAGGGATTCGTGGATATTGATAGGGAGGACTACAAGGATACTCCGGAAGATGAGTACCTAAAGAAAGTTCAGGCTTCTCAACTAGTTATTATCAAGGACAAATGGCTGGACGACTACAAGGTTAGGGTATATAAGGACTAGATCAACTAAAAGATCCGATTGTTGCCACATGGATGACGTGGGTCAACGATCATCTTCAAACTGGCGCCGAGCCAGGGTTTGCTATGTCTTCTGTCCTATCACAACAGGGTAATTATATCGGTCAGTAAGCGCTGAACTTCTATAATTAATCCTTCGTACTCTAGTTAATCGGATAATCAGTTTCTCTGTCCTCTTAGGTAGCTATGTATACCTACAGTGAAGGCAATTAGTCGCTCACCTATCTACATCACACTATCTATTAAATAGCCTGGGAATGTCGTCAAGTAGTGCCTCTCTTCTATCATCTGAGGCAATCGAACTTTACAAACAGGACAAACTTTTTGAAGGTTTGTACCAATAGAGATTCTCAAATATTAGTAGTGCTAACCGGTGATGGAGCCGAGGAGGCTTGTGAAGAAGCAGTCGCTCTGGACCTGAATAGCTCGACAGCATTAAACACTCTGCTGTCTATTGATTTCGAAGGAGGAGATAATGAGATAGCTATCAACAATACCCAAAACGCACCGAGCATGTTACGGGCGCAAGGTATCGATAGTCAAGAGACACAACTTCTTCAGCGTCGAGTAGCGGAGTGTTATCTCTACCTATCTAAACCAGGGGTTTCCAAAGCGATAGCCAAATATGTAAAATATAACGAAGCGGGAACCTTTCTTCTCTCGGTTGCGGAAGGAATGCAGGTGGATCATGAGCAGGTCGACCCAGCTACTCAACGTAGGCTTGTGATGGACCGCATCCCCCATCTCAGACCGTGCTTGTATGGCTGTTAAATCTATTCCATGGAAGGATTTATTCAATTAAACACGAAACATTGTAGATCGCAGTTACCAGAGTACGTTACTAGTGGCCCCGACAGAGCAGAGTCTCTATTCGACGAAGCACATCGCGTAACTCGTGCTTTATCTCCTTCACGACATTATTGACCAAGATCTCGAAAATCTCATCGGCTTTTGTATCCGTCTTGGCTCCGATGGCCTGATGAACAAACGCGTGTACTCTAGTGATATATGTATGAAAGAAGAACTGTATGCGGGTACGACGGAGAGCCCTGGTTTCGGGGCTTGGAGGCAGTATCAGATACGACGAGGGATTTGCGTCCGAGAGAAACTCGATGATAATTTGTGACTCGATCACAATATTCTTGCTGTAGCTGATTGTCAGGAGTTTTCCTCTGGGGTTAAACTTGAGGTATGCTACGGGATATCGAGCTTGGCCCGAATTATATAGACACAATAAGCGTCTTGGACTTTTAAATGCGGGTGATTGTGACACTTTTAATGCCGAGTGGAGACATACATAGACATTGCCGAGCTGTATAAAGATGATCTCTGCGTGATTAGACATGGCGGGTTTGGTTGATATATACCAGAACAGGAAACATATGATGTCAAATAATGAAGTAGTAGAGTTCGATTGGCTAGACTTTACTTGTCACGTGGAGACTATTTCGCCTCTGTTGCGGGGTCATGAGAGAGTCAAGTCAGCATCAGCCTCATATCACAATATCTTCACGAAGATATTAAGTCAATACAGCAGAAGTCCAGAAACTCATAATTCCATACTTGCCTCCCTCAAGATGGACGAAACAACCTTGGCTCGTCAACCTAGTAGCGTAAATGTCGATTCTGAGTCTTGGGGTTATGAGTATATGCCCCTCAGTGATAGACAGATAAGGTTGATTCGACTAAATCCGGCTGACCAAGAGAGTGACGAACTCAATGGCGAACTTGTTGTTAAAGACCTAGAAGATTTTCCCCCTCCACATAGGTCAGGCAATGCAAACGCAGCAGATTCAGAACGTGCAAAACCAGAGAAGTATATTTGTTTTGACGCAATATCCTACGTTTGGGGCCACGCAACCTTTACAGATACCTTCGTCACTCCTCAAGGATCCATCCCAATAACGGCCTCACTTGCTTCTATTTTACAACGACTTCGTAATAAGGAAAAAGAAGAACTATACTGGGCTGATGGCCTTTGCATCAACCAGTCAGATTTGGCCGAGAAGGAGGTCCAAGTTGCTCTTATGGGCATCATCTACAGCTCCGCCAGAAAGGTCTTTTGCGACATTGGCGAAGAAACAGAGGAGACTGCACTTTTGCTGGATGCTATGCAGCGTTACTGGAAACGAAACATTCGTCACGGCTTTGCAGTAGGTCAAGGCAGCTCCTTGGTTCTGTCAGGCCCCTCTACCGCCAAAATTATGGACATCCCGTATCCAACAGATGAGGAAGCAGACGCGATCGAGGACGTTAAGGGAGATGAATGGCCTAAAAGGCTTTTTAAATTCTTCTCCGCGCCATGGTTTCACCGTCTCTGGATTGTTCAAGAGTTTGTCCTCGGACATGATGTAGTCATGGTCATTGGTCGTCGATTTATATCATGGGGAGAGATATGGGCAGGCTTTGTGCGTTATAAAGGAGTTGGACCGCCCTGGATTTCCCATGAATATACCCAAGATGACCTTACCAGTGTCCTGATGTCATATAACCTCATGTGCTTGGTTCGTTCTGGTCGTCGCATCGATGTCAATACGGTGCATGGTCTTGAGTTCTACAACATAATTAACATCCTCTTGTGTGGAGTTGAGATGAATCAGGCTGATTTGCCGATTTGCATGCTCCTCTTCTGTACACATGGGTGTACTCACCCGAGGGATCGTTACTTTGGCATTCTTGGGATGGTCGATGACGAGGATAAGGAAAAGTCACGAAGCCTGCGGCCTGACTATAAATCGCCTTTGAGAGATATAACAATGAGGTTTTGGAAATACGCACTACAGACCAAGTTTGGGGGAGAACTTATGCTCTGCGCTGGATTGCCGGGACGGACTGAAGGATATCCTTCCTGGATACGAGATTTCTCAGTGCCTAAACCTTTAAGTCAGATCTGGATAGGGAATTCTCTGACTACAGCATGGCATGCAGCAGGAGGCCCAACGAGCACGTGGTCTGCTGCTTTCAGCAACGATGATCCAAACTTACTTTTTGTTCAAGGACGGCATGTGGACGATGTCACAGAAAAGTCAACTACAAGTATTTCCAATCTCTTTGGCTTCGCTTGGATGGCTGAATGGTTAGACGAAGCCTTTAGCTTCTATCAAGCTGGGCCGGATCCGGTAGATGATGATATGGATAGAAGATATCCTCCAACGGGCGAGCCTGTTCCTGAAGCTGCTCTCAAAGTAGTGATGGACTACAATCAAGCAGACACTATGTCTCCTGATGATGATATCTGCAGAGCCATGCTCCGAATAGGACTTTCTGTCCCATCAGTAGCATTTTCCGAGAACGTCAAGGGCGAAAATCTCGAAAAGAAACTCTTATCTGCATTTGGAAAGGAAGTATACACTTTGCGACAGCTTTTCCGTCGTATTTCCCAGAAAAGAGGCATGGGGTTTTATAAAACTGGAAAAGGGTTATTTGCAATGTTGCGCCCAGAAGTAGAAATTGGGGATTCGGTCTGGGTGCTTAAAGGATGCAGATTACCTGTTGTCTTACGGCCAAGTTTATTGTATCCTGAATCGTTAGAGTTCGTTGGGGGTGGGTATATATATGGAGTCATGAACGGAGAAATGCTGGACAAAGATGACTTTACTTGGCAACCAGTCTCACTTAGATAAATATTATATCTTTCCTCGAGGTATGACCAGAGGTTACTCTCAAGTCAATCTGGCTATGATTGTATGATATCATATTCGCCAACAAGAGCTTAACTGGCATTCACGTCGACATGTAAGCTCTCTTCTCGTGCCGTTGCTCTCCATAACCGATGAAGCTACGCCTGAGCCATCCGCGGACGAGGATGACGCATATGGTGTTTCCGCTTGCATCTGCAATTCTGCATTTGTGAGCCCTTCTGAGCTGTTTCTCGGCGGTCTTTTCCAAAGTTCTACGAGTTTAGCCGCAGAGGATGGGCAGCCTTGAGAATTGAGTATTGGCTAGGTTTTACTCTCCTAGTCCTTCCTGATAGATAGGTACTCACAAGGGTATTATATATTATAGAACGGCAATTCAGAGACATGACTCAATTTACTATGTTTCCTGTTTTACCTTCATTTGCCTTGTTTTATAATATCTTGAACCCTTTTTCTACTTTGTAATTATTTGTCTTTGAAAAGCATAAATCAGACCCATTGAAACACGCATTCAATCCTGCTTAATTGTGGATCATCTAACGGCCTTTATCCTTGTTTCTTCTCTCGCGAGTACCCAACTAGCCGAGCGTCACAAGGATTCGCTTGCTGTTGTAATTAGCGTCTCCGCCACTTTTGTAAATTTGAAACGATTAGCGTGAACTTTGGCGCGGAAACCGGCACCAAACAAATCATGATTGGACATCAAAGGAAGGGCAATTAGTTAATCGTGGAGGAGATTGCAGTTACGAGGTACTGGAAACACACAGGCATGGAAGCCGGAAGTCTAGAACATACCACAGAGAACTTCCATATGATGACAGGCAGGGGTTAGTTGTACGAGTCTGTGACATGCCTTAGAGATGACAGGACCACAGGATAATCTGAAACGAGATTACTTGGCATTATATAAGGATGACAGTATGACCTCTCACCAATATTGAAAGCTCATCACAATTCACATCACATTCTCTTCGATACAATCTCTTATTTGTTGTTTCAAACTATTTTTCACTCTTTTTCACCATTTCAAAAATGTTCGCCAGCTACTTTGTTACTCTCCTGGCCGTCACCTCGACGGTCGCCAATGCCGCGGCTGTCTCGCCAGTCTTCACTGGCTTGGGAACTCGTTACGGCGACGCCGATGGCTGTACTGAGGAAGATTGCTGGCAGAAGGGTGCTTGTAGCTTCGTTGGATACGACCTACCTGCAGGCATCGATGGAACTACTTGTGTCTCTGACGAGATCTGGAATAAGGGTGCCAACTGTGGTGGCTGCATCCAGGTTACTTACAAGAGCAAGACTCTCAAGGTCATGGTAAGCGATGGGGAATTCTGATAAAACGTAGACCAATAGCTAATCCATGTGCTTAGGTCACCAACAGGACTGGAGGCGACAAGAACCATCTTGACATGACCCCCGCGACATGGAACAAGCTTACCAACAACATGAAGGGAGGCGGTGTTGACGGCATCAAGTGGAAGTGGATCGAGTGCCCTCTCCGCTCTGCTCCTCTTCAAGTCCACATGCACGGTGGCGCCTCCAAGTACTGGTTCGCCGCTACAATCGAGAACGTGACTCACCGTGTCAAGGCTGTCCATGTCAGTAGCGACAGTGGAAAGACCTGGAAGGCTTGCTATCTCAAGGACCCTAACATGTGGATGCTTGACGGTACTCTGCCCAGTGACTCTGCTTGGGTTCGCGTTACCAGCGTGAACAACAAGCAGGTCGTTGTCAAGAACGTCGCCCTCAAGAGTGGTCAAGTCACCAAGGGTACTGCTAACTTCTAAGCTGAAGTTTTGTCAGACAATGGAGCATCTGGGATCTTCATTAGGTTCGATGGACATTGAGTCACAAATTCTTGTATATAAATTTTAACACCTTGTACTATACTGGCATTGGAACAAGGTATATCAGTCCATAACACTCGTCGCAACGCCCAAAGCTAGATGCAGGGCGCAGGTCATGAATAAAACACAATGCGACGAATTATCAAGTGCTGTGTCAGCTGAATGAGACGCATGTAGTGCATTAATCAAAATTTAGTTGTTAATCAAACCCTCCTTCACAACTGAATCAATGCACAAGTAAAGTTGGGTGAACATGAAACAAAACGGAGTCACCAATCCAAGAATGCATATGTATTCTCATTACAGCCACTCCTCCGACCGGTACTGTCTTTCGTATCAACTATTCAAAGCTTAACCTTCTACTTCTGACTTTCCAATCTCTCAATCGTAGTTGCATGAGGGCCCTTCTCCTCTTCCACGAGCATTCCTCTGTCCTTCATATCTGCAAGGGCAACCTCTCCAACATCCACAGCATCATCACCATCGAAGTACTGTGCAATTTCTTCCATGGGCGTATAGCGAGTTTCAATAAGGAAGAAGTAAATGATGTATACTTCGAATCCAAGAAACACGCAATAGACACAGTAGTACTTCCAGCCCATGGCGTCAAGAGCGATACCGTTAATATACTGGTTGAAGAATAATGCGGCGGTAACACAGAAATTAAGCCAAGTAAAGCCCTTTGCGCGAAGACCGTATGGCAGGATTTCGGTGGTGTAATTGGCCATGAGACCAGACCTTTGCCATGTTAGTATCAATATACTATGACCGGTGGGCTTACTTACTTCACATCATAGAATAAACCATAGATAAAGGTTAGTGCAACGAAAGCGTATCCCAGGGCTTTGTTGGGGTCAATCTCATATCGAGCAGAAACAATAGTCCAGAAGTTGAAGATAACGCATGTTCCGATGGTCGAGGTCAGGTAAATAGGACGGCGACCGAAGTAGTCAATAAAGAAGGCAAAGGTGGTGTTGATGATGAGACCCTGAGTCTTCATACCGGCGTTGATACCAAGCTGAGTCTCAGCCTTAGTAATGCCTACAGCATCCATGATACCCTTGAGGTAGTAGGAGATCAGACCGTTGCCACTCCACTGACTGAAGAATCCAAGCGCAGTGATAAGACCAATTCTCTTGCGGTTGCCCTTTGTCTTCAGAAAGTCAGCCCATCCAGTTTGCCCGATCTCCTTGTCCAGAGCGATGGCAGCCTTGATCTCACTGAATTCAAGCTGAACAAACTCATCATCTACATCATCCTCACCATGGTAGTGAGTAAGCACTTTGAGTGCTTCATCATGACGATCCTTGCTGAGTAACCAACGTGGACTCTCAGGCATCCAAAAAATACCAACAAGAATGACGACACTGCAAATTGACTGCAGAAGACTGGGTAGCCTCCAAGACCAATCGCTCTTGATCTGTAGAGTACCGTAGGTGACCCAACTGGAGATGAAAGCACCAGAATGGTAAGAAGCGCCGCTCAGTGTGACTAGGATAGCACGGTCTTGAGGGTGTGCAATCTCTGCGATAAGAAGGGGAGCTGAGCCAAGGACGATACAGTCGCCAAATCCTAACAGAAGACGGGCTGCGACGAACATGCCGAAGTTACGAGCACCAGATTGCAAACCGACGGCTAGAAGCATGATGAGGCAACCAATTACAACACCCATCTTTCGGCCGAGACGATCGATCATGTAGGGAACACAAAAGAGACCGATAAGGGAACCAAGACTCATGGAAGCGTTGAAGAGACCGAGGACGGAACCACGAGGGTGGTTGAAGTATTCCTGCCAGTATGACAAGGTCTGAAGACCGTTCATCATAGACCCTAAGTCATCAGCGCAAGTCACAAAAAGAGAGTTCGAGACATACCGTCGAATCCATTAGCGGTGTTTGTGAGAATCAGAATGACAATGTAAAAATAAAGGGTACGCATGTTACGTCTCTTCCACCATTTTAGGCGTTGAAACTCCTTGCCTGCAAAGAAGAAGTGGCCTTTCGTGGGCTTGGCAGGGACGACCCTTTGGGTCCGTTTAGGAGGTCGAAGGAGGCCCATAATGAGAGACAGGGTTTCAAACAAGTTGAAAAACAAAGTGTCAGAGCAAAGTCACCAAGGTTATGGCGCCTGGATCTGGAGAGCTGACAGGAAAGCAAAACAAAAACTTGGGACGCGGATATCGTTTTTATATCACTAAGCCGTGCCAAACAGTGATATCGCAATTTCATTTAGCCTACCTGGTCCTGTCACACTAACAAGCCTGCTCACTATGCATGTCTGAACCGTGTCAAACGTATGACAGAAAAGAGTTCCGATAGATTGACTCATGTGTCGTTACAAGATCGACTCAGTAATCTGTCACTCTTATTGCCGAGGTCACTACCATACAACGCAAACAGTCCGTTTCCCCGCAAGACTTGCTTTATCCGAGCTACGATGTGCGAAAACTCTCCCCATGGGGTTTCGCGTCTAGCCAATGGTAGTGTCTGGAGTTTCCGGATAATATGGAGATTGTTAAATTAAGCTCAACGACCAATATCCGGATAATGAGAGACGCATTTGTGTCGGTTCGTCGTTTTGGTGGTGGATGGCCAGGATGGCAGGAACTAGCCTCGATTGACGGGTAAATTACTAGCCTGAAAGCTTGATCCCGAGAACCAACGGCTCGGGAAGTCAGTCATGTGGCTCCTGACACTGATTGTCATAACAGATCTGTTGCTTGGCATGTCACCTTAGGCAAAAGAGACAGATGCTGATTCGTGGGGGAACCGAAGATTTACGAAAAAGAGACAAACGGCCAGGATGTTATCTACGCCAGAAATGCACGAGTTTTCAACTATTGGGTAAACTCATCTGGTCAGGCCATGTATCTTGAGCTAACATCTTGGCAATATTCACTCATCTATTCCACACTAAAATCGGCTAATTGGACGTTCCCTCCATTGCCCAGAGCAAACACGCCGATCACAGGGCCTACAAAGTCGGGGCCTGTCATATCGATCAAATCCAGTGTCGCAACTGACTGCCAATCTTTATCGTCGGGCGCATAAGACAAGCGATACTCATTCTCTGTGTAATCTATGCGGAAGCGCACACTGTTTACATCTTGGCCAATAGAGTGAGTGGAAGTCTTTTTGATCTGCTTGGCGTTATTGATAGCCTCGTATATTATCGTATTGTCTGGAGGGGAGTAAAAGATTCGGACGTAGCGGTGTTCATCCTTATACGATGCAATACCTGCTTTGATCATACTCGATGGGTCGATTTTTAACGTAGCCATACTTTGGCCTTGGAGCACTCTTTGGCGTTTACCTACAAAGGTAGGTGACTGGTGAGTGTCAGAGAGGTCAATGGCAGAAGCAGTCAAGATGACATTGGACCCGCTAATATTGTAGTTGTTCAAGTCCACGTCCCGGATGTAGAGGTGGTCGACACCTTCTACAGCCGTGAGGGTCTGGGTTGCATCGGCCTTTGCAAGCTTTGAAGTATCAACCTGTGCTTCAACTGAGTCAAGACGAAGCCAGTCATCATCCGTCCACTTTGCAGTTGTCAGATGAGACTCTCGGCCCATGTTGTATCGTCCTTCCTTATCCCGTCGAACACCAAGGCAAACTCCCCACCACTGGCCATTCTCATCCTCAAAGGCATCGCAGTGTCCTGTATGGCGGATGTACATGTCGCTGCTAGCAGGAACCAAGATCGGGTTGGTAGGGCACGGCTCATAAGGTCCCCAAGCGTTCCGAGATCTAGCCATGGTGATCATGTGGTCTTCGTGCGTTCCGCCTTCAGAAATCATCAAGCAGTACCATCCGTTGCGTTTGTAGATGTGTGGTCCTTCGGGGTAAACGCCACCTGTGCCCTCCCATAGAATCTTCTCTTCCGAGACCGCACGGCCTGTTTCGAGATCAACTTCGATCTGGGCGATCTTGGTCATAGGACCTGGAGACTTGGATCCCTGGATGTAGGTTTTACCATCATCATCGAATAGAATACTAGGATCAATGCCATCAAATTCGAATCTGACGAGGTCGCTCCATTGGCCCGACCAGATGTCCTTGGTTGAGGAAATAAAGTTTTCCAATACATCTGTTTCTCCAAGAGTGCGCACGACGTTGGTGCAGACGACATAAAAAGTCCCGTCACGATATCGGATCGTTGGGGCAAAGAGTCCACCAGTGGCAAGCATAACTTCCCCAATGCCTGGAAGGGGATTTACTTCTGTCGGCGATTTAGCCAAACTAATTTGTCCTGGCCTAGAGATAACATTGCCTATAATTTATCAGTCACCATTCGTAGTTGTTTTTATTAATCAATAACTGTCTCACCGATCTGCTTCCAAGACAAAAGGTCCTTTGAAGCGTATACCGGAATGCCAGGAAACATATGGAATGTGGAATTGACAAGGAAATACCACTTGTCAACCTTGACGATTGAGGGGTCGGGCGAAAAGCCAGGAATAATGGGGTTGGAAGGCGACATGGTTGGTCGTTGGTCGTTGGTCGTTGCGGTTGTATTGTGCTTTGGCCTTCTTTACGGAAAGGAAGGTTTCGATGGTGATAAGTCAACTTAGTTAGTGACCAGCTGAAACCAACTCATACTTAAATTGTTCAGTGTTCTGAGCCTTGACGACTGGTCTGTTCATTTTCCAGTGGATGGATTTGGAAGGTTGTATTTAGCCATCCAATCGCTGCTATTGGGAGTGTTTTATCCGCTGGGTGAATACATCCAGGTGAGGGGAAATAAGACAGGTGTTCATTGTAGCGTTGGTGGTGGAATAATCTGGCCTTGATCAAACTGGAGAGATTACGCCAATGGTCATTTCAATTAGGACATTCTGATGTAAGATCACTACGTGGCTTTCTAGACTTCTCAGATGCAATCTATGATGTGCGTCCAGGAATTCGTGTTTGCTGATGGATTCTGAATATGTACCTACTCAGCAGGGATACAAAGCTATTCACCAAAATATCAACACACTCCTAGGCAGTATAGCCGACAGCGCTTATTTAATATTTTCATCAGTCACCAAAACTGTAATGGTTTTTATGCGACGCAATTGTCAGGTTGGTCCGTCAACCCTTTCGCCTTGTAAGTATTCTACACGTATGATAGTTAGATATAGTGTTGAGAGCCATAAATCCAAATGGAAAACCAGATTAGCCCCCTTCGATGTTGAATTTTTCAGTTGATGGTTACAAACAGATTCATGTTTCATGACTCTATGTATAGAAAATCACGTCAGTAAGAACACATTTGAGAAATAGTAGGAATGAAATAAAAAGAATAAAGAGTAATTAATACTCGATTAAAACTTGATAAGCTATATTTCCATCGATGAAGACCTGAGTATGTTTTGACATTCAAGTACATTGACATCATTTAGGGTAGCAGAATGGTCAAGGTCCACAATTTCATGGATATCAGGTCTCTGTGGGCTCGTACCTTGGTCAACTACAAGCTTTGCATGAGACAGTGGCGACTTAGCGAGTCTTAATTCTAGTATGCTGTGTCAGCCCATGGAATTAGGTAGCGTACTGCTAGCCATATTCTGTACTTCCGGCTGGTTAGCCAGCTAATCAGAAGTGGCCTTTTTTGTTATTCAAGCTCTTGACTGAATCAAGATAGCATGGTAGTGGAAGGCTTATGTCTGTGCTGAGTGCCATCCCCCAAGACTCTGAACCAATACAGGTCAGGTCATACATGAAACAAAGGATTGGCCTTTAAATTCGGATGGCATTTAGTACCAGCGTAAGCCTCTCAAATGTTGTCGACGGATAAAAGTTTATCAGGCATCTATGTATTCAAGGTTATTTTCTGTCACAATGGAAAATGCAACCAGTTGGGTGCAAGCTTAGCCCACCTTGTCAATATTAGATACATCTTGTCTAGATTTACATGTCTCGTTTCAGTCTATGTAGTATTATAGGAAGACCAAACTGCATCGTGAATATATCAGTGTAGTCATTCCAATTCTTCATATTAAGATAATCTTGACTAGTAGGTGGGATGGTGCTTCATCTCGATGCTGACGGCCGTAGACCATCATCCATCAATACCTAATTTACTCAGAGTCTGCCTTACACTTGATGGCCCCCAGCGCTTGCATTGTAAAAGATCTTGTTTTTGTTTCTCCCAAGTTACATTGAATCCTTCACGCGTTTCAACTAAAAAGCTCAGTTAACCCTGACGTGATGTTGATCAGCCCCGCAACTCGCTTTAATTGGTTAGAATCCAGATCTATCGAGGCGCAGACGAAATCCTTCGATCTAAAATTGAAGCTTATCTAAATTAAGCTACGGTACGCAATTCATCTCATTGGTCTTTTTCGTCTTGGTGCGCCTTGGGGGCCGGTCTAAGCATTTCACTGCAGCGAGCTGAAGTTACGAATGAAATGGATTATGCAGAGTCGGAAATCCTGAGCTTGTTCCCAGATAACTCATTGGCTTGTCCAAGAATCCTACTCCTCTGGCGCATCCTTCTGTATTCCTTCGCATTGTGGCGTTGATCGCTCGTTGCTTGAAGCTATTCTGTCAATCAGACGCGGACACTCCGAGAATAAATTTCCCATGGGATGCATATTTAAGAGGGTTCAGAACCCATAGCAGAACTCTCTTTATCTCAACAACAGTCGCCTCTTCAATCAACATTCACTCATCAAACCTTGCTCTTCAAAACCCAACTCCTCCCCTTCCTCATCAATATCGCTTCCTGACCCCTCTCAAACATGCACGCCATCACTCTCGCAACCGTCCTCGCTGGCGCTCTCAGCGTCGAAGCATCCCCACTTCAACATGCCAAGCGCGTTCTAATGGGTCGTCTCGATGATGGCGCCCACGAGATTGAGCACAAGTTCCAACCTCTGACTGACTTTGACACGGATGGCTGTTACTACACCTCGGCCATCGACAGAGACGGTAACACAAACCGTGGTCTGAGCCAGAAGGATGTTTACTTTAAGGGCCTTGCTGCAGATTGCCGTGACCCTAACCGACTGGAGAACAACAACGTTTATAGCCGACGCCGTTGCAATAATGGCTGGTGTGCTATCATGTACGAGTACTACTTTGAGAAAGATCAGATTGTGTAAGTATCCCCCTTACGTACTCTCCGTTCAGCAGTACCTAACACACTTATTAGCTGGGGCACAATCGGCGGCGGCAAAGGCAATGGGCACACTCACGACTGGGAGAACATCGTAATCTTCGTGCAAGGCGAAGACGTCAAGCGCGTCGCTCCGTCATGCCATGGCGACTACAAGCACGCCACCAACGAGCCTCGTCTTGATGGCCAGCGCGCCAAGGTTGTCTACCACAAGGATGGTGGCGAGACTCACTGCTGGCGAATGGCCAACGAGGCCGATGATCAGGTCGAGAACTACACTGGCCAGTGGTTCATCGGTAACTTGGTTGGCTGGGATAACTGGCCTGTCGTCAACGGCCGATCTCTCCGGGACTACCTCTTTGACGCTTGGAACGGTGGTGTTGGACCCAAGTTTTGGGACAACGATAACAAGTTCACTGATAACTTGAGAAAGGCTGCTGGCGATGGTGCTCCTGGGTTCGATCCTGCTGTCGACGAGTAAGCTACTGTGTTTACTATCAAGAGTCAAATTGTGTTGTTATAATTGCTGCGCGTTCTGGTAACGATCTTGTTTCTAGTTATTACCATTTAGAATTCTTTTTCGTTTTTACCTCTATATCATTTTCTTACCTTGTGTTACTTTCAGTGAATGGAACATGGCGATAATTGTGAAGGCTTGCAATATAAGTACTGGAAACACTCAACTTGGGATTAAAGATTGTTTTGTAGCCTAATTTAAGCTTTTGACCACGGGAAATGAGAACTAAGACTAAAAACATAAACTCCAAATTGGACGGAAGGGATCTAACCCTGCTATATAACTTTGCTTGAGATCTAAATTGACCGCTTTGCTCAAATAAAAAGTAAAGGGTCCTTCTTGGGCGTGTGAACTAAAGTCCACTCGGATTCTTTATACTCCAAACCCTCTCCCTTTTCATGCTTTTTATCTTTACCTGGTACTGGATACTTCCTGACATGCTCTATGGCCCAAATGAGATCCTTTCCCAACACTGGTGGTACTCTACCATCACCGTGTAATGTCCCCAACCCTGCAATCTGGAAGAACCCATCCAACCATCTAAACGTCTCGCCATTCTCCCATTCGATCTCATGGAACTTGCGTCCTTCTTGTCTACATCGACTCTCTCTATTACGTTCCCACTTCTCCTGTTCCTCTCTAGAAGGGAGAGGTATCGCGTTCCGACCTGAGAATAGTCGTGCAATCGCTATAGCTTGGTATTCGAAGCTCCTGAAGGTAAGGACTCGTGGCATACCGACAACTGCCAAGTTGGGGATATCTTGGAAGAAGGTGTGCCAGTAAGTGTTGACAAGTTTTTTCTTCTTGTAGTCGTATAGTGGGCGTCCGTTTGCTTCAGCATTCCAAAAAGGATAGGAAGGAAGATAGCCGGTACAGTAAAGGACATGGTCAATGTCAGTGAGCTCGCTGTCATCTTCGAATACGATTGTTCCATCTAGACGATACTCCTTGATGACCTTTTTCCATTCCACCCCTGCGGGTGGTTCATCGCCATCAAGTCTTCCTTGTGATCTTCGTGATTGGTAAAGCGGAAGCTGGACAGCTTGCAGTAAGTCAACAGTGATATCGTGACCTGAAGCCGAGTTTCCGATGACAAGCACCTTTTTGCCGGTGTATAGCCAGGGAGAGCGATAGAATTTGGAGTGTATCACTCTGCCTGGAAACTTTTCCACGTATGCTTCCAAGCCTTGAACTTGGGGAACCTTGAGCAGTCAGCCTTTCGGGCATCATCACCATGTCGATAATATGTGCTTACCCAGGGGACTGCATAGTGTCCGTTTGCAAGAACAACAGCGTCAAAGTCCTCCTGCCACCATATATCAATCCGTCGCAATGGGTCGTACTTGCGCAGCGTCAGTCTCCACGAGTGCAAGCCATTACTGGAGGTCGAGGGCAGCGGCGAGATATCTTCCACTGTGGTGTTGAGTGACAGGTATCCATCGGTCTTATGAACTGAGAAGTAGGACTCTATGTACTGGCGAGGTACGTAGTGTGGGACGAATGGCCCATAAGAGAAGGGTAAATCAGAGAACGACATGGCGATTTGAGGAACATTTGTACTATTCTGAGTAAGTTACATGAGCCGTCACGTTCTCTAGTGATGTCTTACGTGAGATTATGATAGATTGGTGTGTGTGCATATCTCTCCTGCTGACTTGGGGCCGCTGTAGTAGGTAGGTTTTTTGGAACCACTAGTGGTTTATCGATGTCTATCGGTAGAGCTCCAGGCTGAGTGGTTGCGACACTTGGATCTGGATCATAAATCCTTAAAAATATTAGTGGTCTATTAGGAATTGAACGGCATGTACTAACCAGGTGCCACCGGGTGTTTCCCTTCGCTCAAAGACGCGAATCCTATCAAAGTAGTTTTCGGCTTTGAGAGCTGCTGCTGTAATAGCACCTATCAGACAAACTTCATAAGTATCTGCTCTCTATTGGGTGCGGTATGGAGAATTAACTTACCAGCAGCTCCAGCCCCAACGACGGCAACGGATTTGATTTCGAATTTTCTCATTGTGATTAGATGTCTTGAAGGTCTTTTCTCTCATAAATCTGATCTGAGATGGTGTATATAATACCAAGTTAACATTTTTTTTGGAAATTACAAATACTAATGCCTCAACTTATCACGCCATAAGTTTGGATTATTAACCATACCTGTTCGTCATGTGTAACCTATATGTCACCATCACCAATCACGTGCAACGTCAGTGGAATAGGTGGATAGCTATGAATGCTAATGGGGAATTGAATGTTACAAGAGAAATATGGCTGAATAACTTCCCCCGAGTGATATGAAAAGCCAATTCGCTCTGTTAAGTTCAGACTTCGCTACATTCGTTATGATGGGCTCAAACACATCTGCAAGCATATCAGTACCTGGAGAACTTTCTATGCACTAATCGCATGGTTCATCATCTAGTAATGGATTACCGCTGTCATGATGTGTGAAATTCATTTCTTCACAACTGATCTCCGTTACCTCAACGCCTGTGACTGGCTCCCGTTTCCCCGCTAGGCGACTTCTTTCACCCCAGCCTAACCTTTGTTAACATATGCTGCATTGAAGGGTGGTACTATCATTAGTGGCGCTCCTTTTTTTCCTTTTTCTCTTCGTTTTTTTGTTGTTTTTCAAAACTAGTGCATCATATTCTATTCTATAACAATATCAAGTTCAAACATTAGTCCGGAATGTGGAAGAACAGATCTAAAAATCTTATTCCAGTTACTCGATGCATGGGCAGTCAAGAACCGGTAGAATAGTTCCTTTTTGTCCCCCCATCATTTAGATTTGGTATCTACCACTACAGCAGCCGATGTGGTAGAAGCTGTTACACCAGACATCCCCCATGCTGGTCAAAGTTAGCAAGCCGGTGCCATTATATAAACGTGTCTCGGGAATGTACCTTGGCTTCCTAAATTGGTAGCAACTTTGGTGAATATAATGATTGACATAATAGGCGAAATGTAATTGTTGATGCAAAACCCTATCACGAGTTTGTGTGCTCGCTGTCTTAACGGTGGCTCAATTATAACGGAGCAAAAAAAACCAAACGGAAGGCAGCTGACCAATAACGAGCATTGGGATCAACTTCATTACCGAAGCCCGGTGGCTAAGCCGTCTAATAAATAATATAGTGTTGAGCACTCGGTAATAGACAAGGCTTAGCCGCACCACTTCAATGCAAGCTGCTATCCTTGTAATTAGTTACATCTATCACAACAACCATCACCAAAACCAGTAGATTCAAGGTTACTGAGACCTAGGAGAGGACCAAGTTCTCCACCACAACCACAACCTCTGAGTATACTAAGACTGCTACTGCCAAAACCATCCCTATTTCAACTGTCCAGGTCAATCCATGCGGCCTTACTTCCTACGGTAGAGTTGAGGTCGACCTGCCCGAGTCACAGGAGTTGATGACAAGCAACTAAGTTACACTCCCAGGCAGCACCAACATCGACAGGGATTGCTGTAACGCTTGCTACAATACCCTTGGCTGTGTTTACTGGGCTAAAAGCCTGACAGATGTTACATGTCTCAATTTCAAGGCGATCAATTCAGCCGGATGTTCTACCCCTCAGTGTCCCAACGGGTTCCCTCAGTTTTCTGTTTCAGGTCAGGATGATCAGTACATGTATTTTGCCGGGCCTTGTGGAAGTGAGATGATCCAAGCATAGTTTCAATATACACATCATTCTCGCAAGGTTGTTTGCTCCTTCGAGTAAAGGCTAGATTGTTCCAAAATTATTGTATTGGTTAACATTGATAATAGTCAATTCTATGCACTTTTGCGAATACTGTTTAATGAGAAAACTGTCATCACTAGCCATCATTGGGTAAATGTGCAATTAAGCAGAAGAATTTCAGCCCAGGAGTGAATATGTTACAGCTAGCTAAACTATCAAAATAAATACAGTGTAAAAGTAAAAGGCTTTCTTATCATGTATACCGAGACTATCGTATTTGTCCCAAATGCCGTGAATGAGAAACTGTCAAAACAGCACGTCCTGCGTGAAACTTGCCAGTTTTTCATGCATGGCCTGGAATCAGTTGCCTGAGTCTGGATCTCAAGTTGTCACTGGATTGGGGGCTTAGACGCGGGCAGTAACGTCGCGGGCGTGGCGGCGGACGTAAGGGGTAGAGTTGCAGCCGGAGTCGTTGTTGTTCTGGGCAGGCTGCTGGTTCTGGTTCTGGTTCTGGTTCTGACCCTGCTCTTGGGACTCAGCAGCAGGAGCAGAAGAAGCACCGCCCTCGACAACCTTCTCGACGTCACCAGAGGCACCATCGGTAGTACCACGGATGGTACCACCGGGAATGACATCGGGACCAGGGATAACATCGTAGGCAGTGGAAGAGCCCCAGAGAGAGAAGTTAACGGCAGGGTCGTCCTGCTTGTAAACGCCGGGGATCTTGACAGAAGTACCAGGAATGCTGGAGGCACTGTTTCCAGAAACCTCAACCTGGGCGCAGGCGTAGTAGAACTCGGCCTCGCCACCGTGGGCACCGTGGAGGGCAATGTGCTCACCACGAACAAGGTACTGTCCGTCGGGGAGAGTAGAAGGAATCTTGAAGTGGACAGAGTCCTCGTCCCAAGAGCACCAAGAGGGACCACGGAGCTCCTCAGGGCTACCAGCCTTACAGACAAGAGCCTGGTGAATCTTGTACCAGTCGAGGTCGGAGGGGTCGGCGGTGGCAGCATTATCAACCTTGGCAGCGTAGACCTGGATGGGACCAGGGTGCTGCATACCGGTACCGCCGAAAGCTTGCTTGAGACCGATCTCGTCACCAGCCTTGACCTTGAAGACGTCGGCGGAGGCGGTGCTGCCCTTGTTACAGGTGAAGTCCTTGTCGTTGGGGGAGATGGAGCCGTCGGGGATGCCCTTGAACTTGGTGGGCATGTAACCGTTCTGGTGCTTGCGGATGTACTGGTTGTCGGTTCCCTCCTGCTGACCGCTGACGGTGAGCTTATCGAAGGTGTAGTGGGCGCTGACGGCGGAGGCCAGACCGAGAACAGCGGAAACGTAGCTGGTGGTCTTCATCTTGATCGAGTTGAGTTGGAGTGAAAGAAGAGAGTGATAGTTGATCGCAAGCGATGTAGATAACGATAGTAAGTTGATAAGAAAGAATGAAGTGAGACTAGCTCTTTGAAACGAATGAAATGGGCTGATTGATGAATGGATGATCAGAAAACCTTTGAGCGAGACCTCGAATGATATTTATATAGAATGCATTTCTCATCGAGTCAAGCCAAGAACGTCCGTCTCGTATTCCATCCCGACGTCTTGTGTTATCTCAAGTTCCCTCCCGCGATCCTACCATAACGGTGCTAGGCGAGCCTTGATCCCTTCCGGGCATCTTATTTTCATCGGCCAAGAAAGGCTGCTATTGGTTCGTTTTCTTCTCCTACCCATTTTTTGGTTCCGTTTCAAGACCTTTAAATATATTTCAGACGTTAAGTTTCTCTTGGCAGTCAAAATCCCTGCTCACCCTGGTTTCAGCGCGTTTCAACAGCAGCCGTTTTTCAAGACTAGCCAATGAAAAGCTCAGCTTACGCTCAGCTCAACGGAGAATTTGGAAATTTTCCACCGATCGAAGCGCTTATTATCTATCATTTTTGCTACACTCGGACTTCTCACGGTGAGAATGGCAGCTGTTTGTTGCCACAGACAGACCATATCATTGAGTCCCAAGATGAAGATGCATGGTATGACCCATTAGTTACTGGCGGCGCTAGAAGTGTGAATGGGGTCTTTAGCGATTTCAATGATTGTCAAATGAGGCTCAGTAACTATTAATTGATGAGAATAGTTTCTGCGCCTTGGCTAACATTGGCGCAACCAATTATCAGGATACAATTGGATGCTGCAATTGAACTGTGGAGCATAATGTTGTTACTTGGTGTGCGATAGGTGGAACTTGTCTATCTTGCGACAGTTAAGTCGAGTGTTACTCTGTAATTATTTGGCACTTGGCAAAGGGTTCCAGGAGACAGACGCACCGGTAGACTAGCGACTGCCTAAATAGTTAGAAGCTTAAATTACCTTGAGTTTTTTTAGATGCGAGACCAGGCAATCTGTGTTCTCGAATAGGAAGAAGATCTCAGAGTAGAGAATTGGAACTCCAGCTGATACTTTGTTATCCATTATGGAACTCCGACCAAGTTGCTCTGAAGGAGAAACTAACTAGAGATGGGTTGATCATCATTTGATCAATAGAGATAAACGCCAATTGAACATCTAATATCCACCAGCCAACAACTAACAGTCACCATCCAGCTTTATCTCTAGTGCTGCACCCAATCCGATCATCGATCATCCAATAGTGGAACTTTTCGACAGGAACGAGGCTCTGTCCTTCACATCGACTTTGGATGCTATCAGTTGTGTTGTCAATCGTCTTGGCAGGGGCAGCAGGCTGTGACTCGGTGGCCAAGTCTGCGACAGGCACAAGAACCTCAGGCCAGTTGCATCCAACTTCCTTCCAAGTCGACCTGAAGCAATCCCAGCCTCCACTGCAACTGACATTGACGTCTGTGACCATTCTAAGACATCGCTTGTTGGATTGATGACTGAACTTGAACTAACCAGTCTATACCGAACTCGGTCACGCCTGGGCCACCAGTACCTTAGCAACCTGCGATGACACTAACTCCATAAAAGCAAATTCGGAAATGAATGTACGCTCAGAACTATCACATGCGCCAAACAAGCAATTTGTGCGGTCGGCAATCGGAGAGATGGCCATGGCCTGAAGAATTGAGGTGCTATCGAAACGCATGTCGACGATTTTTCAGAGCTCTTGAGCAATAATTTTACGCTGGCAAGGCAGTGAGACAAGAGATTTTACCTTGGGGCAGTGGGCAGTTCATGGTTTTTGCTTTGGCCTTTTCGTATGACTAGGTAGCTTAATTATGAAATGATACAATGATAATTTATGCAAATTCCAATCCGGTTTAAAGCATATGACTTACCTGCTGCTATTGTCGGTAGATGTTTTCCTGAACTAGAGCATATCAAGGATGATTTTGCGAGCCTGACTTTCTTTGATCAGCACGTGGCAGGGAGCTCCACCAATCACGGTTCCGTACTTGTCGACAGGTACTCTCATTGTCTTTTTCTTTTCCCTCATTACTTGGTCTTTTCCCTGTTACTCCACAAGCTTCATCTAAACGGCCTTCAACTGTTGTCTGTTGCCATGGCTAAATTAGTTACTCTATCACTCTCGGTTAGCATCTTTTCGTGCGTTCCCTGCATAACATTTCACAGATAAAGACTCCTTACTCTGGCAATCTCTCTAAGCTTTACATGGATGCTCCCACAGTGAAGATAACAGGTGCCCAACAACTTGACACTGTTTCTGCCGCCGATTAGGTTGTTATAGATATATTAAAGAAGCCTGTGGGCCGAGTTACAACACTTTCTCAGCCAGCTACACAGGTAGCTTTTTATCATCAATGCTTTAATATAAATGGTATTGATTGAACGATAGAGGGAATTAAACCTGAGCATATCTGTGTGGTTAGAACATTGAGAATCAACTGAGGCAGTTCGGTAGCTTATTAGGCCATCTGGCTAGCTGAAAGAGGTTAGTTAAGTTTGCAATGAAACAAACTAGAGTTTAGCTAGCCAGGTTCTTTCCCGCGGGAACTTCCTCAGCTAAACTGTCCAACGTTGAGGCTGAGCAATTAAACGTTGGAGTTAGAAGCAATCCTACCAAGTCTCTAGTAATCTATTATATTTCTTGGAAGGTAGCTTACCGACAGATATACAACTTCTAGGATATACGTCCAGTGTAATAATTGCTGAATTAGCCGATTGCAATTCTAGTCTGGCTCGTTTATAAACGACGGCTATAGACTGCGGAAATACTGTGCTTAGCTCACCAAGAGAATCCCTGCATGTGGATATTCTTTCGCTACTATGATACCAGGTAATGAGGTAATGTGTATTCTCAAAATTTGCATTGCAATTTGAGACAGCAGCATTCACCAAAGGAGAGATTAGCTAAGAAATCTGTTCATATGCAGCGAACTACCAGTGTAAAAAATGTTCAGTTATTAATATCACAAGTTTCCATTTTACAGTAAACTCTACATACTTAAAACCATTCTCTCACCTTGGCAATACCTCTCACTTGATGGTAATGCAATTGGAAGCAAAAGATAAATCCCTTCTCTGCAGGGTAAGAGTAGTTCGAGGTGCGTCTGGTGTAACTTAATGCAACTTAGTGACACTTGAAATGCTAGTCTACTCTACTACTTTAGCTCGGAATGTGACACACGCACGGATACTAAGATCCTTCATTTACCTGAATCTGTTGACAGCTCTATGTTAGCACGGACTTTTCAAGCCGACAAAGGTAATTGAGTCGTCAAACGAAAGCCCTAAACTTCTATGGTCATTAACGCCTTTTCCTCATCCCGTGATTATCTCCGTATACAGTTACAAATCTTCACATAATCAGATTCCATTTTTCCCAATGCTACGTCAATCTCACATTTCCATGGCTGAGGTCTTATTGTGGGCGCATCCGACATTGTTATTGGCGGGATAATGTTCTACCAAGATGAGTCTCACTTGGGAAAGAATCTAGAACATTTTCCCCTCTTGAGTCAACATGAAACAGAAGAGTCTCCACGTTGGACCATCAATTGGATCGTGTTCTTAACTGAGACTGTCCACATCAACCGAAATGAGCCAGTGCCCCCCCTAAGCTAAACTTAGTTCAGAACTCCCGAGACGAATTGGTCAGTGAACAAGGGTGCATAGGTAACCAGGCACTGGTATTGGATCAGTCGTTGTTCTTTCGCCTCGCTAGTTTGCCAAGTAAACAAAAATGCCGAGAATCATCTCACTCTCATCCCATCATTGTCTATCGTCACAATGCATTTATCACCCATTTAGCCTGATAAATCATCCGACGCGTCAACTTTAGCCAAGGCGCGAATCCACAGCTTCAATGCACCCCAGATAACCCAGTACCAAAAGTTCCCAAGTAATCTGGAGATGAGCAGGTTAATTAGCCAGTTAAGCTGGAAGCCAGAATCGCCCCGACTACTGCTACCCCTGGAAGTTCGGTTAGCGGCATAGCACCCATAGCGACAATCTCCTCGAAACAATCGGAAGCGGTCTCCGGTTGACTAAGAAGGGAAAAGTTGTTTGTATCATGGAATAATTCCACCCCGCGCATAGACTTGCTTCTTTTGGCCTTGCTCAGAGTCGAATGGCTTCACCATCATGGACAACGATCGAGCCATCCACTACCTCAATCTGGCATATTTAACATCCTGCTTTCCCGCTCTCTTGGCACTTGGCATTCACTCACTATCACATACAAACAAAACACCTCTTCATTCATTCCCATTGCAGGTCAATTGATCACTATCATTCTTTTCCATTCCAACAAACAACGGCAACCATGAAATTCTCTTCCCTCCTCTTTACCGCCTCGCTGGTCGCGGCCATGCCTGCTTCCGTCGAGCCTCGTCAGGCCCAGGACAGCATCAACAAGCTGATCAAGGCCAAGGGCAAGACCTACTACGGCACCATCACCGACCCCAACCTTCTCCAGAGCCAGCAGAACAACGCCATCATCAAGGCTGATTTCGGTCAAGTCACCCCCGAGAACTCGATGAAGTGGGATGCCACCGAGCCTCAGCAGGGCAAGTTCAACTTTGCTGGTGGTGACCAAGTTGTCAACTTCGCCGCCCAGAACGGCCTCAAGGTTCGAGGTCACGCTCTTGTCTGGCACTCTCAGCTTCCTCAGTGGGTCCACAACATCAAGGACAAGAACCAGATGAAGAGCGTCATTGAGAACCACATCAAGAACGTTGCTGGTCACTACAAGGGCAAGATCTACGCCTGGGTATGTACTACTCTGTCACCAATTCCATATTCGAATACGTACTGACTGCAACAGGATGTCCTCAACGAGATCTTCGACTGGGATGGTTCTCTCCGCAAGGACTCCCCCTTCACTCAGGTTCTGGGTGAGGAGTTCGTCGGCATTGCCTTCCGCGCTGCCCGCGCTGCTGACCCTAACGCCAAGCTGTACATCAACGACTACAGCATTGACGACCCCAACGCCGCCAAGCTCAAGGCCGGTATGGTCGCTCACGTTAAGAAGTGGGTCTCCCAGGGCATCCCCATCGACGGAATTGGTTCTCAGACCCATCTTGACCCTGGTGCCGCCAATGGTGTCCAGGCTGCTCTCCAGCAGATGGCTTCCACTGGTGTCAAGGAGGTTGCCATCACTGAGCTCGATATCCGCTCTGCTCCCGCTGCCGATTACGCTACCGTTACTAAGGCTTGTCTCAATGTTCCTAAGTGTGTCGGTATCACTGTCTGGGGTGTCTCTGACAAGGACTCTTGGCGCAAGGAGAAGGACAGTCTCCTCTTCAACGCTCAATACCAGCCCAAGCCTGCCTACACCGCTGTTGTCAACGCTCTCCGTTAAATGCAGATTGTCATAGAAAGAGGACTCTCTAACGAGTTGTCATCGGGGACCTTGAGGTTGTTGGAAGCACAGGGGGCTTCGTAGCCAGAGTTTTGGCTTCATTGCACATATCTTATTTTGTTACATATTCGTTTTGTTTTGTATAAATATTGAGATGGTAGCTGTCTGGTACATGGTTATTTGTTAGTATAGCTGGATCAACGGTCAAATACATATTTACCATCCAACCATTTCTTGAAGAACACACTATGAATATTGTTTTGACTTAGCCTCATCTGACCATGGTTTACTGGACGCATCCGTTCAATGCAACCCCCACTCTGGTTGCGCTGACTATGTTGCAGATGGTAGATCTCACATGGCTCAATGACCATGGTACCAGCCACTTAGATTGCAACTCGGATCATTTATACTATCGATCAAAGAGGCATGTTTAAATCCATTTACCTTTGAGTATGCTGGTATCCTGGGAAGAGACGATTGCCGTAGGCCGCCCAGTCGGCCCCTGGGTAACGGTCCTTGGCTGTTTGGCTTGGCTGACACCAAATTCTTCAGATATGGACCATTGTAGCCACTCGACTAGAGACACCAATGGCGTTTACTAATGCGCGTTTATCTCACCTTCCAAGACTGCCCTAGCTCCATGCACATCCAAGATTTAAGCTTGATTTAAGGTAATGGATTAGGTTTTACCCCGCCTGCCAAGTAGCTCTTGGCACCTAAAGCAGATTAAATGGCCAATTACCTCTATTCAATCATTATAGCCCTCCACTCTAAATGTCTGTTAGGGAAATGATTGCAACAAGGATAGATCTAGACTGGCTGAACTGTGCTGCGGAGTGTCCACCCTACCAACCACATGATATGCAATGGAACATAGGCTTGCGGCACCCAGATCTGAGTCCCTGAGGCGACAGAAAAATACATAAAAGGAGGAAGCAAGTCGTCATCAGATGCAGGGCCCCACGTACACAACATCGCGGAGACAAAATCATGAATGTCAGGCAGTCGATAGACAGAAAGGACAAGGAAGATGGTCCGCCCGTGCCGTTTGATGAGGTTGAAGAGATTCTCAAGACAGTCCCCCGGGCCCGTGACTACTCCGGTGCCCATGAGAAAACGGACCCAAGAGAGATTGCACTCGTCAAGAAGTTAGACTGGTGGATCATGCCTATCCTATGGCTAATGTACTGGCTCAATTATCTGGTAAGTACGCTTTCGACGCCCGCCATAACCATCATCAACAATCTGACATGGTAAGGATCGCAACGCCATTGCCCTGGCCCGTCTCAACAGCATCGAAAAAGATCTCAATCTTACAGGCACACAATACCAAACCTGTGTATCTATTCTATTCGCTGGATATGTTATCGTTGGCATCCCGGCCAACATGGTTGTCACGCGCATTAGGCCGAGTATCTGGATGGCATCGTGCATGACTGTCTGGGCCATCATCAGTGGCCTCACAGCACTCAGCCGCAACTACACAGGTTTGCTACTTACGCGATTCTTCCTTGGAATCTCAGAGGCGCCTTATTACCCTGGCGCATTGTATATCCTTGCACGATTTTACACTCGAAAGGAACTCGCGACGCGTATTTCAATTCTTTACACGGGGAATATTCTTGCCACTGCGTTTGCTGGGTTGATTGCATTGGGTATCTTTGAGATGGATGGAATGGTATGTTATTCTAATCCACCTGTGCATAGCTACTAATCTTTCTAGGCGAATCTCGCTGGATGGCAATGGCTCTTCATCATTCAAGGCGCAGTGACCCTCCTCGTTGCCATAGCGGGCTTCTTTGTCTTGCCTGACGAGCCACTCACCACTCACTGGCTCACGCCCGAAGAACAAAAGCTCGCCCACGAACGTACTCAGCGCGACACTGTAGGGAACTCAGGCGAGTCTACAAGCTGGACGGGTATCATCTCTGCTGCCAAAGATCCCAAAGTGTGGCTGTTTGTGGTGATGCAACATTGTCATCTTGGAGCGAACGGGTTTAAGAACTTCTTCCCTACAGCTGTCAAGACGCTTGGGTTTAACCAGACTATTACACTTGTTTTGACTTGTCCTCCATATTTGATTGCTGGCGCGGTTTCGATTGCTTGGTCCTGGTCATCGGGAAGATTTAACGAAAGAACATGGTGAGTTGCTCCTAGCATTTTATAATTGATCGGCACTGACATCGCAGGCACATCACCATTGCAAAAGCTGTTGCAGTATTTGGCTTCGTCCTTGGATGTGCTACCCTTAACACGGGTGCTCGCTACTGTAAGTACCTTCCTCTTATTCTAGAATCATTACTGATGAGATCGACAGTTGCCATGTGTGTCTTCTCCATCGGTACCTACGCAGTCAACAGCATCATCCTCGGTTGGGTGTCAGCCACCTGCTCCCAGACAAGGGAAAAGAAGGCATGTTCACTCGCTATCGTCAACTGCATTGCGGTAGCTTCTTTCATCTGGACACCCTACATGTGGCCTTCCTCCGATGAGCCTCGGTATACGATGGCAATGTCTTCCAGTGCAGCCTTGAGTGTAGCGACTGCCATTGGAGCCTGGGGCATGAGATTCTGGCTAATACGAGACAACAAGAAGATCAGACAGTCCGAGAACGAGACTACTCTGTACTACGCTTACTAGAGTATGAAGGAACGGTTGGGTAACGATTCCAACTTAGTGCCTAATGGGAAGTTACTATAGGAAAGGCACTCGATACATCTACGTAGTGGAGGTGCAAAGATCTGTTCGGCTACAGCACTTGACTCTACCCAGTAACAGTATAGTCGGTATTGAGTTGATATTGGACATGTTTATACTGTAATAAGTTCTCAAGAAGGCCGCAGCGAATTCATCAGTGGCATATAGACTTGAACATTATTGTGAAGCAATTTATGGTTTGCTACTACTATATAACGCATGGCTGACTAGTCTCTGCGTCCATACTCTAATTCAGCAGTTTCGCCCTTCACCTCAGCCTTCTCATCCCTCGCCATGATGGCTTCATTGTCAGGCGCAAGCCTAGTTCCATGACGACCAATCTTGTACCAAGGTAGTGAGAACAACTCGTCAGTGCTCTCGAGCGATCGGCCAGCCAATTCAGGAACAAATGCCCAAACCCAGATAAGACCAAGTAGACAAACAGCTGCGCAGAAGAAGAAGAAGCCAGCGCTTGTCATGGAAAGGAGCATAAGCGGAACAGCCTTTGTGTTACCGTATTGATTGGCGAAGTGTAGACACATCGTCATGGAGCTTCCCAAGGCTCGTAGACGAAGAGGCCAAATCTCGGCGTTAACAAGGTATTGAAACGAGTTCCAACCCATTGTCCATCCTACGCCAGAGAGGTAGAGCATCACGACAGCACCCACACCGGCATGCTTCTGAGATGGGGTCAAGGTTCCGTTCTCGAGAGCTTCTGTGCCGACAATGCTAAGGAAGATGGCGATGTAAAGAATAGAAAACATCTGAATGGTGATACCACCATACAAGGAGCGTCGTCGCCCGATGAAGTCGACCAAGAAGAAAGCACAAAGGTAAGCGGAACTGAGCTTAACCACACCGAGGATACAAGTGGCAAAGAGCTTCTCAGATTGACCAGACTTTCCGAGGATACCAAAGAACTCGACAGCATAAATAGTGATTGCACTGGCGCCAGACCACTGACCGAGTAATTGAGCCATGAAACCCAGCATAAGACGATATCGGTTAGCCGGGATGGCGAACAGCTCACGTAGCTTGCCCCATTTTGATACTCCAAGGAAAGCCTCCTGCTCACGTTCGAGCTGTTCTTGGATACCATACAACTCTGCTTGGACGAATGGATGTGTTTCGGGGAGTTGTCTAAGCTTACAAAGAGCCTTGGTGCTCTCTTCATTACGTCCCTTCATGGTGAGCCATCGTGGGGTCTCGGGAACCATGAATGATAAGATCAGAAGCAAGCTGTACATAGATGATTAGACCATGGTCCTAGAGAATAGACTGGACAAGCTTACCTAGAAAATCCAATGTGGCACATCTGGGGGTCAACCCATTGCCATCGAGACTTATTGGAAATATTGATAGAGGCTCCCCAATTGCTGAAATAAGCAATCATAACACCAAGATAGACTGAACCAGCAAATATGTTGGTGAGCATACCACGAATAGCTCTTGGGGCTGTTTCGGCAAGGTATGTCGGGCCGACAACGACAGTCATACCGATACCAAGTCCAGCAATGAAGCGTCCAGCTAGAATCTGACCAACGCTTCCATGACTCGTCACGACGATGATGAATCCGACCAGCCACAGCAGGCAAAGGACTTGGAGTGATCGTACACGGCCGATCTTGTCGCAGATGAAAAATGCTAGTAGCGAACCGGCGATGGAACCGATTTGGACCATGCTGGTAATATTGGACTCCACTTGGGCTTGGTGATGTTCAGAACCAGCGTCGAGATTGAATTCCTCCTTGAAGCTTTTGAGAGACACCATACCACCGACCAGACCTTCATCTAGTCCACGGCTAGCACCGAGGATACCTTAAGTTAATGTCAATATAGATACACATAGAGAATGGAAGAGATTGAATAAACAAATGACTTACCAAAGACAAAGGTGCTCCAGTACAGACGCCAGTTAAGCACCTCGCTAGGTGTCTCGGCCATAGCGGCCGGGTTACCAAGTCTAAACTTCATGTTGGCTGTCGTTATTAGAGACTAGAGCAAGAATCAAGACTCTACAATAGAAACTGATTCATCTCTGTGAAAGAGACTGGGCCAAAGTGTTTATAACCTCAAATCTCGGCCAACTCCATAGGTTAGAGGATAGATGGCGCGCGGGGAAATACGGAGAACCCCCACGAGAATATGAATCGTCTTGCAAATGATTGGATGACCCCGCAGCCTCTACTCACTATGGACGGCTATTTTGTGCCGATTGTGGATATTCTTTCTCCAACGGCCCTTTTCAATGCGGAGACAGTGGAATTCCCCGCATGCCTGTCCCTCTGTCTCTATCCCCCTGCGCTCATACATCGAGGACTTGTCAAAACACATTCCCGGGTGCTCTTTTTATCTCCAACGCAGAGCACATTTCCTCTAGAATCTTGCGGCATGCAAAGTTCCAAATCTCCATTTCGGTCTATTTCCAAAGCCTTGGTCAATCTTGAAGAGAAAGAAGTGTGTATTAAACTCCCGGACAAACCCTAGTCTCCTCATAGAACTTTTGTCAGTGGTGATGATCAACACGGATAACCGGCACAGTTGAACGATATAGCGTGTACCCCATCTTCGAGACGACCCTCAACCTCTGCTGGTCAATACTACTTTGGGTGGTCATTTCAACACAAATCAGGGTTCGCCCCGGAAATCTCGAGTCAAGTTGCCCGAAAGTTGATAGTTTCCCCGTAAACTTACGTTGTGATAGTTTGTTAGTTTGTTGGGGAAATAACGTTATTTTTAAATGTGCGGCGTCCATGCTCGTATTTCACGCACTATGAAGGCAGGACATTCAAATAACACAATACCTTTGGTAGGTAAGTACTGCATACACTGACTTGTCCAGTAGCAATGGTCTGCAACTGTTGCGGCATTTCTCTGAGATGACAGACCAAGCCCATCATCTGAAATGCAAGATACCATACAGGGCACACCGTTCTGTTTGTCTCGGCTCCACGTTACATCACTCCGTTGTGGTACGCATAAGCTTTGACGCAATTTTCAGGTTATGGTTAACCTTACGGGCCGTAGAGTATTACAATGGCGTAGAGCAAGTAAGTAATGCCATTCTCTTGGCGAATCTAGCCTTGATCTACAATACTGATTGGTCAAATAGCGAGATAGAGGTGAATTGAACCGATGCCACTGTTTCCAGCTTGGGTATTTTCTGAGGGGTAACCGCGAACAACTTTGCAGTAATTTTGACTTTATTCAGATAGAAATAAATACTAGTATAGGAAAGACGCGATGTGGCACAAATAAATTTTCATCCATTCTGGAAAACACACTGGGAAACGAGAGCTAACTGGCTGAGGGCAGCTAGCCGCAACAATATTCATGACCAATGGAATGAAGCCAATCATTACAGTCAACCCAACAACATTGAGATTGCCCAAGATCAAAGATTAAAGAGAGCATGAGGAGAGCATAATAACTAATACGACTTACCTATAGCTCTACTCGAAGCGTACCCGTTGTGCAAAGACCCCATTGGCATAAGTAACTGAAGTTGAACGTGGGAAGAGTTGGCCCAGAGCTCTTATTATCATTCATATAAAAATCAACATTTAATGCAACACTGCATAGTTATTTAGGTTTTTTTCTTCTGGCATGGCTTTATATTCTATTATACTGGTGATTAAATTCGACTCAAGTCGACTACTATAAGTTAAATTGATTAGTATCACATATTATTTATATATAGATTAAGCTTGCATTCTAAATGCTGATGAGTATTATCTATCAACTTCATCAGATCAACTTTTTATCCTGGATCTGAAATCGATGATACTAGAACGTCTAGGGCAAGGCAGCTGTGCGGAGTGTGGTGTTAAAAGGTGAGATGCATTGAGCTATGCTTGCAGTCTGCAAGGATATTCTTCGACATATAAGTTATAAGACGAGTGCTTGTGTACCCAATCGTTCATTTTAGACCTAGTCGTATTGAGCCAACCATTTCCTATAACACATTCGTCAGTGAATACATTGTACCTCATTACCAAGGAGAGCGTAAGCCAAAGGAAAAGTTGGGGTATCGATATTTCCATCTTGTTACTTACGCTGGGGCTTCCACCTATTTCTTTATATACGTTATATATTTTTCCATGCTTCTCTTAATACATCACAATACTCAACTTCAGCGATGTGTTTTGTTCAGCAGCATCGGGCGCCCAATAAATATGACTACACACATGGAAGTACTTGCATTCCTCAAGAGACAAGCTACTGTTTCCCAAACCGTTACTAATTTGCTAGCTAATAGGGAGTGCAGTTGACTGTGTTGAAGCGCTAGCATTATTAGTAACTAAGAAGATGCATCAATGACGAGTACGTAACCCCTTTGACACATTGAGGGTCAATTACCCCGGAGTCATGCGCCTTCGTCGACTTAGTCTCCGCAATCTATCAAATTTAAAATGTATAATTATGAAATAAAGTGTTTAGTATGTGTATTAAATGTGTCTCTTTTACCTTAGACTGCTAAGATCCGGGTAGTTCAATAATGGACGCGGCCGGCGATAAGACAATGATAAGACAATGATAAGATTAGATATGAGATGACCCGATAAGATGCGATTAGAAGAGATAAGATAAGATAAGATAAACTGCTGTGCAATCAGCTACAATATATGAATAGACACCTACTCAATTGACTGGATGATTTACAATGAGAATGACCACAACGCAGTTCCCCTCGATATAACTTATTAACTATCTACTCAAATAACATAAGTAAAAAGTCCCCACATTAAATCTTCAATTATAATATAAGTTCAAGCCTCAGTTGACAGAGGTTATTATAATGAGAGTTTCTAGACTTGGAAAATTACCCTATATCGTATGACGTGTTGAGAGTACGGCTAGTAAGTATTGCAGATTGTTAAGACATAATGGCGCAGAAGATCGTCCGAAGTACAGAGTAGCGGCGATTGCAATTCTCTCCGTAATGCAAAAATATGGACCGAGTGAGACACTGTCGCAAGATGGGATGGGTCATTCGCGCTCGGCACAATTTGACCAAATTTCCGGAACTTGTCAGGCAAACCCTAACTCTGAAGAGGGCTACCAACCCCTGACTGTCGGCGAGAGACTAAACCAATCTAGGTTAATGAAACCGCCAACTGTCGATCGACTGGAGAACTAAGGTACCACCCAAAGACACCATTTCTTTCTAGCGTTGGAGAAAAGCTTCAATAGTTTATACTTTCAGAAGCTCCAATCATGGGTTTTAATAAAGTTCCTTAGGTTAAATACACCCACGACAAAGATTCCACCGGCATGAACCGAGGAGACGACCACAAAATGAGACAGAGAACAGTTTTAGCTAGCTCTTACCGACTTGTCCAATCCAGCATGGCTAGCCTTGCTCGCTAAGAGTTTAGCCCTGGTCTAACGGACCGTCAAGGTTCGCTTCATTTGGAATCTCAGGTTTACCGTAAGCTAACAATCGCGGAGGTACAATAACTCCGTGCTTGACGCTAACAAGCGGGGGATATGTTGTGGCCCCTATTCTACTTCTCGCGACGATGAGACATCGATTGAGTTGATTGCAACGTCGTCACCGACTGTGTGGTTCACTTTTCTTGGCTCATAGCCCTCCTCGAAATCCTAATTTGTGAATATTTGGACCCCCTCTGTAATCAGACATGAATGACCTACCCACTGCCATCCCGAGGGGATCGTGGATTCTCGTCACAGGAGCAAACTGCTACACAGGTAGCCATGTGGTTATTGAGCTCCTGAATCGAGGGTTCAATGTGCGCGGCACGGTCAGAGATCTCGAATACAGCAAATGGCTCCTTGAGCATCCTTCGGTAAAGCCATTTACCGACCAAGATAAGGTGGAATTGGTTCTTGCCGACACATCAAAACCAGGAAATTTCGACGAGGCAGTCAAGGGAGTCTCAGCTGTAGTTCATATCGGAAACATTGGGGAGCAAACACCAGATCCCAATGTGGCTTTCCCATCAGCCATCGAGGCTGCTTTAACCGTTTGTCGATCTGCTGCCAAGGAACCCGCCATCAAGCGGTTTGTGCTCGCGTCAGGTCTTTGGTCAGCGGTATGGGCAAGACCAGGGGATTCATCGACAATCAAACAGGAAACCTGGAACGAAGATCTAGTCAAAATGGCGAATTCGCCTCCGCCATACGAATTGACTCGAATGCTTATAACCTATCTGGCTGCCCGAGTCGAAGCAGAAAAAGCGGTATGGAAGTTTGTTCAAGACGAAAAACTTCCCTGGGTAGTCAATTCTGTCAGCCCATGTTGGACGCTGGGCGACCCATTACATGCGAGGCACTATGCTCCGATGCCGACTCAGCTGCTGCAGCAGTTATATCTTGGAAAGACAGAAGCACTTAAGGAGAACACGACAGGTAAGCCGATATGAAACTAATATGAGACGACGAGAAGCTAAATATACAGTGTACTACACTCACGTGTCAGACGTGGCAGTCATCTATGTTGCTGCTGTTATCGACCCTGACGTAAAGGGTACTCGCATTCAAGCCCTTGCAAAATCCTTCAATTGGAACAATGCGCTAGCAGTCATGCGCGCAGCGTACCCCGAAGAAGATTTTGAGGAAGATTTCATCGCTGGAGATCCTACCTTGATATACAAGATCGAGAACGACATCGCGCCAGGACTGCTACAAAAATGGGCTGGGAGAGAGTGGATCAGTCTAGAGAAAGGCATAACGGAAACGATTGACTTTTCCCGAAAGATTGGTAATTTAGACTAGGATTCGGAGCTCAGAAGGTAGTGCTACAAAGACGATTATGACCGTGCAAGACCTCTCCGACGCCACGACACTAAAAGAACAAACATATGTATAAAACCATGGTTTCTAATGATATCGAACAATTCAAGACATCGTAAAATCCATCACTCCTTCGAAGGGGTCTCCGTTTCTGGCTTCTTCCCATATACAACGTAACTATAGTGCTCAATCAGTAAATCTATTCTTTAAGGAGGGACAGAGTTTAGATGGCCACTTACATAGGGATATAAGCATGGACATTTCGATCTCGGATCTGTTTTCTCATAGCCGAGCAAAGGATCATGACCTCGTCAGCGGTCCATCCTAAGAACCTTGTGAACAGCGCAAGCAAGAGACCCTCAAGTCCATTGTTCATGTTAGCATAAGACCACTTTCCAAGCTCCTTGTGATGCTTGTCCTTTGGCCACTCGTTTATTGGCCACTTGTACTTCTTCTCGACAACGTCGACGAAGCCGGCTTTTTCGAAGAACTCCTTGTACTGTGGCGGGAGGTCGATGGCGCGTCCAGCTTTAGCGCTGGCTTCGATGCTTAGCTTGCCGGAACGAACAAGGGCGCTGTCTGGGAGGAGAGTTCCATCATCACATGCGATGGGGTAGGTGAGGTCTTGCATTTCCAGGTAGCCACCAGGCTCGAGGTTTCTAAATGATGGTGTCAGAGTAATTGATACCTATAGTGACCATGACGTACTCGTAACTGTTCTTGATGAACTTTTCGGTGTCGGCAAAAGACCCTGTCATGGTACGGGCAAAGATGAAGTCGAACGGCTCCGTCCAGGTCCATTCTTTCTCAAGGTCATCGATTTCAAAGATGCAGTTGGGCGGAACCCTTGAGGTCTGTCAGTGTGTGGCAGTGTGAAAGAGTGGATGGACACATTACATATTCGGTTGAATAGGACTAAGGTCAACACCGATCACCTAATTTATTTAGTCATGCAGAAACGAGACACAGTATAGGGCAAGTTCTACCTTAGCTTCGGGATGAGCATCAGCTGGCAGCATGATTAGTTGTGTCTTCATTTGCCAAGGGTGTGAACCAACCATATTCGATAGCCCAAAGGCCGGTGCCAGTACCAGCATCAAGAACACGCTTGGCAGACCCTTTGACCTTGGGGTTAAGACCGAGTTCACCATGAAGTGTCAGAAGCCAAAGGTTGTGCTGCAAATCTGTGTCGTCTTGTCAGTGATAATTTTACCTTCACTTGACCTTGTTGACATACCAAGTCGATCACTTTCGGATTCATCGTTGGGAAAATTGTATTCTAGTTCATGTGTTAGCTTGGATCTTTCGATTCCCCATCCTAGTAGATAATTACTTACTCCCAGAGCTCATGGCGTGATATGTACGGCCATTTTCCTCTTGATACTGCAAGACGCTTGAGCGAAGTGACTCCAAGCTTTCGAGATCCGACTGCGACTATTTAGCTTACTGCTTAAAATGGCCGACTAGAACCGCAATACACATGGGTTTAGAGTCATGGATATGCAAAACTTACGCCTGAAAAAGTAGAGTCTGAGTCGCCATCGTCAAAGACGTCCGCAGCCTGCTCACAAGTTAGCGCACTATCACGACGTAGAATGTCACTACATACCAGCGGCTCGTGCGCTTGTTCAACTTGTGCAGTCATGACACCGTATTGTCAATTAAAAGCGATAACTATGATCAAGGTAGAAAATTTCGGACAAGAGAGGGGAAGAGAATTTCATCATTCATAATCAGGTGACCAAAGATCCTACGGGAGCTGGTTCATGTTGGGAAGGACGTAGGAAAAGACATCCGGTCGGTTCATGCAGTTTTGGCCTGTTGAGGAGCTTATTCCCGATGCATCTCCCAGGCACAGTCATGCCATGAACCAACAGTCCCACTGCCAAGACCCATTTTGAACACTCTAGGTTGGCGAGTCGACTGATTGCAACTGTGTTCAATGTCTTGATTAAAGCATAGAAATACTTGACAATTATAATTTGATATTGCAAATTGAAAACGCAACGTTCGAAGGAAATGTAATGAAAGCCGATTCCTTCAAGTCCAAGTTGACGACAGTGCGGAAGCGTCACACAGTAACGCCATTGTTCATGTGGTCGGATAATTTTGCCAATGTTCCCTGCCACCCTCCCATGTGTGAACCAATAAGATGCGACTCGCAGAATATACTGAGTTCCCATGTGAGTTACCGGTTAAAACGACGCTACAGGTTTCGCACTTTCAACTGGACCATCATTTCATTTGTATGCCTCATATTACATTTAAGCCATAGAAGTAACCATCCACCTCGTTTTAACCCAAGCTGCCATTGCAGGATATTATTTCCAAATACAATTCGTCATGCATTTTTTATTAAAACATTTATAATAACCTTTCGAAAACCCATATTCACTTCCTCTCGCTTGAATCACCCATCTCATGGACTTGTGACTCGTGTCCTGGTGCTTCATAAACAGGCGGCGGCCCAAACATGGACTGTCTACCATCTGACTGCAGCGGAGAGATAGCGGACCCCGGTTGAGTATGAGGTGACGCAACCATTTTTGAATCAAGCATACTCGGGCCCATGTTCTGTGGAATGAAATTCATAACTGGAGGGTTGATAGGTCCTTGAGTAGTCACAGTCTTGTTCCTCTTTCGTCGGAGAACGAAAAAGATACCCAGCATGACTAGACCAATAAGAGCTACACCACCGACAGCTCCTCCCACTATGGCTCCAATGGGCGCTGAGCTACTCTTGTTACTGCCATCGTTTGAAGTTGATTTTGTAGATTCAGCTACCTTCGTGATCGTAGTGGGTTCGTCGGTTTTGGTTGCTGCTTTATCCGCCGCTTCTTCTAACTCTGTTGTTGCACCCGCACCATTGGCAACTCTCGTCGTGAACTTGGGGTTTTTCTGACCATAGAAAGTGTGCTCAGCGCTCTGTTCCGCTGTCAAAGATGAGGATGCACATCTATAGTCTCGTATACCGTTAGGGAAAGCGTAAGTTCGGCAGTAGGGCATGTCGGAGTCGGTGCTACGACAAGGTGTGTCAGTGATGGAGGCCAACCATTATAGAGCATCTAGCCTACCATAGGAGATTCATCGTGTCACTCTGGCAGACATCATTGCAAAGTGTGGGATCGACTGCCTTGAACGACTCGTAGCAGTTGACCTTTATTTCTGTTCCGCATCTGATAACGCCCGCGTCCTCTTGTACAAGAGCCCATGCGCACACTTCTTTATTCGTGCAGGTAATCGGTACACCGATCTCTGCCGAGAGATAACCGCACGTCGCATCAGGGGCGTTGGTGACGGTCAAGTCAAAGGGAGAAGAAACCTCTTGTCGTTGTTGCAGTTCGCGTCTCTGGAGTAGCTGTATTTGATCGAGAAAGTCCATAGGGTCGGCTGTGATTTCGGGCATGCTCGGCATCAATTGTCTTCCTGCGTGCCCTGTTACCATGGCGCTGACGGCAAAGGCCATCTTTCCAAGGAAGAGGGCCTCTCTGAAAAGCAACGCCCGATACATGATGGCTGTCAAGGTGGGTGAATGGTAGAAGGGTAAAAAGAACCAACAAATAGAAAGATGTACGAAGAATTTTTTTCACAACACAGTTGGAATGCCATGAATACTTAAGTGATCGCGAACCACGGTAAGACAAAATCCCATGACAAAGAATGCTTAGGGCTGGGGACGATTTGGGGCTCGGCCAGCCTAGCGCAAGCCCAGCGCAAGCCAAATCAAGCCACATTTCTTATTGAATAACTGGCATCTCATACCTTGACTCGATGATTGGCAGTCAAAGAGCCTAAATCTTACACTTAATTCAGCCTCCGCCATCTGGTATGTAGTTTCAAAAATAAGCTCTAGCGTCCTCCGTTTCTCCTCGGAGGGGCACTGGAAAAAGAGGGCAAAAGGGTCTTGAAATGGTCGTTGAACAGAGACACACACATATTTCCGGTAGCTGTTTCCATTCTAGGCAATTGGCTTGCAATCGAGTTACTACTTTATCTCTTCTGTGAAAAGTGTTAAGCGATGGTCTGGTGGCGAAGGCGCAGAACACAACGTGCGGCTGAAAACATTGGTGACAGACTAACTGGAACTACGGTTTGAATCATGAATGGCTGTGCTAGACAATAAGCAGTAAAGAGACAAATCAGCTGAAAGGCGCTGCAATAACAAATTGGTGATGAATATAGACATCCACTTCCTATAGGCAGACATTAGCTCATAGCCAAAGAGAACGAACAGAATCTCAGAGATAAAAATCCCCAAGAGCTATTCCGTCACCTCGTTGTCGCTCCCGCCATTATTTGCAAAACACCAGCCTTATTGCTATCAAAAACTGCTCTCAACACTGAGTCGATGCTCAAATTACCATCTCTTGTCAACCGACACTCAGGCTCGTTGCTATGCCCGATTAAAAGCTCACAGACGTTATACCAATCTAACATTGTCGCGGCTGAATCTAAATCTTTTAATAACGGGTTATACCTTGAAAGAAACAACGCCTAGACATATATACTATAGTTGAGATGGACCGGCTCATTGGGGCTGACTGTTCTGTCGAGTAGCTTCAATATCATTAGGCAACCTCAAATCACTGCAGAACGAGGATTCAGCTGCTTTGACACTCCTCCCGTGGTACCCAGTAACATTGTAACCACTTTGAAGACAATAGATAGTTAGTTTTGTTTGTCCGTTTCTGCAAACTTTAAGTGATGGTTAAGCGGGTAAAAACCGGGATGCTGGCCCATGACTGGGCGATTGCCGGTGGAACATACTCCGGCGTTTTACTGCATTCAGTAAGATGAGATGGGTAGACCGGAAGCAATCAAGTGCCGACTCCGAGAAATAAGATTAAATCAATACCGTCAGATCAGATTACCCCAACAAACCTTGCACCATCAATCGTCTCTGAACCTCAAATTCGACCATGATCTCCAGAGACAGGAGTGGAAAGGACCTAGAAAAGTATCAGCCGTAATGTCGGACCCGCCGCCAAACAATGGCTTCGTCGGTCGCGTCCGCGGCGCGTCGCTATCCATCATCAATGCCAACCCGCAGCTGGGCATGTGGCAAGCCACCGGCACCGCCATCGCACAAGCCCCCAATCTCACTGAACTCCGCGACGCCGAATCTGGCGGCGACAAGATCGAATTCAATGCCCAAGGCCACTCTGCGCGCTACGCTGTCCCCGAGCCAGACGGCGAGCTCACGCTGGTCAAGACAGCGACGCTCACCCGCAGACCCAGTGTGATTCCAAAGTTTGACAAGGACCCTTCCACCCAGGAGCCCGTCACTATTCCTGAGGAGGTAGACGTGGAGCAGGGGTCGACAAGGGAGGAGACTATCGCTGAGGCATCTGGAGAACGCCATCACCATCATTTTCATTTGCGCGAAAAGCATCGACAGCGACTGGAGCGACGGAAAAGTCTATACGAGAAACACAAGGCTGACGAGAAGGAGAAATGGGGACCAACGATCCTAAACGGCCTTAAGGCCTTTTGGAAATTCTTTCTCACGCCATCTGGCTTCCTCATAACGCTATACGGTCTGAATATCGTGGTAAGTAGCTTTTATCCGTTCGTTCTGTAAGTTTAGCTTGCTAACCGTCACTCTCACAGGCATGGGGCGTAAGTGGATCGACGACTCGGTATCTTGCTGCCGTACACTTCTAACCCTTCCTCTCTAGGCAATGCTCTTCTTCCTCCTGCTCAATGTCGCACCAGCAATGAACCATCCCAGCGCCAACGACAACAACTCAGCACGCAAGAAATGGCTCGAGATCGATAGTCAGATCCTCAACGCCCTTTTCTGCGTCACAGGCTTTGGTCTCGCCCCATGGCGCTTCCGCGACTGGTATCGTTACACCCGCGCTGTCTACTGGAAGGATGTTTCCGCCATGCAGAAGCTAGCCGAGCAAAACAAGGCTTGGTTTCGACCTCCCGCCTGGGCCACGGAACAAAACACAAGCCTGGCTGACTCGACTACTACTCTGCCTCGTTCAACCACCTTTACTGGCGAGAAGGGACCGCCAACACCACTCTGGAAATTGGGTTTCACAATCTATATGATGCTTCTGAATACATTCCTGCAAGCTGTTTTGTGTTACTTCATGTGGGGGTATAATCGCATTGATCGCCCGGTAAGTTCATGTCTTTCAGCCCCNCCCCCCCCCAAGTCACTTGGTATACCCATACTGACTTGGTGTTGAAGAGCTGGGCTACAGGTACTTTCATCGGCCTTGGTTGCGGTACAGGATTGTTGGCTGGTCTAATGTCGTGGTGGGAGGGCCGCAAGGTTAAGAAGATTGAAGGACCCGAGGTTAAAGTTATTACTGTATAATGAGATTAAAGTGCGCAAGGTCTATTTAAAGTACAATAGAGTTAACGTTACTCTGTAACATAATTAGTAATATATGTAATTATTTATAAAGGACTGATTTAAATCGCCGAAAGGTTCAATACAATAGACCTGTATAATCTAGGCACCTCCCCACCTCCAAATAATAAGTACTATCTTGACCTTTTTCAGCTGCTAAGCACCTTAGTTCGTCGCGAATGGAAACCTGGTGGTGCCTGGAATGTCCTTTTGTTTGTTGGAGACCACGATCTAGTAGGAATTGGACTGTAGCCAGCCTTTGATTGCGATCGATGGTTGGTAATCCATTAAGAGGGTCGAAGTTCTCCGCCATGTAGTACTTGTATCCAAAAACTGCATTTTCTAAGAGACCTATCCCGTTTTTCGGATTCCATTGTTGGAGAAAACTCCTCCTGGTAGTTAGTCTTGTTTGTAAGTAAGGGAGGATGGAGAATTGGGCCGCCAAGCCCAAGAATGTGTTGGGGAGTCCTCTTCTGTGGTCAAACACATCTTGTACTGATGACCAGTGCATCTCTGGGCCTTGGAGTTGGTACACTGTCAAACATCAGCAGGGTTTCGGCCTGCAGCAAAACCTAGATGTGGCTCGAAATTTCTTGGGCATGAAGCACATAACTCCTCCCATATGTGCGCTTGTTTAACCCAATCCCTCGTAGTCCTATGGGCAAAGTTGACAACTTCTTGGGCAGCCCCACTGAGTTCTAATATGCCTCGAGTACGCGTGGCAAGTCTACGCTTGAGTCCCCTTTTGGCGTGGTATTTCGCTTCTAAGGACATGGCGCTTGGATCGACCTTTGTAGACCGAGACTCATCGGCGAGCCACATCAAAAGCCACGGCAAGGGTCCGCATGCACTCCTTGCAAGTCGAATCATAGCACAAGCATCAGGCAGGTGACGATGGGGTATTCGGGCCCAAATGGCATCAAAGAGCGAAGAGAGATTTGTTGGTAACTTCTCTACTGTTTCTTGGAGCTGGGCCATACTGTCGCCTGCCGTGAAGAGATCGATGAGTTCCATGACTACAAAAGACACCCATAGAAATACCCCGTCCGCTTTTTGCACCACGTCGTCAGTGAGCTTGGCAACTTCGTGAGGGTATACACTTTTCAGTCCAATGTATCCTCTGTTCTTTTGAAAACTCTTCGTAACAAATGTCATCATGTCATCCTCAGTCAGAAGGTGCATCTGTAGCATGGGGCCATCGTTGGAAGCATGTTCAAATTCCGTCCACGGCCGACTTGCAATGCAGATGTTAATGCCTTGAGCAGCGTCATTCGCCATAGAGCGTATATATGAAACAACTGTGGCCGGGGGTATTTCAAACTCATCAAGACCATCGGCAAAAAGAGCCATCGCCATTAGCTTTCCACATTCATTCATGAGGGCCTGGAAGGACTCATTGATCTCCCATTCTTCCCAATCGGGGAAGTCTGCCTTTCCTCGAAGTGTCTGGAACAAAGCCCAATCAATGTCTTGGTGCAATTATGGGCGCGGCGCTTGGGCGTTGATTGGGGACTTGATGCAAAACAGTCTTCTTGAGGCCTTCCCATGCCTTTTGCATGTTTAATCCCGAGTTCCAAGCGTAATAATTCGTGATGAGAATTGGTAACGACTTTGCCCAGGGCTGGAGGAAGGTTCTGAGCCTGTCAGGGTGAGCTATCAGTTTCATGATGGTAGACTTTCCCGACCCAGGCTTGCCAGTTATCCAATAAGGTGCCTTTGATTCTTCCGCAAGTCACACTGGAAAGCTGTACCAAAGGGCCTTGCCATTTGAGTTCTTAGGTTCATGCTGGAAGATCCATTCGTATGTAGTGTCGAAATTATTGGCCACTGCGTCTTCGACATCGTACATGGACTCGAAGTAGAGGCCATGGGAAATATCCTTCCCGACATCTGCAAGTTCTGGTTTACCAAGTACCTGATCCGTTTCAAACATTGCCATTGAGTTGTCCAATGTCCATCTCTTATCCCAGAGCAACCGCACCAGTTCAGAGCGGATGTTCTTTGCATCAGCGGAATTACTACTTGTCAGAGCTTTGGTTACCTCCTGGCCTACCCTTTGGAGGGACATAGATTGGCATGCTTTTATCAAAGACGATATTACTTCTGTCAATTTACCGTCGACTCCTCTGGTAAGCCACTTCGAGTTTCCACCTTCGGAGATCAAGGCCTGACAAACGTCATCCATCTCTGAAATCAAAGGTTCAAAAGGCTTATCATCTGTCATGTCCCTTATAGTACCGCCCTGCTCTGCTGCTGATTTCTCAACTCTTGCCAGGATTCCGAGTATAGTATCCAATCTTTTCGTCAAATGCAATTCCCACCTTGCTGTCTTCTTTGAGTCAGCCCTATGTAAGTCAGCAAATAGTTGATCATTATCCACTGTGCCACTATATTTACCAGAGACAGAACACAATGCAATTCATAATCTGTTTTTGTAGTGCCTTTAGGCGGCTGTCCATCTCGTCGATCTTGCGCCTATCCCACAGACCTGCCAGAGCGAGGTGAGGAATCTTATTCTTAGCTCGCTCATCATCTTTGCCGATAGTTCGCCTTTTGCGGTTGTCGATCCTGTTCAAAACCGTTTTAAACTCTGTCTCAATGCTCTCGCACTCTGTCCAAAGCTTAAGTAAGTGGGATTCTCCTACATATCCCCTAGCCAGATCGTGGTTGCTTGTGAGGAGAATGCAACTTCTGTTTTCCATAACGTTGTTCAGGTTGTTGGCATTGCCTTTCGTCTTCCAGGTCTTGAATATAGCGATTGGCGTTATTGGCGATGTATTCCTGAATAAGGGGGCAGCTGTAGTTGCCATATCGAAGGACCTCCATCTTGAGGTTGTAGACCTCATTTTTCAGGTCTGTTTTGTTCGCTATCAACATATTGCAAAGTGGAAAGGTTTTCCTCTGCTGTCTTGTTTATACTCCGATCTCTTTTTGTATCCCCACAAACATCTCTGTTGCCCCCTTCATTTCGACTCGCTTTGAGGATTCGCGTTCGTATGGCTTTGTTGGATTGCGTCTTGTGTGAGTTGGCTTTAGTTTACGGCAATCATTTGATTGCGTTGATGGAGAGCGTTGTCGACCGTCTGAATTTCCATGGGAAACTTCAGGGCTCGTTAACTGGGGATCTTGAGACGGAGAGGGACACTCCTCGGAGAAGATCGAGCCGGCCAGGTCGCTTGAGGTAGGAGTGTATGTGTGGTTGGAAACGAAATCGACGTTATTGCATTCATGCTGGACGTTCTTGTCACAGGCTTCATATAAGGCTGGGAATTTGGGCTGGTCAGTGGCCCAATACTTTTCCCAGACAGGATAAAGCATGGCGTTAACAACCTTAGTCGCGAGCGGTTGACATTCAAGATCTATCGGTGGATCGGCGCTCTGAGCTAGATCGAAGACTGGGTGGATGTCTATGGAGGGAGTTAGCGTAAACACGGAACAGCCACAAAGGAGTCCGCAATGGTCCAGTAGAAAGTAATACCTATTATGATGAGGATACTAATTTGCCTCAACGTGTCTTGACGATGCCTTCAGGACCGAGCTGGGTAGAGGTTCTAATATAAGATGTTCAGCTTCCGAAGGAGAGGAATAAAGAGAGAGGTGTGATCGGTCGGAGGAGATTGAGGGGACAAGCACTTATTAAAGCATAATTATTCTCAGTATTAGATCTCGATTTAGTCAGGAGGTTACCTTAGATCAATAAATGATTACTAAAAGATAACTCTGCTATATTCACACTGCATTTTGTCTCACAATCTGAGTTGATCTACGTGGGTAGTTTTGAGACGGCGGAGGTTGTCCTCTGGGAATCAGCGCCAACACCAAGCAAAGGCCAATCGCGGTTATTTTTTTAGGTGTAGAGAAGGTCGAGACAAGTGAGAAAGCGGGAAACCTACGAATCACGATACTCTCGCCCCTCTTTTCGCAGACCTGACCACCAAGCGTTTTAATTGGCCGTGTCCCACGTCATTTTAGCGGAGGCCGAGGTGCTGTAGCATATGTAGGTATTGTATTCTTTCTTTGTCCACTCATCACAATACCTGACGCCCTGATCTAATCTGGCCTATTCTCCTGGAGGCTTTTTTGTTAAATGAGACTTATTTGTCTATGCTTGTTGGCGTATTGCTTAGCTTTTCAGTCAAGATGTTACCAAATCGTAGAACAAGATGCAGTTCAATGAACAGCTATCTGAAGCCTCGCCTCAAACACTCTGAAGGAACATGAATGTGTTCGGTTAATCCAGTAGAAGTAGACCTATATTTGTGCTGCATGTTGTCCCAATGCCAATCACTGTGCAACTGGTGGTTGATTACTGACCATGCAGTAAATCAACTGTTCGTACTTTTGCTCTCCCCAGCCTTTACTGATATGCTCTTTATACCCATTAGTAGATATCTTTACATCAATATTGGTAGCGTCACCCTACAAAACGCAGATTTTGTAAAATGCGCCGAGCTCGGCGACTGTTTCTTTGTTGCTGTTTCTATTCGGAGCCACTGTTTGGGAAGCAACATCCATTGGGCAGGAGCGTCACGGTACACGTCTGACTCGTCACCATTTTTTCTGTGTAGCACAGGAATCGAATATGGAATTGGCACCTTTGGCCCGACTTCTTCTTTTTTCGCCCATTTTTACAAGAGGAGAAGGTCCTACAAAGGAGCGGGCACGCAGATCCAAGACCGTTTCACGCTATATATAATCGCGCTCAACGATAGGTTAATACTGAAGATAAGATACTACAGGACGATGGTTACAATTATTAGGTTATCGCTATAGGACAGTGTAAGAAGAGCCTAGATCTGCCAGAGTATAAAGATAATCAGGAGTACTAATTTGATAATGTTCCTTGGGTTATACGCGGAGATAACGATGTGGCATACAGGGCTGGCTGCGGATTTGTGTTGGCGCAAGCATGGGAGAATAATAATCCGGAAAGCATAAGAATCACTCTAGGCTAGATAATCATACCAAAGTCATGTTTGACACTCGATGTAAAAAAATGTGGTTTATAGCGACGTGTAGAGTTGCAAGTATTGATGCGCTGCGTGGTGGTGATAATGTTTTAATGAAGCAGACGCGCTGAACTCGATTGGTGACTTGAATGGTTGATGTTGATGCCTTTTGGCTCAGGCAGACATTTGGGTTCAGCATAAATTGGCTTGTGGTGAAGATTGAAACAAACCGCAATATCTTTTGTCATTGACCTAAAAACGGACACTCCAAATGGGATGTGATCTTAACCTACATGTTGATGTTTCTTTTGACCACCGTATGCCGGTCTACCATTTCAGAAAAGTTGCTCAAAGGCTAAAATTAGGGTTTCCAAAATCACCAAACGTTCTATCTTATTAAGACTTGACGTCAAGTCTTAGTTGCGGGTTGATTTGGATTGAGGTTTGCGAATTACAGAATAAAACCTCGACGTAGGGTAGGCCCAAGATTGAATAGCCAATCAGCGCCACGTTGGTCGATGACCTTTGGCAGACAACGTCGTTTTTATTGGCCCACCGCGCACGGCCCCAGTAACAGCCCTGCACCTAAGTACCTTTACAAGTAAGTTGCAGCGTGGAGATGGCCTACAGCTTAACCTGGGGCGGGATGATCAGTAGGTTATCCACTGTAAGAGTAAAGATGGTCAATGTAAAAGGAAATCGTCAAACAGGTACTCGGCCAGATCAAACAAGGAAGGGCGAAGCTCGGCCTCCAGGTCTGCGTCATCAAAATCGATGGCCTTATTCTCATCCATGGGAAGAGCCGCCGATTGAATTGCCATTAGCACAGAATCGCCTTAAATGAGCCCTAGCGTGCTGCTTAACTCAACCATGGTTACCCCTTATGACTTTGCCAAGCGCAAATATCCGGAATCATATCTAAATAGGTTAGCTCCACTTGCACAACGTACGCGAATGTAGAAGCAATCTCGTCGCTGGTCATCAGAGCCAATAACTCAATACAGCTAAAGTCTCATTTTGAAAGTTTTTACGCATTTAGTGTGATGCACTGCCGCTCAATCTCTGCCACTCACGTAGTCCACGGTTCAGTAACACTAAGGAAGACGTAGACAGGGTCGAAGAAAGGTTTACCATGGTCCTGTTTTGCGGCCCAATAGAAAAGTATGTCATTTGGTCGCGTGGCCCATGTTTGACTCATCATAGTATTGCTCCAAGAGACTCTAAGACTTGGCAATAAAAGATGAACTTAGAAAGGTATTTAACTAATAAGTAAATTTACTAGATAGCACAATAAATAAACTACATATGTCAAGTTAGATTAGGTAGTAAATATCAACCCTTTTTTTATCTTGAAATGATATAAATAGTTTAGTATTATACTCGAAGGCCAACATGTCTGCCTATAGAGCTTGTAAAATCACCATAATCCGAGGCGCCCATGTCCACATACAACTGTTCTCGTGAAGCCTCTGCTTTGGCTACACTTACATCCCGAGCTGAAACTTCTCGAACCGCCTCCATCACCCAGTCGACCTTGGTGCGCGGAACGAATATCCCTTTCTGAATAGGATACAAAATAAACGCCCAGGCTAGTAACATAACTAGCACTATTACATAAATGATGAGTAACAACAACGCTATTAGTGCAACCCTGATGCGCCGTTGTCTGACACTAATTGTGCGTGCTACGGCATGTTGATACTGGGTATCCTTTGTAATCATGTAGGTCTGGAAGAATCGTATAAGGTCTTGTCCCGTCGGATGATATATGGACTTATTGTTTATGGACTGCTCCACGAGGTTGGCCTGATGGAAATCTGAAAAGGCTCTGACAATGGAATCTGTGTCTTCCGTCCACAGGTACGCGATATGGTTGGGATCAAGGACGCGCCCCAGGCGAATATCGCAATCTGCTCGAGTGTATGCTGAATATTCAGCTGGACCGATCCCGAAGGAACGTTCGTTGTTGCCCCTGACATTGGCCCTAGGGATGTTGTGTAAGTGGAAAGCCAAAAATGTCATACGCATTGTTTCATTGTTTGCTTGGACACGAACAGTATTAGAGCCAGTCGAGAGCAAGACAAACAAAAGAAGGTCTTGGTATAATGTCCGCTTCGCATAAAATCCTGCCAGCCCCGCAACTTCCCGATATCTAAATAACGTTTCTTGGATGTCGGATGGATAGGCTAAACGTACGTCGGGGATCTCATCGAGTATCATTGCCGGTATGGTCCATTCAGCTTTAACGGGAAATTCGGTTAGAGGAGTATATTCGCAAGACATCTTCCAACTGGAATTCCACTCGGAAGATTTGTATTGCCAGTCCACGCCGTTATCTGGGAGGAAATCCAACATCTCTGTATATGGGAAACCGGCGGCATCCAGACGGTTGATAGTTGAGTTCCATTTAACCAGAGCTGAACGTACATTGGTGTGATCGATCGTTGCCATGGCCCCGGGTACCTCTGTATCTCTGATTACGAAACCATAGTCTACTATATATCGGGCGACTGGGCCGGCAGCAATGCCAAGGATGGATAAGAGAACTACCAATACGCAGTAAAGTAGCAGACGGACGTGGGTCAACCAGTGCCCGGTCTTGAAAACGGCGGTAGTAGTATCCATAGCATCCCCAGCACTAGAAACCACTAAAAGGTCAAATAGACCGACAAGAGCCTGACGGTTCACCTTTGCAGCGTGGTGTTTCCACCTGAAGTAGCTGAGAACCCATATTCCGAAAACGCATAGTAAGCTGATTACTGCAATTTGGTTAATAATGTAACTAATCTCCACGAAACAACTGTTACAATTGAGGAAGGATCTTAGCTTACATAAAGTCGTGACTGCACGAGCATTACCTAGGTCCCAAACCAGGGGGAGAGTTACCCACAGCATGTTTCGTTTGATAGTTCGGGTTATTCAGTATCTTCTATCCTGCCAGGGTCTACTTGTTGTACCTTTGAAGGCGTCTTGGGGTTTTAAGCTTACGGGACGGTGTAAGTGCACTAGTGAATGACTCAATCTAATCCTCAGGACCTTTCAGCCAACTGGACTGATGAGTTTGGATAGCTATTCATTCAGCTGAGGCCTAAACCAGGGCGCTGCTTGGCAAGGCCTAGATTTAAAGTTCCGAGTTTGTTAGTTTGATGGCTGGACATATGACATGCCACAATCAGTTGATCATCAGAGGCTTAAGCCAGGGCGTTGCTTCGCAAAGCCTAGATTTAAACCTCTGAATCTGTTAGTTTAATGGCTGACTCTAATGCTGCTGGTCATTTTGCTGTTAGCAATAACGGTGCCGTTATTGAAAAGTCAGCGGTTGCTATCGGTGTTTCTATTTCTGCTCGCCGTAAACGGTCTGCGTGCCGCAGAAGGCATGATTTTGAGGTCTTTCTACGACCTATCGCGTGGCACATACTGTACTTAGGCTGCGCCGCTGTCTGTGTCACCGACTCGACTGCCTCGAAAGCATTAGGCTCCCGTCGAATGCTCGACTGTGGATTGGCTGGATCTTCAGCTGTTCGATCAACGGATTGACGAGGCCCAAACATTAGTTGAGAACTACCGGTGCAACTAAGATGCCAGTGTCTTTGGAAGATTTCTAGACGACGGGCCTGATAATTCTCTTGTAGGGCAAGGGAGACTGCGAGATGGAGAGAATGTGCCGGTACAGGTAGGTAGGTTTTCTTTCAAGAGCATTTTCCGAAGGACAGGCTTATTCCATCTCGAATTGTGCTATTGTCCTCAAAAGGTCAAACTCAAAATCGCAGTCCTACTGCACCTCTGCTGCTACCGCGTTATTAATGTGTGGTTGAGCTTCTGGTATAGCTACGAACCATGGAGAATTTTTGTGTTTCCCTAATTGAAACTGCGTCTAGTAGATTAATCTGGTTATTGATGCCAGGCTCCACTTGCGCCACTGGATATTCTAGACACCGGGCAATTCTCTGAGTTAATCTGTACACGAAGAAATCTAGTTGGGCGTTTGGACTGGAAATTTTGATTTAACCATGGAGCTCGGTTGTGTAGGAATCAAAACCTTCCCCCCCAATACAAATTTCCAACGCTCTAGATCTCCCTGCCAGCCTGGGAAGCCAGTCGAGGCCAGAACCTCCAGGTGTAACATCCGCAACGACGTCTGGTCAGCTGAGGATTGCTTTTTCTAAGCTTACAAACCTTTTATCACAGGATAAGACGACTCTGCCTCCGATACAACGCGCACGCCCACGAATGACTGCCATGTTCACTACCGGTATCTGATTTAGCTGTTGGATAAATAATCCCCAGTCTTTGTCCGGCTGGCGCAAACTTTAGGAACCGCTGACCATATCGATGTGCATTATGTAGTAAGCGGCGGCGCGGCTGTCAGAGATGAGTACTTACTTGTACGTCCTGATGCGCTACATCCCTCTTGTTGGCAGTCCGCGCGCCCAACACCATGGACGCACTAGCCAAGCGATTCTCGAACCCCGGCTGACAGGCCCAGACTGCAAGGACTACTGGCTGTAAAATAGGTCAGAACGTTCCGCCACCCATTACCGCTTACTGGGCTTGCATTGGCGCGAACCTACGTCGTGATACGGCGATGGTGCAGCCATGAGTTAATCATGAGTAGAGCTCACTAAATCTACCAACATACCGCTATTTACCAAAATTATCCGCACAATCCACAAATTATCTAGCACAGCCCCCCCATACGAACGCCTTATCTATTTTCCATTCCGCATTATGCCACCTGATCATGTAATGACAAGTAGGCTTGATGATATCTTGCATTGGCGGAGGAAATGGGCCGTTCCGGGGAGTTTCAATAGTTCTGAGCTGAAATGTCGAGGGTTCTGAGAATTTTTGCTACATGAGTGTTACACAACCTCATCAGAATTAACCTGAACTTCTTTCGCCAACTCAGAAAGTTCGTTTGTGATCGCAGTCAAATCTAAACTCTCCTAGGCAATGTGATAGACGGCATCTGAACTTTTGTAGACAATCAGATATTTATCCCAAGTTCTCTTTAAGATTTTGCTCCCAAACTCAGCGAATTGGACAACAGCAGCAGCAATGGCCAACGCGCTGAGGGGGTCCATGCCAATGGTCGGAGGTGTTGAACCCGTGTGTGGAATAAATCTGTATTGTGACTGTGTTATATCTGAATTCGCTATCTAGTCTGACAATTTCCCCGCTCTTAGGTAGATGCCTTACGCTATACCTAATGAAGCTTCTCAATGTTAACAAGATACGCGACAAAACTCAAGGAAATGGCAGCTCAGTGTCCTGAGACTGAAACGGAATTGGAAGACAAATTGGGAGACGTCTTATGTCACAACTCACATGGCAATGCATCCAAGGCTGTGACTGTTTTGCTAAAGACGTGGAAGAGTAAGAACGTATTGAGCAACTGGAGAAGACACTTCATAGATAAAAGAATATCACGGAAGTCCATATGCTCGTCACGGTATCGCAGGTCACTCATGTTTGAATTCCAAAAAGGAGATACTAAATTTGAGGAGTAAAGAAGCAACGCCATTGCACTGAAACAGAAGCAGAAACCTTAGAGCTTCCATGTTGTGTCTAGCTCTAGATTGCCTTCTACATTGAGCAATTAGTCGAACGGGTAACCCCAATTACAATAAGGGCTTAATCCTCTTCATCGCTCTCATCCTCGGCTGGTACGTCAATGCCAAGCTCCCTCAGATATGACGCGATTTCTGGCTTCTCCTGCACACATTGCTCAAGAGTGTCTTCATCAAGGGTACTGGCATCAGCCCCATGACCCAGTAGTGTCTTCACAGAACCAATGCTTCCGTTAACAACTGCAACAGATAAAGGCGTATTACCTAAATTGTCCTCAGCCAGTACATCGCTGCCAGCCTCAATGAGAGCTTGAAGTGTGGGATTCTCGCCTTCAATCTCCGCAGCCAGATGCAAGGCCGTGCGGCCGTCGCGGTCCTGCGCCTCTAGATCATCTCCGCGAGCTACCAGCGTGTCGATCAGCAGTTTTGGAGCTGCTAAATGCGCAGCAAGGTGCAGACGACTATACCCAGGAGTGAAGCATCTCCATCGCTCTTCATCTTGTTCGAATTCGTCATAACTGGATTCGCTCTGGTACGGCCATGCTTCAGCTGCTTGCAGGTAGGACTCAATCGACCCTCTTCGGGACGAAAGACTTATGAAATCGTCAACAAACGTCCCTGGGGTGGTTGTTGCTAAACCGGGGCTTAGCATCCTGGCGGCATACCACAGATATCTGTTCTGTTGCAGGCGTTGTTTGAGAGCGGCCGACGATGTGGAGGCACCTTGGGCGAAGGTGTCGGACGACAGATATCGCATGAAGGCAGTAATACTTCGCTTCTCGTAGTCGATATTGAAGATTATGCGTTTCAACCAATCGCCGAAAAGTGGTGATATAATCCGTATAGACTCATCATCTTCACCAAAGTAGACAAGGCCTCGGCAACCTCGAACCACCTCTGCAGCAGTGAAATCGTTATCATCATTCCTGATCTGCCATGCTTCTAAAGCTTGGAGTGCCATGGGCATCGCGAAGATATAGCCAGCTTCAGAGGCTTTAATCACGTGGTATAGGATGCATAAAATTATGTCCGTCCACTGCGAAGTGAATATCTGGGTTGCAACCCCTTTGCAGAATACATCTGTCTTGTCTGAGGCAGACAAGCCTCTGGACGCACTCAACAGCTGACCAAGACTGGCCAGGAGCTCTGGTGTAGATATTTCGACAGGCCAAGCCGGGATAGGAAGAAAGCTGTTGAGAGTTAGCATCTCCGTGTATATATCAAGTAAGGTACCTACAGGCCATCAGAGACTTGGGTCAGATCCTGACTCAGTTCCCCACGGCGTGAGGACAAGTCTTTAGCTGAAATGTCCCGGATTGTCTGAAAGATGTACATGTCCACGTCTGTTCCATGTGCTCTCGAAGGGACGTCGAGAACTTGATGCGACGCTGCGAAACCAACAGGGGGCGCATTTCGGCTTGCGAATAGAACCCAGAAGACTGAGTCGGAACCACTCGGAGTCATGGCAAGCATTAAATCCTCCAAAGCCGACGCGGTGACGCTGTTGGCGCCATCGAAGATGAGAAATACATTACCAAACTCCGACGCGACAAGGCGTAGAAGTTGGTAGAACTCATCGTCGTCAGGATACGGGATGTCAACCATCTGCACTAGCTGGTCCAGAACACCTGATGTGTTGGGCAGCTGTGATACAAGCTGTCTAAGAACAGATGTTAAAGCATGACCAAAGTCCGCGAGATTATACTGCTTATGGTTCTGTTGGAATTCAACGCAAGCAACCGCGTTGACTTTGGTTCCCTGGGTTTGCTGCACGTGCTCGGCGAGGCGGGAGCTGCACTTGTGATTAGCAAGTAGGTCTCGGCATCTTGAGGATCAACTGACCAAAGGAACGTTTTACCGGTCGCAGCTAAAAAGATATTAGCTGGAGTGAACATTCAGTCTCACATCAAACTCACATGGCCCATGAAGCCATAGCAGGGGCGGATGTTGACTATGCAGCCAGTCTTTGGTTCTCGGATCGTCGAGAAACCAGAAGCATGATCCTGGAATTTGCACGCGCTTGAGATGTTTGCGCCAACTCTCGGATAGATCACCAGGACAGAGTCTCCTGAGAAGCTGATCTTTATCAACATTGGACATTTCGATCTAGCCGTCGCTGTGAGGAGGGTTGGTGTAAGGGTGATTGTAGTTTGATGAGAAGAAAAACACACTCTGTATTGTCGGCCTTGGCTCTGCTGACATGTCCTTTCTTGTGGGCGGCGCGGAGGCACTGTAATACCACTATCACAGTGGGTCCATGCATCAGCAAAAGTGCCTAGCGGCCCGGCCCGGAACATCGCCCTCAACCAGAGGCTGCGTAATAGAGAATACTAGTCGTCCGATCAGATAGACTGAGGCTGAGTAGCGGATCAAACGCCTTTAACCGCCATCTTCCATAACATCGTATCATAACGAAATGCTGACAGCAGGAGACCTTTGTGACCCTGGAGATCCTTACAGTAAACTTGCCCGCTTGTAGCAATTGCCGAACCTTTTCAGTAACCGCCGAATTCCACACTGTCTATTTCAGGGAAGTATGTTGACAATACAGTAACCAGAAGCGACGAATTAACTCATTCAAGCCGAATTTCCGCCTCGGCGTAAGATTCCAGCTGAGCGGGCAGGGATAACTACGGCACAAATGTTGATCTCAACGCTTATTGGCGGTATCGTATACGCCGCATCCATGCTGTATGCTGTTGGACATAGTTGTCAACTCATAGGATTAAAGATCCCAGTAGTAAATAGAGAGCAAATGGCATGACCTGCATTCTTCAGCTTTAAGGCTATTCTGCTAAACCACATTATGTCTATCAACTGTTTTGCCTTGTTAGCTTTTTACTGGACTTAGAGAGACTCAATCGGGTTTCTCAAATATCACGTAGAATGCAATAGCACAGTATACAAACTTCCAGTCTACTATCATCCGGCTACAGCTATATGTTGACGACAAGGAGTAGGGCGTTATTTTTAAACATCGCATAATGCTTCCTTTGTCTATCTCCACTGTCTTGCATGTATGAACTGCAGTGAGATGATCCTAGCCTATCTGTAATGTTAAGTTGCCGGACCAATTGTCTTTCTAGGGGACTGCAGTTGCTGATTTATATGGTCATATCATAAAGGAGGAAAGAGGCAAGATCATTGAGATATTCATACATATAAAAGATGCCGCTGTTTCGCCAAAAGTCGAGTGGGTTTCAATACCAAACAGTCAAGCCTCATTCACTGTCTATCCAATATGCACCCTCTCCGTAACATCCTCCTCCTGATCAGTCTCACAGGAGCAGCTCAAGCTGCTCTTGCAGGCGCACCATCTACCGAGAGCTCTGGTGTTGAAGTCGCTGAGTTGAATGGTATGACATCCACATTGCTAAATACATCACACCCAGACTAACATCATCAGGCTCCAAAGCGCAGCCACCTCAGTTGTTCCAGCGTGAGGAGGAGGTGGAGGAGAATGAAGACGATGACGAGGCAGGTTTGACAGGCAATGATGGCACCGCTGTGTTGGCAGAGCTTGACTCTCGAGCACCACGTGTTAGGTGTTTAACTCGGGGCCGACCTAAGAAAAACTGCTATCACTCGCAATGCCCCGGAAACAAGCAGTGCAAGGTTAACGCGAAAGGAAATTGTGTATTTAAATATGCGCAAAAGAAGAGGCCATTTGGTTGTAGCCAGTGTCTCTGCTACAGGGCTAATATCTAAATAGTAAAGACTATAAGATCTTTCTAAGTAAAATATTCAACAGCATCTAACTGCTTTACTTATAGAGTTTTGCCACTATTTTTCTTACTCTCAATCCTCGAAGTAAAGATCTGCTATGATATATCGTAAAGGATGATCGCGAACGTTGTTTAGTGGTAAGCCCATCTGGTAGCTAGAAACTGGATCTAGAAGCACCGAAATGAGGTCCGTTTACTAGATTTATAACAAGATGCGAAAGGTTATCGTTAGACCCTCCCTAACGACATCTGAGACCGTGAGCCGTTCCACAATGCTGGGAGGCTTTTGCCTTGCAGCAATCCGAGATCGTCTTACCTAAAATCGCTGCAGTGTCCTAAATGGGCAGTACGTATAGGTCCCGAGACTTTAGGGGGGGNNGGGGGGGGGGGGGGGGGGGGGTCGCCCTGCATTGTCTCTGCAAAGGCATGACATGATGCCCTTGAGCATGCGAATATTTACCGTAAGAACTTATTTGGTATTATAGGAGCCCTTTCTACGCATGGCTTTGTTTCATCATCGCATCGACATCCTGGAGACTATGGATGCATGACTGCCCTCCTTCATATGTACTAGATCCTCGGCTAAATCGTATATCCAACCGGACCAACTATACCCATCGTTCTCGTGTATGACATTCAATACTTCTTCATGGGTATCTGTTTTCCTCTCCACATCACTCTTTTCCTCTCGGCATCACTCTTTTCCACACACCAATAGTCGACTTTTTTACGTTGCTAAGATGCGGAAGACTGTACACTAAATGATTACTTTGGAAAGCTACGAGAGCTGTTGGTATATATATAACCTCATGCAATACAGACATTGCAGGTCTTCATTCCTACTCAAACACATCAAAGAATGCTGGAGTCCCATGAGAGATTCGGGAATCGATGTGCGGGCTCCAAAGAGATATTTGGCCAAGCCTAAGGCGAGTTGGAATTTACAGCCAAGCCTTGATGTTCCACGCTGACATTACAGGACTGATGCCCAACGAAGTTTTACGGCGTGATTGGTCTGTGAAATCTTGCTGCCTAACAAGTTTATTGTCTCGCGTTGTCATGTCGAGCATTAGGAATTTCAATCTGTTGCATAACAAACAGAATGGACGTCGCTGCACGAACCCTGGACCTGAGTCAGGATGAACTTTATTCCTTAGTCTAAGCACTAATTATTTATTATTGCTATAGTCTTCCGCGGTTTATATAAATATAGAAGTGGACCGTGAAGTAGATATCTACTTACTACTCACTATTAGTGAGACTACCTTGAAGGAGTGTTTTAATATGGTCTATATCTAACTCCTTAAGTTTATCCCCATTGACTATCCATCCACAAGACTCAACATGAGCTTGAACCTCGTTTTGTAACTCTTGCACAGTATTATACTCGAATCGCCAACATTTATGGAGAATTTTCCCCATAAACTCATCCTCAAGATCAGGCATCCAGTCTTCATCTCTTATTAAGCGTGCCGTTTCTCCTAGAGTATAACCCCTTCCTTCGCCAGGATTACAAGATATCATAATGCGGTATATCAAGTTACTAAACATAAATATATCAGTCCTAAGTGTTGGGTTCCGTATTATCCGCGATAGTGGGAGTGACTCTGGTGAGAACTCATAGCTGGTAATAAAATCACCGCGAAATTGCCAGCCTTTTTCTGGATCACGGAAGTCTGAAGCTATAAAGCCTGCCAGCGATATATCTAGGGACTCTGCTGATATCCAGCAGCTCTCCTCAAAGAAGGCTCCATAAGCTATATTATGAGAGTGTATCAATATAAGGGCTGACAGCAGCTGCAAACTCCACTGGTAGACAAGAGGCAGGAACTCTGGCTTAATGCGATCGTTAGGGGCTGTGGCCTCGGCTCTGACAGTGTAAAGTTTGGATGTGTATTCCTCGAAGAAATTCCAGAGGGACCCATATGTTGATTTTCTAAGTATGGGAAGACCCGTCCAAGCGTCTTGATCCAGTCGCCTGCACTTCGCATCAGTAAAGAGATCCATAGATGACTGATTGATCTTAAAAAACCTACGGGACTATTCTTGGATGCTCTTCACCGATCAGGTCATAAGCATACGAAGTCTTAAAGCATTGGAAAGCTTCGTAATCTTGCCGCCACGGGGCATCCGGTTCGTCAACTTCATCATCAACCCAAAACCGGCAACTAGGATGGAAGATGACAGAGTTTGCGTCCCTGGAGAAAACGTTCACACGCCCAATAGAGATTTCTCTCGGAAGGCGAATACCATTTGGGTCGGTCAATGGGATAGTTCGAGGACCTGTTGCGGTCCGATAATAGGTTCCTAGCCCTGGCTTACCCAAGACGGTTCGAGCCATGGCAAAAAAAAAAAACGGTGCAAAAAGGAATTAATGGTGAGAGGTGTGGGTTTCTGTTTTCGTGTTCTAGTTAGAGCCATTTTAAGTCGTATAGAAGGCGCCCCGAATATTTATCCGGACCGTTCTGGTTTTCTGTGGAGTACAGCCCAATGATGTCCACATTGATGCCTTTCAGAGTTAACGTACAGTTCTGTTATAAAGTCCCGCCGACTTTAAGCCAGCCACCATGCGAATGAGTGATCGAGATGCTGACCCAGCCATCAATGCAAGACTCGAGCCCTTAGGCCAGACAGCCCTCAGTATCATTTATGCTGACAAGTCTGAACCTCAAATTGCTATTAAAGCTATCGGCTTCTGGCTAGATGGGGAAATGAACGACCATGCTGCCCTTGCCGAGGACACGACTGAGACGTTCAAACGTGAAGCTGCCATATATGATGTTTTGGGTTCGCATAAACACATTCTCAAATCATATGGGGTTGCGTATCTTCCCGCTGCTGAAGGCGGAGGATCAGAACCCTCGCCCAAAAGCGAGAGAGAAGCCTGGGCATTGAAACTTGAGAGAGATCCCCATGGCAACCTTCGCGAGCGTATGCTCAAGGGCGATGCACTACCTATAGCCCAACATTTAAATATAGCAGGGATACTTCGTTCTGTTGATTCTAGAGGAATTTATTGGGAAGTAACTCTACTGTTCTATTCCAATTGGTGTATACCACTTATTATCCTACCCCTCGGAAGACGGATTCATATCTCTTCCGGAGTCTCCGTTAGACAAGAGTGACCCTTGATAGATAAGCTGTTCTGCTAGACTAGAACGGGGCGTCATTATCCCATGCAGTTGCCTTGTGATTATTGTCGCCAGTAACTACTTCAAGCCACTGCTAAAGCATGCCGCCCTCCGGCAATCTGTTTCTTATGCAATACCCGGATTACAAAAGCAGTTCCGATCAATGCCACTGCCATGGCAACCATAGTAGGATATCCTTTGGGATAGCTCGGCGCCTCAACCTGTTGCCAAATGACCAATGGTAACCAAGCTTGGAAAACATACGCCATCTGGTTCATCGCACCTGTAACGAGGGCTCTTTCCTCATTATCGTCACTGCAGATTTCATGCGCCCAAGCAAAGGTCAACCCGCTGATGCCGCCGCCAAAACCACACAGCATAAAGCACACCCATGTGAAGGCGGTAGGAACCTTCCATACCGTGAGTCCAACGTACGCTATAATCTTGACCAAGCCAGAAAACACAATAGCCGGCCAACGGGCACCACGGAATAGACTATCCGATGTCCACGCGTAGATGAGTGTCGTAACGACGCTGATGACATCGACAATTGTTGGGTAAATATTGACTTCTCGGATTGTGTAGCCTTGTGATTTCAACCACAGGGGAAACGCAGGCTGAGAGCTGCCTCCGTTACCGTTATTGAATAGAATGTAAAGCAAGACCAGGACGTAGATGTGCCAGCTGCTGAAAATCTTCTTGAACTTGGCTTTAGTGTATGGTGCTCTCTTCGCTCTACCCTCAAGTTCCATGCGTCGTTTTGCCAGCGCAATCTCTTCTGGAGTAAAGTACCACGCCTTGGTAATCTCAGGTACGTCAGGCAGGAAGAAGAACCCAGAGATGGCGATTGGTAGAGATACAACAGTGTTGGTGATAAACAACCATTGCCATCCGTGGTACCCATGCACGCCATCGAGGTTGTGCGAGCCGGCCATCAAGTAGCCAGAGACCATGGAGCCCACGTTTCCCATGGCATGGAAGAGACACGAACGCTTGGCGAGCTCATCCTTGCGGTACCAAGAGCCAACAATGTATTGCATTCCAGGATAGAAGGTACTTTCAGCAAGACCGATAAAAAAGCGAAGAACATAGAGCTGCGTGGCGTTTGTACACTTTATGAGAAGAATGGTTAGAACGGACCAGGTAACCTGGATTTATTTGTTAGTTTCAGTGGTTTTGGGCGACCAGAAAGGCGTACCTCGCAGGCAGGGATCCAGATGCTTGGCCGAATACGCGTCAGTAGCATGTTACTAGATGATTGTTAGCAAGTGCTTATGATGGAATAGAAAGAATCTTACCTCGGAATTTCACCAATAACATATCCAACGGTCCAGCATGCCTGCATATAGTTCAACTCATTTCCCCAGAGGCCCATATCCTCCTTCATCCCAGACACAAAGGCATTGTTGATGTTGACCTGTTACGTTAGTACTAACACAGCCCTTGACGTGGAGTGGAAATCTACCTGATCCAGATACTTGATGAAGTATCCCAGTGAGGCCAATGTCATAAGAGCAAGGTCAAGCTTGAAGAGAAATCTGCGTTCCTCGGGGGACTTGTCGAATGTGTCCCAAAGATATGATCTCCAGCTCCTTTCGGGGGTCTCTTGGAGCACGGCCAAAGCTGATGTTTCTGAGTCAGACGAGACAGCTTGGTCGTTGACATCTCTGACCCTTTCGGTCGAGATTTTCTTTGGGTCTGCTGCCATTATGTTTTGAGTATAACAGCGAGCACAAAATGCAAAGATATTATCGCACTGGGTTGATCTTCAGCTTCTTATAAGGTTATATTTATGCGGGGCATTTTATCATAGTGATCAATTGCGTTCTTTTCGTTTCATCATTGCGCTCTGCTAGATGGAGCAATAACATCGGGGAGAAGCCGCTCTATTGTTCGTAATCGCTGTGAAGCAGGTGCATACTTGAGTAGTATTATAGCAGGTGGCCAATCAGAAGTCCGCCGCCACAAGACTCATTCTGCATACAAATGGCGTCAAGACCTCTCCTTATCTATGTCTAACTAAAGTCACTTTGATCAGCATTAACGATCCAACTGCATAGGTTATGTACTGGCATTAGTACGAAATTATACAACAACAGGGCTTCTGGTTGGTGGGCTGTGTTGACGTGACTGGGACCCAGTATGCTGTGCTTGGCCTCTATCTATTGCCGGGTTATCATTACGGCAGTCTGGATTCATTCCATATGAAGGCAAGCGCTTCGACTGGTTGCATAATGCTTTTTCTTTTTGCGACTCAGCCTGTTTCGCAACAGTGCCTGGTCAATTGATTTCATGACTCGACACCTCAGCATCAGCCCTACAGAAACATGCAAAGTCTATAGCGCGTCGAAACACTACTTTAGAAGCGAGAGAATACAAGAGCGCAATAATACAAAGGAGATCCCATAATGACTACAATGGTTCAGGAACGAGAAGGTCAGTCAAGTGGTGAATAAAAAGTTCATAAATGTCTGACGACTCGGCTCTCAGCGACGACATACAAAACAATGTAACGAGTCCGACAATGAACCTCTTTCTATGGAATGTCATGTCATGTTTCTAATGATAACTGTTTACGGCTAACTTATTTTCTCCACTGATAGTTTGGGGGATGCTGGTGAGATGGACGTTGAGTATTCAACCTACCTAATCGTTCCCAGGCTCGGATTGCAACATAGCACGTCATTGTACCCCAGCCATGCAGAACCAGTAGTAGTAACAGAAATGCAATATTTCTTATGGCCTGCCCTTAGAATATTCTTGCTGGGAGCTATTTTTCTACCTTATATATTAATATAGAATTATTTAATTTCGTATTTTACAATTATTTAATAACTATGCACTATTCTACTGCAGGTATTTTATAACAGGCTACACAATGTGTCCATTGATGTAGGAATAGGACTAATAAGGGAGAAGTTACCTGCACACCCGGTGGCTTACGTAAGGCTCACTTATGTGCACCGCCCCCGGTGCAGGTAACTTCTCCCTTGATAGACCACCTTGTTGGATCACCATTGGCATTCGATGGAGAATATGCTAAGAAGACCTGGGTTAAGTTTGAAGACATTCCAGAAATTCGAGGTCGTGCTATCAAGGATTTACAAAGAGCCATAACGGAAGTCAATTGTGTTAAAAAGAACGCTACAATCATTAACAAAGTCACCAAGGTGCAGTTGACTCAGACTTACGATATTCTTGTCGCGGCCTCCGGCCTACACCGTGCCTGGCCCATTACCCTCGAGCCGAAACGAAAGAAGAATTTCTATCCGAATTGCGCACTATACGTCGAGTTTTGGGGATGCCTCGCACGGTGTCGTTGTCATTGGTGGCGGAGCTATCGTCGTGGAAATAGCTGCAAAGCTGAAGATTCTCATGCCGGGACTTAGTGTAACTCTCGTTCACTCGCGGGATATGCTTCTGTCCTCAGAACCAATCCCCGACAACAACAAGGAAAAGACTCTTGAGCTGTCAAAGGAGACTGGGTTTCAGATATTGATGAATCATCCTTTAAGCCAAATTACTGATGGGCAGACTTTGGATGGACGCTTCGAATTTCGACTTGAGTTTAGCAATGGCACTCAGATTGTGACTAGCAGAGTTATACGCGCCATCTCGCAGGGTCATCCCTCGACCGAGTATCTTCCAGCATCAGCTCTTGATTCAAATGGTTACATGGAGGTCTTGCCAAAGTGTGTCACTTTATCCTTCGAAAACTTTATGTCACAAACTTACATTTTATAGTTTGAATTGGAAACCGGGAACGCCAAACTACCAAGACCATTTCTCAGCGGGCGATGTAGTGCGATGGTCAGGGATAAAACGATGTAGTGGCGCGATGCACATGGGTCAATTGGTTGCGCAGAATATCCATCGGCGCATCATGCAGAAACTAACAGGCCGGGCTCCAGAGATGAAGAACTTGGAAGGATTCTCGCCCATGATTGCTGTTGCCCTCGCCAAGAAGGCTGTTGCGTATGCGCCACACACGATTGTTACATGGGGAGACGATGTGCTGCAAACATGCTTTGGGGACAATATGGCATTTTCATGTGAGTATTTACTACCACACTCCAGCTACAGATTGTACGGAATTTGACTGAATGGAAAGTTTGTAGAAGTACTATGCAGCTCGATGGCTCCCGCACAATGGAAGAAGAGCTTGACCGAGGTGTAAATTCCTAATAACACACAAATCACAGCCCCATATGGAGAATGTAGGAAAATAGAATTTAGGTCTATAGTAGTACTTAGCTTGACTTGATTTCGCTTAATAGAATACTGTAAACTGGGCGTAATATGGGGTAAGGGGAGCGGGATAAACATGATGCGAGCAGTAGTTAAATGCGGGGAAGCTGGAGTACTATATGCACTGTAATTCCCTAATTTTGCATTCCTTGTTTTTGCCGTCTCCCGATTTCCTCCTCGTCAATTCATCTGACAAAATGCCAGTGACACTTCCGGCTCCAAGCAGCCGTCGCATGCCTCTCAGTTGCGAGCCATGTCGCCAACGGAAGATCAAGTGCCCACGCAACATCAACCGTGGCCGAATTGCTTGCGACACTTGTGTACGTAGAGGCATTCCTGTCACTGAGTGTATCTATCTTCGAGATCAATGGTCACGGCGTAACGTCCCGATGCCTCGACATGGCGACAACTCGGCTCTTGTGGCTCGCATAGATCGGTTGGAAGAATTACTGCGTCAAAGCCTATCGAGTGCAAATTCAGAGCCTGGAACACTATCTGCAGAACTGGAACTGGAACCGGAACCATTACCGGAAATGGAACCGACAACAGAGTTATTGTCGCCAGAATCGACTCTGCATCAGTCGGCAGCCACCTCCTCTTCCGTCCAAAGTGATGCGTCTCTTACCCAAACCTATCGAGGTGTACCACCAGTTGGGGTAATTATCCGATATGCATCTGGCCATGAGCGATTTGAGCCAGCGTCTCTACAATGGTCGTCCGTAATCCAAAACAATCCTGTTGTGGGAGGCGTAAAGACAGACATGGACGAGAACAGGCCAGGCTCGATGCCTTTTTCCTTGATTAACACAGACATCACTGAGCTTCTAGAACTACTCCCTCCTGCCTCGCATTGCGAGCAGTTGAAGGACATCTACTTTAATACTTTTGCACCTGTGAGTTCTCCGGAGTGTTATTTTCTTCTCACCGTCTATTAACTGACAAAACAGCTTTTCCATATCTTACACGACCCCACGTTCGAGACAGGTTACCTTCAATTTCAATCTGACCCCGAGAAAGTATCGTTGCCTTGGCTGGCGCTTTTGTTCGCCATACTCAGTATCGCCGTCATCGCCCTGCCTCAAGATAGCCTTCTTCTTCGAGAGTTGGGCAAGCGCAATTCTGCGCCTGATAACATGTCATTATTGAGTAGCCGCTTCAGAGGAGCAGCCATGAAGTGCCTAGAATCAGACCACTATCTCTGGAGACACAATCTGAACACTCTACAAGCCTTGGTAATTCTAATCTACGGAATCAATCACACTCATGGGCACTCTTGGGCTTTGCTTGGAGCAGCACGGAATATCGCACTCTCTCTGGGCTGCCATGTTGACCCAACAGTCTTCCAAATGGAGCGGATCAGGGTGGAAGAGAGACGTCGATGCTGGGCTGGGCTAAAAATGCTTTACACAATACAGAACACAACACTGGGCTTCTTGGATGCCGCTCATATACCTTCAACCGTGAGACCACCGCTTGATATCAACGATAATGAGCTTGTGGCTGGTTATCAAATTCCCCAGTACCGAGATGGGCCGACCCAGATGTCGTACTTATTACTCAAGTTTGAACTTTACGATCTCTGCACTCGCATCTGTAGTCAGGTGTTCGAAAGTTCACGCACGCCTGGGTACGACAAGTTCCAGGCCCTCGATGCAGAGATCTCAGCTATGCGAGAGACACTCAATTACAGATATGTGTTTGACGTCTCAACTGTAGCTCATCATTCCGTCCAACTCAATATCCTGTTCGGATATACACACCATCTCACCCTCTTCCTCCACCGACCGGTCCTGAAACAAGGCGCCTCTGGCTATTCTGTCAATGACTGGGTGGCTTCACAAACTAAATGTATTAACAGTTCTAAAGAATTGATTAGTATACATCGTACGCTTCATGAAAACCCAATCTTTCTTCCATACCAATGGTATAACCGTGGACTAGGAAGCTTTCACGCATTTCATGCTGCGGTTTGTCTAGCTCACATCTACATGAGTGGTACAAACCTAGATACTACCACCAAGACTTCCTTTGCCGAACTTATTCGCGAATCACTTCCAATTTTTCGATATTTTATGAAGACTGGGGTTAGTGCGATTTGTACTAAAGCCACGCCTGTTCTCGAGAAACTACTGTATGTATATACGTCTTTTGCATAACTATACGCTGCTAACCAGAGTAGGAACATTATGAATTCGCAGGATCATCCTGATTCGAGTGCAAGGAGCGAGACTGTATATAATCACGAAGATTCGTCTCATCAACGCGATATCAGGCTACTCGATGAGTATATTGAGAATCTGGCACCCCAGCAATGGCTTTCTCCTTCCAATATGGGTTGGGAAGGCTGGGCAATGATTTTGGATGAACCTGTAGCAAATGTATTTGGAGCGTAATGAAATGAACGTGTACTGGTTGGACTTCGCTGAACTCAAGCGTCCAAGTCTTGAATTTTCCAAATAGTATTTCCTCTGCTTATGGACACAACCTCAAAGGCATGTGGCAGAAATGTTCCAGAATTCATCCCTTCCTTACCGCTGGTGTATAGATACTTTAACGTCAACGACCCTGAGCAGTATGAAGCATAGCGTGGAACGGACTGCTGCTTTAGTGGGTATCAAGTACCGGGGACAATCGATAGATTATATCAGTTCAAGTCCATATCCTAGTGCTTGAGGGGCCTACAATATGACACGGTCCAGTCTATTTATAAAATTGCATATGAATTACTTCTACCGGAAGCTAACTAAATAAGAAGCCTTTGTTAACTACAAAGTGATTTGACGGGATTGCAGCAAGATTTCTCAGACACTCTTCATGCCTCTTTATACATGGGGAAGGTAGGAATCTCGAATGGAGTTACACCTCCAGCAAAAAGACCTGCGCATCCAGCCCAGTCTTGGGAAAATAGTTAGCAAGGGTATAGCGCTGAAGAGGAAGAACTTACAACTCATAACAGCAACCAAGTATCCAAAAGCATAGCCTGCGTTGAGAACAGACATGCTGTTTACCATATTGCCAGCAGCCAGTAAGATAAGGCAGATATCTAATGCCAGAAGATCAAGAAAGAGTACCCAGGAGCTTCTCACTGCAGCAATAGTATATATGACTGTCAGGATGAACCATGCCCATATATAGATGGCGATGGCCTGTTGGAAGTCTGGACTCAGAGTACCTGACTCATCCGTTTATGCAGCAATGATGCCCGAACCAGGAAGGTATATCATGCTGTATGAGATATTAAAGGCGCCATAAGACATGAAAACAGCCGTGCCAAATGTATTTCCAGTTACAAATTCCATGATTCCGACGATGTACTGACAGATGCCGCCGAAGAAGATCAGCACGGCAATCATGACATTCGGAGTCTGAATTCCGCGAGCGTGGACCCCGAAACTGGAAATGAGAAAGATGCCTTATTGGTCAGCTGGTAAGTGTCCTGAAGAATTCACCAAATGGGTTGAGGACAATACCTGTAGCGAAAGAGAGCAGACCCAGTGGTGATGGGTTGGCAAAGCGCCGATGTACCACAGGGAGAGCCGGCTGGCCGCGATCCTCAATATGGCCACCTGCAGTTGTGGCCGGTCGTAACTTGTTTTCTCCGGAAGACATGGTGCTTGATGCGGTGTTCGGAGTCCGTTCGGTTATTTACTGGCTGATGATACTGGTGAGATACTGCAGAGTTCTCTCCGATCGCCAGGAACGGAGTTAATAATAAAGAAACGCATAATTCCATGGCTGGTTATCTTGGCCCGAGCTATCCCAGTTCATCTCGCAAGATTCCCCAGAAATTCATGTTCTACGGCAGCTAGTATCCCCAGTCCCGAATATGACCGCTCTTGTCCCCTTGTCTCCCCCGCGTTACGCATATTTACATTTACTTACGCCATCCCTGCGCCCCGCCTTCTCCGTCATCTCCGCCATCTCCGGCACCTTCACCATCCCCACTATCTCCGTCTTCCCCACCATAGGAACAGCAGCCAAAAATCAGCAAGATTGGTGGATGCCTATTTGAGCTGTTATTCACCCAGTTGACCACGGTTCCTCTAGGTACAAACTAAGAATTATCTGTACAACAAGCCACAATGGGATCTCAAACTACCTCCGCCCCCATGCAATACGTTGCTTACCTCCATCCTAACTTGGTCGTTCCTCGTGTTGGTCATTTTGACCTGGCCAAGGATACTATCCAGCCTCTGTGCTTCACGTCCGGAACTCCGGTGTCGGACCTTTATGAAGTCATTGCTGCAGGAGCTTCTCAGATCATTTTCGATTCTGGTAGCGAGGTGCTATTGGCCAAAGACGTCAAGTTATTGCCCACCATTTCTGGCCGAGACATTCTGGCTGTAGGAAAGAACTATATGGAACATGCCAAAGAGTTCAACAGCTCAGGGTATGACAGCTCTGATAAGACCGACCGACCAAGCCATCCAGTCATCTTTACGAAGCGGGCTACGTCTGTTATCGCTCATGGGGACATTATACTTCCTCATATCAACTTTTCGCAGACTCTCGATTATGAGGGAGAAATCGGGGTTATCATTGGAAAGACAGGATACCGTATTGATGAGACTAACGCATGGGACCATGTCTGGGGCTATACCATTATCAACGATATGACTGCCCGTGAGCGTCAACGCGATCACAAGCAGTTCTTTATTGGAAAGTCACCCGATACCTTCTGCCCCATTGTAAGTTATGGCAAAGCCTAAATATGAGGTTAATTATCTGACTGTTCTATCCAGGGCCCTATTGCTGTCTCGAAAGATGATCTACCATCTACTCTGAAGGTTCAAACCCATGTCAATGGGGAGCTTAGGCAGAGCTCTACTACCGAAGATCTCATCTTTTCCATTCCCACCTTGATTAGGACTATTTCCGAGGGCCAAACATTGCAGCCTGGTGATGTAATTGCTACTGGTACTGTAAGTTGGCTTTATCCACTGAGCGAATATTGGCTAGATCTCAACTAACAATTTCATAAAGCCCGCCGGCGTTGGCATTGGTAAAAACCCACCGGTTTTTCTCCAGCCTGGCGATGAGGTTTCCGTCTCGGTCACAGGGCTAGGAACCTTATCCAATGAGATCGGAACCGCAGACACTACCAACCCAACGGTCGAGCGAGTTTCTTCAAGCTCGCCATTTCGCATCACCAACTTGGCCAAGACACTCAGCGTTGGTATTGGACTGACCGAACTCAATGGCAAGCAATTCAACTACAAGAGACAAGGATCTGGAAGTAACCACATCGTCTTCGTGCATGGTCTAGGCGGTACTATGGATTACTGGACTCCCTTGATCTCTAAACTTTTCCTCTCTGAGTACTCTCTTCACTTGTTTGACTTGGAGGGCCATGGTCTTAGCCCGACACATCCTCTCAGTCAGCTAAGTATTGAGTCATTTGCGTCGGATATTCGATCTATCTTCGATGTTGCGAACATTTCTACTTCCGCCACCCTATTCGCCCACTCTCTTGGATGCTTGGCAGCCCTCAAATTCACGCTAGACAACCCTACTCTTGTGGGCAAGTTGGTCCTCATCGGGCCCCCTCCATCACCTCTACCAGATGCAGCATCGGAGGGCGCGTATGCCCGTGCAACCGTTGTCAGAAGCAAGGGTATGCAAGCTGTTGTAGATGCTGTAGTGGATGCGGGGACATCAGGGCACTCTAAGCAGGAAAACCCTATCGCGATCACTGCCGTTAGACTGAGCCTTCTCGGTCAGGATCCCGAATCTTATGCCAAGGCACTTTGGGCACTTGCTGGAGCCACCAAGGAGCTCAAGGTAGAGCAGATCCAAGCCAAGACCCTCATTATCACGGGCGACGAAGACAAGGTCTCACCCTCCTCTCTATGCGAGAAGTATGCGTCTCGCATACAAGATTCTCAACTTGTGGTACTCAACAATGTTGGACATTGGCATGTTTTTGAGGCCGTTGATGGTGTTTCTGAAGCTGTGAAGGCATTCCTGTAAATGGAAGTTTAATGGACAATATCTAGCTCAATAAATAAATGGTGCATAAATATATCTGTATAACTTCGCGTTCTCTTGAAACTCGACGTCTATTACAAGGTGCATTTTCATCCCGTCACGTATACATCAAGTCGAGTAACATGGTAATGCGATTTGCCTATCGGTTACGGGAGAAGTCATGATACCAATTTCAACACTGGACTAGAGATAGATTCAGAGGCTTCTTATGCACTGTCAATCTTTATGATTTTAGATAATTTATTTGCCTTGGTGTCTTCAGTATGTCCAATATACTCTAGAATTATAACGTGCCTAAAAGTCTACGTCCCAAAACTTCCGAAGCCCAACAAATCTTGGGGGCTCTTTGAACTTGTTTTGTATCCCTCTAGTCCGCCCAACCCTAAGCGATCTCCCAAACTCGGTCAAATCCTTCTCGTTGTGAAACCTCCAGAACTGCCATGTACAATTGCTTCCTCTAAACGACTCAATAACACCAGCTCCTCCGGGATGGTTGTGCACGAACTCTGTGCAGTCGTAGACAATGTCATCTATTATGACCCATAAGCGACCGTTTTGGCACGCATCCGCGATCTTCTCTGCTTCAATGAAAGGCAAAGCGTCGTTTTCGGTGGTGATTGGCGCTGGCTTATACGAGATTGGATTGCTGCAGTTTTCCACAAGTGCCACGGACGGCAAAAGATCGGATTTTGTGTCCAAGGCAATGTGGACTGCGTCGCTGGGCTGCTGTGTTGGCCGAGACTTGCAGTTCGACCAGAACATGACGGGTAACTGATGGAGTAACTAGATTGGGTGACTGGTATGTAGCGTAGCTGTTTGTCGTATTGCAGTTTGCAGAGGGTGTTGGAACTTCGGTCCGCATGAAAAGGGCACAGCTACGCTAACTCCGATGGCCCGCTCTCGGATATTTCAAGCCCAGGCTCTTTGAGTTACGTTGGTGGCGATCCCCCGCATTCCGCACCAAGCCACACGCGGAGATGGCGGCGATGCACGGGGAAAGGTAGTCCGAGTTAGAAGTTTGAATTGCCGTGGAACAGTTGACAGATAATTCCGAGCGGAGATACCTTTAGCTAGACGATCCCCTGTACACAGCGCTGCTTCCCCACAGGGAATATAGAAGTTCAGCTTAAGTCGCATAGGTCTGGACTTTACAGAGGTAATCACAAGCGCACATACATTCGACAATGACTAAAGAAGAGACCATCAAGACTTCGTGGTCTCAAGGGGCACACGATTCCTGGTCAGGACAGACAATCTTTTCCCAGAAGTTCCCCAAGAATGTCGAGTTTATCAACAATTTAAAACTCGATAAAACACTTCAGCCCAAAGAGTACAAGATAGAAGGAACTCACCAAGAGTCAAAGATTCTATTTAAGAACGTCAATATTATTGAGTCTACAGGCCGTGAGCCGTACAGGGGTGATGTCTTGATTGAAGGTATGTTGTCAACCTAGAATTAACAACAAAGCCTTAACAACAGCAGGTGAGAAGATCAGCGCTGTTGGTGAAGTTCCCAACAAGGCAGAACTTGAGAAAGATTTCACCGTGCGTGTCTTTGAGGGAAGAGGCAGGACACTCATGTCAGGCCTTGGGGATGGACATACCCACTTCACCTGGAATGGGGGTGACCTCAACAGACTTGGAGAGCTCGATGTCGAAGAGCATGTTCTCCTGACAATCAAGAGTGCTCAATGCTTTCTTGACTCAGGATACACCATGTAAGTAGCGACATGGTTCTGCTACTTCAGCAGTGTTAACACTCAGCTATAGGTGTTTTGGGGCAGCTTCAGCTAAAGACCGCCTCGACGTGGTGGTTCGAGACGCTATCAACGCTGGTGATATTCCAGGTCCTCGTTATCTTGCCAATGCAAGAGAGATCGCCAAGACTAATGGTGAATTGGTGGCTGGTATCACGCGATTTGCAGACGGTCCAGGCGGTAAGTCGATAATATGCTTAATGCCGAACGACTTGGATATCCATTCTAATTTAATAGAAATGCGCGAAGTTATCAAGTACAACATCGAAACAATCGGCGTCGATAACGTCAAGCTCAGTATCTCGGGCGAGGAAATCACCGAGATTCGCTCAGCACAGGATTGCTACTTCCATGACGACGAGATGGCCGCCTGCGTGGATGAGGCACATAAGCGCGGAAAGCGACTATGTGCACATGCTCGAGCTAGAGATTCGGTCAAGATGTGTGTTAAGCATGGGGTGGATGTGATATACCATGGCAGTTACATTGATGATGAAGGTGTGTAATCAGTTCATCGGCCTTGGTTATACATAAAGCTAACTCTCTAGGCATGGAAATGTTAGAACGCGAGCGAGAGAAATACATTGTCGTACCAGCTATCAACTGGCTGGTCGCCACTACCTACGAGGCCGAGGCTTTTGGGTATACCCACGCTGCTGCGGAGAAAGCGGGATACAAGCGGGAACTTGACGTTGCGGTTGCAGGACTGCGCGAGATGCACAGAAGAGGCATTGTCGTTCTACCAGGAGGGTATGTCACTCCGCCAATCTTGTCCAAGTTAAGTACTAACTGGTATAGTGACTATGGTTTCGCGTGGACGCCCCACGGAACTTATGCGCGCGATCTTGAACATTTCGTCAAGCTACTCGGTTTCACCCCGCACGAGAGTATCATTGCTGCCACCGCTGGTGTTGCTGCTCTCCTGATGAGGGGCCACGAGCTTGGAAAGATTCAGCCTGGATATTACGCAGATTGCATCCTAGTCGATGGAGATCCTGTACAAGACATATCGATCCTACAGGATCACAGTAAACTTGACGTTATTATTATTAACGGTCGAGTTCATAAAGCAGGAAGGAGAGAGTATTTTATGGACTTGTCAGGATCATTGTCACATGGGATCCCGCATCATCTACTAGGGGACTTTCCAGAAAAGAAACCAGCTATGCAGAAGTCATTCTAGATTTTGCAAAGATCCCGGGTTAGGCTGGTAATAGGTACACAAAGAACTAGGGACATGGTTGTTCAAGGTATCGGTCTGAGTCACCGTGAAACGGACAGCGAACGAATCAACGATAGGATTACGTGCGGGGCATCACTTAACAAAACATCAAAACAACAATGTCAATTTAAATTAATTTACTCCAATGTAAACATTTTCTAACGCAAAACTGCTATTACACATACATCTCACAGTTATTCTTTCCACTTAAGATTTAACATGACGATATCCAAGGAAGCCTTGCTCAAGGATTACGAGTTTGACCCAAGTATGCTTGAACGCGTAGCCTTCCGCAAAGTCAAACATACCATTGCCATTGTCGAGCCAGACCCTTCCTGGCCTCAGAAATTTGCCCTTGCCAAAGCTCGTATTGAAATGGCCCTTGGCGACACAGCCGTCTCTATCAACCACGTCGGCTCAACCAGCGTCCCCGGTCTTCCTGCAAAAGCAGTCATCGACATTGATCTTACGGTTCGAGATGTCGCTGACGAGGCATCGTACGTGCAAGCGCTTGAGAATGTAGGATTCCATTTCCTGCTCAGAGAGCCAGCATGGCACGGACATCGTTTCTTTTGCGACTACGAGGATGTGTCAACGAATTTGCACGTCTGGGGCCCGGATTGTCCCGAGGCGGCGAGACACAAGATCTTTTCGGATTGGTTGAGGAATAATGAGGAGGATCGAAAGTCATATGAGAACATCAAGCGGGAGGCGTCCAAGGCGAGCATTGCCGGTGGTGAGGATGTACTGGAGTACAATAAGAGGAAGGAGAATGTGATCCGGGAGATTTTACAAAGAGCTTTCAAAGCTCTAGGTTATTTGTGAGGTAGCTCTGGAACTGGGAAAACATGAGGCCTTCAGAAACTAACGGAATCATGGCAATATCTTCATAACAGTGATCCAGTCATACACGTCATATCATGTCTACGATAGGAAAAGGGATTCATGCATCATACTAATTTCACTACTGATACAAAAATGAACCAGTTAAATACCCAAGAGATTATAGTAGAGTCCTTTGCGCTTGAAGATAGACAAACGCCTCATTCGCTGGCCCGTCATGAATGAAGTCAATCCAGGGAAGGTCTTCTGCCAATATCATATCTCGCATTGTCTCCCAAGAGAGATCATAATCCACTACCACATCCCAGAGATCTCCAACTATGGGGTTCGACACCTCAACCGTCGAGAAGAAACCCATCATCATTACCCAGATAGCAAACGTCTTGTGATTCATGTTATGGTCTTGCATCTCTGTATAGCTTGATTCAAATTGTCCCTGAAGCTCTGGTAGTTGTGGTCTTCGTACGGGGCTTCGGGAAAGGGTGGTGAGAAAAGCAAGCATCCCAAGCCTCAGTGCTTCTTCTGTACCAGCGCAATCGTTATTCGGATCCAGTAACTGTGTCTGGATATCGTTGATCTGTGATTGGAAGTCCGCCCATATTAGATCATTCCTTGCAATCATAGCATCTTTTATATCTTGTGTAAGAGCCTCCAGATTCTGGAAAGCTTCAATCACCCATGGGGAGTACACTTTGAGTTTTTGAAGAATATCCGGCGTTGCAATTGGTGGCATCGGTAATAACGGATAACCATTATATTCCAGTGCAAGATGCAGTGGCCGGCCAGAAGCCAACGCCAGCCTCAGATCGAACTGCTGAATCTTGTAGAGAAGCTTCGCGTCCAGTCCTGTCGGAACATTGTCCCTGATCATAAGTAATCTTTTGACTCCTTCAAGATGCGACCGTACAGCTCCAAAGTCGTGCAATACCTCGGCCGGGAACAATAGTATCAGGATTGTCATCATTATCGTTGAGGACTGTTGGCCTGCAGCTTGATGCAGATCCCGATTCAATGAAGAAAGGATGTTGCAGAGTAGCTGCTGGGTCCAGGAGGAGAGGCGCGTACTACAGCGGAGATCATCTACGGCATGCGTGGCGAGGTAGATTGCGCTTAGTAGAGTTTTGTTTTGGTAGAGGAACTGGAAGTCATCGATCATCCATTTTTGGATGTTGAGGCTTGTGTCTAGTGGGTACACTGATTCGATAATATTATTATATTTCATGACTACCACGAGCCGGTGTTAGTGATCAGTGATTCCTAATAGGATAGTGGGTGTAAATCACCAGTTTGCATTATCGAGGATGGAAACAGTGAAGAGTCAAAGCCAAAATCGTCAACACTCATACTCAATGACCCGAACAACTGACTGTAAAGACGTTCATTCCGAAGGCTCGAGGTACGGTGTAGCGATGATTCTTTACGACGTATGATGCTGGTGTCCTTCGTTTCTGGTCCTGCAGTTTCTTGAGAGTGTACTTCTATATTTTTTGCCTTTCTTCTCGAACGTCGAGAGTTTTGGCGTACATTCACTCCCTTCATGCACTGGCTCCGGATAGTGGCTCGACTAGCAGGGTCTGAAGGGCGACCAGTGCCGTCAACAGCTAGGAAGGTGAAACTGCCTCCTACCATGGTTGATTGGTAATGGATAATCTAGCCTGAGTCTCTAACGCTTGTTGTCCCAGAAGAGGAGAGAGTTGTGGAGTTGCTTCGGAAAGGGAATACAATGTGGTCAAAGACCAATCTGTTTGCTGACATCTCGATAAGGAGGCAGAGAGGCTTGCCACTGGTTAGAGATAAGGCCACGAGTCCACATTAATCATCGACCAGATTGATGTCCTAATTAGTCTTAGCCTTGTGAGCCGAATCATCTTTCGGGGTTGGATTCCTCCGATCCTAGACACGGTTGATCTTCCTCTTATCCAATTAGCGCGTGATTGTCACGTTGAACTTTTAGACTAACCATATTTGGATTACATTGTGGTCGTTGTTAGATCCGAAAAATCGCACTCGACCAGGAGATAATATTCGATCCGCAGCTTCCATCTGCAAACCTTCGAACATCTTGTGAGGCTGAGATCATTGACGTGTATATTGCGGAGTTGCGGAGTAGCTGGACCAGTTTGACATCTAAAATGGCTTTAGTACGATTTTACCTGTCGTGCCAATGCAGACTGTAAGAACATTGACAACCGACATATAAGTATGAAAGGTCAGACGTCTTTCAGGAGCAATTAATTGAACATCATTGGAATATAATTGTCTCACGATTCAATCTCGCCTTTTATTTGCTCAGACAATCACAATGGTAGCCCGAACATCGAGTTTCGCCAGTGCCTCCTCCAGGCTTCCTGCACTTACCCTATCGCCCTTGCGTCTTATGATCACTTCTCAATTCACCAAACCACAACTGCCCCCAAAAAGCCTTGATCTCTCAGGTCAAACAGCGATTGTAACTGGCGCCAACAATGGCATCGGTTTGGCTTGTGCCAAGCTACTGCTTGAGCAGGGACTCAGCCATCTTATCATCGCTGTTCGCTCAGAGGCCAAAGGTCATGAGGCAGCTGAGCAGTTGAGAGGAATTGTCTCGGACGCCAATATCGAAGTTTGGAAACTTGATATGGGAAGTTACATCTCCATTGACTCGTTTGTGAAGCGTTGCGAAACGCTCCCTCGTCTTGACTATGCCATTCTCAATGCTGGCATGGGCAACGCCACCCTCCGAATTAATGAGTCCACTGGTCATGAAGAAACTATCCAGGTCAACTTCCTGTCTACTATGTACCTCTCGGTCCTTCTTCTACCTCTGCTGAAGAAGAAAAAAGCATCGCCATCACAACCGGGACGACTGACTGTCGTCAACTCAGGAAGCTCTATGCACTGCGAGTTACCTGAGGCAAAGTCGGACCCATTGATCCCCGCGTTCGACTCTGAAGCGACCTTTGATGGAATGCCACATTACGCCAAGTCGAAACTACTTGGACAGCTCTTTATCGATAAGCTAGCGCGTCACGTCGACCCCCAAGACGTCATCATCAACTGTGTCGATCCTGGACTTACCAAAGGCACTGGTCTCATGGACAAGGCGCCGATAGTCTTGAAAATATTCATGACTATCATGGCGCGGTTTATCGGACGCACTCAAGAACAAGCCGCTTCAACCTATGTTGATGCAGCTGTTGTCAAGGGAGAAGAAACGCATGGGTCATACGTGATGGACTGGCGAATTTATCCGTGAGTTGTTGTTACCCTACAGTTTTTCAGATGTATTCTAATAGCAGTACAGGTTCGGACAATATTATTACAGCGCGGATCGACCGGAAGTTCAGGATCGACTGTGGAAGGAAATCATGCATGAGTTTGAGTTTGCAAACATGGGGGGTATTATCAACTCGATGGGTAAGAGAGATTAAGGTTGCATTTAACAAAGAGGCAATATTTAGGATGTTACACCAGTTACAGTCATCTATCCTTGAACCTTATTTAATAAATCTTAATTCTCCTTTCTTTGCCTCAGCTGATATCACTACCTGTTATAGTGATGGGATGAAGAGAAACAGTAGAGGAAATTGATCAACCTGGGGCCGATGAATGCTACCTGTGTGAGCATTGACCACTTGAAATCTAGATAGATGCTCGATCAAACTGTCAGTTTCAAGCCAAGACGGTATCGGCAACAAGAAAGGCGCATCACAGCCTCTTAATGCACAACACCAGACAATATGCAACGCAACTCCCCTGGAATCACGGACCAATTGCGCCTTTGGAGCAACGATTTCTAAAAGTCCCTTCGGCATTCAATCCCCAAACTCGAAGTTGCAGGGATCACAACGCGAACCCCTGTCGTGCCCCTGAATGCCAAGGACCGAGACTTGGAGAGGCCTTGTTATAATTGGTGCAGACCCAATCTCCACCCTCGAAATCTATTCCGATCTTCGCTGCGCTTGTCTCGAAGAGGGAGGTTTGAGATAATGCACGACTGGGGAATCAGAGCATATTCAGGAACTTATGATTGCTGCATGGGAACTTCTGCTCTATCAATGCTGTATATACTGTATCTGGTAACTGATCCCATGTGGTGCCATATCTCTAATCGTGATAGCGACCTGCCGTATCTGTATTATTTCCAGCATGTGCCGTACCTCGAACTGTAATATATAATGTATTTTCCAGACCTTGTTCATACTGCCAAGCTCTCCTCCTCAACCACACTCTCTTGACTCTCAGACCACACTCGTTATTGGGTCTTTTTGTTTTTGTCTTGTCGCTCTTTTAATCAAGCAAACACACTCTTTTATCTAGTCATGGTTCGTTTAGGACTATCGGCTTTGCTTTTCGCAGGGCTGTCACTCGCTCAAGATGAGCTGTCTCAGCCTCCGCAGCCCGAACAGGGCACTGTTGCCCACTTGCCTGGTGCTTACATCTTCGAGTTCGAGGAGAGCCAGGATACTTCTGTCTTTTACGACAAGACAGAAGGTCAGTCTACCACCCGTGTCAAGTTCGACTACGACCTCTTCAAGGGCGTTTCAGTCCAATTTGACGATGTTGCATCTGCCGAAGAGCTGGCTGCCAAGATGGCTGCTCTCCCAGTCGTCAAGAATGTCTGGCCTGTAAAGGTCTACGGAATTCCTACACCTCGCGTTGAATGGACAGCGGAGCCAGGAATGAAGGCTCCTCTTTCCAAGAGAGCTGTCAATGATACCTCTGATACTTTCTCGCCTCATGTCATGACTCAGGTTGACAAGTTGCGCAAGAAGGGAATCACTGGACATGGAATTAAGGTTGCTGTTATTGACACTGGTATCGACTACAAGCACCCAGCTCTGGGTGGTTGTTTCGGCCCCGATTGTCTCGTGTCTTTCGGCACAGATCTGGTTGGTGATGACTACGATGGTTTCAACGCCGTTCACCCTGATGACGACCCCATGGATTGCGGTGGCCATGGTACTCACGTTGCAGGAACTATCGCTGCTCAAACCAACCCCTTCGGCTTTACTGGTGCAGCTCCAGGAGTCACTCTCGGTGCTTACCGAGTCTTTGGCTGTTCCGGTGAGGCCGGCAATGACGTTCTCATTGCTGCGTACAACCAAGCTTACCAAGATGGTGCTGATATCATCACTGCCTCTATCGGAGGCCCCAGTGGTTGGTCAGAGGAGCCTTGGGCCGTTGCCGTCTCTCGCATCGTCGAGAAGGGTGTGCCATGCCCCGTTTCTGCTGGTAACTCTGGCGATGTTGGCATGTTCTATGCTAGTACCGCAGCGAACGGTAACAAGGTCATGGCCATTGCCTCTTACGATAACAGCAAGTACATCTCGCTTCTCAAGCAGCACCACTACACCGTCGACGGAAGTGATGCTAAGATTGCCTTTGGCATGACTGCTGGTACTCCCGCCGCTTGGGACGATGTCAAGCTTCCTATCTGGGCTCCTAGTTTCGACACCTCTGTGGCAAATGGCGGCTGCGATGCTTATCCCGCCGATACACCTGACCTTAGCAAGTTCATTGTCGTGGTGCGCCGAGGATCCTGCACATTCGTTCAAAAGGCCCAGAACGCTGCCAACGCCGGTGCTAAGTATTTCATCGTCTACAACAACGCCGGTGGTGCCAACGAAATCGACGTTTCTACCGTGAATGGTATCCTCGCAGCCGGTATGGTCACTTCCAACGTCGGTGCTAAGTGGATGGGTCTCCTTAAGGAAGGTTCCAAGGTCACACTCGAGATGTCCTCTGGCTCTGATGGGGATGTTATCATGGAGGAGAGCAAGAACGACAAGACGGGTGGAGCAGTGAGCACTTACTCCTCTTGGGGACCTACTTGGGAGATGGACGTCAAGCCCCAATTTGGCTCTCCCGGTGGAAACATTCTTTCAACTTATCCTCTTGCCAAGGGTGGTTACGCTGTTCTTTCTGGAACTTCAATGGCTTGCCCCCTCGTCGCCGCTACTATTGCTCTCATTGCTGAGGTCCGTGGAACTCTCGACCCTGAGACTATTGAGAACCTTCTTGCGTCTACCTCAAACCCTCAGCTCTTCAACGACGGTACAGGATTCTCTGACTACCTGGCACCCGTGCCTCAACAAGGTGGTGGCATGATTCAAGCCTACGACGCTGCGTACTCGACACTATTGCTTGATGTTTCCAGCTTGTCCTTCAACGACACCGACAACTTCATCAAGGTCCGCAACTTCACCCTTCACAACACTGGTAAGGAGGAGGTTGCTCTCAGCGTCTCTCACATTCCTACCAAGAGTATTTACACCCTCGACAAGGACAGTATTTATGCTTCTTCCTTCCTCAACGAGGCTGTCGATGCTCATGCTGAGCTCGAGTTCAGCGAGGCCAAGCTTTCCATTGCTGCGGGTGAGAAGGTCACCATTGAGGTTATCCCTTCTGCTCCAGAAGGTCTTGACAGCAAGCGTCTCGCTCTTTGGTCTGGTTACGTCGCCATAAACGGTACCGGAGTATCTCTGTCTCTTCCTTACCAGGGCTTGACAGGTTCTCTGCACGATTCTGTTGTCTTAGGAACTGACGATACATGGATCGCCAAGTCCAACGACAAGGACAACCTCACTCCTGTCCCCGCCAACACGACTTTCATTCTTCCCGTCAAGGGCCAGAACGCCACTGATGCTCAGCCTGCTCCCGCTCTGGCTTGGATGCTTGCGCTCGGCTCAGCCAAGCTCGAGGCCGAGCTCATCCCTGTTGGCACAAACTCTTCCAAGAGTCTCGGTGCACCCGCTGGATTCCCTGTGCAGTGGAACCCTATGGGTAAGGGTAACATTGTGTGGAATGGTAAGCTTGCCGATGGTGGATATGCCCCAGCTGGCAAGTACAAGGTGAAGTACCAGGCCTTGAGAATCTTTGGAGACGAGAAGGTGAAGAGTGACTGGGATCACTCGGAGTCGCCTGTGTTCAGTGTCAAGTACCCTTAGATACCGATCACAAGTTTGAAACACGAGGTGTAGGGATGTGTAGATGAGCTGGGGTTTGAGTGGTTGGGTATGATTACTAGTGCATCGGCTTCTTGATAGTCAATCTCCTTATGTCTAATGAGTTATACTGTATAATGAAATAATGTATAGCCTTACAGCCATATCGCTTTGTTCGATTCACTACAGGATCATAGTAACCGAGTGTAATTAATGTTTAAAATGCTGCGCCTAATGTTCCCAGGTATATATAAATTCGCTATTATTACCTCAACCTTACTCTTCGTCGCCAAAGACAACTGCGTGTTCAAAAGCCCAGTCCCGTATAGCACTGAAGTTACGACATGTATGTGGGGTACTAAAGTCCGGCCAGTGTCCCTCGAAACCATCGTAGTACTTGAACGCGAAAACGCCAGTGTCGCTCTGACACATCAGATTTGTTCTCAAGAACTCAATGCAGTGATCTGTGTATTGTGTTAGTGCCGTGACTAATTGAAGGTCCTAGAAGATGCTTACCCAGATGTCCTCTGAGATCCATCGGCTCAACATCAATGTCTCCTCCAGTGTGTGAATAGTAATCACTGTAAGTCGCTTGTCTTAATAGGTTGAGGCAGTGGAGCTGGTGGAACACTTGAATGCCGACGCGATAACCCTTTTGACCTGTCTTGGGATCTTTGATGGTGAGAGACGAAGGGTCGAGACCGAGATTGTCAAGCTCGTCGCGCGTTATCATTTGGTCACCAACATCATAAGTGACATGCTCCCATGCTTTGTCGACTTCGGGGCCAAATCCGATGAACTCGGTTTCTTTAGTGGTGGGTGTGATGTTGTAACGGACGGTATGGAAGTCTGCTACCTCCTCGGCTGGAGCTGTATGATATTAGAAACATGCATGACAGTGAACATTAGGTATGTCCTATACTTACAGTAGGGATATGATGGAATGTTTGAAGCGGCATTGCAATGGATATTGGCCCGCAATAACAATGACGATACGAAGAACAAAACTGATAGCGATAATAATATCCCATGACAAACCCATATTAGGTATGGGTGCTGTGAGTAACGCGTGAGTCGACTTGGGATCCTGATATGTCTTTCAATAAACGACGAATCGAGGATCCTTTTCTCGCCGACCTGCATTTCATCGTTGTCGGTTATAGGATGATATAAAGACTGCATGGCTGAGTGTTGTTTCTTTGAATGAAGTAATTGAGTGTAAATGAGATGCAGTATCGGTTGAGCAGTTCAAAGCGCTACTAGTAGAAGGGGGTCTAAGTATGTCTTGGTGAATGTTTGGACCTTTGAGATTCCAACAATGCATATAAAACAAGAAAACTTCTCTCCCAGTCACTCTGTATGTGTAAGCGGATATTCGGCTGTCAATTCAATCCTTGAAACGCCAAGGCGAAACGTTGTGCGAAGGGCGCTAAGCCCAAATCTGGTAGTTCAGATGAGCGAAAATAGCCTCTGGAAATAGTGTCCCTGTTGTATGGATTGAGATTCGTCCCGAAGATGTGGCAACGTCGCATTGACCAGGACCTTCAATTGTCAGAGTGTTTGGCAGTTTCTTTGGGTACTGTCCTTTGTAGGTGGGGAGGGTTTCATTCTTTGGGCAACTTGAAGCATATAGTGTAGTAGGTGTATCAGGGGCAACGCTACGGTTAAGACGGGTTTCATGAAACAAGCAGAAACACCAGCTGAACTACCCTTTCCACCAATCAAGGAGTTTTCTCTTTGTCGCGGATTTCGGCCGACATGGCCCATTCATGATTGGCTGTCTCCGTCACCTCTGCTGTCAACCTCCTCGACGGTGACTAGTGAGTATAGAGAAGGTATCATGACGCGCGCTATTGCGGTCACAGTGGAATCTGCCTCTCGAAGAAGGCGGCAACTCGGCATCAAGCCAAAACATTCCAAGTCTGATCTTGGCTTCGTGTTTGAACATCCTGCAAACTGGGCGACCGGGGACTGACATCAACACTTTGAGATGGGAGACGAAAGCAGATGAATAGTTATTTCAAGGTTGGGACGAAGAGTATAAGAGCTACCCCATTCCTCGCCAAAGAATAATCGTACCATTCATCTCATTCTCATTTCTACATTCATCTGAACATTGCTTGACGCAATTCGTTATCTTTCTTTCTCAATCTTTCATTCAAGGCTAGTCCTGTTCATCAATCTTTTTCATTCTACCTGCCGGTCAGATTTATTCTATTACTCAAAAACCACTCATCCATCAACATGTACTTCACCAACGTTTTCGTCGCTGCTCTCGCCGCTCAGGCTTTCTCCCGTGACGGCCGAGTTACCTCTTCCGGTGCTGGAAAGCTTGCAGTACGTCCTTTTTTCTAGTTCACTCATCCACTGCTAACGACCTCACAGGCCTTGATGGCTCTCGGTGCTGCTCCTGGAAACGCTCTGCCAATCTTTACCACTATTGAAGTGCGAGAGGTTAGTCTTACAGGCGATTGCATCAGTGACTCATTGACTAATACATAAAACAGCCTCACCATCAAGGTGGCCAAAACAAACAAGGCCAACAGGGCAACCAGGCTGCTCAGGCAAACCAGAACCAGAACGGCAACAACAATAACAACAACAACAACGCAGCAGCGAACAATGCGGGATGCAACGCCAAGAGGGACGAAGAACTCGTTGCTCGCCATCATCAGGGTAACCAAGGAGGCAATGGCAACGCCAACGCCCAAGCTAATAACAACAACTGCAACGGCAATGGCAACAACAAGCGAGAGCTCGAGGCCAGGCACCACCAGGGCGGACAGAACAACAACGCTGCTGCTAATGGAAACAACGGAAACGGAAACGCCAATGCTAACGCCAACAACGGAAACAACAACGCTCAGAACAATGGCCAGAACAACAACGGAAACAACGCCCAGAACAATGCTCAGGCCAACAATGGAGACAACAATGCTCAGGCTAACAACGCTGGATGCAACAACAAGCGAGATTTGGAAGCCCGTCACCACCAAGGAGGACAGAACAAGGGTGCCAATGCCAACGCTGCCAATGGTTGCAACAACTAAACGGTTGAAGCATAGCGGCACTTACATCCTTTCGGGCCAGGACAGAGCTGTCTAGCAAGCTGAAGAGTGTGGATTATAGAGTTCTTCAATGAATCAAGCCAAGGGGGGCGATTGAAATGATACTTGAACATGAGTGGCTGGTCCATAAATAGCAATTGATAATATAATAAACCTTGCACCGGAACAATTCCTTATCTGAACCTTTGTTGTTATTGGCTCGTATTACTTTCAGTCCCACCTCTAAGAGATTCAGGGTCCAACACGTGATACCCTTGAGGCATATCATTGAAACCCCCTGGAATTGTTAACAATTCGAACGTGTGAAACTTGAGAGAAAACAGTATACCTAAAAAATACATCTGAGCTTTTACACGTAATTCATGAACCACAAGAGGATTTTTCATCATTGTACCTACCCTTATCAAGGCTTATGTCGGTTTATGCAGTGGCTTCGGCTAGAACACATCGTACCCATGTCTTTAAGTGGGCTATCAGACCACTTTGAAAACTCATTCAAATAATAACTGCCTTACTTTCTGTGTGCTCAACATAAATCTCTACATAATTGTTTCTTCATCAATATTCACAAAATGGCTCCCAAGAAACCCGAAGCAGTTATTGACAATGTGGTCGCCTTTGGAAGGGTCCGCAAGAACCTCAAGATGGGATGCGTTGGTCTTCCCAACGTGGGAAAGTCCAGTTTGTTCAACCTCTTGACCGAGCAGAGCGCTGCGGCGGAGAACTACCCTTTTTGCACAATCGAGCCCAATGAAGCCAGATGTGCTGTTCCCGATGCTCGATATGTAGGTTTTACCAGTTCAGTGGAAAGGAATAAACGACTGATACCATCCAGGACTTTCTTTGCGATTTGTGGAAGCCTCCGTCCATGTACCCAGCTTACCTTCAGGTCACCGATATTGCTGGCCTGATCAAGGGCGCTTCTCAGGGAGAAGGTCTTGGTAACGCTTTCCTGTCACATATCCAGGCTGTCGACGGCATCTTCCACATTGTTCGGTAGGATGAGTTCGTTAAATATTATGTGACTTTAACTAACCCACATGTCGATAGTGCGTTTGATAACGATCAGGTCCTGCACGTTGATGATTCGATCGACCCTGTTCGTGACTTGGGTCAGTTGCACCAAAACGTACTGTGAATCCACTAAGCTAACCTTTGTACCTTCCAGACACCATTCAGAGCGAGCTTTGCAAGAAGGACTTGGGTGCGTATCCACTCTTTAAGACATCCGGCGACTACTAACATTATGTCAGACATTCTGGACAAGCAAATTGTCGCTGAGGAAATGATTGTGAAGAAGGCCGGTGGCAAGTACAAGATGCTTCCTCTGTTTTACGAGACCACATCCAAGATTCGAGCAGTGAGTTTTGACAACTCAAAATTAATTTTACAACAAATACTAATCTACAATCTCATGCAGATGCTAGAGAAAGAACAGCCAGTCAGAGACGGAAGCTGGACCCCAGCCGAGATTGCGCTCATCAACGAAAAGATTCAACTCATCACCACCAAGCCAATCATCTACCTCGTCAACCTTACCATGAAGGACTACCTCAGACAGAAGAGCAAGTACCTTCCATCGATAGCAAAGTGGGTGACTGAGCACGGAGGTACCGCACGAGACATTATCCCTTTCTCCATCGAGTATGAGGAGAAGCTGCACAGCATGAAGGACGATCCTGATGCCCAGGCTGAGTTCCTGAAGGAGAGCAAGGTCAAGTCTAAGTTGGAAAAGATTATCACTGAGGGATTCACAAAGCTTGGTCTGCAGTACTACTTCACTGGTACGTCATTTCCGCCCCAGCATTCAGCATAATGTTTACTAATATGGTGCTAGCTGGAGAGAAGGAGATCAGATGTTGGACGATCCCCCGAGGATGCCTGGCGCCTCAAGCTGCGGGTGCTATTCACAGCGACTTTGAGAGAGGATTCATCAAGGCCGAAGTGGTAACCTACCAAGACTTTCATGATCTCTGTGAGGGCAACAAGTCGATGGCTCCAATTAAGGCTGCTGGCAAATATCGCCAGGAAGGAAAATCTTATGTAAGTGAAGCCAATCTCGGGTTATTGCAGAAGCTAACTCTTTTATTCAGGTTGTACAAGACGGTGATATCATCCATTTCCAATTCAGTAAGCATCTTCCATAACTACTCAATCTCTTCGAATCTACATGTGACTAACGGTGGTACAGATGTGTCAAACAAGAAATAGACGAGATGTTACACTTAGAATTCATGATAGAGTATTAGGCGGGATTGTGATTTAGTTGCTATAGTCTCCCTATCTAGCCAATGCTTAAGGCTTCTTTGTCAAGATCTTTCCCTTGCTATCATACCAAATCTTCTTGGCCTTCACCTGGCGAAGAGAGTCCTTGCCGGACGTCTTGGCATCGTGATAAAATAGCCACCACTGACCCTGGTACTTGACGATACTAGCATGGGTAGTCCAGCCCTCAACTGGTTCAAGAATCCTGCCCTGGTAGGTGTAAGGACCGTAGGGAGTCTTGGAAGTCGCATAGACAAGATAGTGGGTCGTGCCAGTAGAATAGGTAAGGTAGTAAATCTTGTTGCGCTTGTGGATCCACGGGCCTTCGAAAAATCGTCGGTCTTCGTCTTCAGAAAGGAGAGGCTTGCCAGTCTTGGGATCAAGAATGAGCATGTCTCGAGGCTTCTCTGCCAGAGTGTGCATGTCCTTGCTCAGTTTGGCAATCTGGGGGCTCAAGGCGGCGGTGCCATTTCCGGGCTCAGTGCCAGATTCGTTGTAGTTGTTCTTGTCCTGCCATCGTTGAAGCTGGCCTCCCATGATACCACCCCATGACAAATAGGCTTTGTCATCATCGTCAACGAAACTGGCAGGGTCGATACTGAAAGTATGGGGAATCCAACTCTTGTCAGGGGTGAACGGTCCACCAGGGGTGTCCGAGACAGCAACACCGAGTCTAAAGATGTCATCCTTGTCTTTGGCAGGGAAGTACAGGTAGTATTTGCCGTTCTTGTGGGCAGCGTCAGGAGCCCACATCTGTCTAGAGGCCCAGGGTACATCGTCCACTGATAGAGCCGTGCCATGATCGACCGGCAGCGAACCGTAGATCTTGTCAATGGAGTAGACATGGTAATCTCTCATGGCATATTGGCCTCCATCAGGGTCATTGTCAAAACCAGCATCAATATCATGAGACGGATAGAGCCACAAAGTGTCGTTAAAGACATGAGCCGAAGGATCCGCGCTCCATCTGCTGGTGATGAGAGGACAGTCGGTGGCAAGACTTTGGCCAACGAAAGAGAGGAGTGGGAACAATAACTCGGACTTCATGATGAATGAGAACTCAGTAGTGTTATAATTGAGAAGTTGGCTACTCTGCTATCAATATTTGCAGGCGATGCTTCTATCTTTTTATACTATTTTCATTTCACGACACAAGAACTGCCGTGTGGGTTTCCTTGGTTTAATTTCATTAGACTTTCTCAAATCAGCCTGTTCCCCGCAAATCAGTCAGTACAATGTTGCGGGGTAAGTCCTTGGCGTAGGATTGCCCGGATAAAATACAGGGATGGACTTCAGTGGATGAGCCCTATAAGAGCGTTGCTAGTGGATGACATCTAGTATTAAACAATACGAGATCGTACTTTACCAATTCTCTGGGCGTAAGCTTAATGTGCCATTGAGGGTCGTGGACTTGAGGCTAAATGCAAGTGCATGTCTTGGAGCAAATATCTGGTAATAGGTTGTCAACTAGTCATTGCTTTGAGAGATCAGCATTGAGATTGATGGATTTGGAATAGGCTGACCGTCACTGAGAATCAGGGACTGGCGCGCTTAATCTCTTGCTGAGTTACATTTGAGTAAGCGTTTAGATAAACACGCTTGTTGTTATCAAGGACAACTTCTAGACTTCTTAGACAAAATATTTATCAATTATCACGGCCCCCAAAGGACCAGCAGCTGCGTGTTATGAATACAAGAGTAAGAGCGCTGCTAGGTATATGCATATTGTGCTTCATTATATATGTGTTTTGTAACTATCATCTATCTACATATTCTTCATGTTGTTGAGCGGATGGGTATAATGGCTCGCGTCTATGAAATTCTGTTCCTGCGCATGATGAAACCCGGCGTGTATTCGCTTCACAAGCATGTCAAGTAGAAGCTGTCGAAGGTCGTTTGCGGGATAATCTTTGTGGAACCAATGATGACGAATGAAGACTCCGCCACATGTCTTGTCCCCAATGTAGGGACTGCCATTTCCGTCCATACATGGAATCGTCTGTACGTCATCCGTTGCGTTGTAATCATAGCGGACATAGTTGGAAAACGCCGCTTGTTCGTGTGCCCAGTCCTTTGCCCATCTCGCACAACCCTTGTATTTCTTCTCAGTTGGGCATTGGTTCCAATCGTGGAAAAGTTCTTGCGTTCGGTTGCTTTGTCGAGCAATAATGAAACCTGTATTCATCATGACTTTTCCTTTGGCGTCGCGGTTTTTTGGTGAGTCAGGGTCGTTGGACATAGCAAGAAGGGTCTTGTCTGTGATGTTCCATAAACTCATAAGCCATTCAAAGGGCATCTCCGGATACATAAAAACAGCGTCGGCATCAAGGAACACGACAGTCTCGTGAGTCTTGAGAGCTTCCTTGATCATTGGGACTTTCACCCATGTCCCATGACGGTTGCGATAGTTGGGGGCTCGGATAAACTGGTAGTCGTAACCATGGATCATAGCTAGAGACACGTTAGAACCCTACCACGACAAGAAGAAAGATAAAGCATACCGTATAAATAGTGGTTCATCATCCCAGCTGTCCTGCCAGTCATCTCATCGGCGTTCAAGGGTGACGACGTGTTCATCATGGCCCCAGCGCCTTGGTCCAATCGGGTATCCACATCTAGGATAAGCAGCTTCTTCTTCAAGGGTCGCCATTTATGGTTGTTGCTGTTGATCTTGTATTTGTATCCTTCTTTCGATATGAACTGAGTGGCTTTGAGTTCGTGGAGGAAGGGCTTCCACAGGTGGTGCATCAGCTGCGGTGTGTTTTCGGAAAGCTTCGTCGGTAATGGAGCCGAGAGAGACGAGCTGATCAGAGTAAAAGTCAGAGATAATTCACCAAGCTTTGCAACTGGCACACTTACCGGAAAGCCAAGTCACTAGTCGACGGGAAGTAGAACAGCCAAGAGTGTACCGCCAGCCCAAAGATCACCAAGATACCCATAGCCAACAGCACGCCTCTCCTCCTGTTGGCCCGAAGTAGGAATAGGTGATCCATGATGGAGTCTGAAGCTACTCAGGGCGTCTAGAGCTCAACAGATGTGTTAATCTCAGTGACGGGATCTGGAACGTTGAGACGAGACGATGAAACGAAAGAGGAACATTGTCAAGATTTTACGCTAGGGGCGGTGGGAAACGCCCTAGTAATACGAAAAAAAGAAACTGCAGATTTCGCGTTTCTTATGTTTAAAGACGGCCAGTAAGTTTAATTGGCGTGATGTGATTGAGAGCGACGGAAAGAACCGAGAGTCTGTGTAAAGCATATCTTATCGTTGATTTACGAGGTGGCGCCGTCATATATCTTTCTAGGGATTTTGATTGGGAGATGCGTAAAGCTTGTTGGTCGAACAGCCACTTAAAAAGGTTAGAACAAACACGCACTCTACTTTGCGTGCCGTGATACCCACGACCCTCTTGCCGTGATCCGGAAATCTCGGTCCTTTGAACTAATTCAGCTTGTTTATCATTTGAGTCAATTGATCGTTGTGGGAGTTGTTCCAGAACACTAGTTGGGCTGCTTCTTACCGTCGGTTGTGAAATGTCTCTCTAGTGTCTGATCTAAGACCTAATTTTCGTTGTGGCGTAGGCTAGTTGCAAAGCGGAAAGTCTTCCGTTTGCGTACTCTACCTAGTGACATGATCCATACAGATTCTTTTTACAATAACTTGAGCTACAGTAGTCAGCTGTTTTTACTGTATTTATTGGTTTACTAGTGAAGTCTAGTAGACCAGGAAACCGAAGCTTAGACATATCAAGTCCTGCCAACAATTGTTTCATAGACTTACAGCTATAACGATCAGAACAGTACCAAGATCAGTGCTAACTTCCATTGAGTTAACTCATCAATGATTCACGGCTATATAGCCAAGCACAAGACTGGGGTCAAATGCAAAACTCCAGAAATCCCAACAGTCTACCCAATGATTCAATTGTACTAAGAACACATCACGGAGGTCACCATACAAGAACTGTAGAACCAGTTCGCCCAAAAGCAAGATCGTCAATAGTCCGGAAGACAGAAGTGGGGACAAAATATACAGCCAGGTATCAGGAGCTTATAGTTTCAATTCTCTCTGCTTAATACTAGTCTACGGTGCATATTATCTGAGATATAACTGCTTGTGCAAGCCGCGACGATGTCAATTGTGTTGAGATTGAGAGTGAAGGGTATCACGTGGATCATCACGTGTCTGTATGACTGAATCCACAAACGGTTATCATACGGCTTTGACCTCTTCCAAGGATGATTCTTATTCCTCATCCGAGCGGATGGTGATGGCTGAATGCCCAGTTGATCTCTCCACATAATCCTACCTCGGCAAAAGTCGATGATGGATCGGCTAGACAAGGAGATTGAATCACCATTCCTAATTGGGCAACCGATCACGGCATAACGATGGCCTTTAAGTCAAGTGAACGCGGGGATGACAGAGCCAGAGGAACTATTGAGAATATAATCTATTGCACTTACATGAGGACATTTATTCCCTGCCAAACTTCTTATCAAGAAACGTTAAACTTCCACAATGACACAAAGCAAACATGAATCGATTCCCCTCGGGGCGTACCTCTTCACCCGTCTCAAGCAGCTCGGCATTGGTTCCGTCTTCGGCGTCCCTGGCGACTATAACCTGAAACTCCTCGACTACGTCAAACCGGCCGGTCTGCACTGGATAGGCAACTGCAATGAACTCAACGCCGCATATGCGGCAGATGGCTACTCTCGCATGCACAGTCTAGGTGTAGTCATCACAACCTTTGGCGTAGGTGAACTATCGGCTATCAATGCCATTGCTGGTGCCTATGCCGAACGGGCACCGGTGCTTCACATTGTTGGCGCGCCGTCCCGAGCTACTCAGAGCGCAAGATTGAATGTCCACCATACTTTCTTGGATGGTGAGTACAAGAGGTTTGCTGCCATGCATGCACTTGTTACTGCTGCACAGGTCTGTTTGACAGATGTCATGAGCGCTGCGGGGAGAATTGATTGGATCATCGAACAAGTCATGGTTCACCAAAGGCCCGTGTATCTTCAGATTCCTGACGATATGGTTCAATTGCCCATCTCGACAAGTAACTTTGATGTGAAAAGTGTTATTAGCCCGTCACCGGTGACTACGGAGATTGATACCGGGAGCATTGATAAGATATTGGACCGGATCTACTCGGCTCAAAAGCCTCTGATTCTTGTTGACGGCGAAAGTCGAAATATGAACGTTGTTAATGAGGTCAGCGAGTTGATCAATATCACTGGCTGGCCGACGTGGACTTCAGCTTTTGGAAAGGGTCTTGTCAACGAAGAGTTGAACAATGTACACGGCGTTTACCTGGCAAACTGCGGCGATAAGAAGGCATCCGAATACTTTAAGGGATCTGACCTGATCCTCTTCTTTGGACCGCACATGAGTAACATCAACACTGGTATCTTCACGGCGATTCCGGACGAGGACGCGACAGTGTCTTTCTCCTTGGATCAGATCAAGATCGCGAAGCAAGTCATCCGAGACCAACCGCCTCGACCTTTTATCCAAAAGCTTCTCAGCAAGATTGAACCTTCGCGGCTCGCCAAGATTGATGTACCAACATTCCTCAGCAAATCTCACCCTGGCGAGCTTGAGCCGTCTGGTCAACTTACTCAAGAACTGTTTTACCCATACATCAATTCCATGTTCCGTCGCGGCGACACCATCTTGACAGAGACAGGTACTGCTGCAGAAGGTGGGAAGGTTCTCAAACTCCCTGAGGGATCACGCTTTTTTACAGCTGTCACGTGGTTATCAATTGGGTACATGCTCCCCGCCACGCTTGGTGTCGCTCTGGCGCGTCGCGACAAAAACAGCCACGACAAGGATACGGAGCGCACGATCCTCTTTATTGGAGACGGGAGTTTGCAAATGACGGCCCAAGAAATCAGCGTCATGGTGAAAGAGAAGCTCAATATTGTGATTTTTGTTATTAACAATAACGGATACACAATTGAGCGAGCCATTCACGGTAGGAAGGAAGACTATAACGATATCGCGCCGTGGAACTTTAAGCATGCTTTGGGATTATTCGGGTATAATGATGAAGAATTGAAGACGAGATACTTCTCTGCAAAAACATGGGGAGAGTTGAAGACTGTGCTCGATTCAGAGGCAATCAAGCAAAATGATGGCGTCAAGATGGTTGAAGTTTTTATGGACCAGGAAGATTGCACTGGAGAGTTGAGAGGGCTGTTGGAGAGGCAAATAGCAAGAGAAGAAACGTCGAAATAGAATGACGATGAATGTGTTGTGGACCTACCACTGATATCGGTGTCCACATTCAACATGCGATTGATTTAAGATGAGAACCACAACTACAGCGGCTTCACGTGGTGTTTTTAGCTGAGAAGCTATACTACAAATATCTAGAATATCATCAACATGAGTTTCTTTTATCACAATGTTCCTCAATCTGTTGTTGTAATGCTGCCGTTGGAATTGCAAAATGTATTTTGTTACCCTAGACTGAATGTCTCCAATTGACCCAACTTACCAAGACTCCACCAAGAACGTGACGTCAAGTGTTGTTACTAGTCCAGTCCATTCTCCAATCGTCAGTGCGCTTCAAAAACGGCCGCGGTCAACGCCGAAGGCTTGCGGGCGCGCCGTTTAGCTAGCACTTTATTCCGTCCGACCACAGTCAAGCTGGCTGACTCAATTCATGCTCTTGTCATGTAGCGGTAAAGCTTCGTTAGCTTCCTTCTGACACGTTAGTGACTTTTGACAGGTTGGTTATGCATAAGGAGTAATAACACGTTATACGGCATGGATCCGGTAGATACCAGAACACGAGACGAAGTCTAAAGCTTTGACACGGATTGACCGGTGGCCGGCAGTGAGAAAGAAGAGAAGACAGAGGAAAAAAGGCTGGGGGTGTCAATGCGCTGGTACTGGCCCGGACCATCGGGCCTCTTGTTTTCGTTCAGGTTGTCAACTGTTTTTTTTTCTGGGTTTCTGACTGTCGCACTGGGTAACTCGACCGAGATCATCCATCCCTACATACTGTTCCAGTCTAGCATCGTCTGAACAAAAAACTTACGACGCGTTCCGCTCGAATGAAAAGACGCAGTAACAAGGTGTTGCCTCCCTTCAATGAGCTAGTCATAAGCCTAACGCAGGTACCACCTCTAGCGTCAGGGGCATCAAGAGGCCAAAAAGCAAGGCGACAGTCAATAACTGCACCTCTCGTATACATCTTGACCATTCTATTGGTCGGTTCATTTCTTTTTAGTCAGGTCCCCCAGAGCCGAGTTCCGGACCACGATTCGCTTGACGGACTGGCAAATTACCCCTTCGTATAGGATGACAGAAAGAGACGAGACCAAAAATAAACACGAGCTTTTTTTGGGTCCTTGTGCTAATCATGTCTCCGCAAATGCAATGTGGTCCACAACTGATCGATCGCTTCGTCTAGCAGTCCGGGATCTTGCGATAACAATAGAACAAAGCAAAGAAGAGGAAGAATTATAAAGACTCTTGTCCTCCTTCTTCTCCAGTCTTCTTTCTTTCCTCTTCATCCCAGACTCGCTAATCACACTCGTTCTTTAATCCAACTTACCGCGTCCTTCGCTTAATACACTCGCTACTTTAATACTTCCACCAAAAAACAACAACCGTCACAATGGGTTTCGTCAAGACTGCCGCTTTCGCTACCGCCCTTCTCGGCGCTGCCAACGCTTCTCCTCACTATGCTCCTCCTTCCAACGAGACCATCCACTACACCACCGAGGTCGTCACTCACCTGACCACCTACTGCCCTGCTGCCACCACCCTCACCTACGGCGACAAGACCTACACTGTCACCAAGGCCACCACCCTCACCATTGAGGACTGCTCTTGCACCATCACCAAGCCCGTTGCTACCGCTACTGGCTATGCTCCCCCCAAGCCCACTCACGCCAAGGACTGCGCTGAGATGTGCTCCGACAAGTTCGATGAGTGCCGCGTTGCTCCCGGTGCTAACATGGCTCAGTGCGCTGCTGAGTACGCTGCTTGCCTCGGCTACAACCCTTGGGAGAGCGGCAAGTTCGTCGAGCCCACTGCTTGCCACGAGGGTGTCAAGCCTACTGGCCCTGCCTACACCACCGAGGTTGTCACCAAGCTGACCACCTACTGCCCCGAGAAGACCACTCTTACCTACGGCAACCAGACCATCCCCGTTACCAAGCCCGGTACCGTCACTGTCACTGGTGTCCACCACGTCACCACCGTTCCCGTTATCCCTACCGGTTACGCTCCTCCCGCTACTCCTTCCACTCCTGCTGAGGCCAAGGACTGCGCTGAGATGTGCACTGACAAGTACGACTCTTGCCGATCTGCTGCTGGTTCCAACAAGGCTACCTGCGCCGCTGAGTACTCCGAGTGCCTTGGCTACGCTCCCTTCGACAGCAACGGTTCTCTCGTCAAGCCCACTGCTTGCCACGGCCCTGCTCCTGGCCCCACTGGCACTGGTTCCAAGCCTACCTACCCTGCTCCTGTTGTTCCCTCCGGTACTGGCGCTGGTGCTCCTCCTGCCACCCCCACTGCCGTCACTGCCGGTGCCGCCCAGGTCATCCCTGCCGGTATCATGGCTATCATTGGTGCTGTTGCCCTTCTCTAAATGCTTTTGAAAAGAGACATTAGACTATTCTAAATAGACTTTTTACCACATAGATTTATACATATATATTCTTTACTCTTGCCGCCTCCTGTGAATTCTTACCTCGCCCGTGATTGACTGGCACTTGCCGTAAAGGCTTATACAGCCTCATATTTGTCTCTACTGTGCGTTTGATCCTCGTTGAGGAGCAACTTGGCACCTGTAGCTTGAAACTGTGATTCTCTTTGACATTCTGCATTTATGGACTTCGCGTGACATCCTCTCTAATACCCGTCCCCACTTCAAAAGCACCAGTGAGCCAACAGCCGCTGTTTCATCTTCTTCTTGAACGCTAAGCTTGAAAGCATCGTCTCACTTTGCAAAAAACACTATAGTTAGTCACTACTGTCGTTTTGGGTTAGATTGAAAAAAAAACAAAAACAAAAAATGAGGTTCTGCCCGGGCTCGAACCGGGGACCTTCTCGGTGTTAACGAGATGTCATAACCAACTAGACCACAGTACCTAGCTTTTTGCTGATTGGCGGAATAAAGTTACGAATATAATAGCTATAGAGAGCGGTACACTGTTCGCGACAATGTTTTATCTAAGATGTGTCTGCCGAAGCTATTTCCGACATACAATTTGATGTTCCTTCAGTCTGTTCATGATGATAGTTTTCGGGATATTCTTACCATTCATGGTAGCCGCTGATTCAAATGACAGCAACTCGGAGAATGTGAAGCCGGGGCCAGATGAATGGACCGACATTAAGGTATAAGTATCCCAGTAAGGTAGTAGTTGTCTTCGTACCCATGGAATTGGAAACAAATAGTCTAATAGTTGAAGCAATCTATCGCAAGTTCTCTAGGTGTGCCAGTCACAGTTATTCACCTCGCTGTCGAATCTATTGTATGGGATAAAGAATTCCCTTGGTTGCTTACAGGATGAAACACTAGGAGGTCATCAGGTGCAGTCGTGACCTCGCATACTTCGCATCTGATATTTTCACTCTTATCATGGGTGTTCGTGAACTTGGGCTTATCCCTGTTCCACGCGTAAGTCACCGCAATCCTTTATCAGTCGTCATTTGAGAGGAAATCCCAAGAAATCAAAGAAACGACCAACGTGTCTGATCATGTGCGCAAAAGACCAAAGCCAATTCTGAAAACGGAATCTTGTGGCGTAGTCTCGACCTAGTGGCTGGCTGGGGACATCCAATCCCAAGAGTCTGGGTTGCTGTCGCGAGAGAACAATGAGATCATAATCTGTGGCAACACTGATCCGGAAGTCCTATAAGCTGCCGCCATTCCCCATCCTTTCCCAGTGTGAATCTTTATCTCAATTTCGAACTCTGTCCACTTGCCCTAATCACATAGCAAAGATCAAGGTACTGGAGACAAGATAAACTTCAACATCGCCCCCAACTAATTCGTTCTCAGATGCCCACCACCTCTGGTACAGTCAGCAGTTTCGACGGAGGAAACAAAATCACCGCCACTTTTGTTGTCGATGGGGTACAGTGCACCTTCAATGGCCGATTTGATCCCCCAGTTGGAGATTTCAACAGCTATGATGCGAAGCTTGACTACAGCGACATCAAACAACTGACAACTCAGAGAGAGTTCAGTGGGAAAGTCAGTTCTCAAAACCTTGTCATCGACACGAATAATGGTGCAAAGATCACCAGCCACTCCGACACGCCGATTTCTCCTGTCAGTCGGTTCTCTGGAAGTGGAAGTTGGGAGCACAGTTGATGCAAGGCCGTGTGAATCCAACGCGTATATGGTTGTGCAGAATGGTATTTCGTTTGACTACATTTGAAGAGGTGCTGCAAAGATAAATTGAGATGCGTAGGGTTGAACTTTGATAAGAACCATGTACGAATTTGGTCGTACGCACGGCGGTCGTTTCTATGGTTATCTGTATTGTTTTATATTTTAATTTCTGTCACCGAAACTCACACAATAACATCACAAAAGCCCTGAAAGTCGTGTCCTGTGGTAGTAAATTCTAGCTTCCAAGATGGGAAAGTAGACATTGAGGTAGTTGCGATACCGATGCACCCTAGATTATCCGTCACTGTGCTCTCCTTGTCCTCCCGGTTGCCCAAAAAATCTCCATGTAGTCGCTGGCATTATGCCCATCCGTCCGTCTATGGAATCAAACCCAGAAGCAATCCGTTGATCGTTAACCTGGAACTTCTCCGGTATGCTCTTGTTGACGACCAAGATGCCAAGCTGCTGAAAAGTTAACCCGAACTGTCTTTCGTTGATTAGGTTGTTATGTACGAAATACTCTCCTAATATCGGAAAAGAAGGCTTGTGGTAACTCCTGGACGTTCGTTTAGACAAATTACGGCGCCGGCTCTTCCTCCGCTTCCTTCGCGCCTTCGTCTTTCGCCTTGTCTTTCTTCCCGCCCGCAATAGCTAGGCCCAAGATGGCCAAAAATAATATGAGGATTAATACGAAGGATATCACCTGCAGCATTGAGAATTGCGATATCCAACTCTCATGACCAGATGAACCCTTATCAGATGGATCCCCATGGGTAGTGATGATTTTTAGAATGTCTGCGCGGGGGAAATTCGTCACCAGGCTTGGAAGATTCGTGCTTGATTTGGTGGGTTGAACGAACATTTTGAAGATCAAGAAATGGAACTCCTGTGGGCTGGCACGGAGATGATGCTGATGTGAAAGGAAGGTTTGCGCAAATTCGATGTTTTCTTGATGTGTGAGAAGCTGGGAAAATTTAAGTGGTCGGAACAGAGAATTTGTTTTATATAGAGCTCGAGCTTAAACCATATATAAACTTTAAATCTCAGTTATTGAGTTGATATAACTAAAGCACGTGTTCCTGTTGCCCATCCGGGTGAGATAAAGCAGTTTCTTCCGTTAATGGTAGACGCAGTCACTCACTTCTCACTTACATGCTCCTGAAGGCCATCCGACGCGACGATGCCACATGTTCTCCCCTTCGGAACTATGAAAAACTCGCCGACCTGCCTCATCATGTCATTCGTCGTGTCATGATGCAACTTCATACCTCTACACTGGCGAAACAATGTCGCAAGTGTGATCAAAATCTCCATGCGAGCGAGGTGCATGCCTATGCAGCTCCTTGAGCCTATGCTGAAAGGTACATGTGCTCTGTTCTGTTCAAATGATGGGTCAATGAATCTAGTCGCATCGAAGCTGAATCAGGTCAGTAGTGAAAAAGTTAAAGATGGTTTAACCCTGACAAACTTGACTTGCCTATCTGGATTAGGAAAGACCTCTTCAAGGCGTGAGATGAGCCATCCTGTTGTGTAGACCATTGTGCCACCAGGGAGATCCCAGCCGTGGATAGATATACCACTTGGAGGCAAAACTCTTTCCACGAGCGCAGCTGCGGGGTTGTATAGTCGCAAAGTCTCCTCTAGAACACTATTGAGAAGTGGTAGATGCTCCAAATCCTTTGTGGTGAAGTCTTCTGGGAGACGGGCTACCTCGTCCTCAATATGTCTCCTCAAATGTTGATCTCGTATTATCTCCCATGTAGCATACGTCAACGTCGCAGCCGTGCTATCAGAACCAGCCACAAGCATCATGGATACCTCAGAGCCCAACTCTTCGTCACTCAAAACAGGTCTCTTGCTCAATTCGGCTTCACCTAGTATGTGACGAACCATACTCGGACCACATGAAGGTAAAGAGACTTCAGCAAGTGCAATTGAAACCCGGCCAAATATGACCTCGGTGACTCGGCCGACATCTCGGAGCCAAGTGATTGGAGACCACTTGATAAGGGACTGAAGGAAATCGGGAAGTATCACCTGGAGAATGACACTCGGACCTGCATTGCCCAAGGCTTTGTATACGGGCATGTCTTGGCCACCCGACTCGAGTAGTTCAAATGGCTTTCCAAGTGCCATTTCACTTATAACATCAACTGCTAAACACCGCCACCATTTGTACACGTCAGCCTTGCCCTCTTGAGCCTCCTTCTTGATGTTTGACACGGCAAGCTCAGCCAAACGCCGAATCTTGGACTCCTGCTCCTCTCTCATTGCTGAGAGACCGCGACCCAAAATCCGTTTCCGCTGCGCATGAAGCTTTGGATCCCGAAGCGTGAACAACATGGGTGAGTGACTGAACCGGATGCTGTCAAAAACAGGAGCCTTGATGCAACGGCTTCCAACTCCGTGGACTTTATAGTAGCCATCAACGCTATTGAGAGAGACTTCAGTGGGACCGACTCTTACTACTGGGCCATAGCGTTTGTGGATGCGGCGGAGATGTTCTCGACTTGTCCCAGTGGCTCGGGCATAGAGTAATGGGATGCTTGTGACACGTGTGTAACGTGGTCCGGGGAGAGATGAAAGCGGACCGAAATAAAGGTTTGATATGAATTTGAGAGTGATAGCCACAAAAAAGATGGCAACTGCAGCTACAATAGTGATCGACATCTTGACCGATACCACACGAGGTATGATCGATGTAACGCAAGGTGGGGAGGTGCAGAAGCAAATTGTGCATAAACTCTGCATACTCTATTATATATATACGCCATTAACTGAGCTGAACGTCGCTCTTGGACTTTGCAACACCATCCCTATCATCGTCAGGTTCTTGCTTACACGTGGGGGCTACTTGGCTGTGTATCTATTTTTTCTCCCCCTTGTTGATAGACCCATTGTTTAGCAAGGGGATCATCGTTATCGTGATTGTAAATGCCCTTATCATTGGTATTAGAGACCTTGTCTAAGCGCCACCCAAAAGCATTGCAGTGGCACGAAATTCAGTAATTCACTCAGCGTGTCTCAGTCACCAACCATGGCTCCGGGATCCGAAAGACATTTCCTGGCCGCAGGAGTATTACCACCTTCACTCATTTACCGATAGAGAACTCTGAGGTCTGTCGTGAGCCTCATTGCTATGATAGGTTGTTCCTCCCAAAGAAGCTGCTGAGTTGCCGATCGTTGCTCGACAATGGGTTAAATGCAGTCAACAATTGGAGTCGATACCCAGCCTGACATGATTTCCGCATATCGTTGATCTCATCATCATGCGGAGTAGTCTGCGGTTTGGTGCGCCAGACGAAGCTTGTCTAGGATAAGTCTCTTTCGAATTGGTCGAAATCTCCGTGTTCAAAGCATGTGAAAATGAATGCCTGCGTCAAAATGACTGAAACGGGAATTTCGGACCAAAAGTCCGAGCCTGTTGGGTTGCAGTATGCAAGAAGAGATCTGGACTCATTTGGGGGCCGCATTAGTTAAGTGCCCATGTCATACCATGCACGACCCTTGTTCTTTAGACCCAGGCTGAGCCTCTCCCGATGATACCTGCTATATCCGGCTCTCATGTTTTGATTGAGATTAAAATTAGACACAGCACAACAAGCGAAGATACAGTGACGCGATACGAAAGAGATGTTGCAAAATACCTCGTGAAATGGCTTGCGACCTTCCAATACTCGGATAGAGTTATTCCAAGTTGGTTACACTGCAAGATCTGTAAATGACGAGTGTCACTTAACGCTGTGTAACGTTCTTGACAATAAGCTACCCTTTGATCTAGAGGAGGGACTCATATTCCATATATAACAATTGTAGTTATTTTATCGGAGTGCATTACCTAGATACACCGAGCGAACATGTAACAACACACCTTCTGGTTCAATTGCTGTAAAACACGAATGTATATCTACCCCGCCATGACAGATCGCGCAAGTGTTCCATTTCAAAAAGTCGCTTCTAATAGCCCTCTGTCCAACGCCAAGTTGATGTTTGATCATTCAGCTCTGATCTTGGTGGATCCGTGAACCTTGCCATGCACACATTGAAGAGCGGACGATGAAGCAGTCAGCAGTCCAGCCGATGCAACAAAAACAACAACACGCTGTATGGCTGAAAGCTGATCCATCATTGGATAGGGATACCTGTGCAATCGAGTGAGAGAAGTTGGGACAAAAGTTCTTATATGCACTTACCAGCCATTTTTGTAGAAACACAATTCAATCCAACACCAGTATACAACAGCAAGAACTGTACTGAGAGACATCATACTTCGAGTAGTAATGGTCGCTCGTGGACTCCACAGAACAAAATCCAAGATCAGCAAAACAGCTGGAACAAGGTGGAAGCCGAGGTCAGGTAACGGATCGATTATAAGATCTTCCGGCATAAGTAACGAGGGGTCATGCATTCTGATGGACCAATATAAGACGGCGATCAGAACCTCAAGAGGGGTTGCAAGGACTGCGATTGCGTCTTTTGCTTCGGAGATGATGCTGCCAGGTGCTAGATCTGCGATGAGACCAAGAGAAAATGTGACTAGAGACAAGGCAAGGCCGACGACAGTCAGAAGCTGGAAGTACCATCCAAAAGAACGCGAATAATTCGAATCCCATGTCGTAAGAAGGTAGAAGCTGAATGTGAAAGATGACATGCCCAGGGCGTGGAACAGAGCCCTGGGGGAGGCGATGGTCGTGGGCATCGTTTTGAGGGTCATCGATGCTGTATCTGCCAATTTTGAATAATGGGAAAAGTTTGAGGATGGGTGCGGATATTCGTCTTCTGTCGGGATGAAGTGGGCAGTCTGGACGTTTGGAGTTTGGCTACCAAGCGGTGCGAGTAAAATAATTATGTACGCACACTCGTAGAAGAAGATATTTTTAGGAGTGGATTTGGGAATTCTCATCTAACAACATCGTATTAAGATATCATAATACCTTAACGTCAGCAGTCTATTGGAGGATAAGCAGAGTGCCCGTGATTTGTCAAATGATTCATTTCATCTTTCCCATGTCCCTTGCAGGTCTTCTTCCAATTGTCCAAGGTGAGACCATAAGGCTTAGCTCTTACATTCAATAAATGACAGGGATCACATGCTGTGGATTGAACAAGCAGATCTAGGAGGTTGGCGGCTAATAGGCTAGTCTCATAGGTCCAGTTAGCGATGTGGCGAAGTGCATGTCTTATGTCGTATTCGCATTATCCACCCGACATTCAGACAAGGCTAATCAGGACTTGACTTTGAATTTTTCAGGTTTGATGACCCGGATAACATCCAGAATGGAGATGTCTTGCCCACAGATGTGTAGCAGTAGCCTGACCCAACAGAAACGAGCAGACCGATCAGTAACTCCTCATAGAAACCTGACTCGAAGGCAATCGTCAAACTTCAATGCCAGCCAAGTGAGAAGTCACTGACATAGCATTGCACCAGAGATCTCAGATGCAGGCTAAGCCACTTGTGAACGTATTCGACATCGTTGTGCATTTCGTCCGCGATCTCCATCAGTCTTCCATGCCGCATTTGGTTGCCTGCACTTAGCTCCTCATATAACCCTTTGGCGCACGATAGATTGTAACGCCTGGGTGGGATCGGATTGTGAGTTAGGGCATAGCCTTGACTGTGATCGCTCCATGGCTCTTGGTTGTTGCTGGGTTGCTGAGGTGTGGGCTCGTCTGGTAGAGGGCGACGGCCGGGTGGATGAGGCATGGCGGAATTTCGAGTTGGGGTACTATTGCGAGAGCCCGCGGGGTTGTTGCCGGCTTGTTGAAATGGATCCTGGTGATGATTGGTATTTTCACGACGTCTTGGATGAATCTGAACGTTGCAACAAACCATCGCGTGAATGCTTTGCGGAACAATGATGTGTAGATGTGTCGATGTACTTGGGAAGACTGATGGCAAAAGTTGACGAAGTTGAAGAGCTTAGATTCATCGACTGCGAGGACGAAGGTTGATGAACTCACAGCACCTGCCGTTCACGCAACAATCTAGGAATGGGTGACCTGACACATCGTGGTAGGTACGATGTCGTAGCCCCAAATCCAGTCAAGGTGGGCCAGCGACCCAGCAAGAGCAACAACTGGAAAGTTGAGGAGTGTCTCTTGCTTAGATGATCGTATTGTCGTTGGACGTGGTGTCACGTGTCACCATTGCTGGAACGGTCCAGAGTTGCAAGCACAACAGTCGATATCCTAAGTCTTAGGGTATAGAAATAAATATCGTAAGATTGTTACTAACTTCGTTCCTTGTGTTTGCTTCCAGCAGCCTTGTTCTGATGCCGTGAGGACGAGGTCTTCAAAATCTACCTACATTGAGGGCACATCTCCAAAACTAGCAGACTCCCACAGCCAGCTATTGACGGCATCAAGATCCAAGTTCAAGGGCGGACAACAGTCTAGCATGTTGGTTATATTGAGTAGTTGGCTTGGCGAGATTCCCTGCTCTCCTTCATGTGCAGCAATAGCCGCTGTCTGGTCCTCATGAGGATGCGCTATAGTCTCTCGCTGGTTTACCAAACGTAGCATATCGTGCAAACGTTCGATCTCTTGACGTCGGAATCGTGCGGGGAGATTACCACCAGCAATCAATGTGTCGAGAATGTTTACTGTCGCCTCGAAGTATGGCTCGCATAAAGCGTCTGGGAATGGCTGCAGAGCAGAAATGAGAGCAAGAACAAATCCGGCTGAGAAGGCGTGATCCAAGTCGAATGGTAGAAACAGTTCTTAGAAAGGTTAGCCTAAATAAATTCCGATACTTTATATGCGGTGACGCCGACCTACCGAGGAGATCCTGGGATTGTAACGTGTCCAGGATGCGGAGAGATTTGTGCGCTGAGTCGTAGCAAGCTTTCAACAAAGCTTTGATAGGCTCGGCAATTTCAAAAGTCGATCTGTTCTCTCTTCTGTCCAGCTCTAGCTTATCTCGGAGGAGACACATAAGAACGGGCCTCGTTGTTAATACGATGCACTGCATAGTGATGTCAGTCGCCCGCTCCAAGAATTCCTGTGAGACGCACCTGGTGGTAACAAAGATTTAGCGTTGCTGACACTCTTGACACTGGACCTTGGCCATCCAGTTTCAAGTCTGGGTATGAGTTCCACTCAGAGGCCAAGGCTGCGAGCTCTTTCAGAATTGTTAGAGTGTTCTTCGGGAACGAGTCATCTAATCTTCCATCAATCCCATACACCGCTGAATCTCTATTAGCTCATCATTCTGACATTGGTAGGTAGGCCACGAACTGTTGAGAACCTTTGCGATAAGCCTCGACAGTTTGATATGCATATCGAGGGCATTCGACTTTCTTGATCCCGAAAGCTGCCCGGGTACCGGAACAGAGATGTCGCTATCGTGAACAGAGCTAGGAGCACCCATCAAGGATGAGAATTTGCGGTCAAGAATGTATAACGTCCACCAAGCATTCCGATATCGCTCGACCTCAATATCATCTGGGAATTCACCGACTATGTCACGGTGAAGACCTTGACTGAGAGCTATCCTCAATCCCAGGCCAAGCTAGAATTCGAAGTCAATGATGAGGCTGAACAGTGTGAGAAGGGAGATGCTCACATATACATAAGCACTATTGCGATGGTCCACAGCCTGAAGATAAAGAGCAAGTCCGCAGCATACCTCAATAGACAGTATTGGATCTTCATACAGTCCGCTAGCATCGGGAAAAAGCTCCATTGCTCGCAAAAAGTACTCGCTACCAGGCGATCCGGCCTTTGACATACCACGAGTAAGAAGCCCCTTGCCCATTGCCATGATAAGGAAGTACTGGATATACCACATCCGATTTTCTGAGTTCAATGGAGGCGGGCCGTCGTTGTACATTGATAAAAGACCTCGCATGAAATGACCTTCGTCGAAAATATGGTAGGTTTGAGCAATGTGGAACTTGACGGTGTTTGTGAGGTAAATCGCGTAGTCTAATGAAGGGAGGCTCTCGATATTGATCGAGGCTCCAGCTTGTCTCATGCGGGGAAGCTCTATGTTGAATGCAACTCCATCGATGTTGAGTGGAACCTCGGGTGATGTTTCTTGGTCAACATACTGTACATCTCAGCTTCCGTCAAGGTGATATGCTAGAAACGGAACTAACCTGTCGAATCATGACCATGACATGGCGACTATATGCCCAAGTAGATGAAGGTCCAAGAAAGCCTACGTTGATTAGTTCTCAGAGTTAAGTGGTTTCTTGGAATGAGCTTGCGTTTTCTCCCTTGTATGTCAACCACGAATTTGGACGAGGGTGTCACTAGAGGGTTTGTCATTTGAGGCAGTGCATCGTCAGCAGTTAAATCCGACTCAGGTTCTACGACCTGCGCATCTGAACAAAGTAGTAAGCCCGGGGTTCAAAGTATCGAGTTGAAATTTGAAAACTGTTTGCCTGAGTTACCTGATGGCCTTGGAGTCTTCTTGGCTGGCCCTTGCATTTCGTCCAATTCCTCCGCTTTTCGTTTCAACTCGTTAAGAAGGCTACAAGATAGTTCAACGGATGGAGAACCAAGGTTTTTTGCTTGTAATGGGACTCACTTCTCAGATACTAACACCTTGCGGTCATCTTGATCGAAAACACATTCGGTCGAACGGCGAATGCAATTGATGCAAGGACAGGTACCTGAGCAACGGACTTTGCGCTCACGACATTGCAGACAGCTTTAACCATAGGCCAAATATTAATTTTCTCTGATACTGGCAGCCACCATCGTACAATCGTCTGACTTGTCAAGGATGTAAGGGGGACTACTAACGCGACATTGGACCGCCTTGACTGTTTGTGTGAGGCGCTATCGCCGGCTCTGGAACGCATCTGCAAAGCGGTGAGTGGCGCGTAGAATGTAATGTATCGAATAAAACAGCCGTGGGTCAAGTATCTGGTAACGTTGAATACTGTCTGCTTCTGTGCAAAATTTAATATGGAGGAAAAGAGATAAACTTCCACCACTACACCAGGACTATGGAGAGTATCCATTTACACTTACCCTAATAGGCTTAGCTATACTCAAACCCCGCAGAACCAGCGAGCTGTTACCGGTCTCGGGGAACCTGTACGGGGTGGTATCCAAGAAACGTCATCCGGACACGGTTTATTCATGGACTTGCTGCTAGTACCAGAAACGAACGCCGCTGGAGGAATAGGAGATAAATCTTAGTAAGGCAGTTTATGCAACTTAGGCTCTACTCTTGGTTCATTTATTTTTATACCGTAAAGCTCAAAAGCCTCATTGCTATGTGTCCACTACCCCGATACTATAAGATGCTGCGTCTATTTCCTTCCGATTCCTCCATTGAATCCATTTGTCTTGTTTTCAGGCGCTGATGAGGAAGTATTCTCAACAGCCTCGACACCGGCCAAGCATTTCGCAGCACCACCTGCGATCAAACCCGAATCCTGCTGGCATAACAAAAATCGTACACCTAGCGTCTGAATGGCCCAGTCATGGATGTCTGGTTGATCGTAGATACCTGCGAGGCCCATGACTTTCCCATGTTTCTTGCACGCTTCACTTATGAGAGTGAGAACATGACGAAATGTATCGTGGCGAAACTCTCCAGGAATACCTAACTCTATGGCTAAATCATTGGATCCGACAAGAACCACGTCGACACCTTCGACAGCAGCAATCTCGTCCACGTTGTCAACTGCAGTTGCGTTTTCGATCATAACAAATACGGTTGAACCTGAAGCATTGGTATCGCGGATCACTTCGGTTTGGGGGAACGTTTTGAGAGATAGGAGAGGTAACTGCCCCGTCATAGATCGGCACCCTTTAGGCGGGTATTTAGAGATTGATACCGCGTCCTTTGCTTCCTCTGAAGAAACATGGGATTAGCAAATAATGAATTCGGGTAGAATTATTTCAACGTACTAGCATTTGTTACATGGGGAAAGATCACACCCATGGCGCCTCCGTCGAGAACTTTCTGGACAAAGCCATTCCCACATTGATGTGGTACTCGGACGAATGGTGTAATGCCCGTGTTCAGGCCTGTGATGCATAAATTGCTCGCATCGCTGAGTGAGAGCGTGGAATGTTCCAAGTCGATGAAGAGACTATCAAAACGAGCATTTCTAGCTAGTTGAACAACTTGAGGATTTGTGACAAGCCGTACTCCAAGAGCCTATAATGTCGAAGGTTAAGTCAGTGACTTGAATGTTGAGATGTAGGGCGACGCTAATGAACCTCGTCCTACAGGAGAACGCGGCTTGAGCTTACCTTGCATAGCTGTCCAGCGGTAAATTTCGCAATGAGATTATTCGGGCAGGCAAACATTTTGAGTGGGCACTGATAATTGTTCTTTTGAGAAAGTTAAGTTGAACTTAAAGATATTCATATACAGGATGTACTTGTATAAGTGGTAAGCGTCGCGGGATTTATTCAGGTTACAGCTACTCTTGTTGAAGCCAAGCTCGGTGGCCTCCACCGAGCCGAGTTGAAGATGTCAATTTACTGCTCGGTATGTCCCCCCGAACTATCATTTTGGAAGTACCAGTACCCCTACAGCATAACTCGGCCTCTGCGCCCGCAGCTTATGTTTAGTTTTGGCCAAAACATTTTAATTGAAGTGCTCTTTTCCTGAAGGAATCGAAATAACTCCATGTTCGTTCATCATCAATCTTAATCCCGTTTGTTCATCGTACACAATTGCCAATTGATCCAAGATGTTTGAATCATTCCAACAGGGTCCTCCCGACCCCATGTTCTTTCTCAAGAATGTGGCAGATCAAGACTCATCACCGGAGAAAGCTGATCTTGGTGTTGGTATCTATCGAAACGAAAGTGGCCACTACAGTGAGCTCGAAGCTGTTGCACAGGTATGTCCCAGGGAAAACAGGCTTGGGTAACACGGGACAACAAGCGCTAACTTGTCTGGCGAACTTCAGGCCAAGCTCGTATTAGCTGAGAATAATCCCGGCCACGATGTGAGTTTTTGTGAAATGCCTGATACGTTGACCAATTATTTAAAAACCGATAACCCAGTATGAAATCACGACAGGCAATGGACAATTCTTAAACCACGCTGCGAATCTCTTGTTTGGAAAAGAATGTCAAAGATTGAAATCTGGGCATGTAAGCTTCGACTAAATAACTAGCAACCACACTTTGCTCATGCCAATCAGGTCGCATCAGTGCAAACCATCTCCGGCACAGGCGCAAACCACATCGCTGCTTTGGCGCTGAGTCAATCTGTCTCACCTCGCCCGCAGGTTTACGTTGGTACCCCAACTTGGGGGAACTACAAGCCCATCTTTGAACTGGTTGGAATGGAAGTCATCGAATATTCCTACCTCGACCCTAAAACGCGTTGCATAGATTTCGCCTCTATCTTATCGGCAGCTCACTCAGCCCCATCGCGGAGCGTGTTCATTCTACAAGCTTGTTGCCATAACCCTACAGGCGCCGATCTGGCGAAAGAACAATGGCAAGAGCTTGCCCTGGTCATGAAACAACATAATCACTTTGCATTTTTTGACATTGCTTACCAGGGTCTGGGCAATGGCATCGTTGAAGATGCCTATCCAATCCGCTTGTTTGCTGACCTTGAATTTGAGATGTTTGTTTGCCAATCCTTCTCAAAAAACTTTGCTTTGTACGGGGAACGCTGTGGTGTACTTCACGCTGTGTGCCCCAGCGGAGAAACAGCAGCGAATGTCCATGACCGACTACGCTGTTTGATCCGATGGGAATTCTCGTCCTCACCTGCCTACGGCAGTCGGTTGGTCAGTATTGTTCTTGAATCGGATCATCTTACTGGCGATTGGTGAGTCACACGCTTGCCAGAACGCGAGTTGTTTAAACATGGAATAACAATCTCGCGCTTTTATAGGTTTAAGGAGCTCTCCCATATGCAACAGAGACTGAAGAATTTACGGAAGCAACTTCACTACAACTTGGTGGAGGTTTTCAAGGTAGGTGAAGGCTTCGATACTGTTTGTCACTATCGTTTACTAACTCCTTGTAGACACCAGGGAATTGGGAGCACATACTGATGGAAACTGGACTATTCTCGTAAGACCCACCTCGTATTGAAAGTGTTACAAGTTCTAATCACTACATACAGCTACCTCAATCTTACGCCTCAACAGTGTCAGTCTCTCATCGACGATCACCACATCTACCTCCCACCGAACGGTCGAACTAATATTTCGGGACTGAATCAAAGCAATATCGTAAAGGTGGCTAAGGCTTTAGATCATGTTGTAAGATTGAGATTCGATAAGGAAGTGCGGTCCAGGGGAAGTCTTGAAGCGCACAAATTGTGATTCAAACTGGTAAAATGCTTGTTCGATTGAAAGGGTCACATGTTGTTGGTCAGCTGTTAGTATAGCTACAATGGACTCTATAAATTGAGAATTGGGATTCAATTCATTACAACTGATATGCATGTGCATACACCAAAAATGGAGTAAATAGACGTGTGATGAAATGCGCAGAACTTGGGACTTGGGTGGCTTCAGGATACAATGTCATGCAATACCTACTCGACACGAAAACACCAGCCTTGAGATCAACGACACACATAGATAGGCATGTTATTGTAAGGAGCCGATAGAATATAAAGCTAGAGTAGGAACATTCATGCAACCGAGGGAGCCAACAGAAGTAAGGAGCTTGGTAACTGGTTGAAAGCTACAACAACTGGTGCCCGAGATTGTTGCACGCACAGGCAGAGCCGAATACTCTTTCTGTTCTGCCACGTGTTGAACATTCTCTCGGAGGCCCATCTAGAGGCCGATCATGACCGTTGTAGGTAATCACTCGCTGCCAATGTTTGAGTTACCGAGGATAAGACTGCCAAGTGATAGTGTCTCGGGCAGCCACACCGAGGAAGCAGAAAGATCATCTCGGCATGTGGGGCCAGATAAGCAACGGGTTATCATAGCGGTAAAAAGATAGTGAGAATGGGGTAATGGGGTAATCGTCTTTAATAAGTGGAGTTTGTTTTGAGTCCCCAAGATTAAATTTGTAGAGATACCGTACATTTCCACGAAATTGCACGATCGTAGCGTCAAACCTAAGCACGCCTCCATATCATGCCGTGCTAATCACTTCCGTTTACCAACTAGGCTTAACAATAAAGGGCTAAGCCACTGGGAAATTGTCAGATAGCTACCTCACCTTACCTATCTATACCCCGCTGTATCAAGACGCCGTCGTTATTCAATTTCATGGAAATGTACGGTATTCGACTTCTTTTACTATGGATTGGCCAGTAAGAGTTTGGCTAGAAACTCGCTATCGGAGTTCTTGCAGATGTCAAATGTCTCTCAAATGTAACGATAAGACAAAGTAGTCTAGAACTATGGGACAAAGATTAATCTTGGTATCTCGGTCTGGGGAACCGAGTCTAGCAGGATAAGCATTGGCTAGCAGTTCCCCTTAGCGTGACCATTGACGTAGACGAGTTAAACTGATAAAAAGCAAGATCTGTCACCAAAGTCATAAGTGCTCAAGGCACTCTATCAATACTTCCAACTCGTTTCATTTCATTTTCCTTTGGACAGTCACTATGGTAGAGCTACACCAGGAAGAAAAGACCGAAGACATCGGCCGAGTCGGCTCTAATACGCCTGGGGAGATAGATCATGTCAATGACCTTCGACGAGACTTCAAGCCGCGCCATGTCTTCATGTTCTCCATAGCTTGCGCCATTGGAACCGGGCTAGTGATCGGAACTGGCGGTGCATTATCGAGGGGGGGGCCTGGTAGTCTCTTGATTGCGTATATCCTGGTTGGATGTACAGTTTTCTTCGTCATGACAGCCATTGGTGAGATGGCAACGTTCCTACCCATGAACAAAGGTTTCGGAGGTTATGCAACTCGCATGGTCGACCCTGCCTTTGGGTAAGTTATGCTGACCATAAGCATAATTCATGCCTCCGTTAACTTCGACCTTAGATTCGCGACAGGTTGGAACTACGTTCTCAAGTACATCGTGGCTACACCGACAAACCTTACAGCTGCTGGTCTTGTCCTGCAATTCTGGAGACCAGACCTCAATGTGACCATCTGGATTACGGTTTTCGGAGTTGTCATCGTGACCATAAATGTGAGTCTTGCTAACTTGCACACAATCAACAGAGCTGACAATCCTTTAGGTCTTGCACGTAAACAGCTTTGGCGAAACAGAATTCTGGCTCGGTTGCGCTAAGGTTCTTATCATGACTGTTTTGATCCTTAGCACCCTCGTTGTTGCGTTGGGCGGTGGACCAAACCACGATCGATCCGGTTTCCGATACTGGCGGGACCCTGGAGCATTTGCGGAATATCTACTCGAAGGCTCATTGGGAAGATTTCTTGGATTCTGGGCTTGCTGCTGCCAGGCCTGTTTCGGATTTACTGTATGCACTGATACTTCAACTCAGTGTCCATAATTACTAACTCATTATCAGGGCACCGAGGTTGTCGGTATGACCTTTGGCGAGACTCCGAACCCACGCAAGAACGTGCCGCGAGCTGTAAAGCAAACGTTCTGGAGAATTGCCTGTTTCTATATTATTGGTGTCTTGGTGCTTGGAATGGCTGTTCCGTATGATAACGAACAGCTTATTGGGGCCACAAAACAGGCTACCAGTGGCGGTGAGGAACCTTGCATGTCATTCCATACCGAGGCGATGCTAACATAATGCTTTAGCTGCATCTCCCTTCGTCGTTTCGGTCAGCCTCGCTGGAGTCCATGTTTTCGCGGATGTCATCAACGGCTGTCTATTGGTGTTCACACTCAGTGCTGCAAGCTCAGGTACACAACCGCGATGGCCCTGGTGGGAATTCCTTACTAATGCTTGCAGATATCTATTGCGCATCCAGGTCACTCTACGGCCTTGCTAAAGATGGCCAGGCACCTCGCTTGTTTGCCAAGGTTCGCGAAAATGGAAATCCCATATATACAGTTGGCTTTGCTTCCGTGTTCATCGCCATGGGATACTTGAACGCCAGCAAATCTTCATCAGCAGTGTTTGGCTATTTTGTTAGTCTCGTGACGGTGTTTGCCGTGCTCAATTGGGTCGCTGTTCTAATCACCCACATCCGATTCCGCCAGGCTTTGAAGGCCCAAGGAATTGCGATCACCGAATTGCCATACGTTGGGTTTCTCCAGCCTTACGGCTCATACTTCTCCCTGACCGTTTCACTTTTGGTCATCATTTTCAATGGTAAGTAGATCCATCAAGCTTGCGATATCGAAACTGACAACTGCTTCTAGGTTATGACGCTTTTATTCCATACTTTAAACCAGAGACGTTCGTGCTCAAGTACCTTGGCACATTGATCTTTGTCGTTAATGTTTGCTGGTGGAAAATTAGACATAAGACAACTTTCTGGCGAGTAACAGATATAGATCTTTTCACTGGTAGACGTGAGTGAGATGAGTGGTTTGCATGGCAATTAAATAGTATATTTCAGCATGATTCACTTGAACAGTTTGAAGCCCAACCGTAACGTCCTTTAGAAAACGGGATTTTTAGGGTAGATGTCGTGTGCCTAAATCTCATTGACGGCTTAAACGTTGTGTAAGCCGAATATAGATATTATCAAAGCCTGACAAAGCATCAAACAGTTCAGGTACTGTGGTCTAGTTGGTTATGACATCTCGTTAACACCGAGAAGGTCCCCGGTTCGAGCCCGGGCAGAACCTCATTTTTTGTTTGTTTTTGCTGCTACGGATCAGTGGATATAGTGTATAACAGAGCGAGTTTGTTGGACTGATTCAATCTAGGACTAGGGCACAGATGCTTTTGATCCTGGAATGCTGTGGCCGTTTCACTCCCTTGCTTTGCCTCTTACCTCACATCATTATTGGCTTGAATTACGCGGTGCTATCCCGATTAAGCCAGCCAACCTCGCCAACCCCGCACACACACAACCCGCATTGAACACCTGGATCTCGAGACAAATACACTTTGTAATACTTACTGGAAGAAACTAATACTAGAACATAGATAACTCTTGCGTTGGGCTTGATTGGAACAAACTCTCTCCTATGCCCAGGCTGGTAAGTGGTTATGTTAGTAGGATCTCTGCTGAACTGCAATGCCCACTATGGCAAGGCAAACTCCTGGAGGAATTGCTTCTGTTGATTGAAGTAAGCTCGGCGGTTACCTACCTGGTTTGCCCAATAATCACCCCTGTTCAGCAAAGCCTTGTTGGCTCGAAGGATCAGGTGTCATTTCATTTTTGTTGCAAAGGTCGCGTCAGCTAATTATTTCTCCCTTTGTCATTCTCACTCGAGCCGATCACGCATTTGCCCGTTAATAATTATCACTGTCAGCAACATGACAACACAGGTTCCTGACCTTACAACAACCTTCACGCCCGCCAAAGCATGCTTCCAGTATTACAAGTATAGATATACAGGCGATGAACTTACATGTCTGTCAGGCGGCACCGGTGCGCCCAGTGTTTGCACCTATATGCAATTGGGTCCCTCATCAAGTGACGCCGACTGCTTTCCAAGCAGCTTAGAACTCAGTTCAACCTTTTACTACTCACCCGGTATATGTCCCAGTGGATTCGAGGTGGCGTGTAGTTCAACAGTCGGGGGCGAGACGAGAGCGACGTGTTGTCCAAGGTACGAAGCCAAGGGCTGTTCACATGATCGGTCATGCTGACTGTGATCCAGTTCATTTAGTTGTCAAAAAGAGACGGGTTGGCCATGGTACAGCACTGATCTTTGCACAATCGTGATACCAAGGACGGTTGAAGTGATAGTTTCTGACTCAGTTGTCGGAGGAGACTGGGAAAGGACCACAGTCAACGGAGCTGCTGCCAATGCTATTGGTATTCCCATCCGATGGCGTTCCTCCGATTTTGCGTCCACCACGGCTGGGACCACGACCTCTTCAACCGGCAGCGCAACTGAAACGATTTCTTCTTCAACAGCCACTTCATCGAGTGATTCTTCGTCGGGTAATGGGGGATTGAGCACTGGAGCTAAGGCAGGAATTGGAGCTGGCGTTGGAGTTGCAGCTCTTGCTGGACTTGCTGTATTAGGCTGGTTTGTGCTTCGGGCGAGGAGGGCTAAGCAGGCACATGCAGCCGCTGCGGTTGGGGAAATGGAGGCTAAGGAACCTCAGGTGCACGTGCAACAGCACCCATGGGAGCTTGATGGTCACGAAACTATGACCCCAGCGGAGCTACCATCGGAAAGTGTGAGTCGTGTTGTGTACAAATGAGAGACGTAGTGCCGGGAAAAATTAATATTATACCCTATAATTCTACTAATATCAACCATTATGGAACCGTGCATCCTCGAGGAAACCTAACTTTGACACTGATCTAGAACGGAACAACTATAGAGCTTCTTTGTCAAGATGAGCCTCCGATCAGTGATGTGTCTTTACAATCTTGTTTATATACTATGTAGAAGATATGGTATGCTACGGCTCTACGCGAGAGGCGAAATTCCAACAGGTGGAGTTGCACCACTCATTTTGGGTTATGGTCCTCTTGGGCCAGGTATCAACGCCACTGTTACGCAACATTCGCAGCCTGATTTTGATAGAATACATCCATTACTACAGTTGCTGCAGTTGGCCCTGGATCCTCTCAGCCTAGTCCTATTCTTAGGATGGTGGCTTTCAGCTCGTTGTAGATCTTGAGGTATGTGCAGCCAATCCCAAGCTTTACCTCGGAGTCTTGCGACCTCCTGAACAGCAAACAAGCCAAGACAACGTCCAGCCACTTTTATTTATTATTAGATTCTGCTTGTATATATACATACGCAGCCGAAAAAACTGAGCGCAGGTTATGTATGTTTTTCCACCTACATCCACATCTTAAAAATGCTCCGTGGAAAAATTAGTACCGGCTGGCGAGTCGTCGCCATTCTCAACACTATTGTTGTCTTCCTATTCGCCATTCTTGGTACTTTTCTCGTCTTTTGGGGTTCCAGAAAATTCTAGAGGTCTCCGCAAACATTTCATTTTCTTTGAAGGAAACTGTGAGACAAGCAAGACTATTAATACATGGCTACATCTACTACTTAACGCTTGCTCAACAGGCGTACTCGCATCGTCCAATTTCTTAATGCAGCTCCTTAGCTCTCCAACGAGATCCGAGGTTGATAGGGCACACAAAGCCAGTCGGGCGCTTAAGATTGGTGTTCAGTCACTCCGAAACGCCTTTTGGACGTCAAAAGTCAAGTTCATATGCTGGATTCTGTTTTTCGTCAGCTCGTTTCCGCTTCATCTGTTCTTCAATAGTGCTATTTTTTCAACGGCGTATATGAGAGCTGATTGGCACCTTAATGTGGCCTCCGAAGGGTTTGTCGAAGGGCACCGTTCCGGGGGTCGGGGGCTACGTTATGGCCTCCAGAACATGGATCGGACGGATATGGATCACCAGGAAATCGAAAAGAATACTTAAAATCATCGAGCAACACATCGGAGAAGATCAAATATACCTCTAGACACGCGAAGGATTGGAATAAGATGGATGTGAGTAATTATGTCTTTTGCAATCCTCGTATTGCTTTTGGGGATGTAAGTTTTGATGGTGGTTGAATCCCAGAACATTACCCTCATGGCCGAGAATCGTACACTTGGTTGGGAAAGAGATAATTTACCCAATTCTCTCTGGTTTGCTGCTGATTGCAAGATCAGTGTGAGCCCTCAACAAATGCGAGCAGGACAATGCCGCCAGACCTGTGGTATGGCTGTGGGACTGGAGGACATCAATTCCAAATCGGTACGATCTAGCGCAGTCCCGTCTACTTACTTACATAATGGATTTCTCTCTCATCGCAAACACAAATCTCACGCTTAAGTACTTCCTTGCCAAGACAATCCCGCAGAACTGCAAAGTTGGTGTTTCTAATCAACTGCTTCTGATCGTCGTCGTCTTGATTGCCGTCAAGGGATTGCTTTGCGTTGTTGTCTTATTCATCTTGCCAAAAGATCAGCCTCTTGTTGTTTTAGGCGATGCGATTGGGTCTTTTATCCAGTTTCCAGACCAATTCACAGTTGATAGATGCCTATTGGACAGAGACATTGAGGAAGCCATGGGAGCTGGTTATCAATTTGCAATGACAGCTGCACCAGCGCGTCAAAGTTGGATGTCTGCTATAGAACCGAAAACCTGGACCAAGACCTATGCAGTAATGTCCATGAATGTTATTCTGCTAGCTGGAGGGTTCATCGCGGCTCAAAGAAACACGCCCATCGTCGGACAAAGTATGTTACAGAGCATGAGCAATGGGATCTTATCTGTCTCTCAAGCATCAGCAGGAAAGATCGTCGACTTCGTTCTCAGGGCGAATCTGCCGCAACTCCTTCTCTCAGTCACTTATTTCATGTATAACAACATCTACACTTATCTCTGCACGGAGAAAGAGTGGAATTCATTTTGCGGAGATTACCAGCCGCTCCAGGTATCCCAGCCCAAGGGCAAGCAACGGTCAACATACCGGCTGCAACTGCCCTATCGTTACAGTATCACCTTGATAGTTGTTAGCATATTTATGCACAGGCTAGTCTCTAACGCTATCTATGTATTTCTTGCCGAGGGAGGTAAGTTGTTTTGACATTGGTGTTTACTGCGCCGAGTCCTGACTTCTTTCGTGTATAGACTATTATGAACTTGGCCGACTGGCTAAAGGATCTCCGGCACTTGATGCAGATCTTTCGGGGTCAGGCCTGAGTAAAGGCGCTTGTATCGGTGTTGGATACTCAACTCTGACGATATTAATTCTTCTAATAACCTCCATTATCCTCCCCATTTTTCCAACTCTATTGAGACGGAGAAAGGCGAAGACGCCGATGCCCCTTGCAGAAGCGAGTTCTGTGGTCATTTCTGCAGCTTGTCATGTTCCTATCATAGACGGCAGCATTATGTGTGGCGTTCAAGAAAGGAATTTGCGAAAGGACCAGTTTGTGGCGATAAAAGATAGAGAGAACGCCATTTGTTTGAGCGAAATACCAGGAACCAACGAAAGGCAAGAATTGCTAGTATTGGCGGATAGCCATATTTCAGAAATCGAACAAGGATCATGCTCCGATCTGTCTCGTCTCGAGAATGGTCCAACTCTAGATGGAGAGAGTTTCCTACGCGAGGTTACACAAAACCCGGTCCGCTGGGGCGTGGTCAAGACATCGGCCTCCTGGAAATTGAAGCATGCAAACACAAGCAGTTCAAATGATACCGTCGGGCACTTTAGTTTTGGCACGGAACTCCATGAAGTCAAAGATCCAGTCCCTGGGCAGTGGTATATATAGCGGACTACACGTTGAAAGACGAGATCTGCGTCGTTGAAGGGCCAGCTTTAGATAATGGGATAGAAGAAACTCAACACCAGTATACTTCCAATTTCCTATATCATGTCACATATCATCAGCTTATCCTGTGCAAGCCATTCATGTTTACCAATGCGGGTTATCCAGTTGTACGCTGTAGCTGGGTCCGTGTCGATTTACCTTGATGTCCGGTATCAACGATTGGTTCGTAGTAGCATAGATAGATACATATTACGCTCCTGATTATTGGATAACAAATCGATGCTTCTCTTTTCTCGTAAGTTAATCTATGAGGCTGACTGTCGGCCCATCCGCTTAAGCCATTGTTCCAAATCAAATTCCCCGTCGCTAAGATCCCGAGGGTTACCAACGAACATAAAAACATGACCATAGTCCTCCGCAGGCTCTTGCCCATCAGTGTACTGGATGAGGCATGGCGCAGTTTGGTAGCTGTTTGTTTCGTATTCAGCTAGCCTTTTTGCATTGTCAACAGACTGCACGCAGTAGACTCGACCACTAACTTCGGCACCTTGCGGCCCGTCTTGCATAGCAGGATATTGTCCCCAGAGTTTGCGAGAATAGCCTTCAATTTTGGCGGACCGCAGCTCAGGCTCTTTCTCCAGTCCAAGGACATCAGCCAACATCTTTGGATCCATCAATGTTCCGTATACAAAGTACGGCCCTGTGGGTGGCTCAAAGAGGTCCCTTTGGACTGGCGGGTTGGGAGCCTGGTAAAACCAATCTTCTGGCGCACTCCTGACCTTCAACACAAAGGGAGATTCTCTTGACTGGCTCCTGCGGACTGTAGGTGGTAATGGAGGAGCAGGTGGGGGTGGACAAGGCGTGTCGTCGGCCATTTTACATAAAGTACACTGTAAGTATTAGCGACGTCCACTGATACACATATCCCGCATATTTGGGGAGCCGGTCCGACCACATTCTTACCCTGAATATATGGAGATTCTGTTTGTGTGCGTAGAGCCATTTATTGAGAGGAAGATGGTAAGTGTTAGTGATGATTAATGTGCGTATGAATGAACAATGAATTGCTCTTGGCTTGCATCATCCCATTTAGCAATCAATACTGCCGCTCAATACCGCCTAGAATGCTCCTTGTTTCATGATCAAAGCGGTTACAAGCGCGCGGATTAAATACCGATCGAATCACAGACTGATATTGGCTATATGTCTCCACTGAATTCTAAAAATAAATACTGACAAGAAGTGATAATCACATCAGATGGAAATCAGAGTAGGAAATATCCAAGTATTTAATTTGGAATCACCTAATTATAGAGCATAACTACTTCAGAAGCGCTTATGTACTCTTCATGATGTTTCGGTAGGCGCTTTCTACTGGAAAGAAAATTACACAGAGATATATATAATTGGGAACTCTCCTGTAAGTATTCATTCAGATTCCATCTATATACATTGTATAAGTTAGTCAATTTTCCAATTGAAAGTACTGCTAGATTGTGTCACCAATATGGGCCTTTTCAACCGATCTCCAGCTCCTCCACCCCCAGCTCCTCCTCCTCCTCCTCCTCCACAACCACTAGGTCAACGTGGCGTTGCACAGAAGAAAGGTAGGTTACACACCTTGTAATTGGCGTTTATGCAATTATTTATCATACTAACTGACAATGACTTATAGCAACACAACCTGCGGCACATCAATATCCTCAGGGCAGCTTTGGTATCGGTGTCGAAACAGAGTTCCTTCTCGAACCTCGCAGAAAGGAATTAAACGGACACACGATTCGTGAAGCTTCTATCAACGCAGCAGCGGCGTATAATGCCTTCCTCTTAGCTCAAGGCCAAAAGTCTGATCATCCGGCCATGCACAATGCTATAGACCAATCCTATCGTGGTGTCAAATTTGCCGAGTGGTCTCTTGACTCGGACTCAACAATCGAAACGCCAGATAGGAATAAAGCACCATGTGAGTTGTCCCAGAGGCCGAACTGTATTTAAACATTGCTTATAATATACATCAATAGGGGGTCTTGAGAATATATCACCCATCTTTCGCAGTTACGAAAATTCAGCATGGCGTGAGCACATTGATACTATGTGGCGTTTCCTTACAACCAACTACAGAATTAGCGCCAATTCAAGCTGTGGCACACATGTTCATCTTTCACGTGCAGGTGGTTTCACCCTGGATGAACTTAAGAGAGTCTGTCAGTGCATTATTCATTTTGAGCCAGCTTTCGAGGGAATCTTGCCAAGAGACAGACTGTCAAATGAATACGCCAGGAGTAATTGGCTCGATAACCCAAATTTTGGCCACAGAAATCTTAGTAGGAAGGAGAGCATCGATATCATCCAAAACGCATCGTCAATGAGGGAGCTCGTTCTGTTGATGAATCCCGACCATGACAAGATGTTTGGCTGGAATTTTCTCTACCTGCTCAACAGCCCTTATGGTACAATCGAATTTCGAAGAGGTGCAGCAAGCATCAGCTCTAGCGATGTCTTTATGTGGATTGAGATTGCAATGTCGTTTGTGGAGGCATCAATCCGAGGAGGTAGGCGTGAGAATCTAGCCAAAGTCCCTGCAACGGTTGGGGGTCTTAAATGGTTTATTGGGGCTGCAAGGCTGCCCGATGGAGTCCCAGGCTTATATGACTCGCGTTACTTGAAGAGGCTGTTCTCAAATATCCCTGATGGAGCATTTAGGCAACCAGTCCCACTTGGTAAACTTTCACCAGCCAAGTTAGCCAAACTGAAGAATAAGAAACAGGAGGATAAGAGTAAAACAGTAATCCTCTCCAAGATGGCACAGGAGCCGTATTGGAATTAGGAAGCATAGAGTGCTTGAATTATATCTGTATATAGCTTGAATTGTATTGGTAGGAGTACAACTGAATTATTAAATTATATTAAATTTGTATGAGACTTTCCTAATTACCCATTTATATAAACACCTCTCTTGAGATAGCCTTCCACATCATGGAGTGGCATATACCCAAATAGATCAACGAACTTCTTCAAGCATTTACTCCTTCTCAAAATATGTCCAGGTTTCGTGCTAATGCCCGTGCGAGCAGCCTGGTGATCCAACTTGTTTCTTCCAAGAACCATAAGTGGCCCTTCGCACGTCAACATACTAGTGACGAAGTTGAGGGCGATATCTTCGCAGTTGAAACTCTCGTCCACGAAATCACGAATGGTAGTCATGATGTCGTCCTCCGAGTGGTAGTATTCTAAGTACGAGATGTGTGTGAAAGCCAGACCTGTCAAAATCATACTGTAAGTCTCCTGACCCTTGCAGTCGAAGCTGTACAAGGGAGTTTCGGTGACGTTGTTTACGGCCCGACAGCGCGCAAAAGCTCCTGTCAAACGATGCATGCCCGCGCGCCTCCATTGTTGGAAGACGTACTCAAGATCTCCCGTCGTCTTGTAGTTCCAATCATCATCAGAGAGAAGAATTCCTTGGGTCCTGTAGTAGGGATCAGGAAGGAATTTCTGGTTCAGGCTGTTCTTTTCAGATCTGCGATAGCGAACGAGAACGCCGTGTTCACTCATGAAGTCCGCCGGAGGTTCAACGTTTATTTCATTCCAAACGACGACAATCTCGTACAGCGATGGTACTTTGTTTTCGATAAGATGCTGAATAGTCTTTTTCAGCTGCGTAGGCCTCTTGTAGGTTTGAATGGCAATTCTGTGCGAAGTTAGCCTGCGCTCTAGTAAGGGTTATAAACGGCAACATACGTAAACATATCCTCCATTAGGTCGCTGGTTCTGTTGACAGCGTCGTTCCAGATAGTCATGTTGGCGACCTCATCCCGTTTTCCGCAACTTCTTTCTGCTTCTTGATACGTCGAGATATTGCGGATCTCAGCAAATTGGGGCTCTTCAACTATCTCTTCGATCACCTCTTCTTTCTGGAGTCCTTGGTCGGATCCATAGACGGAAGCAAAGATGAGGAAGAGAATGAAGCTCAATGTAGAAATAACCAGAATTGTCCACTTCTTTTTGGGGTTTTGATTTTGGTTGATCTGATAAGCTGAGGCGTCGGAGAATGTCTCAATGGGCATGAGTTTCATCTCTTCCTCTCTACTTAGCCGAGACGTTGAACTTGACGAACCATCGTCGCTGCATGTCTCAGCCATCTTGTGTTGCTGCAGAGAAATGACGACAGTCTGAGACAATTGAGTGGCTGCAGGAGGTTGCTGGCAGAGATTGGATGGCCGCTGTGAATCAAACGTCCGTGGAGTGATTCATATGATTGTCAAGTCGGACGTGTAGCGCCGGCCTCCTCTGTATATTAAATTGTCATGTCAGTCGGCAATTGCGAAGCAGCCATGGCTTAAGCAAAAGGGGGGCAGTTTTTGTTCTTTTCCATTACTCCGTCTAGACCACGGCGGCGACCCCTTTATTCTAGCGCTAGATAGATCCACAGTCGCTTTCGAAGGCGTTTACAGTTCTAGTGGGATAAAATCTCAGCTCCTCCGTTCTAGCCAAGCTAACGACAAACAGTTGAGTAGATCCGGGGCCAACATCAATAGCTAACGGGGCAAATGTCATCTTCAAAGGTCCACCATATAGTCAGGGGATCCTCACAGCTGAACACATCAGATTTGCTATGTCGTTTTGCTTTGAATTATCCACATCATTTCTGTAGTGCGTGGGCTATTGTGACAAGTGCACTTCCCAACTACCTGGTGCCACAAGTACGCTTGCTGGCTCGAAACTGCGCTATAACAGACTATTGAAAGACTATAGTTTGGATCCATAGTGACCTGATCCGTCGCTCGTAGTTTTCAATTGGCTTGAAATAAAGCGATTGACTCGCTAAAACGTTTCTGAAAACTAAGCTTTCCTAGCCTGTACTAGCAAAGAGATGCCACGCTGTTAGTCGCTTCTCCGATGTTCAAATTAATAACAGATCAAATGCTTGTTTGTCAAAATGAAAGCCTTGAAGGAAAATGGAAAGCTGAAAATTCATTAAAAAAACGCCAATAGTCTAAAGTAAATAGCTGTTGGTAGGTAAACTACACTATTGAGCCCCATGAGTCAGTGCAGGGGGTAGTTACCTCCGTTGCGATTCTTTTCACAACAGATTCCCGGAAATGACCCAGGTACCAGACCAATCTAGAACAGAATACAGGGGTAACTCGTAAAAATGTTTGCGCGGTAGCTTGTTTTGGTTGTCTTTCTCCTGAGAAAGCTTGAGGTTGGTGGAATACTCTGAGGTTCTGTTCAAATGCCAATGTTCTTCGTATAATTCTAAACCATCTTGCAAACTTCTTCCAGATCTTTATCCCAACTCTTCCGCCTTTGCCACTTGATATTCTTTGCTATGATTCTGACATTTCCTTCCTCTTCCCAATAACCGATTGAACACAGATCCAGATGGTATCCTATACGCCCTTACCATTGTCGTCACCAGGCCTCGGCCAAAGGGACACGCCATCATCACTCAAAGTTGGTCTTTATATGACGTGAGAAATATCATCCATTTTTGGACGCTACATAATTACTGATTCTACTAGCGCGTGGATTGTCTCATCGAATATCACTATTCTATTTAATAAATGGCTCCTTGATACAGCTGGGTTCAGTATGTCTGCATCTTTCTTGTATCTGAGACATTGTAACTAATGATTCTTTAGAATACCGTAATAAAACCTGAAACCACACTGATGGAATAATTCGCTAACAATAGTTCTTGACAGCTATCTTACTCGTGACGTGGCATCTCGTCTTTGCCACTGTCATCACCCAAATATTGGCCCGCACAACGACTTACCTCGACAGCCGTCATGAACTTCCAAATAGCTGGGACTTTTACCTCACCACAGTTCTACCCATCGGCATTGTGTCATCTGGGTCGCTAGTTGCATCCAACTTCGTCTACCTGTACTTGTCGGTGGCGGTTATTCAGATGCTAAAGGCGGCGTCGCCCGTTTCAGTCATGCTTGTTTCATGGCTATTCGGCGTCATGGATCCAACTATCGGAAAGATTGCCAACATTCTTGTGATTGCGATGGGCGTTGCAGTCGCAAGTGCTGGCATGATCGAGTTCTCCGTAATTGGTTTTATCTTCCAAATGGGTGGACTTGCATTTGAGGCTGTGAGAGTTGTTATGACACAGGTCATGCTCAATGGAGAGGGCTTGAAGATGGATGCCATGGTCGGCCTCTACTACTACGCCCCTGTTGTCGCCATCTTGAACCTTCTTGTGGCGCTCATAATTGAAGTACCACACTTTGATGTGGCCGACTTTCACCGAGTTGGATTTCCCACGCTATTCTTGAACGCAGCCGTTGCGTTTACACTCAATTTTACCAGCATGGTTCTTGTAAGTACAAATCCGTTACCAGGATGTCCGTTACTAATTATGAACAGATTGGTAAAACCTCGGGTCTCGTTATGTCTCTGTCAGGCATATTCAAGAACATCTTGCTTGTTATTTGCTCAGTTCTGATCTGGCATGTAACGATCACACCTATACAATTGCTTGGCTACAGTATCACCCTTTGTGCTCTTGTCTACTATGCGTTTGGCCAGGAGAGAATCTTCGAGGCCTACTTGTCTCTTATAAACTGGTCGTCGGGTGTAGCAAGAGAATTGGCCTCTAAAAATGATCGATCAATATGGTCTCGAAAAGTCTTGCTGGTATTATTGGGCGTTATGGTGATTTTCATATCAGGCATAACATTTGTCACTCTCAATAGAACGCAATTACCTTAATATAAACAATAGTCCTGGCGACTTAACTTTAGAATCAACCACAAAACCTTATTTTCTGCTCTCACTGTCGGACTTTATGCAAACCCTGCCTATATTGGCTGCCTTGACAGAATTCTATATCAGACATGACGGATAACACAGTTTCATAAACTGGTATTGAGGCTTCAAACTGACACGAAGTCCAAAGCGAGTTTCTGAGATCGCCAAACGTAGGGTTATAACAGACGAATGCTAATGCAACCACGTTCAAATGGCCGTTACACATGCTAGCGCCCGGAAAGTGAATTAGTTTCGAAAGGTAATGCTATATGAAATAATGTAAGATGCAGTTTGAGCACATACGACCAAAGGTAGTGGAAAATACGGGATCCCGTCCGCTCTCCCATAGTCAAGCCACTAACCGGCGGATTAGTAGTTGGGTCGGTGACGACCAGCGAATCCCCGCTGTTGTATGTTCATGTATCTTTTTGTCTATTGCACTTAGGATGGCGACGGCGATAGATCATTTTTGTATATAGATATTCCGATTGACACATTCGACTACAGGAGATATACTCCTTAGTGAGCGAAAGGCCACAATTATGCGACATGCTCTACCTTCTAGAAACTCACAGATAGATCAACTATCTGTGCTATAATACCTATAGATAAATATAACAGAACGGCGAGCCGCCCAGGGTGTTTAGTGCGTCACCAATGGTAATATCGCGGGCATTGACTCCCATGTTCAATGGATCAGTTTTGAGAGCGTCTCTGCTGGGAGGATTGTTAGAGACAGTAATGGTGCCTGCGATATCATTAGCCTGTTTTGGGTGAAGAGCTTGCCAAATCCAGTAAACACGATCGACCATCGAGTGATGAAGGAAAAAGTTGGGATCGTTGGGCGACGAGTAGAGATCAGAGTTGTCGCCACCGACTCCATAATGTCCAGCACCGTGTAGGCCCAGGAATCCCTCTGCGAATCGTCCTCCTTGAAACTCCTTCTGCATAATATCAATGTTACTGGAAGCAACGCCGAGTGTAAGGTTGTGCAGATTTGGATACGTCATCCACTGTTCCATGGCGTAGCGTGATAGGTCGCGACGGAGACAACGGGGGTTGTACTCGAGGGGTGTCTTGGTAGCTACCATTCCATCCATACTGGGTGCAGGTGGGCCGAGATTAGCAACAGCACCGGCAAAAGGGCCAGATTTGATACAGCCGCCACCGTTGCCGCTGGGAACATGGATGGTTCCTCTTCCACCGAACGATCCGTTGTGTTTGAAGTACTCTCCATCACCGCTCATGCTGGTGTCTGAGCCATCGAATAATGGGTGAGAAGCAAAGTCGCGAGTCTCAAACCAATTCCAATACTGCAATTGTTAGTGGACTAGTGTTCCCGTGGTTGCTGATCGTCGAAGTACTCACAGGCTGGGTACCTTTGTAACCACACTCATCCTGGAGAGCCTTCTCATACGCCCAAGTGTAGTATCGATGCCAAGTGAGGAAGTTGCCCTTGAAAATTCCTTAGTTGAAAAGGAGTTAACTCCAATTGAATGAAGACCTACTGTTCCGTGAATACTGAGAGTCTGATTGATATGGACGGCTACAAAGTCGTCATATCTGCTGCGAGCACCAGGTGCAAAAGCAGGATTGGCTTTGGAAGGCTTGTCGCGCAGACACTTCACAGCCTTTATGTAAGCCTTCCTCTCCTTCTTAGACATGACGGTCCTATAATTGTATTAGCCCAGTCACAGCAATAAATGCAAGGCTGCTGGGGAGTATACTTACCAATCGCGACGTACAGCAGCGTTGGCAATTGTGCATTTCTTAGGGGTCGATCGTTCATTGAACTGAGTGACGGTATCCTCGAGAGCATTGATTGCCTGTCTGTTCAAGTCCAGCATAAGATCACTTGCAGATGCCTCAGTTGGCGCAGTCGCAACCATCGAGGAGGCGCCAAGGAAGATGGCGAGTGCCTGAAGAGAGACGTGCATAGCTAGATGGTCTTTCTAGACAGCGGCTTGACTTGAGAGTATCTAACAATGGACAAGTGAGTAGAAGGTCAGAGAACGACTGATTAAATGCCAAATATTTAACGATGATCTGCAAGAGCCCTACAGTCCTTCCGGATGCCAAGTCGGAGCGATCCCTGCAATGAGCATAGCGTTGAAATGTGTTGTTTATCATTGGCGGAACTCGGTGAAGTTTTGTGCCCTACGCCAGGGTATTACGGTAAGGTAGACCGAGGAATAGATTGACTTACCCAAAATGGATCGTTTCTTACGTGGTACGGGCCGACGCTATGATTCCCGGAGCTATGTCTTTGCTTAGCCACGAGGCACAGCTTTAGGCAAATATTAACTGTCCTGTAATTACGGGATACCCAAGGCCACGGGTAAGAACAGAGATTTTCCTGTCTGGACGATCCCACTCTGTCTGAGCTAAGATTAAGTTTCATGCAGTCAGCTTACGAACTAACTCTATCTTGATCTGTGTTGTAACCCGATCATAAGACTTCTAATTCGCTGGGTTAATCTATACCAAGTGTAGTAATAGGTGTATGATGTTGTCAGACACTGGGCAAAGGCTAATTGGATCACGAAGCCCATTTTCGACGACTGATAAAACGGAATTTCCGAGACTGGAGGTTACCCACGAAAGAGGTATGGCGTTGAAGTTCTGACGTATCGGAATCTTGACATATCACGGAAATATGGGAAGAAGTTATCATTGTTTGTACTAGGAAATCTTGGTATTGAATATAATATTCGATTATGTCCTCGGGTGGTTGTTTAAAAAGAGGCGAATATTCGAGGCTTTCCAAAGTGATAGAGCTGCCTACATTTCTGTCATGCATCCAGGCTCACAGAGGTGATGGAACCTTTGATGTGTCCCATTGATGCTCCAGTGCATTTTCAGCTTAAAGACCGACAATCTGGTGAAAGATGATGCTACATGAACTGGTATTTCGTATCTAGAATGTTTAGTGGTCGGAGCAGAAGTATTTGCCGTAGCGGCGCGAAATACGAAAACTGTGAGAAGCCAATCCACTGTTTCAGCGGAAAACTCTGGCAAAACTGATAAAGACTGCTCTACCGAGGACACCGAGGGTCCGCCAATTATTTGCGAACCTTTAGCCAAGCTGCAATGCAACATGACCAGCGATGGATTCGCAGTCTCCGTTGCGGCTTACCAGAAGTTCCTTAATGCTGGACTGCATATTGTGGGCCGAGCTAGTACTCGACAAGGAATGAAATTAGACATCGACTTTGACAAGAGCCTTGGAACATCAGCCAGCTGCAATTCGCATCCTTGCTATTTTGGCTAATATACCCATACTGCCACTCAAGATTACTAACGGGTGATTGGCTTATATGCTAACGTCGCGGCGATAACACGGCACACCGCGTCCGTATGTTTCCAGCACAACCACGGCGTATACATCCACAACAATCGGCATGCCACATAACTTCGACCCGCATTTCTGAGGCTGCCAGTTATATTGCAAAATGAAAAGTGAGAAGAATGCTCAAGCACAGAATTACGGCTACTGTTCTTATCCAGTCATACCTTACTTTATCATGCACAAAGTTTGCAGATCCAACGAAATTATCCGAAGTGCAATAAGTAGTAAGTGATTGACGGAATTATATGCTAACTAATTTCTAATCTTGTGTCCATGAACAATTCACAAACACTTAAGAGCTGTTGCGCAGAGCATGTGAAGAAATTTGCCTGCCTCCACACTTTCTCCAACTGGAAAGATTACGAGATATGATTCGAACGAGAAAGATCCTCCAGGATTAATATTTAAGTTCATTAAGACTATCCTGCATCAAACATTTGGGCTCCTGTGGGAGCCCAGGTAACGGTAGGTTCTGGCCCCAACCTTGACTGAGCCAAAAACATAGCTGCCTGGACGGCCATCTATCAGATTAAGGTGAATAAACTAAATTTCCCCATCAAAACTGTCATGTCCACACTCGAAAACCTTCATCTTGCGTGCGTTACCTCGCAGGCTCTCCAAAATTACAAATGAGCCAATTTCCCTTTCCGTAAGTCACCGACTTTTGATAGCTATATAGTTCATCATTGTTGTTCTTCGCAACGACAAGCTACCAAACCCAGGAACGAGAATTTGGAAGCGAGATCTAATCTGATGGTAACAGACACAGCCAATCATCCATATGCCCAAAGCTCTGGGGTTGGACTCTATCATGCGGACATGATAACCAAAGAATTCTGCCCCAAAGTATAAACTAGAAGATTGTTGTGTCAAACTATGATAAGAAGTTCTCCTGTTTTCCCGTGAATAAATATACTACTTGCATGGAGTTTTTTCGTTTAGAGTTTCCCATCAACTACATATAGTCTCGGCTTTCCCACTTTCTCTACGTTGTCAACATGTCCTCGACTTCATCCCAGCGAGCTCCAGGCAACAACTAGCCTACCAAAACCCACGTCACGGCAGATGACTCACGAACAAACAGAGTCCAAAGCAATGAAGCCAGTCAAGCGATCCGACTTACAGGGTCTGGTTGATCTAGGGTCTATCCTCATCCTCGACGTCGCCTCATGAGGCCTTAACTTTGTCTACGAAACAATCTGCCGCAATCCAAGCCATATCACCCCCGAGACAGGCAACAAAACACTTCCTACAGAGATTGGGCTTGAAATCATCTCCCACGTCGAACCCTTCGCCAACGACGATGTTTAAAAAGCAGTATACTCAATTGAGATACAGTCTGTTCAAATGGATGGCGGCGAAGCGGAATCCGTTTTGATCTGTAACGTCCTGGAGGATTGGAGCCATTGTGGAACGATCTCGTCTTCGTACGATGTTGAAATGTATGAGAGCTACCTCAAAGATCCTTCACGTATACCCTTAGAAGAGGAAAAGGAGTTAAGACTTGATCAAAGACCCCCTTTTCAAGTATCAAGCACTGCAAAGGACCCTATATACTCGATTTCACTCTCAAAAATAGACAGTGGGTTCGACGTCCTTTTTTACAATATCAAAGTTCCAGACATGATATCCAGGCTTGAAGACGGAGACTGCTACTTCTGCAAGAGCCTCACGGGCCTCACCACCAGATTTTGTGACAACTCAAAGGCGGATGGCTTTGAAAGTTTCTGCAGTGCGGTGCGGTTCCAAGGTACTGACAATTGCATTTTTAACACGGTCTGTCCGTTATGTATTGGAGAGGAGTACGCAAAAGATATCATTGACACGAGATGCCCTTGCCTCTTTGTTGATGATTTATGGATTTTGACATATAAACCCCAGTATTTACCTGACGATGAATATCACCCGTATGTCAACTGGATGTTCAGAATGCTTGGCTACAGAGAACTATATCCTTAGTGCATGGAAAATATCCTTCCCGGTGCTAGAGCATATCGCGGCAACCCATGGGGAGATATGAGGAACTGGTCTATTTTCTGCAGAACCGAAGGTATATATAGCTAAACTATACCAGACTAAATGACATTCAACATCTGAGATACCCTAATCTAGTGTTTTTCTTCTTGGCTATATGCAATTTATGCATAACCACACGTCACTGCTTGCTATGGGAGAGAACTTGTTCAACCTGCCCAGGCTTTTGATACACTGAGCGCTCTCATCATTGTTTTGACCCATAGGTTTCGCAAAGTGCTCCACTATTCACACTACCCTTTGAAAAACCCAACTGTGAACATTATCATCATATAACAGACGCAACGATTTTATTGTGTCCGCAATCGACTTATGTATAATCGTCTCATCTGTGAACATGCCCCCTTTGAATGTAAGGCTTGTAACACCATACCTTATATTTCTACCATATTTATCGGGCTTGGTCTGTGGCTTGTGCAAGGCGCTGGCTGTCAGCTCTGGCGATCTCTCCTGTATAGTCTAGAGGATATTTATCATCAAATCTATGATTTACACAATTGAATTGACTGCAGGTTGAATGTCAATTAAAAGTACTCACCTTACCCATACCACTTATGGCTGCAAGCTAAGGCCCATGGATTTGATGGAAACTTACGGTAGTCTATAGTGCTAGGACACATGGGACTTTCCCCCTATTCTCCAAATATGAAACTAGAGAATAAACGATAATTAGTCATCTGAAACATTTGCCCAGCCTTCGAGCAGAATCATGGCGTCAGTCGGCAGTAGGGAGGATCTAGGCGGCGAAATATGAAGTTCTAATTCTCCGCTAGCGTTGTTATTTGTAACTCAGTTTCATAGTCAACAGACGCGGAGCTACCGGAGTTAGGTGTTTAGCTTGTTAAATCTTACCTCTGCCCCACTGCAGATGGGACCTGTATCCGCGGGAGAAACAGAAGCCCCATCGAATCAACAACGCAACCAATCAACTTTTATGTCACAATTTTTGAACTTGTTTAAAATCAAAGTCTAATCTGCAGAGCTGACAAATTGTAGATGGTATCTCGGATTGATTTTCGCATTTATAGAGAATCCTTCAGCGTATCCGGCTAAAAGAAATTCATTCCTACCTGCAAGTCTATTACTCTCTACATTCTACCTCCAAAACCTCAATTTCTTACTTGTTTCGGTCGATTGACTTCATACACATTCAAACATCATCCAACACTTCATAAAAATGTCTCCTCTCATTGCAGACAAGCCCCTCCTTGGCCCACTCCTTGGCCTCAACACCTGGACCTTTGCCATGGAAGCACTGCTGTACATCCGCAGAACCCCCGCGCTTTCCAAATACAATGTCAGCTTCGACCCAGCCATTGTCAAGAAGGAAAAGGCCGAAAAGCTGCCTGCTTATGTTCAGTGGCCAGCAGACAACTTCAACAACTTGCTTGAGCAACCTACCCAGTTCTACGCTGTGTTGCTCGGTTTGACTGCTTTGGGTGTCAAGGACAAGATTACTGTGCGTATGGCATGGGGTTACGTCGGTCTGAGATTCATTCACAGCATGGTTCATGTTACCACCAACAATGTCCTGGTGCGCTTCCCAGTTTTTGCCGCCAGTTCGCTTGTCCTTGTGGGATTGACAGCCAAGGCGGCCTGGGAGCTTCTCTTCTAATTTAGTTGATGAGAAACTACATTGAACTAGTGGTGATATGCATAGGCATTGAAAGATTGCTGGTGGTGGGAATACATACGTTGGGGCGTTTCTTAGGTCTAGAAGACTGGAGGCAATTGTGAATAAATGATAATCATCAACGCATTGACCGCTATACTCTATACATGTACTGACGACAACTTCGTTGATGACGCAATTTGTATTCTTCACGCTAATAATGCACTTCTGGGTTAGCCCTTGGGTCAAGTCATCGCCCAGCTCCGTTCGACGTCATAGGCTTAAATCTCACGGATCTACATAGAACCGAAGAATGTCTCACTTTCATTTCAAAACTTAATATCATTTCTGCCACGTTGATTTCCCCTCACTCATCCTTCTGCTTTCACCTTCCAATTTTACAGATCAATTTATAACACAATCATGGCCACTGTCGAAATAAACGATGCCGTGTTCTGCCAGCAACACATGGCAGAAGTTGTCAGTATACTTTGTTTTAAATCTAAGCAAGACCACTGTACTAAATTGATAAATAGTGCGAAGATTGCGGTGTAGATCTTCGTGAGGAAAATGATGCGTTCTACGGGGTTTGTTTGATAACTACTGATCCTTTAATAAGGAACATATATGACTAATTGAATCGTATAGTTTGACTCCGTGGATCGCGACGCCCTTACATGCCCACCAGTTTCTACGAATGATGATGGCATATATATATGTGATCAGCATGATACAAACAGTGAGTTATAAAAATGGCATCTGGATGGAATATCATTCTTACTCTAGTATATAGGCTGTAATGTGTGTTTCGGCTGGAAAAAGCAGATTACTAGGCTTCGTACTGCCGCAAAGAAAGCAGGTCGCTGAAGCTAGTTTGTGCTAGTGATTAGAGTAGGTATTACAACACGCGAACATCGTAGTATCCAGAAGATAGGATACAGGTATATCGATAGGAACCAAACACAATACAAATACACCTTCAGACATCCCAATAGAGGTCCCCATATGATACGCATACTGGTGAGTTATCTAAAATACTTTTGATGAAGTGCAGCCAGTGAGCTGTTACGTATGCCTCACTTTTATCTAAAAACTTCATATCTTTCCACCTTGTTGATTTCTCCTCACTCGCCATCCTACCAACCTGTCAAGCTTCCAACCCTTTATACTTCTTCTAAGATAAATAAAGATCAGCTGCCTCTGCTAGAAGCTTTACCATAGCTTGTCGTACGCTTGGGCAATCGTCCAACAATAACGAATTAGCTGCTATCTTGATTGCAGTATTTCCTCTCGCATCTTTACAAAGTGGATCAGCCCCATGTTCAAGCAAAGCCTTGGCCATACTTATGCTACCATGGGCAGCTGCGAAATGCAGTGGATTGTAACCAAACCGTACTATCGCCCCTGAGCTCTCAGGATCCCGTATGCTCTCTTGGACTTCGTGACCCCAGCAATAATACTTGGGTTCTACGTCGCCCAGTTCATTCCAAAACAGAAATGTTGCTCGGGCGTGTATATCAACACCACGATGGATCATGTTGTCCACGAACTGGGCAAGTTCGGCATTTTCTTTCTTTCTGCCAGCGAAGAGGGAAAGGCAATGCAGTGGCGTCCATCCCTCAGCTGTAACAGCACGAGGGTCGGCGCCGTGAAAGAGAAGTATCTTTGCAATTCCCAAAGCTTCAGATGTTGACTTTGAGAACCCGTTTAGCTGCGGGCCTTGCCTCGCTGGGGTTAAGGCGCAATGTAGGGGTGTCCAGCTATTTGTGTTGATACTATTGACATCAAGCCCTTGGCTGAGAAGAAACTCCACAATATCACGCTTGGCTCCCGCAGCTGCGTAATGTAGTAACGTTTCGCCGAAGTTGTTCTTGGATCTCAATACTTGACTTCTTTCGTCCGATGGGCAAGAGGATAGATATAACTGTACCGTGTTAAGGTTGGAGCCAAAAGCGACAGCGTGAAGGGGATTAGCTCCAGACTCATTATCCCCCAGCGAAACGGAGACATTGTGACTGAGAAGAATACGAATCGCGGTCTCATTCAAACGCACTACGGGTCCACTTCGGTTTAAAGCGGTTGGTGAACCCAGAAAGTGCAATGCTGACTTCCCCCTGCAATCAGTAGCGTCTGGGTTGGCTCCCTTATCGAGCAACACTTTCAAAGCTCCAACCAGACTTATAGAGCGAGCGGCAGTAATGATTGGTGGCTGTCCATTGATAATAGCGTTCGGATCAGCTCCAACATCGACCAAGTGTGCGATCAAAAGCTGTTGCTGCAGATAATCATCACCATTGTAGTCAAGTTTGAAGTCGTCTCTAATTAAAGGCCTGAAGTCAACTGCATGATGCAGAGCCTTGTCTAAAACGTCTTGGCAAAAGGACAGTTCGGTAGTAAGGAGTTCAACAGAATATGCCTTCCAGCTCTGTGCTGCCCAAAATAAAGCCTCGTTCTTGGCTTCTGTTGTCCATTCCTTCCATGTCAATAGAGCATGTAGGACAGTGATCTGACCGTTGATTGAGGCTTCAAATAGACATGAGTTGACGTTTTTCTCCTTTACCACTGTTTGCGAGTGAAGATGCTGCCATAATCGCCAAAGGAGGCGTTGGTTACCCAAACGTGCAGTTAATGCTAGTGGCGATAAGCGATGCTCGTGTTCGGATGAACCAGCAGCGACGTCGACGCCACTTTGCAATAGTATATTTACTGCCTCGATTTTGTCCAAATAGACTGCCACGTGTAGCGGAGTTCCCCAACAGCCATCACCAGTCGACAACAAAAATGAAGCCTCGTGGGAACCAAGCACTTCTTGCAAGGACGATAAGTCGTTTTTGCAGATCGAGGAGTGTAAAGGGTAATCAGATTCTGCCCTTTTGAACGTATCCTTGATACGATCTGCAATGGACATACGCCTTAGCATCATTTTTCTCTTACAAAGTTGCGATATAAAAGGGAAGCAAGAAGTCAACTGGTTTATTGGTTTCGTGCTTAATGAATACTGAATGGGGGAAAAGTGCGCAGTTTGTGATCCATTCACCTCGGCTAGTTGCATAGCAAATTACCATTACTAATCCATCAGCCCACATATCTACTATCTAGATAGTATCCCTAGATGACGTAGTTCCATCACTGCGAGTCTCTCGGTAAGCCTTCTTCCACCCCATCTCGGCCACCCGATGTTTCAATTCTAACCGCTCCTTCGCTTCTTCGAACTCATTGTCCCTGGGCACCAAAGACCCATCGCTCTGATCCATACCAGTCAGGAACTGAGAGCGCCCGGCACCACCGCAAAGAGCCGTGTACACTACACATGCCCAGTGTACCTTGACTGCAGACTCGGTCTTTCTCCCTTCTTCTTGTGTCATAACAAGGCGGATGAGGTAGCCAGATTCAGGTGCCGGAGACTCCTTGGGATAGTGAGGCGGCTGGGGACAGTCTGATTGAACAAATGCCTTGAACTCCCGTATGATGTTTTCCATGTCGAAGTTGTTAGTGGGTTTGTTGAATCGCGCTGTCAACTGAGGCATCCAGTAGAACCGCAAAAGCACATCGAATTTTCCGTCATGGCGTCGGGTGGTACCCTGAAACTTGAACGCACACCAACCGGTTGACAGGAATCTGTACAGAGTTCGGTCAACGCAAATCATGTTCCATGCTTTGTGGCTCTTGCCAAGCTCGGTCACGCTGAGGATATCATCCATAAGATCGACGTCAGCCAAGATATGACCTGAGAAATACAGATTGCCCGTGACATTGTTTCCATCCACATTGTTGTTCCACGTGGGCGGGATAAACCAGAAGAGAGTTAGGTCACCCTTCTTCCCTGTCAACATACAGGCATGACCATCGCGTTCAAAACAAATGCGTTCCTCTGCCCGATTGCGTACGACAATTGGGAGGTCTGGGTCAGTCTTGAACCGCTGATTGTAGTACATTGACCGCCAAATTTCCTCCCAGCTCTCTTCACGGATACGTTCACGGGTCAGAGGTAGTTGCACAGTGGGCAATTTATCCTCTGCGTGCTTCCAGGTCTCACTTTTGAGATTGTCAGGGTCGATATGATGCATGTCTGTATCCATGGTTACCTGGCACTACCCAAATGTCAGTTGAAGATCAGGGGGTCTTACAGTGCTTGCAAAATGGGGAGGCTCTGTCCAAATTTCTTCCCAAGCCTCTAGGGCCCAATTCCACCGATAGTGCATGACCTTTCTCGAAATGTTTCAGGTCTGCAAGCAGAATCAGGGCATGCTGTTCAACGTGGAACTGGAAATCAGGATACAGCGGCTGTACCATAACCGTAAGCTTGAAAGTTTGACCCATGCGGGGCCTGAACGTATTCAGACTAGGGACCGGATGGGTAAGGCCCGATGAGCTGTGCAGCAGGGCACTGGTCTCCGCCATCTTACTGAATAAGAACTGAAGAAGGATATAGGATGGTGTGATGAAAGGTGACAGTTAGAGGTCGACTGCTTGTGGTCAGACCTTGCTCTTATAACAATTCGGTGATGAGAAAAAGTATCGATTCTGTTGGCTGCGCCTTGAGAGTTTGGGGGGAAGGTTGATATGTGGTAAAGTTATTTTAATAAATTCAGATTTGTGTTGCCAACAAGATTGAATTAAAGGCTGACTGAATGAGTGAAACAGGAATAAAGTTTGCTGTGACGTGGTTTGGCGCAAACACTGTTCCAGCGTTGCCTAAGCCTTTTGTTACACAAACATGTCGGTAAGAACTCGGTTCGGTCTGTTGGCCTGATAACGAAAGAAAGAATAAGGTAACGTCATCACTTTTGTGCATTGTGTTACCATGGAAAACATGTTAACGCATAATCGGTTTCGTCATCACCACGTTGGGATGCACAATGCTTGGAGAGATGTTGCCATAAACGCTGGCGTCGAATAGCATGTTGATATGAAGTAATTGGAGTATCTCTCACGACAAGAGCAGAGTTTGAAGGTCAAATGACTAGATTACTCGTACCAAGCCTTTGGCTTCGGGCTTCTTCGTCTATGACTTTTTCTAAGTTTGGCTCCCCAAATTGAGAAGGCCTAGGCGAAAGCTAAAGCGATTATGTAAAAACAATAAAATGATTGTGGCCCCATACGGCAGAATAAATCAAAATGCAATGTTTAGTGCGATTACGGCTAGATGATCGCATTCGGTGGGATGAGCTTTGAGATCAGCCGGAGCAATAACCTACTTCTATTTAACGACCCTGTCCGGCCAGTTTATTGCAACCAGCGAGTTGTAATTGTATGTTCATTAGGTTCAGTAGTTAGGTTTTGGGGTTGCCTCTGGGCCTGCCCAGTTTTCCCCCGTGTCTAGTTAGTGATTGTCGTTAAATGCAGCAGTTTTCTGATATAGGTACACACTACGATGATTGAGATACGTACTTGCGCCCTGATCGGCATGATACGTCCGTACCGAATTGACATCCGTTTGTGGCCGAAAGAGGCAATAAGCGGGTTCTTGTACCTCGAGAAGTTCAAGATGACTTCTGTAAGCTTGACCTTCGTACCTTTTCTAAGCTAGCTTGTGGAGGTCCCTTTCTAGGCCGGCTGCCCGGCTATAAGACAAAGATACTTATATCCGTATACAAAAAGACCCCAATTTTGCCGTATATTCGTCCTCACCAAGAGAGAGGCCATATGTCCGGCGACAACGGAAACGGTCACGTGACTAGCTGCGGCGGATCTTCTGAACGGAACTCATCAATTGAATTAAAGTCACTTTTGCCCCACAAACGGATGTCAATTCGGTACGGACGTATCGTGCCGATCAGGACGTTGACAACAATCCGCCAATTACTAGCAATCCATTACTAAGTACTTCCGTTAGTACTAGACTAAGCCCAAGGGCGCTAAAGTAAAGAACTATGAATAACACTTCAGCTACATGTGATTCTGTTCAGCGAGGGCGGTAAGAGACGTAAGTCTCTGAAACTAAACGCCAACGCCCTTGGTGACAAGACTTGCGGACAATGCTCGACGACTAGCTGGCAAGTTACTGTGATACTCCTGCGGTGAGAGCCAAAGTATTCGCTCAAATACAGCAACCTGTTAGTTATTATGATCAACCCAGAGTCTTGAAGCCACAATAAGCAAGGCATAATGACGAAAATAATCAAGATAATACACAGCGTCACGGTGAAACGAGCAAGTTACTGTTGTCATGGGCGATTAACTTTGCTAATTTCCCTTAACAAGGGCCATGGCAGCTAAGCTCTTGGGGAGATGTCGAACTGGCTCGAAAGAAACATAAACTTGAAAAGAGTTGCAGCCTGTCTGATGACTTTAGTCGACTATGCATCAAGGCTGTTCCCTTCGACAAGATAGCCATTCACTTCCCTGGCTCACAAGGGCTTCACAAGGGCTGACAAATGAACGTCAGAAGTATGTGAAACACCAGTCTGTCATGGAAGAACTAGGATTTTCTTACGATACGTAGAAAACAGTTCTCATGAGCGACCGCTCATTGCTGAACGATTCGTGCTAGTTCTATCAAGTATCGTCTTGTACCATCGATGGTCTGCAAATAGACTCTTCATCTCTGACCCTTGTGCATATGCCGCAGCTGTCTTCCCATTAGCACACTTCGCCTTTGGATTGGCCCCATTCTCAAGCAAAAGCTTCACCAGTGGGACATTGCCACTTAACGTCGCAAAGGCCATCTCTGTTTTACCAGCAGTGTTCAATCTGTCCGCATTCGCTCCTTGTCTCATCAAGAGTGCTACCATATCAAGTTGGCCATTCACACATGCCAAATGAAGCGGTGTATTCCTCTTGCCATCACGTTCGTCTGGGTCGGCACCATTTTCTAGCAAGAGCGTCGCAATGGGAATGTTTTTATTTGCCACGGCTAGACATACCAGTGGTTCGCCTTTAGCATCAATAAGAGCTTGCCGATGAACGAGGAGCTCGACTATTTCGACGTCGCCAGCCGATATAGCGTGCCAAAGAACGCTCTGCCTGTTGTCGCTGCCTCCGACATTACCAGAGACTCGACCTTTTTGAATAAGTAGCTTTGCACAAGTGCGATGCCCATTATGTACGGCATACCACAAGGCTGTTAGTCCGTTGGAGTCTCGTGTGTCGGGGTGGATTCTGGCGCTAGACAGAATAGATCTAACAATACGTTCTTGACCGGCCTCGGCTGCGTGGGAAAGCGCCGTCCGACCATCCTTGTCGACTAGCAAGCTGGATATATCTCTTCTATTCATCAATTGTCTGACCAGATCCTCGTGCCCATTTCGAGCAGCGAGACAAACAGCTGAACGGATCTGATCGCTTGTGACTTGGGACAACGCACCAATGTTGTTAGCCAATATGAACCAAACCGTCCCCGTGTCTCCTTCCGACGCGGCGTCTGATAGCGAAGGAAGGTGCTTGAGATTGAGTGATCCGATAGGAACAAACTCTTCTTCCTGATGTCTTCTAGACTTGCGGGATATTGCTGGTGTGTGGAGTCTGACACTCAGAGACCTTGCAGGATAGTGTGTAAAGCTGAAAGTGTCCAAATCAATCCACTGGAAGTCGGTACTTTTGCATCGATCAAAATGCTCCATTGTCAGGTAATTGTCCCTCAAATGGACTGCAATGAGCTTATCTCTATTCCCAATTGTTGTGCAATAAAGAACACAAAGACCCCGTCCCGTTGTGTCCTTGGGGATGAATGGGGCCTCCATGTGCACGCCTTTATTTGTTATGGTGAAAGGGCTATTGTAAGGTGAAAATGGGTTCCATGGTATGATGTCGCTCGAGTACCTGAAAGCAGCAGGTGTTGGGGCAAGCAAACCGCCTCGTGCGCCGGGGAACCGCCAAGCGAATAGACTATGATCATCGGAAACACGCATGATTTCTTCCTGTAGTCGATAGAACGCCTTTTCACCCTCGCCGTAAAGAAGCGGCATGTTGATACCAAATAAACCCATCAGAGAGTATGCGCCATCTTCTTTACGCGTCGTCACCCTATCGGCGGCCCAAGACATCCTTTGTGCGATGCTTGTGGTCTCTAACTCATCGCTGTTGGAAAGAATGGATTCTGGGATGCTTGTTCTTTCTGACAAGACATGTACGAGGGATTTTTTTGTCCCCAGTTCCTCCCATAAATGATCGAAGAAGATGATTTCTTGGGGCGCGATAAGTTCTTGGAGAGTCCATCCTCTGGCAAACCACCTGCTGTCGGGTATCTGAGACGTTGCAGAGACATCCGCGAGGTATACATAACAAACATTGGCCTCCTGGTAGTAGCGGTACATGGAGTTGATGGCTTCTGATAGCTCTGCACTACTTGCTTTGTCAATACAGCAGGTATCATCCCAGATATAGTCGAACCCATTTTGCTCTGCTACACGACAGCAATTTCGGAGTTTACTGTAACCTTTTTTCGCTTGGGCACTTTCTAGTCCAATATCCTGGAATAAAATTTCCTCTTGATCCCAAGTATGAGAAAGGATTGCGTAGTCTGGTACAGCATCGTCGTTGACGAATTCTAGCTGTATGGTATTGGTATTGATAAGACGCATAGCTGTAGCACGTTCTTTAATGGCAGTTGACACATATCAGAATCTTAGGAGGTAGGAATGTTCTCCATTCCGATATTGCTTACGTGAGCATTTCCCCCACTCCACAGTAGCATTGGCCGGATAAAAGATGAGAGCAGGGGTTAAGCACTGAGGGGAAACCTTTACAGTACACAACTATGTGAATACAATATCTGAAGGTTTCTATGTGACTCGGCCCTCGTTTTCTATGTCACCGTCTTACATACTTGCCCCTAACTGAATGAGATTGATGTACCTGTCGTTTTGTTTGCAATTACTTTATCTAAGAATAAAAAAATGCTTTATTTACTTGAGTGTTTGATAACCATTTAAATGCTTCAGGACGTCTAATGGTTGGGAATCTATGGGAACCGCATGTTGTTGCTCGCTACTATAAATACCGTGATATAGAAACAGGTATTGAAACCATATGTGCCTCAAACGAGAAACCAACATTACTATATAGAACAATGTAGGGCCGACAAGATCAAAAAGGTTGAGACTGTAAGTAGCGGCAATCTTGAGGCCGGGAAACGGCGTTTCGGTAAACATCGAGGCAAACCTATACCTGAGTGGGGAAGTTAGACGGGAGAAGGTTGCCTTCACGTATCTAATGATGAATAAGAATTGTTTCTGCTTCCAAGAACCTTTCCTAGCGATGTTTAGATACATTACGTCTTTCATCATATATTGGTACTGGAAGTAACGTTGCTAGACGCATATTCCTACTACAATGCAACAATCATACTCGACCAGCTACAGTCTGCCAGTTCTCATCATCTCCGCAGTCAAGCTCAAATGTGATGCTCTGCAATCCGACAAGTATCCTTCTCCGAGATCTGCATAGTCAACCTTTTGTTACTGGAGTGTTTCAAGGTGGAGCTATTCCAATCGGGTAACACAAAGTCCCTACAGGAAGCACATCCTAACATAAGGATCGAAGGTGATACCAGAGATCGTCTTTGAATTAACACCTTTTCGGCAGGTCCAGGTAGCAGGATTCGCCGGTGCGAGGCATGGCTATTTCATTTCTGCACGTTTTGAGACTTGGTGACGATCTCTTGACGTTTCTTTCGCCGTCGGCAAGCCCTATTGATGTCGGTCGAGGTAGCTAAGGGTATATTGTTAATGCATGGATCAAGCGGGACACAGCGATACAACAGCCAATCGAGCTAACAGGTATGAATGGCAGTAGATATTATGGTTCAGTTGAGCGGTGAGTGACGCTGACTTTGTGAAGCCTCTCAGTATAGGTAATACCAGTCAGCTTACTATGAGCAGAGCGCAGACGTGAGAGTAGTGTTGGGGTCAATTGCTTGCCTCTATCCAGTGACGATATCGTTCACTAACTGTGCAACTCTAATTGCTTTTTTCTTCAACTCAATCCGAAGCAATGCAGGATGAATATACAAAAGTGCCTCGCGAGATTAGCCAGCTGATTGGGCTCAGCCTGCCTAATACTGCAGGTGCCTTGCTCACGTCAGCCTGCGGAGGATTTGAACATAGATGCCGGCAGATGAAGGATTCGGATCTACAACGCGGAACTCGTTCTGGGCCAATTGACATTCAGAGCGACATCCGCAAAAGATCCTTTCCAATCCAGCCCCCAAGAAATGACGTGGTTGCTGATTCTTTGAGGCCATGCCGAGATCCGTACCTGTTCCGTTGAAACCCATATAAATCGAATGTTGAGGAAAATTGTACTTATTGTTTGTAGATTCAGGCGAGCGTCCGAAGTACCTGTTTGCTTGTAGAGTGGGTCGAGTGTGAACTGCCCGAGACGTTCAGCTGACGGGATCTACATTGCTGACAACTCAATTGCCGGCCCCGGTCTCTTGCTTGCGTGCCTTCCGATTGGTAGCCTCGGACTAAACACGCTCAGGCAGCCTTATTGACGAGAACGAGTGTACAAGGAGTCTTAGACTAATTCAGTCACTCATTCGAGGTGGTGACATCACAGACGTCAAGCATTGATTGAATCAGATGTTGAGTGAGGTTACTGTACTCAAGAGATAGACAACGAAAATGCCCATAATGGAAAATAGTAGTGTTACGAGTACAGAGACTTTGGGCATGAACGGGTATATAAGAATTAGAAATCCCCAAAGAACTCCCTTTCAAATCATCACACTCAACTACTTTCTTCTACACTTATACACACAATACATACCATACCATCAAGATGAAGACTACCGGACTCTTGACCATCCTTTTCACCTCAATGGCTGCAACAGCCATCGCCAGTCCTAGCGCCCTGCCTATGGGAGTTGAGGTTGTCGAACGCGACGGCAAGACTATTGTACGGGAAGTGGTAAGTATCTACAGCCTCCTATACATCACTGGATTCGTCTCCAAAACTGACACTTATCGTAGCCACATGCACTTTTGAGCCGCGGCCTTGAACCCCGATGCCGAGAATGTGTCGGCCAAGGTGGCTCATGCACTATCGGTGATGGCAGTTGCTACGCTGAGGACCCCCCACGTAAGGATACACCTATCGTTCATGACTTCGAATGGCCTGACTGACTTATTCGCAGTTTACTGCACATGGTGCGGTGACAAGTGTGGATCTCGTTGTGTCCGCCAGGGACAGACTTGCCAACAGACATGTGTTTAGGTCTGGACAAGAGTACCTAGTGCCGGGATGGCAGATCAAGAACAATCGCTTTCAACGCGTCAAGTTTATCTTTCAGCACAGTCGTTATATATATACCTCAGCTAAATAAACATAAATGAATTCTCTAACTATCGGATTTGTTTTGTCAGCACTGGGATCTGAATCTGTTTCGAGTAAGGATAGCCCAATTGCCTCATAGTGGTAGTAAATTCCAAAACGATCGCAGTAATTCTCGATCACCGTAAATACACATGTAAGCCAGGTGGGTTTCCACGGGTCATGTTGGATACACTCGGATATTCTCTTGTCAGTTGTTGCGACACGTTTGCCACAGCAACTACCCGGTAGTAATTTGACATTTCTCAATCGCGTCGTATACAAGTGACAATTACTCCCTCAATTAGCGATTTACCTTGCAGCTGGTATGTAAAAAATAAATTCAGCTTTTAATGAAGGCAATCTTAAAGAGGTCATTCCACAAATGGTGCAAAAAGAACCAGAATTAATTATCTAGCTCTGTAAAATGTTTCGAGAGTAGGGCGTTCCACAAGGGAACAATTGGTACTAGTGGTTAGCAGAACAATTGACCTTTAGAGAAGTGGAGTAAGAAATAGGTAGTCTAAACTCCAAGCTTGAGGGGTACGAGCTGACCTGCTTATATTGTCTTGTACTACTCCTCTAGCGGTTACTCCTTCTGACACTATAGAGGGATTAGCGTCTGCGCCTATCTTTGCCCAAATCGTTCATAAGCGAACCGGGGGGGACAGAAAACAATGTACAAAAAGATCCATCTTCATAACAATAAATGTGATGATCGTGTGAATTGTTTTCTGTCACCCTCTACGCGAAGCGAATCCACGGATCGCGTATCCACCAATCCGCTAGCATGGTTGATGCAACAACAAAACAATAACAATTAGAAATCATTTCCTCATTGAATGGTTTATAGAAGGCACAAACACTTTGTTTACATGTAGAGACAATGTCCCTTGATTTCGAAATAGAATCTTGGATTCAAAAGATCGATCCGTCCTCAAAACCTATCGCGCGCAAAGAAGAGCCTTCTGGAAAACGCCGTCGCCTCAACACACTCACACAAGACGCGTCGGAAAGTGAAAAGAAGATGAATTCTGTACGAAGTCGAAGTCATCATTCCTCAAAACGCGCTCATAGCGATGATTTTGAAACACCGCGCCCGATGAGGCGAATGAGGACACCAAGAACCGAATCCGGTACCTCGTTGTCTTTGACTCAGTCACGCGTCTCACAACAATCGGATTTATCTTCGCCTACTGAGCAACTACGCGCCCTTCAACTTCACAGCAGAGGTGTCGTGGCCAAGCAACTGAGTGCTTTCCACGATAAACCTGCTGCATTGGAAGCTCTCTTAGATAAAATTGACCTGGTTTCTTCAGGAATTGGGATCTTGCCGACTTCTCACGTGTCGCTCTTCAGTCATCTCGATAGAGAGACTTATAGTGATTTCAAATGGACTCAAAACCCAGTTCTCAGCAAGTTCCTCTTTTCGAATGACCGCGATGAGATTGGTCATACACCTCCGCCTGAGACTATTCAGTGGATTCTACATGAGGCAGCTTTTTGCGACAGCAAAGGCTGTTCCAAAACAGATTGGAACACCGAAGTCCACCATCGCGTCCTTGAAGCTGCGTTGAGGCCGTTACACGGTCCGCGGAGAGACCAACTCCTCGACTTTCGACTTAGTTCGAACGCTTCCATCATCAACGAGTATCATGTCACGTCAGCATCTAAGAGAGTTGACTTTTGCATGTACATCGACCCCAAACAGGATAAGAGAATGGGAGTTGTCGAGATCATTGAGACTATCAGGGAGATTCTACCGATGGGCATGTTTAACCACGCAAATCTGAGTCCGCTCTCGGACAATCCAATCGCTATTAGTATTGAAACCATGAAAACGACCGGCGAAGGCTGGGAGAACGCTAGGCTCCAGATGGAAGTTTGGATGGCAGCCCAATGGCAATTTCTTCGGCAACTCCTCGAAATGAGACAACACGCTGCAGACAAGCTGTCTGTGTTGAGATCAAGAGCCGGTGAAATGAGTTTCTGCTCCGACAAGATCTGGGATCTACCAGAATTCATACCAGGTATTATCATACAGGGTCACGATTGGCATCTGATTATCACGACGGCGGATGGGGAAAAGACGGTATTCTGGCAGAAGAAGTCGATTGGAGATACATCGAGTTCAAAAGGGATTTATCAGATTATTTACAATTTGCAGCTGTTACGGCAGTGGGCTCAAGAGGGTTATTGGAAGTGGATGAAGGATCTCTTGCTTAATTGGCCACGAACTGAAGCAGGATTGGTTTTTTGAGTAATCCATGTTATTTGAGGTTGTCTTTTGAAATACCAATGATTTGTATTAAATCCAGTTGTTTCCATTGATAAAACGCTATGCAGCCTCAGGGATCTCAAGAATGACGCGTTTGTACCGTCTGATAGGATATGCCCCCTTGTTGTTGGTGACTTGCAGAATGATGTGCCACTCCTTATCCACCACACTGGGCTGCTCCTGTACCCAACTATTAAGCATTGTCGAAATCTTGACTACCGGCCCCAGAGTAGCATTGCTGAAACCTGCTTCATTGACTAAAAGCGTACCATTGGTATAAGATGGCGCCGACAATGATTCGATCTTGAAGAAATTCGCATTGAGACTCGTTAAAAAGGGAAGGGCACATTCAGCGTAGGGATACCACTCAAAGGTAAGCCCGGATGCGTCATCGAGGTTATCTGTATCGAATGTCTCACTGGCATCCAGAACTAGGGCGTCGTTAAGACCAACCTGGAATCGCAATGGTTCATAACCTGTGGAGCCGTTGATAGAGATCTTTGGAGGATGAGCAGCGTCTTTAAAGCTGTCGACGATAGTCCACTGCATGCGTGCAGCGAAGTCGTCCTGATAAGCATCACGCCACCTCCAGATAGTGGCATAGTGGCTCCTCCAGTTCTCGCCATTATTGTTGACCAGAGTATCAGCCGAAGTTGCATACTCGTTGATATCAGAATCCTCAGTGACGCGGGTATATCGACCTCCCCAACCTCCATACTCCGGCCGCCCCGGAATATTGAGACCATTCTGGATTGTCCAGATGAAGCTTGGGCTATCACCTTCCATTGTGTAAATAATCTTGGGATATTCAGCTCCCAGTGGCCCAATCCGAATGTTGGGAGTCAGCCAATCGTCAAGTACTTTCGTCCTGTTGGCAGCATTGTTATCGCCAGTGGAGATGCCAGTCCATGTGCCCTGACTATACTCTCGGTAACCGTGAACGTTGACAATATAGAAGACGTCGGGCCATTTGACTCTGATGTAGGGACCTGCATCATCCTGGTCTGAGATAGCGTAAACTATAAGACGGGAGCGAAGTTGAGATGCGACGCGTTTTGTTTCGGTCTTGTCGATGTATTGCAGGGCTTGGGCCAGGGTATTTGCCCCTCCCCAAAGACTGACGTAGAGTGGTTCTGTAGATTCTCGTAGTGCCTCGACTAAATGCCGCGCGCCTTCACTCAGCGGTTGCTCGAGGGCAGCTTTGCCATATGACTAAAACTGTCAGCATTTAAATCCTGAAAGAACGAGGGATACTGACGATAGGGCCAGATGATATCTTGCTTATCAGGTCTTGTGGATGAGGATAAGAATTGTCTGGATGAACATGCTGGTTGAGCTTGTCCACAACCTTGCTATAGACCTCAATAACCCTTTTGATCTCCCCAGGATGTGTCTCGTTTCTTAGAGACCATGATGTCACTGCTGCGATTCCTCTTGTGTTAAATTCATTGGAGTACAAGAGGTATCGGACCAAAGACATATTATCATCAGGTTCATTGAGGATGTCGGTGAGGATAAAGGTCCGCACTCTGTTGACCTTTGGGAGTGATGTTAAACCAGCGGCAGTAGCCAAACAGGCCTGGAGCCAAATAAGGACAAAAAGAAATTCAACAATCATCACAGCCATTGTGAAGCTAACACGACACGTTCAACTGCACATGGTGCGTGCGTGGGTATGCGAACATCGGATTTATAGGTACGGTCTCAACCGGTTCTTGCATCGGCCATTATGCCGAACCGGACGAGACCTCGGTCAGAGTGACTGGTATATGGGGTAGTCTAATCATCGATTTAAACCTAGAAAGTAGATTAATCATGGGGAAATGCTCCATCGTCAAAGATGTATGTTGCAGTTGAAGTGGCTCCAAGACTCACTAGCTTCTCCCGCATTCGGAACGGTATATGATTTGCTGTATCTCCGGAACTGTCTGTGATTCGTCATCCCCTTCTAGGCAAGGTTGTAGTTAATCTCAACTTTCATCAAGTTTTAATGCTCAATCTGGATTTCGTAATGGACTCGACATTTCGTATGCCTGGTCCTCGGTGCTGGAACCACGTTTTAAATCGACCCGCTGAGACAGATCGCTACACGTTTGTCCTCACCCAACGATAAGTATTTTCGTGAATCCATCCGCAGCAGTCGAATCGTACAGATGATCAACAGGGTCCGGCTTCGGCGAATGCGACATTGTGATCGACTGTGTTTCAGGTCACGAGCAACCCGGTTTGTCTTCGAAAAATGCTTTATCTTGTCTTCTTCGATAGAGAAATAAGGAAAGCTTTTTAAATTATCATTGTGAGATCCGTTTTGGAGAGATATTTCTGGATAACCAACATAGCAATGCAAGCAAGGAGGACTTAAGAAAATCGACCTTGTTACAACCAACGTGGTCTATAACATCTGGCGCAAGACAGCGATCTGAATTCTTTGTCATCTTAGGAAAGGACGGCCATGATGAAGCTGATAATTAGTACGCGCCTCTGATGTGTCCAAGCCTCATGAAAGACCAGTTATTACCGCGAAATGTTTTCGTTCTCATTCACTACACATGCCGATCAGTCAAATTACGATTACAGGGCCCACCATTAACGGCATGGCGTATGAGGATGAGGGCTTGTTAGCCATGAGCATATTTGAGATCACTGAAGCAAAAGTACCAACTATTTTATTTTTTGAGGTAAACACCTTTAAACTACAATCCACAACAATGCCACGGATGTAAACATGTAATTCGTGGCACTTCCCCTTAAACACCATCTGAGATTTCACTGTTCTCTGTAGAAATGTAACACTACTCCCACTAGGTGACCAATATTTGAGCATGTAGCTTAGAGATTCTTGACAACCTGGCAACCAGTTCCACAGGCGCATACATCGCCGGCCTGGCTAAAGACTCGCTTGTATGTACTAGTTCGAAATGTTAGATAAGGATACCATAATGGAGACTCGATATAACTTACACGTAACCAGCAGGACCATCAGCGTCACTGAAGTCAATGACGTACATGCCGTCTCTCCAGTAGCACTGAATGTTGCTGAGCTGGGCTTGGCCCCTCTTAACGTGACTGCAATACAGACTCAGGTGAGAATCCTCCCGGGGAGCTGTAATCAGCTGGACTCGGTATCTTCGCAGACTACCCTCTCTCCAGTTCGACTTCCACTGGAGAGTGAGCTTGCAGTTCTCACGCTTGGTGACTGAGGATAACGGTTAGTGCTTCAACGTTTTGGGTGTTAGATGAAGTTTCGGACATACCGTCAGATGCATCAACCTCAGCAGGGTTGAGGGCGGACGTCAAAGCTGGAACAGCTAGAAGCTCCTGGGTAAAGATTGAGAACTTCGTATTGATAGGTAACTTTGAGAGAGGTGTTAAGAGTAGTGGTTCTTGGAGAGTGTGACTTGTGATGAAAGATCAAACAGCATTCATCGCGTCAGAGCTCCGTCTTTATAGTGATGCATAGGCATTCAATCTCGTCTTATACTCACAGTTCTGACACAAGATAGTTGCCAAGACTCAAGTCTCCTAACTCGTGAGGCGATAAAAGGAATGACACTGAACAGGTAGTAGGGGTATTCAGGCAACAGCTTTCGAAGATGTCAATGAATTCTTGGTATGAATCCTTCGCGGCGAAGCTGTAGACAACGATCATGCCTTTTTTTCAGCGGTGTAGGGAGACTATCATGCCAGCCCTTCACGTAGCGTTACCATCGTCGTGCACAATAGATACCATAGTGAGACTTGATAATATTTCTCAAGGAAGAAGTTTACCCAAGTCGCCAAGACGGAGACAAAAGATTCTGTGATCGATGCAATCCTTCCAGTTCTAGACCCTCCCGAAAGACATCGGCCTTGTGATGAATCCATGAGTTGATACGCCTTTGACCGTTTAAGCGAATGCTGGGAGGGTTGGCGGAGCTGAAACCATGAAATACCTCGACGCAACAATCACATGGAAAAGCCTCCTACTGGCATGTTATACTGACCATTGTAGGGTAACTCTCACCCTCGCATCAGAGACAGTTTTCTAATAAAGTATTGGATTCCATGAGGGTCTGTCTTATGGGGCTATTAGATTCAGATGATAGCTAATGGAGCATGTATCGTGTATTAGTCTTCTATATCACGACATATACTCTATGAATTGTTTAATGATACCTAAGGCTTTAGATCGTGAGATATTTTAGCTGAATATTGTAGTCACCAGCGTATTGTTTAAAAATGCACTTCGTAGTAGCCGATACTTTGTAATAGCCTTGGCACTATATGCGCCTTCTAGAAGAGGAAATGGAGAATGTAAGATCAAGTATGCACTGGAGACGCACTGACAAAACTCAACCGAGCAAATGATCTTCAGCCAGTAGAAAGGCATAGCAGAAAGGCTGTAGTTGCTGTGCTGACGCTTGGGTTAATTTCAAAGTTTCAAAGATACCGGAAAGTAGGCGGGATTGACGATGTAACGAGAGGAACTTACAGCCGTTGCACTGATAGTGGACGTCTCCAGCCAGGCTGACACTTTAAGGTTATTTGCGTTCTAGATACATTCTATGGAGTTGGGTGGGGCATTTCCGAGGTTTGTACATCAAATAGGGTAATTGATCAGGGAAGAATCATAGGAGAATATCTGGGGTTACCTTTTTCGATTAATTTAGTCTCCTTTTGGGCTGAATGGGAATTTATGATGCTAAGTAGAAAGGATTTAAGCTGTGCCTCATCCGACCACTAAAACAACGTACGGAGGTAACCCCAGGACCCTGACGCCTTGATCTACGTGACAGTCCGAGACTCCGTTCAAGTCTCCGTCTCACTGTCGTTGCAGGGGGAAGCTTGCGCTGAGGTAGGCAGGAAGCAACTTCTCGAAGCGAATCATGATAGTTGATTACGAATATGCTAGAAGGAATCGATCCTTCGTGGTGAAATACTTCCGTGTCTTCGCAACCCCTGCGACTTGCACTGTCAGTGGTGAGCAATGGAATGCGACTTCAATGACTCAGGACTTTTACGAAAATAAGAGGTGTCGAGCCATGCGAAGTCAATGTCGTCGACTATAAAGCTATTCCATCATCCTCATCCTCATCACAATCATGAGGAACCTTCAAGCTCACTCAACAATATTCTACCGTCAAAATGAAATTTACTCTTTTCACTCAAACTTTCCTGGCTATCTCTGCCGCCACTGGGGCAATTGCATCTCCTACCAAGGATACCTCGAACAGTTAGTTGTCCACACTTGAATTGGGTCAACGTACTAAAATATTGATAGTTGCCGAACGTGACAACTGCAAATTGACTATCAGATACGATAGGGATTGAGTTGAATCTGGCCTCGATCGATATCGCATGCATCTCATCACCACCCCTCGAAACGATCGTCTCCTTGATGTATACTGCGGCAAGTAGAAGAGCATGCTCGGTTTTGTCCACAACAAACAGTGCCACTGGACTGGTGGGCACTGCTACTCCTCTTTAAGTTCAACTGTACAGCAGCTTCAATCTTTGATGATTAGTTGATGCACATATAATCCAATACAGTAAGGAAGTGGGCGGTATAAGGCACCATTCCCATTATGATGGTAAGCATTGTAGTATCCCATTGATTACAATCGAGACCGGTGTCAAGAGTCACCGGCCTTCCATTCCAACGGTCTTTCCTATTTCTCACTCTACCTTCTAATTGTACCAACTTAAGAAAACTGCTCTACGTATCCAAGCAATTAACATCCTGAAAAAATTCGACCGACATTGGCGACATCAAAAAGTCCAGTTCGGTGATCTTGTATCCAGCTGATTTTCGTCTGTATATCCCAATTCTCATAATCAACAGCAAGAATGTGTCTTGCACCATGTTTTTCTAGCATCTGTTTCACGATCACCAGCTGAGCGTCTACAAGTAGCACCTTATCTATGTCCGATGGCGTTTCATGTAAGTGAAGAATATCCAAAGGACTCATTGAAACTTCACCATGGCCTTGGATTGCGTTGACATCAGCACCGTGGTCGAGTAACATCTCTATGACTTCAGGTGTTACGATTGCATGAACGCATGCAATGCCAAGCAAACTCATTCCATTTCTGTTCATCTCATTGGTGTTAGCACCGCGCTGTAACAGATAGCGAATGGCTTCCAAACGTGATGTGTCCAGTATAGGTTCATCGATTGTCGTGTCATTATCGTCTTGGTATTTGTCTTCTCGGTCATCATCCTTTTTCTTGTCGAATATCTTTGTCATCATGGCTAGGGCAAGTGGCGTGTTTCCATGAATATCTCGGGCATTGACGTTGGCTCCCCAATCGATAAGCTTTCGGACCTTTGCTGATTCATCACCGCAAAGCTGGCGGAACACAGAATGAAGGGGAGTTTCTCGGTATAAATCATCCCTGGGGGTATTGATACCTACTCCTGTTGTGATAAGTGCCTCGGCAAAAGTCCATCTACCCTCTGCGATAGCTGTGTGCAGTAACGATCCATGAGTTCGACGTTTTAAGAGTCCCATTAGGTACTTCATGATGTTGATTCCCGACTCGTCTTTCGGTACATGATCAAGTGCGTTATGAATCATTACTTGACGGTCTCCATCCTGGTTGCCATCGTAAAATAGAAGAAGTGCTGCCAGGTCCTCTCTGCCTGCTACTGCTGCCTGATTAAGGGCTTCCCCAAGTCTTATTGGCCGGCCATGATATGATGTGGATTTCGCACCATCGATGATGGCCTTGACAAGATCGGCATTTCCAGTTTTGACCGCCTCATGAACTGGAGTATCGCATTGTGGTGCCGATAACCCTCTCCACCCTACTTTTCGTTCGCCAATGGGTACAATGCTTGTACAAAGATCCGCTCCACCGTCCACTAACACGTGTACCAAATCTGTGTCGCCGTGACGAACAGCTACACCGAGAGATGTAAGTGTAGATGGATGTGGAAGGTTTGGATCAGCACCGTGTTTGAGAAGTACTTTGCAAACATCCGTGTGGTAGCAGCGAACAGCCAAGTCTAGCAGACTGTCACCTTGAAGATTACGTCCACCGGGATCCAACTTTCCCCTATCCAGCCAGTCATTGAGCACTTCATGAACGCCAAGTACAATGCACCCGAGTGCTGGTGATGTATATGGTCGAACAACATTTTTCATGGTAGCATAGCTCGGATCGGGATCATCTAAGACGATTGTGTTCTGTGCAAGACGTATCCATGCTCTATATGATGTAGTCGAATCGGACGGCGTGCCAAGAAACTGTGTGATCAAGCCCAATAACGTGGATCCAATGCCTGGTCCATTGCAATCACGTATAGCAGCAAGGTGGTCTGAAAGGAACGTTGAGCAGTATATAGTCCATGTTTCCAATGGGGATCCCTCAAAATCTTCCAAGAACGGCTCAAAGGTCTGACACAGACATGTTTCAACCTCGCCATCATGTATGTGATAGTCGACATGTTCCACATAGCACTCAAACGGGGGAGGCCCGAATTGAAGCACTGAGGATTTCCGTTTTCTTAGTCCGTTAACTTCCGCCCAGGCTTTCTCAGTTTCTTCAAGGTTCTCAGCCAAGGGAAGCGCTGATGATGTGGATACTTTGTCGTAAACAGCTTGGGGCGAATCAAGGACGACAGAACGCTTGTTGTTGATAAAGACCTCCTGGATAGTCTCCGTGTTGGAACTAGGAGGGAAGCTTGCCGCTGTTGTGTTTTGACGGTATTCCCCTTCAATTGGGATTATCTTAACAATGTTCCTTTTCTTGAACTGAGAAACACGAAGAATCAAGGATTCAGTCCAATTGTCCTCATAGTCGCTATTTGAGATCTCTTTTCCATTTTGAAGCTTATCGGGTAAGCTGAGGCAGAGCAATGTTCTGAGACAAATCCCTGCCATCATTGCATGAGCCTCTATAGAACTCAAGTGTCTTGTTTCCAGATATTCTTGGACCGATAAGTGTGCGAATCTGCAAATCGAATCTTTTGTGACACCAATAACATTCTCCCATACTGCAATTGAAGCAGAACTGCGAGTCACTTTGATCTCTTCTTTGAGGTAGCCTTGAAGGTTTGTCTCCGCTATAGGCACTGTGAGAACATTTCGTTCTTGTGATCCATCTGAAACGACGAGTAAGTTCTGGCAAGCCTCAAGTACGTATCCGATATCAACGTCTTTATCAAGGATGAATTCATGTGAAGGGTCTTGAGCAGCAGCGATGGCAAGCTCAAACGGATGCAGAGGTCGCTGTGAAACCATGACAATTTGGAAAGCAGCAAAGGCGATATTTCTTTTGCTGCCGGTCTGGTTGGAAATTTGAGCATAGATCTTGTCGTAAGCAGCTTCGAGTCCCTTGGGCAAGCCATCCAGATATTTTGCGATGTCCGCATTCCTCTCCAGCTGTATCAACTCCCCGATATGAAGTGTCGCCCATTGGAACATACCCTGGCTCTTGTGTTGAAATGTGCTTAGAATCTTATTCCGAAGCTTTTGAGATAGTTTGGTTCGGCAAAACTCGCTCTGATCCAACTTGCTCAAAACAAACTTCTCAATATCTGCTTGGTTGTCGTTGGCAGTTACTTCGAGATGGGTCCCCTCGGGGTAGCGTTTCCTCAAATCCTGATCGGTGCGACTTGCGATATAGACTTTGATTGATTGCTCAAACTTAATGATGATCTCATCAAGAAGATCCATGAGAATATGCCTTGTACCGCGGTCGCACTCGTCTAGACCGTCTACCACGATGTAGACACAACGATAACCAGCAACAAGTTCAACAAGCAATTGTTTACATTCTTCCGCGACAAGCCTATCGCTGGAAAACCCCTTGATCTTCCTTTTCAAGTATTGATTCTCGACGCATGACTCGATGCTTTGGCTATCTCGAGGTGTACACAACTGCCGTATGATACTTCGCATGATGGCCACTGGTTCATTGTGGTCAGGTCGGTTTCGATCGCAGTAGAAATATGCAAACCCAGAGTTCTCTTCGGCCGATTCTGGCAATCTTGCCAAAAGGTCGTCGACAACTCTGGATGACAGCTTTGTCTTGCCAGCTCCCGCTAAGATAGTCAGTTTCCCATTCAAGTAAAGGATGCCGTGGTATCTGCTTACGTATCCCATTAAGCCACAGCAGAGTCGACCAGCTCGACTGGTGCCATTTTGTATAAATCTCATGATCGATAAGCCACTCGCCAGTCCCATCGACTCTTCCTTTTCGAGCGATATAATGATCACTTTCGTATGGAATGTCCGACACCCATTGCAGAATCTTGCATCTTTCATCTTCATTAAGATGCTTCCAAAGCTGTAGCATTTCTCCATCAAAAAGCGAAGCAATGTCTCTGAGGCTTTGTCGGGTATCCTGAGAATTCTCGTCTATCCTCTGGAAGGCTGATTGTGCGATGGTTCCCTGGCAAACGTTGGCCTCTGTCGTGACTCGAGTCTCCAAATTCCCAACCTCTTTGAGCTTCTCAGCGATCTCACTTGGATGACAAAAGCTTTTGAGCGTTCTGACGACGCTGTTGAGATCCAATAAGCGAATATAATATACCAAAAAAAAAAACGTCTTAGCATACAGGTGAGCCATGGCCTCTGAAAGTTGACGGACAGCTAGGGCCTGCTTTTCAGTTATTTGTTCAACATTCTCCAGGTAGAGTTGTTGGTAGATGCTGCATCTTGTAATGATGCATATGACCTGTTCCAATCCAATGATAACGAGTCCCATCTGCTCATTGTCTGCAATGACGGCAGAAAGCACGAGCCTAATAGCTGTCCATGGTATACCGGCATGTATTGGGTCGATCTGCAAGACCAAATCGCCGATGGCCTTGAAGGAATCTAACCAGGACGCGATTTTTGCCAACACGTCCCGCAGTACTATTCTGCGGCCTCCAAATGTAATCTTCCACGCCTTCTCTTCCCATATCTTTTGCTTCTTAGAGATTAAGTCCTGAACATCGGCGAACGCTTTGTCTCCATTATCATGCGTATCAATGCTGCCAATAAGGACTCGATCGTCATCACTGAGATATGACAAGGCTTTTTTCCACGGGTGGTCTTCTTGATGGCATGTGCTTTGTTCTTTTAACACCGCAGACTCATACTTCATGACTGATTCAGTTCCCCTTATAGGACTCGCGGGCGACGCTGTATCGATATATGTCTCATTTAAAGCCCATGATGCCGTTTCAGCTGAGGAGCCAGAGTCCTCTGTCACGGCAGACCTAAGGGATATGTTTGAGTCCGAAGGGGCATCTTTGGTTGCCGAACTTGAATCATCGGACCGGGAGCGCTTCCGAAACCATCTTTTAACTTTGTCTGTAGATGAGGTTTTGATTGCTGGCATGATTAGCGTCCTTGTTTCTAGTGATGCGGGGTTTAGCTAATTTCACTATCGTTGGACAGGACAGGTGCATAACCAACACCCAGAAAGGCTACTAGCATTAGTTTATTTCCAGATGCAGGTCTCAAATGCAGCCTGCATCCCGAATTTCAACCGAGCGAATTAGATATCTCTGAAACCTTTGGAAGGGTTTGGTGGCGACAGCGTCAACAAGTCCAATGTTAATAGATTATGGATATGTTTCTTTATAACTAAGATGTAATATTAAGATTCGGGATCTATAGCTACTTCAACGTATTTCAATGGACATCTATGAAAAATTATATTCATATGGAACCTTAGAAAAAACACCACTGGGACTATCCTAACCTGCCAGCTCTAAATACCTCTCGTGATACATATAGAAAGCGCAACGCTCAGCCAGATCCTTACTTATCAGCATGGACTTCTTCTAGCAGCATAGAGCCAGAATGGCCGTGGTTGACAGTTATATCGCTAGGGTAACGAAAAGCGAATATAGCTGTCACAAGCCACATCAACAGAGTGTCGAATACATATAAAGTCCACTCATGAGAAAGAGCATATCCAGTATACCCCTGGGCATATTCGATAACCCTGAAAATGGAGCGGACCATGATGAGAAAGCTGACAGCATAGAGCATATGCAAGGTTGATTCCCATGGAATAAGAGTACCAATCGACTCGGCTGTTGGTGTGCGGGACATTCGACGATGGAATACCACAGAGACAACGCAGAATATACCAAAAATAACGATCTGGATGACGAGGCCGATGATGACAAGTCTTTCAGCCCACTTTGCCATGGTTGTGTTCTGGATTGCTGACATGCCGGCGCCACCACCCTGAACCATGAAGGATAGTACGTCGCCAAGTACAAAGGTTCTTGTCAACTTCGTTGGCTTGAGGAGAGAGTGTCGATCGGCGTTCAGGCCTCTGATGATTCGACCGAGGATCATATAGATCGACGCAGCGAAGAGGGCTGGGGCGACAAGGATAAACATGTTTTGGGTGGCATAAGGCATGATCTTATTGGTTCTGTTGTGAGCACCAGCACGAATACCATAACCGAGCATTTGAACTGCGATAACCTGTCAGAGAGGACGGAATGATAGACAGCCGAGATGAGTAGCTTACAAAAGCAACCAATAGCAAAAGCAACGCAAAAGTAAGTGCGCGTTCTCCAAATTCTCCAAGATATATAGAGAAAAGAACCCAGGAAGAGAATCAAGAATATGACAGCAGCAGCAGTACTTGGAAGGTAGCGCCATAGGTATACGCCGCCTTTGGTAGGTTCAACCCCCGGTACAGGTGTGAAGAGACCTTCTGTAGACATTATGATGTGTGGTAAATCCTCGCTTGTTTCGACTGGTTCTGGGATGTTCTATGTTTGTAGATATTCCAGCAAGGTGAGACTGGACTTGAACGATGGAAGTGAACGGCTGTTGTGCTGAGGATCAGGATGGCAGAAGAGTAAACTGAAGAAGACAAGGTAAAATAAATCACACCACCAAGGCTAAAGAAGGAGCTTTATAGAAAACTAGCATTGGCAGATATATTAAACGCTGATAGCACATACCCGCCGACATACTACCCCCTATACTTGAAAGATTCAACACTTCTTGCTCCATGTTTGACGATAACTCATGTTCTAGAAGGTGCACAAATATCCAATCAGATACTTTTAAATACGAGGAACTATACGTCCCTCTACGAAAGAATGCTACAGACCAATCGGGAGCCTCTCTTTACGGACCCGATGCGGGGACAAGACTATAAGACTAAAAACATTGCCATCAGATCCACTGATACGCGTATTCCGCTTTGACGCACGAAACCAGAATACCTGCTTAGCAAATTCGTACTCCCCCAATGCCAGGGCCTTCTTTCTCTTTTCATCTCTCGTTGGGGTTCATGTCCTCTGCGACACTCTCCCAGGTCCAAGAGAGAATTTTGGCGTCTTTCTCAAACGCTTCATCGACTATCTATCCATACGTCGTGGTGTTTGCGCCATCATCCAATAGTGAAAGAACACAATAAAGAAATCAAGACTTACACCTTTTCTTCAAAAGATCAAAAACAAGTATCCCACAGTCGAGGGTAGCATAGAGTCGATAGGGATTCTCAACAAAATGATTGCATTAAATGCATCCTATATCTGCTAAAGGATACTATAACGCCGTATTGACACTACAGCGGTGAGCTTCTCTCTACACAGAATTGAAAGGATCGAGTGGACGACATGTCGACACTACAGTAGTATTCTGTCTTGCCATTGGCGATGGATGCTGAGATGAGTTGAAAAAGTGACAGCTAGAAGCACTGGTGACTTGAGAACTTTTACCATCTTGATGCTTTAGAATTGGGATTCCCCAATAAGAGATAACAAAACAGTATCTAATATAATCCTAATTGTACAACTTCCTTTCTTACTATCTTATATATTGCATATTCTATGAGCCTTAGTATTTAACTGTTTAAGCACCAGGACGACCCCCATCCTCCGTCATAACCCCAATAATGTCTTTCAAAGGGGCCAGCCACTTATCCCAATAGGGCCCTACATGCTCAGAGACAGACTTTATAAGAACATGTCCAGACTTCTTAAAGACCCAAAACTCGCCCTCGTAATGTAAGAGAAGAGCCCAGTAGGCCAAAATGATCAAGGCGATGGGTTGCCGTTGGTCGACTAGCTCAATGTATTCCGGCGAGACTTTAAGAGGCCAAATGATAATAACACTAGGTCGGACATGTGGTGGGAGGCTGCGATGGCCTTGGTAGACTTGCTGTAATAACTGTGCAGCACTCATATAAATGCTGAAAATAAACTCTCCGATCGTGGAACGAGAGTCTGATAGTAATCCTACTAGTATATCCGACTGGTCAATAGGACCTGAAGTCTTGGGTTGATCAAGGGTTAAAGTATTGAGTAAATCGGCATGTTGTATCGTGCCCGAGTTAAGAATAATATGCCAACTATCGCTGACGACTATACGCACACCTCGATGGACCTGCAGATACTGAACGAATTTGGCAATGAATTGACTCGGTCCGGCATTGCTGACATTAAACAGGGCGTGCATACCCAGCAAGGATGAGAAAAGAAATATTGGTACGCAGTTCTCCTTGGTAACTTGGACCTGGGATTGATTGAAAAGACTCAGTGCTTGAGTTTGAAGTTCTTCGGCCGCCTGGAAGTACTTCATCCGTTCAGCAGGATCAGTTTGGGTAGTGCTAAGATGAGCCGATGATATTGCAAGGGCCTCTATCACCAAGTAAGGGACTGTCTCGGCTGATTCCACGATGGCCTTGGAGATGTTAATTGGCCCGCGGTCATCCGACTCAGGCGCCAAGAACGGGTCCTTCAGCACAACGGTGTCGAGGTGATGCATAAGTATAAGATGCCGCATTTCGAATATCAGTGGTGTCGAAGTGGATGTGGAAGGAAGCACGGCGGCAGCAGTTGGTGATGAGCCTGGGGCATCGTCGGCATTGAAACTGAGCTCAGCCGTTCTACAGCAGATCGATCCGGTTGAAGCAGGAGTTTCAGCGGCAGACAGCGGGCTGAGCGAAACAATGCGAGCGTGGTCACCCGGATTCAAATCCGGACGCACAATGGGTAGCAGATCGAGATAGGAGCATCTACGTCCTGATGACGTGCAGGCAACACAGGCTGGGCGAGATTCATCGCATTTGACATGTCGCTGTTTGCACTGTAGACAACCATTACGCGATTTGCGATGTGTTCTGCGACCCGGCTGTCGCCCGTGTTTATCCGTCACCATAGGAACTCAATCCAGTTCTCTTTCATGTAGTGGCAGAGGGTGTCGGGGTAATCAGGTCGTATACGTGTCGCGTAAACAGAGGCAAAAACAAACCGAGTATTGTGTTTTTGTTCTTGTTAGGTTTTACGATGAGAATAAGAAATCATCTGGTAAATACGGATTCAAGAAAAAGCCAATGCGCGAACCCCATAAAGTTAAAGTGACATATCCCGAGGGTTTGAGCGTATTGCGGCCTTTCCGATTGGCTGGGTTTAGCCCAGGCGGCTTAGACAGATGTTATTTCTCCTAGGCGAGTAGACCAGCCAATGAAATATCGCAAAGAACGAGGAAAGCATCGCATTGCCGGCTTCATATACGCGGATACGCGGATACCGATCGATGGGTTTCTTGCAAATTTGAAACGATCTATCGTAGTGGGTCGTGGAGACTCTGTTCCATACAAATTACTGGCCATGTTTATTGGGGCTTTTCTCCATTAACAGATGGGTGCAGCCAGCTTTGAGACGATGGTGGAATTCATGTACCATTTATATATCGCCTCGATTCAACCCAAATAAGAGACCAACATTCTTATCTCATCTATGTGACTCAGACACCTTACACCTACAATCGAAGAGACCTTTATCTGCAAGCATGTCAATTTCCGCAATCCCGCCTTCTGCTTGTACAAATGCGTCAATCCCTATTCCAGTACTTTCTGGCGCTGAGATTCTCAATCTGAGTGCTGTTCCTGTTCTGAATTATACTGCATCTGCTTCAGAAAATTACACTCACAACCATCCCACCATTGAAGCAGAGAATATCGATTTTTGCAACATTACAATTACATATACCCACCCTGGCCAGCAAGACAATCTAAGCATTGAAACTTGGCTTCCCTTGAACAACTGGAACGGTCGAATCCAGTCTGTAGGTGGCGGGGGCTGGGTTGCAGGTCGCTTTTTTATCTCATACCAGGCAATGAATGGTGCTATCGCCGAACGCTATGTTACGTCCAGCATTGACGCTGGGCTCAAAGACAAGTCTGGACAGACGGCTTTTGTGCCTGATGAGTGGGCTATGGTCTCCGAAGGCAATGTAAATCTATATAACCTACAGAACTTTGGCTCGGTATCTCTTAATGATCAGGTGAGCTTTTTACCTGCTCGTAGTATCTACATTCAACGACTCAGCTGACACGCTTCTAGGCCATCATTGTCAAGGCCCTTACCAAGGACTTCTATGGCCGTCCTCACGACTATGCGTACTGGAGCGGCTGCTCACAAGGTGGAAGGCAAGGCCTGACGCTGGCGCAAAAGTACCCTGATGCATATGACGGCATTGCGGCCGCAGCACCCGCAATCTATATGCCTCAACTTTGCATGGCAAATTTATGGTCACAAGTCGTCATGAAGGAACGCGGAGAATACCCCTCACGATGCGAATTCGAATACATACAAGCCGCCGCTATCGAAGCTTGCGATCCACTCGATGGTTGCATTGACAATCTTGTCTCAAATGAATCTGCTTGTCAATTTGACCCAATGACAGTAGTGGGACATCCTCTCAATTGCTCTGAAACCGGCAATATGACTGTGGTAAGTGAGACCGCTGCCATCGTGGCTGCGGCTGCCTGGGAAGGCCCTCGCACACCAGAAGGAGGTTTTTTGTGGCACGGATTCAACAAGGATATACAACTTTCCGGAGATGCCTCAGGAGCACAAACAGCGGATCTAGGTGTTGCTCAGACACTCTGCCACAACGGAACTTGCAGTGGAGTACCTAATGGGCTCGGTGATAAGTTGGTTACGTTCTTTCTTGAAAAGAATTCATCTGCAACTTGGCAAAATGTTACAACTGAGAACTTTGCCAAATATTTCAAGGAAGCAGTGAGGGACTTTGGCCCATTTCTGGGGTCTTCTGATGCAGACTTATCCGAGTTCCGCGCTGCTGGTGGAAAGATGATTACATATCATGGCATGGTAAGGGGACCACCACTGATTGTTTCAACGTATCGCTGACTCGTTTATCCTGCAGGCTGATAATCTCATTCCGATCAAGCAGAGTTACCAGTACTACGATGATGTTCTGAAGAATGATCCTAATGTGGCGGATTTCTATCGCCTTTTTGAAGTACCAGGCCTTGCTCACTGCTCTGGCGGCAATGGTGGCCAACCTACCGCCACTTGGGCTGCACTTGTTGCTTGGGTAGAAAATGGAAAGTCGCCGAGTACACTGCCTATCATTGTCAAGGACGAGAATGGGAAGGTTTCTGAGCGACAACTCCGCCCATACTCTAAGAAGACTTCGTCCTAGAGTCAATTTGGCGTTTATTAGGCCTGTCAAGTTTAACTGGAAAGATGGACTTGGCCTCCAGTTGCATGCTATTAGTTTTTTGAGGTTTGCCAAACGTTTGCTTTTGGTGTGATTTGCCCAATGTGTAAATTTCGTTTCAATGCATATAGTTACCTATACTACTTCTATATATTGCGTATGGTAAATCTGCATCATGTGCTTAATATCGATAACCCACCAAAATTAGACCCAAACATTGTGATTCCAAGGAGGAACCGGGTTGCTAAATAACCACTGTAGGTCGATTGCCACGACTGGAAGGTGCATTTTTCGCTTAGGGTGGAATGAGCCAACATGGAAGCAATTAATTTCGCTACCTAGTCAAGGTTGGAATTTGGTAGAAACTATCCTGGAACTACCAGAAGAAGGGGACTACATATTATCAGCATGGATCCTTGACGAATTAGGCGTCAACGTTGGTAGCGCTACGGATTATCTCTCTATCGATGCCAGTATTCCTGTGCCCCGCGTCTTCTTGGCAGACTTAAACGAACACTCGGACGATACTGTGGGGGGCACGAACTCGGTTACTTACAACTTTTCGTATGCGCAAAGGATTGCTCGCCTAAACGTTGTAGGCTACACAGTCAATGACTTCAACATCACTCAAGAACGATGGAGCCAAACACTTGAAATCATCAAATCTATAAGTACAGAAGGCGAATTTGTTGTCTTCCCTGGCACTAAGTGGTGCAGCAACTCAGCAGCAGGAGGCGATCACAATGTCGTGTTTCTCGATGACCCGCATACTACACCACCCAAGTTTCCCTTTGGTAAGCATGGAAATGTTGTCCGAAGCTTTGAGTGGAATGAGCATGGCCCTGCTGCATGGCCACTGGATAAACTGTACGCTACTTACGCTCACAACCCGGAAAGACATCTTCTGCTCCCTCATGTTGGTGGTCGTAGGTGCAATCTCGCCTGGCACCACCTGAAACTCGAACGTCTTCTGGAGATTAGCAGTGAGTGGGGGTTATTTGAGTGGTTACTCCGTGATGTAGTTCAGAGAGGAAGGAAACTTGGAGTGTCTGCAAATTTAGATGAGCATCGGGGTCGCTGTGGAGGTGGTGTCCCTGGAACAGCTGTCTTTGACACAAAAAGTGGCCTAACCGGTGTTCTTTCTGATACGCCTGGAAGGGCTGAGATAGCAACCGCGCTCCGAACTCAACGGACTTTTGCTACTACAGGTGAACGACTGGTAGGACTTGTGAGCACTGAAGACGGGCAGCTGCAAGGCGACGATGTCAAGGCCACGGGCGAAGGACCTTTAACACTCAAGTACCAATTTTTCGGTAGAGATGGTTTCTCCACTATCGAAGCTTGGGATGCTAGTGGATCGACAATGCAGCGGGACCTTGAAAAAGAAGTTTAATATCAGAAAGGTCCAGCGACAAAAAAGAAATTACGTGTTAAGTGGGGAGGGCTCGTCTCCTTGATCGCTACCACCGCGAAGTCATCTGACATGGATCAATTCTTATCAGCGGTGCACAGGCTTCGCACATTCAAACATTTGGTGGCATACTAGACGATCCCGAAATTGTGGTTACCCTCGCTTCCGAATCCCTGATTACCTTCAGCTCCAAGACAAGTGGTGACTTCGATGGAGTCGACATATTGTTTTCTGGTACGGAATTTCCTAAGAGTATCATTGTCACAGGACTTCTGGGTGGATATGTCAAGGTCGGCAATGCATTGGCCGGTAACCCACACAAACCTCAACCCCAGTGTAACTTGGATGCGTCGCGAGAAGGGGTATACAAGAGTGGTGGTAAACGCATCGAGATAACTGGCGGTGTTGACATGTTTGTGTCTGCCGAGGTGCTTGACGATGTCTCGCTTCCTAGACGGGTTGAAGGACCCTTTGAAATTCACAAACAGGGCGCAGAAGAGTTACAGCCGGCCCTGTCCGTCTATTTCGTTGGAAGGGAGTCCAGTGGCGGCAAGGCCATGACGAGTCCAATTTTTATATTGTACTGATATGTTTCTCATGACTGACACATGAGGACATTGAGATTTGGGATCCGTAGCTATTCGACAAGGAAACTTTTATTAACAAAATGCAAAGATTAAGCCGAAGGTATATGTAGCTAACGTATTCTGGGTTTTCTAACCAACTGTCGTGACCGTCTGGTCGGCCCTGATTATTGCCACGCCTTTGTATAGAGCTTCAAGAAGTAGGGCGGATCCAACGCCATCGATAATGTTGTTCACTATAACATCCTTCTTTTGATCGCTTCCCAAACTGGAGCGACAAGAGTGGGCATCAGGTAAGTAAGTTGAAAGACTACTTGCAACGGGGGCCTAAGATTGGCGTGTCATGGACAGTATCTACGTCATGTATGTTGGGTTGACATTGTTCTTGTTGATGTAGTAGGCGCTACTTCAATGGTCTTCATTGCCTCAACTTGACCTCGATATTAAATAGCCACGAATCAAAATCTATTACAAATGGGTGATCCGTTGTTTGACAACAGTGGTGCTACAATATTGCGGGCTACGACCATGTGTCAATCAATTGTCAGTGGATTTTAATACTTACGAAAAATCATTTCAGCCTAACTAATAACACAATTGAAGAGACATGCAGTGTTTCATTCTTGGTGGTACCAATCCCACCGCTGATGTCCTATTGGTGGTTGGATCTCCCAACTTTCGGAAAAGTGAATAACCAGCAGCCCAGCTGTGCCTGCAATCGCTATCATGGAGCCCCAAATCGACACATCATAATCTAAGAAGATCGGTCGGTACTCTTCAGGCAACCATAAAATCTCTTTGCCGTCTTTGGTTACCCAGCCTTCTAGATACTTTATACCATAGCCTCGAAACTGACTTTCCATGGCCTTTCCTGGAGGCTGGCTACTTTCCTGTGTGGATTGTTCCAATCTCAAGATTCCAAGATTGGTGTACAACAGCGAGTTGTTTCTCGGGTTCAATAAACGCAGGTCAGGTCCAATCCGAGTGCCAATTGAACTGATAAGACTTATTTCTTCCGGGTTTCGCATGTCCCATATCCTGACTTCACTATATGTCGAAGAGATTACATGTTGTGATGTGACCTCCAGAGCCCAAATTCGTGAATCATGCCCGTCTAGAGTTCTGTGGTACTTTCCATCAACATCGGATATGATAAAACAGCCTGAGTCGGTACTTGAGATAAGGTAGTGATCATCCTTCAAGAACCTGGTGATTCTATCTCGTTGGAGACTTATACCGACCTTGGCAGAGTCTAAGATTGAAATGCATGTTTCCTGGTCCAGCGACCAAACCGCCAAGGAATCAGACGAGTTCACAGCCATCAGATTTCCTTTATTGGAGAAAGAAATGAAAGATATCTCAGACAATCCCAGTTTCTTTGCTTGCAGAGCACAGATCAGAGAACAATCTTCATTCCGGGCGTCCCAAACTTCGATGGATTGGTTTTGAAGAAATAAACCAAACTTTGAGCTATCCGGGGAGAAAGCGATGCTCGAAGTCCAAGTATGGTCCCAAGGTTTGCTTGTTCGAGAAGTAAAAGGTTCAGGGCCCTTGTTACTCCATGTTTGAGGAGCAGTCGATGATTTTATCGTGCATAGGGATTGGCCGTCGGGGGAGAAGGAAATGGCTGAAGGCTTCACCTTACACATCTGGTTTTCAAAGCTCTCAACATTGTCGGCCTCAGTCGCTTCTATGTCCCATATTTTTACAAAACCACCAGTTGATGATGCGATCCTGCAGCTGTCTGGGGAGAATGACAGCCATGTGATGAAGTCTGAGTGGCCTCTGAGCACCATAAGTCGTTTTCCACTCCTTGTGTCCCAAATAATGATCTCATCTATTTCTGAGATGGCTGATGCTAGCATTTTGTTGTTGTTGGAGAATGCCAGTTCAGCGACATTCCCTCCACAATCAATCTTGAGAGGAACAGTTGGCGGGCTAGGCGGAAGGTAGAAAAGTTTGACGACGGAATTTTGTAGTTCAAAATTCAAGCTTTTTCTTTTTCCAATAGAATATTTGGATCCAAGTTCAGAACTATCAGGTTCGGCATCCTTGGTCAAAGCAAGCATTGAACCATCTGGAGCCACCTGCCATTGCTGGCATTTGCCATCGGCACGGAGGTCAAACTTTCCGAGACATTTACCGCTCAAGGCATCCCATACCTGCAATATGTAAACATCATCACTTGTTATAAATCGTGCAGAGTTTCCAGAACACGCAGTCAACGTTTTGATGTCGTGGTCAACCTTGAGCCAATGCCAACGTTTTCCTTCCACATCCTCAACAACAATTGTTTTGTCAAAAGCCAACACAAACAACGTCTCCGTTATGAACGCCACTTTGGTGTTGAATCCGCCTAGAGCCTCATGGCGCTCCCAACTCACGTAGTCCATATCCCCACGCTGTCTTGTCATATCCCACATGTTCAAATGAGGCGGACTTTGGCATGTGGCCAAGAGGTATTTGCCATTGCTCGACAAAGCCAATTTGTCAATATCGAACTCGGTGTCGTATTTCTGAAGGTTTCCTGTCGCCGCATCCAGAACATGGACAATCTTGTTCCCAAATGCAGCCAGGACTTGACCACTCTTTGAAACAGAATGGTTACGGAGGGACATAAAGATCTCTGATGCCAGGGTTTGACGAATGCATAAACCAATCTTGGTACTCCAATACATAAGACAATCATCGTTTCTACCGGTCATGTAAGATACAAGTCTATGGTTGTTATGCCAGTAGAGTTTGTAAAAACCATAATCGAGTCCTTCTATAGTGACGGCACAAGGATCCCAAGCTTCCGATATGCCAGATATATGAGTGATCCATTTCGGGGACGGATTTGCCTGTTTGATCAGACTCGTAAGAGGAGCAAAGACAAGGGCAGAGGCGTAAACCTGTAGCGGTGTCTCCATGACTACTGGACAGAACTTTACGTAGAATCTATAAGCATCGTTGATCCAGCTCTGCAGATTGTAGTTTTGACGATGCTTTAACTACAATGTTAGCTTCCAGTCCGATATTCATCAACGCATGGTGGACTTACCGGTACCCAACCTTTCACTTTGTCTAGCAGTTCTTCACCAACAGGGAGCTCTTCCATCCAAGCAAGCGCCTCCATCCAGCGTAAGAGATGCTTTGACAGAAACGTATACACCTTTTCCTGGATCTCAATGTCCACTGGACTGTTGGAAAAAAGAAGATGGTATATCCAATGAGTGCATGAGTAGCCTACAGGCGCAAGGGGATCGCTGTCGGACCGTATCAGTTCATCCATGTTTGTCCCCGGATGTTCGATATCAAAGATATTCTCTCTGAGATCACTGATATTCGCCATTGATCGATAAAACAGTGCCCTGTGAGCGCAACCTTTATCCTTTGGGAGAATGGCAACCTCTAAATCTGAACCATATTTCGTAATAAAGTCTTTCGCAGATTGGTGTACAAATGACACAACAGTGTCTTCAATCGTCAAAAAGGCACTCGCTTGATTGAATAAAATCTTCAGATCATTAGGGTCCTTTTGTAGGCGAATGTTGGGGGATTCGAGGAGGTACTGAAGCTCTTGAATGGTAAGAGGCCGATAAGCAAGATACACAACCTTGAGGACATCTTTGACATCTATGCCGTCTTCTGAATCAGCATCAGAAATGTCTTTTCTAAGAATTGCCCAGTAGAGAGCATCAAGACTCTTTGGCATTTCTTGAGTTTGCTTCTGAATGAACCCGACCGGGTCTTGCAGTTTTTTGTTCCTTAGCGTTTTGCGAATGTCGGACAAGACCAATGACACCCAAAGAAATGTTTCGTCTGCACCGAGTATGAGTTGATTTACAATACGATCTTGACTTTCTGAATCAATTTGCGTGTATTCCCTGAGGGCGGCGACCTTCTTGCGCACAAAGATGGCCACCGCACGCGAGACTGAGTAAGTGGAGTCCTCGAGGCTGAGATGTAGGAATCCAGATGTTGAACCCAGTTGAATACCCACGGCTGATAGTGTATTGCGGCTCGAAATCAACCACTTCACTGGGCTACTCGTGGCAAGCCCAGCTATAAAACTCAGAATGCCACCTGGCGCCTCATCTTCGTCGCTATCGTTTTGAGTACATTCATCAAGAGCATCGATCAAGATGATAGCATCACTAGTAAGTGGATCTGCCAAGATAGATTTGAGCGTTTTGCACAAAGCCTGCGTGCCGTCGGCGCCGTCCAATCTCAAGCCGTCGATGTTGTCTTGGGCATGTTTTAATAAAGCCGGCGTTTTCTCAGTAATGCTGTAGATGATGCCTCTCAAAATTGCTGCCTCGTTGTTGAGTCTCTCATCGGTCTCCTTGCAAAAGAAGTATGCAACACAACGACTGTACTGAAACCATTCGGCGATCGCGCAGAGTAGCATGGTTTTTCCTTTCCCAGCATCGCCACTGATCCACATGACCCGGCTTTCTGGCTCGTTCTTCCACTTTTGGAATTTTTCCGATGTAAAAAGCCAGTCGCAACACTCTGGGACGAGGCCACCCTTCTGTTTCAAAAGACTGGCCTTGGTGAAGAAGGGTATCGTCTTGGAGATGACCGTGCGGCATTTTTCATCTTTCTCCTCATCTCTCCATTTTTTCAGATCTTCCCAGATTTCCGTTGCAGTCGTAGAAATGGCCTGGAGCCCTTTTCTGAACTCTGTATCATGGTATTGCTCAAGGTCACGCTCGACAGCATCCTCGTTGTCCTTGATGGATTTGACTTGGCTCTCCCAGTCGTCATACTTGAACAAGTCCCTCATTGTGACAAGAAGTCTTGATCGGTGATATAAACAAATGCTCTTCAGCACGAAACTGAGAAGCAATTTGTAAAGTGATGTGAGGTTCTTGAAAAGAGAGTTTTGTAGTCCCACAGGTGTCTTTCCTTCTGAAAGAACACTTTCGCTGATTTGCACATACCAGTCCAGCCTTGAAATGACATACTCCACACCGCTACGCTGAGCCTCAAATTCAGTCACGGGATTAGCAAGGACCTTGTGACTATTAGTAAAACTCGTTATGCCGTTCCAGTCATTCGGCAGTCAACTAACCTCCAGGCCAAAGGTGAAGCAAGACCAGACGAGTGCAGCCTCTGGCGAGGGCTTAACAGCCTTATCTACCACTGGTCTGACTATATTGATAAGACGTGTCATGTCTCCAAATCTTCCCTTAAGCTTAGCTTCTTTCTCCGTTCGACGGAGCCCGAGTTGAATGGCCTTGTCCATGCGTTGAATCTGGGCTGGTTTTCCAATGTCCATCGGGGCTTCCTCGATCACGTTCTCATCGAAAGAGTCTTCCTGGATCAGCTTCTCAAGGACTTTCTCGTATCTAGCTACGAGCTTCGTGTCTTCATCCTTGAGCTTCGTGTACGCTTCAATCCATATAGATGATTCAAGGCCTTGTGTCAAAGTTTTCGTCGGTGGCTGGCTTGTAGTGACAAGTTCAATGTCATACACGATATCTGGAACATTTTGACAAGATGGTTCATTCTGGCTGTTGTTCGATTGCTGCACCTCTTGGGCGCTCGTGCCGCTATTGGAGACCGCGGTCTCCGCACTCGATGGGCTGGGCGACGACTCGCTGTCTCCCTTCTTCTTCCTCCTTAGTTTCAAAAAGTCACGGATTCCCATGTTCAAGATATGAAGAAACAATCGGTTAGGTAGTTGAAACAAAAAGCGATTGAACGTGCTGGCATTGTTTGAGAATGGGAAGAAGGATTGGATTGAGCAGCGGACGGTGCTGACTTGACTTTAGCCGCAGAACAGCATGATGCACGACACGTCAATGTTGATCATTGGGTGGCCTCTCCTGCAGGTTGTTTCAGCTTTCCTCTTTTTAAACACGAGTCACCGATGGATGCCCGGAAATGCCGCCTCATTTCCCTGAACTCCAACTGGTACCTACCCTGCATTTAGGCAGAAAGAGCAAATTCACGGTAATACCTGTCGCATTTTTCACGGGAATTTGCTCCCCAGTTTCCTTTCGGTCTCATCAGCCGGAGAATAACAGTCCTCTACGATAGTAGACATAAAAGGATTTCCTAGTCGTCACACCATCAGTTGGCGTTTTCGATACGTTCTCTTGAGTTTATCCATCACAGCTAGCATAATTAGCGAGAAGATATCATCAACCTTGTTTGATGGTTTTACTCGATTTCTAAACTCTAATACTGACTTTTCCCCTCGCTCTGAAGCTTTAACTTCAGAAATGCAGGGCTCAAAAAGTAACCTTATTCTCACACAATATAAAAGCAATAGAATACCTGCTAAGCAGCCCACTTCTTCTTCCTTTAGCACAACCTACGAAATACCAAGACAACACGCTGTCTGTCAACTTGCCCACAACCTGATCATCAGCCTTGTACCTTGCTTTCAGTTGTGCGGGGTTTGCCAATTTCACTATCGCACGACAGGTACACAACCAACACACAGCAAGGGCGACTCAACAGGCAGCCGTCAAATATACAGCCTCTGTGCCGCAATTTACCCCGGCGGGTGTACTGAATAAAGCGACGTAACGCGTCCTCAAATTTCTCCTACTTGACAATTCTCTGAAGTCACCACCATGGCTTCCTTAGCCAGTCTTCCGGTGGAAATTCTCCATGGGATCTGCCATCGTCTTGCCCTTCTCAGCACCGAATCACTACGAAACCTATGTCTTGCCAACAAAGACTTGAATCGAATCTGTTCTCCTTGCCTTGTTTACCGATGGAGTGCCGGCCAAGACTGTGTAGAACCTCCCCTCGAACAGTTATTGCTGCACCTCTTCAGGCACCCTGAGCTTCGGAAGGAGGTCAAAAGCCTTGGTATCGGCTATACCATGCCGCCTGGGGGAACAACATACCTATTTTCATCGCCATCACCTGTGGACTTGGATCGTGAGACACTCTCAGAACTGGCCGAAGCAGCTGCTTCAGACATCAAGATGAAGCCCGAGTACCTAGAGGAACTCTGCTCTGATATTAAACTTGGCTGCACAGATGCCCTCAATGTTCTACTTCTAGCTTGGTGCACGGATGTGGCGGATCTGAGCATCGCACTTCCCCCACTCTACGCGATAGAATCGTTGGATAGCCACGTCTTGACATTTGCAAGAGAAGCCATCCTGCGACTGCTACCCGATGAGACACCTGCCGACAATTTACCATTTGGAGAAGTACGACACTTCGAGTTACAGTATTATGACCATCACCATCTTTACTTCAAAGCAGTAACACCATTCTTTCACTTGCCGAAGATCAAGTCGGTTGTGGCATTCGGTCTTTGTGACTACGAAATTGAATGGATGATGTGGTGCAGTTATGGCGGTCGCTACGATTTGGAAATTCCAGACGCTTCATCAAGTTTGGAGGAACTTGTACTAACCAATGCCATGTTCGCGCAGGATGCGTTATATACGCTGCTACGCGGCGTCCGTAACCTGAGGAAGTTGAAGCTTCAAACTTTCGTGTGCTCTAAAGATTACCCTACAGACCGCGAGGAGATTGCTGATGTTCTCACAATATGCCAAGACTCACTGGAGGAACTTTACCTAGACACTGAGCCCCGTGAACATCTTCTGGATCCTGATTCACGGAGGATAGATTTCGGTATACTCGCTAACGAGATGTTGGAGGAAAAGGATGTATTCAAAGATTTTATCAACCTACGACGGCTTAGCTGCCCCATGACTGACTTCGTATCAGTCAATTGTGACGACGGACAGAACATTGTTCCTGGCAAGCTACCCAAGTCCATCGAGTTTTTGAAGCCACGATGTTACGATATGGCAGAAAACTGGGTCAGCAACGATTCCTCTGTGGGGCCTTACATTGAGGCCTTTATCAAGATCTTGGAAGAAGCTGGCCCAGGTCATCGTCTTTGTAATCTGACAGTCTTGGATCTTTCTGAGACATTCAAGGATGATCTGGAGACAGTCGGCATCAATAGGATGAAGTATCTGGCGGATGCTAGGGGTGTTCGACTCTTGTTGAAAGAAGACTAGAGTATTGAGCCCTCAGTGTCTTTGCAAGCAAGGTATTTGAGACCATCCCGAAAAAAAAGTTCAATCACCGTCGCATCTCGCCTTGTAATTCTCCTGGCACATCACGAGCTTCGGATCCCGAAGGGCCTTTCAAGTCGAAAAATGCGCGTTTATGTTTCTGACTCAATGGTCACTGATGATGTGACTACAGTCAGCAAGTAGCCTAGACTTATATCGACTTAATTCAGCTCGCCACTTTACTGAGACATTTTAACAGCCCCAATATGATAGTTTTTTGCCATGCATCAGTAATTGACTCCACATTGCCATTCTCATATGCCGCATATGCTGGAATTTCAGCTCGCTACAATGCTCAGCTTTGGTCTCGAACGGTCTCCATCTGTCAACAATAAGCTCAGCTCATGCACAAAGGTGAGACAGACTGAAAATTGTGATGTTGACCGCTTCTTTCTTAGAATTTCAGCATAACAATACGCCTGTATCTAATGTTCTAAGATTTTTATGATAAATAGCTGCAGTCTTCCTTCTATTGTCTGAACCTGATCTTTGAGGTTCAAGTCATAGACGACTTCTCTTACCAAGTTCCATTCTGTTTATCTGTTAATATTTCTCTCTCTCAGTATGGAGGACCCCGAGACTAAACAAGCTCGCGAGTTTCTGGAGGCCGCTGCGAAAATGCAAGTTTATCCGAAGACGTCAGCTACTGCCAACGATGGCAAATATGCGATTGGCGCAGACAAGGGCGGCCGTGTTGCATCAAACAGTGCTGAAATCAGATATTTCAATTGGCTTAGGACTCCTGTTAGTTTTCCTTCCTTCTCTGGTACCCCGGATCTTTCAACCAATATTATGCTCATGATCTATGTATAGGCTCTTGACGCTAGAACGATTCAGCGCTTACACAGTCTACAATTGGTCGCTGATTCCCATGACCAAGGCTGGTACGATGATAGAGATCTTGGAAATTGGACCTGGTTCGAAGTTGCCATTTTCGAGAATGATTCTGCCACTGATCCCAGGAAGAAGGATGATATCATTTTGTCGTGGACGAGCCACAGAAGCAAGATGGCACCTGAATTCCAGAGAGGCGCGAAGTTCTCTCCAGTGAGTTGTTATACCCCTCAAATCTAACAGTCTTCACAAAAGTCACAGTGGCAGTCTAACCTCGAACTAGCAACTTGGATCCTTCTTCTCCCGGGACCATGACATATTCCGCCTACTTGAGGTAGGCCGATTAATGTTCTAAATGTATTGCGCTGAATTAACTTGAGAACAGGAAGGCAACGTCATTGTCGTTAGGCTTTGCTCGCGATTCCCATGTTGGTCCCTTAAAACCAATCAAGGCTTTCTAGTTGTTGAACTTGGCCCCGAAGGTTAGTTACCATATCCCTTTGACGAAATTGATTGGAAATATCTAACAAGTATGGAACTATTTAGTGGAAAGGGAATCGGTCGAATTCGGATCTATTGCAGCAAAGGTGAAGACCACCCAAGAAGCTTTCAATGACATTAACAGGGCCATATTCCCTGAACTAGAAAGTTTACCAACCGTTCCACGTTCGGTCTTCAAAGCCGAAATGATGAGTACGGACATCGCAACCGATAAACCTCTCCGTGTTTTGTGTCTAGGTATGTCAACCCACTCAGCTCCTGTCCTCATGTTGCAGCTTTAGTGTTAACGTCTCCCAGACGGCGGTGGTGTGCGTGGACTGGCTTCTCTGAAGATTCTCAAGAGAGTCATGGAAATGTCTTACCCTGGCAAGAAGCCCTGTGAGGTGTTTGATATGATTGCCGGTACTAGTACAGGAGGGTAAGATACTGACATTGCCTAGAGATCACATTGTGCTTCACACTTACACGTTTCACACAGGTTTATCGCCATCATGCTTGGACGTCTTGAGATGGATGTGGATGAATGCATCGAAAGCTACACCAAGTTCATGGGCAAGGTCTTCCCGGACCAAGGAGGAGTTCTTAAAAAGCTCCCCTTTGGTTTGGGGAAGTTGGAAGACTGGTGGGAAACCGCAGTGGATATGAAGAACAACGTTTTCAATAATGAGAAATGGGACTCCGGTGTCCTCGAGGAGGTCATCAAAGACCTTGTTCATAATAAGCTAGATCAGGATCCCAAAACAGTGCTTCTCCAAGACGAGAAAACCCCTGAACCGTCCTGCAAAATGTGAGTCGCGAATTGTATCATAGTTCCGAAGCACAAATTGACAGCTTTTAGCTTCGTTACTGCCACCGCGTCTGCTGGAAGTAATAGTCGAGCGCCTGTTCTGCTTCGGTCCTACACCAATGGCTTGCAGATGCCTGAAATGCCACGCATAAAGCTTTGGGAGGCTGCTCGTGCCACATCAGCAGCTCCATTCTATTTCAAGCCATTGGAGGTGGACGGTCGGACATTTGTTGATGGAGGCTTACAAGCCAACAACCCACTAGGATGGTACGTACACGCCACACGTTGAGTTCCTTGTTATAACGGTCCGGCTACTAACATGAGTTTAAGGCTTTGGAACGAGATTCTGCAAGTCTACGGCCCAGTTCGCAGTACTGGTTGCTTTTTGAGCATCGGCACTGGAGTTCCGCTCAGTGTGACCCTGCCAGCACCAGGTTCACATCCATTGGACTTCATAACGGCTCTTTCTGGGGTTGCAACCAACAGTGATGTTATGAACATTCTGTTTCGTTCACTCATTAATGCTTTCGCTCCCAAGGGCATGCAGAAGAAGTACTGGCGCTTCAATTTCGGTGATGGCCTGCCTGACTGGGTGGAAGAGGATGGCGTTGGCAAATGGAGGCTTCTTGCCACGCGGGAGGAGAATGACTTGGGCGGTCTTGATGATGTTAACATGATCAAGTTGACAAAAACTCGGGTCGAGAACTACATGAAGGAGCCTGGATTTGAATTAATGGTTCAAGAGTGTGCAGCTGCTCTCAAAGCTTAGTTTTTCTTCTCAATACCACAAGAGACTTTATACTACTACTCAGTGTTAACGTTCCTGATTGTCTCTTTGATTGTGATCATTTCACTACTGACTGCTATGTATGCTCTTTCTATCTTTTCTCTGTCCTAATATTGTAGTACGTGTATCTTGTGAAAAAAAATACTTGATGTCATTAGAACTAAATGACTCCATCTTAAGTTGTTGTGATCAATAAGGATAATGGAAGTCACTCTATTTTTACGGTTATCTACACAATTTATTCTGATATAGAGTTTTTGTGAAATGTCATTTCATCATACGGCCTCGTAACCTTACCGGCCATTTTATTGTTAGCTTTTTTGTTATACCATTAGGTTTACACTTGGGAAATTACTGCGCTTTTACGTTTTATTTGCATTTAAAGAATGGACGACACCGCTTTAATATTCCTCATCCTTTGCCATCATCCTTTCTTGATTACATCTTAGCTGAAAAATCTTTCGTTAGCCTTTCTGTGATGTCTACCGATCAAAAGTCTCGTCTTATGGTATGCCTTTCCCCTTACATCTGTGAAATCTTAGCTGCTAATACTATATTTATGCAACGGTTATGTCTGCCTTGTCAGCAGCCATCTTCCTCATCGCCATCCTCACTTTCTTAGATGTTTACATCTATCACCGTACCCGCCGAGCTTGCTCCACTGTTGGTGATGAGAAAAGGTTGCGTGATCATCTTCGTCAACGGTTTTTTCGCCATCAACGTTACCAAGGCCTGTCTAGCAGGGACGACGCTGGTCAAGATAATTATCACACATGGTACATCCCTGGAGCGTTTCGAGTTTATGTGCAGGACGTTGCAATGGCTACCATGTGTTTCACCGTTCTGTTCGCTATTTTCATGTCTCTGAGTATCTGAGTTGTCCTATGCCGAACTATCATGTAACTCTTTGGCTATTTTACACGCGATATAAAATCTCTTCATGAAAGACGTGTATGCTTACAGAGGTTTGGGATGAACGATAATGCAGAAACCCGAATTATGCAACGAGGGGATTGTCTAGGGTAAATACTACTATTGATATTGTCCAAGAATCAACTATATGACCTGACATTACCAAGAGAAAGATTGAGTAAGAAAGACCGATATTAGAAGTTTAAGATATTTCGCTTTTAATGAGAAAGGATAAGTGTTGGAATATTGCTTGCTGAATGTGCGCAACAATAAATGTTTTTTTTTTATCCAAAGACGATATATCGAAATGGGTTTTATTGTTTAGTCGAATTAGATGAGTAAGCACAATCTTAATGCCAATTACAGTCAGCTCACCTGCCCGATACCAAGATTGGATAATACACACATAATCTCAAGCTGTGCAAAGATGCTGGAGACTTTTCCGTGTGTAAATATCAGTCTCGACGAGTCCAGACCCTTTGCTGTATCTAAGGCCCGTGAGTACCCTGTAGTGGCCGATCCAATAGCGCGCATTGAGTGGAAATTCTCGTCTATTACCCTGACATGATTGGACAAGAAGCTGTTCTAGATGCTGAGGACCCTGAAGCGATTTCAATAAGCCCAAATTATTGCATCAATAGTGCCAAAACCTGTCAGCTCATCAGTCACGATGTCCAGGGGAAACTTCAGCTGATGTTATTTAATATTTTCTTACGCTGCTATGTGTCATTTGTTTGCGTCTTCCATCATCTCTCTCACCGACTGAACATTTGCAAAGATGAAGTTCATTAGTGCCCTCACCTTGGGCATGATCGTCGCAGCTGTCGACGCAGCGTATCCGAACCCAGGCAATAGTCCTCCAGATGCTTGTTATACTGGTATGTTACCCTATGTGGTCGAATTGATTGAATGCACTGACAAAACGTCCTTGGGTAGCTGTGGCGAAGCCCATCAAGCAGCGCTCCATCGACTGCAAGTCATTTCTTCTCACAACCGTGACTCCTAAGAAGTCGTAAGATGCCTGAATCTGACCTTTTTCTTACAAGTACTGACAGGCCTTCTATAGTACCATTTACAAGACATCTACAGTCACCAAGAAGACACCGACCGTTACCAAGTCAATCACCGTCACAAGTACCTCGCCCGCCACCGCTACCAGCATCAACTCCGTCGTACAGACCGTGACAGACAACATCGTCGTTACGCGAACCGTGGAGCAAACCAAAACCGTGACAGAACAGACTACAACAACGATTACAACTGAGGTTGCTGATCCTGCCCCAACTCTCAAGCGCAAACGCTCTGTACCTCGCATCCCCGAATATCTTGACAACCTATGCACCAACTCTGCCCAGTACTCTTCGGCTTGCTCCCGCATTGGCGTCACTGCCAAAACAGTCACCGCCCCTCGCGTCACTGTTGTATCTAAGATCGTTCGAGTCAAGATCCCACGCGCCACCACTGTTAGAACAACCGTCAGTACTGCCTGGGTCACTCAAACTGTAAAGACCACCACCATCGTCAAGACTTACAGCACCGAAGAAGTCACTAAGACGGTCGATGTTGTCACCGAGGATGTCACTGTTGCTACAAAGACCGTCACCGAGACCACTACAAAGACCGAAAAGCCCAATCCGCTAGAGACAGTCCGTTTGATTGCTGTTGGTAGCAGCGACCCTGCACTTTCAGGCACAGACGGGTTAGGCTTTTCATCCCTTGAATCCAATCCAGACGGCATCCCTAGCTATTATGTGACCTTTACTTCGGACATTAATACTCAACAATTTACCATACACAGGGAAACTGGCGAAGTAAAGGTACTCAATGGACCAGGCAGTACCAATAGCCAACCTGCTTTGTACAACTACGCTCCCGGAAGTGGTAACCCTTATGGCGCTGTCGTGATACAACGTCAAGGAGGCCCGCCCTTGGTTTGTAAGATCTTGGATGGAGCAGGATATCGCTATCTTCAGTGCAAATTTGCCAACAACCAGAGTACCGACTTTTATACATGCAAACAGCGCTTGGTAATGGTTTATCCAGGTGAAAGGTATTCAACATGCTACATGGATCGCGGGAGTTACACAGGCTATAAGATTTCGTATATTAAGGTCGTTTCGGTATAGGTCACTGGCAAACAGAGTCACTGGTTATAACTCATAGTTCATTAAAATGTATCTACACTATATAACACAAATATGCGCGGCTGTACCGGAGCCGACTCACTTATAGACACTGCGAGACCTACCATGGTCATGACCGGATGCTATTTTGTACTTGAGAGATATTGTTGGTATATTTTTAATAGTTTCTATAGGAAATACTCTAGTACACGGGTTAGAACTATGAAGTCATTGGCTTGGCGTATCGCATGACAATTTAGCAAGGTTTGGATTATGTTATAGCCGGCTCGCAGCTGATTAATCCTTGAGAAACATCGCCACATCGACCCACCCGGGAAATGACTCTTCGGCCGACGAAAACGAGGCTCAGCCACATCCTTCGCTCCACGCTATGATTACATACTTAACGCTGCCACATCCATCTTACTTGCTTATAGTCTCGACAGCATCAGACCAGCTCAATTACAGAAAATGCCAAAAAATAGGCCATCGCAGCAAAAACGAAACGAAGCGAAATACGCAGAGTTGGCCCAATCACGAAACGAAATGGAATTGCAAAAGCACGAAAATGCCAAGGCTGTAGCAGATAATGATGATCTCGATTTTGGAGCCAAGATTGATCAATTGGCCAAGATTAGAGGGTGGTTCTCTGGTAGCACAACAACCCTTGATCAATACCTGGTTGGAACCTTGACTCTTGCACAGACAGTAGACAATATCGGGAAACCGATAGATGAAGCCTACTCGACTGCTGATTTCGGTCGACAATATTTCGAGCAAGAGAGTTGCGCTCGAACACAACGCGGGTTTTACACTCCCGAGAAAGCCCTTGAGCTTTGGGGTCCGGAAGAGGAATACCCAGAGCCTCAAGGAGAGCTTGATCCAGCGAAGTCCACTGAAGCCCAATTGTGGCAACTGTGGCTTTCGATCCTTCATGCATCGAAACGTATTCCCTATTCAGATGAAGAGCAACAGCAGAAGCTAGTTGATCTAGTCAAAGCCTTCAAAGCGCGTCCCAATCCACCGCCACCTGAACCCATGACCGTCCCACTGAAAAGAAGTTGGATCTGGGAGTCTGACAAACTGTGGACGGATTTGTTAGTCCTTGGTATCTCAGTATCAGAGACGTTCAACGATGTGTGTGGCTGCGGAGCTGCCTGGTTGTGGGCAGAACAACGAGCATGCGAAAATCTCTTCGCCTTCATGGCTCGACTCACTTCGAACGGAATCGATCTCTCCAGGATCGGAGTCTCATGTGTCACTGCGCTGGAGCGAAATCCGTCTCCAGGATACAGGCCATTCCCCGCGCCGCCTGTCAGTGAAGTACTGAGTTATGATGTGACGTGTGCGGCGCTCTGGACTATCATGGCTGGCAAGGAGGTCTTTGGTAAATATCCAGATACTCGTGACGAAAGAGATATACAAGTGGTGGACAAAATTATCGCGTTAAGGGACAACGATTTGCCGTGGAACAGGTCTTTGAAGAAATACAAGGGACGAGCGCGCTGGGAAACTGCACGGAAGGAATTTGCTCGAAGAAGATTTGAAGAGGAATCATCGAACAAGGATTTATCGGTTGACGCTCGTGAGTTGGCTGCGAAAGCTGCACAGGCTATCGTTCCATTAATTTGGCTTAATGGACAGAAGGCCGAGTAATAGAAAGTACTTTTTGATGCGAAGAGATTATTTCCTGCTAGTCACACTCTTGCGATTTGTTTATTCCTTGTAATCTCGATGACAATCAAAATACCAATGAGAAATCTCCGAAAGACACAGTAGCCTCAATGTATTTTCTATCAATATCTCATTTTGTCTCATCGCTTTGACATGAAAAGCAACGATAAGCGCAAGTGGCTTGCTTATCGAGCACCAGTCTGACAACATTCGATACACCGACTTGTCAATTGGCTTATAATATGAGGCCCCTTGCGCTTTGACGCTGCACATATCGTCATTTTTGTTGATAGCGGGAATGCAACATTTGCATTCCTGAGGCGGTTGAAGGTACCATTCCCAACGAGGCGATATTGTCTCAAATTCGCGTCCTGCAGCACGGGCGCTCCGACGCTGACGGGTTCAGATTGGACACTCTGACCATAAATTGCTTGTTATTAGATTGGAGACGGGATCTGCATGGGTGTACCCGCAACTAGCCACGACTTGCATAACTCAGCCTGGCCATGAGCAATTCAGCTCGCCGCATCCCTGGTATCGCCATGAAAGTGTTCCTAAAATGGGAAAGAGTAGCTGCAGGGAACAATAGTCTCAAGATAGTCTCAGCTGGGACGTCGCATTGATAAGAAATTGGAAAGTAGGCTTTGGTACGGTGAGTATATATGCATAGACTCCTCGTTGTTTTGACCTTGCAATGTATTAATCCCTCATCAATTTATTTTACCATGGTTTACCACGCACTCACAAGACATCCCAACGGCAAACGCCTCCTTGCCCTTGATGGAGGTGGTGTCAGAGGAATAATGGGTCTCGTCGTCCTCAAAGAGCTTATGCAGCGTGTCCAAAAGCGCAAAGGCCTCGCCGAGATTCCTCGCCCATCCGACTACTTTGAACTTGCTGGCGGTACAAGCACTGGTGGTATCATGGGCATCATGCTCTTCAGACTACGCATGAGCGTAGACGATACCATCAATGAGTATGACAGAATTGCCAAGAGCATCTTCAGTCCCAAGTTCTGGGGTCGTGACGTCAGCTGGATACCTGGCTCAAGGATCTTCAATAACAGCAAAGCTTTGGTTCAAGACAGTCGTTTTGATGCAGCGTCTATGAGCAAAGCTATCGATGAGGCCGTGGAGAAGTATGGTCTCGATGAGAACGATAAAAAGTTAAGAGGAAACGCCCCTCTTCAGCATGAGGGGGGTGCACGAATGTGAGTACTGAGACGACTAGAAATTGTTTTATAGATATCTGACATCATTAGGTTCTGCTGCACCACTGCTCAGAATAGAGCCGAATCTATGTTGATGAGATCTTACAAAGATAGCACAATCTATACTAAATCCAAGGTTAACGACGCTCTTCTCAAACACGGCGACAAGCTAACTATCAGCATCGCTGCTCGCGCCACATCCGCCGCGCCTACCTTTTTCCCCGAAGTCAAGTTTCCCGAGGACAAGCCTGACCTTGTATTCTGGGATGGCGGTCTCTTGAACAATAACCCCATCGACCAACTCTGGTATACACGCTTCGAGCTTGTTGAACCTTCAGAACCAGCCCCTTCAGTCTCATGCGTCATCAGCTTGGGCACCGGCTACGTGAGCCCAGGTAAAGCTAAGCCGTCATGGATCAAGGTCGTTGGTGTCGCATCAAAGGTTATGGACTTTGCGACCAATACCAATGTCAAGGGCAAAGACTTTTCGAGACACATGAAGCATTTAAATGCGAGAGAGGAACATAAGGATACAAAGTATATCCGTTTCAACCCGTATATGAAGGAGGAGATTGGGTTGGATGATTATACGAGAATGGAGGAATTGAAGGACCTTGCAAGGAAGACTATGGCTGATCCAAATGAGACGAATCAGTACTGGATCGAGCAGGCCGTTGATGCTATATGCGATACTAAGTAGCGAAAGTGTCTAATACACAGTATAATTTAAAATGTCACAAGAATGGCTTTACTTGTAAAAGCATCGAGAATTGCAATTGTCTTTTTGCCGTTTACCATCTTGGGTGAATTGTCAATGCGAAGCCGAAGACGCCTTGGAAATAATTACATGATAGTTGAGTTGCAGTAGCTGGCGTAGCATGAGGTGCAGTACAGGGTATCCGAATATCGTAGTGATTTTCACTATCATTGAATTGCTCAGCAGTATTATGACGTATCTCTCAAATTGGAGTCTGGTGGGCTAATCAAGTCCTCGGTTGAGTTCACTGTTTCTTGAAACAGCCCAGTTTAGTTGGAATGGGCCGTAATGCGACCTAAACACGTGAAGCTCAGTCCTCGTACAACTCCTCTGCTTGCCGCTTAAGCCAATTAGAGCAGGTAAGATACTGTTTCTGTCATAAGTCAACTGCCAGGTTCTAAACCTCTCGGTTGCGGAGGATGATCTTCCGTCTTCTGGATTTATCCGTAATGAAATTGATTATTCCCAGACTGCGGGGTAATATATCTTTAACCTAGGCCTACTCGAAATGAAACAAAAATAATATTACAGTACCACTTTATTTATCCGTATGTAACGCTATGGACTGTCGGTCAATAAACAACATATACTTAGAACAATTGATCAGTTTACCAACTGGAATAGAAGCGGGGGCCTTTTGCGGACGTCCTTCCTCCGGATCTCGCGGTATTTAGTCTCGGTACTTGAAACTCGCCTCACTTGAAGCTATAGTCATAGCGGCCATGGAGTATAAAGCTAGGATCGACCACGCTGGATGAAGAGAAAGACAAGCACCGACTCCACTGCCAAACAAACAGAGCCAGAAACAGGGTATCCACCATGCTTGACTTTCTCTCCCCACGCAAGCTGTTGACTCAGCTCGTCCTGGGCGCTGGCCTAGTTGCGGCTCAGCTCCAGACTATCAACAACTTCGGGCCAACCTATGACACCCGTCTGACCATGCAGGCCTACATCCCGAGCAACCTCCCTGCTAACCCAGCAGTGGTTGTCGCCGTAAGTAACGACAAGATTCGCAATATACTGTAGAGCCTCAGTTAACAAAACATTTAGTTGCACCCTTGTGGTGGAAACGGACAGGGTTATTTCCAGCAGACCAACAGATACAGAACCCTTGCCGACCAGCGTGGAGTCATTCTCATCTACCCTTCTTCGCCAAAGGACTCTAACTGCTGGGACGTCGCCAGCACCAAGACTCTCAAGCATGGTGGCCAGGGTGACAGCCAGGTCCTCGTCAGCATGGTTGACTATGTCATCAACACCTACAAGGCCGACCGCAACAGAGTCTTCGTCACTGGTTCCAGCTCCGGCTGCATGATGACCAACGTACTCATTGCAACATACCCCGACCGTTTTGCTGCTGCCACCTGCTACTCGGGCGTTGCCGCCGGATGTATGGCCGGATCGCCAGGATCCAGCCCTATCAGCTCTGACCGTAAATGCTCTGACGGAAAGATCGTCAAGTCAGGACAGGAATGGGCCAACCAGGTCAAGGCTATGTACCCTGGCTACAGTGGCTCTTACCCTCGCTTCAAGACCTGGCACGGTACTTCTGACTTCCTGGTCACCATTCAGAATCTCCAGGAACAGATCAAGGAGTGGTCTACTCTTAATGGTGTTTCTCTTACCAGCAGCCAGCAGAACACTCCCCAGCCCAACTACACTACTATGATCTACGGAGACGGAACCAAGTTTGTTGCCGTATCTGCTGCTGGAGTCGGACATACCGTGCCTGTTCAACCGGATGATGACTTCAAGTGGTTCCGTCTTATCTAAGATTGTTGTTGTTGCTGGGAGCCTGGGAAAACGGATAGTGTCAGGACATACGAGTTGGAGATTCATGAGGAATGATGATATGAGAATGAACTTGAGGATCAAAGCATGGTTTTAGTGTACATTTACCAACCTATATAACCTTCTTTCAATTCTGGCATTGGAATGCCTACAAACTAAACTCCAGAGTCATCCTGGAAGAGATCAGCGTTCCAAAGATTGCTCTTATTTCCGAACCAATCATTCCATCTCGTGCAAACTCTCTCCACTTCCTTCATCCTATCATTATTCATCATCCACTTGAGCCTTTCCTGCTGTTCAAGGATCTGAATGGCCAGACCACTTGATGCATGCCACGCGATGTGGCAATGGAATAACCATGATCCAGGATTATCTGCCTTGAAGGCGACAACAAGATAGCCTCCTGCTGGAATAAGAGCTACATCACGTCGAGGCGGGTTGTCCGATTTGAGTTTAACGTTTCCTGTGTCGAGGTCGCTGAAGTTGGTACCTTGTGCAAGCAGCGCAAAGTCGTGTCCGTGGAGATGAAGCTAGAATTTGTTCAATAGTAATACTTGATTTAGGACAGGTTCGCTTACGGGATGAGCCACCGGTGCAAAGACTCTGTCGGGTCTGTTGACAAGCGGGGCTTGGGGTGCAGTGATGGCGATGTAGATCCATTCATCCTTCTTGGAGTCTGGGACAACAAGATCAACAGCGTAGTTGGGATCCCACGTATCATTGTTGAGGTTGAGAATAGTCGGGTTGGAAAAGTTAAGCCACAATGGGTTCTCTCCAAACGCCCACCACTGAAAAGCATTGCCCTTTTCTGGTCTGTCTTTGTATGTCTTTAGGCCAATGTCGAACTGACCTTTTTTGTTTATTTCATGTGAGATTAGCTACTCTGTTTCCAATAATCAGATATACTCACAATCTAACTCGACAGGCTTCACCTTCCAAGGAAGGATTGGCTTTAGCATGGTGTAGTTCTCGTCACGACATGCTGTACTGTAAGCCGGGCGAAATGTCGTAGGTACCAAGGTACTGGAAGTGTTGTATCTCAGGATACCTTGTCGCTCGTCGGGCTCATTACCAGGCTCGAAACCCTTGCATCTGTCCGCGCCTACTGTACGGATCCAATAGTTTCCGTCAGGCGATGCAGGAAGGACAGTAGTGTTGGTTGGAGTAGCATCAAGAACAATGTGGTAACGTTGGCCTGTTCATAGTCAGTTTTGTGATTGTTTATCATGTTCGAGTCACTCACCAATTCCTATGACGACGTGATCTACTTCATAAGGGTGAATAGGAACAAAGTCTGTCGACATGACTGTGAAGTTGTGGTTGTCGATGCTGAAGATCCAGGTTGTGTCAACTGAGGTGTTGATGACGCGAAGAATGTACTTTTTGCCCTTGAAGTTGTTAATCTTCGTCTTGAAACACGATATAGAGTCTCACCTTCTCAACGGTCATATTGAACCGTTCACGAGGGAAGCTTCCCGCAAAATTACCTTTAACGACATTAGTCTTGAAATAATCAAGCAGCAGTACATTATACATACCAACGCCGTTGATAAGTACACCATTCATCAAAGGTCTAGTCGGGCTATTCGGCACAAGTTCTCTCTGCCAACTCTGGAACGCACTTCGATGACTCCAATCCGTGATGAGAATCGGATCTCTGCCCTCATCCCACGGCGCACTTGAAGGTCCATAGATAGTGATCGGCCCAGCCAATCCATCAGCATACTGCAGCGAGTAGTGGCTATGGTACCACGATGTTCCATACTGGACTGCACGGAAGGTATAGGTAAAGCTGTCGCCGGGGGCAATAGGACACTGAGTAACGCCATTGACACCGTCCATTTCGAATGACTCGAGTTGACGAAGACCATGCCAGTGAATAGTCGTGCCATTGTATTCAAGGTTGTTATGAACTGTTACCTTGATGATGTCACCCCAGCATGCTTGGATCCAAGGACCAGGGTATTGCTCGTTGAAGACTTTACCATATGGATTATTGACGCCATCGCCATTGATGTCTTGGTTCGTGACGTTAAGAGTGTACTGAAATGGTCAAGATACTACAGATGACAGCGAAAAGGCAGAATACATACCTCCCTCACGATACCCTCGGGCCAGAAGTTCTCGTAGTCAGTGTTTATGTCGAAGACCTGATCATATGGACCTTTAAGCTAGCAAGAGCGATCATCTGCTGTCGTGCATTTCTCCCAGCCTCTAAGCTCAGGGTACTTGCACTCAAATTTGACGCCATCCCTTTCGGGGCCATTGGGAGCGGGAAAGCGGGGGTAAGGATGTTTGCCGACGGGAGAATCGTGAGTAAAGGTCAGCACGTCTTGGTGAGGACCTTGTTCTGGGAGACTGGGAGAGTGGAATACGGCAACAAAGGAGAATACGAACGCCTTGCAAGCGTCGGTAATCCACATCGTTGTGATATGAAGAGGCCAAGATTTCACGGTAAAAATGTAGTCAAATATGAAATTTAAGTTGAACGAAGAACAACACAAGGCTCCAACTTGAGTAGGGAAGCACAAGAATAAATCAATCAGCAAGGACGGGGCCAGATTTTTTTATCATTCTATACCTTCCATGTTTCCTCTGCTTTCATTCTAAGCAGGCTTCAAAGCTGACACGCCACAGTCAGCCGCTGTGTAACAGTTCATACGATCAGGCAAATCAAAGTTTCCATTAAAATATGATGGTGAACTGTCGGAATTTCAACCAACTCAGTTGCTCTGAAATCAGCCTTACGAGGTCCACGAGCTGCATGCAGATAACCTTCAGCCTATGGAAACTCATTGTGTCGGTGAGGGGCTCGCACCACATTCCTTGTTCCGAGCTGACATTCCTAAGCTCAAGGTTTCAGGTCAGCGCGTGAAGAATACAGCCATATACGGTAGCCGTTGTCCCTGATGACGATGGTTTGTGATACCGTAATATTCTGTGAAACTGATTAAGAGGAGTAAGCTGATTAAAGCAATTGTAGTGAGATATAGGTAAAGCAACATGAATTCACTAGAGACGTAAGCAAATTAACGATAGCCTCACTTTCCTTTATTATCCGGCTTAGATGATATATAGAATTAGTTAGCACGGTAAGGCCTAGTGATATGCCATAGGTGACTTACCCCCCTCCACTAATTTCACATAATATTACGGTAGTTGAAAAGAGCGTAAGTTGAGAGCTGGCATTTGGACCATTCGACGTGCGGTGCCGCGCCGCTACAGGATTTAGGGCTGACATCTGCATTCTTGGCAGTTTCTCAATCAGCCATGAATCAGCCCCTGGACCGTAAGCAGCCAATCAGTGGTGACACTGAAGCCGTCTGACGATGGAAAACCAGGCTGTGAGATACGAATGGGGAAACAAGAATAATAAGACGCCAAGCAGGCAATGATGGTAATATGGTTTGATTAATCCATAAATGAAGATCTTAAGTTCTGCCTTTTTTTTTTTGGTGGACTATTCATAATTGACAGAAGGACTACGACTGCTGTTTATAATGGACTCTAGGGAACAACACGCCAAGATAACACCTGATGATGTTACAGTAGAGATGGAACCCATAACAACGCAACTATACACGTTGCTTATGACTTACCGTTACATGCCCATTCAATCGTTCGATATAAAATGCCTCATCCAAGAAACTACTGTATTTTCGGGTACAGCCTCGGCCCTGTCCTGAGACGTTACGATAAATAAATGTCAGTTCCTCCCTCTCCCAGTGGGTCAACCATTACAATACGTTAAAAGGATATTTAGTTCATACAAAGCAACAAGACCAGAAAGCTCACCATGTCGGAAAAGCCAGAATGGTACGAATTCGAACGCAGCCTCAGAGCCAGCATCTCACGGTATAAAGAGGAGAGCTCACAAAGATACTGCAATCGCATGCATCCCCGGAGCGGCCCGGAGTCTGTTGGTCCACATATTGACTATAGAGGATTGATGTCATATCCTAAGATGTGCGGCGTGATGACCGACAATGAGATTGCCCACACGATGAGTACAGACCCGTCGTGGCAGTCGAAAGCTCGTGGTTGTCGATTGCACATCAGCGTGATCGAACAAGAAACTCATGATGATTATGACGACGCTGATGCGGTGGAGGACGAAGATCAGCCAACATGGCAAGATCGGACAATTGAAGGAAAAAACAGAAAGAGGGCGGACCTGACCTCGGTAGACCCTTGTATCTGCCTGGATGATAACGGCGTTGGAATTGCGTTTCTGCTTAGCCTAGGGCTCCTTCTCAAGACCTGTCCTGATGGCCGTGTGGTACAGGCCGTGGTGGAAGAGAATGCGGAGAGGACTTGTGTGCAGATACCGCCATCATGGGATCAAAGAAGTTTTATCACGCTCGCCAAGGTGTTCAGTCTACTCGCTCTAGCGTTGGAGCGCTTAGAGTACTTGGATATCCATCCGGACATGGAAAAGACACTCGAAGCAGCGAGGTCAAAGATTCAAGATGAGCTCTTGATGACTATTGCAGCAAGGACCAACGATACCGACTTGGAGGTTGCGGCGCCGGTACTGCCGTTTCTGCCGCTTGATCGGTTGTGTGGCCATGGTCAGAGTCTCACTTTGGAGCACTTTCAACGCATTGTCTCGAGAACTGTACCATATTATGCCGTTGCGCCAAGGGACAAGTTTCATCGAGCCTCATGCGGCTGCCTATTCCCTGGTGGGCTGGCCGAGATAGGCAAAGATTTGGCGGTACCAGAGACCAAGGTCATTCCTCAGCGATTTTACGATGCCTACCGGAGTAATGAGTCGCATCTGAAAGACAAGATTGTTACCATTCCCGTGGATACACCTGTGGATAACTACGTTGCTCTTTCGTACCCTTGGAACTCATACGACTCTGATGACCTAGAAAGGATCATCGCAACAGTCGACAAGGTACTGAAGCACCGGTACTATTGGGTCGATCGATGGTGTATTGACCAAGAGAGCTATGAGGACAAGGAAAGAGAGGTGCCGAAGATGAAGGACTATTACTCGAATGCCGAGAGCACTTTGATCCTTCCTGGAGTGGCACTTCCTACTGAGCTTGCTCAATTGAAGACCGATGGCATAAATGTCCAGTTGTTCAAACCTGAGTTGGCTGAGCAAGTCAAGGAGATCTGGAAGGACTGCCAGTGGACCCGACGCTGCTGGACATTGCAGGAGGCTTATATGAGTAAACAATGCATCTTCTGGACAGGACAAGAAGGCGCCCCTCTCATTCGTTGCTCTCAGCTTCTTGGTATATTACACAGTTCACCATTCGACGATCACTACATCAATGCCCTCCCCTACTTACCTGTCGACATTGGTCAGTTTGGCGAAACAACGCTGGTGGGGAGGTCATTGGCAATCGCCGAGTCAACCGCAGAGTCTATCTACCAAAGATCCATCGTCAGATGCGCTGGTCATGGAACTATCCTCGATGCGAACGCCTACCAGCGCCCTTTGGCAGTGCTAGTGGATAAGATTCGCGGTCGGGAAGCCACTCTGGAACTAGATGAGTACTACAGTCTCTTCTCCATGGTATCAGACAAGCTTCCCGCTGTCGATTACAAAATCAACACCCCCCAACTTATTGAGAGGATAATAAGCACCGGCGCTCTAGGGGCAAATATCCTATTGACCAACACTGGTCAAGGCTCTGGTGGTAAAGGAAGTTGGGTGCCTCGCAGGTGCATTCAGCGAGAGTATTCAATGATGGGGATGGAGGTCAACGCGTTACAACCGACTCTATCAGATGGCGCAATGATCATCAGTGCATATCCGCTCACAATGACGACTGAGAGCAAAGACCGCGACTGCTTTGCTGCTGGCTCTCAGATGACTATGATGTATTTCCAGCACTTTCCAGCCACAGAATATTCAGAGAAACATACTAGTGAAGTAGTTGTATCTGGCGTGATAAGTCGCAAGTTGAACAAAGCTAGCAACTATCTTCTACTGGAACCGCCGAATTGGGGACACGCGAAATACACAAGTGGGTTAGTGCTCCTGGCAACTGAGGAACAGCAGCCAGGGGACCATTGTGTAGTAGATGCTACACTTCTGGACAACATGACACAGGATAGATATCTGGAAAACCGGCACATGTACGATGGGAAGAGTTTCCGTCTTATTTAGTTGTAGACTATTATAGTTTGAGTAGAATTGATTGTCAGATGCAACTGTTAACTCTGTTTTTAATATTCCTTAACTACTCTTGTTTTTTTTAGCGGGTGCCCGATATTATCCCTCTGGAGTGTGTCTTAACAGGTATATCAATACACGAAACAGATAATAATAGCAGGCTTTCTAGTGTTGGTACCCTGTAATTGAAGATCTTAATTACCAACTTTCATTGGTAGACTTTGCATGACTGACACATAAGTCAAGACCGGTATGTGGGAATATTCCCGATATTGCGTCGCAATCCTTGCTGTAGCATCTCCTTTTTAAAGAACAAACTAGACCAGTGTGGCTGATAATGAGTTTCAGCCAAGGGCAATCCGCAGGGTATCAGAAAATTGACTACTGAAAATATGTAGGAGGATGTGAATAAGTTACACTATACTACAAAGGTCGAATTTTCTATCCTGATTACTACATTGACTTTTAAGTTACAAATTGGCTTTTCTAGTATCTCCTAGTCAATTAACTTGGTATCTACATGTTGCAATAATTGAGACTGTATAGATGATTGCTCATTCCTAGACTGTCTATCACTTCATCGTTGGTGAATATTCGTGATCATCTCTGTAGGGTATGTCAAGACATACCAATATGAGGCCCACCATTCCTCCAGCCAAGATAACCCCAGTCAAATCCAAATCAATTCATCTCTACCTAATTATCTTATCCTTATCCTTATCGATAGTCTGCTATCGTCTCTTGACCAATACCCTCCCAGCACAAGACGGCTTCTCCCATATCCGGACACACCATCGTCTCAACTCCACATAATATGCTTATTTCCTCCTCAACGATGTAACGCAATCTCATACTTTAGATCTTGGCATGTTTCCATCTGCAACGCCAACTGAAACAAGTTCATCCCTCTTTATCTATCATAATAATAATAATAAACTCTCGGACGTTTTTTCCTCTCTTTCGTTTCCTTTTCATCCCCAATTCAATCTTTTGTTATCGCCCTGGTGGCGTGATTTTGTTTCTTTGCGTATTATTTTCTCTTCTTATTGCCCTGGTGGCTATTCACGTTTAAACATATACCTTTTTTGTTTATCTTGTCTTTTTATGTTCCGATTGAATCATAACTAATAATATGTCGCGCGCTTCTTGTCCCGTTTCTGGCTCCATTGGGGCTTCATGTCCTGCGTCTAGATCTTCGCGAGGTAGTCGCAGTCAAAGTCGCAGTCAAAGCCAAAGTCAACGACGAGGATGTGCCTTTTCGGGCGCGAGCCAACCCGGTGATATCCATGCTGCCTTTGATGTATGTCTTGACTCCACCCTCTCCAACTCTCAACCACTACTAACTAATCATCAAGATCCCTCGAGGAGTCGATGCAGATGACTGGCTTCGAACAAGGTACGCTCGGCCCATCGTCCCATTGATCTTCAGAGACTAACACCATCCAGAGAACGAAGGTCCATCAACGAACTCCTCTACAAATCCTTCCCATCCCGCGAAACCCTCGATGGCGCAAAGACCCAACCCGAACTCGATGCTCTCAATGCAAGCGATCACTCCATCCTCGCTGCAGCCCTTGGCGCACCTGGTCGTCAAGTCCTTCGTCGCGCCGAAGAGATTGGCCCTGTCACAGGCTGGCGCGACGGCTACCTCAGCGTTGAACATGGCTTTTGCCCACCCGACTACGAAGAACCCATCGCTGCTCTCGCTAGATCACCCGGTCGCATCTGGTCTGATCTCTGTGAGCGTATGCCAGGATGTTGCGCACGAGGTCGCGTCAGAGAAGCTGTCGCGAAGCTACCTCTCGTCGAAGGCACAGAGGACAACATTCCCGACCAGGCACTTTGGGGAGCTGTTGTTGCTCTGGGCATGCTATGCTCTATTTACCGTTTTGAGGATAAGCATGATGGCACGGATGGTGTCGCTGTCACTTCCAGTACATCGACAAAACCCACTTGCGAGATGGGTGACAAGTTGTGTCAGGAACTCGAAGGTATCCCGATGTGTATTGCACTGCCTTACTTCCAGATCTCTCGACGCATGGGACGTTCCTTGCCTCATCTATCATTCCCTGATCAAGCATCCTACAACCTCAAAATCCGCGACACGAAGTCGACATACCCGTACCTGGCTCGTTTTGACAACACAGATCTTCGATGGCCAATGTTTGGTGAGCGTGCGGAAGTTGCCTTTCTCAAAGGTTGCGCAGATACATCTGGTGAGTTTACTAGTCATCTGTTAATACTCTCATCGCTGACCATTAATTGCAGCTTCATTCCAGCACGGCCCCGATGCCATCGCTGCCTGTCAAGAACATGTTATGACTGGTAATGTTGAAGGCCTCTTGCACGAGATGATCCGTCTCAAGGAAATTCTTGAACGAATGCCCAATGCCTTCCATAGCATTTCACCAAACCCCAATGCCGGTGACAACTATGTCTCTGCCGACAAGTGGGTTCGCTGGGGTTTGTTCTCTGCGCCTCTGTCGAAGCGTTGTCCCGCTGCTTCAGGCTTGCAGTTCCCACCCTATCTCATGATGGATGCATTCCTCGGTCGAAAGACGTGAGTACTCTTCCCGTCTATCCACCATATTTTGTACTAAAACATCACAGACACTCCTCCTTCCTCGGTGCCGAAGCTCTCCATCTTCGCGCTTGGCTTCCCTCCAACCACCGTGCGTTCATCGCCGCTATCCAATACCATTACTCCATTCCTCAATTTGTCCAACAGTCCAACGACCCACGCCTCAAAGGTGTCTTGGAAGGCATCGTGGAAGCCTACACTGGTGAACGCGGCTTCATGGGCGTACACAGATACAAGGTCTTTGGCATTCTTGAGGTTGCTGCAAAGACAGGCCGTACCGCTACCAACGGGCTTTCTGGAGCTGCAGACGCCAACAGACCATGGGAAGAGACCCATCGACAATTCTCCGACGCCATGAAAGAGCGATTGGAGCCTTTCCGAGGCAAACTTGACTTTGAGCCGCATTCTATGAGAGGCACCTTTGAAGAGTGCAGGTACATGGGTAAAGTGGCTGGCGTGAGCTCCATTGACAAGGATACTAAGAGGGGGACTGCCATGGTCACTATCGACATTCGAGACACAGGCATCACATTTTCGCCTGGTGATAGAATGGCAGTTATGCCACTCAATTCATGGGAGGAAGTTGCGAAGATGGTCGCAGCTTTGGGTCTCGACCATCACCTTCGAGCCGATGTCTACACCACTGGAACGTGGTCTCGCTTCGCTCAACATCTCTCTTCCATCACCAGCACTCCCAATCGTCTCAACGTCCTTGATATCCTCCGCCGAGGCCATCTCGCACCCATCACCAAAGATCTCGCCGTCAAAGTCCACGAACTCCTTCATGCTTCCTCAAGCACTGTCTTGCAAGTACTTGCTACTGACGAGTGGCCTGTTCGTGGCTCATTGGGCGATCTTCTCCAGCGAGCCGTCACCGATACGCCTAGTCACATATGGGACAAGGCATTTAGCCTCGACGATCTAGATTGGTTGACTGACCTTGTGACTCTGGAGGTTCCCAGAACGTACTCCATCTCGAGCTACAGCAATGACCTTCTGCCCAGCACAGTTGACCTCACAATCTCTCGCTCTGAGTATGATCTCTGTTCCATGTTCGACCAAGGCGAGAGTGTCGTCCGGGCTGGTGTCTCGAGTGGCTTCTTCAACCCTGACCCTTCAGCCGGCGCCGACAGCGCCATTCTCTCCGATGATGTGCTTATCGGCGTCTCGCGACCTGTGTCGTTCCAGCTTCCCATCGATGACATGGCCCCTTGCGCATACTTCGCAGGTGGCAGTGGAATCGCCCCGTTCCGCAGCTTCTGGCAGCACCGACTTGCAACATCCGGACTTTCTGGCGGTCGGAACCTCCTCTATCTCGGAGTTCAGTCTCGGGACAAGTTCTCCTACGAATCTGAACTTCGCAAGCTTGTCAATATCGGATTCATGGAAGTCCATCTTGCTCTTTCTCGAGATCCCAATGGCTTGGTGTATGACGATGTACTGCGCGATCTAGTGGAGAAGGAGATTCCCCCTCGATACATCGACACCTTGATCATTGAGCAGGGAAGCACTGTCTGTGACATGGTCATGTCGAAGAAGCAAGGCGGCTTGGGTGGATATATGTATGTCTGCGGTTCTGTCTCTGTGTTTGACTCTGTCATGAGCGGTATTCGCAAGGCCATCTACACGTATCGCACTGCTACTATGGAGACGGTGGACAAGATCATCAACAAAGCTTTCGCTGAGCGACGTTTCATGTTGGACGTGTTCATGTCTCCACGAGCCATACCCGTCAATCTGCCGACCATCTCACAATCCAGTTTGGCCTTGCACACTGGTCATCGCAAGGGCGGACGAATGTGGATTGCTGTACACGGCAGTGTGTACGACGTTACAGACTTCTGTCCGATGCATCCCGGTGGTACACTCATCATCAAGTCTAATGCCGGAGTGGACTGCACCAAATCCTTCGACAATTTGGCCCACACCAACAATCCCGAAGTATCCAGTCTGCTTACCCGTTACTTCATCGGTCATTTGTCGCCCAAGCCTGACTATCGCGACAAGGATGTTTCCAAGCTGCATGATCTTTGGTCAGCGTATCTGCGAACCACTGTTGAGACTCTTGTCGCGCATCAATTCGAGATGAACGATATTATGGGAGACACTCTTGATGCACCTTCAAAGGATGACCCCAATGGTATTACCAACATTTGGCAGCGCGAAGACCTTCCCAACATCATCGCCATTCGTACCTTCTACGGCTACCAGAGCCGTCTCTTGCAGGGTGGCTTCGCGGCATTGTTTGGCCCCAAGTTGGAGGAGCTTGTCCTGCGACTCTCATTTGTCTTTGCAAGCGCTGGTGGACCTGGCGCTGCTTACAAGCTACCTGACATCCTGGGAGTCATTGCTCGCGCAAAGACAAGTCCCGACGCAGCACTCATCACCAAGGAGATTAGCGCCCTCGGCGATTTTATCTGCGATCCCACATCTCAACTCCGCTTCCAGGAGCGAGGCGTATTTAGCTACACAGCTAAATGCGTTCAGCTCGACATTGAACTTCTTGAAGATCTGCGACAAGAAGCTTGCAACGGCATGGATGCTTTTGACAATGTTGCGTCCATGCTTGATCATTCCGATCCTGATGCCACACCATTGGCTGCGCTATCTACGTTCTTGTTACGAACACTTGAGAAGATGGCTCATCGATTGGCAATGTTCTATGCTCAACTTGCACGTCTTTCGGTGTACCAGCCGGAGCTTGAGCACAACCCTGCTCGCACGCGATGGGCATTTGTCAGAAAATGCATCCGCGATGGCACATTCTTCGTGCTTACAAGGGAAGTCAGCAGCGAGACGATGCTGGAGCAGAGCGATTTCTACACCGCGTCTCAAAAGACAAACTTTGACGAGGTGGTGACACAGATCAACCACCGTATCAGTATGATGGTTGAGGAAGTACCACCGGAGCCTGAACCAAGCAGTGTCAACGCGGTGCATCAAGAACGTGGGAACAACTTAAGCAACACGACTACAGTGGATTCAGCAGCAGAGAGACTCAACGTGGGAGCAGTTTCGAGCATGTCTTCATTTATCCAGAACAATAAGACTGCAATTCGCCGGCTGAGCAGTATGCCCAACACATACATGGCTAGTCCATACCAGCTGCAGAACCTCCAGACAGCTCTATCGTCAGATCCCAACCAAATGCTCAGTGCGCGAATGATGATGATGACAGGATACGCATCAACACCAAGTGTATCATCGCGCACGTCATCACCATCCTCACGACGAACCTCCGTAAGTCTCGGAGCATCAAGCGCTACAAGTTCAATGCCTCATTCATCGGGAGGAGAATCGCTATTGAAGATGGATGGAATGAATAGGCGATCTCGTGGACAGAGTGTTGCTTCTTCAGCGAGACAGAGTATGAGTTTGGCATCGTCTGTAGCAGAGAGGAGAAGTTTAAGTGTTTCCAGTTTGCGCATGTCGAGGAATATGAGTATGAGTGGGATTGGAGGTGTTAATGCTTCGAGGGGAAGAAGTGAAGAGGCTGGACAAGGGCATGGGCATATGAGGGAAGTGTCTGCTAGTAAGCTTCTTGCATTGAAGTTGGGGGCTTTGGCGGAGCAGAGGAGGAACTTCTATTAATTGGAGTTGTATAATACAAAGTAGTAATCAAGTTTATCTAAGCGCAAAACAATTTGTATTAAAAGAATGAGTAACTTTCCATTTGTCTAAGTGGTACAGTGTGGTGTTGAACAGAACCCAATATGCCTGAAAGCTGATTGTGTTACCGATTTAGTGGTTTGTGCAAATATTAGAGCACCTAGTTTCAGTGAGTAAACAACCTACAAGCACTAATATTTTCGTGGGCTGGTCTTTTTTAGGCCTTGTTTTTTTTTTTTCTCTTCGGGGCCCCCCTGCCTGATTCTCTGGTAATTCTCTCACTAGTGCTTCTTCTACCGTAGACGAAACCTTTGAAGTCATACTCGAGTGGGTTGCATCTGAGGGAATCCGTCAACGAAAGATGCAAACATATACCGCCAGTCTGTATGGATAGGAATAAACTAATATGCACAGTTTAGGTCCAAGGAGCTATAAGATCTAACTCTGGGATCCGACAAAGAGTGCGGATACGTACCCTGACATATTTTCCTCAACGTGGCGGTAGTTGAAGGTGAGTCGGTACTCAGCCCACGGTGGGTCAGACTCATTTTTTCTAACCATCACTGTTTTCATACAGTTTGTCATTCAAACCGCTGTGTAGCCAAGCTCATGCATCAAGTTGAGATGCGATGAACTCCACACGCTAAACGGCATACCGTAAATACCGCTTGTAGTGGCTGGCTCTAGTGAGATCGTGATACACTACAAAACCTTCTGTAGACTATTGACTTCCCGTGTGCACGGTGTCTCGTATCAGTTGTACAACACAGAATTACATCACTGACAAATAATCGTGACCAATGGAACTACTACTGTAGTCATCTCGGTAGATCAATTATCGTGATCTGCATATGTGGCCAGCTGAAAAGCTGCATGTCTCATTCCATCAGTCATCATGTACTCCCTCGGCGCCTGAGACTGGCTACTCATCCCTTTAGTTCATTTGGTGGTACATTCCAACCACGAATACATCAGCATCGCATCTCTCACATACATCTTCCGCTATCAAGAAACATTTAGCGGTGGTGTTTGATCAATTTTATCCCATTCACACAGCTTGGAACCATGAGAGTTCCAGCACAACGTACCACGGGCCATAGGCCTATGGGCAAATTCGCTCCTCCGCAGCGACCAAGAATTCAGCGATGGCTAGCAGCCAAGCTCAATGAAGCGAACCAGAGAAATGATCTCCCGCTTGATCCAAGTCTCGTTGCTTTTCAACAGCTCGTCCACAGTAATCCAACCTGGAAAACCCTGTCCGACGACATGTTTACCCAGTCATCCAAGCACTACGACCCAACCGGTGTACCAGCCATTCAAAGTTTTGACGAGTTTTTAAACGTGGTCAATATCTTCATTAAATCATCGCCGCCGTTCTATATCAAGGAAACACCCGAAACAGCTATGGAATTGATCGGACTTCCCATCAATACTATTCTAGATTGGCCAATGGGTACGATGGCTGGTTACGACTTCTGGCTCATACCGGCCATCAACGCCTCTTTCAAGGATGTACTCAATACTTGGGGTTCGTTTTTAAACTCACCTGCGTCAAAGGCTACCTTAAAGCATTGGTTATCCCCAGAATCACTGGTGATGATTGAAGATGCAGCGAATTGCGGCAAGGATGGTTCGAAGTTCGATGAGATCTTTGTGTGCGATCCAACTGCACCCTACTTTGGCTACACAAGTTGGGACGGTTTCTTCACGAGGAAATTCCGAAATGGCGTTCGTCCGGTCGAATGTCCCGACGATGCCTCTCCAACGTTGAACTGTCCTGACCCAACACTGGTCATAGTCAATGCTTGCGAGTCAGCTCCATTCAAGTTGGCTGAAAACGTCCAACTACAAGACACATTCTGGCTCAAATCTCAACCTTACTCCCTGGACAGAATGATGAACAGCAACCCACTGGCAACTCAATTTATCGGTGGCACAGTCTACCAGGCCTTCCTAAGCTCAAAGAGCTACCATCGCTGGCATGCTCCCGTCAGTGGCAGTGTTGTTGGGATTGAAAAGGTTCCTGGCACATACTTCAGCGAGAATTTCTTCGAAGGCATAGCCGGAGCTGGAGACTGGAGATATGCAGACCCTGCTGCACCCAATAACTCACAGCCTTACCTCAGCGCTGTAGCTACGCGAGCTATAATCTGGATCGAGGCGAAGAATCCAACGATAGGTCTGATGGCTGTCGTGTTCGTCGGTATGGCTGAGGTTTCGGGTTGTGAGTTTACGGTCTCGGTGGGTGACACTGTAATCAAAGGACAGGATATTGGTATGTTTCATTTTGGGGGCAGCACTCATTGCTTAGTAGTTCAGAAAGGAATCAAGCTTGAGTTTTGCAATGCGCCGCCATGGAACATGGCTACGGAGTATAACAACCGTGTAAACAGTGCTCTGGCCATAGCTAGCCCATGCGAGTAGCCTGTAGTCTTTAACTCTCATAGACCTAACCTTAATTGACGAAAGTCCTCAGCATAAACTTAGAATTTACATGAGATAATCTTGTATCCCAGTCATAATTGTGTTATGTCATGGGAATAGTGAAAGTTTCCAAGAAATACTGAAGTGAGATCCCATTGCAACAACTATCTTCAGAAAAGTCTATCTAGTGTAATCCAGTTTGTCCTGAAGTGGGAAGACATCAGTCTCTTTGAGCAGATAACTCTTGATCTCGTCCTGGGGCCATTTAAAGTCCAATGTACCAGTACCCCGAAAGTCAGACCCTTTGGGAAACGTCATGGAAACGCTTTCCAGATTCTCGAAATCACGTATAGTCTTCAAAGCATCGTGTACGCTACCTTGAAGAAACCATGGAGATGGTAATTTGAACTCGCGAACGGTTGAACGATGCTTACTGACCAATCCTCTCAACTCATCGATAGTCATGGGTTGGTACTGTAGCCGAAGAGTCTCCAGTCGCGGCCAGGACATATCCAAAGGCAGTATCTCACCCAAAGAGACGGTTGGCGTTGAGTACCGAGGGTATTCTACAAAGTAGATATCTAGAAACTCGAGATTCGGCGCGCTAAAGAATGGCTTCGTGATAGAGCCCAGTGCCATCATCTCATCTCTGGGATTCTCGTTAAGATTATGAGGACGAGAGAAAAAGTCGAAACGGAATGTCAAGCCTGAAGCTTGTGAAACCAACCGCTTCACGTTTTCTTGCTGTGCGGGAGACATTGTCAACAGTCGCATGTCGGGCGGTGGCTTCAAGGCGATTCTAATTTGCTTGGGCCTAACTCCATTCTCACCAAGCTGGGAGCACAACTCCCCCAGCATCTCCAAAGGAGGAATTGTCGAAATGTCAAGCTCTCCATTGTGTTGGCGTGAGCCATCTGTTTTGAAAGAGCCGCACCAGCCAGATTGACGGATGAAAGTGTCAAAATGTTGCAAGATGTTTCGATTATACCCAGTGTCGGTAAAGTCTTCAGGTGCTAGATGATTGGCACCGAGCTTGGTTTGTGTTGTTTCTCTCATGATCATCTTTTTCCCATGAGTGTCATCCATATTTAGTGATTGGAGGCCTGGGAGAGAACACAAAGCATGTACTAGGCGATCGATATGTGCATTATCCTTTCGCAGGCTCTCTTGGTCGTCGAATCTCGTCTTGTACATGTCGTATGCCTTGAGGTACAATTTTTGGATTGGTGTGGGAGGCGCCTGGAGGTCTTCTCCTCTGATCAGTTGCTGGACGTCAGAGCTACTGCTCCAAGCAATATTTCCTAACCATCGAAACAACTCGTCTGAAATGTCGTACCGTTTTCTGTACCCTCTCATTCGTTCCATGGTTTCCCAGTGTCGCAAAAGCCTTGAATTGGCTTCCTTCATGTACAGCTGTTTGTCGTTGGCCAGTTCGACTTCGTAGTATGATAACAAGATGTGGACTTTCTGCACGCCTTTACTGAATATGGGATGGGCACAGATAGTTTCGAAACGTGCGAAGGACTCTGTGTTGAGACAGACTGAGACCTCGGTGACGAGGAAAACCGAGGACGCATCTCTGAATCTTCGTGATACCAAGCGACTTTGTGCAATTGACTCTTGTCCAATTTTGGAGTCATCGCGGACATGAGAGAAGATCTTACTCAAAAGCTCAGCGGGTATAGTGTTGATGTTAGTGGTTGATGACATGATTGAGAATGTTTCAAAAGGAAGATGACGGAAGGTAAGACGACAAAAAGGAATTATTCTTTTCAGTCATAGTCATCCTATATGAAGTGTCTGGTTATAAGCTGTTGCCTTGTTTATGTGGATAAATCACGTCACAGCATCGCAGTAGGATCAAGACGCGTTGGAGCATCTTCCAATGAAACAACTCAACCCCGCTTCGAATCGAGGTATTGGTTGGACCTTGGGGCGGTGCAGGGCTTTTTGAGTGGCTGTGAATATGCCACGGTATCAAAATGTGGCTATGAAAGCAACAGAGATGAATGAGCAGGGATGGGATAGATAATCGACTATGCTTGTAGCCCGAGCTTTTCGACATTTGTATGAACTTACCCTCGAGTTAAAAATATTTACCACGTAAGTAAGGGACTCCTTCAAGGTGTTTTAACATCCGATTGTCCAATTGCATAGACTGTATAAAAGACCAATAATATTTCCTTGTAATTATTTATATCGTTTGAGCTCTTGATGTCTATTGATAAATAAGCGTACGTGTAAATGTGATTAACATTAGTATCAGTCGCTACCTAATTATTGCCACAGCTCTACAAGCATTCAACGTGATTGGAATTTCTCTTCCTGCAATCTTTCTTTCTCCTTCAGGCTTTTCTCTTGTATGAATCTTAGCATAAAACTCCGTGTAGAGAGCTTCCTCATGATCAAAGCCAGTTAGGTGGACAATAAACTTGACTTCCAGGTGGCTCTGGCAATTTCCGCATTTTTCAACATTCCAACGACTGAGGACTGGCTTGGTCTCAAGAAGACGGTCGGGCATCCCCTCACTGGTCTTGGCCCATACAGACACGACGAAAGAACCGGAGATCTTGGAGCGATTGATCCCGCTGATCTTCAACTTTGGTGCATCTACGAATCTTTGAGCCGGGGCCATGAGATTCAAGTAAGGTAGGCCTGACTCGGAATATGTGTACCCAAGCTTGGAGATATCTATCACATCCTGGGGGGTGTTAGTCCTGCTCATATGTGGCTTTGATGTACATACATTCGATGTCATGTCTCGCTGCTGTCCAGTAGTTTGATCTATTATCTTAAAAGGTTCAAGCGGATAGTCCATGGTAAAGTTTGCGATTGCCTTGCCACGCTTCATAAGCTGCGTCCCAGGATATCCCTTCATTATGTCGAGATTGTCTGTCTTGTTATGACGATCTTGCCACTTCCAGAATATATAATCGATAAAGCAGTGATGGAAGAAAAAAAGAGGGTCGAAGGCTGCCGTGTCATTCTCCCCCATATCTCCATTCGCAAAAGCATAAACATTATGATTGTTGTCGCCAGGAACATCAAACCCTCCAGCAGCAAGGTGAATAGCGTTGTGTGGTTGCTCAATGGGAATGACAGGAGAAACCGTTGGTTTGCCTCTGTTCTCCTCGTTGTACCTGTCGGCCGACGTGGCATTGGAAAATACTGTGTAGTTGGGTGCTTCAAGGCAATTGACATAATTGTCTTTTTCGCCAGCCGAAATCCATTTCTCGTTATAGGTCTGGAATTTCTGGAGATGTAACCAGCGAATGACATTTTGATTCAGAATCTTGGTCACTTCGTCCGGCGTCTTCCCATCCAAGGCTGAGTTGTGAACTTTGGTCCTGTCTGCAAATTTGTCACTGACCAGACCAGAGTATGGGTACCGCACTGTCTGATATCCTACTGGCTTGGTATCCTTGCTAGTTTTCTTGTCGTCTACATCCACAATGCCTTTCTGGAGTTTGTAAGAGCAGAGAGGGTTAAGAATTGAGGCCCCATCTTGGAATGTGTACTCTCTATCGGTAAAAAGACGAGGAATGCCCTCTTCTCTGGTCTTATTGGAGGCTTCGTCCCAGTATGGAAGAGCCAGATCTTCACAACCAGGTGCAGTTCGCAAAGATTCTTCTAGTCGACAGATATATGCACGATGCCAGGTCGGGAAGAGAACGACGCCATGATAGCAATACTGAGGCTCAGGTAAGCCATGGTAGCCGGCAATGGTGAAATATGAATTCTCATCATCTGGTGGTAACTCCATAATATGTTTAAATGCACGAATAACAGTATCGCGCTCTTGATCGGAGAGCTTGCGAACATCTTTGCGCACCTTCAGTTCGGTCATGATAGATCAGAGTAACCTGGCTTGGAGAAAAAATGGAGGAATGGTATCATTAAAGAAATGATTCAGAGGAAGGCTGGCAGCAGATATGAAATGAAAATGATGTCAAAGCGGGACGTGGCGATTTCGGGATGATCCTGTTGGGTGAGCTGAAAGTCTAAACTCAATTACGACTATCATTCCAGGTTTCTTCTGTCTTAGTTCAAAAGATCGGCGGTGAGAATTTAGACAAGTCTACGGATATCTGCAGCGCTTTGAACTTGGCTAGTGCAGATCAACAGATCGTAGACCTAAAGCATGTGTGATGTCTCAGAAAACAGGACACTCAGCTTGCCTAGTTGCCCCCTCCTCCTGGCCAGCCAACGAGTAAATGTCTTGGAACAGCTTGACTAATATGGCTGATTACTAACCAAATGAAAATGCAGTAACTGCCATTGGCCATTTCACCTTTCGATCGTCAATTAATGGCCGGATTTCACACAAACAAGCTGGTTGGACTACCGTATCAACTCATGAAATTCGGTAGCGCGTTTTGAGCCCGCTAGCTAATTGGGAAGTCTATCCAATGCAGCTCTCTTCTATGCTTGGTCGATTCTTACGCTACATATATACAGTCAAAACGCGCTACGAAATTTCATAAGCTGATATGACAGTGTTTGTGGTGTTGATTGCTAAGGGAAATTAGTGTATACATCATCTCGTCTATATTCTTGCTAATATATCTCTCAAGCTCTTCCTATGAGTAGGGGTTTGCTTGATCACCGCGCCAGGTGATCAACCAGAGCAGGAGTATGTCGAGTGTGAGCCACTTGTTTGACTAGACTTGTAGCCTAAGCTTTTAAGTGTTTCAATTAGGAATTTAACGATGGCTGTAGCGCGATAAAGTTGGGTTTGTTAGTGATTGATAGGCATACTCTCTGTCCCATGTTATTTACTATCTGTCTCGTCTCACTTTGACGATGCCCTACTACGTTTAAACACCAACCCATCATCCAAGCACGCCTCGTTACAATCCTAAACGCAATATCACTAGACCTCGTAATACACCCAGACCTAAGATACCTCTGCGGAGAGTAACCATGCGGTAATGTAATACTTGATTGTAAAATTCAATAAATAATAAATTGAAATGCATCAAATAAATGCAACTAACAAGTTCAGAGAAGAGACTTGACTGAATCAATAACTGTCTTCTCATATGGTATCCAATCGATTCCAAGAATCGTGTTTGCTCGAGTGATATCATAACCAAAGGAATCGAGAGCTGGGTTTGGGTCGCCTCCTTTATTGGCCTCATCCGGCAGCCTGTTTCGCAAATCTGGGAAGTTCTCGTATAGGACTCTATACAAATCTTGGTTACTGTAGTACCCGGCAGTGATAAAGATGCGTTTATCCGCTGCCTCATCGGTCTCTACAGCCTTGACATGGGCAAGTGCTACATCTCGGACGTCAACCCAGAGAGGGAGCTGAGTCGCAGGAAGACTATCTTTATGCTTCCCATTGATGATATCGGCCAGAAGTTGGTTCGATGTGTTGACAGAGTCGAGTGACTTGACTGGGTATTTGACTGGACCATAAATCATGGGCGGGCAGATAGTTGTGAGGGAGAAGTTGGGTTTCTTGTCAGCCATGAAATCCCAAGCGGCCTTTTCAGCAAACGCTTTAGATGCAGCGTAAGCAAGCCCGGGGTTGGAATAAGCATCATCCATAGTGAGAGGACTCCAATCGGATTCAGTGTAAGTCTTTTTCGCGCCTGTAAAGGATAGCTTGGGGTCCAAGATGGCGGCGAAGGATGAAGTCAAAGCAACTCGTCGAACGGTGGGACAAGTCTTGTGTAGTGCATCAAGCACTGAAGTTGTACCAAGGACAGCTGGATCAATCAAGTCCTTCTTGGCGTCTGTGATGTTGTAGTGAAACTGGAAAGGAGGGTTAGCCTTGGAGAAGATTATAAAAACGCCACAGACTCACGGGACTGGCGACGTGAATGGCTGCTTCAAGGCCATATGCACCCAACCCTTGGAAAGCATCCTTGGCCGCAATGTCAGGTACGATAGCAAAGTCAAGCTTGTCTTTACCAACGCCCTGAAACTCCTTGCGGATTGACTGGGCCTTTGCCTCCGAACGAACAGTAGCTACGACACTGTGGCCGCGCTTGAGTAAGGTATCAACCACATGTCCGGCGACGAAGCCAGTGCCACCTGCCTATTTGTTAGATACTGTCATCGTTATAAATAGGCTACAGAGATAACATACCTGTGACAAGAACTCGAGTCATTGCGAATAGTTGTAGGATAAGTTAACGTTATACTTGGGAGATGATTGAGAAACTGGATTATCTTGCTGGAGACTGGCTGCAAAGCTTATGGACTTAAATACATAATGAACTCTTGTCGGCCTTCGGTTTACATGAAATGCCGACGGTAAAACTGTCTTCTCAGATGCAATCCGAACTAAGCTTTTCTAACTCTTAGCAAACTTTAATCAGACTACTCTCGGCCCGGTTCCCTTCGTGGTAGCTAGGCATGGCTTGTTGGTGGATACTCGTGTTATGGACTTAAACCTTATATCCGGATTTATATCAGCGGCCTGCAGACTATCTTATGCTGCGGTTGCATCGTATGCCATCATAGCCCAAATAGTCCAATAGTCCGCATCCAGTCTTCTCTTGTATATGTCAAATAGATCCCTCGCTATCCGCACATTATCCTTCTCTGCTATGTATTCCATTATTCACCATACCTATTCCTGCAGGAAATGCTCTGTGGACAATTGAGCAGCCTGATACAGAGATGCTATTAATACCCTGCACTCTAATTTCTGCATCGGTTGATAGCCTTGGAAATCTCTGAACAGTATATTATTATATAGTATCTTTCCTTACCAAGGTTATTTAAGTAGTAACTGACAATGAGATGTTAGACCGATTTACTTCTTTTATTGCAGGTTTTGCCTTCTAAGATGCAAAAGTAGACAAACCATTCTGCAAACCCAGCTCAGTAATCTAATAATAGCAAAGGGGAGTACATACACTAGATTAAGCAACAGTGTTGATAACTCGCTGGTTGCTGCCAGCCTGAGCTTTAGTGTTAACAACGTGAACCGGTACTAATATCTCCGAGAGTCAATGGAATACTAAAATTACATATAAAGGCCTCATAGTTGTTACTATATGCATTTCCAATGAAGCTACCTATATCATGTTATAGTTCAATGAAAGCGCCCACTGTCTAATGAGCGACCTCCGCCTCAGATCATTTGTTCTACTCCGTCTGCATTTGCATTCACATAATGACCTTGGGGTGACCTTCATTTAGCACGGCAATCCGCCGTTATTCGCACCCAAGCAAGTACCCTCCAAGTCCACCTGTGCAGGCCAACGAGCCCACTAAGAGGCTTCCACCCTGCCAATAAGTCTTGTGGAGTACAATGACCATATCGCCAACACGAGAATAAGGGCAGCCGCCGAGTTTATTCACACTAGAGCAGCTTTACGCCGTTACAACGACGCAAGCATCTGGTCAGAGACAGGCAGAGATACTGTTGATAGTAAAGAGCTGCGCTATGTATTTGTGTTTGGTATCGTAGGCCAGGTTCACAAGGTGTGCAGGAATAAGGTTTGGCAATGACAAGTATAATCCCTGTCTGGATTATGGGTCCTTTTCGACGCCGGAAAGCACCGCGACAAACATAGATTTAAAAAAAAATCAAGATGCACAGAACTTATCGTTCTCCTTGTAAGCTTTGAGTTTAAGTGCGCAATATGGAATATCACTCTCTGAATTTATAAACTTTAAAAACATAACTTTAACTTTTATGAATCCAATAGTCATTTAAATCTATTTATAAAAGGTCTCGAAATTTATATAATATTTAAGGAGAAGTTAAATCTATAGGCCCAAAGTGATAGTGAATATTTGTTCCACTTACGTAGCTTAGGTGCAGTCCTAAAGCAAGACCCCACGTCTAACCTTGTCTTTGGCATTCACTGTTACGTCGTACAGAGTAGTTACAATCCTTGTCTTTAATCGGCCTACATCAATGGGTCTTTGTGTATAAATACTTGATCAGATCGTTCCCCTTTCTCTCTATTCTATTATTTAATCTACCACAACCATCTTCTCTATTCAGCCTTTCAGTTGCATATTCCAATCATACATGATGTCTTGGAACCGTATCGCTGTCTACGGCCATCGCGGGTTATTCAGCTCTCGAATTGCTGCTGCATTTGTCGCGTCCGGCGCACCTGTCACCATTTTGTACCGGCCTGAATCGGACGCTTCCAATTTCCCCGCCAACGTCCCCACCATCAAGGTAGACCCCTTTGACGAAGATGCAGTAGTCGCAGCCTTGCACGACATTGATGTTGTCATGTAAGTTTAAAAGAGGTCGCCGTGTACTGAATGGGACGAGAACTAAGAAATCGTCAGCTCTCTAGTAGGGGACAACGGTGTCGATGCGGAGCAAGGCTTTGTCCGGGCTATCCCCCGAACCCAGGTCAAGCTGTTCGTACCATCCGACCTCGGGCTTCGCTACGGTGAAGAAGGGATGCTGATCCCTCTCTTGAGGAAGAAGGAGGACATTCAGGAGGCTGCTAGGCAAGCGGGTATTCCATTGACTGTTATTCTCATCGGCAATTTCGCAGAGTTTACTCTCGGCTCTATGTGAGTACTTTCTTGATAACCGGCGATGGTTGCCAGAATTGCTGACAAGATTTGACCTAGCGCAATGGGAATTGACATCAAGGGAAACAGACTTCTCTACACCGGCAATTCGGCCAAAGAAAAGGCTGTCATGAGGTAAGTTTCGACACCGAACCACCTGGGCGCGATTTTAGGGACATCAGTTGACCACACGTTGTAATATAGCACGGCAGACTATGTTGCGGCCGCATACGTCTCGATCTTCACCCGCAATCCTATCGCCAAAATCAGCAACCGAGCCATCGGTTTAATCGAGCTCGCCCCCACTGGCGAAGAGATCGCCGAAGCACTCCAGAAAAAACACGGCGAGGAGCCTAAGATCTTCACTCAAAGCGTTGAAAAGGCTGTAGAGGACTTCCATACTCACCGTAACTCTGATCATCCTGTCCTCTCCCGTCTCTCTCCAGCCTGGTTTTACCGCAAGCTTTGGGGAACAGGCGAATTGACGAGTATGCTTGGTTCTGATATTTGGGATGTTCCAGGGTATAGAAAGGCTACGGTAGACGATCTCATTCTCGAAGGGAAGGTAAATCCTTATCGGGATCTGTCCCAGGTTTTACCATACCTTGAAGAAGCTATGTTCCCATAAATATACTCTTTCTTGGCTATCTATGAGTAAGAGCAGATTCTCTAGAATATCATTGCATATAGCTAGGTTTTAATAGACTAGTGTTTTGTCAAATATTGATTTAAGATAAAAGAAAGCTAGTAAAATCTAAAGACTAACTTGATGAATTATCCTTATTATATTTCTTTCAGTAACCTTATTCTAGTAATAAATCCTACAATTATGAACACCTTTCCCTATCCTATATCTCTTATTTAATATTTACACTTAAACTTGCTTCCTCTATACAGCTAAGACATCCTTGCACAACTCTACCAAACAGTGTTAAGCGAGATTACTTTCAACACAGATACCTTAACACCTACATATTGCATAAACCATTCCCTAACCCTTCACAGCCACAAGTGAGTCGATGCCCATACTCGTGACCGCCACATTCGTGTTTAGCTCCTCAGGCTTCATATGTAGCATACCACAAAACGCCGTCGTGAAACTAGTAAGAAGAAGCTCGGGAAATGCGTCATAATCTCCTACAGACGCCGCAAGCTGCACTTTGAGCTGTACATTACCGCCATCCTCGACAGTAGCCTCGCCTATTTCTTTAGCTGACTGAAGAAAATGTCATAAACGAGGCTGTTCTCTCTATGAGTAAGTTCTAATGTGTCCGCGGATTCCGGTGATGATGCCAGGTCTCTTGCAGGCAATAACCTCAGCTAACATGTCGTGAAGATCCGTCTCGCTAACAGGAAACATGAGCTAATACAGCGAGCCCTCCACAGAACCAACAGCTGGTGTTTAAGCCACCTTGACAAAAACTGCCTGGCCCAGGCTGCGCTCAGGAAGCTACTTGGATGGCCGCACACTAGGCTCGTCCTGTGCCTGAGGTTATTTACTTATCAAGTAGCGCAGAGCGTCCAATCTCTTCCCCTGAAGACGGGTTTGGACGGGTATGATGGCCTCGACAAGTAATCAACCAGCGAAGGAGCATATTTCAAGTGAGCCAACTGTTTCCCACGTGACAGACGGTTATTTCACCTTCATCTGTGATAGCACTCTCCATCCGAATATACTCGTTGTTCGTCATGTTACGTAGCAGCCACCGACTTCCCTGTTCAATCGTCATTGCGGGAAGACACGATCGCATGTTTGCGTGAAGGTGGCCCGGAATATGAGTCATTGAGATCTTGCCATCAAAAGACTCGACATAGACCTCGTTGTATCAGAAGGGAGCCTGATAGGATTCTAACATGATATTGTCATAATAGTCTCTCACTGGATAATTCGTGGGATTCAACAATGGTGCATCCGGTGTATGTACTGGCACTGCATCTTGATATATGTCCTCCAGAGATGGAGAAAAGCCTTCAAGAAGCTAACTCGCGTAAAAGATTGGAGTTCCAACTAAAGAACAGACATATTTCCATCTCGGTAATCCATTCAGTGCAACTTGAACAAAAATTCCCTAGAGACATCGTGAGGACAAAGCCAAGGCGACAGCATCTTCGGGCCTTGAAACTTGAAGGATTTGACCCAGCATCTCAACTGGAAGTCTCCCTAATCTACTTTGGCCTTGCGAATTATTCAGTATCCAACCTTTAATCACCTGTCAGTTACAATAAGTGCCCAGGAATTGAAACACTCTCCACAGCACTAGGCTCGCAATTAAAATGAACACTTGCTGGGTTTAATCCGGAAATCGATAGCGTGTTTACGGGGCTTCTAGCGCGGCGCGATAGTCAATAGTCTTCCAATAGTGCGCTGACAAGTTCTTAGTAGACCCATTTGAGCTGAAAATTAGGGGATGTTGAGATTTAATATTTAGGTTACGAGAGCAGTTTCTTTTACAGTCTCGTTTTCTTCTCACTCTTTTGTGTTTTTAGTTGCCAAACTTACCACAGTCGCTCATTAAGATGGTTCAACTCAACATGATCGTAGGCTCTCTTGGCCTTTTCGTTCTTGGAGCTAGCGCTGGACCATGCCGTCCCACCGATACGACTACCACTGTCATAACTGACTTGACCACCGCAACCGCGACAGCAACAACTGCCCCCGTCACAACAAGCAGTGCTGTCCCGGAAGGAGAACCAGCATGCAGTATCGAAAGTCCACAATATGGCCCTACTGGTGAATACGAGGTTTACTGCGACAGCTTCGCCGGCAGTACAACACCCATCGGGGGCATCTACCTCTCCAATTCTCTCTCTGAATGCCTGGATCACTGCGACGAGTCGCCTGGTTGTGTGGGCGTCAACTACATCACGACCAATGTACCTTATTGCACCATCTGGTCTTCCGCTGGAAGATTTGGTGAACTGAAGGGTGTCATTTTGGCGAAACGCGTCGTTGCAACGACTCTGGAACCCACTGCGCCTTGATGAGGAGGATGAGGTAATTTTCCGGGTGCACAACTTATCACGGCCACGAAAAAAATGCTCCATTTACAAGGACTGATATCTGGTTTTCATCATCTGTCACATCAATATTGCACAACGAACCCTACTTACATTGCCTTTGAGACGCAGGGACATTCTGTTATGGGCATACTTGGCATATTCATAATATCCTTGTCTTGTTTCTATCTCATTCTCCCCGTCATCTACTTCATATATACTCAATCTTGCATGTAGATAGATTTTTATTAAATAAATGTCAATTACTCTGTATTGACCTCATTCCATACAGACGCACAAGCTTGCCTTGTATCTATGTGTATTAGATCTAAAAATGCCCCATCATTGTATCACAGAACCTACTCTCCAGTCATACCTCCTTCTAAAACTATGTGCTGTTCTGCTTCTCTGTCACCTCTAGAGTATCGGGCTTCTTCTCATCTTCAACAATTTCAAGAGGCTCCTCCGTGTTATCTCCCATTCCATCACCATGCTTCTTCATTGTCGACCTGTCGACCTGTGTAATGTCAGTAATTGATATTTTTGTCGCTGATTAGTGAGGACTTACATAAACAACGAGCCACATGTAGCAAAACATGACACCGCAGCCGCCGAGAAGAGCGATAGAACCCTTCTTCCAGTATGGCGCATCAGCGGCACTATAGAAAATGATACCCCAGAAGGTCCACATGGACATAGAACCGATATTCATGCAGTAGAGTGTGATACTTCGTAGAGCATCATCTCCGGTTCGCTGTAAGATAATATTTGCCCAACCAAAGATGAGTGGGTTCACCATATAGGCAGAGCCAGCAAGATAAAATGCAAACATTGTTGCGCCCATGGACAGGTTCTTGACGAGGAGCATAGATCCCACAACGATCTGGAGGATGACGCAGGCGATGGCCATTGGTACTCGCTGTCCGGTGGCGTCCATATACCATGCGGCGACCATATTTGCCAAGATACCAACGGCTTGAACACCGAGAGGGTATGTGTTGATCTGGACCTGTGAGAATTTGTCGTTGTAGTACTTGAGCCAAAGGAGGAAGCTGTTTTGGAAAGGGAAACCTTCGGTGCTGGCGCAGACGGGAGACCAGAAAAAGAGGATCCAGCTGATGCCCAAGTTAGTGCCATTCAATGGGCGACAGCGAAGTCAAAATAACTTACAACATGGGCGTCAGGAACACTCTCTTGAGGAGGGACATTGGCATGATGTTGTGACCTCCCTCGGCGATTCTTGGAACTCTGGAAAGTGCGAGCTTTCGTTCGGCCTCGGACAAGTAGCTGACCTGAGTGTTCTCAGGTGTATCAGGGAAGTAGAGGAAACCAAAGACGGCAATGGGAAGAGTAATGATTCCATCTAATGATGTTAGATACCACCTCTGAGTCATGCGTTTTCACTTACCGATGATGAATACCCACTGCCAACCTTGTAGTCCAGCCATTCCTCTCATGCCCTTATGGATGGCCGTCATCATCACGCCAGCGAACATGGTACCAATTTGTCCAGATACACCAAACAGGGCAGTTCTCTTTTGGATTTCCTCAGGCTTGTACCATGCTCCGATGATGTACATGGCGCCAGAGTATGTACTGGCTTCAGCGAGACCAAGGAAGAAACGGATGACGCAGAGTTGGGTGACGTTTGTGACAGCAGCACTCAGCATCTATTTTATATCAGTTTGAGTATCGAATGTGAAAGTGATCATCTTACAGTCATGGCGGCCCATAAAACAACCATCGAAGGTAGCCAAATGCGAGGCCTGACCTTTTGGATGATGATACCGTTGGGTAGTTGGCCGATGGCCATTCTGAGACAAGTTAGTGTGAATTTGATGACTGGGAATCGTAACGGCTATACCCAGCGGTAGTGACAGAAAGAACGTTGTTGTAGTCATGGCCACTCATGTTGAGTGACTCACGAAGACCAGCAACCTGAACAGTTAGTGAAATGACATCTATAAATTTCATATAGACATACATAGGCATTAGCAAACGCAGAGCGATCTGTTAAGCTGGTTAGTCAACACGGTATTTACTGTGAGTGCAAGGTGGTCTACCCAAGAAGTTGAAGAAGTAACTGAAACAACAGTAGGTCTACAAACATGTCAGTACACGCGCAAGTCAGTCTCGTAGAGGTTACTGACAAGAATGAAGAAATCTACAACAAAGTCAGTGTCGTCAATCAGATGAAGTCGTCAGGTTCCCGTACCTAATTTTCTGACAAGCTTCCTCTCGTCCTTTGAAGTGGCCTCGCCACCAAGAAAGAACTCTGCATCAATTAGCCCGAGTCTACTTGTTGTTGAAGCGTATACTTACGGCGCGCACTGGCAGCGAATCCGACTTTTTCACCCATCTTGAAAACTGTCGTAATTATGGTGTGAATGCGAGAACCCGTCTGGAGTTATCAATCAGGAAATGCCAAGTTTATCAATCATCCCCCATTTCAGATAAGATTATCAGATCCCACCATAAGACAAGGAAAACATTTTCCGTCTTAGCTTAAAATAGCCTAGCATTTTGCAAAAGACTACCGGGACTACACTTGTGGCAGAACGGCGTACTTCCTGATACAGGATAGCAGTGGACCCTTTAAGAGGAACAGACCCTACTTTAAGTCGCGACCGTAAAGCGTTGCAGCCGAGTGGGATTTAAGCTACGGATTAAGATTCGTTATGCCGTAAGAGTTTGAAAGGATCGGCCGACTTGGGGCCTGTGTTTCGACGCTATGGGGTAATGATATGGGTCTGTGAGGGGCTGTTCCAGGCGCTCGGTTCGAAGCGATGGGACTTTTCGGTTAGAACGTCGCGTTGTTCTTTCGTGAGGGATTAATTGACAAGTAGTTTTTACGAGGAGGGAAGTTACCCCCGGTGCTTTTTGTCGCACAGGTATTTATCAGATGGAGCTATGGATGGGATAGCCAAGCCAGTGGATTGATCTCTTGGCTTGAGGGTACTAAAATAAACAGCTTAAGAAGCCTGATCCGAGTACCATAAACTGTTCTAATATTTTCGTCTCTTATCCTTCCGACGGCCGAGATCCGATAAAACGTCCAACCGAAATTCGGTAAGTATAGAAAACATCAGATTATTATCGAGTCTAGATTCCTTGGCTTCAACTTGGCGTGAGATTCCGTTTACCGGATATAATACGGATTCTCGGAAATTTGGGTGTTTACAATTTGCAACCGTTACTGGAAGTTTTATTGGAAAAGCCCAGATTCCTTCTTAAATTCTTCAAGCCAAGCCATATTGTCAGCTGGCGTTTGATTCCATACATCGTGACTGTGATTATTTGTCAGTGAGAGGGCGAGAGAAATGGCAGTTATGCACGCACCTGTCATACATGATCCATCGCGCTTGGTATTGTAGTTCTTCATCTGTTGGAACGTGGCTTGTTGGGTTCAAGGGTGAAATCGTACGTGCGACATATCGGGTAAGATCTCGCGTGAGACCCCTGTACATATTTCCGTCGTTGAGGGATACCACCTTTTGATTGGAAGAGATTGGACTCAAACTAAATGCGGCATGACCAAGGGTATGCCGATCAACCTCTTCAGAAAGAATTTGTTGCAAGATATCAAGATCTGGTAGAGTGTTTGGACTCTCCTGATTTGACTTCCCTCTGTCATCCAATTGGGAACTTGCCTCGATCTCAAAAATCGGCAATCCTGCGCGTAACCTAAATGGCACCAACCACTGAGTTGAACCATTGATCAGGCCAATCAAAAGATTTGTAAACATAGGTGAGGCATTGCTCATATGGCCTACAATCGAACATGCCTCCTTCTGCAACTCATCATCGCCAATCTCGAGATTCAACAACTTCAGCATGTCAACATATTGTCGCAGTGAACTCTCGAGGTTACACTCCTCAAAGATGTCTTTCTTACTGTGTATCCTTAACTCAGTAAATCGTGATCTAGCCGCGCTTTTCATAGGCGTCATGCGAGCTTTGGCAGTGATGTGCTCTATGCCCATTATCAGGTCTCGTAGCCAGGAGGACGCTGCTTGTGGAGTTGAGTGTGAGGAGATTTCGGCACCAAAGATGACGGAGCATGCTTCAATGTGGAGAATATCGTCGCTTGGTATAGTGTGATTTATGTCGACGTAGTTAGAGTAGAAGTAGTCGAGTTCCAGCTGGAGAAGTTCAAAGGCACTAGTTGAACTATATGGTGCGCCTTGCGAGGTTGTAAAAGGTAGAGGGGAATTACGTTCATAGTCAATGAGGTCTGTGGTAAGGTTAGTTGTAGTGATCCAGAGAGCGCACAGCACATACATGGAGGCATGGAATTCTCAACCATGTCAAGTGTGAGAGCATCAAAACCCCAATTACCCTTCCAATCAGCCATCGTCATGCCGTCTTTAAAATGCTCAACCAAGTGGTTGGCCCTCTCAGACCATGTCGTCATGTGGAAATCACAAAAGCCACATCGTGAAACGATATTTTCATGTGTAAATCTCCAATCATCCATCGGCCATTTTCTGAACTCTGATCCGTGTACCAATCGGAGATGCTGTCTCAGATGGTCTTTTCTGTAAAAGGTTCGCTCACTTCTTTCCCTCTTGTTGCAAAGGTCATGATTATGCGTCTCAAAATGAGTAACCTCGGGGTCAACGGCGCTACAGTAGACGCAAACTTCTTTCTCCGGCGGGCGTTGGCAAACCAATTCAGGACTTGTTGTTTGCTTAGGCCTGTTTGCCTGATGATAGATTCGACTTCTGCGACAGTGGGGTAGGGATGATGCGTATGATTTGTGAGCCATTTATTGAGGACACGGACGGAAGCTAGAGAAAGGCGTTTCCCTGGTCTTTGAGCAATGGGTGTAGCGGGCTTTTGGTCGGCGGTAGGGATACTATTGATTGACTCGGAAGCCTGAGTGGGATTACTGGCATGGTTCTCAACCAGAGTCAGGGTTGTGTTTAATTGCTGAGGATCGACGGTGTCATTGACTGGGTTCCATACATCGAATAGATCAACTGTCGCTTCAACCTCAGGCTGGTAAAAGATACGATCCCAATTCATGTCATTTCCAGACGACATGTCGACGATCAAGATATTGAAAGACCCTATTCTAACTTGGAATGTTACAACTGATTGAGATCAAGCCGAAAAGAACGTCAAGGCTCACTTTGCTGACCCACCTTTTCCTTGTCATCTTCAACCCTTCGTGAAAACATGCAGCCAATGGTGTTTTGATTTATGAACATGCACCATACTTGATCAGGATTAGATCTGGAGTTCAAGCCCATCTTCTGTCTAAATAAATTCATCACTATTTTTGTCTTCCCATATCTTTCCCTTGATTGACATTCGCCCTTCTAGTAGCTTCGAGAAAAATCGCTGCCATAGCCATGGTAGCACCCATATAATTGATATAGAACATCAATCAAATCAACTTCGAGGTCAAAGCTGATTTGATTGACATATGATGAGCGCTGGCTATAGTTGTCATTCTGGGAACAGGGTGACAGTGGGTCACGTCCAGCTGCCTCACTACTCCAGGATATCTTTTGGGGAAATCAGTCTATTCGATACTCTTCTATCATTGAAATTGCCTTGCCGCTCTACAGCCGTGAACGAGACCCCCTTCTGTACCCGCAAAGGCATGGTAGAGACAAGCTTCTTCTTTCCACACCCTTCAAGTACATAGCGATCTCCCCATGAAATCGGCAATCTTAGGAACGGACTCAGACACATGATCATACAAATCAATATGCCCTAAACCCTTGACTACAAACAGCTCTTTCGGCTCCTTAGCTCGCTCAATCGCCGCCCTGCTAAACCCGCCGGTGTCTAGCGCTTCGCCATTTCCTTTGTCTGCTTCACTCCCTATAATCATCAACATCGGCCGCGGCGAGATCCAGTCGATAAATGCGAAGGAGTCGTAAGTGGCTAGCGTGTCCAGGCTCCTCACAAGTTGCAGATTCGTACATCTGGGATGCTGCCCACGAGAAGTCTCATAGTACTCCTTAGCATTTTCAAATGACTGCAGGACACTAATTGTCTCGGGTTGATTTCCTCCCGCCTCTGAGATGCGTTCTTTTCCCGCCCAGACGAGTCCCGATCGCAAAATCGTCTGATCAATGGCGCCAGAAGGATCTTGCATGTTCTTCCGAGTCATAGTACCTAGGCATATGCCGCTTACAGCTGCCACGGCTTTGATGCGTAGGTCGGTCTGAGCAGCGCAAATCGAGTAGCCTCCAGATGCACAAATACCTAGACTGCCAATTCTTTCCGGATCAACTTCCCCGTCGAGCGTCGACAGAAATGTCACAGCGTTTCGAAAGTCTTCGACTCTCTGATGTGGGTCTTCCAAGTAGCGTGGCTCTCCACCGCTCTCGCCTTGATAAGCAGCATCGAAAGCGAGAGTTATGAAGCCCTGGGATGCAAGGGTCTTAGCGTAGAGACCAGATGTCTGCTCCTTGATACCGGTTCCGGGATGACCAACAACAATGGCAGCTCTTTTGCGATCCGGTGCGCCGGCGACTGGAGAGTAGAGGTCGCCAACAATATTGATACCACGGCTAAGGAAATTGACTTGGCGAGACTGAGACATAATGAACTTGAGTGCTAGAAATGATAGTATGTGGTGTTTGAATTCTGTGAACAATTCTTTATGAGATAGAGGACGCGGGGTTAGTCTTTATAACTCTTTAACCGATTCCTACAAATGGGTTTCACCTGCATTGATGCTTGTGACTCAAAATGGCCGGATATACCAGTGTTAAGGCCGTTATCATCGAGGCAGGAAAACGACATGTGGAGGTAGAGTGTATCGGACATCAGTAGTAAATAATTTGATTGGCTAAACTACTTTATTAAGTGGAACTAAATCAGATAGTCCGCATCTAAATGCATAGGGGCTGGGAAGGCGGAGGAGCTTTAAAGTATTGAATTTTCTCAAACTCCGCAACCACCCACCTATAACGACTATCGTAGCCAGCACTCGCTCAAAACTGCCGACTCAAAAATCGAAGGTATGCCCTCTGTCCTGCATATCAATATCTGTACCGTTAACCTTGACTTAACATCCAGCAATAGAGGCGGACTATTATTATAAAACTAGAGAATAATAATATTGGAATTGAACTGCTAGCTATTAGCTGTCCAACTCATGAATTAATCCTGGAGCCGCGCAACTTAGCCCTTTTGGGGTCGCTGTGTTATGCCAAGGAATGGGTATACTCCTACAGGGAGGGCATATTCGAGGAAGGGGAGGCGCTGGGTGTAGATGACCGCAACGAGGTCATACACATCGAACCTCACTGGGAGGAAACTGGCGGAATCATCTGTAGAACCGAGAATTCCACTGAAGTACAATAGCAAGGTTGAAGCTGGACGCCCATCCATTATTTCCTCCGTGCTGAATGCCATTATAAGCCCAGTATCGACCCCTGACAGGGTTTCTAGTCCAGGCCTGCAAGTAAACAGGTTCATACATAGTCTTTAGCTTAACATGCTATTCCAGTCGCCGTCTCATATATTCTGCAGTTATAAAATGAGCTGTAACCTGGATGCTGACTATATAAAGATCGCAGAATTTACAGATGAACCCGTCGAATATTAGCAGGTTAAGATTATACAGGAACTTATTTTACCGTAGTAGTGCATTGGAAAGATCTAGCAATAGAGGCTTACAGTTCTTTAAAAGTTAAACAGCTCTACGCCGGTCTATGAACGATATGCTATGCTTTTTCCTAAGATGCTCATTCACTTGAGAAGGCTTAGAGGAAAGGGCAAAGCTGCATTGCTCTTAAATGCAGATAGGGAGCTAGGCCTAAGGATTGTTTAAGAGCTGGAGGTAAGAAAAGATATTATCATCAACCATCCTTATCTAAATTACCCCTAGAATGTGCGGTTAAGCTAAGCCGGAGATAGAAATGATGTAAAAAGAACCCGTTATACTGCCGCATATATGGCTATAAATCTTATAAAGGCCTTAACAATTGGCTTATTCTTAGCTTTGGCCACCGGGAGTAATTACATCCAGACCGTAGAAGAAGAGGAGATTCAGTTGATAATCTGAGCATGAGCCGTGGTAAATATATGTACAGTGAATAGTAGTTAGGTGCCAGCTAGGTTGCGGAGTATTTGATAATTCTGGGGCTCTCTTAGACTGACGGGTTTAGCAATACATTGGATTAACTAGCAAGTGGCTTGGTTTGAGTGGCCTAGAGACTAAATTTGGTTATAATAATGAATATTAGCGCTACGAGAATGAAAAGAGGCACGTTCGACAATTTATAACTAGGAATGTCAATCATGTAGATCTTTTCGGGAGGATGCTTTGTTGCTCAACCCACTTGTAGTGCATAAAGCTATTAAGCGACTGAATTCCCACCCGAGAGCCCATTCCTGCTCATAACGATATCCGCGACCGGCAATTTTAATAAAGTAGATCGCATCCTATTTCGCGAGTTTGTCGACTACTAATGCGAGAGGACCTGGCAATGAACTACTTCCTTGTAGGGCAAGGACTGTGGACATATCATAGCCTGGGCCTGGACTACAAAGTGCAATGGCAAGAAGAAAGGCCTTCCACAAGGTAAAGAGCAGTATGAGACATGGGATTGGCTAACACTGGCTAATGTTTCGCGGTTGCATGGCGATTCCTGACGTTTGTTAGTTTAAAGTAATAGTAGGGTTGTAGCGATGATTGGAGCTGTGCGAAGGTGCTAAAGCGTGTGCAGGGCTAACTAGTCCATCCCACAGAGCTACTCAAAGCATACAGCTGGATTACTAATACAGTTGTTTCCTGAGGTGGGTCAATAGCACGAAGCCTAAAAATACAACACTAAAATTTAGCTGCTCTTCTGCATATCTTCTTACCGCTTATTACTACGTCCCTTGCTTTACGATTGCCTATGGTATATTGCGGGAAACCCAGCCGGGGGTGTGGGAACTGCCGGTAAGTTTCTAGACTGCCGAAACCTTTTTCCACGAGATTGCATGCTTATACAGGGCTGTCTAGGAAGGTGCATAAAAAGGTGTGACAGAAACCACTGCCCCTGTTTCAGTTGGACATGGCTGACAGATGAAAAGTGCGATGAGATGCACCCTACATGTTCACGCTGTGTGAAGACGAATAAGAAATGTGTTGGGTACCGAGATCAATCGGATCTTATGTTCCGTGACGAGACTACCCGAACCCAGACTAGATTCCGTCAATGGGAGACACGCAACCGAGGCTCCGATTCTACATCAGCAAGCACCACATCGCTATCCCTTTTGCTTGCAAGGGCTTCAAAATGGATGTACGATAATTGCGTGACCCCGGTTGATGGACTATTCCCACCGATTCAAGATGTGGTGGTATGCTACTTCTATCATAATACACTGGGAACTATATCGGACAAAGACCCCGTACACTCCCTTCATTCACAGCTGCCGAATCTCTACTCCAGAAGCGATCTGGGCTCTGCCTTACGCTTAGCGACAGAGGCAATATCATACGCTACTTCTACGAAGCTAATGCAGGAAGCAGCTCTGCTATCCAGGAAACGGTACATCCAAGCCATTAAAGCAATTGGAAAAGCTATTCAAGATCCCCAAGAAATGGTAAATGACCAGACATTATATGCCATTCTTCTTCTTAGTGGCTATGAGGTTAGTTATTAAGTCTCCCAAAAACGGCGCCTCCGACCACGCCAAACTAATAACTACCCAAGACTATATCCCGAGATCCAGATACAACACAATCATGGGGCGCCCATGTTGACGGAGCTGCGGCTCTTGTCAAGTTTCGTAGCACCATTGAAGCGCACTCGCCCCTATCACGCAGCATGTTTGGCTTTGTTCGGAAGAGCGTTGTAAGACTACTTTCTCTATCCTGTACGCATAATGCTAATGATGACTACGCCAGGTCATTGGTCATATGCAAATATGTCGGCCGATTGATGAAATCTTCTGTGCATCAGATGTGACCGCATCCTCAGACAAGAGTCCGGAAGATCAACTCATGGCAATGGCGGCCAAGATACCCAACCTCCAGTACCGGAGCAACTGCCTGTTCACTCAAACGCAGGACGCTCGCACAGGCGACGTTGAGGATCTGTTTTATCGTGCTAGGGCTCTAGATCGTGAGATAGCAGATTGGGCACGCACTCTTCCCACGACCTGGTCCTACTCCGCTGCTGTGAATATCGATAACATGACAAACTCAAAATTCACCCCATGTCAGATCCATAGATACCCTGATTTCTACATTGCTCGCGTTTGGAATTTCTATCGTGTGTCACGGCTTATTTTGCAGTCAGTACTCCTCCGTGCAACGTCCTGGATGTCTATCTCAACGGACCTGAACGAATTCAGCGACGAGAGAAAACCCGAGGGAAGCAGTATAGAGTTAGTAAACGACATATGCGCAAGCGTCCCTTTTCTCCTGGGGCACGACTTATCAAAGATGAAGGTTGTTGCCAAAGGCGGAAGGATAAAGCAGGAGAGAACGAGCGGGTCCAGGGTCAAAAAAAGCGGCTCAACACATACGGGAAGATTTTCGCTGATTTGGCCCCTCTATGTTGCGTGTAGCGCTTCGTCAGTACCAGAAGCTCAAAGAGACTGGATGCATATGCAACTACGGCTTCTGGCGGAGCACGGTGAGACTGAAGCACATTTTGCATGTTTCAAGAAGAGCCAGATACTCTTGGGCGGGGCCGACGATGTTCGATTTGACTGTGTGTAATTATACTCTCTAATCTTTCTACGTCGTCCGTGTAAGAGCGAGTTTGAGCAAGGTTAAGCAAATCTGATAACAACCTTTAAGGGTGAAAAGCTTAGATCTGGCAGAAAAATCATTAGATGGCCAGTTAGTTTTAGGTGAATTAAGTCTGCATTTGTTGTTGTCACCGGAAATTTGTTCAACGGAATAAACAAGTGGGGTGTATGGAACTATTCAAGGAGAGCCCCATTGGTGAGTATTGCGGTCTTACCGGGTAGCATTGTCATGGTCGTGGTTGTGTTCGCTGACCGACTTCGTATGGCTGATTTGCAAGTGCTATGTTCTCCTATTATAACAGCGGATGTACCAATGGCGTATGGCAAGATAGGATTTTCGGGAGGGAATATTATGGATTACCTGATCATGCACCAATGACTGGTCCATCCAGTACCGATATACGCTAGCCGAATATGGTATGCATTGAGCCAGCCAGTCAACATCCATGTTTAACACTCATCCTGGAAAGGTGGCAGACGGCTGGTGATCGCGCTATCTGCAAGGGCCGCACCCCGAAATTGCCGGGAGCGACACTTGGAAATGAATTTCACAGGATGGCTCCCCTATATAGATTCCAGCAACTCTTTCTCTAAACATCTTCTTAACACCTGTTCAAACTTATCCAACAGATACCTAATACCGGATTACTCGTAGCTCTACTGGTCACACACTGTTCTATGCCATGTCCCATACTGTATGTGTCTTCTGTCCCTCCCCCGCCGTCGCAAGTATCATGACACCTAAGCTGATTCAATTCTCTACAAAAGATGATTCGCCGAAAGAAGGCCGTCAAGAAGGGCATCCAATTCTCCCTTATGGTCTGCGGCGCCTCAGGAACTGGTTCGTCAGATGCCCCCGGGACTAGGAAATAATCTTTGCGACACACTAATTAAACTTGTTCGTATAGGGAGGACCACCTTCGTCAATATGCTCTGTGGGGACAGCGTCCTGGCGCACAGGGACTTGGATACTGAGAGTGACACACAGGCGGAGCAAGGGCTTAAGATCAAACCCACTACCGTTGGTATGTTTATTACTTCCACAATCCAACCGTTCGACGAGAGTTTAACCTCCATGTTGCAGAGTTGGAGCTAGAGGAGGATCGTACCTGCATCTCCCTCACCATCATTGACACACCCGGATTCGGAGACGAGATTGATAACGAGGCTAGGTGAGAAGGACTAGGCTTGACTTTGCACAAGTACGATGCGATTATGAGTAGCAGCACTGACTAAACCATACCAGCTTCTCAAAAATTGTTGGCTACCTTGAGCGACAGTACGACGATCATCTCGCAGAGGAGTCTCGCATCAAGCGAAATCCTCGCTTCAGGGACAACAGAGTTCATGCGATGCTCTACTTTATCACTCCGACCGGTCATGGGTACGTTGCTAATATCCCCATGTTGCGGATTCCGCCACCGGGCCATTGGCAAAGTCGTCTCGCTGCGTACCTCCACTGACAGTCCACTTTCTAGGCTCCGCGAGCTTGATATCGAGCTTATGAAGCGCCTCGCTCCCCGCATCAACGTCATTCCAGTTATTGGCCGCGCCGACACCCTTACCCCTGCCGAGCTAGCCCAATCCAAGAAACTAATCATGGAGGATATCGAGTATTACCGAATCCCTGTTTATAACTTCCCGTATGATATCGAGGAGGATGATGAAGAGACGATTGAAGAGAATGCTGAGCTGCGGGGCATGATGCCTTTTGCTATCGTTGGCAGTGAAGAATTCATTGAAGTCAGTGGCCGGAACGTCCGCGCTCGGCAATACCCTTGGGGTATTGTAGAGGTGGAAAATCCACACCACTCGGACTTTCTGGCGGTTCGATCTGCGCTACTACATAGCCATCTGTTAGATCTGAAGGAGATCACATACGACTTCTTGTACGAGGTATATCGTACTGAGAAGCTCTCCAAGATCACAGAAGGTGCCGATGGACTGTACGTTATATTTTGCATCCTCCTTGATGTCGTTTTTATCACAAATCTACCTATATTAACCAGTATTCTACAGAGGCTCATCTATAAGCCAAGAAGATATGGTTTCCCAGTCAATGCGGCTCAAAGAGGAACAGCTCCGAAGAGAAGAAGATAACTTACGACAGGTTGAGATAAGGATTCAGCAGGAAATTAAAGAAAAGAGTCAGGAGCTTCTGGTCCGCGAGGCTCAGTTACGCGACATCGAGGACCGGATTAATCGGGAGTCTGCAGTCGCCGCAGCTCAGAACGCAGCTGCAAGCAGTTAAACTCACGGCGACGGGAAGTTAGGCGGCTATTTTTGCTCATTGATCAATTGTTCCTTTCTAGTTATAATGCCGGTTAAGCAGAGGCATAGATGCTGTAGATGCATCCCCGGCTTTCCAATCCTAGTATCCTCAAGTCTATCTCTCGATATCCTATCAAAATTTCGTAGTCAAAACAGCTAGAACATAATTTTGGCGCGATTAGGGCTTCTTCTCTTGTTAGCCCAACACTTCCTTCTTCTCAAGCATAAAACAAGCCAAGTGACAGGCATCCAAGCCATTTTACAACCTCCCCAATCCACCACCTTCTCCCAAGACCCCAACCTGGTCGCTGCGCTGACCTCACTGCCCACCCAACGTGCTTTAGCAATAAGACACAAACATTGAAATGCTGCTGCTCGATTTACCAAATGAATTGCTCAATTATACAGCGAACTTCCTGGAATCGGAAAGAAACATCAGTGCTTTCAGCCAAGCAAATCGCTGCCTCCACGAGCTCCTGACTCCGCATCTGTACCGCCACAACGCACAGTGCTCTGGAAGCTCGGCACTACTATGGGCCGTAGAAAATTGGCAAAACAATATGGTACAATACTCGGTAGCCCAAGGAGGCGATGTTCACGTTTCCAATGATTAGGGCCAGACACCACTCCTGTTAGCCGCAAAGAACAGACACATAGCCACGGTCAGGTTTCTTCTGGACGAGGATGCTGAAAATGACTCAAAGGATAGCGATGGTAGGACACCGCTATCTTGGGCCGCTGCGGGGGGTCATGGGGTGCTAGTTGAGTTCCTTGTCGAGCAGGGCGTCGAACTGGGCTACAAGGACGGCTACGGCCAGACAGCGCTGCTGTTAGCCTCAGGGAACGGACACGAGGTGACAGTCAAGCTACTTATCAAACAAGTGGCAGACCCAGCTTCTTGTGACAACTACGGCCGGACATCGCTGTCTTGGGCAGTAGAAAATGGGCATGCAGCTATGGTGACGGTACTCTTGGGATATAAAGTCGACCCATGTTCGATGAACCGCTATGGATCGACCATACTAGCTTAGGCGGTTGCGAATGGCTCCGAGGAGGTAGCCAAGCTGTTACGAGATCACGGTGCAGGCCCGGAGTCTATGCCTCATCAAGATACGCCGCAACAACCATGGCCAGTGCTTAAATTCTACACAAAGATATTCGTCATCAGGCTCCCCAGTACCTTACTTGGAGTTAGAAGTACCCTGAACATGTTCACTGGGGACAGGAAGTTCATCTTCTGTCTAAATAAATTAATCACTATTTTTGTCTTCCCTAGGTCTAAAGTCTAATCCTCCATGTCTTTGCCTCGACTGACATCCGCCCTTCTACTAGTTTCGAGAAAGATCGCAGCCACAGCCATAGTAACACCCGCAAATATTTGTGCACCCATGTATCTCCCATTCATTGCTCCAATCAAGGCTCCTCCTATAGGAGCTCCAACCAGACTTGCAATGCTACCAAGTCCAAAAACCATACCCATTCGTGTACCGGGTTTCTCTGCATCTGCAGTGAGATAACCCAGTCCAGCTGGGAAGAGACTCTGTATGCCCCCGGAAAGTATCCCACAGAAAACAGTCCAGACGTACATAGCTACTGCTGTGTTCACTGCAATCCACGATAGCAGAATGACAGCGGTTGAAGCTATGACGGGAACGAAAATTACCAAGATGCCAACTTTGTCAGCAATAAACCCCGAACCCAGACGTCCGATCAAGTTGACAGCATTAAAAACGAGAAGAAGGTTCAGTGAATCTTGATAAGAGAACGGTGGCGAGATGGAGGTTCGAGAAAAGTCGACGACGTAGAAGATGGAGATGTATAATCCCAGAAGTGACTAGCAGAATCAGTCAGTCAGTCGTATCTGACATCTCAATAGGTCTCTTACCATGAATGTTGCGACAGCATAATTATTGAAGCGAGTATCTCGAAATGCTGTCCAGTCAATCCAATCGGGGCTCTTCTTCCCTTTAGTCCTGGGTCGCAAACAAATGTTTACAAAAGCCAATGTAACAAACTGAATCAATGCGATGACTCTCATGGTCCAAGAAAAGCCGAGTCGAGGTATCAATTGGCGCATGAGACCAGAATAGACAACACCACCGGTACAAGCTCCGCACATAGCAACACCAATAGCCAGCCCACGTCTTTCAGAAAAGTATTGGGATACGACTGCCAGCATTGGGCATGACATCAGACCGTTACCCAAGCCAACGCCAACGCCAAGTGTGAGGAACATGACCCAGAACTTTGACCCAAATGAGGAAGCAAAGATGCCAATAACCATAGCTAGAGAGCCAGCAAGAAAGGTGACACGGAAGTACCCTATGTCGGTTAAACGACCTGAGAAAATTCCTAGAAAGAAGTACAGAAATATCTGGGTTGAACCAATCCATGAGACTGTCGAGGCAGACTCGCCAAACTCTTGGACAAAGTGGCTTTGTAGTGCGCCGAAAGAGTTGAGGAAGCCGGATGTGTTCATCACGACAAAGTGCGCGGAGAGAACAACTTGACAATTAGATGCTGTGTAATCGAATGGAGAGAATTACTTACTGAGTACACTCATCTGCCAACTTGTGGCTTCTTTCAAGTTGGGCGCCTGTTCATCCGTCGCACAGGTAATTGGGACATCGGCTTGGACATGGCTTTTGTCGTCGCGATCGTCCAATTGAGGCATTTTGATTATTTTCAATGCAAAGCAGAACCTCAAACTCTGAAGTTATTTGGTCTAGAATACGAATGAAATATTTCTTTCCTGTGAAATAAGGTACAATTTAGAGGATTTTATACTGATCATGTCGAGAATAAGGTGGGTCTTGTCAACCACAGGGTGCAACACCTTGCTCGTCAAAAGTGACGATGAATTTCTTTTCAATACGAGATTAAAGTGGCTTGCTGGATTTACAGCCACATTCTACATGTTAATAATAGATGTAAAACACTGTATCCTCAATGTTCATACTAATCATGTTCACTTGGGATAGGTACGCTTTTTGGAGAATGTTACAGGGAGCTGATGCACTGAGTAATGAGTTTCCAGCAGAGCTCTTCCACTAGATCATTAGGTGTCTATGCTATAAGAATGAACTCCACACTAATGCAATCGCTATTATACAAAATCCTATACGCCATGACATCTTCTCATTGCTCTTCCATTTTTATATTTTTTTATATCTTTCTTTTCTTTGAAATCTTTCCTTCTCTTTTAGCTTTTCAGCTAGACAACCACCAGTTGGAAGTCTGTCTCCCAGATCTCAACATCGACATCATAAATGTTCTGGAGGGCCAGCAGATCCTCCACCTTCTCGGCAGCAAAGTCAAACGTATCCCAAGCATGCTCTTTACCGTCTACATGAAAAGGTGGAATGAGTACCATCAACTTGGTATTCCCCTCTTCCTCGACCCGGCACACCTCGATGGAAACGCCGGGGATGTCATTGAAGAGATCGTAGATCTTATCCCGTGTGCCTGTGATGTCTTCCCATGCACTGAAGGCATCGCTGCTCACGGCTTTGATGTCTCTGACGACACCACTCCAAGGCTTGGACATTGGGTTGGACTGGGCGATGAGTCTTGCATGCGCATTTTCCATGTCCTCTCTGTTGTTTTTTGGCTGGAGTCTGAAGAAGTACTTCCAGATACGTTTGTTCGTCTCATTCTTTAATATCCTTGCAGTGCTTAGGGCCGGAGAGAAAACGCTCCTAGAGTCTTCTGGGTCAGTGGGATTGATGCGGTCGAGCTTATCGTCCAATTTCATGTTGTCGATTGTGCGGTCAGCACGTTGTGCCATATTTGCCTTATGGACCTTGAGCTTCCTGTCATGAGCAGCAATGATTTGTTTGACCGATCTGGGATCCCCCCGTTTAGGCAATGGATGATTACGAACTAGCTTGGGTATGCGGCATGGTGATCGTTGAATCCGTCGGTGTTTAAAGGATGGCGATGTCGGCATAGAAGACGTACTTTGCGGAACGTTCTTGTTGTCAAAAGCTGAGGCATTGAAAGACTGGGCTTGGTGGAAGAATTTCTTCCATTCCTTCAGGTCCTTGAAAATGGCCAGATTGTCAAGCACTTTGTTCACTTTCTTCTCCGTTCTCATCAGGATGTCATAGGCTACTGTTGACACCTCCAACGGAGAGAGATTAGCAGGTGTTGAACAAGTGGATAGATTGGGGTGCATGTTGGTGCCATTGGAGGGTCCTGGTTGTCCAGCGTTGGCATTGTACTGATTTCCCATAGCAAAATTGTTGTTGTCTAGGATAATGGGCACTTCATTGATGTCATTGACAGGCGGAAAGAATTGAATCCGTTGATCGCTCCCCGTCATAGAATAGGTCCCGCCAATATATTGGGCCGACTCACCAAAAGTCTGCCCATGTTGCCCTTGGTATGTGGGGGTAGGCCAAGTGCACGGGGTGTAGGTACCAAGATACGAGGTGTTAAAGGATGGATCATGATATCCCGTGCCATCCGGTAGGGCTTGGGGGATGGCTGTACTCAATTGGTCAGCATTTGCAGTGGCAGTGGCAGTGGCAGGCATTTGTACCACCGTCTCATTTGTCATTGCATTGCTGAAGCCCAAGCCCGTCCAATTTACATCGTTACACATCTGTTGTCCAACAAACAGTTTACCCTGCAAACATGGATCAAGTCCCAATCCCTGGTCTTGCCAGTCCCAGCCAGTGTCTGCAATAGGAGCATGTTCGGGATCTTCACCATCCTCCTCATCTTCATCGTCATGTTTATCTGACGTAGAAGAATCGTCCTCCTCTTTGACGGCGACCGATGCAGCATCGACTGATGGGTCATGATCGGCGGCGACAGCAGGTTTGCCCAGCTCCGCATCCAAGCCAAGTTCTTTGATAGGACGGTAGACGAAAGGTGAAAGTTTTTGTCGTGGTAGTGCGAGCGGACCATGCCAGGACTTTGGTTCACAGCTCATTGCTTGGAAGAGAAGGGGGCCCTGTCCCTGATTGCTGTGCGTCATGTTGTCCAAATGTAGTATGAAGATGGGTGTAAAGGGGTTGATCTTGGGTATTGATAAAGAAAAGAAAAAAGAGAGTAAGTGAGAAAGGCGGAACCCATGCTTAAATAGTTATCATCGCCATTGAAAAATTGCCTCAACATAATTAATTTTTTTCGCATTGTTCACAACCAAACCGATAAGCTCTGAGATTGAGGCGCTGCCTAGTGATAGTGAAACTCAAGAGGAGCAAAATGTTATGATTCGAGTCACGCAGAGCCGCATTGATCATGGTGAAAACCTTCAAGGTGGATTGAAGGGAACCAAAGCAAGACTTCAACAACTGCAGGCTGATGCGCACAGGCACTGCGTTGTTGTAGCCAGGATTGATGTCAGCGACGGCGACGACAGCGCGAGGCTGGGTAGGTCAATCAATACCCTGGTTTTTTTTGTTTTTTTTTTGTTCAGATTTCCCGCACGCCGTATTGAAGGAAGAAGAAGCGGAAATTTCCGGTTGAGTAATGCGCTTACATGCGGACAACAAGGTTCACTGAACCTCATCATGACTCCTCGTTGGCAAGTCGGGGACAGTCTCTATTCATGGGGCTTCTCACGCCAAACGGGCACTAAACAAGGAACCAAAACCTTAGAGATCGAGACTGACCAATGATATGTTATACAGTATAATAGCCTCTCCTGTAATGGTTTGTTTTCCAAACTCTGTGCTCCAAGTTGCAAAGTATAGCGAGATGGCCAACCTTGTTTGACAGACTTTGGTGGGTTCGGCCTCCAAGTGTGATAGCGTTTTCGGCTACGGGTCCTGAAAGTTTATTTTACAGAATATAAAAGCACTGCGAAGTAGCCTAAGATATCCCTCATTCGTATTTATTTGGTAATTCTCCGTGATGTTGAGAGTATCCTTAGAGCAGGTTTAAATTAATGTAAGGGGTATCCAAGTTCAAGTCTATGTTTCCCGCGCGTCTAATTATGCTAGAGCAATTCCAGTGAGATCTCCCAACTCCGCGAACAAGACAGTCTTCGTCTTTGTCTTTAAATCGACTGCGTAAACACCACCGGACAAATCCGTTACATATGCTGTCGAAGCCTTCTTATCCAGCGCAAGGCCAATTGTCTCATGCAATCTCCTAGCTAGAATCTCTCGCTCGGAGGCATCAGCCTTGGGCGTTCCACCAACAAAGGCGCGGTTGAGCGAGTTGCCCTTTGGAGGATCACCTCGGTCGGTCCAGTATAATGTTTGGGTCTCCTCGTCGATCTCAAGGTCGATGGGTTCGGGGAGGTTGATGAATACAACTTGGACTTCTGATGGGTTGTCGATCTTGGCGCGGAAGATGCGACCTTGGCTTCCCTTGGGGTTCCCTTTTTGGGACCAATAGAAGTAGCCATTCGCCTCGTCGACTGTGATGCCTACACACCATCGAGACATATCCTTCTTGTCTTCAACTGTTGATCCAGTAGAAACAAGGACCTCGATATCAGATCCATCGAGGTTGCAGCGCATAACCTTCATACCTTCTCTGTCGCACCAATAAAGTTTCCTACTCTTGGTCGCGATGGAAAGTTGCTTTGGAGTATGGACACCGATTGTTCCTGAGTCGACGATGGTTGTTCTCTCGGAGCCGTCTAGTCGCGAGCGTTCGATGGAGCCATCGTTTGACTTGAAGGTAGGACCCATGTTTGTCCAGTATATCCAGCCATTGTTGTGGTCAATGGCGATGCCGTCAGGCATGGTGGACATGTTGTCGAAGATTGTGCGTAGGTCTGAGCCATCGGTGTTGCATGATAGAATGCGACCGTTGTTTTGATTGGGGAAGTTGATGAGGTCTGTATCAAGGATGTATAGACGGGGGAGACTTAGGGAGCCCATATTGACAGATGTGATATTATTGACGATGTGAATGTAGTGTTTTCGATCTTCAAAAAAAGAGAAGTGATCTTGACTTTGATATAAAAACGTAGTGAAGATATAATGTGGTAATAGACAGGAGAGATAATGGTATTTACAGCATTTCTCAATTCAAGCGAAGCCCCTGTATTTAGTATGACCCAACATGGCAAAATTCTAGAATCCTTCATCATAGCGTCGATATCGGAGAAGAAGTGGATCACACTAAAGCCGTCCTTCGTGCTCATCTCGTGCTCCGAATGATCCGAGAGTTTTTTGCCGGAGCTACCACGAAATTTGGACCCGGACTTGTGGGGACTGCGGCACCGATTCCGGTTCAAGCGCGGAAAATGACGTAATGACGATCATCGGTACTAAAATTCTGATCGAGATACAGGGTAAGCTTGACAGCACAAGTCGATCGTGGCAGATATTCTTTCTACGTAACATTGGAGAATGAGTTGGAGTTGAGGGAATAATTTGACGATTTACTAGATATACTTAGTAAAATTGAGAAATGCGCGAAGTTATGGGAAAATCCGCATTATTATAAGCAAAATAGGGGTGTAGAAGACAAATGGACAATGGACACGCTGTCAATTATGAAACCTCTAGGTAAGATCACGAGTGAACTCAACATTGGAACACGTCGCACGTTTGAGTCTAAATTTCATTGGCCGTGAAATAAAACAATATTATCATTTTGCAAAATTAGTCTAAGTATATCGTCCTCAAGCCCTCCCGTAATTATGAGCTCTCCTCCTTCGCACCTGTAGCATACCCATCCCAGTCTTTTCTAACATTCAACAATCTAACAAGCTCCTCATCTCTCTGCTTCACCAAATCCCCATACCCCCTCTCATCAATCGCTCTTCTCGTCCCCTCAATCCACTTGGTCTTTAAACTCTCATCAACGACCGGATTCTCGGGCGCATACCACGTTTGAAGTGGCCCCAGTAAGTGATCTGCAAAATGCTCAATTCCACCCTCTCCACCTCCCAGATGGAATAGAGTACTAGGTCCCATGACACCCCATCGTAGACCAGGTCCGTAGGATACAGCGTCGTCGATGTCTTGCACGTCGCAGACGTCTTGTTGTAGGATGTGGAAGACTTCTCGCATGACGGCTGCTTGTATACGGTTGGCGACGTGACCAGGAACTTCCTTCTTCAAATGAATTGGTTGTTTACCCATGTCTTCGTAAAACTTCATGGTACGTTGGATGATTTCGGGTGATGTTTGTGTACCACCGACGACTTCGACGAGAGGAATGAGATGAGGTGGATTAAATGGATGTCCTACAACACATCGTTGCGGCACCGCGGCAGCAGTCATACCCTCTTGAATAGAAGAACAAGTCAAACCGCTAGAGCTTGTCGCGATAATAACTTCACTTCCAAGCATCTCTCCCATGCCTTGGAAAAGCTTGCGCTTAAAGTCAATGCGCTCAGGACCATTCTCTTGAACGAAATCGGCATTTTGTAACACTTCGCTCATCGTGGTTGTGAAGATGACATCTTCAGGCTTGGCGTTGTTGTTCTTGACCAAGCCGATAGATGAAAGGACTGGAAGAGCGTCGCGGATGAAGTTGCGAAGATATGTTTCTGACGCAGGGTTGATATCAAAGGCCTGGACTTTGAGACCTTGGGCGAGGAATAAGGCTGACCATGAAGCGCCAATTGCGCCGCAGCCGATGATGGCGACTGTATTGATTGACATTGTGTAGATAAGATAAGATGGATTAATTATGATGAATAAACTTGACAGTACATTGACAGAAGATATTGTCTCGGATGCAATGGTATTTATCTAATCTCAAGACATGGTAATTAAAATCCCATTACAGTTTCCTATTTCGTCCTCACTTAATTCCGCAAATTCTCACCATCGCGCTTTCGGCATTGAAACCATCTTAGCTTCGTTCATGCGTCGGTACTTCCAACGCAATGACATCAAAAGCATCGGATCGGAAGCCGAAAAAGTCTAAACCAAGTTTTTCCACGTGGAAAATGGCGATGATCAATGCCGTTTCTTTACCGCCTTCTAGAAAAATTCAAATAGATTTGTCTCCACTCTGACGTTGAGGATCTGATGGAATTGTTTCCGCATTTGAGCCTCATGTTGCATTGAAAGCCGCGTGTAACTATCTCCACATCTACCGTTGTCAATGTCCACCATGGGTCCGCTCGCGCTCGCGTTTTAGAGATTACCGACTTGCTTGTCTTTCGGGTTGATCCGTTCGAGATAATGCAAATGCCGATGGCACTTGGAAGTTGTGGATAGAATTCTCGAGGCGATCAAGGGTATCACGTTGCATAAATACACTCCATCGTTCGTCAACATTGGTATCATCAAACATCTTAACATATAATACATTCCAATACCCCGTTGTTATCATACCATTATCTTAACACATACTGTCTTCCATCAACAATACCTCAATTTATCTTTACTTCACATTTACATCATGTCTTCAGAATCAAGAATTCCAGACGTCTACGGCCCAGGTACACACACCGACCGTACCTTCACCCCCGTCCCAGAAGACACAGAACGTATCTTCCGCCTCATAGCCTCTCAAACTCCCGGATTCACCCAAGATGAGGAAATCCTCTCCAAGGTCAAGTTCGAGGGCGAGTCCTTCCCTGTGATTCCTGGCCCCATCAAGGCCGTCTCTGTCGCTGCGTCTCTACATGCCATGGCTGGTGTTTTGGCCGATGAAATTCTTACTATTCGTGGCGCTGAGAACAAGCAGCGACAAATCACAGTCAACACAACACAAGCTGGTCTTTGGTTCGGCAACATCGCTACTGCCTACGTCGATAACAAAGATGCCCTCTCGCTGGCCAAGTCTGGAGAGCTGAAGACACTTTTGCCAAACTGGGAGCAAGGCTGGGTCGATACACCACTTAAGTACCGCACTACAGGTCTTTATCCCACTTCTGACCCTGAAGTGTGGTACTCACTCCACGGTTCAATGAAGGCTGAACCTGTCCTCAAGTCCATCGGCGTTGACCCCTCTGAACCTATTTCTTCCAACGAGGAAGCCGCTGCACACATCGCCAAGTTTACAAGCAAACTCTCCCCAGAGAAGCTTGAACTTACCAACCTTCTCAATGGCAACTGCGGTAGCATCTGCTTCACTCCCAAGCAGTGGAACGAGAGTGAGATGGGCAAGTCACTCGCTGCCCACCCTCTCATCAACGTGAAGCAACAACACCAGGCTATCCCTACATCACCCGTTGCTTTCCCTCCTCTTGACCCATCCGACCAGCGTCCTCTTGCTGGCGTCAAGGTCGTTGAGATGACCCGTGTCATCGCTGGTCCTCAAATCGGTGCTATTCTATCTTCCTTCGGCGCTGACGTTATCCGCGTTAACCCCCCTCATCTTCCCGACATCAACATCATGCAACTCACCCTCAACGCTGGTAAACGCACCATCGCAATTGATCTGCGTAAGCCCGAGGAAGCTGCCCTTATCAAGTCTCTCATTACCGAAGCCGATGTCTTTATCCAGGGCTTCCGTATGAACAAGATGCTCAAGTATGGCCTTGGCTTGAATGATATTCTCAAGATGGCTGGTGAGCGTGGACGAGGTATCGTGCATGTTTCAGAGAACTGCTATGGTCCCGATGGATACTACGCTGAGCGACCCGGTTGGCAACAAATCGCTGACGCAGCTGCTGGTTCAGCCTATGTCACCGGCAAGTCTCTCAAGCTGCCCAACAACGAAGTTGTCCTCCCTTCTCTGCCTGTCAGCGATATGACCACCGGTGTTCTTGGTGCCGTCGGCACTCTACTCGCTCTTCGAGACCGTGCCACCAAGGGTGGAAGCTACGCTGTCCATGCCTCTCTGGTGGCTGTCAACGCCTACGCCCTCCGCCCAGACGTCGGTCTATACTCTACCGAGACCGTTGCTGAATGCGCCGAGCGCTTCCAATGGGCCGAGATGCGCGGTTCACACCATGTCCTAGATCTCTTGATGACTGTCTGGAACGGCTGGAAGCGAGTCTTGGGAAGCACTCTTGCGGAGGATAGTGGATTTTACCAGAGCTTTGACAACAGCGCTTTTGATGGTAAGAAGCTTAGCATTCTCAAGCCTGTTGTAAAATTGAGCGATGAGAAGAGCACACCTCAGTGGAAGACACCTAGTGTGCCTTATGCCTATGAGAAGGCAGATGGTATCAAGTTCCTATAGATAGAGATCCATTATTATAGACTAGCGATTGTGATTTACTACTAGACATAGAATAGATTCACTTAATTCATTCAATTTGACGAAGAACACTTTCTTTCTGGTGATTGAGGTGGCGAGTTACAGTGTCGATAATGCCGCAGAGTCTACTCTGAACTGTATTTAAATTAGTTTGTAATGACGTGCATAGGCTTTGTAAGATGCGCTAAAGCTTTAGTGCTCCCTCCCTTGGAATAGTGCGTCGCGACAGATGTAGCTTTTACGCTAAGTTGTGTGGCGTGGTACATCTTCCAGGCACCTTGCCCATGTAACGTCCGTATAGCAGCGATACGGGTGAGCGCCTGTGAGTCATTGCCGGTTTCAATTATCATCCAACACTAATACAGTTCAGTCGATAGAATCATATTTTACAGCCTTAAGTACTTTATGATGACCGTTAAAGTATGACCAACTATCGCGAGATCGTATCATTAGATCTTTACAGCTGCCCAGACCCTTCACCAATCAATCAGAGCCGAGCAAAATGCAGGAAACCAATAGCGCTGCTACGACAGAAACACCAAAATCGACAACAAGAGTCGCTTACATCCGCACTATTCTCGATAAAAAGTCTATAGGAGAGCATACCGAAACTGACTTGGTCAATCTAAATTCATGGCTCTGGACGTGGGTTGGGCAAAATGTTCCTTGGGACCCATGGGGTAGTGGTCGTAAAAACCGCACAAAACCTCCACCAGACCTTCATCATCACTATGTTCTCGGCTATTCTACTGGTGCAGATCATATTATACTGGATTGGCTTCTTAAGAATTCTGAACCAAAGTACGCCAGGTTATCCCGGTCTGACTTTACGGTGTATCTTTCTACTACTCAGATGAAAGATCCCGACAACAAAGATCTTCTTCAACGGCTTGCATCTGAGAATGTGACGATCAAGAAAATCACAACTTCATCCGATGAGTACCCATCAGATGACATGTGCGACTCAGTTATGCTCTCTGAAAGCGATTACATTCTCGACACGACTCTTCAACTCGGCCCAAATAGCTGGTTATCAACTGACGCTCTCTTCCGTGACTCCCTCCGCCACGGTCATCCGCAACGCTACAAAACCGAAGAACTTAGCAATTTCTACTACGAAAACAGACTGAAGAACAAAATGGGCCATACAATGAAGTCTTGTCAATACCCACACGGTAAATCTGATCAATGGAAGCAGTACCACGAAATACAATGGAGAGTTTATGAATGTCCGTCTTGCGGGCAACGTTGCAAGAGGAGCAAAGGGTGCAAGAATACAGGTGAGGATTGGGCTGCGGATAGGAATAAGTATAGGAATGCTTGGATGGAGGGGTTGGATTTGTCGGCGGCCAGACCACCTGATTTTGAGAAATACTGGAGAATCTTAAGTGTAAATGATGTCGTTTATTACGGTGGTGATAGTTTCAGCAAATGGAACTGGAGATCTGTTGATACGTTCTCGGGGGATTGGAAACGAGAGTGACCTTAATGGTTTTATTTACGGTTTCATAAATTTCAGTCTCTTTTAATCATAATCTACACATACTACAATATTTATGTACCAGTATGGTGGACACGAAAGCACTTTTTACTTAGATCTCGTGCTGACCACAACCCAAGTGTCGAAGACCCATGGCCTCAAGCTCATCAATCATGCCCAGATCAGGTCCAACGCTGCGCTGCTGGAGGTTCTGAAGAGTGGCGTCGGTGATCTTGGTCTTGGGGATCAACTTGGTGCCTCGCTCGTCGAGTGTAGCAAGGATGTGTGCAGCAGCCTGATAATTGTTAGTAACTAGACTTGAATAATCTTTGAGCGTCCAACTTGCCTTGGCGTTGACGGTGAGAGTCTTGGAATCGGGGTTGTCAATGGTGTCACAAGCTTGATGGTAGCAAGGATCCTGCTCGACAGCCGTACCCTATCATGGTGTTAGTGCCAAGTCATTAAACGAACATGTTAACTTACGGTATGCAAGAATCCAAAAGGCTTGTTCAGGGTTTGCCAGAAGGAAGCATAATCACTTCCATTGGTGAGTACGGCAGGGGTAACTTCAATACCCTTGCTTGTGAAGTAATCAACAAAGATCTTCTCCGTGACCTCTGAGCCCTTGGGAGCCTTGGATCCGTGAGAGCTACCGTCGGTATCAGCCACGCCGAAGAAGCCCTTGGCGACCATATCGAAGTTGAGGTATACGAGGAGGTCGTTGACGTCCTTGGTGGCTAGGTTGGATGTGTAGAACTTGCTTCCCAAAAGGCCGTTCTCCTCGGCTCCCCACCAGGCGAAGCGGATCTTGTTCTTTGTCTTGTACTTGGAGAGAGCGAGGAAGAGTTCGAGGATCAAAGATGATCCGGAACCTAATTATGTTAGCTGGGATGTGTGTTTGTAGAAAGAGGGCACATACCGTCATCGTTGATACCAGGGCCAGCTTGAACACTGTCAAGGTGAGCGCCGAGCTGTGAGATGGTTAGTCGTATGCGCCTCAGTTTGAGGGAAGCAGACAAACCATGATAACGTTGCGGGGATCACCACCAGTAGTCTCAGCAATGACATTCTGTGTGATTCTCTCCTCAATAGTCTGCGACTGCTGGAAGTAGGCCTCAACCTTCTCACCAGCCTCAATCCTCTCCTTGAGCTTCTGTCCATCGGCAAGGTTAATAAAACCCGCAGGAACATGCTTCTCGGGGTTAGGTGCGCTGAGCGAACCAGCAGTGACATTAGTCGTCAAGTCATGGTAAATAATGACTGCAGAAGCACCCGCGGCAGCAGCAGGAATGACTCTTCCAGCAAGAGTTCCACCAGTGGGACATCTGAATCGCTGCACTAACACAATCTTGCCCTTGACGTCAAGGTTATCGTATGAAGAAGCGTCGCAGCCTGCAGCACCTTCGGGACCGAGAGCAATCTCGGCGGTGATTCCCTCTTCGGAAGTAGATGGGGAGTAGGTCAGGCCGTAGACGTAGATTGACTTGTCGTCGACTTTGAGGTCAATCGAGTCTACGTAGGCAAAGAGAGCGGGGAAGTTCTGTTTCCAGACCTTGGCGTTCTTGACCTTGGAGGCGCGCTTGTAGATGTAATCGACCGAGGCATCATAGCCAGCAAGTCCGAAAGCTCTGTTACCACCGTTGTCGAATGCGATGTCGTTGAGAGCTTCGAGGTTGGACATGAGACTATTTATTGTGAGCTTTGTCAAGAAAATTAGGTAGTGAATAATTACTTCTTGGTCTTGATGTCGGCCTGGAACTTCTTAGAGTCGAGCTTCTTACCCTTGGCCAATGCGTGACCAGGAGCCAGCGACAACAAAGTCGCGAGGGTAGTGCTGAATCTCATCTTGAGGAATTGCCCTTGAATTGACGTAAAGGAGGGGATAACTGATCATTTTGTGGATGGGAGGCATTGTGTTAATTTATACTGAAATGCAGATCGGATAACGTGACGACATGATTTGCAATCGCCATTAGTTTCTGTGCCCAGAAGACATAAGGCCCGGATATAGTTTCTGTTAGGGAAGGTCGATTTATGCCAAGAAGTGGGCGTGATGATCGATATGTAGGTACTTTTTAAGTTGGGGCTGGGCATGGGTCTTATCGTAGGCGGTGACGATGGTCAGTGTATTTGTTTGGACTCAATGTTAATACAACATCAACAATATAACTAACGGAGATGGCTTTGGGTCAATTGATACCAACAAACAAGAATGTCTTCAACAGGGCTACAGTCATGAAAAAAATTGAGTAAAAATAAAAACTTCATCTACCGACAAGTTGGACCAACCTCCGATTGGGGTTGCATCGTCAACGGGTCCTTCTAACGATTGGAGAAAACCCCGCAAAGATTGAGTCTGCCGAGACGATAAACAGATAATGGCAAATTATTTGGCACTGAGCCAATCTGGCAGGTCAAAGACCCTGCAAGGATCAAGAACCATACGAATAAGCTTAACCTTCAAAAGTTCTCTGAAGGCACTAGACTAAGATAGGAATGAGACAAGAAGGGAACAAACCCCGCATGGACTTGGTTCGATTGAAGAAATAAACATCAGTTTGACGTTTCAGTGGCGATGCTAGTAGTTACACCTTGCTCTTTAAAGAAAGAGTCAGCATCGCTATCAGCGCCTGTTTCTACAGAGCTTGAGAGTAAGGAACAAATCCCAGAGGATGGTTTGCGTAGTGCAGTGATACAAGAAGTAATATCGGCACATGCCTTGATACACGATGCAAAATCATCCGTCTGAACATTAGCGATACCTGCGCCGCCAAAAGTACCAGTGCCGCATTCAAGAGTAAAAGTAACACTATCGACAGTGTATGGATTGTTAAGTTGTTCGCAGGATAAAGGACCTGCGCTTGTAGTTGCGGTTGGGGTGTCTATAGTCGTGGTAGCTTCTGCCGAAGTTGTCATGGACTCTGCAGATGTGTTTGTGAATTCTTCAGATGAAGTAATGGGTAAAGTAGATGTGAGCTCCAATGAGAAAGAGGATGATGGCTCAGTTGAAATAGCAGTGGAAGTGGAAACATCAGATGAAAGGGTCTCAGTGGAGGAAGACAAATCTATAGATGGTGTACTGAGAGAAGTGGAAAGGTCCAATGAGGCAGTTGTTGTCGTATCAGAAGACGAAAAAGTGATAAAAGACTGGGACGTGATTGAAGTCTCAATCGATGTATTAGGGGAAATAGGAGATTCCGTAGATAGGGAAAATGAAATAAATGGATAGGGAGACGACGAAGGAAATTGTGAGGAAACATATGTGGATTGTGAGTCTGAAGTCGCTGTTCTCATTACCGATGAAGTAATCGATATGATATTATCAGAGAATTGTATAGTTTCGATTGTGGCAGACAATGAATTAATGGATTCTGGAAGGTTTGTGACTGCAGATGAATCTATAGAGTCTATCGAGAATGCGTTTTCAGATGTAGAAGCCAACAGCGAGTTTTTTGTCTCTGTAGAAGGGATTTCGGTCAGCTCGGTGGTAACAGACTCAGAGGATCGGCTCCGACTATTTCACTATTCTGACATTACTCGACTATTCAGAGTTAATAATATACCTTTGATTTATTCAGGGGTAATTTGCCGGTATAGATATGCAGCAAGACAGTATTATATCCCGGGGGACTTGATATAAATGTAATATTAACTTGCCCACTACCCTAATCCAGATAAAAGCCAGCATTAATATTAGGTATAGCTTTACTTAAAAACACAAGAGTGCGGCCTATATCTGCAAATTATCTCATAGTCGCATTATTAGGTAGTATTCCCTAGCCACTGAACTCCTTAAAGGGCTTGCTGTTATGGTAAATAGGGCTTCTATTATTAAAAAGCTGCCCTGCACTTGGTCTAAAAGTGGCGGCATTAGTGCAGGTCAGTATAGCGTTGTTGCCGCCAATCAACCGTCCTTGGGCTCTCTTGATAAGTCGTCGATTCTTATTGACAGTCGGGGGTGTAATAAAGACGATAACAGCGTCACCGCCCACGGCTCCAGAGCTTGAAGCGAAAGCTTCGGCTGAGGTTGATGTACTGGGCGGAGGCAGGTTACCGGATTATGTGGCTGTTGTTCTTGACTCTGGATCATCGGTTACGATGGGAAGACCGGATGAAGAAAAGATATAAATGCCAGAGGTGGGATTCTCCATAATGCTAGCAGAGTTGGTTATAGGCTGTAATGCTGAAGTGGATTGATTGGAGAAAGACGGAGGGATAATTCCTCGCGTTGTCGGAAAGCTGTGTGCTGTTGGCAAATCTGTCGCAGCGCCAACAGGTGCAAGATAAGTTGACAGATACGTGTAGCAAATGACTCCATCGTCACACCCAGGCTCTCCAATGAGTTCCAAGTTGGCTGCAGCTTGGAGTGCGCCACTGAGGGCAAGAAAAAGCTGGCACTTCATATTTCCAAGGTGAATTTATGCAGCTGTAACGAGCACTCAAGCGAAGAGGACGCCATATTTGATCAACTATTCAAGGGATACCCCCTTCATGAGGGAGACTATCTAACACACTAGCAAATTACTCTACTGTTGCCATAAGTCTCATGGTGCACCAAGCTAGACCTGTCATGAAAAACGAGGACAGAATACTATACTGCTATGGTATGTAGAGTCCAGTTTATTCATGACACCCGAGGCCAAGGCATGTACGCGCCAACAAGCTTAATCCACTAACAGTATATATATATGCTCACTGGTAGGTATCTGGGCTAGGGCGAAATGTCTTAGACAGGCAGTGAAGATGACTATAACTCTCGAGAGCATGAACACTGTCCGATGACACAAGAAGCTCTTGATACTTGGAATATCAAAAAAACCAGATGGAAATTAATATACTGCCTTCGAAATTATCAATTATTGCAAGGGGTTGATCTCTGTTGATGAAAAGAATCGGGCCATGCGACTACGCTCTCCACTTCTCATGGAACACCTTCGCACCAATGTATTCGGGGTTTCCCATCACCAACACCAGATAAAAGTTTCTATGAGGTATCTTTCGAAACAAGAGTTCGCAAGTGGACCTTCAAAATCTTCTACTCAACTGAAAAGGAGATTTCGGGCTCATCCATATCTTTGGTTTGCCGCTAGAAGCTTGTCGCCCAATATCGCGAAAAGCATCAGCACATCCTTGGAAACAGACCTCCTTACCCTGACAGCTTCACAAGGATCCATTGAATCTTGTCAACAAGCTGCTGAGGCCTGGCTATATCTCGATGATGAATCATACCACGAATGCGAAAGAACATGCGAGCGATGGCGCTGTTATACATCAGGCTACACCGCGCTCCATCTCACAGCAAGTCTCGGAGTTGTAGAGACTGTGATACAGAAGATTATCGATGATGGAGCAGATCTTGAGGCTCGTGATGATGTAAATCAAACCGCATTGCATATAGCATCAGCCAATGAAGATGAATCCACAACTCTCAAGAGCTTGTTGCTTGCTGGTAGCAATGTAGATGTTAGAGATCAAGATAAATTGCTACCTCTGTCCATCGCTGTAGTCTATGGAAATCTGAATTCTGTCAAGTTGCTTATTGAGTATGGTGCTAATGTGAATGATCTCTGCGAGGAGGATCTTCGGGAGTGCATGAGCGAACAGCCAGAAATTGTCAAGTTTTTGGTAGAGTTGGGCGTTGAGATGCCAGATGTAGACGAAAGTGAAGATGAGAACAACGGCGATTAGACCGAAGGATAGAATCCATTCCTATAAAATACCGGGCAGATTGTTTGCAGCTCCAAAACAACAAGGAGTCTAAATTATCACAACACGCTATGTAACCATCAGAACACCAAAAATATACAAACCCACCCGCTGTCTCAATTCCATCTCAAACCTCACACATGTATACAGTAGAAAATACAGATCATCCATTCCTACCAACTCCGTCTCATATTCATCTAGCCTAACGCTAAGTCAATAGCTTGGCTACTCTGTCAACTATTGCTGGTGGTACTCGTCTTGTGTATGCTCGATTTCCCCTTCGTGTCTACGACATCTGTTAGCATATCGCTAATATAGGTAGACTTTACGAACCGTCTAAAATGTCTCTCTAGCAAATCCCTTCTATGAAAGCGTCTTTCGCAAATTTGGCATTGATATTGTGGTTCTTGGTGGGAGGTTTGATGCCGTCTGTCATTTGTTTAGTATGTGATTCGTCGTCGCATGCATGTTTGCAAATTACCTTAGATGTTCCGCTCTAGTATATACCTGATAAATTTAGCGTTGGTCATATTGTAAAGAGCGTGTTCCTTACTTTTTGACATTCCGAGCAAACATGAACGGGCTTTCCCTTTTTCGCTTTGGACACCTTTCCATTTGGCGTTAATTGAGGATCACTGTAGTCACTCATTTTTGCAAGAAATAAAACAAAGTCACAACAACTAACGAAATAAAAGCAAAACGCCAACGGGATAACGAGACCTTTTGAAATATAGAGAGATAAAGGATCATTGATTCCATATTTAAACAATCAATCCTCCGACTCCTATGTCATTTCGCTTCGTAATTCCTTTTAGGTTGAGCCACCCGCTTATTGTGAATTGAGGCTTTGATCTGGGGCGTGACGAATCCATCGGGTGGTCCTGTCGATCAAAAATAGAATCGCCAATCGCCATTCATGGTTAGTTGGAAAAAAGCGGGCGTATTGCGTTCTGGGGTACGAAATCCTCAGCCCCGAACAGGAATGGCAGCGTGTAGGGAATGTTGGTGGGGGCTTTGCTTAGCTGACAAGATGATGCTTGTTGAGTCAACTCAGCTTTTCTAGATTGGGCGAATTAGAGGGATGAGAATGTCGGTCGCGGAGGTCGGTGATTTCCACGGCCGAGAGATGTATGCCGAAAAGAGAAGTTTATTCGATGACGAGAGTAAGACATTGACGGTAGACAGTAGAGGCTGACTAGTCATCGCTACATCGATAATGGACTGGGCATAGTCAGTAGCATCGTGAATCACTTCCTTCATCAGCTGAGTGATTACCATGTTGGTTCCTGTGGTTCCCTTGGGCCAACTCAACAATAGGCTCAACCGTTGGTCAACTCCATTCCTTGGTAACCGCAGTCATAACAATGATGACATTGATACAGATAACTAACTCACCAAAGTCCCCTAGACCCGTCTAGATGTCAACTGTATACCGTCTTGTTCTTGTTGGCGCGACATCAGTCAATGTAGCAAAACAACCTTCAATAACAACCAGCGTAATTGGTTTAGTGGTAAAATTCTCCGTTGCCATTAAGCAATCATCGGGGAGCCCTGGGTTCGATTCCCAGATTACGCATCGGAACGGCCTCGCGTTTTCAAATATTCTTTTGCTCGTGATGCTCTTTTTTGGTGTTGTGTGGTGTTGTAGCGCCAGAAACCGTTATCGAAAATCTTGAGTCAGCCTTGCCGTTTAATCCCGGTAAGACTCAACGGGAGGAACGGCGGGTCCCCTGTAATTAGTTCATGACAGCGCTAAATTTAGCCTCTACCCACTAACGTCCCTGGAATTCGGGAACTGAACCTTGTCGAGTAACAGGGCAATTGGAACCTTGGTATGCTCCATTCGATCTCGATCCTCTGGTTCCTGATCCTTCACTATCTGTTCTATCTTTTGCTGACTCTCACGAAAAGAGAGTATAAGGCTCTATTCTTTGTACATGCATGGTAAAAAAAAAATGGCAATGCGCGCGTCAATGGAATCCGCCTTACGGTCGCCTTCGGGATCCCAGGTATGAGATACGCGTCTCGCGACATAGCCTGCAACCCTCGGCTTGTCTGCCAACAGTCCTCTACGTGTACACGCAATTTTGTCTCATATCGTTTCCCTTCTTTACGCCAAGGACCAACGAGAAACACCACGAATGTGCGGTTGGCCTCCTGCATGATATTATTGCAGATTCACGAGTGACATACCCTTTTAAGGTGAAAACTTGTGATAGCCTAATTTCCTCGCATGTAACCTGCATTATGTTGTTGGCCAACATTTTGAGGCCAGCCAACGCCACCAACACGTCTCGCCTTCTTTTCCCCCTCCGATAAACAGTACCGCAATTTCATTTAGGTCTTGATTTCCCCGCTTCTCTCTGTCAAACTTCCTCCTCATACCCATTATCTTCTCTGATCCTCTTGACTATTTTATCATGGCTGAAATATCCCGCGTTGATGAGTTCTGGAGATCGATGAGAGATGATGATAATGGCACTCCAGTCGCCACTGCAGATTTGACATGCCTCCCTGGAGATCAGCCAAAACTTCCAGTCAAGAAATTTAAGAAGATATCAAAGAAGAAGAAGAAAATCGGTGTTGATCCGGTGGTTGTTGAGAAAGTCAAAGAACCCTGCCCTGAGCCGGACCCAATCGTTGAAGCAGAAGAGATACCCCATGAGCCAACACCCACTGAATGCGATACACCCACTCAGGCTTACCCAGAGCCTGAAGCAGTGGAAGAGCCCACATGTGATGATGAGCAGCACACTCAAGTCGCAGACGATAACGCAACTGTAAAAGACGACGCAGAAGATCGAAAACCTCTTGTCTACCTACCTTTTAGTGCCCAGCATCGACTCATGGCCTTCCTCCAGCACAAGCTAGAGGATATGTGTTTCTCATTCAGCCAGCGGTACCTCCCGCAGCTTCTTCAGGACCGTGGCTGGGACTGCCCGGAAGCTTTAGAGCTGCACAAATGGTTGCGGACATTATCCATGGAGCTTCCCTACATCGGCCAAGACTGGGTGTTCAAACAATCACGACTCTTTGATTCTGTCACTCAAATTCGCAATGTCACCGTCAATCGATCTCAAATCGATAGTGCTCAAATGGAGAAACTCATGTCCGATGCTGTAGAATTAGCATCCCTCTTCGAGGAGGAAAGGACTGTTAAGACTATTGATAGGCTCCGCGAAGACATGGTCAGCACTTCCAAGTCTTTGGGTGCAGAAACTGAACAAATCAAGCAAAGATTTGAATCCAAGCGGGTCGAGATTGAAATAGCACGCGCCAGGCTCGATGAGCTGGAAAATGCTACAAAGACAGCACTGAACAAGAGTCTTCTGGGTTGTCAGGACAATGCTCGATCAAAGATCATGCAGTCCATCCAAAGAGCTGAAGCAGTTGATCAAACAATGGACTCTGCGAATCGATCGGGCGCAATGTCGAGTCTGGATTTGGTTAATGACTTGGAGAACAGACTCATGCTTGACGATAGGGAAATATACGAAGTTTCTTCTCCACGATCCTCTATGTTTGAAGATTGAAATCAAGCTAGCCTCGGTAGATCACAATACTAAACAAAATTTATGGAAGATACACATTGGCGTCATTCGATGCAATATCCCAAGCTGGACAACGTGAGGCAGACTAACTCTATAATACTTCTCATATCCTCTTCAATCACTGATAAATATTACCTCAATTATCAACATACTTAATCATGAATCGCAGAGAGATTTTACGCGCGTCACTGTACACTAAGCTTCATCTGACAATATCTATTGCATCCCCGTTGAAGACTGACTTGTGAGAGTCCACAATCTCACCCGTCATAAATAGTCCAAAGTCCTAGACGGGATTTTCATAAGACATAAAATCACTAAGATCTCTTACTCCGACCGTTAAATAATGGGGGTTTTCAAAACATATTCACATCCAAGAAGTATGCAACATAACCAGTAGTAGGGCCAGTCGGCAGAAACTGTCTACATCACTGAATCAGGGTCCCGCCGTCAACAATGGCAATAGATCCAGTGGTAAAATAACTCTTCATCATACCCAGATATGCCTCGGCCACATCTTCTGGCTGTCCTATCCGTCCCAAAACCGCCCTGTCGGCAAGCTGTTGCACCGCTCCTTCGCCCCATTTCTCAGCCAACTGATCAAGCATGTCTGTTTGTATGGCTCCGGGGTTAATTAGATTGACTCGCATCGGCTTCATTTCCAAGGCCAGACTCCGAACCAAGGCGTCCTTTGCTCCGCTGAGACCATCGCGTACGCTGTAGCCGGGGAGGGGTTTATAGGCGACGAGGCCGCCAGTCAAGGTGTACGACGATGTGTATGATGGTTCAAGGTATTTTAAACAAACTTTGGCGATAATAACGTCCCCAACTATACGGCCTTGACAGAGATTGAGGATATCCTTGACTGTCGTGTCTTTCAAAGCCAGCGGCGATTCCATATACCCAGCTGTGCTGACGACGTGGTGTACTTTGACCTGGCCATTATCCGTGGCAAAGTCAAATAGTTTTCGGACATTCGCTTCGACATCGGGTCCAGACAAGTCGCAAACATGCCCTCTAACCTTTGATAAATCGTCGGCAGCTGGCTTTAGTCTTTCACTGGCTCCATCAACCTTTTGCTGAGATCGACCGGCGACGACGACATTTGCACCATGCTCAACACAGGCTTTGGCAACACCAAAACCGATACCGGCCGTACCGCCGATTACAACAATCAGCTTGCTCTGGAGTTTATCTGTAGGTGGCATCTTCTGTTATAAATGCAGAGTTGAGTTAGAATTTCGATAATGCGCTGAAAAGGCAATTATCTAGAAGAAGAGGAGTACTTGAGAGGTGGGGAAAATTGAGTATGTTGACCTCTTTATACTGTATATTCCTATCTTTAGTTTCCACTTGATAGACTTTCCTGTATTGCTTTGGTAGTTTTCCATTGCCAGTCCTTAGATTGCATACCTTGCAGCTGAATACCGCTCCAAATTCCACTTCTTGTGCAGATTCAGTGCGGAGTTTAAAGATAATTCTGAGGAACTGACGATAACTAGACCTAGTGGGCCAAATATTGCGCATCCGATTGGGTTGCAACAAGCGGACTTTCTTGAACCTTAAAATGATGAGGCCCTTTGTTTCCACTGTCGCCGTGGATGTCTTAACTACCAAAACCCTGGATGATCATCCTGTTACTAGGATGCTGCACATGCATCGGGCTTAGCTAGGTTCTATCGGACCAAAACAAGGACCCGAGACCCCATCTGTGTTCGACTCTAGAGTTCTAGAAACAAATACACGTCCAATTTGGTTATCATTCAATTTAAACTATTGCTAAATTTCCAGTAGATCATATCAGGCCTGTGATCAAGCCATGCCTGCATGTCAGCTACCTCTAAATGAGGTTTTGGCTATGCCGTCTAGAGTACATAGACTTAAGGGTTTTGTCTAACATAAGCTAGAGGAGATATGCTTTCCATCGGGTCAATGGCACCTTCTGCAACCTTTCCAAGACCGTATCACACTGTCTAAACACGTTGGAGCTGCATATGTGGTGTGGCTATTATCTACTGAGCTTCCGGGCATTGGCTATCGACTGACATTCATTAACCTCTGTGGATTGGCATAATAAATCTGTAGTAGTAAACAAGACTCGCGAAGATCTATATTGACGTTGTTGGCTATTATACCGAATTCTTATCTCAACCTTGACAGAACAATCAAGAATTGTCTGCTAATTCTACGGTTCAACGCGTACTCATGCCAAGTCATCTAAACGATGTTTGAGAACAACCTGTAGTATTCTCATATCACTCAATAGCGACTCGATACCGGACAAAAGATGGAAAACACTGCTAAGCATCGTGAGCTTGGACTTGAAGATGCCAGTGGCTCAAAGAGATCCATTTGTTGAAAAGATATCCATAAGTAAACTGCAGTCACATAATATGAGAAGGCTAGGAACCTACCGTTTTGTGGTAGAAGCTCGCACTTATTGCCACTGAGTGGAGTAAAAGAAGAAGTCCCGGACCTCCTCGGCCTCACGGATGAGCCGAGGTCTGATGTGACCGCTCCCGGGCACGGAGCCATTATGGGCAAACCCCCGACCGAAGTGGGTAAACTATCGCCCCGATGTGGGGATAGCTTCACCAAAACGGCTTGTCAGTCGCTCCGTCATTGTCAAAGTGGAGATACCTGACATTTTCAATCATGCGAGCACTATCGGCATTCTGTCGTCTTCTTTATTAACTTACTAATCCAGATAATAGATACTTGATCTGTGTGCAGCGTACCTCGAAGTTATTAAATACTGACTACTCTGCGTCTTTCAATCATCTTTTCAACTCGACTTTTAACTACTTCTCAAACACCTTAATTACCATTCCTACATAAATCCCTCATCCAATACAATGGCTACCGTCATCATTCAGTACCCCAGCGGTCACGACTTCGATCTCGACTACTACCTCAAGACACACATGCCTCTTGCCGATAAGTAAGACAATCATCATGGTCGACTTTGAACCAAGTCACTAACAGCCTCACTAGGACATGGAAGGACAAGGGTCTGAAGAGCGCTAAAGTTATCAAGCTGGGTGGTGACAGCCCTTACCAAATCTACACCGTCCTTCGATGGGAGAGCCTGGCTGCTTTCCAAGCTGCCGCCACTGCCGAGGACGCCAAGGCTGTTCATGAGGATGTGAAGAACTTTACTACAGCCAAGGCCGACGTCCGCGTTGGCGAGACCATTGCTGAGTCTAAGCTTTGAATTATTGTCAATCCCAATACCCAATACTGTTGATACCAATTAATATATCACAACTCCATATCTGACTACAATATTATCCCTTTCATCGTCAAGAAGTTATATCCTTCATTCTTCCGCTTTTGCATTCAGTTGTCTTCTTGTCTGCTTGACATTTACATCTTCATCCTCAGCCGTGGACTCTTTCATCCATTCGTAGTCTCCCTTCTGAGCCCACAACACAGATAATCGCTAGCGTTATGTCAGTAACAGCACAATAGATATCTAATTATAGACAACTTACCTTTCCTAATGTCAACTTCAAAGTGTTTTCAAAGAAATGAGGGACATATTTCGCCTCAGCTGGTTGACCTTTGATGAGTCGTAGTAGGTTGTTGACCACGATCTCACTTTGCATAATACCAGCACGAGCTTGCTTAGGACCGCCAGACTGAGCCACGTCGCCCAGAGCAAAGATGTTCTTTCTGGGTGAGGGTAGATTCTCAACTTGAAGAGTTGGTCCTACCATGATCTCGCCATTGGCAGCGATACTTTTAGGAGAGTATTGTGCCAACAGTTCGGATCGTGGACGGAGTCCGGTGCAAGGAATCTGCCAATCGGACACGTTAGTTACAATACTGCACAGTAACAACTTTTACATACTACCAAGTCCCAGGTCCTTTCTTTTCCATCGGCAAGAGTAAGACTTGTCTCTTGGACAATTTGTCCAGCGTTACTTGGGTAAGACGGTCTTTCGCCCAGCAAAACCTCAATATTCTGGTCTTTGAGAGTTTCTATAACGCGTTCATGGAGCTTAGGTCCAAACCGAGGCAGGAGTTGTTGTCGTGAGTGAATGAGCGTCACCTCTTTGCCGGGGTACTTCTCTCTGATCTCCGTGACTAGTTCTATTCCAACAGCTCCTCCACCAATAACTACGATTCTATCAGCCTTGGCGATGCGCTGTTGATAGCCTCTGAATTCTTCAATTCCGTCTCGCTTGTTCCTCGCAACTAGTCGAGCTGGTGGTGGCTGTGCAGCGCCCGTGGCAACGATGAGGTACTCATAAGGTAATGAAGTACCACCTGCTGTGGTAACATGCGACTCTGTTACATCCGTAACTTCATCACAATACTGTTGAAAGATGCCTTCGGGGGCGCCTTTAGTAAGATTATCATACGGGATGAACGTATGATGCTCTCTTCCTGAAAACACAGAATTGCGAGGGAAAGCAAAGGCGTAATTAAAGTGAGAGTTCATCTCGACAAGAATCACACGATAACCCGATGGCAATGTGTGAGCAAGTCGTTGCGCAAGAAGCGCTCCTGCAAAAGAGCCACCAACGACAATGACATTGCGTGGGTCTGATGTTGAGCGGTAAGTATATCGATGGACAATTGCTTGTCCTTTTTGGACTGTTAGCTTTGCAATAAAACCAAGAACAGTCTTGAATATCTCGAAGTGAATGTCCAAGTCGTTCAGATTCATCGTGACACAACTGGAAGGAGAGTGATAAAAATTATACCAAAAAGACACAAGATGGGATGGGATGTTTGGGAAGATCTGATAAGGTGTGGTGTGGTGGATGAGGAAGATCTGATAAGCTGGTGCAATTTAAATGGCTCTCAAATGACCGGACCTTCCGCTGTATTGAAACATTCACGGACTATTCTCGTCTGGACCGAAGTTGAGGCCGAAGCCGAAGATCGGCACGGAGTTAAACCTAAAGGAGCCAACAACATCTTTCAGCTGCTCCTAGGATGAGACAGCCTGTAGCCGGGCTCGGACTTTGACCAATTGCCGGCTCGGCCTGTCGCTGAAGAACTTACCCTGCACCCATTGATTCATCAACTGATGAAACGAAGAGCAGCAGTCATTGATGAAGACTTTGGATGATACAGACTAGATTGATAATTGAGATTTCTATCAAATTAAAAAACGATCGGTGGTACGAATTCTTCAGATAAACCATGCATGCCAAAGCATTTGCAGGATATTTGCAAAGCATTCGTCAGACATGGAGTTATCCAAATCACAGGCAGCAACAGCCGTGAGCACCACAAGTGTCTCACCATAGCCATATCTTAGATCTTTACCGAATTCGACCATCAATCGGTCAAACCATTTACCCGCTTCTATTTACCTAACTAGTCAAGATCACCAAGGAAAAGCAAACAGGAAAGTCGTGTTCCATTGAATCACTCACCCTGTCGCTTGTAGATTAGCAGCATCCTGCTTATCAAATCTAACGTATTCAATAGTAGCTTGAGAAAAGAGCACGTCGGGTGCCACGTCCTTAGGAGCAACGATGTCCGTTGTCATAGACGAAGAAGATCAGCGGCTCATATGGAGGGTCTAGTGGGTAACAGAAAGAATGGCCTCCTAAGTCTTAGGGTAAAAAAATAAGTAGCCTAAGAACTATAGTCTAAGCAGCATAAAGTGACCTACTGATTTCGTCTCGTATGCTTCCAGTGGTCAATTCATTCAATACACTGAGGGCGAGCAAAGGAAACGGCTGAAAAAAGAGGTAACATTTACATAAGACGAATTTCGTAAAGTTAAAAGCAAAGTCTGAATTCGTCAAGTCGGAAGAGAGTGATGAATGAATGCAGGTAATAAAAGGCTTTTATACCTTTCCCTTTAAAAGTTTGTTTATTCGCTTTTATCTTTGAGTCAATTTTTAACTCACAAAACCAAATGACCGACAACGGTATACACGCAGAAATCAAGTACAAAGTCAAGGCAATCACAGAGTTTGACGGTCACATGACACAGTAACTCATACCGAGCCTCCTCGTATATAGCACCGCGCAGTATATTTGCTGTTATAGGCTAGCAGAAAACCCTGGCAAGAAATGTGATTAAAACAAACAAATTTAGGAATCATCTTAGTGAACAACAAGCATTCTGAGCTATGCTTATCTACTGTACCCGATTTCCATTGTTAGCAATCAGATTTGGTGCGCTGTGAAGATTTCCAGAGATCTTCTTCGCCGTAGCAACCTCCTTCAACCAACGAGTAATGGCTGCAACACCCTCAACCTCCTCGGTACTCATCGCGTACAGAACCAAACCAGCAACATGAGGAGCAGCCATTGAAGTTCCATCCTCTGTAAAGGTGTGCGTGTCTGACTTCCAGCCAGAAGAGAGAATCCCTACACCCGGGGCCATGATGTCGACTGTCTTTCCCCAGTTGGAAAAGTCAGCGACAGCCCAGTTCTCGTCAATGGCACCGACGGTGATAGCGGAAGCTGCAGATCCTGGCGACTCCTTGGCTGCGTCCCTAGCATCATTGCCAGAAGCGACGACAGTAACGACACCCTTCTTCGATGCATTGTCAACAGCCTTGTTGAATGCAGCGGACTTTTCACCTCCGAGAGACATGTTGATAACAGCCCTCCATGTGCGATCTCTCTTAATAATATCGTTGACCGCCCAGTTGAAAGCATCAAGGACAATAGAAGTATCACTCTCTTCACCCTTGAAGACCTTGAGAGCAAGGATATTCGCCTTCTTAGCGACACCATACGTCTTGCCAGCAATGACTCCAGCAACATGGGTACCGTGACCATCAGTATCCTTGTTGTCACCCTTCCAGTTGGTCCAAGCGGCTTTAGCACGGCCACCGAATTCATTGTGAGAGACACGGACTCCACCGTCAATGACGTAGGCGTACATGTCCGTGCCAGCATAGTTGTCGTAGATGTACTCCTTGAAGCCCTTCTTTCGGTGAGAGATCGTACCAAGACCCCAGGTAGACTTTTTCTGTGTGACTTCAGCTCTCTTTTCAAGATTGTGATCTTTGTTAACGCGAGAGATCTTCCAGACACGATTGGGTTCAATCGCAAGAACCTTGCATCACTTGTTAGTCTCACGTCATGTTAAGAGGGGCATTGTCTCTTACATCAGGACTCTTCTTGATCACACTGATCGTCGCCTTGTCAAATGTTCCCGCGTAACCTTGGAAGCCAGACTTGCTATCATAAGTCTTCTCAACGCCGAGTTCCTCCCGCTTTGTCAAGCTTCGCTTGTGCACACCATCAACCCATTTCAGATGAGTCTTGGCCATGATGGCATCTATCTCAGGTTTGAGGGTGATGATGTAGCTGCCCGGGATAATGGCTCCCGGTTCAGCGGCTGGAGCAGCTGGGGCAGGGACAGCAAGACCGCATCCCAGAAAGAGGGTCACTGCCAGGGTGATGTTCTTGAGGTTGACCATAATGAAGCATAAAGCTGATGAGATGAAGAATGGATGATTGACAAGGAAGAGCCAAGACCGCGATCTTTATACAAATTTACTTGAACTATCACATTCCCGTATAGCATATAACTGACCGCAATATTAGACTCGCGTAAATCGTGCCAACAGGGATGGCGCGGTGTTTCTCACAATTGCGATCTACACTCATTTAGCTTCCCCACTTGTGCCTGGCTGTACCTGGAAATGCCACCCACCAAGCCTTGCGTGCGTAAAACTTCGACTATCTAGTCTAGTCTTTTGATGGTTGTAGCTAAAAAGCAATATGGTTATCCCTCAATGGCAATTAACTTTGAGAAGACCTCCATCAAAGGTATCCCTAAATGGAATGTGGCTGGTCTGAATGTGGCTGGATTTGTGATGAAAGGGCACCAATTCTGGCACGATGAGACACTATCGCCCGTTTGAGAGGGGCATCGTTGTGTGAGACCCAAATTTGGCTGGCTGAAACCTCGTTTGGGTCAAGTTGGGGAATGCAGGGCGAAAAGATCGAACTTTAAAAACGATAAGGCAGGTGGCGTGATTAAGTTGTGTCACGGGTTCCTGTGTAGAGAAGCTAGGACTTTCATGATGGGAAAGTGAAGATGAAACAACTCACAGTCCCAAAGACATGGGAAAATGATACGACATGGTACAATCGTTACCGTATTTGACAAAAGATACCGGACTCAACGTAAGTACTTCACCAGTACCTTCAAGCTTTTGTGCAAGGCACATAATGTTGGTTCTAACATTCCATTTGTAAGCTCAGCTCTCTACCACACCATCTTCTCCGCATCAGGACGTTGTAGTTTGCTTGTGACGTTCTTGAAAACAAACAGACGTTGATGGAAATGGAGAAGCTGAACACCACTGGCGGTTAGTTGGCGGGTCTGTAGTCAGCTGGCTGATCGAAGGCTGCCCATAAACTTTCGGTTCAACAGCCACGACGGCTCCCCTGCGTTAGCTTACTGTTATCAGATCCACCTGCATATAGACTATTAAGCCAAACATAGACGTTGTCGCCTCGTGGAACGAGGGGCTTCACGAGACGTTGACCCTCCTCAGCCAGTCTCATCGACCGACCGTTCAGTGGAAATCAGATCTAGAACCTGGATAACCAACCATGGCTTTAGGCTTTCTATAGATATCGTTGAAGGCTGTCCCATGACTTTCACATTACAAACTGTGATGGCTACAACGTGAGGCTAGCTGAACGTTCTGGATGCGGTGATTAAGAAAACGTTAACCGTTAGCCAGTGCACTAGCATTTTCACTCGATCGGAATCAAGCTTAAGCCATGCAAGACGCTGGGGGTGTTTGACTATTGAGTAACTGACGCCTTACACTGAAACCGTTCTCGGAGAACGCTACCTAGCTCAGAGCGTTTGTGTGAGATCTAGGTGTTCTATCCTTGACCTCTAGACGGAGATTTATTCCTCAACACCATGAGCAAAAATCTTTCGGTCACAAGATAGCTAAGTTTAGTGCCTATGATACTGAATGCAACGCGTACCGGAGTATAAGGCCTTCAGCGTATGTCTATAGCCGCAGGCTAGCTAGCTTAACGTCCCTAAGCAACAACATGGCCGATTCAGCCAGTGATGTATAGATGAGCCTGTATTGTGATATTTAGGTTCTTACTCCAGTTACATGTCTATACCTTCTGTCAAATGTGAGCTGAGTTAAGTGCCATCAACGCAAAACAGATCTTGTTAGCTTATGATCAAGCAATGCTGTCAGGATGTTTTCCGTCACATCAATGACACGTCCAAACAAGAGTAGGCTACGGAAAATACACATATTCGGACTTACAATCAGTTTAACTATTGAAAGGAAGATATCGGCGACGTCATATCATAATCCCATCTGTATAACTGATATGAATTATGCATGTTGGAACAGGGATCTCAGATGCGGGGATGTTGATCATAATTCGTCCACTGACCTTTTCGCTGCTTACCTGTCCATATCAAGACTAGCATTTCATACCCAATCCTTGGCCTAACTCCTTCTTCCATCTCCTCATCTGTCCCCGCTTCCCACTTACGCCTCAAAGCTGACACGAGTTAGCTTCATCCGACGTCAGTTATGGCCGCAGATAAGCCACCCGAAAAACCCACCAGCAGCACAAGGAGCCGTAACGGCTGTGTTGGATGTCGCTCCAGGCGCATCCGCTGTGATGAGAAACAGCCATCCTGGTAAACCGCCTTCCTGTGGTGTCCAGATATGTAACGTGTTGGAGTCTGGACTCCACGATAAGACACATGCGATGACTGACATCACTCTATAGTCGCAATTGTGTGATCAAAAAACTGCCTTGCTCATATGTGCCAATAGTTCCCCTTCGCGAACGTAGGGCTACTACACGCCCTGGAGAGCAGACTCCATGGGTTATCCAGAAATCAACAACCTTGTCACCTGCCAGGGTGTTTACAAGGCCAGGATCCGACTTCCTTGATCCATTTGATATGTTGCCAATCAAAATGCCACTCAAGTCCAAGGAGCTTCTCCACTACTGTTTGTGCATTCAATAGTCTCACATATAAGCAGTTTCAGCTGACGCCGATGGATCTGATACAGTCTTGCAAGCTGGTGCTACTATTGGACCCTTACCAGTAAGCCCAAACGATTGGTCAGTCACAGCATATTGATAGATCCAGTCAGATGTTGATAGTGTCATAGTGTCGCCTCAGCTACTAGCAATCCAGAAGTTCTGCAAAACACAATGCTGGTATCAGCACTTCATTATGCATGGAACAAAGGCGATCTTGCCATTTTTGAGCCAACGTTCCTATATCACAAGATTGAGAGTATAAAGCAAGTGAACACTTGGCTTACATCTTCATCTCGGGCAAAAGAGGTCCTGCGATGTGCCAAGTACATCAGCACTCTTTGCTTCGTCGAGGTACGTATTTTCTCAGTTAAATGCTACAACGTGTTCTATACTTATCATAGTTAGTGTTGTCTTGGCAACTTTGCAGTTGCAGAGTCTCACCTGAACGGTCTGACTACCTACTTGTCCACCAAGGACCGAGAAACCCTCCGACAAGGATGTCAGTTCGACGTTGACTTGGAGTTGACAGATCGCTATCTCATAATGTGAGCACCAGGACCCGTTGTCACGATGAACCAATGATATTAACGTGTTATTTAACAGAGCCAGTAACATGATACACAGCACCAAAAGCCGTTTGGCCGAGGTTGTCCCTGCCGAAGTAATATCACCACAACCAGAAACGGAAATGGAGGTACCAGAACTCAGTCGGATGATACATAGGATGCATCTTAACGAGGTCAATGGCCCTGAACTGCGCCTAAGAGCTTTCCGTATGGTACCCTTCTTCTTCGGGTCTATTCCACCAGGACGTGTGCCCAAAGATATCGATATGTTCCCGGCGGTATCCATACTTCGACCAATTACACGATTGGCAATGATGGCAAATTCAAAGGAACGTGGCGGTGCAGATGTTCCCATGCCTTGGAATGTCTGGAACAGCGGGCTTTCTTCAAAGCTGCTTTACACAGTAATCACAGCACATCTTCAATCATTCTCAAACAAGATACCACTACCCACTCCTGGCGAGCCAGTCTATTTGTCAGCTTGGTCTGGGTTTTGCTCCGCTGTCGACTTTTATCTCACAACTGTTCTGGGAGTCTGCAATCAAGGGCTTCCTCCAGAGAAACGACTGCATTATCTCAAAATCGACATTCTTAAACGGGACTTACAAAAGGGGCCGTCGTTGTTTGAGAGCATGAATGACGAGACACGCAACTTGTGGTTTTGGAAAGCATTCATGGGCGCGTTAAGTGTGACTTACGCTCAATCACTGGTGTTAGATGACAAGCTTGATCTCATCTTGGAGGAACTTTGCCTCTTGATTCGAAGCTGGATGAAGTACACTCACATTTCGACTTGGAAAGACGCACACTACATATTATCATGTGTGGTGTGGCCAACTTGTCCGGTGAAGAAGGAGTCGTGTAGTGATTTGTGGCAAATGATAAGTGTTCGGCAATAATACCAAGTTCCATAATGTTTCACGAGAATAAAGGTTATACTAAAGCTAATTTATCAAGACTCATTTGAGTACAAGTTGGTTTGCCACTCACAATACCCAAACACTAAACCCCCATTCATAGCATTCCGGACATGAAATGAATGACATGTCGTCACATTGCGAATGAGGTCAGGGATCATTTTTAATGATTAGACAGGCACCAAAAAATCAGCGAGAGTCGATAGTACTCAAGTTGACGTCGATATCAGACCTAATGGCGTCGCTGTTGCCGTGTGAAGATGTGCCTCTGCCTGACGTATTGTTGTAGAAGAGATAACACTTCAAGGTTACCAGTCTTCTCGGCCCACCACCAGACATCTTTCCCAAAACCATCTTTATCTTCTGTAGTGACCTTTGGGCTCTTGAGCAATACTTTAAGTGCCTTTGAACGATCATATCTGACTGCAACGAATAGTGGTGTTGAGCCGTGCCAGTCTTTCAAGTTTGGGTTGACTCTAACGTCAGCAACCAAGGTTTGAACAATATTATCAAAGCCATGTCTAGCAGCTAGAAGTAAAGCGGTACGCCCAGCATAATCAACCTTGTTCGGTTCGATGCCTGGGATGTCAAGCAGTGATTTCACACTCCGTGTACGATTCTGGTACGTGGCTATGTGGAGTCTGGTCGTTCCAAACTTATCGCGAACATTGTTAATGGCTCCTTCAGGGTTAGCTTCAACGAGGCACTTTAGAATGTCAACATTCCCTCTGTACGTTGCCATGTCGATCGCGTCCAGCCCGCCATGATCTACTTCTTCTGCAAAAGCCCCCTCCTTCAGTAAATATTTGACAACGTCGATGCTTCCCTGGATTGCAGCACTATGCAAAGGAGTAGCTCCGTTAAACGCTTTCGCTGAAATACTTAGCCCCATAGTAACAAGTAGATTCACAATTTCGAGTTTATCACCATGGGATGCCAGATGGAGACATGTGAAGCCGTTGTTATCGAGGGACGATAACCTCGAGCCTGCGTTAAGCAGTAACCGAACAGTCTCAATATTTCCGCATGCGCAAGCGCGATGTAAAGGGGCCCGCCCATATTTGTCAGTACCTAAAACATTGGCTCCCATTTCGATGAACAGTTCTACTAGCTGCGTGCGGCCATATGAGGCCGCAACGTCGAGAGCCTGATGACCATCTTTGTGTCGTTCCGCTAGGTCTACTCCGTTGTCTAAAAGAAGCCTGGCGATCTTCGTGTAATCCTTTGCCACTGCTTGAAAGAGTAATGTCGCCCCGTGAAACTTAATAATGCGGGAGAAGTCACTCCCAACTCCTATCAAAAGATTTGCGGCGTCCAAATGTCCATAGTAGCAAGAAACGGCCAATGGAGTGAAGCCAGAAGCATCCAGCTCCTCGATGTCGGCTCCGGCGTTAATCAGAGCTTTCATAGTTTCTGTATGGCCTTTCTGACATACAACGTGTAAAATAGGACTTCCATTCTCATCCTTCACGTCTATGTTTGCTCCCAATTCAATAAGTAGCTCAACTACTTCAAACTGTTCGCATTCGGAAGCGACTTGAATTGCACGCATACCCTGCAACCATGAGTCTTCTATGCACACACCTTCAAGAGCCAACAGTTGAACGATCTCTTTATTGCCCTCTGCACATGCCCCGTGCAAGACACCGGCATTTGACGCGGTAAGAGACGTCCCCTTTGCTATAAGCATACGTGCTACTTCTAGGTGGCCAGCCAAGCAGGCAAGATGCAAAGGAGTTAAGTGACAGTCGAAATTCCCGGGACTGGATTCCACGCTCACTCGAGCATCAACTGCAGCACTCATGTCCAATAGAACCTCGACAATCTCAGCGGAACCATTGAAGGATGCTGAATGTAGCGCTGTGCGTCCAACATTTGTTCTGGAATCAACCATTGCACCACTTTCGAGAAGGATTCTCGTTATTTCCGCACTCCGTGCAACGTGCAATGGCGTAAAACCTTCTCTGTCAGTTGCTGTTACGTCGGCTCCACTATCGATCAAGATCCGCACAAATTGGGAGGAATTGAAGCCAACAGCGAAGTGCAGTAGACTTTTCCCGTCTGCATCGACTACTCTGGCACTGACGCCGGACTTGAGGAGCTTTTTAAGCGTATTTTCTCGTCCAGACTGCTTTGAGACAACGAATGCGGCACAGGTGAGGTCCTTCATATCTCCCCGGCCCGAAGTGTACTCAGTCATCAATGTATCAGCTATTGAGTCCAGTCCTAGTCCAATTGCGTAGACGATTGGACCAGGTGATTCCGAATACCACCAAGTCTCGTCGCTGCCTCCATTGGCGGTGCTATCACCAGACGTAGTGAAACTGTTGCTATCCTGCATATGTAGCCACGACCGCCAGAAACCCCATACCCAGTTTCTTTCATCGAATAATGTAGTGATGCGATCCAGTAATGTTTCGTCACTGGTCAAACTAGAATGATAATGATGGTTCCAGGAACTCGCAGCGTAGTCCCTAAGCATAGCTCCTCGGATAGTCATATGACCAGCCATATCATTCCATGCGTACCTGAAATTGATGTATTGTAGACAAGCTGTCGCAAGAAGACTGTGTTGATATTGGGACCTCAGACTTCCGTTGGTCTGAATCGTTACTGGTGCAGGAAGTTGTGTGAGGAGAAACTGTTTCACTGAAAAATGCGCCAGGTGTACAGTTTGCTGTCCAACAGGGCTATCGTTTTCCTTTTCTTCACGTCGATGGATCATCTGGATTAGAGGAGCACAAAGGTCAACAATCTCCGTATCAACATAGTCGTCGTCAATCTCATCTGGTAGATCGTCCAACGGGAAGTCCTCATAATCACCGATCAAAACGGCTTCTGTAATTTCGTCCACCGTCAAGGGCCGGATTGCAAACGCTGTCCATCGAAGCAGGGAAATTATTCTTTCGTAGTCAGGAGATTGTACCATCCTACTCCATTCTCGCTCATAGAGTGCCTCCAGACCAGGAGGAGTACCCTCCACGACACTCTGTAGCTTTTTCATGTTCATTCCATTTCTCAAAGATTCTTCTTGAAGACGAAGCCAGAGAAACTGGCCTTCACAACGAGCGGCCATAGTTATAGAAAGAGATTTACGAAAGTCGTTAGGTTTTTTATTTAGCTTTCTTTCGACTATCTCTTGAGAAACAGAAATAGTGTCGGCATGAACGTCGCTGGGCAAAATGGTGTACTCAATGAAACGAGTGCTCAACGCGTGACGTATGTGAGGCTCATCGCGGCTTACTACCAGGACTCTGGAGGACATTGTTGATAAGGCCGCGATGATCGCTTCAAGGAATGCAGTTGCTGAGGTATTGTGGGCGTGAAGATTAGTACATTCATCGAGTCCGTCAATGACAAAGGTGCAGCCAGGAACGAGCTGTACGATCTGCGCCAGGAGTCTCAGGCATATTTCTCGGGACGAAACAGGGTCGGAATCGTCCTGCCAGACATGGTGAGCACACTCAAATGCATCTTGATGTCCAGATATTATTTGTGCAATCCAGGCGCGCACGGCAAGAAATGGATCGTCTCGACTTTGTGATTCAGATGTGACAAAAAAGTGCGCTGTTGGCGTGTCGAAGGTGACTGAAAGGTGATTGACTATACTTGCGCTGAGGACTGTCTTGCCAAAACCAGCAGGACCGTTGATCCATAAAGCTTTGAAGCCATCAAAAAAATCTGAAGATAGCCAACGCTGGAAGACTTCTCGGCTATAAATCCAGTCGCATGTTCCAGCATGTTTCTTTTGTAGTGAGTCGTGATAACGCTGGTCGGTGCGCCCGTGACCAATCCACGATAGTACTTGTTTACGGGTCTCGGCTTATTCGCGTTAGTTACTTACTTGATAGCCTCATCTGCGTCTTACCTCGCGTTTCAGTCTCAATTCGTTGGAGAATAGCCTGGATTTCAGCGATTGAGGCGTGACTTTGAATGGCTTCCGGACCGATATGATCTACAGGGACCAAGTGTAGCAGCTGTCCAACCAGCTTCTCGAAAAGCTCGACTTTCTCTTGTTGCTTCTGTTTGTCGCCAAACGCCCATTTCAACTTCTGCCTTCTGCCAGCAGTGTGAAGCCCAATCACTCCATGGGACGGACGGTGCTGAAGGCCAAACTGAAGGATTTCCTGAGTGATCTTCAAAATTTTCTCCACGGCAACCTCAATATCAGGATTATCCAATTTTGTGCTATGATGTGTTGACAGGACACCATTATTGCACCCTACACTGTGACCCCACTGCTCCAAAAGGACCTTGGTAGTCTGGAATCGGGTTTCTAAGGTGCTAGAGTCAGATCCGAATGAGCGATACGACTGAACCTTTTCCGCAGCTTCTAGAACTGCGCTAAAGAGACCAGCGACGCCGATGGCAAGACCCACAGCTTCCATGATTGTGATGAAGATGACGTTGGAGAGTCAGAGTCAGAGTCTGATGACCGCGTGAAGAAACACTTGCCCGTCAGCACAGGTTGCACAGCCACATAAGCTGCATGAGATTTCCGCCAAGCTTATTGAACTCAATCAGTTTTCTAGTGGACGAGGAATGAGTTGATAGATCAATTTATAATATTACATATTGGTTTGTGTAAAGCTATTGTAACAAAATGTCGTGACCAACAGTTCCCTATATGGGACAAAGTACCTTAGCTGGATCATCCTAGAACTATATCCAATATGCAAATTAAACATGCTACATTTTTTTCCCTCTTTTTCGTCTCCTCCGTCTTTTCTGTCTGTAACTAGGCCCGAATTGATGCTCAAGTTGCAGAGTTCGGTCTATAAAACTTGCTTTCGTGCCCTTTCACCGCTCAGAATTTGCCATGGGACACACCGCAATGCACTTCGTCGGAACTTTGGACACGCCTTAGTCAAGCTCGTATAACACACAGTCCAGGGGATATACAGTGAGATTGAGTGCCTCAGACTCCTCAGACCACAGCGAATGATCAAGCGATGTCCGTCCAAGGACTTCCAGAGGGAAGATCCAATACTCTTGAGCTCTTCTAGGAGAAGTCTCTAGCTTTTCGTCCATGTTTTCGTGGTTTCCTATTGGATTAATCCTCCCTCCTCCATTGACTGGCCGCTTCATGGAAGCAATCACAAGACAATAAGCATCCAAGTATAACTTTATGCTCACAAGGGCGCTGCACTTTCAAAATTTCGCGGAGGCGCATCCAAAAGGATGCATCATGCCGAGCTTTCCAAAATGATGAGTCAATGAAACGGTACACCCCATGTGGAACTTTGCATTTCAACTCTACTTGGACAATTCTGGACTCCTGGGGTAGCCTTTGAACACAGGGGTGTAGTGCAGCATTAGTACGAATACTACGGTCAAACTTCTCGAGTTTATCGTTGACACAGTTGCTGTATAGTCGCCGAACGGCCCTCAACACAAACAAGACGCAGGGAATCCCAGAAATAGCTTGTTTTAGCCCATCCGTTTGCGCCACGCTGTCGAGGTCTTCAGTGAATAGCAGAGGACAGTTGAAAGCAACTTTCCTCAGACCTAGACATTTGGGATCGGCCTTCTTGAACTCCTGGGACAAGGCGACAAAACGGCTAGCCCATGTGGATTTTTGAACGGGCTCTCCGAAATGAAGTATGTCGAAATCAGGTTTAAAGTATAATACGCCCTTAACCTTCGTCGGAAGACCTCTAAAGCTATAGCATGGGATCCGAATGCGGTAGAACCGTAAGGCGGCCTGTCGTGACTCTTTGTTTGTGAAAAGAATAGCATTTACTTCTAAACGCTGCCTGATATTCGCCACGTGGCTAGTGGAAATTAAGGGTGACTTTTTTATATGTCGTTTATCTCAGCTGGCTATTGAAAAGAACCTTTCTCGGGCGAGAGAATGCCACCAAATCAAATCCCTGAGCTCACGAGGAAGATTGGGAAACAGATGGAAGCTATCGCTGGGGCCCGGTGCCTGGACCGGATTCAATAAGTCCAAGTGTGGTCCAGCGTGTAGTTCCGGTTCTGGGAGTGATGCAAATCGCTGCTCCATGGTGTCTAGGATTGATTGTTGAATTTGGTGGGTTGAGGGAGATGGAAGATTTGTAAAGTAAAAGAAGAGAAGAATCAACAGTACTACCGAAGGTCCAGCTTTGTAAAAGGAAAAGAATAAACTCAAATGATAGCTGAAAGGATATTTATCCGAGGAGAGGGAGGGTTCAGGCCACGACGATTTGAGTTTATTACATAATAATGTCGAGTTAATTCTTCTAATATAATGGCAACTTCTAAGTTACGAGACTGCATTAGACTTTTTTTTCCCAAGAAATATACTAAAATGGATATTATGGCTTTATACAATGACTCACTGCTGACCCTACGTAACGCAGTGCCATTGAAGACAGTATATCTTCACAGGTAATATGAGAGATCTTGGAGACTGACTCGTCTTGTCACTCTGCAAGCAACTGTGAATCTAGTGTCCGATAGTAAATGTCTCTTTCATCCAATCAGCTGTCCCCTGTGGCTTAGTTGGCTAAAGCGTCCGACTGTTATTCATAGACAATCGGGAGATCGGAAGTTCGAGCCTTCCCGGGGGAGTTCCTTTTGGTTTTTGGCAATTCTTTTTATTATATCCATTGGATTTGTTTTGGAGATCGTCTTTTTTTATCTTCTTGCCATTGATCCCATGTGTTATCTTGGTATTGGCTTTTGGTACTGCGTCTTTCCAAAAGGCGGGGTTGGTGTAACCTGAATGTCCATATCTCATGACATTAACAGATCATTGCTCACTTAGTCAACCTGATCAAAACAACAACTCGCATCACAATGGACAACTCAAAGAACCCTCATGTCATCGTCATCGGCGCAGGTATCGTCGGTGCTTCTATCGCATGGCATTTGGCCAAGCACACAAAGGTGACCATCATCGCCGAAGACATCGGCGGCCCTGCCAGTTCAGCTTCCTTTGCCTGGCTCAACGCCAGTTCGGCCAGTGACAAATCTTATTACGAATTCCGTGTCCGGTCGCTGAAGAGATGGAAAGCAATGAAACATGAACTGCCTGGTCTGCCCATCACCTGGAATGGATCAGTCAATTGGCACAAACCTGCAGAGACTTTGATTAAAAAACATAACAGCTTGGAAAGTTGGGGTTATGGTGTAAAGCGCATGTCAGTAGATGATATACAGTCTCAAGAGCCAGGGATTGGGTCTGCAAGTCTTCCTGAATGGGGCCTTTGCTATACTGAGGAGGGAGCAATCGAAGCACACTTGGCTGCCCGACAGATGGTAGCCGACGCAGAAGCGAAAACCAGTACCAAGATCATCAAAGGCACCGCGAAGACCTTTCTCAAAAGCCATGGCCAAGTTACTGGGGTGGTATTGACCTCCGGAGAAGAGGTGCATGGCGATCATGTCGTTATCGCAGCTGGTTTAGGCAGCGTGCCTCTTCTCGCGACCGAAAATATCAACCTACCAGTTCACTCTGTACCAGCCTTGATCGTCAACTCAAAGCCTGTACAAGACCAGCTTCTTCATAGTCTCATTAACTCGAAGTATCTCTACATGCGTCAAACCAAGGACGGCGTTATCAGAGCGGGTTGCGAGAACCCGGGTGACGACCCAGGCGATGATCCTAAGCAAACTGCACGAGAGGTGTTTAAGGAGCTACAGAAAACTCTGATCGGAGGCGAAAAGCTTGAGTTCGATCATTTTACAGTTGGCAATAAACCTACACCAGAAGATGGAATGCCGATTATAGGACCGACGGGCCTTGATAATGTCAGTGTGGCAGTCATGCACTCTGGTGTCACAAATGCAGCTATCGTTGGGGAATTAGTGAGCAAGCAGATTCTGACCAGAGAGACAGATCCAGCTCTTGTTCAGTTCCGCCTTGATCGGTTCACTACTTGATCACTACTTATTTGTTTTTGTGCACTGACTAGTTGGGCTCTCGCCCAGACCTTCTCAGTTTCATTCATGTTCTCAACAAAGATTAATCTGTCCGCGCAGATCAAATTTTCAACAAATTTCCAAATTAAAGTTTTTCTCAAAAGTAGTATTTCCAATACACTACTTGATCACGGTACATAGACTGTATGGGAATGATAACCTTTTGCTGTAAAAGCAACAACAGCACAAATTATTTTACAGCTTCTGAACTACCCTATACATACATTTCAGATTGGTAATTATGCATGATACAAGTGTCTCTCAGTGTCCCAACCAGGTAAGCTTCGAAATTCTAATCATTAACTATGTGTGAGAGAAATGGTCGAGGTCATGATTGTACTTTGTTAATGGGAAATCTGTGTGTTGATTTTAGCAAACTCTGATCCCATTGAATCAAGGGCAGCATTGCCATCGGGAGGTGACTATGTCCGTCATGATGTCCTCCAATGAATTGTCGTTGTCAATACGTAATACATATAATAAAAATTCACCTTACTATTTTATTGCTAGTCGCTATTGTCATCCTTATCCATTGCTCTGTTTTGCCTTTTCTATCATCGTGAAATTAAACGCACAATTACTCTACGTAGTGTAGCCGGACCAATCAAGGCGTGAAAGCATCAACACCCTTGGTAATCCTTCATGATTTGCCGGACCGTAGCGTTACGGCCCAGTCAGTGCCACGACATCAGCTCAAACTTTAATTTTTGGACCTTCGGCCGAGTGATGGGATGAAGTACATAGTACACACCCCAGATCACTCACACTGTGCGGCTCCGAGATCTACTCTCATCTCTTGGAAAGCACGTTGTGTCTATACCCCCTGGTAACTGGCATAAGATGACGCGGGTCTGGGGTTGCAATAACTCAATAGGTTGCATGATTCATGCAAGAACAGGTAGGGGCAAGTCCATGACTTTGTTGACCCATGGATCTTAAACTTCGTACCTGGTCGTATATGCTGCCTTTACTACGAATCAAAGCCTATCTGACCCTTGCGATCCATCAAGACGTTACATGCTCACTTCCAACCTCCGTCACTAGTAAGGATGAGATTCCTCCGGAAGAGCCGTACTGCGCAAGACGCCATTATAGTAAGAAACCTATCTCTTCACGGAACCATCGGCACGGCCCGATGAGACTTCACAGTAAGCTCAGGCCAGATAGAGTATACCGCCATAGTAACGTTGAAGAAAGGAGGCATTGAGAGCCGACACAACTCCCGAACAGACGTAACAGCGGAAAAGGCAAGATCGATAAATCCGCTCAGACTCCCCGCCGATGCATACCGTCAGTTGTGACCAACCTGCTTCCGCCAAGGCATCATGCGTCTGCAAGCACTTACCGCTTTAGCCACTTTGGCTGCCCAAACAACCTGTCAGACCCTCTGGTCTCGGGATGTGGATTACAAGGCGCTTAGCAAGGAGCTTTCGGCCTCTGCAAAGGTATACTTTCCTGGATCTGAGGACTTTGAGACCGCTTCGAAGCGTTGGTCCAATCTTGATACACCAACCGTGAACATTGTTGCTGTTCCTGCCACTGAGAACGATGTTGTTGAAATTGTAAGTTTGACTTCCCAGTTCCCGATTCGCGTATAATTTCCCTCTTGGTTATTTTCTACACCCTTTGCTCCATTATTTGACGTTTTATCTGCGTACCACCCACGTGTACCAGCCACGTACCGATACGGGGGATGGTCTTGATCACCCAACTGACACACTGTTACAGGTCAAATTTGCCAACAAGAAGAACTTGCCCTTTTTGGCATACAACAGTGCCCATGGAGCAATTACCACCCTGGGGCAGATGAAGCAAGGTATCGAGATTTATCTCAACCAGCTCTCTGGTGTTAAGATCGCCGAGGACGGAAAGAGTGTCACCATTCTTGGTGGAACCAAATCTAAGCTGGTAACCCATACGCTTTGGGAAGCTGGCAAGCAGACAGGTGGGTTCAGAATCAATGTTTACTGCAAACAAATGAAGAGACTGGTAGGAATGCTAACTTGATCTCAATAGTCACCGGTTGCTGTGAATGTGTCGGCTATGTTGGCCCAGCCCTTGGCGGAGGCCATGGTTGGCTTCAGGGTCGCCACGGTCTTATTGCTGACCAATTCGAGTCAATGAACATCGTTCTCTCTAACGGTACTGTCGCTACTGTTGACTCAAACTCTGAGTTATGGTGGGCTCTCAAAGGAGCTGGTCATAATTTCGGCATCGTCACTTCGGTCACTTCTAAAGCTTTCGATGTCGAGTACAAAAATTGGGCATTCGAGAGTTTGACCTTCAAGGGCGACCAGGTTGAGGAGTTGTACAAGCTCACCAACGAACATGTCCTCAAGAATGGTACCCAATCTACTGATGTCATTAACTGGTCTTATTGGTTCAACATTCCTGATTTGGATCCCACTGGTGTAAGTTCTGGTTCTACTCTGTACCGTTTTAACAGATGTCTAACGAGAGAATAGCCTGTCGTCCAAATTCTCCTCATGCAAGAGGGTGTCGAGGCAGTCGACAAGAAATACACCGAGCCCTTTCAAAAATTGAAACCCCTTGCGGTTGAGAAACAGAAGGGTCAGTATACAGATCTTGCCAAATGGGTCAAGATTACCACCGAGGACGGCCCCTGTCAAAAGAATGGAGCCATGAACCCTAGGTTCCCCATCTACCTCGAGTCATTCAACCCAGCCGCGCAAAAGAAGGCATTTGACTTCTTCGCCGATCACATTCGGGGTGATTCTGTCTTCAATAACTCCCTGGTCACATTCGACGGTTACTCTACTGAAGGTGTCAAGTCAATTGACTCCAAGAGTACCGCTTTTGCATACCGAGACCAGAATATTCTCGTGGGTCCGTTGATCAGTTACCAGTCGAATGGAACTGAATTGGACAACAAAGCTTCTGAGTTGGGCCACAAGATCCGAGACATCCTGCACGAAGGAACTGGTCGTGACACTGTCCCGGTGTATGTTAACTATGCTTTCGGTGATGAAGGTCCCCAGGAGTGGTATGGAAGTGAGAGTTGGAGACAGAGCCGGCTGCAGGAATTAAAGAAGGCGTATGATCCTCAGGGATTGTTCAGCTTCTATGCACCTATCGCCTAGATTGGGCTTTTTAACCATTTCCTCTCTTCTTGTTGAGCGTGAAGGGTATCACGAATATGATTACCTGAACATACATACATGTACATTTCTCTTTTGTATACAATACTTCAAATTAGATCTTCAACCAATCCATCCAATCATCACTTTGACATTTCAATACTTCTCTTGTCCTTAGTTCAGTATCATTTAGCCAATCCATCAATATAGTAGAGTATTAGCATCGTGTCTGTTCTTAGCACACTTAATGATTTTTCGCTGAACAATTTACAGGCTGCTGCTCTATATGAGGGGTTATTGCTGGGGTAGCGAAGCGAGGATTGATGACCCACCTGCAATTTCGGCAGTTTTACAAGCTCTTGAAGTAAAACTTGCCTTGAGCTATTTTCCCCAAAATCAGTAATAAACTTCCAAGTGGTCAGGAAGCAACGATATTTTTTTTTTCTTTATCACGAACGCCAGTCGGTAATGCTGCCTTACAACTATGTATGTATTCTTTATGCGTTTGTATTTTCTACACCTAGGAGCTTTGAAGCTTTACACCAGTGAGGTCCTCACAAGCCTTAACTACAGCCTCCTGCTTATCTTGATCTGCCGTCAAGGCATGAGGCTGAGCCCTCTCTCGCTTAGGATCAAAGTAGACACCAGTCAAAGTAGTATCATAATCACCCTCAGCCAACATAACATATGTCTCAATACCATCCTCCATCTTGTCGGGAGCATTTGGATCTGAAAGCTTGGTGGGAACGTATCCAGGATGCATAGCAATTACTGAGGTGTTCTTCAATCGCCTGGCCAACGCATTGACCAGTAGGACAATATGGAACTTGGCGTCGCAGTATGCTGGGAATTCATCCCAGCCTTTCTCTCCACGTTCCAACCAGAAGATGTCCTTTAGGCTTGTGTCGGCCTCGTGGTGCAGAACAGAAGCGATGAAGATCAGACGCTTAGGTGGCGTAAGGAGAGCGGCGAAGATATAAGGGGAGACGAGGTTGACAAAGACACTTGCTGGAACACCAAGGTCTGACTTTCGAAAGGGTCCGTGGAAAAGCCCAGCGTTTAGAAAGACGGCGTCAAAAGTGCCAATCGCGTTCACTTCCTCCGCGAGCTTGCGTGACTCTGCAACTGTTGTCAAGTCGGCAATCAGAACACCAGCAGCTCCTGGAAGTTTCGTCTTGACTTCATCGGCACGCTGCTGGTTTCGAGCATGGAGATAAACTTGATGTTTTCGCTCGATGAGCTGACGTGCGGCCTCGAAGCCAAACCCGTCGGTAGAGCCGGTGATGAGAATACGAGCCATGATGGAAGAGGAATAGTGAGTGGTTTAGTCGAGCGGGAAAATGATCGAATGCGACTCTTAAGCAGGGGAGGTGTAAGACGAAGTAGTGAAACAGGATGATGTTCGTGAGGAAATTCCCTACAATTAAACGGGGGTCGGAATCTTGCCAGCATCGGTGTTCTTAAAGTGCCGCGATGGATACAAAACTGGGTCAATGAGGGTCGCGGACTTTGTTCTTTGCCCGAGTGTTGGCCGAAGTACCAACATCCATGACCTGGCAGGCCTGACTCGCGTATAGGAACTTGACGAACCAACACAATGTCACAAAGTGAGTCATAAAAACAACGCCCTCGCATCTTTGCCTGATTTGGTAGCCCCACGATCTTTTGTCAACGCTCCAAAGAAAGTTTCTTACGGGGTATCGTGGGGGTTCACCATATCCCCAATTTAGCACGCACTATAGTCGAAGGACATGGGTTTGTGTGGAGACGGGTTTGTATCTTCAAAACGCGTCTCATCTGCATATTGTTCAAAGACTACGTAGGTCAATCGGTATTCTACAGATCAAGTAGTTGGATGCGACATCGGATAGATGGAGTGATACAAGAGTAGATTAGATCAACTTTAACAAGAATATGCTCTCTATATAGCAAGGCTTTAATCAAACGTACCTTACAAGGTATCACTATAATTCTCATCGTTTGACACACCCATGATGGCTACGACATCCAAACCTCATCTCGGCAAATTTCGCTATCTGACCCGAGGAGCTCAGCCGACTCCAAGCAAAGAAGCCTATCTGCTTCCATCACTCTCTGAGTTTGGCGATGTCGTCACTCTACCCTTGACTGACTTGCGGCCGTCCTTGGACCTTGGACAAGATTCTCCATACAAACTTGAGGTCCATGGCTTTACTGCCCGTCGACATTCTTCAGCTTTGAACTCAGCTCCCCACAGTCGCCAGAGTTGGAATAATGAAAAGCTTCTTCGTCAAACTTACTTTCCAGAAGTGGAAGAATTCGTCAAGAACTTGACGGGATGCAAGAAGGCTGTGGTATCTGCTGCCGTTGTCAGAAATCGTCTGTACAGCGAGGGTGATGAGCCTTCGCCTACAGGTGAAGAGGTAGACGCACAACTACCTAGATCAGATGACACGTCTCACCTTTTCCCACCGATCTTTGGCAATTCTGCAAAGGACGGGGTATGTCCAGCTCCCAAAGTGCATTTAGACTGCACTCCCAAGGGAGCTAGACACCATATTCGCCGGTACCACAACGAAGTTGCTTTGGCAGCTGAAAAGGTCATTGAGGCAGAAAACCGATTGCTCGAGTCAGGCACCCAGTGGAACGATCTCAAAGATTATTATCGCGGGGGTGAGGCCGGTAGTGGAGGTGTTCCTCGCTTCGCCCTCTTCTCGATATGGCGACCTTTGAAGACTGTTCACCGTGATCCTCTGGCTCTATCCTCAGCTGCTTCGTTCCCTGTTTCTGACTACGTGCCCGCCGACCAGCGGGAGCCAACGGATCACAGCATTCCTTCTCACTTGTACCGCATCATTGATCCCAACACTGGTGGTGCTGCCAACGGTGACACTGACAATAGTGATGATACCTACCAGACTCAAAGTTACCTGGCATATGCCCCACGAGATAAAGAAAAGACATCTCATGACTGGCATTACATCTCAGAGCAAAAACCTTCTGATGTTTTAGTGATCCAGCTATTCGACAACGAGATGGAAGCGCATGCAAGAGCACCTCTGGAAGGCGGTGAAGGGAAGTCTGATCTTGGAGTTGGAGGAGCTATTCACAGTGCTTTTGAGCTGGTGGATCAGGACGAGAATGCCGAAGCTAGAGAAAGTATTGAGGTTCGCGTGGCAGCATTCTGGTGATAGCGACCATCTGTTACTTAGTGTGCAATTAAATTGTTTTGAACTGCCATTATACAACGTCCACTTGCAATAACCTTCAATCGTGTTAACCTTCACTGTGCACATGTATCTTGAGTGTACCTTGGCGTTTACTATGTTCGTCACGATTCACTACTTTGCTAGCTTTTGAAAAGCCAAATAAATGATTCTACGCCCAAGCATAGCGGTTGTAGACATCTTTAGTAGAGCCCGTAAAGCGAATAGGTGGTTCAATTGTCTTCTAGCTACTCTCGCCATAAGCTTTCTTAACACCAAAACGCTGTCCTAGAACAACGAATTGCGCCACGGTAATTATACGACGCAGTGGCAGAGCTTCCTGCCGATTGAAGGCCCCATCCATAGCCTCCTGTGTAGCCTCCCAGTCCACAAACCCCAGTTTATCCACATTTTCCTTTGTAACTAACTCCATAATCTTCTTATGAAGTGGTCCACCAGGCCAAAACTTCCTGGGGCCCATGTAAGCCTTCTTACTCATGTTGTACACCTCATCAGTAACATAAGGCTTCACAGCCTCGCGAAGAATATGCTTCTCGCGCCAAGTCTTGTCCTTCGCGTTGTACCTCATCTTCAAACTGGGTGGCACATTGTTGACGTACTCGGTCAGATGATGATCAAGGAAAGGACAACGGCTTTCGACTTGATGGACCATGTCGATGTTGTCTCCGTTGTATCTCAAGATAAAGTGAGGCATGAAAGTTTTGACAAACATGTACTGTGCAGTGTGTACAGGATGCCACCGTTTGAGTATGTTGTCTCGGACTCTTCCATCGAAGCCTTCAACGAGACTGGTCTCGGGAGTGCTGTTTCCATACACCCTCGTCCAGTCGGAGAACGGGAGACTTCCGACTCTCGCGATGGAACTCGTGACATGGTTGGAACAGAACATGCGCTTTGTGGAGGTCGGCACCTTAGGTGTGAAGTCTCCAAAGATGCCATATTGAGCTTGTTCGCTAGCCAGAGCATATGCCTCTTGACGCTCAGCATTGGTCATCATCGTAGACCACGAATGGTCAGGCTCGCTGAGCGAATCCGCCCTGAACGCATCGTAACCTCCAAAGTGCTCATCAGAACCCTCGCCTAGAGTGAAGTCAGAAATTATTCTAAATTGAGGATATCATGTCGCTTACCCGTAATGACAGCCTTGATGCCCTGAGCGTGCACAGCCTCCGCCAATGCTAATCGGCCCATCCCATTCAGATCTGGAAGAGGGACTTCGCTGTACCAAGTTGTGTCTTCAAATCGTGCAACGAGGGCCTCTTCATCCATCTTGACTAGATGGATATCAACGCCGAGCCAGTCTGCAGTGCGACGTGCAATTGCTAGATTTTATTAGCCTTGAATTCATGAAAGAAAAATCACATACCTGACTCGTCTGCACCACTACCCTCATCGAACTGGACAGTATAGCATTTCATACTAGACGGGGCCAAACTCGCCTCATTACCCAATTTTGTGCCCTGCTTGATGAGATGCGATACCATTCCAGCGACTGAAGACGAGTCGATTCCACCAGAAAGGTAGACAGCTACAGGAACATCTGCCTTGAGGCGGATCCTCACAGCTTCTAGAAGGCGTTCCCTGACACCTTCAGTGATTTCCTCCTCAGATCGTGGATCCTTGGATAGCTGCGAGAGTTCAGTACCAAGACAAAGTACATCATGTTCATATTGCTTACCTTGTCCGGATACTCAAGATCCCAATATGGCTTTTGTTCTTCCCTTTCATTGGGTCGACAAATGAGATAATGTCCGGGCAGGACCTGCGCATGTCAGTTAGATGCCTGGTATAATAAAGCCGTTCTATAAGCTTGACCTACCTTGTAAACACCTTCAAAGAAAGTAGTTGAATCGACCCTCCAGCTCTGGTCTCGTAGCGACCGTATACACCACTCTGGTTGCAGACCAAACGCCAGAAACGACTTGATCTCAGTCGCAACTAACAGCTTGTTCTGATGAACTGTGTAGTAAAGAGACTTAATCCCATACCGATCTCTGGCAGCAATGAGTTGCTGACGGTTTGCATCCCATAGGACAAATGCGAACTCGCCTCTGAGATGAGAGATGAAGGAAAGGCCGTAGTGTTTATAAAGTGCAATGACGATTTCACAGTCACTGTTTCCAACAAATTTGAACTCATCTGCTAATTGAGCTTTGTAGCGCTCGTAGTCATAGAGCTCGCCGTTCACAACAGCATGGATACCGCCTTCTTCGTCATGAAAGGGCTGGTTTCCACTCGGGCTAAGATCTATGATGGATAATCGAACATGTCCAAGGCCTGTCACATTTTAGATCGTCCCACGATGTACCAAGTGAATGGTTAAAACTCACCAACATGATTATCATCACTGAACCAACGGCCCCGAGCATCTGGCCCACGATGAGCAATCAGATCAAGACTGCTCTCCAGTTCATCCGCCGCATGCTTGGCTTCTCCATTCAACACAGGCGACCTAGACTGGCCAGGGTGGGTAAGGAAAGCACTAATTCCACACATAATTGCGATATCCAGACTCTTGGGAGAATAATACATTGAATGCGGCACACACTGATCTTGACATACAGTTAAGGTAACTCGTCAAGATGAGCGACATCGGACTTGTAATTCCAGTAAGCCGCAATTTGGAACTGATTTCACTACCCCCACGATCCATACATAGATGGGCTAGTTCATGGACAAATCGCGGAGTTTTACCCCTTGCAAAGTCTATTTGATGAAATAAGCAATGAACCTTGGTAGATGAAACTCAAAACGTTGTACTCCGTACAAGCCCAGTTGTATCTCACCCTGTACCCGCTAAATCGCGGATCCGCAGACAGAACTCCGTGCCGGACACGCCGGATGATGACATCTCGAGGAGGAGCATCTTGCAGGAAGATAACCAATACTACCTAGATCGTCTCATGCAGTGTGACACTGCCGCAATATGTACCTTAGGCCAGCCAAGACTTGTAGGATTCTGCGCTTGTAACGGCCCGCTACGGCCCGCTTACGGAAGTTATCCCACTTCCCTAGTCCGAGTAGCTTAACACAAGCTTTTGACCAGTGGGGAACACACGTGTGCCCAAGACATTCATGTACCCCTGTTGTTCTCATCCATGATAGTACACTGTGTATACAGACGTATCCCAGATGTAACACTATCTATAGATCTAGCAGAGTTTATACTAATCTCATTTGAAACTTGACTAGTCAAAATTGACTGCCGATTGGCGTAGTCTGTGGACCTTAGCCTACTGTGACGAAGCTGTCCCTGATTCGCATTCGCCTAACTCAACACCGAAGTGAATTGCTTAGGATTATCATCCCTACAGTGAGACGGTGAGATCGATTTGAAGACACTCCCGACTATCCATTACGTACAACATCCACTCAACCTTCTCCACAATGGCAATGAAGCCTTGACTGATGACGTCTTTTCATCATTTACAACAAATCGCTCGTTGTGGACTCTCCACGGCCTCACTGGATACGAACAACTACACTCCAGCGGCGTCAACCGGACAGGCCGGCCTCCGAAGTTGTGCCCTGTATGGACTATCAAGGTGATCAGAATGTTTCAATCATCATGGTGATGTGGTATTGGTCCCATAAGGTCTGAGGATTTGAAGGCTCCGCCGTTAACCTCTACAACGTAACGACGTTCGGGTGAAACGGCAGCGAGTTATTGGTGGAATCACGAGTTAAGAATCCTCACTCCTTCAGCGAGGCTTACGCTTATTGAGTTATGAAAAACGGGATGTTCGGAATCGAAATGGCCCTTGCAGACCATCAGATAGAGACACACCATTAATGGTATCCAACATGCAGCACGTTGAACCCCATATGAACAAGATGTAACAATAGTTGCAGGACTTTGCCTCCAGTCATGTAGCAATAGATATCGATATTCGATCGAATAGACTACGTTTTATAAATGTTAGCTGAATCAATAGATAGCTGTAAGGGTGGTCAATCTATGTTATTGTCAGCCCATATCTCAAATTCCATTAACCTCATCTTCTCAATAAACTAGTGAAAAACTTTGTATCCAAATTACCAATCATGGCACCCCCAGCAGCAGTATCGCCACTTTTTGTGCCCTCTGTTGGTCCTCCATCTGATTTCCATGCGTTGGAACCACAATGGGACACTGTCAATGTCGAATGTTCGGGATTGACCAACAAAGCCCTTACCAACTGGCTACACAAGGAGTGCAAGAGCCACTTGAGTCTTGTACAAGCTGCATGGGCCCTATGTCTTCGAAGTTATACTGGCTCTGAGGATGTTTGGTTTACCTGCTTGAACCCTGAAAGGTACACAGTTCAGGATAATTACACTCTTGGTTCGAAACTGACATTCCCAAGGAACTATCATTGTCATATCTCACCAGACCAACATGTTCGAACGTTGTTCGATCTCCAAAATGTTGATTCAATTGGACAGAATCGCACAACATTTTGGGATACCATCTCTGTCATCCTATCCCACGAGGAATCCATCGAGGTTATAGATGGATCTACAATGGTAAGCCCCCAGATGAAGTTGCACAGAGGACAATCATAACTCACAACAATCTTACCTAACTTATAGTTTGACCTCGCTGTATGCTTTTCACAAAGGCCAGAGACACGTCTACCCAATGTGAAGATATACCACAGGTCATCAAAGGTTCTCCCTGCCATGGCGGAGATGATCGCTGCTACAGTTGCCAAGTCAATTGAACAGATTGTTGCCGAAATTGACTCAAAGATCAATGAACTTGAAGTGTGCAGTGATCTGGACATTAATAGGCTCACTAGATGGAACATTTTATCAATTGAAGAAGACCCCATACCAGAACCCATCCACCGAGTCATCTCCCAAAACAGCACATTGCACCCCACATCTATTGCTGTCTCAGCCTGGGACGGAGATTTTACATATCAAGAGCTGGACCGTCTCGCGACAGGTCTCGCAATATGGCTCCAGCATCTTGGTATCGTCGGTCCAGAAGTCTTTGTCCCTCTCGTCTTTGACAAGTCCAGATGGGCGGTTGTTGCACAGTTGGGTGTTCTCAAAGCCGGTGGTGCGTACTTCTTCATCAACCCGTCTCATCCCGTACAGTACAGTCGCGAGCTATGTTCATCTTTGAACCCACTTGTGGCAGTGTGCTCGGCAAACCACAGTCCTATCGCAAAAGAGCTCGTTTGTGAAGCTATTGCGATCGGTGACCAGGTTCGTGACCTGTTGGAGTCTATCCCCGTGGACGATGATCCTAGATCACCAACAGTCAACATCAGCACGTCAAATGCTATGTATATCACGTTTACTTCTGGAACAACGGGTGTGCCGAAGGGAATCACCACGGAACACTCTGCGTTTTACTGTATGGCTGTAGCGAACGCAAAGGCTCTTCATATTGATGACAGAACAAGAATGTTGCAGTTCGCATCATATTCTTTCGATGTTAGCAATCGTGACACAATTGTCACGCTTATGTTCGGGGGCTGTGTTTGCATTCCATCCGAGTCTGATCGTTTGAACAACCTCGCAGGTTTTATGACACAATATCAAGTGAACCTCGCTAGCTTGACACCCTCTATGGCTAGTACTCTCAGTCCACCATCATGCCCCACACTTCGAGGACTGGTCCTTGGAGGTGAACCCATGACAGAGAGTCATATCTCGACATGGTCAAAACACGTACAGCTTTTCAACGCTTATGGTGTGAGTGAGAGTACTGGTATAGCAGCGTTGGCTTCAAACTTCAAGCCAGGTGTTTCGCCAAGCAACATCGGGTATGGGTGTGGCTCCAGGTTATGGGTCGTTGCGATAGACCAGCCTGACAAGCTAGCACCTATTGGTGCCCTGGGCGAACTCGTCATCGAAGGTCCGTCCATCTCGCGTGGTTATCTGGGCGACAAGAGTCGAACAGACCAACACTTCACATCGGATCCAACGTGGAAGAAGCGGATTTATGAAGAATACGGCCACCGAAACTCTAGCAGTCCAACGTTTCGCACAGGAGACCTGGTTCGATACAATCTCGATGGATCATTGCAGTTGGCAGGAAGGAGAGATCACCAAGTCAAAGTCAACGGACAGAGACTGGAATTGACAGCAGTTGAACATCACATTTCAGCTTGTCCGCAAGTAACCGAAGCAGGTTTCTCCCACATCGCTGTGGTTGCTGTTAAGGTCGGGAACACCGGGACTACGAAGCTCGTTGCTTTCCTAGGACAGGACACATCCAGAGAGACATGTACTCCCGCTCAGATGGTACCGGAGCAGCTGAAGCACATGGATGGCTTGAGGTCGGCCCTCGAAATATATCTTCTCATGGATTTGCCATCATTCATGGTTCCATCAGAGTTTGTCTTTCTACAACATATGCCGCTCACAACATCCAACAAACTCAACCGACTTCTTTTGCAGAATACGGCTACTCAAGCTTTGTCCGTCCATCAAGACGAAAGTCTCAATGGCCATGAACTGAGCGATGACGAACGGCCATTGACCGAGAATGAGCGGGTGCTTGCGGAGACTTGGGCGACGATACTGGGTATCAACGAGTCGATCATCTCACGAAATGACTGCTTCTTTCGACGCGGTGGTGACTCAATGGCCGCCATAAAAATGGTAGCGAGTCTTCGTGATGCAGGATTCAGTATCTCTGTATCCGACATCTTCAAGGCATCTATCTTATCGGAATTGGCTCGGCTTATGGTTCTAACGGATGGTCTATCTTCTCCAACAACTCTTGCACCATTTGCACTGCTTCAAGATGCTGAGAAGACTATCGCCACGATCGCGGAAGAGTCGAGCCTCGTGGTTGACGAAATTGAGGATGCATATGCATGCACACATATGCAGCAAGGACTTCTCGCCTTGACGGCGCAGAACTCACGGGCGTACATCGGCACCTATGTCTGGCAACTTGCTTCTGAGGTTGATAAGAAGCGGTTCAAACATGCTTGGCAGGAAGTCTGGCAGAACAACCCCATTCTTCGTACTCGGGCGGCCCAGACATCAGAGGGACTTTTGCAGGTCGTCATGCGGGCTGACATGCCGTGGGAGGAAGTCTCTTCTGTGACAGGCTTCCCAACGGTGATTGACATCACTGAAGGCCCTCTAGTCAGACTTTATCTGAGCGCTGAGGCCTTCCGTATCGACATCCACCACGCCTTGTTTGATGAATGGTCTCTCGATTTACTCGTGACGCAAGTTGAGCGAGCTTACACCGGAGGAGACCTTCATATGAAGCCATTTAGCCTATTTGTGCGACATTTGCTTGAATCAGACGATGTGAGCTCTGAGGCATTCTGGCGTCAACAGTTCTCGGGTCTGGAAGCCGAGCACTTCCCAGCAACCGCTTCAAAGGCGGGAACCACAACAAAGACAATTGTGCTTGAACGCAATCTGTCGCTTGATGCTGACACGTCGACCAAGTACACACTCTCATCAGTTGTTCGACTTGCGTGGGCGATTCTTCTATGGCATCAAACGGGTTCTGAAGATGTCGTGTTTGGTGCTACTGTTAGCGGTCGTAATGCCAACGTCGATGGTGTCGATCAGATCAGTGGGCCAACCTTGGCAACTCTACCCATTCGCGTCAAACTGCCAATTGCGAGATCCGTTCGCGAGGTTCTATCAGACATCCAGGATGAATTTGTCAACATGATTCCACATGAGCAGACGGGTCTATCACGCATTCGACAATACGGCAAGGAAGCTAGTGAGGCTTGCAACTTCCAGAATCTGCTTGTTGTACAACCACACGAACAGAAGATGGAGTCTTCCATCTTCCAATCCTCTAATGGCGATGCATCTTCATCGGGTAATGTAAAGGCATTTGCAAGCTACCCCCTGGTCTTGACATGTCGGCCAGACGAAGGTCGAGTCAACTTCAAGGTGGCATTTGACTCTAACCTAATCACCTCAGAGATTGGTGACAGTCTTCTCAGACAGCTATCACACGTTGTTCGACAGATCATGACATCTGAATCTGTGGCGATCAGAGACATCAGCCTGGTACCTCCACATGACATGGAGAAGTTGCGAAAATGGAATCAGTCAGTCCCGAAATCTGTCGAGATTTGCATTCACGATCGCATTCGACAGCTTTCTACAGACCATCCAGATGCACTTGCAGTCCACTCCATGGATCTTGACTTGACTTACCGACAAGTCGAGGAATATTCCAATCGCTTTGCATGTCATTTGATGAGTCGAGGCGTCAGGCGAGGTGACTTTGTACCTGTCTTGATTGAAAGATCACCCTGGGCCCCAGTCATTATACTCTCAGTCCTCAAGACCGGCGCGGCCTTTGTTCTTCTTGATCTTTCACACCCTGTTCAAAGGTTGAGGACGATGTGTTCTATGATCGATTCCAAGATTCTCGTTGCTTTTGAACAGACCAAGCACATTGGCGACAAGCTGTCACTTCCAATCACAACCTTCGACCCGACGGCGTTTTGTGAAGGACAGGACTCATACTCTTCAACTCAGACCGTCTCTCCAGACCTAGACGCCCCTGCTTGTGTTGTTTTCAGCTCCGGATCTACAGGCGTACCTAAGGGTATCGTACTTCCCCATGGTGCTATCGCCACAAGCGCGGCTGTTATGCGAGAACATGGTAACCTTACTGCAAACAGTCGTGTGTTCCATTTTGCCTCATTCGCATTCGATATCAGCATCGGAGAGATCTTGTTGACTCTTGCAGCGGGTGCTTGCATTTGTGTACCACGTGAGGAACAACGAAGGGACAATCCCGCCAAGGCAGCAGGCGATCTCAAGGCCACATGGGCACTGTTGACTCCATCCGTCATCAACCTCTTCAATCCTTCAGATGTTCCAACTTTGGAGACTCTTGGCTCGTGCGGTGAACCTCTTACCTCTCAGATTGTGGGTATCTGGGCACATAGGTTGGAGCTGTTCGCCATGTATGCCCCAGCAGAATGCACTGTCATCTCACACATCGGACGCGTTTTGCCAGACACCCACCCGTCTCATATCGGGCGAAGCTTCGGAGCTGCCTCATGGGTGGTTGATCCAGCCGATCACAACAGGCTTGTTCCCATTGGCACAGTTGGCGAACTACTAGTGGAAGGACCTGTGGTTTCCACTGGCTACCTGAAGGACCAGACGAAGACTGATCAGGTCTTCGTCAACAACCTTTCCTGGCTCTCCCAGTTCCGTTCAGGTTGTGGAAGAGTGTACAAAACTGGCGACCTTGTCAGACAGATGCCTGATGGTTCTCTACAATTCCTAGGACGAAAGGATGATCAGGTGAAACTTCACGGCCAGAGACTTGAAGTCGGTGAAGTCGAGCACTGCTTACAATCAGCCTGTAATGACATCAAGGCTGTTGCCGTTGAGTGCGTCAAGATTGCGGAACAGAACAACCGTGCCGCGTTGGTCGCGTTTCTTGCACCGCACACTGAAGGAACATGGGGCCCAATTTCTAGCGACAATCCGCCTGAGAACAGTGATTTACAGTGGATCACTTCGCCAAACGAACTGTTCTACTCCACCATTGAATCGCTGGATGCTTCTTCTCGGGATCAACTCCCATCGTACATGGTTCCCACGTACTTCATACCCGTAGCTCATCTTCCTCTTAGCCTCTCGGGCAAGATCAATCGACGTCTTCTGCGCGAGGAGTTCTCGAAGACTATCTCGAGAAATCTCGATTCGTACCAGTTGAGAACCAGCACTGCTGAGCTGGGAGAAGCACCAAAGACTGCACATGATCGAGAGATTCAAGACATCTTTGCGAAGGTTCTCAATTCGGACATTCAGTCGGTACCTATGTATGGCCATTTCTTCAGTCTTGGAGGAGATTCGATCTCGGCGATGGCTGCTTCCACGCTTGCCAGACGGAGAGGTATTGACTTGACTGTCGCTACCATTTTTACGCATCAGATCCTATCCAAGATCTCTTTGGCATGCGCTCCAGTCAATGGGGAGATGTTAAAGACTGGGGAAGGCAAGGCCGATCATGAGGAACAGACTGGAAATACTCCGAATGGTGGCCAGATCCCTCTTGACGAACTTCCAGGCCACATCCCACAAGATGTCTTGGACAATGCCATTGAAGCCAGCCCCGCGACCGAATTCCAAGTGATGACTCTGTTCAACTTTTACAGTCGTTACCTATGGATCTCGTTGCCTGGCGGGGTAGATGAAGAGCGCTTGGAGGCTGCCTGCAACAGCCTTGTTCAGAAGCACTCCATCTTGCGCACAGTCTTTTACACCAACGCTAGTGGTGGTTCGATCCTCCAATTGACTCTACGAAACATGCCAGTCACTTTGACGCATTATCCTAGTGTTGATGATATGGAAAGGCACTGTGCAGATGACTCTATTGCTATGGGTGTGCCCATTGATGGTAATCCTGGGCTACAAGTCCAACTTTTGAAGTTGAGAGATTCGCGAATGTTCTTGGCATTGCGACTACCTCATGCCTTATTTGATGGAATGTCTCTGAGTACTATTTGCGAAGATCTCAGTTCTGCCTACACGGGACAAGAAATGTCGCCCTGCGCTCAGTTCTCGGACCATGTACGACAGGTCTGGGAGAAGCGAACACCTGAGACTTACCAGGTATGGAGAGATGTTCTGCAAAATACTCCCGTTACCATCATGAGTAATGAGAGTGAATCTCTTCCGAAGAAGGCTGCGTCAACATCTATCGCACACCAACCTCGAGGTGTGACTGCAACATTGGAGACTGTCCCAATTTCACCACCCAAGAGCACGACCATGGCAACATTGGTCAAACTGGCGTGGGCAGTCACACTTTCTAGACTATTCACTCCTTCACAGAGCGACAGTGGCTCGAGTGATGTTGTCTTTGGACAGGTTGTTCACGGCCGTGGTCTTGGAATACCCCACGAAGACCGCATCGTCGGTCCATGCCTCAACATTATTCCAGTACGGGTACACTTCCCACTATCACCCAACAAACATGACCTACTCTCTCAAGTGCAACAACAACACGTTCAAACAATGTCGGTTCAAAATCTCGGTCTTGACGAGATTACTCGCAACTGTACCTCGTGGGAGCCTGGGACCAAGTTTGGCAGTTTTGTAAGGTTCCAAAACTTCACCAACAGTGATGATCCTACCTGTGATTTTGATGGACACACTTGCGAGACAGGGCTGTATAGTCTGCCTAATCGCCCGTCCAAAACAGCGAATGTGCTTGTTGTTCCAACGGGCTCTCGATTGAAGATTACAATGACGGTTTCCAGCGAGGTGCTGGATGAAGAGGCAGCGGATTATGTAGTCAAGTATTTCGGTGATGTGATTGAAAGTTTAGGCAAAGATGAGGATGAGTGCAGTTATCTTGGGTAATTTGTAAAATATTTTACGTCATCAATATTCAAATGCAATCCAGGGTTTGCATATTCGTAGTTCAATTCCGGATCGGCTTTTGTAAATGACACTTCCCCCAGTGTGATACTATGTTCGCCTACGTCGGAGGGGTGGTTTAATACAGGGACGTAGCTCTAGTCAGCAGTTTCGCACCACTGATCAGGTCCACATTCAGTGGATAGCTCACTGAGATTACTTAAATATAGCGCTCGGTCCCTTGGAATGGTGCCTCTATACTTTCATGTCTGCGCAACAATACTTTCACGTCATGACTTCTCCCACCTTTCGCGTCGCCATCCTTCAAAACTTCATACTTGAAGAGACCGGCGGTAAGCCCATGATTGACAGAATCACACATCTCGTTCGCCGATCTAAACCAGATGCCGAGATTAATGTCTACGCTGCTATCCAGGGTGATGCACTCCCCGACCCGGACGATCAGGACCTTGTCATTCTGACAGGAGGACCATTTAACCTTATGAAAGATGAGAGACCTAAATGGGTCACCGACACGCTGGAGTACCTGAGACTAGCCACTATGAACCCATCAAAGCCCAAGATTTTGGGGATTTGCTGGGGTCAACAGGCGGTTGCTCTAGCGCTAGGAGGTGCCCTGGGCACATCTGGCAGGGGTCACTGTGTAATGTCTCAATTCCGAAGATGCAAAGACTCGCAACTAATTGCTCACCCAGGTTGGCGTTGAAGATATCGCGTTGACGACCGAAGGAGCGCAGATTTTTAATGCTACATCGCTTGTATGTCAACAACTTACCTCCGTCATACCATATCGAAGACTAAGATTATTAGACCATACACAAGAACCACGAGATAGTGGTGACCGACATTGGACCTCATCTGCTGCCTTTGGCTCTCAACAATGAAGTACTCATGTCGAAAAATGGCCAGGTTCTTACTTTCCAAGGACACCCAGAGATGAACTCTTCACTCTCTCGGTTATTTGTGGCTTCAGACAATCCAGCGGTAGTGGGCGCAGGACTGGAGAGCAACTTGAGACCCATTGACTCACCCCACGACGGCGAAACAATCTTTGAGAGGATCGTTCAATGGGTCTCTACTGAGATCAACTAGTCGTTAGTATGTCTCTAGGAAGATGTAAATCCTCAAAAATCCAATCATATCACGCGGTTGTCGTTTTTAGATACCTTTTTAAGAAACTCCCAAATCAAGTCTATAATCTACCTTCTGTTAATGTGTGTGCGTGTGAAGTTACCATCTGTTCTACTCCAATCAGGGAAGAATCCCCCCGTATCCTCTCATACCCGTTCCTGTATGCGCAACTGCAATCTATTCATGCGAGCGAAACAGTAATTGTTAACTCCGTTCCCCTCAGGGTATCGCATCTGCAACGCGTGTCTCACGAAAGAGTCAACTATCGATAGCGAAGGGCCTTGATAAGGCTGAGTGGTTCTCTCTCCGAGACAAGTGACTCCCAACAAGCAAGGTAGTTTGTGTTGAGAAACACATCAGCAGCCTCTTCAGCGATTACCGTAGGCACAAGGCTCAAGCGTGGAACAACATTAGCCTGGATCCAGATGTGAAGATAATCCAGGTCATTCCACTCACGTAGTCCTTTGATACCATCCATGTCTTTGAAGATCAAACTCACCATCTCAAGTTTCTTGAATCCAGGGTCACATTCAGCAAGCGCTTTGTACGCTTGACTCTCATGCAGCGGATCCCTTCTGTGAATAAACTTGACAAGAAACGCAAAGCGATGGATAGCAGCCCATTGGTCTATTTCAACAAACTCGGACAGCTCAGTGTCGCCAGTCGTGATTTCGTCAATGACTTCAAAAGACTCTTCCCAGATGAGATTCATGAATGAAATGAGTGGAAGAACACCAATGATCCAACCGTGTGGATCGTTATGTGTCCCCCATTCGTGTCTGTGTTGGGCAGTCATTGGTGGTCTCGGAACCTGATGCCGAATCCAGCGACAGACACTGTGCTTGTGACACATTCGGATGCTATGTCCCGGCATGATTGTGATGTAGTGGAGAATGTTGTGAAATCGCATTGTTTGATGATGTTAGTTTGGTTCGTTCTTGATGATGATAAGGTGGTGGTGAAGAATGTTTAGTGTGTGGAACTGAATTCCGGCAATCACTCGTTTATATAGGATTTATTCAATATATCGTTTTGAGGACGTTTGTCAATTCTACAGATCCATTGTTCATAATTATTCCTGTTGGTGATGTGCAGAACAACAAAGACGCTGCGAACAAAGGTCCGACCATCATCATACAATAGACTGTTCACTTTATCTATGGCCCTTTGTTCATAGAACATTTTTGATGTTGTATTGCATAAAGAATGCGCATTCCTCTGAGGACTTTTCTGCCTTTATAACGGAGACTATCACTTCGCAAGAGCAATGTATTGAACAAGTTAAACTCGCAATAGTCAAACTATCGTTCATGTCTTCCAAATGGCGCAACGTGTCTAGTTCAAACCGTAACATATCAATGATAATCGACTTGTGCACAACCGAGACAATCAAGCTTTACAATTTCTCATAGCAACTCTGGTATTATCCATTCAATCTTGAAGATTGTACCGTTCTCCTCGACATCGTAACCGTAGTTCAAAATTAAATCAACCAACATTGCAAAATAAGCAAGGTTATCTGTGAAAGTTTAGTTTATTCCGACACCCAGGTGTCCTTGTGGTTAGTCTTACCAGCTGTACTGGATCCAGCAAACTTATTCTCGAGAACCTTGATCTAGCCATAGACCTGTTCCTCACCTACGCCATCCGACGATTTTGCGACGGTTTGTAAATGTGTCATCTGCATCATTCATTAGCCCAACAATCTCATAATTCTATTGTGCTTCTGCCTACCTCGTGAAACGGTGTCAGGGCTGGCGTATCCAGGAGATCGACGGGCGTCCATTCTCGATTGGCCTTTTTGTTTCAGTTTCTTTATTCAACTGTAGACTTATTTACACGATAAAGTGGATTGGTACTACGACCGACTTTGGTTTAGTCACTTACACAACTGCCATAGAAGAGGACGAGCCCATAGAGAGCGCCATGGCCCGTGGTTTCCTTGTCGCTCGTCATGAAGTTGATCAGGTTGAGATTACACTGAGCAAGTGTATGAAGGACGAGCTACACGAAGTAGACGACCTTTTGCCCAAATGCGATGCAGGTGACCAAGATTGTCTCATGTAGCGTCCTGGGAAGTTTCTCACTCTTCTCGTCAAGAGAGCTGTACCTCTTCGTGCTGCTGAAGTCTTGGCTCGTGATATAGGCGACCTCACTGGGATCGAAGTCGGCAGTACAGCCGCTGTATGCCTAATCGCCATCGGAGCATCTGACGGTGTGATAACAGCTGCTTCTGAGCTACTCGCCGACTTCATCGCCAGCGTGGAAGTCGGCTCTGCTGTCGTCACGGGGGGTGTAGATGCAGCTGCCATGGCTGGTATCGCTATCCTCTGGGGCTTGAACGACGAGTTCTCACAAGAGTGGAAGCTGAAAACTGATGTGAAGAAGATTGATCTTCCCAAGAATCCCAGTCTCAGCTGCCCTATTTTCCCTCTTGCTTGCATGGGAGAACGTTGTCAAGGCGGAAAGGGCGCCGTTTGCACCAACGAATAGAAGGATTGCCCATGCGATGTTTCCAGCCTTGGCATCGGCGACACGTTGTTTTCGGCTGGTGATTGGCCTAGGATTCAACAAGCACTTAGTGAATTCATTTTCGGCAAGGATGTCGATATTGATACCAAGTGCTATGCTGGACAGGAGTCCAAGTACTCAGTTGATATGGATGAAGAGGATTGGAAGAGGTGATACGCTCAAATTCTGATGGTATTTTGCTCTGGCTCATGCTGATATATTACAGCACTTTGGATAAGTTCTGCGAGACCAAGCCATTGTTGCGTGATAGTTTTGATGAGACGTGGACAGACGCAGAGCTCGGCGTTACTGACTACGACGGTTGAAGCTTCACATTCCAACTGGAATGCAAGAAAAAAGATGCCTGTGAAGGCTATGTTTGCGAAGACGTTTTCGAGAAGTTCAAATCATGTACGTTCCACAAGTCATTCATTCAAGACTATCCACTGACATCGTTGCAGGCGTTGAAGACAGCGAAACCATCAACTGGGGTCAACTTGATCTCGACTGTGGAACTCTCACTTACAGTATTTATGACGGCGAAGCTGAAGACACAGACAAAAAGTCTCTTGAATGGGATTCTAACCCAAGCTGCTTCGCATCTGACGAGTTTGGCGACCACAAAGATGTCTGGGATCACCAGGTCAAAGAATACGCCACATGGGCCTGTCGGAACGCCGACGATTCACCGGTCAAGAAGGATGACTCGGACAGCTTCATTTTTTTCCAGAGGTGGGCCTGGGGCGCGCTATACCAGTATAATATCTGGTGGAAGGATGGTTGTGAGCTTGACAACGGTGCAACAGAACAGTGGGCAAATGATCCGCTTGACAATGGGTCTTCTAATATGTGCGAGGCCACTCTTTTTGATGCCTGGAAAGGTTGCATGCAATAATGGAGGAACGGGTGGTTCCTGGACGGCTGGGTGTTTGGTGTATAAGTTTAGAGCTGAGAATTCCGGTACTACGTCGAACTTGGGATAGTATCAATGCTTCTATTGGTTATGTAGTATAGACAATCTCTAAAGACTTGGAAGAAAGAATCATGATCGGGCTTCCATAGACTGGAGGGGCCTGCGTAAGCCATGCTTCACTGCTTATACAACGAAAAAAAGTCCACGGTTTGTATTCCAATAATTTCATACTGTATTTCTAGGTCCAGAAACCGTGAATCATCCTGATTGGCCTGTTGGTTCTTGCGTTAGGTTGCATTTGAAACAGGCATTGAGGCTTAGTCCACCTGCTCAGCCTATTTCCTCCGTGACAACCTGCGCCGTCTCGAGCCATGGTCATGCAATTCTACCTCTTTAACTTTTTCCAGCAAGATCGCCCCCAAACACTATCATCAATTCATTTAGTGTTCTTTCCTACAGTGACCAACTGATCTTTTCTCATTTAATGCCAACCTAACAATGGGACACTTCGACGTTCGCACGAACCTTACTCTTCACCTCAGATCAGGTAAGTCACACATCACTGAAGAAGTATCCAGTGTTGATCAAATCGCAGGCAGTAGTCGATCGCGACCTGAGCAGGAAACTATTGCTCAGCATGCCAACCCACAATTTACTTCTGCTCTGGTCCAACTCCCCATCGAGATTAAAGAACTCATCTTCCAAGAACTCTGGAGAGACGCAGGCTTATCTCAGCATCTTATACTGGGCCGGGGCCGCGTTGTTGGAATGAAGTGCACCACTGATGTCACTGCGCCAGACGAACTTCAAGCAACATGCCAGAAGACAAAGCGCAATGAAACTTACGATTCAGAACTGTGGAGGCGTCTTGAGTCAAGCTGGGGTGTGCACTGGAAATGCGAAGAGCTGTATCGATCTAAGCTAAAGGCGGAGAGAAACGAACGGAGGCCATTTTTACCCTTATTGGTAACATGCCGGCAAATGTAAGTAGATTTCACAAAACCAACGAACCAACAATTAACAATGTCATAGATATGTCGAAGCGAGTGCCTCCATCCACAGGAATGTCACGTTTTGCACACACGACATTGACACTGTCCACTCATTAGCAGTTTCCAGTTCAAATCCTATCCTGAACAACATTAGACACCTACAAGTTACGGTCCGACTCCGTCTGTCAAGTCCTGATAAACCCAAATCTTCATATACAGCAGCTATGTTACGCTGGCGTCAATGTTGCGAGGCACTCGAGCATGCAAATAACCTCGACTCTGTATATTTGTGGCTCGACGCTGAACCACGTCATCACCTGTATATGAATAAGGCACAGGGGACGAATACCAATCCGTACGTCTTTGGTGAGAAGCTAGCTGCCAAACTCACAGTTGATGCCCCCTTGAATCCAGAAAGACCTGAGGCTTGGGATGTGGTCGTCAAGTTGGAACCTCAGTTTACTGTTCATCCCCGCGGATGGCCAAAGTACAAGGCGATTCATGATGGCATTCGAAAGGAAGATTGTATAGTGAAGTTGCCTCGCTTTGCTGAACCTGGCGTACCCTGGAAAGAGGGGAGTGGGAAGACGTTTGTGCATCCAGGGAGAGGGCTTTTTTCTGCAATGTTTTCTAAACATTGGCGATAAAGAAAAAAGGTACAGAAAGTTCCCACAATAATAAGTCTGTTTAAGTCGCTGTTTTATTTTCGCTTGGATATTATTACACATTTCGAGACAATTGATTACTGTTGGATTCTTTTTAAACGAACAAATAAAAGAATTTGAGTTGTTTACGATTAAGGCAAAATGGAAATTCAGCAAAAAAACGGATCCCCGAAACCTGGATCGAACAAGTGACCTTTCGATGACATGTATACAATTACAGTCGAACGCTCTTCCAGCTGAGCTATTCGGGGATGGGTCATGTGATATGACTGTGGTGGATTCGTCAAAAACTATATTTGCTTGCTCTAATCTATCGCCATGTCAATTCGCAAATGCTTCACTCTGGAAAGACTTCCTCTACCACTCAGGCCGTGCAAATGTATCTTTAATCCATTTATATCGAGTTTCTCTCAGTCTAGTTCACTGGTTCATCTTATATAAAATCGTTCGCAGCTCTTGTCTGTAGAAATTACCAACCACTGTTCCATACCCAGAACAAGCATCATTGAAGTCATAATATTGTGAATTAACAAATTAAAATTAGTGACAAAAAGTCTACGATAAGAAACACTTGTAGAGATTGACTAAACTCTCTCATCCCTCTAACTCAGCCCTAAACTCATACTCTCCTGGTCGTTCCTCAGTAGGGAAACATCTAATCTTGGTTGCCTTCCTCTCAGCATTATCCACGGTGACCTTCTTAGTCGCACCAGCGATAGCAGAGAATGTCATTACACGTTGCGCATCTGTACCATCACTCGTCATAGCTTGTATACCGTAGTAAACACCAATCGATGCAATGACAAAAGACACAGCATAGACGGCGACAAGAATGGACCATCCGTAGTCAAAGAAGTTGGCCTTGCGACGTCGCTCGCACGCGTAATTGGTCTCTTCTCCGCCAACGCCGGTACCAGATAGCTTGGAGGGGTCAGCTGCCCAAGCAACGGCGAGGAACTGGGGGTCAGAGAGCAGTGAGATGATGAGGTCCTCGTAAATACGGCTCACTTCTCGCTGGAAGTCGTGAATTGGAAGACTCTCGTGTCGGTCGAGAAGGTTTGTTGTAGTGATGGCACCGTCTGCTAGCACGACACCTTGAACCTTGACGTTGCCAAAGAGCATTTCCCGAAGTCGTAGTCCCAGACTGTGGAACGCGGCAATTCGACGATACCTAGCGTAATGCTGGCGAGGGCTGACATAATTCTTCTCAGGTACGGCAGCGTTTCCATCGGCTGTTCCATCGGTAGACTCGTTAGTCCAGCTACTCCACTCCGTGTCGATGATTTTCTTCTTGTACTCCCGTTCGGTGATGTCGTACTTCTGGAATCCTGCGGTGTAATTGAATGTCACAGTGTAATTCACCTCCCAATGATCGCAGGCAAAGATGACCGGAGTGTAGTCGTCATACCATCCATCAGCGTCCTGCTCCTTTGCATGCTCCTTGGTGTGGTCTTGAACCTCAGCGTAGCCGATCCAAATGCTGGGCTCAGTCCTGAAGACGCCAAGGTTCTTGGGGAAGTCGGGACCATCTTCCTCAGAAGGGATACCACCAATGGTGACGTTGTCTATCTGCGGTCGCATGTACTCTCCGCGGTCTGTATTAGCGAGGTAGGTGTAGTTACCAGCAGGGACAAGGTCGCTAAGATTGAAGGGTGGCTCGGCATTTCCAAACTGCTTCATCTTGGATCCGACGCCACGAGCAAGCTCCTCGCACTTGTATCCAGGAGCGACGAAATGGATGGTCGTTGAGCAATCCCAGCCGTCTCCACAGATTTCTTTCGAAATGTTGGCCTTGTAAGTTGTCTGACTACTCGAGAACACACCAGCAGCGATTCGGTCCAAAGAAGATGAAGGAACGTTGTAGTATTCGAACACGTTGTCGTTGGTCTTGGCATCATCGGCGAGGTTGCCTCCAGTGGCCGTCCAGTTGTAGCCAGAGAGAGAGCGACCGTTCATGATCTCACCCTCAGCTTTCTTGGGGGTCTGGAAGCTCTCTTTCGCTTCGTTGCTAAAATTGAGAGTGCGGATAGACGGACAAAGGGTGTCTTGAACGCTTTCGCCAGGAACAACGTACAGCGTAGCTGAGGTAAGAATAACAACAGCAGGACTGAACCACATATAGAGAGCGAGAAACATGACAAACCAAGACTTGGCCCAAGCCTCGCGGTTGAAAAGCTCGACGAGGTTGTGAGTGGCACCGAACAGAGAGTCGACGGCATGGATTGAGAATCCCTTTTGACCTACCGCTCGCCAAGCTACTTGTTGATGAGCCATGACTGCAGCGAGGATAAAGTTGGCGTTGGCGATAAAGGAAATGAGTTGTCCAGCTCGGAGCATCCATTGTTGATTCACAGCTTCGCGGCCGTCGAGGTGATTGTAAAAGAAGTGGTGTCCGATAGCGGCAGCAACTCCAATAGCCAAGCAAGCAATCATAGACCACTTGCTCTTCATCGCCCTGTACAAAAGCGGCCCCTTGGGTTGGACGGCATTGGTTGGTCGGTTGACAACATGAACATCAGGTGCTTTCTCATAAGGCACATTGGCGGGGTCATTGCCCATGAGTCCTCTATGGCTGTCAAAGGTGCGATCGTAGCCGGGGCTATCTCGAAGATTGGGGCTTTGCGGGTCAAGCCATGGCGAAGTGTTGTGAGGGAATGTCGCCTGGGAGAATCTTGCCTGAGAGATGGTTTCCGGCGAGACAGCTTGTGCGGGTTGAAAGTGGCCTATGGATGGTTGTGGTGACACGACATGCTGCTGCTGATGCTGCTGTGGGTAGGTCTGCTGAGGATACGCATGCGCATGTTGTCCCTGGTCCTGTTGCTCTGCCACGATCTTGTCTTCCATTGCAGCGCTATTGTCTACAGGTACTGTGGCATATGCAGGTCCGTCTGAAGAAGAGCCCAAGATTCTCGAGAAACCTCCCATAGTTTCCAGAGGTGCCGGCCGTGAAGAATTATATGCAAGATGGCCCGTGGCGAGAACCAAAGAACCTTTCTTCCTTTTTTCCCTGTTATGTACGATACTGCAGGACGTGCTTTGCTGTCATGCAACTAAAAGGTAAAAAAAAATAAGCTGCATGCATATCCAAGACTTTTCGGCCCCCAATGTCTGGCATTTGTACCTCAGCAGCCGGCGACATGTTCCAATTCAGGAAACCTAGCCGACTTATTCTCTCGAAGGATTTCGCCATGTTACTCTTCTTTGAGGTGCAAATCCGTTTTGGGATAGGTGTAAGACGGGTTTTCCGCTGTGTTGTCTGATCGAGAGTTTGCCTGGTGCTCCTTGCCAAAAGTCTAATAAGGCTGCTAAGGAGAACCAACATCATGGAATCGGATGTGCAGGCTGGCCGAGTGCAACGCTATTGACAATCTACTCAGGGAATCCATGGTATTCATGGGTCCTTGTGGTAATTTACAAGGCCTGAAACGAGGCTTTGAGCACATTTAGAACGGACGGGACGAGGACACCGCTTAATGATCCTAGGTCAATAATCTTGGCTTTCAGGCTGCCAAGACTTCGTGAGAATCGGTCAGACGCTAGCACAGCCTAATCCGATACGTATCGCTGATATCTCTCCAACGTCCCTCCTCCGTCTGTATTATGAAGAAGATCTACATACATGATGTTCAGCAATTACAAATGCACAATTGTGGCGAGCGCTTACACTCCAACTCAGCTTTGGGAACTGCACACCTGACACTTTTCTTTTTTCGCATTCGCCTCAGAAAGTGAGAACGTAATTCCAAAAGGGTTCTTGGCTTTTTTTCTTTTTTTCTGCCGTCTGACATGACAGGGCTTGTCACTGGTCAAGATCCGGTCATGGCAGCATTTAACCTCTAGCGAATTTGGCTGGGGAAATTAAAGCTGACATGCATGCATAGACCACCGTTTTTCAAGACAGGCTCCTTGTCTTGATCGTATCTTCGCAACATTCACCAGAACAACCATAATTCACTGATATATACGACAAGTCCCATAAATAAGGAACAAGATGCAGAGATTGACTGGATATAATTAAGCTTGGCAAGGTTCTACACAGCGTCCCATTGAGAGGAGCTTCTTTGTCTTGGAACTTTAGTCTGTGCCGCAATTGAGTCCAAATAGGCTGTCTGATGTCCTCGCAAATGACCCACATATGTCTCCATTGCTCAACTTTGGTTCAACTGTCAATGGGTACGTTACCCGCATTTCATCGAGTCCAGACTATTGGAACGGGTCGCGTCTCGTCGGGCCAATAACTCCAGTCTTAACCGCAACAGGGAAGTTCGTGACGGCCCGCTGTGTACGAGACGGCATCTCTTTTGATTAGCTGGTTGTAGCCAGTGTCCACTATAAGCGGAGAGTCGGAATGTATTATTGCCCGTGTGTCCGTTCCAGATCAACTTGATTTTAGCCGAGGCTAAACTGACGATGAGTGGATGTCTAGGGTAACAGACCGAAGTCTTTTTTCAACGGGACTTTGTTTGGTATCCCGTGTTAAGTATCTCTATAGCAAAGAATACTTCATAAAAATACCAGGTATTAATTGGTCTAGGGTTTTATTCTTATATCATTCTCGAAAATATTGCCAGAACTTGATGTCCAAAACTGCAGCGTTGTGAACTGTCAATGTTCGGGTACCTGTATGAAATATCACGAGATGTCTCTTAGCTTACTCTAGGCTGGCTTCGATCTTGAACGTGTTTGACGCGCTTTGAGATTACAAATCGATTTATCGGATGAAGCACGTGACATTGCAGCTGATTACCATGCGGTAGAAGTATTGTGATACCCACCCCACCGACTTCATTTTCATGTCACTACTATAATGACAGAACTCAGTATCCTTGATCAAACTCCAACTCACCAAATTTCCCGTTCAGCTGACCATGATCCTGCTAGTCAACATGGAAATGAAATAGAACCCACCCGAATCATCACCGAGCCCGAAATCGTACATCCAGAGGGAATCAAACTCTGGCTCATCATGCTCTCAGTAACAGCCGTTCTCATCTTGAGCAGCGTGGATATGAATATAGTAGCAACTGCAGTCCCGAGCATAACAGATCATTTCCACACTGTAGCACACGTCGGGTGGTACTCATCCGCCTTTAGACTCTGTGTTTGCGCATTCCAATTCATATTTGGAAAGGCGTACAAACTATTCTCCGTGAAGCGCGTGTTCCTGCTCGCCAATGCTATATCTATAGCAGGATCGATGCTGTCTGGTTCTGCTGCTACGTCTACTATGCTTGTTACGGGTCGGGCCGTTTCTGGCCTTGGTGCTGCAGGTTTGTTCGCAGGCTGTTTTGTCATCGTGGTGCAGTCGACGCCTTTGCGTCAAAGACCCTTGTTTTTGGGTATGATGGGCGCGGCTGAAGGTCTTGCGACGATTGCGGCGCCGCTCCTTGGTGGTGCTCTCCAGTTGTTGAGTTGGCGATGGTGTTTCTATATCAACGCACCAATCGGATTGATCGCGTTCGTGGCCTCCATGCTCTGCTTGTCAGACATGCAGAAGCCTATTGAGATTGCTCGGTTGACTCTCAAAGAAAAGGTCGCCCAGCTCGATCTGATTAGTAACGTGCTACTTCTCCCAGCGCTCACGAGCCTCTTCCTCGGGTTTTCCTGGGCCGGCACAAAGTATTCATGGACGAGCGGTGAGGTAATTGGACCCCTAGCTACATTTGCCGTTCTCTCGATCGCGTTCATCCTGAATCAGACCCGTAACGGCGAGACCGCTGCCCTCCCTCCTCGCTTGATGAAGCATCGCAGTGTCATAGCTGGCTTCATCTTCATGTTCTGCATCAACAGTACCGGTGTAGTACTCGAGTACTACCTTCCTACCTACTATCAGCTCGTGCGTGGATACACACCTGTGAAGAGTGGCTACATGATACTTCCCATTATCATCGCAGCAACTATAGGATCACTGATACATGGAGCTGGCACGAGCGTATTTGGATATTACACGCCATTCATGATTCTGGCTTCGGTAATCATGCCGATAGCGATTGGCCTCATCACAACGTTCGAAATAGACACAAGCTTGGAACGACTCGTTTCTTACACAGCATTGTCGGGATTGGCCTATGGGATAGGTTTCATTGGTCCCCAAACAGCTGTGCAGACTGTTTTGCCTGCTGAGGATGTTCCCCTTGGGTTATCTATCATGCTATTCACACAATCCTTTGGTCCAGCTGTAACAGTTCCCATTGCGCAAGTGATCTTTACGAACCAACTATCGACCAACCTGGAAGGTCTTGCACCGAGCTTGAGTCAACGGAATATCAGCAACAGTGGACTCACCGAATTGATAGCAAGTGTGCCAGCTTCGGACGCGACGGCAGTACTTATTGCTGTTAATAAGAGTCTCAGTCAGACTTGGTACTTCATCACAGGATTGGCCTCGATAGCAATTGTGGGAAGTTTGTCCACTAAATGGCAATCTGTTAAGAAGTGATATACGGGGATACTTTATTTTTTGCTTAGCATACTGAATGTGACAGTGAGCTGGTAGTGATTGTAACTGTTAGCTCGTATTTTGTTAGATCTATCTTGTTCATTTCACGAGGCTGGTCGGAGACATGCCACTGATTGACCAGCCATTGTCGAACCCCTAACGCGATCGCCATGACGTTCTCTAAACCGTGTTATGTTGCTGAAATGGCACCGTTTCGTTCATTATAGTGTCGGATTTAGCGACATTGGTCATGCCTTCAACCAGATCTGTAAGCAAAAAAGGACAAACTGCTCCGGAGGCTTGTCTCAAATGCAGTGGTAACAATGTAAATTCTTGTAGCCACTTGTTAGGTGCTGGAATGGTATAGATGGGCCTAGGCACGATGGCTGGGACTGTTCCTGTCCTTAGTAGGCTGGTAGATCGACCAATACAGATCGATACAGAATGCAAGCTAAGCCGCTGCTAAATCAAGGGAGTTGGTGACTTCCCAGGCCTTTGATTCGTGAACAACCAGTTCCTGGTGCTTCAGATTCAGTAATTTTCCGCTTTCGGACTACTGGCCAGCGCCACAATATCCATCATTGCATTCCAGATATTGGCTATCTGAGTCAATAAACTAAAACAAAGCTATTGCCGTGCCATTGGTACTCCGATCCTCTTGGCTTTCTCATTGTCATGCTTGTCGCTGAACATGTTTGCAACATGAGAACTGCAAAATTTACTGCGATTCTTATCGTAGCAATTCTTGGCTTACACATAGCAGTAGCTCGGAAAATCGAGACGTTGCCAACATGTGGAGTAAGTTGTCTCTCCCCAGGGAAGTAAATTCCAAGTCAACTAATGGGAAACACAGGGGAAATGCTTGATCGACATCATTTCCATGTCGCAGTTTTCGAACCAATCGCAACAGCAGCTGTGCGATAATACCGAATTCATCAGGGCAATAGGTGCCTGTCTGAGAGAGAATTGCAATGCTGCAGAGACGCAAGGTAGAGAAACTCATGTTGACTTTAAAATATCGACGTGCTGACCCAGAATTGTTGGTGACAGTGGTTTTGGATGCTGCGGCCAAAAAGTGTGATATACCTGCACAAGATAGCAGCCTGGCATTGCGTGCTTCGAGCTTGGTGATATTTGGTGCTGCTTTGGGAGCTTTCATTCTGAGATTAACATCCAAGTACCTCTACAAGTCAGAATGGGGCGCCGACGACACATTCATGTCACTTGCTGCGGTACGTCTTACTTGAGTTGCAGATGATTCTCTTGGAATTTGAGATGGAGTAGTATGCTGACAGAGGGAATAGTTCCTTATCCTCCCTCTTGTTGCTCTTCTACAATTGAGTAAGTTGGTATCCGAACTATCTTTTTGAACCGACATACTGATTGATAACTATCTAGTGGTTTCGAATGGCCTTGGTCGTGACCTGCGCACACTTAAAAATGAGAAGCTAGTATTTTGTTTTAAGGTAAGCCATCATTGTCTGTTCACGCGACTGGCCACATTTCTCATCTAGTAGATGTTCTTCTTTCAACAGGTAACCTATTTTATCGTGCTTGGCTTGGTCAAGGCTTCAATCTTGGCTTTCTACCTTCGAATCTTCCCAGACCACAAGTTCAGAATCACAGTCTGGCTTACTCAATTTGTCAATCTTTCTTCAGCCGTTTTATATGTTATTTTGTTGCTTCTTCAGAAGAATCCAATTTCGTTGAATTGGACGGGAGGTACCAATTCACAATCAAATGCTCATGTGTTGAGTGACAAGCTCTTGTACTTGACTCATGGTATTCTCAGCATGACATTAGACATTTGGATGGTCGTACTGCCTCTTACACAGCTGTACCACTTGGGACTCAAGTTACGCAAGAAAATTGGGGTGATGTCTATGTTTAGCTGTGGAATCTTGTGAGTACCTTCACAGTTGATCTTCATTACTTGCACATAGGCAAAATCTGACTAATTTCAGAATCGTAGGGACGAGCGGAACCCGGTTCTACTATCTGGCGAAGTACCAAATAGCGAGAGACGCTGAAGGTAAACGCTCAGCGGCACAGATCTCCTTTCTTTGACCGGGACTGACTGGCATTATCAGAAGCTGTAAAAGCGGTTATGTGGGCTTATATCGAGTTGTGCATGGGTGTCGTGGTGGGTTGCATGCCTAATATTCGGCAGTTGACGCAAAGAGCCCACACGTTTATAAGATCACGAAGGGGCCACAGCAACACGGATCCAGAACAGGACAGTGGTATCTTTAGGACACGATCGCTGGAGTATGTATCAAATGATACGACTGCCGTTGGCTCAGAAAAAGAAACAGGTGGTATAGCTAGTATTTGCAAGTAGCGAAAAAGAGGCGTAGAGTAAGCATACGAGAAGTACAAGACACTGGATACTTAATGTCCTTCATTGTACAGGAGCCTCATATCTATTTATTTAATGCCCTGTGCCTAGTTGGTAGGTCTCCCTGCTGTACTTCTCTGCCACTCTAGCTTATTCAACACTTCTGGGTGAATCTTGTGCGGTGATAACCTCACGACATTGGATAACAGCAGCGAAGGAAACCAAAATTCCGAGCGCGCAGAGCTTCTTCTATCATTAAATGGTATTACCGGGCAGCGCTTAGGAATCACAACCGTCATATATACAGTAAACTATATTATAGAACCATCCTTAGTAATAGTTAAGAAAAGAAAACAGGCAAGATGTTATTGATTAGCAAGCTGCAAAACACACTCTTTAAGATGCAGTAAGGGTTGAATTAGAGTTTATTATAATTCTACTAGTGGTCAAGAGCTTAGATATACACGCGTACCTCGGAATTATTTTACTACCGAGTGGTAGTCCTACTAAGCATTCACTGCTTAACAAATCTCATAGTGGCGGTTGTATTATAGTGCCGAAACGTCGCAATCGTCCCTGGTATCTGTGTATAAAAGCATGTCCAGGCCCTGGACTTTCTTAATACATACATTCACTCACCCCTCTCATCCTTCAGTTTTCAATTGATTCTCCCATTTACCATTAACGATACCGAAATCATGACTCTCATCGCTGTAGCTGGAGGTGCGGGTAAGCTCGGCCGTGCCATTGTCGAAGCAATTGTCGAACAAGGCCAGCACGAAGTTGTGGTACTGGCTCGAGAAGTGAGCACGATCATGATACGATACTTTAAAATACATCATCTGATACAGCTTTTAGGCAAAAGATATCCAAGGAACCCGCAGCATTGCTGTCGACTACACCGATATTGGTAAACTTGCTGGCGTGCTTGAGGCAAACAATATCGAGACTGTCATATCTACCATCAATTCCTTGCAAGATGTTTCGGCTGAGCTGAACTTGATTCAAGCCGCCGAGAAATCAGCACCTACCAAGAGATATATCCCTAGTCTCTGGGGCATCAAGTACACTCCCGAGTAAGTGCCACCTGATACTAGATTCGGTACAAGATTATTAAACTGCTGGATGGCTAGGATTGCATCGTATTTTCCTATCGCCCAGGCTAAGCTCAATCTAATGTCCGCATTGGAAGCTACCTCGACACTTGAGCACACTGTCGTGATCAACGGCTTCTTTGCCGACGGCTGGTTTGCCCCCAAGGTCAAGTCTTATCAAGACCCATTAGCCCTTGTCGTCGACATGCAAAACGACTTTGCTGCCATTCCTGGATCTGGCAACGAGCCTGTGGCGTTTACTCACACCTTCGATATCGCACGATTTGTCGCACTACTCGTCGGAGCATCGACGTGGGAGAAGGAATCGTACATTATCGGGGACAAAGTTTCATGGAACCAGTTCGTGCAATACGCCGAGGAAGCCAAAGGCGTCAAGTTCACCGTCAAGAACGATTCAATTGAGGATCTCAAGCAGGGAAAAATCACAGAGCTACCTTCCCACCAGCATGTGTATCCATTCTTCCCTAAGGAAATGCTGCAGGGTATGTTTGCTGCCTTCGAACGCATGTTTGTTGAGGGGGCCTTTGATCTCAAGCCTGAGCACACGCTCAACGAGGCCTTCCCCGGGGTGAAGACGCGAAAGATTAAAGATCTCCTGTTCGAGGCCTATGGGCAGTAGTTTTAGTGTCAACTTAGCCCGCAATGAGGATGGAACACAAATCAGTGTTGCCAAGATAACTACAATTCATGCATTTTAATGTGAACGCGTAAGCTCGGATGTATTTTAATTCCATTGCTGATTACCAATTAAGTGTGGGGTACATGTGGCTGCCGGGTGCCTCCATCAGGAACTCCGAGGAGACCGTGAAAACTTGTGGAACCCTCAAACTCTCAATCAGCAAAGTCCTTGATCGCGTTCGGTTGCAGTTTGGTCGAAAAGTTCCAAGACTTGGAGCAGAAGATACGCAATGGAGCCTTCAAGCAAGATGGCCGCTAGGACTAATACCACGCACAAGCGGACTGCCAATGTATGTTGATTCAATCCTTGTAGGCCTTATCATTTCCTACACGTCTAAATTCAACAGGCCTGTGCCCAATGTAGGAGCAAAAAGTTACGATGCGACGGCAAAGTACCAAGCTGTGACAGGTGCTTGAATTTGAAAATGGCATGCCGCTACCATAAGCGAAAAGGTAGAGGTATGGGGAGAAGGTGCGTTATGAAAAGGTATGCGGAATGTCGGGGCTGAAACCAGACAGCAAGCAATACATCCAGTCTCTCGAGCGACGACTTCGGGATGCTGGAATACCACCACGATCATCACGGGAACCCGATCAAAATCCCGTTTTAGCGGGAACTAGTGATGGTGAAGACGTACCTCATATACACACAGTAACAGCAACCGGCGTAACCCAGGCTTTCACATCGACGTGGCCGAATGAAATCACTGAAACTATCGCCCACGCACAACAGCATATGGATAAATTCGAACGGAAAGTTTTTGTTCCTCTATTATCAAGGGAATACATAGCTCAGTTTATATCCCACACCCTTGAGGATTTATATCACGTGCGTCCGTTATTCAACACGAACGAGTTATTGGAACTTGTGGATGAACAGTATGCCGCTGGTCGATCCGACTGCCACGACGATCCGACCCGCTGGGCCACGCTCAACACCCTCATCGCCATATGCATACAATGGAAGGCCGACAATAGGGCCATAAAAGAGTTGTTTCCCTTATCGTGGGCATATTTCAAGAATGCATATGCTATCTTTCCGGAACTCATGATCAAAGGTGCCAGCATTGGATCTTGTCGAGCGATGCTCATCATGGCCTTGTTCATTAAGGGAACTGCCGACGCAATGGCGTTTACTGGTTTACTTTCCGCCGCTGCGCATGCCGCTCAATGCATTGGCCCACACCTTCAAGATGTACATGCCCCGGGGGAGATAACCAATGTGGAGAAATATAGGCGGATGTTCTGGCTGATACACGTGCTTCGGTGCGATGCGTCGATGAAATATGATCTCCCATCCACATTTGGCGAGGCTGGTGTTGACCTTCCATACCAAGAGACTATGATAGGAGCTGGTACCAGTCCAAATCTGCTGAAGCACATGTCGACCTTGTCCTTGATTCAGTCAAGAATTAGTCGACACTTACACCCTGCATCAGCGCTCTGGAACAATCATGGCGAGATGCACCGGGTTCTTGTGAAACTAGATAATGATCTAGCGATTTGGCTATCAAGACTACCGTCGGAATTTCGACCTACGGCTGCGTCCCGGATGGTTGTACCCGGTGTTGCAGAGATCAACTTCGCCTACTATGCTGCTACCTGGAGAATACACACAGCCAGTAATAGTCTACAAGGATCCCAGGATTCCCCAACTTCTGGGTCCAGTCTGCGTCTTGTTTCACCAACTCCCATAGAGGGCGCTCGAGCTATAATTTCTTTGCTTCAAAGAGTATCACCGCAGCCTTTGGTCGTTTTATGGTACGATTCTCATTTACCCATGTCCCATACATGCTGACATAACAGGCAATTCCTATGCTATCCTGTTTGCGCCGCCTTGACACTTATTGCAGCCGCACTTGCCGACCCGAAAGGCTCGGAGGCTCAGTTAAACATCATTTGGGTTGGTGAATTCGTAAAGTTTTTGCAAGACTACCAGAATCGAGAGGATTGCGATTTAAAAAGACTCGTTAGTGGTTGTTCTGCACTATGCGATATTGCGCTCTCTGCAAGACACAGCCGAGGGGGCCAATCTAATGAATATGAAGAAAGTCAGGCAGAAATAAGCCAAGAGCATAAAGTATGTCCTGGCCAATTCAGAAGCGGCAATTACTAATCTCTGGTGTAGGATATAATTATGTGCTTCTCCGATTCCACAAGCTCAATGCAATTTGCGCAAGGTCTTCTGACTAATAGACCATTACTATCACGCAAGGCAATCAAGGTATTCTCTAGCATGTCAACAGAGCCAGTTAACAAAGAATTTGGAATACTAGTGCCAGAGGTATTGATGCCAAGCACATTTAGCTTTTTATTTGGCTGTAACTAATACCGTATATGTGTCTCACATGGTTGGGAGGTTTAGTGTTAATCTTTCTTTCCAAAAAATAATTATGAATAAACCTAGATAGATGATTAACTCTGCACCTTATGACGACCTTTGGCAGCCAATATATGGACCCGTGGAACTATGGCAGCTCTCAGGGTGCATGCAATTTGCTAAATGGCATACTGAAAGTGATTGTAGGTATAGCAGTAAGGCGCTATGAAGAGTATACTGTGGTATTTCACAACTTGAAACCACAAAATCATCGGTGAGATGGCCGAGTTGGTTATGGCGCCAGGTTAAGGTTAACCTTAACACCAATTTCCTGGTGGAGCAATCCTCCTGGGTTCGAGTCCCAGTCTCATCAATTTCTTTTTTGGGTGTTGTGTCTCTGCCTATCTGAGTAGAGATAGGTAAATCCTTTTATTTTTTATTCTATAGTTTTCTTGCGTTTCAATAAATCAGCCTAGCTCCATAGAGCCGATTGAAGGAAGCTGGCAGTTCACTAAGTAACTGTTCTGCCAATATGATATCGCGATGTAATCAACCAGCTCGTCATGGTGTAACTCATCAAAGATATTCTCAGCGTGCTGTTTGGAGTCTTTGCCAAAATTGCGATGAAAGAACTTGACATACTCCCAGTATTCAGGATACCACCCAGCATCTTCCCAATCCACCAAGCCTTGGACTTTTCCGTCTTTCACCGGGGTATTCCTAGGCGCCAGATCGCATTGTTCGAAAACAACGCCATGGTCAGTTCACAGTCGTCTATTGAACCCTTCACGCACAAACGGTGATATTGCCTCATACAGAGCTTAAAGTAGGTAGTCGTTGAGAATCATTTCATCATGGCAAGATGGAGACTGATATGTAAAGTGTATTCTCGTGTCCAAAATCTCGGGCCATAACCTGTCGAGAGGTTGTCCTTGGACGTAATCAATAGTGATATGAATTTCACCATCAGATGACATAGACGCGTCGCGGATGGATGGAGCTGGAATGTCAGCACTGATGGCGACTTTCAATGCTTCTTCTTCTCCCAAGGGTATGCGCTCCCCGCTTTGGCAACAGTCGTGTTGGCCCGCAGGATAACCCTGCGACTGAACAACTGCTGCAAGATCACAGACTCTTTCAAGTAAGACAAGAATACAGGACTGTCCATCGATAGGTACATTCTCATGTTGAGGTCTTTCGTAGTTAAGTAATTGTGTAAGCCACAATGGAGATATATCGCGAAGATAATATAGAATTGTATTGTGTCGTTAATTACTCATGTAGATGTGAAGTCCTAAAGAACTATCACCCATGCAGTAGCCCATGCAAAGCTTCCTCGGTGTCATAAGCCTTCAATAACTCAGCTCTCAAAGCCGCAATCTCATCCTCTTTCTCCTTCCTCACACCATCCAGCATAGCCTTAGCCGGACCAATAAGATGAGCATCACTAAGCTCCATAACAATAGCCATGAGCACCAAGCTATCGCCCATCTGCTTCAACTTGCCATCCGCATCCAAACCATTCATAATTTTCAGAAGCCTCTCAAAGTCCGCATCACCTGGCTCAAGAACGACTCGCAACACGGCACCTGCATCGCCGCTGACTAAGTACTTGTGGTATAAATTGGGCTGGACGGTCTGGGGCCTTCCAACCTCGAGTGGCTCGGCAGAAGACTCCAGAACTTCGAGGTCGGGTTGAGTGCTTTTGTAGACGGAGATGGATCCCTCCATAAGATCAAAAGTCTCTGAGAATCGGGTGTGGAAGTGAGGTGGGACAGTTGTGCCCGGAGTCATGGCTTCGATGAAAATTGTACGCTTGCCATTGTTGAGAGTTGTCGACTCCTCAAGGCGAAAGCGGCGTTGATCCCAACGACGTTCTGACGACATGATGACTTATAGTTAAGACAAGAAGGGTTCAGATTTGATAAGTTAAGGTGGATGAGTTGCTTGACGCTCAGTCAGAACTTTCTGAGAAATAAACGCAGGTACTCCGCCTTAAATATTCATCCAAGGTAAACGTAAGGTAGTAGATCCAATACGTAGCGCTTGTGGCTTAATAAGCTGTCTATCATTCTAAGCTCCGTGAGATTTACTGAATCCGGCTAGTGATTATGAAGGATTGGCGATTTCCAAGGTAAAACTCTTATCTAATTGAATTTTGCGCTTAGATAACGTTAGTTGGCAATGATCAACAGATATCTAAGCGTACAAAGAATGAAAAGTTAGAACAGTAGCAATGGAGCTCTAGACAATAAAGCTACCTCGCATATCAATATCTGTAGCTTCCCGGAACAAAACTTAATAACATTCAAACATAGATCAGCACCTAAAATAAGACTGCTCCTCCAGCCATGCTTCTGCCCGTCTTGGGAATTTCAAGGACACCAATCTTGACAAGATCCTGAGCAAGCCTGGGAATGAGACCATCGCATCCTCGCGCGACCATGATGTCAACAGTGACCGGCAGACTTTCGTTGTGCCTGGTTATTTCGCTGAAAGATGACAGTTCTCCAAGAGGGTAGACGCTGTCTGGTGCTTCACTGAAGATCGACATCTTGTTCAGACTCCATCCAAACGGCACTTTAGGGGGGTCACGATAAATGTCTCGTCGCAGTAGAGTTCCAGTGCTTTCAGGGTTAAGAAGGATGGCAGAAGAACATTTCTTGGGATCCTTGTCTTTAGGGAGAACCTTTTCGTTGAACCAGTCCATGAAAAGAGTTTTGTTCTTCTTGGCATCATCGAGAATTGAATCTGGTTGACTTTCACCCCATGCCCAGCGGACGCGGGGAGAGGGGTCGATGTATGGAGTACGACCATCATGAGCAGCTAGAATGGTTAACTCGAGTACAATAATTACTGTGAGTTAACTTACCAGCGTAGTCCTTGAAGAATGGCTTCTTCAGTAGAGAAATCTGCTCTTTGGTGATGAGGGCTGAATACGTCAAGTTCAAGAAATCAGTCAAAGGCAAATCTCGAACGGCCTTTGGTCCTGCATAAGCCCAGTGCTCATCGATATCATACTCGGTAACATGCGTATTGAGGTAGTCAGCGAGATCGTTAGCAAACCGGTGCAAAATGGCGCCATTGGGAGTGTTGTTGGCAGGAAAATTGAGAGCGTAAATGGTCTTCGGGTATGTCATCTTTTTCTCAGTATAGGTGGTGTAGTTAACACCATACATCGCGGCTTGAGCTGCTCCCCAGATGTATGGATCGCGAGCCAGAAATCCTGCGGTATCCATGGTAGGCGAAAGAGGCATAACATGTTCCAGAGAGACAAGGCCATGCGTTGGCCTGTTGCCAAACACTCCGGTATTACCAGCAGGTCCACGAATAGAACCTCCAGTGTCGCTTCCAACTGCGAGGTCCAGCCACTCGTAAGATGCCACCGAGGCTCCTGAACCCGATGAGGATGAAGAAGGGTCCTGATAGCCATCTCCGCGGGGGTTGAAAGGCGCATGATAAGACACCCAATCCGCCGTTGGAGCCTCACCATTAGCAAATTGGGAAAGCTTCTGTGTGCCGACAATGACTGCACCAGCATCAATCAGGTTCTGGATAGCTAGCGCTGTCTTGTTCGCCGCAGGATAGAGGTTATACCAGGCACGGTTTCCTCGGGAGCTTTTAACGCCAGCAAGGTCATACAGATCCTTGACTCCAACGCGAATACCTGCCAAGGGCTTGTCTTTTGTGCGAGTAAAGTACAGGCGTGACGGAACCCCGATAGTGAGGGAACTGCTGCTTCGGGCGTGTGACGAAAGAGTCTGGAAGGCTCCGTCTGGTAGCTGAAGAAGAGACTCCATAAAAGTTCCAGAAAAGTCATCGTAGAGTCGATACGCCCGGTGGAGTTCCCCGCTATTTGTGTTCAAGAAATAAGGACCGGAGGGAACATGGCGAGCTGAGTCCAAGCATGAGACAATGGACTGGATACCAATATGAAAGCTCGTGTCCTTTGGTTTGCAGTTGGGGGTATTTGTAAGAACAACTGCTTGTAAGAAACCGGGTTGCCAAACGTCGTCTTTGTGTCTCCAGTCCGAAAACAGGTTGCGCAGATCATTGTGCACGACCTTGCTGCTAACTACTGTGACGGGAACAAATACAAAAGCATTTAAGCTCTTGACTGATTGGATGGCATTGGCTGGGAGTTCCTCTTGTGCTGTAGGTGGCACAAAATAGTCAATCCCATCCAGACTTAAGGATACTCCTTGAGGGCGGAGAACCTGTGCCGCGACCGAAGCGGCCAGGATCAGCGACGAAACAAATCGCATAGTAGTATAATTTGAGTGGCAGTATTGCGAGGACTATATTGCAAACAAACAAGGCATCTTTATCGAGGAATCCCAAGACTTATAGAAAACATGGTAAGTCTATTAGTCTAAATGCAGTATAGAATGCTGATAGTCATTTTCCAACTTGCCGAAATCTGGCCAATGTTGCCTAACAGTTCTTATTACCTAACCCAAAACCCAGCCACTGAATTTCGTATTGACCTCAGTGCCGATTTATTCCCTCATACAGTTAGAAACAATACAGGGAACATTTTACTGGACTGTATTGGCTGTTTCGTTGATCCATTGATCCATTACCTCGTTCCATTTACTAGATAGGTGAGTAGATCCTGCTTCGGCGAATTTATGCACTCAACAGCCTTGAACTTATCTAGCGAGATAAGACGGCGGTTAGAATAGGCCCTTTCAGGACAAGTGTTATCATGACTACGGTCAGCTAACGGGATTGGGAAAGATTACGTTCGAAATGAGGGGAATCCCTGCCAGCAGAAAAATAACGGCGAACAACATATATCGCAGCGGTATTCAAGAAATGCCAATGATAATTTCTTTTGCGATAAGAGACATAGATGGAAATTTACTCTATCGCCCTGATAGTCACAATATTCCTTGTCAGCGGCATGTTTTCAAGTAGCTTTATGCCGGGGATGCTCCAGGATAATGGCAAGTAATTTTGGAGTTGGTAACAGTGGCCTACTCAAGTCAACGCATCAGCCAATAACACACATCAGGAAGGTTCTTTACTGATGATAAGATTGTCGAAAGCCTAATTCTTGGGATTCGGAGTGTTAACTTGTGAGATCCCTCAGATTGGCCAGGAAGAACGTCTTCGGTCGTGGAAGAAGCTGTCGTGACTACGGTCAAGGTTGTGTGTTGCGACTACTGCCTGTAAATAACTAATAGATCGCAGCCATGGTTCACATTGTACTTAATCTATTGAGAACTCCTGAGTTGGAAACATGCATCTGGACAAAGATTGAGTTCACGATTTATTTCATAAAATCATGTTGCAGAAGTAGGTATATATTCCACTTTTCCAATTGCATTGTTCGTAGAGTACTAGCTTAAAAATATCTAACCATCGATCAAGGAACGGTAGTTCTAGAAAAAGAAACTCCCTCGAGCCTAGGCCGCGGCACGGCCTCGTGTCTCGTAAGGTAGGACCAAAAAGATCAGTCCAGCCAAGATAAACAAGCCTGCCGAGATCCACACGGGGTAGTCGTTATCTATCCCAACATATGCTGCACTCATAGGAGCAATAAGGCCACTCAGTCGGTTGAGCATAGCGACCAAACCGTTGGCAGTGCCACGAACCGGAGCAGGAAAGAGTTCGGGAGTGTAAGAGTACAGCAGTCCATACACCAGATTTTGGAAGAAAGCGATAGCGCATGAAAAGCCTAGAATACCAGCCTGGGTGGTGGCCCTGGTGAATAGAAACAAGAAGACGCCAGTTGAGATGCAAGCAATTGTTCCTGTGCCTTTTCGACCGATGCCCTTGAGGTCCACAGTAAAACCACCGAGTAGAGAAGCTGGGATACCGCAGACAGCCTGGATGGCATAGTTTCGGTACACACCTCTGGTAGAGCTAGCTCCCGAGGCAATACCCTTGTTCTCGAGGTAGATGGGAATGAAGGAATTATAGAGAGGGCAGGCTATTCCGATGGAGCACCAGAGGAAGATCATTAGGGTTGTAGAGATAGCTGTGCGAGGAGTGGAGAAGAGGACGCGGATCTTATCAGGTGTCATCTTGTCCAGGCTGCTCTTGATGATGTCCTTGTGGGTAGTGACTGGTACGGTAGGCCCGGTGCTCGTGGCATTTAGCTCAGCATCGATGCTCTCAAAGTGAGAAAGAATAAGCCACGATGTCTTTCCGTCTCTGGCAGCGATCTTCTGGATAGTATCGACAGCTTGCTCATCTTTGCCTTTGCTGAGGAGGAACTTGGGAGTTTCGTATACTCGAAAGAGAAGCCGAAGAAGGAACATGGTTATAGTCAGACCTCCAAAAGCCCAGAAAGTATAACGCCAACCCAAGTTGTTGCCATATGTACAGCCAGCAACAGAGTCAGGTTTACATGAGTAGCCCGCAATAAGCGGCCAGGCAATCAAAGCAGTGGCAGCCTGACCAACAGACCAGAAGGCCGATTGCATTGTAAGAAGATACTGGTGCGTAGCGGGAATGTATTCAAGGAAAATAGCGCTATCGACAGGTTGATTGCCGCCGGTACCCACGCCGATAAAGGCAACGAATATGGCTAGGGCGACAAAGTTGGTACTTCCAGCGCCGATTTATCCACTGACGGAAGATATGAGGAGCGTGATGTTGAAAGCCAAGCGGCGACCGATAACGTCGGCTGTCATGGGCCACACAGAAGAACCGACGACGAGACCAGCATATTTGGCGAGGGTGAGGAAGGCGATGCGCTTGACCTTGAATTCGTTTCGGACAGCAGGGCTAATGATGGTTATAGCTTGCATCCAAAACTGAACAAGTTAGTGCAAGGTAATAGACACATAGAAGCTGGTACTCACATTATCCACGAACCATCCAAAGCCTGTCATGGTAAAAAATCTTCCATTGAAAGCTGCCCATGCCGATATCGACTAGCTTAGGGTTAGCTGTAGACTCGTTCGGCTGTTTGCGACGAGAGAGTGGAACAGCATAAGCAGTTGAAGTTGTCGTCAGTGAATCTTCCATTTTCTGTGTCAAACATGAGGAAGTGAAGGTGGCTAAGTATCTCCATTAGCGGGGTACAGTTCCTTGCATATCACCTGCAGATCTACTAGGGTTGGCTAAAATACTGATGAATGCGTAAATACTGCCAGATAACTCAATTATGGTGTCTTTCCCAACATATCAGTCCATCTAATGGCAACACACAGCCAAGCGATGCTCTGCCAGCCGTCGTGATAGAAGCTAGTATCAAGTGCAGAAACCACAAGGTCGTGTGGCCCAATGGCAAGGCGTCTGACTACGAATCAGAAGATTCTGGGTTCGATCCCCAGCATGATCACGAATTCCCACTAAGACATAGGATCTCAAAGACCATTGTGTTAATATACTTTTTCCTTTTTTCCCTTTTCTTTTTTAATTCTGTTTAATTAAAAAACGCGACTTGCAACCTGCGAGCTTTCTCCACTCCGCTGCAATCCCTTTGATCCATCTAGAACGCTTGTTATTGCAAATTGATATTCTATAGATGCCTTCCAATGCAGATACAAGTAATTATGCCAGATACTATCATTGCCATGATGGCCTCCGTTCTCGAATTCGGTCCTCTTGAGTCTCCAAGGCCGTATGTACGGTGATACGCGAGGTGTCTCGTCCATGCAGGTGCGTTCCAGTCAGCTCCTCTTCGCTCTCGTTATCCGCATTTCCACGCGACACCCACCCTGTCAGTGTCCTTCCTATTGACGCTCTGTCTGTTTCGCTCCGTTTGGCACATGTTATCTCCTGATCCCGCAGGTGATCATCGATATCGTCCCGCATAAATGTGTCAAGGACAAAAGCATCCTGGTTTTTGTTCCCTTTGTTCCCAACCTCTCTTGTAGTCTTTGCCTCTTCCAATCTAATAGGCTGATCCGTATCGCGCATGGCTGATGTACCAGAAGTCAATATAATGAGCTTGTGGCCGAGCCATCGAAATAAAGGTTGTAAAGTCGCTAGCGACCCCGCGGTCACAGCCAAGCCTTGTTCCGTGGTTGACCAAATGGCGATATCAATGGTGGCCCCTGTTCATTAGCACTTTGTTAGGTGGTGTTTATCTTCAGAAAGATAGGATTGGGTATGCTTACACAAAAAGTCCGGGTTCTTGAAGTCATTAATAAACGCAAAACGGACGACTACTGCTGAACTCGCTCTAAAAGACATTAGCTATCATAGTTAGTCTTTGCGCGAATGAATAACCAACAGGCAGGCCATTGCCAAAACAGGCATAACAGCAATCTTGGTCTTGTGTCCCATATTAAGTGAATATACCAGAAACATCGGCAGGATAGCATAAGTAAAATCGGAAATAACACCAAAGACGCTGTATAGATATGTAAGGGCAATAATGATCTCGATATCGATGCAATGGCCGGATTGTTCCTGGTTCCAAAAGAATGAAATAGGCGAGCATTGAAATAGAGTGACGAAAAAGAAGACAACGCCTGTAGACACAGTGATACACATGACGGAATAAATAATCCAGATATCGAGCTTTCGGACAGTGATTCGAAGGAGGAAGTAACCAATAGAGACTCTAGACGCGATCATAGTGAGGCAGTACCATATATAGCACCACCACCAATACATCATCGCCTTTTGATACTGTTTGCGATCAAGGTCCTCGCGGTGCCGACCAGTACCGTAATGCACGCCGATAAGGGCACTAACGACAAATAGCAGGAATGTGATCTGGATGACCACGATGCATTAGCAAATAACACAAATTTAAAGATGTAAACCACTTACAAGAGCACTGCACATACACCAGTCATCGAAGCCAAAGCTCTTGACAATGCATGCGCGGACAAAAACGCGTAACAGAACCGTGATGAAAGCTGTCACGGCCAGTATGTAACCAACAAGTTGTAGCTCGGGACCACGGTTTGACACGGCCATGACTGATATGTTTCGTTTTACTGCTGCGTAGTGTTGATATAAGGATAAGCGATTAACGAGTGTCCCAAGATCCAACAGCGATGAGATACAGATTGCTGAGCATTGTCGTAGGTAAAAAGGCCAGAAGCTGGCGTTAAACTGAACGACTTGCTCTATACGAGGAACGCAAATGTTAAGCCAACTAAACCTGTTTCGGTGTTCCGGGGCAGTTGCTTTGGAGATCTTGGCCCATGAAGTTGCGGCACTAATGCATATGCATTTTGGCTGGCCGTTTTAGGGTTGGCAGTTCTCACTAGTCTAGGTGTGGCTGTTTCTTTAACTTTTATTCGTCTCCCACCACGACCCCGACGATACGGATGTTCATCTCGAACCCAGTTCCCCGCGATTGGAGACTTAAATATCGTTTGTAAAGTCGTGACGAGATTACAGAATCACATCCCTCGATTCATCGAAGCTGGTAGTCCCCTCGAACTTATAACCTCAGTCTATCCCACATGACAGTTCGACGCAATGCCAGACACTAACTACTACTCTATTACACGCCACGTATGGAAGCTCTAAATGCTCAGAGACGTAGAAACGGCGCGAACATCTCTATCGATATGAGTCTGGGATAGAGGTTCTACATTAAATAACTTAAATCTAATTAAATCCTTTAGAATTTAATTTCTAATTTTCCAATGATGGTAATGAAGGAAAGAAACGATAATGGCTGGAAATAGGCCATAGTTGGAGAGATAAGATCTACTGCAAGCCGAAGTGTTGTTCTTGTTGGTCTTTCTGCCCAAGGGTGGGAAACATCCTGTAGGGGTGAAATATTGTAACAAGTCCAGTGGCTAACAGTATTAAAGAGCCATCAAAAACGTAAAACAGGGTTTCGTTTCTTATGACCTTTGCAGATGTTGCTGGCAGTGCTTCAAATATGCTATACGATATAAGCGTGGGCCTCTCTGTATCAGAAGGGTGACTCACCGGTAGGTGCAACGAATGATGATAGCGGTGTAGGCTATGCCTAGAATAACACAGAACACTTTGATTCTCTTGGCCATTTTCGCGCTGTTTTCAACACACACTGGAGGAGATTCGACTCGGTTCAGATCCTCAAACCCAACGCGCAAGCTCGACCTGCGTCGCTTTGCATAGATAAGCATCAGAGTTGCACAGCACAGCATGTTGACAGCCTGAAATGCAATTCCACCAATAACAAGACCTTCGCCAAGTTTAGTGGTAGTTTCGTTGCCTTTACCTGTCGTACTTGTAGCCATCATACCACCGCCGATAACCTGTACAAAAATAGAGACAATGTCCGACCCAACAAAAACAAGAGGATAAAGCTTGGGGCGCAGTATAGACCATTGTGGTCCGTACCATATAACGAGATATTTGAAAGTGATGGAAATTGCGGCCGCGAGTAGTGTTGGGGCCAAAAGGAGAGTGATGTACTGGATGAGAAAAGCGTTCATGTTCCAAGGGTTCTTAGATAAGGCAAATCGCCCAATGTAGCCAAGGAGTTCAAACAAGGTGCCGATTCCGAGCCAAATCATAAATGACCACATTTTACCACGAATGCCATACCATAGTTGTAGGAGAAGTAGGATGATGAAGGTAATGACAAAGAAGGCCGAGGCCCCTTTGGAGAGATAGTCGCCAAAAACAGTGTACTCGATCTTGCAGAAAGAGGTAACTTCATGGCAGTTGGCGTAGCTAGGTATGGTGTTATTTTGAGTGGACATAATGAATGAGAAAAAGCGGTGTTTTGAGAAGAAATTGCAAGAAAAAAAAGCAACTTGATCCCTGGATTTATGTTGATGTTTGAGTTCAAGATAACTCACATCATTTGAGGGTACAAGTGGTGTGTATTAATACATAGGGAAAGCAAGGAATCTTTCATTAAACGAAGCCTGGCGGCCTCCTTTCTTCTCAGCTGAACATGCCCCTTCGCGCTTGTATGCCAGTCCTTCTAAGCCACGCATCGTTTCGTGTCATTCATATAATTCGTACCCCTGCTTCTACTCCATGGACCACAGATGGATACAGCCAAGACTACTCAGCTTTGGCGAGGCGTCCAGGGCGGGTCCGGGACATTTCTGATGTCCGTCCAGCCAGCCAATGAGAAGCGATCGGACCGGGGAAACTTCAGCCCACACCACCAACAGTTTCGAGTTCACATCTAACAACAATCTTACAGCAATCTTTCCTTCGAATCAGGTACTAGCCTTTGACCTTCGATCTTTTCCAATCATAGTAGCCAATCTGGTTCTGCCTCGCTATGGGCTCCACGCATCAAGCGGAGCCGGAAACTTTTCAGTGTCCGCTTGGTGACATTGACTTCAAACCGGCGGCGTGCCTACAGTGTAGCCAACGAAAAACGAAATGTGACCGAGTAAACCCTTGCACAGCCTGCATAAGAGTAAGTCCAAAAACAAATGAAACTGAACACCCTGGACTTACCATTGGAAAAGTCCAACCTTAGCTGCAGTATACCCGGCCCACGAGCTCCGCGCAAGGCCCGACGCAGGAATCATCATGATATTCATGATAGGCTCATCAGGCTTGAAAACCTTCTGCTTGGGCTTCAAAAGAATCCCACACAGAATAAGGATGAAACCAACGTGGACCGCGTCAAGTGCATGATGTATGAAGGGCGTACGCCGGAGTTTGGTACCAGTAAACTGTGGCACATTGCCCTTGAAAACGTTCAGTACTCTTCCATTCGTATCAGGTTAAAGTTCTAACTTGATTAGTTCAATAAAGTAAAGAATCAAATCGATGAGGAGATAGATGAGCTTGGCCCGTGGCCTGAAATAGATATGCCATTGGACTCTAATCGCGAACAGGAAATTAACTGTCTACTTAACAAAAGATCGATACCAAAGACGTCGGATATGCTCAATATCCCAAACCCGAATCAGATTCGTCTTTTAGGAGAGATATATCTACAGAGAGTTCAACCCGTCATGAGCTTGCTACACATCCCGTCATTCACTGACTTGGTCACTTGGGCTGCCTCGTGTCTTATTGACATGCCTCCAATGACCAGAGCTCTGATGTGGTCTTGCTTTAGCATGGCCATAGCGACTTTGGACAAAGGAGATTGCGAAGACTTGTTGAACCTAGACAAGAACGAAGCAACGCAGTTATTCTGTAATCGGTGCAAAATGTCTTTGCTTGAAGCAGACTATCTCGTGAAATTTGATCTCGATACAGTGAGATGTCTAATTCTACTCACGGTTTGTAACTCGTTGTATCTCTATTCGAACCTACACTGACCGGATTAGATGTCTTCTCAAACTCTTCACAATGAAAGTGAAGATTGGATCTTCAACGGCGTCTTAATGAGAATGGCCTATAAGCTAGGCCTTCATAGAGATGGCACGGAGTTCAACCTCAGCCCCTTCGAAACTGAAATGCGCCGTAGGGCTTGGTGGCAGTTGACGCTGTTGGAGATCGGTAGGTCAGCTTTGAGCGGCTTGGTAGAGCCAGATTTACCTCCAGACCGGACTACAAGGTTACCTCACAACGTCAATGATCGCAAACTTTTTCCTGGCATGACGGAAGAAGTAGTTTCCATCGATGGACCTGCCGATACAACCTACAGTGTCATGACATATGAAGCAAACAAAATTCTACTTGACTGTTGTGGACTCTCGCATATTGAAGACGTTTTTGTTAATCAGTCGGATTCACATCGCAAAGGGAGAAACTTGCCCATATCAGCAGCGGCTTGCGAGCTTTTTATTACGAAACTCAACATGCGACTTGGTCTTTTGGAAAGGCTCTACTGTGACGTATCTGCTGGGCCCATATACGAGGCAGCCATGCGCATTAGAACCGGCATAACCAAAATCTTCAGCAGCCTTACTCATACTATAAACATTACTTCTGAGCCGCGCAAAAACTTTTACGAAAATCATATAGACCTTGCAGAATACGTTCAAGACTCTATCGAGGCAATGCATCCATGGTTTCGTTGGACAGTTTGGCTAAACTTCCGACTTCGAGAGGTTTATTACTCCATTGGTGTACTGGAACAAGACTCTAACGATGAGATCCTACAACGGACATGGTATTTGCTGGCTAGGTACTATGAATATCATGAGTCATTATGGAATCTTGAGGATGAAGCTGTTAGAACAGTCGCCTATATTGTTCTTCGTGCTTGGGAGAAGAGAACGTTACAATTGATCTCTGGCTTGGGGCAGAGGGAGCCGATAGCGCCAGCGTTTGTGCAAAACTTACAACAGATGCTGTTGGGAGCAGAACTTGGTAACTTGATGTTGGAGGATGTGTTAAAATGAAACAACTAAACTATTTTGTGCAGCTGTGTCGTGTCAACATCGTCTATAGATCATAGAATTTATTATCAATTCTACTGTTTTATATTGTTTATCAGACGGTTTGATGTCAGAAGAGTGAGCCAATACACACTTATGGGCCAAGATGGTAACTTGAAAGAAGCACATCTGACATTCACATTCTACAACCCCCACTGTATTAGGTTACGGTGTTACTTAACCTGGCAGGTAGTCACCTAAGGATCCAACGCCTGGGGCTTTGGCGTCATTATCCACTCAAAACGAGATTTGAGCTGTTGGAAATCATACCACTTGTAAGGAGTGGCGACTGGTCGAGACTCGAATTTTTATCACGTCAGGAGGTGAAGACCAATCTTGTTATTTATCCTTACGTGAACGATTCGACTTGACATCATGTGGCTATACCTATTATCGAGATGTTTCTTCCATAGCAAAGGGAAGATGTCAGCTAGTGCCAAGAACTTTTACAGGGTCCCTCGATTGCGCCATCGCAGGTCTACAGTGAGCAATTTGTCTTACTAATGCAGTTTATTTTCTGTAGATTCCTCTGTTTTCTTCTCTTTTTCTTCCCTCCTGCAGTCACACGATTGAGCTTGTTATATGGCATAGGTGAAGCCAAATTCATGCATATTTTCCCTGGTTCTCCGCCCATGCATTCTATTTTAGCCTTTTCCGATTCTATTTTCGCTTCGAAGTAACAGGTATTGGCACTAATGATAAATGGCCATGTCGTTCCGAAGAAGTGTTTTAGCCCAGATGATCATCTGCGGCATTATCGCGCTGCTGGGTCCCGGATTATGGGTAAGCAACAACCCTTTCTCTTTCCTGTCGCTTAGTCTTAGCTAACATCTTCCACAGAACGCGAATAATTCTCTAGGTGCGGGCGGCGCTCTTGAGCCATATCTGGTATGTTGAAAGACTCTATGTAATGAAAACTGCTAAACTGGCGTGGGTAAACGCTGGAAACTCGCTAGTCTTTGGCCTGATGGGCTTGTTCTGTATTCTCTCTCCCATCTTTGTTAACTGGATCGGTGTCAAGAACACCTTGATTGCTGGCACTCTTGGCTGGTCTGTTTATAGTGCTGCGCTTTATCAGAATAACCGCTACGGCACTGAGCAAGTCCCTTCTTCCATCTCGAAATTTCGCGTGGCTAATCATTCATCTAGGTGGTTCGTTATTCTTGGCGCAGCTATCTGTGGTGTCAGTGCAGGCCTGTACTGGGCTGCAGAGGGTGCCATCATCCTCTCATATCCCGAGCATGCAAAGCGAGGCCGCTATCTGGCGCTTTGGCTTGGCTTCAAAAATAGCGGACAACTCATCGGTGGTGCCATTAATCTCGGTCTAAATGCCAATCGTTCAGAAGGTGGCAAGGTGTCCTACGTAACCATCCTTGTCTTTGTCTGTCTGCAAGTTCTCTCTTTCCCGGTTGCATTCTTACTTGCACCTCCGGATAAGACACAGCGGCCGGATGGCACGCATATCATTGTAGAGGCCAAGACCCCAGCCAAGGAGCAGCTGCGAATGCTATGGAAGACAATCACGACACGTAAAATCGGACTATTACTGCCTATCTTCTTTTCCAGCTGGTTCTATTGGGTAGGATTGGGTCCGTGAATATTGCTATTAATAATGCTGATGACTCCCAGGGCTACGCTTCGACTTACCTCACTTTATATTTTACTGTTCGAGCTCGAGCCTTGGCTTCATTTCTGTCAGCAATTACCGGCACCCTTGCCTGCATACTGTTCGGCATCTTCCTCGACACTAGCAAGATCACAGTCAGGGTAGGTTATAACACTATCCTTCGCCAATACAACATCTAACATTTCTCAGTCTCGCATACGCTACGGTTTTATCTTCTCCACTGGCCTATTTACTCTCCTCTGGATTTGGGTGCTTATCGTCCAGCACGGCTTCGAACAGAGGCGCCCCGACTACCTCGACTGGACCTCACCAGGATTCGGTCGAGCATTTGGCATTTATATTATGCTGCAGACGAGTGGAAATATGGTGCAAAACTATCTCTACTTCCTTATTGGCACCATTGGTGATGGCACCCTGGAGCTGAGCCGATCGACGGGTTTGTTGCGCGGTGTGGAAAGCTGGGGACAGTGTGCGGCGTTTGGCATTAACAGCAGGTAAGTTGATCCGATGAAGGACGTACGGGGGTTACTAACTTGAGTAGCAAGTTTTCGCCTTTTTATACAACAGTTATCAATGTTGTTTTCTGGACACTCAGCTTGTTTCCAGCTTTTGTAACCATTTGGAAGGTTGAAGGTCGTGTTGATTATGAAAACGAGTCTAGCAACCATGCTGATAAGAACAACGGTTTACCAGAGAACACAATTGAGAAAGGCGATGCTATTGAGAATCCTGTAAGCAAGGCATAGAAAACATAATCATAAGTTATTTCCCCCGGCTTTTGCGGCGAGCTGGAAACCCGCTTTGACAAAGTTAGGTCCATACGCCATTCTCCAGAATATTGGCTACTTGCCAAATTACTCGTTGATTGTTTTTTTTTTACTCTCGTTGATACGATTCCGAGTTCCAATGACAGTCTGCTAAACGCGACTTCAGTCAAACATGAGCCCATATTGACGCGAAACAACCAGACAAGTATGCTTCAACTGAATGACTTGATCACGGGGTTTCAGAACTTCCATATCCATTGATTACCACCTACCTCTTCTAGAACCCCTCTTCCCCGGATTCTTCCCGGATTTTTAGGTAGCAGAAGATCAACATCACAAGCATTTACCCCACATCGCCTCCGACCGGCAATATGTACCGGCAAATATGTCATTCCATTGCCAAGACGATAAACCGAGGCAGTCTCCAAATGTTCTTAAATGAGCTCGAAGATACTCGTGATCAAACTGACTCAAACTTCCCCACATTATTCCCACCATGTCACGAACAACAACGGCACTCGTCGCGCCCAATCTCGATGGCTACTTCAAGCTTCAGCAAGTCCATCTAGACTCTTTACAACCTGATGAGGCACTTGTTGAGATCCATGCCTCAGGAGTTTGTCACACGGATCTAGCTTGTGCCAGCGGCAAATTGCCATGTGCTAAGAATGCCGTCCTTGGCCATGAAGGTAAGCCACTATCTCTATTACACACATGAGTAAACATACTAATATTTTAATTTTAGGTGGGGGCGTTGTCCTTGAGATAGGTTCTAATATCACGGATGTCTCAAAAGGCGACAAGGTGCTTCTATCATTCTCATCTTGTGGAACTTGTCCTAGTTGCGTATCGAACCATCCCGCTTATTGTTACACGTTCAACCTTTACAATTTCGGTGGAAGGCGCGAGGATGGCTCAGCGACCATGTTCACCATCAAAGATGGCCGTAACAAACCCATGCACAGCAGATTTTTCGGCCAGAGCTCCTTCGCCAGGCACACTATCGTTCATCGAACAAGCCTTGTCAAGGTCCCACAAGAAACACCACTCGAGCTCTTCGCGCCTCTCGGATGCGGCATTCAAACCGGCGTCGGAGCAATTTTCAACACTCTAAATGTCAAGCCTGGAAGTTCTGTCGCTGTATTTGGAGTTGGATCGGTTGGTTTGGCGGCCATCATGGGTGCCAAAGCTCGAAAAGCGGGCACCATTATCGCCATTGACCTCCAAACTTCGAGACTTGAACTGGCAAAAGAGTTGGGCGCGACACATGGTGTACTTGGACCAGATCAAGAGCATATCATTGACACTATCCAAGAAATCTGTCCACCGATCGGTGTTGACTTTGCCGTCGACTGCACCGGCGTTCCAGCCATCATAGAAACCATGGTAGCGTCACTGGGAATGAGAGGAAGGGCTGCAACTGTCGGTGCACCTGGAGGAATGGCCACAGCTAAAATTGACATCATGAGTCATCTGACGTATGGAAAAGAATACGTTGGGTGCTCGGAGGGTGATAGTAACCCAGCAATTGTAAGTTGTCCTAAAGTTAGCCTGGTTTTATGTCATAGGGCTGGCACGTGTTGTCTTGTGTAAAAACGTCACTAACTGATCTGATTCTAGTTGATTCCCGAATTGATCAATATGCACTCCCAAGGAGCTTTGCCTCTCGAGAAATTGGTCAAGTACTACGACATGGAAGATTATGAGAAGGCGTTTTCGGATATAGAAAGCGGGCGTGTGATAAAGCCTGTGTTGATGTGGAGAGAAAGCAGCAAACTATAGCAAAGGCCAGTCCGGTCTGATAGCTGCAAACTGAGCCGCCTGAACAGTTATGAACATGGTAAAGAAGTTGCTTTAGGGAAGGAAGACATTATGAGTCGAACTGGTGGAGCCAAAGATATTAATTATTATTCTATCTGGGCGTTGAGATGAACCACCTCAATGTCTATCAATCTATAAAATGCTGCATGTCATATCGCGGAGGCATGTCATCATGAACCTTCTTCAACTTTTCGTATCTAATCTTTAAGCCAAGAGCCCCTCAGCAATGGCAGAAACGGACTGCACGACAGGGTACTTGGGCATGTTAGGCTTGTAGACAGCCTGGCAAACGCCGTTAAAGTCACTTCGGACAGCCTTCTGGCGGGTAAGCTCGTCACCAGGGACACCAAGCTTGACCAACTCGCCAGCATTGTCAACAGTGTTCCAGCCAGGACCAGCAGCGGGATTCTTGATCCAATCGACGAACCACTTGTGGATGGAGTCAGCAAGCTTCTGTTGGGCAGTGGTGACACCCTGGAGAGATTTGAAGCACTCATTGCCACCGTGGAAGAAGGGGACCTCGGTGCCGTGGGTAGGAGCAGTGTTGGGGGGTCCAACTACGTTGTCGTAAGCACCGAAGAAGCGGTAGACCCAAGTCTTCTGCTGCTGGCTACGGAGATCAAGGAGGTAATCGACAGGGCAGTTGAAGCGGGCGTCACCATACTGGATGCCGCTGCGAAGAGACTCGCTAGCAAAATCAGCAGGGTTGTAAGCGGAGATGAGGTCAGCATCAGGAATGTGAGCGCTGTCGGCGTCGAAAGTGTTGATCCAGGAGCTAAAGTCACTGTTCTCAGCACCATAGACAAGGCTAAAGATGGTTCCCTCGCCGTTGGAAGTACCAGTCAGGAGAGGGACCTGAGAAGCGTAGCCGCCAGAAGCAAGGCGGGCTTGGTAGTCGGAGAATCGGGTGATGTCATCAACAACGGGGGTAAACCAGGTGTTGAAGGTGGAGTTGAAGTTCTTGGTCTGGAAGTCAAGCAGATTGACATTACGGAGACACTCGAGCTGGGCGTTACCAGCCTTGGGGCAGCCAACTTCCTCGGCGACAGCGTTGAGAGCCTCGTCGACAGGAGCATAGGCAGGGCCTGAGACAGCGTTGGCGCTCATCTCGACAGCTCCCTTGAGGAAGGTGTTAGGGTTGTTCCATAGGTAGTGATCGACCTGAACACCACCGGAAGAGTGACCACCAAAGACGATGTGGTCAGGGTTACCACCGAATGCTGTATCGTGTCAGTCTCAAGTAAAATTATAGAATAACTGTACCCGCTTACCCTTGATGTTCTTGTGGACCCAGTCAAGAGCTTTCTCAACATCCAAGATGCTAAAGTTCTGGGTGTCATTGGGCTTAGCGTCCTTCAACTCAGAAGAGTGGGGAGAAGCAAAGATGCTCTCTCGGGTGTTGAAGTTGACATAGATAACTCCATTGCGGGCAAAGTTGGTGCCCTGGATCTGGGGGTTGCTGCTAGAGCCAGTAACCATAGCACCGCCATACATGTAAACGAAGACCTAGGAGACTTTAGTCATTGCGCCGATCGATATGTTGTCAAAGTGGGACTAACGGGTAAATTCTTTCCGTCCTTGGGGGCCCAGATGTTCATATTCAAACAATCCTCATCTTGGCGAGTAAATGCATCATTGCTGATAGCTTGAGGACATGTTGGCCCGTAAGCCTTGGCTGTGATACGACGATCAGACTTGGGAAGGTCTTGAGGAGCCTTCCATCTGCAGGGTGTTAGTCGAATGCGAGCTTCATCCTGGTAATGTATCTATGATCTTACCGGTTCTGTCCACCAGTGGATGCAGCGAAAGGCACTCCCAGGTAAACAGCGTTGCAGTGAGCATCGCGGAAGCCCTCAATCTTTCCCTGAGGTACAGCGGTTGGGGGAAGAGGAGGGCAAGGAGGGGCGGGAGGAGCTGCAACGACACACGAAGCAGCCAGGGTCAAACCCGTAGCCAAACTGAAGATAGTGTTATGCAGGACCATCGTGAAAAGGTTTATCTTCTGCAAAAGAGGTTAAGTGAGATGCGGGAAACAGGGACAAACTGGCTTTGGGCTGAAACAGAGAGGTGGATGATAGACGATGTGATGTTCCTGCTTCCTGCAAGCCATTTAAAAGAGAAAAAAGTGACGCAGTGGCGTTGAGGAATAAGGCGGAATCTCCGAAAAGGGGGCGGCTTGCTAACTTATTGGAGACGCTGCAGCGGGCTCGGCAGTGGAGTCGGCAGCAAGGAAACCTTGTTGGATGCAGGGTCTTGTCAGAACCATAACCATGCAAAGACTCAGATCAATCATATCCACGTGGTATCTAAAAGTAATGGTTCGTCTTCTTTAGGCAGGTCTCCCTCTTCAATACAACGTCAAGTTATAAAGTCGTAACATTACCCAGATTTCCCAGATCTAGACTTGCCCTACAAGGTCACAGCATAGCATTCCCATCATTCGATGCTACGCAAATTCCCCGTCCGGATGAAGCGGACTTTAGTGCGTCTGTCGGGCCGGCGAACTACAGTTAGTGCCCTCATACTAACCATTTGTAGCGTAGAATCCGGCGAACAAGCTGAGATACCTTTGAACTATTGATTGGGTTCCTGAACGAACCCCGAGACATAGAAAATGTTTTATAGCGTTCTCGAACGTGAGAAGGAGAGAGGGGGCCAATTTAGTGTGGTGTCTAATATCGCCGTTGAGGTTTGGCCCTATGCTAAAGACGGCTCGGGAGAAAAAAAGCCTCTCCCTTTGACATTATCGAATCTAGTAAAATGTTAGATACAGATCGCAGAATCGGATTTGAGGATGGATCTCATCTATCTCAAACAAAGTTCAAGTCAATGTGACATTTCGTAGGATCTGCCCCGTGCCCTGGCTGTCGCAGATCAGTTGCATCATTTTCCCATCGTTTCACGATCGCACATGCAAATCTTGAGCTGCAGGAAAAAATATCAGGGGTAGGTCTAGTTGGCCGAAAGAGGCTCGGATCGGCAAACTCCCAACTCCCCGCCTTCGTTCCCTTCGGTTCGGCGTACAATGGGACCGACTCATGTTTAGCACCTCGCTTAGCTGAAATGTCTTGCCGTCTTATCAAATTTTCTCGGTGGCATTTTCTCTTATCCAATGGAATGCTCGTACCTGACACCACGTACGTTAGTTCTTGAGTAGATTGCACACAAATCTGAGTTCTCTAACCAGGTTCAGAGTGAGTTGGAGGGACGGAAAGCCATTCCCGCAGCTTCCAGAAGACTTGATAGGCTGCATTCGATGCCCAACGGAGATCATTTGCTCGTGTTTCCGTGGAAGATTCTGCGCCAGGTGCGTCAATGCGGAATGGGCTGCACTAGATCTACTAAACGAAGACACACTGGGAATGGTTTGCGAAAACTTCCAATATTCCGCTCTCGTTAAGATCTTCCGAGTGGGAGAAAAGCACAATTATTTAATAACAAAATCATGATATTGGTAATAACAAGCCGAGGACATGGTATGCAACGGACTTAGCTTCGGCCACACCAAACCACATCCCCCAGACGAGACTTGGACCACCGCCGCGGCCCTGAACTAGTGATGTGCCAAGTTCCATCATTGGGAGTTGTCATAGTCCTGATAGGAACTGTTCCACTTGGCACGCATTTTGACTTCGGGGCTAGATGCTAGTTTCGTCCAGTGCTTTCTCCACGACATTAACGCATTTTGGGAGCTGGATGCGTTGCCATCACACATAATGGGCTGACGGGAGGCCCCGAGCAATTACGCTGTGGCAATATACTCCGAGGTACCAGAAAAATAATTCGCAGGTGCATGGTTCAGGGGCCGCTACCAGAGAGCTGGGAATAATCAGTTAACTACCTGCATACCCTCCTTCCATTTTTCCAGTCTGATGGTTCTGGTCTGAAAGTTTAAAATATTTCTTCACCTTGGCGATTGATCTACGTGTGGACGTTGCAATGGCAGAGGGTCTCGGTCAAGTGGTACGTGTTTTTTGCTGGGGATCCTGGATCCTTTTTTAGTTGCTGATCCATTTTCTTTTGTGTCTTTGCTTTTTTTGCATTTACTGACACTTCTTGTTTAGGTGTCTTGGTACATCGCTACGGCGGTTGCCTGCATTTTCCTGATCCTTCGCTTGTGGATCCGTATCCGTAAGCTCGGGTCTCTGCAAATTGACGATGGCTTCATTGTTCTGTCTGCGTGCTGTTTGATAGGCGATCTTATCATTCAGCAGCATATGTGGAATTTGGGTATGGCGAATATTCCTGGTGCGAGTCCAGAACAGTTCAAGGGCATGATGCAGGTAAGTTTTTTATCGCTTTCAATGTGAAATTTGTGATTGCTGACCTGGCATAGATGATTGTCCCGGGATCAATTCTTTACGTGACTTCGCTATGGGCTATTAAGATTGCCCTCGTCCTCTTTTACAAACGACTTGCCGCTCCTGGAACGAGACTACAGACGATTTACAACATTACGCTGGGACTGTTGGTGTGTTTTTGGGCAGCAATCTTCTTTCACATCATCTTCCAATGCTTTCCTCACGACAAGCGATGGTCCCAAGATCCGACTTGTAGGTTACACGAATACTCGACGAACGAACACGGACTGACAATAACCACAGATCAATGCGATCCGAAGGAAGCTGAGAGGAATTACTGGTTGACTGTTATACTAAATATCAGCACTGATATCGTCAGTAAGTACAAGCAACGGTTGCTTTTGTCAAACTTACCTAACATGTTACAGCCATCAGTTTGCCCATCTCCATGGTTCTTCAACTACAGATGAAGACGAAGCAAAAGATTGGTGTCGCTGCCATCTTTGCCCTTGGTTTCCTTGTCGTTATTGCTAGCAGTATGTTGCCTTTCCTCCAGATGTCAACTTGTCTAACCCTTGCAGTTATCCGAGCCTACTACTCCAAGAAGAACGAAACCATGTTGACATGTACTGTTTCCATGATTGAGACAGCCGTCGCCATCATCGCCACTTGTCTACCTCGTAAGTTGACACCGCAAAAGCACATAGCATCGCACTAACATCGTTCTCACAGCTCTACGAACTCTCTTCCTCGGACAAATGTCCTCAGCCCGAACAGGCTCCAACTACGCTGGACGCTACGAACTCTCCTCCACAGGTCGCAACCAGACACGACGAACGAACCACAGCCGCATCACCACCAACGTTATTGGTGGTACACAGAATAACGATTCACAGGACGAGCTGTTCAAGGAGTCATTACAGTCGACAGCGGGACGAAGTGTGGCGAGCTCGGATAAGACGCCTGGTATTACTGTTAATACGACAATCCTTATGCAACATAGTGCTGAGGACGAGGCGAGAAAATCGCAAGCGAGGATCGACCACTTTGCATAATCTTTCTTTTTTCCTATAAAAATAATAATTATAATTTACTTTATTACGTTACAGCGTCATCTGCCTCATCGCCTTCAAGACAGCTTTAGTGTTAAAATCTTTTTTTTATAAACAAATACATGTCTAGATATGTTACACTTTATTTTTTCTATCTGTGCAGCGAAATTAGACTGCATCATGTCTTATAGCATAACTGATCGTGCTATCCAGCTTCTCTGTTCACATTCAATACGCTATGACATTATTGATCGAGTGTTCTCCACAATTCGTTGATGTTTTAGTCCAAGGTTGAGTTAAAACGCCTTATTAAGTCCTTTTGTACAGGGTAGCTTCAGTCCGACAACAGCCACCTTTTTATTTTCTAAGAGATTAAAATGAATTACTAGAACTTCCAACTGACTAGGCGAGGAACTCTTTTTTGACTAATTTTGATTTATTTACTCATAACAATTTGGTCAACCTCAATCCTCATCTCCTTTCCAGGTTGCGCAGAGACACGAAATAATATTTCCTGCTCATTGCCGTCCTCATTTTTCGATTTATACTTATTTTTGGACTCAATGTAATTGCCGTCACGTGTTGCTGCATCAAACCCGTCCCAAGATGATTCCGACTCAACCACACCAGCATTAGCTTGTCCCGCACCGAGGGTTGCCAGCCCCTAATTTGCAGTTAGTATTGAGCACAGCACAATGATGGGTTTACATACAACCGAGAAGTAAAACCTTTGTTCTTCGTCCAACATCATGCAAAACGAAAACCCTCCAGTGACCCCCTTGGCCACGCCGTGGTCTGAGTTGCAGGCGCCAAATGTCATGTCTTCGAATACTCCTGCCGTATCAGGAGGAGTACAAAACTTCCCTGAGTCCCAGTGGACTCCGTCCAGCCGAATCTGAAACTGAGTTGCATTTCTGACAGTGCATTGGAACCATCGGAACCTCTTCACCAACTCAGCAGATGGTTGTGGCCAGACTGTGTCTTTTACCTATAAATGGTCAAGATGCTTTCACTATAAGATAATGCCGATAACAAACCTTTCTCACTTTCTCAATAAGCTCAGCTCCTGTGATAAGCTTTGCGGCTATGGGAATTACAACCATGTTATTGTTGTGTAGAGGAAGTAATTAGGCAGAACAGGAAGTTGATTGAGCTTTAAGGGGAACTTTTCGCTAGTGACAGGAGTTGCCTGCCTGTTTGAAGGTCTGAAAGCGTAAGTTGGATAAAAATTTGATGGAAGGTTAATAGCACTTTTCATGTCATATGATTTCATGCAAACTGAGTCTAGGCTGAAAAAGTCATCATATGAAGTACTGTTGGTAAAATAACTACTTATGCTGTCTCAAGTCGGAGGTTCTAGGCCGACCTGACAGCACGTCATAGATCTCTACGACCACAATGTGTGACCGGCATTTGTATCTTGACATTTGTTTGGTGACATTCTCAGTCAATCTACGGATACAGCTCCAACCGAGACAATCTGCTGAGGGGAAAGTAGAGGGAACATTTGTTCTGGCCTTTTTTATGCATATTCCGCGCTCATCGCTGCTTTTATGAGACAAGTTAGTGCTGGAGACACATATCGCTAATTGCTTGACCTCTGAAGTTGACAGTGTACATGGAAGTTGGAGTTTCAACCGGTTCTGAAGGCAAGTTGAACTGAACTTTAGGGGTTCGTGTAATATTTACACTGCTTTCTTTCTTGTTTCTGAACATGTTCTCGCGTTAACAAAAATCCGACGTCAGTATGTCATGTCAATAGTGCACTCTTCTCCTAGTTTAACATGCAGACTCCAACGAGAAGAACGCACCGTTTCTTGAGATTTTCAGGTAGCCTTTCAAAGCTTTTGTCGTGTTTGTTATTAGTCCTGTTATTGTTTGTATTGGACAATGTCAACAACTTTGACGGTACCAGTCTACTAATGCTGTTGCCTTGTTTTCTCATATTCTTTAATATGCGTTTCCTAATAGACTTCTGCGTCAGATCTCTCAAGTCAGCCTGAGTAGGCACTGTCGATGGTTCTGTTGTATGCTTCACTTCACTTTGAACCACCACAATTTTGAGATGATGGTTCCTTGCGCCATTTAAAAGACGTTTAATGTCTGATCCTTCAGTGGAAATACCACACGAATGACATTTATCGGGATTACAGCAACATATCCATTGGCTTTTGAAGCCGCTAAAAACTGACTCCTGCTCTTGCTGTTTTCCGAGAGATCTTGCCTGCTTTTTCGTATCTTTTGTTGTCTGAAGCGAGGTTCGACTTATATGGAGTTGAGACGACATATAGAGGCAGTTGCGTAACTCATCGTTCCTATTATTGATAGTTTCAAGGAGTTCGACTTTTTTGTGAGAGAAGCTAATTTTAAGCCTAAAGATAGTGCTTTCCAAGTCGGTTCTATCTAGTTGATAGGCCTTATGTCACTCCGTCAACAGCTTCCACTTACAGAAGGCTGCTTAGCCCATTATGAGTGGAACACTTACCTTTTCAAAGGGTAACATACTGCGTAACTCTTTCAGTGCATCGATGATATCCTTCATGTGTCTCATGAACCAGTCGCGATGGGACCGATCAATCCTACGGTCGAGCATTTCGTGAATGCGGAAGTCATGCCAGAGACTCGGATTCGTGTTAAATCGAAGAGCTTCCAGTTCTTAATTTGAAAGCCCTTGCAGCAGATCCAATAGAGCCAGAATGACTTGATCGAAATATATACGATCTGTGTTAAGTCTCCTGATGAAGTCGTCAAACGATTTCTGGAACTGCCACCAAGACTGAGCGTCCTTTGCAACACCACTCAAGTCTTTAGCACAATCGCAGACGATCGGGAATAACCCAAGCACCACACCTGTGATTTCGAACCCAGACATGATATGAATTGGCCGACTTGTCCGACAAGAACTAAGTTATGTACTAATAGTTTTCTGAGTCAAATATCAGCCTGGATATGAGTGCGGGGTAGAGTAATTACATGAGCACATGATATCTGACGTAACAGTAGCAAGAGTCATCTGTGATAAAGTAGCTGTATCGCGAAGTGGATGTGAGTGATGGATTAAGGAATGTGGGAGGGGAACGTGGTGTCTTGGAAGCTAACCAGATTCAAATATCCAATTATGCAGGGATCTTTCTTCGCGAGGCCAACGACTGGTTTAATTAGTATCGGCAACCAGGATTTGACCACGCTATTGATCGAGCTGAGAAGTAAGACTTGGCACTATTGCCATTAGAATTCAATTGACACCTGTAACTGGCAGAAATACGTCGTTGTAGGTAGTCTGAAATTATCAGCTGTCAAGAAGACAGCTGAAGGTTATGGATAAACGGCACATGTTGCATTGTACTCCGACATGTTCTTGTACTATCTCCGACATGGGTTACAGTGAGTTTATAAAATCTATTAGGCCTCGTTTCAGTTCGTTGATAGTTCTCTTTTTCTACGCAAACTTCAGTACTCAAATAATACCAAACTATTGTACTTACAATCTACAAACTCCTAAACATGTTAGTTCTATGGATGAAATATACGGTGAGAAACTCTAACAGTTACCAGGGCTACAGTAACAAGTCTCACATACGGAGAGGGTCATGATGTTGTAGATTTTACTAAGCGTCGCAACATCGTTAGCATATTTGAGAACGCTATTAACAAAGGCGAGGCGCTCCATGTTACGAATGCCACATTCGACAATACCGACCCTGCACCAGGTCGACCCAAGAAAGTCGTTATCAAGTACTTGACCGAGTGGAGAGGCAAAGAGAAATGCCGCCTGATCAAGGAGGGTGACCATGTCCATTTCGGATACGACATCAGGAAGATCACCTACGGCAGACGCGAAGACCCGACAGACTACACTGGCAAGAAGAAAGTCTATGCTGCTTTCATGAGCGCCTTGGAACACCAAGAAAGCATCATCATCAACAATGGCCTCTTCGGCAAAGACCCAAACCCAGGTGTAGCCAAATTCTTCACTATCGAGTACAAGGTTGCTTATGATCACTTCAACACCGAGATTGGAAGTGATTCAGGCACTTACAAGAGACGCTCTGTCTACGAGGGTGGAAGAGTTGACTTTCTGTGGGAAATTCTTCGAATCGAGTATTGTTCTACCGAGAAGAACGACTTCTGGTGGGGTCGACATGTCAATCAGGCCACGACGATCAATGACCCTGAGGTCTTCCGAAAGTTCTATGAGCAATGGCTGCCTAAGAAAAACCTCTATATCTGTAATGAGCTCATGGGTCCGGATCCTTATCCTGGCAAGGAGAAACGTGCCCGTATGTTGGCGCGCTACCCTGAGGACCGAGGCTACACATATTGTTGGATGACAGGTGATGAAGGGGAGAACATGAGCTGGACCACCCCTGAGCAGTTCAATCGTGATACCTCTAACTGGATGGAATTTGTTGGGCTGTTCGAAGGTCCGTAAAGGGACATATATGTATCAATTAGAGCAGTTCTATTTCAGGGACAGTATTACTTTATATGGCCAACATCAATGACAGAAGACAAGCTCGATCTGGATTGACGTTTACACCTTCGTGCCAACAATGATAGCCGCCAATACTGCCACCCATCTGTACCAACCCATTAATGTAATTTTAGAACGATTTGACTACCCAGAACATCGGGAGGACTTTTAGCCGCTGTAATTACCATGAAAGAGTAAGTGGCTTTCACAGCCTGATTGCCAAGATGTGTTGGTGGTACAAAGCGCTGTAGCCTCCCAACGGGATTGGTCTGAGTTCCAGCGGTAAGACCTCTCTGTATGTAGGTGCAGTTTCATGCTTAACACCAATGTATCTAGTGTTAAAATTCTAATTAGTCTATCACAGAGCTGAAAGAAGATCTTCGAGCCAGGCAGGCCTGGGATTTTGCGGGCATGTTTCTGTATTTATTATGAGCGTGGCGCCTCGTTTCGCTGAAACCATATCATTTTCTTGAAGATACACAATCTACTCTAAGACGATACAGCCTGAGCCTCATCAATACAAGCAGACACCAGCTTACGACATGGAAGCCGAGTATGTCGAATTGACCTCTGACAGGGAGTCATCCAAAAAGAACAAGGGTACTCGTCACAGAATTCTTTCTATGGATGGATGGGGTCTTGAATTGCTCGCTTCCTTAACAAGTGTCCTCCTTTTTTTTTTTTTTTTTTTGGGATGGTTATCATGTTTCTCCTCATGGATGGCGAGCAGTATTCCAAATGGCCGTTTTCAATATCTCTGAACTCAGTCACAGCTATCTTATCAACATTTTGCTCAGCTGCGATGATGCACAACGTCAGCTCTTTCATCGGGCAGCAGAAATGGATCTACTTCAAGCAGTCTTCGCGCGCTGTATACAGCATAGAGATATTTGACGGGGCTAGTCGAGGTCCGTATGAATCTATACTTCTCCTCTTTAAAATTCTTTGTAATATCAGTACTTTAGGTGCCTTGATAACAATCCTACGACTAGGATTTTCTCTATTTTCTCAATTGGCTATTGACCTGGAACCCAGAATGGTAATTGTTCCAGACCCCTATGCCATGTTTGGATATACACATGCATAAGATAGAAACATGTCACTGGGTGTTACTGGTGGTAAGATGCCACGTTACTATATAAAGTAATAAACTGACAGTTCATCTTATATACATACCAGATGGAATGATGCAATCTGCTATTATTCAAGGTCTCCATAGTATGAGTATGAGTCCCATGTCGTTGTTCAATTGTGTCGGCGCTTGCAATTGGACAGACACTTACATATCCTTGGGCTTCAAGAGTACCTGTAAGAATGTTACCAACTCAACATTAAGAACAATGAAATGTATCATGCCACACAATGGACCTCCAGAGGTTTGCAACGTCACAACACCAGGAAATATAAAATTGACTACACATCATTCGCCCACCACTCTCCAGACTATATTTCGTTCAAATGCAACAAGAATTACGTCAGGGGATCTTACAAAATCCTTGGGAGATTTAGTAAGAATTGCAGTTTATAAATCGCGTTATGACGAAGTAAGCTTTAACACAACTGGTATCAATATCACGGAATGTTCTATTGGTTTTACTGCCTACGAGTACAAGGGTGCGGAAGCAAATGGTAGCGTATTTATGTTTGGAGACCTCAGCGAGATCCATATCGAAGGCGTTGATTGGGCATGGGAACCAGTTCCTTCTGGTGAAGCTCGACAACATATCGTCAGCAACAGATCAACAACACCAGAATTACCATCATTCCGGATATCCGGACCGGACATCTGGGCCCTGTGGGAATTCTTTGAGTCCATAATATTTCAAGGCGAATATATGAGTGGAGGCTACAAGAGTATAAACTCCGGCCTCAATGCTGCCCTTGGTGGAGACGCAGATGTTGAGAATGCTTTCAAAAATATGGCGCAGAGCATGACAGACTACATCCGCTCAGGGCCGAGTTCAAAACGGGCTGTTGGAGATGGAATCGAGTTTCGAAACTTTGGGTCTATTAACTGGCCCTGGTTGATCGGACCTGCGATTTTAGAGCTGGCTGCGTTGATATTTGCAGTCTGTACAATAATGGCTACCACGAGAAAGCACGAGGTGCCACTTTGGAAATCTTCGGCTCTTGTACTGCTGAACGCTGAATATGACAAGAACGCGGGGACAATTAATGGAGAGTTTGAGGGTGTCAAAGAGTTGGAGAAAATGGCAAAGTCGTCAAAGGCGCGGCTGGATTAGACGAGATATCAATAATACCTGGTTGTGATGGCATATAGCTAGGTTTCCTATTTGCAACCATACGATAAAGAAGGCTTGCATCGCCTCCTTGATATGTTAACTTCTTTGGGTATACATAAAGCTTGACAGCGCTTTTCTTTTCCGTTCTAGCAGTCTCTATACACAGTCAATTTAGCGCATGGGCTCCATGACTATGCTAACTACAGAGTGGATCATTAACAAGTGCATTATTCGTTGGTCTGAGTTTCTTATAATACCGTTTGCTCAATGATGGACTTCATACAACCAAACATTCAAGACTCCAAGTCTTTAGTATTCATTGACTACTAATCGTATCCATATAAAAACCAACAAAAGCCCATTCCCTATGCCCCTCAGAGTCCATCCGAACTAATAATCCCAATCATTCATCTACTGGATAATCTCCCACTCCTCGCCGTGGCCTTCAACCTTGGAAATCAAGGCACTGCCCGAGCTTCCAGTCTCTCCTTGAGCGAGAAAGTTCCACTTGAGGTCACTGTAGTACATGCGGCAGCTGTGGCCACTGAGAACAAGCTCGCTGTTGTCACTTACAGAAACATACTTCTGCTTACTCTCACCACCGACAGGAACGATGGAAATCTCGTCACTTCCAATGATAACAGTCTTCTTCTTATCATGATCTCCGTCAATGCGGAAGATGAACCGAGTGCGTCCCTGGCTGGTGGCCCAGATCTGATCGTCCTTGGCGAGCCAGTAAAGCTCCGGGTTCGATTTTGAGCGGATGTAGAAGCTAAGAATTTATCAAATTAGCGAATCTTCTATATCAGTGCAGGATTGTAAATCATACGAATTACCGCTGACAACATCAGCTCGATCAGGTAGGTGGAAAGTGTCCAGGCCTAGCGCGTCCTGATTTCCCACACCCGAAATAATTATCTTATCTGCCAATTTCGGGGCAAGATCCCAAACGTTCGCACCACTGCTCCAAGTGTAAAAATCGGGTGCTAGACGCACGAGATTGTTATCGGCGTTGGAGGATGCCTCACGCCACCACTCATCAATGGTTCCAGCATCAGGCGCAGCAAGAATATAGCGATAGTATCGCTTATCATTGGCAATCTATACGTTGGGTTAGGACGTCAAGGGACTTTTTTATGCAGAAAATACAATTGCAAACGCGACGTACGACGTATTTGACATATGCGTAGTGAACCATTGTGAGCGTAGGTGTGTATTACTTGCACTTGAGCAAAGAGTTGTACTGAGTATTGTAGAGTAATAGAAGCTAAAGCTAATATTAGGATGAGGATATGAGTCTGGAGCTCAGCGTTTCAAGGTTGAGCCTTTATACTTGTTATAATGTTAGGAAATAACTGTCCCCTTACTATGGGAGAGTAGACAGTGTGATCTCAAGTTGCAGCTGATTTTCCCTGCTTGGATAAAATATTCTCATCTGAGGCCCAATCGCATACCGTTCTGAGACATTTCATCATAATATCTTACCGCTTTGACGTAGGAAGTAATACGAAATCTTGGATTGGGAATGTGAGCCTTGAACGTGGCTTGCTGAGAATCTTGGCTACTAAGTACAGATAGACCAATCAGCCAATCTAAGCTCACACTAACAGATGCGCTGCTAAGGTAGGGAAATCGCTTCTAGTCGCAAGAGACTATATGGGATGTATGCAATGGGATTCTGCTGACTGCTACAGAGCCAAGCATCGATTCAATAAATACCCCACATATCAGAAACAATGACGACCAAATTCTATAGCGTTTAGTATAAGGTTGCCAATCGGCGATCTTAAATCTGTTGTTTACTCATGTTCGGTAAGTTCATTGGCGATAATTAAACTACAGTTTTCGCTGATCAGTCAAGGCCACAATCAATTTCTACAGATCAGACGTTCGGAAGCCCGACTCCCGAAGGCGTGATCTACAAAGAGACCTTTAAAAGGGCTATAGATATGCATCCGTGGCTTAGCTGAGGATATGTCAGTACAATAAGGGAATTAGCTAATGCAAGTTAGCCGTCAAGGAGAGTGGCCAGTAAACGGGACGGCACGGCGAGACCGGTGTTTTCCAATTATAGTTTACTTTATCTTAGACTGATCGACATATCCAATACTATCTGCAGTAACGATCGTCTGATCGGACAACGATCATTCCAGGGAGTAAGCTAAAAGAGCCATTTCGGCTATTGATCGTTGGAGTACACCAGCTGAGGCCAGCAAGCAATGACAAGTATGTGACAGTGAATGCGAATCCTTCCTGGAAATGATTCAGTAGATGCCTCATTAGGCAAGAGACTCTCAAAGTGGCTGATATTGGTCTCACTCAGGCAAAAGCCATCAACAGTAAGGTAAGACCGTCTGTAAAAGTGTTAATCTCCCTTGTTCTAGTGTCTTACACTGGGAGAATCAATTGAACGATGTCATCCAATCGATCGTGTTTGTGGTGACCCAAGAACCTGTGCCATGGAAGCGGAATTGACAGATCATATTCAGGGAGTCCAAGGTTGAGAAAGAAGGCTGGGTTGGAGAAGCTAACGAGTCTACAGCGGCCGCTTCCCCGCAGCAATTGGTCACTATCCTTCGGCGAAGAAGCCTCAGATCTCGATGAGCCATTTATTAGACCAGAGAATTGAGGAACAAGCACTTCAATCTACAGCATCATAGTAATGTTGATCAATAGTGACGCGGCGGCTGAGTTGAGACATTGTGATGCCGAGGGAATATTGGTGCTGTTGAGTTAAAAGGTTAGTGTAAAAAGGTTTTAGTTGAGACTCATGATGAACAAGTTGAATTCGGATAAATACCTATGAATGGGTATCACATACGCAGCTCAGATACTCAACCATCTCTTCAATCCCTTAATCTCATTTACTACACTTCTTATTTGCTCCCAACTATGCATCAACATTGGAAGACTCTTTTTATGCTGTCAACGCTCGCATCGAGTAGTGCGGCAAAGGATCTTCCATTCGATGCTCATGTCATCCTTCAGCAACCTGGTCTACCTACGGTGCTTAGCAAAAATGGTACTGGCCCAGGGCTTGATATCCCGACCAATCGCCCACACAGGTCCATCGATCTGAGTGAGATTGTCCCTGCGCAAGATTCTGCTGGCAACCATCGTTGCTGTCCCATTGGAACTGTCAACGACGGCACCGGCTGCGTTTTCCCTCAATCTTCAGTGTGCCCTGAGGATACCTACCTTGATGGCAACAACTGCATCAGCAAGAAACCGCCGAGTTGCCCAGAAGATCTTGTCTTCAACGGTCGAAACTGCATCGGCCCTGCGCCTACTTGTGCTCCTGGAAGCTGGTTCAATGGCGAAGCCTGTGAATCTGAGACTGGACCTGGATGTAGTCAAGGCTTCAGGTATGACGGCGGTGTTTGCATTTCCCTCGCTGGGCCGGGATGCCCTCCTGGATTTACTCTCAAGAACCGGCTTTGCACCTCAAGTGTCCCGCCTCGATGTCCCTCTCCTCTCAAATTCGAGGACGGGAGCTGTGTTGGTTCCAAGCCCCCGTCTTGCCCTCCCAACACAAAACTTTTGGACAGTAACTGCATTGGCAAATCTCGTCCGTCTTGCCCTCCCAGTTACATCATAGAGAACAATGTTTGTACTCATAAGACCAAGCCGGAGTGCCCTGTTGGCTCCTACTTTGATGGTTCTACTTGTGTATCGAAGAAGCCCCCTTCTTGTGAGCCCGGCTTCTTCAATGGCAAGATCTGTGAAGACAAACCGTCCTGCCCACCCGATTTTGACTTGAGGGGGAGAGTGTGTTCTTCTGAAAGCAAGGCCACTTGCCAGGTTGGCACCTATTTCTCTACCGATGATACCAGTGGAAAATCTGCTTGTTGCCACAAGAACTTCCAGTTCAATGGAGAGAAGTGTCACATGACAGCTGAGCATGAAGATGACTGCCCTCCAGGAGCCCACTATGATAAGGGGCGGTGCTGGGTTAGTCCTTTGACGGAGCCCGGATGCCCTACTGGAGGAAAGTTCAACGGCAAGGTCTGCATCGTTCAATCTGTCCCAGAATGCCGATCTGGGACATACACTAATGGAAAGTGTCTTATCTCTGAGGATCCCACTTGCCCCGATGGTGCTGTCTTTGACGGCGAAAAATGCGTTATGGAGAAGCGTGCGACTTGTCCTCCAGGCTCATCCCTCAGTGGCAAGAAATGTATCTCAAGTCATGATCCAACCTGCGAGGCTGGCCAAATCCTGATTGGGGATTACTGTACCTATGAGAAGGGCCCTGAATGCCCCGATCCTTCAATACTCGTTGGTAGATACTGCAAGTATCCTGATCTTCCTTATTGTGAGGATGGTGCCGACCGCCACGGCAACGACTGCACATCTCCAGTGACACCAGATTGCCCGGCCGGAAGCTCTTTCAACGGCAATAACTGTGTTTCGAATATTCGTCCTGATTGCAAGCCTGGATACTTCTTCAATGGCTCCACTTGTGTTTCCAAAAAGGATGGTCCAGGTTGTGCAAAGGGCATGTACTTTGACGGTACCAACTGTGTGTCCAAAGAGCGTCCTGGGTGCAAGGATGGCAGTACGTTTAACGGAAGTGATTGCGTTGACGAAGCCGATCCTAAATGTCGCACCGGTCTAGTCTTTGATGGCACCAGCTGCGTTTCCAAGTCCCCTCCTCGCTGTGAGCCTGGCACAAGCTGGAATGGAAGCAAGTGTACTTCGGATAAGAATCCAAGTTGCAACCCCGGAATGACTTATAATTCCGAGACTGAGACCTGCGACTCCGATACCAAGCCGGGGTGTCCTACGGGTACTGAGCTTAGAGGCGATATCTGTGTGTCGATCAAGCCGCCTACGTGCCCTGAGGGAACGACTCGAAAGGGCGGCAAGTGTGTGTCTGTTGACCCGCCCGAGTGCCCTCGCGGTCTTACTCCCAGCAATGGTCTTTGCGTCTCTACCAAGCCACCTGGGTGTGGTGAAGGTACTATCTTTGACGGCAAGCGGTGCGTCATTGGCAAGACCCAGGAATGCTATACGTTGCATACCTGCCCCCCTGTTGGTGCTGCTGGACTGTCTGCCCAGCCTGCCCAGCCTGCTCTAGCTGCTCAGTAGATAATATTTTCTTATGTAATTATGTATTAGTTCAGAGTAAGTGTACAGTTAACCTCAAAGGTCTTGTTTCATTATCTTAAGTAACATTAAAGAATGTAGCATATTATCATTCACAGTCTGCTCTGGTTTGTCATTAACTTGCAAACCAATGTCAATGAATCGAGCAAGTTGAGGGTTCCATTTACGATTCGTTAGCCACGTCTCATGTTAAAACTGAGATCCCTTGCCTTTTTCCAATGTGCTTGTACGTGCTGGTTTGAGCGACTGTGGGCCTATCTAGCCAGTTTTTTTACTATTTGCAGCCATATGATGAAGCAAGACTTGCATCACCTCCTTGATACGTCAACTTTTTAGGGTATGCACAAAGCTCCACGGCGCTCTTCTTCTCGGTTCCAACAGTCTCTGCATATAAAGTCTCAGGAGCCTCGCCCTTTTCCACCCACCTAACGAGGGCATCAAATGCATCTCCTGGGAACCATCCAGGGCCACCTTTGCAGTGTTGAACACCAGGTGCTTCGAAAAAGCGGTAGTACTCTGTCGCTTCTGGGTCTACTTCAAGCACACGGTTGAAGTAGTCCACAGATCCCTTGTATGGGATAAGCTCATCTGCTGTCCCGTGCCAAGCGAGCAGTTTTCCTCCTGCTCTCTTAAAGTCGGTCAAATCTGCATCGGCTGAGCCCATCACCGAGGCAAAACGGTTGACAGATTGGCGGAATAGTCTGCTGTACTCTGCGTGCGACATGCCGTTTAGATCAGCTGAATGGTTTTGTTGGATAAAGGTGGTTAGCCAGTTTTGGGTGATGGCGAAGGGACTCGAGGAGCAGTTTGTCAAAGAGGTACAAGTCGTGTTTGCCAATCCAGAGAGGGGAGCGGATTTATCAAGCCCATGCCAAAGGAACTTCCCATCTTCAGTTTGGGGACCTCGCCATGTCAGACGGGCGATCTCGGCTGCTTTCACTGAGACTTTGATGTTGCCTGAAGGATTGTCGCATGTAACTTCTGTTCCCACTACCGACATGGGATCGAAGTCACAGCCATCTGAGTCTGACACAATCCCATCTTCGACTCCATCAACGGGGTCGCATGCCTTGATCACAGCCTTGGTGATGGCGTCAAGCTCACATGGGGGAGGGTAGTAGTCTGTATCAGATTAGCACCATACCGCGTTTTGGAAGACAACGACTATACCGAGAGTGTGCATAACAAGTTGAGGCCAATACTCCGACACAATGAACCTATCCCAATTAAAAGCTGATGCTCCAGCCAGGACACCGTTGTACTGAGTTGGGTATCTCTGAGCCATCATATGACCCTGTCTTCCACCCGTAGAGCATCCCTAGAGAAGTCAGTATGCCTGTCGTCTCTTCTTGAGCGACCACCTACATTCCAATACGAGTACTCTGGCTCTTTACCAAAGTACGCTTTTGTGACAGCCTTTCCCAGAGTCGTTGCATCATCCAAAGCCACAGCTGCAAAGTTTTGCAAAGGCGGCCAATTTATATGACCAGCGCTTGTGAGGGCCCAACTAAGCTCCTGTCGGTTTGTCATAGGACGACCACCATCGGTTGTCACAGCCGCATATCCCTTTGAAGCTGGTGGTCCAAGATCTGGAATATCTCCAGTTGACCAGCCTCCTCCGCCGACACCGACGAATCTCCCGTTCCAGTCCGAGACTGGGAGCCACACGTATGCGTTGATGGTATCATTCCAACCAGGGTGAGTGTACTGGACTACAACCTTGCACACGGTAATCGGGTCCGTGGGGGGTATTGGCCACTCGTTGGTTGGCCACTCTGGTAGTTCGATACTCAACACGTTGGCATTGATAGAGATAATCTCTGCGTTCTGTAGCTTCACGGAACTGAATGTTTCATCAGTACACGTGGGCTTGGAGAATACCCCAGGAAGCCCTTGAAATATCAGGGACATGGCAGAGAGGTTTGAGAAGAGCATGGTCTTCGAACGCCGCCTGGGTTTAGCGGTGGTAAGAGGAGTCATGGATACAATTTGATATCGAGATGAAGAGTCAACCAAGCACGTCTACTTCAAGGACATCATCCGTTCGCGTGGAGAGGGACGCAATTTATCATCGAGGTTAGCCATCATCGAGGGAAATGATCAGCGTTCAAGGCCTACCTGCAGTCTTGGCATCACGGTAATTGTTTACGGCACGGAAGCATCGTTCCCGGTGTATAAACCACCCCATACCCGACAATATCCCCTCACTTTAAGAAGCACTTCTATCTTCCGTGGGTCTCGAGTCGAGATACCCCATGTTTTAGTATCATCGTAGTGTCTATCTCGCTCAAATGCCGCGGAGACTAGTCAACTTTTGGATTACCCCACAGATTCGGGACTAGAACAATACCCCGATCTATATCCACAAGGATATTCGCTAACTTGTTACGCTGGCTTCCGACCGGTGACTACCAAGCAGTCAAAAATCGGATGGACTGATCGTTGTCTCGATGCCTGTCTAACTCGAACGTTGAACACCTCGACCCGCTCACGCGACCATCCCAATACTTCGGTAAACAACACTCCAGTGAAAGCAGCTACTCCCTCAATCATGTTGATTCCCATAAGCGTGCCAATTTCTTTCAGTCGTTCGTCCTTTGGCCAAGGACCGATAGGAAGCTTGAACTTTTCTTGGTTGACATCCTCAAACCCAGCCTCCTCAATCCACTGTTTAAAAGATGGTGCAGGATCCATTGTTCGACCAATCTTTTCACAGGCTACCGTGAGATGTTCCATCATCTCCACCAACGCGTTATCTGGTTTGAGCGAGTCGTCTTCCGAATATAGTGTGTTGGCGGTTTCTTGGAACTCAATCCATCCTCCGGGCTTCAGATTGGCATAGGCCTGTTTGATAAGCCGCGGCCAATCCATGATAGAACCAGCCATGTATTTGCAGTGGATGTAGTCGTAAGGAACTGGATCTACCCAGTCCGCCTCAACATCGTCAACGATGAATCGGACATTTGGGGGGACCCAGTCTGGTTGGATTGGACTTAGGTCGTTTCCGATCACGGTAGCTGATGGATGGTCGTCTCCAAATTGTATTGCCCAGAGACCAGTTCCTGTGCCGATGTCGAGTACTCTCGCACCCTCCGTCTCGATGGGTGCTAGGTAAAGCCGGCCATTGAGCAGCCGAGTAAAGACGTGATGAACCATATCAAGACGATCTTGTTCTTCGTCATCATTTGGAAAGCTGTACTCTCCAGCTCTGTCACTGTGATAGCGTCGTCCATTCTTCCATTTGTATTTGAGTACACTGCTGGCAATGGTCGTGTTATCAGTGATGGAGTCGGCACCGTAGGCGGAATCTTCGGGGTCGGAATGCACGTCCTCGTCGACTTGGACTTCAGCAGCTATTGCATTGTCCGCCATTGTGATACTTCATGCGACGGCTTCAAGTTGCACAAGAGGGTGACACAAGATGTACCTTGAGAGCAATATGCAATCAGTAGATCGTGATTCCGACATCAGATGGTTGAAGCGGGGTGTTCGACCAACATGCGAAAAACCCTCAACCAACTGCCAAATTCAGCGATGACGTATATGCCAAGAACAATGATGTTACAGGAGAGTATAAGGTCCATACCTCGTTGCTTGTATGTTCAGATAGTGCTATCTCTCTGCCTTGGGCGGAAATTCGCCAGATTAATGATAGTTAATTGAGAAGCCGACGCGTTTTATATGGAGGTCTACCCAAACCCTAACGCGTCGATATCTAATTTATTTCGTATTTCATTCATTTAACTGGACTTGTTCGAAGGATTGAGGAGACAATAATCGGCATATGCACCAGCTTGAATGTGTCAAACAACGCGTAAGCTTAACATGCTCCTGACGCGTCGTGGCTGCCTACATGTACTGTTTCTCAAACGCGTCTTTTAACCAATCAATCACCAAGACAACGTGGCCGAGTGGTTAAGGCGATGCCCTGCTATCTCTTACGAGACATCATAGGCATTGTGTTCGCACGCGTAGGTTCGAATCCTGCCGTTGTCGATTGCTTTTTGTTTGTAATTTAAGCAGTAGACAATCCAGTCATGGATTTCGACTCTTTGTCCTTTTCCACATTTGTTTACCATTCAATCCAGCTGGACTTGATCTGTGTCCAAGGCGGCTATAGCAGCTAGAAACAGTTAGTGAATGACGCATGTGGCAGAACTGTAGGGTAACAGTTGTAAACTGGACGGAATAAATAAAATCATCCGAAAACAACGTATGCTGGTATGTTAGAAATAATTATCCTCTATTGTGACATCACATTCTTACCATAGCGATGATTTCGCTGGATGACTGGAGCACTTCAATTTACTCCGCTGTGTAACTAATGTTTTCTTGTCTGCGGTGTTTTCTGAAGATCTCCTACAAACAGCGTCGGTGGAGCGACCGGAAATAACCACACTTATCCAGCCATTCAATTCCGCATTCTTCAAAGAAGTCATCGCATCTATTGTCGTCATTGTATCCTCATGTCTGTGCTGATTTCCTTTTAACCATGCTAATAATCTCCCCACCTCAGACTTCGACCTTTGTTTCATCATAAACAGAGGAACAGAATTCTCGTAAAATAGCCGACACTTGATCGACCGTTACCCTACAAGCTTGACAATGGCGTTAATACCCCTTGCACATGATCCTAAATGTTTCATCGACAAACCATGTTCATCAATCGCTCGCCTGTGGCGGTTACATTCTCCCATGCGCACCACGTGGCTCTAGACATCAGAATGAAACATCATTCCGAGGAATGCTCTTGATAGGCTGACATTCGTGTCATGACTCGACGCGTTGTCGGCGCGAGAGCGAAAATCATCCCATTCCTGATGTGTAAAGTCTATTGGACGCCACAACTCATCATCGCTCGGCAGTCTCCAACACGAGAAGCATTATTTCAAGCCGCTACTACCGGAGATGTAAAAATCCAAGATACGAAGGAGTCAAGGCTAAAATCGTCCATGTTGGGGGAACAATCGCGTTAAGAAAGATGACTTTGAACAAAGGTATCTCTCGAGTCATGTATTTAGACAAAGTCCCTGTTGCCACTGTTTAGTTCATCATCATCGTCATAGACACAATTACTCAACATCACAAATCAGATCTTTGTCAGTCCATCTGTGCTTTTCCGGGCTTCCAGCTTCCGGGTACCTTTGCTCCATCTACCGGGCTACGGATCGAGCCCGCTTCGCCCGCAGAGGTCATTCTGACCCAACTTTCCCACTAACGACAGCCCGTTCAACTTTGGACCTAAGGGTCCGGCTTATAATTAACAAAGAGGATACTTGTTCATCCAATAAGACATCACAAAAAACTTCCGAAGTGGCAACCACGTCCACTATGGTCCGAAAGGCTGTGCAGTTCAGGTCGCCAGGTAATCAAAACAAAGGCTCTAGTGCCAACTAACCATTTTTTTGATGATCTTTGGAAGAAATCGTCCCCAACTTAGTAGCTGACTGGTGTTTTAGAAAGGGGGTCGTGCGTTTTGTATGGCCCTTTTTGTTTCCCCTCCCCCCAGCCTTTCGCTCCCTGGTTCTCTTTTTCTTCCTGATCTGGAAGTGTCACGCTATGTTTATCTCGACAGTTCTGGATTCCCGTGGATAAGGGGATCAATTGTAGCTGCGAACAATGCATGATGAGGGTTGAGAGACTGGCTACGTGGGTCGCTTGTTTTGCAGTTTTGACTGTCAGTGCGGCGACCTCTGTGGCGAAGGAGATTAATGCTCAAGTCCAAGCGACGATCAATGCGTCTCCAGCATGCGCGGTAAGCAATTGAACCTGGAGTTTTCTATTGAAGCAATGTGGACTAACATCTTGAAGCAAGAATGTCTTGTCGCAGGATTGAACTTAGACTGCGATTCACAAGATGATAAAAGCTGTATTTGTACTTCTCAAGATTTCCATTCGGATTTAATTTATTGCATGAGACAATATTGTCGCATCCCCGCTATTTTCGGTATGTCTCAGCATGATCTTCGTCCAGGATTAACCCCACTGAGTATTTACTGACATGTCACATTCAGCCTCTTTACGTCAGGTCGATGCTTTATGTGAACGTCCACTGCGAGACCGTCGAAATGATGCGTGGCCATATATTTCCATTCATATCCTGTCTATCCTTTGTACTGTTATTCGCATATATACCAAAGCGTTTCTTGTCAAGCAGTTTTCACCTGAAGATTGGTTGTCCTTGACTTCATTCATTATTTATATTGTGTATTTCGGTATTGGACATCATGGTAAGATCTTCGGAAGAGCTATTATGATAATTGACTAACAAGTCACAGCATTGATGTCTGCTTTTGGCCAGGATATCTGGCAGGTCAACGCAGGAGATCTATCACATGCTCTCAAGGTATGCTTGAGAAGATACGAAAGTCATTCCTCATGCTAACAGTTTCAGTTATTCTGGATCGACTGCCCGTTCTACAGCCTCTTAATGGGTATGACAAAAGTCACCATAATACTATTTTATATCCGCCTCTGCCACGTATACACACGATTCTGTCAAGTCTGTTGGGCCATCATCGTTATGGTATCCCTCAACACCGTTGTCTTCATGTTCCTCAACATCTTCCAATGCACACCAATACACTGGAATTGGAACCGATTCAGCGGAAACGATATCGACTTTAAATGCATGGATTTAAACAAACTACAATGGTCAATTAATATTACGAATATTATTTTTGACATAGTGGTTCTGGCCCTTCCGATACCACTGGTTTGGAGGAGTATGTGTTATCGTCACGACTCACTGATAAGAAGATTGCTGACATGATTTAGTGAGGTCAACATTCCGCCGAAAACTCGCCATCATCTTCATGTTCAGCCTCGGCATCGTAGTCCTCGTCGCCAGTTGTCTCAAAATGCGATACAACATCCTCTATGGCCACTCCACCAACATAACATGGGATTACATGGACCTCATGGTCTGGGCAGGCATCGAAAGCTCCGTGAGCATCGCAGCGCCCTGTCTTCCGACCGTGAGATTATTCCTACACAAAGCTTTCCCACAATCTTTCGGACGGATGTTTGCTTTTGGGTCACATGCAGACCGAACTCTCGACGACGAAATTAAAGCGGAGGAAGAAGAAGTGGCGCGCTGGGCAGCAGATCTTGAGAAACCCTCCGACGCAGCTATGGTAGTTGTGAGGCCGAGAAGGGCGGCAATAAGCTTGGGTCACGATTTTGGGCCTGCGCGTGGAGGAAGAGGAGGAAGAGGAGGAAGAAGAAAGCCCATGACGGAAGCTTCTAGGATTCTCAAGAGTGTCGACGAGTTTGACGAGGCTCCACTTGTCACTTAGAAGATGGACAAGCCACAATGTTCAGAGGCAAATAGTATACGCACATGATAAAAAAATCGCAATGACTCAGAATTTAACACACAAGTATCCCAGGCATTGCCTCGTCTCCACGTCAACCATTCACGGTACGCCCCTTACTTGGGTGTCACAAAGTCTTTGACACGGTATTTTGTACTCATCTCGCACGTGAACAACTTTCACAGGTGTTATAGAGTTGAAGTACACGAAGTTTCTGACGTATTGCATGGAAGTCTTCGAAGGCTATTGTTTATTGTCAATGTAAGTAAAAGTGATTCTTAGATATGCTTTACATAGGTCCCCTTAAGCCACAAAAAAAAAAAAAAAAAAGAATTAGTTGACAGTAAACCTTGAATAGAATTAGGGATGGATTTATATGCAAGAAATCTCTATAATAACAAGATATCCTAAACTTTCTCTCCATCTTCAAACTCAATAAATCTTTTGATCTTGACATACTTTCTGTTCCGCTCAATCCCCGTGATGGTGTAGGTGAGTAAAGCTGACTCTCGGCAAATTGCAGCCACTTTATTGCCTGGTGTAAATCACGCCGCGTGTCGTTCACGACAACTCCAAGCCAAAGTCTACGTCAATCTACGTAAAAGTCTCGGTCTGAGCAAGTACAATCGTGAGCAAGTTCCACTTTTGTAACATTTTCTCCTAGTGTGCGTCATGTCGCAGCCTCAGTCAACTTGAGAACGGCTTTCTGAATCCCCTATATAACGCCCTTTCTTGTCCTTGATTACTCTGAATAATCTCTTCCCTCTACACATCCACTTGACAGCAAAGCTTGATCACCTGACCACAAACATCAACCATCTTACTACGAAGTATTCACACTTCAACTTCTACTACAAACATCTCACTCTTCAACGTCTGCGTCAACCTATCTTCTATCTTCTATCTTCTACCGAGAGCATTCAGATTAATACGTCATATCATCCGACAGTGCTACATCCACCGAGCGAACATTATCTTCCGGCTTCACTCTCAACTTACTTGCACTTTGTCTTCCTCCACACTTGAACTTCTTCAAGTATCGGTTACAAAGAGCATTCAGATTACGCTATCATATCATCTGACACTGCTATATTCACCGACATCACACAATACCTTCCACCGTCACTCTTATCTGATTCAAGCTTCTACGCAACTTCAACTTCACACCTACCATTCACCCACCACTCCACTCTTCCCACTATCTACCAATCAACCGCAAAGATGGTTCAGTTTACATACGAAGACAGGTGCCTCGCCCGGGTTGTTCCCAAAATTGCGATGGAACAGGACCAACTCAAGGACGGAGTTCGCAAAGAAGCCAGAATGATTCAGCGGGCCTACGACTACTTCCAATCCAACATCAAGGCTGGCAATCTGGGACTTCCCAACTCTCGAAGCATCAAACCCGTTTATCTGAGATGTGCACGCGAGCTCCAACCCGTCTACAAGTTAGAAGATTGCCCCGGTGATGACGGCGAGTTTCCTGAATCCTGGATCAAAGTATCTGGCGCCTTGAAGAATGTACTTACCGATTGCTTCTGGTATGGGAATAGACTCCTCAAGAATCCTGACGAGGATTTAGTGAGCTGGCTTGAGCACTTCCAAGGCAAAGAGATCTTGGACAGAGAGGTTAAGCGCTGGAAGGACAACATACCTCTTACCCTCGAGGAGTTGATGGACATTAAACACGAAAGGATGATGGAGTACCTTCGGCTGTTCCCACGCTACGAACCTCTTGAATTCGAGCGTGTGGAATACAAGCCTTTTGCAACTTATCAGAAGTTTGAGAAAGCAGTTCCATACGAGCCCACAAAGGAAGAGCTCGCCGAGACGGAGCGTGTGCGCAAACAGAGTGAGGCATGCGGTACACCTTCCAAGCAGACAGCACGATGCTATCTGTTCGACCTCATCGACACAAGCCCTTCAGCACGTGAGACACTTGAGAAGCAGGCTAGAGAGGACCCCAAGGCAGCTTACCATATTCAGCTGCTGAAGGAGAAGAAGGCTGCTGCCGACAAGGCAAAGAAACCGGAATCTTTGTCATATTCCGCGGAAGAAGAGGAGGCCACCAACGTCAACGAGGAAATTCCTACCGAAGTTGACGATCAGAAAGAAATGGTCCGCCAAATGTACTCCGTTGGAATCTCCGACGACAACGACAACGACAAGGTGTTCCAAATGGAACGGGGGCCCTGGACTGTATCACAGCCGCGCCGTTTTCCCAAGCCTGTGCTGACAGGATGCCCCACTGGTATCCTTATCGATTTCTAGTCTGGTATTTCCTTTTCCACACAAAGGCATAGCAAGCACGCCGATAGTACAACCGTTTTTCTTATTCGGTTCTGCCAGTCTTCAAATAATTGGTATTCTGAATCTTTAATTGAACTCATTTATCTACACTGATCAATCACCTGCATAGTTTATGATAAAGTGATATAACGAATAATCTTCTAAACAAGAATAAACAATGTGACTGGTAGAATAGATGCCTCGCTATACAGACAGTAATCAATCAACTATAAGATGAGCCTGTACGAGACAAACTAGGTTGTAGCCACAGTAGATACTTTCCCTCCCTCAACCCGACTTGATGTAAAGCATATTATAAAGAACAAATGTATTTACTAGATACCGGTATCTCTATCAATCTAATTTACGCAAAACAATCTAAAACACTAAAGCCAACCCAGTTCAGTATATTCAATCTGGTTTAAAGTCCCCCCCCTTTGTCAATCTCAATCTGTCGGTGTAACACACACTACTGGTGATAGCTTAATAAGTGTAGACCTGGTCAGGTCCAAGGTTGCCATAATGTCCAGAGCCGAAGGGATTGGAAGCAGTAACCTTCTGGCCATTGATATCAGCAACACCAAACCATGCAAGGATCTTGCCCTTGACCACGGTAACAACAGCAAAGGCGGGCGCGGGCTCAGTGACATAACCCCAAGAAACAGTGAACTCAGACTTGTCGTTGCAAGGCACGTTGGTCCAGCTCTCGGTAGCAGCATCGGATCCAGGATGGCGGACAATGGTGCAGTTCTCAGTCTTGCCGTCAGCCTCAATGGCAAAGTTGTAGTCGCAACCCTTCTCGTCTTCACCACAGTATCGGGTCATGTTCTTGATTGACCAGAACTTGCCGTCAATAGGTCGAGGATCGGGATAAGTGGTGTTGGGGAAAGAGGGCTTCTCGTGGCCAGTGGGGGCGGGCACGGGAGGTCGATGAACATGAGAGGGGATGGGATGAGGCAAAAGAACTGGAGGACACAGGCTGGGACGAACGGGGCTGCATCCGCTGGTGCTAGAGGGAACGGGAGCAACAACCGTCTTAGTGGTGTAGCTTGGATGGCATGAGTTTGTGTTGCAAGGTCCAGGCACATGGATGACAGAGGTGACAGTCCTGATTGGTGCCTCGTAGGTCTTAGTAGAGAGGGTGTAAATAGGAGGAGCTGGCTTCTCGTAAGTCTTAGTAGAGAGGGTATAAATAGGAGGAACGGGTCGCTCAAAGGTCTTGGTGACATCTTCAGTTGGAGTAAGAAGAGAGTTGTCAGGCGTCTGGTAGGTCCTGGTGATATCCTCAGTGACAGTAATGAGAGAGTTATCAGGCTTCTGGTAGGTCATGGTGACATCTTCAGTTGGAGTAAGAAGAGAGTTATCAGGCTTCTGGTAGGTCACGGTGAGGTCCTCAGAAACGATGATAGTAGGGATAGCAATGGGAACACTGCCAGTGGGGCGAATTGCATCAGGATCCGCGATGGTGGGAATGGCGATTGCAACAGTGCCAGTAGGAACAGTGTTGTCGTTGCTGGATGGGCCGTGCCCGATAGGAATCCAAGCGGCGTTGGCAGTGGTGGCCAGAGCCAGAGCAAGAGAGAGCTTGTTCATGATGGACGATTGGTGTTGAAAACGAAGGTAGTCTGTATTGTAAGACACTGTTTGATGGTGGTGGATATCGAGAAGTTGAGTGCGATGTGCTGCAAGTTATATACCTACGTTCTGTGTCCATGAACCAACAATAAATCTATTTCTAGTATACTCTTGAAGATTCCAGCTCGCCAATCTAACAAACATCTCACGATGTTCTAGCAGACGACATCACAGTCTAGGTCCTTGGCATCACGATATCCTCAAATTGAATTCCAGAAGGGGTTTACGTCCTCAACAGTCGTCATAATGCCCCCACTGATTTAAAATAAGTGATCGACCGAAAATAGACCCCAGCCACAGGAATTTCCCGATCATGGCCATTAAAGTTTGACATTCCCGAAAGACCCGCGACCGACCTCCGCCCCGTTGATTCCGGCTTCGTTCATATGGGTCTTCTAGAACCGATGCGGTGTTTTCCGCTACACGGGAAAAGTTTGTTCCACTTGGAACGGACGACCTTTGAGTTTTCGGATATGGTGTGTTCGTGGAAGTGGCTTGGGTGGAGTGATTAGTCGTGATCCGCAAAGGACTGGAATGTGACACCAAGGAATACGATACTGACATTAGGTATGAAGATCAAGCAACGTCAGTGAGGCATTTATGAACCGCGAAACAATAGCATGTCATTGATATTCTGCGCATAAAAATTGAATGGTGAAATGGATCAAGTGTTGAGAGTTTGGTGTTGAGACAGTTAAACGGATAGTGTATAAAATATTGATCTATAACATATATGCGATTGAAAATTTGGCATGAAATAATGAGTTGTTGTCCACTCGGTTATTCATTAGAGCAAACCCTGCTGTTTATCTGATTGATAGATCTTTGATTGCCATCCGTCTAGTTAGACTCACAACAGTCAAGGTCACACGTAGAGCCTTCAAATCTCTCATATGGAAGGCAATCTTCACATTGCATTCCCATGTACCTTGATACTTCAGCAGTGCATTCTCCTTCTGACATGGACTCATGGGTGTCCAGTAATTGGAAGTCTTCCCCAAGCAAGCGATGCAAACTTTCGGGCAACACTCCTGATAGCTGTTAATAGAAACTCTTTACCCTTTTCTTTTGGGTATTTACTTGTTCTCGAAGAAGAAGGAACCCCAAATCCCTGAAATATCTGATACCGGCGCAGATCATCGACAACTGTGAGATCTGGACTATACAGCTGTGATATACGTCGCCGAAAATATGTCCGGATGAAACCTTCAAACGCTAAGGGACTCGGATTGAAAAGCTGCAATTGGGGTATGAACTCAGCCATCAGATTCTCAAGAAGGGCAATAGAGCTTTGCTCGTTTCCACAAGAACGAATTTCCACGACCTTATCGGGGTCTTGACAAAATATCGCCCTGTCTTCCTTGGGGTCCCATGATAGTAGGTTGCAGGGATAGTGATCACCGATTTTGTCAAAAAAACAGCATGTATGAGTCATATCAAAAGCTTCAAAGGTGAGAAGACGAAGTGCCTCCTTTGCCAGGTCTGAGAGTCCATCAGAGTGTGGCTCATCGAAAGTTTGACCATGTAGGATGCTGTGCAACGTTTCAGAATCTCGTACTTCCGGTACAAACCTAGAGGTATATAAAAGGAATGTTTTTAAAAAAACAGCTTGATAGGTGAACAACCGTGGCCTTCCGCATTGCACCAGCACGTGCATTTATCATCAGCGGCTAAGCTGGGTGACAATTCGGCCAGAAATTGTATTTTGTGTCTATTGTTGCCATGATCCGGATAATATGGGTTCGAATAATGAGCCAACCGGGCTCCCGTGTAATGATAGCATGTGGCAAATATATTCAAACCCATGTTCAGAGGGTCCTTAGCACTTCCCTCCATAAACCCGTGCTTAGATAACCAATGAATTGTTTCTTTCATTCGCTGCACACTCTGAAGATGCAAAAGTCCCTTCCAACCATGGATACCTGCCATGGCGGGAGTTCGACCGACGCGATCGTAGCCGCCGAGATGACGGAACCCTTCTCGCCAAAACCGATGGAATGAAACGAAGGGTATGGCAATGTTGAGATATATTGATTGGTAGTTCGACTGGACGCGTAGACACGGGGCTATCGGTATGTTTGCTGTGTCGAAAGCCTGGCATATGTCAGCAGCTGCTGAATCTGCCAAAGACACAGATCTATCGCCTAAGAATAGCCCGAGTTGTGCCTGTGCGAGACTTAGAAGTCGAAGCCTTCGTATAGAAATATGATTCGCCATCACGTTGGCCATCTTCTTTGACAAACGGAAGGGCCAATGGTCCTCGTATGGAATGCAACAGCCTGCTTCTAGCAGCATTTGTACTGAGTCAACCTGGTCGTACTCTACAGCTCATGACATAAATTGGACATGATTCTTCATATCACCCTCGGTTAGTAGAGTGCTTGCGTTTGTTGTTAGAAGATATCTCAATCCTTCCGGCCAAGTGACTGAGAGCTCGATAACATCGACACTAAAGACGCACTCAAGTACTGATTCGGGAGCTTGTCTGACATATGATACTAGATCCTCTATACTTCTGGAAAGTATGGCTTTGGTAATAGGGGACAGATCCATTGCTGAGAATGGGGGGAAAGTTGGTATCGACGATTTGTACCTTGTTTAAGGCTTGTCTGAGACAGGAAGAGTTACCCACAATCTCGTATTAGTGATATTATAAATGCAGAAGGCTTGAACGTGGAGAGGCGTTTTATAACGACGAGAGAAAATGAGAAACAGGATATTCCATATAGAAATGATACTAGATAGTTTCTATTGTCGGTTTCATGTTCTAATCTCGTGAGATTGTGGCCAACAAGATAATCGGCGATGGAGCTGAAAGAAATTAGTATAGGTGTATCCATTCAGTGGGGTTCCATCGAATGACAGCATCTCTGCATCAGAATAATTGGCTTGAAGTAAAGTTCGGATGCAAGATACAAATGTATAGGTAAGTGTTTCATCCTGGAGGATCCATTCACTTATGGTAACCCAAGAGTCGACGCTACTATGGAATCTAGAACCGAAACACATACTGAAGAGTATCTAAATCCTATTAGTCACTTAATAAGATTCTGTCTTTAGCTGGCTCACCTTAGCGTGTGTATCACCGTACTGATCTGTGTCCAAAGGTGAGGCCAAGCCTTTTGAGTACAGAGTCAATATCTCACGTTCTAACGACTCGAGCTTTGTAACCTTGTGGCTGGCCGTAGCGGATCCTAATGACTCGTCATGTGTGAAACTCACAATTGTACTTATAACTGGGCTGTCGTACACCATATTTCTACACCTTACTGAAAGACTAGGTCTGCTAGTTCCTGATGTATACTCGAAACAGGCGTGAGTCATTCGGGCAGAGCTAAGCTATCTTCAATCGAAATTTTGCTTTGGCCCTTCTTTTAGTGCCTTTTCTCGTGCCCCATAGCTTGCAAGATGTAATGTGACGTTCCTGCTCTTCGAAGAAAATTTCCAAGTTCCAGAATTTGAAGGATCTCGTTCGGCTTAGCAGAGCAGAAGCACAATAGCATCCTTGCCATAGCCTTGCGCTAACATGTCTCGCAGATGATCTGTCGTTGTGGATCACTGGGGTATTTGTGTTGTGATAGGTTGTAGCAAGGCTTGTAATTTGGAAAATTTGGGGGCAATCAATTTGCATGCCCTAAACATGATCAGTACAAGTATACTGGACATCCATAGAAGCGTTACCATGCCTGAAATTAAGGCAGACTGGAACTCCACTGCTTGTGTAAGTCTTTCCAGCTTGGCGGCTGTGACTTGGGTATTCGCTTCAATTGATCGTGTACCAGTCTCGACAATGGTCAGCTTCCCATCGATCAGTTGACCAAGATCTTGGATAGATAGCTTTGTCTGATGTAGCTGTTCCTGTATGTCGCTAAGTGTGTCAGATATGGCGGTCTGTAAAGAATGAAGCTGAACAGAATTGCAGTGCATCTTGGATTGTAGATCTGCTAAATGACCACCATGACTCTTAGCATGGTGTTTCAGGTCCTTTGATATATCGTTGACTATATCGTGGATGGAAGCATTGGAGTCCCTAAACGTCTAGCGTAAGTTATGATACGATAAGAATTAGGGTTTCTGTGAGCGTTACAGTGATATGGCCGAAATGATCAAACCCAGATTATTCAGAACAGATCGTAAGGAATCTCGGATCATGCTCAGCTTCTCTTGTTGGAAGGGATACGAAACAGAACGTATGGCATCGGCTGCTCTTTTCGTGGCTTTATTTGACGGCTGAGTCTTACATAGCTCGTCCAGAAGCCTTTGAAGTTCTTCAAGCTTCGTATAGCAGTTGTGGACGCACGTTCGAAGAGAATTTGTTCCATTCCTTAGGTCGACATTGGGTAGCGTATTGTTCAGACTGTAAAGCAGTGATACAACTTGCTCGACCTCTCTTACCCCATCTCTGATCTCTTCCTTTCGGCCTCTTACAGCTCGTAAGTACTTGACAAGGCCATTGCAGACCTGAATGCCAAGTGACATGATGCCGACAGCCGTTCCTGCTACAGACAGCGGATCCGACATACTGAATGGCAGTATGTCTTTGGAAAGACAGGACAATTTTGATGGTGTGGAAAGGGCAATCTGTAAAGCGTAAGGTTTTGAGGCCAGAAATATTACGGGCGGGGTAAAACTAAGCTGCACACCGAGATCGTCTGCGCATGTCGTTGGGCATCCATCAAGGCAGACTGCTGGTTCGCAAAATATTGGTTGCGTTGATCTCATTGGACTACCATGCATGACTTGGAAACAAGGCTGTGGCTATACGGTTGAGATGTGTTATACATGACAGATATTGATGCTTAGGTACGATGTCTTTATTAATTGGGTTGATTTTATTACTCCAGCTTTGATACTTGCTCCCACCCTGTTCGCCCCTAATACGCCTAATTAGATCCCATACATGCTACTGAAGCACATTCTGGTAAAGTTAAAACTGTTGTGGTGTTCGTCTACATACTCAGCCTGCACGAAACTAGAGTTCTTCGCATGCATGAATCCATGCCAAGCCGTTCCATTATACGGGCCATCCACCACCGCTCTCATTTCAGTCTTGTCGAAAGAGCTACCCATGCAAGTCACGGCATCTCCCTGCCATCCTGTACCACTTGTAAACTTTCCACAAGGAGTTTTGCGCGTCTCAATACATGCAATGACAATGAGTGCAATTCCACATCCGAGAACCAATCCAGTGTAAAACTTGTACCAGACAGAAGAGATACATGGTAGGACAGTGGACCGTGATGATTTGATGCCAAAATACCAGATTGTCATCAGTGCCGACGCACAGACTACAAACAAATAAAATAGTATAACGGCAAAAGTTGTAAATGTGTAAAAGTATGAGTGTCCTCCATTTGTCACAACAAAGGACAAGGCGAGAGCAATCAGAGCAAATTGAGCGAGAACGTAAGCAACTCGAAATATCCTGCTGCCCCAGAAAGAGGGATTGTGGTATCTCTGTGGGCCTGATAGTGAGGGATTGGTGGTCAAGAGTTCGAATGACGCGGTGCTGCACTCGATCATTTGGGGCGTTCCCAAGGGCACATCTTCCATAGAAGCGAAAGAGAATTCATCGGTTAACCAAAAACAGCTGCAAAGTCTAAGCAGACCGAAAAGGGCGACCGGGAAGAAGATGATGTCGACGCCCATGAACACGGTGAAGCCTGGCGCAGAAGGATCAATCTGGTTCCCAACTAGGAGGATGATGGCCTGTAGTCCTTGAACAGTGATAATGAGAGTTTTGAAGGCGTCTCGGGATAGGAATGTCACTCTATCGTCATCAGGAAGCTGGACACACCGCGGCCGACTGTATTGGATGATCTCTTCGGTCCCATCCCATCCTTCGTCAGTCCAAAACAGAGCATTCGTAGCAGCCAGATCGATCCTATCCCAGTTCTTGGCCCGGATTCTGCGATCAGTGATCATGGCGTATCGCCAGAGAATTGAGGTGGGATTGTAGTGGCAGACACGCTCGTGCCATGGTGGACGACTCAGTGAGAGGTACGTTGGCGAAGGCGCGCCGATGAGAACGTGGGCAATGAGAGGAGCCAAACATAGAGTGAGAACCGTGATCCAGTCCGAGATGGTGATGTCTTGACTCTGGAAAATCAGAGGAGCAATATAGATGGCCATGATGGATCACAGGACCACACAGTGATCAAAAGTAACACACGCACGCGACTTGGCCAAGAATCTTAAACAAAAGAACAATACATCCTTCGAAGAAAGGAAGAAGTCAGGAAGTCAGCCCTACAGAAGAGAAAGAAAGAAAAGTCTAGGCGCCCAGAAGTTAAAGGGTTAACCAATCGTTCTTGGTGGTCTAGTTCCTGAGGCTTAGTGCTTATATTCACAGGGGATGAGATCCTTCAACGGGTCCTGATTTTCAAGTTGAGGAACTGAGCAATAAGATGAACGGGCTCTTGCTTTGCGAGAATCCACTAACAGTGAAACAGTGCATTGTGGCCACTAAAACGTGGCTGAGCGTCAGCTTACGGTAGGGGTTCCCATGTTTTTGGCCCTAGCAACAAGAAAAGAGATCAATTGAGGAGCTTTCAACGGCTATCGTTTCGCGAAATCATCTTGCCCTAGGATGAATCGATCGATACGGTGAGATACGGAGATTTTCAATGTCCGGGTCTGGACTGTATAATTTCCAGGTCTATATGTAAGCTCATAAGTAAATAGGCCATTTTATAGCATAGCACTTTCAATATTGATTCATTGTTATTTCGTTTTCTAATTTTAAACATTCAAGCTGTTCTCTTTCTCTCACCATATTTTACTCGCTTTCTATATCACCCCGGGCCTTTTCCATATCCTTTTTCAACATTTGATAAAACACACTCTTTTCCCGAATGTGATCTCCATACCGAATAAACACAAACGGAATCGCACACATAAAAACGCTAATAATCCCTAACACAGTCGTGGCCCATCCCACACTGAGCGCAGTATACATGGGCGCCGCAGCAAGACAAAGTCCAGCAGCTACAAGGTTTCGAAGACATGAACCTATGGCCATGGCTGAAGCCGAGTAAACTCCGTAGCAATCGCTGAGATAATTTGTCAAAGACATGTTGATGAGGATTTGAGTTGCTCCGAAAGGAACTCCGGCCGTCATGGGAGAGATCCAGGATATTTCTGGTCGTGCAGTCCAGCCAAGCCAGAACAGCGATACAACCAAGAGAGGACCACCTATGCATGCTAGAGGAAGTCTGCTGTACTCGGTCTTCTGAGCCCATGTTCGACCCTCTTTCTTGCATCGGGTGTAATAAGCGTCCCAGAGTATAAAGATGATCATTCCCAGAAAGATCCCGCCGATGATAGGAAAGTACATGAGACCACTTGTCTTGGTAGACATGCCGTATATGCCTTTGAACACGATGGGATATGTCTGGAAGAACATGTAGTAGATACTGTACGCCAAGGCGATGTATAGACTTGACGCAGCAACGATAAGCTCGGTGAAAAGCATTTTGACGGGACGAACTAGAACAACACTCATCATGTTCTTCCAGCCTTTCGCCTCAAGTTCGATCGCAGCGTAGGTTTCAACGTCGCCTTTTCCTGTTGCACGAGCCTCTTTTCGTATTTTCTTTGCTCGGCGTTCGAGGATGGTAGGTCCAAAGGTCTCTGGCAGAAACGCCAATGGCAGAATTGTCACACCCGCAAGGATCAAACCCACCCAAAACGCCCATCTCCATGAAACCTCCGAAACATAGCCCGCTATTGTTGGAGCAATGAGAGGTCCGCAGATACTCACAGCGAAGAAACACGTAAAAGCTCGACCTCGTGTCGTCAAGTCGCTGTAAATATCCGCCATCATACCACCGCCAACAACAGTAGGCGCGCTAGCGAAGATGCCAGACATGAGTCGAAACACGAGCATCGAAGCCCAGTTTGGTGCTAGAGCGCAGGCGAGTGTGAAAATGGTATATCCGGCAAAAGCAGCTTGCACGACATATTGACGACCCTGAAGTTCTGATAAGGGTCCAAAGACTAAAGGGCCAAAAAGATATCCCACTAGGAATAGAGAGATGGGAAGGGCTAGTTCGGGATTGCCTTGGGTGTTGTCTATGCCATAGTCGGCACTCATGGGGGCAGTGACGTTGGCGGGTAGAGATGATGCGAGAGTGCCATTGAAAAGAAGCACCGTGGCGGTGAAAACTATGAATAGCTTCTTTCCCTGTGTGTTTGTTAGTACATTGTATTTTCTATGTCGCAAGGACAGTCATACACTTGACCAGTTGTATGGGTTTCCAGGATCGTTGGCACTGAAAGTCAAGATAGTGTTATTCGTTTCAGTCGAGTTGGTTGGGATGTTCTTTTCGTCCACCAACACCCCAAGGGGCTGTATAACTGGGTTGTTTATCTCCATGCTTCCAGTAATTGAGTGCGAGTTTCGTGGGAAGACAAGGACTTCAGGCTAAACAGCGATTGAGTCTTCATTCACAGCTAAGGCAGCGGAGTTACAATCTAATTGTGGGAAGGGCTGTACAATAAGAGGTTGAAGGATGTTCATAGAGTTAAACAGCTCGTTTCTTTTTTGCTCGTTTGACTTTTCCCTTTTCAGTATCAACAAGCGGTGGACGATGTGGGGAACGCCTTATGCATGGGGAACAAAAATAAAGGTGTCAACAAAAGAACTTGCATGAAATGGTCATTCTGACATACGAGCCGTTCTTTTGGAACAATTCGAATCTCATATGAAGGATTGAACGTCAAAATAAGCTTAACAATGGTGGCTTCGGTCCTGTCCGCATCTTCTATCCCAATCCCATCATCTTTTTGAACTTCTGTAGGGTATCTAGCTATGCACGAGATACTTGAAAGATATCGAATTTAATCTATTCACAAGTCGAAAATTTATTTTGTTATTGATTGCTTATGTGTCATTTCGACTCAGTTGCACGATTCATCACTGAGGCTGCAGTGTGACTGTCTTCAAAAGTGACGAGTTGACCATGAGGTAAAGCCGAATTGTATTGCAGCTTATAACATCAAAATTTCAATCTGCAGCCAAAGAATACGAGATGAAAACTTCTCACCTGTCAATGACTTGTATATAGGGCGCGTGTTGACAAGCCAAGTCTTAATGAACCCTGCCAACAGAGGAAGTCGGCCCAATCTAGTTTAGCAGGCCCTTGGACCATGACATAATGACCAATTTCCCCGCTCGTTCATCGCTTCCTGAAAGAGAAGTTCCATACGACGCAAGCGAAGTCCGTCTTTGACAATTCCCTTCAACTCTGTAAGACAGACCACCCTCGTTCTTTTTCGCTGTTTGTATCCGACAAATACAGTTCAGCAAACCTGACGCGCAATGCCAGATCGCGTCGTGAGAAGACGCAACGTCAAGACCCGCAATCGCAATGGCTGTTCGACGTGCCGAGCTCGGCGGTTAAAGTGTGATGAGAAAAAGCCCGAGTGCAATAATGTGCGTGTATACTATCAACGAGGTTATGCTGCTAGCGAGTGACTGACTCCATACAGTGCACTAGACTGAGTATCCCGTGCGGCGGCTACGCGCCAAAGATCATATTCAAAGACCAGACAAAGCTGTTCCACCAAGACTCGCTTAGACGGACAAGGTCTGGTCAGAGGTTGGGTGACTCCGAGTCAGTTGTTGACTTGGAACAACAAGATGAAGTCGAAGATAGCTTCCAGATCCCTGAAGAACAAAGCCCACCTCAGGAATTTCTCGCGTCGTTTGTTCCAGCAACGGATCTACAGAACGATGCCATCCAGACTCAGAGCCCCATATATCACGTCGGACAACCGAATGACGCGCTTCACTCCTCACGTACCTTGTCAAGCCCAGAGATATCGTCAACATGGGATCCAAGATTAATCCGTGGTGCTGCTCTGGTCACCACAGCCAACACACCAGCAAGCGATCATCATGAACCTGCGTCGTATATGGTGTCGCCAGTGATTACACCCGGTACATCATCTCACACCCCGTTTGCGTACGCAACTCCCAGTTTTTCGTCTCCTCAATTTCCCCATCAGGATGGCATACCCGAAACGACCAGGGCAGACAAGTTCTTCGGCATCAAAGTGTCCCCGATGATACCCCACGGTCTATTCGAAAGTATGAAGTTTCCAGAGGACATGCTATATTACCATCATCTACGCGACACTGGACCTTATGGAGTCCTCTCAGTCCTGTACCTGAACGACATCCTTGACGCTGAATACTTAAACGGATCATTTTACCACGCCGCACTCGCACTTTCTGCTCTCAAAATATCAAAGTCTGACGCTCATACTCACCTTCGCAACCAAGCATCGATACATGCACTGGAACATTTTGTTGTAGCGCTTGGAGACATTGGCAAGATTGAGGTAGAAGACATCAACACCCCGAGTAATGCAGAAAATCCAAGGAAACGAGAAAATGCTGTTTCTTGGTTGAGTACTGTCTTGTTACTAGCCCACTTTGAGTTGAAGCGTGGACAGATGAGATTATGGTGTGTTCATGGTCGCGCAGCTGTTGACTTTCTCTCCACGCACTTAAGTCTCGTGCGAGCTACAGATATTGGCGAATGCCTCGTTCGCGCGTTTTCGCGAATAGCGGCTCTGCTAGTTATCTATGAGCGCACACATTCCATCCAGAAACAGGCAATTTCCCCAGAAGTGTCCAGCTCTCTGATTGAACTACTTGCTTCGTCGAATTTACCCTATGATAGACTTCTTTATATAGGTCCGAGGGTGAATGCTCTGGAGGAGGAGTGGAGAGCCAATCTAAGACCTGACGCGACGTGGAATGAGCGTGTTGATAAACTCAGAATTGAGCTTGAAGAATGGCGACAAAGTTTACCGCCAGAAGAAATCCCAGCGTTTGGCGATGAGGACGAGTTGGAAGGACAGCCTGTTGACATAAAACCGCTAACAATATTGACATCCTACGAACCCGTCAGAGCAGCGACAAACTACGCACACTACCTTGTTCAAATGCTACGAGTAGACATGATGTATTCATCCAAAGCATATCACAATATCACTCCTGTCGAATCAGCGTCTACCATTCGCAAAATTTGTCGGCTCACCTTGGGTCTCCCATATACTCTGTGCGTCAGCGTCAACAATTATGGCCACGGTATGCTTCCGGCCATGTTGGATGCTTATCACATGGCGGACGGTAGCATGAGGGATTGGATCAAGAAATGGGTATCCTCGCGACCTGATACGCGAGAGGGAATATGGGATATTGGGCGTGTGCAAAAGTTAATTGCCTATTTAGACAGAGAGTACACGGGACAGGGGTCTAGAGCGGACTGGACAGTTATTAAGACGAGAATGATTGATGAAGAAGATGGTGGTCAGGAAGAGAGAGATGACGCGATGGATGACACGACGAATTTCTGCGTTGAGATTTACTCAAAGGGGAAGAGAGGTTGGAGCATGGACTTTGTTGAAATTGAGTGAGACAGATGATCTAGTTTAATAATACGACATATCACGCCTATCACTTGTCTTATTGTCTCACTGACCTACAATGGTCTATAAGCGAAACCAATGACTGCTCTTCTCGAGTCACAAAGGACGGTCAGAACATCCAATCAGACGAATCTGCTGACAAAATCATTCCAGAATCTCACCGACATCGGTCAGCTTAGAAACCGAGACATGTAAAAATGCTTGCGGGGCGCGCCCTTGGGCAAGCCACCCAATTGAGTCATCAACAGGTTGGACTAAATTGGTCAGCCGAAGCTCGTCTAAACAGACCCAAAAGGGTAATTGTATACGGTGGGATGAATAATGTCAATCAACTTGTCAACCAACTTGTCAACTTGTCAAGTGTAGGGCTGAGTGTGACCGACATGTTGACTGATTGATGGGCGTAAATGACTATATCTTGGGCGCATGATAATTGATATAAAAGGGAATCGACGTTCGTGTTAGAAGTAATTTTTATCACTCAAGCAATACAAGCAAGCAAACAAAACAACTACGCAAAGCTTTTAAACACTCGATTATAAAAAAAGACAAAAACCAATCTTTGTGAATCTATCGCTTACACCAGCTACACCCAACCGACACCAAACAAAACAAACAATCTATACTACTACCTTACCACTTCAACCCAACATCACAATGGAGTCCACCAAGAACAACGCTCAGAAGGTCTGGTCTGCTATCGTCAAGCACGCCAAGGAACACCACCGATCTGTCAACGCTGCTGTCAACGTCTACTACCCTGCCCCAAGCGCACTTTCTCCTTGTACTGCTACAGCAAAGACTGTGTACTCGACCTCATCGAGTGCACGATCATCCTATGAGAAGAACTAGGACACTGTTCTCGGGTTTCGATCTTATGGTGGAAAATTAATTCGAAAGGCATTGATGAAGATGCATGACGGGTCATTGGAGTTTGGGATTTTATAATGAGAACTACGATGCGATAATTGAGCGAATCGTCTGTTTTGTTCAGATGGCAATCGGGGAGATGCTTAGTATTTGTTGCCATAGATGATACCTTTCAAACTTATAATATTATAAAACTTGCAACAACATGACACGGTCGGCATTCGTGGAGGTAGATCTGTGATAAAATATCGTGAACAATATTTGACTCTTCTTATGTTGAATAAAATCGCTGTCCATGTAGATACTTGAAGAAACCCTGCCAGCTCCTGACTTCAATGCCCAGTGACTTATTCAGTGTTAGCCTGTCGTCAGGTATTAGCATTTTTCTGCACCCCAGTGTTCATAATTACCCACACATTTAAAAGACCTGAATCGATCAGTCGCAGATGTCTCAAGTAACTCTCGGTTGTTGATACAAGTGTTGGATCCCCTAATAGTAGGGTTTCCATCACAATCATCCCGAGCGTAGAAAAAACATTCAGTGTTCTCATGTGCGTACATGGCGATAGCTGTGAACAAGCCCTTGCAACCCTTGTTGCTGGCACCACCGTTGACGTAGTGGCCACAGCTGACGCCGGGCATACTCCAGCCGAAAGTGTAACAGTTACCCTGGTTGCCCTCGAGAATCTGGTATTCTGTCTCGCCGTTGGGGTCACAATTCTCAACGTTGCTGTAGGCAGTTACTGAGAGGATTAGCATGAAGATTCTAATCATTGCTGATGATGGTATTGTCTTACAGTGCCATGCTGAGACGTTGGAAACTGTCGCGAGGACAGCGATAGAGGTGGCAATAGAGAAACGCATGATGGTAAGTTGTTGCCGGTGATGGAAAAAGGTTTGAAGCTTGAAAGTTGTTGAATCGAAAATCCAGATTCTACTGATCAATTATTTACTTTTATATCGCATTATCATCATACTTAACGGATCCAATTTTCATTTCGACAACGAAGTTCCTATCTTCCTTCTCAGGGTGTTTCTGCAACGGCACCGCCTCGAAGGATTTGGGTTGTGCTTGCTGGAGTGCGATCCTGAGATCCTTTCGTGGAGAAAGTTGATCCACTATTGCCCTGACATCAAGTTATCACCCTGGAAAGTTGAGATTAATCGCTGATCAATTCTTCTTCTATTAATACTCGAATTGTTTCAACTGGCAAGGTCAAGCTTCTGAGCTGGCGACTAAACGCGAAGTCTTCAATCGCAATCTCGCTTACTGACAAGGAGGGTTGTTGACTACGGTATTGAATCAATATTGATAGCATGGCATCAGCGGTTCTATAGTACAACAACAAAATAAGTTACGGTCATCTATCAATGTTACAAGGCAAAAAGAGAATTAAATGAACTTGACAAAAGTAAATGTCGGTGGAGAGGCTCGAACTCTCGACCTTTGGATTACCCTGGTGTTTAACCAAGTCATACTTGACGAATTAATCGCGATATGAGACCAACGCTCTAACCAACTGAGCCACACCGACACTAGTGACTGGAATGGATCCAATTTCTTAGTGACGGCAAGCTCAAAGTTAGTATCTAAGAAGGATGCCGTAAAAATCCTAGTATTTACATCGTCTAGTAATATAAGCTATGTAATACAGTATCACATTTCCAAAAAAAAAAAAACCATAGTATAAATATAATTCTCATTCAAAAGTATATAGCTGAAAAACTAAGGTTTCCACCGAGGTGAGAGACAGATAGTGAAAAGAATAACAAGGCAGCCTGCAACATGCAAACTCCCACTTCCTACACTTATACCCATTGTCGCGACTCTCAACACTCATACTGACTTAGCCTCGGCAGACGGCAGTACCAGAGCGGGCATTGCCAATGATCTCGACGCTACCCTCCCAACGGAAGTAGCTAGCCTCATATCGCTTGCACACGGCATCCATCTGGCCAAGAGCGTAGTTAATGTCTTGAACGTCGATATTGCCGGCGCTGTTGGGAGCATTGATACAGTAATAGACGTAGACTCCTCGGGCGTTGTAACCGAAGTAGCTCGGGGTCCCCTGACTGGACCAGTCTTGGCCGGTACCAGCCCAATTCTTCAGCGAGGTGACGGCCTCGTCAACACCGCTGTGGTCAAGCTCATAGCCCCAGCAATCCGTGAACCGCTTCTCAATAGATCGCTTTGCAGGAGCAGGAGCAGGAGCTTTGAAGTCGAAAGACTGCCCAGTCTCCAGGTTTGTCACCGTGGAGGAACCGTCAGCGTTGTTGACACCTTTGTAAGGACCGTCGGGGAGGTCCTTGAAGGCTTGAGGAGAGCTAGGAGCTGCAGCAGCGAAGCCAGCAAGGGCCATGATGGAGAGGAGTTTGAAATGCATGATGGTGGTTGAATAGACTTCTTCTTGAGCTTTTGTTTATGTTTGTGGCTTTTGTAGGAGATGAATGTGAGGGAACTGATGAGTGAAGATGCATTGAGACGGAAGAGAGCACAACGTCACCTTTTTATAGTCGTCTTCCGTTCATGGGACTTGACCAAAGGGACGCCAAAACACACAGCTGCCATAGATACCTTGACTGTGGAGACGAACATGAGACAAACGGGTTTAGGAGTCTACAGCTTGACGTAGATTATACGAATGCTACAGTGGTTGAGGTGAGGCCGGAACAAAAAGTCACGATTTGTTGTTTTTCCAGACCTATAGATTACTAACCTTGTACCGCGCCACTTTCTGCATTGTGCAGTCACCAAATCACATTCTCTTTTGCCTTGTCAAAGCAGAGCATGAAAAGTAGCAGTACATGGTGAAATTGCATAGTCCCAGTTTAGTCTTCTACTAAATTTCTTACGCCTCCAAGCTACATGGAAGAAATATATATTTCTATCCTATCAATAAGAACGTGCGAGGTTAAATGAGACGGTTAAATACTAAAGAGGCATTGTACAGGGCCAATCTCGACGCAAAACCTCGTATAGTCACCGTTGTAGGCAGGAGTATAATAAAAAGGCAAGAAAGTAAGCGCTGTGTCGTATTTTGCTACATTCGATAATCTCTATCTTATCTAACCGGCAAAGTGGAACTTCATGCAACTGTATCTTCTCGGAAGTTCACATTTTTCAATGCTAGATAAAGTTAGACTAACGGCGCAGTTGCGAACTCTCTTTGGAATACGAAAACCAATTGATTCAAAGCAGAGGGAAGATTTCATAGACTCCCTATTCACACATTATCAGTCCCCCAATGTTAGTCATGCTGTTCGTTATGCGTTCCCTTCCTCTTCTACTTTTCGCATCCATGTCGTCTGCGGCAGCGACCAGATTTCTTAACTCTGATGTCCTTCTAAAGGACTTGGAGGACCAGAACTGGTTCAAGGAAAATATTCCTATGCTTGAAGTCCCTGATAAAGCAATACAAGAGGTCTACTACTACCGCTGGCAGACCTACAAGGAGCATCTTGTCTACACTGGAGCTCAGTATGGTTACATGGCTAGCGAGTTCCTAAGCCCTGTCAGCTATGGAGCGCCCTATGGCGGCATTGTAGCTGCCGCAGGACACCACATCACGGAAGGGCGATGGCTACGCCACACCAAATACGGGCAGGATGTTGCCAATTATTGGCTCTCGGGTCCCGGGCAGTTCCCTAAGCCGATGAAGGAGGATGTCAACAAAGATACCTCTGACTGGGCCCACGAGTACAGCTTCTGGGCCGCTAGCGCATTATGGAAGCATTACCTCGTTACGGGTGACCGCGAGTTTATCGTTGGCCAACTCGAGAACCTTGTCAAACAATATCGAGGTTGGGACAGTCACTACGATGAGTCTCTGGGCTTGTACTGGCAGGTTCCCGTTTGGGATGCTACAGAGTATACGGCTGCTTCATACGAGTCCAGTGATCCGTATCATGGAGGAGCTGGCTTTCGACCCACGATTAATGCTTATCAGTATGGTGATGCGTGGGTGATATCGCAAATTTCTGCTCTACGGGGTGACACAAAGTTGGAGGATGAATACCGAAAACGTTCTGAGAGTCTCCGAACCTCCCTACAAAAGCTTCTTTGGGATGGCAACGACGAATTCTACAAGCATCGTGCTCGTGACAACAACCCTTCTGGCAAATTGCTGAGCACCAGAGAAATCATGGGGTATCTTCCCTGGACGTTCAACATGCCCAGTGACGACACTGGGCTCGTTGCATTTTCCCAGCTCAAAGATTCACAGGGATTCTCGGCCAAGTATGGTCCAACAACAATTGAGCGACGAAGCAAGTGGTTCATGCATGAAGCGGAGAATTGCTGTCGCTGGGATGGTCCATCGTGGCCGTTTGCTACCGCACAAACTCTGACCGCAGTTGAGAATGTTCTGAACGACTATCCTGCACAGAGATACGTTACTTCCTCTGATTATTTTGACATGATTCAATGGTACGCCAAGACACAGTACAGAAATGGCAAACCCTATGTTGCCGAGGCACACCATCCTGACACAGATGAATGGATCTATGATGGCGAGAACCACAGCGAAGACTACAATCACTCTACGTTCATCGACAATGTCCTAGCCGGTCTTATAGGTCTCCGAGCACAGCCTGACGATACGATCATCGTCAATCCCCTGGCTCCTGTATCCTGGGATCACTTTGCCGTTGAGAACGTAGCTTATCACGGTCATTCCATCACGATTCTTTGGGATAAAACCGGTTCATACTACAACCGAGGCAAAGGTTTGCAGGTTTTCGTTGATGGGGAGCTTTCTAATAGGCGCGACACGATCGGATCTCTCAAGGTTCACGTCGGTGCTTAATTACAGCCTACCGCTGCTTTTTCCGTCAATATCGCAGCCAACAGTCAGAGATTCCCTCAGCTCACCACTGCTTTCGCTTCGTATACCTCACCTTATGATCACCCTATGAGAGCTATCGATGGCATCGTATGGCGAACTGGAATCCCACAGAACAGTCGCTGGACTTCATACAAGAGTCCGAATCCATCAGACTACTTCGGAGTTGATCTACGCAGAGCTCAACTCGTGTGCAATGTTCGACTATTCTTTTATGACGATGGCGACGGTGTGCGCCTTCCATCAGCGTATGACCTTCAGTATAAGAGAGGTAATACTTGGGTGACTATCCCTGGACAGGTTCGCGGTCCAATGCCAACTACCTCAAATGTTGAAACTGAGATAGCCTTCCCTGGCATATCAACTTCTCAAATTCGCGTTGTTGCGCCTAATGCTGGATCAGGTGTCGGCTGGGGACTGTCAGAGCTTCAAATTTGGACACAGGCCATTTTCCACATCCGCAACGAGAACAGCGGCAAGCTCATGGGCGTGGAGAATAAATCTACCGCCAATAGAGCCAAAATACAACAGTCCGAAAGTAGCGACTCCCGGGATCTGCTTTGGGAGTTTCTTCCAAGCGCTGGTGGATGGTGGAAGCTTAAAAACTTGAACAGCGGGCTCCTGCTAGCCGTTGAAGGAGCATCAACAGCTAACAGCGCAAAACTCCAACAATTCGAGGACAATGGCACTGAGGATCATTTATGGAGGGTTGAGTCAAAGGGAGATGGTCTTTTCTTGATGTGGAATAAAAATAGCCGCAAGGTTGTTGGCGTTGACCGCATGCTGACAGCCGATGGTGCCCATGTCGTTCAGTATGAGAATAGTGGCACTAAAGATCATCTATGGAGTCTATCGCCAGCTTCTGTGGAAGACTGTTCTAACGTATCATTATGATTATGACCCCTCATTGTTAGTGGGAGCTACGGCCATGTTTCCAAACAAGATTTTAACAAAACAGAAGCACTTGTATTAGTTAACTAACGTTAAACAAAGCTAGAATGTTCTCTGCTTTGTTTGCAGCTGCAAAATCTAGAGCCGTCCTATGCATAACATTCTCTGCTGAAGCATCTAGTCCCTTCCCCATCAAGAACTGGAACCTTTGCTTCCTTATTTGAAGCATCCATTCCCTTTTGTTTGAATCAAACATCTGTCCACCGTTCGCTGCCACAACATGTAATAGGGACTGCCAGTCGTTATCAACAGAGGTCCAATCTACACCAAATTCATCCAATAATGCCAAAATATTCGGCTCTTGTTCCACATTGGTCTTGTGTTCGAGAGCCTCACTCCAGTCCATACGAGCGCGGTGACTTTTGAATGTTTCGCGCCAGTCGTTGTCGTGTTGAAAGACAACTCGTATATTACCTTGGCGAAAGTAGGAAAATACCGGTGTCTCACCCGCCTTATTGCGGGCGTTAATATCTGCACCCCTTGACAAGAACAAGTTTACCAATTTCTTAGTGGATTCATCCAAAACCGTGTTGTTGTCACTCACGGTCACATTCCAGTCTTGTTCTAAGAGAAGATGAAGAGGAGTGTCTCCGTGCATATTTTTAGCGCAAACATCTGCTCCTTTAGACATGAATAACTCGATCGTTTCCTCAGAATCCTGTACTTGTCCCCAGGACTTCCGTCGTAGGATCGCGGAGTGAAGTGGAGTATTACCGAGCGCATCAAATTGATGCAAAAGCTCTGGACCTAGAGTAACCAAATACTTGAGGAAATCCCATTGGGCTTGGTGTTCATTAGTCTCACCAATGCTTTTCGGTGACAAATGTAAAATGTTGCTGCCATGTTTGTCCTGCGCATATATATTGGAGCCTCTGTCAATAAGAAGTTGTGCTGCTTTGAGATCGCCCGCTTTATAAGCGCCTTGAAGTATTGTGACACCATCTCCGTCCCTGAGATCTAAGTCTAATAGTGGGTGTTGAACGATATCAACGGTATAGCAGTTCCTCTTAAAATAGGTTCGAGGTCGAGGCATCACACATCCCATGTCGGGACTTTTCGTTTCGAGACTTCGGTGCGCTATAGTTGTTTTCGGATAGCGACTGTTTGGATCTGCACCGTACTCAAAAAGAAGCTCCATCATACGTTCAGAAACTGCGTCGTGATTTCCGAAGCCCATGCTCTTGATCAATAGATCGAGAGGATACAGTTCCGTGTCATCCCTTGGATCTACCATCTCGCAGGTCCCGCCTAGTACGCTTCGGCTTGCTTTCACGTCACCCACATTTCGAGCATTTGGATCTGCGCCACCGGCCAACATCATCTCCAACATGTTCACATCCTTGGCGAGGATAGCAGCAGACAGCGCGGCCGGGCCAACGTCTGCTCCATGACTAAGAAGCAGTTTGAAGAGTGGCTCGTCGCCCACAGCTCGCGCAAGGCAGGACTTGCCTTCATTGTCAACACTCGAGGGATCCGCACCTGCTTGCAAAAGCATTTCGGTGGCTTGAAATCTGAAGGAATGTTGGTCTTTTTCCTCTAGAATGGCGTTCAAAGGTGTGAGCCCCTTCCAATCCCGAACCTCTAAATCTATCGATTGTTCAAGTATATGTGGAAGAGCCTGCGCCGTTTGCCACCAGATGTTATCACTAGTTTTGACGATAGCATGAAGAGCACTTATACAGCCTGGTCTTGAAAACATGTCCGGTTTTGCTCCTTTATTGGCAAGCACCTTGATGGCGGGCAGATTTGGCGGTTCCGACTGGCAAGCAGAAACCAGCAGCGATTCGATTCCCTCACGGGATTCCCTCCTTGATCCATTCTTAGTAGAATGGCTGGATTCCTCCAAGTCTGAAACGAGGTCTGATGTAAGCAAAGAGTCGAGAAGGTTTGCGTGACCAGAGTGAACAAGCTCGAGAGAAACTTTATATATCTCACTAATCTTAGGCTTGGGCGAGTAGTCTTCGATGTAAGAAGGGATGGCGTGGTATAGTCTCTCTTTGATCATGAATTTTATCTGGTCATAGAACTTGCTCGCTGGCTCGTAGGGCTTTGCAACGCTTTCGACGTTTGCGACGCTTACCAGGAGTGATGCCCTTCTTTCCAAGCATGGTTGCACCTCAGCCATGCACGATAATGGTGCTTCTATACCTAAAGACTTCCTTACTCGTAAGAGAGACTCGACTGTGTAATCATGTTTTCGGTCCGCGGCTATGACGATAGCGCGGTCAATCTCTCGCCAGCTCGCCGGAGCCGTGCTTTCCATGAGAAGATCAAGAATTTCCTCGATTCGATCGTCATGTTGAGAGCCGCTACTGGCATATTTATGTAAATGCCAGCGTTTCTCCATTCTGGGCTGTGTTTTATCACTAAAGTGCACGGCATCAAATGCAGAATTGCACCTTTCCACCCAGTCCTCGGACTCCAGTTGAAAATCAACGCAGCCCTGTATAGCCGACCCCTCATATGGCTCCAGGTCAATCACCGCGCCGGCTTTAATGAGAAGCTCCACTGACTGGTAGTGACCCGAGACACAAGCGTAGTATAGCGGATTCCGACCTCGTTTGTCTTTCGCGTTGACTATTTCGAGAACCTTTCCCGTGCTCATCCTTGCCCTACACCAATCAAGAAGAAGACCTATTGTGTTGCTTTGGCGGAATCGAGCGGCGAGATGAAACACGTTTAGTCCCTCGTGGGTGTCCTGGGTAATGTTTGCCCCAGCGTCAAGGAACATTCTCGTGAGATTTGTGGAGAAAGTCGAAACGAGATGAAGCGGCAATACTCCACCATTATCTGCCCTGTTGATATCCTCGTGGCCTTGCTCTAGCATGTAGTCAAACAAGGTAGTTCCGAATTTTGTCCTTGGATGTATTCTGTCCCCAAGACAGCGCCGGTAGTGCTCACAGGAAAGGTGCAATGGAAGCCTTCCATAGTTGTTCGGTTTCCGTACATCTACACCCAAGACCGTAAGTTTGCGAAATAGGTTTACTGACTGCGTTGTAGAATCAAAACGAGGAACCAGAACATGCCAGATTGTGTTTCCTTCATTGTCAGTCTGTTTCGGATCAACACCTTGCCCAACCAGGAATTCCAGAATCTGGTCACTGCCGCAGTAGTGTCTCATTGCAGCATGCAGCAGTGTTTGGCCTTGCCCGTCAATAACGTCAAACCGTGCCCCGGCTTTTGCCATTGTTGTCAAGAAGCCATCCACTTTGTACCGAACACGTGTCGCGATTTCTCGATTTCCCATGACACGAAAGAGAAACGTACTCCCGTCCTTGTCCACTGTGTTTATATCAATGTCAGTCAGCTCAAGCATAACCTCTACATTGGCCATTCCGCTCCAGACTCTGGACAATTTATTGAACTCAATCTTGTACATTGCTGTTTGTCCTTCGTTGTTGCGGATATTCGCATCTACACCACTCTGAACCAAACGTTCCAACAGAAGTCTTTCGCTAGGTCTATCCATCTCACCCCTGCTGGCTAGATGATGCAAGATGCTATCGCCATTATCGTCGGTCATATTGGGATCGGCACCTAAATGCAGAAGTCTGAGGGCCTTTTCCGGTGCTGTCTTCGCATTCGGTCGATCATGACGATCGTCGTCAAAGAAAGTGCTGAGTAGAACGGTTTCCCCTTTGAGATTCCTAGTGTTGATATCTGTCTTGGTCAGGAGCACCTCTATCACATCAATGCTGTATGCGACATGAAGCGGCGTTGATCCGTTCTCGTTCATGGCGAGGGGATTCGCCCCGGCCTCAAGAAGGAGTCTAGTGATACAAGGGGTCCTAGCGAGGTGTAACGGTGTTACTTTGTGACAATCAGCTTGATTCACTGTTGTTTGGTTAGCTTTCTCTTTCACTGAAAATGAATATTGTAAAAACACTACCCACCATCAGCACCAGCAGTGAGAACTAGTTCAAAACACTCTTTGATTCTTTTGACTGGAATCTCTCCATCGGTTTTGTCAAGATACCGGTACGGTGCAGCCAAGGCGTGGAACAAACCACGTCCCTCTCCTTCAACAGCAGAAAAACGTCTGTGAGTCTGACTGTTGTATTTGTCTTGAAGTACGGTAGGGTCTGCACCAGCTTCAAGAAGTACCGAAATAGCTTTTGGATCAAGTTCTGTACAGGCTTTGAACAGCGGCGTCTGGCCTTCCGTACGGCAGTTGATATCCACGAGCCCGAGATCCAGTATCATATGCAGGACCTCGGCCTTCTGAGACCCGTTGATGACCCAGCCTAAAGCTTGTTGGGCCAGTACCTTAGACTTAATGTATGGCAGGAACAACTTAGATATTGTTTCATCACCACCAGCGAATGCCTTTTTGATCGGAGGGTATGGAACTTGTTGATTAGGCCAAGAAGATTCCATATCCTTCCCTTTATCCTTCCAAGGATCCGCCCCAACTTCCAGAAGGTGTTCAATTATGGCAGGACATATGCAAACCTTTGGTTTGGTGCCTCCAAGTGCCACATGGAGTGGTGTTTCGCCTCGTCTGTTGTGGTGATTCGTATTGGCTCCCTTCGTGATGAGTCGACTAACAATGTTCAGATTCCCCTTCCTTATGGCCATGTGCAACGGGGACTCAATTCCTCGAACTCCGGGGTACTTCGCTGCATCTCCGTTGTTTTGACTCAGGAAATACTTGACAAAGCTGGTCAAATCCAAATGAATGGCAAAAAGCAATGCTTCCGCTTCCGTTGCGATATCATGGCATCTTAATAATTCATCCAAGTCTCTTTCACCGCCTTCCTTGACATTATTGCCCAACATAACGAGCCTTTTCGGATAACTTGATGTCATCAACAGTGAAGCAATACCGCTGTTCGCTTCATATTGCGAGAAGCCCTCAGACGACGACTTCTTGGCGTGAACGTGCCAATTATTTGCTGCGTACATCAAGAATGACGGTAATTGGTATTCTTTGTGACGAAGGTTAAACCAGACATACTTGCCATCAACATTCAAAGTGTCCAAAGAGCCTGCTCGAAGATAAGACAAACAAGTCAGTGCAATGAGGTTGTGCATAGGACCTGGTTCAAATAGCGGGATTTCTTTTTCAGACGATGATCGAGTCAGTCCAAAAAGATACTCCGTCAGGGAATGATGGACAACTCGAACAGTCTCGTCTGGAAGAATTTCTAGCAAAGGCCCGCAAGACGTCCGTATGAGGCTTTTCAAGATCCCAGTGTCTTCACCCATCTGTGGTCTGGTGACTTTGACACAGTCGGCTATCTCGAGAAGACGTAGAGGTCTGGTGGCATGCGTGACAAGTTGTAAAACAAAAAGACAGAGTCCCTCAGGCAGATCCGTACGTCCCATGTGCTCTTGTAGAAGATTTCTGTACATCGCAGATAGATCGATAGGTGCATCGCCGAGAGCTTTTGTCACCGTCTCTACTGTCATGGTTTCCAGTTCAGATATAGCGTCCATAGCGAACTTGGCGTAGAGAAACAGGCCATTGGCCTTCCTGGGCAGTTCACGTATAATGGCATCGCGAATTTCCGGGGCGAGAGACATGTGATCCATTCGATGATGGAGATACTTGACAATATCCGGTTCCACTTTGTCCTTACCAAGACGAATGTCCAGAAGTCTTAAATTTCTCACGATCTTCTCAATCGTCGCGATGGGACGGCTTGTAATAATGAGTTTTACTCTGTCCGGGTGTATGTTACCCAGCTGATCAAGTACTTGCAAGAAGTGCTCCATGAACGCGTGGTCCATTTCATCGAGGGCATCTACCACGCAATAGGCCTTGGGAATAGTTTTCAAGGCAAGCTGAAGAAGGTGCCATAGCTCTGTCATTGAGAGGTTGTCCACCGAGCCTATGTTGATGTCTCCAGATGTCAAATTCTTCAACGCAAGTTGTAGTGGTGGGTTAAATGGCAAGATTTGAGCAATCCAGTCACGAAGGGCCGCTTCGGGACGATGATTGGACTGGATGGTATAACGGGAGAAGAAGTATAGTACAGGGTACTCTTCTGAAATCAGATGATCGATAAGCTTCGCTGCGAGGACAGATTTGCCCGTGCCGGGCACTCCTCGAATCCACAAAATTCCATGACTATTGCCGCGGTGCCACTGTTCGAAGATGGATGATTCAATAAGCCATTGGCTGGTGCCCTTTAGATGTGAGGTAGCGTGCTTCTTGAGTTCGCTTCCATCACCTGCATACTTGGTAGGACTGAGCCATTTGAGGAGACGCTTCAAGGTAGTCTCGTCCTGGGGAAGGATGTTAGCCTCGTTGTAGTCGGCGATGTGCAATTTGTCAACTACAACAACGTCATCTAGGGGCGCATCTAGTTCGTTGAGTAGCATATTTGGGTTTTTCGGTGTTGATGACACTGGGAATAATGTTGAGACATGGTCACATATTTCAACGCTACTGTGCCGCAAAGGACTGGGGGCCTAATTAGGCAATAGCCGGTGTCCCACGTAAGCAGGAGGCTTGGTTATTCACCTCAAGATACCTACCCACAGACCATATCTCATAGAACTGTAACAGGAATAAATAGAATATATCAAGATGAGGCTTGGAAGAGTAAAAAGGTAGTCCTACTAACTGAAAAGAACTAGATGAATAGAGAAAATATACAGTAGTAAGGGCAATATCAGCAAAAGCAAGCCACAGCCTGATTTCCGATGACACAGCCACGATCCACTATTCTTCCATTTACCATTGGTCAATACGTTCATCGTGAGACAAGGCAGATTCAGTAGATCGTGCCTCATGCCTCGCCCCCAGCCTGATCTCCCTATATACTCATCGGATAGTCCAGTTCTTATTCTCACTGAGACACTCAGAGCCTTCCCTCTATTACTATTACGCCCGTTACCGTTCTATTCACCCTCATCAATAGTTGCTTTGATTTGCCAGTCCTGTTCGAAATAACAGACTACCAAAGCATCACGACAACATGCGCGGCTCACGGAAAAGAAATAATGCAAATTCAACAACTCCCAAAGCCAAACAACGACGGCGTACCAAACCAAGTACCACCCAATTCAAATTCCAGAAATGGAAGCCAGGTGGATCTGCTTCGTATCCAGACGAAGACGCCCCGGCGTTCAATCTCGAATCAGTGTCCCTAGCCTTATCTCAAGGTTGGGATCCCAGTACATCTTGGACAGAAGATGAGCTTGTCTTTCCGCCCCCCAATTTTGGCTGCGTGGCACCCATGTGTACTGACCCCTGGTCACATTTTAATACACCAATTCACCGTGCTCTCTTTGAGAGACAGTTCGACGTGGCTCAAATCTTGCTAGATCATGGCGCAGATATTGACCAGCTGAACGCTTCTGGCCGCACCGTACTCCACGAAGCTATTGACCAAGGAATCAACACGCTTACTCAGGGATGGACCGATAGAGTCCCATGGATCATCGAACGCGGTGCCAACCTGGACAAGAAGACCGAGGACAGGGCCGTTGTTGTTGCTAAACAATCGTATAGTGGCGAACCACACCAATATCACAGATGCGGCGGTATCTCCCTATTAAGGATGGCCACCATTGAAAGGGACGTGGCCAAGGTGCAACATCTTGTTGCAGCTGGTGCCAATGTTAATATGCCACTTGACGAAGACGGATATTGGTCCCCTCTTGATGTTGCGTTTCTAAGCCGCCGGTTCGACATGGTCGAGATTCTTGAGAACGCTGGCGCATCTTTTTCGACAGAAATGGAGAACAGCACATTTGGCGCCAATGACACCGCAAAAACCAAGACAAGCAATTTGTACCTTGGAGAAGCCAAGACCTTACTTTCTTTCTGTCTGTCCAACAAGATTTTGCCTTTACCTACAGCCGAACAAAGTGACAGCATCACTCTTTCTAGTTGCCGAGATGTTTTTCGCTCGATTGTCGAGACAGATGAATTTAGGACAGCCTGGAGCCAGCAAGGTAGCTGCGATGCTCATTCACGGTATCAGGCTTCTTTGTCCATATTCTTTCGGATTCTCTCAGAAAAAGCGCGGGCAAGAAACCCTTTAGAAATACCAAAATCTTATTGCGTGCTTTGTAACGATGTCATTACCAAACTGAACTTATCAACATCTTCTGATCTTCGACATGCACCTACTTTGCAGGAATTGGAGAGAACGTCTCATGATGGCTGTCCATTTTGTGGCCTGCTGCTCGATGCGCTCGACGCGAGCACCTCTACTGAGGGTAATAAGGGAAACACCTCTCCAGGTACTGATTCTGAAGATACTACCATCATTTTACGCGTCTACAAAACATTTAGCGAATCACGTCTGCAGGTACGGCAAGGTGATAGAGTTTCAAGCCTAAAGATCAGCCTCCTAGAAGGTGAGATGCCAAATTATGATGTATGTTTGTATTCAAGCTAACAACGTAAAACAGAGGAGTTTCTCAACTACTCCCCCGACAACAGCGAGGATCAAGTTGATGGGACTGGATCTCTCCGAGCCCTGTCATTAAGTAAAACCTGGTTGAAGCGTTGCAGAGAGTCACATATCGACTGTCGACGATTGCACGATTTGACAGACCCTATTCTACCAACTCGCGTTCTGGACGTGACCGGCGGCACATTACACAACCCAGAGATCAAGCTCATCGAAACGAGCAGAGTGAAAAGGGGGACATACTGCGCCCTATCATACTGCTGGGGGAAGTCACGTTGCATCACAACAACGAAGGCCAACTTAGCCAACCATAAACATGTCATTCCTTTAACAACGCTTCCCAAGACAATCAGGGATGCCGTGCTGGCAACCCGAGGCCTCGAAATAGACTACCTTTGGGTGGACAGCCTTTGCATTGTGCAGGACGACACTGATGACTGGGCATTCGAGGCAGCAAGGATGGGTGATGTTTACGCAAATGCTATGCTTACAATATCCACCTTGTCCGGAACCGACTGTGACGACGGACTTTTCACGCCGCATTCTCTCAGACAGCAATACGTTCTGCCATTTCCTATACCCCCTACGGAGGGGCTTGCTCCGGACGCGCGATGGTTGGTGCCCGCAATACAGCCACCTGTGAAAGAAACCCGTTATGGAGTGCTTGAGCTACCCCTTCGAGGACCTATTCACTCCAGAGGCTGGACTTTCCAGGAGCAGATGCTCAGCACTCGAATCCTATGGTTCAATCATGGCCACGTTCAGTGGGAATGCCTGTCAAAATTTGCTGTAGATTCGTCTCCGGATTCCATGGGCCACTATGAACATCCTGGAAGAGACTCTGATGAGCCGTATCGCTCTCGTCGAATGAAAGAGCATCTACAGAGACCCTTCAAAGTCAACGTCACTCTTTCTCAATCTGAGCAACAAGACCATGGGACCGAGAAAGGAAAGTCCTGGGCAGAGGAAGACCGACTCGCTGCTTATGCGGAATGGGAGACTCTGGTAGCCGATTACACGACAAGAAATCTCACGAAAGAGTCGGACCGTATTCCTGCAATCCTTGGTCTAGCAAATGTAATGGGGCCGATGTTTCAATGTGATTTCTTTATGGGCATTTGGAAAGGTGAACATTTCCTCCGCAGTCTCCTATGGCGAGTTCAAACTGTGTCAACATGCGCTTCCCTGCAGTCCAGCAACTCGTACCCATCTTGGACATGGGCATCGAAGCCTGGGTGCGCAATCGGATATTCTATGGCTAACAAAGGTGGAGGCCGCGCAAGTTCGTGGCCTACTTCGCTTGTTGCAATAGATGATACCCACGTATGGAACGGCATAAAAGGTTCTATCACTCTCAAGGGCCCCCTGGGTAAGATCACGCCGGATCAAAAGACACGTCTCAGTGAAAGCTTCGGCTTTTATGTTATAAAGCAGATATCTATGGACCGTGATCCAAAGGACAGTCTACCACCAGAGCTTTCTGTCTGGTTTATTGATATTGTCAAGTTTGAGCACGGTGCTGAACAAGTGGGATATGGGTATCCCATGTGGCCTGAAGGCCAACCCAGTTCTGTCGTCAAGTTGCTTCTTGAAGCTGTTGACTGTGAGGAACCCCCGCGGGTATTTAGGAGAATCGGAATTGCTCATATCGAATCGGAAGAGCAGGATGTTGTGTTGCGCGAGATTAAAATCGTCTGAGATGCCGTTGATATTAACATTGGTAACGCACTAAAAACCCTAGGTGGCTCGCCGCTCTGCTATATTTATCTATAGTACAACACAGACAGTTGACTTACGTGAAGCTTCTAAGTAACAATCTTGGTTTTCAGGCTCCCTTTGAGACATTGATACCTTCTATCGAATCATTCTGCCTGCAGTGGAAGATCCAACTTGATATTGACCAGCCCAGCGACAAAGGATTCTAGTGACATAAGTTGAGAATGAAGTGAATATTGAGGGGTAAAGGTAATCAACTGACTCCCAAACTATAGAGACGCTAGACTTTACCGCCGCCTTACATACTTATCATAAACCTAAAGCTGAGAGGTGGACACGCAGTTGTTCGCACGAATGATTGCCAAACTAGCATCTGAAGATCTAGTATTTTCCAAAATAAGCGAAAGATACTGGCTAACTATAGATTTCTGATCTACTGCGTTTTGCCAATGTCAACGTGAGCATAATGAAAACTAATTTGAACGTATGTCACATAAACATTTGCTAACTATTCGTTATCATCTACGATCAAAGTCTCAACAACGTCGATATGTCCAGCTATTATAGGTTTATTACAATGAGTTTCCGATATGAAAATCAACCGGCACAATCAGTCCTCCGGTTACGAATAATCCAGGTAACTGACTAAACTACCCTCTGTTCCGAGACGCTTGAGAAGGTCAATGTATTCACTTTCGCAATCCTCGACCGCTTTGACTCCTGAGCGTGATGATTCCCTGGCTTGTTCACGATGAGGTTGACAAAGAGTCAGTCGCCAGTTCGAGATACTGACACTATGATCCTCCTTCACTTTGCACCGACGACAAGTCAAAATCGCAAACAATATACCCGCGCGTTGATTCGAGATGGTATTCGCCAACAACCGTGGTAGCTTATCTGCCAAAGTTTTTGCCAGTATCCAATTTGTAGCTTTTAGTGCTTGCTCAAAGCTGACGCAAACACTTTCCTCAGGGAAACGTGCCAGGCGATTTGCGGACTGCAGGTAAAATATTACTGATGCCTCAGCCACAAACTCCATGATTTGTCGTTTTGTTTTTTCCCTTATTGTCTGCTCTGCGATGTCAAAGATGCAAACGTTGAATGTTATTCGATCTGTTTCAGAAAGAGTTAGGTTCTGAACAATTTTCGATAAATGCTTTCCCATCTCGTCGTTTGTTTTTCGATATGCCCACCGTAGTCCATTTGTTAGTAAGTCTCGCAGTTCATCAAGTCCAAACCCTATTTCTTGCGCATGTGCTACAACGTCCTCACGGTCAAGTATGTCAAGAAGTAGCTGATGTGGTTTGTGAGAATCATAACCTGGCTTGAGACATTCTGCCTTCTCGGCCTGGCAATCAAGTATGCTCTTTCCAGAGATGGTCCTGGCCCTCAACAGATCGAGCTCTGTGAGGTTGAACTCTTGGCTAAGCATCTCTAGCCCTTCTTTTGTAAGGCTACCCCAAAACGCCCCGGAGAATATTTGGAGTAAGGGATGTGAACTCCTTCTGTACCCATCAACAAGAACGAAACGTAGATCTTCATAGATACCACTTTTTTTGAAATAAGTCGAACATTCACAAGACGTTCCAGGGCTTCTAACAAGAGCCGGCCATTCCGGGATACCATCAGCTATGTATTGTGTTATACAGTTGATGACATAATCATGACCAGCATGTTTCTGGGCCTCTGCAACGCAGTTTCTAGGGCATTCAAGATGTCCTTCTTCTACCAAGAACGAAAGCCATGGTACAGTCAGCTCATCGTCCGTAACGTTTTGTTGTTCAATAATTGCAGTAGCTTGACATAGCAAGTCGTGGCTTCCGATGGTATTTGCATAGATGACAGCGTAGAATGGCGAAGCCTGACGGTCGAAGTCGAATTCATAAAGACTTATCACCTCTTTGGCCGTGGAAGAACGCCACTTCTTGTCCATCCAAGGCATTTTGTGGGCAAGAAGGCTGCCTTCTACCATACCTACAAGAAGTGGAAAACATTGCGATTCCGAAGTCAAGAATCGAATATGACTCTGCCAGTATGTGTCCGCGTACTGAAGGAATGGGAAATGGGACGTCAATGGGTATTCGACGTCTATCACCGCCTGGGTGTTAGAGAATCGAGACGAATGGGCCATTTCTCTCAATTGAATAGCACCGTCCATTAGCTTGCCAGCCCTTGCCCCAACGCCGCTTGTGGCGACTTCCTTCATGGCTTGCCGGGCAATTGCTGTCATGGGGAAATTGATTGTTGGTGGTTGGAATGGATCATTAGAACTTCCGTGTCTGGCACGCTGGAGTGCCGTGGAAGGACTTTTAAGATTCAGATAAGTCAGACAAACTTGGCCGACATGATGATCTGACTGTTGGTAGTCGATGTGAAATTCTTTCCATAGTCCAGAATCCATTTGGGATAAATAGTTAAGAATTGAATGATGGCTGAAACGAACAGTATCGTCTTCTTCTTCAATACGCACAAGATTCTCACACCACTGAGTGAGTCTTTCGATGCCATTGATCTGAGATTGGGGGTCAATCACTTTGGCCCCAATTTTTATCGACAGTGCTTCCCGCAATTGGTCAATCTTCAATGGTTCGCGCACGACTGCTGTCCAGCGAAAAATAGCTTTGGCAATTTCTGCATTATTGTGGCGGGATATTCGTTCAAGTGCCCGATCAAGGGTAACATTAAGCTCAGAAGGTAATGTTTCGAGTGCTTGTGCAATGTCCGCATCACTTTTTCGACTGCAAATGTCCTCAATAGAAAGAAACACCCATAGGAACCTATAATATGTATGATAAGAAAAAGATGCAAGTAAACCAAGGAAAGAGTAGAACCATACATTCCCTGTTCTTTTATTGAAATTGACTGGAGAATCTCTTCAGCAAGGTCGATGTCGCCGAGGACGAGTTCGCCCTTCGAGAGCTTGGCGCGGAGTATATCTTCAGCATATGTCAATATGTCTTGACTAGTTTTCGTTGACCCTGTTACAACATGTAACGGTGAGGGAAACCACTTTCTGATGTCGTGATTGAGCGTCTCCCTGCAGGATAGCAGTAATTTGACTTTTCCAGATGTGTCTTTGTGTGCGACAAGATCTGATAAGAACTCAAACAGCCCCCGTCGCTCCTCTGCGTTACACTCGTCGATGCCGTCCAGGACTATGAACCACTTTTCGATCAGTCCTATCGAACGTTGAAATAGTTTCTTCAATGATTCACGGGAATAGCATTGGTCTCTCGCCAACTCTAAGTCATTGTATAAATTCTCTCTTTCAATGATCTTGGTTAGGGAGGGGCGTGAGACGAGTTGAGAGACCAGTGACCGGAGTATAGTATCACAGTCGAGACTCGCAAAGTCATCGAAGCGGGAGAAGAAGAAAGAGACGACTTCGGATTCACTTTGCTTGTCATTGATAAATTCTATGACGCGAGATCTGAGGAGTTAGTACGATTGGCGTGATGGCAAGTGCCCAGAACTCACGATAGGATGGTTTTTCCAGATCCAACTAAAATCCATGTCGGTTAGATAACCTCTTGATCAGTTCAACACACTGAACTCACTCTTGCCTGTGATGTGCAAAACAGGTGCATCTTTCAGAGCATACCAGTCTTTGAACTCCTGTGTCTCAAAAATCCAAAACGCAGTCTGTAAATGGCGTTTGTTCCGAGCACTGTTCAGATTTGTGATGTATCGATTATAATTGCTCAATCCATCGAGAGATTGCCGTTGCTTTCGTCCTGCAACATACCGTTAGCCACCAAGATTGAGAGACACGGTGGTCAGAGCCGGGATTATAACATACCAGTGGATGCTTTCCTGAAGTCTTTCCTGACTTTACTCAACTGCTTCCAGTTCTTAGACAGGCTTGAAACTACCAGGCTTCGATTTTCAGACGCCTCTTCTCGTTCCCTTTTTTGCACCTTCTGCTCATGACGGTCGGTCTTTGCTTTTACAAGTTCAATGTCACGCTGGACATCTTCTGCCTTCTCTTTGACGGCATCAATGTACGGCCGCATCTCTGATTGGAACGAGCTTGTTAAAGCCTTCGCAATTTGAGACATTTCTATAAAGATGTCAGATCGGCCTCGAAATTGCAAAACACTCTTGAGTACACGTACTTGGTCGGTGTGCCAAGGCAACAATCTTCTCGCAGGACGTGATGATAGCTGTATTGAATCGACATATCGAGTCTCGTAGTTCAGTAGAGGTTTTGAACAATGTTTGATATTCGGAGAATCTGGAATAGAGGCCACTAAAGCCATGCAGAAGTTCCACGAAAGACTCAAAATATGAGAGGAAATTACTAAGTATCTAGACAACAGTTCATTAGCATCTATCCAATTAGTTAGATATCTAATATGTTACCAGAAAGGTCAATCTGACAGACCCCCAAATCAAAGCTGCCAGTTCTGGGTTTGAAGACACGAAAGCATCTATTGCTGGAAAAAATTGCTGGATCGTTTGAAGAAACGACGACAGCCTCGTCGCAACACTCTTGCCTCTCCGCGTTGGATCAGAGCGGTCAAGCTCAGCTGTGAAGACGATGACGCCCTGAATATCATGCGGGGTTGTTTTCAGGCTCTGCAGCCTGATTCTCTCATCGTCCTGAAGCCGGGCCTGGAACTGGGCAACTGCCGTTTCAAGCTCTACCACAGCATCTGTCTTGGACCTCCCAGTAACTCTATTGAGAATAGAGTGCGGAACAAGGGATTGAGATTGCTCCATGGCTGATTCAAAGCCATTAGATTGCCCAACAATCTGTCTACGGGTAATGCTGACAAGGCTGAGTGATTATTGCCAGGATTGTAAATTGTCATCTGAAATCGGCCAACGACATTGCTGTGAGTGAGACCCGCACCATGTGAGCACGTGACCTTCATAAATTATTCTTGAAGCTGAAACGGAATTGTAATCAGCTTAACCAGCTTCTATACATGTGTAGAGTTGTTAATAGATGAAACTTAATTACCGTCTTATGTAGTGGGTAACGACTTGAAAGCATAATCATATTATTGCTCTTTCAAGATATACGTCGATGTCAGTTACTTAGGTCTTGCTGTTTGGGCAATAATGAGTGTGATCATTTGATGTCTGTAGTCCGTCAGATCGTTCAGTCGCGGTGTGTTCAGGCAAATATCTAGCTACGTATATAAGCTATGAAAATAAATTGTCTAGCACATACGACCAAAGGTAGTGGAAAATACGGGATCCCGTCCGCTCTCCCATAGTCAAGCCACTAACCGGCGGATTAGTAGTTGGGTCGGTGACGACCAGCGAATCCCCGCTGTTGTATGTTTTTTGACTTCTTTGATTTTTACTAAGGTACTGTTATCTTTGATCTCGCGATCCTAGAATAAAGCATCTAATAATAATGTCTTTTTGATACGTCGCATGAAAGAGCTGCAATACTCTCTTGCCTCTCTACTATACTATCAGTAGTGAAATATATATATAAGGCTTAGTCTTTAACGGGAAAGGTACAGTTATGTCAGCGGAACTTCGGTAGGATAACTTATCTACCGACCGATCACTCGGCCCCACCGGAACTTTACCATGCCGATAATCCTGGACTTTCGCTCTTGAGAGACTGAGTTAAGGGCATATCTGAACTGCCGTCTCCACACGAATCTCATCTGTCAAGATATTTCAGGAAGGGATTAACAAACACAATTACTTTACTATTCACGATGCCCCGGCAATTATTGCTCCTATTCCAGTACACTCGTGTCTTATCGTTTTATGTATAAATACCTCCTGAAATCAATGTCAATTAATAACTTATATCTTACATCAAAGCCAACATGCCAGCCCTCACTTTCCTCCTACCACTAGCTTTGTTGGCTCTGGCCGCCACCTACAAGGCGGCCATAACTATTTACAACGCCTTCTTTTCCCCTCTCAAGAACATCCCAGGCCCTACCGTTGCACGTTTCACTGATCTATGGTACATCAACCGAGTTCGCAAAGGCCATTTCGAACGCGACAACATCTCACTTCATCGCCGACACGGCCCTATCGTCCGTTATGGTCCCAACAGATACAGCTTCGATCACCCTGAGGCCGCTCAAATTATCTACGGAGTTGGGAAGTCGGACAAGTTTGCCAAATCTTCCTTCTACAGAGCTTTCGGCACACCGATACGTGATCAGCCGAACATGTTTTCCCACCAGAACATCAAAGAGCACTCTCAGATGCGTCGGCTCTATCAGAGCACACACGCCATGTCGGCCCTCGTCTCGTACGAGGACTCTGTCGACGAGTGTTCAGATCTGTTTGATCAGCGACTCCGAGAGATGACTGGAGGTCCAGTGTCTGCAAATGTCCAACCACATGTTGACCTTGGTAGATGGCTCCAATGTTATGCCTTTGATGTCATCGGTATGATAACGTACTCGAAAAGATTGGGGTTCCTCGATCAGGGCGTTGACATAGCTGGGATCATGGAGTCTTTGGAAGAGTTTCTTGCTTATTCCAGCATTATCGGTGTTTATTCTTGGCTTCATCCTTTCCTATTCCATCTGCGCAACTTCCTCGCCGGAAACACAGGCACCGGAATCCAATACGTGGTCAAGTATACCGAGAAGCTCATGAGAGAGCATCAGGCCAAGCCCAAGAATCTGGACCTAGAAGACGAAGATAATCAGCGCATGGACTTCTTATCGAAGTATGTTGCTCGGCATCGCAAAGACCCATTGACGTACAATGACTGGTATGTTCTGAGTGGATGTGTGTCTAACATGACGGCTGGATCCGATACAACTGCTATCAGCCTCTCAGCCATCATGTATTTTCTCATGACCAATCCCAAAGTCGCAGACAAACTTCGTGAAGAAGTGGCAGATCATCAATCACGAGCAGTACATCCTCGCCACTTCAGCTTCAAGGAGACACAAGAGATGCAATATCTACAAGCTGTCATCAAGGAAGCTTTGAGGTTGCATCCTGCTGTTGGTCAGCCGTTAGAACGGGTTATCCCCGCAGGTGGTGCTACTATTGCTGGACAGTTTTTCCCAGAAGGGGTAAGTCATAGACAAATGTCTAATACGTGTGACCGGCTGAGCTAATACTTGCGATTAGACAATTGTTGGGGTCAACTGCTGGGTAGAGCACCACAGCTCAGTCTTCGGCCCTGATCCGGAGGTATTCCGACCCGAGCGCTGGCTGGACACCGATAAAGTTAGACTGGATACGTTGAACCGCCACTGGATGCCAGTAAGTACTATTTTACATGGATAGAATTCAAGTTGCTGATTGCGTCTAGTTTGGCATGGGTGCAAGAACATGCATTGGGCGACACATCTCCATGTTGGAGATTTCAAAACTCATACCTCGCCTCATTCGCGACTTTGACTTTACGTTTCCCAAAGAGATTCAGAATTTCGAGACCAACAATAGATGGTTTGTTAAGCCTCAGGGTTTTAAAGTACAAATCCAAGCTCGGAACTAGGTTGTTGTTCGAGGGACCTGAGTTTCTTTATATAACTCTAGACCCTATTGCGTTTTATCTAGTGATCTCACAAGTGATACATTCTCTTAACAAAGCTTTAAATAACAACGATCTGCTCGATCCTACCCTAACTATCGCCATCACCACCTTCAGATCCCCTAGTATCCAACATCCAACATGGTTCCGCCTCCTCTCCAATGTCCATATGAAGTGCCTGTTTAGTTCTCACTGGCGTCAGCATCTTCAGAAGCAGCAGGAGCCGCAACGGTCTCTGGATGGCACCCCGTAGTTTGCCACAGGACCAATGGCCAAGGAGATGTTGAGTGATTGTGAGATCGCTTAGGCATGTGGAGAATACTCACAAGGAAAGACTGAATTTGCAAAGATACATGATATGATATTCATTTGGATACGGCTTAGTGAAGGACGTACTCAGCGGGTAGTTCGCGACAGACACGTACATGCTCGGTTACGTTCAACAGAAGTTACTACTGAGCAATTTAGCCCTTCAACTCAAGTTGTAAAGGCAGTTTTCCAAGGTAGAGGTGGAAACCAACGTTTTATAATATTACAAGACGAAAGCCAGTCTGTTATTTAGCAAGAGACAATAAAATGAAAGATGCTAAGTGAAGGGCTGACCTGCTTATCCTTCTACTTAAAGGCACCTTTTTCCTCCTGCAGGGCGCCTGTGCTGTTCCGAAGAATACGGCGTTTTCACAACTTCGGAATAATGTTTTCATACCGCCACAATATTCCTTTTCTCTTTCACAGGTTCTCTGGCCTAGAATGCTCAGACCCAGTATACCACACCGTCGCCCCACTAAACGACAGATGTCTACAAAACCCAGTTCCTGTCCGGGTTTGATCCACCGTTCTACTTCTGTTGACATGGACTTCAGTAAAGTGGTGCAGTCATTCTTCATTTAGTTTCGTCATTAGATAGCGACAAGAATGGAAGTTTTCCAAAGCTCTATAAGCCACATTATCAGTCATAAATACTGCATCTTCTATATATTTTAAACTCGTAATAAAATGCGCTTTCAATTGCGAATACGCTAGATAGAATAATAATAGAAGCCTGATATCCAGAGGATTTTACAACAGTATCTAGATCCTCGCCTAGAAACTCTTGCAGTATGTCTCCCGAAAGTTTCGAGCAATCTCATGAGATTCTTTCCACTTTCGAACAGAGTTCACCACCAAGAAATTAGTCATCCCTGTGGTCATCGCGGTCGTCGCGGTCATCGTGGTCATCGTGGTCATCGTGGTCATCGTGGTCATCGTGATCATCGTGGTCGTTGCGATCATTGCGGTCGTCATCTCTGCAAACCAACTTGTAGCTGCGGAATAGTCCGCGAGCCTGAACGCACTGATCATCTTGAAGACGCCCCTTGAAGCGAACCTTGCACTCAGAGTCGCCAAAAAGAACCACTGCTCAAGTTAGTCCAAGTCAACAAATGACGATTCGCAATCATGCCACTCACGTTCGCAGTCATCCTCGTCATCGTACTGGTAGATCGACTTGACATTCTTGTTAAACTTGTGGCACTTGTTGTTGTCTCTTCCGCGAAGAGTCAATCGGCCATGGTTCTGGCTGTTTCCTCCAGATCCGCAGTTCTCGGATCCCCAAAGACGTGCTTCAAGGGCGATCTCATTGGGACGAGGAATGTCGGACTGAGGCATCGGGCTTGCAATGGCACCCATAGCCATAGCGGTGATAAAGGCAATAGAGAAATACATTTTGATAGGTTTGAGAAGTGAGCTTGTTTGTGTTGTTGTTGTGATTTGATGATGAGAAAGGCCGAGAAGATGTTGAGCAGAGCCCAGATTATATACTACACTTTTCCTGGTACAGAATTGAGATGAATGTAAATTTAGATATAGAAATGCGTCACTTTGCGTGGCTTGAATGTCGATCTGGAGAATCTGTCCAAGTTCAAAGCTAGTTAAACTCAAGTTGGTCTAACAGGGACTAAAAGTAATATCAGAAGGCAGTGTTTTCATGCGATAGTCGGCAGTTGTTTCAATTGACCCACTTTCCCAGACACATCCATCAGTACTGATGGCATCAATGTTGCCCCGTTAAGCTAAGCTTTGTGCTTAAAGTATCTTTTTATGATGACGTAGAAACAGCAGCATCGTATTCTCGAACAACGTTCCAGACTTCAACCTCGATGAGTTCATGCGATGGAGTTTGTTACGTACCATTCTTGACCCTCTACGAATCTGTACATCAAGCGCATGACGACTATACAGAAACTCACAAGTGAAGGATACTCAGTACTGCCTTTTTAAGTCATACGTCAAGTGGTCAGGATATAGAAAAAGCTCAGACTACTCTAAAGGAAACTCCATGCTACATCGTTTTGACAGATGAATAGTGGGTTAACGCCAACCTTATTACTAACTTTAATCTACCTGTTGGTTAAGATCGGCATTGCGCCCCGCGTTCAACTACCGACATTCGAGAACAACACATCATTCTGAGGCTGAGTATTCCAGGCTAAGAATCCCATTAAAACCTTGCTATGCAATGGCCACGCGGCTTCCATGAGGTTAAAAATAACGATAAATTCACGTGTCTAATGATAAACGAGGATGAGTGATCATCATTACATTTATGGTGGGTAACCTAGCAAATCGTGACGAAATGGGATTGACCACAGCTGGTAGAAATAGCACTAGCTGACTTGAGAGAGGGCTCATCGTCAGCGGGCTAGGACCTGAAACCACCGGAAGTTCGACGACACGGTAAATGCACCTGGATGTGACGATAACAGTGGCAATGCTGAGATCCCCATTCAAGTTGTTAGCATCCATTGGTTTAGTTACTGGAAGATTTACATACCCTAGATAAACGAACGAAACTGTTTGGAAGCTCGTAGTGCCCGAAATCGAGGGCTAGTGCCTTTGCTAATGTGAGATCAAAGATATGTTGTTAGGCCCATAGAGACACCCAGTGAAAGCACCTGGTACGCCAGACCTGCTATTAAGTATGATAACTTGGTCTAGCTTTCTACTACTTATACAGTTCTCCATCGTTCTCCTTTCATAATAGTGAGCAGTATAAGCCCTGAACCCATCCAAACCATAGCAGAAGAGACTGTTACCGTCCACCCAACTCCAACTGCCTCTATTAAGGGCAAGCAGGACGCAGTCGCTACAGCAGAAAAGATATAACGCATGAGGTAATGACTAGCTTCAAAGAGTAAGCAGGATGCCTCATACCCAGGGTTTAAAACGAGACTTACCAGATGCCTTTCCACTCTGGTGTTGCATAATATCTAGGATGTATGCATTCATGCTAGGAAAAGCACAGGTCTGAGCAAAACCTTGTATGAACATACAGATACCTGGGAGAGCCACGCCGCCAATGCTGCGCTCTACAGACCAACCATAGAGTAGAGTTGTTCCAGGTAGGATTACTCCAAGTGTAAGCATACCGGCACGGAGACGATCCTCTTGCAGTCTAAAACCTCTTCTAATCATCCATGACTTGACGACTCGATCAGCCAAGCGACCCCCTATTTGTGTGCCGAGAAGATACCCGGCACCAGGGGCCAAATAGAGTAGCCCCGATTGAAGAGGGCTTGTTAAGCCCAATCTTGGATTGAGGACGAATCGGATAGGTGTGAGCAGAGAATACATATTCCATGCTGTAGTTGCAGAGGCCAAACACTAACACTGTGAGCCTACGTAATCAATTATGGAGAGACGGGCAACATACTACACAGAATAAGTTCTTCTGTCCAAATAACTTGAACACAGTCCAGGGATTAGACCACTCCCATAGTTTAACCATCCCATAATACAATCCTTTTCCCCGCAGTTCCTTATATCGGAGCTGCTGTAGGGTTTCATGCAGGATAAAGATGGCCTGTACCAGGCCAATGCCAGCGAGGCCCGCTTGGAGCCAGAAGATGATGCGCCAGGACGTATAGGTGACAATGACACCACTTACCAGAGGCCCAAAAGCCGGACCTAGCATGCAGCCACCTGCAAACCAGCCGAGAGAGGCTCCACGCTGTACCTGTTTTCAATTAGAACGGATATCATGTTTGACAATGGTGACAAACTGGATGGTAAATATCTGAGATACAACTTGGCCCTACAATTAAGAGCGCTGTTACTTGACAAGCAGTTAAAGCTCGGAACACGAAAAAGGCTGTTAAAGTTCGCGATAGAGCCGTGCCTATTGAAAATGCCAGTAGTAACGTTGTACTTCCAACATAGGCCTATGATCATGGACGGTTAAAATCAACAATATCTGTGACATTGGAACATGGCTTACCGACTTGCGTCCGAATACATCTGCCCAAGGACCCCAAAAACAGCACGAGAGTCCAACGAACACCAGGTACACTGCATTGCTTATGTTGATAGCAGTTGGAGTAGTGTGGAAGCTCTCTGCAACTTCTGGCACAGCTGCGAGGATGCTGGTCGTTGACATTGAAGCCATCAAGCCACCAAAGGCGATGAACGCTGTCATGGAACTCTTCTGAACATTGCTGAACCTTGTGTACACAGAATCGTAGGTTCTATCAGGTAATCCGTCCCCATTGCTGGAGGCGAGCTCGATGCTAGCCTCGCGCCGTAGATTGGCTTGTGCAGTTACAGTGGTAGTCGACATTAAGAGTGTTGGACTGTCATGCTACTCAAAAGAAATGGGCGTGAATTAAATGCTAGCGTCCCTCCGATTATCGCAGTGTAGTTCGAGGGCGCGCGTTCCACATTCAAAGATGATTATTAATACAGCGACCCTGGCTCTACACATTTGGCAAATAAACCCTATTTATTGGCTTGTATGGAGCGGTCCAGTGAAGTAAACCTTGCAAGCTAGTTTAGGCATAAAAGCGTAAGGTACGACCAGCGAATCCCCGCCGGTGTATGGATGTTTTTGCCAATTATTCACGTTTTGCCAATTAGCGGTATCTCCTGTCCGTGGTCCTAAGGCAGTGGGAACTGGATAACCAGTTTTCCAGATGTCTGTAAAAGTCAGCCACTTTCATCATATAGCAAGAGGAACAGATACATACTGTAGAGAATTTCTCTGCTAGGTCTTCCATCTCATCGAAACTAATCGACTGGACGATAGGCTTGACAACACCTCTTCGCACAAACTCCAGAGCCTCGAGCGTTTCGGTCCTTGTTCCTACCAACGTTCCAAGTAGCTTGATCCCTCGATCTATAAGAGTCAGAGGATGCAGGCTCATTGCTTGATCCGGAGGTGGTATCCCGACGCAAACGAGAGTACCAAAGACAGCAATAAGATCAAGGGCATTTTGATACGCCCTGCCTGATCCTGCTGTGACGATGACTGCTTTCGCACCGGCTTCATTGGGAGTCAACTTCTTCAACTTTGCTGGTGTATCAGGACTTGACCCGTCGAAGTATGCGTCAGCGCCCATCCTCATACAGAATTCCTCTGCGGGTCCAACGTCAACTGTTGCCACTCGGTACCCCATAGCTTTGGCATACTGTATTCCAAGACCACCTACTCCACCACCTGCACCGACTATAGCAATCCATTCTCCCGGCGTGGCTTCGCAGGCTTTCAAGGCCTTGTATGCAGTGACGCCTCCACATAGTATGGGCGCCACAAATTCGTCTGGTAGGTCTTGGTCGTCTGGAAGAGCCAGAACATACCTACTGGGAACAAGGCAATGCTCAGCGAATGTACCGTCCCACTTCCGTCCCGAGTTTTGCTGCTCTAAGCAACGGACTTCACCGCCGGGTTGGCGACAGCAGGAACATTGTCCGCAGACATCTCGTACCCAAGCAACCCCAACGCGATCGCCCACTTTGACGGTGGATGGATCTACACCAGAGCCAATTTGAACGACGCGACCTACTCCTTCGTGGCCGAGTATGTCGCGACATGGGCCTAGGTAGCCACCCGCGAGGGCCATGTCTGTACCGCAAACGCCAGTAGCTGACAGTTTAATGAGAATTTCCCATGGTTGTGGCTTGGGGACTGGGACATCTTGGACCTGGAATTTGAAGCCTGTCTCAGAGCGCTACAGGTTGTTAGTTCTTGTGCGCGACCGGGAGCACGGGGTGGCTTACCGTCACGACGGCAGCTCGGTGATGGCTCTCCATGGTGTGTCCCGTTCTCAAATTGATGTCGAAGCAGAGTATCTGAAAGTCTAGAAAGAAATATCAAGGTAGAGAAAACTGATTATTGAATTGAGCAAGGCTACTATAATGTATCCGATACATCGGGAAGTCCATCAACTTAAAATGCTATCAATCCCTGTCGTCTCCGAACTACCGCACCCTTGGAGAGGAATGCCGAGGAATGAGAATATTGCGGGGTCAAAGGCCGTTTGCCTACTAAGATCACCAGAATGCCGAGAGTCTGCGGGGTCGAACCAATCTTGTTGCACCGATGACTCCGGCATCATCGTCAATTGTTCTCTTGGCCAATCGCTACTATCTAGCGAGGTTCCATTGGTGTTCTGGTTGCAACGAGACAGCTTGCTCACAGTGTCGATTGTGCTCATATAGTTAGTTGGAAAGCTGCAAAACAACAAGCGGGTTTAGCTCAGTTGGGAGAGCGTCAGACTGAAGCCAAACTTCAATCATCATTAATTGATATCTGAAGGTCATGTGTTCGATCCACATAAACCGCATGTTTTTTTTTAGACTTGGATTCAATGGGGACATCCTCGGCTAGAAACCTCTATTTTTAGTGTCTACAGCCGAGACGGAGGGTTTGTGGTGGGACTACCCTATATAAAAGAATACAGACGATGTAGGAATATAGACTCTAGTGTTCTAATGTTAAATAATAACAAAGTCAGACGGCAATTTATTTAATAAGAATCGCTAGCAGTTTTATATTTAATCAGTTCCCATTTTAGTGATGATGATTGTCTTATATCTTTTCTTAAATGAAGATAATCAAATTAGATGTAGGTTCCATCGACAGCAATAGTAATCTTACCTCTCACTATAGTCATGGATCTCAAGTAAATAAACATCTTTCAAAACTCATTCTTAGTAGAGACATAAGCATGCTACTCTCTGTATATCCCTCTATACTTGTCGAAACACTAATTATTTATCTGTATATCTAGTTCTTTTGCGTCTCTGTTAATCTGATTATCCGAAAGGATACGCGTTGAGAGTGGTACCTCGGTCACTTTCTAAGCCATGACATCATGCTCTTAACCCCTGTTCACTGACTGGAATGAGTCGCGCCGCGCTCGCGTTTTTCATCCAGTACTCAACAGCGTCTAACCACTATCCATGCCCGCCAATCAGTTTTTGTTTGTCCTACGCAACTTCAAAAGTTACTTGTAACTCTCTCATGGATTATGCAAACACGTAATAGATACTAACTTCATCGACCTGCATCGAGCGCGCATTGACATCGTCCCAACTCAGGGCTGAAGGTCATGGCGGTCTGTCACCATGACGCAGCTTACTGAGACCTGTGGCTAGCTGGTCGAAAGATTGTTGGCTGGAGCTGAGACATACAGCCTTGTGAAAATGATGAGCGACTTTCAGTGGATGCTTGATTCCAGCCTTTATCTTGCTGCCCCTCATTTCCGCAGTAGATCTGCTTCAGCTGCTTACTTGCCGATGATCTAACCACAATCATTAAAAAATGGATGTTTCTAGCAAATATTGCGTCAATAACAGCACTCTGGTTGTCCAATGGCCGAGCAAATTTTGAATAACTTCTGTACCAAGACTCGAGAGGGGTTTTTCTTGTCCAACCATTCTGGAACGAGGTGCTGGTGTATCGTCTACGTAGCTGAGACAGTAACATCCATACTGGATAGGAATTTGGCGGTCAGTTGTCCTCCATTGACCATTGGACAATGGTTCCTGAATCAGAGTAACAACAATCATTGCCGTACCTGACAGAAACCCGAATAATTGAAGCCATGATGCACAACACCAGACTCGGCAATTGGATCCTCCCGCAGTGGGACCTTTGATCGTCTCTCGTAGACCAACAGGGTTGTAGCTTATCATTGCACATCCTATGCCGTGTCTCAGTGCTTCTGCGCGAGTAACCACAATTGAGATGAATGGCCCCATTGGAATGCCACTGCGTAACACAGAAGAGGGGTTGTGATGTAGGTCAAAGCGGACAACATGATGTATGTACAACAATTATTGGTTCAAGTCAGCATCTTCTTCAATAGACCAAGTCACCTGCGTTCAAGTATAAAAGAGTCACCTATCTCTCGAAAATCTTAACTCCATCATCATCTTTCAACTCTATCATTACAAGACTTTACCAAAAACATTACCTCTACACAATCAAAATGGGCAGACTTAACAACGGCGACTGGCTCCTCGTTGGAAACAGCATCTGGAGCGATGACGGCGAGACAGAGTTCCGCATGCAAGACGATGGCAAGGTCGCTGTCTACCATGGCGAAGAATGCGCCTGGCAGAACACCCCCGAACAGAACTGGCAAGTTCACGGAATCAAGATGCAAGAAGATGGCAACCTAGTCATTTAGTAAGTCATGCAACATATTTCGGTGCAGAATGGTGACTAACAAACTTTCACAGCGACAACTCTGGTACTGGACATGCCATCTGGCACACAGACACTGCTGCCGGCAAGGGCAACAAGTCTACAACTCTTGTGGTGCAGGATGACGGTAACGTTGTGTTGTACAATGAGGGTGGTGATCCTATCTGGCACACTGCTAGCAACAAGTAGAATTATCATCAAGGAAATGAAGAGGGTTCTGCGAAGCTTCCAAGTATGGTATAGCTACAGAATACAGGAATAAAAAATAAACAAAACTCCCACATGTTGATCCCACAGTGACTCGGAAACGCGGTAGTGATACGCAGCAGTTGGCCTGATCTTCTGCTGTGGAGTAAGACTCAGCTGATGCAGCTGTTCTACCATGAGAGGATTGATGAGGACAATCAAGACACTGGTGGTTTCCATCGTAGCGCAAAGTATGCATGGGCTTGCAGAACGGGTCACTGCTTGGACTCGGAAAATAGTAAGCTACAAGCGCCGGGCGTTACCGGGAGTTATACTTAGCTGGACACATGGCTATATACATCTATGTTTCAAGATAGCCCTGGAACCTATCCGGCCTGATTTGGATGATAGTAAGTAAAGTGATTAGTGCTAGACAGAAGCTATAGTGCTGGGATAATACCTTCCCCATCCACGTGGCCACTATTTCTTGGCGAATTTATCATCTCGCCAAAACGAAAAGAGATGCTCATGATAGTGTTTTCCCAATAGCACAACAGCAGTGCGATCACTATAATCGTAAATCCAAAGCTCAAACCTTATCCTAAGGCAAGATGGCCGAGCGGTCTAAGGCGCTGTGTTCAGGTTCGATTCGAACTAGTAACGATTCGCAGTCTCGAAAGGGGCCTGGGTTCGAATCCCAGTCTTGTCAACTTTCTTTTTGCATCTCTAAGTTCTGCCTCATTGGCGTCTCTATATCACTGATGATCTTTTTTTGGAGAATTGGTGATGTTACTGCCTACCATGTAGCCAGACATGCCATGTCTTTGGGTACGGCGAATGAATATTAACTTTAAATACATAGCGTTGATAATTTGAGTAACAATCCATGGCGATATCGTCACTAACACAATAAAACTGTTAATTGGCAAGACCATTGAGTAAAATAGATCTAGTTACAAAATAAACAATCGGTGGCTTTTAAACGTCTGTAATGTTGCCTGCATATTCGCTTACGCCGGACCCGAATGCGAAGACTAACTCAGTAGAGTCAGCCACTTTTAAAAATAGTAACCCCATTCATCAAAAGAACCACATTGTGCCGATAAACCGTAACAACATCAGAACAAAAAAAAGCCACGTAACGTGGTGATGAAGCCCGGAAAACGGCATCGTCGAGTGGAACCCTCTAGGTACAGATGTCAGTGGATCTCTTAATTGCTCCGCCTCTTTCAAAGGATCTCGTCAAATTTCCCCAGATTGTTCCAGACTTTAGACCCCTTATTATTTACGGTTGAGCCACTGACGTACACGCACCAAATGGGAATTGGGCGAGTTGATCTACGGTGCGCCCAATCCCGGAGAGTTCCATTCGGGATGACACCCGCACTAAAACTTGGCTGTCTGCCATTCAACCGAGAATTATCTGACTCGCTCGTATTCTGACATTGGCAAGGCTGGAATGAATTGTAACATTGAACATTTTTGTAGTTTGTAATTGTGATTTTATGCTATACGTTACGTTGTATGCCAGCCACAGGAATAAGGTAATAGATGCCAAACTCTGGGCTCCATTCGACAACTGTAAATATGATACATAAACTTCCTCTTCAAGCTTTGGAGTTTTCATATCATCCAGCACCTTCACTCTCTTTCACATTTCTCCTTTGTCGCTATACTATCATTCGTTACCGTCATCATGACAAGAGTAGACCACCAACCTCATCCCAAGATCCAAACCTTGGAGAACAACCCCATCTCACCTCTCCTTCCCCACGGCTCTCTCATCCTCGCATGCAGCATCATATGCGTAGCCCTCATCGCTAATTGTCTCGAACGATGGATTCTCCCACGCATATACAAGAGAATCTACCCAGCCCTCGAATTCCACGGCGATGAGCGACGTCGCCGCTCGTTTACTTATTTCCACATCGGCGCATTTATCCTCATCTCCATCTTAATATCTACTGGATATACTATGATGGACTTTCTGGTTGGCAAAGCCGTTCTCACTGAGCCTTTGGTAAAAGGTGGTAGGATCACGGTTGGTGATCACCTGTTGGTCGCGACGCAAGTTTACTGTGCGTACTATCTCTTTGAGATGTGCTTTCGTACCAAGTTTGCGAGCTATATCAGCATTGCGCATCATACCGGGTTACTCGTTATTTCGCAGATGGCGTTGAGTCTTTTCGCGAATACGAAAAAGAATCACGAAGCGACACTAGAATTTTACATGTGCATGGTCTGGGGTACGTAAATTTGTCCGCCTTTTCCCTTTTAAATGGCCTATCACTAACATATGTCTCCTAGGTACTTTCGACGTGGTAGTAGAGATACCCATCTTCATTTCCATGATTCTTTGGCGCGTAAAACGTGACAATCCTACATTCTTGTCTCGTATGGCATTTGGATGCTGCATTTGGGCGGTTGTGGCAGCCTTCACAGAAACCATCGTTACGATATATCTCCTACACAACTCTTGGGCGCAGTGGGGTATTGCGTGGAAGATCATCACCCCAGTTGTATTCTCGCTTTGGATCACCACACAATTATATGGCTCGACGCGCCTTTACTCGATGGGTCGCGCAGAATACCGCAAAATGAAGGGCAAGTCGGAGAGTCAGGAAAATCTGCCAGTTTGAGTTTCGGAAAGATCATTGTGTTTGGTCAAGCGTTTTGTTCTCATATAGAGGCGTTTTTGTTTAACTTCTAGAGTAGACAATGTGAGGCTCCCAAGAGCTAATTGTTACCATCACCGTGGTTCTCGTGTCTTGAAATGCGTTTATTTCCAGACTGTAAACGAATTGTGGCTGAGTCTGACTTGGTTCAAATGTTAGGGCTGAAGCCATGGCGGTGAGAGCTTAGAGTTCGAGAAGCGAGAGCAACATGTGTGCATACCTCGTGATACTCTGATCTCAACTTAGATAATGATCAGCTCCATAGCGTTCTTATCGCAAAGCTTTGGCCCAATAACCGAAGGAGCCTCTCTCCCTAGCCCTTCCTTCCACGGCTTGACACTCTCGGTAAACCCAATCCTAGTCAAGTGATACCTCTCATCCAGAGTGCAGATCAAACAAGCCCCTGGATATGGATCTTCACCTTCGGGTTGAATCTCAGAGAGCATCACAACCTTGACATCAATACCCTCCCGCACTGGATCTTGCATAACTTGACTTTCATCCAGCCAGACAAGATCAGATGTCTCTCCACCCTCAAGCATGAGAAATGCACACCTCTCCTTTGGAGGATCAACACTGTATCCGGCGCCGAATTCTGCTTGATGGTAATTACTAAAGTCGTGACCGCAATTTGGAAAGACTGTTCCACGCGCGAACTTTGCTTTAATCTGGATGTAGGCGTTGGTACATCGCCCAAAGAAAGTCCCATCTGGAGCTGAAGCTTGCCATGCAACAGGCTCAGCTACAATCTTATCATCGTCCATCCCAACAAGGCTGTAACTTCCGAAGTCAACGACTGAATCTTGGCTGGCCCAAGACCAAGAAGGTGCACGGTACTTGGGAGCTTTCTGACCAGGGCCGCCGCGTTTCCAACAGAGACTTTTGACAAGCTCATCATCATCATCTCCCCAGTGACCGACCATGTAGCCCATCGGGTCGATGCTGTCGAGAGCTTTAGCTACGCCGCCAATAGCAACGAGCTTGTCCTCGCCGTATGTCAACGAGCGATGTGAGTAATCTCCTCCTACTAAATGAACATACCAGTACCGAAGTAGTTTCTTCAACTGTTTTTTCTTTTGCTCAGCATCCTTCGCTAACCTGACACAATGCGCTATCTTTGGAATGGTCAAGCCGCGACTCATCCAGAGGAGTTCATCCTCACTTTCCTGGATTCCGTGGTAGCACTCCCAATAAAGTTGATCAGAAGCATAATGGATGATGCGCGGTGAAAGAATACGCTCTTGCATGGTCCAGCCTCGGTCTCGCAGTGAACAGTGACCGAGAAGATCGCCCATATCTCGTAAGTTGGTGATCGATTCGTCGATTCTTGTCTTTTGGTTGGGAAATAGGTAAACTGAGCTTTCTTCGCCAGTGGCAAGCTTGTTACGGATTTTAATACTGTCTTCAGTGTTGAACATGGATGTCGACTTGCTGTTGTGCAGCCCTTCCTTGGCGTTTGGGCTGGAGTCCGCGGCAATGGTGACAATGGCGTTTTGGTAAGTGGTGGCCATCTTGAGAGCTTCTCTAGCCCAATCATCCGTGTCATCTTGCACGATGCAGAGGCTATCAATCCAGATCCATTTGAAACCGAGATCGCGAGTCAGCTTGACTGAATCCGATAATGTCCTTGGGAGGTCATCGATAGAGAAGCCTGATAGGCGCGACTCCAAGTTATTCGTTGTTGTTTGCCAAACTGCGTCCAAACTACCCCATCTGTAACTCAGTGCAATGTAGGGCGTGCACTGGTTTGTATCATCGACTAGTCTGAGGTTGATGGTTGATCCTGTATTAACCACTTCGACTAGCCTGGCTGCGCGTTCTTCGTTGGTGGCATTTCTATCTTGCGGAAAGTTTCGTTTCTGGTAGAGAGTATGGATGTCTCTGCATAATTGTATCCGTTGATCCTCTTTCTGCTCAAACGACCTGTCGGACGCAGCTGAATGCAGTAAGCCATTAAGACCATGTGTCTCTGCAAGGCCTTGTTCAAGTTCATGATCGGCAGCATGTGTACATTGTTCGAAACAGTCTTTGCTAATTAAGCATTTCTTCAACCACTTTAGTCCTTGGATGGTAGACTCCGAACTACAAGTGGTCTCGGGTATCAGCCGTGCAGTCTTGGCTCCCAATCTCTCCGCAGGATCTCCGTCCAATGTTCTCATCAAAAGCCAAGAAAATTCCTCGCCTTTGTTCGGGATTTGAGAGCCTACTTGCGAGACGACTATGGTTAGGCCCTGTTTGTTGTGGACATGACGCCAATAGAAGACGCGAGCCTGCAGGCTAGTGAGATACTCGATATTGTCGTCGAAACGGTTCAATTCGATGTTGCCTGTTGAGATCCACTTGATGGCATGACTGCACAGCTGACAAATAGCTGAAGACTCGTGGAGTCTTGCAAGATTGCTGTGTAAGGCGAAACCCTGTTCAGAAACGAGCTCCTCGATATTGAGCTTGGTACAGACTTTACAGAGTTGCGAGTTCATAATCGCAAATTGATCGGTGTTCAGTTGAGAGATGGTCAAACATTAGAATCATCAGAGGATTATACAACTGCAGATTTCTTGCGTCTGGACGGTGATGATGGCCATATATGGTAAGCGGATGCCTAGAGTACAATATGTGTTTATTCAGTTCCTCACAAAAGAAGGCGCAGTTGTGTGCATTCTAGTTTTTAGTAAGCTACAGCAGAAACGCCGACGCTAGTTTAGCACTGTCGCCAATCGTGGCAGTGCTACTAGGATATATATGGCCAATAGCATGCAAGTTATAGTTAGCTGCTGGCAAAACGCCACTATTACAATTCATGTAGCAGAATCGGGAGTTGAATGGCACAATTTTGTTCTACAAGTCGATTCGCCTTTTTATTCATTATATTAGCGTTCTATTATATCGATAACTTCTAATCATATTGTCATCAATGTGTAGCTAGAATACAGGAATACTCGCCCAATCCTCTCATAATTCTCTGCCTTCATTGGCGGAGGCGTTCAACGGTCTAGTCTAATCCACAGCTCTTTTACCGGAGAAGCCATGATATAGACTACATCGAAAGATAGGGCGAGGAATAAGAAGCCCGATAAATTACGCCCCTTCATATTGTACAGGCTGTAAGACAACATCTCATTAGGGCCAATCTAAACTCACAGGCGAATGTAAGACATGTCCTGATAGTCCGAGCGAGAACCGGGTCCAGCCAGCCACTTTAGCAGCCATCCGTAGGGGAAAGTGTGAGCTGGAATTGAGGCTCTCCCTTGCGTCCATAGCCCCTGCGGCCGAGTTTCTGGTTCGCCGACCAGGACTCAACTTGGCTTCAACCTTCTTGTCAATTTGAACTTCATTGTGTCAAGCACTAAAAGAAAGTGCGTGATATACTGGCTGATCGAACTGTAGAAATTGAACAAAAGTTAGAGACAACTTGTTTACACACCAATGATCGGTGATTGCCATCACAAGGAACCGTTGGTCGCTTGAGTCTATCCCTGGTTTTAATCTGTTGGTGGCTTCAGTTTGTGTTGAAACATGCATGCCTCAATCAATCAGCCACTGACCCCTGGCAACGTTTGGAAATTCTGGCCCAATCCACGACTTAGTTTCTCTAGATTTAAGAGTGATCCCCCCTTGATGTTGCACTAGATGGATTGTTGAGGTCTCCCATTCACTTCATCTTCTCAATATTTGCAAAAACCTACATTGTAGCTATGAAGTGGCAGCTACTTCTCGCCTTTGTTGGCACGGCGATCGCCCTGGAACCCATCGGAGAACCTGAACTTGTTGATGGAGTGTGGTGCTACACATATCTCTCATCCTACGTTGTCGCCGTTGGGGCAGAGACTACTGAAGGAGCTATTCCCATAGCACCAGCGTTGCCGTCAACTCAGCGTGGAATACTTCCGACGTATTTCACGAATCGATCAACTTCTGTGTTTCCATCAACATTTCAGGGCATCGTTGAACCATCTTCCATACTCGAATCAGCCCTCGATTCGCTTACTGAAGTATCTGAAATTGCCAGTGAATCCACCATTGCGATCGATTCATCTTTCTCGTCTGCTCTTCCTATTCCGACCGACGAGGAAGAGTTAGAACCAACAGTAACCGAGTCCACTATCGCTACACAAACCTCGGCCGAAGTTTCTGCTACTAGCTCCGAAGCTGTATCTGGCCAGAATGTGATCTTTCTTATATCTCCAAGGGTCAGTAATGAAAGGCGAGGCCTTGAAAAGAGAGCCAAGGGGGGGTTTGTCGGCAACGGAAACACCTCCAATGTCAGAATTTGCACAAATGCCGCTACATTTACACTGGCTGGAGGTCAGCTCTTGGATGATGGAAAGCCTGTCTACTACAATGGCGAGTCCTTCAAAGAATTAATCGGCCAAGAAGACCCACCAGACGGAGCTATTACCAGGGACTTCGCAAGTGTAGCTGGGAACCTTGTATTTGCCAACACAGCCTTGCCTGATGGTGAGGCTGAATTTTGTCAGGATCCCGACAGTGGTCAAGTGTTTATGATATTTGGGTCGAATCCATCAGGTTGTATCCCCATCATACTACGCGCCTATCAAGGTAAGTCAACCCTTCGTAATAGCAGGCCCAACTAACTTTTGCCAGTCGAGCAATGTCAAAACGGACGCATCATCGGGCTCGAGATGTCAAGCTCTGCCAGCATTGAGTCGACCCGAGTGTCTCTGATCCCCGATTCGACCACCACAGTGCTTCCGTCCTCCGTCTCCGAATTATCGTCTTCGATAGATGTCGGAGGTACTTCCGTATCCACTGCGCTGTCATTATCCACGGTTTCGTCCTCTACAACTATAACAACAATACACTCATTCGACAATGTCGTCTCTACAGCCACTTTGGACTCGTCATCCATAGAGCCTTCTTTTTATTTACCTACTTCATCTTCCGTGGCATCTACAGAACCCATTGAGTCATCTCTTTCCAGCACTTTATCCGAAGGGAGTTCCATAGACACCGAGACCATTGACTCTACGTTCTCTGTCGAATTACCATCAAGTCTGGATGCATCATCTACATACCTTCTATCCGCGTCTACAACGGACATTGCATCAACTGAGACCTTGTCCACAGAGTCGCCAACAGCAGAGCCATCAACCACAGAAGTATCAACGGAACCAACTGCACCCTTTCCGTCATATTCAACTTCTACTTCAGCTGAGATATCCACTACTGAGGCTGAAACCACCACAGCTGAGCCAACCACTACCACTGCTGACATGACAACTACAACTAGCTGCGACAGCATTACCCCCTTGACAACAGTAGTTTTGGCTAGCCCAACGCCTGTCTTTGATGACGGTCTTGACCATAACAACGACTATTTTGAGGTCAGCTTGCCTTGGGCTCCGAATAGATCAAGTGGTACTACTATAATTGTCAGCATTAATGGTGTTCTTTCAATTCCTAGCGACAATGGCGCATCCGGAGCTGCTGGAAACGAACCACTCAAGTCTTCCATCATCCCACCTTGGTCTCTCTTACCATACTGGGATGACTTCTATCTTGATCGAACCAAAGATCACACCATTGTCTATGAAGTGTTTCAAGGTCTATATGGCCGTCAAGTCAATTTTGAGTGGGTTATTGGAAAAAGAAACGAAGAAGGCATCTTTCATTTCGAAGCCATCTTGTTTGAGGATTACCCCGACGACATGGAATTCCACTACTACACGATACCGGACTCTGGTGGTAGTGCAACAGTCGGCTGGCAGAAACCGATAAACTCTGGATCTTTTGTTCAATACTCTTTCGATGAGGCTGGGAAAGTGACAGCCGGGCTCAAACTCAACTTGCACACATCTCATCGACAAGTATGGCCTAGTGGTTTTGACAACACTGAGTGTGGCAAGGGTGCCGATCGACAATAGAGTACTACTTTAATTTTTAAATGTTCAAAGTATATGACGGTGATATACTAGCCATAGCAAGTCATGGAATCGTTGAGCTTTGAATAACAGTAAACCATTTTGTGTAGTTGCGTGTAAAATGTTAGTATAGAGCGGTGATAGCAGCATCTGGGCCGAGCATGATGAAAAATATGATGTATTGCACTGGAGCGTCTCCGTTGGAGGCTTGGAAGTATTTAAGTCGTTAGTATGTGAACCATGAGAAATTCAACAACAAATAGATGTTGACAGAGCTTGTGATAAGCCTTCCATGCGTAGCTGGCAAAATGTAGAGTTTCACCATCGAATGGAGCAAGCGAACAATTATTTGAATAAAAAACCAACTACATCCCATTATACTTTCCTTATATATCCCATTGCTACTGGTGTGCTCTCAAGATCAATTTGAATAAACTTGACCATGTCTCCTTCGTGACCAAGAGCAATCACATTGCCTCTTACATCAATCCCTCCCATCTTGCTAGTCCGATACGACGGCGGGAGCCATAGCAGCTGCTCGCGTCCCTGGCAGATCCATTCGTCCACGACATATAAACATTGCGGTAAATCTTGCTCTCTTCTATCTTCAAAGCCTGCTTCGTTAGGTCTATCAGGGACAGGAATACGTCCCGTGTTTGTCACCAAGCATTGACCGCTGCTAGAAAAACGAAAATATCGAAAGATGTATGGGAACTGGAAATTGAATAACCATTAGGTTTGGCACGACGCAACATCCCATAATTGAATTGTTGAAGTTCCCCTGTGGCTTAACAAGAATGCTGCAAGCTTATTTGTTGTTGAAAAAGCTAACCCATTCACGATCTGTTGAGTACCAAGTACACACTTCTCACGTAAGGATTCTGTTTCCCACAGGGAAAATCCATAGTGTTGCTTATCAGCAACAGCAAACATATTTCCCGAAGCATGGAACTCGGGACTAGAAATTCCGGGTGGAGAGCAGATGATTTCTCCCGTTCCGGAATTTAGAATGACTCGGTCGTGACTGTATTCATAGTTGATTCCAAGAAGTTTACCGTTAAGACTAACCAATTGAGAGTGAAATTTGAGTATACTCTCCCCTGTATCACGCAGGTTCTGAAAACACATGCTACCCCGGGAACCTCGGTAGGCAAGTGTCTTCCCATCTGGCTGAAGGAAGGTTATTGAAGAATCGGTAGGTATTGGAGCTTCGGTACAACCGCCGATCGTTTTAATTAGCTTTGTTCGTGCGAAGCTAATGTCCCAAATTCCAATACTAGTACCATGGTTTACAACCATAAACCTGGAATTTTCCGAAAACGCAATCGATTGGATGTGCTTCCCAACATCAATTGTCTGCACTGACTCTTGGTTGATGTTCCAAAATGTCAGGTTTCCACTTTCTGAGCCTATTGCTATAAGTTGGCTGTCGGGCAAGAAAGAGAAGGCTACTGCAGCCTCTCCAGCCTCATCCATGTTGAGCAGTTGGCAGTTTGGGACGTTCCAAACCTGAAATTCCCCGTCTCGAGAGAGGGATGCCAATATTTCGTTGTTTACAGGCGAAAACTGAATCACGATTATGCCAGAATAGGAGAGGTCGACCTCTAGATCATTATGGGTCGCCTTCTCAAGATTTCTGACTCATACCGTCCCTTGCGAGTATCCAGATGCAATGTTCAAACCATCATATGAAAATGCAATAAAAATTGACTAATGCGGCTCTTGGAAGTAATAGAGTTCAGATCCAGTGACATATTCCCATATTCCGGTTGTGCAGTCTGCTGATGTTGCGGCAAGAAGATCACTCGCTGGGGAAAGACGATTAATCTAATATAGCCCGTGTGGCCTTGAAATACAAAAAGCTCTGGAACCCAGACTTCTGGGACCACAGGCCTGTTGGGAGTCCAGTCAGGAATAAGGTGTTCGAAATGTGTCCGCACCAAACTCGTAGAAGGACTAAAAAGTAGACCAGAGCAATAGATTTGCGATGGCACCCTCTCAATTACCCATCTGTTGCTTTGCGTAAACCGCTTAGCATCTTGCAGGAGTGCAGATAGGATAGGCCGAGGTGCGAGCTATCCAGGAAAGAATTAGTATTGAATTCGAATTAGTTGGAGTTGCAGTAACTTACCTTGATGAGATTCTGTAACTTATTAATGATTGGAATGATTGTAGGTGCCTCCTTGATAAGCGCCATAGCCTCCAGCGAGAATAAAAGGTTCTTTGCAAAAAATCTATAAACAAGCCCATAATTGGATGCCTCTGCAATATGATCTTGAGAAACTTTGACGATCTTGGCAAAATGTTCAGCCCAATGTCAACACGTATACTGCAGGTGAGGTGGAATGCTTGTTTCGATGAGTTTTGAGACAAGGTTCTGGCCGATGTCCTACTAGATGGGCAATAAATTAAAGGGTGGTAGAAGGAAGAAGAGATACGAGATGAGCAAAGTCAGATCTGGTTGCAACAAGCGGGGCTTTCAAAGCGGACGCAAGAAGCAACCAGCATGTAGTCAAATATCCAATAGCACAGTTGTCTCATCCACATATCCACACGATTTTTTAACAAGTAATTGGCTGATAAATATTGAAAATTCGAAACGGCTTGAATGGAATACAAAGTGTCACTAACACACTATCTGATGCCTCCTTTAAATTGGCCGACCCATTAGATCTAGCATTTCCCCCTCTTTTTCTCCGACATCACTACCACAAGGTGTGAAGAACTCATGTCAATGGCCCAGAATTACCCCAATATTTGCTTAATTGCGGCTAGGGAAAGTAACGCAGTCTGCTGCAAATGGCTAGGGGGAATAGCTATCCCAATCTGCTGATACTGGGCTCCAAGAAGGTGAATTAATTGACGTTGATCGATCATGTGTTTTCACAATCCAGAAACCCACCCCCTGTCCCTTTTCCAAGTGAAATGGGGGCTTTGGATAGCTGTCTCTAAACGGAATCCTTGTCATGTGGAGATTTCCATCCAGGTCGTCCCAAACTTGACTGAAAGGTTGTGATGCAATACCGTTCAGCCCAGAGCTCGTAATTCTCCCGTAGAAATCTTCTGGGAATGCGAAAATGCACTCAACAAGTGGCTTCGGCCGCGCTTTGACAAAAAATCGTAGCCTCTGGAGTATAGACTCATATACCGTACTTAGCGAAGAGTCGTACCACTGCTCTAATTTCTCGAATGAAATGCAAAGTTTCCGTAGTGATGGGAACTGTGCGGGCGACAAGATATCTAGAATAATACTGATCTCATCCAAATCCAACGAGTCGGGAAGAAGTTGTATGAAATCATCAAATACGGAATCGGCAACGGTTCCAAACTTGCTGGGCGGTTCTGGCAGCAAAGGCCATCTGACCTCAATAGAAGTCATAGAAGCAAGTCTTTGAGGAAGAAGAAGTTTCGCGATGTGAGATATCATGGCCTGACCAGTCATAATAATGGCATTAGTTGAATATAGAACGTCAATTCCTTCAGCATAACTATTCCAATCAGTCATGAAATATTTGAGAGCGGTGGTTTGATACTCACTTCTGACGACAGGAGAGAAGCCATCCAATAGCGCCCACCTTCTGTCGTACGGAATTACCAGATTTGCAATTGTCAGTCCAAGGGCCCAAATTACCTACTTCATCGGTCGCAGGAGCTAGAATCTGGCCTGGTAGCATGGGTCGACTGCAAACGCAGCTGAACCACCACCATTCTCCGATTGTCTTTGTACCTTCTGAACCACGATCATAATAGCGTCGATAAGCTAAGCTCATGTGTACACGTCGGTCTCCAAACGCCAAGCGCAAGATATCACGCCGAATATTAGGAGGAACTTTGAACCAAGGCGATGATTGATACAGTGCCAGGGGCTTTGCCGGCTTTTGGGCTCCATCGACTAGCTCATCGTCGCGAAATCCAAGTGGCGTAAGAGTTCGCGGCCGTGGATCAGGAATGAATGGCATTTCTTGAACATGATCCCTCCAATTTTGTAGGGAATCATCTGCGGGGGTTGATGATGGGGACCCTGGTGCATATGCTAGGCTGAGACTATTGGCTCTGCTACAAGCTGTGTATCTCTCTTCGTCCTCGAATGACGACTCTGGTGTTTCTGGTCCTGGGCTGGCGCGTGAAGTTGATTGCATATTGTTATTTGCAAAAACACATGAAGTTGATTGGAGAGAAGTTGTTATGGGTCAATAATTCAGCGTAATGTTTGTTGGGCCGTGCTATGTTTCAAGTCAATCACGTGATAACTAGTCATCCTTTTGTAATATCCCATAATAACTACAAACTTCAAGCCAATAAACGACAGTGCCATTTAGCTATAGATATACCGATAGTGTGCATTCAGTTCTATGTCACTGTCATTGTATGGTAACCGATGTCGGGTTCTGGCATTACAACCCCGCTTCTTGGTTACTTAATTGCCGGGACAGCATTCCGGCAATGATCGACAGCACCAGTCAGTGCGCAAGAACAGCATTTCGGCATGTCTCAGCTCTCAGCGGGGAACGAGAAAACTAGCATCAATTTAGTTGCAGATCATGGATTTGCGATGCAACGATTCCGATCAATTTCCCCAACAGCAGCTACTTAAAGACCCCCAACCCTCAGCGTCCGTCGACTTCATCATTTTACAAATTTGAACCTTGCTCGTCCTCGGACCCCCCTAACCATGAATCCTCGGCGGTCCAGTACGGCCAGTTTAAAGGACAACGAAGAGTCAAGGGACGCAGGAGAACACCATGCCATAGTACCGGCAGATTTAGATCGCCGGATCAAACGCAAAGTTGGTCGCCCCTTCCGTCCGAAGCACTACTTACTGATTGTCATTCTAGCTTGACCGTCGCGTTTTGCCCATTGTCTGTTGTCTTTATGTTTTGTCCTATCTTGACCGCGGCAACATAGGCAATGCCAAAACTGCTGGCGCCCAAGATTCCCTTGGTCTTAGCTCCTCACAATGGGCCTGGGTTCTGAACTCCTTCTACATCGCGTACATCCTGTTCGAATGGACAACCATGTTTTGGAAGATTTTCCCCGCTCACATTTACGTATCATGTCTGTGTATTTGGTAAGTCTCGTGTCTGCCTGGAGTTCTCTAGCTCACGTATTCTAGCTGGGGAACGGCCGCTATGTGCTCAGGTGCAGCGCACAACATGGCCGAATTAGTGGTTACACGCGTCTTTCTGGGTGTATTTGAGGCCACGTTTGGCGCTGGAGCTCCATACTTCTTGTCTTGTATCTACAAACGAAGCGAGCTGGGACTTCGAATGTCTATTCTTTTGGGCATGTCGCCATTAGCAAACACTTTTGCTTCCAGTCTGGCATATGGCATAACACATATCACTGGGTCCTTAGAGGCCTGGCGGTGGTTGTTTATTATAGGTAATTTATTCACACACTTCTCCGTACGACAGTGCTGACGTTTTATAGAGGGCGCTCCGACAATACTGTTTGCCCCAGTGGTCTATTTCTTCCTCATCGACTCACTATCGACAGCCAAGTTCTTCAATGAGGACGAAAGAAAACTCGCCGTTCAACGATTACAACTGCAAGACAACACATCGAAAGAATCTGTCAGCTGGAAGCAGATTATGGCAGGATTGATTGACTACAAGAACTACATCCACGCCATTATGCATTTTTGCTGTAACTTCTCATTCGCTGCTTTATCCAACTTCCTGCCCACCATTGTCAACCACATGGGTTACGATTCAGTCACTGCGCAAGGCCTCACAGCTCCAGCCTACTTCGCCGCCTTTCTTTGTTGCATCGCGGCTGCATTCTTCTCGGATAAGTACGGATGCCGTGGGTATATCGTAGCATCGTTTGCTGCAATGGGTACTGTTGGCTATGGTATTCTTGCCGGCGTACAGGATATGGACAAGACTGGTCCGAGATATGCCGGTGTATGGCTTGCTGCTTGTGGAATCTTTCCTGCTCTCGCCATGAATATCACTTGGCTTTTGAACAACCAGGGCGGAGACTCGAAGAAGGGAGCCGGACTTGCTATTTCTCTCACCATTGGACAATGTTCATCTCTCATCAGCAGTACCGTGTTTCCAAAAGAGGATGCGTAAGTTGGCTTATGTTCTGTTCATTCTGAAGCTGAAACTAATATCTTGTCAGTCCGTACTTTACTACAGGTTGCGCGATAGGTTGTGGTATGAGCGGGCTTGTAGTTGTCTTAGCATTATTCATGCATTTTGCGTTGAATAGAGAGAATAAGCGCAGGGATAGTCTGTACGGGCCTGTCGATGTCAACGCTGAGATTGATGTCTCTGAGCAGGGCGACAACAACCGGCAGTTTCGGTATATGACCTAGATTCTATTCAAGGATAAGTTCAAAGATAAAGGCATATCTCATTTACTCCCACCTTTGTGATGGCCGGAGATAAGACTGGCGTTTCATTGGTAAATCCGTAGGAACAACCAATAGCGCTGTTCCACTGTCAGGTCAGATCTCACGTCGCATGAAGTGGCGCCTGTCGATCCGTTGTTAATGGCAAAGTCCGAAAACGTGGGGATGAGGATACTCAGTCTTATTGGACAGCCAGAATTGAAAGAATGATATAAATAATGAAGTATCACTTGACATTTGACGACCGCCGAATTTACCTACTCTTTCGCTCGCACTTTATCACCTTAACTACCAGTGATGTCAACCCCAAGCCAGAGCAACGCACAGCAGGTCAGAGACTTTGTCTCGACCACACATGACAAACCATACCCAGCTATAGACCCTGAGAAGTCGCCGTTGCCTGAGGGTTATGTCGTTTGTATTATTGGAGCCGGAGGTGCTGCTGGTGCAGCACTAGCCAGGTCATTCGCCACAGCCGGAGCATCAGGCATCATCATCGCAGCACGAACACAAGCAACCCTGGAAAAAACAGCTGGGGACGTCTTTTCTATCAACAGCTCGACAAAGGTTGTCTCGGTCACATGCGACATCAGTTCAGAAGCCGATGTGGTCAAGTTAGCCACCGCCGTGAAAGAACAATTCAACGGAAAGCTTGACGCAGTCATCGTCAATTGTGGATTTTCCGGTCCATTGTCCAAAGCTACAGTTATTGAAGAAGACGTTGGTGACGTTCGAAAAGCATTTGCTGTTCACTGCACGGGTACCTGGCTTGCCGCCCATCACTTGCTTCCTTTTCTCCTGGAGAGCAAGGGCAGTTTCATTGTGATTAGTTCGATCTCCGCACAGGGAATCAGTGGCTTTGGAACAACGTCTCATTACTGCACAAGCAAACTCGCACAAGCTCGTATGATCGAAATTATTCATGCCCAATACGCCGACAAAGGCCTCTTTGTCGCCAATGTACACCCTGGGGGGATGAAGAGTGAATTTTCACTTGCTGCATCAAAGGACATTCAGCACTGTGAGTATCAGCTGTCTGTTTCTAATTATTTAGCTAATCTAGCACAGTGCTGAACGATAGTCCTGATCTTGTGGGCTGTTTCTGTGTATGGCTACTTAACTCCGATGGTGTACAGAGGCGTAAAGAAGCTCTGAATGGGAGATGGTTGTCTTGTAAATGGGATGTTGCGGAGTTGGAAGACAGATACGAAACTATTCAACAGCGTGATTTACTTAGATTCAGGATGGCTGTTGAATAGTGTGGCACAAGGTGATATAAGCGATTGATATTCGAAACCGCATAAAATGGTCTAATGATCTTATTTATTAGGAAATTGCGATACACGTGTTCTGTCCAAAACATTTATCTATACGCTCAAGTTTGACTAGTCACTTAGAATGTATCCAGGAGTAGAAGCCTCCTCTCCTTGGCTTCCATCTTCGACAAAGCCTCAGCCTCTGCTTTCTTCAGCGCAATGAACCACTCAACATACTCCCGACCTAAAACACAGATTGCCCAGTCCATATCACTTTCAAGCTCTTTCAGTGCTTCTTCGAGTGAACTGGGAAGGGATTTTGTCAACCCCATCTTTTGTCTCTCCTCTTCTGAGTAGAACAGGGTGAATTCTACGCTGTTGTCAGTAACAATTTCACAATACTATCTTGGAACTTACTAGTAGCTCTTTCGATTGTCAAAGGCTTTGAGTCGAGTAGGGCACCGATGATTCCAGCAACCATGGCGTACGAGTTCGAGGTAGCGTCATTTATCCGAACCTCCCAATGATTCTTGTCAGCTCTTCTGACTGGCATATCTCGATTATTATCGCCCCAACCGACAAAGCCTCCAGTACACATTTTTCCAACACCCACTCTTTCGTAAGAGTCGATTTGTGCCATCCCAATCGCCGTAAGTGCCGGAATGTGGCTTAACAACCCGGACATGGCTGTATCGGGATTCCAGGATTTATCCTTGATCGCGGGAGTTGCAGAAATATGGATGTGTTGCCCGCTCTTCTGGCCTGTTTCTCCAGCATAAGGTGTTGGATAGAATGTAGCCGTTAGGTGAGCTTTGTGCGCGATATTCTTGATGACCTCCATAGTATAGATGTATGCATCGACGGCCTCAACGGGAGGTAGTGGTGACAGTGCGACTTCGTAGGCCGAGGCTCCATATTCTTTTACAGCCTGTTCAACCCGGATTCCAGCCTCATCCAAGGCTGCGATGATGTCGGTTAGTAGAGGCCAAGCCTTGGATCGAAGTATCTTTGATGAATGCGCGACGCCTGTGCTTCCTTTCTCTGCAGGATCTAGGGTCCCTGGGACCAGAAGGCAGAACTCCAATTCCATACCGACCAAGAATTCTAACCCACGATTTACTTTAGTCTTTTCGACCAGACCCTTCAGAATGTGCCTCGCATCCGTATTCTGAAACTCGACGTGACCAAAACAGACAGCAGCATGATATCCACGGGTACTGTGGTTTGCAAGCTTCAGTGAAGAGACGTCTGGCCAGATCTTACCAGAGTCTACGAAGAATGGCATAATCTTTGGAATGAATTCTGCAGTCGTGGTGACGCATGTGTCGAGCGGTGCGCAGTTGAGATATTCATTGGATTCGGTAATCTTCTTGAACGTCGAGGCAGGGACCAGTCTTGTTCTCAAAACGCCACAAATATCAACCCATTGTAAAATGACAATTTTGACTGTGTGATTCTTAAACCAGAAGTCATTTTGGTTCTTCGAAGTGGTGCTGGAACCAATACGTTTTGAAAGCATGGTGGTAATGAAGCAGAGCCAGCAATAGAGTGATGAGGGAATGTACAAGTGCTGAGGATGGGACCTCGGGGCTATGCTGAATTTTATGCGCCCGATGAAAGGCACATTAAATTTCCAGTAAATCCTTCTAGTGGCGATTGCTGACCAAAGTAAGTCTGCGCATAAAGGATTGAGTCTCATCATCAAGCAAGTCTACCAAAATAAGCGCTAAAATATTGTGGTCAGACAGGATCGAATTTTGATAGGAGGATAAGAATACAGGGTCAGATTCGATGACCGAAAGAAGAAAATCAGAAAAGAAGACTGCATTTAAAAGGCAGGTGTTTTGAGGTTCGGTGATTTGCTGTCATTGTTCGACAAGTGAGCAAGCTGCATAATCATAACGTTGCCGTCAACACATCCTTCATGTAAGAACATTTTGAGGATGAATCTTAACAGCACATGTCGCAAAGAAATGCTAGAGTATTTTATTCTTCCTTTTCATGTATACGTGATCAGGTTACTGAATGTGGGAATATCTTTGTGATCAACTCGCTCATATTGACCGTTGGGATAACCCGACATAAGGTACTCGCAGAATGGCAACCTAATAGCATTATTAATTGCTCACTAGACACTTCTATTGTAAGGCCAGTGGTTCGGTATCATCTATTCGACATTTGCACGGAGAGATTGAAAGCTGTCTTTTTGATGCAACAAAGCGCTATGCATGTTCACGGACAAAGAGCTGAATGGGTCAGAAGAATGTGCATACAAAAAACACTGCTAATGCATTGAACACTGCATTTGGGTCAAGTGAACGGTAGAAGGACAAAGACACCAACCAATACGTGTTCAAAAACAATCGTGTTCTCCGACTTTCACATGTTCTAGTACAATATAAATAATTTCCGATACACACATGAATTCTGAAATAAACCATCACACTCATCAGCAGTCTGGCATCCAGTCTAACATTTCAGCAACACCTCTATTCACACCTCTGAGAAATCCGTAAGAAACTGTCAAGATGTATCCCACTTCTATTCCCACTTCTCCTCGCCCTTCCCCTCCCCCTTCCCCTCCCTCTTCTCCCCCTGTTTCTCCCATCAAGAACAAGCAGGTCTACTTCCTCTCAGCTGACCCTGCCGATCCGAATATTCATATTCATGAATGTGGTAAGTATGGCACTTGCAACCAGCGCAGTTGCACTGGGTGCAATGGTGATGTTTACTGCATTACCAGCCAGCAGTGCTACAAGTGCTACTGCGAGTGCAAAGTCTAAGTGGAGACTGTACTCTGATCAGAGATCACATCTCTGGTCGAAGATGGTGGGGTAGGTGGTTTGTTGGAGTCTGCCCAAGGGCAGCCCTTGATTTAGTATTGACCTTTGACAGAAATTTCACATGGGCTGGTCCTGTGGGGTTTTCGGTTAACTGATACTGATTGCGTTCTTTTCTGTTTTTCTACTTCTTGTTTTGAGATGATTGGAGTTTTACTAGGGAGTATTATCCTGGGATTTCCGCGGTGACTAGTTGCGAAAAAGAATATACTCATTCCCCAACTTATATATCCATGCATTGTCAATGAGTTTTTGTATACCCAACTTCTCCTTCAGCTCCTGAAGATCGACTTGAATAAGGTTGTACCCATTTTAAACTGCCGGAAGACCCCTCGCCCGTAGACAGTTTTATGCTGAGATCTTCTACTCGCGTATTCTGCGGGGCCCACTTAAGCTCCGACCCCGTAGATATTGTATATTTATGCACCGGATGCTGTCAGTTCCATGGTGAGATCCACTAGAGCGCGAAATACTGATCAAGACTGTTCGTCCAGTGGGCAGTGTAAGGTGAACTTTCGGGACGGACACTTGCATCAACCCGGACAGTTGGTAAAGAAAATAGATACTGAAAATCCCGCGGACTATCCGTTGGAGAATTAAGCTTATCTTGACTGACGTCGATAAGGTGATTACTATGCTTAAATATATAAGAGTAAAATTATTGCCAAAGAGATCTAATCCATTCTAAGTGTTATAAGTTAAAGATTCATCTTAAGTCTACACTTGCCTGCAAACTATCACAAACTATCTCTTCCCTACATTTCTCAATCGAGTCCCGTTTACAGAACGCAATGACTACCAACGTGCAGAAGTACGCCGAGGAGCGAAACAAACGCCTTCGGCCAGAGGGAACGGCCCAATACATCAATCTCGCCGACTCTGAGCTCCAAAAACTTGTTGCTGATCCTTGGGTGGACTACGAGGCCCTCGCTCGCCAAGACCAACCCCTTCAAGATGGTGACAGCACGAAATTCCTCGTTGTCGGCGCTGGCATCAACGGCATAACGTATGCTGCTCGCCTTATTGAAGCTGGCTTTAGCCCCCAGGATATTGTGTTTGTCGACACTGCCGGCGGGTATGGAGGTACCTGGTACTGGAACCGTTACCCAGGACTGATGTGTGATGTTGAAGGATATTGCTACCTGCCGCTACTGGATGAGACTGGCTATATGCCAAAGCACAAGTACTCTTTTGGGGCTGAGATCAGGGGCCAGTTAGAACGTATTGCAACTCAATACGGATTCCGGGCTATGTTCTCGACCAAAGTGGACAGTCATGTCTGGGATGAAACCAAGGGCCGTTGGATCTTGGAGATGACGCAATCTTTTGGCGAAGTCCAGTCCCCGAAGCATATTACGGTACAGACTCAGTTCCTCTTCATTTGTGGCGGCGTACTCGCCATTCCTAAAGCCCCAGCGCTGCCAGGACTTGCCGAATTCGGTGCTCGAAATGAAATCTTTCACACCTCTCGATGGAACTACACCATTACTGGTGGTAGCCAGGATCAGCCCGACCTCGTTAACCTGAAAGACAAACGAGTGGCTATCATCGGAACCGGAGCCACATCGGTCCAGGCCGTACCCCATCTCGCGAAATGGGCAAAGCACCTTTACGTTATTCAGAGAACTCCCTCATACTGCGGGGAGCGATCTCAGCACGAAACGACGCCTGAGACTTGGGCCAAGGTGACGGAATCGGGTCCAGGATGGCAGCGTCGTCGGATGACGAACTTGAACAGCTTTATGTCTGCAGATCCGGAGCCTGTAGACCTCGTCAACGACGGCTGGTCCAGGAACCAAGCTAGAGCCGGCCTGATTGGTAGCTCCTCAAAGCTGATGGAGCAAGCCGCGACAAGGGGCCACATCGATGGGCTCCTGAGGATGGATGAACCCATTGCTAATGAGCTTCGTGCTCGTATCGACAGCGAGGTCCAGGACCCTAGCACGGCTGAGAAGTTGAAGCCATGGTATCCTGGGTGGTGCAAACGACCAACTTTTAACGACGATTATCTTTCCACCTTCAATCGTACCAACGTGACCCTTGTGGACACAGATGGCAAGGGAATTGATCGCTACACAGAGCGCGGCATCGTCGTGGGTGGCCATGAGCTAGAAGTTGACGTCCTCGTGCTCGCTACTGGTTTCACTGTTGCAAACCAGTTGCTCCCTGAGGACAATATCAAAGCCAGTATAATCGGTCGTGACGGACGTCACATAAGAGAGAAATGGACCTCGCCTGATCTTGCAACCCTCTTCGGTGTAGCTACCAACGGTTTTCCTAACCTTTTCAGTCGCTTCGGTCCTGGTGGTCCAGCCTCGTATAACATGACATCTGGTTACGATATTACTGGACGATTAATTGCACACATCATTGCGCATGCGACAAAAGAATCCAGCCAGCCTCAACGTCTAGTGATTGAGGCTTGTAGGAAAGACGAGGAAAAGTGGATAGGCGAAGTTGCAAAGCGTGCAGCGTGGTTCTCTGCTTTGTCCATCTGCACACCGTCTTACTTCAACGCTGAAGGGGGAAAAGTGCCAACAACACCTGAGCAGGCGTACCAGAAGAGCTTGAAGGCTAGCTGGGGATCAGGGATTAACGACTATGAGCGTATTACTGATGAGTATGCTAAGCGCACTAGTAATCAACTTGAAGGTTTTATGGTCAGGGAGGTGTGAGCTCTGTAGGGAAGAGTGAGAGAAGGGTGTTAGCGCAAGGGAGAAATTGATTGTTGAGACTGGTGTTAAGGTGCTTGCTAGTGAGAGAGTAGATGGCATAAAATATAAGAAATTCTTCCAAAGGCTTTTTTTTTATTCTGTTAACTTCCGCCCAAACCTCCTCATTTTCTTTAGCATTGTCAACAAAGGCTTACGGTCCGCGCTAATCAAATTTTCAACGAATCTTCAAATCAAAGATTTTCTCCAGAGAATAAAAATCATCATGATCATGAGGAGCTTTTGTACATCTATTGTTTAATCATCGTTTCAGCCTCCATAGCTTTTATTCTCAATAGAGCCCTTACTCTTCTTTAGGGTATCTCACTTGCGGGTGCTCAGACAGCGAAGATCCACTAAGCCAAATTCGTTGTCAGCGATTGCTACGTCAATTAACTATGCGACTAACAAAGAGGCGGAGTCGCGATAAAAGAGTGGCTGTCCATTGTCCTGTAGGGCTGTTTAATTAAATGAACAGTATTGCAAATGCTATGCTAGCTGACTACAGAAGCGGTGAGAGAAGAATTTATCCTTCTGATAGCCCATTTATTGTGGCTGGATGCGCTGCTCCGCCATGCTTACAGGGCCAAGGGGTTAAGGGCCGAACCACAATAAAACCTGTCCCAATTGTCGCGAGAACAATGCAAGAAAGTTATACTATCGCTCGCTACTCGGTAAAGCATGCGATAATGATGCTTAAGCCTAACTAGTACTTCGTATTGTTGGACATGAGTATTATCTTGAACGTCCTGACCAATTGAATCACCATTTGCAAAATACCCTAACAGAACAGTTTAGTCCCTATACTAGTATCTCACCAACTAATCTTACAAGATCCACTGTAAGATAGTGGACTCGCTGGGCTGACTGTCCACTAAGTGGTAAAAGCTTTGGAGAAAATATGGATTACTGGGGTTTGTCTGACAAGATGACGCTCAGGAGGATTCAATGAGGCTGTGAGACGAGACGATATTTTAAGAAATATACTGGGTAGTAGAAAATTCTCCATTGTTAATATGAAGTGTCGTGTCTTCGCTGATTGAGAAAAAAACAAAGCGATTACTCTTGACTTTCTAGATCGCCAATAACAATTTTCCAATACCACATCTAAGATACATCATAGATATTATCCAATATGGCTTCACGTCGCCCTGATCTAGCCCAATACCCCACCGGCTTCACAATTCTCCGCATCTTTCAAGCCGTTCTCAGCATCATCACCATCGTGGTGACATCCTTCACAATAAACGCCGTCGTTCTCCCAGCAAACTGTTTATTGATCGTTGCTGTACGTTCACGATAACTACAGAACTAGTGAACATTACTGACGACTTAACAGAGTTCAGCAACCCTTCTTGTTTCACTATGGGGCGCCTTTGCCCATCTATCATTCAGTCGTCTTTTTAGCTTCCGAGCAGCTTTCGTTCTTGATGGAGCCCTTACTATTCTCTGGGCTGTCTCAATTGCTGTTTTGGGCGCTCAGACAGCTATTATTTGGATCCATGGGTCTGATTACTGTGAGACAAACAAGTGTCCTGATAACCTGATGGTTGTGAGTCGCTTTTATGCATATGTCTTTGCCGTCTGTTTTGGCCTTGCCGCCATTGGTTTGTAAGTGAAAATGTTGCTTTGGTACGGATATAGGCTAACATGTTACAGAATATTCTCTTGCGCGACTGTTATATTCCATGGCGTGATCAGTTGTCGCCAGCACAAGTACAATCAGATTGGCACGAATAAGGAAGCCGAGCCAATTGACGTTGGTCCAAAGCATCCTCAAGATTCGACTGCTTATCAGGGAGCGGCAGGATATCAGTCATTGGCGTAGTTTAGGGGAGCATGATGGAGTTTTACGTTAAATTGATACCCAAGTTATTTGTCACGATTGTTGTCCTTCTCTCATTTTGCCACTGCGCGCTCGCACATTATCGAACGATTTAACTGCACAATGATCCGGCGTAATTATCACTCAGCATAACAGAAGAGTCCGATTTTCCTTATTGGTAATCATTTAAAACTCAAGAAACATTGATTGCGTTCTGCTCTATCGGAGTATCCGACAAAAGTTAGCCAATCCCCGGGTCGGCGATGTCCCACTTTTTATCGGCGACCTAAACGCGGGCGTTAAACAAGACCCCGATTGTGATCGTCATAACTAGAGTTTAATTCCCGTACAGCGCGGACTTCGGTCACCAGAAATTAGAGTTATTCATTCGCTCATGCTTACGAGATAACTCTCAGGTGACTTCATACACATACCTTGATACCCGTGTAAAACATGTCCATCACCACTACTGTCAAAAGAACGTTGCTTTCTTGTGATAAAAGAATTGCGATATCTATTACAACCCCCTTTACTCCAAAAGCAAGACAAATTGAGAGAACTATCGCTTTTACAAAACCATCATCAGAAGTCAAGCTATCCAGACTAACACCATCGAGGCTGACATCCAAGTCCAACCATTTCACGCTATCGAGAAACTATCCTGCACAAAAGAAACCCACGTCCCGCGCCTACTTCGCAACGCACACAAGAATCATGTCGGAACCAACTATTCATCCTCTCTTTGAGACTGCCACAAGTACATGGCAATACATAGTTGCCGACCCCATCACCAAGCATGCAGTCATCATCGACCCTGTCTTGGATTATGACCCCGTCAAGATAGCTGTGTCAACCAGTTCTGCAGATGCGATCATAAAGATTGTGAAAGACGAGGGCTATCAGGTTGATATCATCCTCGAGACTCATGCTCACGCGGATCATCTCACTGCAGCATCATATATCCAGTCAGTCTTGGCCAAGAGTCAGGGTATGAAACCAGCTATTGGTATTGGAAGTCGTATCAAGCAAGTGCAGCACTTGTTCGGCGAGAAATATGGCATCCCAAGCAATGAATATGAGACAGTCTTCGACAAGCTGTGGGAGGATAACGACGAGTTTGCCATCGGTAATCTGACGGCCCGAACTGTCCACTTACCAGGACACACACCTGATCACATGGGTTATCAGATCGGCAGTAAGTCTTTCTCCTATTTACTCTACGTCCACAATGTTGACCATCTTCTAGATAACGTCTTCGTTGGCGATTCAATCTTCAATGTCGACGTAGGCTCCGCTCGCGCCGACTTTCCCGGTGGAAGTGCGGAAGATATCTTCAAATCAGGCCGCAAACTGCTCTCCCTTCCCGAAGACACCAAGATCTGGGTAGGCCATGACTACCCACCAGCAGGCCGCGACGCTCCGCTGCCCTTTGCTACTGTTGCGGAGCACAAAAAGAATAACAAGCATCTCAAGGATGGGACACAAGAGGATGAATTTGTTGAAATGAGAAGGAAACGTGATTCAACGTTGGCGGCGCCAAGACTGATCCATCCTTCGTTGCAGGTGAATATTAGGGGTGGACAGTTGCCTGCTCCGGATACTTCAGGATCGCGCATGTTTCACCTTCCCTTGGTCACCCCGACATGGTAAATGATCTTCATTATCGAGTCGTTGCTTCGTGTACAATGTAGCTAGCTATTTATTTAATTACTACTCTTTATTCTTCATATTCTTCATTAATGTGCCTTTTTCTAAACACCAGCCATTTGAGTATCTGTCTTTCATTTGTTTATTTTGGCACAGGCCTCCTCAGGTTCCTCTAAGTTTTCAACAAAGGTTAATCTGTTCGCGCAGATCAAATTATCAACAAATCTTCATATGTAAGGTTATCCCAGGTAGGTTTTCCAACCAAGGCGTGAATATCTGTCTTTCATGTACAAATCACAAAGGCGGAGACTTCTATATTTTGCTAGGTGTAACTAAATGATGCTTTGTATTTCCCAGTCGGTGAATAAATCTGGTAGAGGTCCAATACGTCAAGTTGATTCTCCAAAAGGTTATCCACATTGTCAGATTAACGCATTTCATTGTGTAAAATCTATCTCTATTCTCTATTATGGTAATTGTTTAAATGGTTTATATATATACATAAACAAAAATTCTATCACGGAAAAAATGCTCTGAACAGCACTCCGGCGCCAAACATGGATGCAATGGTGATGAAGGAGCTCACTCCCATACTCGCCATCCCACTGATCCCATGACCACTGGTGCACCCACCAGCAATACGCGCACCAAAAGTCAAAAGAACTCCTCCGATAATTAGACCTGGCAAAGATTGCTCCTGGCTGCTAACCATTGCCTCCCGAATAGCAGGGACTTGGGTGATGGTCAACCAAGAACCCGCCACAACTCCACCGGCGAATAGAATACTCTCGGGGATTGACTTGAGCGTCTTCCCACTGACCAAGTCCCAAAAGATATTTCCAAACTCTCCGTAGGCACCGCTGACACCAACTGGCTTGTTGGTGAAAAGGACAGAAGAAAGCTGTCCAACGCCGATAAGAAGGCCGCCGACAACCGGATGCAGTAATGTCTCACTACGCGGCGCGACAGCCAATATCGCAGCGAGGATACCAAGCAAGGTAATCTCGTACGCGATAAGGACTTTGTTCGCCGACCATCCGGTAATAAGCATAACGTTGTTATTCTCGGCGCCGCTCGTCGGCGACTGCGGCTTGGATACCAATGGCTTGACTTTGACCCAGGCGACCCCTGCAAGGAGAGAAGTGCAGGCGAGTAACCGGCTGTGTCCAACACCAGCCGTGGCTTGCACGAGAACAGTCCCAGGACATGCACCGGTTAAACTTATCCCCAGACCGAGTATAGCCCCGCCAATGATGTTGCCGTCGTAGGATCCGAGCCAGCCGTGATTGGAAGGTAGTTTGATGGGAATTTTGTCATCGGAGGATTTGTTCTTGTTGTAGGTTGTAAAGATGACAGCACTCGTGGCGGATGCAGTGATAAATGTGGCGAGCATGTGGAAGTCGGAGAGGCTGAACTGATCCCTGATGACTTGTGGGTTTGCAACGCCCGAGAGGGTAAGACCAGTGCCGAAAGCAGCCCCTGTCAATAAACTTGTTGTCATGATTGCTGATGTTTTTGTCTGACTCTAGAGCTGAACCTCAATGGACAGAAGCAAAGATTCAATGTTTTTAAAAGACATTTCAAACTATAAAATTCTAGCAAATTATTAATCAACTAGTTCATCGCTGTCTATAATAATTTCTAATTACCGCTTTTTTCCAGACGCCATGTGGAACCGAAACTCAAACCAGTCAATTCTTTAGTCCCCGACACCAACACAATTAGAGCCGCCACCATCAAGTCCGATATCCACAGTCCCCCGGATCAAGCGGAGAAGAACCCGGCCCGGTAGTCGGATACTAAATTAATGAGTTACCAGGCAGTTCCTTTAGTTTCCGAGTAGTAGCAGGATAAGGCAGTCTCGGAACATAGAATACCGTATCAACTTAGGGAATCGGGTAGTGTACGACACAACAGTCCTTACTCATCCAGGCCTCAAAAGTCCTATAAGAGGTCAGATTGGGCTTGTTCCTAACCCAATTTCATTAGTTAACGCGATATCGGTCGATATCTCCAATCATTGGATTCCACATCAAGTTCAGGAAAATGTAGACCACATGTCGAAACTCAACAGTTGACATTTCGGCCATGGTATGCGAGTGCAACAATTGGACCGCAGAATCGACCGTCCAACATTTCTCCTTAACGATGGGCGGGCGCTGTTCTTTTGAAGCTCTCCAAGTGACCTTTGATTCTATTTAGAGACTGCTGCCAAGAAGCAACTCTGATACAGGAATGACAACTGGCTGCCAAGGCTAACGCTTTGACGAGGCCCTGGAGCGATGATCTACCGCTAAGATTCCCTCTGAAGATTAGTTTACAATTCCCCATAGTCCCAAAGTCTCCAATAGGATACTTTTAGGGCCTGATCGGCAAGGCCCTCAACTGCCGTCTTACGTGAGACTGAGCAGATAATAATATCTCCGTAGTATTAATGCTAGAACGAAATGTATTCTACTAAATCCTACATGTCCACGACGTTCTCTTCAAATAACTGCTGAGGGATTTATTACTGAGCGACAAAATGGGTTTAGGAGATAGTCTTTCCAGGTTTCGAGAGGTGCTTAGTATGCAGGACTGGGCAGAGGGACAACGAGGCCAGGACTTACACCGCAATTAAGCCTAACAACTCATCTGAAAACAAGCTTTTGTGTTTCTATTAGAAAGGCAACCCTAAAGCCCCCAAAGAAGGATTATAATATAAGCGCTAATGTTTCGAGTAACATGAGTCGGTGGAGTTTTCTATGCGCCTTACTGGGCTGAATATGAAGGAGGAAGGCTAAACTTTCGGACTTTTGTATTTGTGCGCCGTATGGATCCGAAGGAACCTATCACGTCTGCAGTCAGGCAGGCAAGTAAGCCGCACAGCCGCTGGACTACATTGTATATGCAAATAAGCAGTGACGATCCTTAACTACTATACGAGATAATTGGATATAGTAGTGAAAAAGAGGAAATGGTACACAACTAGCCAGCGAATACCTTTCTGTGGCAAATGCAATCTGTGTTACCCTTGTGAGATACTATAAACGCCAAGACCCGAATACACAATATATCAGGGTCTTTTACCTTGGCGGGAATAGAAATTTCTATATTGATCACTTCAGAGAGGGTTTGTACATAATAGTTACTATAAGGTCACTCGTGGAAGAGTTTAGCTATCGCTAGGTTCCATAAATATAACTACAAAGTCATCAATGATGTTTCCCCCTCTCTCATGAGACATCCGGATCCATCGGCCATCCTATGTGACGTGACAACAAGAGGTTCCACAGGAGAAAGAACCAATTACAACAACGTCCGACTATCCCGTGTTATGTCCATTCTCTATTGTATTGGAGCGACGATCCGGAAGGATTTCAATGTATGATGCAAAGTGCATTGCGAGGAGGTAAACACGAAATAATCACCGTCATAAGAGTCTAACTAAGGGAAGATTTTACCCGTGAGTAAGGCATGCTGTTCGCTGGGCTTCACTGGGTTTCTATAAGAACCCGCAACATCGTACTCAAGTTCAGAATCCTATCACTCACAATCACATTCGAACCTCAACCAAAGACAATCAATCACTATGAAGGCCACTCTCTTTGTCTCTCTCCTTCTCTCCCTTGGAGTCTCAGCTACTCCAGCTGTCGACACTACCACCATTGAAGACGGTGGCTACACCTACACTGGTATCGACAAGGTATGCAAATCTCCATTTTGGCATTGATTTGTTCCCATCACTCTTTATTATTGTATTTCGACATCGTTACCTCTCGATCCATGAAGTTGACATCAACGTGTTTAGCCCCTCCTTGCTCTCCGTGGTCTTGAAGCCCGTTGCAGCTGCTTCCCTTGCTACTCTCCTCATGCAGACTGTGACCCAGGAAAGTGTCAGTGTGCAGGAGATTACGGCTGCTGGTCTTGTGGCGGCGGGCGTATGCAGTGCCAGCCTGGACCTGGCTCTGGACAGTGTTGGACCTAAGCGACTTCGGCTTTTGTCCATGCCGTCAGTTGGACTTGATTGGAATCCCAAGTGCATATTCAACATTTTGACAGGCATGTGAGACCGAAAGCAATGTTTGTACTATAGGCAATGTAGTACGTGTTCGGGATCAAGAGCAAGAGATCTGTACTGTGGGGCCAAATTGAATTATAACAAATTATGCCATGAACAATATTGCCCAAGCTTGATTCGACATCGATCGCATGGAACCGTCCGAGACAACCTCTCAATCTGTAATTAAATTTTAGTCAAATAGAAAGGTATCCAATAGTCTTAATATCTCCAATTATGAGATTTTATATTAGGATCTCAACTTATAACCCGCAGCACCGTCGTGAGGGCTATACATTTAGAATTATTTGGTTAGATTGCACGTGTCATCTGACATCGAGGTCTTTCGATACGTGGTGAGCAAGGACAAATTTCTGGAGCATGGGACTATCTTATGGTTTATCATGGATTGAAGCTTCGAATTACAAGTTGATTTGTATCGTGCTTGTGTCTTACCTAAAAGCGCTATCTAGCCTGACAGCTTCCTATCGTTTAGGTTAATGTCTTACGTTATTCTAGAAGAAGCTTCCCTTAGTTATTGAAAGTGGTCTTTTCCAAACTTGAACTTCAATTGGCCTGAACCATCCGCTAACCACTTTGTACAGGGTTCAACACAAATCAACTGAGGTGCAAGACGCATTACGACTTTAAAAGAGCAGTGGAGTACCTGATAAATTGATAAAGCGAGATAAGATCCTGAACTTGCCCGTAGAAGCAGGTAATTTTCTTCACATGACTTTTAGAAGCTCGATCTTCCCAATTTTCCTTTTATTTTCCAAGATGACAATAGGCGGCGCAGATTGATTACTCAATAAATTATTAAAAACAGATACGCTATCATACTTCGCTGTAGGTTCCAAAATCACATCTATACCGTCCTCTTCAACGCCCAGAAATGGTAATGCACTGCGGGGAAAACTCTGTTCCGGGGTTTGATCGGCTTCCATCAAGTCCCCGATATCCACAATCCCGGGACTAAAGTGGAGAAAAGCCCGGCTCGGTAGTCGGCGTCTAAATTAATCAGGCACTTTTTAATCAGTTTCCGTATCGGTCTGTGAATGAGAACGGCACTCGCTTTTACGCGCGTACTCCAATGCCGCTCTCACCGCTTCGCCAAGATCCGCATTAAACAATGGTCTGTCAAGTGCGAAAACTGGGAAAAGTTGCTTCTCGCCACTGAGCTCATTGTGTTGCGTGCCAATTGTATTCTCGACATCTGTACTTGTTCTTCTTCTGTGGTCGCCTTCTGTTGCTTCACCGAATGAAGTAGGAACAAAAGTCCAACTTCCAAACGAGTAGCCATTTTCAGTACTGTTTTGACCGAATCCGACGGCTGCTAAAGCTCTTCGCGCCCAGCGATTGTGTAAACCACCAAAATGCCATTGTATCGTTGATGGACTTGCCCATCGATCAATTGCGTTTCGGACATCTACCAAGCCTTGTACACTGGTGATGTCAATATTGTTAATTGTTGAACAGTCTATGACGATGGCTCGTAGTACTGGTAGGTCGTTGTCCTGTTTGCACAAGCCTGATGTGTCACACCAAAGAGCCTCGCCCTTTTCTTCCTTTTGCTCCTCTGTGGGTCGTCTGGTATGAGTGTAGACGTAGTCCGTCAAGTTCTTCAGATGTTGTGCCTGGTTGAGGTAATTCAGGCCTTCAGGGAAATGGTAGATGAGAACACCTCCATGTGGGCTTTCCACCAAAATATCTCGGTTTGAAGCATCATTTCGATCCAGACTCAGATAAACATCGCGCGTGGCTGGCTTTTTAGAGTTATCCGTAGTTTCTGACGTCTCAACAGTCTGCTCAACTTCGACCTTGCCCAGAAATTCGCCTCTTGTCCGCGCAATGCGTACAAGCAGGAGCAGAAATGAGAGGCCAGTGGTAGTGTAGATAGCAGGCTCAAGACCAGTAAACACAGCCATGACAACACCAACAACCCAGATCAAGCACTCAAATGGCGATAAACGCCAGTACTTGCGGACTGTAGAAGGGGATGCGATGAGGTTGAAAACAGCATGAATGATCAAGCCAGCCAAAGCTGCTCTGGGGATAAAGTAAAAGACTCCAGTCAGAGCATAAAGCGCCAGGAGCAACATGAAAGCGCTGAAGAGTCCAGCCAGTGGTGTTCTAACACCAGCCTTGGAAAGAACGGCTGATGCACCGAAGGAACCAGTGCATGAGTAACCTCCAACGAATGGCCCAAGGATGTTAGCTGTGCCTTGGGCCATGATCTCTTGTGATGGAACAACGTCGTATCCGAGCTTCTTACCGAAGCTTTTGGCAATGGCGATGTGCTCGACGATCAGAATGACCAGAATGATGGGGCTTTGAGGCAAGATGACACCGATGAGGTCTGTCTTGAGCTTCGGAGGTCCAGCATGGATGAACCCTGCACTTGTTAGTGGCTGATGGTGGTGATGGGATTGAGTGCCAACGTACCTTGGTTGATATGACCAACAATTCTAAACTTGCTCTCCTCCTCGGACAAGTTGCGGTTGACTAGATAGCTCACTAGAGTGTAAAGTAACATGGCGAAAGTAAGGCGCAAAGATGACATGATAGACCAAAGCTTCTTTCGCGCAGGTTGACGAGCTTCCAACTTTGTAAAAACGTACTTTGCCAACTCCAACAAGACCAAACATGTGATACCGATGGCAGCATCAAGCTGTGCGTCTGGCAGTTTACGCATGGTTGAGATGAGTACTTTGTACGGATCGTCGCGAGTATTGACTCCAGGGATACCCAAGAGTACTGGTAGTTGAGTGCACATGATGATTATGCTAGCGGCCGTGATGAAAGCTGAGACGGGGATGTAGGGAATTACTTCGACTAGCCATCCAAGACGAAGAAGGCCTAATGCGAATAGGATGATACCAGTCATGAATGATAATGTTTTGGCAATCTCGACGCTTGTGTAGGTATCGGGTCGTGCTTCGTGGACATGGGTAATGATTTCACCGACGAGTAGTGAGCCGATGGCTGTTGTCTAAGAAAAGTCAAGTCAGCCAAAACCTTGCTAAGCCCAGGTGGTTTACTTACACCAATGACTATATCTTTTGAAGTACCGAAAAGCCAATATGTCGCTGCACCAGCAAAGGAAGTATATAGCCCAAAATCTGGTGGTAGTGTAGCCAATAGAGCATACGCCATGGCTTGAGGAATAACGACCAAGCCAACAGTAAGACCAGCGATGCTATCACCAACAAGCCATCGCCAATTATACCTTGGCAGCCATCCTAAGCAAGGAAATAAAGATTGTAGATATCGTAATGAGCCTTCTGCTGTGGGGATACATTGCTTGAGCTCTTCCGTAACAGTTGGTTCAGCTTCAAAGAATGGGTCCTCTATCGTTTGCTTCATCTTGAATGCATTAGAAGAAAATAAAGATTATGGGGAAACAAAGAGGGAGAATGGTTTATTTTGTGGACCAACAAGGGAGAGTTATACGAAAATCTTTAAGCTTAAGGGGGTGAGGTCCCGACAGCCGGGCCGGCTGGACCCACGGGGCAGACGGGATGCTCGGCGGGTCGCGCTATCTTTGACAAGTCGCCGATCGGATTGGAGAACCCGGACACGGCATAAGTGGCACCGATAACCTCGACCGGTCAAGAAAAGGCGGTTATCATCGAGATCTAAAATAGTTCCCGAACTTGTTTGTTTGCGAGTGTTAGTCGATTGGTTGTTCGCACACATTCTGGTCACCGACTTCAACTTCGGGCATCGGGAGGAGAACGCACAGACATGATGCCGGGTTGTTTGTTCTAGAATTAAGATCGACCTCGGATGTCATTTGGAAGTGTTGGGTATCAACACGCGTGTCATGATGCTGGTTTGGTAGCCTATCGACTCAGTATCGGCCCTCGTTGTGCTGCAGAAGAGAGTTTGGACGTAATCACTGATGGAATTGCCGACACGACTTTGCGGAACGTTCCGAATCATTCCATCCAAGTAATAAGCCACTTATGCATTGTATCGTTTCGTGACGTTGAGGTGTAGGAGTATTGGATGCAATATCGGGCGTGCCACGCTGTCAATCCGCACTTTTGCCCTTATACCATCGGTGGTTGACGGTAGATTGTCAGCCTTTAATACTTAGAAACAAGGTAATGACATTGAACATAAATCTCAAAATAGGCACAATGACAACATGGCTTGACTTGAATATTATTTTTTAAGATTATCCCCAAATAAAAACTTTCTAACGAGAAACCTCGTCCTATCGAAAAGGCAATGGCTGGCTGGTACAGTAGAAAAACAAAGGAAAGAAAAAATATTTTGACAATTCCACAATTTAGGAATCAAGAATAGGACCATACGCCGGGATACCTCGACTCTCCAACCCATACACCACTTTGGCTGTAACAGATCTGTTGGAAATAATACAAACACACTCAGCGCCACTTTCCTTGTAGGCCTGGTACGCCAACTTCACCATATCAGGTCTACCCTTCGCGTCGGTGTCCCAGATAGTAGCATCAGGATCACAAGCCAGAATTGTGTCGAGGATACCCTGGCCATATGTCGAGAGGGGGTTCTTGGTTGACCAGACTACTTTGCATGGCACGCGTCGCTCCATGATGACTGGTAGACAAGGTCCAATACCAGAGCCAGTGGCCACGAGAACAACCTTCTTGAATAGAGGTGCGATAGCGAGAACACCAGATGCAGGCGTTCCTCGTGTCCAAATGGATGTCGGAGGTTTCTCGATGATGCGCTTCGTCCAATCTCCAGCCTTGGAAACGACGATTGAGAAACCTTTACCACTGGGTTCGGGAATGGCTGCAAAGGCATGCCACTCAACCAAAGGCCGATCAGTAATTCGAACACCTCGAGAGGAACAAGGTGGAGGTGTGTCAAAGTCAAAGTGAAGACGAACAGCATGCTTGGACAACGGCTCAGGAACAACCTTGACGCGTCGGAGTCTCGTCCAAGGAAGAGCGATGCAAAGTGTGATAAGCGAAAGCAGCCAAATCGTCGGACTTTGGGCCAAAGCTGGGCCAAGCGGTCCCGTTGTCGAAGCTGCAGTCGACACAATAATGTGCGCCCAAACAAGAGCAACAGAAGTCCACCCGACAAACCGATGCGTCCATTCAAATTGATCGTGCATCTTCATACGGATAGAAGGCCAAGCCATACCGAGGATGAAGCAAAGAAACCCTAGAATGATATACGTCAGAGCGAGAACGACTGACTTGATCTGAGCAGGGTGTTTTTCGGATAAAAAGTCGCGCGTGACGGAAATAGTGTACATGAACCACCAAGCTGTAGCAGAGACGGCGCAGCCAGAGTGCACACCACCGTTGTGATACACGCGAGCAAAGTGGCGACGGATGGAGAGCGGGAATGAGGTCGGGACGCGGGAACAGGTGAAGAAGATGGCGTTGACGACGTACTCTTGTCGGACGAGGACTGCGGCGAGGAGATTTGAGGCAACAGCTGTGGCCACGTGTGTGGGCTTTGGATAGTAATCGTTATCGCGGCTGTTGACGAGTAGAATGATGAGGATTGCTAGGTTGGTGAAAAAGATGAAGCCAAATAGTTTGCGATATGCTGAAAAGGCAGTATGTCGCAGCCATCGCCATCCGTGAACACCATTCTTCTCAGGAAGAGGAAATTCTTCTTCGTTGTACTCGTCCACCAAAGGCTTGTCGTCCTTTTCCAAGTCTCGCATGATACTGTTATCCGTACCAACGATAGTTCCATCGCTTGAACTTGTCATCGACATCATGCGCTCTTGAGAAGGCCACAAGGTTTGGGGTCTGGGCTTCTCCTCCACAGTCAGACCCAAAGTGTCCATCAGAGCGCCCTCAGTTGCAATCTTCATCAAGGCGCGTTTGTCAACCTTTCCGTTGGGTGTGAGTTCGAGAACAGGTAGGTGCTTCCAGACTGAGGGGACGGCGTAGAAAGGCTGGGATTTGCCGACGGCGGTTTTCAGCTGGCCTTCGTCTATGGGAGTTTCAGAAGAGTAGAATCCCCAAAGCGCGTCTTCGATCTTGAGAGCACAGCCTTTGATGACGCCGGTGGTTGTCTCGATGGATCGGGAGACGCCATCGAGTTCGACTCGGAAGCCTTGGATCTTGACTTGGTCGTCTTTGCGGCCGAGGGGCAGGAGGCTGCCGTCTTCAAGCCATTGAGCGAGATCGCCAGTGTTGAACATCATGGTTCTGTAAATACTATTAGTCCAACTATCCCAAATTCAAGTCTTTGTCTTGCTTACCCATCGTCGGTAAACTTGTCCAGCTTGTATCGTGTAGCTGTCAATTCAGGAAGATTGATGTAACCAGCCGATACACCAGGACCCCCCGCCCACATAACACCAGGCTGACCAACAGGAACAGGATCCTCATTATCATCCAAGATGTACACATTCGTGTTGGGGTTGGGCTTTCCAATTGATAGTGGAATACCAGGTCGGTGAAGATGACATGTGTTGAGCATGCTGATCTCTGTAGGTCCGCAAACGTTCCAGAAGTTGATGTGAGGAGCCCACTTCTCGGCGAGAGCCAATGGACAAGGCTCTCCGCCGACAGCGATGGTGTCGACGTTGGGGAAGTCTTCGACATTTGGCATGTACTTGAGGACGACGGAGGGTGTAGCGATGATGGTGTCGCAGCGTTGAAGACATTCTGTCCAAGGTTGGAGACCGCTGCCTCGGATGTGGAGGGTGCCGCCGTTCATCATGGTACCGAGAATCTCCCACGCACCTGTACTCGTCGATTAGCCATGTTACTATGCTTGATGAAGTGAACTTACACATATCAAAAGCAACGTTGAGCTGCTGTGCCACATTCCTTCCAGGTCGAATGCCCAGCTTAGAAGGCTCTGCCAGGAGGGTGTTGGTGACACCTCTATGTCGCACATCAACACCCTTGGGTCGACCAGTAGTGCCAGATGTGTAGATGACATATGCGCCGTCGTCAGTGTTAACATCGACCATGGGATTTGATGGGTTTCCCATGTTCCAGAGAGGTGATGTGGAGTCAAGGTCAATGACATTGACGATGTTCCGTCTATCATCGGGAACACTTCGAACCACCTTTTCGAAGAACTTGGGAAGACACAGAACAACAGGAGCTTCAGAGTCGGCAATGTCGAAACCCAAAGTGTCATCTGTAACAATACCGCCATCCAATGGAACATATTGTCCACCAGCCTTGAGAACAGCCATGATGAACACAACCATCTCGATACAACGCGAGTACACCAACACCACACGATCACCTATCCTCAATCCATATGAGGAGATAAGCTCATTGGCGAGCATATTCGCCCGTCGGTCGAGCTCGGCATATGTGATTGTGGTTCCGTCGTAGTGTCGAACCGCTGTGAGGTTGGGATGCGCCTGCGCAACCGCCTCGAACGCGTGGTGTGCGACATCGTAAGGGATGGGACACTCGACGCCCTTGCTGAACTTGTTGAACAATACTCTATCCGCCAGGGAGAGGCTCTCAAGAGAGCTAAAAGAGAAAGAAGACATGGTGAATGGGGTAAGAATTACAAGATCGACAGACACATCACACCACACGTCAGAAAGGAACGTCTTTGCACATTGGGAAGCACTTAAGTAATAAACCCCAGACACGGCTCCAGAGGGTACCCCATGCCAGGAAAACGAGATTCATTGTCCGAACTGGAAAAATTACCGCTGGTCACCCCGTTCCGAGGCACTGTTTCGGAACAAGAAGCTTCTTGTCGTATTCTGTTGTTTCGTCGGTTACGTGAAGTGGACTACTATCCCTGGTGGCGATTCGTAAATCTCTTGCCCTGCCACCACAGCCCTGAGTTTAACTCATCGTATTATCCTTTATTTACCTAGTGGGTATTTCAGAACAAGGTTGCATTAGTTAGATCTTTTGGAACGAGATGCATAGACCTCCGCGGTCTTGTTATACCTTAAGAGGTAACTGCAGCCGCCAGACTCAGCTGGAACTTGGAATTGGAAGGGTCAGGGCTTTGAAGCTGTCGTATCCTTGACTCCCATGGAATTTTTACATCCAGGGAATTGTCCAATCAGAATTCCCGGAGCCCTAAATTCTATGTCGTCCCAAAACGATACGGAGTGATGCAAGTTCCACTGCTGTCAGTGGAAAAAAGGAAAAGGAAACGGTTTAGCGTACCGTTCGGGGCGGAGACACACACACCTTTGCAGGGGTGCCCCTGAAACGGATGCATGCCATGTTTACCGGGCTGTCAGTTTGGAATGACGAGCTGCCGTTTTGGTGAGAAACGCACTGATATGACTCAGGAAATGGTAATCAAGTTGGCCGTCACCAAAACGGCAAACAAAACCGTTGACAGCGACGGGGATCGACGGATTCGCCTACCTCAAATGCCGAAACGACCGTTCCGGAACCTGTGACAGGCATTCTCTCTCTCTCCACTTGGTTGAAACTTGGGAGTTTTCTTTTTTCTTATGCGGATTATTGCAGTAGGACGGCGCGCTTCATGAATACAAGTTGGTGCCAGAAGTTGAACATAAACTTGATGTCTTGTCACAGAAACAAAACAGTCTTGCATCATCATCATCATATTTTCTTTTTTTCTCACTCTACTTACGTCAATTACGTATCACAATGGATAACCTTACAGATCTCAATCTTGCCGTCAATGAAGAGACTGGCGTTGCTACTATTCAGTTCAACAGACCTGCAAAGCGCAATGCTTTTGCGCAAAAGACAATTAATGAGTTAGTGGCCACTTTGGCTTACCTCGACTCAGTGGAGACTGTCCGCGCTGTTGTTCTGACTGGTGGACCAGAGGGCCATTTCTGCGGTAAGTTCCTGAAGATCAGCACTGTTATCTTAACAGCTACTAACGACAATAGCTGGAATGGACCTCAATGAGCTTGTTGAACTCTCTACCTCTAAAGCTCATCAAATCGCATTTCTTAAGGATCTAACCGATGCTCTTGATCGATTCACCAAGCCCATCATCGCTGCCGTTGTAGGCTATGCGGTTAGTGCATGCTCATCTCCCGTCTTTGTCAATGCTAACCAGATACGTATAGCTTGGCGGTGGATTTGAGATTTCTCTTGCAGTAAGTTCTCACGGAGATTCCCAATATGTATGTCTCTTAAGCTTATTTCATTCTGCAGTGCGACATCATTTACGCCGCCGAAGATGCCATGTTTGGTCTTCCCGAGGTCAAGATTGGAACGATCCCTGGAGCTGGGGGTACACAGCGTCTAGCCCGCGCCCTGGGCAAGCACAAGGTTAGTTCCCTACACCCTCTGAAGTGTCTTGCCAGGCCACAATGCATAAATCAGCATGTGATAATGTCAATTAACTATCTCGTCTAGGCAATGGAATTCGTATTGACCGGTGAACCTGCCAGCGGCGCAGAATTCGAGCGTCTTGGAGTCGTCACCAAGGTTTTCCCCAAGGCGGATGTTTTACCTGCCGCAACTGCTTTAGCCGAAAAGATTGCAAAGCTTTCGGGACCAGTTATTAAAACGGCTAAACAAGCTGTATTGACAGGTATGTTGTGTTGTTGATCCACTGTTGTGCTGTAGTTAACGTCTTGGTTCCCTGTACAAAGTGGAAAATAGCACCCTGAGCGCTGGCATGACCCATGAAAAGGCCCTGTACTATTCCACTTTTGGCCTAAATGACTTTCAGGAGGGAATCCAATCTTTCCTTCAAAAGAGGGCTCCCACATTCAAGCATTCTTAAATTAATCTTTATATTTTCCATCAATGTGTTATTGGCAAAAAGAAAATACATGTACTATCAATTAATTTTGACTTTCGTCAAATCTCGGTCGTGAATTCTCCACGGTCTTTCTACTCTATAATACCGAGTCTATTATTATCCCGTTGACCTCGCTAGTGCAATGTCTGTTCTCCTGTAGCTTTGTCGATTGAGTTTTCGCCAGATTAAGTTTTGCTACAAAGATTTTCCCTTTTCGCCGGCTCCGTGATCGACGATGGAAAGACTCATCCTGGTCAATCAACCGAAACTTTAAAGACGTCGTTTACATAAATCTGGTTTTTTTGTCTTGAACAAAACAAAACTTGCATCTTGGCATTTTCATCCCCCTTTACGCTGTAACCCTCCTATTCCAGGGGTCCCCCTGACACTGCAATGCGACTGTAGGTGTGGGGGTCTTCTGTAACACACCAAAGCATTGCGCGGCGTGCTCCGTTTGTCGTGAGTGGTTGATTCAGAGCAGCCTTACATGGGAAATAGTTAATTTATCCACCCAACTCAAACATTAAACTCGGCCGAATGTCACTAGGGGAAGAAGCAATTCGCAAGACACTACCTACTGCAGTTGGATAACCGAGGTCCAAGCTCTATTAGTGACCGTTGATCGTGCTCTTGGTTGCAGTTCGCGTATCAAGAAATTCTGAAACGGTTTGACAGTTTGATCTGGCGAAAGCGAGCGCACGATGATTATGAAGGAGATCCTGTTATCCACACGTCATCTCCGTCGGCAATTACAACAACGGACAATCAATAGTTCCGTGCATACAACGAAACCTGCCTCTTCCAGAAGCCGGATTCAGTTCCGTTTAGACCCTTGTCAAGCAAAACATCAATTCATGCAGTCTATCACCCGAGCGGGATGGCGGGATGATGAATAAGTCAAGATGCAGTATCAAAGACATGCATGAATCGACATGAGATGCCATATCAAGAACTTCCCGATCAATGTAGTATCATGACAACGGGTGGCCTAAAGTTGAAATGTATTGGCAGCTCAGTGGGAGCCGGGCCGGAAGTGTTGACAGCGTGTTACCCTGTAGCGCATCATCGCCACCAAGGTGGGATACCGACCGTAATCCCCAAACCTTCACGGATAGTTTATTTTATCTACCTTCTGTTTTCGACGCTAAATACGAGATCCCGAAGAGCCAAGCTTGAATAAACGTCTTTGCTTCTTTTCCCAGCGTAGAAACGCTAAATTCCGTATCTGTGTCCGAAGAACAAAGTCACAAATCGTCTGGCAGTCGACGACCCCCACAACCCCAAAACTTAATCACAAAATGTACACAACACCAAGTTTAATCGTCTGATGCGTGTCCGTAGTATAGAGATATTGTTGTTCAGAAAGTTTGTTAGTAGAGTTTAGGCAGGGCTGTGTCCTTAAGGCTCCGTTGACACGTGGAGTATATGAACGATCCATGGACTTGGAAGTGGGCATGTAACAAGATCAACATATTTAAATGGTTATAATCTGGCGACCTGATTCGCCTAGTCGGTAAAGCGAACGTCGTATAAAGCGTCTCATGTGATGGGCACAGCCTGTATGTGTCATGTAAAGAGAGGCGCGATCAACATGTAGACTCCACTAAAGGTGTCATTAAGCCCTGGCTCAATGGTACTGTAAGGCCTGAACACAACCTCGAAAGACACAGGTGACGTAACAGTCATTTCGGACTCGATGGGATGAGCGCTGTCACGACATTTTTTGTCCAAGTCAGCCAATGTTTTGCGCCCTTAATACCATTGGAGGATCTAATGGTCTCTACGACTTGCTTGATTCGTCTCTCTATCAAGGGTAGATATTGTGCTCATAATACGTTCCCATGCTCGTGACATGAACACATGATTAGATGAATTGATATTGATTGGGTGAAATCAAGAGCTGGGTAAGAGGGTTTAAAGGCGTTGAGTGGGACGTCTGACTGACAAAGTGAGTCAATCATCCATGGCATGTATCGTGCAAGCATTTGTTTTATTGCTATAATTAAATGTGTATTGCAATTTATAGTATAGATCTATTTGAGAGTGTGAAGATAACCTTGATGTATAGCTAAACAGACTACCGCTGACAGCATACAAGGGGTTTTGCTGTCAGAAAAGAAAAACTAAACGCTATAAAAGACAGAATGAATGATAGACAGTGGAACCATATCACAGGTCCAGAGCCGCCAAGCTACAAAGAAGTTCCTGAAACCTGTGAGCAACCCAGATCTAGCGTCATGATCCTTAAGCATACGCCGCCATACCGATCCAAGAAGCACGATTGCCCAAACCCTTCAAGTCGACAACTTGAGGACCATAAGAAGGATTTTTAAGGTCAAAGACAGCGACACCTGGAGCATTCTGGAGGACATACAGCTTCGACCCAGAGACGATACCGTCAAAGTTCCCCATACCCTGCCCATACCCAGGAAGAGTGCGGCTAATGGCCTTGGTCTCTGTGCTGACCGCATTGATATCAGCGACACCCGCGTCGAGAAGATAAACAGATCCGGTTTCAGAAGACCTAGCAGTCCAACAAGTAGCCATCTGAGTCGTGATGTTGAGGACACTTTCAGTGCTGACTGTGTAGTCTTCAGAGATGGACACGAATGCAGCACCATAAGCAGGCGTGGAGACAACGGCGGAGTTGTCGTTGGAGAAGGACATGCCGAAAGGAATGGGAAGGTTCTCGGGCCTAGAGACCACAGCCTGCTCACTGACGATACCGTTTTCGACTTTGTAGGCGTAGATATAGCCACTTTGCATGCCATCTCCTTTGATCACGACGAAAAGAGCCGTCTCGGAAGGGTTGAAGAGGATGTTGGAAACCGTGTTAGGAGGTCCCATGATAGGGTTTGTCTGATTCATAACCGGGAGGGATCGTAGGCCACCGATTGGCTTAATACCATCGCTGCCAGAAACACTGAAACATTGAACACCAGGATTGGTTCCAGTGTTGGCAACACAGGCGACTTTATGTTTGGGAGAGTACGCCACCGTGTTAGGAGTGGTACCGATAGTATCGACTGGCTGTCCGATAAGCTTAGGATGGGCTGGATCGTTCTTGGGGATGTGGAAAGCAGCCATAGTGTTAGATCCGGCGTTGACGGTGAACAAAAGGTTTCCATCTACAATGATAGAGCCTTGGGAGAAAAGAGGGTCTGGCGAAGAATGTTAGTATGGTTGTGGAATTGTTCTTTCTGCGACACTCACCAACTATGACAGAACCGTTGACGTTGTTGCCGATCATGCCATTGCCACCGGTCGAAGTCCTCACGGGCTCGCCCAAAGAGCCGTATCCTGTCATTCCAAAAGAGACCACAGAGGCACCATGCGGGTCATTGTCGAGGAAGTACAGTGCTCCATTAGAATGCTCAGGCTTGGGAAGAGCCTGAGTCCATGAGGCTGCGAGGAGGAGGAGAGAGATGCTCTTCATGATGTGGTAACGAAGTAGGTGTTGTGTAGATTGTGAATCGGATTGTATGGTGAGTTGGTTGAAGATGGAGTTGTAGTTTCTGTAATTCAATGGGCGCCTTTCTTCTTTTTAAATGTCGTCCATAGAGGTCTGACAATGTTGTCATTGTCTCCATATTCAGCTTCATTCAACTTGAAACAGTGCCGAAATGCCTAGCTCATCTAAGCCTCTAGACATTTAACCAGTTCAGTCCCATGGAGCGCTGAAGTTTAGATTACTGCATGCCGTCTGGTCCGTACTCAAGAAACAATTCCATCATGTTTGGCTTAGAAAGAACAGTTTGCTGAGCACTTTTCCTAATCAGGAATATGTACGATTATTCAACTGTGAAACATAGACGTCAAGGCTCCACAGAAACATAGCTGAGCCACGTAGCTGGTATTAGACGTAAGCTGACGGCGGATATAAATGGCGGGAGATTGAGCTAGTGAGATGGTAGAGTGAGATTTGCTCACACTTGTCCTAAATAGGAAGTTTTGATTAGAAGCTGTCTTGCTGAGAAGGCTATGGTCTCTACAGGGAGAATAATTTTGATCTTTTGTGTGCAATGTACTTCACTGACCATCACTGCTACTATTTACCAGATCCAAATCCGAGGGGCAAGACAAATGATGGATTTAACACGCTGGAGTAAGATGTGTCCTATGCTTTGGAGCCAGTATCAGTCCGCCAATTGATCAGATATGTTGATATTATCTAAACTAAATGTCTATATTAAGCCTTTCTAGTAGAGAATATCGCTCCAGAAGATACCTATCATCTTCGATCGTAGTTCAGCAGCTCAGCCAAAGTGCTGATATAAGACAATGAAACCTGGCCTAATCTCATCTCGTCAGTCAGCAAATACGGCACCGTGATTGGTTGTCAGTCACGTGTAATGCTGCTGGTTGAACAAAATAGCTGCTGACAACACCATCACATTTCCCAGGCGCGGGGTTTAGGGAACGACGCTAGATTGTTAGTGATTTAGACCAATTACATGCGTGCACTGTCAGATTTCGCTTTTCTCAATGAACCCACATGTAAGGCTGGGTCGTGTCTCAGCATTCCTCTGTCGATCGTCCTCTTTATGTACCCTGTCTCTGCTACCCCCATTGGCGCCAGGAAGTAGAAGCCCAGTCCGGTATCGCCCATACCCAAAGCCTCGATACATATCTGCGATGCGTCTCATCAATGTCGAAACTCTGGAGTTGGAATCCTTCGTTGGGGATCTGGGTCGAGAAGTACCAACATATGCCATCCTCTCACACGTGTGGACGAAGGAGGAAGTCTCCTATCAACAAATGACTGGTTTACTTCCTCTTTTAGAAGACTCCAAAGGATATCGAAAAATCGTCGAGTTCTGCGCCAAAGCCAGAAATGAGGGATTTGAGTACGCATGGGTGGACACTTGTTGTATAGACAAGACATCAAGCGCAGAACTATCAGAGGCTATCAATTCTATGTTTCTGTGGTATCGAAAGTCAGATGCATGCTATGTATATCTTCAAGACGTGCCGAGCACAGAGAACCCTTTGTCTCAAGGATCCCAATTTCGTACGAGTCGCTGGTTTACACGTGGATGGACGCTACAAGAGTTACTCGCGCCACATGAAGTGATATTCTTAGCCGACGATTGGCGTGAGATTGGTACAAAAGCCACGCTCAGTGCGACAATCTCGGAGATAACAAAGATTGACATCAAAACTCTGGTCGGACACACCTGGACCCACGTCAGCATTGCCATGATCATGTCATGGGCTTCGGAACGACAGACTACGAGATTAGAAGATCAAGCATATTCTCTCCTGGGTCTTTTTGATGTCAACATGCCTCTAATATATGGGGAAGGCCAGAAAGCGTTTTACAGACTCCAAGTTGAAATAATGAAGCTCTCAAACGACGATTCATTATTCGCGTGGTCTACAGAGCCGCTCCAAGAAAAAGGCTACTCCACTAGGGAAGGAATCTCGGCAAGAGGCTTTCAGTTCCTAGGCCTTCTAGCACCATCTGTCTCCTGTTTTAGAGATTCTTATGACATTGTGACGCCGAAAGACTATCCCGACAGCCATTCACCTTATGATATGGCAAAGCAAAATGTCAGTTTATCAGCTGTGTTGGTCAAACTATGTCCATTACCAATCGACCCCAAGAATCTCAACTGCGGAATAGACGACGTTGATGTAGTCGGAACAGTCAGGTTCTCAAAAAATGTCCACCCCGTGAAAGCCGTTGACCATGGCCTTGTCATCACACCAGCTAGACAAAACTCCAAAGGGTTGAAAGCAATGTGTCTACTCGCCATATTACGATGTCGGAACAAAGATGGATATATCGCGATACCTATCAAGAAAGTGGCTTCTGGTGCTTTCCAAAGAGTGGAAAACGGCTATCGATGCCGATGGTTTAGAGTGCGCTTGATGCCACTACGATTGTGTCTCACGGAAGAACATGAGAGACAGCATCACGAATCGGCATACAGATTGAGGCAGTTTGACTCTGAGAATAGAGAAAGAGGGCCTCCAGCGGATCCACCTGAGACAATACTTATTAAAGCATATGTCCCACTGGAAACATCATTTGGGGCTTCGAAATCATTGCCAAAGGCTGAAGGTCTCAACTCAATATTCAGATTCAGATCACTACCTATCGAACACGCCAACTATGTTCTCAGCAGTGACTATCCAGTAAACTGTATACTGCCCTTGCCTGAGTTACGAGCTCATGCTACTGTACTTGAGAAGTTCAATGCAAGCATCAACTTTACCCCGACCACATTTCTTCTGTTCAGAGATATTGAGCCGAGAGGTACAATGCCGCCATTCCTCATCTACGTCAAATCTCACAGAGACAACATGCAGAGTTCTGGTAGCATGATAGGGTGTCTGGTAGGACCTCAAGCGGAAAGCTGGATCAAGGCACCAGAAACTCTTCATGATGATTTTATCCAAGTCGACACCAAGCGATCATGCACAAGGGTACCTCTCTTGGGTGATTTATTTTTAGTCTTTCGAGTCCGCCGAGGAATTGATCAAAGTTCAATACGTTACCTCAACGTGGGTATAGAAAGAGGGCTGACGTGGGACACGGGATCACAAAATGATCCGTCTAACATAAATGGCGTTATACCATCAGGTTCTGAAGAGTCTTTATCACGTCGCTTCACTGACATATCTATATAATTGGAACAACAATAAACTAAAATTGGCACCTGATTCCTTATTACATTGACCTATTTACTATGTGTACAGACAAACTATGAAACATACTCCAGCCCTGTAGTGATATCACCCCATTTCGCACCAGCCATGTCAGAAAAGTAATTCGACTTGGGACTCCACGAACCCGTACCACCCTTGGGAAACACTGAACCAGCATTCTTCAGATACGTTGAAGAAAGACTCATCATTGACTTCACAGGCATGCCCTCGGATGAGGTCAAACGCGGAATGACAGCAACAGCTTTCTTCTCTTCCATCTTGCGCAGGATACGAACACATAGTCGAGCGCTGACATCGGCACCCAGAGTCCATGATGCATTCTCGTATCCCATCATAAAGAGTACGTTGGGAACATCCTCAAGCATGGTAGCCTTCCATGCGAACTTGTCAGCCACGTTGAACTCAATACCATCCATACTAAACTTGATACCACCTCCAAAGCGCAATTTAAGACCCGTTGCCGTCACGATTAAGTCAGGATGTAATGTGTCCCCTGATTCAAGCTCAATGGTCGTCTCCGTGACAGTCTTGATCTTGTCGGTCACCACGTCTGCCTTTCCAGAACGAATAGCAGCGAAGAAATCACCGTTCGGGCACGCACAGAAACGCTGCTCCCATGGGTTGTAGCGGGGTTTGAAGTGAGGATCCCACTTGACGTCGGGAGGGAGTTGTTTGATGGTGACGTGCTTGATAATCTTCTTGGCTAGTCCAGGGCAGGACTTGCACAGAAATGTAGTGAGATAGCTTTCCACTAGCCACATGAGACGATTCATGAAGAGAGCCATGCTGGCGGGGAGAATGGTGAAGAAAAGACGTGTAAAAAAGCTACTCGAAGGGAGAGGCATGATGTAAGTGGGACTTCGCTGAAGCATGGTAACTCGTTTGACCTTGTCTGCCACTGATGGGACGATGGTGACAGCTGTGGCGCCGCTTCCGATGACTACAACATCCTTGTTGGTGTAGTCGTAGTCTTCAGGCCAGAATTGAGGATGAATAACTTTGCCTTGAAATCTTTCGATTCCAGGAATGGCGGCCTGCAGGGGGGTCTGATAGTCGTAGTAGCCAGTTCCAAGAAGCAGGAATTTTGCTTGGAAAGTAGTAGGCTTCTCATCGCCGCTGCGGAACACCTCAAGGTTCCATCTCTTATCGTGGGTAGACCAATTGGCTTGTTTGACAGAATGCTTGTAACAGATGTGATGGTCGATGCCGGCTGATCGTGCTGATTCGATCATGTAACGTTTGATCTCTTCACCTGGAGCCAAAGACTCATCGCGTTTCCAAGGACTCCAGGGAAAGCCAAATGTGAAAATGTCAGAGTCTGATCGGATGCCAGGGTACTTGAACAAATCCCAGGTACCACCAATCGAGTCTCGACCTTCAAGAATGGCATAGGTGAAATTTGAAGGGCCTTCTGTTTGTAGGCGGTATGCTGCGTTGATGCCAGAAATTCCAGCGCCGATGATGATAACATCAAAGAACTTTGTGTTGTTCGTGGGCTGCTCCATTGTGACAGATGTTTCTTCGGCGTGTACTGTGCTTGATGATCTCAGAGTTATTTTGCAACGCGGCTACACAGTTATAAACGATCTTGGATGAATCCAGCTATCCAATAAAGTCAAATGAGATTATCAAAACCTCGGCATTATGCCTCAGCTACCCCACCAACCATCGAACGGATAGCTAGGTTGAAGCATAGCTTCCGAACTACCGAGACGGACTCGGGACCCGCGCAACGATCTTCATCGGTTGTTCTAAACCCTTGACAATGACGTTGTTGTCTGTGAGTGCACACGGGCCTGACGGGTTCCGCGGGCACGGAAACGTAGATCGCAAGCTAAACTGCAAAGAGAAGACATGAACCTTTTAGAGTTGACAATGCGGGGCAAACGTGAACCTCGTGTCGATCCGAACATCATTTTCGGGATAGATAGATGAATTTGTTTGCGTGTACTAGCAGGGAACTGTTTGTTTCGAGAGGCTAGTGTGTCACTGACTGAGTCAAGGTGGGTGCGTCGGGTATAATTATCACGCGACTACGTTGTCAAAGCTGCATAGCTAAATTTGTTTATGGCGGGGTGCATGGCCTCAAAGAGTAGTGTTCAAAAAGCATGTGAAATTGGTAAATTACGTAGTTTCATCCATCTATCTTTGTTGGGGATCAAAGATTGTTCCCACCGTCGATCTTCTCAAGCCCCTGTTCGTGCATCAGAGCTCCCTCGGTGCGAAGCTCTGCAGCTTCAACCCCGCACTCACATTCAAGAATCTTCTAGCATTCTCAACTGCCTTCTTAGCCTCGGCACCGAATCCCATCATGTCTCCCAGTAGCAGGATGTCATGAGGACACCCTTCAGACACGTCCAAGTGGATGTTCCAACCATGCTTCTCAAAGCGTTGGCAGAAGTTCTTGATATCAGCACATAGGACTTCGCCTCCTCCTGCGTTGACGTATACCGGAAGTGATTCTTCGAGGCTGAATGGGTTGCGTAGTGGTGAAAGGTATGGTCCTGCGGGGTCCGTTGCTCCATAGCCGGAGACGGTAGCTGCACCCCAGCGCGCAAAGTACATGTTCAGATAGTCGGTTTTGTAGTTGGGTGACTGCTTGACGTCCTGTTCCAAAGCAGCTGCGACGTCTACCCAAGGTGACCAAAGAGCCATCGCTTTGGGGAGTGGGATGTCGTCAACTTGTCCGTGTTCGTGAATGTATCGTACCAATGCCAGTGCCAGGTTGGCCCCAGCCGAATCGCCTGAGAGAATGATTTGACTGGCAGGAATGCCTTTGCTCTTGATCAGATCAAGATAAGCCGTGAGGGCATCCTGAAGAGGGGCTGGAAACTGTCCGTTGTTGCTACTCGAGAGGCGGTATTGTGGTGTACAAACATGAGAACAGCCCATATATCTCACAAGAGTTTTCGCCAGGAATCCAGTATCTTCGTCACGACCATTCCCGATAACGTAGCCTCCACCGTGGAAGTGCAATGCGACGACCATATTGGAGTTGACCAGTCCCGCAGGTGGAGGTCGTGCTGGTGTCCAGGTCATTCCCAACTGCGCAGGTCGTACAACATAATCCGAAAGAATTCCTCTGTAGAGCTTGGGCGATCGTGGAGAGACTACTTCGAACCGATTCTTCTCGCTTTTGGGATCAAGTCTCAATCGGTCCCCGTACTTGGTGAGTGACCAGTAGAGAAGTACGAGACGGATAAGACGGACGCGGACGGCTTGGTTGAGGGTCCATTTTTGTGAGGGTCGAAGATATGGGATGAGGCAGAGGGTGATATCAAGAAGGAAGTGTGAGAGTAGCCATGGCGTGATTAGAGCCGCATAGATGTAATCGAAGCATAATTTGGTTGAGTTGATAAAAGTCATCTCGAGTTGTGTGTGGAGTGGTAGGTCGTAGGAGAAAGAGAAGATGGGCGCGAGCTTGTGGGAAACAGCGACGGCAGGCAGGCCTTTATGTACTCAGTCGCTGCTGATCAACAATTAAACTTCATTTCGGCTTCAAGGCATGCATTTAATAGTGACAAAATTGCCGAGGTTATCAATTCGGCATTTTATGATGCTTTATTTACGGTATCTAACAGTATCTCTGTCACGTTCCCCTCCGAACTTCTGTACTTCTGACCACAATACAAATCACATTTTACTGTTAAGCTGTCTTTCCAATCATATCCCGGAGTATCTCCTGTATCCAAGTAGGCCATCCTCTAATTCCAGAGATACCAGAAGCAGACTTTGGAACAATAAGTTGACCACCACGCTTACGTTTAATATGCGCGACGACTTCATTCGCGATGTCATCGGGAGTCAAGAACTTAACTCCTCCACGCTCCAGTTTCTCAGCAAACCCTTCAACAAGAGGGGTTCTGACAAAATTGGGGTGAACAACAGTTGTCAAAACATTGGGAGCCTTGTAAAAATGCTTGAGCTCACTGGCAAGTGACTCGTGGAAAGACAACGCGCCAGCTTTGGTCGCTGAGTAATCGGCGCCTGTGGGCAAAGCAACGAAAGACGCGATACTTGCGACAGTGATGATATGGCCCTTGTCAAGTTGGATCATCCGAGGGAGAAATTGCTGAGTTGTGTACCACAAAGACATGAGATTGACGCCCATGATCTTGCGAAGAAATGATTCTGACATCTTCAGAATTGGCATCGGAGACGTAATACCGGCATTGTTGATAAGAATGGTTGGATGACCAAGCTCACGTCGCACAGCATCAGCCGCTTCCGCGACAGATTCCACAGTGGTAATATCGCAGCGATAAAAGTGAACGCGCGAATCAGCCTGCAATTCCTTGGGCAAATCCTGGACGTCAAAAACAGCGACTCGTATTCCTAACCCCGACAACTTTTGTACCATGCTCAAGCCAATACCGCTGGAACCGCCAGTTACAACAGCGATTTCATTTGTCCAGGACCAATTCGAGGCGGGTCTGAGACGCCAGGAATTGTGAGCCATCACATTGAGAACCTTGTTGATGGTACGTAGAACACTCAGGCTAGTCCAGATGAGGAGAACCTTGTTGACAGTAGAAAGGTCTAGGGTAGTTGAGATCTGAGGCGGAAGTCGCGCGGCGATGGAAGATAGTGCATTGTTGGCGACTTCTGGTGCGTAGATCGATGTGAGAAGTAATGGACAGGATAGCATTGGTGAAAGAATGAAGTTATTCAGAGTCTGAATGTAGCCCAAGACGGGACTGTAAAGAAGAGACGACATGATTGTCAGGAAATTGAAACGAAGATGAGGTGCGATTGGGTGGATGTTAGGTGGTCACTGCAACGGTGCAAAGTGATAAACTTCTGCGACTGCCGGGTCACCTCATCTTATACGATCATATATCTCAAACATTGAGCCTCGATACTTTATCCTTCGAATATCGCTTGTCTATCCCATGAAGCCGATCATGTCATTTCAAGCCGAGGTTCACTCAAAGTCCCAACAGGAACCAAACTCTCGTATCGCAAGCTTGACCGTAAGAAGCTACCGTGCAGATCTTGTCCATCCCCCGGCAGTTGAGGCACCGTCTGGACTCTTTGAGGCCGTGCCAGACCCCGCTACCAACCCTGTTTTCCAACATCCATGCCCCGTCACCTCATTTGGAGCTAAAGCATCATGGTTGGTGTCCGTGCCAAACTAACTGGCACTGTCCGCCCTGCTTTTCCGTTGTGGATCATACAGACAGCACTGAGTCTCCTCTTCCTCATCTTACTCTAGACTTATCTCAAACCACTCAACTCTGACCAACCTGAAGGATCGTTTCCACATATCGTGTTTTAGTCAAGATGGTTTTCCCAGGACGATTCAGCTCAGGTTGTTTGCGGTGTCGGCAGCGCAAGGTCAAGGTACGTAACTAATGAGATTGAACATGTATCCAATGTTGACCATGATGATAGTGCGATGAGGGGAAACCCACGTGTCGACGATGCTACAACTATGGCAAGCCTTGCCTTGGATACACCGACGAGTTTCAATTCCGACATTCAGCTCAGAAGCCAAAGTCACCGAATACCACAGTATCTCCAAAAACAACAAATACGATCCCCGTTGTCACACCGAGTCCGCGGACGCCCGAGAAAGAGAAGGACAAAGCGCCCGCAAAGCCGATCAAACGGATCTCAGAACCGTCCGTCCGCCGGAGGTCTCAAGGCATCATCCGGCAACCTGTCCAATCCTACGATGACATGTCGCTATGTTACTTCGTCCGTCGCTTTGTCTCGCCTGACGAAGGTGACGGATTCCCCGGCCATTTTAGCTTTCTTCCGAGCTTCTTCAATCATCACCATGATGGCGGGTTAGTCGAGACAGCAACGCTCAGTGTAGCTCAATTGGCTGCGTTCAATCATTTAGGTAATGAAGAACTTAGGACGCGGTCTTTGAGGAACTATGGGCGGGTGATCAAGGGATTACAACAGAGTATACAGTCTGATACCCAAGCGCTTGACGATAGTGTCATTGCGACAATCCTCTTGCTGTGCACGCACAAGGTAGGTTCACACCCAGGTACTGTTGATTGGTAAGTCTGACTTGAGCAGGACTTTAGTGGTGAAGGACTGGGAGACCCGAATGAACATGCATCAGGTTTGTTTTACCTGCTGGAGAAGCGAGGACCAAGTCAAATCGGCACGAGGCGTGGAGCAGAGCTATTTTTGCTTGCTCTATTACGACTGGTAAGTCACTTCAACTGCAGACATGAACCTGTCTGTGTTAACACAATTGTACAGCAAATCTACTCATTTCTTCACGGCGACGATACATATACCGACCCCGGAGCTATCGCCACTGTGATAGGCATCTTTGATCCTCTTCTCCGAGCTCTAGCAATGATGTCCAAGACATTATCCCTTCGTCATCGTCTATTCCAATTTATACAGACCGAGATATTCCAAGGCGGTAGTCCTTCAGCTTCATCCGAAGACAGTAAAAGCGCTGAGGAAGAGAGGCTCCTGTTACAAGAATGTTTCGACATGTTGGATGTCTTTCACGCATGGGACTGCGAAGCCGCAACATACTGGCAAAACACCTTCGAGGGCCGCGGTGTTCCTACAATGCTAGGAGAAATGGGCGCTGGTAATATGCACTACGACGCCGAGACAGCATGCATCATGATTCTCGTCCGTTCAGCGCGTCTCATTCTACTACAGAGCATGCTTCTCTACCAGACAACACTCCAAACCACTGAAGAAGAACCAGAAGATGAGTATAGTAGCTACCAGGCCATGTGGGCGCAATGCGTTCCCATTCTGGAGTGTGACGTGCGTAAATGTGTCGACGACATGCTCGCCAGCGTGCCGTATGCACTAGGTGATATTGACTCCAACGGTATGCCCTCAAGTATGATGTACGACGGGGCGGCTGCCATTATGATAGTGCACTCCATTAGGCTTGTCACACATTGCGTTTACACTACACCTGCACAGGCGGAGAGGGCAGCTATCATATTGACACGGTTGAACTCTGCGATTGGTATCAGGTCTGCTGTTGGATGGTTGGCGGCGGACGCCTGTGAGAGAGACACTACAAGTAACCTTTTGGTAGCTTCACCGAGGTTATTAGAGTCTAGGCTGTTGGATTGTAGACTTGACAATCTTGGTGCGTTTCCGGATCCTTCTTTGCTTTCTTCTTGATGCGGGCGTCATGTTTGTATGTTATCACTATCTAGTTTAATACTCAGTAACATTCTTTTTTCAGACCTGGTTCACTTGTCTCGGCCACTCATCTCACTTCTGCTTTCGTGACGTAGGCAAAGTTTTGTTGATCACCATGTTATCCCTTTCCCAAAGGAACATCAATGCCGGGAAAATGGGTCCTCCAACCACTGCCAGCAACATCGCCCTGATACCTGTGACCATCACATTCGGAGCCCTCTGGGCAATGGAGAGCTGGTAGCCAGACCAGATAATCATGGAAAGACAGGTGCAGTAGACGTCCCATCGCAAGAACGAGACTACAACCTCCCTGGACTGCAAAGCTGCAACGGGTGGCTCCAAGAGAGCCAGTGTCGGTGGGTTCGTGATTGATGTAAGAGTAAGTATGTGATGTCCGGATACAGGTTGAACTTGGCCGATCCAGGACGCGAATACGGTTCCCATCACAGTGAGGTGAATACTCATAGTCAGCCCGGCGATGAACATGTACGCGCGGTTGAAGGCGTTTCTACACAGCCTTAAGTCGACATTTGCCTTACTCGAGGGAGTGTTCCCCCAGAAGCCGCTAAAAAGGCGAGAAACACGCTGAAGTACAGACTGGTATAACGGAAAAGGTTGCCAGAGCGCGACAGCGATGAACTTTGCCTCTCGAGAGATGTCAAAGACCAGTGGCAGACAAAGCCCAATACTCGGAACAACGTATGATATGATTGTAGCAGCAGGTAAGAAGCTGACATCGATCGGGTCGGCGAGGAGGTTTGCTTGTTGGGGAATGGAGGGCGATAGTAGGAGTTGGATGGTAAGGTAGATCGGTGCGATGATGGTGATGGTAACGGCTTGAAACACTATCCCAAATGTTCCGGTCCTACAATCAGAGTCAGTACTGCCCAGGATCTCAAGGTCAGTGAATTTGCCACCTACCAGCTTAGAATTGTGTCCTTGTTTCCAAATCTCAAGCCCTCAAGAGCGATGATATACCAAGCACCACCAAACTGAGCAGCCAGGTATACAAAAGCGAGCAAGGCTTCGAGGTCCATTCTTTTCACCTCAGGATTCTTTCTCAAACCTTGAGAGAAGAACTCGAGCAGCAGATTCACTGCCTCATCGACACTCTCCAAACCTGTGATGGGTCGTGACACTGAGTCCGTCATGTCGAGAATGCACTTCTCTGCACCACTGTTGCAAACACGCAGAGCATCAAAGAAGCCATGTGAATGTGACGTGAACATACTAGCATACCCTCCGAGGAGCGCACAGCCGAGGATAAGACTGATAATGACGACGGGAGCCATCCTAACAAACTTTGATGATGGTTGCAGATCGAGGTTTCGAGTCCAAGCAGAAGTTAACAAACGAACGTTCCCAACACCCTCGTGACCTTAATAAATCTGCACATTCTTCCAAGCTGAAATTTCTTCTACGCGGTGAGAAGAAAAATTGCGTACTTCCCAGCTGTCGGTTGTTCGAATGATTTACCAAGTCCATCTAGTTTCGGATTAGGTTGCGAAAATGATCCATCATCACAAGCCGAAGATGATTTCGAAAAAAAAAAAACATCAGGAACAAAGAAGAGAAACCACATGTGAAGATGTAAAAAATGTCGAGGAAAAAAGTCATCATTACGAAAGAGTTTAACCTGCGAGCTGACGAACAAGATCAAGCTCCATCCACGTGCCCTCCTCTTCGTAAACTAAACCCTTCAATCTCAGCTCGCATGCTAAGCCCGATTGGGTCACCCTTTGCGACGCTGCAAAGCGTTAAGACGATGTCGATCTTATGAGGTGCTTACTGCTCTTAGTCTAGTTGGGCGGTGACTATCAGTTAAATGAAAACTGACGATGGCTTCACACCCACACTACCCTGACGACGTGCAGTAGTACCGAGTTTGAGATCCAGATGTAGGATGACGCTGGGGTGGGACATGTAGCTTTCACATGATATAATTACGGCCCAATTCGTGGGTTATTTTAATCACCCAATACGAATGAACTAGCATCTTTAACCAGATTAAGATTATATCCAATAATCTGGATATATGGATACTGGAACTGTCACAATACTTCCGAAAAAAGAAACAGACACAAACTTCACAGTTTATCGGTACACCATCAGCATGGCCGTTTTGTCAAAGCTTCTAAGCTTTCCGAGTCTTACCCTCGCAGCTTGTATCGAGGGCTTCTTTGCCATCAAGTTCTTTCCCAATTACTACAGCAGTCAGAGTCATTTGGCGGCTGTGGTCACAATACTGCTAATCAACTATGCGTTCGGAGTCATTTTCTGGGTGTTATTGTACCCACGCTTGTTCAGCCCGCTTCGACGTATTCCGGGACCAAAGGTAAGGATATCAGTCCAGCAAATGATGAGTCTAGAAATACTGACTGACTCATTCTATAGGCCTACCTGAGCGCCGCTCATCATTCTCTCGTTGTTAAGGGGAGACCATCCGGTGACTTGTTCCTCGATCTAGCAAAGGAATATCCCCGACAAGACATCATCATGCTCAATTCAACTCGCGACCAAGTATGCATCATGAATCCTCAGCTACTGGCAGACCTTTTAGTTCACAACTGCTACGACTTTGCCAAACCGAAACGGATCAGCGGTTTCCTGCGTCATGTTCTAGGAGATGGTCTCATCATAGTCGAAGGTGAACAGCACAAATTCCTACGAAAGAATTCGACACCAGCGTTTCACTTTCGCCATATCAAGGAGCTCTATCCCATGATGTGGACCAAGAGTGAGACACTTACAAAGGCGATCGCTCAGGATATCACGGCATCTAGATCATCAGTCGTGGAGCTCAACGGTTGGGCGAGCAAGGTCACCTTGGATATCATCGGTATTGCTGGTCTTGGTCGCAAATTCGACGCCGTTGAGAAGAAGGTTGATCCACTGGCCGACATCTACGAACAGTTACTCGAACCTGACCGAGAGAAACTCATTTTTGCGATGTTATCTTTGGCCGTGGGATTGCCCATCATTCGTCTTATCCCATGGAAGATGAATGACGTATTCAACTACTTGACTGGATCTTTGAATGAACTCTGCTACCCTATGATCAAGGAGAAGAAGGCTGCAATTTTCGAGAAGGGAGATGACCATTTTGACGTTTTGTCGCTTCTGATCAAGTCAAACAACTTTTCAGATGAGGCCTTGAAGGATCAACTACTGACCTTCCTAGCAGCTGGGTAAGTCGGTAGATATGATTTGATGGTATACGTACCTAACAGTTGGCAGACACGAGACTACCGCATCAGCACTTACTTGGGCTTGCTACCTACTCACCAAGTACCCCGACATCCAGAAGAAACTCAGAGAAGAAATCCGAGATGCATTACCCGTCGACGTCGACAGTAACACACCAGACCTCGCCAGCATTCTCGAACAACTACCTTATCTCAACGGTGTCATGCACGAAACTCTACGTCTATACCCAACCGTTCCTCTAACCATGCGTTCTGCCCTCCGCGACACACGCATCGGTGATCAATTCATCCCCCAAGGCACCGACGTAATTGTATCAATCTGGTACATCAACCGCTCCCTGGAAATTTGGGGTCCAGACGCAGCAGAGTTCCGACCCGAGCGATGGATGACAGAGGATGGAAAACCCAACCAGAACGGGGGAGCAAGCAGTAACTACAACTTCCTTACCTTTTTGCACGGCCCACGAAGCTGTATTGGTCAAGGCTTTGCAAAGGCTGAGATGCGATGTTTGTTGGCGAACATGGTCAAGTCATTTGAGTGGACGTTGGCGATGGATGATAAACTTGTTTTGCCGAGGGGTGTTATTACTATCAAGCCGGAGAATGGCATGTATCTTAAAATGAAGGCTATCTGAGACGATCTTATGAGAAGAAGAAAGCTGCGATTGTATCTAGTTAGCGAGTCTATTGTTATGAAATTGCTTTTTGCTTGTTGCCCCTCATATTGATCAGATGAGTTACTCGTTAAGATACTGGGAATGTTACCTTCCGCTTTTACCCTTTCGTCTCTCCGAAATGAGGCTTCGTGAGAAATGCCAAGGTATGTTTGTCAGTGTCCAATTGGTCAAAGTCATGCGCTCCAATGGAGAATTGATACAACACAACATGACTCGGCGAGAAAGCCGTTGCTGCCATCAATAATGTCAAATTCTTCAGTCAGTCAGCCATGACTACGCTGGAAGTCACAATTGCCATCTTTCTCGTATTGATCTCATTTATCTGGATTGTCTACCAATGGGCTAAATAGAGCCACAGGAGGCGAATGTCAGATGAGCCCTACCCCAATTTGTCTTACCCCGGACCTGCATCGATCTACGAATAGGCCGAGGCAAACTAGAGCTTGGCCTACATCGGCCAAATCTTGTTCTTTTCTCAAAGGGGTTATCGAGGATAGATATTGATCACCTGACCCTGGATGTTCCGTTGTAATTTCTCAGCTGAACTAGACATTCGCAGTCCCCAATGGTAGCTGACAGTAACCTCCGTTAAGGCCAAGATAATTCTATACTTTCACATCAGAGCACCAACAGCATCATCCGTTCCTGGGTAGCATCCGGCTAAGATCTTGCGATCAGCCTGTTATAGGCTGGGTTGTAATATTGAAAACTCAAATACATTGCCACTAGATATCACATTGAATCTCCATGAATTCATTCGTGGCCCAAATTGGTCTCGATCAATTAAGGTTGTGAAGGTTAGTAAGATCAATTAATATCCGGGGTAAAGACCACATTAGCATGCCAATCGGTTAAAAGCATCCCTGCATCACCATCGAGGCTGGACCAAAACCATCAGCTTGTTTGTCTAGCCCACTAGCAATTACACAAAACCGCAATAGCGGAACTCATCTTCATCCAAATCAGCTCAAATACTCTTATTAACCGGTGCAACAGCCGATTCAAGACCCATATTGCGGGGGGTAATTCAGATTCGGATGTTACTTGCTCTTTGAGGTTACAGCATGCATCTTGGCGATGCTCCGACATTTCCTCAATGGGCGTTGCTCGGAACTTGGTACTCCGCACATAAGGCTTCCAACTGCGCTGATAAACAAAACTACCGGTAAAACGCGCCGTGGACACGGGTAAAACACTTACCATTATAGACTAGGATCTTGCGATATAGTCGGGCTTCAAGGCGATCATGAATAGCCATGTTACTTAGCTATATAAGACTTCAATAACCTCTTCAGGGTTGAAGTCTTTTGTTGTTGGATCAGCATCACTTGCCATAGAATCACCAGAGACAGTCAACATGCACTTCCTAGGACTCATTGTTGCTTTCGCCCCTGCGGCTCTTGCCCAGTCTGCTATCTGGGGACAGTGTAAGTACAATTATGGGATGATATATCGGACAAAAACTAATAAATCTTTAAGGTGGTGGTCAGGGATGGTCTGGCGCTACGACCTGCCAATCTGGCTTGAAGTGTGAGAAGATCAACGACTTCTACTTCCAGTGTATTCCCGGAAGTGACAACGGCGGCGGCACCCCCGAGCCTACGAACCCTTCTCCTGGTACTGGAGATGCTACTGGTCTTGACGCCAAGATCAGGGCCAAGGGAAAGGTATACTTCGGTTCCGAGATCGACCACTACCATCTCAGCAACAACCCTCTCATCAACATTGTCAAGAAGGACTTTGGTCAGGTCACCAACGAGAACAGTATGAAGTGGGATGCAATTGAGCGTAAGCACTTACTGTCCAAACAACTTCTAACGATCGACTAACACTCCTCAAGCTTCTCGCGGTCAGTTCACTTTCAGCAACGCTGACAAGGTCGTCGACTTTGCCCAAGCCAACGGCAAGAAGATCCGTGGCCACACTCTTCTTTGGCACTCTCAACTCCCCCAGTGGGTCAAGAACATCCGTGACCGCGCCACCATGACCGCCGTCATCGAGAACCACGTCAAGACCATGGTCACCCGCTACAAGGGCAAGATCCTCCACTGGGACGTTGTCAACGAGATCTTCGCCGAGGACGGTAACATGCGAAACAGTGAGTTCTACCAGGTCCTCGGCGAGGACTTTGTCGGTATTGCTTTCCGCGCCGCCCGCGCCGCCGACCCTGCTGCCAAGCTCTACATCAACGACTACAACCTCGATATCGCCAACTACGCCAAGGTCACCCGCGGAATGGTTGACCACGTCAACAAGTGGGTGTCTCAGGGCATTCCCATTGATGGTATCGGTTCTCAGGCTCATCTTGCCCGTCCTGGTGGCTGGAACCCTGCTTCTGGTTTCCCTGCTGCTCTCAAGGTTCTCGCTGGTGCCAACGTCAAGGAGGTTGCCATCACAGAGCTTGACATTGAGGGCGGTGGTGCTAGTGACTACGTCACTGTTGTCAACTCTTGTCTCACAACTCCCAAGTGTGTTGGTATCACTGTCTGGGGTGTTTCTGACAAGGACTCGTGGCGACCCGGTACTAACCCTCTTCTCTTCGACGGCAACTACCAGCCCAAGGCTGCTTACACTGCTGTGAGCAACGCTCTTAACTAAGAGGTCTGATGTGCCGTGGTTGCAGTACGAGATTGAAATGAGTGAGATTGCATGAGTATCATGAGTTGATCAGGTTTGGGGACAAGCTTGGGTGCCGGGGCTGATGCCAACGGTCTAAGCGAATGTATATATTTTCTTCACACATGAACATATTAAATGAGAGAACATAACGTCAAAATCTGCTTGCTCAATGAAATTTAATCTGAAACCGTGATGCATTAAATTGAACATGTTCGACTTGGCGAACAAAAGACATATTCCAAACCATTCACTATCACAATGTTCTAGGGCTAATTGAACGATACCATTGCACGATCCACTCTTCCATTCAACAACAACAACGAAACACCCACTGCTTGTAACATCAACGAAGAGTAAAAATAGGTATGATATAACTAAAAAATGTTCATTGACATGCGTAGCATTAACTGAAGGTCGTTGAGCACCGATGTAATACAGGAAGCACTTCTAGGGTAGTCGCGCGGTTATTAAACGGCTATACAATTATAGGACAGATAATACACACAATTCAGACTACGTCACAGCTTACATACTTGCGTGCTTAAAATATTCCTAATAATATGCCTGATCTTTCGGAAATGCCCGATCACTACATGTCCGTGGGAAGTCTGAAAAGAGATTCATTTATCGCAACGGTACGTCTGCCGTTAGAGTTATCACTGCAAGCCATCCTATCTGGTCCGCCACTGAATCACAATGCACGTCACAAACAGTAAAGATCTCATGCAAATAATCACTCAACACCAATCTTCCTAGCTTCCCTCGCCTCGCAAGGTCAACCCCAACTTTCATTCCTGTTTTCTGACATCTCGGCTTCCAACCCCACAATCGGTAGATCGTGCATGTGATACAACTAACCTCCAGACTATTGTCAAAGTGCGGGGTGCATTAGCCTCCGAGTGTCTGGCTTGCGAGCATTGCATTTCCGAAGTTAAAGGATAGATCGTCACACAGTGTTTTTTGTTCTAGTGCGCTTTGGCCTTGTTTCCCAATCCAGGACCACTTTCCGACCTGACGAGACGACGTCGACCAAAAGATCGTCATCGGTAGTTGGGGGCATCTAGATGAAACAGAAACATCTGTGTGCTCGGACTTGTTAGTGGATATCATCGAATTGTGGTTGAGACTGCCTGACGGAGCACAAATAATTGCATGTTTTCCATCGCCAACAGCCTCAACAGGGACATTTGTCGTATCATTTTTTTTTAAACAAACACTTTTGACTTTACAACAGTCTATTTTCATCATTTAGGATTCAATCTCAAAATGTCTTCTTCACCAGAGCCAGGTACACGCGGTAACCTCACCGCTGAACAGAACCGCAGTCTGCAAGAAGCATGGGTTCACCTATTTCGTCTCTGCGGGACTCAAACCCTTTCTCCAGATACGCCTGAGAAGACAGGCCAGCTTTTGGAGCATCTCAACAACAAGTCTCCGGAAAACTTCAATCGGAGTTTATGGGAAGCCTTTCTGGCCGATCATCCCGATACCACTATTCTTCGATTCCTTCGTGCAAGGGACTTTGACGTCGTGAAAGCCGTTGACATGTTCGTCTCTTCCATCAACTGGCGAGAAGAACGACAGATCCAAAAGACTGTCATTGGAGGTGGTGAAGCGGTTGGTCTGAAGACTTCGCTTACACCTGATGAAGAAGCTTTCATGGCGCAATATCGCTCTGGGAAGAGTTATGTCAGAGGAACGGACAAAGACAACCATCCTGTTTATGTCATTCGGGTTCGACTCCATGATCCCCATAAGCAGACGGCTGAAGCCATGGAGACATATGTGTTGCACAATATCGAGACACTCAGAATGATGGCTCGAGAACCCAACGACAAGGTCTGTCTCATCTTTGACTTGTCTGGCTTCGGGCTTCGGAACATGGATTTCCATGTTGTCAAGTTTCTCATTGAGGTCCTTGAGACGAGATATCCAGAGACTCTGGGAGTCGTACTGGTTCACAATGCGCCATTCGTATTCTGGGGTACGCAATCTCTTCCAATTTCACTTACAAAACTCTATTCTAACATATTCACAGGTGTTTGGACCGTCATCAAGCACTGGCTAGACCCAGTAGTTGCTTCCAAGGTTCACTTCACAAGCGGAGCCAAAGGCTTACTCAAGTTCATACCCAAGAGTAACTTGCAAAAGTCCTATGGCGGTGAAGATCCTTGGGAGTACAAATACGTCAACCCAGTTCCTAGCGAGAATGAGAGGATGCAGTCAGAGGAGAAGAAGACAAAGATACAGATGGAGCGACAGGAGTTGATTGATCAATTCACACGATTGACTACAGAATGGATCGGTGGTAATAAAGAGACAAGCTCTAAACGTGACGAGTTGGCCCAATTGCTTGAACTTAACTATTGGAAGTTGGATCCGTATGTTAGATCTAGCACTTATTACCATCGCGTAGGAGTGGTTAACAGGGCGGGAGGAATCGATTTCAAGGCTGCGCGTTAATCAGTTCGTAACGGTCACAAGCACCTTTCATTATCGAGATGGCCATGTCTTACAGTTAGTTAGTTCAATCTTGTCTTGTTCAATCAGAGTTTCCCTTAATTAAAAAATGCCTGAGCAAAGCCGTTGTGAATAAACTCAATGCCTTGCCCTGTAAACTTTCCACTGTCGGCCCGTCAAACGTCCCATCGCGCATTGACAAGTGGCGCATATCACAGCCATCTCGTCCAAAAAACAAACAAGAACTCCCCTGTAGGTCAGGCGCGGGTCATACCGACTTGGCATGGGCACCTGGTCGTGATGCAACCTCTTCAGGTGCCCAAAGCGCAATAGTTTGCGAGATGCAGGGGTGCTTTCAGTGCCTCTCTCACAAAAAGGGAAACGATCATCTCGACGGATCCATAGTCCAATTTCCCAGTCTGGGGTTCAGGAAACTAACGACGACGCTAACGTATCCATACTGTAGAAGACCACAGATATCTCCAAAAGCAAAATCCGTCTGTGATGAGTGGCTCAGATAAAAAGAGCTTGCCAACATCCTTGGTGAGAATCTCTCTGCGCTACCTTCATCAAGAGGTGCCTAACCCCATTTTCTTTTGCTTCGTTTGCAACTGAGGGTATCGCAACAAGATGAGGTTCTCCAAATTTTTCCTCACGACTCTTGCGTCGTTTAGTCTTGCTGCTCCTGAAGCTGCGCCGAGAACTGTCTCTTCGCCTGAATTATCGGGAGAATTGGTGCAGCTTTTGGAGAAGCATAACCTCGCTCTTGTTCCTCGTTCTGAACTCACGGATGCTCTCAAAGAGCTGAACACTCTTCTCAAGAGCAACGCGTTTCCCCGCGCGCCTGTTCTTATCAGACGACAGAACAGCACTTCTGGCTCTGGGTCAAAGTCCGGCTCTGGATCCAATTCAGATTCAGATTCAGACGATTCTGATGATGGAGGGTCTAAAATCGCAGCTATCCCTGGACTAGACGGTCTTGGAGATCTGGGATCTGGTCTCAAAGGATTGACAGATGCCCTTGGCGATGTCAAAGATCTTTTCAAAGCTCTGGGTGACTTGCTGTCGCCCGAGTTCCTCCAGGCTTTCCACGATGCTATGGTCTATCTTGCAGCAACTCTCAAGCCCCCAGCACCAAATCAGGTCAGAAATCTCCTTGCCAAGGCAGGACCACTTCTGGATCTAGTCGGCGAACTTAACCTCAAAGACCTCGTCGATGAGATCAAAGGTGTCGACATTGCCGGCATCGTGTCAAAGGTTCTCAAACTTCTCACAGACGACAACCTCAAGAATATTAACGGTCTTCTCACCAACGGCGCCACACTCTTGACTCCTGAATTCGTCAAACAGACAAAAGGACTCATTGGCGATGTTTCACCTCTTCTTGACGAGATATCTCCCCTGCTCAAGAAACTCACCGACCTTGACATCGAAGGCATCCTCCAAGCTTTGGACCCTCTCCTCAAGAAAGAGGCTATCCAGGGTATTGTCTCTCTTGTCAAGAACGCCAGCAATCTCTTGACAGCCAAGACAGTCGATGAGATTCAGGATCTTCTTGGTGAAGTCAGCCCCATCATCAAGGACATCGCACCACTCCTTGAACAGCTTACGAAGCTCAACCTTGAAGAAGTCCTCAAAGCGCTGCAGCCGCTTCTCAAGGATGATTCTATCAAGGGTATCTTGAGTTTGCTCAAGAACGCTGAGAGCCTCTTGACGCCCAAGTTTGTGGACCAGACCCAAGATCTCATTGGAGCTGCATCGCCTTTGATCGATAAGCTCAGTGATATTGATCTCAAGGGTGTCCTTGATGCGCTCAGCCCGATCTTGAAGAAGGAGGCTATTCAAGGGCTTGTTGGGCTGCTCAACAATGCAGAGGATCTCTTGTCCAAAGAGACCGTAAAAAGCATCAAGACACTCCTCACTGAAGCTTCTCCACTGATCGAGAAACTGTCAGATGTTGACCTCAAGGGTGTGTTGGATGCCTTGAGCCCAATTCTGAAGAAGGAAGCCATCCAAGGCCTTGTTGGCCTTTTGAACAACGCCGAGGATTTATTGTCCAAGGAGACTGTCAAGAGTATCAAGACCCTTCTATCTCAAGCGTCGCCACTCATTGATAAGCTTGCGGACATCGATCTGAAGGGAGTTTTGGATGCCCTCAGCCCGATCCTTAAGAAGGAAGCTATTCAGGGTCTCGTGGGGCTCTTAGGCAATGCTGAGGATCTCTTATCAAAGGAAACGGTCAAGAGCATCAAGACTCTTCTGTCAAGCGCGTCACCATTGATTGACAAGCTATCGGATCTTGACTTGAAGGGTATTCTAGACGCTTTGAGCCCCATTCTGAAGAAGGATGCGATCCAGGGTCTAGTCGGTTTGCTCAACAATGCCGAAGATCTTCTTTCCAAGGAAACCGTCAAGAACATCAAATCACTTCTTTCAAGCGCTGGTCCTCTTATCACTAGCCTTGGAAAGATTGACCTTGCCGGGGTTCTTGATTCACTCGCACCCCTCTTGACCAAAGAGTCCATGAAGGGCATTATCGGTCTTTTGGGCAATGCTGAGGATCTTTTGACGAAGGACTTTGTCTCAGACACAAAGAAACTCATCTCCAACGCTAGTCCACTGCTTACCAGCTTGGGCAAGCTTGATCTCAAGAGTCTAATTGATGTGATCGCACCACTCCTTACCAAGGACTCAGTCAAGGGAATTGTCAGTCTTCTCGGCAATGCCGAGAATTTACTCACCAAGGATTTCGTGTCACAGACCAAGTCTCTGATCTCGAAGGCTTCACCCCTACTTGACAGTCTTGACGATGCAGACCTGAAGGGCTTGCTCGATCAAGTTGGACCTCTTCTCAAGGAAGTTGGCAAACTCAAGCTCGAGGACATTCTCAGCGCAGTTCGACCCTTGTTGACCAAGAACTCCATCAACGGCATCATTGGTCTTTTGAACAACGCCGAGAACCTCCTCACAAAGGACTTTGTTTCACAGACAAAGCTTTTGATCGCCAAGGCTGCACCTCTACTGAACAGCTTGGATAAGGCTGATCTTGCGGGCTTGCTCGACCAAGTCGGTCCTCTGCTGAAGCAGGTTGGAAAGTTGAAGCTGGATGAGATTCTGAGTGCTGTGCAGCCCTTGCTCACTAAGGACTCTATCAAGGGCATTGTCGGATTACTTGATAATGCTGAGGATCTTCTTACCAAGGACTTTGTGTCTCAAACAAAGGGCCTCATCTCCAAGGCTTCGCCACTTCTCACCAGCCTTTCCAAATTGAACTTGGAGGATCTACTTGACCAGGTTGGCCCGCTTTTGAAGATGCTTGGTAAGCTTGATCTTGAGGGTTTACTGAGCGCCGTGGCACCACTCCTCACGAAGGATTCCGTCAAGGGTATTGTGGGATTGCTGGACAATGCTGAGGACTTACTGACAAAGAAATTCGTCAACGAGACTCAGACACTCATCACTGGAGCTGTACCCTTAATTTCTTCACTGAGTGAGCTTGATCTTCCCGATCTAATTGATCAAGTGTCACCTTTACTGAAGGAGATTGGAAAGATTGATCTTGCCAAGCTCGTCAAGCAATTGTCACCACTATTGGACGAGATCAGTGACTTGGACATCAAGGGCTTGTTTGAAGCCATTTCACCTTTACTCTCACCAAAGGGTATCAAGGGCATCATGGGGCTTCTTGGCAACGCTGAGGATCTCCTCACGCCCAAGTTTGTCAATCAGACACAAACACTCATCGGCGATGCAGTACCATTGGTCTCAGCTCTTGGTGAGATTGATCTTAAGAAGCTCATCAAGCAGCTTCAACCTTTGCTTGAAGCACTCGGCGAGATTGACTTGGGCGATCTCATCAAAAAGGTGAAACCTCTTTTGAATGCGCTCATGAAGATTGATCTCGTCAAGCTGGTCAACAAGATTATGCCCCTGCTGGATTCCCTGGATGATATCGATCTTGCGGGATTAATTGATGCGCTCAAGCCTTTATTGACGCCCAAGTCCGTCAAGGGAATTGTCGGGTTGGTCGATAACGCAGGAGATCTTCTCAGTGACAAATTCGTCAATCAGACACACACGCTCATCTCAGGCGCAGTACCACTTATTGAAGTGTTGAACAAGGTTGATCTGGAGAGTTTGTTTGAAATTATTGAGCCGATTCTAGAAGAATTAGATGGTCTTGATCTCTCTGGTCTTGTTGACGCGGTGAAGCCTTTGCTCAATGCGCTGAAGAAGATTGACATCAAGGGCATTCTGGACCAGGTCATGCCGTTCCTCACACCAAAGACAGTCAAGGGATTGTTGTCACTGGTAGGAAACGCGGAGAGTTTGTTGAGTAAGGCTTTTGTGAACCAAGTATCGGAGCTCATTGGAGATGCAACACCGGTAAGTGATTGTGTGTTTTATTGATGGAGACAATTGGCTAACTTCTATTCTAGCTTGTTGCGACTGTTGCGGACTTGGTACACGCTATTTTGAAGGAACTCATGGGTCGGACGTAATGCGGGATGAATTAATTGATGACTTGGATGGAATGTCAATTTAATTTTATGTACATAATGATTTGAATCGAAATGAAGGATACCCAGTATCTGCTTGGTTGACCATTGTTGCTGTGTTGTACTCTGTTTGGTGTTGTTGAACCTCACGCGAATGCCAGTTTAGTGAGTGCACCAAGATTACAGGGCAATCATGCGGTAATCTGCTTCGCAAGGCTCTGTTCGTTATCTTTGAACCTGAACAATAACCCTTGCAGCTGAGACACGGTCCAGACCTTTGTTTCCTTTTGTTAGCATTGCGACGAGTCAGCGGGTAATTACAGGCACTGTTCCGCTAAACCTTGGCCACTACCGAGTCATGTCCACACAGTGCAACCGTTATCTTGACAGTTCTCAGTGTCTGATCACCGACGTCACCTTCATTTATTTGACACTTTCTTAATATCGCAAACTAAGCTCTTTGAGTTCACACCACAAGTCAATCACTGCACACACTTTAAACTCAATTCTACCAAAACAGAAAGTGAGGGGAAAAGAAAAGGTGGTCATGTGTGTGTGCCTGTCTCTCTCCAATTCCGCTCCATCACTTATCAGTTTCCGCTAGGTAATGATCAGCGCTCTCGTATTGACTCCTAGCGCCTTGACCCCGCTGAAGATCAGAATTTGGCTGCCATCCCGAGCTGGGATGTGCCTTGTTTGAAGAATCGCTAGTGCAATGACCCTTGTATAACATTTCCAGGCTCCTTGGTCTGCGACGTTGAACCAATTTAGTTGGCCAAAACGCTTCCTCTAGACTCTTTTGTTCTTTCCTGAGGCTGTTGGTGATAGTTGCACGCTGTCGCTAAGAGCTGGTTGACTTCAAAATGGCTTCAACACAGGAAACAATGGCTGGTGCAGCGCCCGAGTCAAGGGACAAGACCATTCCTCAAGACGCGATGTCTCAAGATGCGCAGAGTGATAATGCTCCCTCTGACGACCAAATCCGCGACGAAAAGGCTGCTGCAGGACCTACTAAATGGCAGAAAGTAAAGGCGCATCTCATCAAGTTCAAATGGTGGTATTTGCTCGGTATCGTCGTCCTTCTGGCCATCTTGCTTCCACTGCTGTAAGTCAATCACTTCCACCCACATTTCGCGACATGTCTGACTATAAACAGCTTCACTGTCATCATTCCGGCAATCGTCCAAAACATCCTCAATGGCCAAAAGCTACCCATCAATGGCGGCGCTTTGCAAGTCATCTCCCCAGATCAAGTAAACATGAGTATAATCACATCACTGGACACGCCATTAGCCGCGACTCTGAAGCCTGTTGATTTGTACCTGTACAACAAGGAGGTACATCCGATGGCCTCGTTCCTCACCCTCAAGCTTCCAAACCTTCATCTCAACCACAACACAGATGTCACTGTCGTGAACCAGACGATGAATGTCACGGACCAGAAGGAGCTTTTGTCTTGGTTCAACGAATTCTTTGACAAACCCAAAGTCGAGCTCTCGTTGGAGGGTAAGCCTGAGATTCATCTCGGGGCATTGAAGTACCACCGCAGCCTGAAAAAGACAATTGAGATCCCTTCTCTGACCTACCTCGATGGATTTGCCCTCAATGATCTCGACTTCGATCTGCAGTCAAACCGAACATCCAAGTACAACATGAAAGGCCATCTCAACATCCCCAACTCCGGTGTTCTCCGTCTTGGCCTCGGGAATCTGACCTTCAACGTCTTGATGGGCGAGACAAGAGTCGGGTTGATCAACATCTGGGATCTACAAATGTGGCCCGGTAACAACACCGTCCCATTCGAAGGCAACTTCTTCTTTGACGAGTTGGTACCCAATCTTTCCGAAATCCTCGACAGTCAAAAGGTCGCGCTGAGCAAGGGCTACCTCGAGTTCTTCGCAACCGGAAACACCACCATAGCCAATGGCGAGCACATCAAGTACATCGAGGGTGTCTTGAACAAGAAACACATCAGGTTCACGTTCCCTGTGATCACGTTGCTTGGTGATGTCCTTGGTGGTCTGATGGATGGTGATCAAGGTTCTCTGCTGAATATCTTCGGCGGTGCTGTTGGAAACACGACCTTGCTTGAGCATGTTTTGGGTCATTGGGATGGAAGCGGCGGGGGAGGTACAGCTGATAAGGTGGCTAGAGGGTTATTTGCGAGAGCTAATGGTGGAAAGTCGAAGTCTTGGATGTGGAGTTTGATGAAGTTAGGTCTAACGAGAAAGGGTCTATGAAGCAGTTAGCGATGATCTGTCATGTTTAATGTAACGCATTTGTTCTTGGTCTTCAAGTCGATGATTTCAGTCTCGGGTATACAGTGCTTTCGTGGGAATGGATGTATTCGTCTTCGTGACAAGTGTAGCGTCAAGCCTCGGCCGATAACCAATGGCTTCCGGGTCTTGATCGCATCAGAAGGATTCGTGCCATACTCCGTCGCGCTTCCAGTTCCGCTCGTCCGCTGCCCCTCTTGCTTCGTGATACCAGCGGATCTCTTGCCTCAACTGTCCGACAACATCGGTCTACTCGACATCGCTCCTTCGCTCCTTGGCTCCTTGGCTCCTTGGCTCGTCGTTGCTCGTTCAGAGGTATTACGGAAATAATTACTACTCGCCGAACCTGTACAACCAAAGTCAGCACAACCATTTGCATCGAATCGGCTGCACACTAACCAGGTCTCAACGTCCCCCATGGAACCCAAGGGGTGAATCGCCCAAATCTCCTCGAACCCTTCAGGAGCCGTCATGACAGTGTCGGAGAAAGGATCTATCCAGCTAAATCAGTAACTGTTCAACCAGCGAGTAGACCCGCACTTACCAAGATTGTCGATATCGACGATGGGCTTGTGCTTCTCTGGCTTTTCCTCAAAGAGTTTGCTAGTATCGATCTTCGCACGACGCAACTCAGCCTTGATGATAAATTCCTGCACAGCCCTGTCCTCGATACCGCGGAGTCTGTTTTTGGGACCCTTGGTGCTCGTGGTTAACTTGTCGTCTTTCTTGGCGAGGAACTTGATTCTGCAGGCCCAGCAAGGCCAACGGTAAGTCTCGCTGTCGAGGAGTTTGGCTGGAGTGTCGGGGATCTTGAGCTGGTCGGGAATCTCGGCTTCCTCAGTGAGCTTGACCTTGGTTTCGGAGGCGGACTTCTTGGGCTGCTCGGGCGCAGGCAGGCGAGGGCTGTGAGTGAAATTGTCAGTTTCTTTCTGATAGGTGATGCACGATAACGTACCAGAGGCTTCCGACCTCTCTCACGAGAGGATGGCCCTTCCAAGAGACGTCGCGGTCAGACATTGCGCAGGTTCATAGGGTGATTCGAGGAGATGTGTGTTTTTGAAAGGTTGAGGTTGTAGAGAGTAAACGCCTGAGAAGAAATTCGACTTGAGTGGTGGTGGTTACTCGGGCTAGCTGCCAAGATCTGCCTACCAGCTGGCGAGCACCGTCAGTCACTGCTCGCCAGCCGGCGCGTAGAAGATTCTACAGCCGCGCCTCGCAGCAAGCAAACAAACAGGCAGTCCTGTTATTTTCTATTTTCCCTTGGCTTCTTTTTCCTCTTCGTTTGTTCAACCTCGACAACATTCTTTTCTTGGGAACATCCAGCTATCCGTCTTGTTATCATCATCATTATCCGTCTTTCAACAAGAATAGTATCTTCTATCACGAGCATCCATACCCCCCTACGTTATTCAACATGAACAACGTCCAGCGTTTCCGAGGCAAGTGACCCGTTCGCAGCTTCTTTCGTCATCCTGCTAACGATATCACCAGCAAACTATTCGGCTGAGAACCCCGATCGTATGGAAGATCCCTTTTGTGTGGTTCTTTACTGACCCTTTCGCAGCCGCTTACATGCCCGTGAAGATTTTCAACCATCGCTGCGTCAACGCTGACTACACAGTCCGACTCGTCGTGGAGATGGCCAACGGGAGACGAATCATTCTCCCTGAGCGTGAGGTTCAGGCGGTCTACCCGCACTTCGTATACGGCTATTGGAAGTCCTTTTCAGGTGGTCGTGCGGCCATCACTGGATTCAACATGTATCACCCCTTCTTCATTCTCGATCATCGCAAGACGAAGGGTCGCGCCGGTACTATCGAGTATCTTGTCCAATGGGTGGGATACGACGAGGAAGACACCACCTGGGAACAAGCGCAAGATCTGGCTTTTTGGTCGGCTGAGCTCAAGGATGACTATGACGAGGCGTACCAGCTGTAGTGATATATGTTGGAGAAACCTTTTATGATTGCTATCGATATTAAAGGTGTAGGAGAAACAAGGGGAGAGGCTCAAGGATAGCTCTGGACGAAGATATGTATTGGGTTAAGTCCCTGGCCATATTGGTAATCGCGGCACATGTATGACTAGAAACGTCATCTTTAGATACCCAATTTTAAACACCCGACACTTGAAATTATCCCGCATTCGGAACAAGACACGGTCATTGTGCTGAAAAGTCCCAGCGGCTTTGTTCCCCGCGAGCAACAATTATGTGCAAAAGTTCCATCAAGAACAACCTTCAATGTTCAGTTGAATGACAAAGGTGAGAACAAGAACACTAGCCGTTCTATTTTCTCCGTCTGGACTAGTGTTCAAAGCCACCCCCGAAACATACGGACGCTTAACCAAACAGACTCTTAGATGGTCAGCGATCGGCATCTTTCATCCGTCAACCGTCAGCCACTAGAATATTCTCGACAAATACTTTGACGAAATGGCGGCTAATACGAGAGTTAATATGATGTGTTGTGTCTAGAATGGCTGGAGTCAATTGAGCTCCTCTGACGATGGAGAACTTCCAGACTGCGGTTGACTCCGTGGAGGACACGAATAAAGGCAATTGGGTTCAATTGAGAATACCTGCTTCTTGACGTCAAAAGCCAAGTTTGCAACGCCACCGCAACGTTGCACGATCATCATGGCGACCGTTTGAACAACGACAACGCTCAGCCCCAACGAGCGCGCCACATCGTCTTGGAACCAACTGCCAAGATCAGCAATTTCAGACGGCGAGATCGAGAGTTTATTACATGCTAATGGGGATTCTCTCTGTCTAACTGGCTGTAATCGTGACGTGTATTTGGTAATGTGGCGCTGGCGCGTACGGATCTTCGGCTTCCTCTAGCGCAATATCAGCAGGTTTATTGTTAGCTACACTTCATCGCGGTCCTCTCTCTTACGGCCAGACAAGTTCAATGTCAGAGCCTTACCCGTCGTAAGAAGTCCGGCGGGAATATAAACTGGCAAGTCTGCTGCTCTGTATCACCATCCACACTCTCCCACCACGCATCGCTATCAACCCTTCTTCCCACACTCCGAAGCTTAGTACCTTACTCTCGCTTTAATCCAATACATATCGAACCGATAACTACTCTCGCTACCATGAAATTCTCCGCTTACGCCCTCCTCGCCTTCGCCATCTCTGCCCAAGTCAGTACCAATGACCATCCCCGACACTGACCGATCACTAACGTTATCCCACAGGCGCAACAAAGCGAGCTCTCCTCCATCAAAGGCGAAGTATCCTCCGCCATCGGCGGAGCATCAAGCGCCATCGACAGCGCCCGTGGCTCCGTCACATCTGCCATTGCGAGCAGGACCAAAGAAGTTGCTTCGGCTGCCTCGAGCATCACCAGCAACATCGACAACATCAAGTCCAGCCTTTCAACAGCAAGGGGAGCAGCTTCAACGTCTCTCCGTTCAGCTCTAGAGTCAGCCAGTACCGCTCTTGATAGTGCTAGGGCTAGTGCAACTGAGACCTCCGCCTCGAGCACGTCCGAGGCTGGTGGTTCAATGCCCACAGCAGCTATTGCTATGGGAGCCATGATGGGTGGTGCTGCTATTTTCGTTAATATGTAATATCGTTCCCGATTGAGTTGTGAGCATCTAGAAGTAATACAGACCAATAATGTTGTGGTCCGTGCCTCATTTCTCAATTGCGTGTGATGTAGAGACAACGGGTAAAGACAATGACAAGTTGAATGGATAGCTTTGTGAGTCGTCTCCGTCTTGCTTTACAGTGGCATTCTCTCCCCATGGGGTCCCCAACCTCATGTCTTGCAACAAGAATCACAAGAGTACGGAGTCCGCATCTTCCGTGAGAAAGCCTGGTTTAGGGAGCTAATGCACACTACTGTAAAGTTCGACTTGGCACAAAAGCTTGACAAACGCTATCGTTAGTGCGGCTGTGAAGCTTTGGGGGTCAAGCTGTTTGGTGGAGTCGGCGGTATGGATGTTCGCGGCCGCATCTCACTGGAATCTCTACATAGAATGGTTAGGCTGTTTATATACTGTGACAGTCCCACGTTTAAGCACATACGACCAAAGGTAGTGGAAAATACGGGATCCCGTCCGCTCTCCCATAGTCAAGCCACTAACCGGCGGATTAGTAGTTGGGTCGGTGACGACCAGCGAATCCCCGCTGTTGTATGTTTTTTTGCCTTTTTTCTCAACTGTGCTTACCATCCATCCATCATTCCTTTGGGGATGATGATTGAACTTTAAAATCAAGGCAACAGTGACATTTCCAATCCCAGAGGTAGCAACTTCCAGTGACGCTGTCTTGGGAACTTTGAGTTATCAGCTAGGGACGACGCGGAAAGCGTGTGGCTAGGGTGATTGTGGTGGATCGTTAATTTATTTATGCTTGAAACAAACGACCATCGTTGAATTGTTTTAGTATCTTTTCTTCTCTTGACTTACATATTTGAAACGAACTAGCTTAGGAATATGGAACACGGCAATTGGACTACCTGAGTCTGATCTCCATCTTCCACCTTGGCTACTCAAGACAAAGGCAGAGTCCACACCATTCCACAACAAAGTCAGAGTCTTGAATCCTTGTGCCATCGCAACGTACCTCACTGTCAATCTTTTATTTCGCAGGCAAAACCCCATAATTCCATGGCTAAAACACAGTCTCAAGTTTAGACAGCCCCCCGAATGCCTGCCATCAGTCACTGATGTTCTGGCCAAGCAACCACGATATGCCATGCTGTGGCTGGGTGAATCGCCGACAATACTATGCTTCTTGCCCGCTCCCTATTTTCTCTTAATATCAGCAGTTGTTGGCTGTTGGCTGTTGGTCGAAACGTTGCGCATCACCACACCCAGATAGGATCATGAGGTGCAGAAGCCTCCAATGCACCTGTTTGTCAATGACGGAGAGGAAATACTAAAGATCGCTCGGTAAGAGTAAAGTAGCATATAAACCGCAGAATAACACCGTATCTCCTAGCAATATACCAGCGTTCACAATCGCATACATTCTACCACAGTTACCTACAATCGCCTACACTTCACGACTCATTCCTACACCGCAATATTAAACATCAAACTTGAATATCTCTGCAGACTTCGCCATGTCTCCAACACCTAAGAACAGTGCTGCATCCGAGACCACTGAGACGCCTGTTCCCGGCCTGTATCCCGGAACCCGATGCACCAAATGTGCGGAGAGCGGGGTGGAAACCTGGGTTATACCTGGCAAGAATTGTAAAGCTGGCGGAGCGCCTTCTTGTTAGTTATCTAGCAATTACCGACGGGAGTTGACACCATCGAAAAATATGACAGTTGACTAATCTCGAGAATTCGATATTGATAGCTGTCGTTGTTCTTCGGTAGAACTACAAGACTGCAAAATGAGTTAGACAACAGCAGGGCCTAGAAAACCGGGGAGACATGCGCGATCAGTTATATCATTATTAGACCAGGACAATGAAAATCGATTAACAAAACTTATTGAACGAAAATCCGTGACCCTGTCTTCCAATAGTGGGTGGCAGGAAGGTTGGCCCTCCAAGTCTTGGGGTATAAGAATAAGTAGTCGAAGGACCATAAACTGACCTATTAATTTCGTCTCGTCTGCTTCCAAAGGCCAGGTTCTCTAGTACCCTGAGGTTCCAGTGTTTGGTACATAGAGAGATTGTAAATTGTTGACTAATCTTTACCGCGACACTGTTCTCGGTATGTATCCAAGTCCACAATAGACCAGACCCAGTGAATTTTGCCTTCCTCCAACCAATACATGACATGTTCATGAAAATTGACCCCTTGTCCATTAGGCTTGACGTCAGCCCAAGTTTTGACTGGAACACCTGTAAATTCCAGCCTAGCAGCAACTCGACCAGACTGCTTATCGACGAGCAGATCCTGGATGTCAAAATACAAGCCCTGAATGGCTTCTTGACTTTCTTGGATCAGGGATATGTACTCCGCAATGGTTTTCTCGTGGGTATTGTGCGTCACCAGCGGCTTGCAAAATGTTTCAAAAGTGGTCTCCATTGTCTTCTCGTTGATGCTTCCGATGTATTGGCGATAAGTCGAATCGAGATCAACAGTCGTGGGGTTGAAACTCTCCAGGAGATGTGCCGGTGTGCTCGTCGCTGAAGGTTCTCTGGCACGTCGAGAATCATTATCTTGTAGCGATTTGATGGCTGAGAGTTGACCATCTGTGAACCATGCTAACACAATCTCTTGATACTGGAAGCTCTCATCTGATGAAGTAGACTGGGTCTTGATGACTCTGGCAGCAATGGCCTGCGCGTTGACGTCTATAACAGAGCTGTCGAGTTTTGAAGAAGTATTATTATTCTCGACATCAGAGCGCAGATGGGCGATGAATGTGTCTCGTTGTAGAGAGTTGTTGTTGACCGCCACGGTTGGCTGGAGTAAAGATTTTAGCGTATCCCAGTGTCCCTCGGATTGGGCACTGAGAATTGCTTCCAAGGAGTCGATGATTTCATATCGTGATAGTGAGTGACTCATGATGAAATTCTCGTTTGACATATGTCAGGGAATTTGTGAAATGAGTGAGTCCTCACGGTGATCAAGCAGGGTCATCGAGGAATTTAATATAATTGTCAGCAAGGTGACAACGACGCCCTTAACAAATCCTTTGGATTAGTAATGATATCTCGATGCCGTTTGATCGACGACCTATCTCTAAGCTTTTTCTCCGCACGCCAAGAACAAGACGTTTTTGATAAGAGTTGATCACCGCAGGCACTGACCTAAAATTGAGGCTCCAGGGTAGCAGAAAAATTGATCATTGAAGCATGAGACGATATTAGTAGGTCAGTTTCTACTCCTTAGGTAGTTAGGTTATGAACTTAGATCATCTATTTCTGTACCCTAAAGCTCGAAGGTCATCTCTGAATGAAGATGCAGCTGTTACTGCCGAGTTGAACAACTCTTGTTTCTCCATGGCTGTCATGTTCGTTATTTTTGCTGGTAAAAGCAATGACGTTATGGCTGCTCGCTCCTTAATACCTCCTGCCGGTACCAGAACAGTTTCCCACTAAGAGCACAGCTGACAAAATTAGTCGGTCAGTTTATACCCATTAGACCACACTTAGATGTCTTAATTTTGTACCTTAAGGCCTAGGAGGTTATTTCTACGACCCACTAGCCTCCCTCTGTTCTCTACTTGCATCTCCCATCTTTCTTTTATCAACATAACATTTTTCATCATCCACTACCATCATCTATCAATATGACTTCCACGCCTACCGATCACGAGATCGCTGCAACGCCCGCCACATCCCCTTTCCCGTCGGAACTCGATCCCCATTCGGCCACCATCTTCGCCAAGCTGTCTACTGAACAGCAAGAGGCCGCCAGAGCAGCAAAGGAACAAACCGGACAGTATCCTTAGGAGCTGATACCCGATGTCAAGGACGAATTATGGTGGAGCACCGGCGCGCTGATGAGCCTTGAGAGACTGCTCCGCTTGTACAAGTACAATCATGGCTTAAACGATGTCAACGCTGGCATTGATGTGATCCTGCGGAATTTCGGTGATCAAATGTCTGAGGCAGGCATCAGCTAGGAGAGATATCTGTCCAGGCCCGACATGGTCGGGATCGTTGCCCCACAAAACTCACCGAGCCCCGAAGTCCGTGATTCACCGACTCAATCTCCCAAGTCACCATCGCCCGACTGGACCAGGAAGCAACTCAGAATCGTTCAAGATGTGATTCGGCCTACCGAAAGGCTGCTCAACTGTGTCAAATCCAACGCCAGCATGATACTTCGGAAGCTTCATCTCGAATACGACGAATGCATGGACTTACTGCTGCTTTCGAACAACGTCCTTGATATTGCAACAAAACTTCATGCGTCTCAATGGGCCCTAGTAGTTACAGCAAAGGCCAATATCGCCCAGATCCGAACTCTGATCGATGACAGCAACGAAGCCAGCAACCAGGCCAGCAGCAGCCATCATGCCGGCCAGAGATCCTCCGACCAAGCATTGAACATTCCACGTGATATCATTGGCCAACAGGTCAAGATACTTGAACGTGCGTTACAAAACGCTCGAGACGCCGACGAGAAGGCCAACAAGAGCTATGAAGGCAAGGCGAAAGCGGAAGAGCGAGTGGAAGAGATTATCACTCAAATCAAGGCGTGCACAAAGAAGATAAAGAAGTGGGAGGAGCGAAAGTCTCGAGCGGAAGCAGAGCTAAGGCACTTATCGCTCTTGGTCACATTCTCCAAGATTGGTGAACAAGGTGTAAGGATATTGGAGGAGAAATACCCGGGCCTCCTGAAGGATCTGGGCGACATGGCAAGAGAGTTTGAAGGGAACAACGAGTGACTGATTGATCTCATGGGACCAGCGAGTCTGGAAAAAAGAAACATGAATGAATTTCAACATGGTCTTTCAGGTATCTGTTCTCCGTGATTGGAGCTACAGAATAATGTTCAGTTAAAGCGACAACAATAGCGGAAATTATGCTACGTTGTCAATTGACAAGAATACTCTAACTTGGCGTTTTATCGTGAGGCCAGTTTATGTTCATTGGACTATGGGCTTTAGGCTCCCTCTCTTTATGTCCTAAGTTTTAGGAAGCCGACTTTTCTGCATTCACAGTATAAGCTTCGTCAGCGTTATAAATCGTCGGGAGGCTCGGGAGGAGGATGGCCCTTGTCATTTTGCAGTGGTAGCGATGTTGAAGACGTTTTGGAGGAAACATAAAAAATACACGGTGTTTTCACGACCACGTTTGATCTTTGACTTTTGTATTCCGTCCTCATCATGACTGTGCAGCGATCGACTTTTGTAGGCTGTGTTGTCGTTTCGCGTACTCTGCAGTTGACTCCTCAATTGAAGCTGGAAAATGGAAAAAGGAGACAACAACGTATAGGCAGGGATCCGCAGGTCGTCGCCGACCCAACTACTGATCCGCTGGTTAGTGGCTTAACGATACGATAAGAGAACCGACGGGGAAATTGAATCAGGAATAAAGATATCCGAAGCTTTGCCGAAAACTCCATTTCCATAACAACCCAGCCCAGCAAGTAAGCAGAAAGATGAACCGCCAAATCTTAGGTTACAAAAATAAACGGTCTAAGTGGTAATTTCTAAGCGTCATAAATTGACTTACTAATTTCGTCTCTTATGCTTTGGGCGGTCAATCTTTCTAGTACCCCCATGCCAACCTGGTCTAAGCCACTCTAAACCCTTGCAAGGCCGATAATATAACAACTGAGAAATATAGAACCATTTTCTTACACTGTTTCGTTTGTTACTTAAGGCCTCCAATCTGTCGCTCTAGGAGTTTTAATTATCTGACGTCGTGTCTTCAATACAATGCACAAACCTTCATGAAAACAAACGTTGCATTAGCATCTCATTGGATCACTATGGAATCTCTTGGAGAAAGGCTTGGGCTCTTGGCCCATCGAATTTACCTCCACGGCTGGATATTTTGGTACGTGTATAGTATACTCACGGGCCTTTTGATATACACTTATGTCCTGGAATCATTCCTCTTCAAGGAGGAATTACCGCAATCACTCAAGGAATTCTTACTACTACGCAGAGCCCAAATAAGCCGGGAGGAAATGTCATGGATCCTTTCCCACATCGCCGTCCAAGCTACTCAGATCACCATCGTGTATCTAATGTGGCGAGCCTTCAAGATAAAGGAATCAAAGCTCCATGTCAAGAACCAAACAGGCTTTATTGAGCTTATAGAAGGACTGCCCCCATTTGGCTTACTACAAAGCATGCGATTTTTATATTCACTGTTCGTAAGCCCTACTGGACAAGACATTTACAAACGGAAACAACCCGTGATTCGACTCTTCACAACACGGGGTTTGAACATTTCTTGCGCAGTTGTATGTTTTGGGATCTTGATCTACGAGCTAAGAGCCCGATCAATACGTCTCTTGGCATTTCTCCTTCCGCTGCTTTACGTCGACGCCTATGGATCTGCTTTATCACAGTACATGGCAGGTCAAGGATTGGATTGTGCCCCAAATCTACTTGCCAAGTATGAGCAAAAGCCTAAACTGGCTATTGCTTCCGCCTTTATCACGTTTGGCATGATATTCGGCGTCTCGTTCCTGGCACACCCTTTTGTGCGCGTTGTCCTTTTCCTCACTCCGTTCTGCAGCGCTGCCTTGCTTTTCTACTTTTTGCTCTATCGCCATATCCCCAATTATGTGGCTGAACCACTTCCTCTTCCTCAAATGTCAGTCCCCCCCGAAACCCGATTCTGTCGAGTTTGTCGTACTACAATACTCGCCAAGCTTAGAGAGAATTCTGGAAGCGTTGATGACATCCCAGAATCAGGACATCACCGTACCAAGAGTTCACTAAGAAGCTCTGCTGTAGCAGGATGTCGCATTTGCACCACCATCTGGGATCGCCTCACAGAGGAAATCTCTAGTGCCATCCGATATCTACCTTCGGTCTACTTTACGACTTATGAATACTCGGTCAAGTCGATTAATATCCACGTCCAGTGGCATAATCACCTATGTGCATTCATAATTGAACGAATCAGTAGTAAGGTCATTCGAAAAGTCAATCAACGATTCCCCCCGGAATCAATCCCTTTTGAACGTTACACACTTCCAGAAAGTGACTTGGAGCATCACACTGGATCAGAACAAAGTCTGGACCAGGCTAAGACATGGTATTCGAGCTGCATACGGTATCATCCTGACTGTAGCACCAATACTGGTGCCAAAGGATTTCAGCCATCACGGTTATTGTACCTGGGGGGTCCCGAAAACATCAGGATCCATATCAGGGGCGAGTACCCCCACGACATGACATATATGACGTTGAGTCATTGTTGGGGAAGTTCGCACTTTATCAAGTTACAAAGCGATAACCTCGATGAATTTCGTCGAGAAATCTTATGGAAATTCCTTCCCCAAACGTTCAAAGACGCTATCCGCGTTGCAAGGTATCTCGGCTCCCAATATCTATGGATCGACAGCCTCTGCATTATACAGGACTCATTAGATGATTGGGGTCAGGAAGCAAAGGCAATGGGCGAGGTTTATCGAAACTCAATGTGCAACATTGCTGCTTCAAGCGCATCCGACAGCAGCCAAGGCTGTCTGTACCCGCGCAATCCACGAATTCTACAGCCCGAGCCTCTTGATAATTATGGAGACGAGTTGAAGGACTTGTACCTTTTCAATAGAAGCTGGCCATCGAAGCCATTTACGTTGTACACTCGAGCATGGGTTCTCCAAGAAGCTTTGCTTGCACCGAGGACTCTTGATTGTGGGCAAAGTCAGCTATACTGGAGATGCGACGCTGCCAAGGCATCAGAAGAGTGTCCTGGAGGATACCCGATTACCAAAGGTGTTTACCTCAGCCATCCAGCGCATTCATCAAGCTGCCCCAATGAAAGTCTAAGAGCCATGGTGGCACAGACAAATCGCAGGAAGGAGGATCAATACAGGTATCCTGAGGAGCCACGCCCTTCTACTCTTGTCAAGTCTCTGGCCCTGACAGACGAGGGACTACAAGCCGCGGTGGATCATTGGAGTAAAATCGTTGAAGCCTATAGCAACATGTCTTTGACGTTTGAGGCTGACATGCCCATTGCTATTCATGGCGCTATCGAGGCTTTTCGGCCGTTTCTAGGTCAATACTATGCTGGTATGTGGGAATACACCTTGCCTGCTCATCTTGTCTGGATGCCCACTTGGCCAGCCATAGTGACTACGGTTCTCCACTGCAAGAGACCGCTCGTCAAAAGAGCTCCGAGCTGGTCATGGATGTCACTTATAGGCAAGATTGAATATAAACAAACATGGTAAGTGATTTTCTGTTGGTGACTCTGAAAAAACACTTCTTAGCAACATGACCTGGTATAGAGAAGGGCATTTGCAACTCTACCAGACACATAAATTGACATGTGCTAATATAATCCTCAAGCTGGCTTCACCCTGACTATTCCTTAATTGCACATGTTACCAAAGTCAACGTTGTCTCTTCCGCTGAAATCCAGCTCCATCTCCAAGCACCGATATTCAAGGCTACATACGTTGGTGATGCTAAAAACAGCATTAAACGAGCCCTCCAGACATGTTCGATATTACCATCAACGAGATCAAAGATTACGGTTATAAACAAGCATTTCGATGTCAAGTGGGAAATTTCGGGCATTTACGCAGAAAAGGACGGCACAGAAAAGTCTACCCTTCGTGCCTGCTTCGACGTCCAGGAAGAGGAGGATGCAGCTCGAGATATCTACCTTGTTGCAATTACTGAAAAGAGTGGAACTGAGGGTCTGGTTTTGACAAAGCATGATAATGGCATGTACTCGCGTCTCGGAGCTTTCGATGCTGCGGGACCTGTCAGGAGGATATTTCAGGACAGGGAAAAGACTGAAGTTGTATTGATATGATGGAAGCGAGACTTTCGGGCCCTACTAGTTCTCAGGCCTAGACATCTTTAAGGTTGCAAACGTTGCCTTGTGTTACCAGAGGAAATCATGGCTTGCGTTGTGGTGCAGAATGTTTTAATTACTCAAATAACGTCCTTATTATCCCTGCAGGAATGCATTCCATAAAAGCCACAATAGCACCAAGACCAGGAAATCTACTTGGTCGCTATTGGTACTAGCCGTTGCGGAACAAGGGGTTTATTGGATTCTGAAAGTGCCAGAGTCACACATGTCTTAAATGCAGCGACGAAATTGGCTTTCCCTCCAAGGATGAAGGAAATCTAGACCCAGACTTTTACTCTCTATGGTATTGTATTAGTGCTCCATAAACCACTCAGGCATTTTCCATGTCTTGTATTACTGAGCCTAAGACGTCGTTACTGCAGGGAACGAGGTTTAAGTAGGAATGCAATTATGCAAGGTGCAGCAATAGCAACGTTGTCATCATAACTGAAGACTTGTGGACTTTTGCAATTGAGATATAAACCACCAATGTGAGCAGTTTCTTGATCATTATCCACACGTTTGCTTTCACATTCTTTTTCTAGTCACTCATTCACTCGTCGCTCTTTCATCATGCGCGTTTCTTTAGGCCTCCTCTTGGCTTGCGCCTCGGGTGCATTTGGCCAATTCACGAGGTACTCAAACACAAGTACCTCTGCTGTTGAGACTTCGACCTCTCCGATTGAACAGACTTCTTCTGCTGGAGAGTCTACTATCACGGGTACCACTCTTACCGAAACGACCACCACTAGTCTTGAGACCACTACTTCTTCTTCCATCCCAGACTCGATTGATCTTGATCTTCGTTCCTTTACCCTGGGTCAAGGTTGTTCCTTCTATCCGCCTCCTGATGGCAATGAGATGTGAGTATCGTTAAACTGTGTAAAGAACAAGTCTAATGACATATTATGACCACAGCCTCTTTCATCCCGTCCGGCCCGACCAAACCCTTGACCGTCGTGCTGCCCTCCCGTTTGTTCCTCCTCCCTTTATCGCCCTGGCCCGTGGCCCAATCCCCATAACTATACCATGGCCCAGCCGATCATACAGCATGATCAATATAACAATTACCTGCAATGGTAGTGACTGCTCGAGAAAGATCAAGCGGGAAACGCGCAGCCCTTGCCGTTTTCAAGTCCTTGTCGACGGTGAGTTTGTCAGTGCTGAGCCGATTGTATCGTCATCACAGGGCACTCTTTCATTGAGGACCAACTCTTTTGATACGAGTAGTAACCTTGAGTTGAGGCAGAGTTGTGGTGATGAGAGTGAGATTATTGATGTGGTACTCAACGGCGTAACTCTCAAAAGAAGTCTTGGTGCAACTTCTAGACCTATTGAGTCAATCAACATTGATCCCGAAACTGGTTTTACTACTGGAACCAGCCAAGGTGCTACTACCAACAGTGAGGGTGATACTGTCATCCCTACCGCGACTGATGGTCCCGAGTTTACCACAAACTCTGAGGGACAGACTGTCTTCCCTACTGATACTAACAGCGAGGGAGCTGCTACCAACTCCGAAGGCGAGACTCTTTTCCCGACTGGCACCCAAACAGATGACTCAACAAACAGCGCTGGCGTCACTACCAATTCACAAGGTGAAACCATTGTTCCTACTGGCACCCAGACTGGTGACTCTACCAACAGTGCTGGTTTTACCACCAACTCTGAAGGCGAGACTGTCTTCCCTACTGGGACTGTTACTGGCACGTCTCCCTCTTCTTCTTCCACTTCTCCCGCTGGCTTTCCTAGTGAAGTCGGTATTTTTACTCTCTTTGGATGTGTTCGCTCGACTGCTAGCTTCCCTACCTTTGAACTCGCAGATTCCGACGGATCCATGGATCTCAACGCCTGTGCCACTCTCTGCAACGGGCGTGCTTACTTTGGCGTTTATGATACGTAAGTCTGGTACCCATGCTCGAGAAATTGTTGTTAATATGTTAAGTTCTTGCTACTGTGGTGATGAAATTGATGCTGCTGATACCAGCCGAGTCGACCTTGACCGGTGCAATATTGAGTGTCCTGGAGACGATACCCAGACTTGTGGTGGTGATAATCGCAGCGACAAGCTTCGTGTCCGTCGGAATGTCCCCAACAATCAACTTCTCACTGTATACGTCGCTGCCGAGGCTGCTGTCACTGTCACAGACTCTATCACCCAGACCGTAACTGACCAGGAGACTGTCATTACCACATTCACCACCACCGTGACTGGTGCTACAGCCATTACCACCCAATCCGTTACTGCTACTCTTGTATGCTTTTCTGGCAAGTGTTATTCTACCAGCTCCAACGATGTCACTGTCTACATCTTTGTTGAGGTCAACAGCAGTGAATGTGATGGCCAATGGGTGTACATCTCAGAGCCCTGCTCTTGTGCTGGTGGACAAAGATATGTCCCCCAATTCTGCACAGGGGGCAGCTGTTCTGGCCTCAAGGTTTACAAGGCTGAAGAGTGCCATGACTGGTATAACTACAATTCCTTCTTTGTCGCTTCGGATTGCGCGACTTGTGCTGAAGGTAAGGTTGTGTACCTGCCTTGGGAGAATTCTTGGGGTACACCTGATAACTGCAATGATGATGTTCCTCTTTGCAGCGGATACGACTGTCCCAGCAAACCCAACGGTGGTGGATCTCAGAATGGTGGCTACCCTGGCGACAAGGGTAACTCGAATTCTCCTCATGGAGGATCGCATGGGGGTGCCAATGGAGGTTCTCACGAAGGTTCCAACGAAGGCTCGCAAGGCGACTCAAATCGTGGCTCCAGCCCGGGCTCTCACGGAACTCCTGATGGTAACTCTAATGGTGGTTCTGAGGGCGGCTCTAGCTCTGGTTCCAACAGCAATCCCAGTGGTGGCTCAGGTTCCGGCTCTCAAGGAGACTCCCACGGTTCAAACGGTAGTGGTTCAAAGGGTTCTGAGACCGGAGGCAAGCCTAGCACTGTCCCCGTTGTTGTCAGTGGTGCCAGTAAGCAGACTACCATTTCTTTTGGTCTCCTTGCTCTTCTTGCAGCCTTTCTCTAGATTTTAGTCTTTTGTCTTTTTATTCTTAATGATTTATTTATGCCTTCTAAGTAGTCTCTCAATATATTTCAACTTCAAACCAATTCCGAAGTCTTGAACAACTTTCCCAATAATATTTGACTTCTAAACTTCTCTCTAATCAAGAAAGACAATCTGAGATCATTAAATCCCAAATCCATTATCTCATACGAAAGCAGAACCTAATCATATAAGTGCGAGGAGTTGTAGTCCGTTTTCCATTCCTTGAACCCCTTCAATTGCCCCTTTACATTATGGGGCTTCTGGCAATCGATCCTGCCCCTTGCCGCACTCCGTGTTGTCAAAACTATAAGCGAAAAAGAGATTTGTCTGGCTAGTTACGATCTCCACGGCGGTCCCATCTACGACAACGTTTGCCGCATTAAATGAAACCTGAGCAGACCTCCCTGTAAGCAGATTCTGGAAACCAATTGTTTCGCTTGATCCTTCCTCCGGCGTTGTATAGTATTGAAACCTGATCCCATGGTTGGAGTTATCGTTAAAAACGGGAGCCGGGTTGGCCAATGCCACTGTTGTTAATGGATCCACGCTATTACACAACGAGGTAGTGGCTGTTGTGGGCTCCTCGCTGGTAGTAGTGGACTCTTCAGTGGTGGCGGTGAAAGCGTCAGATATGGTTGTAGATTCTTCGAAAGAAGACTCTGTGGAAAAGAAGGAGGACGAGGGTTCAGGCTCAGTAGAGACAGCAGTAGTAGTGGCTATAGCGGATGCGGTTGTAGATTCTTCAGTAGAGACAGTACTGGAAGTGAAAGCTTCAGATGACTGGATCTCGAAAAAAGATGATGCATCTGTGGATAGTGTGATGGTGGAAGAAAAAGAATCTGATGAGGCAGTTTCTGTATAAGATGAAAAAAAGGAACTGAATGACTGGGAGGGGACTGTGGTCTTAATTAACGTAGTCGACACAAGAGAAGTTTCCGTTGCTGGAGATGATGAAGAAAAAGTCGAAAGTGAGGAATCTGAAGTCTCTCCTGTGGGTGAACCAGGCACCTGTGTAGACTCGGATGACTGTATTGTCTTGACTGTTTCGGGGGATGCGTCGCTAGATTGTGAGATCTGAGTGGATGCAGATGCGACATCAGGAGTTGTCAAAGAAGAGCTTGTAGGCCCGGCAATTGTAGTAGATTGGTTCGGCTCTGTCGTAGTGGCATCATCAAGTCCGATGATCCGTCCATCCTGGCATTGCTCGACTGTTAAGGTCAGTACTAGAACTTCCTGGCGTCTCAGTCTGACTTACCTGCATAGACACTTATTGAGACTGGATCACATCCTGGCGGGCTTGATCCAAAAGTGATATACACTTGCCCGCTGTCGTCCTGACAGAAGCCCGCACTATTGCCAGGCAGCGAACTGCTGGAAAATGCGAGCAATCCATTCACATTCGTAAATTCCCTGGTAACGGCACCATCGGGTGGTGGACCCTGGCCACCTAACTGCTCATAAGGCTCGCCAGCATAATAAACAGGGTCTCCGTTGACTAAGAGCTGTCCATCTGCGAGGCTGAAGACAGCGGCGTTGGTACAAATCTCCACAGCATCATTCCCACCAATGAAGCGTCCCGGTGCTCTCTTAATGAAGTGCCGACTCCCATCGATTTCAGGTGCGACGAAGAAGATAAGATCTTGACCAGAGACAGCTCCAGAGATAGTAGCTGAAAATTCGGTGGCGGTCGCTGTGGCGGTCGGTAACAGGCTACCGGATTCTGACGTTGGAATGGCAAAGTCAGAAGATGAGAACAGATTGACAGAAGTAGGCTCTTGGATAATATCGGAAGACTCTAGGCCAGATGGGAGCGTGAATGGAGGCAAAGAAGTAGATCGGTTGGTGAAGTAGGGAGGCAAGATGCCTCGCGTTGTCGGGGGGACTGCTGTTGGTAATACTCCCCCAGTGGTCGCGGCATCCACTGGAGCTAGGTATGTCGAGAGGTACGTGTAGCAGATAACTTCGCCATCCAGGTCGGATTCTCCAATGAGTTCAAGACCGACGACACCCTGCAGAGTGCCGCCAAGGGCGAGAAAGAGCTGCCACTTGATACTTACACCATAAATCTTGGCATTAGGTACGAAGGATACAGCAGCAGCATGACTGTTTTTATCGCAGTTCAATGGAGGATTTTCGTGAGAGGCGGTATCCGAATTTCTAGTAAATTATATTACTGTTGGCAAAACCATTGGAGGCATGCGCCAACTCACGGACCTTGATCCATCAACAGAATTGAGACGGCGGTAACTCCAAACCACTAATAGATTACATGCATACTTATTGACACTTTTCTGGTTTTGGCCGTGATGTCTCAATTCTTAGTGCCATAGATCCATCCAGAATTAGGTCCAGCAAGCCACTTCTCAGGATATGAGAAACAGTTGAGCGCTGGAAGCACAAGAGATGAAATTAGTAGATCAATTCAAGCTCCTTGGGCCATAGTTCTTAGGTTACTTATTTTCTGTACCCCAGGACTTAGGGGGCCAATGTTTCTGCTACCCACTAGTCACTTCAGCCTTGATCTGCAGGGGAGAGGTTAGGTTGGAACGTGGGCCATCCCTTGCGTTGACACTCTGGGCTTCCTTGTCAGTGGTTGGTAAAGCTAACTGCCAACTTTGGGTAATTGACCCCTTCCGCAGCTTCTGATGACAACACATAATATCTCCGCCAATATACGACTCCTTCATCTCATCCGCTGCCTTTATCTTATCCACTACCTTCCTAAACCGATATATGACCTCCATAGCAGCCTTGCGGCAGTCTTCCAATTGTTTATCCTTGTCACCACGTTTTCCTTGGTACTTAATCCTCTTGGACATCAAGTCGCTGTGAAGTTCGACACTGGTCTTTCTGTCACCTTGGCGGGAGAGGAACAAGAATATTTCAGAATTCATCCTTTCATCGCACTCCTCAATTATTCTCCAAAATCTCGTGCGGTGCTTTTAGAATTGGTCCTCAAGTGCGTGAACTTCCTTGGGTTCTTTTTCTGTGTTGTCGATGAGTGCTTACATCGCTTCTGTGTTGGCGGTGAGAGTCACGGGGGGCTTATCCGAGTCGTCGTCACTGTCATCGTTGTCGCTTACGTTTTGGCTGTTGATGATATTGTCAGCGATAATATTCCCAGTGAAGGATATGCTTGTAGGGGGTATAACCTTGATCGTCGGACAGGTGATACGGGGGTGATGCTCTATAAGACATCGTCATTCTCGTCTTCTTCGCGCTTAATGTGCGGATTTGAGCCATGCTTGGTGATAGACGGCGCGGACATATATGTGTATAATCTGGGTGGAGGTAGGTCACTTATGAAGGCGATACCGAGGGAAGATGAGAACTCTGTGTGAAAGCAGCGCAATCAACAAATAAAAGGTGCAAAGGTGCTGGTTATAACCTGGAAGCTGAGTGGGAGGAAGATTGTTTGTTCCTTTCCCTTCTGGGAGTCAATAAAGCCACGATAGACTAGTATGGCAATCAAGCCTAAGCCTGCGTCGGGCCTGGTGTAACAAACATGGCTTGTCATTTCTTTGTTCTTGGAGTAATCAAAACCTCAATGGGCTATCTTGGCAAACAAACAGGAGTCGACATTCTTCTGTGACTCGACGCGTCTCGACGCGTGCCTCTTTCTGAGCGAGTTGTCAACACCAAGAGCTCTGAACCCCAGTCTTGCAATTGATCTGCAACATATTTGTTTTTGACGGGCGCAAAGTGCTTCCATTGTCTAAACAGTATCTTATATACCTAGACGTATGTGAGATGTGGCGTTCAGTGAAAAATACGATACCAAGACCATGTTTGTTCAGTCACCACGACATGCCAAGCTTCTTGGATGACGTTACATCCGTGTTCTGAATAAGAATCACTAAAAACGTTGTCTCAGGGCGTTGATTGGACAGAGAAGTCAGCTGGGGAGACTGATCGAAGGACAGACACATAACCTATACCTGTCTTATTTATTTCTTCCTGCCCTCAGCTCATTGTCATGCTTTCATTTATTGGGTATCGGGATAGATATTCTAATCATTTTAGAAAGATACTTTTGTTTAATGGAATCGTTAGACTACATTCATTGTTCATTACGTTGCGAAAGAGACAATGTCATTTTATCACCACTTGGTCCAGTCTGCTCACGATGGCTGTCACGATCTTTACCTCACACGCCAAACTTCAGCGTAATTTGTGAATGGATAGCTATACGTGTTATTTTTTAGAATTCAGTGTTACTAGTCAAGATCAAGTAAAGAGAAAAGAGAAACTGTTTAAAATCTGTGCGGCCTAAACGAAACGATTACATCCGACAGCGACCTCGTTTTAAACCCTGTAAATACTCCGTACATCATCATCAGATAAGCAACACACGTTTCTCAATGACATCTCAGCTCCTGAGTATAATTTAATCGAACCATGGAATCATCGGCAAGAACAATTAAAGAGACGAAAAATCCGAGTCAAACAATTATCGCCGTCTGCTATTTCCTTGGCTGTAAGAATCGCGTTTGAGTCAAGGTCAGAGACGCGTTTCATAGGACCTCCAAATAATAAACTAGTGGGTCTTGACACCCATGCCAACTTGGTCTGGTGTCCAACAGAAACGCGAAGGTTTCATCCGAGCATAGCCTGACAGAATAGAGTCGTCGAAATAACACTGTGACAATTCTGTCAACTGTCGACCCTAGATCGGACAGGGCTGTTCGGATCAAGATGCTTCCTGTTTCTAGATGGCATATTGTAACATTGGCCGGAATCTGAAGACATTATTTTGAAATCACCCCTGATATAGTTTCTTCCAATCCGAATATAAAGACAATTAGATTCCCGTCAACTACCACTCTTCTCATCCAGCCATCAGCATCATCATCGAATCTTTCCTATCTCCTTGATTCCTTCTCTTCTTTTGCTCTGCGAGCTTGTTTTTACAACCTTCTTTATTTCATTTAATAACTCTCTTTAAAGACTGCCGGCCAGTCCAACTCAGACCTACTCAGTCTTTCTTCCGAAAAACACAAAACCACTCATTCGCAAAGATGAAGTTCTCCGCTGCTTGTCTCGCCCTTTCTGTTGGTGTCGCTACCGCTTCTCCTGTCTTCCGCATGCCCAGCTTTGCCAAGCATGCTACCCGTAGCAAGACTATTCGCAAGCGTCAGGTTCCTCAGGAACACTCTCACGACTTTGTCCTCACCATCACCAAGGAGTTTCTCGATCTTGACAACCCCAAGGAGATTGCTGATCCTGTCTTTGGTCTTCTCGGTGATGCTGCTGCCGAGGAGGGCGCGGGCCAAGTCACAAACTTGGCTTGTCTGAAGCAGGAGACTGCTGATCAGGCCTTCACCAACGCCAAGGCTCTCGGTGACCTTCGCGGTATGGCCGCTTCGCTGCTGTTCCAGGCTATTGAGCGCAACACCGCCGGTGTTGGTGTCGCCAGTGCTCTTTGCACAGATGCTGCTGTCAACCCCGAGATTGCGGCTCTTACTCAACACCAGGATGCTGCTGGTGAGGGTGCTGAGGCTGTTAACAAGGCCGTCACCCTTGAGCTTGCTAGACAATTGGCTGCTATCGGCGCTGACCCCAACCTGGCTCTTCTCAGTGGCACTTTTGCCCCTGGAGATGTAAGTACAACCTATTACGCAGTGTAATGTCTGTCACTAACATTTTCATTTAGCTCAACGATGCTACTGGCGCTGGAAACTCCTGCGATACCGAGGAGCCTGACCTCGGATGTATCTTCTCTGAAGGCCTCCTTGTTCTTGACGCTTCAGAGGCTGAGATTTCCGCCGCTGTTGCCGATGTTGCCCAGACTTTCACCGGTACCGGTGGTATCTTTGCCACTGAGTTGGTTGATCTGGCTTCTTTCTCTGTCGCTTCCAACACTGAGGTTGCTGATCTTGCAACCATTGTCGGGGGCGCTGCAGCAACTGATGCTGCCGCCACTGACGACGCTGCCGCTACCGAGGATGCTGCCGCCACTGCCACTGACGATGTTGCTACTGAGACCGCCGCTGCTGATGACACCGCTGCTGTCACTGAAACTGCCGCCACCGAGACTGCTGTCACCGAGACTGCTGTCACTGAGACCGCGACCGCGACCGCCACTGACGGTGCTGGAAAGGGATGCCGTGTCAAGCCAACCGACACTGCTGCAGGTGCCACCCAGACCGCTGGTACAACCATCACCACTGCCATCCGACCTGGTGCCACTGATGTTGGCCGTGGTGGTGGCCGCGGCGGTAACCGCGATGACGACCGTGATGATGACCGCGATGATGACAGCGACGACGATGATGCTGAGGATGATGACGAGGATGATGATGACCGACGGGGCCGTGGTGGTAACAACCGCGCAGACCGTGTTCGAGAGGGCGCTCGTGCCAGACTTGGTGATGGTATCAGCCTGCCTCTTCTTCAGGGTATCTAGATAGACAGACTAGCTGTTTAATCCATCTTCTTTTGTGTTCTTAGCATGTCTCTAAACCAATCAGTTTCCACTGTGCCGTCATGAATGTGAAGATGCGACCGCTCTTACACTCTACGTATCAGCTTGCCTCATACCTCACCACGTGGTACCTTTGCAGCATTGATCCAGCGTCTCAAGTAACGTGGAAGGTCAGGCCAATGGAAGAGCAGGATACATCACCTCGTGACAGCCCTCAAGACCTCATGGGCCAGATTTGACCCCTGAGTCTTACATCCGCCGTTGGAAAGTCCTCCTACATGCCTTGTAATTCGTCACCACACCAGACTCAGCCTCATCCCATGCACGCAATCAATTTAAGGCGTGGACTAAATCTGACATCCACTCAGCATGAGTTCGTTCCTGCTTGCCCGTCGGCAACTAATTGAGGTTCGAGATGACATGACTTCTTACATGTCTGACCTCAGCGAAGCTGCTTGTGACCTAGCCAAGACAAAACATATCACGTCATTCACCCTTTCGAGCCAATTACCCCAGCCGATTAGGGGCAGAGAGATAACGAATGGACTTATAGCAGAGTACAGAATCAAAACATGATAGGAGTAGAAGGGAAAACATAAAAGGCCGACGCAGCCATTGGGGACCGCTCCTCAATAGTCTTCCCATTATTCAATTCCCGTATTACTTTACTCAGTCTCACCCAACATGACCAACAGTCCAAAGACAAGCTTCATGCGCGCCGTTCAGTGGGAGGGCGAACTTCGCCACATGTCGGTGAACATCATCCCAAGACCCAAGCTTGTCGATCCAGAAGATGCAGTAGTACGTATAACAACGTCTGCCATCTGCGGTTCAGATCTCCACATCTACCACGGCCTTTTCGGAACAGATGAGAAGTTTGGAGTTGGCCACGAAGGAGTCGGCATCGTTGAGGAAGTTGGTCCTGCTGTTGACTTCCTCAAGCCTGGTGATCGCGTGCTTATCACAGGCTTTTCTGAAGATGGGAACCTACTGCCCAAGACGGCACTGGTTCCGAATGATCTGGACATTGTTGGTGTTGGTTTCGGTAGCTCTTTCAATAGTGAGGGCGGTCTTCAAGGTAAATTTGCACTGTCTCCATCAACAATTGACTGTAATTGTTGACACAAGTTTACAGCTGAATATGTTAGAATACCTTGGGCGGACTCATCACTTGCTAAGATCCCACATGGTCTCGATGACAAGGAATGGCTTCCACTGACGGACATCTTCCCAACGGGCTGGACCGCTCTTACTCGTTCTGGCTTCCAACCTGGCGATACAGTGGCCGTCTTTGGAGCCGGTGGTGTTGGCCTCATGTGCGCCTACAGTGCAATAATTCGCGGAGCATCTCTTGTCTATGTAATAGACCATGTGCCTGCTCGCCTGGCACTGGCAGCATCAATTGGAGCACAGCCTATCAACTTTACTCGCGGAGGGAAAGCCTCTGAACAGATATTGGCGCTACGTCCTGCAGGCGTCAACCGTGCTATCGACTGCGTAGGCCAATTCTGTCTCAACGAGAATCTCAAGCCGCAACCCGACTTTATCCTTCGGGAGGCTGTCAAGATAGCCACGAACGGAGGCGGTCTTGGTATCGCTGGCTTGTACCAGGCTGGTGGTCCCGAAGGATACAAGTCTGAGATCAACTTTGCGATACCAGAACTTTGGATCAAAAGCTTGCAGGTTGGAAGTGGACTGGTTGACATTAAGGGAAACATTCGTGGTCTGGTTGATTTAGTCAGGAATGGAAGAGCAAGGCCTGGGTTTGTCTTCTCCAACGAGTATAGTCTTGAAGAGGCACCCTTGGCCTACCGTAGATTTGAGCAGCATCAGGAGACCAAAGTCATGCTGAAGGGCGTTCGAAAGCAAGAAGATGACGAGTTGTTTGAGATACAGGTTGATACAAATGGTGTCACTGATGCCAATGGGGCTTGATCAAGACTACATAGACATTTGTTGGAGTTCAGGTAGTTCATATAGATCTGGAACACACAGCTTGGAGTGTGATGACATTCTGACTCAGTATTTGCGGGTCAATGTCACCGTGTCAGGTGAAAGGCGTGCAACCGACCTTGTCGAGGATTCATGTTTATATATGACTCAATGGCCCTTGGAGATTGATAGGTAGTTACAAAATACACGAAAAAACAAACATGGCATCCTCACCAGTAGTCCGACAGGCATCTTCAGCAGGTAAATGTTTATCCTTGGGTTGCGTCTCGGTTACTCATCTTGATCAGATGTTCCTCAAATCCTAAGCTTCATTCGCGATGGCGGAGAAGAGCAATCTCCCGGAACCCATATCGCCGCGACAGAGGAAACGCTGTTGAACACTCTGTACCTTTCAGACGTGTCAGACAACAAGCTTCGCTTCGGCAGACCACTAATCATCTACTCACCCGAGGGAAAACCCGCCGGACTTTTGATCTACTTCTTCAACTACACAACATGGGGGGCTGCACCTGGAGTCTGTATGGAGGAACTGTACGTCGTTCCTGAGTACAGACGACATGGTTATGCCCGACTGCTTGTCCAGGCTTTAGCCAAAGCCGCTAAAGAAGCTGGCTGCGTGAAGATGGAATGGCTTTGTCTTGTGGATAATACAAAGGCTTTGAAGTTTTATGAGAAGTTGGGTGCTATACGGAAGCATGATTGGGCTGTGCTTAAGGTCGATGAGGATGGTATTGATCGATTGATGCGGAATGATTGAGGGAGCATGAGCAAACCAGCTAGAGATGTCAGCTATATAGATTAATTCTACAGTAATGTTAAACACATACGACCATACCTACCAGAAAATACGGGATCCCGTCCGCTCTCCCATAGTCAAGCTGGTAAGGGGCGGATTAGTAGTTGGGTCGGTGACGACCAGCGAATCCCCGCTGTTGTATGTACATGTCTTTTTTCCCTTTTTTCCTTTTTTTTAGTGGGCGTTTTTCTTACTAAAATACAGCGCGGTGGCCACTGTTACTGGTGCAATTACAGGCGAGAGGGGCTTTAATTTTAGAAGGCTACTCCGTAGTTACAATGGATCATCTGGATGCGGTGCTTACTTTTGCTTGGTGGACCCATGGAATTTGCAGGTGAGTGTCTGGAAGTTTCGCTGTTAGTACACAAATGCAGAGACGGAACAAATTTCAGAAGAAATGTCGCCGAATGTTTCTGAATGTTACTTTCTTTTGCCTTCCGTGTTGCCTGGCAGTGGGAAGTCAGAGGTGACAACGCACCTCAAGCCACATGTTTCCACTCTAGCAATGCCCGCGAGCGTGTCTGTGCCAGAAGAGGTTCCTGGTCACACTTGAGCCAAGCTGTCGCACAAATTCGGAAACATGTTTATCACAAACAAGCTTTTTAGCGTCAATATTGTGCTGTCTAGTTATCCAATGAACAGGTGAGCAATTGAGAAATGAAGCAGGGATGAAAAGACAACACACATCATCATTCTGTGACATTTTGACCAAGAACACCACCATGACGATCAATTTGCAATCCAACATTCACCGTATTTGCGTGAGGCATTTATCCCATTCGACGTGACCATCAAAGCGCGAAATTGGAACCTGCGGCGATGCTGTTCCAGACCTGATCTTCTGTCCTTTTGTAGCGCACTGATTGTAACGGCCAAGTATCGCTGCCAGCTTATCACTAAGCTTAGGGACTGTGGTGGTACCATAGAGCACTAAATGTAGGGTCTTTTGTGCGGAGATCCCTGTCGATCAGCATTCGACTTCATCACCAATTCAGTTTATGGCCATGTGAGACAGCATTCCACATTTCGGCGGCCTCCTGTCTTTCTTGTCAATTGTTTACCGCCAGTTCATTAGGGAAACGGGTTGCGATGAAGTGTCTAATCGGTTAGTGTTTGTTGGCACATATTGTAAAAATACAGGCGTGGCATTGTCTGGTGTATGTAGCTGCACAACATGCAGTTTTGGCCTGTACCAATTGAGGAAACATAGAATACACCAGAAATGAATCGAACATCAATCGAACTCCTCGCCAAAGTTGCAGAAAAATGCACAAAATAACCCCCATTCACCCAGGAAGTAAACTATCGTAGCTCATAATCTTGTCGTGAGGTAGAAGTTTTGTCTAAACTCTCCCAATAAATGCTGGTTATGGTTTCTTCAACGCCGAAGTCGCAAGATTGACACGACTTCAAACATGTCAGTCTCAATCGCGCTATAGTGGACAATAAACTCACCATAAAGGACAAGTGCGAGATCGATCTGTCAACCATTGGTCTATACACTGAGGATGATACAAGTGTCCACAAGGCAACATCCTAAGTTTTACGCCTTCGACAAAATCCTCGGTACATATTGAACACGCTATCGTGGGATCGTCCGGTCGTGTCCTGGCATCATCACTCTTGGGTGATTCGCGACATATATTCTGGATAGTGAAATACTTTCGTAGAGGTAACAACTGAGCTCCATGTTTTCGAGGTTTCGTCTCTGTCAAGCAATCCGATGGCGGTAAAAACACATGTTCTGGTGAGTATATTTGCTGGGAATGTAGCCTGGAATTGAACTTCACGATGGGCATGCTTTCCACAATATCCTTCCCCAAGCCTGAACTCACGCGGTATCTTGGAAGCTGTGCTTCTATCGACCGACGGATCGCCTGTCCTCGTATATTCCTGTGGACGATACATATAGCGGCGACGATAACGATGATGACAACGCAAAGTATGGCAGCCCATACTGTCACTTTCTGAGAGTCATTCTTCGCATGTTGACTTGTGTCTGGGTCTGTCGATTGTGCCATGGATATTATGATAGTAGAAAACGGAAATGTCAAGATGGTAGATGTTTGGGGCTTGTGGATGACAAGTCGTAATGGCTGCCCTTTCTCTGGCTTCAGGCGGAAGCAAGACGCCTCCCTTGCGTTTCTGGCATGGCCTCTTTCTGTTTTTAGAATTTCTGTTAATTCGCGCTCATATCATTGTTCTAAAGGGTCTAGAAGCACATGCTTACTTTGATCAGCTTAATTTCGTCATCGATTGATCGTCATGGGTTAAGTCGGTCAGATTTATAAATTTTACGTACAGTAAAAAACAACGGGCTTAAGGGTCGAGCACATGCTAACGTTGGCTGATCAGTTCCAGTCTGGCAGGGGTTTTACAGTGATCAGACTGGCTGGGATACGGTCTATGTTTCAACAGCCATATGTAGCGACACTGGTACCATAGCGGTCTCAAAAAAAAAAAAAAACAGACATAAAGTAAATGCATGTCAGAAGGTAATAAGAGGAAGTTGTATTGGGAAGATTAATTATCCGATTCTCTGCCTGTATTACTCCCAGTGTGCAGTAAATCAAATGACAAAAAAACCACACAAAACTCCATACAGAATGCATAAAACCACATTTCAGCTGCTCCAGTTGCGACACGAGCGCAAGCTTCCAGCTCCCCCAGCCCTCCCAGCCCTCTCAGTCCCCCAATCATTCAAAAGCAGAAAAACAGTCGAGACCTTGTCCGGTCGTGTGCATTTCATAGTCTGCAGTCGATGTTTAGGCGGCAGGGTTCAGACACTGCAGTTGCAGCCAGTGCAGCAGTCATTACAGCAACCGTTGCAGCATTCGGTGCAGTAGATAGCACAAAGACTCGTGGAGAAGTCGGTGCAACAGCCGGTGCAGCATTCGGTAAAGCACTCAGCACAGCCTTCGGCACAGTTGGCGAAGCAGTCAAGGATCGGTGAGCACCAAGTGTCCGGCGAGCCGCGTCTTCGTTTATCATCTAAACGAAAACTGTTGAGACCATGGACTGCGTCGGAGGAAGGAGTAGGCGCCCGAGGATCGGAAGCCTACTCATTTTCCTTTCTTGTCTTGAGAAATATTAATATACAGGACATGAACATGGATTGCAGAACTGAGGTACTCCCCTGATATGCAATACTACAATTTTTGTTGAACAATGTATTACTTACGGTTTCTGATGGCCCTCCAGATGCCGCATCCAAACAGTAGGACGGCAAGGGCTACTCCACATGCAGCGAGTACAGCCACCTGGCTATTCTTGCCATTTGGGATCACGATGAGGTCGCGAGGCATTTGGGTGGTCGTGGTGATGGTGGTAAAAAATTTGATTGGTAGGTAAAGAGACGGGAGGGGGATATTCTAGGATTGGTGTCATGATCTTTTTATACATTAATATTGGAAAAGTCTAAGTCATGGTAATGTCTGCGAGACTTTCGGGTGGAGAAAGAGACAAACTTTGGTTCAAGATTGAGGATGTTCGTGATAGGTGATCTTGAATACAGGCTGAGCTTATCTCTACGTGTGATAATGGATATCTTTGATCTTCTTTTTCTTTTTAAGCTTTAAAAATGGCAAAATGACATCAAGCCACTCTGGCCTACAAGGCCGACTAGGGCTGAACAATGTGTCTGAACTTGTAGTTCACCTTCGTTCAACTGCATGAATCCAGCGCCAGACCTAAAATTTACGCGAAGCTCGTATGTTTTCCAGCTGTCCAGTCTGTATACCTGGACCGACCTCCAGCAAGCTCAGCGGTTACCAAATCAGCCTGTGACCCAACCAGGGTTGCCCGCTATCCGGTTTTGTTGGCGACTTCGCTTTTCACTTGAGGTCTTAGAGTTCATCAACATCCAGTTATCAGATTTTTCAGAAAGCATACGTGTCAAAGCAACGACTCATCGGTTTGGTTCCATAATTGGGTTCAGGGAATTCGTCACGGAGGATAAGGCAAATAGACTTCCCTATCTCCGAGTTACTCTGGGGTTGCTGGGTTGAAGAAACCTTCCCGGCAAGGGTTTAATGCAGATGGATTACGTGATATTAGCACGAGAAAATTATCTTGACGGTGGCGAGGAACCCTTATCTTCCAAACGAAGGAAGCGTGAATCATGGCTTGCTTGTACAGACTGCTGAACTGAATTATATTCTTACCGAACCCTGATAATTTGGATAATTATATATTCACAAAACTACATAGCTTGATAAATCTGTCATCCACTACCTCCACTCATCATCAAGAGTACTTGTACTTCCACACTTGCTACCCGTAATAGCCCGGTTGTTGGGATCACTCAACCACGTAACATCCCCACTGCTAGTCTTCTTGATATACTTGTACTCAAAGCTTGTATCAGAAGGAATCTTAACCTTGACGCTCCACACTCCGGAACTAGATGGCGTAAGCGCAATGCCATCATCAGGTGACCAGTTAGAAAGCTCAGTCACTGAGCCAACCACGTAAACCTTTTGGTCGGATGAAACTTGCACGTTCTTGACACTGAAGGTGATGGTTGTGTCACATGCTGGGGCAGCTTGACACACGGCGGGGACCTTGTTGGCGCTGCTTTCGCCCCAGGAGGGAGAGATGATGCCGTCGCGACGTTCAGTTGTGGCGACAAAGGCGGCGTAGGACCAGGTGAGGTGAACAGCGGACTTGGGGGCTCCAGTTGACTTGTCAAATTGCTCAGCTAGTGAGCCGTCCTTGGGAGTGTATGTCTGCACGACAGCGACAAAGCCGTCGGCGTAAGTCTTGGCTGCTTTGATGATCTCCTTGTATGTCTTGGTCTTCTTGGCATAAGTGCCTTTGGAGACCTTGGGAACGATATCCTTGAAGAAAGACAAAGATACATCGTCAACAGTAACAGCGCCAAGCTTATCCCACTGGTAGACCGCAGCGTAGAGTTGTTCTGCAGCAGCAAGAGTGGCCAGGTACCAAGGGTTGCCATCATAGTACACGTCCTCGCTATATCGACCAACAGCCGCGGCCTTGCCTTGACCTCTATTCTTGTTGACACCATAGATTGACCTGAAAGAATCGACGACCGCCTTGTGGTTCGCAAGAGCTCTGGGTGAACAAGGCTGGAACGTCGAGTCGGTGCACTTGGAGTTGGGATCGAATGTATGAATGGACGAGAGGATGGAGTTGACATCGAGACCCTTGCGACCATCCTTGACGTTAATGTTGGAGTCAACGTAGCCACCAGTCCAGAAAGTCTGAAGGAAGCACAGAACGCGAGGAGCGTTGGTGACACAGTCAGGACAAGATTTGCCAAGTTTCTTAGCCAGAGCGGCACCTTCGACAAGAGCACGATGCGAAGCCGAAAGTGTAAAGAAAGAAGATCCATTAACCTCCTCCCATAGATCATAGCCAGTGCGATTCCAGAACTTGGTAGTATACGCAAGGTCCTTCTCGATGACTGGCCAGACTTTGTTCAAAGCCTTGGATCTTTCGCCGTGGGAAATGAGCCATTCTGCATACAGAGTCAAGGCGGTAGCCCGAAGCGGAGGGCCGTCGCGCTGAGGCCGACCCCAAGATCCAGTGAAAGCAGTGAGATTCACATGGAACTTTGGCTCGCCGAGACCGCCCGACTCTGGGCTGCCCGATGGATTTGTGGTCCCTTGCAGTTTCGCTTGTGCGGAGACATATTCATCTATCTTTCGTTGGAGAGATTTGTCGCCGTGGATGAATCTCTCAACGAGCACTTTGTACGTTAAAGCAGAGTCACGAGTCCAAGTGTACCAATCTGAGACCATCATTAGCATGCGGACAAGGACAAGGTAGGATGCTGGCTTACAATCAGGATCTTCTTTCGATGGACTTGCCACAACAGCACCAGGCGCTGCACCCTGTGCCCTTTTTCCATCAGCGCCAATATTAGCAAGGACACCCTTGATAGAAATATCAGCTTGTTTGTCAATGAAGCGCTCCAGTGAATTGTCCTTGCTTGGTGATGCAACGACTTGGCCTTGCCAAAGGGCACTGGCTACCAAGCCATAAAGGACTTGAGTAAGCATGTTGGTGATAGCAGTGATGTTGATCTGTGATGAGCGATATGTCTGGTCAATCACCAAGACGGATACCTACTGGCTATATATCATGACCCAACCAACAATGACGACTTGACAAAACAGGAGTTTCCGCCCTCATTGGCGCTATGGTATAAATTACGCCGAGAGCAGGCGTTCGTGTCTAACCAATAGAGACGTCAACCCCAGACATGGAATTTATCCTCCTTCTCTTTTCTGGGGTAAGTTCCCCAATCCCCCGCATATTTGACACTCTCCCGGGTTTAGTCTGGTCGATCTCATCGGTCCTTCTTGTGCAGTCTATTGAAGTCTCGGCTGCGGCGTGATGGACGTTTTTCGGGCCTTTTGGACGTTAGTTGGCCGTTTTTTCTTGATGAGATGCCTTTTTGTGAGTAGTTGGTCTGTTTTTGGGTTGGTGGATGATCTGATGATGGGCATCACATGGTGATTTGAATGCCGCGGTACAAGCTTGTGTTGGTCTAGCCATATTCGGAGAACACCACAGGTCATTATTTCTGTAGGTTGTTGAACCAAATCACCATCAAATAGTGAAGACAACGAATGAAGGACGTGAGTGCGTGTGCAAAGCAACTGTATAGTGATAGGATATATGACGACGTCATTACAAACGATCACTAGCCGCCAGACCATCATTATTATTGTTTGTCATCAAACGCTATCACAAATAGATTGGATTAACAAATGAACATGGAACGTTTCTGTTGATTAAAAAAAAGAATACCTGTTACTTTTGAAGCAACAATCTTGTCCGATCAATGACCTCAACATCTACCCGGTTGCCTGCAATGTCACCAAGTCTCTTTGTTCTCCCATTTCCGTCTAACTGACCCCAGACCTCGAGACTCGTCAAGTGTAGATTCTTCACGTATAGACCGTAACACGAGAGTAACTTTCAACAATCACAGATTACGTAAGGCGTGGTGGCGGAGTGGTCTAACGCGATAGACTAGAAATCTATTCTCTTCGGAGGCGTCTGTTCGAATCAGGCCCACGTCGTAACATCTTTTTTTCTCTTTTCACCAAAGAGACAATGCTATCTTTTTTTTTATAAGAAACATTACGTGAAAAGACGTAGGAGCACATGAAAATGAAACTATCTATTGTCTTGATCCCCGAATTGACTGACATCATTGTTTGAAATATCACAGCTAAGATCTGACCTCACGATTTAATACACATGTCATGGTTTAATAACTCAGTCATATCATTGATGAAATTGATAAACACACTATAAATCTCCATTAAACAATGCAATTCCAATATTCGCCGACCCATGAAACCAATACACGTTTGCACGTTCCATTCTACCATAATGATGGTCATTTGTTCCTGTCTTCTCACCCGAGAGTTTACCCCGTTACCAAACCCAACCAAAGACACCAGTAAAAGCAATCGATACAAGAAAAAGCCACTGTTCAAGGAAGCTTCATCATTCGGGTCTTCTTGACCTGAGGACCTTCGTCACCCAGATACCTGAATGTGTACAAACTGCGGCTGTTAGTAAACTGTAAACTAAATGTGGCTGAGTAATACATACCTCCAATGAAGGTTTCCAAGAGCAATGTTTCTGCATCCGTTGACAAACTTGATCACGTCTCGATCAACGCCTTCTCCCCAAAACGGAAGGTTTGCCATTGCCGTGTGCCATCGTCTGTAACAATCATACAACATCTCACCGATTTCGTCGGCGGCTTCCTGGTCCGTCATACCCTGGTCTCTAAGGATAAACATGATGTTGCTATCCTCGCCTTGGATAAGATCTTTGCGGTAGGAGCACAAGTCGTTTTGTCTGCCGGATGTTAGCCAAAGTCTAAATTAGACAATATCGTGGAATGTGGCCTACAGAGTAACCAAATCGCATGTGATTCGTGAGATAGCTTCAAGAGATGGATGATCCATGACGTCTTGCGGCAAGTCAATTCCTTCAGCGAACCTGTAATTACTGAGTCAGTTGACATGTCCTTGCAATTAAGTGTGAAACATTCTCGGATTGCAGCCAATAAGCTCAAGTCGCAACAGTCAAGTAAACTGCCGCTAAGACCACAAAAATGTGTCAACCATGCTTGGCCCTGGCGTTGCCGGAATGGCTTACCCGAAGCAGAATGTTTCTAGACGTTTGCGGTCTCGAAGCATTCGTGAAAAGAATCACGATAGGAAAGAAAGGAGGAAATGAACTTACTCCATAAGCCCGATGCAGGGATACGCACCGACGCATCCGGCTCTCATATCCATGTATTCCTCAACGCTCAGTCTTGACGCTTTGTTCTGCACGCCAACTTGCTGTAGAACACCAATGCAGTACATTGTGAGATGCTTCTTCCATCGGTACTGTAGGGCGGGACTCGCTCGCTGTCTGAAACGGTTCCAGCATGATTGCAGGGTATGGCGCAGGGGGTTCTGGTCGGGCGATACGACGGGGTGGATGTTGTCGAGTGTAGCGAGAGTGTAAATCACTTCTTCGGCTGCTTTGATGGGATTGTTGGCGAAGGACCCTTCGTCGAAAGCTGTTGGTTGTTGCTCTGTTAGCGGATATTCCGTCACCACTTTTTATGCATGCATGCATGGGCGGCGCGGCCCGATGGTGGCTAAAGCCGAGTTTATGGGGGCGTGTTTGTTGGTTCACGTTCACAATGTGTGCATCAAAACTTACGGTCATCGAATGCGAAAACCCATCCATTCCAATCATTCATAAGCTTAAGCGTTTCCAGATCGGCGTTGGGGGCGCAGATGGCGCTCATGTAAGCGATATCGAGTCGGTTCCAGATGCTAGCTGTCTTGTCATTCATCCGTAGCGCACTGTACGACATTCTGTCAGCTGTCATTTCGTACCAATGCACGGTTATCTTACTCCTTTAGCCAAGCATCTGACAAAGCTTTTGATGTTTTGTACATGGGGTTGACATCCGGCTCAACAGCCATGATGGATGAAAAAAGAGCTTCGGGCAACCTGATCCATCGGCCATCAACCTGATCAGGAATATCAACGTGGTCTGAGCAGATGCTGGATGGGCTGATGGGGCCGCCAGCGCAACTAGGCGGCGGTGTGATGATTGAGGGAACCATGATGATGTCGTCAAGTTGTGGAGTGTGTTGGTTCGTAAACAAAGAAGATTGTTGTTGGTCAAGAGGGTTGCACTGATAGAATGGTGAGAATGCAGAACTTCACGAGGGAACATGACAAGCTTATAGGATTTCGGAAATCGGAGAGAGCGACTTACGGATACCATAGCCACGGTACTGGAACGACCAGGTTTCTCTCCAGCAAGGGGGATTTCACGTTCGTGAGGCTATTTAGTCCTCTTTGCTTTTTTGCACGTCCTCTCACGAGCCGGATGAGCGGTGATAGAGAACACAAGACCAGACTTTTGACTAAAAGCTCGGTTGACAAGGACATCGTCGCTTCATGGGTTGAGACAAATGACGTCCGAGGGCGGATATAGAGGGGAGAACGAAGCTAGTCTGTACCCAATAATTCATGTTCGACACAAGGTAAACTGGAACATTATCGTGGAGTCAGGTACAGTGATAGGATAATTGACTACTATCACAATCACAACTCGGTGTGAATAGCTGTAAGAAGCAGCATATTTCACTCATGTTAGATCACAGACACTATCCCGTAGTATTGCACCATCCCGTGGCCTCAGAGATGGCCTCCCGCAAGACGGCCCGAGAATCAAAGGGTATTGGGCATGCAAGCACGGTGAGGTTGAGTGACGAGAGAATGTCGCCCAAGACAAGCTAATTGGTTGACTTTGGATGGGCCAGCCCCGTAGGGGTCAGCGAGCAGTCCTCCTAGTAACGAGACTAGGTATCATAATTAGTTTACTGCCTAGTTATCTCAGGGGAAAGGCTAGAATTCCATGAGGTCCATCAGTCTAGTTTAGTTGAGGCGATTCATTCCACGAAACCTTTTTCCTCCCATCAGAAACCCGCAAACGGGTGCAAAGAAAGAGAAACGAGCCTAATTTAGCTCTCTTTTCGCTTTTTTTTCGGGTACCAAAACCTGATCCATGCAAAACCCATGCGGGCTGTAAACAACGTTCGCTTCCGGTCTTGCAAAAGACTGGGGACTCAATCCCTTTTAGCTCCACGCTACCCAAGAACAAAGTGGAGGAGCTTAACAGGGACCAGGGGACCAATATGGAGGTAAAGAAGAAAAGAAGGTCAGGGAAAAAAACAAGAGAATGCCAGCAAAAAGGGTGATTTCACCTAGTTTAATAACTGTACCACTACTGCTGCAAAATTCCACTTGGGTCTTGGTGCACTTTTCTCTTTTCTCGCACTGGCAAAGTACCTATTCCCTACTACCGAGTCTACATATACGTACACGAACCGAAAGTTACAAACGACAAGTAATACGAGGCGAGGCGAGGCGAGACAAAATCGGGCTGTCACTCGATCCCGATAAGACATACCTACGAAATAAGCAATATGGCAACGGACAACAATCGGCCGAGAATACAATATTCCAAGCTAAATTCGTCGCGTGACGAAGTGCGCTTCCTGGAAATCGAGCCAGCGAATAGCATTAACGATCAGGTCGTCTGTCGCCTTGTCACACTGCCTCTTAGCCGCGATGTCGAATTCATCGCCATATCCTCGCTGCTAGGCGACCCCACAAACCAAGAGAGGATCAACCTCAATCGTGTGGCAATCCCCGTACCGGTCAACATCTCCCTCGCCCTCAAGCACGTACGCGCCGTCTTTTACCCTGCAGTCAACAAGTCGAGCCAAGAGAACCTGGGTAAAGACAGGGAGAGGCGATCGCCGTCTTGGTTGAGGAGTCTGCTCAGACATTTCGGAGGGAGGGAAGCCCAAGATCGTCCTAAATTGAGGGTCTGGATTGACTGTATTTGTGTTAACCCTATGGATTCGAGGGAGAATGCAAAGAGTAGAGTCATCATGTACCACGTGTACCAGCGTGCACAGATGGTGGTTGGATGGGTTGGCTTGAAGGTCCCCCAGACCGATGCGGGCGTGCAGCTGATCCAAGCATTTGACAACGCCATGCCCGCGACGTGGCAAGAGCCTGGCGATAAAGAACTCCACCCAGAGAATTATTCTCCTCAACATGAGTGGGCGATTCCCATTATTGATCTCTTCGACCCTCAAGCAGCTGGTGGTCTTGGGTGTGCAGACTTTCTGGGTCGTGACTTTTTCCAACGTCGCTGGATCCTGGAAGAGATGGCCATGGCGCGCGTACCAACATTTCTGATTGGCGATGCCATTGTCTCGTGGAACCAATTACTACGCATGAACCTCGCTATGGAGGAGTTTAAAGATTACCCATCCAATGTTTGCCCGGCGTCTACAAGGGCGGTTGTTCACGAATTCCCACTGGGTACAGTCCATGCGCTCCTGGATGAGTTTGAGAAGAGGAAGCATATGGCCAAGATGGAGTCTCTGAACAGTAACTCGGTGACAGGGAGTGTCACGAGTGCAGATTCAACGAATTACCAGGATTGGAATCCTAAGTGATGATCGATGACGACAAACCAAGAAAAAAAAAAGAAAGGAAAAAGGAAAATCTTTTTTATCGGAGGGATGGGATGAGATTATGTTTACTTTACGTTTGTTCTTCTTTGTTTCACCGACATGTCTTGGGTGCCTGAGCTAGCTAGGTGTTTGTTGCCTCTTTTCTCATTGAAGAATACCCAATATTTTTTTTTTTTTATGTACAGCAATTCAAGTTTTAGTTTCACGTTAAAAGAAGATCATTCATTGTACATGATGCATGCATATAGCGGTCAGTCTGTGCGCTGCATGGTAGATCACCATCACAGACTCGTGTTTACCCATAGTTTCCTCGGTAGATGACTCTTCAAGTACCGCCTCACGTGTATGTGCGTGTCTGTGTGCGTCCATTCTAGACTCAACGCTCGGTGAGCCCGAGCGTATGGTTCTGTCCATGTGTGTGTATGTGTCGCTTGTGAAACCAACAAGTCCCGAACGTGCGGTATGGCGATCTTAATTAACCGATCAATAATGACGAGTAAGCCTATACCATATGTACTGTAACGGCACTACTACTCTCTCATCCCTTCCCCCCACGCGAAATGTATGAATGAAGCTTAGCTGGATTTCTTCTAGAAGGCCTCGTTAAATTTCCAAGCCTCAACTTAACGCCAGGATTGTAACGGGCGCTAGAGCATTCGAGGCTAACACATCCGACAACTACCTTGAACCTGGCAATTCAGACGGTTCAAACGGCATGCCAGCGTTGTATTCTTTTCTCTCTCCACAATCACTCTTTGTGCGACGATAAACTACTGTTAACAGGAGTAAATCTGCTGACATCCAAGGATCAGGGCATGAATGAAATGCTCTACCGTTCGACCGTTCCACTGGGTTAACCATTGTTACTTTTTTTTGACACCGTCATAAACGAACCAACAGTCCCCACAACTCGGCTCCAACACAAAGGAGGCGAGAACAAGAGATGACAATGTGGGGATGGTGAAACAAGGTCACCGTCTAATCAAACTGTGTTATGACACGTCGCTCAAAGGGGCAAGCCGCGGGTAACTTCCCTCAACTCAAACCAAGGGGGTCAATGCTGAGGCCTCAGTTCACTTTAGCGCGCGCCATGGCGTTGGTTGAGGCTTGAGAGCGCTAATTAACTCGTAACAAGAGACAACAACGACTCACGACAATAAACGCTGTATCGCTGGGCCGTAACTAACGGCGCCATTACTCCCAAGTTTATCCCACCCTGACCGAGTATAATGTTACTGTAGCATCACTAGCAAATGTCATGATATGCCTGCACTTTAACACGAGACCCCAGAATTGAATGGCGGTGGGCAGACGCCAGGCAATCTCTGGTAAGCTATTCGTTGACCGGTGTCTGATCACGGGACGTGACCGAAAGGCAGTGTGACGTATTGATCTCCTCAAGTCACATCGCTTCGGTATGTGTAAGAAGGAATTGCTTTTTCCTTTTTACTTGATACACATCACTTGCGGGTGATGAGAGCTGGATTTGGTAGCTTCTCTCCGGTCTCAGGCCAGCGCGTATGGATGCGATATCGGCCGGTAATGGTATCCGACAGGATGGGAAGAACACCGGGTTTCGGGCATAATGTGAGCGATCAGGTGTGAGATATATATTTCCGACGTAAAAAAAAGCAATACGAATTCCCCAGCTCTGCTGATATGTCATAAAATTTCAGGTCTTAATTTCCACCGTTCCTTAGCCTCGAACTACTGGTCCATTGTTTCAGTCAAAGATGCATCATTGACAGGTAATGTGACAGTAATTGCTTGTAGTTGTCTCTTCTGCCTACTTAAGACGGGGAGTGATGTTTCCGGGATTATCTCGTAGTAGTGCCTGGAATACAGGGTAGAGGTACGAGGCGTCTTGTCGTAAAAAAACAACGAGAGAACAAGATTCAGGTACCAAGGTTAACCTGTGGCTTTTGAGGGAAATAGATCAGCTTTTGTTTTTGATTGACGCGTGGACAATAATCATCCCATGGTTGATGATGAGACCAACCCTACGCGCTTGCTGCCTGAAGGATCTTGGGCAGCCAAGAGATCAACCCGTCGGATTTCCTCTTCTGCTAAGATGTTTGTAACAAAGAATGCGAAGAGGATGACACCCTTGACGCTCTACAGTTCACCATTACCCTATAGTACAGAAATTCTCTCTTCAAAGACATTGCTGTCGGGCTGATGAGTTGGATTTTGTGATAATTATGTTAGACAAATAATTAGATATCCATCATCATATATCTGTGTTACGATCATGACTCAAAACCCTCCACTCTGGCAGAATGGACCCTTTCTAAAAAGAAACACGGGTCAGAAAATCTGTAAAATTCCCCCTTATCACAAATATCAAGTGCTTCCTTGACCACATGTGTCTTTAAAACCAGTTATGTAATCCGCAGATACTGCTCGAGCCAAAACCTGTGCATCCACTGATAGGTTACATATCCCATCTGGCTGGAGGACAAAGAAATTGCAAGCCGAATCCTCCTGGCACGCTACAACGCACCGGCGAAGCGTCGAAACACCTTCAAGCTGTCTGAAGTCTCCGAAGGCCGCGTAGTTGCATTTGATCTCAATGGTACCAAAGCACATGCCTCTCGCATCGGGGCACGTGAGCTCTGGTACCGAAGCTTCTGATGTCGTCGTTGCTGGCTCAGTAGTGGTTTCTGTCGAGGCTAGAGATGTCCATAGCGTTGTCAGAGTTGTGTCGGTGGTAGGATCAGCAGTAGGATCTGCGCCGGTGGTCTCCGTTGTGTCAGTAGTAGTATCTGAAGAAAACTCGGTAGCCAGTGACGTGGTTGAAGTTACATCCATGGAGTAAGAGATGAGTGCAGTCGTGTCTGAGCCAAGCAAAGTCTCATCAGTGGTAGCCACGGTAGGTGCCGAGGCCTTTGTAGTTGAGAGTGAGATTGTTCCGGTCAAGGTATTGATGGTGGCGACATCGTCCGGGAAAACCGATGACGAGCTTCCAGGCTTGCATGGCCCAGCTGTAGTGAGGCCAGCAAGTGCAGACAGAATAAATAAGGAGCGTGTAGCCATCCTGAACACTGACTGTAGTGGGTAAATACAGAACGAACAAATGGCTAAAAGGATGTGACCGAACCAGAATCGCCCTCACACATGACCTGGACGACGCAGTTGTATTTATTGCCGTCTTTTACTTCACACTTCACACTCATTTCCACATGTCTGAATTGAGATGTCAAGCTGAATACCACAAGGCGATAGTCGGAGACTAGCCGGGATAAATTTGACTTTATTGCTGTTAGCTCACTGTCGCACGGGCATGAAGCCAATAGTGTAAGAAAATGGGCTGAGATATGGCTCCCGAAAACAACCTAGAGCAGACGCTTATTCTGACTACTTGCGAAGTCATTAATTTGATGGGCGCGCATACCGCAGGATTCTCAATGAACATGTTTTGGTCTAACGAAACGTCGTCTGTATCAACAATATGTAGACGCAATGAGAGCTGTGAGATGCAGAGGCGACTTGTAGGAAGGGCGGAAACTGATCTCGCAATACAAACAACCTACTTTGCCGAAGACGATTCTGGTAAGTTTGATGATCGTTTCCGCTGAGGCTGAAAAGATGGCTTTGCGATAGTCTAGGCACGAAAATTAGCATGGTCTTGGCATCTGTGAGTCAAGACAGCGTGATTCATGAAGAGAATAACGACTGCAGTTGATGAATCCGCATCCAAATTTTGACAAGTACGATTTGGGTCATGCACTCTATTAGTTGCCTCGAGACTTTGCTAAAATTCGGTTGTGAGACAGGTCGCGTCAACGCGTGCTTCTAAAACATCAACGCTGCTGTTAAATGGCCTGCTTATTACGTCGAAACGTGGTCACCTGTAATTGAACAACTTGCTGCTTACATTCTAGAGATGAAAGTCTTAATCGCAAAAGCAATCGCTGTATGTATGGTATCAGATCCAAGATCTGGTTCCGCATTTACACCCAATCTGAATCTCCGTCACAATTCCGATGAAATGCGTCGACATAACCTGTGATTTATTGCCTTTTCGGATGGCACCAACAGAGCAAGTTAGAAGGTATATAAAACACGGCCTTATCCACCTGCTTCTGCAAAATTACCCAGCACAGCACCTCGAGATCTACCACCTGTGATAAAATTCAGAGTACATCCGAGCAACTATATTACTAACATCATCCACCATGACCGAACAAAGCGACAAAGTTCAGGACCCCGTCGAATCCCATGAGTCCAGCGCTGACTCTGCAGCTGATACCGCAACTGATTCCCAGCCCGACTCACCCACTCTAGGTTGGGCCAATGCACCCCCTCCAGATCAAGCTGCCAACGAACCTCGTAACCTATCTCACAACCAGTACAGAGTCGAAATATATGACTTTCAATGCTTATCCTTTACTTTTGTCAAGCCTACGACGCATCAGCAATACAGGTATGAGAACCGCATCACTGATATCAAAAAGGAGAGGCTGGAGAGGGAACTATTTGAAGTTAGGCGAGTATTGAGGTCTTTTAGTGTTTCTGAGGAGGAATTTCAAGCTGCACTTGCAGAGTATGCAAATATCAAGCATGACATTTTGAAACTGGAACTCCAATTTGCATGTGTTAAGCGTGCGTGGAGATTCGTTCTGGACGAGAGGGAGCGACTCATGAGACTAGGAGACTCTGAGTAAGGATAACAGTCGTGATTGGCGCCCTCATTTGTATATGATCTAAGTAATTAAGAGAGATATTCACTTTATTCAACGCTGTCAAGGTAACATATATATGTTATCATTGGCGAAATATGTGTCATGCATGGTCTCAAAAGGCCCTCTAGCTGGGTTTGCATGTCACTTAAAAGCACGTAATGTCGAAAACCTCTTGACATGATATGATATCTTATAGCCCTGAGCTTTGATTGCAACCGTTTAAAATTAAGACTCATGCTACACAGACGTTAGGTCAGTGCTGCGAGTCACTGCATCTACATTGTTGTGATTGGAGCCACAAAGTAGACGATTAGTTGTGCGATATGTTACATTCCGTGAACAACAGTCTCATCGGAAAATTATGGCCACTCAGTCTTGTGAGAAAAGAAGTGATGTTGATAGCAGTGACACATAAGTGCAACAGAAAACAAAAGTATAAAAGGGCACTCCTCACCCCTGATTCTTCACTTCTGCACAAATACCTTCAAACCAACACCTAGAAACCCAAGACAACACAAAGCTTCTTACCTTCTTTGCAAAATTAACCCGCTTGAACATTTTTTATATATCACAATACTCAAACTTCAACAATGCCTCGTTCTCGTCGTCCAAGTCGGGCACTCCGTTTGGATGTCTCAGACCTTTCAGGGACCACCATTGTATCTGATGGATCAAGCTCTGGACCATCTACACCACCCTCTCGTATCTCCCCCAGCAGGATCATCGATGATGGTTCTCCTCCAAACCGATCTCCCAGCTCTGGGCCATCTACAGCGTTCTCCCGTATCTCTCCAAGCTGGATCATCGACGATGGCCACCCTCCATCTTATCGAAGTTCCAGCTCTCCTAACTATCCCAGCACGGCCATAGGTGGTGGTCCAGCTGAATCTTCGGTCACAGGCGGTTCGCGATCCATGAGACAAATGTCTAACCAAGATCGTCCTTCCAGCAGGGTACCTGGTGGGCGCCGACAAGCGTCGTCGCGCCACTCACAAAGCCGACCTACTGTCCCAGCGGCCGGGCTCCCTCCCACAGAGCATTCACGCCAGCTACTGTTGCACCGTCTGTGTACCTAGGACAGGGAGGACGTAACCCTACTACTACCGTGAGACCTAGGGATTCTGCTTCCCAAATCCCTACTGTTGTACTTCGTTACCCAACGCAGCATAGACGAGACCATGGGGGACATAGGCGCCACGAGTCTTCAAGTGTCGTTCGAATTATGCCTGAAGGCCACGAGTGTCCGCCGATTATATTCCCACGGGTAACAGATCGAGAACATGCTCTACAGATATGGGCAGAGTTGGATGATAAGACGGATGACTTAGAAAGGGAGTATGGCAACGCGAGACGGGCTATCGAGCGTACTATGGGCTCATCTGAGTTCCCTAGAGCGCTCGCCGAGAACGTCATCACAAGTCTTTACCGCTTCATCAAAGCTCAGCTTGAAAGAGATACTTATTATCTTTACCACCGATCTCTGATTGGTGCAGATCTTCAACCGTTGTACAGGGAGAGGTATGCCGAGGACCAAAATTGAGAACCAGGGTTGATTACTTGGGGTAAATAGATATCAAGAACTGATAGTAGATTATTTTATTTATTTAATGCGTTGCCTATCTGTATGTGTGTACATGATAAAGTGCTCCTCCCCCCAATGAGCGCGTATAGTGAGACTAGATTGGGTTATGTTTGTAGAAGACACCAATGTAGTTGATACCAAGGCTCAGTCACTAATCACCACATAGACTGAATCATTGTAGTTTCTGAACGTAGATTATGTGTATATCAGCGACTGGAATATGCCCTTATTTTGAAGCAGATTCCGCCTGCTTGACAAGGATCAAATACGAGATAAGTCCACATAAAGCACTCTTCCCGGTATATCCGAAGTTACCCCCCTGCCAAGAACTTTGACAGATGGCCAATCCGAGGTTGCATTTATTGACGCTTGCCACGTCTACTTATGCATGTTGGTGGTATGTCAACAGGCGAGAAGAGAGAAGAGGAAACAATGTAGCTCAAATCATACGTGAGGCATTTAAACGAACAATGCAAACAGACAATTTCACCGTAGTTTTCTCAACACCAACTATTGGAATCATCATACGCTGCAAAAATGACGACTATTGATGCGGATGTTCATATCGAGCCCGACAACCATGTAAGATTTAGTCATGAATTTTCATGGGAATGTTACTGATATTCTTGGCAGCAGTTGGGAGCCGAACAACCCATCGTTGAAGTAGGAAACACCTGGCACTGACATTCCCCACCAAAAACACGCTGTTAATGGTCGTATAGGACAACAGTTCTTCCACTGATAGTCTGAGAGACTCCATATTTGACTTTCGACGAGAGAATGGAAGAACCTATCATAAATACAAAGAAGGAAGTATGTTGAAACCGCTTCCAGTTGAGACTTGAACGGCCTTAGAAGACTAACAGCATCTTAGAATATAATTTGCCCAATGATTCTGAGGAACTTCAACGATTGGGTAAGCAATACATCCGGTAGACCTACACCCAGAACTAATGTGTCTAGATCTCCAACACAATTTGATGCTTCTAACACTCGACAACAAGCTTGGTCTAAGCCCTCCATGCCGTCCCGACTCGAAAGTCAAGCGAGTTCTTGATGTTGGAACCGGTACAGGCATATGGGCTACCGACTTTGGCGACGAGCATCCAGATGCCAAGGTAAGACAACACCACTTCCTTTGAGAATAATTGCTAACGACTGCAGGTTCTTGGCGTTGACTTGTCGCCCGTTCAGCCAAGCTTGTATGTTCCATCGAGGATATCTAGGTTTGAAGCTAACAGGTCATAGTGTGCCTTCAAATGTCCAATTCGAGCTTGACGATATTGACGAAGAGTGGACTTATAGTGAGACATTTGACTTTATCCACAGTAGATTCATGAACTTTAGTGTTCAAAACTGGAAGTCATACCTCACCAAAATCTACGCGTAAGCTTATCAGCCCTGTTCAACAGATCTATACTGACAGACTTAGAAACCTTACTCCAGGAGGCTACGTCGAACTTCAAGACGTCGATGTCATAATGGGTAGTGATGATGGAACCCTCAAACCAGACTCGACAATGTACAAATGGTGTCTCCTCCTCGACGAAGCTGCTGGGAAGTTTAACCGTTCATTCGAAAGAACAACTAACTTCAAGAACCTTTTGCAAGAAGTTGGCTTCGTTGATGTAGTAGAGACACGCTACAAGTGGCCTACGAACGGCTGGCCCCGAGACAAGAAGTACAAAGAACTTGGACAGTGGAATAACGCGAATGCCAGTTCGGCATTGGAAGCGTTGACCATGGCGCCTTTTACTAGAGGCCTTGGATGGAGTCGTGAGGAGGTGGAATCGTTCTTGGTTGCGTTGAGGAGTGATTGGAATGATCCCAAGATTCATGCTTATTGGCCGATGTGAGTGATTTGACCGCTGAGGTGGGTTATAGCTAACGATTTATAGTTGTGTAACTTATGCCAAGAAGCCCGAGGCATGATATCGCGGTGGTGAACTTGAACGGGACAAAGGAGCGATGGTTTTGTTTTATGACCTTGTGAGATATTTCGTGCCTATGAGATGAGATAGCTGTTGCAATAAAACTTAATTGAAATGCGTTTTTGTACAAGAGAACAGTTCAATTACAACACAACGTCCCAGTTGAGTTGCAGTAATCTGAGCTTGTGCTGCTGATTCTCCGAGATACTGTTCAATCCAGCTAGGTTAAATGTATATAGCTAGTCAGTGCCAAAAGCTTAACAACCACCAAGACAACGTGGCCGAGTGGTTAAGGCGATGCCCTGCTATCTCTTACGAGACATCATAGGCATTGTGTTCGCACGCGTAGGTTCGAATCCTGCCGTTGTCGATTGCTTTTTGTATCCTATAATGAGAATTATCAAATCGTTCGTTCTTTTTTGCAAGAGGAGGTCGATTCTATCATCACCATGACGCGAGATAAATCTGTTATCTGCATTCGCCCATACTCAGTTCAGAATGTTTTAAATTTTTGCCATTACTGAAAGTATCAATGTGCCAATTACGTGTCATGGAAGGCGATAACATGTGCATGAAGTTGAACAATCTAAATGTTTCCATGCCGGGGAAATTTAGGATTAGGCGTTTGCGATTGAGTTCAATGGAAGTATTGTCGCTGAGAGATCCAAAGTCAATTGGCGAATTGACTGACTAATATCAATTGACCGAGGGGACAACGGGCTGAAAACGCAAAAAAAGAAAACCTACGTGTCGCAGGTGGCTGGATCTCTCCCGCCGGGAATTGAACCCGGGTCTCAAGCGTGACAAGCTTGCATACTGACCACTATACTACGGAAGATGAACAATCTGAAGACTGTTGTAGCTGGGGGGGTTGTGATTGGGTAAGCGAAAATAAACCCTATGTAGGTATTGTCCGGCTGGACCTTGGAAACGTCGACGAACGGACTCTAAAAGTCAACTCGAGGAACAGAACCCGACAAGTTATTGAATCAATGATTGGGTGGCAAGAAGTCGAAAGTATACAGTCGCCATTTCCAATCAACACCAAGTAGAGTTCCTGTCAACCGGGAGAGTCATGGTGTCGTGGCAAGTGACAGCTAATGCCCATGGTAACTGGTAACATTACCCTATGTATAGACAATTCTTTGTATATCTCATTGAGTTCCACATTGACCTTGACGGGTTCCTAAAAAGCCACCAGAGTGACGTGGTTATACCACATCTGTAGCTACAAGCCCAAGTAGCAGACTCAACAAAGCATCAACCCCGCGTGAACATGTACTCACTCAACAATTCGACACTCTTGATCCAGTACGAGATATAGTTTTGACATGTTTAAAACAGTCCATTCCCACCTCCCAGTTGTGTTCTTCGTTCTCTCCCCTCTACAAACCATCATTCATCCTCAAACAACGCTTCTCAATTGAGGTTCCCATTCTCTCACTACCACTTTCTCCTACGTTCTGATCGATATCGACATCAGCTCCAGCTCAATGAAATGCCTCCTTTCTTCGACTGTCCGCGTCTCAACGCAACAATACCCCTGAACGCAACAACCGTCGTCTCCTACCTCGTCAAGAAACATCTCAAAGATCCCCAAAAACCACCGTCAATATGGGGTCAAGCCAAGACGAAGACTAAGAAATGGACAGCGTTGGGCATATTTTTCCTTGTCATTGGTGTTCTACTCGCTATCGGCTTTGCGTGCTGGATTATCATACCAACCTGTGCCAATATTGAATGGCACAACCCGGTATGCTTAACCCCCTATATCAAGTGTTTTTAAGACTAACTTAGGTAGCGTCGGCGACGTGACTACATCCCCCCTCCTGCGCCGCTAACATGGATGCCTCCACCCCAACCCAAGCCTAAAAAACAGCCTAAAAAGCAGCCCAAAAAACCTCCAGAAGCCAAGAAAAAACCGACGGCACCTAAAATCCAAGAAATTCCACCCTTCAAGGCACCACCAAACTACACGAGAACCTTCAGGGCGGGTGCTAATCCGCCAAAATCAGATCCCTAGCTGGAGACTGTTGAGTCTTGTATACTTCAACAACATCTTGCTTTCATATGGGTGTTTAGGTCGCTATGTTAGGCGGTTTTAACAGCACAGTCAACGAAGTTAGTTAGAGGAGAACACAATTGGAATTAATTTTTTTTATCTTAAGAACTTTGCGTGACGGTTCACGTCCTTGTAAAGCAAGTATCGAAACTTTCCAGGCCCACCAGCATAACAAGCCTGTGGGCAAAACGCACGTAGCCACATGAAATCTCCCGCTTCCACCTCTACCCAATCCTGATTAAGACGGTAGACAGCTTTTCCCTCGAGGACGTAAAGACCGTGCTCCATAACGTGCGTCTCTGCAAAAGGGATGATACCGCCAGGTTGAAAGGTGACGATATTGACGTGCATATCATGTCGCACATCGGTGGGATCAACGAATCGGGTAGTAGCCCAAGCACCGTTTGTATCGGGCATTTCCCTTGGTGCAATATCCTTCTCATTGGCGAAAAAGGCCTCGGGGGCGTCGAGGCCTGGTACGTACTCGTAGGCTTTGCGGACCCAGTGGAAGCGGGCTGCTTCGCTTGAGTTGTTGCGGAGGGCCCAGCCAGACTTGGGTGGGAGGAAGGCATAGCCACCAGCACCGAGAGTGTGAGCTTCACCGGTTAGAGTAACAGTAATTTCACCCTCGACAACGAACAAGACACCTTCAGCAGTGTCGTCCATCTCAGCGCGATCACTACCACCTCCGGGCGAAACCTCCATTATATATTGAGAGAAGGTTTCGGCAAAGCCTGATAGAGGGCGAGCGATAACCCATAGTCGCGTCTGCTCCCAGAAAGGCAAAAAACTGGTAACAATGTCGCTGAAGCACCCCTTGGGAATGACGGCGTATGATTCTGTAAACATGGCTCTGTCGGTAAGAATTTGTGTTTGAGGTGGTAGACCACCCTTGGGGGCGTAATAAGCGCCCATTTTTTGATCGTTGCTCATGATGAATATTATGAAATGAGTTTTGAAATAGCAATACAACAAAAACTGTCTAAGATGGTGATAATAAGTAGTCCGTCAAAAACCCCGCATCAACTCTCCGAAACGGAGACACATTCGGATCACTTGTCCGAGATGGAGGGTCAAGCCAATCAGCCTCAGTGTATTCTCTATCTTCTGGTCTGGTCTAGTCTGTATCACGTTAGCTCCGGACCCTGCCGCCTTTCTTTAGTGACGGTGGAATCCGATGTCGTATCCGCTTGTATTGACAATTGTTAGAGGTTGTTTCATGGCTTTGACAGTTTGGAATTAGTAACTCTCGAATGGAATAGTGATTAAGATTGGGGGTTACTGTTTAGATATCCATCCTTAGCTGTAATTGGTCCAGCAAGTCAACCCGACGGTAGGCCAAGTGGAATGGATACAGCCATCTGATCTTCAACACTACAACGCGAGGCTGTCTTCGACTCGACCGATATTACTGACGGCGAAATGTCTTACTCAAATCTTACGTAGCCTATATAACTCAGTGGTAGAGCGTCGCACTCGTAATGTAAAGGTCCATAGTTCAATCCTGTGTCGAGGCTATAATGTTTCTACTTTCTGCCGACGCACTAAAAAAAAAAAAACAGGAAGAGAACCTTGTTACAGCCAAATACTAATCGTCTACACCAAGGACTAGCTGAGTCTCATATCGAAAATAATATAAATTTAAATATTTCCAAAAGGTATTAGTACATTCACTTATAATTCATGTATACCATATAATCACCGACGAACCTCGCCATTGAATGCCGAAAAGGCGTTGAGTCTGGCGTCAAGTCTGCCAACCCTCCCATTTGTTGCTTCAAGACTTTCAAATGCCTTGGTCCAGCCCCCTTGGCCACCCAAAAAGTCCAACTGAAAGTTGCATTTTCTCATCGCCAACTCTAATGACTCTTTGCTCTTTGTTATGTTAGTTTCGTCCTGCACATACTCATCGAGCTTCTTCTCAATCATGGGCTGCTGGATTTCGATTTCGCGGAGAAGATTTTGAGCCTGTGAAATTTCATCCTGGTATGATTGTTGTACCCTCTCGCGCTCTGCCAATTGCCTCTTTCGTTTCTCGAGATATTCCCGAGTTGACTCGTCTCCTATGGATTCGGGTTCTAGAACTTCGATGATTTTGTACGTTTTGGTGATGTGTGCTTGATTATCCTGCATGGTTTGCTGCATGTCTTGCATTTTCTTCGTTGTGATTTCCCTGTTGGAGTTGTTGGTGAACATAATCTGGTGCATCGCGCGGATTTCTTTTTGGATATTTTCGAGTTTGGTGTTGATATCTACAACGTGAGACTCCGCCCAGGATCGCCATTCTCGAAGTTGTCTCTTGAAACTTTCTCCATCGGGCTTGTGATTGTTAGCAAAATACAGTGACAAGGGACTTGAATTCTCACTAATGTAGCATCGAAATCGAATGGTTCATTCGAAGATGTAGACGGCTGTCTGGGATCGTCTGATCGCAGTCTCTTAGAAGGGCGATTCTCAACAGTCCCTGGCGAGCTCGTTTGTGCTGGCACCGCGATTGAGGATTGTGGCACTTGGGTATGGGCTGGTTGTGAGGAGGGTTCTCCGTTGACCCAGGCGGGGGGTCCAGTTGAGACAAATGAGTTTGGCCTTAGCGTTGTTGGTTGCAACTGTGGATTGGGTTCCATCACGCTCATGTTGTTAGGTGTCGCTTGTGTAGAGGTCATAGCACGAGAGGCAGAGTTGTTCGTGGGAGTGGTCTGAGATGAGGGTGCCTCCGCAGGAGCGGTGGTAGTGGCATGAATAATTCGCAACGGGGATGAAGCCGCTGGTTGTTGTGGAGTGTTGTGAGTGATTGGCCTGTCAGACTCCATAGGTCGCTTGCGCGAGACATCGCGGTTCACCAAGGCGCTCAAAGGAAGGGCGTGGGCATGGCGTGTACGTGTAGGTGGCATGGTGTCACAGTGAGGGCGATTGGGAGGTCGGATTGAGCTGGAGCTCGCTGAGCCGACGCTGGTTTGGGCAACTGGCCTTGTAGGAGTTGAAGCGTTGAATGCACCCCTATCTCTAGAGGTACTCGGGGGTGCCGCCTCATGGGCATGTGTAGAATTGTTTGTGCGACTACCAGATGGCCCATCGGGATAGCTAGGCAGGGCAGTTGGTGGAGGAGAATCATCTTCGACTTTTATGTATTGTCGAGATCTAGTAGTTGCGGTAGAACGTGGCTCGATGAGTCTCATGAGTGACTGAGGATCGCTTGACGAAGGAACAGGCGTGGCCGGTGTGCTGGTAGGTGTAGGAATAGCGTTACCTGCGATTTGACCATCTGTCCTAGGAGTCGACGGCCCATACTGAGATTCAGTATTTGTGGGTTGAGATTCAGCATTTGTTGACTGTCTGACTTCACCTCTGCCCGAAGTTGTATGTTGGCGTGTCTCTGCTCGGACATGAGGCTCAGGTGCTGCTCGTCTGTTAGGTGAACGATTTGCTCGCCTGCTGGGTGTGGTAGGTGAAGGCGCGGCAAGCGACCCACCCCGAGCAGCATTGTTTAATCTCACAACTGGGGTTGAGGGATTAGGATGAGTCCTGCCAGCTCTAGAGGCAGATTGAGGTTGTGATGAAGTACCACTGCGTGAGACGCTGCTAGCCATGGTTCGTCTTCGAAGGCTTCCTTGAAAGTGGCCATTGATAACCTCATTGGCTCGAAATCGATCTGAAGGTGATTGGGCTCTGTTGGATGGTGTGGTCACAGTTTGAGCAAGAGATTGCGAGGCGGGAGTTTGATGATTGCCCGCTCTGGTAGATGGCTCTGAAGGGACCGATCTGGTGACAGGTCGAGTGTTTTGTCTGGCAGGCGTAGCGGCACTGGAATGGATTTGGCTGGTTAATGCCTGATTGTGTTCGTTGCTGGCTTCTCCATCTTGTTCAGTTTCCCCCATGTCAAAATCATTTTCAAAGTTGCTTAAAACATCATCACTATCATCGCTGACGAAAGGAGTTTCTGCGATTATGACCGGGTCTTCCGAACCTGATTTAATCACAATGGAGTCATCTGCCTCGTAATCACCTTCACCAGGAGAATTTCGAGATCTCCTCCGGTAATGCAATGCATCGATGCCCTCTTTCCGTAGCCATTCCCGAACCGTGGAGATATCCTGTCGATTCACATACTTGGCTCCGTCATAAGGGTGTTCTCTGGCGAGGTCCTTCAACCTTTTTATAATATCTCCGAGTTCAAATTTTCGCGACTTGACAGTGAGACGTATAAGCGTAGCGAACTCGTCGGACAATCTCTCGACCCAAGTGACAGGCTCGAAGCTTCCCAAAAGCTCGTGAGGCCACTTACCACAATAATAGTGAACGCGCTGAGCTGCACTGGCGGCGCGTGGTCCTGGGTATTTGTCCGGATCGACAGCTGGTCCTTCTTCCATCTTTGTATGAGATTGGATCAAAGCTGTTGGCAGACTTGAACGGAGTCGCGTAGATTCTGACCGCGATAGGACGAGATGGATTGAGTGACGATATGAGATGAGACGAAGGCAAGGGATGAGGGTGAAACGCCAATCAACTGTGTCACGTGTGATAGCGGCGCGTTGCTATGGGCACGTGCCATCCACGTGAAAAATATGAGTGCTCAGCACGGACGATGACACTCGTCTCATGGGATGAAACTGCATTGATGAAACAATCCCAGCATACCCAGACGCAACATTTCTTCAGACCGGATGAGTTTGTCGGTTCAATTGGAGTTAATCATAAGCCGCTGTTTTGAGTCTGGCATTCCTGTGTTGTAATAACAAACGACAAAATAACAATTCGAGCCACGCCCGGTTAGCTCAATCGGTAGAGCGTGAGACTCTTACGAGTACGCGATCTCAAGGTTGCGGGTTCGACCCCCGCATCGGGCTGTTCCTATAAATACGATTGCAAACAAGCGAGGCATTACTTTTTTCTTTTTGTGTATCTGTCTTTCATTCAACGTGGGATTAAGTGGTTCGAGTTGAGGACATTCTGCAAATATTGCTTCGTGATATGAACATTCGGCCAGCATTCTTACACAACCTAAGGTGAGGTATGGGGTATGTAACAATAGCCAGGAATTACACCTGTCGCGATCAATTCTTTTTGGCTCTCATGATCATGGAGTAATGTGGAATCCCCAGGATCGAGACAGTCCGAATCTCCTCAAAGCCCGCGGCAACATACAATGGCCGCCCAGCTTCAGTCGCCACAAGATAACAGTCCTTCCCTTCCTCAGACGCCCGTTCAAGTCCCCATTTCAATAACATCTTTCCTATTCCCCGTCTCTGATTACCTAGATCAACTCCGATATAGTCAAGATCTAGAAATGTCAGCATCTGTTACACTAACAAGGAAGCAGTACAAACGCCAGACGCCAGCAATTCCCTTCTCGCCGAATGTGTCTACAGCATCCTGATTCACAGTCTTTTTCATTTCCTCAAAAGCTGCCTTGTCGAGTGCTGCACACTCTATCGGCTTGCCTGGACCAGACTCGTTCCCCTCAGCTGGGGGCGCATCCCAGAGCGCAAATCCAACAATGCGATCTTCCGCATTCTTATCCTTATCGACTGCGACAATGACATGAGACTCTGGTGATGCAAGACTGGATGTTTTGCGCGCTAAGCGCCAGTCATAAGCTGCTTCGCCGTCGGGTATATATGTCGGCTGTAGATGGCGAGGAAATAAGCGACGGGAGAGAGCATCTGTTTCGGGGTGAAAGGCAGATGTTGCTATGTGAGCAATTGCCGGTAAATCTTCCTCGGAGGCTACAGTTAAGTAAATCGACATGTTCAAGATGCGAGATTGACGAGTTAATAATACATGACTGTTCAGAGGATCATGAAGAACAAGCATCGGTAGAGAAGGCCGCTATAGCTACAGAGGTCACGGGGCCGCTAAAGCCACAACGGGTTGCATCAGAGCATGATTCAGAAGGTATAACAATAACTCTCCGGATGAATAAGAAAAACAGCTCTCAGAATCTATTATCTACATACAAGAACTCAGCAAGTCAGCCAGCTTCTTTCTTTTTTTAACTATTAACTGTTGGTTGGCTCTTTGAAGAGAAAAAGTCGGTCACGTGTTGTGTTGAGAAAATCACTGTCTGAGTCCAAAGAGCGGGGGAAACTGCAGATCAACTTGATCTCACACGTCGGCAATGAAACAATCCCTTCTCAACTTTGACCATCGAGGTGACGCACTCCTCACTTTACGAAGACCAAATTCTCAGAGAATCCCCTGGTCAAAAAATAAAAAATCTCCCAGAAACGCGATAACCCACAAAAATGAAGACCCTGGCGGGTCTGAGCAGAACCTGCGCTCAATACAACCTTGCAAAGATGACGGCGAACCGAATGAGATACAATTCAGAGTGTCCACGAGAAATTTGTGTCTCGTGTCCTCAGTGTTCAGAGCCATGATCGAAGGACAATATAAAGAATCACAGCCTAATTCACAAGGTCTTTTGGAATTCAGCGCATCAGAATGGAACGTTGAAGCCTTTGTTATCTTGTTGAACATTATGCATGGTCACCATCGTCAAGTAACCAAGACGCCTGGTTTAGAGCTGATAGCTCATATTGGAATTCTTGTTGACTACTATGATTGTCTTGAGGTGGTTGAGATCTTCTATGAGAGGTGGACTCAATGGCATCTCGACTTGAACAAGCACAATTATCCTGAACTCAGTTTGGCCCTGCCGAGCATCGCAGCGCAGAACTTTGGACCAGATGAGACTGTCCTGTTGTTTACTGCACTTGTTTTCAAGAATCATGTGCAAGCCAGAGGACTTTTTGGGCTGGCGATTTTCAACACGGAGGGCCCACTCGAGACAGACCTAGCGATTCCGAATCGAGTTCTTGGTATGTCTCGAATACAAGACTCCTAACGAGAGAACACATAATAACAAAATACAGAACTGATTGAACAAGAACGAGAGAGAATAGTCGAAGAGCTGCTCGAAGTACTCTTCGACTTACAAGACTGTCTTATGGCTAGAGATCTCTGTTGCACTCTAGAGTGCGCCTGTAGACTTTTGGGATACCTTACAAGACAGATGAGAAGTTACGGTCTTCCATTGACAAAACCAGAAAGGCCATTTTTGGGGTACAGCGCGAAATGCGTGCATCAGATGCTTCGCAGTCTCAAAGCACCTCACTGGTGTACTGACCACAACAATGATCCATGTACTTTAGAGGTTGTGTTGCAAGATTTCTATGTACCTTGGGAACCGAGTATCTTTGAGAGAGACTTGTGTGAGTTAATGTAGGTTGTATAAAGAAAGATGTAGATAATTGATTAAAGCAAAAAGGATGCCTGCCTGCCATATTGGCAAAAGGAAGGGTCTGGCCGGGGATTGAACCCGGGACCTCTCGCAAGCTGAGCTATAGGGTTTTCCCTAAGCGAGAATCATACCACTAGACCACCAGACCGTGGAAGCGAATTGGAATTCGCTCGTGGAGTTGTTGGTTGCCGTTCGTTGTTGAAGCCTATGTCGATGACTGAGACATGAATAGAGGACATCTAACATCATCAGTGAGGATTCAACTAATCACCACCAGCTACTATCAAATCAGATAAAACACAATTGGAAGTAAAGATAAGGCTTGAAAGTGATGTACTTCACCGGTCAGGTAAAAATCTGAGACTGATGAGTGGAAAAGTACATCGCTTCAGTGGCTAAGCAAGCAATTTGTTTCTCACAATGAGACAGAGTGTAAAGAACAAATGAGATATTACTATCCTAACTATTTATTAAGCAATCTTTGTTGCAACGTTATATCGCTGAGCCCCATCATTAACTCCGTAAATACAAATTAACATCCTCAGTATTATAGTCCATTCCATTCTCAACATGTCCCCACTTAAGGGCTTCCGCCGGATGGCTCGTCAGATGAGCCAGATGAACCAGATGAAGAACCAGAGCCAGATGGTTCATCGCTTGAGCTGGATGAACCAGAGCCTGATGAACCAGACGAGCCGTCAGAGTTGGCCGGAGTCGTGGGCTCAGATGCAGGCTCTTCATCAGCGGGCTTGGTAGGCTCGGAAGCAGCAGCAGTAGCGGTAGGTTCCTCGGCAGCGGGCTTAGTAGACTCCTCGACAGGATCAGCAGCCTTAGTGGTAGTGGGCTCAGAGGCAACAGGTTCGGTAGGCTCAGATGCAGGTTCTTCAGCACTGTGCTCCTCAGCAACTGAGGTAGTAGGCTTCACCATTGTCACCAGAGTTGTGGGAATATAAGTGGGCTCCTCAACATCAGAAGCAGTAGTAGGGTCGCTGGCAGGCTCCTCAGCTGTGGCAGAGGTCTCGTTATCAGAAGGAGCAGTAGGTTCCTCATCGGCAGGCTTGGTAGGCTCAGATGAAGGTTCGCCAGCAGCAGGATCTTCAACAGGATCAGCAGCCTTAGCAGTGGTAGTAGGATCAGAGTCTGGCTCTTCAGCAATAGCAGTGGTCTCCCCAGCAGGATCAGCTGCGGCCTTGGTGATAGTAGGCTCAGTGGAAGGCTCCTCGTCTGTGACGGTGGGCTCTAGGTCAGAAGCAACGGTGGTATCCTTGACAGACTCCTCAGCAACCTCGGTCGTGGTGGACTCTCCATCAGCGGCATCTGAAGTGGCAGTAGGCTCGACCGATACTACCTTGGTGTTGGGGTCCTCGAACACCTCTGTTGCAGTGGTCTCCCCGGTGGGCTTGTCAGAAAACGTCTCCTCAGGGTCAACTGCCTTAGTGGTAGACTCCCCATCGTCAGCTGGAGAGGTGGCAATGGTATCAGTAGGATGCTCTTCATCAGTGTTAGTAGGCTCGTCTCCATCATCAGAAGTAACGGAAGTAAGATCAACCTCAGCAGAAGAAACCTTGGTAGGTTCCTCATTGGTGATGGAAGTGTTGGTCTCATCATCATCAGCAGCGTCCGATGTGGGTGTAGACTCATCCGAAGCTACCTTGGTGTTGGGCTCCTCAAAGTCAGTTGCGGTAGTCTCACCAGTAGGCTTGTCAGAAGTTGTGTCTTCATCAGCCTTGGGGTGTGTTGTGGGCTCATCAACTGGCTTGACTGTAGTCGATTCGTCTTCGTCAACCTCAGTTGCGGTGGTCTCGCCGGTGGGCTTGCCAGAGGTTATGTTCTCATCATCCTTGGGAGGTGTTGTGGGCTCGTCAATAGGCTTGACTGAAGTTGAGTCCTCATCATCGACCTTGGTAGCAGAAGTAGGACCCTCAGTCTTAGAAGCATCAGTCTTCTCATCATCCTTGGGAGGTGTTGTGGGCTCATCAACTGGCTTGACTGAAGACGACTCGTCATCGCTACCCTGGGAAGGGATAGTGGGCACATCGCCATCATCATCATCATCACCCTTGGGGTTTGTAGTGGGATCTGAGGCGGGGTTTGCAGTGGTGGCGGTACCCTCACCATCAACCTTGAAAGGGACAGTAGGCTCATCAACTGGCTTGACTGAAGTTATCTTCTCATCATCTACATTGGCAGAAGAGGTAGTCTTCCCATCATCATCATCACCCTTGGGGTTTATTGTGGGCTCTACAGCAGGGTTGACAGAAGTGGTGGTCTTCTCATCAACCTCGACAGAAGTAGAGGAACCCTCAGACTGAGAAGTCTTGGTGGAAGTAACCAAGGTTGTGCTGGATGAATTGGTGGTCGTGGATGGAGGCTTGGAAGTAGTCGTGGTCGAGGTTGTGCTAGACGAGGTGGTGGTAGTAGACGTAGGCTTGGAAGTAGTCGTGGTTGAGGTTGTGGTAGTGCCAGCCTTGGTGGGGGTGCTTGTTGTGGACGTGGTAGATGTGGAAGAGGTAGTAGGTACCTTTGCTGTGGTAGAAGGAGAGGTGGTAGTAGGCTTCGTGGTAGTGATAATAGTGGTTGTAGGCTTTGTACTTGTGGTACTTGTACTTCCCTTGGCAGGGGAAATAGGGATGGCCGTAGTCGTGACCGCCTTAGCAGTAGAGGTGGTAGAGGTAGTAGAAGTAGACTTGGTAGTAGTGGTAGTACCAGGCTTAGCAGGGGAGATGGGGATGTTTGAGGTTGTTAACTTTCCAGTGGAGGTAGTCTTGCCAGTAGATGTAGTAGAGATAGTCTTGCCAGTAGATGTAGTAGAGATAGTCTTGCCAGTAGATGCAGTAGACGTTGTCTTGGTAGTGGAGGTAGTCTTGCCGGCAGCAGGCTTGCTAGTGCTGGTGGACTTGGAAGTGGTTGTGGGCTTGTTGGCAGCAGGCTGGGTGGTAGAGGTTGTCTTACCAGCCGCTGGCTTGGTCGTGGAAGTAGTCTTTACTGTTGTAGAAGCAGCCTTCGCTGTTGTCTTGGCAGCAGCAGGCTTCTGAACGGAAGTAGTTGTGCTGGACTTCCTCTTAAGGAAACGTCTTAGTGTATCGGCATAAAAGGCTCCCTGAGCTTCACAGCCTTCACCACCAAAGACCTTGCAGCCAAATCCATTAGAGTCACCTGCAGGCAACGCAGCTGCGTTGACAGAGGCGATGGACATGCCAAGAACGACTGTTTTGATGAAATGCATCTTGAAAAATAGGGGAGGAGGGATGAACTACTGTGATTGTAGTAGGAGGAGGAGGAGGAGAGTGTGATGGTTGAGAGTGAGTGGTTTGAATCATTTGAGGTCCGATTCATCTTTACTTATACACCAAACAATCTCGCAGTTCGCCGACTGATTTCTTACATTCAGTTTCCGTTTTCAAGCTTCATCGGACGAGATTCTGTTGAGAAAGTCAATATTGTAGTCTCGTCGAGTCTAGTTTCCCTAGATAGCTCAGGTCTGGAGGCGACCACGCTGCGACCAAACTCAAATTCTCGCTTGCTGCAAGACTCCCACGTTTTGGACATGCGTGCATGGATCGTCAGGGTCTGTGTCCTGCAACCTGGTACCAGTATTTCACGCAAAGGGCTAGGTTCTAGACTTGTACGACAGGAAGGGGAGAGCTTTATGTTCTGCTCTGACCCGCAAGTGAACTCGCAGGTAGTCATATCATCCCGTTTACTCTACTACATAGAAGACGTTTATGATTGTTCAAGATCTCTACAATAACCCGGCTTTTCATTTCTCGCTGTTATCACAACTTGCTCTGTTTCCTCGAGTTAACACAAGAAGACTACCAAATGGTATCATCTCCATACAACACCATCCCATTTAGGTTTTGAGAGGCGGGCCCACCCGCCGCCATGGTCAGGAGTAGCGTATCTACTAGGAATTTTTACATTCCTTGACGCCGTCTCCGGACAATCACTTCCACTCTCAGCCGTAACCTAAACCCAGCTTGGGTGAAGACCACGCGAGAATACTTGTCTTGGCAACCGGCTTCTCGGCTGGCAGTTTCTCATCCCGTATGCCTAGCGCCTCGCCATCATAATCTAGTTGACTTAGTGTAATACATAATGATGTCTGGCCATGATTCAACCCTTTCAGAGGTTAGTCTTGGCTGCTGTAAACGATTTAAGAATCATCAACGCTGTTACTGGACATAGCTTGCTTATACAACTTTCCCGTAGAGCCTGGAGCCTGGACCATGGCCATAGCTCGAGAAACTGACAGCTCACGAAAGTGGACCGTTTTCAGTTGAACGAGCTTGTTGTAACTTTTCGGTCCCGAGCCGTGTTCACGATATCAAGGTTTTTCACGCAAGTCTCGATCTTGCAGGCTTCAGCAGCATGCACGAATCTGTAGAACGACAGATGTGGGTGGTAGATTGGTCAAGTTAGATGAAAATCATGGGATAGATCAATATGCTTCGAGAAGGGTTCTTTACACCGTTGCCCAGCCTTCGAATGCCTTGGCGATTTTCATCATTCTACGTAGATCATTGCTCTCACTTGCTCGCCATCTGTCCATCATTTCCCAAACACAAGACATGCTGAGTTGAGTATTGGCCGATCCGATGTATGACCCTCTTTTCTCAATTACTCGCTGGTCAGAGTAGTGAAACCCGATTCATCGCATGCGTCTCCTTTGGGTCTAGAGGCTATAAAGAGTTTCACTCTGCGGCTCTGTACCCGATTGTTGTATGGTTATGCTTGAGTAATTTTGCCTTGTGTGGGGAAATAAAGAAAGCTTATGCCTGTCTTGTCGACGCTATCATGCCGGTAAACACAGTTTGCCGGTTTAAACATTCCAGTCATGGCCAAGTCTGTTATTTACCTCGTAGGGAAATTTGCACCACTGTTCCTTTGAGTCGATTCATTAAGCTGTCATACATTCTTGCAATCGTGAGAAGACGGCATGTTCGTTGCTGTTTGTTCATTGACGTCTCTTGAAGCTGTGCTAAAATAAAGATATTAATCTGCCATGAGTTGATTTAGGATTACAGGATACTCCCTTGACTGGCTTTATCAAAATGCATTATAAAGTAAACGTTGTGCAGGGTAGCAAGGCGCTGCCATTATCTGCTCATCGATAAGAAAGACAGCAACTTACCTGTCGATAACAAGTCTAATTAATTGTATACAGGCTGAATTGTCTCATATGGACATTCATGCATTTCCTGAGCCCTAATTCTGCTTCGATTCCTCAAGGTAATCACATTTATTTCCCATTGACTGTTTTGAGCTTCATTTTATTTCATTTCATGATATGATGGGAAATTACCTGGTTGTTCTGCCACCCTACACCGCTTTCAATACTCCTCTTTTTTCGTCATCCCATTCCTCATGATACTACCTTATCCTTATCGTCATGCCAGTGATCAGACGAATACCCGATAACAAGAGGAGGTCGCGCACCGGTTGTATACCATGTCGACGTCGCCGAAGAAAATGTCAGTAACTCTCCTACACTTTAGAGTGTCTTGCCCATCTAACATTGATCAAAGGCGATGAGCAAAGGCCCCAGTGCGGGAGCTGTCAGGGCAGGAATGTGACCTGCGAGTTCAAAGAGTGGACCTTTGTTCCAGGGGTGCGATCATCACTGCGCAGAGATGACTGTGCTCGAGATGATACTCGAGGGGATACTCCCGAAGAGTCTGATTCCCTCCTAGTAAGTTCACTGACCCCAAGTTGCGTTGCTTCTAGCTAACACTGGCTGTAAAGCCCATGCAGGATTCCTTCGTATCGTTCATAGATGACAGCCCCTCTACCCTCGACCCAGTCCTCGCGAGCCCTTTGCCTAGTACAGTCAGAAGCGATCGAATCGACTCTACTCAAAACACCACCACCAATACTTCCCAACCGACCACCATAACATCTACCCATCATCACCCGAACAATGAAGGGAACCAGATCCCCACACCTGCCCGATGGAATGAAACGGTCCTGTCGGAGCAAAACTCCTCCGAACGACAAACGGCTATGCTCCGTTTTCGATATCAAATAGTACCTTGGCTTGATTCAAATGCCCCGAGATCTTCTTTCGGGCCCAAGATCATGACTTTGGCAGCCGAAAAGTCCGTCATTATGGATGTCATCGTGTGGGTTGCGATGCGGCGGAGCAGAGCATCAACTGTTTCAGAAGGGGACTTTCACCTTGTCCAACATCTTCAGCATCGGCTGTCCCTAGAAAGTGCTTTTACAGCCGACGTAGGGAGATCCTTACTGGCGCTGGGCAACTTCTTCTATACATCGCCATCTGAGTGGGCGAATCTGCATCCTGATCGCTCATTTGGAGAGGATCGATATCAGTTCTTTGAGAATCAGGAAGAACCTCTCAAGACTCTAGATCGGTTCCACTTCAAAGCTGGTAAGTACTAATCCACATGTGATGTACGATACAAGCTAATGGCCGTGAACAGAACTGGCTGCTTCCATCGTAGCGTCGAGGTCGCCCTCGTCCCGACCCTCGGTATCACTAATGGACGAGGCTCTATTAAGTCCCAGCATGTCTCCATGCGCCATCTATGACACATGCTTGGCACATCTGACGTCGTGTTGTCAACTGATACACAACAAAGTCATTCCCCTACTCAATGGCTTCACCACCATACAATCTCCAACACAAGAACCCAGTTCTCTAGTATGGGCGACATGGTCGAGTCTATGGGCAAGGTGTGTACAGTGGTTCCGAGATCGTCCACCAGACATGGTCCCTCTGCTGGAAAGCTCCGAGGTAGACGCACACACAGCTACCACCACCTCTCCATTCACAGCGGATGTCTATTCAAGTGCCATCGCAGTACAAGCAAATCTCACAATGCACTATTCCTCCCTACTTCTACTTTCCTACAAACCTCGACTGGTCAAGCTCTCATCGACACCACATCGTCTAACATCCAAGAGCTGGCACGCCCAGAAGCTTGCGAAGTTGGCTTTATGGAACAACTTCCCCGATCAATGGGATCCTGTCGTGGTAGCAACCGTAGTTCGGATTGCGAGAGACATGACGTATCCTTCCCAACAAGAAGCTCTACTATCTTGCTTCCAACGGATTGGTGATGCGACTAAAATTCCACTCCAAAGGGAGATTACAGATCTGCAGCAGTTCTGGTCTTCCTCGCGACATTCCAATGCCCCTACCAACCTCCATTCCTAACACTAGCTGGAATAGATCACCGAGGTAATTTTCAATCGGTATTGAGTTTTGATTTTGCGATGGTACGTTAGTCTTCTATGTCGGTCTCTTTGCCATCTTCCTCTGCTTTGATCTCCTTCGCTGGTTTTAATCACCGTTATACCATCGCACGTTTGTATGCTCTGTGTACAAACATTATGTTATTGTAGCTGTAATTGCTGTCAGCGAGAGGGATTGGATTAGAGCAAGCTGGACAAATGGACCAACATGGAAGACTGATGCATCATCTTAAGATTGAAGCTCGATGATCGATTAAGGAGTGGTATTATCTTAGGTTGTATGTATTGAAGTAGAAGCTAGCTGCTAAATCACGCCAACTCGTCTTTCCATGGAATAGATACTTGTGCTCCTCGTCTCGCGACCGTATGTGATGAAGCTCTAATTCCTGAATGAACAGCCTTTTCAATGTCGAATGTTTCAGCTCGTTGACCTGCGAGTGCCACTTCTACTGCGTATGAACCAATGAATGTATCACCGGCAGCAGTCGTGTCAACAACTTTGACTTTCTGTGCGGGAATGAGTCCCTTGGCGCCAGTGTCGTTGGCAAAGTATGCACCCTTTCCACCAAGTGTGATGACAACGTTTTGGACACCTTTAGCAAGGAAGTCAGATGCAGCTTGCCCAACCACAGCAATGTCTTCGAACTCTGATTCGTCCTTGCCCGATAATAGAGCTGCTTCGGTTTCGTTCAAGATGAGATGTGCCAGCCCTTGGTAGATCTCCACAGGAAGAGTCTGAGCAGGTGCAGGGTTGAGAAGTACCGGTGTTCCCATTGCCTTTGCAGCTTGAAAAGCCTGGATAACTGTGTCCAGTGGAATTTCCAGCTGCATGATGAGTAGTGCAGGTGCTGGTCCGGGTATTTGTTGAAATTGGCTCGGTTGGAGGGAATTGTTGGCTCCTGGGGACAAGATAATGCGGTTCTGACCCGTTGGCTCATCGACGATGATCATCGCAATACCACTTTGTGAACCAGCGCCGCCATCTCGATTCACAATTATTGAATCAGTTCCCACGTCATATGATTTAAGACTATCCAGGAGCGTGCTTCCATAGGCGTCTGCTCCAATGGCCCCAATCATGACAACGTCAACACTTGAGTCCTTGAAGTCAGAAGTTCGAGAGAGTTTTGCACAAGCAACAGCTTGGTTTGCACCTTTTCCACCTGGGAAGACATTGAATTGGTTGGAAGTAATCGTCTCTCCCGGTAATGGGTGATGGGGAACGTATGAGACGAGATCGATGTTGAGAGATCCCAAGACGCTGATGACGGGCTTTGACGACGACATTTTGGATGGCTTGAAGCGAGGTAGAATTACACAGAATAGCCTCTGTGTAGCATGTGAAGAGTATATAAGTCGGCAATATCCTGCAAGTCGTTGCATGTGCTCCACCACGGTTCTTGTCGCGCTATACCATTGATGGGGGGTGTAGGCGACGGCGGCTACGACTTGGACAGCACCTTATCTGCCAAGATACCTGTCACAAGATCACGTTACATGCGGCTCTGCTACTTCAGTTATGGGTCTTCATGTATTAGTTATTAGTTTGACTACTATAAAGTCTTGAGAATCGCTCCTGCATCATACCCCCATTCAAATTCAAGATCCGTCAACCTCCAAAGTGCGCCCCAACCAGTCGTACGATCAATCGATTTAAGAAGCCTTGCTATTTGCTTTCTCTCGTTGACATGCGAAAACAATTTCCCAGCGACGTAAAGTGGCTGTATGGAATTGACAAGACTGCCGGGATGAAGATTTGCACACGAGATGCCACAAACTTGACGTGCATGCCACAGAGCCAGACATTGATAATCTAATTCATGACCCAAGTTGCGCATTTCAAGCATCAGTATACACGCAGTGTGATAGATCTGGTTGCTGGAAATAGCGGCCCAGTGTGGGAAAAGCATAGCTGGGAAGATTTGCTTATCGCCTGCTTCAACCATGCTTATTGGCTTCATTGTTGTAGGGCGTTGATCAAGCCAGAATTGTAACTCGTTCCAAAGCTGCTGCCATTGTTCTGAGAATGGTCTGTCATCTTGAACGTCTGCGCGTCCGAGTTCTAGACTTTGTGTCCTTCGAAATCTTAGATCGCAGACTTTTGTACACAGGTATATAGCCCAGTTGGCTTGCATATCGGGTGATTCGCGGCTTCTCTCGTGGAACATGTCCCGTACATATCTTTCGATCTGCTCGGAAGAAACCAACGATTCAGGTGCAGAAGGTGCCCATTTCGAGAGTGGAAGAACCGTCGTCTCTGTCCCGTCGGATATTATGGCACCGCATAACTCCATTCTGGCGTAGCACCAGAATACAGCTTGAGGTAGACCGCCAGAGAAGCCATCGACTCCAAAGAACTCAAACAATGAAGCACATCCTTCAACATGACGTTTCCAGTTCTTGGAGCCTCCCGACATCAGTTCAAAGACAGCTAGGATACAAGCCGTCACCAACATATTCGGATCTTTGGCTTGTAGTCCAGGACTGAGTAATCTGATACTCTCCTGATACAGCTCAAGACTATCACAACCACCTTCTTGCGTCAGCCCTCTCCTCTCCATCTGTCTTGACGAAAACGCAAGCATAGCATATAAAAGCGCAGGCGATTTCTGCGCCATGAGCGGTACATGAATCTGAAAGTGTTTATCCTCATCGAATTTGTCCAGATATGGGGCACACTCCGTGACCCAATTTTGAAGATAGCATATTAACCTGTCATGAGGAATATTGACAGTGACGTTGGAAAAGTCGAGTGTCTGTGGTGACTGTGTAGGTGTCGCTTCTGCCTCTGGGGTACATGATGCGCTGGGTGATAGCGCAGACAAGCCTGCAAACAGAACAGACCTAAGTTCTTCCTGGAGCTCTATGAAGCGTGGGTCAAGGGAAAAGTCTTCCGGGGGGAAGAATGCCATTGTGAGCCGATGTCGATCGGCACTGGAGTGGGGAAGATGTCCGATGGTAGTGTTGCAATTGAAGACGAGATGATGGCAAGCAAACGCAGTCACATCCAAAAGAGGAACTGTAGCCTCTCCTCTTTTCCGAAATCCTTTTCCGTTGAAACAGAGCAAATTTGCAGCGTCCGGTGATCCCCGGATGACCCCATACGAGTGCCAGTAAACTGGGGAACTACACCAATCAAGGGTAATTTTCTGGGGTTCGTCGGGGAACTCGCTAGACCGCTTTCGTGGGCTTTAGGCGACCATGACTCGTAGTAACAGACGGAGAAAAAGTCCGTTCAGTTTGAGAGCAAGCAACGTTGCCCCAGAAAGTCCAGTTTAATCAGCACTTTAATCGTCTACCCCGCATTGAAGAAGGTATCATTGCATTGAGGAGAACATCAGGTGGCAACTTAAAGGATTGTCTTGATGTCGCATCAATTTGAGCGCTTTTTTACCGGCAATTAATGTTATACGCGTATACGAACATTTTACTGTCATTTCTAAGGAGAATTAATATACAGAGCCTGTATTCTATGGGAGTTATAACCAAGGCAATACGGAAATTTCTACCAATATTTGGCCAGTAATGTTGCATGTTGTATCTATCGGCCACCTTGACAGGTATGTCATACGACTTTTTGGAGAACACATGATCGTGTGGCGTTAGTTTCTGCGATGAATCTGAGCCATCTATTGGGCAGAAATTAGTTATACGATTGTCTATTTCTGATAGATGATCAAATCTACACCGGATCCATGCATAGTAAAATGTCAAATACATTGCTATACTTATCACTGGCAAATAATATAAAAATCAAGGATATAATCAAGAGCCATCTTTGTAACATTATTCGTCTTCTAACTATGGTATCACATCCCCTGCAAAATATCTCATAACATCCATTACAATTCCTCAACGTGCTTCTCGCCCTGCTTCTCCATAGAAACCTTTCGGTCAGAAGCAGATCCAAGAAGTCCAACCTCAGCCTGAGCCTCACGAAGAAGCTCAGCATCCTGCTCTCCAGCGCGACTCTTGAAGACACGGTCCATATCCTCAAGGGATGCGTTCTTGGTCTCGGGAAGGAAGAACCACACCCAAAGAATACCGGCGAACAGGAAGACAGCGAAGAAGATGTAGGTTCCCCATTCCCAGGCCTCGAGCATGGGAGGAACGAAGAAGGCGATGGCAAAGTTGTTGAGCCAGTTGCTGGAAGCACCGATAGAAGCACCCTTAGCACGGATGGAGAGGGGGAAGATCTCGGAGATAAGAGTCCAAGAAACAGGACCCCATGTAGCACCGAAACCAGCGATGTAGACCCAGATGAGAGCTAAGAGTCATGTTAGTCAAGATCATAAATATTGAGAAAGGAGGTACTAACCAACTGCGGACCAACCGGCGGCAACGTGATTGGGCCAGTCGTGACGGTACTTGGCAACGATAATTCCGACAGTAATCATACTGGCGCCCATGACAATGGAACCAACTTGAAGCATAGGCTTGCGGCCAACACGATCAATGATCAACTGAGAGACAATTTGTTAGCTTGCGATTTAGACGAATTCGTTGTTGAGGAACTTACCATAGCAGGGATAGTGCTGATGAGGAAAACGACACCAGTGACACCAGTTGCGAGAAGAGCGATAGTTCCACCAGTGAGACCCAGGCTAATAAAAACGTTGGAAGCGTAGTAAATAATAGCATCGATACCAGACCACTGCTGGAAGAACATGATGAGCCAAGCAGTGCAAACTCGCTTAAAGTTATCCATAGATCGGAAGCAAGTGACGTATTGAGCAATCTCCTGGTGGAATCGGCTCTTGCCCTTCTCAGCGAGGTGAGGGAAATCCCTAGCAAAAACCTTTTGCTCAAAGACAGCCTCGGCCTTGATCTCGAGGTACTCAACCTGAACCTGGTCAGAGTCGATGGGAAGCTTCCTCATCCAAGCAAGAGTAGACTTGGCCTCTTCATCTCTGCCAACCTTGACGAGCCAGCGTGGAGAAAAGGGCATGAACCAGATACCAACGGCGAGAATAGCAGCGGGAATACCCTGGATAATGGAAGGAAGTCTCCAAGCAAGGTCGGATTGTCCATCTCCGGTTCCACCAATGTAGTTGCATCCGTAACCGACCCAGAAAGAAAGCATGATGCCGAGAATAGTGGCGAGTTGGTAGAAAGAGACGAGAAGACCTCGCATATGGGGAGCAGAGAGTTCGGCGTTGTACAGAGGTCCTACACCACTGAAAAGACCGACACCGATACCAGTGAGGAATCGGCCGGCGTAGAGAAGAGATGGGTTTCCGGCTGTGGCGCCGACGTAGAGGTAACTGCCGAGAACGACCCAGCAGCAGGCGATGAACATGGTGTACTTTCGTGAGATGATTTCACTGAGGACACCAGCTGATAGAGATCCTAGGATACCTCCGAGCTGGAGGATAGATGTGAGCCATCCAGTTGCTGAAGATGATTCGACAACTGAAGGGAAGTTTTGGGTGAATCTGGTCATGACAAGGGATTGTCCCAGAACACCTTGTTGGTAACCATACTCGAAACCTCCCAGACTGTAGTTGTCAGTAAGTTTAATGTACTCTTGGTCACTTGCACAAGGTACTCACGATGCGAAAAAGGCAATAAAGATAACCTTGGGGTTCTCGCGAATAGACTGCCAGACAGTCTTTTTAGAAGTAGACTCCATGGTATAAGGTTCGTCCGAGTTCGACATGTTGCAAAAGAAAGAAAGAAAGAAAGATGTCGAGATGTGGAGAGCAATGTTGAAATCTGGGGTATGGAGCAGTCGAGTCCTTTTTAAATAAACATTTTTGTGTTTTTTACTACTACCCCATAACTCTCCATGCATGGATCGGAACTTGTTTATTTTCTGGGGTTTCCTGACGAACGTCTACAAGGTTGAGATGCGTAGGCTATGACCCCTTGTTTAGGCTTAGTTTGGTTTGAGTGTCTGACCACCCACTAAAGTACCCGGTTAGCCGCTGTAGAGGATTTAGAGCCTCACTAGAGATGTTGTAATGACGAGTACTAAGTTGAACTGGAATCAATTGTATTGTTTTGCGGTATTGTATTGTTGATCGCAATTGTTATGTCTTGAGAATATGCAATTGCAGTAATGATATGAGTCTACCTCACTAAGAGAAGAACATGGCATTGTCTGAGTCAGAACTGTCCTTGCAATATATTATGTCACAAATTATTAAAAACACGAGATAGCTTCAACTGCATGACTTTTGTCGTCTTCTTTTCTTGGTCAAGTGGACTCACAGACTCGCTCAGTGAAGGCGTTAGTCAGTATTTTTACCCAAAAGGGGGTTCATTGGCGACATTGACCAGGTTTAGCGCGTCAAAGAATTGAACCTGGGGCCCCGCGTAAAAGAAAAGAAAATTCTGGTTGTCGTGTGTCCCCAATTCCAGTGGATCACGAAAATAACGAACCCGACAATTCAGCGTTGGATGGGGTCCTTGCTCAAAGCCTGGAACACGAAACTATTTGCGCGAATGATTAATGGTTTGGTTTGAGCCTCATGGCGGTGGAAGCTTTCTTTAGTTTAGTTAACCTTGAAGCTTTAGATGACAGAAATAAATAGCCTAAGAGGAATGATTTAAGTAGCGTAAAGTGGCCTAGTAATTTAGTCTCTTATGCTCCTGGGTCCGATGGCTGGGTATGATTTATCCTACGCGTAGTTGACTATGTTCAATTGTTGGCTGAGAATTAAGGGTGCAAACTTTAGAGGAACTGGCCCTCTACCTGTTGTCACGCCGGTGTTATCGACGAGGGCAACTTAAAGCAATTGGGTTTACGATAATGAAAACTTGGAGATGGAATTCATAACTATCAAGACATAACAATAGCACGAGCATTCTTTATACAAGGGATTAATGGCCATCGGTTGATTTTATTAATTGGATATCATACGTCTAGGGTAGCTGTGATAGTGTACGACCTTACCTTCGAGTATTCGCCTACTAATTACTCTCCCTTGTACATGAACATCTTGTTGTCGCGTTCGTTCAGTAAGTCTTGGGATTGAGGGCGCGCAGCTCTACTTCGATCGGGAACAGATACAGACCAACGCGCGTCGAGTTTGAAGTGCGACCGTGGAGATACCCTGGGACAAATTGATGGCCTGGGATGGCCTCGCGACACGGCCACCAGCACCTCAATTGACGAAAAAATTGTAGAGAAAGGCGTGCTTTCTACGCGTCCAAATGTCTAAGCTGTGTCGCGCAACTACGAATGGTGTATGTATGGGAATCGAGGTCGGGACGCGTCGAGGAAGATTGGAATGGATCGCGCTGGACATACCGAGGAAGGCTGGTAGGGACACTGCGTTGGGGGGTTCTCGTATGTGAAGAAGAAGCCGCTGTCGCCCAATTGAATTGAGCAGATTACATCCGCCTTGACACCTGTCAGAAGTATTGTCGCTTAGTGCATTGCATGGGAAGAGCCAGATGGAATTGACTGTCACGATTCTGGGCGGGGACAGACGGAAATTCCACCAGCCGAAACCGTCAGCCACGCCCTCAGTCCGCCACAGTTGGATAGCGTCACTCAATATCTGGAAAAAAGGTAGCAACAATTAATCAGTCCTAAGGTATTGCAATATGTCGGAACAGGCCACAACCTTGAGCGGCAAAGGGGTGATTTCTGTATAGGCAAGTATGATGGCTCGTTTCTACAGAGACTACTTCGGCGAAGAACAGTGTGGGAGGATCCCGTATACGACAAGGCGATGTAGCAACAACATGCATGTCATACTCAAGAAGAATATATACAACCCAGCAACTGCAACATGCAATAATTAAAACCACCTGTTATATATGTTTCATCTGACTCAAGATGCTTTTGGAAGATCTCTGCTGGTCACTCGCTTGAACGAAACAAGTTGCACATCAATGTCCAGGGTGATCCCATACCCGCTTTGCGGATAATGCTCCATTTCCCCGGACTCTTTCCCCAGAATCCCAACCTTATCTCTTTGTCAGATCCTACCTATTGATTAGCCATACGCAGTCTAGACTCTCCCTCGTTGCCCATTTGGTCCAACAAACCCCGTATCCGACAAGACACCAACCCGTCATCCGACACACTATCTTCCCCCTCAATCTTGGCATCGTGGGCAGCGTTATGATTCGACGCAGATGTCAGATAAGCTTAACAATAAAGAATATTAAATACAGACCCCTGCCGTTGAATTTCTTGTTGCACTTCTTTCTTGAGCAACGTTGAGTCTCGGGATATCCATCATGCAGCTCAAAGGTTCCGATAACGAAAAAGAGATCGGGCAGGATGGAAAGGACTTTGGTGATGGGGTGCAAGTCGAATATGCTGTCGCACATGATGCAGCTGCTCGGGGACATCTAGCCACCGATGAGTGAGTCCTATTTCAACATCTCCAGGATACATTGACATCTAATTAACTTGCTGTAGGCATGGCAACCCAATTGCCAGTTTCGATGCATCAGCCGAGAAGAAACTACGCCGCAAGATTGATTGGCACGTCATGCCGACAGTTACCATCCTGTACCTCATGTGCTTCGTCGACAGAGCCAATATTGGAAACGCGCGACTGGCTGGTCTTGAAGCCGACCTTGGCCTTGCTGGCTACGATTACAACCTTTTACTAACAGTCTTTTACATCGTAAGCACACACCCACTCTCCTCAGTCCCATGACTAACATATATGTTGAAAACAGTCTTACATCGTATTTGAACTTCCCGCAAACATGGCATGCAAGTGGATTGGACCCGGTTGGTTCATCCCAGCTACCTCAGTATGCTTCGGTCTCGCCTCCCTCGGCACAGCTTTCGTCAATACCATGGGCGAAGCATGCGCTGTACGATTCATCCTTGGCATCTTTGAAGCTGGCATGTTGCCTGGTATCGCGTACTACCTCTCGCGATGGTACCGTCGTAGTGAACTAGCATTCAGACTCGCCATCTATGTCGCCATGGGTTCCTTCGGAGGGGCCTTCGGTGGCCTGTTGGCTTCTGGAATCCTCAAGCTTGATCACTTCGGCTCTTTGACAAGATGGCGAATGATCTTTGCTATCGAGGGAATCGGCACGATTGGATTGGCACTTATCGGATTCATCACCATGACTGATCGTCCCAGCACAGCTCGGTGGCTCAACCAAGAAGAGAAGGACTTGGCTATTGCGCGCATCAAGTCTGAGCGCGTAGGTGTCATAGAGGTTCTTGAGAAGTTCTCATGGAAGCTAGCTCGTCGAGGTATCTGCTCGCCGGTTACATTGGGAACTTCGACTATTTTCTTGTTCACAAACATCACGGTGCAGGGCCTTGCCTTCTTTGCACCGACCATTGTGAGAACTATCTACCCAGAGGCATCAGTTGTTCAGCAGCAACTACGGACAGTACCTCCTTATATCGTTGGGACTTTCTGTACCCTTGGCCTCAGCTTCCTGTCAACTATCCTTGATCGTCGAAATATCTTCATCAATGTCTCTCAACTTCCCGTCATAGCAGGTTACATCATGTTTCTCAGCACCACAGATCGTAAGCACTGCCCAAAGATCATAAAGAAAATGCATACTAACTGATGACAGCATATGTACGCTACGCTGGAACATTCCTGATATGCGCAGGCACTTTTGCCAACGGTGCTCTCTCCAATGCTCAAGTTTCAGCCAATTTGGTAACTGATACTGCTCGTGCTTCCGGCATTGGCTTGAACGTCATGTTTGGTAATGTCGGAGGATTGATCTCTACGTGGTGCTTTTTACCTTTCGACGGACCCAACTATCCGATCGGAAATGGTCTCAACCTTGCAGCTTGTTCGTCCATTTTCATACTTACTATTGTTTTACATGTGTACATGAATTGGAACAACAATAGGAGAGCAAGGATTGATGTTGGGCAGGCATTGGCTGGACGAAGTGTCGAGGAGATTCGCGATTTGGATTGGAAGCATCCTGGTTTTATGTGGAGGCCATAGTTTGCTTGGATCATGTTGGCAGCTGTATTTGGCCTGCTTCCCGGGCACAATTGTTTGTTTGTATTTTTCTCTTCCCATTGTCGTCCGGGAAGCATGTAGAGTCGACGGTTCAAATTGCTACATGTCACTGATATCAAGACATGACTAGTGTTACAACTTTGGTTATGTCTATTATGCTTTGACTTTCTGACAACGTATCCGCAATGATCAAATGTTCACCATCTCCATATCCCGAATGTTATTCGGGATCAGGTGTGATTTCATCAAGTGTGGTTGCTCAAAAGTGAGGTAAAGGATTACTCCGTCGTCGTTCATTGCAAGGTGGACCTGCAAAGTACCAGGTCTCTCAATAACCAGTCTGGGTACTTTACGGTACATAATCCACCGAGGGATCTGTTTGTGTTCTCTCTCCCTTCATCAGGTGGACTAAAGTAAATCATGGCATTGAAAGTTTTCCAAACGCAACTTCAATCAAACCGATGCTAACCATCAGCACGTTGCTAACATCGACTGTGTGTCACTCAATTCCGGCGGTCTCTTCGTCATGATATCAACTAACACGGGGTGAAGCCGATACATGATGGGTCTTGATAGCCACGTCCAGTGAGTCAGCGTGAGACGACATGTACTTGTACGGTCTCGAGATTGAGGTCTGCATTTAGGTAGTAGATATACAATGCAGATGCACTGAGTTGTTTTGGGTTGAATGCGTCACATTTTCAAAAAGTGTTGTCGTTAAAAAAGTAGTATTCTTTTATTATCCCAGTAGCATTAAGTTATATATATAGGTAGAGTATAGTATGTCTAAGTAATTAAGCAAGGTCCGATCCCCTTGTCTGTGTAACAGTTTTCTTCACCAGCACATTCCAGCCCTTCTCTGGTCTTGGCTGGCCATTCTTGTCTGCAACGGCAATGTCTGAGTGACTGCTACTCCAATCATTGCGAAGCTCCTTCACAGAGTCAGTCTCGGCAGATCTGCTGGTTCGCTTCGAGCCTTCACCACCCTTGACATCGTCACCGTGGTCAATAATGGTAGTGACGCCGATGCGCTTTCCAGCATTATCGTGGAGGTCGAACGCTTCCTCACCGCCTTCTACACCATGACTGCGGAGGTAACCGACACCGGAGGGATGGTTGCTGCCGGTTCTTTGCCAGGGCCTGGCAGAGTTTCCACCACCGTCGGCAGAGGATCCGTTGCCAAGAAAGCTTCGGAGGAGGGGTCGAAGAGTAGCGACTGCTGCGGCGGTGATACCGAGACCAGTTTCGACGGTCGACCAGATGGCGACATCGGATGTTGAGTATAGGAAGTCGTCGATATCGGTCAAAGAGTAGAGGTAGGGGAATCGAATGATGGTAGCACTGGAAGCACTGTAATACATTGTCAGCTATTGCCCGGAAACATGGATATCAAATCGTTTGACTTACATGGCACCAGCTGCCAAGATACCAATAACAGAGATCTTGGTTCTCTTGCTCATCTGCAACTTCCAAACAAGGAACATGGGAAGAATACTGTATGTCCAATCGGACACACAACTGATGGCGGAGTAGCCATAGAAAGCGTTGGCAACTACACTCGCATCGAGACAGCTTCCGTTGGGAGGGTTGGAGGAATATCGCTGCCAGAAGAGAGACGTAGGTCTGCACTGGAGTACGAAAAGCAAGAAGAAGAACAAGCTGTAGAGCTCAGTAATACCGGTCGCGACATAGATGATCATTCGGTGTGTTCGGGTAATACAGATTCGGAGCAAGAAGATGGCAATACTGGCTTTGACAGCCATGTTGGCTAGGACGTATGTCGGTTCGCATGTCCACCACATCTGGAGATCTGTTAGACACATGCGTCACGTAATAACGGTATCAAAGTAACGTACCTGCATAGCCTTGACGAGATCATGTTCAGTAGTAATATCCTTGAAATGACGTCCAGTTCCATATCGTGTTCCAGTGAGTTCGTAAGAGCAGAAAACGATAAACATAAACTTGAACCTGTTAATAATGATCCGTCATTAATCAAAGCATAACGCATACCTGGGCGATGACGGCAAACCAATCATCCAGCGCAAAAGCCTTGATGACAAAGGCACGACAATAAACACGTAGTACAGTCGCTATTGAGGAAAGGATGACGAAAGTGTATCCAACCGCAGCAATCTGCGTCGCTCGACTCTCAATCGCCATGTTTGCTGAAGAATGTGGATGACTGAGCCAGAAATTCGGGACTGAACAGACAGGGGACGACGAGTGGGCATTTCCCTTTTCTAAGCGACCGGGAGAAATCAGGTCGGGCTATATATGAGAAACACGGAAGTGGTCTCCTTTCGCCACCCCAAAAGCGGACCTGTTTCCAGACCAGGATAGCCTCATCTGTGCGGTGTTGTGGAGAGGACCGGGCAAGGAGAGAAACGGGGAACAATCGACTATCAGCGGAGCATTAGAGTAGTAAGCTAAGTCGGGTCTAGACCTGATGTGGCTGCAAATGATCTTTGGTTGAGTTCACTCCTGAATAGAGGGCTGACGGGAGAAGGTGCCTGACTTGTTCTACAAGCATCGAGTCAGACAGCACGAGTCAATTTAGTATCTGAGCCAACCAATGCTCTGGAACATCGCCTTGATGTTCTGCTATTCCAAGACTATGGGACGCTAGCCCGAGCGCGACTGGCGAGGAGATCTTGCTCCATGGGCTGGTTTACGGGTCTAACGCTAGCTTGGAAGCTTTCGTGTTTCGTGAGTCAAAAAGTGGTTAAAACCATTCGGAAAATCGGATAAAGTCACGGAGATTAACCACATGAAGAAAAGCGCATGGCGAATTCGCCGGCGAGACAAGAGTCGTGAAAATTTCTTTTCTCTCTAGTCAAGCTGTCAGGCGTATTCACCACGTGCACTACAACGGGAAGGATTTCTGTCAGAGAAGGGATGACATTTTAGAAGGAGGGGATGGAGCCAGTGTTTTATTACTTTGTGAGTTTGTCCACCAAGCTGGTGCTCTTGTGGTGCGTATATCCGGGGTCTCGGACAGTTTATCTAATATTCCCATGGAAATTCTTAGTGCTCGTATGACGCTACTGTCCCCTTTCTTTGCACTGAGAACCCTGACAGTGCTACGTATCTCGATCGTAATGTCATCACGTGATGGTCTTCCATAACTCGTGGCTCCAGATTTTATTAGCATTCTTGACAGGGGAGGTCTAGATGCCGAATGTCGGATGTTTTTTTGCAAGCCACAACGAGTCCTTACTAAGTGATAATGACTCGAGAGCTTCTCCTTATGCCTGATTGCACCTTTATTATTTCCTTTTTCTCAATAGTTTGGCCAAGTAGACTTATGTCTCGGTCTAATACGTCACGCGACTGTCGCATTTAATTGCTTTAGGTATCGATCATTCAATAAAGAGGAACCAGACTTTAGTGGTTAGTGAACCATCAATTAATAACTATGGGTACTATAGCTTGAAGAGGTTATCTTAGCCCAAAAGCTGGGGATGTGCTGTCATGAACGAAGGGTTCATGAATGGGATCCATACAACAAGAACATCATAATAAGCATAAGCTTGCAGGATACAACGACTAACGTCTAATTGACCCCATAGCAATAATCCAAAACGACCGAGTGACATATAATGACATTCCAGTCGAGGCATTTGCGGTAATGCCCCGGAAAGAAGTCTCCAGAGGTTGCAAATGCGGCTCCGAGCATATAATTAGTTCGTGTTGAAAAATGTGATGGGTCACATTTAAATGATTCAGGTCTCGCTTGCATAATGCGACGAAAATCACGCCTTTCTACATCGAGTCTAAGATGAAGAACCCCTTGTGGGTAAAGCCCTGTAGCTGAAAATTGATCTACAATGACACACAGACTGGCAGAGAACTGCAAATGGATCTGTCCATCCCCTAGAAAATTATTCAACTCCCAAATCCGATGCATGTACGTCGATCGGTGGAGAGCTTTTTGATGTCGTAAGGCTCAGTCATTGATGGTTGTCAATCTTCTGGTTTTATCCTTGGCCGATCTAGTCTTCTTCGACCTTATCGCCTGGTTTATCCCGGACCCAATGTCTATCATCATTACGCTTTAACAGATGTAGTGAAGATCAACAGGAAACCGTCTTCCGGGGCTAGGATGATACTCATCCGTGATGATCAACTGTACCATCTCGATAGTAAGAGAGATTGCCTTTATGGATGTCGGCGAATAATTCTAGTATCCGTATTTTTAAGGCGTCACGTTGCAATGAATGATCTGTTTTATCTCATCATTGTCTCCAGACCTTAGAGTTCGAAGTATTGACAATTAAACGGTACTCTTTGACATTTACACAGGGAGCGGTTCCTTCAACTCGTTTAATTGTTCTAGCTGCCGTACACTAACTCGTAGTATGGACAAACAACATGGGCTGTATTGCCGGCCGGCTCTTTACAGTGGCACTGACATGGTATAATCTCAAAGGGTGGAATCAATGGTTTTAGTGCAGAATCGACAATTTGAAGAGGCCATATGACAACGGTAGCGCTATACTAGAAAACTTGGCATGGCCAAGACGGCGGCAATGGCAATAGAAATAACCATTACGGCTAAGTATATCCGTTATCGCAACGCGACGATCACTGATTGTATGATAACGTTTGCCCCCAAGCTAGCGCTTAAGCCACGGAGAGTGTTGAGGATGAGTGTGGAAAGCCGCAGGGTAAGTCGCATTTTTTTTTTTTACATTTATCATTAGCTTTAACCCACTAACATGCTACGACATTCTGTGGACAAATGTAGATAATTCTCACCTACATATCATAGTGCACTGCAAGTGCAATGTCATGAGATAAATTGCGACAGAAACAGAACGACCACGTACCAAGTAGTCTTGACAGTCCACACAATCCGTGGTTTTGTCAACAATTTGGTCAGGCCGAAGGGATTTCGGCGAACAGCCTAGGTTGTCGATAGCTCTTCTTTCGGCCAGCATTGTCAATTAACAATGTGAGATTAGACTCCCTACTTCGGATTTTTCGCGCCATTAGCACTAAGGCAGTTAAACCAAAACGTCCGTGATGCCACCTTTAGCCTAAGGTTGTAACTTATGGTAAACAGCCTACTGCCCAACAAAGCCACACATCTCAAATATATAAATCGGACATCATCCAAATAAGGCAGCTGGAACTTGTGATTCGGATTCGGAAATGGATAATCTGAAACAGAAGGTTGTATTGATAAGACAAGGGTCTCCACGATCTTCTGGAAACGCCACGGCCCGCGATCCAAATTCTTCATGAAGAAATCTTTACCACCCAATCGGAGGACAGAAGTTTAGAAAATGCTATCACTGTTTCGAGAGTTGTGACCGGAGCGGTGCGATTGAGTTTAGCACTAATGTTTCTTCTAGACCGATCTAGGCATGTTGTTCGGGAGGGCAATTTTCCAATGACACGAGATTGGCGAGTGAGTTTGTCGCTGGCTATGCCTTCTTATGGGCTAGTCTAGGATGTAAAACAACCCAGGCAGACTTGATGCGGCGGATGCCGACGACGACTTGAAATGGGCACTCGACAGAGGGCCTGAAAGCGTCCAGAACAAAGTGCATTCAAGACGTCACCGCATGCATCGAAGCAGCATGGAATAATGTGGCCATGATGCCTTCTTAAGCTTGTTGCGGTAGTATAGAATTGTACGAAGAATGTGTGTATGTGTACGCTTATCAAATCTGATTTAACCTTCTCGCCCTTACACCAACATGTAGGTCACGATGAATTCAGTACGATTCAGATGCATTTTGGAGACAAGTATATAAAGAAGAAAGTTATTGATGGATTACAAAATTGTATATTGTCAACTGGATCTCCAAAAACAAGGCCAAAAACCACGAAGTCGGGTGTTTACAACCATGAGGCTTCTTGTCTGTGTAACCTTGATATAAATCCTGAGAGATCCTTCTCAATGAGGTCCAAAGCAAAACAACAGCTTATTAGTACACCTCGATTTTCTTGCCGCACAGTTTCTCGCAAGAGACTTCAATCTTTGGGGCCTCGCAATCCTGTCCCAAAGCAGTGACAGACTTGATTCTGAGCTCAAAGTCGCCTTGCTGGGTGGTCTCGAAGCTGTGTATAATTAGCACCTGATTATATCAATTGAATTGTTTTACTCACCTGCGAATCATGATACTGGCACCAAGAATGTTGTGCAGATCAAGAGGCTTAGCATCCTTCTGAACGGTTCCTCGAACAGTAGGGACAAGATCCTTGAAGTAGATTACAACCTGGTGAAGTTCGATCTCTCCTTTGGTGATCTTGGTAGCAGGAAGCTGGAAGTCATAAGCCCAGTTGACCGAAGGCTGATCCTTGCCATCCTTGGTCTCGACGTCAGAGTCCCTGATGTTGATGGTGTAGATCTTTCCGTCCGAGTAGGGGATTTCAAGAAGAAGACGGTCGTAGGGGGAGAGATCAGTGGGTGGAAGACCGTCAATCGTACGCTGCGTGGCAAAGCCAGAGCCACCAAGAGTCTCATGATCCAAGTGTCCATAGAACTTGGCGATGGGGTGCGAGAAAGGGTTCTCGTGAGTCTTGGGCTCAAGGACATCGAAGTAGGACTGGCTGATACCTCCACGGACGGTATCATCCGAGGCAGTCCAGATGTGCTTGTCCCATGGGCTGAAAAGAGCCAGGGCGGTGACAACGACTTGGGGGATATGCATGTTGGATTGGAAAGAGAAAGTTAACGAGTGTGATGGGCTTGGACTGGGTTAGTTACTGTTGAAGAGGAGAACAACATGTTCTTATGTATTTGGGTGGTCTTTGCCAAGTTCAGCCTTGTAATCTCAATCATGAGACATGAGCCCAAATTCATCACCCATCAGCTCATTGCATTAGTCTATTTTGAGCACTCGTATTTCCACCGTCTCAAAAAAATAACAATAAACTCTATTGAGAGAGATAAAAGTTACTAATATTGTGTCACTAACCCTGATAGACCGAAAATATTGTTCGATGCCAACTTTCAGGGTCATCTTAATCTCCGCAATGTGAGACCTGGGATGAGTTGTATTCGAATACAGGCCAATGATTGACCGCAGTTACAATAACAGTGAGGCTGGAGCGCCAAAGATTGTCTTGGCAAGGGTTAAATCATTATATGTTGGAATGTGTCGGAATGGAGGTTGGACAAAAGGTAAGCTTAAAAGCTAATTCCCCAGCCATTTAAAGCCGTGTCTGAGATTTTATCCCTTGTAATGAATTGAGCATGAGACTAATAATTTGGTTTCCGTCTAAAATGACCTTCTTGGGAATGGTATACATACTTGAATATCCACATCATGAAACTTTACCATTCGGATAGCATGGGATTGTCAAAAAAGGTTTAATCACTCAAAGCCTCCCCAACCACCGCACAACGGTCTGCACAACTCCCCAGGTTCCCAGTTTGGTGATGTGGTAATTTGTTGTCTCACTCAAGATCACATTGCTGCATGGTGGGAGCTGAGGTACATCCCTTGACATGCGGGCGGCACATGACCTGGAAACAGGGTCCAGCTCGTGCATTCCTGATCGCCTTTGATCTTTTCATTATGTTCTGTTTTGAATGTACTTTGACAAGTTTTGTCAAGTCGGACAAGACTAATAGAAAGGTCATTGGAAGGCCAAATTACCCGTTACTGGCAAGACTGTATAGCAATGTTTCCCTGCTCGATGGAGGAAAAATTGGTTATCCAGTAATAATCCATTTAGCTGCTGGACGAAGCTCTGCTCAGTTAAGATTGACTGTTGCCGTGGTTAAGAAATTTATTTAGACTTTCCTCATTCCGTTAAAACGATCGACCAACGCTCGTATCCCCAGCCGTGCGCCACTGGAAGACGGTACCAAATAGGGAAGCCATGTTCCTAGTCACCTGAGGCTCCCTATACTATCACGCTGACTGGAGGACAGCCATGATCAAACTCATCATACATAAGCACAACTTTGGGACCATAACAACGAGAATAAAGGATGTGTGTATCTTAAACTGTCCAAGTAACGTACCTCATATTGCTGATAAAGGATATATAAACAAACGAACATGGGGATTGTTCGCAGAATTATCATGAAAGGTGTTATTCTCGAGTGAAACATCACCGCTGGAGACTTGCTGGCCTGTACAGATAACATCAACATTGTTGGCGAAACTTAGCATATTGTCTATGAGAAAAAGAACCAATTCTTTTGAATTGCTACTTGTTATGAGAATTTATTATTGTACCCTTTAAACATGAGTCAAGTTAACCCCAGGGCTGCTTCAAATGTGTTTATGTCACATCTAGGTTGGTGCTGTCGTTACTACCACTAAAGCCAGATAATTTGAGGATGCACCGATATTGGTACCAATAGTGTTGAGGTACCCAGGTATCCTTTTTACAGCCAATCAAACATAAAAATGTCTCAAATACCGGCAGTGCGCACAAGTTAAAACTACGTGACTAAAGATTCCAAGAGCAAGGATTCATCTGCGCCCTACAGGGCTGACATACTGTGAAATAACCGGATAAATAGTCTATTTTCTTATGACTTCTCGGTCCCTCGTATCAGAGGATGCAAAGCTGAAGTAGTCAGAGGGGCAGTTCCCCAATAAGCGATAGGTTACAACGTAAGATGAGTCTAGACCGTGGACCAAAATGAAAGATATGACCAGATTCAGCGATAGACTCCAAAATGTCTTGGCGTAATCCGCAACGGTTGCAACTGCCAGGGTTCAAGTTTGGAACAGCCAATTGGATTTAAAGCAGTCATCTGTAGAAACAAGGATAATGAAGCATTTGCAAAGCTGAGTAACAATATTGATGGGCAGCAAGGATTTGAAAGAAATATTAGTAGGAGCTGAATCGCATTTCCTCTGTTGGTGTCGGTTTTCTCCTGCACTCTAGTCATCATGGTCACCACCAAACGTTTGCTTTTCTTCACAAACAGTGACTATGGCCAAGCCAACGTCGTACTTGCAACGGCACATGCAATAGGTCTTGAGAACCCAGATGTCGAGATACACATCGCTTCGTTCCAAGAATTGGAGACTGGTGTCGACAATGCTTCCAGATTCATGCAAGCGTCAGCATCGCAACAGAAGCTACCAACCCCAAAATCCTTCATCTTCCACAAAATTGAGGGAATTAGTTGGGGACCGGCTACGAAACGTCCTGGAACGGCAATCTTCGATACATTGGAGTTGACTCCAGGATTTGTGAACTCCGCTAAAGGTGTGGCTACTTTGCCTGCTGTCATGGTTCCTTGGACTCCGGAGGAGTACATGGAGATTTATTGGGATACACAAAGAATCTACGATGAAGTCAATCCAGATTTGACTATTGTTGAACCTTTGTATACACACGGATTGACATTCTGCCATTACCGAGGTGTAAGGTGGATGGTCCTTTCTCCAAACACGATTAAGGAGTTTGCAGTTCCTTTGCAACCAAAGTTGGCTGCGCTATGGAAATATCCGATGTGAGTCGTTAATCTGTAACATAAGTGGTTGCACAAACTTATTGTTTAGGGCTTGCTCGGCACTGCCGTATCCCATACCTTGGAGTCTTATCCCAACAAACATCGCTTTCAGCTTCGTGGCCGGCTACAACCTGCTCACAAACACACGCTTGAAGCATACAACCAATATTCTACACGAAAAAGTGAATCCTTCCATTCAGCTTATGACTATGATGGAACTCGGCGTCCTGAGACCGGCACCAGAAAACCTCCCCATTCTTGTGGCGAACAGTCCCGATATTGACTACCCATTTACTGTGATACCTCCGCAACTCACATCGTGCGGTCCCATTGTACGCGCAGCACCGCATATTAGAGAGGCTGACCCGGGTTTGGCTGTATGGCTCAGTCGAGGACCAACAATTTATATCAACTTGGGCACACACCACAAGTCAAATCTAGATGAAGCACATGAAATGGCCAAGGCTTTGAAAATGGTTCTTGAGAAGGGCGACGCACAGGGGCCTAAAGAGAGACCGCTGCAGATTCTATGGAAGTTGGGAAGAACACCAGATAAGGAAGGAAACATTTCGCAACGAGACTCGTATATCGGCGAGTGGGCTTTGGTGATTGACATGCTACAAGGTTACATCAAACAGAATAGGGTGCGCGTTACAGATTGGCTTGTTGCTGAACCAAAGTCTGTGATTGAATCGAAAAGCATTGTGTGTTTCGTCAACCATGGTGGAGCGAACTCCTTCCATGAAGGTCTATGGTACGTATCAAACCCAGACTTCCGATCCGTCTACTTACAAGTTATATAGTGCCGGTATTCCGCAGGTGCTCTTGCCCGCTTGGACAGATTGCTATGATTTTGCCAACCGAGTTGAGCTTCTCGGTGTTGGTCGTTGGGGGAACAAGAAAGCGAAGCCACGATGGCAAGAAGATGAACTATCCAACGCTATTATGGACACAATTTTCGGATCGGAATCGGTCAAGATACAGAAGGCGGCTGAGGAGGTTGCTGTTCGTCATCCAGAGTGGGAAGGTCGACAGAAGGCTGCCAAGGAGATACTCAACTACTTAGATAGCATGCGCTGATTAGGCTGTTTGGAACAAGGATGACAGTGGTCATTGAGATAAGATGGCTTGTAGTAAATATTCATGTAGTGCGATCAGTTACATATTTCTCTCAACGTTAGGCATTGTTCAATGGAAGCAACTCAATGTTTACAATAATTATCTGACGAAGATACGAGTTCTCACACTACGACTGTGCAGTTCATCTGGTACCATGATGCTGAAGTACATAATCGACATCTTTATCTCCACGACCAGACAAATTAACAAGGATCCGTTCAGAGCTGGGACGCTCTGCCGCCAAACTTATAGCATAAGCCATAGCATGTGCACTCTCGAGAGCAATAATGATACCCTCACTCTTGGCCATTCTGAAGAAAGTGCTGATGACCTCTTCGTCATGTATCGCCGCCACAGATATTCGTCCAGCTTCATGGAGCATTGCCATCTCTGGTCCAATTCCAGGATAGACCAGCCCGGAAGCCACAGAAGACACCGAAGCAGGAAGTCCCTCTTCCTTCTGTATAACAAGAGTCTTTGCGCCATGCAAAGTTCCTGGTTTGCCATATGATAACGTAGCTGCATGCTGACCTAGCTTGTCAGATTTACCGAGTGGTTCAACGGCGTGCAACTTCACATTCTTGTCTTCAATGAAAGCTGAGTACATCCCCATTGCGTTAGAGCCACCTGCAACGCAAGCAACAACATGTTCAGGTAATGTTCCGTTGTTTAAAGTAAGGAACTGCTCTCTTGCTTCTTGACCGATAACAGATTGAAAGTCTCGCACAATCAATGGAAAAGGGTGGGGACCAATGGCTGATCCAATGGCATACAGTGCATGCTCTCTTTGCTCTATATAGGCGTTGAAAGCCGAGTCGCTGGCATCTTTAAGGGCAGACTGTCCTGCTGTTGCGGACACGACCTTGGCGCCGAGTATCTGCATGCGACCAACGTTGGATTTCTGTTTCTCTATATCAACAGCACCCATATGGATCTCGCATCCAAGGCCAAAGTACGCAGCGGCAGTTGCAAGAGCGACGCCATGCTGTCCAGCTCCAGTCTCAGCAATCAACTTCGTCTTACCCATGGCTTTGGCGAGGAGGGCGAAACCGACACAGTGGTTGATCTTGTGGGCGCCTGTATGATTGAGGTCTTCTCGCTTGACGTAAATCTGGGCACCCCCGACTTGTTGTGAAATGTTTTCGAGGTAGTGTATCGGGGTCGGGCGCCCTTGAAGGCCAGTACGGACTTTTTCGAGCTGTTGAATAAAGTCTGGGCGGTGTCGAAGCTCTTCATATTTATCGGCTAGTTCTTGTAGTGCTTGGTGAGCTTCGGGTGGATAGTAGTTGCCTCCAAATTGGCCAAAGTAGCCATTGGAGTCAGGCCAAGCTTGAGAGTGAGACTGTTTAGAAGGCGCCATGACTGCTTAGTTGATGGAGATTGTGTCAGGAATTGAACTCTATGAGGATTCTTAAATAAACATAGAATTGATAATGATAGTACAATACATTGAGCGTGGTATGTTGAAGCTATTTGAAGTCAAGACACAGGGCGCATATTGATGGGATGAGTGGGGTATGACTTGGCGAGTTGACATGAAGGGTGCAAACTAACCCACAACAGACACGACTGGAGAATCTGACAATCTGACAATCTGACAATCTGAGAGACGGTGACTTGGAGATACAAAGGAAAAAACAACTAAAAGATAAAATCTACAATAGTATTGCAGAAGTAATCCTCATTCTGCAGAAACATGACATGTCCCGCACCAGGCATAATAACAACCTTAACATTCCCCTCCATCCCCTTATCCTTCGCAACCTTGGTAACATTCTCACTCATCATGTCAACAAACGGATTAATCCTCGCATCATTCTCTCCCTTAACAAGCATGATCTTCATATCATTCGCCATCAAGTCAGGAACCATAGGCCGCATATCAAAGTCGTTATTCTTCTGTAATGTCATCTTTGCTCGCCATGCATCCATGCTCAATGTAGAACTGGCGACCTTAAGCCTCTCATCCTGGTCTGGGTTCGCATCGAGCCATTCCTTACTTGCCCAGCCGTAATGCATGTGGCGGATGGCGTTGGTTGTAGATCCATCTTTCTCAGCCTCATCACGCATTTTGTCAATCTGCTCGAGTGACATTATACCAAGTGCGCTTAGCGACCCGGGCGGACAGCCGCAGTAGATCAAGTTCTGAATAAGTCCTGGACGTCGACGTGCCATGTAGACTCCGCTGGCTGCGCCGAGTGATAAGCCGATCCAGGCACGAATGGAATCAATTCTCATGACGCGTAGTAGTTCGTCGATACCATCGATCATTTCATCAAAGCTCACGTTACTAACGTTTTCCGGCGCACTGCTCCGTCCATGGCCAGGATGATCATAGCTTAGAACACTGAAGCCTGAGGCAGCAAGTCGTTCCGCAATAGGTTCGGAAAGACTGATGTCTGTGCCGAAGCTGTTTGATAAGATGATCCATGGGTCGTTTGGTGATTTTTCATGGACAGAGTGGGTGATCTTGCGGCCTGATGGCAGTGTGGCGCATTGGATGGACGCCGGGAGAGAAGCCATTGGAATGCAGAATGAGATGGTACTTGCAAGTCGCAAGATGAGTACGAAGGATATGCACTTCAAGTTTACATTCAATGGATCAAGAATTATTTCATATTATTATTTACGAAATATGTCCGCTCTCATCCTTCCTGACACGTCAGAGGGGTTGCGTAACCTGCTACTCATGCTTACTTGGAGTACCATTCCCAAACCAGATACTTCGGCTTACCCGCACTGCAAAGTTGTGGCACGGTAGTTTAAAGTATCCGAGATAACTCTCCGTAGTCTAGACTTGGTACTATCACACGCCATCACCACATGCTAAATTCGCAAGAAATATTTCATTTTTCTAAAGTTCGCTATCATAATTTAAACTGTAGTCAAGCACCCACGAAGGTGATCCTCAACTAATCCTACACGAGACAAAGGCGCCAACATTCCAACATAACCATCAGGTCTGATAATAGCAATGACTCCATCATCCTTCGACACCCCAAGTGTCTCATATGCATTCTCCTTCCTAGCCAATCCGTAGACTCGCATCTCAGCAAGCTTCTTGACTCCTCCGGGAATATCGGTCCATTCGAAGCGTGTAGTCAATGGGTGAATCACGACAAGGTTGATGGTGCCTTGAAGGAACTTGTTGATAATCTCAATCGATGATTGTAAAGCTGATTGAGATGCACCAGATTTGTCGAGCAAGTCGTTACTTGCAAAGACAAGTAGATAGTATCGGCCAGTAGGTGGCATTTCTGTAGTCATGTTAGCTTGTATTCGGCCTGCATTTTCGTGTAAACATACCATCTTGGAGATGTCGATGCGTCGCGTCTGCATAACGCTTCACCTCAACATCAAGAAGTCGTCGTCCCGGAGTCAGCGCGCCAGATAGGGGATCTCCACGGAATAGACCTTTCTGTGACTCTTCATCCAGAGTCTGAACCAATCGTCCAGGTTTGTACTGGAGTCCACAACCACTGGTAAATCCACTGCCTTCACTAAATACGCGAAGGAACTCTTCATGTGTCAAGCCAGATGTCTCGGCGTCCGCTGAACCAATGCGACCAGAGAACATGTGTGAGAATTTAGTGTCAAACTCGATGAGTTGACGAGCCACATCCATTCGTTCTGGTGAGAACGATTCAAGGATAGGGTCTGCTGAGCCTGGTGGGCGTGTCGGGGTGAGTCCGTGGAGACTGTGTACAAGCTTCCATGCTAAGTTGAACGAATCCATCATCGACACATTCATTCCTTGGCCGGCCTTGGGACTGTGTGTGTGGCATGCTTCAAAATATTAGCATACAGTTGATAGAACTATGATTGAAGGACACTCACCATCTCCAACGATAAATACTCTTTCCAGACCATCAAACGTTTTAGCCGAGAAATTAGGAGCCATACGCTGCCCAATCTGATACGCAGCCCACCAATCCGGTTCCGTCCCCTCCTTGATCTTGATTTCATAAGGAGCAAAGACAGCACGCGCTTGCTCAAAGATGTAATCAAGAGTGACAGCACCTCGTCTTTTCTTATCAGCAGATTTCTTATCCATACCTGCATCCTGAGTTGCTTCCACTTCACCGGGTACTTGAACGTATAGCCGGGTGAGATACTCGCCGGTGGCAATCTGTTCTCGTGGGATGATCATGACAGAGCCTGCATCTGAGTGGACTGCAGAGCGATTTCGAATGTCGGGGAAGTTTGTGTCGGCGACGAAATCGCATACGCCCCAGATGTGATCTGTCGTTTCGCCTTCGAGTTCGAGACCCATGCATTTGCGCACTTTTGAGCGTGCGCCGTCAGCGCCGATCAGGTACTTTGTTCGAACAGTTGACTGCTGTGTTGATCCATCGGGTAGATCATGTTCATACTTGACCACAATAGGGAACTCGGTATTAGTCTCGTCGACTGTGTACTCCAAGAAACGGTGCGATCTCCTGATTACCTCGTTGCCTGTGTAAAGACGGAGATTCTCCTCGAGGATTCGTTCAATACGGCCTTGGTGGATCGTAACTTCGAATGGAAAGCGAGCTGGGACGTTGACATCAGGTGTGAAGCTTGTTCTCTCGATGCCTTTGCCGTCGCTTGCAGGATTCCAGAAAGCGACTTCTTCCATGTGACACCCTTCACCGATAAGTTCGCTTGCTATCCCCAAGCTTTGGAAGACTTCAAGAGTTCGTGGTTGTAGTCCATCTGCTTGTCCAGCCTTTAATGTGCCGGGCTTTGAGTCCAAGCACAGAAGTGAGGAATTACCAAGGCCATAGCGGGCCAGTAGTAGAGTAAGAAAGAGCCCACTCGGCCCAGCCTATACAAGTCAGTAAGTTATGGGGCAGACCTTCATTCAAGATGTACTCACGCCTATGACAACAACTTCCCGCTGTTCCTCAGCAGTATTCGTACAATCTGGCTTTTCAGAAAGTCGAGGCAATGGAAGGGCGCGCGATGGCAAGATCCTAAGATCCCTAGCCGAGCTGGACGTTTCTTGGAATACAGGCATGATGTGAAGTTGTAGTGAGAAGATGGTGTTACAATCGTCACTGTAATGTCGGCATCTTGCAGAATTTAACTACTACGTTTTGAGTCTCGCTAGAAGAAGTGGAGCTGGCGGTTTGACAAAACGCTGACCAAAACTTACAAAACCAACGAGACCCATTTCAGACGCTATTTCCGAATCGCCGATCTTTTTCTGGTTCGGCAATTGAGGACTGCCGAAATTTGTACGTGCGGGGTAGCATTTGATGAACTGAGCCATTCTGGGATCATCAATTGTACGAGGTAAAGTCTGTTGTATGTACAAAGGTTGCTCACGATGATTACGCATGTTACTTGAAGCACCGCAGGGATGGGCGACTGAATAAGAGTTCACTCGTTCATTCCCACATATGGCGCTTGGATATTGGCTGTACTAGAATTCTGTCAAGTTCCGATAATTCCGTATACCTGGATTCAACAAGACTATCAAGGTAGTAGGACAGAACACAAGTTCAGTCACTTAATTTGGATGACAATCAACATTCAGTACTACAATTTTGATACGTCTGAGCTCGTCTAGTCTACATCAGGCACTGGAAGATCATCAATGAACTTGAAGTTGCGGCCCAGTCCAGCCATTGCTTCTTCAGCCTTCTTCCTTCGCAACTTAGCAGCAGCCGTATCCGTTACCAAGACAAAGTCATAAGTCATCAAAGCAGAGCCTACTTTGACATCGTATTTCTTTGCCATCTCCTCATCTGTAACTTTTTGGATGGGAACGATGAGGGAATCCTTGACGCCAAAGACTGCGTCGGTGGACTCGTAAGGGTCATCTTTGAGGTAAAGTGCACTGCGGATACATGTTAGCTATAATTCTCAAGTTGTTGGGGGTGATGTTCTTACGTGATCAGAGGATCATATCCGTCTTTTTTGAACATAAAGTGCATATGGCTTGGTCGGTACGGATGACGTCCCAAGACTTTAAGCAACTTTCCCACCGGTCCATCGTGCGGGATAGGATACGGTACAGGAACGATGGCCTTAAACCAAAATTTACCCTCATTGTCACTATTCAGTACAGCTCGGCCATCGGGGCCGTTTCTGTCTGCGTGCTGTACATCGTAGAAGCCTTTGGAGTCGGTCTCCCACACATCAATGCTAGCCTTGTCGATTGGTGCCTCGTTGATATCCTTCAAGGTGCACAAAACAAGAAGGGGTTCGCCATCTGGGTCGTGCGAGATGAGACTGCCCTCTCCGACGTGTTCGGCCTCGTGGGTGTGGAAAGGCCCTAAGACAGTTCCTTCGGTGCTGCCTTCAGGCTTTGGGTGGTCGATGGAGTCGACTAGAAGAGAAAGGCCGAGAATGTCGGACAATAAGATAAATTCCTATCAAGGTCAACTTCCATACTACTCAATGGCATAGTGATACGTACCTGTCTAACATCAGATGAGATCTGACCAACTTGTGTCAAAAACTGAATGGCCGTCATCCACTCATCCGTAGTGAGTCTCGTTTCTCTCGCCAAGTCATGAAGATGAGTAACAACTCGTTCCAGTATATACTTTAATCGCAAGCTGCTGCACTGTGAATTGATGGCGTGGACATTCTCGGTGATGTTATCGATCGTGAGATCTTTCAAGCTGACGGGAGCGGCCATGATGGTAAGATAATCTGAGCAGTTTCAATTAGTTCCCCGCGATTGTAAACCCCACGTTTAGAGGAGGTTGTCTGGGGAAGATATTGTGTTCTGAGGCCGGATATAGGGAGTGGTTGATCGGTTTTGGGGTGTTGTTCATCCGAGCTGGGTTACGTCAGGAACCGATGAAAGTGAATAAGCAACTTCTAAGCGACAATGACTCGTCGAGAGCCACTGGAGCGGGGACAGTCCCTTGTAACGAGACACCGCCAAATAAATCGCCAAGATCAATTGCAGTAGCAACAACACGACAAAGAAAGTGGACGTGCTTGAATAATCATTTCTCAGCTTGAGTGCCTCGGTAGATACAACTTGTGCGTCGTGGTGTTATGACGTCGATGATCTCTTCCCTGGATGTCACTGTCTAGGGGTAATTGGGGTGTTAAATTCACCATGTTGTGATAACATTGAGGAAACACCAATTGAGATCTATATAAGACGACTGGGTCCAACCTCGTTACTATCTAGCATGCATTTTATTCTCTATCTCTCTCTTTTTTTAAAAACGTCTTTCTTGTGACAGTTCAAGTCTGGTCGCATTTCCGAACGTGCCGACGTGAAAGCATTGGACGTTTTTTGTAGAAAGCCTCAGGTCTAACATTGGGTACAGTAAAGCTTGGCTTTAATCCTGAATTGAGAGGACAATTGGCCTCAGAGGCCATTTCCCTACATAGTAGGAGCCTTCCGGCTTGCCACGACGGCTTTTGAGTAGGAGATGGTGGAAACATCACGACGGGGCCTGACACGTCGCGTTCATGGGAACTTTTTGTGACACGTCTTTTCATTAGTCATCAAATGACGAGGTCGTGTGGCCCAATGGCAAGGCGTCTGACTACGAATCAGAAGATTCTGGGTTCGATCCCCAGCATGATCATTCTTTTTGCTTAATCTGCCAGCTCTGTCTCACATTGACAAGTGTGCTCTCCTGGCTACCTCGATGGCTGTATCACGAGACAAGTGGGTTGTATAAATGAAGGACCGTTGTCTAATGCATAATTCTGTCAGCGTTTCATTCAACCGGCATTGCATATCGGCATAAACTCTAATCTTACCCCATCCCACCACGCCTTTCAACCACCCGACACAGCATTAGACAGTTCAATACACCACGTCTAACATTCAGTGTCTACGTCTGTTTCCCAAATATTAATTCCATCTTTAGACATCCCGCTTCCCACCCTTAATATATATCTCCTCCATTAATGCCCGCTAAAGCTTAGGCTAAATTGAAGCGGAAAAGCTGGGGTCGGAAAAGATCAACACGGAAAATGTTCAATCTGGTCAATGGAGTGTTTCAAGTTAGAAAAGGTTAATCCGAATAGGAAGACGGGACGTAGGTTACCGATCTCTCCAGATGATTGGAGGATATCTAGTTTTTTAGCTTTCCGGGGGACCAGGGATATTATATGTTTAATCCTGGACATCGGTGAACAGTAATTTACTTTAAGTAGCGGTCGGATAACTTCCAATTGAGTGACTCTCTCTTCTTCTCCTCAACTATTCTTCACGAGAGATACAGTTGTCACAATGCACACCAAGACATTGGGAGTAGTCCTCGGCTCTGCCGCGTTGGCCAACGCTATTAACCTCTTCGTCGCGGATTATGGTGGTAACCTCAGCACGCTGAAGCTAACCGAAACACAAAACGGCCACGATCTCACTGTTTCTTCATCGTCACGCGATTGTCAGCCTAGCCCATCTTGGTTGACACTCGACAAGAAGAACAATGTTCTTTACTGCTACGATCGCGGTGGTCAGAACCCTACTGGTTCACTAAACTCATTCACCATTGGAAACAATGGTGCTTTGACGACTGTTTCAAGAGTCAAGGCACCCCGGGAGGGAGTAGCTGGCGAGATCATCACCGGTAACAAGGGAAAGCGTGGATACTTTGGTGCATCCTAGTAAGTAACAGCTGCATTCCCAAACCATCGAGAACTGACAAATGGTAGCACCCCCGGCGTTGCATCTGTTTTTGCCCTTGGTGAGCAAGGTGCTCTCCCTGGAACCGAGCAACTTCAACAAGTCTCTTCGACTATCGAGAAGATAGGCCCGATCCCTTCACGACAAGAGGCAGCTCACCTTCACCACGTCATCATCGACCCGACTGGAAAGTATGTCATCACGCCTGATCTCGGCGGCGATGTTGTCCGCGTCTGGTCTTTCGACAAGGACAAGCTTGCCCCAATTGCTGAAGTGGGTGCACTCAAAGCCCCCGCTGGCTCTGGACCTCGCCATGGGTTCTTCAAGGTCTCCAAGACCGGTGAAACTTTCTTCATCTTCAACGGTGAACTTGACCAGAAGGTGTACTCTTACCGAGTCAAGTACACCCGTACAGGCCTTTCTTTCACAAAGGTCTTTGAGATTACATCGCTCAATGCCAAATTCCCTCCCAACACGGCTCCCATCAGCGAGATTGCCATGAGTGTGAGTTATGTCAAGTACCAATCTCTGAGTAGATACTGACTGTGATAGCCCGATGAACGATTCGTGGTAGTGTCAAACCGTGAAAAGTCCTTCGCCACTTCCATCGAAGCGCGCTCTGGATCTTCAGACACCCTTACCACATTCTTGATCAAAGATAACGGTACTCTTGAACCAGTTCAGGCTGCTCCCTCAGGAGGTTGGCTTCCACGCCAGTTCTCCTTCAACAAGGCTGGTGACAAGATTGCTGTCGGTCATCAGGTCAACCAAACTGTTGTCATCTGGAAACGAGATGTCAAGACAGGCAAGATCATCACTGAGCAGGAAGGCGGAAAGTTGGCACAGATCAAGCTTACGGGAGATGTCGTTGCAACAATTTGGGATGAGTAAGGTCTTTGTTATTAGTTCAGCCACTTACTTAGAATTAGGGGCCGTTTAGATGCTCTACCATATTCACAGCTGTTTCAAATGTCAAATTCTTCGAATGACACAACACTTTCCATTCTATCTAGAATACTCTCCCATCGCTAGTCATATTCTCATTGCTTTCGTCTCTCAATTGTTGCTTGAAGTAGAGCAGCGAGTGCCCTAGCATCCATCTTAAAATTGGAATCATCCAAGTTCCAAGGGCTTTCCGGATCGTTGTCATTTTGAAGCTTATCTCCAAATATTCGATGGAATCCGCAATCTGCGTCAAGTTCTCCCAAAGACATATAGCGTGATTTCATATCTTTTGTACTGGGCGCAGTATAGGGGATATGATCTGTGGTCCAAGCCGCAGAAAACGCAGTGAGGTTTGGCAGTCCCTCACGGATGTTTTCAAACAATGTTTTCCACCTCAAGTTAAATCTGTAGAAGTGGCTGTTGTCGTCTTCGTCGTCAGAATAGTTGGCGAGCCATGGCCCGCCATCAAATCTCTCCCAGTCGTCAGTGTTGACCGTCCAAAGGTCTAATACGGACTCCCGAAGGTGGAAATGAGTAACTATCCAGCAGTTTCGTAGTCGAAGGCATGAGAGATTCTTTTGGTTTAGAACCCAGTCTAGTTGATCATAGCGGCCGATGAGAAAGTCGCGCAAGTAGAGTCTTTTCAGGTTCGGGAATAAAAGACTCTTACCCGAGAACGGTGATGGAAACAGACCCCATCCGACAATACTTGAGAGGTCGAGCTCCACCAGCTGATCCACGACAGGCGACAGCATCGTATATTCAAGAATTCGGTTAAAGTCGAATCTGTCCAACGGTGCAAGACCTCCAGACCCTTCCTGCCATGGATTCGGTTCGATTACAAACTCAATCTCCAAGCGTCGGATATCCTTGAAAAGGCCATTTGCCAGTACCTCAGCTGGATCGGTGTTCTGAAGGTTCTCCAGCCTCAGCTCTGAAATAGGCGATATCTTGGCCATGTAACCATGAAAACGTCGTTCTTCTCTCTGTTTGACTGACCGGCAAATAGCTTCCAACGCAGCTTTACGAGCACTTCTCATTTCTTCGTAGCTGGGCCCGAAGGTACAAATCATCTCAGAAAAACAAAACTCTATCCCGATTGTCTGCAAGTGATCAAGATTGATAATTCTGTCAACAGCAGACGTAAAAGCAGGCCATTCTCCTTGTTCCTCCCATAGGTCCCATCCGGGGTGGTGTCGTCTGCCTATGTCGCGAGAACATATCTCGATGACGACGTGTCGAACATTGTCTTTCGCAGTCTGCAGGCCCATCAAGTTGTTCCATGACTGAAAGTCATTTTCTATTGTGTTGAGTTTATTGAAAAGTGTGACTGTACTAAAGAAATGTCTGATAGCGTGTTGGTTCCATCGGCGACAGACAAGACGAGCCTGGTAGAGATCTTTTTTATGCCAATAATCGAATAGTTGACCTATTATCAAGTCTAAGATTTCACCGGGTGCTTGTTCCATCTTTGATATATAGTTTCAGAGGTGAATCGGGAAGTGTTGAATAATAAAGTAAAGGTTTTTGGTTGAAGGGGGCCAAGATGCCAAGTGTAAAAAATAGGGTGAAGCGTGTGGTTGAGGCGCTTCTAAATACTCCAACGGTTATTCTCTCTTTAAGTGGACCATGGAAGTATTTTTTCCCAGCAGCATCGGCGGAGTGACTCAAGGGGCCGGAGATATAGGCTGTATGCAGCAGTCAGCACTAACTCAGTTTTGTAGTAATACGAGTCCCTTGGTGGCAGTCATACGATAATATAAAGAGCGATTTCATTCAATCCCAATTGATATTTGTTTTCACTTTTTTGGCCATCTTAGCTCAACGAGGCCTGACCTAGTCCCTACTCAACCTCCGATTTGAAATCAACATTCAACAGCACTAGCTTGGGTGAGATGGCCGAGTTGGTTATGGCGCCAGGTTAAGGTTAACCTTAACACCAATTTCCTGGTGGAGCAATCCTCCTGGGTTCGAGTCCCAGTCTCATCAAAAGATTATCTTTTTGCCTCTCTTAACCAGCGATCTAATCTCTAGTTTTACTTAATTATGATTGTTTTTATAACAATGATGTCCTAGAACAGCGAACATCCACATGTCTTATGGATTGGAAAGAGGGTCTTTCTATCATATATTTGCTTTTGACTACTAAGCTCAATACTGAGAGGGAGTAAGTGGCGATAGGGGCAGCGGCTGTTGTGATGGTCTCAAGAACGGTACTAGAATCGGGGGTGGATTCAGCAACGGCGGATCTCTCGATCAAAGATGTCGCCGTGGTGGTATCTAAAAAAAGAATGGCCGAAGTGACGTTTGTAGCAGCAGTGCTTACAGCATGGGACAAGATATTGGCCGTGGTTTTCAATACAGTAGTAAATGTATCGGAGGTTATAAATGATGTGAGTCACTTCATCCGAAGGTAAAGCAGCCCTGAGATTAGCATCCGAACAGAAGAGTCATTCTCTCTTCGAGGTACTCACTGGATGTTAGAGGATTGCAAGGCCCAGCAAGAGCCAAATCGGCAGCATCACCGTATTTTCATGTCCAAAAACCAATAGTTTCCATTGTTATCGGCACTATCGTTTTAAAGTTGATGACTATCGGCTATCTTAATCCTGTAAATATTTTGCTACAGGGGGAATAACAGTGATTACCTTCGATCTCGGCTTAGCATCCTTCTCAACTGGAAAGGGAATAGAAACAAACAAAACAAACAAAATATTGACCCCATTATCCACAGAGTGTCATGATGATCACAAACTACACTGTTCATCAATCGGGCTTCAGCTATAGTCAAATTGCATCACAAAAATGGGCATATAAGTAACCCTCAGAGGGGTTAAATTTGCATTGAAAAAATGAACTATGATGGGGACTGTGGGAAGCATATCCAGCCGTTATGGTTACAGACACTGTACACCACTAATAGTATTTCGCAGTGTTCGATCGCAATGCTCAATTATGCAGTTGCTCATAAATTCTAAATATTATCTACACTGACTTGCCGAACTTAGACTTGACCAATTGACCCCGAATCCAAGCATCAGCCAGACCAGCAATTTGGAGGTTGTTCTTCTCAACATGCAAAAAGTGGCCATTGCCCTTGATACCCCAGTCCGCCAGCTTGATCCATTCAGGCTTGCCACCAGCTTGTTTGAGAAAGTCGACAGCGCAGTGATCATAAGTGATATGGATAGAAGCTTCGCCAGTCAGAAGAAGGTAGGGGACCTTATTGATCTGGGGAAGCTTGCGCGCAGGCTCAACTTGGAGGTAACAGTTGCGATGAGCCAATGTTTCGTTTCCAACTGACTCGTGCTTCAATTCTGTAGAAACCTGTGGTTAGTTAAGGTAGCTAAACATGATGAGTGAACTTACCAGATGGGTCCTTCACAGGAGGGTCGTAAGTGACTGGTGTGTTGGTCAAACCCCAAGGTGAAGCAGCGAACCCGCCTAGGCCCTCTGCATAGGACCAGAAAGGCGATGTGGCCGCTTCAAGGTTGATGCTGCCAGCGATGTACTCAGGACAGTCGTTGGAAAGAAGGAGAGGATTCCTGCTTCCCAACGAATGTGAGATGAGATAGGCCTTTTCGCCCAATAGAGAAAGCATCTCACAGCCTGCAGCGCGGAGAGCATTCTCCTGGCCGATAAAGTTGGTAGTGAGTGGAATCAGAGACTTTTTGAACTGATCATAAACGGGATCGCCATCAGCTCCGGTGCCAGGCCACTGTGTGTGAAGCTTAGCCTGAGGATAAGTTTCGTAATTCTCAGGCGACGTGAAGAACTTCATAACAGTCTCAGAAGCTGAGCCAGAGGACATCGGATAACCGGCAACATCATTCTCAGAGCTGCGACCAATGGAGTTGTTATCTACCAAATAAACAACATAGCCTTTCTTGACGAAGTAGCTGGCCCAGCCCTCACGTCCATCAGGTGTGTTGAGCCATGTGCTTCCTGAAAGACCACCGCCGTGGAAGAAAACAAGAGGATTTTTCTGAGTGATGATCACGGCCGGTGTAAGTTTCTCAACGTAGACCTGGTCAACTGTGATGTTGCCGGAAGCGGCTTTGACAGAGTGACCGCCAACGTAGAAGAAATCGCGCTTGTAAGCGACTTCGGCAGAGGCACACTTCATGCTGATGGCATTAGTGCCTGTGCAGTCCGAGGTATCGGGTGCAGGCGAGCCTGCGGAGCCGAGAAAGGCTGTCAAGCCGGCAAAAAAGCGAACCATCGTGAACAATTAGAACAGGTTGCGATTTTACGATGTTGCGAAAAGAGTGGCTGCCAGCGAAAATGTCCGGACTTGATTGGTCTAAACGAATGACTTGGGAAACTTGGAGATCAAAGAAACGAACGTCACTTGATGCGCGAAATGAAGGAAACTCTACGGGGGTTCATGAGTTTATACCGATCGCCAGGATGTGCTACCCGGGAAGGGCTCATCTCCGTGGCCGTGTATTGTCAGTGGAGGCCCGTCCCGAATTTACCGTGGAGAAGGCAGAATCCCAGAAAGGGGAGGCTTGGCTGGCAAAGAGACAAGTTGTAAGAAAGAACATCTAAGTAGGTGATATAAAAGAAAATGACAGAGATATCCACTACATGTGAACCATTTCTATTTGAGTATAGGTCTTATCTGTCTATTGAAAGAAGGTTTGACTTGAGAATATTGCGGATAGATCTCATTGTATGTATTGTGTAGATTGGATTTCGCATGAATTTACCTATTTACATTTACTAGTTTACCCACTAGCTAAAATGGGTTCAAGGTGGACTCAACTCTCTAACGAATCTCCGGAAACCGTTGGCCGTTGAGTTTAGAGCTGGGGCGCCGGATAGTCGCTCCGTGCATAGTTACAACTCAAGAATGGATTTCACCAATTGGAGAAATTACTGATACCTCGGTCTGTAGGGCTTCAGGGGCTTCTGCCTTATTTACATGGTACGAGTCCGGGAAATTGGATCTTGCGTGATTGGATCTCAAACGAGGGATGGGATCAATGCAGATTTTGAGCGGAGCTACTCTCGGGCCACTTTGAGATCCCTGACCTAATTGCAAGGCTGCCAAGGTGGAAAGAGCCGTAAATTACCGCTACTAAACTTTGAACTTGTATGTTATCATTCAAGAATACAACTGATGTTTATCACTGCGTCGCTGCACCTTTAAGATGTGATATATACAAAGGAAAGCAATCTATGTATGCAACCTCCACTATCTCGTATGAGAACTTTTCGGTGCATTCTCTTCATCGTACGTTAGTTCCACTTCGTCGGTTCGGAGAATCCCCATTTCTATACCCTTGTCTCCGCTCCTAATATTCTCCATCGACTCCGAGTCCCTTCGCACTGTCCTTATGACCGTGGTGTTCCTTGTATCGTGCTCTAAGTCGGTCCATCCCTGTGTTCGAGTTCGTGAATGCGACCGAGACGTGCCAATCTTGGTCTTGATGGAGCTCCAGGTACCCATTATAGCCGCGTCCAGCACGGGTAATGATGCAGCTAGCGTGCCAAAGGTGAGATCCATGACTGTCCAACGCATCGCGGAAGTATATTGCCAACAAGAGTCGTTGGTGATGGTGATCATGGTTTGCTGAAGTAGCCCACCCAGGACTGTCGTGCCGCCGACGAGCCAGATGAAGAATAGACGTGCTTTCTTGCCTGTGTTGATCTTGACATACCATAACATGATGATTGGTGCGAGTAGAAGCACTATGCTCTGAAGTGGATATTAGTGTCAGATCGTTCCATAAGTTCAGATGTGATGATTTACCTGTGCAACGTGCATGCTACTCAAAAATCTGTTCTGGAACACGCTGTCCACACACAGTGGTGCTTCTTCTAGAGACCCAGCATAACGCTTGTCCCACATAGTTCCGAGGGGTCTACACGAGAAAACAGTCCCTACAATGAATCAGTATCGACCTATGTATCTTCTGTAGGGGGTGGCTACTTACAGAAAATGGCGAGTAGAATGTAGATGATCACTGTTCCTAGGAACATGTCGGCAAACAGCTTCCATTTCCTGGAGGCTCTATCGGCAAGACGACGGACGAACAAAGTGATGGACACCTTGATTAGACCGACAGAGATATAGAATATGATCTTACACACTGTCAAGTAGTACATGTAAAGATTGTACTCTTCATAGGTGCTTTCGTAAGTATGTCGGCCAGCGCCAGTCTGGAAAAGCATGACTATGCAAAGAATTGGGTAGACGACTGCCAAAGACTATCACTGATTAGCTGTACCGCTTGTCATATAAGTATCCGAACTCACCGCAGCGCAAATTATAGCCCAGTCGTCGGCTCCAAAACGTGTTCTTGCGCCTCTTAATCGAATGAGGATCCTCGCTGTTGTCGGTATAACAATTGCCAATATAACGATGATCATTCCCGCGAGAATTTCAGGAACTTTGGTCTCGACTGGTGGATTTTCTGGCTTTTGGATAGAGAATGTGAGACCTAAGCTCGCATTGAAGTTTTCTAGGCCATACATGCGCAGTACGCCTTTCACGATATGAAGATCATCCTCAGTTGCAGGCGGCGAACCAACAAATGCTGAGGCACTCATATTCGATACAGTGGCGCAACAATTGCAAGCACACTAGGAAAAGGCAAAAAAATTAAAAAAGAAGTACTTGAGTGATGTGTTTACAATATACTATTCCATTCGGAAACGCCGCCTCCTCTTCGTAACATCCTCCATAGATGGACCCTGCACATCGTCTCTCTCATTTTGCCTCTTCACAGTATGTAACTCTACGTCCCACTCAGAAAATAAACCATGGCTCGATTCTCATGCGTTGGCATTGGACCTGGTGTATTGTTTCAAGTTGTATCCACTATGGGTCAGTTGGCCTATTCTAGAATTGTTCCGCAATCCTGAACACTTGGACCCAGAACTCGGGCAATTCTGGAACTAGAATTCGCCCTCTGTTCGGTTCTCCTTAGGCTAGGCCTTGGAAAGGGTTTTGGAGTTGTGGAGAGCACTTTAATTATGATGGTGGGTCGCTTCGCTTCGCAAATTTGTCTTTAATGGTGCTAGTTGGAGATTTCGGATGTTCGGTTGTAGGGTATCCACAACTAGCTACAGTATTGAATCCGTTGGTTATTAGAACTTGCGGTCTGGCTTTCTTCTCGTTGGTATCTTCTATAGTTTAAAAAGTTGCTAAAAACTCTAACGGGATGACTGTTGAGGAAGCTACCCAAACATGTCGAGACTGATATATAACGTCCACCATCATTAATCCTCTTTCAAGGCCGAACATTCTCCCGCATCAAATATCATAGTGACGCTTCCCCGTTGTTACACATAACTGTTAAACACATGATGCACAAGCTAGAGAACGTCACCCTGATCTACCGATTTACCTCCTCGTCCTGCACGTCTTGATTAGTTTCCGCAACTCCTTGAGCCATCACCATACGCGAAGCTTGATCCCCCACTTGCAATGGCTCGTTCGAAATATCACTACCTAGTTTACGAAGGATTTCTGGTATGGGTCTGGTAGCCTTGGCTATCAAAACAAGGTCAATAGCTCTTCGGACTATCAGGCTCGCCAGCAGCACGGTCATAACCAGGTTCATAGTAGCTGTACCCAAAGCCATGAACAAGCCCCTGAGCGTGATGAAAGCGAACATAGTTATCGCATGAAAGCCAACACCTTCCTGCAAACTCTATGTCTCATCAATTGAGGTTCCTCTCACCCAGTTGTAAAGATGCGGATATCCTGAAACCTGGGCCTTTTGTTGGAGTCTTTGTCTCATAAAGCGAATGGCTTCGGAATCGTCCAAGGATCCTGAGTCTTATCCCAGTTGCTGGCTTGTGTCATCGTGCCTCGAAGAGGTAGCTGTGGGGTTTATGGCCGAGGAGTATATCCGTTGTTCCATTATAGACTTGACCTGTCTCTTGTAATCTCAAACAGAGTTAGTCAAAAATGTATACTTTATGCGGCATCAGAGCACTTACCTGCGCGACTTTCCATCGCAGCAAACACAAGCAAGGCAAGAAGGGCGAGAGGAACAACCTGTCCAAACCCTCAATGGTCAGGGTTACCAGACATACCTATTGTAGTAACACGAGAGGCGAAGATAGACGTAGTTCTGTAGACATTACCAGACCAAAGCTATAAAAGTCTCCATACGAATGAGCCACAGCACTGATGGAATGCCCACCGCTCGGCTGTCATTATATCATGAAGCCATAGATGAGATTGGCCTTTGATTTCAGGTGCGAGAAGACTCAAAGCTTTCAGTCGAAGCCATTCGTTTAGAAGGTTGTTTCGCTCCTTTTCATCGACCTTTTGCCATATCTCACTGAGGGTCGTTGTCTTGGATTTTTTGTCGAACAGTTCGAATTGTAGTTGGCGATAGATACCCTCAAGGTCGTCCGACCAATTGCGCCGTAATCTAATGTGTATGTATAGGGCTTCTTTCTCGATTGTGCTGAGACCATCTGTGGAGTCTGTGTCTATGCACTGTTGCAATCGCCTTGGAATCCGAGACACTGTGTGCATCTCAATGACAAAACGCTTGAGCTTCGGCAACCATACTCGTAGTCGACGGTAAAAACGCCTCATTCCTGCAGCCATGACAGCATCCCCCGTGTTGTGAAGTCGTGAGGGTACTGAAAGAGTTAAAAACGCAAAGACCAGTACGATGATTACTGCCAGAGATGTTGCGACGAAAGCTATCAGGACCTAAAATGTATCAGTATCGGAAATTAGAAAGTACTAACTAACTCACTCCTAACGCAGCAATGTCAGCGTCAAACTCAACCTCTTCCATTCCGACAAGAGACGACAATGTGCCAGAGTAACAATCCATGGTTCGTTCATACAGTAAGTTTATCGAATAGTTGTGTCGTATTCGAAATTTTGACCTTGAAAAGTAGTAAAAATGTAGACAGGTTTGCGATCTGATGCATTGAGGAATAGAAAATGGGACTTCTAGCCGGCAATATTGCCAGAGCCTGGCCTATGCAATCGGGACACCAACTTTATTATCATCTTCCCTCAATTTCCTCAGCCTGATTTTTGACCCAAGCCCTGCTTTGCTTTTTACAAATTCCGCCACTGGAGGGGTTGAAGAAAGGGCAAGGCGCAATGTTTATGATATCGGTGGCAGGCTGGGTCCAATCAAACTCGGTGACAACTTTCAGCTCCCATGCTGTGTAACAACACTGACGGATGAAATTGGAAGAAGACATAGGAAGAGTCAATAAAATAGTCAATTGGCTGAGAAGAAAGCGAAATCTGTCAGCGCTAAACATCTTGAGAGAAGAAAAGGAAGAGTCAATCATGTCAGGCTGGACACTCGAAATTTTATAATAGTATAGGAAATCAACATGATGGTAGTGTTCATACCTACCCTATATTTAATTGAGAGTGAGAATATAGAGGCTGCAGAGAAGTGATTTACAATGGAATTTAAAAGAGAATTACTGAAAACTATAGGATACGGCAATATATAGAACATAGTTATGCCAGTGTTAGGCAAGACTGATAGCTTAAGACCAGTCACCATCGTCGACAATGTTTTCTCCCCGCTCAGCAACATCGCGCATCTCCTTGACAGTCCAGATCTTGAATGTATGACCTGCAGGATAGTTTGTGTTGTCGAAAAGACTGCCGCTAAGGATGTGGTTGGCACATTTACCATACATCTCATAAGCATACAGCTCAGGATCGTGCTCAGAGCTCCACGAACCGACCATGGGAAAGGTAGGACGCGTCCCGTCCTCCGCTGGCTTAAAAGAGGTCTCGTGGTACTGCTGGCGGTTCTTGAAGCCCATTTTCTGTGCACAAGTAACCCGTTGAAATCTGGGTTCATTATGGATTAGCAATGCCATGGATACCGAATACTCCAACATACCTCAACTTGTTATGCACTTTGACAGCAAGAGCCAAGTTCTGCTTACCACCAAGCTGAAGACACGCAGCCAGAGAAAAGCCATCTTCCATAGCCATAGTAGCGCCGCTGGCCGAAGTCGGGAGAAAGGCATGTGCGGCATCGCCGATTTGGACGACTCTGCCTTGCGGCGAGGCCCATGTCGGATAAGGATCGCGCCATAAGAGCTTGTAATCGACAGCCCCCATTTCCGGAGTAGCCTTAATCAGCTCGGTGAGCCAAGGAGCCCAGCCTTCGATGTATTGCAATGCCTCTTTAGGATCCACCGCAGGTGCACGATCCTTGCCATTGGGGTCTTTGTCCTTTTGACACAATTCAATTAGCGCGAATCCTGTAGTGGGATGGTCTCGATCATACCTTGTGCGTAAGCATCCACGACACATTGTCGCCACTGAACCCTGTGATAACGTGTGCGCCTGGCCCTACGAGACCTCTAGCTACGGAACGATTCTCAACGTACTCTCTAAGGAGAGGGTTTTGACAGATTCTTTCCGTCGGGTAGGTTGCGCGCAACATTGCATAACCCGAGCTCGTTGGCTGATCACGTTCTCCCTTGATAACAACACCGGATCGAGAGCCAATGCCGTCAGCAGCAACCACAAGATCGGCAGTGATCTTGGCTCCAGTGTCAAGTACAACTCCACCCTTATCGGCATCCTCGAAATAATCTACGACTCGGGCGCCGAGACGAATGTCAATACCTAGATGCTCTGCGTACTGCCGAAGGCAACGGTGAAAGATAGAGCGAACTGTGCTCAGACCGAAGTTAAGGCCACCGACAAATTGGTCATCGTGAGTAAGCATATCTAAAATTTGAGGTATACGCTCTTGTCGACAACCTTCGATGAACCCTGGCCATTTCTCAGGAGTTCTCAGTGCGGAAGATTGAATGGCGATAAAATCTCCTATGATTTACATCAGTTCCCGTAGACAACTCACTCATGTTGATTGTTTTACCGTAGTCGTTGAAGTTAGGACGGCGATCAATGACGCAAACTTCGTGGCCCTTTCGGTATGCTTCGATGGCAAAACTGAGACCAGCAATGCCAGCACCCGCAATAAGAATAATGATACCACTAGGTGGATATCGGATGAATACAGGAGTATTTTCGAAAGGGTTCTCGGTAACTGCCATGATGAAAAGATGAATGTTGATGCGGTTGTTTTTTGTCGAAGAAATCGAGGAACATGAGTCCTTTATCCCTTTTAAGCTTGAGAAAGACATGGAGTTGACAGCCTCACAAACGTCGGTACCATAACGGACTTGGGTGCAGATTCAACTCTGGAGTGTACAGTGGATATCTGCAATATTCTCAGCAATGATCATCATTTAGAGCAGGGTTTTGCACGGATATTTTGTGGAATTTGAGTCAATGCACGAGCTCAAAACTTCTACTTAATCAATGCCGTCATGTTTTTAATCCACTTATACTTTTACCTAAGCGGCACGGATGATAGAAATGATGCGTTGAGGCCATGAGTATCGTGTTACACACAGAGTGATACAAATGGTGTAGCGGTAAGTTGGTCTAAGCGATCTGGAGCTTCGGGTTTTGCTAAATGCCCGCGCGCGGCGGCTAAAAATTAGGCAGGGTCTCGTTAAACTCCGACGGCTATTTTCCCCAACGACCATTTGATTGCTCTATGTCAATCATCCAAGTCTGGCAACTCATATCCTCGATAGAACTTGTACCCCACAGACTGAGCTTCAGCCATACCCATGAATCAGGCACAGACATCGCGTGACTGTATGAGTTGCAAGGAACGCAAAGCTCGGTGTGACCTTTGATGTCCGTGTTACAACTGCACTAAAGCCGGCCAGGAGTGTGTCTTCCAACTACCAGCCGCATACTACGACAGCCGTAGTGCATGAGGCGGGAATACCCGGTTCGAAGTGAAAAAGAGAATGATCTAATGGATCGTATTTCTCGGCTGGAGAATAGGGTGAACCTTTTATGCGAGAAGCCGAACTGAATAGGATGGCGATGGCTTATGCGCAGGTATACAGCAAGAGGTAAGACAGTATTCTCCTTGATAATGTTGTTAAAGGGCGCTTCGAGTAAATTACGTAGCAGATTGACATAAAGGTTGACGCAATAAAATACTATATTAAAATACCCGATTTTTACATGGCACTATGCCGATCAATTGAGTTGCCATGTCACCATTGAGGACAATATCGACGAGTCTCCGGTTTCTGTTGTTTCTACGTTAGTGACGATCAAGGAAGCTTTGGTTGTTCTGATCTCAATCTTCCCGCCTTTTTATTACCACCGACAATACGGAAAGAGGCATTGTCATCGTTAACGAGCCATAAACAGTAGGCAAAAAGCTGGAGGTGTGAGCCTGGTAGAAGTTACTTTCGGTGGGGAAAGGTGCTGGTATCGCCTTCTCCTCTGAGTGGAATGTTCATCATGTCGTTGATCTTGTTGGTAGAGACCTGAAGGTAGCCACCAAACAATGTTTTATCTCTTCTGTATTAGACGTAAAGTTACCTCCGGTGCCAGTAGCTGTTCCATTATATTTAGCGACAGTCACATTAAATGTACCCTAGCCCTAGTTGCATGCCGGTGCCGATAAATAATCTTAGTAATATTTATCGAGATATCATATAACCCTTTGAGACCCAGACTGGTGCTAATGTCATTATTAATTACTTGTATTAGTGTTAATACTGCATATCATAGCTACGTCCTAATTATTACCCCTTTGATACGTCACTACAATCTATCTACATTTCCCCTAACCGCATACCAAAATGCTCTCAAATAGGAAGAAGAATCGCATACAAAGAAACTTAGTGTGGAGCATCAAGGGCATCCTTCTCGTGCATGTACCGGAACACGTGCTTTGCCTTCTTGATTCGGTGTCTGGTTGCAAATGGCGACAAAGCCTTCATCACGATAAGCCAACCTGCAAGCGTCGGCAGCGTGTAATGTAATTTGTTGACAGCTCCAGATGTAATAATTGTGACGAGGGTCCGATACCAATGTAGCGACGGGAAGAAGTAATTAATGCGATACCAGTTGTTGAGGAGGTCAGGTGCACCCATGGCAGCAGCGACGTTGAAAAGGACCCATGTTAGGAAACAAAACGTGACAAATGCAATGGGCACGAAGCCAGTGATAACATCCAAGACATCGAAGTTGATCATGGCATACACCCAAGTGACAGCCCAGGTTGCGAAAAACATCTTTGCATCCAAGGGGTAGGAGCCGCGGAATGCATATGTCCAGCCTGCGGAGCAGAGACTACAAATGAGAGGCCAAAAGATACTCCAGAAGAGCCGAGCATAGATATGCCTTTTGATATCATAAGCGGCATAGAGATGCATACCGTTGCAAATACCGTTCCAAGCCATGATGAAGAAAAATTGCATCAGGATTGGGAAGACGGCCCCAATGGTATTGATGAAGGCTTTGTTGTCCATGTCGCTGAAACTATGGGCCGATGCACTGGCACTGATAGCTCGTGCTGGAGTCGTTAGCGCGCCTAGGGATACGGTTGTGTTTGCGAAATCGCCGCCGCCAAGTCTGGGTCCGATGAATTGTGCGCTGAATATTCCGGCGGCTGCGCTTGCAGTAGTGATGGTTGACGACTGTATGCCACCAGCATACAGCGTGTAGTATCTGGCTGTCAACAGATAGTATGTGTAGACATCGCTAGGATCATATGAAGAGGTGGTGCCGTTGACAGCTTCGTCGAATCGAGCGGTTGCTCCCGGTTGGACGACAATCGCGGCCCAGTACTTCCCATCGAAGACATCCTGCCTGATCTGATCTGGAGATGTCGACGAGGTATCGACGTTGATATAGGTCGGATAGTCGTAGGATTGATTGTTCGCCGCTGCCGCAATGCGTAGTGCTGTACCGAAGTCACCACCATCAAAGTCAGCAAGGGCAACTTTGGCCCGCTTGACGTATTCGCCTTGATTGTGGAAGAGACCAAAGAGGTGGGATGCGTTGATCCAAAAGATACCAATGATCATAAGGGCTGCGGGGATCAAAGCCTTCATCATATCCACTCCGGTAGCCTTGGGTTTGGGGCCATTCGTTTGCGTTCTTGTTATTGACATGTCGACCGCAACATCCTCGTCGTCTGAGGAGTCCCGGTGTGTGCCGACATAAGGGCCGTGCATCGAGAATCTTGTCTCTGCCATTTGAAAGTGAGTTGGAAATTAAATTTCAGCCCGGTAATAGACGTTGGTAAGTGGTGTAATTGACAGAAAGAAAAAGGTTATCGGCAAGCAATTATGGATGGGTTATATAGAGATATATGTATTCAAACTGCCTACGTCACGTTCAAGACGGCATCTCGTCTACTACCTTGTACGAACGCTTTATTGCTGGTACGATGACTTGTTAGGCCATACTAGACAAGTAAACGTGCATGAATGGAAAAAACCCAATTGCCGCGACTCAGTTCTTGGTCGTCGGAGATTGAGTTGGGTACCGTACTTCCGCCCTATTGAGCTTAGCTAAGCGGAAGCGGGTGAGAGCAGAAGTGAAGATCTCGGAACTTTCGGCCCTCTTGGAACTTCCGCTGCAAATGTTATCGGACTTGAATAATGGGAAAGGACCCGGAGCTCAGCAGTCAGGGCCTGCAGGTACGGAAGCGCATGCTATGGAATTGCCATGATCTTTTTTATCACGTCCCATATCCAAGACTAGTTTCGTCGTTCTTGCTCAAGGGCCTTCGTCAAGTGGCTAGCTGATATTGGTGGTGGTCCACTTTGCACACCGTAGGCTATAGGCGTTGTTTGCTGTCTGGCTGACATCGAACTCCGCTACAATGGTTGAACACAACCATCATCTTCCGTAGTATAGTGGTCAGTATGCAAGCTTGTCACGCTTGAGACCCGGGTTCAATTCCCGGCGGGAGAGTTCCAGCCACCTGCGATACGCAGGCAATTGATTTTTCTTTTTTTTCTTCCCTGTCGATTATTTTTTATCCAATATGACAAGAAGATTCCAAGGCGTTTAGGGTATCAGATCAAGATAAATACAATAAAGACATGCAGTTGAAATACTAGCCTTCTCTCATTGGGTACTTTCCTTCATTAAATTCGTTAAAAACTCTTGTTCCTCCATGCCCTTCCTACGGAACTGCTCTTAAGCAAGCGTCCATGGACTAGCCTTTGGCGCCTGCATCAATCAACATCTTAGCAACTGTTTCGTGTCCATGCAAAGCGGCATGATGCATCGGTGTAGTCTTCCAACAATCCCTCGAGTCAACATTGGCACCTTTATCCAAAAGCCGTCGCACAATAGTCCTAGATCCCAGCATAGCCGCCAATGCAAGTGGTGTACATCGATTCTCATCTCGCGCTTCAACATTAGCACCCTTCTCCAACAACAATTTCACAATTTCCTCATGTCCCTTCTTTGCAGCTGTAGCCAATGGTGTTTCTTTCCTGACGTTTCGCGTTTCAATTTTCGCTCCGCTGTTAAGCAATCGCGTCACTGTCTTTGCATGGCCTCCAGAGACTGCTTCTGCAAGCGGTGTACTTTCATCTTCATCCTCGGATTCGATCTTGGCACCTCTTTCCAGGAGCAGTTTTACTACATCTTGATGTCCTTGTGATGCAGCGAGAGCCAGAGCCGTGCTCTTCGAAGTGGCTCGAGCCTCGATTTTGGCCCCCTTGTCAAGCAGTAGTTTCACTGCTTCTAGACGTCCACCGTAAGATGCGTAGATTAGTGGCGTAAGACGGCGCTCATTTCTCGTTTCCAATTTGGCACCATGTCTGAGCAGGATCTCAACTATCCGCGTTCTGCCATGGTAAGCAGCTGCCGAAAGTGCTGTGGTACCGTGTTTGTCTTTGACCTCGGTGTCTGATTTCTTGTCAAGAAGTAGGTCCACGATCTCAGCCTTTGTGTTCGCGACAGCCCATAGAAGAGGTGATAGGTCTTTTGTGTTTTGGCCAGCTTCCACGGGCCACGAATATGACTTTTCTGACACTCTTTTCAATTGCCTTTCGATGATCTTCTCAAACCAGTTTCCTGGACCCTCCGCCACTTCTCCTTTCGTTGACAAAAATCGTGGTTTCGACTGACCGAGCGAGTAACCGGTTGTACCGTCCAGTATGCTTTGAACCTGCAATCTCTTATTCCTGTGCTTTTCATATGACTTCACACGCCCTTGTATCTTGGCTTCTTCGGCAACAATGCGGTCCATGAGGCTTTTAGCCTCCTTTTGCGCTGAGATCTTTCTTTCAGCGAGTTTCTTCTCCTCTTCTTCTATCTGTTTCAGCTTATCCTCGAGAGAATCCCGACGGTCCTTTAATGTGGCTATACTCTTAGTAGCTGGATGTTCTGGTTCCATAGCGAGATGCTCTTTCTTCAGGGAATCCATAAAGTCGTATTTCAGCTTTGCCGTCACAATTGCTGGATGCTTGTTGCTAACAGTTGGAGATTTATTCGTGCGACCGAGGCTGACCAAACAAACTACCCCTTGCGGGATAGCTTCCTGGGTCGTAGCAACTGTGACCTCAATCACCCCATTGTCAGCTTTGTTCACCTCACGGCTCTTTGGATCCATAAACGGTAGGCTCTTCTCGACATCCGCTAACTCCAGGTCTCGAAGTCCCTGTAAAATAAAGCTGCGCATAGTCGATGCACTGTCGCCAGGGTTCCGTTCAATGACCACTATCAGATCATGGCTTTTTGCAGCATCGGACGTGAATCGAAGAAGCTGGGTGTTGACGCGAGATTTGCTATCTCCTTTTTCGAGCAAAGCACGACTTCTCTCCCACTCAAGTGGCGGGTAAGTTTCTGCCAACTTGAGTTCGAGCTTCTGATAACCCACAACGTATAGCCAGACATTGCACCCTGTTGCTTGGGAGGGGCGGACTTGTCGATCAACTCTAATTCGGATGTTCGGGCTCGGATGCCCAACTGGTGGTTTTTCGACGAGGATCGGTCCCAGCTTTTGTGGTCTGATATATCCATTTATAGAAGATGCAGTATACAAAGGAATGGCAATAACTTGGGCATCATCTCCTTCGAAGCAGCAGTTGAGAGCAGCGTAGAGCATCTTGTTTTCGTTGTAATATAGCGTCAAGGAGGTGTGAACATAGCCACCCGACACTGTAATGATACTGCTGGGTTTTGAGTCCTGAGTATATGGCACTATACGTCCACAACCAGAGAAATCCTTGGGAGAGGACGCAAAAACTCCAGCCGAGATTGCCTTGGACACTTTTGTGGATTGTCCGTTGAGATCAGTCTCGGGAATTCCCCAAGCAAGGATAGAGTCGTCTGTTGTCTGTTCCAGTATCTTAAGTTGTAGACGCTCAAACGCCTTTTCACCTTCACCATAGATCATCGGCATTGAGATGTTGAATATCCCCAAAAGACAGTACGCCATGTCTTCTTCTCTTTTTGTTTCCCGTTTCGCCGCCCACGACATACGCTGTGCCACGCTTGCCTGGCGAAAGTCAACCCAACCGAGTAGAAACTTGAGAGGAATATCTGTGATTTTCTCAATCTCACTCGACAGTTCGGCTCTGGTACCGATAAAATTCCAATCTTCGTCATAGAAACGTGATTCAACGGGAGCCAAAAGTTCCTGCAATGTCCAACCTCGCTGAAACCATGTACTTGAGTAGAATCTCGACTCTGGTTCCCGAACTTTGTCGCCTTTGGGTATGTCGTTCATGTATGTGTAACAAACTTCAGCTTTGCGATACCACTGAAACATGGAATTTATGGCTTCGTCAAGCTCCTTTGAGCTGTCCTTGTTGATGCAACATGTGTCGATCCAGATGTACTTGATTCGATCTTTCTTGGCCTGTTTGCAACAGCCTAACACTTTCGCCATTCCAACCTTTTTCGATGAGCCTTTTATCATGTCAGAGAAAGATACCTCTTCTTTATCGTCGCCCCATCTGTGGGAGAGAATGGCATATGGAGGAATGCGAGTTCCGAAGAAGTTCTTCATCTTCAACGTTTCCACATTAATTAGACGCATTGTGAATTATCAAAGCGATTAAAGATCAGAGAAAAGAAGATGTGAGGTCCGGATGGGCAAGCGTCGTCTTTGCGCCCACTCAACTGGTTAATGCGAAATTACTGTGCAATTATTTAAAACAAGAGGGGCGCGATAATTAAATCATTTTCAGGCTGCCTGTTTGTCTGACATCAGCCGCAATGCGGCTATGCAACATGTCGCAGCCGACTGAACGTAGCTCGGCCAATAGGTGCGGTATAAAAGCTGCACGATCTCAAATCCAGCGGGGCGGGGTTGATAGGCATTTTTTTATAATTGATTCTTTCTACATAGGAACATAATAGCAGCAATACATCATCTAATGTATCTACGCGATTTAAAATCCCAAAAATGACTTCGTCCCTCATTCTGTAACTGACAGCCGTGTTGCGATAAAGCTCATGCAGCAGCCTTGTTCTCACTCCCGCATGTCTGATCTCCAACCCTTTTGTCTTCCATCCATCGCTGCCTTTCACAGTGAACAAAACGGCACGTATTCGCCTTCTGTATCTTCTAGGTCTAGAATATCCATGTCATAGGATCAGCCGCTCCACCATTGAGAAACCCATCAGTAAGCTAAAAATCGTCAATATCTTGTCTTCACACAACAAAAGCGTCACTTACCATCAAGTTCCAATCCTCTCCGAAATCGATCGAAGGGTCACTCAGTGACTGGAGCTCACCACCATCAGGCTCAAGCTGCGCGATAGACGACTCAAACACGCCCAAAGCCTCCCTTGTTACCTCCACCCCCGCCCGCATCATGTTTTGGGCCAATTCCTCTTTTGACGCACGATTCATAGTAGCCTTGATTTGTTCTAATACCAATGAGGTTATGAGGTGGCCCTTGATGTTCGTCTCGCCTGCCTGAATACACTGTAACGTCCACGGTCTAGAGTCTTGCATCATGTTGAACACGTCGGCCTGGACTGGTGTTGATGAGAAGGTGTCTTCTTCTTGTACCTGGTTTCTGAGATCGAGTAGAAGAATTACACTGGCTAGCCACGTCGAAGTTCGGAAGAAGCCAGAGCTGCAGACGACGAATTGCGCGAATTCGACATTATCATTTCCTGTACCACGTGCAATTGACCATGACCGGAAGGCAGTCTCGACGACCATCTTTCTCGAGAAAGCGTAACTCGGCTCTATCAGAGATAGCCCGAAGAAGGGAAAGTGTAGAGCGCCCAGAAAGCGACGTATGATAAAATCCATCGTGGACAGCTCGAACTGTGTGGGTGAGAGTCCATCTTTCTTGGAGTTTTGGAGAGTGTGAATTGCCTCTTTGTACGAGGCCTTGAGCTCGGAGTCCAGGCGCAAAGTTTCTTGGTAAGAGTCGCCCTGTCGAAGATCGTTGAGCAGCTTGGCTACTTTAAGACGAGATGGATACGTCTTTCGCATTGCTCTCGCGGTCGATATTTGAGTGAAGACGTTGTCAGGCCTCGACGTAGGATTCTCAGCCATGATTTGTTCGTCATCAAAATTTCCAGGAGGTTCTGTATCAAAATCCTCTGTTGAAACCATCGGCGGTCCTCCAGATGTCATACTTGATTGCAAACACAACTCAATTATGGTATTCCAGATTCTTCTCCGCATCTCGCAAGCAAACGTCGGAGTTTGAGGGAGATGTGTTGGGTCTCGGTGTAGGCCCATCGACATAGCGGTCCTTAGGAGCGAGCCACATGCGATCCAAAGTGTTTCGCCACCAACGGCCACAATTTCTCTTGCAAGAAGTAATAAGATATTCGTTTGTAGGAATTCGATTCCAAGCCTAGACTTGAACTCTGGCTCAGAGATCCATGTCTGTGCCTCGTATATCCACTGAATAGCTGATGACCGAAGAGAGAAGTTCTCATCGTATGTCGTTGCACCCAAGGCATGCACCAGCCTCAGTTGGACGAGGAAATCTCGGTCTGGTTCGTTGTCGGACTCCCACATGGCATTGTAATTCTTTTGGAACGTTGGGATGTGCAAAATACGATGAAGCTTCTCTATCGTGCCGAGGTAACACTCAACAAGATTATCCGAAACAACTCGAGAAACGAGATGCGTGGTAAGTAGTGTCGGCCATTGGGGAGTGCGCAGCTTCTTTATACGTTTACCTAAAGTTTTGCACTTTTGATACTCTTTGATAAGATCCGAAGCCTCGTTTGTATTTTTGTCGATAATTTCCAGTATGTCTCGAAGCTATGCCGGTCAGTTCCACGACTGATCGCAGCTGAATAGGACTTACCAAAGGTAACCCAGTGACGAAATGACTCTGCCCAAAAAGTCTTGTCTTGTGAGAAATAGCACGAGGTATCGCCAACCGGCCACCCGGTTGACTTTGAGAATGAAGATGAAAAGTTCCGCCTAATTGGGTTGATGTCGTCTCAAAATTAGGCGATGAAGCTTGCGGATGAGAAGACGCTGCGGTAGATTTTGATAACTGGTCTTCAAGCAACTTGACCTTGTTCTTTAGCGCTTCTAGTTCTGGCAGATCTGAGTGTGGTGTTGATGCTGTGGGGGAGAAGCCCACGAGTACAGCTGGTTGACCGAGAACCGAAACAATGGATTGATCCTCAGGTGTTGGCAACGATAATGCTGGAAAATCGTCACTATTGCGAGGTGCTAGGTCTCGTCTGTTGTCTTGAGTTGGCTGAGGAGGTGCTGGGTGATGATTCTCATAAACGCATTCACCTCGTCTTGAGCGGGTACAATTGCTGCACGGAGATCCCCGGTTGCAGCGCATCTTGCGTTTGCGACATAATGTACAAGCCCTAGAAGCAAGTCAGTTGTACAGGACTAATTGCTCAAAATAGACATCGCATACACAGCTGGTCTTCGACGACGACGAATTGGTTCCATAATTAATGTTGTTAATGAAGAAACGTAGAAAGAACGAGAGCGGAAAATTCGGAAGTTGACCAAAGTGAAATCTACGCGACATGTGATGATGGCTCGCCGTACACCGAGTCCGAATCTTAACCCCGACTCCAGGCCGACGCCGTCTCATTCTGATTGGTCAATCCGATATTCCGAGTCTACCACGATATTAATGACTTACACGAATAAGTTCATTATCACCCTATAAAGTCGTCCTGGTATCTGATCGATAACATCAATTTACGATCGTAATCCAAAGTCAATTTGTCTCAATTCTAGCCATCTAAGATTTTTATCCCCAATCTGAGACTCAACCATTTTTCCAATTCATCTATTTCCGATTCTTTACGATGTTGTCCAAAGACTTACCGAAACAAGACAGCTTCGAGACTTGGGATGACTCTTCCCCAAGCAAGGAGGCTTCTTCGAAAACAGAAGAAGATACTGAACTGACATCTTCTCCTGCGCCTGATGGTGGCCTACAAGCCTGGCTCGTCGCTGCGGGTGCAGCTTGCATTTTCTTCTCATGTCTCGGTTTCGCCAATTCATTCGGCGTCCTTCAAGAGTATTACATGACGCATCAACTTCAAGGCCACTCAGCAGATGCAGTTGCATGGATCGGATCCGTCTCGACATTCATCCAATTCGCTGCTGGAGCGTTAAGTGGACCTTTGTTTGATCGCTACGGCGCTTGGGTATGTTCTTCCAGAAGTCAGCAGTGTGCTACTATTTACTGACATGCTCTCAGGTGATCAGACCAGCTGCAGTTGTTTATGTGTTTGCAACCATGATGACAAGTTTGTGCACAAAGTACTGGCACTTTATGCTTGCCCAAGGTGTTTTGATGGGCAGCGCGATGGCATTTCTCCAAATCCCAGCTTTCGCAGCTGTCTCTCAGTACTTTGACAAAAAGAGAGCGGCAGCTTTTGGAATAGCAGTCTCGGGCTCTTCAATTGGCGGAGTCGTCTTCCCAATCGCCTTGTCCAAGATGCTGAATGACTCTTCACTTGGCTTCGGCTGGTCTATCCGAATCATGGGTTTTGTCATGATACCTCTCATGTCATTCTCTTGCATCACTGTCAGATCTCGATTGCCGAGTCGAAACACCTCGTTCTTCCTTCCGGCTGCTTTCAAGAACCCGCTGTATCTACTTGTCATTTCGTCATTGTTCTTTTTATTTATTGGCATGTTTGCGCCATTGTTTTTTATCCCTACTTACGCTGTTTCACGAGGCGTAAACCCAACCTTAGCATCTTACTTCCTTGCTATTACAAATGCTGCGTCTACATTCGGACGTATCATACCAGGAGTACTTGCGGACAAATATGGTCGATTGAACGTATACTCTCTTGGTGGTCTCTCTACCGGCATCGTCATTCTCTGCATGAACGAGGCAACGAGTACCGCATCATTGGTGGTATATGCAGCAATCTTTGGCTTCACTTCAGGAACAATTATTTCTGGTGTCTCTGCAGCATTTACTCTTGTGGTCAAGGACCCTCGAGATAACGGCACTTATATGGGTATGGGCTTGGCAGTCAGTTCTCTTGCCGCTTTAATTGGGCCACCTGTTAATGGCGCTCTCATTGATCGATTTGGCGGGTTTTTTCAGGTGTCTGTATTCAGCGGCGTGATGTGCTTGTTTGGGAGCTGTCTTGCTGTTTGCGCCAAGGCTAGAACAGCGGAGGGGATATTTGGAAGGGTCTAGCATTAATCAACATAACCTCCAAGAGACAATACGAGTCGTAGAAGTAGATGGACGAAATAAGATATTTATTTCCAACTTTTTTGTCCCAGTTGGCTGAAGTTACGCAGAACGATACCAAATAGGCAACTCATGTAGCATGCGGTCTGACTCACCCGGTAACCGAGTTGAGTATAGCGTCAGATGTCATCGCGAACTCTCATCTCACACTTCAACATTATAGTTTCTGGTGTATCCGAAAAGTATAAAGTCTTGGGTCGATGTCACGATAGAAACTAACTCAATCATCGACGGTATCAATTACACCTTCTACTCAGATACCCGAACAACATGGATTACACCACAGACGAGATCGTCAACGCCTACCGGTCTGAGCGACTGGAGTACATCAAAGCCGACAAGAATGATACAAATCTCCAAAAAGTAGCCCTTGAAATTTTGAAAGACCCCGTTGTGCAGGCTCTTACTGCACCTTCAATTCTTCAACCCAAAGGCCAGAAAGAGTGTGACTCGTATATTGAGTCTGTTTGCAACTCCCTCCTCGGTGTCGCCATTTGTCTACGCGATGAAGACACCAAAACACCTACTATTATTGGTGTCATGTGCATTGGCTGGGGCGGCATTGCTCCTCATGTTGTTCATCATCGCAATGCAGAAATCGGCATCACTCTTCTAAAGGAACACCAGGGCAGAGGCTACGGAAGAGAGGCTATCAATTGGATACTCGACTGGGGCTTTAAGCACGCTGGTCTGCACACCATTGGAATCACAACGGCGTCATACAATCCACGAGCTGTTCATCTGTACGAGAGTATGGGGTTCGTGCATGAGGGAAGAAGAAGGCAACAGATCTGGCAGAACCGTGGATGGCATGATTTGATCAACTTGGGAATGACGGAAAGGGAATGGGAAACTCTACGTGGATTGCCACAGCTACAGAATTAATGAGTATCAAAGTCAACAGTTATATGAGATAATGAATGATTCCTTCTTTATTGATTCTTGTCACGTGCCTCCCAATGTGTCTGTCCATCCGCTTCTTGATCCAAGCCTCCCAAGCCCCTTCTCAACCCCAATTATCCATGTTCCCAACTCGTCCATTTTCCAGGTACTTGTCGTCGGGTCGTCCCATTGGTTCTCTCGGGTGAATTTGATGGCAAGATGGTGTCTGATTGGCAAATCGTCGTGATCGGTACGCAGAATCGGTTGATGTCGTCGGTGTCGCTGTCATGTCTTCGAATCGTTGTTCCATTTCCCATTCCTTCAAGTTCGCATTCGCTGTTCCATCTCTTACGACCATCGTCTCTCCTGTACTGATTCGACCGTCGACTTTCCAAGCTCTTTCTTTTTCTCTTCATGTCATCCATTAATCCATCATCCGTGATCGGTAGTCGTCGGTCTCGTTCATCGGTCGCATTCGTCGATCTCAGTCGTCGGGCATCGCCATCGAGTACAGTCGTCGGGTTTAGTCGTCGGGGTCGTTACCGGCATCAGTCGTCGAATAATCGAAGTGCAATTTCGGTCGTCACAATGGGAGATATCATGTCGTCGGGCCGAGCTGCCGTCTAGAAAATGTGCATGTCAGAATCCGATAGCCGATAAGTGATGCATAAACCTTACTAGTAGTGGCATGAAGATGGCTTCCTGGCAGCAAGAAGTACTACTGGAGGTACCGTGATGGAACGTGACAAAGGGAGGGCTCCGTGTCGGCGTCAAGAAAATATCCAAAAGGCATCCGTCCATATTTCGTATCGTATTCAAATACAAGGCAGTGACAATTGTCTCCGTAAACGAGTCCTGCGGTCTCCTAGTGTGATATGAGGGATAACCGTGGTTCTATCGCTAATCAGCCATTGATGAAAGGCGAAGTGATAAACCAACTGGCCAACACTGGATCCGGGCTCGGTGTCATGAGGGAATGAGTCTAGAGGTGTCACGGTTTATGCGAAAAAGATCCGAAATGTGGCGGGATTGGCGAGAGTATCCAGCAGCATGGCACGACTATAATAATGAAACGTCCTCGAACTCCGGTAAGAATAGAGCGGCGGTAGCTGGCAAGGTATATCAGGGTCGAATCATCCAAGGGATTCCGCATTTGTCTATTGTAAGCGCGCAAAAGACGACGCAGCAAAAAAGGCATTTCAATGTGAGTCCAATGACCGGCGGGTAATAGTCTTCACCCTGGCCTGTGAAAGGCAGAAACCTGTATATCTGGGAGGATATAGGACATGTTGGCGGCTTCGCTCATGCGTAGCTTCGTCTTAGACCGGCGAGGGAGTGATAGAAGGAGTGTTGAGGGCATAATACGTTCTCTCATGACGAACGCATTGAAGATCTTTCATCTTATCGATGGAATAGTTACTACAAACATCTTGAGTGTCTGTAAGCACAATATGATAGAGAACAGAAAATGAATAAGTTCAATATTATCATGGCAACTGTGGTTTTTATTCTTCTTTTTTGTGGGGGAATACTAGCATGAAGTGAGTGGGCCTAGTGAGTCGTGGTCATGCCCTCCATCTCACCGCCTGCAAGTTGAGTCACGGCTCCAGACAGATTTTTTTTTTATCTGGCTGAAATGACCTGCATATTAGGTCTCTTTACGCGAAATACGTCATAGAATTGGGTTAGTGGTCAGTCACCTCGTCTGAGTTGTCAGACGTCTATAATGAGGCATTTCCATGTGACTCTATGTGTGCTCCACCACGACACGTTTCGCACGAGATACGATCGAGGACAGAGTTGACAGGACTGGAATATTGGGTGGTGAGACTTTTGGGGAGATACGTGTCTCTGTTTAAATAAATGGCTGCCACACTGCAATGTGTTGGCGCCGACGTAGCAGAAACGCTGGCCTACCAAGTCTTGGGCACAAAACCAAGCAACCCAAGAGTCTGGTCTAAGTCGTATGAGCTGAACTACCAATTTCATCTCTGATGTTGCCAGTGGCCAATTGCTCATACCCTGACGGCTGACATGTGATTGCGCTTTAATCTTTGGGTTGGCTGTTGTTGACCCAGGTTGCAGGGTAGTCTACAATACATCCACAAATAAATTTGGAATAACATCAAGGTTTGATTGTAGAGAGAAACGCATACGTCTAGACAATGTGTATTATTTAAACTGAGTAGCTTCGTTTTCCGTAAAGATAAAAGCGGTGTCCTGGTAGTGACATGTCGGATATTCGGTCGCTCAAACCCATTCAATTTTTAGTTCAATGCCTCCAAGGCAACAACCAGTCAAAATGAATTCATTAGTACGAGTATTACTAAGCAAAAGTCAAAGTTGGGGGTAAACTCTTGCTTAACCGCCAAAACGGTCTGTATGTCAACTAATTCACTAAATATCACAATAACGACATCATATGTCAACATCTGTATAACTGGCTTAATGGTCTAGCGGTATGATTCCTGCTTTGGGATGAGTTATCATTCTTGCAGGAGGTCCCGGGTTCAATCCCCGGTTGAGCCCTTTAACTTTTGTAAATCTGACATGCATTTGGACACCAACCATTTTATTTTTGGTCTTTTGAAGAAACACTATTGCAATGGAGACTACTGCCATAAACTAGAAACATCCATAGTAAGCCTTCAAAGCTATGCTGATGGTGATAGTAAAGCATCAACATCAGGACCCCAACCATCATCATTGGAAATGACAATAGTGTTGTCCCCATCTTCAAGATCAAAGAATCCACGGCTCAGTCCCGTCTCAGAGAGATGCCTCGTCGATAGAAACGCAAGCTTCTGCGACTCTCCATTGACAGAAACCGTTGCGTAACGAGATCCGGTGTCACCATTTCGGTACTTGATGTTGATGGTGCTCAAACCACCTGAGCTCTTGATGTTCTTGAACGTGAGAGTACCCTTCTTGTCACCACCGATGTATCCAACGGCTTTGTCGCCGCTGCACTCATTGCAAGAGATGATCCTCGCGTCATTGCCCATATCAGCGTTTTCTCCTTCGAGTTTCGTCGTCTTTGTTTCGGACCATGTGCCCTTTGAGACATCTGGTGCCCAAGAGTCGTACCAATCGAGTGTGACCTTTGTTCCGTCTACTTTGAGTGGTAACCAGACGTAGGTACTAGCGACAAGGTTGGTGGAAACCCAGCGGTCGCCGATGTAGATAGCATTGCCGTTGCCTAAGGGTTGGATGTAGCTAACTTGACTCTGGAAGGTCTTTGATCCGATGGGTGCAAACTCGGTCCACTCTGACCATGGGCCAGACAAAGACTTGGCGTAGCTGTAAACCTATTGACACGTTAGCATCGTCTTATAACGAAGGTGCTGGTGGATAAAATACGTTGTCATTCGCATTCCATCCAGTCAGATGAGACCCAAAGATAAAGTAGTAGCCATTCTGCTTCAGCATAGCAGGTGACTCAGCAAAGTATTGCCATTCATATGTGATTTCGGTAACGTTGAGATAGTCATCCGACAAGGCCATGATTCTTGTTCCAAACTCGCGCTGAAGAAGGTTAGCTTAAAACTGAAGATGCCACAGAATACTTACATCCTCAGTCATAAGATAGGCAGATCCATCATCATCCTTGAAAAGACCCATATCACGACTCTGCTTACCAAGTGGCCGGAAGCTGCGATGATAGGTATACTTTCCACAAACACTATCACCTGTAGCTACGCCGACTCGAGCATCTTTGTAGTCTGAGCTGTCGATGTGCAGATACAAAACGTATTTGCCCGTCTCATCGTTGTAAATGACCTTGGGTCTTTCGACAATACGGTTGGGTCCAAGATCACCCGCCTCAGTGGTGCGGGATAAAAGGGCACCGCGGTATGTCCATTCGACGAGATCAGTGGATGAGTAGCAGTTGACGTTCTGGAAGAAGGTGCCGTCGGTTTTGTCTTCGCCGATCATGTAGTAAGTACCATCAACTTCGCTGTTTTGTGTAAGTTTCGGTGTTTTAATAGTGTCAAGTGCGATACTTACATCAAGCCGTGTCCGTGTGCTTGGACATGCTCGCCGGTGTTGGTCTAATCACGTCAGCGTTTAGCCAAATGTGTAAAATGGAGAGATTCTTACCGCAGTCCATGTGGCACCAGATACAATATCGGCCGAAGCTTGAACAGTGCTAGCTGCAAGCACAGCGACGAGAGTCGAGAGATAGTAATGCATTGCGTCTTGTGTCCCCGTACTCTTAATATCTAAAAGTAACCAGGTTGGCCAAAAATAAATTTCATTTCTAGACTATCGAGCATCCTTATATACTTATGTGTTCGGGACAGGTTCTCAATTAGGTATGTTCGGATGCAAGCACATGTCATGTAAACGGCAAATAACCCATGCTATACTCGCAATGAACTTAATTCATCTATAAAGTTCCTCGTATTCCATGACCAAATCGTAGTAAAGCGAGTATAGGTGTATGGTCGGATGAAATGTTTCTGTGATCGACATTGCAGCTTGCCCGGTTCCAGCGTCTACATATGCACACCAATTTTATCACCTTGGTTTTCTTCACATGAACCTTCCTTTTGGGGGCATGCCACATGATCGTATGGCCAAGAAGCGGGGTCGGATCATCGACGTCGTACGTGCGGACTAAAATCAACAGGGGTGTTCATTCTCTGGGGAACCAAGGTAAGATCATCGGGGATACCGGAGCCGGTACTGAATCCTGACACCAATACTGGTGCGGAGTATTTGGGTCAGCATATAATCTTAAACTGTATTTTAACCTCTGATGCATGAGCCATATCCGAGTATCAGCAGTGTACTTCTCAGACTTCAAGCCAAGACTAATTTACTAATCCTACCATCGATGACATGCTGACCATCATCTAGTGCGAGACCACCAGCAAATCGTTCTTGCAAAGACCCAGAAAAAGGAGGATTATATATACAGTATTTTCCCGGGAACTCTAGCGGACTAGAAGACACCTGTTTCTGTATCGTAGAATGACAAAGTCATTTTCCGTTAATTTCGTAATATCACGTAGAAGCTACTGACCTTCACGAGAGAGATTTACACATGGTCGCGCTCGATAGTACCCAGCATGATATCGATATTTAAGTAAAATAAATAATCAGCGATTAAGTCTTGGTTTACACAACGGCAAAAAGAAAAAGAAGAAGAAAAGGAGATAGAGATAAACCGGCGTCCAGAAGTAGGGGCAGCGGCGGCAGGGGAAGTCTTCTCTTAGAAGGAACTCAGTAGTGGAGACCAGCTCCTCTCCCGTCTCGGGAAGCCAAAACACGGCAATGGGAACTTGGTCCCCGTTTGGGGCCGTAACTGTCAAAGTGGGAGTTGTGAGAGACGCCATTGTGGGTTGGCTGGTGCCTTCCAACATACTCAGTCAATGATGGTGGTGCTATCATATGTTATAAAATACTGTGATGCGCCAACAGTAGTTTGGTATACCTATGGCTGCCAACACTCAGAAGTTAGACACGCCGTGATTCACTGTCTATTAGAAAGTATCTATACAACTACCAAGATACATCAACACGTCCAACATATCCGCAACAGCTTAACTATACATCAACAACCTTTTCTTCGGTATGTCCCATCGTAGCCCGAACAGTTTCCTCACTTCTGGGTTCCAAAGATTTCGCAACAGGGTTGGGAGCATCGAAAACCTCGCTGAGCTCCTCCAGCGTTCGATCCTTAGTTTCAGGGAAGAAGAAAAAGATGAAAACAGCCTCCAGCAGATCCCAAAACACAAAGACAAGATAGAAATAGTAACCAATCTTCTCAAACGCGGGTCCGGAAGAATAAGCCAAAACGAGAGAGATGCAGCTTGACGCAAAGTTTCCAAGAGCTGTTCCCTTGGCTCGGGTAGAGGTTCTCAGGGTCTCGGCAATGTACATACTCTGCTGGGCAGTCCATCCAAGGGAAAACACAATACCGAAAAGGAAGACAAAGGCAATAGTGGTGTTGGCTGCGTTGGTGTTGGAAGGGTCATCGACGGCCATTTTAGAGGTTCCGGTGATGACTGCAAAAATGGCGGAACATGTAACAATGCTGTAAAGAAGAAGAGGTCTACGTCCGGCCTTGTCTGTCAGACGAGCACCGATGAGAGAGCCAATCAGACCCAGAACGCCATTGGTAGCATTGAGAGCAAGAACTTTCTTCTCGTCCGTGATTCCAGCAGTGTTCATCATGGCGACTAGGTAGTAACTTGAAAGCGAGTTACCGGATGCCTGGCCCATAATGGCCATTCCGACAACACAGATAAGACGTCGACGGTCATTGCGGGAGCCCCAAAGCTCGCGATAATCCCACCATCGCTTATCCGAAGCTTCGGAGGTGATTTGCGCCATCATCTCCTTCATCTGAAGTTGAACAATGGGGTGGTCGACGGATCCCTCACCGTGGAACTTGGCAAGAATGGCAGCAGCTTCGTCATGTTTGTCGTGGGCGATCAACCATCGGGGCTGTGAATCAGTCAGAATATGATTTACCAACGTGAAAAAGCGAGTTGCTTACAGATTCGGGTATGAAATAAACGCAGATGGCAACAATTCCAGAAGTGACGATTTGAATCCAAACTGGAACTCTCCAACCGTCGTCACCCTCGATGTAAGCGCTACCGTATACTACCCACCCGGCGATGATGGATCCAACAGGCCACATGCAATTGTACAAGCCGGTGAGTGTGCCTCTCCACTATAATTTTGTTAGCATGTGTTGATTTGAAATTCATGGTGTCTTACCTTGGGATGAGCAAGCTCGCTGACGTAGGTCGGGGCGGCAATACAGCAGTACGAAACGCCAAACCCAAGTAAGAAGCGACCACCCATGAACTGAGGCATTGCCTTTGCCGTTGCTCTGTTACCCAATTAGCACATGAATGGGCGATGACTCGGTTGATGACCCACTGGATACAAGTGCCGATAATGATGATAATAGCGCCAGTGATCATGCCTGCTCGACGGCCAAAAAGATCCGTAATGAAAGGGGCGGTAGGAGCTGCGGCGACACTGCCGACATTGTAGATCATGAAAACGATACCGGTATTTGAACCAGAAGATTTCCTGTCAAGGTCAGCTTGACGATCTGGCAATGGTTCGAGACTGCTTACATGTTAAACGTTCGCTGATAAGAAGTCATACCGTTGAGACCACCCATCAAGCTACCTTTCATAACGTCAGCCATGTTCATCTTCTATGGTCGAGCGACAAACATACCATCGTATCCGTTGAGGCAACCACAGCAGTACGCAACAAAGAGAACGACATAGAGTTGAAACATCGACTTTGTCCATGGTGAAAACTTGTGATTCTCAACTTCATGGGCGATTTCGTTTGCAATTATCGCAGGTGCCAACTCAACCGGCAAATCATCATGAAGCACATCAGTCTTCTCGTAGTCGAGAGCGCCATCTTCTTTCTTTTCCGACATGATGGGCTGTTGCGTGACCAAACAATTGGGAACGAAGATCGAAAGTCCAAGTTTGAGGTTACACTCACCATTATATAGTTGTATGTTAGCCAAGCTTTTGAAGAATTGACATTAGCTGTAAACAGTCAATAACAAGCAGATCCAACATTTGTCGGTCGGTGCTGTAGCCGAGGTGAGTTGTGAGTCGTGGATTCGCGAATAAGCTCGGTCGTGAGAATCTGGGGTAGAACAAGGAATAAGCATCAGTTGTGAACAGGGATTCTGCGGGGGAAGGCTCGAATTGTTGATGATCGGCGAGTTTGACTGTGTCGGCTCCGGTATCCCCGGTGGTGAAAAGCGCTCCAATGGGAGGGCAATTATGTGGGTGAGCTATTCCCGCCATCCTCTTTTGAGAAAAGACTGGTCACAGTAGTTACAGACCATGCTTGGAGAATATGAAGCAGTACCTTGCATTTCATCAAGAGGCCGAATTGTTACATACTCTGCACTAGCATGGTGGAGTGAATTCTCGCATGGAAACTGTGCATCGCGAACAGGTGTCACAAAAGACTCGGCCAAAAACGAAGGCACAAAGTTACAAGGGTCCATGTTTGCTTCGCAACAGTGAATCCAGTTCATGTTATCTCTAAGTCGCAAGAATCTTAATCCGTTTAAAACTTCCATCATCGCCGATGGAATTACTCTATCGTTCAGCCTTTTAAACAGCCAAACATTTGTGCCGCCTCAATTGACTCAAATACGGAGTAAATATTCCCAACGGGGCTGAGTTGAGAACTTCAGGTACAAGGTCCCACTGAAGCTCACTAAATCAACAAGGAAAATTACGAGTAAAGATCCATATGACAGCTCATTAAACCACGATAGAATCGGGACTTGGTTCAGATAGCAACAATGAGGGGCTAAATATTAAATCTCATTAACTCATCATCTCCAACCAGACCTTCACAATGGCCGAAATTGTCGGTTTGCTAGCCTCCGTACCTGGCCTTCTCGAACTCGGCATCAAATCATCCAAAGCACTTCACAAACATAATCACAACTCAGAAACGAGCACGATCTGATTCACGCTTTGGCTAATGAGAATGAAGATATTAGATTGGTATTGGTTCTTCTTGAAGACAGTTTGAAAACCTCTGAAGCGGCTGGATTAGATACGCCTAGTAGGTAGTGTTGCCGTCCTTGACAAGTTAAAAGTTCAGTTGAGCAAAACCAAGACGACTTTAGAAGCTTTAGAAATCTTTACGCAGAAAGTTATCAATGAGACGCCGACTACGAGAAGAGTCAAATTGCTCTTGCAAGAGTCTCAGACCCCGAAACTTCAGAGTGACTTGAAGGCTACGAGGACGCAGATAATGCAACTGTAGGTCACATATAGCGAATAGGCCAACAGTTTGACGTGACATCTTCTATGGTGAACATTCAACCTAGGTGGCTTTTGCTCGTATGGAGTGTGTGCTACGAGATGTTCAACTTTTGCAGCACAGTCAAAATGTTGGTACGCAAACACTCGAAACTCATACGGCTGAGCTTACCAAAGGTTCAGATATGAACTATACAGCCATTGCAAACGCGCTTCAAGCCCTACAATGTTTGGATCCGAGATGCTACCGTTATCAACGTATCAGCCATCAACTTACAGAGTCCAGTGGGCCAATTCTTCTCATGAGGACGTCTCCAGATTAAATGAACACCCCGACACAGAAGCAATCTAGTCTGATGGACTCGATACTGTCATTTACGATTAGCCTTCAACAATCTATCTGTTCGAACCAATGCCTCTGCAATATCGCGTACCAACCGCTCTTGGAACATACTCCCCAAAACTCCACAAGCCATCACAAGTACATTATTCGTCGGCTACACAGGCAACCCAACCTCTCCCTCAAAATGCAACCAGAAAGCATGCGCTCGTCGACGCGCTGCATGTCTCATTATCACGTACGGCTTTCCACTCTGGTTTCTCAGTTACTCCCTCCATATAGTTTTCGAGTCATCAGCGCGACACTATCTAGCCTTTGCTCTTACGCCACGTCGTCGCATCATGATCAAGTTGAACGAAACAGATTTAGTTTTTTCAGATCGGCCACGGGAATCTTGTTAATATTGACCGTGTTCTTTGTACCAACAGAGCTGCGGTGCTGGATGTATGGGAGCAAAGTAAAACGGGGTTGCCGCTCTTCGAACTCGACAGACTTGGCGCCAATATCTACGTGCACGACGTTTTCGGTACAAGCATCCTCCGATGCGCAGCCATGTCCAATGTACGACACGCTACGAGTTCTTCTTGGGCTTGGAGCCAACTATTTCTGAGGATACATGCGGACACGTTCTTCACACTGTTGCTACGAGGGCGCAGGATGGATGCCGTAATGGTTGTTTCATGAACGTAGTAATATCACGGATGAGCTGAGGGCTAGATCTTTCCAATTACCACATCGTGCGTAACTGGAATCTTGACACGTTCATGGACGCGAGTGTTTCGTATCAGACAAGCCACTGTCGCCATATAACGGAAATGGTTTAACGTGGTTCCCGTTCAAAGATGAAATCTGGCCGATAAGACTCGATGTATCCAATTGGCATCTAAAGATCAAAATATAATGCCAGGAATAAATACTAAGCATGCTTCAATATGATAAATAGATTGAAAGTCATTAACGTGATACAGTAGGCTATAGGATTCAGTAGAATATCAGGAACCCGGCGAGTCTTCAATTTCGATCTAACCTAGGTGGGAAATGATCAGGACCTACCCTGAAGACACGATTGTTATGATGTTGAACAGACGACTGACATCAAATAGGATCTCTTCAACTTTAAATCCAGACAGTCTGGTTTCATACTCCAGAGTAGATACAGATAGCAATATAAGAAGATCGGCCTTGACATATCACTATGGTCTGCTCAATGTCCACTGAAGAGAACGTTTCCATTCGATTCGAGAGGCTCGAAATTTAATCCGAAGTACTGCAGCCAAAATTGACTATCGACGCACACGTGCTCAATAAGCCACTCATCTTTGTGAAATACAAACTGCTATTGACTATAGGGTCCGTATTTTGCAGTAATTTTTTTTTAACACATCATCCAAAGGGTTTCCTGTCAGCAATACATCGTGGTCACTTATGACATTTTACAACGATAGAGTAAATGTCATACGCGTGATAAATAACCTTAGTTTACCAGATCAAATAGGCGAAATTTCACATGTTATCACTTAAAGACAATTTATAAGTTCGACAGTATTAATAATATATTGCGTACTCTGGTCGACTAGCCGAGCTTTTGACATCTAGAATATTTGGAGATCGGAAAATGCCAACTTGGCTGCGCTAACCAGTTTGCGGTTCGGGGCTTGACATGTCCTCGTCATTTCTTAACCAACGTGTTCCTCTGCCCTTGACGCGTTCAGTCAATTGTATCTGCGCCTTTATTGCACAGCCCCAACACTTGAATTGGTCATTCACAATCAACCGTCATGGGTGGTCATCTATATTTCACCGAATTTGTCCTTGAGCGCATGGCAATTGTAGAATTGGGCAAAAAAGCACAATTCACATTTCACCTCATGGTAAGAGAATTGCGGTCTCGATATTTTCAGACTTGAAAAACTCCAGCGATGATGATGGCCACAAGAGTGTTGAAGATCGTTTGATCCATCTTATCACTACCGCACAGGACCCGGACCTGGATTTTCATGAGCCTGAAGATATCCAACTCTATGAAAGGTCGGTTGATGAGGCCGCCGAAATCATGATGAATATTGGTCGCATTCCTTTTTCACATATTGCACCGCCTCTCCTACGACACTATGAAGCCCCGACGGATCTACATCATGAGATGTTTCCAGAGACATTTGACTTTCGGCTCGAGACAATCCATGACACCGCGTTTATGATCCCCATCACGCCGGCACAAGCAGCCGAGCCCGGCAATGATGGTGGGCCTGATCCCAATCTAAAAACAGACTTCCAGCCTGACCCTAAACTGCAGAGATACTCAACAAAGGACATCACTTTTGTAAAGAAATACACGGAAGGTATGGCTCAAGAAGTCCAGATGGGATTAGAAACCTTGGTTTGTAAAACTTTCACCAGAGGTCTGGAATTCGAATATCTCGCGCCAGAACTCATAATGCTTCAAAAGATTGAGGCAGCACATTCGAAACTCAAAGTCCCGCTTCGCATCCCGTTATTGAGAGGGTACGTCACCCATCCTACCACAGGAGCAATTCTCGGTTTTGTACGATCATGGATTCCCCCAAGCGAATACGGAAACTCTATTCAAGAAGCCGGAAGCCGAATGTCCTCTATACCCATCAGCATAAGACTCAAATGGCTTGTACAAGTCACTCAGACTATTAACGGCCTACACAGCGTTGGGCTTGTATGGGGTGATGGAAAGGCAGCCAATGTGTGCATTGATCCAAATAATGATACTTGGCTGATTGACTTTGCTGGTGGATTTACAACGGCATGAGTAAACAAAGACATTGCGGGAACAGTGGAGGGTGATAAACATGCGTTGTTGAAACTGAAAGCGTTTTTGTCTATAAAGTGCCCTAAGATCGCTAAGGCTGAGAAAGATAGGCTCTTTTGGGGTATCATGAGTTCTTCAGAGTAGTATAATGCCAAGACGTGACACAATGCTTACTTATCGCCACATGCAGTAAACAAGTCTCTGATAAGAAATTCCCGTAGCGTGTTTTTTCTGTTTCATATTTTTGAATGAGAGTTTATGAAACGTCATCGTCATTAAACTTAAAGTGGCCCCTGACTAGGAATTGTCGCAGTGTATAGACTTTCAGTTTATATAGACAAAGCGTCGGCAGATACCAGATCAGTAAGTGGAAATTACAATACATGCCCAGCAGTCGGTGTGAGATTCTAGAACCAATCAATTGGACATCGTGGTTTGTTGGCACTCGTAGATTGGTGATCAATGAGGCGCAAGCCTAACCAAGGAATCACCGGCACCAAATGACCCACACGCATTATCATTAGCATCGGTCTAGACTCAAATCATCAGAGTTTAATTAGTCTTTCCAATTCCCAATGTTTTTGACTTCTCACATTCATTCCCTTTTGCGCTATTTTCACTCTTTTTTTTGTGAGCTGCCCAATTGGCTCTCAATGGCGTCGTTTATGTTTCTACAATGCATTCTTCTGTTGTGTACCACAGGCGTCTTATCTCTAGCCATCGAGCACGAATCTGATGTCGTCATTTATGGCAACACGGTCGCCGCCGTGGCAGCTGCCATTCAAACTGTTCGAATGAACAAAACCGCAGCTATAGTATTTCGAGGAGAAAGACTTGGTGGGTTGACGACATCTGGTTTGGGCTGGACGGACTCAAAAGATGGCAATACAATTGGTGGTATAGCGAGAGAGTTCTACGAGAAGGTCTACGAGTACTACGATAACGACGATGCCTGGAAATACGAAACAAGAGATGATTATATCGACAAGCGCATTCGAGCGCAGCCAGGTCCGGCTATTGGCGATAAAGTTCAGTGGACATTTGAGCCTCATGTGGCAGAGAAAATCTTGGAGCAGTGGATCAAGGATGAGAAAATCCCCGTCTTTCGAAACGAGTCGCTAGTCCGTTCAGAAGGCGGTGTCGAGATCGATAGAACACAGATCAAGTCCTTCAAAACGGAGTCTGGGTCAACTTTCTCAGGGAAGATGTTTATCGATGCGGGCTACGAAGGCGACCTGATGGAGACCGCGGGAATCTCAAACCGAGTAGGACGGGAAGACGAGGAGGAGTTTCACGAATCAGCAGCTGGTATCCAAATGAACGCTCCCAATCTTCTTACGACAATTGATCCGTACAACGACGAAAAGGACCCAAACAGTGGATTTATTCCAGGCGTTGGAAGAGTCACCACCGAGGTCGCTGCCCAAGAGTCTCGTGGTAGAAAGGATCATCGCCTCCAAGCCTTTAATTATCGACTTTCCTTGACTAGAAAGGAGGACAACAAGAGGGAATTCTTCAAACCAAAGGGTTACAACGAGTCACACTACGAGATTCTCTTTCGTTACATCAAAGCAGGTCACGAAGGTCCTTTCTTCACTACTCAGCTCATGCCGAACCTCAAGACCGATACCAACGCCGCAGGTCTTGTCAGCACTGATCTCATCGGCGGAAGTTACAACAAAACGTCTAATTATGCCGAGTACTCTTACAAAGACCGAGAAGAAACTGCCAACAGACATAAAGTTTGGGCACAAGGACTGTTGTGGACATTGGCAAATCACAAAGATGTTCCAGAGCACATTCGCACCGAAGTTAGCTTTTGGGGCTATGCTAAAGATGAGTGGACGGGGAATAATAACTGGCCGTATGAGATTTATATCCGCGAGGCTAGACGCATGAACGGCGTTTACACGATGACACAACACGACATCCAGAACCCGAAAGAGTACAACGATACTATTGTAGCGGTTGGCTACTACACACTTGACGTACACCAAGTCGAGCGTGTCGTTGTTGAAGATCGAATATACGACGAAGGACTAGTACATGTTCCGAATCCAGGACCTTTCAGTATGCCATATAACTCGATTATCCCGAATAAGCAGGACGCTACCAACTTTCTTAACCCTGTGACAGTAAGCGCTACACACATAGCGCTGTCTGCGATTCGGATGGAGCCAGTTTATATGATCTTGGGACAAAGTGCAGGGACAGCTGCTGTTCTGGCGATAGAGGATGATGTGAGCGTGCAAGATGTTGATCGAAAGAAGTTGAAGGAAAGGTTGGAGGGTGATACCCAGGTTGTGGAATCTTTTGCGACGATTTTGAGGACGGGGTGTTTACATCTGGTGGTTTTTGCGACGGCAATTATTTTGTTTCAATTTCTTTGAGAAGTGCGTTTACACTGAGATAGATAAACATAGACTTTGACTTCAATCGACTGTAAACTTCATGATACCCAAATCAGCATACCCAACCGCCATCAACGTTGTACACAGCACCTGTCACGAAAGATGCTTCATCACTGAGAAGAAAAGCAATGACTCGAGCTACTTCGATTGGCTTTGCTCTTCTCTTTTGAACAGTGCTTGCAAGACTGCGCTTCACGTGCTCTGCATCATCGTGTTCATTCATGGCGGTGCTCACAGAGCCTAAGATGATTAGCTAATTCTGTCAAGGCACGGTCAGCTTACCTGGCGAAACACAGTTAACTCGGATGTGTTCATTCTCCTTGGCAGCCGTTCTGGAGAGACCAATAACGGCAGATTTACTAGCGCAGTAAGCTACATGGCCAGGAGCTCCAAACTGACCAAAAACGCTTGCAGCAGATACCTGATCAGTAGTCAGTAGCTTTCTCAAGTTATCGGTTGATTTACGTACAATACTTCCACCAGCCGTCATTGCTTTCAACTCTGCGCGCAGGCAATTGAAGACTCCTCGTGTATTCACCGCAAACATCCTATCCCAAACCTCATCGCTATACTCAGTGAGTGGCGTTGGTTCAGCTATGATACCAGCCATATTGACAGCACCGTCCAGTTTACCAATCGTTTCAACGATCTTTTGGATCCATTTATTTACTGAGTCACTTTTGCTGACGTCAACTACCTGATAAATGTGTTCTGTACCGGGGAGTGTATTGAGGGCGGATTTGAGGGCTTCTTCGTTGATGTCTGCAAGAGAGATTGTTGCTCCTCTTGAGGCGAGAAGTTGGGCGGTTGCTAGGCCCATGCCAGATGCGGCGCCTGTCACGGCGATCTAATCAATCAGTCGAGACCATGCCACTCAAAGGGTGACGTACCACTTTGCCTTCGAAAGAAGTCATGATAGGATGTATAGTAGAGTCTTCGGGTAAAAGTTACTATATTATGCAACACCAGGCATCGCGGGCGAGAAGAGTTCAAGGGAGGAGGTACTCTTATTACCCAGAGTCCGCTCAGGCAGTGGTGATGATTATGCGCCCTTCCCCGCATCAACGTAGAGGGTGGCTGGCTGATCTTAAGTAGAAAGTAAGCTCAAGATATCAGTTGCCCTTTTGATTAACAACAATGTATCATCATCCAGTAATAATGTAATAATTCTTCAGGGGAGCAATTTGAGATCGGCCAGATTGAAGTGCTCAAATCTTTTCAGAAATCGAATTGAAAAAGTCTCTAACTATACCAACAATCCAGTATTTGCACTGTCTCTTCCATTCCATACGTTCTTGATACGCTCTATAGTCTCAGTGAATATCCTAAGCCCGCTCTTCTTAGCAGAACGTTCAAACCACCGACTGAACGAATCTCGAACACTCGTATCATTTGTTTCACAGGCCGCGATGAAAGCAGGCCATATTAACCTCAAAGATCCATAACCCATCCCCGCATCAGAATCATCAAACTCGAGTAGACGATCACGCACACCAAGGACATGTTTCTCAAGCATACCAGGATCCAAGTCGTAGATCCTACGGTAGAAATAGACAGAAAGGGCATGCTGCATCGTATCAGCTAGACTGTTGAGAAGGTCGACCGATTGTTGTTGTTCTGGGTCCACGGGTGTTTCTGCTGTCCATATTGATTGTCGGAGAATGTGGAGTTGTTTGATCCATCGCTCAACAGCCTTTGCGCGACCCATGAACTCCTTCAAAGGTATGGCCTCGTCTTGGTTCTCGTCTTTTTCCCGAGCGAGACGTATGACCAGTGATAGCATAAAGAGATGCAGTTCCGGTACACCAAATATCTCTGGATAAAGTGTGGCGGACCAAATACCAGGATGCTGAAGGTGCAAGTCATTTTCACCTTCCTCTTGACCCTTCACCTTAAGCATCTCCTGATCCAAGTCCCTCCAACTGGTAAGACGGAAGGATAGATTGTCCAGGCTGTATACCCTTGCATCACTAGCCTCAATCGCTTCACGTACCTGATTCCGATGATCCAAGTTGAGTCTGCTATCAGTAAAGCTACTCTCATGAGATAATCTCTCAAACACATAACAATGATGCAGTAGTCGAACCTTGCGTGACTTACGACGATTAAGACCTCTTAAACGAATAAATTTCTCAGTCTCCAAAAAGTAATACTCGGCTTCGTCTTTGTTTCCAGAAAGCACCGATATCTGCACCATCGTCAAGAGTGCCATGAGTATAGACTTGTATTTAGCCTTTTTGGGTAGATTGTATGCCGTCTTGAGCATCATCCGTATATGGTAGTGGGCTTGTCGGTAGTATGTTTTGCCTTGGTTCAACCATTTTTTGGAGTTGTATATTCCGCCGAGACTGAATGCGCTGATGGATAGAGTGCCGTAGAATGCACATAGACTTGCGTGGTCCATCTCATCACCGAGTGTCAAAGCTGCTAAGCAGTTTTTGACGTGTGGGAGAAAGAGTATGTGCCATGGGGTCTTGCTGTGACGATATGGTGTCAAGCCTCTGAGAACGGTAGTGGAGTAATGTTTGATGAGTAATACAGCGTCTCTGGGGACGTCATCTTCGACCAATGGACCCGGACTCGGCGATGGATCAACGAGAGGTGGTATGGATGACCGGACTTGGATGGTGGATGATATTAGAATCGGTGACCGAGGCTTTGGAGTAATCACGGACATATCGGCCCAGGGTAGCACTGGTCCAATATCCATGGAATCCCACCAGTCTGGTATGTCGATATTTCCAGGATTCAGCCAGTTGGTTAGAGGCAGACTGTCAAAGCTGTTTGACCAGTCTTGCGGTTGTCGAGTAACTTGTTCAGTCGTTGTGATGCCCACGGATGGAGTGATAAGCTCGATGTCAAAGTCAAGGTCGGGGATGACAATGTCTTCCTCGTCATCCACCTCGTGGATGTTTGAACAGTCGACAAGGTCCCCATGTGCCACCTCCAAGACGCTAGCAGGATTTTGCACTAACCTTTGCTTGACCCTAAAAGCCCCAAACGGACCTCTCGATATCTGTATTTCTGATGACGATTTCTCACATTCGTCATCGATTTTCGACAGATGCCAACTTGCTAATGTGGGAGGAACGTCCTGGGCGATCTGCTCGCTCATGCGCTTCCTTTCATTGTATGTGAGCAATGGCCGTCGAAATTTTGTCGTTGAAATTGATGGATCATCAAAATCAAAGAAAATATCTTTGTTGTAGCCTCCACACTCGACACCAGCGATGTGGCACATTGAACACCCCGGACGGCCTTCATCGCACTTGACACGACGACCGCGGCACTACAGATGATTAGATAGAGGTTTCAGGGTAAGTCACGGGCAATTGACATACAGTAACGCAACCGCCAAATGATCGGCTCCGTCGGCCTGACTGCCGCTTGGTACGAGCGTCATTTTTCCTTTGTGTGAAAGACATATCTGATGGGATTTTTCTCCCTGACGATACTTGCTTCGGACAGGAACAGGGTATCTATTGACGTCTGGGCATTGATGAGTGGCGACAGGGTTGTCGTGGGCAGGAAAGATAAGAATTCTAGGCTAGTTCAAGGTGGACGTCCCCGCCTTTCGGATGTCGGCGACGATTGGGGAAACTTTCCTAATTTTGTTGGAACTACTCAGCCGGGTGATCTTCATTCATTTGCAAACTGAAAGACACTCTTCGAATGAATAAAACAATTATGGAATTATGTCAAGATGTCAATGTCTGGGGAATTCATGGGTAAGAGTAAGTTGTCAATAGTTAAAATTCCTTCATTTCCATTGAGTGAGAGAATATATTAAAAAGACAAGTACTAGCAGGTCAAGGCTATTGTAAACCCCTGCATCTACATTAATTAAATCGCCAAGTATTCCAGGTTTCACTCTAGACGCTTCACTGGCAACGACCGGGTTTTCCACTGGTCTAAAAACAACAGATGTAAGAGGTGACTACTGGGTGGAGTAAATCCATGTCGTCCGGCTCATTGTCAATCTTGGGAGGCACATGTCTAGAGGGGTCATCTTCAGAAGATTTACCGTTGGAAGACTCGTTCGTTGGGGGCGCGTTGTCGGAAAGTTTGCTGTAAGAGATGTCGTCAACGTGTGGTTTATTATCCTCGTATGGAGGTTTGTCGTCTGAAGCGTTGTCTTCCGGAGACGGTCGTTTTCGAGAAGAAGTGTCTCCACTACTTTCTGCCCACGGAGGCGGTTCAAAACACAACATTTCCGCCGGAGTAGGCGGTCGAGGACGCAACATCATCATCAGCAGCTAACCCTTTGCCATTACCGCCATCTGATACTGAGCCCACATGCACGAATTCCCCGTTATCAAGGCCCTCTTCCTTAGGCTCGCGGTCTTGGAAATTATGGTTGTTGCTTGGCACGTGACCAGCTGGTGTACAGGCAATTTCATTCACGGTGGCTTGGGACCACTTTGGTGGGAGCCCTTAAATTGTTGTATGATGGGCTAGCTATTGCCAGAGCCACAACTATCATTCTTACAGGCGTGGCTACCCTAAGAGGGATATCCAGATGAGTCCTTATTGGAACTGCAGATGTGTCCAGTGGCCCTTACAATTTAGCCATAAGAGTGGAGTTCTAAAGACTCCAAGGGAAAGATAAGAGTGGCAGAAATCTGGCTACCTCCAGGACCACACATATTAAACTCTAGAATAACGCATGTGAAACTAGGGGGCAGGGCCGTTTCCAGAGGAGATGTTGGTAACTTACATCATTGCAGTTATTGTTACGGTATAGACCGTCGGGTTTAATCTATCTTGGTATGGCCCATCGAAATTGTGCGTATACTTATTGATAAAGTCATCAATACCATGGCGATCGACAGTGACGGTTGGACGAATAGTAGTTGGGGTACGTAGGTTGGTCACAATGACTCAGCCATAGCCTGGCAAAGCCAGACGCAGGCTGAAAATGCTGTCAGTAAGAGAGAAAGAGAGTGACTAGAATGAGAACATAGGCAGGATTGGTAAGAACAGAATAAAAAACGGAGTGAACTGACGTGTAAAGTGCCGTCCTTTAAATTGTACCAAACTGATTGTTGATTTCCCTCTACGACATGTTTGCCATTGTATTTAATGTGGTATGATAAATTTAATTATTTCACTTCATTAATGCAATGATCAAAAGATCCATTGACCTTGTTGTGTGTATTGTTGAAAACCTTTTCCCCGCATCGTCGTTATCATTCTTCGTTGGCAAGTCTTAGCGATTGGACAACTGAACCGCTAGTGTGGTGATGATAAGCCACCGTCGTAAAAGGAAAGTTATATCTAGTGGAACCTGCGCACTTACTGATACGCTCGGGTGCATATGCCGTGTTCACAGGTTAACTGGAAGTCCAACCGATTGGCAGAAAACATCTTGACTGGAACGGAGCACATTCAATCAGCAAAAACCTCCAATCCTGAAATTGAGAAAGTCGACGAAGAAGGATATATAAATTCTGCATTCACCAGAAAGCATTTCATCAGACACTATCACCAAGGCATAACCAAAATTTCTTATTTATTCCGTCTCAATTGCAACCACAACAATGGGCTCCCTACCAAAGACAGCCAACAAATTTGACGTCCTCATCCTGGGCGCCGGCCTTTCTGGTCTATGCACTCTGTATCACCTTCAAAAGCGCTTCCCCGATTGGCGTATCAAAGTCCTCGACGCTGCCCCCGATGTAGGCGGTACGTGGTACTGGAACTCCTACCCAGGCTGCCGCTTCGACTCCGAATCTCTATCGTATTGCTTTTCTTTCGATAAAGAGCTTCTTGATGAGTGGCACTGGAAAGAGGCCTTTTCTCCTCAGCCAGAGACGCACAGATACATCACGTACTTTGCTGAGAAGCATAATCTCTACAAGGACATCAAGCTCAATACCATTGTTACCAAAGCAACGTGGAATGAGTCGGACCATACTTGGACTTTCATCGATGAGGCTGGTGATGAATACGTTTCCACATTTTTCGTCAGTGGTATGGGCTTCTTGTCTGCACCGACTTTGCCTGCTATTGAGGGCATTGAAGACTTCAATGGCAGACTGTTCCACACTTCTCGCTGGCCCAAGGATCTCGACATCAGTCGCGACTTTGCTGGCAAGAAGGTTGGCGTCATTGGTACAGGAGCCACCGGCATTCAGATCACCACCTCTCTATCCAAGGATCCCAACATTGAGTCAATCAGTGTATTCCAGCGCACAGCCAATTGGTCTGCACCACTTCGCAATTCTGAGATCTCTCTCGAAGACATGGCAGACCACAAGAAGAACTACGACAATATCTTCAAAACTTGCTCTGAAAGCTCTTCTGGTTTCATGCACAAGGGTGATCCTCGCAAGTCGCTTGACGTCACAGAGGCGGAACGACTTGAGTTGTGGGAGAAGCTTTACAATGCACCTGGTTTTGGCAAGTGGCTGAGTGTCTTTTCGGACACGTACACCGATCGCTATGCCAACAGCCTATATTCCAACTTCATGGCCGATAAGATCAGGCAGCGCGTCAACGATCCCGCTATTGCAGAGAGTCTGATTCCAAAGAGCCATGGATTTGGAACCCGTCGAGTACCTCTTGAGAGTGGTTACTTTGAGGCATACAACAAGTCTAACGTTCATCTTGTTGATTTGCAAAAGACACCCATTGAACTCGTCACAGCGTCTGGGATTCTTACATCTGATGGAAAGGAGCACAAGCTTGATATCTTGATCTGTGCGACAGGCTTCAACGCTATCACCGGTGCTTTCAGTGCGATCGAGTGGCATGGGAAGAACAACCGTCCTCTTATCGCAACCAGCGACAGTCCCAATGCCGACAAAGCAATTTGGCTTGACCACCGACCTCAGACATTCCTCGGTCTCACTGTGCCGTCTATGCCAAATATGTTTATGGTTCTCGGTCCTCATCAACCTTTTGGGAATGCTACTCGAAACATCGAGTATGCTGTGCAATCCATCTCGGATTTACTGCAGTATTGCAAGGATCATGAATACACTTCTGTTGAACCCACAGAACAGGCTGTTGAGCAGTGGACTGAACATGTGGTGAAGTGCAGTGAGAGTCAGACCTTGATGAATGAGATTGATAGCTGGATGACGGGTGTCAACAAAAATGTCAAAGGGAAGTCAGTCAGAAGTGTGGCGCGGTATAGTGGCAACATCACTGAGTATCGTCGACGATGTGAGGAAGTGAAGAAGATGGGCTACAAGGAACTTGTATTTTCTTAGATCATATTTCGATATCAATTGCAATGGTGGAAGTAAATTAACTTCAGATGTTTAATTACACCCACGCCTCATGCCTGTTACACGTGTGTCGTATTTTCTACATCTTTTGTTACACAGTATACGCAACACAGATTTGACGGCGGAATGAGGCTCGTCTGTATGACTCGGGTTAACTGTTGATGGCAGTACCCAACATGCATACAGGGAACCGTTTGCGGCACCATCTGTTCAGGGCCAGCGTTCATTGGCAGTGATGCCCCAACCATCCTGGACCTTGTCGATCAACAACCAGCTATCGGGCCTCAATTCACTTGACCCGTCGCTGTGTTACACGTTGCTGCGTGATCTTTAAGTTGTCATCTTCAGAACCGCTGAGCGTCCCCCGCATTTCAAATCAGGAAAGTTATATCTGGTGGCTGATCTTGGTGGGGTAGTGTGACGATACCGATGCGACCTTGACAAAATGGGCAAGCTTCTCCAGACTAGTCTCGGATATCGGGGTTCCAATCATAAGAGTGTTAGATATGGCAATGAATGATATGGTCTAGCTGCTGTAATTCGATATAAGACCAGCATTTGGGCCAACAATGGACGGTAACCATTATTGAACAATTGTCTTTCATCAACACACATTCTGGATTATTTGCTCCTATCACCACAATGGACGTCCCAGGTTTTGCTTTAATCACAGGTGGTGCTTCCGGCATCGGCCGTGCATGTGCCAGAGCATTCGCCAGAGATGGCTCTGCCGGTATCGCCCTTGCTGATCTCAATCTTGAAGCCTTACAAGCCGTCAAGTCCGAGATCGAACAAGAGAAGCTATCACCGAAAAGTGATTTTCGAATTGAGCTCTACCCTGCGGACGTCACAGACGAGAACCGAATCAATGAACTGGTCGACGACATGGTTCAGAAATTTGGTCGTATAGACTATGTCGTTAATGCGGCTGGCATCGCTATAAAGCATCAAGGCGGAGCAGCATTTGCTCAAACAGATGACTGGAACCGTGTTCTGAACATCAATCTCAACGGCACATTCTTTGTTCTTAGAGCTGCTGCGAAAGTCATGCTCAAGCAGGATCCTATCAAGTCATCCATCAACGGAAGGAATCTACAGCGTGGCTCCATTATCAACTTTTCTTCTATCCAGGGCGTTGTCGGTATTCCATTGTCTACTTCGTACACTGCGGCAAAACACGCCATTATTGGTCTCACACGCTCTGCATCGGAGGATTATGCAAAAGACGGACTACGCATCAATGCAATTTGTCCTGGGTATACTGAAACGCCAATGACGACAAAGAATCCCGATGTACTCAAGGCGATGCAGGAGAGAATATCTACGGCGGTTCCTATGCATAGAATGGGACAGCCTGAGGAGATTGCGGATGGTGTTTTGTATTTGGCTGGGGGCAGAAGCTCTTTTGTTACTGGATCAGCTTTGGCTGTTGATGGAGGTTATACTCAAAGGTGATCCAACAAGATATGATCGAGCCACTGCTATATCTGCGTTAGAATTGATATATCAACAAATCAATTGAATAGTGGAATATTATCATGACAAGATACTAAGTGATGGCCGCTACAGTGATGTCGTCGTCTTAGTTTGGCTTCCCGAACATGAGAGTAAATTGTATCCCTCAAAATATAATTAGTCAGCGGGTTTAGCTCAGTTGGGAGAGCGTCAGACTGAAGTCAAACTTCAATCCTCACCAGGTGATATCTGAAGGTCGTGTGTTCGATCCACACAAACCGCAGTCATTTCTTTTTTACTATTCAATGCTAGTCAATTTTTGGGGGCTGTGTACCTTGCAAGTCTTGTGCTTACGGTAATCAGCGGTTGAGACAACTCAGCCTTATGCTAATAATCCATTCAAAACTGGGATCTTGTTCCTTCAGCCTCTCTCGTTCTGTTACGTTCTCACTTTGAAGAGATCCTGATCACCATGACTACTTTAGTCATTGAAAAATCGACAACCAACAACAACAACCATGAAACCTACAATACGATATACATATCCCTTGACAGCAAAAGCCATGAGATTCGATTACTTACTTTACACCCTGCCACTGATGAGCACGACCCCATTTGTTGCACTCTTTCTCACGCCGAGCTGAAGCCCTCCAATGGCTCCGCTATCCCAGTTTACGAAGCCCTCTCGTACGTATGGGGAAAGCCAGACTTTTCGGAATTAATCCTTCTCAACGACCAAGAATTCTTCATCACACCAAGTCTCAAATATGCACTCTCATGTCTGAGATCCACGACCACGCCTCGCGTCCTGTGGGTAGATGCAGTCTGCATCAACCAGTCAAATATCTCAGAACGCAATGAACAAGTGGCTCTAATGCGTGACATCTACTCGAAATGCCAAAGAGACATAGCCTGGTTGGATCCGGTCGTTGGCGTAGCCTTCAAGTCGGACGACATTTACAAGGATTCCAGACTTCCTACAATGGAAGAGAGCATCAAGAAAGGAATGGAATTTATGCATACAATCATTGAAAAAGATCAAAAAACTCTTGGGCAGCTACTCGGCAACTATAACGACGATGAGTACGTCATTTGCTATAATGAGGAGATGTGTCTCCGGGATCTGTTCGACCTGCCTTTTCTATGGAAACGGCTTTGGGTTATGCAAGAACTTTCTTTAGCCCCCAATCTAGTCCTCATGTGCAAAGGTGCTGAACTCGACTGGGACTCATTATCAGCTCTTCTAAAGGACGAGCCGTATTTTGATGCGTTTCACATGTGGGATTCTCATGCCGTCAACTTACCAGACTGGAGCAACATGTTTGTCCGGATTAAGCTCATTGAGGATCAACGACAACTCTTCAGGAAAACCGGTCAAGTGAACTCTAAACTGATGGACGTCTTGACCAGATTTCGAGAGATGGAATCGTCTGATCCCAGGGACAGAATCTATAGTCTTCTTGGCTTGGCGACCGACAATCATGGAATCCATGCCGACTATACCAAATCGATACAGGATGTTTATCGAGAGACTACTATCTCTTTGATCAATCTGTCTGGGAATCTCGACATCTTGTGTCAAAATCCATTCGAGACCAGTGGTGGACACAAAGCTCTTCAAGACGCAGTGAATGCCATGCCTTCTTGGGTTGCCGAGTTTAGCTCCAGTCATGGAGACTGTGCGGATTTTATCTTCGCTCAGCGCGATATCTTCAACGCTGGAAATAAGAACTGTGACACACCTTGTCAGTTTCTCGGGCCCGAGAACGATACCTTGATTGTTCGAGGTATCATTCTAGGAGCTATCGCGCCAATTCGCGAGGAGAGAGGACAAAACTGCAGCGCTCGTGATGTCTTGAAACTATACTTCGGCGAAGAAGCAATCGTAAATCCCGAGGATCACACCTATTCCCCGACATTCGCTGGGAAGACCTTGTCAAGCGGCGAGACATGTGTGCGCGCGTTCTGGCGGACGTTGGCAAAAGATTGCACTGAACCACCTCGAATGCGACGTTTACGGAGACATGAAATCAAGTTTCTCGATGAAACTAACATTGAAGAATTGTCAAACGAGAGCATGATCACTGTCAAGACCGTTTGGCTCGACCATGATCTGCATAAGGCCCGATCGATCTTTTACCGGTATATGCGCAAGATCTTGAATTACGGCGGAATAAAAAGTAACTTCGCGACTTTGTCTGTAGGCAATCCATATGGCCATTATGTGACGAAAGACCATATGTTTGCGATGACGGAGAACGGACTGTATGTCTTGGCAAGACCACATATTCGGGAGGGAGACGTTGTTGCTGTTCTGGATGGTGGAAAGGTGCCCATGGTCTTGAGGAGAGCTGAAGAAGTTTCTGATGAAAATAGTAGTGGGGATACGTACAGAGTTGTTTGTCCGGCGTATGTACATGGATTTATGGATGGAAAGGCAGAGATTGGTGTTGCTAAGGGTTGGTTGAAGAAGCAAGACATATTGTTAGTGTGACGAACCACAGGCACGTATTTCTCCGATCGTACCGTCACTTTCTATTGATAATTAAACTCAAAGGACAGAACGATCATACCCGCTTAAATAAAGTATGCGTTGTAAGACCAAATTGCAATCTGACAGCGCTCATCCTACCAAATTATATTAGTGCTCGGCTATCGCAGATCCTTTGATGTCATCCATAAGGCTCAAGCGCAGCAAAATTCCCTTTACGGTAAGCTCTACGGTACATGTCTCGATCCTTCAACCACTCATATTTGTCTGACATATAAACTGGTTGTACTTTCACCATGAAACAGTTTCCACTTTGTTGGAAGGTTGTGTGTAAGACTTTGCTACGAAAATGATATGATGCAATGATCTTCATGCTTCTGTTCATAGTGTTCGATCGACGTAGAAAAGTATATATAGTCCTCAGCTGCCAACTCATGAACCACATCTAGACTTCAACCACTGAAATGATGTCAATTGTTTAAATCCCATTGTATTAGCTCATCTACAACATTCAATATGTCGATGGCCTACCAAGTCCCTCAGAATGGCGTCTTGCCCCCAATGCCTCCACAAGGCTATGCCATGCCCAGTCCAGATAGACAACCACAGAGCTAGTCCATGTATCACCCTCCCCAACACCATACTTCAACTCCATTCCAGAACCATATGAGCGGTCCAGCGCGCTACAAAGTCACAAAACCCACTTTTCACAGCCGATACGAATGCAGGCCTGACCATGCATCCGACGGTCCGGCTACATACACCCTGAAGATCTCCATGGACCCAGATTTGTCCTTCAAAGCAGAAGGAATGCCAATGGGCGCTTGCCTTCTTCCGAATTGCAGGAGAGTCTCTCGAGGCGATGCTAAGTTTTTCAAGATTGTCATTGGAAGTCCTCCCAACGTACAATATCTACAGATAGTTCATCGCGGTGATGACGACCACGGCTGAACTTTCATGTTCAGCCTTCCCAGCACTGGACAGCCCGTGCCCATGACCTGGAAGAAAGACAACAATGTTGCTGTGAATGGAATGCACGCTTCGAGTTTCAGTGATAACAATTTCAAGCTCGAGGATCCTAATGGACAGCTCATGGCTGTTTTTACGAGCCATACTATCAGTTTGCGATTGAGTGCAGTTGGTACTTTACAGATCAATATGGATCTGGGCCCCATATTTGAGTATGCTGTCATTATGAGTTTACTTTCGGTACACGAGTATCAGAAGCGGGAGGAGGATGAGAGCTCGAGTACCAATCTCAATGCTGCTGCTGGTGCTGCAGCAGCTAGCAGCTGTTAAAGGTTACCCAAGAGATAGAATTGTGGCTCAAAACAGGGTTGTCATCATTATACTTCTAGTTCTTACGATTTGTTGTTACTTTGCCAGTTGTTTCTACTGTAAATTGCAGTAAAGCTTCTCCGTCATTTGATTCACAAAATGAAAAACATGTCTTCAAAAAACTGTACTTCGATATGAACATATACAACAAATAGATATTGATATTTCCTTCAATCATCTCTAGATGGAATATGTAAGGAATCGCTTCAGCTCTGGCGTCCAGTTTCGAACAGGGTCATTCTGCGCTAAGCCGATTCCATGAGGCCCATCAGGAAGCACCACCACATGAGTCAATCTTCCATGCTTCGCCATAGCCTCTGCATAAAGATACGTATTCTGCACCGGAACGAGACCATCGTTTGAGGTGTGGAATAGGAAAGTCGGGGGTGTCTTGTCAGAAACTCTCTTCTGCACCGAGAGTTCATCAATTTGCTGTTTGGTAGGATTGTTTCCGAGAAGGTTGTATCGCGAGTTTTCATGGGTGTAATCGTCCTCAAGAGTAATGACAGGATAACCCAAGATACCAAAATCGAGATTGGTCTGAGGATTTGTAAGTGTTGTACCTGCAAGGTGACCTCCGGCTGAGAAGCCCCAGATGCCGAGTTTCTTCAGATCAGGAGCCTCTTGTCGAATGAGATCCAATGCACCGAGGGCTTCGTCCATTGGCTTTGGATATAATGGTGGGGTCATGTTGGAGGCTGTTGTGTATTCAAGAACCCAGGCGTCAATACCAAGAGTGTTGAGATATCGGGCAGGGTCGTGTCCTTCGTGGCCTCGAGCCATCATGCTGTAGCCACCGCCAGGACATACTAGAACACCGACACCAGTTGAGTTGGCTGCCAGGAAAGCAGTAAGTTGTGAGGGGTCGAGCCTGTGAGGGTTAGACTATGGGTCTTCACTTGTTCCTACAGTGACTTCTAATGAGTTTACTACTCACTTCATTATGGCGTTCCTGGTACGTCAATTCGCAATAGTGTTACAATACAGCTACATGAAGGACGGCATAGAGGCTGATATATATGCACTTTCCAAATTAACCGGCTTCCTGGGTTCAGTTGCCACAGTTCCAGCTACCGCGGATGAATTCAACTGTGGGGAGCCAAGAACTACTTCATCACCCCGCATAATGCCACGTTGAGGACATTTAACCGGCCAAATTCAGTGATCCCGGCTGTCTATCATCCGAGTAGCTTGCAGAAATTGCTGTTCCTGGCATTAATACCGAGGTCATATGATGTAGGCCGTCAGGGCGGCGAAAAAGTCCACCAATAATCCTGTTTCCGACTAATTGGTGAGACAATTACTTAAAGTTCAGATGATAAAAAAATGCTGTGTGATCAACGGCAGACGGGAAACAATAAGGATATACAGTACTCAATCATGAAACGTGAGATTGTATATTAGTATAATCAAATTAAAAATAAGTTAATGATGACACGCCACCATAACCTACTCACTATGTAGAACAGAGCCAATTATGAGCCATATCTAGTTGAACAGCCTTCGCGCATTGTCTGCTCTAACAGCATTCGCCTTGACAGGATCATTGAACACATTATCCACCTCCTTGTCAAAAGCAGCAGCATACTTGGCAGCTGTATCCATAGGCGTAAAAACAGTATCCGAGCCCCAAACGATTCTAGTGTAGTCGACCCATCGCAGCAGGGAAGGAATAGCAAAGTTGACAGGCCAAGGTCCAGCAAGATCGAAGAAGAAGTTTTTGGAAAGAGTCTCCTTCATCGACTCCTCTGTAAGGTTCAAGCCAGGATAAAGAGCGCTGTAGGTGATGATTCGGTCCAAAGTGGGGATGAGACCACCGCCAGCGTGGGACATGATCCACTTGAGGTTGGGAAACTTGGTTGGCATGCTGGTGTAGAACAAGTCGGCGAATGTTCGCGCGGTCTCGAAGGGAAAGTCGAGAGTAGGTGCGGCAAATTGTCGAACGGCCAAGGGTCGGTTAAGAGCTTGCCACTGCTGTTGAGAAATGGTAGGCGCGTCCTTGTCAATATCGAATCGCATTCCGTTGAACTGAGTGCAAGGAGTTGTGGGATGCTCAAAGATGGTGACGTTGAGCTCGTTCAGAGCTTCGTAGATTGGCTCGAGATCGCGGTCGCCGAGGTACAAGCCGTAGTAGTTGGACATCATCACTACACCGTCAGGCTTGGGTTCAAGCTCGCCGAAGGAGTACTGAATCTCCTTGAGAGATGCTTGGATATCCGGCAGAGGAAGAGAAGCGAAGAAGCCGAACTCCTTGGGGTACTTGGCTTTGACCTGAGAGCCATACTTGTTGACCTCGCGTGCCAGACTGATGGCCTGCTGAGTAGCATTCTTTGAAGGGACATTGAGATAGACTCCAGGGCTTGAAATAGACAGAATGGATCTCTCGATGTTGTTCTCCTTCATAAACTCCAAATGAGACTCGGCATCCCAACTCTGCGTGTCAAGGTCAGTATTGACATAATTGCATTTGAGGTTAATTAACTTACGGGAATACCAGGCATTCCGTCGGGGCCAGGTACATGGCCAGCTTCCCTCAAAGCATCGGCGTAGAAATCAGGCACAAAGTGGGCGTGAACGTCAACCTTGGCCGACTTGGCTGGTGGCGGTGTGCTTTTACAGGCAGCCACAGTTACAGAAAGACTGAAAATAGCAAGAAACTTCATGATAACGAGTGTACTTTAATGAATGTGTTATAAAAGAATATGATGGAAAAGAGAGCCGTGAGGGAACAAGAAAGCTGGAGTTTATTGTGAGGGTCGTACAAGTGCATTTATGTGAATCTCAACAAAAGGAATCCTTCGAGTCTGCATTTAATGAGAGGGTGGTAATTAAATCCTTCACGGCACCAACGGCCTGTTGATCGGTCAGTGTCTGCCTCGCATTGGCTTGTTTGATTGCCTTACGGGTACGTGTAAGCGCTAATGCTGTGTCGATGCAACTGTGGCAGAGCAAACTGCCGGGGAGACACAGAAGCTCGGGCCTGTATTTTGTTATCTTGGCGCTTTTATCTTATCTAAACGATGGAATTTATGGGGTTGCAAGGTAATCATAGACACCTCGACCGCATTGTCGGTAGATACCTTGAAGAGTCTTGTGGAGCTTGTATTGATAATACTCTTAAGGATGTTTTAGCAACAGACCGGGTAAAGTAACCTCTGAAAGAGATTCTTGGTTGATAATTAACTCTATGTTGAGCACAGACGGCATCGTCTGAATAGCATCCAACTTCACCATAGTTATACTGGCTGTGTCTCTTGCTTCGATCCTTGTGCTCGTGCAGGGTAGGGGACCAATGAAGTCATGCTGGCGGAGCTTTGGAGACGTCGGAATGCATCCGAAACAACGACCGAGATAGGGCTGCACATAATTGCTGGGCGTTCCTGGCGTTCCCGTTCTTAACGTAGACCAAAAGAAGCCGAAAGAGTTCGGGGTTTTTGAACCCTTGCTTCTATTGACACCTGTCGTGACAGGCATCGCGGCCTAAATGCTACCTCCCAATTTCATTAAAGACGATCCTCCTCGTTTTTTACTTCATCCCACCCAACTGATTGCCCACGACTAACCTGAATTATTCCCAGCCCCTGTCGCAGGCGAATTGTCAAATAAGGGCGAATTTCTCTATTTCTAACCAGAGCAAGCTTAGTCGCGTTCTGAGCCGTGGCTGATCACTTCCGAATCAAGGCATGATCAGAGACACTGGTTATTCCCTTGCATAAAAAAGGCATATCTTGACCACACAAAATCCCGTGCATCTGCCATCTCAACAGCTGATGATAAAATGCAAGGTCAGACGCTGTAAAAATGTGAACATGTCTGAGATACTAAAGGGAGCAGAATATGAGAGCACTCTACAGGCAGGCAAATATGTAGTTAAATTAAAGACCCGATTGACCTGGCCTGTCACTTGAGTGACATTTTATTTCCGCTATTGAAAAAAATGCTTTTACGACCATGTATGTTGCCGACATTTTCGTACCGCACGAGTGTTATGCACTTGTGATCCTTGGGTTCCTCTTCACTTGTCTCGCTTCTCTCTTTGTAATCTTGAGATTTATTACGCGGGTTTGTTTGGTGCGGAGTCTTGGTGCTGACGATGGGTTTATTATTCTTGCAAATGTGAGTCCCTGTAAACCATCCCGCGATGCTCTTTCGTCTAACCATCACCCATAGCTCGGCGCTTTGGGCTTCTTGATTGCTGTTATGCAACGTAAGTTCTGACATACTAATATTCTACAATTTACTCACAAAATTGTCATCCAGAGGTTCGATTTGGTCTCGGACTACCACCCAACCCGGAGCTACTCTCGCCCATCATCCAAGCTACGACTGCGAGTGTGATATCATACACAATCTGCCACCTTGCCATCAAATTGTCCATCGCATTCCAATGCTTTCGCATCTTCATCACAGCCAAGGCCCGACGTCTCTTTATCAGCCTCATCGTGTACTTTGCAGTATATGGGACACTTTGTCTTATGTTGACCGTCTTTACCTGCTACCCTGTCGCGAAATACTGGGATGACTCGATACCAGGGAAGTGTCTCGACAATAGAGCTTTACGTTATGCATTTGCTGGAATCAACATCGTCAATGACATCGCGATTTTGGTGGCTCCTATGCCATTTCTTCGGAACTTGCAGATTGCACGGAAGATCAAGGTCGTTTTGATGTGTGTTTTTGCAGCTGGAGCAGTGTAAGCTTTTTTCTCCCATGGTATTACACACTCGGTTGTTGACAAGAGATAGTGCTTGCATTGTTGCAATTATTCGGCTGCACTCACTCTGGGCTTACAGTTCAGTCTCTATATCCCAGCGGCCAGGTGAGTTTCTCATGACTCGAAAGTTATTCATACTAACATCTACAAAGCTAAAGGTGTCGACATCGCCATATGGTCTGGTCTCGAATGCAACATCGCAATCATGTGTGCTTGCGTACCATCTCTCAAGCCCTTGTTCTCGAGGACTTTTCCAACTTTCCTTGCATCTTTACAATCGTCAAAGTCACATCCTTCCAGCAATCCTCATTCTCCAGGCAGCTTACACATCTACGACAATACTCCAAAGCCTCAGCCTTTACCTCAAGGCACAGACTTGGAAATTACTGTCCAACAGTCCTTTGAGATGAGGACCACCATGGCTGCTGATGATGATGCGAGTGAGAAGAACTTGGTTACGGTGAACACGGCACAGTATCATACGAAAAGGATGTCACATAGTGCACTGGGCTAGAGAGTGGCGAATCGGTTTTGCGTCCAGAATGTCAGAAAGTTACATTACCAGAATAGAGTAGATACCGTGTGATCGAAACAAATTTAATGCTTTTGAGTTCGTGTATTACTTAGCAGAACCTCGTGGTTCAAATTCTCGTGGGCCATATGTGGATATTAAGTTTGTATTGCCTTGTGATAGAAAGCTCAAAGTTTCAACAATCAAGTCAAGAAATTCTATTCGCTAGTTAATGCAGACAGTTGTCAGTTAGGTCCAAGATTCTGAGCTTTATCGCTATAGACTTTGGCCATCGCGTTTGACCTGCTATAAAATACTTCTGTCCTCCTTCGCTCTACGCAATGTTTTATCTCCCTTCGTATCACACTTCTTCTACCTGCACAAACTGCAAAACAACACAATTATCTCTGACTTACGGTAAATCCGCAACAACAGATATCACCATGGTTCAGATACCCATTCGTGGCAAGAAAGCCTTTGTAGCCCTTGAAGAACCCATATGTGGGCCTTCAACTAATAAGGAACCCTCACTAGGGACTTGCGATCTCACTATGCAAGTCCAACTAAAGTCAGTGGCGTCTGACCGCTCTCTCCAAATTCAACTGCCACCAGATACCTCGACCTGCTCTTTCGAAGTTGAACTACCACCAGCAACTTCCAACTTGACTATCCATGTCGAACGGGCACCAGCTCGGCGTCTGAATAATAGCACTACCCCCAAAAGGCCGTCCCTGCACAGGGCTACAACGATGTCTGTCACAAAGGGTCAAAAGGCGTCGGTTGTACAGACTCAAACAGCCAGTACAAGTCAGGCATCTTTTACAGGCCATGAAGAAGTCAAGCGTAGGATTAGAAAGGTCAGGTACCTGCGTGACGTAGCATTCTCACCAGAGACCTGCAAGTCCTCCATTCGAGTCAGACTGCCGACGCCTGTACAAAGATGTAATGAGGAGATCTACCAAGGACCCGTTCCTAAGTCTGAAGAAGCCAGTAGCAGCCAGAAACTCGAAGCAGATATTGGCGAATCTTTTTGCAGGTCTGTCATCGATGCCGCACCCTCACCAAGGGCCTTAGACTTCCCTATCCGAGTCAAACTGCCACCAACTCAACCTGTGGATGATAATCGGAACTCACAAGAGATTTCTTCACGGCAGGCTCTCCCCCGCCCCTTCTTGATTCCCCACGTTGATTCTAGTGAGTGTTCCGACTCAGCTTACGAAACGGTGGAACCCGCCACATCAAGTGACGAGTCTGAATCCTACTCAACAGTTGACACAAGTGAACTCCACTCCTCAAGTGGCTACTACGCCTCTGGCGAGACATCAGAATCCAATGATGACACCACCAACGAACAGGAGAGTCAGGACTCAGGCCTAAGTTCCTCGGCCGACTCCGAGCACGAAGGAGCTTCGATAAACTTGGAAGCCCGATTCGACGAACTGAACGCTCAAATTACCAGCTACAAATTGGCGCCCAAGTGTTTGGAGACAGAGGAGAATCTTGTTCGTGAGAGCGAGAGGCTACTCGCTGATATCCATGCTAGCTGGCTGGAGTTGCACAGGAATCGCGATTCGAACTAGTCTTCTTCAAGTGTTGTCTTGATTTGTTGGAAATCACGCGTTGAGAAGGCTGACGCTAAGGGCGCATTGTATTCTTGATCGCATGTTCCTTCTTGTTGCATTAGACCAAGACAGCGGCGCATCCTTCCAGTACCTGATCCTACAGACGTCCACTGGGTGCTGGTTCACCGGCATGGCAACTCTTGCTCAGCACAGTTGTTTATCGACCCCGCGAAACGGCTTCACTAATTGTATATTGTGTATTCCTTCGCTACAGCAGCTGGAATTTTGTCTTACTCTGTCAGTAATTGGGTTCTGTGGACGGCTGGTCAAGGAGTCACCCACTTGCTGCCGATATGGAAATGGTAGGAGCAGCCTTCAACACTCAACACGACAACTCAAGCTGTCAATCGTTCGTGTGCGGCAAGTTCAGGATCTAATCACGATAGATCCTTTTCTCGCTTCGGTGCTTCAAGTTCCCATTGAAGTATTGGCTACTATTACCAAGATCTGCGCTGCAAGCGACTCAACAACGTTTTGCACCCATTCACAGTCGTCACCCATTATCTCATTTGGTTCCTGTTTTGCCGGTCTAGATACGTTAACTGCTAGCAATAAACTATCTTTCTATTAAGTTCCCTTGGGCACAAAGGTTGTCCAAGCTACCCTATTGACGATGTCTGTGATAACCAAGCCATGCTTGACCCATTGCGAGTATATACGAAACATATAGTTAGACCAAGTGACGATCTTGAGAGACCTCTCACGTCTCCAACACGCCGCTGAATTGTCCAGTTAGAACGGTACTCCAGAAAGATCATTCTGAATAGTATTAATGGTATGTAGCAACGAACGGCGGTCCCATCCGCACGATTCGGTGGTATACAAATGGTACGGAGCCATGTCTACGAAGACAATATGCAATTTTCCCCAGTCAGTAATGCGGCAAGCGTCAGTCATACGCGTTATGGAGTGTCTACAAGTGCGATGGTGTGAGACGGAGTGACGCACATGGGAACTTGAGGAAGATGTATATTGACATGAATACAATTATATTTATCATCGCTTGCAGATCAAGAGCAATTAATGGTATATGTATATATATTTATAGAAGAGGTCCGGTCGCAAGGCCCGAACAGATCAATAATTTAACAAGATTTGCCAGACCGATGTACTTCGCTGTCGGAGATGGAGATGACGGGTGGAGGGACCCAACGCGACCGGCCACGGTGGGTATAGATGGATGGCGACTTTCGCGGGCGTAAGTGTGTCGATGTCGCTAATGAAAGACCGTGATGGTAGGTCGTCCGTGCTAGACAAAGGTGGGCATGGAGATCATTCCGATGCGCGATGAGGAACATTCGGATGATCAAGGGTGGTTGGTGGATGCAGCTTTGCAGAACGAAAGTCTCAGCACGAACCCAGCCAGTACCACACGGCCTGTGCTGGGCTTTACTTGGGCTGGCTTCCGTAGGCACAAGTGATGCGTGGTTGCTATCGTCAAGACTCTATGCTATCGCACGATGTCAAACCGATGCGGTCGCTTGTAGCAAAGGCGTGTCAGACATCCAGACAAACGTCGCGTCTAGTCTTCATCGCTCACCACTGCGTTGCCGCGTAACGCATTGGGAGCTTCAGGTCTGTCTGCGGCCCATCAGCAATCCATGCCATGGCTGCCCGGACGGCGTTGTAGCTAGACTACCGTGATGCTTGAGCAGGTGTACTGAGTCTCAGATGGTAATGGTGCTCAGCCCGTGAGACGCGTGATAATATCATCGTACACGTCGCTGCGGACTTTATCAAGAAAGTCGCGAGCCACACCGTTCTCGTCGCGATGCTCTTGGATTGAATCGACCTTGGCATCAAGATCCTCCAGATCATCACGCAACTCGACCAGCCTTGTATCGTACCCTTCCAACGTGTCTGTATTGTACTTATCTTGACCTTGAAGGTGCCCTACATCCTGTTTCAAGTCATCCAGGTTCTGGTGGAACGTGGCAACTTGGTGACGGATCTGCTCGAGCGCTTCTCGCAGGGATTTATTCTCCTGCTTTAAATCTGACAGCTCGAGTTGTACGGTTCGGTCGCGTTCGTCTCGTGCTTTGAGCTCAGCCCAAATCTCAGAAATCGCGTCGCTGTCTTTGCCTTTGCTTTCGCTATCGACTCGGCGACGCTTCTTCTCGTTGATGGGAGGAGGAGGCGGCGGTGGTTCGCTGTCGCAATAGGATGGAGGCGCGTCGGAGATTTGCGGTATTTGCGGGATATCGGCAAGGCTGACGAACTTGGCTCCAGTACCATGATACATGCTCGCAAGATCATTTCGGTCGGGGAAGGGCGTCAAGCCACCTTGGTTCACGGCGTCGCGGATGCATTGGAGTTGTTCATTCGATAACTTCTTCTCGTCTATATACACTATGAAAGCTCTCGCAGTGGAAAGTGTGCGGATAGCATCGACGACTTTGCCGGACTGCGCTCGCGCTGGCGCCAGTGGCTCTATCGCAGGAATAGGGGCGAGGACCTGCATGAGCTTGTTCGTTCGAAATGCAAGGCGATTTATTCCGCCATTGAACTTTTCCTTCGCTGCGTCGGGGGGTGTTGTGGCAGGTGCGAACTCGAACGATGTGATGGACGACGGGTGGATGGACATTGTGATAGACGTGACCCCTTCGACGCCCTTGAGATTAACGGGGAAGCGTAGCTCGAACAAGGCGCTCTCGCTCAAACGAGTCTTGAGTGTGATGTCGTCAATCTTGGGGTCTGGCTTGGCCAGATAATGTGTGAGGCCGTCGCCGTCGTCGTCGCATTTCCACTCGAGAACGATGGGTATGGTCTCATCAATGGGGCATGGCTGTGTTGAAGAGGACATTTTGACGGGTGTCGGAAGAACTGCCCTAAACTTGAGGGGATACAGGAATAAATAGCCTAAGTGTATGATCTAAAGAGCATAACTTGGCCTAATGTTTTCGTCTCTTAGGCCTCGAGCGGCGAACGTTTCCGATACCTCGAGACTGCGTTATATCATCAGCAACAATTACAAGATACGTACCTGCAGACCTCAACACAACATGGACAAAGAGACCCAGACTCGTCGACAGGCAACCTGTTGATCCCCAGCACGCTGCAAGATCAAGTAGATTCCTTCTGCAGAACCCGGTCCTTCCAACAAAAAGGCAACGAGGCCTCGTTTGTTGGGTAGGAGTCGGCAATTATAACGCCCACAGCGACGAGTATCCGGATATTTGAGCGCGTATGTGATGGGGCTGTATCGTTCGGGTATGGGCGGTAGTTGTCGACACGGTACGGCACGTACAAAGAACACCAGGTTCGCTGACAGGCAATCTAGTAGTCTCCAGCACGCTGCAAGACTACTCCAATGATTTCCAGCACGCTGCGAAACCAAGGGGATCCCTTCTACAAGCCCCGAATGTTCCAACGAAGGGGAAGGCGGCGCGCGCGCTCTCGTTCGATGGGTACAGGTCGGAATTTTAAATGGCTGTAGCGCGAGTCGGCCGGTGTCTTCGATCGCACGCTTGAATCAGGAGAAATGGCCTTTTTGCACTCCAGAACTCTGCAAGAGCAATCAGATCGCTTCTCGTGATGCGGCGCCGTGTCGGTGATTGAATGAGGGTGATGATGATAATACAAGGCTGGGAAGAGAGAATGACCGTGAAGACACGATATGTGGGTCTTCGATCACGTGATACTAGCTCATCAACTCGCTCAAGACCAGACAACTTCTGTGTCGCACCACGACAAACAGAATAAGAAAATGAATCGAAGAAGATTTAATGATGAAATTAATTGTGTTGATAAAGAGCCTGAGATAATTGTATCTGCAAAGTGGCCTCAAAATGTGAGAAGGATGGGTCAGCCGAAGGAAGCATAAGAGACTAAATTAGTAGGTCATCTTGCGCGGTCACATGGCGTGTTCTGGATCGGTTATTTTTGTTCCCCAAAATCCAAGGCCGAGACCAATTAACCAGTTTGGGACATGGTGATCTGACTCTACCCTAAACATACGCTCAATAATGCCGATAATGAGAATAATAGTCTTGGGTAGCTCTCATAACACAGGCAATTACTCTTTCATTTATTCATATTAATAGCACATTAATTAATTAATGTTTTTTTCATCTTAGAGCGTGTCGCATTGATAGTTTGCAATTTTCTTCGTACTTTAGCAATTACCTCACTAACTCAAGTGTTTTTTACACCACCACAAGTCGGCATTTAGGCTGGTCCTCTAGTGGTTCTCGGCAATGGAAATGCGGGGACGGCTCATTTGACCATGCCATCCGTTTGTCCTTGGCCAAGAGATTGTGTTGTTCAGTATTATTGACCATTTTGTAGCGGTCGCATATCACATTACATATTCCAAGTCAATCAATTGATAGAGTCTTCACCCCAGCTCAACATGGACAGACCGTCAGCTCCATTTACCCAATTCGAAGTCTTCTATTCAACACAGTCGTTCTTAACACTCAAAGACGTCCAACGTCTTCCCGAAGAAGATGTCGACTTTCTAAGACACAACCGATGCTTCCACCTTCCATCGCGAAACGTCCAAGAAGAATTCATTTACCAATATTTCCTATACCTACATCCTTACTATCCTCTCATAAATGAGAAAGACTTTTGGGATATGTATCTCGACCGAGATACTGATGGCGCGACAAAGAAGACAATGCCACTGCTTGTTTTCCAAGCCATGCTATTTTCGGCATCTTCGGTAAGGGTTCTGCGATGGAACGACTTGGCTTACAGGTAGCTGACGCGACATAGTTTGTCTCTTCAGCTGTACTCAAGAATGCAGGGTACACAAACGTCAAAGTCGCGAGGAGTATCTTTTATCGTCGGGCAAAGGTATGTGCATCACCGAATCTCTTAAACATCAATTGACCATGTTCTGCTTCAGTTACTCTTTGATCTCGGAGTGGAGACGGACGCCTTCACCAAAGCCCAAGCAGCTCTCCTTCTCACCTTTCAATTCTCATCCGTCGAACCACATGCAGGAAGTACATGGCTCGCAATTGGCATACAAAACGCGATAGTCGCTCAAGCACACAATTTCCAGGCTCCAGGCGCTAGTACTGAGCATAAAAAGAAAAGAAAAATGCTATGGTGGTCGTTATTCTGGAGAGACAGAGTAGTCACCCTGGGCTTACGCAAACCACTTCAGATTACGTCTTCCAGCTTCAATGTCAACATTGAGCCTGTCACTGCAGATGATCTAGTAGACGAATTGGACTGCTCTTCGGTTTACGATCATAGTACCAAGAAACATTTGGCCGACATACTCACGTTTCAATGTCGCCTGGCTATCATCCTGACAGAGATATTGTCTATCTGTTATGGCCCCAACGCGTTCGACTTGACGTACTCTCTGGATAACTTTGACAGGACTTTAGCGAGGATTCGGACCGCTCAGATGGATCTGGATAATTGGAGAAATGAGGCAGAGCAAACCGTGAAGCCATTTCTGAGTAGGCCAGATGTTCATCGCTCAACGACACTAATCTCTAGTGTGATATACATATATGCCTAGTGAGTCTCCCAAACCAGACTTTAAATGACATACTGATTTTTATTTAGTGCTGCTCAGATAGCCTTGGGGAACCACGAGGCGATGATGATTGAGCAGCGACAAAAAGGCGTATCAATCCTCGATGACTCTGTGTTAAGAGGCATCGGCAAGAGCATCAATAGCGCGACAACAGAGACTACAAAATTGGTCAGATTCATTGTCCAAGAAGGACTTACCCAGCATCTACCAATCTCAGCGTAAGTAGAAAGTATTTCTTGTACAAATGCCACTGACTATGGTCGCAGAATCGCATACATCGCCTTCCCTCTGATGCTAAGCTCTCTCGATGAGATAATGTCACCTCGAGATCGGGAAACAGACCACGAAGAGCTATTAACGAGATATCATGCTCAAGCCATGCACTTGTGTAGTCAACGTTTTGAAGGTGCTGCGGACATTAGTAGGATGATTACGCAAATCGTTCAGTCAACGCCCGTTCAATTACCGCTTCGCCCAAAATCGACCAAGTCCGAAAGCCAGTCAAGACCCACAACAGAAGAGTCAATGACGATAAAGGGTCTCACGGCATACTGGGATGACTTGTTTGTCACGCGCAACTACATGAAGCTTCGTCTGTCGCTCGATTATGCTCTCATTACTGGTAGACCACCCAGCTCTACCGATATTCCCTCTTGGCTTCTTCGGGACTCCGCGATCAAGTTCTCAGCAGTTAGCCCAATAAATAGCCTTTCTGCTATCACACTGCACCGGCCACGCAAGCGAAGGGCATCTGAAGGTGTCACTGGTTCACCAAAAGTGATGGAACTTGGCGAAAAGACAATTGCCTCTGGGATAGACACATGTAGTGATGGAACACCACAATACCACGTCGCACGGGCAGAAGAAAGATGTACAATTTCGCGACCATTCTTCGACTACGACACAATTTGGGCAGCGAGCCTGTTTGAAGAGATAGCGGATGAGATCTGGTCATGATATAGATTGTGATTTGTGACAGCATGTGGGTGTCATCAGGTATCTATGAATGCCACAGCAAACAAAAGACTCTATACATCACGGGAATCGCAAATGTCAACAGTAATAGTCAATTGTTTCAACAGTAGTACAACGTGGCTTCCTCTTTGGACTTCCAGGCATGATCTAGATGCAATCACGATCTTTAACGAACTGGTCTTGATAAAGGCTTGCAAGATATGGGACCTACCCCTAGAACCCACTATACCCACGCATAAGTTTTGGACATCCTTGAACGATCTTACAACGGTACGCCAGTTTCTACCAATGGTGGCGCTGTATCACAAAAGGTTGGAGTTCGTAGCTTCCCTCGCCATCTTGACAGTCGTGTCGAAGGAGTGTTTTGACTTGAGTATTGATGAATGTTGTTGTTGAGAAGCAGAAAATCAGATGCGTGTCATATGTTGGAATGTTGTTGTTCAGTTCCCGACAGACGCACTTGATCCATACGTGAATAATAAGTATGTCGAGTCTGTCACTACAACGTCAGCTAGGCAACGCGTAAATAGTGTAGATAATGCATTAGTCTTGTAGGCAACGCACATCCGCGTAAAGAAGACATGTGCTGTGCTGATCGTTACGCGTCGTGTAGCTGAATACGAACAATGAACGATTTGCCGTTGAAAAACGCGAATCTTAGACTAACTTACGAGAAGGTGGGCAGATGAAGTTTCATTGACCAGTGCAGGTAGATGTAATTTGTGAATGCCATCGATCATCTCGAGAAGGAATAGAATCTGAGTACGAGCCAGATCAGCATTGAAATACGTTGAACGATAATAACATTCATTCAATTGACCCCCTTTCCAGTCTAAGACATATGGGCGTTGACATTTGGCCAGAGACATCCGGCAACTATTCCGAGTAGCGTGATAGTTGATATTGTTGCATGAGTGCCATACCCACGCTACTGCCAATGCTATTCCTGCTATCACACATGCGACATGTGATAGGGGTCTGGAAGAATGTCGTTGAGATTGTCAGTTGCTTCTTGTCGTCGCACCATTTGCGGTGAGAGGTCACTACAGTCTCATGGAGATGTGGCATCACACCCTCATTTCCTTAGGTCGTCTTCCGGTTCGACCCTCTTAGCACCTCGCCGGCTTCCCCGCCCCGTCACACACATCATTTAACAACCGACTCACGCAAACGCCCGCTTTCGCAAGCTTCTCAGAGTTACAGAGGGCATCTGTTTCTGACCACCATCTCCTCTGGACGTACATGGTTAGTCTGCTTTGGTCATGGATCAAATTAAAGTTCAATCTATGCCAGTTTCTGCAATGAGCGAACGCACTGGCTGATGACTATATTCGCAAAGGATTTGGACAAATGTGACGTATCTCTACGTGAAGCGCATGTCGGAGAAGCGTATTCCCGCAGCCAACCAGGTGGTGTTTTTTGCTTCAACCACGGTACTCATTCAAGTTGTCCGGATCTCGAAATTGTCAGATACCCTGGTGTTGTAGTCAACTCGGTGTATCGCTTGTTCAAGGTCCGTTTTAGCAGCATTCCATGCTTTCAACCACTCGTGCGGTCCAAGGTGGCTCGTGTTATTGATTATAGTATCAATTTCATGTGCAACGCCGGTATTAAAATTGCTGCGTAAGATCGGCGAGGTTCCGTTCGTCAGGGCCTCAAGTGCAACAGCCTCTTGCGTGTCCATGATAACACTTTGAATGAAACTGTATCTCCAGTTCACTGGGCCATCAATATCGATGTCCGGGTTCTGCACTTTAAAAGCTCGATGCCAAGCAATCTCGTTGTGAATGTGTTGCTGGAACAGATCCGTGAAGAGATCTCTGTAAGAGCCTGCCTGTAGAACCAATGTGAAAGCCTCAGCGGGAATGCTAATGTCTGTCACGGCGAGTGCATCCAGTAACCATTGGGTAATTCTAGACCTTACATCCCGGTCATACCACATCCCAGGCAAGTGCCAGACATTACCAATTGCCAAAAGATCCATTGCGTGTTTGACTTTGGATGGTGAAGGGATTGCCCAGTGATCAAACCGCAAGTTGAGAAATTCGTTCGGGGGATAGCTCCCCACCCATTGTGGGAAGTTTGTGCAAATTTGGCGGTCGAACTCGGTGGACTTTTGCGTGGCTAAAAGCTTCAAAGCGGATGACAAGGCCTTTTCCGCCTTCCAGAAGCTATGAGACCAAAAAGGATAGTCATTAGAATAAGGGCGATTTATTCTAGAAAAGCCGCGGTAAAAGCCGGACGATAGGTACAAAACGCTGGCATTCGTAGCAAGAGCATCTTGTGTTTGGTGGCATAGTGTAGACCTCAGTTGTAGGAGAGAACTGACACTTGGGTCAGGGGCCGGTAAGCGCGCGGTGTATCGATCGCGTATCCTACCCCCAACGTTTCTCGGATTCCGGGTGCAGAATCGATGGTTATTCTCGTAGGGTGGAAGAGAACGAGCAAGTCGGGAACCGAAGTCTGGAAATTCCGAGGCGAGCTGATTACGTATCTCTGAAGTTAATGCACCTGCGGTCGCTAGAAGCAGCACCAATTCAGATTCTAGAATTTGGTAGGTGGTAGTAACAAGATTGAAGCATCCCGCCAGATTTTTTGAATCGGGTCGGTAAAGAGTCCTGAATTCGATTGCGTTGAGCGAGAAGGGAAGATGCCTGGCTTCGCACGCAATGGTGCGACATGTGCAGAGAAGGGAGAGCTCGATCGGTCGATTGTCAACGGTTTTGAGTTTGTCACATTCGGTATCGTAAGCATAACCACCGTCAACTTGAAAATAGTAATGATAGATCTTGGCTCATACCTCGCCGGGAAGGCTGAGAAGGGCCTAGTTTGTTCACCATGGCGATGTATTGTTGAGTGTTGAAGGTATGAAGTTTGAAGGTGTCACACGAAGATAGGGTACTGGTTGTAGTAAGTACAAAGCTTAAATCAATTTTGTGGAAGAATGATTGGCCTGAAATGCTGTACGTATCTTTTCTATCCGCTTATCGATCTATCTTATCGACAGCTTTCCATTGGCTCTTGACTTTTGAGCCTCATGGTTCAAAAAGAGTTCAATCGTGTCACTCGCAAACATCTTCGCGGCTGTACCCATGGAGCCAATGGAACAGATACAATGCTGCTATCGCATGCAAACTACATCTAACGGGCATGGTCTATTTGCTACTAGACTGATAAAAGCTGGCACGCGCATCATTCACGAGAAAGCCCTCTTGACCGTCTCGCAGGTGGAAACAAAATCCAAGACAGAGTACAGATGTGTCATTGATCAAGCATCACTATTGAGTACCAGTCAGAAAAATAAACTCATGAGTTTATATCACAACTCAAAGAAGCTCAGGGAGTTTTCGTTTCTCAAAGACCAGCTATGCCCTGGAACCGACATGGACTGCAGTCTCGTTCTGGCAAAGTTTTACACCAACGCCGCAAGTATAACTGCTGGTGGGTTAGAATGTGGCCTTTTTACCGAGTTTTGCCGGATGAATCACTCGTGCACGCCCAATATATGCTGGGTTTATGACGAGCTGTCGGGCATGATGGAAGTCTACGCCGTGAGAGATATCGGCCAAGATGAGGAAATCTACAATTCGTACATCGAAGTCGCTTGTTCCCGCCAAACAAGACTGAAAGAACTATCCAACTGGGGATTTGCATGCAGTTGTCCCGCATGCGAGGGACCTGATGCTGTAAAGCATGATGAACGGCGACGACGAATTGGCCAGATCAGAGGTATTTTGGAGATTTACAAGGATGTCAAAAACGACGTGGAAAGGCCCAGATTCGCGGAGATTCCAAAAACAGACTCGGAAGCGTTGAGACTCTGTCAAGAAAATGCAACATTGCTTCAGGAAGAAGGATTGATTGAGCAGCTGGGCGTCTCATACGGCTGGTGTGCAAGATTTGCCAAAGGAGCGGGATTAGATGACCTCGCGGATGATTACGAGGAGAAGGAATTTGACATACTGGTGATGACCACTGGGGAGTACGTGGAGTAGACGACTGTAAAAGTATAATTTAGAAAAGTTATGAAAGGTCGTTTTAGTAGTCATGGCGAAAGTAGGATTGGGTTGTAATATTAAAAGGGACCAAGGCTTAAATTACTGATGTATTCAATTATTCAATTTCATCATGTGGGCCCGCTGCGATGTTGATAGTCTTCGGCGACAGACGCGTGTTCTTGTTGAGAAAGGTATTTTTGATATCTCCATGGTCATCATGCAGTGATTTTGATCTGTGGAGGGTGATCAATCTTATGGGTACATTCACAGGTGAGTATCAGTTTAAAGAAGGGATGGGAAATCCGATAGAACAATGACCAGGATCGATGAGGGCATTCCTAAAGGATAACCTGGGCATCAAGATCACAGTTGAACTTTGAAGAGTGGAAATAAAGAAAAAGGAAAAATGTGCGACCATGTCAATAGCCGAAAACCCTGAATCACGACACAAAACTCTGAAACTCCATCAGTTACCCTCATCCCCATAATCCAACTCATAATCGTCTATATTGCTGGGTGTTACCTCATTTGAAGCAAAAACTGAGTCCACAAGGATCTTAGCCCTGCCGCCTCCCGTACAGGACAAAGAAAAAACGAGAGGAGCCTCCTCTACATCCGCCATAACGGTGCCAATAGCCTTTTCCCATGGCGTGCTGGATTCTGAGAAGTAAATATCCTCAGAATAGAACTCCTGTAACCCAGCACGTCCAATGACTTGACAAGATCCAGTATTAGAAGTGCCTGTGACCAAATAGTAGAACTGTACTGTATACTCTACCGTCGTATCTAGACCGGTCAAGACTTGTTCGATAGAAGAAGAGACAGTGGCTCGCTTGCGGCGAGCGTCTGTCACTCCCGACACGGTAAGTATAACGCAACCGTTATCAGTACTGCCATCTCCCTTGTAGCCATCTCCATTGCTTTGAATAGCTTCCCCTTTGATGGTCCATCCCTCAACGGAACTAGGGGAGTTGGGGTCTGATATAGCAAAGTTACCGTTACGGGTGACACTGCGAGCGACCAGAGCTGGCTCCTGAGTGGTAGTAGTTGTATCAGTAGAAGTTCTAGTAGAGTCCACTGTCCTGGATTCCATTGTTGTTACGAGAGTATCAGAAGAATTGAGATCTCCGGTTGCAGCACTTGTCTCAGTCGTACTGCTCTCAACATCTGAATGGTTTGAAAGGTCCTCCGAACTGGATAATTCGCCAGACCTGGAGGCGAGATCTTCTGTCTTCACAAAAACAGGGGTGGTTGAAGAGGAGGGCTCAAGTGGATGTTCAGAAATTGACCCTTCTCTTGATGTTGAAGAAGGGGCCAGGTCTGTGTTCGAGGCCATGTCATCGATTGATGTTGGGATATCAGAGCCTCGGAAGAGTGTTGATGTAATTGATGTCTGATTATTCCAGGGCCCTGTAGAGGCAATCGATAGTGTAGGAAATACAATACCGGCTGCATCCGATGACCTGGTGAAGCTGAGATCATCTGTATTATCCGGTTTGCTGCTTTCACTTATTGCCAGGACTTCTGTTTCAGGAGTATTCGACATGGTGATATCAGCGGAAGGATCAGTTGTAACGTATACACTGTCGGATCGGCTGAGGCCATAGGTCGTGGTTTCAAGGCCATCAATCTTTCCGTTGATGCATCGTTCGACTGCAGGCCTGTCAGTAGTGGTAGGCATAACGATAAATACAGGAAAACACTCACCTTCGTAGATATTAAGCGTAATAAAAACGCATCCAGATGGTTTGGAGTTGTATGTGATGTAAACTTGGCCATCCGAAGGGGTCTGGCAGAAAGAAGCTCTACCGCCCGGTAAAGAAGGATTTGAGAACCCAAGAACGCCCCCTTCGCTGCCAAAAGTGGTAGTGATGCTATCAGCACCAGGTGAAGTCGAGGAGTGGAGCTGTTGGAAGTCCTCCCCCGAGTAAGAAATGGGGAAATTCCCTTCAAAGAGTCGGCCCTGACCAAGGACATAGACTGTAGCGAAAGTACAGACATCGGGATTATCTTTGCCAACGAAGCTTCCAACGTCACGCTTGGTGAGTTCGCCGAAAGGTGTGACGAGGAATATAACACGCTTCCCTCTAGGTGAAAGAGCAGGTGGAGCTATAGTGTCGTCGGTGGGCGATGAGGGTTGCTCAGTGTTCCCAGTAGTGATTGAAGTACTTGCTTTTTTCGTTGAAGTGAACGGTGGGAGGTTTGTAGAGTCAGAGGCTACAAAGCCTGGCTCTTCTGTTGCAAATGAACTGGGTTCCGAAGAGTTTGTGCCGATGGGTACCGGTACGAGGTAAGTCGATTCGTAGGCGATGCAGTAGGTCACGTGTTCGGGGCTCGCATCCTCGATATCTGGTACATCAGATGGAGAAGCAACCACGAATCCAAGCAACGCGAACGCTACGATGTTAAATCTCATTTTGTTGTATCCAAAAACCGTGGATTAGTGGCACATTGAATTTTAAGTCACGGCAGCGGCCTATTATTATGCCCTCTGAGTGCAAAGGGTATATAATCTAGATATGCAAAGCGTTGGTGGCGGTTACGTTAGGCTTGCAATTAAAATGACAAAATTGTTCATCCGATACCATTCACTAACCAAAAAGGTTGGAATGCGCGCCTCTGATTCAGTTCGACTTAAGGCTGAGACAATATTCCTGTCTTTCTATTGATGTTTTGCGCTCTTTGCAATCTCAGACTGCAGCCCTTGCGTCGTTTTTGCACACAACACTACTTGTCAGCCAGCCACAAATCAATTCAGGTATGGCCATGTTTGATCGGCACCTGCACAACAAAGGGAGGAGACTGTAATAATTTCCACCGCTGTGTTTTTGGATGGTTCCGGAAGCTCTCACCGCCTGGGCTCTCATAATGCCAGTACAGGAATGCATCTATTCAAGAATATCCCATAATCCTTCAATGACTGATGGTACACTATCAATTTCGGATGGCAAATAGGTAGTGATCACAAAAGTAGATCCCCAAAACTATAACAATACTATTTACCATCTGTTGACAATTGGAAAATGTTAAAAAGAAAATCCCCCAATCCTTCATTTTTCTGACTGGTCTATCAATCAGATCGGTCCTGGCTCGAGAGCCCGATTTCAGCCGCTATCAATGGCTGATGATCGATCAGATTAGATTAGATTGATCAAACATCCTGTTTCGCTTTGTCCTTTGATCATGTTGGTTGCTTTAGTCTTTACCATAGATAATCTTACTGACGTACGCAGTGGATCCAACGGTGCCGTATTACCGTGAGCTGAACCTCTTTTGGTTTGACAATCGCTTTATAATTGGAACCTGTTGGCTAAATATTCCACTCTTTATTGCCGATCCTGCCGAGTTGAATGCAAAAGACCCAGTATTGATCGGGACCAACGGACAGATATGATCTTATCTGATGCGGTTTTTTTGTGAGGCTATCCACCGACGTCGGAAATGTACTCAGTCTTATGAGCACTCGTGTTCCAGTTTTAACGCAACATGATCTGTCCTTCTTCCCTTCTCTTTCCACTATTCTCTGTCATTCATATTCTATTTTTTTACGTTCTTGTGTCTATCATAATGGGTGTTTGGAATAGGTTGCGGCCCCGTGTTAGCTCTGGAAAGAGCTCAGACGTTGACGCGACTAAGATGACAACTATCACTGACCACGAAAAGATTGGACAATCACCGGAAAATGGAGTCAATCCTGTTGTTGGAGACAGCCTACCAGATGAAGACGTCACTGAAGGTGTCAGGAACATGGAAGCTATCACACTCATATGGACCAAGAAGTCTCTCATCACACTCTTCATTTGCATCTGGTTCGTATATCTTCTGAACGCTTTTCAGAGCTCGACTGTCGGTAGCCTGGTACCCTATGTGACGAGTTCATGGGGCGCACATTCCCTTCTGAACGTCATTGATGTCGTTGCGAGCTCCATGACGGCTGCTGTGTTTATCCCTCTAGCGAAACTTCTTGACCTTTGGGGCCGTGCAGAAGGATATCTTCTCATGGTGGCCTTTGCTGAGTTAGGTCTCATATTGATGGCCACAAGCACAAATCTGTCTATTTATTGTGCTGCCAATGTAAGCAACACGGAATGCGTCATTCAATGACCCATAGACACTGACAAATTGGGTAGGTCTTCTACCAGGTCGGCTTTACAGGCCTCATCTACAGCATCGATGTCGTGACCGCCGACGCGACCAATCTAAAGAATCGAGCTCTAGCCTACGCATTTACATCCTCTCCATACATGATCTCTGCATTCGCTGGATCTTACGCTTCCCAGGAGATGCTTGTCAACATTGGCTGGCCATGGGGGTTCGGTACCTTTGCATTCCTGACACCAGTCATCTGTGCGCCTTTGTACATTCTTCTGAAAGTCAATTTGCACAAGGCCAAGAAGAACATTCTTCCTAAGAAGGCCAGTGGTAGGACGTTGAAAGAGAGTATCTGGCATTACCTCATTGAATTTGACAGTGAGTGCATCATGTCTCGGTATACTCGCTCTTTTCGCTGATATCACAACCTCTAGTCCTTGGTGTCTTCCTCTTCGCGACCGGCTTGATCATATTCCTTCTCCCATTCAACATCGCCGCGACAGCTCCCAACGGTTGGGCAACTGGTTACATCATCGCTATGATCGTCGTCGGTTTCGTCCTCCTTGTCGGCTTCGCCATCAACGAAGTTTACATCGCGCCCGTTCCTTTCCTAAAGTTCCATTTCCTTACCGACAGAACACTAGTGGGCGCGTGTTTGCTAGATCTGACATATCAGGTTTCATATTATTGCTGGAACAACTACTTCACGTCTTTCCTCCAAGTCGTCAACTATCTGTCAGTATCTGAAGCTGGTTATGTAAACAACACCTTCAACGTTGTGTCTGGCTTTCTCTTATTCCTCGTTGGATGGGGTATTAGGAGGACAGGCTACTTCAAGTGGCTACTCTGGATCGGCGTGCCACTCTATATCTTTGCCCAAGGACTGATGATTTATTTCCGCAGTCCAACAGGATACGTGGGCTATCTCGTCATGACGCAGATCTTCATTTCGGTGGGGGGTAGTGTCTTTACTATCTGTATGCAACTTGCAGTCTTGGCGGCCGTTGATCACCAACATGTCGCTGCAGCGTTGGCCATGTTGAATGTTACTGGTACAGCAGGTGGAAGTATCGGCTACACTATTTCTGGGGCTATTTGGACAAATACCTTTGAGAAAGCATTGCTCAAGTACCTGCCATCGAGTGCACTCGACAACCTCGAAGCTATCTATGGTGATCTTGATACCCAGTTGAGTTATGCCAAGGGAACACCCGAGCGTATCGGTATCCAAAAAGCGTACGGATATGCTCAGACAAGGATGTTGGCTGCCGGGACTGCAATCATGGCTTTGGCGTTCGTTTGGGTTGCGCTTATTAGGAACTTGAAGGTGTCGGAGATGAAACAGACAAAGGGAAACGTCTTCTAAAGGAGGGTTCTGAGGACATGGAATTCTTCATGACCCGTGGAAGGTTAGATAGGTAACATTTGACGAACACTTGAAAACATTAAAAGATTGGATGTTGCACCCGTATTCCACCGTTGTATCTACCAAGACAATGCCACATCTGAAAGCCGGAAAATGACTTTCGTCCTCTGGGCAGTGGTCCCAGTATATCATAGCCACTCATTACCGACAACGACAACAGCCTCATCACAACACTGTTTACCTGCGATGAACAGGATTAAATTATATAATAAATAAACACTTAAATTGCAATTAACCAAGACTCTCCAATACTCTTTAGCCCCCATCTAGGTAGAATTGGAGTTGTCGGCACACGACCATGCACCTGCGCCTCCAGTCGCCTTGTAAGCCTGGATAATATCCAAGATTGATCCATAGGTTCCAGCAACCATCAATATTGTGCCAGCAGCAATGACAAAGATGCTCCAACCACAAGCCAATACCCATGTGGGAGACAGGCTGCGCTTTTCCCAATTGTCGTAGAACCACATGAACCCCATAGCGTGGAACGACAGAAGACTGCCAAGAAGAGCTCCAATCAGGGAGACAAGGGCATAGAAGATGGGAATTGCGCTTGCGATGATGTAAGCGATGATTGTCACACAGAATGTGCAGCCCAACCAAGTTGCCCAATGGGTTGCCGAGTTGGAGGTGAGATGCTTGGTGTTTCGTAGAAAACGCACAAGCATGTACTTGGCAGGTAACTGCATAATGTCAGCTGGGGAAATGAACTGAAGGGAGTGATTGTGCTTACATGTGAAACCAGAGTAATGCTGACGATTAATCCTGGGATAGCCACACCGTAACTGGCTTTCTTGATGACCATACCAGCCGACCCAAGGGCTGGGGATGACACGTAAGAGCCACAAAAGTAGTACATGACTATACCGACCGTGACGTAGAGAGCAGTGACAATAGACTGGCAGATGGCGACAGCTTTGTTGTACTGTTCCGGTCTGCGCATCTCAGCCACAATGGCAAAGAAGCCTGGGGTGCCACCATAAGCCGAAACGTATGAGCAGATGGCTGATACTGCTTGCACAAAGGTTGGGGTCTTGAAGAGCTGGTAGTCGGAAACCCAGGTACCGTCCTGGGGGGCTGCGTCGGGTCTGTCCTGTACTCCCGTGGCGATAGTCACCATGAGAACTGAGGATGTCAGCTGATCGATGCTACACGCGGATATACAACAGAGGAATAGATCTTACCGGCAATGACAATGCTGATGACTCCAACCCATGCAAGCCAGCTCATCTTGCCCAACGTTCTGATGCTGGATAGTGCAAATCCCAAAATGGCTGCGATGCCAATGAAGATTGCAGTACATGCTCCATGTGAGGAAACCGCGTTGAGAGCGATGGACAAACTCAACATTCCAGCGCCGGAGACAAAGACCCAGTCTTAAACGGTCAGCACTTGTCATATAGTGATTACGTAGGAACTTACTGAGCCACATGATGAACCCGAAGAACTCCCCACCTGCCCGACCAAACATCATGGCACCTGCATCGTCAATAGCATAAACATGTCTATGGCGGAGTTTGAAGACACCGATGATACAATCGGACCATGTTGTGATGAGGCCGATGGCAACAAGACAAAGGACACCTGGTATCAAACCAAGAGCATCAAATGTGGCCGGAATAGAGAGAACACCAAGACCAATTTGTGTCTTCATCATCAAACCAGCAGTACCGACCAATCCGACCTTGATATATTGTTAGTCTGGCCAACTCGATGATGATTGGGGGGTTTGTACTCACACTTCGGTAGTCGGGACCCTCGCTGGAAATCTCTCCGAAGACGGCATCATGGCTGGAATCGTCTTCATGCTCGCCCTTCTTCCATTTCGAAGGCATGTTTCCGAAATGATTTCGACTTGTAGTTGATGGTTCCGCGATTTGGTCCATTGTTGTTACTGGTTGGAAGTGTCGTGAGTTCTCAAGATTGAGGCGACGGCTCATGTCATGTCATTATCCCCTTTAAAAACTCTGCCATTCGTGACGTCCAAGCTGGCAATTTTTGGCCATTGAAAATTGTTCGCTTAGTCGCGGAACCATATTATAGTGGAATTCGCAATTGATGTCGCTCCACTTGACTCACTCAAATAGCGGAGTGTTTCCGGCACCTCAACATCCGCTCGAAAAAACGACGATCCCCCATCGATTACTCCGTATTTACCTAAGATATCACATTATATACCCCGGCATGTCGCACTGAGAAGCTTTCCCATTGAGTAACATTTGTCTCGCTGGCCAGTTGAGTCCCTGGGGTTTGTCGGACGTGATCCCCACAGTCTAATATTGCTGATCACAACGTGTTTGGACTGAAACCTTATTGTTGAGTTTATTACGATCTCAAACAACAAAGTTAAATTACATCCTGGTCATCATCCAGTTGAAGGTCCAGATACTTCTTCTGCCATGCTCAGAGATCTGGTAAACATTACAACGATATAAAGCACAATTCCATGCTTTTAAAACACTAAGCTCGGACATCCTGACGATACTCACCCAACGGCCCCCAGCCGTGCTATTGTCGCATCACCATACAGAGAATGTGCGGTATCTCATCGCCGAGCGTATAGTGAAGAAAAGGAGGTGCAAGTGCGTTATTCTGCAGCCAAACGTTCTAGGACCTCCTCAATATCGTCACATCCCCTCAATGGATCACCTTGACTGTAATTTGGGTCAGGTAGCCTGTTTTTACATTTTCTTTCATCCCACTCGTCCCGCTCACGAGAATACATCGTCAACGATCTTGGGATAGCATCCAACCGGGGGCATGCAAATAAGAGATCATTGACTTCGGATGACAGTGGTTTATGCCACGGTATGATGGATAGACATCGTAGGTGTTTCGCCATTCTACAGCTCTCCAGCACAGATGGTCCAAAGCAGAGTCGTGCTAGGTCGATTAATCATAAATGGGGCGAGTGAGCCGCGATCGTGGCGGCTAGTACTACGATATTTATATGTAAACATGATCGTGACAACGAGTTAGCCTAGTAATTGGCAAGTATAGGTTAGGTGACGGGATCCAGCGTGAGACTCCTTCACAACCAGCGCCGGGCATGTTCACTATACGGGTAGATTGATGGACAATTCTAAAACTTTTTGAAAATGTTTATCTAATGATTTGAACAGGACGAGTTTTGTACTTGACAGCACAATTAATTTATTCGAAAGTCGACCTCTAATACATACGCAATTCGCCGGATCGCTACCTGACGATTTGACTTTACGCGCTAAGAAGAAGAGATGAATTGAGCACGTCATACTGTCTCCGATCCTTAGTTGGTCTATTCACTTTATGGGTTCTTAAATCAGGTTAGAACTCTTCTACTGGTCTTTGTGCACGTGATCTCCAATCGCTCTCCTAGTAAATGAACAGATTGCTTTTCATCCCAATCACTACCGAGTCTCACCCCTGGACGGATAAAATGCGCCTCACTCTCCAACGCCACAGTTCGGATAACCCCTGTCATCATCATCTCGGTGCCCGTGGGCACCGTTAAAGTTTGGCCAAGCTTCTGTACGTCATGCCGCCAACAATCACTCCAGTCTACCAGCGCCCGCTCGATCAGCGCGGTATTACTGCGCCAAGATGTGCTTTAGCTCAGGCACGTTAGAGAAGTTCATCAGTCCGGGATGCGGACAGTCCGTACAACCGTAGTGATCCACTTTCTCGGTCCCCCGATGCCGTAGTCTTTCACAGAGAATGGGACTCCCTTGTCTTGGTTAATGTTAGTACCGGCAATTGAAAGACGCGGCGCTCCGGACCTACGTAGCTTTTTATCTTATTCGCTTTTTAAATAACTGTCACCTTGCGAAAGACTGTTGGTTTAATATCTGATTGATGCTTATCGACATCATCTCTCATTCATCTCTTACCTTGAAACATATAAGACATTAACACAACCATTTCCCCATTCTTTGGAGGATCACGATTGAGAGTACAAGCAAACTCATCATGGCACACCACAAGGAACACAACCCTTCTAGTTCCTCAACGACACTTCAAGACACACAAAACACCGACAACACTTCAGATCACGACTACGATGCCGAAATCCACCAATTAGCTCGAAGAATCACCAGCCAGTCCGCGACATCTGGCCACGGTCCTTTATTCCCTCTCGGCGAAAACACCTCCCTCGATCCCGAAAGCCCTCATTTCAGTCCCAAGAAATGGGCCAAAGCATACCTCAAGACGCGCACCGCTGCCGCAGACGGAAACACTCCCCGAACAGCCGGTATCGCCTTCAAAAACCTCGACGCATTCGGCTTCGGCCAAGCCACAGACTTCCAAGATACTCTAGTCAACATCTTTCTCAATGCCACCAGCGTTGTGAGAAAGATTGGCGGGTACAAGGGTCAGCGTATCGACATCCTTCGAAACCTCGATGGTCTTGTTGAAGCAGGTGAGATGCTTTGTGTTCTGGGTCCTCCTGGATCTGGATGCTCTACCCTACTTCGCAGTATCTCGGGCGAAACACACGGCTTCCACCTCGGCGATGACACAGTTCTTAACTATCAGGGCATCCGACCGGAGCAGATGAAGAAGGCTTACAGAGGCGAAGCCATCTACACTGCCGAAGTCGATCACCACTTTCCTCATCTAACCGTTGGCGACACACTCTACTTCGCTGCCCGTTGTCGCTGTCCACCAAAGGACAAGCTTCCCCATGGCGTCACTGCACGAGAGTATGCCGAGCATTTGCGCGATGTCATCATGGCCATGTTCGGTATATCGCATACCAAGAACACAAGGGTTGGCAATGACTTTGTACGCGGTGTCAGTGGTGGCGAACGCAAGAGAGTCACTATCGCAGAGGCAGCTCTTGGTTACTCACCTTTGCAGTGCTGGGACAACAGCACACGAGGTCTTGACAGCGCCAATGCCGTCGAGTTCTGTCGTGTCCTTCGTACACAGGCTGACGTTCTCGGTATTTCGTCCTGCGTTGCTATCTACCAAGCTCCTCAAAGCGCTTATGATCTTTTCGATAAGGTCGTCGTTCTGTACGAGGGTCGCCAGATCTTTTTCGGAAGAACAGGTGACGCGCAGGCCTACTTCGAGGACTTGGGCTTTGTATGTCCCGAGCAACAGACCACAGCCGACTTTTTGACATCAATGACCAACCCTGTTGAGAGAATCGTTCGTCCTGGGGCCAATCCTCCTCGTACTTCCGACGAGTTTGCTCTCGCGTGGAAGAACAGTCAAGCTCGATCCAGACTCGTCGACGAGATCGACTATTACGTGGAACAACACCCATTCGACGGACCCGATCTCCAACGATTCTCCGAATCACGACGACTCGACCAAGCCCGTGTCCAACGCGAGAAGTCACCTTTCAACCTTTCCTTCTGGCAACAGTACACAATCAACCTCTGGAGAAGTGTCAAGATGCTCGTCGGCGACCCAAGCATCACCCTCACCATGCTCGTCACCAACGTCTTCCAGGCCCTGATAGTTTCCAGTATTTTCTACAACCTGCCGCACAACACAACCAGTTTCTTCCGTCGCACAACCCTCCTGTTCTTCATTGTCCTCATGAACGCTTTCAGTAGTGTTCTCGAGATCATGACTCTCTATGAGAAGAGGAAGATTGTGGAGAAACATTCCCGCTACGCCTTCTACCATCCCAGTGCTGAGTCGCTAGCAGCTATGGTCACCGATCTTCCGTACAAGGTGACCAACGCGATTCTGATGAACACGACATTATACTTCATGTGTAATCTTCGTCGCGAGCCTGGTCCCTTCTTTTCATTTTTGCTCTTCTCGTTCGCGCTTACGATGTGCATGTCAATGATGTTTCGCTTCATTGGGTCATCGACCAAGTCCATCTCTCAAGCATTGGCGCCCGCGTGTGTCATTCTACTGGGTTTGGTCTTGTACTCTGGGTACGCCATTCCATCAGCCTACATGCATGACTGGCTTGCCTGGATCCGATGGATCAACCCTGTGTTCTATGGTCTCGAGAGTGTGTTCTTGATCGAGTTTCACGGCCAAGAGTATTCTTGTTCCAGTTTTGTTCCCAGTGGAGCTGGTTACGAGAACTTGAACTCTGGAGAACGTGTCTGCAACATCGCTGGTTCTGTACCTGGACAGTCCTTCGTCAGAGGTGAGGATTACCTACGGACCTCATTCGGTTTCGTCAACAGCCACCGATGGAGGAACTTGGGTATTCTCATCGTGTGGGCATTCTTCTACATGGCTCTCCACCTTTTGACAACCGAGTACGTGGCTTCTGAGCGCTCCAAGGGTGAAGTCTTGGTCTTTCTCCGTGAGTCCCTGCACAAGGTCTCTGGCAAACGTGCCAGCGATGAAGAGTCCGGTTCCAGCCTGCCCGTCGGCAAACAAGAGGCTCCTGGTAACTCGAGCGAGAAGGTCGAGGTTGAGAGACAAACATCTGTCTTCCATTGGAATGATGTCTGCTACGATATCAAGATCAAGGCCGAAGAACGCAGGATTTTGGATCACGTTGATGGTTGGGTCAAACCTGGTACATTGACAGCTCTCATGGTAAGCTTCTTGATCCGTTTGTTTTGCAACGAAGTATCTGACTGGTTTCTAGGGTGTTTCGGGTGCTGGCAAAACCACCCTTCTCGATGTTCTCGCCAGCCGTGTCACTATGGGGGTCGTTTCTGGTGAAATGCTTGTCAACGGTCACCAACGCGATTCTTCCTTCCAGAGGAAGACTGGATACGTCACCCAACAGGATCTGCACCAGGCCAGCTCAACGGTACGAGAAGCTCTTCGATTCAGCGCCATCCTTCGACAACCGGCCAAGTACAGCAAGCAGGAACGTATTGACTACGTTGATACTGTCATTTCGCTACTGGGAATGGATGCTTATGCTGATGCCATCATTGGTGTTCCTGGTGAAGGACTCAACGTTGAACAACGTAAGAGACTCACCATCGGTGTGGAACTTGTCGCCCGACCACAACTTCTTCTATTTCTCGACGAACCTACCTCCGGCCTTGATAGCCAGACTTCGTGGTCTATCTGTGATCTCATGGAGACATTGACCAAGAGCGGTCAGGCCATCTTGTGTACCATCCACCAACCCTCAGCCATGCTCTTTCAACGGTTCGACAGACTTCTTTTGCTTGCCAAGGGAGGTAAGACTGTCTATTTTGGCGAAGTTGGACACAATTCGCAGGTCTTGATGGACTACTTCACTCGTAACGGAGGACCGGCTTTGCCTCCCAAGGCCAACCCTGCTGAGCACATGCTTCACGTCATTGGAGCTGCTCCAGGTGCACACAGCGACATCGATTGGCCTGCTATCTGGAGGAAGTCACCCGAGTATGAGTCTGTGCAGAGGGAGCTTCAATCGCTCAAGTCTGAGAGTCTATCCGGTCAAGCACAAGCTTCGGCTGGTGATGTTTCTGAATACAAGGAGTTTGCGTCTTCATACCCAACTCAATTGTGGGAAGTGACCAAACGACTGTTCCAAGGGTATTGGAGAAACCCTCAGTACATGTACTCCAAGGTTCTTCTGTCTGTCGGCGCTGTAAGTCACTGTCTTTACTTATCATGTTTCAACTCATGCTAACATTTCTTCCAGGCCCTTTTCATCGGACTCTCGGTGATGGACAGCAGCAACACGATTCGTGGACTTCAGAATCAGATGTTTGGTGCCTTTCTGTTCTTGACCATCTTCTCTCAGGTATCTGAACAGATGATGCCTGTCTTTGTGGAGCAGAGGACTTTGTTTGAGGCTCGCGAGCGCCCTTCAAAGACGTACTCGTGGCAGTCTTTCATGTTTGCCAACATTACTGTTGAGGTTGCCTGGAACTCGGTAAGCGATTCTCCATCTTTAACATTGTCGAAACTCTTTACTGACACTTCTTCAGTTCATCGGTGTCTTCTCCTTCATCGTCTGGTACTATCCCATCGGCCTCTACCGCAACGCCGAGTGGACGAACCAGGTTGACTCACGTGGTATTACCATCTTCCTCCACGTTTGGATGTTCTTCCTCCTCGCTTCGACATTCACGCACATGATCATCGCCGGTCTTCCCGATTCCGACACCGCAGCGGGTATCCTGAACCTGATCTTCATCATGATGTTCTCCTTCTGCGGTGTCCTCGCAGGTCCCGACATCCTCCCTCGTTTCTGGATCTTCATGTACCGAGTCAACCCTTTCACTTATGTCGTTGAGGGTTTCCTCGGCACGACGCTTGCGAACGCGCCCGTTACATGTGCTGCGAATGAGATTCTGGACTTTAAGCCCACGAACGGATCGACTTGCAACGAGTTCCTCTCTTCCTACATTTCTGAGCATGGTGGGTATCTTGAAAGTGGAAGTGGGAGCAGCACTACCGAGTGTCACTACTGTCCCATGGCCAATACGAATTCGTTCCTCAAGTTGATCAACATCAACTTTGACAACCGCTGGAGGGACTTTGGGTTACTTTGGGTTTATGTCTTGTTCAATTGTGCTGCTGCTGTTGCTATTTACTGGTTAGTTCGGGTTCCCAAGAAGAGCAAGAGCAAGAAGGCGTAGATGGTTGTTTCTCATAGACGGACGGGATTACATATCATGTTTCATTAGTTGTTCTTTATCTTTGTATCCTATATTTATCTTGCCGTTTATTCTGCATTAGACATGGATATATACACCATAATACATTTGAAGAGTCAATCAAGGACCTTCCAAACATCCATCTACTTGTACTTCAAATCACTAAACAAACGGTCATCTATCTCTCAGTAAGCCATTCCATCCCCCGTATGGAATAATGACGATTTGAACAACATTTTTCCTTCTAGCGCAACAGTAAAGAGCTCATGTCTGATGTTATTCGCGTTTCTCCATGCTAAACGCCCTTACCGCACAACACTAGCAATAAACCCCAGTAACAATCTCTTGATCGAAACTACAGGTTTTGCTCCATATTATTGTCCAACATCATAAAGATCTCCTGGTTCTGTTCAAACCAATTCCCCAGCTCCATACTATGTGTAAAACCCCCATACTCTACCGCATTCCCATCCTGACCCATTACCTGATTCCCAAAGCCTGCACCACCACCATGCTGCGCTCCATCCTGGAAGCTCTGCATACTTGTCGGCATGTTCATGTGCCCTGGGAGAGGAACACCCGCCTCAACGAAAAGCATCTCAAAAGGCGTGTCGGGTATTCTACCTGATGCATGAACCGATGTGTTGTTTGCTCTGGAACCTACATACTTGCAAGCTACATCGTGCATAAGTTTGAACAAGCGTAGCTGCTTCCTGTAAACGTCGGGAAGGTCTGTAGTGATGTGTGCTGTTTCAACTACAGCTGCCAGGTTCTCCAGGTGCGCTGGATCACATGTCTCGATGGCGCGACAGAAGAGTACCACAAATGGTATAAGAGGTACTGCCATGAACGCCCTGTGTTTCTGTCAGTCTCTGACCTTGCTCATGTGCAGATTTGTCTTCTCTTACCAGTGCACGTAATGCTCAAGCAAACCGGATTCGGCGTCCCGTAGGATAGACAAGCATATCCTGTGTTCATCAAGTGCCTCCTTGGCTACTTCGAGACACTCATCACAGAAGGCGGAAGGGGTGGTGGGCTTGGGCTTGATGGCTCGGTAAACAAGACAGAGCATCGACAGATATGCGATCTTGTCAGCTCGTTGGAAGAGGTTAGTCAGTGTCTCCCCAACACTGATTCGTGACGTCTCGATGAACCGGTCCTTCACTCGTCAGTCTTTGAGTATCATTCTGCATCACGTTTACATACCTCTGCTGCATTTCTACCATGGTAGAGTCTCTTCAGATCCGCCGCAAGGTTTCTCGATCGAGACTCTCTCTCATCATCCGGTTGCATTAAAGCTCTAGGGCTATACAAATCGTCGTAGACTCTTGCTTGTAGATCGCAGAAGTTCGTCCATTTCGACAACATCGGCGGTAGGTCATCGTTTCCAGTATATTCCAATGCTTCAAAGTTCAATGTGATTTCGCCAACGCGTATAAGAGATGGTCGGCTGAGGCGCATCGAGAGCATCTTGTCCAGCATGTGTATCCAGCATACTATTTTACCTCTGCGCTGCTTCTCTTCTCGTGTCTCTGGCTTGGAGAGGGTTTCGCGAATGAGACCGAGTCGTTGACACATTTGTGCTGAGGCTGCGAGACAGTTCCATGATAACGATATGCGACATCTGTCAAGGTAGTACGTGGCCTTGGGAGATGTCAGCGGTTAAAGCTTGGTGAAATAGTACAAATCTTTACTTACAGCCATGTACAGAGCCAGAACATAATCGGCTGTGCATGGTAAATTGAACGGGAGACTGGCCAGTATCGTTTCCAAATTCTGTCGACAGAGAAGTCCCTGGGTCTTGAACTCGGTCTTCAGAGCTGAGTCTTGTTCAATCTTGTCGCATTCCAGTAAGAGACGTTGTAGACCTGCGTGGGTGATGATAAGATCGGCGAGTGTTGGTTTGCCAAAGTAGACTGTCATGAAGTACTCAACAAACTGTCCAATACTCTCAAATTCGAGACACCAAAAGCATCTCAGTCTTGGAGACTCTAGACCCTGTGTCAGTATGTCTCCATATCATTCTAATGGTGGCTCACCTCTAAGCTTCTGTATAGCCATCATAGCTAAATGAATCGGGGGAAGTTGATAACCTCCTTGTCCTGTAGGATAAAGAGTTTGCTGGGTATTGACAAGTTGAGGATCTGCATTCCCAGCATTCCCTTTGCTCAAGATCTTTCGCAACTCATCTAGGTTCTTCTCTAGTTCATGTACTTGGCCCGGTCCTTTGCTGCTGTCCACTAATTGCTGTAGAAAGTTGGTTGCGAATGTCGCTTGGGTAGTGAGTGTGACATCGTCCTCCAACTCTGAAGAAGCATCATCGTTGCTTCTTAGTGGTTCTGATGGGGAGTTTGTGTACGATTGAGGAGTCACATGTGAAGCCAAGGCAGTGTGGATGGCTGATGAGCCTCCATGGAGATGAGCAGGTGAGGTGATGTTGTTCACAGCGAGGCTGATTTGATCCAGCTTTTGCGAGATGTCGTTCAACTTGGCTTCACTAAAGTCCAGCTTAGTAATTCAGCACTTTGTATTATGGTTTCAACTTACTAGCCATCAGACACCAAAGCACGGTGTCGCTTGGCTCTTGTCTTGAAGCCAATTGGGTATGAACAGGGTATTTGCTTCCTTTGGCATGGACCACAGGGATCCTCACGATCGCATTTGATCTAGATTGGTCAATACATACTTGCATAGCATGTCCCACCATAGCTAACCTTTCGTTGTCTGCATTGGTCACACTGGCCAGGAGCTGTTAGTTGCTGTGGCACCGCCGTCCGATTCGGGAATATGACGGGAATGATATGACTCACGGACAGCTTTTGTTCCGGGATCCGTCGCGTGGAGGAGACGCTGTTTTCCTCTCCGTCGCTATCCATGTTGTCCATGTTCATGACCGGATGGACAAGTACGTAGAAGCTAGTAACAATCTTTCAGCTCATCAATGTCTGTACTCCGTATGTAATTTTAGACTAGATAATGATGACTTGAAAGGGCATTTGCAGGGGTTCCCGCCGCGCACTCCACGCACTCCGCGGACCCCGTCTCGTTTTGGCTAGAGCGCGGCATTCCGGACACTCCGAGAGACCGCCCGCCACGTTCTAACGAATACTACACGAAATTGCAACACAAATCCTTCCATGCGTAATGTGCTTTTCATTCAATGCGAAAGCGAGCCCATGGTGAGTTGACTACACATTGTCGCGCCATCAGTCTCAATACAACAACTCATCACGAATTTGATGTGACAAAATGCGTCAAATGAATGCCAAAGATCATCAATTCTAGTATGTACTATCTACTAGATTCATATGTCCTCTTTCTTAATCTTGTTCATAATCTTGGTATCATTAAGATACCAAGTCAACGACTCCAAATCCTCCGTCACGTACTTCTCTGCCAACGTCCACCCATTCCCAAACCAACCAAACTCATCATCATCGCAATAGTTGTACTCAAAATCCTCCCAACGAGGATTACTCATTGTCCGAACACAGTGCAAACTACTTCCAGGCCACAAAGCTGTTATGCGACCTCTCTTCTGCTCCTCACGAGACGCGCCCTGCTCGTACGTCTTGTACCAGGAATTGCACTCTTCTGCAAACACGGTTTGTTTGAAGAACTCGTCGCAGTAGTTGGTGAAGGCCTGGACCATGCTTCGCTTGGGCTCGATGCGAGAGATGTTGTCGTAGGCCATTCGTGCGAGGATCTTGCTGATGTAGAGGTTCGTCTTCTCGATGACGAGGAGAAGACTGCCGGCTCCGGGCATAGAATTGGGGCCCATGGATTGGAAGAAGTTGGGAAATCCATCTGTGCAGACACTCAGGTATGTCTCTGGGCGCTTTTGAAAGCGTTCTCGTAGATTCACACCGTCGACTCCGTAAATGGGGAAACTTCTGTTGGCAGGTGAGGTCTGGAAGCCAGTTGCGCAAACGATAGCGTCAACAGGGTGATATTCTCCATCAGTAGTGAAAACACCAGTCTCATCAATCTTGGAGATACCGCAGGTGATGGTGTTGACCTTGGGAGATGACAAAGCCTCCAAGTATCCTGGTCCAGGCGACATACGCTTGCAATAAGGTGAAAACTCGGGCAACAAATGATCGTAGATTTCCGGCTTGCCCTTCAGTCTCTGCATCATCGACTCTTGGGCAATTTCTCGAAGGTTGGTCTGTTCCTTGGATCCACGGAAGAGAACTCCAAAGTTTTTGTTGATATTGTACTCGATGGCCCGTCTGTATTCCAGGTATGCTTCGCGGTCTGTCTCCCACTTCTTCATCTCGTCGGCCGTGTAGTTGAAGTTGCCGCCTGCTTGTTGGATTCTCTGTCGTGTTTCTGGATCACCGAAAAGGCCGACGATCCAAGAGCGGCCTCGGACGTAGTGGTCCATGTACTTGACATCGGGCAATAACGCAGGCACGATTTGAAGACCGCTGCTGCCAGATCCAATGACGGCGACAGACTTGTTCTGTTTACCGCGTTAGCAGAGACAATATGAACATCAAATATCGCTTACCTTCAAGTCAACCTGAGGATCCCAGTTGGCACTATGCAGAAGATGGCCTTTGAAGTTCTCAATACCACTGATATCGGGCCACTTCCACTCATTGAGGACACCTTCTCCAGTCACAAGAACGTCGGCAGAGTCTTGGTAATCTTCGCCTGTGGCCAAGTTCTTTAGCTGCACGTACCACTTGCTGGTCGTTTCATTCCATCGCGCACCAATGCACTTCTGTTGAAAGCGCATGTGCTTTCCGACATCGTATTTGCTGGCAATATCCTTCCAATATTGAAGGATCTCGGGCGCCGATGCGAAAAAGGAACTCCATCGTGGTGAGGACTCGTAGGTCAACTGGTAAGCGTGTGCTGGGACATCTGGATCCGTGTTAGGGAAAGAGGCGTTGACGATGGAGATAGTCACTCACCACATGCGCAGCCTGGATATCTAAAGACGTCGCGTCATGTCAGCGTTTTTCGCAATGTGGCTTCTGAATAACTTACCTGTTCTCAAACCACGTTCCACCAAGGTCAGGGTTTTTCTCGTAGATGACCAGGTCTACATCAGGCACTTGCTTACGGAACTCGACGGCACCACAGATACCCGAGATACCACCGCCAATGTAGATGACCTTGAGAGGCCTGGCTTGGTCCATACATCGCTGTGATGAAGATGGCTTGGTCTTTTCCTGTGGCATGGTTTGCATAGGCGAATGTATCTCGGTGGTACTAACGCTTGGGATTTTTGAAGAGTAAGATGAATTGGAAGCAGTAATGTTATTTGAGAGAAATTTTGGCATGTTGCCGATAGAGATGCCACCAGAGTGAGGCATGGTGAACAAGAACAGAGTCTATCTGAGCGCAAGTGCAATGTGATGCTGGTATGCAGTGAATGAATGGATTAACGATGAAATACAGCAAACGCTTATATAGATGTCTAAGTTATATGATAGTACTACTGTACGTCAAGCACTTTCTCGTCCTAATTGGGTACATGTTATCACGCGAGTAAGTCTTTATCATTGAGACCATTCCGGACCGACGTTCTCTCCACATTGATACCACGCCTCATGATACACGTCGACTTGATATTCTGTACCCCGCGTTTATAGTGGTATTTTAGTTCGACACTTAGACTGACAATCCCGGTTAATGCTACCGTTAATAGACGGTTGTTGTTTCCGACGTTAGTCTATTGGTCTGTCCCCGCAATTCATCGGCATCGCTAACCGTAGCTCACTCGTTATCGTGGGGATGTGTAAGTTCGGTATCAATGGCACAGACGACAACTCCACTGATTGTCAAACCATCTATAAAGCATTTAGATAAAAGCCAATTCGTGTTATTGTGGCGATAATCATAGCAATTGAAACTCATTCACATCCGAACTTGTTATCTCTCAATCACTTTCTGAACACCACGCTTAGTGTCATCGTTCCTTCTTTCATCATGGCAACATTACCAGAGCCCATACTCTACACTATCAAGCCAACACAATTGGTGCCCAACTCCCCAAAACCACTGCTTCTCTACAAGAAGGCCTTCATGAAAGATGGCAAAGTCGACCGCACTGCTGCTTTTGACACCTTCAAGGCGAACAACTGGGACGTGCAATGGGTCGTGAGATACGGTCAACACCAACGAGCTCACTATCACTCTCAGACTCACGAGGTCATGGTCGTTGTCTCAGGTCCTGGCCGAATCCGGTGGGGCGTCGCAGACCTAAGCGATAACTGGGAGGAACACACCTACGGCACAGCCTACGAAGAAGGTGGTCTTGAAGTTGAAGTAGAGGTTGGAGATCTTTTTGTCATTCCCGCGGGTGTCTCACACAAGTCATACGACCCCAATGCTACTGAAGCGTCTTTCGGTTGCTTGACTGGAGATGCACGCGCGATTGCGAGCGACAACGCGAGAATTACTGTAGCAGAGGTGCCGATAGAAGGATTTTGCATGATGGGAGCATATCCGAAAGGGTTCTCTTGGACATGGGATGAGGGAGGTGATAGTGCAAATGACTTTGAGGCTGTCTGGCGTATTCAAAATGCTGCTGCTGATCCATATACTGGTCAGAATGGAGGAATTAACAAGTATTGGAAGAACCAACAAGACGGATTCAAGAGCTTGATTTAATCTGTTACGAAGTAATTAACATGACTTGTCCAATTTTACTCAATATCGTTCTCAATTGATGACCCATACATAATAGAAGTGACCAGTGAGTGTGCTGCTGGCCGTCAAAAAGAACCTATTCCAAGAACACGAAGAAGCAAAAGGAAGGGTCTGGCCGGGGATTGAACCCGGGACCTCTCGCAAGCTGAGCTATAGGGTTTTCCCTAAGCGAGAATCATACCACTAGACCACCAGACCGAGTGATTTGGAAAGCACGTGATGCTTCATAGCTTTAGCCCTGCAATGACATACCATATAGGTAGTCTACACAGAGAGCTATCTAGGGTAACTGCCCGACATTTTCGCATTGTGATCCAGATGCTCGCATTTATTATCTAGAAGATATCAAAAGGGCTTCAAAGCGAAAATGATATCTCTAGTAATTTGTACAGTATAGAGATAAAGATATTATGATCCACTTGGAAAATTGCGACGTTTCGAGGGGTCAAGTACAAAAAACACTTTGTTCAATTAGTTTATTTGCCTCTGACCAAGAGAGGTCGACATACAATCACACAGCAAGTATCGTAGCCCTCGTGACGAATTTGCAATGGCTACTCCATCAGCTCTTCACTCACATATCGGTGTCCAATCCACCCTCCATTTGTTCACCCTCAGGGATCATCAATTCGTCACCGTCATCCCAGTCACCGTCATCATCGCTAACCCCTTCATCCAATTTCGCCACAACGTGTCCTTCAATAGCGCGACGCGTTTCGTGTTCCTCTTGGGAAGCTGTAGTAAACGAAAAGAAAGAAAGTCCAGGCTCGAGTTTCTTCCCCTGACACAAAAAGCCCATTGGTGTGTGCATAATGTCCTGCGTTTGGCGTCGGTAGGTAAGCCATTCCAGGAGAAATTTAAGTGTTTGGTCAACGAAAAGACCTCGCGTGACGCGACGCGTCTCTAGTTGGGACGCCTTCGGAATGGGTCTCGGCATTTCATCTTGGCTAATACCTAGCCATGAGACCAGATCCGCGTACTCGCTGTAGTCGAAGTATAACCGCCCGGCCAGGACGCCGATCTCAATTGCGAGCCATGGAGGAAACACTGGAGTAGTGTCTCGACTTGGGATCGTGAAATAATCTAGCGTATTGAATCGCCACATTGCCCTTGTGACGGGCGCAGCGTAGGTCAACAGTGATACAGAAATGTTGGGCGAGTCGCGTAGCATCGTGAGAAGGAGTTCAGCTTCTTCTGGAATGATAATGACAGCTGTCTCGGTTTTTGAACACCAGAGGATCCATTCGACGGGCCGCTGCTACAAGTTAGTGATGGGCTTCAATGTTTGGGGCAATGCGGAGAACTTACCATGACTTCGACGGCTACAGCATGGCCTTTGCTTGCGATGCTCCTGGTGAACTGCTGTGAAACAAACAGCCTGGACGATGCCCCTCTCAACCCAAACTTGCGTCCTATCTTGGTACCACCTAGAAATTCGAAAGCTGGGATAAATATTCCATATCCTGTGAGGTATCCGGTAGCGACAAAATGGGTAATGGCTGGGTCAAGACCAGGGAAAGTATCGGCGTTATACTTGACAGGCTTCTGTTTGTCCCGAAGCTGCTCAAACTCGAACTCAACCTCTCGCTCCAACTCCAGCTCCTCGAACGCAGAAGAATAGCCTCCGGATTGATCCAGCTTTTCTTCACACAAGCGGGTCGTGAAGCCCTTTAAGCACCCGAAGTCGAGGTTTTCCATGACCTCCGTGGTGGGGATAATGCCTCTGGGGCCATACAGCTGTTCCAGAGTTTGGTCCTCGCGCTGCTGTATTTGACTAAGGAGTTTATATCTCTTTGCTGGATCCTGGGAGAAGTTTCGATACTTCCACAATGCGTTTGTGCGCTGGCAAAAGTCGAAACCCTGGGCTATATAGAGGGGCATCATCTTTTCGTTTGCTTTGCAGCTTTGCTCGAGTAGCCAGTAGATCACATCGGTAGATGTGACCGGGGCGAACTTATTTTCGACGTTCAGTCGCAAGTCGAGGATACTTCGATGAACCTCTGGGGGCGCGATGAAAGCCACTGATTGAGTCGATCTGAGTTGTCGAAGTCTCATGGCGGCTACATCTATTAGTATTCAAGTGTCCTTCAGGCCAAACCTGTTACTTACCTTGAACTGTCTGGTCCTTTGTTTGACCCAGACCGAGTGTAACGGCTCCCTTAGCGTCAACAGGCAACTTCAAATCCGTACCGCGGGTGTGCGCCTCATCAATGTACACAACACAATCTTTGAGATTGTCCGCAAATGGACTTGCGAGGAGTGGTACAGGCTGCTTCTGGAAACGGGCGTGAACCATGAGTCTGCTATCGTTGCCAAAGTAGACAGCTCCTTGAGCGTCGGGAAAGATCTCGAGCCAGGCTGCAGCAAGATCTTTGTTTTCCATTTCTAGAATACAAGCTCCTGCGTCAATCAAAATACGGATTTCCTCCCGACCGAGAAGCGCCAAGAGACCTCTCTCAGTGAGGTGTTGTCCATTCATGTCAATCGCTTGATAGCATCGCTGGTTTCGTTCTTCCAGCAAGTAACTGAGGACCTCTGCATTCGTCTGTACCAGACTAGGCAAGTCATCTTGCTTGATTGTCTGAGGAAGTAGTCTCTTATTGTCGTTGGTTCCGCTGAAGCCCGTTGTCAAGTTGGTCGATGGGCCTTTGTCGTTCGAAAGCAGTGGGATGTCCCAACCGGAAGCCTGAAGCTTGACTCCAAACTGCTTTGCATGCGCTGGAAAAGCGAAATTGTTCAGAAAGTAGTTGATGATGTTTGTGTCGAACCTCACATGCTTCCAAAGATCCTCCATCTGTGCGTCGTCATCCAGTGTGAGAAAGTTCCAGCACTCAAGGCGGGCTGGTAGCTTGCACCCATGAATTAAACGCTCATACTGCATAGTGGGATCATCGGAGCGGATGATATGATCCAAACACTGGACCATCTGGGTCTGGGTCAGGCCTGTCTGATAAAACGCTAGACAGGTCAATATCAGAGTTGTGTCAGGGTGGCCGTACTCTGCCGTCAACGAGGGAACATCCTTCGCTTCGAAAGGAACCGCAATTGGAGCGCGCTGAGGGTGCAGACCATACTGGACGTTCCATCGCTTTTTCAAACAGGTCAATAGTAGACCTTCCGAAATGAGACCTTTGAGAAGGTAAAGGCTCTGCATGCCGAAGACTTCATCAGTCAGAAACTCCGCAGCTCGTTGACAAATCGACAGGTCAGTCATGCCCATCACAACCGATCGGACGTGTTGTTGAGCTTTGATATCGGCCGCGTTCTTGAACTGTAACTGCGGAAGACGGCCCCGTGATACATCCTCTATGAGAAGAAAGATAAGGGTGTCCTCGACTTTTGGACGCAGAATGTGCATGATCGGATAGCCTTGATGACGTCGCATGATGTCGATACCATCACCGTACCTTGACTGCAGGTAGGGAATGTGTCCTTCAACAAGCGACAGGAGCCCTTCGATGACAAGCCAGCGCTTAGGATGGCCGTCGACCGCCATAGGTAGACCGCTGGGGTATATCAGTTGTGTCTTCGTTGATAGTGTAAAGTCGGATTCATCAAGAACATCACGACTGTTTGCCTCTAACCATCGTTGGACGTCTGTCATCCTCTTGGCCCGCTTCAGTTCACCGTCGACCAATTGCTGAAGTCCACTCAGCTTGAATGACATGATGTGCTCGGGAAGACATATCATGACGCCACCCGTATCGCGGATATGTTTGTGGATCATCTGATAAAGACTGATGCTCTCAAGTCCCATAGGCGAACGGCGCGAAAAGGGAACGTGGCGAACAACGCGACCGAGCAGTCCACCAATTCGACTTTGGACAACCTGGGCGGTCTGCAAGAGAAGAGCTCGGGGAACGACTAGTCGGCATAAATCCTTACGGTCGGCAAGCATGGCAACGGCCATCGGGATAATACACGAGGTTTTTCCTGTACAAGACGTTGGTTAGTAAAATGATGTTAAGTGAGAGAATGGAAAAAATCAAAGACTTACCTTGTCCCATGTTCATTTGGAGCACAGAGTTGGAAGCAGACGATGGAGATATGATAGCTCTAGCAACGTCAATTTGGGACGGACGAATGAGCAAGTTGTTGTCAATCTCCAAAAGAAGCCACTCCGGATGTTCATGGGGGTTCCAGTTCGAGTGTGCCTGTAGTTCTTCATTCTCGCGCAGACGCCTGTCATCTTCGCACAGGGTGGCATCGCGGATGCGAAGGCATCGCTGTAGCTTTGTAATGAGAATTCCATATCGAACCAACTCAGCCTTCATTTCAGGACTAAGCTTGCCGTTTTTGGTGTTTCGCAACTGCTCCAACATTGCGACGGGAGACATACAGGGCCAAAGCCCTCCTTCGTTCAACCACTTAGAACCTGTAAACTGCTTCGAAAGCGAGATCCGAAGATTATCATCCCACTGGCTCAATTCCTCGTAAGCTGAAATAATGTACTTTTCGATATCCGCTGCACGGATGATCCGCTTGGTCTTGTTGAAGGCTTTGATGTGGTCTTGGATCAGGGCCGTGAGCGATATCTGGAGGTCCTTACTGTATTGCTTTCGCAGACTCGTCTCTGATGACTTAGAAAACCTCTTGACTATCTGATCGAGGACTGACAGACTATCAGGTAAAGTCGGCACTGTTGTGGAGATACTTCCGTCTTGGCCGGCTGGAAGTCGACCAGTAGCGTTGTGAGATTTTGTTTCGATTATGTGGGAAGTCCTGAACGCATTACTTGGTTGATGTGGAAGCTTCACAAGGTCTTCTCCAAGACTTGGTACTCTGTATGCTGAATAGAACTGGAACAATTGTGGAATTGGCAAGGGATATGGTTTTAAGAACCACATATTCTCCGCTGACGCCTTCTGTTCGGTAGACTGCTGCTGGTAGAGACGCGATGCTGTATCCTCAATCTGTTCAAGGTACGCTGAAAGCTGGAGATTGTGTGATATTCTTTCAAGTTCTGGCTTTAAACTCTTCCAAGACTCGACGGAGTCGATGTATTGATGGTTGGAATCGGTGATTAAATCCTGGAGCGTAGAGGGTGCGTCAGAATGGAGAGGCCAAGCGCTAATAACCCGGCCTGCAAGGCTAATGGCTTCATCCATCTGCTTCCTTTTGTAGTCAAAAGCATCCAATTTGGTCCTTTTACGCACATCGGCCTTTCCAACTATGCAGTAGTCGGTGTAAGATGGTTGGTTTTTCAGGATGAGTGCCTTCATGTTGTCCATCGATGGATCCACAGAGGGGTGGAAGTCAGTGAAATATAAATGCCCAGGAGGTTGGAGTTTCCTGAGCTCAGCAGTCCTGTGAATAGTAACCAACCATTGGATGACATCGAGATCAACGTTTCCGTTGAAAGCCAACACAGCAAGCAAAAAATGAGCGTCGTAGGATTGTGGATGACCATCTCTGCGACTGAATTGCAGAAGGGACCCCAAGAGGTAGAGAATAGTCTCACCAAGAAGAAGTTCGATATCAGTAACAGTCAATGTGTCTTCGAAGCCCCCAATGCTGTTCAATTCATACACAACTGTTGACAGGCGACCCAGTTTAGGTATATTATACAAATTGGCTTTTAATGCACAGACTGTCTGGTACACACGATCTCCGTCGTACTTCGCCCTTGCATCTTTGTTGGGAACGTAAGGAAAAGGTTTCGAGGAGCTTGTGAGAACGTCAATGTCGGAAGGGAAAGAAATGCGTTCATAGAGTTGTCTGCGGATTCGTCCACGACGACACAGTAATTTCTGGGAAGCCTGCTGTGATAAAATGTTCTCATCCGTCTTGCTCTTGTGGCTCACGCGCTCGAGTTGTTGTGATTGTAAGAGAATGGAGTCAACGAGAGAAGTAAACTCCTCATGCTGAATCCACATCGTCAGGTTGCTGTCCCACTTTACCTTCTGGTAAAGACCTATACCTGGTGGGTAAGCGTATCGCTGAGGAGAGAGAGACTTGAGCACAGAGAGGATACGTTGCGGGAAGTCTTTCAGTGGGCTCCAAGGTTGGCTTCGGGCTGCCATGAGAGAGTGTCGAGCTTCTTCCGTTCCAGTACGAAGCGTCAGACGGTCGGGAAGAGGGAACGATGTTAGGGCATGGACAGCAGCTTTGAGATAGAGCAAAAGTGGCTCTGGGGGGCAGTCCAAACGACCTAGTACCTTGTCGATCGAAAAGCTGGCATACATCCCCTCATTGATGATCCTAACATCCACGTGGACTCCCCGACGCTGCCAGTAAATGTCACCGATCGGGATAAGAACTGTTCTTCTTTCCTCATTGACGACATTCCTCAAGATTATCTGACTTGAAAGCCCGTAGAGGGTGCCTGCATCCTGATTAGGGTCAATCTCAGCTGTGAGTTGTGGACATTGTAACAGCCCTTTGTGATTGACTGATAACCGAATTTCGAGTCGTTTCATCTCAACGGACAATCGTCCTCGTCCAAGTGGTTGATAGATTGTCAATTTGTCTGCATCTTCAAAATGTTGAAAGATGCTTGTGATCTGCTGACCCAGCTTTGAACTTGGCTCAACGAGCTTGGTCCCTTTATTGCGGATAGCTACGCGATTCCGGGTATTGAGGATCCAATTCGATTGTTTCGATTTCCAAATCCATGGTTTCCGACGCATCTCAAGTTTCCCGGTACCAAGATTCAACCAATGCACACAATTGTCGACAAGATCTTTTGGTACATCGTATCCGCCACTACCTTTGAAGATGTCTCGTGGGACGTATTCAAGCAGGGAGTTTCGATAGAGTGCCTGGATCACGACCTCGCCATCTCTGAGGCCAAGATGCACTTGATGTCCCATAATGTCATTGACAAGTTGATATTCGAGAAGACCTGAGGGACGGGTCAGGAGATGTTGTGATCCGAAGAGTTCCTGGACAACTGGGTCCTGTGTCATCTGAAGAGGTAGCTTTCCCAATGGCTTTCCGTCAATGATGAGGTGCCCTTGGAGAAAGTGGTAATGCACAATCTGACACGATGTCCATTTTGTTCCTGCAACCCGTGATGACACCCACCCAGATTGGAGGCCAGCGAGGCTTTTCCACTTGGAGTATGACCTTACACTACCCGCTCCTGATTCGGTCCATGTCTCGTTTATGGAACTTTCCAACAACTTGTAACTTCTTCTGAACCACTCTTCGATCACTTGTCGCATTGAATGCGAATTGGATAGGTCGTCGATAAGTAAACCACGCAGTATCGGATCCAGCTGATTGATATCGGCCAGTAGATTCTCCTGGAGGGCGATGGAAGCTCTGAAGAAACTGCGAGCGTCATCATCGTTGAGTTCGTGTACGTGTCTTGCGTAGACCCAGAATGTTCGACGATTAAGTAAGGCGGCCCAAAAGGCAAAAGTTGCAGCCCTGCTTGCGACCTCACCCTCAGAAGCGGACCTGATTTCGTTTCGCAGATGGGCAATCCATCCACAAGTAATCGACCGAATGGTAACAAGTAGAGTTTCTGCATTAGATCGGGACTTGCCATAGGAAAGCTGATAAAGCTGCACACTGAGTGTCACGAGTAAATTCATATAATGTACCTCCCGCCAGCTTGATGTGATGGCGTTTAGTCGACCTCGAAGAAGTTCGAACAGTGTCGCACAGAAAGCTCCATCATCGAATAGGCTATGTACCTCACGCAAGACGCCACTTTCTCGAACCGCTGGGCCAGCCTGTACTGCGAGGTGGTTGAGCAGCCTCATGGTAGATTCGCTGCTGAAGTTAAAATTCGTGGTTCCCAACTCAACGAGGAGGATCAACCAACGTCTACCTCTTGCGGATACGACTCGTTGAATGGCGGAATACTCGTGTACTGATAGCTCTGGGGGGCAGCCAAATTTGTTCGCGACAATCTCGTAGGAAGAGGGATGGTATGAATCATCTTGTGAGAAGCTCTCGCCAGACGCGTATGGATCTGGAATTCCTCTCGGCAACCAGGAGCCCATGAGATACTCGAACCATGGAACGTGCGGAAGTTGGTCAGCCCAGATACCTGATGAACTGTCGTAGCAGGTGAATTCGGCTCCAAATGGGAAGATTATTTCGGAAAGACTCTTTGGTAGTCGCATTTTTCCGTAGTGCGTCTGAGTAAAAGACTTTTTGCGTGATGCTAAAGTTATACCACTTCGACCTTTGGCGAACTTTTGAAGACCATTAAGGTCGTTGAATAGCAGCTTGGGATCACCTTTACTGGTAAGCGGTGCTGGAGTACCCAGCAAACGTAACCCCCAGACGGCTGTGCGGTAGGCGGAAAGATAGCTTGGCATGCTTAATTGGAAAAGGATCGTCGCTCTTTGAGCTTTTTTGGCTTTGGTGGTGATGGGAATTAGATCTTCATGGGCATTTATCTTGAGTTTCTTTCGGTGCCGCAACTTCTGGCACCTGTTACAGACCTTATTCTGTTTTTTTCCGTTGGGAAGCCGGGTACAGGTACATGTCATACCCTGTAATGACTGTGTAAGATTGTTATACGTCTCGGTCATCGCAGCAAGCTCAGATTGCTTGCTTGACTTCGACTCCTGCGACTTTACATCGATTTGCTCACCCAAAGTTACAAGTTCCTTTCCCATCCCTGTACAGTAAACAAACTTGTGAGCGAACGAGTCAAGTTTGCTAGAATTGTCGAAAATCGTTAGGTGATGCGGTTTGAGGGCGCAGATGCGAGAGGTAAGGTACTCTTGAACCTCGCTGAGGCGCGCAAATTCTTGTCTGGTCTGCAAACAGAGCACATCCAACGAGCTAGGAACAAAAATTGGATGATACTCCTTCAGCAGTGGACAGACTTTGATGGCTTCTTTGTCCATGCACGTCCACAGTTCAAAGAGTCGGAGCAGGTAACGACTCATGAGCAGTGGGTTGTTTTCGTAAGCTCCTCCAACTTTCGAAATGAAGAGTTGAATGTTGAGAGCGAGTTCTTCGCATGTTTGTTCAGAAGAGGACTGGGAGCTGAGACTGGTAGTCATTCTATCCTCAAGATTGACTAGTGCACTGTACTTGTGGGCAAACTCATTAACCTGAGAAACCGTCCCTTCGTTCAATAATTGGGGATCCACAGACACCTGGCGCCTCGCAGGGTCAATTTTCCGGGACAAGAGTTGTTGGAAGACCTTAAGGCTGTTAGGCAAATCCAGAACAAGATCCTTCTCAGAAGCACGGTAAGGAAGAACAGGGATGCGGCGGACGATAATCTGTTTGTGATCTTCCCATGAACGAGTGACTTGAGAGTTGGCGTTGGTCAAGATGGTGTGGAAGTGGACACTGCTGTGGGTGAAAAAATCGTCGTATGTCTGTCGCAAAGGCCCCGAGGCAGCATTCTTCTCTGACTCGAGTTTGGCAAGGCGACGGGATAATTTGGCCTGCAGCATGACCGCCATTTCTGGCTGGATGGTGCCAGCACAGTCTTTGAGAAGATCAGCCAGGACTGTGCAAATGATGAACTTGTAGTAGACGCGGCCGATTGACTCATGAGTTCCGCCCGCAAGGGCGGAAAGCAATCGCCCGAGGGTAACACGCAGAACAAGCCAATATGGTGAACGTCTCCAAGGCAGTTCGGATTTGTCCAACACGATATCATCGCGAATCCGCTTGCGTAGCTGTGGTGGGTGTACTGAGGTTCCGATTGCTTCGAGGAGTGACATGAGGATTCCGCCGATGAGGGCGGAGCTAGGGCAATCGCGAATCTCCACCACGGATTTTCCGCCCTTCGAGGCGGTCGCCGAAAATTTGCTGAAAGAGGTCGAACTGGCTTCTTCGAGGAAGCGTGTCAAATTGTCGAGGAAGGATTCATTGCTGAAGTCGTTGAATGGGATTGAGGTGGCTCTGCTGGGGAAGTCCCAAGTGAGTGCATTCTCCGTCTTGAGAACATCTGCGACCGGTGCCGCAGTCTGGAATTCCTCAACAATCACGTGATCGCCACTATAGAAGATGTTAGTCATGAACGACGAATGAGTAGAGTGAATATTTGGCTACTTGCCTGTCGTCGGCGTGAAAGATTAAAGCAGAATTTTGTGCCTCAACGTGTATAGAAAGCCAAACAGCACCGTCAGAGCGGTGTACGTTCTCCAGCGCACGTAAGATGTCATGTTGAATGAGAGCGCTACTGTGCAAGTTCTGCGTGGCCTGCAAAGATGCCTCGAGAGTCTGCCAAACATTTGGGTCACCAACATCGCGGAAGGTGTCCAAAGCATCTAGCAGCCTTATCTCAAGGCTTCTCTTCAGCGCGTTGTTGTCTCCGTCAAAACTTCGCGGTAGTTTGGGTGGGAGTACGAGGTGATGAAACAGGGCCTCAAGGAGGGCTGGCTTATCTTCCGACATGGTTGCGGCTTTGTGATTGACGACAGGAGACCATGAAGGAAAGAAACTCTGAAGATGTTTCAGTTCGTCAAAAATCGAAATTATCCACGGCAGCATGATAATGAGATGTGGTGGGCCTCCGAGATATGGTGGGCCTCTGATATGTGCCGGGCCTCCGATATGTGCCGGGCCTCCGATATGTGCCGGGCCTCCGATATGTGAAAGGAAGAAATACTTCTGTTGGCACTGCAAGCCACTGCAAGTCGGTGCAATCCGGCTTATCTTCACAGGAAGAGATCCACAATCTTATGCGAAGGATCTCTTTAGGGTCATGTGATTAGACGCTTTGTTTGTCCTTCGGTTGCCTAAAATTCTGCACTGCGGGAGGCCTACCTTTACATTTGTGACCACAAGGTACTGACTTGGAGGAAGGGTTTGTTGTATTCACTTCAGGGCCGTAAAACACTTTCTGAAGGTTACTTCGCAAGGATAATATACTGTTTTGCGATCTCCACACTGGCGCCTGAACCTTGTCATTATACTCGACGATCTAACTCAAAAAACCCACTTTGTAACCAGACCTGACAGGACTGTGACCGGTGTAATAAAGTAAAAGCGTTTTCATATGCATAGCAATTGGAAAGAAGCGCTTGAAGAGATCTATCGTGTTGACGATGGTGGTGGGTGGAAACAACGATCTCCCGCCATGTAGCTTGCTTTACACAAGCTCCTTTCATGTCTTCTTCCATGTTTCTTGCCAAGCATCATATAAGCCGAAACCTTCTTCATCCAACTAATACTTGTATGTAAAACCTTTCGTCTTTCATTACCGTCACCGTCTCGACACATCTTTATGTCTTCCATCATATCATATCAACAGATATGTAACACGTCTTGATAGAAACACAACATGTCCTTGCATCCTTAATTAAACACATTTATATATCAACAGCAAAAATCACAACACTATCTGTTCAACGACCGTTAACATCTGTGGCTATTTGAGCGTGGTAACTTTCCTGCATATTGAAATAGTGGAACGCAGTCCGGTTCATGTTGGTAAGCAAAGACCGCCCGCTCGGGCGGTCGTTCAAAATAGTCCGCTGAAGGAGGCGGCTACACAATTCCGCCTGTCGGGGCGGTCAAGAGCAATGGGAAGTGACCGCCTCTGGCAGTTGTTCAAGGTAGTTGAAAAGATCTGCCTCTACAGGCGGTACTCGGCGGTTATAGTGTTGCGCCTGTGAGGGTGTTCAAAACAAACCGGGTCATGGGCGGTCGTCGGCGGTTCCAAGACTGCGCCCCTTAGACCAGTCTCAATTGAACCGCCTCTGTAGGCGGACGGTCGTTCGGATCGTAAAGCGGTCCGACCATCGAGGCAGTTCTAAATTGCGCCTCTATGGGCGGTCCAATGCTACGGTCCCTTTCGGCGGTCTTCGGGGGTCGAACTCTAACCGCCCATGTAGGCGGTGGAAAGGTTGCGGCTTTGTCGATGGATTGTGTCGCAGGTTAGTCAGCTGTGGACTCTCACGTGATATGACCAGATTCTTGAGACGGACGGCTGCCTTAGGACCACGTTTCTGTTGATTCTTAGAATGACTACTCTCCAGCATAGAAACTTAACGCCGTTTCAATGTAACCAGATCGCTTGCCACTTTTCCACATCTTGATGGTAAGCTCAGCACGTTGTTTGCGGACGAAGACCTCACTAGAGGTTGCTTCATCTGTTGTTTTTGTCCTCCAGATCGTCTTAGAGGATCTCTTCTGCGACTCCATGAGAAGTGATTATCTATATCGGAAGGCTGGATGATACATGTTCTATCAGTTTCGTACTTTTCATGCAATATGTCTTTCAGTGATGATGGCTGTTAAAGGTAATAATACCTCGCTTTGATGGCGTTCCATCTCTGTACACATGAGCAATAATAGTGTCGGATTTTTGCCTATAACCGTACTGTCTAATCTGCCTTGTTGTTTGCAAAGTGATCGTCTATTATCCTCTTCAGAAGCAGAGAGCATCCTGTATAGTATACGAAATGATCTTCAGTAGTAGTTCAATATCAAACTTGACGAGACAATCTCCAAAAAACCTGACCTTGAAACTTCAGATTCATGATTAAACTTGTCAGCTTGGTAGCTCAATTAAAGAAACCTTTGCGGTGCCAACAATCTGTAGCATAGTGTGTGACCTCTTGATAGTGAACGGACTATGAGCGAAGATACCTAGTTATTTTCTGTTGCTCGGAGTAATAGACATTGTGGCATTCGTAAATCATGCTTGATAAAATTCTTGTGTGTTGCTTGGAGAATTGCAGAGACGATTCTGTGCAGGGACGAGACGTCAGTTCCATCTAAGGTGGGCAAGTTATAATCGATATAAAGAAAATCTGGAAGTTAACAAGTGTATAGACTTTTAGAACTGGACTATCAGAGTTAGTATGCTTACCATATATAGTCTTTAGTACTGTTTCTAGTATAGCCTTTGAATTTAAGTTTAAGTCTGGAAGTACTGGTGGAGCTCTCTAGCCTTGAAAGAGAACTTCTTGATTTACTAGATTTGCGGATTTGCTGTTCATTGAATATGCCTGTTAAGTGAAAGCTTATAGCTCGTCTTTGTACTCCCCTTTCAAGAACAAAAGATATGTTTAGTAAACTGCCAGCCGATTACTGATTGCACAAAAAAAGACCGCCCCGTACTTCCAATCAAGCCTACCAGAAGCGTCAATCACGTGATACTACGTTCGCAGCAAAACCTATGATATTTTAAACTGTTTTCGTACAAGATTTTTCTATAGACATTTTTTGAAAGGCCTACCCTCTTTTATCCCGCTCCTCGACCTTTGGTTCTGATTGTGTCTCTGTGGTCCATATCGGAATGCAAAAGTTATGAAACAATAACATATTCGAGAGGAGCCAAAAATGTTCATGTCAATAGTAAAGAACGTAACTGACGTATTAGAATTGCTTCCAACTTGTTTTATTTTATTTCGGCATGACAGTAACTGCCAACAAACTGTTTTCTATGCCAAGCCCACCACTCATAGATACAACAACTACACGTTGTCGAAACTAGCCTTAGTCCTTTGTGTCCAGAACTCAGTCACAAGTCCCTTCAATCTGGATTTGGGTCAAGTCTTTCAGTTGTTTAGTCATATGTATAATGCTCACTGATTTAGCTACAATGACCAATTTACGCTGTCTAAAGTCGTGAGTATGGCTGATATATACTTGGCTGTTGTTGCATAAGTCCTCAGTAAACTAATAATTACCTTTACATGGACATCTGGCCTTTGTTGTTCGCCTCATCCCTTTTTCTGAACCCCTGCCTGGTTTTTAGAAATTCCGCGTGTATTTATCGTGTCTCGTGAACTTTACATTGAATCAGGACAGCTGAATCGTATGGCCCATAGCTACGGCGAGTGTCCTCATAACTGAAGCCTTCTTTACATCGTCGATTTCACATAGAACTCCCTCACTTGCAACCTGCAGCTTTCAGCTTTCGGCTAGCAATAAAGGTTTCTCAAAATATATGAGAATACATTTGTTTACTCGCAGTGCCGTGTCAACTCGTGAAATTCGGTAGCACCTGGCAACGTCAGCTCATCATTGACTGGCTGGGATATAGAGCGGCAATAAGATGACATTCTTGCTGACTTAGCAAGCTGTCCGCTTCGTCTGACCTCTTAGAGCTTGAGAAGGTTACCATGAGGTACACCTCACTCAACATCGTTCTGTGTGGTATAATATTCACAGCTTAAATTCCCTCTGAAATTGGAGCAATGGGACTGGATTCTCTTCAATAAAGATGTTAGTTGTCATTGTATGTGATATATGCAAGTTAAAGTTATAGATTTGTTTGAATCTTGTTTGAATGCATATCCTTGTGGCCTTATGATATTGTTCTTTTCCATTGAAAACCTACTATTTGGAGCATCTTTTTTCTTCATGAGGCGATGAAATGTCTCATCAACTCATGCCAGTCAATATCCAGTGATATTAAAACGCGCAAGACAAAGTAGCGTAGATGATGAGAATAACGAGATAATTAATCAATGTTGGGAATTTAGCTGAAAGGTTAATGCGTGAGTACTGTCTGTACTTGTTATAGTGTTCCATGGTGAGGACAATATATATATTTGAACCGAGATTATTCTTCGTATTCATTATAATTACCAACTCGCAACCTCTTGCTTTGTTGCTGTGATATTCCTGTTTAGACATTTCATTCTATCTAATTCACGATGAACCGTAAGGTGTCATCGGGTATCTAAAATGGCTCATGAAGCCGACAATGTCCAGGTCTAGCTATTGCTAAATTGTTTTACGCCGGAGGCGTCATTGAAAGGATATAAGGTGTCTAGCTGGGCATAACATTTACAAAAAGACACATGAGTAACTAACTATCGCACGATGCAAAAAGTGAGGTTCTGCCCGGGCTCGAACCGGGGACCTTCTCGGTGTTAACGAGATGTCATAACCAACTAGACCACAGTACCGAAGTTCTTCCGATATCTAGTTGTCCAGTTCTATTTGTTTATATAGCAAGACGCTCATCAAGCGTATAGTACGGTTAATGTTGTCTGCAGGACGTCCTCAGTCTGTAAGAATTCAACATAATCAAGTCAAGTTTACATCATCAACTATTCCTCATACTGTGTTCGGAAGATATTTGAACATTCTACTACAAGATTGCTACGGCATTAGGAGGACTCGCAATACCTCCAGGAATATCTAGAGGAATACTCGTCATGAAGAAAGCCCAGCGCCCTTCCTCCCGACACCTCTTCGCCAGAGTCTCGAGATCGAAGCTCTCGCCAATGGGTGTACCCCAACCACTGAGGAAAACCTCATGAAGGGCTACACCAGCTGGTCGCTTACTCGGCCATGCTTCGTAGGCAACAGTGTCACTTGCAACGGCGGCGAATTCGTTGTCCCAATGCCATTGCATCATCTCCTCCGACGCTTGGACGCCACATGATGACCGTACTTCCCGTCGAGATAACCCCAACTGCTCCTCTTGGCTGAGCTTCCAGAACTCTTGTAGCCAACCTGTGCGGATGAACAGGATATCGCCCGGTCGGAATTTCACGCCTTGTTGTGCTGCGACTTCTTGTAATTGCCACACAGGGATCTCGAAGTAATCGAAGGGAGACTTTGTGTTGATCCCCTTGTCGTTGGCATACGCGGCCCAATCCAACAAAACTCCTCGTCCGACGATACCGTGTTTCGAAAGGTCTGTAGGTACAGAAGGTCAGTAGTTGCAAAAGTATAGCGGTCAAGCCATTCTTACTTTGGATGCCAATCTTGCCATTCGGGGCAGCTCCAGAGATGTCCTCTTGGGTCACCCCATTGTAGTACAATAAACTCTCTTGGTAGGGGTAATGCCGCAGGCCATCCCAATGACTTGAACCTTGAGTGTTGATATGGAGCTGATCGTAGCGTGTGTGAGTTTATGGAAACATATCTTGTCAATTGAGACAGATACTAACCTCGTCATCATTGGCGTGGCCTTTGGCAATTATGTGGTGTCGGCATGGCTTCCGCACGGGATTCATGGGCTGTTTGAACGCATCGATTGACAAACTGTGGTTGTCAGTTACCACATCGCAATGACACCACTCTAACAATTACTTACTTGAGTACAATGTGTTCCCCGGTAACTATCTCTTTGATAGCATCTTGGGTAACGGTAGGTGTCAAATGATTGAGTGTTCCCAGCTCGTCATTCGGTCCCCAGAGACCCCAAGCTGAGTATTTTGGGTCACCGCTCCGCAGAGGTAATTCGTTGAATGCAGGTCGTTCACTCATTTTTCTCAATGACTGTTGTATTGTTCAACACGGGCCAGCCAGAACATGTCCATCATAACGATACTTGTCGCAACGGAATGTTCGCGAGGATTCGGCATGTCGTGTAGATTCCGAGACCTCCTTTTCGGATTGTCGGTATCAAGCCGAACGAGGTGGGCAAGGATTCCGGCACTACCCCAAGTTCCATGACTAAGTCAATCCCCGAGCGCAAAAACTCCATCACGGAATTTGCCAACCGTGCACTCTTTGCTCTACCCCAGATCTTACCCCAGTTTTCTGGGGAAACGCGTCGTTGTGAGATTCTTTACTTAAAGGATGTTTCAACCTGGATCTCCAAGTCCGATCTTCATCTTCAAGGACAGACACCAGCAAGTAACCTGCCCAAGAACCTCTTGAAGCTTGTTTGTTTGTTACATCATGGCTCACAAAGAAGTACCTACCCTCAAGACGACTCAAGATTCTCAGCATCTCGAGACCATGGATATTCCAGATGATGAGAAGAATTTGGGAGCAAACGATGTTGAAAGCCGTTGGACACCCGACGAGGAGCGTTTGGCTCTCCGAAAGCTCGATTGGTGCTTGATTCCTTTGTGAGTTACTTCTACTACTCCAACAGCCAATGGACTTACTGATAATTGGCAACAGGGTTGGATCGCTTTACCTGGTATCTTACATCGACCGTGGCAACATTGGAAATGCATACACCGCTGGTATGGGTAAGGATTGGGGTATCACGTCCAACGATTACTCATGGATCGTGACGGCGTACTACATCGCGTACATCTGTTTCCATTGGGTAAACTCCTGCTGTCCTTCATTCATGACATACCTTGAACAAACTGCTAACGTCTCTTCACCAGCTCATTCTAGTCTGGAAGTTCATGCCATTGCCGGTAATTCCTACCTCCCGATACGACGCGCGATCGAATACTGACATCGATGATAACAGCTCTGGACCTTCTGCATGGCCTTTGGTTGGGGCGTTGCCAGCATTCTCCAAGCTGCAACAACAAACTTTGCTGGAATTATGGCCCTTCGACTTCTGATCGGTGCCTTTGAGGCTGGCTTTGTACCTGCCGTTGCTCTATACTTGACCTTTTTCTATCACCGACAAGAGATGGGACTGCGCTACGGCTTGTTCATCTCTTTCTCGCCGCTTGCCAACTGCTTTGCCTCTGCTTTGGCGTACGGTATCGTTCAGGCCAAGACCAAGATCCACAACTGGCAGCTCCTGTTTATCGTTGGTAAGTCAATCAAAAGACACATTCTTATGAACCACAGCTAATAATGTTGCCACAGAGGGTATCCCAACTTTGTTCCTCGCCTTCGTCGCCCTCTACTACCTCCCAGCGTCCCCATCGCAGTGCCGATTCCTCACCGAACGATAGAACGAAATTATCAGCCAACGCGCCATTGAAGGCAGAGGAGAAGATACTGAGAAGAAGTTGAACTTTAGTCAGGTTTTCGCTGCCTTTTACGACTACAAGAACTACATGCAAGCCTCTATCATCTTCTGCCTCAACACTGCATTCGGCTCTCTCCCGGCCTATCTTCCTACTATCTTGAAGGGCATGGGATACACCTCTGTCAACTCGTCAAATATTCCCAACGCCGCCACAATTCGGGGAGTGCTCGGAGCCTTCCTTGCGCCAATTATCCTAGTCATGCTCCTAAGCAAATCTGACCGCCGGTCAACTTCAAGTATAATATTCAGCATCAATCTTAGTTGCTAATAAAAACAGCGAATGGATGAGTGATACTGGGATTACCTTAGAAAAGGAAGCGTTTTGGATAGATAATTATAGCTATCAACTAAAAACCAAGACTTCTCAATTTTCGCGATATTATCGACAATAAGGTTAATTTGCCCCCGCACAGCGAATACCCTACATCATCAAATGGAGTTTTCGGCACAATGATAAGATGGCCAATGTAAAACTACTTGATCAAAAATTAGAATGAGAATGACCATCGAGATAATTGTGAAGAAGTTGCGTTTCGTAGCTCCAGGTGTATGGATGAACGTTGGAGTCGTCTACTGACGTCGATAAAAGTGATTGGTGCATAGAGATTATAACTTCCAACCTGGTTAGCTTAGAATTTTATGGCGAACCACAGTTGAAGAAAGCCAATATCTTAGAGGTCCCCAGCTCAAATACATGTAGTGATGGTTTCGCTGTATCATTGACCCGAGGTCACCCTTACTCAACTTCATCGACAACCCCGCAACGATGATCTTGCATCAATTCGAGAATTTTAACGTTCCGACTTTCTAGATTCGTCCACAACCCATCGCTGCTTGTGATTGTTGCGCGTATAACATCTAGCATATTTAAATCATGGTAGGAGCCACAATGTCGCTGTTGTTCTTACGCAGAAACTCCAAGTTTGTGGTGATTTCTTCCACCAACATATCCCAGCTCGGTACCAGATCAAAGGCATAGATATTTTTGTCAAGATGAAACTTCTTTCTACCGTCGTCTTAGCTTTGACTTGTGGCCTTGTCCACTCAAGCCCTACATCAAGGGCAGCAAAACCACCGAAATTCTTCCTGATTGGAGATTCCACCGTCGCTGTGAATGGCGGCTGGGGTGACGGACTCCTCTCATATCTCAAGGCCCCCGCCGAAGGCGATAATAGAGGCGTGAGTGGTTCTACAACTGTGTCTTGGAAGTCCAGTGGCCGCTGGGATACACTTATCCGAGATATCAGCTCTGCCAAGGGTGACTTTGAGCCAGTGGTCACTATTCAGTTTGGTCACAATGACCAAAAGGTGATGCAGTTGGACGAGTTCCATTCTAATCTCGTCAGCATTGGTAATGATATCAAGAACGCCGGAGGGACACCAGTACGTTAGACTTAACCTACATTGCAGATTCAGTTCGAGCTAAATTGGATTAGATCTTCATTACATCATTGACACGACGCACATTCTCAGGCGGACAAGTTGTCGAAAATCTCAAAGACTGGGCTGCGGAAACTATCGCCGCTGCTGGAGATGTCGGTGCGGGTTACCTCGAATTGAACAAAGCGAGCACGGATTATGTCAATGCGATTGGGGCACAGAACTCTGACTATTACAACTGGGGGCCTGGCGATAGGACGCATCTCAATCCTCCTGGCGAGATAGTCTTTGGGCGCATGGTTACTGATTTGTTATTGGAGAAACGCCAGGACTTTGTCGTCTACTTTACTTCGAATGAGGCGCTGAGCGAGAAGATCAAGAACGGGGAGTTTGCAAATGGGGAGGAGTGATATTTAAGGCTGGAAAAATATGCTGAGAATTTATCATGATATATAACTTTGATGTCTAGAGATACACGAGATTATCTGACTTGAGACACACCCGTGAGCGTACATGTATAACATATCCAGGCATCCTAAACCCGATGTGTCTATTTAACCACTGTCATCACACGATTACCTCCATCAATCCCAAGACCTTCGAATACGTGAGTGAGAATCTTCGTAATGAATCTTTCCATATACTCCTCGTTGTGGTATTGTGTGTTGAAAACACTGGATAGCTCAATCTGACCATCCCATGAGCCGAGAAATACTACCACCCCAGCATTGATAGGCTGACTAGCAGCCCATACTTTGGAGAGTTCAAAGATACTGTCAGAGCTACCTACTATGGTAGAGAGATTGCCGATGGAGGACAGAGAAACAGGACAGAAAGGTGTCTTCTGAACAGCCCATGGATCTACACCAGGTGGTGGAAAAAGAGTCTGGAATACCTGAGGGGCGAATAGAGCTTGTTCGTATGTATCATTCGACAAATTTGGTTTGATCTGTTGGTAGAAGTCTCGGACTTTGATAGCTAGCTCTGATAAAGTATCGACTTTGGTCCCATCATCAGCTGAGCTTGGTATCTTGACATCGATACCAAGAGCTTGTGCTGATACAGCATGATACGCAGCCGCGGCATGATCAGGACTGTTGAACGGTTGAAGACAGTAAGGATGAATGTTGATCATGGATCTGCCAATGTAGCGAGTAGTATAAGCCTGCTCTTGTCGAGGCTGAAGCTCACGGAGGGCCATGGTTAAAGAAGCAGTAAAGACATGTGTCAGGCTGACCCCCGGAGCGATGTTCTTACAACCGGCCAAGATCTCGCTTGATAGTGACTGAGAAGATGAAATAGCTATGCGTTTCATGACAGACGCACTATCGTTGGAAGCGCTTGGCGGCAGATTCAACCAGCATGGGTGATTGTAAACGCTGCCATTGGTAGTTTGGAGTTCTTGGAATCGCTTCGTTTGATCTTCGGACAATAAGTCGGGGATGGACGCAGCAACTCGTAAGGAAGGGGAAAGTCGTTTCCGGAGGTCAATATCAGGTAGTGGGTATCTGAACCCGTTGGCCTGTTTATAAAATGAAGAGGCGTGTTTGAAGAGTTGGCCGAGTAGTTGAAGAACACCAACTCCATCAGTGATATCGTGAGGGCATCGAAGGACCACTGTTTGATGTGCGTCTAGTCCAGACTTGGCCATGTAGACCGTTGGCAGGTTGAAAGAGGGTGCCTCGTCGTTGAACCATGAAAGTGCACTTTTATTGGTGTTGATGATCTTAAATGTCGAGTCGAGCCAGGACTTGACATCCTCATCAGTGTCAAAAGGCTTGTACAAACGTTTCCATGTGTGGGGTTGATCGCTGCATTCAATGTGAGAGCCCAAGGTCGGATGTTTATGCCGTAAAAAAATCCAAGCATTTCGTAAAGCACTTTCGACATTGGCATCTAAATTCGCGCTCGCATCTTTGACTTGGAATGAAGCGCATGCCGTGACGGGATAACAACCGTGTTCTTTTTTGGCGTAAAGCTGATAGAACTGTTCACACTCGTCGATATCTCGATGCCAGTAGCCTGCATTGGACTGTTTCCAGTGGAATCGAGTTTCTTCGGTCATGCTGTAGGACTTTGATGCCTTAGATAAAGGAAATTAGGAGGATGTTGTGTGAACAAAGGTGCATATTAATAGCAGAAGACACGACTGTGAGTTTTCAATCTCGTCGAGTAAACTGCGCGACATCACGTGGAGAGAGCATTCGTCTGATAGGAATTCTTCGTTCTCGTATTCGTTCTATTATTCAAGTGAAACAAAGGATTCAGGTATTATCCTTGTACTGCGATGTACCGTGAAATTATCACTGCGCAACTCACGACAAATTTCACGGCGCTCTTGTCAAGACGATCCTTCCATATCCAACCAATTACGCTGTACGTACTATCAATTCTCGACTATCTATTCTTAAATCCTTCTTATCCTCAACGTAGCCTTCATAGGAGGAATCCTGTTCTGCACAATCCAAGTATTCCGTGGCCTCTCCTCCAAATGCTCAATGTCGTAGTTCAGCAACATATACGCTATCATCATCTTGATCTCATTTGACGCAAAGAACCTACCAGGACATGCGTTTCGCCCCAAGCCCCAAGCCAGAAAGTCTTGCGAAGTTGTCGGCAATGCGTTTCGCGCACTCTTCACATACCCGTCCTTCTCATCGTGTCGAGCGTTGTAAAAGCGCAGAGGTACATACTTCTTCGGCTCAGGGTAAATCTCGGGATCTTGAAGTACTGAGTAACCTGGGAGGGCTATCCTGAGACCCTTGGGCACATGTGTACCTGATGGAAACGTGACGCCCTTCTCGGCTACCACAGTACGCGAGACAGCAACTGAAACGATGGAGTTCTTGCGCTGGCTTTCACGGATCGCGGAATCAAGCTTTTCTAGCTGTGCGACGGCACGTTTGTTCCACTGTCCATCGTGTTGCTGTAGCACGCTCCTGATTTCGTCTCGCAACTCGGTGATCAGGTCCGGAGGTGATGCAGCAATGTCGAGGAGAGCGTGGGTAACAGAAAAGGTGGTTGTATGGATAGATGCGAAATTCAACAAAAGCACACGTTCTGATAAAGCGCTGACCTGCCAGTTCTTCGGGTTGCCAATATCCTTGGCTTGTTCGATCAGCCACTGAAGATAGTCATTCCGTTCAGACTTGGGAGGTTTCTCGGATTCTGTTGCTTGCGAATCATACTCTGCAAGACGTGCCTGGATTTCTGGTTTGAGGATACGCTCAAATTTCTTGTTGTGGATTCTGTTGGGCAGGGTTATTATCGGTGCGACAAGTGGTTTGAGAAAGTTGGGAAAAGGTTTGAGAAGCATCGACGATATCGGAATGTCTTGGGCAAAAGCGATACCCATCTTAAGCATCTCATCGTTGCGACAGAGCGGAAAGCCGACGAATGCACGGTTCGTCATGCCACTGGTAATCTGCTGCGCCTTTTCGAAAATGCAAATCTCAGTCCATTCCGAACTAGTACCCCAGTGCTTACCGACAACATGCTCCAACTCATCGGCTAAATGAGGAATGAGGTTGCCCACCTCTTTCGTAAGTCTGGTAAGCACTAGGTCCAGATGGATAGGGTCGTGGGTCAATGAAGGATCCATGGTGGTCCAGTCAGTCTGCAAATCATGTTCAACAGACTTGTGCATGCTAAGCTCATCGGTGGGTTGCTCGCTTGCAAATTTCGTATCAGATCGTGGTAAAAAGATGAAGTTTCCACCGTCGAGTACGGGAAGAATTGTGGCTTGGTTCTTGTATTGCGCGTATGTTGATTTGAGGACAGCTTTGACGTCTAAAGAGTTCCGGATTTTGGCTTGGAAGAGGGGGAACCAGTCGCCTTTACGGGCGCCGATGATGGGTAGATCTGGGAGATTTGATGGTTTGAGAAAGAGTTGGTAAATTTCATATAAGATGAAGATGATAAGCGGCCCAGCAATCGCTGGACGCGACAGCAAATCCGTTGCTGTTTGCATCATCTTGGAATGGCAATTGAGAGTACCCCGCTTATGAAGAGATGAATCAAGTCACGATGAATGGTGGCATTGACTTGGCTTTATATATCCATACCAGATCGGCTGGTAATCACTTACTAAAAGGGTAGCGGTGTCATGATACGCAAGGCACCCAATTGCAACAGCCCTTTTTATCATCAACTCGTTTAGTCTCTGTGATGATTCGAAGATGCAGCCCTTGTTCCTGGAAATTCAAGGGCGTTCTCGTACAAGGGCTGCTGTGAGTGGTTGGTTGTTGGAACCCCTCTAAACTAGCGCTGACAATCGCTTGGGCTGGCTTATTCCCAGTTGGCACTCTTTTTTTACAGGGCTAGGGTGAACAAAACATCGGTCGTCTGACACTCGAAATCATTCTACCAGCGTCCGACGTTTTATGTCTACCTAAGGCCGGGAGTCCTTGGAACCTCTGGCTACTTTTGTTCAGTACCTGTTGTATCGTCAAACACGGAAATCACACGGGTTGCTTGTCACTGTTTCTTGACCTGAATAATGGTTTGTTCTTATAAACGGCTTTGTTTAAGACGAAGGTGAATAATTATTAATAAAGGCGGCCGGTTATGTATAAACAGTGCCCAAGTAGGCGGTCTATTCAACGGGTCAACTTGCGTCTGGCAGGAAAAAGAGGATCGTTAGATATTGGTCCAGGGTAAATCTGAACCTCGACCTCCAAGCACAAAGAAGAAAAAAACACCAAATGCACGATGCGGTATCAATAATTGGCTGTGTAATGCTGTTCGAATATTCTCGATATTTCCATAGTTCCCCAATCCCCAAACTGAACAACGAATCATGTTTAGACAATGACTTCAAATAACGCCTTGACACCAAGATGGTCGGTGATCCACGGCCGCTCAAACCCACCCGAAACAATTTCCTCTCTTATATCTTTTTCGTCGAGATCAGGCTCCACATCATTTCCGAATCTTTCAAATTGTAAAAGTTGCAGACTATCGCCACGGAAAAATACCTTGTCCAAGCGAGAACATCCATGTAGTTTCCGCAATCTTGGAGAAGCCTGTTGACCCCATGTGTATCCCCCATTATCGTCCCCTCGTCCATCGCCCTCTTCACCGCCAAGCTCCAAATATGCATCCTTGAGATTATTGTCCGAATGGAGAGAGCAGTCAAAAGGCTGAATGGCGTTAAAGTCCCCTGTGACAATGGCGTCGGCAATATCGTCCGCGTGCATGTGTGAAGCGATAAGGCGCATTTGCGCTGGGCGAAGCGGTGGTTCAAGGGGAAGAGACTCGAGATGCGTATTGCAGAACCTGAACTTCCTTCCATCGGAATTCAGCGATACGTCCACAAATAGTGCATCTCGTCCCATCTTGGTAGCAGAATAGTGTACACGGAAACACGATGATATATCAAGCCGTCGGTTAATCAACGTGGTTGTACCATAAGTCCCAGAAGCCCAAGCCGACTTGTCAACATCCGTTCGATAAAACCCTTCACGAACCCAGTCCTTCTCGCCGATAGTGTTCAAATCAGATGATACACACTCTTGCAAGTTGACAATGACAGCTGTGTCCTCTTCCAAGCGGTACTGCCGGGTAAGCTCTTCCAAGTGCTTCAGGGCAGCATTCATTCGGGACTTGGCGTGTGGTAGATTGAAATCTATGTTCCAGCTGTATACTGCTATTTTCGTGACCTTCATCTTTCCAGATGATACCTCGGTAGATTGGACAGGCTGCCATTCGTTGTTCTTGGTAGCCCATACGTAAAAAGGCTGATGCCATAGTTCATCGGCTTTCCATGGGACTGAGGAAGGCGAATTTCCCATCTCTATGGTATCCTGCATTGCCATCTGAGGTTTGACTGACTGATTTGTTGGTATTGGCACAATTTTGATGGATCGATGGTTGTAGGAGGAAGAAACAGCTGCGCTGCGTACAGCTCGGAAGCCTCTTCTATAATAGCCCTTATAGAGTTTGGTAATTGTCCTGTGAGTCATGTATATTCTCGGGGAAAGGAATTTATCAAGAGAACCTTAAATTGACATTTTGAGATTTGAATCCGTAAGGATATTGTTGGAAATCAAAGTTTGATAACAAAGCCCATGTAAAATATGTGGTGACATCAAGAAAGTCTTGATGAGTCAAAATCTGACTATGTCATAGCCAGGGTGGGGTAAATATCTGACCAGGCACCCGAGGTACCCGACGTCGTCCAGAAACACGAATTACGTTTGACATTCCGTTATCTAGCCTTACCAGCGCGCAATAGACAAAAACAAAGCCTGATCTTCGTGCGGGTAAGATGGTAAATCTATAGATCCAACTCGAAATCCCAAACCTGCAGCTTTCTATCCGGGAATCCACCAGCCTGCCTCACAAATACGCTCAAAACACCAAACTCATGCAGCCGTGCCTTGTCGAATAAAGGCTCAGTAGACGTGTTAGGGATTTCAGCCAGAGATGCCCAGTCCTTGAAACCCTTGGAAGCTGTTGCCACGTAGATTCCTGTAGCTTGCTTCACCGGGTCTGGAAGAAGTCCGAACAGGTATTCGCCTGATGCGTCTCCAGCGAATTTGCCTCTTGGATCATACAGGTCAGGGCCATTGAGACCAGCTGGGTTGATCGCGTTTTTGGTCCATTTTCCTACAGATGTCAGTTCATGTTTACGACAACGTACAATGACTTACCGTTGGTATCTCGTAGGTAATGCTGGTAGAGATGTTCTCCAGACAGCAAATCCCTCATTAGAATGTGGAAACGTCCCCTGGTATCGACAAGTTGACCCTCTTGGTTGACCATACGACTGTTCTGTGGTATATCCCAAATCAGAGTGCTTGCATCAGAAGTCGAGAAAGGCTTGGTAAGCTTGGTGCCATTAGTGTTGAGCCAGGTCTTGCCATCGTCATTGGAGTAGGCAAAATAGACGCCATGATTGGTGTCAGCGTTTGGTGTCTCTCGTACAGTCCAAGATGTGTAAAGTTTTCCGTCAAGGTAGTCAAGTCCGTTGATGTATGCGTTGTTGTCGTCACCTTGGATGTACATCCCTTGAGCTTGCCATTTGCCTGTGGAGGAGCTGTAGCGATGGATGTAACTGTCGCCAGATCCAGACCTATCGTTACAAGTAAGTATTGACGTCATCGACAGCTAGTGCAAAACTTACTGTCCAATGCGAAACTCGAGAAGCATATCACCATTTGGGAGTGGTTCGAAACGAGGGTAAGTCAAAGGTGAATAAGGCCCTGTCGATCCATCCAACGAGTGAATAACTGGACCAAACAGTTCCGAAGACCATTTGGAGGGGATGTTCTTGGCGATACCTGCCTTCGAGACTCGGTAGTTGATGGGTACATCCTTCACAAATCAGCTCAACTCGATTGGTCATTCGCGCAACTCACATGATGGTCAAAACTAAGATGAATCTTTCCATCACCCGAAATCCCCATGGAAATCATGTTATGCCCATCCATCGTCTTTTGAGTATAGTCATCAAGCGTAAGATACTCCCAATCCGCAACGCTTGGTGAAATCTTTCTTCGACCAAGTCGGACAAAATGGTTGAGGTAGCCTGCTGGAGCAGTTTCGTAAAAGGTTACATATTGATAGTCGCCGTATGTGATGAGAGCATCTTCTTGATAGCTTACACCATTAAGTCGTTCAGAACCCTGGATGTCTGTACCGATGGTCCATTGTTTGGTGGATTTGACCGTCAGGGCAGTTGTGGTCGCCATTAGGCTCGCGAGGGAAAAAATGATGCTAGAGAGACGCATCGTGGTGAGCGGCGGAAGATTGGCTGGTACGGAGGAAGGAAGATACCTGGATGTACTGTTTGCTTTATATAACGAACTTCCAAATTGACTACCTTGTAAAGCTGTCAGTCCTCGTGGTCAATCTGTCGTGTGGGGAAATACGACACTGGTAAAAATGTGCTTGGCTATACGTAAGGGCATGTATATTATCACATTCACCTTCCAAATCACGTCTAGATTTTATTGATCCAAGAAGACCCAAATTTTAGACGATGACAAGGTTGTTGGATTGGTTCTGCAAGTACTGGTAGAGCTAAGGTGTCGATCGGAGTATTAGTCGGGTTGACATCTCCCGAGAATCCGATACAGGGTATGTTGATAGTCCATCGTTGACGTCGAGTTTGTAGACTTAAGACTGGATTTGAGATAATTAATCACACTTATTCAATTAGTTGAGATTCGAATCGAAAGTCTAAGTCATGAAGATTTAAACCTCGACCCAGTCATTATCAATTTGCACGCGTTGGTGTTCCTCGTAGCTCGTCATGTCTTATCCCGAAGCGGAGTCAGGATCGTCAATCTCGGGTTATCATCCAAACGAGAGCAATTATCCAAATGAAAATAACGTCAGAATCAAGAGTGTTGTTTATTGGTGGTGTTCAAATTTTTTGACATCAGAATAGCTGTTTTTTTATGCATAACAAAACAGATGAAAAGGGCAAGACAAAGACACGACCGGCGTTCTTGAAGCAAATTTCGGACATCATCTCGTATCCAATCAGCTAAGGCGCAGTGGCGGAGTGGTCTAACGCGATAGACTAGAAATCTATTCTCTTCGGAGGCGTCTGTTCGAATCAGGCCTGCGTCGATTGGTTTTTTGTTTTGCTGTTGCGAGCGACAACTGAATTTTCTTTTTGCCATTTTTCAATGAAAGAACAAACCGGGAACTGATATCTTTAATGAACACATTCATTAATTATGTCGAATAATCTGAACATAAAGCGCCAATCACGACTGAACAATGGAGATAGACAAAGTATGAAAACAAGAAATTTGATCATCACTTGAAGAACAACTAGGCAACTCTCCGTTGATCTACTCTGAGTCCCCATTGGGCATTCGGCGCATGTTTACTTCAAATCTTTGAGATCGCGATGGATCCCACAGAACCTTCCTCCACCTCATGTTCACCAGCGCTGAGCTCCTTGCTCTCCCTAGTAAACCTGGATCCAGTAAAAAGAGTGGCCTTCGTACCAGCTGACACTCTAATGAAGCGAATATCCTCAGGATCGAGTCCTGCCTCAGTCAAAAACACCGTGTCAAAAGTACCCAACTCAAGAGAAACACCCTTGCCAGTGGCATCTGCTTCAGAGAAGACAGCTGCACCACGTTTAGGCTGAGGTACAGGAATGCCACCATCAAAGGTAAGTTTCAAGACATAGGCGAGTGATTCGGCTGGTTGGGAAGGAAGGGCGATATCTAGGACATCTTTGGACTGTTCCCATTCTGAAACCTTGATGTAATCGCCAGCTTTGTCGCCGAGAAGCTGGACAGACTTTAAGGACTTGAGATCAACCAGAGCGTTGGATCCAAGGTTCTTGACGGACACGAGGTTATCCTCTGGCCAACCAAGAACAGTAACGTAGAGAACATCATCTTCCTTGTTGCGCGTGAAGCGAACATCGCTGCTGTTCCCTTGCAAAGGCGCTGTAAAAGATCCACCCTCGACCTGATTCGGTCCCTCACCATAGATATCCCAAGCTCGAGTGTCATAAACAGCCTCGCCGTACCGACCAAGGAAGTCACCGATATCGTTCAGAACCTTGATCTGTTCCTCAGGCAACACTCCAGAAGCCATGGGTGAAATGTTAAGTAGCATGTTTCCGTTCTTACTAACACGGTCAAGCAAAGAGTGGACCATGGCTTTGGAGCTGTAGTACTTGATACCAACTGTGTAACTCCAGCTTGATGCACTGATGGCATCGTCTGTTTGCCAGTAGGGACGAACGAGGTTGGACGGTCCACCGCGTTCCCAGTCGTCTACGGCTGATGTATTGCGGAAACCATGGTCATGGTGCTTGTAGGTAGTGACAACTTCTTTACCCCACTCCTCACCTCGGTTGAAGTAGTAAGCAAGAAACTCGAGACGCTTCTGCTCGTCTACTGCACAAGGCCCTTCGAAACTTCCACATTCTCCGGGACTGTCGAGCGAGAAATCGTTCCAGATGATGTCAGGTTGAACGTGATCCAGCATCTCTCGGTGCTTGTCGAACCAGAGCTGATCCGATTCATCGCGAGGCAATTGCCCAAGAAGTTTTTGGAGACTCGTGTCGTTTGTCTTTGGCGCCCATTGGAAAAAGCCATTGTAGTTGTACGCCTGATGCATAGCAACAACAAGTTTCATATCATTCTCCCGCACAAGATCCGCCCAGAGCTTAACCAAGTCTAGCTTGGGGCCATAGTTGACTGGGTTCCACTCATTGATCTTACTATCCCACATGGAGAAGCCATCATGATGTTCAGCCACTGGTCCGGCAAATCGAGCACCAGAAGCTTTGACGACCTTGATAATAGCCTCAGGATCAAATTCACCACCTTTAGACTTCAGGACAGGTTTGAACTGGACAAAGTTACCCTTTTTGTCCTTTGCACCCTTGATGAAGTTCTCGTAGCCCCATTCCTCTGGAGGTCCGTATATTTCTGTATGATGCTTTCTCTGATCAGAGTCGGGTTCATACATGTTGCGTGGATACCATTCGCTGGCGTACTGGGCTGTTGTGAAAGCGCCCCAGTGCCAGTAAACGCCAAATTTGGCATCGCGGTACCATTCGGGTGCGGCGTTGTGTTTATCTGTTGACTCCCATGTTGCTTCGTATGGACCCTTTGCCTGGGCGGTTGCACTAGCGGGAAATAAGGCGCAGGCCAGAACCACAAGGACGGTGGCCTTGGGAGGGAGGGGAATCATGATACCGTTCGAATGATGAAGATGTCTTCTGATTTACTTCAGAGTGCTGGAGTACGGCCAAAGTGCTGAAGTGCAATCAAGCAGTCCCTAGGAGCAATACTAACACTGAGACAACAACTTGAAGGGTTAATGCGTATTTAAAGTGCCCTTGCATCTGATGCACAAATACGAAGGCAAGGAACATCATAACTTGGAAAATACTTGCCTCGGTCACCATGCATTCAATCATACTATGACTCGACGGTCATTACTACGGTATTTTACAACGGTAGTTCCTGATGAAGATCTGCAGAACAGGATTCGTGCGCATCTTTACTCAGGACTGCCAAGTAAATAAATCTGGTGACGTTACACGGCATTCAGTTATTAACCGGGATCGTCAACCTCATGTCCATATGAATCTTGTTCACGGCCCGCATCGGCCCGGAACAAAGGTTGAATACTGGCAATGTGCGGGGAAGATATAGCGCTTGTTCTAATGAAAAACGATCTGCTGAATACGATGTTACAGTGTGTTCTTGTGTTCTAATGGTGGGCTTTTGAACCCCTGGAACATCCCCGCGTTACCCCGCAAAGAATCGGTGCTGATGGCTGAAAGCTTGGATAAATGACTGACAAAATGGTAGACTGGAAATAATGCAAGGTTATTATTGCACATATGACTTCATTAATGGCAGGGAAATTTGTAGTCACGGGTAATCATGAACGCAGTGCTTGTTTTGTCAAGGAATTTGTATTGTCAAACTAGTCAAACTACAATAAACGCCGTCCCATCCAGGAACACAGGCCGTTGTGCTACAATCTATGCCATGTTCCTACCTACCTGAACTCCAAATGCAAGCCGATTGCGTGTTGCAGCACTCATCAGAGACTCACCCCACCCCATGAGAGACAAAGTCTCTCCTCACCCAATAACATCTAGTCCTTGGTTTCGGTTACTCGCTGATGAAGGTCTGCCCTCGGATCAGCAACGACACGTCCCCGGCGATCCATCCATGAGCTTGGTTTTCCGCTATTTACGTGCAGACGCCAGACAAGGATTCTCCATCTAGAATGTTCAGGCACGCTGAGATCTAGCTTAATCGCCGTCCCGATGGGAGATACCTGGCCAACATTGCGAGGATGCTCAAAGACATGTTCCTTGCGATCGATCCAAGTTCGAATCATATCATCCTTCATGCTGACAAGTTCAACATCACGAGGGGAGATTGACGCATCCGTAGCCACATGCGGGATCCAGCGCCATTCCCCGTGAACGGTCTTGAGGAGAGCAAAGAAGGATGGGTACCCCTCGCCTTTGTCGGTGAACTTGAGACGTAGAATGGAGCGTTCGTACCAGCTTTCTGGATTGAGATATTCCTTGATGGCATCCTGGAGAAAAGCTGTCGAGATGGACAGGTAGGGGTGCGGGTTGGTGCTTTCCATAGGTGAGATGGGAGTCAGGGTAGAGGTGGCGATTGCTTGATCGTCCTCAGCATGAGATGCTGGGTGGGAATCACCGACGGAAGTAGTTTCTATCTGCGACATTGTGTCATGCTCGTCAGTCTGCTTTAGGATGCGCAGATGCTTTAGCTTAGAACCGAGCTGGACGATTTTGTCCTTGATGTTGGACGACATTTTGATGTCTTGTCGATGGTTTGTTTGGAGTTGTTCTCACGACTTTGCGAAGATCGGGAAAATGTTGAGAGTGATGCTAATAGACTTACCTTGGTCAAAACTCGAAGTCAGTGAGAAGATTGTAGAAAAAAGAAGAAGAAATAGAAGGAGGAACATGAGATTATTTATAGTTTTCCCGGGAGTCAGTTGTTACGCCATTTTTTGATGTTGTTCTAATGTTTTAGTATAGCATAAGCTGTGTTCTTTTGAACACCTTTTTGCATTGCTTTCAATGGTGAGTGTGACAGGCCTCGCATAAAATCACATTGACCATAAAATAGGTATACTATTCAGTTCAGGAGAAGCGTGAACCGCTGGAACAAGTTCAAACTGCGAAGGTGAATGCTAGGGATGATATTGATGAGGAACAACACTTACAAATAACCAACTTCAAAACACATCGAATCACTGTTCTACCAGAACGATATCATGAGTTTTCGCATTCCTGTAGAAGGAAACCAATACTGAAAACAAATCTTGCTATGTCACAACCATGCTAGTATGTCTGTCTGGTGGGTAGCAGGAAAGTTGGCCTCCCAAGTCTTAGGTTACAAGAATAAGTAGTCTAAGAGCAATAGCTCAAGAAACATAAACTGACCTACTGATTTCGTCTCTAATACTTTCAGCGGCTAATTGTTCTGATACCCTGAGGTGAGCTTTTATCGTAGTGAAGGGCGGGGTAAAGATAGCAAAGGACATAGTCACGTGTGTTACAATTGAACAGCGAGTCCGCAATCATAGTCGGCTGTCATGCCCTCAATAGCGACGCTAATCCCGGTTTTTACGGCGTATTATACATGGTACATTGTTGAGTTTCTCTTTTAAGTAGGTAGTAGTATGGATTTCGCAAATTAGCAATGAAAATAAGCATTAAAGCCGAAATACTTCCTTGATTGGTCCTTTACCCGGCTATTATCCGGTGTCGGCGTCACGGCAGGATTTAACAGATGTCTTCTGTTTGTTCAGCCTCACTACAATCCAGATTTAACTGTTGCCGGCACATTTAAATTTACTAACCTAGACCGAGAAATCACTTTTTCTCACTTATAGCCAATCTATCATCAATTATGTTTTGGCTTTGAGTTATCTATGACAAACTCTGTTTATTGTCCTCAAAATGAATGACCTCAACTGTAACGGCCTCAACGCCACGGAGTGCCTTTTACGCGTCACCACCAGTATACTCGAACAGCTAAAGGAAGATAGCAGCGAGTTCAACTGGGATCCCGCTAGCTTCGTCGTCACTCTCGTCATCGGTATCATTGCAGCTGCCTTTGCGTTCTTTGCCATTATTCAAGGGTTCTTGGCTGCCGGTCCAGGCAGACATAAATGTAGCAAATATGCTATTGGTACTTGGGCTAGTATCTCCAGGCGCAAGTTCGACTGGTCTGAACTACGATATCGCTCAATCGCTCATACCCCTATCATCAGCATTCAAGACCTGGTCCTCAAAATGGGATTACAAACAATTGACGGAACCCATCACATGGAGTGGGAGTGGAGAGACAATGGTTCTGGATGCTGGAATCAGGATCGACTCTTTCCAAAACTCAAGCACGTCACAAAAGAAGACTCTGATTATTTCCCTGCAACATGGCTTCGCCTTTTAACTCATACCGGACTGCATCATCCAGAGTTATGGAGAACAAATCCACAAGGAACAGACTACTTACCGTCTGACTTGGCAGCTGCTCCTGCATATTCAACTGTCGCTGATTTAATAAGCATTGCATCCATCACTGCTGGCAAGATACGATTCAACTCATTCGGTCACGGTACCGCAAAAGATGCTTCCATGCGAGGCGAATACATGGATCTCAATTTCCGAAGCCATCCTCTTCTGGGTGTGTATGCTGTAATTGATCAAGCTATTCCATCTGGCAACGACATTTTCGAGCGTCATGATATGGGGAGATACCATCGCCCATCCGCACAGAAGCTACTAGTCAAATTAGCGTATGGTCAAGGATTCCTGCTTAGCGTTCAACATCTCCAGGCTGATAGGGAATATGATCCCGCCTCTATGGACTTGAGACTGTGGTCTGCCGAGAGGATGAAGAATTTTTTTACATCTTTAATCAACAACGTATATACGTATCGATGTGATTGTAGAACAAGCGTTTATTCACAAGAACACGATGCCAGAGATCACGGAGAAGTGATGTTCGAATGGTGCCGGGCTAAAAGGGTTCAAGACAACCGTTCCCTAACTTGGGCGCCTGATCCTTTGCTTCTTGGTGAAGGAGATGTATCAATACTTGCAGCTGCTGTGCCACTCACAAGAATAAATCTTTTCCCAAAGAAGCTGGCTAGAGTTGGTGACAAATTTATCTTTTTGGTAATTCTCAGTCGCTATTGCATGAACGCCGATATCTCTACGAGCGAAACTATATCAGCGACAAACGCTGATTCTGAAGTGGAAAGTAATAGTCTTCCGTCTTTCCAAGTTTCCCCAGAACTATGGGGATATTTATGTGGATACATAGCTGGTCTGGGGGGGCCAGTTGATGTTCACACATATCATAGCATTTTCGGTGTTCCCAGCAGTCATGGGCCAAACATCATCCGAAAGGAGCTTGATCGGATTGACTCATGGATCAAAGAGAACCAGCAAGAAGATGTAATGGTGTGTCGTATTATGGCTCTGGCTTTCACCACGGCAGTGTGCAAGGAAATGTACCAAGGAGATCAGCGAGGGCGAAGATGGCCAATCGAGTGCGACATCACGCCAGGGGAACGCCACAACATTGATGAGACGATCAGCTACGAGGATGAAGTCAAACCCAATTCCTTAGAAGCTGTCACCGACCTCATAATCCGTCAGGTCCAGAAATTACGGAGATATGAACAAAATCGTCGACCCGGAACACTTTCGGTGAACGATTATTTTACCAAATCTTGCAAAGACCTTCACAAGTTTTCGGGGTGGACACCCAACGAGAAGCCTTTCAGATTTTTAGAGTATATGGAGCATATTACGAAGCTCTGGGAGAAGGATAAAAATGACTTCAAGTATCCAACCAAGCAGGTGCAGCATTATCTAGACGATATTCTTGTCTACCGCGCCACCTTGATCTACATGGTGATTTCACAGGCTACAGACAACAGTCATATTCTCACCAATCCTGAAAATTACAAGCTAATACCCGTGATCTGATTACACGAGCGGGAATCTTTTATAGTACGAAAGTAATTGGTTTGGGGGGCAGTGGATAGTTATCAGTATAAATGGAATAGATATTTAGCATATAGAAATTTATATAATTAAAATTCTTCTGTTGTTTATGCCTTAAATTATAGACAGTAACACTGCCTTCTAATGCAGAAACATTGTCCATATTAAGGGAACAATTTATTAAAGATTCTTTTCTCAATAGGCTAATTGAAGATATGATACCGCAGAGATAGTTGACAGATGCCCTAAGTATACCATTACAATTGATTCAGGGATGCCCTCAATAGCTACGCCAATCGCGGGTTTGTGGCTTATGCATTATACGTTGTTCAGCTACTATTTATAACGTAACACAGATCAGGCAGCAGCTCGGTCTAAATATCTCTGACTGGCTGGTTTTCTAAACTGCGGGGATGAGCACTTGTGAGACCACACAAGGCAGTCAGCACATCCGATCAAAGAAGGAATCGTCAGCATAAAAAGGGACAAGACGCCCAACTTCAGTCCCAACCCTCCTTTTCAAATTTCTCTGTTCTTCACATAGTTTTGAGTGCAATGGCGGACCTGGACATTCTGGGTATTGCCCAACTGGGTACCAAGCTATCAGGTGCACTTGACCTACATGCTGAGACATGTCACCAGGCCCGAACAAATGGCATTCTCAAACTTGTTTCCCTCATCCATTCGACATCAAGTACACTTCTAAAAGTACACGAACTGTCTCAACAAGCTCCTGATGCTTTCACCGAAGTTTGCATAGATGACATCAATGGCCTTGCCGCTACGTGCAGGGTTTTGTTCGAAGGAACCCTCGTCCTGTTTACCAACAGAGAAACACACAGCGAGGAAGACAGCCAAATTGGCACCATGACACAAGAACAAGTCGAATCTCTTCTCTCTTCTTTGGCGGTTAAGATATACCCGGGTTACAAAGTCTGGGAATGGCTAGGGCCTCGTCTTAAGATCTGTCATCAGGAGTTGAGACAAGTCAAGTTCGAGCTCATGTTACGTTTTCTTCTTGGTAGTATTGCTCAGTTCCAATTGAGGTTTATATTTCCTTGCGATATATCTTTGGTGGAAGATGCTGATCTTCTCTTTTCAGCACTACAACACGTTCTCCAGGCGATTGGGGGAGCGAACGAGCGATGCGATTTTCTGCTGAGAACATTGCTAAACGGCGCGTCGCATACCATAAAAAATACATTGAGAAGCGGAAAGATTGGACAAAGAAAGACGATTCATCATCTTCGCCTATGGACTCTATTGAAGAAAAGGGAAGTGTTGTTACAAACTCAAGGTAAAGTCTCCTATCAAAGGCGTATGATGTTGTTTTCTGACACTGAGTTTTAGTTCTGTCACGATGACACCCTCATCTGTTCAGGTCAGAGATTTGATGTAAGTTGGGCCGCTCCTGTCTGGAACCTCACCGTTATACTAACACTCCGGATAGGGACAAGAATACAAATGATGCGAAAGACGTCAGGCCCTCAGTCAACAATGAATCTCCTGTCCCCACGAAGCCAACTCCTCGAGAGAAAGACAATGCTATCCCGATCTCTTCAGGTAGCACTTCTTACCTAGACACCCCTTCTAGAAACTGGTTCCAACGTTTGTTCTCGCGTAATTCTTTCGATCAATGGACGTACGAGGATATCGAAGCATATACGATCCACTTCGTAAACGGCAAGAGGGACGTCACAAAGCTGCCACTAGAAGAGAAGGAAATTGTATCAACCCTACGAAAGTTGGCTTCCAAGCGTTTTTGGGACAGTCGTCCTGCGTTAATGGAACAATACACCTCACTTGACCGTACCATTCGTCAAGACGTTGACGAGGGTATCTCAGCTGCGAAACGAAAGAGCTCTCGCGAGATGACTCTTGTCGCCATGTCGGCCAGGAAGAAAGACTCATTCACTAAGATCGAAAAGGGGGGTTGCTCCACTACAGAACTGCCAATCACGCTTTTCTTCAAGCTCGGTGCATCATATGCACCTATTTATATCGTTGATACAAACAACGAGAAGTGGGCTGTTCCTTACAATTCTTGCTATACTGTAGAGGTATGTTAGAATATTCTCCTGTTTGGTCTCGATGTGGCATTTGCTTATCACACTAGATGATACGAGATTTGATCCCATCACTCGGCCGCTTCAGTCTATATAAGCCTCCGGGAATTAACAACGGCAATTATACGATACTTGCGGACAATAACATGACTGTCACACCAGAGGTCTGGGATTCTATTCGTCGGCCCGGTATAATTTTGAGGTTGAACACCCTGCCATTTCCACCGCCGTCATGTGGTGCTCCACCTGTAAGAGGTTTCATGTGCCCTCCGCCAACATCACTCAAGAGGACGATATTGAGGGATATTTACCAAGAGATGAATGACTTTCTCAAGCTGTCTCATTGTTGGATGCCGGACGAGGAAACGATGAAACATGTGGGGCTGGAAAATCTTCTTCGTCTTTGGACGAATGCCATTGACACTGAGGCTCAAGACAGTGATGATTTGTCAGATTCGAGTTGTTCTTCTGGGAGCGATTTTTATGACTAAATAGACTGAGCTGAATGGGCTCGGTGTGGCTTGGGTATGGAACCAGATTGAGAATAGCGATACATGTCGTCGATAGCTACGAATACGAGATGTTATCAGATATCTTAGATCCCTTCAGCCCTACAGCACACACATCTTGGGTTACAGTGACTAAGTTAGCAAATACCGATGGATAGAAACTGAATGGAGCGGTGCACTGATTAGGTAGGTCCAAACCATGTGGGTTTTAACCCCATCAAATTGGTCCAAGTGCAGCTGTCAAAGGCCACCTCCAGGTTTTGACATGCGGATACCTCCTAATATCGGCTACATAAGTAAATCCACATTGGAAGAGCGCGGTGGCTGGTCACATCAGCAAGTTTTAGACAAAAGACGGTGACCAAATAATCTAAAGCCAATTCAACTCTTACGATGTCGGAACGATAACCATCGTAAAACAATCCTTTCAAACCATAAAATATCGCAAAATTAATCTATTCATTCGCCATCGCCTCCACCGAGCAATAGTTAAGAGGCTAGAGCCGATATGTGGAGATGTAGATTTTATCGCACCAAACTAGATTCAACCAATGTCCCACATCTCGCCCCTGAGAAGACCCATAATCTTCCCCATTGCCACCTAGTTCTAGGGGACACCGCGCGCTAGTAGTGAAAACTTCGAATTGCGCAATCGGAGGAGCCAAAGAGCCTCCAAACTTCAGGAGTCCTTCTTTTTCTTTATATACAAAGCACAACTTACTTTCTCTTGGCGGGTCTTTTGTTTCTGTCAATTACGTTACATTTATTTATTGTTGGTAATAATGGCGCCTGATTATCCTCACGACGACGCTATTGAGACTGCTCCCCCCGTGGACGCGTCGTATGGACATACCCATGAGAGTGATGATGAGAAACCTGTTCTCAGCAATGGTGGTGAAGGTCCTACGCAAAGACGATTGAAGGGATATCACATCACTTGGATTGGTCTTTGCGGTGGTATCGGAACGGGACTTTTCATTGGTGCTGGTTCAGCTTATGCTACCTCTGGACCTGCTGGTTTGCTATTGGCTTATTTAGTTGTGGGCGCTGTCCTTTGGTCTGTTATGCAGAGTATCTCTGAGCTTGCGACACTGGTACGTTTAACGACAATTGATGGAAAGGGAAAATACTGACTCTGCTAGCTACCTACCGCTGGTTCATTTCCTCACTGGGCAACTCGCTTCATCGACCCTTCAGTCGGTTTCTCCCTCGCAATCTCATACGGCTACTGCTACACCATCTCCATCGCAGCAGAATGTTCAGCATCCGCAGTTCTCGTCAGTTACTGGACAGACATCACTCCAGCAGTCGTCATTACCGTCAGTCTTGTTCTCATCCTCTGGATCAATTTGATGGACGTCAGATTCTTCGGTGAGGCTGAAGTCGTGACCGGTGCCATCAAGGTTCTCTGCTTCTGTGGTCTTGTCGTTGTCGCTATTGTCATCACTGCTGGTGGAGGTCCCAAGGGTGACGCGATTGGCTTCCGATACTGGAACGACCCCGGTGCTTGGGTGGACTACAACGGCATCACTGGTTCATCTGGACATTTCCTTGGTTTCCTCTCAGCTTTTGTAAACGCTTCGTTCTCATTCATCGGTGTTGAGACTGTCGTTATCACTGCCGCAGAGGCCATCAACCCCCACAGGGAAATCCCCAAGGCCGCCAACCGTGTCACCTACCGCATTGGCTTTTTCTACATCCTGGGAGCTTTCTTGATTGGTCTCATTGTCGATCCCCGCAACGAGGGTCTTGTGTCTGGCTCTGGCAACGCCAAGAGTTCACCTTGGGTTATCGCTATCCAAGCTGCTGGCATCAAGGTTCTGCCTTCGATCATCAACGCTTGTATCCTTATTTCTGCTTGGTCTGCCGGTAACTCGTACTGCTGGGTTGGATCTCGCATGATTCTCGCCATGACTACAGACCGACAACTTCCTCAGTTCTTTGGTCGCACGACCAAGAAGGGTGTTCCTTACGTCGCCGTCATTACCTCGTGGCTGTTTGGACCTTTGGCCTATCTCAGTGAGTTTCCTTTACCAACACATTAGTTTTTGGATGATGAACTAACAATTTCCAGGTCTCGGTTCCGGTGGTGCTGCTCAGGCTTTCGACTGGCTACTCAACCTCAGCACAGTAGCAGGCCTCATCGCATGGGCCACTCTCTGCTTCTCCTACCTTCGTTTCTACCGCGCTATGCAGGTCCAAGGTATCAGCCGTGATACTTTGCCCTGGAAAGCACCTTTCCAGCCTTACACTGCCTGGTTCGGTGGTATCGGCTCGGTCATCATCACTCTTCTCTGCGGTTTTCCTGTTTTCCTCAAGGGTAACTGGAACACTGCAGACTTTATTGCTTCTTACATCGGCATTCCCATTTTCATCATTCCCATCATTGGCTGGAAGCTCGCCTATGGTACCAAGTTTGCACGGGCTAAGGACATTGATGTCTGGTCTGGTCGTTTGTCGGTTGAGGAACCTACTGGCCAGCTGTCTGAGAAGACTGCCGTCTAGCCTTTTTACACGTGTCAGACCTATACTCCTAATTCAACCGGAGTCAGTCGCTTCTAAGCGTTCTTTCAACAATTCTAGAAAAGTCATTTCTTCGCAAGCATTGCACATTATTTAGACATATAGACTAGCGATCAAACTTACATTAATAATATCATTACCCAACATGTTATCTACCATCCCGCGTTGAAATGCATGCATTAACAATTTACCTCGACGTTAAGGCTTTCGCGCATGCGAACATGGTATGGTGACTGTAGGTCGAATTGTTCTAGAAACACCAAGTGTATGGTGGGGCACATCTCACGACTGAGTCTCGAACACGTTATCAACAACTCAGAACATCAAAAATGCCAAGAATGTCCAAGAGCGGCAGTTACAAACTTTCTGACTCAACAAAAGAACCAATATTTCTACTTTGAATGACGCAATTAAAGCAGTAATTCAGCTTATCGGATATCCTCCTTCTCATCTCGTCTCTATCCGCATTGACGCAAACAAAACACCAATAACAAGGTACATAATATGCCGCGAATCAGGAACCACCCCAGAACACGATAACCGAAGTGCGTTGTCCATCGGAGGTGTTTTCTCAATTGATCATCGTCTCACATATAAACTAACCTATTAAGCATATACCATTGCCGAGGCCACTTTCCTTTCGCGGAGTCAACAACCGTGTAGTTCTTGTCTATGATTCGCTACATGTCGGCGCTTAAAGAGGAACCTTTGCTTCTGCCGACCCCTCCTAACCAAAATCATGGCTGATAATGCAACCTTGGCCAGGGGCTTTTCAGCTTCCCGTTTGGGAAAGGTACTTTGCGGAGATATGGGAGCTTCCGTGCTTGATGTTGTATCACCTTAATTACCTACCTTTTTGGAGACAAGGTCCGGGTCTGGCCAAGATGGCATCATTGACAGAAGTTCGATAGCGTTATCAGAAGGTCTGATGATCAAGATAGTCTCGACGATCGTCATATTAAGAGAGAGAGTATTATAATCAATTGTCGCGATTGACTATAAAGTCAAAGCCGCCAGCCACTTACTTATTCACGATTCTCTTCAACCCCGCACCTCATTCAATCTTTACCCCATCTCTTGTGCGCTGTTGATCCTCGAGAACGAAATTGCCAAGATGCGGTCTTTTCTTCTCGCTCTTCTCCCTCTGGCTTTGGCCACGGCTGTTCCTAGCTCCAAGAAGGTTGACTACAATGGCTTCAAGAGTCTTCGTGTCACCCTTCCCAAGGGCGCTGATGCTGAGGCGATCAACAAGCTCGCTGCTACCATCCTGAACCCTGGTGCTGGTGAGGAGCTCGACATTGTCGTTGCTCCCGAGAACGTTGCCAAGGTCACCAAGCTTGCCGCTGACACGACTGTTTTGGTCGAGGATGTTGGTGCTGTCCTTGCCAAGGAGGAGACTTCCACTGTATATGCTGGTATGTTCAGTCATTAGGACGATAAGAACAATGCTTACTATGTGCAGTTCCCAGCGAGACATGGTTCACCGCCTACCACCCCTACGCTGATCATCTTCAGTTCCTCACCGACCTGCAGACTTCTTACCCTAGTCAATCTGAGGTCTTTAAACTTGGAAACTCTGTCCAGGGTCGTGCTCTGACTGGTATCCACATCTGGGGAAGTGGAGGCAAGGGATCCAAGCCTGCCGTCGTCTTCCACGGAACTGTCCACGCTCGCGAGTGGATCGCCACCATGGTAAGATATGATTGTTTCTGTTGATGATATATGGCTAATATTGTTTCGTCAAGACTGCCGAGTACATGGCCTACCAGCTGTTGACCAAGTACAGCACCGACTCTGCTGTCAAGGCTCTCGTCGACAAGTACGACTTTTACATCACCCCCATTGTCAACCCTGACGGTAAGTCTTTACAAGAAGCTAGGGGCATTACAGTAATGCTGACTCATAATTATAGGCTTCGTCTACACCCAGACCACCAACCGTCTCTGGCGCAAGAACCGACAGACTGTCTCTGGAAGCACCTGTGTTGGCCGTGACGTCAACCGCAACTGGCCTTTCAAGTGGGAGTTGACCGGTGGTGCCTCTACCAACCCCTGTGACGAGACCTTCAAGGGCCGTGCTGCTGGTGACGCCCCTGAGAACAAGGCTATCGTTAGCCAGATTGACTCCTTGGCTGCTGGCCGTGGTATCTCTTTCTACGTTGACTTCCACTCCTACGGACAGTACATCCTCTGGCGTAAGTTCATCCATCATCTACTCATCATGTCCCAACTAACATTCTTACAGCTTACGGCTACGACTGCAGCGTCGTTGCTCCTGAGGAGACTCGACTCTCAACCGTCGCCGCTCGCATCAACAGCGGTATCCGTGGCCAGTCCGGTCTCTCTTACACTGCTGGTAACTCTTGCCGTGCTCTGTACGCCACCACCGGTGACAGCATCGACTACGTCCAGGGTGTTGCCAAGGCCAAGTACGCTTACACCATTGAGCTCCGAGACAAGGGTACCTACGGCTTCAGCTTGCCCGCTAGCCAGATCCAGCCTACTGTTCGCGAGACTTGGGCTGGTGTTGTTGCTGGTCTCCAGGCTATCTAAGAGAATGGGAAAGTTTCGGCTTGAGGGCTGGATTTGGGGAGATTATGAGATTGTTGGATGGTAGAATAGTTGGTAGTACATAAATAAACATTTGCCGACTCAACTAATTTTTTATTTGGTATCGCTCAGTGCTAGTGAGTAACCCATTGGCCCTACCCTATAAGGTAGACATTTTGTCCATATAACCTTCCGTCAACCACATTGTAGCATATCATGGGAATTCTGAATGAAAATGTATATATGAATTTTAAATAACCTCAACCACATTATTTTTACTAAAACTCAATCTGTTGGACTGCATGTTGGTAACTGATCTTTTTTGACGATTCCATACTTCTCCGTAACCAAACCATTCAAACTCCAAGAAGAAACCTCTACCTACTTGATTGATGGGGTTTTCCTCAAAGCCTGATAGGAACCTTTATCTGCAATAATCTCGTTCCGACATATAGAGACAAAAATGTGAATCTTGTATTAAGATGTTCTTATCATCGACTGAAATACAGTCATTAGTGGTAAACTCATTTTTTTCTAGTTCACAATTACTTATCACGATAGCATAACACTATGAAGTGTTTGTGCACGCTTGACCACATGCGGATAGGAGCTGACACGGATGAACTATGTTCCGACCGACCCGCTTGGCACAGCGACATCTCATTGGTGGATCATCCGTGGCTGCCCTTGCATGACCGTCAGTGGCAGGAAATGCTCGCCCTTGGCGTGTATGAACAACTTCGATGTCGGTGGATTTTGACGTACAGTGTTATCAAAAATAAGTAAATGACGGGATGAGGAGTTTGCTTTCATCATCTGTAATTGATGTCATGAATTATCTGTAGCAAGTTGATGATATGTACATAAGAAATCCGCTGAAGTAAGCCAGAATAGGAAAGTATGCTGACAGCCCCACAAACGTGAGCAATCTTCAACGATAACCCGAGCCTCCCTTTCGCTTCTTCTCGCATTGTCGATCCCCGAAACTTATCTAGGCCTGCCATATTTTATATGTAGAACTAGCTCTGTTCATTACGATTTAAGTTCGCTGCCAAGTCTCAGACTTACCCCAGTAAAAACCATGTCCGGAGACTCCCGCTCATCTCAATCACCTCAAGTGCCCTCAGGTTCAGAATCAGACTTGGGCGCACTCTCACCATTCTCATGCCAACTATGCAGATTCAGAAAATTAAAATGCGACAAAGCGATCCCCATGTGTGGCCGTTGTGCCAAGACCAACGAGAAATGCGATTATCCGGCTGCGCGAAAAAAGCCTGTGATTAATCCGGCTATGAGACCGCGATTACGCGACATGCAAAGTCGAATCCGTACGTATTACTTACTTCTTGATGCACAGTGAAGATATTGACTGGTGTAGGGGATTTGGAGGCGAGACTGGAATCACAGAATAGTCCGCCCGAGTTCCAACCCTTCAGTACGGAACTCATTGACACGGGTCGATTTGAGAGGTTGCCGCCTCCTCATATTGTTGATGAGCTGTGAGTGAGAACTGAGAATTTATATGAGATATAGAGATCAATAAGTCTAACATAGATTGAAAGAACGACTATTTACTTCACGAAACTCCAGTCCGACTCATTCATGATTCATGGTGAGAGATATATTGCCTCTCTGTACAGACCGACACATATGCAACCACCCATGTGCCTACAATATGCGATATTGGCCGCCGGGGCAAGTGCATCGCAGACGTATGGGCATATGGCTGAGGCATTCTATGTACGAGCGCGGCAGTATATCCAAGCAGACGAGATGAAGGTATGCATACATTCACTGAACATGTCAAAGTGCAAAACGCTGATGTCTTAACAGAGTGATAGTGAACAGGTTTCACTAGCCCACTGTCAAGCTTGGGTTCTCATTGGTCATTTTGAAGCACAACATCTATGGTTCTCGCGAGCGTCGATGAGTATTGCCAGATCTATTCGATTGGCTCACATACTTGGTCTGCACCGTCTTGATGGCAAAAATTCCGCTGGCTTGACTTTACCTCCGGCACTGGACTTTACCGAAGAGGAAGAACGGAGGAAGACATTTTGGGTTGTCTTTACGACCGACAGGATCACGAGTAGTACTGGTGGTTGGCCCACAATGATGGACTGGCGAAGCGTACGTACCTCTAACTCTCGATTGACATCTCAACTAATTTCGACCAGATACAAACACGGTTACCAACGTCGATCGATGCCTTTCTATCCAGTACTCCAGTACCTACCATAACCCTCAAGCAAGCTCTCGGCCAAGGCATGTTTGAGCTTTCCACCAGCGCATGCAGAGTCATCGCAGTTCACTTGTTCAATGAGTGTTTCAACTTCTCCCGAGCAAGCGAGGAAGATGAAGATAACAATGATTGGACCCAACTGCAGAAACTAGACGAGGCTGTGACCAACGCTTTCGCAACTTTGCCTTCGGACTTGCGATGTCCGGAGAACATGGACAATCCCGCTGCTGTTCTTATTAACCTGCAGCTGCACACAGCAATGATATGCATTCACCGTGCAGTGACGACTCGTTCACAGATGGACATGTCTCTGCTTCCACATATCAACTCTCGCGTCATGGAATCTGCGCTTCAAATCATGATGACTGTGGCACTTGTCTCTGACCTTGGTATCAGATTCCGAAACCCACTGGTGTCATTCGCTACTTTCGTCGCAGCATCATTTTTCCTAACGGACTTTACAACGAGTGGTAATCGTCAAAGCGAGGACAATTTCACGGCTCTCATGAGTGTCATGAGTGAGGTTGGCAAGACCAACATGTTTGCGGCTTCACTAGCTGTTCGGTTAGCGCATAACATGAGAGCTTGTGCTGTGGATCACGGCACTGTCGGGAAGGTGAGTTGCAAAACATGTCAAAATTAAGCAATAACTAATTTATTCGACAGGTTGAGATGTTAATGGCTGATCTCGATATTGACGCGCCAATTCCTGGTCAAGAAGATGCGGAGAATGGGATTGTGGTGCTTTGTCCAATTGTACCAAAACCGGGACCGATTAGCTTGGATGATGGTCTGTTTTGGTAGACTGGACTTGCCTGTCGGGCTTATCTCGCTGTTATGCAATAATTAGAAAGTAGATCTGATCTCAATACGAATTTACTTTAAACGATCACAGCCCACGATTAGATTCGGCCGAAGCGTGGGTCAAGGCTCGGGCCTCGTTCAGATTCGTATACGAACCTCGCTCAACCTCGCTCGCGCCCGTGGCCAAGCCACAAAAAAAAACGACAAGTTCCACTAAGGAATTGCAAAGCGACGTAGAGTCCCTGGCAATCCCGAGTCATCAGCTTGTATAAAGTATTAAAAGTGTCTGCTCCTTTCCCATCACATGTCTTTCGTTTCCTTCCATACCGACAGTCATCTTTGAGCGTGTTTTATCATTTTAATCATGGCCGACGCTTCTTATGACGCCGATGCGTTCGACTTTAAGCTCTACCGCTACGACCCTTCACTACCAGCAGCAGTCGTTAGCGTCGTCGTTTTCGCCATTCTCACAGCAGCCCATACATGGAGATTGATCCGTGTGCGGGCTTACTACTTCACAGCATTTACAATCGGTGGCCTCTGTAAGTTGACAAACTACCCATCATCTCAACCAGCTTCAGCTAACAGGTTATTTCTCAAGTCGAAACAATAGGTTACGCCGGTAGAATATGGGGTCACTTCGATAAAGAATCCGTCGGCGGCTTCGTCCTCCAAGCCATTCCCATCCTCGTCGCACCCGCTCTCTTCGCCGCATCGATTTACATGATCCTCGGCCGATTGATCCGAACCGTCGGCGCGTCTCATTTATCGCTTATACCTGTTCAATGGGTTACACGCATTTTTGTGACTGGCGATGTCATCGCGTTTGGTCTCCAGGCTGGTGGCGGAGGAATTCAGTCCGCCGGTACACTGGACCTTTACGAGATGGGCGAGAAGATCATTATCGCAGGTCTATTGGTTCAGATTGTGGTCTTTGGCTTCTTTGTCGTCACATCGTTCCTTTTCCACTGGCGATTGAAGAAGTGTCCTACTCCCGAGTCTTTGCGAGGTGTCGTCCCGTGGCAGCGATATTTATTCGTCCTTTACGTTTCGAGTTTTCTTATCCTCGTCCGAAGTATTTTCCGCGTGGTGGAGTATCTACAGGGCAACAAGGGATATCTCATTTCACACGAGGTCTACTTGTATGTGTTTGATGCTATTCTGATGGCTCTTGTTATGGTCATTCTTGTGGTCTGGTATGTCGAGTCGTTGCAGAAGGACACCAAGACTTCGGATGCGGAGAACGTCGAATTGTCGGCGTATGAGACCTCTGAACTCAGCGACGACCGTCAGCGACGGAAGTAAGCCAGCAGCTGTCTGGGAACTTCATTCACAGCGAGATTTATCAGAATTCATTCTATCAGTTCCGGTGCTTGTTCATTACCATTTTCTTTGTTCGCCGATGAAATAGACTAGTTTGCATCTTGAATAGAATCAGCGTCATTTTCTTGAAGTTCTAAAGCCGTAATGACATTGTCAATTGAGTTCGACCTGACCATTCATCCGTACCGTCTCGGAAACGTCCGAACTGGAAAAGACACGACCGGGATCTCCGTTGGCAGCTAACTATTCTTGGTTAAAGATTGGCAAGTGGTGGATCTGGATGAACGATCTTCCCAGATTGACCTATCAAGCAGCCAAGCCACGTCCGACCATCTTCGCTCAGACCTCGTTTGACTTCGTATCGTGCCGTTCAATTTCCCCAACCAACAAAACCTAGCATCTCGCTCCCTTACCTCCAACTTTCTTTTTTCCCATCTAATTCCTCGTTTATCAAAATTTTAATTACTAGTCTCACCCTTGCCATGAGCGACGCAGAAGATGACGCATCAGCCTTAAGGAAGGGTGCTAAATTGCGTCGTGGCCACAAAAAGGTGAAAACGGGATGCACTGATTGCAGGAGGCGTCGTGTAAAGGTGAGTACAATCTTAGCAAACAATACAATTGATACTGATGCGGTTAGTGCACTGAGGAAAAGCCTAAATGTCGTGCTTGTCAGCGACGTGGAGCTGAATGCGAATACCCATTTTCCCAAGCAGGATCCCTCTCTGTAGACCACCCTTCACATTCACCAGCCTCGCATGCCAGCTTTGGACCCTCGCCTCGGCCTCGACATTTTTCTCCACTTCCTGGTCTCGCAGCTATCCTAAGAGAGCAACCATCAGATCAAGCGACTACCGAATTTGGAATCAGAGACATGGCACTTCTCCATCATTGGACCATCTCCACCTGCCATGATATATACAAGAACTCAGCCTTGTCGCTTACGTTTCAACACACATTTCCACAAATTGCCTTCAAACATCCGTTTGTGATGCGGCTTCTGCTCGGTCTTTCTGCTCTCCACCTCGCATACCTCCAGCCAAACGAGAGATTGAGACATGTAGGAGAAGCTTCCCGTTATCACAACCAAAGCTTGAAGGGTTTTAACGAAACAATAAAGCTACCTCCGGAAGAAGTCTCTGATGCATTATTCGCATGGTCATCACTCAATGCGCTCTATGTATTCGGTATTCAAGGTCGCCTGGGTCATGACCTTTGGGATGATTCAGAACGGATAAGCCGTAAAGATCGTATACTGGGCTTGAGCTGGGTTCCAATGCTCCGCGGTGTTCAGACTATGATCGATCCGTGTTTTTACGAATTGAGAGATGGTCCCTTGAGGGATCTCTTGACGATTGGTAACTTTGACGAGCTGGACCTCAACCAGCACTCGCACCCTGCTGATCAGCATTTCTGTCGCACGAGAGAAGTATGGAAGAGCAACCCCGATGAGCAAACGTACGAGGACACATTACAAGTCCTCAGAAGGTGCCACATGTTCATGGAACAATTCTCGTCAATGGAAATCGAGTCACCAGGCGAGTCAATCTTTAACAGATCATGGCAAGGTGCCTTCTTACTTGTGCCATTTGCCCCCGAGGCGTACTTTACATTGTTGCAACAGCGACAGCCACCAGCCCTGATATTGTATGCGTTTTACGGAGCACTTTTGCATCGATTTATGCACGATACCTGGTTTATGGAAGGATGGGGTCAAGATATAGTGGAGGTAGTAACGGATTTACTGGGTTCATATTGGAGGGAATGGATTGCTTGGCCTCTTCAAGTTGTCGGTACAACATCATAAACATAGGAAACTTTAATCTAATTGACATTTATAACCATAATCCCCTGTCTGGAAACGTCTTGACCAACGCCTTTAAAGATAACATCGAAATTACGCGCACGACGAGAACGCTCCCATGCTGTACCCTTTACCACCCCTTCTCTCGTCCAAGATGGCAGTTATCTCAGATGGATGGAACCAGTTGAAGATTACCATAACGAGGAACATCAAGAGTGCGTCGAAGATGTAGAGATAAATCTCATGCTGAAGAAGGAAACCGCTGTTGCCTTGCAAATACTCAATCGCTCTGAAAAGTGATCGAACCATGATAAGGAAACTGCAAACGTAAAGCACCATCATGTGCTTCTTCCATGGGAGTCCGCTGGTCGACCGGCCTGTTGGGTTTTCACTGATAGCTCGATGAAAGGATATGGCGATGATGACAAAAACGCCGAAGAAGATCAGTTGGACAAATAATCCAGCAATAATGATTTTCGCTCCTGCATCTAACGCCTCGAGTGTACCAGAAGACTGGTAGCCACCACCTGTGTCCGCATATTAGTATCAATTTCACAAAGCATGCGCCAGAGTTTACTAACCTCCACCTTGCAGAAAGAATGATAGTATGTCTCCAGTCACAAAGATCTTAGTCATCCACTTCTTGCTGATCATCACCCGCCCTTCTCCATCAATCATCTCAACGATTCTACCAAGCTCCATATAAATGGTGGCAGCAAAGAGTGCTGGAGCGACGAGCAGAAAGATACTTTGGATGATATAAGGGCCCAATTCCCAATTTGGGGTTTCGTTGGCAGACTTGCATCTCGCAGCATATCCAATAACCTCAACTAAAAACAGATCAGCATGGATTTATGTTAAGCACGTGGTAAGGTTCATACGTAAACCACCAATAGCTAAAGGAATCGTAAACCAGGATCGTCCTCGGTAAAGTTGCCAGGTGTGAAAGATTGTGGTGCCGATATAAAGGAGGGTGAATATGACACCGCCAGCCATTGATGGATCGTAGTGATACAGCTTGAAGCCACCCGCGTCCCCGGCATCAGCCGATGCGTCTCGTTGGTACATGTCCATTGTTGGTGTTGAGGATTAAAAAGTCGGAAAAATTAGAGAATGAATGAAAGTTCAAATGATGAACAAACGTCTAGTAAAATATTGTCAATGAGCTGATGTGTCAATCAGAAACTCGAAAAAAAAATGATGGTACAAAGAGCGAAAGGAAAAGGAGGCTTGATTGTTCGATAGTCTAAATCTAATCTTTGGGAGTTTTGGCCATCTTTATAAATCTTCCATCGCAAAAACCCCTAAAATTAGACATGAGAAACTTGACCTTCATTAGCAAATGGTTGACAATTGGCGTATTCACGGGCCAAGCACTCCAGTAGTAGCAACGACTAAGCCACGCTCATGTTTCCCCTGCGTTTGACAGTCTCGTTCAACCTCGTTTAGCTTCGTTCACCAACGCTCGGTCATGTAGTGGATCTCAGATACCGTTTCAATGCATCGGATTTAACTCAATAAGGCTAGAGGAACTGGACCTGGCCGATCTGACAGCCGTAGTCAGGCGAATGAGATTGACCTTTGCTCAGACATCCACTCGTTCTTCTGGAACGCGACAAGGTGTCTTTTCGCTGATGTTTCTGGCGAATCAATGACTGTGCGTTCCTGAGCCGGAGAATTCTGCCTTGTCTTATCGGGGCCCCCGTCGTAGTCTAGTCAGGGATGGAAACGTTTAAATGCCAATGGTATTGCTACGGGCTTGATGTTGTCTGTGTATACGGGGAACGAGAAACGCGTACTCGGGCGTTAACTAGCGGACCGGACGGTCAATGTACGGGGCTATGTATACTACTCACGAATCACGTCTGTAAATTACAGGTTTAAGATTTCTACAGTTACAGGCGACTAGATAGTATCTGAAAGTTGCTTTCATCCAATAAAAAAAAAAAAAAAAGTGAAATGCAGATAGTAGTAGAAATGGGAGTTGTTAAATGTGTTATGCTGGGTTACAATACAGAGAGCCGATATAGTTGCTGTTATCAAACTCTCGCAGCATCAATAGCTATTCCTCCGATTCGGAGATCTCCCCGAATAGCTCAGCTGGAAGAGCGTTCGACTGTAATTGTTATATGTCATCGAAAGGTCACTTGTTCGATCCAGGTTTCGGGGAGCTGTTTTTTTGCATTTTCGCGCTGTTTTTTTCTTCTAGACTTTGGCTCCCCCTCCACGTGATAAATCCTTCCAATGCGTCAATTCACTTTCCCAATATTCAAGTTGGGACATGGAGAACTTAGAGGCATTGCCCATTTCCACGATAATTTTACTAAATCCACCGAATCATAGAATTGATTGAAATCTGACTTGAGTGACTCATAGAATCTTGCTTCATGATATTGATATCGATTCTTTAAAAGTTCTATGTGACAGCAACAGTTAACCATATTTTTCCCTAGATGTACCGTACCGTACTCTATATGCCAAAACCAACATTGCAACACTAAATGGAAAACCACCCGAATTTCTGAACAACAAGCGACCGCAAGCCAGGTATATCTGTTGGACTTATGTTAATGCCATCGGCCAAACTCAAGGTCACAAAAGCTGACCGACGGCAATTTACAGCATCTGGAAGTACAGAAACGCAGCATATACCTCGCCTGGCCAACTCAACTGCAATGCCAAAATGAAAAGGCCTCGAGTGTCGCGTGGCCTGCAATCTTCGTCGCCATCGAATTGGCACTTTCTGTCGAGACATTGAGTTCTGTCCAGAAGAGACCATTGGGGCCCCTCCACATCGGCGTCCTGCCGCGACGCTCACCTGGATGGCATACGAGGTTGATGACAATCAAAGGGCATCCGCGATTTTTTGCCATCTCGCTGTACTTCTCCATGGTGATTTGCCCATTCAAGTCGTCGACAATGAAATCCGTAAACACATAACAAGTGTTAAACGAATCTTTGGACTGCGCGACTGGGACCCCGTCTTCACGATAGCCGAGTCCCAGGAGACGTTTGACATCCCAAATCGTGATTTGATCGTCAAGTTTGTTGGCGACGACAGACGTCGGGACGTCTGGGTATCCGTTGATGAGGATGATGGGCAAAGCTGGTTGTCCGTGCATGGCTTGAGCCCAGATGTTAGCTTGACCATGACACAAACGAGGGAATGTTGGGGTCTGGTTAGACTTACTGGTATCTTTTTCGGAATTTGGGATGTTGTGAAAGGAAGTAGATGAAGAAATCTTTAGCAGTCTGGAAAGTTGTGGAAGGGAGTAGATGATAATATGTTAAGATGTCTTTGTTGTTGTATCATTGTAAGGGGGAGCGACTCAATTTATATTCCTCAGATCTGTGAACCGAAGTCTAAATGTTTGTGATGTTCTTTACATTCTAAACTGAAAGTATATACTAATGAGGAACTCAATACAGTAAGTTGACATCTTTGAAGAACTGACTTTCTTGATCAGATTTTCTTTGTGATACACAAGCTACTGAACTCTTTAATACGGGTTTTTGAAAGAAGGAGCTTTTGCTAGGCTGTACACAGTGGCTGTTCTCCTGCTCCCAACAATAGTTCAACAACTTCGTGGTGTCCTTTGACAATTATCTTGAAACGAATACAAACCGTCAATCTTGATCTCAGACACCGTCTAAATGTCCTTTTCATGAAATGAGTGTGATTTATTAAAATAGGACAAGGCTTTACCAGATGTCGTAGAACCCAAGTCACGCAGGATAACACAAGGTTGGTGGCAAAAGTAAACTTTCTTCATTGGATGCTTCATTTTGCTCTTCGTTGCTTGGTCAGTACATTCTTCTTAAACATCCTGAACAGAAGAACTATAGGAACAGTGATATTGCATGTAACCCAATCTGCCACACAGGAACTACAGCAAACTTTAGGTTTATGGCATTTTTGAGAGTACAATAAAATTCCTTTTGATTACGTTTTCTAGCCAAGGTAAGCAAGAAAAAAAAACCCCATCTTAGTAGCTCCCAGTCTCGGCTCGAGTTTTGCACAACGCCATGGCGGTGACCGCGCTCATCTATCATTACTGTAAAGCATGGCCACCTGCAGATGATTTCTCTTTTCTCTTCTCATCACAGTCCCATAACTATGGTGCACACTCGGCTTTACACAGCGATCTTCGGCACTTGAGCACACCGAACCAGACCAACACGCAATACCCACCCTTTCTCGTATCTTTATCTCTAACTCAAAACCAAAGCGAAGCGGGAGCGGATCAGAAGAGAAGGCCCTTGTGATTCGACATATCTGACTCCTTTAGGCAAATACAAGGGCAAAATCTAACGATATATCAACAAAATCTTAACCCAGATACAGTTTTAGAGTGGGGGTGTGTCTGCCATGCCTAATAAAATATTAGTTTTACATTTCAGAGAAACTCCTTCATCTTTCCACCTCTCAACAATAACATAATCTTACTATTCACAGATCCAAAACTATCAGAAATCCCCCAAATACAATCGCTAATTATCGAGTACGATTACGAATCACCATGAATGCAACACGTCGTATTTTATGTGAGGCGTGTCATTGGCCACGATCACCTCTCTGTGGCACCAAAACTCAGAAGCATAGCAATAACAATAGGAGATATAGTATTGAAAAGGATATTTCATTCGTGTAGCTCCGTTGCCACCTTTTCCACCTGGCACCATCGTTTCCTTCCCGCTTCCCCCAGCCGATAGAGGCAACATCCGCCGACAACCTTGTTCCACTGCTGCTGCTCAAAAAGCCAAATAGCGCGGGAGAACAAGCCTACTGCGATAAGGTACAGAAGACAGGTCGAAGTGACGAAAACATATTGTAGCTTTGCAGATGAACCGCCCCTGTACAGGTCCATGTTAGTTAAAGATACTTCAATGGGACACGTGGTTAATGGTCACACGTGGAAAGTATGTTTTTTTTCCAGACTGTAACCTAGTCATGAAGGGAACTTTAACGTAGTAAAACTCCTGTATATAACCTCAATAACAAAAAAAAAAAAAAAAAAAAAAAAAAAAAAAAATACAAATTGATCTGCAAAAGCTATAAGACTGTGATAACTGACTTTAGCTTTCGAATGTAATGTATAGCAATATTATATGAAGTTTCTTCTACGAGACATAATCAAGTCCTCCATTGAATGAGACGGTCCAATTTCGACTAAGCTTCTTCTTCTTCCTCCGATCCACACTATAATGAGCAACCGGAACACTTGACATTTCCATCCTTCTCGAAATACTTAGTGCCGCTACGACCTTGTCGGCCCGATGATCCAGGGTTTCCAGAATAACTCGAGCAAAGTCCACCACCGGGGAGCGAAGCAAAATCGCCAAACTGACAGTTCGGGTTGGAGTCACAACGACTCATACATTCTTCAATGTTGCCTACATAAGTGTTGAAGTCTATCTGATGGAAGAACGTGTTCGAATCGATGTTGACTTCCTGATCACAAATGATTTCGAACTTGCAGCTGCATGTACTTGTTGCCGCGTAAGTTGAGCAGACTGGACCGACAGAGCGCGTTTCAGTTGCAATCACGCTGGTCCGGTCGACATGGGTAGCCTCCTGGGTGATGGTGACGGTATCTGGATCGACAGTGGTAGATAGCGAAGCCGTGCTGGCTTCGAGGGTTGTTGACTCGGTGACATCAGGCAAGTAACGAGTAAGTGTGACTGTATATGTCTTGCCAGGGAGTGTAGTGGTGACAGTGATAGCGGGCCTAGTGGCGGTCACGACCAGAACCTCTGTTGCTGGCCTAGGACCAACAGTTACGATCTCGGGAGTTCTGGTAGCTGCGATGGTAGTCGCTTCAACACCCAAGCAAGCGCAAGCACTGCTGTATTGATCGGGATCGGTGCACGCGCTCGCGTAGGATGGGATGTCGGTTGGCTTGATGATGGTTCCGGTTTCAGCAGCGATATCGCGTCTTGCGAGGTTGCTATAGTAAGTAGTCTCGGTGGTACTAGAGGGGAGTTAGTGACAGTCACTTTCCACAACCAATTTAGTACACGCACGTGCTACGATCGGTCTCGACAACTGTTCTAGTCTACATCCATGTTAGTCGTCACGTTTTGACAAGTTTAAAGTCGAGAAATACTCACATTGACCTGGGTTTGTTGCTCAGGATCCGGTGTCTGAAGACGGTATTAGTACCGGCGCAACATAGTTTTGTTGAATTGTATTCAGCACTTACCACAGTAACAGTGACTGTCCTGACCGGAGGGGTGATAGAAACAGTAAAGGTCTCAGGCTCGAGTGTTAGAATGGTAAAAGCACTGCGAGATATCAGTTTTGTTCGATACACTCTGGGTCATCGAACGTACAACGCATCTGACTGTGTCGCCGTTGCTTCATCAGTCTGAGGACCCAAAGTCTCGGTATCAACCAGAGTCAGAGTCGATGGCTCTCCATATGTCTCGGTCAAGGTAGTCGGCACAGGGACCAGAGTGTACTGTAGAAATGAGGAACAGTCACTTTCGTGCTACGCCTGCATTCGCTTGTGTTTGCAGCTCGACAGTTTTCCGACAGCTCGGTTGCATGCGTCCTAATAGATGAGTTTTCAGCACATGAAACGAAACAACTCGCTGTGATGGAATGGCGTACAGGGATGCAAGTAGCTTGGCTTGTCGCATCCGCAGTCGCTGTGTCGATGGTCACTCGTATACTTGCGGATACCACTGCAAAAAGCAGGAAAGAAACAAGCGCTGTTCTCATGGTGATGGTGATTGAGAAGACGCAGAGAAACGGAACTACAAAATGCTGGACAAAAGAGCGAGTTCTTTAGTTAAAACATTACAGCTACAGACTGACACTGAATGCTTTCTTTGTTGACCCCTTTCGTTAGGCTGCCCCACGAAATTGCATGGGCTGCATTGAGCATAAGGCGTCACGAATCAGCCCTAGCATCTCAGACTATTGATTCTTAGTCGATTCAGATCTTTCGCAGCCAACAAGCCCACAGCCCAACGGTTTTTTTAGTCGATGCAATTTTATCTGTTCTCAAGACTAAGGTCAAATGGGAATTCCAGCTCTTTACTTGACAAAACATCCGCCCAATGATTTGCGAGGATACGAGTGAGATTGAAACTATCCATTCTATTTGGAAATTGATGCAAGCCACCTGATCCTTTCATTCGGCCATGTACCCCGATCTCTTCCCCTGCGACTCATGTCTATGGACAACAACGCCGTTCCCGTTGCGCGTGGCTTTCGAGTCATCGTTCCCGTTCCCCGATCAGATTGTTTCAGCCACAAGCCCCATGAACAAATATGTCCGATGGCAACGGGAGTATTCTAAAAGGAAGGCTTAATTCGCTCCAAGATCATCTATTGTTGAAACCATCTGCAAGACTTCTGTTCCATGAACAGAACTTATATAAATACTCACAATCAGCAGAATTGATTAAAAGAGATCTCTGATGCTTATTTTTGGCTTTGGCATTAGCGGGCTCTTTATCCCTATCTTGGCTTGGGACCATGCGTATCGCAGAGCCTTCGAAGAAGGAGGCAAAAAACATACAACAGCGGGGATTCGCTGGTCGTCACCGACCCAACTACTAATCCGCCCCTTACTAGCTTGACTATGGGAGAGCGGACGGGATCCCGTATTTTCTAGTAGGTATGGTCGTATGTGATTGATAAAATACTAAAGTAAAACTATGACTGGCCTCAGATGGGGATGTGTCCGCATGAATTCACCCATGATCTTGCCGTCTAACCATGAAGTCTCGTTACCATGCTCGTACTAGCAATTGTTTATCTGCTATATTGCATGGTACCAAGCAAGTGATTAGTTTGATATGCTTCTTCAAATACTACGCCAAACAATACGAGCTGAGTGCGTTTATGACAACGGAGAATCACGTAAGTCCTATAACTAAATCATTTGCCATGCTCTCAAATAAAGTACGAGCATCGTAAAGCTCCCACGATAGAATTGAGAAATTGTCTTTAGGTATACGCATCTCCTCATCGTCGGCAAATTGCTTCTCAATCTTCAATCGCTAAGTCAACTAAGTATATACTATAATATCAGATAACGAGTACATCTTACCTTTTTATAGAACATTCTAGCACGTACATCGTCACGAGTGATGGTATACCATTCGCTCATGTTGCGACTAACATGTTCCATTTCCATAACTGTTCTTGTAAGGTCTCTGGCCACCTGACTGCACTCGAACGGTTCCATAGGGATATCTGGTTTCTCTTTCCGGAGCAATTGTAGTTGCTCCTTCGGGTAAATCTGGTTGAGTCGCAACCCCAATTCATACGGAAGCTGGAGTTTTGCCCCAGCTCCGGATTTCGTCTCAACCACGGTGTTGTTTGTAACCGGCTCCGAGGGCATGCTTTGAGACATTTCTGGGTCTACTGTCTGCCTAGGACTAAAACTGTGTTCACCAGCCACTTGATTATCAGGGTTGACATTGGTCTCGCCGGTTTAATGCGGCTGCTGTGGTGACAATTGCTCTTGCCGTTCTCCGTCTTTCTGGGGTTGTTGTTTTCATATCGTGACATCGTGTCCTTGGAGGCTGAGTTGATATTGGCTTTCTTGAATCTGTGTCAGACTAGCACTCAGAGCAATTGTTTCTATTCCTCCTCTGTAACTCTGATTAAACCACAACCAGAGCTGACCCCATTTCTCAACATTCGGCGGAACTTGGTCCAGTTGGCTGAGAACTTGTGGAGGCACGTCCATCGATTCCATAATGACGGACTGCAATTCCGGGGCAATTCGAGGTGCCTGAAGTTCCTCTCGACTGGCTGACGTCTCACGATGCGCAGCTTGAGAATGGTTTGAACTGCTCCTCTTCGAAGCCAGCATGTGCCTCAGTACTGGTTTTGAAGCAATATTAGGATTGTGATTTCTCTTCATATGGTTTTTGAGAGCCGACTTCGATACGAAGGGGGGATATTGGCATCCAGGAACCGCACATTGAAATCTTCGAATGTGCTCACGTTCATGTTCCTTGAGAAGCTCTGCAGTGTGGAAGCCAATAGTTGCATACGAGCATGATGTCAACCGGCAAGTGAAAGCAGCAGTACAGAAATTAGCTTTGAATGACTCCAATTCATCGGGCGATAGGTCGGGATGATAGGTTTTGCTGAGCAAGAACTTGACAATCTCCTGGTAAGACGCCAGCAGCGTCTCGATCTTATCATGAACGAGCCGAGTTGTCGAACCCTTCTGACTTTCGTCGTTATCTCATCGAAGAGTTAGTAAAATGTTGAAAAACATGCGGTGGTGCCTCACTGTAGTCTCGCAAAACTCTGGATTCGAGGGTCCCTAGTGACCTTAATCTCAAGGATCGGTCAACGCATTTCTGGAGCACCCGGTACTGGTGCAGAGACCCTAGTCGCACATCCACTGGGTTCATCATAGAATCGTCCGTCGTACTTGCCACCTCCTCATATTCCAATTTGTGTGCCAGTTCGCAAGCAAGACTAATTAAAGATATTGATGAGTCTGCTGTGACTGTATCGTTCGAACTAGCAAATGATAGCAGATACTCGGTCCAGAACTCGGTAGCATAAACGTGAAATCCATGCAATCCTCTAGCTACCCTAAGAGCCTTATCATGTGCTGGGTATGTATGGTCGAAATACTTCAGCCCCGAGAGAAGGCAAGCCACAGTAGCTACTCCGTGCTCTTGAAGGGACTGTCTCTCTTCAAGGACGATGGGTTGCGAGGAGGTTTGAAGAAATCTGTTTACAGTCAGCCGGATTTCTACGTTCATGATTCCCCTACTTACTCTTTCACAGAATTATGAATGAAAGACAACGTTGAATCCTTCCTCTCTTCAATAAGCGTGCCAACTGTGTCAATTGCATACGCAGGTATCAAATCATAGATCTCGTGGTCACCAGAACTGAACGTGATGGCAGACATAAGCTCCACTTTGCGTAGTGGCCTCCTAGCAAATGCAATCCACCCTAGGATGCACCTTATCCGGTCCTCTGAGCGATGGTCCAGCGGGGCCAATATTTGAGTCAAGATTCTTTGGTAGCTAGAAATAGTGTTAGTAAATGCTATTCTAAATGAGGATGTCCTTTATCGTACAAATCACCAAGTTTCCTTGGTAATTGGTTTACCGATTCTTTGATCTCCTGACGACTGAAGAAGAGGTTGCTTGAGAGATAATCCATTACAAGGCGAGCGTAAAGAAACATTCCTTGCAAGGGTGAGCTAGTGCTATTAAAACACCATGAATGGGAGTCAATAGTTACTTACCATCAGACTTTTTCACGATCAAGCCCTGGATTTCCTCGACCTCGACACGTTGTAAGTTAAGTTGACGAAGCTTTGTGTCCATTAATACGAGTCTCTGACCAACATACTGACGAACTGCCTCATTTAGCAAAGACTTCTCCTCGGTTAAAGACACAATCTGTTTTCTCATAAGTCGATCTAACGGAGTGGACGGTGGACGGCTGGAAACTAAGACCTTGCAACCGGTACTTCCTGGAACCACAGGCTTAGAAGTAAGTTTGTTGATCAATCGTACCAAGCGCAGTTGTTTGTCGGAATCGCATTCATCCAGTCCATCAATGATGACCCACACATACCCGGTCTTATTGGGCTCACTTGACATACTCGAGAAAAGTTCTTGGAGCAGGTTCTCCAGAGTTGGAGTCGTCGGTGATTTCTTTTCCATGACGCACGTCTTGTAAACATGGGCTGCCAGATCTGCATCCTTCCGAAGGATTTGCAGTAGCAACGACTTCAATATTTGTTCATACATTGTCGAGGTTGCATAAAGATATGTGCAAAAGTGACATATCACAAACTTAGTCTCTTTCAGAAAGTTGACAAGCTGGGTGCACAAGACGCTTTTCCCAGTCCCGGCCGACCCCTTCAACCACAATGCTGGCGTGTTTGGCTTCGCATCAGCCCAGGACCTGATATTTTTATTCTTGAGTATCCATCCGCAAGTTCCTTGATACTTTTCAACTTCGGATGTTATCGAATCAATGATGGCCAGTTGATCGACGTCATTAACCTTGAGCCAAGACATAATGGACCCGTACTGCCTTGCACTTTGTTCATTGTCCTTCTGTCGAACCCGACTCTGACTCTCCTCTCTCCATTTGCGGATATCGTCTCGCATCTTCTTGGCTTGGGAGATATCGTGGGCGTTGGCTTCAAGATCAAGGAGGGTACCGTGATGTTTTAAATCCTCGAGAATGTTTCCGAACTTCCTTTCGAAACGTCCCCAAGAGGCGGAAAATATCAGTTTCCAGCCTGAATAATAGTAAGAAAAAGAAAAACGTAAAACTTTGGACAGAGACAACATACCACTTCGCCGAACAAATTTGTAGGCATATTTGTGAAACTTGAGAATATCTGCATAAAATACTGCCACCGTCTGCTGGAAATCCAGTTCATTGATGAGTGCATTGCTGAGAATCTCAAACCGTTTTAATGACTCGGCAATACTAGCATAACCTTTGATGATCTGTTCAAAGGCTTCGACGAACTCTGATGATATCCGCAAGATGAGGGTGATTGGGGCCCAAATCCAAGGCAAGTATGGGGTGCCGTTGCATAGCACATCTACCACCTTGGAATAGTGTTCGAGACCTAGGAATAATGGCATGAGGCGCCGCATGTTTCGGAGAGATTGTCTAGCAGCGAGTTGGTTCTCGATTTTGAGTGCGGCTTCGCGAACATCATGTAACGCCGTGTTCGAGAAATTTTGCTTGTCCTCGAAACTGATAGTGCGATCAAGTTCATCGTATGCAATCTTGATCGTACTCTTGGCAAGGGCCGACACGGTTTGTTTGATCGGCATCTTGACGTTTCCTGTCGTTGATCAAAATTTGGAGAGTCAGGCAAGGAGACACCAGAATGATTGCTCAGTTTATGTTGAAGCAAGGGGGCCTCGTTCAGAAATATGCAGGCTGCCAACCAACAACACAGCCACCACAAAGTCTGTTGTTGCTTTTGAAATGATGATGTTGGTACGTATGTGGCAACATTTGCACCAATCAATTCATCAAGTAAGCGCCATAATACTGCAACACAACAGGGCTATGCGCAAGGCAGATGGCGAACCTTAGAGCCTTGTTTTGGGCGGTGAGGTGGTGTCTTAGAGTCGGTTGAGTCTGAAAGTTCCTTTTTTTTATTGCAAAGGCTACAACACCTGCCTCCTTTCAATCCGTTACTGCATTTTCTTTGGTATGCCTTCCTACGACCACTGTTGCGTAGCGTCTATTGTACTTTGACCTGCTTGCCACAAATGGTCCTGGATCCAAGTATGAGCCAATGGTCCAAGAGGCGAAGGTTAGACCAAGGCGAGGAGCAAGTCCAGAGGAACGGTCCTCAACATCCAACAACTTGGAGTCAGTCTGACGCCCAACTCCAAAGACTACCAGCAGCGATAGCTCAACAACATTATGAGTGGAACTCACATGGTAATGTTCAAACTTCATGGAACGACTATTCGGGAAATACTATACCAGTCCATAATGTGATGAATTACCACATGGGTAGCTGGAACGGTTACTCTTCCTACCCACAAAATACTATTGGAATCGAGCCGAGCTTTTCCTATCCGAATGATATCATCACCCAATGGCCTTCGTACTCGAACGTTCCTCTTCACTCCCATGCTCTTTTACAAATACACATGCCATTGCAAACACACGCATCAATGTTCGTACCATCATACCAGCAGTATCCTCTCTATGGTTCTCCCACAAACCAGCCTACTGCCGGCTTTCAACAATCGTCAGAGCCCTTAGTGGAAGATACATTACCAAAATCACTTCCGTATCATGCCGATCTGTCCCAGAGTACAACGATCTGCGTTGATTCTCCTTCGGCACTGCCAGATCAGGAAGTAGAAGTTGGTGAGATTGTATGCTTTGGAATGGTGAGTAACAAGATATAACGTTCATCGCAAACGTATTGACTCCATAGATCCCATCTATCGCTGCAAAATGTGATCATGGCGGAACAGCGCAAAGTTTACTGGCGTCGTTCCCTGTCGGGCTAGAGAGTTCGACTCGCTTCTCTAGCAAAGACTTATCCAACATCTCCGGACAGATACCGCTGGAGTATAGTCAGATGATACAGGACATCCTCGACGAGACATGTCTCGAACTTCACGCCTCGTGCATCGTTGGTGGTTTTCATTCTGCGGACGCCCAATCACCACGAGGTTCAACAATCCCAAGCAATTTGGAAATCTCAGTTTATGGCCCTGTGGAGATCTTTGAAGAGTTGGGAAAGTGGTTTGACCACTACCAGGTGTATTTACAGGATCCTCGAGAATGCCACCGCGACGTCAGATACTGCAACCCCCACCGACTCTCAACTGACGAGATTTCTGGTTGTCCGCTTCTGTCTGATGTTATTTCTCAAAGCTCAAAGTCCCTAGAGTTGGAGTCCGTTGCTCAACAATCTGACCTACTGGACGAACTATGCAGCTATGAGAACCTTGACGAAGCTCCCCAGCCCTCGGTCATCAAGCGGGAACTGAAACGGTGAGTAGTGCATCTAGTCTTATACTTACTCACGAAACTGAATCAAGACTAGGCATCAAAAGCAAGCTCTGACGTTCATGATTCGTCGCGAACAAGGATGGGCGTTCTCTGGCCAAGATCCAGACATCTGGGAGGTTAGATACACTAATCAAGGAAGGCAGTGAGTTCAAAACATCCATTTACACTACTGATTCGTTAACTTATCTTGTAGCTTCCTGAACCGTGTCTCCGATGCTTCCCAGGTTCAAGAACCGCCTCAATGTTACGGAGGCATTGTTGCAGACCCTATGGGACTCGGAAAGACTTTGACAATGATAGCATTGGTGGCAACGGACATGAACAACCAAAACCTAAATGACAATAGTGGCGAGGAGTTTCATCAAACTGTACCAACTACCCTGATTGTTGTGCCACCGTCTTGTGAGTCCGCGTTACCATCCACACTGATTCAATTAGACTAACGTTTTCCAGTGATAGGGACTTGGGAGGAGCAGCTTTCTGCGTACGTGCTGACTCCCTCTTAGTACCCAAGACTAACATTGCGGTAGGCACGTCATGGAGGACGGCTTGACTTGCCACCTATATCACCAGAAAGGTCGAAAACTAGCTTTCAACAAGCTTGAGACAACTCACATCGTCTTGACGACATACCAAACCGCTTCAGCTGAGTGGAACTCTTCAAACAAGGGGAAGGAATCCGTCTTGTTCTCTGTTTGCTGGAAAAGGATCATCCTCGACGAAGGCAAGTTCATTAGGCTAAATATCAACTTATACTTAGACTAACAACTACAGCCCATATTATCCGAAATGTTAATTCTCGAATGTCTCAAGCCATCTGCGCGTTGGATTCAAGGTCTCGTTGGGCCGTCACTGGTACCCCTGTCCAAAACCGCCTTGGCGACCTTGCCAGTCTGTTCAAGTTCATCCGAGTCCATCCTTACACAGATCGGAGATGTTTCGATGCCGATATTTCCCGCTTGTGGAAGAATGGCGAATATCAGGAAGCCATCAAAAGACTCAAGCGTCTCTCAAAGTGTCTTATACTCCGGCGAGACAAGAGCACGATCAATCTTCCTCCCAGGCAAGATCTGCAATGCCCTGTCAATTTCAGCCCTGAGGAACAAGCTTTATACGACAATTTGCGGGAAGATACTAAGGTCAGTATAAACGAAGCCATGAACAGGGATTCAAACTCCCTCAGACCAGGCGGTTATGTCCATATCCTACAGCGAATCGAGTCACTGCGGCTCATCTGTAACATTGGACTTCACTACCACACGAGACATGATAAGGTCATAAAAAACATTACAGGAGCCGACGAATGGATGGAAACTGCCCAGACTGCCTTCAATATGCAGCGAGAGATGGTTTCCATGACTTGTCTACGGTGTTCGTCAGTACTGGACATTACTGAGACAGTCTCAGACAGCACAACCACTGCCTCCCAGAATCCTCTGTTTTTCAGTTGCCTTACTTTTGTCTGTGCTGAGTGCGTACAGAGGTCTGGGCAGAATGTCGATTGCGGTCACAACGGGGGTTGTGCCGTGGCCCGAATCTCGATGAGCGGCGAATCTCTCAACGCGAGTTTTTCTGATATGCAGCCGCAGACGAACATCAGCCTGCCTTCCAAGGTAAAGGCTCTGATCACAGATATCAGTAATCTTCCATCATCCGAAAAATGGTAACTATTTCCCATATTCATTGAAGAATAGTTCCTAATAACTTATAGTGTTGTTTTTTCAACATGGAGACGAACACTTGACATCATCGAAGCTGGCCTAACACAGTCCTCCATCTTAAGTGTCCGGTTCGACGGCACGGTGCCACAAAAGAGTCGACAGAACGTTGTGGACAAGTTCAGGACTGACCCGTCTATCCGTATTATGCTCTTGACATTGTCTTGCGGTGCGGCTGGGTACGTTATTCCCCTTCAGCCCATTGTTTCGTTAGAGATCGAGACTACTAATTATGTCCAGTCTGACCTTGACGGAAGCTACTAGAGCCTATCTCATGGAACCTCACTGGTAGATTCACCCTTTCCAAACAGAAACAAAAGAAAGTTGCTAACAGGTTAGGAATCCGACTACCGAGGAGCAAGCCCTTGCGCGCATTCATCGTATTGGACAGAAACAAGAGGTCACGACTGTACGGTTCTTTATGCGCGACTCATTCGAACATGTACGTAAATTGAAATTATTGGAAGGCATTTCTGATAATAAAACAGCGTGTAATCCAAATGCAAGAAGATAAAAAACATTTGGCAGGACTGTTACTCTCGCCCGATGAGGATGGCTATGAGACTGAGAACCTGGGAAGGCTACAGGTTTGTCACTAACGCATTGTGTCTTTAAGCCTACTTACTAACAAACAACAGTCATTATCATCTCTGTTATAACGGATTTACTTGATAGAGTTTTTGATATATATGGGTCCTCCAGATTAGAATAAGGAAATTGTGAAGGTTTAAGCTTGGTTTTGGAGTTATAGAGAATATATAGTATAGTTCTATAAGACTGATCGAGATAAGCATTATGCTATAGCGGGGTATAAGGGAATACCTATAGATAATAATTTCTCAGAACTTAGACAAATGAATAATTCTCTTCTTTTTTTATTATAAGGTATACATGATGTAAGAATGTGATTAATACGAGAGTTAATAATTTGCCTCAGGCTTAATGTGGACCTTGGTTTATTTTGTATTATTGAATATTGAATCTTTAATATTAAATATCAGATTATGATTAATTTTCTTAAAGACAAATTATCTATTGAAATTGAATTGAATAACTAAAGGTTGCATATAAGTCTCTTTCTCTCATAGGTGGTATAGTTATTTGTTATAGATTTAATTCTCTCAGAAGGTCTGTATATGGTATCTGGGGAAGTCCGCCCGCAACCATTCAGGGGTTAACGGAGTGAATGAGTGGCAACGATATCTATGGAAAAGGAGACACAATTGGCCAAATTGCGTGGATAAAAAAACTAAAGACAAATAACCGAAAAATGATATCTTGGTATAAGTCTATCCCATGTGATTCTCTTGTTTGAACGTTTTTTGCTAAACTGTTTTATAAGATGTGAACCATGTTCTAGAAGAATAATTGATCCAACCATCGACAGTCCGGTGAAAGATGACCGAGCAAGGTCGAAAAGCCTATACTAATCGTCATCCACCAGTCTAACCATTCTTACTTGCGACATTGATCACACAGTTCATTTCACCACATAACATCAGGGAGATCCAAGAAACCTGAGAGAGGGCTCTCCGTCATCTCTACCACGCTCCTCCATTTCAAACATCTTAATCGCCCTACTTAACAGCACGGCACCCTGTTTTAGGCTTATGAGCCTTGTGATGGGATCCTTTGGCCTTGGGTTGTGAAACATGCGGACGCTCTGCCACAATCGTATGGGTTGATGAAGGTGATGTAGAAGTTGAAGGAGAAGCTTCTGTCAGGGTGGTAGGCTTGGACACAACACTGGCAGTGGTAGGAGATGCTGGGTTGTGAGTCTCTTGTGCAACTTGATTAGGGGTCTTGGTCGAAGGAATTGATGTGGTGGCAGATGACTTGATAGCCCGGACATCGGATTCGTCCAAGTGATAGAGAAGAGAGCCCCAACCGAGTCCGTCGTAATGGCCTGAACCTTCTCCCCAGGAACCAGCTCCTCCCTCGAAGCCACCAAAGTAACCCAAGGAGTTGTTCAGGTAAGCGGTGGTCCAAGGGGCGTCGAGGCCTTTGATCTGAACATAGTGACTGTAAAGCAATTCCCATGCTGGCCTGACAGCGCCACGAGAGGCTTCGCTGATGACATCGAAGGAAACAATTCCATTGGTGTATGGCTCGAACGGGACATCATTTCCCAGGTTGTAGCGGGCAAAGTACTCAGCACTGAGGGAAGATTTCGGTTAGCAATGTTTAATAATAAGAAATGAATCAGTGTTACATACCCGAGAAGAATTCGGCTGTTGTTGTAAGCGAATAGGTCTTCGCCTTGATTCCATGCCTGCTGTCCAATAGCTCCCAAAAGCTGAAAGTTCATCCCCGAATGGCCTTGATCCCGTCCAGATTCTTGCCCTTGGCCAAGCGGCTTGCCAGTACCCGGCTCCTCGACGATATTCGAAATGGCGTTGTTGATGGCCCCGTTCCCGACGCCGTTCTTGAAGTAGTCGATGGTGAAGTCCCATGCCGTCTGGTTTTCGCTAACCACTGCAATAGCAAGAGCGGAAGCAATATTGCACTGTTCCCAATTCGCGAAGAAATGTTTCACATTGTGTTGTGATCCAAGCCTTTGGTTGAGGAAATCGAGATTCATTGGTAGAAACAATTCGTTCAGTAGCCTAAGTACCTTTGGCCGACCCTTCTCGACAAAAGATTTGTAGTCATGGAGCAGTTCGACGGCGTTGGCAAGCTCGTAGCCTTGTAGACCTGCAGTGAGATAGGCATCGTCACCACCGCTGAGGACCTTCAACTTGTCTGCCCAAGCGACGAGAATGTTCGATGCAGCTTCCGCAAACTGCTCCTCTCCAGATACCTTCCAGCGCAAGGCAAGATTGAACGCAGCTGCAGCGTCGTGCCACAAAGCCTCTCCATTCTGGCCGCGATTTACGTCATTGACTGCGTTGTTCTTGTAATCGACGCTGGAGAATGGAATGCTAGTCAACTTCTCCCAAGACGCAGTCCAAGGCTCTTTTTTGGCAGCAAGCTTTGTCTGAATACGGTCAATATCAGAAGAAGACACTAAGAGACCAGGGTGCGTGAAAGCGGAACCGAGTGAAGAAAGAAAAGGAATCAACAAAAAATGAACCAGCATCATAGTAAAGTAGATTTTTAAAGAGCGTGTTATTTAATAAACAAGAAGTTGAAGGAGAGAATAGAATGATAATGCTAGAAAAGAACCTGCCGAAATAAATGTCCGGTTTGTTGAGTTTATAAGACATAAAAGCGAGATGATCTCAGTACCAAACCAGCATCGGCCCCTGCTACTTAAGCGCGCAAATCTCCTACGTCGCTTACATGTACTGATTGAGATTGATTATCCCGGAAGTTTATTGTTCGGGCGGGAAACTCCTCCAATTAAGTCTGCATTTTATGTTTAGACGAAAAGGACAGTGACATCTGAAACTAAGCCACAACCCCGTTAATGTAAATCTCAGCTGGATATAGCTAGAAACAATGTGGGGTACCGGTCCCGTCAGCGACTTCATCAAGCGCTTGATACACTCCCCTGGTCGTTCTTCTGCTCACAAAATAACTTCTTCACACTGTCTCCCTTCCGCTTGCAACTCAGTATAAGCTACAAATATATGAAAACAACATAACAAGGCCAGACTCTATAATGGACTGGGTCCACAAACAGAGACTAACAACAATATAAGTCAGCCCAATGAGAAGAAATAGAATAAAACATAGAATAGACAGCAGGACAAGGACTTGGTCTTTCGTTTGGGCTTTGATAATTTCATTATCCCTCAATTTGTCTTCTGCTGAGGGCCCTCGACCTTGCCGAGGTTCGGAGCAACTTGGATAGAGGTATGTGATCTCAGTTAGGCTCATTTCGACATCGAGACCATGTTTATCAGTAATGTCGTGGCTCATGGCTTTCCACATCTCAGCATTCACAGTATAAGTCTCCAATGTAGGCCTCGCTACTCAAAGTCAATATCTCAAGCGATGTCAGGAAGATATCGGTGATTTTACCTTCTAGAACCTCATCTTCGGGTCCCTCCCAGTCCCAGTCTTTCGACAGGGTACCAGTTGCAGCCATGGTCTGCTCTTGCAGCCGTATATAATATCGAAAGACCTTCAGAAATAGCCAGAACAGAGTGGGCTTTTGCTGTGACTGATACCTCTCCAACAGCCTCCCAAGTCTATTGGTAGCCGGGATATCCTTCCGCTCATCCAATCTTGCATTGACATGCCAGACGCCGAACATTACCTGAGCTTCTTCGAGGGTGCTATCTTCAATGTTCCAAATCGATAACAAGTCAGGTCCAATTGCAAGGTATTTCCATAGGGCGGCAGTTAATCTGTAGATTTCGGCAATCAGAACATCCTCCTGAGAACCGTCTCCATACTTTGCTGTACGTTCGAGAATGTTGCGTCTCTCGACATCGATTGAACATAATTCCGATTCTGCCAGGAGGTTATCTCCAGATGACTGGCCCGTAGTTTTCTCATCAAGATTTTCGTGTTGATTTCTGATTGGGTCCATCTCGACATTCTCATCCCCGAGGGAATCGATCCACCGTACAGCAGCATGTGCCAAGCTGTCAACCCCTTCAACACCAGGATCGGGGTGATTTGAAGGGGCCTCTTCTTGTTTTGCTGCATCTGGGTCGACATGGCCGTGGTCTCTTTCAAGCTGCTCAAGCCACCTCGCAGCAGCGATGTTACGATTTCTGTACCTCTCGATGTCAAGATGGTGCCATGTCGGGCGCAGCGTCGTATTCACAGTAATTTGCAGGCCCTCAGCGCGGACGAACTCTGTCAACCACTCGATGTACTTTTCTTGATCGTCATAGTTCTCTCCTCCGAGCCGCTTACCGACGTTACATGGTTCTGTAAGGAACCATTCAAGGAGGTCGAGGAATGGACGTTTCCGGTTGAAGATGATTGTCGAACCTTTAAACGCGTGATCAAGAAGAAGTCCGTTGATTATACGTCCATGCTGCGTAGAAATTGTGAAGAAGGGAAACTGAAAAGTGTCGCTTTGACGCAACTGCTGATCCCAGCCAGCTCTCATTCCCCATCTTCCATCAACGAGTTCGGAATAATTATTCAGAGCTTTGTGGACAGGGAGATCCTCCAAGATGGACGTTTTGCCCGCTCCGTAGATGAAATCCACCTCAAGTTGTCTCCACATTGCCCGATGGGCCTTTAGTTCCGGGTTACTATCCTCCAGTGGCTCGGGAAGATGCTTGCTGCGCAAAACAATCATCAATCTGGGGGAGATAGGCGCAAACATATGGAAACGCGGTCCCATTCGAAGCCATTCCCCGGTCTTCACATCTTGATAGTCGTCCGTTGGTCCTTCGTATATGGAGTAGGCCGTATCGGTCAGGATGAACTCTTCATTCGTATTCGAAGGAGTACAGAATGACATCCAAAACTCAGTTATGTGTTCCTCGAAATGGTGAGCAATACTGGGATAGGTACTCGACTTGAGAATTTTCTTCCAAACACCGTTCACATCCATCTTGAGGTCGATGATAGAGCTTAACGCCTGCAACCAAACATCTATCGGTCGTTGAATTCCCTTTCTATTCATGTATTCTTTCAACAATGCGCGGTCGTTGATGTCGTAATCATCGATACTTTCGCAATTGTATGTTTTGTAGAAACCTGAGCCTCGTTGCTTCTGCAGATAAAGAAATTTTCGCAGCGTGGTCTGTTGCGTCCTAGAGAGCTTGGCATTGTCCTGCCCTTGATGGTGAGACCTGATGATGTGGCCGATGATATGACTAACTCTTCCTTCCAACTGACTGAATTTGGTCTCCAGTTCGCGTGGAAACTTTGCTTCCGGTGCCCAATTTGTGTACATGTCATGAAGACCACACACTCGCTTTGCCGGTTGCTCTTCAATTCTAAAATCCTCCGGCACAAGTTGCAAACAATTCACTACCCGGTCATTCGGGTATTTTCCTTTTTCGTGATGGCGTTTCTTGCATCTTGAGCCAGGTTTAGGAGAACTGGGACAGACGAATGGATGTTCAAAGTTTCTTAGAAGGAACTGTGGAACGAAATGTTGGTATTGACGTTTCTGGGATGACATGGCAGCGACAAGGTCACGACTAATCCTCCTTGGAAGATTGCTGTCTCTTGTGCGGGGTGCATTTATTTAACCTGCAATTCGAAACTTTTGAGGTATTTGTTGGTCCTTGTTGACTGTTGGCCTGAAATTGAGGCCCGATACCTGCGAGGGGTATGAAGCATGCAGGCGAGGCGTCTCATTGATGATCATCAGCCTCGCAACCAGCAACGAAGATTTAAGCAAAACTTCACGGGGCATCTAGATGAAACGTGGGTCACAAAGTGGCCGGTGAGCCTCTTCCGGATAGGTACTATCTAAACTCCCCGAAAGGGTTCAGAAACATAGTAGTGAAGGGTACAGCTATATAGCAGAGGATGACTCTCGTCTTGTTGGCCGTCCAAGATATAGTACTCTTGCTGGTTTCCTGAACGCGGTCAAAATAATCACCATCACCTTTCGCCGTACTTTTTACTACGCAGCCAACTTTATTCCCAAGGGCACTCCGTCGTATTTTCTTTTCGCCCGTTGCCTCTAGCGTTCCAAGATTGTGAGGAGCTTATAAGGGATAGCGAGTTTGTTAAACCACAGACAAGAAATTGGACTTTGTCCTTCGACAGCAAGAGGGACCGTCTCAACATAGTCAGTAGTGGGAATCTTGTCCATCGACATTTTGAGAATGAAATCAATGGCAGTTTCTGGGGTTCCAACAACACAATAATTCATCTCAGCTGCAGGTATGACATATAGAAGTGTTTTGGCATGTTTCCAGAAATTGTCTTGCTTGCCAGTCAACAACGTGGATGCATCTGGTCTAGAACCAGTACATAGCCTGTGTCCTTGGTCGACGTACAAAAGTGATCAAGATGTCTCAGCACTGGTCACTGGTATCGTTACAGTTCATATACTAACGGCGAACTGTAGTGCCAGACAGGAAGGTTGGCGGAGAAGGTCTTACATCGAATGCCATGCTCTGTTCTGCGATAGGCCGCGTTAGGTTGAGAAGAGAGCGCCAAAGAAGTCGTAAGACTTGTGGAGCTGTCTCCGTAATTGAAATGCGCATTGGGTAAATAATGCACAACTCAATATTTGGCTTCAATTTGCTGATTGACTTGGAGGGTTGTGGACTCTGCATGCTTTACAGTCACTTGGGGGACTACCTACTGAACTCAAACATAAGAAACAAGCCATGAGAACTTGATTGCTGTAAGCTGAATGGTTGATAAAGGTTCTGGCTAAGTTGATGATGGTTGGAGAATACCCCGCAATCTCGCATGTTCGGCATGCTCTGCCTCATCTAAGGAACCCAACGTTCTCAGCCGCACTGAACTAGGAACGGATGGCTAGAGCCCAGACCATTATCCTTTCAGCCTCTTAATTGCAACATGGCCAGAGTAGGTGTAATACACCGAGCAAAGTGGGTTGATTGAACGGTTGTCTCAGTTGAAGACTTTGTATGATCAATTGTGGCCGACACGCTAATTGGAGAATCTCGTTAGCGGTACAGACTATTGCCGGTTAGACCGAAACGTTGCCTGTGGTGAGCTGACATACCTGTCCCCAGCTCAGCAAGCCACTGGATTCCAGCTCACTCGAGTCTTCAGATAGCTTCAGCCTCTGGCTAACTATTCCCTAGCATGTCGTAGATGTGAGTAGAAGAGGGCAGAGACTTTTGGAAATTGTCTCTGTAGCCCAGCGGATAGAGGATGCTATTGGACAAGCCATTGAGCAAGTATATTAGGTACATACAGAATATATATCGACTCAACCTGTCCATCGTTGATCTCCCATAAACACCACCAGAATATAACAAACACAGCATCAAATTATTTTAAAAAATTATCACGTACTGGTGATCCTGTCAAGCAAACATGACTTGGCATGCCCATCTTGCACTGGTGCTGGCCCTAGTCTGCCTAGTGAGTGCATCGTGCTCCGGCAAGTCAGACGCCTGTTCATCCAACCCAATTCTATTGCGAAGAGCCAATGCTCTCAACTTCCAATCCGCATCATGCAACCTGAAGTGGAAGTTCGACTGCACTCAGCCCGACAAGGATGGTGGGAAGATGCAGAAACCACCACCATTCTCCCTGTGCACCACATCGGACTATCCATCCGGACTGCTACCCGTCGATGCCTACACACTGTCACTACAGGCGAATACCTTCAGAAAGGGCTCTGCCAACGCCACGCTACATGGCTTGTGGCCTAGTTCAGCTGCAGGCAAAGGTGCCAAGAATCAGCCTTACGGGTGTCTTAACGGTGAGGAGTTCGATGAGTCGATCCTCAAGACCTTTGAGGACTTGCTGAAGTACTTCTGGCCCACGAACCCACAGTTCAAAAACACCATGCAATGCTTTATCCTGTCTGAATGGATGAAGCACGGCACTTGCGCAGTGATTCCTGGTGCTGATGGTGAAGCGTTTAGGCTACCACAGGAGGCCTACTTCCGCACGGTCTTTGTGCTAGCTAACGAGTTCAACGAAAACTTGGCTCTTCAAGAACAGCTGAAGGCTCCAAAGCCGATGGCAGACATGGAACCTACTATTCCTGCACGTTGTGTCCAATGCGCGTACCTGGCAACAGTGGGTTGGAAAGGGACTGATGTGGCGAGTGTTCCGCGTATGTCGGGCGAGTGTATTGACTCGTGCTTTGCATGTGGTAAGGATTGGGACAGATGCCCTCCGGAGCAGCTTGAAAGCACTATCGAGCTGGACCCCAGCAATGCACCACCTAGTGAGAGTGACGGTGACAGTAGCGAAGAAAACGCAATCTTTAAGGTATTGGAGTTTGCTGTACCGGGCCTTGTGAACAGCGACAACATCTCTCCCTGGAAGGGCACCTGGCGCTCGTTCGGAGCCGAGCAGCTAGGTTCCGGCAAGTTCGAGTTTGCGCAGACCTTTACCGACAACACCATGACTGTTACTACAGACAGTCCGTATCCCCAGACATGCAACTATGAGCGGCGTGGACCTGGGGAGCTGATACTGCGATGTGGAAAAGACAACTCACACTTGGAAAGGTGTCTGGTGCAGCGCCTTCCGGACATTGGCGGGCTTGAGGTAGCCTTTCTGGCATGTAACCATACTGGGGCACCAGCGCCAGGAAGCTTCTTTACTGCTATGGATACGCCTGGATGTGGCAACTTTCTCATGTTCCGCTGCAAGGCGTCATCAACAGGTTGTTCCTTTTTTCCAGATGTTACCTCGGTGGACGGAAGCAAGACGTCTAAGTCCAAGACCAAGGTCGAGTCCGACTCCAAGCCCAGCTTTGTGAGCCACTCCTCCCCAGGTATTGCCGGATCACCACTCAAGCTGTTGGGCTCATGGCGCTCGCTTCAAGTGTCCAGCAACTACGAAAAGGGCCTGGCACGATGGAACTTCACTGCCGACGGACAGGCATCAATGGAGTGGCCAAACTACCCCAGCCGTGGCGTTGAGCGTTACTCCGTATTGCACTTCCAGGAGGATCCCAGCCGGGTACTCCTCGCCGATGCAAGCGGTTCTGTCACCAACTGCCGTTTCAAGTTTCAATACCAACCCGTATACTCCTATGCGACACTGGATTGTGGTGCAACAGACCAGCTGGTAGAAGACAAGAAGGGTACGCAGCGCACAAAATGGGCCATGGGACGATGCAATCCGTGCAGCGCCTCCTGTCGCTATTCATGTGGTCCTGAGAACAACATGTGTGGTGCTGGCTCTTGTGACCCGGCCGAGTCCGCACAAGTAGAGCCTGCTGTCGCCATGTACTCCCTGCCAGCTGAAGACGGTCACAACTGGTGTACGCCTGAAGACTCTAGCTGCTGGCCCACAAAGACGGCCATTCTAGAACTGGAGCAGGCGCTGGACCCTACGGTACCACGCCTTGGACTTCAATGGAGCAGTTACCCGAAACCTCAGCTAGCGCCAGTACCAATGGGCTCTATCAAGAACCAATCATTTTATGGTTTAGGTAGCGAGGGATTGAGAGCGTTGTACTATTACGAGGATGTCAACGAGATGCGACGTCCTTGCTTTAGCGCATCTGGCGACTTCACTGCGTTGAATGATGCATCGGACATGTGTAAGGCAGCACTTCATCAGAACGAGTACCGCAATTGGAACCCCTTTATCGTCGTCTTCCCACTCAACGAACGCCATGTCGCTGCTGCCCTTACATTTGCCGCGCAGCACAGACTCTGCATCGCCACTGCTGGTACTGGTCACGAATACAACAGCCGCAATTCATGCCCAACTGGTGGCATTCTCATTCGCACGATTTTGCTCAAGGACAAGGTCTTCATGCCTACCTGGGACCAAGACCCTACTATCGCCCCTGCTGGCGCATTCCGCTTTGGTGCCGGGTCTATTTTTGCTGAGATGCATGAGTTCTCGTCCAAGTACGAACGTGTTGTCGCCTCGGGCTGGTGCTCTACCGTGGGCATGGTTGGCTTCCATCTTGGTGGTGGCCATGGACCATTTGCACCGTCTATGGGTCTCGGTGTTGATAATGTGCTGGAGATTGAAGTTCTCCAGGTCGGTCGCGACGCTTACGACAATCCGGTTGTCCACAAGAAGGTTGCCAGTCGACAACAGAATCCCCAGCTCTTCTGGGCCATGCGCGGTGGTGGTGGTGGTGTCTGGGGCGTTATCCTCTCCATGACGATTCGTGCTCACAAAGTGCCCGATGGGGGACTCAGCCGTGTGTTCATCTCTCAGCAGGGTAATTTCTGCCCTGGCCAACAAGACTTCGGCTACGAATGGCTGCGCGAAATGTGGGAGCGCTTTACTGCGTGGCAGCTGAGGCTCAACCAAAAGGTTAGCACGCAGCCCGCCTTCTTTATCAACACTACCAACTACAAAAATGGTGACCTCTGCAAAGTCACTTGGACCTTCAACTTTGAGTATTTCTATGCTGGTGGTCAAACAGAGAAGGACTACAAGCTGTTCCGTGATGGTCTCAAACACGTCTTGCAGAACGACACTGCACAGGAGGACAACTATGAGTCAGCTTACAAGTACCTTCTCTCTATGCCTGCCAACAAGTTCTCACTTAACGCGACGAACCCACTACCAGCGTCGACTCCACCCTCCGACGCGGCGACTGGATCTCAAAACTCAGTCCTTGTCTCGCGACAGATGATGGAGACAAAGTTCTCCTCGACCATGATGGACGTGTTGGACATTTGTGTCAAGACACTGAAAACTCCTGACAAGACCTCACCGGATCCGGCGGGTTATCGATGTGGCTTCCACTATCTCTACACGTCAATTACGGGCAATCTTGGCAGTGTGCAACCAAAAGACACAGCCATCTCGGCGGGTTTTCGCTCAGCGCTACTGCTATGGAATGCACGTACCTTGACAACGCAGCAGGCCAATGACACGATATATAAACTTGGACAAAACAGCTATTTCTCCGAGAGCTCGTATGTAATGCATAACTGGACAACGAGGTATTGGGGCGAGAAGACGTATGGACAGTTGCTGGCTGTGAAGAAGGCGCACGACCCAAAGAATCTGTTCTGGTGTCATCATTGTGTTGGGGATAATCCGAAGGACGCTTATGGAGAGCCACTCGGTGCTCAGGCTGATACCGTCAAGAAGGATCACTTAAATGATGAGGTGAGGGACGAGTTGTAGTGGATCTACTTGTTTTGGACATTTCGTGAATACGGTCCCCCAATCCAAATTGGTTTCTTTATGTCATATTATTTGTTGCATGGGAAATCGAATGTTTTATTAAATTGGGCAGATGAGTTGGAAAGTTTGCCTCAATGGAATAGTCACACGTGTACGCAATAGCAATAGTTTGAATCCGAGCCCGGCAGTTTCTATTGGAGCTCCCGACTGTGTAAAGTGCAAAATTTGGTTCAGCTGTGTTTATTTGTAAATGTGTAAATTTATAAAAGAATGGCGCACAATACGCATAGAGAGTACCTAGCGGTTTGAATACGAGTGACAAAAGATATTGTTTCAGCTATACTCATGTAAAGTATCTCCCAGAAATAGCTGCAGCGACCTGGTTTGTTGAATCCGGTAACGCTTCATAATAAACAGTCTTTGACAGAGTAGCCCTCTCTTACTGCCTCAAGTCGTACAATCCTAACGGTGTCTCATTTCTCAAATACAGAGAACAGAGTTACCAGTTTTCTTGCAGTCTAATTCTCTTTATTAGCATCAATTATTATTTCCCGTCAATCTTGACACTTACGTCCTTTGTACTTCTGACCAATGCCGTTAATCCAGTAAGCGCAATAGTCGCCGTGGGCATGGACATTCTCGGTGTTCATGGTAGTGCATGACTCGTGAACAGTAGCTATAGATTATTTAGTACCTGACAAAGGTAAGGCCATGAAATAGTTGTTGCGGCTCACATCCTCTGATCGTGTAAAAGGTGTTGTTGGCGACCCAGACACCGGCGGCATCCTTAGTCCAAGCATTGACAGCTGGGGCTAGGAGGAGGGCAGCAGAGGTGATGACAATAGTGAACTTCATGGTGAAAGTTGTTTGTTGTTGGAGGTTCTTGAGAGTTGATAGGCTTTTTGATAAGATGAGATGTGATGGTTGAGAAACTAGACATCTGGAGTGGGAAGATCAGGCTTTTATAGATTGTTATCCGCGCCTATGTATGTCTTCGGCTATTACTACTTCTAGAAAATGGATTCATTTGATCCAATTTCTCGGTGGTTGCATAATGAGGACGATGTTAGACAGGGTACAACTGACTTGTCATTGCATAGGTTTTACCTCCTACTCAATCCAGATGACAAAAGTATTAGTATTATATAATACTGCCGATGTAAACTGGGGATTGACAGACTAAATAATAAGCACATGTTAAAATATAGAACACATGTAAGTAAGCTTATGTAGAAAGGATGTTAGACGATAATTTTGTGGATCTCACATTATGTAAAATGCTTTATTTACCTTCTCAATATGGACACTTACATTGCAGAGAGAACTTTCCACTCGACAGTTTGATTGATCAGCCCACTACCTACGATTCGAGGATCTTATCTTGAATGCATGTGAGACTAGGACAAGGGTCTTCCTCGGTTTTTATATTACCCAAGTACAGCAGCTGACAGTATCCTTAGACTACATCAGAGCCACGTGAATGGCCAAGTAATTTTTTTAGATGTAGCACGTACAAGTTTTCTATTGATCTGCTGTTCCTGCTTTTTGGCAAGAGTCATGTCAAGTTTCTAGGATAGATGAGACATAATTGGTCATCTTGACGAGGTGCATTGGTATGGGCCAGTGAATGCAAAAAAGGTCTTCCCTAATATAAGTGTCCAGATACACAGGCATTTGTATGCTTGGGAGGCTAATTTCATTGTGAAATTCTTGAACACCGGGCCTCCTCCGACTCCATCAAAACTCTAGGGTGCTGGGTCACATGTCTCTATTAGCGAGAGGGGAGTGTATCCTCCCAAGACAGTTTTATACCTTATGAATGAGGGCTTCCACAGAGGAGCGAGTCTTTTCTCCTATTTTTCATCTGGGAGGAGAGGGGTGCCAACCAGCTCGTCGTTCACCATGGCAGCACGATACTCTCCACTAAGAATCATAGCTTCCAGCAAAGTGAAAATGAGATTGAAGTTGATCGGATCTTTTACCAGGTTTCCAAGAGCCTACTCAAGCTTGAGCTGTACGTCTACCCTTGTCTCCGTCCACTGAACTGCCAGGGGACTGTGCTTCTTCACTCCAGCTTGTTGGATGTGAAGGGTGTCACGTCTACAATCACGTAAGCACGTCATTCAAACATACACGTACATTTCTCTTGCATGTAATCCTTCGACTCGTTCTTCAATTAGTTCCTTTGATCATAACTATCACATTATATAAGCTTCAATAATTGCCTCCTGGTTCAGGTTGGCAGCGGATGCTAAGAAAGCGATTGCGACATTATTGCCCCGAAGCCCCTCGACGAAGATATCCTGGGGAGAACAATCATCCTGGCAAGCCTGGATCCGAAGGCAAGAGCTTTTATTTCAGAAGGACTTCTGTTCAAAATATTTGCAGTAAATCCTTTGTTGAACAGCTTCTCAATGCCTGCACTTAGCAGCGACCTTTATGTAGAATTAGCTTAACGCCCAGCACAGACAATGCAGATAATCGGCACTTACAACAAAGAGAGCTACGTTCTTAGAGGAACTCATTCTAAGATGTTCTTTATCTAGTGTGTAGTTTATATGTCTATGAAAGTGAAGATCGCATGCCGCTCTCCTTCACCTTTCCGTAGAACTTCATCTCTTCTGCAATAGCACGCTCTCCAATAGGGTTGATCTTGGGGTACAAAGCCATCAGGTCTACCTCAGCAACATGAACTTCTGGCTCCTCCTTGGTTCCAATCATCATGATTTCCATGATGTTTCCGTTTCCGTACTCAGCCTCTTGAAGTACCTTCATGGACAAGTTGGCAACATCCTCAGCACTCAATGCAATGTCATCGGCCTTTAGTCTATCACGACAGTACTCGGGTTCAAAGATAGGTGTCTTTAAGATCGGTAAGCATATAATCATGGTAAGAGGGTGAAAGACTTACAAAGACAGCTCCAGGACAGATGGCAGAATTGCGAATTCCGAGGGCCATCTTCAATCCACCTAGCGACTTGACCATACTCACTAGTGCGGCCTTGCTGGCAAAGTACAACGGAGTTTGCATAGAATGTACGTAACCACCCATACTAGCAACGAATAACAAGTTACCCTGAATTTCGTTTTGTTTCCAGTAGTCGATAGCAATTTGAGCTAGTCGGATTGGAGCGACAGTGTTGATGGAGAAGATCTTGTACTGGCCAATCTTGGCATCCTCGGGGTCCTCAGCCAGGGGCGAGATACCGGGGGGGTTCCAGAAGGAGAGTCCCGGTGCCTCATAAACTCCAGCGCAATTAACCAGTATATCGATTCGACCGTACTTTTCGAGGGTAGCATTCCATAGGGCTGAGATTTGGGCCCAGTCGGAGACGTCGGTTTGGTGGAAGAAAACCGAGCCCTTGCCGTCGGAGGATTGGGAGAATTCGTCGACAGTAGCTTGGGCTTCAGGGCGAAGCTTGAGATCAGCAATGGCGACGGAGCATCCTGCGTTGAGAAGCAGTCGAACAAGTGCGTGGCCGATACCTATGCTGATCAGTATTTTGAGACTGCTGAGGTCCAGATGGACTGACCGGAACCACCACCGGTAACAACTGCAAAACGATCCTTGACGGAATAGGACATTTTAATTTGGGCGAAAATGATCAGATAGTGGAGACAATGACACGAGAGGAAACAAGAAAACGAGGCTTCAATAAGAAGCAACCTGGCCTTGTACTCTCAGGTATTTATCTATGTAACCTGGTCTTCAAGCTGAATAAGAGCGGTCAGTGCTTGTGGAGAATCGCCAACATCCCCCAAACGTAGCCAGTGCATCCTTTGAATAAAGTTTAGCCCTTGTCAATGCGCGGCCGGTTATGGCGGGGAAGCGGTTCAACTGGTGGTAAAGATGGGGCAGTCAAGGGTTCTTCACAGACAATCCTTGGGCTATGCCGCGGGAAGAAACTGTCATACGATGAAAGGAAATTAGGGCAACGGCCCGGCTTCGCCTTAGACCGTTGAGATAAGGAGATGCTAAAACGCCGCTAGGCCTCGGCAGTAGAGTCGTGTTAGGCTGGAATCAAGTGCCAGGCCGCTGTAATTGCTAATTGTAGCGAAATGGTTCTTGGCATACCGTCAGGTTTCTGAAAGGGCAGGGAAGGGAAGACCACCTGGCCTGACAAGAATAATAATCACATCACCAAGTACCACCTCTATAACCGAGTACTACTGCCTATCTACCTGCAGAGTACCCGGATGTAGACCCAATACAACTGTAGAGCACTGACAGGTGGTATTTGCGGTAGCCGCGGGTAAATCCAATGCCTGCTAGCTCATATCGGCTGGGACAAAACACCTAACATGGGTTTGTTTTACTGTCGATAGGCTTAGATCCGAGTGGTCAGAGGGCTGCATTCGAGTTCAATACACCCCACAACCGAAATCAACAGAGTTACAGTACATACTCGACTATCATCTGGAAGCGAGTCAGCGATTCAGGCTGTACCAGGGCTTTGGATTGATCCTTCTCAAGGAGGTAAACTTTGCACGCACGCATTAAACCAACACGCACCTCAAATGTTTTTTCTCTTTTTAGAATTTGCGGTTTCGTTCGTATTGTCAGCACTAGTCGACCATGGCTACTGACAGCTGGGAACCCGTCAAGCCTGAAGGCCTGGCGTTGGCGATGTATGTCACGACTGTTATTCTTTCAGTATTATGCACCATCGTTGTTGGGTTGAGAGCGTACATTCGAACACGGAATAACTGCATCGGCATGGATGACTACTTGATGATTGCTGGCTGGGTGAGAGCAAGCTCTATTTTCCAAGATGCCAAGAGACATCACTACTGACTTGGTCATAGGCGGCATACATGGGCCACAACATTATCGTCAGTATTGGATGCCACAGGGGCATTGGTACAGTCCAAAGTACACTCGATACGCTGCAGGTGCAAGAAGCGAACAAGGTCCGTCATCGAGTCAGGCAAATATCAGATTGCAAGTAATTAACAGTCCTAGTATGTAATTATATGGCAGATTTTCTATGCATTTACTCTGGCATTGGTCAAATCGAGTATCTGCATAACTGTTATCCGAATCGCAAACGAAAGGAAATACATTCGCATACTGCAAGCCCTCATCATCATGTCCGTCGCCTTAAGCGGATTCGGTGTCATCTTCATAATAGTTCAATGCCGACCATTTGAAGCACATTGGATTCCCTCCAAGGGAAAGTGTTTCAGCAAAGTCATTCCTACTGTTTTGACGTACGCTGCATCGGTGTCCAACGTCATCACCGATTTTGCTGTTGCTGTTATTCCAATGTTGCTTGTGCGAAAGTTACAGATGCGACGCAAGTTGAAGCTATATGCTCAACTTATTATGGCACTGGGCATGCTGTAAGTCACTGTCGTACCCATCTTCTCATCACTGCTGACAACTGGGCAGCGCATCGATCGCGAGTATAGTCCGTATTCCATACTCCAATGCTTATATGAAACCCGAAAACTTCGTCCGTATGTTATTGTTGTTTTAAACACATGGAAATAGCAGCTAATCACAGGCCTGTAGATTCAGTAGGGAACATAATTCTCTGGACAGTCATCGAGTGCGGAGTAGGCGTTTTCGCAGGTTCCCTCCCATCACTAAGAGCATTTTTTAAAAGCCTCGTCAAGGACAGGAGTACAAACGACCAAAGCGCATCTCACAACACGACCGACCTAATAACTATCGGCCGCATGAGGGGTAGGCCAAGTAGAACAACAGAAATTGAGTTGGGAACGCAACGGCCGGGAAGCAACGATTCTGACGATGGTGCTCAACATGACGACGACAGCCAACGCCGAATTATTGTCAAAGTTACAAAGTCATTCCGCGTTGAGGAACGTCAGAGTGATGAAGAACAGTTATGTGAAAATAGAATGGGGAAAATGTAAAAATATATCAACGTGTAATTATATAGACAGCATTTGATAGAACTCGAGATCAGAGCGAGTGTCATCATATCAGGATAAATATGTTAGTTCTAGTAGTGCTATCTTATTCCTTCGCTTTCTTCCCTGTAAAGTCATAGTCTACCCAAGTCCCAAGCATTGATCGAATATGCTCATACAGTTCGGAACGACTCTCCACTGCCTGTGTATCCAGCTCAGTATAATCCTGCAAGCTCTCAGATGCCTTTGTCGATTTGAGAATTGACTTGGCAGCAGCTACATTCTGTTCCAATTCAGATAAAGTGCTGATTCCCGTTATCGTAGACACTTCGAACGAAGGAGTACAATTCTGCCTGGCCTTGAGAATAGCATATTGCATCGCGAGGAATGAAAGAGTCTCCCCCTTTCCATGCCCATCTACCCACTGCGCTGCTTCAGCCGCAGCAGCCCTCAAGCCTTGAGGCGCAGGATGCCAGTCGCCAGTCAAACCCACAGGAATGCCACCAGTCCTGAGTAGTCCAACTGCCAAAGGGCTTGAGCAAAAGACTGATGTTACACCAGCGTCGCGGAACCGCGCGAAACCTCGGGATTCTGCTTGTGTGTTTTGAAGAGTGAGCTGAGCCCATGTCTGGATAACATCTACAGGTCGCCCGTAACGCTGTTGTGCGAGCGTGGCCACTTCCGCTAGTATATCGATGTCATAGCCTGAGATACCCACACGCAAAACAATACCTGCTTGCTGGAACTCGAAGAGCACACCAACAGCAGTCACTGCCTCTTCTATAGAGACATATTCGACATCGTGACAAAAGACAACGTCCAGATACGAAGATTGGAAACGCTCCATCGACCGCGCCACAGATTGACGGATCCAGTCTGGTGAGTAGTCGAACTCATTTTCCTTGATGCGTCCAACTTTGGTCATGAGTTCATAGTCGGCTCGCTGGTATTTGGAAGTGATGCGTGGATCAGATAGGGCGGCTCCCATGAGCTGCTCTGAGGGCTCATAGTATGGAGAGGTATCGATGGTGCGCACGCCGAGATCGAAAGCGCGCAGGAGTATGTCTACAATTGGAAGGGATTCGGGTTTTGGGTTGAGTTGGTAGCTGAATCCTGCACCGCCCATCACCAGCGGAGATGGTCGACTGGATGGCATGGTTCTGAGCCGACTTCGGTGCAAGCGGCGGTGTTTGAAATGGGGAAATAAAGAGTGGTCAGAACGTGTTCTAAGTTGACCCTACTTGAGTTTGTGCTTGGCGTTAGTGAGGGAGGAAGAATGAAATGAAGAGAAAGACTATGTAAGTAATCTCAATAAAGCCTCAGATTCTAGACTAAGATGTACCCACAGGGTTGGAAACCTGGGGTATTCGGATAAAGGTTTTTGCATTAGCTCAGCACTTGCGCTTGATTCGTCGATACCAGAAATGTACTTCTTTACCGCGTTAATTCCGACGCGCTTGATTGGAATATGGGATCCTTCTACAATAGCAACTCTAGACCTGAATTTAAGCCATAGTTGGTAGCTAGCGGAACACTAAGATGAGCTTCCCATAATGTAACTATCCAAAGGCGCCATTGGAGCGACTCATAAACAAGCCGGTCACTGAGGATTGGAGGGATTGTATGGTTTGAAACGGCTATTAATATAAAGATATAATACTTTTTTTTGGTCTAAGAGCTAACTGTCGAATTTTCCAGTTCCATTGAGCTTGTACAGCTCACGGTCGTCGGCTTGGGTTCCATGGAAGATCAGGATTCATGGGCACAACAAAGCTTCCCATATCAGTCAGTCTCAATCTCTTTCGCATTCGTATATATACATACCTGTTCTGCCTGTTTGCTAAGCCCTCATACATAAGATACCACGCTGTGAATGAAACCAACAAGCCAGTAGCACCGCCACACTTGAGGAGGACGTCATTGGGCGCGCCTGACTCTTCAGTGCAGAGGTTAGCTAATCCGAGTAACAACCAGGTGCAGTTGACAAGGAGGCAAAGTGTTAGTGAAAAGACATTCGATTTCATGGAGCACAAGGTTATGGCCACTGAAAAGATGAAGAATCCCTAAGGAACGTGAGTCTCGAGTGAGTTTTGGGGTAGCTGGTGGTAAACCTACCATGAGAAACAGTCCGTTGGCGTGGTTGTAGTCGCCGTCACTGGGATAAGCATCCCTGACGTGGAAACTGGGAATGAGGCTGATGGCATAGGAGATCCAGAAACAGCCATACGAACAGGCAATGGTTGCACTGACTGTGTTTCCATTGGCGATATCCCTACAAATACCATAAGATTCCATCCAGCAACACTCTGTACCAAGCGAAAGGTAACTTACCACATGCCAGAGAGTAGTTGAGCAAGGCCTCCATAAACCAGAGCCGGTCCAATGACAATGTTGGGAATAGTGACTCCACGAACATTGAGATTGACCAAGGCTGTTAAAAATGTCGCAAAGGCGAACCCAGACAGACCAAGGGGACCGGCATCCCCAAACTTCTGGCGAAACTGCGTATCAGCTTGTCGAGCTGCATCTTGTTTAGTCGTGGCTGCATAGCAATGGGTTTTTGTCTCTGAACAATCCTCTTGCCCGGACCAGAGTGTCGCCTCTTTATCTCCACTATCCTGGTCTTGTTGAGCTCGTACTGGCGACATTTTTTGTCAATTTTTCTCTAGTAATAAGACAATGATTCCTTTGTACCACAGAGGAGAAAAGAGATTAGTATTACGTGAAGAGAAAATAATTAAAGTAGAAAGAAAGGGGATCCCAAGAAGCTTGTTTCTCGTTTTAGTGGATTCAGTGGATCTTCAACGTAAAAAAAATTCGCACCCTAGTCTTCGGACTCTAGGCCAATAATAGACAAAGGCCGATGCTCGTAAGTGTTCCCAATCAGCTCACTATTTGTGTTTCTGGGCTGAATCGGAGTGCCAAGTATATCGCCATCGCCAAGAGCATGCCTATATACGACAGCCTCCACATAGAAATGGACATGTTATAACTCATGTGGTTTTTACGGTACGTAATACAAGACAACAAACAGTAATGCAGTGTGCATAATAGGCGTTGATAAGAAGCAAGGGCCGACAGGTTAAATTTGGGTTTCTAACTCAGTCGCAAGAGGTAAGAGTTCTCTGTCCTCGGCGAATAGTTTAATTTAATTTTCCAGATTGAGCTTCTAACTACAGATTAGTTACGCATTCGTATCCAATAGCCTACTCTTAGGAGCTAACTAATTGAGGAAGGAAAAGCGCAGTAGGGTTAGTTATGCGATTGACTAGTGGAAGGACAGATCTGCAGGCCGCCAACTGCCTAAGGCAATTTTGATCGTTTGTGTAATAGTAATTAAATATGATTGGTGAAGAGGGAAAGAAAAGGCAATATATATAGAAGGTAGGGTGCGATCGTAATATTAACCTCAGCCAAAAGGGAATACTATGCTTAATCTATATCGCAAAAGCAGTAGAGTTCGTACCACTTCCATGCCGTGTCTAGCACATCAGTGCCTCCAGTTGACCCTGAATACAATTCACAAGATACATTCTCTTGAATGGCCAAAGACAGACAGTTGGGATTTTTCAAGCACGATCTGTAACAATCGAGTCTGGTGCCGGCCGCGGCGTTTCTCGAATACACAAAGTCGTCACTTGCCGCTACAGAAGCTCCCTTGATGCCGCAACGGCAAATCCAGGTGTAATGTTCTTGAGATTATTGACACAACTTGGGACTGGTGCAGCAGTGGAAGTCTTAGCCGTGGTAGTGAAGACCGCATCAGAAGTTGTGATAGTGTGCATCTGGCTGCCAGTGACAGTGGACGTCTCGCTGCTGGTATCAATGGCGACCGTGGTATTGGTGGTAGCAGTAGACTCTGCTAGAGATGTCTCGATAGCGAATGAATCAGAAAGAGTGGTATTGAGAGACGCGGTGATATCGACGGTCTCATAGTTTGTCGTAACGGTTGACTATACTCTTACAGCAGTTGCCTCCTACCTAGTTTTTGGCTAGATACATCAACCAACCAATAAGACCAACTCCCATAGCCATATTCTCAATTGCCTTCGTCCTTATACGATCATCCCCGACTGAAATCACCACAACTGCATCGCCAAATTTGAAGAAGCTCATAATAGCCAGCAATGTCAACACGGCCGTTAAATTGTCGACGTAGTGGTGGGCGACCATAAAGATACCCATGGAAATATCTCTAACTCCGAGCATGTAGATGGGTGCGAAGCTGGCCATTTCTTCGGAGGATCTCATATCTTTGATGCCCCTGAGCCTGAATTGCCCTTTTGGGTCAATCAGAGCAACAATGCCTTGGTACATTAAAATAAGGCCGAGGCCATAGATATAAATGTCGACAGCGTAACCCATTTTTTTCGATAATCCGTTGGGTTGCGAGTGGTTGTGGTGTGTTCTGAGTAGATGCTAGTTATCGGGAATCAGGTATGAGATGATGGATGGATGAAAACATACCAGTCACCAAAGAGACGGGAAGATGGACATAGTTAAAGACTGATCTGATGCAAACCGGTATTTTCATGTCCGTGCAATTCCCCGATTAACTGGCCGATCTAGCCGAGAAAGCCTCGGGCAATTGGGGCTGAGTTTCATGCACCGCCTTGTAGGATCAAATCGTCCCACTATCAAGAACTTGTTTGTTGCTGATTTGTTCAATTGAACAGTTCTTACATGATCGCTGGGGCTTGTACGTTACTTTGCGGAGCGTCGGCACGTCAGGTCGTGTTTTAATTATTATTATTCATAACTGCCGGAAGATGGAAGCCTTTCCACGAAATGGACCCTACAATCCCCGATGTCAATATGCTAGTATACTGCTTATTCGGAGCTTTATTTATAGATTTCGGGACATGATGGCATTGGTCGGTTTTGGTATGCTTGGTTAACCCTTTGTAAACCAGGTATTTATTTTCTCCAGGCGCGACGACAATTGTCCTGATAACTTCTTATTTCAGTAAAGACAAAACAAAAAACTCCTAAAAAAACGCCGAACGTCTAACACCTCCAATTGCCCACATGTTGTGATGATATAATGGCTTAGTGGTGACAGCAATTAGCTGTGTGTTGAAATTTGTCAATTGAGAGCGAAGAGGCTCTTGAACTGAATAGGCATGCAACCTCAATTCCCATGGTGATTGTTTAACTAAACAGCGAAAAGGTAAACAGGGTATTGTACTACATCGTGCTGCCTATCCATCTACGTCTCAGAACAATTAAATATTATGTCATTTTGGAACATGGCGTTCGCAAGCTTTGAAGGGAAACCCCCTTCAGATAAGGAAAAGGACATGTCATCACGCCCGTTATTTATCGTGATCTATTTTGCTTTTCTCGGTTCAAAGATACCGCGAGTTCGTCCATGAAACTGGTTCTCGCTGTGCCAATATTCTTTTCCTCTTCGACTGCTCTGCCAACGAAAAGGTTACATCGAAAGTGTAGATCCATCTCAAAGTTGAGCCCGACAATATGGTTCACTGGCACCAACCGGCAGGTTGAGCCAATGACGAAATTGGAAAGAGTTGTCTAAGAAAATCTCATTATGCAAGGTTGATCGATCATGACTCACTTTATCGGCTGGGCAAGATGTTTTTATTTTATTTTTTATTTTTTATTTTTTTATTTTTGCTTTTTGTTGACATGGCCCTGCATAGCGTTGATTAAAATCCTGTTTAGATGAAGGACGCGAGGGAACAACTAGCCCCTAGATCCAATTGATTAGTTTTACAACTAGTGGAATCCACAACTTTCCTCAAGTCACAAGATAATTGATTCCGTGTCTCCACGGAGAATGTGGCTTAACAGACAGACCATGGCCAGTTAAGGGCCGTAGTGTCAATTCCACGTCATACGAACAATAAGAAACAATGTGAAAGCGGGTTCGTCTCGCCCTGCTGTTGATCTTTAAATATTGAGGCCCGAAACTAACTCGATCAAGGTCAATATTTAATAGCTGAATGCTTTGTGCACACTTGGCAGACAGGGATGATCAATACGGGACAAAAAAGAAAAACTGTTCGCTGGTGGTTTGACGTATGTGAGATATCACATTGTCATAGCACAATGATCTACACCTTGGATTATTTTGTTCCAGTGTGATTCATATAAATCAGGCTTTCTGCCATTGTTACGCTGTCCCATAGTCAGTCATTTATTCTTCTTCCTATCCTTCTTAATATTCTCACAATGAGACTCTTCAATTCTGCCATAATCCTGGCGTCTTGCATTTCAACAGCTTCCGCTGCTGTGGCTCACACGTCCACGGTGAAAACCATCAACGTGGATGTTGCAATCATTGGCGGCGGTGCATCTGGTATCCACGCAGCCATCAACCTCAAAGATGCTGGTGCAAAGGTTGCCGTGATTGAGAAACAAGACAAGATCGGAGGCCATGCTGAGACATACATCAACCCCAAGACAAAGGCGGCTGCCAACATCGGCGTTGTCATCTTTGAGAACAGCGAGACTGTCCAAAAATACTTTGACCGTCTGGGTGTTGACTCTGTCATCAGCAGTCCTCTCGTCTCTGACAAAGAAACTAAGCAGTATGACTTTTCTCTCGGCATCCCCATTCCCCCTCCAGATGCAGACACTGCCGCTGCAAAAGCAAAGGCTATAACCGCCGCGATACAAGCCTACAGCCAAAACGTCTTGACAAAGTACCCTTGGATTGATCAAGGCTATACTTTTGTTCCCAACCCTGTGCCCAAAGAGCTTCTTCAGCCGTTCTCACAGTTTGCTCAGCAAAACAATTTCACTGATCTCCTTTCCCTCATCTCTCAGTTTGGCTGGTACCCTGGAAACATCACCACCATCCCCGCTCTCTATGGAATCAAGAAATTTGGACCTGGTTTGTTGCAGAGTGTCACCAAAGGATTTATTGTTCCTAAATCCGGCAACTCTCGGACTGTCTATGAAGCTGCGGCTCTTGAGCTCACTAAGGAAATCTACCTCAACTCGGACGTCAAGAGTGTCAAGAGGAACAAAGATGGTGTTGTTGTTACTGTCAAACAACATGGGAAACACATTACCTTTAAGGCACGCAAGCTTCTTGTTGCAATCCCTCAGACTCTCAAGAACGTTGGCTCCTTTGATCTTGCTCCACACGAAAAGACTTTATTCTCAAAGTTCTCTGCCTACGGCTACGTCGCAGGCGTTGCCAACATCGCCGGTGTCGATGTCAACCTCCAAAACGTCGGCGCTTTCACACCAGCCAACACACCTGTCATCCCTGGAAGCAACGGCTACAATATCCCTCCCGGGTTTTCAGAGCAGTTTCTTCTCGGTGTGGCCTTTGACAATGCCGACTACAGCCTTGCGGACGCTAAGGCTGTCATTCGAAAGGAACTCACGAATCTTGCCCGCGCAGGCGCTGTCCCGGCTGGATCAGCAAAGAAGGTCACATTTCCTGTGCTCGCCAACCATGCTCCTTTCGAACTTCATGTTTGTTCCAAGGAAATCGGTGATGGCTTCTTTAGGAAGCTTCTGGAGCTTGAAGGATCTCGCAACACGTATTGGACTGGTGCTGCGTTCACTGGTCACAGCAGCGGACTGATCTGGAATTGGAATGATAATGTTATTTTACCCGCTATGAAGAAGGACTTGGGACTTTAACATTTCTCTTACGCACTTTAATTTCGCACGTCTTTTTTGTTGCCGAACGCTTGGATACATGTTTTTGTCTGAACAGATATCAATGACTTGTTGTATTTTCTGTCTTCATCTCATATCCTAAACCTAGAATATCCTACTTGCTTCAATGCTATGCTCATACTTTTCTCTCATCCTATATAGACTACCTATGAACAGAGTCGCTTCCGATTTGGATCGATCGGTCTCTTGCACAAAACCATTAACACCACAAAAGTAATTCGTCCCACAACCACAACACGGCGGTTCCATTACTGAGTACGCTGTTGGATCAATAGTGAATCTGTCCAATTCCTCCAGCTACCTTCCCATTTCTTGTCGCACTGATATTTGTCCCCAACTTCCCGCCACCTCTCACCTCTCGCCACCCTCAAGTCCGTATAGCTTCAAAACACCTCCCAACGTGTAAAAAGGAATTCCAAGCTCTGCTTGGGACGTTTTGCGTAATCTGGGAATCGAACCCAGGGCTCCCCGATGTCGCTTGAATGGCAACGGAGAATTTTACCACTAAACCAATTACGCGGTTATTTGATGAAGATCTGCTTTCGTATTAAGCGACAAGTTTGCTAGCAAGTCCGAATCTGCTTTCGAGCCATTGACTCGAGCACTTGAGAAGTTCTTGATGATAAGACAAGGCGAGCAATCGTCTTGTGGGGAACTTGTTGCAGAGTCTCACGGTCGCTTGATCAAATGTACAAGTGCCTACGACACCAAGCATCTTCAGTAACTGTCACTTGCAAATAACTACATGTCCACAGCGACTATTGGTTTGATATTATCTACCCTTCATTCAATCATTTGTACACTACTTCTCTATATCTCCAACTTCTCTGTCTGATTTTGAGCCCACAAAGTCTGTTGTCTGAGTTCTCTCCCTTCATCCTAGCGCACCCACTTGAAAGCCCCATCTATTTTCCTATTGGGGATTAGCTTCTGGCAACTCACACGTCATTCGGGAGTTCATACTCATTTTGTCAAGTCTTGCCGGACGTCTCGGTATATGTGTGTATTGTCGGGACATGATTTCGATGTTGCCTTTCTTGACGTTGCGATACCTTCGGACTAAGCAAACATGGACGAAATCACTTTATGGTCACTCATCTTGGGCATTGTCCTTGCCGTGTCTGCTTCACTATTGCTGCGGGGCCAAACAGCAAAAGAGACTGGATTGGAAGTCACTCAGGTAATGATTCCTTGTGTGATATGAGACTTCAGCTGACACCACCTGAAGTTATACGTATATCCAGTCAAGGGTATGAGAGGGTGTGCTTTGAACAAAGCACATCTTGGGCCTTTCGGTTTCGAAGGCGATAGGACTTTTTGTCTCCAAAAAGTCCGCCGAAATGGCGATTCGGATGTCGAGTATGAGACATTGCTCATCGGATATGAACTCAAGCTTGCGCTATTCCAGGCCTCCATCGATTACGGCAAGAGTCGAGTCACCGTCAAATGGTACACAGACAAGAATGAAGACAGAATTCATTTTCCTCTGAAACCTTCTCTTGAGGGGAGGCCGATAATTGAAGCCAGTCTCCATGCGAGCAATACCAAGGCTTATGACATGGGTGACAATTTGTCTGGATGGTTCTCAGATCGTATCGGCCATGAAGTTCGATTGGTCTATATCGGCGATGGATCAAGAGCTGTTCATGGATCGTTGGCTCCTCATAGCTCTGAAGCTTTGCAAAAGGCTTCGTTCACTCAGCGTATCACGAGCAACATCCCGTTCCTAGCACATGAACCAGAGAAGCTCACTTTCAGCGACATTGCTCATTACCTCGTCGTCACAGAAGAGTCTAACAATGAGTTATCCTCGCGTCTGAAGGAAGGTTACTCAATGGACATCACCAAGTTCCGACCCAACATCGTTCTTCGCGGCGCATCTGGGCCGTTTGCTGAGGACTACTGGGGGGGCCTGTCATTCTCTGGTGGGGTACGAATGGCTTTGACAGCGAACTGCTTCCGATGTCAAAGCATCACCGTGAATTACGAGACGGGAAAGACAGCGACTGATGAACGAGGTTTGGTGTGGAAGAAACTGAACAAAGACCGAAGAGTGGACAAGGGTGCGAAATACAGTCCTGTCTTTGGACGTTATGGATTCTGCTACGGCGATGACGCGAATAAATCATTGTCGGTTGGGGAACGAGTTGATGTCACCAAGGTCAATAAGCAGCGAACGACATTTGGTAAGTCTGACAATCATGTGACGATAAGACATATGCTAACTATACAGATTGGCCACATCTTAGCACATTTGGCGTTTCAGAGAAGAAGTGAACATGGAATGTAGGGCTTCTGTCCCTTGGTTCGCGTCACGTTCCGGCGCGTCATAGCGCGTTGGTGTGGACAAGCCTGCGTTGTTCACTGTCTGGCTACCCTATTGTTATAACGGTAGAACCATTTCCAGAATTTAGCCTTGAACGAGTTCGTTTCATGTCTCCTGAGCTATTTCAATAGGTAAAAACTCAATTGAGAATCGGAGTGGATTTCATTTTCCATATTATTAAGTTGTGGAATTGAATGTTTCCTGCTCTAACGATCTCTGGGCTTCTTACCAGACATTGGTGTAGAAGCTGTGTATTTTTCGAGTGACTTGTGCTGCTGTATAATACCTGGCAGATTAATTATCTGCAATGGCAGTTTAAACCCGAAATTACCTATCTAACATTAATGCTAGCACTGAATTACTGGTATTTTTAAATAGAGTTAGCTGTTTCCTGAGGAAAAGATAATACTGGTGTGGATGTGAAGTCACAAAGTAGTTGCAGCTAGAGAACATAGTACCAAATTACCGGCGCAACTCATATCCAATAACATTGCCTTAATGGCTCAGTGGTAGAGCGTGTCACTAGTAATGACAAGGTCCACGGTTCGATCCCGTGTTGAGGCAAAACAAGTTGTTTTCTTTTTGTAATTTCAAGTACCTTTTTTAAACGTTAATCAATTTTTAACTATGCCTGATCATTAAATTCTTGTCCTCCTGGCGTAGATTGCCATTCTTTCCACCTCGAAGGCGAATAATATTATTACAAAACCCAGTCATTACCATTACTGCCGACATCAACCGCTAATACCATTCCAATCAAGCCTTCAATGCACCATCAACAAGATCCCAAGTATGCTCATTCGCTTTCTGAACCTGCTCGTCATTCCATGCTTCCTTCTCAATTACGACGCCCTTCTCGTTGATGAACTCCCAATTTCTACCGGCCTTTTCACCAGAAGCCGCCGCATTCTCAATCCCCTGGACCATGTGCTCTGCACATTTCTCGGGCGACATGCCAAATAGGGACGCAGCAGCTGAAGCTGGGCCACGTAGATACCAAGGAAGTGATGAAGCGATGTTGGTGTTGACAACACCGGGAGTAGCGTGAATAAAGTGTCGCTTGGTACCTGCAGCCTTTTGCTCAGTGCCATAATGTTGAACCATGGCGTCTGTCATTGACAGACAATGAGCAGCAGCACTCGACATGCTAAACGTGGTCTTGAGATCCAGATCTTCCCAGTTGAGCTTGTCGGGACCTCCACGAACGCTGTCCAAGACGATCAAAACCTTGGCATCTTCTGTGAGAGCTGGCATGAGCTCTCTGATAAGTAATTGTCGTCCATAGTAGTGAAGCGCCATCTTGCGATCAATGCCCTCAGGCGTCTCGGTTCTTCCAGCGGTGGTGAGAATGCCCTGGGTGAGGACAAGAGTACCGAAGCGATCCTGCGACGCCTTGAGCCCATCTGTGTAATTTTTGATGGCGCGCATTGATGATGCATCTAGCGCTCGAAATTGCATGTTGGAGTGAGGAATGTTCTTTGGCTCATTACGGCCGCTGATGATAACTGTTGATGAGGGAGTGTTGGCAGCGATGCGACATGCGATGGCGTAGCCAATACCGCCTGTACCGCCGACGACTAGAGATTTTGAGGCCATACTGTGATGTTGTGTATTGTTTTGTGTGATGGAATTGAATTGCGGGTGGTTGGGTTCAGACTCGTCTCTTTATTCAATTGAAGCTTATGCCAGTCGGCGTTAGAAATTCGGACTTTATTGCGCTGCACTAACTCCGGAAGTTCCTGTTCCGCTCCGCCCGCCACTGAAATGTCGTGCAACTCCGCCAGTTGTGGTGTAACGCACAGTGAGTGGCTTGGTGGCTGCTTTACAGGGATGTCGTTAGTCTGGTGAGCACCTTGCATCAAGAGGAACAACTATAAGACACGAATGGTTGTTACTTGCATTTACGAGCGGGGTTGAACACTCTCAAGTGACCATTTCAAGACTAGAATAGGGTATATCAGTTATCTGCAAAATATTATCTAAGTGCATCATAGGAACAAGCATGATCTTCTTATCGCCGATGTGGTTCATGCACCCAGCCCAGTTCCTGGTGCATCACTCTCTTTCATCGGGATAGGCGCCTTCAACCAACCCTTCTTATCAGCTTCAAGAATCCCCTTCAACCAAGCATTCGCCATCTTCTCATAACCTGTGTCATTGGGATGTTTCGAATCAGCAAGATCAGCCTTCTTGATGTCAATCGGCACCTCCAGAATCTTTTTGCCAGCTTTTTGTCGTGCCGCAATGAGTGCTCGAAGTTTCGGGTTAAATTTATCTGTCTTGGCCTGCATTTTCGCATCGTTGGCCCAAATGACTGGTGCAAGTAGAATAGTCACGCCTGGAGCGACTTTGAAGATACCGTCGACGATATCAGCCATGATATCAGCTCCAATGTCGAGGTCAATTCCTCGATCCATGTTGTTGGTGCCGGCGTGGATGAGGACAACATTGGGTCGAGCCTTGATAGGGACTTGCCAGTAACCGTTGATGTCGGATATAAGCTTTCCGCTGTGCCCTTCATGGTGTGCATCAACCATGTTGCCGTTCTTCAAGGTTCCCACCATATTGACTTTGACGCCTTGTGCAAGAATCTTTTGTCGCAACGGTAGACGATAGCCAACGATGCCCGTTGAGCCTGTTCCCTTGGTGATGGAATCGCCCAAAGGTAACACTCGAATGTTGGGAAGTGCAGTGGTTGGTGAGAACGTGAGTGCCATAAGCATCACCACCATGGCGAAAAATCTCCGAAGGGTAAACAACATGACGAATCCGCTTGAGAGTAATAAAGTGCATACATAGGCTATCGAAACAAATGACCAACTGCACAAAGTGGCGGAGGTCAGTCATCACCTTAAATAGCCCCGCCAAGAAACACTCCTCCAGAAACACTTGACATCATCTTAGAAGCCTTGATAAGACGGGAAATGCAGGTCGGTCAGTAGTCTATGTAGGTGAGATCTCGTGGTGTTGGCTCATTGGACTCGTGAATCCAACGTTACCGTAAACAAGTCGGTAACCACCGCAAAGTCTGGGTCAGGGTATGCAACCAACACAGTCACCTTTGCTCGTATAGACAAGGGTATCATATTCGTAGGTGCATGCTAGTACACTTTATCTACTCGTAGCTTATGGGGAGCAGGGGTAAGAAGCTGAGAAATCTGACTACGCATGTTGCATGACGTAAAGACTAATCCCATGGGCAACATTAGGTCGCCATGACGGGCCATGTATTGCAATGCAGCAATGTGTTGTCAAATAAAAGCAAAACTTAGGTCAATGGTGGATTGGTCCAAGATTTGATCGTCCATCGCGTATCTTATGCTCGAAGATCATGGTAGTCTAGACTATTTCTGCCAAGTCCATTTCCCCTCATTCTAACATGGATCCTGCAACTGTGCCTCATGCATGATAAGCAACCTGCCTTTCTATCGTCGCCAGGCTTATTGTTAGAGAGCCTAGGCGTAAGGCGAACGATGTTTTGGCGAGGCCTACTCTGACCTGATATAATAAATCCAGTTTCATCTCCCATGAACCAACAAAGGCTGTTGTAGGTGAAGACGGGGTATCTAGTAGTAATGTTTATTGTGATCAAACATATATCGAGACGATCGACTCGTGCATGTCGATCGAAGAATGCGCCAACTTCGGGAATGCAGAAGCATACACATGGTTCAAAGGGTCCGCAGCTAGAGTCTCTCTGAATGCTGTGGTTGATCTGTAGCTAGCCCATGGCTTGTCAGGGCTGTCGCGAGAGCGCCTGTTCGAGTTGTGGTCGTGGATGACCATCATTGAATCTAAGAGCTGCAAAACGACGCCCGCTGTGTCTCCATTTCTTCCATTTTAGAACGGCACAGATATCTTGACTGCTCATCTTCCTGTACGTCAGGTTAATCTCACGTCCATCCACCGTAGTTTCCGGACGATGCAAAAAACTCCTCCCATGACAAACCTGTAAAGTCAAAAAAGCCTCAACTACTTGTTCTTTGCCAATATTCGGTGTCGAAACTTCGTGACCATTGCCTGAAGATGTTTCTGGCAAGCTAAGACAACTGTCGCGAAAGTTTCTTCTTGGGTCTGGGGACGCGAGGCTACGACAGCATCGATGGTTGCCGGGACGCCAAAGAAGCCCTGAATTGGCTTCTGCTTCTCCTTCTCCTTTTCCTCTTGTTCTTCTCTATCTACTCCCTCGCACCGACGCTGACTCTTGGCAAAGGGCAAGCAGTTGGGGCTTTCTGAGATTCCCGAATATCCTCCTCCTCACATGTCTTGAGTCTTTATTGCGAGGTGACAGGAAGGTAGGTCGAAGGCCTGATGTCGTCCTGAGGACGCAGTTGTCGTCGCCCCCCAACTTCCGTAAACGCGAATGGCTACCTTAAACGCGTCCTTAAAAACACCAACGGCCTTGCCTATGCACGGCAGCGGGTGCTCGTACCTATCCCCAACTTCTGAAAACCCTTCGCACGGGCACAGGGCCGGGTCAGCCCATAACCCTTCCGACCTTGGTTCTCCGTTCCGCTCTCAATGCGCAAATGCTCCTCGATCAAACACCGAGGGTCCCTGCATAAGTTCGAAATGACATCGACTGTGAATCACAGTCTTTTGATATATAGATACAGACTCGTCGAGGCGGACGGTTCGCGAGGTCAGTAGTGACAATGAATGGGTTAGTTAATTGGTTAATTTGGAGTATAGCTAGTTTCGGGATAAAGCTGAGGAAACAAAAAAACAAACAAAACCACAATACATAGTGATGAAGGCCATGTGAATAAGATAGCTGCTAGAGATGATGCTTTTTCCAATGCAAATATCAGATTTCGCACATACACAAATATCAAAACATAACCCTTTGCTATCATAATTGACGGCGCACGATAGTCAACATGGCTCTCGAACAGCCGACAACGACGGGGCTATGATAAAGTTACAGAAGATCAAGAACCTTTTAGTGGCTGGTTTGGACTCGCAATTTTGTTCCAGAAGTCGCAATAATGTGATCTTGTTGTGCCATGTTGTGGAATTTGCATGTTAACAAGAGCTGACACTTATGAGGAACATGGTAAAAGTGTTGCATGAGAATGGAGGCTTCCACAGAAAGCCAACAGCACCGGTTAATCGGCAAGCTCAAAAGGGTCTCACAACCAATGAAAGATTTAGAGTTTAATGAAAAGATGAAATCGACAGAAACGGTATGCTTCATCCGATGTCGTATGTTATGCGGGAATACCGGGTCAGGATATTGACAGGCATGCTACTTATGAAGAGTTGCCAGGCATGGATACTAAATATATCACCTTAAAAGTCGGTGTTAATGTTCTGGAAAAAGAACTTCACCTGTCAAGTTGCGTTTGTCGGTAATTACGTATCATTCTCCAGGTTCATCGAACCATTCCTTAGTAAGAATGGAAAATAATTCTCAACAGTAACCGAGCACCCCATCTTGTTCAACGGTATCACTTTTAAGTACGATCCACTTCGGGTAAAATATAACCTTAAAATCTCCGCTATAGTCAGTATCAGCTGAGATTCCTTCGTCCCCACAGATTGTGATGCTGGCTTAGTGGTGAGTTGAGGCTCAGACAATGCAATGCGTCAATTATTTACACCAACAAGTGTTCCTCATCAGCTAATTGAAAGGTGAAAGTGAAACTGGGTTCTTGGCAGACTGCCCTGTTCCCGTTCGGCAGACCCTTCTGGGCTAGCTCATGTTTAGTGAGTGTTTAGCATCTTCAGCGAGGAAGGGATCTGCAACACGGGCTGGTCCTAGCCGTGCCGGATCAACTGACTAAAATTAGTCGAAGAGTGGAGTGATTCTTCAGTCTCGATTCATGCTATAGACCCTGATATCAAGGGATTTAAATCCACAAAGATTAACCTTGAAGTGTAAAGCCGTAACTCTCTTTAATGGAGTAGAGAAACTTTACAAGGGACTGAGTACGGATATACGGCTGCTCGAGGTTGATAAGCATGGTAATTCCAACAGCGTGGTCTTCATAATGTGATAAAGGTGTGATACGCAGTCTGTGCATTGGCCCTGGTACTGGTAGAATCAACCACCGCATTGCGTGCGACGATCCCCGGGGAGCAACGGGTTTGTGCCCAGTTGATGACATTTGGACCCCTGCTCCAGGGAAACTTGGCCTGTAAATGCAACTGAAGAAGACGGCCAACACTCGCTAGAACGGCTAGTCCAGTATCCAGATATCACCAGACACCACTGCCTTGGCAGTTTCCAGTGCTAGCTTGTTATCTTCGCTACCGTTTCCACTCAATTTGTAGACCCGCTGAGAACCAACACATAACCGTTGGACTAAAACCGCCGAGGTGCAAGCTGTTGTCGACAAAAATTCACGATGAGAAATGATGCACAGCTCATTATGAGAACCACTACATCCAATCACTTATGCCAAGATGGAATGATTGACTTTTTCCGATCGTCCGAACTCAAGATCTGCAGATTATCAATTCTGAGCAAACTCTCAGCCCTGTTCAAGATCAATGAGCTGGATGGTTGTAGGCATTGCATTGGCCATTGATCCCTGCCCTGACCCCAAAACTCCGAGACATTGATTATCTGCCTGTCGTAACGGGCATGGGTCCTACCTGACTCATGAACCCTCCCAACACACGCGCAACTCATTTATGCGAAGCGCGGTAGTAATGCCCGGCATTGCCGATCCATACCACGTTCCAGTGAGACTTTGAGAGTTTCTGTAACCTTTGCGGTACTACTGTACACGCTTGGGCTGCAAGAAAGATGCTTGACATTTTTTGACAAGCTACTGTTCATTTAGATCGAGTACATAAGAACAAATGTTGCCACTTCTGTTTGTTATAACCCACACACTCTTTTAGGTCACTCACTCTCTTTAACACATTCATTCGTTTCCATCGAGATCCCTGCCCACAATGCGCTGCACTTCAGCCTTATCTTTGGCTATTAGCCTTTCGACATGCGTCACCGCTGCTGCCGAGAGTCCCTTCATCAGCACCCTTCTCGATCCACTACAACATATCGTCCAATCCGCATATGCTGGCGATGGTCTCAAGGTTGGAAAGCTCGGTGAATTGGGAGGAATCCCAGGAGTCGATGCTACCTACGACTACGTTGTCGTAGGAGGAGGTACTGCAGGAAACACCATTGGTTACCGATTAGCCAAGGCCGGTTTCAGCGTCGCCATTGTCGAGGCTGGTGGCTTTCTCGAGATCGCCAAGCCCATCCTTGCTACGGTACCTGGTGGCGTGACGGCTGGTAGTGGTTCTAGTCTTCTGGACTCTAACCCTTTGAGGGACTGGAGATTTACTACTACACCACAGACATCTGCTGATGATCGCGAGATTCACTATGCTCGCGGCAAGGTGCTGGGTGGCTCATCGCAGCTCAACTTCTTGGTCTACCACCGTCCCACCAACGGTACTATGGCCAAGTGGGCTGAAGAAGTCGGCGACGACAGCTACCAGTAAGTCGTAACCCTCCAATCACCTGAAAGACGTTTCTAACAACCTTAGATGGGATCAGATGTTGCCTCACTTCCAGAAGACCGCCACATTCACGCCTCCCGACAACGACAAGCGTGGCTCATCTATCGAAACTGACTACGATGCATCCGCTTTCTCATCCGAGGGAGGTCCCATCCAGATCAGCTACGCCAACTACGTTCCCTCTTGGGCTGCCCTTGTAGCAAAGGGTCTTAACTCACTTGGACTCAAGAGTATTGATGGATTCAGCAGTGGCAGTCTACTCGGATACTCTTACACAACCACCGCCGTACGACCCAAGACCGTTACCCGAAGTGCATCTGATGACTTTGTCAAGGCTGCTCGGGATGAGAAGCTCGAGACTCTCAAGGTCTACACCCAAAGTCTGGCCAAGAAGGTGCTGTTTGACAGCGACAAGAAGGCAACTGGTGTCGAGGTTACTTCTATTGGTATGGATTACACTCTCAAGGCTCGCAAGGAGGTCATTGTCAGCGGTGGAACTTTCCAGTCTCCTCAAATATTGATGGTATCTGGTGTTGGCCCCAAGGAGCACTTGGAGGCATTCGATATTCCTGTCGTCGCAGACCTTGCTGGTGTCGGCCAGAACCTCTGGGATCACATTCTCTTTGGCCCATCATTCGAGGTTCAGGGTCTTGAGGATACTCTCAGCGTAGCTATCAACGACCCTGCTGTCTTCCAGGGTGCTCTCGACGCATACATCCAGCAACAAGCCGGCCCATTGACATCCAACCAAGTCGAGCTTTTGGGCTGGGAGAAGGTCCCTGAGAAGTACCGATCCAAGTTCTCCAACACTACTCTCAAGGATCTTGAAGCATTCCCTGAAGACTGGCCTGAGGTTGAGTTCATCCCTCTCAACGTCTACTCCGAAGATTGGCAATTCCCCATTCTCCAGCAACCTGCCGATGGCAAGAAGTACACCAGCATCAATGGTGCTCTCGTTGCTCCTCTCTCCCGCGGCAACATCACTCTCCAGTCCAACTCGACTTCCGACGCGCCTCTCATCAACCCCAACTTTCTCGGTGACAAGGGTGACCAAGAGGTCGCCATCGCCCTGTTCCGTCGTCTTCGCGAAGTCGCCAAGTCCGGTCCCTTGAAAGATACTGTTCTAAAGGAAGTCTACCCTGGTGAGGAGCATGAGTCTGACGATCAGATCCTTGCTGTTCTTCGCGATACTCTCATGACTGTTTGGCATGCTGCTTGCACTTGCAAGATGGGCAAGAAGGAAGACAAGATGGCTGTTCTTGATTCCAAGGCTCGAGTTTATGGTGTTCAGGGTCTTCGTGTTGTCGACGCTTCTTCATTCCCTGTGCTTATCCCTGGTCATCCTATGGGTACTATCTATGGGTTGGCTGAGAAGATTGCCCATGAGATTATCACGGAGCAGGAAAGCGAGGGTGCTGGATACGAGGTCAACATTGAGGCCTAAAATTGGGCTATCCGTTCCAATTTCACTATAGATCTTAGCGTACTTCTTTTAATAAAAGTTTTTGTTCAACATCTTCACTCTGTTAGAAGAGGGCCTCTGAACCTGTGCATCCTGTCGACTGGTACTCGATGATATGACTCACCCTGCAATTGTAATAATCAGGATCTAGAATGGAGCCTGTTGACCACCCATCTAGTAGTCTCGCCCAATCAGAAGTCATCTACTCTACCAAGAACCGGCTGTAGAGGCGAAAAAGGGTTCACTGCAGGTAACCAAGCTTCTCATCAGTCACGGAGCGGATGTCAATATCCAGGCCGGGAAAGAATATGGCGGCGTTTTGGCTGCGGTGTTTTGCAATGGTAGAGTCAAAATGTTGGCATATCTTATCGGAGAGGCTAAAGCAGACCCTTATAGGATGATCTTTGATCTTGCTTCAAAGAAGCCGACGGATTATGGAATCTACGAAGAGAATCGAAAATAAGTAGCGACATATCTTTTTACAAATCGATATCTTGATGCAAATGACTCTCGGCTTCAGGAGATAGCAAACATGCCTGAACTGGAGATTGCTAAGCCACTACTGGAGATAATAGAGATAGAAAGGTACAGAAGTGCTAGGGATTAATTACTATTCAATACTATTGAATAAGATAACTATTCGAGTAATTAAAATGTTAAAGATTTTTTATTTTAGAGGGAGAACATCACAATAAATTATCTCTACTTTGAGGGTGAGAGCCTATACTTGTCTTAGGTATAGCTAAATTGTCCAATTATACAATCGTTACCACCTGACGTTCAGCTCCATGAAACCATTTACTCATATCACCGCAATCAATACCTGCATGGGGATGTACCGTTTCAGCACGCTCAAAGACCCCAGAGCCTTTATTCTCAATAGCCTTAATGATTATAACAGCTGTTTCTCCAAGAAGTGAAGCAAAGTGTTCGCTATCTGTCACCGGGATTCTTTGATCAGGCAAGGCTCCAGGATGGTGCCTATTGAAGATGCAACCACCGCAAAATTTGACACCTGGCTCAGGCACGATACAATCTGGTCTGTACGCTCCTAAACGTGCCTGGCTCCCGCTATATGGGTGTCGACATTGGAAGTTCATATAATATTCTTATTCAAAGTTCACTTGCCTTTCTGGCCATCAACATAAAAGAAAAAGCCGGGCTCTGGAACGCGACGTTGTGTTCCGCCCAGTGCCTCTATGTTTACCCCGGTCTTGGATGTTTCCAGACGAAAGGAGGCTCGATTCGGCGCAGGCTTAGTCGGGTCCCAAGTCGGCATGTTCTTGATTCCTGTGAAGATAACACTGTAAAGCCAACAAGACGATTGAGAAGCACTCTGTAGTTCTGCAAGCGTCATAGTAACAGAACGAACATGAAATATAGGTGATGAAGGTGGAGCTAGTTGTTCGCTGTTGGGTGATGGTGACCGAGAAGCTGGACAGTCTTCATGCAAATGGGCGCAGAGACAGTCCGGAAGCCAGTGGTCTGTAGAGGCTGTTTTAAACGTCTCTCGAGTTTCGCTCCCATAGTTTTGAGAGACAGCTTCCTCGGGCTTAATTTGATCGTTAAAATGAGGGAGATTGGTCGCTGAGTATGCTGCAGCCTGAACGGCGGCCCCGTGTGTTTCAGCGTTGCTCATGGCAAAAGGTTGTATGTGACTGAACTATGGAGCCCGTAGCGAAAGGACATATTATCTTGTTAATAAATATGAAATTGAGTTCCATCAAGGGACCAACTGGCTGATTGCCATTTAGACCCACTCATATAGCAATACCGATCACAACCAGTGTCCAGCCGCCACAATAACAAGGCCCTGTGACATCATATCATACAACTGGCACACCCTTGTACCAACCGCTAAAAGATCTACACCGGCAGTCGATCTTAGCTCAAGGAGTTTAATATTGCGAGAATGGCATTTCAGCTCCCAACTTTCAACTTTTGGTATTGGCTGCTATTTAAAATATGGACTGCGTGACAACTGGCACAGAACTACATTTTCCAGCCGCTGTCGTAAATCTTGCTGCCTCTTGTCTGACTTGCCTGTTAGCAACCCTACTATGGCTGGCGCTTCGTTGAGGAAGGGTTTGACAGATTTTCAAGTACATATTTATCTAGTGTTGCTTTCCATAACATGAAGTCGCCGAGCCTGTAAAGGTTTTCCCAATATGATCTCATCTGTCTAAACCGAGATGTGGATTTTACTGGCGTATCTCTACCGCTATCATTCGAACATTGAAACCCTCCAACTCGGGTAATTTGGATCTAAGCTCAAAAGAGGACGGATAGCACCCTATCTATAAGAGCCCCAGTGTTTCATGCAAAGTGGTAGACAAGCCATTTTTATACTCCCTCGATTTGCCAGACTCGGACGCACCTTTCATATTCAGAAGATAGTAAAGTGATCATATTATACAATTCTTTTTGTCTGCAACTATAGTAGCTATGAGACACAGCCCATATTAAGAACTACAAGGATCGATAGCTCAGTGGTACGAGCGAGGGATTGCAGATCCCTAGGTCGCGTGTTCGATCCACGCTCGGTCCTCACTTGTTTCTTTTTGCCTGTTCTATCTAGAAATGACCTAATCAACCTCATTGAGTTTGCAGTAGCCATCGTGGGTCATGCCCAGACTGTCTTGAGTCCAGTCTGGGCGTTGAGCACACTCCTGTTTGTATAGTCTTCGCTAGACTGGATTGAGAAATGCCGGAATCTGTTAGAAACACTTTGAGTATAGGAGGTAATTGAGAAAATCTGAACCCAGAACCTTGAATTTTAGATGTCACTCAAATAAGGAGAAGGATGATATATCTAGTATGGAGGAAGAGGTTATGTAGAACTGATAGGCATTATGGTGTAATGTGTATATTAAAAGTGAAGTCTGTGGTATATGAGAAGTGAATTCGCCCTCCTTTAATGGGAATGTTGTATGGGAGACTAGTTTCTGGTTGCGAAACGCGAGCGAAAAGACAACTTGCTTTTCAAGTCATGTGTACTGGGCTATATAATAGTCAATTCAGTAGTAGGTAGATATCAAAAAGGAAAGCCTTTATAGCTCAGTGGTAGAGCGTTGCACTTGTAATGCAAAGGTCCATCGTTCAATCCGGTGTGGAGGCATTCAAACACTTCTTTTTTCTTTTTTGCTGTTATTCTTAACCCCTGCATATGTCGCTTACACTGGAAAAAGTTAGTGCGAATTGGCGCAAGGGCAAAGAAAGATGCTATGATGGGTTAGGCGAGAGTAATATGCTAGTCTCATTAGCTTTAGACAAGAATGCAGCTGAATTGTACTTTAGCTGAGAAAAAGTTATTCGTAGTATTAAACATTTATATAATATTACTAGGGACCACAATAATTAATCTAGCATGTACCAGTCGCCTCAAATGCGTATTGCTTGATCTTGGGCTCTTCTACCTGCTTGGGCAGATACAAGACCAGTGAAAGAGCAGCGATAACAACCGCATTCTCAGTGATCAGTAAATCCTCCAAGCCGAGACCAGGCGCCAATGACCTGTTGCAAATATCGACCAGGTCAATTCGAGATATATTTCCAGGTCCTTGATGCGTAAGAGCATCCTTCGCAAGCGCAAACGTGAGAGGGTTCGCGAGCATACTCTCATGCGTGTAGAATGAACCACCCAACTTCCCAGCGCAGACTTCCTGAACTTCAGCATTGGTAACGCCAACATTACGAGCATCGAGTATGTAAGCTGACGCGCCAGTACCCGCTTGAGGTTGAACAACCTCGTCGAAAAGGCTAGAGTAGAGACTTGTGGTGGGGATATAGCCCGAGTCACCATCGTTGGAGCGAAGAGTGTTGATAAAGGTACTTCCAGCTTCTTGTTGAAGGACTGCTGGTGTGTTGATCAAACCGGTGGCACCGCCAATGTTGGCCAAGATTGTACCCTTGTAATCAGCGCTGATGGCGACATGGTCGGTCGTGACTTTGCGTGCAGAAGGCCAGTACTTGAGTGCCCACTGAACATCAATGTTGCCTTGAGACCAGGCGATGACAGCCACATCTCGCTTGGTGAGTGAAGCGATGTAATTGAGTGCATATGCAGCATACTCAGCGTTGACTTGGGCATCCTCGAGAAGCAGCACAGGAACATTGACCCAGACCGGGTCCGCCCATTCAACGTCTGTGAGTAGCGGAATAAAGTTACCGCGGAAGGTAGTAAAGCCAGTAGATCCAGTACCAGGAAACAAAATGACGGGAGGCTTTTCGCCGTAGGTAAAACTGGGAGGGATATGAATGGCGGCACGGAGCTTTGCTTCAGAGGTGGTGTAAGGAGCATCGCAGTCTGCTACCTTTGGGTAGACCTTCTTGGGAGGATCGCGGTTTCTAAAAATGATTAGTCAAGTTCCCGGCAATTTTGTAAGGACGACTTACTTGTTGTTGCTTCCATTTTGTTCAGAGACAAGGCCCTTGGCATAAGCGAAGAGATCCAACGTGTTCCCAGAAATGAGACCATTCACAATCAATTGAGCGCTGTAATCGATGATAGTCTTGGGCTTGGACTTTGAGATCTTCTCCAGAGCGACAGAAACGTCTTTGACAGACCTGGGCGTCTTAGAAGGCTCAAGCACGTGCAGAATGTCCAACGTCTTGTCTCTGTCACCGCTATCAATCGCCTTGCGAAGTGCGCCAAGCAGGCCTCCGACAACAGCTTCTAGGGTACCATCGACACCTTTGAGAAGGCCACTGACAAGCTGGCGACTCTCAAGCTCCGAGGTAGGGGGTAGTGATGGGGCTGCCAGGCCAAGATCTGACAAAACACAGAGGCTGAGAATATGCACCGAGAACCGCATTGTGGCTTTTGGAAGAACGTGGTTTCAAACGCCATGCCAGGGGGCACCCAGGTAGCTATAAGGTGCGGAAACAGCGTCGACCCCCATAAGAGTTCCCTTAATCTTGAGCTTTAACCCACTTAATGTCCGACCGCACCGCGCAGAGCGGCAGTTGTTTATCACCTGCTGGGCTAATGGCACAGAAAGAACCGTGCGTGCAACCTCGGATCGTATCTCTTATTACTTTGTGTGGATACGCCAAGGTCCTCATTTCCCGTTGTTCGTTGGCGTCAAACTTTTAGTGCCTTGCGCTATTAAACTTAACAAGACAGGCTAAAACACCATCACGGGCAGTTCGCTCCGCTGCTGGCGATCATAAACTCTCGACTTAGATGATCTTCACAGCTGACTTGAAACAATTTGTTACAGAAGAGGAAAATGTGGAAAGAAATAGCGCGCATTGAGGTCGCACACCTTATCCGGGATTGACACATATACATTATCCTGTAGTGATTCATGTCTCGCGAGGATCTCAACTGTGTTCACTCTGTGTCCGCCTTGACAGTTTTCTCAATCAGGACTGACTTATATTTTCCAAGTCAGTGAAGAAGATGACTTGGTATTTGGCCATGTACTACCACGGCACTTTCATTGAAATGACTACAGGTGATCAAACTAGAGCATTATTCAGTTGGCTGTTCAAGGGCAAGATAATAAAGTATTCCAAATAGTAACATTAATACAAAGGTACGCAACGTAAACAATCCATGTTGAACTCCAAAGCCATCAACAAAAAGTCCCGACTGATACTGTATTACCACCATCATTCAGTATCTAGTTGCGAGTTGGCCAAAGTCCTCCCAGAATACCCTTAGTCGTCTCAACGACACCCTTAAGCGTGCCCTTGGAAACACCAGCGTAACTGCCATACGGCTCTGTGTAGCCAGGGTACTTGGCAAACAGCTGATGGTTGTACTTCTGCAGTTTGGGGCACGTCTTGCCCGCGAGAAGCTGGCGAAGCTTATCGCTCAAGGGTGTCAAAGCCTTCTTGACATCAGTGAACTGGCTTCCGAGAACATCAGGTGCAGCAGCCATGATGATCTGCATGGTGAAACACTCGAGATTGTCCGACTTAAGTAGGCCCGCCGCGTTAAAGACACCACCGGTAAGATCGCCAACGTCTACACCAGCAAAGCTGTTGACCTTGCCGGTGTTTCCACCAATGTTCAAAAGACGAGGGTACTTGGCCGCGTGCTCGAGAACATCAAGGAGAAAGTCAGGGATGGAGAACTCATCGCCTACCGACCGGCGGTACCAGTTCTCGGGAATACGCTCCCAGCCTTGGTTGACCTTGAAGTTGCCAGGTTTGTCTCCCTTGACACCGAAAAAGCTGGTAAAGACTTCACGAGAGAGATATCCATCGGGATACTGGCTTGAGTGGTTGGCCATCATCCGAGGAGGGAAGGAGTACCCAGCAGGCGAGACCAAAACTCCAGCAAAAGGCGAGTAAAAGAAGTGGCTGTTGGTTTTCTCCGAGTCCTGGAACTGTTTGTAGTGGAACGGGGCAAGGGCGGTGTATTGCTTGGGAGCAGGTGTGTTGGGTTTGATGGCGCGCCAGAATTCTTCAAAGCGGCTGAGAACAACGTGGAAGTTGTTTCCGATTACGTAGAGATCACCTCGAGTGGAGCTGACATCGCTTTCGTACTTGTTGTGACTACCACTGAGACCAGAAGGAGTACCAAGGATGCCACCACCATCGAGGATGTTCTGACTGAAGCGGCTGGGTCCACCGATAGAGTAGCCTGGACTTGTGGAGAGCGGATTGCCATTGATGACGGTACCGTAGACAGCTAAGAAGCCTCCCAGGTCGAGGCTCATCCCATAGACCTCATTAGTAGCTTGGATGATAGTCTGCATATCTGCGACACCATTGTGAGGCAAGTATCCATGGTTGGCGAGGGCATTGAGACCAGGACATGGGCCTCGCTGGTCGCCAGCCTTAAAATCAGGTGCACGGAAGGCATGCTGACCACTGACGCTGATGCGCTGCTTCTTGGCGTCAAACTTGGCAGCTCGTTTCTCCTTCTTTGCAAAGGGGCATTCGCCAGCGTCTCGCTCCTCTTGTTTAGCGGCGAATGGGCAAGCTTCAGGTGCTCTCTCAGCATGTTGTCTATAAGCTTCGAGCTGTTCAGGGCTAAGCTGTGGGAAAGCAAAAGTGGAAGGGAGAAGGGAGGCTGCTGCGAGCCATGTAGTTAATGTGATCTTCATGATGGAGGCGTGAGGAACGAAGGAAGAATTGATGCGTGGGGATCAATGTGGATGGATTGGGATCATACAAATGTATTTATTCGTTAGTTTCTCTGGCCATACTGAATGACTTGATCAACCACTTTCTTTTTTTCCATATTCGCCCTTGGTTTTTAGAGACACTGCCATTGCAACGACGATATACAGTCTACCCGTGAGAGACAATGATACTGCAAAGTGGCGATATCCAGCCTCAATTAAGACAAGATGATGACATTGCCGAGCTGCCTTTGCGCTAATTGCAGTCTATCGAAAAATACACTTCTTGATCTTGATTGCTTGCAATTGTCAAGTGCGCGATTGGTGGGGAGGAATAAGCATGTTGCAACCGCATGACCGTGCGAGGGACCTTTTTGCTAGCTCACTTATTATACAGCGGTCAGTACGCAAGTAGATGCCAAGCTGGGAATAGAATGAACAAGTTAAGCATTACAACAGAGCTACCGTTGTATGACATCAATCTGTGCCAACCGAAAGGTTATTCTAGCGGGAGCCAGGGGGCCCGAGAGCTAAGAGAACCTTGGCTGAACGCTATGCTTTAATTGGAATAAGATCAAGATGCCATGTGCCGTACTTTTTCGGGGTACGGACGTCTAGTACAACAGTTATTTGTAATAACGAGGCTCAAAACCTGCATTTTATACCACGTGCTACAGACAACGTCAATGTTTGTTGCCACAGATGTATGCCGCGGACTATGCACTCAGTAAGGTAACAACGTTCAGATGCTCTGCGGAAATCATCTCTCAATACATGCAGCTAACACTGGACAGCCCACCTTCATAGTGTTGTCAGTTGAATGATAAAGCAATAACTGCGGGGAGTGCGGGGACTTCGCATTGGCTGTAGATCCTACGAGTTACTGGTAGATCCCGTGGTTGAGCGGATAGGAACAACAAACCGAGATGATTACGCCGGAGCGTCGATATGTACGTTGGAGCCCAGAACTGGCAATTAATAGCCTGCCTAAAGTGGCATTCATGTGGGGTAAGATCTCCGAATCTGCCATGGTCAATTCTTCCGGATCGGTTGATCCAAGATAGTGGATGCATTAATGTCGTATAGACAGTTTTAACTTCAATAGTTGATACACTAAAGCAATGGCCGTTGTTATAGATCCTAGTATCTACAAGGATAAGCTGTGCTATCAACTCAAAATGTCGTGACAACTCTGTCATGGAAGTTTAAAGGACAATGGTAGTTGCTTATGATCCACAAGCTATCTGTTATATCTAGTAATGGCCGGACCTAGTATAACGCTACTCCAGCTTGATCAACAAGGGAAATCATCATTGCCTGTGGGCTATCTCCTTCCCGATTTGGTAGTAGCTTGGAAGATTTTACTTCAGAATCTGGAAAGCCACAGGGATAGATAGAAAGTCAAAAGAGGACTAGCTAGATATGTTCGTCTGAAGCTAGGCCTAGTATACAGATATCATCCAGTCTAATGTTTGTACTTCAACTGTCTCGGCACCGATTGGTTCAAATTTAGACATATGTCAGAGCGGTACTTCGATTTGACACTCTTGAGTTCTTTCGGTGGTAGTGGATAGTGTGGTTTATTTTAATCGTCGCTATGCAATTACTTTCAACTGCCAGGATAACAATTTGAGGCCATGTAATATATTTAAATATGTAATGCGAAGAAAAGTAGCCAATCACTGGCAAGCAGACATCAAAATCCTCAACATCCAACCTTGGAATTATTTGATGGCTGAAGTGCAAAGTGCCTCACCATCATTGTTGCCTGTAAGATACACTATCGCCCAATTTAACAAATATCCTGGTAGTCCCCAATTGTAGGGCAAACAGTGGTAGTCTTGCAAACAGGCTTGGGGAAGCCAGGGTAGTAGCCAGGGCAGAATTCGGCAGTGAAGCGGGTTTCCATGTACTCTGACCATGTGGCGGCAGGGAAACACTGAAAACGATTTTGTTAGCAATCGATCTCAGTCGATGCTTAGAGCAAGTGATATTTACATAATTTTGACCATCCAGTATGACGATGCCGCCGGCAATGTACTGACAATATCCCTCTACCTTTGTCTGACCTGCGTCATTGGCACAAGCACAGGCAGTGACCTGCTTTGCAGCCGCTTTGGCTTCAGGAGCGGGAGCTGCAAGAACAGCAGGGATGGCGAGAAGAATAGTGAAAAGGTTGGCTGTGGAGAACATCATGGCGAGTGATGGTTGTAGAGTTCTGGTAAAGAGGTAGTGTTTATCGTAATGAGGTAGATGGTTTAGCTGGATAAAGAATAAAAGTGTTGATGAGCAGACTTAACTTTTATATCTTCACGAACCCATCTTGGCAGGTGAACAGGTTGCCTCTTTTAGATGTAAACAAAACATCGTAATCATTTATAATCTCAACTAATTTGGAGATTCATCCGAAATCTATTCGATAGCATGACTCGAACTGCTTAACAATGATGTGGGTTACTAAAAACACTACCTTGTCAGGTTGCACTATACTATATATTGGGTAGGAATAGTCCGTTTTGTATAAGAGATTCTTCTGAAATCAGGCAAGATTCACGAATATAGAAATCAAGCGCACGGGAATGCATAAAATACTGACATCCAGGTTCAACCGCGCCACTGAAAACGTTCATGTACCGAACGGAACAGTCCCTAAAAGGATGGTGGAAATCCAAAGGCGCAAGGTCACGGTTATTTACCCTTGCAGTCCAGCTCAATCCTACCCCCAGTGTAGTAGTGCAGATCAGCTTAATGCAAGAGAGGGTTATCTGCTGTCGTACAAACTTGGCCTCGCTACTCATTCCGTCTGCGTGCGGGGAAGTCGAATGGATTACCTCTTAAGTAACATTCTATACCCAGGGGTAGCGACAGGTTTCTGATCAGTTACCTGATCTTTATTTTAACAGATCAGGCGACGGCCCGCTGCATTTGAATGCGGCAGTATCTCCGCAACTCAACAAGTCCATGATGGGTAGGGTACGTGATTGCATGCAAGTAGGGCGAGCAGCAAGACATTGGCATATGGCTAAATTGATCGCTGATTCTCTGTTCAATTTGGTAGATATATTTCTTGGTAAGCTCGGTAGTCGGTTTGAACGTCACGCGACTGGACACGTATAAGTTCCCCCTCCAACAGGGCCAAGTTCCCAAGTTGCTCATTTCACGTTTCTGACCTATGTTTATCTTCATACAACACCTGCTTCGTTTGTCTTCTCAGAAGTCTGAACAACATGCGAGGCCGTAAACTTTAAATTCATCGTATGCTCATGACATATCTAATCCATCAAAACGCTAATAACCCAAACTCCCGATGGCTAGCTATCCATATCTATGTGTCATCCGAGGCGTAGTCGGCATCTGAGAAACTCCTCTCATCTGATCAAAACCAGGCGCATTCGGCCCATCGCTAAGACTTCCACTGCGAAGTTTCGCTTCTCTCTGCCTTGTTGCCTTCTTCTTCTTCTTCACGCAAAGGAAAATGCACCAAAGTAATACAAGAACAAGTAAACCACCAATTGATGCCGCCGTCGCGATAACAGCTGTGCGGTTATTCTCAAACCAACTCCCTCCGTCGTCACCACCATCAGGGCCATCACTGTCATCGCAGGTCTGTTCGTCGATAGGACATTGACTTGAACTCCCATCACAACGCTCCTCGGGATCACAGTCGGCTGTGCTTTCTCTGCATACCCTCCCACTACCGGAAACGCGACACTCATCAGTACAGCAGCCATCAGTGGTAGGATCACAGTCAGCTCCGCTTCGAAGTTGGCAGGTGTCTGGATTGCAGCAAGAGTCTGAGGGACATCGCCTCGCACCGCCGCAGTCACATGTCTCTCCAGGCTCAACGATTCCATTACCGCACTGACTGTCGTTGATGTCGGGTACATCATCCTCGCTCACGAGACAACTTGTGTCTATATGTTCCTCCCCGATACCGTTGCATATACTTCCAATAGTACAGGGCGAGAACTCCTCGATTCCTGGGCTGCTTGATGGGTTCATGAGGTACTGGTTCCGCGCGTCGCATGTTGATCGGCTGAGCGGACAACAGTCGTCAGATTGAGAGTAACCGTCGCTACACTCGCTGGATGTGCAGTCATGATTGGCACCAAAGTTGTGTGCCAACTCGTGCGCAAAGACCTGCCACTCTGATCCTGTGCGAACTACCACGTTTGCAGATGCGGTGCCTCCGCTTCCAAAGCTTGATCCGCGCGATCGGTTGCAAAGACTACCGATCCAGGCGATTCCAACTGTCGTGCCGCTTCTGCAAGCAGTCAACAAAGACCACACAGCGTTGTCGTCTCGAATTCTGTTCCTCCACCTCGTAAACAAGTTCAGACGACTGTTGATGGTGATACGCGCGGTGCATGGAAGATTCCATGGCATGGAGCTTGGGGCATCCTCGGGGCAAGATGGGTCGGCCATAGTCAGGTTTTGGATCGCCAAGGCAATGTTGAAGGTGTCTTCGTACACCTGAGATGCAACATTGACTAACGAGATGATGTTGTCGCGAGCATCTTGCATGTCGTCGAACTCAGCCGTGTAAGAGCAGTCGGCAGCGATTCCCACCAAGGCGACTCGTCGTGATGACGGACATCCGTCGGTTGACCCAATGTGATCTTGGGGGTCGAACCAATCATTGGGGTTCTGTCGACGAGTGAAGCCATTCAAGGAACTCGACTTGGCCTTGTCTTCGTCTTGAGAAAGTTCTCTGGATTCAAGTTGCTGAGAATCGAATCTCTGCGCGCCGCAGCTTGGCTTCTCTGACGCTGATCGTTGGAGAATAGCATCATGCTCGGGGCCGACCAATTCCTTCCAGACTATCATCCTTCGTCTCGCTTCACTCTGATTGCTGGTTTCTAGTCGTCGGGTCCTTCGGTAATTGGAGTCGAGTGAGATATGGTGATAAGCACCGTCATTGGTAAAAGTACCTTCGAGTACATGTCGCCCCTCCCGATATCGTACCATTATCCGCGCCCATCCAACCCTTCGTTGTGTTTGCTTCTCGTCATCATTCACGAATGCAACACCCTTGTACAGAAGTGGGCTTCTGCCCTTCAAGTCCATAACTTGGCCATACTTCTTGTTTGGCTTGAGGTGCTCGATAGTTGTTTTTTGTGTCAAGACATGTCGGGACGGTTGCAAGTTGAGAGTAATCCGTTGTCGCTCATAAGGAACTTCAAATTCAACTTGAAATGAAGAAGCAGCACCGATAGTGTGAGGGTCCTGTGAGAACCCAAGCTTCTCAATAGTCGCTGATTGATCAACTGTGTCCCTTGCTCTCGATAGCGCTGGTGATGTCAGCAACGTTGATCTTGACAAGTTACGTCAATCTGATCTTGGCGCGAGTTACTTACCTTGCACATGAAATAAAGGAAAGACCTGCAAGACAAGTAATAAAAAAAGGTTCAAGAGACTCATAGCTACTTGAACAGATGCCTCTCACAATGGAAAGTTGATTGAGAAAAGCAGATCTATCTGAAACGGACGTGTACTGGAATTCTGGCTGACATATAAGAGGTTCATGGGTCTGGCCCCCATCTATGACACGGGGACTGTGCAAGGGTCTTGACCAGTTAGCGAAGCCAAGCCCTTAAGCAGCCTCGGCGGGATCGGCTTGTTCCAAGGCAGCTGAGCCACTTGGACTTCGTCAGTGAGGTGTGGGTGCATACTTTTTGTTTGTTTCACAGGCTGACAGGCTCGGAGAGCGAAGAGCGCGAGCTTTTACTATATGGGATCAGATGAAGCGCTGTTCCTTTCATGGCATGTTAATTGGTACAACGACATCATCCAAATTATACATCCAAGGCCTATCTACTCTGTATTTTTAATTATGAACTGTTGACAATTTCTGTGGCATTTGACTACCCCTGTACCTGTTTCATTCATGGAATAACCTTACGCGTATGCAGAACCACGTTGAATAAGCTTAAATCTTCTGATACACTACATGATCCGGTAAGTCCGGGATCCGGAACCCGCCATCTATGGACATGGAGTATGGGGGAACGGAGATGCTGACAAACCTCATGGCTTAATTCCGAAAAGCTAAAATACAAAAAAGACCCTTATCCACATGGAGAATTCAATGACGCCCAAGCTGACGTATGCCTGTTCTTGGCAATTTACATGTCGGCATCACATAATGTCCGCGTGGTAAAGCTACTCTTCTGTAGTGGAATTCCAAGACGAAAAGGCTTTCTTGGAAATTGATCTCGCATTTTTCAGTGATTGATTGGTAATGGAAATTCTGATCTTGAGGCTGTGGTTGATATTGGGGGATCATATGCGGGCAAGGTACAAAGCAGAAACCTCCGGGCTTTGGGGGCCAAGGATGGTAATGCCTCAAAAAAGGGGACGAAACTTTGCATGTGTAATATCTTAAACGTGGCAAGGAATAGACTACCCCGCTTCGCAATTCCGCGGCAGATTCTGAGAAATAGTCTGACTCGTATAATCTTTATGAACTTCATCAGAAGAGTGTTGACGTCTACAGAACACATGGCAGTGCCCGCGCGGCGTGGCGTTGATGGTATGCACCGAAGTATGCATCGAAGACAGCCTCAAAACTCTATGACGCCAGTCCCAAGAGCGGAATCAACCACTAAATGATCGACGCCCAGTGCCCAAACACCATCTGTCAGTGAAATCCTTCAGAGTGCTTCATCAATTGAACCCAAAGCCTGGGCTAGAAACTGCATTTGTCGTCATCTGGTTGGAGAATGTCTCGGCGGTGTAAAATGGCCAAGACAGCTTTGTGTCATCATTTTATGTCGGGGTTGCCAAGGACGATATTCAGGGTATTCCAACTGATCCATGATCAAGGTGATACAAGTCAGACACTACGAAAGTTTAGTTCATCTTTTCGGGGAATTGATGACACCCGACAGTCTCTGTCCACGTCAAGCGGAGAACTGTGCGATAAGATGGACCCTTGGGTTCATTCAGATAGTTAGTTTAACTGTCGGGTAGCAAGGTCGAAAATGACATCATGGAATTCGTCCTTTATTCTCATCCACCAACCATTTTAATTTTACGACTTAATTACCGTCCGGTGATAACCTCAACTTTGTCCACAATTGAAACTCGCTATTCTCGTCGACAGTTTCCTCAGTATTCTGAGACAAAACTCAAGTGACACTTGACCTACCACGGACTGCGGCTTTTGTGTCCTCCTCGCTTATACTGGCTTAACTTTGGTTCAGCTGGAAATAGTCTGACATAACAGCCGCATACTCCACGAGATACTCCCGCTTGTAGTTGTAATACCCTCAACGACTTTTTTTTATTTTTCCTCAAATATCTTGACGGTCGCATATGCTGGGTATAATTGTAAGCAGGAAGAGGGTAATAACTCGAGTATGCATATGGGGTATCATGTGGTAAGTGACCTACTGTAGCCTTGTAGTGCTTAGAGAGGTACAGCTTGAAAATAAAACATTAGGCAGTAAGGAACCGACATTATACTCAGCCACTGTCTTAGACAATTTCAACAGCACCTGGCACAACTTAAATGTCACTCATAACCTGTCGTAGGACTTGATACGAATTATTTTAGCTATATTTCCTTCTATGATATGTAGGGAATGGACGCACCTCTAGATCAACAAGCACAGACCCACAACCAGGTGTCGCAATGCAAGTATACTACCCACATGCTTAGCAAGTCTGACCAGGTTTGCTTGACCTAGAAAACGGGATATCGCTGCTGGGACATATGCAGATGCCCTGCGAAGCCTTGAGCAGGAGTCTCAGGGCAACAGAAAAGCACTCAAATGGCTCAACAAAATAAGCTCGACATCCCTAAACGATGTGCTCACAGTTACTCAAGAGGCTGAGGACAAATACGTAGAAGTTCACAACAACAAGAAAAGCTGCCGAGGATGGCTAGCAGGATTATCCAAAAGAATCATGTAATACGGAAACGTGCTAGATGTTTTGTTTTAGCATCACCCGGAATACGTCGCCGTAGTTTCGTGGCTAGTCAAATTTGTGTTGACGGTCTGCTCATCGTGTGTTGAACCTTCAGGCGTTATAGCTAACAACTTCCAAGGTATTCTCAGCCACGGCAATCTTGTCACACAATTAACGCAGGCTCTATTCATGATCGCACGGGTATTTTTGACGAAGCATTCAAATCCCGAGTACAACTCCCCCTGCACTATCCGCCACTCAGTTACAAAGGCAGATGGGAGATTTGGAACAACTCTATCACCCTACTTAGGCGACAGCAAGAGGATACTGCCGATAAACGAATCGCTGACTGGAGAACGCATTAATTTTGAAGAATTGCGTGATAAGATTGACATGGTGGCAACGAAAAGCCTCAATGGTAGACAAATCCGCAATGCTATAACGACAGCACGCCAGCTTGCGCGATTTCGTGACTGGCCACTTAGTTATATGCACATTGAAAAGACGATCCGGATTGCAAATGAGTTTGAGGCTTATGTTGGACGCATGGGCATAGTGCAGAAGATTTTGCCCGAGCAGCAGGTGTTCGTTTGGAGTAAGTGCGGCTCAAATTACCTTAGATAGGATAAGGTTAGGATTGGCTAGGATTTGGATAAGGTTTAGAGTTAGAAATGGATTAATCTAGCTTATATGTTGGTTTAGTAATACCTAGGTGGGAATATCACTACTTCCGTTAAATATCGGAGGTTCATGTCTCAACGTTTTTACGACCTGCCCTGACAATTATGTGACTACAAGCTGGAATGGTTTGATTATATTCTCATACCAACTTCAGCTGGCATTACGTCGAGACTGCTGGCAAGGCGGATGAAATCCGACCGCGGGGGAAAAGACCGCTTTACATATACGAATCTGAAGTCGTCGAAATGGAGGCGACTACAGATGCACAAATCTGCGGCTACTTTTCTGACAATCCTGGTAAGTACCTACGAATATGGCTGGGACACGGAGTCAGACCGGCTAACTGCTGATATTCGCTACTGGAAAGATTACACGGCAGCCTGCGCTTCACCATCCACCTGCAGCACTCCCAGTGGGGGCAAGTCATGGGGATGTTGCGATAAGACAAGCTGCTATATCCCTGCTGCATGTGAGGATGCTTCAGCTCCTGATTGTGGAGGGACTGCTGCCTCCCTCTGCCCTTACTCTCCAATCATGAAATGGTAGTACGTCTGCTGAGTGTGATGTCCAAAGCTGACAACAAGTATTAGCACCTACGGAGCCTCGTTGCGGTGCGTCTACTTTGTTTATCAAACCGCTTCTAACGACGAAGCCAAGCTTACTTCCTGGGGTTGTGGGGAAACGCCGACAACATACATCATCGGACCTCTTCAAGCTGAACAAACCGCAACAGCGACAGCACCGACGAATGATGAAACAGACTCAAGATCCAGTCTTTCAAAAGAAGCCACAATCGCTGTTGCTGTTATCATCCCTGTTGTAGGTTTAGCGATTCTTTTAGCGGCAGCCATGCTGTTCCTCCGACGGCGTAAGAAAAGAGCGAGCAATCCGATTTCTGTACCCAGCCAAGTTCGTGAAGGAGAAAGATCGAAGATGGAACAAACTCCGGGATGTGTGCCTGTCCCTACATTACCTCCGTATGAAATGGGTGACGATATCATGCGGCCCGAACTGGACAGCCGTGAGGTTCGTCATGGCGTTAATTACTAGGACGCGGCAACGGATTTTTGGCGTCCTTGAGTTAGCCTACAAATTGACTTGTATTGAAAGCAAAATAATAGAAATAGTTGCACAATAACGAACTATGAATTAAAGTCTTGCCAAGGGACGGATATCCCACACTCCGAATGATGTAGGTGCCTTGACATCAATGTTAGTCCAGATGGAAACGACAATCTTGAACGTGTCACCCGGCACGTTCTCCCAGATAATCTTCTTGACATTGTTTAAAGCAAGGTTAGCTGAAGTTCAGTCTAAAACAGTACGTGACTTACTGATGTGGTCGAAACCTGAGCTTTTGCTCATATTTCCGTGTCGTTCAGCTTCACCTGAGAGTATGATGAGATTGATATCATTCTGCATCAACCCCGACTGCGCCGGCCTATCCGGGGAGGTTAGAGTCACAGTCAGTCGGTTTCTTCCAGCTGGAACAGGAATTGGAGAGCTACTCCATTGTCTCTCTTCCTCGGTTACTTTTCGTAGAGGTGCCACATCGAATTGCGTATCCTCAAAGAGCTTTCCACCATCGATGAACGAGGACAGCTTCACCATAGAGATTAAGCTGTCAATGTCGACTCGTTCAAACCCTTGATCATAGTCGTAGCCAAGCCCAAGACCAAGTTGTTCAGAGAAGTTCACAGCGCCATTGACGAGTAGTGCCTTGACGAGTGCCGCGCTGGGATACCTTTTGCCATGTTCTTGGAGGGCCTCGCGAAGGAATGCTACACAACCAGCACCGAGAGGCGTCGATATACTCGTGCCTGACATGAAAGTCCAGTCATTATCTCCCGAGCGCCGATACTTCACCCTGTTTCTCGAATCTTTGACCATTGCTCTTGGCGCGGCTGACAAGATGGCCACACCTAGTGCTACAACATCGGGCTTGATTCGACCATCATACTCACTGCCGTTGATGTCGCGTCCTGGTTTGGTCGTACCTCTACTACTGAACTTGGCAGTGTCGTTGATTCGCGTCATCGGCTTTGCATCAACCTCACTGCCAAATGAGTAGTCATCATTAGGACGTGTTGTTCCAGTAGCCCCAACAGTGATGCAGTTGAAAGCCGAGCCAGCAGCACCGATATGGTTGCTCTTGGACTTTGTCTTATCAGCAGTGTTCCCAACTGCTACCAGAACGACAAAGTCTTGGTGTTCGATGAGAAACTTGTCAATGTCCCACGCTTGACCCTTGTATCCTAACTGACCAGTCTTCGCATCCCAGACTTTACCCTAAGAGTTACTATGGATACGATATCCGAGACTGTAAGGGTTTGAGAATAGATGAAGGCTTAGATCCATGGGGACTTCGATGGCACCCTTGTTGGGATCTTTAGAGAATTGTGCGATAAATTGAACCATAAGTGTCGCGCCTAGAGCTACGCCCCGAACTCGAATGTCGCCATTTTGTAGACCGTTGCCGCAGATTGATGTGCAAACATGCGTTCCATGTCCCGCGGTATCTTTGCTGTCATCTCCAAGCTAGAGTGACTCCAGACGCCCAACACGACCGTTGAAAGCTGGATGGACTTACATATCCAACTCGTCCATCATCTTGCCTTGGCCAAAGCCAGTATCTGCAATGCAGACCTTTTAACCGTTCCTTTCGTACCTAAGATGTGGACAGAGCAAGGATTTCAGCATTGAGGGTTCCACGAGCCAGGTCATTGAGTACTTCGTCTGGTCGAACCTCTTCGATGTGACTGATGCTGTCGAGTTTAGCGAGGGCTTCCAGCTTATGTTGATGAACAGTGAACCTGATTCTCAATGGATAAATGGCGAGCTTTGTGATATCAACTCCAGCCTTCTCGGCGATCTCCGGAGAAAGCTTTCCAGCAGTGACATTAGGTGTCTCACGTAGAATGCAATCGACCCTGTAAAACGTTCTCTCCACTTCTCTCTATCATATCCTTGAGCGACATGGTGCTTTTCAGCTCCCGTAGAGAACTAGACTCTGTTAGCTGTTGCCTTCGCGGATGGGCGGCGACCCCTTACATCACGACACTTTTGACATATTTTTTCTCTCGTCAGAGGGACTGAGTGGAAGCTCTCGGATCGCTTTAAACCCATCAGGGCTAAAACGAACATTGTGATGGTAAATTGTATATTCGATAGCAGTAACAAGCTCCAAATCTGCGTTATTACCTATAACTTTCCATTATGCTACGACGGTTTCGTCATTCTATAGCGCTGAACCACCTTATACATCGGGTTGGGCAGACTTCCAGCCTTCTCTGTTCAGTATCATATGGTCAATCATGACAAGAAATTGTTTTACTACATGAATACTCAACTTATGTTGGGGATGTTGGTAGAATTGATAATCAGTTCTCTTTCCAATATACTAATGTAACTACATAAGGTTCTTGATCAAGTCTTTTTATCATGGATTTATGTGTCTAATGCTGAAATGTAGCCATGAATACCAAATCTTTCCTTCTCCGTCAAAGAGATCTGGAAAAACTGCTCAAGAACCAGCAGTCGCTCCTCTTCCGTCTGACAAACAGTGACAGTTCGTGTCTCACTGCCTAGGTTCTCTTTGACAACACCGTTGATGAGCATTCTCTTCCCGCATATCTCTTGTTCACTCTCGAGGTCTGCGCCTTTCTTTGTTCTTCTGAGAAATTTAATAACCAATATGTTTCGTCTCTGGTGACTATCGGGGTGTGTATTGATCCACCAGTTAATCACGCCCCAGTCAGGAGCAAAGAATTCCATGCTTGGGAATGAATAGAAAGAGTTCCAATCCTTATTTGTGCTGTTACGGTACTGATAAATCCAGAACTTTGTTTCCTCTGTTCGATGGACTTGATGAGGAATCCAGTCTCTCTTAAGCCGAATTTGTTGTGTGCCCAAATTTTCGTGGATTAGGCCATCAATTAATGGTATCGGCTTCGTGGCGCCGTCTCCTCCGAACGCAACATCAGAGTGATATTTGCTACCATCGGGAAACGTCACAATGTTGATAATGTGGTTCCTGGTATATCCAATCAGCTCTAATTCTGTGCCAAGACATGGCTTACTTACCAGCCAGGGTAATCCCCATGTGGGATACCCTCGAGTCTGCCCCGTGTTCGCACGCCGGCAGTGTAGGCGTTGAAGCCGATGGCTCGAAGCATATGGTTGTAAAGGATGGCGATTTCCATACAGAAACCGCCACGACCACGATTGTCACCGATCATCTTTTGGAAAAGGTGTTGTGGATCCAGTTGGATGTCATGAGTTTGATTGTAGTGAAGCGAGAGGTTTTCGTAAGGAAAAGTTGAGATGGAATGTATGTGTAGAGCTTTCAGGAGTTCAAGTGAGGGTTGACGTTCTCTCCATACCTCAGTCGGTAAACCGATGTAGTTGATGAACTGCTCAACCTGCTCTTGACTATATGCAGAATCCATTGGAAGGAATGACGGGAATACAATTCCAGTGTAATTTTGAATTTTATTTTACTTGTTCCGGTCCGCTCTTAGATTTATGTACTGTTGAGACTGAATCGTGAGTCATTTTTAATGAGAGTCACCTAGACTAATATTTGCCTTGGACATACACACCAATCAATTGATTGGTTGATCGGCCACTAGGCATAATAAGTCATATCCACTTGCATGCCGATAACTCTAAACCTTTTTTAAACATCAAACCTAACTAAAGTAGTTAATCAAGCACTTCCGAAGACATCCAGGCACAAACAGCCATCGTCTGGTATAAGCTTGATAAAGCTCCTTCGGACTCTCCCTACCAGTACAAGCTCACCATCGAGGCAGACGACATCTGCTACAACTTCATCGATAACGAGCCTAAATGCCTCAGCCTTAATGTGTTCCTGTATGGACGCCACTCGGTTGAGTTCAATTCCAGCGACCCTCCCATTTCTACCATCAGAGGATATTGAGTGATGTGAAAACGTGCAAGAGGGATCTTTTGTTGGTATTTATGAACGCTGGCAGACATTCGGGATATACACTAGATTGGGATGAAGTGGAACAGTAAACTAAATTTAATATAGTGGCTCTACTTGTCATGTCTTACCTTGCAATAATGATGTCGAGTTGGCCAATTTTGAGACTCAACTCTCGGCATATCTTACGGCTATCCCTCACCAAATAGATCCTATGTCATCAAGAACCCCTGTGAGCCAAGTGCTCTCAACAGCTGCAGCAATACTATTCGTGCGCCTCTGTTTCATCACCTCCACAGCTTCTGAGCAGATATCTCCAAGCATGTCAGAAATCTTGGTTGGCTTATCTTTAAAATGATCTTTAAACCATACAAGCCCCCTCTCAATTCTGCCTGTATCCTCAGCGAAATCTGCGTGCTGAGAATCGTTCATATTATTTGCTGTCAGAAGAACCATTGCTGAGATGTATGTGCACGCAGCAAACCTTAAAATGTCAGCATTTGTCAATTATGAGCGAACCCCAGTCTTACCATTTCAGCCAGCTGTATTTTTGGTGCAGCTGATCATATAGTATCATGTAGTTTCTAGCTTCTCCGATCATTGCAGTCCACTCGCTTGGCAGCTGGAGTACTCGCGTCCCTCTTCCGCAATCACGTATATTACCGACCCATTGCTCATCCCAAGCGTGGGATCTGGTGATTAGACTCAGACACAAGAGACTCCGTGTGTGAAGGATGCAGAAAAAGGCTGCAATGGAAGGGTTATTACTTGTAGTGATGACCACATTATCCCCGTTAAAGTCCGAGGGGACTGATTCTTTCCAACTACCAAGAGCTCTGACTATTCTTCCTCTCGATATCTTTCTTTCTTCCGGGGTTCGTTTTGAGGCGCGCGTGGAGTAGAGGTGATCGTATACGTTGCCTTGAATGTTGGCGAGTTGTATGCGAGCAAGGAAATAATTTAGCCTCGTATTTCCGTCAACTGTAGTGACAACACCTGCTCCAGCGTCACTGCCACAAACGTCTCCCTGTTCAATTGGTAGGTCCAGATCAATATCGTCGTCAAGCTGTACCGAAGGTTGCTGTGTTCGCAGACTCAGATCCTTGTCCGCTATGTAGGCCAGCCAAAACACATTAGCATGTTGTTTCTGATCTGTGTGGCTCAGATGTTCTGTGGATAAACGGTTGTGCAAGCCCATCTTATGAACAAGTCGCATAGCCGCTGATATTAGGACCAGCGCTGGCGTTGTATCGTTTGCTGTTTGTAGCAACATGGTCATCCCAATCAGTGTCTGGATATTGAGAAGACCCGTTTCACCAATCGTCACCGTCCAAATTACCGATTGAGCTTTCTTGATATAATCGTTTGTTGCACCATACTCAGAGCCCATCTCGCTTTGATCAGGCATCTGCTGACGTGCCAGAGCTAGCACAACGTTGATTGCAGCCCATGATACAGGATCACGCTGTCGTGGCTGGACGGCGTATGTTTCTCCGATAAGACGTAGAAGTGAGTCGGGATGAAAGAGTGGCAGCATTGAGTTGAAAGTGTTTAGGAAAATTCCAGTCATGTGCATGGTTTGTTCCAATGAGGGAAGTGTCATGCTGTTGGCCGAGTTCTCGGCATCGATTAACTCATCACTGAAGAACATATCATGTGACGTTGTTGATGTTACGAGTGTTGTCTCTTGTTCTCGGTACTCAGCCTATAGTCGATTGTCAGTATATCTTTCATCCTCGACATTGAGCTTGACATACAAGCTGCTCCTGCAATTGTTGCATCTGTGCCTGCAGGCTTCGAATGTCATCTGCCTCTGAACGTTGGATATTTTGCTGAGCTTTGGGCTTCCACTTCCTACTCCTAGCCGCATGAGTACAAGCAGTTTTATAATTGATACAGTTTGAACATTGCGGCCGCTGTCCATCGCATTTGATCTTTCGAGTGTAACAGAGATCACAAGCCTGGTCAGGTAAGCATAGGACTGTGCCGTTAGCTTGGTTGATCACTGTACCTTTCTTGGGCGGTTGATGGGCTGCATTTTCGCCTTCGGAGCCCAGAGATTAGTTGCTAGGAAAATTGTTATTCAATTAAACATGAAGTCGATGAGTTGTACAGCTTCCATGTAAGTTATTTGGGGCAGGATATATGGTTGACGAAGGGTTGTCAGCGCTTCCGCGGAAGCTGACCAAGCAAGAGTCTCCGATAACGCCCGGCCAATCACAAAGACATATAAGCTACTACGCCTCTTGTGGACAGCATGGTGCCATAATCCATATCTAGGCAAGACATAGCAATTGCATTTAACTCCGTTGAGGCTTAAGCAGAGATCTCAAACGCTTGTTAACATGGGAATTCACCGCGAATCTGGTTTCCGTTTAATAAGAGTCTCTGATTTTTGACATTCTAAAATCTATAATACACAAACAATACGCCTCCCTGATGAGTTATTCCTGTCGGCATCGCGTCGCTCCCATCTCTAAGCAAATCCGGGGTATCAAAGTGAAGCTCGCAAAATATCATCTAGTGTGATTGTGCTTTGGGAACAAAGCTCGCTCGGCCTGTCGACTCATCGAAGATGTTGTAGCCAATGTCGGCAGCATTCGGTGGTGTATATACTGGAACACAGAGTCAGAACCAGGTCAAAGGTAAAAGAGAATAGAAGAGAACATACTATGAAGAGAAACAGCCACGTTGGTAGGATGAGGGTTGTGCACCCGATGCAAGCCAATGGTGTCAGAGATATATGTGACTTGGTCGGCCTGGTGTGTCGTATCGCTCTTGATTGATAGAGGCTGATTCTCGCAACCTGTTACGGGCATGTTGTAGACAGTTTCTGTCAATTCGCCGGCTAGGACCTTCATAATACAGTGGGCGTTGGCATGATCGTGAATTGGCGATCCCTTGCCTGGATTCCACACCAACAGCAGCTACACGAAGTCAGCTTAGTATAACCAAGCAGGATATGAATGACGTACAATATTTGCTTTCTTGTTGATGTTTATTATCGCATTGCGTGTGTAGTTCTTGCCGGGGCAGTTGTGGTAATAACGTGCCCAGTCGTTCGGATTTGAGATGTACTTCTTTGCCAACGAGATGATATAATCTTCATCAACGTCTTCACACCCTATACCACCAGACTCTCCAAGATGAACTTTGACGTCGTCGATAAAATTGTTCAACGTATAAGTTTTGGGAGTTCCATTGTTGTTGAGCGAAGCCTGTGACCTGCATGAGGATTGAGGCTGCGTCAATGGTAGAGGAGCGAACCGCGTAGATACTGCAGCCATTGTGATAAAATTGCGGAATAGAAGAAGATAGAATTGGGTATATAGAAAATTCGAGATTTCTAGAATTTGTCTAGAAGATATCCGATATAGATTTACGGTGCATGGAGTTCATATAAACAATCCAACATGTTTATGTTGGGCGATTGAATCGCCGAACGACGTGCAAGCACAGATGTCAAGGGCTTGGTATCGGGGACTCAAAATCAACGATGATTGGTTAGAGTCTCAACCATCAGCAACCGGAGATATCCGCTTCTGCCCTTCTCTCGGCGATTGAACTGCCGAGGTCAGGGCTAGTACTTCACCATTGAGCTCAAACACCATTCAACGAACGTTTGAGAGCCACATATCAGTCAACTACTACAATCCGAGGTGGCATATTTTTTTTTTTCGGATTTATCGTGAACTTTCTTGTCGACTGGAGATGGAGAGATAACGAACGACGTCCTGCTTCTGCTTCGTATTGTCCTTGTCTTGGTGTGGATGCTCACGTCTGAGCTTATCGGTACGTCTACCAGTCAGAATGCTCCAAATAAGTCGGTGAGCATCCACCTGGAAAAGTCGGGCTTTGATTTTTGGTTCTGATTCTCTGAGATGACATGATACTCAGACATGTCAAACTATTATGATTATCATCCAACATCATCATATATCTACTCAAAATAAGTACAGAAATTAATGCCTATCGCGAAAGATATCAGATCATTGCCTTATCTCTTCTCACGTCGCACGTTGTGCTACCAAGCAGAAATTGCTTATCTTGTTCAATCGCCGACTCAGCCTCTCTACCCTTCTCACTCTAACATCTTACATCGGTCGCTACCCATCTCCACGCCAGCTTCACAATGGCAATATCATCAACATCATCATCGCCATCAGTCAAACCGACTGGGATAGTGACTCTTGCTTGCACCGTCTGCAGAAAACAGCACCTCAAATGTGATGCGGGGAAACCATCTTGTTCACGATGCACAGAGACAGATCAGGTTTGCTTCTACGAGCCGTCGCGACGCGGCGGACGAAGAAAGAAGCATCGCTCTTCAATGCTGGAGACGCAGCCGAAAAGGCTCATGATGAGGTCTTCGCAGAGCGAGCAGCCATCTACTAGTTTTGTAGAGTCTGTGATTGTGAATCCAATTAGTTTGCCCATCACACCAGTATCTTCGTCGCAAGAGACTTTAACCTCGTCGGGATTGACACAAGATACTATTGGTAACAATGGATTGCCGCAACTCACCCGGCGACAAACGCACCAAAGTTCAGTATCGGAGAGTTCACATAGCGAAAGACGCGCGAGCGATCATCAGACACAAGGTCCAGCTCCAGTACAGCAGCCTTCCAACGATCCCGCCATGGCATTTTACCATCACCTTGACCCTGGTCTGATATCGCAAGCGATAGAGAGTACCAACTTGGGTATCAATACACAAGCACCCATCCAGCCCTCATCCGATAACGACCGACTTCTTCGACTCTACTATGAAAACTTTCACAATGCGCATCCGTTCCTGGTCCCCAGCTCTGTCTTCACCTCTCGAAACTACCCACCGTATCTTCGACGCATGGTAGATTTCGCTGGATCTCACTACGCTCCTTCAGGACCCAACGCGCAGCTACGAGCGGACGTCGCGACAGATATGCTATCCATGACGGATAACTCAACATGCATGGTCCAATCTCTTCTCATCTACTCGATTCTGCTCTTTTTTGGTGGTGAGCTCGATGCAGCTAGTAAAACGTTCGAGCAGTGCACAAGAATGGCTATGGATCTTGGTATGCATCTCAATGACTTCGCCGCAGCCAGACAACTAGACAATCCGATTGAAGCCGAGAGTTTGAGAAGGACGTGGTGGGAGATCTACGTTACGGATATACTCATGGCCATACCACCCAAAACAATGAACCTTGGGTGCAGCAGTGTTCCTCCCAAAGTTTGCTTACCATGCGAAGAGGCGTTTTACACGGGTCGTCTGGACATCCCCCAGCCTCATCATGTTCTTGAGTTCAAACGACGGGTTCTTTCAACTGGTGATGTAACGTTCTCGTCGTTTAGTTATCGCATCGAAGCAGCCACGATCCTTGGTCGAGTTTTGTTGCTGAATCAGTTGAAGAACAGCGGTCATGACCATTCGCAATCCATCGAGAATGCTCTACTTAGCTGGTCGAATCATTTACCTCCCGGTAAACTGGAAATTGTTGACTCGTATGGGAATATCGACGAGATGATGTTTCAGGCACACATGATCATTGCACTCGCCAGCATGCTGTTACATCTCCCCCGAAGCAATCTGCACTCTCTTTTAGCAGACGTCAAAGATCCATTTCTACCAGTCGCACAGAACCACCCTCTTTCATCATCCACGACATTAATCCAGGGCATAAAAGCAACGGATGCATCAAGACGTATCTCAGATTGCATATCGCTATGCCCCAACGTCCCCAAACACACACCCTTCGTCATCCCAGCTTTGGCACTCTGCGGCTTCATCCAGCTCGCCACAACCCAAGGCCATCCCGACGAATGTTTTGAACACCACTACAACCGCGTCACTTTAGTACTAGGTTGTTTAAAAAGTGCAAGACGGATATGGCGCATGGCGGAGTCCGAGTATGACCGTCTTCGCTGCTGTGCCTCGGAGCTCATCGCCGACGCTATGGACAGGATGAATGCACTGCCTTTATGTCAGACGCTCCCGAACAATTCGCCGGCGATGTCTGGTGCGGCTGATCAGGGAGGGGATTTAACTCTTGTATCACCAGCGCGTGGGAACGTTGACTCAGCGATGCCTCGGTTTGATCCGTTATTTTTGGATCCTGTTTGTTATGATTACTCGTTGTTTAGCGCTTTGCCGGACTTTCATAGCTCTTAGACATTTTATGGTAATTATTTGGAAGGATACCCAGTTAGACAAATTGATTTGATCTACTTTTGATGTGAAACTTCTGTTGAGATGAGCGATGGGATTATAGCGTATGCGATGGTTAGTTGATTCAGCCTTGTAAGGCTTCTTATACTCCAGAGGTAGATTGATCTCGATCGAGTTTTGGAAGGTTACCTGTGCGTCATCAGGGGTCCACAGCGGCACAGCCTCGTTGGATTCTATGACAAGATACATATTGCCAAAATCGGGTATATGCACCTTGTCTCGGTCCCGACATCCTCCAACCAGACAATATAATAATCCATCTGACCTACGGGACAAAACTACGAATGGCACCTGGCAATAATGATCGCTGCATGACAACTTGCCATATTGACCAAATGGAGATGTCCAAGTTTCAATACCCCCGCTTGGACGAAGCTGCGAACGAGATCAGAGTCATCACAATATGGCCCGGACGATTTGACGACCCTATCAGAATTGACATCACTCAACGCCCGCTTACTCCACCACCTGCTCGGAACGATTCTAGCTTACTATCCCTCGAGGAAATAAATAAGACTCTGCCTGATGAGTCACCTTGGGAAGCGTTCAATACGTTAGAAGGCAGGATCCTCTTTATTAACGATGATACGGGCGAAACTTCATGGAGTCATCCAGACTCGCTCGTAGATCCATGTCTCTATGACCGCGAAAGTTTACCGAAGACGTATGCAGCACAGCCTGCCTATGAGGCACTCTCATACACCTGGGGACCTCAAGATCCCCCTTCCTCCGTGACGGTCGAAGCCATTACTATGAATAGTGAACATGGAGAATCACATCAAGGGCTTTTAACAATTGGGCAAAATCTAGACGAAGCACTGTGATACCTCCGTTATCCTCATAAACCTCGCACAATGTGGATTGACGCATTATACATCAATCAAAGCGACATCGAAGAACGCAACCACGAAGTTAAACGCATGGGTGATATTTTTAGGTTCGCCACAAGAGTCGTTGCCTGGATAGGACCAACCTACGAAGGAAGCACTCTGGCACTAGCGATGATGAGAGAAATTGCTCGGCATGTAGTCTGGAAGTCAAACAGGGCATGCAAGCCCAGATCAGGCTGCTCCGACCCTTCATGGCATAATTTCACAATCCCACTACGTCTCAACAAGTTCGTCGAAATCGCCATCGCAAATGTGTTCTCCCGGTCTTGGTTCAGAAGGTTATGGGTTCTTCAAGAAATCCAACTCTCGAGTCCTTCGTCTGTTATTCAATGCGGCCGGGAGATAATTCGCTGGACAGATCTACAGGGCGCGGCCATGGTGGTGCTCTCAAAGCATGACGACGGAACGGCGGGAAAGTTGCGGCAACATCTATGGGAAATGTCGAGGATTTGCTTCTATTCCAAGGGGATCAAACTTGATGACCTTTTCTGGAAATACCATGATCTTGGTTGTCAGCTTCCACATGATAGAATCTACGGTTTGATGAATCTCGCGCCATCAGGATGGTCGAGCCGCATTGAACCGGACTACTCGCTTCCTGTTCTGGATGTCTACAGAGATGCTTTCATGGCGTATTCGTATCATTATGGTCGTCTTGATCTTCTCCCGAGGACAGGAGTCAATGGGACAGGAACTCTTTCGTCGGACGAACAATGGCCGTCTTGGGTTCCGGATTGGACCGCACGAGTACTCGACACCGTCCCTCCAGCAAATGGTTTCAACGCGGCGAGTTTTTCCCCAGCACATGCTGTCCTACGTGAGCCAAATGAACTCGAAGTAGCAGGCATTCGTTTAGGTTCAGTTACCCATACATATCGGCTCGAAATTGATAGTTTCGCAGACTTGGCAGAGTACTTCAATGAATTGGGTCTCGAGAAGATTATGGCAAAAGAGTACTTACCGGGTGAGACTGTTCTGGACGCTCATCTGCATGTTATCACCCATTCGAAGTTTGAGGACCGAAATCCTTCTAGTGGATGTCCCACGCTTGAGCAGTTGCGTGAACACATCCTAAATCTTGCCCAATGCAGAGAAAGCCGGTATGTCTTGACGCAGTATGAGAGCAATGTCATGGTTGGATTGCAAGACTCGTATCTTTTCATCACCGATGAAGGATATCTTGGACACTGTCGCACACGAGGAACGGTAGAACTTGGTAAGTCTCACCTTTCTATATCCCCACAGTCACTAACGTTTGCTTCACTAGGCGATCAATTATTCATTCCGCTCGGTTGTCAAACCCCAATACTCATTCGATCCACAACAAACAACAAGCATAGAAGTCTTGGCGATTGTTTCGTCCACGGTGTTATGAGCGGGGAGACTCTTTTGGGTCCTTTACCAGCTAACTACACTGTCCAACGAAGATCCGGTCCCGACGGAGTTCACCGGACAAAGTTTCTGAACAATAACACTGGTGGACATACCATTGGCGATCCTCGATTAATTTCCATTCCCTTTCCAGATGGTTGGCTGTTTCTGAAGTTCGGGATGGAGGTCGACGATCCTGACTATTGCCCTCTCTTTATGAATAGTGAAACAAAGGAGATTGTTAGCTATGATCCGAGGATGACTATGTGTGCTTTGATGGAAAGGGGTGTCAATATACAGACAGTAAGTCTTGTATAGTTTGCTGAATATTAAAGCCAAGCAAGACTTTCTCTATTTATGTGAATTGTCTTGCCCCCTAGTTCTCGTCGTATATTGCGATGGTGAATTGATCTTTCAAGAGGTGATCAACATATGTTCTACAGGTCACAGTAACTCTACTGCAAACAATTTTGCAGCCCTGAAAGTGTTCACCTTTATCAGGACTCCCTTGATCTTGGAAAGCTGACTAGGGTTATACTCTGATTGCAGGCTTGGGATGCCGAAGTGTTCGAAGTACTGCATCGCTCAAATAGTCATTCACGTTTTCAACGTCACCAAGACCATGCAGTCATATCTACCTTATGCTGCGTAAGTCTTTGATGTGACCTACCTATCCAATCGGGTTTAATTAAATCTAAGTAGAGCGGGGCAGTGGGACAAAGAGGAAGAGTAGAGGTAAGTCACATCTCTCAACCTGTGCCACGACTGAACCGTTCTGTGGTAATGGATAGCAGAATTGTGAACCATGTAATTGGCTTAGGTCACCGAATCTAACTCATACCGACATGTGTAGTTGCACGAACGAAAACTGAACTTACCCCGGAATTCGAGTACTGTACCAAGTAAGGGGCTTATGGTAGCATTTTCTCGTCATCAGGCCCTTATGCATCAAATGCTGAGCTGGCTATCAATACAAGATCTCCTGCGACAATCGCCCAATTTGACCTTGTGCAGTTTCCCCCGATCAGACACCACCACAATTGAGCTGTCATAGCATAACAGTGGATATAAGAGAGTTCAAGATTTCCGGTAACTTGACAATAAGATAAGGCGACAAGATCTACAAGATAGCATTGCTTGATATCTTGAGTAATAAGGACGTCCTGTGTTTAACTCTGCCTCAACGAAGCTGTAAGAATATGGTCTAATAAGTGCGGAAACATGCAGTTACGATCACACCAGGTGCCCATACCTGATACAATACAGGTATCATCGGAATGTGAGACGACCGTAACGGATGAGCGAGTCACGATAATGAGTAGCATAATCCAATTAACATCTTCTCACCTGGAAACGGTTGATGTAAGAAAGCCATTACTGTCGTTGTTTTTGAATGCCATAAAATAAGAAGAATCTCCCCTCTTTCAAGTGTTCTTCCTCACACAGAATAGCAGAAACACAATTTGAGTAGCCAACACCAAGCCCCTAAAGCCGTTACACCATGCTCTAAACGCATTGTTTTCTCCTGATATCACCACGGCCCAGAACAAACCCCAGCACTTTGCCGACAGAATTGTTGTTGGCGATGGCGATGGCGATGAAAACAGCCCATTTCCGTGTTGCGTTGAAAAATCACGGTCGAATCACCAACGACCCTCCCTCTGGCCTCGCTCTTCCCACCGAGGGATGGAGGATTGATGGGAGCGATCTGTGGCAGTCATGGTTCACGATCGTTAGTATTTTGTATCCCTAGGTTTAGTAGCTTTAAGCGCTGAATCGTTGGATTTTTGATGGACCGGCAAGTCTGAAGTTAGGAAACGGAGTATGATGTACAGAGATGCAGATGGGACGTGAAGTGCTTGTTGCAGGATTACGCTAATTGAGCCTCTCATTTCTACACCTCTTGGAGGACCCTTTTCCACTGGTACGATAGAGGCATCCTATTGCTGTCAAGCTCGACAAATTGATAAGATCTAGAGACTAAACACACAAAATTTATTTAGTTCTTTATTGTCTTTACTAGGTGTGTATTTGCACCATTACACCCTCTTGGTAGCTAGTATCGATTGAACATACGCTCTTTCACTCTTCAATACTCAATACACCACAGAATCCACATGTGACCATACTGACTGTTACTATAAGGGAATCAATGTCTGCTTTAACATCCACGGATGATGCAAAGCTCCATCTAGAGTATGCGATTGATGAGCCCACTATGATCCTGCGCATTCGGGAGCCGTTTTTCCCAGTCCTTTTCCTTTTTTCGAATCGCTCGCTCAGAGCTCATTCAGTCCGGAATATGCCTGGATCATGGTGAATGCGCCTTGGCGGGTAGACTACACGCATGATTGGTGAAATCTACCCAATGAGGCGACAGGCGAACTATCAGCGAAAACTCATTTGAGGCTGAAACATGACAATCGCCTGTCCTGCGTCGCAATCCATCTCTTCTAAAAACAAAACACTCCAGAAAACCAGCACGATAGAAATATCTCGAATCGAGATTATTAGAAGTTATCGCCGGCTGTCAAGTCAACATAGCGAAGATTGCCTTGCCAGGAGCGAACTCTAGCAGCATACCCAAGACTCGTGGACAGCGGTTTCAACAATGACGGAACACCAGACGCCTTGGGCAACAGCTTCTTCTCAGTTTCCAGTTGGTATGGAAATCCTACACGACGACCCTGGCGCAGTTGCCGACATTTGTTTTGTGCACGGCTTGACCGGAGGTCGCAGGAGTGCATGGACAGCCTATCAGCAGTCAGAGCCATGGCTCAAGACACTACTTCCTTCTCACCTCAACAAAGTCCGCATCCTAAGTTTTGGTTATGGTCCATTCGATCGGTACTGTCAGGATCCAAGACCCTTCCGACGTCATGCTATCGATCTTCTCGACGCTATCGGGTACTATCGCCGCCAGGCGCTGTTGCGTCCCCTATTTTTTGTAGCACACTGCATCGGTGAATTAGTCTGTCAGGAGGCGATCACAATATCTTATACAAGCAATAGTGTCCCGATCATAAACCTCTTTGTTGCCTTGAGGGGTATCATTCTGATCAGTACTCCCTACCTCGACAAGTCTTGGAAAGCACAATGCGATAAGATTACGGATCCGAAAAGAATTGCCCGTCTGGATAGGACGGTCCAGACGGAGCACTCACGAGGTGATGAATTCTATTATGATTCGTTACGCAAAGACTTTTTCAGGGCCATCAAATTTGGTTCCCATCACGAATGCACCAGTCAACATAACGTTTTTGTTCGCTGGTGTTGACATTGAAGGGCCCGTCCCTGTCGCACACAAAGCGTTCGAAGCAGCCGGTGACGTCTTCTTCGAGTACGTTGCTTTGAAAGGCAATCATGAAGATATAGTCAAGATCGGTTCACCAGAAGACTATTGCTTCAAACCAATCGTCGATAGATTGAACAAGTGGATAGCTCCGCCAGGCAAGAGAGTCAACTATTCTCATCGTTATCTCGTGCTTACAGTATCTAGTATTGTTGAAAAATGCCTTGAAAACTACACTTCATAAACCGACAACAAGTTTCCAAACTGGGCGAAGTACTGAATACGCTGGAAACAACCATCATCGCCACCGGGACTGTATCACTAGGCAACCCGAGCCACAACCAAGTCTCAGTCCACGATGGGCCTACGAGATATTTGAGCCACCTTTGGTTCCAGAATCTGCCAGTCCGCCAGCGAGCTTTTTCATACCTCGACCATGTTATGTGTTCTGCTTTTTGATGTTTCTAGTCATTGGGGGGAGCGCTAGCCTTGGGATATACTACAGCGTCCGGTATGACAAGATGGGAGATGGGTTCACGGCTGCAGGGTGGATTGTTGCAATTGGCGCTTTGATATTAGCTGGGCCTCTGGCTCGACACTATCCGCATTGTTCATGTTGGGTTACAGACAAGCCGTTAGACTTTTTTGAGTTGGATCGTATCGAAACGCCGCCATCTCGAGACCCACTGAGTTTTGTTGCAAGGGATTGAGGGTCTACTGGATGTAACCAGTATCGTTATATTACTAATACGTCAACTATGATCCGTCGCATTTCCAACTCTTCTTCACTGCCAAGGCAAGCCTCAGCAAGCAATGAAAAAAAAAGCCTGTCAGACGTCCATCAATGCCCGTCCCGAGCGCGCGCCCAAAGGCAAGACCGCTCTCAGGACCGAGATCATCAAGAGTAGCATCTCTCTATACAGTAACCACGCGAAGTGATCACCGCCATCCTTGCGGACAGATCGAGAGGACCAAAAGGGTATTCACTCTAGGGCATCGAGGATATTCATTCATCAACCAGGGTGGGATCTGTGGCTCTTTTAGGGAACCAAGAGAAGGTCGAATACTATAGAAATGATTCTCTGAAGTATTGTCGACATGAAGAAGAAAAGAAAAAAAATTCTAAAAGGTCGACGGCGATGGCTAGTTTTATAGAGTGTTAGTGTGGAGATTGTTAGTAAGCAGAGTGGACAACTCGTTGCAGAGTTTTTATTGAGGGACTGAAAATTCGGCCAAATTCACGCTTGTCAGCAACGAGGCTGACTAGCGAATGGGTCCAGTGATGAAAATTCTGTCTTCCATTTGAAAAGTCCCATTTGTATTGCTAATTGTCTTGTTTTATTCGTTGGTGGTGATACTATCTTTTTGCGATTATGTACAACGAATTAAGTCGAGTCTGTCATTGGCCAATGAGTTTTTCATCTGCGGAAACTTGTTCTTCCGACTTAGTCATCATTCAAGGCCAATCAGTGATGCTCTCACTGGTGCGTGTGCGTATTACTTCATATTGGAATTGAAGACAATGGAACGAGAAACACGACGATAATTGCATTGTGACATGGTGATAGAGATAGTACCATCGCATTAATGTGTAAGCACAACAGAAACCAATTTCGATACTTCCACGAGTTTATTCCACCATCCGTCCATTACGTATGGCTAGAAGAGCCAGCAAAGGAACAATTGAAGATTTGTTCATGAAGTATAGGGTGACAGGTGGGAAACGCGAGTACACGATAACACTTGGCCAAGACATGAGCACAATCTCATATCGATAAAGATGAAGATAACGATAAAGACAAACTTATCTTCAAGGCTCAATTATTCCCCGCGATCCTTGAACCGTTTCACAGGCGCGACGCGCAACAGGCTACACCATCCCCATGGAACGATTGACCAATGCAAATGAACATGCCAAGTCATTGAGATCTTTTTTTGAAACCTCGGTCATTTTGCTCGCTCCAAAGGAAACATGCGTATCCCCAAGACATGGTAATCTCGGGTATTGCCATATAACCCGCGCCCGAGAAGAATCCCATTCTTCTTCAGCTATCTGCTGTACAACAACCACCAACATCCAATGATGTGTGGTTGAAAAGGAGGAGGAATGAAAGCTAGACTACAATTGGTCCCCAGTCCCGACCCAAGTAGCCAAGATATGCCAAGGTCGCTCATTCTTGTTAGCAAGAAATTACACAATCAGCACTATCGATGCCAAGTTGACTGGAAACTGAGTCCGTTGTAAAGCCAAGATTTCGCATCTCAGATTCCCCCAACAAAAACCTTGTACGAAGCCGTTTAGTTCCCCCGCAAACTCCGCAAAGTCTACCGGTGCTTCGACCGACCTTATTGTAACCTTAAGTTTATTTATGACTGATGCCAAGAAGAAAGACTCCCGGCAGTGGGAAACGGGAATTTTCCAGCTTCTACGGGGCACGCACGGTCTTGTACCCAGTGTAAGATCAGCCTGGACGCGTACATATTTCCACGTCTCCTCGTGGCTCGGGATCGTAACATACAGTAGCTTCTATTTCTGCATACAATGCATTTTTGTTGGTCTCCTGCGTCGATGGCGAAACATCCAAGACTTAACTATTGATAATAAAATTAGCTGGCGCCAGCCTGACGGTGAGCTTCTTGGCATTGTCGGTCAATTCTCGATCCGCGTATTTCTGTATTGGGCCAAAGGTATGTCGGATGATAATGTCTCGGTTCCTTACAGATTGGGAAATCCCGGCATTGTTATGCTTCGCAACCATGGAGGCCAGTTCTTCACCGCCGGGAGACTACACCGTGTATTTCTCTACGGATGAGCTGAGCTTGCCTGTAGAAGGCTATGAGATTGGAGCAAACAGGGGTATCGGCTGAATAGATCTCGTTGTCGTTGGTGATTTTGAACGTGCGCGCTTTGGTCAAGTCAAGATCGAAACCAATGTCTTCCCCAATGGCTGCACGGCATCCTGTGACATAGCCTACACCGAAAGGATTGTGAACAGTGAGATCGACAATGAGAAACCCCAACTCTTGGATTAGACGGCAATTTTCATACCCATCTTCAACGGGGTAGGTTGAGCATGTCTCGGGAGAAATGCCATTGAAGAATGTGCTCGTAGTTGCTCAATGATAGGGATCTTGACTGCTGGTTGGAATGAGCGATAACGGGATAGTCGATGTAAAAGTCTCGGTACTCTTGTTTATACTATCGGTTTTTATTTTGAAACAGAAAACGGCAGTTGATAGCTTCATAGGCTCGCCTGGCATTGAAGCATCGAAAGAATTGATGTTGCCAAGATAGCAACAGCCAAATCTCAATATGTTGGCATCAACACCAATCTCGTTATTATAAGACTTGAGATTCCTCTGAAAAACCGAGTTTGAGTGATGCGAATATCCGGATGCCATCTAAGAGCTCTTAACGTTGAGCGCGTTAGCTAAGCTTCACCTTGGCGAGGGATATAGAAGCCGAAGGGCGCCACAATATACTCTGAAGGGTATCCAAACAAATAACTAATAACTTACGAAATAACAACGAGTACTTATACTATAAGAACTAATGAAATAAATCCGTATGGGAAGAAGACGTCATTGAAGCTATCAAAATTTCGAAAGTCTTTGGAGGTGCTTAGACTTGGTTCCCCTCATACTACTCCAAAGACACCACGTCACGCTAGCCAAGGTCGACTTGTCATGTGTCACTGCGAGATGCAGATCAAACGGTTTGAAAGGGATCCCGGCCACATGGGAGTTTTGGGAAGGTGAGTACCAGTGCAACGGGTCGGTAGAGTTGTTATTGAGAGTTGCATGCCATGCATGTGAAACTGGATTGGCAGACGTAGACCCAAGACGAGATGGTAGGACATGTATAGTGTTACAAGTTCGGTCGGGTTGATGAATGAGAATTTCATGAGGATTAAAATACTCCTTCGCTATGAGATGACATCAATCGAGGCCTTGGGTAGTTGGGATTTATTTGGGGATCAAATACGAAAACTCATGTCTATGCTGTGAAGTCCTGCTTTGTCACATACGTCACAATCTCGAGAGCTTAGATGCATATTGTTACAGAATGAGTAATCGAGTGAGAAACAACGTATCTGTTCAAACTCAGTTGGTTCAGGCTTGGCAATTGATACAATAGGTAGGTAGATAAATATTGCATGTGCCGTAATCCCTATTTCAACCGTTAAAGTCCAATGCGAATCATTATCTTCTTACATCCACCTCGGCAAAGTCGGCAGCTATCACAAGAAGATCACAACTTGCTAGCCGCCAAAGCCATGATTAACGACGATCTCATGTCTCAGTCTTTCTAGAACTAGGTGCGCGCGGTAAGACGTTCAAGTCTAAGCGAAGTGCGACCAGGTCAGGCCAGTTTAGCCAGTGGGTAATTATGAGGGACAAAATGCACTGTAAGTCCACTATTAACCCAGTGGAGCTGTGGGGTAATCTTTTCTCTTCCCTGGAGGATTTACCCCCAAATTCCCGCTTTTTAAAGGCGGTAAACACGGGGTGAGTAACATGGGGTTTACTTCTATGGCCGCCTTGTGGGACAGAACAAGATAATGCAACACAAATAGCATCACACATGTCACAAAAGACCAATGGGAGAAAAAGAATGTGTCATGAAACCCACGCAGGAAATGTGACAATGACCAACAGTTTTGTCCCGGGGAGAAAGAAATTACAAAACGTACCTTTTTACGGACATGTAACACCGAATGCGGAGAAGAACGACAAGGCCAAACGAGGAGGAGAAGAGGGAACAGAACCAAGGGGGGGGAAAAGCCACCCCTGACTCGCGTTACTCGGCGGATTGTCCCCCGGGCGGGGTAGAAATTGTCCGCCCAATAAATAAGCTACCAACAGGGACAGACAGAGACAAGGCAATCTGAGTTATCTGACATACATAGACACGAGTACATCGAGATGTAGACAATAGGATAAGAAATACAACAATCAACTACCCGTATCACGGTCTGCAGCCATGCGAGTTCCACGTGTCTCACAACGTACTGCAAGTAGGCTAAAAGCATTGTTGGGAAGACCAACCACTCAGAAGGAGGGGGACGTCAATTAAGCATAATCTCATCTCATACATGATACACGTGGAGAAATGTCAGATTTGGTCTTGGTAAAATACCAAGCCAAATGATCGGTCTACATCCGCCCGGCTAGAAATAAAGAATGACATGGTCCAAGAAATGGAATAACCGAGAGATTTAAACCAAAAGCAGTAATATTTCCATCTGTCCGAGTCCTCTCTGTGTTGCGCGCAAGTGTTGGGAGTGGGAGGGTGCAGTAGGCAGCCAAGAGAAAAAAAGAGAAACAAGACATCATCTCTTTACAAACCAAGCTTACTTGCCAAGATTGGGATGCGTTGTTATGACTTCCGAAAGCAAAGTGCCAAGTCGGACTTGGACTGGGGTAGCGTCACCTGATGATATGCGCTCCAAAAAGATACAATCCATTGCAAAGGTGCTGTTGGTTCTAGTGGAGTATCGAGATCCAACTATACGCTTGGCTATAGTCTTGGCTATGCCTTGGCGAAGCACAATACCCCCGTCACAGTAAAACGTAACAGTATTTCTCCACAAAGCTTAGCCCCCCCTTAGATTCGACTGTGTTTTTCCCCAGTTTGCCCCAGAATCTCTCTTTTTTTCCTTGTCCACATCTCCTCGATTTGTTCTCCCCCAAGTTCCCACACCAACTCCATATACTAACCATGGCAACTCTTGTCTCTTTCTCTTGGCGTCTGGGGGCGTCTTGGCCCTCCTTTGGACCGGGTTTCCTGCGTAATTAGGATTAGAATGTCTGGGCATTCATACCCCGCGCGGCGTCTCGTCTCTGCTTGCAACCATTACGAGGGACGCGATGGATATAAAAAAGGAGCTCCTCTGTCCCCCCCAGTCGCGTCTCTCGAGTCAGTCAGCTTCAACTCTTCTCCCTTTTTTCTACTCTCTGTCAACTTTTTGCATTCCGTTGAGCCAGTGTGATCTTCTTTTGAGCCTTATTTCAGGCTTAATTCCTGCCCACCATGGCCGCCGGTGTTGAGAGTGATCGGTACTCTCCTACCAAGGAGGAGGAGGGCATCGCTACCAACAGCGATGGTCCCGTCAACGACACTTCTGTTCCTTATGTCTCTGAGGAGATTGAGAAACGCATCTTGAAGAAGCTTGATCTTCGCATCATTCCCATGGTTTGCTGGATTTATCTCATGAACTTTATGGATCGAGGTGAGTCTTACCCCAAGAAAAGACATCGCAGGATTGACAACTGACAATCTGACATAGTTGGTATCGGCAATGCTCGTCTCTACGGTATGGAGGATGAGCTCGGTTTGCAACCCAACCAGTTCCAATTGGGTGTGTCGATCCTTTTCGTCACCTATTGTGTAAGTTGCGATAAACACTTCATTGTAACGGGAGACTGACAGCTGTATTTAGTTGTTCGAAACACCCTCCAACCTCATCATCAAGAAGATGCAGCCCGCCCGATACATTGCCGGTCTCTGTTTCTTCTGGGGTATCGTTGCCATCTTCACCGGTTTCGTCACCAACCTTGGATCTTTGATTGCTTGCCGCCTTCTCCTTGGTACCTTTGAGGCTGGACTCTTCCCCGGTATTATGTGAGTATATCCACCACTATTTGACACGAGAAGAATCGACTAACAATTTCTAGGCTTTACCTCACTACTTTCTACCACAAGAAGCACATCTCCCTCCGAAATGCCTACTTCTACTCCATTTCCGCCATCTCCGGTGCCGTTGGTGGTCTCGTCGCCCTCGGTATTGGAGAGCTGGATAACTACGACTGTTACCAATGCGGTGCTGGCGGATGGCGAGCCTGGCGATGGATTATCACCATCAACGGAATCCCCACTGTCCTGACTGCATTCGCTGTGCCTTTCGTCCTCCCCAATACGCCTGCCACAGCCAAGTGCCTCACCCCAGAAGATCGTCAGGCTCTTCTTGATCTTCGAAGCGCCGAGGTTGGTCAGACCGCATCTGGTCAGGAGATGCACAAGGAGGATGTCATTGCTGCTATCAAGGACTGGAAGATTTGGGCTCTCTCCATCGCCCAGTACTGCAGTCACTCGGTGCTCTACAGTTTCAGTGTCTTCTTGCCCACTATCATCCGAGAGATGGGTGACTGGACTCCTAAGCAGGTTCAGGGTCTTACCGTCCCTGTCTACGTCGTTGGTTTCGTTACCTACCTGATCTGCGCCAGAATTAGTGATCGTACCCAACAGCGAGGTATCTTCTGTATTGGTGGTGGACTTGTCATGATGCTTGGATATATCCTCCTCGTCATCGGCCACAGCCAGGCTATGAGTTTTGCTGGTTGCTTCATCGTCGCTATTGGACTGTGGACTGGCTCTGGATCAGGCATGGCCTGGATCACTGTCAATCAGCCCCGATACGGCAAGCGTGCTTTCGCCAGTGGTATCTTCATCACCATTGGAAACTCTGCTGGTGTCGCCGCTCCTTTCCTCTTCAGTGACAAAGACATGCCTCACTACCGCCCTGGATACGCTGCTACCATTGGTATGCTGGCCCTTGCCGTCTGCATTCACACTACTGTCTACCTCCACTTCCGACGTCTCAACAAGAGAAAGCTGTCTGGCCAGGAGGACTGGAGAATGGAGGGCAAGACTGAGGAGGAGATTGCTGAGATGGGAGAGCACAACCCCCGCTACTTGTACACCCTGTAAAGCGTCACCCTTTTATCTTTTTTTCGAATAGAAGAGTATGAATATGAGTTTTGTCTTACGACTTGGGGGACTTTAGTATTATCACAGAGTTTGCTAGGCGCGATAGAGGATACCTGCTACAATCTGAATTGAAAAGTTTCTCAACGTTTAAATGTCTGCTGGTATGGATGATGTCTTACCATGTGAAAGCACCTGAAGTAATCGAACACGAGTAAAAGACACAAGTTCTTTGATCTGCTGGTATAAAACCCACAAGCGAAAGCTTCTCACGATTAACACAGCCGTAGTTGTCGGGGTCATTGGGGCCACTCACTTAAGCTGATTGTCTGTATAATCCTCACTTACGGATTAGTCTCTAACAAACAGTTTCAGGTACTGTGGTCTAGTTGGTTATGACATCTCGTTAACACCGAGAAGGTCCCCGGTTCGAGCCCGGGCAGAACCTCATTTTATGGTCTTTCATCAAGATGGAACAGCTTTTTTATTGCTTGGTTTGATCATGGTGGGTCAAAGTGTAAATGATTCCTTTTTGTCTGTTCCATCTTGACGATATCTTCAGTAGAATAATCTAACACCACAATCTGACAATTTTGCGCGCAGAGCCTCTCTATTTCCATTCCACCTCGTGATTATTCCAGTGCTTCAACTCTGTAGAAAGCTCTCAATATGTGCGGGGCATGTCGTTGTCGCTGCCATTCTTGTATCTCAAATGCCAAGTTACTGGCTATATCACGAACCTCTACGAGTCGCTATAACAGTACTTGCGAATGTTCACCCAAACTTCGTGGCAATGGAGTGACGCAATTGAGACCATCACAACTCTTGGCCTGGTAATACTCTCTTGGCTCTATTCTTCGCTGTCCTTGTTGAGAATGTCCTTGGCGTTGATGCGTGTGTCTTAACTATCGTGGCGCGCAAAATGATGAAAGCGGCGCACAAAACCCTCCAATAATCAGAAGTCAGACCATGATGTGGGGGGAAACTACTTGCTAAAACTCGTGAGGGGAGGGGAAGAGGGGAATTGCAATTGAGTGCGGAGTTGGAGTGCTCTAGTCAGCAAGGGAATAGCGTTCTGAGAGTTTATTTCTCACGACGCTGAACTTGGGGTCAGGTGGGGGAATTGCTCAGGCCGCGGCAATATCGTTTCGGAGATTGACAGTATCAATGTCTCCAACTGCAGTGGACTGACTCGTAAAGCACAACAATGCAAGGTATAAGAGCCCGAATATAAACTAAACACAAGCTAAAATAGCTGTACCAGGGTCATGACTTGTTTCCCGCCAGGCATCACAGCAAGTTAACTGTGGAGAGTGCTTGACGAATGGTTCCATGCATTGACCTCTGCTTCACATCGTCTCGAAAGTCCACACAATTGTTTGGTATGAAACGCATCAAGTAAAGTGAGCGACGAAACTGTTGATGAATCCATTGCCTTTGTTTCTCTAACTCACCGTTAAATGACAGCAACTGCGAGCATGGGTCCTCAAAAAGACTAATGAGGTTGGATAAAACGCTCAGAGCAGCAATTGGGCCATGAATGAGATTATGACGATTGTGGTCGGTCCTCGAAACGAAGTGATGGCTCTTTTTGTATGCGATGAATGCTTTGTCCATCGGAGGCAAGTCGTGATAGCAGGGAAATAATAATTGCTGATCGTTGACGTCTGCAAAGCTAACAGGCCGAGAGCAATTGCCGAGATAGAATGGCATGCTTCGGCACATGGGTTGTAGTAGGTATCGCATTTCTTGCGATTCTCTCGTGCTTGCATTTGCGTTTTCCAATGTCAAGCTGCTAAATAGCTTTGCCTTGGCCTGCTCAACAATGAGGCAGTAGGTACGCCAAACATTCCATATATTGGCAATCTGGATGCTTGGATAGACATTGATCGAGCCGTCGTAGGTCGGGACAGATGAAAAAATACTGTCATCGGCCCGGAGCCTTTGGGGATGCCAGATTTGTGGTACAGTATCCAGCCATGTTTGAAGCTGTGCCTCGACATCAAAAATGATAGACGGAAGCTCTTGTAAGGCCCTGAGAGCCATGCTTTTATCAAGAGACGCCGAATCTGCTACGACACTCTGCAGTTTGGACACAGATATCCCAATGATGTCAAGCATATAGCTGCAGTTGTTCGGAAGAGCGGGGATTACTTTACTGTAAAGCCACTCCAGCTCGTTCCGAGTCAAAGGTACCTTGTGTCTGACACAAAAGGAGATCCTGCAGTGGAAATGGTTCCCCAGAAGATGTTCATGGTTCCTGGTCCTTCCTTGACCCTGTTGTATCAGCAAGGCCAAAGCACCCTTTCGGTGCGTCGTGTTCGACTTGTTATGGTCGAATATGGCGGCCAAAGTATCGTGTTGTTGCAGCATGAGCGCTGCAATGACAGTTGCATCTTTTCCTTGCTCTTCGGGGCTGTGGATGGCACATTGTAGTTTCCTCAGTGCCTGGTTATATAGTTTGATCGGTAATGAGTCAGCGACGTCCGATGGTCGTAATAATGCCCAAAGCTTGATCGAAGTGGCATTGGTAGCTGTAGATAACGTAGAGTCTGGTGACTCAGTTGCGAGGTGGGTCGAACAAGTTCCAAGAAGCCTCGCGTTGACTCCATGTTTCGACCAACATCTGTGACATATGTGAGAAAGAAGGAGACAGCCATGTCCTGTTGTTTTGGAAGTAGGCTTGGGGATAGCTCGACGTGTCGAAATGCACATATTGTCCCTGAATTCTTGTCCTCGTGGATGACTTTGTTCGTAGTCGTCACTGAATTTGTTGTTCGGAATTTGTTCATACATCGAGCAGTCTCGTCTTTGAACCTGACCCGGGCAGCCTGCTTTTCATAACCTCCGCATTGTCGTCCAACTCGATTGCATACTTTACAGAAAGGTTTCGTCTCGTCGCATTTGACACGACGTTTCTTACAGGTGATGCAGCCTTTTGAAGCACCTCGATTCACCATGGTGGGATACAATATAAGAACTTGAAAAGAGACAATGGAAAGAGGAAGCCCACAATTGCGGCTCTGGAGATAAAGCTTTATAGCTAAGAGACCCTGATAATTCAAGACGTCAGAAGAAATAAGCATGTCTTGGATGTCAGATTTGGTGCTTACGTCACGGCACTCGTCGCAAAGAAATTACCATATTTGGGGTATGATCTTCAAACGAGGCTCACTGCAGCGTGGATCAGCCGTAAACGTTAAATATTCCAACGAGTCACTGGAAAATAGCGTATTTGGCGTATTAGAGTCTCTATCTAACGGCGGACCTGTTGACAGCGCAGCATTTTTCTACTCTGGAAATTTCGTGTTCAGACTGCCGATCTGATATTTTCAGTTGTTTTATCGTTTAACTTTTAAAATAATAAGCTAGGGTTCGGTATTGGCGATAAGTACTTCATTCTTTTAGTGAGAGCGATGTGTTCTCTCGCTTCATTGACATCAATTTATTTCTCATTGCGCTCTATCTTCTTTATCTTGCCTAAATATTGCAATGAATGGTAGAACTTGTACTTGTCGAAATTATAAGTGCTATGAGTGTAAGGAACAAGTTTCATCATTAGTTTGTAGTAAACAAGGGCTATCTAAACGGACTATCTAAACGTTTAGAATCAGTACCACGCAATTCCCAACCAGCATGGAAAGGTCAACCTCCCGTTTAACAGAACCGTTAAATACATCAAGAAAAACGGTGCAATCATTCATTCCGAACTCTCCTAATAATGAAGTTTTCGGGGAATAGGTCTAAGAATCAACCCGAGAACTAACGTATAATAGTATCTTGTTTCCAGATGGAGACATATTACAAATCAATGTTATCGGCAATTTTGCATCATCAATGGCGAAACGCCGCACCAGCACAGAATAGGAATCTGTCCCGCGCATAGCGTCTGCAAGGCTGATGGATTATATGGAACTTGCGTTGCATTGTCACTCATGCTAGCGCAATTACTGCGGGGTTCAACACAAGGTCTCCAGAGAAAAACAGTATATAAATCGTATCACATCTTCGCATAAACATAATACATCCCTCATCTATAACTACACTAAAATGGCTCCTCTCGATAACCCAGCTGTGCCCAAGGGCTCTGTAGTCCTTGTGACTGGCGTCAACGGTCTCCTCGGCTCTCATGTTGCGAAACAATTCCTCGAGTTCGGCTACAAAGTCCGCGGCACTGTTCGAGATCCAGCAAAGAACTCTTGGCTCTCGACCGCCTTCGACAGTCAGTATGGAGAGGGCAATTTTGAGCTCGTTCAGCTGGCGGACATGACCTCTGAGGAAGAATTGAAGAAACTCGTTAAAGGTAGGACACATCCCAACTGCTTAATGAATGAGCACTAAAACCGAACCATCACAGGAGTCTCCGTGATTGCCCACACCGCTTCCAACATGTCTCTCAGCCCCGATCCCAACACCGTTATTCCTGACGCCATTAACGGTGCTATCACTGCGCTCAAGGTTGCCTACAGCGAGCCTACTGTCAAGCGCTTTGTCCTAACCTCATCATCAAGCGCTGCCACCATATCCCTCCCCGGAAAGCCCCACACCCTTGTGAATGAGGAGAGCTGGAGTGAAGGCGCTGTCAAGATGGCTTGGGCAGACCCTCCCTACACCATGCAGAGAGCTGGTGCTGTTTACGCTGCCAGCAAGGTTCAGTCAGAACAGGCCCTTTGGAAGTACCACGAGGAACACCGAAACGAGAGGCCTGACCTGGTTGTCAACACCGGTGAGACGCCTCCAAGAATGAGCGCATGACCCTTTACTAATCGTCTTTAGTCCTGCCTAACTTCAACTTCGGTAAATCCATCGACGTGGCTAACCAAGGCTACCCAAGCAGCTCTGGTCTTCCCGTCATGCTCTACAAGAACAAGGTAGCCACGATGCATCGCCGAATTCCTCCTCGTAAGTTCCCTACTCACTCAGATCCCAACAACTTGAGACTAATTTGTTATAGAATACTTCATTGATGTCGACGACACGGGAAGACTCCATGTTGCTGCCGCCATTTTCGACCACGTCAAAGACCAGCGTATCTTTGCCTTTGCAGGCCGGTTCAGCTGGGACCAAGTTCTGGATATTCTCAGGAAGCACTACCCTCAAAAGACGTTCCCAGAGAACTTCTTAAGTGGAGAAGATGCCAATGAGATTGAGCCCAGAGACAAGGCTGAGCAACTTCTGAAGGACCTTGGTCGACCTGGTTGGACTAGTCTGGAGGACTCTATCATCGCCAATGTGGAGGACTTGGATAAGGCTGGAGATAACGTCTGGTATAAAGACTACCACGAGATAGAGTCACTTGCTCCTAAGGCTGCCGCTGAGTCTTCTTAGAAGATCTGAGATCGGATAGAGATAGAAACAAGTAGATTTGAAACTTGCCTATGAATGGGTGTGTGTCGTGCTGTTCTACATTCTGCGCCAACATATCCGCCCAAGTTCCAGTGTGCAGTCCTGTGATACCCGAACATGAAACACATATCCCGCTGGAGTCTATCTGGGAATGCTTCCCATGATAATGTCGGGAATATGGCCTTCGCAATGCTTTATATCAATGATGTTCCTGTAAAAGTGTTAGAATGTCTCGTAACAACACACGTCTCCTCACATACAAGAATATTCCGCCCAACTGCTGTTTGCATCGATCTTTCAAGGACAGCAGTTGTTGTGTGGCTTTTACACTGTTACCGAATTGGATAAACTGAAACAACAAGGTGCTTGAAGGCTGGTCATATTTACGTAGGTAGTCAATTGCTTCGAGAATCACCTTTGCAACGTCACTTGCATCTGTATTCCATACTCCGTCGGTGTAGATGTAGATGCTAGTAGGCTTGACGCTGTTTCCAACAAGGACATTGTCGAGCACCTTTTTGAGACAATGGACCATGTTACACATTCCACCCACTGAGTGCATCTCCAAGATTGCTTCTTCGACCTGGAAGCTCGTCTTGCATATGCGCGGATTTTTCACACTTGGAGAGGCACGATAGAGTTCCAACCCGTTGCCATCGGCCGTTTTAGCCACATGACTGATAACTCTGGCAGCTTGTTTCATGTCAGCCTTGTGGGCTGCCAAAGCCTGGTGGTCATCTATGATTATGATCTAAATAATTAAATAATTCAGAGCAGTCCATAAGTCTTAGTCTCCGTGACTTACCTGATGCCGGCCATTGTGCGCCGAAACCATGTTTCTAGCGTCTTTTATTCCACGGAAACGCATGATTTCTTGGTCTTGATGAGATGTTCTGCCAAGCGACGCCATCAGGTTGTTCGTAGCAATAGACATCTGTACAGTGAAATAAAGATCTTTGAATGTAATTGTTCCTTCTACTGGGATGAAACCAGTCTCCTGTTGAGCATTACTTCTTTGAATCTCGATCTCCTCGGGCAAAGCCTCATAGGGGATGGCGGCTGCAATCAGGCGTCAGGATATTATATCGATGGCCGTCCGCTGGACTCACCTTTGTTTTCTTGAGGGGTGGGGAAAAGATCTCTAAAAAACTTCCTGGTGCGCTGTTCGAACTTCCCTCTGTAGCGAATGCCGGGTTTGGGTGGACACCGACTTACGGGATTGTCTCTCGGAAAGGTATTGTTGACATAATAGTCGTCCTCGTAAGGGATCATTGAATGAAATACTGATTTCTTCTGGCGACGAAGAATCCTTTGTTTGTGATGAAGATGCTAATTACGGATGAATTGCAAGATGAGAAAAGACAAAACATGATTGAAAAAGGATCAAGACTCGTCATCACCAATCAAAATGTTACATGTGTAAGGCGTACCGTGAGGCACTCCAACGGGCCTTGAGTCAGCACATGGCTCGACCATACACTACCATCACCCATGCAGCTTATAACAACAACAACGCCGCACAGGTACGCTGAAGTGATCTGAGAGCAAAGCGTCTAGACATAAAACTTCCATATTGAGATTTGAATCAAATGGACCAAAATGAGCAGTGTTCGGCAAAAACGCTATATTGACGGGTTTCCATCCCTGGCACATTTCATCGCCAGCGACCGAGACGGAACTTGTGCAATTTTCAAGCGCTTCAATCGGCTCGCTGCCCGAAACCTACTCATTTTACAAAGCGAGCTAGCAGAGCTGGAGGCTAAACTTGATGCATTTGATGACGAGGACAGGGCAACCGCGGAGTCATTGCAAAGCCTGAGGAACTGGAAGAGTTATAAGGATAGGAATGAGAAAGACTCAGAGAGAAGACGCCTAGTGCGACAGATGCAGGTTACATTAAAAGACTACAGTATGGGCCCGTCCTGCATGTTTGATGTATACTCACAATTCGATAGGAGAAGCACTAGTCTTTGAAAGCACCCTGGCGACAATTCCACCGCCGGATAGAAGGACACTTAAGGCGTTTCGAATTAACTTCTTCCATGGACACCCTGATAATATCAGCTCATTTCCTATGCTCGGTGGCTACGGCTCGCAATTATTTGACGATCCTGATGATCTCTTGGTATTGCACACTCAAGAACCGCCCGATAGATTGACAATGTTTATGCAAGACTATTTCGGTTATCTATTCGAGGTAAGATAAGCTCAACTAGCAGAGTTATATCTAATATAAGGGATAGGAGCCTGGAAATACACTCGGCTCTGAAATAGCCTATACTTCTGGGAAAAGAATTGCGACCTTTATCTCATGTCTGAGTATCTTACTTGCCGCTTTGTTATTGATCGGGGCTATAGTTATCCTCTATAACGTTAAGTCGCATAACCTGAAACTCGGCCTTATAGCTCTTTTCACAATACTCTTCTCGGCAAGCATTGGCTTATTAACGAATGCAAGAAGGGCAGAGGTATTTGGGGCCACAGCAGCGTAAGTTGATATTCTAAGTTACACGTATTACAACTAACAGGAGCAGATACGCAGCTGTGCTGGTTGTCTTTGTCAGCGGCGATCTGGGTAGTTAGCGGTGAGGAACACGGAGAGACCGAGCTCTTATTCAATCACAGACAACTGGATGACATTGAGTACTTCTTGCAACCATATCTTGCAACCATAGTATCTGGAGTACTTAGGAAGGAACTCAATGCGAACCGCAACAATCTCAAAGAGATAATAAAATCGATAAACTTTACGATGCCAAAAGGCAAAGTCCATAACTGGGGCGGATCAAGATCAACCAAAGTCAGCGAAAAGAACATCAACCCCTGAACAATCGGCTTTGGGCACAACACCAAAAGTTGACCCCTCCAGGCCAACCACAGAGGAACGTGCGAATACGAAGAACTATATCAAGAAGATTTACATCAAGAAAAACAAATCAACGAAAATCTTGATGCAAAAAATGATTAAGAAGGGGTTTCATGCAACGTGAGTAGGATCACAGAACATATTTGAGAGCGCCATTTTGACTCAGTGCAGAAGCAAAATTTATATCACTCAGTTCAAGAGATGGGGTACAGAGTTCAACAAGAACAAAAATGCGGACGGTACAAGACCTGTCTCCAATACCAGTGCTCCCAGAACACGACCCAGGGGTTGCATCGTCCAAATCCCACAAAGTGCCCATGTTCCTTACCTACAACCTCATCCATCCATGGCCGTCAAATTATCTGACGGATATGAAATACAAAAAAATATTCTAAACTCAGCAGAAGTCTACATATATGGACTGTTCAATAATTTCAACCTCTCCGCGGATATGTTCAGCATCATGGTCCCTATGAGTAGGACAGATAATTCGCTAGCCTGGCAACAGGTAGGAGCAAAAATATGCGATTTCATAACACTGCTTGAAAAGGACTAACATACTGAAGCATGGAGAACTTATAACATCATTGGAAAGAGGCTGGAAGACATGGTTGGTGCCGAGAAGGACTATGGGATGATCATCAAACTTTGGCCTATATGAACCAGGCTTCCCAATGCAGTACGAAAACGATTCAATCTTGTGGGAATTTTTTCACTGCCTGCGACGACTGGCAATAGAACGTTACAACCAATGTATCCGAGACCATCCTATTCCCAAGTTGCTTGCATCATTGTGTCAGATTCCAATCAGCGAATTTCCCCAAGCTATACAGATGGGTTGCTTAAAAACAATTCATTGCCTTGAGAAACTATTGAGTGTTGAAAATCCCGTTGTATTATGAACTTGGTCCAACTATATGAATAAGTGTGAGCAGCAAGCACTACCTGTTGAGGTTCTTACCTCTCACTATTCGCTGTTCTGCAAGCGGCTAAGCATTCGTTCACGCCGACAGGAACAAGGACAATCGAGATCCTTCACGATTACCTTTATGCTGCATACTAAAATGCTGAAAGTCAACGATTAACATGAAATCTCGCTTTGGAAACTGTAAATCTTGCCAGGTCTCCGGGTCTCATGGGGGAGCACTTAACTTGGTGTCTAGCTATACAAGGGTACGCATTGGCGGTGAAGTTGATGTACATACTGTCTCCCCATATGAGTCCAAGGAATCAAGCAGTTGCAGAGCTGGAACTGGCCATTGAGAGGTTAGGGAGGGGTGATAGAGAATGTCGCACGAACGCTGATGCTAAAAGGCATACTTGACAGAAGTGAGAGCAATGTTAGTTAAGAGACAAGTGTGATGTATTGTTTTATAAATGCCAAAAACAAATTTTATATCTCAAATGATTGTTATTTATTGATATAGGAAAAAAGAAAAAAGAAAGACCTGTTTGAACAGGTGGCTGGATCTCTCCCGCCGGGAATTGAACCCGGGTCTCAAGCGTGACAAGCTTGCATACTGACCACTATACTACGGAAGATGAACAATCTGAAGACTGCTGTAGCTGGGGGGTTTGATAGGAACAGACGGATTTTTCTAGTATAAGAGGGCCTTAGGTGCGATAGAGAGCTTAAGGGGTAAGAATCTTCGTTCACTTGACCTTGTGTCTAGGAGACTCCCGCTCAAAAACACGGTTTCTCAATTAAAACATATATGCTTCAAGCATGTATTTATTGGATAGTATTATCATATTTGAATGTCACGCAGTGTTTACGCCAAGTGTTGTTATACATGAAATGGCCAAAAGCAACCCCTCTCCTTGTCTACTGTCCATACACAGTCCACATAAGACAGTCCTTGGCCAAGACACCGCCCATGACCTGAAAATCCTTGTTGTACTTGGCCCAGCTCTCTCCGATATCGCAAGTCACGCTGAAGCTCTGCGAGAGGTAGGTCACGCAGTCTTCGAGCTTCATGTTGCCAAAGTCGTTCTCGCTCATGGACTTGTCCTCAGGGCAGCCAGGCTTGTGGTACATGATCGACAGGGCCATGGAAGCTCCATTCTCGGCGACGCCAGTCGCGACCATCGGGCTGGGGGTGGGGGCGCCCTCCTTGAAGAGCCATCGCTTGTCGATGAGGTTCTGGCAGTAGGCTGTGGCAGCCTTGTTAAGCTCCTGCTCGTTGAGGCGGGGCCTCGAGCCCTCCTCGCCGTCGGCCTTCATGCAAACGGGGCCGTACTGGCCGGCAAAGTCTCCTCTGTTTGGCAGCTTGCCGGCGACGCAGTCACCCCAGACCTGGTTACCCTGGCAGACAGGCTTGCCATTAACCGTATCCTCCTCGATGGGTGAATCTGATGGGTTGTCAGAGCTAGGTTCCTCTTCAGGGACGGAATCGTCGTCGAACTCCGGCTGGGCGGGCTCAGTGTCGACACCAGGGTTGCTGGTATCAAGTTTGAACTCCTGCACGGCAACGGCAGCGGTTCCGTCGTTGGGGTCCTCGTCAATAATCTCGGTAGTCTTCCAGAAGTCGCTCTCGGGGAACTTGATGGCCTGGCCATCGCCGACGTCGACTTGCAGTTCACTCTCTTGCCTCTTGCGGAAGACATCGATAGGGGCCATCAAACGATCGAGATCTTTAGATGGACCGGTGTAGGGCTGCTCATTGACGTTTCTGGATCCGGCGCCCGTCTGCGCGAAGAAGTTGTTCTCCTTCTCGCCAAAGAACCATGGGTTGCTGAGCTTGCCTACGACGCCCGAGAGCTGGTTGGCCTTGACACGGTCGTAGACGAGACGAGCATTGTCCGAGATCCCCTCGTAACCAACGACTAAGAGGTTGAAAGTCAGTCCTGCGTTTTTAATGCTTACTGAAATTTCATTGAGGAAGACTTACTGAGGGCCATGATGCCGGCTACCTGACCTGAAGACATGCTGCTACCCGTCCTCATCTGGGTCCGACCGTCGATAGCGAGAGAGACGATTTCACTTCCGGGAGCCCAGATGTCAACGAACTTGCCGTCACGACTGAACTAGTAACCCGATCCATGTTAGTTGCGCTATCCCGCTATTGTTTGAGAGGTTGAGAAAACTTACCCAGCCCTTGTTATAATCCTTGTCTACACCACCGACACAGATTGTGTTCTGAGACTCGCATAGAGTTCCAGTGGCCTTAGTCTTGTCATCGGCAGCCTTGTTGCCTCCGGCGACGGCGAATGGGATACCCGCGTCATATGCCCTGTCGATGGCCTTGTTGAGCACGTTGCTATTGGCGGTGAGGACAAAGGACATGTTGATGACCGATCCCTTCCACTTGTCCGGCTTGTTGGACTTGTTCTCGTTGTGCCGCTTCGTCACGGCGTTGATGGCATCAACGATACCGGCCGTGTGTCCCCTGCAGCCGCCACTGTAGCAGCCGACCTTGACACTGACGAGGTTGGACCAGGGAGCCACGCCTACGTAGCTACCGCCGGCCAGACCCGCGACGTGGGTGCCGTGGCCGTCGACGTCATCGAGGGGTGAATCTTCCCTGGTGTAGGGAGATTGGCCGAGGCCCTGCGAAAAATGATATGCTCGCCCGCCAAAAAATTTGTGCGTGATCTTGATGCCCGAGTCGAGGACGTACACATCCACGCCCTCGCCGGCGCCGTGCAGAACCTTGTACTTCTCGTCCTTGTTGCTGAGCGAAATCTTGTTGCCGGCAGCCAGCTGTTGCAAGTGGTGCGGTCCCATGCGCTCGTCAAATGCCCATTTGGGGACGAAGCGCTTGGTGAGACTCTGGCTCTCGAGCTCTACGGGCTCGGCCACCTCGGTGTCATTGATCGAGTGCGCCAGGTCGACGGTGACGCTGCGCTCGACGGACTTGACACCGGGGTCGTACCTGATAAAGTTGTGGACAAACTCCTCGGACAACGCGGCACGGTACATGTGCAACATGTCGAGGTAGCCGAAGCGGTGAACCTCGGGTTCGTGGCGGAGATCTTTGCCGATGGTCTTAAAGTGGTCCTCAAGTGTGTGGTCATCGTGGAACTCGACGATGTATTCGTCCAGAAGCTCGCCCTCGGGCTCGTAGTGCGGGCATGGTTGCTGGGAACGGGGGAGCACGGCGGCGGAGATGCTAGTGGCGAGCAACCCGAGCCCCGCGAGGCTCGCGAGACGAGAACCAAGAACCATGGCTTGTGATATTGCGTACTACAAGTGAAGAAAGAAAAGTCAATTGTTGAATGACAGAGGCCAGGCACAGCTAAAGAATGAGTAAACAATGGGTCTGGAACGAGAGAATGGCAAATGAATGACTGTAAACCTCCTGCTCAAGGCTTGGGGAACTGGTGGAACACGGAGTCATACAACGAGACTTTATATGACGGCTTGAAGGATCCCTCGGGGGTTACGGCGTCTACTCATTTGCATTGTATGCCCTTCCTTCGGGCTATGCTAAGAGGGGCTATGCTAAGAGTGCCTACGATGCTGCCGCTAGGTCGTCGACCTATCCAGCCTGTGCTTTAAGGTTGTTATTTTAATGCAGCAAGTAGATCTCGTCTAGAAATAGATAGGGCTGCGCCACTAGCCAAGGTAGGCCTATAGGGGAGAGAGTAGACGCAGGGCCCTGAAGAAGGATTCTAGGACGGAACAGGGCCGGAATCCTGCCTGTCATTTTAGTCAGCACTAGCAACATGAAACAATCCCAGAGGATCAACGTTCATTTCCCGCTAATTAGGAACATGATCAGATCCAACTGAGAACCCATGGGTAATTCGCGCGTCCTGCATATAGAAGACGAGGAAAAAACGTCACGGATACTGCAAATCGGTCGCATTTTGAAAAGGAGGAGGCAGTGTTCCATTTCTTCAGCTTTGATAAGATTGTAACAGAGTACATATGGAGCACCGTTTCTCAAGTTCGACACGTGACTGAACGTTGATAACGGTACGCTAAACGGTTTGATTAATGTCTCCGATATACAGGGCATGCTGCTATTATCGCTTGATTCTCTTGAACACATTTCTAAGCCACTCAAAGACGGGATCTAAGACCCAAAGTTACTTTTATACTTCTAACGATATACCCTATGTATCCCAAGTTCCAATATGCATTTTAGCCAGTTCGTTGGTGACGCAGATATGTATATGTGCCTAAATCTTGCTAGTGAATTGTATGTGACACCTCATTGGCCAATGTTGTGTTCGCTTATGCCCGAGATCGGTACCCTATACCTTCAATTTCGGAGACACAGGTTGTGAGATTCGGACATACTTGAACAGAGGACAAGAACGCTATGGAACATTAACAATCTGAAGACTGCTGTAGTTGAGGGGTTGTTAGAAACTGCTCCACTGTTGTAGTATAAAACAGAAACACCCACTCTTATGTGAACAATGAGTACTTAAGGGGAATTATCCTATCCTCAAATTAACACAACCACTTTCCTACTAAAGTGCTGCCAAACCATGCAACTATTACCCATGAGAAGCCTCATAAAGAATAGCATACTTGTCAAAAGGAAAATTTAGTTGAGGGTGCAATGAATTAATCATTCAGCTTTCTAGGGATCTCTCAGTTGCATAATATGCGGTTCATATTCTCGTGGCTCTTGTCTATATAGCCCTCAAAGTAAAGGATACACAGTGAGACAACAGTGAAGATGTTTTAAATTGATCAAAAAGTAGCCATCATAGCAATGCAAGTCAGAAACCGTGCCCTGGAATTCCAAGGCTGTATGAAATTCCCCGGATAAATTGACTCTACGAACTTCAATCAGGTGATATTCTCGAGAATCCAATCCGAGAAATTAGCGCCACTCTTCGGATCTTAGAGGTTAAGAATCTCTCTGGCTGTGAATTGTGACTTGCAGTAGAATCTGTTGTACCCATGAACAGTTTCTTTAACCAGTCCGAGGAAAATCTGATGTTCGCAATGATAGTCATTATTACTTGTAGTAATAGAGCAATCTCCGAGTTTTGTTCCATTAACTGTTCAAGCTAATCAGTAATGTCACATATCATCAAGACATGATTTACTTACGACTATACATCCCGTAGTTACGGTTTTTGTAGATAGCTGTTTTGGGGTAATTGTCAGTGTTTTCTTCTTTCTGAATGTCTTAAAGGGGTATGTAACTAACTCCAGTGATATGCCGGGTCTTTTTTGCGCAAATTCATCTCAAGCTGCTCGATGTCTCGCGTAGGGCCCACGGAATCGCATGCTCCCTTGCAACGAACGCCAGTGGATCTGCTTACGTCCGCCAAGGTGTCGAAAGCTTTACGTTCAAAAACTCCGGTGCAAGTGATTCGATCATTGAGATCCCAGACTTGCCATTGCTTGTCGGGAGCCCCTCCCGAAAATTTCCGTTCGATCATGAAGACATCAAAGTCGGCTTGAGCATGTGGCACAAATGCTGCCAGAAAGGCTGTGCCGAGAACACTGAATTTCATGATGTTTCCTTTTGATGGTGAAATTAGATGAAGAGATACTAGTGGGATGTGAGCTATGATAAGTGGCCACGTTTAGTCTATATATACCTTGAATTATGGCGTTGTGGATCGATCGGGTGACAACTGGATGTCTTTGACGAGTTGTGGATTTGATAGTTAAATGAGGTTTGGAGAGGAAGAAGTTGCTTCTGTCTGTATGGTTCGATAGGAGCTTCTTTTATAGCCGATATTATCTATAGAGTTCAGGCAGATGCTGCACAAGTCACTGTGGAAAAACTTAGTCTTGTGAGAACATTTGGTTTAGAGATTTATTAAAACTTTAATTTGCGCAAACAGATTAATCTTTGTTGAGAATAACCTTAAAAAAAACCGAGAAGACCTACGCAAAAGCTAAGAGATCAAGAAAACGAAACGGGATTGGGGGAAGAGTGATCTCCGCTAGATGTTGGCACCTCATCATTACCTTCCTAGAGAGGACCTTGCATCAGAAAGCTACAGGGAAGAAAGTTACCTCACGTCCGTGAAAGGTAACAAACCATAAGTCCTTCTACGTCCACTTTATGCCTGCTTTTGTCAGTACCGTCCAAAATGCCGCGGCGAATTTGACTTTTTCCGGTATCACATTCGCAAGGCTGGCTCAGCCCTAGTATATGCAGCCCAGAGAGGCAACTTGTCGACGGTCCAACTTTTACTGGATCTTGGGGCTGACACGAGTATCAAAGATGGGCTTGGAATGATAGCTCTGATGTGGGCAACTAAGAAGAGGTTTCGAGAAATTGAACAGGCACTTATCGCTTACAGTACAGGTGATATTTTCAGGTTGAGAGCTTAAGACAAAGGATTCCTGAAGCGCCATGCTTCTCATAGCGTCGGTTAACATTTCGCAATGGTATGGATCGGAGATTAGGACATTTTTCTATCGCTGTATATTCCTATCTCTTATCAAACAATTTTATGACGTAGTTCGTGACGTCTTAAGTGCGTGCTCATGATGGCTCTCATGTACCTGTCATAGCATGTCATACTGCATCTCAACTTTCATTCTGCACAGAATAGATTCCTTCCATAACAACAAACAATTCCAAAATGCCCAAAACAGTCGTCGTCAGTGGAGGTGCCCGAGGAATCGGTCGCACCATCGCACGTTACTTCCTCGAAAAAGACTACCACGTCTTCATCCTCGACATCGACGAGGAAGAACTCACTCACACAACACGCACACATCTCAAGTCCTACTACGACGCCAAAGCCGTCGACTCAGCGCTATGCAATCTTCGAAACACTGATGAGATTCACGACAAGATCCAACAGGCAGCTGAGTTTCTCGGCGGGAGGATCGATGTGCTTGTCAACAACGGCGGCATCGCAGCCCCACATTGGAAAGATGGCAAGACGATGCTTGATCGCGAGACGTTGGATGAGTGGAGGGCGTATATAGACACGAACCTCACGGCGCCTTTTGCCGTCTCACAGGCTTGTTTGCCGTTTATGAAGAATGAGAAGGATACGGGTCCTGTGACGGAGGATAGTCACAGCACAGCTGGGCCATGTATCATTAATGTTGGATCATTCCGTGCGAAGCAAAGTGATCCGAATCAGGAAGGGTATGCATCTGCCAAAGCTGGGCTGTTGGGTCTTACACATAGTATGGCTGTCAGTCTGCAGCCGTACGGTATTCGTGTAAACTTGGTAGCCCCTGGACGGATCAAGGCTACACATGAGTCAAAGGAGGGGGATGAGAATGGTGTTGAGTGGGCGCATCTGAACGAGGATAAGGATGTCGAGGATCATCTTAGCAATCGCGCTGGAAGACCTTTGGATATCGCACAGGCTGTTGAGTACATGGTCAACGCAGGATTTGTCACTGGCCAAGATCTTATTGTTGATGGCGGTGCAGTCATGATCAAGTAGATCCCAACATTACTTCACAAATCATTCACGAAAAAAGCAATCAAAAGGCACAAGTTTGTTGATCAGATTCATTCATATTCGTATTATACTCATATTCGAGCATTAAAGTTACAATAATAGTGTTGAGTGGAGTTGTGACTACACATGTAGTCATGGGTATAGATAGCTCTCTCAGAGCTCATTAGTCGGTTAAATAATAATAATAATAATCGTCAGGCATCATCCCGACGTTAGAGTGGAGTGGTTGTTGTTGTTGTTGTTCATAGATCAAGAAAGTATGTCGTCTCTCATGATCTCCCAGTAAATAAAAAACGCCGTTCATGTCATGTTTAGTGGACTGGTTTCCTTTCCTTTAGTCGACGCCGCTGTCGCTGTCTGAACTGTCACTGTCGTCATCAGACTCGGGGGCAACTGGCTTGCGGGCTGGTGCTGGCGGCGGTGCGGGTGCTGTAGAGAATCGCATGGGTCCAAGGCCTGGACCGAGACGGGCTCCGGCGCCGGGCCACTTGTTGGGACTGAGGATAGCAGGCTTGGCTCTGTATAATTGTCAGTGATGGTCTTGTAGAGACTTGGAGGGTGTACTCACGCTTGCTCTTCGATAGCAGCCTCCTGCCTCTTCTGGTCTTCCTTCTGTTGCTTGCGGTATACACGTCGAGCTTCCTTCTCCTTGCGCTCAGCAGCGCGCTTCTCTCGCTCAAGGGCCTTCTCTTCAGCACGCTTCTTGGCCTCGGCGATCTTGCGCTCCCTGATCATGTCGTCGGCCTTCTTCTTCTCATCAAGCTTGCGCTTCTCTTCAGCGCGTCGTCGCTCCTCCATCTTCCTCTCCTCTTCGAGACGTCGTTCTTCCTCAAGTCTCTCCTCCTCCTCCAATCTTAGACGTTCTCGCTCCTCGGCCTTGCGCTTGCTCTCAGCGCGCTTCTTCTTCTCTTCAAGACGTCGCTTCTCTTCAATCAACCTCTTCTTCTCTTCGAGGCGCTTCTTCTCCTCAGCCTTCTTTTCTTCGAGTCTGTTCTTCTCTTCGGCCTTTCTCCTCTCACGTTCAATAGCCTTTTCCTCAGCGCGTTTTCTCTCTTCGACCTTCTTGATCTCTTCCATCCTCTCCCTCTCACGTTCTTTCTCCATTTCTTCAACCCGCTTCCTCTCCTCGGCCTTTCTCTTGTCTTCCAACCTCTGTCTCTCGCGCTCATTCTCCTTTTCGCGTTCTCGTTCCATGGCACGTCCTTCTTGCCGTTGTCGTTCCTTCTCTTCCATCTTCAACCTCTCCTTCTCGGGGTCGGAACTCCTGCTCTTGGATGACACTCGTGTAGGGTCGGCTTCCCTTCGTCGATGTTTTCGACTTTCACTCTCCATTTGGCTGAGGTTCTGACTGTGGCTCTGACTGTGGCGTCTCTCTCTACGCCTCTCCTCACGTCTCTCGTTGGGGTCCGCACTTCTCGTGTAAGCACGTTCCTTTACCACATGATCCACGTCCACAGGCTTCACAGGAGTGGAAGTCTTGCGTTCACTGTGAAGTCGTCGACGCTCTGCTCGCCGGGCCTCTCGTTCCACCTCGTCGTCAACCAATCGGGGAGTCTCCTGCCGTGAAACGCGTGAAGGCTCACGGCTGCTCTTGTGATGTCGCTTTTCACTGTCGACGCGCGAAGATCTCCTTTCCTTCTCACCAACGTCATACTCGCGATGTCGGATCGAGTAAGAAGTTGAGTGTCTCTTTTCCATGGGAGGACGTTCTCTCTCAGCACGACGTCGTTCTCTGGCCTTTTCGTAATCGTCATCGCTGCGACCACCAAGTTTTCTTGAGAGCCGACGAGCCTCCTTGTCATCGCTTCTGTCTTCCTTCTCCTCACCCTCACGTCGCTTGGATCGTTTCTGACGCGCACTGGGACTACCTTCTCGACTTCTCTCTCGAGTATCTCGAGTATGGCGTTCCCGTTCCCGTTCAACGCGACCACGCTCCTCATGCTCCTTGTGTCGACGACGACGTTCTGACCTCCGAGCATCTCGCTCATCAACGGGCTCTGGGTCAGATCGGTGACGTCTCACTTTCTTCTCACGTAGAGGTTCCTCCGGTTGCTCGGGGACAACACCTTTGTCCCTGCTAAGCCATGACCGCCATGAGGATTGACGCTTTTCTGGGACAGGCCTCTCTACAATAGGCCTGTCCGTAAGCGGTCTACCCAACGTGGGCCTGGTGAAGACAGGCCTGGGGTCGTCGACCTTGTAAGGAGGAGGAGGGGCGATAAAGTCAACAGTGTTTTGAGATACTTCGCTCTCAGACTCTTCGTCAGTAAAGACTTCCCAGTCGGACACGTCACGAACGACGGGCTCTGGAACTTTGGCAGTTGTTGCTACCCCTGGTACTTTGACTCGGCTGTGTAGAGGCATATCCTGACTCTAACGTGAACCGAAGCTATCCATTGAAAAGCAAGTATTAGTCAATGATACGATCAATGGCGGGGTTATTTTGTTTATTACCTAGGCAACCCAAAGGACGAACGATGTATAAGTGTGTGCAAAGATGAAAGATTTCAAGGGGCTTGATGCCTGCTTGAAGTTTTGGTCTGGTCACTCACTGACGCGACACGACAAGGGAAGGGCCGGAGATTACTGGTCAGCCACGTGGGGCAAGTTTTCTGCAAGGGTCTATGTAAATATATTGGTTCGCCACTAATTTCCTGGCGTTCCAACGGCGCGTGACGCGAAGAATTCCGTCCTATAAGTGTTTTTGTTTGTTTTGTTTTGTCTGTGCTTGTGAGTGAGACCAAAGGAAATTGTGATATCCAGAGATCAGTTACTCTGAGTTGCCAATTCAACTTGGTAGTGCTGCCGGTAGCTTCAAATAATAGACTTTCAGGAAGAGCGGTGAGCATAAACAAGTCATGGGGTATACCAAAGGTGTGGCTAGATTGGTCATGAGGGAACAGAGAGAGAAAAGATGGATGGTTATCTCTGTGGCGGGGGAGGAGAGAGAGAGAGGGAAGAAACGGGAGGGATGGGAGGGAGGAATGTGGCTGGGGAAATTGCGCAATTAAACTTGTCTAACAGCCCAGACAATGATGACGATAACGATAGCAATCCGGATAGACACTGTCTTTTGTTCTTTTTTCTTTCTTTCTTGGCTTTGTCTTTCTGACCTGATTCTCAAGGTTGAAAAGGAAGTGAAAACAACATCGTGAGATTGCTAGTTAGTTATATATTCCAACACCAACTGGAGTCTCTGATGGGTCTTCATGACTCACACTGGGGTCATGTGTTAGTGAAGTTTTGGGGTCATGCAAATGTACCTGTACGTGTCAAGCCAAGCGTATTTTCAAGCCACCATCATGATCTACGATAGGCTAACAGATCTCGCTTGAGTTTAGAGAGTGGACCTTCGGCAACAAACGGTCAAGCCTGATATTGTCCCGATCAACCCCGACGACGCCGAGGTAAATCGTTGTATCCAGTAACTTGTTTCATGTCGAAATATCCCTCATACTTTGGTCCCTTTCAATGACGATGACTTCTTGACTGAGACAATCAATTAAACAAGAAATCATGAGCTCAAAACTTGGTCACGAGATGAATCATGTTGAAACTTGATCTGGTCATTTTTCCATCTGTAGGAAGGCAATGCATTGCTACCTTGCCAACTTAGAATAGTTAAGCGTTGACAACGTTTATGCATGTTGCACAGACCATTATGCAGCTCTTATGCAGAGTATGCAAGCACTCTACCAATTCAAGGATCATTTTCATAGACCATTGCTTCCAACTGTTCCAATTCGCTGTTGACCAAAAACCATGAACACAATAATGGATACACCGACAGTAGCTCAATGCACGTCGTGTTCTTAGCCAGTTTTGTTTGAGACTGAGTGGAGGAACAATTCGTGTCGTCGAGGCTGCGCTTTTAAACTGTGGCACCTCACATCACGAGGTTGTTGACTGCTTCCTACCACAGTAAGCACAAGGACGTACACCGATACTGATTTTCACAATTGTAAATTGTAAACACATAATTATATCTGATTGGAACATGATGGAAAAGTCTCCAAACTCGACAATGGCGTTACCGAGTCAAGGTCACTCCATTTGACGACAAGTTGTGGAAAAGATCCCCGGCTACAGGGTAATTTCTTATCGATAAAACCTGCCGATAAAGAGCTCAGATAAGAGGCGCCAATTTCGCGTCATAGTTATAGATAATCCATCACAGCATCAACGATGAACATCCTCATAACCACGAGTAGATGCCACGCCCATCTGTTCACAATCATCATGCACAATGAAATGTCTTGTTAACTTGGAACCAAAAACTGAACATGAGGCGCTAGGCCTAAGAACTGTATATATACTCTGTGAGTAGAAATAGATATCTAGAAGTGCAAGTAATTACAAGCTATTTAAGGCTGAGTAGCCTCATCCTCGACGTAAGCGTGCATTTGACGGCGAACGCGGCTGTGGCTGAGGCACTGCGAGTAGTACTCGTTGACCTTCTTGCAAGAGCTTCCAGCTGCACACTTGGTGGATCCGGTAAAGTTGGCACCACCACACTGGCCATACATCTGCACAGTAGAGGAGCCGCTGGAAGACTCCTTGGTAGGTGTGTCCTCGGCGGTAGTAGTGGGCTTGGGCTCAGCCTTGACAGTAGGCTCAGGCTCTTCATCGCAATCAGCGACAGGGGTGGCAGCCTGGGTTTGCTTGGGAGTAGCAGGCTTGGAAGCGTACTCAGAGTCATAGTTAGGCTCCTCGTCACAATCAGCCTGAGCAACGGATGACTCCTCCTCCTTGGGGGCAACAGCAGCAGCCTGGCTAACGACAGGCTTGGACTCAGACTCGGAGTACTCAGGCTCCTCGTCACAGTCGGCAACAACAGTGGGTACAGGGGCCTGGGTAGCGGGCTCCTCATCACAATCCTGCTCAGCAGCAATAGGTGCGGATTGCTCATAGTCGTCCTGAGGAGCGGCCTCTTGGCTGGGGGCGGACTCGGGAGTAGACTCGGGGGTGGTCTCAGAAGCAATAGGAGTAGTCTCGGCAACCTCATCGGAACCGGAACCAGAACCAGAGCCGGAGGCGGGAGCAGAGACAGAACCAACACCAGCGGGTCCAGCCTTTCCAGAAACAAGAGCGACAACCTCGCTGGCGGAAACAGGAGTGATAATGTTATCCTTGTTCTGGCCAACAGCGTTGAGACCGCTCTCACCCTTCATGACGGGAAGGTCGCCACTGGAAGTAACAGAGTTGGGCTCACAAGCACGGCCAAGGACAGACTGGCAAGCAGCAGCGGCGCTCTCATCAGGGATGAACAGAGTGTTGACACCAGCAGCCTCCTTAGTAATAGGCTGGTCGACACCATCAAAGACGTTACCCTCGATGATAGCGTTGGCTCCCTGGTAAGCGTCGAAAGCGTGGCCCTTCATGTTCTGGAAGTAGTTGTTGGTAGCGTGGAAGTAACCGTTGGTGCCAGGCTCACCGAGCTTGGGGGCTCGGCCAGCGACGTCGTGGAAGTGGTTGCGGTCAAGAGTGACCTGGTCACCCTCACCGTAGAACATCATTGTCCAGTAGTGGTTGCCGTTGCAAGAAGCAGAAGTGTCGGTGACACCGTCGAACTCGGAGTTGGAGATGGTGAGGCGGGAGCCGTCGTAGTGGCTGACAATGAACATGCGGCCAACCTTGGAGAACTTGCAGTGATCGATCCAGACACCATCGTTCTCTCCCTTGAGCTCCAAAGCATCTCCTCCCCAGACAATACCAGGGTTGAGGTTGGTGATCTCAATACCCTGAACAATAACGTTTTTGGAACCCTTCTTGATGGAGAGACCCTTTCCGTTCAGGACAGCCTTGCCGTTACCGATGATACTCTTGTTGCTTCCAACGGGAAGAGGCTCAGGGCCAGCGGCATCGTAAGTGATGGAGCTCACAGCAACGTTGTCCTCGCCACCGCAAGAGAGATCACCGAGGTAGAGCTGGCCGCCGTTGGAAGCGCTGCAGCTCTTGCGGTCACATCCGGGGCCAGTCTTGGTCTGACCAGTAAAGTCGAACTCTTTGTCAATGTAAATGACACGAGGAGTATCATCAGCAAGAAGCTCAGCGAGCTCCTCAGCGGTAGCAGGCGTAACAGCCTCGCCCTCACCACCAGTAACACCAGCAGCGAAACCGTACGCCTTTCCAGCGACGGATTGAGCAGAAGCAGTAGCAGCAGCAGCCAAGATGGCCGCGAAAGAAGCTTGAAAGCGCATATTTTTCAGAAGTTCAAAAAAGAATGTGAATATAAGCCGAAGAGATAAAAATGAATGACTTAGGCCGGCCTAAGATAAAACGAATGAATGAAAAGGTTCAAGGACCTTTACGAAAGAATGAACGAGAGAGTGAAAAAAGAGCAAACAGCACTTGAGGAGAAAAGAGAGGGAAACAAAAAAGTGTCGAGACGAGATGAATTGTTCTTATAGCTGGGGTTGATTGTGATGGGGAAAATAAGCTAGCTGGACTAGGGTGGTGGAATGAGTTGAATGTCCGACGTGAAGTGTCTCAAGCCCATGTTCTGACAGCTTAAACGGTTAGCCGCCAAGGTCGTTGTGAAACTGGGACACGGAAAATTATGCTTATTTTGATTTCGCCAAGGAATGAAGATTTAGGCGATCAAGTTTCGTTTGCAAACGAGATTGATAGTGACCTTGCTAAGAACAAATGTGAAACTGCCACAGAGGCTGCGCGACGATAGTAACGCGGCTTTAGAGCGCAGAGCAAACATATCCATTGGCAATACTTCAGTCATTCTTTCCCATAGATTGTGCTGGCAACAACTCCCCATCTCGTAAGGCGCTTAGCTATACGCGTATAATGCCCAATCCTAGCCGCTTACGGAAAACGGAGCCATACCCGTAAAGTAATACCCGTTGTGGACTCTTCTCCAGGGGATTTCGGTGCGTTTCAGGTAACAAGGGCACAGCAAAAGTCTTCACCTGAATGGTGGAGGAAATATGGATGTTTTGTTTGACAGGTGAAAACATACCAGCTGTACGGCGAACCCTTGTCAAGAATTGGGCCAATGTGGCCCACAGCTCTCCTTTCTTTTGCCCAGAGTAGAAGGGTGTGAGCAGAAATAGAAAGACTTTGGGAATTTGTGTGGATTTGCGGACATTAACCATCGGTTCGGAGTTCGAGCTTTGATAAGATTGACGCAGGGTTGTTGAACTTGAGGTTACTTATCACTTTTTTTTGGATCAATTTTATGTTGATCGCTGTAATAGCGCAGGGTTTGACATGTATATTCCCATGGAAATAGGACATCGCCTCAAATGATATCGAGCTGACCGTATGGAGTCATGCGTATGGGTGCTAAGATAGTTGTCAGCACTCAAGAAACGCTTGATGAGTGCGATCAGCTCACCTCAAAGCATCGCTGCTTCAAGGTTTTGCACATTCCCCAGCATGTAATCAGAACCAAAAGTGCTCTCCAGAGTTAATCGATGTCCACAGTGACGTGTGATAAAAGGGAAGTTTGGTGTTTTTACACGTGAAGCAGTGCCAAAAGTCATGGTTGGCTGCAAAATTCGGCAATGAACAACTTTACTGACAGGAGATGATTCGGAAAGCTCATGGTATGCATCAATTAATAGTAATATCTGTGTTTGGTACAAGGCGAAACGGGATGAAGTAGACGACGCTTTGAATGAGGATCTAGTGGCTATTGGAGAACTTGTTGAAGTCGATAAGCATGGAGCAGAGCATTGGCATTATTTTGCAGACAGGTAGACATCGAATGAGTAGTAACAATAAAGGTTTGAGTTCGATTCAGTTGTAGCTAGGAAAGAGCACAGAAGAGCTTGTCCCTCTTCACTTGTGAATGTACTTAGATCGCCCCTTGCGCCCAGAATACACCACGACCATTTGTACCAACATACACCAATCCAGCTTCGTTTCCACTACCAGCCAACCTCGCACCATCAACAGCTCCAAAGCCCATAGACCCTTGGAGATCAGTCCACGTCTTTGCCATATCAGAGCTACCGTATAGCTTTCGTCCAGCAGATCCTGTACCGAAAGCATACACGTTCCACGTGCTTCCAGAACCGCGACCAAGAGCAATCTGCTCCGTCTTGGTCAAGGAAGACTCAATCTTGGAGAAGGATTCGCCAAAGTTGGTACTGCGGAAAATACCGACGTCGGTAGAAACCCAGACTTCTCCTGCCTTTGTTGGATGCGCTGCGATATCGCGAATAGATTGTGCAGAGCCTAGGGATCCGGCTTTGGAAAAGGTTGATGCCGTGTTGTTGGAGACGTAGAATGTTGATCCTGAGGCGCCGTAGAAGAAGTCATTGTCGCGCTTGTCGCTGGCGATGATCGATCCAGAAGGAAGGCTGGACACGGAGGAGAAGGAGGCTTCTTTCGCAGATCTCAACACGCCCTTCTTCTCGGTTGACCAGAGAACGACGTCTCCGTCTGCAGAGTAAGCAACTGAGCCACCAGCCTGACCAGTGGCAGTACCACTATGAGCCTTCCATGATTTACCTCCGTCTGTAGATAAGGCGGCTTGAGGTGCTTCACCCTCTGTGTTACCCGCTCGCACAACGTTGCCGACCTTGTTTCCAGCGTAGTCAACGCTGACCGAGCTTGTGAACATGGGGTTATCCCAAGCTGACTGAGGTGCTTTGTTCAGCACACCTTTGTTAGCAAAAGTGAAACCACTGTCGTCACCTACACCGGCGAGAAGCTCACTACCGCCGGGTGCAGACTTGACATCCAGCACAGCGAATTCCTCAATACCATCTGCCAAAGACTCAATGGTGACGTTGTGCTCAGTATCCCACTTGGTAAGATCATGCCCACCATAGACTGTAAGACCAGTAGCATACAGCCAGTGGTTGCTATCAAAAGGATCAATAGTCAAAGCCTCAACCATCCATCCCAAGCGCTTGGTGTCGACAGAGATAAAATTCTTGTAGATCCAAGGCGCCTTTGGTGTGGAGATGCTGTAGTGGTAGTCGAGATTACCCTGTGCATTGTAGTTCCAAATCGTGGACCATGTTTTGCCCGAGTCTGTGGATCGGAAGAATTGAACGTCGGGGTACCAGGAGTTCAGCGCGGCGACCATAAGAGTTCCAGGCTTCTTCTTGTCAAGAGCCAAACCGCCGAAGCCATGGTAGATGTTTCCAGGTGGAGTAATGTCCTTCCATGTGTCTGCAGCAATGTCGTAGCGGTAGACCGCACCAGAGCTACCATCATAAGGTCCCGATCCATCGCTGTAGGACAGATAAAGTGCCTTTTCCTTCGCCTCGAACTGGCATTTGTGAGGAAGAAATTCCTTAGGCTGACCAGCAACTGGCTTCCACGTTTTACCAGCATCGGTAGTAACGTAGACAGAAGCAGTTTTCTTGTCTGCTACACCGACAAAGATTCTTGACGTGGCGCCGTTGATCAGGGAAGAAGTGGAGTCGAAAGTGACAAAAGCCAATCCTTGAATGTCGCTGTTGTATCCAGATCCATCACTGGGGTCAGGGATGTAAGTGCCCACATTGGTGAAGGAAGTGACTTTGGAGAAACTCTTGCCAGCGTCTGTGCTCCTCCAAAGACCGTTGCCGCTGCGGGCACCAAAGTAAATGATATTGGAGTTCTTGGGGTCAACGGCGAGTCGCTCACCCATTCCGCGACCAGGCATGTTGCCACCGACTTTGAAGGGGAGTTCGGTGAAGGACCATGTTGCGCCTTTGTCGTTGCTGATACCGATGGCTCCATTGTTTGGGTCCCTGTATCTACCATTAAAGTATGTCAAATTAGTGAGCAGGCTCGCTTACCAGTTGCTTGTATACATGCCAACTGCTGTGAGAACCTTGTTCGGATTGTTAGCATCCAAAGCCACGGCATCGATGCCCCAGCGGTTCCTATGCGATGTTAGCCATTGAGAAGACGGAAGTGTATTAAAAGGCTTACCATGTCGAGTCCGTAGCAGTGTTATCAGTTATAGGAGTCCAGGAGTCATCCGGGTTGAGACGATACAGTCCTCCAATATCTGTCCTGGCATAAGCGACGCCCTTGGCATTAGGGTGGAACTCAATGCCGGGCACAAAGCCACCACCGCCGCCCATGCGAACATTCTGCCATTTCAGGGCAGCTTGGACAACACTCGCCGAAGCGAAAAGAAGAGAAAGCAGCTTCATGATGCTGATATGTACAAACGGATCATGCACATAGAAAGGTGCTATATTTCTCCTGTATTATTATCGCCTTTTATATATGGATGCCTCGACTAAATCCTAATGGTTGTGAACTTATGATCAAGAGGTCATTTGCACCTTCGGATATTAAACCTCCGTGCCGAAATAGGAACAAAGCAGGGGTCTTCAGAATTCAACACCTGCTTATAGTCATTGAAGACTGAAGGTTTACGGAGATCATTGACTTTGAACAGTTTGGGCAACGGACATGTCGAATACATTTTTCCACCTACCAGTTAGAGCTAAACGTCCAATTTGAGAAGGTTGTGGTCATTCAGGTGATTCGGTTGGACGGGCCGTTATATATGGCGCCACTCCTCAGCTATGCCACATCGGTATTTCTTTTCAGGCTGAAGGCATTGGGGTAGAAACTTTGTGAGCGAGTTACAGAAAATCTTGGATTGATGAAGGAACACTTTATGTAAGGCACAGAATGCTGCATAACGGCCTGCAGATCTATTAATAGAATACACGTGAAACATCTGAATTGATATGATGTCTCGGTATGCTGCCAATTGGTCACTCACGATTCCTTTTCTGTTCCGTCATTCAAAACTCTGGTTGGGCAATTCATCAGCCATGAACAGAAACCACAAGTAAAGGAACTCATAACGAGGCGAAAATATTGCTCAAATATTCATTACTCACTGAAAAAGTTGAATTAAATTCTTCACAGTTCGCAGGTATCGCGTATGCCAATTTTGCGTTTCAATAGACGGTTTCTACCATAACAGAATTAAACAGGGTTGGCTGTAAGCGATTTAACCTTGACATCTCCCAGGGACAATACTGGAGCGTCTTGAGATTAGAAAGGATCAGCCACTGATTGAAGTACCTGGAATGATATCAAAAGTCCCTAGTAGTACTACCATGACGTTGCGGGTAGTGGAGGTCAATTTTGAACAACGTGTCGATCATCAATGATGATTGATATCCTGATCGAATCGATTACTCGATAAGGCGCAAAGCACAGTGTCACAATTAACTGAGGATGGCAGACGCCAATTACAGAATAATGTGTTGATCATCAACGACGAATCATGCCGTGATCGAATCGATAACCCGATATGGATATACGTGAGAAATTGGTGCCAGATCAATAATTGGAGGGCGCCTGATGCATTTGTAATCTGGCCTAATTAAACAAGACCTTTTTCTTACGCGTCTCTTGTAAATAAAAGGGCGTCGTTCATATCGATCGGATCACGGCAACAATATTGAAACGGCTATAGGCTGTTTATTCGCATCTCCAAAGGCATTGCTTATCGATGCGCTTATCTAAACGCACGATAAGGCTGACTTGTCATCCTTCAGCAAGGATTAGCATGATTTTTAGAATCCTTCGCCCCAAAGAAAATAAAGTTCAGTGGAGCTGACAGGAGGCTGTGATGTCAAGATGGACGTCGATTCGTCAATTCATCTACTACCCATGTAAGATGATTGACTATAGAGGACTCCAAAGACGTCAAGAGAATAGGATCAATGTTGATATAAATTGATGAATTATCTATAAGAGCAACGACTCTCAGCATGTTTGTATCTGCATCATCTTCCCATCAATCACTCCCATTCCATAAACAACAGACTTCACGATGAGGATCTCACCACTTGCAGTCATCTGCACCCTTCTCAACTTTTCCTCGGCAGCACCAGCTACCGACCATGATGCACAAAGCTCACTTTCATTCGCCTACATGGTAAGCATCAAAATTTACTTCGTGATGCCTCAATTGGTTAACAGGCATAGTACGGCTTCCCGCTTTACTCGTTCGGAGACGTAGCAAGGCCTTTGCTTGCCGCAGGAATCCCACTGAAGCCCAACTTCATCCTCCCCTCACCAAAGCCAAATGAACCTGGTGCCGTTGGCGTCGTGCGACCCAATGCTGATACCATGTATTCCATCATGTTCATCGACTTGTCAACCAGTGATCTTCGAGTCACTATCCCCGAGATTCCCGAGGGTCGATACTGGGTCTTTCCCTTTACCTCACCGTAAGTCAACATAACTTATCATCAAGCCATCGTCTTTCTTACCGTTTCGCAGTTATGGCGATGACTTGGTCAACCTTGGCAATCTCGACGGCAGCAAGCCCGGCGACTACCTCGTCAAGTACAACTCCAAGAGCTACGGCCTAGACACCGACAATGTACCAGAAGGCTATGTTGGCGTCGTCAATTTCCCCATGCCATACGGACTCGTCAGTTCCAGAATCGTCACCGACCGCACAGATGAAGATGTCGCCATTGTCAACAAGCTTCAAAAGGGCTTCCGCGTTCGTCCAGTCCCTAGATCTTCATGCAAGCCTGCTGCTCCAGCACTCGACCTCTCCATGTTTGCCAAGCCCGAGTACACAGCCGGGAACCAATCACTTTACCAAGCAGTCATGAACACTGCTGCAGCCCTCACCCCACACCTTCCTCCCTACATTGTCGACGATCGCAAGTCTGTCGCCAAGGATCTCAAGAAGGCTGGCTTCAAGGACGGAAAGTTCATTCAACCACCCGGTACGAACTTGACCGCCGCGGTGCAACTTGCCAACTCGGTTTCAAAGTCCTTTGCTTCTCGACCAGATGTATCAAAGGATGTCGGTAACGGCTGGTCTCTCATTGCCGATCGATACATTGGCCGATTCGACTCCTACTACAACATGCGATACGAGATTGCCGTCACTGCCTACCTTGCACTGACGCAATCAGAATGCGCTTACCCATCGTATGGGTCATTTGACGAGACGATCTCCGTCAAAGAGGGCGAATCTATTGTCTGGACATTCAGTGCACCCCCGAAGATTCGAGAGGGTGGTTTTTGGAGTCTTACCGCTTATGGACCTAACCAGGATCTCATTCCCAACGAGCAGGACAAGTATATGGTCGGAGACAGAAGTAACTTGACTTTCCCTGATGGAACTTCGATTGCAAATGGTGGTGAAGGGTTTTTCCAGGTTTTGCTTCAGGATTCTGATGTCGCGCCTCCCTCGAACTGGACCAACAAGTAAGTAATCATCTCTTGTGAAAGAACGAGTTGCTAACAAGCATAACAGCTGGCTACCTATCACTCCTGGAGGTGGAGATATCTCAATTACTAGTAAGTTCACCGCTCTTCAGATGGTTCGAATAGTTTGCTGACTTGATTGTCTTAGTGCGATGGTATGGCGCCGAGGAGGAGATGGTGGACGGGACTTATGTTTATCCCAAGATGGATCTTGTCGATGCTATCACACAATGATGATATGGGCTGCCCTCCAATTTATTTAATGCTTTTTTTTTCTTCTACGAACAATTGTTCCGGTTATCAGCGGAGGCACAGAAAGTCAGCAAACTGTATTGCCACTTCTGTTAGGTCTTACTGTATCTGAATCTGAATTGACTTTTTCCTTTTACTCTTCATGAATGTCCGAATTCTCCAATTTTAGTATCGTCAGCAGTGAGGATGAGGTCAAAAAGTTTAGAACTTTGTATATACACCGCTGTTTCTATTGATAGCACTAATTGAAAGTTCTCGGCATCTGCTAACCTCAATACGCCCGTTTCTGACGTCAAATCATCCATTTCGGCATTTCAATACGATGCATCGTATAACATCTAGCCTAAAGTCAACCATCTGACCATCAGCTAGCTGTACATAGTATAATACGAGAAGTTCAAAAACAGCCAAATACGAACTGCAAAAGAACTCAATCCCTGCATCCAACCAATCAGACTAGCCACGTTCTCAACAAGGGAAGTCAATTACGAGCAGTTCAAGCCCAGCTGATCTGATAGTTCCAATTTTGAGCGGTCCGAACCGCAAAGATACCCCACCTCTTGAACGGCTAGAACGCTCCAAATAGCACGAGGCGTTGCAGCTTTCATTGCGGGGTGAGCTTGCCAATACGAGTTTATTGTCGGATGAATCGGCTTTCACTGGAATGTAAGATGCATGAGAAGAGGGGATAAATAGACAGTGAAGTCCTCGCCATTTCTCAATCTTCACACACAAATCCAAACTACAATCTCAAAGACAATCAACATGCAGCTGACCAACCTCTTCTGTCTCGCCAGTGTCCTGACATCCGTGTCAGCAGTGACCGGTAAATAAATCTCCTCTCTCAATACAACCCAATCCTCTAACACTTGACCAGTATCCTACGATCCAGGCTATGGAGAAGCTGGTCGTGCCATGACATCCGTCGCCTGCTCCGACGGTTCAAACGGTCTCATCACACGCTACAAGTGGCAGACTCAAGGCCAGATTCCCAAGTTCCCCTACATCGGCGGCGCGCAGGCCATCGCTGGATGGAACTCCAAGAGCTGTGGTACATGCTGGAAGCTTACCTACAAGGGCAAGAGCATCAATGTCTTGGCCATTGACCATACGGATGCTGGCTTCAACATTTCTCCTGCGGCGATGAATGCTCTTACCAACAACCAGGCTGTTAAGCTTGGCCGGGTTGATGCGACTGCTACTCAGGTAGCTGTTACCAACTGTGGTTTGAAGAAGTAGATGTTTGGGAGAAGGTCGGTCATTGAATCGGATGAAGCTTCAGGAATAACGAGATGGGATGAGATATGATTCAGGATTTTAATGTTTAGTAGTATTCGTTAATTCTTACTACTGTTATGTTCTTCAATTTGTTCTGTTCATTGTGCCATGTGAGCTTGTTCCGTGATGAAAAGAATGAATTGACGGCATAAAGTTAATTTCTTTCTCATTGCTTCTCGCATTAACTTGTGCGACAGTTTATTCCGATTTCGATTCATCGAGAATGACGTATCACAAGACGGAAAGTAAGAGACATAACCATACAGCTGCTGACACATTTCATGCGCCATGGAATAATTAATGCACGAAAACCCAACTCCCGTGGCCAAAGATTACTTTTTCTCCCGGTTCTTGTTTGCGTGACTTCATTAGTCGCCAAGTTTTCACAGCTGAAGCATGACGCGCTGAAGCTATATCTCATTGTTGTATAGGTTGGTTGTGTGTTTCATATTTCAATTTGCAAAGCTTGACACTTCAGTATTGAAAAAGAAACGATGACCACGTCACTGGATGAGCGTTGGTAGGCAGAGCTTAAAAATAAGAAAATTTAATTTATGACGATATATGGCTTTTGTTATACATGATTTCTTTGGTAGCATAATAACAGTGATGTTATCTTTCATCATACCACAAATTAAGATGAGTACCTGTTACTGAAGCACATATCAAACATTTTAGTGACTAAAAAGATGACAGGCTAGAGCAAGTTGTTCAATGATGATGTAGTTCGAAAATGTTCTTGAAAGCATTCGTTCCTGGATATCAGTGAGGGTAGTCCGCTGAAAAAGAAAGAGAGGTAATACAAATAGTATTGGTTGATGGACATTGCTTCATGATTTCTGACCGGTTTCTTGCACTTGGGGGCTCAGGGATTTATTGTGCTGGTATCCGAGTGTTTGTGAGTTGTTTGGACAGTTCGGACGATCGATCTATAACTAAGCCACACTGACATATAGCTGGTAGGATGAAAAAGGATTCACCATGACGTTATGAGACCATGCTAATAACTAGGTGCATTGGATCCTCACACTCCTTGTAAGCATGTCAGTCGTTTCAGTATGTACGTGAATGTCACTCCATAACCTGTGAGTTATGGACACGCGAGTAATTGGCATAGTTGGAGATGCACTTTCATAAAGATACTGATCATGAATGAATTCCCGGCAGTATCACCCGAATCCAGGTTCCATCGCAACATAAAATTCAGCCACCTGCTCATTCAGGCCAGAGCTCATTAAACGTGCAGCAAGTCATTCGGCCTTATTTCCATCGCGACCGTACATTGCCATGCAGGGGCCGTAAGCCACATGCAAAAGTCACAAGGCCCCCCGAAACTGCGAAACAACTGGTCCACTTGCCTCAAGGATCACGGCCTAAAATAGGGCCCCTCCCCCCTCTTCGCTTGGAGAGATACATCATCCTTGCACCGGAAACACTACCACTCACAAAGTACCGATTGGCACAAGTTTGTTTCCGACGTTGCACTGATCAACTTTACACTACCGCCATGGTTGACTGACCTGAGAAACGACCCTGTTTACTTACTCTTTTGGCCACTACGCGCGCTGCCCTGAACCGCGCATAATGCAGCATCGGGGAGGCCAAGCTGACTTACAGTGGTCCACCTTCCTGGTCTCATCTTGTGCTGTCATGCGTTGGCATTAACTCACATTCGTCGGGGAGTGTCGGTTTGATGCCGAACGATTGATATGATGTGAATCAACTGTTATACAGCTGTAGCAGTGAATGAGGATCTGTATGTTAAGGTATATAAAGGATGGAGAGGTCTTGTTTCGTTTGTAGATCTTGCTGTATCAATATCAATTTTGTTCATAATCACAACACAATGCGTCCTTATACAACACTTCGTTTGCTTGGAATAACCCTCTTGGCGACTCTTGTGAGTGCTCAAGCTCCTGCACCAGCAGGTTGGCCAAACTTCTGGTTCAAAGGGCATGTTACAAACAAGGAAACATTCATATACAACCCCACAAACGAGTTCATATTTCCTAGTATCTTCCATGCAGGACGATATCTAGACAACCCCCTAGGAGAATGGTATCTCTACTATGCTCCTCACGAGAACCCGGGTGGTATTTCTCTCGTGTACTCGGATAGTCTTGAGGGTCCATGGAAAGAATACAGCAACAACCCCATCATCAAGAACAAGTGGGACTCTTACTACTCGGTTCCGCACGTATCCAGTCCTGATGCTACATGGAACTCAGAAACTGGGCGTATGTTTGTTTACTTCCATGGAGACAACACGAGAACACGCTGGGCTGAATCTTCCAATGGTGTGGACTTCAGATACGGTGGCGTGGCAGTGAGCAACGACATGGCCAGCTCAGACACCACAGAGTCAAGCTATGCACGCGTTTTTGCCCATCCCAACTCAGCATCGAAGTACAACTACGCAATGTTCTACATGGCCAACGAGCGCGACAACAAGCGCAAGATCAGACTCGCCGAATCTGTCGATGGTCGCAAGTGGGTTGTTGACCCAGACTACGTTGTCACTGGTGGCGGTATAGAGGGTGATAATGTGTCTGGTGCGAATTACTGGGTATGGAGAGAACAAGCATATGTCATTTACCACGGCTCTTCAGGTAAGATGTACGCTCGGACTATTGATGCGACGCTACGAGATGTGGGATCGGAGCCAATCGTTTTCTACCAGTCCCGTAACCAGGGTGCGGATGTTGGACGCGTTGCGGCGCCTGATGTTGCGACATCTGGGGAGAATACTTATTTGTTTTATGAATCTGGAGATAGATTGGGAGGGACAATTGCTTGGGCAAAGATGCAGAAGCAGACGGCTCGTTCTGTTCAGGAATGGAAGGCATAGATGGTGTGTTTTTATTTATTCAGCTGTACTATAGTGTATACTTTGATATAGGGTCTGTAAATCATTTCTGTATTTATCTTTCATTGTTCAATAGTGCATGAATATCATTTTGAGGTTGTATTGTGGCTGTCAATAGTTTGGTCTGAAAGTTGTTGTCTACCCTATGTCCTTTTCGCTGTGACGTACTTTTAGGGAGCTTGGACGTAAAATTCAGACAGCTCAGAGGGAGTTGATCCCCTGAATTGAAGACCCCACTTGTCAAGCTTCTTGTCAGGTAGCTCACGCCATCGCCAAGGTGGGCATTTATCTAGACAAGATGAGTGAACCCACTAGAAAACCCCAGACCAGCTGTCTCAGCTAGAGATCCCCATATTCTGTTTCATTTGCGTCATGTTGCTTTGTTCATGATGACTCTTCCCTCTTTCTCCTCTTTCTTTCTACTCAGTTGGGCCGCAAAACCAGCTGGCGAGCATTGATTGGCGGCCTCCCTTTGCATGAGCCAATCTGACCAATCATATTCATCATCTCGATAAGCGTATCCATCTCGAGTTACCGCCTTTTTGGCTTGGTGCAGACTCTCAAGAGTATCCACGCAAGACGCTTTGCTCCCTTTGATCTCTCACTCACACTCTCTTTGACCATCGACCAACCTTCTCTTGATCAACACAACCTCATACAAAACATGGGCATCGAGGAATTCTTCACAAAAGCAGTCCGTGACAGAAAATTCCAAGCGGCAGCCCTCGAAGTAGCAAGCAGCTGCGCCTCTGCGACCCCCGTCATCAAAATCGTTCAGGCCGCCAACAAGATCTCCAAGATCGGAGATGCTGTCCAGCATGCCAACGATTTCTTTGCGGGCGCCTCCCAAACTGTCAAAGGCGCCCAGACGATCCTACCCCAGATGCACATAATGGGTCAGTCCCTCGTCGACAGCGCCAGGCTTTTTCAACAGTTTTCCATGGTCGCCACCACCTTGAGCGCTGGCGCCAACATCATCCAGACGTACCAGGGTATTCAAGCGCTGAATCTCATCGCTGCGAAGCTGGGTGATATCTCGGATAGCCTGCAGGCTCAGGCTGCACTTACCGCCCAGCGAGACTTTCCCCAATATGTTTTCGATATGATCAGAGAACGACTCAGTCAAACCAGCGTCGACACGGAACGAGACCATTGGTTTTTCCTCTACCACCCCGACACCGATTGGTATCCCAAGTTTTTCCATCTGGTCGAGGAGAAGCAGCTAAGTCCGAGATTCTGCGGCTACACGAACCAGCTCGATACCGTCTTCATGTTCATGCTCGCCGCTCGAGAGCGCATCACGAAACGAGAGATGGTCAAGGCGAGAAAGAGACAACATTGTAAACCTGTGCAGCTGCACCTCATCATCCCCGCCTACCAAACGATCCTGATCCCCGAACGAATCAAGATTCCCGAAGAGATTGGCGATTTCGTTATCGAGGGCCGCATCAACAGCAACAGACCTTTCGTTTGGCTCAACCTTCCCGATGAGCAGCAACACTATACCTTTGACGTTGGCATGTGGAGTCCTCCCGAGTCAGGTCTTTGGGAGAAAGCTTTGGAATGGATGGGCATGTCTGGAAAGCTCAAGATCTCTGATACACCACGAGTTCTCGGCGTGGCAGAAAGGATCTTGATGATTGAAGACGAGAAGCGCGAAATGACGATTCAAGAGATCACGAACGGTCCTTCGACAGATGTCATCAAGAGAGCTGCTACCGAGTCGGCTCTTGATCTCGCGACTGTGAATAAACACCAGTCCATGCCCCTACACGAAGGTCGCACACGACGCTGGCGCCGACGAGAGCGTAGTCGCTAAGACATGGATACGAACGATGGGAGGAAACATTTGAACATTTTTTGCATAACGAATATGGCGTTCTGGGAGGCATTTTAAGTCAGACGACACAGAATATCATCAATGATGAGGAAATATACACAGCTTGTTAGGGATCATACATACTAGATTGTTACACGGTAGAGCTCGGAAATGAATAGCGAGCAATGAACGAACCGAAATAAGAAATTGTTGGATACACTCAATGGAGCCATCTCAACTTGACCTCAAACCATGTCTCCATATTTTCCCATAATGTCTTTTGCCTGGGCGGAAGTGGTTCTGTCGAGAGTACAAAGGTTTCTAGGTCATTTAATGCCGTGTTCAGATCGTCGTTGACAATGGTTAAATCGTAGGCTCCGGGCCTCGCAGCATAATCAAGTTCCATTTTTGCCTGCGCAAGCCGTTTGTGGATGGTATCTTCATCCTCTGTTCTCCGACCTCGAAGTTGCGTCTCCAGAACCTCCAAGCTCAAGGGCGCGATAAACACATAACGCGTACATATATTTTTGAACGTCTTCACAGCTTTGACGCCCTCCATATCGATATCCAGCAGTGGCACCATCCCTCTTTCGATAACACCCTCGATCGCATGGAATGATGTGCCGTAGTGGTGTCCATTGTAGACCGTGCATTCGATAAAGATGCCTTGAGCATAGAGTTTCTGGAATTCCGTTTCGGTTGTAAAATGGTAGTGGACGGCTTGGATCTCGCCCGGGCGCGGAGGACGTGTGGTGTGTGATACCACTGTGCTGAAAATCTCGGGGTGTGACTCGCAGAGTTTGGTGATGAGCGTTCCCTTCCCAAAGCCCGAGGGGCCGGAGATGACGATGGGTCGGGAAGCGTGATAAGGGACTTGGCGCATTTCCATCGATTATATGTGTGTATGTATGTGTGTATGTGTGTGTGTATGTGTGTGTATGTGTGTATGTTTGTGTAGAAGGGTGAGGTGTTTTGGTGAAGGGGAATGCTTGTATTTATATTCAGAAGTAAACTTTAATGGTGAAGGTGGCTGCATGGCTGCGATGTGACTGTTTGAGTAGGAAAGTTTACTTTTTTTTACGTCGGACACGGAAGGAAAGTCAGATGCGCGGTTGCACGTGAATGTGAACTCTTCTTATTCACTGAACCTTATAGGCCACAACAAAGTACGTAGTACCAATGACCGTTGGTCTTGTTTTCGCTCTGACATTGAAGTGTAGACAAGTGATTATGCTAAGTAATCCCCGAGAAAAGGTTGGTCAGCAATTACAGTCATACTATATTTATGACAGAGCAAGACGCAGGATCAATCCAAATACGGCCACATAACACCATCGCAAGCTCTCCTCAGGTTGCTAGAAACGTTGACAACTTGAGATACACTTTATAAAATTTAGGCAATAATTCAAAGTCATTTATCTTTGCATCATAAAACTAAGAGGCCATCTTATTCATGGATCCAATTCCAGAAGCCTCGTATATCCTCAGCTGTATACTCAGTACCACTCGGTCCAATACAAAACGACCGAAACCCATATTTCTGCAGCTTCTCCAGAGCTGACACGAGTAGATGCTTGCTGTCATAATTGCTGGGCAGAAATTTTGGTTCCCGGTCACGATTAACCTCCGAGCCATCAACAAATACCTGGAGACCGATCCTATCCAGGTTACTTCCACCACGTCCGGCACCTGCTTTTATCTTCCTAGCACATTTTCCGACCATCTTAACCACCCCCATTTGTCTCTTGTTAAGCATGCTGTATATACCCTGCTGTACAGAGTTATACTGAAGATTGAGAACCAGGGTTTGCAGGCTGGGACTTAACCATCGAAGACAAGCTTCTGGGGTTGGATCTTCGTAGGTGATGCACAGAGTCAGGGTTTGTAGTTGGGGGTAATCCCACGTCGAGAACGTGTTCTGGTTGAGGGTGTATCCTAACCATCCCAGATTTAAGACACGAAGGGACTGGCGCTGGGGTAGAAGCACATCAGTGAGTTTGTCGTGATCCCAGCGGTACGCAGGATCTGGCTCCATTTGGTCCCAATCGTAGGCATCGTAGGTCATGTGGTCGACGTCAAATGTGTGGAGATTTCGTGGCCATTCTAGTAGGCGTTTGATAACTTCTGCTTTGGCGCGCAGGTCTCGGAAGCTTATCTCTGTAAAGTTTGCCGTTCCAGCTTGTTACTACCGACCAAGGTAAGTCAAATTGTTTCTTTTCCATGACAAAGGATTAGAAACTTACAGACGATGGACCTAGATCTACTTCACCAGGGTCAAGATCCAACATATCAAGTCCCAGACGCTCTAGATTAGGCAACTTGACCAAAGTCTTGATTATCTCGTCATTCATGCATAGATCGTCCCACTGGATCTTCAAATCCCTGATGTAAGTCTGGAGGATTGGCTTGTTATCAATGATTTTAAAGAAAAGGTCCTTTTGAAGAGCCCACTCTTGATTAAAGTAATGCGCATCGATGTGGACGGTTGTGTATAAGATGGGCACTACCAAATGGTAGAAGCGTCGACATGTGAGAGCGAGCGAGTATTGGCCTTCGACGTTGATTTGCCCTTGATGAGGACCTAAACGTTTACGTTCCTTGATTGGTCCGTAACGTCTGTTGTAGTAGTCGAGCCCTATAGCCAATTGATGATCGAGCTGGGCGACCTGTTCAAAACAGAGGCGTAAGATTTCATTTGGTAAACGTAGAATGGAATTCTTGTTCTCGGTCGTGGGTGGCAGCATTGTGAGCCTTGAGGTATAAAACCAAGTAGCCTAAGAGCTAGAGTCTCGGTGGTATAAACTAGCCTAATGATTTCGTCTGTTATTTGGTTTGAAGAGTAAGGAATAAGCTCATATGTTAGAGATGAATTTCACTGATGCCTAAAGGATGGAGAACATGACGATTGTCATGGATTAGTCCCGTGACATAGAACTTCCCCGCCATTCGTTCGCCCTGTCAAGGAGGGACCTCTGTTTTTTACCATGAGTATATGTAATAGACGATTGATTTGGAGAGTACAGTATAGTAACACCTGTCTCTCAAAGGCACCTCTGGTAGACCCTTGATGGATTTCTGTCCAGGCGCATTAAAAACCCCTGCAAAGCAATTGAAGCTACTGGCAATAGTGGCTGTCAGGATCGACAATTCAGGCTAGTCAGCCGCTGGACTATGCCTTTCTGGTACAAGGTCTGTGAACTATCGATTCAAGCTGAGAAGAACTAAACAATTTTATGGTGACGCTCAACAAGTCTAGAACTCACAATATCAATGCGACAGCTGATCTTTATATCGATCCTTGCAACTATGAACCCCCTTTATAATACGCATGCCCTTGAAAACGCGACTGCTTTTCGTTTTCATTCGTACGTTCATTTCTCACTGACGTGACGTCCATTGAGCTTCTGAGTGTTCAAGATGCGCCTGGTATCACTTGTCGCTGTTGTTGGCGCTGTGCTTATCCCTTCAACCAGTGCCCGTCCTGCGAGTTGTCGTCCTCACAGACCAACAACTACTTCTTTGGTTTCTAGTTCCATAACAACTTCTGCTGCTGGTGTAGAGATCTCAAGCACCGATGCCGCTTCCACCACCCCCACAACTTCTTCCAAAACAACAAATGTGATCGAGACCACAAACAGTGTGTCTGCCACTGCTACTTCTGATATCATTAGCGACTTCGTTGCCACGACTTTGGGCCTCACCACCGCAGCGGAGTCTGCTTTAGACACGATAACTCTGATCACAACTGCCACCACGAATACGGAAACGATCCCTACTGAGATATCTGGAATCAAGTCAACAAGCGCCGATGAGATGTCTTCTACTGGAACAGCTACTGTCACTTTAACAACTCTTGAGACGACGACTACTGAGACTATGCTTGTTTCTGGGACAACAACTATCGAGCAAACGACGGATCAGATTACCTCTGCTGAGGCAACAGCTTCCACCGACGATGTGACCACAGTGGAACAACCGACAGACTATACTACAACTTCCGAGACAACACCTACTGCCGAGACGACCACTACGGCAGCTCCTGAGGCGACTAAAGCTCTCCTCAACGGCGGATTTGAAGATACGACAAGTAGCCCCTGGGCTTTCTCAAGCGGACAAATCGTGAATGATCCCAGCCTCGCTCACTCAGGATCCAACTTTGCGTAAGTTCTATCTTCCCTCTTCCCTCAACGTACATGGCTAACGTGAATCATAAAGACGACTTGAGGTCCAAAACCAGCAAGCTCAAGGCCAAATACGTGTCGAACAGCTTACCAGCACAAGCAATACCAAGCGATATACTCTCAGCTTCTACGCCACTGTTCTCTCTACGCCTAATATGAAACCCGGTATTAGTTGCCAGGTTACTCCTTTCCAGGATAGTTCGTCGTTTAATGGACAGAGTCTACTGCTGGACTTCTCGGCGCTCAACACATACAAACATTTTACATATACCTTCACCCCATTTAACAACAATTTCTTGCTCAAGCTGGGAGTTGGATGTTCCAGAGGCATGGCCACCACGTTTTCTGTTGCGATTGATGATGTTTCTATCGTTGAGGTCGTCTAGTGTAGTTCTTACTCATTATTATATGATTTGGCGGTATATAGACATTCAAAAGTAGATTCAACGGTCATGTGTGCTACTTGTTTTTACAAACGATTGGCTTTCAGTGAGACAAATGTTCCTAAATTGACCTTGATATACCCAAATCGAAGTCCACCATCTTATGTCCAGAATTGTGATCAAAGTATATACATGAAGTGATCTGTCTAGTGCAGTCCCTACCGACCTTCGGGGTAACACTGAGCGTAGAAGGGGTTGAGTGTCTTGCAGTAGTAGCCCTTGCCACACTGCATGCTACCATTCCACTCAGCGCCACCACACTGCTTGTATGGCTCCTGGGCCTTGGAGACGGGAAGGGCTAGGATGGCGTCACTGGCCTTCTCGGAGGCGGTAACGAAGTAGGCACTGGGGTTAGTTGTGACCATACCCGGGAAGATGGAGGCGTCGGTGATGAAGAGGTTGTCCGTGCCATAGACCTTGGTGTTAAGATCAACGACAGCGGTGCCACCTTGACGACCGTCATCCTTGCCGAGCTTGTTGGTTCCAATCCAGTGATTGGCACGGCGGTTGCTCCACGAGACGACCATCTATATGTACCGTTAGACCAGTTCTTGAACATTGCAACAATTCATGAGCCACTTACATCGTCGACATATTGTTGCGAGGATACACCCGGAGCGGGTTGGAGCCACTCCAGATCCTTCACGCCAGAAAGAGCTTTACGAAGATTGTCAAGGGCTTTGACAACAGCCTTCTTGTCTTCTGCGTCATTGAGGAAGGGGTTACCAGAGACGACGGTGTTGAGGGCACTGGTGATGGTCATGCGGCCACGCGACTTTGCACCACGGCCAAGGTACTGACTGATGGTCATGGCCTCTGATTCACAAGTTAGGTCTGGTCTGATGTATTGCAACAACTATCAAGTGGAACTTACTGGTGTCAGTCTCGCCGAGGCTGGCTTCAACGCGAGCCGTCCACTGCATGGAGCGGACGCGGTTATCAGCACCACGAATCTCATCAAAAATGACTGGGCCAATGTTGGGAGCAGCTTGAGCAAGAATTCCGGAGCGAGCATCTACCTCCACGTTAGTCTTCATCGCCAAATTAGTGAAAAGTATGTGTACTGACCCAGGTACTTGTCCTCATCAGCTGGGGGAGGGTTAGTCCAGGCCTCATAGAAGTCATAGAACACAACGTCGGGGTGCTTGATAACTGTGTCGGTCTGCCATACTGTTAGCCTGGATCTGATTATTCGAACATGTGCACTTACGTTGGTGTGGTCCTCAAGATTGTAGCCGACAGGGAGGTTGATCCACTGATCTTTCTTGATCATGGAGCCACCATCGCGGCTAGAGTTGGCGACAATTTCAAGCTGGTCGTCTGGGCCAATACCACCTATGAAGCATGATTAGAACCAAGGAATTCTGACAGCGTGAGAGAAAGACAAGACTTACTGCGAAGAAGAATCTTGGCACTGCCAAATGTGCCAGCTGCAAGAATGACACGACCAGTCTCAGGAGTGAGCTTTACGGTACCAACAAAACCGGCGCCAGCGAAGGGCTCGACCTCAACGCCGGTAACGTGACCGCCGGAGCGAACAAGACGTCTGACCTGGGTGTTGGTCCATTTCTTGAAGTTGCTCCTCTTGTCGGCAGAGACGAGATAGGTAGCAAGGGGACCCCCGCGCTCACCTCCAGAGAACATAAAGGGTGGGTGGGTGTAAGTATGGTTCTTCGCGGTCGGCTCCTTGAGAGCGTTCACTTCCTTCCAACCGGCCTTGCCGAGTGCACCGGCGACAACCTTGAAGCCCTGGTCAAGGTATAGCTTACCATCCATAGATGGGACACTGGTACCAGGAATGCGAGAGAAGACACGCTGTTCGTACTTGGCCATGTCTTTGGCCTTCCAGCCATCGGGGAAGTTGTAGTCCCAATCTTCAGGTGTGGGACGCCACCATAAACCAGCATTAACTGCGGTACCACCACCGAGGACACAGCCGGCCATCTGATCGGTATCGGGGCATGCAATACCTGCAGAGTCGACCCAGAGCTGGTTGCATAGACCGGGAACATCAAAGCGAGTTAGGTTGGTGCCTTGAAGCCAGTCTGGCTTACGGGTACCACCCCAGCGACCAGATGATGGAGGACCCTTCTCGATGAGGAGGACCTTCTTGCCAGCCTCACTAAGACGGTCAGCCATGGGGAGACCGCCAGCACCACCACCGACAACAATGTAATCGTACGTCTCGTTAGGGACGGGGTTACCGGTGGGCTCAGCAGTGGGAGTAGGCTCATTGGTGGCAGTAGCAGTGGGCTCCTCACCACCGTCGCAGTCGCCCTTAACGACCTTAGTGGCAAGCTTAGCCCACTCATCATACTTATCGTTGAAAGCGTTGCTTGTGAGTTGACCACCGAAGATGCTCTGGGTTTCGTGCTGAAGCATACGTGCCTCACTGGGACACTCAGGGTTCATCACATTCGTGAGACTGTGGGCCCAACCGAGAACGGCGATGGGAGAGGTGGTCGCCATTTGACCGGAGTTGCCGTCTTGCGACCAGGAAGTGCATCCCTGGCAGCGATAGATAAGAGTGAAGCCATCATCAGTGATCCTGGAAGAGATCTGGGTCAGAGTAGCTTTGCCCTTGTATGGGCCAGGCTCGACCTGGGCGTTGGCCCAATGGAAGGTGGTAAGGATATCGCCATCGTGAGGATAGGCAAAGAGCAAAAGCGAGTTTGTCATGGGTCCGCCGTAGGAGAGACCGCACCATCCGGTGCTCTTTCCCTTGGGAGTGGCGCAGTTCTGTTGCATAGTCAGAAAAGAGAAGCAAATTCTTTCGGATATCGACTTACGATGTATCCAATGAACTCATCGGCGTTGGTGGTCTGTCCATCTCCAGGGAAACTGAAACCGAAGGTCATGCTAGGTGCCTTCCATGTGTCGAAGATGATTCCAGTATTTGCATCGGTGTAAGCCGTGGGTGTTGACTGTTGACCAGACACATACTGAACAACTACTTAAAGTTAGCACTCTGAAGCTGCCGAAGATTAACATGTTCAAACTTGCGAGACGCTATGGCTAGAAGCCATGAAGAGCGGTATGAAACCATGATGACGAATCCCCAGTCGACGATTGGTGAAGGCCGTGGGCAGAATGTCCGTGACCGAAAAAGACGGCAGAGGTCGCATTCATATATCAATGAGAGCTATTATAACCCAAGACGGGATGGAAGATGGCCAAGGACCGATGCCCTATTTGGGTGCTACATTGTGTGTTTTGGATGAAAGCGAGGTAGGGCGTAGCCTTGCAGGGGTCGATTTCGGACGGAACGAGCCTTGTCTGTTTCCCTTTTAGATGACGGAGACAGGGGCCTTATTCTTAGTTGTCTGTGATAAATCATCCGAAAATGCTCACAATCAATCCGCGACGGAACATGTCCCTCTATCTTAAACAAGCTCACAATCCTTCATCTTACAAGAGCCAAGCAACATTCACGAAACAAAGACATTTCGAATTAATTAACTTGTACGCAGGTCCTTCTAACGTATGTCTACTGAGCCTCGTGTCGACGCGTTTTCTTCACCTGGAACTGCTGTGTCACCCATTGTACAAATCTCCATTGCTGCCAGAAGCGGGCGCGGAGGTTGATGCTCCTTTTCTCCACCAAAGCCATGTGATAGGGTTCAGCGGCGCGATGCTCCGAAACAAACCCAGTTAGATGAATGTAACCCTCTCCAAATAAAGTGTAACATTTGCGCTAAACATGCAGTCCCCCTTGTAGGATGGTTCTCACGCGTGTTTGTGTCTATGCGAGCCCTGCGCATGTTTCGGGGTCACGTCGCCGAGTGGTCGGAGAATCTGTTGACAGCCAGTATGAAACCACTTTTTAAGATTATAACTATCAATGCGTCTCAATTAAACTTCCTCAGGCTCGAATAGAGTTAAATGAAGCTTACTGCACTACATGCGACAGAGGCCTGCCTAGTGTATTTTCTGTTGTGATTGAAGATGCTACTTTCGTCGAGGTTGCTTAGTGTCAAGATAATGCTTTATCACAGAATTTGGTGGCAGTCGGTTATATTAAAAGCTTACTGTTTCGAGCATCTCGTTTCTTCTTCAATCGATGAAGTAACTTTTCAGTCAATGGATGTAACAAATTTAACGGAAGAAAAGCTTTGTCGCCTCTATCAAGCCAATTATCCACATTGACCTGCCCTTACTGGGAGACCCTACGCTGCCGATCTAATAAACGTATTATCTAAAGATAAAGAATAAATAGTATTATCTATCAATTTAAAGTATAGTAAGAATTGGTAGCTGCGTCTTTGGTATAGACAAGTCGTTGAGCTGGCGCCAATTCTTCGAGGTGTAGGGTGAGCGCAGTCGTTGGTATTTAGCTATAATAATATGCTGTCGTCATAGATATAAGTAAAAATTGCTCGGATATTTGTACATACGACCAAAGGTAGTGGAAAATACGGGATCCCGTCCGCTCTCCCATAGTCAAGCCACTAACCGGCGGATTAGTAGTTGGGTCGGTGACGACCAGCGAATCCCCGCTGTTGTATGTTTTTGCCGCATGTTGCAGGTAACCTTTTGCCTTTCGGCGACTGTTGGAAACAGTAATCCACTGAGGCATGTTTTGCTCAAAAGCATAAATTGAGATTGAAGTTTCAATAAAATATTTAAAAATCATTTGTGTGTTTTTGGTGAATGAACTTCCGTGCCGTCACTTAGCTGGGAACAACTGTGGGGGAGTGTCACAGCAATAAATCAGTCCCGCTAGGGTATTGTTCATGCTGGAGCTTCAGCGCTATCCTCGCCAGTCTAAGCACAGCCTCACAGGGCTGATGACAATTACCCGCCCTTTTAAGCAAAGCAGGATGGAGTCATCGAGAAATGTCCAGTACATCCATCCATTCAATATCTTGAAAAAGAAATTCAATTGACACGTGGTCTGCTATTGCATGTCTCTTTCTCCCCGAATCCTTCATCTCGAGCGCTATTCACTTGCTTGAAGATTTCGATCCTTCCTAGGTTCTGGTAGAAAAGTTGTTATCAAACCAGCCAATGTTATCGTCCCCATTGCAGTACTCAACATGATTTCATTGATCTATCACCCAACTACACTTTTACAACGACCGGGATTTCCCCAAGGAAGTTCCCGTCGCCCTTTCGGCGGGAGTTTTGTTAATAGCTTCCAAGATCTCTTCCTCATGAGATACCAACAATATTGTTACATTAGCACTGACATGATGTGCCTCAGAGTCCATCTTATCTGGCGGCCCTGACAAGATGGAAGGCTGGAAGCTGCTAACCAGTCTGAGAGTTGTCATTTTATTAACGGAAGACTTACTCTCAAATGCATGCAGCAGATCAAGTAGATATACCAGCAATTGACGATTTAGTGGGGGCAAGTCCCTCATAAGATTGGCAGCCAAGTCTGTCACCTTGGAAGACTCTTCTGGTGACAAATCTCGGTCGATGAATGACCCCAGCTCGTCAACAAAGCTGTTGTAGTGTTGGTACGGGATAATTGGCTCGGGAAGGCTTTTGAGATAGCGAAGAAGAATCCCAGCTGCGTCATGGACCGTGTACCCGTCCCAAGATAAACCCTTGCCAAATCTATCGGGCGAGTCAAATCTAGTTTGGAGTTCACTCATTCGCACGGGATTTCCGGTGGTCGCAAAGATATCCTCAACGTCCATTGCTAGTGATTGTTAACAGGAACCATAATCATCAGAACATCCTACTGACCTTTTTCTTTCAGGTAAACACAGGTTTTGCCAACAATGATAGGTATATAGCCATATACATATGAGCGTCCATCCTCATCAACGACACTGATTGCTATATTCGCATATCGTATACTTGTCACAACGGCAACCCCGAATATCTTAGGCGTATGTTCAGGCTCTAGCTTTGTTGTCTTAGGCGGTTGGTTTCGGAATAATAACAAGCCCTTGATACGATCCCGGCGAGATGACTTTGCTGCACCATGATTCACAACAGCGGTTGTGGTCTCTGGTACGACATTACCCGCACCTGGAGAAAAGTCGTAATGCTCTTTGTTTGTAATGTCGGTGATATAGATTGGAATGGCCTGAATACCAATGTGTGAAATTTCAGAGAGACTGAGACCAGACAACATAGACCAGGATGCGGTTCTGCCGGCGGAGCTGATCACTGAAAAAGCATCAGAATTGTCTTTTGCCACCATGCGATAAGCCCTCGAGCTCATGAGGACTTCCTCAAAGGTGAACCCATAGGCATTACGTTGCCACTTAGGTTGGCTGTCTGCTGCGGGAGGAGCTTCTCCTCCCTCGTCAGTTGCTTCGGCGCTCAGTTCGTTCAATCTTGCTTCTATGGTGTCTCCAGGATCCGCTGCTTGGCCACCTGTATCCAATGCAGCAAGTCTCTGTTTCAGTGTCGGATTTTGGAGTAGCATCTCTTCTACCAAGTCGCAGAGTCTGTCCACCCGGCTTTCGGCATCATCTTGGCTCTGACTAAAGGTCATTGTTTTAGTATACTTGTCGGTGTAGAGGGATGGAAATCATAGCATACCACGTCAATATGGTAAGCATCAGTGTCAAGGAACTTTTGTGAGACTCTAGCCGCACAAGGATGCCGTGGATGTCCTTGGCTTTACTTGCCCAACGTAGCCGATCTAAAATGGTAGTGTCATTTTCTAGAGCCGTGACAAATGTATCCAACTCTGAGAATGTAGTGACACAAGCCGCCAATGTAGCGACAACTTGTTCAACCATAATCAGAGACGTTCGCGACCGTGAAGCCTAATGGAGGATTTGTCAATATTCGGCGCTTTAGGTCTCTTTTCCCAAATAAAACTAACCTGACGGGGATTGAGAATAAAGATTTGAAGTGTAACAAGTACGTTTCGAATATCATCGACTTCAGACTTAATGCGTCCGCATTCTTCTGGCGCATGACGAGCTTTACTGATGACATTCGCAACGATTTTGGAAACTTGAGCAGCAGCTGTAAGGAGACCAACGACGCTGGCTGCGACGCTTAAAGGATCTGCCATCATGCAACTCAGAGGCCATGAGACACCCGCACCGAAGCTTGCTAATTGGTTCCTATCATGGTAAACTCTTTTCGAGTATTACAGAGATGGTGAGAGAGATAAGCGATATTGGAAGCGGGGTTGCGATTATGCAGTGAGAATGCGGCTGAAAATATTGTGGGGTGAGAATACCAGTTTGATATTAGTTTTAAATCCGTCTCACTAGCCAGTCTAGGCACAGCCTCAGAGGGCTGATGATAATTACTATACATTTCCATGATATTACATAACGATGGAATATTGCTACAGCGGGTTATAAGTGAGGTAAGGTAGCTATCTAACAATTTCCCAAAGGTTGAAATAAATTAACGGTAGCTTCTCTTAGCCTCTGGCTAGTACCGACTTCCTACTCTTTCATCTCAAGGGCTCTTCATGTGCTTCAAGATTTCATCTCGATACTTCCCAAGCTTTCAGCGCAAACGCCTTGCCAATGGCGAATCCCGAGAAAAAGGAAAACCAGAAGTGTGATGTACTCCGTAAGCAGGCACATCAAAGCAAACGCTACAGCAGATCCAACCAGCGAATTCCAAATGGTCGTCAAGTTGTCAACCGTGAAAGCGCAAAGTAGTCCATAGACTGTTCGTAGGACGAGTGTCGGAACACTTGCTAGAGTGAGCTCTATAAACTGTGTTATGTCAGTATACGACCTATCGATGGGTAATGTGGACAAGATGAACATACAATGTGCTTCTCGGGAGAAATGCGGTGCTTCTGAGTATAGAGGTGTAGTAGCTCAACAGTCATCAAAGCAATGACGACAGCCAGAGTGACATAGCCAGCCTGTGTCAAATGTCGTGAAAGGTGTATACTGGAACCACTAAAAGCTCCAGCAACACAGAGAAGAATGATAGCGGCGATGAATGCGAAGCGAATGATCTTCAACAGGAAGAAAGCTCGTTTGTTCTCATCAAGGCTTGATTTCATACTGTAAAGTTAGTGTGTGCCTTGTTTGTGAAGGATATTGTCTCACATCAAACGGATGAACCCAACCATGGAGATCATCAATGGAATGAGGCCTACATTGAGCAGCACGGTAGTTGCGATGATGAGGCCAAGGCTAGTAGGGTCGGACCGAAGGAGGATGGTTAGAATCCCACCAGCGAGACGAGCTAAAAAGTACCATCTAGTTAGCATTATGTTTACTCAAGAGAGTGGGATCAGTTGCCAACCGAGGGAGAATGTCACAAGAGGGTACGAAGCAAGCCGAAGTCCATGCTTCCAATTTTTGATAAGGATAAACACAGCGACAGGTAAGACGAGTGTGTAGAAGACGACTTGGGCGATGCCAACTGAGGTATGTGGATTGATCATGGTTGCAAGATATTGTCAAATAAAACTATACTGTAATTAGGAATGGATGTTTGAGACGAACATTCTCCTTTATATTCACTTTCATAGAAACCTTGAGGCATAAGGCGTTTTCGCATATCCATCAAGACTCGCAGCATGATACCCAAAAAGTGATAGCGCCATTTCTTCCGGAAATCGGCATCTTGAAGAAACTCAGCCGCATCGTGGGACCCATTTCTCGCGCGATGATCCCGAACATGGCTTAGCCTGGTCGTGCAAATCCCATCGTCAATTCGAAATCATTGGCTAAAGCGACGAGTTGAGGAGAATTCAGGTAAATTTGATCCACCTTCGCTATGATTCGCGTCAAGAGTTTCGCAAAGCTGACTTTGTGGTTTTGACGAATGCGAGTGCGGCCATGTAGCAGACATCATGACACTTTACTGGACAGTACAGATCTTGGTGCATGTAAGAACATGGTCTCTGTCATCGATGCTGCCATCCGAGATAGAACCATGCGGTGAGGTCAATGGTAGCGATAACGAGGCTAGGATTTCCATGTTTCTCAGTACTGTTTAATCGGATTTAATCATTTGACTTCAAGAGATGTCCAGGGTTATTCTGTCACAACTACTAGTAGTGGTCAAAGCATGCGTATACAAGTTAACAGAGAATTTCGCAAGGGCGATTGCTTAGATCGATAAGATAATGTATCGCATTCAACACAATGGTACTGGCTTAGCGGGCTCTATCTAGCTAGTAATGTGATTCGGCAAAATACTCCACTATCCAATTCACATGAGTCGCTTTCATCTTCCTCTTGATCCCTTGGATACCAGCATCCCATTCTGTATAACAGCGCTTTGTTCTCTTGGAAAGGAATCTCGTCGAAGAAGTGAGCTTCAATGCCATAGTTTACATTCTCCCAATGCTTAAGACTCATATCGCGCCCATGTCTCTTCGTAGCGATGTTAACATCCTTACAAACAACACCGCTGTACGAAAGCTCATCTTGAATCATATTAAGGTCATCAATATTAACCCTGAGACCCTTGGGTATCTCCCCTGATACATTGGGGTGTCTGCCTATCGCACTGAAGACATAGTGCCAGTCAACGAGAAACTGCCCCCGACAGAGATCACCAGATAAATCGAGACGCTTGAGATTCTTGAGATGGAGAAGCCATGGTGCAAGGGCTTGGGGGGAAGTGTCGGCCTTTTGGGTCAAATGAGTAAGTTCTGGGAAGTCATGAGTGGGTCGTTGCGTTGGCCAAGAGAGAACACCTCTTCCGGTATGATCGATCCCATATGCAAAATGCTGTATGCTGGAATGGCACTTATCCAGTAGATTGTGACAGAAGTTACCACGCTTAATCTTCATCTTCTCTGGATGCAAGTTCAACCTAAAAGCCCAAATATATCGCTCCACGAGACCGATCTCGCCAGAAGGGATTTCGGGAGAGATGTGGAGTACTTTGAGCTTGCTGAAATCGAGTTTTTCCTAGCCAGGGATGTCTTTGCATTCAATGTCACCTGTCATCAATAACTGGATGATGAGATTGGGGATGGCAACACCCGAAGCTGCCAGGCATGTGAACACCATGGCGATGAGCTTGTCACCCGTGACAGCTGTAGCTTGCTTGCAAAGGTAATCGACAGTAGGGTCAGCATGCTCTTTGTGGAACCCAAATACTGACCATTCGTTCACAAGACCGTGTGGAGGAAGCTGCCATGGTATGTCGATGTTCTCCATTTTGAGAGCGTCAAGATACTTGACTTGGCGAATCTTTTCACAAGCATAGCTTAGAAGCTTCACCTTTTCAATGCGGTCTCCCAAGACCTTGTGAATTTCTGTCCATGCTTTCTTGAGCTCGCCCTCTGGATTTTTGAGCAATACTTGCGTATCTCTCGCATCGTTCATATAAGCATCATAACAGGACTCCAGATTTTCGTAAGAAAAGGGCTCGGGTGATTCCTGGGAGTTGCGGAGGTTCTCCTCATAAGCTTAGTATGGAAGCGCCCAGCTGGGTGGGTCGCGAATGTGACGGAACGGACATGCTGCGCGACGCGCGAGAAGTCACCACGCTGAAGACTCGTGAGCGCAGCATTGCGTAGGCTCCATCACAATGTTTCTGAAAAGAATGTTTTTCAAGCCAGGGAAGTCTGCGAATGTTCTTTTCGTCAATCTCAAAGACTTTAGATCTTGAGATGCCTCTTTCACGATTCGAGTGTCTCTGTACAACGTAGTATCGGGACCATGATGTATTATGTCTAGGTACGGGTACTCGTCGGTTAAAAGGACCTTTACAAAACGAAGTTCTTTGACGATTTGGATGAGAAGTTCGGTGGGTAGGCGAAGCAAGTGGCTTTCGTTGTGTTGCGATCGAGAGGCCATTGTGATGGAACCAGAAATGAATGAGGAGTGATATTAACAGCAGAGAAACAGCAGAACCTGCCATATATAAATAGGCAGAACTTAAATTGTCGAATCAGGATATTAAACCTCCTCATTAGTAACTCTAATTGGATTTTCAGTGGTAATGGTCCAATGCTACCTTCAGAAGCCCTGCTACAACTGAGAGACTCATTTTCACTAGTTAAATCAACAGGTCTTGGACACCACTGGATTTGAACAAGCCATGCATACCTTCACCATTGAGTTTGACGCTCCAAATATTGATTGTAGGATGAGTTCTGTCCTTAAGCTTGAAAAATTCCTCCAGAAGGAATCCTTTATTACTGTGTGAATTCGTGGCATGTACCTGTTGTGCAAATCAGGAAAAAGGTTATTTGATGGTTTCACACAAAATCTGAAGTCTAATACCGGCTAGCAGGATGTCATCCAAAATCTGTTTCCAAGATCCAGTGAGACTTTATTGTCATTATAAAGTAGTAGAATATATCTAATAAGTACTGATAATCGGTGGAAGGAAGATTTAAGAGGTTCAGTCCAATACGAAATAGATATACTATCTAGTTATGCACTGGCCTAAAAGGGAGCTACTAAGGAGTATACAGCTCATAGATAAAAGACATTAATGCCTAAAATAAGTAAAAGCGACCAATGGCCATGTCCAATCCTCTCAGCTGCGTTACTCTCCGACGGTTCAGTGACAGAAGGCATTGCAATGGTTGAAGGTACTGTAGTGATTGTTGATGATGCGGTTTCGGTACTCTCTGGAGTTGAAGTGGTCTCGGCTTCACTGTTGACATTGGCTGGGGTTTGCGAGGAATCCAACCAAGGCTGCGCTGTGGTAGCTGGGTCTTTTAGAATACTTGTCACCTTTTTCTCAACTAGCACTGACTTGGGACATAGCTTGTCCATGCGCTCACGCTGGGTTATGATCCAACTGTTGGCAGGACTGTAAGTGCTGAGATCGAATCCCCAGAGACGTCGGACATAACAAGGCTCGCAGAGGTACTTGGCAGGAAGTTCTTCGTCATCGCTCACAAAGGGGAATGAATCGATGATAGCTAGAAAGGATTAGCATCGGGCATCATAGAGTAGGTACTCCTCGACGAACTGTTGCAGTATTTTCCTGTCTTGGCATCCTTGTCGCAAATCTGTCTTCGACCCTCCACCATGTTGGGCACACGCATGTGTTCCGGTTCGCAGTATTTGGCAAAGGCGTTGGCCCATTCCTGGAGGGAGTTGCCGCAATTTTTGGCGCAGATGCTATCGGTGATGGTGAAATCGTCGTCCCCCTCAATCGAGCCTTCCCAGCCAGTGCTTCCTGCGCCGTCAAGGCTAGCATCACAGTTGATGTCTGTCAACATCACCTTGCCACAAGCCTCGGAACCACCTTTTTCAACCCATCGTTCGACTGTTGACTCCCTGTAAGCAAGAAAAGCACTCGCGCTACCCAGGAGTTGAGAGGTAAAAATGAGCGTAGATGGCTTCATGGTATAAATGCGATGACTCAACAACTGAAAGAGTGAAGTTGTAGAAGTTTGAGATCGAGAAAAAATGAAACAGCACTCACGAGATATCCATTAGACAGGGCGGGTTTGTCTCCTTTATAGAGAGGGAAGATGAAGGGCCATTGCTATGACCTCGGCCGAATCATGTGTTATCACCACATTTTAATGGGACTGCCAAGAAGATCGCTTAATATGTAAAATTGTAAATCAGTGGTTAAGCAGGCCAAGTCGGCTGAACAAAGGCTTCAACCGAATGTCAACCCTGTCTAGCGCAATTCACGGTCCTTATTTGGTGTAACAAGCTGTTGGTTGTTGGTCGCAGAAACCAAAAGTACCATTTCAATTGTCTAATTCGAAAGCGAAGTGGATTTGTTAATAAATTTACGGTAATTCATGAGTCAAGTCTAATCAATGTTTTTCAGGCAGCCATCGCATAATAGAATCCCAATGTTAGAACAGCCAAACTCTTGAGTGTCAAAACTGGGCTTCCATCACCCCAGGTTCCTCTTGTCCCGCTGTTAGCCTCAATATGTTCCAATAACAGGCCCTTTTGCTTACCCAGTCCCCTGCTCAGCCTTCCACCCTAGTCCTCAGCCCTCCACTAGCAGCAGCTCGGCTTCAAACAGTAGAACTTAGCACTAGGGATAAAAACAGATTTAATCCTGCTTGAGTTTTATCTCCGAGTAACTAGGTGTTCAAATGTAATGGAAATGTGAGTTTCACGCTTGGAGAAAGCCAAAATGAGATCAAGTGATTGAGCAGCGAATGGTGAACAGCGTCGCGTAAAGACCATCCAATGATGTGAGCATATTCACGACCGACATGACCTGTACAGCAATGGCTACCCTATTGCCTGTAAGCCTTACACCATGGTAGCAATTTGGTGAGTGGCAGGAATGTTGATCTCCTAAGTCTTAGGGTAAAACAAAACAAGCCATCCATAAAATAAACCGTAGCCTATCCAAGGAGCATAAGCTGACCTAGTAATTTCGTCCCTTTTGCTTCCAGTGGTCATTATATCTCATACCATGAGGGCATCCAAACCTATCGGACATATCCACTATGGCTGCTGGAGGATTCAGCCTAGCAAAGGATCAAAGCTTACTGTCCCAAATTGGGTTAATGGACTGTCATCCTCCATAAGCGGCTTTAGCCAATGTAAAGACAGGAGTCTCATGCCAGATCCTTTTGCAACGTGCCTGGGGCATTTCCGAAGCTGAATAAATTAGCGGACACAGCCTCAACAAGGATGTGAAGCTTTAAAACCACCAACAGGCCATCTCTTCTTTTCTTTCTCTCCAAGGTCAATTCACATCATTTTTCTAATAAAAATGTCATTTCTAAACAAGTTCAAGAAAGAGTTTGAAGGGCTCAATTTGAGTGAGCGTCTGGGGCAGCAGCAGGGAGGTAAGACATGGCACTTCTCATCCCCGCCCGACCTTCGCTAACAATGAACGCAACAGGCACTTCCCCAGTACCTGATGCACATGGGAACAATTCTTATCAGAATCAATACCAAGGACAGCAAACTTATCAGGCAAATGCGCCTTATTCCCCGCCTCAACAGTCATACAATCCAGGACAAACCCAGCAGAACCCAGGTTTCCAAGCATATACTGGTCCTCCCTACAATGGGCATTCGTCATTCAGTGGACAGCCATATCAGCCACCGCCACAGCAGTACCCTGGTCATCAACCTCACAGTCCTCAACCACCTGCATACACTTCACCTCCCCAGATTCAGCAGCAACAGCAACAACAGCAACCATGGTCCCCTCCACCACCACCGTCCATGGCAAGCCCGCCAAGCATTCACCAAGTTCAATCTCCTCCAGCAGCCGTCACTACTTACGGTGCTCCCCCGCCAAGCGCACCTCCATGCCCAACGCCACCTCGTTGGATCCCTCACTGGTCAGAGAAAGATCAGCAATGGTACTACGTTGAAACCACAGGCAGAACCTCATGGCAAGCGCCATCTGAACTCCCCCCACTGGCTGGCATGCCAGCTTTTCCAGGTAGCTTGAACGTTATCAGCAGAGCGCCAGGACAAGGTTTGACTCATCCGCCACAGCCACAATATGCAAACCCTCAAGATTCACGACCAACTTTACCGGAAGGCGGCAGCAAAAAATCTTCTTTTCTTGCAGCAGCTGGTGGTTTTACAGCTGGTGGCGTTGCTGGGTACTTTGTGAAAGACCGTATTGGTGAGTAACACATCTCATGATAGATAATTGACATATGCTGACCCATTGATCAGATAAGCGCAAAGCAAAGAAGCGTCACGGTCGCGACACAGAGGACTTTGCAGACTTTATTGAGTATCCCGCCTGGGAAGTCGGTCTTGATTGTAATGTCTGTGATCAAGCTATAAGCGGCCCTTATGCGCACTGCAAGAAATGCGACCACGGCGACTACGATATTTGTCGGGATTGTCTTGCGCAGGGACAGACGTGTGATGGGAAAGGGAAGCATAACCTCGTCAAGGTGTATCCCAAGTATTACTGTGATATCTGCAACGTCTTGATCAAGGGCGAGTTTTATTACTGCGCTAAATGCAATAATGGAGATTGGGATACATGCAAGGGATGCTTTGCCAAGGGTTATACGTGTAAAGCGGCTGAGTGTGGAGGACATCATGACATGTCGAAGCTTTTCATTCCAGAGGTCAAGTTCAAGAAGAATGGGAGGGTTGACACAAGTAGTAGTTCGGACTCTGATTAGGTAGTTTGGTAATCAATGAATAGCATCGTTTTACTTGCATTGATGGTTAAGGAACCGAGTGTTTTTTGAAAGGGATTTCCACATCCGGAATCGGCCCATATCATGATTGATCGCATTGAAAATGCTTGGAGGTGGTCACGTTTTCAATTGATCACCCGCCGTTACTTCAGAGGTCATGTCCAGTTTCACGTGGTAGGGGACTCAACAGCTGCGCACTTGAGTAGTGGTGATGGAGGCGGCAAGGCAAAGTGAGGCGTGACCGGTCCAGTGGGAGGTTTTTGACAAAGCCTCAAGTTTCGTTTGCGGTTGGAACAAGGTCCATAAAGTTAGCAGAACTTTGTAGACGCGGTTGGTTTCATAGACCTATCATTCATGGGCATTTTGAGTTCTACAAACTACTCTGCATCATCACTTCGAAAAGTTTGCTTGGAGCCTTAAAGAAATCGATAAGACGAAAGCTTGAGTAGTCAAGATAGACAAATCACTTCGAGTTGCATCATGTCTGCGCAAACCATCTATCCTCCCAGTCGCAAATGCATGAGCACCCAAATTCGGCCTCTGCAATGCACCTACGCGAGTAACAGACGTATCGGTACCACCGAACCAAGGTATAGAGAGATTTGGGAGGCACAGTATCGTGAACCTCATGTGAGAATACTTGACTTGCATCGTGTTTAGGGACGGCTGTCCGAGAGACGACTGGTTAACTTCTATAAGTAGCTTTGATAGGGATATTGACTTTGATCAGTGACCAAATCACTTAAAGTCACAATTGATAATGGGGCCATGGTCTCCATACTCAAATCTTGGAATAACCTTTTGCCGATTACATTTAATGATTTGTTGTTCGCTGTTGTTTTGGAAATATACCACGAACTACCACCATCTTCATGGAGCTCACCACATGCATTGTTGTGCTTGTCTTTCTTCTTTTCCTTTCTCTGATCATGAAAAACCGCCATCGTCCAAAACATGGCAAACCAAAACGGCAACCCTTGGGCGAGTTTGAAAATGTTCAACCCCAGATCATGCCGACAAGTCGTTCTCAGATGGTAAAACGTCCGTTGAACGAGAGTCCCACCGAGGAAGGGCTGCGGACATCGAAGAGAAGTAAGCCTGTATTTTTCGATTATCGCTTATACGTATCTCTCATTGAACAATTTGAAGAAGGGTCAGCCATTTCCATTCCAGTTCAAGCATTGACTCAGCAAGAAGCAGGTATTTTCCCGCTCTATTATGTTTGCTTTCGAGTTCCCTCCGCTGACTAACCTTAAGAAAACTCTAGTTCGCAGACTCCTCGGTCAGCAACCCAGAGGGGGGTAGAGCGAGGTCTGAGCGAGTTTTCCTCTCGATCTCCCTCCCCTGAACAGCTCGAAGAAGATGTAGAGTCGGATTGGAGCGAATCTTCCTTTTCCTCTCGCACTGCCTCTCCTGAACAGCCCGAAAAGGAGGTAGAGTCCAGTCTGAGCGAGATTTCCCCTCACTCTTCCTCCGATGACCAACCTGGAGACTCGCCAACTTCCATTTTGCCACCAGCTGAGATAACTCACAGGGGCGTAGAGCCCAGCTTGAGCGAGCCTTCCTCTCCGACTTCGCCCCCGGAACAACCTGAAGTCTCAGTCTGTTTAAATCCGCCTCTATCTGAACCGCTACCCGTATCAAGATCATACTCTGCAAAGTACAACTCGGGCTTGGCAGAACCAGTGGGAAAAGAAGACCAAGGGCACACAGAGTCCCTACTTCTCAATCTCCCGACCGAAGTCATAGACATGATCATAAAACAAAGTCAAGGTCCGTTGGAATATCTCAATTTCGCATCAACATGCAAGACCCTGCTGGAAATCACCAGCAGATGTCTCCCTGGACTCAGCCTGGATAAAAGTACAGAAGCCTACAATAACATCATTCTCAATCTACGGCATCGCTTCGGTACCGATTTTCTAAGCTGCTGTTACGCGGTGATGCGATACCGGAAACTATGGAGAAACATGGTATTACGGAAGAACACTGACTCACTGGACACTGAATCATGGAGAAATTCTGACCTTATTCCCCTTCGGAAAGTTCAGAACTTCAACAAAGAACAGTTTCTTGAACCCCCTGTCCTTGTACCAGAGGCCTGTTGGGGCGGAAAATTGTTACGGCAGGATTATTATCTCATGTCAACAGTACTACATCAAGCGGAGATTGTCGTCAAAGAGTTGTCTAAAACGGCCTTCCAGAACACGGCGGCTTTTGAGAACCTGGGCTATCGACACCATGACTATGACGAGTCAAGCCCTGTTGTTGTTGTACTGACACAAGATGAGAGGTCGAGGTTTCTAAACGCTGTGTTGCAGTATGAGTATTATTGCTGCTTATTCTTCTACAAGGGTAATGTTGTGTTTGAAAATGAGACCAAACGTCATGAGGGTTTCTTTGACAATCGGAATTACTCGGGTCTTTCTGAGATCCTTGGGTTCTACAGTGTTGTCATGTGTGTATACACGTTCTATTATGACCTTATCCAAACAATGAGATACACTGCGTTCAACAACACTACAGTCGAGAAGGTTATGTACTTCCGCTTGGCCGATTGGACAAAGGTGTTGAGATTTGTACATTTTTTGTTATGCCAGGGCATACATCTATTTGCAAAGGTATACGTCATGGATTCACACAGGCGGATGGAATTCCTTCTGGGGGAGTTTTTCGAGCACAAGGATAATAAAATCTATCCGGTAATTGATGTTTGGGGTCGCGATTCCAATGGTGATACGCACGGAGAGACCATTTGGACGCCATGGGCCTACAGCGACAAGGTCTTAGGCCCTACGGAGAGGCTATTTCTACGGAGTGCTTTCGCGTTGTGGGACTCTGAACGTCTAGACAAGATGAAGTCAACAGTAGCTATAAGACCCCGATGCTGATTCCGTCATCCTAGGCAAGGCAAAGCCTCGGCCTCAGCATAGGTCTTCATCTTCCTTCGCCTTTTTCTTCTAAGCCTCTTCCTTCTAGGCTTCTTGCTTTTACATTTCGAACAGGGGGGAGGGGGTATAGCCTGCTATCCTCCGGTGGCCCTTCGGGGACCCTGCCAGAGGCCTCCTTAAGCGGAAGGAAATCTAATCTATTGCGTATAGCTCCGGACTATAGCAAGTTTTAATTTAGTTGATCTAGTTAATTTAAAAGTTAATTTAAAGGTTAATTTTATAAATAGTATAAAGTCATCTACCAATTTTGCTCCTTATGTCTTGATCAGTCAACCTTTTCTAACACTCTGAGGCCTACATGAATGTCTCCTTCGCTCATATGCAGGAGAAACCAAGAGCTGCTCCGCGCCCTGTACGCACTCTTGCATATGACCACTCTATGCAGTTGGCCGCTAACGCAAATGCCAATGCCACGAACGATAACGACGGAGAACCCAGGACACCTAAGCCACGAACAGGATGGGAGCCTGGCTGTACCGGTCCTATTTCCGCATGCATCCCAAGCTTCAAAAGTCTGCCTGTGGACCCACGAGAGTTGGGTAATGACCATACCCGCCCCTACTTCTCCTTCAAGAACCCCATAGATATAGCCCTAAACTGGTTCCGTCTCCTCGAATCGCTTGAAGCTGTTTACGAGCATAAAGTCAACCATCGTTTCATGCTGAGTTACCAGACCACGGGTAGAAACATAGCCACACGAGACCAGGCTACCTCTTGGGTGTAGAGTCAACGGAAGAACTTCAAGGCTCGTGTTCTAAGCGAAGGCCCTGCCGCTACTTGGATTGGCGGCACTTTACGTATAGTACTCTGGAAGGAATGATTCATCGAAGTCAAATGAGAAGTCGACCAATCCGAGGCCAGATCCACCTTCGAAGGGGAATTCTAAAGAAAGGACATACAACGATGTTCCAAATTGTATGAAAGGTTTAGGACGTATTGTTAGGAGGGGGCGACAGAACCCAGAAAGCCGGGACCCAAAAGCTATCCTCCCACCGTAGAGAGGCTTTGACAGAGCACAAGTTAATGCTAGGCTACTGTTCAGGCAGACTAGGATGCGAGCCATGTACTCATAAAAGAAATCGGAGTTAGGACTTTCTGTATACGAAAACAATATACCTCATAGGCTTGACACAATACTAGTCTGTAATTATCATTAAAAAAAATTAGCTTTACAGTCTTGACGCTAATAATTAAATCGCTCTCCCTTGGTCGGATTTCTAACCAAACCAGCTCCCGCAAATCCAAGTCTCGTAACTCCATCACTCATCTCCCAAGCACCGTATCTCACAGGTCCAACATCATTAACCTGGTTCACAATCCCTCCAACGTTTTGGTTCGGATCCACGTTTCTCATAATATGCGACTCCTGTCCCACAGTTCCAAAAGCATTCGCAATCTCAAGCGGGTTCAGACTGACATCTCTTCCTAGCTCCCACCAGCCCCAGAATGTGGGCAGTACCGAAAAGATCCCGATGAGCGAGACTAGTACTGCTATCCACATCTTGTTATAGTCTGTTGTGTAGACTAGCGTCGTCGTGCCGCTGTCGTATTGGACTTTTTGTTTGTCTGTCGTGTTAAACCTGGCGTACTGTAGACTGGCGCGGAAGCCGAGATTGCGGGTGAGTTCAATGATATCGTCCATTGGATTCGCCCATGTGTCGTTGCAGCCGGGTACTTCACCGGCCATGGTGAGGTATTGGGTAGCTGGTAGTCCAGTCGATCTGACGTCGTAGCCTGTCGCGCCGGTGAAGCTCATGTAGGCGGTGGCGCTATAAAGAGCGCTACCAATTGTGCTGAAGCCGCCAAGGATATTACCTGAGCCGCTTGCGACCTGTCCTGCAGGCATCATATATCTGATATCTTGTTAGTCATCAGTCATAAATGATATACCGAAGAGGTGACATACTTGCGCTCGATGAACTTGTCATCCTTCCATTTTCCCAAAAGTTCCACCTTGTCTCCGTCTATCTTTACAGGGAACTTGGTGATACCGGCGTGGAGATCACAAGTTTGGACCTTCGTTTTCCCGTAACAGTTGCTGTCGTCTTTGTAAAGTGTCGCCAATTGTAGAAAAGCTCCATCCTTCATTTGGTACACGGAATAGTCGGTGAATTCGGAAACATTGACCTGGAAGAAACTCGCTCCGTTCATAGCCTGCTTCAAGTCTGTCCCTGATCCGAGGGATATGTTGTAGTTCCGCGTCGACTCGCTACAATTCACTTGAAAACCGAATCCTTCGATGGTTGTTGTGCAATTAGTGCAGGATGTATCGAAAGCGACCATGTCGTCACGACGGCTGTAGCTGTGGGCGATGTCGCTGAAGTTCTTTGTGAGTAGTGATGTGGAATGAGTGCGACCTGTCATGATACAGGCGTAGTCCATCGGCAGTTCTCGGGCAATGTGAAAGTTCATTGCTCCCTTCTGTGTCTCATAAAAGTTTGCTGTTGCAGAGGCTCGTTGCATGAGTGGACCTCGCATGACGGACAATGTCATCAAGATGGATGCTATACTAGTGTGAGTGACAATAGATTAAGACTAGGACGGATATCTTACCTATACCCAAAGTCTTTGACTTCCAGGTAAACAGATTAATAGCAGCCTGGATGATGCCTGTCGACGAGCCATACACAGCTTGCAGTTGTTGTAACTAGAACTCGTTAGCAACGGCCGTCAATGATATCGTGAGTACCTACTGTGACTGGCTTGCCAGCCGTCCTCCAGTACGAGATAGCCGCACCCTCTGTAAAAGCACAAGCAAGAAATGCACCTGACAACGCCGACGTCAACGCTAGCCAGACGGTTGGTTGTATATGCTCATCCCAATCCGCGACAGGCACTCCATCACTGTACTTCAGTATCAAAACAGCGGCCAGGGTTCCTATCAGAGATAGCAACCACATGCCAAGGCCGCGATACGGGAATCGCGTCCAGAATCCGGGGAGCCAAGGCTGGCTGAGTCTCGCGTACTGCGCCGCAAAGGGCGTTGCCATATCCTCAAGCCGATGCCATGACTTCCTGTCGCCTACGCCGCTGTCGGATTTGCCGCCTAGAAACTCATCCTTCAAGGGCCATGGCGACGGAGCTGCGAAACCGCTTTGATCTAGCATTGTCAAAATGAAGGAAGCGTGGTTCTGGTTGGCGCTTCCAAGCTACCAAAAAACAGAGATAAATACGAGAAAAGGAGTGGAAGGAGTGGATAGCGAACGTTTGGCAGGAGGATACAACCTCCAACCGCCAGGGGGGGTTCGTACGAAGGAAGTGACAGACAACGAGTCTAGAAACAAAATGAATTGGAGGTGAAGGAAAGAATTCTTCTGTTTTCGTCCCATTCCCCAGTCAAAAGACACCAAGTGCCGGCCGCTTCGCATAAATGGGACTAGGACAGGGGAACCCTGACTAGCGAATCAAGCAAGAACATGTTGGTCAAAAATGGGGATCTTAATGATCAATACGAGAATTAGCGTGTTTGGGTGACTTCATAGCTCCGCTACTGTGGATTCAGTTGATCGCCAACTCCGGAATAAATTGAGATCTTCATTTAATGGGAGAGGAGATTGAAATCCGCATACGTATGTAGCTGTGTAAACATTGCGGATAGAGCCAACTTGTCTAACGGTTTGATACCTAGACAAGTATCCATAGACAGGGCTGAGAGGTCAAAGTAGACAGCAGTAAGTAGTTTAGTTTGTTTCAGACCCAAAATCTCGGGATTTGTTTACATATCGTTCATTCAGGACCTGACCGTCCTTTTGTTTTCGTTACATTCTTGTGGATCAACCCCCGGATTAGCTCGTTCAAGTCATGCCGGTAATTATATCCGCAACAGCCGCCGGCAACAACGCTGTAACGTATAATGCAATTGCCGTGAAGCAAATATTACAGTTGAGCGATTGAGATGAGCAGAGATAGACCAATGTCACATCTTCGTACAATTAAATTAATACCCTTCAATTTAATTGCAGATCTTATCGTGTTTACTGTGAAGTGAATATCTACATCATATAGATAGCTGAAAAGGAATGGTTCATGAGTGTACGAACCGAGACATCCGGCTGGCCTAACTACGAAGCCAAACATCAGGCTTCTCCAAAGCACCTAAGATATACAAGATCAAGCTCCCCCTTATTCCTTGATAAACTCCAGCAAAGCATTCTTCACGCCCTCTCTGTCCTCGTACATCATCCAATGGCCTGCATTGAGGATTTTGCCAGTGTACCCAGCAGCAGAAAATGATTCTGTGTTCATCTGTTGATACTCGGGTGGCGCAATTGAATCCTGCGCACCACCAATAGTGAGCACAGGAACCCGTAGAGTGCGATCCTCGTCGGTCAGAATAGCCTCATCCTCTGCATTGACGCCGCGAAGAAGGGCCTTGTAATAGTTCATTGATCCTGTTGTGGCGTTTGGCTTGCTGAATGCTTCGAGCCACGCTGCTCTGTCCTCCTCGGTCATGTAGCTGGGTAGCGGGGTTGTTGTGTTGTTGTTGAGCCAGGCTCGAGCTGATCCCAGAGCACCGAGATTGTCGATCCACTTGAGATTTTCAGTAGGGAACACGAGACTGAAGAATGATTCGAGCTATCAGATGTCAGTCGAGTAATCTATTTTCGGAGTAATTGTGCTTACATGGGATGCGGCTAGACTTGGTGCATCAAGCGAGTTGAAGAAGTACCAGTAACCAAACGGCATCTTTCCAGTTGCTTTGAGGCTATTCGCATTGATAGCATCAACATCCATGAAGACCCCGGGTCGGTTATATCCGGTCGACATAAATACAATCTTCTCGAGTCGATCAGGGTGCCAGACAGCTACTCTGGACAGGACACCGGCTCCCCAGTCATGACCCACTCCGATGACCTTGTTCAGCCCTTCTTTGTCAAGAATTTCTGTTATGTGGTTGCTAATTCCCTTTAGTTTGTAGGCTTCGACTTCCAGTGGTTTATCACTGTCTCCATATCCTAGACAATCTGGCGTGATGACGCCATAGCCTGCTGCAGACAGATCCTCGATTTGGTACTTCCAATCGCGGCGGGTGGCGGGGTAGCCATGAATGAGGAGGACGGTAGCCTTGTTGTCCTGTGCTGGGACGGTATCATAAGTGTACTTTCGCCCATCTGTAGTAATAAGGGTTTTTGTTTGCAAGTTTGAGACCATGATGGCTATTGTTCAAGCAGATCAAATTGAAAGGAGCTGTGCAAGGTTCATGAGAAGATGGTTTGAAAAACTCAAGGACTGCCATTGTGTGTCACTTATAAGTGCAACATGTTCTGGCCAAGATGCATCCTTTTTCGTTTTTTTAGATAATTAGCCGAGTATACATGCAGGTGGTTTGTCATCATCAGAATGAGTCTCAATCTGATTAGCTGTTGGCTCGGTCCGGAATTTCCGTCTATGACCATACGAGGACCATACGAGAGACACAAGTAAGACGGATGAATAAGGTGCTCACCCATCAGGGTAAAGTCGTTCTTATTTGTAATCCCTGGGAGAAGATATGGGACATGATCTGATCATCATCGATAGCTGCGATCATAACGGACAAGGATGTGAGGCATTAAGAAAGTAAACAATTGCCTGGCCTAGGTTCACTTGTGCTAATAAACAGTGGAGTTAATCGTCAAGTGTAAGTTATCTTTGTTCCGCCATAACTTAATCGTACTCTCACCAGGATCGAACTGAAGAAGCATAAATCTCGACATTCCATGTTGTAATGCTTCAGTTACCCTGTGACGGACAAGACATTGAGGCTTATCGGACAATGACGTCTTATCATATCTTATCAGAGTATATCGATAACAAACATCTTATCTTATCTCATCTCCATCGACGTCATCCACTCAATCAGTCCATCCATCTTCAAGACGTTGTCTAGAGCTGTTTTAGCTGCCCAGATTCCTGGAACTTCAACCCTTACCATTTTTCGAGCAAAGGACGATACTTTCCGTCGGAATGGCGTCTTCGACATATCGTCCAGAACAATCTTGTCCAGTTATGTTCCAACGATAAGCTAAAACAAGCCGAGTCTCGCCAAGTCTTGCCCAGAATTGTACCCAAGACTCTAGGCGCAATTACAACATCTCCCATTGGTTCAAAAGATAACCGGTAATTAAGCCTCTTTGCTGGGCGCCGTCATCCATGAGCATGAAAATCAGGGCACGCAAGGGCTTGGCTTCTGCTGAGCTACGTAGCCACTACATATTCCAGAGTCGACATAAAATTTGACTTACCGGGGATTTAAGGTTATGTTTAGTGTTGAGTTGTTCAAAACGCTTGGTATTCTTGGCGTCGAAAGATGCTGACGTACGACGATGTCTGGGCATTTTGGAGGTTGACAATATGTAAATTTCCCATTTCCCCGTCGTAGGGAGTGCAGTCCTTTTTCGTGTCCATTCCATTGCCTCTTCTCAATACCGTAAACTCGACAAGTTTTACTGTTTTGCTCTGCAATGGCTGCAGCCCATCGCCATCGCAAATCCGTTGCTGCAGATCACCCTGTCCGTTCCTCCGAAAACGTCGAATTTCTCACGGACAAAGAGATTGAAGAATTCCTCGAAGATCTCGACCACGATAACGATGGACACATAAACTATGAAGAAGTCGAGCGAAAACTCGACCAGGAACATGCCAATTTGGTCCCCAAGCCGAGCGCTCACCATGTTATCAGCGAAGACCACAGCGACGATGATCGTACTCGCCATGCCTTCTTGCGAAGGATGATGGGTGACTCAGGCGTGGATCGAATCCCGAGAGATGAGTTTGCCAAGATGGTCAAGGAGTGGAAGATCCCTTCGCTCAAGCAGGCCAAGAAGGAAGAGGAGGAAGATAAAAGTTACATCAAGAAACTGCCAGGTTGGAGACGAATTCGTTCGTACTGGGCTGTTCACGGACCTGAGATTGTCTTTCTTGGTGTTGTTATCAGCATGCAGTTGGCCTTTGGCATATGGCAGCTGGTCAAGTACCAGACGACACCCGGTTACCGCGCTGCCTTTGGCTGGGGCGTCGTCATGGCCAAGACCTGCGCCGGAGCTTTGTACCCGACCTTCTTCTTCCTAATTCTCAGCATGTCGCGATACTTTTCTACGTGGCTGCGCAGGTCGTACCACATTTCGCGCTTCTTCAATTGGGATCTTTCACAGGAGTTCCACATCAGAATTTCCTGTGTTGCTATTCTGCTTGCGACATTGCATGCCATTGGGCACTTGACTGGATCTTTCGTCCATGGCAGTGATCCCGCGAATGAGGATGCGGTCGCAGAGGCACTTGGCCCTGACATGGTTCCTCGTCCTTACATCGACTATGTTCGATCACTGCCTGGCTTCACTGGTATCACTGCACTTGGCCTCTTTTGGATCCTCTGTCTGCTGAGTATCCCACAAGTGAGAAAGTGGAACTATGAGGTCTTCCAGCTTGGTCACTTGCTCATGTTTCCCATTATTGGTCTCATGATGGCTCATGGTACAGCAGCGTTGCTCCAATGGCCTATGTTTGGGTACTTCCTCGCTTTCCCTACACTCTTGGTCCTTGTGGAACGTGCCGTCCGTGTTGGTCTCGGATTCCATCGTATCAAAGCCACCATGAAGGTATTGGACAAGGAGACCGTTGAGATCACGGCGATCATTCCAAGTGAACGTCTCTGGAAGTACAAGGCTGGCCAGTATATCTTCCTGCAAGTTCCCAAGATCAGCTTCTTCCAATGGCATCCGTTCACTGTGTCCTTCTGTAGAGGCAACAAGATGATGCTGCACATCAAGACCGACGGTAACTGGACTGCTAAACTTCGTGAACTTGGAGGTGACTCTGGCGAGTCAGATATCGAAGTTGGTATCAATGGTCCCTTCGGTGCACCCGCTCAACGTTTCTACGACTTCAACCACTCCATCATCATCGGAGCTGGCATTGGTGTCACACCCTTCTCTGGTATCCTTGCCGACTTGCAGTACAATGACGATCTCGACCACGGCGGCCCAAACCATGAAGTCGATCATCCCCGTCACGACTCCGAAACAACTGCCATTCCACCAACTGCTCGTAGATCACACTCTAGCAGTAGCGAGGAGGCAACGAACAGCGACAACGTCCCTGAGACACCCACCCGACAAGGAAGTGTTGGCCCCGATCTGATCAACAAAGAGAAGCAGCCCCAAGCCGATAGAGCGGGCACCTTTGCAGAAGACTACCGACGAGTGGATTTCCACTGGATAGTCCGTGAACGAAACTATCTTCTCTGGTTGTCCGATCTTCTCAATGACGTATCTATGAGTCAAGACTGGCACCGCGAGCATGAAGATGAACCTCATCTCGATATCCGCATCAACACGCACGTAACAGCCAAGCAGAAGAAGATCTCAACTCATGTATACCGCTGGCTTTTAGAGATGCATCGTACAGACGAACATCCTGCCTCGCCACTCACAGGTCTTCTCAATCCAACACACTTTGGCCGGCCCGATTTTGATCTTATCCTGGACGAGCATTACGAGGAGATGCTCAAGTTCAGAGCGAGCAAGAGGACAAGCACAAGAGACAAGGAGAACGAGAATTATGAAGAAGACGAAGAGCTCAAGGTTGGAGTGTTTTACTGTGGCGCTCCTGTCGTAGGTGAGATTTTGGCGGATAAGTGTCGCGAGCTTACCCTGAGAGGGTGGCAGGATGGAAGTAAGTTGGAGTATCACTTTATGATTGAGGTTTTCGGATGAGGGAAGACTTGTTTCACTTTATTTTATTAGTACACGAGTTGGTATGGATATAACTTATAATCCCTATTTTAGTCATGATATGAGCTATTTTACGCCGTTGAGACATCCTTCGAAGAATGAGGAGAGTTCATTTGCATTCGTTAGAGGGAGAACACGAGAAACATCTGTATTGCCGTCAGTATGAGATTGATAAACCGAAGGGAAAGAAGAAACTCACATAAGTCAGGTCGAACGACGACAATGGCGCCTTGCTCGGGGTTGATGCCGTACCTAGCAAACGCTTCACCACAACCCAGCATGTAAGGGCTCGTATCATCGACAAAGACCCTGTGAACATCTACTTTTGTTAGCAAACCATCTGGTTGTCGCAAAAAGGGAAAATAACTTACTTCGCAAGGAGAATGGGCCTGACTTGGGAAAGAATACTTCTGGTAGCTGGTCGATCTCTACAGTCTTGCGATCTGCCCTGATTACTAAGGTATTGTTGAAGATCTTGTCCGCAGCTTCTTCAGCGAGGGAGAACTTCCTGACGAGAGTCTCGAGTTCAGTTACGACCTAAGAAGATTAGCCACATATTCAACACGTCCATAAGAATGTTCTAACCTGAGGTAATAAAGTCTTGGTGGCATTCCCAGAGCAAAAGGTCAAGATATGCCATCGCCCATCCGCAGCGAGAACACCGTTGAGTTGCAAGGGCTTCGCATCAGAAAGTCTCACTACCGGTACACTTGGGAACCTCATTCCTACCGTCAAACCCGACGCGATGCTCTGATCACTCTTGTCTTTGCACGTAAGGATTGACGGCTCGTACTTTGTAGCCATACCAGCAGTATATCGTCCAGCTTCAACGAACTTGTCTCGGAAGTCTTTAGTCGTGATCCCATTCTGTTTCCGGTAATCCGATGAGAAAAGTTTGCTGAAGGAACGGTCGAATTCGATGAGCTTCTCTGCTGTTTGTTGTCTTTCAAGGACGTATGTCTCTAGGACCGAAGGTGGTGCTCGTCCGGTAAGGACATGGGCCATTTTCCATCCAATGTTGAAGCCATCTTGTAAGCTGACGTTCATCCCCTGGCCAGCCTTGGGCGAGTGGGTATGGCACGCATCACCTGTCAAAAAGATCCGGTAGTCTTTGGTGAAATGATCAGCGAGACGTTGACCAATCACGTATGCTGACCACCACGCTGTATGGGCGACGTCGATGTTGTAAGGTGCGAATATTCTTTTGATCTTGTCGATCAGACTTTGTTCTGTGACGTCTCGAGCTGTCGTCCCAGGTAGTTCGATGTAGAATCGTACAAGCTCATCTCCTTCCCGAGGGATAATCATGAGGTTTCCGTCATTTTTGCTGATGAGCATGGCCTTTTTGCGAATGTCGGGGAAGTTGGTGATCGGGAAGACGTCCATGACTCCCCAGACTGAGTCGCTTGAATCGCCAACCATTTTGAAGCCCAGTGCTTTGCGGACGGTACTATGAGCGCCATCGCAGCCCTGTCTAGGTTAGTAATGTGAAGGATGTCTGGGTTTCCGATGACTTACGATAGCGTATTTTGCTCGGTAGTGATGCGTTTCCCCACCATGGCTAGCGACAACTTGAACAGGATACTCGTCCCCATCATCCACAATATTCACACTCTCGACTTGCGAATCGTACAAGACTCCACTTGATCCATCTCCTTTCAATCGAATGATCTCTTTCAACATCAAATCATTTATTCTCGCTTGATTGAGAATAACATGTGGCTGATGACTCAACCCCTCTTCAGTGTCGTAAGCCAGATCCTTCCTCGTCAATGTACCGTCTGCGTCACTTGGTGACCAGAAAGCTACTTCTCTCACATGGTATGCTTCTTCCAAAAGAGGCGCAGAGATACCCAGATTCTCAAAAATCTCAACGGTGCGACATTGAACACCGTCTGCTTGACCGATCTCGAGTGGACCTGGTCGTTTTTCGAGGATCTTGAAAGAGATGCCAAAACGGGCTAGAAGGACGGCTGCCGTGAGACCAGCTGAACCACCGCCGCAGATAACAACTTGGACTTTTTCGGATTCCATTGTATGAGTGGAGGTGTCTGATACGATGACAAGTAAATCTTAATGGTTTAGCGGCGTATTATATCTTGACCTTGTTGATGCCACGGTTTCGGACCACTCGGAGCACGGCGGATTGACGAGGTGGGGTTCTAGCGGCAAATGGCTTCGGCATCCGCGTTCCACGGAAGGGAAATGTGCTCGGATATAGGAGACGGAAGGCACTGGTCTGCCCCTTTGACTACCGCACATTTCTACGAAATTAATTACTTCAGGCGTCTTGCCACAATAGGTCTGGGTAAGGTGACCTGGCTATCCGATGATTTTCTAGAGGCTTGAATAAATTAATAATGGCCACTGTTTTCTTTGTAAGACAACCGATCTGGGTAAACGATACATAGAAGTGACTGAAATGGCAAGGCCCAGTGAAGTGCCTTAGCCCTGACGCCTATAGTAATCAATTTTGAGGAAATGTATGGTAAACTTATTCGTATGGAACTGCTAATGGGAATACTCTTCATAAGTCCCATATTTCGTATAATAATTCTATCAGTGGCTGTGGCGATCTCTCATTGACATGATCATCCGAATTTCCGCCTTCCTCTTTCTCGGATACATCTCCGATAAGCCATGATGACCAGGGATGCATTGGTAACCCCCGCGTATCACCGAGTTTGGCCACAAGATAACGAAATACCTCTGTCCCGGTGCGGGCTACCTTTCGTCTATCCTTTCCGTCGAACATCAGCATATCTCCTGTAATACGACTCCCGGCAAGTAAGGAGTGTAAAAGTGCTTCCGAGACTTCATCTGTTTCTTGTTTCCCATACTCTGACCATAAAAATAACTGCCAATTTCTCTTCGACTTCTGATGCTGGTGGATCACGAGTCGTAGCGATGGCTTCGCTCCTTCAGGAAGATGAGGGAGATGGAGGTCGTCATTTGATCCAGAATTCGTAGTGCAGGGCCAGTTTGACTGAAGAACTAGCTTGAACGCTGTTGCCAAGTTCACAACCACAAAGGAAGTAGGGCCTACGTCTGCACGTAGAAAACCACTGAACCCTCTAACTGAGAGAGGACCTGAGTACTGGCCTGAGAAGTCGTCAGTATCCCGGCCCAAAAAAAGCAGGATGGATTCGTTCCAATCTTCCATTGTAGGGAGAGAGAGTGTAACGAGATGCAGGATCTCATGGACTGACGTCTTGATCTCCTTCTCTTTTTGGTCGCTGTTGAACCCGATCCATATACCGAGAAACCAGGAGCACGCCAGACGTTGCAATTCCTCTGTTGTTTCTCCAGTAACGGCTTTCAACAGCATAGTTTCTTCTGCTTCCGCTTTCAGACTCAGGAGACGACTTAGAATCAGCTTTGTCAACGCGATTATCTTGATGACACATCTACTACTCTCTTCGGGACCTCCAATTTCTGTCTCGTCTTGTCCATAGCCTGCTGATAGGCCGCGGAATATAGCGGGCAGTGAACTCAAGAAATCCTCTGAAGAAAGTCGCCCGAGGAGTGTCTCCATGAACGACGTAGTTCCTGCTTTGGCTGCTGACGCTAGAAACTCATTCCTAAGAGGATCTTGGACAAATATGGACTTCCCAGAACATGCCCACGTACTGCGGTTAAAAGAGTTTCTAGTAAAGTGCCATTCGATACACTTCCGCAAGAGAAGGTTTCGATAAGGAAGTTCATCGTCAAAACTATCCAGGTGACGCATGATCCGGTCTAAACTATTGTCAACTTCTCGGCGTAGAATATATCTCTTATCGTTGATGATCTCATCGAATAATGTAGGAAGAAACGTATCGACATCAGAGGCCCCAGGTTTAAACACAGAACGATAGAGTATCATGAATGTTCCTTCCAGCCTGGCCTTCACCTCGTCCTTGCACCATCCGCATGCACCAAGAAGAGCAGCGCCACTCTCAGTAGTGCGGAGGAAGTCAATGACGCATCGGTGAGCAAACAACACTTGTTTATTCCTGTAGACATCAATTCGTTCTGGGAGAAGATCTGAGGTCGCACGACCTTCCTCTTTCACTTCAAGAAGACCGTGGCAGACAATGCGAAGCTCGTCCTCCGTCCTCGAGCACATCTTTTCCAATTCGTCGATGCTCCAGACATGGTCAATATCAAGCATAGACTCCAGATCTTGCTTATCGGAAGCAATTGCCAGCAGAAGTATCGTACTTTTCAAAAGATCATCTTCGTCAGACTCTATTCCCTGTGCTAGGTTGAAGTACCGAGACGCGGCGTGCCGGTAGCTCGTTATCTCGCCATCTTCACCAGATCGTTCCCACATTTCACGTACCAAGTCGATCAAATCTCTTGGCATATGATTGACCCTCTCAGTGAGATTCCCAATGCTGTTATCGATGCGAATCGCTCGACTGATGCTATCAAGAACAAGGGCCACCCACAGAAACACACCGGCGGCCCTTAACACAATTAAATCGAGAAGCTCCTCCCGATCTTCGGGCTCGGCGAAACTTAGACCATCAAGACGGGTATCGGCAAATTGTCGAATATCGTACTTGGTAAGCTCGTGAAGTTGTAGTCTCTCGACACCGTCGAAGTAAGTAATGAACGTATACTCCTCCCGGCTAGATACACATATTTTAATGTCCTCGAGTTTTCTTAAGAGGTCGAGCATGCTTGGGCGCTGAGGAAGTGTTGAAAGTTGCCTTTCAAGATCGTCACACTCATCGAGGCCATCAATAATAAGAAGGAATGGTTCTGTAGCAGCTTTGAGTATACAAAGCAAGGCGGTTTCTAGTTGTTGTAGATCCCAATCAGCATGCGACCACTTATGCCGGACTTCAGGCATGTCCTCCCACATCAGTTGTGAGAGCTCGATATTGTCTAAAAGGACCTGGTGAGTCAGGGATAGAAGGAATCCTTTGAGACTTCTTTCCAGAACACTCCCAGCTTTCCAGAAATAGTGGCAAAGAATTCTCGCGTTAGGCCGCCAAGCAGCCAGATGCTCTTTTGTTGAAGGATTCGTAGAGATGAATTTCATGAGTGTACTTTTACCGGATGCGGGTTTTCCACTAATCCAAAACATTTTAGAATCGGAACCTAACCAACGGGCAAAGACTGTTGGCTCCGGGTCAGAACTTGCAGTTGAAACAGTGTCATCCTTGTCCAAGATACCACTGGTAGCAGGCTCATCTTCCACTTTGTTGGTATTAGAATCCTGAATCTTCTCTTCGTCTTCACTCTGTCCCTTATCAGAACTCGATACATCCGACATATCAATCTCTTCATCAGAAATCTCATCAAGCGAAGGCATACTCTCGTCATCCGAAGAACTTTCTTCTTCCCAAGGCCCTTTGCTAGAAAATATCCACTGAAAAGTCTTTGGGAAACTCGTGACAACATGGTTTTTTCTGCCATTCATTTCAGGATACCTGAGGCTAGCTAAGAGTTGATTGTGCCTAATCAGGATGTTTTCAGTCTTGTTCCGATATGCGAGATCCTCTTGGATTACAAAGGTAGATTCTGAGATTTGTGATTGGAGCTTGTGTTCCGTAACAGAAAGATGATGCCCAAGAGTAGTACGAGTCTCTTGGTGTTGATTGCTGATATGAAGTTTTGTGTCGGTGGCTGTCTGCGACAATAGTGATGAAATATCTGTATGGCCCTGTGCTATCTTCTGAACCATGCATTGTTGGGTATCGTTCAGCGTCTCGAAGGACTCCTGTGCAAGAAGTGCCGTGGCATCGCTTTGATTACATACTCGGTTTATGAGTCGGGTTTGAAGTAGTTGTTCGTACCGTTGGAAGTTCTTTTCAAGATCCTCCAGTTCCTTGCCACGGAACAACGTCTTGATGCCACTTTTAGCAATTCTGAACTTCCCGCGGAAGCCCTTTCTGGACCCTTTGTCCACTGACAATTCCTCGAAATAGGTTCGGAATTTTTGAAGGCCTTTGTAAGCCTCCTCCCCCACCCTTATTATTTCTTTTTGGTCGCTCGTTGGATAAGTGGTTCCAGAAAGCTGCGTCCTCATCTCTTGATAGCTCATTGTTGCATCGGCAAGGTACACCTCCAACTTTGCATCAGGACTACCGTTTTCACGGATATAACGATAAACATGAAGAGCATCTTTGCCAAACGTTACTATCTGCATAACGTTACAAAGAATGCCGATTCCGGCTAGGGCCTCGGCTCCCGACATGTTTGCTCTGTTGAGGGACACTTGATCCCATGTAGAGTCTGAACTGGTAAAAAGAGAAGCGGGGTCAGTAGGTGCGGCTGAGAGTACGGATATTTGGTGTTCTTATGCATCCTATTAAGCGAGGATTTACTTTAATGAGGTACGAATGTCCTGTCTGACCAGCCAGTGATATACCCTGTCACTCAACATGAAGATCCCCATATTTCTTCTCACTAAACAAGAGGCAACCACAGCAGTTTATAAGTGCACATGCATTGAAAGAGATTCAAATGGCTTCGTTGGCACCAGCTTGATGAGTCAGTTAGTATTAACGAGAATGCTAAGTCTCTACTCGACATATACGTCCACTCTCAGCAACATTCCATTCCTCACTTCCAACTGCCACTGTAGCATAGAACAAATGCTTGGGATCATACTTCTTTTTGATCTTGAGAAGTTTATCGTAGTTGACGCCGTAGAAAGTATCTTGCCAATTGTGTTGTTGGAAATCGGCCTCGTTGATATAAGCCCCAGCACCTGGTGTCGCGGCCTCAATAACTGGCTGGATCACCTCAGTCATCTTTTTCTGAGCGGCCAACATCTCTTCCCAAGGAGCTTCATTATCCCAAGGCAGAGTCAAAGATACCTGAGCTACCGTGTTTCGCCACTGTGGTAGAACTGCGTTGCCGCTGCCACCCCCAAACTTGGATACGTTGAGTCCTACACCGATGTAGATAACACCCAACTCGGCTAGTTTTCGTGCAGTCGGTGAGAAGTCATTGACTTTGTCACGCGGCAGCAAACGCCCACCAAATATCTGAGTTCCAATCTGAATATTCCCTGCAGGAAGAGGTCCCCAATAGTGGTCGTAATGTTCGTAGTAGCTCGAGAAGTGGGTGAAGGTTGGCTCAAACTTGAAACCGAGAGTAGCCAGAGATTCAGCCAGAGGTTGGAGAATTTTCTTGACCTCTGCTTCAGTCTTTCCATATGCCGTCATGGCGGGGATCTGGAGGAATGAGTTGGAGAAGAAGTAAATGATCATGATACCCGAGTCAACAATCTTTGGAAGAGCGGCGTGGAAAGCATCAATGGCATCGTAGATCAGGTCTGGATTACCTTCGGGAGCTGTAACAAGGAAACTGGCGCCGCTGACCTTGGCTTCTGGGTGGGCTTGCACTGTAGCTGAGATAACTACTCCGTAGTTTCCAGATCCTGCACCGCTTAGAGCCCAATAGAGATCACTGTTCTTGCTTCTGTTCGCCTTTATCAGCTTCCCATCAGCAGTAACAACTTCGAACTCGAGGGTGTTGTCTGCCGCCAAGCCAAAGTTGGTGCTCAGAGCAGAGTGACCGCCACCTTGTGTATATCCTCCGGCGAGACCTACAGACGGGCATTCTCCAGTGACAACGACCAGGTTCTTTGCATGAGCAGCGCCTAAAGCCTCGAAACCTTGAACTCCTGCGCCGACTTTCAGGGCCTTGCCTTTATAATGCTTATCTTTCCAGTCAATGACTTCAGTGCTTTTCAAGTAATGAGTCCAGACGGAAAGAGCTCCGGCGCCGGTTGAACGACCGAGGTAGTCATGACCAGTATTGCGAATAACGAATCGAATGTTCTTCTCATTGACGAACTTCAAGGCAGCAGAAACATCTTCAGCCGATGTAACATTGACCGCATATCGGACGTAGTTACCGAGAGTGCAAGGCTTGTATCTGGGTTGGAAGGGATCGCAAGATTGGTTAGTGAAAATAGGTGCCATCATAGATGAAGACGATTGGGAACTACAAGGAGTCAGAAAAAGGAGGCATGACACGGTATTGGTTATGAAATCTTACTGGATTGAGGAGTAGTGCCATTCACTCTGCAAATTCTTGCACTCTTCGGCATTGTAATTGGGGTCATGGCAAGGACTTCCCAATGGTGAAGTGGCCACCAAGCGACCTCCGACGGTACTATTGAGATGACTCCATTCGGCGTCAGAAGGCCAACAAGAGTCACCAGGAAAACATTTGCAGCTCTCTTTTGCTGCAGCGCTCGAGCTGGTGGCCAAGGCCAGCAGCGAAACGGTGAAAAGATTCCGCATCCTGGTACGTTCCACGAGGAGGGTGATCAGGGATCTAGACACGGATTACAAGGGAGCAGGTAGTGTTTATATAGCGGTTCGGTAGTACAACACAGATCTCAGGGTTCCCCTCTTGCAGGGTTTGGGGACACGATCGGCGTACCACAACAATTGGCTACTGCAATAATACTTGGCATGTATAATGAGTACTAATGAAGTATTTCTAGTGCTTACTTCCAAGGATCAACAAACAAAATTCGATCTACACGACACTGTTGTGGAACGTCAATACAGCTTCGATAGTTGATTTCGCTGATACTTCAACATCTTAGACATGATAGAATTATAATCAGCAATACCGAATAACAATTCGCTCATAGATGATCGTTTTGTAACATTTGAAAAATTCGTTGATTTGTCGGTAGGGGTCCAGACAACACCTGCCTATAAAGGTGACATAGCCGAACGCAATTCTTCATTCACCGCCTGGCTAAGTTTGCAGAGTTACATCTAAATTCTGCTCCCACGTGTTCCTGTATGGTTTCTGCTTTGGTTATATCACACATGAGTTGTAAAGCGTTTTTCTTGCGAAAGAAAACCCTTTCCTTGACAGCATACAGTCCTTGTACCTTTTTGACCTTCTCAACCTTCAACCGCAGCTATTCCCTCGTCATCTCTTGCAAGCTTAGCTTGATTGAAGGCATCGTCCTCAGACGGTAATTGTAGACTGACAGCTGTGATAGGTGCCCCGGTGATCTTCATCTCTCCATCGCCTTCAACTGCCAACACATGGCCACCGGCCTTTTTGTCTGCCGACAGAAAGTGGAGGTGATCGCCTGCAACACTGATACCCTGCATGAACGTGGGCGATCGAAAACCAATAATGGTACCGTTGATATCACTGAACGTGTGCGATGCCTGGCGCTTTCCAAGCTCAGCGAGACTTTCGCCAGGCGATTGCTGTCCTCCCACGGTTCGCACAGTAACTGACTTGAATGTGCCCTCAACTCTGAAAGCCAAGTAGTGGTTTTTGGTTCCTGGCAAAAGCTCCGATAGAACCTCGGCCAACGAATCCTTTGTCTTGAGTTGTTTGGAGAGTGTCGCTGTGGGCTGATATTCAGTGATCATCGCAAAAGGCGCTATTTGCTTTGCGCAGGCATCTTTATCGAGCGCGACGACAGATCCATCAGGCTTCATATCGTAGAGGACACCATCAAGGATGATCATTTCCCCAACCATGTGTCGAAAGGTTCCCAGACCGTGGTCGCCATGCTTGAGCAGATCAGAAATGGTGATGCCTGTCTCGGCGACTCCATCCATGAGGGCTGAGACAACTGAGTATTGGAAAAGGTGATTGGACGGCATTTTGTGTGTGAGGAAGCAGGTGAGACAGGTCGATTGAGGTCTGGAATTTGGTGTAGGGATGTTGTGATGATTGGGATAAGAACACTGCGCTGTGCTTGGTCAAGAAAGTTGCTTCTAGGGTGGGGTGTCGCCTAGCCAATTGTGACCATGTCTCCAAAAGTGAAGACGTCATTTGAAGAATCGCGAGTGACAGTTGGAAGTGGATTCAACACACCCTGTCAACTTCAGTCTCGATTGATCTCTCGTAATACCTCAGATACGAAAAGAGAGTCTTTTCATAACTCAATTGTGCCGTTTGCCGTTAATATGTAACTTGTCAGTCCTTCTCAGGCATGTTATACAGGCGAGACAAATGTCTCTCTTCCCCGCAACTCTACCTGTTCAGCCCGCCACATCTGACCACATCCAGTCAATATTGTTACGCCAACATCACGAAGAAGCCAATGAAAGGAATGTGATATTTTTCAGCTGTGTAAGCCCGCATACACGGCTTGAACTGTATGAGAATATGTCAATCACCATGTCTCGAGGTATAAGAATCACTCCATAGCTCCGTAAAACAAATTTCGATTAAGAACCAGCTTCCTTTTAACGCACGAAAATCTTCAATTAGTTTATCGTGATAAAAATGGCTATTCGAGCTGAGCACCTCCCCGCGCTCCCATTGGAGCCGCTACCAGAGATTCCATCTGGTCTTCGGATCGCTTACGCGCAGCATCTCCTCAACAAGCACCTTCGCAAGCTGCGAGCAAAGCTCAATGAAGATGTCGAATTTTCTGATCCACTGCCTCGGAAAAGGTTCTCTCATTCAGCCCCATCTGACAGCGTTGGTGATCCCCTATCGGAACTTCCCGAATACAAAGGTCGTGTCGCAATTGTCGGTGCTGGTGCTACGGGCTTGTATCTTGCCATGATGCTCAAGTATCTCAAGATTAACAACGTGGATATTTATGAAGCTTCGGATAGAATTGGTGGGCGATGTTACACTTACAATTTCCCTGATGACAAGGACTCTCCGCACAATTACTATGATATCGGAGCGATGCGCATCCCAGAAATTCCAGCTATGCAATCGTAAGTACATATGATGTCCATTATTTATGAACATTGTCTGACAAGAATCGCAGCACTTTGAATCTTATTAAGGAACTGGATCTCCCTAAGGAACCTTACGTTCTGAACGCTGGTTGCGAGCCACAAATGCACTACTACTCAAACAACCCTGCTGATGCTCCTAGGTATGTTGGTTATTTTCCCACGAATTCCAGTACTAATATTAGACAGTGGAAAAGCCTATGAGGAGAGAATTAAGAAGATCATTGACAAGCTTGGCCAAAACTGGAACGAGGAGTTCAAGGCCTTGATCGATGGTGACGATGACAACTACTCCACTAGAGCTTGGCTCATGCACACAGATCCCAAGTGAGTAGTACCAGTTGGATTAGTCTTGTACTGACGGTATCAAGGTTGACCTACGAACAAACAGAAGAAGCCGAGTCGGCCGAGACGTGAGTCCCTGAGCCAGCATTTACTGCCATCCACTGACTTGGGGTTTAGATCTACAGGTCTCTTTGATCAGGCATTTATCGAGTCACTCTGTGACTACAGTGACTTCCAAGCCGCCACTGGAAAACCATGGTGGCGTCTCGAAGGAGGTATGTCCATCGTCACTGACAAGATGAACGAATGCCTCGAAGACAAGAACTGGGTCCCACACAATCCCGTCTCATTCAAGGTTAAGACCAGCACACCAGTGGTTGCCATGTCAGAGAGCGAGTCAGGCGACAAGATAGAGGTGACGCTAGCTGGTGCAAAGAAGCCCGAAAACTACGACATGGTATTCAACACCACTGCTATGGGGCCTCTCCAACGCATGGACATCTCAGGCCTCGTCCCTGGCTTTGGACTTCCTGGCTATCAGAAGAAGATCCTTACTGGTATCCGCGCTCTCAGCTACGATCGTGCTTGCAAAGTAGCCATCAAGTTCAAGACGCGATGGTGGAAGGGCATGTACAAGACTTCCACTACGGACGATACTATTGGCGGTGTATCAAGCACTGATCTCTCGGTCAGCAATGTTGTTTACCCGTCTTGGGATGACGGCGATAAACCAGCTGTACTCATGGTCTCATACAGCTGGGCACAGGATGCCACACGTATGGGAACTCTCATCCCAGACTACTCCAAACAGGATCCTTGCATCGATGACACGGTGGTCACACAGTCTTTACAAGACTTGGTCAAACTCTGGTCTAAGAGCGATCCAACTATCACTGTTGACTTTCTCAGGAGCCAGTATGTTACTCATCACGCCTACGCTTGGTCCCACGACCCATACACGGGTGGCGCATTTGCCCTCTTTGGACCCGGGCAGTTCAAGTATATGTACCCAGAGTTCCAACACATCCTTTGTGCAGGCAAATTCGCTATCTGCGGAGAGGCGTTGAGCCCCCATCATGCTTGGATCTCGGGAGCCCTTGACAGTGGATATCTCACTATGCTTCGATGGCTAGGTTATCTCGGTCATCACACTAGAATCGAAGCATTGAGGAAGTCGTGGTTTGGTGCTGGAAAGGGCGAACATGCTGCTGAGTATGATGAGACTCTGATGGCCTGGTCTGTCGAGCTGAGTCAGAAGGTCTCTGAAGAGCTAAGATGAGTCTCTTGAAGTTGTGCGTGTACGGCTGGATTATTTACAAGCTCAAATTACAATATATTTATCTACTGCAAGCTATATACCGTCCGCACCTTAAGGAAGGCTGACTAGTAGGTCTCGAAGTTTCGGAAACTTGGGTGAACCCATTCCCGAGACCGGATCCCATCCCTTAGCGGCTTTAAACCCTGCTGTACCGCAACCAGGGTTGGAGCCCTGCGTAATCTACCAGTGTTAATTACTTCTTTAAATATTATGAGGAGTCATATACTTACATCGGTGAATACTTCAGGATGTTGATATAGAATCTGGTTCAAGAAACCAATCGGCTTTTTACCAGCCAGTAACCGCTCATCATTAATCCTGTTGATCATAGCGGCAAACATCGGAGCGGCAGCGCTGGTTCCCCCACTGATAGTAGTCTTGCCGTCCTCTACCAATGTGACGTTTGCTCCCAAAAGTGCAACGTCTGGAAAAGCGCGTCCAGAAATATTGTATGTGCCCTTGGGGTACTGAGGGTTGTTGGCAGCGAGATAGCTGGCGACAGCCTTGCGCTGGTAGGCTGGCTGTGCATTCATGTTACTGAACCCGCCTAGAAAGTGTTAGCGAAGCACTTATTAAAGTCTAGAATACTCACCTCCAGAATAAAAGAAGTGCTTGGGGTCAAAAACGGCAACCTCATTGGTTCTGCTGCCCGTAAAATTAACTTGTGTCGCCCCAACTGCCGTGACGTATGGGCATGATCCAGGGAAAAGAGAATTGAAGGCCTCCTTCTTGTCATCGTAAGGGTTCAAAGTACATTGCGTCGCACCCTGAACACCACGGTCCCCGGAAGCAACAAGAACACTGACACCCGTAAGAGCCAGCTTCATCCACTCGTGACACTGGCGCTGGATATAACGTCGAGGTAAGGTCTGCTCATCAATTGCGAAAGAAATTGAAACAACGTTTGTAACTTGGTACTTGCCGCACATGGCAGGGCCTTTGTATCCCTGAAAGGCGGGATACGTGAGATCGAAATCAGGGTCATCGCCTCCATCATACTTACAATAGCTTGCATCAACGGCGTCGAGGAAGTCATTCCCAAGACCACCCTTGTTGTTGTAGGGGACCTGGAACATTGTAACAGTCTGAGGGTAGACAATGGGATACGACATTTGGATGTCGAGCAGCTCTTCGCCTTCGACGGGGACGCCCTCTGCCTTGGCGCCGTTAATACTGTTGACTTTAGGCTTCGTTCCCTTGGGGATGAATGGAGCGTGCTTTGCCCAGAAAATGTTCAGATCTGAGGGCTGATACGGGTCACCATACCCAAAGAGACCCATGGAGTTGTTCTTTGCGGCCTTGGTACCAAGAGGAATGCCGTAGAGTTCTAATGTTCATTAGTGCGGTGATCAGTTGCAGGTGCTGCTGACTTACTTCGGATACAAGCGGGAGTCCAGCTTTCACTACAGTTACGCAGATCGTCCGCCACAGAGAGCTTGTATGGTGGTGGCAGGGTATCTGGCACTGGCTTGACAGCACGACTGCGCTTTGCCTTGCCGGCCTTTGAAGATGGAGCCAGATCAACAAACTCGACTACATCCTCAATCGCAGACGGAACTACATGGTCGGTAGGTTCAAGGCGAAGTTCACCAGTCGCATCGTTGTGCACAACGTGAACTCCGGTACCGAGAAGGTTCTCAAGTTCATGAACCGGAGCAGAAAACTCTAGGATAGCAGCTGCCTTCTTGAGGTGCACAGTAGACATGTCGATACCAGCATCTTCAAGCCATTGGAAGACCTTTCGCTGCGAACCCTCGCTGGGTTTAAAGTAGTCTTGCTATATGATTATGAAATTAGAGCAACCCAGAAACGCTTTCGAAGAAAAACGTACGACTTCCCTCAGGTCAAGATGCTGCCCGAATTTGTCTGAACTAGGATCCGAAATGTCTATCAACAAGGCTTCAGCTTCAGCAAGCTTGGGTTGATGAAACGCGACAGCAGCGCGGACAACTTCATCTCCAGACACAGTTTTCCATTGTGATTGAGGAAGTGCACTGACGATCTGTGCGCCCAGAAGCGCGACAAATGCCGTGTAGCAATGCATTGCGAAGTGAACTTGCAGCAACGCGTCGTCGTCAAGACTAAATCTCTGAGAAAGAGATCTATAAGTCAAGAAAGAGTCTTGGTGGGTTAGAAATCATGAAAGTAAAGGAGTAGCATTTTGTATTTCAGTGAAATCGACTAGATAAGTAGTTTAGAACGAACGGGCCCAGTCCCTGGTTTCGAAACCTCGTATTGGAGCCGAACTAATTTTAGACGGTTCTCGTGATCGTAAAAAGCATAGCGTTGATTATAACAGACTAGTTAACCTATAGTATCCGCAAATGGAAAAATCAGGGGACTTTTTTATCTGCTATCGCCTCGTGTTTCTTCTTGATCATCTTGTAAGGTCAATGCGTAAGTCTCGTCCAGACTGGAACTGCCGATAAAGATCAATCGATAGATGTCAGTGGTCCACTGGTTCTGGGGGAAAAGAATTTGGCGCTAAATTCGGGAATAAACCCTTTAAGTGTTGGTGTTAACATCAAAGTCGAGATTTTTCTCAAGACCTGAGATGCTGGACTATGTCGGACTTGCTAACTATGTTGTTGTCGGGTAAGCGATATAAACTGAGCGTTTCACTTGAAAGGGCAAATGAAGCAAGTATAGAACAGAAACTTAATAAGCGTATTTGTTAATAGGCAAATACACAATCCAATAGTTTATCTAGACATCCATGAATACTTTATGATAGATACATTCGAGCCAGTAGCAAATGCTGAGGCTGGGTAGCTGAGAATACCCCTGTCGGTGACTGCATACTCGTAGCGAAGCATTGGTTCAGGGCATCGGTCAGTGCAGGGATTAATTGAGGCCATCTTGTCAGCAACCATAATCCCCTCAATGCATTTCCTCCACTTCCTTCAACAATATGAGCTTTGTTCAATCTGTCTAATCTAATAGTAATTGCTGCTCTGGTACCAGCAGTATGGTTCGAAACGATCCTCGGTATCCCTTCCAACGTCGAAATATTGTCGATAGAGTCTCGTCTTCATATGCAATCAAATCGCGGCTTATCGGCGCCGTTCATGGATACATAAGTGCAAGAACGGAGCAGCCAGCCTCGCTATTAGTCTTGTCATTTAGATTTCTACCTTACAAGAGAAATGTTCGAATAAAATCAGTAAACATCACTGTCGAATTCGAAGGTGATGATGACGATCCCGCTGTCGCCGCAATCGCGCCAGATGATAAGGTCAATGTCGTGAGTCAGCCTCCAGCATGCCCTCCCTTCTATGTTTGAGTTCTTACTGTCTGAAGTTCGAGAATATCACTGAGGAAACAACAAGGAATGGAATAGGCATTAATACCGGAAATGCTGGAATAGGGCTTAATGCTGAATTGGGCTTGAATTGGGAGAGAACAATCGTAGCGCAGGGAAGCTCTGCTGTCGTTCTCCCTGGCTACAAATCTGTGAAAAGCAAATCTGTTGGTGAGCCCAATGTTGTGAACTGGAACATTGTGGAAGATCCCATCGTCAAAGCAGGCGTCCCGCCATATCTGCAAACAGCCATTCTGCTTGAGCGAAGCACCGACAAGATCTTCAAAGCCAACATCAATGTCAAGGCTGATCTTTCTGGGTTTTCATTTCGGAATCTACAAGATGGTATTTTGGAGAGTGAAGATGACCCTGTGATATTTGATCCTAGTGCATATCCTCTTATGCCCAGCGAGCTAAGAGACGTGGATATACATAGCCTTGGATCGATTGATCTCTCTCAGCTTTATCGAGTACGGAACGTTATCGACAACGAAGACATCACCAGACGTGGAACTATCCGACAGGCTGTCAGAGACATTTTCTCAAAGGACGAAACATTGGACGAAAAGGTGGACGAAAAGAGCGAATCATGGTTCATTGATCTCTGGGATAACAATACTGCTGTCGATGCACGGAATGTATTGCCTAAGAAACTGGATCGAGATCACTTAGCGGAGTACTTTTCCTGGATATCGGAGACACCTGTAGGACATTGCTTCGTTTTGGTATCAGATGTTCAGCACTGATTTTGATAGAATACCGAGACCCCAGCACCAATCACACAAGCGGAACGAGAAGGACAACCCGCCCAGCGACAACAACGACACGCTCAATTCTGTAACTTGATGTATATACTCTACACTCGTGGTTTAGACCTTGGTACTAACATAACAATCTAGTGCAAGGCAATCAAGTGAGAATAAACTCACCAGTTTTAGCAAGTTGGAAAGCCTTCTCAACGAACCCTCTGTCGCATTACTTTCTGACTTCTTTGACCTCCCGGATGACTTTGAGATCTCTAGAAGGCACGACCGGGGAGGCTGCCAAGTATTTGACAATAAAGAAGGCGACAAAGACTTCAAGCGTGAGTCAGCTCTTCTAAGCGTCATATCTTGAGCTATCGCTAACTGATATCCAGTGTACATCATTCAGACACCATTCTACAGTACAGGTTTCTGGTCTTTACTTCTCTACTCCATGGCCGACAGCAGTGCAGTAGGGGAGTCTAGCAAGCTATCCGGTGTCATTCAAGCAGATGTAGGCGTTGATCTGAGAAACATCTTCCATGACGTCCGTAACCTAGTGGACAGGCATGGCCATCATCAGACACTATTGCCAGTGCAGCTATTCAAGTCACACTACGAAGCTACCCTGGCCGCGTTCAATTCTATTCAAACAGACGTGGCTATAGTTGACGACGAGCTTCTAAAGCAGTTTAAGGATGAAAGCAAGATGGATGATGCCAGCAAGCTGTACCGGCACTTAAGTATGACGTTGCACATGTGTAGTATGAACCTTGCTGAACTTGGTCGACGAAGAGAGTTTGAGGAAGAGTTTGGTAGCAAACTACAGAAGGATTTAGAGAGCGATAGCAAGCTCAAGGTCGTGGTGGAGATATACTCGAGAATGTCCAAGAGCAGGGACTCGGATATAGAGAGTCTACCTGGAAAGATTGAGAGTCAACGCAATGTCGTAGGTTTCATCATCAATGCTCTTGAGTCCAACGACTGATTCACATGAACAGCTATTCAACTTGATTACACAACACGACAGTAGTCTACAAGCTCGCCTGGCAAGAGAATCTCTCCGAGACTCCAAGGCGATGAAGACTCTCTCTATCCTGACAATTCTTTTCCTACCTGGAGCTTTCATTGCGACTGTCTTCTCTACTGAGATGTTCGACTTCAAATCCAAGGACCAGCAAGTAAGAATTTACTTTGCAATTACAATCCCTCTTACCGCCGTTTTAATGATCTGCTGGGTACTTTGGTTGAAGAACACACCTGAAAGGGATGATGTGGAATCTGTGCGCCCATATCGGCCATTCATACCTATGAACTGGACCAAGGGGGGCAAAGAAGACTGATAGGAAGGTAATACAAAACACTCTAAATGTAGATGCTATAAGCGGTCTACATAGACTATTATTGAAGTTATTTACTTTCAGTAAGAAGGGGAAATTTAGCGATGTAGACAACACAGCAGCATACTGACTTCATTCATTACTTGTGAACTGTTGAAGATCTAGGCCATTTTTATAACATCTAATAGAGTCCTTTATACAATCATATATCTTATCTCGAATAAGTTTCAGATGGTCACTGTGCTTGCAAGCACACTTTGTCGATTTGTCAAAATCGAAGATAGCTACCTCCAGTGCGCGAAGACTGAATCCAGAATATGGCGTGGTTGGTAACGGCTTCAGGCCTCGTAAAAAGAGATTCTTTTCAAGATAGCCCAGCTGAGTATAGTGACAATCTTTGTTACTTTATATAAATCACCCAATAAGGCTTCCAACTTCTGAATAAAGAGGCCGATTGTTTCGATTCTTTTTTCCTCAATAGCGTCTGATGTGCATTGTAAGTCTCATTCATATGGTTATTACATGGCTTCTTACTGACCAATAATTTGCCGCGGTATGGGCAACCCAAGCGTGTGGATAGGACCTCGACTCCTTTCAATAGCAACCTTAGTGAGAGCGCGGAATGCCTTATTGTCGGGAAAAACTCTGGCCACAGTGAGTCGCAATAATAGTTCCCTCGAGTAGTATTCAGGCTCTGGTAAACTCAGGTTTGAGGTCCATTTTTCCACCCAAATGTTAACTGCCTCATGGCAATCGTAGTAGTCTACTAGAGTGGCAATCTTTGCCAGTGTTTCGAGTGGTATTGTTCGAGGAACCCTCCGCGCGTTGTGATGTAATATATTCATCAGTATTAGGAAAACTTCAGCATCCCAGTCCCTTTCCAACAGGGTCCACTCGAAGCCAGGCTCACATTCTGTTGCTTTCCAAGCACCGTTCATTGCCTTTTTGAAGAAGGAAGATGTTATTTTGAGAATTGCAGAACAAAGTCTGAAATGTAGGTCCACTGGCTGCGTTTCAGTTTGATCACTGCCCTTATCGTCAATACCTTCAGTTGGTTGAATAGTGAGTTCACAAAGTTTCGATGTCTCGGATTGATGTTGAGGGACCGCGTTGGCCCATTCTTGGTCAATTTCACTGTTCCATGTGGCGAATGGTGCGTTAGGATTGCGGAGAATCAACAGCGTATCGCCATCCGGGTCAATCTCTTCCAGCGTAGGAGCAGACATCCTGTGCAGCAAGATTACTTAGAACGTGTTTTCTTGTAAAGAAGGTACTTTTGAAATGAACGTTGAAGGCAGAAAGATTATGACGCAACTGAAATATGTGTGGCTGGTTTGGAGTATTATTTGTCATAAAACAGAAAGTTACCATTGGCTATATTTATGGAAATCAAGTCACTGGGCCGGGTTCCCCTCAGCACATAATCCTGTGGTAGTAGGTAGAATGATAGTGGGCCGGCTTGTTGTTTGTTCAAAGATGTAAACACAATGCCTTGCAGACCCTTCCCTGTGATATTGTAACACATCGGGAAAGGTGCCACTGCGCCAATAGACTCAAAGGTCAACCAATTCAATCACAACTGATTAAATTGCCTTTCACTATAACCTTACAGATATGCCAAGATCCCATGAACAAGACAGGCGATCAAGCCCACTGATTGCGGCGTTTGGAGTCATATTTCGCATCGCAAGAGTTTTGTTGAACAAGTCTTCCAGATTTCTATGATTGATTGGGCGTGGAAAGCTGAGCGGCGATCCAGTGTCGAATATTACGACCTTTATCGGTCGATTGTGTGAGATGCCAGTCACGACACTTTAGTCACGAAGCTAAATCGTACCACGTCGGAGTATTGTTTGCTGACCATTCAAGCATTGGAATGGGGGTCACATCGAGATCCGAACTAGGTTGCAATAAATTCCCGCATCACTCAGCAAATTGTTGTCAGGTGAAAGGATTGGAAGGATTGGAAACCTGGCGAGAGAACTGAATGCAGCGCTTAATATGTGTCATGTAAAGTAGAGGACGTACCCAGACAATAGGACTCGAGTTCAGAAAATATGACCAACAAGTACGTTAAGGCATATTACATATCTTCACAATCGGCTTGCGTAATAAGAGCCAACATGCTTTCTATTAGTGAAAATTGCCCCGGATTCCACATCAAACACGGGCGGACCTTATCAAGATTGAGTGTTGCATTCCATGCTGGGTAATCTCGGCTTGACAATAGACCCTTGCGCCCCAGAGCGGCCCGTCAGCTCTAGTCCAGGAACGATTGCTGGAATGGGCTGGAACACAGCCCCCAAGAGGTCCACAGTAAGACAGTGGCAATCGTATGACTTAAAAAGAGACAACTCACCTCAGCTGCGCAGGTATTTAAATCGAGACGATCCTCATCCCATCTTCCCTTCTGTCACCAAGCACAAACTCCAAAATGAAGCTCACTTCAGTATTCCAAACCCTTGCGCTTCTCGCGGTTTCCGTTGACGCCCGCGCCGCAACCACCCTCAAGCGCAAAGCCCTCTGGAAACCAGCAGTCGGCGCCAAATGGGAAATCATCCTCTCGGAAGTCTTCAAGATCCCCAGTGGAGGTGCTAGCAAGCTTGACCCTAGCGTTACCATCTACGACCTTGACCTCTACGAAAACAGCAAGGACACATTCGCCGCTCTGCAAAAGGCTGGAAAGAATGTCATTTGCTACTTCAGCGCTGGATCATGGGAGAACTGGCGCGATGACAAGGATGAGTTTCCCGCTAAAGACCTCGGAAAGACCATGGATGGATGGCCCGATGAGAAATGGGTGAACATCAAAAGCACTGCCGTCCGGGCTATTATGGCCAAGAGGATCAAGGTCGCGGCGGACAAGGGCTGTGATGCTATTGATCCTGATAACATGGACGGTTATGTAAGTCACAGACAACGAAGGCTCACCCAATCTCAATACTAATATCGGATATAGCAAAACGACAACGGTCTTGGTCTCACAGAAGCTGACACAATCTCATACGTCAAGTTCTTGTCCGCTGAGGCGGCAAAGTACAACATGGCCATGGGCATGAAGAATGGCGGAGACGTCACCGAGGACGTCCTCCCATACGTCGCCTTCAGCATCAATGAGCAATGCATTCAGTACAAGGAGTGTGGCCTGTATGCCCCATACATCGACGCCGACAAGCCCGTCTTCAACATTGAGTACCCCAAGGGCGCACCGACCGTCAAGGCTAGTGACAAGACGAAGATTTGTTCGACAACCGGTGCTGCTGCAGACTCTGATGGGTTCAGCAAGATCATTAAGAAGTTGAACTTGGATAAGTGGACAATGTACTGTTAAGGTCTAGATAGATGATCTGTTCACAGGAGGACATCTCGTGATGTAGCCTTGGACTTTGAAGGGATATTTATTTTTCCATAAAATCATGATAAAACTATTTACATGCAACGCATCGCTCAAACGTGATTCAGCATCAACTATGTAATTCAGAAAATGATAATTTAGTTGGTGCCAGTGCAACCAACAAAGTTGTTGCCGCTAGCTCCGGTATGTGTGATAGCACCAGCGTACTGACAGCTGGTGTTGATGACGACGCGGTCAGCACCAGGGGAGCCTAAGAAATATTGTAAGCAACAATACAAAACATACAAGACGACACAACATACCTCCAGTGTAGACACCACTGGTCCTGATGGGGAACTCCTGGTAGGGGCCGTTCACGATAAAGTTGAAACCCTCTCTGTTGTTGTAAGTGTGAGGGTAAGTCGAACTACCAGCAGTATCATCATTCTGGTAGTATTGGCAGGCGGCGTTGGCAGCAGCTCGGACCTGAGCGGCAGTGTAGCTGGTGCTTCCACATCGAGTAGCAGATTGACGGCTCTCGATGGGGCTGGCAACAGCCAAGCTCACAAGAGCGGCAAGAGAGGCGACGGACTGAGGTTGATCAAGGTTAGTTACTTGGTCCAAGAGATTGACTCATGCCAAGAGTTGTCCATACCTGGAAGAAGAGCATCTTGTGAAACGGCCTGTTGAATAACGAGTAACTAACGAAGGAATGAGAGCAGCTTGCTAGGACAAGTAATCACTTTGCCACCGTTTTCCATCCTCTTTATATATCCCAATCCTCATAGTGTATCTATCTATCTATCAGACCATCTCAACCTCGGAGATTCAAAACACATACATTATCAGCAACAAAAGGCAGGTGATGCATCCCAACAGTCTCATTGGCTATGTAATCTATTAAGTTCGAGATACTATCACCACCTGCTTAATGCGGATGTAGGTCCGGTATATAGTCAAATGAGTCGTGGCCAGTCGGACTAAAATACCGCACCAAAAGCGGGTCGTGATCGGCATTTGGCTGTTTCGATGAGTCCCATGTGTGTGATATACTAGCAGTGATTCGCAACCATTGGATCTAGGAACGACAAATCGGAAGTCTTATGCCGCCCGAGTACGGACTTTTGTCTTACACCTCCGCATTGAAGCGCATCTCTTTCACGCTCCTTCATTTCTTGACCTGCATTCACTTTGTTCCATTGCATATTACAACATGGCCGACAAGATCAAAGACCTTCTTGCAGACGACAGCGTATCTGCGCAAGATGCTGCGCGGAAAATTACAAGCTCTTGTATAACCGCAATTGAGAAGAACGAAGATGCGTCCAAAATTGAGGATGAGCTGTATGCCCTCTGGCCGGGCATCCTCACCGCCGCCGAGCAAACCCCTCATGATCGACAAGATAAGCTAGTGCAAATTATGCAGGCGATAAAGGAACTTGCACCCTCCGGAGACAAGGCCAAAAAGATTGTTGTTTGGGGGAATGAGACACGCTGGGATGCGCTTCCCCTGTTCGGCTCTACAGCACGAGATGAACTTGACCGTGGTATGTTTTGAGCTACCCTTCGGAGGCAACAAACACTAACTAAAATCCCAATAGCGCAAGAAGAGTCTGAAGACTCCTGTGTAAACATCAACGCATTCTTCGCCCGTATCACGGCTGCTGGAATTGATGACTTTACTCTCTACGCCATCTGGATCTTGCGCGATGCCATTGAGGACCCCGCCGTGAATGAGATCGCACAAAAGACTTCACCCAGGCTATTGAAAGCTGCCTCAGTTTGGTTCATTTACGCTGGTGATTCATTGGCAAAGGCGACCAAAGAAGGAAAGCAATTTGATGGCAAGATGGCCAAGCCTGGGGCCAGTCTGGAGGATGGAGCTGAATGGAGAGGCTTTTGCGACGACAGGTGGAAGGCTTGGCAAGAGAGAATGTCAGCACTGAAGACCGCGGAACTCCCCGAAGATACGAAGACATTGATAGAGAAAGCGGCCCAAGGTTTGAACAAGGCATGAGCATTAGATGCATGGTATTATAGTTGCAAATTATCTATCGTAAACTACCCAATGACTGTAGTCTCATATCCACTTCCAAGTTTCTTTATCTATCTCTCGCACTTTCATATGCCTCCATAACCGTCTGTTGATACCAATTTCGCTTGCCCTTATCAGCCTTCTGAATAATATCAACTCCTTCAATCCTCCTTGCCTCTACAATACTCTTGCCTGTATCCGTCTTCACAAGTGCCCTTGCACTCTGGTAAATGCCTTGACCCGGCATAGTAACAAGTCCCACAGCGCCAGAAGTCACTTTGGTAGTCATGTTCAACAACCCGATACCAAAGCCCTTTGCTGCTCCAGCGGCGCCATTCTTCTTGCCTCCTCTGATAGGCTCCATCACTACGCCTCCGATACCCTCAACAATGCCGTGTGCAAAGTTCTTACCAGCGGCAATACCACCAGACTTCCAGTCGGTCACGGCGCCTGGGTCGTAAGCTTGACTGCCGTAGAGTTTCGGAGCGTTCCGCATTCCTTCGGAAACCGCGTAAGGGAGATCAAGTAGCATGCCCTTTGAGTAGTGCTTGAAGAAGCCACCAACGCCGGAAGCGGAGCCTTTCAGTGCGGCGACAGTGCCATGTTGTTGATGCAGGTCACTGGTGCTGCGGCTCTTACTCAGCCGAGGAGGAACAGTCAAACCCGCCGATCTTCCAAACACATCCTCGTCATTCTTGCTGCCTGTGGAGGATTGGCTGTTGAGATTACGCTCATTCAAATCTTGACTGCTTGAAGATCTCTTCGCCTCTTCTGAGTTCACAGGGCGGAATGCCTGGATTGGCTTGACGACGATATCGGAAGCCGAAGTTACCATTCCCATACTAGTAGTAGCAAGGGATGCGAGAGTCGCAGTCAGAGGGTCCCAGCGTCGATTCTCGATATGGATAGGATGGGACTGGTGACTATAGCCTGTTAGCAGAAGTTCTGAAAGTGAGTGTCGTGGGACAATAAACATACACCTTGAGGTTCTTCCATGATATCTTGTTGTTGTCCACAAGAATCTCAGCAGCAATCTTGGATAATTTGAGAGTTTTCCCGTTCTTCTTGAAAGTCCATGATGCCGCCTGGTTCGGTATCATATCGCAGCGCATGTTGTTAAGAGGCAAGTTGGCGTGAAAAGAAGCCACAGCACGTCTGACACCTGCCTCGCGAGACATTTTATCGGCGATTTTGCGAGCTGAAGCAGATGCTTCCGGAGTCAGACAGTAACGTATAGCATCTGCGAGGTTGTCTTTGTTCAGACTCTTGAAAGGAATAGGAGCTGGGCCAGCACCACCAGCATTGACCATGTTTCCCCAAAACGGTTGACTGGACGGCAGATATTAGTACTAGGAACGAAATACCGTGAGTACCACTGAGACTTACTCTCCGAAGAAGGGAACGATAGCAGTCGGTTTGGCGTTGAGTAATCCACAAGCTGTCGTTCCTGCACCACCGTGATGGACGACTGCTGTGACTTGCTGGAACAGCCATTCGTGGGGGCAGTCGCCAAGAAAGAATATGTTGTCGTCGCTAGGAGAGTCTCCGCCTAGTTTGCTCCATCCTCGCGAAACGATAGCCCGAGTGCCCGTTGCACGTACCGCTTCACGGATTGTTGCTGTCAGCTGTTCAGGGTTGTCGATCACGATGCTGCCGAAACCGATGTACACTGGGGTTGGTCCACTGGAAAGAAATTTCTCGAGGTCGACATCGGGGTTGTAAGATGGCATATCGCGGAAGAAGAAACCGCAAACATCTGGTATAGTCAATCAGTACAGATCGAAGATCGAATATAGTGTAAATAAATCTTACCAATATTGTCGGCCCAGTCTGCTGGTTTGGGAACTAATGCTGGCGACCAACAATACGTAACAGGCACTCCGAGTGTCTCGGCAAGACACGGTCCCTCACTGAACGGAATTGGCTCGAGGTCCAATGTGTGTCTCCATGCGTTGATGACATCACCGAGTCTATTGTATAGTTAGCATTTGTAAAATATGTGAAAGCCGTTTAGTAGTCAACTCACCCTTGCCATGTCATCCATTCCACCAGAGTATAAGAAACGTAGTTCGCAGCGCTTGCCGACATTTCACTACCGTTGGCCTGGAGGTTTGCAAGAGGATGGCAAAACTCTCGCGTACTAGTCCAGGGCATGGTGAACATGAGATGTACAGGGATAGCCAGGGCTTGCGCACAATGAATATGTGCAAAACTGGGCGGATTGGCGATGATTGCATCTGCAACGAATGGCTGTCCGGTCAACTCGTCTGGCCTAATGCACGAATCCCAGCACTTGTGAAGCATCTCGTTCACCATTTTTCGCTTTTTCTGAATCTCGCCGCCTCGCAGAGTCTTCATGCTAGGAAGTAGACCTGGGTTCTTGACCATGTACGCCATTAGCTCAGCAGGGTCGCCGCCGATGGAGTAGAATTCGAGACCTGCATCGCGAACAAACTTGTCGAAGTGGCCGTGGGTTGCAAGGCGAACTCGATGGCCATGGCGCTGTAATTCTGTGCCGAGGGCGACAAACGGCTGAACGTCGCCTCGACTGCCGACAACTTGGATAACGATATTGAGAGAAATGCTGGATTGGCCTATTTCCGAGTACTCTGGGGGAGGTGGAAGGCTTGACTGTTGCTCTGATGATATCTTCGGTTTCTCAATCGGAGCTAGACGCGATAAGCGTCGAACTATACGCGAACTGAGGTCAATATCAATACGGCCGTCATCTATTATCGCGTCAGTCATGAGGGGATCTCGTTACACGGGTGAGCCGTGCTAATCAATACCTCGTCCAGTTGTCGTTGCTTCCAGCTCTGCTACCACCTCGTTCTGTGGAGTAACAATCGCTGGCGCACTTCCTTCCATCTCATGATACTGTGTCTCATAACCAGAGTTAAAATTCTGTGGTGCTGACATGATTATCTTGTGTGTTTCAAAACGTTCAGTATATGAATATCGAAACGGAAATATTGTTGATGAAGGGCAGTTCAATTTTTAAATAAATATACTAATGATTCGCCACATAAATTCAGCTAACCAGCAGGTCCGAACGGTAAGGCGAGTGGATTGTACTACCATCGGTAGTTTCCGTATACGCGTATACGTCGACGCTTGTACCAACTTAGTTCGCTCTCTATTTTTAAGACACAGCAACTAAACGAGGTTCCACCAAACAGCCCAAAACAAATGTCAAACACCTGAGTCCGATCGCATTTCTAACTCTATGTCTATAATTCTAACTCATTGAGGCTCATCTACACTCTGGTGGTAGTGTACCTGTTCTTGGCCTCATCCTGACCACGGGGAACACCGTAGGCCTTGAAATACTTGTGGTTCTTCCAGGCGATAACAGCAGCCCAGAAGTGGATAGCACTGTAGAAAGAGTCAGCGATGGTTACATATGACCAGCAAACAACACTTACGAGTTCACCAAGGCCAACAGTCCGGTGACAATGCCGATAGCGCAGTTGACGCCAGAACAAATCGTGTTGACACTTTTGAATGAGAAGCCCATAACAGCCGCCCAGAAAAATACATCAAGGGTGTTGAGTACAGCATAGGCCTTGAGACTCCCAAAGCGCTTGAATCTATTCATTTTCATAGTCATGATCTCGTAGGTAAGGAATAATCCTGACTTGAGACTCTAAAGGTGTGTAAGTAAGTGACAGATCGGATTGTGGAGATTGGAAGGGACAGCTTACCATTGTTATGGCAACAATGTCCATTCTATTGAAAGGGATATGCGAAGGTGTTGTGACGATCTTGACGATGCCGAAGATGAAGATGAGAATCGTAAACGCCACTTGAAGAATTAAAACCTTGTTCTTCCATGTTGGCTCAAAGAAACGACTGTCGAAGAAACCCATGATTAAGGTGGACAGGTGCAGCGATTCGATTCGGTATAAGTCGTAGCAGAGGTCGATATAACAGAGACGCGATGTGATCAATTGGATATGTTTGATGATCTGGGAATTGGAGAAATGGTCGAAAAGGTCGATAGAGAAGAATATTATGAAGAACCAATATGTATTAACAAAAATGGTAAACGTGGAATTAAATAGTAGTCTCTTATCGAAAGTGTCTAATTCTCCAGAGATGTTTACGCGTATCTATCAAGTGTATCTCCATTGAAAACATCAACAAAAACATCCCGTTGCATTACCCTGTGGCACAGTGGAATCTTAGGACGGAGCTTGCATCCGATCGTCGCTTGGCACGCAGGCCTTTCAGCATCGTCATCAGCAGTAAAACATTAAGGATAGTAGTATGAGATCTAGTGTCCCTTAAAACTTCAAATATGCTTACATTTTAAGATTCGCTAGTCAGTGCGATACGCGGAAGTGTGATTGTTACTTTACGCGTATTGCATCTGATTTTTTCTAGGTCTAGCGTGGTGTGTACGAGTAATGGTGGTGGCTCAGTAGGCACAGCCCACGTCTTCAAACACAAGGACACGGACACGGTAAGCTCCGATGGTGGGTACATCCTGTGTCGCAGAAGACGCTATGCCTAAATGAGGTACCTTCACGTCGCGAGAGCATAACTCACTGTTGAATGCGCAGGGCTGTAACTTGAATCTGGGGTAGAGAGTTGAGTAACACGAGTCTATAACGCGTAAGATGTAGAAGAACATCAAATTTATTAACCTTGCTAATGCTCAGTCTGGTTACAGAGGATCCGTAGCGAATAGGCATTGAAGATCACCCAGGTCGTACTCGGTAACAATGAGAGGGATGATTGGGGCGCGTCTCGAGCCAAAGGGGATTATGTAAGTACTGTGTACACCTGCAAGGTCACGTGATCTCTATCATATATCATTACGGTGTGGTACCGAAACCTTTGACACGGTACATGTTCAATGTTCTATCGACAAATGTCATTTCTCTTTATGTTTCACCATAGTCCTATCGAATTATACCTTAAGAACAGTTTCATAAGTCCATGTTTATGCGGTAAATTATCCTAACTATCTTACACCTTTATTTTATTTATTGTTTTCTGAGTTTATGAGTTTGCTTTTCAGATCGGCTTTATCACATGGGGTAAGCTAGCGCCTTTGGCTCTTGTTCTAGACTCTGATCTACCCTGCCTGGCTGCACTAGCCTAGCCTCATGCGACTTGCGGTTTAGCGCTGAATTCCACTGAAAGCTGATTCAAACTATCGATCAATTTCAAGTTTGTGGAGATTGACGTCGTGTCTCCTCCAATCAAACCTGTGATAACTTAACATTTAGAAGAAGCTGGGAAGTTTTCGGTAAGATCTTCAGAACTATTGTTTTCTGTCGAGAAGAAAGGCGTGTGTGCAATATACGTGTTTTAGTACTAATCCGGTGGCTGTAGAGAGGCTATAATATCGTCAAGAGTCGCCCCATCGATGGAGAGCGTTCTTTTCTCAACGTTCTCGTTCGTACCTTCGTTTGTTGCAACGCAAATAGCTAATTCACATCTACTACTCTCTTTAAATCTCAAGATGCATTGGATTTCTAATGTAACTGTTCTGGGCGCTGCACTGGCCCCCACTGCCAGTGCTCGTCCTGCTTGCCGGCCCGATCGAACAACTTCCTCCGGTATCACTACGTAAAATACTGTCACTTCATCAGGAACTGCCACACTGGAATCTACTACTCTCATCTCTACGACAGTTGCTGAAACCACGGCCGCTGCGGAAACAACTATAGCTGAAGCTGAGGCAATCTCCACCACTGGAGTCGCGACCACCACAGAAGGCGAGACAACAACGGTTCAGGGTACTACTATTACCGTAGTTCAAACAGCCTCGGCTGTTGAAGCTGCAACCAATACTGAAGCCGATACAACGACTACTGAGGCAACTGCTACTACTGCGGCCGCTGGTCCGACGAGCTTGACTAAAAATAGCGGCTTTGAATCTCGGGGAAACACGGCCTGGGCCCTGCAAGGCACCGAGATCAAGAATACAGGATTAGCTCATTCGGGCACACACTTCCTGTAGGTCTTCCCCATGTCTAACAGTCCACTGCTAACAGACGCCACGCAGTCAATTCGGCGTAAATGACGGCTATGCACCTGGCCAACTCCGTGCAGGACAAGCTGTTACTGGTCTTGACACCAATCAGAGATACGATTTCTTATTCTGTGCCACTGTATTCAGCAGCCCGGTGCCCAGCAGGGCCAATTATGTCATCTGCGCAATCCAGGCAGTCGAGGATGATGCTATAATGGCAGTCTTCTTGTTGGACTTCAACACCCTCGGCTCGTACCAGCCATTTACATCTCTCTTCTACCTTATGAACAGCGACTTCACGTTCAATCTAAGACTTGAATGTAGTGATGGGGAGAAGGTTACGCTCGCGCTTGGTGTCGATGATATCACGATGACCAAGGTTAGCTCTTGATTGTTAGCCTAAGCCTTTGCATAATAGTAGTGGCAATTGCAGGGACGGAACATAGACGAGGGCATAAGATTGAATAAATGGGGCAACATGGGTTATGGATTCGTGGTTCTCATCTCAAACAATTAACATTCTACCAGTTCTTCAGAAGCTATTCGCTATACATAATCTCCAAATACATCTCAGGATTATAATAAATTAAGAACGCCTTTTTGATAGTTAATATAGGATTATTCAATCCTGGCCTATTGCAAAGGCCTCATTTGCTAGCTCGGAATCCCTCGATAGAGGCGCAAGAGGAAGGTAAAGCCGAGATAGGTTATTTCATCAAGCAAGGCGGAGCCGATGAAGCTGGAATTAGTTTGACGTCGTATCTTGTATCCCCATTCGGTTGGGTGGTATTCGTGCCACATCTGCTATATTGGTTGCGTTATGGATCAAACCACAGAGGGACCGGGATTGACTGACTGTTGGTGGATCGTTGGTTGCAGGAGGAAGAAACAGCTACTGTTCATTAAGGAGTTTAGTTTCGAGGTTGAAAGAGGAAGAAGTTGCTGCTATCTGTAGGGCGGGACAAAGGCTTCTTTTATAGTCATAGCCGACATGATAGAGTTCAGGCAGCTGCCGTGTGAGTTACTGTGGAAAACTTAGTCTTGAGAGAACCTTTGATTTGAAGATTGGTCGAAAATTTAATCTGTGCGGACAAATTAACCTTTGTTGAAAACCTTGAAAAAACTGAGAGGGCCTGGGCAAAAGTTGGTAGACCAGAAAAAATGAAAAAGAGTTTGGTTATTACCCTCGCATGATATTGGTGGGAGAGTAAATTATTGAGAGCCTTGATTTAAGATTTTGAGATTCTAATCTATGGGGATCCTTCGTCGTAAACTTCTTGGACTTGCGTTTGTTTAAGTAGAGTAAAGAAAAAATAAAGGATTATTTGCTATAACGGGGGAGCTCATCTGGCAGACCCCAAGTTTGAATCGGAATCTTTCCAACATGGGAAGGGGGAATCGCAGTAATACCCTTCGCTATACCAAAATTAACCCGAAGGAAGTGTCTCATCTTAGCTGCCCACTCTCTCCTTCCCATGATATCAACAGTAGTGAAAGTAATTTGCTCATAGAATAGTCCGAGTGCTGGCAGAACTTGCAAAATGAGATAGCCTAAGAGAGTTGGTACTTGTTCAGCCTCCATCTGCGGATTGTCTTTGCAAACACCGACAAACGTCGATATGCATGATTCGCGTATCATATCAGTAAATGACAAAATACTGTCCTCAATGTCTGTTCGGCGGGGAAAACTCGGATCGATCGTTTCTTTCCTTTCTTGGAGGATGTCATACGTGTATAAAAGTGCCTGGTTGATGATACTTCGAGAAAGCCAGTAGAATCTCCAGAGTATTTGCACCATCAGTGTTGGGTATGTGTGATAGTTGAGGGGTCTCCACGGGTTGTTGATAAGTGGTTGCAACCATTCAGGGTATGGCCCGGCGGGTAGTGGTTCTGTCGTGTAGCTCAAGGATGGAGGCGCAGTTTGAGACCATTCTTCAAAGCGCCTGTCCAACATCGCGGCCCGGCTTGCTACATCTGATAATCTCTTCAAACCCTTATCAGATTCGTAATCAAGTAAAGCGGTTCTCCACTCAGCAAACTGGCATGCAGCTTCATAAATGAGTTGTATGTGAGCGTAAAAGTCTGGCAATTTTGGTAATGCCAACTTGTTCACTGATGTCCATGAGATAGGAAGAGTTTGACCATTGAGGAACGTGCTGTAAAGCTTTAAAAGTGTTAGCATAATACGTAAGATGAGATAATTCCATTCTCACCATTTGCAAGAAACAAACTGCTGAAACTTCAAACTCTGCCGGAGATTCGATGATCTTGTCTTGTCCACGAATACTTAGCAAGGTGGAGGCACCACTCATGTGAGATTCACAGGAACCTTCGAGCGCAATAGATTCATGCATCAAGCCCTGCAGGGAATTAGAAACTGCTTACTCTAGTCAGTCGTGTTATGTAGAATACATACCTCATAAATCCCCAGTAGAGTAATAGCCGACACGACATCACAATATGAAGAGGAATCGTCAGTGCAAAGCAGTTTGACTTTTAACATCTGGATTGCTTTACCGTACCATGTTCTCGCTTTGTTCAATGCGTCAGGAGAATTGAATCGTTGGCCATAACTTGCGTTGGCCACAGCGTTGATAGATTTGTGAATGAGACTGTCCACGCTCGCGTTGGTGTAGATTTTGAACAAGTTCGCAAACCAACTCATTGTATAGCCTCCAGATATATTTCCTGATGTTGCCCAGTCAAAGAAAAATCTTTGGAAGACCTGTGCATCTGATGAGGTTGACTAGGATAAACAATCAGCTCTGTCAACATCATAGACATGGTATTCTCGCATAGGCACATACTAATGACTCCATGGCAAGGTTGAGATCTGTAATTGATGTTTGAGCATCTGTGACTGGCCGTTTTGCCTCAGATTTGTTGGCTTTCCTGTTCAACTTGTCCATGCTGGGGGGACTTGAATCCGACGTGCTAGCGGCTGAGCTGTTCTGTGATTCTTGTTCATCTTTGCTTGGCCAAACACATGTTTGATTGGATTTAATACAAGAGGTGCAACGAGGTTTTATCTCGTCACACTTCTTGCGTTTGCTTCGACAAGTAAGACATCCGTTCTTGGAACGTGGTTGGTTTCGACGATACTTTGTTGGATACGCTGCACCCTTGCCAGCTGAACTCTGTTGGGGATCCATATAGTAGTTTGGGTGTACGTTTCTCTTGCTTGACAGTTGCACTTGAGAGTTTCACAAAGTGAAAACAAAACAAACTGCTAGGACAAGCCATAGCTATTTATCTATGTTCCTAAGTTGCATTGTGGGCTGAGTCCTACGATATAATTAAATGCTCTGGTTCTGTTCCAATCTCGTTTTTGCATGAAAAGCAGGGTTTATCTTATCTAAACGCTTATCGTCAAACTTGGCCCCCGCGGTTAAACTATAAAAGGACAAGTTCGGATCACATACCGAAGAAACCTTGGATATCAACCAATGATATGAATTACGCTAACTATCATTACGTTAATTAACCAGCTCGATCTGGACACGAGGTAGCTCACCTTCCCTATAGCATCAGATCCTTCGAAGGATCGACAAAGGTGCCAATCAAATCAATCGAGGATCGCCACAAGTGCCGTTGGTGCTAATCAGAATGCCGGGCCCGGTTGCTGCATGATTCCAAGATACGAATTCCAAGATTAGGATTTGTAACTCATACGAGTTGTCATGTCAGATTCTCGACAGAACCTCTCGTAATAGATAAGCCTCGTATTAATGCTACGCCGCTTTATATATAGTATCATAGGTGCAGAGTTCAGTCCTGTTTTCTGCATAAAGACTTTCGTAAGGTCGGGACTTTGTATCGCCACTCACTGAGTACGACCAAGGACCGAGATCGAAGCCGATGATAACAAAGAATAGGCCGCTACAAGTGCCCTGGTTGTTAATTTCATTTCCAGACTTGACTACTTAGTGACTACGTGACCTGAGTGGTGAAAACTAAGAACAAACTTATCTATAGCGTCGATCCTTCGAGCCCAATTTGCAACTTGCTCAATATTTGTATGTTCATATTGTTAGCATAAGATAGCAATACATCGAAAAGTAGTTTTGAATATTGTCATTCTGTAATTTCTTCAAAAGGGCGTTACAGTCACAGGTATTCTCGTGGCTCGCTACAGTGGATATGTCGTTTTACAGAAAAGCGGTAACGTCTTGGCACAGTTGTTGTGGCTGGGCAAGTGTCTTCAATATTAGAAATAACCTTGACTACACCCTGCTCATCGGCAGGTAGGTTTGATGAGACCAGGCGCATAGGAGCAACCTACTGATCATAACCTTCCTTCAAACTATGTACAAGAGTAAACACGCTCTTCAATAGTTCAACATCTCGCTCAGACGCTCCTGATTCTGTTAATACATCAAATGCTTCATGGAAACCCACAGCCCAACGAAAATAAGAAAAGTCCATGAGGCAGAACCATGAAACAACCTCAAAAACCCAACAGTCATCGTTTTGAATAGCTGACTGAATCCAAAGCTTATTTGGTGATTGCAACATTGCTGCTTGAAGGATTTTAGGCATCATGGCCCAGTACTTCATCCTCGTGTTTGTGGCATGCCACTTCGTGATTGTCGGGCTTTCCAGTTGATCATAGTCGAGTTTTGCGAGAGCTAAGATAGATAAAGTGTCTCGTCTCTCGACTGCTCTGCTAATAAGTTCAAAATGTAAGATGTCTGACGTCGGTATGCGTCCAAGAAGATACTCTTTGGCTGGGTTATCCATCGCAAGGCTAATGAACATGGGACACAACCATCGAATCAGATTATAGTCCATCTTCTGTTGAATAACTGAAGGGACATATAAACCTATGCGCCTCAGCAGTGTCCAAAGATTCACGTAGTTTCTTATTCTTTGAACCCCCCGAGATTTTGTAAGCTCATGTTTGAAACCCAATTATGTGTCCAAAAGAAAGAGCCCAAATCATCCTGGCCCACTGGGGCGATACCCAACTTGAGATTTGCTTTTTTGCTAGTGGGCGTCTCCGCCTGATTCGTAGTTTGGAGATTTCGGCATCGGCTGAAAACTGATCTACTGCTTCCTGCAGAGGATATGGGATGATAATAGGAACGGGGAGGTTTTCCTCATCGATACCAAACGAGGGATGATCAAGCAAGGTATGCCATTGTGGTAGTGATGGAAGGTCTTCCAGGTGAGCTGTTTGATGCAACCAGTGCCTCTTCGCGTAACTCGCCAATGAGAAATGATGTTCCTGGTAGAGATTCGCACTTCGTTTCGCTAAAGTTGGACCGATATCCCGTTTTAAGTTCGCCCTCGAACTAAGCAGCCTATTTGCGATCTTTGTTCCCTTGAAATGCCTACTCATGGCATTAACAGCCACTATCTTTGGCACATGACTTGCGTCTATGTTTGGCACTACATTCTTTGAAAGTCTCGTCTCAAAGATATTGCAGCTTAGGTAGGTTATGAGTGTCTCAGCCATGTGTTGGTCTGCTTCCATCTGGGTAAAGCTCCAGCCAGAAACAGAGTGGAGCCCATGTAGACAGAAACTTCGCGCGCTATGGTGAATAAATCGAACGGTGTCATCTTCTTCGTCCACCATAACCAGACTACCACAGAATTTGAGAACCAGGTATATACTTGTTATCTCTTTGTCGTAGTTCCACACTGTTCGTCCTATAGTGACGCTCGCGGCCTGACGAAGTTGTTCAGCTGTTAATAGCTCTCTTGCGCCAACTAGAAGCTTGAAAATTCTGACATGGAGTCTCTTGGAGTCTCTTGAAATTGCTTTAGAAAGATTTCGCTTGAATGTTTCTGTTAAATCACCCGGTAGATCGTGGATGGCTGCTCGAATATCGTGGTCAGATACTTCATCACAGACAGAGTCAAGCTGCAAGGATGCCCAAAGAAACCTCAATGATATCAGCAAACGTTTCTGAAGGATAGAAGTGTCCTGAGTACTTACATTCCGCATGCCCCTGTGATGAGCTCCTTCTTGACTTCCTCGACCAGATTCGGATCCTGGGTGACAAGTCTCCCGTCCTCCACTCTTCTGTCTACCTCTGCTTCTATGAAATCTGAAATATCTGGATTCTCTTCTGGTATATGAACCTGGAAGTCAAATGGCCTTTTCCTCCAAATAGGACCATTCTGGGGTGTCCGTACTGACAAGCATATTTTATACCCAAATCCCTGTATTTCTGTCAGATGCGTCAAGACTGTGCGTTGAACATCCAATTCGCATTCATCTAGGCCGTCGAGTACGATGGATACGTTGTCAGGTTTTGCTCGTCGGAAGAGGTCGACAATGGTATCCAGGTCAAGGTGGGATACAGTCTCAGAAAATAAATGACTGAAACCGGTGTCGTTCATGACATGCTCTAAAAGCTGTCGTATGAGGCAGCCGAAGATCGTTCTAGCCTTCGTGCTTTTGTCGTTATCATGTCTCGAAAAGAAGTAGAGAGTTATTGCATTGTCTCGCAAATTTAGGTCATCTACCAAGTTGGCTAGTAAAACAGATTTTCCAGCACCAAGTTTTCCAAGGAATAGAATCGATGTTTTCCTAGATCCCTCTTTCCATTGTTGATATGCTGGGAAACACGTTAGCATTCCGGTCGTCCCTCATTTACGAGTCTGCTTCCAGGTCGTTCGATAGTCGTGTTTCGAGCATGCGTCCAAAACGCGAGTGGACCTCTCAATCCTCTGTTGATGGTCAAAAGCATCAGAACGAAATGTAGTCAAAGAGCGGAAAATGGAATTTTCTTTCGCTTCCTGGGCAACTTTCCGATTCAACAATAGGTCTGTTTCTTCTTTGATTGCCGAAGACCACAGATCAAGGTCGTCTTTGAATGTCTTCATTTGAGGATCGTTCATGGTGGAGGCGAGCCGGCCCAAGGCAGATTTCTTTGTCCATAATACTGACTGATGACAGAGCTTAGTGATGACAATAAAATACTCGCATAGATTGACTTGTAGAGCTTTCGACTTTGGGTATAACGCTGCCATGGCTTGGTAGCGTGGCGCATTTCGACCCATCGCCATGAAGAGCTGTGATAAATTTTCTAGATATGTATAATACCCAGTGATGACCTATCGCTCGGTGTTAGCGTAAATACCCAGCGTTGTGCGATCAGGCGTTTGAATTGTAGTCACTCACATGGAGAGTCAACCTTGCAACAGCCCAGACTCCACAAGCGATGAGGTTTTGGCCTCCCCCAACTACAATGTCACCCAATGCTGCAAACTGCTGGATAGCCTGAAGAGTATTTGTCATCCTTGGTCCAAAACATCGCCCGCGGCCATGTTTACTAGTGGCTTTGAGATCGATCTCTGCAGTAAGCCGCATGACATCTGACATAGTCGGTGCCGCACTGACTGCCCGGTCGCGCGATGTTCTGAAGGTGGATTTTTGCTCGAATGTCAGTAGCGCCTCAAACTCAGACACCGCCTGAGCCAGACGGATGTCTGGCTTCAGGCTGCCGGACTCGCGAATTACGAGCGCCATCACGACGCCTACTTAGCTAGATAACGCAAAGTGAGACAGAAATGAAATTGAGAGATGAGGGGATTTGTGGGGTGCGGCTGAGACTTTGCAGAGCAACATGCAGGGGTTGATCAAACAAGGCTCGGCTGGAGGAGGCAAATATTGCTTATGTGACAGCATTGCTTTCATTGCCACTTTATCAGTCTTCTCTGCACATTTACGTGTATATAGTTTTCCCTTAACAAAAGGATGATAGTCTGGTACAAAATCAAGGTGGTTCAGAATGTTCGAGTACGATCGCAATGCAGAGAAGAGAACCATAAATTTGCGGTACAACGATCTTTTGTGAATTCGTAATTGTTAAACTTCTATGTACACATAAATTGAGTCTCTCCAACGTCTACTTTCTCAATGTGCCCTCGATTTGAGGCTTGAGATAAGTCTCGATGTACTCATCGTTCCTCCAGCCAGACCAATCAGGCTTCTTCATTCCCCAAGAATCGTCAAACTCTTGGATACCCTGACGGGTGTAGTACCGACCAACAATAACCCAGATGAACCAACTCGCTTGCATCTCAGGAAGATACTCAGACAAGCAGCTGATATAAGTCTTGGCAGTCTCGTAGTCTGCTCCGTTCATGGCTTGACCAAACTCAGTCAACATGACGGGGAAGACCTCAGCAACGTTGGGGTCAGACTCATTCATAGCTTGGAAGCCCTTGTTGTAGAGGTTGTATCGAAGAGAAGGGCAGCTAGTTCCCTTGTTCTCGTATGTGTGGATCTCAAGAACAAGCTTGTCCTTTCCGTAACCGACGAAGTCATCGCGGTTGAAGACCTCACCGCCGGGCTGAAGCTCCTCGCCACTGTAAAGAGGGGTGACGTAGGTGTCGTAGTTCATACCAGAGATGACGATGACGGCTTCAGGGTCAGCCTTGTGGACAGCATCGGCGCCCTGGCGCATGTACTTGTAAAGGTCACTCCAGTTGTATGACTCATCGCGGAGCTTCTTGTTGTTGGTTGGCTCACGAGGCTCATTGCGAAGAGACTGAGAGACCTTCGCGGGCCAGTTCTTGGCCTATTGATTGTCAGTATGAGGGGCTTTGTTTCGACATGGAGTATACATACGTGAGCAGCCATGTAAGCACCGCCTCGAACCCACTTCTCTGCGTCGAACTGGGTGTCTCCCCACCAGGTGTTACCATCTTCACCGCCACAGCACCACTTGCCTTCGGAAATGTGGTTGTCAAGGTTGATATAAATCTCTTGACGGAGACACTCGGCAGCAATAGCGTCGTAAACCTATGCCGGTTAGTATTCTGTCAAGGATCAATCCGATAGTGAGATATCTTACCTCGAGGCGTTTTGTCTCGGGAGTGAATGAAGGGTTGTTCTTCAACACCTTCTCAAGAACAATAGTTCCGTTCTCCTTTCCAAGACCCTCTTCAAAAGCAGTCTTGATATCAATGTCTTTGCCATCGTTGGCGTAGATCTGATCAACCATCTCGGTGGCAAAGGTGAGTCGGATGGCGTTCATTCCAATGCCCTTGATATCCGAGATGACATCCTGAATGGACTGGTACTGGAGACCCTCAGGGACCATGACTTCGCCGTGACCAGGCCAGTTGGCACCAGCAAGGCTGACCTTCTCGTCATTGGCGTTGACGATCCATCGGCCAGAGGTTCTGAATGGTCCATTTGGCCATGCTGCTGCGGCATTGCCAATGAGGCAGCCAAGTGCAAGAAGAGGGCTCACAAATTGTCTCATCGTGGGAAGATGTGATGAAGAGACAGGATCGATGAGTACAACTCAGGAGCACTTATATGATGCGAGGATGGAGAACTTATAGTCCGGCGTTCCATTAAGCTCATGGCCACTGCAGTCCCGGAGCGGACCGATGATCTTGGCAATTTGCTTGGACCCAATGCAATGTTAAAAACACCTGACGTATGCATTCACTGATGTCACGATACTACAGTGATGGTGAACAGGGGATAGAACCTGGGGAAGGCGATGGCCTCCTTAACAAGGTTAGGCAGATGACGATCTTTGCGTTTTACGAAGCCATGATTTCCCCGCATTCACCAGGTTACTACTTTGAGCTATTCGGCTCCGGTATCCCCGACACGGTGAACCCTGGTCCACGATGCGGGGTGATTGTCACGAGTCGACGATAATTTGAAAGCCCTCGGTAGTCAAATCATTCCCTGATGTCAGTACATCTCCGGGAGAGCTACGGCCGAATGTATAGCAATGTTTGGTCTAATACGTGTGTCGATCGTAGTCTGCAGATTACTACAGGTAGGGAGCATCGAAGTACACGTCGAGGCTCGTCCGCATGTAAGGGACAAGTCTAGTGAAAGAACCAAAGACAGAACAGTCACTTGCCAGTTATATCTGGAATTGATTCGGGGTAGTTTCCTGCCCTCTTGTTAATTCCCATTATACCTTCTTGCAAAATATCCAGGAATCGTTAGCGGACTACTTTCCCCATTGGGATGCACAATCAGTTGACTGGAGGGAAAATTGACAAAGATCAGCGGCTAAGAGCAAGAGCCGATTTGCCCGCTTACAATAAAGCTTGGCCATGACCTCCCCACAAAGCGACTGACGCTTTGGCTAATCGTTTGTCTTTCTGTTTAATTCCTACAGCGATTGCTATAGAGTAATTGTAAAAATATGACTTTTAACTGTGTATTAATGACTGACACTAATGGAATCGAAATGTCCTCTACATCCGAACTGTAATGTCGATAAACTCCAATTTGAACATCCTCTTACATATTAGTTAGGCTTCTGACCCCAAACGACCTTCTGTGCAAAATATCCATGATATTTTCCTGACCGGATTTCGCGTTTGAATTGAGTAACGTAGGCAAGAATGTCCTCCCTGCTCCAACCCAGTGTGTGTGCCATGAACAGAACGAAACCCTCGCTATCAGTCTCAAGACCGTGCTTAGTATAAGAACCCATCTGCTTTTCGACGGGATCATCAGGCCAATTGCCAATCGGGTTCTAATCAATATTTAGTTTGAAGGAAATGAACTGATTAAGAGGCAACATACTCTGAAGTCAAATTCTTGAATGTTGACGAATCCTGCCTTTTCCATAGCCTTTCTTTGCATACCATCTTCGACGACTGTGAAGCTTGTTCCAATCTTTTTACTGCCTTCAATGAAGAACTTACCCCAGTGGCCCATAGCTGAGTCGGGTGGGACGGTGTTGTCATCACTGCTGATAGTAGACGCAGCTTCATGACTCTCTACCCAGCCTCCAGGCTTGGACACTCTAAAGGCTTCGGAGAAGAAGGAGTCCCAGTTCCTGATACTTCCCATTAACCATCTAGCATGGATGTAGTCGGCGAAGCCAGACGTGAAGCTCCAATCCCAGGTACAGTCCTCAATAATGCTGCCGGATGTTAATCACTGCTACCACGATTTTAGCATTTCTTACAATTGAAGGTTGGGTGGGATCCAAGAAGGCTGGATTGGTGAGAGATCAGTTCCAATGATTTGAGCTTCAGGATACTGATCGGCAAAGTCGCTAAGATTTTCGGTTAGAGGGCGGTATTTGTCAGATGACAATAACTTACATAGCCCATATGCCTGGAAATCACATGTCAGTTTGATGTTCAATAAGAGGCGTCGAGAAAGGCTATACCTGTTCCAGTTCCGATATCAATCACATTCTTGATGGATATTAGCGCATCATCTTGCTGAACGAGATTTTCTTACTTTCACATCGTGTTTGATCACAGGAGCCAGATGAAGCTTATCACCTAGCCCAAGCGTGAGGATATGATGCCTGGTCTGTCAAGATCGTAACTCATGCTTACAGACGTGAATGGCTTACGTGAGGTCCATCAAATCATTCTGTTGCTTGTCGTTTGACCCCCTTTGCGGATCTATCAGCTCCCATGATAGTGGTAGTATATCACAACAGTACTCACCAGTATTGGGCATTCCCCTGCTCACTGTGATAAGTACGCCCATGGATAGTTCTGTACTGAAGAATACTGGAGGTAATAGATGCTAAAGTTGAATCACCGTCAGACACCTCAGTGGTTTCAAGCTCGTCATTGTTTGCCTCGGCGGTCTTATCACATGATTCAGCATTTTATGTCGCTTCACATACTTTATACTCAACTGACCTCTCCCATTCGTGCCCAGTGCTGCGGCTCTGGTAGGACAACGGATGCCGTTGGCTGGGGTGCATTTGATGTAGTCATTCTCCCGTCTTGACTTGTCGGCTCAGTGGACTGGGTCATTTTGTGTCACAACAAGGATAGATATAGTATATAACGATATGCCTATCTCTTTGTCAAATAACAAGGTAGCATGAATGATGAGCGATTAAAATCGACACACGAAAGGCTCAGTGGTATGATCTGGGCTGCAGGACCCGGAACATATCACTTCCGGTTAATCCTTGCATGCTCCGACACACGGGAAAGATGGCTCGCCAACGCATATTGGAATTTATAAGGATTCAAAGTCAAAGATCTATATTATTCTACTGCCATGGCGAAGTATCACTTGAAAAAGTGATCATTAAAATCCTGAGCTAATGCTTCTTCTCTCCACCCGTAGAATGTCTAATAGAAGCAAGCTTTGCCCAATCCTTTGGATCTTTCCACTTGATTCGGCACTCGTCACACTCCTTGCCCATTCTATATACCCACTTATGTTCGACACCACCACGGCAGTCTCCGAATTTTCCTTTCTTGGGGATATCATCACAAAAGTGTGAGGTAGTGATGGTACGATCTTCCTTCGAGCATGTTGGACAGTGGAAACTAGTATTTCTTGTCCAGCACATAGTGGGCTTATAGTAATTCTAGTTAAAGATATTGCAACGTTGGTTGCTATTGATCTTGTGAAAGTAGTAATGGTTGAGAAAATGGAGAAGTATGCCGGGTCCCAAATGACTATGAAGTTGTTAGACTTTATATACTGTTGGTGGTGTAAATCACAGATGTTATTAGTCAGGCAGTTCATTCCATATCGCGTTGGAATATTCAGCTGACTGTCTCACACTGAACAATTCATTGAGGTTAATCACATTTGAGAACTTTGAATGCGCATAGGATCTGAGCAGAATGTCCATCGAAGTGATGGGTCCAGACTTAATCATCACTTCGTCTATCATTCCATGTTCAACATATAAAGCTCTTTACTTTGCTGCTTAGCATGAACAAAGACTCACATACCTTACGGTGAGAATGAATCCTCTTCTAGGCTATGTACGATGAATGAGAGTTTATGATTCAGTACACATATGGAGATGGGGCAGCTGCAAAAGGCTTTAAAACCTATTCACACTACGGAGGCGGTTAGAAACATGTTCTAGAGTCCTAAATAGAGAATTCTATTCTCAATTATTTGCAATCACATTTTTTATCTAAATCACTTCAATGCTGGGAAATACATGAGCTTTTCAAATAGCGCCGGTAGTTCAGTGTCAACGATGGTCTTGGGTATTCGGCTTAGTCTCCTCCCTCTCTTCCTCCTCTTCCTACTCTTCTTCTTCCCGCCACCGTCTACAATCCTCGCTTTCCTCTCCCCAAACATTGAAATATAGATCCTCAGTTTCCCAGTTGCAGTCGCCAAGAGCCCCTCCTTTGGATAAATATATGCACCCGTTATCGAGGTTAATGACAAAGTACGCTATCTCACAAGTAGGGCAGAAGACGCTTGTGTGGGTTCTAAAACACATGGCTGTTCGATATGGCTGATAGATAATGTTGACTTTCTTTTATTTAATGGTGTTAGTTTGTAGAAGACAAGATGGAGAATAAGACTGTTAGCGATTCATATGCTGTTTCTATCCGACTGAGTCACTTTTCGTATGACCGTATACTATGTTGTTGAATAGAACGTGTGTAACATGCCAAATCTGGCCTTCTTTCAAAAGCATTGCACCTGACTTGAATATTTCAGTCATTCACTTCATTTCTGCACATCATATCTATCGTAAAATTTCAGCTTCACATACTCGTTGTTATCCACGCTGCTTGTGTTATTAAGTGATATAAATTTGACAGATTATGACAGGGCGATGCAAGGTATCTGCTTAGCTGCATGCACTCCAAGTACTTAATATACTTACCTACCTTACCTATACTAAAGTTAGTGTGTACATATTTACCTTCTCAGAATACCAACTTCTCCTTATTGACTCCAAATAGCGCTAGTCCATTCTCGAAAGCAGATTGTCGATCATCAGCACCAAGTTCCTTCTCATCGGCGATGATCCTTTCCCGGCTCTTGAGAAGCTCAAGCGCAATGTCACGCCATTGTACTTCTGTCTTATCCTGATTCAATTCAGGTGCCAGTCCAAGGTCAAGTTTGATCGATCCAAGACGCCCATCGCGCTTCTTGAATTGCCCATCCACAATAACCGCCTCGATGTCGGAAGGCGACGAGTGGTCAATGATAGCACCGATGGGGTCTTCTTCAGCCGCGCAGATCATGCTAGGACTGAGGGTATCCCAGATAAGAAGATCAGCAATCTTGCCTTCTTCCAGAGACCCGATTTGGTCTTCCATGTGAATCGCCCTTGCACCACGAATTGTTGCCAACTGAAAGGCTTCTTGAACATTTACTTGGATTTGCCCAGGGAATTTGCCAGTGTCGAGGATTTTGTTGTTGCGACGAGAGCGCTCAGCCTGAATTGCAATTCTCATCTGTGTTACGATACTCCCACTGTTGTTGCTGTGGCAGTCGATGCCCAGAGAACTGATAGAGGTGCAATTTTCCTGAAAGCACACTGGCCAACCATGGGACATTTGGAGCTCAGTTTCGGGAGTCGAGGAGACAGCTGCTCCAACCTTTTTGAGTTTCTCAGCATCTGAGTCATTCAGTGGAGTCGCGTGAGACAACAGAATGTCTTTCTCCAACAGACCATAGCCTTCCAGCAGATCTACGAGAGAGTCCTCTATACAGGAGTCAGTTGGTCTGTAAAAGTCGGCAAAAGATACAAAGTGGAGCACTTACCAAGCAGGCTAGCCACATAATGAGACGTGATAGTCTTGATTCCCAACTCTCGTACTTTGCCAAAGATGCCGACAAGGACTTCCTTTGGAAGAAAGTAAAAGTCGAATCCAAAGCCCATTGTAACTCGTCCGTCGCCGAGAGGACCGCGTTGACACAGTTCTGTCAACTGTTCCATGACCCAGTCTGGGATAAGAGTTTCTTCAAACTCAAATGGCTTCCAGGTCTTGACTCTTCCTGTCGGAGTATAGCAATACACAGAGCGAATACCAGATGAGATGGTTCCCGACAAAGCCGCATTATCTATTTGGCATGCGTCAGTTGGTACTCAATCAAGTTGATGACGTACTTACTATGCTCGGGGGTGTATGAGATGTGTGCATGGTCAACAATGGTGGTTGTTCCTGCTTCCAGTGCTTCGAGACATCCACCTAGCTGTCCCCAAAAGACATCATCTGGTTTGTAGCTACGCGATACCATGTTTCCTTTTGCAGCAATTAGCAGTCAAATTTCCGAGGTCGTCAGAGTAATACGAACCAGGTGCCATGTACTCTAACAAGCTGTGGTCTGCATGTCTACCCTTCACTTGTGTTTGCCAGACATGATGGTGCGTGTCAATGAAGCCTGGCGTGATAAGCTTAGCCGTGCAGTCAATCACTTCAGTTGCTTCAGACGGCGGGTCGATTTGCGCAGCGATACGAGAAATTTTGTTGCCCTCAATCAACAGTGAATGGTTCTTGAGTGGGATGATATGATCATCGCCAGGGCCACAAGGGACCAACAAAGTAGCGTTTTGTAACAGGATGGAAGTCATTTTCGGAAAGTCACGAGGTAACACAATTTATGTGATCAGAAGCTTACCAACAGTTTCAGTTCTGCCAACGTTTTATCGATTATACCAGCCCTTCATATAGTTCTTTTCAATACCCTACAAGACCCATTTGGGTGGTAGTTCTCACATCATCCCAGATGAGGGGTTCATGGGTAACTGGGTATACGATTGGCTGTTGATAGCCTATTCTTCTGGGCCTCAATTCCTTGTGCCTTGTAATGGTAGCAAACATATCAATACATCACGTCATTGCCCCGATGGAGGCTTTCCTTTCCCACCATTATTAATCATAGAACCCATCTCACTATACATACCGAGTAGCAAGGGTTTGATCCTTAGGGTACATACGACAAGGCATGCAGCATGTATTGGTGGTATAGTGTCTTGAACACTCCACAATCGTTACTGTCTTATTGATGTTTAAGACCGTTAAGTCCGACCGGGTCACTTGCAAATCATGAAGCTATTCTTTTCTTTTGTCTTAAGGCCGATTACTCCGGAACTTACCTTGCCAGGCATCTAATACTCAACACATATCCGCTATAATTGTTCAACTTCCATTCCTTGATAGCCAAGTAATAACATCAGTAAACCAGCCACAGACCCAGGTTCTAGATAGTCAACGGCACAAGACCCATTCATACATGCGTTATATTTGTTGACTATGAGTTGAATGAACGTGATTCTGAGTTAGCGCTGACATCGCTTACAGATTACGATCATACGCGCTACAAATTAAGGTTGCTAATAAGCTCACTGGGGACGGTGAGTAACCAAACAAGCTTAACTCTATTACCAACTGCCAAGCTGCCTAGCATCGTTATCTGGTATTATGAATAACGAAAGCCCATTACTTTCCTACCAATACCACATTGGGAAGTGCGACAATTTAAATCTTGTCGCCAACCTTCACATCAAAACTCAACGACTGGTTGTTGATTAACACCGTCCAGTACCAATGGCTTCTTGGACTATTCAATCGCCATAAATTGAACACTTGGCCAGATTTTTAGATCATGAATGAATACGAACACTTAAGAAACGGTTTGTTTATTACCTAATGATATCTGTACATCCATATTTGATAAATCTCTGTTTTGGGGTAAGACGGACTCTACGTCTACCTGTAAACCTCTCTTAGAATGGAGCGGAGTTTGATTCCAAGCCTGCCACGTAACTTGTGTTAAGTGCGCTATTCTTCACTGTCGCTGCGTTCTACCAGGACTTCAGCTGGATAATGTTTCTCGAAACATGTCGTGGGCAAGCATTTCGGCTGGCGTGGCTCTGAGTGACGGCTCAAACCTCAGCATACTCCCAATTGCATCAGCCATCGTCGCAAGTTCTTCTTTCGTGAACTCATCCGTCTCGTTACCGACATATTAACACTCTTCTAGCCATTCATGAAGCGTGAATATCTCATCATCTTCAGGGGTGCTCTCCTGATTAGCCTGTCTTTCAACGAGTTCTTTTTGCATGATACCCCATTGGGCCTGCCATCTCGATGGCAGTTCGTCAGAGAGTTCCTCAAGCATCTGCTGAACGAGAAGAGGGGAGGTCTGCATAATGGTGTTGAATGGAGGGTGATCCGCTATGAGTTCGAAGATCTGTTACTATTGACATTCTTTTTCAAAGAGAGATTAATAGATATTTCCTTACCAGACTGCCAGCATTCCAAAGATCTACTCGACGATCCAACGGATCCCCAAAGACGACCTCCGGTGGCCGTAAATACACTGGGCTTTTCAGTGTTTATGGACCATTGTTACCAAAGAAAGTTTCTCCAAAGTCGATAATCTTGACGGATGGACGAGATAGTATATTATTGAATCCCCGGAACGATGTGGGTTCAATAGTTTCAGTTGGGAAATTATCCTCCAAAGGCCCGCCATTTACTCTGGTCACTGCACCTGTCGCGATCTCCCCAAGCCTGGCAACGAAGTCCTCTTCACTTAGAGAGTTTAAATCAGGCAGAGCCATAGCAATGTTTTTAGTGTGCAAATCTACAAGTAAAGGTAGCATCATATGGAAGTACCCAAGATGTACAGAATTTACCCCCATGTGCGATGTCATTGACCGCAAGGAAGTCGAGCCTTTGCAGCACCTGCTTGGCGACAACTTTCACAAGGGTGGCTGGAAGTCTGTAACTGTAAACCGTAGGGGCCAAGGCCATGTTGAACGTGGGGGCCTGCGATTTCCATTACCAAGCACTCGTGGGAACCATTCGGACCGTCGAGAGTGAAATGGTCCAACGGTTGGATTATGTGAGATGACCCGGGGTGAGTTTTTGGCAGAGCAGATAATGCTTGCAAGACGTTGAGCTCTCTAGTCTCTGGGGCATCAGCGATTTTGACCTTTACTGCAACATAGGAATTGGTCCTGACGCAGAGTTAGTAAATGGTATTCCTTGGTCGTAAAAGCACGCGTACTTCTGGTCTTTTGCAGCCCAGGTAGTAAGGTAGCCACCCCATCCCAACTTGTGAAGAACTTTGTACCTCCCATCTTTCAAGGGTCTTATACAATGTAATAGGATGCTAACCACATGGCTTGTATTTTTCGACCGGTTCAGCATCGGTACCGCACCTGTGTGTGAAAGATGGTATCTTGGAATAATGGCAACGAGATGGATTGAGTCGCTGCTGGCAAATAGAATTAATTGAGTAGCCATTGGCGAGAACGAGACGCGTCCTCCGGGAAACGAGGTGCGCCATGGTTGCCTCAAGTTGTCGTGTTCTTGCCAGTCCTTGCGGATTTTACGTGGCATCAAGCTGGTGGACAATCAAGACATGGCGATTGCACACATCATGTGTGTCCGTAAACTCTGATAATAGATTTGGGTTTGCCAAAGTCAATATCATGTCTGTCATGTATTAAAGAAGTGCTAATCTGGCGACCGGGTGCTTTTGGCTCTCACAGGCTCTATAGACATTAATAAGAAGCACTTTTCATAACGGGGGCTTGGTGTAGGGGTATCACGTTCGCTTTGCATTGTTCCGAATGATTGCGAAAGGCCGGGGGTTCAAATCCCTCAGCCTCCAAATTTTTGCGTGTCATCAGATCGATGACCTTCTTTTTTCAATCAAATTACTCGAGATTAAAACATAGACTGACCACCTACGAAGTCGCAAGTAGTTATCTCAAGCTGAAGGTCGTGGATTATAGAATGCCTTGATATTTCTCATGAGGGCATCGTGGTCCACAGAGACTAATACAAACACGGACACGTAATCTGGTTTAGGGCAATGTGGCAGTGTGAGCAAATTCCTTATCAAACAGTCTGTCACCAGCCACCACGCCACACATCCACCTTGACTCTCCACTTGCCAGCAAAAAGACAGATAACGAGGAATCTATCCATGACGCGTTGACAAAGATCAAAATATAAAAAAACAACGCGTGTCTCCGGTGCGGGGAATCGAACCCCGCTCGCCGCGGATTTCTCGAGATGAAAACGCGGTATGCTAACCGATACACCACACCGGACTTTAGTTGTTAGTCAGCGCTGTTATTGGAACTTATATAGATCATTGTCGAGGAGAGACCTAAGCAAGAGCTTCGACAAGTAGGTCTCAGTATCTCACCATGCAAATTGAGAAAAGGGAATATAAGAATAGCTGCCCCTCGACAGTTTCCTACTTCTGTAGAACACACAACAGTGTAAAAGTGGAACTCTTACTTGTCCTGAGTTCAAACCATAAAGCTTGGTTAATCTCAAATCTCTTGTCATGAATTGGCACCTAAAGTCTGAACATGAATAGATACCCTTTGAACCAACACAAAATTCTCCATAACCAAATATCTTATGCATTCTGTAATATTACTCTTACCTCACACATAGAATCCTACCATGTGTGATTCAGTCTTGACTATGGGTTGTAGTGAGAAATTAAAGCAACCATAATGGTCTAGGGTAGTATCATGACCTGAAAAGTGTAGCCCTGAGATTTTACTCACAACCATGTAAGCAAAACAACAGAGTAGACATTCTCCACTGAACGAGGAAATGCCTCGAAATATTTCCCATTATAAGCAAGTTGCACATAACAATAAGCTACATTTTAACCTTGAATCGCTTTAACCTCGGATTCGAGGGGTCTCACGCTAAATGCCGCCACAACATTATCATCTCTTGCTTCACGCCGGTGAGATTAACGCTACTGCTTACAATCTTTGGCTCAACGACGACCACGGCGGTCACTTTCTATTCAGCAGTGTCAATAAAGCCAAGTACACGGACCTGGTCACCTTTTACATTCCTTTGACCGATCCCTCCGACAATGTCCCCGAGAGACTCATCGAAGGTTTCGGCGGAACCAATGCTGGCAATTCCACTTCGATTGACTTTTATCCACGACCCGTTCTGTTGGATTTAGGCATAGTCATGAGTCCACTGAGTCAAGACATGATGCTTCGCGTGATGACGAGCCTGGACGGCGTTATCAAAAGAAAATGGTGCCATGGTGCCTTGTAACAAATACCATAAGTACACTCTTGACTTTAACCTTGGAGAATTGACCATTAATGTTCCCCTCGAGGTCTTTACAATGAAACCCAAGACGATTCGTTCAAGGGAGCCTGCATAGTTTATGACAACGAGAACGGAGATCTCTTTGGCTCAGTACAACCCCAAAGGGGGAAAAGACGATATCCACGAGATCGTGAAGAACGTTCCTGGGGCCACTCAAGCTAAGAACATCCCTATGAAGTTCGACTAGTACGAAGGCAGCGAGATATGTGACCCACAGCCCCATCGGAATCGAAGACTGTCACCATGGCCGTTTTCAGTAGTGAACCTGCCTTTGCAACAGCGATTGGTGATCCTAGGTCCACCAACGCGGGTCTGTCAATCGCCAAACCCACAGAGACTAGATACGCTAAAGGTTCAGATGATGATGAAGACAACGCAGCAGCGAGGAGTCTGCCAGGAAAAGCCATGTGTGCTGTTGTTTTTGGATTGATCGCTGGTGTTTCGTATGTGGTAAAGATTGGGGGTATAGCGGAAAGCATAGCGTTGTTTATTTATCAATGTCGGTCAAGTATTTACGATGGTTCAGATTACATGGATTAAAACAATACGAGTTAATTATTGACAAAAAAAAATAAAAACAGTAATTCATGGAATGGTCACATGAGGCAAAAGGAAATGATCACGCTGGGGATCGAACCCAGAATCTTCTGATTCGTAGTCAGACGCCTTGCCATTGGGCCACGCGACCTTGTCTTATTGATGAAGGATGTGCCCATATTGTTTAACATAATCGCCAAGCTTACAGGAGGATCGGCGTGGGAGAGGGTATCTCACCAGATCTTGTCGCCAAATGCCGGGGGATAGTTCTCAATTCTGTAGTCCTTACTTTTATGAACGGATGCGGAAGTTTGAGTCTGGCAGGTAGATTACAACGGTTAATAACGCCCCACAACTTGGAGCACAAGGGTTGAAAATTGTCATATCAGCCTTGTATCAACTGTAATTACCTCCGTGTACAGAGCACAAATTGTATCTTCGTGGGTAGCAAAGCTCGGAGATCAATTTGGTGTCCAGAAAGTGTGAAGAGACATTGTCCATGAAAAAAACTGTGGTGATGATTATTATTGGTTGATCACAGAGTAGTCAAGAGTGCACTGTAGCCAGAGAGATTTGAGTGATCGGCCGATCTATTGGTGCTACATAATAGGAAATAAAACAAATCGCAAGTCTATCAGAAAGAGTGTCTAGTACAAGTTCGCTTTTCATTTGGAACCACCATGTTCCACAACCTCAAATGCCAAGCGTATCATCGAGGTTCCACCGCATTCAATTGTCACCGTCCATCGAATATCCGTTCCGAGCTGTTGAAATGTCCACTACCTAGAAGGCGTGTTTTCGAACAGTTATCAATTAGTTGTGCTTCTGCTCGCCGTTGTTGTTGGCCTTGGCCTTGGCGGTAGTCTTGGGCTTCTCAGCAGAGTTACCCTGGTTCTTCTGAGCGTTGTTCTGCTCAGTCTTGGTCTGGGCCTTGTCGTTGGACTTCTGCTCAGAAGGGAGCTGTCCTCGGGGCTCATCATGAGTAGGAGCACTAGTAGGAACCTTGGCCGCAGGGCAGCTCTTGGCAAAGACGTAAAGGTCGTCATCACTCTGGGGAACCTGAGCGGGGGCAACCTTGTAAAGCTTGCAGACAGGTGCAGATGCGGCGGCAGGAAGGCCAAAGACGAAGCTCTGGCAGCCAGTCTGAGCATTGCAGGCATCCTGGCACTTGTCGGCAGTCTTGACGCTGGGAGTAGCGAAAGGCTTGACGTTGCCGTTGGTAGCACCAGTAGGAGCAGTGTTGCAGACCTGGTCACGAGCAGCTAGCTTGCCTTTGACTTGGCCGCGGGGCTCATCGTGAGTGGGCTTGGTGTTGGGAACAGCCTTGGAAGAGCAGGCCTTGTCAAAGACGTACAGCTCGCTGCCTTGATTGGGAACCTGAGCGGCAGAGACAGCATAGAGCTTGCAAGTAGGAGTCTTGGTATTGGCGGGGAGGCCGAAAATGAAGCTCTTGCAAGAAGTATTGGAGGAGCAGGCCTTCAGACAGGCTTCAGCGGTAGTAGCGGAAGGCTGAGAGATGGGCTTGATGTTGGCGTTGGTGGCAGCTGAAGGAGCGACGTTGCACTGCTGGCTGCGAGCATCGAGAGGGAAGGCCAGGATGGCGGAGGCCATGGAGGCAGTGAGGATAGCGAAAGCGGTCTTCATGTTGAAAGATGGTGGTGTAACTTGAAAGTTGGATTGGGAAGTAGGTTGAAAGAGTGTGAAGGTGTTGAAGAAAGTGATTGGTGTAGTTGTTGAGACTGTTGTGTGATGATGAGGAAAAATCTGGATTGAATGGGAAGTGATGATGCCTTTATACCTGTTGAGCTTGCTATATTTGACTTATCTTAGGGGAAATAGTATGCAGGTGGAGTCCCCTGAGTGCAACATACCGCGTCAGCAATTGTCGTAACGTTCTACAGTGAAGATCTGTGTGTTTGTCGAAGTTGTCAGGGAGGTTGGATGATCTCGAAGCTCGGATCTGCTCTACGTGGAACCGTCAGGGCGGTGCATCATGCCGTTTGTCCTGTGGGCCACAGCCTCAATTGATGGACGAAAGTTCACTTTCCTACGTCTCCTTTATTGTTCATCGTCATGTTTGATAGTCATAACCTCTAAATTACAATGTTTATATATTAAATTCGTAGGAACGATCGCCGGTAACAATGTTGTTTCTCACCTTCACTCAATCCAAAGTGCAATGGGTTCTGCATCATGACCTCTAACTCTTGTGTCGTTCATACGCAACACAATTTGTGCTATGCCATTTATTCGTCATTTTTGCATTGGGTTCGCGCTATTGGTTTTCTCAAACCCCGAATCAACTCCCTACGGAAGTATCCGTGGGCTATTACGTCTCTGGGCTACCTTCAGGTCCATCGTGGCTTAGCATCAATTGAAGATCCCCCACATGCCGTTAGAGACACAAGTCCCCGTTGCCGTCGGATAATAAATAGTGCTAAGCTTTAGTAGCCTCACGCTAATGACCCTGGGTTATGTTGCAATGAAACACATTGACAAGACTTGACGCGCCTACTAATGCAAGATCGGAAAGTGGGAAGCTCGATCTTGCGCACCGAAGAAACAAAACACTTCCGTCCAATGGGATCACGTTCCATTCGTCTGAATTTGTGGGAAATCGTCAAGCTGGGGCTGTGGAAACTACATGGGATTAGGCAGTGTGTGTTGAATTGCTTCAAACAATTTGTCTTCAAGTCGAACCATATTTCAATATTAACTTTCCAATAAGGCCCAATACAAAAGTGAGATTCATCATAATGTCAAACTTCATTCTACTTGAATTTTTCATAGTACCTATTTAGAGAGAGTTATCAGTTAGAAATGACGAACCGTCATGTCAAAAGCCACATAATAAAGAGCCGTAGCATGGAGTCAACAATAATTGAAGCTGTTACCCTACAGACTTGGATTTCTTGATGTAGGCAATCCCCGTTCTAGTCTAAACAGACGATGACGTTCGAGTTTCTGCAGCTAAAAGGTCTCGACCGTTGTTCCGGGGCTAGAATGTTTGGTAGAACAACAGTTGTTTCAAGCTATGTGGGTCAAAGAAACACCAATGCACAGCCACATAGTTAAGGGGTGACAGCGGAACGGAACGCCAAAAGGCTGGTGCTACATTTATGCAGCATATCAAGATCATGAGGAGTCGTTATGTACTATAACAGTCCTGACCAGTACACATCGAAATGTTGATCAGGTTCATGGGACGGAGAGACATTTCTCTAAGCTTTCTTGCCAAGCAAAAAGATGCTCATGGCAGTAATAACCCAACAATACAGCACTAATTGATAAAGCTCAAAATATCTCACAAGGCCAGTTTGACTAGACATCACAAGGGGATAGTTAGTTAGTGACGAGTTATGCACAGATAAAGTTATGTGCTCCATATCTACGTAAATTTGCGTCTTCGGCTCGATGTGTCGCCGTTCCACCACGGGCCATCGCCATGCACTATTATACTTGACCGTCGTGAAGCTACTGCAGGCTGTCCCACGGGCCATCCCAACAGGTTACGTCGGCTTACACTGCACGTCCCAAACTCTAATCGGTCTAATGAGATATCCATACCACTAAAGAATTTGACCTGATTGGTTCAGTCTAGTAATTGGACAAAACTGAGAAACGTGCATGGTGGTAAGGAGACAGAGACTTGCGGCCGGATGCCATCTTAAAAACACTAGTAGCTGCTGAAGGCTCCGAGCGTTACTAGAACAGAGTTAGACAAGCTCTGTAGGAACATACGATGGAAAGATGCAATGAGAAAAGCATATCCGTAGTCGCAAAAGTGTCCAGGGGATTCCCGGATCACAGAGTGACAAGATCTGATAGTGTAACTAAAACTTACGACTCCTAGGATTTTGACACCGCTTGTCATGTTTAGCTTCTACCCCTTACGTGTTCTCTTCCTTTCCGGAACGGATGCGTACTCTCGTGCGATCATTCGAGATTTGTGTGGCTGCCAGAAAGACTACAATGGGCCTCACTCGATGAAGCTATGGGTTACGGGTAGGGGAAATGAGAGGAAATGCTTATACAGAAATCAATCACCTTCCATAACTCGGTGACAGATATGTCACTGTGTTACGTGAAGTCTCCACGATGAGGTTTCACCACAACGAAAGTTTGGCAGTATACTTGGACGAACCTCCCTGTGCGTGAAGCTCAGCGGCTTCAAAAATTACCAGCTGTGTGCGATTTACAGTATCAGCCATTACGTTTAAAAAGATCAATGCCAATTAGTAGAATGACCTGAACAGTGGCACTACAGTTTGCTCGTATCTTGGATGTAGGAGAAGGCCAGATGAGCTCTGAGCCAGAACAACTCCAGCGGGACTTCGGAAATTATGCAGCGTTTGTAGTAGAGTGGCAAGCGTATCTTGAACATAGGAAAATCCCAACAGAGCATAGGAAGATGTTGGTTCATTGGGGTCGTGTGTCGGATTAAGGGAGCGAGTTTATGGTGAATATTCATCGTAATAGCGATTAACGTCTCAGAGTGACATGTTCCACAAGCCCATGAAACCCTCAATGAGAAACTCTGGAGGTGTTATGAAGTTTCTAAGAGATTGTCTCCGGTAAATCTATCCAACTCATCGCCCGGAAAATCTCAAGTCTAACCTCTGAGTTGATTGTAAACAGACGCTTCCCACATCACGAGCTGTGATTCAAACGGTTTGTTCCCGAGGAGGGTCGTCCAAGTTTAGCTCCTAAACTATTGATTTCATGTTCATGCACGACTGCAGTTTGCTGGTGTTCTGTGTGTTGAGTAGTGTCTGCGACGCGTCACCCACTTCGCGCTTCCTCACGGAGCCCTCACTAGCTCAAATCGATACCAGAAAGCCTCAAAGATAAATACTGCCTACTCTTCCAACTATCAGGAATTTCTTATCATCACAGCAAACACTCTCATTCACATTCACATTCACTCACAATTTTTCAACCACTTTCGTTCAACTTCTTACACTCACTCACTCGAATTCATTCGTTTCATTAACACTCAACTCAATCACCATGAAGACCTCCATTGCCATCCTTTCTGCTTCCGTAGCTTCTGCCATGGCCAGCCCCTTCTCCATCAACTCCAAGCAATGCAACGTCGCCCCCAGCGCTTCTGCCAGTGGAAAAGTTCAGCCTTACCACAACGGCAAGGCTGACACCGCCATCGATTGCCAGACCTACTGTGCTTCTGATGACTCCTGCAAGAGCTTTGCTTTTGGTCTTGCCAAGGGTGCCCACGAACCCAGCTGCCTTCTATTCGAAGTAGCTGCTGCCAAGGTGCCTGCCCGCAAGGATGGTTTTCACGTCTTTGACCGGGAGTGCGCTGCTGATCGTGTTCCCACTTCGGCTCCTACTACCGGCCAGCCTTGGGGAACTGTTCCTAAGAAGGTCCTTGGACGCCGAGGTACGCAGTGCAACTGTGCTGCTTCTGGGTCTTCGAACGCTGATGTTCAGCCTTTCAAGACAACTACTGCGGCTACTGCCAAGGACTGTCAGGTTCTTGCTGAGGCTGATACTTCATGCATGAGCTTCCTCTTTGGTCTCTCTGATGACTCCAAGTCTCCTGTCTGCAAGCTCTATAAGGTTGCGGCCTCTAGTATTCCTGCTCGCAGTGACAAGCTCTTCGTTTTTGACAAGGGCTGTTCTTCCAAGCAGGTTCCCACTACTGCTCCTACCGAGGATGCTCCTCGCGGTCTTATTTCTGCAGCCTCCAAGGTCACCAAGGATGCTAAGGTTACCAAGGTCCAGAAGTCTCAGTCCAAGGCTACCAAGATTACCAAGGTAGAGGACAAGATGACTGAGCAGGAGGGAGACTATGAGGTCTCTGGCTCTAAGCCTAAGACCACCAAGGTCCAGAAGTCCCAGCCCAAGGTTACCAAGGTTGCCAATGGTGAGGGAAACAAGGTCCAATATGCCGAGCCCGAGGTCACTCAACATGCCGAGAAGCCCAAGTCCAAATCCACCAAGACCATGAACTCCAAGGCTAAGGCTACTAAGGCTGTCAAGGTTGACAATGAGAAGGTTCAGTACGCGGAGCCCACCAGGGTTTCCAACACCAAGGCCAAGGTCACCAAGGTCGCTGAGGTTAACAACAACAACGAGGCTAAGGACACCAAGGCCAAGGCTGAGGACAACAAGCAGACCAAGGCTACCAAGGTCAAGGACACCAAGGTCAATGCTACTAAGGTCGCCAAGGTCGAGGTCGAGAACGAGAACATCCAGTACGCTGAGCCCACCAAGGTTTCCAACACCAAGACCAAGGTCACCAAGATCGCTGAGGTTGACATCAACATCAACAACAAGGCCAAGGCTACCAAGGTTCATAACCAGGACCAGCAGACTACCAAGGTCGCCAAGATTGAGAGCAACAAGGACACCAAGGACATCAAGGCCGAGAGCCCCAAGACTCTGGTTACCAAAGTTCGCAACAACGAGCAGCAGGCTACCCAGGCTGCGAAGGTCGACGGCAAGTCTGAGTGCAAGACTACCAAGGTCAAGGTTTCCAACAGCAAGGCCAAAGCTACACAGGCTTACTAAACCATCTCGTCTGAGATGATCTATTATCATCCTTAACCGGGTGCAGCCATGTCTTCTTTGACTCATCCAGAACTCTCACCTGAAAGTTCTCGCTTGTTGCCTTTTTTCGATGATTCAGACATTGTTTGTCATGCTCGGGGTTACAACAGACCTGACTGAGCTCAACACTTTTCTTTCGTATCTATCTGTTTCATCTTTAATAACTGCATTGCATTTACATAGAGTTGGACTATATAGCCTCTAAATAACATAGATTTCCTTTTTCACAACACAGCTAGGTGTTCTGAGTAAACTTCTCATTGAATCAAATGTAAGCTTAGTGATTTGTTCTTGTCAAAACAGTGATCCCGTACAACCCAATCGGTGTATTTAGTGTTCCCAATAAGTGGGAAATATATCCCTCGTAAGTTTTCGTCTTGTAGTAAATACCTCTCCAAACCTCGAAGGTTTCTGGTATCCAATTGCAGATCTGTGGAAATTACTTCCCACTATAGGACGATTTCGACTTGGTTGATCCAGTACTTCTGAATTCTCGATAGCGAACACTATCCATGAACATCCGTGCCAAACCGTGATTATAATTATGTAGATACCACCATATTATCGAGGTAGATCAAGTATAGGTGCTAACAAATTCTCGAGAGCAAGCAATAGGCGACAACAATAGCGTGGAAGTTCATGGATAATGATAGATAACTGGGTTTTGCATGTCTTCAGTTTCATATGAGAATCGACGGGGGCTGAAACCAGGCATAGTAGAGCGGGAGCCACACTTGTCGGAAGCGTTCCCCGGCGTCCAGCCCCTCAGTCTAGGCGCACTCAGGCCAAAGCGGCATCAACCCAGGGCAATGGACGAGGAAGCCTGTACCTATTTTTGGTGCTAAATCTAGAAACGATTGGGTTTTCCTTGGTAGCAACCTTATCGTGATAACATCTTTCTGAAGTGGAGATGATTGAGTCATGAAGCAGATTGATAAGAGATTTATACCTGAATCTTGAGTCAAAAGATGATGCTATCATTTATCTATATATGCTGTTACAAATGCCGGTGGTATTCATCCTCACGCTAACTGAATGTCCACGAAAACAAAACAAAAAACAGAGGACCTTCATTTTATGCATCTTGACACGATTGGGGAATGGCCACAAACAATTTCCACCACTGTTCTTGAATCGACTAGATTCTCCCGCAACTAATTGGTAGGTGAATCTATTGGATATAAATACAAGCAGCCTAAAGGTGCGACCAAGGAAATCCGAATTGACTTGTCAGTTTTATCACCCATGTTCTACCCAGTCATTACAATTTTTGATACCCCGAGGCTTGACGATCGTTCATCCGCCTTGTTTTGCCTGGTTTCTACTCTGAATGAGGATAGGCTAGTTCGATAGTGGCACAATTACTGCTGACAGCTGGTCATTAGCCGGTAACAACTGAGACACGGCACGCACCCCCGGTGGTAGGCATCCTAGGCAGATCTTGTCCAGTTAGGCTCAAAAAACAACCTTACTTGGTTAGTCTTTGATGACCGGTGATGGAGATTATTATTTCCATATTGTACGTTGTGTTGTCTGGTGGGAAATTGCTGTTACAAATGGGCCTCGTTGCGAAATGACTTCTCACGGCTGGAATGCAAAAGGACTTCCACTTAAATGCCCAGATCAAACTCTGGGTACATCGACCCGCCAGGGCAACATTAAACCAATGCTAGTGCCCCAGATCCGTCCATGACATAAATCCGGAAACAGGGCGCCTCGGATACCATCGAATCCAATGCAGGCACATGCGCCACCAATAACCTACAGGTGGAGACACTAACCACATGTCTTGGAGCTGGAAATAACAATACATAATGAGGGCGCCCAGTTCATCCGCGTCGTTGGTTTTCACGTTGGGTCGAATGTTTGTTGGTTGATCCGTCTGGATGGAACCATCGTCAGTTCCATAATGATGTTGGATCGCAGGCGCTGTATTTTGGTACTGTGTCTGCTACTTGTACAACTCACTCAGGCTACACAACCAGTGTCTCCTGCTGGGCATCTCGGCAACTTCAATTCGCCGTGCGTTGTCAGTTTACGCCTCCGATCTCGTCTCACCACACGATTGCTTACGTTGGACAGTCATCATGCTTTCATCAATTACTCAACAACGATGTACGATATCGACAAAACAACACCAAATTATGTCACAGCAAGAAGTATCTCCGCAAGTTGGATTCATGTGTGAAGCGAGATTGCGAGGTTGGAGATAATTTGAGTAGGATTAACCCTATTGGTGCTGGCGGAAATTGAATACTAAAACCATGCAGGATATCATTTAATGATGGAGCAGGATTGCCATTTGCCCGTCCTCGATCGACGAAGGGAAATCAATATCACCTGCGCAGTCATGATGGCTTTGGCGATAGCCTTTTTCGGCATGAGAGTTACATCCAAGATTATTGGATTCGTCCCGTACGGACACGACGACAGTTTAATTATCGCCGCACTTGTACGTCATTTGTGACTCGTATTTGAAAACTAGCGATTGACATTCTTCAGCCATTTCTCAGCACGTTCGGCGCTATATGTTTCTTGAGTGCGTCACACCGAGATCTAGTACAGGACGATGAAGCTGACCAGCATTGGCATAGCAGTAGCATCAAAAGGGATAGGTTTGAATATATGGCACGTTAGCGATGAGGACATTGTATCATGCTATAAGGTCCGAATATCCCCTCCTTCTAACAAGTGCCACAATAACAAATGATACGATTAGTTCGTCTTGGCCGCCGAGTACATGTATGCGATATCGTTGACTTTCACCAAACTATCAATCCTGGCCTTCTTTCTACGAGTCTTCCCCGACCAAAAGTTCCGGTGGATGGTTCACGGAACCGTGGTCTTTATCCTACTCATGTCTGCCATTTATCTTGTACTATTTATACTACAAAGAGTACCCATGTGGACATTTTGGGAGGGGTGGAAAGAGAAGGATCCCGACGGCGTACTCTTGAACTCGAACGCAATCGGAACAAGCCACGGCGTACTAAACGTTGCATTAGATGTATGGATGATCATCCTCCCCATGTCCCAATTGTGGAAGATAGGAATCAAACCCAAGAAGAAACTCGGAATCATGTCCATGTTTGGTGTGGGCGCTTTGTAAGTTGAAAACCCTCTAAAGTATACTTCATATCAAACTGACGGACTCTGGTAGCCTCACAATCGTCAGCACAGTACGTATTCCATACGTCACAAAGTTTGCAAAGACATTCAACGTTACAGGTATGCTAGACTTGCCACTTGTGTTGTACAAGATACAATTACTGACGTACAGCGTAGCCGACACTGTCGATACCATCATCTGGTCTATGGTAGAAGCCAGCGTGGGCATGATGGTAGCTTGTATGCCCGGCACACGTCAATTTGCGAGGGACATGGCACGGCGATGGAAACGGAACAGGCCCAGCGACGAGAGCAATAAGGGAAACATTTTTATTGACCGGTCGCTGGCGACGATCGTTATGACAAGGCAACAAAGCACAATAGCAACCGATAACTCCTTTTCGAGCAACTTCGTGAAGCCTGATCTGAGGGTGGGGACGGATAGGTAAAAAAAAGTTCTCAGCGCTGGATTATTCTTTTTGCATTAAATATCTAAACGTGCCAGCATGATATCGAGGAAGTGTGACATGATACAGTGCATTGCCAACCAGTGCGTCGTATGCTCAGCGGGGTTTAAGAGGAGAAATGGAGAAGAAAAAAAAGATATAAAGAGCACATAACTAGATATCTATAAAGAAAAGTCTAAGTGATTTCCTGATCCCAAACGATCCCTGTTATATCGAACACCAAATTATTAACCACTTCCTTCCGAATACGTAACCCATCTCTCTAAGCACTTCCAGGGGTGAAAGCCCCCTCGCTCTGGATTCTGTTCAAAAATCTAAGAACAGCCGGTGTGACCTCCTCTGGCTTCTCCAGCTGGGGTGCATGCCCAACGCCCTTGACCATAACGACCTCACTATCCTTGAAGTTTGAAGCAACCCAGCGAGCTTCCTCAGCAGGGTCACTCCAATCGGGATCAGCGTCACCATAGACAGCAAGTACGGGAGCCTTGACTTTGCTCAAGAATGGCTCGACAACAGCGTGATCAGTAGAAAGGGTGGCGTGGAATGCCTTCCAGCGTCCAGGGCCGGTGAGCATCTTGATGGATCGGTCAACTCGCTCTTGCTTCTTGTCACCAAGACCAGGCCAAAGCTTGGGAGCATAAGATTTCCAAATGATAGGTCCGGTAGGATAGTTCATAGATAGACGGAAGAGGCTTGCGACAAGCTTGCCGGTTCCTGGACGAAGGAATGCGCCAATGAGGACAAGACCAGCGACTTTATGAGGTTGGCTTCCAGCGGCAATAGTGGCGGCTGCACCAGATAACGAAGCACCAACCAACACAGCAGGGCCACCACCATAAGTGTCGATAAGAGTGATGAGGTCATCAGCTGTGGCTTCGTCGCCGTAACGGTTGAAGGTTGTGGAACTATCGCCGTGACCTCGAAGATCAACCATGGCTACTCTGTACCCGGCTTTGCGGAGTTCAGTAGCCAGAGGGTCGTATGCGTCTCGAAAGTCGCCCATAGCGGGAGAGCAAATGACGAGAGGGCCTTGGCCGGAAATGTCGACGGCGAGCTTACCCCCATCAGTTTCGATGAATGTGACAGTCATTGTTGGTCTTGAGTGTAAGTGGTAGATAAGATAAGATAAGAGACAGATGAGATGAGAGGATTGATCTTGTGTCAAGATAAAATGCCAAGTAAAAGTTGTTATCTGTTTATTGAAGATGAGAATATTGATCCATGAATTGAAGGAAACATGTTATATATAATATTTGATCGTATCAAGTGCTGACCAGTGCGGCAGTGCTTGCGTACTCATTAAAAGCGAGATCTGTCCGACAACACAAGGATCTTGCGACTGATTGGGTCGCGAAAAAGCACGAGAAAATGCCGAAACTAACGCGAGGACGAACGATGAGCGAGACGCCTTTTGATTTGCGGGACCATTGTTAGTCCGCCTAACGTAAGCAATGGATCCAACTTCGGGGATAGTGTTTGGGAATAAGCATTAAACATTACTAGCAAATCTACCACATTCTTACTCTCCATTCAAATAATCCCTTAGTCCTCGTCCTCTCTTGAATGGCTTTTGTGTAACTTTGCGGCTCAGGAAACCGCACTGAATCTCGTTCAATCGATACGCCAAAATAAAATCGGGCACCATGCCAAGCACCTGAGACTCTCGCTGGCTTGTATCAACCTGAATTCCAACCGCTGGGCCACTGTTTGATCCAATCACCTGTATGTCCATAGGCGACTGGCCATTTCGTCGCATGTTTGCTCCCTTGGCCACACGTAAGCCCGTTACCATATATAAAGAACTCATAAACGGGTTGCGTCTAAGCCTTTTGAACAAATCATTGTGTTTTAATGTCGCCTTGACGTAATCTAATGAGGGCGATGTCGTATGGCTCTCGAGGGTGTTGAAATTCCAGACGTGCTCATGTGATTCTTGCACGGTCACACCTTTCTGGAAGGACGCCCGTTTCTGTCCAGCCTTTACCCATGCACTGAACTGACGGACAATCTCATTATTGCTCTCCATGCTCGATGTGATATGCACCACCGTGTCCAGGGGCAATTCCAAAGGTCCAGTGGATAACACCTTGCTCCAAGGCTCCACGGGTTCCGCGAGGATCTGACCTAGCTGGAGCAGGCCACCTGGAGCAAAGTTGTAGGATCCGGTGAAGATCCATTGCTTGTCTTCTTCGCTCACCGTGGTTACATCTGTTTCGAGAAAATATGATTCGAAATCATTCAGTGAGAGCCTCTCTGGTAGTAAAACATCCGGTGCGAGATCGTACGTTCCCTCGCCATAGGTAGCACCAGGAGGGCCGCTCAATTGTTGTGAGATTTGTTGCCCAGATTGTTGGTCGGGACTGATATTTTCATGCACCTCAATAGTCCGTTCTTGGCGACTTTTCCTTAGTGATACATATTCCCAACGCTTCTCAAGCCAGGGTTGAACTTCCAATTCTGTCTCCTCGGCATCCAAGCTATGTGAATAATGACCGTCTGCCAAGCCTGTTCCTGAATGTTCAATCCGTTGTGGCCTAATAAGCTCGACGTAACGGTATAAAGTCGCTATTATAGAGTGCGTACCGAGGATTAGTTCAGACAACTCTGATTTGGTCTCTTCATTTTGTTTTGTAAGAGTAGCTGCGATGGTAGTGGTCCTGTTTGGCGCTGCTCCCGTAAGGATATCGTGGAGTCTTTCAAGACGAGTCGATAAGTTATCTTAAGCTTGCAAGAGAGCTTGCTGAACTGACTGGTCAGTGTCAGGGACTGAATGCAGCATGGTTGATAATTCCGGATAGCTGACACGGCTCATTCTTCTCTGCCACACTCTGAAGCGTCCTTTCTCCATTTCCAAAGCTTCACATGTCTCTTTCTGACCTAGCAACAGGCAACTCGGATACACCCCTTGTGTCTCGTGCGAGGTTGTCTGTCCTTGTGTATGAGTAGATGTGTTACATGACGCAGCGTCTGAGCATGTCTCAAGTAGCTTCTCACACTTCTGGCTGAATTCGGATATCGTCATAGTGTCTCTGCGGCTTCAGCTGTCCCGCCCACACTTGGGGTAAAGCTTGTAGAGAGGTTTGAAGAGCCTCACTTGGTGTTTAGTAGTCTTGCAATCCCTCCCAAATCGAAGAATCTCTCAGCCACTAAAGCTGGCTCTGAGTTGCGTCAACAATGATGCTTTAGCTTCCAGGGTATGAATTAGTCTGAGTGATCAATGCAAATAAATAAAGTCTAATAGTTAAGAAACTCTTATTAACTCACAATTTAATTTCGGGGTATAAATAGATTCAGGTGGATAATCTTAAATCCATGATATCTCAAAGGTTCATTCCACATTTTGATTATTCTCAAAGTATACCTAAATGCAAAAAAAAGCCCGTTTCCTACAGTAATTCTTATCAGCTTGTCAGTCAAAACACACTGTACTGCAAAGATGCCCAACGCGTTTGCGGGGTTAGGCACGAAGTCTGAGATGCATGTGCTTACTAGACAGCAGATTCCCTGGACCTGATCTGGTGAGAGCCGCAACTTTATTCTAAAACCAAATGTGATCTGACTCTTTTGTCTACTCTATTAATAGGCTTGAAATGTCGGGATTCGAAATCATCGGTGTTATCCTTGGGGGGCTTCCACTATGTATCGAGGCTGCGAAAGCTTCCAAGCCCATCTACAATGCCATCGAAACATGGTGGAATTTTGACAGAAGATTCACCGAGCTGGTGAATGATATCAGGGGTGAACTGCTAATATTTAGTCAAAATATCACGTTGTTGATCAAGAGGCTTGGCATATCAGAAAGAGAACAGCAGACACTATGGACTTCTCAGCAATTCTGGAGTCATGATGACATTAATGCGAAGATCAAGGACCACTTGGCCGATTCAGTGCCGCATGTACAAGAGTTGTTGGAACAGCTTCAAGGATATTTCAGTGCTCTCTTTGCAATCTTGCCCATTTACAACAACCAGGTACGTGGTCATTGAACTGTAGTCGGCGTGACAATTCGTTGACTGAGCGTAGGTTATCCTACCATCGCCCGGCTCTTCTGAATTTGAAGCTTTGCGGCGGCATGTTAGCTTCTCTCATCAAAGACATGAAATCTTTAACAAGATTCGAAATATCAACGAACAGCTCTGGGTCATTTTCAGAAACGCCAATGACATTCAAGAAATAAATTTGAAGAATCGTAGCCAATCTATCCAGAGCCCCGCCGACCTCTCGTTCTTCTCTAACCTTCAGAGAGAATCAAGTGTATTTTACAAGACATTAAAAGCTCAGCTCAATTGCTCTTGTCATCTCGCACATACATGCGGAATTTCTAGTCAGTGGAGCGGGTCGAAATTTGACATTGACAGCATATGTCTCAGTTTCTTGGCAGGCAATAGCACGCCAATAAAGCAATTCCAGTGGAAAATGGAGGCAGTACATCGAAAAGAGATCGGAGCACCTCTTGAGGCAGAACAGCGGCCTGATAAAGTTGTTCTGATCAATCAGCTGGGTCAGGAAATGAAACAACAGAAGCGGAAGGAAGATGGCCTGAAAGCAATGAAGAAAAGATCACCCGCGACACTGGCTCACCAAACTTTATCACTGGTAACTGGTTTGACGAACAGGAAGTCCAAAAACACTCAGCCGAACCAAACGACGAGTTCTATCACTGATATATGCCATTTCATTCAGACACCACCACCTCTCGACGAACAGTTTCTGGGAACGATTGAGGCCCTTGACCATGATCTCCACCTCTTTTTGGAGCCAATATACCAGATGAAACTGTTGGAATCTCAGACAGAGACAATCGATGAATTTCTGAGCAAAACACCAAAACTTAGCACGCGGTTACGAATAGGCTTCTCTGTCGCTGTTACACTCCTTGCTCTTGGCGCTTCAGCTTGGGTCCCTATAGCCTGGAGCCGAGATGATATCATTATGAAGCGTTATCATCTTGCCCAAAGCCAGGATTTGACCTTTGGCCCTTACATCCAACACTCGTCTCTTTCATTCACCCTCGCAGAGACGCCGCTTCAAGTCAAGTACCACAGTGAGATGACTGTATTTTCACTCGGAGTCCTGCTCCTAGAACTCTTCTATCGCAAACCGTTAGAGGAGTCACCATACTGGGCTAAATATTGTGTCAATGGCAGACCAAACGAAAGTACCGAGTTGAAAGCTGCGTTAGCATGGAATCAAGATTTGGCAAAGGATCCAGTCCTGCGAGACGGTCTGGCCGAGCCAGTGAGAAGATGTTTACAGATGTCTTTCAAATCAAGACCAGATTTAGGAAGTAGTGATTTTCTTCAGGATGTTTTCGGGGCAGTTATAAAACCTCTGGAGCAGTTTATCGACGACTTTGAATGAAAATAAGAAAACAAAATATAGTTCTCTGATTAGTTGTTCCCTTAGCCTTCTATATTGCAACAGATTTGTCACTTAAATTGATTCATAAGAGCTATATCTATAGCTACGCAGCTACAGTTAGATGAGGGTACGGAGGTTGATTTAATCTGGTTGTGTTGATAGCTGTTTTTCGTACCGGTTTGATTGCAAAGCGAGCGAAAGCAATCAAAAGCTAAGCTTCTGTCCCGCCTGCCCTGGAACGGTAGATGCAACCTTGCCAGATCCAAGAAGATTAAACTGGTACGGAATCTTACCCGAACTCAAGTTACCCTTTGGTGCTGTGTTCTGGCTCTGTCCGTTGAGAACAACATCCTCTGCAACGACATAGCCCACCTCCTTGCTGGACTCGCTGAAGATAGCTTTCTTTCCGACATTTGTGAACACTGAAGACTGGATCAGCGCCTGGGCATTCATGCGACTGTTAAGACCAGTGTCCATGGTGTCGTAATATCCGCTGTTCTCGAAGTTAGTCAAGTTCAGAAAAAGAGCTCGATGGACAAACTTGAAGATGTGAGCTGTGCCAAAGCGAAGAAGAGGACCACGGCTTCCAATGTTTTTAAAGTGGTTGTTAGCGTATGTTACGCGAAGCTTGCCGACGTCTTCGGCAGCGTTACTATCAGAGTGACCGACGAGAGATCCCTTGTGCTAGATGAAAGAAGTCAGCATACAATGCCACCAGATTCCCGAAGTTACTTACGTGGTCATGGAGATAACTGTGTGAGATAGTAACAAAATCCGCTGCATGAGACAGATCGACTAAGCCATCGTAAAAGTCCTTATCGCTGCCTTTCTCAGAAGAGATGTCACAGTGATCAACCCAGACATTGGTTGACTTTTGGATCGTGATTGCATCACCATAAGTGGCTGCGACTTTCGCAATCTTCATGTTTCGAATAATGACATTCTTCTTTCCGTTGATCGTAAAGCCGATACCAGTCAGAGCTTAGTGATAAAAATCAGTATAGTGTAAGTCAGCCGGTTTTTATGCACTTACAGCTGCCACTCTTTCCGATAATAGTCTTGTCAGATGCGACTTGAACCTTGGCTGCGCCGGAGATACTGCCCTGGACAAGGATGACTGATGGGCCGGTAGCGCTGGCTGCTGCCGCCAGCTCACTGAGACTCTTTACAGTTACCTGTGCAGCATTGCCGCCGCCGGTTGTGCTTCTTAAGTCAGTTGGTGCGAAGGATGGTGAAGCTTGTTTACTCACCCTCCATTCTGGGTGCAATAACCAATGTTGCACGGGTCGTTGACTGCTGCTCTGGCGTGCAGAGTAGACCCAGGTGCTGCAGTAGCGAGGCTGGATAGAAATAGAAGGTTAAGAAGTCTCATGTTGAAGTTCAGAGTTGAGCGAATGTGGCGATATCACAAACTCCTTGGGCTACAATGCCATCTAAATACTATTCACATCTACACTGACATGAGAGCCGACACAGGCATTTGATCAAAGCTGCGGTCAAACCCCCAATCTGTCATCTCGCGATTCCTCGAATCAATCGCTACTCGAAACTCATATACTACCTTGATCATGGATTCACATAGCGTTGCGTTGAGGTGATTGGTGGAATATTTTCCTTCAAAGTTTCATCTATTGACATATCCCCCAAAGTATTGAGACATTGAAGTCCTCGCGACGTTATGCTTCCCATTTCCAATAGGTTATGGAAAGAAAAAAACGACCCAAGTCGGAAAGGCTTGTTCCGGGACGCTGGATTGGGATCGTGGGGTAATCTGGAAGTTCTGAGCGAAGAACGTCGTGATTGGGGGAGTTGTTGCGTAACAAGACAGTACTGAACCCGTCGTCTATACTACCGATGTGTCGCAGCTGCATGTGAACCTGTGGAGATTTAATCGAAGTCTGCTGCGATCAATATCAGATGTTTGCAATCTGACAGACAATTTCTTCTTAAGTTTTGAGTCGAAAGTTGATAAAAGAAGCTGTTAGTTCCGGGAACTCTGGACCAAAAGATGGTCATCTCATTAAGTAATGCCAAGCTCGTGACATATTTATCGGGTCCATCGGCTGCGTACATATCTGGCGAGCAAAAGGCTTGGCTGATGGAAGTGTTAAAGACGACATTCGTAAGTCATTTGAGGCCACTTTTGTTCAGGTCAACTGTTTTATTGCCTGCTAGACACAGGACGCATCATCAAAATGCTGCCTGAATACTCGTAAGTCGGGCCAAGACTAATGAGACCAATATTTATTACTATCCAATACCATCGACGTCGATCACTGCAATCAAGGACGAATGAAGCGTCTTATCTCTACCAAGTGGGTGACGTATTCTGTCTGCTGATAGGTCTTTAGCCAATTCAGGTCGCACGTCTTTGCGGGGAATAGGCACCAGGATCTTTTGCTCGGCGTGCTCGGGCGATTCTACCCTTGTCATAATCAGATCACCACCTTCCGCATTCGACAATGGCCCGATGATAGTCGAATCTTTAATTCTTACTTAAATAGACGGCAGACGCTTTGATCTTGCATGTTTCCAAACGCAGTGATTGGACTTCCAATGCATCTTCTTTCGATATACCAGATTATACCCATCACTCTTGCTGCTTGCGCTTCGTGCTTCCTAGTACCTTCTATCTTGTCAAGAATGGCTGAGCGAAAGGTAAATATCAATACACAGGTGAGCGGAAGTATTGTGTTAACAAATGTTGTCTAGGAAATCACGTATGCTTTCGACACTGTCGATGATTGGCAGGCCTCTCAAAAGGCGTCAGAAGAGTGTGTAACCTTATCTTCAATAACTAACGACAAAGCTGACATCTCATTCAAGGCTTGTGAAAGAGGACACTGGGGCCGAAAATTGGAGGAGCACTAGAACTATGCCTCCTACATACTATCCCCCGTGAGTAACGATCATCAAACCAAAGACACAACTAATACTAATTTTTCCAGACCAATGACTCAACAGGCGATTGACAAGCTCAAGGAATTCAAGGGCGCCGTTGTGAATGATCTTTCCGAGAAACAAAATTAGTATCAGAACGGTTTTTTCCCAAAATACACATTTGATGCATGAATAGTTCATATGATATAGCAATAAATTCGTGAAAAGAATAGCCTACCTCTTCTTCGATGGACCTTCCCGTCGTCTCTGTGAGGATATAATGCTCGTCTGGTTAACTGTCTCCCGATCTATTATGCATTACTATTCATCATAGTTATGTGTCAATAATTCTTGCATGGTACCAGTTACTAACATATAAGCACAATATTCATTCCCTGTGTTTACATACGCCTTAATTCATCCGATTCTATAAGAGTAAGAAGGACAATTCTCATAATAACTGCCGAAAGTACAATGCCAATTTTCGTCTACTGTAAAATGAGAAGGCTTGTGTACGGTTGATAGACAAATGTTTCTGACAATGCTTCAAAATATGTATTTGATAGTCAAATATTTACAGAAGGTAATTCCATCTCATCATCTCAGACATATCATTCCAACTCATCATCACTCTTCCAAGCCCCAGAAGTCTCTTCAACTCAGCCAATAAACAATTGTTAAAACGCTTAGGCGTTGCTGTCGATGAAAGATCGGAGGCTGCCAACGCGAGCGTAGACACCAGACTTGTTGGGCTGAGCACAGCCCTCACCCCAGGAGACAACACCAACAACAGTGTTGGAAGTGTCAACGATGGGACCACCGGAGTCACCCTGGCAAGCATCGCGACCACCCTGGGTGAAACCAGCACAGAACATGTTGTTGGTGATGGCGGAAGTGCCGTACTGAGATCGGCAAGTAGCACGAGAGACAACGGGAACGGTAACCTTGAGAAGGTTGGTAGGGCTGGTGCCGCTGCCCTGAGAGGTAGCTCCCCTGTGGATTGTTAGCTCTCTGTCTAGTTATCAGAATTGAGGATGATACATACCAACCAGCAACGGTGAGTTGAGCACCAGCAGCAGGGTCAGAGCCAGAGGCGGCAAGACGACCGTAAGAGATGGAGCCGCTGGCGGGAATAGAAGTGGAAAGCTTCAGGAGAGCGACATCGCTGTCAAGGGTGGAACCGCTGAAGCTAGGGTGCATTCTGATGCTGGAGACACGAGAGGTGACACCACCAGAGGTGCGAGACTAATCAGTCAATGTTAGCTATAAAATTCCATGTTGTTGGATTGAACGTACAAGAGATCCAGCACGGATGGCGAAGGCACTGGCAGATCGGCCTTGGACACAGTGGGAAGCGGTCAAGACAGTGTTGGCGTTGATGAGAGTACCACCGCACCAAGGGCCACCGTTGTTGGTGATGCTGACGATGAAGGGGAACTCGCCAGCACCGGCAGAAGTTCCGCCAACGATCTGGGGAGTCTCCTGGGGAGCAGCAGCAACGAGAGGGGCCACGAGGGCAACGAGGGCAGCGATCTTGACCATTTTGACGAATTGAGTGTATCCAAGGGTAGACAGTTGAAGAGTGATGAGAGGCTGATGAGTGAGTGATGATATTTCGAAAGGAAGTTTACCATCCTTTATATACACAATCATCAACCTCTTGTATCTTCCGAGTCAGTACTGTCTCAACCCAGTCTAGTCTCCTACCTGCCCTTCTGGTGGATCCCCCGCGATAAGCTTGTTTTGTGATATCGTGAGAGTGTGCATATTGGCGTACCTGCCTTTCTCGTATGGAAGTCCGTTTGTTCCGCAATTTAGTTTAGTTCGGCATTTAAATAGAGCATTAACCTTATCATCCTCCCGTGCAAGTGATCGGCATATGGGAATCTTGGCGACAAGGATCAGCATCCCGATGAGGAAAGTCGATAATCGTGTCGACCATTGAGAATGTGGAGGTGGCCGGTTAAATCCAAGTTTTGATGGTAGTGAGAAAGACGGTGACAGTGAGAAGTAACACAAGAATGAAAATCATCGGCGAGTTGTCAGCACTCAATTCCATTGACCGACATGTTGGATTGGTAGCATTCGGTAGAGGGAAGAGTAAAGACATGTGTTCCTGAATAACAGCCGGAATTACTCAACTCCGTCTTATCGCCAAGCATTCAAGCGTATCTGCACTGCTACTCTAAGCGGGGTTAGTTTCTATAATGCGGTCATGCGTCCATCGATCACATTGGCTTAGCATCTGAAACTGGTCATCTAAAGTGGGAGGTTCTTTTGTAGTCCTTCTTTTAAACACCACGCAATAGCTAGGATTGGATAACGCATGCACGCATTGACCCCATATAACACGTCTACTCTGGCCTTGGCTAAAGGCTTCTTTGCATCCTATCTGGAAATCACTCATGCCAAATACCAAGCGCATAGTGATTGCCATATCTTATCTACCTTCCAAACAGGGCATCTATTACCGGCTTATCTTTTCCATCGTGTATGCGAGTGTTATTCGTCTGCGGAGGCAAGGCGGGATGCACTCAGAGTTTATGGCTGAGCTGAAAGGTTACTTTAGAATAGTATCTCAACGTCGCAAGGCGGGTATTGCTTAGGAAGGTACTTTTGATCTGGCCGATTAATTCAACCTTTTGCCAAGTTTTTACACGGTTTTTGCATTGCTGAGATGCTAGTCGAATACGAGCAGTAAACAGAAATGATCTGATGCGTCTTGTTGTTGTTGTTGTTGTTGTTGTTCTATGTGCTTACTACATATGCAGAGACGGAGGTTACTCACTTCGAGTAGTTACCAATGAGGAAGTTCATTAGAGTGCGTCAACTCTGATCTCTTGGTAATGATAACTTGTCACAACAATAAGCCATTCATACCTTGATGAGCATTTATTGAGATTGCAGTTACCCGAGACAGAAAGGATGACTAAATTTTGAGAAATATTAGTTTCATCATCCCAACTTAGTTTAGATACATATGATGAGCTGTATAAGTTGTACATAGTGATCTCGATAATATACAGCCAATCGCATTAGCCTCACTTGTCAGATTATGGTGATGTTTCAAGATCGTTGTTGAAATCAATGCATATAACGTATAATCAATGAAAGATGTCGTGATAGTAGAATAAATCTTGTTTAATCAAACAAATATTGTTTCCCTTATATGTCTATTCAAATGCATTTGTATTTCTGAAGAGGTTGATTTAGAGCGCCGTCAGAAACGCGTAATCATAAACATTACACACCGAACATGCCCAAGCTTGAAGAGCCCACCAACGCAGGCTTGCAAGCTGTTATCGATTTGTACGAAAGAGACAGCTAGAAAGTATGTTTAATGACCTTGTCGATATTAAACTAAAGAAACTAAGAAAATATAATCAATTAAGCATATATCTAAGTGAGAACGGCCTTGTGAATAAAGACATAGGGTAGGAGTTTCCATTCAGCGATCCATTTCTTACTTCCATCAAGCCACTTCATTTTCCAAGGGTCCAGCCACCTAATTTTAGCCACTCCCAACCAATGACCATGTCGTTGTCCCTTGTAATTTGGGTAGGCTAGAAAGTTCAGTTCTAAAACTAGTGATAAACTAGACTGGGTTCACAGAACCAATAAACTTGCATTGGACTCGCTTGTCTGTCAACCTTGGTAATGTCAAACGAGATCTACTTGAGGAGAGTATGGATAGTAGATAGATCAACTTAATTATTAACTGAATTTAAATTAAGATATTCCCTTCTCTTTAACCTGATTCATGATTGACTACTACTCCCCACACCATTCGATACTTCGCCTGGCTGTGGCTGTGACATGGGCTGAGAACTCTGCTCCGTGGGTTCTAGATCGAGACAGTATTCTCGATACCACGGCCAAAAGACAAACATAACCCACTTGCTAAGCAACTTGATCCCGGCCATAATACGGTAAACGCCTACTTCCGTGGTAGTCGAACCCAGAGGGAGGCTAGACAAGAGGGTCTGTCGCTGAATGTTAGTATGCTTGAGCAGTGTAATGTAATAAGGGAATGCACGTACTGTTCTCCCGTTTTTCCATGTCGTTGCAACAAACTTCCACTCGTGTCCATCAACAATAATACCCGGCAGAAATTCGAGTTCTTTTATATCTTCGCCAGCCATCTCGTGAAGAGATTTCCATTGTGCTGCTTGCCAAGATGACAAGTGAACCTCGGCACTCAAACCATTTTTACTATCTTTAGATTTGACAGTCAGACCTACCGGGTACTGTGATGTGGGCTTGAAGGTTGTGAAGTTTACTGATCCAAGCTCGTCTCGACGATTAATCAAGATCTTGTGTGCAAGTCGATCTTTCGTTGATGATGGAACCATGTACAGCATGTAGTCAACCAGTGGCCCGGAAATTCCGATTTTGTCATACTTCGGTTTGAGAGATGCCCTTTCACTGTAAGATCAACAAGGTTAGTATAGATCTGTAATGGAGTTCACTGTAGTCAAGAGACGTACCACGGCGCAAAGTCAACACCTTGTCGGTCAAGGTAAGGCATCAAGGTTTGAAGAGCAGCACTGAGGATTGGCGTATAAACAAGATTGTTCCATCCCGTCTTGTCATACTCATGGCAACAACACTTTTCAGCGGATTGAACAATTTCTTTCACGAGAGGTAAAAGTCTTCGTTCTTGGCGTGGCTCTCTCCATGTAGGTTCATAAAATGCATCGTCGTCAAGAGATCTTGAGATAGGATCTTCTGACGTTTGAAAATGGCTCTAGAATGAATCAGCCAACTCAGAGATACGGGTATGCCACTACCGACCCGAAGAGTGCTGGAAATGATTCCTTTGTGTTTTTGAAAGTCAAGCAAGCGTGTATAGAATAGAGTCAAGCGTTGTCCCATGTTACCAGGTTTCAGTGTGTCATAGGTTAGCCAAGGTCGGTAAGGCCTCACCGGAGACACTGAATCTCTGCTCCGGTCCGACGGAGTTGACGACGATGAAGGATGAGGCACTCCATTAGGTCTGTTACCTGTTTTGCGTTTCTTTCTTCTTGGTACAGTCTCATCGTCAATGATAATGATGTTGTTGTCGTCAGTGATTGTAGCCATGGATTTGATGTTGAATGTGGATGTTGTGAAATGTTCAAATGACGCGTTGACGCGTCATTGGCGGAGCCAACATTTTCGAACGCCAGAAACTCGACCTAACCTATCAGAAATATCACAGCCAAACTCCAATGCTTTACGCGGTTGACAAGGTCAACAACTATTCTTGTACAATTATTTATTCATTTATTCCAATCAATACAAAGACTCTTTCATCTCTTGACGCCATTTATCATCGGTGTCTACAAGTTGCACGATTAAATCTTTGGGAAACGAGGTAACCGACGTGTCTCTTCAAGAGTGTAACAGCTTTATTGAAGGATTTAGTTCAAGTAACATTCCGTGATAACAGCCTATTTTGTCCAAGTCAATTGTGTCTCTGCACAAGTTCTACCGAGACCAGCCCATTGCAAAGAACTCCATTTCTCCGGATTCTCAGAAGCCTCCACGAAATGCTTCATAGCAAGAACAGTCTGCAACGCCCACTTCTCTGGACTTACCCTTCCTACACCTGTTGCCAACGGAGTCATAAGAACACTTTGAATCTGATCATATTCAGACGCATCACGATTGTGATTGTCAATTGCACAAAGCAGGCTCCAGATACACTCATAGATAACCTCTTTGTCCCATCTCACGTCAGCAGGCATACGCATCGTCGGACAAATAGCAACGCGACGTGTCCCAAACTCATTTCGTGATCTCGCTTCAAATTCCCTTGGGATTTCTACCAAGGTACACGTCCCAGGTGGCGCGAAACCGCGCCATGTTTTGTAAAGCTGAGCTTGTGCGACCCCAGTCAGGGCATGGTAATCATCGCGGGGTGAAAACTGTCGTGATATAGCATCGTCAAAAGCACCGTCGAGACGGCCGTAGGAATTGGCAGGTGAGACGACGGTGTCGAATTTGACTTTGCTTGAGAGCTGCGATAGAGCGCAATTGTGAATATCGATTGAGATTGAGTCGGGAAGCTTGCGACTTTTGCGGGCGACGTTAAAAGCGTCGCTGAATTGTTCCTCCATGCAGAGGAGATGTATATGAGGAATATGAGGAGTTTTGGTGGCCATTTTGAGCACTGTTTGCTAAGTCCGATGACTCTGAGAGACGAGCTGCGGTGTTGAATATTGAAGAACTAAGTTGAAGGACTGCAGACAGAGAAGAAGTAACTGTATGTTAATGTTATCACGTGATCATATCCGTGATATCCTTAACCTTCAACATGGGCAGCCAGCCATGTTCAATGAAGTCAGATGTTGGAGATTCAAAAGATCTTGGGTTGTTGAGATCAGATGATATGACTAAAGCGGGGTTACTGCATGGATTAGCGATGATCGCAAGCATACCTGAGAAGACATTGTTGCGTACCCAATAAGCATGCTGCACTTGACCCCTGTTTAATCCTGCAGACTTTTCCAGCTGCTGCCATTTTCTTTCCATCACACCTTTTTCCCGCACTTAGTCTGACCTACTTTCTTTCTCCCTGTACTAGGGAAATCGTTCCATCACTAGTGACTGGAATCTCGCATGATACTATGGGTCCAGATCGATGTTTTGGCCTCTGTCAAGTATATCCAGATGTGAAGGATCATGAGGCGACGGCCGAGAAGAAAGTTGAGTAAGGGCTCCCCTTTCGAGATTTGTGGTCAAATCACTCATCGCACCAGCATCATCTTCATGCATGGTCTTGATGCGCACTCTCCAAAGACCTGGCTTGCCTGGGAGATAGAAGATGATCCTGATTCTGGAGACGTCAACTGGCTGAGTGATAAGCACATGCTACCATCTTCCATGCCCTACGCTCGAATTCTAACCTACGACTGGAATGCGAATTATGACATTACCGCTTCTAGTGACAGGTTTCTTGGCCATGCAGATACCCTGCTTGACCGTGTATATGTTCATCGAGAAGAATTAGTAGGTAGATTAATACTGAGATCTAATTATTGTATTGACGTATCGTCAGTGCCGACTGCAGACCCCTGTCATATTTGTAGCATCCTGTTTCAGCGGTCTCCTATTAGCCCAGGTATCATCTACTTATTACTTCTCTCCAACATCTTTGCAGAGGCACTGACATCAATAGGCTCTGGTTCGGGCTGCAGATAGATATCATCCGCGTGGCGCAAAATACCGCCAAATTCTTGATTTCACAGTCGGTGTAGCATTTCTTGGCACTCCTTTCTCAGGCAGCTGGGAAACGGGGTATACCGTTGCAGACCTTCGTGTCGCTGTCGCGATTCAATCTGGGAGCGAATACAACCGAGAACTGATGGAGTATCTACGACAAGGAACAAGGGAATCGCCAGGCCCGTTAGACGATCTTGTCCAGAGGTTCAGCGAGATGATTCACCATGAGGACTTCAAATTCGGAAAGGTTTGCTTTTACGAGACTCGTCATACCAACTTTTCCGCCTATAGGAAAAAGCTGCCGGAAGATTACGCTGCTCGAATCGATACAAACGGACATGGAATTGTAGGTTGGATAGTTAATAGCCACAATGCTATAAGCTGACCGAAACTGAGGTTGTCGCCAGGAACTCCGCCTGCCTCCAGGGAGTAGAGGGAGTTGCCTTGGATGTCAGACATAATATGCTACACAAATTCAACTCACCTCACAACGATGGGTATAGACGACTGGTATCAAGACTCAAGGGTTTTGTAGAGAAAACGCAAGATGTTCTCAGCGTGAATGGTAAGTGCAATGACATATGGAAACTAGGGGATGAAAGGCCGTTGAACAGAAATGAGGCAAGGCGGACCTTCACAAACAAACTAACATTTTCAAAAGGATACATCGACGCCTGTTTTGGTGCAGATATACGTCGCAAGGAGGAAGAGGAGCGAGACCGCCGTATCCAATGTCTGGAGAGCTTATATTTCGATGGAATTGATTACGAGCCTAGTAAAATTCGTGAACCAGGTGAGACAGCCTGCCAATGGCTCTTGAACGATCAGAAATATTCGGATTGGCACAATAATGGACGAGGTATCTTCTGGATCGTCGGAAACCCTGGAAGTGGTAAGAGTACACTCATGAAACACGCTATTCACACTTGCCGAGAGACTGCCACTGGAGGCTCAGGACACGTATTGTCTTTCTTTTTTCACACCCAAGGAGAACCTTTGCAGCATACAACGGAAGGTTTTCTCCGAGCTCTGTTATACCAGCTTCTCGAAAAGTTCCCAGAACAGACTAGCACGCTAAGTGGGTTTAATATGCGGAAAGTTAAAAATGCGCATGGGCCGAAATGGAAGACGGCGTACTTGATGCGGCATCTCGAGGCTTATCTTGAGAAGGTCGTTGAGCGATTCGATCTCCGAGTATTCGTTGATGCGCTAGATGAGTGCAGGTCCGAGGACGAGGAAGGCGATGACGAGACTCAGGAAATATGCGACTTGATACGGAATCTTCAAGACATCGAACAGAGATTCAGTTCCTTTCCAAAGAAGCTTAGCATATGCTTTGCCTGTCGACACTATCCGAACCTGGCTCGCCCAGGCATCGACAACCATATTATTGCTGAGCAAGGCAATAGCGCAGACATCGAAGAATTTGTCCACCAAGAGCTATTGCGAGAGATCAGTCTGGACGAAGACAGTGGTTTGAGGGAATCACTCGAGCAAGAGATAGTGCGGTTAGCTGATGGCAACTTCCTGTGGGTGACTCTGGTAACATCCAGAGCTGTTAGTATGTACCGCAGTGGTAAGCCAGAACTGTTACGAGACGTCCAAAGAATTCCCAGAAAGATCACACAGATTTATGAGAGTACCATAAGCACTCTTCTCAAGGAGAACCCAGCCATGTCACAAAGGCTATTTCAGTGGATTTGTTTCGCAAAAAGACCTATCGATATACAAGAGCTTCGATGGGCTATCAACATTGTACCCAATCCTCTGTATAAGTCATTGAGGGATATTCCTGGTCCCCTTTGGGGTAAGACTGATAAAGAAATGGAGAAATCAATTCGGACACTCTCAGGCGGACTCGCTCACGTCGGAAATTCAGGGAAAGTTGTCTTTATACATTTTTCCGTCAAAGACTATTTACTGAGGTCTGGGTTTTGTATCCTTGACCCCAGTTTGCATACCAGTCGAGAAATTGTGAAGGCTGGCCACGACGTGCTGTTGGCGGCGTGCTTGTGGTCAATCACAGAAGCTGATTTGGGAGACTCTTTTGATACATGGATGAAATTCTTTTCAAGGTCAATCATTCGCATGACCTTGGGAGCTGTTCAACCGGAGAGCGCCAAAGGCCCAAAACTCTATGGTATACTGAAGAACTACCTTCCCAAGTCGGGAGAGAGCCCACGCGTCAAAGTTGAAGCTATGGAGAGGTCGGACCGTTACCTTATGCAGCAATACTTGAACCCAAGCAATCTTCAGGAACTCCGAAATGGCTACCCACACAGCCATCGCCAAATCGACTACACAGGAGAACCTGACGAATGGCTTGTCATTGATGAAATGATATCATGTTTTCTTGGCTTAGTAGCCTTGATGCAAAACCTCTCTTTAAATCTCCATTTGGGTCTTATCAATTATTCTCATGAATATTGGTACGATCACGCTCTGCAATCACTGGAGAATGGTTCTGGGGGTGCACTCAACAAGTGTCTTGATGATTTCTTCTGCCGAGCACAGGATTCACTCTTTTCTTTTTATAGTGTTGCTTATTTCCCACTTGAAAAAGCGGCTGGTCTTCCAGATCCAATGGTCCTGAGTGGAATTCTAAGCAGGGATATTGAGAACCACTTTCCCGTGAATTCTGTTTCCTTTGGGGGTGGTATCACTGCCTTGATGGCGGCATCAGAGAAGGGATATCAAGATAACGTCCGGATTCTCCTACAGCAAGAGGACATCCAAGTTGACATGAAGGACTCCAAGGGACAGACTGCATTAATGAAAGCGGTCGGCAGCAAAAGCAAGCCAATAGTCGAACTGCTTATCAGCCACGATGCCAATATTGATATTCCGGACAGAAAGGGTATGACTGCTCTGATGCATGCCATCTGTGACGAGCTGGACGAAATTGTGGAGTTATTACTCCAAAATGGCGCAAGACCTCATGTTAAAGATACCAGAGGGCTCACAGCGTTCGATCACGCCATCGATAAAGGCAATGTTGAGCTTTGCCGTCACATCTTGGAACATTTGACACAGCCCGAAAGGGTGGATCTCGTCGACCGAAAGCATATGGTCGCAGCATGCAAAAACGGCCATGTTGACATAGTCCGCCTCTTCTTAGAGAACGGAGCCAAAACAGGAATTCCAGAATCCCAGTCTCAGTCGAAGTTCCCCTTCTCAGAGTCGGCCCTTGGAATCGCAATAGCAGCTGATCAGCGAGCTGTACTCGAACTCTTACTTGATCACGAGTCCATAGACTCAGGGTTTCCAGTCTCGAAACCGAATTTACTGTGTCAGGCTGTCAGGGAATGTGCTATGGATTGCATGTTGTCCCTGATCATTCACTACGGGTGGGAAATCGACGAGGTGGATGAGAATGGTGACATGCCGCTCCATGTTGCTATCAGAGAGGGTTGGGATAATCATGTATCCCTCAGCCCCTTCTGTGACATTATCAAGACACTTATTACCCTGGACTGGTCACCCCAGGGTATTGTTGTGAACGCTCTCAACAGACAGTTGCAAAGCCCCCTGATGCTGGCAATTGGATATTGTGGCACAGATCGCTTTGTTCAACAGATACTAGCCGATAAGCGAGTTGACGTCAATAAGCAAGGGCCCACCGGAACAGCTTTGTGGTGTTCAGTAGCCAGGAAGCGGTATACAATAACAAAGTGTCTCCTCGGCTATCCGAATATTGACCCAAATCTAGGTTTGGAAAATGGCATCACACCTCTGCAGGCTACAATTGTTCATGGCGATTCGAAATCAGCCAGCCTCTTATTGGACCATAAGAACATCAGAGTCACTGAGGAGGACATCCACTTACTTACCACGTTGCACACGGCGTCTGATGAGGACTTCTGGACAACGCTGCGTGAGTTTACACGCGAGACTGAGCATCTATATGGTCCCAGGACTGTCGAATCAGTGGATAAGAGACGGGCTGCTCTTGAAGACATTCAAAGACTTGTCGAGACAAAGCCTCCAGTAAGAGAGCAGTGTTCCTTGCAGGTTCACCGCCGTTCTACTCCGGAACAGCAAAAAGGGGACGCACTACACTCATATACTTGCCTTTTGTGGCTTCTTCTCCCTAAAGATGGGAACAGCCAGGGCAGAGTTGGAAGGTTGGAAACAGGCATACAACCTGGAGGCAGGACCTTGCCCATGTTACTAGCTTCACTCATCTTTATCTTTTGCACATATACTGTTATGTTATATACCTAAGATATTGATTATTTAAATTCATTCATTGGTCTTGAGATACTTTCACTGCTTTACCACGTGTAGATAATAGATGAACTTGTCATCCTGTCCTTCAATACTACCACATCTTTCACTGTCGCTTATCGGGCCTCCTCTGTGGGGCTTATTTTTTATCTTGTGTCACTGCTTTTGGGAGCAATTGGCCTTTGCTCAGCAGTTGAAACAGGATGTAATTATGAAGGCCTTGCGGATTGATCCCGTCGTATTCATCGGAAGCCCTGGTAAGCTGGACTACGAATCTGGGGCTGTAAGCATGGAGTGACTATTTGGTGTGGTGGGTGTGAGCGCCATAAACATGCAAGAAATCACAATCCAAGCGCCCAGTCCCCAGTAGCAGCACAGCCCCCTGCGCTGTTGTGATAGAAGTACAACACGCTAAAACCTTGCCCTTTGGCTGGCGACCTCCAAATCTGTTCGTCACGTTTAACAATTTCGAGCCAGAACAAGAAAACCCAGCCCTTCTAACTTTTCTTTAAACCAAACATATACCTTCTAGGAATCTGACACTATTTTCTTATGATGACTACATTAATAAGCGTTGTCTATCGCTCTTTATCACCCACTCAAATTCGCTTGATCCAGTTGAGTCCAGATCTTGACGATCATGTCGTTGGGGGTTTAAAGAAGACGGCGCTCGCAGGCGCTCCTCCATATTATGCCGTTAGTCACGCTTGAGTCCCAGATATTTGTGTCAAGGTCATATCAAATAGCGAGCAAATACAACTGAGCAATCATCTTGTGACGCTTGTTCGTCGTCTCCGGAAATTCGGCAAAGAGAACCCTGAGCTTGAACCTCGAGTCACTCACCTGTAGCTCGATAGCGTTTGTATTAATCAAGATGATGTGCACGAACTATCATCGCAGGTGGCCATGATGGGAATTATCTACCGCCAGTCCGTCAAATCGTTAGTCTGGCTCGGGGAGATAGATTCAGCTTCCATAAGCCCCTTATGGCAGATAGTCGCCGACATCCACGCGGTTTTCCACAAACAAAACCCTTCGGCCAAGTCACTATTCGATATACCTATCCGGACATACGATGATTAATCACATACTGCAACAGGTTTACCTCCACTTTGTGATAGCCAATGGATACAATTGAAGCATTTGGTGGAGCTACGGTGGTTCTGAAGAATTTGGGTTGTGCAAGTAGTCGTTCTCTCGCAAAGAGATCCGATCATCATCCACGGCGACTGCCACTACGCATGGAATCCTTTAGGCTAGGCCGTAGGCTGGTTGCGGAGATCCGGATACCTCAGACTTCCTCAGGTTCCTGAGCAGCTACGAAACATCGACACCATTTCCAACCTCCGACGGGCCCACGTCCGCTGGCCACTTGACGCTCTGATGTCAATCTGTCAAGTCGAATTCCACGCTACCGATCAGAGGGATAATGTGTAGGGACTTTTAGGACCATCTCTCGAAAGCGAGGATGGCTCAGTGATGCCAGAAGACCTGAAGTCAGACTACACTATCGACGTGCCTACTTTATATCAACGAGTGATACGCTACTTACTCGAACGGAACCGTTCTATTACCATTCTCAATCGCGCAAAGTTTATAGACGGAACTGAAATGTGGAAATATCGTATCTATGATCTGAATCTTCCTTCTTGATGTCCTGACTGGAGCGACTTCAACACATACAATGAGGGCATCTCAACAAGCCTCTCTTGGATTGAGTATTCGAGCATCGCCAAGCCAGCAAGCCTCAGTTTTCCCAAGTATTACCGGGCTTCTGGCGGTCTAGAAGCCAATCTTTATGAGTCAGAGACTAGTACTGAGGACAGTTCAGTTCTCCAGCTCGGTGGCTTTGTAGTCGACCGAGTGGCTCAAGTTTGTCGTTACAATTTCAATCCATCCGGTCACAAACAACCATCTGATGAGTTTGACGCGATGATAGCACCAGTTCTGAAGCTTGCTTTCTCACTTGCACCAGCCAGTGGCACACTCACGTGGGTAAATAAGTTCGTTCAAACAACAACAGCAAGCCAACGCTTCTTCAAAGGCAAAAGCATGGACCAAAGCATCTCAGATGGCGCAGCTTGGCTACACGGATTTTATGAACGTCGAAAAGATCTCGCAACGCTGGTTGACCAACAAAACTATGAAAGCAATTCGAACTCACAAATCCAAGAAGCGTCAGCAAATGGTGTTCAAAAGGACTGCATAGCTCTAATACGGCTGATGGGAACTATTGGGATCTTGTTGGGGAATCATACGTTGATGGACTGATGGATAGAAAAACAATTGAGCGCTATAGGAACGGGGCTATTCAGGAAGAAGTACTATCTTTCAAATAGAGCGGCGCGCAGGGAATTTAACAATTGAGCTGGAAGAGATGTGTATATAGCCTCAGAAGTAGTTTTGACAATACACGCACAGCAGGAGGTGCGTTTTGGAGAAAACACACCTCGATCATAGCTGAGTCAGCATTTGAGGATCGTCACAAGCCTGTGAATTGCCGAGGCTAAATGCCTCCTCCTAGCAAATACAACACTGACCTTCAGTTTCCTAACAATCGATCAAGTAAAACATTGTTCAATCAATATGGCAGCTCTATCGCCGTTGACCCCAATCATCATCGGCATTGGTGAGATTCGTCAGAAGGATTTCACCATCGAAATATGCCATGAGCCAGCCGAGCTCATCTTATCAGCCATCCGCAATGCATCTAAAGACTCTGGTATCGACGCCATTAACAGTTTACATAGTATTTCAGTTGTCCCACCGTGGTCTTGGAACTATGATGATCTACCTAAATTACTTGCGCAAAGACTTGGCATCCAACCACCCCATCTTGAACTCGCTAGTCATGGAGGAAACACGCCTGCTCTCCTCTGCGACAAAGCAGCTGCGAGAGTTGCTTCTGGGGAATCCAAAATGGCCGTCGTTACAGGAGGAGAAGCATTAGCCTCGCGTAAGTGATGAGGGCCGGGAAAAGGATATAGTGGCTGACAAGTCTACAGTCTTCGCTTGTCAAAAGGCTGGGAAATTGCCTCCACCAGGATGGACTGCGGTAGACCCCAATTCTAAACGGTACAGTCCTGGTGATACATCACTCAAACAAGGTAGGCTCTGAAACAGCATCCAGCCGGGCAAGAATTCTAACATGGTATAGGAGTTGGAGCGACGCATTCCATCGGCAATCCAATCCAAGTCTACCCTTTGTATGAAAACGCGTATAGGAAGGAGAACAAGCAATCCTATGTCGAGAATCACCAGGAATCGGCAGAGCTCTATACCCAATTCGATAAGATCGCATGTCAGCATCCCAACAGTTGGAGAGCAGGCGAAACCCCAAGAAATCTTGAAGATATCAAGACAGTGAGTAAACGGAACAGGATGATATGTACACCCTGTAGGTCTACTGTTACTATACTGCTATCATTTGCTAACTAATCAGATCCATTGTTGATGAACGCATTCAATGGAGTAAACCTAGCCGCTGCATGTATCATCACCTCAGTTGAGTATGCTACGAAGCTGGGGGTACCGCGCGAGAAATGGGTGTATTTAACGGGTGGTGCTGGCTCGAACGACAGTCAAGACTGTAAGATTTCTCTACTTTATCTGTTATTACAACTAACAGTGCGATGTTCCACAGTCTGGGAGCGAAAGAATTATTCCTCAAGTCCTGCCATTGAGTATTCGATCGACAACGCACTTGAAGCTGCTGGACTCGCCAAAGATGAGATAGACTGTTTCGACTTCTACTCGTACGCCACCCGCTACGACATTGTAATAAGGCTAATTCATGAATAGTTGCTTCCCAGTTGTACCGAAGATCGCTTGTAAGCACGTTGGACTCAATCTGCTGGATCCAAAGAAGCCCATCACACTCCTGGGCGGGTTGACTTCATTTGGAGGCGCGGGTAATAATTATTCACTACATGTAGGGCATATCCCCATTATGATGAGTTCATCTGACCATGATCGACAGGCTATTGCGGAGATGGTCAAAGTTATACGTAACGGCAAGTATCAAAACGGTCTAGTCCTTGCCAACGGTGGTGTTCTATCCTGGCAACATGCTATCTGCCTGTCTGCACAACCCAAGAGAAAAGGCTCATCCTACCAAGCGCAAAGAGTTCTCGACAATGGGCAAACATCCCAAGGTCCAGCGTTCACTGATGAGGCACAAGGCGGAGCCATCATCGAGGTACGTCGAATCTTCTGAAGGGTGCCTTTTCTAACATGAACGTAGACATACACTGTGGATCATGATCGAAGTGGCTCGAAGTTGGGGCATATTGTAGGAAGGCTTATTGAAACTGGGGAGAGGTTTATTGCGAACCATGGTGATGAGATGACTTTGCTCGCTCTCGTGAGTACCATCACTGAACCAATTGGTATGAAAGGCTTCGTCAGGGTTGGCTCAGATGGGCGAAACTTGTTCACGGTTGATCCACCAGTGAAACTGTAGTCAGTCCGGCTTTTCAGTCCGAACATAGCCGGGTTAGAAATCACGAGAGTGGGTATTGGTATCTCCAGTATGGGTCTACTCTTAAACAGCGACAACTTCAGGAACTCAATATTGAATAAACGAAGACTGCTTGGCGTTTACTTAATGCTATTGGACAGCATCCGAGAAACCTTTCGTGTTCGCTTTAACTGCTGATCTTGCTTCAAACGTCGGCACATTCCCCGGGATGCAACCGAACACCCCGCACGAAGAACAATTAGTTCCCCGCAGACTGAGGCCGATCTCTACTTAACCTTAACAAAAGTCGAAGATGCGCACCTATAGGAACTGGTTCTTGTGCATGTCGTGAACTTTTCGATCGTATGTCATCGTCAAGGAAAGATACATCCGCTCATTAGGGCAACCGCGCCTATTGAAACCCTGTAACTATGTCATGAACCTGTTCTCATTATTTTGAGGTAGTATTCTTGGAACTTGGACTTTACCACTGTCAGGGATCAACAAAACCTGTTCCGTGATCATTCTACCAGGATATTGCAGGCATATAAATACCACAATGAGCAACCCAGCACCGGCTCGGCGTGATACGCACAGTATTGGCCACTTGAAGGGCCCTATCATCATCACAATGTCGGCCCTCGCTTTTGCAGCACTTCTTGCCAGTATCGGAGGCACGTCTGGCAAGACAGTGAGATCTCCGACTCCTCCAATGGGTTGGAACTCCTACAACCACTACAACTGCTACCCTTCGGAGGATATTATCAAGATCAACGCCAAAGGATTAGTGGATCTGGGTTTTCTGGACCTGGGCTACAGCATTGTCACTGTCGACTGTGGATGGCCTTCGAGAGATCGAGATAGCGAGGGGAGACTTCAATGGAATGAAACTTTGTTTCCTTCCGGTCCAAAGGCTCTCGGCGAGTATATACATGACTTGGGACTGGAGTTTGGTCTCTATTCTGGGGCGGGATACCTCCAATGTGGCTCATACGATATCCCTGCCTCCCTCGGTACGTCTATTTTCTAATGCATCATCCAAAAGAAGCATGACTGATAGGAGACCAGGATATGAGGAGATTGACGCAAAGTCATTTGCTGAGTGGGGAGGCGACACCCTCAAGTAACAATACTCTCAGCCTAAGCTATGAAGCACCAAGCTAACACTGATAGATACGACAACTGCTACGCTACTTCCAAAACTGACATGGTCGACTCCGACTCTGCCGAAGCAAAGAGTCCTGACCGCTTCATCAAGATGGCCGCGGCCATCAACGAGACTGATCGTGACATCAAATACTTCCTATGCCAATGGGGTATTGGTGAAGATGTCCCACAATGGTACGTAGTAATCGCCACCTCCCGTATGCTCTCTCTGACGCTTTGGCAGGGCCACCCAGGTCGGAAATTCGTGGAGAATGAGCAACGACATCTTCAATGCATGGAGAGCAATCTGGCGCATCACAAATCAGGCAGTAGCTCATTCCAAGTATAACCGTCCTGGCGCGTTCGCAGACTTGGATATGCTCATGTAAGCTTCCAACCTGAACCTCTGGCCAGTTATCTAACAATAGTAGCATCGGTCTTGGTGCTCTCTCTTACGAAGAAGAGCGTTTCCACTTCGGTCTCTGGTCCATGATGAAATCCCCTCTCATTATCGGAGGCGTAATGGACGCCAAGCAAATCCCAGCCGAATCTCTCGAAGTTATGTCCAACAAAGAAGCCATCGCCATCAACCAAGATGCACTTGGTCAAGCAGCAGAGCTAGTCATTCGGTATACTGAAGAGGAGTGGGATGTCTGGTCCGGTAACCTCTCGTCAAGCCGCAAGGTTCTCGGCGTTGCGAACTGGAAGAACGAAACCCAAACTGTTGAAGTTGACCTAGCGCTTATTGGTGTCGAAGAGGCCAAGGCGCGAGATGTTTGGGCTCATAAGGATCTCACTATCTCTGGTACACAGAAGTTTGAACTGAAGCCTCACGAATTGCGACTCCTCGTACTGTCAGACATCAGTCAAGCTTCCAAGCCCAAGCCATCCGGGTATTACCCAGCGTCCAAAGCGTCACTGGACGGTTCAGCGTCACTTGCCGACTGTGGAGACAACGAGTGTCTTCCAGCCAACGAAAAGGTCAAATCCATCGGTGAAGGCGCCAAGGCAACTTTTAAATCTGTCAGCGCTCCCAAGGATGGCTCACTTTATGTCGGGGTGGACTATATCAATCACGAGTATCACCACACGATCGGTGATTGGGAAACGAACTCACGAAACATGTCAATCTCGGTCAATGGAGAGGATTCCAAGCGATGGGCGTTTCCCAACGCTGGTGGCGATTGGTTCGAGAGTGATCGCATGGTGATCCTTCTCGATGGGTTCAAGAAGGGTGATGATAACACTGTTACTTTCACTACTTCCAGCTCTGGAGATTGGGCGCCTGATTTGGTCGGCTTTGAGGTGCTGGCATGAGTGTTGGCAATCCATCTCGTCAACATGTCTGAGCAAGATTCTGACTAAAGACATTGCAAGACGGGGAGTGGCAATTGTATTAAGACATCCCAATTACATATCCCTAGAAAATGAGCATTCTAAACTTTGACAGTGAACTTGTACTGCTCTTGACCACTCAACTGTCTTTCCGTCCCCTTGAATACAAAAACACCACTAGTCTTCTTCGGCGCCTTGATACTCACCTCCATATTCTTCTTGTTACTGGTCAGTTTCCAAGTGACCTCGATCTTGCCCCCAAAGGCAGTCTGTACACGACCATGTGCGTAATCCAAGCCCATAGACAAACCACTCTCTGGCCCAACAACCCAGTGCTTGTACCCATACCCATTGACACCCTGTGCAGGTCGAAGTCCTGCCGCCCACTCGGTAAGAACGTATGTAGCTGCGCCTCCCCATGGGTGACCGAGAGAGGTGAATAGACCCAAACCAGGACTGCCGTCGTGAAGAACGTACTCCCAGCTTGCACCCGTGGATGTCTTGATGTCATCTACCATTGGGCCCCAGAGTGTATCGATAAGCTTGGATCCTTGCTTGTCGGAGCCATACTCGAAGAGCGCTGGGAGAAGGAAACCGTTGGTGTTGGGGCTGATGCTAGCAGTGGGTGCATCTGGATCTGTTCTAGTGTTATCGAGATATCCTGGGCCAAGAGCAAGCTTATCAAGGGCTTTGAAAGAGCGCTTGGCTTGGGTTCGAGTAGCGACCCCGCTCGTGGTGCAGAATGAGATACCGGTGACGGAAAAGTCGGTTTCGTTTGCGGTAGAAAGCTTCCAAACACCAAGCTCGTCATTCCAAAGTGACTTGTGGATAGCTTGTGCAAGCTTATCACCAGATTCTTTCCACTTCTTGGCTGAGCTTTTCTCTCCAATCGCACTAGCGAGTTCTGCCATGGAATGGAGAGTCTGGACAGTCATGCAGGAGACGGCAGAGCCAGACTCGGCAGGGCCAGTAAATGCGCCGTTGAGATGTACCAACCCATCGGTCTTGTTAATAGTACTCACAGACCACTCAACCACACGCTCAAAGTATTTCCACTCCTGTTTGAGCAAGTCGAGATCATTGCTTGACTGCACATAGTAGTACAAGGATAAGAGGCCGAGGAGCTGATAGTCTTCCAATCCATAGTTATCAGAGAAGACTGTGATATTTGGTTGGTAACCGAGCGGTGCACTCATACTGAATAGTCCGTCCTCATTTTGTGTCGGGATGAGGGACTCGAAAGTTCCTCTCTGAAGATCGTGGCGTGATGTGCTTACACCGATAATGCGGGAAGTGTGGAAATAGTCTCCAAGCCAGATAAGTCGATCGCGCTTTGGTCCATCGAGGCACGCCGCAAAGATGTTCTCTCTGACACCATACTCATCGAGAATATCATCAGAGGTCAGACTGCTCTCATAGACAAGCTCCCCCTTATCATCGTCGTGAACCTTCACGTTGCGGTAATAGGCCATCTGATCCTGATACGCACCAAGACCGAAACGACCAGTGAGCGTAATGGGTTTCATCTGACCTCTGAACAGAACGCGATAAGAAGTAAGCGACATGTTGAAGACCTTGGTTCCGTCGATGGAAGCGCTGAGGTAACCGTTCTTGAGAGTAGTACGGACCTTGTACCACTGGTTCTCGTGGACGGGGAATGGGAGGTCAAATGTCTTCAGAAGGTACGTGGGTAAAGTAGTCTGGTTGACTTGACCCCAGCCAGAAGTGACTTGCATGGTGTTGCGAGGGGAGAGTGTGTAGTTGTGGTTCTTGAAAGTAGATGCCTTGGGCAGGTCTCCCGTGATTTGAAGGCCGATTCCACCACCTTTCCCAATCTCCCAGGCCTGTTCATTGTCAGTATATGCTTGAATCAGTGCCAGACATGATGACTTACAACTCCATACCAGAGACCACCTCTCTGAATCTTAGTCTCAAACTCCAGAGTGTGGTTCCCAACAAGGGGTGATTTCTCACTCTGGATGGGTCTCAAAGACTCGATCAGAGCCCCATTCTTTGGATCAATACGCCAAGTAGATGGCTGACTGCCTTGCTCGAGACACGAAGATTGCGCACCTCGCACTCCAACTTTCCAAATTTCATTGAGTCGCTTGTCACTGCACTCAAAAAAACCAGGTTCCTCATCCGGGTCTTTATTAGGAAAACTGGCATGGAACCCAACGTTGGAGAAGTTGATACTCCCCTCAGTTAAAAGTCTTAGAGACTCCCATCTCTGTCCACCTTGAACGAGAAAGACATCGTAGCGTCCGGCCTTGGTGATATTCAGAGTTTGGATGCGGAAATTGTTCCCTAGCTGGTTTCCATACAGCAACGGTCCGTCACTGAAGGGTTCTTCCAAGCCTTGGTAGGCTTCGGTGTATTTGACCTCGATTTGGGCGGGACCACTGAGTGATTTGACGTCAAAGAATGGAACCCCACCTACTTCGTGGCCGTAGTTGATAACTGCGACGGTGTTCTTCTTCGAGTCTAGGGTGAAGCTAGTGAAGGGCTTGGTTTTGTACGTAGGTTGCGAGCCCAAAGCGAGGCCTTTGGGTAGGAAAGGCTTTTCGGTGCTGGTGTTCCTTGGTTAGCTCGATCATCCTTCATTTTAGTAAGTTGATCAGAGAGACTCACTGTGAATCGCAAAGACCTACTGATCCGAGCAGGACCACACCGAGAATGTTCAAACTCGACAACGAAGATAGACCCAACATGACGACCAAGGTTCTCCTGCTTCGTTGAGCTTGAAACTATTCACAACGAATGCATTGTGGTTTTATTTCATCGTCCCGGCAGTCAATAGGCTCGGTACGCTTCGGTTCGGTATCGATCGAGGGGAACAAGGCGTCGTTGAGTTACATGGTAGCTTGGCGCTATGCCTTCAGCACGAAGATCGATGGGTCTGAGATGGCTAGAGCTTAGTTGATGGAGACGATTGGGTAATTTCGGTTGTTGATAACCCGAATGATCGACGTACCCCAGATTGTGTCGCACCGGCCATTTAAAAGGCCCGATAGCACCCCACGTTCGGCATTCCTGGAACAAAAGTTAGCGAGAAGTTACCCTGGACACAATTGGTAACTGATCTATAGAAGCATAGCGTATTACTTTCTTACTGTATAGTATTTTACAAATAGAAAGAATCTCTGCGATAGATGAATTTTCCTAGCTAAGAATATCTAGGCGAGGTAAGTATAAAGGATAAAAGTGGGATTTTTGACGTGACGTGAAGTGTGAAATACAAAGTCAAATGCATAGCAAAAAAGCTGAGGGAAGGGTGAATAAGCCATGATGCCGGTTTTACCGTAACAACATGTCGGTGTACTTCGAATAAAGCCCAGAGTACTATATAAATATATCCAATTTAATTAATTATAGTTTTTTAATCGATAACACATTATAGTTGAAGAATCTCTCACAAGCAAACAACAGGACATGAGGTTTGATTGACCCACAAAAAGGACAAAATTTGCAAAAAAAAAATACTGGATCCCCGAAACCTGGATCGAACAAGTGACCTTTCGATGACATATAACAATTACAGTCGAACGCTCTTCCAGCTGAGCTATTCGGGGAGGATCTCCGAAACGGAGGAATAGCCATTGGTGAGATGTCAAGCAGCAATTTGTGTATATGATCAGCGACTTGAACATAGCTGTCAAGATGCAGACGCGCATCTACGCAGTGCTCATCAGTAGAGGCAGTGTCCATTCACATAATCCCATTCAATCCTCGATCTGAGTATCATGTAAGCCATAACGGAACAACAATGCGACAGTGATCGATCGCTCGTCGCGTGTGCGCATTGGCCATTCCATTCAGCGGCGCGCGATCGCGGGAAACCACAGGGGCCTCACAGTGTCCCTGCCACACTACTCAGATCCAGCTAGTTAAGAATAATTGTATTCGGAAGAGGTGTCAAAGGAAGACACAAGTAGAATGAGAATGCAATGCTAGAACGCTGTGGTAGCTGTCACAAAGTTGATCCAAAAAATACAAAAAAAGATATTCGTAGCTAGCAGCTACTGGTTTCGATCCAGTGACCTCCGGGTTATGAGCCCGGCTGAGGAGTTGTTAGTGCGAATTTTGGTACACAAGATTCGAGTAAACATACCGCGCTTCCACTGCGCCAAGCTGCTTTTTGGTGCTTTGTTGTTATTTTGTCACGCTATTTTACGGACTATATTCTGTACTGCCTGAGTTAGTAGTCTCGCCCAGCAAGGAGCCTCCAACATTACTAACGAAATGCGCATTGTTAAGGTCACACAACACGATCAATTCTTCGGATCTATTTTCGCATCCGACAAATTAATTTGACAAACCGACACCATCGACTTTAGCCTTTGCATAATTGATTCCCCTCTTGAAGCCGGTTCGTCGGCTTAAACGAGGGAAACCGAGTCATGTCCTTCTCGTGGAGTTCCAGGATTCGAGGTTTTTGCGGAGGAGCTGAACGATAAAAATCAGGGGATAATTAGTCTGATGGACCCTGACGCCCAATATTCGGAACATGTCCCCCCTTTCTAGTCCACGTGGAGATGGCGTCTGTCTTTTCCTCGCTCAACGGGCGCATCCATGCAGTGTTAGACACGGCTTGGCCGACGCTTCTATTGTTGACCTCGACGTCTGCTGATGGCGGCCCTTTTCCGCTGTTCTTGGGCTTATGGATCCGATGTCACAGCATAATAATGCCAAGCCAATTGTTGTAATATGATTGATCGCGTAGATGAGGTACACGACAAAGCACTTTCAGATATTGTGATCTAGACTTCGATTACCCGATCTTGGCATTTACAAACAGGACGTCCTGTCAGAAAGGAGAATTGTTTCTAGTCTTCTTGTGCTAGACAGGAACTTATTAAAATTGTTTAATTTGTAAGATGTCATTGGAAGAGAGGCTATGCTGAATAGATTCAAGACGTTGACTGGCGCTGACATGTCTAAACTATTTATTAATCTGTTCCATTTATGGTCTTTCGTCTCGTCTTGTTCCCCGAAGCTCCAACTCCACTCGCTTGAACGGTTTTTCACTTCCGCAAACGACCCCACATCACCAGAGTAGCAGTGATCGACTTGAGTCAGGGACTGAGTCACAAGGAACAGATCCTTGAAAGCCGCATAAAGTCTTCCGGTTGGCACATCGGAACCAGTAGTACGGGGTAAGGACCACAGCTCTAGTTCTACTTTCAGCCTTAGTCAAGGACTAATGCCAAGGTCCAAGGTTCTGGTTGCGACACTAGCATAAACTCTATTGATATGTTAAAATGATGTGACAGACATTCGTTTACGTACGTTCCTGTCTGTAGCTCGGTATTTACAAAAATGAGAGACCCTCTTTGCTGCAGGCACAGAAAGCTATCAGGTAATAAAAGTGATCTAACAGAAACTGTATCCTTGCTTTGTCTCATATGCCATGTGAAATGTCAGACATGGACCTTGGAATGTTGACCTTTCGCTGTCTACTAAAGCCAGTGTTAATCGGAGAATCAAGATAGGAATAAGGCCGCTTCAGTGTCAAATACATACCAGTTGCTAATATTCCGGGGATGGAAGACGTCTTCCCGTCTGTGGCCTACTTCCTCATTCACGTTAGTGGACGCCCCGGCTAACGTGTTGCAACCATCACTCACCCAGCCTCAGCCCACCTTGGGTGTCAGAGCTAAAATCAGCTAACCAATGTTAGTCAATATCCCCCTCTAGACCCTGTAACGAAGGATCTAGGGAAACGCCATTCATCACCCAGTCCCCTCCCTACCCCAGCCGTCATGCGTTGCCGACCCGAAAAACTGGACATAAGATCAGCGTGGGTAATCGAAAGTCGATCTCCCTCTTGCTCCGTCCCCTCTCATTTGTCCTGTCACTTTCTTTTAATACCCTGAGTCGAATAATTTTAGCAGCGACCGCTGCATCTGTCGGGACTCGCCATGGACTACTTCGAGGTGTGCTGGTCCATATTCAGCACTATTTGCTTGGTGAACGTCGTCTTTGGTATCCTGGTCTGCGAAATCACCACATTCACTGTCTTGGCTGCTGTGCCTATCTTTTCGTCTGCTGCGGGCGCCATTGCCAACGGTCTTTGCTATTATGTGTACTACGAAAAGCACGCTGTTGTCAATGAAGTAGTGGCAGCTGTCTTCTCCGATTTCTTCTGGCTGGTAGGTCAATTGATCACTTGATAGCCGTTGTCGCGTATTGACTCTTTAAATAGCTGCAAGAAGCAAGTTTATTGCTATACAGCTACATCATCCTCCAACGAGTCCTTCGGCCTAATCAATGGCGAATTTTCTCCATCATCTTCTGGGGTTTGATGGTCTGCACCGCCATCACTCGTGTTTTCATCGCCATTTACCGAGCCAAATTTCTCATTGAAGGCGTGCACGAATTCGAGGTCATCATCAACTACCTGCACATCGGCTACTTTACCTTTATGGCCATTTCGGAATGCCTGAGCGCCTATTTCCTTGTCGTCATCTTCGCTTCCGCTACGTCATCGAGCATGAGCGCGGCACTTAAAGTCGGCCTTCTTCGTTATCTCACACGCAGTACTGAGATGCGCGTTGCTTTCCTAGCCTTGATCGGCGTCGTTCGAACTATTATTCATCCTTTCCAGACTCCAGGACAAAAGGCAGTCAATATTGCTAGTCAGCTTGATCGTTTCCTCTACGCCCTCTTTTGTCTCTACCCGATTGTCTTATAGTAAGCAAACCTGCTTTTCTGCCCTCAACATGCTAACAAAACTTTCAGCTTCGATACCCTGGCCTCCAAACTCCGATTCAACGAGGATAGATCGATATACACGCACAGCGATCAGCCAGGAAACCCTACACGTTATGGGATGAATACAACTCAGACTCAGACTCGATGTTATACCACAAAGTCTAACTACGCATCCAAGATGTACGGCGGCGACGTTGGGCAGGAAGGAAACAACTCACAAGAACAAATTGTTCCTCCAAATGGTTCAACCCGTTCAGAGATTTCCGAGGTTGAATTGCAGGATATGGATGTTGAGGGACTTGTCATTAGAAAGACAACCGAGGTCACCGTCACATAAGAACGAATGGCCTATACTGGACCTAGTGTCATTATAGATTTCCTAATAGATAATTATAAAGAAATTCATTGCCCCGGCGAGCCCAATCATGCCGGAATACCAAGTGCATCACTATGAAGCTATGTCGTGGTATTTTCTAGACGGATATACAGCGAAAGTGTTTGTACCCGTTCCCGCGACTTCAGCGCTCTAAAATCTATATCCGCTGGCCTAATGTTAAAACTGCACCAGATACAACCCATATTCATATTTCATACCCAGACATGGGTTGCGGCTAATGCAGCTGCCCATTTTTACCTCGGGTTTAAGAAATGGGTTCCTGTAACGGCCCGTCTCCGAAACTCCGCGAAACCAACTCCGCAACACACTCCGCCTCCTACTCCATCCGTGCCTTGCGTGTATATAAACCACTTCCAGGACACCATATTGAAAATGTCAAAACGAATTCGCTATTTCATCGTCAGACATCATGGGAAAAATTGCTGTTGCTGGAGGCTCTTCAGGCTTGGGCCGGACCATGATCGAAGCCCTCAAGGCAGGGGAAACTTACGAATATATTGTGCTATCACGAAAGGCCACCAATGTAGAGTCTCGGGCAGTGGACTACTCGTCTGTGGATAGTCTAGCATCTCTACTTGAGACTGAGAAGATCGACACTGTTGTTTCTTGTCTTCCGATAGACGGTGATAACAGCGGGAAGGCTCAACTTAACCTCATTGAGGCGGCAAACCGATCGAAATATACCAAGCGATTCATACCCAGTGAATTTGGAGCGGTCTACACCGAAGAGTGAGTGTTGTGTTTCATTTTACAATTCTTTGTCATGCACATATACCAACAAGCGATTAGTGCTTTTACCTATATGCCCTCTTACCGTTGGAAATTTGAAGCCATCGACGTGCTTAAAAAAACAAACCTTGAGTTCACCCTCATCTCAATCGGCCAGTTTTTAGACTACTGGGCGGCCCCCCGAATCCCGACTTATATCGGCGCAGCAAACATCCAAATCGACCCGGAAAATAGAGTAGCTATTATCCCAGGCGATGGAAACAATCCCGTGGTTATCACGCATTCTACCGACGCGGCAAAATTTACTATCGCATTACTTGACCTCCCATCATGGAAACGAAGACACTCGATTATCGGAAACCGCCTTACTCTCAATGAAGCTGTCAAGTTAGCCGAAGAAGTCATGGGTGTCAAGTTCAATGTCAAGTATTTTACGATTGAGGAAATGGAGAGGAGTGAATTTGAGCTTACTCCCAGTATGAAAAAGATCTTGCCCGAGGAGATGCACGAGGGCATGAAGGCTATATTAGCTAAGGCGGGTATTGGGATGGCCAAAGGAAATATTGATATCCAGGACAAAGAAGATTTGACAATTATGTTCCCAAGCCTTGAACCTCTTACAGTTAGGCAAGTTTGGGAAGCACGGAAGTAGAGTAGAGTATGATGGATAGACTATGACATGAGAAAGCTGAAACATGGAGTATAGACCATGATGTCTTACTGAGGGAAATTGACCGAGTTTAGTCTGGAGATCACGGGACTGCATTGAGTGACACAACCCCTGTTGAGCGTGAAGGACATCACGCGTACAGCCACGTGACCACCTCATACATACATGTGCATGTCTTTCCTGTCTGCAGTGCTTCAACTTGGATCTTGAATTAATTCCGATCATCGTCAATCTCACATATCAATAACCCCAACAAAAACTTCTACATAAAATCACAACACATCACAACTCAATATTTCATCTTTCAAGCCACGGGTGTTTGTAATTATAATTCTGTCAATCTATCTCTGCTATTACCGGTGGACGACCTATCTACATGATTTCATTTAGTTGCCAAATATGTGGTGTGGACATGGCTATTGCCCGCATCCGAAAGCCTGATGAGCCACCAAGCGCCGCATGGGAAATAGATGGGGCAAACTATATAGACTGGCGAGGACCTTGGGCGGACGATTTGAAGGACCAAGAATGTCAAGACTGTACCACAACAGATCGCACAACAGCCAATGCTCAGATCTTGCAGTGGGAGTCGCTACCCTGCTGGCCTGAAGATGATGATTCGGACGACCCAGACTGGATGCCCGCGGAACATTCGCAAAGCGATAACGAGTCCCTCGAATATGACTCGGAATGCGAGACGTCAGAGGCGGCATCAAGTGAAAACGGCTGCGACGGCATTGGTTATGACTCACTCAGCGAGGAGCATGATGGTGTCAAAGACTTGTATCCTATGCCCGAGCTTTGCGATCAGCCACGACCCGAGCGACTGCCAAATGGAACCTGGTACAACAACAAGATATACTACACCGGTAATCGCCAAGGTCCTATACTATGTGACTTTCCCGGCGAAGGCGAGCACAAGGTCCCACCGGAGCACATCGCTTCACCTTCGTGCCAGAGTCTTCGAGGCATTAATGGTCACAGGCTAAGCTTCAGACAGATGAAGAATTGTCGCAATGTGCGATTTTTGATGCCTAAGCCTCAGAATTTTAGGGTTGGAGTTGATGAAAGGCTCATGGAAAAAGACAGTTTTTTCTGTCTTTCTGGAGAGTCGAATGGTTCCAACGTCATAGAGGACTATTACTCGGTTGGTTGGAAGTCGTTTTCTCCATCCCGGCATGGTTGTCGTGAATTGAGGTGTGACTGGGAAATGGTAAATGGAGGGTCTGATGTAAGTACTTTCCAAAACATACTAGGATTTGATCTGACATGAGGACAGGGTTCATACTCTTTATATCCCCTCCCTGTTCATTCATACTGTCTAGATATATACGCTAAAGCATCTTATCGCAGAATCGGTAGGGTTGATCTAGATGGGCTATGGCACTGGAGAGAGATTGAAAGTCGAGCACAAGCGGACAGAGAGGTTTTGAGGTTACATCACCCGGACCTATTCAGGGCCCGCGAGTGGTGGAACCTTCCATGGTACCATTATACTGGAGACGAATGGCTAGTCGAGATTCCTGACATGCGTACGCTTTTGAAACCTTGCTTGGATGTGACATTTGCTCAAGAGACTTCGCAACGCCAAGCATCACGTCTTGACTCCATTCCTAAAGAACTTCTTTATCAGATTATCGACCTTCTCAGCCCTACAGATGTCAATTCTGTAGCGAAAACTTGTCACATAATGTATCACTTCACTCAGTCAAGGTTTAGAGAGATTGTCCGAAAAGACATGGCTTGGCTTTGGGAGATACTGGAGGGCAGCCAGTATCCCGAATCTCCAGATAGACCCGTCAACTGGGATCCTCTTTGTCCTTTGGGTATCCCAACACCCTCTTTCCCTGTTGGCCTTGAGAAGGAAGACGTGGAGGCTGAATTGTGGGAACAGATCATAGAAGAATATCCAGAAATGGAAGAAATCAGCAAGGCGGTCAAAACAGCCAACAGGAAGCGCCGGGATGAAATAGTGGCACCTTACGAGGAAAAGTTGGAGTACATGTCGCAAGAATGGCTTGGCTTTCGTGCAGATGTAGAAACATGGATCCGTGGCACACAGAACAACACCATTGAGGTCGATTGGGGACGCACGTGGAGGCTCTTTTGTCCGGAGACAACCTTCCTTCCAGGGCTGCGGAACCGAGCCAGAATTTGGGAACGCTGTCAAAAGATCACGGGCTATATAGAAATGTCACGTATTGCTGGAGAGATCGACGAGACGTCACCAGACTTGTTGGCCAAACTGGCGGATCCTTCTCAACCGGGATGGAGCACGGATCCAGAAGTCGATGGATGGTGGTAACCACACGCATCCCAAGCATATCGTTACCTATATATCATGGTAGGTGGTTGGCAATAGAAGCTATGTGTTTCAATCACAGCTGAATTCATTGCATAGTCAGAAATGATAAATGTTGATCTCGGCGATTAGGATTACTCATTCATAATTATTCCCTCAACTGATATGTAAGCCTCTCTAATTTGTCTTGCAGCCTCCTAACAGACCAATGATCTTCCCCAAACACCTTAACCTTGCCATCTCTTGCCACTAAGTAGAGATTCCTCGCTTCACGACGACATCCCCAAATTTCAAGAATACCAGCCATACGCTTCGCTATCCAACAGTAAGGAAAACTGCTTTCATCCCAGATGCCTACTACTGTACATAGAAGTTGTCTAAAGATCTGAAACGCATTTGATAGATCTTTATTTGCAAGCTCAATCCTGGTTGCTGTACGTTCGGGCGTTTCGTCTTCAGGGCTGTAGTAAGCATCTGCTTTGCAGTCGTGAGATATGAGGAGCTGTGGACGGTCGGGGCTGGGTATGCAGGAGGATAATATCTCTCGACTACGCTCGTCAAGTAGATCTGCTTGGACGACGGCATTCCCTATATATCCTATTCCTAGTTCTGTCTTGTTATCAGATCAAGTATGAGGATAGTGATGACCGAGCTTACCCGTGTAAAGAAGTTTGTGATACCTCGCCCCTTCCTTATTCATTTCGCTTTCCCACTCGTTGCAATGACGGTGAAACACTCGGTCTTGCTACCAATGTTAGTGAATAATATAGGATAACGATGAAAGTCGGATACCCACATCCTCAGAGCATTCAACCTGTCTATCAGCCTCTGTTCTTCTGGGGTTCCGTCTTCGCCCAAGCTGTAAACATTCGCCTCTTCGTTCTGGTTATTGAGTAGACTTGGTTCCCTTAGCGGCAGAACCTTCATGACCTCCACAAATCTCTTCAATTCTCTTCCGACTTCGATCTTACCCAGATATGCTGTTGTGTCGACTTCCTTATCTTCTCTTTTCTTGTAATCGAACAACTTCACACCTTCAAGACCGTGATCCACATTGAAGCGGTAATATCGGACACTGTTGATTCCGAATTGCTCGGCCACATTCCGGTGAATTGTGACTGTTCCAGTTCAAAGCACAGGCCCGTCGTATGCAAGCAGATATAATGCGAGAATTCATGAGCACACTCGACAGCTGCAATGAACATCTCAAAGATTGCCATAGCTTGTGCTTGCGTATGGGCACACCGCAATGGACAGCAGACTCAAACTCTCGATTGACCATGTCATGGAACTTCTTCTTCACGTACCTCAGTAAAGCGGCCATTTTACTACAGCTCGAGTTACTCGACGCGCAAGTCTTCTTAGGGCTCCATAGACAGCCAGCACGTCATTATATCCATGTCGTGGAATTGTTCTGACTCTCAATCAGCCGACCGATGCCACCCCATCTCCGATTCCAACACCTCAGTCGTCAACGCCGAAACTATCCCTCGCTCGCCGAGACTCCTTCCTGAGTAATGGCGGTTCGGAGAACTTTACAATAGAAGGAAGAGTGGGAAGAAGGGAGCGCGCAGAGCGACAAAGGCGGAAAGACACACAACAAAACCCTTTGCTCGTCACAACAACAGGAAATAAGCTGAGGAAGCCCAACACCCGGGCACCGTCGATTATCATGGGCTTCTCGGACAGTAGCAGCACCGTCAGTAGCTTTAGTGACAGGGCCTCCGTCACGGTTTCTCCAAGTCTGCCGCGAATAACCGAAGAAAAGACACCAGCTATGTCAATAGTAAGTTTATCTGTACATCTTTTTCTTGGGTGACAGCTGACACATCTCTCAGCTTAGTATTCCAAGAACACTACCTCCGGAATACTCCAAGGATACCAGGGACGCCAAAACGTTAATCTCAACAACAAAAGATGATGCTCACTATAATTTCCCAATGACAACCTCTTCACCCCCATCTGTTCTGCCAGTGGAATCTGAACCACAAATGACTGAAGCAAGCTTTGGTGACAATCGTACTTACTTTAGTGGCAACGTTATCAATATCTACCCCATCATGACCGGTCCAACACCAAATCAATTTGGATACATGCATCCAGCTCCATACGGACATCCTCCCTCTAATCACATGGTACCATCAGGTTGGCAAACCCCTATGCCAATGCCTCCTCCAACACCGATACAACGCCCAATGGTTCCCGTTCCTCATTTACCCCCATCACGGGTAGCTGCTTATAAGCCAAGCAGGTCTTCCCTACGTGAGTCGGTAGCCTTACACCTTTCACCATTTCCAGCGTTTTCAGTTGACTTGATTAAACCGTCAGCAAGATGTGCGCATGGGATCAGGCACTTCAAGGGACACTCAAGCTGTCAGTGGGGTTGTTGTAGCTCTAGAGGATGTGGGCAATCTTACTACTAATACAGGGGCAAGATACAAACACAAAGGCATTCTTTGTGAGTACAAAGCTACAAGTGTTGATAGACCTTATATAATGTAAAATGACAAACATGTTGGATGACTCTAAACCTTGTAGCCTGGTCGTGAGTCGACGTCCCATCCCTTGACAAGAGGTCTTTCAGTATCTGTAGCCGACATACCCCAGGTTCCCTTTCCAGCACTACCGCTAGTATGGGGCTTGAATGCCTCAAAATCGACAAAATCGTTCCTTTCAGTTCCCCAAGTAAGAATGCCACTACCCCAGTCACCCTCACATCCTAACCCGGTTCCAATGCTTGTTTGACCCATGTACTGCAACATACCAATCTCTTGATAGTTTGCCAGGTTCTTCTCGCTGATAGGGGCAAAAAGTCGAATGCCAAGTACACCGTAGAAAGAGAATACCTCGAGAATAGCATTTGAGGTATTGAGATCAAAGTCTGACCTTCTGGAACAGCGAATCCATTTCAAGTGGAAGTAGTGAGGGTCAGAAGCGAGTCTATCCTCTACGGGTGTTGATGTCTTCGTAGTCCAGCTGACAGTGTCTGTCAAGCGGAAGATGAAATGAGGTTTCTGTTTGTACTCGTGTAGCGAAACCTGAAGGATGGAAAGACTGTTGGGTGAAGCGCGGTCCTCAGAGGGAACGAGTGCGCTGAAGAATGGTTTTATGAGAGGAAAGCCTGATAGTGATTGTGGAACATGTTTCTTGGTGGTTTCAGTGATGCAATTTGAGGTGTAGTCGTTCACTCTGACGGTGAGATTGTCCGGGCTATCAAAAAGCGCGACGATCTGGTCTTTTCCAGTCTTTTGCAGATCGCCGACCTATCACATTAAGAGTAAGTAACGAATCCATTATATAGAGTAAATGCTGGGGAACTTACAAGAACAATTTGGGATGACTGAGGGGATAGTGAGATACTGGCCTGATGCTTCATGACAGTAGGTGCATCACCAGTGAGATTCATCACATCAAGTGACATCTTCGTAGTGTCAGAATCGCCCTTTTCGAATGATGCCAAGAGAACACAATCCGAATCGCCAGTCTTCAAGATCTTAACAAAGTTATAAACTCCCTTGGTGTCCGTTGCCGTTGTGTTTGAATTGGGAGTACCGTCGTTTGCAACGAGACTAATTCCAACGGGATTGCCGATGTCAAACTTCAGGATTGCCAGATTAGTACCGGCTTGAGCTTTGAAGTTTCCTGTGAGGGCTCTGATAAAATTCGCGGACGAAAACACTTCCGTCACGGGAGAGTCTTTGAATAGCTTGGTTGCTTCAAAGGCCCAGGATTGATCAGGAGTAAATGTGGCCTGGTCTTTTCCTGAAGATGTCGATATATCCTTCACTCTCCAGCCAGAAAGTGTGATTGTCTTTTTACCTGCATTTTGTTGCAGCATCAGACGGTAAACGACCAGACTGTCCTTGTCGTGCCATTTAACACACTGAAGTGGCTGGATAGTGCTCCTCTCTTCATAGCTGTCAAAGTCGATAATGCGGTTTCGCAGAGTAAAAGTATCTTTGTCTTCCACGTTTCCTTCTCGATCGTGGATGCCAACGAAAACCGGTCCCCAGAAGTTGACACATGTCTGGAAGCGGGATGGTCCAGGAGCGAGATCCTGAATCTGAATAAAACCTCCACTGGCGAGTCCATCAATGGGCCTTGCCAAAGGTGCCGAGCCCTTGGTGCGGAAGTCACTGTCACGTGCTTCATAGCATTCTTTGCTTGCATCAACTGAGTAAGGGATCCAGCTGGTTGACGTATTCTTGAGTGTGCTGGGTTTCCTGCTGAACACAGAATGGTCATTGACGTTAGAACGGATCGTCCAGGCTGTTTTGTCGTCTTCTGAGTTGACCTGCCACAGAGGAACAGGGTTGTGGATGTCATAGCCGCCCCATTCAGCCTTCCAGCCTGTTGACGGGCCCTTGCCAGCTGCTAGCATCGGGACAGGGATGTGCTTGACGGCATTAAAGTCTGACGGGGTCTTGGCGTTCTGATTGGTAAAAGCGTCTTGGTATAGTTCGTCCACTGATGCTTGGACGCAGTTCATGCTATGAATAAGTCAGTTCACATCATTATCGCCTTGGATAACAATTCATACATTCGAGCTCGGTTAACAATATCCCATGATTCCTTGAACTGCTTATCGCCTAATTCTGGTAAGCTAAGGTTCTTTGCCCAAGATCCACGTGTACATACCGTAGCAAAGCCACTGTTGGCCAAGTTGATTCTGGACAAGAAGCCCAGTATCCGAATCGTTGTCATGCATCTGACTTGGTCAGAACCACTTCATCGCCACGGATAGTAGACATACGTAGTTTGCCTGGAAATCCCAGATCGGGGTCTCCTTGCCGAGAATTGCAGAAGTAGCAGCGATGCTTTGCTCGTCATAGTCGTCGTTGTGAATCTGACGTCTTGGTGCTCTGATATGGCCGGAAGAAAAGGCATCTGTCAGATAATGAAGGCAAAAGGCTACGCAATTGTAAGAAAAATGACTCAGTAACGGCTTGGTCAGTCCACATACCTTCGTGCATATAAGCGTCTTGCAGACCATTTGCCTTGTCAGTATCCGATGTCTTGGCCCCTGCCTCTTTAGCGAGCCTCATAGCTTCCGAGTGGCCGACCTTGTAAGCCGTAAGCGCGTCGTCGCCCTGTCCTTATCAATATGAGTAGTCATCTTGCGCTCCTGGGAAAACTCACAAAGTGGTCAGCGTTGATGTAAGACAGCCAGGCGTAGAGGCTTGACTTGGGGTTGTTGAAACCAATGGTAGCCTCAATCCAAGCTTTGTTGGTCGGGATACCACAGCCATGGTCATGGTAGGCGTTCGCAATTGTATGAAGATCTCCCTTGTTCTCACCATCCTTTATCTCCTTCTCTGCTTCATCAGTACCCTTTTTTTCTTTGTCGATCAAGTCCCCGATACTGATGAGGTTTCGGTCAGTATCGTCCTTGAGACTCTGTACAGCGCTTCTGAAGCGGCTAACAGCGGCATTCCAGCCCTCAGGTGTGCTGAGACTAGGACTTTCAGCGAAGAAAGCGCCGCAGACAGGGGTTCTGTTGTCATCTGCATGGGTGCTGTAAAAGTCACCTGCCAGCGCTATAATGCGGCCGAACGTCAATTTCACTTCCTTTTTCTTCTTGAAGATACCCCAAGTCCCGTCGGAGGCTTTTACACTCCATGTTTCATGATCGGTTGCAGGAATCTCAACACCATGAATGTTTCGGAGTTTCACACCAAAAACAACGGATTCATGCTCGGCAGCTAGTAGACCCAGTTAGCTACAATTCTGGTCAGCATTGCCTCGACAGAGATCACCTTCAAAGAACCGATCGTCATCCAGACTGTTGTCTACTATGTCATCGTCTTGGAGGTTGTCAATAGGTTCATTCTCGGCAAGTCCTGTGGACTCTTTGGCCTCTTTGTAAGTGTAAGGCGGCTTGAAAAGTCCAGAGAGCTGCTCCTTCGTGAACGTTGAAATTTCGGATGAACTCATTGTCGCTATACACAAGTTTGAAGACAATTACATATAGAAAAACAAATGAGTCTGACAGAATGCCGGTGGTTTCGATACCGCAGCCTTAAGTAACTCCTTGAATCCTCCGTTTAGATTGATTGGGGGCGATATTTACCGTTAGTCAGCCCTAGATAGCGTAACACCTTTATCTGCATGTGAGGAGCTTGCTTGTTCTGGGCCTTATATCAATAACGGTGGCTAGCTGAAACCTCACCGGTCAGAACAACCCCGCTCAGAGAGATTCTCAATTGACCAATCCATCCTGATTTTACAAGACACTTGGCGCGATAGATATGCGAGGAACATGGTAGACCGCTCCAGATCTTTGATGCAAGTAAGATTTAACGTTCATTGGGCGAATACCTCCAATTCATTACTCCAGTGTCTCTCTTGTTAAGCAATGTATGGTATGAACTGCGACGTGTCATAGACGTTAGCTTAGGTTTTTTCAGCTCAGCCCGGAGATAACCGTACGGCAGGTGATAGACTGGAGGTTAGCTCGCAAGGTATCTCAATATTCATACACAAAGAGCTGTCTGCTGATCATGTAATTGGATGCCCGGACCAAGAGTTCCTGGTATCCTGGTATCCCCAACAGTTCGTTGATTATCATGGGAGGACTAAGTATAATTTGCACTTAATCTACACTCCAAACTACAACCTTGAACTTCATTATCTTTCACCAAAATCAACCTCGCACCATTAAATCCACGGACCTTATTGGGACTGCATCAAGAACGGGACAAGATGGAAGAGGCCAAAACCGAAGTCCGCCGTCTTGTTAGTGCCGAATATCCAGATGGCGTCACAGACGTTGAATTCTATCCCTCCGACTTCTCATCGGACGAGGATATCAGTGTCGCACCGGGTAGCTTTTAACTAACCATAGGTTTCGGCAATGTTGGAATTCCGAAGATGGCGAAGCGTCAATGGAACCCTCAACAAGGGTTTCACTACGTTTTGGAAGACCCCCCTGCCCCCGCAATGTCAGCTGAGGATACCACCTGGGACCAGGAACGACGTGAAAAAGAAAGCCAGAAGATCAAGGAGGGCGAAACAGGTGTTGAGAACGTCATTCTGGAACTGAAGAGCGATGTCAAGAACGAAAAACAACCAACGAATTATGTAAGTAATTTTTCCCACATGAGTTAAGAGGACTGCAGCTAATCACAATCTCACGACAGAGAGTCAACGTGCAATTTGGTTCTAGTCCCTAGAATCAAGTTTCACTACAGGTGGACAGTGGCTCAAGTATCCTTTGGGCACAGAGTCGCATCCAAGTTAGCCAAGATGTCCCACCTGGGCGATCAGTCGTGGATCTCACTATTGAAGAAGCTGCGAGATTTCAAGAGGGGTCCAAAGCATATGAGATTCTTTATGGCGGCGGGAAAAAAAGTCGCATTTTCCTTGTTTGAAGCCACTGTTGGCATCGGAGGATTGAAGACACCCCAAGTTTTCGGAGCCGCTAAGATTGCAGCCCAGGAAAACCTCCTGCCTCTGGGGATTCTGGGGCTGGGCTTTTCTGCGGATAACTCACCTATTCCGTTCCATCGGACACTGGTGGTTCACTTGATGGAAAGCGGCATGATCAAAAGAGCGTCTTTTGCACTCATTGGGCCTCGTTCCGAACCTGCTGGGTCCATCAGGCTCAACGATCAGAGAACACGAGATCGAGGATGGCTTGTGATTGGGAGCCTACCGGATTCCTACCACAATGGTATAACTTGGTGTCCCGCACTTGCAGATAAGTATCGGGCTTGGGTGATTCGTCTCAACAAAGTGACCGTCAACGGCATAGTAGTTTGCGAGGATCAATTGGCCCTTGTCGATACAGGTAGCTCATATTTAACGACCACAGAAGACAACTGTCGCGAGATAGCCAAGGTCATCCAAGGCAAAGCCAACAACCGCATCGTGGCCTATCCCAATGGCAATCTCAGAGAGTTCTCATTCACCTTTGGCGATGCAGCTGGAGAGGCCACTTTCGGGCTCAACAAAGAGGACTTGTCGCTGGGTCCAGTGTCTGGGTCTGGGGATGGCTTCTTGAGGAGCCCAGTCACTTACATGAGTTTTGGCAACAAGAAGTACAATTGGGTTCTGGGTGGCATCTTCATAGACAACATGATCTCGATCTACGATTATACTGGAGAACCACGAGTTGGGTTTGCGTCGAGATCTGACGTGAACCCAGTTATTACAAAGATTTAACTTAGAAAGGGATGCCAACAGCGAGTAAATGATAGACGTTATTCTCGGCAGGACTTTAGCTTTCGAGTATACAAATCAAAGGTATAGGTGTTCGATCAAGATAGCATAATATAGCTTACCCATTCTTTTCTCTCTCTTATGACATCCCTATGTCTTCGCAATCGAATTTGTAATCTCAGGCAATATCAGGTAGTCATTTGAAAGACCAAGCTAAAATCAGCCACTAGATGGAACAAGTTCCCAGCCACCATTTTGAATCACGATTCTCACTGGGTGGGGCGCCCTTGTCTCATGGCGGAGGTATTTTCCCAAGGGCCACCAGCCGAAACTCAATCAATCAAGTGCACGCGACAACTTCACAAAACAATTTCAAACCGGCCGAGTATCTCAATTTATGTTCAGTCTACAATGGCAGAGACCAGCAAGCGTGTTGGAGGTCAATACTCCAGAAAGCGCGCCGCTCAAGCATGTCTGGTTTGTAGAGCACGCTCTTTCCCAAAAGCCAATTGCTGATATGGACTTAGAAAGTCTCGATGCGACAGTCAACGACCGCGATGCGGCTTTTGCTCGAGCACAAACTCAGACTGCAATTATCCCGACACTGAATCAACCAGGTAGGATCTCTGAGGATTAGTTCCCGAAAGTACCGCGTCTACTCACACCATTAGTTTGGATAAAGCATCTCTGATGATATTGGAGAGGATTCAAACTATGGAAGAAAACTTGATGACGCGTCTTCCTAATGCAACGGCCCCCCAAGTCTCAGAACCCATTGCCAATAAGCTAGCAAAGAAAAGTTCTGGTCCAAAGACAAGGTCATTGAATCTATGGCCAAATGGCGATGTCATGTTGACATGGCATGTCTTCAGGCATGCTATCGCCAGATGTGGCCAACATCGACGCTGGGAGCCGTATCGACATGAGCTGTCACCCAGCCGCGACTTGACCGCGCCAATACCTGGCCCAAGCCCCTCAATAAAGGCGGAGTTTGTTCGTTCTGATACAACAGCAGATAAAGTCTATTCCGACACTATAATGTCAAATGATATAATGGCTGATGCTCCGACTCCAGGATTACCAGAGCTCTCTCTTATCCAAAACTATGTTGTCAACATACACAGCAAGTCGCCAATCTTAGATCTCGAATTCTTAAGAAAGCTAGAAGATGAATTACTGAAGGACAGCGAGCTTCAATATTGGCCGACTCGTAGGGATCTGCCAGCAGGACTAGAGCCTCCAGATATGGCAATTCTCTTACTAGTACTTGCATTAGGTGAGGTTTCAGCGAAGACCAATCCAGAGAAAGAACCCTTAAAACAGTCCTATTACATAAACCTGGCACTCCCATGACTTGGAGTCACTGCATTCGGCAATTCACCTCCTATCAAAGACTTGCAGGTGCAGTTGTTACTGGCGAGTTACTATATGTGGATCTTGAAGCCATGGAGAGCCTGGTCATATGTGGAAACAACAGCTGCAAAGGCCGAGACAATATTACTCAGGTGAGTTTATTGTTCAACGATGGATTTGCTTTCATGCTAAGGATTTATGGAACAGATATCCGGGCATCCTCGAAGAAAAGCTCAGCCACAGAGTACTTTGGGCAGTTGCCAAGATGCAACTGGAGCTCACCGAAGAGATCTATCCACATCTTGGATTGTTGAAACAAGGTAAACTTGGACAACTTATCCAAAGCACGCCGATTCCGCCGATTCCGCCGCCTCCGCCGCAACCTTTCGAATGGCCCAGCATAGGCTCTCAGCTTGACACTGATACTTGGTATTACTACCTAGCTGAGACTTCAAGTCGACGATTGGTCGAACGCATAAAAGCCGAACTGTATAACGGTATGGCCATGATTCCACAAGCTTTACCTAGTTAACTAACAGAAAAATTGACAGGTGACAACAGCGATTCTGGGGACATAACAAACATAGCTGCTAGTTATCCTCTGGCTTGCGAGCTTGAGCGTCAGATTAACGAATGGTAAATAAGAGCTCCAGACTCGACTGGAAGATTCACAAAGACAGTTCTTGAAATATTTCAACTGACACATAGACGTCAGGATGAGCTCCCTCCCGGCCGATTTCAGAGGTACCTCACAACTTCTATCAGAAAACTCCCTGGCAACAGCGTTCAATCTCGAGCAAGCCATCAAACAGCGCATGCGCAAAGTTCTCGTCGACCGGCAGGGACAGCTTTTGATGCTGGTCTTCCGTCCTTTCCTAGCCGCTCTCGCAGACACCGAACCTGACACTAATCGATCAATGACCGGTAACGATGACAGTGCTTTGTTAAAGGGTACAGCAAGATATCTTTACTTCGCAATCAGGTTCCTTGTCCAGCAAAACGAACAACCTGTGCGACACTACGGATGCTGGCTACTGGCGAGAAACATCTGGTCAACAGCCTTGTCCCTTATTGCAGCTTGTTATATCCCAGCTGTGGTACGCTACATGGATTCGGAAGATATGAATGACCAGAGTATTGACAGCGTTATGTCTTTGAGTCCCATGTTCCATGGGTCCTTCGCAGTCGTGTCACAAGGCACCTTTGTTCAGAAGTCTTTGGCTGCCTGTAAAGATGCTTATCGTCTTTTAAAACTGTGGGATGGTGAGAGTAAAAGTTTGTCATTTTGCGCAAGTCAACTGTCAACCTTGATTGCGGAAACCCAATGGTATGATGCCAGGATGAGGTCAAGCAATCCCCTTCCTCAATAGCTTAACAACGAGTCTTTGAGCCACTTTCAACGGCGAAACATGGGAGTTTTAATAGATATGCACACTGGGCTATTTTCTGTCCTACTGCTCGTATACGACCTTATTGGCAATGGTCCCAATACCATCAATCTCTACCTTTGTGATATCACCTTCTTTCATGCTAATCTGGGGCTTCTTGCCAAAGCCAACACCAGCTGGAGTTCCAGTGAAGATGAAAGTCCCTTGAAAATATCAGCAAATACTAGAGAAACAGGAATTGTTGTGAAAGCATTGTACTTACCAGGCAGAAGAGTCATGCCTTGACTCAAGAAGGACACGATTTCAGCAACTCCAAAAATCATGTTGTTCGTGTTACCATCTTGTAGCTGTGTGTCGTTGAGTGTGCCACGAATTCCAAGGCCAACGGCAGACCCTAGAATATCCTTCGAGACGATAGCTGGGCCAATGGGTGCTGAGCAGTCGAAACACTTTGAGTAGCACCATTGTCCTCCGCCTAGTTGGGGCTCTAGCTGCCATGCTCTGTTGGAGATATCATTTCCGGCCTGGAAATTTTAGTACTTGAACATGAGTTATTTTGAATGGTAACTTACTGTGTAGCCAAAAACGTGGTCGAGCGCATTCTCTTTAGACACTCTTGTGGCCTTCTTGCCAATCACAATAACCTGAGAATGTTAGAACCATGGTTTATCTCAAGCTATATATAGTGGTTGCTGGGAGATCTCGGGATCATAAATACCAATTCCGATTCGTAGTCCAACCTTCCCTTCTCCCAAGAAGTACGGGGAAGGACGAGATCGTCGTGGGGACCAGTAAGTGCTGTTACGGGCTTGAAACTATGTGTGAATCCCAATCAGAATATCCCTATGTCAAGAAGAGGGGGATTAATATTGGTAGAGAGTGAGATCTCAAACTTACAAGACGACAGGCACTTTGGGAATAGGCATTTGAGCCTCTTCTGCGTGATCCGTGTAGTTGAGACCAATGCAAACAACAGATCGGGCATCATCTAGATCAACGGGGCATAGAAGCTTCTGAATTGTATGCTCCTTGTCGGAAAGCTGAGCTGAGGAGGCGAATGGGCTTCCGGACTCAAGGATCCTTGCGGTCTTAAGGGACTCGTTGGCGGCACCATAATGAGTCTTGCCATCATCATTTGACACAAACCGGACGAGGCGTTGGATTGACATGTTGGCTTTAGTAGTGCAATATGAGAAGCGACGTTGGAAGACTTTGGACAGCATGAAGATGAGACGATATCAAGACAAGTTGATCATGGTGTATCAGACACCAGATTAAATATTCGAACTCAGTCGTGATGGTATTCCGTTGTCGGCAACGAGACCATCATGGCTTGCAGGGATCATCGATCTGGCCTAGGGTGGAGTGGAGTAGAGAAATGTGATGGATGGCTACGTCGGTTCAGTGGCCGAGATGCCCCGAAAGTCGAGCTTTACCTAATGTGGACTGTCCTGAATGCCTCCCAAGACCAAACCATCTGGTCTAATTCTTTCCTTCTGAGGTACATATATCACTAAACATGACCTCAGATCCGAAAATGACATTCAATTCATGGGGTATTGGTCTTTCTACTCAATCGTCATGGATCACATTCAATACATCAAGACAATGCTGGAACAATCTATTGCCCAGCGTCCGTGGGTAGTTGCTGGCACCTCTGGAGCTGCAGTGTTAATAGCTTTCGCCGCATGGTGTGTCCAAGATTATCGCGACTACCTTGCCCTTGGTCCTGGAGGTCCTCCTCATAACGTGAGAGGATGGGCATGGATCACGTTCGGTATCCGACCTTTTGCGCTGAGCCGGTCTGGGGCGACTTATGTTGCTGATTACCCTACATCTGGAAGCCATCCAGAGATACAGAACCTCCCACGACGAGAGGGTGATAGAGCGCTCCTTGGAGGAATTGCTCCCCACCGTCAATTATCACAGCATGCGCCTAAGCGTATAAGAACTGTAAGTAACTATTGATGCCCATGTTTCTTCATTGACATTGACACTTTAACTAACATCCCTGCCTGGTCTAGTAGATCGAGAATCTCTTCAACAATGCGGCGCGACAACACCCTTCGATACTTGAAGTAAAGAAATCCCTGTACGAACGCCATCACGACGCACTCTTCGTCTCACAGGACCTACTTCAATCAGAACCCGATAGCCTTCCCAAGACTACCATTATTGCCAGAGGCGAGCTCGGACACGCGCACCCAGATCTATCTGTTCATCTATACCTGTCCCCCGCGGACGCGCGCGTCATTATCGAGAAAGGCTGGGCTGAGAGACATAGGCTGTCGGTGCCGGAGACCAGCTGGGTCAAGAACAAATACGCTATTGCTAGCACATACTTGATGATCTATGGACCCCGCGATGAGAAAGAGATGGAGATTTTGAGAATCATTCTGCAAAACAGTATTCGATTCATGACTGGTCATTCTAAGGTGGAAAAGGTGCAGTGGAAGGAAATTATTTAGACGTGCAATTAGTCGTATGTACGATTGAATACTCTATTGAAAACCCATCGTTAAAGATTACCTGTTATCTGTGCTGCGTTGCGAGATTAGTGGTCCGGAGACGCGCCTCAAAAACTGACATTTCGGTACTGCAAGCCTTAATTAGTATTAGTATTCATATCGCAAAGAGAATTAAAATAGTGTCGAATTGAATTAATTGTTATTCATCAATTTACAAGATTTATATTTAGCTTACTGTCCTGCCTTCTTCAAACTTCACAATAACATCCTCGATGTCCTTCCAATCTCCAACCCCACGCGACCCTGCCACATGTACCCTGTATGACCCAGCGTCAATGCGCCACAAATGATCTTTCTCATCCCAGTAAGCAAAGTCGCGTGGCTTCAAGACAGAGTCCAAGTCCTGGGAACTGCCTGGCTCAAGAAGACGCGTCTTTGCAAACCCTCGTAGCTCAACGCGCGGTCTTGTTGTGGTAGGATCCAAAGCTTCCACGAAGAGCAGCACAGTTTCGCTGGCGGTCATAGTACCCGTGTTCTGAACAGTCAAGACGACCGTCTCACCAAAGTTCTCGTTGTTCCCGTTGGAAGTCTGTGCATGACTCTTGACGGAACAACTAAAGGTGGTATAGCTCAAGCCGTGACCAAAGCCGAAACGAGGTTGGTAGGATTGAAGCGATTCTTGACGATAGCCGACAAACACCCCCTCACGATACTGGATCTTTTTGTCTGCCGTCATCAACTCCTCCACGTATCCAGCAGGGTAGTCTCCAACCTTGTCCCAGAACGTAGTTGGGAGTCGACCACAAGGTGACACTTCACCAATAAGTATTCTAGCCAATGCGTTGCCAAATTCCATGCCAGGGAACCACGCGTAAATGACAGCGTCGACGTGATCTATCCAAGTACTCATATCAATTGGTGATCCGGCATTAACTACCACGATTGTTTGACCCTGGCATTTCTCGGCGACACGGAGAATGAGCTCATCTTGGCGACGTGGCAGTCGCATGCTGACACGATCGAAACCCTCGGATTCCCATTCTGTACCGGTGCCAACAACGACTATTGACATGTCAACAGTCTCCGCCAGACATTCCGCGTCTATTAAAGCACTATCATCGTCCCGAGCTGGTGAAAGACCAAGTCGAGAGCCTTGGATGAAGAACTCGCGATTGACGTTCTGAGCTTTGTGTTTCGAAGACCAATTAACCACCTCAAATTTGTATCGCTGACCTGCCTGCAATTGCAGTGGTTCCTTTCGCGATACTTCAAGCTTGGACCGATCAAAGAGGAAGTCTTCTGTAGAAACATCGAGCCCTCTTTGCACGTCCAGAACGACCTCACCATCTACAAGGCATTGGGCATTTCCAGGCCCCGAGAGGCTGACGTTGAAGGGGCCAGTCTGATGGGCAGTGAACTTGAACTTCATGGATGTGCAGAAGTCGGATCGATCGATTAGACCATCGGGAGCATGCTCAACCATCATATATAGCGTGTCCTTTAGTGGCTGTGAAAAGAAGCACGCGTCGTCTGATACCTTGTCTCCATTGTACCATGCCAGGGTGATGTCCCTAACCTCGAGGCTAGATGCATTAGGTAGAGGTACAAGTCGCTCAATGGAAACACCTGGACCACGACTAGCGTTCGGGTAGGTTTCTTGTACGGCGTCCCATGGCGTTGACGAGTATGGAACCTTGATACTTGCTGAGCCTCCACCGAACAAGGATGGCTCCGTCGCGTGATGACCGAATACCGCGACCTTTGTCCCACGATTGACTAGTGGAAGAGTGTTCCTCTCGTTCTTCAACAAGACCATGCTTGACTCAGCAGCTTGTCGAAGCAACGTCCTTGACTCTGCACTGTCGAGATACTCCGGTTCCTCTGCCCTCGCGACCGGAGGATAACCCGGCTCCCCGATCCGACCAGTCTTCTGAAGCAGATCCATGACCCTGGTAACTGAGTCTCTAATCTGGTTCTTCTCTATCTCTCCACGCTTGAGACAGCCCATAACTGCATCTTGCTCGCGAAATTTCGCAGGGCCGGGCATTTCGAGATCGAGACCAGCTGAGAATGCCTCTACTGTGCTATATGTCCCAAACCAGTCCGATATGACCACACCCTTGTAATGCCATTCGTCGCGGAGGATCGATAAGAGTTTCTTCGATTCGGAGCAGAAAGAGCCGTTGACTGAGTTATATCTGGAAACACGTTCCTGATTAGTGTCCATTTCCCTTGTTTCGTATTGCGTGACCTACGCAGTCATGATCGCCCATGGGTCTGCCTTTTCAACCACGATCCTGAAAGGTTCGAGGTAGATCTCCCTCAAAGAGCGCTCTTCGATGACACTGTCGCTCCATCGTCGTCCGTTCTCCGCCTCATTGGCAAGAAAGTGTTTAGGGCTCGTGGCGATGCCCTTTGCTTGTAGGCCTTGTACGAAAGAAGCAGCAATTAAGCCGCTCAGTAAAGGATCTTCGCTGAAAGACTCAAAATTGCGCCCGCCTGCTTCATTAGTCAAAGTTAGGTTAGAAATGTACTGCAGAACTTACATAGAGGGTAACGATGGATATTCATCGTAGGAGCCAATAGTCCATGGACGTCTTTGCGTTTACACTCCCCGGAAAGGAGATTGGCAAGTCGGGACACTAATTCCACATCAAAAGAGGCTCCCAAGGCTGTCCCACAAGGAATAGCTGCTGAAGGCGCTCCGTTGATCCAGTCTTCTCCTCGGACGCCATTTGGACCATCAGAAAACTTCAAGGCACCAAGCCCAAGTGGTTTATTCGGAGAAGTTCGCCAAAAGTCTTGTCCCGAGAGAAGACTCACTGAACCCTTTAGCGAAAGTCGCGATGGCGCGTGGTCTTTGTCGATGGAACCCATGTTGCCGGTAGGTAAGAGGCTATGAATAGGATCTAGCTAGGAAGGATCAAGAGCTGAAAAAGGAGAGAAATAGTCATGATATGGGATTCTAGACGCCAAGAATGATGGGGTAACAGCCAGACCTTACCATGACTACGGTGACCCGGGTGAGTAACGGGGCAGTTTGGGGTTGATGCCTGAGAGTAGCCATCTTGAGAGTTGTCATGACCATTTACTGTCTCACTCCAAACCAATAGTTTCATGTCGGGGCATCTCGGTGCTGGGGCCGAAGGAGTTGACGACCTTGAACAAGGGTATTGATTGGTCGGGGCATTTCGGCAGATATACCGACGCCATGAAGTTGTCACGACTCGCCTCAATGACTAGCGTCCCTGCTCAAATTTGCCTTGTTCACCTCGTCAATAGAGTTTTGCGGAGAAGATCCAGCTAGTGGTTGCCCCAGACGGGGTAACGCGGCACGAACCAGACATCTGGAGCGCGTCTGGATCTTCAACTTTTTTTTCATCAAGTCAAGTGACGATATTGGTCAATGGATCCATTCAGATGTCCCTGAATCTTCATAAATAATCGAGTATCCCGGGGTTGTAGACCCAAGTCATCAGTAGCTTCTCCTGTCAAAAAGCCAACGATCAACATAATATTCTCAAGTGTTGCGATCATGACTGCACCAGCCTCAACATCGCTTTTTAAGAACCCCAGCCTGATGAGGCTGTATCTTCTTCTGATTCCTGGGTCTTTGATCGTCAGCGCAGCAATGGGCTACGATTCGAGTCTCATGAATGGTATCCAGGGAGTCAATAGGTGGCAGAATTGTACGTCTTGCCTTACCTTTGTCAGTCGCTGCTAACTCGTGGATTTACAGACTTCAACCACCCTGAAGGTTCTCTACTTGGTATTATGAACGCCATTCTTCCTCTTGGAGCAGTATTTGGCACCGTTCCAGCAGCTTGGATTTCTGATCACTATGGTAGACGCTGGGCAATGGTTGCCGGCGACATTGTTGTTATTCTCTCGACCATTCTCCAAACAGCCAGCATCAACAGTCAGTGCACACCACTATGTTTCGCCATGGCCTGAAGGTTGCTAACTCAATAATAGCCGGCATGTATATGGCTTCTAGATTTCTCATCGGTTTCGGAATCACCATCGCCTCGAGCTCTGCCCCTATGCTTGCCGCCGAACTTGCACACCCCGAATCACGAACGACCCTCACATCGATGTACAATACACTTTGGTACCTGGGAGTAAGGATATTCATGAGAGATACAGCGAAAGGAATACCGACTGACCTCCCCAACAGTCAATAATTGCCGCTTGGACCACATACGGCACGTACCGAATCAACTCTGAATGGTCGTGGCGACTTCCTACAGCTCTGCAAGCCCTGCCTGCTATCATCAACTTGATCGGACTCTGGTTCCTCCCCGAAAGTCCGCGATGGCTCGTCGGTCAGGATCGCCACGAGGAAGCGCGTGCTATCCTCATTAAATACCATGCAGGCGGTGATGAGAGCAGTGAATTTGTTGCAGCCGAGTTTGAGGAGATTCGAGCTGCTCTTCAACTTGAGCTCGCTGGCTCACGCTCCTGGATGGAACTAATTCAAACCAAGGCCAACAGACATCGCACATTTCTTGTTCTTTGCTGCGCCTTCTTCCCTCAATGGTCAGGGAATGGTTTGGTTGTAAGTTTGTTGACGAAAGTCTCATCAGTGCATCATGCTTACGATTCATATAGTCTTATTACATCGCACCTGTCCTGAGATCCATTGGCATCAACTCCCAAGAAGACATCACTCTTATCAACGGCATTCTTCAAATCTGGAACATGATTGTTGCGATGACTGGTGCCAACCTTGTCAACCGCGTCGGTCGCCGTCCTCTTTTCATTGTCGCTACCACTTGCATGTTAGCTGGCATGGTCGCATGGACTATCACTGGTAGTGTTTTCGCAAGGACCAAGTCAGAGGCTACTGGTGCTGGTATCCTAACCTGCGTCATTTTTTCGCCTCTTCTTACAACATCTGTTGGAACCCATTGGCAGTCGCATATCCAGTTGAGATCCTCCCATTCAACATTAGAGCCAAGGGTATCGCCCTTCTCATGGGATCTATCAAAGGAGCAAGCTTTTTCAATCAGTTTGTCAATCCCATCGGTCTCAAGAACCTGGGTTGGAAGTACTACATCGTGTACTGCATCTGGCTCTGCTTTGTCTTGTTGACTGTGTTCTTTATGTTCCCCGAAACTAAGGTATGTTTCACGGATATATCATTATCTAGTTTCATGTTCTAACTAGTCTATAGAACCGTTCTCTTGAAGAGATTTGTGAGGTTTTCGAGAAGTACTCTGATGAACAGTCTGACAAGAAGTTGGAGGCCACTGATGTTGAGTGCGTCGAGCACCAGAAGGGCGAGAAGAATTAAGAACCGTCCTGGTGGCATTTTGGTGGTGATTCATTGTGTAACAGTCCGGATGGAGAGCCATGATCGTCATGTATATTACAGCGAGTACAAATGCCACCAAGTTGATTTCAATATCTGCCCTTAGTAGTTTGTGGTCCCTTTATGTTGTACAGGATTCACTATCGATAATGTTGTTAAACACAACAAGATGACCAATTTTATTCACAAATACTCAAAATGGACATGTGAGACCGATTTCCTTACAAGAATAACATAGATTGCCCAACGAGACCAGTTGTGACTCGGTCCGCGTTGAAACTTATATAAGACGCTCCGATACTGCATTGTCTTCAACTTCAAGCCATACACAACCAAATCTACATCAAACATCAACTATATTATATGAAAATGTGTCTTGTAACCCATATGCGGTTCTATTGCCCTTTTTGCGAGTCGGGCATGTACACGACGAACGCCACGACTTTGTGTTGGAATGTTCCTCCAAATGGGGGTTTTGAGTCATGCGGTTGCGACACCCAGCATGAATACTTGAGGGTGTATGGACCCCAATGCGCCGAGTGTCGAGCACAAACAGAAGGATAAGAAGCGAAATGAACGGCGCTAGAATGAGCTAGATAGATAATCGAGAGTAGCTGATCCAAATCGTGGACCGTATGTACCTGCTTCTTTATTGCTACAAACTACATGGTGTTTCGAAATCGCATTACCCCATCTTGACATAGCTGCTCGACCTTGGACTCTGTTCTTCCGACTAGAGTTTTGCTGGAAGTACGATTCAACAGTGTGTTATTCGATTTCTTGTAGTCTTTGTCTCTGACGCTAGACGAGTTGTAGAGCCATCAATCGATTGTTTCATCAATCATGACAGGCCCGGGTCTGATAAATTTTCTAGCATCATTGATCGTGAATCCATGACCGCACGAGATGTTGTGCAAAACGATTAGACTGCCACGAAATTTGGTAACGAATTTCTAGGATCCAGACTGATTGACATGACCAGGGGTCGTTCAGCTGGGACCCGAAAAAGCATTTTAGCACGGCGCCAACAACCCGACAGGCTCAATCTAGCGAATCTAGACCCAATAGTCTCATCTATAAAAAATAAAATGCTATTGAAAATTTACTAATTGGTGTTAGGACATAGGGGTAGATCTCATATATTGGACCAGACGATCATATTCCTTGAACCATTGCTGTCGTTCTTCTTCATTTCATCAAAAATACACACACAACATGCGGTCACGGTTATTGTTTACGCTGAGCTTCGGCTGCGCTGGTACCCTGGCGAGCCCATGCAAGCCTGGTCACATCGGTAGATACCTCATCCCAAATTGCCATTATACTTCTGACTTTATGATGAGATCCGACAGCTGCTACTCCAACCTCCGATGCCACGTCTTCTCTACTAGCTGACGCTACGACTTCGATCGTTCCGACTTCAGACATAATCACTATGTCTGCTCTACCGACAACCTCAGAGGCTTCCACCACGTCATCAGAATTGACGACTTCCATCATTAAGAGCTTGTCAACCGACTCTATCACGACACTCGAAACTGATTTCGCGACGTCATCATTCGCCTTTTCGGCTACCCTTGAAACAACAACTACATTACCTACCACGACATCAGCCGTAGAACCTTTCAGATTCAAATTAATGGGGGAAACTGGGGTCCTCGCCAGAACTGAGATGCGTGCAGCTGCCGCAGCCCCCTATGCGTGGACCATCGGCTTGTTCAGGCATGACAAACCCACGATTCTCACAATGGAAGTCGAGACCGGGCATCTGCTATTCGAAGGTCAAAAGCTTTGCGTTGAAACCGATCTTGCGCCTCAAAACTGGTGGGTGGCCGTTAAGAACTGTCCCGAAACCATGCTTCCTCAGCACCAGTACGTTGTGTGCGACCCTGTTCATGTTGATGGTGATGAGCTGCGATGCAGCGTACCACACCAGTTGTGCACACGCGGAGACGGTCCAGGATTTTCTTGTGAGCACACCGGGGTGCAATGGACGCAGTTCTACGCTCGCATTGTGTTCTCGTCGTTTTACACTGTTGGCTTTTTCAACTCAGCCGCTCTGACATCTCCGTCCGATCTTCTGCATGCTCTTAAATTCGTTGTCAAGGAGGTCTGAGAAAAGACTTCTAAATTGGGATTATATCTCCTGCATGATCAGCTTTCTGGCTTGTCAGATAAGGATGTCAAACTGGAAGGGCAACGTTGGGTAGAAACCTATCTGTAAGAAAGGTGCGACTTCACAGTCTCCGAAGATGGAAATACGATATGACAAAGCTTAACAATACGATTATGCTGTTTGGACTGATTGTTATAAAAATAAAGATACTAGTAGATCAGAAAATACATGTTATTGAGAATTCCCTCATACTTCAGCCTTTTCTTCATGAACAGTATGACCTTTCCCGTCATCACTCAACACTGACCCTCTCCTCCTCGGCGCTACTACAGCTGCTCTGGTATCCCAGTATAGATAGATAGGCTCACCATCATCATCCAAGTCACCTCGAAGCTCATGGTTTGCACCAACTTCAACTACGTGCCAACCCGCTCGTGAAACTCGTTCACGACAGACGGCATTCATGTTTGCAAATCTGACCTCAGTGTTGTCTCCACCATAGGCCTTGATGTTTGAAACAAGATTCTTCAGGTATGTAACTGCCGTCGTATCGAGCATGTTGACACGAGAAAAGTCCAGGACGACGAGTCCAATTTCCGGTAGTGATGATGGATCACTGATGTTGGCCTTCTTGCGGAGACGTGCGATCCTCTTCTCACCGACCACAGACCAATTTCTTTCTGTTTCGGGACCATGGCTACCACCATAGTGGGCTGCGTGGTAAGTCTGAATCTCATCAAGGACCCTGGTGGTGTTCGAAAACGCATTGGGGAAGATCATGGACTCGTTAAAGGTAAATATTCTGGCGTCCTCTGGAATGGTGAGTGGAGATGTGTGGTTGTTATCAAGTGCCCAAGCAGGTCTGTGGTTGGATTCAACATCGGCACCAGTTGAGGTCAGTCGAGTAAAGACCTGGCGAAGCAAGATGTAGACAATATTGAAACCCACAGCACAGCCGATACCAACTTCGCTAGAGTGGAATAGGGTGACCCAGAGTGCAAGCATAGACGAGATGAAATCGGCCAATGATGTCTTCCAGTACCGGTAGAAAGTCGAAGGTGGAGAGATCAGACCCCATACTGCAGTGATGATGATGGCAGCTAGAGTAGCTTTGGGGATCCAGTAGAGTGTTCCAACAAGCTCATACACACAGACTAGTACAACAGCCATGGTAACAACACCAGATAGGGGAGACTTGACATTGCATGAGGAGTTGACAGCTGTACGAGACATGGCTCCACCAACACCCATTGCATGGAAGAAACTGTTGAAGAAGTTGGTGATACCCAGGTAGCACAGCTCCTGACTTTGATCAGAAGTGTAACTGTTCTTGACCGCAAAGGCACGGGCGATTGCCAAGTGCTCAACTGCAGATCCGATAAAAACGGCAATACTTCGACCAGCGACTTCGGGGATAAGGTCGGCCTTTGGCATCGTGGGTGCTTGTTGACCTTCAGACTGAACCTTGACGACGTCAAAGAGAAAGTCTTCTCCTCTGTTCTTGTTGACTCCATAACTGATACCGGTGAACAGTACCAGTGCCAGGAAGGCTCTTGTTGTAGACAGAAGCCAGATGACCTTGTTGTCTTTGCTCCACCTCTTTCCTGATTTCTCAAGTATGGTGAGGAATAAGATTCCGGCAAATCCAATAAGACATGCCCAGCCGTTCGCATTGGGGAGCTCGTTGAAAATATCATGGATCTGGTTGGCTGCACCGTCGCGGACATTCTCTTCGCCGAGGAGTGAGTCCATCTGGTTGAGGATGATGGTAATGGCAATAGCAGTGATGAAACCGCTTAGAACAGGAAGAGATATAAATTCGAGGAGGAATCCGAGCTTGAGAAATCCGAGTATCATTCCGTAAATACCCATCATGAAAGCTGTTGCGGAGGCGATTTCGGATGGGGTCCATCTGTCTTGGAGTGCGTGAACGTTTTCGGAAGTGAGGAGACCGATGAGCGAGGTTGGACCGGTAGAGACATCTAATTACAATAAAACGTCAACTATAGCCTTGAAGTATATTGGAATAACTCACCCTTTGTAGATCCCATGAATGCATAGATCACAGCTGGTAACCAACTCGACATCAAACCATACTCAACCGGGATATTCGCAATCTTTGCATATGACAAACCCTGGGGAATCAGCATCAAACCCAAGGTGAGCCCAGCAATAAGATCATTGATGAGCCATCGTAGGTTATATCGTGGCAACCAGCCAACAATAGGAACTTTGTCGCTGATGTACTGTACTGTTCCTGAGGGAAGGGCTTTAGCCCCTTTGACGCTCAGTCGAGCTGCTCGATTCCAGGTAACGTCGTTTTTAACATCAGATTGGAAGTTTTTGAGAGAATTCATTTTGATCTCTTCAATATTGTTAAGCTTGATTGAAGTGACTTGGAAATATTCGATTCCACTCGTCTAGTGATTCACTTGGGGTTGATATAGACTTTCACTTTAGATAGTAACACATGGCTCGCATTCAAAACATACTGCCGAGTGCATCACAACCACACCCTATCTTCTACCTGTCATGTGCCAGCCCGCCGAAACATACAGTCGTACATACATACATACATACATACAGATAGATTCTGTCTATCATACTAGAGTATATCACATCTAACTAAATTTCACGTCCACTCCCCATACACCCTTCCAAACCCTCACTGCACAGCGGATTGGGCAAACTTATATGTGTAACACTCGATACGACGGGCGTATAACCTCATCAAGGAAATCATCTACATAAATTCCGAATACCGACAGATATCCATCCCATCCGAAGTCAACAGCACACTCAAATTGAGTTTTTGAGGGAGTGTTCATCGTTGCAAAAAGTGCCTGGCCATGCCATTTCAAGACCTTGTAAGCTGACGATACGCAAAAGGTGTTTGCGGTGGTTGTGTCACCGGCATGTGGGAGGGTTGCGCTGGCGAACGAGACTCAACTATTGGACACATGATATGACCGTCTTGATGGATTTGGATTAACATGAATGGTTCATTGTGTCGTAGGAGTCGTGAGGGGAAAGATACTCCATAGACGAAGGCCGCTTACACCAGGCTTTGTCGATCTCCCGCCGCTTTTAGACCCATGTCCTACTTTTGTCGCCGAGACAGGGTACATGAAACGTTTTTAGAAATTTACGAGGTCGAGGAGTGACTCTACACGGAACTCGGATATGAGGCATGACTGGGTACAACTTTAACAAAGTGCCTATCTTGTGTTTGACCGAGTCATAAGGACCATTTGTTATAAGCTATTGATAACCTGTAGTCGAAGCAACTTCCTAAAACTAACAAGCTGCTGCAAGCTACGTTCTAGATCGTATCGCAGCAGTTTAACTAGGCTGCTGCACATGCCGTTACATCGCTAAGCGATATGAATCGTCACTCACGAAGACCCCTCATCTGCAGGCCACACAGCCCATCCAAACATGACGAGTAACTTGAGCAAAGCGGCAATCCACAACGCTCCTGAAGTTCCCAGTTCACTCTTTGCAATAATTCCTCCAATAATGGCTCCGATGAGAAGTAGGACCGGTGCAGCCACACGCCGGTTCCTCTCCACGTTGGAAGGGACAAACAACCCCGCATCTGAAAACAGATCGCAGTAGATGCTCGTGAGTACAACACTGGTTAGAGCGTTGAACTTGAGCGCTCTACTCGCCACGGCTTGTCCACAGCTTTGAAAGGCCACGAGAGCGATTGGTACAATCACGTACCAGGGCACGTCGTCTGGGCCAGCGCCTTTCGGGCCCCATGTTAGAATGGATGCTGCTGCCACGATGAAAATTGTCTGGATGCCAAAAGATAAGCAAAAGACCCATTTCCTTCTGGGACTAGACGTGAAGGCCCGATGCAAGCGGGCGAAGAGAAACGAACCGATGGCAAAAGACAGGATTGAAGTCCCAGACTTTTTCCAACGGTTCGTCCCGGCCGTTGGACCAAGGCCGAGATAAACCGTGTTACCTGCAAATTCGTCAGTATGATGGTTACAGAGGCGATGGTAAGTAAAATCTTGACCTGTCTGCATAGACACGAAAGCACCCCACGTGGAAATAGAAGCACTGTCGAGAATGCCTGTTATGATATAACACGCGAGAAGCATAACATCTGCCCAATCTCGACGAACATCAGAACCTAATCTTGTGCGCAACCAAGACCTAGATCCTGGTTTTGGTGCAAGGAGAGCCTGCGTTTCGTCATTTTGACCAGTAATGCCGTTTTCAGCTCTGCTCTCGCCGTTGGAGATTGTGCCGTAGGATTCAGACATTGTTGTGATCCGATTTTGAAGATTGAGATGTGATTTCAGTATTGATGTCTCTTTGGCAACGACGGCTGGAATGGTCCATGAGGGGGAGTAAATAAGCACGACGCCAAAGACTAAACTACAATAGCGCCCGCAACTTAATCGCCAAGAACGTCGTTCGGAATGAAGTCTAGGTCATCTTTACAGTCACATAGTCTACTCGTTTACAGAATAGTCATCGCACATTCAATTGCCAACCCCGCGTTTTCACCGAAGGTTGTCTCAAGGCTCAGGGACAAGATCAAGGATTCCTCACTCTGCCAAGGTCCGGACCCGTATACCCGTTAATTCGCCTACCGAAGACAACACTAGAATCGCCAAGATCGCCACGGCTCGTCTCTAATAAGCGGGGAATTGTAAAGTTGTGCTTATATCCGATTCAAAACTACAATGTTGTACTTTGCGTCATCTTCACCCCCTCTCATCATGACCTGTATTTCCCCTCATTTTAACTCTTTTAAGCAGCTGCAAGTAACACAAGCACACCATAACATTTCGAGTGGTTTCTCAAAGCCAACCTCTCAGCGTCAAAGACGCCCTTGTGAGGTTGATCGTCTAGATGGTACCCCATGGTTGTGCCGCACACTTGCATGTCTTGTTGCAGGGCGCTATGTGCCGAATATCCGTTTTTACGGCAGTCGTCAGCATCTCTATGCAATGGCACCTAAGACGGGTTTTGTAAGCCTGTTTGTATAAGCCTGTTTCGGTGATGAACCGGCTATCGCCTTCTCGGCATCATGAACTTCGTGCCGAAGAAATCTTGGCGATGTTTTTCTTTCAGCTTCAAAAGATACTTAACATCAGAAGTGATTGAGGAATTGAGTTACTCCAAGCACACAATTGCATTAGCAAGAATCAGCGTCACAGCCAATTGTTCCCAATATACTTGACGTCATATTTCTTAGCCCGAACCTTATTGTTGATATCTCCCTGGAGGTTGATATCCTGTTTCTCTTCCATTGATTATCTGCAATCATGCATCTTCATCAAATTGCCTTCCTGTCTGTACTGTTGGACATTTGCGCTGGTGTACCAGTCCAAGACAGTCCCCGTGAGCGACTGCTCAAGGGACTTGGGATTCCAGACAACTACCGTGGTGTGACTGGTGGCAAGAAGCTCCCATTCACTCCAGGTCACAGAGATCCCTACGACTCACCAGTTGACTCTGTTGGGGACGACCTTGATCCTCTTCCATGGCGCAATGGTCTTGGAGCTTCTGTTCTCGGGCCCTGGAATGAGGCGCGTTCGCGACAGAACCCAGACCTCGTCAGACCACCTAGCACTGACCATGGCAACCTTGCCAACATGCGATGGAGTTTCGCAGACTCCCATATCCGTATTGAGGTATGTAACCAATGTTTGACATATTTCAGTTACTAACTCTATGCAGGAAGGCGGTTGGACCCGTCAGACCACTATCCGTGAGCTTCCAACGAGTATTGAGCTTGCCGGTGTGAACATGCGACTGGGTGAAGGCGTCTACCGTGAGCTTCACTGGCACAAGGAAGCTGAGTGGGCTTATGTCCTAGATGGAGAGGTCCGAGTGACGGCCCTCGACTATGAGGGTGGTAACTTCATTGACGACCTCAAGAAGGGAGATCTATGGGTAAGCCAACTTGACAAAAATCGTCAATGGCCGACTGACAATCTTTTAGTACTTCCCCAGTGGAGTTCCTCACTCCCTTCAGGGACTCAGCGAGAACGGCACAGAGTTCCTACTCATCTTTGATGACGGACGCTTTTCTGAAGAGTCAACATTTGTTCTTACTGACTGGCTCGGTACGTTGTAAATGATCAAGTTGCTTGTTCCATAGCTAACAGGTTCTAGCGCACACACCCAAGTCAGTCATCTCCAAGAACTTCGACTTAGATCCCGAGGTCTTCAACAAGCTTCCTGCAGGAGAAAAGTACATTTTTCAAGGGCGTACCCCCGGTAAAATCTCAGATGAGGAACCCAAGGGCAAGAAGGCCAAGAAGTCAAAGTACAACTTTACACACCGCATGCTCGACCAAACTCCTCTCAAGACTAGTGGCGGCCAAGTCCGTATCACTGACTCCAAGAACTTCCCCATCTCCAAGACCATCGCTGCAGCCCACGCCATCATCGAGCCCGGTGCTATCCGTGAGATGCACTGGCATCCTTCAGCTGATGAGTGGTCTTTCTTCATCAAGGGTCGCGCTAGAGTTACCATCTTTGCTGCAGAGGGTACTGCTAGAACCTTTGACTACGTCCCCGGAGATGTGGGCATTGTCCCCCGAAACATGGGTCACTTTGTTGAGAATATTGGTGATGGGCCTATTGAGATGCTTGAGATTTTCCGTTCAGATGAGTTCAGAGATATTTCTCTGTTCCAGTGGATGGGCGAGACACCAAAGAAGCAAGTCATTGACACGCTCTTTGCTAATGACCCTAAGAACGCTGAGAGGTTTTGGGACAAGATCAAGGATGCGGACAACGAGGTTATCACCAAGCCTGATTTTTACAAGCACAAGGATGAGACTGTTGGTGAGTTATAAGTCTCGTCACAGTATTTTATAGGCGTATAGTAGGGAACAAAACTGCCCCAGAAGCTTGATATCAAGATAAATTGACACATTTTGCAATGAGTGAAAGACAGTTCAAGTCAATACGTGATGTTTCAATGTAGGCTAGCACAAAACCATAAACAATCATCACTTCACTGGTGTCCAATTACGTATCCTCCTCCCACATTGGCCCCGCCAGAGAGCAGTAGCTAGGGTTGCAGTCACCAAGTCTTCATTCTCATTACAACTCTTAGCTGCTTATCTCATGCTTACATCTACAATGATTCCAAGACAAGCCCATGGAAGTATACTCCCCTGGCTTTCTATTTTCCAGATCAGAGATAAGCCGAGGTTTCGTGGTCTAGTTGGTTATGGCATCTCGCTCACACCGAGAAGGTCCCCGGTTCGAGCCCGGGCGGAACCAATCTTTTGCTTGTGCAGAACACTAGCTGTAAGGATTACGTTTCTTTTTTATTCCTTGACGTTTTTGAGAATCTTTATTCCATTTAGATCAGATTGTGCCTATATTTATATTTAATATGTCATAACTTAACACATATAGTCACAGATCGCTCCTAACCGCTGTTGCGAATGCTATTGTCCCCGTTCACCACTTCAAAGCTGCCTTAATTGAGGCTGCCAGTAACTGGCCACCCTGTGCTTGAGTAGCAGCATTAGGATGATAATCACAACCTGCTTCTGCACCTTGAGTAGGCCAGTCCACAAAATGAGTCTTGATACCACTCAGCTGTTGCATGGCATCCTTGAGCACACGAACATGGGTGCTTTTCTGCGCATCCTTCTCGGTAGGATAGTTGTCGTTGAGCAAAGGCGAAGACACAAAGAAGAATTGCGCCTTGGGATAGTGTGACTGCACTTTCTTGACCAACTTGACAAGGGCTTTTGTGAGATCTGCTGGGTTGACTGGGTCGCGTACGTTGAGATAACTGAAGTCATTTGTGCCGAGATTGATGACCACAGCATCGGGCGCCCATGATTTGGGAAACGTGAAACTGTTATCCTTGTCGTTGCCACCGTAGCGAGTGTAAATGGTAGGCATTGGTGGTGATGTATCGGGAGGCGACGAGGCGTAATTACGAATAAGACCCTTTCCACTCCATGCTACAACGCTGTAGTCTGCATTCAAAGCTCGGGCGGCTACAGCACCATATGTCTTGCCGTTATTTTGAAGAGCGGCAGTGTCCACGCAGGGAAGGACGCCGTCGAGACCGTAACCCACAGAGATAGAGTCTCCGATGATCTCAATCTTGCGCTTTGGTGGTGTTGCGTCGAGCAGCTTACCATCAGTGGAAACACCTGTAATGCTGAAAGTACCAAACGAGGTCTCTGATCGCTTGCGAAGCTCGACAGTATGAGTCCCCTTTGGTAACTTGGGGACCGATATCGAAGTGCCGTTCACATTGGCAATGACAATTGGGTCTTTCCCATTGATGATCAAGTCTGCGCTTGATGTTCCGGAGATACTGTTGATGTTGATGGTCGCTTCAGTTCCCATGAAGGTGAAGGCCACTCCAGTACTGGGCCATGTGAGCTGCTTTGTCGCAGGATTGACTCTACCAACAAATCGATAGCCCTGAAGTGGTAGTCAGAATAGCTCTCTGTAAGTTTCAGTGTGACTTACGGGCAGTTTAGCAGCCGTGATGGCAGTGATCAGAAACGTTAGAACAGCAACCTTCATGTTTATTATTGACTCCAATCACAACTTGACTGATTTATTAGACGTGAGATCGCTCTTGCATCTTGGAATTTGAGGGATATTTTATATATTTATAAATGTCCTGATTTCCCATGGTCTTCGGTACGACCCATCCGAATTGCCTAAACGGGTAATTCACCGACCCAGAAATCATCCACCACTCATAAACACGAGAAGCACTTTACATCAAACAACTTTTATCCATCGAGAATCCTTAAATATCACGATGGTTCGATTGACATTCCGGGTTTTATTTTTATATCGTGACGCGGGATGAATGACGATGATCGACGTTGCTTCAAGACTCCTGACAAATAAGTGAATGACACAGCGAAAACGATGCACAATCAACTTGGGGGCTGCTGATAAGTCCTTTACGCTTTCTCAGTCTGACTTCACTGCCTCCGGGTTCCTCAACGGGTGATACTCAACAGGGCGCGTTCCCTCTAAAGGGCCCACAGCCGCCACCCGTCGAGCATTCAACATATCGATGTCAATCCTCGGTCCTGTAAACGTGTTCTTCTTCGTAGTAAACCAGAGGACAATGACGAAACCCACCAATCCGACGAACACAACAGAGACATAACTCATGTTTTCTGCTGTAACGGGCATCGCTGTAGGGAAGCAATACAGGATGTCAAGGAAAACAACCCAAAGCACTGAGACCCCATTGATCAAAGTACCATATTTGCCTAGGTTGAAATAGCGTAACGGTAAAACACGCTCACGTCCTCTATAAAGAAGGACGGCTTGAGGAATGACACACGATGTCTGCAGAAAGATGATAGCTGCGCTGACCATGGCGGAAAAGGCAGTAGATGAACCGAGAAAAATAAGACCATACAACTATAAGAGTGTTATTAGCATGAATTAGATGACGAGTTCTACACCTTGTACTTACAGTGATGAATGTTGCGGAAAGTAACAAAGCGTTGACAGGAACCTCGAATTTGGGATGTATGCGTTCCCAAAAATGTGAGTATGGCAATGCGCCATCACGGGAAACAGCCCAGAGTGTTCGTGATGAGGTTGTCGCTGCAAATGGTCAGCTTAGAATTCACGCCATACAAAGTCTCTTACCATTGGCGACAAGATTTGCAAAGAAGCAGAATGCAAACAACGTCATCAACACCGTCGCACCAGACCGAGATCCGGTTCCTTGGAAATAAATCTCGAACAATGGCAGTCCAGTCGTCGTGTTGAGCACAGCCGAAATATCGGATATCGCATACATGAGAGAAGCAGCAAAAGGAAAGGCAGTAAAAAGGCCCATTAACAAAGGGTATATCATGACCTTTGGTACGTTCCTAGCTGGGTTTGGGATCTCTTCGCAGAGATGAGCAGCGCAGTCACTACCCAGAAAGGCGTAGACTGCATTTCCAACAGCCAGCGTGAATGCGAATCCATCACTTGACCAGCCCGTTCTATTCGTTGTGTCTGTAAAGATAAACTTTGACGAAGCAGAGTTCTTAGTCACCACGAATAGAGTGATGGTTGTAGCGCTGAGGGTTAAGACAGATAGTACAAATACCATCTTATTGAAAAGGGGGATCCATCGTGACATGAAAATGTTGGCAGAAGTGGCTATCCAAATGAGAGCGACGTAGATCAGGTACTGGTGCCATCTCTTCTGATCCCAATCGGGATGCCAGGCACCGACGATGTCGAGAATCATGGATGAGACAAAGTTGGACACTGAGCTTGATGCAAGCCACCAGCCTATGACACTCATCCAACCGTTCCTATGAAAGGGTTAGTACATCGCAGCCGTTCCACACCGCGTTGGACACTGACAAGTAAGATGCAAAAGGCTTGTAGTCGTCCCTGGCAACCATAAACGACCAGTAATACTGCGCACCAGCGACGGGATATGCAGATGCAAGCTCTGCCATACCCAATGAAACGATGGTTGTCATGACTCCCGCGATAGGAAGAGACCACAGAGTTCCAGCCGATGAGGCTTCAGTCAAGCTGATACCAATTGAAGATCCTGTACCCAACCACGTACAGGTCAGAGTGAAGGACAGTGCACCTAATGACCATAGAGAGAAGCGACGCGGCATAGCCTGCTGATACCCCGCTGCCTCAAGCTCCAGAGCATCGCTGTTACCTGAGCTGTCGGAAGGGATTTGCGACATGGTGTTCATAATTACGCGCCGAGTTTAAGTTGTTGATACGGTCGCTCGACAATGACAATGATGACGCGCGCGCCACTGAAGCGTGTCGACGAGGCGCAAAAGAAGCTTTATGTAAACCCCTCAATATAGCAGATCGATCACGCGAGCGTGTTTTGCTAGAGTGTAACACAAGAGTTCCGAGTGACTGGGTCAGATCCAATGAGATACACGATGGTGACAGAGATAAGAGATTGCGCAACATGGACGGTGAGGAAGATGTGGCTTGATTGCATATTCTTTTAACGAGTGTTGAAAGTTAGAAGATTGGCGTTTCTGTGTAACTTTATAATTATGAGACATTTTGAAGTCTATGTCTCAGAAGCCTAATAACTATAATTTAATCTTTTGTCACGATGACGTCGAACTATGTGCCGATAGACTTTGTAGAGTTCGATATTGTAGTGGTTATGGAGGTGGTAGATTATCCTAACATACAGACAACCCATGAACAATAGTAAAGAATGCACATTTGTTTGAGAGCCCCGACGCGATAGCAAAAGCATCTTTCAGTGTCTCCAGTAGAAGACAGACCACATGGTATCAAGAAGATGGAATCCAAGAGCCTCTACATCACTGACCCAGATGAAAGCCCAAGCGTGACCTACATGCCGCTGGGGTTCTGCATTGGACAGAAACTAAATGGCTGTAGGAAAGGCTATCCGCTTAGTAGCTTAGTAAAAATGGAAAACCACGCCCAGGCCCGCATTCACATTGTTGGTCATGTATGTCCAATGGGCAATTAATATGTCACCCACTTTTCAATACAAGTTTAATATGCTGCATTGCTATATTAAGTTTCTCGGTGTTCATGTTCCCTGGTAATCTTCTTACTCACTGACGTCAAGTAAGCACAGGATATGGTTCCATCAACGCGATTGGCGAAATGCAGCAGAGCCTTCTTTAGGCCAAACAGACGCTGTGCCAAGACACGTTGAAGACAATCGCAAGGACCCAGCCCAGCTGAAAGAGAATAATCGACCAACGAGGTGACAGACAAAGATTCCATGACACAATAAATCAGGGTTACCGAATGATTTAGGGCTGTAGTGCGTTTCGTATTTCCCCAGTGCAACTCAGCATCCTGGTAATTAGCCGGTCTTTGATCGTGAGAATTTCCCTTTAGGAGATCTGATTGGTAGCCTTGTGATCTTTAATTTTAGCGTATGCGGCTTTGCTTACTCTCGTATGACTCGTGTTGTGTTGGTCAGACGCGCATATTATGCTTCGCTCCACAACTTCACCTAGTTCAATTTTTGCTACGAGGGAGGCTGTAAAATCTCTTTGTTAACAGATAGGAAATTTTGAAATATGTCGATAAGGTTTGCATTTATCGTCTTGTTCGGTGATGAAATGGTTGAATGCAACAACCAGGACAACAATTGTAGCTCAGCCGAGTCTCAAATTCGTAAGCGACATACCACTCGCAGCTTGAGACGGGATGTCCGAAAACCCCTGGCAAGCTCAGTCTTACTACCTGGTAAATCAGCCAATAGATTACTGTCTCAATTAATATGGCAAAGATCAGCTCGTATTGGTATCCAACTGCCTGTAACCCTATATCCATTCCACTACATTTGTTGGTTGCTTACCTACTGATCTATATACCTGCGGGCCCTGAGCTGTAGTTTTCGTAAAGACTCCGTCATTCTCAAAATCATCGCCTTGTTTCACCATGTCTTTTATATTCACTGGCAAGAAGCTTACTATCTTACCACTTACATACCAAAGTCAAGACATCGACAGTTCAGATTGGATAACCCTTCTTACCCTTTGCCTTGCTCCACTCATCGCCCACATCATAGCCGGTTCGCCCTCGCCGGTCTATCTTCACCAGAGCCGACCAAGATGGCATGAACAAATATGTTTGTACAACCCAACATCGATTCTTTGGCGATACGCCGCTATCGCAGACCGTCGGATTCGAGCCAAATCATGGGATCGGACTGATCTCGCTCCAACTAATGCCGTATTCTGGACCAATCGAGGCTGGGATGGCTCTGAAGCTATGATTGCAAAAAGCGCGGCTCATTGCTATCGCTTTCCTGATAACACGAGGATCTCCATATTTTCTCGGGAGATGATCACTACCATCATTGTCACTTCTCAAGGAATCCAAGCTGGTGTCCTTCTTGTGGGTGCGCTTAACAAGGACAACAATCCTGGCTTCACAAAGTGGATGGCAGTGGATGCTATATTCTTCCCACTAGCTATGATTGGTCTTCTAAGACTCTGCTGTGCATTTTGGCTCAACGACGACTATGGGTACACTACAGCTCATTCAACTACCCCAGAACATCCCGTCTTCTACGGACACTCATCTGCGGATTTCACAGAGTTGGGTAAAATAAGTCTTCTGCCGCGAACCGATTCCAATGAGACATCATCCAGTACTTTACTAGAGCGTTCAATCACCAACCCACAACCCCGTTTCAAAACGCCATCATCCTCTTTGGGCAGCAAGATCTTCCGATCATTCTTTCTTTTTCTGGTCTTAAGTCTCTTAGCACTCGACACATTGTTCATTATCCGTGGTGGAACGCACACCACTACGAGTTTTTTCTTCACATTATACTACATGTTCTTTCTCGCCATGACCGCCATTATATTCATGCCGTACCTATGGCAAGGCCAGACAACATCTACCATCATCCCATGCATTACCTCGACCGCCTACAAAGCCTACACGGGATTGATCTTTGCCATTACCGTGGCAGTGATTGTCGTCGCGTGTGTTGAAACTCGGAGAACTCCATGTGGCAAATACACAAGCGGTCACGGTATTGAAGCTGATCCGCGTGCTTGCAGGAGTGAAGATACCGATTATGTGTCTCTTTATGTGGGGTATGACACTAATTCGTCCGCACTTGTTGTCCATGACTTTTCAATTTCCAACAGGACTGAATTTGTCGTTGTCAACACCACCGAGGAGCCACAAGTTGACTTCAAGGGGACATGTTTTGGGAAAGCACTTTCAGATGACGGAATATAGAACATCAAATATATATAATATCTTTTACCTGTCCTCTTTCTCTACCCCTCAGCCTGTAATGTTGTCATAAAGCGAAATTCCCAATAATCAGATAATCCTGGTAAGATCTGCATCAGACGTTGCAACGTACTGCCGCTTGTAACCTACGTGGCCCTCTTCTCCACTGATATTCGCCTACAGGGTGGGGAGTCATGCAATGCGAGATAAATGATTGACCGCCCTCTGAGGTTTTTTCTCTTTTCCTCGCACGAGTCGTTTTGTTTTTTCGCCTCCAACCAACAAGCCAAGCATTCGCTTCCCGTTTATTATTTCGCCTATAGCTTCGTTTGTTATACCTAAACCTCCTACTCGGTATCCAATATGTCCTCTCCAAAGACACCACCAAGGCCTCGAACGCCTGAGAGGCGGGAGGATCCAGCAGTCGGGCCTGAAGATGGTCCAATCGAACCAGTTAGCCACTACTTCAGCCCCATGCATAGGGTCTGTACATCTCATTATGTCCTAACGCTTTGTACAGGACACCGATTCTGACTCTTCATATTCAAAGTCGTAAGAAAAGATGCAATTGGACATTGTGGCGGAAATTTGGCTAACAGGGACTAGAACTGGGGTCACTGACACCGAATCGCTCAAATCCTCTATTATGGAATACAAATGGGTTCATGGTAGACGATTTCATGCATATGGTGACGGTACTTACTGGTGAGTAGTGATGTGGAACATAGAGTCACGGGAAATTATTAAACGTACTTGTAGGGGTGCCAACGACGACCGTCAGCAAGAAGCCGAAGATTTGATGCAAGTGGCGATATGAACTATCGACAGAATGTCCACAATTAACAAGTATTTAGTCATGAATTGTTCCGAATCGTCCTTGGCGGTAAGCTCTACCAATCGCCTATTGGCGAGAATGTACAAGTCAGTTTGGTCATAGCCACTTGCTATTAGTATAACTAACATGCGACTAACAGAATGTTTTGGATGTTGGCTGTGGCACAGGCATCTGGGCCATGTAAGTCTTGACAGGGTTCCAGAACCCATGCATAGCTTGATGCTGACAAAAATAGTGATATGGCAGACCTTCACCCCTCTGCCGAGGTCGTCGGAGTCGATCTCTCACCAATCCAGCCTAACTTCGTTCCTTTTAACTGTAGATTCGAAGTTGACGATATCACCAAAGAGTGGACATACCCGGAGAATAAATTCGACTTTATCCACATCCGATACATGACAGGCACAGTTCCAAACTGGACTGAGCTCCTTCAAAAGGCCCAAAGGTGATGCCACATATCAGCCAACAGTCCAAATCTAACCGATTGACAGATATCTGAAGCCTGGCGGCTGGATCGAACATGTCGAACTCTGGGGCAACGCAATGGCGGACGACGGAACCATGGCTGAAGACTCCCCACTAAAGACATGGGTTCAAGTGTTCGAACAAATCGGAGAAAAGATTGGTAACCCGTTCTTCTGGGACCCGGTCGAGGCATTCCAGGAAGCTGGTTTGCAAAACATAAGCGAGCGAAAGGTCAAGGTGCCTATTGGTACTTGGCCTAAGAACAAGGATCTCAAGCAGTGGGGCGCCTGGAACCGACAGTTCTTGCTGCAAGGCCTGGAAGGGTTTTCTATTCGCGGCTTGACAGAGCTCTTGGGGGTATGGTACTTCCAGTTTGTTGACTTGGTGTATTTGCTAATATGAGTGACTTCTAGTGGGAATATGAAAAGGCACAAGTCTTTCTTGTGGATATGCGCAAGGAGATATTGAACTCTAGTCTCCATTCATATGTCTTAGTGTATGTATTCCTCACCTGTGAGATATCTCGCTTGGTACTGACAATGAGCAGAACAGCTGTTTGGGGTCAAAAGCCCCTTGAATAGAATACATAGCAAGGAATTTAACGACATAAATACAATCTAAGTACTCCATGATTCATGCAACATCAACGTTCTTGATCATGATCTTGGGGACCTGCTCAAACACCGGAAATATGACTCCCACCTCAGGACCTTTGTGGTTCATCTGCGGAAACCGCTGACTCTCAGAGCCGCCAACGATGTGGATGTTATATCTCGTGACAATAGTACCAATAAAACTCAAGGCGACCTGATGCATCAGGAACCCCCAGGACATAGTGTCACACCCCCACCAAACGGTTTGAAAGTTCTCACTGTAGCCAGTTTTGTGTTGTCGATGAACCTGTCAATGTCAAACGATTTGGCGTCTTGTCCCCATATTTCTTTATCGACATGTAATTGACGGTATGGCATGATGACATCGCTTCCAGCCTTGAAAGTGAAACCTCCGATAACAGTGTCTGACGCCACGCGGCGAAGACCAGACGCGCCTCCGTGAACACGCAATGTTTCGTAGTATATCGCGTTGAGTTTCAGACAACCTTTCAGGTACTCGATATCTGGCTGACCATGAATACAGTTCTTGAAAGCAGGGGCAACTTCGGCTCTAAGATCTTCCCAGAGGCCAGGGGTATAGAGTGTTCGGGCCAGCAGCCAAAATGCAACTGTAGCGGGCATTCCATTGATGCTTGTCTGGTTGTCAGTACGAGCCGTGTTTATTGAGTTGTCCAGATGATTGACTTACCCCCAGAAAAGCTTGAAAACCATCGTAACGATTTCTTGAGAGCCAATCCCAGTCTTACGCATGGCATCCTCTGATCTCAGAACAAACGACGCAGCGTCTTGTCTCTCCCTCCGAGGTAACTCAAAGTATCTTGTCAGACCATTGATGACAGAGTCCATCGCGTTGTGAACAGTTTTATACATGAACTTTGGTGCTCTGAATATCATTTCCCACGCATGATGATCAAAAGAGGGAACGATTCCAGTATTACGGGAGATTATTTCAACAAGACTTTTTCAAAAAAGGCATTCGTAGATACCGTAACGATTATATCGCCAGCGATTTTGAACGTATCATGCTCGCTTACTTTCCCGGTAGTTAATGGACTACCTTGCTGTAGGGAATCGTCCAGCTCCTTGATGAACCTGTCGAAGAAAGGCTGCGAGAAGGGACTTTGTGAAATCTCTTCCCGCACCCAGTCCAATACATTGTTGGTCAGCGATACAGCAGGCTCGCCAAGTTTTGTGTTCCACATAATGTCTCTTGTCTTTTTCGTGACCCCCATGCAGAGCATTAGTTGGTTAATGAATGGTTCATATACAAGGTCTTTGGACTTTCTGTGGACCTCACTTAGGTAGCGCGGATCCAGTACGACATATATCCGACGGCTCCCGATTAGTAGGCTGAAAGGCTGAGCAGTACTTTTGAAGTGCGACCTGTAACGAGTCAATAACACATATACTGGCATAAAGTAAGCAGAAGCTTACCTTCCAGATGTAATAGTCTGGTGGATGTTTGTCAGGAACGAGAACGTATGGCTCAAGACTTTGAAGATGTCAGTTTTCGACTTTGAGCTGTCATGTGCACCTACCCGGTATCCAATATGGTAACATTGGGGGCTCTGACCCAAAATTCCACCTCGAACCTGTGCGTAGAAGGCACTGCCATGTGATATTTGTAACTATGAAAAGTCCAAAGAGATAGCTGAGAAAGTTGTATTGCAGCGTCACATCTTGTACTCGTTGTACTTCTGTTATCGTGAGTGTAGAGTTCAGCTCAGGCCTCATAAAGTTGGACTCCATGTGTAGTCCTTGAATAGATGAAGCTGGATTATTGGAATACGTTCCTGTTTATGAGTTCTAACTAGAATGCGATATTTAAAGTTTCCTCTTCCAAGCTATCCAAAAGGCATGAAATATTTCGGAAGCCGGACAGAAATGTGTCATACCTGAGTTTCTGTCAATCCTGTGTCTGTCCTACCTCGCGACGTCCCATGTCTCCCGTCACCTGACTGTGTGGCTATAACTTGACCGTCCCGCCCATCTTTCGTAGCACATATATCACAAGATCGACTACACATAATCTCATCGGCATCCGTGAGATTGATGTCTTGCCGTCCACAGCAGACGTCAAAACACAAATTCGCGCAGATGGTCCACATTAGTGCAGACAACTCGTAAGTGATAAAAGATGTATCAATACACTCAATTAAGCTCTTTCAGCCGTGAATCTGATTTTCTATTCTGAATGTACTATTACTACCGTTTCACAAGCCAGTAAATAAGACGCAATAGAGGACTGCCCAGTAGGCCTTCGCCTATATGTGGGGCACAATTTTCGCAACATGGTGGAGTCATTAGAGCTCGAAAAGCACTCAGTCCTTCATTTTGGATTAGCCATAAATTATCCCAAGTCAATAGCGTCACCAGTATTTCAGTAGTCATGACTACCCAGTCAGTCCTCGGCGAAGCAAACTTTGAAGATGGATCGGAGCCTTACGCATATACGCCTCTCAGCAAGAGACAGATACGCGTACTGGAGTTGAGTCCTGCTGGTCAAGAGACAGACCAGCTTCGGGGGAGGTTACTCGTGAAAGGCTTGGAGGAGTTGCCACCGCGTCGGAAACCCTTTTCTTCAGATGTGGCAGAACCAATTGATCCAACCAAACACGTCTATTTCGAAGCTATTTCCTACGTATGGGGCGAACCCAGCTTCACTGAGTCCCTTGTCACACCCGACGGCTTCATCCGCATCACAACTTCGCTTGCCTCAATCTTGCGACGAATCCGACACCATGAGGATAGTCGTCTCTACTGGGCCGATGGACTATGTATTAACCAAGAGGACATTAGCGAGAAGGAGATACAAGTCCCGGTTATGGGCGTTATCTATGGGTCTGCCGTGCGTGTTCTCTGCGACCTATGTGACGAAGATATCGATCTTCTACTAGACGCCATGGAACGATATTGGAAGAAGAATATTCGTCGCGGTTTCCAACTCAGTCAGAGTCGCTCAACTGTTCTTTCAAAAGAAACATCAGCAGCGGTGATGGGCGTCCGTCTTCCCACACAAGAAGAGGCAGATGAAATTAAAGGTTTTGAAATGGAGGATTGGTCTGAGCAATTTTTAGAGTTCCTATCTTTCCCTTGGTTTCATCGTTTATGGATCTTTCAGGAATTTATTCTTGCTCGCGATGTAAGCATGATCTTTGGCCGTCGACATATGCCGTGGGGAGAGATTTGGGCGATTACAGTAAGTTATTTGGGAGCTGAATTTCCCTGGGACTCGGTAGAACTTGCCACACCGGAGAATACTTCCAAACTCGTGTCACTCAATTTTATGTGCTGTATCCGCGCTTGCAGAATCATCGATCCTAACGCGGCACACGGTCGCGAGTTCATGGAAGCCATCAGAGTCTCAATGGGAGGCGCAGATATCAGCCAAGCTCAGCTGCACATGTCCCTAGTAGCGGGCTGCTTTAAGCAATGCAGAATTCCTCGCGATCGGTACTTTGCTATACTGGGCCTCGTGGACGAAGCGGGCGATGGGAAGGGAGGTGAACTACAGGTCGATTACATATCACCTATCAGAGATATCACCATATATTTCTGGAAACACGCGTTGCAGTTGAGTTCTGGGGGGGAACTCATTCTCATTGCTGGAATAGCAGGTCAAAGTGAAGGATATCCATCTTGGTTGAGGGATATCACTGTACCGAGCCCTTTGGATTACGTCTGGCTGCTTGGCCCTTTGGCCAATGATCGACACAAGACGGGTGGAGATCTTGGCACTTGGTCTGCGGCGTTTAGCCAAGACGATCCAGACCAGATGATCACCGAAGGGCTTTTCTTTGTTACAATTGCTGAGTTATCAAATATGGAACCGAAAGAGCTTTTCGAAATGGAAGCTATGATACTCTGGTTTGAGAAAGCAATAACATTTTTCACTTCCGATTACGTGACAACAGGGTCTGGCACCGACACACCTTACCCATTGACGGGCGAGCGTATCCAAGATGCAGCTATAAAGACAGTGTGTGACTTTGGCTCAGAAGACGAGCTTAATGATGATTCTACCGCCATTCACCAGCTAGGTCAATCCCTCCTGGCGATAGCCGCGTCCTATCCAAACAAAGATGAAGATATGATAGAGGCGATCAGTGCATCTATTGAGGACAAGATGGACGTTTTTACCCAACTATTCACACGAGTCTTCTCCACACGTGGTCTGCGACTATGCAAAACAGATAAAGGCATGTTTGCAATGTCACCACAGGAGGCGCTTGCAGGGGATTTCGTTTGGGTCCTCAAAGGCTGTCGCTTGCCTATTATTCTACGACCGAGTCCCGCCTATGTGGGGTCGTTTGAGATCGTTGGCTTTGGCTATGTTTGTGGAATTATGAATGGAGAAGTCTTGAAAAGGCCAGGGTTTCACTGGGGGGAGATCTCTTTACGGTAATACTTCTCAACACCAATGCGATCAGGGGCAACATGAAAGGCCTCGGCCATCATTGCACGAGGGAACAGGACAGCATGAAGCAATTATGTAGACAAATGCAAATTATGTCATTCATGGCAGAGTGGATATTACGCTAGCTTTAAACATCTAAAAGACTCTTTAAATCTTCTTGTTTCCCTCAATATCTTGTCCCGCAGTGTTGGTGTTGACGGGAGTGATGACTTCGACACCCTGGAGCTTATCGTCCCTGCTGGGTCCAACAATCTCAAACACTGATTCATAATTAGCAATGATCTAAAAGAAGGGATGTGGAACAACTTACAGTCAACAGGAGTGGTGGTAAACTTGCGGGCGTTGACCTTCTTCTGGAAGAGGTAGTCAAGATCGGCAAAGCTACGGTTCTTGGTCTCAGGAAGGAAGAAGAAGATCCAGATAGCCCAGATGAAGCAAAGGCCAAAGTAGAACATTCCAGTCTTTGCTCCCCAGTTCCAAGCGTCGCTGCTACTATTGAGCATACGGGGGTTGAGCTGCTGCACGACGATCTGACCACAGACGTAGACGGCACGACCGATGACGATGGTCTGGGCTCGGACACGGCTGGAGGCGGTTTCGGCGACGACGACGTAGGTGGTGGGACCAAGAGAGACCTTGAAGATACACTGGACAACAACGAGGAAGGCAGCGGTGGTGATGGCCACACTGTCTCCGTCGGCAGCAAATCCGAGGATACCAATGATCAACATGCATGCGCCGATTCCGGAAGAACCCCAGAAGTAGAATGTACGACGGCCAATTCTACCCATGAGGCTGATGGCGATAGCAGTGGCGAAGATGTTGACGGACTGGATACCCATGTTGTAGTTGAAAGCGTTCTTGCTGCTCATACCAACAGACTTGAGCAGAATGGCAGCGAAACTGGTAATGGATTGACCGTTGAGAATCTGGATAACCCAGGCCATGCAGACAATACCAGTTCGGCGAGCGTTGGTGCCACGGAAGCAGTCCATGAAGCTAGCATCCTCAGCCTCGATCTTCTCCATCTCGTTGGTGTGCTTCATGAGAGCAAGAGTCTGAGCCATGGTCTCATCACTGTAGTGGCCGGGGCGAGCAAGACGGCGAAGACTGTGCTCAGCCTCCTCGAACTTGCCACGGCGGATAAGGTACCAGGGACTCTCAGGGGCGAAGAAAGCGACGGTGAACAGAGGAGGAATCCACATCCACTGAAGACCGTAGGGTACACGCCAGCCAGCATCACCCTTGAGGTCGAGAGAGCCACGGAGGACACCAGTGGCAAGGAAACTTCCGGCTCCCCAGCACATGGAGACCCAGGCGGTAAGGTAGCCACGAAGGGCAGCGGGGCAAATCTCGGCGGCGTAGGCGGTGGTGAGGGTCTGGAAGATACCCCATGGGATACCACAGAGGAGGTTACCGACGAGAAGCATCTCTACGTTGACGGCGAAGAAGAGGACGAAGATGGTGCAGGACATGAGAGCCATGGCGAACTAGGGATGTGTCAGCTTCATTTCTGTGTGAAAGTGTAAATAATTGTCAACATACCATGTAAACACGTCGAGATCCGAATCGCTGTTGAAGGAAACCATTGAGCAAGAGACCGAGGATAGAACCACAGTTGTTTCCAGCACCAATAGCACCCTGCCACTTTGTAGAAATGTGTTGCTTTCCGTCAGCATCGGGCCAACCAAACCGATTGAGGTAGGCGTCATGAGCGAAGAAGTTGTTGATGAGACCGACATCCATTCCCTCCATGACCAGCGCAACACTCAAACCCATACTAAAGGCCACAGCAGGCCAGTACCGGCTGAACAGCTCCTTCTTGGGGATGAGAGCCTCTGCATCACTGGCAGCGACGGCGGCTTCAATGAGTTCGACCTGGGAGTTGTTGCCCGAGTACTCTGTGTGGTGGACGGGGAGTTTTCCTCCATCTTCCACGTGGGCGGGATCCTGAGAGGGCGCCATTGTGGATGAGATTCTGGGGAATGGAAGAGAGGAAATGCAAAAAAAATAGGAATGGAGAGAATGCTCAATGCAGATCTGGGGAAAAAGAAGGGGAGGAGATGGGGGGAGGATATAAGGATAGATATAAGCAGTCTCCGCACCCAAGATAGTGGGCCTGTTTTTAAACCTCATGCCATGGTATACCCTCGTCGGCTAGAAAAGAAGCCAAGACGAGTTACATCAACAAGAGTGACAAGGATTATCGGTCGAATTTCCCCACGGGGTCCGCGAATCAGTCCCCCATGTCTTCCACGCCACGGGCTGACTTTCCCCGCATACAGAGGACGAATTGGATGGTTGCTTTTCTTCGCTGGCTTTGGCCCGAAAAGACGAACCAAACCAGATTCAGTGTAATTATACTGTGCATCGGGAAAAAGAACCCCGAGTCATGTCCAGGAAAGGCGCTGACGACAGGACGGCAATGACAAAGGCTACTGTCAAGCTAAATTTACGGGGGCTTCATTAAGGTTGTAGCGCCCGATAAATAAAACCTCCACCCCCAGAAACTGTTTGAATGGGGGAAGGGGAAGGGTTCCACAAGAATTACCGCGGCTTCAATTCTGGGATACGAAAGACGGCAGCGCATTTCGGATACAACCGTGACATGTTAAGGCATGGGGTCTTTTTTGGAGAGGACTCCCCAATTGAGAGATGATGCAGGTTCTCCAGATTTACCATCATTAGCATGTCTTATTCTTCTGTCATTCAATATAATTACTCCCATCATTCCCAGCTGTTTGGTCTCTGTTGCGATGGCCTCGGCTAACCATGAATCAGCACGGTCAACCTCATCGTTTCCAATTGGTCAAGATTTTGATGACTGACTCTCTTGGCCGACGAGTTAGTCCCTGTTCCAGACTCGCTGTTCTCTCCGATACCATCACATGAACCAACATCCTAGGCGAGTTTTCATCGCAGTCATGCCAGTATTGTAATAGCTGATACAGACTATTTGCTTGGCATGAAATAAAGATATCATGACAGAGATAATGATATTGAAGTCGAAAGAATTTGATGAAAAAGCCAAGCAAGAGATGGATGAATTAATGTGTGAGAGACAAGACGAACCCCCATCAACCCTCCAGAAACGCGCTTCCCCACAATGCCCTGACCCCAAAGTTTGTCCGTTATTCTTCAGCGTTCAAGCTTATTTTTACAGAGAGAGCGAGTGACGCAGGCGAGAAAGGTGTGGCAGTCAACTAGTTTAGTTTGGGCTAACATACACCTAGTTAGGTATCATTAAATAATGGGCATCAATGGCCCTTTTTCCCCTCATTTTCTATCTGTCAGAATGAGCTGAGCGGAATGTTTCGCCGATAACTAAAGTACGGCATTGATGACCGGTAATTGCCGGACTGTCACAAACGGCTGAGATCGGGCGTGGCACCGACTACACTGGGCTTGTTTTTTTAACGAAGCTAGATAAATGTTGGTGTTTAGAAGGAATCATTCCGTCCTTCATTCTGTCATGTGCATTTCGTATGTCTCCTTTCTTCAAAATGTTGGATTGTGACTGCTTCGGTATCTCGGTCAATTTCGACGCGTTCATCTCACAACTCCAACCATAACTCCAAGCCACCAACGCCATGTTTGGGGTTAAAGCCCCCAATCTTTCATGCCCATCTAAGATCAGATTGGATCAGCCAAGTAATCTTGCCCAGGTTCCTTCACCTCCTGCAGTGTCCAACATGCACGTCCTTCCAGTCTCGGTACGCGTCAAACTTGTTTTGAGCATGGATTTGCATTCTCTTCGGTGATTCCCCCCTTTTTGGGGTTACTGTGACATTGGTTACGGTGGATCGTGCACACTCCCCGCATTCCGGGGAATAGGCCGTGTCACGATGATCCTTGCAGACTTGAAGGCCTGAATCTTCATCTTTTTATCTTTTGACATTGTACGCGACCCGGGAGACTGGATCGTGAGGAGTATCACATGGCAAGCCGTTCATTCACTAGGGTCTTGAGAAGCGCGTTGTAAACATGGGTTTGGGTGTAGACCGTGCATAGACTTTTGATGAATAATACCTTCGGGGTTTCTATACCCGAGATGTCAACGGCGGTGTCCAGGGACACTACTAGGATGTGAATTCTGAAAGCTGTCACTTCAGTACGCGCATACGGTTGTCGGGTCATCAACGTAGCCGCATCGCCCTGGAGAGAGACCCTTGAGCATCGGAGGATACTGGCAGCTTGGACCAGATGCACGCAGGCACGGTATACGGAGAACAGTAACATCCGCTGCATATAGACAAGGGGGTATCGTGGCTTTAGAGATGTCAATATGGAGTTTTGCTTACTTAGAGATGAATGTGTGTGTACGACGAGAGCCAACAACAAACGGCTTCAGGGCAGTTCAAGTAAACTAACTCGGTAATAAGTACCAAGTAATTCATCTCATCTACAGTGTCAAAACAACTTGCAGCCCTCAGTATATCACTCACTACCTTGACAGCCAAATTGACAGTATCTACAAAGACTTGGCGTTAGATCTCTTACTGCGAGAGCGACGGCACAGCGGATACTTCTTACTTGTCTATCCTGCACTGCAACCCCTCTGATCGACAAAAGATTCCCCAGACTCACCAGTCACCAACTGCTCTGCCCCAATCCATGGTTTTGAAGGGATGAATCGGTTAAAGGGCAGGATCCTCTACCTCGTGTATGTATGTGTCCCTGTTGTGGAGGTCTTCCTATGCGGCCCAATAGTAGAACGAGCGCTGCGGCACAGTTTTAAAACAGTGGGATATGGCGCCGTGGACAAAGGCCAAGAGGTTGAGACGCTGTTTACTTTGTCTAGAGTAATCTAAGATGCCAAATTGTAGCTATCGCATTGTCTTGCGTGTATCGATCACGATGCACACAATGGGGTTGATGGCCCAACTAGAACAAAGACTCACAGAATAGTACTATATATATAATCAAGCCAGCACTTCAAACCTTGATCACTATGATAACTTCAAATCTATTAATTGCTACTATGCACTGAACACCGAAGTGAGTTTTGGAAAATGGAATTCAAACTACATACAGTGGTAAATAACTATCATTGTTCAAGCGTCTAGGGTAATTGACGGGACATGAAGCACGTGACCTCGATCCCTCAGCATTCTCGTCTACTCTCTGCCACCTGATGTAATGAATGGCGTGTGTGCTGCTGCGACTGCGATGTGCTTTCAAACGCACGCAACCAGTTGCTACTCCTTGCTTGCATTGGTTCAAAGGCCTTTCACAAAATGTTTATTATATCAGAACGGCCCACGTCAGTTGCGCGACAACTCCAGCCCTCCTTCTTCTCTCCGCGACATGGCTGAAAGCGCGACCAGCAACACCCACACCTACTACGCGAGCATCTTTGTCTACCGTCTGCCAACTTCTTTGACTGTCCAAGCGGCTGAGCATTAGCCCGCCGTCTTACCCCAACCCCGAACACCGACGCGCGAGCGACTCGCGCCTTCAAATATCTTGCCTTTCGCTTGACTACATCAAAGCCTAAAGCCTTCCTCAGCGCCATGTCTCCGTCGTCCGATCGCGTCCAAATCCTCCAGTTGCGAGCCAGCCGTACTCCATGCAATGGTGCTTGTCCTCGTTCAATCATCCTCGACCGACTCATCACAATGCGAACCCAACGAAGCTTACAGCTATCCATTATCCAGCGGCCGATACTTTGAACACATCCCTTGCGCGTTGATCAATACCGTATGGGAACGAACGCACATGAACAATTGGTGACCGTTGGTCGGTGCAGACCAGACGCGTCGTAGCAAATCCGAAAAGGAGAGACAACCGCTGCTGCTATGTGTCCCCTTCCATCCTTCACACGCCCACTGGTGAACACGTCCATTTGCTGGTCTGCGACTGGACAATTTGTCTCTTGTGACGCGCTTTGCTGTGCCGGAATGAGCTTTCTCAAGCTCTGGTCTCACTAATGGTCGTTCTGCCTCCGTCCTTCTCGTGCCGATTGATTCCTGATGACAAATGCCTTGTGATCCCAGCGATTCTGCATTACAGCCATACATCTCGTTTCCGAAATGAGTGTACTACTCGCCGTCGCGATGCTCCAGTCCATTCGCGTCACCTTTGATGCAGTCCCAGTGAATCACTGCCGACGTCAGATGTGACTGCCAATGTTTGAAGTCGTATGCGCTGCATAGTACCATGACCCTATGGTCATCGTTCCCTGACTCTCGTGCGAGATACCAGACCTTCTTTTTGCCATTCGATGTGTCGCCATGCCACCCATCGGCGACATTGTCCTTCCGCGTACAACTGTAGTCGTCCCACCAAGTGTTAGAGGAACCGAGCAACATCCTCATACCATGACCAACTCCTCATTCTGAAGTAGCGCATTAACCACCACATCGTCTCCGTGATACAGCTGTACATACATCCGAATGGCCGGACACTCCACTCTGGCTCTCAACTCAATCCACCAAATGCTCCGTCCCGCCTTGCGGTACCACAAATACAGCAGCAGCAAAGCGACAGGGTCTTTCTCAAGAAGTAATGTTTTGAACACCCCATCAAGACTATGTGTGAATAGCTGCGTGTGACCCGTGGTGACTTCACTGTCCGGTAGATTGAGCACACGAGACACAGCATGCGCGGCGATGAAGTACGGGTTGTCATCCGCCGTCGATTGATCATGCAAAAGACAAACCTCAGCTAACAGCTCTGGTATACCGTGGATCCCGACTTCTGGCAAGGGTGATTGCATCTGATCGAACGTTGCCGCCATGACGTGAAAGACACTGTCCTTTCGGTGCGGCTCTACCAGTTGCCATAGCGACATCTTTCCATTGATCATCTGTATCCATTCCAAGTCATTTCTTGTAGATGGATTCAACGGCCAAGAATCTTCAGGCCTGTATGCATCGGGAGATGAGAATGTGAGAACAGCCAAGGCGGCCGCGGTGCCCCAGATAGGGTCTTTGTCTCTTTTCTTGAGTGGTTGTCTCAGTTTCTCGTTGAAGAGGGCTGTGCTTTGGGACCAGTGGTAACACTCTTCTAGACTACGCCGGGAGTATGAGTTTGTGTTTAGGAAGCGATCATAGGTAAGAGCCACGGCTAGAGAGGCATGCATCAAACAAGGGTACTGAGAAAGATTAGACTCAGGATACGGGAGCACACAGTGACTTGGGTTGACTTACAGTAAAGGCCAGCTTGAAGAGATCTTGGTTTACCTTCAACATGTTGGGATCATCAGGTGTAAGAAGACTCCGCTCGTAGTATCGAGTCGCAAAGTCCTGGCACTTGGAGTTTAGCTGATACTTTGTGAACTCATCGGATGTCCAGACAGGGTTTGGTATCGAATGTCTAAGTGCAGGTTTGTATCGGACGAGAGACTTTCCAGTGTCGGATGTCACTGCTTGTAGGTCTGGGACATTAAATCCGAAGTTACATAGTACACCAAAAGAAGCACACATTTTGCAATTGGGTTTAGTCTCGTCGCACTATGGACAAAGTCAGATCTCCCGCGCGAAGATGCGTCTAGACAGGGGCAGTTCGGACCTTGACCTTCCTCAATTTACAGTTCCGGCAGCCATGTCTTGACCTCCGGACCGGTCTAGACTTTGTTAAATCCGATGGCATGCTTGAATGATGCGTTGCTTGATAATATTGAGGCCTTTATTGAGAGAAGTTTGAGTAGAGAGATGTAAGTAAGCTGCAGGAAGTGGAGAAGATGATATTCCTTGTTCGATACGCTAACCTCGCCTCGCCTAACGACCCGAGGTGCTAACCATTTTACGCATACAATAAGTGTTGATTGGCTGATCGGACTTCGGAAAACTGGACCCCCGAGGGGATTAGAAAGGCTGAGTGTAGGAAGCAAAAGAGACGAAATTAGTAGGTCAGTTTGTGTCACAAATACCTACTCGCTTGATCATTCATTTTTGTAACCTCAAGAATCGAGGTCAACGTTTCTACTGTAGATAACTCAATGGTTTACAGATATAAAGAGGACAGGTTCTGCCTCTTCTTACGCATACCCAGAATCAACCACACATTCCTCATCTACACTTATCACAATGTCTACCCATCTCGCTGCCGTCCTGAAAGGCAAAGGCCAAAACTTTGAGATCGAATCTCGCCCCACACCAAAGCCAGGACCAAATGAACTCCTCGTCGCTGTCAAGTCTGTCGCGTTCAACCCGGCCGACACTTTCATGCGCAGCCAAGGTTTCTTCATCACCGAGTATCCTACTGTTACCGGCTTCGACATGGCAGGTGTAGTTCTTGAAGTCGGCGAGAATGTCCCAACTGGCGACGACAAGAGCACACTTTGCTTTCGGCCTGGTGATCGAATCGTTGCTTACTCCGCCTCAGCATGGAGATCCTGCGCGCCAGACTATGGGGCCTTTCAGGAGAAATGTATTGTTCCGTGGCAACATGCCGTAGCTATTCCAGATGAGACCATGTCATGGAACGATGCTGCGACGTTACCCGTGTCTGTGCAGGTACCACTTAGTGCCTGGGATCAAATGGGCATTCCAAGGACAGACGACAAAAAAGTCGGATCAAATGGACCAGTCGAGAAGAATCAAGTCTTACTTATCTGGGGAGCATCTTCGAGTGTAGGCACAATGGGTGTTCAGTCAGCACGTATAATGTGTCAAGATCCCGACTCTCCTTTTGCAGCTGTTTACGCCACGGCTGGAGCAGACAATCTCGAATACATACGTTCCCTGGGTGCGGACTGTGTGTTTGACTACAAAGACCCTGGAGTTGTGGACGCGATGATTTCCGCGGCTCAAGGCAGTTACCTGGCCATTCGTCATTGCTTCCTCGCCGTTGGAAAGCTTTCCCAGTGCCAGGATGTGCTCAAAGCCTTCGCCAAACCTGGCGACAAGCCAACGAAGATAGTTTCAGCACCTCGTCTTCCGGAAGACGCAAAAGATGTGGAAGGGGTCGAAGTGATGTTCGTGATGCCATCGACTGTAGAAGAGGAAAGACTGGAGGAGTTCCGATACTGGCTGGGCACATGGTTAAGAAACAGACTTACCGAGGGGTCTGTTCGACCAAGCCCTGAGCCAACTGTTATTGGAAAGGGCTTGGAGTTCATCAAAAAGGCGTTGGATAGGATGGCTCAAGGAGTGAGTTGTACAAAGTTGGTGGTGGAAATTAGCGAGTAATTAGACACAGGAAGGATGAGACGAAATTCATAAGCTAGTTCTTGGTATATAGACTAGAGTTTAACGCAATTTATTTTTATGTCAGAGTCTCGAGGTCAACCATTCCGTTAGTCAACGGCTCTTCTAGCGTCCAGCGGAACCCTTGCTTGTTAGCGACAAGAGCTATGGCGGGGCGGATGTGATCCTTTTGTCAGAGATTCTACCCAAACAAGCAATAGTCTCAACTTGTGCTCCATAGAATTGACATTTTGAGTTTGACGATGGAAAAGGTCGCGTGTTGTTTTCGAGGTCAACTGAACTGTTGGTAGTAAACTTCGTTAAGCCATTCAAGCTGTTCTTCACGATGGATTTCCCCGCATCATATCAGCCACGTCCATTCTCATTCAGCAATTAAGTTCTCGTTTACTAGCAATGACGGATAGACTTGCTATTAAGCTTAATTCTTGGCAGTCTGTTGAAAGGGTTGTGTCTGGCACACCAGAAGGTAAAAGACCAATGGTTTTCTAGAAGCTCGTCTCTCAAAGTCAATGCAAAAACGCAAGGAGAAACAGACTGTCATCATCATCACATCAGATTAAAATCGAGATGATCCATCCATCAGCGTTACATTTCTCCGGCCCTGCCCGAAAACAAGACTAACTCATTCCAGAGCAGATCAGCACCTCCTAACAATTTCCAATGCTCGTGATGAGAGTCTTTTAGGTTTAGTTCGTCCCGAGACAATGGTCAATGCACGTCTGGAGGGAAGGAGAAAATCCGGGGATCTGTTCATCTCTCATCCAGAAGCACTTGTCGGACCGACATCTCGGACCGACAAGATCAATTCATGCTGAACCAGACCATTTCGTGGAGCAATATCCATCGTGAGCTTGGTAAAAAACTCATGGTTTGGCCAGAAATTGGGAATCATGTCGGTCCGACACGCTACTCATCTACACTTTGAAGCCATCATGAGACTCAGCTCTTGGCGAGGATGAGCTGACTTCTGAGTCTCTTGCTCGTTGTGTCGATCTCGTCGGTCCGACGACATCGTTCATGGCTGTTTGACTAGACTATTCTTGGCATTTGCCCCCTGGCGTCCCCCAGCTTTGAACCTTGGGAACGTGGAGAGATTTCGCGTTTCTGGGGTTTAGCATAAAGATCCCCAGATTCCCCAGCTTCTTTTGTTTTTTGAGATTCCATCCCCAGAGCACTCTTCACCAAAGACTCCTACCACTTCACCTCTCAAAGAGGATTGTCTCCCTTTTCCCTCATCTTGTTTTGGTCGACACACACATTCCACAATGTCCTCCCTCCCCAAGGACAACTTTGCTCAGGTTGAGCATATCGATCCTGACTCCAAGATGGGTTTCGACGAGGTTGAGAAGCCCGCTGCGCGCGAGGCCAACGACCGCGAACACACTCTTACCCTGCGCGACAGTTTTCGCTTGTATCCCAAGGCCATTGCCTTTTCTCTGCTCTTCTCAACTGCCATCATCATGGAAGGTTACGATCTGAGTCTTCTTGGAAGCTTTTACGGTTATGATGCGTAAGCGATCACTCTCTTGTCCACACTTCGGTACAAAATACTAACTGTTTATGTCCAGGTTCAAGCAAAAGTTTGGTAACGAAGTCGACTCGGAAGGCAACCCCATCATCTCGGCAGATTGGCAAACATATATCCAAGTTGGTGGCATGTGCGGTCAAATCATCGGTCTCTACATCAACGGTTGGGTCTCTGATCACTTTGGTTACAAGAAGACCATGATGGCTTCTCAGATGCTCATGATCGGACTCATCTTCTTCCCCTTCTTCGCCCCCAACCTTCAGGTCCTCCTTGCTGGAAACATTCTCCTCGGTCTTCCATGGGGTATCTTCCAGACTCTCACTCTCGCCTATGCTTCCGATGTCGCTCCCGTTGTTCTACGTCCATACCTTACTGCCTACGTCAACCTATGCTGGGTCATCGGTCAGCTCATCGGTGCTGGAGTGCTTCGAGGTTTCAGTACCATGGGAGGAGACTGGTCATACAGAATTCCTTTCGCTCTGCAGTGGGCTTGGCCTCCCTTCATCATGCTCGGTACCATTTTCGCTCCCGAGTCACCCTGGTGGCTTGTCCGCAAGGAACGCTACGAAGATGCCAAGCGATCCATCCTTTCGCTCGTCACCCAGTGTGAGGTTCCCTTTGACGCTGATGCCCAAGTTGAGCTTCTCAAGGCTACCAACTTGATGGAGAAGGAGAACTCTGCTGGAACCAACTACTGGCACTGCTTCATGCGCAGCGATTTACGACGAACTGAGGTCGCCTCCATCACTTACACCGCCCAGGCCCTTTGCGGTAGCGCTCTCATGGGTTACTCTGTCCAGTTCTACCTCGAAGCCGGTCTCTCCCCTGAGAAGTCCCTTGACTTCAACGTCATCCAGTACTGTGTCGGTGCCGTCGGTGTTGTTCTCTCCTGGTTCTTGATGTCCCGCTTCGGTCGCCGTGATATCTACATCTGCGGTATGGCAGCTCTCTTCTGCATCCTCATCGTCGTCGGTGCCCTTGGATGCGTCAACAAGACCGAAAGCGTCGGCTGGGCCATCGGTAGCTTGCTCATCGTCTACACCTTTGTTTACGACATGACCATCGGACCTATTGCCTACACCATCGTTGCCGAGATCTCATCCACCCGTCTCAAGGCCAAGACCATTGTTTTGGCCCGCAACTTCAGCAACATTGCTGGCCTTGTCACCAACACTCTGATGCCCCGCATGCTTGGCCGAAACTCGTGGAACTGGGGTGCCAAGACTGGTCTCTTCTGGGCAGGCTGGTGTCTCTTGATCTTCATCTGGGCTTTCTTCCGTCTCCCCGAGCCCAAGGATAGAACATATGGTGAGCTCGATCTTCTTTTCGAGCACAAGGTTCCTGCTCGCAAGTTTGCCAAGACCAAGGTTGATCAATTCCCTACATCTGGTTCCACCGAGAAGGTCCAGGAGCAGTAAATAGATTTGGTGGATTGTTTTTAGTTAAAAGCAAAAGACTTGGAATTGTTCTAAATTTAATGAATCCTATAAAGAAACGTGCCCCTTTTAATGTGCCTTGGGAGATGTGATTCCGGTTATTACAGTATAGTTCGGCTTTGGTTATCTGCGTGTTGGGTAACATTGACGCTAGAAAGAGTAAGTCTCCGGATTCACATGCACTGCAAAGCGGAGGAAACTACCGTTAGCGTAGTAGCTAATGACGTCACTACCTACACAAAGAATTGTCTGATTGATCTTTAGATACCAACATGAAGTTGTATCTATATCTAAACATGAACTCAAAGAGGGTGGTAAGTAGTTCTGTACCTACTAAGATAGCTTGTCACTATCTCTCTTAGCATATAGGGTAGCAAAAGAGTCTAAACACTTCAATACTGGACATTGCCAAGGTATAACGGACTGTTATCTCCAGCCAAGCCTTTTAAAATAACCTATGCCGCTGCGCCATAGACATCAAGACATAATTGGTTGAAAGTACGACGGATTTGGCGGGTCCATTCTACCGGCAGAGACCCCTCATTATCTCGTTTAAGAAATTCAGGCATTTCCGGAGTAAATTCCCTCCAGCGTCCCTCATTCTTTTCACACATAAGCACGCATATATCAAAACTGGCCTTTCCTTTTTCTACGGAAATCCTTCTGACATATTCGGAAACTCGGCACGGAAACTAACACAAAACGGGATGATAATTACAGTGGAACAAGAACAATCCGTCAGCCCGACGACCCGAAAATCTCACGCTCGAAGCCGCACAGGGTGCAGCCAATGCAAGAACCGACGTGTGCGATGTGATGAGAAGCGACCTATTTGGTTAGTCAGATATCCTATTCTTAATCTTACAGCGACTGCAAGAAGAATCCTTTCAATGCAAATGATCAAGTGGCGATATCCAATCCTCACCCTATTTTCTCCACTGTTTACAACATCGTCTGATTCTCTAGATACAGCCTCAATTGTGATGCGTCTGGACTATCATGTCACTTCGCAGCTCCAGCCATGCCTCTTCGTGAGCGCCGCAAATCATATCTTCCCGGAGAACAGCAACCATGGGTCGTGGCAGTCAAGCCAGCCCCAGTATCGCCACCTAAGCCTATCAACGTTTGCTTTCCATGCCCCATAGACATGCCGCTGCGGTCAATGGAACTTCTTCACTACTGTGTGTTGAGATATCAATGCTTCACCAAATAACGCTAATCGCTTCTACAGTCCACAAGGCTGGTGGTAATAATGAAGTTGCATTACAGTGTAAACGACAGAACTTGTAAGTTCACAACCAGACTGTCTGGTGGTCCTTCAGAATTAACGTGTGTAGACTGGCATCCAACATCCATCACCCCGACGCGCTGCGTAACACTCTCCTCATCGCTGGCTTTCATTACCTCATAAATGGGAGTCGATTCAGTGACTTCAAGCCGACATTGCTACTCCACAAGATAGAAACAATACGCTCGGTGAATAAATGGATTCAGCTTTCAGATTCAAAAGCATACGCCATGTGCGTACGGCAGATCTCTACTCTGTGTTTTTCCGAGGTACGTCTGCAGTCTTGTTTTACTATCTGATTCCATATTAACCTTTCCTAGTGTTATTTGGGCCATTCCAAAGCTGCTGAAACGCATCTAAATGGGCTGATGAAGTTCTTGGATATTTATTGCCCTCTAGACTTGGCCAACCCAACAGAACCAAGCAACACTACAGAGCTTTCCATTCGATACATCATGCTGTAAGTAACGCTAGTCAAGCATCATTAACAATATTCTGACCGAGTCAACAGTACATATTCTTTTATATCTATCTGCAAAAGCCGTGTCCGGGTCGAATTAGTAGACGTCGGTGATGGCGCAACCCCAGAAGTCATGGCAGCAATGCACGACCGATATAAGTTCGAGGCCGGTGGGATGGACCTAAAATTGAGAAGTATGGAGATGCTTCCTTACTTCTTTGCTCCGTTGTCCTCCATGAGAGGTTTCCGCGATATCGATGCTTCATCAATGATTGAATGTCTCCTGTCTTTGACAGAGGTATTTCAATTGAGAGCACCAGTGGAGGATGAAAGATCGGTGCAGCAAATATTATTGATCGAGAATACTGCTGTCAAGCTGATAATGGCAGCTATAGAGACTCATGTCGAATCCATGCCCGGACAAGGCGATAGGACTCACAAGAAGAAATATGTCAAAGGGTTGGAAGGTTCCTGGTCAGGGCTCTTCATCGCCTCACATCTCTACGTCCATCAAATCCTCGGCCTCTGGACTTTAGATGCAACGCTGGAAGTCAAGTTCCATTCTCATATCCTTGGGTATCTGAGCTGGGATCTCGCTAGAAGCGATAGATGCCTGGAAGAAGGATCTACCATCGCATCAAACTTTTGGTTCTGGAAAGCTTTCGTGGGTGCCTTTAGTCTCGCAAGGCATATCGAAACTGATCACGCAGTGGCGCTGTACCCTCTGCGACGACAGTTTGTCAAGCTTTTATATAACTGGTCTGAATCTGCAGGCATTAAAACGTGGAAAGAAGCTCGAGAGGTTTTAATAGGTATTGTATGGCCCAAGTCAGCATTCATTCATGGGTCTTTGGCAGAGATGATTTGGTATGAAAGTCAAGTCAAGATTCACTCTGAGAGAGAAAGTACATAGATTTCAACCAAATACAGCCTTCATATCGGCACTGGTACGTCTGTCTCTGATTGCTTTCGGAATGATATCTCATGGTGATTTGTTCAGACTGTAGTTCTTTTTGACGATTGTTCACTCTAACACCGTCAGTGCTGTGAGAGGAATAGCATCGCCGACTACAACAACATTCTGAAGGCACCAGTTGTCGAATCTATCTTTAGAACGCCAAAACTTAAAACTTTAAATCATTAGGGTTTCCCAAAAGAAATCTAAATTTCTTTCCACTCAAATAAGAACTTTCAATAGCACATCTGTAGGCAACCATTCACTCAGTGAATAAAGGTCTTTCACGCTGCAACTGTCAACATAGTTCCTTGAATGACTCGCATCAATTTGTCTATCAATACATAAAAGCATTCCTGTCTCCTCAACAGATACCAACTCCCACTTTGTTGTTACAGAAACAAGACAAGCTTTTTGACAGAGTCGAATGATTACATAACCACGCTTACCCCATACGGTACCCATAAAAAACCACTCATCCCCGCTACGCCACTGGAGGGGAGGCGCTAAATCACTTCGACCATCAACACACCACAATAAGCCCAAGCCCACACCACTTCACTTGTCAGCGCAGACCCTCACCCTTCAAACTACACTCAAATCTCACACAATAGTCTCTAACTCTACTATTTCGCGTCTCTAAGATGGTAGCCATACACCCAGTCCATCACCCTGGTGCACCAGTCGACTTGCTCGCCCGTTGCCCCGACCTTCTCATCGTCTCCATCCTTGAAACACTCCCCAAGCATGACCTCTGCAGCGTGTCGCGTCTGAACAAGCGCTACCACGCCCTCGCTGATGCCGTACTGTACAATACAGTGCAATGGCTAAAGCCAGAGCTTCATCTCATCTTCAGCCAATCGTTGAGCCGTCGTCCTCGTCGCGGTTCAGCGATTGAAGAAGTCAAGCTAGCGTATCCAGCGTCAGAGCTCACACGTCTCATCTCTGACACGCTGGAGCCCATGAACAATATTTCTCAAACAATTTCCACAATGTCCAATCTAAAGACCCTTGACATTGCTGTTCCTGTCGGGCTGCTACCCAGTATAGGTAACCTGTTCAATGGTCCCTTCGATCTCGCTTGTCTGCAGTCCTGCACCCTGTTTTACCAGGATGAGGAAGATCAGTACTGGGATCTACAAGAGAATATCCACATATTTACACATCCTACCCTCGAGACGCTTGTCATCAAGAGGGCAAAGCTGGACGACCGGGGCTTTGAACCAATTGAGCGTCCCCACAACACAGCTCTAAAGACACTGCACCTGATAGAATGCGATATTAACGATGATACACTTTCGGATGTTTTGATGTTTCCCGAAGCCTTGAAGGAATTTGTTCTTACCCAAAGAGAAGAACCCGAACCAGAGCTTGATGAAAGTTCGAGTAGCATTCGGGATTATATGATGGCTCTGAAAGAGCAGTGTCATTCATTGGAGACCATCACAATCGATTTCCCCATGTTGGCCAGTGGGAGAGCACTCGCTCTGAGAGAGTTTGTCAATCTCAAGACACTGCGGCTGAATTGGGATTACCAACTCTTTGGAAAGTCGACCAAAAAGCCACGGTTACACTCGGTTGGCTTACCGCCCGAATTAGAGACGCTAGAGTTCTTTAACCCTCTCGGTACCGACGAAGAAGTGACAGACCTACTGGCAAATGCAATCCAGAGTCTTCACATTACCTGCCGGAAAATGAAGGAGTTGATTGTTCTTGTTGAAGAAACAGAGATACCTAAAGTGGTGTTGGAGGCGATCAAGTCACAATCACAGTTACATTTGAGTGTTATTGGCGGAGAAGAAGATAGAGATGACCCTGAATAAGAAGGATTGGATAGATCTGATACACGTTGGATACACGTTATACTGGATAGAACATTTAATCAAGATACCTTTGGAAAATGAATGAACCCGCATCTTGGACAAGAATACATATGCATCACGGCTCCCAATTGCTTGATAAATGGGAAAGAGTTCGATGTGGCTTGGGAATTCCCTACTCCAACCAACAGAACTTCGATCCTAGCTCACGATACCAACCATGAATTCAGACTCACACGATGTGCTGGATAAACAAAGTACGCATCAGCTGCCTGAACTGTCACAACACCGAGCCGCCAGTTAGAGAGAACGAAAAATGTCCTCAAGCATTGGCGACCGGAAAGGGATGCGATCCGAAGACGCGGAGCACGTTCGAAGAAGGTGACGAGTGCACCAAATGCCAGGAGATCCAACGACTCAAAGACGAGGAAACACTAAATAAGGCTAGAGAGATGGGTTTATGAAATGGTTGCTTGCTTTGAAACTCCTGTGGTGGGCAGTAGAAAAGTCACCTTTAGACTATATAAATCAATCAATTAAAGGTAGAGCCTAACTTGCATAAACGACGGGTTAATTTCGTCCTTTTGTCTCCAGCGGTCAAATTACGTGCTCGACACTCACCCAGATCGCTGACAACATAATCAGATCTTGAGAGTATTCAATAATAATTAGTCAGCGGGTTTAGCTCAGTTGGGAGAGCGTCAGACTGAAGTCAAACTTCAATCATTCGATATCTGAAGGTCGTGTGTTCGATCCACACAAACCGCATCTTTTTTGCCACCGTAAAAGAGGGAGGATAGAAGCACAAGGGATAAGATCTGTAGGTCACACGTTACGCCTCTTAGACTAATTTTATTGTTCTATCCTAAGACTCTGCCTAGAAGCTCTTGTAACCTACTGTAGGAACTAAGCAAGATAAGTCATTCTTCTTATCACTGCCCAGAAACCGCATATGCATATGAAAGAGCCCATTGTATGTCAAACGCAAACCGACAAGGTAGCAAATCTACAGTATCGCGAATGATATAGAATATGTCACCGCTTCGAATTGGGCGCCCAGTGTCACAATTGTGAGCAGAGAATGCCTTTGTCGACTTGCAGTCAGAGCAGTCGGGTATCGTGCAGGCGAATGGCGGTGCTTCCCTGCCCCACTGGTGTTGTAGTTCTGCTACCAGGTTATAGGCTTCTTCGAGCTGCAAAATACTGGATTGTCGTCGCCTGTGAGAATTGCAAGGCATCCACACAAAATGGAGTTTGATTCTGGATTTTCCAGTCCTCAGATGAGAACTGTCAAAGATCTCCCGGTTCGTTATCCATTTCAATGCGAACAAGCCAGATGCCCACATTTGACCGAGATTGGGGCTCATAGTGATCATGTTCCAGTACGAATTTGGTGTCCGAAGTTCTTCCTGCAATCGATCCAGACCACACGGGTAGAATGGGTCGGGCGGGGGATGGTAAAAACCAAGAAGTTGCTCTATAAGTTGGAAATTGTAGGGATATCGACTGGCAAGCTCTGCATTTGGGTTGAAAGCAAAGATGTTGTAGGGTGCACTGCCGCCAAAGCCAGTTATGATGCACAGCTTGTTATCGTATTCGTGACATTTCTGTGATTCTGGCGATGGAATTATAGGACGGGCCTTGAGGTCGCTGAATCCTAGAATTATAATTAGTTAAGTACGGATGATGTGGGTGTTGTAGAAGTCCTCTCACTCCGCTGTACTAGATTCTCAATGTCCAAAAGGACTGACCCGAGGTCCAGTTCAACGTGGTTGGCATAGCACTCCAAGCAGGTCTTGGGCATGTGCAGCAGGACTGCGAAATGAATGCTTTTAAGGACCAGACTCTCCTTTGGCGGTACTTGGTCGAGAATCTGTTGGATGAAGTCGAGCTTCTCATCGATCAAACGGCGTGATACTAAATCTTTAGGCGGCTCGTTCTCTTGGATGTGTGCCATGAATGAAATGATGTCGGCTTGTACTGTCGGAGAGCATTGGCTGAAGGATTGCCCAAATTCTATAGAGGCATCAAATGCGCCTAGGGCCACAGGCGGGGAGACGTTCATTTTGAAGAAAGATAAATGGTGGTAGTTGTAAGAGTAAGCTTTGGATTGAAAGAAAGGGAAAACGCAGGCTGGGTACCTAGAAGGGGTCTGGAAATATAGGCTCTCGGGAAGGATCGATGTTGATGAAAGCACATTAGGTATGTATAATTTGATCCAACCAGTCCTTTCAAGGCCAGCGAGTGGTAAAAGAAAATATCCGATCAACGATAGTGAATAGATACTAAGAGAACTAAATAATGACCATAACCTACCTAAGAGTACACTAATATTTTCGTCTAATCATTTCTAGTCCCTGTTGTTTTGCGATCCGTCTCGCTAAACCTCAACATCATTGCAGGTTCCTTCCATCCCTGATCGAACAACATCACCAAGTTACAGGATGTACCTACCCAGTGTTCCATCTGCATGATTCCATTGAAGAGGACCTCCTTTTCTAGCCCTCGATTCTTTCATCAACTTCGCCACCTCTCGGATGCATGAAACTTTGACAAAGACCATCAATACCGCGATTTACTTATCACAACATGGAACAAAACAGTCAACCAAACCAGATTCCTCAAATATTGTCACCTTCCCACTATATGCGCGACGATTCTTATGATGTCGGGGAGCGTAGGCAACTTGTATGTACATCCTCTATGGACTACTAAAGACCGCTAACTTCGAGCTCTAGGCTATCCCAGCCTTTCTATCTTTACTACGAGACGCAAAAGCCGCTACCAGTGCCCAACGTATCTTTGATATCGAAATGTCAAAGATCGACGAAAAAGACGTTCGAGACCTCATCACTGAGATTTTGGAAGAATTTCCCCACAACGTTCTCCGTCCCGGCGAAGAACTGGTTCGACTAGCCTCAGCCCGACGGAAATTGGAACAAAAAGCTGAGATGAAGAGAGAGGCCGAGGAGAAGAGAAAGGACGAAGCTCGGGAGAAACGTCTGAAAAGTATCGAGTGGCTGAGAGACCAATGGGCAGGACGTAGTGGCTCCCTTGAGAGTGACAGTACCGAACCGACACCAGGCTCCAAAGATTCTATCGACGAAGCATGATCTGTTGTTGGTACATGACGACAGAGGCTATACAGTGGAAAACATTGTTAGATGAGCTTTAGAGTAACAAAATAAAGGGCTAAAGAAACCTAGTCTAAATGTCATGGCCTAAAGATTTCGTCTCTTATGATCTCAACAGCCAGCAGCCATGATTTCTGATACCTTGAGGCAAAGTTACTCGCTACCGTCGTCGTTGAGCTAAACTTGGTATGTGGTCACGAGACCTCAGAGTTCAAGCTCAAAGTTGAATTGCCATTAGTCGCTACGCATATCGATTAACCTTTTAGTGCTTTATAACCAATCAGGTCATCCAAATCAACACGTGGGTCGCCCTACAGCCCAGATCTGACATGGTCTTGGCAAAACTAGCAACATATTTAAGTATTGTCCACCCTTAAAATTAATTCCTCATCCCTTTCAAAATCTTTGCAAGACTCGCAAAATGGGGAAATACATGGAATTTATCGTGGAATCGGTTGTAGCCTCTGTCAAGGCGCAACCCTATGTCTGGTGTGCAGCTACTCTCACTTTTCTCATCGGCGTCCAATTAGCCCTGGCGGCCTCTATTGCCCACGGAGATGAAGCCACTGTCCGAAGACAGCTCACCTCTCTCGAGAGAATCGACATCGACAAGTCACAACAATCTGGAGTCAAGAGACAATTGACAATCGTTAGCCCTGTTGCATCATGCGCCCCTGCCAAAATCGACACAGACGCTCACCCAGACGCTCACATCACATACAACAACTGCTACATGCTAGCCCTTCAAACCCCCGAGAAGGATGTCCAAGGCCACACCATCTGGAAGTCTCTTACCCAACAAGACAAGCCCTATGTCTCAAAAGTCAAGACCGAGATCTGGATCCCGAAACCCGATGCCGACAAGAACGACCCATTGGTTCAATCCGGCGGATGCATCATCATGTCATTCCCCGATCCCAGTATCCCAAGTTGGCTGAACATTGCAGCAGGGTACTTGGGCAATTCTGTCACGACTCCGCAGGTGGCTTGCATCTTACCTCTGGAACCCACGAAAGAGGAGCTTGAGGAACACAAAATCAAGATGAGACCTTTCAAGATTGACGGAGAAGATGGGAAGGGTCTGGACATGGAGACTTTGCCTGCCGTGTCTGATATCCTATCCAGAATGAAGCTGTTTCTTGGTATCCAGGATAAGCAAGGAGTTCCTCAGGGAGTCACCATTTTTAAGCACGCTTAGTCAAAAGCTCTATAGAGCGAGAGCATCACAATCAGATCAATAAAAAGTTCTGTTTCCATCACGATACTTACGTTGGCTGCCGCCGGCAAGATTCGGTGCTCAATCTTGCTAATTCTCCGTCGAATTTGACCCATGCCTTTTGAAGAAAACATCCATCAAGCCAATAATTATCTCCATGATCCTTTCCCTTGATCATCATGACGTTCTTCGACATGAAACTCTCCTTGGCAGGCGCAACAGAAAGCTGAATCATTCGGCCCTTTGCATTCTTCCTCTTCTCACTCTTATCCCCAACCCGAAGGACAGCTGTACTAAAGTCTGCTGCTTGCGTCAACTCCGCCTTGGTCCAGTTGGTGATGATAATCAAGAGCATATTAGGTTCGCCAAAGAGAATAGTGTCTAAGCCGTTTTGGCTTTCGGCAATCGCACTCCTTAGGTAAGCCCGGATTTGTGATTTTGTTGTCTGTTGGATCAAATGCTTGCGGTTTGCTAGGGCGATGGGACCAAGAGGACCTCGGGCCATGGTGGGGGAAACAAAGGTGAATTCGCAAAGGGCTAGGTTCTGAAGGTATACGCCTGTGGCGTGTTTCATTGAATCAAATCGGTACCTTAGATTGACTGCGTTGAGGATTGAAACTGGAAGTTGACGTGGATCCGATGAGGCAACCATTTTTGCTGTCCATGCCGATAAAACATCCCCTTCGCTTATGAACGGCTCCTCATCTCCATTGCGTCCCTCTGTAAGGGTCAAAGTTTCTAATGCCTCTTGTCGCAATCGAGAAACGGCTGCTTTTGGGAGGAATATCGTACGTGACTCGGGTTTACCGTACCAAATCAATTCCCAGAGGAAGCGCATGACAAAAACAAACATTTTGAGCCCTTTGATGCGCTTGGGAGCAATTTCTAACTCTTCTTGGATAAAACCTTCGGAAGGATCTTCCGTGCGGCCTTCTGCTATGTCACAAGTGACATCCTTTCGTGCACCAAACACAGGCGAAACTTCAGACTCGCGGCCTGCAAGCACCAGTGACCAGTTTTGTAGCAAGGCCTGCAAACCACCGGCATCCATGAGCATGTGTGAGAGCACCAAAGTGACAAGAGTTGCATTTTTGAAAGATACAATGTTGAGAGCCATTTGTGGTTTGTTGCCTACCAGAAGATCCCAGCCATTCACGGCGTTGTCTGGTGCGGTAGCGAGATCCTTGAACTCGTACCCTCCTGGATGAAGACTGGGCTGTTCTCCTGCCTGAGGGAATTTTCGACCTATTGGATGATTCTCAATCTTCATATCGAAATGCCGTTGCGAGTACTGAAAAGGTGGCCGTTCTTCAGTAAACGTCTTGGGAACATGGAACTCCGCCTTGCCATTGGCCTTTTCAATATTCAAGTCAGATAGGAACAATGCGATTTTTACACATCACTCACATTGATCCTATAGCGACCGCCCAATTTTCTCCAATCTCCAATTTCAAGGAGTGTCACAAGCGAAGTACGTAGTTTGTCAGTGTCGAGTACATCGTTGAAATGGAACGTCCAATGCAAAATCATGTCGCGCTGAGCTTTTGTATCGTCTAGTAACGTTGCCGGATAGATATCATCATCATCATCATCATCATCATCATCAAATATCGAGGACTGGTGATCTTTTGTACGGAGACCGAACATTCTTCTTATAGTGTTCATCGTTTGTCTCTGTCGAGGCCTTCGCAAATCTCTACTAAGAGGAGAAGTACAAATGCTCCAGGGAGATCGATCCAGGCTGGCGAATCTTGTTGGGTCCTACGGCTTTTAAAGAGTCCTGCGGATACCTTGCCCTTGCATAGTCCTTACACGCTGCGCCACTTTTTCTTTTACTCTCAGGGTCGCAATAATGGAATGCGAGAAATAAGTAATCGAATCAGAATGTAATTTTCTGAATCTCATCTAAGCACTAACACCAATTAATGGAAAAGGGGCTACCTCTGTTGATCAGTAATTGCTTACTACAGAATCTATCTGTTACACAGGGGTGCGGAAGCCCTGGTTAAAGATGTTAGTAAATGATCCCATGATTATACGTCTTATGATCTCATGATGCGTGAAGCGAGGCAGGGTTCCGGCTATCCGGATGTACCCAATCCTTTCCACCTCCATGAAGCCCACAACGTTCCGGATAATATTACGGCACGCGCGGGGCAAGGGACCAATAATTTCCTGTGAGAGTTTCTACCAAAACAGAGTTACGACTTGTCACAAGGCAGTCTCCAAGCACATTACTATGCGGATATCATGTACTAAGAAGATGAAGACCAAAAGAAAAAGAACAAACATAAAAACGGAGTATTGACTTCATAAGCTTCAGTATATATATTAATCATATGAGTATAACGTGATATTATACAAGAGAAAGAAATTTGGTATGAGAAGGCCTCAAGAAAGAAGTGCGTGTCGTCAATATTTGACATCTCGCGATGTTGTTTATTTCCCACGTCCCCGACATATAATAGCACTGGGACTAGGGTACACCACAGTTTCTTGAGCCTGAACTGCCAAAATCCGAATGATCTTCGAACCAGGCATATTCCGAAAGCGTGCAAACCGAGCCTGGATACCCCCTGGCAAGTCTGTCTACCGCCCATGATAAGCACGTTGGATCAATCGAGCAAGCTCGAGCACAAAGAAGTTCCGACGTTGTCTGCCTAAAAACTCTATAGTCACGAGAAACTCCATTATCCCATGTGTTTATCTGGCCATTGCAAGGCTCCAGTTGTGGCTTGAAGAAGTCGGAGGAGCAGCTTCGGGTACCTGCAAGCATGATTCCCTGCCCTTGGGAAGCATCTGCTTGGGGAGTAAAGATATCGGCGAAGTAGTTGGAGAACGTGTTACAGGTTTGCGTAGATCCATCGTACTGCCAAACCTCGCATTGGCCGTCCTTCATGCATAGCTGAGCACATTGAAGCTCGAGCTTGACACTCGGAACTTGCTCAGTCGGGGTTTCTGCAATGTATCCAAAGCCAATATTGTCGTTGCATGAGTCGTAGTTGCGAGGGGAGCAGTTACGGGAACCAATGAGGTTGCTGTCCTCGTTCTTGGGAGTGCCGATAACATCGAAGGTCTCTCAGTAAAGTTGGCAAACTCCCTCGGTCTGGAAGAACCAGGTGTTGCAATCTTGGTCGCTGGAGCACGCTTCCCAACAATCCGCCTCGTTTGCGGCATCGGTAGAGGTGTAACCGCGGTGGGAGGCAGTACCTCGATAGATCTGGTTTCCGCATGGCGTGTCTACGGCAGTGGCCGTACCCTCAGTGGCAATCGAAGTAAGGTCGGTTGTGGATACTTCGATAGTGCCCGAGGACATAGAGAGACTCTCGCTCTGAGCCAAGGGGGCAGACTCGGTAGCCAGTCCCGTCTCGGAGCTGTCGGTCAAGGTACTAGTCCAAGTGACAAGAGATGTGGAGCCAGACATAGCCAGCTCCATTGTCGAAGAAGAAACTGCCCCTGAGGAAGAATGAGGCTTGCAAGGCCCGGCGTTGACAGCCGTGATGCTGATGCCCATCATTGTGGTTACGATCCGCTTCGGATTGAACATGATGGAAATACAGAAAGGAGCGTGGGTATCCAAAGGATAGTGTAAAGAACGACTAGTCTAAAAAAGAAGAAAATAGACAGGAATAAGAGGAAGTCAGGTTTATTTTGTATCAATCTCCAGAATTTATGTGGCTTTGCGGCTGAGAGGTCTGGACCGCGACATGCTATAGGTCCGCTAACCGTCAATAATCAGGAGAACTATTATTAGACCAGAACAAATAAATAGGCATGGCCCGTAGTTGATAATTGCAATGAAGCAATGGTAATTTGTCGGTGACTATCGATATTCCAGATTACAAACAGTCCATCTCTGTACCTAGCCCCACGTTGGACTGTCAGACCCCAATGGCTTGGGCATCCGATCCCAACCAACCTGTACACCCTCAATTGACGCGCTGTGCTTTATCGACTTCATTATGCCGAATGCCGTATTCCCAGTTTCAAAGTATTCTTCAGGGACATCTTCCGGTCTCTTATAATCTTTAGCATCGAAGCCGCTCGAACCAGGATACTGCCCCAGGCTCCTCAAATATTTCATCATGCCTGCCAATGACACGTCTACTCTCCACGAGCCACCTTTAATAGCCCGATGATAGACAGCAGCCATCACTCCGACTGCGAGCATATATCCGCCTGAATGATCCAAAGCTTGGCACGGCAATGGACGAGCAGCCTCTTCTTGCCCCGCATGTTCAGCTTCAGAAACGTTCATCCCAGAACATGTTTGGACCATTGAGTCAAACCCTCGACGGCCTGACCAGGGACCATCAGGGCCGAAAGCTGACATATTGGCCACAATGATATCTGGGTTGATCTTGATCAACTCTTCCTGTGATAAACCGTACGACGCCAGACTTCCAGGCCTGTAACCTTGAACGAACACATCGCAGTCTCGGAGTAAGTCCAGGAGCTTCTTGTGATCATTGGCGTTGTGTATGTCGAGCTGAACCGTCTTTTTTCCGCGACTAAACTCCCGATCGAGGACAGGAAGATCTGGCAAGTTGGGAGAGGTGACCCATATAACGTCAGCGCCGTGGGCTGCGAGGCTCTTACCGCATAAAGGTGCTGCAATAACTCGACTCATTTCAACTACGCGGAGACCTTGGAGGCACTTGGTGTTTTCAGGTTCCATGGCTCTGGGTATGGAGCTGGGCCAAGATTGTGAGACTTGCTTAATGGCGATGGGGAAGTTGCGGACAGCTCTAGACTGTGGAAGCTGTTCCCACTGTTCATATGAACGTAAGGCGTATACAGCGGTCTCTCCCTCTACAGTCGCACAGTTCTCCAAGTCGATAGCAGCCCATTTAGCTGTTTTCTCAGATACTTGCTGTTTGTTTGCACCAATTGGAAGTCTCAATAGCTTGAGCGTACCCTGGACATGGTTGGAGAACGAGTCATGAATGCGAACATAACCATCTGATGTCTTGTGCAATCCACCTATGGTTCCCCGGGCTGGAGTGGGTTGACCATTAATCGTATATAGTCTTTCAGATGTGTACTCGATTGCGGCGTGCTTGAGAGGGACTGTAACTTGAGGAACAGGAATTCTGTTGCGATGGGCGTGAATTTGGGCAGCTGTCAAAGCAGACAGTGCAATAGAGGCTTGTGCTAGAATCCCGATTTTGAATGATGAAGGTAAAGCTGGGCCTTCGACTCCTGGGAGTTTGACTGATGACAGTGCAGCTTCAGGGAGATCAAGACCTATCCAAATATCGTGTACAACATCCCGAGCTGTCATATGTTCACGATTAATAATATCAGAGCCACTGGCATCCTCGGGTTCTGCCATGATTGATAAAATAAATGATTGACGATATTGACCTCAAATTGTTCAAGTTCGGCTATGTTGAAGCCGTAATAAACCCCGCATACCGAGTGATGAACGTTGGGTCGTTGATAGAATGGTAACTACCTCGGCAATATCTCGGTACTCAAATAAATCGACCGACCACCCAGGAATTAACATAACACGAGCAGTCCAAGATGTTTTGTTGAAACAAAATGAATAGCAAATGATTGATGGAATTATTTCGTCACGTATGGAAAACTGATTATTTTGGTCGATGATGCACGGGCCTCGGACGCTCTTTCTGCAACAACTCTTGCCCAAGCTTGGTCTCATCTCCAGGGTGACAGAATAAACCAAAACTCGGACATCAACACCAACAAACTTGAACCAGACCATAATCACTGCGACTGTCCGCACGGCACAAACAGTTTCCATTATGGCCGAAATAAAGCCCGGTTGCCAGTGCGTTAATAGACTGATTGTCGAAAACCCTTGGTTCTGCAAGAATCCTCTCTTTTGGACCGCCCAGCACCTTGAGCTCATCAAGATCCGCTTCCGACGCATCGATGCCCTCCCCGAAATTCGAGAGTATTATGAAGTCAAGGAAGATGACCCTCTTTACCAGTTGGCTCAGAGCTTCGCAAAGAGCATTACTTCTGGATCTAAGAGCGCTGCCTTTGCCAAAATTCTTCATCTAATGGACACCAAACTGTCGCATTTTCCGTATGGGTGCCTTTTTACCTTGCCAATCTATGCTAATTGTCCTGGTGTCTAGCCAAGAAAAAGCCGTCTTCATGTTTGACACCAAAGACGTTCACGTCTCGGACTGTTACATCTACCATTATGGCTCTCCCGCTCTGTGCGAGGTTCCCATCGTTGGCTACTTTCACTACGACGACGTGAAATGGGCGCGCCTCAAGAAAATCCGCCCTCAAAGTAACCCCGGCGACGGCGGAAACCCCCCTATGGCTCGAGTCTGTCGTATCCGACTTCGCAAAGTCATTCCCACTGAGTGGTCCGAGGATCCCTACCTCGTCGGTCTGATTCTATCCCTAGCCCAGTAGCAATGGCGCAAGGAGCGACACCCCTATGTCAGAAACTTTCCTGCACGTGATAACCTTTGTATTTTAAACACTTGAATAACCTTGCTCGTTAGGTTCGACTGCTTGTTTCTACCGAGCACGACCCCATGACCGCCCACGTCTTTACTGCTGACATCGGCCGCAATCAACGATCCCGTCGCAGTGGCGAAATAATTTCCGAAATAGAAAATGGCCGTCCGTAACGCCAATTCCTTCTCTCTGTAAAACATGGCAAGCATATACTGTGCACCAGGAATGAACCCAGCCTCGAAGAACCCAAGCAGAAATCGGGTGGCAAAGAACGTATGCACATTAGTGACCCAAGCTTGTGTCAAGGCGATGGTTCCCCAAATAAGGACTTGGCCTGTCAGCCAGATTGGTGCGCCGAGCTTTTGTAGAATGATGTTGGAAGGAATTTCGGCGATGATGATACCGACCATCATTAGTTGATCTCCGAGGTTGACGTCGTCTTTGGTAATGTTCAGGTCGGTTGTGAGTGTGTCGGTTAGCGCGTTGCTAATGTTGCTACGATCGAGCTGTAACGCATAGAATCCCAGTACTAGAAGAGGCATGAGAATCATGTCCAGTCTTGTAACGTCAGTAGAGGTCGTTGAAACACTGGACATATGAGACTTACTTCCTGACTGCCGCCTTTTCTTCGGCATCTGTCCAAGTAGGTTCGGGAACATTAGACATCGTAGCATTGTCAATGTTATGACCCTCTTTGGAGTCTTGACTAGAGTCAAACTTGAGAGACATGATGTTCTTGCGTCGGACGAGTTGGAATAATTCCAGGAGCTGATGTCGTTGTCAGTCACTGAAGACTTGGTGTCGCCTTTATAACATCCCATCACCACCAAGACGATTCTCAAACTTGATTAGGAATGATAGCTGGACATGTCAGCTCGCCATTGAATGCTTGTATCGCGTATCAGTACCTGAAAGGAAAGATTGCGGGGAGATAGGACTAAAGGGACGCGATGTCTTTAGCCTTCGGAGGTGAGCGTCGGCGATGAGCGAAAATGTGGAGTTTCGGCCGCTTCGCCGATGCTGATCATCTGAACTTGGAGATGTCTCAGCATCCTTCAAAAGAATAATTACCTAAGCGAGCGTCTGCGATTTAAGTCGGATTGAGGATGAGCTTCTGCAATACAATCGTGTGCAGGCAAATCTTTGTGTTGTCTCCCATTATCTTTCTCGAGCCCGCCATCATCAACCATGTCCAAAGATCCATCAAAGCCCAATATCGTGCTCATTCTGGCCGATAATCTTGGCTGGGGTGAGCTTGGCTGCTACGGCGGTGGTCTCCTCCGCGGTGCTGCGACGCCTCGCATCGACAATCTCGCCACAGAAGGTCTTCTCTTGCACAACTTCAATGTCGAGAGTGATTGTGTTCCTACACGTTCAGCCTTAATGACAGGCCGTCATCCCATCCGTACAGGTTGCCGACAATCCGTTCCCGCGGGGTTCCCTCAAGGTCTTACAAATTGGGAGCAAACGCTTCCAGAATGTCTTAAGCCAAAAGGCTATGCAACGGCACATCATGGAAAATGGCACCTCGGTGACATTCCTGGGAGGTACCCTTCTGATCGGGGCTTTGATGAATGGTTCGGAATACCGAGGACAACGGATGAGAGTCAGTTCACTTCGGCATTGGGATACACGCCCGAGGTCGCAGAGCTGCCATATATCATGAAGGGTTGCGCAGGACAAGACTCGGAAAATGTTTGCATCTATGACCTTGAGAAGCGGCGGTCGATTGATGAAATGCTCGTTGATCAGTCAAAAGACTGGCTATCGCGGCAAGTCAAGGCTGAGAACCCTTTTTTCTTGTACCATCCGCTCGTCCATCTCCATTTCCCAACACTGCCGCATCGCGACTTTGAGGGCAAGACTGGTCAAGGAGAATTTGCCGACTCAATGGCTGAGATGGATTACCGAGTTGGCCAGTTGATCGACCATTTGGACGAATTGGGAGTTCGCGACAATACTGTCCTCATTTTTGCTTCGGATAACGGACCGGAGTTCAGACCGCCGTACAAAGGCACTGCTGGGCCATGGTCGGGGACATATCACACAGCCATGGAAGGAAGTCTGAGAGTGCCTTTCATTATTCGCTGGCCAGGCCATGTTCCGAGTGGCGTAACATCCAACGAGATAGTCCACGTTACCGACATATTCGCCACCATTCTCGAAATCGCCAGTGCTGAGGTGCCATCCGATCGTCCAATTGACGGTGTCAGCCAAGTCGCTTTCTTCCAAAATCCAACTTCAGTGAAATCCCAACGCGAAGGGTTCCTGTTTTACATCAAGGACGAACTGCGTGCTGTTAAGTGGAAAGACTGGAAACTCCATTTGGTGTGGGAACCTAAAGTGAATCAGTCGTCTGGGAAGCTTGAGTCGCCGTATCTGTTCAACGTTGTGAGAGATCCAAAGGAGGAGACAGATATCCTGGCTTACAACACTTGGGTCATGCAACCGGTCATGAGGTTAAAAGCGGCATTTGATAAGAGTCTGAAGAGTGATCCTGCACCACCTGATCCTTTGAAGGGTTTGTAGATAGCTGTTAGCAGTGACAAAATAAACATTAATTTCGACACCCGCGGTAGGAAAAACCTGTCTGTATTATTTCTTTTGTCGTAGAACATTTTTAGAAACTAAGTTGGGTCAAATATCCACGGATCCAAACTCGGGGGAGTTGATGTCCACATTGCCGCTGTCCCATTCAAATCCAAGGGTGGTATCGCGTATTGCCCAAAGGTGAAGTCATCAGAAAGCTCAACCGAAAGATTAGTCGTGAGGTCAGACATGGATGCCGCCAGCTCATCAAATCGGTCACGATACACCGCCCCAGGTGAGTATCGTTCGGCCATTCCCCAAAGAACAGTTGAGCACACAGAAACACGACTTTTGAGGGCGCTCACATCAAACACAGACCCTTGTAGCGTTAGACTCTTGATACAATGAACCAATACTGCACCAGACTGGAAGAGGTTGGGTGTTGTCCGCCAATAGAATCTCAGTTTCCCCTCCTTAAATCCTTCCCGATAGAGCTCTATACTCGTCGACGCATACTGGGCCAGATCTCTCAATTCAGATTCCGATAGATCTGGAAAGTGACGGGATGGGGAGAAAAGAGACACAAGCGTCATATACAGAGCGCCGTCAAAGAAGTTCTGGGGTGCGAGTTTTGATCTTGAATCAACAGGCGGAACGGTAGCATGCCACTCGACAAGTCGGTCCTTCATACCCGCCTTCCAAATTTTGTAGTCGAAGAAGGCGCCATTTGCTGGCGGTTTGTAGTTGAGTGTGTGGTATATCTCATACTCCAGCTGGCGGAATCGGATGCAGTGATTCGCCAAAGGGCTGCAAGATTCCGGGCCGCTTGTCGAAGGTAAGGGTGTGAAGACAGCTTCGTCAGGTATTGATCGGGGTCGGTTGAGGATAACACAGAGGTTGGTTTCGAGGATGTATGTTGACCAGAATACCCGCCGTCTCTTGTTCGTTTCAGCGTCAAAGATGACTTCCTCACTGTGAATGCCCGAAAGACGAGTCTCGTTCAACAAATCGAGATCGATAGCCAGTCGTGTTGCCAGACCAATAAAGTGCCATGCCGCAGAAAGATTCGACGCGAAGATTGTGTACTGGACAATGAGAAGGAGGTTCTGTAAATGCTCTAGGTCGCCTTTCCAAGTAGCCTGCGTTCGCTCCGTCAGAATTCCAATAGCAGAGGCAAAAAACGAGTCTGATACTGTTGTCGGAACAGCAGAGTCCATTCTGTTGAGAAGCCTGATACCGATGGCTAACACCATGAAGAGTTGGAATCGCTGGATTGGTTTTCCTTGGTCTACATTCGCTAGATCTTGATACAAGATGGCGACGATATTGTGAAATGACTCTTGATCAAGAATGGGGGAGAAAAAGTTGGAGTGTTCAAAATACGTAGCCGCAAGTTGGATAGTAGTAGACTTGGGCGGGAACTTGGTTCTTTCTGGTACGGTGATAGTACCAAGAAGAGCATGGTAGCCGGAACTTCCTTTATCTTGGATATGGCTCGGTTCTGGTATGAGAAGACTCAGCAAGGTCAAGTCGCTTGACTGTCGGGGTTCGGGGGTCGATTCAGTAGCGTCGTGAGAGATGCGACTCCCGGCAAGAGATTCAGTGTCCACTCCATGGCCCTGCAAAGCGAGCTCAAGCTCAGCGACGCGATACTCAAGGCTTTTGATGTAGCTAGAGGGGCTTCAGTAATTATTTCTCTCCGTGTCCGGTTGCGTTGAACATACCTCCGAGGCGCTGATTGACCGTCGATATCAACGCTTACACAAGGCACGCCCGCACGTGCACACGAAGAGCATGCTGGGATATTTTGATCACAGCGCTGCTTTCTGGATTTACATCTCTGACAGGCCGTCACGTTGGCTCGCCGGACACTGCTTCGTTTGCGAGTTGTAGTGGAAGTATTTTCCATAAGTTTGATGAGAGCAGGTGGAAGAATGGCGGGGGATTGATTAGCGGTCAAGTCCACTAAAGAGCCCTGAGCTGCCAGTCTTTCCCCGCGCTATCAGTGATAAGACTCCAGTAGTGATGGCATCATTCACGCTAACCATTTTCGGTTTCCAGGTCTTAAATCATTCATTTTGTATTACAAGACTTAGACCATCTGCTCATTACTACTTCTACTCCCTCCTAGGCCATAACACGGTATACGGGATATTCATCTCCCACATTAACAGGCAAGATGTTAAATGTAGCATAAGAATCAATGTTCTCAGGCTCAAGAACAACAAAAGCATAAGCCGCAGCAGCTTGCCTGGCAGAAACCCAGAAGCTACCCGCAGGCATGTTGATTTCCTTGCGCTTGGTCTCAGTGGTAACAGTGTTGAGAACTGTTCCATGGTAAACGGTAGTGCCGACGTTGATGCTGGTGACGTTGAGTGCTTCAACTTCGCCCTTGAATTCGGAGCGGAGCTGGTCGACCTTGACACCGACGAGACGAAGACGGTCGGCGGCTTCTTTCCATGCTTGGGGGAAGACGTACGCCTCAGGACGGCTTCGTGTCAAGTTGGCTTTTACGGGTGTTGAGCTGAGAAATTTGATGGGGACCTTGACCAATTTTCCGGTCTCAACCTCGATCATGTCCCAAGTTCGGTTCTCGGGCCTGTAGCTGTCATTGATGATGATGTCTTCATCACTCTCAATAACCTTGCGGCGGGCGCCTTCGATAATCTCGTACACCTCCTCGGCTTTGTCGGCGGCTGTTTGAACAATGGCTTCGATCATAGTCAATCCCGAGACGACACGGCGCTGGAAGTTCTGGCCACCAAGCATGATACCTCTAGTCTCAGTGAGGAACACCATGGCCTGGGTGAGAGCCAAAGACACATCACCAGCACGAGCCTGAGTGTCGAGCTGAGTAAAGACCAACGGCTCAGCGGCGCTACCGACGATGTAAGGGCTCCAACGTAGCTTGCGCTTCTCCATGGCGCCGGCAATTCTAGGCGCAAAAACGGACTCGGAGTACTCGCGGATATCCTTGTGGATGTTGAGGTTCTTCATGGCGTCGAATTGACCGTCTACAGCTTGGTGCCATTGCTGGTTATCACCAAAAGGTCTCGTGGCGCCAAACTCATGAGCGTCAACGGCGATGTGAGGATGGAAATCAGTGATTAAGGCCTTCACGTCACGGGTCTGCTGGCTAGCGAATCGAATGTGATCTCTGTTGGGGTCATATCCAGCGGCAAGGACGCGCTGGAAGTATGCGACACCGTCGGGGTTGTAGCGGGGAAGGATCATGATGTCCATCTTTTCCAAGATCGAGGCTGTCCAGGTAGAGTTGGCATCGAACTTGCCCAGAAGAGCAAGAAGAGCCTGATCACCACCAGGCTCATTTCCATGAACTCCGCCTTGCAGGTAGACCCGCAGTTTCTCTGTCGAGGATGCATTGGCCTTGACCTCAGGCTGAGTTGACGTAGAGAGGTAGACGTAGGGAATTGAGCGTCCTTCGTCAGACTTGAATGGAGGGTTCTTGTACGTCAACCATTCATTGCGAGATGCGAGACTTTGGAGAAAGTATTCTGATCTTGTTAGTCTTTGTGCGATGTGTTGTGTTTCTTGACATACCCATCGTAGCATCACTAGTCGGGCCACTAGTACCGTTCATGAACCCAGCAGGAATGCTCTTGGGGTCAGTGAAAGCAGGCGACTCAAGCTTCACATCGTCGACGTCCTGAAAGTTCTTTGAAGCTTCCTCGCTATCATTTACCACAACCACCTGATTCTTGGCATACGTTTGCTGAGCCGTAGCCAAGCCAACGTACAAGAGGCCAGAGGTGAAAACAGCACGGAGGGACATGTTTACCAAACGAGCGATACAAAGTCTCCTACCACACTAGAGACTCGTTTTGAGGGCTTTTACGACATTTTATAGATCGGCCAAGAGAACGAGACTCATGTTACTACGACTCTTCCCAAGGGAACTTATGAACAGTTGAACTGTCTACCCCGCCGATCAGCAAGGAAGCTTATCATACCAGGGTTGGCTGATGATAAGCTTAAACCGTTTAAAGCAGGTACCTTGACATTAAGCTCCGCAAAGTTGCAATATATGGGCGGGGAATGAGTTGCCAAGGCTTTGAGGATTGGGAATTATTTACCGCTTCTTGTTTCTGACGTCGGTCCTTGATTTAATCCCGGCTGAGTAGGGATTGTCCTAGGAGAGATAAGATAGGGCAATTGGGTTAGCGGGGTTGGGAGTTGAGATTTGCTGAGGTGGCATTGTAGGGTATTTTCACAAACAAATGCGCGATGGTACGGTGACTTTAAAATTGACATAGAAACTGTACACAGGTATCAATTGGCCTTTAAACTTATCTTTCAGTTTCTCTCAATTAATGTCTTGCAGAGAATTTTTACATGCAAAGGATAAGTAACGTTGACCGAGGTATGAGATAAAAATGTTTGGTGTAGAAGAAATGAGTTCAAGAGCAGACACGGCGAAAGTAATGAGACATTGACGCAAACTACTAATATAAAGAGTAATTCTAGGCTCGAAGTTCAACCGATCATCAAGACAACGTGGCCGAGTGGTTAAGGCGATGCCCTGCTATCTCTTACGAGACATCATAGGCATTGTGTTCGCACGCGTAGGTTCGAATCCTGCCGTTGTCGATCCTTTTTTGTTTTTGTTTTTTGCAGTTCTCAATCTCAATCAGATACCACATCCTGATTGATGTTTCTTTCATTTTAGGAATTGATCTGGTACTTCGTCTTGCAACGCTGAACTCGTCTTTTGGATCGGCATCTTATCCCGCTCCACCTAGTTACAACATTCCCTATCTACCCAACTAGATTGAAGACAAAGGCCACCAAGACGGTAGTATAGACAGTATGTCAGTATCAAACTTCGAATCTGGCGAGGAAACCTTACTTAGCAGCTGCGACCGTCAGCTCGACAACCTTGCCTCTGGTAAAAAAGCTCAGTAGCATGAGAAATACACGTCGAGGTGAACATTATACTAAGCCGTACGTTGACGCTACTAATGCGGTTGCAGATAACAATTGGCATCATCACGACTGTTATGATCAGAAGCGTAATCAGAATGCGGGTGACTGATGTAATCCATTGCCTTGAATGTAGATGCACCCGTTTGTCGTTAGAAGCACAAGACCGACCATACTACCGTACCAATGTTATATAGATATCAAGACAGTCCTTGGAAGAAACTCACTTTTGTAATTTTTAATATCTTGCCAGTAATTTTTGTCCCCAGAATTTGGATGAGATTGTCGTTTGGAGTCGATAAGCAAAGTAAATCCTCTTCTTGGCCCAGAAATTCAAATTCTTGACGGCAAATGCACGCATTGGCCATATTCCAGTTACGAAGACTTTGGATATCTCGAGTATGCGCTGCTTGAAGCTAGGACATGCGGAGATGCCTTCCCACGAGTTGATCTTACGTCATGTTAGCATGTAATCTGGACCGAGGAGACGTGATTCACACATGCCATAAGACTCTAGAGCTTCCTGTAGCTCTAACAACAACTTTCGTCGTTCCTCATTCTTATCTCGACGTACACTGGCCAGAACTAAAGGCGATTCTTCGTTCTTGTCAATATCATCCAGTTTTTCTTCCAGCTGTGTCACACGGTCCTGACCTAAGAGCAAGAGGTGCCTTCTTACGTTGGAGAATCGTCTCAAGATGTGGAAGGTTTCATGTGTGGCCATGAGAGCTGAGAACCGTGAATATCCCTTAGACTAGTCCTCCACTGAATCGATTAGCTTTTATTATCTTGATTCATCTTTTCTTATACCTACCGGTCTTTCTGATTTGGCTTTTAAGCACATTTGGACTTTTCTGTTCAGGACTCCTGTTTAGCAGATCAGCAAACCAAGTATAGGCTGATGTGAACCACTCGGCTCTGTTACCCTAGTGAATAGTCGGCTTATCAAAAAACTCCTGTTTGAGGTGAAACGACAGAGCATTGCCCTCCCTACAGTATTTTATCCTTTCAAAAACGGATTACTTCAAGTGATGAAGGCATTCTGGAATCAATGACCGAGCCCAACCGAAAGGAATTAGAACCCTTTGTGGATTATCGAAGGTTCTATTTGCGAAGACGGTATGTATCTTGACTTCTTTGTTCCTTTGCTCTTTTCTCAAAGGTTGGCTGCTGTCGTGCAGCTCAGTGCACCGCCATTCATGGTCGTCAGCCATGGATCTAGGCAAAAAAGAGAGCGGATGAACCGCGCTCGGCTTTGAGATCTGGCTCATATGACGTGAAGATTCTATTTAAATGGCTACAGAGGGTGGTTTTTCTTATTCCTTGTTTGAAGGCACTAGGGTTCGATCGTCCAGTGTGGTGGATTCCAACTGGGGGCCTCAGTCAATTTACTTTACTTGCGGCAGGCATTTACGAAGGCGACTCAACAGAAACAGTCCTGCACTGCGTCATGTCATCTTGCGCTGTTTCTACCAACGCCTTGCAGCATGGTAGACGCCTTCGACCTCGACTAACAAGTGGTATCTCTGAATCAAGGAACGCACTTTTAGTTTCAATGCGGAGTACCTCTGGGATGATCTAAGATTTGCAGAAGAGGAAGTCAACACTCTCGATGATTTTTGTCCACGGATGGGGTTAGATCCAGTCACGCCAAAATGCACGAGGATGGATGTCATCCAACAGATGGACAGATGCCATATCTTTCACTTTGCCGACCATAGGAATTCTCACCCAAATGACCGTCCAAGAGCCTGTTATTGCTGAAGGACTGGCACACGGAGCCTCTGACGGTAGGAGACCTTCGAGAAACAAAGCTTTAGAACCACCCACCATTCTTGAGTTATCTATGAGCTTACTCAACTGGATCGAACCAAAAGACCAAATTACTTGACGAAGGCGTCCATATTGTGGGTGCATTCCAACTTGCGGGATTCAGACACGTCGTCGGTACCCTCTGGGCTATATCGGATAGAAATTCAGCTGATGTAGCACGGAGCTTTTATGGGGTTTTGAAGCGTGAAGGCATGACGGATAGAGCTGTCTGCCAGTGGGTTCATGAAGCATTGCGCATTTTGCGGAAGCAACAGGCTGGGGAAACATATGGCTCACGGGCGTTTAAATGGCCAACACAGGGGAAGACGGTGCAAAGTTGGGGTGATCAAACATGGATCCCATATGTTCATTTCGGCGTATAGATATACCTTGTTATAATCGCATAATTTTGAGCACTTTGCTAATTTGCCATTATACTGTGCTGTCTGTAGACTGATGGGCTCTTGTAAACCTTGGCATGTGTAAGTTCATAAGTAAACTACTACGTTGGTTGAAGTCAATCGTTAGCAAGAGCTACTTGGCAATTATCAACTACGACGACATGGGCTGCCTGTAGTTTATTCACGATTATGGATTAAAAGCACAAATAAGTGAAACTCCTGTCCCTCCAATTCAAGCTTCAAGGTCCGTTTGAAGACTCTTCGGGTTACTGTGAAGGGAAGATGGATGTGAAGTGATAAGGGTATGAAAGTGACATATGGTAACTCAAAAGTATACTTAGCTGTTCATAAGTCCATCCATTTTTCTTTACTCTTCATTCATTATCGTATCAAAGCCTTTCTTCTGTTACCTAACAATAAGAACAGCAAATCGTTTGTCCCTACAAAATGAATCTCTTCGTTGTTTAGGATGGACAATGGGATGAGTTAACCAACCCAGAGAACAATCACATCCATTATATAAAGTCAAGACTTTTGCATCTCAGTCTCATCTTCTCATACCCTTCATCAACTACGAAGAAATTAAGGTACGTCCTCATCTTCACAAACAGCTAACTCGACCTACAAGTTCTTTCGCATCCTAAACCTCTCTTTCCGAAAACTATTCATCATGTCTTCTTCCTCCGATTTTTATGTGGGTGACACATCCATCGACATGCTGACTATGAAGCTATATCTTGTAGCGGAGAAGCTGGACAAGCAAGAACAAGAGCTCACTGTGCTGGTCGCAGATGTTCGGAAGAAGCTTTCCGGCGACATTTCAAATGCTAAGCGTGAGCGATTGGAGAACAAAGCTAGTGCATTCTGTCAGCGTATTCGAACTATGCAGCGCGAGTACAACGGTCTTTGGGATCGTTGGTTGAAGATGATGCAGGTTGAGAACGTGGATGCTGGAAAGTTGGAGCTTGAGATGAAGAATGAGGAGATGAGGCTTGAGCAGGAGGAGCGATGGGAGACGCTTGAGAGGTCTGGTGACTACTTCAAGACTCGCTGGGGTTAATTTGCAGTTGAATCAGGGTGCTCAAGACAGTGGGGTTAATGGTAGGTGTTGGTTCGGCATGCTGGTTGTGTTGAGATCGACACCTAAGAGGTAGAATGAGAGGGAGGTGTTACCATCACATCAATAAGATTTCATTTTGGATTGATTCTATGATTTATTTGTAAACGTACGTTTCCTATTTCTTTGTTGGGTTACCACTGATTGTTTGTCCAAGTCAACTATTCCCACATCGAAGGAGAATTCACACCTGTATGTTGTATTGAGTATACCTCAGAGTATCAGAAATTTTGGCCACCAGGAACATAAGAGACTAAATTAGCAAGCTAGTTTATGTTACTGAGATCAGTCTTCTTGGGCTATTTATTCTAATACTCTAAATCTTGGAGGCCAACTTCCATCAACCCTTGCGCTGCAGTGTTGTGCTGTGTCATAAACTAGAAGAGAACAGAAGGATCAGATCTAACCTAACATCTCGTAAACAGCCTTGACCTCTGGAACCTTGGCCTCAAACTCTTCTCTCGTCTCCTCCCAAACACGCTTCTGAGCAGCATGACCACTTTTACGCTCCATGAAAGGAGGATACCTGTTTTTCAGTCAGCGCCGTCTTTATTTCTTGTGTCGCAGAACTTACGAAGTAGTGTCGAAATCTTGCATAATCTTTCCATGCGCATCCTCAGATGCTGAGACACCATTAACAAGAGCAGCAGCACAAATCTCCGGTGCTCTCGATCCAAAGTTCTGAATTAGTCTCGGGATGAGCTGGTCCTGGTTCGGTGCAGTAAGAGGCGTCCATGCAGATCCGGGGTCGGCACTGTTGATGGTCACTTTGTGAGGAAGCTTCGAGACACGCTCGGCGAGTTCGCGGGTGAAGTAAAGCAGCAGGGCTTTGGAACGACCATACTGGTGAGCTTGCTGCATGCCGTCTTTGTTGTTGCTAAGCATCTTGAGATAGTTGCCACTCTTGGGCATGCCCATGGTGAATGAAGAGGGGTAGATGCCGAAGGATGTGACAAAGGTCATGACGGGAGGGTTGGGGTTGGAAGAGCATGCTTTGAGAAGGGATAGAAGTAGGAGTCCGAGAAGAGCACCAGAGAGGTAGTTGATTTGGATAGCTATAGATGTGTTAGAAACTCTTCAATAATAATGCGAGGCAGGTGGATACTCACAGGTTTCCCAACCTTCAGGTGACACGCGACGGTTAAAAGACAAGATACCCATCGTCATCAAGACATGGTCAAGCGTCTTCAGTTCCTGTGCCTTTCTCGCAACATCTTGACATCCCGAGAAACTCATCAGATCAGCCTGCCAGACCAAAATGGTAGGCTTTGCTTTGCCCGCAGCAGTCAATTCCTTCTCAATCTCCTGCTTCAGCTCCCTACAGTCCCTGACGTCAACAAGAACAAGCGTGTCAACATCTCGATGCGCAAAGAGCTTGGCAACCCTCGATCCAAAAGCACCGCTGGCACCAGTGATGAGCACAGTTCGCCCCTCGTATGATTTTGTTGTAACGGTAGGTCTTCCGTGACGCTGTTTATACAACGATTGCCAGGGAAAGTACTCGCGCAGGAACAACGGGATGCCGTAGGTCAGGAGCACGACGATGAGCGTTGCTACACCTGCGTAAACGCCCAGATTGGCCATTTTGGTTGATGTGTGAGAGAGATGTGGTTATTTCATGCGATGTTGAAAGTGAAGGGGTTGAGGAGATGTTAATAAGTGGTCTCAACTGATCGTACGTTTGCGGGGCAAGGGGCGTAGGTGAGTGAACACGGAGCGGAGAATTGTTTTGCCCTTGTACACCGACTTTGTCTAATTGCAGAAGGCTGAGACATATTGACTGACCTGAATATTTAATTAAGACATCAAAAAACAGCTGATTTGTTGCGAGATTGATAAGATCATGTTTGGATCGTCGGGAGTGGTCCTATTTTTTGAGTTCGGCTGATGGAGTATTCGTATTCGCTTAGAAACCACCGGATCTCCCCGGCGAAATATAAATAAAATGTATACAGAACACTAACAATAATGAGTGATATCGAATCGCAAATAATAGTCCAATGTTTCAATTCCGTAATGCTTGACAACTTGTGGGCGGTAATCTTATTATCAAAAGTCAAAGATGAAAGTATAGACCAGTAGTAACATGAACTCAATTACTAGCTGCCTGTGAGCAAGCCCTGATCACAAAAACGACACTGCTTTATAATGCTTGTAAAGCTCATGAGAAGTAGCACAATACTGTGATGAGGTTGGAGTTGCACACGAAGTTTTCACACAAAAGTAAAGCCGTAGCCGAGTTCGGGCCGACATCGGACTTTATCGCAATTGAGAACACTGAGTCTGAGAAAACTTGTACATCTATGAACCCGGGAGGGCAAAGAAATCTGTAGTCTAAATATGGTTATATAACAGAGTTTAGTGTCCGTTGACACCGTTTGTTCCATTTGTTCCATTGAGCTCATGACCATTTGCTCGGACATCGTGGATGGCCTTGGCAACGTAGTTGACATTTCTCTTGTTCACTGCCGTGGTGTCAGCTTCATCAAATCACCAAGACAAATGCGTCATAGAAACTTACATCCAGAGATGGAGATACGTCCTGACTTGAGGAGGTAAATGTGGAAGCGCTCCCGGAGGACCTTGACTTCAAAGGGGGTCAAGCCAGTGTATGAGAACATGCCAATCTACAACTCAATTAGCCTTGTTTTCAACTTTGTTTCAAATATCACTTACCTGGTCAACGATATGGTTCCAAGTACCAGGAGTCTCCAATCGCACCAGCTCATCATACAGAGCCTGTCGCATGCTCTTGATACGGCTGCTCATGACTTGCAAATCAGCCATCCAAGCAGCAGTCAACTCCTCACTTTCCAAAACCGTCTTGACAATCGTAGAACCGTACTTGGGAGCCATAGAGATCTCGGATCGCAAAAGGTAAGAAAGGGTGGAGTAAGCGTTGTCCCTGATCTCCTTGGAAGGCTCCGCGAGCACAAGATGGATAGCTCCTGTTCTGTGACCGTAAAGACCAAAGTTCTTGGAGAAGGATTGCGCAACTATCATGTCAGGCCGTGGCTGCTGCTGATAGAAGTAGCGGATCGCCCATGCGTCTTCTGCGGGACTGCCGGATGCAAAGCCTTGGTATGCAGCGTCGAAAAAGGGGAACAGTTGCTTTCGCTGGCAGACCTCTGCAATGATCTTCCACTGCTCCCTTGTAGGATCCAGACCGGTAGGATTGTGTGCACATGCGTGTAGCAGGACAGCGTCACGTGGTTGAGCCTCCTCCTCCAGAGTCTTGATCATACCTTCAAAGTCCAACGAACAATCCGACTTCTTGTAGTAGGGATACAACTTGGGCTTCATTCCAACAGACTCCCAGATCATATGATGATTGGCCCATGTGGGATCACTGACCCAAATTGATTGCGGTCGAAGGTAATCCGCAACAAAACGAGCACCGATGTGGTTGGCTCCGGTTCCGGAGACGGTCTGCACAGAGGCGATGCTCAAATCATCCTGATGGGCAAAGACAAGTTCTCTTGCAACCTTGAGGAATTGCTGATCGCCTTCAATGGGAAGGTAATCGTGTCGAGTCAAACTAGCCTCCTCAAAGAGATCCTTCTCCACGCGGGTGACAACGTCGAGAGGCCAGGATTTGCCTTCATCGGTACAGTAGACGCCGACACCGAGATTGACACGATCAGGGTTAGAGTCTGCTCGGTAAGCACCGAGAAGATCAAAGATCTCGTCTGTGGGCTGAGATGGTAACGAAGAGAAGCACGACATGGTGGCAGTGAATCGGTAGATTGATAGATGAATGAGTGAGTGAGGGCGGTGGACAGAGAGATCGGTCAGTGTGTCATGGGTTCGGTGCGAAGTGGTCCGGGAAAGTGGGTATTTTAGTTTTGCGATCCGCCTTTCAGGGTAGGGCTAGTGTGTCTGGTCAAGCCATTGTCTTCAGCCACTATGAGTAAGGACAATAAGATGTTGTTTTAGATGAACGCCATGGAACAAGCATTTCGATTTTGTTTTGGATGGTGTTATTGTTCAATGGTGGCATTGAGCAGTGGCTCAAGTAGTACGATGGTACGTATGAAGAACAACGTCACGACGCAACCAAGTTGGACATACCAAAGTTAATGCGGACACAGACATGCCAGTTGTTCAACAATAAAGAAGACATTCAAACCTTAGACTCACTCTCTTTCTATCCTGGTTGGTGTTTTCTATCCAAGCTGCAGCGATAATTTTCCGACGTTGCATTGTAGAGTTACCATTGGCTCTAATGATGGCGATCACCCAATTCGAGGCTGAGTAGCCGAGACGGGAATCACCAGCGAGACAGGGCAAGGATAAAACATTCCGACAGATTATTGGGCCCGATTTTCCTACAGGATACCAAAACAGGGGCTGATTTCTACATAATCCTTTGTCTCCATAGCCATCGAATAACTTCTCGTCAGTGGCAGCTTGTTTTTAAGTGAATGCAGACTTTATCCACTAAAACCATGGCAGGCCTCGGTTGTTGGCATGGCGGATGATGGATATTCCGCTACAGTTACATAATGAAACGCTGCACTTCGCCACGCGGACAAGTCCGACCCATGTTCTCTAGTGTGAGAAGATCATTGAACATCATATCGATATGATCTTGAAAACCCATCTAATAGTCACACTAGCAGCAATGATTTCATAATTCAATGAACCCAGTCATCTCTAACTCTTGTTCTGACTTGAATTGACACAATATCTGCTCATATTCTATCATCCTTCGGCCTCGTTCTCGAAAAATCCCAAGTTTCATACTTCACGCTAACCAACACAGCCAAGATCGGACCGACACTTTAGGCTAAGCGCCAAAACAAACTTACTTCGCCACAGAGAAACAGAACCTGAACTGCAAGGCACCAAAAATCTCTTTTTCTCCTTGTCCTGTTTCCACCTCCTAATCTCCCAAAGCAGATCCAACAAGCGAGACAAATCCCAGGCCCCATTCATTCCTTTCTCAATGACGACGATCGTAAAGAAGTGGTAATGGTCATTCACTGTCTTTTCTTTTAAAAAATAATAACACAAATGCACTCATTATTATTGCGCCTTGTCTTGTTCACCGTATTCCTTCTTTTCACCCACAACACTGAGGCGGCGCATCTTCAGTTCCAAGACTGCCAGGGTCGACCACCACCCAATACTATCCTGTTTGAAGATCACTTCGTACCAAATACACTCCACGGTTTTCTGGAAAAGCAAAAAAATGAGACATATCTCAGTTTTCAGCTCCTAGCCAATTTTCAGACGTCGGCGGCTTGTGAGCGTGCCTTGGTCGACAATGCATCTGTCGAATTGAGTTTAGGGGCTGTTGGTGGCACGAGGCGTTATAACAGCGACCATCAGAACGTGACCTGCGAGACAAAGAAGTACAAGCAGAACAACCTAGAAGTTCATCTGCAGGTTTTCGATGTTCTGTTCAAGATTGATGATCCTACGCCGCTGGCGGCTTATACAGTGGAACTCAACATCGATGGCCCGGAGCATTTCTCAGTCGCTTGTCTAAGATCTTTCATCACACCAGATATTGGTTCAACTTTCCAGGGTATCTCGTCTTGGGGACCGGTCTTGATCTTTATTCTGGTCATTCTCGTTGCTGGATGGCGAGAGTGGTATAATTTGGTGCATCCGCTTGGCGACGACGAGGAAAACGGCCCAGAAAGAAGCCCAGACAGGTCTCACTTGACGAGAATTGCCGATTGTCTTACATACCTCCAGTTCATCTTCTTCTCGAGCGCTCTCACTCTCTATCAGCCCGGGTTCCTACAACCGGTTGTTACAGGTATCAGCTGGTCGACTCTCATGCTGCGCAAGGGAATTGTATGGAGGGAAGCACATTACTACGGTATTCATGATGGCATCCACGAGATCAACGGCACTTTTGGCGGAACCACAGGCCTTGAGCATATGACCCAGGTCATGGCTGCACCCGTTACAGTTCACACATGGGCAAATATCGCCGGCCTTGCCTTTGTCATTCTCATTGGTCTTTACGGCATCCTTCAGATCGGTCTGCATGTGAGATGGACACGAGATTGGTTTAATCGGTCCGGGACTTTGACTCTTGAGAGTTCCACGCTTGAGCGACAGAAGGCCACTGTATGGGTTGCTTTGAGGGTGTTTCTCAGCTACCTCCTGTTCCCATTGACCGCTTGGACGACGTACCAACTCGACAGCGCGAGCGCACGACCGGTATACTACATCTTTCTCGTGATTTCGGTTGTCGCCCTTCTCATCATTGCAAGCTGGTGGGGATTAGCATCGAGAAGTCCGCAGAATATGGGTTATCTACTCATCGACGACATTCACAAGCAAGATACCGATGAAGAGCCTTCTCGCACACAAGACTACTATACTTTCGTTACTTTCACACTCCTGTTCGCACGCGGTGTTATAGTGGGTGGATTACAGCGTTTTGGCACAGCACAAGTGTTTTCTCTAATTACATGCGAACTCATCCAACTTTGCTTTCTAGCATGGGTTAGAGCGGCGCCTGGGTTGCTCTCTAAGCCCTTCATCATGGCTGGCGCACGACTCACTATTCTACTTCTCTGCTTGGGAATGATTCCTGACATTTGGAGTCATACTGCAGCGAGTGTGCTCGGCTATATCATCCTAATCTTCCACACCATCTTTATCGTTAGCATGTTTTTTGTTCCTTCGGCGTTGGAATTTGGACGACTTGCTGGTGCTAGCTATCGCGAATGGAAGAATACTCCACCTCCAGAGTCCTCGCGAGAACGGCCCCAGGTATGTCATCTCATCTTTTTTCCATGGTGATATCGGCTGTATTAACATTGCTACAGGTCTATGGTCTTCGACAACTGAGGAGACGTCCCACAAATAGAACAAACCTCTCTGAAAGAGGCATAGTCGACTACAGGAGCAGTTTGTCGTCTTCGGAACATTCTTCCACCACCAACTCATCATCAAACACATCAAACCGAGACTCATTAAACCGAGACTCGGATCCCGTATCACCTGAACTTCTCCGCACATACTTCCGCTCTCCAAGGCCTGAGCGATCTATATCGAGTCTCTCCGAAAGGAACCAACAATTTCTGTCGTTCGAAATCGCACGGCCCAAACGATCTATCTCGAACCACTCAGAGAGGAATCCTCGGTCAACATCTAGCCTGTCTAACAGAAGTCGACGGTTCCCATCACTCGACAGGCCAGAGACTGTCTACGAAAATCCTCAGGAGAGGACTTCCGAAGGGTCTAGTAGAAGTGAGGATAGTGGTGAGTCGGCAGAACTTCCGTCGCCGTGGGAGATGGTGTTGCCTTTGGCCACGGATGTGGATTATTCAGTGCGAGAGATTGATAGATACTACGTCAGACCGAGACGAGTGTCATTTGGGAATTCTGGTGATTATTCTGATGGGTCGGCTGGTCAGGCTTCAGGATGGATAAATAAGCTCAGGTTCTGGTCATGATGATATTTCTACTATATAGAAGTATATACTAATGATGGGAGCAATCCTATAATAATGAATTAACACTATACAAGTCTGGTTTTGAACACATTTATCAATCTTTCATGAGACAGACATCTCTTTACTCTCCTCATTCAACTAGTTATTTACAACATAAAGACAAAGTGGTGTTCAATGAAGCGAGCGTGAAGATGAAACGACTTGACAAGCTCTAGGCTTTCGTTTGCGACGACTTGGCCTGGTATGACAACAGCTCACATGGCTCCAATGTTGACTGGGTTTGGAAATGTACCAACGTAAATTATTAAACAGTATATCTAATCATAACAAGTTCGTAAAAATCACTCCTGGTGATCAGAGATCAAACCGCCAACGCCTGCTATTCTCCTTGACAAACCATCTCGTAACAAAGGCACCCTCCTCAGCCCACTCGGCCATTTCTCGTCCGTATTTTTCATCAACACCATGTATAAAAGCAGTAAAATCCAAACTCTGCACTGAATCATGTTCGTGCGGATCTTTTGAAAGATCTGTTAGTCTCCAATCCACATTCTCGATAACTGGTACCACAAGGTGACGATCCGGATACCGCGCGTCTCGGACGGTAAGCATAGCCCGTCCGGGGTTGGTCACGGTGAATTGCCACTGGCCTTGACCTGTGACATTGTTGTTGGTGATAAGAGGTCGAAGGAGTGATTGGCCTTCGTAATTGCCGATCAGGTCTGTTGCAACCTTGCGGCTTGTTTCGCTGAGTGAACCAGATTCGAGAAGAATGTCCAGAATGGTGGGGAGGATTTGTGTGGAGTGAACGGCTTCGTCGACGTTGAAGGGGGGTAATTGTGGGTGTGAGAGGATCATGGGGACGTGGTCGACGCCGATGTTTGGGTTGTAGTATGGTGATGCGTAGTCGTTCTCTGGTAGTGATGTTCCGTGGTCGCCCTGGAAAATGACCAGCGTCTCGTTGGCAATGCCCTGCTTGTCCAAGACATTAAGGACCTTTCGAATCCACTTGTCATCATATCCAATCGTATTGACGTAGCGGGACATCATATCTAGACCCTTGGCTAAAGGCGTATAAGGCTCGGTCTTGGGCATGTGGAATCGGTGGTGGCTGGTACTCGTGAGATGTGTGAGGAATACGCGGCTGTTGTCCTTTACCGCGTCCTCGAAGATATCGGTGATATAGTCCTCCAACGGGTCCTCTTCAAAAGCGAACTCGTTGATGTTAGGCAATGTAACGGGGCCATGCTTCGCAAGATCACTACGAAGATATTCTCGTCCAATCGTGTGGTCTATTGGGAAACCCATGGCTCCCATCAAGTTCATCTGATTATCATAGTCGAGAGTCGCAGCCTGGAAGAAATACGAGTTCCACTTGTCCTCCTTCGTTTTCTCAGAGTCCTTGGTCTCTGCGATGTTCATAGCGTTGAAGATTTGCGGCAAACAAGGCTGATATAGGTGATGGCTGTGTTCGAGGTTGAAGTCTGCAACCAGAGGAGAAATACCGCAGACTGTAGCAGTCATGCTCTTGAGAGTGTAGGTTCCGGCTGTGTGTGCGTTGGTGAAGTGAATTCCTCCCCGCTTAGGCTTATCAGCGTGCTCAAATCCGTCCTCGTAGTCGCCTGTGATAAAGTTCGCTGTTGGTGTCAAACTGGCCAATTTATCTTGAACATCCTGCGGCAGTTTCTTGTCGGGAAATGTGTCGGCGAATCGATTCCAGATTAGACCGTCCTTCTTGATAGGGAAAACATCGTTTCTGGTGCTTTCCAAGAAAAACATGACGACGTGTCGAATATTGATGTCCTTCAGCTTGCCTTGTAGAGACTCGCGGAGAGGCTCCTCCAGATTTGAGATCTTCAATGGGTCGGATTTGGCGCTATATCGAGGCTGTTTGCTATACCAATCGCGGAAACCAGAAGGCTCCTCGGCCGGAACAACAGGTGTGCCTTTGGGGAGCCAGTCCAAAGGAGCGGGATTAGCAAGAGCAGTGATATCGTCCCAGGATCGTTGCAGTCCTTTGCCGAAAACTGAGGGGAGGTCGTCGAGGAATGGTGATGTTGAGGCAAAGTCAACAAAAGGTAAAAGCCCAGTGGTCCAAGAGAGGAAGATAAGAGAAGGATCCTTGGGTCGTAAAATCGTGAGCGTGAAAAGAGCCGTTAATAAAATGGTAACGATAGGATACGGCAGAAAGCGAAGGAAGCGCATGCATTTTGAGCGCTTCGATGAAGTACCTCCCGTGGGGAAGCTTGATCGTCGTGTTGTAATCGTCGGCGATCTGGTTTTCTCCTTGTACTCGTCCTCTGAGTAGTCACCATGACTCGATCCGCTCTCGCTGCCCTCATTCCACTGAGGTAGAGAGTCTCGTTGAGGAAGTTGATCATAAGCCTTTCTGCCATTCGCGAAAAACCCAAGCTTACGCCAGATGAAAGTGAAGGGAAAGTTGATGATATCACCGCCCCAGCCAAACAATCCATAACAAGCACTCTGAAGCACACCACTCAAACAAAGACAAAGCACCAATACTCCCAAGAACGCTGTGAGACCTGACATCATGATTGCTCTAGCTGAAGGGTCGGCGATGAACCCGATGTTGCGCCAGCGAATTTCCGAACCAGCAACCAGATAGAAAGATACCGAGACAAGGCCGAGTGCGGCATTGTAGGCTATCAAACAGCTCGCAAGTGCTGTGATGCAGAATCGTAGCTTACCGGGGAAGCTTGGGGTCCAGTGACTGAGAAGGAGTCGGATGAAGAGAAGAAGAAGGATGTCTTGCGTGAAGAAAGAGAAAAAGAAGAGAATCATGCGCTTGGGCGCTACGGAGGATCTATGGTTGTCGAGATGCACGCCTTTTGCGGCGCATACTGCTAATGTGACGAGAGCAAAGGCGAAGCGTCGGTTGGCGAGTCGTGAGGTGAGCACTGAGCTCATCTTCTTGAAGGAAACCATCTTGAACCTCGAAGAAAAAAAGGAAAGGATGTTCAAGGTTGGAAGAATCGAAGAAAGGAAGGATTCCACCAGAAGGGATGGAGGGTGGTAGTGCGAGCAAGCAAACGGGCGTTTGCTCGGCCCTGTGGATTCGGTGATCTCCCTGTTACACCGTGATCACGATAAGTACATGATTATCGGGACCTGTGACTACAAATGGGGTAGTATTGGTATGAGCCGGACACAAACACAAGAAGAGAGGGAAACAAGAGGGAAAGCTAGTCGCGTGTAGGGGGACCTGCTGGACCTTTCATAAATATCGCTCATGGGCTATTAGTTAAGGCTTGTGCCGCACCGAACGCCTCCAAGTCCAAGGGTCCAACTTTTGTCTCGACTAACGGCTAACGGATATTATTCTCGACGATCTAGAACCTGGCAAGGGGTGGGGGGACCCATTATCCGTTTTCTCGTTGTTGAGCCTATCGTGGTTGGGTCTGAGCATGTTTCGAGAGTCCGCCGCCACATTTTACAAAAGGATTAGCGGTTTTTTATCTTTATTGCGCCATATCCTAATCCCGCAGGTCTTCGACATCGACCAGAAGAGAGCTGATGGATGCATAGAGGCATAGTCTAGACTGTCAAAGCTGTCACTGACTGGACTGCGCCTCTGTTGGTTGTTGGCACCAAAGATCCATTTTCGTTTACCGTACATCGTCTGACGAGGTCCCCTTGTTTGTGGAGCAACGCAATCTCGAACTGGTTGCTTCATTACGGCTCAACCAACCAATACCCTAGTAACAAGGAAACCCCGGACAAAAGACTTGGCTCTAAGAAGCTTAACCCAAGTCTCCTGACAGGGTTGCGCAACATTCAAGTTCTCCACTGTTTCCCCGTAGATGCCCCTGAGAGACTTGAGAGGGTGGAAAATTCAGGGTTCTTTTACGCCTCTAGTTAGACCGGGGCGGTTAACCGGCTTGGGCTTAGGGATTGTTGGGGTTCAGGGAGTGACAGTGTCCCGCTGAACAAATTGGAAGAAAGCTTGTTCTTTGAGGAACTGTTGCAGTTGCATAAATAGTGTCGTAAACTTTGAGTTTGTTTCTCTGTTGTAATTGTTTACGAGATGGCGCCCGCTTTTCTCGGCAATTCGGATTGAGGCAGTGTTTTTGGGTCTCATTGTGTGTCGTATCAACGGCAAAGTGTATCCGTGAACTGGAGCACTGTATGTTGTATCCTGTTGTATCCATACGGCTGTAATGAATTATGGATCAATATTTGTGAAGGTTGGTTACTCAACAGATAACAGATGATCACAATGCAACCACCTATCGAGATTAAATTGTGTCGGTCTCCTGTCTGGGATAATGCGAAAAATGGGGAAATTTAACCGCTCGGATATCCACAGCATGTCACCGGTTACAGCCAGCCCTTTTCATTATCGCCGAAGACCCTGGTTAATTTCGCATTTCCTCTCGTAATTTTGCTGACATGTCATTGTCTGAGAACTGCCTACCCTATGGCATGGAACTTGCTTCATTCTCTCTGTCGACTTTCCACCAAACAATAAGATAACAACAAGATAGTTATCTTACAGACATTTCACCTCCATTCTTTATTTTGCTGATCTCGTGATCCTTGCAGAAAGTCGCGAAATAAAGATGGTCCATTGTCAACTGACTCGCAATGGTGCCGGCCGGATTGATCAGCTGACTGCGCTAGACCCCGTTTAATCACAGTGATTTATCCTGGTAAGGCTGACCTTTTCATGAGACATGACTTTTACTATCGTCTCTACCAAATCACGGACTGTTCTTCCCAATGAAGCTGCAAAGTTCTCGTAATTTAGACGGTTGGGACAAGTTGTTCCGCCGCACGTAGGATCAAAACGAACACTATTAGATTTCGATGACTGGATATCTCGGTGAAGTAGTTTGATCAACGACTGCATGCCCGTCTAACAGGTTGAAGCTCTCGGTCTGTAATTCGAGCTGGCCTTGACATCAAACATTCGTTCGGGCGAATGGTTTAGTGGTATAATACTCCCTTAGCATAATTCATTCGAATAATCTGGGAGTGGTCCAGGGTTCGATTCCCTGTTCGTCCAACATAGGTGGTTTAACTCCACTATTATCCTCTCTTTTTGTCTTTCATCCAATTTTTGCTTAACCAAATCTTATTCGATACACCTGAGGCGTAAGTTACAATTATATCCGGATCCAAACTTATCTTCGCCTATCATCTTCAAGACCAAACAATAGTGGCACCCTTCTCATGTGATTCCCTGGCCAGCTCAATGACTCTCAAGACATCCCTCGATTGAGTAGGCTTGACAACCAATTCGGCCTTGCCATTGATCGCATCCGCAACGTTCTCGTAGATTCCAATCCACCGACTTGGAAGAGTAGGGTATCTACCCGTGTACTTCTTTGTCTCCGGATCCCATTTCTGCACTTTACTGTCGAATTCTTCATATGTGGTCAGAGTTCCCTGCATGCTCTCATACTCAATGCCGAACCCTTCATCGAGCGGTTTGAGACCTGCTGCGATGTTGTCTTCTGTTATGCAGGTGCTGCGTTGTTGAAACTGGGAAATATCAGTTGATGTACCATTAATTGCAGTAGGTGTAGCTGACCTTGATGAAAGAACCTTTCGTTCCTCGTACAAGCTGTTTAAGCTGCTGCGCCATAGGTGTGACCACCGATGTCTTGACTGTGACGAGAAGATCCTTCTGCGCGCCGTCGTATTGGAGAATAATCGTGAAAGAGTCCTCAACCTCACTTTCGCCATCACGTTGGACACGGAAAAAGCCTGTTACAGTCTTGGGTCGTCCAAAGAGAACAAGAGCTTGGTCGAGACTGTGTGTACCTGTCATACTGTAAGCTAGGGGACTCGACATACACTAAGGCGGTGACTTACCAAGACCATAAGACATGCCTGATCCTGGAGTAAACTTTGTCCCCATTTTAGACAACCAAGATGGCGACTCAAAGTCATAGTGGAGCTCGGCTTCTTTGATATCGCCAAGTGCGCCATTTTCTATCAGGTGACTAAGAGTTTTGAAGTCGGCATCCTGTTTAGATCAGTGTTTTGAACATCATCATATTCTTCATGACGAAAGACTCACCCATCGTCGATTCTGGAAACAAGTGAGTATGAGACGCTTCTCTTCCGATATCTTGATCACTTTGTCCGCCTCTTCGGAAGTCATGGCAAACGGCTTATCGACGATGACTGGAACAAAAGTCAGTCTATGCAAGGATTACAAGACAGGTTTTGTTTGACACACCATGTTTGCCTGCGAGGAGCGCTTGTTCAGCAAATCTCGCATGTGTATCATGATGAGTGACAACCACGACGAACTGGATCTCAGAGTTGGTAAAGAACTCGTCAGCCTCGCGGTAGTGCTTGACATGAGGAAAGTCAACGGTGCAGTGTGAGCCCTTGGTGGCGGACGAAGGGTCTGATGGGGCTTCGGCTCTTTGAAGAATAGCTATGAGTTCAAAGTCCGGTATCGCAGTGATGAATGGTAGATGGAAACTTTTAGCCGAGTTGCCGTAACCAACTACGCCGACTTTGATGGGTGCCATGGCTGGTGATGTCCTGAATCCGAACACACAAATGTTGGTGGTTGTAGGTTTTTTTTTAAAGTGATTATCTACCAATTTCCTTATGAGAATTGGTTATAACGAAGTCATAAATGGTGAAATTACAAATCAAGAGTTGTTTATTTTGCTGTGTCTGCATTCATCCGGAAATAGCGTTATTGAGGGTTGTCCCCCGCCTCACTTTATCCGCAGCTCGGCCTCTACTTTAAGGTACCGATGTTGCAGTCAATAAACTTACACAATAACAATTGGAGACATCTGCCTAGCGTAATGGACGGCTATTATGCAAGAAACATATCCTCAAAACCCGACATTCCTGAACGGGCCTTTTCTCCCGCCATCGCGCCATTAATGTAGGCATCGCCTAGTAGTCGGTATGTTATCGTGCCTTGACAGGCAACCTCCACTTGCCTCAAAACATATGGTACCTTTCCTCCTGGTAGAATGACTATCGCATCGCCCTCTACCGTCGTCTCAGGTCCAAAACCCAATTCCCCATTGTCCGTGAGTATAAAGCATCTATGCATACTCGTCTGATGCATCAAGTCATCGAACTCTTGAGTAATTTCCTTGCACGCAACTGGCAAGCTACCTGGATTAGTGGATGTGAACCATTCTAACCATGACTTGTACGCGTCTGGGTAATCAACGGATTCATTTGCCCATGTGAAACCACCGCTTAGTGCATTCTGGAAGGCAATATCTTGGCTGTCCTGGATGCCCTCCTCCAAAGGCAGGGTTTCGAACAAGCCAGCGAGGCGGCGCCATGAGTCGATGGTTTCTTTACCTCCAAATGTTGAATTTTTACTACTTGAAGGGTATCCAGGCGCAATGGCTTTGACTTTACCGATTTGTAAGCCGCGAATTAAGACGTTTCCAGATGCGCTGAACGCCCATCCTGGTCCTAAATCTCCAGAGGCATGGCAACGGCGAATCCTATCGGCTCGATCCGTGTACAGCAAATGCTGGCGGCCATTCATCGTTGCATTCCAATCAGGAACCCAGCTCGGTAACCCTGGCACACGTTTGTCAATGCGGGATTCGTGTAGTACATGGCTTAATACGTCCAGAGTTTGAGACTTCTCGATCAAGGTAGCGGCGAGATTTCTGAATAGTAGGGCTGTTGAAACTTGATAGTCAACCTGCAGTTCTCTTTTGATATCGATGCCTGAAAGATACAACCCAGCAAAGCCATATATCCTATCCCGCGGATCCGAGCATTGCCGTATTCGGAAAAGTGAGATTGCGGCCAGGAAATCAATACTATGCAAACGACCACGACTGCTCATATCCATGAGAGGTTTCATTCGTAACGTGGCGGTATAAAGTGTCAGATTACTGCTGTTGTCCCAGGTGGTATCGATGAAGCCATGGGTATTACCGTGGCGAGGTTGATCCCCGCTCCAGCAACACGTTTTCGAATGATCAATCCAACTTCTGCAACATTTCTTGACGACTTCCGCATCGATCGTACGTTTGCCACAGCGAAATATGACCTTTCGAGCTAGTAGAAACTCCTGTACGGTCCAGACTCTCGTGAACCATGGAGTACCGAAGAAGTCGATGATGGATCTTTGAAGAATTGGATCACTGGCAGTTAGCCCAAAGGCTGCCAGGCGAGGTGCATCGACTGTCAGATGAGGTGACAGAGACGGGTCGAAGTGCATTTCGGGATTCTGTGCAGTTTTCTCCATAAAATCCAGTCCCATGTTGAAAGGATCCGATTGAGGGGATAGAAATGCCAATACATACTCCGCACGTGAGTAGATATCTCCCATCATTGCTACTTGCGACGCCCGCTCTTCAAAGTCATCTTGGTTGATGCAGAGAGCGTCGATCCACAACGCCTGGTATTTTTTGGATACGGTGAGGGATTCTAGTGCATGATGAAGGTTTCTAGTTGCTGTGATAATATGTTCACCGACACCTAGTGGTAGGGTGTCTGCTAAATCGCCCCAGACATAAGAAAGCGCGACAAATGGTGGAGGGTTGTTCAATGATACGACTTTGAAGGTCATTTGAGGGCGTTCTCCTGGCTATTACTGTCAGCCTTAATTCGGAACATGGTATGACAGCAGGTTTGTTTACCGAATATAACTCATTAACAAGAAGAAGACGAATTTCGTTATCTTGTAAAGCCATCATTTCGGGTGAATGCATGCCTAATCAGTTCGTAGGGTTCAACACAAATTGATCAGCTGCTCGAGTTTCGCAAAAGGGAGGGATCGAAGAGCTTCGATTTGTGGATTGAAAAGGAGAGATAACAGCCGCCTTATATTACGACTTGACACGGCAGCAGCTGACTGGTGACTAAGCGATCCAATGGGTATAATACCACCTTTTAACAATTGTGACACCATATGATATCTTGAAACTTTGTCCTACTATGGTATGTTATAAGAAAGAAGTATGAAAAAAATTATAAGTAAGATGAACGTTGGTTATAGTAACAGCGAGGTTGGCAGCCGTTGAAACATATCGGTCTTGCTATTACCTTCGCCAATGACGATTGGGAGGTGGGACGCATTAAAACTGACTATTCTAGAAGAGTTACTATCCACGAACGCCGTATCAGCCTTAAATCTTCTGCTGAGACTGGGTGTATTATCTGCCGTCAAGTATGGAAGCAGCTACTCGCTGACGACAGACTATCGAAAAATGGCAATAATTCCCCAAGATTTCAGCAAGACACAAACTTACCGCTCGGCATGTGGGTTAAATCGACATCATCGGACGTTTCTACTACCAAACATCTGGTTGTGGGAATATCTTCCAAAAAGCATCTGGATACCGTTAGTTTCACGGTTATACCACGTACTGGAAACTCGGATCCTGCCCCTAAAATTGTTCCCAACGCGCATTTATCATCAACATCCGAGGCGATCGAACTGTGGCACCAGTGGTTCTATACCTGTTCAGTATCTCATTCTAAATGCCGAACCCTGAGCGATCGCCCAATGTCTGTATTTAAGTCAAAACGACTGGTGGAAATCATCAATGACGCCGACGGAAACCATCAACAATGGCGACTTGTGTTGGGCGCCTATGTACAAGACCTTGACTACCTTACTCTGAGCCATTGCTGGGGATGGACTAAACATCTCAGTCTCACGAAACACAACTACCATGTGTTGAAGGCGACTTCACTCATCTCTACTTTACCGACTACCTACCGTGACGCGCTCGTTGTTACGGCAGCCTTGGGGAAACAATATATATGGATTGATTCCCTTTGCATCTTGCAAGATGACGAGGAGGATTGGAAATCTCAGTCTTCAGTGATGGGTCTAATCTACAAATATTCTGCATGCAACGTAGCCGCGGCCTGGGCAGAAAACTCTTCCAATGGTTGCTTCTCACCCAAAGAAGCACCGACTATAATTACTCTGGCATCAACCGAGTTCTTTGTGGAAGAATCACTTTATTCAGCGCCTTTTCACCAGAAAGATATTTGGGATGCACCGTTGAATAAGAGAGCCTGGATGATCCAAGAGCGTTATTTAGTGCCGAGGCAGTTGGTATTTGCCAAAACTTAAGTCTATTGGGCTTATCAAGAGCTTACCGCCTCAGAAGAATTTCCTACCGGCTCTGAATATCTACCTGATGGCTCATGTCTGGACAAGCGTCAGCTCTCCAACAAGTGCGTCCGACTAACGAGAGCAGTATGGCAATACGCAGAATCTGGGCACATCTAGTAAAGTCTTATTCAAAATGCCAACTTACCTTTTTGACCGACAAGGCGATCGCCCTAGCTGGTTTAGCTGCAGAGTTTCGTGCTACCTATAATGACAAATACCTTGCTGGTCTATGGATGAAGAACCTGGAAGACCAACTTTGTTGGGTTCTTGACCCCAGTGAATTCCCCCACTAGGACCACAGCACTACGCCAACATATTTAGCTCCTACGTGGTCGTGGATAAACCTCGATGGGCCCGTGGAATATGATCGTGCCTACGTGCGTGAGTCTGCCGATACAAAACTAGTCGAGGTTCTTGAAGCTTCGATCGAGTCTAATGATCCGAACAGACTGCACAGCTTCGTGTCTTCGAAACTACGTCTGCGAGGGATTGCCTTATGGGGTTTCCTCCAAGACGCAAACCCAAACCAGCTTGGTCTTGGAGGGTACCTTGTTCGGCCTTCTGCTATATTCAAAATGAACGAATCTCCCGAAAGCCCGGGAAAATACTCTATTACGAACCCCACTATTACCCTTCAATGGGATGAGTACCAACTGTCACTTCCTAAGGACTCGCAGCGCTATCAGGAACTTCTGCAGCAACGCACTGGACAACTACTGATCCTACCAGTAGGTGTGAATCAAGGTGTGTATACCCGTGGCCTCCTACTTAGACATCTGAAAAGTGTAAAAGACGAGGTAGTTTGTGTTAGGCTGGGTGTAGTTGATATATGGGGATATGACTTTGCCGGATACTTTTGGGAGAGATTGGGGCTGCCCAAGTGGTTTGCGGGCGTTGACCGAATTGATCTTAACGATCCCCTTCTGAATGGTCTAGTACAAGAGGTGACTATTCAATAACGTGAATGAATATTAATACAAGTTTTTGTTATGTTTTAATGTTGCAGACAAAGACCTAAGCTCTGTTAGTTCCCTCTCTATTCCCAAGGTTGGATGTTTGAGCTATCCAACATGTGGTCACCGTGTTTGCTGACAAGCATCAAATATACGACCAGCGGGTGCTTGTTCGATGGTTTTAAATATCGCTCGCTTTGGGATTGTCTTCGGCATTTCCCCTTGATGATTACTCCACATCTGGTATATCCGAGCAACTACATCGAAGATTGTTCTTTTTGGTCTTTTCTTTGTTGTCTAGACTCACCACTTATCTCCATCGTCAGGTCGAAAGGACTCAGCGTACCTCATACCATACCATTACCGCGAAGTAGAGGCACTGCAACGGGTGAAAGGGGAAAGAGTGTGGAAGTGATCGTATCGAGCCCTGTTCCTTGCCTTGATACGCCCTGCTCCAGTAACTCCTTGTCGTAATTGTGCAGCAAGCTTAACCATGGCAACCAGGCAATAAGATATCGAACCGCCCAGCCTCGATCGTTATGTCTTTCTTGATGCTCCTGTGTCTGCGTGATAGCGCACTGAGCTGCTGCTCCATCTTCGCTTGGCCCATAGGTTGGCTTTGACTCTGTTGTATCGATTCTTGTCCACGTTGATGCCGGAGTATGTGACAGTAAGTTTAGGCCAAAACTTGCGGCCGCCACTGTTCTCAACGTTTCCCCGTTTCTTGGCTGTGCATTCAGGTAATGCTCCAGGAAAATGTTATAGCATAGACGCAAGAAACTAAAGAGGCCAATCAAAAACGGAAGAAGCTGGCCGGGCAATGAAAGAGTATTCTCACGCCCTAGGCCTCCTAATACACCTTCGATATTATTGAAGTTGAGTGTGGCCTCGACAGTCGTAGCAGACCAGATCAACCATACGAGGTTTCCGACTCGAAGGAATTTGTGAATAACAACAAGCCTTTCAGGGAGAAGAAAAATCAGAAAGTCAGTACTCCAAGTCCAGCAAGGTTTTGTTCTGGGCCAATGACTCACTCGCTTTGTTTAAAACCGGTCACATAGCTCGGTCGAGACAGATGATCGACGTCTGCAGCTCTTGAGAATCGCTGATGCAGCGAGCCCACAAGTCTCCCCACGCTGAACCATACTGAGAGTGTCGACACAATAATCATGGCCCCAAAGTAGGCGATGCATCCGGCCGAGACGATGATGTAGTAATACCTTATACCTCCCGTTGCGCTTATCTTGGCGAAAAAGAAGGTGTGGAAATTGCTGCACTCTGGAGAATTCTTCGTCGTATCCTCAGGTCCACCAAGAGTAAACAATATGCCTGTAATGCCCCAACATCAGAACCACAGGCCAAAGGCACTGACAGCTAAAGATACGATCATTCTAATATGTGTACCATACCCGCCAAACAATCTGATAGAACTGGGGCCCTGCTGCGTGTATAGCCTCGTGCGATACCCCCAAATACTGAGCACGCCGAAGATGGTTCCACTACACAAGTGTATGAGTATGAGACCGTCGACAGCGCTCAGCGCACCAGTAACACTGTCGTTTGCCATGGCGATGAGAAGCGTTAGTAGAAAAATGGTGTTGGTGTCCAGCGCCGTGCTGACTTCGGAAGGCAAAATGACATTGGCCATCCAGGCTGTCAGCCAAGCGAAGTAAATACCGAGACGCACCCCGAGCCCATAATAGTCAGATGCTCTGTCAGATTTGCACACAACTGGCCCTCCAGTTTCGCGTTGTTGGAGAAGCAGTAGCGTCTCTCTCAAGTTGCTCATACTTATACCTGTAACCGAGTTGAAACTTAACTGACGATGGGCTGCTCTCGAGGTTACCAGTATTGACAAGACAGCAAACGGCTGTTGTCATAATTTGTACTTTTTCAATGCCCTAAAGTCTGAAATCACACCCAGGGTAGACCTTGCTCGACACACAGACACAAAATCATTGACTAACATATATTTGCCCTAGGGTAGAGATGCCAAGCAGATGAACATTGATACATGCAAAACACTAGTGTCCCAAAGTCCCATGATGGAACTGATCTAATCGCTAATGGCTCTAGCTTCTGACTTATCTCATGGGAGCACGGCCGTGGAGTTGAAATTAATCCTCAATCTTCAATCATTTAATTAAATATGGTTTAGCGTATCGTGACCATCCGAGTAAGGGAGACTAATAATATGCGTGGAAATTATTTTTTCCCACAGCCTCCATCGGAGGCAACCAATTACACAGGTGCTAGAGTCGGCCGACCTGGGGTTTTAGTGGGAAATAGCTCAGGGAATACAACGGGAACTAGCCTGGGTCTCAGCCTCTCAGGATTACAAACGATGGTAAGGCTGTTGTAGAGGCCGCTTATGCCACTACTTATAGAAAATAGACAGGGGGGTAAGGAAAGCCTTCCAAGGCGATGAAGTAAACAAGCTAACCAGATAACCATAGTTTGGAAGATTTTACTAAGTTAAACGTTGGCCTCAAAGGAATCTAATAAGGATCTCTCGAAATGGCCTGCCTTGATATGGAAACAATCCCGTCTCGTGCTATTGATCTTGGATAATATAGTGGATGTATTTTCTTACAAGAATCGCAAGAATTCCTAACTAGATCTGCTTTCAGCTTCCTCTTCCAACATGATAGGTCTCCTTGTTCAAGGGAGGCTTTAGATCTCATCCCAGTCAATTGGCGCGGTTAATGAGGTGCTTCTGTAGCCAGGGTCTGGCAAGGCCGTCTCACAGGAAATTAACACATATAACCCTACCCCAAGATTCAAAACATTCCGGCAGTGATCAAGATAAACATCAGATATTAGAATAAAATATCTTTAAGTAATAAATGTAGAAACTGAAGTAGTGGCTCTGGTTTCCATATAATTATAATGGTTGCCCACCAGCACCTCCAGATGCCATAGCCTTTTCCCATATGCTTCTTACATAGCTGTCCCCTGAAAATCTAGAGGGCCATGCAATATATCCTAAATTTCTCCGTACATCATCCCAAGTAAACAGTCTCAAAGTTTGGCTCTGGGTTTTCACAATCATTTCAAAGTACAATATCAAGCCCGGATCTTGGCGTAAGACTCCTTGCTTCTCGTAAGAACGGACACTGATTAAGCCTAGAACTGATTCCCAGAACAATAGTTGAGCAACTTGTGACGCTTGTGGGCTACTGAGAGCAAAGCGAAGCTCTCGCTGAAAGAGATAGATCGTATAAATATAGATTTCCTTTCTGAAATCCTGCCAAACAGCGACTATATGCTCCAGGTACAGTTGTGCAGAAATTATCAATCCGCACCATGAAGCTGTAAGGCTTGAGCTCTTAGCATCTGATTCTTGATCTTGGTCATCTGAGATGGAGCCCAAGTGTGCCTCGATAACCACATCGTAAAGCACGGAAGCCGGTCCTAGTCTCCAGAACTCATCTGCTTTGGGATTCAAATTCTTGCCAGAAACGTTGTGTAGATCGCTGCAAAAGGCATCCGTCACTTTGCGGAAGCCCTGAATGTAAGGCATAATATCAACGTCCAGCAGTTGCGCTCCGCTATTCGGCGGATGGAAGAAGGCTGGGAGCATTCGAAACGCCCTAAGCTTCAGACTGTACGAGAGCCGACCCTCATCTGTTTTGTGCCATGCATGCATGATACGAACCGATTCAGAAGAGGAGAGACTGATGGCATTTTCGGTCGAACCTTGGCAGCGGAGGAGGCCATCGAGAACAATTTTGAATCCGTGAATAAAGGTAGAGGTTCTGAAACTTTGTTAGCCAACTCATGTTGTACCAAGGCATCAATAGAAACCACTGACAGTAAGAAGTATCTGTCTGAAAGTTCTTGGTCAACCGTCTTGCATTTGACAGTCATTTTGTGGCTTATAGATTTCGAAATAGCGTAGATGATGCTTAAGTGCGATTCTGCCAATAGCAATTCACCTCGGCAGACCTGAGATAACATCAGTAACCACTTTGCACAACATATCTGCGCATTATTTGTACCTCTGTATATGCCAAGGTAGTGATCGTTCGAATAATGGCTGTTGCTGGTGTGCAATTGTTTCCAGAGATCCACTCCTTCACTCTGCGGATTGTCTCAATTTTATGAAATAGGAAGGTAGTTTCAAAGGCTTCAAGGCTGCCGATATTGAAAATAAAATGAGTTCCTGCTATCAGGACGGCATTTTGAAGGGCTTCTGGATCCGATATAATGTATGCTAAACTATGAAAGGTAAGAATTGATTGTAGGTACAGTAGCCGATAGAAATACTAACCAGTCTCTGCCTTTGTCTTCTGGATATACGTTGTAGATAAGACCTGCATCGTGGACTGCAAAAATATCAGGGATGGACTCCAAAATTTGGTAAAGAGATGAGTGGCCCTACAATAGGAGAAAAGTTCTTTTGACCTGAATGGCATGTTGATGGCTACATAGTTAAAAGTATTTGCGGAACCAGAGACAATTAGTTGGTGAGTCAGAGAGATTGCTTTAGGCAACTCTTGATTAGTCTGTGAGATATCCCAAGGAGTAGAATTCCAGGGCTGTTTCTTCCCAGCACGCTCCAGGACTCTTTGTTCGCGGAGGGGAATTCTTGGAGGGAGATATTGGCAGGATATCTGTCTCTTGATGCAATTTTGACTGGAAGTAAAATGTTTGTCAGCCCTCAAAACAAACACTCCGACAGACCCGTTCAGCCTCACCAATTAGGACGCTGTTCGTCACATTTCACCCGACGACTACGACACGCGGAACAGCCAGTCCGATTGCGGGTATAGAGCTGGCGTTTCTGGACTTGAGTGCTCGCCTTTTTCTCATCAGTCGGCTCCTGGCGTGGTGGCTCATTTACACCGCAGGTCATTTTGCTCTTGTCTTTCCTATGACAAATAAGCATACAAACTCTGGCACAATGAGAGCGAGGAAGAGTTGTGGGGATGAAACTGCGCGGTTGAAGAAGGAGGTACATAAGCTTATTATTTGACCGGGTTTATAATTGGACGGTGGTATGCAGTTAAACCCTTATTCCCAGAACAATAAGCGTAGACATGCTTAAAACGGTAAGGCTATATCTGACACTTCCTATACATCAATCATCTGACTCGCAGCCCGAGCTGCGCCATTTAATAGTTCTTATTAACATGAAATTCGACTCGAGCAATCCTTATGCAGGAAGGATCCTTGACAAAGATGACTTCTTCCGCCTGATTCAACTAGAGCAGGGTCGTGATGATGCACAGCTTATCATATCCCTTCGAAGCACTACCCTTGATGATGCACCACCTTATGAAGCCGTGTCGTATGTCTGGGGCGATGCCAACGCACTGGTACCAGTGCAGATTATGGATGACAAGGCCCAAACATTTCATGTTGCCATACCGGTCAACTGTCACGCTGCTTTGAAACGATTACGAAGATTTGACTCTCCCCGGACACTCTGGATTGACTCCATCTGTATCAACCAAGCGTTGTCGGCAGAAAAGGCCCATCAATTGAATCTCATGTCCTTCATATACCAGAAAGCCCGCCAGGTCGTTGTGTATCTTGGAGAGGGCACGCATGACACCGACGTCGCCATGAGATGTATTCTCGAGCTTGATCAGCCTTCTGACTATGGCACCCGCAGCGAAGTTGTTGAAAAGCCAAGTCCTACACTAGATGAACGGGAGGCTGTCAGGGTTCTTTTTGACCGCCCATGGTTTTACCGCGTCTGGATCTTGCAAGAAATCACTTTTGCGCATAGAGCCATCGTGGTATGCGGCGCCCATGAGGTAGAATGGGAAAGCTTCCGAAAATTCTATCACTGGAATGTCAGCAACCGATGGATGAATCATCTTCCATACTCGCTCGACTATTCTGTATCTCCAACATTACGCGGTGGATATTTTTTGCCCTATGGAGAAAGGCTCATGAAGATGCTCATAGACACGCGACTCTGCGGTGCTACTGATCCAAGAGACAAGCTATATGCGATACTTCCACTACTAGATCGTGATCAGGAGGAAATGAGGTCCAAAGTCGAATACCATAAGGAAATCTGGAAAGACGAAGATGAAGACGAAGACCCGGACCACTGGAACACACTGGAACACTCCTTAAGAATTCAAGTCAACTACGATCACACAGTAAAGCAGGTGTACACAGATCTTGCAATGCTATTACTGCAAAGTAATGGTCTCGATGTTCTCCGACAGGTTATCAAGGATTCAGCAGTGCACGGTCTACCATCTTGGGTTCCGGACTGGAGCACCGGGTCTCCCTACTGGACTGCATTCAATAAGCCAAGGGAGAGAAAAAACGCGTTTTTTGCAGGATTCCCAGAAAGACCTACTCGGTATATCTGGGGCTGGAAATCGCGATATCCACATCTGATTGACACATGGACTTCATCAATTTACACCTCCACAGAGAATGAGACTTCGACGCAGCTTCACTTCCGAGCTGTGAGGGTTGGCACGATTACCAAGCTGGGCGAGGTTTGTGATATTACAAAAAACCACTTTCCCATCGGCCAGTGGGCGAGCCTTGTGCCACAGGAGTTTTATCACAAGAAGAGAAACATTCCGGAGGATCTACCTTACGAAGAAACGAGCAAATATAGGAATGGACCCATGGGACTTTCTCCGTTCATTCAAACACTCACTTTGGGGGATGTCGTTTATCCTGAAGCGGCCGAAGATGCTGTAGCTTACATTCGCCAATATAACGGCGAGGTACTTGATAATGGAGGAGTGAAGTTTTTCGGGGTGGTAAGCGAAGACACACAGCAAAATATACCCCTGGCGGAGGTTTTTATGGGTGCAGGGAGTTATGAGAGGCAAGCCCAACGAATATTGAAGGGTTGTGATGGCAAGAGATTCTTTGTAGCGGATAATGGCGACATAGGTCTTGCACCCGACCGAGCTCGAACCGGGGATGTTGTGTTTTGTGTTCAAGGCGCTTCTGTGCCCTTTATCCTCCGATCGCTACCTACTACTGAGATCTACAACAACGACAAGGGGGAAATTCCGAGTAGCAGCCCACATCAGGTTTCTGTGGACAAGTTGTTTTGTTTGGTGGGCGAAGCCTACTCACTTGGGATAATGGAAGGCGAGATGTGGGATGATGTAGATAATGGCAGAGCGAAAGTTGAAGAGATTGTCTTGAGGTAATGGTGGCTTAGAATCTAGTATAGTCTATTTTGAAGGAGTTACAAGTAAATAGAAAATACTTCCGGCTCAGGGCTATCTGCAAAATCGCTATCTGACTCGTAATTAAGATGTTATGGAGTAATCCAAAAGCTACACTAATGCGTTATTATGGCATTTCAACTATGTTTATAGATATGTGAAAAATTGATGGAATAATAGGTAGCGATACAAGCTTCGAAGTCGAAGGTGGTCAAATATCTACATCGAATGGAAAGGTATTGATGAAGAGGTTTCAGAGACATCCCGCGGTATAGTTATCCAATTAACACGCACAGTCAGCTGCCTCCCAAGTAAATGTAGCCATATCTCTGCCAGGGGTACTATCCTCAAGACGAGGCCTGAAGTCATTATAAAAACGTTCGTCTTCACACTCTCGGTACCAGTCGTACTTGGGTACAGTGAATGAGAGGCCATTTCTCGCATCTGTGCTGCAGGAACGTGAAGATTCCTATCGTTGGGCGTAAGCTTGTCCATGATAAAGTCAAAGATTTCCCTCGCCGCAGGGGACAGATCGTCAATCGAAGTAGGAAATGGACCAGAGCCGTTTGTAGTAGTTGGCATTGTGGATGCCGGCATGGCCGTGGCGGACACAGTAAGAGTCCAGCTTGTAATAGATGATGTTTCTGTCGACATTCCCGACGAAGAAATGTCTGACGTGCTTAATGCATTAGTAGTTGTCGACTCTCCTGCAGTAATGGTGGACTCCAGCGCTGTGGACGTGGTCGATTCGAATGTAGTCGGCTCTAGGATATGAATAGAAGTTGAATCTGACGCCACAGATGTTTCCGACTCGATATTTGCAGAAGTAGCTGATTCCGGTGTCAAAGATGATTCTGAAACAATAGATGATTCAGACATCAATGGAGAGGTTGTAGTCAAAGTCTCCGAGCTGGTTGGTAGGGTGTCCAATGATGTAGCCAATTCGGACTCTGCAACAGATGACAACTGGGACGTACTAGACAGGAAGGTTTCAGTGTTTGATCGTGTATGAGTAGGCAGAATAGTTGTGTCGGGCGTTGTAGAGGTAAGAGAATTTGAGGCATCAGCTTGACTAGAGACAGCAGTCTCAGAAGTGGATTTGGTATCGGTTGTGCTAGGATTCGCCTGACTTGTTTCTCCAAAGGAAGTGTTCCTCATAGTTGGTTGTACCAGAGTGGCAGCCTTCCAGTCTATCTTGACTCTGTCGAGATCGCTGAGACTAATGGCAGCCGATATGAACATCAGATCGACCAGGATCTGGGCCGGATTTTTTTGTGGCGTTGGCACATCTCAACTCGACTCTGAGATCGAAACTGAGTGTTGTCAACGAAGGCATGCCAGAAACAGCGCGCCAATCGGCTACATCCTGGAACGAATCAGACCTGAGAAACAGCTGGTTTCCATAGTAAACATTGACTTTGCAGTCGTTGTCATCTTCCATTTGTAATACTTTGTAGAAGAGCTGGAAAACCGGCCGGGCGTGGGGACTGCTGATGTGTTGCCAGATACTGGTAGAACGGTCCGTGTCGTTGTTGACTTGTCGTTTTATAGTTGGGTTACCACCCCTAGGAGGAAAGATACTCAATTCCACGCACCGGGTCTCCCCCGTGTTACTTACTACCCGTGTAGCCACCTTGGTCGAGCGCTCGAGCGCGGATCCCGTTTTCGAAGCCGTAAATATCGCCAGAATCTTGGCCTGGAGTTCCAATATTTCCATTGACAACAAGATAGTCTACGACAAGCGGCGCTTGGGTGGTGGTAGTGATGGATGCTACTACTTCAGTAGTTGACTCGCTTGACGTTGCCTCCGATGCCGTTGTCTCAGGAAGAAGGGTATTCGAAACAACATCATTTATAGTCTAATAGTCAATCATCATGGACTTACGTAACGAGCCATATTTTAGGACGGGATTCATATTTGCAGACGTCGTCAAAGTATTTGAGATAAGAGACGTAGACAATGACGGACGGCACTTGCTCGCGGCGGCACCCGTCGCGAGTACCAACACAATACTGGTGAAAAAACTGAACACACTCGTTCTTGGTCCTGATTATCATGACCACTGTGGCGAAAATGAGGCTTGAGAATATAGCTCAGTTCCTGTATTTGTCGTATTTAGTGAAAAAATATTAACCCGGAAACTTGGCTTTACCAGTAATCGACTATCTGAAGTGGAAAAATGAGGTCGCATCGGCAACTGGGTTACAGATAAGTAGACCTGGGAGTATCAGGCTATATAAATAAGCAGCCTTCAAGCACTGTGATTTATACTATAGACCGACTAACTAATTTCGTCTGCCATCCCCCTCGGGCCGATGTTTCTATTACCCTGGAGGTGATTCTGGTGTACAACCCAAATATTTCCCCGCTCTTCGGATGCAGGCAAAGGTTCAAGGATGCATAGTCAGCATCAAAAGTCACGCAACTCAACCTCGATCAATATCGCAGATAATCTCTTGTTCTTACCACAAAACCCTCAATCTAGGAACTTCTCCCTTGAAAACAATGGCTGACTCAGAAGACTCTTTGCCTCACATCCGATGGGGTGTTCTAGGCACAGGATGGATCTCCACCATGTTTTTAACCGATCTCCTCGTGGATCGTCCCGACGCCCGAGCCAAACACACAATTGCAGCTATCGGATCCTCTTCGTTTGAGAAGGGTTATTTCTTTGTTCAGAAACTTTGGACGAAAGCACCCACGAAACCTCAACCTCAGGTTTACGCAGACTACCAAAACGTATATGATGACCCTAACGTTGACGTCGTGTATGTCGGCACACCTCACAGTCTGCACAAGAAGAACTGTCTCGATGCAATTGCGGCTGGGAAGCACGTCCTGTGCGAGAAGCCGTTTACCATTAATGCCAAGGAAACTCGGGAGATCGTGGATGCTGCTAAGGAGAAGGGCGTCTTTGTTATGGAGGGTAGGTCGCCTCATCTGCATATCACAGCCCTGGACTAACAGTTATTAGCGGCTTGGGTGAGGTTCACTCCTCTATTCAAAGCTTTGCACGAGGAAATTATAGTCAAGAAGTCCATTGGAGAGATTCAGCGCTTTTCTGTGGATTTTGGAAACTATTTCGACCTATCGGCACTGCCTAATGAGCACCGTCTCAAGGATCCCGCTCTTGGTGCTGGTGCACTGCTCGATATCGGCTTTTATACCTTGACCTTTGCTTCCATCATCTTAGGTGACTGGAAGGTGGGCAAAGAGCACCCCAAGCCGAAGGTCATTTCCTCTCTTGATATTGCCAATGGTATTGATGAGGCAAACTTGGTCGTGCTCGAATATCCCTCCACCAAGGGTGTCAAGACTGGAGTATGCACATCAAGCTTCCGATACCGTGGGCCAGACGAGTTTGGTCGTATTGAGGGCACGAATGGTAGCATCACCCTTTTTGGTCCTGCAGTCAGTGTCCCTGGTGGCTTTCGTATTACTGTCGGACCTCGACCAGGTCCTCCTGCAGCCGATGACAGAGAAACACGCACCTTCAAGGTGGAAAGATATGAAGGTACACTTGGCTTTTACTGGGAGGCCGACGCTGTGGCGGAAGATATTGCCAAGGGTCGAACTGAGAATGAGATCATTCCTCTTGACGAGACCTTGAGAATGATGGAGTTGATGGATGAGATTAGATCTGCAAATGGACTCAAGTATCCACAAGACGATGTTTAGAAACGTGTTGCTTTTGTAGGTGGATGGTATTATCAATTTTTATCTCCCACTCATATGCGAAAAATAGTTTAGGTATGTTTGGAGATACAGAACGATCTGACCGGGGCTCAAGGCTTCAAATCTAACAATGTCGTTGCTACCATACCGTATTGCTTCCCGTTAACTTCTGTCACAAATTAAACCTGTATTGATGTCTAAAGTGTGTATGTTCACTTTTATTCTTCGATTTGTGTTAGATTGCATTCTGCTTCATGTTCTCAACTGAGAGTATTCTTTCTGTTTAATCTTGCAAGCTTCGTCGACAGATAGAAACTCACCTTAAATTTCTTTAATGGCAACGATTATCACCGATTCAAGAAGGACCATTCACTCCGACTCCCATGGCTGGGTGTAAGACATGCAGTGTTCAACATTGGAAAGCTCCAGACGGACTAGTGGAAATGGCTGTGTACAAATGTTGTACAATCGATTTCATAGCAATTAGCCAATCAGGGATTAAGTTTACAAGATTATGCAGTCTACGCCACCAGATCAGACGCAAAGAGATAAAGGACCACATCAACTTATTCCAAACGCTCTGGGCGGCTTCGTTGGGACTGGAGCCGAACGTACAAAGATTATACTGGGAAAAAGCGCGCCTAATCAATTGTCTACTCCAAGAAAAATGCCCAGAAGGAAAACAGTCTCTGTATTATCCTTGGCTTCGCTGTGATATGCGTAATCCGCACCTCATCCTCCTGTTACATCGTTAACTTTGAACCATTGACGCATGCGAAAAACTATCGACGATAGTGCTACCCTATCGCAACACCCAACGTTCAATAGTGTCCCCGGCTCCATGATTACGAGGCTTGCCAGGACGCAGCTCAGCTGAACCCCTGCGAGCAGCGCTACGAGACCCCCAGCCATTCACAACAATGGCACCAAGACACTTCCCCGCTCGATATTGTGACAGAGTTTCGGTCAAGAAGGCAGCTGAAATCTCCAGTTATAGCTCCATTGTCTATGGAGATCATTAACGGATTGATTAGACAATTGTAAGAACTCCGCAAAGATACAGTGACGATCCTATCATAAACTGGGCATTTGTTATTGACTCGGCGCCTGTGTTCTTGCAGCTGTATGAATTGCTGTGAGGCCCTCGACCCTAATGCATTTCCCAATAGCTCGCAGCAGAATCAACTGTTTGATATGCAGACTGTCATAGCGATCCCCATCTTTTCCCGTTCAGGCGATTGCGGCTGCGCTGGAATTCTTGGAATGGTGTGATAGTCTGAGACATTCCCTAGTTTCCTTTCGTCTTATCTTCGAAGGACCTGGCTAATGAGAAAATGGACGACATAATTATTGCATTAGTCGATACTACTTTATAGTACACTTGTGTAGTGACTATTTCTCACCGTTAGCAATTGACAGATCATCTTTTCCAATGCCCTTTAGCGTGTCTTAGCCATTGACCTAACCACCATAGAGTTTCACTGAAAGCTTGAGCTATCACGTCAAGCGGCAGCTCCCTTCTCGCGCACGGACAGGGCAGGTATGCAGAACTGAGGATGCGTCTGGATGTACTGAGTGATTGTTAGCGAATTGGATTGCTCAGATATAATCACTGTCTTGTAGTTACGCAACAGTCGTCAAGAGGGGAAGTCCATAAAGAAGCTATCGTTCCCATGCGATTGAGCTTTAATTCTGCATGTGCTAGAAATTCTTTTGACATCTCTTACATCACTTCAATCTTATATCATTACTTATGCAGGCATAAGAAACATCATCTACCTTGTCTCTACTATCTGAGGACTCATCACCATGTCTGAGCAGTCGCTCATCGGTAGCCACACCAACGGCTCTGCCAATGGCCGTACATCCGGGTCTGAGTGGGACGCAAAAATCCAGAAGCTCAACGGCGAACTGAAACAAGCCAAATATCTTGCTGGCTTCCATGGAGATGCCCTCATCGGAGTATGTCGTCTTGATATCGCTACTACACTGAAGCTGACAGGTGACAGGATATAACCCGACCTGGAGTAAGGTGGTGGAGCGACCTTCGTCGTATCCTCACCTTTCAGCACCTTCCTGCCATCAAAAATGTTTTGGTTCACTATATCAGAACTAGAACTCTTGATGTAAGTCGCACTAAACTGGACAACGCCATTCGTCGATGCTAATATCTTGGAGAAAACCAATTTGGCAGGATTGGTTGGATCACTCTCCAACGACAGTCTTAACCGTGCCAAGTTCATCGAGGGAGAAGTCAAGGCCAAGTATGAACGCATGCTTCATCCACCAATCACATACCTTGGAGACGCCTTCAAGTATCGTACTGCGGATGGCAAGTTCAACAGTGCCATGCATCCTCAGCTTGGTCAAGCCGGCGCACCATACGCCAAAACAGTCCCAAGCAAAACTCATCCATTGGGCGCGCTGCCCGACCCTGCTGATCTCTTCGATCGCCTCATGGCTCGAGAAGACCCTGGACCAGATGGCAAGGGTCGACCATCTACCTCTGGTTTGTCGTCCATGCTGATTTACCACGCCACTATTATCATTCACGACATCTTCAGAACGAATGATAACGATAAGAACATCTCTGACTCGTCTTCTTATCTTGACCTTTCCCCTCTTTACGGTTTCACTGAGGAGATGCAGCGCAAGATCCGTGATGACAAGTACAAGCTTGGTCTTCTCAAACCCGACACCTTTGCTGAAGATAGACTTTTGCGACAACCTCCTGGCGTTTGTATCTACCTTGTTATGTACAATCGTTACCACAATTACGTGGCCACTCAGCTGCGCCGCATCAATGAGAACGGTCGCTTCTCTGTGCCCAGCAAATACCAACTCTCCCCTCTGTCATCTGCTGCCAAAGAATTTGTCAAGGACGCCGACAAAGCCTTGACCGATGATATCTGGGATTATAATAAGGAGTGGAAGCGTCGTCGATCCGCTGGAATTGACGATGACGATGACGAGGACGAAGAGTTTGATGAACTCGCAGACAGATTGCGCCAGAAAACCCTTGCTGGTATCGAGAGGGGTCTTCGCAAGGAGAGTGAGCGACAGAAAGCGCTGTGTCTCGAGGTCACAGGGAAGGAGCATGATGATGGCAAAAGGAAGAAATTTGACCCTGAGGGTGTTCTTGAGCAATTCCTCAAGGCTCACGAGGCGGCTTGGGACAAGCTCGATGAAGACCTTTTCCAGACCGCGCGATTGTGAGTAATTTCCCATTGTTGATAAACGTATGCTAACATCATTAGAATCACGTGTGGTATGTACATACAAGTGAGTATTCACGATTACCTTCGTGGTCTTATGGGGTTCATGAACTTCGACACCAACTTCACTCTTGACCCTCGAGTGGAAATGAAGAACCACAAGAACGTTTCTCGCGGATTAGGTAACCAAGTTACGGTTGAATTCAATCTCCTCTACCGTTTTCATTGTGCTATCTCCATGAAAGATGAGAGTTATGCCGAATCTTTCATGGCTGAGCTTTTTGAGAAGGATGCGCAGTGGGACCCGAAATCCATGGGCCTACCACAATTCATGCAGGAGATGGGCAAGATGAAAGCCAAGGAAGGTCTCAAGAAGCCGCTCGAGCCATGGGAGCAGGAGTTTGGTCTTCGAAACGAAGGAAATCCCCGATTCAAGCCCTTCAAGAGGAACAAGTACACTGGCTTGTTCGATGATGAGGCTATGGTCAACGAATTGACTAGTGCTATGGATGATCCAATTGGTGAGTACCCCACTGTTTTACATAAACACGATACTGACTCGTTCGCAGCTAATTTCGGTCCTCTCAATGTGCCTCGTTGTCTAAGAGCCGTCGAGATTCTCGGCATCATGCAGGCTCGCAAATGGGAGATCGGTACATTGAATGACTTCAGAGACTTTTTTGGCATGAAGAGACATGATTCATTCGAGAGTATAACACCCAACGAGCAGGTGCAGAATTCCCTGCGTGATCTATACGAACATCCCGACAAGGTGGAATTGTACCCCGGCATTTTCTGTGAGACCAACCAAGCGAACGGTCAATTGAACGCCGACCCTGGTCCTTCGGACTTGGACTCTGCTTTGTGGGCGGCCATCTTTTCTGATGCCATCACCCTCGTCCGATCCGATCGCTTCTACACAGTCGACTGGAACACCAACTCCTTGACCAACTGGGGCATGAAGGAGGTCACTCCAGACAACGATGTCTGTAAGAGTTCCATGTTCCATCGCCTCATTCAGCGCGCGTTCCCGGAATGGTACCCCTACGATTCCATCCGCTTCTTTCACCCGTTCTATACCGGTGAGAAGCTTGCCGAGCTTGCCAAGGCACAAGGTTATGACAAGGAGTTCTGTGTCAAGACTACGCCTCTGAAGAAAGCCAAGAAGAACTCTCGTGGCGAGATGACCAAGTTCGACTTTGAGCTCACAAAGTCTAACCCTCAGCGACCAAGCAAGACTGTGTACTTGACTCACAACAATGACATCAAGCGCATTCTTGAGGACACCTCTGATATCTTGGTTCATCCTGCTCGCACTAGGATCTCTGATCTGCCACCGGAGATTCACGATGTTCTGAAGCCTGGCCAGAACAACGACCCCAAGGAGAATGGGGTATCTCTCGAAGCTGCGGCGAGGCACTCCACTGTTGATCACGAGCATATCCAGTCCTACCTGGTTGACATTGCTCGGAACATCATCAAGCGCGAAGTCGTCACCACCGACAAGGCCAAAGGCATTTACCAGCTTGACATTGTGCGAGATTTCGCAATTCCTGTTGTCACCCGCTTTGTTGCTGACTTCCTCGGATTCGGTCATCTTCTTCGTTCCGACACCAACTCCCACGCTCCTTACTCAGAGAATGAGATCTACCAGCACATCAACAACTGTCAGGTCTTCCTCTCGTACAACACTGATGAGACTAAGCTTCTCAAGCGCCGCAAAGCGTTCCGAGACTCGATGACTTTTCTTCTCGAGTTGGTTGAGGCAGGTAACATCCGCGAAGCCGGCAAGTGGCGTACCACACGTTGGGTACAGGGTTTCTTTGGCACTATAGCCTCTCTAGGCCAGGAAAAGCCAAACTTTATGACAGCCTTGGGATACAGGGTTGCTGGTGAAGTGCTGCAGAGGGAGGGCAACACCACCAAGGCTGCTACCATCCTTCTCTTGACTGGCTTGGATAGTGCATACAATGTGGTCCTTGCAGTAAGTTAATCCATTTTTGTCTGAAGATTATTTTCTAACGTATCATAGTTCACCTCGGTCATGGAATCATTCTTCCGGAACCTATACGATGAGAAGCCCGACAAGAAAGGCCAGAAGACCAAGGACGCTTGGCTTGAGATCCAGAGGCTAGCCTTCGAAGAAGATATAAAATCCAATAAGCGGATTCAGGCTCTTGTTCTCAAGGTTCAGAGATGGAGTGTTCGCCTGCCTATTGTTCGCAAAGCATCTGAAGGCACTACCATCCAAGCCTACAATAGGCACACCGAGGCGTCCGAGCCTATAAAGATTGCTAAGGGCACAGTTGTCGTTTGTGACATCCATGAGGCCGAGCGGCGGAACTGGAGCGAGTCTGCCGATGAGAGACATGAGTTGAACTACTGTTCTAGTTTCGCCGAGGCCTTCAGCGAATACCACCCGAAACACGTCGCCGCAACTAGTCTTGTTACAATGGTCAAGGTTCTTGCACAGCTCAAGAACCTTCGTCGTGGACATGACACTCAAGGTGTTTCCAAGACGGTCTCGATTGATGCATCCAGTGTTGGCTATGCCAACTACATGGCACCCATGCGACTCAAGGAGATCGAGCTCAAGGTTAAGGAAGCACATGAGAAGAAGGAGCTCACCGCGGAGCAACTCGAAGCAATCTTCCCATCCCAGATCAGGAAGCCTGCCACTGCTACGTATCTGACTACCGAGTGGGATGAGATGGTTCCTTTCCCAACCACTTGGAAGTTACGCTTCGATGGCTACGGTGTCTCAGACTACAGCAAGAACAACTACGAAGTCCTCAAGGTGTTCAAGATTCCCGATGACATTCAGCCATTCTATCAGCCCAACGGTCCATCTCACATTGGCGGATCTTTTGCGACACCGACCTGTGTCTGTCATGAGTCGTGGAAGAAGGAGAACAAGGGCAAGGGCCATGAACATGGGGAGGCTGGCGCTCATGAGATTCTTTCGGCTTGCGGCACTCACATGCACCTATGCCTGCTACATCAGGATGCAAGATTGGTTAAGCAGTTGTCTCTTCCCCTTTGTTGTGATTTTAGGCTTCAGGATACAAAAATAAATGATTTAAAAAATCTGATCTAATTAGCATAAGCTGACCCAACGTCTCTCGTCTCTTGTCTCTCGTGTTTGTAGTTTATAGCGCACATTTTCCATCATACTATGAGGTCAGCAGGGTCCATTGACTTTCATCTTTGGTTCTTTTACATGATACTGCCGTTTTTACAGTTTCGTTCCGATCAAGCATGTGTTCTTAGTCTTGACATCATTGGGTTTTACGCTGGTACACTCAGTTTGATCTGCAAATGAAGCTTCTGCAATTAATCCTGAAAATGCACCAATAATATGTTTTGCCGCCGATCTGTCCCTGTTAAATCTGCACCTTCTGGAATTGGTCCATGAAGACCCTTGTCTTCCCCGCGTTGAACTCCCAATTCTGTAGTGTGACTTGACCGGCTAAATGGCCACAACCCAAAGAGTGGTGTAAATCACCATACGGAATATTGCTAAGCGAAAGGCTCGGTGTAGTTGCAGCCGAGTGTTGCTGGGATTGTTTAAATGTCGGGTTGGACTCGCTCCTCAGATAGATATTTTCTTGATCAGGAAATACTCATTCAATCACTATGTTTGGGTGCAGCCTCAAGAAATTGAGCTTGGCCGCTGGGCTAATTGCCCATGCATTGGCCGACTTGAACACCTCAGAGAATACCACTCATATCTCCCTCTCCAATGACCGATTCGCTGTCGTTCTAGCCAAGTCTAGTGGCCATATCATCGACGCAACACTTGATGGACAGGACCTACTTGGTCCTCTTAGTGGAAACTCGGGCAAAGGGCCCTACCTTGACTGTTCTTGTACTCCATCCGGGTTCTGGACACCAGGAAGCACTGCACAGCTTCGTGTCATCAAGGGCACTGATTCGAGTGGAACGAAGTATGGAGGAATTGTCATGAGTGACACATTCAAGCCCACTAATCAGACACTTTCCCAATACTTCTTCCTTCGTGGCGAGGAGACGGGCCTGCATGCTTTCACTCGTCTCACCTACTTCAATGCATCTACACCATTCCTCCGCGACTTGGGTGAACTTCGCACGCTTTTCAGACCAAACACAAAGCTCTGGACCCACTTCTCGACGAGCGAAGGCAACTATGGACCTCTCCCTGATGCGGCAGGTGCCCTTACGGTACAAGATGCGACTTGGTATGTCGGCGACAAAACCAGCGACCCGTACGTGGAGCAGTACTCGGACTATTGGACCAAGTACAGTCTTTCAGAAAGCTGGCGAAACCACGATGTCCACGGAGAGTTCAGCGATGGGTCCACCAGCAACGATGGAAGTACGTTTGGTGCATGGTTGGTCCACAACACCCGCGAGACATACTACGGCGGTCCCCTGCACTCGGACCTTGTTGTAGATGGTATCGTATACAACTACATGGTATCAGGACATCATGGAGCACCACAACCTAACATCACCCATGGTTTCGATCGAACATGGGGTCCTCAATTCTACTACTTCAACAAAGGCAGTAAGGACACAACGTTGGCGGAATTGAGAGCCGATGCTGCCAAGTACGCTAATCCTGAATGGAATGCGAAATTTTATGACAGTATCGCTCATCACGTGCCCAACTTTGCTCCTTCTGCTAAGAGGACTAAGTACAGCGGCAAAGTCAATCTTCCTAAGAACGCAAAGAGACCGCTCATCGTTTTGTCCGAGAATAAGCAGGACTTTCAGCTCAATGTTTTCAACACGCAATCACTTCAATACTGGGCTGAAATTGACAAGTCTGGAGCATACAGCATCCCCCAGGTTGTTGAAGGAACTTACAGAGTCACCATCTATGCCGATGGGGTCTTTGGCTGGTACATCAAAGATGATATCCGTGTATCCAAATCCCACAACAAGGGCACATTCACATGGCGCGAAGAGAACGCCGGTAAAGAACTTTGGCGTATCGGAACCCCCGACAAATCATCAGGGGAATATCTTCATGGCTATGCACCTGATACTTCCAAACCGCTTGCACCAGAGCAGTATCGAATTTACTGGGGCAAGTACGACTTCGAGAAGGACTTTCCAAAGGGAGTGAACTTTCACATTGGCAAGGATGACGAAGCAAAAGATCTCAACTACGTACACTGGTCGTTCTTTGCCGCCAAGGGTAATCATCTTCGCTCCGAGAACTACTATGACAACGTCAATAATTGGACCGTTACATTCGACCTCAGCAAGAATCAGCTGAAAAACGTCAAAACAGCTACTTTTACCGTTCAGATTGCGGGAACCAGAGCAGGCAATGGAAATGCCAAGTGGACACCCGTCAACGATAGATTCAACAGCAACTTGCCATGGACCGTAAATGTCAACGGAGGATACGAAGACACGTGGGTGATACCTTATTGGCGAAGCGGAAGCTGCGCTGTTCGTAGCGCTGTTGCGTGTCAGAACATTGAGCACAAGTTTCAGTTCCCCACGTCCAAGTTGAAGCAGGGCAAGAATGAGTTTGTGCTGAGTTTACCTTTCAATGCTACGAGTATCGAGACGGCTTTGTTGCCTGATACGCTGTATGTCCAGTATGATGCACTTAGATTAGAGGTTAAGTGATAAGGGCTAGCAACACGAATTATTATTCCTTCATACTGCTCACGACAATTATTTAAGTAGAGCTTCACTCTGCCCAAAAGTCTCTGATGTGCTGCAGATGAGACAATAGAGATTGTGACAAGACTGCAAGTCATCAAAGAGGATGATAGCAAAATAGAGGCATTATTCGCTTCCCTCTAATGCACTACTGTAATCTAAATGCGTTGTATGTGAGCTTTCAAGAAGGAATATGCTCATTTTAAAATCGTCTGGTAACAGTCTAGATAAGTATATGATAGACTGGTGACTTTATAACCTGCCATCGATCAACATCGACGCTTCCCAAGACCCTATATTCATCATGTCCGCCCCAGACTCATGCTCCCTGGAACTGTACCGGGAATGATAATCTTAGATCCGTTTGCAGCTTTGCCGGGCAGGAGGGGGGTCGTTACAGGGACAGCCAAGCCCAGTTACATGGAGATACAACCGCCAACATTTGTTGTTATTTCGAGAGTAAACTAATGTCTCCTGTGCCGTCGATCCACTCGAAAGGTTCATTTATTTCAAGACATCATTTCCGGGGACGAAGACATATCATGGCATCAGGTAGCAAAGCATATGACGAAAGTGCCACGAAACTGGTTATCATATGTATAACACTTCTCTCACCGATGAGACGCTTCGTCTAATTATCCGAAGGCAATAGCCAGGGTTTAACCATGTCATTATAACGGTCAAGTTCGTAAACGCTTGTCTGTAATAAATAAATGGTTATACTGGATAACTAGTGGATAATGTATATAGAGAGTTACTAGCAAGCAACAAATCGAATCATCGTACTGGTTCAAGTGTCAAATCCCCATCCAACCTGATCAGTCGCAATAGCGGCAAGGCGCATCACACTCCTCGCACCATTGGCGGCATTGAAACGGCCTCCCTGGAAAGCGGCAGAGGCAGCACTCATAGCGGCCCTGGGATCGACGTGGGTGTTAACTGGGTTTGGTTCCCGAGCCAACACTTCGTTTAGAAAAGCATCTCCTGCAAGCCCTTGGTAACGATCCAAGCACAGCTGCTTAATCGCAGGTCCATACATATCCAACCACTGTCTCTCGCTGACAGTAGTGAATTTTCTCCGACCTTCGGCCTCACGTTTAGCAAATGCCCAGTCGACTTTGACTACTTCGTAGCGCTTGGTCGCGAAGAACAGAACGGGCCATGCGAAGATCCAAAGGAAGGTAAGGTAGAATATCCAGCAGATCCAGCGTGTCAGTCGCCAGTTGTTCAGATGGCTGGTCGAGTAGATATCGACCGCTCTGTCGGCTACGGGAAATTCGACAGTGATGTTGCCTCGATAGTTGGTGGATCTAATGAAACCGGAAATGTTGTCTCGGAGGGTTTCCTCATTCATACCACTGACAGTACGAGTCAGGCGGAATCTATTTAATGTTAGATGAGATTTCCAAGTTCATGTCGAGCTAGTAAGCTTACATTTTGGTTCCGGTGGCTTTGGCGCAGTATCGATGGCACCATTCCTTCAAGCTAGGCTTATCTTGACCAACCTCGATATCGCCTCTGCTCCCCTTCTGCCTCTTCTTAAGAACAGTTCCGCGGTAGGTTTTCTGACCGGGTTCTGCAGTCTCAAGCTTGGTGGAGGCATAATTGCCAGGAACGAAGTTGGGCCAAAGATAGTTCTGCATGTTGATCATGATTCTGAAATCTGTAACTTCCTGCCGTTTGCTCTTGCCATCGTTATCGCGTTTCGTCTCTTGATGAGTTCCAATGATATGAATATACGGCGTAGGTGGATATTTTGCCATCATGGTCACCCACTCTTCCAAAAACTGAGGATTGGCGTCGGAACGCGCATCTTGGACGTCGACAACTTCATTACCAATGGTGGTACGCTTTTTACCGATACGTTTCGAGGTATAAGAAAAGTGACCTTCGGGGGTGGTGACGCCCGTGTGAAATTCACCCTCAAAGTTTAACACTGCAGCTTCAGTGAAGTGCGCAGGTGTATTCATGTGAGTATCCTCAGTAATGGCATCGTCGTATGAGGGAAGAAGCGGGTCTTCAGTGTCAGGGATATCTTCATCGATGGGATCGACGTAGGACGGCTCGCCCACTGTTGTGTGCAGAGACAACGCGTCCGGATCATCCTGGTAGGGACGAGGTGACGGTGAAGGAGGCTTGCCCATCTTTACTCAAATGCGATCAAGGTTGATGCGATGCGATGCGATCGGATCACAACGCGATATTTGAGTCTTTGTTCAGGTTTAGGCAACAAAAGCCCTTGGCGAAAGATTGAAGAATAAGCCCCAGTCCTAATTGAGTAATCGCCGAGTTATGTCTCCAGGGGTTGGACGGCTTGAGCCAATAAGACACTTTAGTTTGAGACACGCACTAGGCTGTGTTCATCTTTCATTATCGATAACCGATAGCCTCGCTATCTTATCTTATCTAGACGTATATCTTATCTTGGCGCGAGAATCTTATGATCTGCTGTGGGTTACTACAGGGTTGTTGTTGTATTTAATTGCTAATAGCTCCAGCTGCTTAGACAGAAAGCCCTCTTCATCAAGATGACATATAGAGTAGTCTGCATCTACTTCTTGACAGAAGAATGAATTTTGGAGGCTCACTGTTTGGTATTTTTCCTTTGCGTGGGCAACATTCTCGAGCGAACAATTCTCCCATCCAAAGGAAATATGAAGCCGGAGGTAGCAGCATCACTTTGTAACCAAACAACATTCAAATATAAGACAAGTTAGGATATCATCAGTTGATAAGAATAGTGGATTCGAATATATTGACAAGGAAGATACTCCCTTTACAACGCTTGATCACATACTTCTATGTAGAATCTGGCGATCCTCATCAAGGCCAAGCCTTCAGCCTCGACATGTCTCGATTAAGCCTTGGAAATGGATTCTTCAATGATGTAATGTGGACCGTTCCCCGTAAACCCCATAGATATGGTTGGTTATTCCACAACCTTCCGATGATGATCGTCAACATAGTTCGAACGGCACTTACAAAATGGACGTTGCACTTATATGAACTGACTCATGATTGGAACATCGTGTTAAAAAGATCAAGCTTGGGCCAGGCGGGCTGAGGTATAAGAATACCCTTTGAGCCGTCGAAAACAACAATCCATCCTCATCAACACATCTTCTCTTCAACCTCTAAAGCAATCGACAGACTCTTAAGTCCCAAGACTTCAATCAAGCGCCATCTTTGTCAAAATGACTTTCACTCTTCGATCCGTTCTTTTCGTAGCCGTCATGGCTCTGAGTGCAGCTCCTGCATCCGCCTTGGTAAGTTCCCTAACACCCCCCCTCCTAGAAAGTTGTTACTAACGAATATAAGACCATCAAGCCCTCGTTTGAAAAGATCGCTAGAGGTCGTGATCCATCGAAGAACCTTGGGCTTCATAAGAGAGATTACTCCATCAACATCCAAGATGGCTCTGCCAGCGCTGCGTGCCCCACCGGCAACTGCTGCTCCCCTATCTGCAAGATGGACGTCAAGTTTGACGAATGCCCTGGCGGTGTAAAGGAATACGCCAAGACTTGCAAAGAAAACTTTGATGACACCCCGGCTTTCGAAAGGAAGAGCTTCAGCTACAATTGTGATGGATGGTCTATCTTCTGGGAGGACGGTGCTGTGGATGGAGGCCGCTTCATTACTGTTGAGCAGGGAGATACTGGAAACTTTTACCAGTTCTTTGTTGAAGGGTGTAAAGAGACAGATCCGACGTGGGATCCTTTCCAGTGTTCCTCTCTTGGAGGAGGCTGCACGGCCTCTGCATCTGGGCTTGGAACGGGCCCGAAGGGGGAGTAGAGTTAGGAATGTGCATGTTGTATAATACATATATGTTTTTTTTTTTTTTGTTTTTTTTAAACAATCCTCAATGGCACGTATTGTCATACCAATTAGAGGACTCAGCCCCCCAATGAAGATCGTTTCGTTGTATCCCTCCTGGTAAAGCCTGGAACTAGATGTTGGACGTGAAGGGTATCCCCGTGATGATACACGTGATTAAATTATACACGCCTGCACACGTCTTTGCTCTCAGCAGTCCTTCAATTTACGTCTTCAATTAATTCATTCAATCAGTACTCTCACATTTCAATCCTGGAGATTGCCTTTATCAAGTTTCGGTTAGCATTGACCTGACAATCTAGACTCGGGACTCTACGCCCATTTGAAGCAACAATGGTCAGTTTTCAGCCTAATGACATCAGCATAGTCTGACAAGCCACAATTATCCAAAACAGTTTAGCTTAGCTAGTGAGCAGGCTGTCAGGCTCACTGGAGCAAAGGCTACAAGCTTTGACGCACCCAGCGGTAGACGATGGTTTGTAACTCACGGCATCTAACTGCAATGGGGTATCACGCAAAGTCGCACAGCCAGTCTCGAATTTCTCCAAACCTCCGTTATGAATCGGCGTTGTGTCGTATTCGAATGATGATTTGTCGCGGGGAATGTGGCTGCATGGGGGTTGAAACAGGAAGTGCGCCCAGCTGAGCAGGGCGCTTGAAATGCCCACGTGATCTCTTTATCTCTACTTTTCATTTAGTCTCTCCGAGAACAACCATAATATGCCAGACCTGCGTCAAACTCGAAGTACGGTAATGCTCAACGGCTCTAAGTAGGGTTAGAAATCATCGCTGGTGCTATACATGCTTACTCGGGGAAATAAACCGCCAAGTTACAGCATTTACAGCATTTACAGCTATCATGACTTGGCTACCTCTGGATAATCATCGACATCTGCTTTGTGGCTTTTGCTTCGCCAGTTCAATTGTCAACTAATGGTTTCAGAACCTCAAAGGTAGGCAGACTAAAATGCCCCCTTGCTGCGACTTGTTCTGTCGTCATTTTGACACGATGGGCAAATCAAAATGTGCCGTGTAGCTTAGGATGTCAGTGGCTGTGGCTATGCATCACGAGCCGCCTTGGGCGTTCTTCAGTGTAGGTACAAGAAATACTCAACGCTGGAATCATAAGAGACGAAATTAGTGGGCCAGCTTATACTACCTAGACCATAATTCTTAGACTACTTATTTTTGTACCCTGAAGCCTAGGATGTGAACTTTTCTGCTAGCCACTAGGCGTTGTCTTAGGCGGCTTCCCCAAGACGCAGGCGAACAGACACCATTTTCTTGTTCCCCTGACTTTCTTTTGTAAACCAGACAGTTAATAATTTCCTTCTCTGCCCCCTCATTATTTCTTCAAAGCTACACTTCTTTGTATAAGAAAAAATGGCGACAATTTCGGGCTATAAACAATTGGAGCCAGGGTTATCACAGATTCGTTTGCTCCACCTACTACCCCTGCGAACCAGACATCACCAATCATCAGCACCATGGTATCAATGTGTCAGTCTCGAATGCACCTTCGAGACAGTACATCTAGCAAGTGCTCCGCCTTTTGAAGCCCTATCATACACATGGGGTGAGGAAGCTGCCTCGGTTCGCATTCTTTTGAACGGAAAGGTATTTCTCGTACGACCTAATCTAGCTCACGCCTTGGCTGCCCTGCGTGTCTCAGAGCCTCGCGTGCTCTGGGTTGACGCGCTATGCATAAACCAACAAGATACCACAGAGAGGAATCATCAAGTCGGAATGATGGGCGGCATCTTTCGTCAAGCAGAGCGAGTATTGGTCTGGCTTGGACGACCTAGCTCTGGCTGGGACTCACAAGTTGCAGGCGCCCTCAAAATGGCAGAGAGACTTGGTGACAATCCTCCAACCTCAAAACTTCCACCGACACCACCTCAACCCAACCCCCATCACGAATTGGAATTTTCCCAATGGATCGATCTCTTCCCGGAACACATCGAAGATCGCAATGACAAGGAGGTGCATGCAAAAGGTCCTTCCAAGTCGCTTATATCACATTGGGAAGCATGCTTTGATCTAGGATGTCACTGCTGGCACCGAGCGGCACAAAAACGTGAGAAAAAGGCACGCGAGTTGAGTCGAGCGAAGTGGCAAGAACGCCTAGATCGGCAGCGTCAACGATGGTGTCAAATGGGAATTGAGCATGCACTACACAAAAAGAGAGTGGAAAGACTTCCCAGTATGATCGAAGACACACAAAAAGACCTACCGTTCTTGGAGAAAATGGAAAAAGAACTACCCAGGCTCGAAGCTGAAGAGATCAAACAAGAAAAGCTACTCTACGACCTAAGGCTTTTGGAATCTCAGGAACTAGTATTACTAGATGCACCTCAGCAGCGACTATTACAAGACTTTCACGATAGTCAAATTCGAGCCTACCAAGAATTGAGCAATGAAAATCCTCAAAAGTCGCCAGACATGGATCCTGAATTTTGGAATCAAGCTCGTCCAATTGCCCATGTATCTGGCGGAGATGACCAAGCGCAAGGAGAGACAGAAAGGCTACTCTACGAAATATTAGCTGATCTGGGATATTTCCAACGATCGATCACTGATCTTCGTAAACGGGTTCAGGGAGAACCGGCATCGCCATTACTGAGAGAGAAGATTGGTCATATTGAGAAGATGCAACAACTGGATATAGATCAGCGCCGCGGCCTTGGCAAGTTACAAGAACGGCTGCAAACATGGCAGCGACCAACAGACAAACAGTACGGAGAAGGCCTGAAACTACTGGAATCACAGGTCGAGGAGTTTGACCGACGAGTCGAATCTTGGGCAACTCTTCAAAAGGTTGAGATGGAAAATTTTGGGGACCTTCCCAAGTTCATCTATGAGAAATGTGAATCATTACAGAGCTTCATAGAACGACAATGTCAAAACCTCGAGACGATGAGATTGAGCCAGGGGTTACTCAGCTCTGGTGTGGACGCGTTCCTGACGGATGAGGAACTTCGCATCTCAGAAAAGCTCAAAAGTATCAAACAGGAAATTCTCAATCAACACTTCGTCCTGCGAAATACGGAGCTGAGGAGATGGGGATTCGAGTTGGTTCTTCAGCAATGTGACAAATGGCGCTCACAACGTGACAAATGGCGCTCAAACATGTACGAGATAAAAAGGCACCGCAACAAGAACAGGATCCGAGAAGAATCCATCAACGCTCAGCTTGAATGGGTCCAACTATGGAAGGATATGGTAGCATGGCAATCTAAGGAGTGGCATGATCTTGTCTTCACTCAGACTGATTCACCTCTCGGGTTGCCTGATATCGATCTGCTCAGCCTAGAAGGAATTTGTCGCCTACCATACTGGAGACGCCTTTGGATAGTTCAAGAGGTGCTCTTGGCGAAAGAGTTGGTTTTGTGTTTTGGAGACAACACGAAGACTACTACATCTTGGGATCTATTCACCAAGACCCGAGAATCCTTGGAGCGGATCCCTAGCTCCTGGCAATTTAGTCCAGCTGTCGATGCATCTCTAAAGGAGATCAAAAAGGCTTTCCCGCTCCAGTTGGACAAACTACGAAACGAAAACGGACAATCCTGGTCATTACACAATCTTGTGGATATCACCGGGAACTCTTTATGCCATGATCCTAGAGACAAGGTATACGGTCTTCTTGGGATTACCAGCGGTTTTCAGTTTGGAGATTTCGACGTCAAATACCAGGATGCGGTGGAGGATGTTTACCGGAATGCGATTCTATGGTATCATTCGAAGCATGGCGAGGACGTAAAATCTCCCAATCTTGTGAGGTTTAGCCAGCTTTTGCAGAGGTCGCTCAAAAGCCATCAAGATACGCAAAGCTCGCATACTTCTACGCCAAGCTCGAATGCCTCTACACAAACCTCGAAGGCCACCGCTACTCCACTGTCTCTGAAGAGGAATCTACTATCTGGATACACGGACAAGTTTTGCATGAAGGGAATGTCCGGTGTCCCTCTTCTTCCCATCGACAAATTGATCGGGGATCAAGCCTTGATGCAATCACGACGTCGGGACTGGATCAGTACTCTGGTTGAGTATTTTGACGACTCTGGATTTCGGGGGCCAAAGGCAGCCATAGAAGAGGAACTGTTGTATCTTGACTCCGTCAGTACGACTTTGTCCATGCCGACTTCTTCTTCAGCACACGCAGTTGTAGAGGAAGAGGAATACATGACCGACGAACCTAGCCCGGAGATATACCCCTCCCGCGATAGATCAGGGCAAGGGCAAGAACCGCTTTTCTTCCTTACTGTCGACGGCGAAGTCGGTATTTCGTCAACTTGCATTAGAGAAGGTGACCTCCTATGCAGAGTTCCGGGCTCAGATCTAGGTGTAATCCTTCGCCGAGGAAAGGGTCAGTACAACTTGGCCAGCAAAGCGATCGTGTCGTCCATCACGAAAACAGCAATGACCAAAGGAGAGAGCTCCCGGACTGTGCATTTGACGCTTGATATCACATCAATCCTGTCCCTTACAACACCTCTGGATATCGTAAACAAGTACGGAAACCGAGAACCTCTGTGTATTCAAGAATCTTCATTTGGGTGGTATGAGTTCATCGCTTCGGGGGTTGATGTGACTTCCAGTCCTCCACGTCCAAAGCCAAAGATCCAAACAGCAGATGATCTGTCAGAGGCCGAGCAAGAACCAGAACCAGAACCCACTATCGCCACAAAGTTCAAGGTGAGGACAAGGGTCTTCTCCTCTGAACAGAGTTGGGTGACCGACGGTATATCGAGACTCATGTCGGTAGCGCCCATGGTCAGCCTGGATATCAATGAGGCATACCCGGCATTGCACTACCCTGACCTCCCCACAGTCTCGTTAACTGTCTACTCTAGCCCGCGAGTCAATGGCCTCACTATGATGAAAGGCACACAAGAAGAGCCTCGCAGCTCCAAACTACCCACGTTCAAACCGACAAGATCCTCTTGGCGTTTCAGACTTAAGCTCAAGCATGTACCATGGAAAGAACCGACTGTTCAGTCGAGTCCAGTTTCGCAGGGAGGAGAGGTACGCCAGGCGATATCTAGGTGGTGGAGTCGCATTGTAGATTAAGGTTGGCACTGTTCAAGGCATTACACATTTCAGGAGAAGGCGCAAATTTTAGTATATTCCTAGCTAGCGGTGATATTTATTAATAGATACCTTGACTTTGGAACATCTCGAAGTCTATAGTGAGAGACCGGGCTTACTCCATGTGAAAACGACTACAGGTCATCCGTATCGCATCAGACTCCTTGACGGCACAGTCATTCAGCGGTCTTGAGGCGGTGGTATGCTACTTTTAATGCAAATCAAATAATAAAATCAACTGCATAGCTCGAATGATAGTCTTCTAGAATCTTGATAGGAACTCTCAATTCTAAATACATTCTGTATATGGGATCAAAACAGAAGCAGAGTTAGAAATGCAAATATTGGGTGATATCTATATAATCCCTGATACTAAGAGGTTCAAGTACATACGACCATACCTATCAGAGAACTCGGGATCCCGTCCGCTCTCCCATAGATAAGCTGGTAAGGGGCGGATTAGTAGTTGGGTCGGTGACGACCAGCGAATCCCCGCTGTTGTATGTTTTTTGCACCATCTCAAGCCTCTATCTCTTTTGGTACCGTAATTAAACGGAGTGGGTCTATTTGTTCGTTGTTCTTTCTGTCTGTCAGCATGCAGCTCTACCCTGACCCAAGATCTAGTCTATGGACCAAATATTCTTGCTGGGTTAAACACAAACACCTTCACCCACTCCTCTTTCGTAAGCCACTCACTCAACAAACGAAGTTCTTTGCCAGTGTCAACTTCAAGTGGAGGTGCTGGAGTGAGTCCTTTGGCAGTGGCATTGACGTGAGGCCAATCACTGCCCCAAACAACGCCAGAAGGCGCAGCCTCGAGAAAGGATTTGATAACAGGCTCCATAAGAGATATATCCTCTGATCGGCGGTGCAAAGCTCCTGTTTTGACATGAAGTCTGCCAGCTTTCATAAGGCTGAGAAAGTCGTTGAACTCAGTGGTGTTGTAATCATCGGGAGTTGCCGAACCATTGTGGTCTGCGATGATAGCTATGTTTTTCAGCTTGGGGTGGTTCAAAATGGAATCTGTCATTTTTGACCATGTTTTGAGTGGCAGTTGAGATGAGATACTCCATCCGTATCTCTCCAAAGGACAGTAGGTAGCCACGTCAACAAAGTTCTTGCGAACCCACTCAAGATCATCGCCAGATCCACCATACGAGCCATGGATCCTCACAGATCGTACTCCGGCCTCATTTAAAAGGTCCCATTCAGAGTCCGTTTTGTTCCTTAAACTGAGGTCCTCGGGATCCCAGGAGATGGTGCCGCGTATTTGTTTCTCAGGGTATTCTCTGTGACCATTGGTCAAGGTTTCCAAAAGCCCACTATAGCCATCTTCAATCGTTGCTTGCACGATCATGGCATTGTCGGATGGTGATTTCTCAATCAGATCGTGCAGTGGAGCGGCTTGCGGAGTATAGGCGCGTGAGCTCTTGAATGGATGGCGCTCCGGGTCAAAACAGTGCGTGTGGGTATTCCATGATGAAGGTGGTAGATTGGGCATGGGTAACATATCCTGTGTCGGATGTGCCACCGCAACATTTCCATATGTTGCTACGACGCACAGAAAGCTTAGGAAGTTCATCGTTTAAGGGGTCCGAGGCTGCAAGTTCAAGCGCTAGCTGAGATTCCAAAAACAACACATCTGCTGAAACTTAAATATTTAACTTATTGACGAGACTAAGATCTGCAGTTGGAATCGTGGGGCTCTCTGGAGTAGTTCAATTTTATCTGTTAATGCCCTCATGCCGATCCGGTAAATGTCCGAAATTTCGGACTATCTCCGAAGAGACTAAATGAACAGCAGCGAAGCAAAGCACCAAGATCAAGTAACGATTAAATCTGAAAGTAGACAGAAATTACCTTTGGCCACCTCACTTTCTAGCTATCCGCTTTGGTCTTTTCTCGCAATAATCCAGAGAGACTTCGCCTAATGTCCTTCGAAAACGCGTCGTGTTCGGTATCCAACTCTGTGTTGTATGTAAAAGTCTCGATCATGAGCCGATCAATTTATCCTCACCACCAGATTTCACATGCAGCTGTTCTGTAGCAGTCAAACACTCCATGCCAAGCATGCCTTGTTGAATTGTTAAGATGTAAACCAAGCAATTTAAAAGACCACATAATCATCCTCAATGCAAATTGATGAGCCTATTTCACAAAGTTGAACATGATATTCAGTCACGGCTTCAAGGGTAGAATGGGCCTTTGCTATCAAGAAAAAATGTGTAGTAAGTGAGAGCGCCAGACATCACCTTCTGAAGGGTCCAGTAAGACATGAAATATCAGTAGTCTAGTATCCTGTCAAGGCCCATCGCGATCCATGGCTACATCTAGGGTTACGACATAGATTCCTAGTGCCCTGTGTAGTTAATTGACCGCTAGATTGCTAACAAGGCTGCCATTTTGCTAGTGCTGACTATCGATCTTGTCCAAGACAATGGACGACAACCTGAGCTCTTTGCATCTGACATGCTGCAATGTTGATTGGCTGGCTTATGCCACGACTCAGATAACAAAACTCAACTCCATTCCGAAACCTTGCCAAGATACTCAATATGATTTTACAGGTGAACGCGGGCTTTGAGACATCACTATGCAGTGGCAGCTGGATAAGCCAGGAACGTCAGTGATCGTCAATGATCTACCAAAGCTGAAAGCTGAATTGGATCCGGACGATCCCATAGGATGCGGTAAGGTTCACTAGTCTAAACTAGGTCTTAGTTACCTCAACAAACTATTGTTTATGGTTGCAGGGATTGAAAGCCGTGAGGTTTACGTGGGGACATATAGGCAATCTTATCCAATGTTGATCTATGCAGAATAGAAATATGACGTAGGCTTAGGTATTAAATTACATGTCCTTGTCATTGCAGAAGATGGTCCTTGCAGCTTGCTGTATCTCCGTATGAACTTCACTACATTAGGGTTAGGCCTCCGTAATATTCGTTTCAACTGGTTCCACGAAATATTAATGTCTAAGCCATAGCTGTACGATGACGAGTCAAGTTGATCTGGCATACATTCTGGCCTGAACTTTACATAAAATGGTATTAATCTTACTAGAAGTCCATCAGTATATATATCTGTGACTTGTCCTCCTATTTTCTACCATACTCATCCGCCTAAGTCATTACTACCACCTACACTCCTCTATCACTTTGCAATATTGAGAAGTACAGAAAAATACATTTGAATCAACTGTCAAGGTATGTTGTCTCTTCTGCAGCATCAATTAAAATGTACAGTCCATTCTGACTATCTCTATTAGATGCCTTCTGCACAAGGATTTATCAAGAGTGTTGCCGGCGGCAACAAGTTCGCGTCTGTATTTATCATCGACGATATTCAGTACCACTTCCAGGGCCAATTCAACCCTGCCGTACAGGATTTTCAAAGCAATGACGCCACCCTGGAGTACGACAGCCCCGACCAATTAACTACCTATCGAGATCTTGAAGGCAAGGTTGGCACACAGGATGTTAGTATCAACTTATCCAACGGCGCTAGAATCAGGGGCAATCTCGACATGCCTCTTAGTCCAGCAAGCCGAGTCAGTGGATCTGGTATCTGGACACAAAACTGAGTTTTGGACTTCAGAAGTGGAAACTGCAGATCACGGCTTTGTACTATACTGCTGACCAGTCCGTAACACCATAGCAAGAATATCTTGCTTGTAAACCATAGATGTTTTTATATGGTTCTACTGATGCATCTGTCAATGTATGGAGGAAATGTTAGTAGTGTGTACAATTTAAAGTAGTTTCACTTGTATGGAAAATAACACCTGCGATAGCTCTACGTTTGTATAACTCATATTAGGAAGCCCAGGCGCCAGAACATGGAACATTCACTTTAATCCTTTAAATGCTCAGTCTTGGAGCAACAGAGATTCGATGATCAGACAAACATGTCAGGATTACCTGACTGTGATAACATGGCCAGCAAGAAAGACATAAGGATCGGAACTGTGGCCTGTACATAGGGCATGGTTGTAATCTATTTTCTTGGTTTTCAAAAAATTATACAGCTTTTTGAGAGCGTTGCCCATTCAAAGATCATTGGGCTGAATAGTAATTACATGGAACCGGAGCACATATCTAGATATATAGGTTCAAGGTTCCCGGGCAATCATTTACCAGCACGGTACCTCCGCCAGCTGTTGTTCATGCGAACAGCCTGGCCAGGGGTAAACTCAGTGTAACACGAATCAAAGCTGTAGTCCATGAAATTGTGTATGGGGTCAACACCAGGACGGTCTGGACAACTGAGCAAAAACATGTTAGTCATCAACAAGGCAGTACTAAATTTAGGACAACTTACGTGTTACGGCCGATAGGACAGCCCCAGGACGCGATAGCTTCGGCGGGGGTGTCATCAACAAAGTCACCATCTCCCTTGCAACCACCCTGAAAGGTATGCCAGAGGCCGAGCCAGTGGCCAATCTCGTGAACGCTGGTCCATCCTATGTTGTAGTTGGCCAGAGAACCTCCAGGAAGACTACCACTGGCAATTATAACGCCATCGAAGATGAACTCTGCAGAGCCCACTGTGATGTTATCCATTGGAGGGGCAGCTATCCCCAATAATCCGCCCTCCATGGGGACATAATAGAGGTTAATATCTGCATAGGTACCCTTACGTAGCGCCCCCTTCATGTCCATTAGTGTCTCAAACTCTTCCAGACCCGCCCAGCTTTCGTTGACAACCCAGTCGTTGCTCAAAACGGTAAAGGCAAAACCATACTTGGGGTAGGTTTCATTGAGGAGACGCATCTGCTCGTTGACGACAGAAGCCTGTAGTACCGGTCAGCAATTATCTTATCACCAAGTCGAATGGAAGGAACTTGCATTAATGTAGCCGCCCTCTACAGTCTCGTTGTAAGCAATAATGTGATTGTAGATATTGATGTTCACTACGGAGCTGTCACCAAGGCCCATAATCGAGGCAGAAGTTGCCTCTTGGGCAGCGAGCTCCTTGGATGCCTGGATCTGCTGCCAATTTGGGGGAGAGACACCACAGCGGCTGTTTGGAAGGCTTTTGGCAACACTACCAGTTGCAGCCAGGACACAAGCTAGAGAGGTATCGAGGCGCATTCTGCGGAAGGAGTTGAGAGAACAATTGTTTGATGAGCTTATATCAATTGTTCTAATATGGGGAACCACCGAAATATATATACATGATGAACGCTGTTTATCGTGACCTCGTATTTTACTTCTCCCCGTTCTTGACTAGTCGGTAATCGGTTACCATTCCCATTGAGTTGGCAGCGAACTTTCCCAATCTGGCATCTAAGATCACGATCTGCAAGGTCCGCAAGATCGGCCCGCGAAGCCAAGAGTATTTCCCCCAACCATAGGTAGGACGCTGGGGTGGCAGGTCTATATACACGTGTATTTGTCCTCCGATGGACATAACTTTAATACGCGACATCCAATGGCTGACGCTAATACGAAGCTTCCAATGACATACCCAGTTGTAATCAGAGCCTAACCAGTTGAAGAAGTTGCATCTGCCCCACAAGATATCTTGGCTGCATTATGTATTGTTTGAAGACGCCAATAAGGAAAGCCTCCAGGTCAGCGTATCGTATCGTATTAGTGGAAGGTCGTATGAGCGGAAGGGTATCAATCATGTAATATAAAGTCCTATATTTTGCACCCTAAAGAAAGGGAACATACCAGCTTCACCCTTTGTTTTGTTTGGCCACCGGCTCTTTGTCTCGACAATGAAGACTCTTAATATCCACCACGGTGTGGCGCTTCTGGCCACTACTCTCTGTCCATTTACATTCGCATCCCCAGCGACTTCCAACCCCTGCCGCCGTGTAAGTGAGTTTTGGGCCGCCCAAATCAAGTCCGGCATCGAGACACCCAAGGTGGACGCCGCTCTGGCCTATCAATGCGTCACCTCTGTCCCTATTGCGCAGAAGCAAGCTCTGAAGTTCATCGACGAGCTTGTCCCCTACCTCGAGTTCCAGTCCGACCAAGCGTGGAAGAAGAATCCTCCAAAGTCCTACAATTACCCTGGCTATGACATGTGGGCTGAGCTATCCACAATTCGTTCTGGCATCGAGTCGGGCAAGTAAAAAACCGAGTATGACTGGCAGAACGACTTGTTTATGCGTGTGTTTGGCCCCGGCCATGACGGTCACATGTATATATACCCCGACTTGCTGGATGTGTTTCGATGGGAACGTCAAGTCGCCCTTGTGTCCATTAGCGAGGATGGACTAAAGCTGCCTGTTATCAAGGTCTACCAGGATGCCAGTTCTTCGCCCAAGGACGCGTCCGCAGTCACTCACATCAACGGCAAGGATGCCGTGACCTGTATCGAGGATTTTGTCAACAAGGTCGGAGAGAACCAGGACCGTGACGCCAATTACAATATGATGTTTTATTCTCGAGCGCAGGAGTCCGTCTTTAAGACGCTGGGACATTTCCACCGCGGTGGCCGCCTGCAGCAAGTCCAATCTCTAATGCTTCTACTCAAAGACAACGACACTAACACTATGGATCGTAGATTTGTATACCCAGGGGAGGCGACAACGCTGAACTTCCAGAACGGAACCAGGTTAGAAATGAAGAACAGCGCTCAGATAACTGGCAACTGGACCGGCGTCGTCGATTCCAAAACATTTTGTACGTCTTCCCCTCCTAGACTTTCTGCCAGGCAATGGCTTGGATTATGCATCCCACTAACTATGAACACAGTTGCCAAGCTCTGTCCCAACGCACTGTCCAATGGCAAGCAACCCGGCTCCAATGTAGCGAGTCACAAGAAGCCTGGGCCGACTGGTGATGACGCCAGACTGGTGTCGACTGCAGATGAGACCAGGCTCCCTGGCTACCCCAAGCCAGTGGCCATTACGAGTGACAAGAGTGCATCCGGCTACTTCCTGGAAGGGCCAGAATTCGAAAATGTCGCTGTCCTGGTGCTGACGGGCATGTCTATAGTAGCCGCGCCATCGCAAAAGACCGTGCAGGACTTTTACACTGCAGCCAAGCGTGCCGGCAAGACCAAGCTCGTCGTAGATGTTCAGGTCAACGAAGGTGGCTTCATCTCCTATGCCTATGACATGTTCCGTCAGCTCTTCCCAGACATTGTGCAGGACGTACAAGGCCGACACAGACTCTCCCCTGGGTTCACCGCAATTGCGAAGGGCGCGTCAGAGGTCTGTCGCAACTTCGACCCCGTCGCCACTGAGGAGGAGGATGACGAGGATAAGATGCTCCTATGCCAAAGTCCATTCTACTATGGCTATGACCTGGACAGTACGCTTCACAAGTTCAAAACACACGCCCAGAAGTACACATCTCATACCCTCAACGGCGACAAATTCACCAATCTAACAGTATGGGACTTGTCTGATATTACTGACACCAGTAGCCCCCATTATGGTTATGGATTCAACGTCACCGGCTACGGCAACCGCCTCAACTTTACGCGGCCCTTCAACGGGCCAGAAGATATAGTGCTGTTATTCGACGGCTACTGCTCGTCTTCGTGCACCATCTTCGCCCAATGCATGATTCATGACGCCGGCGTCAAGACCATCTCAATCGGCGGTCGTCCTCACGAGGGTCCTATGCAGGGCGTCGGTGGCGTCAAAGGCTCTCATGTTTACGGTCACGAAGATATCAAGCGGTACGCGGGGTATGTTAAGAATAAACTGGAGAGCAACAGCTCTGCCATTCTCAAGGAAATGGACAGGTACACCAACTACATTCCCAGTCGCACTCGGTATATGGCTGTTAACATGCTGGACTCCTACCTGCCGGAGGACAGGGGCAGTGGCCCGCCCTCACAGTTCGTTACTGAGCACTCCGAATGCCGCATGTTTTGGACACAGGAAATGGTGGATAGCCCTGCAGCCGTGTGGAAGGTGGCTGCAAAGGCGGCCTTTAATGGAGGCAAGTGCGCAGCTGGAGGCTTCAGTAAAAGGGCTTGAACAGAGAAGTATTTAGCTTGAAGATAGATAGGCAGGATTGGTCTTGGAATAGTGCTAGAGAGAAAAGAATCTGACCTATTAACTTGAACTACTTAAGCGTGAGAGTATATTTTAAAATTATATTTTCAACACCACTCTCTATATCCAGGCCTTCTCCGCTTCAGAGACCCTCTTCCATCATATATCGAACCATGGACATCAAGTTCCGCGATCCTGCCACTCCTACTTCCTCTTCTTAGGGTCATGGGATTATTGATTATACGCGTTTACGAAATGGGAAATATGTGACGAAATTAGCATACTGGTTTGTTCTGTTACAGTATTGAGGAATTACTATGAAGCTTGCATCTCTTTTTAGATCGTCAGCGAGCCGCCACGACTGCTGGTTGACCTATAATTCTTAAGCTATTGATCTTTTTATCTTAAAACTTAGGAGGCCAACCTTTCTGCTATCCGCCAGCCAGAACTTCGAACTTGAAGGAATTATATCTAATAGGTGTATCGGAAATGCTTATTTTCCTTATCCGTCATGGTAGACCAGACCTCTGGCGACATGTATGCATCTTCAACCTGCTTGGTACGATCATCCCGTCTCTTGTTTGCCCAGACATAATACATGAATAGCGCAAAGGTAGTGAGGGCACATCCTGCTTGAGTACCCATGACAGCTAGTTTGGCAGGTCGGAATTCGGGAGCGTCCTTTGATTGGAATGTCTGCGGTCCGATAATATTTCCTAGCGAAAAAGAACCGCTGACGATGGCAGCAGCGAAAGCTCTCTTGGTAGCACCTCCGAAGTTTGCAGCCGTCCACTATGAGTTGTCAGTAATTGGGCATCATACAGGGGTATGATTGACTTACATTGTAAAAGATAGTCAATGGGGCGACGACGGCATTGACCAGGTAGATACCAGCGAGACAGCCAGCCCTGTTCGAAGTAGGGAGAAATGACATAAGGGCACCACCAAGAATGCTAGCAGTTTGTTAGTAATAGCAAACGATCATGAAGAGAACATGGGACCTACGCAGGAATAATGCACATGATGATCCACGCCCAGCGATGAGACTGATGACGGATACCAAAGCCAACAGTCAACGTGAAGAAGATGCTGACAACACCCGAAGGCATGTTCATCAAAGCAGCTTTCTTGGGGGTGTAGCCAAGGTTACGGATGAGAGTAGCAGAGTAGGTGGTGACCACACCGGATGATACCGAAAGCTAGAAACACAGTTAGTTGTGAAGCGCATTGAGTGGATGCCAAGACATACCAGAACGACGGACAGAAGCATGAGATACAACTGAGGATCACACAGCGCCTCTACAATCTCTTTGGGACGGAATTTGCGGCTCTGGATGCCTGTCTGATTGACACTGACGTGCTTGAGCAGCGCAACCTTCTCACTGCTAGTCAGCCACTTGGCTTTCATCGGTGTATCAGGGAGGAAGATAAGCGTCGCCAAGCCAATGACGACAGTGATTAGGCCAAGGGTGATGAACATGATACGCCATCCTGCAAGCTGCCCACCGGGAGCGATGTGCTGGAAACCATAGGACACTAGTCCACCGACGATCTGACCCAGGCCGAGTCCAAGGTACCAGAACGAGAAACGAGGGGCCTGCTCGGACTTGGTGTACCATTGGCTACTGATCAACATCAGGGATGGACCAATTGTCGCCTCGAAGATTCCGAGGAAGATTCGAGACACAAGAAGGGTCTGGTAATTGTGTGCAGCGGCTCCACAGGCGGTAGCAATCCCCCAAGCGATAACGTTGGCTCCTAGCCATTTGCCAGCGGGGACCATTTGAAGAAAATAGACTAGGAATGTCAATTGTGATCGTCGTAAAGGAGCAAGGGTGACGAACTATTGGGGATCTCGAAACAAAGAAGACCGACGAATAGGAACGTTGCGATGTTGGAAAAGTCGTTCCCTTGAAGATTGAGATCTTGGTTAAGACCCATCACTGCGGAGTACTATGATGATCATTAGATAGAGTTCAATGGAGTGAAAATGTTTGCGCACTGACATTGAGAATGACCTTGTCGAGGAATTGCATTGTGTAGCAGCAAAACATGAGAGGTACAATGTGCCAATCAATCTTGCGTCTCATCTTGTCAATGTCGACATCGTGAGAAGCACCAGCGGCGTCTCGGTTCTGGTCGAGGAACTTCCAGGCTGCATCGACATTTCCAGGACCCTTTTCAGAAGAGAGTGTGACATGAGCCTCCTCTTTCGTGGGAGAATCCGGCTGAGACATGTTGAAAAGTGAGGCCAGCCGAGTAGTACAACAGAAAACAATGAAGAAAGGATTAAAATTTGACAGCGCGTAAACACAATATTAAGAGGATAAAAGAGGGAAAAGATTGTCGACTGGATGCAGTTGCAAATAATTAAAATGGAGCTACGTAGCAACAAGCCCGAGAGACGACAAGGTGAAGAAGTTGTCGCAATTAGACTGCAACATTCATCGGCTGCACAACCGATTGTGAAACCCATCCGGACCTCCCCGGTCGATCCTCTTCATCACTGCCGAAGATGTTATTGGAGCGATACGAAGCAAATAACAAGGGTCACAAGACAAAAGGTCCCTGCACATGCCATTGTTCTGTTGGTTACATACTCTGTATACCTTGTCTCAATCTGCAAGAGCAGGGGTTCAACTGCAGTCCAGACCAACAACAATGCAAGTCTAGAATCTACAGGCGAAAGTGATCCGGATTTTCATTACGAAAAAGCAAAGATATTACTTAACCGGAGTTTTATTAAGGATAATTGTAGCAAATCATGCCGGGTTGTTGTGATTGTTTGTCGCAGAGGTGATGCATTTAATGAGAAGCGGCGCAGCAAACAAAAGGGAGACAATGGGATTTGTCAAGCTCGAGGCTTCGCATAGTTTAATTTTGCTTTTGCATGGGGATGGACCGGGACAGCATGGCATGACACGATGGAAAGTTTGGGAAGGTTGTTTTGTGTGTGAGCAGGATCCTGCTGTGCCTCTGTATTGAGATGAGAGCCGAGAGATGAGACCGAAAGTCTGGAAAATTTACGTGCATGCTGTTGGTAAGTCAATTAATAGACGTCTTTCTGTCGATCTAGCTGCATGCCAAATTTCCCGACTCTTTGTTACTGTCACTCAGAAAAAAGCCGCAAAGATGGGATGGGTGTTGAACGCGTCCCCTCAAGTCGAGCAAATATCCGAATATCCAAAGATTATAGGAATTACAGTGACTTTGACGGTACTCGCATTGGCCATTGTCACTGCTCGACTGTATATTCGATGGAAAGCTCGAGGTATGGCAGGTGATGACTGGATGTCTGCCTTGTCCATGGTCTTCGCTTTGGTATACTCCTGTATCTGTATCGCTCGTGAGTCAAAGCTTGTTGCGCACATTGCCTATCATATGTCTTAAAATCAAGATTGCTGACCAAAACTCAGAGACACGATATGGCCTTGGCCTTCCGATCCCCGACCGACCGAAAGAGAACCTCGTACCATATACACGAATAAACTTTGCGGGTCGACCCTTCTACCAACTCGGTATCAGTTTCTTCAAGATTGCGCTGTTGATCAGCTACCTCAGACTCTTACGTGGTACGGACCAGAAGACCTACAGGAATGTCATCTGGCTCATGATCGCCTTTGTGTTCATGTCCCATCTTGGCTGTACACTGGCACTGGTATTTTCATGCAGCCCAGTAAGTCTCCCTTACAGACACGACAGACTTGACGCTGATCTTTTGCAGGTGGACAAGTCTTGGAACCCGCTCAAGGAAGGGCAGTGTCTTCCTCCAGGACCTTCCTTCACAGGGTACGCTGTTGTCACAATCGTCTCCGACATTGTGGTTGCTGTCTTGCCTATTCCCGTACTGGTGAAGCTGGAAATTAAACTGGCAAAAAAGATTGGTCTTATCGCCATTTTCACACTGGGAATCTTCACAACAGTTTGCTCAATCCAGAGATATCGACAGATTGACCGAATCCAGAACCCGAAAGATGGCAACTCAACTATGCTGGTCCTTTGGGGTACTATCGAGTTCAACGTTGGAGTAAGTACTGTCCCTGCGTGTATCTGAATCATTCTAATTGCGTCAGAATATTGTGTCGTCTCTCCCGTTTCTCGCCCCAATCTTCATCAAAAGAGCTAGAGAATACCGATCCAAGCCATCTAGTCACAATACTCCGAACCGAAACAGATTAGGGAGCAATGGGTACAAGCTCAAGGACCTCGGCCATACAGGGAAGAGGGAGCCATCTGTCTTCACATCGACCCGTAATAGTTCCCAGGAAAACATCTTGCATGGTGGTATTGTTAAGTCCGTTACATACAGTGTCGAGGTAGATAAGGCAAAGTCGGATGGCCTGGAGTCAGATAGCAAGCGTCTATAGCTTAATTACCAAGTGCACATTTCAATTGGTCTCTTCTCAATCCACCACCTAAATCTAGTATGATAATTTAATGCCAATGGCTTGCTCTTAAATAACATAAATGGAGTTAATTTATGTTTCTTATTTTTCCAGTTCTCTTCCCGAGAGTTCCGACACATCCATCACCATTAGCCTGTTCTTCGAACCCCCTGCACGTTACAAGGGTCGTACACTGCAAGGGCCACAGTACCCCTGCCCTTGCACCGGCATCCGACTTCTGATCCGACTAATCCATACCAAACGACACGGAGGAATTGCTTTCTCGGCTGATACCCTGGAGTTCACTACCAACCAACAGTAAGCACTTGCCTAAAGCTTCTCTCACATGAGTGCCGCGGTCGCCGCAGAAAGAATTTGCATGAGCTATAATTATCCGTGATTGCCAAGGTGCTGTCGATCAAACGCTGCGGCGAATAATTTGAGACACTGACACACAGAAGTAAGCAGCAATGGCGACTTCTCAAGATCAACAACCTGTGTTGATTATTGGCGCGGGTATCAGTGGTCTACTCCTTGCACAAAGCTTGACTCAGCATAAAATACCCGTCCGCGTATTCGAGCGTGATGCAAATCTCGAAACACGTGGTGTAGGGTGGGGACTCACATTGAACTGGTCTCTTACTGCGCTGCAATCGCTTCTTCCAAAACATCTCTACAGCCGTCTCCCAGAGGCTTATGTCGATCGAGAAGCTATCAAGGAAGGGTTATCGCCGAGGTTTCCTTTCTTTGACCTGGCTACGGGAGAATTGAAAGCGTCAACACCGACAGCATCCGAAGCAAGCCGAATTCGAGTGACGAGACAAGGTCTCAGAGATATCTTGGCTAGTGGTATAAATGTTGAGGTAAGCTGTGCATTTTCATGCTGGATCCATGTACTAATGGGGGTGTTGTAGTGGAACAAGGCGTTGAAGGAAGTCGCGTCTACTGATCAGTCTGTCACTGCCACGTTTGAGGATGGAAGCTCAGTGACTGGACGTTTGTTGGTGGCATGCGACGGCAGTCACTCTCGAGTCCGTCGAGCGCTTTTTCCAGATTTGAAGCTCCATGATGTGCCAGTCCGTATGCTTGGTATCAAGCTGGAGCTGACACCTGATGAAGCAAAGCCAGTTCGAGACCTTGATCCTTTTTTCATGCACAGCACCCACTCATCACACAGCATGTTTGTATTCATGAGTATGCTCGATGCTCCTGGGAATCACCAAGACGGGTCCTATCCTTATGTGCTACAAATGTGCGTCTCTTGGCCATATCGCACCGGATTCTTTGGTAGAGACGCCCCAATCGAAATTCCCGAAACGGTCGAAGAGCAATTGAAGTTAATCCATGAATTCGCGGAAACGTTCGCTGAACCTTGGCGGTCTCTTGCATTGGGCGCCAACGTCGATGCAGACGTCAAAGGTCTCAAGATTCAAGACCTACCTCCACCTACCGATCTTCGGACAACAGGCCGTGTTGTACTCATGGGAGACGCTCTTCACGCTATGGCTATGTGTAAGTCACATCAGATTCTCCACCAAATATTCATGTACTAACGGCTCAGATCGAGGAGAGGGCGCAAACCATGTAATACTAGACGTGGAAGACTTTGTCGATTGTGTTGTTCCTGTCTTGCAAGCTGGTGGGACATCTGAGAAGTTGAGGGCATCTATGGATGACTACACAAAAGCTGTAGTCACACGAACTCGCCCGGCTGTGCTGGCTTCCAGACAAGCCTGTCTACATGCGCATGACTGGGAGAAGATCAGTAGCGAGAGTCCACTGTTGACTAGACGTATGCCCTTCGTTGAGTTCGACGAGAGTCAATTGCAGTCATAGTATAGCGGTACAATTGAAGACCCATATTCATCATTACCTAAATCGATCAGATTCTGGTGATACTTCTATTCTTCCCAGACAGCAACAGCGACAAGAGGCGCCAAGGACATCACAGCACATGCATCATGTGGACAGGCATTGATTCAGCCAATGGGGCGCTTGCGCAATTGGTAGCGTGCCACATTCCAGCTCAAGAAAGAGTGAGATGATTCCTGAAAGTTATCCGTTTGATTCGGGTGTGCCTCAATGCCACCCTTCTTGCCCGTATGTGATGGATGTTGTTGAGCCAAGATGGGGCAAGAACATGACCCATTTGTGAGGTCCACATTTTGCCAATCAGTCATGAATATTTAGTCTCAAAAGTCTCTTGTCCACTGAATCCCTTGTTTGTAAGCGGGAAATTCGACCGTGTCTTGTGCTCTGATCTCCAATGACTCCACCCGGTCATCATCAGCGGAAGACCATTTTCCCAAATAGGCAATTTTCGACCCAACAAATTACACGACAAGAATATCGGACGAAACGGAGACTTCAATAGAATTTTCTTCCTGTAGAATATTCATTTGGTCCGAGTACGCGGGGGTTTGCCGTTATTTATCGGTGTCAGGTCCTATTGTTCGGCCTTGGAACGGACGAAAAATGCCGATTGTAACGAAGACGAAGACCTATAAAAGGTGACGCCCACTCAACCATCTCTCTGGGATCATCAGTCAACACATTTCTTTCTTATAAGAAATCATGGTCGACACTCTAAGCCTGGAAGGAAAAGTAGCTATCGTCACTGGCTCAGGTCGGGAGAACGGCATTGGTGCTGGCATAGCTCTTGCCCTTGCCAGAAATGGAGCCTCGGTAACCGTGAACTACGTCTCCGACTCGACTAAAGCACGCGCTGAAAATGTCTGCACACTACTCCGCGAAGCAGGCGGTAAGGCCATCACTGTCCAGGCTTCAGTTGACACGATCGAGGGGGCTCAGCATCTCGTCAACAAGACGCTTGAAGGCTTTGGCACAGACCATATCGATATCCTGGGTAAGCTGACTATTATCCATCAATTCTGATGTTCGCTAACGATGAACGTCACAGTCAACAATGCCGGGTCCGCTTATTTCAGTCCCATAACGCAGCAGCCTAATGTGGAAGAACTTACCAAAGTCTTCCAACTGAATGTTCTTGGTGCTTTTTACATGGTCCACTACGTCGTTGCCCACATGCCCCCAGGCGGGCGAATCATCAACGTCAGCTCTACCAACGCAAAGAGAGGCAATGTCAATATCTCTTCTTATGCAGCATCAAAAGCGGCTCTAGACAGTTTGACGTGGAGTTGGGCCGGTGAGGTAAGTCAAGCCTCCTCTCCATTGTTTACATAGGATGGTACCTAACGATGGACTACCTAGCTCGGCCGCAGCAAGGGTATCACTGTGAATTCTGTTGCTCCTGGCCCCGTGATAACAGATTTATATCCAAAGGGCAAAGAAGAGGAATTGTCGAGGGAAGAGATATCTATCACCAGAGCTGCGGACAGAGCTGGTACAACTGCTGATATCGGCGATGCCGTGCTCTTGTTGGTGAATGAGAAATCGAGATGGATCACGGGACAGTATATCAGTACCAGTGGGGGAGTTACTTACTGATGTTCCATATCATAGTGGCGCTAACGTAATTTACTCAGCCTGTCTCATTATTCTATGATAATCTTTTATCGATATACAGACGCAGCTGTGTCATGTCTAATGGGGCTAAACCCTCAATCCAAACCACCTCCCGTAAACATGACATCAAATCCTTCCAGGAGCAGAGATCGCCTTGTGACATCGTATCGACAATTTTCTCCAGATACCATATTCTCGGAAAGGCTGCTTCTACGCAGAACTGGTTTACTAATAACCACAGTTTTAACTCCCGCTTCCCATCCCAGAATTTATCATCGATCAGGGACATTAGATATTGAAAAGGAACATCGCGGCGAGGGATGATATATCCAAGATCTCCCGAAGTCTGAGACACAATGATACAGAAAAGAGACACTGTGGCAATGCGTACAAGTTCTGCTAGTGCCGAGACTTGAGAAGTAGTTGCCATGCCTTCTTCTGTGACTAGATCCCATCTTTGGAGGGATAATGTCTGATGTGCAAGACTACATGTTGGTAGAACAAAACTGGAATCAGTCGGATTTTCCGCCCACTGTTTATTCAGAAGCGCCGCAACCCGAGAGGCATATGCAAAGGAATTCAGGATGGTGACTATTGGCGTCTGGTCTGGCAGTTGCAGTTCTTCCATTGATTCTACCAGTCCCTGGTTGTATGGAGACAAGGTCGCTTGCGACTCGAACTGCAGATGAAGCAACGGAAACTTTGGTGAGATGTCTTGTTTCAAGGAACCAAAAAGATCGGCTCTATGATATAAGGTCAGGTAACTGTCTACCAGGAATTGGGAATGGCTTACAAGAACAGAGCCTGTCGTAAAGGAGAATTGGGGTCTAGAGCTTCAACACCTCCAGTCAGGTCGAGGATCATCTGAAGTCCTGCCATGTGCATCGTCCACGAGCCCAAATTACCAACCCGCATCTACTGAGTTAGCGATTGTCAACTTCGACTCATAACGACTCATAACGACTCACATCAAACACAGCTAAACATATCACAGTTCCCATTATCGCTCTCTGACGGACAAAACTCTCGGCAAGAATAGATTTGCGAACTGTACCAAGTGATTGCGTGTACTGCTCGATGTCTTTCAAGGAAGGCGGCTGATCCTGACGCCTAGTGATCTTCTGCTGGTCTCTAATTGCTGGATCAACAATAGTTATAGATAAAAGTGCTCCGGAAACCATTTCCATAGCCCAGAAAACGCGCTTGACGTTGACGCAAACTTGAACATCGCCCCAATAGGTGGGCATTTGTCCGACTTGATACAGTGACTTTGTGGCAGTCGAATCATAGCTTAGAGGAGATTTTCTTGATCTACCGATATCTTTCATGACATGGCGACGCACTTTCTGCAGGGTTGCTCTGTCTTTGGCTTCTTTCGGGTTGCTGACATTGACGAAAACTAAGCTGGATGGTTTCTGAGCCTTTTGAGCACGAGCAGGGTGAGAATGAGGTGTCTTTTGCAGTTTGAACTTGAATTCCATCTTCACTCCGGTAGTTCCAGGGCTGCATGTGAGTCTCTTCGTGGTTGTAGCACGTTGATTACTTGGTCATCCGAGATTGAAAGGAGAGAACTCGGACCAGTAAGAATGACTTCCGAAACACGTGATTTAATGTTTAGTTCCATTTGATGATCTCTACCGAAATAGGAAATGATGATCCATTCTCCAAGGACTGGGATTCTCATCTTCTCAGGCTCAGATTGAGTTTGGCCATGCATTATACAGTGCTATTTGTGCAGTTACTATGTGAACAATGGCTCATAGGCACAGCAATGTGTAGCGATCAAACGATCAGTGCTGGCACTGAAAGACCTGGCAATCAGTTCACTTGGTCGTATACATACTCGGCTGGGAAACCATGTACTCCGCTATGACCTAGTGCTCAATTGCGCGCTGTTCCGGGGTATAAAGTTATGGTCAGTGATCACTCATCTCGCTTCAAATCGCAGATTCCTGCGCGGCGAAAAAAGAGTTCCCCGACACATAAGCGTATTTATCGACAATTGACACGATGCCACGCCTAAACTGCCAATCACTTTGTCTAGCCTCAAGTAGTTGGGTCCTTGAACTACTTTAATTAATGGCTTTAAATTCCAGATTAAGAGGGTCTGTCAGATGAGCATTCACATCAAGTAATACTCGTTAGTAAATATTGTCTACGAAGTTCTTTTCTGGTAAGCATGTGACTGCCAGCCATGTTTCACCGTTAGGCGAGACAACCAATGAGTCACGATGACCTTGGGCAGTAATTCCAGCTGCAACGCAGGACATCGCCTCCGATGCCGTGGTACCAAGTTGCCAAGGAATTACAAAACGCCCAGTTCTGGTTCCGAGGAACAAGAACCAGTTAAAGATCGACAAAAAACAGGACCATTTAATGTTCCAGGTTCATAAATATGAGCTTGTACTAATTCAGTATAGCCGTTGTCAGCGACATTTGGAAGGGGATTAGAGCAAGACAGGCGGGGAAAGTTACTTTTTCTCCAACCCAATAAAACAGAGACAAAAATAATAACAAATCCGATTCCATGTGCCGGCAGGTCAGAGCTCTTGAGGTTCCGCGGGCTGAGATGTCAGCTAGAGGCTTGGACTTGGCCTAGACTTCATGACTAGCAATTAAACTAACCCCAGGTTTCTTGCCCCAGATTTTGACTGCAATGCTACACCACCCCGGATCCGATGGTTCAACCCCCGCATATGTTGGCTCGACGCGATCTATCGAGTCCTTATCTGAATTGTCGGAAGTACTATAAAGAGGGGGTTACCAGGAGCCTGGATACCATCTTGCAACCTCGTGCCATCCAAGATTGACCATGACGAAGATGGCGACCAGCAACCATAATGAGAAGTTCCAAAACGACACGGCGTCCAATACGTCGGATCCAGTCAGAGGCACCGTGGAAAAGTAAGATTGATTGGCAATGTCGTGAAGTGGCGAAACTGACCATTAAACAGCGTTGAGAATACACAGTTCTACATCGACCCGAAACAAGAGGCAAAGCTTCGTCGCAAGATTGACTTTATGATTGTTCCAACAGTCTGTTTGCTATATCTCTTCTGCTTCATCGACCGCGCAAATATCGGTACGCCAATACCTTCCATCACGTACCGTCGAACGATGAGTTAACGCGTCTTCAGGAAATGCTCGTCTTGCCGGCCTGGAAGACGACCTTGGGATGAAAGGAAGTGACTACAATATGGTCCTTTCCGTCTTCTACATCAGTTACATCATTTTTGAGATCCCAGCGAACCTTCTCTGCAAGTACATGGGACCAGGATGGTTTATCCCTTTGACGTCGTTGGGATTCGGGTTGGTGTCTATCTTCACAGCCTTTGTGCACACTGTCCCTCAGATTTGTGGTGTACGTTTTGTCTTGGGCATTTTTGAAGCTGGTATGCTGCCTGGCATTGCCTACTATATGTCACGTTGGTACAAGAGATCAGAGCTTACCTTCCGATTGTCGCTTTACATCGTGATGGCCCCCTTGGCGGGTGCTTTTGGTGGGCTGCTCGCCTCAGCCATCCTCAAGCTTCCGCACTTTGGACGGTTCAAGAGTTGGGAGATGATCTTTGGTGAGCCTCAATCTTCTGTCTTTTTTTTCACATGCTAATCTTTCCGAAGCCATCGAAGGAATCGTCACCGTGGCCTTGTCCATTATCTCCTTTGGTAAGTTCAATTCCTATTGCTTATCTCACATATGGCTAATACGGCTTAGCTACACTTACCGATCGACCCGATTCGGCCAGATGGCTTACAGAGGAGGAAAAGGCGTTGGCCATCAACCGTATCAAAGCCGAACGTCTCGGAACGACAGAAGTTTTGGATAAGATGGACAGAGCAAAGATCTTTGCCGGCATTCGCAGTCCTATTACTCTGTCCACTTCCATCATTTTCCTACTAGATAACATCACCGTTCAAGGCCTTGCGTTCTTCTTGCCGACCATCGTCCGAACGATTTATCCCGAGCGATCAGTCATCTCTCAACAGCTCTTTACTGTCCCACCATACGTCGTCGGTGCCTTCTTTACGGTGCTCATTCCAGCGTTCAGTTACAAGATGGATCGTCGACAGATCTTCATTATCCTCTGCGCGCCTCTCGTTATGGTCGGATATGCCATCTTCTTGGGTACTAACAATGGCCAAGCACGATACGGTGCCACATTCCTTGTTGCTAGTTCGGCATTTGCTCTGGCGCCTCTGACGAACTCGCATATCAGTGCCAATGTCTTGAGTGACACTGCAAGAAGTGCTGCTATTGGAACCAATGGTACGTCTTTACAAATCCCCTCAATGATGTTGTATCAATACTTACTCTTCTAGTCATGTTTGGTAACGTTGGAGGTCTCATCTCTACTTGGTCTTTCGTCAAGAGCGATGGTCCTAACTATCCCATTGGAAACGGATTGAACCTTGCAACGTCTTCTACTATCTTGGTTCTTGGTACCTTGACCCTCTTGTGGATCAAGCGAGACAACCAGAAGCGGGCGAGTCGGTCTGCTGAGGAGGAGTTGGCTGGAATGAGCCAGCAACAGATCCAGGATCTTGATTGGAAGAACCCCAACTTCCGCTGGATCGCGTGATTTGGCATGTTCTCTTAAACTTTATATAATTCATGAATACGAATCATTGTTATGAACGTGGTTACATGACGGTTGTTCTCATCCGTGTAGTAAAAGGCACTTGCTACTGGGCAGCACAGAAATGGCCTCCCAAGTCTTAGGGTATAAGGATAAGCAGTCGAAGAACTATATAGCCTAAGAGGCATAAAGTGGCCTACTAATTTCGTCTCTTGTGCTTCCAGCGGTCAATTCTTCCGATACCCTGACGACAAGCCAAAGACGCTGAGATCGCAGCGGTTTGACAGTTTGACCTCAATATCTCACGTGCAAGTGATGAATGAGAAGAAGAAAAAACGTTGGTGGGACGACAGCTCGGCGGAATGCCTCAGGCGGTGACTGGTTATCAGGTTCCATATCAATGCTACTCGGATGTTGAGTGCATTGAGTGTGAGCTTATTTCATGGAACCTGTTCGCTTTCAGAGAAAACCAGATAACGATAAGAAATAATGTGGATATGAAACCATCTTCGTCGTTATCTTAACTTATTGCCTGCCGCCAAAGCTAAGTGGCCACCTGGAAGTTGACGAGAGTGGTGGTGGAATTTGAGGGGAATGGACTCTCAGGTCATATTTAACACAGACTTTTGCAATGCGCCAAACATTCCAGTGGAGCATATTCTGCATCGTTTTCAGTGCTCACGTTGGTGATAGAACACCGTCGTTGATTCGCACTGAGTAAGACAAAGTATAAGCCCTGGACCATAACGGTTCAAGGGTGGCCTACCATCAGGCACGATGTTATCTCGAGTGGTTTTTACTTTGGTTTCAGCCAGACGTTTCTTTGGAAAAGATCGTACGAGAGAGTAATCAACTTAAAATGGCATGATCCGTGTCCTCTTCTTCCCCTCAGTTGCTGAACATAAAGGCCGGGTACCTCTGCCCTATGAGCACGACGTTCAACAGATTTACCGTCGTACTTCATTCTGGCTTCCACCTTGCAAAATGTATTGCAGAGCGTTATACTTTCTTCTCATCTTTCTGGGAATCCTAGCTTGTCTAGCTGATTCCTCACCATGCATCAAGAACACTGCCTCTCCTTGCAAGAACAAGAAGAAGGGGGGAAGATTCCCGCGATGCATAAAACAGAAAGCTTCTCATCATGAAGTCCACCACCATCACAATGGAACGTACACGATCGAATGCGGTGACAAGCCTTTCAAGCCGGGAAACCACGACGACAAGAAGAACAAGTACGACAAGGACTACAGGTACAAGGATGATGAGGACAGGAAAGAGTGGGCCAACCGTAAACTCCACGACACCTATCACGACTCCCATCCATTGAGAGACGACCCCAAGCAGTCAGAGATGCGCAAGGTTACCTGGAGACCTCGTACACATTTCAATACATTCAACAGCAAATCGAACTTTCACAATCATATTCGTCCCACACGCTTGGGAGAGTGGAGAAAGTCAAAGCCCGAAAAGCGACATGCGCGCGGCGAAGTGTTTAATCCACCATATCCCTTCAGTATGGATGAGGTCGTCGCTATGAAGAAGGTCAACGTCACAATCGAGCAGAACGGCAAAGACCCCATCGCCATAAACGTCATCATCCGGAACAACAGCAAGATGAATGTCACAATCATGACCCGCAACTCCCCTGTCGACAAAGACGCCTTCAAGCTGGGTCACTTCAGAGTTTATCCGGATGACACCAAGATTAACTTTGCGCCCGAGAGGGAGGATTACGAATGGTATCATAGACCTATGGGCATGTTTAGTCGCCCGACGGACCCTAGAAAGGAGTATCTTGAATCAGACCTTACGCATCTTCGTCCCAATGAGACAGTCAAGCAGACCATCATCATTCCTAGCGGCACTAAGGAGGAGAACAAACAGTGGTTAGAAATGATAAAACTCGCCAAGAAAATCAAGATGAGGGTGGAAGGAAAGTGGTTTGCGATTGGCGCTTGGGACAAGGAACCTAGATGGTCTAGATCTGTTGACTTTAAGTATGTATCGAACACCATAGACTTGGAAATCCCAAGAGAGTAAAGGTGCTAGGGGATACTGAACCAAGCGTTGATACTTTGCTTTAACCATTGTCTCTAGCCTTTGGTCAAACAAGTGCCTTTTTATTCATTTGTGTGATATGTAGTCTTGATGTGTTGCCAAGCTCGTTGATGCTGTGTATCGAGGTACCTCGCGCCACTTCAAATATTTCTAAAGACCAATATTATACTTTGTTACCTGGTGAGGTGCGTGAACAACACAATATCACTGGCGTTAAGAGTGTCTGTCATGATTCATTTACAACCCATGGGAGTCACAAAAATCGCCGTCTATGCCGCACGTATAAGTTACCAGGATCCCTGTTGATACCACACGTTCAAGACACCCGTCACTCCACGATCTCCAAATGACCCTCTCTGAGGCGTGAATTGCCGAGAACTTAAGTGATGTTTGTTTTTGTTTCGTTTGTGTCAATAATACCAACAAGGGTGGGTGCTTTCAGATTTCATAATGATTCGTCTGGCTTTGTTCCAGAATGTTGTGATATCCGCTCAACCTTGCACGACTCTGCAATCTGGACGCCGCGTGTCACAGGCCATGAGACTCCGGCTCAAGTCCGTCGCAATCGTCTTGAAACTCTCGTTGAGCAGTTCTTGCTCCAATAGTGGCGGGGGGGCAACGCCCCCATAAACGTCTTTGGGTCACCAAACACCCAGATCCAACAACCCTCACTGTGCAGTGCTTTAAAGGTTATGAGATGAGTCTGGCCTCAGTTTTGATATGTTTATCGTTCATTGTCTCGGGCTGCCTGGTTCTGGAGTTTGCTTCAAAGGATCGTTGGATTCTTTGTCCGCCTCTTCGGCGACAGTGAAATAGAAGGCAGTAAGACACCAGCCCTGTTTTGGTTCAGAATTACGTTTACGCAACCTGTTACATTTCAGCATGGGACACGATTAATTACGTGTTGGCATTCCTTTTTTGAACATTCTTGTGGTGTCCATGCATTAGTAATTGTGTTTATCTCCAATTTGTACAGGAGTGCCTTGCCGATCTTTACCGCCATACTGGTGCCCCTACCAATGATGGCCGTCGCAAATGAACACCAAGCTGGATGATGAAGCTCACACAATCAAGGAGCTAATTCCTATACGCATCTAGCCTGTTTGAAGTTTGATTAATCGCTTGTGTCCTTGGGTCCTACTCCTGTATGATCTGGACGCCTGGCTGTCCGCATCCCATACCAGGTTGCCTGAGGCAACCACCCTAGGTTACATCACCGGCCATCTTAGCGGGTATCGAACTTGGTCAATAACAGATTCCTGCTGACAATGCGTTGCGACCGCTTAATCTCTAAGAGAGAACCGATCAAACTGGCGAACGATGAGATTGTGTATATTAAGCAGTTCACTCTTCTAGGTGGAAAATGTTCTGACAGTGATGGCTGTCTACTTGATTGATAGAAACAGCGATTGGACCCCTAAAACTATTCTTTACCGCGTAGGGCCGCCAAGGTTCATTATTTTGACTCCAGATTCACATCCGCGCAGCCAAGCTATTTTCAACTCACGCTCTCTGAACGCTGTATCTGACCCGTAGCTTATCCATTACTTGACAAGGCTGACACGAGAACACCTGTTGGAGATGGAGTCACGGATAACTACATCTACAAAGTTACTGAGGTTTCTGGATGCTTCGGCGAGCATATCCCGATGATAACCTGTCACCACATCACATTGTCACTTTCGATATCAACGAAAAGTTGGAGAACTAAGAAAAAATGAATGTTAAAAAAATCACAATGGGCTAGCTATGATGAGCCATCCTTTGCTCTATCCCCCTTCCTTCCAATTCCATACGCATTTTTTTCTTTTTCCATTCTCACATTTTTTTGGACTTCATTCTTTTTATCCTTCCCCCTTCCGTTGGGACATCCCTTTTCCATTGTACTGCCAACCTTGCGGTCTCGCCGTAATCCGCAAAACAAAATAGAAATACAAAACGAGGTAATAAAAAACAACCCGAATCTCCCAAGACGTGCACTTAGTCCGACTTGTTCAGCGTTAAAGGGCCTTCCTTGCCAACAAAAGCCAACTTTTAGTTGACCTCGGTGCTGTTCGATGGCAAGACACCTGTCAAAGCAGCCTTAGTCGTGTACCAAGGCTCTTTGTATGGGAGATAGGTCCCAAACCCCTTGAGCTGCTCCTCCGTTGGGAAGAGAACGTTCTTGGCCCACCAGCGAGTCCAGTAACCTGCCATGGGGTTGTCAACCATCTTGGCCATTACCTCCTCCTTAGGCTGGGCCCAGACACCATACCAGTCTCCCTGGATGAAGATGCGCTTGATACCCACAAGTCGAAGCATCTCCGTCCACCGTTCCCACATGAAAGGCTTGCAATGCTGGGAGCCTTCCTTTAGTTCGCAGTAGGGGATGGTGACAACTTCAGACACAGACTCGCCGGGGTTAAGCTGAACCAGTTCGTCGATGTTCTTGGGGCGCTCGGGGATATCCTCGCGAGTCAGAGTAGCCATGCGGTACTTCTCGCCAACCCTGCCAAAGAACTGTCCCCAGATCTCGGACTCGATAGAGAAGTATCCGAGTTCCCAACCGCGCTTACTGACAGGTGACCACTCCTTCCAGAAGGTGATGGGCAGAGGAGTGGTGTTGTTGACCGTCATCCTGATTAGCAGGGGATCCATGGACTCATACGAAGCGGTGATGGAGACGTTCTGGATAGCAGCGCCTTCATAACCGGGAATCAACCTGTACTTCTTGACCTTCGGGCAAGGCCCTTCTGGGTAGTAGGTGCAACGGACACTTCTGCCATCCCAGGGTGCCTCTTCGTCCATGCTCGGGGCAGTTCGTCCGTGGAAACACCCACCTTCAGAAAGTGGGACATAACGGCTGACAAGGAACTTCGTCTTGTGACCGTCATCGGCACCGCTGACAGTGGGGGGAGGATGACGGAGGAAATTAGGGGGGACGAAACCATCAAAGATGGGGGGTTTGGGGAGAGTGGTGGGGACTGAAGGGTCAGACAGAGTCTCGGCAGGGGCAGAGGTGACATGTGCCGCCAGTGCGACAAGGACAAAAAGATTAAAGAGCATCTTGGAGTGTTCGTCTTAAGTCTTGAGTGTGTGAATGTGTGTGAGTGAAAGCTTGATGGCTTGTGTGGTAAAAGATGAGAAATGATGGAAGATGATGAAAAAGAAGAAAACGTCTTCCTTGGGATGAATGGGTCTTTATATAGTGTAGGGACATGTGCGTCGAAGTCAGTCGTCAATAATAAACATTGCGTCTGTATATTGGTAGCTTCTACTGTAAGTACGCGTTTTGGACATAGAGTTTTCATAAGACGCATGTTTGGTTGATAAAGCTGGATCTCTCTACTTGAACCTTCCAAAGTACGCTCACATGGTTCGGGTATTCTAAATCTTAAAAACTCCAAAGAACCTTCTGTCAACCCAGCGATGGGTAGTATGATCTCCAGTCTACCTGAACTCTCTGTCACACTTTCGTATTTTACATATTCTACTGCGTCTTTGCGTAACTTGATCATCTGTCTATTACGTGTAACTCTGTTATCATCTAATCTTTGACTTTTGGACTTGGTTACATGCAGCAGTAGATAGGCAGATCTTGTACAATTAAAACAAACTTCGCCTTATCTACCTACGTGAGTCCATGTGGTTCGCGTTGCCACGTGGAAAGCATTGAAATGACAACTCTATCAGTGCATCGCCCTGGAAGCCATGACTTATTATCTTGGGGTGACGCGGCATCTTCAAAGGTTAGTTTACTCACGCGACAGTCTTTGCTATGGTCGTATTGGCGGCACTATCGAGGTCATATTCAAGTAGTGAGTGAACTCCATGGGGCCTGGTTTTGGACTTGAGCAGCGCCTTGTGAACGGAGATTACGTTCTACCTGCTATCAGTTGAAAGATGATGCGGGACCACTCGCGTGAGATCTAATTATCCAAAAGCCGGGTTACAACCAAAGTGTCTAGATACGCTTATTTCTCTACCGCTGATCTTTTTGCCAAGACAAACATCCACGTCATCACAATGTAGTTGCATCTCTCTCTGTTCCCCTCATCACTAGCTTCGGGGTGGGATAGCCCAGAACCGACAGGCTCGGTAAACGTTTCATCAGCCAAACATGGCCATTTTGCTGACCGTTTCCTTAACCCGGAGCATCTACCGGTCTTGTCTTCCTTTTTCGTACAAGTCCATACTACCTTAATCCACAGCGTACCAATGGCAAGTGTCGCTTTGAGCGCCATATCGTCATTTGATTAAGGTTATGCCGATCCCCCGCACACTTACCCCGTGGGGGAGAACTTGGCATTGAGATATAAACTGAAGTGATTTTGTCTACCTTTTCTCATTGTATAGTCTTTTATTCTTTTGTAATTTTGACTAGTGTCGACTTGTTACATTATGTCTGCGTTGGATAACCCATACCCCATTGTCTCTGGGGAAGATGGGCGAAAACGCGAAGATGACCTCGCTCACAACGACCACATTGAACGAGCAGAGACGACAGCAACAAATGATGACGCTGTTTTCTCCAAATTTCCCAAGATGGACAAGGTTGATGAGTTTGGAGCTCACGCAAAGACCGACCCAAGAGAGATTGCGTTGGTGAAGAAGCTGGATAAATACATCATCGTGAGTATCCAGCTATCGGATCGTTCATACCTCGCAACTAATAGCAAGTTAGCCCATGTTATGGCTCATGTACCTCTTCAATTACCTTGACAGAAATGCGATTGTCAATGCGCGCCTTAACAACCTGGAAGAAGACCTCGGTCTGGAAGGCACGCAGTACAACACCTGTGTTTCAATTCTTTTTGTCGGGTACATGTAAGACTTCTGTACCTGGATACCAACTCCCCATGGCTAACTCTCCTAGTGCCGGGCAAGTCCCAAGCAACATGCTCATCAACAGAGTCAAGCCGTCATGGTACATGGCCGGCTTTTGTCTCGCATGGTCAATCGTCAGTCTTGTGACGTTTCTGGCGAAAGACTATGCGAGTATGATAGCGCTTCGCTTTTTTCTTGGAGTCACTGAAGCTCCCGTGAGTAGTGGTCATTCCCTCCCACGGCATGACTAGTAACTAACAGTGTTTAGTTCTACCCAGGAGCTTTATTCATTCTCAGCATGTTTTATACCCGCAAGGAATTGGCTGTACGACTAGCTATCTTCTACACTGGAAATATGATAGCTAGTTCGTTCGCCGGTCTTATCGCAGCTGCTGTGTTTGCGGGTCTTGATCAAACTCACGGTCTGGCTGGTTGGCAGTGGTATGTAAAACATGTTTCAACATCAATGTGCGTCCACTAACAGGTTTTGGCAGGCTCTTTATCATTCAAGGTGCTCTTTCTATTTGTACCGCCATACTGGCATTTATCTTCTTACCTGACCATCCTTTAACCACACGGTGGTTATCCGAAGAGGAGCGACAATTAGCTTACAACCGCATCCACACTGATACAACCGATGTCCGCGAGAAAACAAGCGTATGGGTCGGTCTTCGGGAATCAGCCTCTGATTGGCGAACATGGGCACTATGTCTCATGTACAACCTCCATCTGTCATCTGTCGGCTTCCAAAACTTCCTCCCGTCTGTGATGGAGACACTAGGCTACAACCGGACAATCACCTTAGTCTTGACATGTCCGCCTTATCTCCTTGCCGCCGTTGTCGGCATCGTCATGGCATGGACATCGGGCCGATGGAACGAGCGAACCATGCACATTACCATCTGCAAGTGCATCGTAATGGTAGGGTTCATCATTGCGGTTTCAACACTTAATCTTGGCGCTCGGATGTTTAGCATTTACCTTTTTGTTGGTTTCAGCTTCGGCATCAACAATATTATTCTAGCATGGATCAGTGCTACCGTGGGACAGACCAGTGAGAAAAAGGCTGTATCGCTGGCGATTTGCAACACGTTTGGAAATCTTGCCCATGTCTACACGGCTTATTTGTGGCCCTCTTCACATGAGCCTAGATATACTGTGGCTTGGGTCGCGAGTATTGCTTTTTCGTTGGGTGTTGTGGTTATTGCTTGGGGATTGAAAGCTCACTTGAAGAAACAGAATGAGAAGACAAGAAGGGAACATCCAGAGGTTACCAACTTTTATGTTTACTAAGTGTTGAGCGCGAAGGGTATCACGTGTACAAGCACGTGCTCACACAATACATCTTTTGCCTGCAGTCCCTCAGTTTAGTTAAATCTTGATTCGATCATTCATGCATCAGTCCCATAGTTCAACAGAGTACGTTTTTAGAGAGTGTCGTCGTTGGTCATTCAAGGACTTGTCAGCTGTGTAACTAGGCTGCGTTGCGGCGGGCTGTGAACGCAGACAAAAGAGCGGCAAGCGCGGTAACTAGCTAAACAATTAAGGATGATGGAAAGTCGTCATTCACGGGGAAGTTCTTCTCGATTTTTAACCATAATATTCAATCGATTTTACCTTCTGCAGCATTTGACTCTTTTCCAGTACTGTGTCCTGCAAAATGACAGTCTTTCTTTGTGATCGCACGCACCAAGTCGCGTGGACTACCCTGGAGCACTATAAGTCTATTAATTTACGCGTTTATATGACATCAAGGTGTCTTTTGGAACTCAATAGACCATTCAATCCTTTTTTCCGTCTTCATATTTCCGATCCTTTTTGTCACGCTAAAGTTGTATTATACCTGTTTTTACAAATCCGGATCTTATCATCTTCAAGGCGGATTTGAAATCAATCCGTCCCGCAAAAACGCAATGTCTCACATTGACAATCGCAACTACCAATGTCAATCTTGTCGCAAATCTCGATAGATAAAGACAAACTATTATTAATGCGTTAGAACGGCTGCCTCGATAAGAAGTGGTCAATGCCATGTCGATCTTGTGTCACTTTACGATAACTTTAATGGAGCTGTGCTGAATGCGTTGTCGTGGGTCGGATATGAAATGGCTATACACGTCCCTGTTGTAATAAGCAACAAAGAGTTTAATGTTGGTGAAACAAGCACTGATGCCAAGTAATAACCATTGTCAGGGTTGTTGTTCATGTTATATCCAGAGATTGTATGTGTTCTATTAATAACATGGGAGCTGCCTCAGTAAAAATGAACAGTAAAGTTTCTTGAAAGGGGGAGATCAGCAGAACATGAACAGGATGAGGAATCACCAGACAGTCTTCCCACTTCCGCTCCTCCCTTCCCACCGACAGAGGAAAAAGCACTCCACCTCCACCCCTGTCCCCTGACCGGTACTCTTGGCGCCAAAGCTGGGCAATGTTTTGGTCTTGTCCACCCCGTTTGAGAGCCACAAATTAAACAACCTTAACTAATAAGCTTAAGTGCCAAGTCAGCCGCCAAGCGCCAAGTTAGACGCCAAGCGCCAAGCGCTCACATCGCAATCTTTCTGAGACGTCTTATTGGACTTTTACGACTCGCACCGTCGTCATGGTCTCAATACCACCGCTACAAGCCAAGAAAATAACTTGTCACACGGGGCTTACTCGAGTCTTGGTTTTCTCTTGGAAGACTCGATATTGAGGCAGGCAATGTCTGTCGAGTCCTACCGCCCACCTCTTACTTTCCTCCATTCTTCTTGTTTCTCTCCCGTCTATTACGCCCTGCCGATCACTGTCTATTGCTTCTTGACGCCTTGCGCTTAAACATTTCAGCATAGACACTCCAAGCCTCAACACAACGCGTCAAGCGAAACAAAGATCTACAATTGTCGTCAGCTCTTGAGCCTCTTTAAATAACGTGTATCAAGGTTGAATCAACCATTGTAGCGAGTAACAATACAACACATCGCATATACCATATCTCTTCACGTACTAGTGGTAACGTCATTGGACAGCGGACGAGGGAATGTCTCAAACCTGCCACTCTTCAAGTTTCCACAGACCAAAATACGTCGCAAGCTTGACGGGTAGCAGCGTGTAATAGTGTTGCCCATATCACAGACACAACCTTATCGTGAAACCCCGGAACCCCAAATTTCCTGTTTCTAGCGCTTGAATCATCCGCGCAGATCGTCTGCTCTAGCACTGACTCTCCTCATCTCGCCTGCCCACGTCCCGTTACCTGTTAGCTGTCACCACCTATATGCCATCCCTCTTTGGTTATGGTCACCCCTGGTTTACCCATTTCAGGTTCCGTTTCCTTTGTGTTTGAGGCATTTTCCTGACCCGCATGGCCGTGCATTCCCTTCTGTATAAGAAGCTTTCAGAACCCAGGCTACGCAACAGATGGAACTGAGTGACCCACGGATCTGCCCTTTGTGTATGCCTTTTTTTTTGTTCGTCAGTCCAACCACTCCATAAAATTGCCACAATACTTGTTCATCGGAGGAAGTATTAAGCTCGGTGTTTTTCTGCTCAATTCTTGATTTGTTTGTTCTATACAAATTTTTCATGTTTTGTTTGCATTAGGGGATTTCGTGTCATCGACACACTGAGCACAGTGATACAACTTGCCAGTCTCCTTATACACCGCTCCAGACTTGACTCTTGCCTCGTCTCTCTTGATCCAACCATTTCAGCCACGCTCAGCAGGTCTCAGCGCAGCCCAACACCGACTTATCAAAAGGCGACAGACAAGCCTCTATATACTTCAAAACTCAATTTCGAAGTGATCTGATTATCTCCTGATAAAGTCAAACACAATGCCTACCCTTCATTTAAGCGACCTCAACGTGGTGTTGGCAGTTCTTGGTATGTGCAACTCCTTTTTCTTGGGCGAGTCTTGGTGGTGACGCGGTTTGACTCTGCCCAGCCCTTGGCATATCTTAGCAACTGACACAGTACGAACAGGTGCTTTCATGACACTTTATGGTGTGATCTCTGTAAAGCTCAAGCAACAATGGTACCTTGGAGAAGCTCGTAAGTTTTGTTGCTGTCGTTTTGATTCAAGGTCACTAACATGGGGTGATCTTTAGTACCTGCCATGGTGGTTGGCATTATTCTTGGCCCAGTATCAGCCAAGTTCCTCGACAGTGAAAGATGGGGTTCTGCAGAGCCCGGTCAGACTGGTGAGATCGCGCTGGGTCTCATGCGTGTGGTCATTGGTGTGCAGCTCGTGATAGCAGGCTATCAGTTGCCCGCCAAGTACAACATCAAGCGCTGGAAGGAGATGCTCGTCTGCCTTCTGCCTCTTATGACCTTGATGTGGCTGTTAACCACTGGTTGTATCATGGCCACTATTCCCAAGCTCAACCTCCTTGGAGCCATGGTAATTGCTTCATGTGTTACATGCACCGATCCCGTCCTGTCGCAGGCCGTCGCTAAGGGTCCTTTCGCCGACAAGTATGTCCCTCGACACTTGCGAGAGATTATTTCGTCCGAGGCTGGTGCCAACGATGGCTTCGGGTTTCCCTTCCTCATGCTTGCGACATATCTCATGCGCCACGCCCATGAAGGCCCAGCCGGAGATATCGATGCTGCCAAGATGCTGCACGCTCGCGCCGAAGACGTGGGTCGTCTCGGTGGTGGCGTCGGCGAAGCCATGAAGAACTGGTTTCTAGAAACCTGGCTCTACTACGTCGTTATGGGTATGGCTTATGGAGCCGTGGTGGGTTACATTTCATGCCGCAGCATCAAATTTGCTCTTCGAAGGTAAGTCAACAGACCCATTTTTGCAGGGAATAATTGCTGACATTACATGCAGGAGCTGGATTGATGAGCAATCTTACTTGCTGTTCCCTGTCGCCATCGGCCTTTTCATCATCGGAACCTGTGGAGCCATCGGCACAAACGACCTTGTCGCTTGCTTCGTCGCCGGAAACCTCCTCAACTGGGATGGAAACTTCCTTGCCGAGACTTATCGACGACACGATGAAGTCAACCACTGTTTGGATGTTCTTCTAAACTTTGGCGGATTCATGTTTATCGGAACAGCCATTCCCTGGGCCGAGTTCCACGATCCCGAAGGTACTGGTGTCACCATTGGTAGACTTTTCGGCCTGGGCTTTATGGTTCTCATCTTCCGACGTATCCCTGCCGTCATTGCTTTGTATAAGCTGATGCCCAAGGTAGTCCAGAACATGAAAGAGGCTCTCTTCATGGGCTACTTTGGACCCATCGGTGTCGGAGCCGTCTTTTACCGCGAACACATGCGTCATCTCTTCCCTCACCCCGAGGACGCCGACCAAGAAGAGAATGACATGCTCAACGTCACTGGCCCTGTGATCTACTGGCTTGTCCTATTCTCCATCGTGGTCCACGGTCTATCTATCCCCGCTCTTAACGCCTTCTACATATGGCGCGGAGTTGAACCCATCCAAGACGACGCTGTGTCCATTCGCCGCAAGTCTTTCACCATGGCGACACCTAGCAACGCCATCACCGCAGACGAGGAAAACTTTATTGCCTTCAACCGTTTCAGCCGACCCGACGTGGATGGTTCAATGGTTCTTGGCGAGGTCCCACCTGCAGTTCATGCACGAAACGAGTTTGCTGTCTTTTCCGGAACTCATTCCTCCGAGGAAGATACAGTGGAGAGAGAAAAGGAAGAGGCGGAGAGAAGACGCCGTGGAAGGACCATTCAGTATTTGGTATAGATTTAGCGTGCATTTTAGACCTCTCATTTAGAATTAAGCATGGAGCATAGTTAGCGAGACTTCTGCAATGTTATGACTTTTTTTTTTATCCCAATTATGCTGTTGTGCGTTTTGTGTTGTGATGGCTACTGTGGCCCTATTTCAAGTGGACATAGGCGACTGTGTTCAGGCTTATTGACGTCAAATGGAGAGGACAAATCATGATCACGTGGCGATCAGTTCGATGATGGTTTTGATCCTTCCGAGAACTTCAATTGGCGAGGTGTTAGTCAAACTGCCAGCATCCGAAAGGTCAGACTGTTTGAGCGGAATGACGGAGTTGCATTGCTGCTGTCTTATCGCAACTGGGTAATTGTAAAAGCGTCTCCTCCGACACATTGCCTACATCGCAGATCGGAAGACGGGCTGCCAAGTGATGACCTCGGTTCTCTCTGTGACTCCTCAATCCTCCACCAGTTTCCCTCGAGCATCCGTGGAACTGACATGCCGAGGTACACCGAGACCAGAGCTAATGCCAAGATAGATCGGACTTATACACAGTTTCCTACCCATGTCACTTTGTACGTTATAGTGTTTTGCATCTATCCCTGTCGCCAACATCACCAGGAATCGCATTCATGCAAGTAATTGCTTGGCAATACCACAAGATAACATCCCTGATGAGTAGATGTACATCATTGCACTACGATTTAATTCCATACACACAAACATTAGTGAAACGTTTCTTTAGCGACTGGCCCTGCTGGTCATTAAGAAATATTATTTTCTGAAACGAAATTAATGGTCAAGTGGCCCTACATGTCATCGCCGAGATAAGCCCCAAGCCCATAGCGAGTGGCTAGGTTGTGTTAATTACCAATTATGCAGATTCCTTTCTCTTCTCCAGAATGTCCAGCATCTCCAATAAAGCAGGAACAAACTCCTTTGTCTCACACTGAAACCCCTCATGATGACCCGGCACCGTCATACGCGGACACTCCAAGATCTTAGCCTGAGCTTCAATCGCTCTAGAAAAAAACGCCTCCTTACACCTCACACCTCTCATCACTCCTATACTAGTCTTGTTTTCCTTGATGCGGAAGAAATTGGGACAGTAACCGACTTGTGAGGGAAACTCATTCTCCCAAAAGTTGCGAACATTTTCTGGTTCAGGAGAGGCAGTTTTCGGTAACCCTTCGTCACCATACCCAATCAAACATTTATCGAATTCTGCCGCGACAGCATCCAGGCCTTTGGTCTTGTGCAATTCGATGAGACCATACATCCAATCATAGATTTCGCTCGCTTCAGGCATGAGGGCAGAGATTCCGGCTTCGTGTGAGATTAGATGGATGAACATCTCTGGGAAGTCATGGGCGAATTGATATCCAATGATACCACCACTGCTACTCCCAAATAGGATGGCTTTGTCAAAACCGATAGCTTTGGTGATGGATCGAATATCTCGTGCTTGTTGAGTCATACTCAATGGTTTGTTGACTGGGACTTGACTAGCTGACATCTGACGTCTGTCAAAAGTTGCACAAGTGAAACGGTCTGATAGAGCAACTATGATGTTGTTAAATTGTCTTCCGTGGCCGTTACCACCTGGTATAAAGAGCATAAGAGGTCCTTTGCCTTGGTACCAGTAATGCAGGTCGCAGCCTTCATTATGAACTGTTGTTCGAGTAGGGTTAAACTCCATGATGAATTATAGCTTATTTGATGAAGAGTATTCAAGTTCAAGATGTTCAGACATGGCTTACCATTATATAGAAGTGATAGTCAAAGGTGAAATATTGAGCGTGGGTGGTGTTGAATTTAGCCCAAAGGTATATCGCAACTATCGGAATCAGACGACGTGAGTCAGGCCGCTTTTACATCTATCGCCGAAAGATTCACACCGAAAAAAGTCTCCGACCAGTTACAACCCTTCCAGTTCACCGCAAGAACTTATCAGCTGACTTGTAGCAACTCAGCTCTCCTTTTACAACAGTCTGACATACGTCTTAACACCTGATCACGATTTCGAAAGGAAGTGGCGCTTTCAGAAGCTCCTACAGTGGATAACAACAATATTCGATTGATATACAGAGTAATCATATCTACTGGCTCAAATCTGAACATTGTCTTCACCGACTTGTACCGCTTTGCCCATAATCCTCACAGCCTTTACATCTCGAAGCCACTCAACAGTCAACTCGCCGCCGTCTCTGGACTGCTGAAAGCATTTTAATATGTTTCCACTGAAGTCAGGGTGATACTGCCTAAGTCGTGCGGTAGTCTCAGCGTTTGACAAAACATGGGGAATGATAGCTCGGTGAGCAGAACCCGTCTTGCGATAGTCAGCGAGGTTCACGAGGGGGAGATGGACTTGACTTACCGCGACATCCTCTGCGATGTGGTCACCAATCACATTGACCACACGAGTGTGAATGTGCTCTGACGATGCTGTTGAGATTTGGAAGATGTAGATGAATTTGTTAAGCGAAGCCTAAACTGTTAATGAGATATTTGTTGTGTTTGGGAAAGACTCACCAATTTCCTTGGATCAATAATCAGGCCCCTCAGATCAAGCTCTGGGGTATATTCCAACATCAGATACTGATCTGCTTCAAACAAACCAACAGGCTCGCTACGACCTTCCCACTGCGATCCAGTTGCTTGCTCAAACAGCTTCCTCAGCTCTCCCCACCTATTATCCTTTTGCCTCACAGTAGGAAGATCGAGGAGTTCCGGGAACTCAATGCCCACAAGCTTAGTATCCTCAAAGGGACTCCGGTACAGCGACGCAGAGACAATTCCATGAAGCCTGGTCAGATACCTCAGCGTCTGAGGCGGATTTGGCAAAGTACTGAACAGGTGCTGAGATAAGGCAAGGGTTGCATGGCCGCAGAGTGGTGCTTCATTGGAAGGGTTGAACCAGCGGACAGCGAAGCGAGGAGTATCCTTATTGGATGGGTTAAGAGGGACTGCGAAAGCTATCATGGGATAGTTTAGCTTCGTGGCAATCTCCTGAAGATTTGAAGCTGGTGGGAATATCTCATATGGGAACTCTGCGTTCGGATTGTACTGGGTGGCATCACTTGCGGGGAGGACGATGACTCCAGCTGGATTACCGATGGCACGGTCTGAAGCAAAAGCGTTGTAAATCGTCACAGTTGAGGAGGCCATGGTGATTGGTAGTTGAAGTTGATGTGGTGGTTTGCCAATCCGAGAGTGTCGTGGTATTTATTCCTGGTCTGTATTTTGGACTCATCGCAAGGGCGCGATGATGACTCTTTGCCCCGCACGCCATTCTGATCTTAGGTCGTGTAATTACCAATCCAACTTCTGACTCAGCGAAATCTGCCAACAGTCATAGTGAGAGGGTAGAAGCAGAAAATGGATTGATACCGATTTCGCATCACTATAATGATTGTGGACGACTGTCACTTTTGAAGTAGCTGGGTAATTGAAGTGCCTTGCTTACCGGTCCTTAATCAGCAGTCTGAACTGGTCCGATAATGCAATGTTCTTAACCATTATCTGCAATTACATTGCTGTCTTAAGTATACTTATCCATCATTATTAAATTTATAGAAGAACATTGTTCAATACACATATATCCATGTAGTAGTCTGTTCAGTTAACTAATTTCATTGGAGTAGCTCGTTTATGTGTCTCGTTTACGTATCTCGCTCAAGTTATACGGTATAAAGCTGAGGGTTGACACAAGTAAGGCTCACCTTGTGGGGCGAGGATTAGGTCTAGATCAAATTAAGACTAGTTCTACAATACTAGGGAGTCGGATGTATCTCGGAACCACATTAGCCAGCATTGCCTCGTTGATGAATTGAGTTATATGTAAATTGAACACTCCATCTAAATACCGGGGAACCTTGCATGAGACGGAGAAATAACGGATGCCGTTTTTCTGTCTATGGAGTTGTTTACCTGGGGTTCTCAGGAAGACAGGGTGGTTATGTCCCGGCCGTTATTTGTGGCGCTGTTTAGAGGCACTGGCACATTACGATATAACAGTATAAATATACCAGACTTTTAGACCTTTTGGATGTCATAAAAACAAACAAAATACATTCATCACTCTTCGCTACCTCTTTGATCAAATTCAACACCATGGCTCGTATGCAGCGCCTTCTGGCGTTACTAGCAACCGTGCATCTGGCCACAGCACAGAATGGCTCTCACTTCAAGACGATTCCCGTCTATCCCTCCCGTATGTTTTTAAACCAACAGGTTTGGGGTTTTGATAGAGACTGATCTGATAAATAGCTCCCATGACTGGTAATAATGAAGCAGAAGCTGTTATGGCCGCTACCAACGACTTCATCTCTAGACTGACACTCGAAGAGAAATCCAGCCTGGTCGATGGTACCGATGGACCTTGCGGTGGAAACATCGCGCCAATCCCTCGCCTGAAATTTAAAGGAATATGTCTTCAAGATTCTCCTGTGGGAGTAAGAGAGGCCGACTTTGTTACTATTTTCCCAGCCGGAATCACAGCTGGTGCAAGCTTTGATAAGGTTATGATTCGAGAGCGTGGGCGCCTCATGGCTGAAGAGTTTCGAGCAAAAGGAATCAACATCGCTTTGACGTGAGTACTTCTTGTACAGACTTGCTGTCTACTTCAATCGCTAACCTTTGGTACTATACAGGCCTGTAGCAGGACCCCTTGGCCGATCGGCCTTGGGCGGACGCAATTGGGAGGGATTCGGAGCCGACCCCTACCTCTCCGGTATTGCTGTCTCGGAAACGATTGCCGCATTCAAAGAGCTTAACGTGCAAACCACAATCAAACACTTTGTCGGAAATGAGCAGGAGACAATGCGAAACCCTACGATGCGCGAGGATGGGGTAATCATACAAAACTCTGTGAACTCGAACATCGATGACCGTACTATGCATGAGCTCTACATGTGGCCTTTTGCGGACGCCATCCGCGCTGGCGCCGACCATGCTATGTGCTCGTATCAGCAACTCAACCAGACATATGCGTGTTCGAACCCCAAAGCGCTTAATGGTCTTCTAAAGGGCGAGTTGGGGTTCCAGGGTTCCGTCTTCTCGGATTGGTTCGCAACGCATTCTGGAGTCGCTTCAATCAACGCAGGGCTTGACCTCAACATGCCAGGCGGCAGGGCTTCGCCATACTTCATGAACATGTCGCAGTTTGTTGAGAATGGCGATGTTTCTAAGGAACGCCTTGACGACATGGTTCGCCGTATCTTAACTCCCTACTTTCGTCAGAAACAGAAAAGTCCAGATTATCCCGCCCTAGACCTTAGCTTAAACGAGTTCAAGACACAATCATCCATGGCTACGGGAAACAACATTCTCCTGCCAGCGACCCCTGACGAGTTACCCATGTGGAACATAGGTGGGACAAAGAATCGCGACGTTCGCAAGGATCACGGCAAATTTGTTCGGGATCTTGGTGCCGCTGGCGCAGTCCTCTTGAAGAACGACGGCGCACTGCCGTTCAAGGCTCTCAAGAACATTGCTGTTTATGGCAATGACGCAGCAGACTTGAGCGAGGGACAATTCGCGTTAGATCCTATCGGCCCCATCGGACCTAAAATGGGCGCCAATGCTCAAGGCGGCGGGTCCGGCACTGGTCGTTTCTCGTACCTCGTATCCCCACTACAGGCGATCAAGGAACGCATGGGAAGTGGCTTGGTGCAGTACATCTTGGACAACGACGCCATCCCTAGCAACATTGGGAGTATCTACCCTGCGCCAGAGGCTTGCCTTGTCTTTGTCAAGAGTTTTATCGGTGAAGCCACTGACCGCAAAACCCTGGACTTTGATTGGGATGGCAACGCAATCATCGATATTGTGAGCCAAAAGTGTAACAACACTGTTGTAGTCACCCATACAGGCGGTCCTAACAATATGCCTTGGGCAGACAACCCGAACATCACAGAAATCATTGCTGGGCATCTGCCGGGCCAGGAGATTGGCCATTCCATCGCAGATATTCTTTGGGGCGATGTGAACCCAAGTGGCAAGCTTCCATACACAATTGCCCGCGATGAGTCAGACTACAATGCCCCCGTCGTCAACTTGACTGGTTCCGTCGGTATAGACGCGTGGCAAGCTGACTTTACTGAAGGCCTGTACACTGATTACCGACACTTTGACAAGAGCGGTATTGAACCACTGTATGAGTTTGGGTTTGGCCTGAGCTATACTACTTTCAGCCTCAAGCTTGTTTCAGTGACGAAACTCGTGTCAAATGCCTCTGCTATGCCGCCCAGCCGCCCAACCCAGCCTGGCGGTAACCCGGCTTTATTCGAGGCTCTGGTTAGTGTGACTGTCACTGTCGAGAACACGGGTAAGCTTGCAGGGGCGACGGTTCCGCAGCTCTATGTATCCCTGCCTGATTCTGCGCCTCGCGGGACTCCTGTCAAGGTCCTTCGAGGATTTGACAAGACGAAGAAACTCTTGCCTAACCAGAGCCAAAAGATCTCGTTTGTGCTTACAAGGAAGGACATGAGCTTCTGGGACGTTATTGCGCAGGACTGGCGTATTCCAAAGGGTCGTTTTTCCCTCAAGGTTGGGTTTTCTAGCCGTGATCTACCTGTTAAAGAGTTTATGACCTTTTAAATTGATATGGTTTACAGATTGTACTACCTGCATACCTGCTTGCATTATATTCGTCAGATAGATATATATTAGTTACCTTCTCTTTGTACATTTATCTTATCCTTTTTACACCGTCATGAGTATTGTTGTTATAAGTAAACCAGGTTCGAATTATCATTTGGCTGGGCAATAGAGCTTGGACTTGTTACCGAGCTAAATCCGCTAAACGAGCGAGGTTCGTTCCCCAAACCCCCTTGTAATCTTTAGTTAGGTCTAGTGTATGTCGCCGCAACCAGAATAGTATGTGTGGGTGGATATACGTCGCACATTGACCTCTGTATGACTCGGGAGTCCACCGCCGGGACTTTTAATAATGATTTACCGTTCATTTTTCACTGCCCCCGCCAAGCTACTTGTATATTTAATATCGATCGACGTATAGTCAAACATCAGATATCGCCGTTGACTTCCCTCCGCTCACCGATCATCAGCGAACTACTTCCAGTTTCTCACCGAGTCACTATCCCAGGTCACACAAACAAATGTCTGTAAACGCAACAGATAATGTGCTACGGAGCGCACCGACTGAGGATGGCAATCTCTTCATCAAGGGACACGGTACTCACCTAGATACCGCGGCAGCTGTCAATGGTGAGTTTACATCGAATTAACTGACAAGACATGTCTATTGATACTGTCGCTCCATAGATGAGGCTCGTATCGACTTGACCTTTAACGGTAAAAGCTCTCTAGAGCATGTCTTACAGAATGCAAAGCTACCTAATTCATACGCAAACAATTCCAAGACCAGCCCTCATCTAGGTGTAAAAGCGCCTTGTGCCTTGAACATTGTACTACAGATTGTTGGCAGCCGAGGTAACAATAAATCTAATTCAGCTCTAAATCTAAAAGTTGTATGGCTTATCATATCGTGTTCTCGTTTAGGCGGCGTTCAACCCTTCATCGCTCTGGGCAATGAGTTAAAAAAGCATGGCCATCGCGTCCGCATTGCCTCTCACGATGTCTTTGCCGACTTTGTACGCGAGTCTAACCTCGAGTTCTATCCTGTTGGTGGCGACCCTTCAGACCTCATGGCAGTAAGTGAGAGACCTTTATTTAGCGATTTCGAGATTCTAGCTTATCTAATGCTCTAAATGAAGTATATGGTTAAGAACCCTGGCCTTATACCATCAGTATCTTCACTTATGGCAGGTGACATTAGTCGCAAGCAAGATATGGTGAAGGAGATGCTAGATAAGTTTTGGCTCTCCTGTATTGAACCAGACCCTATCTCGGGAGTCCCTTTCATCGCCGAGGCCATCATTGCCAACCCGCCAAGCTTTGCCCACATTCACCTGGCAGAGGCCTTGGGTATCCCTCTGCATCTTATGTTCACTATGCCTTATAGTTCTACCCAGGCGTTTCCACACCCATTGGCGAACATTAAGCAGTCGAACCTTGACCCGAAGCTTTCGAATTACTTATCGTACGGGATGGTGGAGACGCTAACATGGCAAGGGCAAGTATCTGGTTGGCAGAGTAGTTTCGTTATGCTAACTCCAGTGCAGTCTTGGAGATATCATCAATCACTGGAGAAGGAAATCATTGAACCTAGATCCGATCTCGTCTGCTACTGCACCCAGTATGCTTAGCACCCAGGAGGTGCCATATACCTATTGCTGGTCTCCTGCCTTGGTACTAAAACCCGCCGACTGGCCCCCTTATATTGGTGAGTGACAACATTCCATGGCCTTCAGTATTCATATCAATATTATTTGCATACTAATTGACTGTACCAGATGTCTGTGGTTTCTTCTTCCGTGACGAACCACAGTACACCCCACCCGACCACATTGATCAATTCCTCCAAGCAGGGCCGCCACCAATCTACATCGGCTTTGGTAGTATCGTCATGGGTGATTCAGAAAGTATGACAGACTTGATATTGACGGCGTTGCGAAGATGTGGCGTCCGAGCCATTATCTCCAGGGGCTGGGCCAAACTTGGCGAGGGCCGTAGCGATAACAACGCTATTTTCATCGACGACTGCCCTCACGGTAAGCTGACCCAATGAATATCGAACCCTGCTAAACTCTGTGCTAATACATGATTAAACATAGAATGGCTATTTAAATACGTTGCAGGAGTGATACATCATGGTGGTGCTGGAACAACGGCATGCGGATTGCTCAACGCTTGCCCTACATTCATCGTCCCTTTCTTCGGAGAGTACGTGCATATCTATCCTCCTACTGAAGTGTAGCATAATTAATGGGTACCTAGTCAACCGTTCTGGGGATCAATGGTGGCCAAAGCCGGTGCTGGCCCGTTCCCCATCCGCCACAAAGAGCTCAACCTGGACAACCTCACCAACGCTATGGAGACGCTGCTCGCGCCCGCTACAAAGACTGCCGCCATCCGAATTTCAGAAACCATGCGTAACGAACGTGGCGTTACACAAGCCGTACAGTCTTTTCATCGCCATCTCCCGCGGGATACACTTACGTGCGATTTGTTGCCTGGCGAGGTAGCCGCCTGGATGTACGACACTAAGCGACTGAACAAGGCTGACAGGAAAAAACATAAGAATGGATTGAGACTGTCTCCTCGGGCTTTGAGCGTTCTGAGTAATCGCCAGAAGGTTGATTTGACCAAAGTGCAGTTGTAAGTTTTAGTGCCCTACTCTTCCTGTCAGTAGTGAAAGATCGGGCTTGTTAACACGTCACAGGAACCATCCCAAGCCGGTAGAGATTGAAAATCATCGATGGGACCCCTTGACTGCAACATCTTCTGCTCTGCTAGGTTCGCTGGTCGACTTCTCTAAGGGATTCGGAAGCCTCATGTCCGCCCCCGTTATGAAAGTCCGGCACGAGACTGCAAACCGGGAGAGGAGATACGCCGCCACGGCAGCGATCACAGATGATTCCCGGAGCGATAATATGGGATCGACTGCAATTGGTACAGAAATCCACAACCAAGGTCTCGTAAAAACGAAACATGGAGCCTCGTCGAAATCAGGACGAGAGGCATCAACATCATCCTCCAACGCTGGAAAGTCGGCCGGAAAGGGCGTCTCCAAGATGGCCACGAGCGTTCTCAAAGGTTCGCTTGTAGATGTGCCCCTCGCTCTTACTGAGGGACTACATAATTTGCCTGAGCTGTACGGCGACAAGGTCAGGAAGCATAACAAGATCACGGACTGGAAAAGCGGCACCACCGAAGCTGGCAAGGTATGTGCTTCCAGGCTCTATCTAACCTCTGCCCCAGTTTCTCTACTTTAGCGTAAGACTTTGAAGAGCAGTAGTAACATGCTGTAGAACTTTGCGTACAACTTTCTTGATGCCTCGTGGTGTCTGTTCAAGCAGCCTGCAGTCGGCGCAGTAAAGGGAGGTCCCGTGGGCTTGGTGACAGGACTCGGCAAGGCAGGTTTTGGGCTGATTGCCAAGCCTGGAAGCGGTAAGTTCAAGTTTCTTGACATTCCATGCCGCCTGTCTCTAGTAGGGAGCTGGAAGGCTTTACTGATGTATTTGGCGTTGACTCGGCTAGCCATGTTTGGTCTGTTTGCATACCCTGCTCTAGGCATTTACAAGAGTATTGTGGGGAGTCTGTCCAAGACGGAAAAGAAGGTTCTGGAGGCGCGGCTCGAGCATGATGAGTACTTTGCTAAGATTGACCCAATGAGTGAGCAAGATATTGCATCAGTTCTAAGCTCATTTGGTGGTGGAAAGTAACAATGTCGTTTGAAGGAATAGCTACAGGGCGGCGATCATGTAAATATCAAGTTACAGGAAGGTTTTCTTTAGAGGTTTCACTGTTGGATAATTGTAAGAACTGCGAACTGTTCCTTGGCCTGCATACATAATGAATTGCTATTGGGAGCATTCTGAACTATAAGAATATTCTTTGGGAAATTATTTTACTAAGTTACTCTTTGGTTCCCTCCGCTAACTGAACATGGCTCAATAGTCATCAATGCAGATAGTTAGTTATCTCCCTGTTCCTCAACCCCTGGTGCGTCAAACTAGACATTCAAGCGCACGGTGGCTGAGCGCGGGGCGAGTCGTTCAATGCCTCGTTTAACTGAGCGCACGTAACACATGAGAACGAGATACGAAGATGACAATATGGGGCCCAACAAACTCGATGGATTCGCGGTACAGGGATGCCCGCCGAGGTAATGAACCCTTGTGAAACTACGAATCGTCAGAGTTAAGGTCTACTCTATACAACATGGCTTGACAGATTTTGACGCTGTCAAGGCGCACAGTCGGCTTCTTCGTTTAGAGATACGCTGAGTGTGCCTTGCCTGCCCTTGGAAGAGATTTCCCCCCGAAGCACCTTAAATAAGAGATCGACGCTTTTGTTTAAGCTGTTCCTATCCTCTAATATTTTTCATTCTTAATTCTTGATCAACGATAATTTCCAAAATTTTATTTTCTTTGCTAGTGTAACTTCATTACTTTCATTACTCAACATTATGGATCTCGTCAATAATCTAGCACATGCTACTGTCCACTCTATACGGGCCGAGGACCCGTCAGAGAACACTTTCAAAATGTATCACTACCATCCTAGCGAGGCTGGTGCTATGGCCTTCGTGATCTTGTTCCTTATCACAACTTTGGCGCACACGTGGCAATTATTCCGATACCGTGTTTGGTTTGTTGTTCCTATTATCATAGGAGGTATTTGTACGTGGCTTCCACTACCATATCTTATCCTCCCTTCGACATAAATCCTCAGGATACTGACAATTGATAATGGGACTATAGTGGAGATGATTGGTTACGCCGGACGTTATGCCTCGGGAAAGGAAACCCCTAACTGGACCCTCACGCCGTATATCATTCAGGCCATCCTTCTCCTTGTCGCGCCTGCACTATTCGCTGGAACTATTTATATGGAGCTTGGAAGAACCATTACTCTTGTTGACGGTGAGGGTCTTGCACTTATATCGCGAAAATGGATGACCAAGATCTTCGTTGTTGGCGATGTTCTCTCGTTCTTTCTTCAGGGTGGAGGTAAGTATCACACACACAACATCTTCAAGTTAGCCTCAATCTCACAAATCTTCTTACAGGCGGCGGATATCAGTCAGCCGGCTCGTTATCGGCTCTCAGGATGGGTGCCAAAATTATCATTATTGGTCTCTTCGTTCAGCTTGCATTTTTCGGTGCCTTTCTTGTCGTTGCAATCAATTGGCATATTAACATTGTCCGCAGGCCCACCACTCGCTCTCGCATTGGCATCCCTTGGCAGAAGCATTTGAAGCTGCTCTATGCTACTGGAGTACTTATTATGGTGCGGTCTATCTTCCGCGCCGTCGAATACTTGCAGGGCGATGACGGATACCTGCTTGCCCGTGAGGGGTATCTGTACGTCTTTGACGCTTTGTTAATGTTTTTTGTCATGGTGTTATTTAATATCATGCACCCTGCCGAGCTATTTGTGGACCGGAGCAGGATCGAGAAATTTGCAACAGAAACAGAAATCGGCCTACGGGATCGTTTCTGATGGAGAGGGGCTCTACTTCATTTGGGAAAACTTCGGGATTCCAGGTTCTGGGCATGACGAGACAACATTCTGGAGATCTCCAGTGCACCAGACCGCTTCAGCAGGCCTGAAGCAGACAGTGGTAGTTTGAGGGTGATGTGAACAACAAATAAGATGTGTAGAAGTAGGCTTTTTAAGGAAATAAAGAAGTCGATTGATGTCAGTTTTGCATCATTATAGTGACTGGGGACGATGATTACCTTTCAAGTCGTTGGGTTGTTGAGAGGTCTCGCTTATAATCCTCAATTAGTGTCAAACTGCAGTCATTGCACAACATTAAAATATACCTAGCATCACAATATTCTCATTACTGGCAAGATTTATCAGTTTAAGGCATTCTTACGGCAGCAGAAAAGACAGATTCATTTATGGTGCATTTGGTATTCGTATGACACAATTGGCAAGTGCACCAGTCAGCTTTGTAATGCTGTTCATGTTTTAACAAGTTATCCATTCAGAGTCCAAATATTATTATATCAGCTAAACATTTTATATATTCAATCGCCTAACTCCGTAGTGTCCTAGCCCGCAAATTATTTTATCCTCCTTTTTCACTGTTGGAAAAGTCCCTTGAACACATTATCTAAGTGAGCTTGGACAGGTTCGGCCATCTTTTCTCTGATTCCTGCCAAAGCCTTTTCGTTATCTGCCGCTTCACTCTTTTCGTTGATCAAGAACACTCCACCAGCAGATCGCTTAGCCTTTTCAAGACCTTGAGGCACAGGAACTGCGGAGGACTCAGTCTCCTCGACAGTGTATCGCGCATTGGTGGCATAGAAAAGTGCCCGAGCAGCGACATCTTCGGGACTAGCAAAGAACAAACCACCCAGTGGAGTGATAATCCATTGAAGGAGGAAACCAATGATACCACTAGAACCACGAGAAAGAAGTGGTGTTGCTGTCAGACCAGGGAAAGCGTGTACGAAGCTGATCTTTGGGTTTTCTTGCGCAAATCGTTCCAAGACGAGAGTGAGCATAGTAGCAGCTTGGTTGGCAGAGGATGCGACGCCGTAGTTTCCTGGCTTGGCGAGATCAAGGTCGTCTTCGACTAGAGGACCTTCCATGCCACCGGCAAGAATGTTGACGACATGAGGGTTTGCGCTGCGGTTGAGAAGTGGGAGCAGAGTCTGGATAGAGCGGACACGGCTGTAGAAGCGGGTTGTGAGAGATGGCTCTAGCTTTTCCTTTGTTTCTGCGTATTTTTAGTCCCTGGTTGATAAGTGGATGACAGTGAGTAGCTTACCTTTTCTTCCTTCAAAAGACATGAATCCAACAGACATGAACAAGATATCGACCTTTTCCTCGCGCTTTGCGATTTCTTGCATAACAGCATCGGTTTCCTTGACAAGGGAAACATCTCGCTCGATAAACTCGATGGTAGCAGATGGGTTACTTTGACGAAGCTCGGCGATAAGTGCTGTTGCAGCTGAAGCACTTCGGCCGACGATGTAGATTGTGGGAGACTTTCCGTCTGTGGCGATGGCGAGTTGTTTAATTGTGCTACGACCGATACCCGATGTGGCACCAAGGAAGACAGCGGTAAGATTCTGGGGGAGGGTCTGGGGAAGGGCTGTGGAGTTGGAAGCCTTGATTGTCTTGATTGCGACCATTTTGATGTTTTTAATTGACTTTGCGGTGATATTTTCTGGTTGATTGTGGCGAGAAAGAAGATTAAAGTTGCTGAGTTGTTGATGATGATGATGATGATGCTTTCTCCCGCTTCCCCTCACCAGTTATATAACTCTCAAACATCATTTTCTTTATTAATTAGGTGCATAATAATTTTATCGGCATTCCTACTCGCGCAAAGATGGAAATCCGACAGAGTAAGCACAAGGCATCATTAGCGAGGATTGGTCCGGATGCAGCCCGATCGTGATCTTACTGACATGTGAGTCTGACGTGATTGGCTGTGTAAGTGACTCTCGGACAACTTGGCGTTTCCCGAAGGTTGCGCGATGTGTCGATAAGCTAACAAAGCTGACAGTGTCAGCCCTACACCACTAGCTTTGAGCCTGATCTAGATGACTCGGATTTGCGAAAATTCACCGAGAATTATATCGAATTCCACTTGAGTATTTTTGGAACTGCCAGTTTAGTCGCGGTAGACCTAAACGTCAATGTTGGCGAATGGACGGTGCGATCTGGAGGGGCACCAACATGCTCAGGCCCTGTCTATTTTCACACCACATCATCCATCATTGGTACAAGTCTTAAAGCTCGACGCACTACACCGTAGTGATTAGCTAAACTCGGAACAATATAATAGGCCAAGATTGCCTGACGGAGGTTGTTTAGCCAGATAGGCAACAGACCAAACATTGTTGCAGGTCATCATACACGTATAGAGGTTCCTCTAAGTTTTCAACAAAGCTTAATCTGTCCGCGCAGATGTAGCCGATTATATGTCCTGAGGAAAATCAACAGGCCATAGCAAGACATGATATCCAAGAGTTAAGCGACAAAGGCTACAACTCAATCCATAAAAATAGATGCGAAGTTCCGCATCTAGAAGCGGTTAATGATTCATGATGCTGCAGGAGGCCGGCCACGCTGAGGAGTGAGTCAGAACGATCATCGGGCCGGTGAGAATTTTTTGTCATTTAAGATACTGGCTCAACTTTTACTTCTGCTGTTGCCATTCTCAGTCCCATCCTCTCGATATTATGATGAGAAGGAGAACGTTGTTCAGAAATCAAAGAGACGATTCCCTCTCCCCAGCTATCTTCAGTTGCACCCGTTATATGCCAGGAGGCTATAGCCAACTTCACAATGTCACCTCCCGGTCTTGATGGCTTTTTATCTTCCTTGAAGGTGTATGCTAAGACTACACGATTTATGTTCAAGTTTCTAACATGACATCCAGGTACTACGACTCAGGCCTTATGTCTGATGCTGTCATCACTTGTAATGACAACGTTTTCAAGACTCACAGAGTACTCTTGTCGGCTCATTCCAAGTACTTTGCCACAGCGCTGAACGGTCTATGGATGGTGTGTGCTTTTTTCAAGTTCGTGAAAATTGCCCATTAACAGTATACAGGAAACAACACAAAGCAAGATCGAAATTAAGGATTTCGAAACAAATGTTGTAGAAGCTATGCTGTCCTTCATCTATTCGTTCGACTACGACGCCGCCAGCGATTCTTCCTCCATGGTGTTTGATGCCCAGGTCTACCAGATTGCCGATAAATACGATATACCGGCCCTGAAGATATGCTCTAAAGAGAAATTCGCTTCTGCTATCACTGCTGGCTGGAATACGGATGACTTTCCGGTCGCTGTCAGCATAGTCTATGAAACTACTCCCTTGGAAGACAGGGGGCTTCGCGATTTGGTTGTGGATATCGCGCAAAAGAACATTGACACGCTCGTTGGGCGCGACGGGTTTTGTGAACTTCTCAGAAAGACCGCCGACTTTGCCGCTGATCTGATCCTTTTCTTGTGTGGTGGTCAACCTAACACTGAAAAGTTCAGATGCCCTTATTGTAGCCATGTACTTCGAGGCGCATACGCTCAGGGTACATTTACGTGCCCAAAGTGTAATCGTCGTCTCTCAAACTGGAACTCATACCGGATCTAATTAGAGACAGCTAGGGGCTTGACCTTTGAGATTGGTGGTTGTTGAAGGACAGAACAAAGCCTTCAATTTAAGAATACATGCGTAAAAAATGGCATTTTCTGGCAATTATATCTCGCCTGTATTATTAATGAAGCAATTTTATCAACAGCACTTAACACATGTACCTAACATCGCGGTCAATATCTAAACCCTAGTCAGGGGTGTTCATTTGCGAGTCTAGCCATCTAAAACCGCGATTCACTTATCACAGCATTGAAAAGCCCTAATAGCTCTTTTCTAATTTTCCATTCATTCAAGTGATATTTCATGTATCCCTCAGTTAGCCTACTACAAGAACCAATTGTTTTGTAACTTGTGTATCAGTATATGGTAAACATTCATCACTCTGCCGAATCTGCATCTCGTCTTTCTACTATACATCTGAACAGTGAAGAATATTATCAGGCTTTCATCGTCTTCTCACATTCAGTTCCCCATTGTCAACCGATGTTGATAAGCTATGGATATGGTCGTCAAAAGCCGTCGTTGTAATCCACTTCTGTACTTCGTCGTCTGTCATACCCCTACTCGAAACAGTCTGCAAGACCGCACTTGTCTCGGGAGACACGATCTGGGACACAGCCTGCCAGGTGTTGCCCAAAATGGATAATTTCGTTGAAGCAAGGAACCACCCAACTGTGACGAGCATAAGAGCCATGTGGGATACTATAAGTGACAAGACGATTATGAGTCCCGTCCATTGAGAAGGAACCAGAACACGCTTAACATTGACCGTAATAATGGACTGCTTTCTTGTCCAGTATGGTAACATGTCGTGAAAGATCATTTGGGCGAAGCGTGAAAATAAGGCTTGAACAGCGATTGATGGATCACCAGTGTCATGAAGAATCTTCTGCACTAGGAAAGAATGTTCAGAGTTGGCTGGCCAAAGCAACCACGATGCCAGATAGCCCATTACGGCGTCATTATTGAAAGCCCATCCACCTGCGATTTGGAAGTCAAAAAGACTCATGCGAATCAAATTGCCGATGGCGGCATCCACAACTTCGAAGTCCTGGGTAGCCAGACTCTGGGGATCCGAATGAACCTTAAGATCCAGAATCCCTCGCGCCATAAGGTCTAATGAAGGACCGCCGATGCCCAACTGTTCGAGGTACTTTGTTCCGTTCGCGGACTTTTGTTTCAACTCGTTCAACTTTGCTTGTGACCTTGGCTCTGATAAGATTGCTTTCCCTGACATCGTCACGTTGTATAGAAGTGGCATGGTCGGAGTAGTGAAGCAAACGGTAGCTTGCAGTATTTCCGACCCATTGGCTGCAAAGGCAGCGGTCCAAGGACCATCCATGACAAACTTGTCCATTTGAAGGTCGTCTATTGCAGCGACAGTAGCCCAGTTCTCAGTTGATCCTGTCCAGGAAGGTATGACGGTGGCAAGGTTTAGGATGGAACTTGCATTTAAGAGAAGGACAGACTGAAATGTGTAAGGGCGTCCAGACAGCGGGTCTTTCAGACTCATATTGACAGCACTAGTGTCAATGTTTGGGAAGCTGCATATCGACAATGGCCAGGAATCCGAGGTCTCGTCCCAATAATTGTTAAGGCGACATGTTATTTGTGCCACTTGGCTGCCGTTAATTCTCGGACCCGAATCCCAACTGGCTAGAGTGTCCACTTCCGCATGCAGATACAGTCCCTCCGTGAGTTCACTGCCTGTGTATTGATATTCGATGGTAGCGTTGGTAAGGGTTGGCGCGACACATACTGTCCTGCTGTTGGTGACAATGGCAGGCCCCTCATAATATTGCAGAGACGCTCTATCCTCCATTGTATCAAAAGGAAGCGAAGCTTGATAGATGTCGCCCGTATCAGAGACGTGTTTCAGTGCACTGTTATGATCGGTCGCGTTGAGACGAGTCTCGGCAAATCGCCAATGCGCCTGCGGTTTGGACTGCCAGAAGGAGGTTCCGGCAGGGTCTGCCATAGCCTTCTGTAGGTCGAACCCAAGTGCTATGGATCTCGTAGTGCGTGGGGCAGCGATTTGGAACATTTTGAAGTCTGAGAGCATGATGGTGGATGCAAGAGTCATGGCGGACCCGATGACGAATGATAGAAGAGGGAGGACCCAATTGATCGACACAGCTTTTCGAGATGTTCTGTGGCGGGCAATCAAAAAGATATCCCATGGACTTGCACCATCTACAAAAGCTCTGGACAAAGACAGACTAGCGAGATCTGAAAGACGCGTACCGGTGGTCTCGAGAATGATGGCTGCCATTGAAGCAGCTAGGAGTCCAATTTGAAAGTCCATGGCTACTCGAATCGCAGCAGAACAGAGAGTTACGACTCGTGCTGCATTGTCGTCAAAGACGATGCTATCCCAAAGTTTGGGTCGAGGAAGCTGTCTTCTGGCAAGAGAAGCGCCATACCAGATGAAGACAAGAAAAGCACTAGCGGCCAACATTACGATCGTTCCCAGTCCAATGATCCACCATCCAAGATAGCCGACTCTTCGTTGCCATGGCTGACGTTGTATTGTTCGGGGTTGTGGGTTCGTCGCTGCATATTGTTGCGTGGGATGTTGATTAAATGCATGGGGGTTCAGTTCTGTGGCTGCTGGGAACGGTGCTTGCTTCTCAGCGTTGTAGGGTCTATAGTCGGACGGGTGATGAGGATTTGTGGTAGAATGGTAGACTGTGCGTCCTGTGTTGACGTTTGAGTCATGGTCGTCGACGTTGTAGACTTGACTATACTGAGCCATGAGGACGACTTGCGGATTTGGTTGACTAGTAGATGAGGGAAACTGAAGAAGAGAGAGGGAAACTGACGAAGAGAGAAGTAAAAGTCTTTATAAACTTTCGGGGGTCGAGAATCAAGGGAATCGTGGACTAGTCTCTTTGTTGAGGGCTGAATGTCTCGAACACCAGAAAGCTGAATGTGTCGTGTAGTTCTAGACAGGACTAATTCGAGTGGGCTTGACGCCACCAACAAGGGTGAAGCAAGCTACTTGTCTCCATTCTCAATATCACTATCATTTCATCCAAATCTCTGTCTCTATATACCGAGTATTCCGGTCGTGTACCTTTTACCTAGTGTTATTGTTTGTTCGTGGGATAGTTTGTATCGCGATAGAGAACGAGGAGATGCTTGACTTGAGGAGTCGGGAAATTATCACCACAACGCCACGATATTAAGCTTCTTTTGAAAGAATGCACTAGGCCATGCACTAGACCTAATCATGTCGCTGAGCCTCCCATTTTCAAGCTCAGCCAGCCACCTTTTTACCATGTTCAGACAGATCACGATTGCTCTCGCTGTCTTCTTTACCCAAAAGGCTCCAGAGATGTCAAAGGCTGTTCAAGTCATGTCGCCTCCCTTACTAATCAGGTTAGATATAAATTAAGTAGAATTTCTGCACATGCCTGTCCTGGGCTGAGATGTGTAACCCAAACAGCATCGCTGAGGCTGGATGACAGCCCTTCAACTTTTAGCATATCAATCAAAACTATGTCTACTTTAATCCGAGTGTTCTAAGATCTCCTTAACTAATTGAAGATGTGACAAAGGAGGAAGTTGCTGATATGATGCTACTCTGTCACGCGTTGAGGTTCTGTAGACATCTCCGTCCAGCGACGGAGACCCGCTGTCAAGTCGTTGACATGCATTCTTACATCCAGCAGGGCTAGCCTTTCTAACACCCACACTGAAACAAAGCAGTGAAGAGGTCTAACCATAATTTTCCCCAGTTAATAATATCTATTCTCCGACGTATGATGGAGTAAAATGAAGGGTTTATATATAATTTAACTTAATTTTATAAATTTAAATTCTACTAACTATATTAAAGTTTAATATTCTATATTACTTTAGTATAACTACGGGAAGGCTGTAACAGCAACATCATGCTTTCCAATGCTTCTAAGTGTATAGCTGTTGTTGTCATCAATCCCTGCGTTGTTAATGGGCTTGTGGAGAACGTTGAGAAACGTTTGAGCTGCGACTAGCTCTTTAGTCAATGTACAGATCCAGCCAATTACATACTCATCAGTCTTTGGCATGGTATGCTGGTTTGCTGCGACCGAGGTGAACGATGTGTATGTTGCTGGATAGTCGTGCTCATGTGCTCTCCGAAAACACCATACAACACGGGAGATATCAAGTATTATGCCCACGAAGAATGAGAGTGAGGGGTCCTCGGTGTCTTTGAGCCTCATGAACTAGGCCACTATGCATCACTGCCTGCCTCTGAATTGCCACCGCTACGGCAAACGTTTCTCATTCTAATATCACTAGCAAATGACAACACCGCAAAGCAATGAGCATCTGTGCCGAAGTACACAATCTAGATCTTTGTGGTATCGATTGGGTTAGAAAGCTTCATATGCAAAATGCTTAAATTAATCTTTATTATTTGTGATAAGCTATGCAACACTATTTCATACTTCTGTTTGGCCCAAATCGCTACGTGCCTATCCTTGCTGCCAGAGTATTGTCTTGTCTCCAACAATGCTAACCTTATCAATCTCAACGATCTCAGCTTCCGTAAGTCTCCATCCAAGCGCCTCAATAGCACATTTCGCTTGCTCAACGTTCCTGATTCCAACAACGGGCAGGACTCCCTTACTGATATTATAGTTCAACGCAACCGCGGCAATACTCTTGCGCCGTCTCTCAGCAACCCTCTGCAAAGTATTAAGGGCAGGATCAATATCTTCCATCTTGTAGCTACTAAAACGGTGTGATTTGGGCGGCGGGTTATCCTTGGTGTACTTACCCGTCAACCTTCCCTGGGCAAGTGATGAGTATGATTGGAAGATCATGCCGCTGGCTTTGCACTTCTCAATATTACCGGTGAGCTCGGGGTAGCGACGGAGGATGTTGTACTCGCATTGGTTTGTAGCGATGGGAATGTTGAACTTGGCAAGCTCATCGTTGATCTTCTGAACGTCTTCGACATCATAGTTGGCTACGCCAATTGAATGGGCAAGCCCCTGTTCAACACACTGAGCCATACCCTCTGCAATGGTGGCGATGCTCTGTGGGTGAATCGGCCCGTGAACAAGATAAATATCGACGTATTCCAGGTTCATGCGCTGAAGACTGGCCTTGAGACTCTTGATGGGCGCATCGACGGGATGAATAAAGTTGGCGGCCTTGAGAGGAGTGCTGAAGTACTTGGTCTGTATGACAACGGTCTCACGAGGAATGTCCTTGATGAGTTCTCCGATTATCCGCTCACTCTCTCCATTTCCATACCCTTCGGCAGTGTCAATGAAGTTGATACCCGCCTCGTAAAGCGTCCTCCAAGCCAGCATGACCTCAGGAAGTTCCTTTTCATCCCATTGCCACGTCGACTTGTCGCCCCACGGCCAAGCCCCGATGCATATATGCGAAGCCTTTACGGGCTTTTGAGGACTCGGAAACTCAACACGAGAACTGGGTTCTGGGCAGTATGAAGTAGGAAGAACGTTGGCACCGGCTGTTTCTGGGTCTGCCCAGTTAGGTTTCTTGGAATGAAAGCCCGATACATCGGACATGCCTGCTGAAAGGCCTGCCTGTAGTGCTTTATCCATACTGAAACAGTTTGGGAATACTTGGCGTATGTGGAGAATGAAGCGTTGAAGAACTTGGCAAATACCAAGAAAGATATCAAGCTACTTTTTTATCATTTATACTATAGGGTATTATACCTGCTGAGATTTCGATGATGATTTTATGATAGTATTGCTAATGCTTCCTAAAGTTATGTCGAGTTGTTTACGTTAGGGTAGGGTTTTTTAGAGTCATTATGACGATATTCTAACTCTGCTATGACTTTTTATTATAGGTATGCCGTAGCATTGAAACTGAAACATTGCATAACAAATGAAGATGCAGCAATTATAAATACCCTGATTAGCTATACGATTCAATGACGTTATTATTCGCACATATATCACCGTCTTAACAAGGCGCGTAATAGAAAGTCGCGCGATTGATATAACTTGGCTTGACCTAATGATGTCACATGTTTACATCCTCGTCTTCACATGCTAAAGATAATGCAAATAAAAGTCCATTCCAGCAGCAGTATGAAATATGAACCAGCCTCATACACCTTCCTCTGCAGTCTATCCAACCAACTTTCACATACTGCTATTAACACCACCAAGATGGATTTCGACGATCCCAAAAACACAAAGTCTTACTCTGATGCTCTCAAGGTTGATCCTAACTCTATCATTGTAACTTCAATCGATACAGTTCCCGTGACTGTTGAGCGAAAGCCATATCAGCCGGGAGTTGACAAGCCCAGACTGGCCCATGCAGGCGTTGCAAGAGCCAATCTCGCTGCTACTCATGAGCGTCCTGAGGGGACGACTGATGATGGCTGGGCTGATCGACATCGGGATCAAACTGTAGGTATTGCATATACTCTTCAGAACTAATTGCTGATCTCTCCCAGGTTCTGCAGCAACATTGTGATTTCTTTGACAAGGTACTTTCCCTCCTCATCAAGCATTTTGATTTGTGACTTAACGATGTAAAGGATCACGATGGCGTGATATGGCCGCTCGATACTTTTAGAGGTTTCTACCAACTAGGTTACGGAATCATTTTATCTCTCATCTCGGTCCTCGTCATCCACGGCAACTTCTCGTACCCAACGCAGTCATCGCTGCTCCCTGATCCCTTCTTCCGAATCCACACCGACAACATCCATAAGGATAAGCATGGCAGCGACACTGGAACTTATGACACTGAAGGACGCTTCATTCCACAGAAGTTCGAGGACATGTTCTCCAAGTATGCGGAAGGTCGTGATTACTTGACGATATGGGATGTGAGCAACTTGATGAAGGGGCAGAGGTTGATCGCTGATCCTGTCGGATGGGGAGGAGCCTTCTTCGAATGTAAGCGAATGATCATCTATATTTCTTGCTCCTACTGAGACTAACTCATGGTACAGGGTTGGCGACTTATATTTTACTTTGGCCGGATGACGGACGTATGATGAAGGAGGATATCAGAGGGATCTATGACGGGAGTCTCTTTTACAAGATCGCTGCTCGAAGAGCCGCGAAGTGATAACTTACATGTTTCTGAGCTGATGCCTAACGTCTGTCTTTTTTTTGCTATGTGCACCATTTGTTCTGCTGTACTCAGGACTGAGTCTTGCAACCTGCTTCAGACACGTCAGGGACGTACCTATGTCATCAACTGAAGGAGATCACTCGCCATACTTCATGGTCATGTCCGTAATTTTGAAATGAATATATACCTTGTCTTGGGAATATGCAAGCTGGAAAATTGTGGCATCAGGTAGTACATGGTGCCAAAACTCAACATCTTTCTTCGAATTTGCATTGTTGCGCCCAAAAACCACATCTCAAGTCAAGGCCTTATGACTCTTTGGAGATAGGTACGGATTTCCCACGCACAAGGGAAACTCCATCAACATAGAAATCGTACCTATCGCCCTGGGTCATGACGGCAGCAATACAAAGATCCGTCGAACCAATGCTCGGGCCAGTGTATTGACAGGTGTCGGAGTATTCGTGCCACTGGTTGTTCCAATCAACTCCCTTGGATGTGAAAGATACCCCGTCGATGAAAAGGTGAACCGTGTTGATATTGGGGCTGTAATCAATGTCTTCCCCTTCATTAGCGTTGTAATAAGTACAACTCTGCCGGAGATGCGCGGCAAAAGTGTATTTGTAGCCCTGCTCAAGGTCGATGCGCTGGCATATTTTGGCGGTGTTTCCGCTGTAGGGTCCTGGACGTCTCCTGTAGAGTGTTAGCAGAGAACGAAGGAACTGTGCATGGGGTGTTGGGAATACGTACGAGCACTGGTACTTTTCATGGCAGTAATTTCCCTGGGCCAACACTGCTGCGGTTCCTGTAGACTCCCATGGCTCAAGGGTAGGGTCTTCGAAATTACCGTTGGGTGGACTCTGTACGCTCTGGGCAGGAGATGTCGTCGTAGTTGTTGAGTCCTCGATTGTGCGGATTGAGGCCTCGGCGACAGAGGTCGAAACCTCGATAATCTATGTCTCAGAACCGGAAGTTCGTATCGTTACGGAAGATTCTGTGGCGCTGTCGGACTTAACGATGATCGTAGCCTCTTCAGAAGTCGCCGCGGAAGTAGTCTCGGCGGTCTCTACAGTGGCAGATCCTACGGCTGTTGCGGTTTCCGTTTCGCTAGTCAATGGTGATGTTGTTGTTGTTGATTGAGGGTGAGGAGCAGAAGCCTATAACTGGAATAAGGCTGATTAATAAAACACTGTATATAAACACTTACACGAGCGGCGACAAGGCCAGCGCTGAGTATCAAAGACCCCAGAGTAGTATGGACACGCATCGCAACGGTTTGCAATAACAACAAGCGACAATAAATGCAATCGGAAGAGAAATCAAAAGAAATAATTAAAAGGGATGAGAAAGCAGACTTATGATTTGATTTCCTGTGTTCTGTTTTATCGAAAGCTGAACAGGCGAGTTGTAACTATCGATTCGAACGTGCGCTAACAGTACAGAAATAGCTAGTTTATTCGATAGTCAGGGGCTTCAATGCTCATACAGCTAGCATTGGGCATCTTGAGCCACGATCGGAATAGTCAAACGTTTCTTGTCAACATCTCATCCTCTCCTTCTATCATTTACAAGAATGAATCTTCGGCTTCCTTAAATCTAGCTATAATCTCCCTTGTAGCTTCCAACGGCAGCGCTTCTACTGTGCGTCCCATATTGCCCGTCATTGTCTCAGCCATACAGAGTGCGTTATATATAGCCTCTTCTGTAGCATCAGCTGTTGCTTCAAAGAGACCATTGATAGTTTGGTTATCCGTCGCTTCCATGTTGATCAGTCCAGGCTTGAATGGATCAACTTCCCTGTGCTGGCCGGTAACTGTCTGGACAGGTATCTCAGTAGCTGTGGAAAAGGCAAGAAAGAGATCTCCAGAGGGGTTATGAGCATAGCTGCCCACACGTGCAAGACCCATGGTCGCTCGCTTAGCCAACCGCTGAAGTTGACCAGGAAGAAGCGGCGCATCCGTGGCGATGATGACGATGATGGATCCATCCTTTTTGTCCTTTGCCTCGTCGTACTCTTTGTCATGCGCAGCAGCGGCCGAATTGGTTGCGTTTCTCTTTTGCAAGATCCGTCCGACCGGGACACCTGATATGTGCAGATGCTGGAGTCTCCCATAATTGGCTTGGACAAGTGCGGCAACAGTATAGGACGTATCGTTTTCTCCAGCCACAACTCTGCTGCTGGTTCCAGTGCCGCCTTTCCACCCTTGACACAACATGCCTGTCCCTCCGCCCACGTTTCCCTCGGCAATCGGCTCCTCGGAAGCATTAGTGATGCCATCGACCACGTGTTCCGGCGTCACGGCAAACTGTCTCAGATCGTTGAGGTGCCCATCAAATGTTTCGGCGACAACTGGCAGCAGGAACCAATCAACGCCCTCGTCTCCTTTTCCATAATGTTCGATTGCGTATTTGTAGATGCCGGTGTAGCATGGACCCACGGCAAAACTATTCGTTATGAGAATGGGTGAGTGTAAGAGACCGCTTTCTTCGATCCAGTGCGTCCCAGTCATTTCTCCCGACCCATTGAGACGGAAGACGCCAGCATGACAGGCCTTGTGAAACCAGTCTTTCCGAGGGAGAATAGTCGTTAGTCCTGTGTTGATCTGCCCACTCTCATCGCGGATAGTGGTTGTGTGGGCAAGGACTCCAGGTACATCTGTAATGCCGTTTTTCGGACCTGGTGCATAAGAACCAAGATATGCCTCTGGTATAACATCGCGAAGTCTACCGCGGGCCTGTTGATCAGACATACTCGTTGTCATTGCTTGAGTCATGAGTATTTTGTTGCTGTTGTATTGAGGTCGACCGTATCACTATTTGAATCTTCACAACAGGACGATGGTTACTCTCACTTATTTATAAGAATAAATTGGAAAGGAAAACAGAATTTTTCCTGCATTGTTTCTCAGTATCGGAAATGAGTCATGCCGACCTACTTATCTCCGCTAATTTTATTGTTTGCAGTCCAAAAAGGAAGGTATTGAGTAGCCATGTATTTCGGATGTACAGAAGCAGTTAGTCGTTTGGCTAAAAGACTTGTATGTAAGCCTAGACTGTTGAGGTTTGTAGGATCACACTAGACCAATTTCATGGTACTGAGCCTCTTAACGCCTCCGAGATTCCATTGTAAAGGCTATATCCTTCGACATGAAATATCCAATATGAGTTAGGAGCAGAAACCCAACCCTCCAGACAGGATTCGTTGAATTCGGGAGGAATATTGGCATACTGGATGCAAACTGCATCTAGTCGTTGCCATGATGGGTTGGTGAATAGTTTTGAGGCCAAGATACTAACCGATAGTCTTCCAGTCGCATACAGTGGCAACATGCAAAGCTCTTGTTGAGAACAAAGACTGTAGATTTCTGTTCGTTTTCAATCATAATCGTAATGCCCCTCTGCTGTCTCGAATCGAAGATTGCTCAAGTGCAAACATCATACATACATTATTCCCCCAAAAGTGTTGCGCATCGGGGTGTAGTAACAGGTTATGGAACATACATAAAAGGAGGGTATGTTGAATGTCTCATTAAAGAAGCTTCCAAAGTGGAAGAAGAATGATTCCGGATCTGGACAGCGAGTTTTCATAAAACTTGCCATTTTCCTCGACTACCCTAAGCTCGCCCAGATAGTCTGATAGGTAGAGGATCATATATGGGACCACTAGCTTAGCGTGTCGGCCAACCTGATGTTCTTGTGAAGAAATGTCAAAAAAGGTTTAAGTCATGCCACATCGAGTTAGTTTCAATCTCCTTATCGCGCTACCAAGGGTACTGTATCCATAACCCTTTTGCATAACATAAACTCCTTGGTTGAAGGGAGAGATAGTTTGGAACTCAGACTCTCTAACTAGTTCATTATATGTATTGTACCGATTGAATTTGTAAAATGAGCCGCCGCTTACGGATATATCTGTCTGTTTATGTGTTGTCTTCATACATGATACAACACCCCCACGAGGAACCCTGCATGAACTGACACGTCTCCCCATGTCAATTAATGTCAATCAACTAATCACAATTAATCAGACCCTCTTTTGTAACGTCTCATTCGTTCGTTTATTATCCAGAATTGCGAATTTACCGAGCCCCCAAATCAGGAGGAAGTATGGTTCCCCTGACCGAAAATTCCAATTTATTCCTTGCTCCCATACTTTTTTCTTTTCTCTTCTTTTTCCTGCATGATCCAGGCATTATATCCGTGCCCGAAGCTTAAAAAAAAAATACAACCTCGAAGTGCATTTTTGTCACTTTCTAAGTACTCATTATGTCAACACCACCTGCGGCTGCGACAAGCCCGAAAAGTGAAAAAAGCCCCGCCAAAAGTAGGACCAAAAGTCCCTCAAAGAGCCCCTCACAGGAGGCGCAGACGAACGTGGGAATTACCGGTGTCTTGGAACCCGAGCATTGGCAACAACTCGCCGAGGTGAGACGATACAGTACATTGTTTCAGATGCTGTTCCTGTTGGTAGCTAACAATAACATAGGAAGAAGAGAATCCTGATGATGACGCTCATTCGTTAAGCGAAGAGAGTCTCAACTCTTCAACAGCTTCCGTCACCTCTAGTATCTTTGAGTATCGAAAGCTCCATGGCAGAACATATCATCGCGAAATTGGCAGTGCACAATATTGGTAAGATATTCTTTTCACTTATGCACCGGGGGCATGGGCTTACCGAACTAGGGCTGCTAATGACGAGCGACAAAGCGAATTGCTTGACATCAAGTAAGTTGATCTAGACTTGGCATTGACAATTCATGACTAACACTTATAAGCCATCACTGTTTGACTCTGGGTATCGGAGGAAAGCTTCACCTCGCGCCAATTGATACAAGCAAGATCACGGTAAGTTTGGAATGAGAGATGATTGTGGTAATCCAAAAGCTAACAAACGGTTTGAAGAAAGCTCTTGACATCGGAACTGGCACCGGTATTTGGGCTTTGTAAGTCTAATGTATACCTTGTGGAACGTAGCGTACTGATTCCAAGACAGAGATTTCGCCGATGAACATCCTAATATTGAAGTCATCGGTACCGATGTTTCTCCAATTCAGCCCTCTTGGGTCTCACCCAATGTGCAATTGTTGGTTACTCCGTGAAAAGCCACAATACCCTCTGTTCCCAAACTAACATATCACCACAGTGAAATCGAAGATTGCACCCAAGAGTGGACTTTTACACCTAACTCAGTTGACTACATTCACATCCGCTGGCTCATTGGCGCCATCCCCGATTGGTACAGGTTTTTTAGTGAAGCTTACAAGACTTGCAAGCCTGGTGGTTGGGTCGAGAGTTTCGAACCGTCGGGCATTATCACTAGCGACGATGACACTGTCAAGGAAAACTCTGCTTTGGACCAGTGGGGCAAGATCTTCATTGAGGGAGGCAAGAAATTGGGTTCAAGCTTTACAGTTTACGAAGATGAGACCCAGCGGAAAGCCATGGAGGCTGCTGGCTTTGTTGACATTCAGCAATTTGAGTACAAGGTAAATGTCACGTTTTCAGAAAGCCAGCAAGAGCTAACAAGCCATAACAGACCCCTATTGGAGGATGGCCAAAGGATTCAGCACTGAAAGAGTTGGGCCAATTCGCCAAGATGGCCTTCCTTGCCGACCCTGAAGGATTTGTCCTTTTCGTTGCCAACACGATCGGTTGGTCGGAGTCTGAGGTTCACGTCTTCCTTGCACATGCGCGTAAAGAGATTCACTCAGGCAAGCACCATCCTTATTATAAACAGCGTGTAGTCTGGGGTCGTAAGCCCGAAGAGTAATCGGATATGGTGTGCTATATATGTAGTAATATCGGATATGGAAGCGGCAGAACTCAAAACAGCAGTGGTCTTAACATAGTGAGTAATAGTGATCTTAGTGAACTGAAATAAACTCCTCGAATTCTTGAATATTACCATGCAAGTGGCAATCATTAGTAGGTTATATATTCTTTAAATTTTGTCCAATAAGAACAAGACCGAGGCATGTTGGTCAACCCTCTTGGGCCGAGGAAACTAAACCACCAACGCTAAACTTGATTTACACGGCGGGACGACGAGCCGATGCCCACGACAAGGATCTCCTCCGCTGATATTGCGGGGTGACAATTGGCTTCTACCCGTTGCATGATACTTAAACTGCACCCCGCATCAGCTTTGTTTCTCTCTTGCAGCATCAGTTGGCATCTTTCTGAACATCAATTGACATGATGATTTACCAGTCCGAGAACCGAAACATCTCTTGTAAGGACTTACTAGTGTCGAAACTTGTATAGCTTTAACTAACATCTACTCGCAGTTTCGCCAAACCAGACATTGTGGTCATGGATCTTCAAGTCCAAGACATTCGCGTATGGTAACGATGCCCCAGGGTTTACCGATGCCATCACCAAGAAGCATATTAGCTACGGGTTGCTGAAAGATTATGCAACATCGTTGTCTTCAATCCTTGTTGCTCGGTATGGGCTGAAACATAACGACACGGTGATTGTCTACGGCAGGAACTCCATTTGGTGGCCCGTTGCTACTCTTGCTACTATTCGTGTCGGTGGTGTAGCTTGCGGGGTGTCGCCAGACTATACCGTTGACGAGCTTGCTTACAGTCTCAAGACCAGCAAGTCGAAGATTATGTTTGCTACTGTCGACAATATTGATAAAGCTCATGCTGCAGCTGCCAAAGTTGGGATCCCTAAAAGCAACGTGCTGCTATTAGAGGGTTCCAGCAAGGACAGTACAAGCATACAGACGCTTCTGGAGACGGCAAATGGTGTTGCAGAAGTGCCCTCATTTCAAATTCCCGAGGACAAAACGAATGCCGACGTTTGCACATTTCTTTGCTTCAGCAGCGGTACTACTGGTCTTCCGAAAGCGGTCATGATATCACACGCCAACATTATCGCGCAATGCCTTCAAGTGGCAGACCTCACGCCCCCTGGTCATAACAAAGTCCTGGCAGCTTTGCCATTCTATCACATCACTGGCATCGTGCATCAACTGCATTTCCCAATCTACCTCAACGCCAATGTCTACGTCTTGGGCAAGTTCACGCTAGATACGCTACTACAGACTGCATCGGAGAATAAGATCAAGGAGCTTCTGCTTGTCCCACCCATCATCATTCGACTAGTCCGCGAATCCAAGCTAGTGGCAAAGTATGACTTGTCTCATGTTGAACGCTTTTCGTCAGGAGCAGCGCCTTTGTCGCGAGAAATTCTAACTCTGCTTGAGAAAGCCTTTCCTGGTACAGGATTCAGGCAGGGATATGGCATGACTGAGTCATGTTCTTGTATTGTCGCCCATCCACTTGGAAAGTATGCTTACAAGTATGCTGACAAGGTGGGTACGCTGGTAGGATCCACAGAACTTCGGATTGTAGACATTGAAACTGGCAAGGACTGTGAGGCCAACAAACCAGGTGAAATTTGGGCTCGTGGGCCACAGATGGCTATGGGTTATCTTGACAACCCCAAAGCAACTCGGGATACCTTTGACAAAGATGGGTTCTTGCACACTGGTGACATAGGGTATATCGATGAGGAAGGTTTTCTGTCCATCACCGACAGACTGAAGGAAATGATCAAAGTCAAAGGAATTGCAGTTGCACCAGCAGAACTCGAGAACCTCCTCCAAGGCCAGCCTCAGGTTGACGATGTCGCTGTTTGCGGTATTCCTGATGAGTTCGCTGGTGAGCGGCCGAAGGCGTTTGTGGTGCTTAATTCTTCGCATTCCTCGAGACCAGTTGAAGCAGCAAAGGAGATTTTCGAAAACGTCAAGAAGGCAACAACACGACACAAGTGGCTTGAGGAAATTGAGATTGTCTCTGCCATACCGAAAAGCCCAGCTGGTAAGATTCTGAGACGCAAGCTGCAGGGTAACTCTGTCGGTGACAGTAAGAATGTCATTGTCAAGGATAGTAGGGTTGTATCAAAGCTCTAGAAAGAGTGTGAGCCGTGAGAAAGATGAGCAAAATCTCAGTTACTTCCTCAATCTAGACCTGTTTTATGCGACTAGATCGCAGTTGATATAAAACAATTCGCTTCTAAAAAGACATATTCATTGCTAAGCTAATGGAGTGAGGCCACGGGCTGAATAGGGAAAACTGGGCAAAACCCCAGGGGAAAACCTAAAGCCAATGGTCCATTGAAACTCTAAATAACTGTCAGCAGGTCCGCTGTTCACCCTGTGATGAAGCTCCCTCTTGTAAACACAACAGGGTCAGGCAACCTAGTACCTGTAGAAGAGTAGTGAGCTCTCAGTGGTCATCAAGTCCTTGACCTTCAGGTCATCGGCCAAATCCATCATAAGAAGGGTGTCATCAAGAGATGCGCGGGGTGGCTTAGTTCCATCAAACTTATCCTGGGTCTTGTCACCCGCAAATTCAGTGAGGCGAATCTTGGGATCCTCCTGCTGCCAGAGCGACCACAGACGATCGATCTGGGTGTGGTGAAGGAAAAAGATGGGGTCTAGATCGTTAGCTGACAACTTACAATTTTAAAAAGGGCTTTAGGTATTGTCTTACCACCAGGTGAAGTGTTGGGAACCATGTCACCGCCAATAGAGCTGTGGATAGCACCGTGAGGACCGCCCTCCAGAGTGTGGCGATATTCGTCGTGGTTGTCAACAGTTTGGACCTTCTTAACAGCCTCAGGTGTGTAAGCGTCAGAGAACATGTCTCCGATATTGCTGCTTCCGTCATTCCAGTTGCGTGACAAACAATGAGGGTCCCTCTTAGTACCGAGATACTCGGGATGAAGGTTCTTGAACGGCCCATCGTCAAGACACTTCCTAACATCTCTTCCGTTGTTGATCGATTCGGTTCTGTCTGGGCTACCGTTCCCGCCGAATCCAGTCTTTGCGTCCCAGATCTTAGACTTGGGGACATCATCGCTATCGAGGGACCAGTCCCAGTAGCTAGATATTGATGATTAGTCGATGCTATTGTAGAGTAGTTCTGATGCTAAGACTTACGGCATGACTCCTTCATAGCCACATTCTTTCAGTGCACCCTCGTAGACGTGGACAAAGTATCTGTGCCAAGGCAGAAAAGAGGCAACGGCGTGGACTGAAGGTTATAATTTTAGTGCTGGCGCTTTAGAAAAGAATGGATAAACCGTAGGGGCGTACTCTGCTTGTCAAGATGGGAGTGTACATAGGGGAAATCGTCGTAGAGAGTGTGGTTCAGGCCGAGTCTCGAAGGCTTTGTCGTGAGGCACAGAACTGCGTCGACGTATTGCTGGCGGGTGGACTGATCAAGCTTTCTCCATTCAACACGCTTTGTTGGGTTCTCGCAGGACTTGGGAACCGCGGCCGCAGCAGCGAGGGCCGGGAGAGTAAACGAGAGGAAACGCATGTTGAAAATAGTTTCAGAGTTCAATACAAAAAATGAGTGATGTATAAAGCGAAAGAAAGAAACGAGAGTAAAAGACTGAGCTTGTGTAACGATGGAAACTTCAAAGAATTCGAATGCGTACCATTTATACTTTTATATCTCTACTACCTAAATATGAATGACCTGGCATGTTAAACACGAGGTCTAGTTCATGCTGATCGCCTAGCTACGGACGAAGTAGTATACTTCGCCCAAGTGGAAAAATCGACATACAGGGCTGTTCGAAACTGAATTCACCGAGCGTCGGGCCCAAATGTCTGTTCTAATCTTTTTGGCTCCGGGATTTGCATAAGCTATGACTAAATTGAGTGTCCGCCCGTTGCAATGTGCCGGTACATTATTAGAGGCTCGGTTACAACCATCAGGGGCGGCTCTAAATATGCTAGCAGGTGCTTGGATGGAGATCAATAGGTGGGCAATATGTACAGTACTGATATCTGTCAAGACTACTTTAGCATCATCTCTATCTATATCAACATAGTTGTCTCTAATTAGGCTCTTCAATTCTGCTACCACGGATGATATGTATTAGATCTCGAACTGGGATATCTGTAACCCTTACAATCCGTATCCGTAGTGTGTGTTGGCATCCGACTCGGAGATATTTACACGAGGGTCTCGCTTAAGAAGCGCTGTCATGGGCTCTGAAACAAATAACCCCCGACAGCACCTCTAGTTTTGTTAAATGTGACTATTTATAGTACCACGACGTCAGAATAAATTCTGTGGGTCCTCGTATAGCCAAATGGACTGTAAACGAGATCGTTAACAATGGACTCGGACGGATTTAACATTATGAGATGAACAGAGGTGAACCTAATTCCACAGCATTGCACACACAGATTGGACGACGAATATATCGTCAGAGTCGGTTATTACAGGACTATCAACGGATACCCAGTGTCTACTTCATGTACGTAACATCAAGACGTGCATGAGATCTTCGGTACTAAGGTATTGGACCCCAAACAGTTATGCCATAGCAATCCGTTCAAAAAGCTCCGCCGTCTCTTTCGGTTTGCTTAGAAATGGAAAATGACCAGAAGGCAGACTTTCCACTTTACTAAACCCCCCTGCCTGGATAAAATTGTCTTGATACGCCGGAGGGAGAACCTCGTCTTTCTCACACTTGACATATGTCGTGGGGATCCTGACATCCGCGTTGATAAAGTCTGCCAGATGATCGAAGCTCTTGCGGCTTTGGCTGCTCAGGACCTTCTTCCAGGCTTCTTCTTGTTCGTTTGATGGTAGATCACTGAAAAAGGAAGACTTAAACGTATCATGAAGATGCACAAGGCCACCCTCCTTTTTCGTCCACAATTTTAGCCGGGTCTCTGTTTGTGGTTTTTCAACTTACCTCATGTGAATGATTAGGCATCACGGGCCCTTGTTCTGTAGTCCCATAAATGTTCCTCTCGCGCACAGCAAACGCGAATCCAGCGACAGCCGCATAACCCTTGATCCCTCCTGCAAGTCCTTTCGCCTTGCGTTCCTCCAGGGTATGACCCTCAATAGAGAGAAGGCCAGGGAGACTTCCATAGCTGTGGCCAAAGAGAACGACTTCAGAACCCTCATCAAGTTCTTTGGTGATACTGTCACGGATCTCTTTGACGTCGTCGAGCATACTTTTACTAGCCAGGGCTTTGTATTCATCGTCTGTGGTGTTCTCCAACAGTACGTTTCCAGTGGTTGTTAACTTGGTGACCTTTGTTGTGAAGCCGTCCTCTCGAAGAATATTGGCAGCATCTTGGTAAATATCTGGACTGCAAAAGCCGCCAGGGATGATGACAATAACAGGTTTGTTTTGCGTCATTTTAACAATTGATAAGCAGAAATCAAATATATTGATGAGATGCTGCACCAGAATTTGTATGGGTAAACATAGGTTTTATACCAAGTTTGTTGCCCCTCGGGATCTAACTTGAAGTAGCAAGTAGGCTGACTGTATCATGAACTTAGTGCTTTGATTCGATAATTCGCCAATCTGATGGCTTCAATTGCGCGTATTCGGACGAATCATGAATCGTTTTAGAGAACCAGTCAGCCAAGTCTAGATCCTTCAGTGGGTAACTCATGTCGAACCGATCCTACAAATTATCGGATAAGCAGCGAACAACAGGTCGATTGGAATGGGGCAATCAAAACGAAAGAGTTGGGGCTAAACACAGTGTAATGCAAAGACGCCAGATGGCATGGTTGGTGTCAAACATAATTCAATGAGACATTAAATTCGAAAACAAAATACATATACAGGCTCATTCCTCTACCCCCTCCATACTAATCTTCAAACCCGTCAGTCCAAGGCACAAGTGGATAACCGGGGTCTTCTAATGGTAATTTGATCTTAGCGTCTCTTGCAGAAGAAGGCGCTGTTGGACAAGAGAGGACCGAGGTAAGATTCAGGAACTATTGGGATATTGTTAGTCACATTTTAATGACAGAATTCATATCATGGTGAAACTTACCAAGCTTTCCCTCTTGGAAGCTGCCGCAAAGTGAACCCCATTTGCTGTCATTGTCACAGTTTGTAAATTGTCCGCGAGTAGTTGAGGGAGTGGCGCCCGAGTAGTCCCACTCGCAGAAGCCGTGAGTAGCCTGTGAATCATGTTAGCCATAATCAAACATCTCGGAAGCAGTGTCAACTTACAAGACAGGTCATGCCGAGAGTAGCCGGGTCAAACTCGGGAGTCTTGCCAGCACAGTCCTCAATCTTGAAGACTTCAGCCATGTCTGCCCATCCCTCGTCAATGATAGACACCATAAGATCAATATGGGTATTTTCCCAGTCGTTGGGGTTGTGGAAGGCATAGGTGTTCTTGGCTTCTTCATCGACGAACCATTGGTTGCAGGTACCAGCAGCACCAAGACCATCGCATGAGATCTCACCAGTGTCTCTGGCGACGTCCATAGCAATGACGCCGGTGCTTCGAGAAGAGACGATACCGTTGGCCTTGAGGGCACTTGAGAGGATGAAGAGTTGAAGCTGTCGGTAAAGAGTGCTGGCTTGGATGGTAAGCGAAGTAGTGACTCGCTGAGAGAAGCCACCTTCTCCGCAAGCGGCCAGGAACAGTTGGTGGTCACCCTGAATCACCTTGACACTGTCAAGAAGGTTCTGTTGGTAAGACTCAACAAGCTTGGCCAGCGATGAACCAATGGCACCGAGCTGGATAAAGCGATCATTTGCTTTTTGAGTGATACTCAGAGGCTTGCCGAGCTTGCCAGCCAGGTCCAATGCAGCAGAGAGACCACCCCTGATTAGACCGACACCAAGACCTGCGTCGCCAGGGATAAGGCCAGTAAAGATGGAAACAACTCCAAGGGTGGAAGAAAGGATACTGAAGACTTCGCTCTGGGGGGTGTTGGCTTCGACGGGAGGAGCAACCTTGGCGACGATAGCATCAACTGTTTGGCCAGCAAGGGATGCGCCGTTGCTGAGAGCTTGAGAGTACTGGTTAAAGAATTGATAGACTGTGTAAATGTTCCAGAGAGCCTGGCTTTGGTCAGCAAGGGAATTGGATCGGGTGAAAGCGTATCATACATAGAATTGCTGGTTAGACTCGTACTTCTCGACGCTCTTGGTGTTGAAAGGTGGGCAGGTGTCACTTGTGATCAGGTTGCAAGTGAGGCCAGTGAAACCCTGCAAAATGGATTAGCCATGCCAAATCTATATCAGTTCCTCGACTTACATTGGCCTGGAGGAAACATTGAGCAAAGCCGAGCGCCTCACAGTTGGCCGCATCACCATTTTCGGCAACCCAATCGTTGATGTACTTGTCCATATCCACTAGTCCATGTCAGCCAAAATCCCATCATGTTTTCCTTTCCACTCACAAGCTTTCCAGCACTCGGCCTTTAGGCCAGTAGCAGAGTTGGGTGCACAGTCGACATCGGGGGCGGCGGGAGCAGGATCGGTAACATTCTCCTGACGCTCGAGCAACGGGACGGCAGAAACAATGGTGGAAACTGACAGTGTAGTCAACACTGCTTTAAAGAGAGACATGGTTGCGCTGCAACGAAAGAATGAATATGATACTGGTGAAAAGAAAGACGGTGACTAGCAGCGAAGGTAAAAGAAGGAAGAGGCTTGCTCGTTGAGTTGTAAATAAATTGACGATGACGTTTGATGTTATATAAGGCCAGACAATCGCTGTATCGGCAGTCAGTCATGTAATCCACAGTTCATCTTCTTCAGTAGTGATAGTCGGCAGTTAACTCTAAAGAAATTACCTAGACGTAATCGGGCGAGATGTTGCTCCAATGACAGAAACCAGTTCCTGGCAGTAGCCGGCTTGGCAGGGCTTCAGGGTGAACTTTAAACACCGGGGATCTGGTCTTATCTATCAACAATCATATCTGTAAGAGGAATGTGCATAGCGCTTCACTGTTGTCCTGAAACTTGTCGTCCCAAGATTATCCCTGCACGGTTCCAAAGAGGGCTTTTCGTGTTTTTGTAGGGGACAGGGCAAGATCCTGGAAATGGTCTTGAAGACGACGATCTGCCGTGTCGGTCCGACGCGGGGACTCAAAATAGAGATCGATGGTTACAACGATGGGAGGTTAGCAAGTGTCAATAAAGTTATATTTTCATGCAGCTTTAGTGTGATTGTCATGTCTCAAAGTGCTTTATCTACTCTGCTTGTGGTACAAAGAATGACTCGTTGATATCAAGATGAAACTGACTACGGATCCGCCGTTGGGAGGACCCCTGTCCATCCTCCCCACGTGTCAATGCCAATGGTGTCACACCTGATGAGATGATACTTGTTCCAGGTTTTGTGTGATTGAAGTTATCACAAACCATCTGCATTTCTTGAGAGTTTCTAAATGTGGTCAAAATAAGCGGCAACATACTCTTTAGGTTCAAGAAAGACGTTTTGGCGACGGGGCGTTGCTTACCGGTTGGGATCATACGTCTCATGTCTCTTGGCAACTTCTTGACTGAAGTTTAAATTGAAAATCTTTTACTATTTACTTGCAGAAGGTAAAGTCAATCGCTTGGTTTGTAATCAGATGAAAAGTTTATTCTTTGACCACTTCTGTTGTTGAACTTATCAGACCAATCAATGGGCAATCTATGGAAGGCGTTCATCCGTATTAAACATTGGCATTTAGCACTGACATTTAATGTGATGAAAGCAATGCAATAATGGGAAGGTGCATATACAGCCGAGAGTATATTCTTCGTATTTATAAGTACCACTGAATAGCCAACCTGGTAAGTAGTAACCGTTTAGGAAAGTGTTTATCACTTCTCAATTCCAGAAAACTCTGAGACATACTTTAAGCAACTCTTTAGCCTTTTTCAACATCAAATTGTTGCACCTGGTGACATGATACTTGTTCCCAGTTCTTTGTAATTAAAATAAAGTTATTAGAGTTATATCAACTCACTGTAAATAACCCAATGGTTGAAATGTACCTATCATATCAGAAATACTATCATGTATGCAAGTTCCCACATCGATCTGGTAATCCCCGAGTATTGTCTCAAAGTCACTCCACACCTGCGGAGAACCAGACTCGGCCGCCCCAAAGCCAGGCTGAAGGCCGTCCTGTGACATGGGCAAGTTATCTTCAGATCTCAACGGCCCAGTGGTTGGTTGGTTCTGCGTCACATTCTATCGTAGCAGCGACAAGACGATCGAATGTCTTGCGGGCCTGTACTGCTCTCGGCCATCGCTCTGAGATGATGTACAGCATTGTGCTGCACGCTCGCACGCTTCTACTGAACTTGGGACTGAAGATTGACGGGTCGAGGCAGAAGCAGTACACCATGACCAAGCCGGCGACAAAGTTAGCATGTAACGAAAGTAGAGAGAAGGAAATTTACGTCTGCTGATCATGTAGGCGTTTCGACAGGATGCAAATCTGTCCCGTGGAGTGGATGATCTCATAGAAATTCGAGTTCCGCGGGATGAGAGTGGGTAAGAAGGGAAGGTTAAGCAGCCGTGATGGAAAGACATTCCCAGATTAGTCCAGCCTCCGATGACCAAGCCGGGAGAGATAAACAACCCTTGAAGCATCACCGCCGCACCCCTATGAGCAGCGCCTGAACATTCGGCCTGCCAGTTAGGAGCCGTAGCCGTAATGTGTCCGAAACCGTATCCAGAAACCAGTCGACCGATGATGAGCTGCGGCAGCGAGTACGAGTAAGCCTGGAGAGTTGCACCAATTGTGTTGATCCTGTCATGGCGGTGCATGTGGCCTTCTCCTCGGCAGAGCCACACCGTCAGAGTACGAAGACAATGTTATACTCGATCCCACCATCATTGCCATTCGCGATCGCATTATAGCAAAGATGGATACAAGCATTGCACCAGACTCGGCACGGGTCAGTGTTGTTCTTCAAAATGAACAAGTGTTCACGAAACATGTAGAGCATGCAGTTGGCAGTCGTTCAAATCCTCTGAGCGACGTTAAGCTGAAGGAGAAGTTTAATAATGGATGCAAGAGCGTTGGAATGCATGACGCTGAAGTCGTGAGCTATGAATGTTGGGGGCTGGAGACTGTGGACGATATATGGCAGCTTACAAAGTACCTGTAGCTGCTATTATATAGTTTCATGCATTCTTAAATCAATGCTTTGGCCCGTTTCTACATTGGGCTATTATCAGTATCGGGTACTCCCACGGTCTAGAAATAATATCACATTCTGTGACAGGTGGGTAACCAAAAAATGATAAAAGTAAAGATTAAACTGGGTAGGTTGCTGTTTGGACATCTGCTCGATCTAAATAACCTCCAAGTCTCTTGTAGTCTTTGTCTAAAACATTACGTACGCACAAACACATTCATAGCTTCGCTTTGACCTCTTCATCTCTTTTCTTCCCCCTCGCCTTTCTCGCCCAAGGAATAAACCCACTCATCTCCTCAGGGAACGGTACGTCATTCAATACCGGTCCATCAGCAACCAGTGGCAGGGCCTTTGAATCAGCAATGCTCGCTGTCCTCAGTGCCGGCTGGTGAGGTCCGATACACAACTCAAGGTTCATTCGAGAAACCTCCATCCACATCTTCGCAGCGGCTTCACGCTCGTGCTGGTAGGCGACGAATGCTTGACCGAGTTCAAACAATTTTGGGTCTGGGTTGGAGCGTAGGATTCGTTTGAGAGAGTTTACTAGTGCGATGGAGTCTTCGATACCGCAGCATGCTCCTGCACCTCTGATGGGGTTCATCTGCTGAATTTTAGTATATCACTTCCCAGATTGCTGGAGTAAAACACACCTTGTGAGCTGCATCTCCCACTAGTACCATTCTTCCCCAGTGCCAGAACGGCAGCACACCCTCGTCATAGTTTGCTGTTCCGCCAGCTGTCTTCTTCCTCCAGAGGTCTCCAAAGGTCAAACCATCAGCGACATAGACATCCAACCAAGGCTTAGCAGCGTCTTCAGCGTCATTCTGTCCAAAGTACGTCCTCTTCCTCTCAGCCGGGATACGATGATAGACAATAATCATAGCCTCATTTCTGTTGGTGAAAACTTGCACATGAGAATCTTTTTGATAAACGTTAATGTTGCTACCCGGCTCAAGGCGTGGGTCGAGAGCTGCTTTGGCAAAGACACCGGCATGGGTTGCCTCGAAGGGATTCACGGTATCATCGAAGAGTCCCTTTGGTGCTTGGGCTACCATCTGATCTCTGACACTGCTCCAGACGCCATCGGCACCAATGACGATTGATCCTTCTTCGAAAGTACCGTCAGCGAACTCGACTTTGACACCTGTTTTGTCTTGTGTTATTTTGCTGAGTCGCTTATTTGTTTTGACGCGTTCCTCTTTGTTTTCAAGGGCGTTCAACAATGTCAAAGCAAAGTCCAAGCGACTGAACAACGTCATGGGATATCCGAACCTGTTTCCTGTCAGCACATTACTGAATTGCCAAGTATGAAGTTCTCAACTTACATGACTCCAAGCTTCTGAAAACCTTCCTCCTCGTGAAGAACCTTGCCATCTATTGATCTATGGATAGCCCTCATCATGGATTGGCTAACGGACGAGATGGCATCAAGAAGACCGAGCTGGTGAAAGATGCGCATGATCTGAGGCCATATGAACACACCATAAGCTGGCTCAGGGGGAACTTGTCGCCTCTGCTCAATAAGCACGTAGTCGATTCCAGAGACTTGCAACGCGTGTGCAAGCACCAGACCAACTGGCCCAGCGCCTACAACTATAACCTTGAACCCCATATTGTAATATTCGTTTGATGATCAGTACAAAAGGGAGAAGAAGTATAAGATTGGAATGTAAAAAGAGTGTCTTTTGTCTTTGTTAAATGTTGGATTAGCCTATGTTGATCCTCTGACTGAAATACCCGACGGGTTTTATCCCTAGCATGGTTTAGCGCTGAGGTGAGCCCATATTTTAGCGTGTGGCGATTGGCAGTAAACAAACAAATGGATTCCTCAGCAGGGATTAACGCTACTCTCCTATATATCGTCAACATCGCTATAATTACCGTGCCTCATCACTAGCCTTTGAGTATCAGGATCCTTCGAGGAAATAGCCTAATGAGAAACTTAGCAATTATCAGAGGTTCCCGTGCTTCCGATATCAGTGCGGAAAATATTGTGTCAATGCGATACTCCTTCAATAGTAAGATCTTGGTGAGACATAAGCAATGTCTCTCCTGGATTAGCTCTTACATCAATGCATATCCTCGTGATGGGGCCTTTTGGGCATAATATGCTTAGATGGCAAACCTAAAGAATATCACATAGATGTCAGGGACATTTTGTCCAAAACTCTCAGACATCAAAGCTCATTTCATACAGCTTGTTCGAATGCTTCAATTCTACGTATTTCTTTCTACAGCATGGGTATAATCAGATAAATTAACCCTCAGTTACAGCATCTCAAACAGAGGGGTACGTGTTATATTAAACGAGACTAAGTCTTTGACCAAGGCCTTCAACACAGCGTCTCGATAAAACACCAGGTTCAGAAGCACTACCAACCTCACAAAGGCCATTGCACACGAATGTGTTTCAAAAATTTGCATTTGTATTAAATCCAGGCCCAGGTGAGAGCAGCTAGGCCAGTTCCATTCTATATTGACCAAATATATATCCTTTTCCCTTTCATGATATGTATTATACTGACATTTTCGTTTATCTAATATTTCGTTATAATCCCGTATTCCAGGTCTCGGTAAATTTGTTCCTTTTCAGTTTTTTTTGTCCTTTTCGTTTTCCTCTTTTTTCATGATCAAGTCAAGCCGAGGAAGAGCGGCAAGCAAAAGGCGCAACCAATCTGGACAGCCAACGGCACAATAGCAAATGTACCAGACGAAAACTCACCGGGAGCAATAGTCCAGCCCCAGGGCGCTCCGGTGGCCATGTACACCATGCCACCGGAGAGAGCGATGCAAATAAGGAATGTGTACTTAAATCGGTGCATCATCTTGTTGAGACCGATGTAGATACCTGTAGGGCCCAACTCTTTTGACGTCGACGCCCATTCAATGTTGACGGAGAAGGCGTGGCAGAGAAGAGCCTTGGCACAGTTGATGCTGATACCACCAAAGAAGAGGAGGAGGAAGGGAAGCCATTTGGCTGCTTCGAGGACAGCCAGGAAGAACGACTTCTCCTTGAGACGGTGACGGCTCATGCTGGTTGCAACTGTTCCGATACCGTTGAATACAACCAGAAGAGAGACCCATATACCCCATGAGGGCATGTAAAACTGGTCAAGGTCGTAGAAAAAGAGACCGACGATGACATAGTTGATCATGGTGAGGAGAAGACCAGCAGCAATGGCATAATCTGTAATCGTTAGGCTGAGACACAAACATAAGATCGGATGGAAACTTACAAGTGAAGATGTAGGCAATGATGGAAACCTTGCTGGAAACCGGCATGTTGCTCCAGAGGAATCGGAGGAAGAGCCTGGTGACAGGACCCTTGTAGATCCACTGGTAGAAAGGATGAAACACAAGCTCGTTGCATCCGTAGGCGTACTTCTCCCATCGGTTCAGCTCGTCGTAGATGGTCAGAGAAACACCCTCTTGGAAACCACCGTTGTGGTAGGTAGCCAATCGGCAAACCATACCAGCCATCTGAACTCTCAGACTGATATCGAAATCCTCAGAGACGTGGGCATCAGACCACCATTTGGTGACCTTGTCTGATGGATCAACAAACGCAACGCTCTGGACAGCCTTCCAGCGAAGGAACGCGTTGTGACCGACAAAGGGGGCGACATCACCGGTACCAACACCGTACTTGATAGCGGTGTAGATGACGTTGGTGAAGTAGGTGATGCCGTTCTCGAAGATGTTGTGGGCGACTTGCATGACGCCTGATCCGTGTTGTAGAATAGCGACCTCGGGACTCTCGTACATCTCGAGAGCGCCATAGAGAAGACTGTCGATGGGGACACGTGTGTCGCAGTCGATAAGGAGAATAATCTCACCCATACGGATGTTACCCTCAGCCCAGGTCTTGCCCTCGTCAGCATCAACCATGTTCTGCAGAGCCTGGTCGTAGAGACGATCGTCGTCCTCGGCAGACAAATCCTCGTGGTTGCAGCCACGGTTCTGACACTCAAGCTCAGTGAGTCTCAGCATCTCGTCTTCGACCCGGTTGGAAAAAGCAAGGCAGTAATTCATGTTACTAGCCTTCTTGAACTTTCCCTTCCTCACGAAGCCAAGGGCGTTGGCGCGACCTTGAGGAGACATAGAGCTTTCATCCTGGTTGTCAACCTCAGGGTCCACAGGGGGAGAGCGCTTGAACAAAGAGAAGCCTCCCTTGCCCTTGGGGCTCTTCTTGTTAGGAAGACGTGCGCAGTAACCAATGCCGTTCTCGCGATAGTATTGCTTACGCGCAGCAGCGAGTTCGGGTTGGATACACTGCATACCGTCATCGTTGATGTAGACGGAAGCTGTACCACCTTGGTTCTCATAATGCTGGATGGCAGCCATGACTGAGACCATGGTCGGGACAATGACACTGCAGAACGTTAACAAAGGTCAAGACAAAGTAGTGGTTACAAACTCACCCTCGAAGACCTTCCTTGTAGACAGGCATTTGGACGGTGATGTGTGGAAGTTGGTAGTCCTTGTATCGCTTGGGGTTGGGTTTGATGGCTGTTGAACGTGATCAGTACGACATCTCAAAGGCGTCACCAACAGAAACAGTGCACTTACCAGAGTGGAACTTTGAGTTCTTCAAACACATTCCAGCTGGGAGGATAAGCTGAAAGACACTACTGACAACAACGATGAAGAAGAACTGTGCTATTGTGAGAAGGCTGTCGTCTCTCGATTGATTCGGAAGTCACTTACCAGCGATAGAACCATTAGAGGAGGAACGACAGCAGCCAACGCAAAACGCTTGTAATCGCCATCCCAAGACCATTGCCGGATGAGCTAAGTCGGATTAGTAACAATTAGAGTATTTTACAGCCATGATGAAACTTACTCTCGAAATTCCCACGCTCTGGGTCAGAATAACCAAGATCATGACAATACCGATTCTGACAGAATGAACATGCAGAGTAGGGCGCTTGGGCGCTTTACCCTCAATATCACCGTCGTCATCATCACCGCCCTCCTCGACTTTTATGGCAGCTTGATAGACCTCGTTGTTCTCATCAATCGCACCGCGAACGGGTGTGTGATAGTTCTCAACAGAATGCTCCTCAGTCTGAGCCAGCAGACCTTGGGGCATGTTGGGGCCAACGATCTGCAATCAAGTTAGATGAATGAAAGTTCGATTTTTGAAGAACTAACTTACAAAACCCAGCATCTGCTTCTCAACATTGTGTGCGACATTGAGAACATTTCTCGCTTCGTGTGACCAAATCAGTACACATCGCTCTTGGACAACGATGCATGAACTAGTCAGGTGCACAAGGGTATCATGAATATCGTTCAGGCTTGCAACGATGGGAATGCGAGCACCAGTGTCTTCGTTGACAAGGCACACCTGGTCAGGCTTGACAGTATCAAGAACTGCGTTGGTCACCTCAGAAGACATTGAGACAATAGCAGTCTCATTGATGCGGCCGATGGCTGCTGCCAGATCTGGGCTTGGGTCATCTGGATTGTAGATAAAAGAGCCATCAGGCTTCTTGAGCGCAATACATGTTGATGACCAGCCACTGGTGATGGCAGCAGCGGCAGGTTCATCAAACCAGCCTAGTAGAGTTGCCCGACGAGCAATATACTTGGCGACCTGGTATTGTCAGTGTTTGTTATTTTTGACCTGGGTGAGTGCATATCATGTTTGATGATCGTCAAGCTGCAGGCAGATGTGGACCAACAAGTTACCCATCACATTGGGTCAAGTGCAAGCAAGGGCGGTGAAGGAAAGGGTAATAACGATGTTGGATCCCAAACATGAAACACAGTTCATGCTCGTCAAAGAGAAAAGGTTTTACTTACAACTGGTAGATCCGCAGCCGTGGCATCGGGAATCTGCATAGCAGCTGGCGTACCGGAGTAAGAGCTGTGCGAAGATCTCGTGAGTGGCCCTCTCCTCGCATTCGCATCTGGAGCTTTCTGCTGCTGCATGAACGAAGGGATCTGAGTAGCAGGAGAAGGAGGCCCATGATCACCAGCTTCAAGCCTCTTGAGCGTGGCAGAGTCCATGGTTGGACTGGGCGGCTGGAGCACACCCGTCTCGACAAAACGAGAGGCAGGCTTCTCTGAAGTCATGGCTGGGCTCACGTGGAGGTGAAGACACGAGATGGCTTCAGGTCACACGCAGCTGCGGAATAACGAATGGTTGGGTCCAAGAAGTCAGAGGATCAAAACGAAGGTGAAGATCTGCCCACGGCAGAAAAAACGACAGGACCAGGGTGAGGGGGGAAGGGTGTGGAAAATGGGGACGAGGGAGAAAAGGTGAAGGAAGAGGAGGGAAGGTCCCTTCAAGAAGGAAGCCAAGAGGAGGAGGGAGTCAACACAACAAGTTGATGTGTGTAAGGCAGAGAGTATGATAACCGCGGGTCAAGCAAGTTATGAATGTCTTTGTTTTTTGCCCACACGCCTTATCCGTGTCAGAGTGAGATTCTACAGTACAGAAGCAGGACGACAAAACAACACTAGACAAAGATACCAACGGCGTGGCGAGCTTGAGCTGAACCGCCGATCTGAGCTGAGATGGAGTCTGAAATCGACCACGGACTCGGATATTGAGGATTGATTACCTGTGCGGATCCCGTACAGTATGTAAGCGTCAGGCCAGAGTGGAAGAAAACGTGGGCGGCGGTGATGGCTGCCTGTGGTTTCGCCTTCGCATCTATCTCTTTGTTGGGAACGGGGGGATATCATTTTCTGGGCATGCATATCTCTCGTTTTCTCGGTGAGATTCAGACTCAGGCTCAGTTTAGGGTCCAGCCAGACCAGGCCAGGTAAGATCAGACCCTTCCAACACGTAACGCCAACAATCACAATCAGAAGAAAGCGAATCCCTGTTCACTTTGCTGCAGTAACTGAATGCACGAGAAAAACGTGTTCTATCGTCTCCCCTTGCCCCTCCTTCCCTGCCCCTGTGTACTGTACCTGGTCTGGCTGGTCTACGGGGAACCGAGTAATACATGCTTGATTTGGCGCCCATGTCACCTTTAGCGAGCTGATGCCAAGTCATTTCTCTCTGGAAGAGTAGCAATAACATGTCAACCCGGCACGTACCGTACCTGTAACCAGAACAACTTGGATAATGTACCCGCCACCGGGATTGATGGCTTTTTGGTGGTCTCCGTTTTAGAGTTACAGTTACGGTACAGTAACAGTTGTACGTTGTTCAAGACCAGCCTTGTGAATTGAGTTGACTGGTTAACCAACTGCAATTTAGAATCCAACCTTTTCCTTTTTTTGCCCCTCCAAGCGTTGGGTGTTAAAGTTTCGTAATGTCCCCGCCATTTTCCCCGAGACATTGACCTGGCTTGAACTAAGCTAGAACCTTTTGCCCAGTGGGGATCATGGACTGGGGTGGCTAAAGACGAACTAGATTGAGCAAATCACGAAACAATCTTGTTGAATCAAACAGTAAGTAAGGCTGTGCGGCACAAAGTGGATTTGGCAGAAGAAGAAGAAGAAAAAGAGGCCAACCAGACAACGCCTCGTCAGAAAAGATAGATGAGAGGGTCTGTTTCTTTAGCGTAGGTAGCGGAGCGATAGGGGAAACAAAAGAAACGTGCGTGGTCAAAACACCATCGGCAGTTCGTTTAAAATGAGGCAACAGAGCGAGGTCAAAGTGGCAGAAGTGGGTTGATCAAGGTCTGTTTTTTGAATTTTACGAGATAGCTTGCAGAAAGCGCCATGTACTCATGCGGCGTTTTTTGACAATTAATCTCTCTCTCTCTTCTTTTTCTCCGAGTCGCTAAACGATGCCGGGCTAATATTAGATCAAGGACAAGAGGATATCACTAGCCATCGAGATATGATACCGTACAAGATCCAATGGGCGAATGGGAGAAATGCGATCAAATGCATGTAATACGTTTCATACAAGAACAACATAAAAAAAAACAAGTTCAACACGGGAATATTATCCCAAGAGGCTACAGTAGCGCGGGAAGGGACACAGAAAGAAGTTACTGTAGAAAAAAGATAACGTCGAGCCAGTATCTTTATGGGATAGTGTAGTGGACGGCCCGTCATCCGCTAGCGAAGGGTGTCCTGGTCCAAGATAACGTCCCCCTGTACCCCTGGATCCTGGTCAACAGAGAAAAGACATCACATCTCTTGGCGGTTGTACAAGGGCCAGGGGTATTCTTTGTTGTACAGCGATAGAACTTCCTCTTTGATTGCTAGCGGCATGATTCTGTTGTTGCATCGCATGTGAAACCTGCATTGGAAATACGCAGTAATACTTGTTGTACAGAGAGAGAAGAACTCTTTGTCTTTGTGTCTCTCGGTCAAACCGGGGGTTCTTTTTTATCCCACCAGGACACGGCCCGTAGAGCCTTATTTCGGTGCTAAACCAATCGCGACATTTGACACAATTTTGTGGCTTATTCTTTTCTCCTAGCTTCGTTTCTTTTTTTTTTTAATTCCCTCTCGCCGCTGACGCTGACACATTTTTTTTGTCGATTAGGTTAAGCGTATTTTTTTGTTTATCTCGACATGTGCCTAGGATCTAGACTATGGACTGGCCGAACCTCATGTTTGTTTGCTCGTTGATATGGAAATATTGGTTGCTGGCGTGAGACGAGATTACTCTACATCTCAACACTTTTTATTTTCTAGCTTTCTTTCTTTATCATTATATTGATATCTTGCATAATCACCTCATCGGCACGTAGGCGATAAAGCTCAAGTCTTTGTTGGTCAAGGTCGAGACCTCAAGACCCATCATCTCTTCTTCTTTAACCCCTGTCCTCTTGTTCGTATCGAGTTTCTGTGCTTTGAAGCGAGTCTTGGTATTCTTTCAGCTGGACAGCCAACTTGAACCTCCGAGGAAAAAAAGCCGAATGCATTCTTGAAGCAAGACGTCCTTGGATAAATTCGTTCGCTGGTTACAGTTACTTTCCCCCTCTTCCCCCATTCCCCCTCCCTGGTCCTTTGTTTGTCAGTCCCCAAACATTGGCATATCTCCACTTTGGTCATGGAAGGTTCAAGGACTGCCACCTCTGCCGCTGTGGCGGAGGACGCTTCTTCACAGCGCAATCCTTTCGATACACCTGGTGTTGATAACACTGATACCAATCCCTTTGCGACACCCGCTGTTGCGACGCCTGCTGCTGAGTCTGTGACATCACGACAATTAGGACAGACTCGCAATACTTCTTCGTTTGATGGTATATTCCCAACATTGCTGTTTTTCTCTCAGTATATTCCCCACTAACTTCTACAGTACCTACCGTTCGTCGGCGCTTCAGAAGTAGTCGTCTTCATGGCGAGTTTGAGAAGCCATGGCTAGAGACTAAGAAGAAAGAATGGAATTGGGACAGCACCATTTTCTACACATGTATCCTTCTCGGTCTTGGTAAGTTCACTCATCGTTTTCGCCTCAATCGAAATTCTAATAGCAATGCCTAGGTATCGGCGGATACCTCTGCTGGACAGAGACAAAAGTCCCCAAACACGATGTAAGTGAAGCTCGTGATGTTTCTCACGACCTTGAACTGACTGATTTAGTACTGCTTGGTCATGGACGACCATTTCCAGAACCTCAATAACTGGAACCATGAAGTTCAAATGAACGGCTTCGGGTATGTTTTCTCCCATTCTTCCTATCATATCACTGACAATTATCAGTACTGGTGCCTTTGACTGGACTACCAATGATCCAGCCAACTCTTATGTTGACGCAGAGGGTCTTCACATCGTCCCTACAGCGACAACTGAGAGCACTTCCATCACCGGGAATCAACTCCTCAATGGCTTCACTGTCAACATGACCACCAACAGTCGCACCTGGGGAAAGTGCACAGCCAAGAGCATTAAGAAGAACAACGACCGTTGGCCCTGTGCATCCCGCAGCAATGACACGCTTGGTCAAATCATCAACCCTGTGCGGTCAGCACGCCTAAACACAAAGGGCAAGAAGACCATCAGGTACGGGCGCGTTGAGGTCGTGGCGCGTATGCCCAAAGGTGACTGGCTCTGGCCTGCTATCTGGATGATGCCCCAGGATGAGGTCTACGGCGAGTGGCCCAAGTCTGGTGAGATTGATATTGCTGAGAGCCGTGGTAACGATGCAAGGAAGTACCCCATGGGTAACAACCTTGTGTCGTCGGCGCTTCACTGGGGAACTGCTACGGAGAATGATCGATGGAGGAGAGCTTATGGCGAGTGGGGAGGAAAGCGAGTCCTATACTCTGAGAAATTCCACACTTATGGTTTGGAGTGGAGTGAGAAGTATCTCTTTACCTGGCTAGATGGCCGTCTCCGAGTAAGTCTTTTTATGACACTTCCCAATAACAATCACTGACTTCTTTACAGCAAGTTCAATTCTTTGATTTTACCAAGAACAAGAATCTCTGGACATATGGAGAATTCGCCAACCAGCCCATCAACGGTTCCATCCCCGTGGACCCTTGGAGCAGCACAGGTCGTAAAAACACACCTTTTGACGAATCATTCTATCTCATCCTCAACGTTGCAGTCGGCGGTACTAACGGTTGGTTTCCGTAAGTTTATTCCCACTATTTTTCTCCACGAGCACAATCTGCCATCCACTTTTCCCCGCTGCGATCTTACATTGACGAATGCATGCTAATCTATTTTGCTTACAGCGACGCGATTGGCGACAAGCCCTGGGCTGATAGCAGTGAGACCCCTATGCGAGACTTTTGGAAGGCCAACTCTACCTGGCTTCCCACCTGGGGTCCTATCAAGGATCGTGGCATGGTTGTGAAGTCTGTCAAGATGTGGCAGGAGGGTAAATGTGGTGGAACCATCAGATCTGGTTGAAGCATCATGCAAGATTAGTTTTTCTCGGGTTTGGGTTTTTTTCTGGGTCTTGGTGTGGGAATGAGTAATACACAGAATGATATCGATATAATATTTTGATAGTCTTACTTTTTTTTTCGTTTTTTCGCATTTATCCCCCCACGTGGTGTTGCACCTCTAAGCTTACATGGAGATACATCGTTTGGGACTAAATTCTCACCAACATGAACGAATACAACGTCATTGGCGGAACATTGTTTATCTCTGTATCTTTCATGCTGTCACTTGTAATCTTTGTTCATCTCTTCCCGATCTTGTGTCAGACTTCGGAATTTATTCCAGATTTGCTCGTGCGGACCTTGCAGTCTATGCTGACAGTTACCATTGCACTTTTTACATGCAGTCATGATTTCTCTAACGGCCAAGATTGCTTACAGTCGCATATCTCACTACAGGGAATAATACAGGGAATTAAATGGTGAATTGTCACAGATCGTCGATGGAATTTCTAGTCAGAGAAAGACACAAGACGGGTGATTTGCACGTATAATGTGGATTGTGTGTATTTTTATCCAGGCTACTGTGTTGTACCTTAGCTAGTATAGACCCTCGATGCATATAGCATAAAGACCAAGGACTTGTGCGTTGGCAAAGCATTAATTATCCGGGAGCTTCCAATTGTACGGCCAACACACTCAACATACCAGTCTTGGTATTCTGCCAAGCGAAGCCTCAACTGGTTACATTCCGAAACTGCCATGATAAGATCCTGGCTAAGCGCTCGTAACCTGTAAACCTGATAAAATATCTTTTGATGCAGATGCAGTGTCCCCTGTCTAGATAGGAGAACTTTTGCCTGCAGCCAAGGCTCGTGTTTTTTTCTTGGTTCATGATTCTCTCACATTCAGTCTCCCTCGGTGTGGGTTACATTTATACCAGGCCAGGGGTTCTTGGTGGCATCCACTTCCCTCGGTTATTTTCTTTTGGCCAACCGGGCCAACACCATGTTTTCCTTCCGAACTGCCAAATCGAGCAGGGGTGATTGGTTCAAGGTGCAGCAGTTATCTGTGCAGTACATATCTTTTACCCGCCCAATTACGGTAGAGGAACGCTATGTCCGAGTCCCCTGAACCTTCGTCCAAGAGAAATGATATTGTGATACAGTCCGTTCCTCTTAGACCCAATTCCAATTTGCCTGGTGGATAGTGGTTAAGAAAGACGTTTGCCTAGTTTGGTTTCAACCTTATCGTGGATAACTCTATAGATGAGCCAACGTTTTAGACTGGCCCTAAGATAGAAAGTCTCGGACATGTCAATTGGCCCAACTCGTTCCTCAACTGCTCTCCACAGACGAAGGTTCAGGGGTTCAGGTGATGGTCCATGACTCCACCCACTCTCGTACAGATCGAGAGATTAGCAGCCTTCTTGGCTGCCAGCCTGGATACCCGCTGAGATCCCAGCCCTGACCCTGTCGATCAAGTTGCAACACCTCAGGCTTACCGTGAACCCTTCCTCTCGCCCAAGTAGAACCCCAAAATGTCGGCCTACAGCACAAACCCCATCACAAGGCTGAGCCGAATTGGCGCCGGTCAGCAATTTATTGAAGACCTTTTGCCAAGACATACCTGGTTGTCTCAACCCTTTGGGCCAAAATGGATCCAATATGCAGTAATACTGGCCTGATCCACCGGCAAGCTATCCTCTCAAGCTGCTTTTTCTGATCACAAGGCTCTAGGCGTAAGATATTCTACTACTCTACTGTGTCCACGCGCCCGTTGACCTGCATAATCACAAGCACTATTCACCGTTCCGCGTGCACAATAGTAAGAATCTTAATTGTATTAGGGATGGGGATAATGGGCTGACTCTTAGACTATTGAACAGCTAATGTATAGGAAAGGGGCGGAATCAAAGGGCAGAGGGATGTGGGCGCGAAAAAGGTGAGAAACTTTCCTATCCTCGGGTATGAGGACAAGTCATATATGTACTGGTTTATCCAACCACCATGTCAATTTCTCCTTCTGAGTTTCTGCATTGCATGGGGATTCATTCCTTCGTTCACAACAGAGTTCCAGGCCTTCTGCACATCGCATCCCGCTTCACAATATCCCACCCCTTGATACACTCGTTTCCTTTGCTTTTATCCAAGTCCTTCGTTTTTTGTTTGTCTTCCACGCCCCTCTTCTGCTTCTGTCACCTCGTACAGCATTCAGCCATCATGCTGGTGCTTCGTTTTGCCGCGCTCGCCGCAGCGTCCCTTCCCTTGACTTCTGCGAGTGCTATCTTCCGCAGGGATCTAACAGCACCTGAATCGCCACACGAGGGCTGGAGCTACTTGGGCTGCTTCATTGATAGCACGTCCAAGCGCGCTCTCGACGGTCCTGTTCACTATGATGAAACTGGCCTCACAGCTGAGACCTGCGTCGCTCATTGCGTCGGTCTCGGTTATGCATTCGCAGGCATGGAATACTCCAAGGAGTGTTGTAAGTAAACCCTCTTTTTTTAGGATATGTATGCAGTGTGTCTGTAAATATTGATCGATTTTGTGACTGACCTGCGATTTTGTGACTAGTCTGCGGCAGCAAAAGGCCCACTACAAAGACAGATGAATCTGATTGTAACATGCCATGCACTGGCGATGATGAGCAGCCTTGCGGCGCTGGCGACAGGTTGACTGTCTTTGGCAAGGCTTCAGCTAGTGGATCTTCTGTTCCTTCAGGATCCCCCACTGAGACCGTTTCCGCTACTGCCTCTGCTTCCGGAACTACTGCTCCCGTCGCCACTGACCTGCCTGGAACCTGGTCTTATGCAGGCTGCTACACTGATCCGCCGGGCCGTGCCTTGCAAGCAGCCGGAACTTCAAAGGACATGACTCCCCAGAAGTGCATCGCCACTTGCATCGCGGACGGCTTCAAGATTGCCGGTGTGGAGTATGCAGAGGAGTGCTTCTGTGGCAATGCTCTTAACAATGCTGCTTCCAAGGTCAAGGAGTCCGACTGCAACATGCCCTGCGCGGGCGACAGCAGCCAGATGTGCGGTGCTGGCAGTCGTCTGTCGCTCTACTCCGATGGAGACTTTGAGATCTACCCCATCCCTGTTGCCAAGGAAGATGACCTTCCTGGTGATTGGGAGTACAAGGGCTGCGTCTTTGATAACAACAACCCCTACCTTCTTGAGTGGCTCTATGAGGACGCCGGCAACTATGCTACCAGCAACATGACCATCGAGACCTGTCTCTTGCGCTGCCAGAAGTTCGGTTACTCCGCTGGTGGTGTCGAGTACGGTCGCCAATGTGTCTGCGGTGATCTCAAAGCTGTCGAGGCCAGGGGTGATGTCTGGAAGGACGACAGTTTCTGCAGCATGGCCTGTCCTGGTGATCGCAACACCACGTGTGGTGCTGGAAACCACATCAACTACTATGAGTGGACTGGTGAATCTCTCAACACCTTTCACTACGCATCTGGTCCCAAGGCTGGACGATACGACCACTTTTCCACTTCTCCCGTCATTCCCCTTATCAGCTCTGTCGGCATCAACGACAAGGTTGTTTTCGTCGAGAAGCACGGTACTTCTGATGACGACACTGAGGGCTCTTTCGAGTTTGACTACACCACCAACATCTATCGTGAACTGGCTCTCAAGACTGATGTCTTTTGCTCTGCTTCCTTCACTCTCCCTGACAAGGCTGGTCGTATCATCAACATTGGTGGCTGGTCTGCCGAGTCAGTCTATGGCATTCGCTTCTTCACTCCTGATTCTCCCCAGGGTGTTGACAATGGCACTAACGTCTGGGAAGAGGATTACTCGCAGCTGCGACTCTTTGATCCTCGCTGGTATCCCACTGCCCTTGTTCTTTCCAACGGTTCCATTCTTGCTATGGGTGGAGAGTCCGGTTCTGATGCTCCCATTGTTCCCACCGCTGAAGTCCTTCCTCACCCTGCTGGTGTGACAGAGTCGACTTATCTCGACTACCTTGAGCGCGCTGAGAATATTGGTCGAACCAACTCTTATCCACACATGGCTATCTTGCCTTCTGGTAACATTTTCTTTACTCAATTTAATGAGTCTCGTCTTCTTTCTCAGACCGACTTCCAGTCTATCAAGAAGCTGCCTGACATGCCTGGTCAAGTCGATAACCCATTGACTGGTCGCAACTATCCTCTTCAGGGTACTATGATGGTCCTACCTCACAAGGCTCCTTACAGTGATCCCGTCGAGGTTCTTATCTGTGGTGGTACTACTCATGAGCCTGGTAATGAAGCTCTCGACAATTGTGTCTTGATGGCGCCTGATGTCGAGGGTGCTGAGTGGACCATCGAGCGTATGGTAAGTGATCATCATCCCGTCACTTGTTTAATGTCACATACTAACAGTCACAGCCTTCCAAGCGTGTCATGCCCAACATGGTCGCCCTCCCTGATGGCCGCTACCTCATCCTTGGTGGAGCCCAAGTCGGTCGCGGTGGTTTCGGTCTTGCTGACAATGCCAACTTGAACGCAGTCATGTACGACCCCGAGGAGCCTCTCGGCCAGCGCATGACCGTCCTTGCCAACACCACCATCGCACGCATGTACCACTCGGAAGCTGTCCTCCTCAGCGACGGAAAGATTCTCGTTTCTGGCTCTGACCCTCAGGATCAGGGCAAGCATCCTCAAGAGAAGCGCATCGAGTACTTCTGGCCCGACTACCTCCTGTCCGGTGCTACTCAGCCCAACTTTACCATCTCGGACCGTGATTGGGTTTATGGTGAGAGCTACACTTTTACTCTCACCTCTGATCTTGAGGAGGGTGCTTCCAACCTTCGCGTGTCCCTCATGGCTTCTGTTGGTGCCACTCACGGTGTGAGCATGGGTCAACGTACCTTGTTCCCTGAGTTCTCTTGCTCTGGCAACACTTGCAGCGTGACTGCACCTCCCAATGCCTTTGTCAGTCCTCCTTCTTGGTACCAGATGTTTGTGCTTGATGGACCTACCCCATCGCACGCCATTTGGGTCCGCATCGGTGGTGATCCAGGCCGTCTTGGTGACTGGCCCAAGCTTCCTGGCTTCACTCCTCCTGGTGTTTAATTCGACAATATCTTCTTTTATTACTGTTACTTCATTGTCTTTCTTTAACTATTATTTTTTCTTGGCCAGAAGCGAAGGCTTCTACAATTGGATGGCGTTCCTAACGGAGCATACGATGGTGGACGATAATTCTGAATTGGATCTCATTTGTATGCATATATCGTGTGTGTCTTGATATTACCTCTGATACATTGTATGCGATACACTTTTGAACGTGGACATTGTTGAGTTGAGTGAATTCGGTGACTTTGAGTTGAGACGATGAAGTGGCGCATAGATGGATCGTCGCTTGACACGCCCAAAATCTAAGGGTCGAGACGAGGTGGGATGAAGTGACAGGCGATGAGATACGATGAAATAAAGTATGATGAGGTGAGATGTTTATTTGTCCTGTGGCGCTCCCTCCCTGCAACGTAATTCAACACATGCGGTGTCAGATTGTGTTACACCTGTAAAAGACCCTACGCGCGTGCAGACGCGGTGAAATCATGATGTAATGGTCATGTTTGTGGAGCACGACATTTACTGATTAAAGTCTGGAATGTGGAAAACGCGGTGCAAAGCTTGCAAGTGGAAAGAGTCGCGTTGTCATTGGAAGGAAAAGAGAAGGTTGGGAGTAGCAACGCGATGTAAACTTAGTACCGTGGAAGACTCGCGCTGAGATTCTGCCCTGGAACGCGTCTTGGGGAGCTTTGACCACCGAATTTTCAGTGGCTTCAGATATAGGGTAGTTTCAACGGATTGACAATAGAGGAATAATTCGATACAACAGTAGATGAGATCGCTTTTGTAGTAATAAAATAAGTCGGATTAACTTCTTAGAAATTCAACTTATATTTAAGCCCTTTTTCGCAATGATTCGGACGCGTTAGGGTGTTGATGGAAATTTTACATTTGTTCATCTTGATTTGCACCACCAAATTGGACGGTACTTGTGGAGGTTTCATTGTCAAGAAGCTGTTTTATACTTTTATTGTAAACAATAAGTAACGCACCAGATCTTTAGAGGTCCAATGCATCCAGCAGTCCAAAGATATCTTACTGTGTCTATTGACAGATACATATCGTTGTTGATGGGCGTTTGGACTCGTTGTTCTCACGCGATGAACATATTGCCCAAATCCGGGGGAATACAGTATCCAATCACAAGGCAAGATGGCCGAGCGGTCTAAGGCGCTGTGTTCAGGTTCTATTCGAACTAGTAACGATTCGCAGTCTCGAAAGGGGCCTGGGTTCGAATCCCAGTCTTGTCAGCTATTTTTGACTCTTGTCTCAACTTGGGACGCGATTCACTTTTGCCAATCTGATTAACTCAACGAGCCACCCGTCCATTGAGTGCATAGATTGGCAATGCCATTTCCCAGCAAAGTAGATAACGGTTAACTGTCCACAAGAGACGAGGAACGAAGGCCTGTGAATTGCGCTCTTTGGCATATCCCTCCACTGAGAACAGTGCTCCCCCTCCATACCGACGGTGGGGTTTCCCCAGCGCAATTCCCATCGCATTCTTCAACATGGCTATACAACGATAAAATATACCATGCACCAGATGCGAAGTGGCACCAGATCATGACTCATCGCGGTGCTGACCTATTGTGTCTTCACGACGAAGTTTTGTCTAGGGATATCCTCATTTCACATCACCATACGCGTGCCTGGATTCGGTACGGAAGGGTCCTGTCCCTTTTCATCACATTGTCTGTACCGCTCAGCTGGACAAACTCCACGGTATCTCTCTTGGCTACTAATGATGGGATCGTTCATCCACGAGCAGTTCATCGCGCACACCCATATTCTCAACCATCGCGGCCCTCAGCCAATCCCACAAGGTCGCCTACTATCTAGGTAGCGCCGCGTTGGCTCAGTGGTAGAGCGTGTCACTAGTAATGACAAGGTCCAAGGTTCGATCCCTTGACGTGGCAGAGACAGAGTCGGACTATCCGACGATTACTTTTTGCTTCTCGAGATGCTGAGTGTAGTATGAGAGAATTGGGAGAGTGTTCGTGACTCACTGAATGAATTCAGGTTGAACCTAGGTGCACCGACGTCTGATGGTTAATAAATTTTGAAGTGTCTGGCAAACTCAATAATCTTAATAATCGCTTGCGAGCCTGGCCTTCAAAATCCCAGCTGAATGTATATGTTTTTGCCTCGTGAGCTCATCATTTCGCTGCGGACATTGTGCATTTGCTAACCGACCTCCTAGCTGGAGGTATGTCGGATCTTGAGAAGTTTGTGGATTCAGGTTGGGAGGGCATGAAGGAGCCGATAAGCAAATTCCTTCCATAGTCGGTGTGGCTCAGTTGGTTAGAGCGTTGGTCTCATATCTATCGTTTATTCGGTTCAAGTATGACTTGGTTAAACACCAGGGTAATCCAAAGGTCGAGAGTTCGAGCCTCTCCACCGACAACCTTTTTGCTCCATCACTTTCTAAATAACACAGATATGTATATATACTCTAAGGTTCTATTATATTTTTAATCTTATATAGACTTTACTTACACACTGAACTTATACCTACCCTTGTGAGCATATGAAATCTATTCCATCTTGGGGAATATATATCCCGCAAAAGTGCTGGATAAGTTTCCATGGTTCAGTAAATATACGCTGAGTTTTTACAATTCTCTTTGAGTTGAGACGAACTCTCACAAAACCTTGAACATCCTCTTCGTCATAGTCTTAACCTGAAATCAATAGAAATGGCCCCATTTCGGGTTGTGGCTGAGTGTTGTGATGTTTCAATGGCTTGCATTCCGTGGAGCCCTGCTCGTTTGATGTGTTTTTTGAATGCCTAAAAAATAGGAAATCCTGTTCTAGTTCGCTATGGTGAAGCTCAATCGCTCTCGTATAGAACCGTATACAATTTTGGCTAAAGCTTCAGTTAGTCAACTGTCTTATAAGAGAAGAATGCAAGTAGACTTCCCATTCCGTCTCGACCCCAAGAGGAACGACACCGTCCAAAGACGTTTTGCAGAAAGGACGGTTTAAAGCTCCCCTGACGCATGTACAGTTACTCTCAGCTTCATTACTCAAGCTCAGGTTGAGGTTTTGATCATTACACATCAAGCTCATGTTGACTTTTTGATATGGTAAAAAAGCGCTATCCCACGGTATAGACCTATTGATCAATCTCTGGGTCTTGTTCTCCCGTAGTGTGTAACGTTTGTGCTGAACCCGACGGGCACCTTTCTTCCCTTTGAACCGCTCGCTCAGTATGAATTGGAGGATCTCCCAAGAAGTGATAGTTTTCAGATGGATGGGAAAGACCCTTCCAGTGATATCTTCTAGGATGAAATGTTCATCGCTTGGTCCTCTATCGAGGCGCATGCAGATATCCTTGATGTTGTTCAGATCCCCTGCGATGCTGTATATCATAGAGGCAATTTGACATGTTGAAATCCTGAGTTGTGCACCTAAGCTGTAAATGATGTCCAACTTAGAAATTATGCTTCGACCAACACAGTCGAGGAATCTTTCCAACGATGCCTCTGATTGACGAACCAAGGCGGCTGTACGACCCTCGGCAGCAGATTGCTTTCTAATCAGTGAATCATGATTTCTTTGCAATACTTGTCTGCTAAGACTAGGAATCTTGTTTAAATCACCAAGTTTGAAGTCCACTTACATTGCGGCCAACTCTAAAACCAATTTGAGTGCCCCGGTATGCACTGCCAACTCGGTACGGAATCTGTCGATATCTTTCTTATTCAACTTCCACTGAACCCTCCCCCGAATGCCGTTCAACGAAGTCTTCTTCACCAAAAAAGTGGCCGCCAAGGTTGGCTCATACTTTTTAATCTGATCCAGCAAGCTAACCAAACATTTCTTGGTCTGGGCCACTGTGTCAAGCATAATTCCTGAGATACCCTCTAGGGAATGGGTCAAATGTGGATTCTCGAACGACTTTTGTACCGCGTCTAGTGTCTGTCTGAGAGTATTGAGTTGTTGTACTAGCTCTCGGTATTCCTTGCCTGATCCATGCGAGTCGTCAAGCGCGGTGATAATGTCCTTGATCAGAACAGTGATTGCAATGAAGTCACCAAAGGCCCCGAAAGTTAATGCAAGCTCCATTGTCAACGTTTTTGGAAGAAGAAAAAGTTAATTGAGGGGGAAGTAAGCCGACGGTAGGTTGGGTAAAGATACTGGAAGAAGTTACACAAAGGCGTTTACATAGCCACTGGCGAACCACGAGGCACATTTATTTGCCACACACTGGTTGGCCTCATTCAAGGTGAAAGTGCATTTGACACCTCACATATTGCACACCGCCACAGGGCTATGCAACTGGAGAATTCCTTCAGTGAGCTTTACAAACCTAATATGCTTGACAGAACTACAAGGAATTAGTACCAGTGGAAAGAAGCGAGAAGCTGGTTATGATCCTCTGAGGCCGAAGTTATAGCAGATGCATGTCGGGTGTTTCGATGTCTCGCCGCACAAACCTTCCCCTCCTGTACTGTGATTTGCTGATCACTTTCAACAATCCGATAAGGCGTGGTGGCGGAGTGGTCTAACGCGATAGACTAGAAATCTATTCTCCTCGGAGGCGTCTGTTCGAATCAGGCCCACGTCGACTGGAAAACAGTCGGGCTCTTCAAGAGTCCTTGGCTTATCATATTTTTATTTTTGCCCATCTTCGCAACTGTATATAGTGTTCCAGCAATAGCCTTTCACTCTTCTTTTATAATGCTTTCATAGTGTATAAGCATTGAGATTTTAACAGTTCTGATTTGCGGTTGCGATAAGTAGAAGTGGGTATTTTTACAATCTCAGCGACAGGTAACTATTACACAGGTTAACTCTCTAATGGTTTGCAACAAATGTCCAGAGAGCTAATGACAAAGACAGCTTGAAAGTCTAGTGACTCGTCAAAGTCTGGGCGCTGGAATAGGCCGCCAAGAGCCAAGTCCAGCTGATTCCTTGAGTCTTGAAATCACACTAGCCGAGAGATAGCCATGTCTTGGCTTCAGGACCGCATCGCGGCAGTACAACTTCCATGTTACGCCAAGATGTAAGTGACCTTTCTTTAGATGATTTCAAGCTCTGTTAATCACAGTAGTCCAATGGGTAGCGATGTCAAGTAGCATGGTCAATACAATACGAATAGCCCTCCTTGCTCTAAGTCTCGGAGACAACAAAAGCCATGATGAGGCAACGCAGAAATAGCATCTCCCAGGTTCTTTAACAAGAGTTAACTTGCCAAGGCGCGATAGTTCCTTTGCTACTCGGTATGTTGAACAACCGCTTTATTTATATCCCAATACCTACCTCTAAGCTTTGTTGTGACCTCAAGATCGTCGTCACACGCGGCAGATATGGAACATTCCGTCTACTGGGGTTGAGTCTCTGCTACGTCTGCGACCCAATCATTCGCCATCGCGATAACCCCATGTATATCATAATACTTTTCGCTGCTCGTGGAGTACTTGAGGAGTCATGCCTATCATATGCCTCGAGTCTGTCTTCCTTGAGGCTCGATATCTTTTTCTCCACACAAGTACTACATCTCAGTTGGACAACCTATCTTAAGTCCATAGCGACGGAATTATTGAACATGGAATTCATGTCAAGACAGGTATGGCTCCCACATACCGATAAGACGGAAGCGTAAAGGTCCTAGCCCTTTTCAGCCTCACCCCCGACATTGGTGACATATCCAGGCTTCGGAAACATTTAATGTATATATAGAAGAAGAGGGAGCCCATAAAACAAAGATTCACGTTTCGTTCATACGAAAGCAACCCCGTGAGTTATTTTTGACATTTATCTTCTTAAAAATGCCTTGTCTCTTTGGTTCATATTTTGTCTTTGACCGGTTAGCCATGTCTCCTTGTCACACGAAACCGTTGAACTCACGTCATAATCGGAAGAGAAATCCTTGTCGAGGTTGCAATCGATAGCGTGTTCCCCCTGTAATCCTCTCGGTTGGGAGTTTCGCCGTTTCAAATGTCCGATCCTAAACCATTATAATGCTGAAACGGTTTTGGCTTGGCGCTTGCAACGGGACGAATAAGTCTAGAACCCCAGAAATCAGACCACTTTCTAGAATGAACCCTGCAGATTGATCGATAACGCCCGCCAATGCTTAAACTGTCACTAATGAAATGGAGTAAGTTAGGGGTTAAGCTTAACATCAACTCTAATTATTAATTTATCGTCTATGAGATGTTGGATTTGGCGCATTGTTCATCAAAGAGTGGTATGACAATAAATATTGTCTTGAAGACCAATTAATAGTAATTCAACTAAAACAAGAGATCTACGTTTATTCCCAAACCATGTTCGGATAATGGCATCTGTCAAAATCTTGGCGTACATCCCCCGTGGCTGAAACCGGACACGATACTATCCCCAGTAGGTCAGCTCCTGGCGACAAGACCTGCGACGCAGACTATCCCAATGTAACGGCCACCATATTGCTCCAAACTTAGACTTTAAGGTTACTGTGAAGCATACCTGACTGGAGCCACAGCTAATAGTTAGCGGAGAGAGTCATTCTCACCCCTAACGGTGGAGGGTTTCAACAACGGAATATTATCTGTTTTAATTAATATAGCATACTAGAACAGTCTAGCCTCTGCCTCCTCTCCTTGTATTAAAACACTTGATCCTGCCTCAACCTGCTGATTTTTAGACATCATCGTTCGATTTCTTTCCTCTGTCTTTGTCGTTTCCTTTCAGCTACTCTAATTGTTCCGTTCTTGAGGCTGGCCTCTGTTTTTTTTGTTTCGATAAACTAATACTTTGTTTTGTTTTATACATACATCTCTTTTACTACCTTGTATAACCGGTACTACTATCACCATGGCTGGATCCATTTCTCTTCGAGCTCTTCTCCTTGGCGCCTTTGCCTCCAAGGCATTGGCGTCTTGTGCTTACGGAACTCTTCTGCACCCCAGAGCCGAGGATGGCACTGTTGAGGTTAATACTTTTGGCTACACTGGACAGATTGTGAGTTGACCTGAGATAAACTGACTTGCAAGATATACTGACGGTTAATAGGGACCTACCAACTGGGTTGCTCTCGATCCTGCAGCCAACGCTGTCTGCTCTACCGGTGTCAACCAGTCCCCCATCGACATGGTCCCCGGTGCCAACGCTATGATCCCTGCCTCTCAACTGAACCTCGAGATCCCCGATATGACCGAAGGAACCGAGTTCGAGAACCTTGGCACAACCGTCGAGGTCATCGCCGGACAGGGTAGCATGCGATTCGGCAACACTAGCTTCACTCTCCAGCAATTCCACTTCCACTTGCCCAGTGAGCATCTCGACGCCGGAAAGAGCCAGGCCATGGAGATGCACATGGTTTGGGAAAGTGAAGATGCTAAGATTGCTGTTGTTGGTGTCTTTATCGATGTCGAGGATGGAGCTGGTGGAAGTACCCCTACTCCTCCTGGAAACTCCACTGGCGCTACTCTTAAGAAGAAGGATGGTTTTGTCAAGATGGTCCGCAAGAGTACACCTCACACTCACGATCACGACAAGCGACAACTTCCTGCCGTTGGAGGTTCTTTCTTCCACGTCAACGCCCCCGCCACTGCCGCCACCAGCTCTTCCAACCTTTTGGAGACAGTCTTCAGCTCGGTTGGTGAGATTTCTGAGCCTGGAACCCTTACCAAGACCAAGTCTCTCAACATGGCTGAGCTTGTCAGCACTCTTGCCGCCGGTTCTTTCCAGACGTAGGTACACCCACACGTGATAAAAACAAGACAAGAAGCTAACGATATCTCAGTTACGAGGGTTCCCTGACCACTCCTCCCTGCAGTGAGGGTGTCCGATGGTTGGTTTCCGACCAGAAGCTTGCCATCAAGACCTCCACGTTCAACAGTGTTCGCGATGTCATTGGCTTCAACTCCAGATTCCCCCAGGGCGCTCTTGGCGAGCCCAACGCTCTGTCTGGAATGATGGCCTAAGTTATGAATTTATGGTTGAGACAACAAAATAGTGTATTGTAATTAGCATACATGACTGAACACTATGGAGATGATAGTAGACACAGGCAACAAGTTAAAATAAAAGAGAACAGAATGGTGATCAAACAAAAGTTCAATCAATTAATGCAGTGAGTGATTTGTGAGAAAATGCAAAAAAGAAGACCTGCGTATCGCAGGTGGCTGGATCTCTCCCGCCGGGAATTGAACCCGGGTCTCAAGCGTGACAAGCTTGCATACTGACCACTATACTACGGAAGATGTCAGGTGTGGACACCTGAGTAGCTGGTTATTGGTTGAATCCGCTGCAGGTTTTATAATATATATACTCTTCCCTAAGTCTCCAGGACTATAGTAGTAGAAGAGATTATCACTAAATTTAAAAGGGTATTTCTAGATTTAATAGAAGCTAACTTAATATTAACTTTGCAGATCTTACTTTAGATTAATACTTGATATTCTAAAAGGGGAGGTATATAATAAAAATACAGTATTAACCTGGTCTTACAGAAAGAATATGGCTTAAAGTGGAATTTCCAGGTGGAATGATTAGCGGCAGCCTGACATAGTAGTGGCTTTAACTTGCTTCTCCAGAGTTGTTGTTTAAGGCGCTTAAAGAACTTGTCTTCTGCACGGTAGTAACCAGTCAATGACCTCCCGTTCTATTTATTCTGATTGGTGTTACACCCTTTTTGTGACCCCTCCGAGGCGCTTCGACGCTCAAAAAGATAGAAAATAACCCAATAGTGATTGCAAGTGTGAGACAACAGAAGCAGGCTGCAAATACAATACGGTGGGCCCTGAAAGACGCTATGCTAGGTTGAGCGTGCTAGGCTTCAGCTTGTCTTGGCATCTGCACATTCTGTGACTCTTAAAAGAGCCTCCTCCTGCAGCCTGGTTTCGTCGGCGACGTTTTTCTCTTGAAACACAAAAGATTACGGATTCCCACTATCCACAATGGAAGCTTCTTCCCGTCTACTTCGCAGAGGCCCTGAAAGCTTGGAAGATATTGAACTTCAACAGCGTCCACTCGCATGTTCAAATCCCCACATAACTACAGGACTCCAGAGAACCAAGAGGTCATACAAAGTCTTCTTTTTAATGCTTATCTTCTGGAGTTGTGGTAAACAGCCTACGCTCAGCATTGGAGACACAAGCTTACCGCTATAGGCCTGGCTTTTGTCATAGGCCACCATTACTTCTTCATTAGGCTTGACCAGAAGACGGTTAAGGAAACACTAAGCCAAAACCATCAATCCGCGGCAGCAAACTTCTTTGCTCTCTTTGTTGACGTTAGTCTCATTGCAGGTCTCGGAGTTGCCTATAATCAGATCCTCTGGAGCCTCCTACGTGAAAAGGCATTTTCAACCCAAGTCATAGATAAATTGGTTCACCTACATGGTAGCCCATGGGAGTTGATACACCCGAGCATTTTGCGGCGAATGTTACACATCAAAAGACTTGTGGTAATTACTCTTCTCTGCGCGGGGATCCCATTTGCACTCGTCTTCCCACCTGGCGCGGTGACCACCGATTTTCAGAATCAGCAGAGGGAAACGTTGCAGAACGTCAGAACGATGAATATAAGTGACTATGGCAATGGAACCATTCAACAGTTTGTTGAACATTCACTCTTTGAGGTGAACGGCGACTTGAACTATAACCAGTAACATCATCCTCCAGCAAAGGCATTGTCAAAATGCTGACTCTTTCCAGATTATGGGTAAGACCGAAACTCAAGGCAATTGCTGCTCAAGTCCTGGCCTCAGGCGAGCCAGTCAAATTTGATTCACCTTGTGGTAGCGCGTGCGTTTACAACATTTCTCTTGACGGGCCCGGTTTCCAATGCGAGGAGCCCGAGGAGAAGCCCCAGAGGTGCGGTCTTATCTATGAGGCTGTAGACATGGCTGGTTTCCTCCCCAAACCGATGTATGCCATTGGTTATAACGCCTTCAAGATATTCTGGGACCCAAAGCCAAAGCCAGACGACTGCGACCTTAAGTCTCGTCGCAGCCTCGTCTGCACTATGAAGCTTGCGACTTACACACTTCAGATCGAACACTCTTCTGACGCATCACGCTCGATTGAGACCAAAGTTCACAATTACCGAGATGTGTGGACTAACGATGCTTGGATTCAGGCCCAGTTCTTTTCTTATTTTTTCGACGGCTCTGGGCCTCGCACCCAGCCAGCTCATTTAGATGAGTTGCACACTAATTTCACCAATTCTCAAGCATTTGCAATTAGGCAAGTAGCCATAGATGCTCTGACGGGTGAAGTGGATCTAAGTAGGTCATCCGATTCTATTGAAAGTGGCTCTGAAATGCTTACTGTCGCCACCTAGTGCTGGATGCTGGTGCACTATCCTTCCATGGAAACGGGACAAAGATCATAGGGAGTCAATATATCGGCCTCGACGACAAATACAACCCTCAATTCAATATTTCAGCCAAAAACATAGAGAACTTCCTGCAGGACGTTGTGATATCGACGTTATCACTGGGCACCTCGATACATGACGGGGATATCGATGCGTTAGTCGGAGCCGAGGTATACCTCTTCAACGCAAAGCCGCAGTTTTACTGGCCTTATGGTTTGTGTCTCGGTGTGGCGCTTGTGATTAGTGCCTATGGCGCCTTGTGCTGGTGGCGGAATGGGTCGTCTGCTGGGAGTAGCTTCCTCCAGTTCGCGACAACAACAGTTTCAAGTAAGGCTTTGAACAGACTTGCGAGTCAATGTCCGGGAGGGGACGAGGGTGTTTCCAAGGAGCTAAAGGAACTTGAGCTGAAGTTTGTCAATGGTAGCTTTGTTGCCAGAAACGAAATGATTACTCGGACGTAGAAGAAGCGGGTCAGCCTTAGGAGATGGTACAATAGCAAAAGTGACGCGGCTGGAGTATTAGAATCTAGGAAGATTCTGCCCTTGTATTTACCAATGCATTATGTAACTTGGGGACATCCATTTCTTGCATTCCTTATTCTTCATAATTGAACCAAAACCTTTCGACAGTACATTACTCTCCCGGGGCAGAAACACCAGAAACTTCCTTACACAAATCCAACAGCTCTTCCTGCTTGCTGACGTTATCCGCTCCAGGGTGAGGCGAGCGCTCCCCACTTGTGGTGACAAAAGCACCAGAGGTAGCCTTTGTCAAAGATCCTTCCCCAGCGACCCAGCTTGCCAATGCCCTGGCCGGCTGGTCCAAGTGTACAGGTGCCGAGCCACCTCCCATCTTCGTCTTTACCCAGCCAGGATGCATGCTAAGGACTTGAATATCAGTCCAGCGTCTGGCAAAGGCTTTTGCGAGCATTGTGTCATGAAGCTTAGTGTTGCCGTATGAATGCGATTGTGTCGCGTTCTTGAGAGACTCGTCTCCACTGTAGTGGCTGTTGGAACTCATGAACAACAGTCTACTGGTGGGTTTATCCATGAGAGATGTAAGGATATAAGGTGCCAGTGTGTTGACAGCGAATACAGCTGAGATCTTGTCTGATGTGATCTCCCTGGATGCGGTTGCACCGTAGCCAATACCTGCGTTGTGAACGATGACATCGTAGGGTCCAGCGTCATTGGCTTCCTTGGCCAACTTCTTTGTCTCGTCAATTGACGATAAATCACCGATAAGAACAGCTTGGGCTTTGGGAATGGCGGCTTTGGCGGATGATGCTCGGTCGGCGTTGCGAGCATGGAGCACGACTTGATGGCCTTGCTCGGCGAGGAGCTTCGCAGCCGCCTGGCCGATGCCGTCAGTAGAGCCTGTGATGAAGACGCGGACCATCTTCGTTGCGATTTTGAGTAATTTGATGAGATGGGCTTCTTCTGACTTGTGAAGTGGTGATTAGTTTGGAGTTTTGCGGTCTTTCAACGTACTTTTATATGGGTATTTGCATGATATCATAGAGCCAACGGCGATTACGTCACCTTTGCAGACGACAGACACAGACTGTATCTCATACGATAAGATCAACAACACGAATCTAGGCAAACATCTTTTATTCGAGATTTTCTCTTAGCTAGACTCGACATTTACCATTTGCAGCCACAATATAGCTTAATTTCTTAGCGCCAAGACATCTGCGCCATCTTACGACAGAAGCTTATTCGAAGAATCTTGATTTACATACTTCTTAGCATTTCCCAAAAAGGACCATAACAGCGAGTTCCTTTGCACTGCCGCGAATCGTATGTAAACCAATCATACAAATCTAACAGAACAATAGTCGACATCTCGGTTTAGAAGGATTCATCGGCATTGCGGCCCACTGCATCGTGAAACCGGTCAAGTCATGCACTTATAGCAACATAGTAATAGTCCTCAACAACAGTGATCACAGGAGGCTATTGAATCCAATTCACATGCGGAAAAGACATTGAATATCAATTCGATATATTTAAATAATTATAGCAAGCTCAGCAAGCTATGTACAGTTGTGCAAAAAAGGTAAGTATGTATAGAAGTCAAAGATCACCCCTCAAAAACAGCAAGGTATACCAAGAAGGAATAGCATAGCTACGCATCCTCAAGGATCATACCGGTAGTGTGTGCATAAATTTAGCACTTGCTAGCCTTGGAAGGCTCACACTCGCCGTTAGACTTGTCGCATCCCTTGTAGCCCTGGCACTGGGTCTTGGGGAAGCAGTTGTTCTTGTAGGTGGCCTAAAACATCACGATTAGTTTGTTTTCCACAATGATTAAGGAGAGAAACTCACCTTGTCACCGAGGTTGGTGTTGATGCCGATGAGCTCGCCACCGTTGACAGCAGTGACACCCTCCATGTGAACGGATCGCTTGCACTTGGAGTTACCCTTGCAGTTACCGCAAGATCGGTAAACCTTGCCGTAGTCGTTGGCGTCTGTAAAAGTTAGCTTGAGTCAACATCAGGTATAACGGGTAACCTACAGAAGTTGACAATGTTGACATGGCCACATCCGTTGTGCTGGATAACCTTGTCCGCAGCCTTGTAAGCACCACCACCGATGATGTTGGCGGTTCCGCTGCCCTTGATAGTGATAGCATCCTCACAAACGTCTTCGAACCAGACGAACTCGAGGTTGCAGGCGCCGAGACAGTGAACACCCTCCTTCTGGTTGGCACCAATGACGACGTTACGGAGAGTGGCGCCATCCTCAAGGACAAAGACTGCATCCTTCTCACCTATGCTGTGTTAATATCTACAAAAGAACACTGAGATCCGGACAAACTTACCACCCTCGCTCTGACCAGAGCACTTGACACCACGGTCAAAGCGAACCCACTTAGCATCGAAGACCTCACCCTTCTTGAGGTATCGGGGTGCGCTGAGGGACTTGGTACCAGTGGCCTTGGGGACACCGCCAGTGTAGCCAAGGCATGCCATGGCGGCGGGAAGGGCAGAAAGAACGGCGATAATGCTAGGGGCGTGCATCTTGATTAATGTTGATGTTTTTGAGAGTTGAAAATTGAACCGGTCTACGGTGGGCTTGAATAAGAAGAGTAACGAATGAATAAGCTTGAAGACGAATTGGGATGCTGAGAATAACGGTTTATTGAAGACTCATCAACATTCTTATATGTCTGCTCAACTCCTTGCATCAACATCACCGGAGTTCAACTCCTGAATCCATCATGATGGTCTTACAGAGACTTGGCCAAGGTCCTGGTAATTCACGGCAGAACACCAATTGAATCCTACCCAAGGATCAGAGTGACATAAATCAGAGGCCAAAGCTTTTGGTGTTTCAGGACGGATAAATTTCCTCCACTGAGGTGACACACTAACGGATTTTCATAGGCTAAGGCCCTTGTCCAAGAGATCCGCTATCACGATCAATACGTGGACTAAAAGTTAAGGTTATTTCGGAAAAGGCTTGGAAGAGGCAGCACGGAGACAAATTTGGGAAACCTAGAGGTGACGAATTAGGCGATTTTCATAGATAGATGCTTGCCAATATACATATAATTGTTCCTATATCTAATCAGAATATCCACTTTAAAATATTGACAGTGGCTGAAAGTACGACTCTCCTCTCCTAGTGGATACAAATTCGGGGTGGCGATCGGCGAAGAACCAGGACCTCGGACGAATTAGTCAGTTCAGGACGAAACAGACGATCAGATAATCACCTGTCACACCCTAAAAATGAATGGTCCCCACGACAAGGCCCCTGTTATCCGGAGTTAATGCCATCGGACCAATGCCAAGACATAGTCTAATTACGGTGAGGTGGTGATCCGAGACTGTTTCTCATCCCACTTGCGTACTCTGACCATACAAACACGAGTGTGAGACTGTCTCCGCCTTGAGATACACCGAATGACCGAAATGGTTGCATAGCCTCCTCATGCAGTGACAGTTGAATCTATGGGTCATCTCCACTGCTTCCATGAAGGGGAGAAACCATTCATGCAAAGAATAAGCGATCTAACTAATACTATCCCAAAACGCCCAGTCAATATCCGCAAACTCGAATCCAAATGGTTGCAAGTCATCTTCCCCAGTCTTTCCTTGTCCAAAGTCCATTATGGTATCCCTCTGATTCTCCTTTCTACTCGCGTCAGCAGCAAGATTCCTTTCATCCTGTGCTAAAAGCTCCTCCAACTGTGACACAAATGCCGGTTTCTCCATATACTCTAACCCAGGCTTTTGTCGACACTCATTCCACGTTGCGATAACAGACTTGGCAGCGTGTGAAGTCCTTCTGTCTTCTGACATATCCGTCAAATGTTCTGTCACACCATACAGGTCTTCTAGCAGCGACCAGGCTGACTGGATCATTGCGACGTCTGTCAAGAGTGTCATATCTACCAGAATACCGATGACTGTTCGTAGTAGTCAGTAAGGAAATGATATGAGTGAGATAGGCTTGAACTACTTACGAGCATACCATACAAACGAAGTCTCAGCAAGCCAGCGAAACTTCTGTAGAAGGGGATTCGCATGCGACACGACTTGGTACCTCATAGCTTGCATGCACAGGTCGAAATGCTCAATGTGACATTTGTCTTTTGCACTATTGGATCGCATCTTCGCTTCGTGATACTTTCGCAGACGCAGGATATTAACGACAGCTCGCGCCGAGATCTGCAGGAGTGTATGCAGGGGGTTTATCGGATCGCAGTATTGGAGGAAGTTCTCGTTAAGTCCTCTTTCCAGCCCATCGATCATGGAATCAGCCAAACAGCCAAGCAAGGATCCCTCGCCGGCTGCTAGTTGATTGGCCTGAGTAACACGAAAGTTGCGCTGTGCTTCCAGTAAATAGTACGTAAACCCAGTGTAGGCGAACCCTGTAAGACCTGTCCGTTCTTTAGGGGGGTCCTTCGAGTTCGGGTCAAGATCTTCGTCTTCGATGTTAAGGGGAAGTTTGACGTCCCATGCTGTCGCAAACGATAAAGGCGTGACACCGTTCTTGAGAGAAAGGATGAGATCGAGATGTTGGAGTTGCCACCAAATTCTTCGTCGCTCTTCTGTTTCGATGGGTGAAAGACCAAGGACTGTGCCATCGCGATGGATACCGAGTTGCTCCGCAGAACGTGACACCAGACCCATCAACGTCCAGAGACTACGAGATGTCAAGGTGTCAATGTTGGCTTTCTGAGTGTGTGTTAGTAGCGATAATCCGCAGGTTCAGTTATTGCTCACTATGTAAAAGCAAAACGCTTTTATCGTTGCTAAGCTGTCTATAGCCAAGAGACTCATTCTTGAAAAAGTGATGTCGCATCTCATCCGACATTCGCTAACTAGGATAGCCCTCGATCTACCAAAGCGTCGCAGACAGTCATTGTTAGTCAAACTCACTGCCGCAAATAGCCTTGTAGATAACACTAGAGCCCTTTCACCATCTTCGAGACGATCCCACTTCTCTCCGTCGGTTATTGCAGCTTTTAGGTGAGAAAGGGTCCATTTGAAGTTGATCTTTACCACAGGTTCAACACGTTCCATGAATATGTCCCAGAGCTTGACAGCTTCCAGAGTTGGCATTTGCAGAGAAAGTGTCCCTGAGACGAGGGTATTGTCTCCCCAGGGTGAACCATTGAAGGCATGTGGAAGAAATTTAGCTGGCGACAGAGCTGATCCTCGAGGGTCAGCGGGATTGAAAGGCGCTTTTGTGCCTTGGTAGAGTTTGGTTACGTCGATCCAAGTCTGCCACCCTTCTCTGATCATCACACCAGTCAGTCAAATATTAGACCGACCAATTTTATATGTAACTTACGATTCATGATAAACTGCCTTCCCCTCTTGCTGCACCATCATCGGCGTCTGAACATGACTTGTCTCTGTGGAGACAGATCTTTTCGGCCTTTGAAGATTCTCCAGCGACGGACTTCCACCATTCTCCGACGCAGGATCACCTCCCAAAGCTCTCACGATATCTTCGAGTTTTTTAATCCTCTCAAAAGGGGAAAGTTCAGGGTAAATGCAAGTGTCATTCTTGCGCCGCTTGCAATTCGAGCAAGGAGGTTCTGCTCTGTCGCATTTCACTTTGCGCTTTGCACACGGTTCACATGCTTGAGATCTCATTTTTTCCGATGGACGATCTGGGGCTGAGAATTGTTGATCTTGTCTTTTGCGACGTGGTTTCCCGATCTATGACGTTGTTGTAATTAAAAGCTCGGGGACCCCGCGAGGTTTTGTACGACGGATGGGAGATAGCTCGGGCTCGGTACCGAGACCGAGATTTTAGAGGTGGTGTCTGATTGGTCACTTAGAATAATCCTTCAAGATAGGGATGGAAAACGTGTAATTGACTTGGAATGTAAGAATTTGATCTTGATATTTAAATCCATCTCTTCTCATGTATTCTGTTTCTACTTGTTGTTATTGAACTCTCCATATCAGATCGTGGTGTGCACACAAGAGTTATCACATCTGGCTTAACTATCGACATCTTACACTATCAGTTCTGTACTTTGCACATCCTTACTCATATTAATATTTATTATGGACGAAAAGGATACTAGGACTTCCAATAGTCCAGAGCGCCGAAGTACCGATGCAGTCAACCAATCATCAGACACAACAGACAATGTCAAGACATACCCGCCAAAGAAGGTTGTCCTTCCAACGATGATCGCCCTCTTTCTCGTTTTCTTCCTAGTCGCATTGGTAACTCACCCCCACACTTGAAGATAATATCCACTAACGTCCACTCAAGGATCGAACCATCATCGGCACAGCTATACCAACCATATCCGCCGAGTTTGACAGTTTCGGAGACATCGCCTGGTACGAATCGGCCTTTCTCCTACCTCTTTGCGTCTTTCAGCTCTCCTTCGGCCTTGTCTTCAAGTACTACTCCACGAAATGGATCCTCTTTATTCTTACCGCAATCTTCGAGATTGGATCTATTGTCTGTGCCGCAGCGCCCAATTCAAATGCATTGATCGTCGGACGAGCGATTACGGGCATTGGTGGTGCTGGCATTGGCTCTGGTGTGTTTATCTACATCACACTCTTATTCCCCCTCGAAGAACGACCCAAATATCTCGGATCATTGGGCTCCGCGTTTGGCATCTCTTCGATCTTGGGTCCGATTCTTGGAGGCTACCTTACATCTGTCAGCTGGCGTTGGTGTTTCTGGATCAATGTTCCCATCGGCGCCCTTTCACTCATCCTTTTGTTCATCCTCGCTCCTGACAGACCATCACCCGTCAAGCCAGCCGCGACATGGCGTCAGAAGTTCCTCGATTTGGATCCAGTAGGCTTCTTGCTGGTTGCAGGCTCAATTGTCAGTCTCCTGTTCGCTCTCGAATTCGGAAAAGAGGATCGAGCGTGGTCTACTGGACGTGTCATCGCCCTCTTCGTCGTTTTTGCAGTTCTTCTTATCGCATTCGCTGCATACCAAATCTGGCGAGATGAAAAGGCCACTATTCCCCCGAGAATCCTGCGTCAACGAACAGTGTTGGCTGCGTGCCTTTTCAACTTCTTCATGGGGACTGTACTGGTCATTTATGCCTTTTACATTCCTATCTGGTTTCAGGTTGTCAAAGGGAAGTCACCCCAGGACTCTGGCATCGCTCTGCTACCTTTGCTGCTCAGCAATGTGGTGTTTGTTATTGTCGGTGGTATCTTGGTTAGCGCACTTGGATACTTCACACCTTTTGCTATCGTGGGAAGTGCAATTCTGATTGTTGGCGGTGCGCTTATCACAACTTGGACAGCAGATGAAAGCCAGGGCAAATGGGTTGGATACCAGGTATGTTTACTCTGACATCAATTCTTTAGCATCTGTATACTGACACAATACCAGATTATCACTGGTACAGGTATGGGTTTGGCATTGCAACAACCAGCCATTGCAGTTCAGTCTGTGCTATCAGAAAGTGATAGTACAGTCGGTCTTTCTATCCTCAGCTTTCTCGGCTTTCTTTCAGGAACAGTATTCATTACCGTTGCTCAAGCTTTGCTTCAAGGACAGCTCGACAGCAGGATCTCGCAAAAGTTCCCTGAAATCAACACAGAGCAGCTGAGCAACAGTGGAGCTGCAAGTATTAGAAAATTGGTGTCGGAGGACAAGATGGATATCGTGTTGGATGCGTATAACGATTCTATGAGGTCAATTTGGTATCTTGCTCTTGCCATGGGTGCTGCTTCTTTGGTAGTGTCTTTGGCTTTTGAATGGAAGAATGTCAAGGCAAACAAGAAGAGGGACGAGGTGAAGGAGGAATCTTCTGGTTCCGTGTCGGTCTAGTAGGAACTATGTTGTCCAGAAGAGGAGGAGAAAAGATGGTGACAGCATAAGCAAATCCATGCAGACGTCTCATGATTTATAATAGAATGTATAATAGAAGCAATAGAGAAAAAAGACAATTATTTAAAACCGCGGTCATCATACTTTGAGGATAACCCCATCAAATACAATCTTGTGTACCTCAAAAAGGCATTTGTCTTATCCAGTTGAAGGATGTTGATTGTTTGCTGAAAATGCAAAAAGATAAACTTGATGAGACTGGGACTCGAACCCAGGAGGATTGCTCCACCAGGAAATTGGTGTTAAGGTTGACCTTAACCTGGCGCCATAACCAACTCGGCCATCTCACCGGTGATTGGGTGAAAGGTCGTCACTAACTGATCACTATACTCTGTGGTTCAAACTTTGATTAGCGATGGTAGGAAATATTCGTTTTAGAACACTACCAAAAAGATATCTCTACTGTGCATTTTGAAGAAAGTAACGTAGTTTATTATCCAATAGTCTACTCGCCAATAACATATGATAGCTACGAGCAGCAGGGAGCGCTAACGGGTACCGTGTTCATGAAATGGCAGCGTCAAAGAAAAGACCTGGGCTCGCTTAGGATATTCTCTGGCAATGTCGTTCTGCAAGTGCCATTCAAAGAAATTCATGCACAGGACTAAGTCCACCCTGCTGATGCGCAGTAAATCTGTGTAGGATCAACATGAGTTCGTAACATCCGCTAGGGCTCAGACAGTTACGCAACGATGCCCAAGTTCAAAAACATAGATTCAAGTTATAAGATAAAGACTGTTTGCTGCATAGAGACCATGGATTCACAGGCATGATCAAGAGAAATACTATTCCACATAGTGTTCGTCATTAGCCGAACAAAATTTCATCTTGTCAAGTCTCGTACTCGCTGAGGGTAACTGAGTATACCGACAATTCATTCCCTGGCATCACACGAAGTGATTTCTGACCTGCTACTCAAAAAAATAGCGATATCGGGCTCTCTAAAATTTGCTCCGCAGCATCTACTATGACAATGTCACTTTGTACCGCTCAGTCGGGGATGGGGCTCAAATTTGATCTGATAAAACCTGTTTGACGATGACATGCCTGTGATGCACCATTTGTCACGGCTTATCAGATCTTTGAGAACGCGTAGACAGCGGAGACGAAGCTCGTGAAGGTGACATTGAGCCTGTTTTTCTTGAATGTCCTAAACCGAATACGGTCAGGTTGCTGCCAGAAAAAAATTGACGAGCATCTGATAAGATAAAACTTCACCCTTACTTCGCCGATCTTTACTTTTCCAATATTGGCTACAGACTCACTGTGCGAGCAATTACGGGATCACTGTCGCTTTTAAGCATAGTTGCCCAATTTCCGAGCTCACCCCCACGGGATATGGGCCGGGCATTGTTCATGGCCGAGTCTCGGTCCTTCTGGAACGATGGTATCCGCTCGTGGCCGCTGTACGGATACCGGTGAATGCAATGCAACGAGACAAGGGCGAAAAAAACGTGGATGAAAGGAAAGCAGGGGTTGGCATCAGACGAATTTGTTGTCAGTCCGGGTCGTTCCGGTCAGTAACATGCAAGTTCGTCACTGACATGAAGTGCAATCCTGCAATGCTACAGAACGGTGGACAGAACTACTAGAATCCTGAGAGATCCAGGAAAGCGCCTCGGCAGATCTATCAGTGCATGTGAGCCAATATTAAAGGTGCATGATACCTGATGTCAGAATATGACAAGTCTTGTTCATGTGTTCTATATTGCATGGTTTATCCATAATGTAACTACCACTGAAAACTCTCTTCAAAATATTCTATCCGAGGCATAGACTGAACAGTCCTTGCGGCCACAGCGCTTCTGCTCTCATCAGCCATCTTGGCGGGACCACTCGTGACTACTGCAAGACTGGCCCCATCTCCACTGGCAAAAGCATTGTCGACGATTTCTTCGACGTTCAGTCTCCCGTCTCTCCACTCAACAATGTGACAAGCAGTCGCGCGGTCAGGTCTCGCACTGCTCGTCCCAGTAACATAGATGACAACTCTCACTTGTATGTAGTCGAGTACGTCACTTAACTCGTGATTGAGAACATCCTCAGCCAGAGCAGATTGTCGCACTGCCCAGTGAACTTCAACCTCGGTGGCTGAAGATGTAAGTTTGTCCAGGTAAGAAAGCGGGACGGCAATACCACTGCCTCCAACAATAAAGAGAACTTTGTCAAACCTCTCCAAAGGTAGGGTCTTTCCATATGGGCCATCTATCGCCACTCGAACTTTGGCGGGTTTTGGCTGCTCCTTCTCAGCATACTGTTTCAATCGAGAGGTAAAGCTGTCGTAGGGGCGAATGAGGAATGTCATCTCTCGCTGCGTCTTCTCATACTCGGGTGACATCTCCTCCGTTGAGTACGACGTGTGACCTAGCAATGGCGCACGATCTGACAAAGCGTATGTTTCGGGTTCTGAAACCGATGCCACAGTAAAGGGATGGCTCTCCCAGAAGCTCCGTTTGTTCAGCACCGTGAGGTAGTAAAATGTGCCGGGATCAGTTTTATAGAAGCTTGAAGACACAGGAACGACGACTCTGATCATGCGAGCATCCTCATTGTAGGTGATAAGAGCACCAGTTTCCCAGAATTTTGGATTAAAGGCAATAACTCGGACTGCACGAATCACTCGATCCAGCAACCAGACCAGTACCGGAATCCATACTAAGGGGTCGTAGGCGCCTCTGAAGATAGACACATGCCTTGGAAGACGTCAGCGAGATGTTATATCAGTAGATGCGATGAAGCTTACCCCAGCATTGCGACAAGGATCAAGACTGATAGAACAATATGCGAGATGAGGAAAAACTCGTATTGTCTACGCCGTACCCAAAAGAATGATAGACCGACGAGTAAACAAATGAAGATAGTTGCCTACCATGGAGTCAGTCATGAGGGCGATGGGAGATCACAAAACTTACCAGTTCACCAGTCCACCAAAATTTCAGGTTCGAGATCTTCCAGAAATACTCCCAGCCGCCCCCTGATAAGTCAGCAACGGATATAATGATTGTGTAGGGTGACATACTTTGGAAAATAATAATGATGTACCCAATAGAGTGAATGACAGCCTGGACAGTGGCTATTCTGCCAACCCAGCGATGAAAGTTATTGTATGTTTTGAAGTCCCAGCCCGTTAGCCATATAACGATATTGTTCCTCATGCCAAACAGCCAAATGAGAGGGAAATTAGCGAACGAGATAATGCCTGTTCTATCGGAGACGTGTCGAAGGATCTGAAGCCATACAGAAGGGTAGCTGTACCACTGTTAGCACCAAATCTTGTTTCATGTATCATTTAGAACTCACTAGCCGTAGCCCTCAAATATACTATATCCGTGAATGGAGCAAATGATATTTAGCACCATAAACAATGAAATAGTCAACGCTTGTATGCGTGGAGGAAGTGTGCCAACACCGCCGAAGTCTTGAACACAGCGCTGGCCAAACGTCGCGGGAAGAACGACATTACGTTTCAGCCACAGGCTTCGATGGCCATTCGAGGTGGACAGTTTTGTCAGTATACGGTTCACGATACCAACTGCAATGACCACAGCCCAGAAGATCCCCATAGCCCAGCCATAGTAGTAATGATAGATCCATATATAATCGTGTGCAGCCTAAACACGGTAAGTGGTGTATCCTACGACATATGACGACTATATTAAAGGACTTACCAACGTTCGAATCCATATGTCGTAGTAAGCTTGTGACGGAAGCATCAGCGCACCGTAACGATCAGAACGGCTTGGATCCGTCGCATCGAATATGATAATTTGAGCTCTCTGTTTATCTGTTATATCGTCGATTATTTCGTGTGGTGCTAGATATGAGCCGTACGTATCTTGGCATGTCTGGTTCATACTGCTTGATTCGTGTTGCCAGACGTCCTCAGTACAATGAGCATCCCAGCAGAGATACAACGAGGTCTGATAAAGACGGCTTATGCATTCTTGCTTTGCGAAGAAAGCGCCTTCTGGCGCATCTGTGAATTTGAGAGTCCGGAATGTTTGCCGACACGCTTTACCACATAACGCGGGGTTTGCCGAAGACGCGTCTGCCGAAACAAGGCCAGAGGCAAGAGAGGTGAAGACACATATTAAGTTATTTACTTTCCAGAGTCGCATATTTATTTATTTATGCGATACCTGGGCCCGAGGTCTAAAGATGTAAAGAGTATTATTGTTAGTTGAGACATGAGAGCGATTATCAGATGATCAGATAGAGAGGCATGGTGGGTCTTAATCATCACGTGGAGACATAGTCAGCAGGGGATCCCCTTGACTCGGTCTTCTGCAAATTGCCTGGGCCAATGGGCAAATACAAGGGGGAGACAACAATGTTTATAATCGCGAGGCAATAGTTCTGGTAGGAAAAGTAACAATAATTCACAGAAAGAGGGTGGTGTTACAGTTCAGGGAAAACGATGTCCCTGGCTTGGATCTTGAGCCAGGCGACTAGTTGTATATTAAGATAGATCTACTCAAGTTAGAGGTCGAGTGTTATTATTTTATAGTAAACGAATGATTTTGGTGCCTTGAAAACTTAGATTACGGTCTTTGCGGCGAAAGCCTTTACAAGACCACTCGTGCAAGTACTCCAAACATCTCAAGAGACAGCCTACTTGCGGTACAAGGCAGCCATCTTCTGCATGAAGGTAGCAGGCTCAGTCTGAGTGTTGTTCGCATCTGTAGCTCCGTTCTTGGGAACATCAACAACCTCGCCATCAAGACCCTTGTTGTTAACAGCGTTCTGCTGCTTGCCAAGATAGAAGTTGGGCATGAAGAAAGAGGCAATGAGGGGAATACACGCAAAGACGATGGAAACGATAGTGATATGACCGTTGACAATGGCGTAGGCACGAATGGAGCCTTGGCGGATAGGATCAAAGAAGTCGTACTTCTTGAGAGTCTTGATGTTGCCGTAGATAGTGGCAATGGTTGTGTCGTCAACGTCGGGCAGCTCAACATGCATCTGGTCGACCATCTGCTCGGTCCAGATGCTGGTGGCGATAGCACTGCCAACACTGGAACCCAAAGTAGACCAAAGAGTGATGATGGAAATGAGAGATGCAATGTCATCGTGAGGGACAGAAGCCTGGACACCGACTCGAACACCAACGACGTTGAGGGAGGAGAGACAGAAGATGAGTTGGGCTGCGACAAGACGGGCAGTGTCCTCAGTCATCATTCCGTTGGGGCTGATAAGAAGACCATAACCAAGAATCCTAGCCGCGGCACCAAAGATCATGAGACCCTTGTAGCGATGAGAGACTCGGTGAATGAGGCCAACAATAGGACCGACCAGGCAAAGACCCATGGTGGTGATACCAAGGAAGATGGTCCATTGGTAGGTTGTCCACTCCTTGATGATGAGGATGTAAGACGAGAAGTAGGTGTTGCGCACAGACGAAGCCATCTGGTTGAAGATGTGGATAATGACACCAGCGATGAAAGCTCTGTTCTGGAGAATGCGCCTGGTCATCATTGGCTTAGGAGCGAGGAAGTACTCGTAGAGACCAAAGAGGATGAGAACGACAAATCCTACAACAATCATTGCAACCATACTGGGGTTGTTCCATCCGCCCTTGGCACTCTTTGCTAGAGTGATAGGCAGGAGGATAAGGGAGAATGCGAAGCCAAGAAGAATGAGACCGACGATATCGATGTCAATCAGACCGCGGTAGGCAAGCTTGGCCCAGTAGGTCAAGTTCTTGGGCGTGGCCTCAGTGCGACCCATTCGCACATCCTTGGAGTCAGCCATGGTGACCATTCCTGCCTTCTCACCACGACGCTGCATCGTGTAGAGGGTGAAAATGGCAGGGAGGAGGAGGACGGGGACGAGAATGGCGAACATGCCGAGACCCCATCGCCAATCTTCGTAAAAGCCCTCGGCGATGAAGCCATTGACGGGCACAGTGACGATGAAGGGCAGAGCAAGACAGGCGCTGAAGAAACCTCGCCATTCCAAGGGTGTCAAATCAGCGACAATGATGTCGCTGAGAAGATCAAGACCCGACTTGCCGACAGATGTGAAGCAGATGCCAATAACATACGAGGTAAAGCCAGAGGCACTAGCAGCAACAGCAAAGCCAACAGCGTAAAATACAAGGACCACAACATAAGTTGTAGGTCGCGATGTAATATCAGCTAGCTTTCCAATGAAGGGCTTGCTAATGGCACGAATAATCTGTCCTGCCGTGTTGACAGTACCAAGCTGACTGTGCACACCAAAGGTGGAAGCTGCCAGAGTGCCAAAAATGGTAGTGGTAATGCCCATGTCGAGCGCGTAGGCGAACATGGTCAATCCGATAGAGACACCCAATAGCCAAAGCAAGATCTTTCCCTTCTTGCCAGACTGGTAGAGGACCTTGTTAAAGGCCTCGACTCTGCCGACACCAATTTCCTTGTGTTCATCGTCGGATACGGGGGCGTTGGTAGCATCGTAATCCTTCTTCTCGTTGAGTTCGAACATTTCCGGCGAAGTCTGTGTCTGCGGGGGAGTTTGGGACTCTGGACCCGACGTGTTGTTGGGTGCTGACATTTTGGGGCAATGCTGAGCTTGTGCTCTAGATCGAGAATTGACAGCGCATGAGATGAAAGGTTAAACAGACAAGAGAAGAGGGAGGGAGAAGAGATCTTCTAGTCGCATTGGCAGCCTCTTTTCTTTTCTGGCCTGATTTTTTTCTCTCTCACCATACAGAAATAGAAAGCTGTTGGTCATGTTCGCCCCCTACAAGACCGAGAAAAAAGACAGAACCAACAGGCAATGCCAAGGTACGAAAAAAGAATACAGGGTCTCGCCGCCGTTTATCGGGTCAGTAAAAGCCAGGGTGCAGCGCTGTTGCATTGCTGGCGTGGTTTTAGTCTAGTCACTGGACTGGAAAAACTACAAGGGATCAACATGCGTGGTTTTCCGTGAAGAGATTATCTGATCTTTGCTCTATCCACTCATGTTGGTTGAGTCTGCATGAAGCCAAGATTATCACATACTTCCATCTAATCAGATGGTCCAGCAGAGTAGGGATCGGCATGTAAGTGGGACGGGCAAGATGATCCTTACTATGTCCAGAAAACCGAGACAGTGCAATGTGACAGTATGAACAACTGTGACATGTGCACATCGTATGGCCCGAAAGAAACCTTGTTCTTGTTCCTGATGTAAACTGTCCTGGTCTAATGTTGGCAATCAGATCGATAAGGTAAATCGTCCGAGCATGGTTTTTGCACGCGTAGGATGCTGCAAGGGAGGCAAAATTTTCACGATTGACCCTGTCTGTCTCATAGTGAGATGTGGATGTTGGCTTGTGATGTCTTTTATGCAGCTCGTAGTAAGCTTAACTGGGGGATAAAGCCATTGAGTCACTTTATTGTCTTAGCTCACAGACTATTTACACCTCAAAGCTTGGCTTCTTGGTAGCTTGTCTTGTCAAGCGTCGGCTTGTTGGTGATCTTGTTATGCTGACGATCTTTACTGTCCGTTCTTACCCGAGGCATGGTTCACGGGAAACCGGTTCGTTGGGTCACGTTGCAGGACATGGCAGTGTAGATCTTGGTTTATCAATCTGATCGGTCCGTTATCGCAGACTGACACATGCTTCAGACGCATTCGAATCAGGTTGCTATGTAATAATGAAGTAATAATTTGATGCATATTAAAATGAGTACGAAGCAAAAGCTCTAAAAATAGTTTGAGAATACAATGCTCAAAGCGAGATCTTTGCAGCATCACACAGAGATCTAAAAATACTATCCGGCTGGGCATACAGCTCAGAAACTGTAGCAAACTCGACTACTCGTCCACTATCCATGACGACAACCTTGTTGCACGTAGAAACTATAGTGTCAAGTCGATGAGCCACAGTAAGAACAGTCGCGTCACCTACGACCTCGTTCAACATGGCCTGTAGCTTTGCATCTGATCTGCCATCGATTGAAGCTGTTGCCTCGTCAAGAATGACAATCTTTGACTTGCGCACAAGAGCGCGGGCGATAGAGATCAAGGAACGTTGTCCTTGAGAGATGTTGGAGCCGTTTTCCTTGACTTCAGAGTCTAGATTGAGGCTTGGTGCATCACCGCCAGAGTCGGAGTCTTGCTTTTCGGCATCCGTGTTGGAAGATATTTGGCTTAGACCGACGCGATCTAAACACTGTCGAAGCCACTCGTCGTCGTATTGTTGGAAAGGATCGAGATTGTAGCGGATACTGCCAGCTAACAAGACTGCGTCTTGGCTGATGACTGATAGATTGGATCGGAGGAGATGAAGGCCGACCGTGTGGATGTCGACGCCGTCAATAAGGATTCGTCCGTTCGTGGGCTCGGTGATTCGTAGTAGAGCAGAGATTACTAGTGATTCGTTAGTAACAATGGTTTAGAAGACAATCATCAGGCACTTACAGGTTGTCTTTCCAGCTCCCGTACGTCCAACAACACCAATCTTTTCACCAGGCTTGATATCAAGGTTTATGTCCTTCAACGCAGGATCCAGACCAGGTCGATGACTGAGAGTAAAAGACTGGAACTCAACATGCCCAGCCCTTGGCCACTGACTCGTCTCCAATTCCTTGTCAACTCGCTCAACCCGATGCTCAGGCTCTTGTTCAATGTTGTAAGCATAATGAAGCATTCTCTCCACCGAGTTCATGTTATTCTCAATCTCTGCACTCTGACGAATCATGTTTCCAAAGACTGCTTGCGCGGTAACGATGTATGACAGGACTACACCGCCAGAGGAGGGATCAATGGTGCCTCGTAGTCCAACAACTAGCAAGCCTGCAGCTAGCACGAGAGTTGCACCACAGAGGTCAAGACGTAGGTTGAGCCATCGCTGACACGCGATAGAAAGCCAATAAGCAGTGTTCTCCGTGTCGATCTTTCGGGCATTATCGTCAACGAAGCGAGGTACTGCACCAAAAGCCTTGAGGGTTGGCAGACCCGAAAGAGACTCTCCAAAATGCTCGTAGATGCGACTCCGAAGAAGATTGTTAAGCCGACGAAGCTCTCGCGACGATGGCCGGTAGTACATTCCAGTCCACGTGTAGATCAACAACAAAGCAAAAGCGATGGCCAAAAACGCTGGCACGATAATGCTTACAACGATAATCGTACCAAGAACTTGCACAAACGTAGAAATGAAGAGTCGCAAAGTCTCACCGACCACGTTATCAACGGCATCGACATCCTTGCTGAAGCGATGTGTGATTCTGCCCTGAGGCGTGGTATCAAAGAAAGCGACTGGTGCGAGCAAGACCTTGGACATGGAAGCATGGTGAAGCTTGTTAGAGCACCAGAAGCAAAAGAGTGCAAACGTGGCGCTCATACAGAATAGACCGATGGACTGGCCTGCACCAAACGCTGCATAGCCGCCCATGTACGCATCTTCAGAAATGGATGTGTACTGGTTCTTTTGCCACCAGCTCAACCAAAGAGGTGAAACGATACTGGTGCCTTGGTAAATGGCGATAGAGAGGATTAGAAGAGGAACAGTGATTAATGCGTTGCCAAACTGAGCGTATCGGATGTAGGTTCTGCCACTGACAGAGCCGACAACTCGTTCTTCTGTTTGCATCACTTCTTTGCCGCGTGTTGTAGATGGCTTTTCCTTGGTCTTGGTTTCAGGAGTTTCTTTCTCAATGACCTTTTCATCCACAGCCTCTTCAGAATCGTGACTGCTGGCCGTCTCGGAACCCGAGTCTGACTCTGCAATCAAAGGTTGAGATCCAGCAAACTGAGTAAAAGCGCCATCAAGACTCTGCAACTTATCGTACGAACCCTGCTCAGAGATTCGTCCCTTCTCCATGTAGAAGATATGATCTGCTTGTCTAGCGAAGCGGATGGAATGCGTGACCAAGACAATTGTACCCTCATTGTTTCGACGCGCTTGATTGACAACCATGTCAAACACACGAGCACCAACATGAGCGTCCAAAGCAGAGAAACAATCATCGAGAAAGAGAAGCGAACTTCTTCCGTAAATGGCCCTGGCAAGACTTATACGTTGCTTCTGGCCACCGGAGAGTGAAACGCCGTTCTCGCCAACAACAGTCATGTCACCGTCTGGCAAGACCTTCATATCTGGGTGAAGGCAGCATCTGGTGAGGACTTCGTTGTACCATGCGTGGTCAAAAGGTCTGCCAAACACGATGTTCTCTCGCACAGTCTCGCTCAGAAGCCAAGCACTTTGAGGTGCAAAGGCAATCTGAGACGAAGATTTGTCGAGACCGAGGTGGAAAGATCGTGCTTGGATGAGTTGAAGATCGCCCAGAAGGGCTTTCAACACAGATGACTTTCCGGATGCGACAGCTCCGACGACGCAGACGAGTTGATTACGCTTAACCAAGAATGAATCGAGCCATAGTCGCTGACTTGTTGCTGTTGTCTCTAGTTCCCTCTTCTCATCTGCAGCTACAAGTTGCTCATCATCGTGATAAGCAAAAGTGGCGTCTTCAACTCGAACCACAGTATCAGATTCGGAATTCTCAGAGGAGTAACCCAAATCAGACTGTAAATCCGACTTCTGTTTATCAGTGTTGATATCAGAAGCCAGCATGAACATGGACAATCGCTCCAGTGCAGCTCTAGAATCAGCAACAGCCGAAAGAGCAGTAGGCAATGCCATAAGAGGTGTTCTCAAAAGCATGAAATAGGCAAGTCCGGAAAAGACAACTCCAGCATCCATCCCGTTCTCAGACGTCGCTCCATAGCAGACAATACTGACGACGGAAGCCAAAGTAGGAGCCGTGTAAGAAATCGCAGTGTTGAAAGCTCTCAGAAGCATTCGTTTGCGAATGTAAACAACTTCATCAGCTCGCAACTTTCCAATCTTGGAGAGCAAGCTCTCTTCGTAAGCGTTTGTCTTAACGAGACGAATTGCAGATACTGCTTCAACAACTGCTTTGACTCGTGCGTCCGTGAAAGGCATACTTCCTCGGCGAAGAAGGAGAAGCCGGCGCATCATGAATGACTGGAGCGGATACAACAAAGCGAGTAAACCAAAACCTGGCAACGCGCTGTATCCCATTGTCCAAACGGTCAGAGCGAAGCAAAGCAGCATCTGGAAGATACTAGTCCAAGCAACATGGAAATATCCACAGCAAAAGTCTACACGGGTGACATCGGCGCTGATGAGACTCATGAGTTTGCCAGTTCCGAGGCCATGTTTAAGCTTGGCACGTTCACTCAGCTGTGTCGTTGCCCTGCGATAGATAACGTGCATCAGAGCACCTCTAAGCAAGATACCGGTTGTATAAGAGCGGTAGAAGCCGTGAACATTGGATGTGACTGAAAAGACGAGAAGAAGGAATAATCCCACTGCATAGCCAAAGCCGGAGCGAAGACCTTGCTGCGATGAGTCTGATAGAGTGCCGATGAGGAAACGGATGAGAAGAGGTGATATGATTTGGGATAGATCGCCAGCAAGTTTCAGAATGCCACCTATCCAGAACCACTTGAAGCAGACATCGTTGAGGGCCAACGTCAAGACAGTCGTGTCGGTTGTATGTCTTGCCCAGAACGGTCGCCAAGATAGTGGGTTCTTAGAGTTGACTGGCTTTCTACCACGGTTGGTAGATAGTCTCGCAGCCCAAGCCTCTTCAAGTCGATTTGAGTGGTCTTCTACCAATCTGTGACTTGGCATATCATACAAATCGTCTGTTTGAAGGGGTCTGGTATAACCTGTCCGTAAAAGACGACTCAGCCAGTCGAATGTCAAGATAGACAACCAATTAGCGTTCGCCTCAGGAAGAGGAAGCTTTTCATGGTGTCCATTGTTCTGGTCTTCGACATTTGCAGGTGAAGGGGAGAATTTGGGTGTAGTTAGGCGTTGCTCAATTGGCGTTGTTGATAGAAGCGGTACTCTCCTGTACCATTTCCTCGGAGGGAAGCTCTTCCCATCGTTGGCTGCCATGGCTGGAGTTGACAGTCGAAACAAGTCTTCTCAGACTAGAATCCACGTCTTGATGTTCGGCTTCTTCTCAAAGGGTCCAGACATGGACCAGGAGACAAGCTCGCTAGACGTCCGTATTCGGAACAGCCCTTCAAAAACAAGTTCATAAACTGTGCGGGTACATGTTTATGGGGCTCGGTGTCCAGGGTTGCATTATGGGTCTAGCAGTGACTAAAGAATGGAGCTTGGAATAAGCTTACAGTGTCCCGTACGGCCGGGCTACGGCTCAACTTGGTTTAATGCCGGCGTAGTCTCCCACTACCGAGTGGGATAATGGCCGATCCCTGAAAAGTCTTAATTTTATGCCTAAGGGCGGCGTGGAAACAAGCATAATTTTTAGTCAAAATATGACGTGTTGGCGCACGAGCTTGCAGAAGAAGGAAGCTCACATTCTACAATACCACCACATGTAGTGACCGAGGACAAGATCACGATATGCAGGTCGGTTTGTTGAGCCGACAAATGCTTGTGACCATGTGCTTTGAGGATCGATCAGCGCTGGAAAAGCCTCAAGCTTTGCCCAGCGTTTCATTGAGACGTCAGTGTTCATTCCTTGGCTGGATTTACCCTAGGCCTGATGATCTGGGGTACTCTAGAGTCAAGCAAACTGTCCGTAGACGCTATGTAATAGGAGCTGTTGTTTTCCGTATGAGAGGCGGAGTAGTATGATGATGATCACAAGGGTTGGCCAAACAGAGTTGATGAAATGTGAATGACCACGGTATAACTACCGAGCTTTATCACGTCTTGATTTATCGTGATCTTGGCAATTACGACTCTTTGAACTTCCAGTCTTTTTATCCGTTGTTTATATATAACAATATCCATTCTGTAAGCCTAGAACTTATGATTATTATTTGATAAGATCTAACATGTACCCTAGATCGATCAAAATGGCACCAGGACCTATCGACGCTATTCCCCCACGCAACCCGACGCCACCAAAAGAAGCATGGCAAACCTCTAAAGAATTATCCTTCCGACTACCCGACGGAAAAACGAACATCTGGATTGCCAATGCCGACAATGACTACCTCGTTGGATCTGGCAACACCACGCTAGCACGATGGTCAACGGATGAACGACAGACCAGAATATCCCCTCCTATGATCAATGATGATAGAGCACAATTCGGTCCTGTTCTTGAACTCGAGATATTCAACTCTGATATCAATGACCCAAGCTCACCGTTTGCCTCGCATGGCGAGCATGGTGATTTGGCCTTGACATGGGCTTCTGTCTATGCGCTATGGGTTCATCCCGACCATCGAGATGAAGACTTGATAGCCATCTCAATTGACAGTCACAAAATTGGCGAATACATCAGCAGCACTGGATTGGGTGTTCTATCCCCTTATTCGTCGACATCTACACCCCGCGAGACCGTTTACTGGCTTTCGCACGATACATTCTGGCAGGGCGCTGGAGCACCAGACTCCCAGCATTGGCTTCAGTCGCGACCCGAAGTAACAAACTTCCCTGGCTTCAACGGCACAATGGGCGTTTTCGCTAGTCAATTGGGATTCACGCGAAAAGGAAACGTGTGCACAGTTCACCCTGTTCGACCTCCCAAGCCCAAGCCTGGTACCGTCATTTACTCTCGTTACATCATGGAGCTAGGTCAACAGCTTCAAATCCGTCACATTGACGCTTCAAACCCAGCGCACTTTGAAGCCTACAAGAGCTGGCAGAACTCAGACCGGGTCAACAAGGCGTGGAAAGAGCGCGGCCCAGATGAACATCACCGCAATTACCTTGCCAACCAACTCGCCGATCCGCATTCCATGTCGTGTGTCTTTGAGTGGGACGGCGAATTAGCGGGCTACACAGAGATAGGCTGGGTTATGGAGGACAATGCGTCATGTTTCTTCAGATCAGCATGCAATATTACAGTGGGCGAGCATGATCAGAACAGTCATATCATTGTCGGAGAAGAGCGTTTCCGAGGCGGAAAACGGTACCAAGCTGTGGCGACGAGCATCAAGCATTGTTGCTTCCTGCGGGACCCAAGGACCAAACAAGTTATTGCGGAGCCTGAATACGATCTAAACCATGTACAGATCCAGGACAGGTTTTTGCCGCAGGAGAGGAAGAAGAAGTTCCATTTGCCGCACAAGACGGCTATGCTGTTTGCCCTGCAGCGTGAGCGATTTTTCCAGGAGGCACACTTTGTTTAGTTTTTCATATTTATGCAGATCGTATTGATTGATAAATATCATTGATTGATAAAAATCCTTCTCATGTGTCATGATGTAACATCGCTTATACGGGCTTGGACCTTGTCGAGAGACAATTCAGAAGCGGCCGCCAGGGATCGGCATTTAGTACGTAACTAATTCATGGCTGCATCCCAGACCAACCGTAATCTTATCTGATCATCAACACCCTCTTGTTTCTTCTTGCACTGTGTCACCGAAATGAGCTATGGAATCTTTTTTTGCATCGGATGTTTCACTTGTTATGGAGTCTAAGCCAAGCTTCCATTCTGGGGGTCCATTTGGGATGACATACTGTGTACCGATAGCTCATAGAGGTGGACATCGTCATCGGTTTGGTTCGGGCGATAACGGCCGACGTAATTTTGTCAAGGGCCTGGTAAGACAGTTATCTGATCTGATCTGTCTCTGATGATCACGTAAACACCACAGTGAGACATCACGACTTTGACATTCGAGTCACTCGTAGATACTAGGTGTAGTAAATCGGAACGATCAACACCATGGATACCGCATTCTCTATCCAACAGCCGCCTGTTACGCAGTTTCGGCCACTGCACACCTACCAGCAACCTCTGCAATCATCAAATGATCAGCTACTACACTGGAAGAGCTCATTTGAGCCAAGACTTGTTCAGGATGCTGCCATCAAAGCATTTGTGAAGCTCGTTTCTCGGCTCATTATTCTTGACGAGGGAGAGAGCTTTTGTATCCAGGACTCACAACGTGGTGGATATATCTTGGCACGTTCGGATCAGAATATCGATTTTATTCAATGCCCACCTGACCAAGATATTACTACTCAATTCTCTATTGGCCAAGGAAAGGTAAGCTTGAGTTCCAAATTAGGGGGATCAAGGAAAATGTATGCTAAGATATTCATAGGATGTGCAACTTCACATTGAATCTGATGGCGAGATCCGTCTGACGGTTCAGTCGAGCATAATCCCTGAAGCCGCTCTTCAGGCAGTAGGATGCATGCTCGACGATATTCTTGGCCAAGAAAACCAGACTGGACTTTCTGAATGGTCACAGCCTTCTGTGCTTAACTTCCCACCAAAGACCTGTCCTATGGACTTTTCTCGTCAAAATGGAACACAGTTGGATCAAATCAAATCAAGTGGTGATGGCGACAAGACCGGCTTTCTACATCATTGGTTTGAACAGCGTGCCGTTGAGAGCCCTGAGACAACTGCAATCGACTACTTGACTGATCTCGAAAGCGGCAACCGTATCCAGTTCACATATCGACAAATCTCTAACATTGCGACTACTCTGGCCGCCAGGATTGTGCAACTGACTAGACAATCATCTCAGCCGCTCAAGACGGTTGCTGTTCTCATGGGACCTTGCCCAGAACTCTACATTTCTTACCTCGCAGCTTTGAAGGCTGGAGTTGCCTTCTGCCCTATCGCTGTTGACGCACCGAGAGAAAGAAAAGAGGCATTGATGGCAGATTTGAAACCAATTGCTATTCTGACTACTTCATCTCTCTCGGAACTGAATACTTGGCGAGATTCGACAGAAGTTGTTGATGTTACTCCCTACCTCGCTTCCTGCGACATCGATCCACCACAGTTGTCATCTCAGTCAACATCTGTGAATGACATCGCTTACGTTCTCTATACGTCCGGCACAACCGGCCTTCCCAAGGGCGTTGCAGTCAGCCATCTCTCCGCATCATGCACGATCTCCTCTCTGAGCGCCCACTACGACTTTCCTCTACCAGCGGTTGGAACCAAATCAATCCGATGGTTTCAAGGTGCAGCACCGACTTTTGACATTTCACTTTTCGAGATTTTCTGGACTCTGAGCAGTGGATCGACAATCTGCTGTGCACCTCGACATCTCACCCTTCAAAACATTGACAAGGTTGTTACGACTCTGGAAGCTGATATCACGAATATCACACCCAGCTTCGCTAGCCTTCTGGATCCCAACTCAATCAAGGGGTTGATGGTTGGTGGTGAGACACTGAATGCAAGACTCGTACAGGATTTTGCCCAGTGGAACCCGACGGGAAACGATGAGACTGCACATGTGCCTAAGGGTATCTTCAACGGCTACGGTCCGACGGAGACAGCTATTTACTGCATTGCACAAGCTCATGTCCCCGAGAACCAGCGAGGTTCAGTCATTGGAACACCTCTGGCGACTTGTGGCGCTCTCATTGTCGACCAGTCACTATCACAAGGCCTGGAGCCTGTTCCTATGGGTGCAGTTGGAGAACTCGTCATCACAGGACCCCAAGTGAGCAAAGCCGGCTACGTCAACCGCCCAGAGGAGACTGCCCAAGCCTTTATCGACGATCCTAAATGGGGTCGAGCCTACAAGACTGGAGATCGGGCAAGAATAGTCTTTGATCCCAATGGCTCACCTGTCATTGAGTTCCTTGGCAGAATATCGGACGATCAAGTCAAGCTCAGCGGACGACGAGTTGAGCTTGGTGAGATTGAAAGTGTACTAGCCAGTAAGGTCGACGACGTGAGAGAGACTATGGCTTGCGTCTGGAAGCAAGGTGCAGAGGCTGGCTCAGAAAAGATTGTCAGCCTGATCGTTGTTGAGTCTCGTACCGGAATGACTTTTGAGGGTGTTCATCAGAAGTGTGTGGAGGCTGCGAAGTTGCATTTGCCGGATTACATGAGACCATTCAAAATTTTGGAAGTCGATGCACTTCCGAGGTCCGCATCTGGAAAGGCGGATCGCAAGGCGGCTTTGAGAATCGTCAATGATGTGCTGGCGCAAGATGGTGATACAAACTATAAGAAGCCTAGTTTATCTGACTCTTCACATACTCTCGAGTCTTTGGAGGATCCCGAGGATGCCAAGCTGGAGGAAGAACTCATTTCTACCGTCAGTGCCGTTCTTAGTGATGGCTCTATGATTGCTCCTGTCATCACACCTGCCACAGTTCTAGCAGATGCAGGCATCGACAGTCTTCGTGCAATGCGCGTTTTGCGAGATATCAGAATGCGATGGCCAGTCTCTGAACGTCCCTCTAGCCATTCATCTCGCGCTAGACTCCAACCATCACTGGCTACCCTTCTTGACCCAAACGCCACTATCCGTTCAGCCTTCTTCCCCAGCGCACAGGACCTGAATGTATCCGCTACTTCAAGTACCAAGGAATCCGCAACTAAGGCTAGGCTTGAAGAGTTTACTGCGAAGCATCTGCCTGAGGCTGTTGACAAGCTCGGCTTGGATGAGTCTGACATTGAGATGATCCTCCCTGCTACTAGTACCCAGAGCCAATTGGCTATCAGCTTTGCTATGGATAAGCGCAACTACATCAGTCATACTGTCTTGCGACTCAAGTCTGACGTCTCTGCTTCTGCTCTGAAGGATGCTGTTGACGCTGTACTTTCCCGACAAGCCATCTATCGCTCCGCATTACTTCCCTGCGATGATAGTCTGTCCCCATTCGTACAGGCCGTTTTGACTGGTAGCGCTTGGAAGAATTTGGTGGGAGAATCCAGTGTAGTCTTGCACAAGGGAGCTGGCAATGCCTCTGATGAGCAAACATGGATTGGACTGGCCGAGAAGAAGCTCAACCTTGAGAGTCACACGCTGTATCACATCCAGATCATTGAGTCGAGAGACTCCGACAGCGGTGGCCTTTTGGTGATCAGCGCGGCACACTGCATTTGTGACGGACCCTCACTCGAGGTGCTGATGAGCGATATCACCCGACAGTATGCTGGCCTTGAACCTCTTCCTCGGCAAGGCATCTACGAGGCTGTCCTCAATTGGGCCTCAAATGTCAGCACTGACACGGATCAGCTCTGGCAGAAGGCTCTCGAGGGTTGGGAGACTGAACCTCTTGGGGCCATCAGTGGCAACAACGTCAAGCCACCAGCGGCTGGCGCTCGTCAACATGCCATGGTTCAGCACTCAAGTAAAATTCCCTGGGATGTACTCGAGTCCAAGAGTCGAGTACTGGGAGCCTCGCCACTTACAATACTTCAAGCATCATGGGCTATGCTCTTACACATCCTCTCCGAGGCGGACACCGATGATGTGACCTTCGGTAGTGTTCTCTCCGGTCACGACGAATTGATCCATGCGCCGACCTTCTCCGTCGTTCCTTGTCGCGTCGCACTTCCAGAGTCACAGTCGGTGCGACAGCTCATTGACAACTTGATGAGCCACTCTCGATTTGCACAGAGTCACAGACACACTTCCTTCGGTGTCTTCAAGACTCTTCCCTACAACACCGCTCTTGCCCTGCAAGCTTACCCATCTCCCGAAGATGGCGGCGACGGTACCGCTCTGTGGACAGAGATCTCGAACCCTGCTATACGTTACGACTTTTCCATGTTTGCAGAAGTCTTTCCCACGAACCCCAACTCTCCGGATCGTAACGGACGGTTCGACGACGTTTTCTTCAAGGTGACTTATCGCGACGAGACCTTCTCTGAGCTTTCTGCCTCGTGCATTGTGAAGCAGTTCGCGGCTCTTACTGAAGTTTTACTCCAGTCTGTGCCGGACGATCTAGTGCAGACGCTACCAGCACGCATGAATCGAGCCTTGCTGTCCGCCGAGGGAACAATTCCTGCTCAGCACGATGTGGAGGCGATGCCCGCAGACCTACGTGAGGCTTATGAGAGGACTCAAGTTTTGCATGCTCAGTTCGAGGACCAAGCCGCGACTACACCCGATCTCCTGGCATTGAGCTTCTACTCTTCTCTGGATGCTCCTCCTGTAGAGCTGACCTACGCTGAGCTTGACGGTCGAGCCAATGGTCTGGCCAACATCCTTCGCGAGCAAGACATCGACATCATCCCCATTTGCATGGAACGCAGTGTTGAACTCTACGTCTCAATCCTGGCCATTATCAAGGCTGGATCCGCATGGTGTCCTATTGACACTACATCTCCTGTTCAGCGACGCACATCTCTCATCGCCAGAGCACAGAGTAGGGTGTTGTTGACAAACACCGAGTCATTGCCATTAGTCGAGCCATGTCTTGAGCATGGGACTTTGAAGGATGTTGAGATCATTTTGGTGGACAAGTACACCGATTGCAAGACCTCTGTTCGAGCCAGACCACGTGCCAGCACCTTATCGTCCAAGGTCAGTGGTAAAGATCTAGCTTATCTGCTCTGGACATCTGGAACGACCGGAGAACCCAAAGGAGTCATGATCCAGCACAGCGCCGCTGCTCAAGCCATGCGCGATCTTCAAGTACAGGTCGAGCACGATGACAGGGAACAAGTTCGCACGCTTCAACTCTCAGCCTATAGCTTCGATGTCTTTGTTCAAGATCTGTTCTTCACTTGGGGCTTGGCCGGTACAGTCATTAGCGGCACCAGAGAGCTCGTTCTTGGTACATTCACAGAGTTTATCTGGAAGTCTCAGCCAACGCATGCCCATCTCACGCCCTCCTTCGGTGCTAGCATCGCTGTGAATGAGCTGAAAGGTTCTACCTTGCAGTATGTCACGTTTATCGGCGAGAAGCTCACTGAAGATGTCGCTGAAGCCTGGGCTGCTCCGGATATCACCACCCGCGCTTATAACACCTACGGTCCAGCTGAGAACGCTGTCGTTTCTACCATGAGGCGCTTCTATGGTAAGAGTCGCGACGATGCCAAAGCTGCTAATGTGGGTTTCCCTCTGAACCCATGCACAGCCTACGTTATGCGCGAGGTCGGTACAGCGGAGGGCACTAACCGATGGGAACTTGTCCCACGTTACGGCGTCGGTGAATTGGCTTTGGGTGGCGCGCAGGTCGGCAAGGGATATCTTGCTAACGAAGCCAAGACGACAAAGGCTTTCATCCAGGGTGGACCTGGTATCGATGAGCGCATTTATCTGACTGGTGATCTCGTCCGTTTGAATGACCATGGCTTCGAGTTCCTCGGTCGCAACGATGATCTTGTCAAGATCACTGGCATTCGTATCGAGTTGAGTGAGATCAGCGCTGCATGCGCGAGTCTGAAGGATGATGATGCGGCAATTGAGCATGTCGAGACTCTGTACCTCCAGCGACCAGGAGCGCCGGCCGAGAACAACAACAAGGTTGTTGTCACGTTTGTGTCTGTCAAGGCTGCAAATGTCGACACTGCGAAGATCAGGACACGGGTGTTTAAGAGGGCGAAGGATATGCTACCCTCTTACATGGTTCCTGGCCATGTTGTCGTTTTGGATACGACTATGCCTAGAACCGCATCGAACAAGGTGGATCGAAAGGCGCTGCAGGCCATCTATGCAGAGTCGGACCTAAACATCTTGGCTGGCAGAGATGACACTGTCGGATCGCAAAGCCAAGGGCCTACCCAGGCGCGACAACAGTGGACGACGGAACAGCTCACCATCCTCAAGACCATTGTGTCCAACTTCAATATCGCAATTGAGAACCTTTCACCTGAAGACAGTTTGGCAGGCCTGGGTTTGAGCTCTCTCCAGGTTACCAAGTTAGCTTGGCTGTTGAGACGAGAGCTCAAATGTCAAGTTGGAGTTCTTGATCTCATGAGTTGCGAATCTCTGGGCGAATTAGTCAACATCACTTTGAGCCGCATGCCCAAAACTACTCAGCCACAGACCAGCGACACGAAGCCTGCCGAGACCTCGTGGATTGCCCCCATCAAGGAAGCGCTCACATCCAACATCAAAGGCAATTTGCGACCAAGCGACACAACGTCCATTCTACCTGCCACACCAATGCAGGAGTCCCTCATCGTCGAGACTATGCTCGAACCGCAAGCTTATTGGGCTCATCGCGTGTTTGACCTGAGTCACCTGGATGAAGTTGACGGCCGCCAATTGAAGAGAGCTTGGATTGCAGTTGCCAAGCGCTTCGACATTCTTCGAACAATCTTTGTTCCTCTCACACAACTCGACGTCGACAAGAGCGATAACACTGTCAGCTGGGCGAAGGAATTGGGTGTTCAGTCTACGATTCTTCAACTTATTCGAGACAAACCAACAGTTCGCTGGACTCAGATCTCCAGTGAGCAGAGCCAGACTCTCAATGACGTGGCTAGGATGCTACAGGCGGAGCTTTCTCCTACTACGACCATCGAGCCGCCTTGGGCTGTTACCTTTGCTAAAGAGTCGAACAAGATGATGCTCAGTATGCATCACGCCCTCTACGACGCTGTCGCATCAGACATGTTCCTCGAGGCCGTGTCCAAATTCTACAATATGGAACCTTTGGAAGATCTAGGCAAGGTTGCGCAATTCGACAGAGGCCTTAACTTGGGCTTATTACCTACTCCTGTGAAGAGAGATAAAGCGACGACACTTTGGAACCGTCGTCTGGAAGACCTGAGCAAGACGGTTTCTGGAGGCATGCTAAACGCTCCTCTCCCAGACCTGACGCAGTCTCGACAGAAGCAGACTCAGAAGATCCTCCTTGCCAAACAAGATGTTCCGACTTCTCTATTGGACTCTAATTTGGGTGTGTCTCTTCCAACCTTGCTTCAATCAGCCTTTGGTTGCGTTTTGGCCTCGTACCTCGAACTGGACTCTGTCATCCTCGGCCACACCGTTTCCCAAAGAGCTTTGCATCCCGATCTCGAGAATGTGGTTGGTCCTGCCATTGCTACTTTGCCTCTCATTGTTCGCTCAAACGCGTCTTCGGCTGAGGAGTTGTGGAAGGACATGACCCGCGAGTCAGGGGAGTTGTTCAAGACAACACACAATCTTCATCCTGTTGATGTGAAGAAGATGCTCAATCGGGGAAGTGGTAGTGGAAATGCTCCCTTTCCAGGTCTTTTCGTGTACCACCCCGCATCTGATAACAATGACAGTGACTCTGCTAGGCACATGTTCAAGGAAGTGGGACAGGCGCTTTCACTCAATGTTGAGCATCCTCTTGCCTTGAACGTGTTCGAAGGCGACAAGTCAATTGAACTCACCGGCAATGGACGCCGCATCTCTCAATTGCAACTTGAACTCATGCTGGATCAAGTTCTGGAGCAAGCGCGGGCAATGATTGAAGCTTCACAGGTCCCGCTGTCGCAGCTACAGAACAGAATGGGAGGACGTCTTCTGTCCACCAGTGGCACTATTTCCACAATCGACAACACCTCATCAAACCCGACCGACAGTGTCGCTTTACACGCTTCTCAGCACCCCGATTGGATCGCAGCTGAGGAAGTCATCTTCCAGTCCTCCGATGAGGACGAAGAGATTGTCACCAAAACTGCTACATATGCCCAGCTGGATCAGCTCACGAATGCCATCGTTACGAAGCTCGCGCAACATGAAGCCAATATCCAGCCTGATGATCCAGTGGCCATGTGCTTGGGCAGAGACATCAAGTCGCTGGCAGTTACTCTGGCCATCTTCCGCGCTGGTTTCATCTATCTTCCTGTCGACGAAGATCTGCCTTCTGCTAGGAAGCAGCTTCTCATTCGCGACGCGGGTGCCAAACTGGTCATTACCACGGAGGAGCTTGTCGGCGACATTGACCTTGACGCTAGTGATGATGCCCCGGTTCTCAAACTCCCGGATGGACAGGGCGACATCGATGAGATACTCTCTTGGCCTGTATCTGAGCACCGCTTCCAGGCTGGCGATGGAGGTTACCTACTCTACACATCCGGCTCAACAGGTCGTCCCAAGGGTGTTCGAGTCTCGAACAGCAACCTCTGTCACTTTATCTCTGCCTTCAGCAATCGCCTTATTGAACATTCTCCAGTAACAGCGAAGCTAGGTAGTGTTGGAAAGTACCTCAACCTCACGTCACGAGCCTTCGATCCTCATCTGACACAGCTCTTCGTGCCATGGCATCTCGGCCACCGAGTCGTCATTGGCAAAGACCGCACATCAATGATGGCGAACCTGAAGGAGCTCATCAATGAGTTGAACATAACCCATTTTGGATCTGTTCCTTCAGTCTTGACTCAATTGCGATTGAGACCTGAGGATGTACCCTCGGTACGAGTCGTCACTACAGGTGGTGAGAAGGCATCTAACGAGCTTCTCAACACATGGGCGCAAGACACAGGGGCAGGCGATGACAGAGCTGTGCTCTTCAACTTTTACGGCCCAACAGAGGTCACCATCGGATGTCTTGGTCATCCAGTCAATCACAACTCCAACGCGCGCAACCTTGGTCTTCCGCTCCAAGGCCTGGAGGCTTTCCTTCTTTGTCCTAGCTCTTCTTCCGATGACCTTATCGTTGCGATAAGAGGCCAGCCAGGTGAACTATGTATCGCCGGTCCCCAAGTCGCAACGGGCTACCTCAACCGTCCTGTGGAAGACGCCAAGAGCTTCCAGATCGTTTCCATCCTGGGAAGCACCAAGAGAGTCTACAGGACGGGTGACATGATGCGCATGATGAACGATGGATCGCTTGAGTTTTTGGGAAGAGCTGATCAACAAACCAAGATCCGTGGTCAGCGACTTGAACTGGATGAGGTTGTCGGTTTCTTCAAGCAAGTTGCTGGCGACGCAGGTGACTTGGACTTTGCTGCCGCGGTCGCTTCTACTGGCGATGGCTCAACTCAGCAGCAACAGCTTTTAGGCTTTGTCGCCAAGAAGGGAAGTAACCAAGAAGTTGGGCTCTTGTACGATTATGACCTCGAGGGAGCCTCGCTATTGGAGACAATTGAGCAAGAGTGCCAGGCCAAACTCCCAGCGTTCATGGTTCCCACTATGGTTTGGGTTACCAAGATTCCCTACCTGGCTGCGTCTGGCAAAGTTGACACCAAGCTCTTGGGGCGATTGGCAAGCGACTTCTTGGCTAGACAGCGAGATGAAGAATTTGAGAATCAAATCGGACAGAGTCTGATCACCGGTGATGATCTCAGTCCAGAAGAGTCACTCGTCGTCACTGCCATCGAAGAATCTGTGGGTGTCAGTGTAAAAGCCACTCCACACAGCAGCATCCACCGACTTGGCATTGACAGTCTGTCTGCTGTGAACTTGGTGACTCTTCTGCGAAAACGAGGCTTTTCTCAATTGAAGATGACACATATCCTCACAACTTCGTGCACGGTTAGGGATGTTGCCAGACTCGCCGATCACGCCGCGTCAACAGACAGTACTCCGATTGCGACACCCACGTCTACAGACGATCAACATGAGATGCTGCACAGCTTCAAGACTCTAACTGTGGGAGACCTTGGGCTACTTCCGGAGGGCCTCGATACCAACAACATCGAGGTTGTACTGCCCTGCCTTCCTCTCCAATCCGCGCTCATCGCTCGCTCTTTGGTGTGGCTCAGCGCTTATGATGGAGTTTCAGATGCACATGATGTACCCTATGTTGCCCAGTTCAATTACCGTCTTCATCCCGACACCGATATAGCCAGGTGGAAAGCGGCGGCGGAGCAAGTTCTCACTTCGGAAGCCATGTTGAGGACGTGCTTCATCCAGCGAGATGAGGACGGTCAGATCTTCCAAGTCGTTCTTCGATCCCCGCCTATCTCGCCTCTACAGGACACTCAACCTACCGATATTGTAGCTCAGATGCACGTGCAGCCTCCGGTCAGATTGCTCGTTATGGAGAGCCCCGATGGAGCGACTGTCTCTCTCAAGATCCACCACGCACTTTTCGATGGTGTTGCTATCGACTCCCTCAAACACAAACTCGAGCAAGCCTACAATGATCCAAGCTTTGCATACTCCACTTCATTCTATACCATGAATACCCTCTCAAACATTTCCCGTCACTGCAGCTTGACGGGCGATCAATTGGAAACCACAAAGCGCTCTTGGCAAGCAGAATTGAGCAATGTTCAACCATGTCGTGTTGGATCTATGGACGACAATAACACGAGCGGTTCAATGGCTCGCTCGACAATCTGCCTGGGTTACACAACTTCTGAGCTTAATGCCAAGCTCAAGTCGGGATCCGACGCAGCAATCTCAACTTCTTCCGCGTTCCAATTGGCAACCAGCCTCTGTCTTGCTCATCTCACTCAACAGCCATCCGTCATCTATGGATTTGTCATGTCTCTTCGACCACTACTCGACCACGTCGCCGATGGCGTTGATACTCTCGTCGCGCCATGCCTCAACACATTGATCCGAACCCTCACTCTCCACGGCCAGGACGAGACTCTTCCCCAGCTTGCACAGAGAGTTCACAAAGGTCACCTCGATGTCTGCCAAGGCACCATGCCACTCGTCAGTGTCGACAAGGTCCAGCGCTGGTCTGGATGTGAAGACAAGTTGTTCGACAGTCTTCTCAGCATCAACGTCATTCCCGCCTGCGATGAAGAGGAGCCGAAGTCAGGACACATGACTGCCTTGCCGACTTCCAGCAGCAGCGACATGGCTCTTGCAATTGATGTCGACATTCATACCGACGGAAAGATAGAGCTTACCCTTTCTTCCGCTGGTGCTTTGAACGAGAAGCAATTGGGCGATGTCGGCCGGATATTTGAGAAGGTTCTATACAGCTGTGTGAATAGTGATGTCAAGATCTCGGATATTGTACCCATGCTGCCTCCAGTGAAGGCTCCTTCGTCAATCAACAACAAGGGCGCTGGTAGTGACAGTCCCGAACTGAACATGACTGATGCGGATTACCAGAGAGCGTTGGCCAATGTACGAGAGACGATCAGTCGCCTCCTCCGTCTCAACATCTCTGAAGTATCCTCTAAACCAGAGTCGACTTCTTTGTACCAACTCGGCCTCGACTCCATCACAGTCCTTCCCTTCGTGAAGCAGATCAACAAGTCTAACAAGACCAGGTTGTCATCGCATGGTGTCATCAAGGCTCGTACTATCAAGGGAGTCGCAGAACTTCTACGAGATGCTAGGGCTAAGCAGGCTTCAACTACTGCTCATAACGCTCAAGCATCGGTCGCGAAGCCAGACATCAACACATTGAGCGACGGAGATGTTTACGACAGGACCCTCGCTCGTCTAGCCAAGGACTTGATGTTCATCGCGACACCCCTCCAAGAAGGCATGCTCAGCGCATCGCTGGCCACGGGTGGCAATGCATACACCTATGTTCATGCCATTCAACTGTCCGACTCTGCTCTTCAAGGCGACACTCCCGACCTCGACCATTTCTTCGCTGCCGTCAAAGACACGGTAATGGCCTGCGAGATTCTCCGAACTCGGTTCATGTTAACCGAAGACGATGAATCGCCATGGGTCGGTATCGTTTCTCCAACTGACCAGAGTGATCTTGCTAGTTGGGAAGTCAAGTCATCGCCCCGTGGTAGGGTTCATCTGCGAATCCACCATGCCCTCTACGACGCCACCTCCATCCACGCAGTCTGGCACATCTTGGAGGAGACCTATCTCAGACGCCTCAAGGGCGAGAGTGTTCAAACGCAAAGCTCGTCGAAGCGTTTGTTCCGTCCTTTTGCAAAGACTGTTGCTTCTTCTCAGAAGTCATCAGTTGCATTTTGGACTGATGCTGTCCGAGATTACACCTACACACCACTCGACTTCCCCACCAACGAGCTCAAGGCATCGTCTGCTTTCCGTTTCTCTCTAGACGAGCAGGACCTTTCGCTTCTTCATTCCATGTGCAAACAGCTCGGTGTCACCATCAAGGCGGCACTCCAATTGGCATGGGTCAAGGTCCTCTGCGAGTCGCTTTACCACCAAGCCGATGTGGTTTACGGTGAGGTTGTGTCCACTGATGCGGACGATGATGTCGCCATTGTCGGCCCCACAATCAACACTCTTCCTATGAGAGTCAAGTTTGGAGCTACGGGCGATGCTATCACTGTGTCTCAGGCTTTGAGTCTTGTGCAAAAGCAGATCGACTCTGCGCGCGGCACCAACTCAATGGTATCATTGAGAAAGGTCCAGACGCAGTGGCGATCAAACCAACAGGGACAGACTTCAGCTGGTCTCTTCCAGAGCCTTTTCGTGTTTGATGGTATGATCGGTTCCGCCGGTACTGCTGACGAGTCATCGCGACTGTTCAAGCCAGCAGAGACCGACTCTGCAGACTCGGCTGGTCCAGCCTATGATGACTATCCTTTCATTGTCAGCTTTCATATCAAGGACAACAAGCTGAACGGCAAATTGAGAGCGAAAATGTCGGCGACGGAGGTCAATAGTATTGGTGAACAATTGTCCGCTTCTCTAAAGTATGTGCTGCAAGGATCGGACTCGCCCGCTATTGACACCAAGCACCTTCGCGTGGTACCCAAGGCCGTGTCCGCAAAGCCAAACGCCGATACAGTCGAGTTTGCGGACTTGAACGGTTTGACCCCAACAGCAGATGCAGTCCTTAAGGTCGTTGAAAAGGTTATTGGTACTAGGCGTGGAGGTAAGAAGATTGGTTATGACACCAAATTGATCAGTGTTGGTCTCGATTCAATCTTGGCTATTCGGTTGTCAAAGCTTTTGAAGGATCAGGTTGGATTGAGTGTGAGTGTGTTTGAGATTATGAAGGGTGCCAGTGTTCGGGATATTACCACACGTTCATCTTCAAGTGGAAAGGCGTCGGTTAAGAGGGAGGTAAGGTTATCAACAGTGGATGAGGGACTCAAGGCGCCGATGACCAAGGCTCTCGGTACATCAGAGAGCCTGATCAAGTCTGTTCTACCAGCTTTGCCTGGCCAGCGATCGCATTTGGAGCAGTGGGTACACAATGGCAAGAGGTTCTTCCAGCCACCGTGGGTGTACCGAGTCGACGACTCTTTCACCAAGGACAAGGTGTCCAATTCCTGGACTGAACTTGTCCGCACTCACGATGTTCTTCGAACTACCTTTGTGTGCAGTGAGAATGCCGGAGCTCTCTTCCAGGTGACTCTCGATGAGAAGTGGTCACCGCAGAAGAGCTTCGCTATCATTCGGGAGTCATCGAAGACGATCGAGGCCTTGATCAATAATCATGTTGCCGAGGAAAATATCAGGGTGTCTGACATGAAGAGCCCTGCAGCTCGGTTGTCATTCTTGGAAGCTTCTGATGGCAACGCAATTGTGGTAAGACTGCACCATGCGCTATACGACGGATGGAGTATCAAAATGATAGAGAAGGACTTGAATCAGCTTTTGGCGTCGGGCAGGATTAAGGCATCTCGGCCATCACTGCAGAACACTGTTCAGCAGATGAAAGACATCAGAAGTCCTGATGCCGAGAGCACCTATTGGAAGCAGTACTTGTCGCGCGCCGAAGAGACCATCTTCGGCGCTTCTGATACTACACCATCGCCTTTGGGTTCACAGTTCAAAGCGACTTTCCCAGCCAACATCTCTCAGGCAGCGATTGACCTGCTTTCTCAAAAGAGTCAATCGCAGACTTCCACAGCCATCATCCTCGCTTACGCGAAGACTCTTCAGCACATGGCACAGAAGACACAGCCCACTTTTGGTCTCAATCATGCGTCAAGATCTCTCTCATCATCGGATGGAACGCAAACCCTCGATTTAACGGGTGCAAGTGTACCAACACTTACTGTTACACCCTTGTCAGTAGACTTGACCGCATCATTGGAGAGTCAACTTGAGTTCATTCAGGATCATCTCGCACAGCTTACATGCTTTGCTCAAGCGGATGGTCTATCCAAGATCAGTCCCAGGTTCAACTCGTACCTTAACATCATTCACCGTACCGGTACCACCGAATTCAATGCCAACGATGGTGGAGCTTTGCAACGATACAGACTTCCAGAGCCTCTAGCGTCAAGCTATTTCACAACTACGGAGCCTTCATCAATTGTGTCTGTAGTCGATCAGCTCGACACGAGCCATTTGTGCGCGCACAGGCTATTCTTCAATGTTATTGTAAGCCAGAGCGAGGATATCAAGATTACTCTCAGTGCGGATGAGGCGATTTGGGGTGGAGATCACGGCATGATTGAGAATTTGGTGCGATGCTTTGGCGATAGACTGGAGGAAGTAGTGAAGGAGTTGGATTAGATAGATTCTTTCATATTCTTGTATTTTTTCTTACATTTTCTTGTGGACTATGCTTTAAGTAAGCAGAGATAAAAACTATGCGAGTTAGAATTGGAATTATTTAATTAAGTTATACATATTTACAACAATTGAGGTTTTTTGTTTCTCACCATACCTCATTATGAAGTTCAATGCGACGCCTAATAAACTCATTCGGCTTCTGAGCAAGGCTCTTCTTGTTGCATGTACACTTGTCTATGTATAAGTTCTACTCATCAGGTACTCTTACACTTCATCTACGCCTTGTTCAAAATGTCTAAGATTACTTCGATGTAGGATTCTAGCTGGAAGTTTGCGGTACGACTTGTGAATTGTGTTGCCTGTCCTGTCTTACAACAAAAGTTGATCGGCTTCCGTAGCTCAGTTGGTTAGAGCGTCGTACTAATACTTCAATCTGAATATTCAGTGATGCGAAGGTCTCAGGTTCAAGCCCTGGCGGGAGCAAAGTCTCTCAGTGCCTATCAACTATCTTTTTGCATCTGTCGACGATCTTGGTGATACAGTTTGGTGCTTCAAAGCACTTGAGTCATGGCGCATTCTGTTTAGACGTGTTTGTGCACGGTGTATGTTTATTTGAGCCGAGCTAATAGACATCAAAGCCTAATTTTGGCGCCGGAAACATGTTTACAGTGGCCGGCAGCCCTGACACTAAAGTTCTGTTTTGTCGGCGTATAGGATGTGAATTGTATCAGACAAACAAATATAAGCAGTAGTTCAAATGAGCTACCTGGTAATTAAAACATGCTGGAATTCCCGAAGTATAACTCGATCTTAAAGTTGTCTACTCCGTAGGATTGTTGGTGCTAATTGATCGTTGTAAAGTCCGGAATGATGGATGTCAACAAGACAGCGAACCGGGAATTAGTCAGTGCCATGCCACTACTAAACGTAAAACGACCACTCTGTGTCAAGGGAAATCGCTGAATCTATTTTCGGTTTGAAGAAGCCATTACGAGTGAGTCACCAGGAAATAACGAGGTAATTCGTTCCAAAGCTATTCTTCCAGGGTAACAGACACAGATGGCTGCTCCAATTCTAATGGTGGCGCTCGGGTCCGGGGTCCCATGGGGGTTTGATCCGCGTTACCATGGGACAAAGGCACTCTTTCGCTATCTTTTTTCGGTGGAATGATGTACTAGTTTCAGTTAGGGATCAAGTATCGGCCCCACGGAGAAGCGGAATCACTATGAATCATTTTCGACAATACCCAAACTGGACTAGCACAATCATTTCGACTCACTTCAATCGACTAATTAGGCTACTCATTTTCGATGGCCTTACTTTTTTGACTCTATTGGTGGTTGACCCCAGGAGTACTTAAGTGTTTGAGATGTCCTGCAAACTACCATTTTCATTCAGTAGCAAATCAAGCCATCTAATAGAGTTTTATATCCCACTCTCTTCAACAGTTCTATCAACAACTTCTCGACTTATCTAATCCCTCCAACTTCATGCTAGGAGCAACCACTACCACTGCCACAAGCACTGCAACCATGACCACCCTATCAACACCACCCAACGTCCCCGAGGACACCACACCTTTGAATCAGGACATCATGGAATCAACCAAAGAACCAGAACAAGTCGCCTCATTTACACCCGGTCAATGTCTCTTTTGTCCTACATCATCACCTACTCTCGAGGAGGGCATGATCCACATGCAAAAATCACACGGCCTATTTGTACCACAGCAAGAACATCTCACCGTCGATCTTGAGACCTTTTTCAGATATTTGCACCTCGTTATTTTTAATTACCGAGAATGTCTTTACTGCGAAACATCGCGGTCCACAGTTCAAGCCGTTCAGCAACATATGATGGGCAAAGGCCATTGCAAGTTTGACGTCTCAGAAGACTCAGAGTTTGCCGACTTTTACGATTTTTATCAGAATGAAGATGAGCTATCAGAGGGTTCTGTAAATGAAGATGGCAGCAAGAAGGAGTCCGATCACAAGCCATTGCAAATAGACCAGGACTCGATGAGATTGCCATCCGGAAGACTTATTTCGAAGAAGTCATCAGCCCAGGCAGAGCCTTCTTCTATCTTTCAAACGCGCCGTCGACTACGTACAGCATTACCACAGCTGGAATATGTACCAGCAGGTAGCGATGATGAGGCTGATACAAGCAACGAAGTCTCTACTCCGGACACACAAGTGTTGACCAGACGCGAAAGACGACAAAAGGCTACTGCTGCACATCAACTAGCGAACATGAGCGCCGGTGACCGCACTGCTCTCATGCATCTATCTTCAGCTGAACAGCGCGCGCTTATCACTACAAATCATAAATTTACAGAAAAGGTCAAGAAGGAGGAAGCTCGAAGTCAGCGAAGACTTGATAGAAAAGGAAACAAGAACCTGTATGCTTATTGGAACACTGAAACACCAGTGTATCAGTGTGGTTAGAGAAGGTGGATTGTTAGTCTATTGTCAGTGATTATAGGGGAAATTTGAAAAACTAGCGATAGAGCATAGTTACGCAGCTTTAATCTATGTCTTTGGCTTCTGAAACCTTGACCCTATCCTCCACTCTATTCATGAATATTTACACAGAGACCAAGAAATCAAGATATCCGACCACCAAATGGGGTTAATCCAACATATGCATAGCTTGTGCCTGGTACTGTCCTAGACAAGGGACCATAGATACTCAGCCACGGGATCCTTCCAAAGCAATAAACACTCAGTCGCTTCATCGTTTGTCCCAAAGGGTACCTGGGAAAACATAGCGTGGGCTTCCCAACCTTTGGTCAATCCAATACTGACTACACTAGATAGCAGGGCCGGTAGTATAGCGAACCCGAGTAGAGAAACACACATGACCATGAACATACCTAATATGAAATAGAAGCTGAAAAACATAGCACCCAAAATGATAATGGCTGGCCTAGCTATCCAGGGATGTTTTCTATCCAAATCGGTAAAGGTACTGCTGGGAAGGCGTGAAAGAATCTTTGCGGCTGCTGTCCAGAGGCTGATCAACATGGCTGCAAGAAGATAGAATGTCCAGACCGAAACATGAAGGCCAAGCGGCTCGGTGGAAATCTCATAAATAAGAATAGAGAGATATGTCACATGTCCCAGCCATATCATCTCGCCTTGGTATGTCGAAAAAAAGACGCATAAAAGCCATGTTGCTGCTGTCGTTTCTGGCACATATTCAGATATGTATAACGGCAAGTACCATTTAGGACAACGTCTTCCATCACCACGACAGAAGATGATGATTTGCTCTGGCGCTGGACTGTTCTCTTGGGTATACGGGGTCAGAGGAGCTTCAGCAAAGCCCGGTAGTCTGAGCGCCAGAAAGATGGACATGACTGTGAGTGTAGCGCCACCAACGGCCAACTCAAACGTTCGGTGATCAACGATGGAGAGAGACTCCCAGCCATAGAGGTTCCACCTTCGCCTGTATAAAAAGATGGTCGCCACGAACTGGAAGAGCGTCCCAGACATGACTAGTAGTCTCCCCAGATTCAACCAAGCTCCCCCGGGCTTAGAACGATAGTCATCATCTCCCTTTAGTCTAGGTGTTGGTTTCCTTGCAAACAAAAGACTCCAGTGGCGCGCATAAATGCTCATATGAGTGGGCCAAGATTTGGGTGATCTGAGCATACTTTCAATAAGATGGCAGTGGATGGTGACCAGACCAAGAGCTGTTTGGAAGACGACGATAAATGGGGAGAGGAGGAATAGTACTGGTTCGATGGTGTCTAGACGCTCATTGCGGAGAGATTGAAGGTGACAGAAGGCGACAACTGCAGTGAGATGGGCGACAATCAACTTGACGACCAGCTCTTTGGCACCGCGAGTTTCGCCCTCGGGACAATTTTCGGGTCCATCCATTGTAGCAAACAAAATAATAAAAATATTCTAGAAGCAGAAGGGAAGTATAGTTAGAGTTGAGATAGAGGCATTTATCGTAAGCTTTGCGGCTGAGGCTTGGCTGTTTCAACGGCCAAATCAGGTCAACCGTTAGGCTGTTTACAGGGCTGACAGCCTTTATCATGCGATGGACCAGTAACATTCGATGTAATCAGCGCCAAGGACCCGTGAGAAATGCCCTGGAATTATTAGCTTCAATCTCTCAGGAACAAGATCAATTGTCAGCGCGTTTCTCGATAGGGCTGACTCATCTCGTATTCGCATCCGATTAAACTGATAAACTAGCTTCGATCAAAAACATCTGACTGACGATGCTGACCGATATTCCTATCTTTTGTTGAGAAAAGTCTTACCTTTCTCATCACTCTCAATTCACCTTGTGAACGGGAGCAAGATGGACTCTCTTTACGAGAATTTGAGGGCGCTACCCCTCTCCATCTCAATCCCTCTAACTACCAGCATCATCATCGTCTTGTCCGTCGTCACCAACGTGGTTCGACAATTATGGTTTCCCAACCCGCATCGTCCACCGGTCGTATTCCACATCTTCCCCTTGATCGGCAGCACTGTTCAATATGGTATTGATCCGTATGCCTTTTTCTTCGACTGCAGAGAAAAATACGGAGATTGTTTTACCTTTATCCTGCTTGGCAAATCGACGACTGTCTTTCTTGGACCCAAGGGCAATGACTTTATCCTCAACGGCAAACATGCTGATTTGAATGCCGAGGACGTTTATGGAAAGCTTACGACGCCTGTGTTTGGCGAGGAGGTTGTGTACGACTGCTCCAATGCACGCTTCATGGATCAAAAGAGGGTATGTAATCCCCATCCTACACTTGAATCATCTAACTTGGCTTCCTGTGTAGCTTCTCAAGCTTGGTCTTACCGCAGAGTCTTTACGGTGCTACATCCCAAAGTTCGTCAAGGAAGTTGAAGACTACGTCAAAACGTCACCATACTTCAAGGGCGACACAGGAATCGTCAACATCACAGAAGTCATGGCCGAGATCACAATCTACACAGCGTCTGGATCCCTTCTAGGAAATGAAGTCCGCTCCATGTTTGACAGCACGTTTGCAACTCTTTACCGTCATCTCGATGACGGCTTCCAGCCTATCAACTTTGTCATGCCAGGTCTTCCCCTTCCGCAAAACTTCCGTCGAGATCACGCACGGAAGGTCATAGAGAAGCTTTTCAGCGATATCATTGCCAAGCGTCGCGAGACTGGTAATCAAGGTGACGAGACGGATATGGTTTGGACGCTTATGAATGCGACGTATAAGGATGGTCAACCTCTTCCCGATCATCACGCCGCTCGAATGTTGATAGCCATCCTCATGGGTGGTCAGCATAACACGGCTGCTAGTGGTGCTTGGCTTCTTCTCAACCTGGCCCATAAGCCTCATCTGGTTCAAGAGCTGTACGATGAACAGGTCCAAGTTCTTGGATCTCCACAAGAGCCTCTGACATGGGAGAACTTACAGAAGCTGACTCTCAATGGCCAAGTCATCAAGGAAACTCTCCGTCTTCACAGTCCGATCCACTCAATCCTTCGACAAGTTAAATCGCCCATGCGAGTACCTGGCACTGAATGGGTAGTGCCTCCATCCCATACCCTCCTTGCGTCTCCCGGAACAATGGCCCGATCAGAAGAATTCTTCCCTCGACCTTCGGAATGGGATCCTCACCGATGGGACAAGATCGAACCACCTGAGAAAACCGCAGATGATGGACAGACAGTTGATTACGGCTTTGGAATGATGAGCAAATCCGTCAGCAGCCCTTATCTGCCTTTTGGAGCAGGACGACATCGATGTGTTGGTGAGAACTATGCTTACGCACAGCTGGGTGCCATTATTGCGACGTTTGTGAGGCTACTTCACATCGAACAGCCTGATCCCAAGGCTCCCCTTCCGGCACCGGATTACTCTGTAAATTTACCTTGCCTGATGATGAGTGTTTGCTAACGAGGCTTAGTCAATGTTTTCTCGACCTATGAACCCTGCTGAGATCCGATGGCGTCGACGTGAGATAATGGAATGACGGATGTATAGATTGAGGTGTTAGCTTAAAGTAAAGCACGACTAATAATACGACCTTGGAATTTTGAAACCTCTAGGCCCTGACCGTGATACTAATCGTGTATGATGAGAAACAAGGAGTGGTGTGTCTCTTTCTACATCAAAAAGAAGAGACTAACAGACACTATATAGACTAAACTGGGTCTTGTAGCACCCCAATTCAGTCTGGAGCGCAAAAATATGATCATGCTGGGGATCGAACCCAGAATCTTCTGATTCGTAGTCAGACGCCTTGCCATTGGGCCACACGACCGTTGCTAATTGTTGAAAGGCGGCTTTCGAAATCGTTCCTGTGAAGCCAAAGATAGAAAATTCACGACACTTTTTGTTGTCTCTCCACCCAATTAGCCATGACCCGAGACGGGTGTGAAGGTCTGGAGTCTCATTCATTTGCATGAAGACGAGACGAATGACTCAAGATGCTGATTCAATGTTTAATCACAAGTTCTCATATGTAAATACACACTCCAGTAAGGAGTGTATCTTCTCTCTGAAGAGTATCATTAGAATATCGTATTGTTGTATCAATTGCTATGCCAGTGTAAAAGCTTTTCGCCTCGACTTTGCCTCCATCTATTCGTCGCTTCCAACATCTCCGGACAACCCTGAAGCAACCACCCCCATTTCCGAAGAAACAACGGCGAAGCCTCCCAAGAATGCGGAAGTGAAGCATCCCCCCATACAATCAAACTCGGCTTCTCAGTATTCATCAAATTAACTTCTGCCACATCCTCACAAAGTTCCCCATCGTCCAAAATTTCTGCATCTGTCGCTAGGATAGCATTGTCTCTAAACTTGGGAAAGGGAAATATGTCCAGCCAAGGATGATGAAGGACAGTCTTTTGCACTGGCGTGGGCTCCAAGGCCTTTGGTGGGTTGTAAGAGGATGGCCATGGCCCACTTTGGTTAAATGGTGATATCGCTTCATCCATGCACATGCGTTCGCGATCAAACCCCATCAATGTAGCATTCTTGGCGATGGCTATAGTGACGTTTAATGTGATGAGGATTGGCAGTTGTGAGATGCGTGGGGCATTCATTACGTAGTCTAGATAAGCCATACTTGCGAGAGCGAATACTCTTTGACTGATATCTGGACTGTCGAATATCTCGCATGTTTCTATAATAGCTTGCATCATGGCGTTTGGAGATCTTTGTAAGGTGGTGTCTTCTGGCCGGTTTGATGTAGTTGGTGAGTCGGCCTTGGCGGCAATCCTAGCTTTCTCAAGCTTCTGTCGCTTTCTGAGATCTTCAATGTAGGTATATGTAAGCATACATACCAATCGTACAAATGGGTTCACTTACATTGCGATCTTTTGTTCAGTCGGTTCTGCAACTTTCGTCTTTCGGCAGTGCTAGTGACCCCTGTCCAATCCTCGCCAGCCTTTTGGACCAGGAGCTGCTGGGTCATAGGCTCAACCACAATTTGTTGCGGAGCAGCCATTACTTCCTGCAGGTTTCGAAATGACGAATGATTTCACTTTTGCGATACTACTAAAGGAAACAAAAGAACCTGTTAAGAAAGTATGAGGTCGGGTTTTGAATGCAGGTTGCTGATAGTTAATTGATGCCGGCAGCGTCATCTCTCCAGCCCACTTTATCAGCAGGTTGCATTAGCGCTGACTGAAATGAGCTTAGCAGGCGACGTGCTTAATCTTATTGGTTGAAGTGAAGACGGCCGAGGAATGCTCCGATTTTCACGCCGATGTGAATAGCGTCTATGTACGTACCTACATATCATCATGTTGCATGGTTGGGTACCGTATGAGAAGTGTTCATAATAACAATACAAGACGATATATATTACACGATGTCCATATAAACCAAGGTTGACAAGATACGATTGCTAAGTATTGACATTTGTCAAAATTCCAGTTCCAATTTCCCGTTATGCCTCCCTACCAGATCTCCGGGCCTGTCAATTGTGACATTGATTTCAATAGAGATCAACTGGCAGGAAAGACCGTAATTATCACTGGAGGTCAGTTGGAAGATGATTCCCGATTTCAACTCTAACATTTTGCAGGCGCCAGTGGTATTGGAGAAGCATATGCACGAGCACTACACAAAGCAGGGCATGTTGTACCACTCAATTATCGATTTCATTCACTGACAGATTTACCAGTGCTGTGATCGTCATCGGCGATAAGAATTCTACTTCGGGAGAGAAGCTTGCTAGCGACTTAGCAGGCTCCAAGTTTGTCCAATGTGATGCAACCGAGTGGGAAGACCAAATTCGTCTCTTCAAGGAAGCAGCTCAGTTCTCGTCCTCTGGAAAGATCAGCTATGTGGTAGCTAATGCTGGTATGACCAAAACCGACCAAACCTTCACATTCGATGGTAAGGCTGTCAGCTAGTGAACCCGATCTCATTCAAGCCGCTGACTTGAGCAGGGCTTGGAAAGGAACCCCAGAAGCCTGACTTGCAGATCATCGATGTGAATCTCAAAGGCACACTCTACACGGCTAAGCTCGCCATGCACTACTTTGTATCTCAAAACGGGACCGAGCCACAGAAAGATCAAGAAGATACATGTTTGATTCTTATCAGCTCTGGCGCTGGTTTTGTTGATGTCCCCAGAGGTCCAGAGTATAGCAGCACAAAGTGGGCAGTCCGCGGAATCATGCATGCACTACGAAGAACAGCGTTTTACTACAGTAGCCGTGTCAACGTCATTGCACCTTGGTGAGTCGAGCTTCGGCGTCCTTATTGCCCCTCTTTTTAATTCGGGTCTTGTCAGGTATATACGGACTAGTATCCTGTCCAGGGAGCAGTTTGATGAAGTTGAACGTTCAGGTGTGGAGCTCGCAACCTCTGAAGATGCGGGCGACTGTGCATTGCGAATCTTGAGTGATACGAGTATCAATGGGCGGACTCTCTTTGTTTGTGCCCGCAAATGGGCTCCAAGTGGGTACATCGACCTCGATATCGAAGATTATCCTGATAGCTCGTTGCTGCAGGAGATCCAGGAGGACCAGATGAGAAATGCGCCTGTCGAGCTGGGGTTATTTCCATAGTGATAGACGTTGAAAGATTACTCGTTGAGTTGTGGAATGTTAGTTTAAACCTATGTCAGATAAAGCCGTTGTTTTGGCCGTTATCGTGGAGCATAACTTGTACATGCAAAGTCGTTTGGTCAGCTATACAAACTTCGCTGTGCCGGCACATACCTACTTCGATGCCAAATCGCAGCGGCGTAAGCCACATGGTGAAACTGGTGAAAAAGAAACGCCTGTGACGAAATGAAGGCAAGTTAGTTGAACAGATTAACATGGAAGGAAAGGGTCACAAAGTCGGCAGACTTTTCGAGATGCAGCATCGCAACGCAGGCAACAAAATATGAGGATTGAAGAAACAATGTTACAGAAAGAGTCTTTGCATTAATTTTACTAAATGCGTGCTCTTAGAGCGGGTAATGACTGTCAGACACATATCTTCTACGGTAAAATGTGTCCCAAAACTGAGCTGGTTGAAAGTAAAGGGTCCTGGGAGGATCAAGCCTCTCCATAAGCCTTATCACAGGCTTTTTTCCCAAAAAGGTGCTTTCACAGAAACACCGAGAGGTCAGGAGTATCCCAGGGGATCTCAATATCAACAGCCTCAGCAACAAGCTTCTCAAGAGCAGGAAGCTTGTCGAGACGGTACTTGGTGGCAACGTACTCGTGTCCAAAGCCAAGCATGCACTGGAACAGCTTGCCGAGGGGAGTAATGCCGTTTCGCTCACCAATGCCCAGGACGGTAGTGTCGATGTGGGTGGCGCCAGCTTCAAGAGCGGTGTAAGCGTTGGAAGTGGCGCAACCAGTGTCGTTGTGGAAGTGAGTTTCAATGTCACATCCAATAACCTGGCGCAGCGTAGAGACCTTGTCATAGACCTCACGCCAAGAGGCGCCTCCAACGGTGTCGGCGATTCCCACGCGGTGAGCACCGAGACGGTCCATGAGAGAGTACAGCTTGATGATCTCGCTAAAGTCGGAGCGGAAAGAGTCTTCACCCGAGAAGCGGACCTCGAGGCCGTGGGCTTGGGTGAACTCGATGACCTCCTTGGCCTTTTCGGCAATCCAATTGAGGTCCTTTCCGTGGGAGTGCTTCATGAGCTGAGCCGAAGTGCCGATGCACATGTTGATTCCATCGACGCCTGTTTCAACGGCGAGGCGAGCGTCGTCCATATTGCATCGAATGTGGACCAGGATCTTTGCCTTGAGACCCATCTTGCAGATGGCTTGGGCATCGGCCTTAGACTGGGGGGAGGAAGCAGGTGACGTCAATTCGAGCTGTATATGTTAGCTGAGGGTTCAATCGTCTTTGTGTTTGGTCGTGCTCACGTATTCAACACCAATGTCGTCAAGGGCCTTTGCGATCTTCATCTTGGTCTCAGTGTTGAAGTAGGCAGTTGCAAACTGCTCGCCCTCGCGCAGGGTGGTGTCGATGATCTTGAAGTTGGAAAGACTACCAGAGCTTCGCATGGAAGTCGCTACAGAGGCAGCAGTGCCGTTGAGACTGGCAAGACTGTCGCCAAGGGAGCTTGCATCATCAGATTCGTTATCGTTTTCGTTCTCGTAGGTCTCGACGTCTGTTAGGGCGGCTTCCAGGGCTGAAGAATGTTAGTTTGATGCAGTAGATATAGGTATTGGCTGTGCATACTGATGCCATTGTCGACTCTCTGAGCCTCAGCAACCCCACCTCCCCCATGGGCACCAGAGCTGCTGCTGCTGGCGCCCTGGCCCATGGTGTGGCTAGTATGGTGACCCACGCTATTCGCTCCGCTGCTATTGTCGCCGCTGTTGCTACTAGCAGCACCTTCGCCCATGGTGTGGCTGGTGTGGTGGGAGATGGGGTTGTTGTACTGCATTGTGTCTGCCTTAGCATTCAATCGATGCAGAGTATTTGAGTATGTGTGTTATTCTGTTCTGGTAATGTGTGCTTGTGATGATAAGAGAAGTGGAGGTGAGAGAGGCGGCTAAGATGGACTTATGTACCGCTGGTGGAATGGAAAAAAAACTACCCTTAGTCAGGAACTTGATGTCACCAAGTGACTCAAGAAAAAACTGGCCGAAGGTCGGATCTAGATTGTGAGGCCCCTCTATAAGGCGGGGTATGCATAGAAATCAAAGGTTTTCACTGGGTAAAGAGTCCTCGCTTAAGCATAGTCTCTAGATCAAGCTAGATTGATTAACATGGCTTCGACTTGTTCCACTCATGACGAAGCGGAATAGCGGCAACTAAGCCGCCTCATAAATAACTAAGCATACGTAGCCAATCACTTAATGACGTCTTTAGCAAAAATGTCAAAGAGTAAAGAGGTTGGTTGCGTTGGTGAGACATACAGACACCCGACCATCCATCACTAGGCATTTCACCGACATTGTCTCTGATTGTCATCGTGCATTGTCCAAGTGTAGGGTAGAATCTCCTGTCGGTCGTAAAAAGTGCGATGGTTGTGCTTTGAGCGTCCTACAGCCTCATCCTGTTTGTATCTGTCGTCAAGACTTGGGATATCAGAGCCAGATGGGTGGCAAGTAAAGAAATCTTTGCAGCTGTTGTCCATTCTCCCGCAGATATGCGTATGACGGCTGCGGTCATATCAACGAACAGAACAAGCATGACAAGCGGAAAGTCATCCATGGCTGAAGAATAGTGCTGAGTATTTGGATAAACAATTGATTCAAAAGATAGATAAACCCAAATGCTCAGGCTATGAAGAGCACTATTTATATCTTGAGGTTGTTCAGTCGGCCCGTGGCTGTGGAATTTAGTTACATGTTGGTCCTTGGATGTTGGTTGATGGCTGATTTGATGGTAGTAAACACAGGGGTTATATGGAGCAACCCGGATACCACGGCTTTTGTTATTCGCATGTGATGCTATCTTCGAGCCAGATAATCATGAATCTTCCCTTCCTCTCATTTCGGTCGTCATATCTTTTCAGGCACCTCTATAGCTGAAGACTTGACGATAAATTGAATATCCCCAAAGGTGCTTACTTGGATGAACCAGTTTGCAATTTACGTGCTATAATTAAATGATAATTCCAGTGTCGCCAGACTTCAAGCTCTGACGTTTCCCTTTATCAGCCTAGTCCCGGCAGTTTAATCGGAAAAGCGGCACGGCAACGACCAACACAATGCAGGGGTTGGGTCCATCAGAGACTTCTTGGACAAACTTGCCAGCGACTGATCTATCATGAGTTACTTTGAGTATGTCAATATTGCTTTGGTATTGCAAGTCAATCTTTCCACGCACTTGTTTGAAATGTAAGACGGGGGGTTGTCAGGGTTTAGTTGCATGTTTAACTTTTATTGTTGGTATTTGTAAGCTTTACTAGATGATATGAAAGAACAAACCCAATGTCATTCATTACCTATCATCCTCCTCCTCGGTAATACAATACGCTTGAACCTCAGCAATACACGTCCTCGCTCCAGGTGTAACCGCAATGGGGAAACCACCATAGTCAGGATCATCATTAGGCATCATCATAAACTCTCCATGCCTTGTCTCATCTCCGTTGAGAACCCTGAGAGTTTGCAAGTTTCCATTCTCATCGACCTCTTTCTCCCATCCTTGGAGGATACCACCAAACGTAGCTCCCTCACGAGCTGCCTTGAATCGTGCATGGAAGCCCCGACCAACAAGAAGGAACTTGGAGTTACCCAAGTGGATGACCATACCACCACCGGGACCGGGCTTTCCGAAGACGAAGCATCGCTCGACAATAACTTCGATATCTCCGAATACTCGAGTCCATTTCTCGGGTTTCTTCTCGCTTGGCTCGTCGTCGAAGAAGAAACCGAAGCGGTCTTTGGGCGCGGCATCAAGAAGATATTGCTTGGTCTGGTCGAGAAGCTTGAACTCACGACCGATCACATCAGAGCCTGTGTCAATACCGAATGGACTAGCACCGAGAGCGCCGTAAGTAGCATATGCCAACCACACTCGTCGTGCTCCGTACTCATCGCGGCGCTGCTCCGGGATGAATAGTGTGTTGCCTTGCTCTGTGTAGTTACGGCATACAGTCTCATAGTCGTGGAAATACAAGTCTGGCGCGAGTAAGTCTAGGGCAGGTGTGTTGTATCGCCAGATATCCAAGACGTGAGGGCAAGGGCCACCTGAAGGGTAAACACCAGGGCTGTCGCCACCACCGACCACGACTGGTGCACCTCCAGAAAAGTCCAGCTCTGATGAGCTTTCGATGTTGAGCCATGTGTTTGTGTACAAGGGGATGGGGTACTCCTTCTTTCCAGCTGCAGCAACTCTTCCTACGTAAGAAGAGATGAGGTGTGCCATGAAGGCTTCATCTGCAGCGGTTCCACGACCGAAGAGAGACTCCCATGTGTAGGTTTCTGATGAAGAGACACTGGGGATGCGCTTCTTGAATCTGGGATGGGTATCGACTTGGCTGAGGTGCTGAACAAGATCAGCGGGAATAGGCTCAGCAAAGGCTTTGTTGGCTCTCTGCGATCTATCGCGAGAATCTCCCAAGACTCCTGTCTCGTTCTGAACTTGTACCATGAGAACAGTTTGGTGTTGAGAGTCAACCTCCCGGAGGTGGCGCAGGAGGGCTGCAAAAGCCTTGGAATCAGCTTCGCAAGCGGCGTCGCATAGAGGAGTGATCATCTCGAGTGTTCTCTTGACACCTCCAGCCTCCATAACCTGAACTCTGGGGAATCGCTTGGGATCTGTCCTGACCCATGTTGGAGTATATGTGGAAAGTCCGTTCTTGTATGTTCCAAACCAAAGCAGAACGAGGTGCATGTTGTGCTGTCTGGCGCCTTCGAGCACCCGGTCAAGCTCACTGAAGTCAAACTCGCCCTCTTTGGGCTCAATCATTTCCCATGTTATTGAGCCGAGTAATGTGTTGACACGGTCAGCCTTCATCGCAGGCCAGACTTCGCTCATGAACTTTGCAGAGCTCAGTGAGGAATTGTGAAGCTCGCCGGGCAGCATGAGAAAGGGCTTGCCCTTGACAATGAGCTGGGCTGAGCCATTGTCTGATGTTTTGATGTGAGGATGCGAGGGAATTTGTGTGGCTGTCATGATTATTGATGATCAGGTCTGATGTGCAAGAACAAAGTCAATAGTATGAATGATAAAAGTTGATTCAAATAGCCTTCAATAATCCTTGGATTTGGAGGTGGTGGAGATCGTGGGGTAAAAGGCTCGTATGATGGTCTCGGACTTATTTCGCATCAATGTCGATCGAGTCAGCTGCCCACCTTCGGCGAAATACTACCCCAGCTTTCTTATTTCTCTCCACCATTTCGCTATGAATCCGGAATAGAGTATTAAACTCTCAGTGGGGGAAGATCAACTTCTCCAATTCCCTGCCAACAGTCTAGATCATCTAGTTTCCTTAGTAGCCGTTCCAATTTAGTCCTCGCAGCCTCCATTTCCAATTGACCAACGTTATTCCCAAGCTGAGTCTGTTCAAGAAAAGCGGCTCCAATGTCCCGGATCTTGGGGACTAAGCTACTGCCATTCGCGTCAAAGACAGCATGTGGCAAGTGATATAGAATCTCTAGTAGATCGTCCACTATTCTCTGATGTTCTTGAGCGCTCTCGTTGGTTGGGCCGAATTTTTGCAGAATATTTGATCGGATATTGAGGCTTGTCACGAATAGATTGGCGATTTGAACATCATGTCCTTCTGTGACATGTTTGGGACGAGATAAACCGCCGCGCCATCGAAGCTCGGGCGGAAGATTATCTAGAACGTCCTGCACCTTGGCCAAATACCTCATGATGCAAGTCTGGGGTTCCGTTGTTTGGGGATTTTGCTGTACTTGCTGCCAGATGAGGAAAAGGTCGCTCAACGAGTTAAGCCCAGGGACATAGGATGTGTCATCACCATGCCATGCTGAGTCTTGATCATGCTCACTAGTGTTTATGCATTGAGGCTCCATCTGATCATCTGTCAAAGGAAGAGGTCGGGGAAAGCTCTCCATCCGATCCTGACTGAGCAGACTGATGGGGAGCCTCCCGAAGATATCCGCGCTGCATGCGCTAGCAAACAATAACCATATGAGTCTTCTTAGAAGCTGTTGTTCAACTTCGTCGTGCTCGTGTGTATGATAGTATGCTAAATAGCGTGCGCCAGCAGCTGCTTCGCTCAAAGCGTGATAGGAGCGCATGCTGCCCAAGCCTGATTTCGCCGTAGCGCTCATGGCTGTACCCATGTTGTACAACGCGATGCATCTGTTGATGCTGAATGAGTCTCGAGCGAATCGACTTTTTAACAGCCCATGGGCATCAAGGAAGTCGACGCAATAGTCAACGGTGATTTGGCCATAATCATGCCGTGGTAGCGTGGCTTTGGTAGCCGCACAAACACTAATGACAAGACCGCAGAATTCCGCGTCTGTGTTAGCGAGGCCTTGACCGAGCTGTCGGAGAAACCGACGTCGGAGTAAGGTCGGAGCCAGAGGGTGGATCACATGGAACCAGTCTCCGAGGAGGCGCAGGATGGTTGATTCGGGAGCAAACGCGGATAACCAGCCAGTTGGTACTGAAGGGCTGTGAAGTGATATGTCGCTACTCTGGCCTGGCGATATTGAAACATTGACAGGAGAAGTAGCGAGACTTTGGGCTTTTTGCACATGTCTTCAACGGGTCAGCACGTCTTCTTCATCTTACAATGGCCAGACCGACTGTTGAACCGACCTGTTTGGAGGTCCTCTCTTTCTCCTCGGCCGGACATGGGTACATTCTACATCGAGAGTCTCACAACCACGACATCTCTGATGATCCGACTCATAGGTGCACTGTCCAAAAATGGTGTCAGTAAAGAGCTTGATACGACCTGAACCTGGGGTATTGTGGATCTCATACCCGAACTTTCCTTGCTCGGCAGAGATCGCAAGCTGTTTGATTGCGGGGTTTAATGCCTGAAGAAACGGTTATAGAATCGGCAACAACGCTGTCAGAAACGTTTGCCATGATGGCATGGATCACTGCGGGATAACAAGGTGGAGAGTCAGGTTCGGATGCACAAGGAGAATTATCGGATCACCTCCTCCTTTTTAGACGCCTCTGTATGGACTACTTCGCAGAAATATCGGATATACCTGACTAGTCTACCAAGCCTTAATCGGCATGGCCAGAACAAAGTCTGGAGGGGCTGTCCAATAGCGATGTGGGCCATTCTCTATCAGGTTAAGATACTCTAGAATCCCTGCTTTCCCCATGGGGAGAGACAAAAACCTAGAGAGAAAAACTGGTGTGAGTAGCGTTCTCCAACTTGAAATGCTTGTCACGAGACTAGTTCCATGGTTCGACATGTATGGTTGGTTCCACTTCGTGCATCAGAGAGTCGCATGTTCTGAGTATATAATATATCGAGTGGAGGACGACCTTGAATGGAAGAGATCATCAGGTCTTCATCTACTCCCGCTTCCATCATCATCAATAGGGGAAAGCGAGAGAGCGACAAACTTTGCCCAGCATGACTTCAAAGGAGACTCAAGTCGAAATCTCTCACGACGACCATGTCCCTCAAAGCAACCCATTGCCCTTCTGGAAACAGACTGAGCTGAGGAAACTATACTTTATGATGATCTTTCTCTTCATGGGTTCAACGACTCTCGGCTATGATTCGAGTCTGCTGAATGGTCTTCAGACAATGGGCTCTTGGCAACAATGTGAGTCGATTGATGCTTCACCCCCATAATTACATGACTGACACATACAAACACAGTCTTTGATAACCCCGAAGGAAGTCGTCTTGGTATCTTTGGCGCGATGCCCGGTTTCGGCGGTCTCTTCGTCCTACTATTCGCTCCGTACGTCGCCGACGGCCTCGGTCGTAAAAAGGGTACAGCTGTCGGCTGCATAACTGTCATCATCGGCGCCTTGATGCAATGCTTTCCCCAAAAGGGCCACGGCCCGCGACGCGATGCTCTATACCTAGTCGGCCGATTCATCATGGGCTGCGGTTCCAACATCTCCAACGCGACATGCCCGCTGCTAATTACCGAGATCTCCCACCCCCGCCACCGAGGCAAGATCACAACTATCTACAACACTCTGTGGTATCTTGGAAGCATCATCGCAGCTTGGGTGTGCTTCGGAACCCTGAGGAACCAAACTGGCACTATCCAGTGGGTTCTTCCCACAGGATTGCAGTGTCTCATGCCTGGTATTCAGCTTCTTGCCATTTTTATTGTTCCCGAGAGCCCTCGATGGCTGATCAGCAAGGGTCGCGAAGAGGAGGCCCGCCAGATCCTTGTCAAGTACCACGGCAACGGAAAAGACGATGACGAGTTTGTCAGGTGGGAGTATACCGAGATTGTCAACACCATCAGACTTGAGCGCGAAGGCTCTAGTGATGGTTGGGCTGAGCTTTGGCGTACTCCTGGTAACCGAAAGCGATGTGGTTTGATCATTGCTACAGCAATTTTCTCTCAATGCAGTGGTAACGGACTTGTTTCGTACTATGTAAGTTTTCATGATAAGTTACACGGCTCATAGCAGCACTAACCTTGTTTTCCTACCAGCTGGCTGCCATTCTGAAAACCATTGGTATTACCGAGTAAGTCACTTTGCCTAATCCACATGACCGATAGATACTAACATAATCCAGTGCTGTAACCCAAGCCTACATCAACGGTGGCCTCACAATCTGGTGCTGGCTTGTTTCACTCTTCGCCGCCTTCTTTGTCGATCGCGTTGGACGCCGAGTTCTCTTCCTCTTCGCGGGTGTCGGCATGTTGATTTCCTTCACCATCTGGACTGCATGCAGTGCCGTCTATGCAAAGACTGAGTCCTCTGCTGCTGGTATCGCTGTCGTGGCCATGATCTTCCTTTTCTACGGAGTTGCAGGTGCCGCATGGCCTGGTCTGACCGTGTCTTACACCGTCGAGATTCTGCCCTACAACATCCGAGCCAAGGGTCTCACGCTCTGCTTCTGCTTTACTGCTCTGTCTGGAGTATTTAACCAATGGGTCAACCCACTTGGTCTTCAGCAGTTGGCTTGGAAGTTTTACTTCGTCTACATTGTTATGTAAGTATTGGTCAAATCACAGTGCCTCATGATAGAAGCTAACGTAACATCAGCCTGGTCATCGAATGTCTGGTCATCTACTTCTTTTTTGTCGAGACAAAGGGCCCCACTCTTGAGGAGATTGCCATGTTGTTCGACGGAGAAAATGCGGCTGCTGGCATTGCTAAGACCCAGGCTCAAATGAAGAGTGAAGTGAGCCAGGTTGAACATGCTTAGAGTGGCTCCCTTGCCTAGTGTAGGGCTGAAGGGATCGGGTGTTCCAACATTATATGGTACACTTGGCCATGAATGTCACATCACTCCAGAATAATACCCACGCATGGATTGCCATAGTACATCAATGAAATCTTATCTTTAATACGCTACAACGTTGATGTAAAGTCGCGCCATGTATTCAACGACAAAGAAACGATTCGAAGCACTTTGAGCATTGTGAACCAGTTAAGTAATCGTGATACCAGGTAGAATTTTTATACATAATGTACATAAACTATTAAAATCTTGTAACCCCATAACCCACCCAGACATAGTAAAATTTGTTGTAAAGCGTTCTCATGAGTCGCATTGTGTAGGTATCATGCCTCCCATCTCAAAAAGCCGTTTTCATATTCATTCTTCAGTTTTGTTCGTACAATCCGTCTAAGCCTTTAGCTTGGACACCGCCCTGTATCGGCTTGGTAGACCAACATTGCTTCGCTCCGCTGGGGGAATGGACTGGGCATATCCTCCATATGCTGGTAGAGAAGGCTTCTGCATAGCAGCCATGCTTCCACTCGTTCCTGGTCTTTGAGGAATGCTTCCCCATGAGGTCTTAGGCTTGTGCTGCGCGCCGTAAATGGCAGTTTGCATGAATTGCATCTGCTCTTGGATACCGTGGGGAACCTGGTGTTGCATGTGGTGCTGCATAGGCATGCCTGAAAGTGAAGTTTGGGATGCTGAAGCTTGGTGCATTCCATAAGGTGAAGCCATATAAGGGTTGGGCATGCCTGAAAGCGAGGACTGGGATCTCGAAGCTTGTTGCATTCCGTAGATTGATCCGTTGGACATGCCGAATCCTGTGTCAGGAGGACCTGTGAGGCTCACGCTCGGTGTTCCCCCTCGTCGCGATGCCTTGGCTCGCTCCTCTTGAGCAATAACACCGATCAATCCGCCATTAAACATGGGCTTCTTCTCATTGAAAGGGTCTTGGTAAGGGTCTGCAAATGGATCTTGGGGGAGGTTTGATGCGAAAGATGGTAGTCGGAGATGTGAGCCGCCGTTGTTTTGTCCTTGTGATGAACCAGGTCTCATAAGATATTGCTGTGAAGATGCGCGCAAGTTGGGGTTTGATCGCACGCCTGACAATCTTGATGCTTGATCGCCTTTAGCTTTGGACTTGAGCATGGCAAGGGGAATGTCGTCGTCATCATCACTGTCGGTGATATCCATCCAAGGGCCTTTGAGAGAAGGAATTCGTGTGTGCTCAACCGCTGGTTGTCCAGTGGTAGTCTTCATCATTTTTTGTCGGTAAGTAGCAAGATGCGCCTCCTGACGCCTTCTTTGGTCGTTTGGCTTGGCGACTTTGTCATCGTCAGAGTCATAATTGATGTTATCATCTTCATCCTCGCTGTCGCTGGCTTGTCTCTCTGATCTCTCTTGAGCTTTTTGTTTCTGGTAGGTCTCCAGCTGTGCTTGTGTCATGACGTTGCCGCCAGGGGATCCAGGGGCTGATGGCATGATGGGCTTGCTATACGAGAGTGAGACTGATAATGTGACAAAGAAGTGGAGCTGAGAAGAAGGGGGCAGTGTTTGCGGTGAGAGAGCTGGATAATAGAAAGTGAGGCTATAGTTAGTTGAGAAGAATAAGAAGAGTTAAGTTTAAACAAGGACAACCTCGTGATAAATACGTATAAATAAAGATCAAAGTGTGCTTTGACGACGCGTTGTTGTCCTTTTGTATGACAGGTTTTAGAACAAAAAAGGTGGAAGAAGTACCGGGGGGCGGGCCAGCAGGGGTTTCATGCCCCTGTATTAAATCAGGTACGGAGTAGTAGCCCGCTAACTAACGTCAGATAAATTACATAATTAGGCAGGGTTCTCTGTCCAAGCAACTGGGTAGGGTGCCCGTCTGACATGCGCTAAGTCAAGCCTGAAGCTTGCAGAAAAAGGGCTATGGCTTTGGTGGCTTGAGTAGACAGAGAGAGAGGCTGGCTGTTTATTTGTATGTATTTGCATTTGCATAAATAGTCTGTGATTGAACAGCAGCTTGCTTGAAATGTGGCTTGTTTATTTATCGCCTTCTCGTGCTGGCGCTCGTCGGAAGCGCCGGGTTTCGTCTAGCGCTTGGGGCCTTGCTTTTGCTGGCTGCTGGAGAGTCAGTCGCTCGGTCCATGGTAAGATTCGGCCAGACCGTTACATTGACGCCTTGAGGCTTAAGTGGCCCGTCCCCTTTCTTTTATCCCGGCCGGCTTCATCCCAATTCATTCTCGCTTGACACGGCAGTCAAGCTAGAGTAGACACTTTTAGAACAGTTGTTATTGGATTACTCTGAAGTAAACAAACAGCTTCCTTTTTGATCAATGAATCTTTGGTTCAATGTGCTGCAAGTGTCGTCTGTCATATTGATACCTCCTTTCATACTCGGCAGTTAATCCCAAACAAGACATTCAGCTTACAACTTGCATACTTGGCAACGTCTATTAAAAGGACGACACGTCTCCACGCAATTGGACCGGGCTATCCTGTCCAATACAACCAAAGTTCCGCTGTCCCTCTCCGACTTTGCCAAAACCTCGTATACCTAAAATCGGTCTCAACTAATTTTCCGCTAATCGCCTAGTCCCCGTCCCCACTGAGCAAGGGCTGATAACTGGGCTGGGCTATTATTTTTGAAGTCTGGAACCTTGAAGCGAAAAAAGCTTCTCCCCTTTTTTTCCTCGTCAAGCCCTTCTATTTATATCCACTACAACATTCCCATGCCTTTAGATCTAAACTACTTCAATCGATCTTCATCCTGTCTTTCCATTCCAATATTAATGGTGACATTCGCTTGTTCTTGGCCTTCTTTAAATATGTCATGTGGTCCTTGAATCCCCAGGCCTCTCAGGGCCAATTTGCTGATCTTTGTCAAGATTTTCAGCTCCCTGACTCTACTTATCGATAAGATTTCATGACGTAGTGTTCTTTTGCCCACCCTATACCAGCAACTATTTTGAGTACCTAAATAAAGTATCTATATGAGAAATCATTGAATGAGTTATATCCTTCTGTAGATTAGCTATGTGAAAACGTTACTCTACTAAACTCGTGATGTTATCATCCTATGATATTAACCTAGATACCTCGAAAGCTTGGTCACATCGATCTCTTTACAAAACATATTTTCGCACGCGCTGACTGATGGCGATGGCTAAGTTGGAGGCAAGAATCATTCCACCGTCAAAAAACCACAATATCTTGTAGCTTGATAACTAATTTCCACGTTCAAGAAATACATGAGTTCATTTTTATCGCGAAACCGCTTTATTACGATAATCCCGGTACATTTAGACTCTCTTCACAGTGGACAGGAATCTCAACGTAGGATCAGCACATGAGCTTCACCCGCTGCGATCTAGCCAATACTTATTTAATTCTATTTGTTGCAACCATGGGCAATAATGATGACTTTGACATCCAGGTGTTTGATCAGCTCGAAATGGACGAAACTTGTGTCGCCTCAAAGTTCAGTGTTACAGGTGTTGGTTCAGGAGGAGGTGATCAGACCACGTACCTCATTGATGTTGATATTGAGAAATTTCTGATTCTTTAACCCAAGATTGCTCACATTTGCCAACAATTTTTACAAAAAATGGTGATCCCACTTCGCTGATTGTCATGCCATTCATATTCCGATCAAAAAACAATAATCGTCGTGTCAAGCGAGCAAGCATTAACACGACCTTTTCTGATGGGACCGATTTCATAGAATGACCAGAAGTTAGGGAGATATGCCACTTTGGTGAGTTCCTTTTGTACCTTATAGAAAGAACCGAGGAACTCAGTCATGATTTGAAGCCTTTTATCGTATGTTCATCAATGATAACCTACCTTGCGCGCGTTGCTTATTTCAAGTTGTTTTTCGTGATAACAATTTAATAAAGAGTGAAATCTTTCAATTGTTCCAAGAAGCAATCGTGATAAGAAGGAAGGCCTCTCTCGCAAGGTAAATCACCGCGACCACATCAACCGTAGCCGATGTTCAAAAGGTGATGTTTGGGAAGCAGAACAAGGGTGAGGATATCTGTTTCGACTCAGGCCCTAGTGGTGCCGATGTCGCCTAAAATGCCAAGCACTTATGCGATGAAAATCATGGCAGGTTCATAAGGCTTGCGACCATCTGGCTTGTTCTCGGCTTTCCAAGTTCTATTAATCCAATCTCCGATTATGACACTCATCCGCCACCGAGAGAGGTTTAAGTTAGCGAACAGACTATCAATCAGAAAGAAATGATGGATACGCAGGTATCTGATTCTCTAACTTCCAAGCATACAGATCACATTGCGTCCAATGTTGCAACCGAAGTCGACTCATCGACAGCTCAATAGGGTCAGGGCTGAGATATACAATCTTATATATTCTTGAATTTAAATGCTATTTTATAACAGTAGTGATAAGTAAGATGATTTGATCATATCACCATCCTCGGACATGCCACCTCTATCTCATCCGTCAAGTCTAATTCTATGAATGACCCCATGGTTCCACCAGCAGATGACTGTATCTGACTCAACGCATTTGTAAAATCGACGCTTATAAAAACCCAATACAGTGATAGAAACGCTTCTAGTCCGATCGATAATAACGAATTATTGAGCGCGAGGTAGAAGATGCAGGTGTTTAGCCTGAGGAACGTCTTGTCAGTATGTAACATGCCGATGGGGAAAGAAGTTTACTTACGGACAGCTTAGCAGTTATACCAGCAAACATCATTTGGGCTGTTGGGAACAGTACAATCTCCGTTAGGGCAGCCCTCACTGCACAGACGAGGTGGGTTGTAAAGACATCTGTTGGCTTCTACTGCGTGGAAGCCAGCAGCAAGCAAAACGAAAAGAGTAGTAAGTTGGAACTGCATTTTTGGCAAATGGTGAGACTGTACAATAAAGGGCACGAAATAGAAGTCGTCAGTAATGAGTAAGTTACAGGACTTTTATATACAAAAACCCAGTATGTCGGAACGTAATGTCATGTTTCATGTCGTATTGGCGAGGATAGATGCAAAAACCTTAAACTACGAGTTGAGATGCTGATTTATGGAAAATTTTCGATCACATAGAATGGCCTTTGATAAAGTTTCTTGCTCCCAGATCTAGCAGGGTTTGACATGGCAGGTCGAAACCTTAAATCCATTACACCGCTCTACAGCCAGTAGACTTGTATAAGAACAGCTTCTCAGTAAAGGCAATAAATCGTCGGTGCTATGGAACAAAGGCAGAGTTGGCACGTCAGTAGTATCTTGGCACAACCCAAGCTATCCAGCTTGAATTAGTTCTTAATCGAGAATTATCCTAGATGTGCACTGAATATCGGAGAGAACGCATAGGCACCGACAGTCCGGCACTAAATTAGATATCTTATGAGCCTCCACTTTAAACGTCAAACATTTCCAAATTCACTCTCCTTCAGAATCACTTCTCCACCTTTGCCAACAAATGTCTTCCGTTCATTCCGCTTCAATTTGACTCATGTCTCCTGATCCAACCTCTGTCTATTGACCGCAACTTTCGGTAACTTGTTGCCCTGTTGATCTTCAGCTGAACCCCCACCAGCTATCGATAGCATAGAAAGAGTAGATCGCTCCTACCAGACATGTTGACCTTTCTCTACCTCATCGTTATATGCATCGTGCTGAACACTATGCAGTAATGCACATGCAATTCGAGATAGACTAATGTCTAGGAAGCCAGCACCTTAGAACACCTACTTGAAGCATCATAAAGTAGTAACATTGAATAGATCCATCATCCAACTCGCTTCCACAACCCGTGCGTTTACTCTCGGCTTAGCATCCAGTCAATATGCCTCATGATCGACAGCGTCCGTCCCCCGTTTTCTGGACTATCTATGTCTATATGACACGCCTTTCTTGGCAGTCCAATGATTATTTGGAGTTTGTCTAACCTTTTTTCTTTCATGGGAGCCTAAAATTGTAATCAATATCAATAGCCAAAGAAGCGAAGTGGTTAACTTGCATCTTTTTTTGTCATTCTTTCTCCGGATAGTAAACTTCTTGCACTGAGGGCAATACTTTGCACCTGACATCCAATCGCGTAGCCGTATATAAAGAGGGCAAGAAATACATGCAAAATGTTTCTTGCATCCTGAGATTTGACAAACAGGGTGGTCGGGGGGATAGTATAGGCACATGTTGCAAGCAGGATATCTCTTCTTGTAGTAGTGCCGCTTCTTGCGATGCCATTGAAAATTGTATTTCACGATCCTTCCTCTGGCGCCTTTGCATCCCTCTTCACCGCGCCTGCAGGGATGATCGGCATAGAAACAGATCGGGGGAACATCTGGTGTAGATCCAAGTTGATTGATATTCGAGAGATCTGGTTTGTTGGGGAGGAGAGGCTTTGCAAGGTAATGCATATCGCGACATGTCAATGAAAAGCAGACAAGATCGTTTTCGAAACATTGTTTCATGATCTCAAGTTGAATCTCTGGGGGGGATTTGTGAAAGATGGTAAACAGCTCTTCTGTCATTGGAGTTGACATGATGAGATTGGGACTGGGGAACGGGCTTGTTAGGTACAACCGGGGTTGAAGTGAAGATGATGAGGAAAGGAAGTTTCATGAGAATAAAGACGTCGTGTTATTACTATGACTTTCATCAGCAACAGGGATTAGGCATATAGTAAGCCGGGCAAATTGACTGACAGCTTGGTGTTCCGGTATTTCTTTGGTCTGAAGGAAGAAGTGGGCAGCTTAGCAGTGCTTTGTATTGTGTGATAATAAGGTTGCTCTATAAGCACTAACTTTTATAACAAAGTTACAAGGAGAAGGAAAATGTCATCATTGGACTTTGGAAGTCCCTCTTAGGCAGCATCATGCCGGTTGTCACGTGTCTAACGTTGAACGTTCACTCTACCTGATTGACTATGTCACTTTTATTCATGAGCACATAGATTGATAGTCTGCGCTGATGGAAAGGCGATTTCAAGTTTCCCCTCATACTTTGTCAGTATTCTGGTTATTCTATTACTGATTGGCCTCATCGTGACCTTGCATAACTTCGACTCAGACAACCGCGCTGGGTACGAAGCTGGAAAGTGGATGGAATTGTATGTTGTCTACTGGTATACTTCTACAGATTATTCAAGTCTTCCTCTAATAAGGCAACAATACCAGAATAGAAGTTGTGCTGGAATTCTTCATTCTGCACATCACACGCCTGCGCTTTGAACCCGACATCCAGACATCTTCGGACTGCACTTCCGTAAGTAGAACTAGCCTGACATATTTCGTCTACAAGGCGCTGTGCAGTCATGAAATCCGACAAAGCACTGAGCTCACTGCCGAGTTCTTCCTTCGCCAATCGAAGGGACTCAATCCTCTGCCCTTTGATCAGCTCAACGAGCAAGACTCCAATAGGTAATAATTTGGGTGTAGGTATCATCGCCTTTCGGCCGCCACCATCTTGACAAGTCTTCTCAGCTTTGAGAAAAGCCTTGCTGTAGTCGATGACATCTCGCGTTTTGACAAAGACAATGTTTTGGCTCCGAGGTAACTCCAGCATCCATGGAGTTCTGTATAAGTGCAGCACGCTTGTTGCGATAAAAACTGCAAGCTGCAGCCTTTGTCTGTATGTAAAAAGATGGTATCCGTCCTCGTTATGGAGTACCTCGTACAGTGAGACTGTTGAGTACTGAGTTTCTGATGGAAGTACAGAAGAGCTGTAAACGTTATATGTTCGTTTTTGCCCTGCCAAATTATCTGTGATGGCTCCTAGACATACAGGACTGATGCTTGGTTTAGCTTTACTGCATATATTGTGGCATGGCTGGGTCTTTGATGGGTTGACATTTGTTTTCCCCATAGATACAGACGCCATTCCGTTGGTGAGTGATGATGTAGCTGTGTCTGACACAGTAGTTGATGATGAGAATCGAGACATCGAGAACCGGACAGATCTGTCCTTCTTCCCACCTTTGGGCTTAGGCGAGGGTGGAATGGGGAGAGGAACAGATATCTGAGGTGTCCTTGGCAAGTTTGGGACTACTCTTAATAGCCATCCCTCCCATTCATGTTTGCCGATCTTGAGTGACTGAGATGTGCCTTCCCATAGGTGGTGGGCGAGCAATAGATCAGTGTGGTGGTCTTGTATGATCTCATCCTCCTCGCTGTAACTTGGTTTGTCGACGCCTCCTGATAGTCTCATAGACATTTGATGCTCACGGCTGCATTTGAGATTCGACTCAACAGCCCTGTATATGCTGGCAACAACAGTGCGTAGAACACTGAGGAGCTTGACACGAGATCTCACCCGTCTTTTGGGTTCTAGTTCAATGTTCATTGTCGCTAGTGATTCCAAATTTGTTATACCGTCCCGGATAGTCGTTAGATGTTCAGAGTATTCCGAACGGCTCAGGGCAAATGCTATACGCTTAAGCTCCTTGCCTGCGAGAGTCATATCTGACCAAGATGTCTAAGAGCCTTGTCAGAACCGCGATGGGACCATAACTAAGCCACGTACCTCGCTCCCATGTCCAAGCTTGTCGTACATTCCCTCAGTAGCTGTCTGAATGTCTCTCAAGGTCCGTTCAAAAACGTCGCATGACTTCCAAAGTCTGGTCCGGATTGCCTTTTGCGTTTCTTTTTTGGTCCACAAATCGCCTCCTGGATTTTCTACCATTGCATCGATGAGTGAAGGTGGAACAATGCCGTCAAGGAGCTTCTCGCAGACATTTTGCAGCTTGACTTGTTCAGTTTCAAGATTTCTGATCAGCCTTTGTAACTCTCGCTCGTATCTTCTGTATCTCTGTATCAATGAAACACCATTCTTATAGTGCTCTAGAGTTGAGATCACCAGAGGGATACTTCCTAGCACAATCCCCGCTACCTCAAGGCCAGACATAGCTCAATTAACCAGTTGGATTATAAAAAGATGCAGGATGTTGATGAGGCTGAAAAAACCATGTCAGAGCGGGGTTTGGTATGTGTGGATGGTCAGCCTGTATCAGCATGGGTACGTTGAAAATGCCGCAATACAGCCAATAGACCCATGGCAATGCTAGTCTAAACATGTTGATAGCCGACTGGGTAAGCCAGGTCTCTCCTCCCTTGTCATGTAGATAATCTCACTTACCACAACAATATGGAAGAAAGCATTCCTGACTCTGTACGACAATGCCTCGATGAGTTCAACACCATACGAGAGGCAGAATTTCCAGGGACCGGTGCGTCTGACCTGAAAGCTACACTTGGGATTGGCGAGGAAGAAGCTCGCTTCAAGGTCTGGTCTGGAAACATTGGTGCACACAATTCGGGACGACGATCGCTCCAGTACCGTCTTCGAGATGCGTCCCATTTGCAAAAGCAAGTAAAGTCTCTTCTCAGCGAGCTTTTAGGGCTCTTGAGGGACGCTTTTCTTATCTTGTCTGGGGAAAGAATCCCCTGGGATCGTGTCGAAGATGTAGATACCATTCCACTGGACATTGGTTCTGATTCCGATTCCGATTTTGATCAGATACCTGACACAGAGATGGCACAAATCGCACAGAATGTTTCAGACGTTATCAATTGTCTGTTGCGTCTGAGCGTTGCAATCAGAAACCCGGCTCCGCACGATCGTTTCGCAGCATCTGTTCCCGTCGAAGCGTCGCATTATGAACCTTTTGATATCCAGCATGTCAAAGACAAATTTGGCGAGATCGAACCATTCCTCGCTGATAGATTGGGAAAGGCTATATCGCGGAGGAGACAATACTTTAAGTATCGTGAAAGCCATCATGCGAAGCTAAAACAGGGCCTCGATTCTCTGGAACAGAATGATGCAGAGAGCACCGTGGCGAGTTCTCTGCCTCTACAAGCAAAAGCCGCCGGCTTTAATCTCGAAGCGATAGACGAAGACGGAGCTTCCGAATCTGGCCTCACACAAACCTCATTCACATCTTCCAAGGCTGACACTGAGAAGCTCCGTGTTCCTCCCCTGCCGAGAGAAGCTGAATATGGCCCATTTGAGTGCCCGTTTTGTTATTTGATGATAACAGCCATTAGTACAATCGTTTGGAAGTAAGCAAAGGAATCACTGGCATAGTTGTTTAACGAACTAGTGACTAACGTCTCATAGGCGACACGTGCTTGCCGACCTTCGGCCCTATATCTGCCTCTGGGAAGATTGCACAGCATCCGGAATGGAGTTTATGCGACGGCACGAGTGGACTCTGCATGAGACGCAGAACCATCTAAAGACATACAATTGCCCATGCTCCTGTGGGAGGACATTTTCAGCGAGGTCTAAATGCCGAAATCATGTCCGCAAAGCCCATCCCGACGCCTTTTCTAGCAGTCAACTGGATGCCATGATAGACCTGAGCGCAAGGCCAATGAAGGAGGAGGATAGTGTGTCTTGCCCTTTGTGCAAAGAGACTTTGTCCTCCATGAAAGATTATCGACGCCATGTTGGCAGACATCAAGAGCAGCTCGCACTATTCGCCCTCCCATCACTACAGACTGATGATGAAGCGCAAACTCTGGAACACGATTCTCGAACGCATAGTAATGTTTCATCCGAAGATCTGGATGTTCCTTATGAAGAAATCAAAAAGGAAAGGCCTTCAAAGCCACAATCTACAGAACCACCTATATCGAACAAAGCTACCAGCGGTCCATTGAAGGAGTTGGATGATCTGGCTGTTGAGTTCCAGACCAAGTGGTTGCCATTGTGCTCCGAGTATATCCAATCGCCACCTCGAAATCGGAAGAAAAAAGAGGACGATCACCGCAGATTATCTGAAAGTATTATACAGCATATTCTGCTAAAGCTAGATGGTATTGAGACTCAAGGAAATCCCGATGCTAGATTTCGAAGAAAGGAACTAGTCCAACAGGTGCAAAGAACGTTAAAGGACATGGATGATGCAAGAGCCACTTAGCCTTGATTTGAATTAAAACCTCATTGGAAAAGGTCAAGATAGCAGCGGCGATGTCTTCTGGTGTAACGAATTGAAACGCGTGCGTCTCATCCATATTTCGCTGTCGAGGGTGTTTCGCCCGAACGTGGGGCACTATGGCGGCAGATGTCACACATAAAGAGACAATATATTGATGAGCCAAGGAGAGAACAGATAGACGGGGTGACGATGATCTTTTAAAAAGAAACAGTACGTGCACAACACAAGCGATGGCTTATCTATCAGTTGTTATGCTCAAGAGAAAGTGGACCCGACGATCTCTCTACTCCAGCCGGCTTCTTAGCCGATGTTTAGTGACTCCGCGGAACTTGGAGCTACCGTGGAGACGGAGTTTTGACAGCCGACTCATGCGATGAATAACCCCGCAGTATAATAACTCCAACAACACCTTCTAGAACAAAACGCCCTCTTTTCCAAGACATCGCCACCATCCAAATAAAACTATGTCCAACAAAGACTCCGTCGTATATCATTACCTCGCCATCGGCAAGCTTGGTCGGGGTGAACCCATCAAGTAAGTAAACCTCTCATCAAAGACAACACGTTGCAACGACTCATTCGTAACCCTGTAGACTGCTTTTGGAGGATGCAGGTATTGAGTATGAGGAGCGTCGCTACGCAAGAGACGATACTTGGCCCGAAACCAAGGCGAAGTTGATCAAGCAAGGTCTGACTAGGAATGGGCAAGTTCCTGCTCTTGAGTACAAAGGCCATGCTATAACTGGCGTAAGTTCTATCCGTAGTAGCTGAGCACTATGCTAACTTGGATATAATGCAGCATGTCCCGATTCTGCGCTACCTGTCTCGTGATCTTGGTCGATATGATGGTCAGAGCAATGAGGACAAGTATTTGACGGACTTGGTATCAGACATCTATGTTGATTGGAGGGTACGTTGCACGTCTACCTCTGAGGACCGAAACTAATTCGATACCTAGGCTCAATGGGTGAGAAACCTCAAGGAGGGCCCCCGAGAAGAGTACAAGGAGACTGCTGCCCCTCAGTACTACGATCTCATCGGACAGTATTACGCCGATCACGAGGGACCTTATCTTCTGGGTAATGAGATTAGCTACACCGACTTTCTCGTCTATGTCTCTATTGATAACGATGCTCGAACAAAGACACTCCCTGTACGTTAACAATATTTGACGATTTCAGAAGAAAGGCTAACAGTATTTGCTATAGGAGAGCTTGCCAGAGTCTCTTGTCAAGTTCAAGGCTGCTTTCGAGGCTCGACCCAAGCTTGTTGAATACATCAAGCAGGGATAAGCTCTTCACGTATAAGATTAATAGACCCAAATAGATTCTGTGTGGCCATCGCTCACCGAGCCCTCTTGATTTCCTGGCCTTTGATGCACAAACCACAACTCGATTAGAAAGTCTCGGATCTGACTCATGTTGACTGTGTGGGCTCGCCACCGTTGAGCTTAAGCATCAATGTACTTAATATGTGACTTTTTCTATGCCACAAACGAATCACGGGTACACATAGAGGTGACGTGTTCACACAAGATGGATATGGAAGCATAGTTCCAGTCAATTCAAAGTAGTCACACCGAGAACACTGTCTACAGTTTGGACAGGATCCTATGAGAGCAATCCATCACTAACATCAGCCTCCTCAACATAATAACTCGCCTCAGTCGTCCAATGGGAAGTTTCGCAATGTAGCGTTAACAAGGTCTTGAGGCCCCCGACAGAAGATAAGCTTAGGTTCCTTCCGAGAAGTATTGCCCTGCTTCCCTAGTACAATGTGATCCACACAAATAGCCACGGTAGATTCGAATAGCTCCGTGAACTCGATGTTCCCCCGCGCACACCAACCAATTATGATACCACTCCATTCACGCTCCTCCAGTTTTATCTTGAGGCCTCCGAGGTTTGACCCATCTGCGTTGAGATTGAACCCAATATTGGTGAATCGTGAAGATATCTCAGTGGCAACATTGGCTTCAGACCATTGTTCTTTCAAACCTTCATTTATATCGCGGTTGTGAAGGTGGCGGGAGAGCGATATCGTGAGGACTGGGATGACGGATTGGTCCATGCTAGGAATGAAAATGAAGATGCGATTTGGTCTCTGATAGTAGGTAGAAGACGCTGGCTGGGAGAAATTTGAAGTAATGACTGAAGAGGTGATGGAAGATGGATGGTAGTTCATTCGCTATTGCTCGATGATATAAGGCATGCTTGAGATGCCGAGGCTTTTTGATAACGGCGACTTGACAGATGACATTATTAATCCATTTGAGACACCGAAGATGACAAATTATACAACTGGCCATCGTTATTAGTATGATTGCGTGGACTCAAAGTAGAACAGCTCTGTTTCCATGTCAAGACTATGGGTGACAAGTACACAGTCGTTAACTCCATAGCAATGGAGCTATCAACCTGGCTATGCTCGATAGCCTCCGTAATCTTCCAGTAGACTGCTGTCGCATGTTCTCTTCGAGCTCGAGAAGAGACAACGTCGAGATATCCGATAGTATCTATACTGGACATCTTATATCCCCCAGCACATATCAATTCATCAATACCAGAGGAAGAAAGCAATTGATGATAGTGAAAGCTGTAGGAGAACCATCCGTCGCCCCAGATTTGGTGGTGCACAACTGCTCTGATCGCACATGCGGTACAAGAAGACACTGGAACATTGAAGTAATTTCCAGATCTCGAGGCAACAGAGTTTCCCCGTACGTAATGTACAGGTGTGAAGTATCCCGAACTCAACCAGAGCCATCGTCTGGATTGAGAATCCCCTGTCAAAGTTAATATATGGAAACAATGTTCATAATATCATTTCATTCTCACGGTCGAACGCCGCCATAACGTTAAATCTCTGTTGAGTTCGAGGTCCAAAGTTTCGTCTCCAATTGCGCCCGAGAAATTTAAGTTTGCCACGTCGTGCGAAAATTTCCTGTGCCCATTTTGGAGACGAGTCAAGGTCTGAGGATGTGGTGTGGTGTACGTCAAGGCTGTTTGTTAGCCTGTTTTCTGTTTTCGGCTAACAACCGCAAACAAATCCTCCCTTGGGCAGTTGCAATGATACGACAATTGAGGGGGTATGGCGATGATGCGGGGAGGGTTCGGAATAGCGCGGTGAGGCTGCGCCCAAAAGGTCTAAACTTGGTCGTAAACACCAATGTGATGAAAGGTGCAAGAGAAACATCATAGCTATTCCAGGACAACAGGCATCCGGCTGAAGAAAAAAGATTGCGATAGTGGGAGGAAACAAAAGGCAGGCAAACGGCGGTCGCTTGCCGTCGAGGAGTCAAAGAAAGCTAAGCTGGGTAAGTGTCGGTGGATGTCGATGAAGCAAATCGGTCAAGAGTCAATTGAGCGCAAGTAGGAAGCATGGTTGAGATGTTGTGTGTTGCGTCGTAGGCGTGACAAGCATCGAAGTTGATGGAGAAATCGGCGGCGTAGAGCAGAACAGAGCAGAGTAAACAGAGCATCAGCTCAGGTATGACAGCGACACGAGAATAAATCGCCCATCCTTTGCGCATCCGGCTGCTTGTATAGTAAAAACAAAAAAGCAGCATAGCCATCACCAGTGATCAGTGGTGAGAAAAAAAGAAGAGCGTTTCACTGTCCTATGGTATCTTTGAATAGTCCCTTTCCATCGTCAATCTCGAGGGACCGTGTTTTCAGCGGCCACACCCATCAGTTCATTATTTTCTTCGTTTAGGGGCGACGATAGAAGTCAGCCCACATCTGGTGATGCGGAAGTCCAAGTCAAGAAGTCAAGTCAAGCCAAGTCAAGTCTCTTAGTAACCACCTCGGTCACCGCCGTAGCTGCGGTCACCACCACCGTAGCTGCGGTCACCGCCGCCGTAACCGCCACGGCCACCGCCGTAACCACCACCACGACCACCACCGAAACCGCCGTTACCGCCGGAGGGGCGGGCGTTGGCGACGTTGACTCGGATGCGACGACCGTCAAGCCTGGAGAAGATGGTTAGCTATTGTTTGGAAAGAATGGGGGGGGGGGAGGGAAGAAAAAAGAACATACTCCTGCTCGTTCATGGCGTTGACAGCAGCGGTAGCCTCCTCCTCAGAGGAGAAGGTGACGAAACCGAAACCACGGGCGCGGCCAGTCTCACGGTCCTTCATGATGATCTGTTTGGACCTTTATTAGCGCTTGATAATGTGGGAATGTTTGTAGATGGTCGTACCGAGTCAGTGACCTGACCGAACTCGCTGAAGGTTTGACGGAGAGTCTCGTCCGTGGTGTTCCAGGACAGGTTTCTGTAGAGAATTTAGGTCAGCATAATTACCCCTCACTTTTGCGACAGGGAGGGAGAGAAGACGAGAAGGGAGAGGGAGAGAGTGACAGGGCAAGGGAACGGGAAAGAAGGAATAGACGCACCCAACGTAGAGCTTAGACATGATTGCGCGTGTTGTTGTAAATGTTCGAGAGAAAGATCGAAGCGGAGTGAATCTTCGTAGAAAATTCATGGAGGGGAAGGGGGGTTTTGTAGATGTAGGAAACAAGAAGTGCTTTGGTAAACGTGTCTCGAGTTATATACCAACAGGGCAGGTACCAGGTAGGAAAAGTAAGAGCAGGTGCAGAAGGACGAGAGAAAAAAGAGAGGGAGAGGAAGAAAGGTGATTCACTGGTTGGTGGGCAACGGCAGGTACTGCCACACACACTGCACTAAAACTTTACCCCTCTTCTTCGCATGGGTGAAAAGTCAGACAGACACACTCAGCAGCTGCACTTTTTCACTTTTCGCATTCCCCGCTCTCGTCTCAAGTCTCTACTCACTGGGTAGCTCACTGGGTAGTAGACCGCGTCATCCAATGCGAATTGAAATCTGATTTTTCTCTCTCTTTCTCGTCTGGTGCATCTGCTCCCTTAACGTAGCACTCGATTCAGTTTTCGGATTAGCGGTGGCGGATGATGAGATGCACTTCTAACCCCCTTGCGTTAGGCATCCCCAGTAAACCACTTCTTACAGGTCCCTTTTGCCGCTTGAGCTGCAGCTGTGTTGGTCTGGCGGGGTTCACTCACTGCGGATCGCCTAATGGCGCCCACAGATTTTAAGATTGGTTTTGCTTAGCCTCCATTGCTCCACTAGAATGAAGGCCCTGATTTTGCACAATGCGGGCACCAAGCAGCACGCGCTCCACTGTTGATGGATCATCTCTTTTGCGGCTCCGGATATTTGTTGAGAGAGGGCCACTGTTTCCAGTCCTGGTCATTGGAGGAACTACAGGTATCAGTATCGCTATCACGAACTCATGATCATCAATAAACTTTAGCCGCGTCGCGTCCTGATAAAGGATTTATATTTTTCACATCTTTCGGTGATCGGTGATAAGAGTATGACACGTACACGTATGGCGACGCTGTAGCTATGATTGATGTCAGCGAAAGAGATCAGAGCAGTGGATGCAGGGTAGGTCAACGGACAATTGCAAGTTAATGCCAGTGGAAGAAAAAAGTCCAGAGTGAATGAAGAGCCCTTGCATGTGTTGGACAACAAATTGGAAGCTCCATGCTGAGCTGGTCACAGGCATTTTATAAGTTTGAGAAAGTGCTACAAACTACATCAGTAACAGAGTGCAGGGTGCATACCCCTTCATTCTATCAATCATGCTTATATATTTAACATGTCTGTTTCCTTGAACCAAACTCATTGAAGCATAATGAAAAAGTTTCTGATATACCCAAATAAAGATCTTTTCCTTTCGCCCTCAATCTTAACCTGCCCGATCTCAACATTGAAGACTAGAACATTCAGACCGAAAGCTCGGATAGCCCAACAAACATGGAGGAACACTTGCTCGGTATCCCAACTGGAGACAGTCACAATGATCAATCATTATACTCGTTTCTTGCGAGAGGTATCTCCCACATTCACCTCAATCCCAGATCCGAACGACCAGTGAGCGATGTGAGTCTGGAGGACACTACACTACTTCCAAAAGCTAATTTCCTTTTCTTTCTCAGTACATGTACCTTCGATCGTAAGTCAACATCATAAAGTGCAGCGAGGCTTGGCTAACCTGTACCATAGAGTCGTCTCGACATTGACTAAACCTCATGACTTATCTCAATTCACCTTGCTGCATCAGTACCTGGAAACATCTCAACGGAACACGCCGTATCACTACCTTTGTAATAGCCCTATCCCCTTGCAAGTTGCATTTTAACAATGTCTAGCTTCTTATCAAGATATCTACGACAACCTGCGCGACTATCTCGCCAAACTCCTCAAAGAAGTTACCCAAAAAATCCTGTCAAACGATAGGAATCATTTGATGGATGTGTATCTTGACGCGTGGGAGCTCTACAATGAAGCTGCTGTACGTGTCGACCATATACTAAACCAAGCCAACGCTACGTGGATAGAAAGCCACATCTCCGGAGGGATTCGAGAGCTTTTCTACATCCACACTCTCCACTGTGTGAAATGGCACCGTTCACTTCAACGATCAAGGCTCATCACAAAAGAGTCAACTTCTTCATTCATGAGAGGAACAGACTTAGAATCTTCAATCGGGAGAGACCGATATAGAGGGTAGCTTTGTGTAGTAAGGAGATAACCCTATCGCTGCCATTAGCTGTCACTTGTCTATCACATACCCGACAGAATCCGACAGCCTGATGTTGATATCAAGAACGTAATCAACCATTTGACTTCGTCAGATAGATGGACTTGAAGAAGGGAGCAAGTTAAATGTTATCCTAAAACTACCTCTACCTTGGACGATCCAGCTAGCCTCTCCCAATCATCTGCTAAAACAAACCCAACTCCCTTTCTGAAAGCCACCTGACCCTCCCGCTCAACCCAAAGCACGTGATAACAGTTCTGCTTGTTCTCCTGTTCTATAAGCCACTTATCCATCCAATTCATCTCGTCCTGCCCAAAAAAGCTTGATCTATCACGCAACCTTTCCTCCTCTTCCTCTCTTGTAAGAATATCGGACATCGATGTTCTCCGCCAATTGTCATTCCGTTTCATTCCCCCCACCTTGCATCTTTGCAGAAGACTTGTCCACCCCTTTACTACAGCGATTAACTCTATCTTTGTCTCTTCTTCGAGCACTCCGCTGTCTCTATGGTAATGGGGTTCGAGTCCGCCAACAATATTACCACTGAAATCCTTGATTAAGTGATATATATGTATTTCATCAGTCATAGTTTCCGGGCTTCCAAATAGATAGGCCTGAGTTGTCTGGAACCAGAGATATTGGTGTTCGCGATACGGCTGGTTCTCAGCGCCTGGTTCAGCGACCTTATCTACCACGGATACAGGGTACCAGTAAAGATGTGGTGGCTTGTCACCTCCTAAGACATGTGTGTAAAGATACTTTGGCAGGTCTTTAGGCATACACTGGGGATTGACCTCTCGACCGTATTCAGACGTGTAGAAGTCGGTATTCTAGTGACTTGGCGATTCATACTTAGTTCTCTTCCATCCAATCGGTACATCGTCTGTAGCTGCGTTTCCTAGGGCTGCCTTTCTTAACTCAGACCAGTTGCAATCAACCTTTTTTTTTATGGCAGCATCTGGAGAACCAATGACGTAGAAATCTGTTAAAGATTCAGTGAACCCCCCGTCAAAAGAAGGAACAGACTTAAATTCGAGATCAAATGGGAACACGGCCTGACCCTGCCATCCCATCCACGACCAACTAGTGGAGGAAATCCCCAACCTTTCCTAATGTCACGTGGTGAGACTGGCTGAAGGGATGTTCGAAAAACTCCATAACCTTAGAACACATATCGCATTCGACATTGATAGCCTCATCCCCTTCAGATATAAGTTGGTCAATTGAAGCCATACTGAAGATGATCGAAGTACAGATAATATTGGTGAACGAAAAAATGCGTAGTGGTACGATAGATCTTTGTTCATGAAAAACATCATGTTCATGCTGACTAGGTCAGTATTTGACATTGCCATGTTGGGGTATTAGGCGGCATTTAACCGATGATAAAATGCCTCAAACAACCATCTATTAATTCATGACTTTAAAGTTAATATTTACCTAGAGATAGAATTTCCATGAGTATTTACATATGTCAATTCGATCTGACATTAAGAAGAAGATCAGAAGCACCCCCTAGCTCCTTGTAGGCTAGTTCGATAATACTATGTACTAAATATTATTTGATGGTATAGGCTTGATGTTTGTATAGCTATGTTTCATCCCATATGTCTACAAGCAGAGAACCAGTGGGATCATATGCAGAAACAATCAAAGACATGATTGCTTGGCAGATATAGTGTGGTCACATTATAATATAAGTGGTGGAACTTAACGGCGCAATTTTATACATCAATTATATCAACCACACCACCTATATTGTCTGAAAGAGGGAACCGGATGCCTGAGCTGCCTCATAGGGGCACACACATCTATATTGTCTAATGCAAGTATTTCGTCAATTCTCAAGACTACACTCAATTAATCAACAAATTCAAGCTCCGCCTCGTTGCGAATTCCAGTGTGAAGACGTGATGATCTGGGGATTATTCCTAATTCGGACATCACGGGATGTTGACCTCCGACATGCTTAATTCATGTCACTATAGCGGACGGACATGGGCTGATGGAGGGATACCGAATCAGCCAAGAATATACACGAGAATCTCATGACTATAAAGATGCAGCGATTGTACTTCCATAATGAACTCAGCAGCGATCTCTCAGCTCTCTTCAATCCTTGTGTCTAATCATGAAGTTCTCTTCCATCATCGCAGCAGCCTTTGTTGGCTCACCAGTACTTGCCGTCCCAGCTGGTTTTGTTACCACCGACGGCACGAAGTTCTCTCTTGACGGAAAGGATTTCTTCTTTGCTGGAAGTAATGCCTACTACCTCCCCTTCAACATCGTACGTCTTACTCTTGGCAATGTCGAAAACAAAAACTGACTTTCACAGTGGGGAACGGACCATTACAAGGATGTCAAGCTCGGTTTGGAGGCTGCCAAGGATGCTGGTCTAAAGGTCATTCGTACCTGGGCTTTCCATGACAACAACCGAACTTACTCGTCAGGTGGTTTGCCCCAGTACAACACTGGTGCTGAGGACACTGTTATGCAGTGGTTCGAGGCTGATGGAAGTGTCAAGATTGATCTGAGCAAACTTGATGTTGTTATTGAAGCTGCCGAAGCTACTAACATGAAGCTGATCTTGGCTCTGACCAACAACTGGGCTGATTATGGTGGTATGGACGTTTACACTGTCAACCTTGGTGGTCGCTACCATGATGATGTAAGCTCAACAGCCTCTTGGAGATTCTGAATACTGACCGATGATAGTTCTACCGCCTACCTGCCATCAAAACAGCTTTCAAGAACTACATTAAAGCTGTCGTCAACCGCTACAAAGACTCTCCTGCAGTCATGGCCTGGGAAATCGCCAACGAGCCCCGTTGCGGTGCCGATGGAACTCGCAACCTTCCTCGTGGACCTGACTGCACTCCGAAAACAATCACCTCCTGGGTCGACGAGATGAGCACATACATCAAGTCCCTCGACAAAGACCATCTCGTCACCACCGGAAGTGAAGGTGGCTTCAACCGCAAGTCTGACGACTGGACTTACAACGGTGCTGACGGAACTGATTTCGACGCTGAACTTAAGCTTCCCAACATCGACTTCAACACTTTCCACTCGTACCCTCAGTACTGGAGTAAGACTGTAGACTGGGTTGTCCAGTGGATCAAGGACCACGCCGCCGCTGGTGAGGCTGTCGGAAAGCCAGTTCTTCACGAGGAATACGGCTGGACTGACAAGTCAACTCGAGTAGCCACCCTCAGCAAGTGGCAGAAAGCCTCCCTGGACCTGAAGATGAGCGATCTTTACTGGCAATTCGGATTCTCGGGCTTCTCCTACGGAAAGAACCACGATGACGGAAACACGATTTATCTCGAAGATGACGAGGCCCAGCCTTTGGTATACGAGCACGCCGCGAAGGTCAACGGTGGAAGTACAGTACCAAGTCCTACAACTACCGGAACGACTCCTCCTAAGCCTACGGTTACTGACGGTCCCAAGGTCGTTAGATATGGACAATGTGGCGGTGCTTCTTGGACTGGACCTACGGTGTGTGAGTCTCCTTATACGTGCAAGGCGCAGAACCAGTGGTATTCTCAGTGCCTGTAAGTATTACAATCGCATCAACACATAGACTCTTGAGTACCTATGATAGATGAAATTACTAGGTCAGTTTATGATATTTAGACTCGATTTTTAGTTGATGTTTTTTGTACCCCAAAGTGTAGAGGCCAATTTCTGTTACATAATACACATTTGCCAACGCATAAGCACCGTGCTTGTACCCATGTCATGTCATGTCGAGAGGTTGCCGCTGAACCAACATGACATGCATACAAGGCTGTCGCGACTCTGACAGGTCAGTACGTGAGATAATTTATCAACAAAAGAGGGGGCTGTGCTTTAACTCCTCCTTCAAACCATATTTTGATCTTTCTTATCATTTGTATCCCATGAAGTCTTATGCAAGTTTAGGATAAGTCATGGGACGATTTTGAAATAAGTTTAGTAAACTCAGCGCAAAATGGCCTGTGGGCCGATCAACATCACTTACTCCAGCTGTGTTTACGCAGCCGCCGGAGAGTACAACCGACCCAATCTCCACTGGAAGCATGAGATATGGCAAGCCTTATGCCTCGTAACGGCTCTGGAACAAAGCTTACGATGACCTCAAGACAACGGAATCAACGATCACCGAAGCATATGGAGAAAATCCTCTCTGACCAACTTCGGACTAGCGAATTCTCTGGACTAAAGTCTGGATTAAATATCATAGCTTTAGACCATACTACCAGATGGTGCCAAATGGAACAGTTGGTGTCGAGTGGGCTAGAAAGCACCGCAAAGGACGTAGAAAGGAAAGAGAAAGTCAATCAATGGCTGGAAATGTCCAAGCCGGTGCGAAAGGCGCTTGGGACGGGATTGAAAGCTGCAAGACACCCCCAAGAACCATGTATCATTCTCACTAGACGGATAATTGCTTGCTTCCACACAGTGCAGCATAACAGAATCTGGTCAGGGCAGCATCCATATCTAGAATACGTGGAACAAGAGCGTGCACCATATAATAGCTATAGAGGGTGAGGTTTAGTACTTGGATTGGGTATCATTCCCGTTAATCGAACTGTGCCTACTTGTCATCAGCCATGTCAAAAACAGACATTACAATTAGTCTCTGGGACATAACCGCTGAATGTCTCGGCTCAAAATTCTCATCAATCAGTTTCCCCGAAAGAATCTTAATCTTAGCAGTCATCAGCAATGGCCGGACCTGTCTTGCATACGCGACTATCAAAGTCGTGAAGATTTGCAGATGGAGTCAAGGCCTAACTTTGCAAAAAGTCCTTCGAGAAAGGGAAGGTGTCACCAAATATATCCGTGGTATAACGTGGACAGCTGATGATCAATCGATCATTATCAAATCCATCGGGGGCTTCGTAGTGTGGGACATAAACAAAGATGCAGAAATCGCACGCCAACACAGTTCAGAAGAAGGGGGTATAATTTGGGGGAAGGGGAATCAAATTGCCACCTTTACGAAAGATATCTTTAGGATTTGGGACCTCGACATAATCCTAGGCAACTCAATCAACTGGGTCTCAAGTGACGCTCCAGCAAAGATATTAGTCACAGAGATCGCTCCCTCGTTGGTGGAGCCGTTTACCGTTTTCTGCATAAACGAAGGAAAAGTTTAAATTGAGATTCTGAATCGAGTATCGAGCGAAACGCTTATTCGTTCAGGATATGTCAGGGTTGTATTTGGACACGATGGCAGTTTGGCCCTCATTTTCGCAAACCAAGCGGTTAAAATTTGGCAATTTGACCCTTCTTGTGGCCGTTATTATTCCCCATCACGACTATGTGGAGTGGAACAAGAGTTGAGCGTGGCATTTGGACCACCTGGGCGAGTCGCATTATGTGGCAGCCAGGGGCTACGCATATTTGATACAAGTACATGTGAGATTGTGTCCACTTTATCCACCAGCTGTGCCTGTAAACGAGGCAGATACAGTCAAGCAATGATCGCCTCTGCACTCAACGGCTATCTGGCTGCGGCTCACAACGATACTGCTTGCGAAGACAATGGGAGTATAGTGATGTGGGATACTGATAAAATGACGATGATACGGAGTGTTACCTTCTCCAAAATGATGTAATCTTGGGACAGCTACAAGGACTTTATCACAGCAATGTCGGTGAGTGAAAGCGGCCTACTTGCAAACGCAACCACGCTCCTCGATATATGGATCTTGAGTGTAGATCATGGCGCATTACGGAATTATCATCTTCCTCAATCTACCTTTCTATCCCCGAACATCAATCTATGTTCTGGACCACAGCTTGAGACAGATTTTGTAGTGCTTGAATGCAATTTGAGGGAAAACCTGGATACACCTGAGAAGATGGATACACCTCAAATGCTCGAGCTGGACTTGAAAGATCACTGGGATCCGCGTAAATGGAGTAAATGCCGTCTTGGATCAGTGGAATGGCTCATGCATGGTTCGCGAAGGGTACTGAGATTTTCTGGATAGAATGTGGAAGCACGACGCTTCTCACTACAGGCAAACTCAGAGTCTGGCATGGCTACAGTGTTACTTATTCACGATGAATGTTTGTTCAGGATTCGTGTTAGCCTCAAATCTTTATAGTATGACAATTAATAACCTAAAACGTCTGGTCTAAATAACATAAGCTGATGTTTCCGGTGGCTAATTCTTCTAATACTCTAAAGTTTATAAAGCAGAAATCTCAGGACTGACAGATAAAAAAATACATGCGATCGATTCTAAGTGCAAAAAGAAACGCAGCTGATAGATCACACGAGATTGTAAGAGTAAGATTAAGAGTCTGTGAGGCCCCTTATACTTGCAAGGGGCAGAATCAGTGGTACTCTCAGTGTCTATCTGTCGGCCCAAATCCCCAAAGATCCTTCAGAGCTACCTATATTGGACGCATGCTGGCATATTTCCGTACAATAGCAGTATAAAGGCCACAGCCTGATATAGAATGCAGTCGTTGATGAACAGTAATCCCCTTCTCGCCCACGATCCTCAGCAGTCCCTGTCTAACCAACGCATACTTTAAGCGGGCTCCAAGTAAATGACAGGCAGAAAGACTCCTGCCAACAGTAGTATAATAGGAAATCAAATGAAAATTATATAAGACATGATGACAGTGATATACGTCCATAGATAGTTTCCAAGCTCATGTCTTGGAACAGCCTCACTTGACGATGTTGTTGTTGTGGTTGAAGATGGACCGAAGTCTAAAGAAGAAGCAGGGCCTGTATCCGCTTGCGTGCTTCCTCCCATTGTCGTTGTTGGATCCGTACGATGCTATATCACTGTTAATAAACGCATCATATAAAGTCGACATGGACTTACCTCTGTAATATGCGTAGAGGCGTTTGCCGCCGAGCATTCTCGAAACTCCCAGATGTTAGTTGTAGTAACGTTTTCTCCCAAACATGATGAGACTCCATCAATTAGGCAAACAGAGGCCAGAGAAATCACGGAGCTCTCACAACGACAGCTGGTAAGGTCTGCAGGAACAGTATGAGATGATGAGCAGGCATTTGTTGCTTGGCTCAGTTGAAAACAGCTTTCAGCGATCGTTAGACAGATATCTTGATCCAGCGTCCTTGTTGGATCGGCAATACTGGGAGTGGTAATATCTTTTGGCAAATAAGGATCGCAGGCATCATGCCAATTGTCAATTTCTGTCTGAATAGTAGTGTCGAAGGAATTAGACAATCCGCACTGTCTTAATTCACCTTTGCATCTACCCCGCTGGTCAACGCAAATTCATATCTTGGAGGAACAGTGGTAAAGTCAATTCTTACCCAACATAGGCGTCCAAGAGTTCTTGTGTGCAGAAACAGTCTATCGATTCCTGCTTCCCTGTAACAGAACTACACTTTTGTAAAATGCGATCTGCGTTGTTACAGTTTGTAAGCTCAGCTACTTTTCCGAGACAGTCGTTTGGGTTAAAGGACACTGCCAAAACCCCAGTGATTGTGATCATGAGGGAAGCGACCTGGAAAATTAGATGGATCTGTGAAGGCATTTTCAACGTTGTGATTGGGACGACACTGCTGGTTTAGGGAAGTCATCTTTCAGAATACCTTATATGTGAATTGTTGGCTAGAATTGAAGAGAATCTAAGGTTCCGTTCGGAGGCGGAGGCGACGGAGGATGGAAGCCGTGGCTTGACGAAATGACACCAGTATGACTGGGCGCCAGAACACAACTGTAAGATCAAGATAGCCTTGTGGCTGACAGACCATAAAAGTAGGACTAATAAATTGATTCAGGACTGTTGAAGACTAAGGCCATTCCTTAGATCTGAACAGCCGCAGAATCAAGACAAGTTCCGTTCGATGTCCCAGCTCGCTAGATTCCACCTGATGGATGGCTTAAGACTATTTAAACCATGATTCAAACTAATATTGCCCCGGTTCAAAGTAAGAGATCATAATACTTCTCAACAATCTCATATTACCGTACCTTTACTTCATACTCTTAACTATGGCTGAAAAGTCCTTTGGGTGGCTCTCAGAAGCGGTAAAATGGCCCTCCCTCATATTCTTTGCCGTGTTCGATATTGCTCTCGTCGTCGCAATTGTTATTCTGTCTGTCAAATCATCTACTGAACATGGCTTTATTGGAATCCCATCACCTAAAGTCACAGCGACTAGGTTGCAGGCTCTGCCTTGGAGAGACCCTGTTCACTTTAATGTCTCTTTTGATATTGGAATTCTGTGGACTACACTACCTAATCTTGTTTTTGCTCTCTTCGCTGCTCATTGGGCCTGGATAGCCTGTGCTATAGCCGAACGCCAACCGTACGTTGAATTGCGCGCAAGAGGAGGCGCCGAAGCAAGGAAGTCGATCTTGTTGGATTACCGCGTTACTCCGGTGGTTTTTCGCTGGCGAGCAGCGTTTCGAAAATCTCACAATGCAATTGGAGCAATGACACTACTATCTGTGATGTTAACATACATCACAGCGCCTTTCGCTGCGCGTCTGTTCACGACTCAAGTTATTTCCGTACCAAAAACAATACCAATTGTATACGACACCGAGTTCAAAGGCAGCAACATGAACGCGATGATTGACTGGCGGCCGGTTCTCAATGTTGTCGCTGCCACTCTACTCTACCAAGGGAAAAACATTGCTTGGACAAACGACCAGTACGCGTTGCGACCATTCTCCAACCAGTCGAGCATACCAGCATCAGCAGACATCGAGGCAAAATCTACTGGGTTCGCTTCATATGTGAATTGCGAATTAATAAAGGATTACACAATCACAGTCAACAAGATATCCAACTCAGAAGCAGGCAACGTTGTGGTATCCGGAAATGACAGAGGTTGCAATTTTACGCAAAAATTCTCAGTCAGTAGTAAACAGAAGACATATCTGAAGAGCACCTCAGTCATTGACTGTTCTGCTCAAGCTTACTACAGTCGCATGGTATTCTCAGCTGGAACATACTCTGCTTCATCCTCAAACCTGCTCGATGATATCGGTGTCATTTCCTGTGCGACAGGGTATCGCCAAGTCGACGGCAACCTGAAGGTTTCGTCACTCAACATATCTTCAAGCGTCCACTCATTTGACGAAACAGGTCATCCAGATACTAGTCGGCCATATTATTGGAGAAATTTCGAGCAAGGTATCCTTGGGCCAGTCACCTTCAATCCTCAAGCATCTTCGTCCACGTCAGACATGGCTAGCTTAATCTTGTCCTATGCCAAGAACCTACGACCTTCGCAGCCGCTGAGTCCAGAAGTATTGATCCAATCAATATCAACTGTCTACAGTGCCACCTATATCAATGGCGTCGAAATCCATGGCTTCAGTCCAGTTTCGGAGCCTGAAATAAACACTGGTGAAGCTTTCATTCCTACAACCCGTCTATTTGTCGTTCGATGGGTTGCATATATCGTTTTGATATTTTTACTCGTGGCATTATTTTTTGATGTTTGGGCATCTATCTACGTTTATAAACGTCCTAGCATCCTCACTGAAGAACCACAAGGTCTTTTATCAGAGGCTGCGATTCTACACAAGAGTGGCATTCTCCGTATTATTTCAAGCATACATAACGACCCAGACTTCAATGGCGAGGTTCGTCAAACAGGCAAGAATTACACTGAGGTGAAGGATAAGAAATGGATGGCTACAAAGGATGATAAATCCAACCAGTGGGTTATATCATCGATTTAACATTGCTGCGGTATAATAACTCTGCAAGAACTGTATATAGACTGCAATGGAATATGCTGAGCTCTGCAAGATTGAATGGCCTATACGTGATATTGGTGATTCTTAGAACGGCTGTATGTAATGTAGGTCTTTGTCTCTAGACTGATCGACATTTCTGTCATTCTCTCATTTAGCTTTTCAAGACTGGCAGGTCATTCTGTAATTCTTTTTGGGTAGATTCTCTGAATAGATTTTTTCTGGCCAGACAGACTATAAAAAAATACAATAACTCGCTCATCTAATGGCTTGCTTGACAGGGCAAAAGAAAGGGTCTGGCCGGGGATTGAACCCGGGACCTCTCGCAAGCAATGCTATAGGGTTTTCCCTAAGCGAGAATCATACCACTAGACCACCAGACCGATGCTTTATCACGTGATGAGGGGAGTTAGTCAAGTCTTTCAAAGACAATATTATATACCTCAAAGGTTATTCCCGAAAATTCTATAGGTTTATTGTAACTCTAAATGTTATCATATGGCCCAATAACTTATCGTACTATGATCGATTGTCTCTTTAACTTAACTATATGGTAGTTTCTATAAGCAAATAAAACAACCCTGATTCTGTGCATTATAAGTGGAAGGAGCTTTACACACCGCGGCTTGCTTTCTAAGCTGTCTATTAGTGGGTGACTTTGATTGCTGGCATGGGTTTACTTCTGCTACCCGAATGACATCAAATTAGTGGAAGTCATGCCTATCTGATTCAAGTAATTGGTTATCACATTACTGACCATCTACATAGAGATCGTCACCCGGTCTCTGATTTAGCCCTTGTCTCCTTGCAAGGCCTTTAACAACCCTGATCTGATTAATCTTACTTAACCAGAGAACCTTCTTCAATATGCTATGACGTATAAGAGTTTTCTTCCTCTAGGCTTCATATCAAGGAATGTGACCAAGAGGCGACAAGATATCGGCATTGCTCACATGCTCGTGGTAAAAATTTTTATTTATTGTTTATTTTTAGGTTGACTGGCAACGTAAGAGCGTCCAAGCTGAAATCGGATGTTTGCAGCAGGTTTCGCCGCTCTATTTTGTTTAATGTTAAAGTCGTCATTGAGGTTAGTAATGCCGAAACATCTCGAGTTTTTGAGACATGAACTGAAATCAGCTAGATATCTTTTGGACTTTCAGCCAGCCTACTCTACTATCATTCAAGTCGAGACCATTGCCATTCCACATGACTGCTTGTTTCTGGACCCTTAATGTCACTCAGCCTGTTGCAGATATCTGAGCAACACGACCCACAAATCAATCAACGGTTCCACACCGGCTACCTAAACGATATTCAGATTTGGAAGCTGGATGACTCTGGCACTAAGCCCTCGAGCTGTTGATGTCGATAGCTTACTGGAGGTCTTAGTTTTCTACATTTATGGTTACCTTACTTGACCCAGGCAGAATGCTATTTAGCAGATTCCATTCCCATTGGCCCGGCGAAGCGAGAGGCCCCATCGACGTGAGGGTCCATTGACAGGCTGACAACACAAGACTACTTGCTGCAGCCACAAAAGCCTATCACCGTCTATGGGCGGCGAAGTCACATTCCTCACAAGGCCAAACGGCAATTCCACTGCCTGTAATCGTGACCACGGCGATATATCACACAAATCACTATAGTGTGCAGTGGCTGAAGCCGCGACATCGCCATCCTAACCACCAGATTACTAGACATACGGTCTCGCTCATGTCCCACTCACATGGGCGGCCTGGTGTAAGACAATACAGCATTGATGAATATGGTTTGCTTCTACTCGTAAGGCCTATTGGAGATTGATGGTAGGCACATTGATAGAACAATAGCCTCGACATCAACTCCCGCTCTTTTCGTTCTGCATGAATTGCTTTCCCTTCCATATTTCTCAAAACCACCAAAATGTCTCTTTTGATCGGGAAAGGAGACGTTATCTTTGTCCGTGACGTGGAACTTGATAACCAACCAATTGTCGTCGAATGGCAACAGTGGTTTGCTACCAATACCGAAAGATACATCCCAGCTCAGTACCGCGGCAGTGATGGCACGAACAATGGTAAGTCCCTCATCGAGTATGCTGCAAGTCAATGCTAACTCTGGCATAAGATATCACTGGAAATATTTTTATTCAGGTCAGCAAGGCCGACGATTTTCGTCGCAAGCACGATCGCTCCGAAGACATGTATACTGTACGAATAGATCGCGACTTCCAATACGGTCAGAACAAAGAAAAGACCAAGCGCTTTCTCGTATTTCACAATAAAGATAACAAACCGTACCAGGCAAGTCTTATTCGGTGGTCCTTTTACCTCAAACTGACGACCCATAGTGTCGTTTTGTTGAAAGCCTCGTGACAGCAGCAGGAGAAGAGGCGGCAAGGTTCGCTCTCAGCCTGGGTATTCATAGTGGCAAAGACATCGTCGAGTGGGCAAAGAAGTACATGGGAGATGACTTACGAGATTTTTAAGACGTCGTTAAGGCTTAGTCGAGGGAACTAGCCGGATTGGTTACAATAAAAAGCGTTATAATGCTCAAGTTCATTATCTCATCGACTGAAAGGTCAAATTTAAAGCATTTGGTGAACATATCGCATCTTGCGCCGTCTGAATGTAGCAATAATCAAAATTAATACTCGAAACCGTCCCGTGAAGTCATAATTTTAGCCCCAGCGCATTCATTCACAGCATTTCCTTTAGCCTATTGTTACACCATTCTGTGCGTCGATGCTTCACCTACTCCAAACACCCCGATGCCCATCACCATCACTGGCTTCTACATAAGTATCATTTGGACCACCACCTAAAGAACATTTAGATTAATCTTTCGAGAGACGCATTTGCTTACCAGATAGTTTGATGTCTTTGTCTTCAGGAAAGACAATCCCAATTTTAACTGTGAGGAGGCGTGGTTGCGGGTTATTGTTTGTGTAATGGACCCTGAACTTTTGGGACGTGCCAGTCAATGTACTAGAATCTGGTTTGCTGTTCTCGAGGGTTCTTTGATCATTGAACAAGCTCACATATGATACAGCAGTGTTGAGCTGAATATTGACAATGTTGTTCTTGAATTCTATAAGATTCATTTTGATGTCGATAGCAAACGCAGAATTAATTGAAGTATGAGAAACATAAGTTTTGATTTCACGAATTGCGCTTCAGCGGGGTATGGTGTATTTTCAGCCCTTTATGTCGTCAACGTAAGGTCTCCCTCTGAAGCCCTTGGAGTTATTTCACAACGCTCACCGCTTCTACTTTGTCACAGAAGTATGGCAAAATCTGTTGGGTAGTTGTTTCATTTGTGAAGTGACACATAGTCGATCAATACTTCTGTTCCGTTGAACAAAAACTAAGCATCAAGGCTACATTGAGACTGACAGTTCATGTCTTCGCAATAACTTTTAAGATGGGTTAGGTCTCACGGCAAATAGGTCGATTGCGCCTGATACATGGATTGGGTCGGGACAAGGGAAAAGATCAGCCCATGTGCAAGTTATGGAACACTCTTGACGTATTCATGTATGTTTCACTCTCAGCTCTTACTAAGGAAACATATAACGCCATAAAGCCAAAGCTGGAAGCCTGCATTAGCATCGGTCTCATATCTCTCATTCCTACTACCTATCTTACTTGGCCTGTCAGACGTAAAACGGTCGGTTCGCGCCGCAACGTGGTGGGGCTGGCAAAAACATTCTATGTCACAGTTGCCAGATAGAGCTTTGCTGCCGTTAGCATATTTAGTGATTTTCCAGGTCTGCCGTGAACACGTCTGTGATACCCTCCATATTCTCTGAGCCAAGATTGGGCATAGTCTATTGAGGTTCACTAAAAACTTGTTACGAAATCCAAGGCTCTGGTAACTCCTGACGGATTGGGGTAATTTGCCTGTGGATCCTAGCCATGCAAATTGCTGGTCTCATTATGCTCCTTTTCCCTAGCTAAAACGGAATATCTAAATCACATCAGCCAGCCACATAATCTCGTTTTGAATATTGAGATGGATTAAGATGGCACACCTGTGGTGGTAGAGCGGACCTAGAGCCCTGCAGCACGAGTCTAGAATGTCACATTCCTCAGATGGTGTTAAAGTGCCAATAAAATCGTAGCCAGTGTCTTTCTATATTTTCCAAATGAAACATGTAAGGCCATTGGGAAGACGACACGAAGCTACTAGACACACAATCTTGAACTGTACTAGGAGGGCACGTTCAGTGGCTGCTGGATTTGTGGCCAATTGTTGGGCGATGATGTGTGATAACATGAGCGCACCCTGGGAAGCTTGTAATGAGAGACCTCAGCCAGCCACCTTCAGCCTGACAGGCAAAACACTTTCATGTTCTCGCTACACTCAAGGATTTTCCCTTCGTGGTGGAACTTTGCTGACCAACACGGCACTCACCATGATGACAGCTTCTGACGTTCCATACACACAGATGTCTATACATGTAGAGCTTAAGTGGGCAGTTGTTGGGTTCACAGAAAGAAGATGAGAGCCACATGCGCAAGGTATCGATTGCCACGCAAGAGACAGTTCTTGAAGCTTGTAACTGTTTGACTGGATATCTCGAATCAGCCAGCCGTATGTCTCTTCACCGCATCGAGTATCATATTCAAAAAACGTGTAATTTAGAGAATACTATGAACGTTAAAACATAGTAACAAAGCTTCTATTCACCTATCAGAAGTCTGGCTTGTAGCAATTCAAAATGGGACATAGCGCGCTCAGCATTCTCCCATTCTAATGGGTAACTTTCCCCTCAGAACGGCAGGTATTGGTGTCTCCATGACTATCACTACCGATTTGGATCGCGATTTTCCTTGTTGTGACAGGATACAATAGAATAATCCTTTGATCCTTATTACTAGCCATAAAAGGATGGCTAAGATATGATTGATTAGAATTGCAGCATGCAGCTTGATATGTCTGAAATGCCCCATGATAGAGATGCAAGGGTAAATAATGTGACAGAATGAGACCGGTCCAGAAGAACCGACTTGCGCTGGCGTCAGGGACAACAAAGTCCTGAAAGGGCAAGGAGTTAATCTATCAAGACAACTTGTACCTAGTGATGATGTCGCCAACGCCTTCTGATAGCTCGTGATCCGAGTCGGTGAGTGTCATCGTAAATGTTTGCGCTGGCCGAAGGGGTAAGCTGTCGAGTCGGTTCCCATTCTAGTTCACACGTTCTTCGGTCATGGAGTAAACTGGGCAATGAAGCACGAAGTATATAAAGCAAGCACAATCACCCGAGAAATCTCAATCTTTCAACATCTTACAAACACTTCTCTACATCGTCTATCCTCTCTACTACACACTACTACTCTACACCGCAACCATGTCTGTCAAATTTCTCGGAGACAACACTACCACTGTCCAACTTGGTCCAGCCGTGAAGGACATCAAGTTCGTATACGAGTCTGGTGACTCTGTTATCGCAGAAGGGTCAAAGGCCAACCTACACGGTGACGCAGATGAGGCCTATGTCACCTACAACAACGGCACTATCAAGCGCTTCCAGGTCACAACCGGCTATGTCTTCAAAAAGAGTGCTTCTGCCACGGTCCAATGTAAGGCACCAAAATCAAATACGAAAAACTAGGATCACAGTTCCATATTTCTAATGGAAGGAACCACTAACATGTATAGTCTCGATTGCGCAGACCACCATTTCCGTTATCAGCGAAGCTGGTCTCGGAGCCGAGCTCAAGCTTGTTGTTTAGTAGCTCAAACATTGATCTCCAGGTCTGAAGAAATTTCGGGCCAGGATTCGAGGGTCTACACACATGGAATCTCAAATTATCATTCATTAGTTGAACACAAGGTATTCAACATACCATTGATCAGATACCAAATGAACCACACTCTTTTTTACACACATGTTTCTTGTTTGTCATCGGATCATTGACGTCCCATGTACAGCCGCCGATGGTAGTTTTGTAAACCCCTTAGAACTATTCTTAGTGACAGCTATTTTTCATGTAGGCAAGCTTCCCTTGGAAGTTTATGACACATAAATTGGATCTTACCCTGTTCCCTAAGGTATCTCGACCATTTGTGCTATTTGGCTGATATTATAGATCAGGTGTCTAGCTGCTCCATGAGACTAAAACTGGCACAGCACAGAGTTTTAAGGACAAAGGTCTGGCTTCTCCTTTGCATTATTTAAGTGATATTAAAGACGTTTCATAAATCGGTGTCATCATTGCTTGATCACGGATTGAACAATAGAACTACTGACACTGAAGGTTCTGGCTTTCCTTTCACTATGAAGTGCAACGGAATTCGCTTATCCCGGCTTCCAGGTTAACAGGCGTGCTGGTAATTGTTGTTTTGCCTGAATATGGAGGCTCGAAGGCTGTCTAAATTCTTGTTTCGCAGATTAGTTGACTTTATCTGCCCAGACTCTCATAACTAGAGAGCCTTGGTAACGATACTAGAACATATGAAAGTATTTTCAGCTTAGGCATGGAATGTAACCAAGAGGCGATAAGATAGCCGAATGCGTATCGGGGCCTTAATTGACACCTGCCTAATTAGGTCATCGGAGTAACGGACGATACCTACCTGATTAAGCAAGTGGTCGAGAAATTAAACAAGCTAGACAAGGTAGAGCAGACAAGGAATGGAGGGGCTTCCAGGGCAATGACTAGATGGATGAACTAGTTACCAGCTAAATCATCGGTATTTAAGCTTATTGCACCTTATATGTTGCTTGCTCTCCGTCAACTATGGTTTTTGTGGGAAAGCATAATGGGAGGAGGGAAATAATTGGGCTTGGCAATAGTTGCACGATGTCACGTCTTACAAGGATTCGATATGGGATAGAGTCTTGGATCGAGTAGGTACTTTTTGCCTCTCCTGTTCCTTGGTTTTGGTATCCTAGATGTGAATAACAGGGGAAGGGGAATGCGAACGGTGACATATAAGGCAGTGATTGACCTCCTCTAGCATACATATACACTCGCTTGTCGCCCTCCCCTTGCCACAATACCGCATCGTTTTTGTCGAAGCTCTTCTTTGAACGTACCAAAATGTCACGCTTAGCACAGGTACTCCTCGCAGCTGGGGCAGCTCTTGTTGGCCTCACCTCTGCAGAATGCAATCTCACTCCCAAGTTCAACATCTCTACCATTGATGGCGTGGAGTTCAAACTCCTGCGTACCGGTCTGCAGCGACCTCGACACCTTGTTGTCGACACCGAGGGTAACCTTCTGATCGCTGAGGGTGGCAACAAGGGTGTAAGAAGGGTTGTCCTCGATGATGGCAAAGACCTCGATGTTTGCATTGACTCTGACAAAGCCGTGATTGCTGAGACGAGTGTGAGCGTACGTTTTTTTCAATCCGCTGCTCAGTATCTAGGAAGTTAACAACAAGTCTATCTAGCTCAACCATGGTATTGCCCTTACAGCCGATGGTAAAACCATTCTTGTTTCTAGCGCTAGCGAGGTATACGCCTATGAGTACGATGCCTCCACAGGCAGCGTCGGCTCTCGCCGAACTGTTATCACGGGTATGGATGGATCTGCAACTCACTCCACCCGCACCCTGACGATCCCTCTTGCTGGCAATCCTAACTTGCTGCTCGTGGCTGGCGGGTCAGATGGTAATCTGGACACCGAAACTGTGAACAAGGATGTTGTTCGTAGTCAGGTCAGAGTCTTCAAGATTGATGAGATGTTGGCGGCGGATGCACCACTAGAGTATGGCGACGCGTCGCTATTTGGTTGGGGTCTTCGTAACAGCGTTGGTTGGGCAGAGGACCCTGCTACAGGACATATCGTAAGCAAACCTTTTGCGCTCAGCCAGGACTTTGGGCTTGTTGGTAATGGAACTGACCTGATGTGTAGTGGTCTGTTGAGAACTCAGTCGACAATCTTTACCGTGGTGACGTCGATATCCACAACACTAATCCTGGCGAGGAACTAAACTTCCATGGTTCTCCTGATGACACCTCCAGCTCCCAGTACGGTGCCAACTACGGGTATCCTGGATGCTTCTCTATCTACGATACCTCCAATATTAAGGACTACCCAGGCGGAGCAAAGATTGGCCAGCAGATGGCCGCTACGCCGCAGGGAGAGACGGATTTGGGATTCACAGATGAGGAGTGCCAAGAGAAGAAAGCGCCTAGGATTACCTTCGGTTCTCACCTCGCGCCATTGGACGTCAAGTTTCTTGATGGTAGCGCCGCATATATTGCATTCCATGGAAGCTGGTAAGTACTCAGGGTGTGATTTCTCTTATTTCACGAATGTGGGTTGTCTAATTATGGGTTTAGGAACCGCAATCCTGGTGATGGCTACCGTGTCAGCAAGGTGGACTTTGCCGACGGTGAACCTGTTTCAGCATCTGATGACTCCAAGGCTGAAGTGCCAATAATGTGGAACGACGACAATACCAAGTGTCCTTCAGGCTGTTTTAGGCCGGCAGGCTTGGCGTTTGACAAGGCGGGAAGGTTGTTTATGACCAGTGATTCGACGGGAGAGCTATATGTTCTAACCGGTGTTTAAGGGATTTCGGATGACTGAGGATATTAGTATATATGTTTACTGCCTAGCAAAACTCCAATCTTGCTCGTTCCAATTTCCCAGAATTTACCAATTCCATTGCTTCCCCATCCATCAACCCCTGAACGTATGCTTCGCCAATAACATGGTACTGACAGCCACGGGGACGGATAACAATGGGAGTACTGCAACCATACAGCACAGCAATTACGTCGCCTGGTCTAGTCTGCTCACTCTTCTTTCCGTAGATGTTATCTGGAGCCCAGCCCATATAGCCATTGGCAGTAGTCATAAACCTTCGTCTTTGTGACGTTCTGTCAAAGCATGAGTAGACTTCGCTATAGTCAAATTCGGATGCGTCGTCTGGGATTTCGTCGGAGAAAAAGTCTTGCAGTCGATCATCGCCAAGTTGAAAGTCAGCGTTCAACTTGTGAAACATCTCCCAACGAAAGTAGTACCCGTCTTGCCCAGCCAACCAACTCCATCCCCTCTTTGAAAATTCTTGTTTGCCGCGGTCAAGCTTGCGGGGCAAATGGAGTATGGCAGCATGACGGGCAGAAGATTTCGCTCCCCCAGCTACTCTATCCATCACGAGTGTACGATACAAAGCCTCAGCAGTCGCTCTCCTGTCACCATAGGCGCTTTCCCATCGCTGAGGTTGCACAACAGAGGTTTTAACCAAGTTGAAATACCCCCTTCCTCTAGCCGAGAGCCCAGAAATAGTATCAACAATAAACCCACTACATTCAAGTGCGGATCCGTCATTAGAGAACGAAGCATCGTGTTTAGTTTCTCCACTAGCCTTGTATGGAGTATGGAACGAATCGTCAGGCCCTAGCCTTGGAAAGAAGCGCGTAGGACCCCAAAGCTGATTCTCAGTTCTTGACGATCTAACCCGGCCCTTCCATAACCAGTCCGCAGCCCACGATGGACCTTTGGATGGACCCCAGGGGTTACCATCACGGATAGGCTCCAGATTATCGTCAGCCTCGATGAAAGTTCTCGCTGTGGCGGCATAGACTTGACGTACGGGAAGAGTGTAGTCCGGCTGTAGGCTACCAGCTACAACAGGAGACATCAACCCGACAAGTCCATAGACTTTATCCCTCGGATCCTTACACTCTGTATCAATGGCAATGTCAAGTAGTCTTGCAAAGTTGGGATACTGTCCGCCTTTTTCCTCGCGTTCACTCAAGATAGAAAGGTCTTGATAGACTAGGTGAATTCCCATGATCGACCAAGCTGGACCAGTCTTGGATGTTGCTGCGTAGCGCTCTATTGAAAGTATCTCGTCTTTCACGAGCCACAGATTCTCCTCGAGAAAGGCTATACCAGAACAGAAGGATGTCCAATCAATGGAGGAACTCCCACACCGAATCCACGTTGCCGAGGCACCCATGACCATCTCTTGTATGATCCATAAACGAGCCCAGTAGGGACGCTCCATCAAATCATGTAGTGCTAACCAGCAACCCTTCCCAAGAAATTGCGGCTCACTATATAAGCGAGCTTCGATTTGGCTGCCACAGTTGGTTTTGCTGAGAGTAGAAAAGTCATGAATAAGCTGAATAGCTGAGTCGCTTTGAAAGCTCGGTTCACCCAACCATGCAACCACGGCCCATGCAGAGCCATAGATCTGGCGCATCTTGCGTAGTTGCCGTGCACGCTCATCTAAGTCGTCTTGGTTGATACACACAGCGTCGACCCAAAGCTTGAAGTCATTCTCAAATTCTCCATCCTGAATGAATGCTGAGAGGGCCTTGGCGAGATTAGTAGTCACTCGCCTCTGCTTCCTGTTCAACACAATGATAGATGTATCTTTCTCTTTTCCCCAAACATAAGACAGCGCAGCATAGTCACCCCACATGAAACGATACTGGCTTGGTGGTGGTTGTTTTGAGTGTAAGCGTTGTAGAGGTACCAAGCCGGCAAGTTCAGGGTCTATTCGACTTCGTATCCACTGAGATGTGGTCCTCCTGGTACTTGCATTAGCACCTATAGAAGCAGAAACAAAGTCCCGGTATTGAGGGGTGAAAGCTTTGAGGGAATATGTTTCCAAAACGCATTCGGGAATGCCAGTACTGCGTGACTTTGGCAAGAGTGTGAGAAGTCGGATCTCGTCATCCGCTTCGCTCAGAGGGTGGTAAAGAGTGCTCATCTTAAATTTTTTATGGCAATTAAACACTACTGATCAGTCCAGTTTAGTGCAATGGACTTCGATGAACATGCGATACCGAGTTTCGCTTTGTGGATACCCCTCAACGATATTGAGCATAACATAACATCTCAAGTGCGGGGAGACATCAGAAGCTGAAGATGATCCCTGCAACAAGTCTTGGCTTACTGGCCAATGAAAGCCCAAAGACCTTCAGGGGTACGCAGGTACAAGTGCGGCTGTGAGCCTGTCAGACAGGTATGCTGACTTTGTGGTTGTTGGTGGAACGTTGCTTACTGTCTCAGCTACTAGCGACATTAATACTTGGAATGGAGTCTTCGGCGCAGCACTTATCTATTTGACACAAATACTCCTTTTGGTACCCACTGGGACACTATATCGGGCGGAAATTACTTGAAACAAAAAGGAATCGCATATAACCTCGTATCTGGCCTACCATTTGAAGCCAGGGTCCAACTCCCAGTCATACAAGAACCTAGCACTAACACCATCTCCGCCCAAACGTCCCTCGATTCCAACTCTGATCTTTTCTTCTGGTACCAAGTCAATCGCATTATCCTCAAACACGGCTTCATCGCCATTCTCGTTTTGTGCGCTTAGCACGACGCCCTTCGTGGGTGCGTTTGCACTAATGACCACTGCAGTGCCATCATCCACTACTTCGGTCGTGATCTTCAGCTCGGAGGATATGCGCATAAACTTCAGCGGCTCTGGCCAGCTCACCCATCTTGCAAGATTCTCACCAAAGGCAGGATCAATCAGATAGGCGACAACAACAGTCCCATCAAAGTTCGGAATGTCCATGTTTACCACAAGTTCAGTGGTCTGGTTCGCTTTGAGGATGTACTGCTTCTTCGCGCATGTACCAAGCAACTGGATCAGGTTGCCGCTTTCGATGTCAAATGCTCTTAGCTCAAGTGTCACTGTTCGCTCTTCAAGCTCGCCGTTCACCGCCCACACATCCAACTTGGCCTTTTCATCAAGGAAACCAGTTGTGATATAGGGTGGTTTTGCAGTAACGACACGCTCCATCCCTACCACTGTCTTTGCCAATGCTCGCTTTGTGATGTAGTAAGCCGGCTTCGGGTTGAGATCCACGTCGACAAGCGCCCAGCTAGTCCCAGGCCAGATATCGTTCAGCTGCCAGACCAAAACGCCAGCACAATATTCTTGACCAGGACCTCTGAACTCCCTTCTCCAGCAGTTGTATGCGTATGCCATAGCTTCAGCTTGGAGGAACTGGGTACAGTATACAAAGTCCTCGAGTGGGTTCATCCGGAAGCGATAGTTTTCACCCATGTACATCGGGTACCGCCTCTGGTGACCTGGGCCTTTATCATGGGCGTCAAATGTTCGCGACTGCGCATGGCGTTCCTTGGGGTCGGTGATGGCACGGTGCAATGTGCTCAGGCTGGGCGCTGACTCGAAGCCAAATTCTGAGATGAAGCGCGACGTAAAGGCCTTGTAGTCCTGATATGGGGATAGCTTGCCATGCCAAACGTCCCAGCAATGAGTATCGCCGACCGTAGTATCATTCGATACGCTTCCCCCATATGGTGAACTGATCCAATATGGCACGTCAGTTTCTGAGGCTGCAATGACAGCAGGCAAAGTGCGTTCATAAATCTCACGGGCAGGAAATGTGGTCTTGTCCCACGGACCGGTCGTGTCACTGTAGTCAACATCCCAACAGCGGTCTTGATCTGCGCACATATAGTCCTCGTTGTTTCCACACCAAATTACAAGTGATGGATGATGTCCCACACGCTTGACCTGCTGCTCCGCTTCTTTCTTAACGTTTTCGACAAACTCTGGCGGCGCAGGGTAGTTCCCACAGGCGAACAAAAAGTCCTGCCAAACCAGAATTCCTTCACGATCACAAATATCGTAGAAGGCATCATCTTCAACGATTCCACCACCCCAAACTCGGATCATGGATTGATTCCCTTCCTTTGCTAGACATATCCATTGTTCATATCTCTTTCTTGTTACTCGCGGGAGCATGAAGTCGGCCGGGATCCAGCATGAGCCGCCCGAGAAAAGACGGATGTTATTGATTTCGAAGATAAAAGAACTGCCCTGTTGATCTTTGAGAGAATTCTGGAGCAGACGCAGTCTTCTTATACCGATGGACTTGGCTACCGTGTCGCCGGGGATAGTTGCTTTGACCACGTACAGATTCTGCTTGCCATACATGAACGGATACCACAACGTCGGGTTGTCGATCGTGAAAGAGGTCTTAAAAGAGCCATCGGACGACACAGCAACTTCTTTTTCGATAACCGTGTTTCCGGTCTCATTATCACATACTTGAACAGAGACGTGAGCAATGCCATTTGGGTGTTCGATCTGCGCCTTCACAGTGACTTCGGCTGAAGAGAGATTATCAGTGACACTTTGAGTAACCCAAAGGTCATGCACTCTCGACTTGTAGACTTCGATATAGATAGGTTTCCATGGCCCACACGTGTTGACAGCTGGTCCCCAGTCCCAACCCCAATGGTATTGAGCTTTCCTAACGAAGAGTCGCTCAGACCCTCCAAAATTGACAGCACGACCGGTGGAGAGTCTCTTGTATCCGATCCTTCCACGTTCCGAGCGACCATATGCTGGAGCTGCTCTGAACCTCAATTTAAGAACTGCCGGGTCTTGCGCATCCCTCAGAAGGTCTGTCACATCGATCCGATGAGACACATGCATGTTATTGCTAAACAGAATGTGTTTATCGTTCAGATACACATCGACGATAGTATCAAGACCTTCAAAAACAAGGACTACACGATCAAAATCTTCGAGGTTGACCGGTCCAACCTTTCCGGTGCGGTAGGTCCAATCCGTATCGTTCACCCATAGACACTTGAGCTCATTGATGTCGATATACGGGTCTAGAATGAGATTATGATGCATGAGATCGATGTGGGCAACAGTGGGAAATTGCGCAGTAGGCAGATAGGTCGAAGCGGTTCCATTGTTCAGGGAGCTGGATTGTTTGAACTCCCAGCCCTCGTCGACGTCAATCCTCTGAACCATGATAGTCTCTGGAAAGCAACAGTACTGTTGCAGAGTCCTGTATTAGGGAGATATGTTGTACGTAGACCTTGAACGACGATGTTTATGATCAAGCACCCGCTTCATGTCAAGATCAAAATTGACGCAAATGAACACCTGAAATGCAAGAAAACAGGGTTTGAAGTGGCTACCGGGAAGGAAGTTAACGAATAGGATACATATGGGATAAGTGAATATGGGGTAAATCATGTGTCTGACAACTGGTGAGGGGATTGATGTAGTGTAACTCCGCAGTAGTTAGGTATTTAACACAACCCTGCTTCCGACCCCTGTAGCTTGCGTGACAGTGAATTAATGACTACAGCGGTGATCGTGAAGCTGAAAGGGCGCGACAGTATTTTGAACAATTAAGATAAATAAACTAACAAATTATACTTTCGATGAAACTAGGAACATCCTGTTTATAAAAAACGAGCAATTACCATAATACCCATACTCAAAAGACATATTTAAAGTCCAAGCTCTGGTCTCCCTCTTTGTCGTTGCTGTCTTTACCCATCGCCAACAGCTTCGCTTTTTGACGCATGCGATACTTGAGAAGACCATAAATAAGCCCAACGCAGACTAATGCAACAACTTCACCTCCCAAAGAGATTGCATTTCCCATCACATAGCGAGGAGAGTCTTGGATAGGATAAATCTGCGACGCGGCCATGCCAGAAGCGTTTCCTATCGATATGATGGTTGCAATAGCAACAGAGCGCTTGTAATCTGGCTGGACATTGTTAGATATCCACCTGTTATCTGTCAGTACACAAGCAGGCTTGGGTGGAAGTGATATGGAACATACGTTACCACGAGTGTATTGAACGAATAAACTCCACTGCCGACCAAGAACATGGCGAAGAAACCCGCGCCCTTGTGTCCAGTACCCACGACTACTGCATAGCCGGCAGCGACTAGAAGTGGAGAATGGATGAGACATACTGCTCGGCGATTGAGACGATCGGAAACGTATGTAGTCACTCCAGTAAAGATTGATGCTAGAACGTATACCGGGATACTGAGGTAGTTGGCCTCAAGAGAGGTGTAACTGTTGCGACTGTCAGTAAGGCTAAAGAAGGATTTTGATTAGGAACATACTCAAGGCCGCGTAGAAGAGTAGGCAAAAAGGTTCCGAAGCCAAACAGCGCAATGGAAGAGCAGAACAAGGCAATTGACGCCAGCCAGATGAGAGGGTCAGTAACTGCCATACCCACCTGCTTCCAAGAAAACTCGACAGTTTCCTTGAACGGATTGTTCCGCTCCTTGATGATTTTCATCGTTTCTTTTTCCTCAGAATTGAGAAACCAGGCTGTCTCCGGAGAACTGGGCAGACTCAACCAGCAGATCGCTCCAATAACAAGCGATATAGCACCCTCAATAATGAAAAGCCATCGCCAGGCAGAGAGTCCGTGTCTGTTGCCCATACTCTGGATACCATACGCAATCAGTCCTCCTAACGCCCCAGAAAGCGCAATGGACACGTAGAGTACGGCCATGCGCTTACCTTGGGAAGCTGGGGGGTAGATTTGCGAGACGACAAACATGAGAGATGGAAACAAGCCGGCTTCAAAGAAACCCAAAAAAACTCTGCATGCGACGACTTGGCCATAACTGTGCACGAAACCGGTGCCCAGAGTGATAACACTCCAGCTTACGATGGCTATGGCGAGGACGCGACCGGGGCCGAACTTTTTCACAGCCAGAACCCAGGGTGTTTCGAAGATGACGTAGGAGATGTAGAAGTACATTGATACGTCGTTGAACTGGGTTCCATGCATTCCTGTATCCTCCTCGAATCCAAAGACGCGGGCATTTCCTGAAGTATTTTGTCAGTCGTGGTTGGTTGGAGGAATGAGACGATATCTACCTATGTTTGTTCGGTCGAGGTAGGCAAACAGAACCAAAAGCGCCATCTGCGGCATGACGAATTTGTCGAACTTGGAGAGGACTTTGCGTTCAGCATCATTGCTTGTTTCGCTTATTTGTCCGGCATGTTGGTCAAGGTCGATTGGTGGTTGTTGCAGCTCTTTCTTCTCGGAAGGGTCCATTGTTGAGGTATTCGATGTGACTGGTACGAAATCTCAAAAGCATAACCGTGGGAAGTCGAATTATATTTAATGAATAAGGAATCTTTGACCGCTCTAACTGCCAGGAATATTACATATAGATATCAGACCAGATGGGGCCGGAGCTATCATTACCTACTTCGCTTATCCAAGTGGCGCCCTCTTATCCACCCCCGCATTTAACAGATGAAAGCCGACGGCGGAGACCATGAACCCGGCAGCGATGCATATCCGATTGTTACGTTGCGGAGGGGGAAGATAACCATGACATGATAAGAATGATAAGAGTCTTCTTTTCCCAGATAAATTCATGTTTATTTTCAAATGTCTAGTATCGTTCCTGAGTCATGTTTTGTCTATTCCCGTAATACCGAGATAAACGGCTACGGGCATGCCTCTTCCCTATCTCGGTGCATTCGGAGGGTTTCGGAGTATTCAGCATTCGGAGCCGGCGCAGGGCCACTACTCCCTATGTAGCAGTCAACCACCTCAATAGGAATAGCGTCCTGTCCGCCGACGGCCGACGGGCGATAGTGAACTACTGCTATCTCCAATGTGTTGATCAATTGATGAATTACGACCGTCGGCGGCCAACTATGTCATAAAAGAGTACGTTGAGGGCTTTTGTTTGTTATTTGGTGGTTGCTCATGATCTCCATAGTCTGACACTGAGTGCATCCTGAACAGCAAGCTGCCACTTCTTCGTCCTCCGATACAACTTGCTTTGCACTGTTTTACGTTATCGTACCCACCAAAATAGCTAGCTACATTTGCAGTCGCCAGCTTCGGAACAATCACTCCTTGTCAGACTCAATTCTGAGAACAAAACATAACAATGGGCTCGCTTAGCTTACCATCATTGCCATTGAGGGTCGACGAACTCAGCCTCGCATCAACATTACATGACAGCTGCGATTTCGGCAAAGCGCATCCATGGGGAAAGTAAGTTACCAAAGACCCTATCTCATAAACCTGGTCTAATAATGAGCGAAGATTACCCACTGAAACGGGCATGGCTCGTCTTAGTCTTGACGACTCTGACAAACAGGTCAGACACTGGTTCATGAGCTACGCCCAGTCCCTTGGCTGCAAGACATTCTTCGATCAGATGGGCAACCTATTTGCTATTCGCCCAGGCAAGAACAATGACTTGCATCCTGTCATGATGGGTTCTCATCTAGACACGCAACCAACTGGTGGTCGCTACGACGGCATTCTAGGCGTTGTTGCTGGCCTTGAGGTTATTAAGACGCTCAATAATCATGACGTCGAGACGGAGGGCCCTATTGGAGTAGTCAACTGGACAAAGTAAGTTTCTCTCCAATGCCTACCTTGCAAGGTGCTTTACTGACTAGTATTACTTCAGCGAAGAAGGTGCTCGATTTCCCAGTATGGCCGTGGCATCGGGAGTATGGGCCGAGGTCATCCCTCTTCAAACAGCTTGGGATCTACAAGAGGTCCTCGTGTCGAATCCCAAAACGATGAAACAAGAGTTGGATCGTATCGGCTTCACGGGTGATGTGCCAGCTTCCTACAAGTCAAATCCCTTTGCTGCACACTTCGAGCTGCATATCGAGCAGGGACCTATCCTGGAAGACGAAGGCCTCAAGATCGGCATCGTTGAAGGTGAGCTATATACCATTCAACCCTGATATTTCAGAGCTAACGTTGTTACTTATAGGTGTCCAAGCATTCAAGTGGTTTACTATCACCGTCCGAGGTCGCGATAGTCACGCTGGCACAACGCCATTCTATGCACGCAAAGACTCAGTCCTATGCGCGAGTAAAATGATCGTTGCCACCAACGCTATCGCCAAACGTTTTGATGGATTAGCAACAACAGGTATCTTCACAGCAGATCCTGGTAGCCCCAACACAATGGCGCACACGGTGAGATTCACTCTTGACATACGCCACGTGCAAGACGAGATCCTCGCAAAGATTTTGCAAGAATGCGAGTCCGAGTTTCTTCGCATCTCAGAGCATGACAGCGAAAAGGGTTGCGAAGTCGGCTGGGAGCTCTTGGTTGACAGTCCAGCGGTGAAATTCGACAAGGGCTGTATCGCTGCTGTCGAAGAAGCCGCTGCCGAAGTTTGCTCTACTTTGCCGCAGAACGAAGCTGGAAAGCTTTGGAAGCCGATGATAAGCGGTGCTGGACACGATAGTTGCTTTTCGAATCGTAGATGCCCTACCAGTATGATCTTTACGCCTACAAGATCAGGGATTAGTCACAACCCAACGGAATATTGCTCACCGGAAGATTGGTATGTATCCTGCTTTGGAGACTCGGCATGCCCTATTTCGTGATTCGATGCTAACATTTTCTAGCGCGCTCGGAGCGAGTGTCTTAATGGGGGCCGTTTTGAGGTATGACAAATCGCGTAAGGTTAGGAAAGAATGAATGAGCAATTCTGCCCTGAAAATACGGTGCATCTATGCCAGTGTACCCCATAGAACTATGATACAGATAGTGTAGTCTTTGTCGAAGATAATTCATGAAAATTCCAATCTTATCCTGCCATGTTCAACACTAAAATGGTGGACTAGTGCCATCACGTGCCCTATTTAGCTATCGTTTCGGCTATCTCATCATCTCAATCCCCTCTAACTCAACCAGAACCTCGGGTCTTCGTCTGCGTCGTTATCAGCTCCAATGGATTACTCACAGGATCAATCCGCACAAAACACGCGTCACGTCGCAGGAACGCGCCGCTATCGCTCCAAGTCTCAAAGACCATGCGACTTATGCCGCACTCGTAAAGTGCTCTGTAACATCCCTGACCCTACGCGACCATGTCAGCTCTGTGATCGCATTGGAAGGGAATGCACCTTTGTTGGAAACCCAAATAAGAAGCCCAGGGATAGGCGTGTCCGTAGAGGGGTTGATGTTGAGGCCCTGCAATCCCCGAGTGCTATTCTTGCTGCCCAGACTGGGACGTCTTTTGAGGCTCAATCATACCATGGCAATGGCGACTTAGACGGTGAGGCGGTTCTGTCTCTTGATGAAAGCCAGGCTGACTGCGATGAAATGAAAGAGACTCAAACCCCCGTCAATGAGACTGGTTCCGGTATAACGCCTATCGCTGACATGTTATCTCAGCCCATCCTCTCTGATGAAACCGACATCAACTGGGATCTAACATTCAACCACCAAGACCAAGCCTTTGACTTTCTTACCAACGGCGAGTTACCCACTTTGGACTATGTAAACGAGCAGACACCGCCCGAGCTTCGCAATATTGCACATTCACCAAACATAACAATCACAGCGCAGGCTTCGACTGATCAATCCATACCCGTTGAGAGATTATCCATGGATCAAACAGCAGACTGCTCAACGTCACTTATTGGTTTCTCCAATGAATCGGATCCCTTTTCACTTGATCATTTTCCATACGGATCCAATGACGAAGTCGACTTTTTCCGCGTCACGTATCGTAGACAAGAGCAACAAGATCATGGACTAACGATTCACTTCCTGCAGAGTCAAACTGCGACAGCCGTCGAAGGGCAAAGGGTTATAGAAAAGTGCATATCCCCGCTTGATGACAGGAAGTATCTTGAGACATTAGTAGACAGGGAAACTGGAGTGGCTCTCGTGAAACTGCAAGTTATAAACTCTCTCAACTACAGCTATTTTATACTAACAATGTTGGTATCCAGATATTTCAGATTCGTCTTCAAATCCCTACCCATTTTGAGTAGCTCTCAAGTCTTTCCAGATCTGGATGCCTTTGTTTCAACAGCATCAACGGGCTTACTAGCAGGAATATACGCCCTCGCCCTTCCCTTCACATCATGGGACGAAAAGCTGTGTCTTGATAGCGCGTACTCCAAACCAGACATAAAGCAGCTCTGGCAAGTCTCGTACACATCTTTGCAAAAAGAGCTCCATTTCCCACGCCTTTCTACAATTCAGATATACATTCTTCTCCTCAACTATACACCTTTTGATGCAGTGTGTGTCGAGAACCCCTTCGTTTGGTCCCTTGCCTCCTCGATGCTGGCTATGTCGCAATCCCTGGGGCTAAATGTTGATCCGAAGGGTTGGAAATTACCAGATTGGGAGATAAGGTTGAGAAGGAGACTGTGGTGGGCTGTTTATGTAGAATATACTTGGCGGGCTGTAACGCATGGGCGGTGTTCCATGCTTTCGGACGACGATTGGAACGTGGCACCTTTGACAGAGGAGGATTTCCTGTTTGATGCGACAGCTCACGTGCCTGACTATGCGCAGGCTTTGTCTTATGATTACTTCGTCCAGCTTTGCTCACTCACGGAGATAACAAGCCAGATCTGTCGACAATTCTTGTCAGTCCTTCCCATTACTTACTTACTCTGTACTGACACAGATATAATTGCAGCTCATTACGGGCCGTGTCGCGTCCGCAGGTCCTTGAGGATCTTCTTGAACAAGCCCGTCGTCCTCGTCAGCAGCTCTTGGAATGGCTGCAAAGCCTCCCTGGATCCCTGGTCCTCACGCCAAAACCCACTGACATAGAAGCTGATACTGACGACTCGATCACAAGCCATAGATCCCTCTATGTCGCTTACTACACTGCTCATATCCTGATCTTGCGCGCTCTTCTCCGACCTATAATCGACAAGAACACATCTCTTGACCATCATGCACAGGAAACAGTTTTACAGTCGTGTCGCGGTCTCATACAAACAGTCATCAAGTTTATACGTGGACTGGATGCAAGACACCAGTCTGCCTTTTGGCCAGCTTATACGAGGAACTGTCTCGCGTATCCTGGTTTGTTTTGTTATATGCTCTGTTTGCAGAAGAGACAGCCGGAAATGTCGTCGTATGACCAGAATCTGCTTGCGACATGGAGAAGAACTTTGAGGACTAGAATGCAGTCCTGGCCGTTTTTGCGGTTCGCTATCGTCAAGGTTGACGCCATCTATTGGAAGAAGCTGTATTAGACATTTTGTCATAGGGGACTAAAGGATGAGACATCTAGGAGGAAGTATTGCCCATAACTAAGGTTTAGCTTCGCCATTCACTTCGAACCTTATACACTTACCTCCTTTTGCACTTTATTTATAGTTTCTGTAAGAACCTAAGTGTGACTATGTTGCATGCATTGCTTTATTAAATTATCACAATTGTCGACTGGTGTATCTTACTAGGTTTAATAATATAGACAAAGACTTTCCAGATCTGTCTTTGAGTTCACAAATTCTATTAATCTATATTACAGTCCAGCTTATAATCGATAACTAAAACCATGGCAAACTTCATTCGCCATATATATTTCGATCCACTATCTTCACCCACATTTTCTTCTCCTCTCCTCTCTTCAAATACTTTCTCCCAAATCTACTACTGGCAAGTTCAGTCCAACTACAACATCGTCAACCTGAAGCTTTCAAGCTACATCAAAGCAATGGACACCTTTCAAACTCTTCCGATCGAGATACGGGCCGAGATCCTTATCTACTTGCACGACCCAACCTATATTACTTCTCTCATCGAGGCATCTCCTTCTATGCTTGCGGCATACAAAGCGAACAGGAATTACATACGACGCATATTCTACGAGAATGAATTTGGCAAGGTATTGATGCAAGACGCGCTGGGCATCATTCTGTGTCCTACCTGTGAAGTCAATGCACCGTACATTTTTCAATCGATCAAAACACACGTCAAGCTTTGGCGATCTCAGAAATTGGCATACCCTATCGATAAAAGCCCCAGTACCATATTGGAGTCACTCGATAGACTCTATGACCGTCTGCATCAACAGATTCAAGAATTCCTCACGACGCCGAAAATAGCATGGCGCCATTGCTTCTGCTACTTCATGCCTCCGGCTAGAAGCTACTACGAAGTGTTTAGACTTAACAGCTCTACTAAGACCTCCATGCTTGATGGTTTAAGCAGTCGTGAAAAGAAACAATTTTACGTTGTTTTCCTGCGGCTACTGCTCAATGACGCATTGAAAGTCTATGCAAATTCCCACCTCCAAACGTATCCAACTACTGAATATGATTTACGGAGAACTACCATCAACATAGGGTTTGTTTCTGTGCCGTATAGCACTGACAATATTTGCAAAAACTTTTTCACTTTATGATCCGGCTCTCGACTATCAAACAGTGTGGAATAATCACAAGATAGAGGGCTGATAGACCACTTCATAAGGCAGATTTGTTTTGTGCTTAGGTTGAAAGAGCTTGTCTGTTAAATAGTTGTGGTCATCGTGCTTATTTGACATTCAGGGCGAAATTTGTTTTTCTTTGTGTTCTCTAGTCGTTCAATCTATTATCTCGATGATAATGTTGCAGCATAGAATATTTGTAATTCAGATTCCCGTTCAAACAGCGGTTTATGGGTGAGAATGTGTTTGGCGATTCATGTACTTTCATTTTAACTATGACTCGGGAATCCCGTCGATCTATTGTCCTTGGAATATTTCGTTTACGATAGGCACCATCACTAATTTGATACACGGGGTTTGTGCCAGCCAGACATTTTTCCCACACACAGTTTGTTTCTCAAAATGCCCATTACGAGAAGTACGATATTCTATCACGTCAGTTCCCAGTACGAGTTTGAAGTCAAGTATAAGGACACATTATAAATTCATTGACTATAATTAGATCCTGATGGCTAAAATTGGTAGTCGGCCCGGCTCGGTGTAGTCTCTTAGATCTTTGAGACGTGCTCGCCGGTCTCATGCTCAGCAGCCAGCTTCTCATCAATCCTCTCAGCCCTGCGGGCCAAGTCGGCCTGGTAATCGGCAGTGTACTGACTCTTGTTGACGGAAGGAATGAACCAAGGAGCGTTGGTGAAGAGATAGTTCATCTCCTCCAGAGGAATCTGCTTGGTCTCGGGAACGAAAGCCCAGACACAAAGAGCGTTGGTGAAGTTGCAAATGACGAAAACAAGGTAGTACTTCCAGCCAACAGACTTCATGGCAATACCGGTGACCTGTCCGATCATGGTGTTGAAAGCGAAAGAGGTCATAGTGGCAAGACTGACACCTTTGGCACGAGTGCGTGTGTCGAAAATCTCGGCAGGGATGATCCAAGACAGAGGTCCGCAAGTAGCCGAGAAAGAGAAGTTGTACGCCCAAGTAACGATGATGAAACCCCAACCTTGAGCAGCACTACCGGAACCAGGAGGATAGACGACCAGCATGATGGTGGCGATGATAAAGGTCAAGCAGTTGAAGAGATTACCATAGATCAGAGTCCATCGACGACCGAATCGATCAATGAAAGCGATGCAAAGACCCTGTGCAATAAGCGCAATGATGGAGTTAATAGCCTGGTACTTGAGGGCATCAGCAGCGTTAATTCCAGCTTGCTCGTAGATAGCAACAGAGTAATACTGAATAGCTGAGACACCAGTCATCTGAATGGAGGCCTGAAGACCACAAGCGATCAAAAGACGACGGAAGCAAGACATGTCTCGGAACAGCTCCATGTAGGACTTGGCCGAGTTGGCATGTTCGTCGGCGATGCTTTCCTGGATCTGCTCGATCTCCGCACGAACCCAGGGGTCATCGACGTTGCCATTGGAGTGCAGACGAGCCAGGGTGTGCAGAGCCTTTTCCTGCAGACCCTGGTCCATAAGCCAACGAGGAGACTCGGGGAAGATGAAGATGAGGGAACCAAGGAGGAGCGCGGGGACGCACTGGATTCCGAGAGGGATTCGCCATTGTCGGTCGTCGGTGTAGTGCATGTATGTACCCCAACCACTCCAAGAAGCGATCAGTGCACCAATACCCAGCATGAATTGCTGGAGAGCGGTGACTCGGCCTATTGTGTAGCGAGACGGTTAGCTCAGTTCATTTATGCTTATTAAACTGGGTACTGGAAGTGGGGATATGGTACGCACCTCGAATCGAAGGATGGGCAATTTCGGCTTGGTACAGAGGAATGATCATGGTCAAGAAACCGACACCGAGACCAGCGAGGAATCGACCAGCCATCAGGTATGAGATTTGAGGAGCGCCAGTCTGAAGAGCACCTCCGAGGAGGAAAATGATGGATCCGATGGTGATGGTCCATCGTCGACCGAGGTATTCAGCAGTGGGACTGGCGAATCCGGCGCCGAAGAAGGCACCTCCTGTGAACAGAGCTACAACAGCTCCGCTATCATGGTCAGCATCGCGAAATGATCAAATTTGTGAGTGTGTCTTACGTTTCAGGGGAGCCATCATCTGTGTTGAAGGTCTTTTGGTAGGACTGCGATGCAATGACCTGAGCGATAACACCCAAATCATAACCGAAGAGGAGCGATCCAAAGGACGCGAACACTCCGACGAGGAATTGATAAACCTTGGGCTTCATGATGGCTTCAATTAATCAATGATTGTGCAGATGCAGGAGGAGATTGATCGACAGAGGGCGGGCTCCACGATATTTAAAGGTTTTTCGCATTGCCTGCTACCCCAGAAACTTTACTAAACCCCCAGGTTTTCGGTACAAATAAAGGACATCATGGGTTTTCCTTGCGCGCCAATGAACTACTTGGTAACGATATTAGACCAGGATACTAAACGTGCTATACACGCGGAATAAAGTGTTGGTTAGCGCATCAGGTGCCCCATGGGGAAAGGAATACAGTTATTGCAAGACTTGATTGCAAACTTCAGAGCAAAACGCGACAGGAATAGTGAGAGACACGCTAAAGTGCGCCCATTCTACAGCGCGTGACAGTTGGTAGAAGCGCATCTCGCTGATTGGAGCGCAAGAATAACTGGCGCAGAAGATCATGAGGGATGCGGAGAAGGACGAATTATCCACCAGTCTTGAGCAAGGGTGCTTCCTGCTCGGTAATGGTATGTCGATCCAACGGGCGGGGTTTCAGCTTGTTGACTTTGACGCTATTCTCTTTCTGAAGCTATCGTCCGAACAAGTTATTGGTTGGGTTGGTCATGTCACCAGGGGAGACGAGGAAAGGAATGTCTGTCGGGTGCCACCCCGATGTTCAAGACATGGGATGACTTGGCAGGAAAGTCTAGATGGACGATCATAACTTTGAGAAGAGTTTGACAGGTGCCTAAGGGCTGTAGTATAGAGGCACAGAGAGGGTGCATTGGAGTTCGGATGTACAATTCTGATGAGAGTAACACTGGGCCCTCTTTGACTGTGCTTTTAGCCAATGGAAATGGTTTAACTAAACTAGGGTTATGCATTACCCCGGATCCGATGCACAATGCAGAAAGACTTGTTCGAGTTATCAGCTGTGAGTTGAGATGACATGTCGGTAAACGATCCCGACCATATAAACAACAACACGTCAAAACCAGTATTATATATGCTTCGATCTATTAACAGAAGTATTATGCACGAAAATAAAGTATTCTCAACTTTATAAAGAATGAGATTGCTGATGCAACGCGTCCTATAAGTTAAACGCGTCAAGTCATTCCTCCATGTAGGGTAACTTATCCCATTACTCGGCCGATACGACATGGGTAACAATACGTAGTTCGGACAATCACTGCTACTGATTGGCCATTCCTAGTTACAAATAGCGACGAGGCTGGAAACGCCACGTGAGTGACGGGCTGAAGAGAACAGAGGTCTAGACCTCAGAGAAACTATCCCCTTCGCATCTCACCGCATCCCAACTAATTGGTAGAGAAAGTGAATTATCTCTTTATTGGGATTTGTGCATTAATTGCAGGAACCCCAGATCATCTGATGATCAATAAGGCGTAAAACGTCAAGCTCAGTTTGGCCAAGTTGACCTTGCTGCTGTTGGTTCTTGAGTCCGATTAGCATGTGAATGACCCATCTTGCACTTCAACTGAATTACCATTCTGGGTTAGTCTCATAGCTCAACTCATTGACGTCACTCTCATTGGACCGGATGGTGAATGTTCTTCTAGCTACAGCATTTGCGAGAGAGGCTGCCAAACTATCGATTCATGATAAACGCCACCGGCACTTTTGACAGCGAGCTTATTAGCGCTTTTGATAACTAGACTGAGAACTTCTCCAACCTAAGGCAAGAGTAGAGATGACGCGATGGGGCTTGCGCGTGGCTGTCTTGCACAGATCCACGAGTCAGCCCAACGGAAAGGGTACATGGCGGCTCTTCAAGACGGCGAACTGAGTGTGAGTTGAGGTAATAAATTAATTGACCGCTCTGAATGAAACTAAGTATCTGAAAAGAATGATTCTAGAAAACTATTGAGTAACGCGAATAGTCGAAGCTACACTCGGTACACCCGCCGAGTTGATCACAAACAACATCCAATAACCAGGTAAAGCAATTCCAGTGTCACTAGGAACCTGGAAAGAATAGCTATTTCCTCCGTTGTTCATCAGAGTCAGAGGAATACGGCGCTGGTCAGTATTGACTGTATGAGTCGCTGTACCATAACGGATCAACGACGCCTTTCTAATCGAATAATCTGTTGAGATTGTAACCCTTCCACCGACCTTGACGCTCTGTGTAGAGGTCCTGGTGATCTTCGGACGCGTCGCGAGGTTACCGTTACTATCGTAGAGATAGTTTGGCGTAAAGATCTGCGCGTCAAAATGATTCGTAGTACAGTCGCCGCAAAGACCACCGCCGCCATTAAACACCCTACCATCAGGCAACAAAAGGGAAATGCTGTGATATACACGAACAATAGAGTTGGGGTTTTGCTTGTAGAAGGTGTCTTGCTCAGGGACATAAATCTCTGGTGTCAACACGGGCGTTGAATCCTCAAACGGAATTCCACGTCGCTGGCCTCCTGTAATAAACGTGCTTCCATCTGGAAGAACAACAGAGGTGTGAAAGGTTCGGGCAAAGTACAAGCCATTGCTAGCAAAGACAGTCTTGGGTGTTGATCCAGGTTCACCAAGCGTAATGATGTGAGCGTTGGTTGTGGCGTCAGAGTCTTGATAGTCTGGGGAACCACCAAAAGTCAGGATCTTGCCCTGAACTGCGTCGTACATGACAGCGTTTCCGCACATGGCATCAGGGGCCACCCCGCGGTTGGATTGACGTTTACCGGCTGACTTTACGTCACCACTTCCACTGGTATAGTACCAGTTCATGGCAGTGCTTGGTCCTGCTTGGAAAACTGATCCCTTCTTCCAACCAAAAAGCCACGCGTGGTTGTCCGAACGGTACAATCCCTGCTTATCAGCTGTCAACATGGGGTTGACCTTGGCATTGGGTAGGGACGTCCATGTCTTTGAAGACGGGCTATAGACTTCGCCATTCTTCTCAAAGATGCCACCGCTCCAAGAACCGCCAATAGTAAAAACGCGACCGTCTGACATGGTAGCTGATGACTGATATCCACGAGCAACTTGCATGTCAGGTCCTGGAACCCAGCTATCGCTAGGTGAGTCGTATAGACTTGTCTTTTTGGCGTCATTACCACCTGTGACCACGATCTGACCGTTGCCATCCATGGAGATACCAGGACAGAACATATCATGCTTGGTGACAGTCACAGTGCGGTCAGAAACAATACCGCTGGATGGATCCCAGGAAGAAGTCAGGGTGACACCGCCAGGGGAGCCTCCAAATGCATCATTACGGTATGAAGACCACATAAGGACACGGCCCGATGTAGGCTCGATGGCAGCAGCCGCAGGAACAATCGGCAAGTCAATAGTCGGACCCCAGCGTCCAAGACCTGGCTGAGGGGCTGTGTAAGAACTAGCCTGGTAGACGTTGATCTCGGCAATGCTAGTCCAAGGCTGGCCATTAGCCTCAGCGAGAGCGACCAGACGAACATAGCGAGCAGGACGAGTTTCAAAATTGGAGTATTTGGTTGTGGAATCGGCGAACCAACTGCCAGTAGCAACTGGGCTTCCCCAGGTTTTACCATCGGAGCTTAGATAAACTTCGTGGCGACCGATCCAGCCGTTTTGGCTGCCATCTTGTCGAGGCAACATAGACAAGCCATTGACGTTCTGGGTTGTCTTCATGTCAATATTGTAAGTGTGAGGGGGCTTTGGATCTCCATTGGCTCCATAGAATGTATGCCAAAAAGTATCACGGTTGCCATCAATGGCTTTGTTGCACTCATTTCCTGGCTGTGCACTGTCGCAAGTGACGGCCCAGTTGTTACGAGAGATGGCGCTTCCAATGGGTGCTGAGGCCCTAAGACTCAAGAACTGGAGGCTGCCTTCAGGCTTTTCAGCTCCTGAAGCCTTGTGAGGGTTGTTGATAGCGACAGCATTGATGCTGCTGAAGCAAAGAGCGAGTGTCAAAAGGTGTTTCATTTCGACATCAAGAGAGACGAGAAGTGATGGGAAGAATGACCCGAACAGATAATGGGGCAACAAAGGCAGAAGAACAGTAACTGGTATCTTCAAGTCTTATATACCTAGGCAGATACAATAGAAACCGTTTGCTGATCAGCCATCGCGGGTAGATCATGTTTTAGCACCTGTACGTTTCAGGTTCCCCCATATTACCGATATCCTAGTTTGCATTACTAGCTGAGGCAACTGCATTTGGAGTTAATTTTGGAAAATTAATTCTTTCTCATTGGTCACATATGTCCGTGGCGTTAAAACGAAATTACCTGTTCGTGTTATTTGAAGCCGCTCAGACGTAGAGGGTGGGCGAGTTTGAAATCACGAGAACTAATTCACCGTTGTTCGTCTGTGCGCTGAAGATCGATAGCCAATTCACAGTAAGTGGCGTTCAAAGCTGAAAGTTTATGGCCCAGCTTCTCGAGGCCCTTCCCGGATGGTCCTTGCATACCCGCCAGCCGATCTGCAAGGCACCGCTTTAGAAGCAAACTATGACAGAAGAATCTGTCCATTGGACGCCACCAGAGACCGCATGATCACCTCAGATCATGTAAGAACAGTCTGGAGGCCCCTTATAAATGCAATAAAATGCAGCCAAGCCTGTTGCTTCAGCAATTTTATCAGCTCGGTCTGATATGCATAGTGACTTGATGTAAAAGTGTCAATAGATGTTACTCTCTACTTACCACAAGGCACTTCCTTCGTACCGGTCTAGTAATCAGCCAACTCCAACGGCTCATGTAACTAACACGACCTATTGACCGACGGAGTCCGGCAGTGCCTCGTTTAGATACCACTAGCTGAAACTCTCCTTGAGGATCCACAGGCACTGCCGAATTTCATCGGCTGATACAAGCTATGAGAAGTATGGGCTTTCATTTCCGCGATTCCGCAGTTAACTTGAGTGCTTATCAAGTTTATTGACAAATGCTATACGCTGTGGGTTGCGCATTAGATACAACGTAACACAGTAAGGTCTTTTAAGCCTCATGGCTAAACTTGACAACTGGGACAGGCTTATGTTCTTATCTAAGAGAAGTAATTTTTTATTTATGCGATCTCCTCTAGGGCGTTGTCTACACATCAGCAACGTCTTTCGCCAAAACGAATTCCCATCGACGAATTTGATCAAGCCAATGACAATGCTTTTGATCTACTGACCTCCGTGCCGCGGGCGCGAAGCCGGGACTCTAGCGTGCGAAAGTTTGTGGGTTTAATAAAAACGTAGCGAGCATGGAGGCTTTGGGATTTCGTGATTGTTTTGATTCCCTCGATGTCAATATCAAGCAGTACTATAGAGCCTTGTTTTTGCTGAGACGCAATGTTCTCCTTGCTTGTGCCGCAATAATTTCCACTGAAGTAGGTGTGTTCGATGAAACTGTCGTTTTCAAGCAGATTCAAAAACGCAGACCGAGGAACAAAATTATATGCCATACCCTCGACCTCTCCAAGGCGTGGCTTTCGTGTCGTATGAGAAAAACCCAAAGAGAATTTTCCCGGATGCGAGTCAATGAGCTTTTGAATCAAGGTGCCTTTACCAACTCCCGAAGGCCCAGATATGACAATGGGGCGGTGGTAAGGAGCAGCTGCAGGTGAAATCATGTTAGAACAACAGGTTCTGGTACTGGAGTGGTTGTGTGTACCTTGAGGGTGTGTAGAAGCCATGACTGTTGATGATGATGGTTGATGGTTAGATGTGAGCTGAGAGTGTGACAAAAGGATGAAGAATGAAAAGTCCAGTCAAGATTCGAAGACTTCAATAAATACGCGAAATCTGACTGAAGCACAAACGATTTTATCTTTGTAGATTATGGTAATTAATAACTATAAAGTTTAATATACAAAACCTATTCTCGAGCAATCTTCTTATGGCACTGAAATGTCATTTATCTTCTACTATTTTTTCAAGATTTTTGTTCTTTAAACTTATGTCTAAGCCTTTTTAATAAACTTAAAAATTCTACACTTGAGGTACTGAAGTATACAAGATGCGTCTGCATTCAACCTCCCTTGCCCACATCCTCTTTGCATCACAATGGCTACTGGAAACGATAATGCGGATTGCGCCTCTATCTGGGGTGATTTTGTTGGTTCAGACGACAAGAGCAAGATTGAGTATGCATCCGAACCGGCGGAGCGATACGAGGAGGGACTCTATTATCTAGTCTGCATCGGAGAGGTCCTTGCCAACAGGTATCGCGTTGAGCACAAACTAGGCCATGGCGGATTCTCAACAATCTGGATGGCGCATGACATGGTTAGCGACGAGGATGTTGCTCTCAAGATCATGTCACCTGGGCCTTTCGGCCAGCGAGAGCATACCGCGCAGAACATTATTGCCGGTGCTGTGCAGGACACTTCCCGCCTCTTGATATACCAGAAGACATTTAGGCTACCCGGCGCCTCTAAGACACACCATAGAGTCCTGGTTTTCCCTTTTCTGGGTCCTAGCCTGCGGACATATGCCTCTTCCATGTCTACTGCCCCTCGGAGATCGTCTGCCAAGCAGCTACTGCAGGCCATCAAGGCGCTACACGACGGCGGAGTCGTGCATCGAGGTATGTTGACTATGCAATTCTAATCATGTCAATCTGAAACATCTTCTAACTCATGTGGATACAGACATCAACAGCGCTAATGTCTTGTATGGACTTACTCCTTTCAAGAGTGGCACCACTGTAGCTGGCAAGTACGAATATCTCGGGCGTCCGCGGAAGCCCATGTGGAAGGCCGGCCAGCTAGTCATGCCTATAGCTCCGCATGAATCTCTGGTGAAGGCGACTGTAACCCTCGCTGACTTTGGACTGGCTGCCAAGTCTGACACCTCCGTGGAGTGCAAAGTCCAATCGCCTGCCATCTACTGCGCCCCAGAACGTCTTCACAATGCAGACGCGGGCTATGCCTCCGACATGTGGAGCCATATGTGCATCTTTGCTGAGCTCTGCTTAGGCGTTCCATTGTTCTTCGGATCAGAGTACTCCTCAGTCGTTGACTATATTGTGGAATGCCTTGGACCTTTCCCTTCGGACTGGAGGGGCTCGTATGAGGGTGGTGGGCAAAACGACGAGTCATGGTATGACCAGAACAGACGGCCATATCCCCGTCAAGCTCTTGAAGCTAAGCTAAAGCGTGCACTGTATAACATCAGCCCTGTCGAGCAGCAGCTAGTGCTCTCGATACTGCGGAGGGGTCTATCATATTCCCCTGAGCACCGCTTTAGTGCCGGGCAACTTCTTGAGGATGTATCTTTCAAGGAGCTAATGGCCTTGCATGGACTTTAGAAATGGGTACTGACATATCCATAGTTGCCTTGAAGAAAAGAGAAACAAATCTATCGCAAAGGACAACTGCAGTACAGCTTCCCGATTTAAACAAAAGAACTTTGGTTATCTATTACGTCACGCTCGAAAATAGAAATGGATTAGGAAATGTAACTAGAATTATTCAACTGAGCTTCCTGAATCCTCTGATCCTGATGGCTCAGGACCTTGGTATTGATAGCATAAATAGTGGGTACTGCAAGGGAAATAGTGAATTCCGGGTTGTAAAACTTGGTATAGGCGAAGCTGACAGTTTCAATTTGGAAAGGATCGCTTTCTATATCGAATCCGCGCATTGGAAAATAATCCTCAGAATCCTTTGGAACTTGGCATGCGGGATCTAGGTAGTGCCGGGAGTTATCCGCTCATGGATCATAATCCTTCGGGGGCTTATGGCGTAAGCTCAATGGTGACTTTCAGGTTGGGCAACCTGGTCATTCGATTCCTTTTGTATGTCGCAATTGCTATAAGTTCGATCCGATCCTGTTTGCGATGTACTGATACTACTTCTTCGATTTCGGACCAACAGGCCTCGGCATCTCCCACTCTTATTGTCACGAGAACTTGTTAGCGATGAACTCTCACAACGATACAACGCAACGTATGCGGTCGAATCTCATGGATCAGGCACCAGATTCCCTCATACCATATGCCTTGGTCACCCTACTGGCCGTGATGGTGTACTGGTCTCAATTCACACAACCGAAGGATTTGCTCAACCCACGAAAAACATTCGAGTTCAGCAACATACCGCGACTTAAAAGATACATGGAAAATAGTAACAGTCTCGACACTCTTGCTTCTGGGGCCGCGCGATTCGTTGGGAAGCCGTATAGACTGTTCTGCGAATGGGGAGAGTTGACGATTCTTCCACCCCAAATGATCGACGAGATCAAGAGCGACAAGAGATTTGACTTTGGCGCAGCAGCTAGTGATGTAAGCCGGTATCATCAGAAGTGGACACAGCTTCGTTAACGTTATTCAGGACAACCACGCCTACATCCCCGGATTTGGTGCTCTCATGCATGATCCCGTCATGCCAAAGGTCATCGGACGACACTTGACCAAGGCTTTGGGTTTGTACTACTGTACTCTCGTTCTAATAACGTTCGCTGACAGTGGAACATGTAGCCAAGCTCACGAGTCCCTTGTCTGATGAAGCCGCTCTCGTTATGCAAAGTGTCATTACTGACTCGACTGGTAAGCGCCTCGTCCGGTACTTGACACACGAGCTAATCAATTGTCGCTAGAATGGCATACTCTCAATCTTAACGAGCATATCTCTACTATTGTTTCACGTATGTCCTCACGAGTATTCATGGGCGAAGAACTTTGCCGTGATGAAGGATGGAATAACGCCAGCGCGTACTACACTAGGAAAACGTTCGAAGCCATGATGATTCTCTGCGTCATTCCCCGCTGGCTGCGCCCTTACATCCACTGGGTTCTCCCCCAATGTCGAGAGGTGCGACGAGCATTGACCGCTGCCCGCAAAGAACTAAACCCTCATATTGAACGTCGAGAGAGAATCAAGGCTAAGGCACTAGCCAGAGGCGAGAAACCTCCCTTCGATGATGCGATCGAATGGTTTGCTCAGTCTGGTTCTGAACTACCGCCTGCTGATTGCCAAATTGCGCTGACTCTAGCCGCTATCCACACTACTACTGATCTTCTATCACAAACAATGGTTAATATCGCTACGTATCCTGAGATATTCACAGCTCTTAGGGAAGAAATTATACAAGTCCTGTCAGAGCAAGGTCTGAAGAAGACAGCGCTAGCTGATCTCAAACTGATGGATAGCTTCCTGAAAGAGACACAACGGATGAAACCCATTCTCATAGGTTAGTAAGAATACTCGTTGACACTATGTTTGGCTACTAACAAGCCAATTATAGGATGGAGAAGGCGAGCCCTCGAAGACATTACGCTATCAAACGGAACGACTGTCAAGAAAGGTAACAAGGTTGTAGTCACAGCTACCCACATGTGGAGTGATGAGAACTACACCAACGCCAAGACATTCAATCCTTACCGATTTGTTCCCAAGGACAACGAACAGATGTCTTACTTGGTGAACACAAGTCCAAATCACCTCGGATTCGGTCACGGCTTGCACTCTTGCCCGGGACGCTGGTTTGCCTCCAACGAAGTCAAGATCGCACTTTGTCATTTGCTTCTAAAGTATGATTGGAAGCTTGTCGACGGCAAGAGGCCTGAGCCAGTGGCCTTCGGAATGGCTTATGTGGCCAACCCAGAAGCAAAACTACTTATTCGAAGACGGAAGGAGGAGCTTGATTTGAGTACATTGGAGTATTGAGGGGAACTTTACCATGGATGCTACTTTGTGCCTCAACACTAGGGGCCAACTGACTGTTCGTCACTATCCGAATCAACAATAGTAGATGTTTCTAAAAAGAAATATTTCTGGCTACATGCTAATAACTCGTATTTCAAAAATACCTTCACACCATGTCTCAAGGTGCATTTGTTGGTTGCATAGGGACATGAAGAACAAGACGAAACAGGAAATGATGAGTTGCTGCCGGCCAAAGTCTGACATATTCGATGGAAAATCAGAAGATTTGAAAGATGGCGAGAAGGATTCCAATAGGAAAATGATGCTGAGAAGAACTTTGTTGGCGATACTTATCATATTCCCATACGGTCTGGGTTGGATTGGACAAGGGCTGGAGTTTTAGCGTGCTAGGCTTCGCTGAGTGCCCTGGAGATTGAGTGGGTCTATATTTAGTGGTCTAGTCTTATGACGTATTGCATATCGCGTCACAGCAAACAAATACATTCAGCTACTGATTCTTCTCTGTATCAGCACATCACACACAAGACAATGGCAGACTTTTCAGCCCGAAGACGAGAGAACATTGAAAATAACGCGCTTCTTCTCAAGGATATCAAACCCTTAATTCCCAAGACAGAACCTCGCTCAGCCGAAACCAATACCAGTACCAAAAACAACAAACGAAAGGCGAACCCACCGCGCGCGCCTACAAGACAATCAAGGCGCATAGCTGAAGCTGTATCAAAGCCAACATATGACGACAACGACGATGACTATGACAGCGTCCGTAGAACTTCTTCACGAAGAAACGCCCCTCGTGTGAAAAGAAGCCGAGATTCTAGTCGAGCTCTTCCCGGGTCGGATTCAGACTCCGAAACCAACCCCGAACCTGTAAAGGATGTGGAATCAATCATAGCTGGATGGACTGCATGGGAACCTGAGAGCGAAGAACCGATTCGCGATATCGATGGAACATTCCGTTTCGAGTCGCATCCTGATTTCCGCCCAAACAAATCACCGGAGGAGATCATTCGCGAGGGAAGCTTTGGTGGATCCTACTGGAGACCTCTGTACTCAAAGCGCCTTAAGATCACCGTGAAAGACGATTGGAAAGAACTCCCAGAGTCATGGACAGCTGGCCTGGACGTGGATACATATCTCACCAGTACCACTTACGACCCAGAGATCAACAAATACGGAGTGCAATGTGGACAAAGCATCGAAGAATGGGAGGCAGCTGGCTGGATTGCTCACGAGTACGATGTTCGGGGTTGGTTCCAGTGGTACTGTCGGTTTTACATGGGTCGTCGCTGTGCCGATGACGAGCGCCAGATCAGCCGCTGGAAGAAATGTGTAGGCGAGACTGGTCGCTGGCGAAGGATCTTGCTCAAGAAATATGTTGCTCTTGGGATACGGAGTGTGTTTGCTGATGACGATGGGGAGGATGAGGATGGACCTGATGTGAGTCCTGTGGTACATCAGACATGCCATCACTGGGCGTATGAGGTCCACCAGGACGCTCTGGATCGTTTTTGGGCTGATGGAAAGTAACGGTGCATAGAGGCCAGAGACAATGAACGCTATTCAAATAATGAATCAGGAGGTTGATGTAGTCCATGCTTAGATTCTACGTATATGGTTAAGCAAGCTGTTTAAACCACTAGTGAATAACAGCATACAATGCCAGGGCTACTAGTGCCGCACTTCCTCGTGCGAGATTACACTTCTGCTTTCTATAATAGAAAATGCGATTCACGTTCAAGCTGCCACTGCGCACATTCTAAATTCATGACGCATTGAGATGAAGGAAATATATCTCTGAAGCAGAGGATCTATCTGAAACTTTGAATCGAAGACTTTTAAATGCAAACGTCTCTCGTAACTCACCGCAGCCCAGTTGAGTCAGATAATCAGCCATCTCTGTAGCTATATAAACCCTCGACACCCTCGCCAAGAGGAACAATCTTACCTCCTCATCAACTCATGCATGCTAGAAACCATCAACCCGATAACTAAACTAAACTTAACAAAATGCCTGAACCACACTCGCCTGGACCTGCTACGCCTCGTCCCCCTGTCCCCATTCCTCACCCAGACCCGCCACCTCCCCAACCTCCTTCTCCTGACTCTGACTAGTCACGACGGACTCGGACGGGGATAGGTATCTGTTCAGGATTTGGTACACCGGAATTACGGTAGATTTGGGCATGTGTTCGCATAGACGATGAAATAGAAAACTCCAAATACAATTATTGCTTAACTCGAACTTGCATACGTGATGATTGCTGCACGCTTGGTCGATGTCTAAAAGAATAAAGTGTGACGGGAGTATCGCAGCAGAAGACTCTCTCTTTAGGAAGTGAACTAATTTTGACAGCAAGGGTCCCGCGGGGTAGCCGATGGAGTATCATGAAGCATTTCCACTCGAAGAGCCGCGCTGCCACTTGCCCAAAAGCTAAGCGTAGGATGTCTTTACGGATATAAGGTGGGACTGTGAACCAGAAGCATGATTCCTGGAACCGGGATTTGGGACCCTCCGATGAATGACAGGAGGTCAATGCTTCAGGTGAGGAGTGGAGAGTTTTACCACTTGTTGTTGTACGCGTGATTTCAGGTGCAGTTAAGTTCCTCTTGACGTCTCTGATTTTGACTTCGACGACTATTCCTCATAATGACTTTTCTTACTAGAATAAAGAACTATACTAGAGACTGTCGCGATGTAGGATCCAAGATCCTGTGAGATTAACATTGGGTCTAAAGAATTGGGCTTCCCCACCGCTACATAACCCATCAACGGGGGATCTAGACTAGCGGGTCACTGATACGCGCACCCTGGGAATTGAATGTTCTTTTCCACGGTCTCATAGATATTCTCACCACAGCAGAACTAAGAGCAATACTAGAAGATCTAATAATTCATTAACGTAGTATATCGTTGGAGATGGGAAAGATCAATTTTATGGACAATAGGGAATTGACTATCGAAGAATGAATATCAACTTCTCTTCAGGACTAGCCGTATGACCGAGATTATATAAACTCTTTCTGTACATAGGGTAGCATCATTGGAATACAAGTCTGGATCAGTTAGCCACTTGATGGAATTTGAAAAGTCAAATATGTTTCAAATTGCTAGCGGCACGATCCTGGTATACCCGGATTTATCGCAGTCAAAAAATACTGTCTTTCCGTGCCTTACCCGGACTTGAGGTAGCAAGATCAACAGCATTGGACTAAATTTAAACAGGAGTCGATCATAATACTGTAGCCATGTTGTTATGTGATCAGATGCAGAAGTTTGCCACTGTCACGAAGTATACAGATATGGTATGTGGGAGCCGCTGCGGGACGGTGGATATTTCTAAGTATGACGATCTGCAACTTATTTCTTAACTACACCAAAACCCCTGAGCTTTTACAACGTTGCGCTGTTGCGTATCTCCTAGTTGTTTATGATCTCAATTTGTTTTCTTTTAGTTTATACTAATCTGTATTACTTCTCACATCTGATGATAATGACGCGACTGATAGAACTACCAAGCTGGAAGCTTTCCAAATACAGGTTTGTTATGTTGCTTGAAAGAACCTACCCGGGACTTGACAGTGGATCATGGTAATTAAACATGACATCCAACCAACATTACTGGGTCATGTCTTTATTCTGAATTTTCAACGGTAAATTAATTGCGGAGGATATAATCCGGACACATTAAAACGTCCACAATTAACCACTCGGACCGTAGTAATGTCTATGCTTCTTGATAAGAACGGCGACTATGGCTTTGTCCCTCCCGAAGGCAACCTGAACCATGGCATCATCGCATCAGCAGATCAGACGAATCCACACGGAAGACGGGCCATGCACGTGTCGTCTCTTGTTCCTGACGATTAGACTAAACCAGATACTCACCAAGAATCGGACAAATTACCAAAGGCCGCAGGAGAGATAGATCAAGAAAGGGGTCACCAGGGGTTGTACCCCTGTCGTAGATCATTGATGCGACACCAACAATACCTACCCCCTGCATCGCCACAAGCGGGCGTTGGATCAACTAGAGTTAAAAATGCAACGCCATGCGGCTCACTAACCTTGTTTCGCCTCCAAAGCCGTTGGACGGAAACCACGCGAGTCCCTAGCAAGTAACGGATGTACGGAGTATCGCTGTAGAGAGCCACCATTCTCCGGTACTATTCCCTTCGCAGTTACGATTCTTTTATGCAATGTGGTGAATGTTACTTTGACGATGGGTTCAGACGGTTGAAGATTGCGCCGAATTGCAACATCTTCACTGCAGATCCAAGAAAGTCATCTATAACGTCTTGGCTATAGCTGTAATTGGTTCTGGAAGTTGTTATTTCTGGAATTTGTGTGACTCTCCTTGATACAGTTGCATCGCATATGCCTGTAATCATATGTTCGTAGCCTCGGTATATGGGCACTGCCGACGTCGACATAGGAAGTATCTGCATGGATGTTTCGGCTGAGAATGCAGGACTCTCGGTATATCCAACTGTTTAAATACGCAAGACATGTCTACCGTTTTCTTTTTCCAGTCATCAGTCGATCTCTGACCAGTCATTCCTTCCTTAGTCCTTCTTTGACGACTAGACCTATCGCATTACAGGGAAACCACTCCTTTAGTTCCCTTGTTTAAGTTTTTGTTTACTGGATCTCGATTAATTAATTAATTCACCATGAGACAATCCTTCCTCACCGGCCTTCTGGCCGCCCCCCTGTCTGCCTATGCAGTTGCCCTTACTGGCTACGAGTACATCGTTGTCGGTTCTGGTGCTGGTGGTGGTCCTCTGGCCGCCCGCCTCGCCATGGCTGGCCACAAGACCCTCCTCATCGAGGCTGGTGATGACTACGCCACCACCAACTACACCGTCCCTGCCTACTCAGCCAACGCTTCCGAAGACCCCGAGATCTCTTGGAACTTCTTCGTCAAGCACTACGCCGACGATGAGCGACAGGCTCGTGACTTCAAGACCACCTACGACACCCCCAACGGAGAGTACACTGGTCTCAACCCTCCCGCTGATGCCAAGCTCAAGGGTACTCTGTACCCCCGTACTCAGGCTCTCGGTGGCTGCACTGCTCACAACGCTCTGATCGCTGTGTACCCCCACCAGTCTGATTTTGAGTACATTGCTTCTCTCACTGGCGATGACTCTTGGTCCGCTGAGAACATGCGAAAGTACTTCGTCAAGGCTGAGGACAACAACCACCTTCTCCCCGGTCAGCCCGGCCACGGTTACGATGGATGGTTGAGCACCGAGAATGCCCCTCTCAGCATCCCTCTCGGTGATGCTCAGCTCATGAGCCTCCTCGTCGGAGGTGCCACTGCCCTCTCCGAGGTTAGCGGTGAGCTTCTCACCATGGAGACTCTCATTGCTGGCGATGCCAACGCCGACTCTCTCGCCCGTGACCAGAAGGCTGGTTACTACCAGATCCCTCTCTCCACCAAGTCCGCCAGCCGTGTTGGACCCCGCGAGTTCATCCTCTCTGTCCGCGATGCCAAGTTCGAGAACGGCACCAAGCGATACCCTCTCGATGTCCGCACCAACGCCTACGTTACCAAGGTTATTATTGACGAGTCTGAGGACACTCCCCGTGCTACTGGTGTTGAGTTCCTTGACGGCAAGCACCTCTACAGCGCCAGCCCTCTCTCCACCGGTGCTGCTGGTGTTGCTGGTAACGCTACCGCTTCTCGTGAGGTCATTGTCGCTGGTGGTGTCTACAACACTCCCCAGATCCTCAAGCTCAGTGGTATTGGACCTGCTGATGAGCTGAAGAAGTTTGACATCCCTGTCGTTGTCGATCTCCCCGGTGTCGGTACCAACCTCCAGGACCACTACGAGATCAGCGTCCAGGGCAACACTCCTGAGAACTTCACTGCTTTCGACGGCTGCACTTTCAGCCTCTTCACTGATGAAGACCCTTGCCTTGACCGCTGGAGGAGCCCTGTCCTCGGTGACCACGGTATCTACTCCTCTTCCGGTCTCGCTGCCACCATGTTCTACAAGTCTTCCACTGCTGAGAAGGACAACTTCGACATCTTTGCCTTCGGTGGACCCGTCAACTTCCGTGGTTACTTCCCTCAGTACGCCGTCAACGCCACCATCGAGCATGACTGGTTCTCCTGGGCCATCCTTAAGGCTCACCCCCGCAACACCGCTGGCAACGTTCTCCTCCGCTCCGCTGACCCTCTCGATACCCCCGACATCACCTTCAACTACTTCGACACTGGCAACGGTGACTCCGACAAGGATCTCCAGGCCATGTACGAGGCCGTTGATCTTGCCCGTAAGGCTATCGCCAGCCAGCCTGTCAAGGTCCAGGAGGCTCTCCCTGGTGACCACGTCAAGACCCAGGAGGACATTGAGACCTACATCAAGGACAACACCTGGGGTCACCACGCTTCTTCCACTTGCCCCATCGGTGCTGATGATGACAAGATGGCTGTCCTTGACTCCAAGTTCCGCGTTCGCGGTGTTGCTGGCCTTCGTGTCGTTGACGCTTCCGTCTACCCCCGCATTCCCGGTACTTTCACCGCTGTGTCTACCTTCATGGTGGCTGAGAAGGCTGCCGACATCATGATCGCTGAGCTTGAGGAGTAAGTCAGTGGCGCTAAATAAGATAGATGTGATAAAGAGACTCATGTAGTATAATGCAAGATCCAATTTCGATACCCATATGCATAGTTCCATGTGTGATTTCATCATGCTGTCTGATACGTTCGTTGTGATATGCCTGAAGATGTATTTTAGGGACTCAAAAGCCGACATCTATCTTCTGGCACAGTTCCAGGCTTGGAGCAACACAAGCTAACGAAGAGAAGTTGATCTATTAATTCTACTCTAGCCAAATCTAAGCAAAGCCCAGGTTGAGTGTATAGTTCAAAGGCGTCACACCAGTGATGTACACATGACTTCCCCCCAAAGTCAAGTTACCTCCGTGCCAGCTATATTGTTCACCAGCATCATTCTGAATTAGTCCCATACCATTTCCAGGTCCGAAAGTAATCTTGTTATCACCCATAGTATACTCTCCCTCTCCTTCCGCAAGACGATAAATAGTGGTGTTATCACTGTCGACAAACTCCTTCACGCCCTTGAACTTTCCACCCTCTCGGAATGTCAGTTCAAAAGTAAGCTCGACATCATCCTCACCAGTGACCTGAAAGTTGAGGTCGTAGCCAGCCTTGGTGGGGCTGATCTCGACTTCGGTCTTGAGACGGCGCATGCTAGCAGGGCGGTTCTCAAAGTCAAGCATAGCGTAGAAGCGACCGTCCACAGAACGAGACAGCTTGTATGTACCATTCTCATCGCGACGCTCAGATGGCATGGGGAGATAGTACGGAACCTCGATCTCGCTTCCCAGCTTGATAGTGCCGTCATCAGACACATTAACTCCATTGGATCGGAAATGGCCCATGCTAAAGAAATTGGCGCTGAGACGAACGGCTTCAAGAACAGCCTTTCCGTTCCATGCGCGGAACATGGTTGGGTTGGTAGACAGACCCGATCCCATACGGTTGTAAAATTCGGCCTTTTTACCATCGATGTACCAGTCTGAACCACCAAATGCAGAGACTGTCAAGTTTCCGCGTCGTGCGCGTACGAGACCAGCTGAAGTGTAGTGCTTTTCGAAATCGACGAATGGGTCTTCTGGTTCAGGTAGTTGGGCAGCGAGTTCAGGACGCTCCATCAAGTTAGCCAGGAAATCACCCAGTTGTGGACCGACGAGTTCTTCGATCAGGCGAGCCATCGCAGCAAAACGGCCGTTGTTGTCGAGGAGAGCAAGCTCACGGAATTGAGGGTAGAAGTTACCCATGTTGACGACAGGAGGTTGGGCTTGATCCTGGCGACGGCTTTGGATGACTTCCATCTCGCCATTGGGTTCCGCGTGCTCAATGGCTAGCTCGAGGTTCATGCGGACGTATTCGATCAGGTCGGTGTAGTTGAGCTCATGAGCAACGGTCAAGAGCGAAGGGTTTGACACAGCCGAGTAATAGTTGGGGCTTCGCTCGGAGTAAATACCATCAGCGTCGATGTCGATTCCTTCTGCAAGCCACTCATCAATCCTCTTGACGTAGCTTTCATTCTCTGTGATGCTAGAAATACGCGCCAGAGCGCTACAAATCTTCCATCTATGGTTAGGCGTGTGAATTCCGCCCTTAGCAAGACCAGGACCAGCTTTGACGAGAAGACCACGAATGACATCTGCGAAAGGCTGCGAGGCTTCGTGATCATCCTTTTCAAGAATGCGTACCATGATACCAAAGTCTTCAATCAAGAAGCCAGTATCAGGTGGCGAGTGGCGATTGCCGACGGTGTATGTACCATCGTCATGCTGAACTTTCTGAAGGACATCTAGCATCTCCTCGATGTGAGGCACCAGGGTCTCATTGTGGAAGTATGTCGAGTTTGGCCATAGGAAAGGTACGACCAATTGACGGACCGCGCGGGTGAGGGATCTTGGTGAGCCGGTTAAAGATGTATTCTTGTTGTCAAGAACACCTTGGACTTGTGAGTCGGCGGCCTTGGTGAGGAGTTTTAGACTGGTCCAGTCACGAGGAGCTTCCGATGATGCATTGGCAGTAGCATAGAGAAAAGCCACACCGAATGCCTTGATGGCGATAGAGATGCGAAGGAGATGCATTGTGGAGTTCCCTGTCAACTATCTCATCAGAGACTGGGATGAGTCCAACAGTTTATATAAGACTATTTCTGCTGCCAAGACCTCGGTTCGGCGCAAGGTACACCGACACACACAGTCTACGGTAAACATCGCCAGTTTTACCGGTAGTCAACCCTCGAATTTTTCCCCCAATTCACTGGAAATATTTCCCCGCGGGGGAGCTTCTTAAACACCTTCTTTTTTCAGGTTAGGCTGTGGGGCAGTTATCACTACAGCCTCTTGAATTAACAAGCTTAATATTAAGAAAACAGGCTTGGCTTAGGCTAGCCAGGTTCCCCGCGAGCACTAACATTGCCGGTCTTCTCGCCGAAATGAAGGACAATACATTAACAACAAAATCTACTCGCTTCTCGTCTTGTTACGTTTTCCTCCGAAAGCCTCCTTCACAATTCTGTTCTGTCGTATGATCTCATCTCTCGCTCCATCCCATGTACTTCTCTTACCTGTATCAAAATACCGAAACATGTGAGCTGTCTCAACACCATGATTCATCAAATTGTACATCTTTCGATCCTCCCACCAAAACTTCCAACCTGCCAATCCCCAGCCTAGATTCTCCATCCCAGTTCCAGCTTGTTTATGCATCCATGGCTGAAATTCGTACTGTTTGACCATGCTTAGATCTACAGTTGGCTCTCTTGCCCAGTTTGACGCTAGCCATCTGTGATGGTCGTCGACCCATTCTTCCATCTCGTTGTAAGTAGGAAGATCGCTTACTCCGCGCCATATGTTCGAGATAGCCATGTTCATGACGTCGCTGAAGGAAAACCCGTTATTTTTACCATATGCTGAGTAGCAGAGCATAACACAACTGTCTGCATATTTCGGCGGGAAGACGTTCATGTAAAGACGATGAATAGCAGGACCTCCGTAGTTGGGTGATTTTGGACCTGTCTTATCAACAAATGGTGCTAGGGAAAAATCGCCTTGATAGCCAGTAGTGAAGATAACACTATCAACGTCGTCGATTATCGTTCCATCCTCAAACTCGATTGACTTTCCACCCATAAATTGCTTGATTCCATGTAAACTCGTCACGCTTCCATCTTTCAGAAGAGGGAGGACATGCTCAATGAGTCCGGGCAGACTTAATGTGAGGTCCTTGAATTCCTTGAGGCGCCACGCTGGATCGAGCTTCATGCCGGCCATCTGGGACGATAGTAGCTTAGCTACTGTGTTTGCTAAGAATCTCCACGCGTTTGGAAATTTCCTTGCGATCCACTGACTTATCACGCGGCGCCTCCATGAGACTAAGAGATCGGCTGGTGTTCCTTTTCGAAACCGCTTGACGATAATTTGCCCGCTTCTATGGGAGATGTAGACCTTTTTGGCCACAGACACTACTTGGGGTGCGATTTCGTCTGTTGTGGTGGCTAAGCCGAGGATCACCACCGTCTTGTCTTTGAAAGGTTTGGAGCTATAATTCGACAGTCAGTATGTTTGTGAATTTGTCTCTCTGTGGGACACTGACCTTCGATATTGCTGTGCGTGCATAATATCTCCCTCGTAATCCTGTTGTCCTGGAAAGACTGGCATTTTCCTCATTGTTTGATAGCCATGGCAAAAAGCAACCTTGTCGAAATGGTGCGTATCTATTTGTCCACTCCCAACATTCTCAACTTGGACATCCCATCCGTTATCTTCCTTGTTGCGATTTACAACCTTAACGCTGGTATCAAATGTGATGTGTTTTAAAAGTCCAAAGTGTTCGGCGTAGCCTTGCATGAATTCTTGAAAGTCCCATGTACTCAGATGGACTGGATACTCTGCCAGGGATTAGCGACCGATGCACGCTTTTCTCCGTCAGCATCTTACTGTCTGGTATAGGATAGTCCGTAAATCCGCATGTGTATTTGCTGATATTTGCACTCGTTGTTTCCAAAGCTGACGTCCAACCGTGCTTTGCGTCGTAAGCCCATAGCCCGCCAACTTGACTTCGCCTTTCGAATAGAGTAGCGTTGAATCCGTCTTGAAGTAGCTGCTTGAGCATAGTGATGCCGGTTGGTCCTTCAGATATGTTAGCGTTGCGTTCTGTTATCACTTGGTCTGGGTACGTACCGGCACCGATCACGGCGACACTGGCGCGACTCATCATGGTCGTGAATATCGGTTGATTGATTTGGGTTAATCGGGGGATTTCCCACCGGAAATGGTGGCATATTTATAAGACCAACTTATCCAAATCCCACGGATCTTGGGGAGTATCTTTGATTGGTGCTATATAATAAGCGGCAACTTTTGGAGTACGTAGCGAGACGCGCAAGACGCTATTGGGCTAGTCTAAAATCTTACGTGAGGTAGATCTATGGCAATTTTGTTGATAGCTTGATAATAAGACCTAAATGACCTATAGCCGTCATAATAAGTATCCGAGAGTCGATCGCGATGTACAAGCATAGAACAGGATACAAGGCAGCTAATGGCTTTTTCATTAGGGCTATCGCATATGAATACATTTCCAAGTATAGACATTCCTATTATTCCGATACATCCGAGTATAAAAGGGATTAGGTCGCTACAGACTTGATAAAACTTCAATTTATGCCAACAATAAATCGATCATCTGACGAGGCTCAGCTTCCCAAGCCAATTTATCCACGCGTCCAATTCCTTGTCGATGAGCGACGCCATCCTTCCACTCAATAAACAAGACGTTGTAGAACTCATACTTCTCTAGTTCTCGACTTTTCAATGCATCATATTCGTCAAGACGAGACCAGCCACCCGCACTCGAGTCGATATATCCTTTAGATATTGCTACCAATTCGCACTCGACTTTCTTAATCAACAGTCGCCACAGTATTGTTCGGGTCTGAACGCGCAGGCAACCGACCCAGGTTTGCTCGCTGTTGCAGATATTAACGACGGCTTCTTCTTCAAGCCTATCCACAGCTTGTCCGTATGATTCGGGGATATTATAGAAGAATGCTCTCTCCGTTTGAGTTGTTATCACAAACGAAGAGTCTTTTTTGATAAAAACCTCCTCTTCGTTAGTGACTAGAGGAATAGGATACTTGAATCTGCGCTGCGGGTCAAATGGATGGTAGAATAGATCCCCTTCTCTTTCCCAACCTGGAGGTAGCTCAGGGGTCTCGTTACGACAGCAATCTTTGAACTCGTCGAGGTCATTTGAAATGAGTCTGTCACCTGTCTCTTCTTTAACATACCACGAGCAAATTGACTCAGTAAACAATCCATCCAATACACCCGCTGGAGGACGCTTTCGGTTCCATCGAGAATTCCACTCTTGTTGATAAGCGACATGCAGCGGTGCATAAGTGCGTCTGTCACCCTGTTCCGCCGCCTGGCCGGAGGAAGAGCCTACCAGGTATGAAAAGCCACTCGCCCAGGGTGAAAGATCTGCAGAGATCTTCTGGTCAAGGCAGACCATCCAGGACCAACTGGGAATGGACGCTTCGCCTACTTTAGAACTCTGAGATGCTGGGCCAGACGGTCTCCACAGGAGAGTAACATCGAATGCAACTTCAGGGAGGCCAAATAGGAATCCACCTGGGAACGAGTGTGCTAAAGCTGTCGTGATACCAGCAAACGCTGGAAGAATGTCGCTCGAGAAGGACAATTGTCTGCGACTATAGCTGGTTGCCAACTGATGGAACTCTTGCAAGTCCGGCCATAAAGAATAACGAAACCCACGAGCATTTGGGTTGTGCGTCCCAAGGCAGCTTGTTTCACCGATATCTGCAAGTTGCATCCGCTCATGCCATATTGCACAGTGACATTCCCAAGTCAACTCATTCCGGTGAAAGAAGAGTGACCTTTGTGAGAACACGAGTTCTTGCAATGTCCATCCTCGCTCATTCCATGGTGACCACGCTATTAGGCCGTAGTGGTCCATGTTTGCTCTTTCTGGCCAGACATTGTAATACATCGAGGGAGAAACTTCCTTGATCCCTTTCAGTCCTTCTTCAGCGCTGTAGGCTGCTGTAGCGACGATTGTGAAGTACGCATTGCCGTATATAAATGCCATTTGACTGATTTGTTCTTGCTTCGTCTCATAATCATCTTGCACAATGCAAAGACGATCGACCCAGATGTACTCTTCGCCAATGAGGCGTACTAATTCCACCGCATGTTGAATTGTAGCAGGGACCTCTTCCCACATATTTTCAAGCGCGTTGATCTCCTGGAACGAGTCAAGGTTGCTTAACAGCAATTGCAAATCGTGGCCTGTCGACCTTCCCCAAACGTAGCTGAGAGCTACATATTGGCAGCCAGGCTGAAAGGGCACTATGCGTTTCTCTGATACATGAATCAACCAATTCGGCAACCCTTGTGTTTCGTGGAGCAGGCGAGATCTTTGGCAATGGTCTCCATGATTTTCGTTGCATGCTTTGATCCAAGAGCTGATGGTGTTCAAGTCAATCCACCTCGGCGCTGGTGGCGTAGGGGGTTTGCGGGGTTTAGGCTCACGCCGAGAACGTAGGTATTCTGGGTCTCTTGGAGCAGGCATGGCACGAATTGATAGATATTATGGCTTCTGTTCCAGGGTTACTAATGGCTACTATCGCGCGCCAACGTGATAATGGATCAATTTTTTTCATTCTCGGCCGTCTTTGATAAGGAAATGGATGATTTGATGACGTAGACTAGTTCAGTCTTAGGTTGAAACAAACAAGCTCAGCCACATCCAAACGTGATGCTTGTTGCCAGCTCGAGCACTGATTGGCATTTCAAGTCTGTCGTTCAATTAATGTTTCTGTCTATTAAAACTCTAAAGCATCATTAATTCATGAATGGCCAATTGGAATGTTGTCGCTAGCATAGGCAAAAAGAAATGAGATATCCCTCGAACACAAGAGTTTGGACAGTACCTCCGGGAGGCAAATGGCTAAGGGTCCATGCTACAAAAACAAAGATCTTTGGTTCCAACGTGCTACCAACCCGTTGTCGATCGATCTTGCGTTACATATTCAGTCACAGTTTCTATCTTTCTTTTTACTATATGTTTCCTGCAACGCCTTATCTTGCAGATTATATGCATTACCCTGGCATAAACAATCAATTTTATCTTAATACAAACGCCCTAATCGCCTTGCAATCTGTTAACTATAGTGTGATTTGCACTGTAACCCCCCTTTCCTTTGGTTCCCCGTAAAGAAACATTTAATCATTAAGTAACATGAGCCCCGCCGACTTTGTGTAATAGAATCTACCCACTGTTGTCACTCTAAGATTATTGGGCAACAGCAATGCAAGTTACAAAATCGATAATCGTATTTACTAGAGCCAGTCTAATTATATACATAAGTAAAGCACTCCCCTATACATCTTCCACCATCAACCTCTTCTCGCTCTCGTCAAATCAATTAACAAGAAGCTCCTCCAGAAGGAATTCCCTTGCACTTGTCAGACTTCTTACCACCGGTAACCTTGTTGTTGGTCCAAGTCCAGTTCTTGCAGTTAGCGCAGAGAATGTAGACATTGGTGCCGCTGGACTTGACCGAACCAGTGACCTTGTTGATGGTGACATCAGTGATGGGAACACCAGTGGTAGGGGTGCCAGTGGGGGAACCATTCTCGTAGTCCTGCTCAATGACGATACCGTACTTGGCAATGTTGCTAAGAGTGATAGAATCGTACTTGACGTCGGAAACGGAACCTGTAGCTCCAGAAACGGTCTTGATGCGAACACCGTTGTCGGAGTTGGAGATGGACGAGTTGAGAATGCGAACGGTCTTGACATCGTTGTTGGATCGTCCACCAACTGATCCGATGGACAGACCGTGACCACCACTGCAGTTACCACCGGTGAAGGTGATGTTGGTACCAGAGTTAATGGCGAGGCAGTCATCCTGGTTCTTGACGACAGCGCCAGAGATGTACACACCAGTAGAGGAGCCGACATCGAAGGCATCAGTGTTGTGTCCACCCTGGGTGTCTCCCAGAGAGTTGTCCATGTGGACGTCATAGACACCGAGGTTGGTGACTCCGTTGATGCTGAAAGCTTGAACGGGAGTGTTGATAACGTTCAAGCTCTTGATGTTGGAGTTTGTGAGTGAGTGTGCGCTGAAGAACTTGGGCTTGGTCTTGCCACCGTTGCTGCCCTTTGTGTCCCACCAGCGTTGACCTTCACAGTTAATGGAGTGGCCGGAAGCACCTTCGATGAGAAGATTGTTTCCGGTGAAGGAGATCAGGGGACCTTCCCATTCCTTGTAGCCAAAGGTAGTCTTTCCTTGGAAGATGACCTATAGGATGTTAGAAAATGTGCTGTTCTGTAAAGCAGGGAGACTTACATGAGTGCCATCCTTGAGCTTGGTAAGATCGAGGGTAGTGCCAGCAGGGACGGCAATGTTGTTGAGAATAATGGTTGAGCAGCTCGCCTTGCCCTTGATAGCAGAAGCAGCATCAGTAAAGGTGCAGCTGGCTCGGGGCTCAATTGCGGGATGAGCAAAGGCTGAGGCAACAAGGCCGCTGACAAGAAGGATGGAAGAGAACATGATGAAGCAGTTAAGATCAGAGAGTATGTACTATTGAAAGGAAGAGATGAATTGATTGATATTGAAGATAGAAACTACTTGGATGAGGATTTCAGTTCTTTTATCTCTGGCTAACAACACCTGATGAAACCGACTACAACGTACGTCTTGATGCCGTACAGCCGTGATGAAGGCCCGTGTCAATGTCTAGAACGTGTAACCATCAACGATTACACGGATCGTGCTCCACCGTCTCATTAATTTCCTGGGGTTAAGATGGGAACGCTAACCCCCGATCGATACAAGGGTCTGTTTGATTGGTGGATAAGAATTCTCCTCAGCCTCTGTCAAGTTTCAGAATCTAGTCCAATTTCGATGAATATCGGATGCGCGGCACTCTGATGATACTCTGAGTCGTGTGAGATGATAAGATTGGGGGTAAACATATGTGAATGGTTGCATTACGAGGAATTTCGATCTGGTTATAGCTTCACAGCTTTGGGGGAAGGAGAACGGCATTTGTGTTCATTTGTGGAAACAGCTGCATGAATATGCCGGCTTTCCAAATTCAGACTAATTTACATCGTTGCGAGGTAGGTATTGGATGATCACTGACGGGATACTTGTGGGGGGATGGGGAACATACAGTTTGTGGTGAGGTGACGATTTCGCCATCTCATTCTGTCTATTTTCCTTTCCGCAAAACTTCTTTGCAAGATTGAGATAGACATACTTTACACTCAATTATAAATAATCTACTAATAAATACGATATATCATTTGGAAACTTCGAAGGGAACCGCAGTGCTTTAGTGTATTCCAACCATCGATGATTGTTCAAGACACACATGATAGTTGAATTAGCAGAGTATGTTTACGTGCAATTGTCAATCTACCCTATGGCAAAATAGGGGTATAAATGCATAATTTAAACAAGGAGTAAGAAAAAATTCAGGTGATAATCCAAGTATATTCGTTATCAAGACGGATTAAAGAAAACCACCCTTGACACTTTGTATTATTAATAAGGTATTGTTTGCTGTCTAAATACTGATTGTTTGTATTTAAACGTCGCGGTTTTGAAAAGTTCGAGGCAAGCCCAGAGACCCCTTTAATTACGTGACAAAGCCCAACGATATCACGTGATAAATCACATGATGAACGCATAGCTTCAGCCTGACACTCACCACTCAGCTAAACCCATGCATGTCACTGGCAGGAGATTTATCTTTGAACTTTGGGTGGATAGATTGCTTTTTTCTTCTGCAATAATTTCCTTGTTTGAAGCATTTCAACATCAACCCGACAAAGCTGCAATCACTTCATGCACATCACAGTACGTATTGTTTCTTTTTGAAACAGCTGAAAAATTAGATGAAACAACACCACATCCCGGAATGTGGGCGGCTGAGGCTTGGCTTTAGACTAGTACAGATTCGTCACATCCTGATCGATGATCACCAGGAAGTTGAAACAAGGTTGTGGTGGCTGTGTTTACTTGTAGAAATCCTTTCACCGCGATTACCGGATGATGCATGAATCGCATCAAATCACTTGGATCCTTTTAGATCCTGATGGATGACTATCTGTTATGCTTATTTCCCTAGTGGGGGTCTCATCTTGGTCGGCATATCATGCTATAGTAAAGCAAGGAATCGTGAAAGAGACAATGACTTTGTGTTTCATTAAGCAGAACACAAGCCATCTCGAATGAATCTTCATCTTGGATAAGATCGCTCATCTAAACTGCCGAGGTTTGACATCAAACCACGTTGTCACCTTCCATTCCATGCCAAGAAACTAGAAGCCAGGGCGCTTACGACACCACCCAGCGCGTATTGGCCATGGGACCTGACTAGGCAATTCTCAATCCAAGATCGACAAAAGATTCCCAATCTGGCTTCCAGTGAAGCTTGCTCAAAGACATGCTTATCCGATTTTAATGACTAGTGTTCTGTCATTAAAAACTTGGCGGTTAGACTTTTGACTGTGATAGGATATCACAGGATTAAACTAGGCCAGGGGCTTTGTTCATAATCTTCGCAGGGATGTCGATCCGTTTGATAACTTAAAACTTTTAGGTCTTGGCAGAATGAATCCTCCATGTTGGCTATGTGGACTGGGGTTTGTTGAATCTTGTTTAAAAAGGAGTGTTGTCTCCTCAATTGGCTTCTGGTCGATCAAGCACAACTTCATTCATTCTTCTTTTCATTCATTTCTAGGGCACTTTTGATAAGTGACTCCATAACTTTCATTCAAACAATCACTCTCATTACATATTTCCAACTTTACAATTTCAAGTCAACAATACTTCATCATGTCTCGATACCTCATGCTCAGCGCCGCCCTTCTGGCCTCTAATGTTGCTGCTCACGGCTACCTCAACACCTTCACTCTCGACGGCACTGACTACCAGGGTTTCAGCCGCTGGAACCCCTCTCCCGACCCCAACGCTATCGGATGGAGCTTCTCCACTGAAGATGAAGGGCCAGAGATGGACATCTCTAGCCCTGACTTTGTTTGTCGTCGTGATGCTGAGGCTTCCAAGAACTATGGTAAAATCGCAGCTGGTTCCAAAGCCTCCTTCTTCTGGACCTCCGACGATAAGGATATCAACCCCAACGGCTGGGCCGAGTCTCACCGTGGTCCTGTCATCACCTACATCGCCCCTTGCAACGGCGACTGTACTTCCGTAGACAAGACACAGCTCAAGTGGACCAAGATCGCTGAAGAAGGTCTTGTCTCTGGTCCTGCCAACACTGAAGGTGTCTGGGCTACCGACAAGCTCCGTGAGAATGGCGGTGTCAACTCTGCTACAATTCCCTCTTCCATCGCACCTGGAAAGTACGTTATCCGCAACGAGCTCATTGCTCTTCACCGTGCTCATCTCTCTGAGCCTGAGTTCTACATGCAGTGTGGTAACATCGAGGTTACTGGCTCTGGTAACGATGATCTATCAGGCTCTGGTGTTGTCGCTTCTCAGATCTACAGCACGTCTGATTCTCAACTCTTTGGCTTCTCTGTTTACGACAACCAGGGCGATAACTGGCAGATTCCTGGCCCTGCTTTGTACGGTAGTGGTCAAGGTAAGCGATCAAAGGTCGCTATGAAGTTCCGTGGTTAGGCCACTCGTCAATTGACTTGATCATGTGGTTATCCTGTCGCAAGACGCAGGCATGTCTTGAATTATATATTACCCCTAGTGCGAGTACATATGTATTACTATATAAACAACAATAGATTAAAATCCGAATTCAATCTTGTGCATCTGATGACTATCTGCTTGGAATACCCAGTCCATTAGGCACGCCATCTCAGTCTTGAAGATCCCCGTTCTCATACACGCAACGATTAAGATGCTGATTTTACAACGTCTTCTCGAAAAACAACCCTCCACCGTGGCCCACTACATAAACTCGGGTTATCCTTCCTGAAAACGGTAAAAGACAATTTGATGTTCCGTCCCTCGTTCTTGGTTTCAATCGAAGTCTTCATCTCGCTTTGTGCATTGTTCAAAAAGTTCTGAACAACCGGCTGCTGGTAACCCAGCTGATCTGCCGAGAGAAAAAGATCCTTCCATAATGCATATACACTGGAGCTCCTCATATCAAGTAGTGTTCCCCTGAGAGCCCACTCTGTTGCGCCCTTGTGCCAGAAGCAGAGAAACAAAGATTTCGTGTTAAGCACAAACGCGCCCCAATTCTGATATGACCCATAAGGGCCAAAGAAGACGCTATCCTCCATGTCCCAGAACTTATTGGGCAGCTCAGTACTAGAGACAATTGCTATTTCGGGCGGCAGCTCGATCGTAACCATTGTGAAACGGCTGTATGAGACAAGATCAGAGTGGTTTGCCTTCAATAGAGGTCGCTGTATCCTTCGTTCGGGTAGTTTCGCGAGAAGAGTGACAGTGTGGAATATACTGCCGCCTGCAACTGCTGGGACTAGGCAAAAAGAAGTAGAAGCTGTCAATTTGCGGATGGTTCGGTCTTCCTCGAAGCCCCGCGCTCTCACAAACGCATTCGGACCAATTTTGCGCATGGGTATGGTCAAGAATTCTCCCTCGTAACCAGGAGCCATACAGTCCAGTTCCAGTACATATCGATACGTGATATCTTCGAGCCCGGGATAACTCAGCTCCGAATAGTCAAGCAAGTATACTCGGGCGCGAAGTCTGAGACCTTTGTTCGAGATGCTCATCTCGCCTTCATCCAGCAGAGAGTTTGCCACCGAGTACATCTTTGAGCACGAAGCGAAATGCTTCACCGAAGTAGCGAGAAACCCACAGTACTCCTCTGACGTGGAAAAAGGTGGCGTCCACGCAAGAAGACTTAAATCATACGTTGTTCTAATAATTTCTTCTTGAAGACGCCGAAATGCATTCTCGCCCTCTCCGTATAGCATTGGCATGTTGATGTTGCATATACCAAGCAAACAGTACGCCATGTCTTCTACACGAGTAGTCTGTCGATTTGCAGCCCACGAAAGTCGCTTAGCGATGCAAGCGGAGGAGATCGGAGCCATGTGGCCCAAAAACTCCTGTTCAATGGAAGTGATGTCCGAAAGAGAGCCCAAGAGGCTCCGTTTAGAGCCGATAAAGTCCCATGCTTGGTTGTAGAATGATATGGACGTAGGGGCAATCAGTTCCTGCAATGTCCACCCACGGGTGAACCACCTGCATTTCGCAAGTGGAAATTGTTCAACCTTATCGGATAGATACACATAACAGAATTTGGCCCTCTGATACCAGAGGAACATAGAGTTGATAGCTTCTGTGAGCTCGGCGCTGCTGGACTTATCGATACAGCAGGTATCTACCCACACATATTGGACTTTATCGGCGAGAGCTAGCTCACAAGTTTTGGTGATCTTTTCGTATCCTGTTTTTGATTTTGAAGACTTGGCGTTGCACTCTTGGAAGGTGACCTCTCCATCACCCTCCCAGGTGTGTGAGAGGATAGTGTATTCCGGTAGATCCCCATAGAATTCCTTGAAGGAGATACACTGAGTTTCAACTAAAACTTTGGCTTTGATGAGCCTCATTTTAATGGGACCAAAGGCTAAATGGACATACTTTGACTGAGAGGGGTAGACAAGCGGGGAAAATGAAAAGATAAGCGCTCATTCAAGCCGAGATATTATTCTCTGTTGAGCAGCTGAGCTGGCTTGTCACTCACTATTGGTGGCTGTACTGTGGCGTTGTATGCAGCCAAGCCCTTTTGGCAGTTGGCGAGTGCAATTGGATCTCCCTGAGTGACAGAAATGATGGATGTACCGTAGACTTTAATAAATGGGAAATTCATTGATGTATTAAATGCAGGCGTAAATGTACAAATTGGTTGAAATTCGGATTCCACAGGCCAGATACTTATTTTTGTCTGAGCTCGGTTAGAAACAAAAGAGTCCCCAGCGTTTGGCACGACCATTATTCCTACCATCGCGTCGGTCTTTCTTAATGATGTATAACAGCTGAGTCATGTTGTCGTGGATAACCGGTAAAGACGTCGACAGTCCCGGTGCTGCTCCCGCACAAGCAGGTAGATAAACGATAGCTTCCATTCCAGCATCCATAGCGCCATGAACATCACGAGTCATATCATCGCCGACCATGTACGGCCTGCCCTTCCCTTTCAGCATTTCAGGTGTGATATCGTACTCGCCCATTGCATGGTGAAAGATTCGTGAACCCGGCTTCTCCCACCCAAGTTCACAGGAAGCGAAAAGACGGTCGACCAATTGCGCAATTCCGATCTCGTCTATATTCTCCTGCTGGGAGTCTGTTAATCCCTTGGTTATGATGGTAATCTTGTATCCCATCTCCTGAAGTTTTATTAAAGTCTCTATCGTTCCGGGAGTAGCTCTTCGGGAATTTCGATATGCTTTCCTGTACCCGGCACCGAATGCTTCGACTTCTTTATCGCCATAGTCCCTAAGACCAATCAACGAAAAGAACCGGTGAATCTTTTTCTTTCTCTTATCTCTTCCTCCGTGAACTGGCTGTCGAGAAATAAGTTATAGGTTTTGTTACGCGCTATCAAGTAGGAAGTTATGAGTGTTTCGATAGAAAGCGTATCGGGAATTTTGATCGTGCGTCGAGCTTTAGTAATCGCGCATTGGAGGGAGTGGTTATCATCAAAGAGAGTCCCATCTAGATCAAAGAAGATGACCTTTGGTCGCGTTTTTGGTGTTTTTTTGCGTCATGGCGAAGATTTGCAGAGATTATCTGAGGCGATAGTCAAAGAGTTGTGAAGTTGATGTGTTTGTTGGGAGAACATTTAGAAGCCGAGCGGTTATTTATACATGACGAAAGCCATGTCCAAATCCGATAAAAAAGAATTGTTAAGAAGCCTTTAAAGCTTCACTAGGGTTGGGCCTCAGCCTATGCCTGCAAATATATAAGCTTTTGGACTCAGGGTTGATGAATGATGATAGTTAATAAAAGATCCTTAGGGTACACCAATGGATATAGGCTCTACCACAGAAGTCATGCTGAGGCTGGCAAAACCTTGATCCATTGCCATACCGCCCAGTACCCCGTTTGCGGTACATGTCACTAAATATCTTCACACTTGCCATTTCATGAACCCACAGCGTCTGTTTATTTATGTACATCAGAAGGATGCATAATAATACGCTGGAGACTAGCTATGACCAGAGACAGACCCGTGGTGACAGAAGTAAACCAATCTTCGGTTGCTATTACCACCAACAACTTAGAGGCGATAATCAGTTTTGATGATCTCGTAGTTAATGCGCGAGTTCAAGAGGCAAGTCTCCCCTCCTTTGGAAGACGCTCTCCACCCGCGGCCACTGAATTGCTGCGCCCTGTTTCGAGTCCAGTCCGCATCATTTCTCACGTCCTGAGTGCCAATAGATGTCTCTCTGGGACCACTAACAGTCTTTGCCCTGTAGATAGCATTGGCTCCCTTGTTTGAGCCGGCGAGGACGAGGTTCTTCCAGGTGATATCAAGAGGCCAGCTGCCACCTGCGTGACCGCGAGCCCAGTCATACATGGCCTGTACACCGCCCGAATAAGGCCCATTTGGCCCAGCGTGATTCTGTCTTTTATGATCACGGCAATAGTCAGAAATAAAGTCGCGATAGAAACCACTTTTGTCCCCTGGGCGGGCAGTCTGGCGTTTGCTGACGCCCTTGTCTTGGTGCTCAACAAAGTCACGGGCGACCCAAACCACGATATGGTCTCCATCATCGCGCTTGAACATGGAATGCTTGAACACTGTAGGCCAATCAGCATCATTTTATTAATAAGGAGGGTGATTATAGGGGCTTACTCTCAGTAACGTTAACACCATGGATGTCGGCGAGCTCAAGGTCTCGAGCATCGAGGACATCGTCGCGCTTGAAGATCACCAAGTTGTCCTCAGATTCCCCAATGTCCGCGACGGGGACAGCGACAGTGGCGGTAGCCAACAAGCTGGGGAGAAGATATTGGAAGAGCATCTTGATGTCTGAATAGTAACTTGGGCTGAACGTAAAGAAGTGATGATTGATGAGTGTTGAGTGAACTGACTTGTTGTTGAGATAGAAGAGATTTTATTCAGGTCGTAGGATGGTTGTCCATTTATACATTTTTCGACTCTTTTCTTCCCGCTCTTTTATGCCCAACCTTGATAACAATGTGTCATTTGTCTGCCCTCGTCACTTAGTCTCCGCTTAGCTTCTTGTGTATTGTCTTGGTCCTGCAGTAACGGCCAAGTCACTCCACATTGTCCTCTTCACGGAAGATACGTGATTCTGTGTCTCACTTCTCAGAGTCAAAATGAGTGAATTACTGTGAGTTTCCAGGACCTAGGCGGCAGATGTTGCTTTTCTTGTTCGCCAAGCTGGCGATAGACTATGTTGGCTTATGCCAAGTTGTGAACGGAATATAGGATGCTGTGCCAAGTTCATGCCCACATGACCTTCTTGATCCAGCAATCACCGCGGACCACTAAGAATGAACAGACAACAATAATGATAAACATAAACATGCCAGTCTCGGGTGCTACGCTTCATATACCCGTATTTCCCTACCAATTGTCGTACTCAGTGGGCGTGGGCAGTTCAGCTGAACTTTGGCCTGCCTCCTTTCAAGGTGGGGACTATGCATCTCAGCTGTAGGAGCTTCCGGCCCGCTATATCCATTGTGCCGTTGCTTGGCATATGCAAATTTGCTTACGATGATTCGTTACTTTATGCAAATTTGAGCAACACCAGTCCATTGGCGCATGAGAAGGCTTCGTCGGAAATTATACGCGATGATCAGTTTGGAATGTTTGCCGTAAGCGATGATCAGGTATGGCTAGGGGGACGAGAAAAAACAGCAGAAGGATGTGGGTGAAAGATCCATAGTTTTTGGTGCAATCCCTTCCGCTACTTTTCTCGTCCCCGAGGTACTATACAACGAACTATGTACTCCTGCTTGCCATGATCTGAGAGTCCACTACCATACATTTCCATGAAATTGGTCAAGGGGAGTAAGCCAGCTAAGGCATGTCACCGGGTCTTGTCGTGTCAATCACTTCTATATACTATCTAGCCCAGATGACAAAGGAAAGAGAGGCTAGATTGATTTGCTTAAGTCTCTGGTATACCCCGCTGCGGCTTGCCTTAGTTGACTTACTCCCCTCGACCAATATCATGGAAATGTACGATATAGGTATTCAGAGACGAAACTGAAGCGACACGTGACCTGGCACAGGCTGCAGCATATAGATAAGATTGGCCTGTTCTGCGGCCCAATCTCCTTGGACCACGTTATTAGCTGAATGCATGGGTGCTGAAGAAGTGTGGCTGAGTATGATATGATCAGGAATGTTTTGCAAAGCGCAATTTTACAAACTTCCTCTTTTTACTTAACCCTCACACTTGCAAATTAACCCGTGGCTCATCTCGGAATCCATCATGCGGTTGATAAATGCAAAAACCCTCGAAGTGGTGGAGTTTATAGATTATCAAGTTCCGGAATATGCAATTCTTTCCCATACGTGGGTTGCAGGACAAGAAGTTACTTTACAGGACATGCAGAAGAAAGAAGGCACAGAGCGATCAGGTTACGACAAAATCAGAAAGACATGCGAGTTGGCTCTTCAGCATGATCTTGCTTACGCCTGGGTTGATACCTGCTGTATCGACAAGACCAGTAGCGCAGAATTATCAGAAGCTATCAACTCGATGATGAGTTGGTATCAACGCTCTAAAGTCTGCTACACCTATCTAGCCGATGTACCACCAGGCACCGATATTCACCAGCAGAAATCTGCATTTGCAAAGAGCCGCTGGTTTGAACGAGGTTGGACCCTTCAAGAACTGTTAGCACCGTCAAAGCTCATCTTTCTCTACGACGATTGGAACTTTATGTCTGAACGGGACGATATCGTCGATTTAATCACACAAATTACAGGCATAGATCAAACCTTCCTAACAGCCCCACTCATTGCAAATGAACGCAATGCTTCCGGAGGTTGTGTTTTGCAGTCTAGGCTCTATTCAGCAAGTATCGCTGAAAGGATGAGCTGGGCCTCGAAACGGGAAACAACTAGGATCGAAGATACAGCATATAGTCTGCTAGGTATATTTGGTATCAGTATGCCTCTACTCTATGGCGAGGGTCCCAATGCATTCTTGCGATTGCAAGAGGAGATTATGAAGCATTCGGATGATCAAACTTTATTGGCTTGGTCACTTCAAGAGGACGACGCAGAAGAATCGGGAGTCTTAGCTACCTCTCCAGCTGCATTCTCAGAATGCAAAGATTTCATCCCTTGTAGTGTGGGAACGCCGACACCACCATTCCAAATAACCAACAAGGGCCTTCGCATCGAGATGCCAATTTCAACCGACACCTTTACGTATGGGAGATATGGGCTGCTACAATGCAGGACAAAACAAGACCCTACGACGATGATTGCTATCCCGTTGGAAAGTAGTCGAGACGGTCTCTACGTGCGACGCAAGAAGCCATTATGTAATCTGAATTATCGGTACTGGTCAGCATGGCCATTGAGCTCAGTTAACCTACTCCCGAGTTTCTCTTTTGCGAGTAGTATAACCGAGTCTCCAAGCTACACAGTATTCTTGAAGGACCTCCCTGAAAACTTCTACATTTCAGAAGTCTTCCCACCGAACTCGAGACCCCAATCTGATATGAGGATTGTCATGGCGGGAACCCCTGAGAGCGAGGGCGAATTTGAGGAGATGGTGATGGTTCTGCTCACGAGCTCTACCAACGGGGTTGATCCTTTGGTCATAAGAATCGTTGTGGAATTGTCTCCTGGAGAGTCTGACTTTAAGGCGTCCTGCTCATTTGTCAAGAACTCATATCTCCACATGTACGACACGGGACACTTGGAAGGAGACTTTTATGACAACGTCTCTCTTGCAAGCTCATGGCACAGCCGTAAATCTTTAGGGTTTCCATCTTGGACAAGGAGACCTGAAGCTAATTATGTTACAAGCTGCCGCTGCGAGTACCGTTTTGAGAAGACACTTATTCTGGCATCAGTGAGGCAGGAAGGCGTACAAGTGGAAGGAATCACACCACAACGAGGCCCCAATATGATATTTCATGGCTGGGATGCGGAGTCCGATCCCTGGAGTGAAAAATTACAAGAGCTTAAAAAAGGATGGGCAAGGATCCTTCAACGTCTATCTTACCATTGTCGGAATAGTCTTCGTGTCGTTGTTCGGTCACTTGCCCTTTCGCCTTGGATATTCTCGTTTGTGGTCGACCGACTCATCATCAGGACTTTGGATCAATTTGCCGGGACGATATTGCATATTTTGGAATATTGGAATGTCTATGCAATTGCGGGTTGCACGGCGCTGTCTCTGAGCTATAATCGCTTCCTTGCCCAGCGGATTTCGTGGCACATTAGGAAGATCATACACTCCATCCCATTCGCCAGTCAGTTTGGTGGACTCCAGAAGACAGATGCGCTGGACTGCTTTCTTTTGTATATTTGTTGCAAGTGTCTTCCCTCCGAATTACTATCAGATGTTCTTAAAAAGGATTATGTAGCATTGCTGGGCATATTACTGGGCTTTGGGTTCCGTCGGGCCTTGTCTGATGGCGGGCTTGAGTATGACTACTGCCTCGGGTTAGCGGGGTGGAATGTTCCAAAGCGGCAGAAGTAATAACAGATATAGAGACCTAATACGTGGCCGTATCAAATGCCCAGATACCTTACCCATTCTTCATTCATATATCCTGTCATGAAGAAACTTGATACCAATGTGGCGTGGCAGAGTAATCTGGCTCAGCTGAAAGCAAGGTAACTGGCCTGAATATGAAGTGTACGGGGCTCCCGGATTTAATAGTTTGCTGCATGTTGGTCCGACCCTGTATTTTCATCTTGTATCCTAGCCCTTTAATTGGGCAGACACAATAACTACAGGGATTCAACTGTAAACGAGGGAAATCGAACCACCAAATTGTGGGCTTTAGGCCTTGTCAAATCAATAGCCCAACAGTCTATTTGTTTTGTAAGCTTCTAGACTTACAGCTGGACATTATTTGGTAAAAGTAGGTGAAGTTAAGTTGGCCTCGGTGGAGTATTTTATCTTTTTCTTAAATGCAGGTTTGCTGCTGTTTTTACTCCTCTCCCCTACCAGAGCAGACAGCGTCCTCTTGATACAATGGTTGCCTTCAAGTCTCTTCTTATACTTCTTACGCTTGGCGCTGAGGCCCTTGCTGCAGCTGTAGCCGCACCTGCATCAACCTGCTCCACTGCTCTCGGAACCAAAACTGTCAAAAATGTCCCGACTTCTAGGGTCACTTCTGTTAAGAGAATCACCATTACGAAGAAGGTCATTCGCAAGGTCAATATAATTGTTGTTCCTGTAGCCAAGACTTCCACCATTCGCACGATAGAAACCTCTACATCTATCTCTACCGCTAACCAGGACACCAAGACTGCCACCAGCACTGTTATCTGTAAGTATCCTATTATTATGCAAGGTGTTTTATAGTGACCAACTCGTCACAGCTGCTTCTACTGTTGTCAGCACGAGGACTTCGTGGAGCACCACTACCACCGTCACTTCAACCGTTACCACTAAATTCATTACATCGACCGTCGCCAAGCCTGCTGGGTTTACCGATATCAACAATCAACCTCTTACTCAAAAGCGAGCTGCGAAAAAGAGAGTCACAACAGTCACGACTGGCTTGCCTGGTGGCTCTATGCCTCAGAGCGTCCGCTGTGTTAAGGAGGTCCCCAGCTACAGCACCAAGACCATCACCACAACAGTTCAGGGACCACGCACTACTCTCAAGGCTGTCACAAAGTTCAAGACTATCACTGGCTTCACAACTGTCACATCTACAGAATACCCATCTGATGCCAGTACTACTGTCACAACAACTGAGCGCCCCACAACGACTTCTTTCGTTGATGTTACTTCGACCACGACTATCACTTCAAGCGGTAAGTTAACATACCCATAAGTCACTTTTATAATTAGTGTGATTATGATACTGATCTTTTGACATTAAAGTTACCGTTGAAAGTCAAGTACCTCAATTCACGGCATTTGACATATGTTCAGAGGAGAATATCATGTCTACTGCCAATGGCGGCGCTCTCTACGGTTTTGATCAATTACAGGGTAATGCCAACGCTATGAGTGTGGGAGCAGGCCTGACCGCTCGCTCATGCTGTCAAATGTGCGCAGCGCACACCGACTGTCTGGGTACCTATTTCAGAACGGTCGGCGGTAGTTGCAACATTTACATCGCAAATGAGGCAAGTATATGTGCCAATTCGGCTCAGCCGCTCATTGCTCTGTTCCGTACAAGTCGGGATCTGTCCGTGTCAGTCCTTCTCAGTAACGGTCCATGTGGACAATGGAAGAACGATGGCGATGCTACGCCAACGAGCAATTGAGGCTTGAGCTGGTAGAATCTTGATTCTCACATTTAGGGCATGTGATCCCGAAAATAGGCCTTCTCAGATACCTCAGCTTAGAGAAGAAGGAAATTAGTTTTAGGAATAGAAATAGATTCTGGTATGCTTGAGTTTTGTCTTCGGGTTTGTTTGCATTTCTAGACTAGAGTTTGGACAACAAATTGCGCCTCGTTCTTATTCCCCCCTCCACTCGTCTACAAAGGCCCAGCTGTCTCCATGAGCCACATGTCGAGGTCAATTTCATTAATATTCGGATCCTGGAACTGATTGTCGATGAATGTCTAACGCGCCATGTTAGTTTCAACCCATACGGTCATAAGCACCAATAGGGTGAAAGGTTGACGTACCCAGTCAATGATATCCATCATATCCAGATCATTGATCTGGTATAAAGAATCATTGGTCAGGCTGCTCGATGACTCTACGTCTAGAGTCTGCCATGATTCGGAATCTGCTGGTAAAGACCATGCACTTAAAAAGTCGTTCACACGCTCTACCGTGGAGCCCAAAGCGTGTGCGACTGTACGTGCTTCGGAGCAAAGCTCTCCAGCAACAATCCATATCTTGTGAGCATTTTGGATTATTTTTAAATCCCTCTGAACTTCCTGATAGGCAGTTGGACTAGGAGGGGAATCTGCACCAAGCCGAATAGTTATTGTGAGATCTAAGCAGATCACCATGGCCGCCAAAGTAAAGTCGCTGAGTGTCAAGGTCGTAATCATCCACTTCATATCATGGAGCTGGCCACCAGTCTTAGTAGCTCGGTCCATCTCTGCCTGTCTCTCCAGAAGTCTCCTGGCTGCTTCCAGACAAGCATTTCGTGAAAACTCAGAACGACTGTCGTTTCGGTACATAAGATGCTGACGATGGAGAACAATGATACTCTTCAAGTGCAAAAGCTCGAGCGTAGTTCTGGTCAAGATCACACTCACCTCCTCTGTAAGGAAATTCGTGAGAGGCTTGTATTTGAAGTGATCAGGGATGTTCACATAAGCTTGGCGGACCTCGGTATCAAGAATAAGCGTGGTTTCGTGTGTGGGCGGAGTGGTAGAACGGGTATGCTTGACAACTTCCTTGAACTTGGCCATAACCGACGCTTTCACGATCGAATAAAGTATTGTGGTGTTCTCCGACAGAGGTCTGGATGGCGGCAGCTCTGTGATGTCAGGGTGTAGCTGGTTCTGGTCCAGGTTTCTGGGCAGCTCTGTGTCGCAAGAGTCTGACGGTACCATGCTAGGAAGACCTAGCTGGAATGACATAAGTGAGTCAAGCTGATATATGCAGACCCAAATCCTGCGTCGCATCTCGCCATCGAATGCGGAGATATTCGAATTGGGCAACTTGGAACAGTCGCGATGATAGCCTTTGCTTATCGCAAGCTGTACCAACTTTCCCATGAGGAACCAAAGGTTGGTGTCAGATGCTTTGGATCGAAGCCAGCAGCCGACCAGATGTAGGAGAAAGGCTTCAACGGCGTGCTCATTGCATAAGATGTAGTTACTGGTGAGAAGACAATGCTGTGTCTTGGTAGACAAATCTTTGCTGGGCGGAATCGGGACAGGGGAGGGAAGGACCATGCCTGAAGCTTCGTATACACCTGTTGATAAGCTCAGGAGGGCGAAGAGAAGAGCGATCCATGTGTTGGAGGTGCGTCTCGGTGCTTTCCAAAAGGCTTCGTACTATGAACAAGATTAAAATTCAGCACTGCTTTAGATTCGCCTTCACTAGATTTATATACCTCTCGCTGGAACTTGACCGGATGCAAGATCGCTGACACAGCGCAATCAGTAGATGTCATTCTAGGGAAAGATCTGACCTACGCATCATAGTGTAATGCCACCTGAAGAACATGGATATCAAAATATCGCAGACCTGTCTTGGTGGCAACGCCGCCAAGATACTATCATGACTTACTCCTTTGGAAGAGCCAAAATCCAAGTCAGGACTCATCCTCCCAAGTGGTGCTTCAGAACCATCACCAGGCGAATTGTTGAGCAAGGCTTGTTCTTTGTCTGGTGGGCTCTCATTGGGAAGTTCCTCGCGAATAGCCTTGATGTTTTCCAATATTGAAGACCAATGGCTTGAGTCAACGTGACCCGCCAACCCTGGGGGTACTACGCTATCCCCGTCTTTGGCTTCAGCGGCACCTCTGGACTCGATAGAGGCAGGAGTAACGATGGAGGCTTTGCCGTCCCCACCCGCCGATATATCTTCAGTAATACTCAGCGATGCCATGGGATCTCGCTGTTGAGCTACGATGGTTAACAATCCTTCCAAATGCTTGAGTCGCTCAGCAACTGAACTGCTGCTGCCTTTGTCAACCCGTCGCTCATTCCTGTCGGCATTAGAAGCATAGTGACATATAGACTGCTTATTCCTTCGAATACAGGAGTCACATGGTAGACTTCTGTCACATTTCAACCTAGTCCAGTCAGCCACCTTTCAATCTGTCAGCAGGCATGATGAGACGTACTTTCGTGTTCGACAAGGCTCGCAAGACTTGGGTGGTCGATTGCGTTTCTCCACTTTCGCTTTGATAATCAGTATTCCCATGATACCTAACTAATCTTATAGAGCAGTCGTACCTGTTCCAGTCATTTTTCCTTTCCGATGGAAGTTGGTGAGATTATGTTCGGTATGAAAGGGAGATAAGCAAGATCCGCAATGGATTATGGAGGCGGATTTAGTAACCCCGCTGACAGATGATTGGTTGTTGGTGTAAGCGGCGTTATTAAATCCGCTCTAGAGAAGGAGATTACGGAAGAGAAAGATATATATAAACGGTACGAATATCGTACAGAAATGATTCAATACAATATCATCCAACAATCAATTACCATTCATCACTTCAAAAAAAAAATCAATATCAGCAATCATGGTCATGTCAATCATCTCAGGTGTCTACGGCATCAGCTCCACCTTGTACTCCAACCTATTCATCACTCTTCCATACCCAGAGACCAAGGATGATCTATCAGATAAAGTCATGATAGTATCTGGTTCCAACCAAGGCTTAGGTTTTGAATCTAGTCAACACCTTCTCCGTCTTGGCCTTGGAAAGCTCATTATGGCTGTCCGCAATCTCGAAAAAGGCGAAGAAGCTCGTCAAGAGTTGTTGAAGTTGACCAAGCGAGAGCCCGAGTCAATTGAGGTTTGGTTACTTGATATGGCCAACTACGAGTCTGTTAAGGCATTTGCTGCGAGGGCAAACACCTTGCCCAGACTTGACGTTGTGCTCGCCAATGCTGGCCTTGCAACTTCAGCTGAGTTCACAACTGTCGAGGACAACGAACGTACCATCACTGTCAACGTCATCTCCACCTTTCTTCTCTTCTTCCTTCTGCTTCCAAAACTTCGCAAGTCGTCCTACCCAGGCAAATTCGTCATTCCCAACTCAGCCACACATTACTGGGCACCCACTAAAGAACTCATTCCTGACGAAAAGGCTGGACCCATCTTTTCGCGCCTCAACGATCCAGCCAAGTCCAACATGGCATCCCGATACTATGTCTCCAAGCTCATGGTTCTTTATCTCACGAGGGAGATTGCAGCTCGTCTTGGGACTTCTGAGAAGAATGGTGTGATTATCAACACCCCGAACCCCAGCTACTGCAAGTCTGGCTTGTTGCGGGAAAAGGAGGAATCCACTCCTCCAGATTTCTTAGCTCGGACGCCAGAGATGGGTAGTCGTGCTCTTGTCACAGGTGTTCTTGCTGGCCCTGAGTCTAATGGGCAGTACATGACAAACTGCCAAATCCACGAGTGAGCCAAATTGTCAGAACTATTGTGATAAAACTAATGAAATACAGGCCGGCTTGTCATGTCACCAATAATATGGGTGCTAAGATACAGATTGCGATGTACAAGGAGTTGCTCCAGAAGCTGGAAGCTATTGCGCCTGGTGTCACCAAGACTCTGTAATGGGGATTTTACCTGTCGTCGCTCATTTCTCTTGCCAGGCTTTATGTTTCCTTTGTTCCCCAGTTGATAACATCACGAATCTCTCACGGCAGGAGCAGAGTTTGAAGGTCTATTGACTAGATAATTCGTACCGAGCCTTTGGCTTCGAGCTTCTTCGTCTAGACTTTCCCAGCAGGTTTGACACCCCATCCCTATAGTTATGTGCAGCAAGACCGGGAGTTCCTGGACTCAACTCATTAAGCGACCTTTTCCTCATCAGGCAGCAAGTACAGCAAAATCCCCAAACTAAGGATCATCAGACCTGCATCATAAGATATTTGGCCAAGGTGCAGGATGTTCTAGATAATCTTCTGCCTGAGCTTCGATGGCGCGGCGGTTTATCCCGTCCTAAACATGCCATGGAAGGACAGCAAGACATGAGGTTAGGCCCCATATTTCCATATACATTATGTAGAATTCACTATCTTTATTACGAACTTCGCCCAACATGTCTCTTCTCCTCATCGTTTCCACAATTCACCGCTTTGACAGTATTCAACAGACTTCAGCGTCTGTCCTCTTGTCCATGAGCCTTCCGATCTACCCTCCGTTTTCCTCCTCGACTGGGCTTACCGAGTGCACTCCACACGTTCCCTAATACCCACTCTCAAGCCCTGATACGCATCTTTGAGCGAAAGCGCCGTTGAATCGACCGCCAGAGCAGCATCCGCGATTATCCTGGCAAATCTCCGACCGGGAGACTGGAAGGCTCCCCACAACCACGCGAGGAAATCTGTCGTATAGTCTCATGCCTGAAACCAATTTTCGATCAGGATTTGTTGTAGCGAGACAGGTCGAACAACCTCGGCAGACAATCCCAACTTGCGGGTCGCATCCCCGTGGCTTCGTATTTTATCCAAATCGATCAACGACCTTTGCACGACGACCTCTTCGTGAGCGACCGCATCCCAAGCTCGCCTAACCGCAGGCGCCAGTTTAAACTCCCACGTCCCTCGTATGGTGATGATCGCCGGTTGCCAATCTCGAGCCCTCTCATACCGAAAGACCATTGCCAAACCTCGTCTACCGTTCCATATCTCTATTGTGTCCAGACTTGGCATCTTGAGGGTAGCGGCTGCGGCGCTTTGGAGCATGTTGTTTATATCCACGGGGTTAGCGTCGTTAGTGAGGGTACTTGATGTCAGCGCAAGTGACGTTAGCATGTCCCACGTCCAAAAGCGTTGACGCGCTGCGAAGAAATAACCGGCGTCGACCATGAAAGAGGCGGATAGTGTTTTAAGACGCAAGCTAGCGTAGGCAAGCTTTTGGCTTACGGCGGGATTCGGAACTCTGATAGCGGGACATGGGAAGCGTATCGTCCTGTGCCATCTATCTCGGTAAGACTCGTTGAAGTTCTCGAATATGGTCAGCTTGCACAATTGTGTCGAGGAAAAGGACTCGATTAGATTTTTAGTCCCTGTGAGGTCACTCAGCAGCTACATGGACAGAATTAAGTTCCAAAGTACGTACAGCCGTCGGTTTGGATCTCAATAATCCCCAATTCTCTCCGAGGTTCGTAACAAAGTTCCTTGATATTCGGGACACGTGTCAACATGCTCGCGAGTGTCACTGGCTTCCATCGTCTACGAGTTTGTTGGCGAAAGAGCACGCTACCGACGACAGGTACCACGGGAAGACTCCTCCACCATTCCATCTCGGGTAGTTCATCGTCGAAAGGTCCCTCGCCCATAATCTCATCGAATACACGCTCGGTAGCGATCCAGGTAGGGGCCATGGTCTGGCGTCCGTCAATCCATCCATGAGCCGGGTCGTTTCGTTCGTATTCGGGCGGGCACTCGGCTTGATCGGTGTCTGAGTGGAAAGTTAGGTACTTGAACCATTGTTTATCGTCACTGGGTGAATAGACACTGATATCGAGTACCAAATTACCACGAGGCTCTCATACGCTCAGCATCATAGACAGGCCTTTAAACGCATCTAGAATAAACTGGTTATCGATATTATTCAAAACGACTGGTGCAATGATCGAGTCTTGGTTTCAGCCATCTCGACTTACTTATCGAGGACACCGCGAAAAGGTGCTCGATCGTCGCCCTGAGCCGCTTAGCGCCTCCACTCAACAAGTACCTACTCAAATCACAGATTCCTCAGCGTCTCATTGTCATTTTGCGCGTCGCAGGTCAATCGCCATGCCCGACGAGGCAGCGGTGTATCATGACCTATCAAGAGAAGTACAGTAACCGAAAGTAGCCCAGCAAAGGAACCCAGAGTCTCGGAGCGATCACAACGCTATTCACATGATGTGCTCTGGCAAGACGTGATCTGAGAAACGTCATTACTGTATCTGCTAAATTCCATCGACTTCTACGATGACTGTTGAGATGACGTGACCCAGTTTCGCCTTACATTCGGGCAGGAACAGTTATCCTGAACGTCATGATTGCTGAAGCAGCGATAGTGTTCCTGTTCGACGAACGCTTCCTTCCAAAACTATTCAGTTCGACGTAGAGTTCATGCCGTATGAGTCACGCCGTGGCTGGAAAACCTTGTCTTGAGAGAACCTTTGATCTGAATATTTTGTTGAAAATTTGATCTGCGCGGACAGATTAACCTTTGTTGAAAACCTAGAGGAAATTGAGAAGGCCTGGGCGCAAGCTTAAGAGATCGTAAAAAACATGTTTCCTTTGTTATTAACTGTCATTTTATATCTACTGCTTTTCTCTTCTTTATTTAATTAACACATTGTATTTGGAGGCGAGAGAGCTCTTACCGTCCTGTTGTGACCGGAACAGTCGCGTGTGTGGTCAGTTATTGACTTCGCATCATTAATCGCTAAACCTTTACAAAACGCTACTTCCTTCCAGTTTTTCGGTGCAGTCTTGAGTCCAGTACATGAACCGCGATGGCCAATGTGAAGTTTGTATGTGAATGGTATTGTTTTTATATACAATATTGGAAACTATAGTTCTTAGAAAGTCAAAAATGGCGGATGCAACCAATACAAATTTTCCAGCGTCAAAATCTTAGTTTCGGATCGTTCAGATAGAGACCAATTCGCTTTTATCCAATGGTTTACTGTTCATGGAGTTAGTAACCAGTTATTGATGGGATTGGGAGGCTTCTTACAACAAGACCGAAGAACTTCAGGTCCTCGTCGGGGAAGTGGTCAACAGCGTGAGTGACACCGTTGCCCAAGAAAGTCTGCAAATGATCAGTCATTATTCTTCTTTCGTAATACATTTTCCTTACCTCAAGCTTGTCACCAAAGACCTCTCGCTTGTAAGGACTACGAGGGAAGTTATTGGTGGTAGATTTGGGAGTAGCAGAGTAACCAAAGACACCAGTCCACTGCTTAATGGTCTCGTAGTAGTTCTGGACGTTGAGAGTGGGGTCGGCGGTTCCGTGGTAGATCTGCATCTTGGGGCGAGCTCCGTTGTAGCCAGGGTACATGTCCTTGACAACGTTGGCCCACTGCTGCTGAGTCCATCGGGACTGACCCTGAGAGCAGGTCGAGTTCCAAGCGGCGGCCTGGTTAGCCTGGCTCTTGAAGCAACCAGCAGGGACACCGGCGTAGACAATTGCAGCGGAGAAGACATCGGGATAGGTAGCGGCCATGACGTTCTGGCGTTGTTAGAATCATTCGTTGATGTTCTCTCGGTTTTACTTACAGTCATCATAGCACCGGAAGAGTCACCAGTGACAAAGACTCTCTTCGAGTCACCGTTGTAGTTCTTGAGAACATGCTTGGCCATGTTGGCGATGGAGGTGCTGCAACCACCACCCTCGTGGGTCAAAGTCATCTTGGATGAAACATCCCAGCAGTTGCCAGGAGTGTAAGGAGTCTGAGGGTAGATGACGATGAAGCCGTACTTCTCAGCATTGGAAGCCCACTTGTTGCTCTGGTAGTAAGCCTGAGCTGTGCCGGTGCAGTAGTGCAGACCGACAACCACAGCAGGGTTCTGCTTCAGGTTCTTGGGGACGTAAAGGAACATGCGAGTTCCTGTAGGGTTGTTGCCATAGTTTTTGACTTCTGTGAGGGCTGATCGAGGGACGAGTTCAGCGCCAAGGACGGCGCTGACGAGGGTGAAGACCCAGACGCTGATGATGGATGATAGCTTCATGATGTAAGCCAGGAACGAAGGTAAGGATAAAGTGCCAAGAGGATAGTAGAGAAAAGAGCGACGAGGAGGTCTTATTTATTCTAGAATATCTAGTCTACGGGGCGAAACATGCGGAGTCATGGATCTTGTCTGCTGACCTTGCTCCAAGAAGTGCGGACCTGTACCCTCCGCTGCCGTGTTTCCCACGGTATTGAAAAGCTGAAACTGGGCACAGATCTATGTCCCTGTCTTTGAAGTCTGGGGCAGGCATCTCGTCTCCACAGAAGACTATGAGTTATAGTTGCAGCATCGGTGTAAGGATACAAATCCGGCTATTATCTCATATGCCGGGTGGAACTTTTGGCTGCAGTCCCCGCGAAATGTAATGCAGGATGATTTCTTTTTCGAGAACGACCCATCTCCTCATTTGATCAGAGGATAAAATGGTGATTTTAGCCACTGTAATAACCGATCGTGGGATGTTTCAGTGGGGATTAGACTGGCCTTGAAACCTCGAGCCTTACCAGATTTGGTGTGGAGATGGAAATCCCGGTTAAATTGGCGCTGGAAATGTATTCCACCAATAACAGCAATGTTTATGCCAAGATCCTTAAAACATCACTTTTATTGCTTGGTTTTATTACCATGGTAAACCCTCTCGTCATGAGTTCCAAGAAATCAACATTCGTGAGTATCCTCTCAAGTAGGCTACAGTCTGCATTGTATCCTACAACACTGAGTTGGTCACCTTGCTCCTCACTGAAACTGTGAACCATCGTCTTGAAGCGGATATCGCCCACAACGCTCAACTTAAACGTACCATGACAAAGGATTCTCTAACGATATCGTATGATTGGGAGGTGCTCATCTTCCAAGGTTATAGGAATGTTGATTCATAGTATCCGGTATCCGATGTCACGTGTGTCCTGTTCCATCCCGGCTGTAGCTCTCCAGGGCTGAAAATCATAGCGAAAAGATGAGTAGAACATCAAGTTCGGATACCCTGCAGCCAAGGTTCGTGGATCTCATGTGGTCCATCACAAATACAACGAAATTCATCACCCAGAAGGAGACCCATAGCGTCTGTGTCCTTTACAAATAGCACACATCGCGAAATGTTTGAGGAATGACAACGGACACCTGCTTGTAGAATAATGATTTCATGTCTTCATTCCATATACTGCTTCCTGTGTCTTTAGCCAGTTTCAGCTATTGACTAAAGGCACAAGCCTTACAAAGAATGAACCAATTGCTTTGCCATGATCGAAGCCCTTGTGCGGAAACTGACAAGAATACACTCTACCAGAACCTATTTCATGGAATAGACATGGGAGCATTCTATCCTATCCATGAGAGGAAAAACATATATTCTATATCAACTCAGTAAAGAGGTCAGGCCTGTGGCAATTATATATTCGGCCGATCAACCCAGCCGGCAGTTCAAGTTCCGTGTATAACATATCGAACGACGGTAATTCTATTCCGAGGTTTCCTTTCCGCTTCCAGAAGCCAGGTTTCATTCATTATTAAGGATGAGAACCCTCGTCGGAATAACTGCCAAAAAGCGGAAGCGCCACACGCTAATTCGAGGGAAATTGACAATCCCTGTTACGATCATACACAACTCGGCGAATTTAGCAGCGTCCATCCCGGCACAGATAGCAATGCTACTTAAGAAGACGCATTTCTCCAACCCAGAAAAAAAAAAGGAAAGGAATTCCAGTTGCGCATCGCGAACTAACTCAAGATGGCGACCCTTACACGCCTTTTGGTCTTCCTGTCTTACCTTTCAGTCTCACTCGCCTTGCAATTCCGCGGAGTTGACTGGTCTTCTGCCGCTGTCGAGGAACAGAAGGGTATTAAATATACCAACAGCGCTGGTGCAGCTCAGCCACTGGAGCAAATCCTCGCTGCTAATGGTGTCAACTCGGTTCGCCAACGTGTTTGGGTGAACCCTTCCAATGGCGAATACAACCTCGACTACAACATCAAGCTCGCCAAGCGTGCAAAGGCTGCGGGCCTGAGCGTTTACTTGACGCTGCACTTCAGCGACACATGGGCTGATCCTGGCCACCAAGCCATTCCACGCGGATGGCCCACTGGTATTGATGATCTAGCATGGAGACTTTACAACTACACACTCGAAGTGTCAAATGCTTTCCAGGCTGCTGGTGTCCCTCCCGCTCTCATTTCCATCGGCAACGAAATCACCGCTGGTCTCCTCTTCCCCACCGGATCGACAAAGTCATACTATAACATCGGTCGTCTTCTCAACTCTGCTTCCTTCGGCATCAAGGATTCTCGCCTTAGCCCCAAGCCCAAGATCATGATCCATCTCGACAAGGGCTGGGACTGGGGTACCCAGGAGTACTTCTACACTCAGGTTCTCAACCAAAAGGGACTCACTCTCGATGCTTTCGACGCCATGGGTGTTTCTTTCTACCCCTTCTACGGATCAGGTGCCACCTTTTCGGCTCTTGAGACTTCGCTCACAAACATGGCCAACCGCTGGGGAAAGCAGATCTTTGTCAGCGAGCTTGACTGGCCGACTTCGTGTCCTTCTCCTGCGCAGCCCTTCCCTAGCGATATGAAAAACATTCCCTTCTCCGCCGCAGGCCAGACACAGTTTATTCAGAAGGTAGCTAGCATCGTTAGCAAGGTCCGGGGTGGAGCTGGATTGTTCTACTGGGAACCTGCTTGGATGAACAACCAGGCTCTTGGATCGTCTTGTCCTTCCAACACGCTGTTCGCGTGGCCTGGAAAGGCTCTTTCAAGCCTTGCCGTCTTCAAGAGCATCTAGAGCGTTCTTCTGACACAATTTGTAGCGGCTCTCGAGTATATAGTTTTATCAATGAACATAAAATATGATTTAAACATATACCACTTATTTTTATTCCTGGATGATCCATTTACATGCATGATGACTTGCATCACATATTCTAGTACTAGTTAAAGCACAGTAAAAATGACTTTTTTCAAGGTATTTCTTAACTTTCACATCTCTCGGCTATCAACATTCACATTGACATCCTTTCCCATCTTATAGTCTACACAATCCCTTAGCAACGGCCCCGAACTTCCTTGGGGTTAGCGAAGCAAGTTCCCTTTCCATCAGCACATGGGAAGCCCTTGGCAGCGACTTCTCTGCAGGCATCCTCCCATTGATCTCCAGCGAGCTGAGCTTCGGCGTTTGCTTGGACGCACTATGAAAGATTAACAAGGTTTCATTTTACAGCTGAAGGTTGACTTACACGACCAGATGGAGTGTCATAAGTGGCTCCGCCCCACTAGAACTGTCAGTTTGACTCTTTACTCTTTCAACAGGCTGCTCCCATACCTTGTAGTCTGCGTCATTGTAGACGGTGCATGCATCCATAGTAATGCGAAAGTTGTAGCTGTCACCATTGTGGCAGGCGCAGTTGTTGTGGAGCTTCGCCGTGCTATGAGCTTGTTAGCAAACTCATCGACAGAGATAGGTGGGTGAACTTACGCGACGGAGAGGAAGAGGAAAGCGCTCAAGACCTTGGCCAACATGATGAATGATGATAAGAGGTAATCAGAAAATAACTGGAATATTTCAAATAGTAACGACAGTTCAAATTGGTAAAAGAGTGACTAGGCGATCAAAAGAGTGTAAGCCAAAGGTGATGTGGTTGGTAGCTATGATAGAGACAAAGGCCGTTATTAAAAGCAGTGAGTCTTCGTTCTATAACTAAGGGACATTTAATTGCCGAACGGCATTATCCGCGCTTCCCCTGTTCCTGTACTGCAATTTAGTAACACGAAGCGGCATATAGGTATCCTTATTCTTGGCATTATCACCTGAAACGCAACAACCATCTCATCCCGAGAGATCGGCAAACCGTTAATCCCAACAATAGTCATTTGTGTCTCGTGCCATACATCTCAGCTTCTTAATATGGAAATAAATCACTCGGCAAATCCGAATAATGGGGTATTCTTTAACGGGATGAAACCACGCGAGAAACTTTATTTTGACAGTTGGATGAAATGCATGATCTCACGGCTTTACGTGAAACGCGGAATTCGATTTCCCGTGTGGGGACTTGAATTTGACAGCTTCTATTTGTTCGATTGACTCGGATTATGGATCTATGCTGCATGAATAGACGAAGGATGTCGGCGCGATAGAAGCTATACGCATTGCCCGTTTGGGAGTCAGAGGGTCTTGACAAGGATGGCATATCGGCAGATGAACGGGTGCACTGATCGAGGCGTGGACCGCTGGTGTTGAAAAGATAAAGATGTCCCGCCTGGAATAGATTATTCTGACAGCACAGATCTTGTATCCGTTCATTCGTTCACTCGTTCACTCTTTTGAGATTCACGGTCTTTACCACCAGTCACTCATTCATTCATTTGACTTTAACCAACTATTCTGCTTTACCAGTTGTTAATCGCAGTAATTTCACCATCTGTCATCATGATTCCCTCTACCGTTCTCGCGCTTCTGAGCATCGCTTCCGTGTCTCAGGCAGCAGCTGCTCCCAAGATCCTCTCCTCTGACGACATCATCGTCCTCAAGACCGATGGAACTTCTCAAATCATGAAGGCAGCCGAGTTCAAGGCTCTTGAGACCGCTCCCGCCATCAAGGACATCTCGACTCCCGCCAAGAAGGCTATTCAGCGCCGTGACTGCAAGGACAGCACTGAGATCCAAGTCATATCCGACAAGGAGTTTGTCAACTGGGACGTTGCCATGTCCCCCGTCATCAGCAGCCTCGGCGGTTCCAAGGCTACCGTCAGTGTCACCAACGGCTACACCATCACCAACTCCCTCAAAGTCGGTTCCAGCTTCAGTATTCCCCTCATGGATGTTTTGACTGCTTCTTTGAGCATTGACTATACCGAGACTTGGTCTTCCAGTCAATCGCAGTCGCTCTCTTTCACGGTCCCTGACGGCCAGCACGGTATCATTGTCAGCCAGCCTTATGTTCGACGTATCGAGGGTAACGTCATCGATGGGTGCACGGGCGAGGCTAAGGAGGGATTTGTGTCGGATTCTTATGAGAGCCAGTCATACGGAGATCTTCAGTGGGTCAAGGGTATCATTCGTCTTTGCAGCAGTGAGACATACCCCATTCCTTACTGTAACGGAGAGGGCGAGCACAAATAGATGCGGGCGGATGTTTTGCGAGTCTGGCACTGATGACCAGCTGTTGTTGTTCCGCTATATTTAGAACCTAGCAAATGCTCACTCTTCACAACAACGTGAGATGATTTATTGATCAGTAATTCCTTTTTAATGAGCAGGACTCTTTTTGTGAAGATGTGAAGATGTGCCGTGCTGCTGTGGTGATGACAGAAACTCAAAAACAGACTTTGTTGCTGCCTAGAGCATGCCTAGGTACCTAGACAATGCATGCCTGGACAATACATGCTGGGTAAGGCTTATAAGTTAAAATAAGACCAACCCTTCTGTCTCTTCGGAGACACTATGGTCAAACCGTAAAGAAACAGAGAAGATTAGCATGGCCCCTGGACTAAGGATGACACAATCAATCAAAGAGAAGCATGCATTTTTTGTTATTTTTGCAACATAGCCTATGCTATTCAAGTCTTCCTTTTGTCATGTGACATTTTTTCAAGCGCAAATCTACGACTGGTTGTTAAATAAGCTGAGGTCCAAAGGAATTCTCTCCCCCATCCAAATTGCCCTCTCCAAATGATCCCTCTTCATCGACGCCCACCGTTCCACGCCCTCTTCCGGAACAATATTCGGATGGACGAGTGCCGACAGAGGTCCTCTCCAGATATTCAACCATGGAATGAATGCTCCAAACTGTGCTGGTGTAAAGAGATTCACTTCGAACATGGCGACTGGATGAGGTCCGATCGGTTTATCCCACAGTTTGTAGATTCGCAGTTCAGGGACTGTGAATGTCAGTAGAGTTCAGTGATGGTCTGACAGACAGTACCCACATTCTCGCCTAATGCGCTCCCAGAGTTCTTTGGCGTATTTGGTTTGTTCTTCGTTTGCCTGATAATAATAAATGTGAACGTCGCTATCGTTGTCAGTCATCAGTTCGGATCACGTCTAAGATGACTCACAAGGCGCCCCGTGGAGTTTGATCAAATGGGTCTATAAACTTGTCGTATGCTTCGCTTTTCTTTGCTGCTGACGGGTTGACATAGCTCTTTCCATCTTCTGCCAGGTCGTTAGGCAGTGGTGGAGCATCCTCATATCCTGTCAGAGGGGAGGGATACTTGAAGACTGAAGCGTCACCCATGATTCTAAAGTCCGAGTACAATAAAGAAGTCTATGAATACTAATAAGATGGATCAGAGTTAGAAACTGCAATTTATTTTCTGTGATATGATAGCGACAGAGCGCGTTCTTTATTTCTGGTGCGGGGGATTCTGCCTGGATGGTTGCGTGATGTCTCGAACGTGTGGTATCATTAGTAATCATTGTGGTTAGTCAGCACCCGCGCGGAATGCCAAAACGCGTCAACTACCCTGCATCGGAATATGCTCAATGATTCCGCAACAAGATTATCTATCACATTGTCTACTAATTGGAAAATCATTCCTATATTGTGGTCTCGTGATTATTTGTAAGCGACCGCGAATGTTCTAGGGCTGCATATCACGCGCTCAGTCCTCCAAGCTGTGACAATTGAAAATTACTAGTTTCTTACCAACTAAGATTTGGTCGCAGCGTTAAGCACAATCCATCGGACAAGGACTGGGTAGTTTTCCAAGTAATCAACTCATTTCCAATGGCTGTAATGCTAACTGCATCGCCCAGTTGTGCCTTGGATATTAAAGTCTTAAAGGTGGCTATGTTGCTAATCCCTGCAACTATCATCAACTTCCATTTCCCTCATTTATCACCATCGAGCTTAAATGTTTATTGGGTGGGTCTCGGTCAATTTTGGCCGGATTCTCCAAGGGTCGTGTCTACACATCAAGGGTCTTTTCTTTTACAAGTGATCTCCCTAAACATCTCCAAAGTTGAGTAGATCTACCATTTATAATGTTTGACTTCCGCATAACCGGGGGATCTTCAGCATGACATAGCCAAGCACGATATAAATGAAGAGACACATATCTGCGGTTTCAACGTTGTGGCTACGTCAAGTTGTGAAACGGTGACGGCTGTCATGGCTTGCAGTGGCTTATGATACAAGACCCTACGTAGGCACAGCGAATGCGAAAGAACATCATGTACAAACCAAGTTAGTATGAGGCTGAGTGATGTCTTGAGTCCCTGAGATGATGACCAGGAACAGAAAGTGATGCGTACTGTTTCAAGGGTTTTATGGGTATATCAGACTCCTATTGGTTAATTCGCATATCATTAGCCGAGTGCGATGGTCTGTCTGTGCCGTTATAAGCGACCGATACGTAGGCCAATGTCAATGACGTCAAATCTTGTACTTTCGATCTTGTACCCATTTCTTGATCCATGTTATTCCCTTCTTAAAATCGACAACGAATTCAATCTTTGTTAAAATAGCTGTGTTACACTCAATCCCTTCAAAATGAATCAATTAAATGAATCAGACCAACAATCCGATTCCTTGGCATCAACACCACCTTCATCAACTTCTTCACCACCACCTTTTTCACCAACATCAATGGCTGACATTGGCACCGACTCTGGAAATCTCTTCCGTCTAAAAGACGTTCTCTCATATTTCTCTGCTGTCAAAGGTGATCTCTCCAACGTTACTGCCCCGCCTTTTATTCTAGCCCCGAGATCGGCCATCGAGATTCCAGCCGCTTGGGCATGTCATCATGATCTCTTCCTACAACCTTCTGAAGAACCCGACGCCGGAGTGAGAGCGTTACTTTTGGCAAAGAATTATGTATGCAGTCTTAAGCAACTTGTCGGCGCTGATACGGAAGACGCGGGTAAGAAGCCATTGAACCCGTTTCTCGGCGAAATCTTTCTCGGCTCGTACTCCGACAAGGCTGGCTCCCAATCACAATTAATTGTCGAGCAAGTATCACATCATCCACCAGTCACAGCTTGTTCGATATACAATAAAGAGCGTGGGATATCATCTCGAGGGTTTGTGGGCCAGGAGACATCTTTTAGCTTGGTCAGCGGAGTCGCAGTACGACAGACTGGCTACGCTATTATCAAGGACGATAAACACGACGAGACACATCTCATGACCATGCCAACAATTCTCGTCAAGGGAGTCACAACAGGAAATCCATACCCAGAGCTGGAGGGTCCAAGCTACATCACAAGCTCGAGTGGCTACATGACAAAAATTGAGTTTTACGGAAAAAGAGCATTTGGGTTCGGAGAAAAGAACCAGGTCGTTGCCGAAATATTTGCGCCAGACAACAAGAAAGAACCACTATATTGTATTACAGGACAATGGACTGGTAATTTAGTTGTCCAGGATTCGTCAAAGAACACCCTCGAGGAGTTTCACATCGATAAAATACCTGTATCTCCACTAAGCGTCGCGCCTCTAGACAAGCAGACACCATGGGAATCGCGACGCGCTTGGTCAAAGGTCACGCACGCTATCAAAGAACGAAATATCGAAAAAGTTTACGCTCACAAGAGTGCCATCGAGGATTCACAAAGAAGACGACGCGTGGAAGAAGAGAAGAAGGGTGTTGAATGGAACAGACTCTTCTTTAAAAGATCCGTCAAAGATGACACAGTCGCGGAAGAGCTTCTGGCTATGATTCCAGAGAGACTTGAGGGTATAGACTTTGCAAAGACAGATGGGTCCTGGGCATTTATTGGAGTTGATGAAACGGAGCAGTTGAAAGCGAATTTGAGTACGGACACATTACCATGAGATACAGATTTTGTTGTCGACGTACAATAATTTTAAATAACTTTAAAGGAAAAGGCCCTGGTCACCAGATCCAAAGAATGCATCCTCGCATGTTCCCAGAAAGCGAAACCTAGCTGGGGCAGTATGTCGGAGTCTTTGAAATCTGTTCGTCTGAAGAAATGAGAGCCATATGATGTCATTTGCAGGCTGTCTTCCTCGTCCTCTCCTGAAGCTATCGTCGCCCTCGGATGCATCGTTACCCATCGATTGTCTTCTGAAGGTGCGGGCGCCTGTGGTAGTCGGAAGACGATGTCGTTCTTGTAGCAGGCTGGTAGATAATGCATCATGACTTGCACTTCTTCTCGAACATAGTTCTTGAAACGATTGTACGGTACGATAGATACCGAGTTCATCTGAGACAAACGGGCAAAGTTAATGTTAGACCAGCGGATTATATTTGGTCTACTTGAGACCATAGCCGTGACCTCGCCCACCAGTTGTATAATCTACAAGGCCCGGACAGCTCTCATTTCTTCAATATATGTCGGCTGGCCCATACCGTGAGCAGGAAGTGAACATGAGAGGTTTGCTCTTTCCAGTCGCTGTAAACAAGATGCTAGCAAAGATTGCTCCAAAGCCGAAATGTGGTAACCTGTCGCGACGACGGAAGTTATGGCATCGGGCGAGTCTGGTAAAGAGTTTGGACCGAAGATTATGTGTGCCTCACTGGCATAGTGATACCAATAACAATTATCGGGGTGGGCTATACGGTATAAGAAATTCCCCCTAAAATCTTCGAGATTCGCAAAGGGAAATTTATGCATGCGCACAAGTGCCACTACTCGGATAAGTTCTCTAAAGAATAACGGCGTGGTCGAGTTTGGCCCTGATAGTACGGCTTCGGTAATCGAAGCGTAGCCGGTAGCAAGAATGCGCCAGCACCTGGGTGATGCTCGTAATAGATTCCAAAGCGTATCAATACTCGGAACATTGCTGAGTATGAACTCCAGGACTTCTATAGGCATTTGCTCCAGCGATACTGGACCTTCGTGGATCGTGGTATCGTGCATAGTGAGGCTCATGGTTGTCAGTGTAGTTAAAACTTCGTGGATGTTTGTAGTGGTGAAGATGTGTAATATTGGGAGGAAGGAGGCAAGCAGACATTTATAGAGTGAGGAAAAGACGAAACCATGGTTCATAATAGAAGCTTTGGCTGCCTTGGAGTCAAAGAAGAATTCTAGGTTATATTTTTATCAGATTGAACTTATCAGATTGAACCGTAGTGGGGATTTTCACAAGAGATTGTCTCATACACACACCAATAAAAAGTTAACGTCGGATATACTTTGAAGTATGCCTGTGCCGCCAACAGAGTAGACCAACTTTCTAAATTTGACCGCAAAGTCTGTCAGATTTGGTCCAACCATCCAGTTTCTAGGTAGATTTGAGTTTAGCGACAAGAATTGTTCAAACACAGGAAATCTTGACGCAGGCCCAGGTAGACTCGAAAGTATCAAAAAACGCCAGGTAACGAATTCTTCTATCAGGCACTTAGACCCTCCATTTCTGGCCCGGTGGCTCGTTATTTAGATATCATATTCCAATAACCTCGTAATTTAATTCATGAGGTCATCATCATAGTTGTTGTAGTCTGTCGTTAAATTAACTCCTGTCAGTGCTTACATAGACTATCTCCACAACGATCGTCCGTCCTACCGCTATTTTGGACCGAGTTTCGGTCGAACAACATTTTTAAGTAGGATTCATGCGGAGAAGAACAAATCTCACAGCATCATCGCGGACAAAGCATTACCTCGATTATAAATGTCTGTTGTTTTGTCAGCCGTCGTATCCACAAACGACAAGGATGACATTGACGATGAAGCTATAAAATGCCCAGCGTGGTCATGCAATTGAGAATCATAAAATATCTACAATAACTACAACCATAATAGTTACTATGTCAGCTCTAGCATACTTACCCTTCTCTTTTCCTACTGGGCTGACATCGCCCCAACCGTTTAATATCTCTGTCGATAAAGACTTTATCCAGCAGACTCAAGCCAAGGTCAAAACATGGCATTCACCTGTCAGTCTGTGGTCTAACTGGTCTACCGAAGGCCCTGACACAAACAAAATCGACGATGTTGCCCAATACTGGGCTAACGAATATGATTGGTTTTCCGTCCAGGATCGACTCAATAACGAGGGCCATCATTATGCAACTTCAGTCTCGAGTGACGGAAACTACACAGCGCCAGTTCCACTTCATTTCGTCCACCGAGAGTCCACCCAACCTGACGCTGTCCCTCTTCTACTTCTTCACGGATGGCCGTCGACGCATCTGGAGTGGTCTAAAGTCATCGAACCTCTTGTATCCGACGCTGAGACACCCTTCCACATTGTCGCTCCTGATCTACCGGGCTTTGGCTTCAGTCCTGCTCCTACGCAGCCCGGACTCAGTCCTCGTGAGAACGGAAAGGTCATGGATAGTCTCATGAAACAGCTCGGCTACTCCAGATATGGTATTGTCAGTACTGACTTGGGTTGGCAAATTGCCATGTGGATGGTTGGAGATGCAGAGTCAAGCATCATCGGACACATCACAGATTTCTTCTCCGCCCAACCGACCGACGATGACGTGGAGCGTCTGGCACGAAATGAGACCACCGAAGAGGAGACAGCTTACATCCTTTCTTCAAATGCGTGGTATTCTTCTCACTCAGCGTATTCTACTGTTCATACTCAAAAGCCCTTGGCTGCAGCCCTCGCGTTTGGCGATAGTCCCGTCGGCTTTCTCGGTTGGGTGTGGGATTTGATCTATGCGATATCAGATGGCTACAAGTATACATACGAGGAACTTATCACCGATGCGATGATGCTGTTTATCCCTGGCCCGTACAGCAACATTCGCGCTTATCTCGAGGCATACAGCGTATGTAAACTCATCCTCCATATAAGACAATAACTAACCAAGTTCTTAGCCAGGTATGATGGACTTCCCGAAAAGCAAGGTTCCCACTGGCATTTCGGAATGGGCCTTCACGAATGGGCCATTCCCTGACATTGTCGCTTCCGCTCTGTCGGTATGTTAATTCTTAACCTCGTTGTCTTGGTTGTGACTAATATTTGGATGTAGCCTCGAAGCTGGATTGAGAGAACCTCGAATGTTGTCTACTTCAATCGACATGACTTTGGAGGCCACTTTCCTGCAGTATCGCAGCCAAAGGAGTGGCTCCAGGACGTTCGGAAGTTCTTTTCGGGACTTAATTGAGAGATGTGACCAGAGGAACACAGGATGTGGAACGGTCAGATACGAGGGATGAGTTAGATTTACTGAATGGTAGAATTGGCTTGCAAAGTAGAGTTACGGTGTACCTCAGTCTCTGCAAATTGGTAAGATAAGTCATGGTATTAATTATATGAAATAGTATTAAATAATTTACTTATGCTCCTCCTTGACCCCGTTCAATCTGCTCATAGCGACTCCTCTTAGGTCGTCCTTCACCTCGAGATGGTAGCTCAACCTCTACTGGACTGAACTTACTACCCTTTCGTTCATGTTGAACTGGTTCCGTCTCAATCTTGACGTCGATACGTCTGTGGATACCATTTGAGGTCTCAGGCACATCTGATTCGTCATCAAAAGATGCTTTCGCGGTTGAGCCGGCTTTTGACTTGTGTGTCATTTCTATGGATACGCCGTATCCTGGGGTCTTATCGTGTGCGCCGCTCTTGGAGCTGTGGAGTTTCGGGGTGTTGGAGTATGGGAGTGATGGGTATAGTTCGTCCGTCATCTTCTTTCGGGCCAGGTGGGTGATCATGGAGGCCATAGACATTTCGATGTTGAGCTTGACCAGGTATACAACAGGGTGGAATTGAATAAACACTGTTTGATTCGGTAGGGACATGAGGCCGATGAGCAGTATCTAGTCGCAGAGTCAGTAGTGGTCTAGAAGCCAGCAAGATTCGAACGTACATCCATTGCGACCGACACAACCATCAGTTTGGAGTTGAAGGAGACAAGTGGCTGATACTTTGTGAGGTGGCTCTCCTTTAGAAGCCTTTCTTTCACAATGTGAAGAAAGTACCAATTGAGAGCAGCATCAATAATACAAATCAAGATCTTTGAAGCTCTGTCCCAGTATTTGTTGATAATAACAAAGCTATAACATGTAAGTCCGAAGAAAGTCACGTCTTGTGATGGTTACTTACGCGTGGATGGGCGGGTCAACGTGTGCCGGTATAAAGATGCAAAAGACAGCAATGTTGATAAGTGTTGTGACAAAGGCAGTGCCCCATTTAAGGCGCCAGATTGTTTGTCGAGACTCGGCGATGATACTGATTCTGTTGATGATGATCTGGAATAACAGCTGGATCTCGAATACCCAGAAGAATAGGATAAAGAAAAAGACGGGAATGCTATTGAAGTTAGATCACGCGTGGCCAAACCTCTTCCAAATTGTTACATACCCAGGTTTAATGATGCCATTCAGGAATAGATAGCCGAGAATTCCAATACCCAGATTGGCTATGATCTCTCCCCAGATCATGTAAATGTATGTACTTCTCAATGGGCTGCGGTTCCGCCTTGTTTGCTTCATAGCCTCCCAAACGGTCAAGAAGCCAAACCCGAGGGAGAACCCCAGGGCCACGGAGGCAACCTTGTAATCCGAGATACTACTCATGTTGCGGCTGTGTGTAAAGAGTGACAAGAAAATGAAATTGATACCTGTAGAAGAAAAATGGAAATCTCGAAACAGGGGAAGAGTCTGAATTTTAGGATATGGCTGACACCATAGCTTCTCGATACGACCTCGGCAACGGTTAGACACTTGAGAAGACTATTGGGAATAAGTGGAATGCGAAATCTCCGCCGCCCCTCATGATAGAACAGTAATTGATCTCGGGGTGGCGATCCCGAGCCAGGGGAATGGGTCTAGTGTTATAGCTTGAAGTGTCAAAAACGTCGAGTCAGACTCTGGCACTGACGTCCTGACGTACTGACATAACATGCCAACGAGGCTGTGAAATCGTATGTCTATAACTTAAATTTGGCTCAAGCTGGTCAAGTTCATCGTATAGTTGTCATGTAGTCAACTGTCAAAATACCATAGAAGAATAAAAAAAGAAACGAGACCCAAAGCTTCGGGACCATTTGGTCCGCATCTCGGATACATCCCAGTCTAGGTATAGATCAGATGAGGCTGGCAAGCCTCAGTGGATAACGAAACTAATGACAACAGAGACTAGCCAGTTGATTGACGTGCGGATCTCCAGTATTCTACTGGCTGTGATCCAAAAAATTTCTTCTTCCGCGCTATAAACGGAATTATTCCGAGGTATGATGTTGCCCAGATCCACGCGCACAGTCGTTTTAAAACCTCGTCAGCCAATCTCTGATCATTGACAGGTTGTTTAATGTTAGAGACATGTTGATCGGAGTCCGGACTAATGCACCCCTGAACAAAACCTGGATGCCAATCAGCAAATCATCTCTCATCCTGGTCCATCTTGCTGCCGTCGCCACGTGTGCAAGACTCAGATTCGCGGCAAGTTCCGTCATGGCTACAGTACCCATCGTAAAGGAGGGTATCCAGGCTCAACTCGTCGCCGAGTTCTGATTGACAGAGGGTCAAAGAACATATCTATCAGTTATGACTACAGAATGATCTGCATCTCCGCTCGCTAGTCTGTCCCAGAACTCCTTCTCTGATCTTGTGAGCAGCGAACTCAGTCTAGTGATTGCAAAAGACTTGTCTCCGTAATGTTAGAGTTGAAACTAATCGCATTACCCCTGCTCTTTAACGACTCAATCTAGATACAACCATCTTGAATCTTGAATCATATGCTGAGTTTCCCCTGATCGACCAGTCTGAGAGCAGCCAATCGCAAAATTTTAAATCTCCACATTGATTTTCTTCCAACTCTCCCTTTCCTTCAATTCATTCCACCACTTCTCAACGGCTGGATACTTGGGAAGAAGCTCACCAAGCCCCAGCGACTCTGTCATCTGTCCATAAGGTAGATGGAATAGATCGGCGAGGGTGACGTTGTCTCCAGCAAGATACTTCTGCTTTGAGAGGATTCGCTCGTATCCAATGAATGAGGCATCCAGATCCTTGATTTTAGCTTTGACTATGTCTTTGTTGGTAGGACCAAGGCCTTTGCGAGGGTTGAAGACTTCCTCTGCAGCAATCGTACTGACGTTGGGGTCGAAGTAGGACGCTTCAATTGATAGAGCCTTCAAATTGTTAGCCAAGATCCAACATTCACATCAAGCTCTGGAGACTATACCTGCTGAAAGGCTGCGTATGCCTTGATGTCACTCTCGGCAGGAGACAAGTCGATACCTTGACCACGGTATTTGACCGCAAGATAGTGAGCAATGGCTCGGCTTTCTTTAAAGAAAGATGTTAGTCACCTGAAAATGTTTTAGTTATCAATCACAACATACCGAAAACACGAACACCTGCCTCCTCATCAATTAAGACAGGAATCTTGTTGAAAGGGTGAAAGTTGGCGGCGTATTCCTCTGTCTTATGAGCCCCAGCAAAGACTTCGACGGTAATCATTTCATAATCGAGGCCCTTTTCCTCAAGCACGGTGCGCACTCGGAGTGTGCAGGTTGATGCAGGGTATCCATAGAGCTTGAGAGTCATCTTGTAAGGCGATATTGAAGAATGCGGTATAGGAGAAAGTGATGTGTTTTGATTGAGATGAGAAGAGTGTTGTTGAGATTGAAGATATAAATTCCATGGTTATATATCGAATAACTATCTTGTTACACAGGCATAACTATTGTTTATTGTGGTTTAGATGAGTAATTCTGATTAATCCGACCCGGTTGGTCGCTCTCCGTTCCGGACGGAAGACGGACGAGTCTCGGACACCGGCACGTCGCCTATCGGAAGTGGCGCTGCGTGCGTCACGTTGGTCAGCCCGGCCCCCAAATTTGTAATTGATTATTGATATTGATTGATTAAACAGGTAATAAGCGACGCGATAAATATACTAATTAGTCGATTCAGATTGTCTTGAAACAGCCCTCAGACTACGAATACGGTTGAAAACTACGGTCGTTTCCGTTTTCTTCACAATCCCATCCTCTTGTCGTGGTTTGCTCAAGTAGATTGTGTCATCGGACTGATCAGCAAGTCGGACATGAGTGACGTGATTCGATGATATAGAAGTTGTAATTCGGCCGCCGGATGAATGTTCAAGATCGTTTCGTCCGAATCTGTTTGTGGATGGTCGATTGGTCTGTTGTTGCGAATCCCTGACAATATGGCCCAGGAGTGATGCTACGTTCATCTCGATGTAGAGTTTGAGTAGGTATACGAGTTGATGGAATTGAACATAACTGGCAAGATATCTATCAGCAGTGGCGACAATACTCTCGATAGGAAATACTTACACGACAGGGCTTGGGAGAAAAGTGGCCCCCATCAAGACAAAGTCCAGCGACACTGATATAATTTCCATGGTGACGTTGAAGTAGAAGAGCTTGTTATACTTGGTCAATCCATACTTGATCAACCTCGATCGAACAAGGTAAATGAAGTATACATTAAGTGCGAGATCGACAAGGAGGAAAATGGCTTTCTCGGTGCGGTCCCAGACAATATTGATTTCCTCGTAAACAGGAGAAATTTGCAATCGGGCGGGGATCCAAATACAGAAGCCGCTGATATTGATGAGAGATGCAATCAAAGCAACACCCCATTTGACTCGGTTGATATTCCTCTTGTTGACTAGGAGGAGTGATATTCGGTTGATGATGATCTGAAGGGTGAACTGGATCTGCATGCTCCAGGCGACAACTAACAAGGACAAGGTCAGTCGATTTTTCGGTATCTTCTAGTCTGTTTGGGAGACTAACTAATAAAGAAGAAGACCCAGAAGCTAGGCAGTAGAGACAAGGTCAGCATAACTCGGCGAAAACAACAAGATACGAACCTCGGCGGAGCGATTCCTCTCAACCAGCAGTAAGTGACAATGCCCATGACATTGCATCCAATCCAATCGAGCCAACACATGATGATATAAGCACTGAAGAGTCTCCCTCTTCTATAGGCAGAAAGAGTCTGTTGAATTGCCATGGAAGCAGTGAACAGGGTCGCTCCCAAGCTACAACCAAATATGATGCTGACGATATTGATCTCGAGATCCCCGGGCTTCTCGCTCTTGTACCATGGTGGAATGAGGAAACCCGCCATGTTGGCAGTTGGTATCGAATGTGATGTTGTATCCAGTCTGTTGGTGAGTGGGACATTTCCAGGAGCCTCAAAAGATATATACCAAAGAAGAACTTGAACGGCAAGCAGTCCATATCGACAAGGAATCTTCGATCGAGGAACTATTGTTTCATGGCGTGTTGGGGGAGGTCTGTGGTGTAAACTCTATTAAGGCATGACTCTCCTAGTGCCGCCTATGGTGGCCATTTAGCCATTCAAGGGCCGGAAATAACATTCTACTACACTCCATTACGATCCTGGGGAAACTAGATCTCCGACCCGGCAGATCAATTGCCTAACTAATATACTTATCGCAGCCGGACCTTGAATCAGGAACCACAAGGCTGGTTACAGCGAGATGAGCTGTCCATTCAGCGCCCAAGCAAGACAATACGAGGTGAATTAGACAACGGCCATTGTTATTTCTTTTTACGCCACAGTCATTAGTGCATGCAGGTCTCAATTCTAAATAGCCTTATTTGTCCAGTCGAGACTGAAAGCTGCGCCAGACGAGGATTATTCCCTCTTACTCTCGAGTGTTTAAATGAGATTCAGCCACATCACAGAAGCCATGAAGATCAGCTGAGGATTCTCATCAGAACCGATAGGAGAAGGCGTCTGGGTTTTATCACTCACCAGCCAAGCTGTAACGGTGGCGCACCCACTATAAAGCAGGGTTATGGTACTCAGCCCTAGCATGTTTCGGGGTCTTAGGGTAAGAATTTAGCTGATTCTGATTGGACTGCCTTACGCAGCGCCGGATAACGATCAAATGCGTATAAAACCGCCGAAAAATAATCTATTAATATAACGCATAGAGTAGCATTAAAGGGATATCGTGGGTAGTGAAGAAATGAATAACGGGGCTTTCACATGGAAAACCTCCAATGCAGGGATACGTGCGGAGTTTGGATCCTATAAAAACATGTCTTTTAGTTCTCTTCTTCCCTGATTGGTTTTGCTTTTTGTTTGTATCTGAAGAACTAAGCAATAATGGATGACAATTACTCAACTATTCAGGGCGCGATGGCGTCGCTGACGATACGACAATGGGTAGTTGTTACTATTGTCTCTTGGTTTGTCTACAAGATCGTAGAGGCTTTGTACAACATCTCACCACTTCACCCGCTGAGCAAGGTCCCTGGCCCGAAGCTGGCGGGAGCAACTTATTTGCCCGAATTTTACCATGATGTGATTCTTGTCGGCCGCTATACACATGCTATTCAAAAGATGCACGAAAAATATGGTGAGTAAACTCCTCGATTAGTCGGGTTTGTAATACTAACAGAAGGAAAAGGACCAATTGTCCGCATTAACCCAAATGAGACACACTGTTCCGACATGGCATTCTCCGATGAGATCTACGCTGTTGGTGGACGTAAGCGTGACAAGCCCTTCCACCAAGTCAATGGCTCAGCAGCTGGAACTGGCAACGCCTTTGGCACACCTGATCACGATGTTCACCGAGCTCGACGTGGTCCCGTAGCCAAATTCTTCTCAAGGGCCATGATTGCGCGACTTGAAGAAGAAGTACACGAGCTTGCCCAGACTCTCTGCAACAAACTACTGGCCGAAAGCAGTGGTAAAGAAAAGAGCGAACCTATCGATGTTGCACACGCATACAGTTGCTTCACCTCCGACGCCATCTCTAGATATTGCTTCGGTGAAGCCTTTGGCCTTTTGTCACGCGATACCTGGCGACCTACTTTCCGTGAGGCCACCCTAGCAGTTCTCAAGCCTGTGTTTTGGTTTCGATTTTTCCCGTTCCTGGTTGGAAGCGTCAAGTATGGTAAGCATTTCGTCGACTATCTGCCCGCGGATGCTGCTATGCTTGTTCGAACTCTGCAAATCGATATTCCTGCTCGTGTTACAAAGACCAAGACAGACCTCAACTCTGGTATCGTCTACGAACGACCAACTATCTTTGCCGATCTTCTTCAGTCCGAGCTTGACGAGAGTGAGAAGGGAACTGATCGTCTCGTTCAAGAGGCTGTTACTATCGTTAACGCTGGAACCGAGACCACAAGCTGGGCATTGGCTGTTATTACATATTTCCTCCTATCGCAGCCTGAAACTATGAGCAAGTTGCGGGCGGAGTTGGCCACTGTTGTCGACGATCCACGACACCTGCCTTCTTGGACAACGCTTGAGAAGCTACCGTATCTTGGATCAGTTGTCAACGAGGGCTTGCGTCTGTCGTACGGTGTTTCCAGCCGTTCTGCTCGTGTCCCCACAACAGAAGATCTTGTCTACCGCGGAGAGTTCAACAAGCAGCACACTACTGTCGTCCTTCCCCGTGGTTATGCCATCGGCATGTCAGCAGCCATTTCTCACCACGACGAATCCGTCTTCCCTGACTCATACTCTTTCACCCCTGAGAGATGGATCGACGATGATGGAACAATTAAAAAGAACCTGGAGCGATCTATGCTTGCATTCTCCAAGGGCAGCCGTGGATGTCTTGGTAAAAAGTAAGTGATATCTTAAATGCGAAATACGTGGACTTCTTGCTAACTCATTGCGTTCTAGCCTTGCCCTTTGCGAGTTGTACCTTTCTCTTACAGCTCTTGTCATGAGAGTCATGCCACACATGACTCTTTATAACACATCCGAGCGTGATGTCCGATACGATCACGACATGTTTATCCCTGTGACAGCCAAGGGAAGCACAGGAGTTAGAGTAACAATTGAAGCTTAAACAAAACGCTTACTTTAAGTAAGCGCTATATATAAGGATGTAAAATATATATAATAGAAGAATATACAATCTTTCCGCCATATCCCAACACCTCTCAGAGACTCATAATCATCACAGCTTTTCGTTCTTTTAGTTGATGTGGGCGTTGAAGTTGGTGACCTTGAACTGAGCACCGCTTCCGGTGAAAGGCTCGGTACCGAACTGGAAGGCTGTTGACAGATTAGCACGTGATTGACATATGAGATACGATTCAACGTACTAAGGAGGTATTGTCGGTTGGCAGGGTATCCCTGGGTGTTGGCAAGGTAGTTCCAGAATTGCTTAACATCAGAGTTGAAGTTGGTAACCGGGTTGGAGGCGACGAAGCTGTAGACTCGCATGCTACCGTTCATACCGGTCCAGAGCTCCCAAGAGCGGCCCTCGACGTTGGCAGTGCCAATTCGGGAACCAATGGGCTGCACGCCACCATATCTTGCGAGCCTAGATAGAGGTGTTAGTAGGTTTTTTACTAATCCAATCTTATGGGCAACTTTACCAGATCATCAGCTCGTAGTCACCGCTGTAAGTGACGTGGTTAGGGTCGGAAGCAGTGAAAAGATCGTAAGCAACGTTGGCGCGAACGTTGGTTCCGCTGTAGGACCAAGCGGCGGCGGACTGCATGTTGCTGATGGAGCTGACAAGGCGCTTGTTGCTGATCTGAAGACCAGAGTTGGGGTAGGACTTGACGTTGTCCTGACCGCCGGACCAGGTCCAGTCGGTGTGCCAGCCAGCACCGTTGCTGTTGGTCCAGTCGAGGTAAGTGCACTGAGAACCGGAACCAGAGCCCTGTCCCCAACGGTTGTTGTTGAACTCGTATCCGCCGTTGGCGTAATAGGAGTACTGGTCGCAGAGAGACTGAGCCAGTGTCACTGGGGCGAGAAGCCCAGCGAGGAATGCGAAAGAGGCCTTCATTGTGATGTTGGTTCTTTACTTCAAGAGTTTGTTCGAAGAGTGTTGGATTGGAAGAAGATTGTGATGTCTTGGCCGAGATTCCCTTTGGCATACACTCGAAAACTTATATACTTGCCTCACCTACAAACTACCCACTTACCAAGATCACGAAATCTTGAGGCTTCATACCTAATTGATCAACGGAATTCACTCCGTGGCTACATCGGTGCTCTCATCTGGCTCTACGGCCCGTCAGTTCATAGCAATGGGCAGTTATTCCAACAAATCTCAATGACCATAGTCGGTCCGTTTAGACAGGCGAGGACGTATTATTTGAGGTCTAATGCGAACTGCTGAATAGAAGCTGACGGGGATACCCCACGAACTGGGTTTAGTTGCCGGCTCTTGGTAAATGCCATGACCCGGGTTCTCCATAGATAATATTTGAGCGTTCCTGAAACAGTCGTACGTGCACCAATGGATTTCTTCCGTTTCCTCATACACTATTTCCCCACCAGTAGAAGTCTGTGAATGGGATGAAATAATGTCACATCGTGCAACCTTGGAAATACGCTCGTGACTAGCTGACCCCGGAGAAATGATTCCAGTTTGGATGGTACCCCAGCTGAAATATGGGACTGCTTCTACCCAGTGCCTTGGAATGTTCACGGCCGAAAACATGGTGTAACCGACGGAGGGCATATTCCGTTCTAGAAGTAGACAAGTCTTGAGTGTGGGGTACATACAAATGACGGTATAACGGCCCGGGACATTGGGTTGGTATCGCTCAATTGAGTTAATGGGAAGATGTGAGTGGTTTCTGTTTGGATAAGTGCGGCATCGATCGAGTCTAATCACCAAGTGCCGCCGCCAATGCAGTTGTTGTCTTTGATAAGAGACATTAGACTTTGGTTGGTTTGTACCTAGAGTGGGGGACAATGACTATCATATCATAACATTCCTCACAATATTGTCTGTGTATATAAGAACATGTCCGCCTCAAATTGTGTCCTTTATTCACTACCCTATATAGACGATATTCCCACTGCCCCTCTTTTCTTGTGTGTTCCGATTGATCGCAAACTACTACCGGATTGGACTTAGTCAGGTAATATCCCTTGCCGAAAGTTATAATATGCTCATCTTTGATATTACCATCTCCTCACCTCACAGGCTCACGATGCAGTCGAAGAAAAGGCAAGAATATTACAGGCGCGCATCGCACGCTCAGAAGCATGATCTCCCATTGCCACAACCGGGTAATTTGTCATGATGTTTCTACTGCTACTCTACGGTTGTCGGGCCTCGGTCAACCAGTCGTTACGTGACATCGTTCCCGCGGTTAAAAAGCATGTTGCGTCCAGCTGGCTGATTGCCACGTCTTGTGCTTCTTTTGTCTGTTCCTCGGATCGTCGCTGCTCTTTTGAGAATATTCGGACGAAATGGTCTATGTAAAGTAACATACTCCTCATTTTTGCATAATCTTCTTTACCCGCGGGAAGGACAGTATGACGCCTGCCAACTTGTTTGTTCATATACTGTAATCTAGGAATAATTGCCGTTCAAACATGTTTCGTAATACGGGCATAAGCTTTATTTTAGCTATGCATGCGAAATTAAAGTGCCACTATTGATGGTTGAAACACCTCATTAAACACGAGAATGATCAGCTAAAATGCCTTCCATGAAACTGTTAGCGTTTTGAAACATCCCAGTAATGAAGCGAGATACAGGGATTCTATACGGACCCACCATCTCCGTCCTCCCTCATTCAAGTCGAATTAGGCTACATCAGCCAAGTTTATCAAGTTTATCCGTCGATTGACAGCCGTTTTGACTGTTTCGGAGTATCTAGTGACCTGAATATGACGGATCCAGTATGATCAGTTACTGGGATGTCTTGAATATGCCGTCGCCAGGATCCGTGAGTGACGGCAGGGATAGAAACAAGATGGATATATAAACAACTTGAACTTCGCTCTATTGGAATCTTCTGAGACTTCTTCTTCAACAGGGACTGCCAGACAGAACCTATTCGCTTCTTTCTTCCATCTCACGAAAAAGACCCTCAGGTCAGCTTCAACTTTATCCAGCAACATGCGTTCACCTCTCGCTTTCTGTCTCGCCCTCCTGGGCGCTGCTCAGCTCGGAGACGCCGCCTCAGCTGGCTGTGGCAAGGCTCCCCAGTCCAGCGGCACCAAGTCCATGCAGGTCAACGGCAAGAACCGCCAGTACATCCTCCAGATTCCCAACAACTACCAGAACAACAAGCCTCACCGACTTGTTTTCGGTTACCACTGGCGTGATGGCAACATGAACAACGTTGCTCAGGGTGGTTTCTACGGTCTCCAGGGTCTTGCTGGTGACTCTACCATCTTCATTGCCCCCAATGGTCTCAACGCTGGTTGGGCTAACCAGGGTGGTGAGGATATCACCTTTACCGACCAGATGCTTAAGTTCGCCAAGGACAACCTTTGCATTGACGAGAAGCAAGTCTTTGCTACCGGCTGGAGTTATGGTGGATCCATGAGCCACAGCGTCGCTTGCTCCCGACCCAGTATGTTATAACTCATCAACTCAGACGACCGCATATATGCTAACACTCATACCACAGACGACTTCGCTGCTGTCGCAGTCATCTCCGGTGCTCAGCTCTCTGGCTGCAACGGTGGAAACTCCCCCGTCGCCTATCTCGGAATCCACGGTGCTGCTGACAACGTTCTCGGAATCAACCTCGGCCGCCAGCTCCGCGACAAGTGGATTGGAACCAACGGATGCCAGCAGAAGAACGTCAACGACCCCGGTCCCGGTGCTCAGAACCACGTCAAGACTACCTACCAGTGCAGCCGCAAGCCCGTTACCTGGATCGCCCACGGTGGTGGCCACGTTCCCGACCCCACTGGCACCAACGGCGCCAAGTTCGCTCCCGGTGAGACCTGGCAGTTCTTCAACGCTGCCGTTGGTGGTAGCCGCAGCACTGCTGGACGTCGCTGCTAGATGTATCTCCCGGGATGGTGTGGCCTTCTTTTGGAGTCAAAGTAGGAGGCCGTATTACTCTGAGGGATTGTGGAGGAAATCTTTATTCTTGTACATAGTGACCCAGAACCTACGGGTTATGTTATATAAAACCAGTCTCGAACCTTGTCAATACTATTTCGCCTGATAGTTCTATCAGACACTCACAGAAAAGCACATCACAGTACATACAATTATAAGCTTAACAAAGTGAAACGTAGTTAAGATCTAACTAGTGATGTCCATACATTTTGTAATCTCAAATGTCTCCCAATGGCGTTGCACTCAACCTTTCCCTGTTACTTGGAACATTTACTATAGGCATAGCAGTTCCTGTCATTAAATGACGATGTTGTCTTTCCTTTTCCAGGCGCAACTCCAAGACTCTTCAACACTTTGCTGTAAAGTTGACATGACTTGTCCGTGTTGTAACCGAAACTCATGCATTGCTTGTTCTTCAGACAAGTTTCCGCACATGCACTTACACTCTTCACCGACGCCGTTGTGCTAATTATAGACTTGGTTGGGGCTCTCGCGCGCGTCACACTCCTGTTGCAGGCAGTTTGTGAAGGAGGCTTAGCGTTGGTGATGACATAAGGCGTACAAGTAGGTGATATTTTCTTTGCAGCAACTGTCGCTTTGGGTTTGGTGGTGGTGGTTGTCTTGACGTGCTTGTTCTTTGACGCTTGTGGTTTCTTGTTTGTGGCGGGCTTACTGTTTGTCTTGCCGGTGGTTTTCGAACTGCTGGTCTTCTTTCCACTGCTCTTGGAGTTATTGCTTTGAGTTGTACTCTTCTGCTTGGTAGACTTTGTGTTGCTCTTTGGCTTAGTCTTCTTGGCAGCGGTAGGGTCAATCGCAGGCAGTGGCTTTGATCCTAGGCGACTGCCAAAAATACCGCTACCACCGCCTCCGATGCCATTGCCAGTCATGCCAATGTCGTCGCTGCCAGAGCCTCCTCCCCCAGTTCCGTCATTAACGTAGCCTATACAGCCTTCCGCAATAGGATCGGATTTCAAGGGCTCTATCAACGGGAACTTGACAGCTTCGTCATCGTCCCATTGATAAAATGCGTCCAGAGCGTTTTCGAAGTGAATGTTCCAGGCGATTCCATAGCAATCACCCTCAATGCTCGTGGAAATGTCCCCATTGTCGTCAAGGACTGCGTTAGCCTCAAAGCTGCCTTCTAGGACAACAGAGGGCGTGTCCCTCACACCCCCCTTGAGAGTCCAATAATCGAATAAGATGCCAAGTTTGACCCCGGCACTGACTGGTAATCCTAAGCTAGCCTCTAGCTTGAGCTCTCCAGTGGCTTCAGACCTAGGCTTGAAGACTGGTTTAAGACCATTGGAGTGACTTCTACTGTCGTCGAGGAAGTCAACCAAGATATCGATGTTTTCCCACTCCACTGAAGCTCCAATGAGCAGGGTGCCTGTGGCTTCGATGGTGATCCCAGCTTCGATACCGACGCCAATGTAGGGTCCAACCTCGAATAACTTATAGATTCCGAATGATCCGATGGTTATTTCAATAAAGTCTTTGCTCCATTCCTTTTCATATTTGACGAACGCCTTTAGGCCGAGGTTCAAGCCAGCCTTAAACTGGGCTTGGAACCCTACCTCGGCGACTGTGATGCCAGACAGAATGCTGGCTTCAATAGTGCCTGTAAGTTGCGCTTTACCACTGAATCCACACTCGACACAGTATAAGACGAGCCCATAGGAGAGATCACGCTCGATGAGACTGGAGTTGTCCCCACGTTTGTGATGGCCATTTGGGTCAGCAACTTCGCCTTTGGCGTAAGAGTCGTCCTTTTCACCACCTTCACTCCCCCACTCGATGAGCTTTGCAGCACTGTCCCATGGAGCATCAGGGTCTGGGCCAGGCATTCCAGAATCAGGATCTGCATCATGCAGGTATCGATTCCATTCAAGGGTGTAGGTACTTGTCCCACGTTTGTCGAGAGCATGTGGTTCAAACATCTGTGTAATAATCTTTTAGTCAGGAATGCAGAAATATATCATAAGTGTACTTACGGCTCTCTTATCGAGGGCACGTCTCACGTTTAGAGTCCCAAGTGGACCCCAATTAAGAGTGAACCGTTCATAGACATCAGCATATTCGGTTGTAGCACCTTTGGCTACAAAGATATTTGTATCATCGAAGAAGGTGATGGACTGGGCCAGGAACAAATCGTTTGCATGATCCTCACCACAGCCGTCAGTTGATGTGATGAAGATGATCTTTTTGCTACCCTTCCACTGGCTCTTAGCATAGTTGTAAGCAGCAGTGTGGGAGATAACACCAGTAAGAGTTCCCTTTGTACAAGTGACGGTTGAGACAAACTTTGAATGATCGAGAGGGACAACAGGGTACTGGAAGGTGAAATTGGCCTGAGAGAAGATACCATCGTCACGCTTCCGCATTCGCTTGGTACCTGGCTCTGAGCCTGGTGAGCCAGCCCATGCCAGCATGACATGGGTATCGAGTTCGAAGATAGAGAAGTCTTTGGGGTCGACTTCAGGAGGGACTACAGGCTCAAGGGCGGTAGTATTCTCGCCTAAAACCGCGGTTTCGGCATCATCTCGACGGCCAAGATGTGGTAAGCTAGTACCTGGAGCAGCGTTGGTGTTATAAACGAAAAGAAGAATGAAAAGGAAGGATCTGATGCTCCGCGAAAGAGCCATGACGAGTAGTGAATTCAAAATTATATTTAATGTTTTGTCAGAGAAATAGAGACAAAAGAGAACTGTAGTATGAGTGTTGGGTTTGTGTCGTGGAAAATAGAAGATGGATATGAAGGACGTGAAGTTAGAAACCCGGGGAGCTCTGCACAATTGTATCGTATGGCTTCACCGAACAACTCGAGGTTTAACATAATCTCTATGTTGAGCCATGCATCACTCAAAGACGCCTCATATCTGGAGATAGAGTTTGTTGTAAGACTATGCCTGAAGCCCCCAAGGCCTGCTGCAATCGGAACTGTTTAGCGAGCCATCTTACGATTCTAATTGTCCTCTGGTTCAGTGACTGACAGTAGACGTTTGACTTTAGCCTCGATTATAGTCTAGAGTCAGAGTCGGAAGTGTTACTCCGCTGATTAATTTCGTTGAACCGGGAGTAACTTGCACAAATGCGGGATTAACTCGTCAGACCATTTTGCCTTTCGCATCTGGACTATGTGCCGCATTGATGGATAACTGTACCAGTATCGATAATAAGATTTCTTAGATTCCACGTGGTTTCCCGAGTGCAGCTCGGTTAACGGTTGACTGGTATGGGCGGCCGATCTGAACTCCTAGAAGTAAAGATGTACGAAATCCTAGTGGCTGTTGAAGTTTGTGTCTCATCACTAACATCTGTCCTGAACGCCACGTGCGGAAGACGGTCCATGGCGCTGGAATTTAAGCATACCATTACCCTTAGCTATAGATAAGCTGAGCCAGTAGTAGAAACGACTAAAAGAAGCTTGTCTTGATGCTAAAGTCGCGTTCAGCATTTCGGATTTCCCATTTGGAGATAGTATATTGATAAGGACGACAAGCTTTGTAGTCACGTGAAGAAAAGAAGCTTGTTTTATTTTCTTGGGAGCTTATCAACGAGTTATCGGTTGATGCTTATTCCTTCACAACATGGATGTGTATAGTAATTATACATATGTAACATACTAGGATAAGAGCACTGCGTCCATATAATTTGTCTCGCAGTAGCCAAGTGACAGTAGTATGAAAATAAATAACTCTTCAATGACAAGTTGTAGGGTAAATATCTGATATTAAATCTTTACATTAAGCTATCGAGATGCGGGAACTAGTCCATTCGCCTAATTCTTTAAAACTTAACTGAGTCTAGTTACTTTTCGACTTTCGAGATGCGAAAACAAATTGTGGCTTGCTGAAGATGGGGAATGCAACTTTCCTGTGTCCACCATTCCTAGATTCAAGGCCTGGACAACGCCTCTTTTGTGAGAACATTCGTTTCTGAACATTTGTTTCTCTTAGCTTGATGTAGTTGTATTTCCCTATCGGTAGAATAGTCACAGCTTACAGTTATGGATGTTTGCAATGCCATCTCACAACAAGCACAGAATGCTCCGTTGTTCAAACTATAGACGGGTGGCAATAGTCCGGATATGGACTATAGGGAATGGCAGTCGTCTATGCTCGATCAAAGAACCAGGACGTAAGTTGTATAAATCTCTCATCGTCGAACCACAAGCCATTGGTTTTCATCAACAACAAAATCATATCTTCCATCCTTCCTCCTACAAACACACAGACACTTATCTTCACTATGAAGACAATTCTATTTTCCGCAGCCCTCGTCCCCTTCTTAGCAGTCTCAAGTCTGGCAGCTGGCGACGATGATATTACCTGTCGCACAGATCTTGGAAAGACATCAGTCGCCAAAGTCAAGACTGACACTGTCACCCAGACCGATCCCATCAAGCCAACCACGACAGTGACAGTGATCCCTACTGAGACTAAGGAGGTTGGTCGCTGGTCAACTGTTACCAAATTCTCCACAAAGACCTTTACAGTCACTGGCAAAGGTGACACAGATACTGTTAGCACAACAAGTACCTTGTTCAAGATTGCTACTGTCAAGGTCACTGTCACAATCACTGAAACTTCGACAAAGACTGGCACAGTCAAGTCCACCCGCACTACTGCAGTGCCTACCACTGCAGGCTTCAGGTTCATCTCAGACACTGTCAACAAGGAATCTTTTGCACCTGTCGCTGGTCCCCGAAAGTTTGCCAGAAATCCTCATGCCCCTCCTTTGATCAAGCCTGGCCTCAAAGCCTTCTCTTTCCCAAAAGAGGTGCACTGTAAGTTCTCAACACATATGAGCCACAGATGGTATAGTTATTAACCTCCAAAACAGGCACAAAGTTGCTTCCCAACACGAACACTAGAACTGTCAAAAAGACAGGCAGTCCCACTACCAAAACTGTCTCTACTATGCGGACAACTATCAAAACCGCAACTATCAAGACTACCACCACTCTCATTCCTGATGACGCTTCTGTCACAAAGACTTTCACTAGCACTATGAGCCTCACCACTTACTCTACCATTTGGAAAACATCCACCAAGTCTGCCACCGCTACTAAGACAAACATTATCAATGGCCCAACCGAGTACGCCGCTTGTGCAGAGGGAAACATGTTTGGCCCCAACTTCAAGAGCGGAGGTACTGGATACTACGTCACCAACGTACTTAACAACGGTCCTGGTATCCCATCCGACTACAACATTGTGTCAAATGGTGCCGACTCTGCAGCAGAGTGCTGTACTTCTTGCATGCAATTCAACGGCTGCGAGACTTGGCTTTTCCGCGAGAGGAACCGCAACTGCTTCCTCCTTTACCACACCTTGAAACCTGGCGAAAGATGCGCATCACAAAAAAACCATCCCAACTTTTTTATGTCGAAGAAGGGCGACGATACAGGGGCTGGTTTTGTCGCGGGCAACGGTGTATGCGGGTTTACATACAGTGGAAACAGTGATGGGTCATTGTTCAGCGTCGATCTGTAAGGCATTTCATTTGTAGTTCCTTATTTAAGAGAGATTCTAGTCATACCTAGTCAATAATCAAGATTGAGCTTTTGCCAAGGTTTTGAGTAATTGACGTGACATCAGTAACTTGTCCTTCAATCATCGTACCGAAATGCTCCCCATCAAAACCATGAACATGAGAAGGATCAACTGCGGAGTTTGCTCTTGAAGGCAAATTATAGTGGCAGTGACGTAGGGTTTCAATGCAAATAACCGTAATTGAAATAATGAGATATGGTTTAAGTGCCTTCGACCAATCATCAGTCTGGCCCCCAAGGGACAGTAAGACCTAGTGGAAGCGTGTCAGACCGCACTGGAGGCAAAGTTATAGGGTGGAATGTTCAGTTTGTTTCTGTTCGTCATTATCACTACTCATACTGTATTTCTTGATATAGTCAATCGCAACTTGAACACTCCACTTACGTAGTTGTCTCCCCTATTTCATGCTTGGCCATGCCTGGTGGAACGGAGATAGTGGGGTCTTGATGTGAGTAAGGATTAAATCCGCCAAGGTCCGACGTACGACCAAGTAATGGTGGTGTTCAGGAGATAAAGATGGCTATCGCCGGATCAGCAACAGAACAGCGGCGTTGATCAATAATAAATATTTACCAACTTCACCACATGCTATCACAGTATAACACCATCGTACCATTACTTACTGACTACTTTACTTTTCCACATTTCCACAATGACTAAATTTGAGACTCGACTCTTCATCAATAACGAGGTGGGTTGTGGTATCCTACAGCCTCTCAGATCTAGACTGACCTGTCTCTAGTACGTCGACTCCAAGTCTGACAAGAGAATCAGCGTCCACAACCCTATCGACGGTTCGTTGGTTTCAAGCGACGTTCATGTAGCTGGCCCACAAGATGTCGACGACGCTGTAGATGCAGCCCAGGCAGCTTACAATGGGTCCTGGAAGACCTTCACAGCTGCTCAGCGAGCGGAATGTATGGTGAAGCTTGCTGACCTAATTGACGCCAAGGCAAAGGAATTAGCTGTGCTCGAAACAATCGCTATGGGCCAGCCCACCAGCATTGCTGTCAATATCACCAATATGATGAGCGGGCTCTTCCGCTGTAAGCATTATTATTCTCTCTTATACTTGTCATCGTAATTGACGTAATGGCTGTAGACTATGCCGGATGGACTGACAAGATTCGCGGCGAGCAATTGCCTCCTGAGGGAGGCGTCTACAAGATCATGAGCCACCACCCGTTTGGTGTTGTCGCTGGTATCAGTGCCTGGAATGGCTCTTCGGTGTGAGTTTCCCCGAATTGTTTCGCTATGCGCTTGTGATACTAATCTCCGCTCAGACAACTCGGTCTGAAGATAGCTCCCGCAGTAGCTGCAGGGAACACGGTACGGACCAACCCGAAGATATACTCATCGCCAGCCTAACAAGGTCCAGATCGTTTACAAGATATCCGAAAAGTCTCCGTTGGGTATGCTCCAGCTCGGGCATATGATCAAGGAAGCTGGATTCCCACCTGGCGTTATCAACATCCTCAACGGCGCAGGAGAAACTGGTTCTCTTTTGGCATCGCACATGAAGATTCGCATGATTTCCTTCACTGGATCTGGCTTCACGGGAAGAAAGATCTCTGAGGCGGCAGCGAAGTCCAACTTGAAAAAGGTGGCACTAGAACTCGGCGGAAAGTCACCCGTTCTTGTGTTCAACGATGCCAACACGGAAAAGGCAATTGAGTTGTACGTATCCTTTACTACACCTACTAATCATGGCGGTCACTGATGACTGTAGCTGCACTACAATGTTCCTCTTGAACTCTGGTCAAGTGTGCGCGGCTCCAAGCCGAGTCTATGTCCAGCGAGACGTTGCGGCATCATTCATTGAGGGCCTCAAGACACGATACTCAGAAGTTACTTCTGGTGTGGGAGCCGACCCCAGGGAGTCTTCGACCTTTATGGGCCCACTTGCGGATAGTATCCAATTTGAGCGTGTAATGAGCTTCATTGACTCTGGTAGCAAGGAAGCTGAGCTTGCGGTTGGTGGGCACCGTGTAGGCGAGAAGGGATACTTTGTCGCCCCGACTATCTTCATCAACCCCAAGCCCGGCGCTAAGATTTTGAACGAAGAAATCTTCGGCCCAGTCTTGACGGTTATCACTTTTGACACTGAAGAAGAGGCTGTCGCACTAGCCAATGACACGGAGTACGGACTCGCTGGTAAGTAATTGTCCCAGAGCAAGGTACTAAGTAGATAAATGCTAACTTAACACTAAAGCTTATGCCTGGACCGAATCGCTGTCTAGAGGCTTGAGAATGTCGGATCAGCTTGAAGCTGGTGTTGTAGGTATCAATGGAGGTTCACTGGGTGTTATTCCTTTCATGTCCGTGGGTGGATTCAAGCAAAGTGGAACTGGCTCGGAGTCTGGATATGAAGGTATCAAGGAGTATCTCCAGACCAAGTCCACTTTGATCGCTTTGAATTGATAGCGGACAGGGTTTTATTGGTTTAGGATTGTATCTTCTAGTGATTAGCCATGTGAAGTGAACTATCTATCATTTTCCTGTTTCGCGAGAATGGCAACACAGATTACAAAGATTGCCCAAAACGGTATATGGTGGATCAGATACGATACTGTCTATCTTAAAAGAGCTCTCGCCTAAGCATCTCGATTATGCAGCTATGCTTTATGCTTATACTTTGCTTACGAGAGACCACTCAAGCTTTTACCCGCTCATTACCGCAGAATATCAGCCAATCGCAAACATAATTTCGGAGCTTTTGTCCTGTGTAAAAGGCTTGTTTATTCGTATTGACACAAATACGACAAGGTATGGGCGGCCGCTGCCGACTTGCCGTCCGCCCGCCCGCCCGCCCGCCCCTCCAATTGACAGACCAATAAAAGCTAGTTGTGGTTGAGGGTTTTTATCTAAGTGGTTGCTAGTAGCGAACTATTGACCTGCCACTCGTAAGGAGGATGAACATTGAGACCGTAGTGTGTTAACATGCTTGATACACTAGTTGCTTAATATTGACGAAACAAACTAGACTATATTCTGTATAAGTATTGAAAGTAATAGCGTATGTTTCAAACTATATTGTGCATTGGCTGGTGATCTGGTACCGTCTTCTCGGTTCTATGTCGACATTGACACATGTAGTTTCACTTTACGTATGACACGTTAACTACTGTTTTAACTAATAGATACAGGATCTACGTCGTAAATGGGCTCAGTCGTCGGCTACACGGCATCAAATGCGCCATGGGTGTACCTGAAGCTTCCTCCGAGCAGTCGGCCGCTCTGTCAATCAGGGCTCCGTATTGGCTCGTGGCATGTTTTCCATTCGAATAAAACATTGATCGTCATAATCACAGCTTACAAAGACATTCCCTTGTATCTTTGTAACAATTCTTAAAGATATTTTGTGGATATAGACTAAGAAGATCAAGGAAGGAGCTTAAATACTCCATCGGCTTTGGAGCGACATGACAAGTATAAATAGCTTCGACTCATCCAGTCTTGTCTAAACCATCAAGCTTCAGACTCACACTCAGAAACAACAAGATCATCCAAACCCACAGTTCCCAAAAACAAACTACAAAATGCAGTTCACCGGTCTCCTTTCTCTCGCCGCCTTGGCCACCATGGCATCGGCCGCCTCCATCAAGGTCAACTTGTACGTCATTCCCTTCCTTTACGCCATGTCTATCAACTAACCAACATTCAGCTACTCTGATACTGGCTGCCGCAACTTCATTGGTTCTCGGTTCATCGACTACAACCCCAACCAGGGTGGTACTTACCACAGCGGTGGCCCCGCTGGTTCTCGTGGTGGACTTTACGTTGATTCCAACGGATCTGGTCTCTCCTGTACGTTTAAAAACTTGTACTCTCGATATAAAATGTATTCTAACGGACGTGAAATAGACCGCGGCTTCAGCAACCACGCTGATGGTAGCCAACCCTTCACTGGCAACCTCCGTGATGGCCAGTGCATTGGTACAACCAGTGGACTCTACGCTGTCTTTACTGTTTAGATGGTCGATTCCAAGACGTCAAGCCTTCTGAGCCTGGAAATGCTCTCATGCCAAGACCTTCAGAGATAGCCATGCCGCTAGGATAGTATTCTATAGAGGACCATCGGATGAATCATGCGCTAGGCATATTTGTCAACAACAGTCATTTCTGTCGACATATCTTCACCAAGTATAAATACAATCTCTTATTACCCGAGTATCATGATCTCGCCATTGATCGTAGCGCTATAGACAGCTATTGCCACAGTCGTCTACCAGGTTTGCTCATCTTGTTAAGAAGAATCGACAATCTTTCCTGTGACGTCTCTAAATACAAAATGTGAATCTCGATAGGAGCATAGATATAGTCGCAAAAGACGAGATATGCATGGACTTATTCAGTAAAGGCCGACTCGAACTGCGGGAATCATGCAACCACAGTTGGAACCAATAAGTATCCATTATGCCCCGACGCCGAATACATACGCGGCAAGGAGAAATGCAAGAAGGGAACCCTCTGCACGCGATGCTGAGGAAACCTGGACATCCTCGGGCTCGCCATCTTCTGTCTTTTCAGGCTGGATCTCAACCGTCTTTGTCGCCAACTCATCATCATCGTCACCTGTAGTCCAAGCTCCCGTGATCTTAGCCTTGAGAGTACTGCATGCGTCAGGCCCAACGGGTACAAGATCCGTGATAAAAGGCTCGTCACTACATTTCTCCCAAAGAACTCGAAACTCAGAAATGTGCTGAGCCTGCCAACTTGCCCATTCTGAAGCCCATTCAGAGAATTCCTCGGCGGATGACCCCGTGATGGCGGGCAGCTTACACGGGTCTGCTGTGTTGTAGAGACTTCCGAGAGCAAACGACACGCCGAGTTCAGACATGTCCATTGGTGGTGCTGGTGCACCTGTTATAGGAAGCGAGTTCCTAAACTCCCAGCATGGTGGCACTGTCAAGGAGGGATAATCAGAGAGGGTAGCTGGTGTTTCGGTTTCGGTTTCGGTTGGGGTTTGAGCCGCTGCCTGTACAACACCGAGGGCCATGATGGCAATAGCTTTGGAGAAGGACATTTTGATTGTTTGCAGCTGATAGTATCGTAGTTGGTTTTTTCGACAAGACTCAGTCTGAGATGAGCAGAAAACTGCTAATTTATATGAAAGGTTAAGAATGAAGAGAGGCCTCGGGTTTTGTTGTTATTGGAAATTGCAGTCAGCTTGGTTGTGAATTAGGTAAGGTGCGGTCCTTGGCGGTGTGTTGTATAGCCTAGCCATCTTCTTTGACCCATAAAATACCAATCTGGAATAGGTAGTGGCCGAGATTTTTGCTTACACAGCCTCAATTTATCTGGTGAGAAGTGTAAAACAAGCTTATTGTAATTCTGAATGCGGACATATAGCCGACTGTAAGACCGCTACTATGTGATTCTTATATATAGGGAGTCTCTGGTTCACAGTACTGGTGGCCTTTGATGTTTCCATTCAAGACATGTTTGAATCTTAGGAGGGGCTTCATGACAACACAATACTTTTGTCCAAAATGCGGATTTTATTGAACGCCTATACTGCAATGCTAATATGTCGCGCCAGAGATGTAACAAAGTCGCAAAAAATGCATCTGCCAGTGAGTAAACAGTTCAACCAATCTCCCTCTCCGTCCTCTAAATACGATCTGGAGAATTTTCCACGTCTGGCTCAAATCAACATCCTTTACTGGGTCTGGACATAGATGGAGGACGAGCCACTGCTCTGGTAACCCTCAGTAGCCAAGATCTGGTAGTAGTGGTTTCCGAGGTTCATGCCAGCCGATCTCCAAGCATTGAAGTGGTTCTGCATGTTGACGGAGCCGCTGGTGCGCTTGTTGCGGCGGATGGACCAGTACTGGTTGAAAGTCTGAACACCGTCGATAGAAGGCTGCTGGTAACGGGTGGACATGTAGAGATCGTAGGTATCACCGTCGGTGTAGACAGTACCTCGGTGCTGAGCCTGGCTACCGGGGTTGTAAGAGCCGTAGCTCTCAATGACCTGAAGCAATTGTTAGTATCTAGGTATAGAACAATTGAAGTCAGGGGGTCACTTACGTAGTACTCGACGAGAGGTCCGCGAGTCCAGCCGTAAACGCAAAGGTATCCGTTACCCTGAGGGCTGAAGGAACCTCCGTAGTTGATGGTTCTGCGTATATTGTTAGTAGGACGATCTATTAAAGCCCAAAATTTAAAGACTTGCCGGCCAGTACCAGGGTTCCATCCCTTTCCACCCACAAAGTTGCCAGTGTTGCGCCAGTCAACTTGGTAGTGGCTGCCCTCGCCCATACGGTACTGAGCATAACCACCACCATCAGACCACCAAGAGTAGAAGTAGCCGTTGTGGTAACCTTCACTGTTGCCAGTGACTTGGCGAGCTTCGAGGACGGAGGTGGCGTTACCGTCATCACGCTCATCGAGGAAGTCAAAGGGGCGTGCAAGTGCCCCAGTGAGTGCCGAGACGGCAACGAGAAGGGATTTGAACGAGACCATGATGGTACTAGATGACGAGAGGGTGGTTCTCAAAAGAAGTGTTCAGAGTGGCTGACTGTTCAGAGAGGGCTGACCTGGTGAGAAACTCTTCAATAATCGGCGTCAAAGCAAGTCTTATATATAGTTGTTTTTTCCATTAAAACAAACATCATGCCAAGAATCAAGTGGCTAATATTGATAGCCGCAGAGCCAGCTTGAATCTCTTGGCTACTACGTTGTTTCGGAGACTAACTCCATTCTTGGTTAATACCATCAAAAACAATTATAAACTCATCATGGTGTTGCCCGCCCCTCCTCCACCCATATCGAATTTCGCATTGTCATAATTTAACCTATGGAAGAGCCAAGACGGTAAAGTCTCTCATGATCACCTTTTGAGGGGGACACAAGTATATCCACAAGCACGATCGTTTGATGCGATTCGTCAGCCCCAAAAACAGTGACATGCACAGATCAAAGACTAGTCATACTCCTGCAGGCACTGAATGGCCACACCTTCTTTTTTATTCTGGCTAAAAGCAAATATCTAACTCCTTTCATCCGTTTCTCGAGACTATGTCTTTGCATCTCGCCAGTTCATTTTAATTAGGAGGGGGAATAGATAATGCGGAATTGATAGGGCCAGTGGTACACTGTTTGTCAATATTGCAACCATGCGGGATAAATTACAGACAGGTCATTTCAAGGACGAAAAAGAAAAGGTGGGACGAGTGATATGATGACGGTTACTCTAACCTCTTCCCGGATTTTCATCTCATGCCGAAGACGACTACCGAGGATCCCATGTCTTGGAACTATATCTGCAAGTCTATTAACATCCTATCACAGGGATAACTGATCTTGGCAGAGCACACCGTAGAACATCATGACCGCCAGTCGTGGTCCCACTACAAAGCAACTTCACTATCAAGATCAGAGGTTCCCTTAACACAGTCTAATATGTCGATCAACAAATTAAGCTTAACATGTGATATTGAGAAATGTAACAAGACCAAAGATACGACGTAGAGTCTATAAGCAATACGTGAGATCTGGGATTTAGAGACTCGGTCGGGTTGGATACATCCGGCCGGGTACCGACAACGTCTAGCCCAATTGAGATAGATGGAACATGATGCCCCGGATTACGAATGATTGATCCTTGCAGATTACATTCTGCCTAAATTAAAGAATGGCCAAGATTTCACTTTAGCCTCGGGCACTTTTCTGGTCCCTGGTCCAATTATCATGGAACTTGTTCGACGACTAATTCAACTACATTTCAGGATATTCGGAATTGCAAGAGTTGATGTTGTCAGAAATGGGACACCATTACGAATACATTGGCAGACTCATCAAGTAAAACGGCGTGATTTATCATCAGGTGAGACTGGTTTCATTTAACCAAGTCACATACGTCCGCAGCTAGCTCCGGTTTCAAGTATGTTTAAATAGCTATAGCCGGTTACTTTACCAGAACAGTTGATGGAGGGTGAGACTCATGCTTCGATGTTATCGTTATCTAATTCACCACTTGTTTAGATATCTGACCGAAATGAAGGGAAGTCAGGCAGAGAAGCTATTATTGTCCCATAGAGCGAAAATTGGATTGCAAGAATTGTTTGTACAAGTTGATTATTATTAAAACCGCTAAGTATCAAGTCTATAGTGCTCTAATTGAAGAAAAATGGAAATCTATAATGAAACTTCTCGCCAACTCTAAGCCTTGGGCTTGATAGACTGGGGGTTGCGGAACAAGTTCTTGGGATCATACTTGGCCTTGACCTGCTCCAACTTGGCAACATTGCTTCCCCAGTACATCTCAGTAGCCCGATCGTTCTTGATCTGCGAATCGGGGTAGTTGGCGTACATTCCCCAAGTACCCTCCTTGAGAGAGTTGGAGATGCTCTGCCTCAAACCCTTGATGAGACCGAACCCATCAGAAGGGTATTGGGCAGTCGCGGCAACACTGTCGTAGAATTGGAAGAGGAGGAGGGTGTCGCGGTGGACATAGGCGGTGTCGCTGGGCTTGGGCTTAGAGACAGCAGAGTAGGTTCCGCCGGTGATGTCCATCTGCAACCACCAAGAGTGGCTGCTGCTCTGGCCGGTGGTGGAGACGTAGTTGACGAAAGACTTGAATTGGTTGAGGGTCAACTCGGGAGCAGCGAGACTGCTAGCGTAGAAGTTGTCGTGTGCATCGTATGAAGGACTGGTAGGGTTGACATTGACTCCAGCACCAGCGAAGTGAGTAACAAGACCCATCCAGTCGACAGTGGTAGCAGTGACTTGAACACCACCAAACTTCTGGATCAGAGGCTGCAAATCCTTTCTCAGGCTAGCCTCGTCACCGATGTAAGCACCATCAATGCTGTATCCGTTCTTGGAAACACCCATCTGCATGGTGATCTCGGCAGGCATGCCCTTTCCAAATTCCTGGAAGTCATAAAGGCCCTGGGGAGCAGAATTCTTGTCCCAGTTGAGGCCAATGTCGAAGTAGGTGATCTGCTCAGGCGCAGGGAATGTTTGGAACTCGAGCTCGACGACAACACCAAAGTTTGCGCCCGCGCCACGGATACCCCAGAAAAGATCGGAGTTTTCGGTCTTGGAGCAGTGGACGACTTTGCCGGTGGGGAGAACGACTGTGGCGCCGGTCATGAGATCGAGAGTAAGGCCGTGCTTGCGGGCGACCATGCCGTAGCCTCCGTGCAGGGCGTGACCACCAAGACCAACTCTGTGACATATTAGTGGATGATCCTTGTTAGGAGAGATTAGGGAACTTACCCAGGGCACGTTCCATGAGCGAGAGCTCGCTTGCCCTGGTTCCAGAGCTCAGTAGCGACATGTCCAAGACGAGCACCAGGCTGAATCTTTGCGGTGCCATCCTTAGCCACATTGACACTGTACATTCTATCCAGCTCAATCATGAGATGACCATCTTCGCCACCAAAGCCCAGAGAGGTATAGCTGTGGCCACCACTCTTGGCACTGATTGCAACGCCGTGTTTGGCGCCACACTCAACAGCAGCGGAAACTTGAGCGACAGTGGTGGGAACTGCGATGGCAGCTGGTTCGAATGGAAGTCTCAGGTTGTAAGCTGTGCCGTCTTCTTTCCATGATTGAGAGCCCTGTGCGTCGGTGGGCACTTTGGCTTGTGTGAGACAGCTGTTGACGGCTTCGCGCTTTGTCGGGACTGCTGATGAGTGGGCGACGAGGCCAACCAGCACACACGTTAGAGTGTTGAAATGCATGGTGAATAAAGATAGGAAATGTTGATTGAGAGAGATAGAATGAGATGAGATGTGAATGGAATATTGAATACAAGGAGATTGCGGTTGTTATTTATTAAAGGCGAGGTTCATGTTGCAGCAACTAATCTCTTGGCTCAACCCCACAGATCGGCGCCTCATTACGAGATCTGAGCCTCATGGCAGTCAAAGAATTATGGGATACGAGCTATTGTCACTACGTTGCGGGCTCTAGCGTCTTCGCTTCCTCCGAATGCGAGAGAGGTAACCAAACCAAGCGTCATTCTCTATAAACGGTAAATGTTTTGACGCTATATAAGCTCTACTACCTTAATTGATAACTGGTAACCAGAAAGAAACAGTGAAAAATGCAACGTTGATACCCAACTAAAGGAAACTCGAGTTAGTCCCAAGCCTCTAAATGCCGGAGTGCCGATATTAGTTCATGCTATAATTAGTTGTACCGAATCACGGTTCCTCCTTGTGATGTCACTGTCTAGATAATTGGAGCTGTCTTACCCCTTTTAGTATCGTCTGTGGAGTTGAGCTGCTTTGAGGCTGACCTGAGGAATGCTGGCTTCCTCTCGAGAGGCATTGATTGGATACTAAGGAAGATCAGTTATCGATAAGACAATGTCTGTTGCTCCAGGGTAATTGAGCTCTCACGGAGTTTCCTCCATAGAAAAGCGGTATTACTCTTCTAATCAATCAAGGTTAGTTGATCTTCAACACCCAAGGCCTCTTCAAGAAGTGGTCATTTGTTCTAAGGAAACAAATTTCACAAAATACGACGATAGAATGCTCGTATTGTGAGTGATGGCCACGATTTGTCAAGTGGTTGTCTGTAGGCGAGACGTTTCGAATTGGAACTGCCGAAATGAAAAATGCTGGCCGCTCATAAACCAGCTAAAACTCTAAAAACCATTATGCAGTCTCAATGCAACGCCGTCATAGCGAGGGATCAGTCAAATCTGCATTACACAAATAGTTCTGCTGTCTCTTCAGAAACCCCCAAATATGAACATCATAAGCTATATCTTGTAGGGATCCACGTCATAACAAGAAACGCAATAGGTGAAAAATAGTAGTATCGAAGCCCCGAGCATAATTGATCTACTCTTGATGAGATTTCATCAGTAATATATGGCGCGAGGCTAATGATCAAACCTGGTGTGAAGCCGCTAGGGCGTTTTAACTACTCTGCATCTACGACTTGTACTCTATTTAGAGTCGAAGAATAAGGGTGTGAGACTTGATAAAGACTCAGGGTAGTAGACGGGAGTGGTCTTTTTATACCTAGGCAGTTCGATTTGGCGTACTCTTTGTTTTACTCAAGTTTGCAATATCTTGTGGAGTTAGTGTTTCAATTGGCTGTTTTGCCTGGTGATGCCTGGAATGAGTGGATTCAGACTTAGCCGGGAAAGGTTACTCTGTCTAGTGGGTAGCAAAAAATATGGCCTCTGAGTTTGAGGATACAAAAATAAATGACCTAGTACCATACCCTAAATCTCATAAAGTGATCTACTAATTCTGTCTCTTGTGCTTCCGGTGGCCAACTTTTCTGGTACCCTGATATCTGTGTTGGTTGACAACATTCCTTTTATACCCAGTTTTATCACAACCAACACTTTCCATCAAACTCTTCCCGACACTGGTCTTGCGTTATTTACTTCTTGTTTATCTGTATATATACAAAAGTCTTCACCGGGATGATATCCTCCCCAGAGCGCCTATAAGACAGTAACTATACAGTACATTACTAGGCTTCACAGCCCAAAATGTCCAATCGCCGCCATGCTGAGCCACTGCTTCGGCTCGAAATAGCCTTGACCGCTCGTGGTATACCTACCTACATTCCCGAACCAGAATCCGGCAAACGCAGCGGCAACATACGACATAGCGACCACCCTACCGACTTCAGTCATCTTGTTCCTCCACAGTCGTCTGGCGGCGATCATAGACTTTGGATAACTGATCGGATTATGGAGCCTCAGACGATCCCGCATTTCTTGGAGTTTCTTATGCACGGTTGTCTTCCTGGTGGTGACCGCAAAACATATCGGCCACTACTCACCGTTGAGGAGGCCAGAAACATGAGCAAGCCATTCACTGACTGGGCGCCTGCACCATTTAATATTGAGCAAAGATCGACTTTTGACTGGGTCGGCATCCGTATCGGGTCACACGAGGATTCGGCGCGCCTTTGGCGGGTTGCCAAAGAGCTTCATGCAATGAAGTCTAGATTGTGGGAAGGTATACCACCTCTTTCTGAAAGACGATGGAAAGAGTTGCAACTCGATGACCCAGAGAACTTTAAAGATGCTTGTCAGTACTTTGTCGCAGTTCTAGACGTCTTCGCCTACCTCAACCATTCACGAACCAAGAATGCTCTACGAACAACCTACAACCTGATATGGGATCACCTGAGAGTGTTCGAGCAAGCTGTTAACGCGAAGCGTAAAGCAGAAAACGAGGTGTACGAAGAAGTCTCAGTGACTGGCCTTTGGTATCAGTACATCAGGGCCCATTACGATTGCATTTGCGACAGTGCTCATCAATGGGTCATTGAGCACATCGATCGTATCCGAGAACCATTGGTACTTGAGATGGGCAGCCATAAATCTTCGCACGAGACCGAAGTTGATGCCAGGCAGAGGGAGATGGCGGACAAGATAGACGATTTAGGTCGAAACACGGCTGAAGCGGATTACATGATCTTTATGCCGACAGACGGCTACAAAGGCGACAGTTCCTCCGCTAAAGAGCGTGAACCGCTAACGGAAGCCCACAAAAAAGTGTTTCGCAAGGACCCAATCTCGTGGTCTGCCAATATCAACTGGCGGATAGAAGATTACCAGGAACGAGTCCGTTATCTTGACAAAAAAGAGACGTACGAGTATTATCTGCGTGAGGGCGATTCATTTCAACCATCTATCAATGATCCCAGGTGTCTCCTTATCACATGCATCAGTCACATCGATGCGCAGACGACAGCTCGGTACGAACTGAGAGGTCCTTCAGAGCCCCAGATGGACCGCTGGATTGAGTACGCTCGACGGCCGCTACCCCGCGTGAAAGGCTTTGCCGCCTTTCGGTTGTGCCACAAGCATGACGAAAAGAAGTGGAACGAGTTCAAAACGAAATTCGAAGTTGATGTCGCCGATTGGGGACTCGGAAAGAAAGATATCGACGATGTGCGGAAAGGTTGCAAAATCCACTGGATTGATGGAAAGCAGGAGACTATAAAGGATGCGAAAAGGTAAGGCACAATCACAAAGGCCTGAGGCAGAGCACGGCACGGTTTTCATAAACAGACTAACATGAGTATAGGAAATTCGAGAGCGTCTTGCCAAATCTTCCTGTCCACCATCGAATGTTCCTAGCTATCGACGAGGCCACGATACAGTCATATCTCGAGCGAAATGCCTCCAAGTTCGTTCTTGCCGTTGATGCACAATATGGATCGATAGGAGAAGACGGAGAAGAGGAGGAGGAGCCTCCCAGCGAACAGGATCATGAGACTCCCGGTTACGATGGAACAGTGCGAATACTGGGAAGTCTTTTGTGGGACGAATTGGGTGCAATGCAAACTACCCAGGGTGTATTACTCAAACATCTATGGCCTTATGCGATGAGCGATGTCGAGAAGGTGTACAGAGGGTACAAGCCTGGAACCGTGTTGAAGTTCCAGAGCTATGAGGAAACAATGGCGTGGAAGGTTCTCAATGCTGTTTTGCCTTTTGCAATTAGGTTGGCGGCGAGAAGGGGTGGATCACGACGTGCAAACTCATAACTATTCACTAGCAAGGTCAAGCCTGCAGTTGGAATCTTGGGTGTAATTAATGATAATTTGATTTTTTGTTTTGGGGCTCATACAGACACCAATACTTTGGTTTTATCCTTACCGCCGTAACCTTTGATCAGCAGCCTCATAACACAAGTCGACTGCACTATCTATCGCTTGGTATATCGCATCTTCAACATCTTTTTGCTGCAGATCGCTAAGTAGACCTTTGATATAGGCTTCGGCAGCGGCTAAGAAAAGCAACTCCTTCCTACCATGAGCGCCAGACGACACTTTCACCCGATGTTCAACTATCAACAAAGTTTCATGGATAACACTATGTGTCTTCCTCCACGAAGCCCCGCAACTGGCTCCAAAAACACCATCTTCTAGATCACTGATGATATTGATCGACAATGACACCGCGGCCTGTCGTTGAACGCGACCTAAATAACCCTGACCATAAATACGAAGTGATGCACAAGGATCCGTCTCATGCACTTGCATGTCTCGGTTTTCAGAATCAGCTATCAATCCTAAACTAGGTGGCCAAGCGAGGACACGCATCGCTATCTCCATAACGACTTTGCGCGAGTAGTGGAATGGGGTTTGGGAAGTAGACTGTTCGACAAAAGGCTGATGAAGGGCGCGGATGAACTCCAGGGTATATGTCTGGAGTAGTTGGAGCTGGAATCCGGAAGGTTTCTTATCCATGTCTCGAAGAACATTCGTATTGTCCCGGTGTGCGGAGTAAAGTTCTGAGGCGAGGTAATTGCTATCGTTGTATGACTTGGATGCTCGTGGTGAATTGGCCAGGTGTAGACATTGGAGACGAAGATGTTGAGTTCGCGAGAGTAAAACCAAAATGGTGGAAGCTGCTAGAGTCTCCAGTTTGTGATTTGGATCCACCGATACAAGACCTGATTCCAGCTCTTCATCGGTTATGTCGGAAGGCGGCTTGCAGTCGAAGCTCTCGGGTGAGAGGGAAGAAGGCAGTCCTTCGTCCAAACTGTGCTGAAGCGATAACTCAACCATAGTCGCCCACAAACGACGACGTGTCTCAACTTCAAGAGCCGGCATCTCTGGTGACCGCAGTAAAGGGTCACGATGAAACCCCGTTTGCATACCTATCCTCGCTAGGTCAAAGTTTCCTGGGTGCATGTGAAAACCTTCCGAGTGCTCGGTGTCGTCATCATGTACATGTCGCACAAGAGAGATCAGACAAAGAATCTGTGCCATATTGATATCAGATCGGTGGGCACTACCCATGTGCCTTGCAAGCCACTTCTTGCCGTAGGATATCCACGAAGAAGTCTGATTCTGCAGTGATGCAGAGTTTAGTGAAGAATCAGAAATAACGGTGGACCCAAGGGCTAGGACGATGGAAAGCTTGCACAAAAAAGGCTCTTCAACCTCGAGAGCCCGAAAGTTCAAAGGCTGACACCAAAAATGCTCGTACTCGCGCAGAAAGGTCGGTATGTGTAAGATACGAAGCACCTTTTCAAACGTGTTGATGTAAGCATCGACAAGGATATGACATGATGACCGTGGCGGCAGTAGGTCTCGAGCAGATATCATCGGAGACAGTGTTGGAGAAAGTCGACCTGATGTTTTTGACTGTAGTTGCTCCAATCTTATAAATCGCTCCATATGAGGACGCATTCTTTCCTGCTGTGGCTGATAGGCTGTATGGCTCCCAAAGGCGTGGCTAAGAAAATGAAGCTTTTCGCAATTTTGCAGACTATTTTGCCAGTAGTCATGATCATGGTCTGATACATATTTGGAGAGTGAAGATGTTCTCATCCTTGTAGGTTCTGATGATAATTCGGGATCAAGCCTTGAGGTCAAAGACAAAGGCTCAAAGGAGGAGATATTGTCACCTCGACTTGAAGTAGATCTGGAGGCAGTGCTAGTACCAGATGTTATTGAAGGGGCATGAGTCAAAGATGGTGCATCGGTATGAATCTCTGACATGACAGAGATGTCGTGTATAGGGAAGCAAGACGATAAGTCGCTGTCATTGGTGTACTGATAGCCTGCAAATTGCTGTGGATCGGTAACATCCAAGTCGAATAGTTGTAAGTTATGTCCGTAGTCATTTGACACAAACGGTTGACAATTTCCGATTTGAGAAAATGATTGACCTTGTGACTGTGACTGAGAGTGTTGTTGTGATTGTGACGGTAAAACCGAAGTAGTCTTAGATCTGCTTTCGAAAAAGGGTGTCGGACTGTACTCGCATTCACGGCCCGGAGATCTACTACAAGGACCACACGGAACTGCACCGTCGCAGCGAATTTTCCGACCTCTGCATTGGTTGCAGGCCGTAGCTGGTCTACGTCTCTTCCAAGGGGGTCCGAGGTCCATATTGAGTGAGATGCACTTGAGAGGATCTGCGGGGTAGGGTTGTCTTGTGTTATGTATGCAACGTGTTGGTTATTGATGAAAAGGGCGGAGAAACAAACAGACAGGTACAAGATTGGGGCAGTAAGCAGTTTATACATGTAAGGTTGTCAGGAACTCGGGCAGTTTGTTCTTTTTAAAGGGCTTGGAACTGAATCTCTGAGGGGAGTAGGCAATGAACCATGTAGCTACTGTTTCTCAATTAAACCAAAAGACTGTTTTACGGATAACTGCATCTGCCTTACCATGTTAGCTTCGGTCCCGAGGGAGTGTTAATGTTGCGGTAAGGCATGGGAGAGGCCCACAGGTGGATCGTATCAGCCCCCACTCTCCCTTGTTGTAACATAGGAGGGAGGACAAGGGACGATTAGTTAACACAGCACAATATCGTCTTATGTATAGTTCGGCGAACTTGAATTGTGCAGAGAAGGATCGACGGCTTGGAACTGAGTTGATTGAGAGAGAGTAAGCTATTTCATCGAGCCTAGTCTGTACTAATACCTACTTTCTCATTATCAAATGCCCCCACGACTTGGCCAAGAGAAACTATGGATCTGATACAAAAAGCATGATGGATTACCTCTCGATGCGCCTCCCCGTTCGAATTCGGAGCATCAATCGAGTAAGAAGGATCATTCAGTCTTCTTGGCATCTCACAAAATCCCGTTATGGGTACATTTATTCATATAGCCCGGTAAGCAATGCGTGCATAGCTGACATAAGTCACAGTCGTCAGCATGACTGGATGACATCATGGTAATACGAAGGCCTACCAACAGTCAAGCAGGAGCTGTCATGGTCCAAGATGTAACCAAGAGCTGAACCTGGACGTTACTCCTTTGCACCATAATGTGCCAATGGGAATCTCTTTGTGAGTCTGACATTTGCATAGGGCGTGCATAATCTCTAGGACCGTTTCCTCCCTTCTCCGGCAGCTCCCGCCCGTCCCTCCAACTATCATCATGTCAGGCCAAGCCACTTTTTCGGTCTTTGTCCACTAGGATAGGTCTTTGGTAACAACCGATGGATCTACGCCAATAAGCCAAGCCAGACATAACACGCATGTCTTAGTGTAGCAGACAGATGCATACATCCCTCCCATTACAAAGCTTGGCCTGACTCTTGGCCACATTTCGTCTCCACTGAATAAACCACAGCAGTGAGTGGAACAAGAACGAGAGCGAGACGTTATGTTCTCCTCTTTTTTTCATGGCTGCCCTGCACGGGATTTTAAATATTCGCCGGGTATTTGAACCACCGGTATGGGAAAACCTCCTTAGCGTCGCATGGTTAATCTCAAATACTGGGCAGCCTTGCTTTTGATGGGGTTGTAGGAACTCTAAGGTACATCGCCAATTTTTTAATATGTTATTTCAAGACTAGCGGCACTTCAAGAGGCATAGTTTGCTGCGCCTCTGGTCGAAGAAAATGCGCTATTTCTTTTTATCTCCTAAGGCTACATGGAGCTTGTGGGTTAAGCGAAGTGAGCGGGCTCTATACCATCATATTCTTATTGGCACGATACACAATCTGTTTCTTTGGGCCTCTGAATCTCTATGTGGCAGTGAGTATTCTGTAGCCTAGAGCTGATTGACTAGACCCGTGAAACATACAGTCGTATCCACTAGTGTCATGTACCCATGGGGGATGCAACGTATTGATCCGATTAAGGGAGCTAGCTATGAGAGACATTTGTCGCTTATCTTTCCAAAATCAGAAAATAGACGAGATGCCGGAATGGGAAGGTATCCATTGTCTTGGAGACTCTACTACTACAAGGCAGGCAGAAACTAGCTTAATGCCTCCTGGTAAACCTTGTGCTGTGATTCTCATCCTTCATGTTTCAGTCCACGATCTTGAGCTGTTTCATTGGTTCTGGCAAAAGATGGTTCAGCAGATTAAGTTCCGAGTTTGCGTCTAAACCGTTTTGTCTTTTCTATATGGTTCTTTTGCTTCCAGAAACCTCGTCGACCTGCCTAAAATGAATACAGTTGAGTGTCTTGCCACATTTATTTCAATCTTGTATTGGTCACTTTAGTTCCTGACGCTTCCCGGTGTAAGCAGTCAGACCGAAAAAAAAAGAACGAGAAGGTGTAGCAATGTCTTAGTTATTTACAGAAATACGCCAATTGGATACTCCCAGTATAAGACGGCACTGCATTGGCATGTCTGCCTTGCAGCTAGTGCTGATATCTAGAAACAGAGTCTAAGAGATCAGCAATGCCGGTATGCCGAGAGAATTACGAAGGCGAAGTCAGGCGTGCTTCAGTCTTCATCTCCCGGGCTGTTCGATGGCTGGGATAGTGATAGGCATAAACCTAAAAGAAGTAATCTCAAGTACTGAGAAGTCAGTGCTATCATTGATAACCATCACTAATATGTTGAGAAACTTTGGTTGGAAGTATGAGGGAAGAAATTGTTGAGTTCGTCTGTGTTACTTCAGGGTAGACGTTTAGGATCTGAAGTTTTACTTATAAAGCTCTGATGTTATTAACATTCCCAGGCCGTGCGTGTTTGTCATTTGCAAGGACAGACTTTACAGAAGTCTAATCTCAGGAAATGCCGGGTGCTTGTAGAATTAACTTCACTGCTGTGATCTCATGGCCAATTCTGTCAAGCCAACCATGGAGTTAAAAATATTCAACATTCTGTCGACATCTAAGTTTCATTCACAATTATATAAGTATAGGACGGAGCTGCTCTTTCCATTTCCAACTCTCAATTTATCTGACACCAAGATCGTTGGTTAAACTTTGTAATAAGTTGAGTGGGAAAGTCAAACAACCACTTTTATTCCATCATTACTAACTACTTTCTAAGATCCCGCAAAATAAGATGTCGGAAGAATCAAACCAAGGGGACCTCAAGCCCCCATTTCATGACGAAAAGTCTCGCCCCCGGATGTACTTGAAGTTCTGGTTGCCTATAATTGTGGGCTTGATAATTGGTTACAGCATCGTTGCGGCTACTGGCATGTTCAGAAACAAAAGGGTACCTCAATCAATACCTATCTAAAGCAACAATACACTATTCCGGCCTCATCTATTTTATCATGTTTGAAGGTGTTACGACTCAAGGACAGCTTGAACGAAGATAGAACAGTTATAGGGGAAAACCAAGCTGGGTACTATCTGGGAACCAACAAAGAAAGCAATACAGTATCTATTGATCAACAGCTTGCAATAGGATAGACAAGTCTCTTCCCATGAATCAAACCCCGACGAACCTGTTCCATGCCCTCTGAAACAGTACCCAAACCACCCTTCCTCACTTCCACCGTAGGTGGTTCAACCTTTCCTTCATCAATGATCAGCTGCGCAATGGGGTACCACTCCTCAGCATACTCTAGGTCTCTCGGTCTGGGTTCTAAATCATAAGGAGGTGTCCAACGAATTGCATGTCCAAACTGAGTAGGCGTACAAACCCATTCAGGAACAACGCTGCGTCGCGTATGTCCTCGCACAGGAAAAGCATCCAGCGCGACGTAGCGACCACCCGATGAGCCGATGGCCTCGTAGCAGATGGCCATAGAAGATGTATCAGTGATACAATCCAGTGCGTAGGCCAAAGTGTCATTTGTGTGCTCACGGATATCAGCGCCGCAGGTAGGAGACTTGTAGTCGAACCAGGCTTTGGCACCAAGACGGGTTGCTCGGGGTGCTGCGGTGGCAGAACAGGTGGTAATAGCATTGATACCTGCTTCCTTCAACACCTGCAAAGCAATTGCGCCAGTTGCAGTACCGCCACCATAAACCAAGACAGTGGGCTTCTCATTCCCCTTCAGAGTTTCACTGTAAGGAAGAGGAAGACCAAGGTAGTTGAAGAGCGAGAGTCCCACTGTAGCCAAAGAGGCACCAAGAGTAGAAGCAGTGTTAAAATCCATTCCATCTGGAACATGCCAGACAAGTCGCGCAGGAACAGCTACATAATCTGCGAAAGCACCATTGTGCGGCCTGAGAGGGTTGTTCCCGAATGTGCCCCCAAAGACACGATCGCCAATACTGATGGGTTTCATGCCACGCTCAGCTCTGAAAGAGTCACTCTCGACGGCTGAACCCAAAGCTGCGATTACACCAGAGAAGTCGGTTCCGCTGGTTGCGCCGATTTGAGGCGACATGTCCACAGCTTTGCCATCTACATGGTTGATGGAGACAGCGAGGACGCGGACAAGAACATCATGTGGTTCGATGTTCGGGAGAGGAGCGTCTGTAATGACTGAGACACTGTTTGGGCCTTGCGTCTTGAGAGCGTTTTGAGAAGTAGGAAGAGATAATTTGACGGTCATCGTGAATGAAGATGGTAGAAATGATAGACTCTGGATGATGGCTAGCTTGAAGTTGAGCTTGATAGTGAATTGAGTGACTTGGAGGAATCGCAAATTTTGGTAACCAGTGATCAACTCTATCTGGATGAAACGATCGATCGATCTTGATGGCACAATTTTTGTTTACTTGAGGTCACGATCATGCCATTCGGATATCAACTTGGCCATGCCGTTCAACCCGGTTTTTAGCCTATCTCATGTTAAAGTTCATGCATAGCCTGATTCCTAATGAAATGCCAATGATGACAGCTACGCGAGATTCTCCGCGCCGTTGAATGTAGTCTCTGCTTAATCTCACTCAGCTTCCATGCAAGGGTGATACGACAATATGCCTGCCGAGTAAACAGGCTGAGAACCCATCAGCAAGTTAGACCGAGACTAGCTTACAGGGCTGTAGAGTAGTGGAACTCGGGAAATTGTAAGATGACAGGGAATCTTAGACAGGGGGTTGGCGTCTATTGGACCATTACCTTCAGCTCGGGATACAGTGGAGTTTTAAATGCCGGGGAATCCTACAAGAGTCTTCCCACAGGGTAAGCAACTGTCTAAGAACCTCATGTACAAGCTGCAGCGGGTTAACCAATTCTGAACAGAAACAGTAACTACGTTGCATGATCTCCACAGGCCTCCAGTCTAGAAGGCATGGGGCTGGAATGACATACAGCCAAGCTGACCCAAGACATTCAGCCACCGTTCGGAATTCACTGCACTGAACTCATCGTGGCACGGGAAAGTGAGAACTACCCTTGGATGCTGAGGTAAACTCGTGTCCAGTCAATAGCGTTCTTGAAATCCGACGAAGGAATCTCCTGGTTCGAGCTAAAACTGGCAGGTTATCGCAAATGGCAAATTATGCTTATGGATCATTGTCAAGAGACGGGAAAATAAGATACGAAAATAGAAAATAACTGATTCAAATAAAGGATTATGTGACTGAAGTACTCCAATGTCTAATTCTGAATATTTGATCATCGTCATGTACGGGTTGGATGCTCAAACTTCACTCGACTGAGAATTATACTTCCCCGTAACTGCTTGTCTACTTGATCGATATCCATTCCCCAGTACTACTAGGCCTTTTAGTCATTCAGTCGAACATCGAGAATATCAAATACACTCTGTACTCGTTACCTCCTTCCTTAACCTGGTCGCCTCCCTTCCCAATCACATTTCTGTCCACCAACACAATGGCTCAAGACTCCCAATACCGCGAACCTATCGCTATCATCGGCTCATCATGCCGATTTCCAGGCTCGTCTTCCTCTCCATCCAAGCTTTGGGACCTCCTCCATCAGCCCCGCGATGTCATCAAGACCTTCGACGCTGAAAGGCTCAACCTCGCGAGATTCTACCACGAAAATGGTGACACCCACGGTTCCACAGATGTAGCCGCCAAGTCATACCTTCTCGAGGAGGACAACAGGCTCTTCGACACCAGCTTCTTCGGTATCTCTCCCATGGAGGCAGCGGGTATGGACCCCCAGCAGAGGATCCTTCTCGAAACTGTATACGAGGCTTTCGAAGCAGCTGGTCTCACACTCGAACAATTGAGGGGATCTCTTACTTCTGTTCATGTTGGTGTCATGACATCCGACTGGGCAAATATCCAAGCTCGCGACACAGAAACAATCTCCAAATACAACGCCACAGGATCGGCAAACAGTATCATGTCGAACCGCATTTCCTACGTCTTCGATCTTAAAGGCCCCTCTGAGACAATCGACACAGCATGCTCAAGCTCTCTTGTCGCCGTTCACAATGCGGCATTGGGTCTTCTCAACGGCGACAGCGACACAGCCGTCGTAGCTGGCGTCAATCTCATCCTTGACCCAGCACCATACATCAACGAGTCAAAGTTACACATGCTCTCCCCCGACTCGAGGTCTAGAATGTGGGACAAGGCCGCCAACGGTTACGCCCGTGGTGAAGGCGCTGGCGCAGTTCTTCTCAAGACACTCAGTCAGGCTCTCAAAGACGGCGATGACATTGAGGGTGTCATTCGTGCTACTGGTGTTAACTCTGATGGTCAAAGTCCCGGTATCACTATGCCATTTGCTCCCACTCAGACAGCATTAATTCGAAAGACGTATGCTCGCGCGGGTTTAGATCCCAAGAAGGATCGTCCTCAGTACTTTGAGTGTCACGGTACAGGAACACCAGCTGGAGACCCTGTGGAAGCACGCGCTATCAGCGACGCTTTTACTGGAGGTGACATGTCTGTCGAGAACCCGCTATACGTTGGATCTATCAAGACTGTCATTGGTCATCTCGAAGGAGGCGCTGGTCTTGCTGGTGTTCTCAAAGTCCTCCTCGCTTTGAAGCATCGAGTTATTCCTCCGAACTTGCTGTTCAATGAGCTCAATCCTTCTGTCGCGCCCTTTTATGGGCCTCTTCAAATTCCTACCACTGCTATTCCTTGGCCTGAACTACCTGATGGTGTCCCCGCTCGCGCGAGTGTCAACAGCTTTGGATTTGGCGGCACGAATGCTCATGTCATCATTGAGAGTTATGAAGACACTCCTGATGAGCCGTCTCTCCATGAGAACGAGGGTATCCTTGGTCCTCTTGTTCTCTCTGCGAAGTCAGGTGCATCTTTACTTCGAACAGTTGAGACGTACAGAAACCACACCCAGTCCAACCCTACTCTTGACATCGCTGCTCTCAGCGCAGTCCTACAAGAGAGGCGCTCAACGCATCGTGTCAGGGCTCACTTCTCTGGATCTTCGCGCGAGGCTATTATGTCTGACATGGAAGAGTTCCTCTCCAAGTATGGCAAGGCCACGGGTGACAACATCGGCCATGTCCCCAAACTTGTCAATCCCCGCGAGAGATCGGGTATACTTGGTGTCTTCACTGGACAAGGCGCGCAATGGCCTGCAATGGGCCGCGAGCTTATCCACTCTTCGCCTATCTTCAGACGCACTATCGAAGAGTGCGAAGATGTTCTGGCTGACCTTCCCGAGAAGAACCGACCCCAGTGGTCCCTTATAAAGGAGCTTACTGCCGATGCTTCCACCTCTCGCGTCGCCGAGGCAGCTATTTCACAGCCCCTCTGTACAGCTGTTCAATTGGCGCTTCTGAGCCTTCTCACCGTATCCGGCATTAAGTTCGACGCCGTCGTTGGCCATTCTTCTGGTGAGATCGGCGCCACGTACGCAGCTGGCATCATCTCCCTCAAGGGCGCAATGCAGATTTCCTACTACCGTGGTCTCCATGCTAAGCTCGCCTCTGGAACCGATGGCAAGCGAGGTGGCATGATGGCGGCCGGTCTGTCACCAATGCAAGCTCGAGAGTTTATCGCAAGACCCGACTTCAAGGGTCGTATCGGCATCGCTGCGTGCAACGCTCCTCGTACCGTTACACTATCCGGGGATCTTGATGCTATTGCTGAGGCGAAGCTTGTTCTTGACAAGGACAACGTCTTTGCGCGTGAGCTCAAGGTTGACACGGCTTATCACTCGCATCATATGCTTCCTTGCGCTGAGCCATACTTGCAAGATCTTTTAGCCTGTGACATTGAGGTCAAGCAACCTCAGCAGGGACAATGTGTGTGGAACTCTAGTGTCCGTGGCGACACTCAACTCCTGCGTGGTGATCTCACTAGCCTCAAAGGTCAGTACTGGGTGGATAACATGGTCCGAACTGTTCTGTTCTCACAAGCCATCGAATCATCGATCTGGCACGGCGGTCCTTACGATCTCATTGTTGAAGTCGGTCCTCATCCGGCATTAAAGGGCCCAGCGGAACAAGTCATGAAAGCATCTTATGGTTCAGTTCCAGTCTATACTGGAGTCCTCGACCGCAAGAAGACAGCCATTGATTCGTTCTCTGCTGCTATCGGCCTGACTTGGGCTCAACTGGGCCCTGGATTCGTCGACTTCACCAACTACCGCAACGCCTTCTACAAGTCCAACACATCCCCTCCTGTGAGAATGATCAAAGACCTTCCTACTTACTCCTGGGATCATGACAAAGTCTACTGGCGTGAGGGTCGCATGTCTCGTCGCTTCCGTCTAGGCAAAGACACAAGCCATGAACTCCTGGGTCGTCGAACTCTAGATGACAATGAGTTTGAGCTACGCTGGCGAAATGTTCTTAAGCTCAACGAGATGCCCTGGCTGCGCGGGCACACGGTTCTTGATGAGGTTCTACTCCCTGGCGCTTCGTACGTTTCTATCGCCGTGGAAGCGGGTAGATATCTGGCTGCCGATGCGGACAAGAATTTGGGAGTTGTCGAGGTTGAGAACATTGAGATTCTGAGACCTGTTGTGGTACCTGACAACAACGCCGGCGTTGAGACACTGTTCACTGCTCGACTGGTTGAAAAGAGCAAGGATGTTATCAAGGCTCGTTTCTCGTACTATGTCTGTCCCGATGAGACCGTTGGATCTATGCTACAAACCTGTATGGGCGACCTTATTGTTCATATCAAGTCTGAAACCATTAGCAACGGGAGCGCTCTACCACCTAGGGACCAGACTCCTCCCAATCTTGCCAACATCAGCAACGAGCAGGTCTACTCACTTTTCAATAGTATTGGTCTCAGCTACACCGGTGCTTTTAAGAGTATCACGGACATCAATCGCTGTCTTAACTATGCCAGTACCACGAGCACTTGGGAAGCTGATACTCTCGGCGACAAGTACATGCTCCACCCAGCCGTTCTTGACGTCGCCTTCCAGACTCTCTTTGTCGCAAAGGCTCATCCTGCCAGTCGACAAATTACTTCTGCCCTTCTTCCCTCCCACATTGACCGTGTCCGTGTTGATCCATCGGTTCAGATTGTTAGGCCTGGCGTATCCAAGGCTGAGATCGAGACATGGGCGATATCGCAGACTGCTACTTCCCTTCGTGGTGACTTGAACATCTATGACTCTGCGTCGGGCGCAACATTCCTGCAAGTCGAGGGTCTGGCTGTGAACATGGTCGGAGCTGTCGAAGGTGCAAGCGATCGATCCATGTTCTCCAAGACCATCTGGGGTAACGATGCATCACTCGGCCTTCTTGATCCCAAGCGCAATGAGGCACAGGATGAAAAGGGTATGAAGATGGCGGATGCAGTTGAGCGTGTCGCCATGTTCTATGTTAAGCGCATCGTCGACCAAATCCCACCCTCTGAACGCGAAGAGTTCATTTGGTACCACCAGCGCATGTTCGAGGCATTTGAAGAGCACATTCGCGTTGTTGCAGCTGGTGAGCATCCTATCATTAAAGCCGACTGGCTCAACGACGATGTTTCTATCCTGAAGACAATCGATGCCCAGTACTCAGAAGAGATTGACATCAAGCTGCTCCACGCCGTTGGTGGACATCTTGCCGAAGTTGTCCGCGGCAATGAGCAACTATTGGAGGTCATGACCAAGGATGACATGCTCAATCGTTTCTATATGGAGGGTTACGCCAGTATTACTACTAACAAATTTGTCGGCGACATCATGAAGCAACTCACTTTCAAATTCCCGCGCGCGAAGGTCCTCGAGATCGGAGCTGGAACTGGTGGTACCTCTTGGAGTATCCTGAACGCAATTGACGATGCGTACGATTCGTACACGTACACCGACATCTCATCTGGTTTCTTCCCTAACGCCGCAGAGAAGTTCTCTTCCTTCTCACACAAGATGATCTTCAAGGTTCTTAACGTGGAAGACGAACCTTCGGGCCAGGGTTTCGAGGATGGCTCTTACGACATTATTGTCGCTGCGCTGGTTTTACATGCGACGCATGATTTAAAACGAACGCTGCACAACACTCGGAAGTTGTTGAAGCCAGGCGGTTATCTTGTTCTCCTGGAACTCACTGGCATCGCTAGCGTTCGCGCCACATTCATCATGGGCGGCCTTGAGGGATGGTGGCTTGGCGGCGACGATGGTCGAAGACTTACGCCGCTCGTCACAACCGTGGAGTGGGACAATGTCCTCCAGGACTCCGGGTTCTCAGGCGCCGACACAGTTGTCTACGATCTTCCTGATGAAGCGAAGCATTGTACGTCTGTCATTGTCAGCCAAGCAATTGACGACGAATTCCTACGTCTTCGGGAACCTTTGTCCTGCAAGTCTGACTTCCCATCTCTTACCGATCCTCTTGTGATCATTGGTGGTAAGAAGTTTTGGACAAGCAAGGTCATTTCTGAAGTTCAAAAGCTACTTCCTCGGTCTTGGAAGCGTCAGATCAAGCTGGTTAAGAGCATTGACAAGATCGATGCAAGCAATTTGCCATCGCGCATGGATGTCATCCTCCTACAAGACGCAGACGAGTCTGTCTTTGCGACTACCATTGCCCAGCCTCAGCTCAACAACCTGCAAGCCATTCTCATGAGATCGAAGAACATGCTGTGGGTAACAACATCAGGCAAGTCACATGCTCCCCGCGCAAGTCTCATTCAGGGCATCACGCGTGTTATCCCTGCTGAGCTACCCCATCTGAACGCCCAGCTCCTCGGAATGCCATCAGAACAAACCCCAACTTCTGCTGCCAATCATACTGTTGAGGCTTTCTTGCGGTTGATCCAGGGTGAGGATGTGGCTAGGGATGGCAAAATTCTTTGGGCTCAAGAATCTGAGCTCGAGATCTCAGCCGATGGCAAGACGGTCATCCCACGAGTCATTCCTGATGAGACACTCAATGAGACATACAATGGCTCGAAGCGGGTGATTAGCAAGAACGTTGATGCGACTGAATTGGCTGTCTGCACTGAGGTTGTTGATGGGAAAGTGGCTATGCTTTCTGTTGACGAACAGGATGAAGGTGATGGTGTTCGAGTAGATGTCCATTCTACTCTACATCTCCCTGGCTTCGATGATCAGAGCATTTACATCATCTTCGGTAAGACCGACTCGTCCTGGGTGGTCGGCCTCTCGCACACCAACTGCTCTGTTCTCTACCTCAACTCGGAAATTCTCGTTGCTGTGAAAGAAGACACTACACATGCCCAGCTTGCTTCTATCGCATTCACCATTCTTGCACGCTCAATCGCTGTCATCTCTTCCACCGGGTCACCTGTCCTCTTTTACAACGTCGATGAATCCTTCGTCCGAATTATCGCGTCAGAGTTTGGAACGAGACAGCTTCAAGCTCAGTTTGCTACATCCAGAGCCGAGGCACCTACAGACTGGATCAAGATTCATCCTCTTGCTTCACAACGCGCTATACAGAGAGCAATCCCGCAAAACACCGCTGTCTTCATCGATTGCTCAGCCGGCACCGCTTCTATGGCTTTCACATTTACAGCTTCAATCCCAGCCAACTACCAAATGTGTCGCCTAGGATCTGGGCTTCTTTCTAAAGCTCTCGAGATGTCCAAGATGACCACAGCGACCTTCCTCGGTCAGTGCATCGAGGCAGCTTCTAATCAAAAAGTGCCCGAGACTGAAGTCATCCCAGCTTCAGACATCGCAGGTTCTAATGCCAGTGTGCTCGGCCTTCGAACCTTCATAACAGACTGGACCGATAAGACCGCTCTGCCTATCACTGTCAAGCCTCTTCAAGCGCAAACACTCTTCAAGCCAGACAGAACATACCTGATGGCTGGTATGGCTGGTGGTCTGGGTCTATCAATCTGCGAATGGGCTCTCAGAAATGGTGCGAAGCACATGGTTATCACTAGCCGCAACCCTCAACTCCCCAAAGCCACCCTTCAGGAGGCTCATCGCCTGGGAGCCACTGTCAAGGTGTTGCCCATGGACCTTACCGACAAGCTATCTGTCAAAGCTGCCGTCGCTGGAATTGAGGAATCTATGCCCAAGATCGCTGGTGTTTGTAACGCAGCCATGGTTCTCAAGGATGGGTTTTTCATTGACATGGACGCTGAGCAACTCAACAACACACTCGCAGCCAAGGTTCTGGGTACAGAACATCTCGACAGTATCTTCCACGATACTGACCTTGACTTCTTTATCTGTCTTGGCTCTGTGGCTTCAGTGATTGGCAATGTCGGCCAGTCAAACTATCACGCCGCCAACCTGTTCATGGATAGCCTCATCAACCAACGTCGCAACCGCGGACTCGCAGCTTCCATCATCCACATTGCTTACGTTACGGATGTGGGTTATGTCACACGCGAGGAGCGCGATCGCCAGCTTGACTCTCACTTCCGCAAAGTCCGTCTCATGCCTACTTCCGAGACGGACGTGCATCATGCATTTATGGAAGCTATCCGCGGCGGCAGGCCTGACAGTGTTTCTGGAAGCCACGATATCATCATGGGTATTGAGCCTTTGACTGAGCCTGTTCCCCTAGATCAGCAGCCGCTCTGGATGAAGGACCCACGTTTCGGACACTTTGCACCTCCTTCGTCCGTTCATTATCAGCAAGAGAGTGGTGCAGCTGGCTCTGCTGGCAACATCCGGCAATGTGTTGAGGAGGCTGATGGTGATGAACAAGCCGTCGCAGCTGTCATCCAAGCATTCTGTGGCAAGCTGGAGACCATGCTGCAACTTGCTTCTGGCAGTGTCAATGTGTCCCGACCTATCATTGATCTTGGCATTGACTCACTTGTCGCTGTTGAGATTAGAACCTGGTTCCTCAAAGAGCTTGGTGCCGATATCCCCGTCGTCAAGATTCTTGGTGGTGACACGGTTGAGCAAGTCTCTACGCTCGCCACCAAGAAGTTGATGGCAAGGATCTTAGAGACCAAGGCCGCTCAGCCACAGGAAGTCAAGCCAAAGCCAGAGCCCGAGAAGGCCGCTCCTGTTCCTGTGCCTGCTATACAAACTTCTCTAGAATCCTCAGCTGTTCCATCAGCATCTTCGCAATCTGTCGCATCATCTTCTCGCGCCTCGCGAGATTCTTCGCCTTCAGCAACATCTCGCTCCGATACATCTGCCACCAAGCAGGACATGAAGTCTAGTACGATCCTCACCGATGACTCTTCCAGTGATACTGGCTCTCTTGACTTAGTCCGCGAGTATCCCATGTCTCACGCTCAATCTCGCATGTGGTTCATCACTCAACACAGTGACGACCCATCAGCTTACAACATGGTCTTCCGCTACCAAGTCAAGGGCCAAGTGTCCACCACTCGTCTTCGTCACGCCGTTTCCACCACGGCTCATCACCACGAAGTCCTGCGCACTTGCTTCTTCGCGCGTGTCGGAGATGGACACCCTATGCAGGGTATCCTGGCTTCTCCTCGTATCAAGCTCAAGCATGTCGCTATCGAGCAGGATGCGGATGTTGACACCGAGATGAAACGCCTCTCTAGTCAGTCTTGGGATCTCGAACGGGGAGACACATTCGAGCTTGTTCTAATGAGTCGCGATTCTGAGAACCATGAGCTCTTCGTTGCTTATCATCATATTCTCATGGACGTTGTTGGTCTCGGCATCATGATTCGAGACCTCAATGTGTCCTACCAGATGAAGCTTCTCAATCGCAACGCGGCTTCTTATCTGGATTACTCCTCCACTCAGCTCAGTAGGAACGAACTTTATCAACGATTGTCTTTCTGGAAATCCGAATTCGCGACCTTCCCTGAACCACTGCCTCTTCTTCCTATGGCCAGCGTCACGACCCGCCCAAACAACACGAGCAACAATTGTCATCATCAATACCGCGAAATCAGGCCTGATCAGTTCCAGGTCCTAGCTTCAACATGTCAACGCCTTCGTATCAGCCAGTTCCACTTCCATCTCGCTATTTTTCAGGTCCTACTCGCTAGATATACTGGGACTGAGGACGTTTGTATCGGTATCGTTGATGCCAATCGCTCCGACCCCAAGTTTGCCGAGACGGTTGGATACTTTGTCAACATGCTCCCCATTCGCGCTAGCATCACTCAAGACGCCAACTTCTCTGAAATCGCCCGAAGTATCTCCCAGAAGACTCTAAAAATCCTCAGCGAGTCAGCGCTCCCATTCGACGTCCTTCTCAACGAGCTCCAAGTACCCAGATCAGCTAGTAGGACACCTCTCTTCCAGGCTGCGCTCAATTATCGCATGGGATCTATCTGGGAGATGCCATTTGGCGACGCCGAGATGAAGCTGTCTGATGTCAAGGATGCCGACAACCCGTATGATCTGAGTCTTGGTATCGCCGAGACGCCCACAGGCTGCGTGGTAGAGTTGTATGCGTTGGCTTCTCTGTACAGTGAGGACGCTTGTGCTACAATTCTGGAATCATACATCCGTCTCCTCGATGCGTTCTCTCAGACTCCCGATCGTACTGTCGATGGTGTTGGTGTGCATGAAGAGACTCAGGTTGTTCGTGCAATTGAACTTGGAAGTGGACCTGTGGTTGAATATGAATGGGCGCCCACTCTCTCGCAGCGTTTTCGGGACATCGTTCAGCTGTATCCCGATCAATTGGCTATCAAGGACTCTTGCATGGAGTTGACATACTCTAAGCTCAACGACCGCGTTCAGAATGTTGCCAACACTCTTCTTCACGAAGGTTTCACTGAGGGTTCTTGCGTCGCTGTTCTATGCGAGCCCTCTCTTGACTTCGTCATCTCCATGCTTGCCATTCTTCACATTGGTGGCATCTACATGCCATTGGATGTCAGTCTACCAACATCAAGACATCTTTCCATGATTGAAGTAGGTCAGCCAGCTCTGATCATTTATCACTCCGCTACTGAGGGTCGCGCCAACATTCTACGGTCTGTAGGTAATACTCAGTTCCAGGAGGTTCCCCTCGACAACATCGATCACGACTCATCTGTCCACGTCGCTTGCACTGCTAAAATAGATGCGCCCGCCGTTCTCCTGTTTACCAGTGGCTCAACTGGTAAACCGAAGGGTATCACTCTTTCGCAAGCTAACTTTGTCAACCATCTCGCCCTCAAGAATGACCTTCTTCGTCTCGAACAAGAGACTGTCCTTCAGCAAAGCTCTCTTGGCTTCGACATGTCTCTCATCCAGACTTTCTGCGCTCTAACCAACGGCGGCCGTCTCGTTATCGCGCCCTCAGATCTTCGACGAGATCCCGTCGCACTGTCCAACCTTCTCAGCCAAGAGCAAGTGACACTGACCATTGCCACTCCATCCGAGTACCTCGCTTGGTTCCGATATGGGTATGCTTCTCTTGTTGAGAACCAAGGATGGAAGCATGCTTGCATGGGTGGGGAGCAGGTCACGCGTCAGTTGAAGAATGAGTTTGCTCGTCTTGGTCATGCAGGATTGCAACTCACAAACTGCTATGGACCAACCGAGATTACTGCTGCAGCAACTTTCCAAACCATTCTTTTGAGTGATAGCGACAACAATGATGATCTTGCTGTCGGCAAAGCTCTGCCCAACTATTCTGTCCGCATTCTTGACGCATCTGGCCAGCCTCAGCCTCTTGGTCACATTGGTGAGATATGTATCGGCGGTGCTGGTGTCGCTATTGGATATCTCGACCTTCCTGCTGAGACGAGTCGCAAGTTTGTGGCCGACTCTAACGGGCAGCGGTTTTATCGAACTGGCGATCGAGGTCGTCTCTTACCTAACGGTACCCTTCTTTATCTCGGTCGTCTGGAGGGTGATACTCAGATCAAGCTTCGTGGTCTACGTATTGAGCTGGAGGAGGTCGAGGCAGCTCTGGTCAAAGCATCGGATGGACTGTTCGCGGGTGCTGTCGTCTCTCGCCATGGCGATGTTCTTGTTTCTCATGTCACTCTGGTGGCAGGCAATGAGATGATCGACCAAGAGAGGGTGACTCAGATCCTCTCCAGTGTCAAGCTCCCCCAGTACTCAATTCCCGCGTCAATCGCGGTGCTATCCACGTTTCCTACCACTCCCAATGGCAAAATCGATCGAAAGGCCATCGCCGCTACCCCGGCTTCTGAATCTTCTTCTACCATGCCGATGGAGAAAATGACAGTTCGAGAGGGTGAGCTTCGTCTTCTCTGGGAACGTGTCCTTGTCACCTCTACTCGTATTGCGCCATCCTCCGACTTCTTCCTTCTCGGTGGCAACTCATTGTTACTCATGAAGCTTCAGGCCGCCATCCGAGAGACCATGATGGCACCCGTCTCAACTCGTGTACTGTACCAAGCAAGCACACTTCGAGGCATGGCTCAGGCTATTGACAAGCTTCGTCAAGAGAGGGCTACGGGAGACATCGAGAGTGAGATTGACTGGGATGCCGAGACTGCTATTCCACAATGGCTTGTTAGGCAACTTGACGGGGCAACATCTTCACAAAAGGGACGAGCGCCTAAAACGATGGGTATTGAGATCATGATGACTGGCACCACTGGCTTCCTTGGTGGACACCTACTTCAATCGCTCCTTGCTTCTGAAGCTGTCAACAAGGTCCACTGTATTGCTGTTCCAGCGGATTATGAGGCTTCTCTGCCACATAACGAGAAGATTATACACTACTCTGGTAGCCTTCTATCTCCCACATTGGGCTTGACCTCTGAACAACGCGAAGAGCTCGCGAAGACTATTGATGTCATCATCCATGCTGGCTCAAACGGACACTGTCTGAACACCTACGACTCTCTTCGCACTCCTAACGTCGAGTCCACCCACTTCCTAGCTTCCATGGCCGCCACTAAACGCATTCCTCTTCTATTCCTTTCTTCCAACCGCGTGGTTCTTCTTTCTGGAAACCAGGCACCTCCTCCTTCATCAGTCTCTGAGTTCTATCCCTCGACAGATGGTCTCGAAGGTCACATGATGACCCGTTGGGCCAGTGAAGCCTTTTTGGAGAAGCTGGCCCAGCATGTTCAGAATACTGGCTCATATTGGCCAGTATCCATCCATCGTCCTGCTGTTGTTGTTAGCGGCCAAGCTCCCAACTCAGACGCTCTCAACGCCATTCTGCGATTTTCTATCTCCATGCGATGCGTACCTCGACTTGATAGGGTAGAGGGCTACATGGATCTCGCACCACTCGACAAGGTTGTCGCTGAGCTGTCGGAAGCAGCTATCAATCTTGCACAAGGCCAATCTGGAAACGTTGCTACGATTCAGTTCAAGCATCATTCTAGCGGTGTCAAGGTTTCTGCTAGCAAGCTACGGGAGCATCTTGAGGGTTCCTACGGTGTTCAGTTTGAGGAGCTTGAGTTGAGGCAGTGGATGGATCGTGCGGCTGTAGCTGGCATGGATCCTCTCATCACAGCTTATATGGAGGGCATCCTTGAGAATGATGCCCCCATGGTATTTCCTTACATGGGCGAATTGGGCCAGTAAATATGGCGGTTTGAAGATGTCTTTTTTGGGCCTGTTTTTTCTTTGGAGTATATATGAACCTTTCCTTCTGGTACTATTTGATGTTCAATCGGCTTTTCTTTTAGTGGCGTATAAAGCTAGAACGCTGGGATTATTGCAGGATTCTGGAAATATCTTCCTCTTCTTTCCCTCTTTTGTATTTATTCTCTCCCAGATCAAATTTATGTCCTCATGTTATCTTTATATTGTGCTCCGTTCTCACTGTTGTCCCACGCTCATCTTCGATTTCTGCCCAGTGCCCGACACTAAATGCTGCATTGTAGAGACGGTACTCATCCAAAAGTAATGTTTTACATTTTTAAGATGATCATTTTGCGTAATTAGACACCCAAAAGTCTGACACGCCATAACACACACCCGTTTCGACGACAGGTGATCTCAGCTACAACATGCCACTATTTATTGGAAGCCTTGAATTCAAAATGGTACCAATATAACATCGTCATTCAATAACATCCACAGTCACACGGACATCCATTCTCAGCACTATATCTAAGCCAAACATTATCTCAGATCACTCTCAACCCGGAGCCTCTCTTCCCAGTATACCGCTCCACTACGTAACACTTATTCTGTCAGGCCAGAAAGCTTTGTCAAGTGTCTCAGATACCAGGCCTGATTCAGTATCAGCACATCGTCTCCTTGAAAATCTGAGAATTCAGGTACTCACATTGTCCATATGCACGTTCAAAGCTGTGACACCAACTTGTCTCATAGCCCACGGCGCCTCAACCTTGCGATGATGGAAAGTAGCACTTTTGTCATCAACTTCTCTGTTGAGAATTGTCGATCGGGCAAGATGCGGGTTGACAGCAGCTGGCCTGACAATACCAACAACGTCTGCGTCTCCAGACACTAAAGCATGTTCGACACTTGCTCTGTCGCGAAAGCCTCCTGTGACAATGATGGGCATATTTGAAAAGCGAGATTTAATTAGACGAGAGAATGGTTGGAAATATGGCTGCATCTTTCCCGACTTATCTTCGTTTTTGCCCAATTTTGAACTGAGGAACATCTAGAATCTGTTAGTAAATTGATACGTATGGCTCGAGTCCCGAACCTACTGCTGGTTTTTCAAATGTACCACCGCTGATGTGAAGATAATCAACACCGGCTTCCATAATAGCATCCAGCTGCCTCAGGCGGTCTTGAAGATCCTCGTCGTCCTTTTCTTCAACCACGCTAACCAAAACACCGATACAGGTCCCAACGGGTAAGACGTTGCGAACTGCAGCAATGACTTCGGTCAACAATCTCGCCCTACCAACTGCATCACCTCCATACCCATCCGTTCTCAAGTTCGTCTGTTTAGACAGAAACTGATCTAACAAATATCCATGAGAAGCATGAATCTCGACACCCGCAAAGCCACTCTTTGTAGCTAACCTAGCCGCCTGGGCAAATTTTGCGATGATCAGATTTATTTCCTGCGCATCCATCTCGCGCGGCACACCAAAGGCAATTTTCGAGATTGATTTAGCCAAGATACCTTCACCCATATTCAAACCTATTGCACTTGGGGCAAGATTCTTGGTCAAGAGGCTGTGTTTCCCAGCACCTATGGGACATTGACGGCCTGGGTGGTTGAGTTGCATGATCGCTGTTGTACCTTGACTTTTACATGCTTGAGCCCAAACAGACCATGATTTGGCGATGGCTTCATCGCTCAGAGATGAGTTGAGAGCTAGGTCTGTTGAAGTTCCCAGATATCGGTCATCGACTTGAACGTTGCCTTGTATACACCCGTAAGTAGAGCAAAATGAGATGGTCACTAGTATCTATAGAACATACCTGTAATTATCAAGCCCCATCCACCTCTGGCCCACTGTCGATATAAGTTATTGATCTTTTCATCGGGAAGTGACTGGGCAGATGAGATGTTCTCAGACATGGAAGCTTTCGCCAAGCGGTTTTGGAGTGTTAAGCCACATGGCAAAGTAATTGGCTTGCCACTTTCAAACTTGCTCATTATGTTGACCTTTCAAGACAAAAAAGAAAGATAGTCAAACTTCGAACAAAAGAGTTTCGTCTGAGCCTACAGACTTCACGTTGAGATGGGGACTTCGTGTACCATGTATGCCTGGCATAGGGCTTTCCATCCTGTCCAGTACGGGAACCTACAATCCGTCAGTGCATTTTCGACCTGTACAAAAAGCTTGGTTTTCTGTCTCAAATTACTTGTCATCTAATTCTCCGGGTGTTAGAAAATGAATTCCGAGGTTTGGTGGGGCCCTATCGCGAATTCTCCGTGGACTACACTATGCCAAGTCTACACTGGGTTCTGACGACAAAGACAACTGTGTCAGTATCAAATCAGACTGATTGTAGAAGGCCAAACATTTTCGTCTTGCGTGACTGAATGAACGTTCTTATGTTCAATTGCTAAAGGTTGGCGGACAAAATGATGGGGCGATGGCCCAAAGTAATGGATTAAGAGCACTAAATGAAAATAACCCAGACACACCTAGCTAGCAGCAGGAATCATGATTGAAATTTCGTAGAAACAACATTGTTGGTTTTCCAATCTTACTTGGTCTTAGAACCCTCGACCTTCCCACCGGGTTTCGTTGCAGTAATAGCAACAAACCTCCATCTATCCCTCCCCAAAAACGCACTTGCAGCACAAATCATATTAATGAACCACTTCTCAACCCCAAACGACCTAAGCAAATAATACGGAACCGCCACAAGTACGTAGAACAATCTGATGATGGGCATGATATTAGACTGCCAATCTCTCACCTCAATGTTCATATATCCCGCTTCTTCAAGAAGACCCTTGAAGTAGTCGAAGTGCGCTGCTTCATTGGTAGGCATGACAGTGTACTCGTTCACCATCTTCATAACCTGAGTCAACTGATCATTTGGATCATCGATAGTGTTGGGTGTTTTGCGTTCTACTTCGACCATGGCTATACGGCCTCCTGGACGGGTGACGCGGTAAAATTCTGCCATTGCGCTCTTGGGATCGTAGGCATGGCTAAGGGATTGCATTGTGCAGACGCCGTCTAGTGAGGAGTCTTGAATAGAACTCAGATCATGGTAGTCCATCTTCTCAATCCGCATCTGAGACTCGGAGAGTTTCGCATCTTGGACGACAGTGCGAGCATCATCTATCGCCCAGTCGATGATATCAATTCCGAGCATGCGCATACCATGCTGTGCAAAGTAGCGAGTGACATGGCCTACGCCGCATCCTGCATCGAGAATCTGAGAGCCTTGAGGGAGATTGATGATCTCAAGTAGTTTCTCTTCCATTCTGATCCCCATCACGGTTAGATTTGATATCAATTTCCATTGACTACTCACTTACCGTCGCAGTTGTGGTGTCAGTGGGAATGGCCAGTATGTGTCCTTGTCCCAATACCCAAAATGCTGAGTCCCTCCCATAATGACTTTGTACACAATGCGAGAGTCCCATGACTCATAGTAGTTACGCAGAGCGCTGTTGTTTGGGATGGATTGTTCATCCTTGGTTGTTGTGTTTGTTGAGGAAGCCATTTTCACTTTGCTGTGTCGTGGAAATAAAACATCAAGCTTGGAACTGATATCAGATCAATTCAACTTCAAGTCAAGACGCTTAGTAAGCTTAGAAGAACGATAAATCTAATTAGACGAATTCAAAGCAGAGGGGTTGTTCGGAAAATAACTACCATGCATGAAGGTCTCGGAGATTTCCTAGTGAGGAAGCCAATTCTCCGTATGCCGAACCTTTGGAGTCATATCTATGCAACGTAACTGTAAGACAGAACCAACGAAACTGTCTCCCGGGAAATCCTCCAATTGAACATGCAAATAATCCTTCCGATGATGACCATGCTATGTCATGCCATGCTAAACTCGAGATATGCTAAAATTGACAAAATGTCCCTCTTTAATCCGTACATCATATCCCCTCAATTCCCCAAGAAAGAAACATCATTCTCCAAACTTTGTCAACCATCACAATGATCACTCTCGACCATGCCCTCACGCTCGCAACAGAGCACAAAATCTCCATCGCAGCTCTAACAACCGTCATCCTCATAATCCTCATCAACCGCCTCTTCTCCACCACCGCTGATGCCTCCAAAAAGGGCGTTCCTACATCCCGCGTCTTCCAATGGGATCCCTTCTACGGTCTAGACATGGTCTACAGCCAAGTCCGAGCTCTCAAAAATGACTACTATCTTGATTGGCTGCGTCGTCTGCACCGCAACAGACCGAAGACGTTTTCCATCAATTTCTTCGGCATAAAACAGATCTGTACTATCGAGGGTGAGAACCTCAAGGCGATCCAGGCGACTAACTTCAAGGATTTTGGATTGGAGCCCATGAGACGTAGGACAAAGGGTGCTATGCCCTTTGCCGACAAGGGTATTAGTACCACCGATGGAAAGAACTGGGAGTTTGCAAGATATCTTGTCAAGCCCTTCTTTTACCGCGAGGTTTATGCCAGCATTGATCGTATCAGACCCTATGTTGATCAATTCATGACTCTGCTTCCTCAAGAGGATGGAGTTGAGTTTGATGCCCAGCCTCTTGTCCAACGATGGGTACGTTGCTCCTCCCTGATATATCTCCGTTCAAAACTGACATTCCAGTTCCTCGATTTGACTAGTGAATTCATCTTTGGCGAGTCAATGAAATCAATGGACTTTCCCGAACGCGCAGATATCACCTGGACAATGATGACCGTCCTCCGCGGCGGCCGTCTCCGTATCCAGTTCTACCGTTTCCTCTGGGCCTTCAACTGGAACTGGTGGCTCGAAGCCGTATACAAAGTGCATGACTTTGTCAATGTTCACATCCGCAGTACTTATGCTGAGATCGAAGAGCGCAAGAAACTCATCACCGAGGGTAAAGAAGTTGGACCTGAGAGGACTGACCTCTTGTGGTTCATGGCATCCAATGTCCCTGAAGAGGAGGAATTACGATCGCAGCTTTGTCTGGTCTTTGTGCCCAACAACGATACTACTTCTATCTTTATCAGTAATTGCCTGTGGCATCTATCTCGACACCCTGAGGCATGGAAGAAGCTGAGGGAGGAGGTTCTTGCTTGTGGTGATGAGCAACCTACTTTTGAATCTCTTCGTCATATGACGTGGCTGAACGGTATCATGAATGAGAGTGAGTCTCCCTTCTAATAACCTTTCATGTCAGGATATACTGACAAACATAGCCCACCGTCTTACACCCAACAATGTCGTCCAAGTCCGCGCAGCCCTCAATGACTCAATCCTTCCCCTCGGCGGCGGTCCAGATGGTAAACTACCCCTGCACGTCCGCAAAGGCAATCTTGTATCGGTCACAAAGACAGTCATGTACCGTGACCCAGATATCTGGGGCCCTGACGCCGAAGAGTTCAAGCCCGAGCGTCACGATGGTCTGAGAGGTACGTGGGATTTCTTACCTTTCGGTGGAGGTCCTCGTCGTTGCCCTGCGCAGATGATGGTCCAGACTGAGGCTGGATATATTCTTTACCGAATGGCGCAGAAGTTTACTCGTATTGAGTCACGGGATAACTCACCGTACACGCCTGTTATGCGTATTGGACCTTCTAACAAGAATGGTGTCAAGATCGCGCTTTACAAATAAGGGACAAAACGTTGCACCAATCTAGCTGGAATGGCTAATTTATAGTCGTTGAATTGATCATCATAGCTAAAATAATATTGTAGTTAATCAAAATGTTTGTGTTCTATAATTATCCTAAAAGTTTGAATGTCTATGTCTACGCTTCTTCTTCTTTCATCATCCATTAAACTCCATGATAGACCTTTGTAACAACTCCAAGCTCCATGTCATTCGTTGACTTGTCTCCTTCCAAGCTACTATGCGAAACAGCCTCTCTTAGAAAGTCCGGACGTCCAGGCGGTGAAGACGTCCTCTGATCGTCTTTAGGCTTGACCTCCTCAGTCGTGATGTTAACCGTAACCTCATTCTTCTGGTAAATCTTCAATGGAATATCCTTCGCATTGATCTCTTCTTGGCTGTCGTTCAAACTCATACCAGGTTCGACGTACGGGGGTCGCTTAGGTCTTCGGTCCATGCTGCTGAGATTTCCATACGTAGATCGGAAACGAGACGTGCCTCCTTCGCCAGTGCGCTGGTTGGATGATTTTCCGTAACCGTAGCGTGCGCTGAAGGAGCCGAGACGGAAGACACGTTGGAGGAGGGTCCAGGTGAGAGGGAGGTTGGCTGCGATGACGGCGGTCGAAACTTCGCGGATGTACCAGTATGACCAGTCTATACCATAGGGGTCGCCGAGACTGTAGATCTTGGACATGGTGGCTGCAAGGATCTGAGTTGTGTCAGTGAGTCTGTGCAAGCTCCGATAGATAGATAGACTTACAGTAAAGATACCCAATGCGAAAACACCGCAAAGAATGAGCTTTCGCTTGAGTGGCAGTTGGGATTGTAAAAAGACTGGCATAGGGAGGATGATAATCATGATATCGGAGGAAATGTTGATAACAGCGTTTGTAATCATATGATTTGTTTCAGCGGAGCAGTTCACTGGAATTCATTAGTCAAACTCTTTTAACATCCATCATGTCTTGGGGTTGTTACAGTCATCTGGAGGAACCTGCCAGTAATGGTTGAAAGGTCGACACCAAGCAGCGAACCACAAGATTTGCATCACCACAAATCCAACAATGACATAACCAGCCACGAGCTTAACTAAGAAATTTTGTTTTAAACTCAGCCTGATAACAGTTAGTCCTTGTTGTTTAGTAGCCTTGGAGGGGTAACGCACGTAAGGCGACTGTACATAGCCAGCAAACATCCTTTCACTCCCCAAAGGGTAATCATCTGCATGTGTTCGGTGACGAGAACCAATTTCGATCCGTATTCGCGTAGTTTAATGTCCTCGGGTGTGAGCTTTATGTTGAGAGCTGGGTCGATAAGATTGGTTGGTGTGTGGCCGAGGACGCTGACGACTGCCAGGAGGGCGGTATAGGTGATCTATACAATCAATATTTGTCTGCCTGTGAGAGAAGAAAAAGACTTACCATCGTCAGAGCCATGAGGTAGTCATCTGCCAACAACCCTTTGAATGACCCCAACAACATGCGACGCGAAGTCCTATGACGGATTAGTACCTAATCTTCCTCAAACTTATTTTGTACATACATTCTAAAGATGACCACGACGAGCGTCAGGGCATACCAAATCCACATCTCCGTATCAAGTGAACTCATATTTGCGACTGTTCAGTATACCAGTCTATCAAAAACAAAACGGGTCTTGGCCCAATCAAGCAAAAAACAAGCTCATTAACAGCAAGAACCAAGAAAAAGAAAAAAAGAGTGTGAAGAGATCTGCAGATCCAAGTCAGGGGTGGTGGGCAGAACACCTGCATTAAGTGTCCCTCAGTGATGCACACAAGCAGGGTCTACACGTGGGAAAACTGGGTATCTAAATCAGCCTCAGCCCGGTCAAATATCGGAACTGTTCTATATCTGTGATGTTTCGCGTACGTTACGATGCTGTAGAACATGGATTCTGCAGATATAGAGTTTGCTAGCGGCATGCCGAGTCAGACGCTAAGCAACGTGTCAAAGAGTGTGTCTGACCAAGTAGATTCGAAGACGGTTCGCTAGAAGCAGTAGCCGATGAGTCCGGTATCACTTGGCAAGCCACATTTACAAGGAGTCAGCGTTCGGTTCGTCTGGACTTGCGGACCAGATGCCTCTTTGAGAAATTCATGATAATAATGGGTATTCAGTCCGATACCAAAGCTTACATTCTACATGGTAGTTCACTCAGCTGATGTATAATTGTTGTGATAATTAGAGAACTAGACCGTGCTCATAAGGTGCCATACCTAGCTGAAGATCCAAAGACTCCATCAATTGCGAAGCCGGAACACATTTACCGGGGAACAACAACGATTGATCCACCATTACGTACCAGTGATACTAACAACAATAATAATAAAAACGTGAATTTATTGGTCAAGATAGATTCATCGGAACGATGGCAAGCAGACACTAGTTTTTTTTTTTAGTTTTTTTTTTGCGTTTCCTCTCACGGAAAAGGGGGTTGACTAACTACTACTGTGGCTTATCGGCGACCTACCTATTCGAGGCACATCAAACATTCGATGGCGTCTTCTAATGTTACAAGTTGACGTTAATGCACGATAGCGAATTGATACGTCGCTGAGAGGCACATGTGGTGTTGAACCCCTGATGTCCCGGTCATGTGGTTCGGATCTGGATCATTACCCGTACTGAACGCCCGCGAAGAAATCTAGAAGGGTCCGAATCGGTAGTCTGGTAATAGGAATCACTTCCGCTCTCCTCAATTCCACATGGTCTAGATGCAATCACTATGCCATCGAGATTGTTATCGTTATCGTGTATCAACTGGACCCCTTTTTGTCTTTAGCTCAGGGATGAAAAGGCAAAGCTTTTCCGGTTTGTATCCGCAAAATTGCAAATCTGAGCGGATTCAATTGTCTGGTTGTTAACCGATTGGTTGCAAGTTTATAGTGCGTCATTTTCAGGATGGCTGAAAAAAACTGTCAAATCTAAACAAGCGACATCGGACGAGAAGCTAATGCACATGAGAATAGTTACTACGATCCATGGCGTGATCCATCGCGTTCTATCGAGTCATGTTGATTTACGTCCAACATTATATCGACTCAGACAAAGAATATTTCTCCTGCATAAATGTATAGAATGAAACAGTTATCAAACAAACAATAAGCAGTGGTCTACACTGCATTGGTCAGTAAACAAGGATTCCGGGCTTATCGGAAATTGTGCTTCCCTCTGCACCTCGTGATACCGGATCATTTCCCATGCCGAGTCACAACAACCTTATCTTGCTTAAGCCTCTAGGGATATCACGCATAATACGCTGCAGCATGGAAAGAATATTCAAAATGAAACAGCGTCAAAGAACAAGTCGTTATGTTATTATATACAACTCTAATTAAAATCTCACATCTAAGCGATGATCTCAACCCGTCTCTTGTTCCACTGGTGAGTCAAAGCCTTGGCCTTGGGCTGTCTCTTGACCTCATCATACAACCTAGCAGTAAGGTACTTGTAGATCCATACCGAAGCACCATTGTACACAATACTATGATCACTATCCGTGAAAGCAAACATCTTCATCTTCTCAGGCGACACACCAGCGCCCACGAGAAGATCAATCATGGCAGCAGCGTGCTGGTAGTGCACGTTGTCGTCACCAGTGCCATGAAGAACACTGAATTGGCCGGCAATGTTCTTAAAACCTGACACGTCGTGCACAGCAGTCTCGAGGTATCCCTTTTCGTTCTCGTCGAGAGTCTTCATGTAGCGCTCAGTGTACATGGAGTCGTAAAAGCGCCAGTCAGACACAGGTGCGGTGATGAGACCGAAGCTGAAGACACCAGAGTCTGCTTCAATGGTCTTGGCCGTGAGATAACCGCCGTAAGACCATCCCCACATACCAATCTTGTCGGCGTTGATAAAATCAAACTTGGACGTAAGCTGCTCAGCGGCCCAGATCTGATCAAGAGGCTCGAGCTTGCCAAGCTGAGAAGTCACCATGGAGCGATACTTGCGGCCACGCATGGCAGTTCCACGGTTGTCCACAGTGTAGACAACGTACTGAAGCTCAGGGTCAGATGAGATATACTGCTTCCAGTTAAGAGCCTGGAAAGACTTGGCGACACGCTGCGAGTTGGGACCGCCGTAGGGTGTGAAAAGGACGGGGTACTTGGCGGATGAGTTGAAGTTGGGAGGCAGCTGCTGCATGACGTTCAGGGTGTAACCATCAGGGTGCTCAAGCTCAAAGTAGGTGATGTTGGGCAGGTTGTACAGGGTGAGGTTCTTGTAGAACTGCTCGTTATCGACAAGAGTGCGGACTGGCTTGCTGGTTGAGTTGGAAGTGTAAAGCTCTTGGTAGGGAACATCGGGACCCTGGTAGTGGAGGATGTAGTAGCCACCGCTGGAGGAGAAAGAAGCGCTCCAGTAACCGGGGACGGTCTCGTCAACAAGGGGAGTAAGCTTCTTAGTCTCCCATGACACCTTGTAAACATGTCGTTCAGTTGAGTGTCTCTTTGAGGCTTGGAAGTAGACAAGCTTCTTGGCAGTGTCAATGTGAAGAATGGTGGAGACCTCCCACTCGCCAGAAGTAAGTTGGATAGCCTCTCCGCCGTTGACAGGGTAGAGGTAAATGTGGTTCCAGCCGTCCTCGTCGTTCACGTCAACATAGTAAGTCTCATCTCCGGAAGAATCCAAAGGTCCAACGAAGGAGATGGAAAGAGTATGCTCTAGCCATCCGTCACTGCCGTCGCGCTCACGAACAGTACTGGACTCGAGAGTCTCGGGGTTGACAACAACATGAGCATCATGATCCTGAACACGGTTGAAAGCGCGGAAGATGAGAGCGCTATGGTCCTTAGTGACCCAAGCAACCTCGCCGACGATGAGCTCCTCAGGCTCAAAGGCCTCAACGGGAACGGGCTTGTACTCGCCCTCGGAAACATCAAGGATGTTGAGCTCAACGGTTGGGTTCTTGGATCCGACCTTGGGGTAGCGAAGGTCTAGCTCGCGAGGGTATGTGGGAGCGACCTTTTCGTTGTCCATGTAGTAAGGGATGGTGAATGTGCCAACACCAGTCTCATTGAAGCTGAGGAAAGCGATGAACTGTGAATCAGGTGACCACCACAAGGCAGAGCGACCACCGTAGATTTCTTCCTCGTAGACCCAGTCAGGAACACCGTTGAACATATCAGGACCACCGTCGGAGGTGATCTGATCAACCTTGCCATCACTTCGGCGGATGAAGAGGTCATTGTCGCGCACAAAAGCAACGGCATCTCCGTTGGGCGCAAACTGAGCATATTGAATATCACCAACTTGGTTCTCAACAAGAGGCTCACTCTCGCCAGACTCAACATCGAGAATAAAGTAGTCTGCAAAGTACGAGTAGCGGTACTGCTTGGTGTAGTTGGAAGCAACCAAGACCTTTTTCGCATCACCGCTAATCCAGTACTCGTGCAGATCCTTGGGAAGCTTGTCAGCCGTGACAAACTTGGTCGTCTTCTCAGAGAGAATATCCTCTAGAACGAGATCGCCGTCATCGCTGAGGACGATGTAGTTTCCGTCACCGCCAGCAGAAGACCAATCAACACTAATAGAGGATGGCCGGATTTTAGCGCTCGGACTCGTCTGGTTAAAGGTGAGAAGAAGATCTCCCTCGCCTGTAGGTTGATGAGGCTTGCGGGGAGGATCAACAGCAGCCAGACCCAGAGGGGCCAAGGCCAAAAGAGTGGCCAGAACGACTTTGGCAGCCATTTTTTTCAACGATTGACAGAAAAAGAAAGACTGTTGAGGTGAGAGAAAGAAAAGAAGACGGGAGGCGTGTCGAGTCTATATACTTAAATAAGATTTCTTGTCAAAAGGATAAACACAATCACCAACTTAAGCTTATACCAGGATCTTCGCGATCGACAAGGCCCTAGCTTGCTATCGCCTTCCCAGGACAGTTTAGATGTAAAAACAGAGCCAGGGTAAAAAAGTACAAGACCTGCCCGTTTCGGACCATTTGGAAAAAGTCCCCCGTGTTATGTTGCAACTGCCAAGAGAATATGTCTTGGGCGAGCGACAAAAGTTCGTGACGACATTTGACGCGACAAGATAAGAGAATCAATTGGCCAATAAACTCAACACCAAGATATTCATTATCGTCATAGACAGACTACCATCATAGTCTACTCTTCCATTCAGGTTTCCTTTTACTCAAAAATGCTTCAATTCCCTCCTTCGCATCCTCACTCTTTGCATGCAAAGCCATGACTCTCCCCGCCCATCGCGCCGCACTTTCATACCCATCACCACCATCCTCACTATCCGATCCAATACCAAGTTGCGTCCAATAAGCCCATTTACCCACAGCCTGCTGCTGAGGTGATTTCGCTACCAATTGTTCAATCACAGCCGCTACACGATTTTCAAAAGCATCTTCTGGCTTCGTCTCTTGTGACACCTTAACCACGTCAACAGCACCAGGATACTCTGAAGCCGTAATAGGTTCAGCAGTAACAAGTAACCTGTACGTCGCACCAGGTGGTAAACGTCGCGAAACAGCAGTCGAAGGACTCGTGCATGGTAATCCAATCTTGGCTCCGGGCAGAGAAAACTGTGTGTCAGGCAACGCGATGGGAAAATCCGTTGTCATGGCGAGTTGAAATCCCGCTGCCGTAGAAAGACCTTGTATGGGACAAACGACCGGTACAGGACTTCTCCGAATCATACTCATGACTTCTGCGCAAAGCTGAAACAGAAGTTTCACATCATCATGTTTAAGTTGAGAAAGTTCTTTCAAGTCATGCCCCGATGAAAATACAGGTCCTTCGCTGCGAAGCACGAGAACATCGGGCAAGCCATCGCGTTCTTTCTTCCACTCGGCTGCGTTGACTAGCCAGCTGTATTTATTCCAGGCGTCTGGGACAGGGCCATTTTTGCGGGCTGCGTCTTCGAGATCGGAAAGAATGTGCTCCTTGAAAGGCGGGAGAAGACGAAGTTGACCTGATGTACGGGATGTGAGTGCCGTGGTGAGTTGGGCTTTGAGATCTCGTAGAATGGGAAGACTCAGGGCATTGCGTTTCGCAGGGTTGGACAGACGAATATATGCGGCGCCCGGCGGAAGTTTAGGAAGATGCATTGTCTTTTTAACTTATTGTTGTGTCTAATGACTGTGCAAAAGACAAATTGATACCGCGAAGCTATCACGCAATACCCCGCACTTTCGGCTCATGACCAAACCTCGGCCAACTTGAAGCCGATGCAGCGATGTATTTGATCAACAAACCTAATTCCAATTGCAATTTAAAGATACTGGAAATTGCATCATGTGGAAATGGAGATTGTCAAATGTATTAATGATATTTGTTATATAATCATTCCTCATACCATAAGTCTACTATATATCATATCGGTCTGAATCGTCATGAGCAGGTCGATAAACAAAATAATCAAACTTGGCCTCCAGCGCAAGTCCATTGACATCCGAAGCAGCCATTCCCACAAAAGCACCAGTGAAACTTCCATCATTGGGATGTCCACCACACTCATCCGACAAAAGCGAAGCATCATACACAGGTCCAATCTTGGCTAGCTCCTGTCCTTCAAGGGCATAGTAGAACTGCAATTTGCTTCCCCGAATCGTCAAAGCGAGCTTCACCTTACCCTCGTTGGGAATCTTGACAGGCTCCGTAAAAGGCTTGTTGAGACGACCTAGAGGGAAGGTCTCTTCAGAGCGGAGGATGAGAAGCTCGCGTTGACCATCAGAGTGAGCTGTCACTGTGAGATAGAAAAAGTTGAAACGGCAGTAGTACGCTGTAAGACCCGCAAATTGGCGCTCGTCTTCGGGAGAGAAATCAATGACGGTTTCGGCGTCGTATGAAAAATGCGTTTGACGACGAGCAACGAGAGCTTGCTCGAACCAGGATCCGATAGACTCCCGACCAGTCAACACGAGCTGATTATCTTTGATGTTGAAAATGCGTTCGGGCTCGGGTGTTCGGAGCCATTGGAAGTCGCTGTGCAGAGTATCCTTGAAAGTGTATTTCTTCTCTTCCCAGTAAACTGTGTCATCGCGCGCGGCGGGAAGATCGACATATAAGCTTGGGACGGGACCATTCTTGATGTACAGCCAGTCATCGTCACCCCAGTAAGCTTCCTGGATAGCAGTCTCTCGACCCAACACTGAGCGTCGTTTTTGTGTAGTGGGACGGCCTGTCAGGTGCACAACATAGGTCTTTCCATCTGGCGTCTCGACAATCTGACCATGACCGGCTCTTTGGAGCGCAGCGTGGGGCATATCCTTCGAGGTGAGGATATGCTTTTGTGGGTGTACCTCGTAAGGGCCCCAGACGTTGCGAGATCGAGCGAGGGTTATGGCATGGCTATATCCCGTACCTCCCTCTGCAGTCGAAAGATAATACCATCCGTTGCGCTTGTAAATGTGAGATCCCTCAACAAAAGCCAAGTCCGTTCCCTCAAAAATGTTCTTCCTGGGGCCGACGAGTTTGTTTCCCTTGGGATCAAATTCCTGGAGGAAAATGCCCGAAAACGTCTTTGGGCGAGAGCGGTGATCCCAGGTCATATTGTTAAACCACTTCTTTCCGTCATCATCATGGAACAGCGATGGGTCGAAGCCAGACGAATTAGCATAAACGGGATCCGACCATGGCCCTTCGATAGATGTAGCAGTGACGATATAATTATGCGCATCTTTGAAAGAACCATCCTTGCGCTTGACATCAGTGTAAACTAGCCAAAACTTCTCGCCGTCGTGGCTCAAACAAGGTGCCCAGACACCACAGCTGTCAGGCTCTCCACGCATGTCAAGTTGGCTCTTGCGAGTTAGTGGGCGCACGACCAGTTTCCAGTTGGCAAGATCTCTAGAGTGGTGGATCTGAACACCAGGAAACCACTCAAAAGTGGACGTGGCGATGTAGTAGTCATCCCCAACCCGGACGATAGAAGGGTCCGGGTTGAAGCCTGGAAGAATTGGGTTCCTGACTTGAGGCATCTCGATTAAAAATGTTGAAGTGAGTTGAGTTGAGTCTGAATAAGATACAAGGAGTGACAATCATGCGCGGTTTGCATGTTCTTATATCTCTTGTCATGAACGTCGTGGCATTTAGGCTAAATGCATTCCGTGGAGAAGCGCGGGGGTTCGATCGTACATTCCACCTGTCATGTCACATCATGGAGGATGACAATTTCCGGCTTGGCGGGGAAGAATGACGCTAGAGAACGAAATATAAAGAATAAAGAAATAGGATCTGATCTAATGATCCAGATTCATATTCATATCGCCTTGGATATCCATGCTTCCCGGGAAACTCTCCCAGAAACCCTGTGTAGCATCGGCAAACGTGGCATACATATTACTGCCGAATGCAAAATCCGTGTCAAACAAGTCAATATCAGCCGGTGCAATGAAATTCATAGGGTCGTTGATGAACTCTACGCTTGTGTTAGTTGTGGCTTGGTCGTTTTCACCGTCTGTTGCGCTCTAGATAGATTGTCAGTCTGGATCCTTGATATCCATCCATGTCTACTTACTTGTTCGTCGGTGCTCTCGATGTCAGGCTGCCGTACGGGATCAGGCTGGAGAGCGCCATAATCGATAATGGCATTGCGCATTTCTCTTCTCTCACTCGGCGTCACTGCCAAGTCGCCTTCGGCCTTGATATTGCTGTAAAATATTTGCATCGCCTTGATTTTCTCACGCTGCTTCCAGTCAGCATTCATCCCATAAGTTGAAACCATAAAGCTTACCCAGGTATCAGCCATTGGCCACGCTTGTCGCATATCCTTGAGAAACAGCAGACCATCCACAATATGTTCCCGTCGCTTGTCGATGTCAATAGCGGTATCTCCGGGATTAGGAAAGTGGTAAAAGTAGAGCATCGTTCCAACAGCTGTGTAGATAGTGAAGCCGATCCATGGAACAAGCCCGCGAAGGAAATACAAACCAAAAGCACGTATTTCTTGCAGCATGTCGCACACTTGCTTGGCAACTTGGACAAGCTCTTTGCTAGACCATGTTGACCATTGATCCCAGTCCTTATCACCTATCCTGGCTTTTTGCATCTCGACCTCTGGCAGATAAGATCGATAGAGGAAGATCACGCTCATAAAGTAGATGCAGTGCATGTAGCAGTAGGCTTGGCCCTGGTTGGAGACGCTGTGTGCTCTCAGGAGAAAAAGCTCGTAACGGAGACGATCTGGTAATGAGCTTTTCCATATTTCAAGACGGCCGAGAAGCATCTGAAAATCAGACTGAGGTTGCCATGGAGGAACGTTGTTGTCGTGCCGTGTACAAGCCCATTTGGCCACAGCTCCCCAGACATCGGCCACGCGCATGCTGTAAGCCACGATGCCCAGGTTGCCTTGAGCACGGATACCAATTGCTGTTCCTACTCCATCCGCTATCGATCCATCTAGCCTCTCACAGACGACTACTGAGCCGAAGTTGAAACTCTCAGAGTCGCAAGGAAGCTGTATACGCATGTTGTCAGCTGAGAGCATCCTGTCGCGTCCTTTGCCTCCACTTAGGAGGCTGTCCATGAGAAAACATGTCCAAGCTGTGCGCCGTCTCTCTTCAGCTTCAATGAACTCGTCGCGAGTTGTCGAGGGAGGTAGTTCTTCGAAAAGGCCAAGGACTTGAGCCATACGGACGGCCATTCCGAGATAAACCCAAGCGCGTCTACCTTCGCCAGCACCCCAGGAATGGCCTGTCAACATGAGCAGAACCTGGGCGCGATGGACTGTGGGTTGGTCAACTAGAGATAGTACCTGGGTTCTGGCATGTGCAGCAAACGTATTGCTTGCCTCGACCTGGGTTGCGTATCCTGATGGTGCTGCTTGCGAGAATCTACAGAACCGTGAGCATGACGAGTGAACAGAGTCTTAGTGCGCTTTACCTGACTGTAATCGCCAGCATAGCCCAGATAAGTAATGGGTCTAGCCTCCTTTCCCTAATGGCAATAAGAAGATTAGGAATGTGATGAAACGACCACTTATATGAGCATCTCAGATAGCTATTTTTCACCTCATCGGTCAAGAACCCAAACGGATCAGTCGTGGCCAGGTTCGCGGCTGCCGTAGCCGTTGGGTCCGCACGGAGGCCGTCATTTTCTCTACAATCAGCTGAGATACGCTCTAAGCGACTGCGCCTGAAGATGAAGGATGTACCCTTGGGAGGAAAGATACACTCATCACCTCGGTCGCGACAACGCGTGCAGGGCGGGCCGCCTGAGTGGATACACTATGGGACTGATCAGCAAAGATGACAGAGTCGAAGTTGGTATGTTTTTTACTTTGCGCTTGGATGAGCGACATGCACCGCATGCTATTGACTTCTTCATGACTGGTATGAGTAACGGTAAGTGGTTTTCTGTTCCTGAGGTTCGGTATCTAGGCTACGATAAGATAGTGAAGATAAGATAAGAACGGTACTCGTTAATTGAATGGAGACATCAATAGCCAACCAGGAAGACTTCTATCGCGACTCAAAGACAAGAAAAGGAACAATTCTTTTATTCCCAAAAGTTTTAAGAATCTGGATTTATACTTGTCTATATGCTGAAACTTCTATAGGGTAATTAAGTGAGTTAATTTTATCATACTATTGTAGCACTTGCACATATGCACTAAAGATAAGAAGGACTGGGCTTTACTTGAAAGCCATGACAAAAGAAGTTAAGTGAGGGAGTAAGTACAGTTGATAAAATTCTGATTCTATAGAGGTGTATTTGTTAAACTCTTTACGGTTTCCTAAGTCATTCTGATAGTCATAGAAAAAGACTCTATATGAGGGGTATACTAATAACAAATGGAAAAAATTTGATAACTAAAACTTGTCCGAAACCAAAACTCCTCTATACATCTATTTATCTATAGTCCCAAAAGCAATTCTATCATTCTTTCAAACATGAACTTTTTCTCAAGCCGCCTGTGCCATTGTAAGTCCCACAGCCTTGACGTCCTCCGTCTTTCCTTCATGCCTCAACTTCTCCTTCATCTCAGCCTGCCTATTCAAGAAGCTCAGATACGTCTGCCATCCAACCGCCACAACACCATGGAACAAAGGCCGCCAATCGATACTCAAGAAAGTAAAGCTGAATGCTGTAACCATGGGCCACAACTTGCACGAGTTAACGATACTTGTTGGTACAGTATCTTTGACACGCTCGATAGTGCCCCAGATGTTTTCGCCAGACAATAAAGCCTGCGCGCCGAAGAAATATGTGTTGAAGATTGGTGTAAAAGCGATCTGACCAACGGCAACTTTCGTAGCGATGGAAAGAAGACGGGAAGAGTAATTAAAGTTATGAGAAAGGAAAATAAACCTATAAAGTTAGTCTTTCGATTCAACTGTTGCACTATTTCAACTTACCATTTAAAGTTGGGTATCGCAGCAACGCCTCCAATAACAGCATTCCTCCCTGTTCTCTTAGGATCATATTCATTGTCACTAACATACTGCGCGCTTAAATCCGCAGCGATATAAATAACAACCGCAGTAGCAACTTGTGTCCGTAAAGGATTCTTGGACTGAGCTCGCGCATAAGCTTGCGCAGCGGTGGTGAGCGGTCCTAAACGTTGCCACAGTGGTAACGGCGCAACGGTGCTAGGAACAGGGATCGCCTCTTCAACTTTTTTAGAGGATTGGAATCGTCGTTGTAAGTGAGAGAAATTAATATTGATTGGCCTTTTGAAGGCGTTTCGTAGGATATGTATCGTCATTGTAAGTGTATAATATGTTGATAATAAAAAGGGGATGGAATTGTGAAACTGCGAAATTAAAGATGAGATGCGAATCTAGAAAACGGGTTTTAGCGGCGGCCGAACTCGGACGGCGAGGCCGAGGCAGAGATCTACGCCCTTTCGGGTAACGAGATGGATAAGATAGGGAACAAAGATCGGCATCTGTCGGCTATCAAAATCGGGACCTGGGGAAAAGGGCAAGTTTCCACGATCTATTCAAGATAAAGAATATTTGAACAAGAATTAAATTATTCAAGACAAAGAAAATATTGTAAAGAATGTTGACTAACGCCGATCCATGCATTTTTGCTTCACAACTCAGAAGCACTCCTCCTCATCTTCATCCAACAAGCCCATACCGCTATCACGTCCTCTACACAGTCTCTTTCTACTCAACCTTCTTGCACCGCCATCTACAGAGACAAAGGCTGGTCTCTTTGCACTCACTGTCGAAGACGATGACGATGACCCAGACCCTGGTTCTGACTCAGAGTCGATGCCCTTCAACGCTTTGCTTTTCGGCGTCAAAAACTCTTGACTCATCTGCACGACCCGCTGAAGCTCCTCCTTCATTGAGTCAATCACCGCCTTGGCCTTCGTCCTCTCCTCCTCCACCTGACTCTTCAACCCGCCATTCTCAACTCGTAGATTGCATATCGTCGCGTGCGCCGCGCGGAGAGAAGCATTCACTCTGTCAATCTCCCCACGGTACTTGACTACGCTCGCGTCACCCGCTGCAAGAGCAGCGCCATGTCGCTTGTTCAGCGCTGCGACATCGCGCATCTTGGCTTCTTGTACTTCCTTCACCTCGCGTTGAAGATCTGCTGACCGCTGGAGCGCTTCAGACAATCTCGTCTCCAACTCCGCGATACTGTCTTCCTTGCGACTAAGTACCTTGCGCTTGACCTCCAACTGCACGTTGTACTCATCCTCAGCATCGTGTGCATCGCGCTCCATTCTCTCAACAAGATCCTCAAGCTCCGAGATGTCACGCACGTAACCGTCTACCGCACCTTTGAGTCTGGTGTTGGCCACTTCAAGCTCACGAATGCGCGCAATCTTATCGCTCATGAGTTTCTCGGCCTTGGACATCTCTGCCTTGAGACCATCCATGACAGTGACGCGCGCGTCGAGCTGCTTTCGTAGCGACTGTTCAATCTCGTGATACTCATCAATAGCATCCTCGTCTTCTTTGGCGCGCTTAGCCATGTCGCGCAGACGCGTGAGCATGAGATCCAGCACTTCAGCACCATGTGATGACAGCGGGAGGGTGATTTCGCCGGGTGTAAGGTACTCCAGCTCCAAACGAGCAGCGCGGAAGCCAGAGGCGAGGGATGTAATCATGTCGCTTGCGTCAGAACCATGGAAACCGAGTTTGGTGATATTCGTGGTGAGTTGTTGAAGTGCGCATGCTCTGTCAGACATTGTTCGTAGCATAGCGTCAATCTGGGCCTCCAATTGATGATGTGATGTTGAGTCCGACTCGGTAGCTGGCGTAAACTCGGACAGCTTGTCGGACAAGCGACCACTAAGAGACTTGTATGATTCGAGTGTGTCGGTAAGCTTTGTGACCTCGAGCTGCAGCGATGAGACCTCTTCTTCCAATTGCTGTCGTTGAGGATCCGGGAAACAAGCCTGGACACCAGCACTCAATGTTGACGGAATGGGATTCCAAGACATCGGCGTTCCAGGAATCGTTGGGCTTGTAGCAGGAGGCGTCATGTCCATGAATGAAGTGCTCGCGTCGTGTCTCGCTCTGGCCCTTGAAGGTGTACTGCAGACCAACTGCGCCATAGTCTCCTCGCCAAACTCGGTGTCATCCATATCCATATACTCTGGTGAAAACTTCTCCCTCGCTGATAATGTCCAATTGTACCCTCTCTTCTCACTGAGAGAGCGCCCAGATCTCTTTGACAGCTCATCCTGCAGGTCCTCAATCTGCTTCTCGAGATCCCAAATGCGACCCGTGTCAATGACAATGGTCGCATTCTGCAACTCATAAATCTCGCGATCACGCGCCTTGAGTTGATCTCTTAGTTTCTCGATTTCCTCCTTGGTCTCAATTGAGCGCCGTCTCTTTTCCTGCTGAATGACGTTCATCTCTTCACTCAGTCCATTGCGACGAATGCGCCTTTGGACGCGACCATCCAGAACTTGTCGCAAGGGAAGAAACGTGACATCGCCACTCTCCGGCAACGCGGAAGTCGAGCGACTGGTGCTTGGTGTAGTTGTTACTGGTGCAGAAGAATGGCGACGTCGTTTGGGTGTTGCGACAGAGAAGCGACCGACCATTGGGGTCAAACCACTGGAGAGACCTGGCTCTGAGAAACGGACTTTTCTCCTAGAGACTGTTCTGGGTGTTTTGGCAGGCATTGGGGAGGAGGGAATGTCTGATGGTTCTGGTTTGATGCTGCTGCGACGCGAACGTCTTACAGCAATTGGTAGGCTGAGGTCTTGCATGGTGGGCAAAGGGAATCACCAGGTTCAATCACGATAATGAACAAGTTAGTAGTAAGTTACAAGAATAAAGATATCGAAAATACAGGGAGATAATGTATTATAAAAACAACATCGTCAATAACAACATCCACCTGAACCAAATAAACACAATCAATCCCTTGTCTCATGCCAGGCATAATGTTTACCTATTCCCCGATTCAAACTAGCGTGTATTGTTGGAGAAAACAAGAGCCAACCAATTCTTCAACATGCAGGGTCTCGCAAAACGAGCCGGCGATGGACAGTGGAGTAGCTTGCTTTTGGTGAGACCGTGAATTTGAGGAGTTGTTTTGGTGTCAAAGGTCGCATAAATGGTCTGGAGAATTCACGGTAGTTACCCTGTGGTTTGTTTGGATCCACTGAAGGCTTGGGGATTAGCGATATTGAAGGGGCAACGGTAGGGAGGTCACAATAGTATGTTGATGTTTTGTTGTTATGATATTATGATATTATGATATTGAATAGGAAAACATCAATCTGTCTATTGTGACTATTGCATTCGTCTTGACTTGGATGGAATTGACTGAACACGCCAAGTATTACTGGCTTTTCCTCAGTGGGTTGGTTGTCCATGCACACCCAACACGATGGATCATTGTCAGCTGCACCCCAGTTATTTAATAGCCGAATGATATACATAATTGACAGGGGAATTGAAGCTATAACCACCATTAATTCCAGCCCAACACCTGTCCTTGTCTCCCGCTGCACAGTAGAGGTCCATCACAGCACCTAACCTATGACGCACGGCACAGCTGTGGCCTATTACAATGTCACACAGTAATATTTGCACATATAGATGACTTTCAGATTACACTACGTCTGAACAAACTTGTCTTAATTATTGTGACGGAATTACCATGGTGTTGAACTACCGAGCCAGATCAAATCTCAAATGGTGGCTGACTAATGCCACTCCATTCTTCACCGAGACGCGTCTTCTCTTCACCTTGAAATTCTATCCAATGACTCTCTGCTGTCTAATCCCATCTCCACCCGCCTCACTCTCATTGACTCACTTATTATTCACATACTCACTCATGGCATGAACAAACTAAATACATTTCATCATATTCCCTCTGCTTGACATTGCAGAAATGCCCACGCCCTCCACCTCTTCAAAGCACGTCAAATTCGTGGCATCTGATCCTTCTCGCGGGGGTCTCCCAGTGAAGCGTAAGCAAGTCCAGCACGCATGCGCTTCATGCCGCAAGAAAAAAGTCTGTCGCTTCCCATCATGACACCAGATTCTGAACTGACAGAACGGTAGAGACGGTGCGTTCACGCCGAAAATGCTGTTGAAGAAACAACCGTCTCGCCGCCAGAGGTTCAAGTTCAAGTTCAGAATGAGACACACCAACAATCCCGGTCTGCGTAAGTGGAACCTTGGTCGATCTGAGTTGACTTCGGATTAACAGTACAATTCAGATCTCTTCCGTTGAACGTACCTCTTTCAACACGCACAGCACTACCGGATCATAACCATGCATCTCCATCAGCGCGCCAGCCATCTCTTCACCTTCAATATGGCACTGTCCCAACGCCTCCAAGACGTGAATCAGCAGGCACACCTAAAACACAATCATCATCCCGCTTCGTAGGAGATCTCAACCCAGAGGGCATGTTCATGGAAGCAACTGGTTCAGCATCCGTCAGAGAAACTTCACAAAAAGGCGACGTGGGCATATGGCTCTCTTCAACCACCACTACCAACAGCGGCTCGCAAGGTCAAGCCGGCTCATCATCACAGTTCATCACGTCGAGACCACCGCCGATAATGGACCAGTTTCTACTCCCGTTCGTTAAAGAGCATTGTCTGCCATGTCTACCACCCGAGCACAACTTCCGCAAGTTGAGACGCTTGTATCTGGACAGGATTCATCCTATCCTACCCATCATTCCCGAATCAAGCTTGGACGTTGTCGCACCATTAGATGATGATCCTGCCACGATTGTTCTTCGCCAACTGGTCTGTCTGGCCGCTGCCACCGACCCATCCATGTCCTCACATCTTCACCTACAAAACCGCGGCGAAGAACTCTTGACGTGTCAGGATTTCATTCAATCCCTCTCTTCCGCTGTGCGTGCCATTCTAGAAACGAGCATCATCACCGATAGGGTCCTTCACATCAGGGCTCTCGTCATGCTCTCGCTGTACACCCAGCCCAGCAGTTCCGAAGAAGCCGATCTCCCAGCCCAATTGGGCGGCCGCGCCATTCACCACATCCAGACTCTGGGCCTTCATCTTCTCAGGTATGATGCACCCAACTGTGAAGAGCTTGAGACTTTGTTCTGTGCGGTTTGGGCAGTTGATCGAATTAATGCTGCTGCTTATGGGCGACCTTGCTTAATGCACGAGAGAGATATTGGTGCCAATCTTGACGGATGTATCAAGAAAAGACCACCCTGTTTCCGACTCTTCCTCTCTGTGATACAATGGCTTGATCAAGTGATTGAGTTATATCGCCCTGGACCAAGTGCTGAGGCTTCGGGCCTTGATAAGATTGCGTACATCGACCTCCCCGTCCTAGAAGCCATGATCGTCAACGCCGACGCCCTTAAAGTCCCAAGCCCACTCATTGGTTCGTGCTAAACCCCTCCACTCTGGACTCATTCTAACAGGAGCAGCAACAATTGAAACCTTCTACCACGCCGTCATTATCCTATCATGCCGTCTCCCTCGCCCGGGCACACTAACAGCAGCATCAACACTCCCACCCCCTTCTGCCAACGCCCGTCGCTCTCTCGCAGCTGAGCGAATCGCCTGCGCAGTCCTCCGCGACCACCTAAGTCCCATGCCCATCGTTCCCTACGCAGTATGTCTCGCGCTAAGTGTAGAATACCGTAAGATGCGTCACAGTCGCCTGCCCATGTTTCGCGCTCGCGCCATGCACGCTTTCCGTCGCAATTGCGAAATGCTCCGCAAATTTGGCGACTATTTCTGGAGCGCCAATGTGGTAGCTGGCCTGGGTGAACGGGTATTGAAGGAGATGGAACGCGCTGCCAATACTCTGACCCGTGAATCAACACCACCAACTCACGAAGGAACGCCCAACTCTGTACCCTCGTCTTTCTCACAGCCTGTGCCTCGACCACCCGAGTTTCCCGTGTCTGTCCCAGTCGCCAATCCCACCATGGTCAACTCGGTCCCTAGCGTGGAACAACCTGTCGACTTTTCGCTCATCGATGCTATCTCAGGTGCTGATGTCTTTGGGGCTATAGACCCTAGCTTCAACCTGAACGCTGTGGAGGATGCGCTCGAGGCCAATCTGGACATAGGTCTTCCGATGAACTGGGTAGACTGGGGCCAATATGCGACACTGCCATAAGCCAGTCATTTACGATGAGCTACTTTAGCAGTATCTCGTCAGCCGCCGATCTGTGATGATAGGTCACTGTGTCGCGTATGATCTTGTTCGAGACTTGCTGTGTACCAGTCATTTACTAAGGTGGATGGTAGAGCGATCTTCTATCCAACAAAATGGTAATTCATCGCGGCTATATTAAGTTTTCTGACCACCCCAAATGTCATTGAGTAAGATGCCAGCAAAGCTTACTGCTGGTAAGCATGATATCACCAAAGACTCAACTACAAAACAGCCGCGATCTCTGCATAAGGACTGTATATCTTTGTTATCATTTACAACGCGATGTGGAGACACTCCTCTTCCAAATCCACTGACAGCCACACCGTCGCCCTTCCTGGCGATGAGCTAGGCGCGACGACCAACATACACGCTGAGCACCCCACAACGCGTCTTCGCCGATTGAGACTTAATAGAGTGAATTGGGAAAGCCTAGGGCAGCTATGTGGTCTAGTCAGTCGGGACATGAGGCTAGCGGGTTGTTGTGCACCATGCAGTCTATAGCGGAAGATAAGATCGGGTACACGATCCGACTAAAATGCGATGGCAAATGTTGGAAGTGTTGTTGCCCAAATGGAATGGGACAGAAAAGCAGTCGATGGGAAGGATCTGGTCACGGGGAAAGGAAAAGGCATCATGCAGGAATACATTTAATGTAATGTGTAATTCAGGGTCAGCTCAAGCTCTCGACGACAATAGTTGCCGGCGCAGCGGTTGAGACGAGCAACAGAATTTTGGTGCCCCTTTTCGCGACATCTAGTCTCGTCATGGCATCTAATCGACTGAGACTATTCTAAATGTCATATTTCGTGGTTCTCTTTGGCTGACATACCAAGCTTCCAAACGAGTCGACCTGCCCAGCTTCCATACGCTATGATCCCTTTCAGTGACATCAATTACAGCACACTATTGCGTACAATAGGCATCGCAACGGTGTAGTTATAATTAATATCAGCAATAGAGATCGGAGTGTATGGAAGCTGGGTAGGCCGACTCAAGATGCCATATGGAATACTGAGCTTGTTGTGCGGCACGTTCGCCAAATAGATCATGTCCACCTTATCTCCGTCGACTTGAATCAAGAAACCGGCGAATGGTAAGTCGCCAACACGACCAAGCATGCCGTTTTCCTGCATTCAAGCTGTTGTATTCAAGTTTCCTTGGTCCCAAAACAATTGGCCATGTCGTTTGATGCTATTAATCCCTGCCCCATCTCTTCCAGCGCCGTAAAAAGGCCGTGCTCAATCTTCCCACTGTATTCTGTTTCGTATTTTATAATCGAGAGCGGAGTATTCGTTCGGTAATCGAGGGGGTATCATAACATCGTAATCCATTCAATCCATCTTCGTCGTGTCGCATCATTTTACTTTCTAGTCTTGTCGCCCGGAAAGTCGGTCGGCTTTCCTCTAAATTGATTCTTTATTTCGTCTAGAAAGTGCTTCGCGAAGCGTTCATTCCTGTTGGCAGAGTTTGGATCCGCTGTTGTCGGTCCTATCAGCCTATTTCCGCATGCATCAATATTGGAGTAACCAACGTACCAGTCGCTTCGCCAGGGGCCAACGGTTCGTTGGGATTTCGCCCGTGTTGCTTCTCGTGTATCGTCTTGTGTATGCGGCCAACCGCGCGGTGGAAGCCAGGTTGACGGAGGATCTAGACGGGTGTCAGCGATCGTGATTCAACGCGAAAGAAGGGCTGTTTGCATACGGATGCGACAATGTGGTCCTGTAACGGCGGATGTTAGTGTTTGCGACAGAGAGAAAAGGCGAGAAAGGGTGCGTACCTCGAGGGACTGGACTGCGCGTAGAAGCCACCAGTGCACGGCCATTTTTGGTGGCGATAGAAGATGCTGATGGAGAGTTTAGGTGGTGGAATTCAAGGTAAGATGCAACTGTAATTGATGGAGATGGAGGGGTCGTGGCGAAGATTATTACAAAGACCCTTTGATTGGCGGTTACCCTAGATCAAGGGACAAAGTGTCATGACTACAACATCATTCAATTATTCACAGAACATGATGAACTAATATTTCATTCAAACGTAAATCATTCCTTTTTATTTATCCCAATTTCGCTAAATTACTGGAGGTACTGGCCCATGAAAGGAGTAATGTAGTCCTGCTTGCCAATCTCAACACCCTCCTTTCTCAAGATAGCGTAGGCAGTGGTGAGGTGGAAGAAGATGTTGGGAATGCCGTAACCCTGAACGTAGTCGCGGCACTTCATATCAGCGCTCTTTCCAGGGCCGAGACCAATGGTGACAACCTCAGCGGCGCGCTTCTCAACGGTGGCCTTGTCGGCCTTCTCGACAACCTCAAGGACCTTGGCGATGCGAGCCTGGTACTGCTCAAAGTTGGTGCAGTCGTCGCGGGAGAGGGTGAGGGGCTCAACGCCAGTGGTGCGGGCGACAATCTTCTGGGCGGTGTCGGTAAGGAAGAAGACCTGGAAGTTCAGGTCGAGCATGTCGGGGGCCAGCTTGGCCTCGGGGAAAGAAGAGGCATTGGGGTGAGACTCGGCCTTCTTGAGGATGGCAGAGAGGGACTGGAGAGCCTCCTTGGTGTGGAGGATGGCAGCGTCGTAGAGAGTGTAGCTCATGATGGGCGATTATTGATGGAGGTGTGGTATGAATTGGGTATGGTAGAGAATTGCGTGCTTGAGTTGAACTATCACACTATCTCCTAGTGGTTTATATACATATATATAGGTAGACACAGACATACAAGACCCTCTTCTCCTTCTTCCTCATTCTTCTGCATCCAACATGCCCCTCCGCTTTTGCCACGTTCAATTCACTCCACTATTACTTCACCGCTCACTCTTTCTAGTAAAACGAACTTGCTAGATGCTTCGTTACATGCTACATTAGATTAGTAATGTATTATCCGACCGTGGAGACGCTGAATCGAAACTACAACGCTACGTGATGCGTGTCAATTGAGTGGATTCCGGGCCGTCGGTAACCGACATCCGGTCCGAAGCGAGTGGGATACTATCGGACAAGAATTGTATTAATGAGTTGAAGACACAAGAATCTATCAACCTGTGTGATGTGATAGGACGAATATGTTCAACTGCCGACATGGTACATACAGTTTTACTACTGGTGAAACACCAACCATTCATTCTCTCAAGTAAAAGTCTGACATGTCAAAAAATAGCTTACAAACCAGCTTGTCAAAGTCAGCCGTCCGCAGTCCGAGTCATGAAACACCACTTTGCTTACAAACCTCTTCAGACCACGTTGACTTTCTCCACCGCTTCGTTACTCCTCGTTACTCCTCAATGTTGATCATGTTGAGTTATGCATAATATGGCCTTATGTTCTTCAGCCTAAAATTAACTCGGCTGCCATGCATCAGGGTACCAGAATAGTTGGCCGCCAGGAGCATAAGAGACTAAATTGCTAGGCCACTTAATACTACTTAGACTATACTTCTTAGGCTATTTATTTTTGTTATCTAAAGCACAATCGTCAATTCTTCTGCTACCTACCGGCCATGTCAGAAGAGGGGAATTCATCACCGAGAATTAATACAGTGTAATCCCTCACCAAGAGGCAATTTACAACTCTTTCTATATCGAAACTGCTATAGTTCCCCAAGTTCAAGTTCCTGCTCACGACATCCTCTTTTAAACCGACCCCATCTCCTCCTGATACCATTCCTCCACTCTGGCTTCTGAGCCTCAGCCTTTTTCTGGCCACACTTCCGTAGGACAGGAGACAGCGTTCGTTCGAAGAAGTCAATGCTGTCCTTATCTTTGGACAAGACCCAAGTTAGTAGGACCAACGTGATAGGCAATGAGACCGTCCAATATACAAAGAAGAGTGACTCCCCGGCCGCAAAGTTTCCTCCCATGGAGAAAATAGATGCCACGAAGGAGCATGGTACAATGACTATAGCTATCTTGGTCAACTGTCCAGAGCTTCGTGCCATCATGTTGGCCGCTTCCGAATGCACCAATGCTGAATGCTGTGCAAACATTTCAAGGTGATTGCCCAACGTTATTTCTGCAGCTTCCAGCCTTGCTTCCAGAAATGTCCACGACTCATGTTCGCTCTTGGCCATTGGATCGTTCTTATTACCCTTGAGCATTGGGTGTGAGCCGTTAGTTTCTCCCAATAAACCTGCTTGAATTGTTTGACATTGGAAACTCCACATGATGTCTTGCAAGTTTCTCTTCAGACTTCGAATTCCCTGTCACTTCACCATCATACGGTGATACTTCTCATTACTCGGTATTTCGTGATTAATCCGGGATGATGATCTTTGCAGGCCGCGTTTTGTCGAATACTCTTCCTCTTCATCCCACCGTGCATCATAAATACCTATTACTAGTCGGTTGACAAACTCGTCCCAGATAAAACGGACGATGTTGCGAATCAAGATGGAAGCCGAAAAGGGATCGTTGGTGGTGATGATATCGTGCTGGTCATATGCTTCTGTAGCAGTGTCGAAGATTCGTTGTTTGTGTGGTTGTATGGTATCATTGAGGGAAGATTCGAGTTTGAATTCACGCGGTATGTCTCGGAGAGAAGAACAGTCCTTGAGGTCGTGGCTCACTGAAGAATCCCACGTAGCCTCAAGATTGAAATTTCCCAATTTCGCATAGTAGGAACCTGGCACTCGTTTATTCCACGAGTCTGGAACATCATAGCGCCTTGGTACAGGAACTTTCCAGTAGGCTGAGCTGCCTTGGGAAGCACCAGAAGCGCTGGAAACACCGAGACTGGCAAACTCCTCGCAATGGGCAAGAAAGAACTCAGGGGGTATATCCAATAAAACTCCTAGTATCTCTATCAGCCTAGGATGGAGGTCCTGGATAATGAACAGGCGATGATTTGTCAGTTCTGGCGACTCGAGCTTTGAGGTACTTTCCCAGTACAGCATCATGTCTCTCGGATCTTTGATAGCCTTTGGTCTATCCGGTAGCCCACAATGATCGCCCATGAACTCGAAAACCTTTATGTCGAATCGAATTTGGTAGTCCATGTCTTGACGCTATGGGTGCCAGTATTGCTCAAGGATAAAACGCCCCCTCCATGACTTTCCACACTCTCTGGGCATAAGCCTTCGTCTTTTCCTTCATGTCGTCGTTTGTGTCTCCCCAGAAGTCGTCATGGTCTGGACTTGATTAGAATTTATCAATGATAACTTGGACAGGGGTAAAAGTACCTGGAATCCCGAATGAAGACATATTTGAAGAACTTATGAGAGTGGAACAAAACTGCCTTGTTGGATTGCTTTCATGAAAGTGAGGAATTGTGACCTTAAATTCTCGACGGAGAATTTCAAGAACAACGTGATAGACAAATCTTGCATGGTAGCAGACACCCACGTAGAGCTTAATGGGGAGCTGAAAATAGCCGCCCAACAACATCCACTATGGAATCCAGTACGATTATTACCAAATAGAGGTAAGGTCACGGACTTCATGTTGTATAAAGACAAGGCTTGACATGACAAGTCACAGCTCTTTGACAATTGTGTTACGTGTAAAAGCTCAGAAGGCCCAGAAGACACATCAGGCTGCGTTAAAAATCACCAGTCATTCGTTTGATGGATCTGGAGCTACATTCTTCAATGGCAGAATACTGTAAGCAAACAGGCAGACTCGGCTAATACATGAAATTTTTTTTTTAAAAAAAAAAAAAATGAAAAGCTCAAGGCTCCATATAAGCTGTGATAGTTGGTTATACCCTTGCTAGTGGGTAGTAGAAAAGATGGCCTTTTGGCTTTGGGGTACAAAAATAAATAGCCTAAAACTATGGCCTAGATGGCGTGAGGCGAGTTGTTAATTTCGTCTCCTATGCTTTAGCGGCTAACGTTTCTGGTACCCTGAGGCCTTGAAAGTTCTTGTTATATATTTTAGCCATTATATTGATTGTTCATGATCACATAACCTGCTGGTGGACAAGCCAATAAATTCCTATCATAATAATCTGTTTGTACCAGTGATGCGGTTAGAAATCATATCATCAATGCCAGATCGAATCTGCGATCAGATCACCAAGGTCAGTACTGCTTCGACTTCGGTGTGCATACAATCGTGGCTTCCGTGTAATCCTATAATATAAAACGACTGCCGTTCAATCCCTTCAACTCCAGACATAGGAAAGAATTGGAGTACAATGCGTTGTTTTTGAACGCCCTCTGAGACCCTTATATGTGTCCGACGAGACATATTGCTAGTTCACCTGAGAAACGACCGGGTTAATACGGAACTGAAAACAACTATCGAGTTATTGGTCACGGTAAGAACAATCTTTCCTCTTGGAAGGCAAGTATGTGATAGCTACTACTTAATGCAAGCAGAAAGCTCCTAGATCTGTAAGTGTAGGTAGCATGCTACTCAAACTGACAGATACCAATTAGCTGAGAAACCTTATGCGGAACTGGACACGACTCCCTAATTACTCTTGTTGAAGTTCCTGTCTAGCACTGAATGAATTGGAACATTATCAAATAGTACGTCGATATTCGTACCGGTCTTTGCTAGGAACAGGTAAGCCTCATGGTTTGGGCTTGCGGAGCGGATTTTGGCGTAGCTGGTTCAAGACATTGATAGATCCTGACCAAGTGGGCATGCACCATTAGCAGAAATAAGCCACAGGGGCTATCACAGTGGAAGTGAGTAAGACCATGAACCTTAAGTTCTTCAAATTCACAACAGACCAATCCTTACTTAGGTATTCACGAGGAATTCGAGGCAGTCCTAGTGCGTAGCAGAACAAAATGGCGCCACAAGTCTTAGGTTATAAAGATAAGTAGCCCAAGAACTGTAATCTAAGAGACATAAAGTGGTCCACTAATTTCGTCTCTTATGCTTCCAGCGGTCAATTTTTCTGGTACGTTGAGGGCAGCCGAAAGACATTATGAGAAGATCTCAGCAAGACAAGCATTCTCCTCCCACAGCCATCAAGGGTCTGATACATACCATGCCCCAACGTCTTCAGCTCCACAACATGGGCGTTGTCTCAGCAGGTAGATTCGATAATCCACAGAGTTGTGGCTTGAGCTAGGTCCCTTGCACCAATTATGACTGTAAGCTGAGAGCTGAAATGCCTTGATTTATGGCCACGACAGAGATAGGTTAACACTTTTGTCTTTCAAACACATCCTCCTTGTTGAAATGCAAAGACTAGATTCGATATGGAAATGTGACTATAGTCCGCACTAGTTGATCTAGCCCTTCTTTTCCATCCTCTTTGCTTGAAAAGTTTGATAACAACAAAAGGGAGAACTTGACTATGAGGATTGTGGTAAAGACGAGGTGCTGAGCGTGTATTACCAAAGCTATAAGAAGCCATCAATCAGACCTCTCTAGCTTTTTACCTTCATCACCTTCATCACCTTCACTCATTCAGCTTCATTCACATTTTATCCTACTCTATTGACCATGTCTCTCTTTCTCAGGGCCGCATTCGCGACTCTCGCACTCCACGTTGCAGCAGATCCAACTATTGACAATGTCATCCCGGCTCCGTACGGTGGCCTTCGTTCTCTCGGTTACATGATCGACAACACGCACGCCAATGCAGTCCTAGGCTATCCATCACCTGCCAAATCCATCACCCTAGCAGATATCATCCCACAGGTTGACTCCAAGGGTCATAGCCGCTGCTGTCCCATCGGCACCATCAACGATGGCACAGGCTGTGTTTTCCAAGAGTCTTCTGTCTGTGAAAAGGGCACTGTACTCCAAGGAAATGTCTGTGTGAGCGTCGATGGGCCGCATTGTCCTGATAATCTCAAGTTCGATGGAAGGATCTGTCGAAGCGATGAACCACCCAAATGTTCTGGTTCGTCGCTGTACAACAGGGCTACCAACCAGTGCGAATCACCCGATGGGCCCCAGTGTCCCGCTACGTACCATCTTGAAAATGGATCTTGTGTTTCCGAGATACCTCCTTCATGTGAGCTCGGTTACAAAGTCGTGGATGGTCTTTGCGTCGATAACTTCCCACCTGATTGTAAGGGAGAGAACCAAGTTTATGACAAGGGCGCCTGTGTTAGCAAGATACCTCCCGAGTGTCCGAAAGGGACTGAGGTGCGGGGCAGGACATGCTATGGAACTATTCCCCCACAGTGTACAGGTGAGGCCAGACTTGATCGCGGTCATTGCGTCTTTACCCCTGAATGCCCTGAGAAGTACATTTTCAAGGGCTGGATGTGTGTCATGGAGGGTGATCCTGTTTGCTCGCCTGGATTCTTCAAAAATGGGGCATGTCACGCGAATCCCACTTGCCCAGATGGTTATACCTACGACGAGGCTGCTGATACCTGCAAATACGTCACGGACCTCCAGTGCAGCTCTGGTTATACGCTGTTCACTTCTAAGTGTGGCGCTAAGCATTGTTGCAAGGAGGGCACTGATAACTTTGACGGGGAATTCTGTACTTGGGAAGTTACTGAGTCCGGAGAATGTCCTGATGGGTTTGAGTACAAGGATGGGTACTGTCGGCATCATTCTGAGAACCCTTCTTGCCCCGACCTTTATGAGTCCGCCAATGGCAAATGTACCAAGCGAACCTTGCCCCAGTGCACTATTGGAAGCTACAGCAACGGAAAGTGCATCGTGGGTGATCCGACTTGTCCCACTGGAAGTCATTTCAACGGCATTGAATGCGTACTAATCGAACGAGCATCGTGTCCAGAGGGATCCAGACTTGTTGAATCTCGGTGTATCTCCCTCGAGTCGGCAAAGTGCCCTCGTGGTCAGAGACCGGACGGTAACGACTGCATCCATGAAGAATCGCCATTATGTCCTCCCAACACTATCCTTGAGAACGGAGTCTGCAAGCACCCTGATATTCCAATTTGCAAACCTGGCACAAACTATCACAATGAACACTGCACATTGCCCACGCTCCCAACCTGTCCTAAAGGCAGTATGATCAAGGGCGGGAAGTGCGTCGCGATCAAACTTCCGCAGTGCCCTGGGGAGTATAGATACTGCCCAGCAACACACACCTGTATCCCACCAGGGCTTCCACAGTGTACAGACCCGCTTGTATGGGACGGGAAGCACTGCGTGAGTAGAAAGAAGGCGGAATGCCCAGAAGGTTCCACCAGAGCTGGCAACAAGTGTATCAGCGACAAAGATCCCAGGTGTGACCCGGGCTTTATTTTCGATGTCAAGTCCCAAGGCTGCATCTCCACTGGTGAGCCGGAATGTGCTGGAGATACCCAATTTGACGGGACTACGGGCAGATGCGCGTCTCTAGCTCCTCCAGATTGTACTCATGAAGGTACCGAGTACGACTCTAAGACGCAGTCTTGTATTGCCGGGCCGCCTGGTTGTCCCGAGGGCGCTGACTTGATCAATGGCGATTGTGTACTGAGGAAACGACCTGAATGCCCCGACGGAACTGAACAGAAGGACGACAGGTGTGTCTCTATCGAGAGACCTAAGTGTGAGGGTAACCTCACCATGGTTGAAGGCCGATGTGTTTCTGTAGAGCCACCTACTTGTGGTGATGGAACTACCTGGGATGGATCTCGTTGTGTTATCGGCACAAGGACTTCGTGTTTCAACTTGGAGGTTTGCCCACCCATTGGTGCTGCTGCGCTGCCAGCTCCCTCGCCTGTGATTAATTACTAGATTCAAGATCATCATGCTAGGTGGTGATCTTACCGCCATTCCTTAAGAACCTGCTTGAATATATGTCTCCACTGTCAACATAAAACCTGACTGTGGCTATCTCTTCCAGTTTTTCTTTCTTGAATCATCCCTATGGTATCAGGTAGGGTTTTGAAGATTGATATTCCCGCAATCGATGTTTTCCAGCTATTTATGCAGCTTCACTTCCATTGTACAACCCACCCTTTATCAGAATGATCTAAGCCCTGAAAAGTAGATATCAGTATACTAGAGCTAGTGAGTCTCTTAGTTTTAGGATATAGAAATAAATAACCTAAAATTATAGCCTAGATCTCATAAAGTGATCTACTAATTTTGTCTCTTATGCTTCTGGCGGCCAACATTTCTGGTGCCCTGATGCAGAGGTGCATTGTCTAGATGGATGGCATCATTGCTACTACCTCGGTACGTTGTGACGTATGGTTTCAGAACCTAGCATCCCAGGAGATCGACCCGGCTTATATCTAAATGGTATCTTGGGCTTTATTACCAACTTTCAGTGGTCCTCACAGTTCCTTTAAGGTACGAATCTCAAGTACTTCGATAAGGAATTCATAGAATTTAGTGGGATCTAGAACCTGGTTGAAGTGCACGGTGTAAGCTATGATCATTTGCTTGAAGTACGAAAGATTGCTGAATATTATACGCAACCCCTAGTCTACTTAGTGAGCATATTGCAACTATGATTCGGAGAAAGCAATCGTATCAACCCAGCCGTCAGAGCCTTCGCCACAGGTAAAGGCAAAAATGAGATCCAGGCCACCATCGTTTATTTCGTCCTGAGTCCAGGTACAGGTGATTGAAAACTGCTTCCATTGGTTTATAGTGGAAGCCAAATCGAATCCCTGTACTTCAACGGTTGCGTATTCGCTATTGCAGGCCAAAGTTGCGCGTGTACACCCGGTTCCAGGACGGACCCAGGCAGATATAGAGTATGGGATGCCAGCTGTGATTGGTGCGCCCAGCCGCTGGGCGATATAGCCTGATACCGCGCTCTTGAAGGATAAACGTGCAGAGTTTCTTTCATCGTGCTTGATGTTATTGTCGATGGTGAAATCAACGAATTCAGAGTTCAAATTCCGCCATGGTTGCGTGGTATCCTTTTTGTCGTCGAATCCACCGTTGGTAAGGAAGGAAGTCACAACAGCAACTTCAGTGGTGGTGGTAGCTTCCGCAGTAGTGGTACCCTCAGCAGTGGTGGTCGGGACAGCTGTAGTGGTGATATCCTCTGGGACTGTTGATGTTTCGATACTGCTCTCAATGATGGAGGAGCTCAGGGCTGTTGTCGTGACGGCAATAGGGGTAACCTCTGAAATAGCAGACGGTTCAGTGCTGGTCTCGGTCTGACTGATAGTGAGGGTTATATCCTCAACCGAAGAAACCTCAGTAGTCAAGACAGCGATCTCAGCAGTAGTTAAACCAACCGTGGTCAAGATGTCGGTTGTTTTGGAGCTAGCCTTGCATGGACTGGCTTGAGATCCTGCAATAAAGGACGCTGCGATAAAAGCAATAACGAATGTCTTGGCGATCATCTTGGAAAGAAATAATTATAACGAGTGTGAGGATGATGAACACAACATACGACAAACAACAAACAAGGACAGCTACTTGTACTTATATATGTTCATGAATTTCACTTCACAAATTAAGAGGCCACTGCAGGTAGTGGCAGCATTACCACAGTCTAGAACTGCTTGAAAGGGCCCTCAGCTGAAGGATCCTGACGTTAGAATCAATAGTCTTGGAAACTTGACCCTTTTGGGGAATACTTTAACAAAATTAGGTGGAATTAACACAGGCCACACAAATTAGTATTTTGAGGATCGGCTGCTGTACGCAGGTTAAAATGCGCTATTGAATATAAACCATGTTCTTAAAAAGCAAGGAGAAGAAAAAAGGAGACAATACTGCCAACACTGATCGAATTTGTTGACATTTAATGTTGATCGAAACCGTGTGTGCTTGAGAGTCACTATCTGTAATTCATGGATCTCGGCAAGTGCTGATGCATATAAATGACCCAACAAAACTAGAGAAGAACGATATTTAATTACGGCTGCATTTCTTGCACGCATTCACAAACAAATCACTTACCACTTAACCTACTTGACTTACAAATATCCCTCCTCAGAACCCCAAGACCCTGTTAGCACTCTCCACCGCCTCTTTTTCCCCATCACTACCCAAACCCTTCATCTCCAGCCCCTCAAGACCAAACGCCCTCTTTCCCGCTCCGACCAGAACATCTTCCGTAGGCCGATCCACATGCCCCGACTCCCCCGCGCCGCCCGGGAAATCCGGACCCGGCGTGCCCCGTCTAAACGCCTCCCGCTGCCGGACCATGTACTCAGCATTCAGTTCCGTAATGGGACACACGGGGATATACATGACACTTGAGTCTGCTTTTCCACTGTGTACTTTGTCGACTGCATGAATTGCTGCATTCGTTAGCCATGAGTTACTGCGAGGGAAAAAAGAGAGAGGACTTACTGTCGCAGTGCCATGCTACAAAGTCGCCAGGTCGTATCTCAGGGACATGAACCATGGTCTTGTCCAACTCCAAGTGAGGATGCAACTCATCCGTCAACTCTTGCCCTGTTCCTGGCGTCGCACCCTGCAACTCACTATCCATCTCCCCTCCCATAAACTCCCAATTATCCACACCCAAAAAGTCACTCGCGGCCATATTCTTTGCGCGGAAGAAGGGCCGGAGTAAAACATATGCCATGGACAACTTCACGAGCGGGTTCACCAGTAACGTCCCCTCGCCAGGCTTCGTGTGACTCATGCTCATCCAACCCTGCCACATTCTAAACATCGAACACGCACCTAGTCCCTCGTAGAGGTTGTTCACAGCGTGCACTCGGCCGCTCGCATCCCATGGATCATACTCGTTCCATTTGCCAGCTAATACAGCATCGTACACACCTCCGCGGCCGTATCCTTCTTCTTCCCATCGCTCCACACTCCCACCGTCGATGTGTGGACCGAGAGCGAATGAGGCGTCACCTGGTTGGCGGATGCGGAGTCTGTCGGCATAACTGAAGGGTTGGGAGAGGGAGATGGGAGTGGAGGGGTTGGAGCAGTGCCAGAGGAGGGACATGAGACGTTGTTGGACGTGGAGGAAGTTGGGATGGGAACGGGCTTTGAGTTGAGGGGCGGACCAGTAAAGTTCGTAGACTTGAGGATCGTGAGGGGGGAATGCTGTAGTATTCATGTTAGTAACTCGTATTGTAAGTGTGTTTAAAGGAAGTATACCTCTTGTAGAAGGGTTCTTGCGAACATAATCCTCAACTTCACCCTTCCAAGCCCTAGCCTCATCCTCAGGAACAACACCTTTGACGACGACAACACCTCTTTTTCTAATCTCTTCTTTCAGACCTTCAGCACTCCGTTCGAACTCGTCGTACTTGATCTGTGGAATGACACTCGGGCCCTTGCTGGCAACGACATCATTCTCCCTGCGAAGTTCACGCAGCAACGACTTCCAACTTTTCTCAATCTGGTCTTCTCGACCTCTTACAAGATCAAGTTTTCTCAAGCGAAAGCGATCTGGAAGAGGTTCTCTTTGAGCACCGGAGAGAGAAGTGAATGCGTCGGAGATGTCACCTTCTTTCTTGGCTGCAGCTGCAGCAACGGCCATATGTCGCTTTAGACCTAGACTGGCAGGACTAGAAGTCTTGCATCTCGCTAGTGAAGCACGCAGCATTTTGTATAGAATTTTGATGAGTAATGGAAGAGGAATTACAATACAAGTAGATAATGAGAATGAATTAAATTGCTGACCCCTCGGTATAATGTCACATCTTACTTATACTCTTCGTCATGACCAGGGAGAGTGCGGTCCTACCCCATTGGGAAAGTCCGCTCATGAGAGAAATGTTTAATTGATCACCCCAGTTTCGGAGAATTTCCAAGTTTTTGCTCTGGCTCGCTTGCTTGCTCGCTACTGTACGACATTCTCTTGGCGCTGTACAACATCTGTCACGAAGGAACCTTGGTCTGCTTCAGTGATCGAGCCCAACTCGACTCCTCCTGGTATATCCTCAACATCTGTCGGTGGACTTTGTATTACAGGTACGATGAATAGATAAATATTGTGTTTAACAATACCATATCTTCACGAGTGTTTAATCATATGGACGTGGCTGACAGCCTCAAACCCCGCTCGATCGTGATCGCTTCACCACCAAGTGACTGATCAACTGACAACATAGACAGACGCACATATAGCAACACTGGCCGCCAATACTCAATCATTCATATCAATTCAACAGCATCGGAAAACAGTTACAGTAGCAAATAAATACCCAAGTCAATTCCCCTCGAATAAATGCTTCCATTCCCATTCACGCCCCTTCATAGCAAGTTAAATACAAGAATACCTTACCCTTATCGGTATTTTATGCAAGATACATATATAAACAAACAACTCCCAAACACTAAGACAAGAAAAAAGAAAACACCCTGGCTCCATCTATGATTAATTCCTCTCTTTTTTCATTCATGGCTTCAATTCCATCACCTTGTCCCCCAACTCCTACGCTTATGTTGCTTTTCCTATCAATCAATATCCCCCAAAGCTCTCTTCATCCGTTCCTTCAAGTCCCTGTTCTCCATCTCCAACCCGCCTAGTCTCTGCCTAGCTGCGTGCCGATCCTGGTTCCGTCCTTCTCGCTCCATCTTGAGCTTGTACTCCATATCGCGAAGGCGGAAGAGCCATCTATTGTCGTTGGCGCCACCGTTGCTGTTCTCTTCGTTCAGTGCCGTCATATCTCGTAGACCAAGGCCACCAGCAGAGGAACCTGGTAGAGCGGTCGTCGTGTGTGCTCTTGTCATTGTGGAGGAACGTGATTTGGAACGGCTGCTGCGTTGTTCGCCTGGACCGCGGGGTACAGAGGGTGATGGCGAGTGGGGGACGAGAGCGTCAGAGCTTTCCCTCGACGAGTGTGCTGCGCGCGCTCGCACGTCGTTAGCTGTGCGAAGAGTCGCGTTTTCGACCTTGAGTTGGCGATACGCCTCTTCCAGGCGGTTGTAACGAGAATCGTGACTTAGCGATCCACCAGACGAGATGGAGTTTCTAACCATTGTCTCCAGTCGATCCAGCTTCTTAGTCCGCACTTCGAGATTGCTCTCCAGAGTCTGATACTCACGGTGCAGGTCTCGCTCCACAGACTTAATGCGGGTTTCGAAAGATGCAACCATGTTCTCAATGGACTTGACAGCAGCCAGTAGGTTCTTGGTGAAACTAGGCAATCGGTTGGCAATGACCTCAACCGATGGCAGGACCTGGCGGTCAATGAGTGAGTTGCCGTGAACCCATTCTCTGCCACACAGATGGCTAAGCTTGTGCCACAGTTGCAGCAACAGCTCATTGCGCTCCTGCAATTGATCGCGGGCTGTTTGTTCAAGTACAGCGATTCTCCTGCGGTCCTGACTCTTGTTGGTCTCCAGCTCAGCGATGCGAAGATCTTGGCTACTCGCAGTGCGGGTGAGATGTTGGTGTGACTTTTGAAACGTGTCGTACTGCGACTTGGTGTTTCGGTGAGCGATGCGCTCCTTTTCGAGCAACTCGGAAAGTTTGCGGCTCTCCAGAGCATGCGACTCGAGTAGAGAGTCGCGCTGCTTGATGATGCGATCCTTCTCGACCAGCGCTGCCTTGCTGGCGTCAAGGTCACGAATTGTGTTCTCAAGCTCACGTTGTAGCTTAGCGATAGACTGCACAATATTAGCAAATATCCTTCTCCAACCACAAAACAACATACCTTGAGAAGCGAAGATCGGGTACCGTTGAGATCACCCAGAGCTTCACGAAGGTTATTCTCCAGCTCCATCAGCCTCTCCTTCCACTCCGTCGCCTCAACCTCCCTTGATGTCAGTTGCTTACGCAGACGACGAGCCTCGTCCTTGGCCGCCGATGCCTCTCTGTTGAGCTCGTTGACAAACTGCTGCACCTCTTCCTTCTCTTGATCTGCCACAATCTCGCGCTGGTGCCGCTCTTGCTGGAGACGGTTCTCCAACTCCTTGACTCGTTCCTTTTCATCGTGAATGCTCTGCTCAGCGCTAGCAACAGCAGCCTCGAGGTCTCCGATTCGTATCTTGTCCGTCTCCTGCTCTTCCCGTAAGAATGCAATCTCTCCCTGAGAGGATTCCTGCTGGACAGAGAGCCGTTGGTTCTTATCGTTGGATTCCATAAGCTTCTGCTCCAAATCCTCGAGCTCCTTGTTAGATGAGTCCAATTCCTGCTCGAGCTGCTGGATTCGTCGTAGCTTGTTCTCCTGGTCGTCTTCAAGTCGTATCAAGGCCTCGCTCATCTTGCGCATCTCTTCCTGCAAGGCGTCAAAGTTTTCTGAGCGGTCTTGGAGATCAGCTTGCACCCGCTGCATCTCTTCGGCTTGTTGATCGGCCTCTGCTTCCAACGCATCAATCTCCTCTTGGGCCTCCTTCCTTAACGACTCGAACTCGTTCTCCATTTCGCTTTGTTCGCGGAGAGCCTCGTCGCGTTCAGATTGTAGGGCCACCAGATCGTTCATGGCGTTGTTGAGATCCTCTTGGAGTGTCAGCGCCGCATCTTCAGCTTGTCGTTTGCCATCCACGGCTGTCTCAAAGTCCTCCATACAAATCTCAAGCTCGCGCTGCAACTCTTGATTCTGCAGCTTGACCTCGCTGATCTTGTCGCGCATCTCTGCCATTCTATTTTCAAGCTCCTCCCGCTCGACGTCCTCGTCAATCTGCGTCTGTGTCTTGAAACTTCCGCGTGATTGAGGCCTGTCGCGACCGCCGACCTGCGAAGCCGATCGCTCAAGGAGACTGTCAATGGTTGAGGGAGCTGGCCGACCTCGTCGCTGAGCCATCTTGAGATCCTCAATCTCCTGGTAGAGGCGCTCCTTCTCGCGGTTCCTCGACGTCAGCATAGATGTCTGCGCACCAACCTCACGTCTGAGTTCGGCGTTCTCATGACGGAGTTGCTCGCTCTCTCGGCGTAGTTCATCAACCAGGGTAGTAGCCTGGCTGAAGTTGCCGTTTGAGCTTTCCATATCGCCAGAGAGACCAGAAATGGGGCGTCCTGGTGACATATTGCCATCCCGGTGCTTCTTAGTGATGTTATAAATGTTTGTCGTGTGGTGCATGCCTCCCTGTCCACCAGACAAGTCCTGCTTCATCTTAAACACCTCCTCTCGAAGCCTCTTGTTTTCGTCGTCGGCCTGTTCTCTACGGGCAGTCTCTTGTTCGAGAAGATCTTTCCACACATCGGCCTCTTCTTGTCGGTCCATGTTTTCACTATTTCTTTCGCCCATCGATCTGACAATGTCTGTAAACTTGCGCCTCTCATTCTCCTTGATTAGGCTTTCCGACCGTAGCCGCTCAATCTCGGTAGCGTATTCTTCAACCCGTTCACGAAGGAAAATAAGCTCTTCCTCCCGTTCTTGAGCTTCCTCTTCTCCTCGAGCGGTTTGATCTGTCGATGATGTACCACTGTGGGCCGTGCTTGGTCGCTCCCCTTCGTCCCTGACTTGCTTTTCCAACTCTTTGACCCTTCTTCGTAGAACCTTATTGTCTCGTTGTAGCACTGCAAGACCAGTCTTGAGGTCAACATTTTCCGAAATCATTTCTTTGATACCCTCTTCCGATAGCTTGTCAAGGCGATCGCTCAAGAACATAACTTTGAGTTTGAGATCGAAGTTCTCTTTTGACAGTCTTTCGATTGTGCTGCTCTGCTCCTTCAGGGTCAGGTTCCTACCAGACCGAGCTGTATTCACCGAGGCGCCCATGGCAATCGAGGGAGGTTTTTGAGGAGTTTCCAGGCCGCCCTTGAACTTGTACTCCTTAGCCAAAGATTCCGGGACCTGGACGTTCCTAACATGTCGTGCGATAACGGTATCTGTGGGAGCTGTGGTGAACCCTTCCTTAGAGGGTCTTGGTGTTGAGAGCACATCTTGTGTTCGCCGTCGTTGGGGACTTTCGACTTCGGGCAAGGGCTCGAGTTGCGGTAGCGAATTATCAGTATAGTCCTCGGCGCCAAAAGCTGACCCAACGCTGCCCATGCTTCCTATACTGATAGACCGTAACATCGGGTTGCTTGGGTTCCGCAGCATGCCCATGGCTGGAACTGCGCCCCCAGATTGGAGAGCGTAATCAGCGCCGAGTCCGACGGTCATGTCACTACCTTCGTTGGATTCGGGATTGGTCGCGAATGAAGATGTAGACGATCGCTGACTTCCAAAACGGCTGCGCAAGTACTTAGGTCGGCGGCTTCGTGAGGATTGTCCAGAAGTGTTTCCAATATCAGCCTGTTCGGATTGCGAATGTGTTGTCGATATGGAGGCGTCGTTATCGCCAGCACTAGACACTTGTGAGCTCTCCTGTTCGGTGTCCTGATTCTCGGTATCGTCATAGGTTGCGCTTTGGTCCTGCGTTCGCTGACTTGCCATGCTAACAGCACGCGAAATGGTCCTCCTAGTGGCCGCAGCAGTCGGTGAAGAAGAAAAGTTTTCGAATCCAGAAGTGTTTGCAGACGAGGTCGTCACATCGTGGTCATCTTCGTATTCTTGCTCCGGTAGCTGCTGCGGTTGCTGTCGCTGCTGGATTGGCTGAGGAGCAGGCTTTTTCGTGGGCGAGTCGAACTGAAAGGTGTCGTCGATGCCTCCCTGTTGGTTCGTGTGAGCGGTGGGAATAGGCGATAATGCGGGCAGAAAGCTAGACTCCACGTCTCCCAAGTGGCGCCTAACGTCCTCCTCGGTTAATGAATCGTCGTGGGCACGGGTCAGATCGACAGAGATGGGGTCAAAGTAGCTGTTGTCAGGGGCTGAACGACCAGGACGATGCAGCAAAGACTCCTGCTGGGTTGTAGGGGGATTATTGTTGGAGCTTTTCCGGTTCAAGGATTTTGCATGTGTATCGTCAATGTTTATAGCAATATCGTGGGGAGATGGCGCTGCGATAGAGTCGGTTTGGTCTTGTTCTTCTTCTTCTTCTTGAGCTTGCAAAGTATCACCAATGGTGTCGTCTGTTAGGTCTGATGTCTCAGCGCCCTCGGGATAGTCATCTCTGTGTGAGACGCGATGGGCCGTCTGTGGACGCGAACCGTCGTTGCTATTGTTGGTTTGGATCGGGGTCAAAGGCGGGCTGCTGTGGCCTAGGCCTAAGCTGTGGTCTTGCTCATCGTTGGCCATGATGCATTGCGGCGACCGCGGATGCGTGCGATGCGATGCGATGCGTGGCTGTCTGTGGTTGGTGATGTCAAAGAAATACAGTGGATGTCAACCCATGGAAGGGAGGGAAAATGGAAATAGAAATGGAAATGGCCGGGTATTGGATTGGATCTTGCCCGGGTCCCCTGCTGGTCTGGACTCTACTGAATGTTATGGTTATTTGGGCGTCACCTCCCACTAAACGGCAAAACCTGACAGGACCCGACTGCACTAAATTGGGTATCGGGCGCTGGACGCCGTTGAATGGTTGGTTGAATCCGCCAGTAAGATGTTCTCGTTCACTCTCGAAGGGTGGTTAGCGGCAGAGGGGAAAGCGGGGCTTCCTCGTGGCTTGAGTTTGGTTCAAGGCTGGTTGCTGGGGACAACGATTGCTAACAAAGAGCAAGTCTATGATTCGGATATCATTGATTATCGTAATTGAGTTTGAGTAAGAAATTTCTATTCTTCTCAACTGAATTGAACGTTAGAACTACAATAGTATTTGTGGAGGCCAAAGGTTTCAGGTTGATAGCGTCAGCATGAAAAGCTAAAACGTCCTACGAACCGGTTCTACAACATGAGACGTGCCAGTATGAGATCTGGGGTAGGTTCTCCAGCTGAGAAAGGATCCAGTATTCGTAAACGAGCAAATGCATCATTCTCAGGTGCAAGGTACATCGTAGAAAGTACTTTTGTGGGTTTACTCCAAGAGATTATCGCCATCACTCCAACTCCAACAATCACTCATTCACATGCTAATAAACACAGCGTCACTCATCAAGCTCATTCATCATGTGGATCAATAATTATGTCATATTAATTCATACTAGCTCTTTATCGCTTTTGAGAGCATCCATCCATTTATCTCATTACAAGTTATTTCTCTCCTTAGTTGGAGATCTTGGGGTCGACCTTGTTGCTGTACATTACCAGTTAGCCATGGATCTTTTGTAAGTTTAAACCATTTACTCATGCATCACTTACCCAGTCTGCTTTTCGTACATGTTGCGACCAGCGTCGGTGATCTTCTCCTGGTTATCGGCGGAGATGTTGTAGCCAGACTTTTTGCTGACGGCAGAGAAAGCTGGTCGAGTCAGTACATTGATCAAAGCGATATAAGATGGAAGAGAGTATCATACCCTTGTCGACGTAGTCCTGGCTCTGGGCGCCGCCGTTGTTGTTGTTGCTGCTGGAAGCACCCTCCTTGTTACCACTGACAGCGTTCTTGATGAAATCCATTGTGAAGGTAGTGAGGTAAAGAGAAAAAGATCTGGTTTGTAGTGTAGCGTAGTGTAGTGTAGAGTAGAGTTGTTGATGTAGATGTTGATGATGAATAGCAATCTAGAGCAGCAGCACTCGCTCTTCTTATACTTTTCAGCAACCGATCTAAGAATAGTCCAAACCTACCAACTTGGTCCAAGATCATTCAGAAATGGTGGAATAATCCGCAGATCCCCTCAATTTCCTGCCAACCCTCTTTCGTCATCCCACACTCTACAGGGGGCACAAGCTACGTCACTCTAGACCCTGAACTACCAGATACCAACTCTTCCCTCCCATCTTACTCTACCGAACGGCACGTCAATCCCGGGAATCTCGGCAGACCCGGTCTCTGGGCTTCCATCATTCCCGTTTCAGCATTTCAACTTTACAACTTTTCCTAATTCTTGTTCTTGGTTTCTTGGTCAGAAAGCTTCGATGATTGTCACCATGATACTATAGCTCCACTTGAAGCTAAGGTGGGGAACAAAGACTTGTTGGTTCTAGGCCTTGACCATGGAAGCTGAAGTACAGAAGCTAGCGACACCGCCGTGCTAAGGGAGCTGAATTAACTGCGCTTGCAGGGACGGTCTTGCAGCTAGAGAAATTGCCGCAGCTTGTGATTCAAAGACTAAACAAGAACAAGAAAGGTGCCATGCAACGTAAGCCCGTTATCGAAGAAGCTCAAAAGCTGTGAGGGAGCCAACTCGACACCAATGCAGCTTCTTATCGTACCTACGCAGAGTATCAAGTGAACAAGGCAGCATATCATCGTGAGTGCAAGGGCAAGTAAAGTGACCGGGTTTATCTTATATGAATAGTAACTCTGTATTACCAAACTAGTCATCGAATCCTGTCTATACAGTCCAATTATGCAAATCATGCCCGTACATGCACTCTTGTTTTGTTCAATCATTAACAACTCCGTCCAAATGCAAACCCTATCCTCTCATATTAAACCGTTCAACTCCTTGGCTCAATAGCCATGCATCATTATTTCGTTATAAAAAGCAAACGTTCAGTTAATGTGTACAATTAATGCTGAAGCCTGAGCCTTCTCTGCTATATCAGGATCCTCGACCCTACAGTCAAAAGTCCAAATATAACAGAGAAGTCACAGGCTTCAGGTTAGAGTCAAAAGAAACGAAATAATATAACTCGTGCTGGCTTATGAGTTGACAAACACCTGGTAGGCCATGATCATAACCCAGATGAAGAAGACGGTTCCCGTTAGAGCCATGGCAAAAACAAGCTGCCAAGATTGACCTGCACCTATTAGCATGAAATCGTCGACAGAACAGAGTGATAAAGACATACAGATACTTCGCTGCTGGAGCCACGCCATAGTAGCTTCGCTCGTGCCCTTGGGATTTTGTCCAAAAACTTGTACATCGCAAACACTCTGGATAGACCCATCAGGTCCAAACAGTTGTATCGCAACCACAACAAGTCCAACAAGCCACAGTACAAAGAACATGAAGCCACCAACCATGACTATGGCGGGGAGTAATCGTCGTTGGCTAATGAGCCAGAAAATGCCGAGGATGAAGAGGATCGAGAGGGAGCCGACGGTGATAAAGTAGGGGAAGTACCTGCAATATGTTAGTATTTTATCATCGAAGAGTGACTGCTGGGTGGTCGTACCAAGGAATGCCGAGTTCCAGTTGACTCTGGATCTGGATAAATGTCGCAAAAACTCCAATAATACTTGTCGATGCTAGGAGGATCACGAAGATCCAAAAGTTCAGCTGTAGAGGCGGCCAGTTGTACGTTCGCACATGTGTAGAAGGAGGAGGACCGTCGTAGGTCATCGAAGTTCTGGTATGGCTTGTTCCAGTCCATCCCGTCGTTCCAGTCATTCCTGTAGTTCCGGTCCATCCTGTTGTCCCGGTCAAACCGGTAAGTGTTGATTTGGCGACCATGATTGCGGATTTGATCGACCAGGTATGCAGACGTGAATCTGCAGTTTGATCTGCTTCTTTCGGTAACCGAGAATTCAACGGAGTCGTTCCCTTGGTCGCTTATCGGACGCGTTACTTGCTAACGCTCCTTTCTTGCGTTGACTCTTCAAAAGACTGCCACGTCGCCAGCAGTCCCGCCGATCGCGGCACGTATTAATCGCCCTGTAGATTTGAAGTGACTTGCAGAGAAGGATGGTCGAGATGGGATGCCTCAGAAAGCGGATTCTGCGTCGATGCCTCACGTTTCGCTTCGTCGATTGGAGAGTGGTTTTTCGCGTCGTGTTTAGTGGAAGATCTGGGGGTGGAGATTCTGATGCGTTGGCCAGGTACACTGCCAAAAGAAGATGTGACGTCGGGCGTCGAATACGCCAAGAGGAATTGAATTGAGGCCTTTTGCACGAGATGAGGGAATGATGTCGTATTAGGTGTCAGTTTAGATGTCAATTTAGGTGTTGAACATTAACTGTCGAATTATGTCGTAAAATTAATAATGGTGGACGATGCTGAGTCTTGGCCACAGCAACGTCTTGTCCAACGTTGGCGTTGAGAGATAAATGTGGAAAAAGCAAAGAAGGAATAAATTGAAAAAGGACAAAAGTCAATAGACAAGGAATATTCTCACGCCAGAGAGTTCATCCAATCGATGAGCCCATGTGAAATTACTCCCAATGCATTTTTGGTGAGGCTTTCGTGAGGAGGTTGGGTGCGTGGCTGGGAACACGACAGAACAGGGGCCAGTGACACTGCAATAGCTTTTGAATGGATACACGTCAAAAAGTAACGGATCCAGCCCAGCCTTCGAGATGCCTTCTTTATGATTGATCGATCAAAAGATCGGAATTAATCTGCAGTACTCGAGAGATCGTGGTTTCAATTGTCTTTAGGTGCCGAATTGGCTCATTGTATTAGACTTCACATGAAACAAGTACTCCCGAGGAAAGAAGACATTTATTTCGAGAGTGATCTCGCAGTCCGCTTATATAGATGCATGGTAAATACTGGCCCAATCAATCATTCATTCAACTCAAGGATATCATCAATCTTCCGTCCTCAAATACAGATAGTACTCCACATCAATGCATTTGTCCCAATCATCATGCCTTTTCCAGAATCGCAAAATAAAACGCTGTCCCATATGTTTATAGAAGGGTCTCACCCAGCGCGCAGCGCACAAGTGAACATCCAGCGTGGATTGTGTTCTGCTCGGCTTGCTTGGTATCAGCCAGGTGAGGGTTCACCTCGACCAGGTCAATGGCAACAAGGTTACCCGTCTCGTGAACACTCTCGCAGATAAAGTCGCCTTCACGGAGAGTAAGACCGCCTCTAACGGGTGTACCGGTGCTGGGAGCCCACATAGGGTCGAGGGCATCAACATCGAAGGACAGGTGGATAGGAGTGTCGTTGCCGATGTGAGCAAGGGCCATCTCGACGACGCGGCCAATACCGTGGCTGTAAATTAAAAGTCAGTAAATATCATGAACGGAAGCACAGAGATACATACCGGTCGACATCGTGCATGCTGAATGCCTTGATGCCGTGTTCACGGAGGATCTTCTTCTCGCCAATGTCGACGGATCGAAGACCAATGTACACCAGCTTCTTAACGCTCAGACGCATATCATCCTCGAGCCAGCCAAAATACTCCTCCTTCTCCTCCTTGGCCAGACCGGTCAAGAAGGCAACAGGCATACCATGGATGTTACCACTGTCACTGCTCTCAGGAGTGTTGATGTCGGCGTGCGCATCAACCCAGATAACAGCGATCTCGCGGTTCAGACGCTCCCGGGTAGCCTTGGCAGTTCCGGCGATAGTACCAATGGCAATGCTGTGGTCACCGCCGAGGGTGAGAGTCATGCGCCCCTCGCGTGAGTGCTCATAGGTGTGCGAGGCGATCTTGCGAGTCACCGCAGATGCGTGGCGGGGCTTCTTCATACCGCGGAAGTCAGGGTCTGACTCGGGGATCAGATCCTCGAACTGCTGGACCTTCTCGTCACCAAAGAGCTTGTAGCCGAGCTCATCGCGGATCTCAGTGAGAAGACCGGACTGGATGAGAGCAGCAGGGCCAATATCGACACCAGCTTTGGGCTGGCCGCCTGAGAAACCGACAGCAACGACGCCGACCTCATCTGGCTTGGAGAGGAAGCGGCTGTTGACAAGACCAGTGTTCATTTTGGCGGTTTGGTGTAAGTGAAGCGGCGGAAAGTGGGGGAGTAAGAGATGACGTAGATTTACGATAAGAGATAAGAGAACAGAAAGTGAAGAAGAGAAGAGATTGATAAAAGATGAAGAGGAGAGAAAGATCAAAGGAAAGTTTGAGAAGAATAAGCCTCCATTTTGTATTTGGCCGTTAATGGCACTGGCCGTTCATCTTTCTCGGCGTCTTTTGACCTTCTCGATAGGCTGCAATCGGCCGGTCCCCGTACCTGAGAGCGGAATACGATGGATAAGGTACAGTAATAGCGTCGGCTTTTCGGTTGCAAGCGGGCGGGGGTTTCTCTTACATACAAAATACCTACCAAAGTCAAACTTAACTCGACTACTACCGTATCAATAAGAGAGGTCCATGTCATGAGTTGCTCTCTTTGTCAACAACAACTTGGAGATGGAGATGGTGGTCATCAGACAACCCAGTCACTTGACAAAAGTAGTTTAGATTCAACACCCTTTGGTTGGCTGTCAACAACCAAGAGATAGCGCAGTCCCACTGATCTGGGTCCTGGGGTTTTCTGTTACGCATCCAATCCATTCAATTTGCCCTATTTTGCTTTCCCTTTCACCAAAATGCCAGCCCCAAACGGCAGCTCAGCTCGTTTCCCCCTCCACTTATGGTCAAGTGCCGGCTGTCAACCGTCCTATGTTTTTTGCCATGTGAAGTTGTACAGAACATGTCTATAAAACAATCCATCTCGCTCTCTTTCGTGTATAGACCTCAACGGCCGCCTACTTGCAAAAAGCGTGGGATGACCGTCTCAAACCGCAGATAACCCTCTTTTCATCTTAGGTAATGTTAGGTAATGGCAAACAGCCATCACTCTCTCCGACTCTTGTCCATGGTCATGCTCATGGGTGACGACGGCACTCCTTACCCCTAAGTTACTAGCTGTGTTTTCCTCGCTGGATCCTCGGAGCCAACGGGCATAAGAGTCGCGGGTCTGCCTTCCCCTAAGTTACTAGCTGTCGCTGCAACCTACCCCTAAGTTACTAGCTTTATATATTGCCAACCCGCCTATGTTCAGGTTTCTGGGTCTTTTTGTGAAAAGTGTCCCACGCTGTGACGCCCGCAGCGAAAAGCCAGCTTTTCTGTTATCTTTTGTTTCTGTTGTTTTACCAAATATGAATTCAGTTGGGCCGAGATGACCCGTCGAGATGGATCAGCACGAAACCTACATTCCTCACCGAATATTTTCGCCGACAGGCATTCCCTTGTCATGTCTCTTGGAATCTTGGAATCTTCCAAAACTACACGTTGCGTACCATGGGATAGCCCAGCAGTTCGTTTTCTTTACTCACTAGCCGGTTTATTTCCTATGAGCTGGGGAAAGGCTCCGGAGCCGCAACTCTGAACCCCACCAGTGCTATTCTCTCAGAATCTATCGAGAAAGAGGGCTTCAAATAGTCACACTCACACAATTCCTTCGTTTGCTTCAAAATAAGAAACCTACAGCGAGCAAATCTCGAGACTGGGGTCATGAAATAAACAGGCGCATAGGCTTGGCAGTACAGGCATGACCTCCAGTCTGACAAAACACGGATCTCGAGACGGATAAGGCAGGTCACAAAGACATTGTGTTTATGGCAATTGTTGGCGAAACTGACAGCTCGCTTTGTTGCACAAAAATGCGAAAAGAAAATTGACAATTTGGGCAATGTCATAAGCGGATGGTTGCAGTTGTTAACATTAGGGTAGGACAAGCTTCGAGGTCATGAGAGCAAGTCTTCGCAACGTTTTCCTTTACTTGTTTTGTTCAACGACAAATCGAGTATCCGTTGGCTTATCAGATCATGCCGGAAAAGTCACACTCCATCTGTCAAACTACTCACATCTCGAGTTTTCTTAACCCCGACCTATCTCGACAGTATTTCGGTTGTCCCCTACAGTGTCAAAGCCATGATCAACGTCTCAGTTGAGTCAGTACAGTGTCCAAACGTCAGCTGACTAGAATAGCAGAGCAGCTCGTATTGAGATCTTAACGTAATCGCGCCACGGATTTTAGATCTCGCCTCTGTTTCGGAACGGCTAAACGGACGGGTTCTCCACTGCAAAAGCTTATCATGTTAAACCCTGAGAGTGTTCGAGACCTTGAGAAGATCATTTTTCGTTGAGGAATGGTCTGGATTGCGAGACAGATATTGACAATCGTCACTAGTAGTTGCTTTGTTTGTTTCTTGTCCCACCATCGACGAGGATGCCAAGCTGTCAGTTTGCATGTCACAACAAATGTGAGTCGTGCAAGGATCTGTGGTTTATCCGTGTCCCCTGTGTCTGTACTCTGTCAACAGACCAGACTTGTTACGGGTAGGGTATTTGCTTTGCGCGGGATACTTGGGTATCTGGTGAAACAAATCATGGCGATTGTGCTTGACAACCATTCATACAAACCTACCACTGCGGGAATTAAATGTGAACCGCCGTCTATCGTTTACATTTCCAACCAGGGAGAGGCTTGCAGACAATCGTTATGTTAATTAAATGCGATATCCATCACTGCGAAGATCTCATTCAACATCCATGATTGCATCTAATTGTTCAAAACGAGATGGACTAGGCTTAGCAGCCACACCACTCAAGTAATTACCCCCTTAGAGTCAAGTATGTATCTGCGCCGCCGGGAACAGGAGGAGAGTGCATCTGTCAAGTTATTTATGGCTCACGACTAAATCTATTCGAGACAAGAGAAATGATCCTCCCGTCTTGGCCAGAGATTGAAACAATTTGTGTCTATTTTAGAGTCGATGTTCAAAGGCACACTCACTTCAGTTTGAAGTCGACTTGACTGACGCTATTGTTTCCAGTGGACTATGCTGTACCTTGCATGGGGCAAGATACGTCGCTTGTGGGACAGAACGTTGGATTGCGGATTCGATAATTAGAGTAGAAGCAAGGCACAATATTCGGCGTAATTACTCCCTGCCGCCAGAGTGAATGAGTACAGAGTACATTGCGCAAAATATATCTGTGAGAGAGTCAATGTGGTAAACTAGGACCACCAGTCTTGAAACAAGACCTTAATTGTTAGCCAAGACTTTTCTACTTGCTTTGTCCAAAGCTTACTTTGAGCTTGAGCTTGATTGTGATCCCTGTAATCTGTAACCCATCTGACACGCGTCCCCTCATGGGATATTCCAAGGAAAATAGTGTCTCAGAATTGAAGTGGTAGAGGACACTGTGCCCTTTTACTCGATCCGGTCTTTCTCCCTTGACTTTGTCTCTCGACAACTGTCATAGGACAAGAATATCTGTCATAGGGAAACTTATTCTTCAACGGTTAAAACGTTGATCAGAAACGCCTCTTGTCACACAAAAGAAATACAGTGCAACTGTTGTAAACGCAATCAAGTTGACGCGTGGAAAGTGTCTGATCGGCCCCTGATTGTCCCCAATTCCCAACTCTAAGCGGCTACGTCCCCTGTAGAAGGACCCCGTTAGCAGGGCCCATGCCCCACCGATCAAGGCCTTTTCTCCAAAATCGCCCGCCCTGGGCATTTTGCAGCCCCTGAGAGAGTACTTTACCTCTCACCAGTTGGCGGCGATCAAGAATGTATTGTCCGGCAGCTAAATTGGTGATCCCACATTTTAGGTTGTGCTAGTCTGAACCTGGAGCTGTTTTGTGCCTGTAACTGCAACTGGATGTTTAGTCTATAATTTTGATATGATGGACAAAGTCTAGTTCTAGCAAATCTTTGAGCAGCTCCTCCTTCTTCTGTTCGACCTACCAACGTTACGACTCATGCTTTCCATCTCTCCCTGTTTAATAAATCTCCTCCTTATCAAACCTCACCTTCACCTTCTTTCCTCTCTCTACTAACTTCCTGTGGGAAAATCATCGATTCTCGATCTCTTCTTTTTTTCTCTTGACCCCCTTTATTTGACAATCCTTGTCTGTCCGTTCTCTATTACCTCTCTAACCCACTCTCCCCACGTTTTACCCTTCCCAGCATCGCACCTACAGTACAGCAAAACGACAGCTCGACATTATCTTTTGCTTGCGAACAACACACGACAAGGACAATTTAATCATGTGGTGAAGAAGCGAACTTTTATTAATTATATCGAAACGTCTTTTTCTTTTCTTCGCGAGTTTCATCACATACAGTTATCGTCTTTGGAACGACTTTCTGCCCCGCGATCGACCGAATTCGTCACCTCGCCCTCGATTCGAAAAACTTGGCCGCGCATACGTATTCTGTCGCTGGCGTCAGAATTCCCTCTTGCGCTGCGCCGTGATTCTGGCACATAGTATCGAATAATAATCACGCCGACGATATGCCCAAGATGCTTGCGCCTGGGTTCAGGACACGGCGCACCTCCTCCTTCATCCGATTCGGCGCCCTTGCTACTCTCCTTGTCTTTGCTTTCTGGAGTTTTACCAGTCGCGCTCCCACGCCGCAACTTCTTCCTCTCCACAAGTCCCAACAACAGCCTTCCGATAGCTCGAACTCAATTCCTCCTCCTCCTAAAAAGGCAGTGCAACAACCTGTACGTCAAAGAGAACAGATGCCCCTTAAGTATGCTACTTGCTAACTGTCGTGAAGTTAGCAAATGACAAACCTGTACAGGGCCCTCACCCAATTGACAAGCTCATACATGATGGTGGAAAGCGACACAAGGAGCAGCTCGCCAGGGAGTCGCATACTCTAGAAGATGCTGCGCAAGCTTATCGCAAGCGTCGTGGACGTCATCCGCCTCCAGGTTTCGATAAATGGTTTGATTTTGCCAAGCAGCACAACGCTGTTGTCGTTGAAGAATTCTGGGATCAAGTTTACCATGATATCGACCCCTTTTGGGGTGTTCCTCAGCCTGTGATTCGCAAGGAGGCGTACAGCTTTGAGATGTCGATTCACATTCGAAACGGCAAAGCCAATTCCACGAGTGATTGGTTCTGGACGCTGATTTGGCTCGACATGATTCGTTCGATTGAACACATGGTTCCGGACTTGGATATGCCACTGAACGCCATGGACGAGCCTCGCCTTGTCGTGCCTTGGGAGGATATCAATGGCTATATGACAAAGGGAGCGGAATCGCGCAAACTTTGGTCAGCTAAGGAAGTAGTCTCGGATTTTCAGAAGCTACCCACAGCTGGACGACATGATAGGAACGTCAGAATTCCGTTCAAACGATGGGAGAAGACCAGTACGCGCCTTTCAAACAGCCTCATGATTTAACATTGCTAACATGCTACAGGTCCTTATTGGCCCATTGCCAGTCGAGGATGCCCACCCGATAGTCCAGCCCGCCAGGCCCCTTTGAAGGATTCCTTTAACGAAAACCCGAACATCGATATGTCGAACGCCGAACCGCACTCCTACGCTGGCTTTGTGTCCAACTTTACCCAATCGAGCGAGATCTGTCACCAGCCCGATCTTCAAGGTCTTAATGGACTCTTGATCAACCCTATTTCTGTATCGTCCACCAAGATCCTGTTTCCCATGTTTGGCGGTTCCAAGCTTGCCATCAATAACGAGATTCTCCTCCCTCCTCCGATCTACTGGCAGGCGGAAGAACGATTCACAGGTGGCGAGGACAATATTCAATGGCACGACAAGGGCAGCACTGTGGTGTGGAGAGGTGTTGCGACTGGAGGAAAGAACAAGCCAGAGAACTGGCGCGGGTTCCATCGTCATCGTTTTGTCTCGATGCTCAATTCTACAAAGCTTACAGCAGCGGAAAAGGGCACTGCGAAGCCAGAGAACTTTGTCCTTCCATCAGAGCAGTACCATCTCCAAGCACAAGCTCAAGGACGACTTGGCGACTGGGTCGGCGAGTGGTCCGATGCCGGCTTCGTTGATCTCATGTGCTCGCCCAGCGAAGACGAGGGCAGATGCTGGTACACAGACCACTACTTTGCAAAGGTCGACGGAATGGACATGCACGAGCAGTTCGCCTACAAGTACGTCCCCGATATCGACGGGAACTCCTTCTCAGGCCGCTATCTCGGCTTCCTTAACTCGACCTCCCTTCCCATAAAGGCTACCCTCTTTCGCGAGTGGCACGACAGCAGACTTGTACCTTGGGTGCACTTCGTCCCTATGGACAACCGTTTCCAGGACTTTTATGGCATCATGGAATACTTCCGTGGCTACGCTGACACTGCCGGCCACGACAAGGCTGCCGAAAAGATTGCGAATGCCGGCAAGGAGTGGGCGAACAAGGTGTTGAGAAAGGAGGATATGCAGATTTACGTCCTGAGACTACTTCTCGAGTACGGACGTGTCATTGCAGACGATAGAGATAAAATGGGCTGGGTAGACGACGCTCTAAAGGATCCTGCCATCGAAAAGACATGGGAGAGTTTCAACTTGTGAAGAGACAACAAGACAAGTGTGTTAACATCATTTCGGAGTTTGGCCTTGATTTAAGGGTGGGCGATGGCGTTACGGTGTGCGATATTTATCTGTGATGATGGCATGTCGACAGTCTACGGACTCTCTCGACCGGCGAGATTGAGCGGAGGCATTTCAAAGTACATATAGAACTACACAATGGGCATGCATGAACAGCAAGTGCCAAGTAAAAGACGTCATACTTGGTGGGAATCTGAACTATTTGCCTTCATTACATCAATCAGCCCATAATGATTGAAACGTCTTGCCATAAAACTCCGTATTATACTTTTAGTACAAATCCTTATTTATGCAATTGACTCCTTTTATTTAAAATTGACTTACCCCCATTGGACTTACCCCCATTGCGCCAGATTTGGTTGCATCATCCTCTTCCGTGGGAACGGCGGCAAAGTCGTACTCGTCCATTAAACGTCCTACAAGAGTTGTGTAGCTGGGAGCAAAGGGCCATTCGAGCCAAGCCTTGATAATATCCGCCCAGTGCTGCTCTGTGACGCATCTTGCGGCCAACGCTCCGTGCTTCGTTAGGGGTGAGCCTCCCTGCGCTGGGTCGTAGATGGAAGCCACACCAGCTGCTTGGTCACCGAAACCAGGCCACAGACCGTCCATCGCAGCGGGGACGGGGAGAAGCATGTGCTGCCACCAGTAGCGCAGCATGGTATCTGATATGGTGCCGTTGCGGGCAGTAGGGCCGTGCTGGCGAATGTATGGGTTCATGGCTTTGGGTTGGAGATCGAGAAGAGCGCCGGGCATTCTGGGGAAGAATTCCTCGGGGCGCGTGGCGAGCGGTTCGAAGGGGCGACGATCCCAGAACAGAGTGGGTTCTTCTTGTTTCCAAAGCTGGTAGTTATCACGAACCATTGCCCATTCTTTCCGTGTGTTCTTCTTGATGTTATCGAGACGCTGATCGAAAGCCTTTTCGGCGGCGGCGAGCTTAGACGGGGATTTAGAGCCCATCTTCATGATGCGATCGCGCTCTTGCAAAAGTTCGAGGTAGAGTGCTGAGTCCGCGAGGTCGTACTTTTGACGGAAGCGCAACGCTTTGAGACGCTCGGATGGCGACTCTTTCCTAGAGCTTGCAAAGAGTTCCTCGGCATTTGCGAGCTCTTGGCGGAAAGGTCGGCTATGAATTGGGCGCTCAACACCCGCGAGAGGTCGACCTGCGTACTCACGGTTTTCGGTGAGGTTCTTGTAGACGGCTGTTTCACGGCCAGAGGGCATGGTAAGGCCAGCTTTCTTCATGCGATCGAGCGTGCGATATCCGGATTCCATGTTGATCCACTCATCGCGGAGTTCGAAACGGTCTTCAACCTCGGTGTCATGGCCTGCGATTTCGTGGAGCCATTCGAGGGCGAGTTCGGCTTCGAAAGCGCTGCGTTTGCGACGGATTGCGCTTCGTGGGAGGAGTCTGCGCTTGCCGTCGTCGGAGATCCAGATGAGCATGCGCACAAGACCGTATTGTTGGAAGAGCGAGGCGGTGCGGATACTGGACATGAGCTGGTATAGAACCATTGTACTAACGCATTCGAACATCTGGTACTTCTTAGGTGGGCAGTAACATAGGTTGATGCTGACGAGTAATGTATCGTTGCGTTCTGGTTCGGCGGCAGGATCGCGGATTTTTTGTTTGACGACGCTTCCGAGAACTTCTTGAAGTTCTTTCCAGAGGATACCTGCCTTGGGTACGACTTCGACGTTTGGTTTGTCTAGGAAATCGCCGAGGAAGGGCTTGTAGGCTGCGATATCTGGTTCCATAAGGATGTGTTTTCGAGGCTGGACGAGTTCGTGGAGAGTCTTGCTCCAGACGCCGGCGCCGGGGTTTATATCGACAAGATCGCAACCGCGATGGCGTTCGAGGGAAGGACCGATATAATTGGCGACATCGTCTAAACAATTGATGAGCTATGAAGTCACTTGGATTGCGAATAGACAAACTCACCACAAAGGTCTTGGCTAACGATACTAACGCGATGTCTATCACCAAGTGTACTCTTCTTTCCCTGAGATGTAGGGGTCCAAATCCCCGTGTCCTTGAGCTTCTGTGCTAATTCATTACCTGCTTTGAGCTGATCATTCACGAGTCGTCTTGAGGCGAGGCAGCGTAGTTGGGGTTTGATGGGTGCCGTCGTGCGCCGGAACGGCCGCACAAGAGTCGACCGTGCATGTTGCCTAGCGACAAACATTTGGGTATGCAGAGTTAGCTATATTTCGACCGTTCAACGGTCATCAAAAGTGGGTGAAATGATGGCATGCTGGATGGAAGATGGGAATTTCTAAGTTTTGCCGCGATTGACCGCTGAGATTAGATGGATAAGATAAGATCAAGCTGGGATGTGAGGCGGGGGTTTAATGAGCAGATAGGCTGTAGAATTAATGACCTGGGTTATTGTCTGCTACTGCAATACCTGAGTTTTGCTTTATGATATTTTGTATCTCATAATACTTGACTGTATGGCGAGAGCTTTATACATACTTTGAGAGCAGGTAATTCAAATAAGTTAGGTATCAAGTAATCACGTCTAGCTCTTAAGGTTAGAGCTTGGATGTACCACTAACATCCATTGAGTCGTCTTCCAACAATCCGCCAAGCACTTGAACATAAGTTTCTTTTTCAAGATATCACTTGGCCTCTTACAGGAGACCATGCAAGCATTATTGTTGTAATAGCAGTGCATTCAAACAATTACAACCTCAAAATGTCCAAGAGATATCTCCTACCCTACGTCAATCGATTAAGCATGACATGCTATGAAGGGTGGCATTGAAGTCAGTTTAAATAGTAATACTAACAACTTATATATCAACATTTCTTCCACTCATTTCCACACCAGGATGCCCAAGCTACAAGATAAATAAAACTCCACGAGACGCCGCCATGCTGTAAGAGACAATTCTGGAAACTCGCTGCCTCCCAATACCTCTCCACCCTATGTATCTACGACAAGTGACTGCTGTAACTCGATTCATGTCTTCATCATGCACCTTCGCTACCAAACTCGTTGGTCCACTCGATCTGCCTTGCAATGTCGTCTTTGGATACAGTTGGATGCGAGTCGTCGAGAGCCATCTCAAAGTCCTTTAGCTGCACGTCTGGTGCCATTAGTTCCTCCGATGAAACGTCGTCGTATGTCATTTCAATCTTTTCTGGGTCGCCAGGCGAGCAAGGCGTCAACATGCGCTTTCCATCTTTCATAACCTGGAATTGTTAGTAGAGGTTAATGTACACGAATAAGTCAAACTTACAGCCTTGAAGTGGGTGGCCTGTAGAATCTTTCGGACAGGCCTCATCAGGGCAGATTGGACAACGTTGGCGATATCACTACCAGACATTCCATCCGATTTGGCAGCGAGAATGTTGTAATCGCTCGCCACGAGAGCAGTATCGGTGTCGCCAATAGCCAGCTTAAACATGCGTGCGCGACCATTAATGTCGGGAAGACCAATATGCACACGACGCTGGAAACGTCGTCGAATAGCAGCATCGAGTTGCCAGGGAATATTAGTAGCTCCCAGAACTAAAATACCCTTGCTGTCGTTGCCCACACCGTCCATTTGAACCAGGATCTCGGTCTTTATACGACGTGAAGCCTCGGACTCGCCTTCACCACGGGGACCGCACAGGGCATCGATCTCGTCGATGAAGATAACCGAAGGCTTATTTTCGCGCGCCATAGAAAAGAGGGCCTTGACCAACCTGCGCAAGACAGTGGTTAGATACAGCATGTCACTAATCGCTGCGGGGAAAACTCACCTTTCACTTTCACCCATCCATTTGCTGACCAGATCGGAACTGCTGATACTGAAAAAGGTACTGTTTGCTTCTGTCGCAACAGCCTTGGCGAGGTAACTTTTACCTGTACCTGGAGGACCGTACAGCAGAATACCTTTCCACGCCTGTCGTTTACCCTGGAACAGACTGGGGAATTTGATGGGCAGCACAACAGCCTCCTTTAATGTCTCCTTGGCACCCTCAAGACCAGCAATGTCCTCCCACCGCACGTTGGGCCTCTCTTGAAGAATAGCACCCGACAATGCGTTGCGCAACTTTTTGTTATCGTCGTCCTCACCCGCTGGAGGCTTGCCTTTGCTAGTGGAGGCACCGTTAGCGCCCATAGCAGCCTTTCCGTTTCCATTTGAGCTGGCATCATTCTCGCTGGCGAGGAATTGCTTGAGCTTCTCTGCGCGGTCGAGGTAGGTGGCCATCTTCTCCTGCATGGTCACTTTGAGAGCCTTGTTCTTTTCCCACTTGAGCGCCTTGACCCAGAGTTCCATGGAGGACATGTAGAGGTCAAAGGCCTTTTGGTACTCCTTGTTGTGGTCGGCCGTGATGGCCTTTTGCACCTCTGCGATGGCGCGGTCGCGAAAGTTGGTCGACATGGTGACGTTGGTCGATCGAAGAGAGACGTGGGGGAGGGGGTTTTGTTGAAACGTCGGTGGGTGAAGGTATCGTCGGGTCTTGTGCAACTCCCCAGCGGGATAAGGAGATGACAAAGGCTGAGAATCGAGGAGTGGCCGTCACTTGTAAAGGGTCAAGTCGCTATCGAGATGGAGGGTTTGGTTGAGGCAACAGTCAATTGCGCTGGACGGGCTGTACAGTACTGGGACTGATTGGCGGGGAAACATGGCCCAGATCCATATGGACCTCAAATGATGCTTATAGCGGGGCAGAGAGGGGCTGCACAACTTTACTGTATCGTCTCTCGATGACTTGGCAGTTTAGACGATAACTGAAAGGAGAATTACTAGGACGGTTCAAAATAGGCAGAAACATTTCTACCTGCTTAGCTATATTTTACCATATTTTACACTATCACTCGTCACCTTCTTAACACCATGTCTGATCCTCAAGCCCAGCTCCAGGCCCTGTCTGATGACTTCCAGAAGCTTCAAGGCGGTATGTTGAATTCCATCTTTGAGTGAGCCAAAGACACGTGCTAATGCGAAAAACAGAACTCCAGAACGCCATCGAGTCGCGACAAAAGCTTGAAGGTCAGAAGCAGGAGAATGTTGGTGTGAAACAGGTTGGTCATCTTGACATAAGCACTACAATTAAACCGTTTTCTAACCCAAATCCAGGAGTTTGAACGCCTACAAGAGGGCGAGACCATCTACAAGCTTTCTGGTCCCGTGCTACTCAAGCAGGACAAGTTTGAGGCCGAGAACACAGTTAAGGGCCGTCTAGACTACATTGGTAGTGAAATGTGAGTGTCATTCCTTCTTCCAAGGGTTGTACCCTTGTCTGACTGACCCGATTTAGCAACCGACTAGAAGACACAATCAAGGAAACTCAAGGGAAGCTCGAGAGGAAGAGGTCAGAGATCATTCAGCTTCAACAAAGCGCCCAAGCAGCTGCTCAAGGCAAGGGCAAGGAAGCATCCAAGTGATTTCACAAAAAGAGAGAGAGACCAGAGTGGATTAACAAAAAAATAGACCATGAGTTGAGTTATATTTCTACAAAAAACATTGATGAAGATAATGCAAATTAGACAAATACCTGGCACTTTATAAATGCCGCGCTAAATGATACCAATGGGAGAGAGTCTTCCGGTACTCGTCCAAAACGCCAGTCGTGATTCGTGAAGTGATCTAGTTGATCGTCATGATGCTGAAACCCCAGGGAACGCCCATGTTCTTGTGTTCCAGAGCGGCACTGGGTGAGAACATGAAATCTTGCTTGTCGTCAGCGGCAATGGGCTGAGGTATCGCGGCGTCTTCATCGGCGTCCATGGTAGTGAGGATGGCCTCAGCGATGTCGCTCTTCTTCGCACAATCCTCAAACACGCTATCGCCCTCGATGAGGCTTTGCATCAAAGCTCGCTGATCGCTCTCGGTGAACAATTGGGCCTCGCGGTTGAGAACGCCATAGTTAACCTTCTCGCCCGTCTGCGCTAGACGCTGGAAGATGATGGTGAAGGCAGCAATGGCCTGGGCCACAATGCGAGCCTTTTGTTTTGAGCTGAGGTTTGCAAAAAACTCGGATGTCTCCTGTTCTAGAAGCAGTTGTGTGTTTGTGTCGAAGATGGATTGGAGGATACGGTGGAGGATGTTGCGACAGTTCAGGTCAAGGTCGGCGCAGACGTCGAGCTCAAAGACTGATGAGATACTGCGGAGGATGCTGGAGAGGGCGTCGAGAGGGTTGAGGTCGCTGGGGAGATTGACGTGCCCTTGATCAATGGTAAAGATCTTGACGGCAGTGTTTACGGCGGCTGTGCATGTCAGTTTGTTGATCTATAGGGTGTGTTGGTGCTACATACATCCGCGGGCAGCGTTGACATCGAAGGACTTGACCTCAACAGCGGAAACGGTGGAGTTGTTCTTGATGGTATCCATGGTGTTGTAAGTGAGGTAGAAGGGTATGACGAGTTAAGTGTTTGATGAAGTATGATGAAGTACAATGAACTCAGAACGAATTGAGACTGTATTTATAAATGTGAGATTGAATTCTAAATAACTTAGGCACGAGACTTGGGGGAGGGCTAGCTTTTGAACTTGGTCGCCCCTTGGAAAAACTTTACTTAGATGCCTAACTTGTTGAGGATCCGACATATCCTGGCAACCTCATAATAAGGTCTTCATGGCCACACCGTGGTCAATGCCCCCTTACCTGAGGTGAGGTGTCATGGGCGTGGATAGATGGGCCGATGACCGTGGGACCATTGGGGGGCCTCTTTCACCGTGGGATGACCGACTAGGTGTAGTGGCGGTGATTCAATGCGACACGATCATGATCATGATCATGATGACCCCAGTCCAAGACTTTGTTTTGGGATGTTAAGATGCACATCTCTTGGTACTCACACCTTAACAGTCATGACTAGATCCCGTTGCCAAGTTTGGAGGCTAGGCGTAAGATAGAAATCTGCATCTACCGTCGGTCCTAAATTTCCCGTCTTGTTGTATTTCCTGTTGTGGTAGTCTCATTAGGGATTGCGATCCGAGTTCCCCGAACCCAACATCAAGCTTCCATACATGGATGATGGGTGCATTTCCAAGGCGAATTTTCCCGGCCTTGACTCTGACTCCTCGGGAGAAATCGGAAGAGAGGCAAAGACAAGCTCTTGTAGGGCCTAAAGTTACTGAGAAGCCTTGCCAAGGAAGTTCCGACTCGGTGAGACAGAATTAGGAGTGCATTGCATGGAAATTGTAATTGTACGATTCTCATAAAGAAAACACGCCATTAGTCTATGCATGATACAGGATAAAAAGTGTGGCTTATCATGATGAGGCGTTACGCCACAAATAGCTCAATAGGTGTTTCATCATTTAGGCTTATCTACATATATCTCGCTATGTCATTCTATACTGCATAGAGCCATCTCCTTCCCCGCCATTGGGCATGGAGGGGCAATCAAGGTACCGACACCTGCCATGAGGCGCTACGCGTCGTCACAGGACTGATCCATGGATTCCATCTTCATACTCGAGTTTCCCATCTCCAGGCAACATCTTAAAGCTGTCGCCTAACGAGCCACGCGGCAGTTCAACTTGACGATCATGAACCGGATATAAACATTTCTGACGACTTTGCGACAGTCATCTTCCAAACATCATCTCTCAATCTTTCGAAATGGACTCGAGAATAGCGATGCGGCCGTCTCGGCCGCAAACCGTCAAAGAGCTGGTAGCTCAGGCCGAGAATTTCGACTTCAATATAAATATTCCTTTTAAGCACTGGATACGTGCAGCCGAAACGCTATACCAAGAGGTGTGTGCTTTCTAATTCTGTATGGCATGTCGACTAATTTGTTCAGGCTTCCTTTGCGGTTTCAGATGGCGACTTTGGCCGAGCTTATATGATGCTGTATCGACATTCCCTCCTCATCCTCAAATACCTTCCGTCACATCCGAAGTTCAAAGAACCCGAGAACAAGAAGGCTTATCTGGTCCTATCGAAGCGCATTCAGCGCGTGATCCAAGATCTTGAACAACTCAAACCCGAAATCGAGAATGCCGTCAAAGAGTGGGAACGAATGGCACTTTCGCCAAAGACGACTGATGAAACGCCAGCCCCTTCATCCCGATACGAACAATTCGCAGCTCGCGATCCAACTTTGAGCGGCAATGCTCGGATTTTGGATGCTTCTGACCATCAAGACTTGGCGGTTGATCTTGCACAGAGGGAATTGACACGGAGAGATACAGCGAGGAGAGCGACGAGGCATTCAGGGATTACCGACGAGGATATCATGTCGAGAAGGAGGGGAGGTAAATGGGATCAATGGGATGGCGTGCGAATCGGAGACGATGAGGATCTACGGCGGCAGATGGAGGCGACTAGGCATGCCCTCGACTCGGCGCACGAGAGACGCAACGACGATGATTTCCGGCCGACGTCGCATACTTACAACTACCCGTCTATCTCGAGACCTCGACCAATCGAGTACGAGAGAAGCACAACACCGACCGCCCCATCAATGCAGCCGAGCCGACCACCTAAGGAACCTGTCGCTCTGCCACCGAAAGAACCTCTACACTCGACTCTTTCACAACCGCAACCCCCAAGCCTTCCACAAAAGGTGCCTTTATCAGGATACGCACCTCTTATACCATCTCCATCACCTCAAACTGCCAGTGATCGACCCGAAGTCCCTCGCAAAGAGGCGCTCGGCCCAACTGGAGAAGCTGGGCCACCAGCAATTCCCCAAAAAGAACGTCTCACATTTAAGCCAGGCGCATACCTTGAGAACGGCGACCCAATACGATCTCTCTTCCTCCCGAAAAACCTCCGGCAGAAATTCCTGGACATCGCTGCTGATAACACACGCCGGGGACTTGAGATGTGTGGTATGCTGTGTGGAACGCCTATCAACAATGCGCTGTTTGTCAGGTGTCTCTTGATCCCCGATCAAAAGTGCACATCGGATACGTGTGAGACAGAGAATGAAGAGGTCATGTTTGACTACTGCATGAATGAAGATTTGCTTCTTCTGGGGTGGATCCATACGCATCCAACACAGACCTGTTTCATGAGTTCTCGAGATCTCCATACTCATGCTGGATACCAGGTTATGATGCCTGAGAGCGTGGCTATTGTTTGCGCACCAAAATTCCAACCTTCGTAAGTTATTACCATCAATTGTTGTACGTCCAAGCTAACAAGTTAAGGTATGGAATCTTTCGCCTGACTCATCCGCCAGGCCTGGATCACATCCTGAACTGTAACCATCAGGATACATTTCACCAGCACTCAATCGACAATATCTATCGTGGTGCGGGTCAACCTACGGGCCATGTGTATGAAAGTGATAAGTTGGACTTTTATGTACACGATCTGCGAACCAAATAAAGGGATTGTCACGGTACTAAGAATGAACGAGGTGGAGGGTGGCCAAGCATGCATAGCGCTGGAGTTTTACAGGTGATGGGGTGCTTGTTTTCAGTACAGTAGACTTACAAAGACAAGTTATGACTCTGATCAATGGCTAAGAAGTCACCGTGAGACAGGATCTGCGAGTTGATGGCAAGTGAGTTGTGAACTGGCAAAGTTAGTACTCTGTACACCACGCCTGCGACATTGTCCAGCGCCCTAGACAGTCCGACAGCGCGATACAGTACAAGACAGTGACCAGTGGATCTGGTCGATCTCTCGTCCCGCTGTGGAGAGCAGATTAAGATTGCACCCCCCAGCTCCCGGCAGTAGAGGGCCTCTTGTTGTTCTCTTTTCTTCCTAGCTCAGTGCCAGGGGGCAGATCGATAGTCTAGGTTAGTTGGGAACCCAAAAGGGCTGATGATGGGCATGCAGGGTAGCGATCAACAAGCTGAGGATTTGATGTCTGCGTCTCCCTTGACCGGGTGAGTGGGTGAGAGTTGAGATGGATGAACAGGGAATCTTATTAGTTTGACTTTTCTGGTTTGACTTTTCTGGTTGGTAGGTTATGGAGACATTCACATACAGAGAGAGATAAGAAGATTTATTATTTCGGTATGCCATCACCTCAATGTCAACAACTAGGCAAGCTATTGACAAACTACCGGGAATTTTATCAAGACAATTCCTCATGTTCTTCCAGCCAACTATGACAAACCACGTCATTGTCTCTTGCACTCTCCCTCACCTCAATTCACGACATGACTGCACCGTTCCCAAAAGGGTCTTTCAGCTGTGATGCAACTGACCATTTAGGTTCAAGCTGATTACACAAATGCAGTCCACAGTGTCTCAGTTGAAGAAGAGGTGATCGGCAGAAAAAAGACAAGGTTTACCGCTACGTAGGGGAGCTGAACAAAGTGCCGGTACCTAGTCTGACTAGTGGCACCGCAGATCCTGGGACGGGAGCCATGGATGAATAGAGCCAAGGGAGGCTCGGACCGCTGGAGAACTGAGCTTTGGGGATTATGTGTTGGTGTTTTGATCGTTATGATGGATGAATTGATATTGAGATATCGAAGAATGTAATGAAAATTGAGATCAATGTAAGAATGATTAAGTTACTCGCCTACTCAATCGCTCAGATCTCAATTCATGTCTCATCTAACAAGACAAGATCTCAGACAAAGCGGAGAGTTATGTACACTAACCGCCAATACAGTGCTAAATCACGCCCTGTTCTCAACCTCCTCCTCTTTTATCTCAGCCCAATAGTATGATTATCCAGACATTGGATTGACCCGGTGACTCAAAAGATACAGTACAAAGTGGCGCCGCCCTGAACCAGGAGGTCAATGCAGATCTGCCCTTGTTGATGCAGAGCTTTGCATCACCAAAGGCTTCGCGTGCACACCAATGCTGCTCCGACTCCGCGCGTGCTGATCAATCTTGTTCCACCGCATTGTCTTATCCAACCATGATCCCTGGGGAGGAAAGAGTGGAATGATAATGTCTCGCTTTCGGGGGAAAGCTCTAGCTTGGTAGCTTGGTAGCTTGGTAGCATGTGCTGCGAAGAAAAAAGGCAAGTCATAAAGATGAGCTCACGCCCACTTGCTTTGCTCTGCTCGAATCTGTACTCCTTGTAATCGACAATAATTATGGCGTCGAACCAAGCAAAGAACGGCGCTGTCGCCACGAATGGGTATGGTAATGAGAAGTCCTCTTCTTCGGCTTCTTCAAGCCAGAGAAAAGAAGTACCTGCCCCGCCACACAACAAGAGTGAGGGTCTGGTGAAGAGCATCAAGAAGCTCCGCTTGGCTTCAAAGAGACCTCTTCCTACAGAGATGGGTGATGGATCTTACCGACAGGTTGCGACTCGTCCGGGGTTGAAGCAAGATGTTCGCCGTCTTCGCGGAAAAGGTGAGTGAGCAAGTATATGTGAGGGTATGAGTGCTGACGAGGAATAGATCTCAAGACATTGCTTGAGATCATCTCAAGTAAGCTCAAGGGAGAGATGCAGCAGGATGACAAGACCATGATCATGGAGCGAACGATCCAGCTTGTTGCGAACCTGAGCGATCACTCCAAAGTCCAGGAGGCTTTGACAAACGGCTTCATCGCCCAGCTTTGGAACTCGATTGATCATCCTCCTATGCTGTACATGGGAAACAAGTATCGTTTCCGCCAGCCTGATGGATCGTGGAACGTGAGTTTTAACCAATTGAGCTTGGGGAAAGCAATTGACTGACCTGTGTAGAACCCTTATCTTCCCCAACTTGGTGCCGCTAGAACACCATACTCGAGAACAGTGCGTCCTAAGGGTATGAGCTTGGGTGCTCAGCCTGATCCAGAGGCTATCTTTGAGTCTGTGTTTGCGAGAGGTATCTTCCGCAAGAACCCGAACAATGTGTCAAGTATCCTCTGGTACTGGGCCACTATCATCATTCATGGTATGTCTCATTCCCTCTGCGTTTTACGCAGCGACTAACAAAATGCAGACCTCTTCTGGACAAACCTCAAAGACCCAGACCAGAACGACTCATCCTCCTACCTCGATCTCGCCCCTCTCTACGGCTCAACCGAGAAAGACCGCGACTCGATCCGCACATTCAAGGATGGTCAGCTTAAGCCCGATTGCTTCGCTGACAAGCGTCTCATCGGTAATCCTCCCGGTGTCCCCATCCTCCTCATCATGTTCAACCGCTTCCACAACCACGTCGCGACTAACCTCGCCGACATCAACGAGGGCGGTCGCTTCAGCAAGCCTGGCGCCCACCTCGATGCCGAAGCTGCTGAAGCTGCTTGGAAGAAGCGTGATGAGGAACTGTTTGAGACCGCGAGATTGGTCACGAGTGGATTGTACATCAACATCACTCTCATTGACTACGTTCGCAACATCATCAACCTGAACCGTGTTGATACTACTTGGACTCTTGATCCTCGTCAAGAGATGGGTGTCTCTGTCGGCACCAAGGATCTGTCTGAGAGTGGTACTGGAAATGTAGTTTCGGCCGAGTTCAACCTCTGCTACCGCTGGCACTCTTGTCTCTCCGAGATGGATGAGAAGTGGGTGGAAGATTTCTACACCGAACTCCTCGGCGAGAACTACGGCCCCATGAACCTGCAGACCATGATGAAGGCTCTCAAGGCGTTCGAGGCCTCAGTCGCTGATGAGCCTTCTGAGCGCACCTTTGGCGGTTTCAAGAGAGGCCCTGACGGCAAGTTCAACGATGACGAGCTTGTCGAGGCGCTCGCCACAGCGATTGAACAGCCCGGTGGTGCCTTCGGTGGTCGCAACGTGCCGCGTATCATGAAGCCCATCGAGATGCTGGGTATCATGCGCGGTCGCAAGTGGAACTTGGCCGGTCTGAACGAGTTCCGAAAGCACTTTGGTCTCAAGGCGTACGACACTTTTGAGGATATCAACTCAGACCCTGAAATTGCCGATTCTCTGCGAAACCTGTACCAGCACCCTGACTACGTCGAATTGTACCCCGGCATCGTCGCAGAGGAGGCAAAAACGCCTATGGTTCCAGGTGTCGGTATCGCTCCCACGTATACAATCTCCCGAGTGGTTCTCTCAGATGCTGTGGCTCTTGTTCGTGGTGACAGGTACTACACTATAGACTACCATCCACGCAACTTGACCAATTGGGGCTTCAAGGAGGTTGATTACGACCTCAAGATCAACCATGGCTGTGTCTTCTACAAGCTCTTCTTGCGCGCATTCCCTCAGCACTTCAAGGGCAATTCCGTCTACGCTCACTACCCCATGGTTATCCCCTCAGAGAACAAGAAGATTCTCACTGACCTGAAGCGCGCGGATCGTTTTGACTTTGGTCGTCCTGCGCCCACAGCAACACGCATCAACATTGTGGGCTACAAGGCAGCCAAGTACATCCTTGAAGACCAGGTCAAGTACCGTGTCTGCTGGGAGGAGGGCCTCAAGCACCTTATGGGTGAGGGTGGTGGACGCTTTATGCTGTCTGGCGACACAGCGCTGCACGCACAGCAGCGCAAGTGCATGGGTCGTCTGCTGTACAACGACACCTGGCGCAACGCGGTTAAGTCGTTCTACTCGACAACGGCCGAGATGCTTCTGAAGGAAAAGTCATACAAGCTTGCAGGTAAGACACAAGTTGATGTCGTGCGCGACGTGGGCAACGTTGCACACACACACTTTGTCGCGAGGATGTTCAACCTTCCCCTCAAGACGAAGCAGAACCCCAAGGGTGTCTTTTCGGAACAGGAGCTGTACATGATCCTTGCAGTCATCTTTGTGTGCATCTTCTTCGATATTGACCCTGCCAAGTCTTTCCCTCTGAGGCAGGGTGCCAGAGAGGTTGCGCAGCAGTTGGGTAAGATTGTGGAGATGAACGTCAAACTTGCTACCAGCGTTGGTATCAAGGGATTGTTTACCAGCAAGCCCAACAAGAACGATGATCCGCTCGCTGCGTACGGTGAGAACATGGCCAAGGGTCTGAAGAAGGCTGGTCTGAGCATTGATGACATCGTGTGGAGCCAGATCTTGCCCACTGCTGGGGCTATGGTGCCGAATCAGGCTCAGGTGGTAAGTCATATTCTATTTCGAGATTGGTGAGAGAACATATTGACTAACAAATTGTGTGTAGTTTGCCCAAACCCTGGATTGGTACCTTTCTCCTGCTGGTGAGAAGTATCGCCCTGAGCTTCATCGTATTGCCGCTCTGGAGACAGGCAACGAGACGGATGCTCTTCTGCTCGGCTACGCGATGGAAGGTATTCGCATGGCTGGTACATTTGGACTGTACCGCGAAGCCACAACCGCCGATGTCATCCAAGAAGATGACGGTCGTGAGGTTCCTGTCAAGGCTGGTGACAGAGTCTTTGTTTCCTTTGTCACAGCTGCCAAAGACCCCAACATCTTCCCCAACCCCGAGGAAGTCGATCCTCGCCGTCCTCTGGACTCGTATATCCACTATGGCGTAGGCCCACATGCTTGTCTTGGAAGAGACATCAGCCAGGTTGCGCTGACGGAGTTGTTCAGGGCTCTGTTCAGGAAGAAGGGCCTTAGGAGGGTGGCGGGTGCGCAGGGAGAGCTCAAGAAGGTGCCCCGACCTGGTGGTTTCTTTGTCTACATGACAGAAGATTGGGGCAGCATTTGGCCGTTCCCCACAAGTATGAAGGTGACTTGGGATGAATAGGATGAAGTATGAATGATATCATGGATGGAATTATTTAGTTGTAATTAATATTCTCTTTGTCTGTCATGAGTGGTAGTGGCTGGTGCATTGATTGAGTGAAGGATTGAATGTAGCAGGTAATGAATGATAGGGCATCCTTCAGCCTCCCTCAGTAATTTCATCAACTGGAGCCCCTGAGCTGAACCCCCCTAAATCCATCTTCCCAGGTGCCGCACTGCCGAGTTGCGGTCCCGTCGGGTCGATCAATTGGTCAACGATCGACTGATCTAAACTTGATTGGGCAAAGACAGTTCGTTTCTAATGTTTCATGATCCTTTTCCCTGCGCCTCTGCAAGGAACACAATTGGATTGATCATCTGGTCTTAAGGAAACAATTAACAGTAGGTAGATAAAAATGTATATATTTCGAGCCAAGACTTTCCTTTTCGTGCTTTAAACATCATCGGAGGTTTTTACCAATTTGCTTGCATCTGCACTTCTCAGCCTTGCTGTGCTTACGTTCCTTTTACTCTATTTTTGATCCTCTTTGCTTACAGCTGTGCTGTACAACCTGACCGCAGTCTTTCACTGCCTTTGTTCTCAAGTCCCTGGAGGATATTTAAATACCCTGTTCAACCACTGTCTTTATCATTATCAACAATCACCATCAACAATCACGACCATCACAAACATTATACTTTACACTCGACAACATGAAGTTCATTACTCTATCCACCATTCTCGGTCTTGCTGGCGCCTCAGCAGCTGCCCTCACAGCAGTCCCCATCATCGAGAAAATCGCCCCCAAGTCAAAGAGCTGCCCTTCAAGCAACACCGACTGCCGCACCGCTGAACAAGCCGCGCCTTTTCTTATCAATGCCTTCAAGGACTACGACATCTACGACCCCAAGATGATGGCCGCTGTACTTGCCCTCATGGCCTTTGAGTCAGGTGACTTTCAGTACAAGCGTAACCAAGTTCCTGGCAGGCCCGGTCAGGGTACAGCCAACATGCAAATGGCCAACTTCAACCTTCTCTACGCAAAGGCCATTCCCGAGCTTGCACCCAAGTTTGAGGGAGTTGACTCGGTTGAGGGCATGTCGGATGATGACCTGAACAAGCTGCTCGACGCTGTTACCGTCGACAAGTACAACTTTGCCTCTGGTGCTTGGTTTCTTGCTACCCAGTGCAAGCAGGACGTGAAGGACGCTTTCAAGAAGGATGCCGATGAAGGATTCAAGGTCTACATTGAGGAGTGCGTTGGCACCGAGGTTGAGCCCAGATTGGAGGTCTTTGGTGTTGCCAAGGAAGCATTTGGGCTGTAAGTGATTGGGGTCTGGGATCATTCGGTCTGGTATTTCTTGGGCATACATGGGTGTAGCGTATTTTTGTAGCATTGTCTATTTCTTCCTCTCTTTTATAGATAGAACTCTTATGGTCTTATCTACTCTTTCCATCGTTTATCTCCGTATTGATTTCCCAGTGTCTTATGGTTTGGTCTATGGCATGTCTGCTTCAAGTAATATATTAAACTGTTCTTAGAGTATAGTAAAAAGTGACCACCCGAAGCATAAGAGACGAAATTACTAGGTCAGCTTATGCTTCTTAGACTACTTATTCTTGTACCCTCAGACAGGCCAACTTTTCTGTAAACCATCAGACTGTTTATTAGATACTGAGGGTATTTGACTTACTTCGCCTCGCTCGAATGCATGGGAGCAGGCTCTATTAAGCTTACCTTCATGCTTTCGACATGGTACAGTCAGACTGAGTGATCAGCAACGTCAAGTCATCTGCCAAGAGCTAGAAATGACGTAAAGAAATCCTTCCAGCGAAATAAGGATGAGTCTAAATTTGTGTCTCTGGAAATTTTATTTTACCAGTTTAGTATAAATGACTGACGATATGATGTTGGGTAAACACCTCAACAAAAGGCCTGATATGCTTTCAGTTGGAGTAGGTGAAACTTCCCTCAATATGGTTCCTTATTTTTACAAAATAGTTATTGTTATTCAAACCAAGTTGGTCTTTAGCAAGGCAATCATCAACGCAGGAGACACATGTAGCAGAATCCCTCCATAACCATCCTCAATATGTGATAAATACACGCCTCTCGCGTCAACATATAGATATTAGCAATGATCAGCCATCAAAAATACAAGCTTCAAGCCACCGCCCGTCGAGTATCTATATATAAAACGAGAGGTGATATTTTTTTCAATAGTTTTGGTCGAGAGTTCATGGGCGACAACGGGCTCAACGCTCCGCCGACGACGCTAGGACGTGCGGTGGGAATACCAAATTAATACAAAACATGAAGTAATCTATTCAGGTCTCTCTGCTGACTGGTCGATTAACGAGTATGAGACTGGTGGCAAGTTTGAGATAGAGAAGTTCAGCTGATGCGCGTTTAGTTAGTTCAGATGGCATATATTCCCATCTTTTGGTAGAGACAACATGGCAGCAAGGACTCTGAGAAACAATGAACCTCGATAGATCCGAATTAACCGCTTTAACAATCCGTAAATAAAATATGTGACTAGCTACCCCAGTGTAGATCATAGCTTCAGTTGAGGCGACGCGATGACTCGCCCAAGTCCGCAACTGACAAGGGTACGATAGAAAAAGACATGGATGTTTATCGTTTCAACGTTTCATCTCGTTCTCAAGCTGAGAAAAACGACGACCCTCAAAAAAGCAGTCTCTAGCTTCACCACACGGCTCACCGTCTGCCCACTTGCAGCATCACATTAGCCCTGGTGAAACCAAACTAACAGCTCGATTTGAGATCAGCCCTATATACATCGGGTTTAGCCTCCAACATGTTAACCCTTCTTGGGTAACGAGGCTCTCCTAGTTAGTTCAAGCGGGCACGAGGGACTTCTTTATTTGGAGTTCGATAGTTTCACGTAATGCGGACCTCCTGGTATGTAATTGGGGTGCTTTGACGTTTCTTGTAAACAAATGATTTCATCAACCATGTGATAAGTAGACTGATGTCCTCCTACTTGTTTTGTTCCTGCGCGTGAGCGTGTGATACGTGCTGAGGTTTTTGTTTACTTTCCTTAACTTTCCTTTTTTCTTTTGTTTCTTGGGTGTCTCATTGTCTGGAACAATGCCTCAAATTGAAGACAAGCCTGCTGTAAGTCTATGAAGTCAGATCTCGAGGGAAAAGTGGCTGACAGGGCTCCAGTTCCTTTATGAATCGTGGGGTCTCTATGCTTTAGGCCTCATTATTCTACTCGCTCGTTTCTTTGTGCGATTGAGAACTGTTGGATGGCGGGGCCTCCAAGGCGATGATGCTTTTTCTTTCCTTGTTATGATCTTTTATACCACGGATGCTGTCACGGTGCACTTAATATGTAAGTTCACTATGTACCTTGCCTTTCGATCCTCCAACAGCTAACACATCTGTAGACTATCTTGGTACCAACATCGAAGCTGGAGTCGCAGCACTTGATCACAGTATGTTACAACTAACCTGCCTTGATAAGAAATGTAAGCTAACCCTTTGGAAGAACTTAGCGAATCTGAAATTCATCAATACGAGCTGGGCTCAATGTTTCAACTTGTCGCTTGGTATTCATACACGGCACTCATTTGGAGTCTCAAGGGAACTATGCTTTGCTTCTTTGCCCGAATGACAATTGGAACGTGGCACAAATCGTTTGTTCAGATCGTATCGCTTCTGTGCGGTATAACATACGCTGCTGTGGTTCTTACGGTATGTCTTCTTTTCTATCAAGTCTGGACCTTGACTAACTGGTTAGATCTCAATCGGATGCCTTCCCTACGAAGCAAACTGGCAGTATGTATCCCCATTAACTCTAGTATTTGTGTTTTACTAACAGGAATTACAGAGTTGTGCCTGATCCTCCAGGTTCGTGTTGATCATATCAAAATTGGACGAATAGAACTAATATATTTCTTTAGCAAGATGCAGTTTCAAAATTCAAAACTTTTTGGTTACTACTGTACTCAACGTCTTGTAAGTTGTGACACAGTTTCAAGGTAGACACGACTTATTAACTAACTATTGCAGAACTGATGGCTTGATTCTTTGCATCCCACTACCACTTCTCTGGAAACTCCAAATTCCATTTCACAAGTAAGTTCCTACACCACTCATCCACAATTTGTCTAACAAAGATAGAAAACTTGTCATAGGTCTACTCCTTTCTTCAGGAGTATTTGTCATGGCAGCCGCCCTGGTCCGCGTCGTCCTCACCCTCTCAGCCAACCCGTCAGCACTCACCATCAACGCCTGGGGCATCCGCGAAACCATCGTCGGCATCGCCACAGTCAACATTCCCGTCCTACGATCACTCTTCTCACGATCATTATGGAAAGGAAAAGCGCCAAGCGAGATCTGCTCGTCGTACCAGGGTTCGTCGGGAAGTGTGCGCAACAGACTCACTAAGCAAAACATTTCAACACCGTATGGAATGAAAAAGGTTTTTGATGGTAGTGGAGGATGGAAGCACAGTCACGAGAAGAGCGAGGAGTCGTTGAACCCAAAGGTTAGCAAGTTGGCCGATATTATCGTCGAGAGGTCGTATCACGTTCAGCACGAACAATATGATGGATGGCGGGGACATCACCATGCGAGATCGAACACGTCGATTTACGCGCAATCGCCAGTATGATGTCTTATGCATGAACAGTTAGAACGATACATCATCGGGGATAGACCAACATTTACATATAGAAGGTATGAGAGCCCATGTTATAGAGTATAATGTTAGATAGTAATGCATGACTTGAATGATTCTGATTTTATCATGTTATTCAGGAGTCTAGGGTTCATATAAAAGATACCAGCACGCAACCATATTTCTAATATGACGCCCATAAACGAACATGTTTATGCAATGGTACCGTCACTTCCGGTTGACCTGATTCCTTGAACAGCTGATTAGTTATGTCGTAGAGTTACTTATGGGTAACCGGCACAAGAAACGCCAATTTCCAGTACCAAGGCAAAGACATGCAAGATTGAAAATTGACTCTTGGCTATAGGCTGTGCTAGTTCCTAAAGCACACAAATGTTGCGCTGCTCCCAGTAGGACAAAGCCTGGGCAGTTCCTCAGCGCACGATCAAGAGTTTAGGAATAGCGTAGGATTGATCTACAAAGAAGGCGAGGCGGGACAATCAAGATATAAAATTAGACAAATTACCCCGTCACAGTTTTCTACGACTCTCAACCCATCTTTGAATTTGCAGATATTCACAATTAACCGCCAAAATGGTGTGGAGGCAGGTATCTGATACCCAATGGGAGCGTCCATTGGATGGTCTAGAAGCCTTCTTCGTCGTCACTGCCAATATGTCCGCAAGTCTCTGCGACGGCAGAGAACACTATACACTCTTCGCCTCTCTCAATCTCCAAATCAATTCTCATGACGTTGAATCAGACCTTCGGCATGCTTGGAAGCAACTGCGTCACGAACAACCTCAGATCGCTACTACAATCCAAGACATGAAGAGAGTTTACGCCATCACGGATGAACACGGCTTGAACCGCTGGCTCACAGAAACGTTCATTGTTTCCGATGCCTTGAATGCTGAAGAAATGCAAAAGGTTACTCAACCTATCAAACAAACTACACTTTGCTACGTCCCCAAGTCCTCGGAACATGTGATACGTGGTCGTCACTATACCATAGGCTGCACAGGAATGGGGCTACTCTGTCACAGCTTCCTCAACGCACTAGCGCATCCTGATGAAGATATTACCTTTGGAGACGAGCCTGTACGTTTGGCACCAATCATGGAAGAAGTTCTCGGGTTTTCAGAACCGTCAGCCCAAGCAAGAGAAAAAGGCGAGGAGTTACTCGGTAGCTACATAGGCAGCCAACTAACCATCGGTTTAATCTAAGAACTCGGCTCTGCGCCATCCGGAAACTGTCAAAACGCGGAGCTTGTTTTCTCACCCGAGAGAACTGATCTCTTAGTCAAAGCCTGCCACCGTAAAGGCACCACGGTCACTTCAGCAATCCACGCAGCATATGTCTCTACACTCATGGAATACGCAGATACCGATTCAGAAAAGTATCGATATACATCTATGAATCAATTCAACCTTCGTCCTTATCTTCCTTCGCCGTACAACTCCAGTAAGTATGCTGTATCGGTGTACTACGCTCCTCATCCACACATCATCAATTTGCCTGCCTCTTATTGAGATCTTGTCGAATCATTCACTAAGTATTACAAGACAGTATTCAAGACAAACCCAGATGCTTTGAAAATGACAGGCGCTTTTAAACGTGGTATGCACTAGGTTGTTTCGAGCCTAGAGTTCCTCAAGGCTCCTGCACCCAAAGACGCTCTTGTGAGCAGTCTGGGCATTGTTGAAAACTTCATCAATCGTGAGTATGCATATAATATTAAGGTTAAGGGCTTCAAGTTTGGAGCGGACATTGTGCTGGGCATGTCGATCTTATTTTTCTACACATTTCAGGGTAGGTTGAGGCTGGTGTATAGTTTCAATGACGGATTCGAGAAGGCCGAGGATATAAAGATTTACTCGGAAAGGATGGAGCGGAGACTGATCGAAGAGTTCCGGTTATAAAGAAAATAAGGAAGGATAATTGGTGAGATAAGTGTGAGTCTTCCCACCCATGTGTTCGATATAAGATTTGCTATTCACGTACCAGGATCACGATTGAAAATATTGTTGCCATGATATTATCTAGAGTAATGGTATTATGGTTCGCTAGTTAAAAAAGAAAAGTTATAATCGTAATATTACATAAGACTGATAAGAAAAGAAAAAAGCTCCGCTCTTGTTGAAGCCATCCGTCATTCATCAAGGAAGCTCAGACCGCTGGTAAGACCTTTGCATAACGACCTCGTTTCCATGTAGTTCTTGAGGTGGCCTCTGGGCTAGCTCTTGAGGCTTTGTATCGATATAATGTTGTTGTTGCATGACGTTCTGCCCATAGGCCGGGACCTCAGGGGCTGGTATAGTCTGACTTCGACGTCGACGCCAATACAGAAAGCCGCCCACTCCAAGAGCTATCACAGCAGCAGAAATTCCAGCACCGATGCCAGCTTTTGCAGCTATCGACATAGCAACTTCTTCCTTGTCCTCCTTTGTTTCATCATCATCGTCGGTCGCGTCTGCTTTAGAACTGGGAGTACTCGAAGGCACTTCTTCATCGTTCCAGTATCCTGTCCAGGATTGGTTCCAGTCATTCCCACCTTTTCTAACTGTGTTGTCCATCTCCCCAATTGTAACAGGATTCGCAGTTGCCTGGATATTGGGACCTGGAGCCTGGGCTAACCACCAAGTGTCTACACCGCGACGCATATTGGCCCCGATGAAAGCATCTTGGAGGAACGCGCGCCCTAAAACCCATCGGTTACCACCGTTGACATGGCATGGGAAGTATGGTATCGGATCATCGACGAGAGGTGCTTCGAGAGTTAGGTTGAGGTGCATGAACGGCACCCGGATTTTGACGGGGTTGGTATTGGACGTCGAGATGAACTCGAAGGTAAGTGTCGTGGCTGATGAAATAATCTCCTTGTACTTATCCGAGTCGGTGTCCCAAAGGTACAAGCCGAGGTCCTTGCTGTACTTGACAGGAAGATGGGAGGCGATGCTGTTGCAGGTGGACTCGGGGAGTGTTAAGTATGGTGAACAACCGTCGACTAATACCTTGAATGAGGTACCGATAGAGGAGTTTCCCTCAGCAAGAAGACCGCCCTTGGACCGGAACTCGAACGGTGACTTGCTTCCGACCACATCGATGCTGATATCCCGCAGTGTGATTCCATCTCTGGGACCGCCATTCATGCTCAGGATCTCCCCCACAACTCGGTTCTGATCATAGCCTCCGAACCAAAGCGAACCCGGAACCCTGGTAGCAGGCTGTGCTGATCCGATATGCATGCCGAACGAATATGACTCGGTATATCCGTTATCCCATAACCACCCTGATGGAAGACTTGCATTGATGGTTGGGAAATTATCACCGACGAAAAAGCTCTGGTTCGTTTCTCTCCTCCCTCCTAGACTAAGACAGCCAGCAGTGAAACCCACTGTCTTACTTCCGGGGTACTTGATCTTCTGTGGTGTTGACGTTCCAAGGACAGCAAGACTTGCATTTTTCACCGTTGTCCCGTCCAACTCGATGTCATCTTGATAGGCTGTCCCACCCTCGCCTTCCAAATTCACACCGCGCATATAATTCTCGAGAGCTGCCTTCCACTGGATACCTCCTGTAGTGGCGACGGACGTGTCGTAGGTGCCAGCTCTTGAAGTAGAGCAAGGCCCCTTTCCGCAGTATGCGTCTTCGACCAGCCACGTTTCCCAGTCACTTCCAGGAAATAGATCGACATCTTGCTTGTGTTCGCCAATTCTGGCATGTATAGCTCGCCATGGGCCATCGGGTCCATATGTATTTTCTGACCATGGAACTTCTCTGGGAGTACGCTCGGCCGAGATGGTGGCGATCCGCGCCAGTATCAGTGTAAAAGCGGCAAAGGAGGCCAGCATGGTCGGAGTGCTCGAAGAAACGAAAGAAAACACAAAGATGATAACATAAACAACCTCCAAAGAGGAAATAAACTTAGAGTGTAAACGATTGAATTATTTGGATGGAGTAAACGTCTGACCGTCGGCGAAGAACGAAAGAAGGCGACAACAGGCCAAGCGGCTGGGACAGAACGAAGAAGTCCGATGGACAACTCTACAAGGCTGTTACCAGAATCCATGGAATCAAGAAATCTCGCTTGGGCAAGATTCAACCAACAGTCGACATGGGTATTTCAGCTTGGCTCAGTTGTCGTGTGTTAGGAACAACCAACATGCATGAGATAGAGGTGTTGGTACATGGGGTTTCAAGGACGCTAAATGGAGCTCTGCCAATGGATCACGACAGGATAACTTGTAAAACTGAGAGAATTCCTGCCTTCGAAATTCAGGCTGCATCTTGGCGGTCACTGCAAAGTTGCGAGAGAATATCGCGTGTTCCTTTTTCTCACCTGTACATGAGCCATTAGCAGTCAACGGAGATGATACCACTTACATATCTCAGAGATGAAAAGTAAGAAATTGGTGCAACATGACCATGTATGTGGTAAGTAATTAGTTTCCAGCAGTATTGCAATATGTCAGGGAGGGAATGTAGTTGCGGATGATTTGTGTGAAACTTAAGGCTGGCAACAGAAAATCAAGTGAGTTCAATAATGCATCTGTCGTCAAGAGTCAGCTCATAATACTCTCCTTTCCAAGAAAAGAAAAACCAAGAATATTTCCATGGGCTGATTGGTGGACAGTCGCTAAAAGCTTCCTCCTAGCCGCCCAAGTCCATGAACAATCCCTGTCAACTGTGCAGATAAGCTAACCAAGAAGCAATGTTTCATATTATAAGTGTGACCAACACGCATACATTTGCTAAAATAATATTATGCTTCGCTGGGCGGCTCCATTTGCACGACCAACAGGTGGCATTATGGTAGGGATCTTTGACAGCCAAGGCCGCCACGCCGCAGTTATCAGGACAAAGGCTAGCTACGCTTTTTGAAGCGAGGTCTTAGTCCCTCACTTTTTCTCTTGGATCTCTCGTGTTTTGTTGTGTCTGGAAAGCTCCATCGTTAAGGCTAGTTCCTGTTTCTTTTCGCATGATATTCTATCGACTTAATGAATCCTATCAGTCACTTATTTACTCACTTACATTCTAATTAGTCATACCCTTTCCCAAATGCTACTGCGACGGTGGTTCTATACTCCAATGTCGAGCTTTACAGGTTGGACGAAAGATTTGCTACCAGAGCAAAAATCTCCATTCCTTCCAAGCACCCTTGCACCGAGACGATACCGCTGGACAGGAGCCTTGGTTTTCACCATTATTGTCTTATACCTTCTTCTCAGACATGACTTTATTCCTACAGAGTCGTTGAAGGCTTCGGACTCTGACACGTCCATCGCAGTTGATTGGTCACAGTTTGCATACACCCAGTATGTCACAAGTAGCGAGTACCTTTGTAACTCGGTTATGTTCTTCGAGGCGTTGGATCGTCTCTCTAGCCAAGCTGATCGTGTCATGATGTACCCGTCAAAGATGTTCAAGTCTGAAAACGATACATCTCGCGATATTGAACTACTGGTCAAAGCTCGTGATGAGTACAACGTCAAGCTTGTTCCTATCACAGTTCAGCACAAAGATAACGCAGATGGTAAGCGAGTTTCCACAACTACCTAACTTAAACAGACCATATTGCATGGCAAGGCTGACCCGTGCATATGTAGCTACATGGGCTGATTCATTCACCAAGCTTCTGGCCTTCAATCAGACTCAATACAGTCGTGTCCTATCCATCGACTCAGACTCATTGATCCTTCAAAATATGGACGAATTATTTCTTTTGCCACCAGCGCCAGTAGCAATGCCTAGAGCTTACTGGATGCTTCCAGACAAAGACATGCTCTCATCACAGGTTATTCTCATCCAGCCTTCCAAACCAGAGTTCTCTCGGATCAAAGCCAAGATAAATTCAGCTTCCAAAAATGATTACGATATGGAGATCGTCAACGATCTCTACGGCCATAGTGCACTTGTTCTTCCACATCGTCCTTACGATATGATTACTGGTGAATATCGGGAGGAAAACCATGCGAAATATCTCGGTTCTGATGCTGAACCTTGGGACCCTGTCGCTGCTTACAATGAGGCCAAACTTGTTCACTTCTCTGACTGGCCAATCCCAAAGCCATGGATACCGACACCCGAAGACCTTCGCCTTGAGATACAGCCCCCATGCAAATCAATAAATGGTATGGAAGACTGCACAGCGAGGATGATATGGAATTCTTTCTACACAGACTTTAGGTTGAAGCGCAAGGTAAATCACCATCTTGGCTATTATTTGGTTGCTTATTTATCTGACATTCTATAGGAGGTTTGTGGGAAGAACTGGTGATCCTCTCAAGGTGCGGTCAAAGTGCCATTCTGTTTGAAATTCACATAGTACATACGCCACAGTGCGTCAGATAGATATCCAAGCGTCAATACAAGGTTCAAGCACTTAAAGTTTCTGGGTCAGACAAACCATTGAACAGGTTTAATAGTATAGTTACGATTCTAAAATACTACTATGAAGGGAGCACGGACTCAAGCTTTCTATAAAATTAGCAAATGTGCCAACACTTTGCACAACTATGCACGATTCTGACAAGTCCAATGCAAGATATGAAGTCACAAGTCTAGTAAGAGACATAAGAATTCGAAACCTATCAGGACATAAGTTGGCCTCTGATGTCAAATAAAACCTGGTATGTACTGAAGGACTTGTAGTGGCATTCCATTAAGAATATGTGTGTCATCAAGCGCTTGCGGGACCGCACAGCGGCTGAAACTGTAAGCATAAGGCGTAGCTGGGCGCTTAAATCATGTGGCATCCTGTTTTATTTGACGGCAAATTGGTTCTTATTGGCACAAATGTTAAAGCCTAATGGGATTAGCTGGTTAGTATGCCAGGTTGTAATGGGTGATTGATTGAATGAGGAAACAGAGCTTGTTGAAGCACAAATCCCAACCAGGATTTGTTTTCATCAGTGCCAGCAGCATAAAAGTTGAAATATTTTAACTACCTAGTGGTTACATGAGGCATTAGGCATGCCCCTTAATTCGGAGGTTGCATACCGGTTGGTAATATCTCGAGGAAGATCTCTAGACCTTTTTTCTTTTGACTCTAGGACCTGTATCTTCTATTAAACTACGAGGTAAATCAACGGCGTATATATATATAAATATATACTGCCCGCCGATTCTCGCGGTGCCAATGAGAGTACAAATTATCTAGTAAGAATATAGAGATGTTCTCACTTGCAATCCAAATTTCTTTCTACAGTTATTATAAGCCATAATTGCTATTAAAATACGAGATGCTTTCGACAGCTTTTATGGTGACATGGCCTCTGCCTCACAAAATTCAACCGGAAATTGGTTTCGTTGGCACTTTGTATCTAATGATACTAGATACGTCTCACTCAACACTTAACTCGATTATCCCAACGAACAATAACGGATAGGCTGTCCCGGAAATCAAATCCATGCATTGTTGGTGTTATGCCCTGTCCTATAACGGAATTAATCCGCAGATAAGCAGAATGTAATTGCCCAAAACAATTCAGGGTTTGAAAAATAGGGCTGTCCTCGACAAGGCGTGTGGGAGACAATTTGCAAGTATTGCCGGCTGGTATATCAAGATACTGTCCACTGAGATCGAATATTGTGGGCTTGAGGCCGGGTTCTCGCGATGTCCACTTTGCACTGTTGTCAATGATTTGGATCCTGAGTCTATTGCGTGCACTTATCTGGCCAAAAATTAGATTTAATAGAAGGTAACGCACCGTTCTAAGGCCAAAGTTCCAGGACGAATGCTATTCAACCGCAATGTTTTTCGGCAAGTTCGCCAAAAGCTGGCCACAAATTGTAGGCCGTGGGAACAACGGAAGATATTCTGATGTTATGAAGAATATATCCTGTTCAGGATACACATTGTGATGCCAATGCTCGTGTTGGGCATTAAAAGATGACATGGGAGCCGCTGGATCCTGTCCTTCTTCTCCTGGCTGGATGAGGTCCATGTGGTAACCCGATTTTCTTCCTGAGTACTTGCAGCTTAAATGTATGTAATTCTCATCAGCTGACTTGGCTTGACTTCTCTAATTTTGGAAGACAACCTCTCTTGATTCTGAGCATGCCATCCAAAGACCAGCGTGCCAAAGGTAGACAGAGTTGTTTTTTGACTTTGGTTCTTTCTTTTTCTTTGAGTTGTGACTTTTCTTTTTGTTGTAATTGGAGTCGTCCCAGGTGTGTTTGGATGGAGTAACACAGCGGTCTGTTTGTGCTGTCATGTAGTGGATTGCGCGATAGCCTCTACGCTGCTCAAGACATGCATTTTCCCAGATCATAAACCGAAGCTCGTTGGGAAGTCTTGTAAAGAGATGGAAGGTTGTGCAAGCCATTGTGATGGTGTATGGAAGCGATACAATTAGAAGCAATGAGTAGAGGGAACTATATGTTCAATCAACATCAATAACGATGACATAAATGTTAAGTGACCAAACCTAGTTTAATAGAAGCTGCAGGTCTCATACTCAGAAGCAAAATATCTAAAGATCTTCCTCGAGATATCGGTGGCACAAGTCTTATCATAACTATGGAAAATTTTGAATCACAACTGAGAGCATTGCTTATTATTATTAGATAACATTTTCTAATGACAGTGGCGCTATATGCATTGGCGGGCAGTATATATATATCTATTGAGGTATGAGACTTTACCAGCCACTAGGCTAGTATTACTTCTTGTGATCTAATAGTATCTGTGCCGCAGATTCACCTGGTGGTTACCAGTCGGACGCACAGTCTAGATCTGGGATTACAGCCTTATAATTGCTATGGGCAGCAATGCTTGGTTCTTCTGCCTCTTCGATGTGGGTAGGAGACAAGTTGGCCTTGTAAGTCTTGGGGTATGAAAATAAATAGCCTAAGAAGTCTGATCTAAGTAGCATAAGCTTATCTGGTGACTTCGTCTCTTGTGCTTTCAGCGGCCAATTTTAGGTACCCGAAAGACTTTCAACACTAGCAACCGCTCTTTGATGCTTTTGGCAGGTCAAGGTACGAGTCCATGGTTGCAGTTACATTTGTTTGTTTATCTAATGTTACATTTGCAACATTCCCCGCACTTCAATGAGGAGCAGCTGTTTCTCTACAAAGATCGACAAACGAGATACGACGACAAGATAAGCAGTGAAGAAAATACAAATGTGTCAGATCTCTAAATCTTGTTTCGTGGCGCTTTCATAAACATTGCGAAAGAGGCGCCATGTTGATCCAACGACATCGTCTGGTATCAATCTTGCTGGCTGCACCTGTCTTGACACTGGCCCAGGACCTCATCCCTCCCCTCCTCGAGACAGCGGATACTTTTACCCAGGATATCTGGTTACTTGACCAAAACGACAAGACAATCTACATCGACAATGAATTTGCTTCGGTAGCCGACAAGGATGGTCTGACTCTTATCCCACCTACCGCGCTTGATTTTGCGACCACTTTTCGAGATGACCTCAATCAGATCACAGGACTTAACTGGACGCTGAAGCAAGCGGACAACACTCCCAGTAACGCCAGTGGCATATTCCTTGGCGCCTATACCGGGGAAACTTCCGATCTCACGTACGAGAACGGGAAGTCGACTTCTGAGGGCTACGAAATATCAGTCAACTCGGCACGTATCACGATCGGCGGTAGTGGCGCTCGAGGCATGTGGTGGGGGACCAGAACCCTTCTCCAGCTTCTTTCTCTCTCTGAGAAAGGCACTCTGACAGCCACGTACGCAAGAGATGCACCAGCCTACGCGACAAGAGGGTACATGCTCGATGCCGGTCGAAAATGGTACTCCAAAGACTTCCTCAAAGAGCTCTGCAGTTACGCCTCTTTCTTCAAGATGAACGAGTTCCATTACCACCTCAGCGATAACTACCCACTGAACCGTGGAAAGAACAAGACTTGGCAAGATATTTATTCCCATTTTTCGCTACTGCCCGAGGATGAAGATCTGCGGGGCATCCTCCACGGTCGCGAGAACGAGACTTTATCTAAAGACGACTTTGATGATCTACAGAAACACTGCGCTTCTCGTGGTGTCACTGTGATACCAGAAATCGAAGCACCAGGCCACTCACTGTATCTCACTAAGTGGAAACCAGAGCTCGCTCTTCCCAAGAAGGATCTGCTGAACCTCACCCATCCCGACACTTTACCGACAGTACAGAAGATATGGAAAGAGTTCCTCCCATGGTTCAAGACGAAAGAGGTTCATATCGGTGCAGATGAGTACGATGCTGAGCTTGCAGACGACTACATCACCTTTGTCAACAAGATGAGTCGTTTCATCAACTCCACGTCCGAAAAGCGAAGCCGCATCTGGGGCACATACGAACCGTCCAAGAAGAACCAGACCATTGACAAAGACGTCGTCATCCAACACTGGCAGTACGGTCAATCAGACCCTGTACAGCTCGTCAAGGATGGCTACGACGTAATCAACTCGGAGGACTGGTGGGCTTATACGAGCCTAAAGAACGACCATATGCCGATTCTACCAGCTAGATACCCGCAGTTCTTCAACGAGAACCGCGTCTTCAATTTTGCAGATAAGAATGGCTGGCAGTGGACGCCCGCTGACTTTAATCCTTTCAACACCAGCATGCAACTTGATGGTGACGAGTCACGACTCCGGGGCGCTACCTTGGCAGCGTGGAACGATAACGGTCCCGATGCTTCGACACAGCTGGAAGCGTATTATTCCATGCATCACGGTATCGCTTTGGTGGGAGCTCGTGCGTGGAGCGGAAGTCGTGGGCCCAAGCTACTCGAGGAGACAACGGATACGAGCATCGACCTTTATTCCCCTCAAGCTCCCGGTCAGAACCTCGACCGTATGTTGTCAGTTTCCGAAAACAATGACACATTACTGTCTTGGTCTCGATCCAGTAACGATGACGACAAGATAAATTTGGGTCATGGAAGCAAAGGAATGAATTACACACTGATCCTATCTATCAACGGACCCTTCACTCTATCAGGCCCCGATAACTCTTTGTCCCTTGACAAAAGCGGCAATCTTGTGTTTGAGGCCGATGGATGGGAATACCCTCTTCGTCACGTCAGCAACGACGACGCTTTGAAACTGGATCCAGGTCATCCTGGTCGGATCTGGGTCAACACTTCCTCATCCACACACGAGCCCGTCAAAATATCAGTGCCTGCTGAGATTACTCTAATGGCAGATGTACTCCATGGTACGGTGGTGTTGACTGGCTCAAAGTTGATAGGAAGATTTGAAGTTTTTGTCTTTGGAGGGCGGAACACGCAGTTCAGCTGGAGTCAGATGGCGTTTGTTGCGCCCCTGGATGAGATCAAAGGGGAAGTGAGTGGCTTAACTTTGAATGCATCTACCATGTTCTCCGCGATCGACGCAGATGAGAAGACGTCCAACGTTCCAGGAGAGAGCAGCGCTGTTCCCACGACAGATTTGCCAGGCTTGATTACGGTCTTGATGGTGATGGCAATTATGATCATAAGTCAGTAAGCCGACATGTATGTTGGAACTAACGGGTCACCTTCCATCCCTTTCATCCCTTATTAGTAGGTCGCAGAAATGTTAGCCTCCAACGTCTTAGGGTATAGAAATATGTAGTTTAAGAACTTCAGTCCAAAAAGCGTAAACTGACCTACTGAGTTTGTCTCTTTTACTTCAAGCAGTCACATTGTCTTATAGCTGGAGGCCTTTTCAGTCTTGAACGCTGAGTTCATCAATAAAAATATAACACTGTCCATCAAGATCGATAATTGTAGGCTTTAGACCAGTATCTCGCGAGACCCATTTTGCATCTCTATCAATGAGTTTGATCTTATCCCTGACGTGCTTCCTTCTAAACACCCGATCGAAGATGAACATACGAAGAAGAAGTAATCCGACAGGTAGGAGAGGGTCGTTTTGATACCAGTCAAAGCCAATCTGAGGACGGTCACCTATCCAAACGTTTTCAAGAGCAATACTCCAGGACGGGTTGAATTCGAGCGCAATGTTTTTGGGAGCTTCCGATTAACAATAATACCAATTGCAACTAACCCAATAGCGCATCGAAGTCTCGTCATCTGCAGTTATGCAGAAGAAATCTTGTTCAGGGTAATCCCAATTGTAGTGGTCCCAGTATCTGTAATGAATGCGGAAAAATATTACAAGCTTTGCTATGTCCTCTTGGTCCCCTACCTGGCTGCAGTGGTTGTCGTGATGAGACTGATTGCCGCTGCGGTGGATAGATTAAAAGGAGACTTAATTCATGGAGGGAACTGGGGAGAAGTGACAAATGTTTATAAGAATGCGTGAGGGGTCAGGGTGGGAGAAGCTGAGCAAGTTGACTGACAGTAAGCGTGTTTTCCTGGTATCTTGTGGGTTGTGCTAGAAGTGGAAGAAGTGGGCTGCTGAGCAGGTATTGCTTTTGTACTGTGTGAGAATAAGGTTACTTCTTGAGCCGTACTTTTTTGAACTTAAAACTCCAGAGCGAGGGGAAAAGTTGATAATAGACTTTAGAAATCGTGTAAAGCCATCAAATAAGGATGCGTAAAACCTTGAGCTGGTCGACTGGCTCCCAGTATTGAATTTGAGATAATTCGAAAGTATGTTTTGAAGCTTCTGTCTTCAGATTTTCGAAAAGAAGCACAAAAGTGGCACAGATGGAATAATCAAGAGCCACACAATTACAGATGTATAGACCTAAACTAGACAGATATTTCCCAGAAACAGATTCGAAATGATACTTTATTCTATTATAAATGTAATCTGACATGAAGATTGGCTCTTGGCACTGTTTTCACAGCTTGGACTTTGGCTTGGTAACAATTCCGACACATTTGATCTCGATGTTGGCGTTCATAGGTAAACTCTTGACAGCAACACATCTGGAAAGCGTCAGCTGGTATGGATCGTGTGTAGAGTTAGAGATTGACTCACGTTCTAGCAGGCTTCAAGTCACCCCAGTACTCAGAATACACCTCGTTCATCTTGGCGTAATACTTCATGTCGGATAGATAAATGTTGACTTCGACCACGTCATTCAGACTTGAGCCAGCTTCGTCAAGGATGGCACCAAGGTTGCGGATAATTTGGCGCTGAAGAAGCAAAACCGCCTCGTTAGCTGTTGTAAGCTTAGATATATTGGGACGTTTGACTTACAGTATGGGCCTCAATGTCACCGTCAATAATCTTTCCAGTCTTGGGATCCATCGCGACTCCGCCCGAAGTGAAGACGAAGCCATTGGCGATGATGGCCTGGTTCATCAGGTTCGACGGCACTGCCGGAGCATTCCTGGCAGATACTGGCGTTCTAGTCATTTTTCTGGTTATTTGTTTCACTTGGCTTGGTTGAGAGGTTCAGGTTTGTGTTTGGGCGGATATTTAAGCCGCAATCGACGCCAATAGCGGGGTATAGATCTGACATCCGAAGGTCCGGGTACCTGGTAGGTAGCGGAAAGCAGAAAAGATGACCTCTACTAAAGCTTTACGATACGAAGATAAATAGCCTAAAATTATAGTCTAAACAGCATAAAATGACCTATTAATTTCGTCTCTTATAACTCAAGGTGTGGATTTTTCTAACATCCAACGGTTCATCAGCGTCGATTGGGTCGCGTCTTGTTCAATACATTTCCTACGGATTTTTCCTCTTCAGGCATGGCCTGGAGTACCAGATGGTCAGGTAGGTAGTTGGTTGGTGGATGAGTCAGGAAGTAGTTGGGCAAGCTCTCTTCAAGACCTTATCTGCCTGGGTACATTGGTAGTAAAACCTGTCATACGAAGATAGGTAGGTAGGTACCTGTCACACGGCGTTCCATGACTAAATTCCCGACATGTTAACGGGATACCGCGTCAGCACTTACTTTTTAATGCCACTCAACCCGCTGCTACGTCTTTGCACCTCAACTAGATGAGGTCTCTTCTATTGACGCCTGGGAGACAGTCTCGGAAGGCTGGTGGGAATCTTAACTCTACTCCAACGGTTAATAATCATTTGATCTTGCCATTATATAACAGACATTCGACCTCAACGTGAGTATATAGTCCTTGACGTATTTCAATACAGTATTAGATCTACTCTACTCCTTTGAAGCCGATAGTCAGATTTGAAGTCCCTTGTGCTCATGATATATTCATCCACATAAGTACCTAGCTACTTCCTACGTGTCGAGACACAGCCTCATGATACAATTTCCTCCAGGAGTAACCATGACTTTTTCCTGCCTGGTGAGATGGTGGCCTTGGCATGAGGAAGTCAGTGTAAAATGGAAGGCGCTGCTGTTGGCCCACCGAAATTATATCTTGGACATGGGGGATCCGATTCAGTTTTCCTTTTTCCCAACCCCATCTACGAAACTCGGTAAGTCACCACATGTTATACTGTACGGTCGTATCAACTTTTGAATCATGCTGACTTTGTGTTTTTAGACGTTCCAGTACATTTGGTAAGTCATGCCCTTCTCTCCGTCTCTACTAGTCAATCTGAGTGCTAACCATCCTGTTACAGAGCCCATCAAATCCAAACTGTACGCATGATCCCGCTGTTTGAACATTTTAGTTCGAGCCTTACTAATCCGCTTGTCTTTACGACTCTGCAGTTTCTCACACTCTTCACCACTGTAAGTTCCCTCTACCCTTCCCTATCACAAACTCTATCAGCCTCTGCCTGTACCTGATACTAACTACAATGGCTCTATAGAACTCAATCATCATGACAGTAAGTACAGCCCCTGTACCCAGACGGAAGTTTAGTTTGACTAACTTGAACAGAAGCATAGCAAGAACAACGTAAGTCACCTCCGGTCTTGAGACACCCATCCATCCCGACCATCATGGACCCTGCCAACGATTCAACCGATGCACCCTTCACGATTTGACACCCCACCCATCAAATGGAGGCTTCGACACCTATTACCAATACGAGACCATGTCATGAGAACCGATCGCCGCAATCATCTCTTTTATCCTGGACAGCTTGCCTATCTTTCGCCCTTGACGAAAACAGCCAGACGAATATCACAATGCCTAACATGCTGCAATCATCCCGCATTACATACACTAACATTGGAGAAGAACCCCAAGCCCAAGGCCAGGGCCTCGTCGGCCCCTTACTTTGTAAGTAAAAAAAACATGGGACATATATGATTGCTGGCTAACAATTGATAGAAGGTGAGCACATGTCTCAATCTTTTTACAGCAAAACATATTGACCTTTCGTGTTATAGCGTGGTTCGGTTGCCGTAAGTTGACACTCCTACTGTCGATAGATGTAACCAAGATACTGATATATGTTTCTCAATATAGGAAGCCGAAAACAAAATTGCTGTATGTATAACCTGGTACTCCTTTATATTATTTCTGCTAATGATATAATAGCATTTCAATGAGTTTGTTCTCGTACGAACTAGATAACACCCTGCCTTTTCTTACGCGTCATGATAACTGACTATGTGGCCTTGCCCTCAATAGCAAAATATGGCAAACAAAACCGTAAGTAATTCTATGATGGCCCCTTGATTGCATTTTCATAGATACTGATTTTTGGTTCTTATTGCAGACCGCCGAGGAGAACATCAAGGTAAGCTGTCTGCCCTATGCATCTACTATAGCTCTGACTAACAACTGTTTGTAGTTCGGCATCAGAAAACTGGCGGTGAGAATGAGCTTATCCATTCCAATGCCGATGCCATTCTAAGAACATGTGCTAATCAAATTACAGGACTGGACAGAGCGCCTGGAGGCGCGATCTTCTGGCCCCCAGGGTCAGTCAGCTGTTGACGTAAGTATATCTCCTATATACTGTTATCGCATTATTAATACATGATGTACAGGCGGCGTTGGCCAAGGAAATGGCCGAAAGAGCGGCCACTCAGGCCAAGGAGAAGAAGAAGAAGAAGAAGAAGAAGAAGGAGAAGGGAGATGAAGAGGAGAAGGAGGAAGATGACGAGGAGTAAATGTTTTTGTTTGTTTTGTTTGTGTCAGTATTCTCAAAACCTGAGCATGATTGACGAATGCTAACAATTTTGAAACAGGACAACCACAAACAATATCAGTATGATATTTTTATCATGACTAAACATCAATAAATGAGGGCGTATGGCCCATATTCAACATTCATCCAGCTTCAATAAAACTTTGATTTACTTTAAAACCTATTTCATACTCCCTACCTTCTGTGACTCAAAGCTGCAGGGCGAGGAGAGAAGTCAATATTACGCACGGTGCATATTGTTACTTAATGGTCGTTCATTGTCACGAAGATGGATGCGATGTGTGGCAGGTCATATGGTTCAATTCATTCAACGAAGTCTATTGACTACTAAAGCGAAGTCACCTAGCCGATTATTGCCACTGTCGGCAATTTACCTCAAATTCCGTACACTGATTATTATCCTCATTTCGGCCAGATACTAGATAAATGGCCGATTGAAGGGTAGTATTTTCTCGGGTCATTTCGAAGGGGAAAAAAAGTGGTTGCGCGGTAAGACTTGGGAAATCATGAAAACCTACCAGACACATTGCGGGCATTTGAGTTAACTTGTTGCACAAAGCAAACCCAATATCGAGTCATCCGGCCAGAACACCTCGATTTCTCTATAAATACACCAGCCGCCCTCTCGCTTCTCGCTCCGTTTCTTTCCCACATCAACAATCGACTTCTCCAAAACGAATTATCGCTTCATCGCACCATAGCTCACAATACCTTCCACCCTTTCCCAAGGCTTCCATTGGAACTTCGGACGCAAATCTGGGAAGCGGCATGCCTCCGGTCCCAAAGCTTTCAGGCAATTCACTACGTCACATTCAATGGATCCACGACCCAAATGGCTCCATTGAGCCATAACTGGGACGACTCAAAGCCAAAAAATAAGTCAGTCTACCTTTCGAGCGCTGGCCTTTGGACGGCTTGCCGAGAGTCAAAAGAAGTTGTCACCAAAGACTGGGTAAAGCAGCCTCGACCCGAAAACGATTGGGACATATATATATGCTGTCCAGGAGAAGAGGCCAACTATTACTTTGATCATGGTTGGCCAGAGGAAGAATATATGCCAAAAGCCTTCATGTTTTACTCTGGGGTCGATGGCGAGCACTGGCGTCAAAGCGTTTACCCTGAACAAGATCTATTCTGCCTTGTCCCAGACGATTGGGAGTTGGTGGCCCGCAATTGGGAGACTTGCGTTTGCTTGTGTGTTCCATCGGAGCTAGCATCATTGCCGTCGAATTTGACCCTTCCTGGAATCTTTGCCTTGAGAACAAGACTGAATCACACTTCATCGAGGACGTCCCTGCTTCATTGGAGTTTCTGCTAAAGTTGCTTTTCAGCCACGTACGGCATAATTTGCGTCAGGTGATCAAGCTCATTGTTAGAGAAGTGGACTGGATCTTCTTGCATTCTACTACTGTATCACAGATCCGCGATTCTGATGAAGAGTATGTCGAATTGTCAGCTCACGACGTTGAACCGTGTAATGCTGACCGAAGAGGAATACAAATTCTCCGAGACACAGCCCTCGGAGATTTCTTTGAATATCTTGATGAGGTGTATTACGATAGACTACTAGAAATCTACTGCGATGAGAACATGATGAGCACTGGGGATTATGAAAGACGGGGCCTTAGCAGGTTCCACATCCGGGATCACTTTTCCATACTCCTTTCTCGAGCCAATCAAGTGGAGAATTGATAGCCTAGCCTACAGTCAGTGGAATTAACGTTAGTACATTCATCTATGGCGGGTTACTCAGTCTGTCTTAGTTATGCTTGATTCGTGAAAACGTGGGCCAATGTAACTGAATAAACATAGTTTCACCAACCAAGATCATCACTCAACTTTCGACATGGGATGGAGCTTGCAAGTCTTTTCAATTGACACGTGAGTCAGTCCCTACATATTATAATCAAATAAAATCTAGGCACGGCCTAATGTTCTCACGATCTGCCATTGTTCTCGTCTTGAAGTTTGACTCGAGACCATGTGTCGAAACTTCTGTCACATTACTGTGCCAAGCCACTGAAACAGGCCTCAGTAACTCCTAGGTAACTCCAATACCTTTTCACTAACATAGTTCAATATCATTTCCCTACTAACAGGTGCGATTCTCGGAACAAGACATTCCCTGAACCACCTCTCAACATCATATTCCATCGCGTAGCCCATCCCCCCATACGTCAGAACCGCTCTCTCACAAGCTGTGAATGCTGCTTCAGCAGCCATGTACTTTGCACTGTTCGCCGCAACGCCAATGTCATCTTGTCTGACCGACGCATCCGTTTTGCTTTGGTCGTACAATCTCGCAGCATGATATGTAGCCAGTTTAGCACCCTCGAGCTTCATATATGCGTCCGCGAGAGGATGGGCAATGGCTTGGTTCATGCCGATTTGCCGCTTGAAAACGACACGCTCGCGGGCATATTCGCTGGCTTTCGTAAGGGCTATGTAGCCGAGACCGAGGGCCTCGCCAGCGAGGAGGCAGCGCTCGGCGTTCATCCCGTGGAGGATCATCCTGAAGCCCTTGCCTTGCTCACCGATAAGAGAGAAGGGTGGGATGTGATAATTGTCGAAGAAAACCTCGTTAGCATCTACTGCGCGACCACCCATTTTCTTGATCTTGCGCATCTCAAGACCTGGTTGATTGCGATCGAGATCGATACAGAAAAGCGAAAGACCTTCACTAGGCTTCTTGACCTGATCTAGTGGTGTCGTTCGGGCAAGAAGAATCATTTTGGAGGCGACTTGGGCACAAGTGATCCAGATCTTTTGTCCCGTTACGCTGTAGGACCCATCCAAGTTCTGTTTCGCTGTTGTTTCGAGACGAAGAGTGTCAAGCCCAGCATTCGGCTCCGTAACACCAAAGCATACACGATAATCTCCGGATACAATCTTTGGAATTGTCGTTTCAAGTTGATCTTTGGTGCCGAACTTTGCGAGGGGTTGCGTCGCGTAGACGTTCGCATGTATGGACTGGGCACCCGCCATACCAGCACCCGACTCGGTGATGGTTTGCATCATCATGGTAGCTTCCGAGATGCCCAGACCTGAGCCTCCCAATGATTCCGGAAGAGCGATACCTAACCAACCAGCCTTGGCAAGGGCGGCGTGGAACTCTTTCGGATCTTGTTCATTCTGGTCGTGCTCTTGCCAGTACGTGTTGGGGAATTCAGCGCAAATCTGACCGACAGCATCGCGGACGATAAGTTGGTTCTCCGTGAAGCCAGCCAGGCTCATAAGATGGCGCGTGTTTGTTATTGAGGAGGTGGTCCTTTGAAGGTGGGGGATAGGCGTCAGAATTGGGCGTCGCATGCCGTTGAAGCATCGTGTTACTGGCCTCAAAATCATGGCCGCTAATTTATACCGTTTCGGCGGGCTTGGAAATGGATGAAATAACTCGAACGGCGCCTTGTTGTGTCGGCTCTAGAGGTGTTGGAATCTTGTTGTTCGATGATGGATGACGAAATGCGGAGAGTGATTGTGCGGCTTATTTTGTCGTGCGGCCAATGTCTCAGTAACGCCCGCTGTAAGCGATGATGCAGCGTTACTTTCGATATCAAAGGCGTTGCCATGGACCACGGTGGCGAGGCCATCTGGATGGACCATTTTTCGGTCCAAATGCTTTGTAACGTTCAAATAACAAGACAAACAAGATGGAACGACTTACCTTGGTTGCGTCTCCTGCATTGCCTGAAGCCTGAGATCAGACCAGGTCCTCGGGTGACATCACGTGGAGGTTGAAAGAGTCGGACTTCGTCACCGTCCCCCAGTTTAGAGGGACCCTTTGGAACTCAATAACTGGCACGAAGCCCTGGGTTTGTCTCTTCCCTTGCTGTTGAGGTAAACAATCCATGAATTCCACAGACAGCAGGCACAGCTCGACTTCTGTAGTGAGAACACCATTTTTTGTTGAGGATGCAGGTGCAGTTGCCCTACTTACCCAGACAGGGGGTAACAAATGCGAACCTTGGGGATGGCCTTAGAAGAGGTAGATAGGTCGAGATAGATACCTCCTATCTAATAGGGGCGTCTCTCAGATCGCCCCAGCCTTCCTTTGGGCCTCATCGAGTAAATTGCCGTCACCCTTGATGCGAAGCCGAAGCCCAATTGAAGTTTTGCGGCCTCTGATCTGACTGCAGTGCGATGGTGGTTGGCGGAAAAGTTGGTCTCCTAAGTCTTAGGGTATAAAAATAAGTACTTAGTCTAAGTAACATAAAATGACCTGCGGATTTCGTCTCTTATGCTTCCAGTAACTAGCATTCCTACTACCCTGAGGGATGGATGGTTATTCTATCGTTCCTCCGTTAGACATAGGCGCAATCTATAGCCTCATGGCTAACTCCATTGTCTTTATTAGTACGTGAACTTGTATCTGACTTGAAAGGCAAGTATTGGTTAGTGTGCAGAACATTGTGAAGGATATGTGGACTTTTACTATTTCCAACTTCTATGTACCATCTATATTACATCAAAAAGCAACAAACACCAACCCTTAAGCATCAATCTTAGCCTTAACCCATTTTTCGAGACCACCGCGAGCAATAATCTCCTGAACGTTGGCAGGCAACTCGCCAACCTTTTGCTCCCATGATGAGCCATCCTTCTCAGTGACAACAACCTTGGAGCGACGAACATCCCAGATAAGCTTCCATCCAGTGCGGCGGGTCAAAGGCTTCTCGGTATCGTTCTTGTATGTCTCACGGAGGCGCTCAACGAGACGGGGAACTTCGACACCCATGAGGGCGTTGTTGATGCTGTTGCGGCTGAAGATGTTGCCGAAGCTGCCGGATACAACGAGAGGGATCTTCTTGGCCAGGAGGGCGGTGGCGGCTTGCTCTCGAGAGCTACCGCAGCCAAAGTTGAACCCCGTGACGAGAATGTCGCCGGCCTTGGCGACCTTGCCGAACTCTGTGTCGTAGTTCTCCATGCACACTTCGGCCATCTTCTCTACTGAGACGTTGTCTTGGTATGTGTACTTGCCTAAGCGATTGTTAGTGCGGCCACTAGAATATTATTATCAGGCTAACCCACCGGGGTAGATGCCATCAGTGTTGATGTTGTCGCTGTCACAGAAGACAATCTCGCCCTCAACCTTCTCAGGGAAACCGGGGAGGATCTCGGTCAAAGACTCTTCTCCCTCGGCAGCGGCGGGGGTTGCGGCTTGCTCAGCGTTACCCTCTGAGGTCTCAGCAGCAGCAATCAAGGCATCGGCCTCGTTGATGAGCTTGTCCAAAGCATCCTCGATGGACAGAGCCTTGTCAGCGACGAAGTCACCACTACCCTCGCCAATGATGACCTTCTCAACACCCTCAGGCTTCTGGTACCAGCCAGGACCAGCAATCTTACCCTTGAGAGCACTGGCAGCAACGATCTCAGGACTGGCAAGGTAAGCCTTGGCAGAGGTGGAACCCATGCGTCCCTACTATTTGTTAGCTTTGTCCACCCATTCCAGCGGGAGCAACATACCTTGAAGTTACGGTTACTGGCACTAATACCAACCTCACCAGGCTCAAGAAGACCTGTGCCGAGGCCGATACAAGGTCCGCAGCCTGCTGGTAGAACCTGCGCACCAGCGTTTTGCAGGACTTGCCAATCACCAGCCTCTTCAGCGATCTCCTGTTCGGGAATCGAAGCCGCGGCAATGTAAAAGTTGACACCGGGAGCGATCTTTACGTCCTTGTTCTCCTTAGCAGCCTCGCGGAAGACACGGGCAGCGGCGGCGATATCAGAAGCTCGAGAGTTAGTGCAGGAAACGAGGTAGGCCTTGTTGACGGGAATATCCTCAGCCTCGAGGTTCTTCAGGGGTGTGGCGATCTTAACAGAATTGGGACCAGCGACGATGGGGGAGAGAGTAGACAGGTTGAGGTAGAGCTCCTTGGCGTACTTGGCGTTGGGATCAGCCTCCAGTCTGTTCTGCTCCAACTCGTCGACGCGCTTATGGTTGATACGGTCCTTGGAGGAGCCACCGAACATGGCGTTGGTGGTGGCCTTGCCGCGGTACCAGGAGATGAGCATATCGTCGACAGGGAAGACACCAGCGAGAGCACCCCATTCGGTAGTCATGTTGCTGATAGTCAGACGGTCGTCGATAGGGAGGCTTTCACCACCAGCGAACTCGACGGCGTGGTTAAGAACCTGGTCGTCTCGGAAAAGACCGCAGAGAGCAATAATAACATCCTTTCCAGTAACACCAGGAGGAAGAATTCCAGTGAAAGTGACCTTGGCGACGGGAGGAACTTGCCACCAGGTTTGACCAGTAGCCCAGATGGAAGCGGCGTCTGTTCGAACGACAGCAGTTCCTAGACATCCGATTCCACCGTACATGTTGCTGTGGCTGTCACTTGCGACAGAGACAGTTCCTGGCCAGGCATACCCTGTGTTGCAGTCAGCATACCGCTTGCCTATTGCAAATTGTAGTGTCTTTACCTTCCTCAACCATGATCTGGTGGCCAATACCCCGACCGGCGGGGTAGTGTGTAACTCCATGCTTCTCGGCAAATTCGTGGATAAGAGAGTATTTCTTCAGGTTGGCTTCGGACTTGTTTTGGACGTCGTGATCGAGGGTGAATACTTTTTGGGGGTTAGCATTGACGCCAACCCGACTCGGACCCGAGACGGCTACTCACCCACTTGACGGTTATTGTGAATCCTGGAAGCGCCAATGTCGAGGAACTTCTTTGCGATAGGCCATGTGTTGTCGTGGCTCATACAATGGTGGGGAGCGAGTGCGATATAGTCTCCCGCCTTGATCTTCTTTCCGGGAGCAAGTCCTACGGCGTACTGTTGGGCGATCTTCTCAACCAAAGTCTGGGGGTTCTCGACGGTAGGAGGCTTCTGGTATTGGAAAGCAGAAGGGGTGGGGGTGCTCTCGAGCTGGGAGTGGAAAGCATGTTGTCGAGGACTCGTCTTGTAGGTACGGTACTGGGATGAGGCGAGGGCGAGAGATCGAGTGCGGGCAGTCAATGCTCGCGTTTGTAGTCGCGCGATAGCGACGGCATTGAGAGCGACAGCTCTCCTCTAGAGACATGGAGTCAGTCAAGGGTCTTGAGATGGAGGGGCAAGTCTTCAAGTTCCACTAGGCGTTGTGAAAAGGCGAAAGAAGATGGGCCATACATACAAGAGCAACCATTATGGACAATTAATTGTATGACTAAGAGAAAAAGATCATACCAGAAAACAAATTCTGGAAGATATGCGACAATGTCGGGTGGTAATAACAAAAAGTGAGAGTTTAAGTTTTAGATTGGGGATAGCTTCATGTTCTTTCCTTCAAGCCGGCCTCGGAGATGGGTCACAAAAATTTCTGGGGAAAACGGACGGAATTTTAATATCGATGTTGTGATTGGTCGGAAATTGATTCCTCTGTTCCCGGAACATGATCGCCTGCCGAAGGTGGAGCCGTAATGTTGCTGTATATCAAGTGTCTCTTTCACCATGTCACTCGCAAAACCAGACCAAATATCCTTAGAATTGATATCCAGAGAAGTCACAAAAGTGAGACTAACATATAAAATATTTGAAACTTATATATTTAACATATTCTTAGCCTTGAGAATATGAAGTATCAGCCGGGTCTCAAGGTACCAACCTATAACACAGGTTGAGAGACGAAACTGGTTTGTCACTCTATACTGCATAGGCAAGTCTACTAAGATGTGTATCTTTGTAAATTAACTCTTAGAGATTATCTCAGGCACTAAATACCCAAGTCGATTATCCCAACTAACAATAATGGACAGGACGTTCCTGAGATTGAAATTGGTTAGTTGGTGTGAATGTTGCATTAAGCGGGAATGCACTTTCTCAAGAAGGGTTAGGAACTTCAATAAAGAGCTAACCTTGGCAAGATATGCGTTAAAATTGCTGAGTGGAATCTCAACAAATTGTTCATCGAGATCGAATCTCGTAGGTTTGAGACCGGGATTTCTCGAGGCCCATTTTGCACCTCTGTCGATTAGATGTATACGTACCACCCTCCCCTTCAACACCCAGTCGAAAATTAACTTTGACAGAAGGGCCAGTTCGAAGGACGCGCGAGGTGTGTCCCAGATAAAAGGGTCTTCAGGCCTACTCTCAAGAGCAACGGCCCAGGACGGGTCGAACTCAAACGCAACGTTCTTGGGCGGGGTTTCTAGAGACTCATCAACCAGACAAGGCCAATCAAGATCTGAGGGCTTTTTATTACTTCCAGATATACAAAATAAATCTTCGGAGGGAACAACTTGACGCCACTGTTCAGCACCAAGTCTGGAAGATAACATGAGGGCTGCTGTGTCTTCTTCCTCTGGTCGCACGAGGTCTATGTCATGTCTGGCAACAACTCGTCGTGATTCTCGACATGCCGTCCACAGACCGGCGTGCCAAGAGTAGACTGACCTATCCTTTAGCTTTGAATCAATCGCTATCGTGATTCAATGGATGAACACTGCCTTCGTGTACTGTCATATAGTGAATCGCACGATAACCTTGGCGATGTCCTCGGCGCGGCTCAAGGCATGCTTCGTCTCAGTCATTATCCGAGGCTCGATTGGGAGTCGTATAGAAGGGTGGAATGTAGTGTAAGCTATGATGAAGAAATGAGTGCTTGTGAGAAGACCAATTACTGCTGTAGGAAAGCGAGGTAAATAAAAGCGAGGGACAGAGGCTCTTGGAGGCTCAAGATGTATTTATAAGAATCACAAAGTTTTACTATCGTTATTTGACTCTTAGTATCGATCTTGCGATTATTAATTTGATGTTTTTGAGTTACTGGCTGAACTGTATTCTAACTCTTCAAACAGTATCATTGAGCACACTTGGAAACAACAGAAAACTTAAAGCTTGCTGATGTTAAAGAACATAAATAGACTTAGCACACATTGCATATAGAAAATTAATAAATTACACTTTTTGTATTGAGTTAACTTGGAAACTGTAGTAGACAGAAGCTGGAAAGCATTCTGGACGGACCCATGGCAGCCTTGGCTGGGCTGAATACCTACGGATAATACAAGTCCGAAAGCATCTTATAGATCCAATATTATGTAGCAATTGAACAACCCTTTCACCGAAACCGTGAGAGCCATTAAAGAACCCTTACAAATCATCAGCAAGTCAATGAGTTGACCCTGTCGAAAACTAAATCATAACTTCCCCTCCCTCATACTTTTTATAAGCCCCGCATCACTTACAACATCTCAAAATGTCCTCACAACTCCGCAATCTCAAAGCCACTGCTTCAGACGCAGCATCACACTTGTTGGAAACATTCTCTAATAAGTCAATTACTCGTCGTCAACTCATCGATGCAAACCAACTACAAAAACTAGCCCTCACCCTCAATCGGCCCAGCTTGAACGGTCAAGACGTTTCTGAGCAGCCACCCATCGAGGGAACGCCTGTGCCGCCTGGATATCATCTCGTGTATTTCACACCAAATGGTACGGAAGAAGAACTGGGAAATGATGGGAGTGATACGACATTCAATGCTTCGGCGCCTTTTACTAGGAGAATGTGGGCTGGCGGCAAAATGACTTGGGCGACCGATGTGTCGCTTTGTGTGGGTGATCAAGTTGAAGAGAGGACAAAACTTTTGAGTGCAACCCCCAAAAAGAGCCGATCTGTTGGTGAAATGGTCCTTGTGGAAGTTGAGAAGGAGTTCTGGGGTCCCAAAGGTTTGGCTTTGACGGATCGTCGATCATGGGTGTTTAGGCCTCAGATTGATCTCGATGCTGTGCAAGAGGCGCCAAAACCTCTTGAGAACATTGTCTGCGGCCCATCTACCATCAGAGATATAGATGCTCCGAGTGAGGGTGAGTATTTTGACACGGTGAGTATACCCAGCTGACAGGCCTAGGCCATCCTATGAGAGAACTTCGCTGGTCGCCAGTCGGCCTGTTCAGATTCTCAGCCCTGACATTCAACGGGCACATGATACACTACAACCGGGATTGGACTCGGAATGTAGAGGGTCACCCTGGTGAAGTCGTCCATGGACCTCTGAACCTGATCAACCTGCTTAACTACTGGCGCGACATTCATGGTAACGGTGAAGGCCCACGAGGAATCTCATATAGAGCCTTGTCGCCACTTTATGCTGGCCAGACATACAATATCCGGACCAAGACCATTCAGGACACAGAGGATGGCAAGGCGTGGAATGTTCTCGTTGAAAGAGACGGAACAACCTGCATGAAGAGCGAGATCACTGCTTAAATACGCATCGCTTATGAGTTTCTCTAACAGACCAACACTGGAACGATAGGTTTTGTACGGATAACGGTTGAACCGGTGGGTAGGATAATGAAACGCCTGTAATAGTCCAACTCTACACAAGCGCCAATGGATGTAGCCTACAATGACAAACAATGTACATTTCCTCCCATCTAACCCAATCAACACATCCCATTCACGCTAGAATACAAATGAATCCATAACTTTTTAAGCAAGGAGCATGCGAGAAGGATCCTCAATGTACTTCTTGACGGTGTTCAAGAATGCAGAAGCCTCTCTGCCGTCAATGAGACGGTGGTCGTAGGTCAAGCTGATGTACATCATCTTTACAAATATTAGTCAATGATGGCAAGGTAAATGGTGGAAGAAGGAACTTACAGGTCGGATGACAGCTTCGCCGTTGATGGCAACGACTTCCTGTCGGATACCGTTCATGTTGAAGACAGCAGCCTGGGGGTAGTTGATGACGGGAGTTCCGAACATGGAACCGAAGATACCGGGGTTGCTGATGGAGAAGCTTCCGCCCTCCATATCCTCCATGGTAAGCTTACCATCACGAGCCTACACTGATTAGCACTTGTACCATTCATTAAATCACAGGTGAGCTCACCTTCTTGGCAGCAGCGGCAACCGCGCGCTCGAGCTCAACAATGCTGAGAGACTCAGTGTTTCTCAACACAGGGGTAACAAGACCCTTGGGCGCTGAAACGGCAATGCTGACATCGACGTAATCGTGGTATGTGATGATCTCCTTCTCAGTATCGATCTGAGCGTTGATCTGGGGAACCTTCTGGGCAGCCATGGTGGTGGCCTTGGTGAAAGCACCCATGTAACCCAGACGCACACCGTGCTCCTCGGCGACTTCCTCCTTGTACTTGGCTCTCCAGGCGATCAGGTTGGTCATGTCGACTTCTTGGATGGTGGTGAGGGAGGCGCAGGTGTTCTGGGATTGCTTGAGGCGGCCGGCAATGGTTCGTCGCATACGGGACATTTTCTCCTGCCAGACTCGGTCAGTCATGCATTACAACCACCTGCCATGAATACTTACAGCTCGCTCGCCTCGGTTGGGGGCACCTGTGCTCTGGGCGGGAGCAGAGGGCTTGGACTCCTTGGGCGCAGGCTTGGACTCGGCAGGCTTTGAAGGCTTGGGAGCCTCTTGAGCGGGAGAAGACTTCTTTTCCTCAACCTTGGCGGGCTCCTCGGAAGGCTTGGATTCCTCCTTCTTGGGCTCCTCCTTGGCTGACTTTTGCTCTCCTCCGTCACTCTTCTTAGCGGAACCAGCATCCTCGCCGGTCACGATACGCGCAAGGTCTTGTCCGACAACAACGGTATCACCCTCCTCGACGAAATATTCGGCAATGGCACCGGGCTCGTTCGCGTTGACAAGAACGTCGATCTTGTCAGTCTCGATGCTAGCAATCTCCTCATCCTGCTCGACAGCCTCGCCGACCTTCTTAGCCAAGCTAGCCAATGTTCCTTCGGTGATGGACTCGGCCATGGGAGGTACGGAGACGATATAAGAGCCATTGAGGAAGCCAGTGTTGCTGAACAGACGGCGTTGGGGGTCGATGGCGCCGCGTTGGCAGAGGGTTGCGCTGTGGGAGAGGGCAACTCGAGAGATGGCGACTCGCGATAGGCCGGAGAGGCCTGTGACAGCCTTCATACGCAGTAATGAAGCCATTGTGAGGGTTTGTCGAAGGGAGAATTGACTGGAAGGTGATTGGAGGTGAGGAAAGGATGGAGACGGGAAAGATCGTGGGGAAAGAAAACAAGTTCTGAATTAAGCGGGCCGAGATTCTGAGGGTATCGCACGGACTTGTAGTACCTTGAGAGGTGTTATACAAGCAGACAAGGAGAATAATACGTACAGGGATACAATAATTAAGACTCGAGCGGTCAACTGAAGCTGAGGATGTTTCACAGCTGTATAAATAACTGTGTCTGTAGAGTGATAGCTTCTCATTCCATAGCAATGCCTGTTACGTCTAAAGCTAGCAGAGCCTCCAATTTAGAAATATAATACGTCACTTCCTATATCAACTTCATCACCTCACTTTTGCGAACCATACCTTGAATTATGCAGTAAAATACTAGTTATGATATGCCTGATTGTATGACTGTTGTTCTCATGGTAGCAACTTACAGGGGCTCAAACGGAAAGACCCGAGTTGTTGCGCCGGACATTGAAGACCGTAGTGAAGTTCGTGACCCATGGCGGTCTTCCCGCGGAACAGCTACAGCGTGTGTCCTGAGCTAGGCTGGCATAATCAAACCATACAGCTTCAATTCCTACTTTCAACATTCGTATTATCGGCTTAACAGTTGCAAACCGGTAACCCAAGACTAAATCAGATTCACAATCCATACAATTTCTCATTTAGGATTCGATGCTCCGTAGTTTGCGGAGCAAGTTGAGGTTAGCTTGGTCAAGGTGAGCAACAAGTCGCGGCAATGTTCGGCATAGCGAAAATGACACTTCACCTACAGTCCGTGCCTCAGGCATGCGCATTTCCATTCCTGATATAAAGCTATGTTATTCCCAGATCAGTGGCTATGGATATCTCTGTTGAACTGTTAATGCATGCTGGAATGTAACAGTATTAAAGCTGGCGGGCCGATGCCGTGGTGCTGGTACAAAACCCTATTCAGCCATGACACAAAGGGTTAAATGCAACAACATGCTATTCAAGTACATCTCACAACACAGCTGATGACCAGGTGTAACGGAATTATCATGGATTTGGTATTATCCAGTGGTATCTAAGGTAAAGCTTTCATCGCTGATATGGTATCCAAAAACGCCTCGGGTCGCCGCCCTCTTTATACCTTGTCGTCACCACGTTGTACAGAAACATCTGTCTCTTGATCGACACGGATTCCTGTTTCACTTCCTTCATAGTCTTTTGCAGACGCATATTTTCGGAAGGGGCTCGACGATATCGTGGTTTGCGTGCCTTGTGGCCATTCCGCCATGTCGTATATATCTGGTTGACCACCACTGCTTGACGCCAATTCGCGCGTTGAGCTGGCTCCGTCGTTTTCACGGGATTTCGTCTTGGATACGCCTGTGAGTCGTATGCCGTTGCTAAAGGGTGCACTGAAAGGAGCGCTGAACTGAGTCGATTGGCCACCGCTGTTGGAGGTGAGGAAAGATCCTGGTAGGATTCTGCGGGCCACTGGTCGAAGCATTGGAAGACAAGCTGTGTATCAGTCAGTACGTGGTCGACATCAACAAGTGCAACTAGGGCATACCAGCAATTACGGCGAAATTGCACTCGGCAATAGACCAAGCGTAATGAAGTCCCATTTGGAGCGTCATCTCCTTAGAATCCGACTCAAATTTGAACGATTCGATAAGCACGAAAATGGAAGCAAGACATGTCATAGCACCAAACGCAAACAGCGCGATGACAGCAACCTTCTGGCCTTTTGGCAAGTGAAGTTTTCCAACCTCGATAGCGGGGAGGATAAGGATAGCGCAGTCGATCAAGACATGCGTCAGTACTGTTGAGAAGAAAAAGGTCGATTCTTTGATGTGGCATTTCGCTGCCCTTTCCTCTTGGGTTCCGTCCCACAATGCTGTCAGAGGCAAGCATTGCAAACACACCATCAGGAGTCGTAATAGGAACCATGCAACGGTAATGCACGAGAGTACTTGAATGGGTATTCGGATATCGGAGAATTGGAAGAGGCGCCAGTAAAAAGCGAGGATAGCGAACTTGGAGAAGGCAATGGCGAAGGTGTAGGTAAAACTCGTCGTCCACATATGGATCCATGCCAGTCGGTTCTTGTCGTAAAAGGTAAAGTCGTCTGTAAGTCCAACCTCCATGGGCTTTCCCAGTCCATCCTTGATCCATATCATACCATTCGTCAACAAGGCCAGTGAACCCAGCTTGAAGCAACGTTAGAGTTTGTCATTCACGTTCGGGTATAAGACATACCCAGCCAACAACGGAAAAGGCATCGTCGATGCCATATCCAGCCTTTGTGATCCGCCGCGCAACAAGTCGAGCAATAAGAGCCAAGGTCGCAAGAGGGAGAGTTATGGCGGCCGAAGCAATGATATTGGGGGTATCATTCCTCATGATGCATCATCAGGGTTGTTACTGGACATGGAGTTTCACTGTGTCCCCACGATCGATGACATGCAGTAACCAGAGCAATGGTTCAGGTACACAAGCGAAGCAAAGATCCAAAAACAGAAGAGAGAAATGGAGAAGTATTAAAGAGAATGGGGCGAAACTGGAGGAGTAGTGACTCGACTTTATCTGGGGGGACCCATCTAGACAGGCCATTGAACCATTTTTTCCCTCTTCCCCAGACCCGGGAACTCGTAGAAAAACGGGCCATCGTCGAAACTAGAGCCAACGGCCAGGCTTGGAAATGGTTGGTGGCACTATCAACTCCCCTGGCGCCTCTAGGGCCCCATGGGGACAAACGACGCCTCAAGGTTTTGTGATGATGCGGTAGCGGATCAGGTCCCTTCAAGACCCCACTGATACCGAATGTAAGGCTCTTGATTTGACCCAGGTCATGCGCTGAAGAAGTCGATCATCCTCGACATTCTTGTTTGGGAGGATTAAATGGTGATCACTGTGGCAAAGCTCTTTTCTGCTTCACTTTCGTTGTCCGTGAGTTTGCGGCAATTGTTGCTCTGTTGGATGCCCTTGTCAACAACGTCTCGTCTGACATTTAACTGCCAATTCTAGGTAATACTGCACCTGCTATGTCACGCATTGATCAACGTGCGCCTTGTTTTCAGCTGCGACTTCCAGGGGCTTCTAAGAAGCATCAAACAACCTACCTATTTGGGCGTAGCCAGTATTCCTGCTCTAATCAACCCAATGAATTGCTGAACCGCAAGGAGCAGAAGATGGTGTGAGCTAAACTGCCAGACTGCCTTCTAAGATGATGTTGTCTAGCATCAGTTTGTCATGCATTTGGAGCATCATTCCTCTTTGTCAGGGAATGCTCGCCTTGATAATATTAGGGGTCCCAGTCCTTGTTGCAGCTTATTGCTTATCTCAAATTACCGACGTGCAGGAACAAAAGCCAAGGAGAGCTATTCGGACCTTTAGATATTATGGATCCAGGGCCACGACATGCGCTTAACTGGGGGTGTTATCAATGTTGCGAGTGCAAATCCCGACGGCACCGAGGTTAATCACCCGATGAAGAGAAAGGTTTTCACAAACCCAAGGCCAGAATACTAAAAGACGACCTAGTAAAGGAAGGGTTGCGAGCCGGTGAACTTTAATACAAGTGTCTCAGATAATCGTCCGGGAGAACGGACACAAAGCGTGGCTGACACGCGACCGATAGCGTCACATCTCTGCCGTTCTCAACGTCGTTAACATCAAGGCTTGCCAAAACCCAAGGCCAGTATCAAAGTGCGTCTTATCGCGGACAATTCTCTCCTGAGAACAGTTCCATGTCAGCGAGTTCCACTGAGCTTATCTCGTGTTCCACAATCGAGGACTTGTGGAGGATCTACATATCCCTCTCACTGGATATACATGGCCCCCTGGCAAATCCGCTTAGTTTCCAGCAATTCTTCATTGGATGTTTCGGCTCGACGTTTATTCATGAACTTGCCAATTCAGACTTTGCCTTACTCAGAACAGCTGTCTTTACCGAGCTACATTGGTAATGTTATTGGTATGATCTCAGCAATAAAACACATTGCGTCAGGATAACGATTCAGCGACGTGGATGCATATTCTATGTTCCAGAAGCAAGTATGCACTGAACTAAGCGGGCTTCAAATAGACCCAAGAAAAAGCAAGTACTAATTAACAAGTCCGAAGTCTCGAACTTTTATCATCCGGCCTAAGACGCCTACGCTATGCACAACCACCAACTACTGCGATTCCAGGTCCCCAATTGACGGATCCTACTCCGCGTGACCACTAATTCCGCCCTTAATTCCATCTAGAATTCCAGACCATTGACCGCCGTGTCGAATCTTTGACACCTCAGAAAACTGATCGCAAGCAATCTTTCGAATCACGAGTGTATCCTTAGCCTTCTTATGGTTCTTTCCATTACCGTGAAGCAGATATTCTTCGAACCACGCTTCCTCAGACTTGTCGAAGGGCAAGAAGGCGAGCTCAGTGGCTCGGTCCGAAAAGTTCTCAGTTCGATCGTCCAAGACAGCAGCAATCAAATTCTGGAAAAGCAGCTCCCGGGTATGAGGAGGATAGGTTCGAGAGTAGAACAATGCCTCGGAGATGTTTGTGTGCGCCATCGCGTTGAAGAGAAGCTCGAGAGCAGCCGACGTCTTAAGTATAGGCTGCACAGCGTAAAAGTACGATAGCGCGATGCTGTAGTCGTGGTCCTCGGCGGACCGAATAAGGACGGTGATGATGTCGTCTGCAAAGTCGGGGATAAGAGAAGGGTGCGAGATATACTCCAGCGCTCTCTGTACGAATATTGTTAGCAATAATATGACTAACGCAGTCGCAAATCTTACCGAAAAGTCTCGGTGGTCGAGATACCACAGACCCTTCATGAAGATCTGGTACTTCTTAGGCATGCCAGATGCGTCCACGAAAGCGTCGGAAACATTGTCGCGACCTGACATTTGGTCAAAGTCGAGTAGTATGTAGTAAAAGATAGAGAATCTGTGGTGTGTAGACATGTTGGCTTCACAAACTTGGTGATGAAGCTGTTTTAGAGCATTGTCGGTCTTCGGAGGATAGATTTTGGCTGTTACCATAAAGTTAGCAAAACCTATTTCGGAGTATCCCATGGCCAGGTTTTTTACCCTTTGTAATCCCGACAGCTCTAAGAACACGATCAATAAACAAAGCGCCATCAAAAGTCTTGCGAGACGCCTCGGTTTCTCGCTGAGTATCACGATCGTAAGGGTTTGCTATCCCTTCGGGGAAAACGTCGTGAAGATTAAGGTAGTCGAACATCTTGGGCGGTTCTGTTATGATCAAATAATAGACCAATGCTGCGGTAAAGCAATGTTTTGATTGATAACTCAAGAGCTTCAAAAAGCTATCGCGAAACCGGCCAAGTCAAAAAGTGAGGCTCCGTCGCGACATCACGTGAAGCTCGGCTGCGGGGCGGCCAGCCGGTACGTACTTGTTGTTTACATGGCCGATTCCAGGTTGGGACATTTCTAAACAAACGCGGGGCGCAACCGTTGAATTTGTACAACTTCCTTTCACACAACAAAGGCCGACCCCGGAGCGTAACGGTCAAAGGGTTGTCTTGTTTGTATTAACATTTCTTTCTATAAATTTTGTCGCAGTTTTGCCTTGTCTGTGACAAGAACAATCTTTCAAAATGTCAACCCCTGTTAGGCCCCGGCGCGCAAGGCGCACCGCCATTGTTGATTCTGACGATGAAGACGATGTTTCCAACCGCTCTCGAGTCCAAGACGAGGAAGAGGACTTTGAACCAGAGCCTCAACCGGCCAGAAGAGCAACTAGAAGTGTGCGCAAGTCAACAACACCAGCGCCCTCGGTCGCTTCGACCCCTAAACCCCGAGGTCGTCCCAGAAAGACAGCTACACCAGCAGCTACACCAGCAGCTACCCCAGGCGGCCCTGCGACAGATACCAGCGAGGTTTTCGAGGGCGATTCAACAATTAAGCCCGAACCGGTTTCATCACCGGCGGCCATGCCTCCACCAAGGAAGCGCAAGAGTGTGGCTCGAAGCTCTATCGCATCTGCGTCTGATATTCCACCTACACCGCAACCGAAACCCCCGAAAACTCCAGAGTCTTCACAGAAGCCACTGGCGGCTTTGGCCGACATTACCGATGCCAGTATGAATACCTCAAACGCCGACGATACACAGCCTATGATTAAGCCAATCAAACCCATGGATACCATTATGGAAAAGCCTATGGATATTGTATTGAAGTCACGGACAATGGTCATCCCCGCTGTTGAAGACACAACACCGAAGTCACGAATTGTCCTGACACATCTTGTCCTCAACAACTTCAAGAGTTACGCTGGTCGACAAGAAGTCGGTCCTTTCCATGCCTCGTTTTCCTCCGTGGTGGGACCCAACGGTTCAGGAAAGTCAAACGTTATCGACTCTCTGCTCTTTGTCTTCGGTTTCAGAGCCAGCAAGATGCGACAGGGCAAGATTTCTGCTCTGATTCATAACTCAGCTCAACACCCGAATTTGGACCACTGCGAGGTCGCTGTCTACTTCCAGGAGGTTATGGACCAGGTGAGAACAATGACTTCTAGACATAACCGCAAACTAACTTGCTTAGCCTGGCGGTGGCCACGAGGTTATCCCCAAATCAGATCTTGTCATTTCACGAAGGGCTTTCAAAAACAACTCGAGCAAATACTACATCAACGGAAAAGAATCCAACTTCACGACAGTCACAACCCTCCTCCGCGATCGGGGTGTCGATCTGGACCACAAGCGTTTCCTGATTCTTCAGGGTGAGGTCGAGTCTATTGCCCAAATGAAGGCCAAGGCCGGCAACGAACACGAAGATGGTCTGCTTGAATACCTCGAAGATATTATCGGAACATCCAAGTACAAAACTCCCATCGAAGAGTCGGCCGCCGAGGTCGAAACTCTTAACGATGTGTGCATGGAAAAGAGTGGCCGTGTCCAACACGTTGAAAAGGAGAAGAACAGCCTCGAAGATAAGAAGGATAAGGCTATCGCTTTCATCCGGGACGAAAATGAGTTGGCGATGAAGCAGTCCGCTCTCTACCAACTTTTTATACACAAGTGCAACGAGAACCTTACTGTCACGGGAGAAGCGATTACACAGATGCAAGCACAGCTGGATGATGAACTTGAGAAACATCAGGGCAGCGAGCAAATCATCAAGACCCTCAAACAGGAGTACGATGTGGGTTCCAAGGAAGTTGAGATCAAGTCAAAGTCGACACAGGCTTTGCTCAAGGAGGTGGCAAAGTTCGAGCAGGAGCGTGTCAAGTTTGACGAGAAGCGAAAGTTCCTTGACGACAAGCGCAAGAAGCTCGAGAAGACAATTGCCAACGCCGAAAAAACATCGGTCGAAGCAGACGAAACCATCGAGCAGTGTGGAGAGGAGATTGAGACGCGAACTCAAGAAATCGCCGAGCTCGAGAGGCAGGTTCAGGCTGCTGAAGCTGAGCTTACTCAGATCAGAGAAAGCCTTAAGGGCAAGACGCAAGAGTTTTCTGATCAGATCGCCGCGCTGCAAAAGTCTCTTGAGCCCTGGAACGAGAAGATCAACCAGAAGCAATCGGCTGTGGCAGTCGCTGAGAGTGAACTCAACATTCTCCAGGAAAAGGCCAATGCTGGTGCTGTCGCCCTTGAGGAGCTCCAGTCGAAAATCGCCTCCAACGAGGAAAACAAGTCTGCCAAACGAGCCGAGCTCAAGGCTTGCCATGCTGAGAAGGCAGAGCTTCTCAAGGAGGCGGATAACATGAAATCTGAGCTGTCGGTTCTTTCTGAGCAGGAGCCCAAGATTCGCTCCAAGATCTCAAACGCGCGTCAGAAGGCTGATGAAGCGCGCTCAAACTTGTCTAATACACAGGTCAGAGGTAACGTGCTTTCTGCTTTGATGCGCATGAAGGAGTCGGGTCGAATCGATGGTTTCCATGGCCGACTGGGCAACTTAGGTACAATTGATCCCAAGTACGACGTCGCCATTTCGACAGCTTGTGGTTCTCTTGACAACTTTGTCACCGAGACTGTCGAGGCTGGTCAGCAGTGTATCGAGTATCTCCGACAGAACAATGTTGGACGAGGTAACTTTATATGCTTGGACAAGCTGAGAAGACGGGATCTTTCGCCAATCCAGACTCCTGAGGACGCCCCTCGACTGTTCGATCTCGTCACTGCCAAGGAGGACAAGTTCCGACCTGCCTTTTACCACGCCATGCAGGATACCCTTGTCGCTGCGGACCTTGCTCAGGCGAACAGGATTGCGTATGGTGCCAAGCGATGGCGAGTTGTCACTCTCGCTGGTGAGCTGATTGACAAGTCCGGTACCATGTCTGGTGGTGGTACAACTGTCAAGCGAGGTCTTATGTCTTCCAAGCTCGTTTCAGATGTCACTAAGGAGCAGGTTGCTAAGTACGAAACCGACCGAGATGGCTGGGAGGCAAAGTTCCAAGAATTCCAGGAGTACCAGCGAGAGTGTGAAACTCGCCTCAAGGAGCTGAACGAGAAAATTCCCCAGCTCGAAACCAAGATGCAGAAGATTGGCCTCGAAATTGAGAGCGCTGAGAGGAACATCACCGATATGCAGCGACGCATCAAGGAGATCAGCAAGGAGCACCAGCCCTCTGCGACAGACAACAGCCGCATTGCTGCTCTGCAGAAGGAGATCGCGAAGCTCAACAGAGACATCGAAAAGCTCCATGGAGAGACATCCAGCGTTGAGGAAGAGATCAAGGCTCTGCAAGACAAAATCATGGAAATTGGTGGTGAGAAACTTCGTGCGCAGAGGACCAAGGTCGATGCCATCAAGGAAGAGATTTCCTCCAACAACGAGGAAATCTCCAACGCTGAGGTCCGCAAGGTCAAGGCGGAGAAGCAGAAAGTCAAGCTCGAAAAGGACCATGCCAAGTCCTCCAAGGAACTTGCAGCCGCTACTCGTGACCTTGAGAAGCTGGAAGACGACATCAGCAACCAAGGCGAGAGGGCCGAAGAGCTTCAAGAACAAGCTACAGTGGCTGAAGAAGGATTGGCCGCTAAGAAGCAGGAGCTCAAGGCACTCAAGGCCGAACTCGACGAGAAGACAGATGAACTGAACGAGACAAAAGCAATGGAGATCGAGATGCGCAACAAGCTTGAGGAGAACCAGAAGGCTCTTGCTGAAAACCAACAACGATTCCGTCACTGGAACGACAAGCTGTCAAAGCTTGTTCTGCAGAACATTGACGACCTTGCTGGTGGCTCTGCCAACAGCCAGCCCAAGCCTCGGTCAAAGCCCAAGCCTCAACAGACTGACGATGTCGATGGAGACATCGACATGGATGATGCTCCCCAAGACGATGTGGACATGACAGACGCCCCTGAAGAGGAGGAGCAGGAAGATGCTGACGAAGAGGAAGAGGAAGAGGAAGACGAGCAAGTCAATGGGCAACCGAACGAGCTTCCGAAATACACGCCTGATGAGCTTGCTGATATGAATGAGAGAACACTCAAGGGCGAGATCGCGGCCCTAGAAGAAAAGACCCAGAACGTCAACGTTGATCTTGGCGTCCTTGCTGAGTACCGAAGACGAGTGGAAGAGCACGCCGCTCGAGCCTCCGATCTTCAGACTGCTATTGAACAGCGAGATTCTGCCAAGAAGCGATGCGACGACTTGCGCCGCCTGCGCTTGGAAGGTTTTATGGAAGGTTTCAGTGCTATCTCTCTTCGACTCAAGGAGATGTACCAGATGATCACTATGGGAGGAAACGCAGAACTGGAGCTCGTTGACAGTCTGGACCCCTTCAGTGAAGGTATTCTGTTCAGTGTCATGCCTCCTAAGAAAAGTTGGAAGAACATCAGCAACCTTTCGGGTGGTGAAAAGACACTTAGCAGTCTGGCTCTTGTTTTCGCCCTGCACCACTACAAGCCAACCCCTCTGTATGTCATGGACGAGATCGATGCCGCGTTGGATTTCAGAAACGTAAGTACCACCCTGACCCTGAGACACTCGGTTGCGAGTCGACCACCAGTGTTCACACTCGCGTGGGCATTCCACATCGAAGCTCTCATCCTTCGTATCATGACTCTTGCTAACATGCCACCCAGGTCTCGATCGTTGCCAACTACATCAAGGAGCGTACCAAGAACGCCCAGTTCATCGTCATCTCGCTGCGCAACAACATGTTTGAGCTCGCGGCGCGGCTAGTGGGAGTGTACAAGGTCAATCATATGACCAAGAGTGTCACAATCGAGAACAAGGACTTTATCGTGAGACCGCAAGTGCAGCAGCAATCATCCCAACGAAGCCAAGGAGGGAACACCGCCACGATATTGCCATTTCGGTAAAAGGGAGGAAAGGTAGATAAAAGGTACTTGGGTCTTGTATATGACGATGATGATGAATATGGGTTTGGGCACGGTCGGAGATACCTTAATGATATGGATGGAGACTAGATTTATGATTATATCCAAATGTTTGATGTTTCTTGCATATATTCTCACTTGCAGCATTACTTGGAAGACTGGACTCACTGTAGAACTACATAAACCTTGTCAAGACGTTGATGTCAAAAGGTTTACCGACTCAACCATGCCACGTCTATCCAACAAGCCGTTATGACAACTCATCGCGACTCAACCTGAAGTTGTCCCCCTTAGAGCCGCCACTCGTATCACACTCGCGTCCCACGATCCAGGAACCCAACTCTCTCCCGTACTACCTCAGCGAGCGCGTTCTAGGCCAGGATTTGGGACATCAAGGATCTTCCAAACCACTCACCTTCGACTAGACTCGCGAAAATGCGTGTTCTTTGACACGATGCAGATACCCGCTCGATTTGGCAGACGCACATGCCGTGGTACACATCCAGATGCAGAAGTGCCGAGGGTTTGGGGGTCTTCTCGGCTCAGTATGTGTGTCTTGGATGTCACTGTCATGTTTCGGCAGATTCTGCATTGTTTTGAGAGTTGTTCTTATCTTGGACAGACTTCGGCAGCACGATGATGCTCAGGGGGGGATCATCCGCTTGGATGGCCTTGTTATACAGTTTTCTGACGCCTACGATGAGAGAAGTGGCCTTGATCGATACAGCAGCATCTGTACGTCTTATAAGTAACGTCCAAACGATCAGTCAAGCGCTACTTTCACTCATCATCATCCCAAATACACTCGTTTGCTCAGCATCATGTGGATACTACTTCTCTTCGCCGCTCACTTAGCTTTTGCCTTTTCCGCCAACTGGAACGAGACGGTTTCTTGTCCTCGTGATGCACTCTACTCTTCTCTTGTTGTAGATGGCGGTGGCTTCTGCTCGAGTGTCTTGGAGGGAAACCACTGCGGTGCGGGTTACAGTACTCCTGCTGAGTATGTGCGGTATAATCAGACGCGGATAGCTTCCTACGTAAGTTGTCTTCTAAACTTAGGGGAGATGCATGCTCATTCGTTATAGTGTGCGTGTATTATTACGAGTTCAGAGGCTATTACGACGTCGAGAAAGTCATCCGGAGCGACAACGCGGGACGATTCTTTCACGGCTGAGTCTTCGGATACGTGGACTACTGAGGAGGAGACATCAGCATCTGTGGGGCAGCCTGCTTCAGGGACCTATCCTGATATAACAACAACTGAAGTATCTGAAACGACATCCAAATCACGGAATCAGACTCGATCTGCTTTGACATCTTCCGTGAAGACTACAGAAAATGTTCCGAGGCCAGGTCCTTTTACCAACACAAGCAGTCCAGTCACAGAGACACTTAAGACTTCCTCGGAGGCTGCCAACTCTGGGAACATCACCGCTGGATTACCAACGAACACGCGTGGTTCCATTTCAGAGTCATCTTCAGAATTCCAGAACCAAACGTCTGGTATACAGCCTACTTCTCTCTTGACTCAGTCTGGCAACCAGACCCAATCTCGACAGTCTAGCACGGATGTAACGCCTCAACCTTCAGATACGAATATCCATGAACCTGGGATGACGCTATCTGGTATCACAAGCGGTTCACTATCGTGGTCTATACCCGGGAACACAACGTCGAGTCCTTCGGGGAGTGGCACACGTCCGACTGGGTCAATATCCACAGGGTGGAATTCGAGTTTGACTACTCCGAGTAACAGTCTTCCTGGGACAGGAGTGCCTTTCCCCAGTGGACCATTGTCGACGACTCCAGTGATCACGGAGACTGGTATCTCGTCGAGCTTCAGTGCTGACCCAGGTTGGAATGTCACTGTTTCTCAATCGGCTGGTAACGTCTCTGTGCCGACTATCAGTATACCCAGTGTGACACTTACGTCTTTTCCAACCTTGTCCCTCCCGACAACCTCAGCGCTCACAAGCTCTGAGATTTTGTCGAGCAGCACTGTGGCCTCTGGCTGGAATGACACTACATCGGGAGGCAATGGTACGATACCAACCCTCAGTCTACCCAGCGAAACACTCGCTCCTTTTCCCAGTGTCACGCTTCCGACGACGCCGCTCACTACGGATTCTATATCCTCAACTATTGATAGTGTGTCTACAGGTTGGAATAGTACGATGTCTGCTTCCAGAGGCAATGGTTCAACTCCGACTGTCAGCATCTCAAGTGGCACATTTGTACCGCTCCCGACATTGTCATTGCCGAGTCAATCATCCTCAGAGGAAGCGACTCCAAGCACAACTTCAGGCAGTAGCTCTTTGCCTCCTAGTGGCAATGTTTCTGTACCGGCTGTTAGCATATCCCAATCCGAAACACTCCCCCCATTTCCTACTACGCCTCTATCTTCCCCAATTCAGCCATCCATACCAAGCACTGGGCGGAGCGACAGCGTGGTACCGGGTTGGAACATGACTGCATCTCCGCCAGGTGGGAACGTCTCGGTGCCAACGATCAGCCTCCCCCAGACAGGGACTTTCGTGCCGATTCCAACACTATCGCTTCCGAGTGATTCTCTTTCTATCACCTCTGGGGCAACAAGCTCGGCGTCAAGTATCACTGTACTTCCTGGCCAGAATGGTACTACTCCTCCGACAGGCAATGCTTCTGTGCCGACAATAAGTTTGACACAGCCTGGCAATCCATTGCCTTTCCCGACCATTCCATCCTCAATCGTATCTCTTCCGACGCTTTCTGAAGATACTTCTATGGCAAGTCACAACGAAAGTGGTTGGAACACCACAGCCGATGTGTCTGGGAGCGTTGGTTCTGGTACAATTACTAACTCCTCCGAGTCAGGAGCATCTATGTCTCTTCCGACAGACTCCGAGATACCTCCCAGTATTACTCAAAGCAGTGGTATAGGATCGAACCTCACATCTTCCATTTCAGGTGCCGTCTCTCTGCCGACTATCAGTGTCCCGGCATCGGAGATCCCAGCATCCATCCCAAGTCTGCCTTTCCCGACAGACTCACTCGAAGTTCCAACCAGTACCGAAAGTGAGAGTGTTGTTGCTGGCGGTAACACAATAGTCTCTGCGCTAGGGAGTACCGAAGCCGTTACATCTTTCTCGAGTCCTGTGGCCACGGCTTCAACGTCTGGTGGCGGTTCCAGCGGTTCTGAATCTGGTAGTAACGCAACGACCACTGGCGTTCCTGAATTCCCCACTGCTAACCTCACACATGTCACGCGAACCGCTTCCCTCTCCCAAGAAACATGCTATACTCTACCAGACGATCCAGAGGGCGACGCAACCCGCCGAGCGTTGCTGTTCAACTCCAGACTTCGGGAAGACAATGTCTCGATTCCCATGCCATATATAGAGTCCGTTGAGTTTGAGAGCAACGGCGTGAATCCTCTGTATCTCACAGTTCGTGATGAAGAAGGCGGGACCTACTTTGTCGACATTTCCCACCGCGGGCGGCTTTCAGTCGTGGATCCTGCTGGGTACCTGGTGACACTTGACGCCCAGGGTATTCACTTCTCGGGAAGTAACTGCACGTACGACGTATCCATCACAATTGACGACATGTACACGCAGATAGCCGAGCTCGCTGGTGTACAATGCGCTGCTCTCAGACGGCAGAAGCGCGCCAATGATCTAGACTTCAGTCAGATTCTGTACCTGCATGACCAATGCGGTAATGTCGTTGACAAGTCACTGAGACAGTATCCTCAGCTTCTGGTAGGTGACACGGCCTGCGCGGACGTCGCCGTTGACGAAGATACGGGACGTTGGAATTTTGGCTGTACGTTTCCGGGTTCTCAATCTGGCCCTATGAGATGTCAGTGGGCTGTCAAGAATAGCATCATCGACTTCATCACCATCGATCCGTTTGGTGGCTCCTGTCCTGACTTGTCTACGGTCGTTACCACGCTTGAAGAGTCGGGACAAGACATTGTCGATCCGTCCCAGCTTCGACAGGATCTTGCCAACCAAGGTTTGCGGACTGAGAGAGCGAGACAAGAGGCGGATGAAGCTGTCAGTGCCTACACTCTTCTATGGCAAGCTCTCGGGGCTATGTTCTCCACAAGCGCAGGTTCCTCTAAGGGCGCTTTGGAGAAGTACATCGATGTGTACAATTCCCAACGCAGTTTTGAGAACGACATCTGCCAGGCTCTTCATGAAGGCGAGATCCCTCTCAACTTGACCCTCATCGCTGGCGCAACCAAGATCCCTGCCATCACAACTCTCAACTGGGCGCCAGAATCACTACGAACCTACAACATTACCGTCCAAGATTCTACGCGAATCGCATGCTGTCCTGATGCCAGAGTTGCAGAAGGCGACGGTGCTACGTGCGCATATCCCCGAGAAGCCATCATACCAGGAACGGGATGCGTCTGTGGTACGACTGCTGGAGGCGAAGGTATCGCATTTGAGTGGACTGAGTGCGGGAACTTTGCAGGCAGTTGCGAAGCCGATGGGGATTGTGGTGATGGATATCTTTGCTTGACAGGAAGTTGTTGCGGTGGAGGAGTTTGTGTTGACGCATATGCTTGTTCGGAGAATGGGACAGCTTTGGTACAATTCAATGGCGGGTTCTAGGGTAGTCACTGTAAATTATATTGAACACGAAGTAGAACTAATAAACGACGGGTATTGGAATGATCAATCAATCGGAGACAATGTAGAAAACATTCTTCAATTTGTTTTGTTTTGTTTTGTTTTGTTTTGTTATTAATGTATTATTTACAATGTTGTTTGTCTGTAGACTCAGCGAGGTTGGTTCCGTGATGATTTTGTGAAAAATATATCTGTGCACATAACTTCGTGAAGCATCACGCACAACACAATTGATGTTTGCAATGACCACAGTCCATAATTAATCACGTAATTCAACAGAGATACAAGTTCTATGGATTCTTGATGTCATGTTTGAAGATCCAAAATGCTTTGCAATCGTATACCACTATCCTGATGATATCACAAATAGTGGACATGGCACAAGTAGCTGGATACAAGATGAAAGGGTTGACATGACGCAAATAAAAGCTATTGAGCCCTTCTCGACATGGCACATGGAGCACACAAACATACGAAAATTCACAGTACTTCACATCAGACGGAGGAACCAGAATAATTTTGTCAAAGACGCGTAGACATCAAACGTCGTCCAGTTGATTTTTGGAATTTCTTAGTCTCATAATCCCAAAGGTATTCATCCCATCCATTTTTTGAATGCTGCTATCATAACCGGACTCCATCCCAAGTATCAACCCATCTAAACCTTAGGGGTAGTGGGAACGATCTTCTTGCCGTCCTTGTTGTAACGGACGCGAGGAGGAGGGGCACGGTTGCGTCGGCCGACAACGGATCGGACACTATTATATTCATGTCAGTTGTCATAAATCGTTAAATACGTACCAGGAGTATGCAACTGCGCTGGGGCAGGCTGGAATATGTTTCACATGGTACCACCAAGGTTCATCTAAAAGCACATACGCAACCATGGCGCAGTCGTCACACTCCTGGATAGGAGGACAACATACCGGACAATCTTGCCGTGAATGGCGCAAGAGACACAGTACTGCAGCTTCAGGTACATCTTGGGGACGGTGTACTCCGCGAAGACGGAGGCATCGGAGATGTCACCTATAAAATTGTAAGCGATTGATCGAAATGAGTGTCGGGTGTGTGAACGTACGGATAGCAGCAGACTCAACCATGTTGCGGATGGTGAATCTCTTGATGGCCTTATCCTTGGGGGTGCATCGCGAGCAGTTGCTGCATCGGATGGGCTTGACGTGGCCGCGGCCCTTCTTGTTTCGGCCGCTAGAGAGCTTGTTAGCACTTGATTCAGAATGCGGAAGTGCCAATGCCGTTCAATCGTTGTCGAGCAGCATATCGCGACGTGGGCTAGAAAGCATCATCGTCGGCGGTATTGCGATGTGATTGTAGAGGGCTGGCTGGCGGGCGAGGGAGGGGAGAGTCGTACTTGTTCTTTCTCTTCTTGACCATTTTGACGGTTGCTGCTGATGTTAATTCAGGTGGTCCACGCAAGTGAAGAAAGAAAGAAGAAGAGAAGAGACTCACTAGAATGTGCGTTTGACAAAAAGGCGTTGACGATCACAGCAGTCCACTTTTTCGAATGTTGGTGGGTAGAGGTAGGGCAGGAATCGCTTGCAGGAGCGCTTGCTTCAGTGACCCCACTACACCAGCGAACAGCCAAAACTGTCAGGAGCGAGGGCCGCTCCTTCCAAAAACCCTAGGTCATGTGACCCCACTTTCTCGGACTTTGAGAACTTCTAAGCCGGCGCCTCCACCAAAAGATCTTCTTCAACCCATTCGCACCATCTGAGGATTGCTTAGGAAGGCAATAATCTTATTGTCGAGGTACGTCTGAAAGATGCTGCAAATACCCGTCTCTGTCTCTGTCTCTGTTGTGATGGCTTCATTGCCTTTCACTTGAGAATTACCGTTTTTTCCTTTTTTGTTCAATATCCCACGATCGCAATTCTTCCCGCTCTGCGCACGTACCCTCGACGCTTCGGACTTTGAGCATCCCCTCATTTTCGAATCCTAGAGAGAGACCGCATTCGGGCGGAGACGAGAGAAGAGACGGCGAATTGCTTCAAATACTCTTGGACAAAGATTCTAACCGTCTCAGTTAGGCATCATGCAGATTTTCGTCAAGACCCTCACGGGGAAGACGATCACCCTTGAGGTGGAGTCTTCCGACACCATTGACAACGTCAAGTCCAAGATCCAGGACAAGGAGGGCATTCCCCCGGACCAGCAGCGACTTATCTTTGCTGGTAAGCAGCTCGAGGATGGCCGCACCCTGAGCGACTACAACATCCAGAAGGAGTCTACTCTCCACCTGGTCCTCCGCCTCCGTGGTGGTGGTAAGAAGCGCAAGAAGAAGGTCTACACCACCCCCAAGAAGATCAAGCACAAGCGCAAGAAGACCAAGCTGGCCGTCCTCAAGTACTACAAGGTCGACTCTGATGGCAAGATCGAGCGCCTTCGACGCGAGTGCCCCAGCGACACTGTAAGCACCACTTATATCTTTGATCACGCCTATCAATTACTAACTCCTTTCTTAGTGCGGTGCCGGTGTCTTCATGGCTGCCATGCAGGACCGCCAGTACTGTGGTCGTTGCCACCTCACCTACGTCTTCGACAAGCAGTAAATGTATCAACACGGGATTGGGATTGATTGATGACGGAACGGATTGGGTGCCAAAAATGGGCGTTGAAAGGCTGTAGCACAAAGCACATCCGGTTTCTGAAATTATGCATTCACGCTTAAGAAGACAAAAAACATGATACCAACTTGTGTTCCTCGTGAATTTGATTGTAAAACTTGTGCACCATGATATTCGCCACTCCACATTTGTCGAATTCACGATTTGACAGCCAACTCCTACAAAATGCTGCTGCATCCGATACTCTGATCTGGCCATGTCGTTCAAGATTTTAGATCGCTCATTCCTATCAATTTTTGAATTTCGTAGCCTCGCAGGAATTTCTTGGTGTCTACTCGCGAAATTTCCCTCGCCAGAGCCTTGTTTGCCCTGGTGGAGTACTCAACACCAAGACGGGGGAGTGGAGAGCGTTCTGGAGAGGCCGCAAACTACGGAAAGCCGGAGATACTCGCTGCACGGAAATAAACTAAGTGGACATTATCGCTGTGAGGTGTTTTCTGCCTATGCCGTCTCGCAATATTTGATTATTGTACAATTGTCTCGACACTCATCATCATAGTCACAGTTCAATGCTCAGTCTTCAGTGAATTGCGTGTTTTTGTAAACAAAGGGTATGAGTTTTCCCTCGTAGTGAAAAACAGTTTTACATCAAGCCAAATGCCCTCAAACGCCCAAAAGCCAGAAGCCAGATCAGATCCTACAAAAACTCCTCAAACAATTGTGCAAGGGCCTCTAGGGATGCCAATCACCCGCCCAGGACAGTTTGATGTCCTCGCGATGTAGAACCGTAGAGGTGACCATAGTCTGGCACCGTGAGTTGACATCGCTGCGTACTTGGCGGGAGATGCTGGCTTTATAATCCCGAGTCCGACCACCCTTGCGCAATGTCTATCATGACTGAAGATGCATCTCCCGTTATCCTCGTGCCCAAAGTTCTCAGCGCTGGAGCAAATTAGTGTCTACGAGACACGAAGGCATGTCCAGACGCTGGCAAACGATTGGAAGAGCTCTACTCGTCATCCGCAGCCTTGGACTTTCTCTTCTTCTTCTTTTTCTTCTCACCGTCGTCCTCCTTCTCGACGGGGGCGTCCTCTTCCTCTACCTTGCGCTTCTTCTCCTTCTTCTCCTTTTTGTCCTTCTTCTCCTTCTTTTCCTTCTTGGACTTCTTCTCGACAACAGGAGCGTCGACCATCTCCTCGTCGGAGCCAGCATTGTCGCCGCCGTCCATGATGTCCATAACGTCCTTCTGCATAGATTGTTAGCAATAATCAGTAATCGCATGTCGAATCAACGTACCATAACGTCGGCGTTCTTGGCGGGCTTCTTGCCAGTAGCGTAGAACTCTAGTCGGTCCTCAACCTGCTGCTTGAGGGCCTCACCGAATCGGGTGGAGGGCTCCTCGGAGAAGTTGTCGATACGACTGGCAATACTGCACTTGTTGGCGAGGTATCGAGAGATACGACCCTTGTTGCGGACACCGGCCTTGCCGATGAAGCTGCTGTGGTAGATGAGACCGTACTTGGGGGTGTTGCTCTTGGTCTTGAGAGCGCGGAAGAGAGCCTTCTCAGCACCGAGAATCTGGAGAGTAGAGGCAGGGTACTTAGAAAGGTTGGTCAGAGAACCAGCGTGAGAGATGAGGCGGGCGGCGACAGGAGTGCCGATGAGGGTCTGCAGGTTGGGGGCGATGTCGCCCATCTTCTTCTCAAGGTAGAGGTTGGTGGACTTGCGGTTGTCGGCCTGCTTGACGACGGCCTCGGCGAATGCCTTGATACTCTCGTGATCGGCCTCGGAGATTTCGATACCCATAGAGACCTTGGCGGCGTCAATGATGGCCTGGGCCTTCTCACCGTCCTCCTCAACGAGGGCGGCAATGTCGTGGAGCTTGTCGTCGTTCAAGCTCTTCTTGTCGCCGATGGCGAGGACGAGCTTGCAGTAGGTGTAGTTGTCGGAGACAATCTTGACGAGCTCAGGGAAGTGCCAGCCGTACCACTCGCGAACGCGCATGTAGAACTGGTTGACACCCTTGTCCTGGAAGTCGATGGTTGCGCTGGCCTGGATGATGTGGTTGTCGTTGCGGGTGACGCTGAACTTTACCTTGGCACGGGAGTAGGCGTGACCCATACCCAGACCGGCCTTCTCGACATCACCGTACTTGAGTCCACCGAGAAGCTTATCGGCGTGCAGTCGGATACCGCGAATCACGTCGCCAACGATGTCAGAAGTATCGGCGGTCTCGCACTCGAGGCCGGGGAATTGAGCCTTGATCGCACCAGCGAGGTTCTTCTCGGAAACACCGAGGACGACCTTGGTCTTCTTGCCGCTCGTCTGGGGAAGGTTGAGTTCGAGGACAGACTTGAGGTAGTCAGAGACGATACCCTCAGTGACGAGGTTGATGTTCTCAAGAGCCTCGACGTGACCCCTTTGCACACAGTCAGTAATCGCGCATCGACTGGCATCACGAAACCGAGTTAAAAATACCTGAAAGGGCTGAAGTTGGTCAGCTGAACCATCTTGCCAAACTTGGCGAGATCGTTAGTAGCAGCCTGGGTATCCTTCAACTTCAAGCCAACCGCATCCTGCTGATGCACCACCTTGAAGATGGCATAGCCCACGGGGCTTTCGTAAAGGGCGTAGTCGATGTGCGACATGATTTCGTTCCCTGGTGGTGCCGCAATTGGGAATGATTCCGCGTCGGATGGGTTTGGTGATGGCTCGAGACTTGAGATTTTTGCACTTTTTTTGCAGTTGGAAATTTTCTGGCAGCTTGCGCACGGGCCAGTGTGGCTCATGTGGCTAGAGAGTGAGCACGTGACTCGGTAGCAACTCTGTTTCTAGAGTCCAAAGTCAAGATATCAAAATGGGGTTTTAACTTCTTATTACAGTTCACTAAAATTAATTAAAGTCATAGAACTCGTAATGGATATTTTTACTATTCATTTATTCATGTTATCACTATGAGTCGTTGCAAACTATCATCAATGTTTCTGCTTCCTCTGACCCACCAACTCCACTTTAGCGCCTCAATTGTCCGGGAACCCATTTCGCAAGTTATCGTACTTGGTCGCGGGATACTCAATACAGTTGTCCTGTCTCATGAGCGCTCCCTGACCTCCGAATCCGTTCACAACCGTTGTGATCAAACTCTGCTCGCCCTGCTTATCCGCGCTGCTCTCCCACCACATAGCGCCTCCCAGCTTCCACCTCTTCACATACTCGGCCTTATCCCAGGCGACCCGCGGCGTGTCGTAGGTGACCATGGTACGTGACTGAGGGTTGTAGCAGTAGCTGGCACAGCATCCTCTATCTCCGTACTCTTGCGCGCCCTCTAGGGGAAGCGCCTTGTAATCGTAGACTCCCTGTTCCCAGGAACCTTGTCCAACGCCTTGGTAGGGGCGGCCGGGACCGTCGGTGTTCTCAAAGGCTCGGCCGTAGAGTGGCATGCCGAGAACTATCTTTGAAGGGTTCACACCGCTGCGGACGTAAAAGTCGATGGCAGCAGAGGTAGAGAATGGGGTTGATACTGGGTTGTCGTGAGATGGGTACAGGTTGGCCTGATGACCCGCAGTTTGGTCCCAAGAACCAGCATAGTCGTAAGCCATGAGGTTCCAGAAGTCGAGGTATTGATCCATTCCACGGATATCGAGCTTCTGGAAGTTTGTCGCACCGGCTGGACAGGCCACAGTCAACTCAAAGTGATAAGGTTGGCTCAATGTCTGTGCATATGCATCCATCTCATGACGCACGGCGCCCAGAAGTTCGACATAGTTTCTAGCCTCGTTGGCATCCTGGGGGTACTCCCAATCGATATCTATACCGTCAAAACCGAGGTTCTTGATCAGATCGACACAGCTCTTGGCGAATGTGTCACGTCCTTGGGGTGTGCTAGCGGGGCCCTTGAAGTTGCTACTGAAGGTCCAACCTCCAATACTGAGAAGAACCTTGAGGTTTCGGTTACGTCTTTTCAACAGGTTAAGCTGCTTCATGCAACCGTACAAGTTGGTACCGACATCATTCCAGGAATCTCCATCCCAATGAATATCGGTATCGGCCCATGAGTCGGTGAGATGGCTGGCATACGTGAGCTGGACGGTTCCACAATTAGACTGAGGGAGTACAACTTACACTTCGCCAGAGTCGCTACGAATATTAGCGAACGAGTAAAGAATATGTGTCAGGTTCTCCACGGGAAGATCCTGAGGACGATGCTTTCGTGCATAGATAGCCCTGTTGTGCGTTAGCTGAGCTGTCAATGTGATGCATACAGGGTAGCTTCTTACCAGTTGACGAAATACGCAACGGTGCGGAAACCTTCGGGTCCACCACCCATTTTGATTGAAGTAAAGGGACTAGATAAAGATGTATTTGATAGGAATACTGCAACTAATGCAGCGAAAACGGCGGTTATAAGTAAAAGGCTCGCCCTGGTACGATTTCCAAGGCGTAGTCTTGGCTGTCTCTGTGGAGGATTCGTGATGATGGAGGGGCACTTGGAGGGGTTTTAGGTGGGGAATGAATCACTTTCAGCTTGTAGAGAATCAAGAGTGAACTATGAAGCAAATAAATATATCAAAGAGAGGTTTGTTCTTAACAAATAATCAGTGAGATATAAGAAACGCGGAGGCATCCAGGTTTCTCTTACTCAGCCGCCATCTTTCAGCTCAAACAATCCATGCTTTTGCGTCGTCATCTGCGGCGCTGATTTGCGTCTGAGCGGCCAAGCGTGGCGGTGCTTAAACGTGGCAATGCTACCAGCGTCGTACCTTATTAGTTGCATGACAACACAGCTTGCCATGGCATTGGCAGCTTGGCAATATGATATCCAGGAATAGCATAACTGTATTCATTTATTATAATGCTTGTCATTCAGAAGACAAAGTGAGGCAAGTAGTAATGCATATCGGATTCAAGACGATTATCCGTAATGAAAAAGCCGCGAATCGTAAAAGTCATTCCAAGCAAGGTATCTATGAATCATCGCAAGTCGTTCCATTGGTCCAGCCGTATAGGACTCTTCAAAACACAAAAAGGAAATCTTCATTCTCCAAGTCAGTGGTATCTCCAAACCCTTTATCACCGTCCTTCTGTTCCGTCCTCTCGCCTTCCATATCGTGCGCTTGTGATATTCTATTATGCTCGTCATCAGTTGCTTCGCGAAGCGTTACACCCCCTCGCAGTGTTCTCTCCATGTGTTCTATCCTCTCCACCTCTTCTGCCGTCTCAAGACTTCGATCAACCAGTACGGCGCTCTTTCCGAGTGCAACTCTACGTTGGCTGTGAATCCGGTTCAGCCGAGAAAGATGCATGGATGTGCCAGCGACGAGGGCAACAACGAGAACATAGAGTGCGAGGTTTGCTCTTAGACCACGAGTATAGGCTGGCGCTTCGTCAGGGGAGTAGAGTAGAGGACCAACGATATTGCCGGCCGAGGCACTGATGAAGATGAGCGCGGAAGTGGTCTTGCGTTTTGTGTCACCTGCTGTGTTCTGTGCTGACCATGAATATATTAATGGGGCTGCAATGTGTAAGTCTAGATCAGTATCGAGAGCACGATCACCAGCACTTACTGATACCAGTAAAGGTACACAAACAGAAGTACCCAGCTAGACAAGCAGCCTTATTCTCGAGACTATGCGCAAAATGCAAGAGGATAGCACATCCAACAATTGGTGGCACACACAGCATAGCAATGACTGGACCCTTGAGCTTCCACTTCATTGATACGTAAGCACTCGCAGAGACGGCGATGATGTGCGATATGCCAACAGGCACGTTGAACAACATGGTTTCAAAGGGGTCTGATACGAAGGATTTGATGATCAGAGGACCGAAAGTCGAAATCCCATTCGAAGGGACCGAGATGCAGAAGATCATGGCGACCCAGTACCAAGTTTTGAGGTCCTTCAATGCCTCTACGACATGGGCAGTCCTCCACTCGCGAGACATAACACCCATTTGGTTGTTGCGAAGGCGTTCGATGGCAATGAGCTTGTCTTCATCGGTAAGGAACTTGGCTTCGGTAGGTGAATCTGGCATCCAGAAGAACATGACAAAGGCGACTCCTACAGTGATGGCGCCAAAGAAGAGAAAAATGATCTTTCGGCGTTAGCCGGTTGATTCCGTTGAGGTATCTTTGACGTACCTGATAGGGCTTCATCTTAGACTCGATACTCGCAAGTCCGTATGTGATAAGACTACCGAGCTGACAAGCAATATTAGCATGGCCATGAACCGGAAGAAGCTATACTGACCACCCATGTTAACCCATTCATGCAGTACCAAGATCCAATTCTTAGTGTTTGCTCTCTTGGATACATTAGACGCAGCTCTATTAATCGGATATCAACCATACCTTCTCCTCCACCACATCTGGGTAATGGCGATGAAGCTCGGCCCAATACTTGCTTCAAACGCACCCAGAAAGAATCGCGCAATCATCAACGTTCGAAACTCTTTCGCCCAAGTCATGAGAATCAGTGTCGTTCCCCAGGCTAATACCATGGCACTTGTGAGTTTTCCGATGGGCAGCTTCACTAGCGCAAGCGCAAGCGGAGGCTGCATGATCAGCTGCGCAAGGAAAACAATACTTCCGAGCCATGAGTACTGGTCGCCTTCAAGATTGGTATCCTCGATGAGCCCAAATATCGAAGCATATGACAACGTTGCTTTGTCGAGAGCTTGAAGGAAGTAGACCGATAGCATCAAAGGAAGCAGGGCGAGATCTATGCGACGGAGGATGCGGGCATCGTCGGCTGGTGAAACAGTGATATGCTCATCGGGTGAACGACCCATCTTGATGAGAAGCATGGCCGCGGCATCGCGATAAGGCTCAGTTCTTGCATCCTGACTCCTCTCAGCATCCTCCATGGTACTTTGCGACTCGTAACTGTTGTCATTTTGAGGAAGAGGCTGGTACTCTGCCCGCGATGTCTTTGAAGAGAGGAGAGAAAGCCTTCGAAACATGATTTGCCGGTCGTCGTTGCCCCATGAGACAAGACTTTTGGTGGACGAGAGTTTCTTTATATTTAAAAAGTTTATTTGCTTATAAGCCGAGAATCGGGTGAGGTGAGGTGTTCGTGAGACTCGAGAAATGACGTCGGTTGGCACTTCAAGCGAACCAGGAGCTTTGATTAGCGAGCGACATGTGCTGAAGACCCTGTAAGTTTCGGGGGTTTAATGGTCGAGTGCACAGCGCACGTGGGGGGATGTTGACAGGCGACCATTGATCTTGACGGATACGATTAAAGTCATCAACGTTGGTTGTCCAGCTGATAGACAATAGTTAAGATGATAGTTCAGACAAGAGGGCAAAGTCTTTAGATAGAATTTGAGTATCGGAATGTTGCTTCTATCAACAAGGTTACACTGCTCAATGTCCAAGAATTCGTTCCAAGATAATACCCCGGCACAAAGAAAGCCACTGCAGACGATGGGCTCGAGTCATGTGGACCTGATTGCACCATCTTCAACTGATACTCGACATTGCTGCTCATTCCGCACAGTCTTTTACAACTAGATCCATATTATTCCCACATCTTGAACTTGTCCTATATTTATTTATAACAGTCACTCTAGATTACTACTTTGATAACGAAAATCTGCCTTCCCCTCCCGTGTCTGTCCCATTCGTTTCACATTAAGCGCCGGGGAACCATGTATAATCTTCCCCGGCTGTGAGCTGAAGAACAAAGTCCTCTTCCTACGCGCTTCCAACATGTACCGCTCAACCATGATTCGACAACTCACCACCCTCTGGCGGCTACACCTTATCGTGAATCCACCGCCGTACATGATGTCAAAAAGGCACAGGTTTCACTGTATTATCCCAGAACCAACAGCATTAGACAAGGAAGAATGGATAGGATGAGAATCCTTCTTAATGGCGATCTTTCGCTTCCTCTGATCTGACTTTTGGTATGTTTCGTATTATCGCATTCTCTCGCCTGTGCTGCGCATAGACTATAGCAACTTTATTCTTTCGTTTTCGCTTCAAACATGGCTAAAAGTAATGGCTTCATCGGTTTTTTCTCTTCTGACTACAACACTTTTATTTCTCTCGTTTTTACTACGCCCATTGCTACAACGTTATTATGTCTTTCCCTCAACGAGACGCTCTTCTCCGGAGCTTTCCTCAATTTTGTCAACGACAACCGTCCTTCAGTCCAATTCGCCGTTCAGATCATGGCCAACCTTATGTCTGCTCTACAGATAGTTGTTATCTGTAGGGTTATCAACCTTGGTGTTCGGAGACGCCTCAAGACTAAGAGTATGAGTCTTGATCAGATGCGAGCGTGGATGGACGCCATGATACCACGTATCAACTGGGATTTGCCCTTTGTATACATCTTTCTTTTGGGTCTCTTGGTCTCGGTTTCTATGGTGCTCAGCGCTATCTGGGCTGCTGCCATGACACCTGTCGAGACCTTTGAGCACATCCAAGGCACTGTCCAGATTCCAAGCTGGGATAATATCACCCATATTAAGGAATATCCTTCGGAAGTTGGCTCAGTAGGACCTACCAAGCATACTGCCCTTGGCAAGTTCACATACTCAGTGGGGATCCAAATGCTGGGCAGTCTCCTCGCTTCTGCTGCTTCAGCATCACCCATCCACAACTCAACACGCAACCATGAGAAGCTAGATCAAACAGGCTACAACTACGTTGGTCGATCATACGGCGTTGGCTCCTCTCCAGGCCTAGGCGAAGTTCACTTTCAAACCGGGCGTAGTGTGCTCGGATGGGAATACCAGGAAGTAGGATACCGCGCCAAAGTCAACTGCATCTACAACGCATCTACCGACTTCAATCTCTATCAGGAGGACTCTGTTATACGTTGGGCTGCACATGGAGAACTTCCTGATAGCGACGACGGATATGAACACTCCACTTACGTCGGCTTCGGTGATGGAAATGCTGTTGTTGCCATTGGGGTTGCGCACTTCAAGGACAAAGATGCAATAGTCGCTCCTGAGAGAAAGTACATCGGCTTCGCGGCGGGAGGCTTCTATAAGTTCCTGAACACGACGCAATGTGAAGTTGACTTTGAGCCTACGCGGTTCAACGTTACGGTCAGCAGTCGAGGCAAGAACATTACCGTTGTACCAACAAACGACACCAAAGTTCGCGATATGGATCCGACTCGTTGGATAAAAGGCACTGTCCTTCGTCAGTTCGAGTTGATTGCAAACGATGAGACAAACCTGTATGTATCAACCGTTGGTACAGCTTTTAACGCCTCCATCACCGACCATCGTCTTCGTCTTGAGATGAACAACACACTCACTTCAAGAACATCCACAAACGTCACTCTTGAAGGCGTCGAAAACGCCATCACGGCCATGGTAGACGATATGTTGGTAGCATATGCCTCGGCGCAATTCATGGTCGGAGAGTTCCAAGACGAAGTACCAGGCTCCATCCGAGTCACAGCCGTCATCATTGGCGAAAAGAAATTTGCCATAGCCGCATTTGCGCTAAACATGGCCGTTGTAGCGCTCTTTCTACTTGAGGCTATTCGGACAAGAGGCTGGAAGGGAATAACCGAGTTTGATCCTTCAGATATTCGCCATGTGATGATCGCTGCGTCTGAAGGCGGTGCAAATCTCGCACAGGTGGGATTTGCCAACAGAGATAAGTTGGGTAAAATTAATGTGAGGGTGGGTGAGACTGGGGCTGGCAGGTTTACGCTGGCCATTGATGGGGAGGTATCACCCTCTGTCAAGTATGAGAGTATGAGGGGAGCTAATGGTGGTAATGATTCCGATGTTGAAAGGTATAAAGCGTCTGTGGCTGAGACTATCAGTACCAGATCCCGAGAAAGGAGTCCATGAATAATGTAGTATATTTATCTACGACGTGCAACGCAGAAGTCGCCGCTGTCAAACAGTAATATGAATTGGAAAATTTCGAGTATTAGATCTTGAATTATATCGTGTGTTGCTCTTCTTATCATGACATTTTATCTTTAATCGTGCATTCATTTGTGAAAATACTAAAAACTTGCGAGAACATCGACGACTAAATCTCGTAACCATCAAACCTCTACATTCTTCTCCAATGTATCCATTTCTGTCCAGTCTTACCCACAGATTCACAAACTCGCTACAAACCAAAGTTAGCAAGGTCACATCATCACCATCTTCAGCACTTACCTCTTTGTTGTCTGCAAAGTCAGTGTAGAAGCTATTCCAGATATCTCTATCAGGACAACTCGTCTCACCTTCAGGACAATCAGGTTGGTTCTTCAGTCTAGTCTCAACATCATGAATCCACGGCTTCGGAACAGGCCAATCCGAAAAGTGCACAAACTTGGCCTCGCTAAGCACAAGAGTGGGATCCCACTTCTCACGCTCGCTGCCCAAGTACGCGGTGTGATCCTTGTTTCTGAACTCGGCTGTGAGCATGTCATACTTGCGATGGGGCAAGATGAGAGCACTGTCGAGGTACAAGCTGTTTACAATCTCCATGTCGTAGTCGTTGGGGCCGATGCTGTTCATCTTTTGCACGATACGCTCAAATTCCACGTCGTCAGGTTCAATGAGCATGACCTGCGATGAGAGAATCCTCTTGGGAGGGTTCTCGTTGTAGAGCCAGTACGCGCGTGGCATGGCGACGGGGCAGGGAGGTAGTTGGAAGAGTTCGTCCATATGTTGGAGGACCATGCTGTCTGAGTCAAGGGAGAGAACTCTGTGATATTGGGTTTGGTTGAAGGCGAGGAGCTTGGTGAAGGAGTCGGCCCACGTTTCTAAGAATAGTTAGATAAGGAAGAGGAATAAGAGCAGTAGGAGGTATACCATCTTGTCCATCACGATGTTGGATCTCAATCGGTTGAAGAGTAACGTTGTACTCATCGCGAGCTCTGATAAGAAGCTGTCCACCACGTTTGCTTGAGTACGCAGCATCTGGCTCAAGCATCTCCTTAGGATACATGAGCAAGCGATCAGCCTTGCTACCAAGACGATGCAATTGCTCAAAGATCATGACCGAGTTGCAGAGATAGTCCTCGTTAGTGACATACTGAATGTAGGCAAAGCGCGACCAATCGACATCATCGTCGTCGTCATCATCATAGTAGTCACCGCCATCATCATCATCATCTCCGTCGGTAAACTCTTCTTCAAGCTCCCCTTCGAGTTCCTTTCTGAGATCTTCTTCCTCCCAGTCGCCGTCATCGTCCATGTTGAGGAAGACCTCAATTTCGTCGTCCTCCTCAAAGCCTATAATATCTCCCTTGTCTTCAAGCGCCTCAATCTCTGCATAAGAGAGGACATGAGGAGCAGGCGTAGCGTTAGGATCGTGAGTAAGATTTTCCTCAGTTTCGTCTACCGAATCGAGGAATAGCTCGTGATTATTCAATTCTTCGGGAACAGGAACATCTGTGGCATGGAAAGAAGCAAAGCAGGTAAGAAATACATAATAAGAAGCAGCGAGGATAGCGAGGATGGGAATGATTCTCGCCAAACGCACCGCGATGAACGACGATGCCTCACCCATTATGAAAATTTGTTTGCGGCCAGTCCAAAATGAAGACAGAAGCAGCGGGGAAAAGAAATCAGAAAACTATGCGACAGCATTGTGAGATTATTAAAGGAAACTGGAAAGCAAGGGATGAAAGATCATTCAGGGATTGGATTGTTGAACATGTTCCCTTGGCTGCCAAAAGTGACACAATGTCTCACAGTAGAACTAATCTAACAAAGGGTAACGGCGCCAATGTATGGAATTTGACGGTAAGGAGATCGCTAATTAGGACTAGAAGGAGCGCCGTACAAATAATTTTGTCTTAGACCTCAGTGCAAAGGGGGCATCTGGAGTTTAGGGGTGCATTTTCTCATTCCAGACGTTGCCGTTAAGCCATCCCTGATTAAACAACGAATGAAGTAGACAAGACTCTAAGAGCCTTGATATTCACCTGCCAATAGCCAAGTATAAGGCTGAATTTGAATCGTACGGTTGTTTCATCATCGCAAAAGAAAGGAAGAACAATAGTCAAAATACCAATGATCGAGAACGAGAAAAATCCGATCGTGACGCTGGTTTTGTTATTGTGACTGCTCATATGTTGATCAATGCATCAATGCATCAATGCTGTCATCTTTGTAACAAATATGTTTCGGAATTGAATAGATATGATTTCCAATGTTTAACAGACAAGACTCTTCAAACCTGACCTTCATTTATGCCTCATTTCTGTCCTGCTTATCCTTCTTCTTCCCCTTCCAATGCGTTCTCGCAATCTTCAACAGTCCCCAAGCCAAAAGCCTATACACCACTACACAAGCCGCCAAACACGCAATGTTGATGACAGGATCGACGTCAAAGTTGTACAACTCCAGAACCTCTTCGCCGGTCTGGATCGGACAGTTCCCGTTCTCAAGTCTCTGATCGTCATTGCATGTAAACTCGATACCACGCAGGGAATACGGCGCCACAGCGCGTGTGCCGTACCGGATGGGCGAGAGGTAGTTGAAGGCCTTGAACAGCTCGGGCATGTCAATGGAGAGCACGCCAGCCATGGTATTAGCAAGAGCCAGGAACACGCCCATTATGTTGACGGCGAAACCAGTGTGACCAAAGAGCGTGTTGAACATGATACCGAGACTCTCGCCGCAGGATACGATGCCGAAGCACGCAAAGACGGATGTGAAGTAGAGCGTTGCCGTGCGAGGGAGGTCTACCGCGATGACGCCCAGAACACCGAATATCATACAGCTTATCACCTCAAAGGGGACCTCGAGGATGGTGTAGGAAGCGAGAAAAGCATTGACGCTATAGACGCCGTCGTCGTCTTCTCGGTAAAACACATCGCGCTCGCTGGGGTAGATGGCTGTATTTTGCAACATGCCGACAAAGTAGAACGCGCCGATTTCCTGAACAAAACCCATTCGGCTCTGGACAGAGTAGTAGTCGTTGTCAAAGGGAGCGAAGAAGAGGGCCAGGATGAGAGCAAGACCGATAACTTGCATGAGACGAGCGACGATGAGCTCTGGTTGACGGTAAGTGTTGATGAGAGCACGATGGAGAAGGAGAGGAAGTGCGGTAGTCATAGGGGCGCGTTTACGGATGAGGGCGCCTAGTTCGGCGGGCGTCGAGAGGTTGGCTTTGTTAAAAGATCGACGCTTTTGCGGTGGTGAGGGCGGAAGAGTCGCGCCCTCCTGCGTAGTCTGTGTTTGATCTGCAGAGTCCGTATTCTGAACCTCATCCTTCTCTTGGATATCAGAGAGTTTCTGGCCTTTGGTCGATGCACTTTCGGCTTTCCAATTATCAATCATACTCTGAACCCGTTTACGAGACTCGAGCTCTTTCCCTTCCTGCTGCAAATCAATCGTGATCATATCCAAGGCGAAATCCGCAGGGTTGGTGTGCTGAGGACACTCGTACCCATGACGCGCCAAGTATCCAAGCATGTCTCTTCCAGGGCCAGAGTAAACCTGCGAACTACCACGTGCCAAAAGCAACACGTTTCCAAATTCCCTAAAAAGATCAGATCGAGCTTGGTGGATTGTGAGAATGAGGGTTCGGCCTTCATTGGCGAGACCCTGGAGGACTTCCATGATGGAGTTTGCGGTGAATGCATCGAGTCCTGATGTTGGTTCGTCGAGGAGAAGAATACGAGGGTCGGTCAATACCTGAACTGCAATGGATACACGGCGCTTTTCTCCTCCAGAAATACCCTTGATGAGTTCACCGCCAACGAGGTTATCGGCACAGTCCTTTAGACCCATCTTGAGGAGAACTTCTTCTGCTCGACGGTTCTTTTCATCTTTACCCATGAACGATGGGAGGCGGAGTCCAGCTGCAAAGCGAAGAGTCTCACGGACAGTAAGAGACGGCAATAACGCATCGTCATCTTGGCAGACATAAGAGCACACTGATCGGATGACCGAATCCGAAGGACGAGCCCCGTTGAAGGTGAGTTTTCCCGCTGGTCGATACTTTGTCCCGACAGAATCGCGTAGTCGAAGAGCCATGGCGTTGAGGAGCGATGTCTTTCCACTTCCCGAAGGTCCCATGATGACGTTCAACACTCCGGCACTGAAGGTCGCATTCACTGGGTTCAAAATAGTCTTTGTCGGCAACTTCTTGCCCAACTGCGTTCTTTTATCCAAAGCCAACGAAAATTCGTTCAGTTCCAAATCGATAGTACGCACATCAGCAACAGAGCGCGCAGTCATCTTCTCCTTACCAGCCGATAGATCAGTGTCCGAAACACGAGCTCGAGCAATCGTCATCTCGACCTTGATGATACGTAGTCCAATAATCGACAGCACGAAAAAGAACACGACAAAAGCCAGGCAGACGAGAATTGGCTTGGCGACCCAATCCTTTGGAAAGCCGAGAGATTCCATGATATATGATCCCGTATACTGCTTGCATCTTGGGTCAGACTCATCATTCGAGGCGGGACAGTCGTAAAAGCTCCCTTCAAATTCGTTACCGCAGTACGCACTAAAGACGTAGAACTGTTGACGTTAGTGTCCATCCATCACATGTTGAGCGAGGAGATCGTACCGTGTAAGTAAGCCACTTCAACCAACGAACGTAAACAGGAAGACTGTTGACGTTGATAAACATGCCGCAGGCCATACTTTGCAGTGTAAAGATGAGATTGGCAATCACACTCGCGCCAGCGAAATGCCTGACTGTTGCCACGCAAACCATGGCACAAGTAACAGCAATATATTGGTTGAGAAGTGTGATGGCGAAGAATGTGAAGAACCGTTCCACATCTCGCTCGAAACCAGCCATAAAGAAAAAGAGAACGGAGAAGAGGAATGGTGCTGCGACATCTTCGGTGATCATCCGAGCGATTCGGCGCGAAAGAACAAAGGGGAGGGCGTCGACGCATCCTTCCGAGTTCTCACGGTCAAAGGTTGGGATATCGAATGTCATGCGGTAGACTTCGAAGATGAGGATGAGGTAACCCTGAAGACCAGCTGCTGTATAGAGACCACCCTGTCGAGATCGAATACCGGCTTGATCGCGACCGAGATTGTAGAACATGTAGCCCGTTACGAGACCCATGAAAACAGCTTCTGTGATGGAAGATGCCATACCGAGGGGATCGCGATACGTCACTTTGAGTGTACGATCGGTAAGGACTGTAACCTGCCGTAGAAAGCCCGCATGTTCTTTCGTCTTCTTATCCCTCTTTTTCTTTCCATCGCCGATGTCAATAGTCTTGTCTGGGTGAGGATATCGCTTCAAAGTCTCCTGATTCCAAGCAATCTTTAAATGCTCAACCTTGGCCGTGGTTTCCTGTTCCAGCTCGGGCGTACGATTATCGACAGCTGCAATATCGATGATGAACTCGGCGGGGTTGACAAAAGGTGGGAGCTGATATCCCAATTCTCCAAACCATGGAACAGAGTCCTTGATTGTACCTGAGTAGACAGGGCTACCCTTGGTAAGAACAATCAAGTTGTCGAACAAATCCCAGATTTCAGATCGAGGTTGATGGATTGTCGTAATGATGGTTCGCCCTTTTTGCGCAAGTGTCTTCAGTGTTCGAACAAGCTGATAGGCGCTTGTCGCGTCAAGGCCGGTGGTAGGTTCATCGAGGAAGAGAACAGAAGGGTTAGCTAGTAGTTGAACGCCAATGCTGGTGCGTCGCTTCTCGCCACCTGAACATCCATGATGCTGAGAGTTTCCGATCCTCGTGTCGGCACATTCTTTGAGACCAAGTTCGAGAATGACCTCTTCGACAATCCTTTGTCGTTCTTGGGAAGTAGTTGATGGTGGTAATCGCAAGTCGGCTGAGTATCGAAGGGTTTCTCTAACGGTGAGTGTTGGAAGTAGGATATCTTGCTGCATAACATAGGCATGGCGGACACTATGCACTCCAACTTTGCCATTGAAAGTAGCGATACCCCTTTGACTCAACCTGGAACTCAATACTCTCTCAGCCACGGTGTTGAGTAGTGTCGTCTTTCCAGATCCACTTCCTCCAATGATAGCCGTCAAAGTTCCTGGTGGAAGATTAGCGCTTACAGAATGAAGAAGCGGCTTCATTTTTGGCGCAGTGTTGAATTTTGACGAGACCAGATCGCCATATGTCGAAGGTGCAAGCCATGATGGAGCCGTATCGACTGAGACCGCCAAGTCATGGATTTGAACGTGAACAGCCTGGACATCGGCAAGTGACAGGTTTCCACCACCGGACATAGAGAGCCGTGACATGCCATTCTGTTCGACACGAGGATCTATCGAGATATCCAAAGAGCTTGGCCTGTCCATCTTTTCGATGTCGATGTTATCCGAGGGATTTCCATGTTGCGACATGACTGCAGCTTGGATTGTTTATGAATTCGGGTTGAGCGCTGTTATAAGGCTGTGTTATCTGTTGGCCCAGGCCCGGGACATTATGTATGGCTGCAGATGATTCCGTTTAGGCTGTGGTGTGAGTGAGATTATAATCCTTCCTGAAAATTGGTGGTAATCTATGACGCCGAGGTTTGTATGCAGAATAGCCAGTTAGTAAAGCCACGATCGCAAGTCTTGACAAAGAGAATGCCCAAAGTCGGAGGGACAGGAGCATCTTAAGGGTCATTGTCATTGGGTACCCTCGAGCCAACATCGGCCCCAGAGTAATATAAACGAGATCATGGCTATTACCCGAAGTGGATGCCAAATTCAGATCGGTTCGGCCGCCGCGTAAGAGGCAAAGTAGAGGTGAAGGTGAAGTGAGTGGTCTCGATTGAATTGGGGTCTAGTAGTGGAGATTCAGCTCAACTTAGCAACCCTCTACGCGAGGTTTGCGAGGTTTGCGGTTTGCGGGGGGGTTAAAAGTGAGCCACCAACGGCTGGGGGAAACAAGGTTGTTCTCATCCTAGATTGGTTAGATTGGAGAAAGAATTAATCCAGAAGTAATGAAAGATGGGTTTTGATTAGTGGATGCTTTCGGAAAGCTTCGATTCCGAGGCATGGGCTTGTCTTTGAGAAGAAAGAGGATGCATGCGAATGATTTGACTTGGCAGCCAGCAGTCGTATTTACCTCAGTACCTACTTCAACAACACTGATTAGATTCAAGATACAAATATTCTTTCTACCAACTAATTTACTAATTAATTAACTAACGTGACTCTAGTAGAAAGCCTCTTCTCCTTTAACTGAATCATGTCCATCAACTAATCCCACCAGTTGAAGTATACCTCGCTTATCGATCCCTGGTCTCGGCTTTGACAAGAAAAAGGGTCGCTTGCGAAACGATGCAACGGTCTCTCGCTTTGACTCCCGTTTTGGTATAAGCGACGTTTATGCATGTACCTTTTTTCGCAAGACAGGGTTGGCTATTTCGTATTTGCCTGATGACACGGAAAACCTTGGCCGATACGGCATACGTCTGTTGGTGATATTCAAGGTAATGTTGGTGATGTTCAAGGTCTCATACAGCTAACTCATCACAACACCTGGGTACAGTAGAGCATACAGCAGTCAGAAAGTCAAGCGGAGAAGATGCTCCCAAATGCCTCACACCAAATCTTGTCAATACCAATGAGACACCTCTGACTCCCACAATTTCTCCAAATCATCTTCCAAAAATGCTTGCACTTTTCTCCTCTCCCGTGTCCCAAGACCACAGACAACTCACATGCACATACAGAGAAATCCAATGACGCCACTTTATCGTCAAATCTCTTGACATTACTCATGCTATATAGTTGATAAATGAAGAAATAATAGATTATACAATAACAAAAGCCCCATCCTAATAAAACGCCTTTCTTTGCACATGTTGTCTAATCATCATCAATCATTTTCGTTTCACATGTCATTGTCTTTTTTAGACAGTTCGCTTCTCTGTGATGGGTTCGCCAATTGGCTTGCTGACCACGAATCCAGCGTTGGGCGCACCAAGCTCAAACACCTTGTTTCCGCGCAGCCACGTCTCCTTGACTCGACCTGTGAACTCCTTACCTTCCCATGGTGAGCAGCGGTTCTTCCATCGCATGTCGCCCTGGGTAAACGTCCACTCCTCGGTATCGTCGAATACGCAGATATCTGCGTCCATGCCGACCTTGATGGCGCCCTTGCGGTGCGCGAGACCGACTTGGACGGCGGTGGCCTGACAGCAGAGACGCACGATATCGGTAATGCTGGGCGTCTTGGAGAAGTCGGCGCGCTTCTTGGCGGCAGAGTGCAGGATGGGGAGACCGAGTCCGACAGATGAGATACCGCCCCAGGCTGCGAAGAAGTCGCCACGACCCTTTCCTTCGGCGACAGGGTTCTCAATCTCGGGAGCAGGAATCACGATGCCTGAGTCGTTATGTGGCAAGTCGGGTCGCGCTGTCTCGAGGTGCTGAGGAAGGAGCTTCAGTTGGGGTGTGCAAGGTGAGTGATCCGACACAACAGTTCTGATGCATGAATCCTCAGCGACGAGCTCCTCCCAAAGACCATCGCGGTTCTTGCCCTCTCGAATAGGTGGGCAGCACTTGTGTCGAGTGTCGCCCTTCTCAATCTCCTCGGCGGTCAACCCGAGGTAGTGGAAGCAGGTCTCGGCAGTGATGTTGATTCCGGATTGGCGAGCGGCCTTGAGGAGAGGAATGCACTGGGTAGCGGAGAGATGGACGATATGAAGGTGGAGCTGAGGAGCAATGTGTGCCTGGCTGAGAATCTCCTCGACGGCGTATGTTTCGAAAGCAGGAGGTCGAGATTCGAGGAATGTCTTGTAGGCATCGAGTTGACCGGCGGGAGCGAGGGGTGCTTCTGAGGTCTGGACTGTGTCGCCGACGGATTCGGTGATGGGAGGGATCATCTCGGCGTGGAACATGAGAGTGGTCTTGCTATCCTTGAGGGTTTCCATGGCCAGGGCGATATCCTGAGAAGAGACGGCGGGGAACTCATCAACCTAATGACTGTCAGCTTATGATTTGGCTTACAAGATACAGATATGACTTACACCAGACTCGATCAAGAATCCCTTGAATCCTCGAACACCAGCCTCGATGAGGGGAAGAAGCTCATTGGCATTTCCAGGGATGACACCACCGTAGAAACCAACATCAACCCAGCACTGACCCTGGCTTGCTCGAAGCTTCTCCTCGAAGCCATGAAGGGTAGTGGTAGGAGGGATGGCATTGAGAGGCATGTCAACCACAGTGGTGACACCACCGCTGGCAGCAGCACGGGTGCCAGTCCAGAAACCCTCCCATTCTGTTCGACCGGGCTCGTTCAAGTGAACATGAGCATCGACCAGACCAGGAATGAGAAGCTTGGAACCGTGGTCGACATAGTTTGTACCAGCTGGGAAACTGGATGAGGGAAGGACTTCAGGAATGATTGACACGATCTTGCCAGTGACGGGGCTAACAACGACTGAAGCGGGAGTGGTGACAAGGGAATCATCAGGAAGAGTAACGACGACTCGAGATGATACGAGGACTGAAAGAGGACCCTCTGGGTATTGCTCAGCGCTGGGAGATGCCATGATGGGTGGTATGAGTGATATGAATCGAGAGAACAAGGGGAAGAATAAAGAGAAGGAAAAGATGAAAAGAGAAAAAGACAAAGAGACAAAAAATATGTCAAACAAAGCTACTGCAAGGATATGTCCGAAATCTGGGGAAAGCTGGTTCACTCGTTTTCCCTAGCTATTTCGGTTCTTTCTGGGGATGCTCTTCTTATCCTTATCTCTCTGCTTCGTCTTGGAGGTGTGGCTCACAGATTAGCCCAATTGGTGGGGTTGCGACTCAAAGATAAGAGAGGTCAGACGGAGCCAAGTCAGACGGTACAGTTCTGATAAGGGATGCTTTATCAAGTGGTGAGGCTGATCTTATCCAAAGGATCTTATCGACTAAGGACAAAAAAGGACGAGCAATTGGGTTGTCAACGAGTGTTGTTACTATGAAGAAAGTGAAGGAAAAGAGAGAGAGAAAAAGCCACTCCCAGGATTCGGCTATGGCTTTCTTCTTATCTTGACTCTTCGGCTCGGTATTTTCACGGACAGTTCTGGTCTATACTGTATTCATTATTCGATCAAAACACTATTCCTTCCAATCAATGATTTGCCTCCCCTTTACATTCCACTCTAGGCAAATCCGATGTGTTGTTCACCCTTTGTGCATATGACTTTTTTGTACCCATGGATGGCCTCGGGTCCCACTTACACGGACTTGGGACAAAAAAGCTTAGACTGTAACTAACTTAGTTTGCCTATCACCGATAACAGAAATAAAAAATCTGGAATTTCCAGGGTCCTCGCATCGGACACAGCCGGATGCCGGTTTCTCACGACTCGGGACCAATCAGAGTCTTGAATCTCTAAGCCGAATGCCGCGGTGGGTGATTGAATCGAGTAAATATCGAGTAATACGATGAACGGGTTTGCAGCTGCAAGGTTAGAAGAGCGGTTCATTGGCTTGTATGATACAAACGTTGCAGGAAGGCGTCGTATATTCATCCTCTTCTCGTCCTGGTAAGAATGGCTTGAGTCTGAGGCTATTCGGGGTCGACGATACCCATTACCAACACCTGTTCGAGACTTTGAGACAGGAATGTCCCCATGAGGCAATTGCATTGTTAACAAAAGTCAGCCGATACGAGTCCTCTAGAGTAATTCTTTATGATTATTGTTCTCGTGTCTTTGACGGATGACTTGCCCCTCTACCTCGGCCATCCTTCAACGAGTTTCTATCGAGTAATGCAATCGTGGTGTTTTTGGTTCTAGTCTGAGTCTGGCACACCCCGCGGAAACAGTCCACTCTATGGCTGACCTTATTTTTTCAGATCCAGCTAGCTTTGTTTTATTTCCCTGAGGCTTATTCGATCACAGAAATAGGTATTACTCGATCAAAACACCAGGTTGAGACGCCCTTCTATGTGCATTGCATGCTGAGGTTGTAATATCATCTGCAAAGCAAAAAAGTCTAAAGCGTCATCCAATTCTATTCTTTTGCCAAGCTATCATTAATCAATATTTCAGCTGTCGTCATCACACCCTCTGAATCCTAAAGCAACTGGAAAATTGAAGCCTGGTAAGATGCAATTATCCCAAATAGGTGGCTGTAAGCGGCGTCGAGAATCTTATCATCATGATGTTACAAATAGTAAGAAAAAAAAATAGAAAACCAAGTAGTACAGGTATAGTATGTATAATCATACATGCATCACTTTCCCTTTTTTCTCAACCCGTCTAGATGCCCGCGGTTTTAGTTTGTTCAAAAGACGAGACAAAGCAAGCCTGAAAACACAAATCATACACCGCCCATGCTAGGCTCAATGCCACCAACTCCCATCCCAGCTGACCTGATCGTCGCCTCGAGATATCCGACTTTTTCTTCTTTTTTCTTTTCCATCGTTAAATAATAGTGAACTGATGTGATTTGATGTTGTATTTGTACACGGCAGACGAAACTGGACCACTATTGTCCAGATCATCACACCTTTTTTCTTCTTTCCTTGGGTGGCATTTACTTCTGTCGCTTAAGAGACTTGTGTGCCATCTCAATCAATCCATCCTTGGCCTCGCTTTCGGGAAAGTCCGCAATCGAGGCAATGGCCTTGTCCACGTAGTCTTGCGCGAGAGCTCGTGTCTGCTCGATACCGTCGCTTTGGAGAACCAACTCACGTGCCTGCAGCGGTATAATTAGCATGGAGCGTCTCCAAAAAACGTGATTCGTCAAGACAGATGCAACCAACTTACCCTTTGTACGTCACCCTCCTGGGCGAACTTGCGGCCGACGAGGGCTCCGAGCTCCGGCATCTGCTTCCAGGCAAATAGCAGAGGTGCTGTCGCAAGACCCAACTCCAAGTCAGCCCCCGCAGGCTTTCCAAGATCTGATCCACTCTGCGTATAATCCAAAAGATCATCCACCAGCTGGAAGGCCAGTCCCAGGTTTCGTCCGTACGAGTATGCTGCGTCGACTGTAACAGCATCGGCGTTGCCTAGAAGAGCCGCAGCTCGGCATGATTTGGAGATGAGAGAAGCGGTCTTGAGGTACGTCTTTTGGAGGTAATATGTGACTGTCTCCTCGGACCACTTGGGATTCCGCTCATCGCGCTCGGTGTTCTTGAGCTGCATGAACTCGCCCTCAACCAAGTTGGCGATGACAGTAGCCAGCAACTCGACAACCTCAGGGTTGCGCAGACGAGCCAGCGCAACGGATGCTCTACCGAGCAAAAAGTCGCCAGCCAAAACGGCCATCTTGTTGCCAAACTCCAAGTTGGCCGAGGGAGAGCCTCGTCGAGAGACAGAGTGGTCGATAACGTCGTCGTGAAGAAGGGAGGCCGTATGAATCAACTCTGCAATTTCGGCTAGTCGTCGCTGGCTGGGAAGGATGTCTGAGTTGGCGTCGGCAATCTCTTGTTCGGGGGAAGAGAGAGGGTGAGCTGCAGGGTTTACGTCGGCGAGGATCTGAGCTGGTGATAACGAAGTGTCGACACCACGGTGAGTAACTGTAGGAGACGTAGCAGGTGTCTTGGGGCAGAGGTAGGTTGCTCTGCTCATGAGAAGGACGATTAATGGTCTGACATGCTTGCCCTCGGCCTGGGTATAATATTTGGCAGCACGATCGAGCGACGGATGTCCAGAGCCAAGAAGTTTTCGAATGTTGCCCGTGAGGAACTTCATTTCCTTGGCGACACTTCGCAGAGGATCGATATGCATCGCATCCTTGGAAGCCTTCTTAACAACATTGCTCACAACGTTGGAAGCGACCTGCACAGCAGCACCCCACGCTGAGTCCCTTCGTGGGGTGGTGTGCAACGAGGCGCTGTGTATCCTCGTAGGACCTCGACTAACGGTCAATTGTCTGCATAGAGCACACGCAGGTGCCGCTGCCAAGTTCGTCCTCGTCAACATCGACTGTCTAGCCATGGTGCCGCGCACCACCGAGGCCCCCGGACGGAGCATCATCGCCTGCGCACACTTGGGTCGATTTATATGGAGAGAAAGAGGGAAATTCGGTGGGTGTAGATGTCGAATATCACAACCACATTCGCTTTAGTATATCGGTAGAAATCAGTCGTGAATTGTTTCAGTCGTCAATGGCAAGCGTCAGGCGATATCGGGATCGCGAGGGAAATAATTTTATCGAGAATGGATTTTTGAGCCTCGCCTCTGGTTATCGATTTGATCCGATGGATGGACCTCTAAACTTTTCCAGCTCTAGCTGTGTTCTGCTAAGCCGGGGTGTTAGCGGGTCCGTCCGGCCATGACACCATGGCAGGTTGTTCATGTTATTGGTGGGGTGAGCTATGGGGCTGTTTAAGCTAGGTCGTCAGCGGATGAATCGCTACCGACTCTGAGGAACTGGCCTGTAAATGTTAATTGATGCCTGCAACTTTAATCTTTACATGAAGCATCAACAATCAACATTTATTACGAGCGGTTATATCAGCGGTCGTTGTTTTTTAGACCTATAATCGTTTTATTCTATCACACCGCAGCATGGTGTTACTCACAATGACACCCTCCATCGTGGAGGCACTGTCGACTGTTCAACCACCAGAAACACCAGACAGCGAAGATCATGACAACGAAAACAAGACCCAAGAATCACCACAACCTACAAACGAACCTTCTCTAGACGATCCTCAAATAGGAAAGCCCATATCTCATGGCCAAATTGTCGAGCTATGGAAACGCTCACAGGCACAAGACGATACAAACTACGCTCTCGAACAACTCATTCGGGGCGCATCCGTCTACATTCCTCCACCACCTCCCAAACCTGAACCTGTATGTCCATCGATGCAACTCTCATCTTAAAAAGCTAACCATGCGTAAGTCACCTGAATACAAAGCGCTTATGGCCCGTCTCCGCCGCCAAGAAGAAGCCCGCTCCTACGAACGAATGATGAACCCTGCCCCCAAATTCGAAACCTTCAAAGACCGCTTCCCTTCCAGCGCCGCCGCCTTTGCAGAAGTCAACCGTCCTACATCGGCTTCAGATATTGGCGACGAGGATATTGCGATGGAAGAAGTGCACAAGCAAGTGACGCTGATCATCAACTTCTTGGTCAGTATAGCTGGCGTTGCTGGAACACTGTGGGTTACGGCGCGATGGTGGAGTTTGCCCGCGAGATTATTCCTGACTATGGGTGGGAGTATACTCGTTGCTATCGCGGAGGTGGTAGTTTATAATGCGTACTTATGGAAGATGGACGAGGGGAGAAAGAAGCATGGCAAGGTCAAGGAGGTGAGGGAAGTTGTAGAGAGTTGGACTGTGAGTAAGGCTGATGACGAGGACGAGAAGACGATACTCCTTAAAGAAAAGGACGATACGGGGATCATCAAATCAGCGAATGGAGGTTTGAACAAAAGGTCGAGACATCGACAAGATACAGAATCTTAATAATAACACAAGTAGTAATAGACATTAGCGCTTGCTTTGGCCATAGCAGCCTCCAACACACTGTATAACGGCGAGATATGCCAAGATGTAAAGTTTTGTATTGGTCTAACTACTAATCAATATAGCGAAACCGGAAGCATATCCCAATTCTTTAACGGTGATATCATGGCTCAATTTAGAGTATAGTGACGGCATGTGACTGCGCGATAGACGCGTCTCGACGCGACTTCTTCTGGTGGGGGATCCTTGTCCCATTAAATGACTTCCTTTCTCTACCAGGACCTAAATTCGAGGTCGGGATCATTCTTCGCGTTCATTCTTCTCCTTCTTCTTTTAATATTGTAATTAATTACTCACCTCATACATAATTATCCTTCTGCATACGGAACTCGTGCCACTTGCTTACGTATGTACACTGCCACATACCACGACAGCAACGATATTGCCGGCCTCTGGAACAAGGCATGAGAACTTATTAAAGTGCAAATAGTAAAAAATGTAAGTCTGACAGATGCACTTATGGGAGTTTGAACTGACTCGAACAGGTCCGAAACTACATCCACATCGCGACCACGCGCCAAACCACTCCGGACATATGGCAAACGAACCACAAGGGACGACTCCCACCGCGAAACGAGTCTAAAGAAGCGACGTATCTCGACAGAAATAAGTCCTACCGAAACATTGGCGTCCAAAGACACAGATAAAGAAGCACAATCTTTGCCAAAGATAATCCCAGAGGAAACCAAGGACGCGGCCGAGTCTACGAGCGAACCCGTCAAGAAAGGATCGATATTGAGCTTCTTCAAACCTATTCCTTCTTCATCAACAGCTGCGTCAAGTCCAAAGAGCGACGAACCGCAACCCGGGTCACCTCCATCTTCACCGCCACCAAGAATAGAAACACGAAAGAAACCACGACTGTTGCGCTTTCGCGGTACTTCACTACCTCTACTAGATGGCGAGAATACCGAAGATGATGATCAGACGGAAGGATCGAAAGGAGAGACTGGCGCGAAACCTACAACAACAGCTCCAAGGGAGAGTTCGTTGAATCGAGAGTCTAGCAGCGATATAAAAGCAGTCAAAAAGAGAAAGACGAAATCATCGACTGTACAAACGACGCTCAATCTCTCATCCCAAGCGGCATTTTCTGAGTGCAAGTTGTGCAATACAGTTTGGAATCCTCTGTATCCCGACGATGTCAAGTTTCATATGAAGCAGCATGCAGCGGTTTTGCGGGCGAGGAGAAAGGAAAAGGAGAATGAATTATAAGATTTGATACCCTGTTTACGAATAATGACATAATGTCCTACCTTCAGTTCGTTTGTGTGACTCGATGTATCTGTATGCAAAGTAAGCCTACATTCAAGCATCTGTCTTGAATGCTCCGAGTTGAGCCAAGTTGGCCGTCATTGGTGGAATTAGATCCCATTTGGCTTACAGAAAAGGACAGGACCCTGGTAATAGGGCTGAGCCGAGCAGGCTAATGTCAATGTCGATCATGGTTGTCTTTTTGTTCCTGGCACCTGAGATGAAGTGTTAGTAATATTTTTTCCGACATTTCTTCTCCTGCATTTGGAAGAGCTCAAAAAGAATCGAGATCGATCTCTTGATAGGCATGATTCATGGCTAAAATCCAGGTAGCATCGAGTGATACTCAGCATATTACCCTGGCTACAAGGTGGCTGTGCTTATGGTGATAAGTGAAACTAAGGGCGCAGATGTTGCGATAGAGTCCTCTCATCATCTGTCAATTTCTCAAGGAAACAATCTGTACTTTTAACAAACTACGATATAATGGCGCGAAAAGCTGGTAATGGGTGCATCACCTGTCGGTAAGTCATGGCTCTTCCCAACCAGTGACACTCACTGATTCATCTCACCAGCATACGTCGTGTCAAATGCGACATGACCAAGCCGGCGTGCCAACGCTGCTTATCTAGCAAACGAAAATGCGATGGCTATCTCCCAGAGGACTCAACAATGACACGTCGTCAACTCGCCGAGGTAGCCCGTCGCATCTCAGTCGTGGGCCCCATTTCACAAGCTCTGTGCCAGTATCCCATAAGTGCAGGCACCAAATCTGCGAACTTGACGCTTTTCGACGTGTTTCGTACACTTACGGCGCCTTCAACTGCTTCATTTATACCGTCGCAGTTTTGGACGAGGGAGATTTTACAGTTGGCGCATAGTGAACCTGCGGTGTGGCACGCTACGCTTGCGCTGGGAGCGATCCATCAAAGACATGGGTTGTACTTTCAGGGTTGCAATGACAAGAGCGAGGAGATGTGGCTTGAAGCGAACGACAGCTATGGACGCGCGATATCTTGTGCGCGACAAGTGAAGGATCCTGCCAAGCTATTGTCGCTGTGCCTTGCTCTCGTATCCATCGCGCATCTTATAGGGCGCTGGTCTGATAGTCAGGTGCATATTATGGCTGCTCATGGTTTGTTGAACCAAGCAGGATACAGTACAGAAACGTCAAACGCAGCTGAGATGCTGACGCGGTTGGATCTACATGCCATGACATTCTCTGACTCAAGTGCGCCGTATCCTTACAAGAGCGTTCCGAGTAGAGTGTGGGTCGATGAAGATATGCAGCGCATCGCTGGTTTTAAGAGTTACGCACAAGCAGGGACGGCGCTATTTGGGGTTATGAGGAGACTTATGATGATGGGCCAGAAAGGATACGACGAAGATCAAGAAACCATGAGTGAAAATCACGACATGTTGACAGTCACGAAAAGGGATCTTGCATCTTGGGAGTACAAGATGGCAGAATTTGAGAGGAACCACCCCAGTCCACACGATCAGAGAGGAGCGGTATCTATCAGGCTGTATCACACTCTAATGCGTACGTTCCTAGCAGGAGGAGCATTCGGACCAGAAATGCGATGGGATAATCTTGTTGGTCTTTACGAAAGGATCCTCACACTTGCTGAGACACTATGCGCCGACACACAGAGCTTCCACGTCAATTCACCTCTATCTCTCGAACCAGGTGTTATCGTGCCAGTATTTATGGTCGCTCAACGTTGTCGTCACCCATGGCTACGTCGTCGCGCGATTACACTTCTCTACAAGCTCAAACGACAAGAAGGCATGTGGTTAAGCGACGGAGCAGCAGCAGTGAGTAAGAAGATAATGGAGCTTGAAGGGCAGACGTATTTCAAAAGCGATCTTGCCAATGATGAGGAGAATGCATCATCAGCTCTTGCTTTGGGGGATATTCCATGGGAAGTGTGGGCGAATGTCGATATTGAGGATTTACCTGCCAAGACGAGCTGGGCGGGTATTGAGAGAGTTCCTGAAGAGAAGAGAATGCGCGAGACGATGGTGATGGTTTTTACCGAAGAGAGAAGGATTGAATTGTCGCTTATAATGAGTGCTGGAGATGAATTGGGAGCATATGGTGAAGTAAGGACAGAATCGATAACATATTAATTAGAAGTCAGTAATTTGGCGTATTCGGTGATGGTCTGTCTAAGTCGTGAATCATTTCTCGCGTTCGTATTCGCATATTCCAACAACAATATCATCGCCAACGGAGCCCGGAACGCCCGAAGCTCCAGGTCAATACAGCAAAAGGGTCCACCGCTTTATATACATTTTCCCTTTTGATCCAAATCATTGCTAAGCAGCCAATGGAATTACTTGTTTTGTAGTGATTTCTTGAATGGTACGACCCCGGATCTCAGATTTCCGATTGCCAAGGTCTGCGCATTGAAGATGATGTGTAATTTGTGGTAATTACGATTGTCGTGGAAGGAATAAGGCTGACTTGTGTCGCTGTTGTTCTGCTGAAAAAAAGTACTTAACTCAATGTTGGTGCTCAGCTTTTGTCTTACACCAATCAACTCTACCACTCTATAATTCTTTTATTTGAACTTAACAACACTCATAATAAACACAATGGATACTCTTGTAGAGGCTGTCAACGCAACTGCGAAAATCCCCCCTCATCCATACTCGCCTCTAAACGCAGTTCTTCCAGAATATGCCACCAACACATTATCCTCTCGAACACTCGTGGGCAGCTTTGTCCTTGGCTCTATTGCCATTTTCGCAGTGACTCTACTGTTCATCAACTCGGCACCGCGAAAATTGTCCAAGGGAGAGACCTTTGTGACGTTATGGTTCGCTCTCTGCGGATGCATCCATTTCTTCTTTGAGGGTAAGTCCCATGTCTGCTTTAAAATGTCAGTAATGCTAACTACAGCAGGTTACTATGTCGCCAACTTTACAGATCTACCCAGCAGACTCAGCCTCTTTGCCCAGCTCTGGAAAGAATACTCCCTCTCTGACTCGCGCTACTTGACCCAAGACTCATTCCTTGTTCCTATGGAGGCCATCACCGCTATTCTTTGGGGTCCAATGTCGTTCTTTTGCGCGTGGAGTATCGTCAAGGAGCACCCTCTGCGACACCCTATCCAGCTCATCATCAGCGTTGGTCAACTGTACGGCGACGTGCTGTACTTTGCGACTTGCTACTTCAACGAGGCAGTGTACAACATTGTCTACTGCCGCCCGGAGCAGTTTTACTTTTACATGTATTATGTCTTTTGCAATGCCATCTGGATCGTTATTCCTTCCATCTTGGTGGTGCACAGCGTCGTGGCTACCAAGAGGGCCTTTGCAAAGGTGCAGGCTGCTGAGACGAGAAAGAAGGCTTTGTGAGCGAAAATTGAGAAAGGTGTTCAAAAGGCCGAATAGACGCGTGTTACTTATATGTTTTCCGGCTTAGGTAGTCGATTGCAGGGAATAAAGGTTTTTGCAAGTGATGATGCATAGAGAAATAATAGAGGTCCATTCATGAATACCAAACTATCTACACGTATGCCCTATGCCAATTGAGTCTCTTGTCAGTCGTATCGGTCGTCAGCACGATTCTCCCAACATCTGCATCCGGATCGACATCTCTTATTTGGACTCGAATGTTGTTCGTTGCCCGCAATCGATCCTTCGAACTAACTCCGCTTCCTGTTACCCAAGACTCGCTGGGGATCTTGACAAAGGGAGAATCCCGCGTTAGCCCGTCGACACTGTCTAGAAAGTCAGGAGCCAGGATCAGCTCCCGAATAACAGTATTGGCGATAGCGCAGCCTAATAGTATGATTGTTGATATAATAAAAGTGCAAAACCATGCTACATCTATGACATAGATGCTCTCTGTAAACTCGGTCCAAGTGGCAGTAGTATTCTGCCACATGTCGTTACCATATGTGCTTTCATTTGTAGGGTTTCCATATTCATCAATACCATCTTTAAAGGCACTTTCGGCACCTGTTAGAATAGTACTGTCGTACGAGGCCATGAGGAACGTATTGAGAGCTGTGGCAAACCTGACCTCGAAGAGTGCTTGAGATAAATTTGAATAACAGGCCGGGAAAGGAACTCCTTCACGAACATCAGCAGTACTGAAAGTTGAAGAAGGTTGACGAATGTATCGTTCAAGGAGACTGGGCCTGTATGGCTGGTAAGGTGCGGTTGTGAATGGCATTTCGTATACGAGACGTTCAGAGACGGGCGGGTACGACAAGTCTGATAAGTATATCGAATATCCTGGGTGAGGAGTCCGTCGAATTCGATCAGCCTGACAATTGAGGTCATCTGTGCTGCTCAGCCGTTTGCAACCAATTTCAACATCTACATATGAAGTAGTGATGTTGCAAACGCGAATCATCTGACCATTACCGCAGTCTCCACCAACTATCAACTGCAATGGAGACTCGAATGTTAAGTTAGTTTTGTTGTTGAAATGCGAATCTGTTGCATTGTTTAAGACAAGATCCATCCAAAGGCTTGGCTTGGTATCTAGTCCGTATTTGAGTTTCTGCTGTTCCAGTGGGCTAGAATCTGTAAAGTTTGTGTTGTGATAAAATATCCATGACTCGCCATCTTTGCGTTTCAGCCAAGAAGTCCCATTGAATGCATCGCCGCAGCTGAGAGTTTGATAACGGGTGTGTAAAACCATGCTCGAGTTTCCCGCCGCTTCAGGATGAGATCCTCTGCGGACTGGTACGCCGATGAACGATGAGTATGGCACAACAATTTCAGAAGGTATTTGAATCCATGACTCAGGAACACGGCGGTTATATTCGGGTAGGAGTTCCATGAATGGAACACGGACGTTACGCCATATGTCTTGCTTCCCAAGACGAGCTGCCGGAGAAACCCCTCCCAGCTGCTGTATCACGGTTTTGTAATCATCAGCCGAAACATTGGGGTGCGATACCAGAACGTCCGGTCGCGCGAAAGCAGCGTTCACAGCTCTCCGAAAAGCGGGAAGTAATCCTGGTAGAGATGTATGTTGGGCAAATGCGCTTCCACACCCATAGTACTGATAGAAATCAGATTGGTTTATATTATGGCATAATGTCCTGAGGGGTACTTGGGAAAAGTAATGCATAGCATCGATTGTCTCGTTGTGCGTAGGTGACTGGAGGTATAAAGACCGAACAGCGGCTTGACCGCCCAATGGACTGAAAGACCATATCGCTATGACACCAATAGTCCATATATGTATATGACGAAAAGTAAAAAGATTCTTGACAGCGGCAACGGTGGTATGGCTGGTCAACAAGAACTCGAGCGACCCAAGAGTCGCCCCTCGTTCGGCGCAATAGAGAGCCAGGGTTCTGAGGAAAGGCCCGATGACTGCTGCGAATGAGATAGGCCAAAGAGTAGAAGCAAGTTGGAGGACCTCAAGAATGTTATCACCGAACGAACTCTGCTTCTTTCCATAAAGGTGCGCGACCAATTCAATAAGTACTAACAAATGATTAGCTTGGCGAGTAAATACATGAAGAGGTTTATCAACTTACCCAAATACACCACAGGGACTGTTAGTAACGCTACGGCCACGCCAACTCTCATCAACCATGAAGGGGAGACTTCTCCCAGAGTAGGATGTTCATTTCCATTTCCATCATGTTTGGAAATAGACAAAGTGTGTTTCGATTCGGACGGAGTGGGTGCTAGAGGCTGTGCTTCAGAAATGGTCGGTGAAGTCATATCTGTATGCGGTGGTAGGAATCGAAATGAAACTGCCTGGGGTTTCAAAAGACCATGGAAACAGAATCTGAAATCTCGAGCAAGATCAACTGAATGTTATAAAGAAGAAAACCGTAGGAGAGCCTGATTATATTCAGTGGGGGCTGAATGTTGTACAACCAGTACAACATTCAGCCACCAACACAGACAGTTGTTATGGTCAAAAGCTAATTACAGCCCAATTATTCTTCCTCCTCCTTCGGCACAAGGTCAGGAGCTAATATTATGCATGCCTAAGATTGCTCTACCATAGCAACTGCCACCGCCACCCTGAGATTGACAGACAGACAAGAGGATCTCAGAGCTGAAGGTTAACGGAGTACATCTTGGTGATGATGTCCTTCAAAATGAGTGAATATCCAGGCGTTTATGAGAACAGCACTGTTATAGCAACCTTGTATGAGTGGTAGTGAGATATATGCCGAGAGTCCCTCTATTTTGTATGCTCTCTCGTTTGATAGCAACTTCCAAGAGGACCGATGCATTATGGTGTGTGTAGAGAGACTCTCATTACAATGCTCCTCAATTTTGACGAAACTTCTAGTAAAAGGTCAGGGTACCTTAGATTTTTACTTCCTTGTATATGAAACAAATAATAACTATTATACAGCTGTAAAACTGTTAGGAGATAGCTAACAAGGGTGAGTCTATGGTGGATTTTTGTTACAGAACTGCTATTCTGGTGGGCTCTCGACTTGGTTGTATGTATCAGAATGCTAAAAACAGAATTCAAGCCCATTAGGGTGGCCTGTCCAAACCCGTTTTGACGCTTTTCCTTCTTCAAAATAACCTTTTGGGTCACGGGGGAGGCTATCGCGAAAGCCACAAGCTAGATCGAACAGTCCAGACGACCTTGTGGGAGAGTTACTGCGAGTTAGCGGCTATAGGACTCAGCCTTAGCCCTACATTTTGAACTTAAAGCTTCAGAGCGAGGGGAAAAGTCGGTATTAGACTTTAGAAATCGTGTAAAACCATCAAATAGGACTTAGCCTTATATAGATGGGAGCAACCTATAATGCTCCACTGGCCCAAAATTGCAAGTAGGGTGCCGTTAAGGTTCAACGGATCTTGGCAACCTCGCATTAAAGAAAATCACAAACTTGATGGATTTGGCTACAAAGTATCATGACTTTTTTCAGCGTGTAGCTTTGTTATAAAAGATAAGGAAATAAGTATAAAGAAAGGGCCCAGGCTAAAAGGGAAAAGAAAGCAGGAATAAATTATTATTACTAATTAGTGCCTATCTGCAATACAATATCTGTTAAGAACCTCTCTGCAAGCTAACAGTAACTATACCACTCCTTCTAGTTATTTTAGATTTGGCCCTTGACATGTTTACCTTATCTCAGGATTATGCTGTTATCAATGTTGATATCTGAAAGACCTGTACATACGACCAAAGCTCGTAGAGAACTCGGGATCCCGTCCGCTCTCCCATAGATAAGCTGCGAAGCGCTGGATTAGTAGTTGGGTCGGTGACGACCAGCGAATCCCCGGTGTTGTATGTCTTTTGCCTTTTGCTACATTTTATCTTGTCCTTTTTTTTTTGGTCCCTAGTTATTCTAACCAAATCGCCAAAATAATATATTATATAGTCTGAGAGATACGGGCAAGAACGAATGTAAATGAGGATGGGTTGCGGATGAAGCTTGGCTATTGTTTCGCTATGTCAACAAATTCGTTACTTGGAGCATCCCACTAACTTCAATGTACAATTGTAGAAAACTGTTATTAAATCATCAAACTGGTAGTATTCATCGTATTCCTCTACTTAAGCTCTCTCTTCAGGCTTTTTAGCATCGGAGTTACCAGTATCGCCAACAACCTCAAACTCATAGAGAGGTTCCTTGGTGACATCCTTCTTCAAAAGCACCCACCGTTTGAACCAATACGGAATCGCGACTCGAAGCTGATACGAAGCGAACTTGCCCGTAGGCACAGCAAAAACCCAATCCAGTTCCTCAAGAGTACGTTGTTTCGTCTCAGGGACCCAGAATAAAATCATGATGAAAGCGACCATGTTAAATGCTGCGTACAATCCGAATGCACCAACAGTCTGCAGACGATCGAGGATAAAAGGGAATGATATTCCGAGAACACTGGCCCAGAAGAAACAAGTCGCGACTGCAAATCCCATCCCTGTCTCGCGGTGGGAGAGGGGGAAGACTTCAGCGGCGTATGTAAATGGGACGGGTCCTTCACCAGGGGAATAAAATGCCCCGAAGAGGAAAACGAAGAGACACACGAGAGCGGTGCGAAGATCGCCTGTGTCCTTGGAGATGAGAGTACAGAGACCGGCAGCAAGCAGTGTCCAAGTCATCTGAGGGAATGTAAAGAGTAGCAAACTCCGTCGACCAAACTGAAAGATGTCAGTATAACCCATAGAAGAAGTGTGCATAGCGACTTACTGTATCAATAGTCCAGAACGCAGGGAAAGAGAATAACCAGTTCACAAGGCCAAACCCAAAAGAGCCCACCATAGCTTTAAAGTCGGACATACCAGCCTCTTTAAACACAGTAGTAGAGTAGAACGCGATGATATTAATACCACACATCTGCTGCGCAATCATAACCGTAAACGCAGCAAGCGTCGCCCTTCTGACCCGCGGAACTGTAAATAACTGTGCAAAGCGTGTAGCATAGTTCGTCTTTCCAGCCAAGTGCTTCTCAATCTCTAGCTGGCAACTGATGTAGTACATGTCCCGCGCAACTTGGATAGGATCATGTCGAAGTTTCAACATCGCGGTCCAGGCTTCTGGGTACCGGTTCTCCTTCATGTACCAGCGTGGTGACTCAGGACAGAGATAGATGAGAAGCATGAGCGGAACGGCAGGGATAAAGGGAGCGCCCAGCATGAGACGCCAGTTTAAACCGCCCTCGAGATGGAATATGGCGAGGTTGAAGGCTGTTCCAAGAAAGATGCCAAAGGCTGTCCACATCTGCCATGACATGACGAGTGCGCCGCGGACAGATGCTGGGGCGTTTTCAGCGGCGTATATAGGGACCGTCGAACCTTTGACACCCATACCGATGTCCATTAGGATGCGACAACCAAGGAACTGCTGCCATGTTTGACAAAAGGTAGAGACGATAGTAGGCCATATGCAAAAGTGTGCTGCAACGAAAATGACACCTCGACGACCCAATAGGTTATTGATAGGATCACATAACCAACATCCTATCACCGCAGAACCAAGGTACGGTCCCGCATTCACGAGACCAACGAGTAGTTTATCCCTCGTGCTCTCACTCCCTATCCCAAAGACTTTGGGGAAGAAGATGTTTGCGCCGTTGGAACCGGTTTGATCCCAGCCTTGGACAGCAGCACCGATGGAGCATGTTATTATGGTGAGGATAAGACGGCGCGGTAGATCCCATCGATGTGTAGTTTCGCGCTCGAGGCGATGCAACTCTTTTGCTGTGAGTGCGTATTCGCCGTCAAGAAGAGCTGCTCCGCTGGGGTTTTGGGCCACGAGAGCGCCTTTTTTGAGGAGGACAACGTGTTCTGCCAGGTTCTTTCGTTAAGCCCATTCTTCAACATCGGATAGGAGTTGGTCTCTTGGGATCCCGTGGAGGGGATTCTTGACCCTGGGACTGTTAGATCCTGCAGCTTTGAGTGGGGAGATGGACATGCTTGGCTTCGAGGTTGATCTCGGTATTATCATTGGCGTCTATTCCTGTTATTTGACCGCGGGTTTTGTCTTTGTCTTGCGTGTGTTTCTTTGTAGAATTTGCAGGGGCCAAGTCTGCGTACTCGATCTCTTCAGCCATGATTAGCAACTTATCACGAGATTTTTCTGAAGTATTCGTTCAAGGAAAGGGCATTTCAAAAGATCTGGACAACAAATTCCATAGATAATGGCGGTAAAAAAGAAGCTACAGAGGTCCATACTTATATGCAATCATCCTCATCAGTACAGGAGCGTCTTTATCTTGAAGTCATCTACAATGCCACTGGCTATCTCCTTCATTATCACGCCACAGATCGGCAGGAGGCTTCATAATGGCTCGCTTCATTGCAGGATCTTTTGATTGAGCTTGTTATCAGTAAGAGGCTTGCGATATGATGTCGTTACCATTCGATGAGCAGTGGACTTCTACGCATTCATCACCGCTCCAATTGGAGTTCATCAATCCCCATCTATAATTGAGTTATCATGAACTAGGTGTATTCTACTTCGGTCCGATACCTCATGTATTGGAAACCAATAACGGTTAATTTTGTCTTTGAGCCAACAGTATATCTTCAGTGGTCATCAACTGCGGTAATTTGAGTCTCTCTCTCTCGATGGAACAGCGTAGTTAACTCTCCAGCAAAATAGATGACAATATACTGTCCAAAAATGTCGTGATTCCAGTGAATACTGTCGTCAACCTTGAAAAGGGGGACCTATGCTTGATCGATTCGACGTCAACTCATGCATAACAGCAGGGAACGCCTCAAAGCTTGAGCAACAAGGTCTCAGCAGAAAAGAACGTAACTAACATGTGATAATCATGAAGTAGCTGTGTCGAGACTTATACGGCCCTGAGAGAAATAGCAGCTTCCGTCCTGGTCAATGCTTAGTGTCCCAGTGGTGGATTACCTTGTGGCTTTGTCGCACTGCATAGCTATTTGCAAGACTATCGATGTCTCAGATGAGCGAACAAGACTCGGTATCTAATGCTGATCATTGTGGCATTAATGGCCCTTGTGTAAGGAATACAATCGAAGCAATGTTCACCAGACCCAAAGTCAATTCGAGTCTCCATTGTACCAACCATCCTCAGCTCTTGCAGAACCAGAGGCAGACGACAGGCTTGCCATCGTCACTACCAGTGCGATCAGAGGTCCATCCCACCTCATCCAGGCTCTTCTCCATCTCGTTCTCCTCGTCTCCGTTGAAGGAATATCCTTTGTACCACTTGCCATTTCCACCACTGTAGAGTTCGAAACACTTGTTCTTCTTAGGGTTTGGGTTAGTGCAGCCGAAACCCTTGAGCAGATCTCCCAGCTTGGTGCTGGTGGGGACATGGGAGGCAATGAATGGGATTTGCGCGTTGGCATCGAGCTGCCAGGGCGGGGTCTCACTCTTGAAGACGTGGACTTTGGTGTGCTCGGCAGGGAAAAAGTAGTTATAGCCTGGTTCGCAGCCCACGCCGCCTGTAGAATTGGTCATCTGCGCGGCAGGCATTTGGGTATCGATCTGAGGGTGAGGCTGTGTCTGTCGCCCAAAGATGTTTCCGTTACCGTTAGGTTGGTTTGCATAGGTCAATGGGTTCTGAAACCCCGCAACCGGTCCTTGAGGGAGGACATATGCAGGCTGGCCATATGCTGCACCGCCAGCATACATGACACCGTAAGGAGTAGGAACTAAACCAAAGTTATAGCCGGGCCCGCCGACATGAGGGATGTAGGGTTGACCTTGTGTAGGAATAGGAGCACCTGCAGGAGCACCATTGGGCCGAGCTCCTCTGGAATCACGGCCACTCATAGGGTTCCATCCGCCAGACATGATGGATGTTCTTGAGATGGGGGTATCGGGGAAAAGATTCAAAGTGGCTGCCAGGTATGTACCCAGCGACAAACTTGGGGGTCGAAAGAAGCGTTCCAATAACCAGGAACTTGACCTTGACGAGCTGGATCCCAAACGGGTGGAGCGTTGTATGCCAAAGTCTGGTTCCAATGAGGATAGAACTGTTGGGCTTGGAGTATCTGGTTGTGGTGATGGTAGGCAAAGGCGTTGTCACTACCGAAAGGGCTTGGTCGATATGGGAGATGGATGTCTAGAGGTGGTTAGAGAATGGGCGAAATGGCATGATTTATATAGACAAATTTGTAAATGAATAACTGCTACAAACAGCAGATCCTGTACTTACTTGATGTACCGGTTACCTCTTCAGCTTCGCTTTCTGTTACTGAAACGCTGCCCTCGCTATCAGTGGCCTCGCCATCAGAGTCGACGCCCAGGTAGCCAAGAAAGATCTTGGTACTCCAAAGGGTGTTGCCTTGACGGTCGTAGAATGCTCCTACAATGATCCAGGCCCAGAAAGGAGAATCTCGAGATGCTGCGAGATGCTGCGTAATGATGAGCTTGGTTGCAGGTGTAGGAAGGTCGACGTCCTCAATTATCCGACAATTGATGGGCCCGTTGTTAAACATGGAGGATCGTTCTGCAATACGACGTCCCTGACGACGAGCTGGAGAAGTTGGTGGACGGTTGGTTAACAAGCAGACGTTCGTATGACAGCAACCCCTGTTATTTATGCCATTGGTTGGCTGAAGTCTTGACATGAACGACTGTATGTGCTTGACTATGAATCAGATCCAAGGCATAGTCTACGACATGTGACCGTTTGAACAATCCTGATCAGACGTCTACAAATGATCAACAAACGACCAACAATCCCGTTTACTGAGACTGATTCACTAGCCATGGCGTAAATGTTGTAAGGCAAACTGCGATGCAGAGTTTGTATAGATCAAAACGTCCGGGGAACAAAGCTGTCAGGAACAGCCACGACAATCAGCTGTGATGGGCCAAAGATGCAAACGGGACTTCATGACAGTACACCCAGTTCGTGTGTCATGTGTCGCACACGAACATGATACACAGCCTCCAACTTCTGGCTGGTACCCAATCACTTGACTGGGATTTGGATCATTATCAGCCTGCCAAAAACAGTGATTGTCTGATTCAACGAAACAGCTGAAGCGATGTATCAGATGGGCGAGTCATATCGCACGTGAACATACAACACCGACGAACTCAGGCAGCATCCTGGTTGCGAATAACGTAGGTCCAGTTGCTTTTTGGAAGTCAAGATGGAATAGTTCTTCAATTCAAAAACTCCTTGCTGCTTCGCCAGTATAGTAATTTAGTAAAAGTGACAAGAAATAGTCGACCGCGGTCGAGGAAAATTGTGGAGCATATTTGGTTCTGTAGAAACCCGTATATCTTCTGCCAACTCGGGCCATGGTGACAAGGATGCCATACAATATGCAAAAGCCTCGGTATTGGGCAAATTTCCAATGGTAAATTCTGCCCGGCATCATTCCTCATCGCTTGTAGATTCAACAACTCGAACTCCACCACCCTTCTTGGCCGATTCAATCTCTCGTTTCTGTTGCTGCTGTTGTAGCTTGCCAACCTCGTTGACCAAGCCCTTCAAGTAGACTTCAGCCTGAACAGTAGCGCTGTATGCAGCTGGAGTCCAACTCCAAATGTTTCGTTTGTGTATATCGGCGCCCGCTGCCAGCAGCGTTCGCAGTACCAGCAGGTTTCCATTTCCACTCGCAAAATGCAGTGCTGTGTTTCCTTCAATATCCGCGCGACGGACTGCTTCATAAGGTCCACCGGGAACGTGGGTAAGGAGGAGTTGTAGTATGGTGTCGTGTCCTCCGAGACTAGCTTCCATAACGGCGTCGCGGCCTCTAACATCGCGACGAAGAATGCATGTTTTGTCGTGTTCGCAGATAATTTGGACGACTTCGGTATGGCCGCCAGCTGCAGCAAGCATCAAGGCAGTTTGGTGGCTTTCGTTAAGAGCAGGGCATGGGTCTTCGTGGCCTAGCTTTAACAGTACTTCGCAGACTTCGTGGTGACCTAGAGAAGCTGCTAGGTGCATATTCGAGTTGGACTGGCCGGAAGGAGAGGAATCGGGGTTTAGGAGATAGTTCGGGTGTGTCTTGAGGATTCGGTGCAGTAGGGTCGCATCGTTGGCGTGAATTGCCCGACGGACACGAATAGATGGTTCAATCCTGAGGTTTGTTAGTCCAGTACGATTAGTGTTCTTTCGGTTTGGTCTCACATGGTGGAGGATGACTGGTCATGACGGTTGCAGTTGGATCAAGAGCATATGGCGCTGTCGCGAAAAAACGAGATTCGCTATAGAAGAACAAAGGAAAAGAGTTTGTAGAGATCGAGTACAAAGGGAAGAACTTTAGTATGAAACAAAACGCTGGATGAACTATATGAAAGAAGAATAAAAGAGGGGGAACGAAGCAACAAATTGTTGTTGATGATAAGTGAACGAAAGCTTAAAGTGTAGGCAAGTGCAAGTGCCCGCTTTCAGCTCCAGGAAGGAAGGCCTGCTGGGCAACTTCCTCATGAAACAGTGCACCCCACATGCTTCTCTGGTGCCACAGGAGCTCCAGGCCTAGGTCTAGGTAGAGTATGTTCTGATGTCCATGACCAGGTTCTTTCAAATCTTAACTAAGAGCAATCATGATAAATAGAAATTATCTAATTGAATATATCATTTTTTGTCATTACTGTAGCAATGTTCTCGATGATCTGCCTCATCATAGTCATGATTGTCACTGTGGGTCTAGTGAATGATGAAGCTCATGGAAGCTACCTAAACCCCACAATTCTAAGCGCTGTCACCTCCTGCTGCGCTTCGCATCTCACGATGGAGTCTCCTTGACATCAGTTCTACCCTACAGATGATCCTGATATTCACCTCATTTCAACATCAATACGTCAAATGATGGAACTTGTACCATCAGATCACCCATTAACTTCTAGATGTGGGAAACCCGTTTGATCATTTCTTGATCGAAAGAGAAACGGCAGATACCTAGCGAAAGCTGCGATCTATCCAGGTGTTGTTATTGCGCCTCATTTCACAGCGCAATACGATTACGCAGCAACCAACGTCCTTATTCCTAGCCGCAAAACCTTCTTAACAGTCCAGACTAGAGAGCAAAAGGTAACCGTTGGGCTAAAATAATGCTGACCAAAACCCAACTTTTCGGTATGCCAGCACGATCTCCCTTTGCATCGCTTCCCTCGTACGTGGCATCTCACCAGGGGGTATCATGATCTGTCTAGAGGAGAGGTGAATCGCCCGCTGAACATAATCCCAGCGTTGGACCTCTTCTCTCAACAAATCGTAAGCACGCCCGGTTAGCTCAATCGGTAGAGCGTGAGACTCTTACGAGTACGCGATCTCAAGGTTGCGGGTTCGACCCCCGCATCGGGCTGTTCCTATACTACATATTCATTGATTGAGATGTGCTTTCTTTTTGACGTTTTTGCGTATTCCTTTTTGTAAAGGGTAATGTGGTGGTGGCGTTTGATGGGAGAATGGGTGGTCCAGACTGGTACAAGGTCAAGTTTGAGATTATGATATTGAGATATTAATGTTTACTAAATAAATACAATGGTATTACGGATACGGAAAAATCACAAATGGACTCCAGGTATTATCTAGTTCAACTCATGAGCCTTCTTGATGGCCTTGTTCTTGCCCGTATCCAACACAACCGCGGGATCCTCTTCATCTCCCTTTCTCGAAACCGTGTTACCATTCTTTGTTGTGATGGAGGTACTAGAATCGATGTTAGCACTTTGACCTATACGTACGTTTATGTAGCGAAACTTACTCTTCAGCCTTGACATCCAGGACCTTACCCTTGGGCTGCCCTTCACCCCAGTTCCAACTGACAGTCTCACCCTTCTTGGGGCCCTTCTTTGCACCAGAGTCATCACCACCCTCATCATCATCATTCTGGTCGTCTTCAGCCTCTTCAGACTTCTTTGAAGCGCCATTGGTCTTCTTTCCGTTGGACTGCTTCTTCTGTGGCTTCTCCTCAGCACCATCGCTGTCTTCTTCAGCATCCTCCTCCTCTTCTTCCTCATCATTGGACTTGGTAGACTCTCCCTTGCGAGTCTCTCGCTTCTTGTTTGAGCCAGTCTGGCTTCGTGTCGCTCTTCGCTTCTCGCCGGTGTGCTTCTCATCATCGCCATCTTCTTCTTGTTGCTCCTCAACATCATCGTCTGCTTCCTCTTCTTCCTTCTCTTCCTCCTGTTTCTTGCCGCTGATATTCTCCTTGCCCTGGGCCTTGAGGAAATCGTGGCCCCAGTTCTTGAGCGAAGCGTAAGATTTGGTCTTTTTGACCTCCTCAGGGGACTTGTCGTTGTTGGCCTTTGTCTCTTGGGCTAGATGGCGTTTGCTGTTTCTCATTAGTACCAAGTCGTGAACTGTGTACGTTTGCCGTAACGGTATGCGAAGAGTGCTTACCAGTAGGAGACGACTTTGCGCATGTGCTGAACCTGCTCATCGGTGTACTTGCTGGGCTCCTTTTTTGGGTTCTCTTTGAGGATTTCAACAATCTTGCGACCACTGTCATGTCCAACAGATTCGCCATTCTCGTCCTCCTTTGGCCAACCTGCACTGTTGGAGTCGTCAGACTTGAGCCACTTTTCAAGTTCAGAGGCCGTCATGTTGACGACCTCGTTGAACTCTTGGATAACCTCGTCGTTGCCCTTCATGATTGCGATGGTGTCGGTTTACTTAATTGTGAGGGAGAGGGTATAATGTTTTGCAAATTCGTTGATTGCGAAAACCAATTGATCAACTAGAAATCTACGCGATCCATCACTCGAGTTTATGTAAATTGTTATTGCTTTTGGCTTGCGCCGTGTCGTCATGGCAGCCAGCTTACGGATGCTGTCTCAGCGTCATAGACGAGACCTGAGCTGTCGCGTTAAGATGGGCTAGAGAGCTCGGTCCTTTGGCGTAAAGTAGCTTGCCGTGATCGATTTTGGCGTTTAAGTGTCTGCAGGGGTTTAGCTGGACCAGAACAAAGCGCGATCTGGGCTGGGCTGTCGTCCAAGGAACGCGATCCGATCTCATCAATGAACGCATCATTTTGCGGCGATCACCAATATGGTGGTTGGGCGGCTGGGAAGTGGGCCAGGAACCCGATCAACGGATCGATTGTTTTATTCAAGCTAGAGGTTAATTGATACATCAATTTCACGGGAATTATGACGATACGCGTGGGCTGAAGAATCTGTCTTTTTCTTCGCTTTGATGTTGGGTTATCCACATTGAGTTACTCTGTACAAGACGGGCAGTTGAAGCTCCATAACCCACGTCATTCAGAGCTGCTGGGGCTTGAACTAAATACGGTACTATGCGTATGCGATGCTGAGCTATCGTGTTCCAAATCTTCAATTGAAACAGTTAGTGAGTGTTTCTAACATGTACATGGCTACATTGGTTATTGGCAGCTATATGTAAGATTGAGTGCAAAGATTAGATAATTGTTAGTATGTGCCCCCTACTCACCACCTATAATCACTTATACTTACACTCAGTCGCATAAGCGTATGTCTTTCGAACTAGCAGAAATGTAACATCAATCGGAATAAACTGTCCCGATGAAAGAAACACGATACCAACGTCGGACCTATTTTCTGTACCTGGTCTGATTTTTTTCAAGGTCATAATCCAGGTACCTGTTCCCCTGCTATGTTTTGACCGATCGGAGCTTGTGAGTAAGAGGATAGAAGTGAGAATGAATCCTTTGGGGAACTGAATACTAGACCTAGTAGGTAGTCAGAGATCGAACATCCAACCGAATTGCTAAAAAAAAAAAAACTGCCATATTCACTCTGGATGCATCTCAATAACTTGACTCAAGCTGGCTGCCATCTTCTTCCTTATCCTCATGAGCTGAGACCTTTGAGACTGCAATGATGCAATCGAAACTCCCCCTCGCTAAGCCTTAAAAAGAAGTCAACTTTTCTTCCCGTCCCCACCGCGGGGTTGTAGGGACTGTAATGCTGCTGCGGGAGCGGGGCCATTTTTCGCCGGGGTCGCTTTCTTGACGCCGATGCAGGAGCAGGCGACATTCAGATCTTTACTTTTTTGTGACTCAGATTAAATATCATCCGATACTCTAAAAAGACAAAAGGTACGTTCAATTCATCAGACAAACTTTCATTGTGTCCATATCTCAAACCAACAGTTATTGTTCTTGTACGTTTCCTGCCATGCAGCCATGTTCGTGTTTCCGTCGGCGACCATTGGGTCGCGATTGAGTCTTTTCAGCCGCCGCACAGCTCTCTGCCATTTATACCCTACATCTACAATTGAATCGCAATCGTCGAACCAATTCACTAATTCTTTTCGAAAATCCAGAATCGACAGCTCCAGAAGCTTCAGAACCGTCGCAATCATGTCTCAATACCCCCACATCCTTCTGCGCGCTGAGGAGAAGCCCCTCGAGCACCGATCTTTCTCTCCTTCAATTATCAAGACTCTTGTCGAAGCAGGATACCCTGTCTCCGTTGAGCGATCATCTACAGACCCCAAGTTCAAGCGTATCTTTGAGGACTCCGAATATGAGGCTGCTGGCGCCCGCCTTGTCGCTGAGGGCACCTGGCCCAATGCCGAAGCCGGAACTTTGATTCTTGGCCTCAAGGAGATTCCAGAGGACGACTTCCCTCTCAAGAACGACCATATTGTATGCACTACTCCCGCAAACAAGCTTTAACCGTATGCTAACCTATTTCAGTCTTTTGCCCACTGCTACAAGGTACATTCTTCGAGTTGAAATATGCGAGATTCCTACTGACACATCCTAGAACCAAGGTGGATGGGAGAAGGTCCTCGGCCGCTTCCCCCAAGGAGGCAGCGTTCTATACGATTTGGAATTCCTTGTCGATGAGCAGGGCCGCCGAGTTTCTGCGTGAGTAGATCACGAAGACAAAAGGCTAGAACAGCATTTTCCTAACAAACTAAACAGTTTCGGTTTCCACGCTGGATTCGCTGGCGCTGCACTCGGTATCAAGACCCTTGCCCACCAGCTTCAGGACCCATCCTCCAAGCTCCCCTCAGTGGAGACTTTCACCAACGGTCGTGGATACTACCTGAACGAGGAGGAGCTTGTCAACCAGATCCGAGAGGACCTTGCCAAGGCCGAGAAGTCTCTTGGACGTAAGCCCACTGCTCTCGTCCTCGGTGCTCTTGGACGATGTGGTAAGGGTGCTGTTGACCTGTTCCTCAAGGCTGGCATGCCTGATGAGAACATCACCCGCTGGGACTTGAACGAGACCAAGGACCGAGATGGTAGGCCCCTAATGTCTGATACTTGATAGCTTGAAACTAACGATTTAAGGTCCTTATGAGGAGATTGCCCAGGCCGATGTCTTCCTTAACGCTATCTACCTTTCCAAGCCCATCCCTCCTTTCATCAACGAGGAGCTCCTCGCCAAGTCTGGCCGCAACCTGGCCGTTGTCATCGACGTCTCCTGCGACACCACCAACCCTCACAACCCCATCCCCATCTACTCTATCAACACCACGTTTGAGGAGCCCACAGTTCCCGTCGAGATCAAGAACGACCAGAACTCCCTCCCTCTATCCGTTATCAGCATTGACCATCTCCCCTCAATGCTTCCCCGTGAGGCCAGTGAGGCCTTCAGCGAGGGTCTCAAGGAATCTCTCCTCACACTTAAGGACCGCAAGACTTCACGAGTGTGGGCCGATGCTGAGAAGCTTTTCAACGAGAAGGTTGCTCTGCTTCCCGAGTCTCTGCGAACCAAGAGAGTTTAAAAGTTGAATTTATGATATAGTCGAAATGGTTGATTAGAACGGAATAGAAAGCTGCAAAGAACAGCATGCGAACCACTCAGATATCTATCTTTATTTGTGAACTTTCTAAAGTAGTGTTGTTTTTGTACTCGAGTTGATCTAAACAAGCTTCGTGTACCGTATAATGTGACGTCTAGTAAAACAGCTTAATATTAGCGGCCTTGTTCACTAACACGATCTGGTTCATCAAGAAACAATAAAATGCTGGGCTATAAACTGTTGATCTATAAGCCTTTGACAAAACCGTCACGGACTAACACGATTTCCGATAAAATATCCCAAAGAGCCGATATTCCATTAATTGGAAGTATCATGTATTCATTCACTTAGCTGATAAAACTCAATAAACCCGGCCAGCTTAGCGTGAAGCTACATTTCTCGGCTGACAAAAAACAGGAGATGAAAGTAGGCTATCTACAAGACTCTACCAACCAGCTTTCTTAAAAGTCTAAATTCAGCAGATTGTTACACAGGGAATATCCATTGTTTTACTGTTCAATTTCTCGATGTTTCCTCGCGGTGTTAGTTAACGTTATTTATTCAACCACTTCCCCTTTATCACAACTATCTAGATCTAGATAGTCATCTGCGTATATTCTTCCTCCGGAGATGTCACTGAGGTCATCGAAGTTGATGACGCTTTAAGTGAGGATGAACAAGCTCAAGCTGCTGAATCACCTCATGTTGCTGAACCGTGTACAAGAGATCAAGGGACACATACGATTCAAGATCTACCTCCACTGCCACCTCAAGCTGCTCGCAATGTCCAGATAGCTCCTGGTTCTGGTCTTCATCAGGCCCATGCTCCTACTTATCCTTACATGCCTCAGTGGCCGCACCATCCTATGGGATACGCACCTCATCCTCACATGGCACAACATCCGCCTCATCCTCACCAACAGGATCCGTATCACCCACAACATATGGTCTACGCTCATCCTCACCGAGTAACTCATCCACAGCATATGGTTCAATATCCTCATCCTCAGATGCCGCAGTATCCATATTATCCGATGACTCAGTGGTCTCATCCGCATATGGCGCAGGCATCTCATCCACATGCATCTCCTTATGTGGGACCTCATGTTCAATATGTTCCTCCGCCGGGGTATGTTCCTCATCCTGGAAATGTTACTCAAGCTGGACGTGGCCACCAGCCAGGGCAAACTCCTCCTCGAGTAGGACATGCCCCTCCCCAGCCAGGGAATGTTCCTCATCCCAGGCGTGGAAATCAGCCAGGTCGTGCTCAACCAAGCCATGCTCCCCAACCAGGAAACACTCCTCAACCCAGGTACGTCCCTCAAACAGGCAATGCCACTCCTCAAGCAGGAGTTGCTCCTCAGTCGGGACACTCCCCTCCTCAAGCTCCTCTGGGAACTCCTTTACCCACACCACAATCTCCACTATTTACACCAGTGGCTACACCTCGATAGTTTCCTACTCCGACTCCTGCGCCTCAGTCTGTTGCTCCCACTCCGGTACCTGAGTCTGCTGCCTCAACCCCTGCACCCGGGTCTACCCCATCTACTCCGACTCCCCAATCTGTCGCTTCAACCCCAGCTCCAGAGTCTGTTGCATCGACTCCTGCTCCTGGACCTTCCTCCTCGCGAACCACGACAACATGGGACATGGGACCTCCGCCTAAGAAGAAGAGAGGACCGAAGCCCAAGCCGTTATCAGAACGCAAACCTCTCCGCACTATACCAATCGTTCGTAAAGAAAACAGCTACTCAAAGCAGAAAAGGAAGGAAGTCATTATGTGGATGGTACATCACCGAGTTTCACGTCTAGGTGAAATGGTGCCTCCTTCTGCTCAGGATGCTGAGAACCACTTTAAGATCCCTCGAAGCACCATTGCTGGATGGAAGTTACAATTGTACGTATAATCTGTGATCTTGTGAATTGACACTGATACTTGACAGGCTGGGGAGTGGGCCTATTCCCAAGTAGGCGTTGGGTTGATCAAGAATTGGTTATTGGACATGATTGAGACAAGGGAACTAGAATGAATCTGCATTGTATAAACCAAGTAATGATGCCGAATGAATGAAACGAAAATACAGCCATAATATTAACAATCGCATACTGCTTACATTAGATTTAAAGATATTTAGCAGTATTTGACTCGTATATTTGACTCTATATCTACTACTGCTTACTTATAATCAATCCTTCAATAGTGTTTACGTCACCTACCTATGTCCGCTAACTCCGCTGAAGCCACTCTTTAAGACTGGACCATCCAGCGCTTTGAGTGAAAGTATTCAGTTCAACTCAGTCAAATCAACCGAGTATACAGAGTTACAACTTACACGATGGCGTCAATCTCTAAAACAGTCGTGGCTACGGGCGTGTCTTCTGGAATTGTACCACTGTTCCTCCCTAATATTTAGCCGAACATGTGCTAATGCGGACAGGGCCTGGAAGCTATCAAGCAGCTCCTCGACACAAGTCAACCATACAAAGTCATTCTTGGCGCGCGCAACACCCAAAGAGCACAAAAGTCATACGACGAGCTTAACTATGACCACTCTGTCAGCGGCGTTACTATTCTCCCGCTCGAATTGAACGATCTCAAGGGTGTCAAGTCGTTCGCTGACCAGACCCTTGAGAAGCTTGGCCAGGGAAAGATTGATTACTTACTGCTTAATGCAGGACTCGGCGGTACCAGCGCCGATGGACCGGGACCTCACGGATCAAAGTGGTGCGAGCCGCATGTTGTGAACCACCTCTGTGCGTTGAACCTGTGTGACAGGTAGTACAGTGCAAGGCTAATGTGTTACTGTTACAGCGCAGTTTTACCTTGTGCATCTCTTGAGGGAGAAGTTAGTCGAGTCCAAGTCTAGGATTGTCTTTGTATCTTCTGGTGCTGTGCGCAGGGTTCCGGATCCTAGTGAGACTCCCCATTCCTTGTTCAAGAGTGTTGTGTTTTGGGAACTGAGAGTGTATAGGCAAGCTTGACGAAGAGGTCAAGGCAGACTCTGGAGCGGATGCCCTTACGACGTACTCCAATACAAAGTTCACTGGTCTTCTCGGTGCGCATTGGTGGCGTCGTCAGCTAGCCGGTACCAACGACGTTGTCGCCGTGTCGCCTGGCCTGATTCCCGGCACGGGTCTTGCGAAGCAGATGGGTATTCAGAGTAGCATGCCTGATGCCAAGTCTATTCCTGAAGGTGGGTAGCTTTTATCCCTGGCTCCAAGTTGATGTTGTTTTGCTGACAGAGGTATAGGTGCTTCGAGCGTGCTTGCTGCTCTCACCCGAAGTGATTTCCCTGAGGATCCCGATCGCATTTTCTTGACCAGTTGGGGTGAGTGGTGGGAGAAGGCCATAATTGAAAAGACTACGGATAAGGCGCTGCAGGATAGGTGGTGTCCCAGTAAGGAGGAGATTGAGAGGGAAGCTGGGATTTCCTCTTAAGTGTGGGAAGAAGAGATTGACATAATGATTGAATATAGGACATGAAATTTAGTTATGTCAGTATCAGGCAGTGACCGAGACTCATGGTGGTGTGAATGCCCCTGACACATGCCACAAGATAGCGTAAACGGTCTCCGTCACTATTTGCGGCAGAGGCTGAAGCCGTCACAGTAGAGTAGAACCGGAATGACGCTGCCATTTGTGATTGGTGGGTTGGGCTCAGGTCGATGCGATCGCATTTTACAATGTAACTGTTTTAGGATGATACGTGGGAAGGGATGTATTGGTCGCGATAATCTACTCAAACTTGCTCGGGTAGATAATCAGTCTTTTCGGACCCGAGATTTGACGTGACGGTTGAGACTATGGATAGTCTATTATGAGACGATGCGTGCTGCCCTAGACTAGGTACCAAGAAGATAGGATATCTCGATTCTGTGCTTGTACGCCATGCCTGAATGATCTACAGACAATAGGAAAGCGAAGAGAATCGACGATGCAATTTCATTGTACTTTTAGATGGTCTAGATACTGATAGCATGTGTTTACCCACCAACTCAGCCTAAACCTCTCGCACTCGCTCACATTCATCAATATCAAGCTGTCATTACCACCCTTGGAATGACGATGCATCTCGAATAGGATTCCCCAAATAGTTCTAGCTTCAACGTTCCTTCTCGAAAGGCTTCCTCGAACAAGCTTAGCCTCTGATCTGTATACAGGGGTCATTTAGTGTCCGAACAGCTAATTCACTGGAGCTGACACTGCTTGATTGGGTCCTTGGCTCGCATTCGCTTTTGTCACAGGGCTGAAGGGGGAAGAGCTGAAGCTTGGCATTTGTTTAGCGAGTGCGACAGGAAGATCAGGTCAATTGTGAGTCTTGATATGACTACTAACTTAGAGTGCTGAGGAAAGGAACTAGAAAGCACCAGATAAATACTAGAGACAAGCCTCTTTTTGATCAGGTTAACTTCTGAGGTCAGACGCTTAACAAACAACCTTAGCAAACAATATCTCGATAGGCTATTCCAGCATTGGTCTGTCAGGTCGTATCATTGACTTTGTATCAATCCCTCTTTATCCCCTTCAGTCCTTGCCAATCTCCTACAGGCATCATCCTCAACAACCACCATGTCAAGAGAACCGCCCAACAACCTCGTCATCTTTGGCCCAGATGCAAACTGTACCTTGGCCCTCTGCCCTGTAGAATGGAGCGTCTACCAATACCGACCTTCGCTCGCAGCCAACGGTACCTTTATCGCCCTCTACGCCCTGGCCATGATAACGCACATCATACTCGGCATTCGCTGGAGGCAGTGGTTTTTCATGTCCTTCATGATACTCGGCTGCTTGTTTGAGATTGTTGGATATATTGGTCGTATCATTCTATACCACAACCCCTTCAACTTTGGAGGCTTCATGATACAGATTGTCTTTGTCACTAGTGGACCTGTGTTTTACACGGCTGCTATATATGTGACTTTAGCCAAGACGTAAGTTGACTCTCCGCAAGATAATCATCACTTTCTAACTCACTACTTTAGTATCAAGCACTTTGCCCCCGAAGTCTCTCGCTTTAGACCAGAGTTCGTCTGGTGGATCTTTATTCCTGCCGATATCATCTGTCTCGCTCTACAAGGTACCGGAGGCGCTCTGTCAACCATCAGCCAAGGCTCTAGCCAAATGGGCATCGACGTTGCCCTGGCCGGTCTTTCACTACAAGTCGTCATCCTTGTTCTCTTCTGCGCTATTCTAGGCGACTACCTTTGGCGATACTTCCGCAGCGGATCGGCCGGGGCGTTGAGCAAACGCATGCGAGTCTTCTTTGGCTTCGTGAGCGCTTCTGTCATCTTGATCCTTGCGCGGTGCGCCTTTCGATGTTATGAGTTGAGCAAAGGATATCAGGACTCGGACCTCATTTCGGACGAGGGATTGTTCATTGGTCTCGAGGGAGTGTAAGTTGTCTATTCCTTTAGGATGGTTGGGTGATATACTAACTGTGGTTTAGACTTATTGTCATTGCTGTCTTTTGTCTCTGCGTGGGACACCCAGGACTTGTATTCAATGACAGGGCTACGAGAAAGATCTCTGCATCCTCGTCTAGTGATGTAGAGAAATAGATTTGGGCGAAAAGTAATTGCTGGTTTAAATAGAAGAGGAATTATTGAATTGGATATATGATGACTTATTTGGATATCACATTTTAATAGAGGCATATCTTTCCCTTGAACTACCGACTTTAATTATAAATTCTGTGTGTCTAGATTCTCAGCGTTTAACCTCCTCGCTATCTCTTATTTTGATGTTCATCTAATCTACGTAGTGTATTTTGGTGTACCGTAGAGGCTTGAACAGGCACCCGAGACTTGTTAGCTACAAGCCAGAACAGACATATGCATTGTTCACTTAAACACGGTATTCATCATGCACGGAAATTATGTGCTGATACGCTTTGTTAGGCGTTATTGGTGATCGACTTGCTAGCTATCTCTGCAGAAACAAACGATGCTTCAAAAGACCAAAGATTGGTAATCCCCAATGTCCAGATTTAACCATTCCAATACCACCCCCATGATTATCCAGCAATCCAGCAATCGGTTCCAAACGCTCCATCAACCAAAGTGAGATGTTCAGATTGTTGCATGCCAAGCTGCGTTGCCCTTAGAGCTTGGCGTCGCACACGCACCAGCAGTTGGCGTCACAGTCCGGGTTCCAGCCGCGACGCCTGAAGTTACCGTGATCATCGCAGGTGTAGGCCCAGGGACGGAAGTAGCACTTCTTGTACCAAAGGCTGCAAGAGATGCTGCAGGATGCCTTGTCGTTGGTGTCGATGGCAGTGATCTCGGCAGCGGAAGCGGTCTTGTTGGCGGGGACAGCAGCGACAGCACCGAGGAGGAAGAGGGCTGGGGGATGCATAGTCAGTGGACTGTTATCGTAGATGTATGTGTGTGAGGTTATTCGTGACTTACCGATGGTAGCGATCTTCATGGTTGCGAGTGTTTGATGAAGGTAGGTAGGTAGCTTCAAGAGAGAAGGTTCGGTTCAGATGAATGTGTAGATGAAAGTGGAAGTGCAGAGTGCAGGGTGATCTGATGTTGGGGATGATGAGGAAGGAAAGAAGAAGAGGGTGAGAGGAGAGATGAAGGGAATTTATAGACTGTTTGGTTACTGCAGAGATGGTCGAGAGGCAGTGAAGAAGCATTGGCAGCTCTATGGCAGCTGGCAGCTGGCAACACCCGCCAGCACTGACGCAAACTGCTGCCATTCACACTGGAGAAATCGGCCAGTAGTAAATGCTCAGTAGTTGTTGGATTGCTATCCTGATATGAAGTGTAACAACTCCAATATCTCGAGTTTGAACGAACAATATGGTGCATGGTCCGAGAACAGCATCGAGTCAGGATTCATGCGTTGCACAACGTCGTTATTGGAATGTAAGAACAAAGAATACTCGCTTCGAGTAGTTTTTCTCCTCTACTATTGGTATCTACTATTTAAGTTTAACTTGATCCTGTACATAGGCTGATGTGGCCAAGTGTTGTTATAACGGCACAGAGAGAGTGTAAATTTGGAACCTGCAGCCCCCTACGAGAACCTGCATGGCATTTACAACAGATGAAGTCTTTTGATGATATGCTTTATTACTTGAAAGACTTAAACGAATTAAACTTGTGTGAAAGAAGAATAAAAAATAGGCGATTTTATTTTAAGAGCTTTGAGACTAACAACCTACTCTTCAAAATCATTACTTTGTGGTACATATGATATATAGTCAAGAACACGGACGGTTCCGAGTCTCGATGCATATGCCAGGAACTGCCGTAATATAGGTTTCATGGAAAGTGGCTCCTCTGGAAACAGTTCATCACATCCCGATCGCCAATGTAACTCTACGATCTTGCGTGGCCTATCCATACAACTTTCTCTCCTCGAATTCTTCCGGCCTATGTCCTCTCGACAACCCGTATCAAACCACCATCTATCAAATCTACCCCAGAATGATAATAAAATAGCTCGATCAACACTCGACCATCAACTTGATCGAGCCACTGAACGGATCCCAGTTTCCTCTTTCGGCTTAACTGACCAGTTGCTAACGCGGTTATCCCTGCAACCTCCCCCAGTCTGACAAACCAGAAATGAAATTAAAAGGATCATGAACCGTGTCTCAGCCCTACCTAAATGGCCTCAATCTTGGAAGTTATCATATGTAAGACGAAATTACGTGTGCCGGGTTGCCGAAAAATCTGCTCAACGAGGATTGTTTAAATAGTGAGATGGTCTCGCACTTTTGGCTCTGTTTTGTTTGAAGCTCAACACTCTTTTGTTTCAATTTTAACACATTCTTTATCGAGAATCTAGAGGATCTCATCCATTCATTCACTTTATTAAACCCCTGTTGACTTTACTTCTTGGCAAGCCCCAAGTTGAGTCTATTCACATCCGTTTTTGAACATTTGAAACTCCTTACGCCGATCATTATGAAGTTTCTTCTCCCCGTTCTTCTGGCTGCTCCAGCTGTCATGGGTCGAGCTTGCAAGGCTCCGCAACCCAGTGCCGACGCTGTTGCCCCAGTCTACTCTGTTCCCAAGGATGCGTCTATCGTGCCCAAGCCTGTCGCTGACAGTGTTCCTGTTTATACCACCCTTGCGACTCATGTAGCTGCGTCCAGCAAGCCTACTGAAGTTGCTGTCAAGCCTCAAGCTGTGTCCAAGGTCCAGGCCGTTTCCAAAACCAAGTCTCAAACCAAGTCCAAGTCTAAGCCCAAGGCCAAATCTCAGACTGCAGCCAAGTCCCAGTCCAAGGCTCTTGGTAATGGCGCGTCTGTCTCTGGTTCATCCACCTTTTACGGCGGTAATCTTTCTGGCGGAAACTGCATGTTCACGACTTACACTCTACCCGCCGGTATCTTGGGAACTGCTTTCTCTGGCCAAAAGTGGGATAACGGCGCCAACTGTGGTGCTTGTATCGAAGTCACCGGTCCTTCCGGAACCGTCAAGGCCATGGTAAGTTTCATCCTCAGATATCGTTGAATGCAGCAACTAATGTTATCTAGATTGTCGACAAGTGTCCCGAGTGTGACCCCGGCCATCTCGATCTCTTCCCCGACGCATTCAAGGCCGTCGGCGGCACCAACGGCATCGTCAAGACCTCCTACAAGTTTGTCGAGTGTGGCATCACTACTCCTCTTGTTCTTCACAACAAGTCTGGCACTTCTGCCAACTGGTTCTCTATTCAGGTAGTCAACGCCAACGAGCCTGTCAAGAGCGTCGAGGTCTCAGTTGATGGCGGCAAGACCTGGAAAACGACTGAGCGCAAGGACTACAACTTCTTTGAGAATCCTGCTGGTTTCGGCAAGGAATCTGTTGATGTCAAGATTACTAGCAGCACTGGCAAGACTGTTATTATTAACAAGGTTGGGGTTACTGCTGATGCTCAGTACAAGGCCAAGTCTAACTTTTAGACTGGTTTGGAAATGTTTGTCGAAATGAGATGGGATGACGGCTGACGTTTTCAATTCTGATGTATGAGCTGAGCAGCTGGCTGCTTTGCTCAATGAATACTCTCAGGACTCACCGAATAGTCATGCCATTTAACGACGACGAACATAGAACTTCATATTCGTGTATATAGTTGACAGGAGATTTATATATAAGAGAAAATACGACTACTCAAGATCGAAAGTGACAAAGTCCATTGATCACTAAATGTCCTAGGTCCCAACATCAAGATATGCTCGGCATCAGACTACTTATGGGAGGCCAGAGTCTGCTAAATTCCATTGTTTAATTCATCCATCAACAAGGTTGGCTTTGTACGAATGTGGAGTATTTGTATTTTGCCTAAATGTAAATGGAATTGTCATTTAAAACTCCACGCGGTAATTTGCCAAGTCGGGAGTTTGACCCAAGGGGGATCAATGAGGTAATGATCAGAGGGACAAACCTTGACTCAAAGACGAGAAACATCTCTTGTCATGCAAAATCAATCATGGAATTAAAGAGCGGGAGTACTTTTCCAAAAAGAAGAAGCCAGGATGGACATAGTCTTGGTACACGCCAATTCGACGACATGACGTGATTCTTTACTGTTGGTTGCAACATGCGACACTCTAAGAGATAGAATCATGACTATCTCTTCTACTACAAGATCTATCCTTTGTGTTCATTGTTGATTGCCATCGTCACAGAGTCAAACCCATATGATTGATACTGCAATGTCCACATTTACCCCGAATAATTTGGGGATTTTGGAGGAAGAATTCGGGGAATGGAGAATCAATTTCGGTCCTTTCCCCGCAGCTGATGACATTCAACGCTCAAGTACTGTCACTGCCTTGGTCAACATTGTTCCCAGTTACAATGTGTTGCCATATGCGCTCCAATCATTTTTCAAGAAACCCTTCTAGAGACATTCCAGGAATCATATCGTGCGAGTAGATTCAGGTCGGTAATGGGGCTCCTCACCGGCAAACGAGGTACTTTAGTGTGACATTGCAGGCCCCCTGTACAGAGATGATATCATCGTCGGGAATACCCTCTACTCTCGCGGAGCCGCTCAGACTTCCGTCGTCAGGAAAGTGCCTATGATTTAGTCACAGTATATCTCTTGAGAGCAAGTTGATTTTTATAAACTGTTCAGCTCAAGGACTAGAAGGGTATGCCTTACCGTACTTAATCTACCATCATGAACTGACACTCACGAAGATATGGTGCAATTAGTTCAGTAGTTATCTACAATAAAAATCAAGCTAAACAAGCTATCCCACAAACCCCAAGCAAGCCAAGAAGAAACCCCGGACAAAATTACCCTCAACCGTTAGCTTCTGACGATCCTCCCCATGGGCAACCTAAAAGTTCCCTCCAACAGAGTGAATGCATGACGTTGGGCCTCAGACCCATCCATTTCGCAAAACATCACTCGTGCGCTTCTAAAATGTTCTCCACGTCCATTCTTGTTTCAACCCCATGGAGTTGATGGTCAAGTTGAAGATCATCTTTATATAAAGACTATATCTCAGACTCAGAGTGTCGAGTTTCGATAAACAGACAGCATTGTTTGCGTTTCCTTACACAAGTTCGTCAACATGTATCGAATTTGGAACATCTACGGTATGTTATCTCATGATGAGTCCATGAAATGGCAGCCACTTACACATACCAGCCCTTGCCTCCTTTGGCACCATTGGAGGCATGCTCTTCGGTTTCGATATTAGCTCCATGAGCGCATGGATCGGCTCAGACCAGTATCTCGACTACTTCAACCGTCCTGGCTCAACAGAGCAGGGCGGCATCACAGCTTCCATGTCGGCAGGATCTTTCGTCGGAGCTCTTGTTGCAGGAGGTATCGCTGATCGTCTGGGTCGTCGCAAGTCCCTCATGATCGCTTGCCTCTTCTGGATCGCTGGTGCTGTTCTTCAGTGCTCCGCTCAGAATGTCGCCCATCTTATCGTTGGCCGTATCGTCAGCGGTGTCGCTGTCGGTATCACCAGTTCTCAGGTCCTGGTCTACCTCGCCGAGCTGGCGCCCTCACAGATTAGAGGTCGTATTGTTGGTATTCAACAGTGGGCTATTGAATGGGGTAAGTTGCACAAATTTCAATACCACTATCATTAGCTGACAAAATCTAGGCATTCTCATCATGTATCTTGTCTCCTACGGTTGTTCTGTCGGTGTTGATGGTCCTGCTGCATTCCGAATCGCTTGGGGTGTCCAGGCTGTTCCTGGGTTCATTCTTCTCGCATCTCTCTTCTTCTTCCCTGAGTCACCACGATGGCTTGCCCAGCACGACCGCTGGGAGGAGGCTCACTTTAACCTTGCTCACCTTCACGCTGGGGGCGACCTTGATAGTCCTGTCGTCCTCGCTGAGATGGAAGAAGTTCGCGAAGCTGTTCGAATCGCCAATGAGTCCAAGGACATTGGCTACCTCGGTCTCTTTGCGCCTGGCGTCTGGAAGCGCACCGTTGTTGGTGTTAGTGTCCAGGTTTGGCAGCAGTTGCTGTAAGTTTACTCCTCGTTTTTTGCGTACCTGATTGGTATTAATGTGAAACTAGTGGTGGAAACGTCATGCTGTACTATCTCGTCTACATCTTCAACATGGCTGGTATGACTGGCAACACGGCTCTTACCTCTTCCATTATCCAATATGTCATCTTCCTCGTCACTACTGGTCTTGTTCTGCCTTATATCGATCGTCTTGGTCGCCGACCTCTTCTAATCGGCGGAGCGTTGATCTGTGGTGTTCTGCACTTTACCAGCGGGGCTGTCATGGCTGTCCACGGTTATCCCGTTGATGGCATCGAGGGTGAGTCGTCATTTACCCTTTGCTCTAATATGCAAAGACTAACTCTTTCAAGGCAACGATATCTTGACCTGGGCTATTCAAGGAGCTCCCGCCAAGGCCGTCATTGCCCTGGCATACATCTTTGTCGGGGTGTATGGCCTTACCTGGGCACCTGTCGCCTGGATTTACGCTAGTGAAGTCTTTCCTCTCAAATACCGAGCTAAGGGTGTCGGTCTGGCCGCCTCTGGTAACTGGATGTAAGCAGTTCTTTCTCCAACGGCAAACCCAAAGATACTAATATTGACCCCTTAGCTTCAATCTGGCTCTGGCCTTCTTTGTGCCCCCATCCTTCACTAACATTCAATGGCAGACATACATGATCTTCGGCACCTTCTGTATTGCCATGACTGTACACGCCTTCTTCACGTATCCCGAGACGGCTCGCAAGACCCTTGAGGAGGTCGAGGCCCTATTCGATAGCGACGTTCCTGCTTGGCGAAGCGCTAAAGCTACTGGAGGCTTTGAGGAGAAGCTTGAGGCTGCTCGGCGCGGAGATGGATTCAAGGGGACCGCCGATGGACTGGAGACGACACACGCCGAGACTGCCTAGGCGGCGTGTTGGTAGTTTGATGTATTGTAGTGTATGGTTTAGAACGTATACCCAATTGTTTGTAGTATCTTCGGAATTGAAGTTTTGTTATATGGCTGAGGCGCGAAGTGGAAGGATTGGTGATTGGATCCGGTACAAATGTTTCTCTCCAGTGATTTTTCATTACTAACTTAGTGGGTAGATGATGTTCCCTCCCACGACTGGCCTTTTCCTTCTGCATTGTTCCATTGTTCAAAGTACACTGTTCCTTCGCACTGCATCATCGATAGAGCTCGCATACCTCTTATTTGCCATTTTGATTTCGCTGTCCGCGGGTAGGTTGGTTGTCGTCTTCCTCTTTTTAGCGATATTCTTCTGCTATTACTTCCACATAGGAACTTTTACTGGGAACAAGGATTGATTTCGCAATGAGGTGAGCGATATTCCCGGCCATTTTCATGTTTGTTTTAGCCAATGACGGCGACATTGATATATCAGATCACCAGCCTATAGTCAAGCATGTCAAATGCCGGCCTTGCGAAACAACCCCTGCACATAATCTTCGGCCGAACGAGCCGGGTCCGGGTCAAGGAGTACGCAATCTACTCCAGAAGCAAAGAAGCTTTTGTCAACGGTCGGCCGCGGAAAACTCTGGGGTCCCGAGGCCTACGGCTGCTCCTATCATGGAATAAGACCATTCCGATGATGGAAGGATCATGATACATCACATGAATTCGACGCCTCGTCCGACTTGGCGTGTTAAACTTCAACGCTCCGACGGAGTTCAAGGTTCCTGCTGCGTCAGCTTCGGGGCGACTATACCAATGGAGAAGATGCGAGACACGAATTGTCATAGACATTTATGACAAACCATAAAAAAGTTCCGCATCTGCGTCAACAGAATCCTACGTTGAGTCAAGAAAAGGCCCCAATTACCCCTCTGGTAAGCCAGGACCGAGCCTCGGCACTCTAAAGTTTAGTGATTACTACTATTAGCCGGACACGTTTCCGTTTCCTCTGTTTAGAGCTGAAAGGCTCCCCCATCAAAAAAGGACGCCGGGGCCATAAACAATGTCGATCCCCGAGAACGCCGGTGCCGAATGACACCTTGGAGGGGCCGGGGATATATCCGTATGGGAATAGCGCCCGTCCCCGTGGCGGAATAGTGCCAGACCTAGTTTTGCTTTGAGAAGTCTTCATAGGTTTCATAGCCTTTTGGACCGGGTCTACAGACGGAGATAACAACCCCAGAAAGACAAGACAGACCGATCAATCATGGCATGCATGGCAAAGGGAGGGTCAAACTAACGTTAGTTAACGGAGTCTAGTCTAACGTTGGGAGACCAAGTACAAAAAGGCTGAGGCCCATCAGCTAAATTAATAAGTTTCTCTATTATTCACACTAACACTAAATCTTTGTTTATTCGTTTAATCAGATTTACTTCTTCACAAGTTATCGAGTGATACGCTCCTTCCAAAACATCGTGAACAACAACACCCGCCTCAATTCAGACAGGTACAAAAAACCCTCCCCCCTGGCGGAATAATCTGCTTTTGTCCCACAACAACCTCAGACCACAGAGGCACAGCATTAGAATCTGTTGCTCAACACGACACAAACCAACCCAACCTTAAAAAGACAGAAACTGACTCGGATCTCAGTCCTTTTACCGTTTCACAATGACTCGCGACAACCTTGAGATTGTGCTCGCTGAGCGTCCTACCACAGACATCATCCCAGGCCGCACCTTTACTCAGAAAATCGGCAAAGCGCCCACACCCGCTGATCTCCAAGATGGCCAAATCCTCGTTGAGACTCTCTACTTGTCTCTAGACCCCGCCATGCGAGGCTGGCTCCGAGGTAAACAGCCCCTGCTTCATAGTTCAGGTCGTCAGTAACTAACACAATGTCTCAGATATGCGATCTTACCTCCCTCCTGTTCAGATTGGTGAGACCATGCGTGGATCATGCGCATGCCGCGTCCTCGCCTCCAAGAGCAAGCTCGCCAAGGAGGGCGATATCGTCGCTGCTACCCCCGGCTGGACCGAGTTCGCCATCGTTCCCGAGGGCCGTTTTGAGCCTGCCTCTTACTACCCTGGTGTCCAGGACCCCAAGGACATGCTCTCTGCCCTCGGCATGACCAGTCTCACTGCTTGGGTTGGCATGTCCAAGATTGCTGATCCCCAGCCTGGCGAGCTTGTCGTTGTTTCTGGCGCTGCTGGTGCCACAGGCAGTGTTGCTGGCCAAATTGCGAAGCTCAAGGGTGCCACCGTCGTCGGTATCGCTGGTGGCGAGGATAAGTGCAAGTGGCTCACTGAGGAGCTCGGCTTCGATGTCGCGCTCAACTACAAGGCCGATGACTTTAAGGAGAAGTTCAACGAGGCGACAAAGAACTACATTGATGTCTACTACGACAACGGTAAGTCTTCTTCAAATCTCACAACAGTACGACGAAACTAACATGTCTCAGTCGGTGGCGACATTCTCGACATGTGTCTCATGCGAGCAAAGGAGCACGCACGCTTCATCGAGTGCGGTCTCGTCAGCCAGTACAACGCCGCCAAGCCTCAGGGACCCCGAGCTTTCTCCCAGATCGTCACCATGCGCATCAAGATGCAGGGCTTCATTGTGCTCGACCACGTCAAGGACTTTGCCACCGCTCGTGCTGAGCTGGCCAAGTGGATGGCTGAGGGCAAGCTCAAGAAGACTGAGACTGTTGTCCGTGGCGGTCTCAAGGTTGCTGAGCAGGCTCTCGTTGACTTGTACAAGGGTATCAACACAGGCAAGCTGATTGTCGAGATCAAGAACCACAACGACACACCTTCCAAGTTGTAAGGTGCTGTAGAGACGTAAAATTGAGGAACTGGGTTATATAGATGGATTTCGGTTGCTGCTTATGATAGATACCTTACGTACATAATGATTATATCATGAAATTTCAAGAGAGTGTTCACTGGCTGCTGGCTGATTGTGGTATCAATCTTGTCTTCCAATGTTATCAACTTGGAAGTATATTGATTCTGATTGGGGTTCATCAAAGATGGCTCGCTTGTGTTCTGTAAATAACTTTTAGATCCGTCCCACGCACTTCTTCATAGATTAGTACACATAGCGGAAATAAGGGTTCTCCTTATCCGTCAAGTCCTGGAAAGCCAACTTGGCTCGCTCGCTCTCATCTCCCAGGCCAAGCGCATCTCTCCTCCTATTTTCATTACGAAGTACAAAGTACAGTGTAGTTGAAGCGAGAATACAGATGATATAACTAAATCAAGTCAGATGATGCAAGTAGCAAATATACACAGAAGACTTACCAGATGATCAGACCCAACCATAGAGCAGGATAATGATCTTTCTTGGTCTGACTCCAAACAAGCTGAGGGCCAACAATGTTTCCAACACAGTACGCAACAAAGATCGTAGCCGCCATGAAACTCTTCTTGGTATGGCCGGCGACGTTGGACATTCCAATGGTGATGATTAGGCTGACCGTGCCACCAAAGAATCCCGTGATAGAATATCCCACCACAGGCGCAGCAGCCCGATACGACCACTCGCTCTTCCAAATGATAGCGCAGCCTGCAATTACAGGTAGACATGTAAAAATGAGCATGAAGATGCGAATGTTGTTGAATTTGGATCCCAGCCAGCCCGTCAGGAGAATGACGATGAAACAGAGCCCACCAAGGGGGAACTGGAAGAGAATAGAGTGAAGCGTGCTCCAACCAAACGTCGATACGATGAGAGGTCCGAAACCACTAACTGCTCCGTTGACGGTGTACGCTGAAGCCATCATGAGAGCGATGAGCCAAATCTTAACATCGAGGAGGGCTTCTTTTAGTTGTGACCCTTTGAACTTTGTACATCGCACACCAGTTTGTCCATGCCTTAAACGCTCCACGGCAGCGAATTTCTCCTCTGAAGTGAGAAACCATGCTGTAACGGGCGAATTTGGCATGATGAAGCAGAAAAGCCCAAACAGAAACGTTAGTGATCCTGCGAGGAGGTAGATATACTGCCATCTCTTTAAACCACCGCCCGTGATCTGTGCAAATCCATAATTGAGCGCTCCACCGATGATAGTAAATATTCCCGTTGATGAGAACCACCAGCTTTGTCGCAAAGACTGCTCTGCTTGGGTATAGTATCCAGAGACGATGCACATGAAGCCAGTTGGAATAATGCTCTCGACAAAACCGAGGAAGAAACGCTGTACGTAGAGACCTTGGTAGGACGTTACTGCGGCTGTGAGCATACATATAGTAGCCCAAACAACAACCACGCCGCCGAGTACACGTCCTATATCGAAGCGCTGCAGGGCGAATGTCATGGGATATAAGCCCGCCAACATCCCAAAGTAAAAGAGCGAGGTGGCCCAGCTGAGACGTCGCGTGTCTACGGTTGGAGGCGTAGTTGAGGCATCCACGACTGTGAGGTCCAGATCTGTTGTCATGCCGAAGAGGACGGCTGAGCCGAGAATAGCTTTGTCGTAGTATACGAGGCCATCTAGTTGTGGTATATCAGTATCATGGTCAGAACAGGTGGTGTTGAGGGAAACGCACAGCCGACGATCATGGCGGGGATGAGAAAGATGTCAATCTTTCTGACTGCGCGCGCGGCGACGATGGGATCAATGGCATGTTGCTGTTCGCCTACTATGGCGATAGCTTCATCTCTGTTTCCCGTTGGGGACGACGCGTTTTCATCTGCTTGTCCCATTGTTGCGATATCGGAAAAGCGATCAAGATGTGGTGGTGTTGCAACAAGAACAATGGTTAAAAGCTTTCACATGGGCTGTTCATTATTTTAGCGATAAATGACCCCAGCCAAGAGCTATTATCATATAATGGCATCATCCCTAGTGAGCGAATTTTATTGCTATGAGCAACTCCAAGCTATGGCTGTACCCTTTGATAGCCGTTTTAAGCCTCAGGTGCATGGAAGAATCCTTGTAGTTCGTGAGCTAAAGTAAACTTACAGAGTTTTTTTCGGCGGATGTGAACCGGGATTAATTCGAACTGGTTCGTGGATTGGCTGGTTAGCTGGATAATAGTGAGACTTTTCTGGTATTAACCATACTCTGTTGAGCCAAGACAGCCCAGCCCATTGATACAGCTTTTCACCTTGGTCGTGATTGTTCATGATGGCAGACTTGACGATAATGCTCAATTCATCAAACTGGCTGACTTAGTCAGATGTAAACTATCATGCATATCTATAACCCAACCTGAATGAAAATGCCTGTCGCCCCAAACGCCTGGCTATGTCCAGCAATCCTCTCTTGGGATTGTTAAATGGTATCAAATCAAAAGATTCTCTTGATACTAGGTCCGACCCACTGCACTTCTGTGCAATTCCTGTTCTGCCTCCACAGCTCAATCCGGTCGGTCAACCAGCCCGACTTGAAGTCTACCCATCGATCTTTTTGATCCGCTGGTGGAGGGATGACATTGCCCTTGTCGTCTTTCATCAGGGGCACGTTGATCTTCTCTGCTTGTCTTGGGTCGCCAACTCGGAAGGATCGTGAGAGAACGCATTTTTGCTCGTCTCGGCCTCGCCAGTTATACTGGAGACAGTCGCTGCTGTCTCTGCAGTACTTGCCGCATGCTTCGAATGAATCGATTCTTGCTTCGGGTGGTGCAACCCAAAAGTCCCATTTTCCATTGTCCCAGTTCTCAGCAACTTCTTGATCACCTGGATGGTGGAATTTCCAGACATCAGAATAAAGTAACGGGCGCTATTAGAAGTTAGTAAGTATATGAAATAGCTTCACCGGGAAACAACTTACACCTAATTGTCGCTGGCCAAACTCCCATCGCCAGACACTAGTCATGTCTTCCGGCCGCGTCTTGTGTAGCGTCATGACAGGCTGACACCAGTACTTATCGCTGAACGGGATGCTATGGAGTGGGTGCGGGTTGAACAACGGCCAGTATCCACGCAACGGTACGCTGATATTCCACAGAGCCCAACCCGTTACGCTGTCACCGCAGCAATCGTCCCGTAGCATGGGAAGCCACTTTTCCGCAACCGGAGGCTCGACGTACTGGCCGTACGGGTTGGTCTTACGAACCAGGAGTGCCTTCATTGCACCGCGGCTGAGCACAAAGCCCGGTCCGCCGTTTGCGAACCATGTCTTGATGTCTTGTTTCACGTCATGTCTACCGGGTGATGGAGAACCCATGTACAACGGTGCGTCGGGGTCGAAGGTTTGGAGGAAGCGGAAAGCGTTGTCCCAAAAGACGTACCTGTAGACGTTTGTTAGTGGTGACCAGTAAAACCTTGAGATTGCGGCAAACTCACGTATCCGTCTCGAAGAAGAAGTAAAACTCTTTGTTAGGCTTCATCTTCCACGCTCTTTCAATCATAGGTAGGAACTTGAACTTGTCCATTCTCCAGCCTTGTATACGCGCAGTAGCTTCCTTGTCCACATCGAGAGTTCCATTTGCTCGCATCTCTTTCTGCCATAGGTAGTTGACGAAGTCGGGGTTATCGTGGTAGTAAATGGACGGTGAATCGGCGAGGACATCGATCGCTTGGTGGCCATGGACAGTTTCGTCAAGATCCGAGTAAACCAGCAACTCGTCCTTTTCGAAACACGCACTAACACTCTCGAACTGCGCGTCGAGTTTATCTTTTGTATCGGCGTGGCCCATCTTCAGAACAGGCTGAATCGTCTGGAGCATGTGCTTGGGAAAGGTAGCGCAGAGGTCTTGGGTCGTCTTGCCAGTGGGATCGACGGATACGGGGTAAAAGGAGCTCGTCGTCGAGAAGGAATAGTATTCAGATACTCCATAACTACCGTGAATAACACTCCAGAAAACGAGGATGAGAAAGACGATGGTGCAAAGACCGGCGATGGCCATGCGACTGAAGCGTTTGTTGAGCATCAGTCGCCGGCTGGAGGAAGACCAGACTGAAGGCATCGCAGCTGGTGATTCTGCATGGCACTCGGGGCCTGTTTGCTGCTAGAGATGCTCGTCCTGTCAATTAAGGAAAGATGTGGTGTCGCAAGCTAGAAGGGACATTCATGATGGAGGAGAAGAGCAAGGATATTTCTTGGGGGTGACGCACTTGTCTTAGGGGTAGAGATCCACTAAAAGCATCCCCTGTCGCGGGAATGGACTCATGATGGGAGTTTCTGGGCTAGAAAGAGACAAGTCTCTTAGCGGTATTCTAATTCAGACGTTAATATCAAGACAATCGGGGTATTCTAAGCCTATGAACAAGGTTTCTTATAGATCGTGTCCAGCATTGTAAAACAAAACGTCACCGTTAAACCCTAAGATACACTACTCGGTCGAGAATAGGGTAGCCTTTGTAGTTTGAATGGATGTGCCATTATACTGGCCAGATAGGATTTCTTTGTTAATATTAGAGTATTTCTGTTGACGAAATAAGGCCCAAGGTACTTCTGTATCTATGTGGATTTTGCTGAATGGTCGGAGTAAACGTCAGGACATACTACGTGGCTGATGAGATATCTGCATGTTGAGGCTATCGAGAGGTAGTCTCCAAGCCACTTTTCGTATTTTGCCATTTCGATCAAATTTTACATGCGAACTGTTGATGATTTGTTCCTGCTTCGATATAAAATCAATTATCTCAATGATATTTCTTCGCCAAGGAAGTTGCCGTCATTCGGCCCTTGGCCACGCCGTCTTGTGACGGGAACCTCTTGCTTCGGCCGTGTGACAGTAGACTGTGAAACATGTCGAGGCAGGCACTATATCAACCATTGCTATATAACTTTTCATCCTGTGATAATTTCGAACCAGTTCTAAATGCTGCAAGTCAAAATGCCTCACAAAACCAACAGCGATGCAGACCTCCCCTACATCGAGCCTCCATCTCAAGAAGGCCTTAGAGCCATCAAGTCACCACCTCCATACACAGGAACACCCTCCAAGATCTTTATCTCCAACATAAAGCTCTTCTTCAAAAACTTCTTCTACCTTCCTTACCTCTTCATTCCTCTTTATCCTTGGCATTCAGGTGCACTGTGCGAGTTGTACCCTTCACGGGAGAACCTCACTGACATTGCACTCCATGTTATCCTTTCCATAACTCAACTGGGTTTTCTTGTCTCGCTTTTCGCGCTGACATTCCTTCCGACTTTTACGTACATCGGCTACATTGCTGTGTACTTGACCCTGAATGAACTCGTATGCTGGCATTTCAACAGAGGCATCCCCCGAAGTGGCCTGAAGTCGACTGAAGATGCCCTCTCTCAGAGTTGGCCTCAGCATGATGATGAAGCTTGGATCTTTCTCAACGGTATCTGCGTCGGGTAAGGTATTCAGACCATGTGATAACTCGGAACAACTAACAGGTGTTTAGTAAGAACTGGTTCCAGAAGAACATTGATCGCATCTCCTGGACCTTTCACAGACCAGTGATTGGTGTTCACAACAGAACGTAAGAACTACCACCATGCTCAATAATAACACCATCTGACATTTTAAGCGCCGGCGTCGTTTTCGATCTCATCCAATGTCTGATCCAACGCGCTCTTCTTTACGCAACCCAAGACGTCAGAGAATGCTACGTCCTTGTAAAAAACGCCCTCCTAGACGAGCAGAAAAAGAAAGTCATCTTCATCCTCCACTCACAAGGAGGAATCGAAGGCGGCATGATCATAGACTGGCTTCTTGACGAAATGCCTTTCGACAAGCTTCAAAAGCTCGAAGTCTACACTTTCGGAAATATCGCCAACCACTTCAGCAATCCATGCCGCGGCAACGACCCAAGCACTCCTGTCATACCGCATATCGAGCACTACGTCAACGAGAAGGATTTCGCGTGCCGATTTGGTGTTCTCAACTTTACGAGACACTACACGCAAAACGAAAACCGGTTCGCGGGCAAGGTGTTTATTAATCGAAGCGGTGGGCATCAACTGAACCAGCACTACCTGGATGACATGTTCCCCTTGGACAAGACCCTTCGTATGGCTCGGGATGCGAAACAGGAAGACTTTATGGACAGGAAAGTTCGGGTGAGAAAGGACGGTACAATCAAGGAGACTACACGGGCTGAACTCCCCTCGGGGTTCACAGTTACCTGGGATTCTGGTGCGAGGAATGGATTCATCGCGACGGATGAGGTTCCAAAGATGGAGGATTTGAGCAGATTGTGGAAGTACCGCAATGGACAGCTTCCTGAAAGCTATAAGAGTGCTTTGGTCGATGATATTGAGTACTGAAGGGTTGGCATTTGACAGCAAGGGCTGAGAATGAACGAAGCCTTATCAAACTGGTTCTATTACTATACATACACATAGATGAGCCCAGTATAGCAGTACTAGACAATGTGCTAAACATTATATCACTCAACATCCAGAGTATCACGCCCCCTTGTATTCCTCGCCCTTATACCCTCGTCTCTTGACGCAGTCCGAAACACCGAACTTGACGATACGTTGTCACCCATCATGATTTCATTCCCTTCACGCTCCTCCCTCGTATCTCCTTCACACTCGACACCCGTAACATCACCTCCAAACCTCTTCCTAACCCACGGCAACAGGTTATAATACCCACCACACGCAAAGACGCCGCACCAGAGTACAAACTCGGTCGCATAAATGACAATACCCAGAATATCAATCTCAGGCTGGAAAAAGACGGATGCAAGAGAGAATACATCACCAGCTGCGTCAATGGCGACAAAGAGAAAAGAGATTCCGCGGACGGTTCGATGGGTCCAGATATCCCAGTAGTGTGTCAGCACGCCTGCTGCGAGAAGAGCTGCTGAAAGTGAAGCCATAAGAATCAAGGGCCATTCTAAATCTTTGGATTTCGCGATGCGAAGGGCTATGATGAGAGAAGCTTGGATGCCGCCCATGACGATTGCGACGGGAACGACGAGGAGAAGAGAGCGTGAAACACTCCATTTCTATTCATCGTTAGCATCCTTTCTTAGCACTTTGTAGGATAGAATACGGACTCTTTCATAGTAATAACACTGAATCCACGTAACAAGACTCAAAAGCGTCAGAATCTGAGGCTGAATCCGCAACGCAACATTGAACTCTTTGACGATGTTGTAGACACCTAATGGTACACCCGCCCATGCCCATAGCATCATCATCGATGGCTGTAAGCCGGTGGCATTATGGCGGCGATAATTAACAATGATTTGAGGAATTAGCTATAACATGTTAGTCGTGCTTGTCTTGTGTATACCTAGTCTTGATAGAGGTGACCAACTTGGATTGACCAGCACACCTATTGATGTTAGTAATTTCTACTATGTCAAATGGGTTGAAGCTCACAGCTCCTAAAGTTCCGAGGATATTAGCAGCGACAGGAACATCCATTTTACTATCGAAAGATTGTACCAGAAGTTCAATATTGAGTCAAGATATTGCTCAAAGCTCTGAAATGGTCAAGCGAAATTGACGCGCGCTAAGAACTGTTAGGTTACGCTAACAAACTTGGTGGCGTGTCTAACAGCAACTCAAGCTGCTATCTGTTACCCGTCAGCCCTTCTATCTAGTATGGATATCAAGATCGTCAACAGTTAAAGTTACCAATTCTATAAGGGGCGCATGCTAGTGGGTAGCAGAAAAGTTGGCCTCCTAAGTCTTAGGGTATATAATTAAGTAATCTAAGAACCATAGTCTAAGGAACATAAACTGATCTACTATTCCGTCTCTTATGCTTCCAGCGGTCAATTTTGCTAATCCCCCAAGGGCATCATAGATAATTAAATTGTTTAATGACCTTGCGACAGGTCAAATCCTCGTCTATTTTATATGACTGAATAATTGCATTGACCAAAGAACCCTTTTCGCCATTTTCCCATCTCAAATCATAACTCCTTAGAAAGTCGTCTGTAACTTAGGGTAATCTTTTGCGTGGACATGTAAGTCGGCATAGATAGCAGCTGACTGATCATCAGCAAGGTGCTTCATGCGCTTCACGTCATCATCCTCGAGGTGCTCAAGAACCGTCTCGGGCTCCTCCTTTCCATCCTTTTGATCCTTCTTCTGGGGCTCAACAGCTTTTTCAATACCCTCTGACTCTCCAATGAGAAGGATCTGGGCGTTGACATAGTCGAAGTGGGCTGGTTTGGAGGGTAGCCAACGAAGAGACCGGAACTCGTCAATAATTCTGGTCATGTCAGAATGGATCATCTAGAGAGAATAGGATTGTACTTACTCCTTTGAGAAACCAGGTCCCTCGGGCAATTGGGCGTTCTGGGGTCCCGGAAACTGCGGGTTCTTGGTGCTGATAATGAAGCTTCCCTTCTCCTTGAGACCTAGTTCCTTTTGGACCTCATCCAGCTTCTCAGGCAGCGTTGTCAAGTAGGCCAAATGACTCTCCCGACCTGTAGATGTGATGGCGTAAACACCCTCGCCGACAGGCTTGGCAGGTGGTGTGCGACGTGTGCCGGCACTCTTGGTATCATACTCGTCCGCAGCCAGGAACTCATTCTTGATCTCGTCAAATGAGGCACCGGACTTCTCGACAAACACCATGTACTTTTCTTTTCCGCTCTCGGGAAGGGTCTTCTTGGGAAGAGCGAGAATTCGGGTGTTACCAGCGTCGGCAATGACGCCATCGCCGAGACGAGCATCTTTGGCAATGGGACGTAGCATGATAAAGGACCGGGCGATGTCATCGACGCTTTCAGGGTCTTCGAGGTTTACGCGGCCGCGGATGAAGAAGTAAATGATGCCCTTCTCCAGAATGCTGGAGGGAACATCCGGTTCCTCGGAAGGTTGTACGGCATCTTTGCCAGTCGAGTCTTGCTTGTTGGTGGACTTGGAAGTATCGTCCTCTTGCTTTTCAGCATCATTTGCCTCTTCCTTATGCTCTTCCTTAGGTTCCTTAGGTTCTTCCTTAGACTCGCCCTTCTTCTCATCTTTGTCCAACCTGATCACCATATCATCAAGAGTGGTTTGACCATCATCCGTCTTGGGGCGCTTTGCATCGGGGGCTTCATGCTCGATTTGATGCTTCTCGCCTGTTTGTTGGTCGCCGTTGGTTTGACCAACATTGTCAGGCTTGTTGTCAGTCATGTTGGGAATTTGATGACAGTGTAAGAGATTCAATTGGGAAATTTACAGACATCAAATGTGAAAAAAGAAGCTGCACAAGTATGGGAAGGTGTCTGGGACGTGGTGGACGCGTCGCGTGAATTGTCGCACAGGTGATGTCATAGACCAACCTCAACTCGAGTATTAACTCATCATCGATTATTTCGTGCCGTTTTCGCGTCGCCTGGGCAATCCACACTCAGGTCGTCATTTGTCTCGGTTAGAACTAGCGTTTGGTTTGACGTCAATGTCTCTCATGAAGCTTTTATGTAGTACCTTCTGTTGTCGACTTCACCATACCAAGACCACCAATGTCACGCTCCAAAAGCCGTAAAGCCTCTCTAGCGAATGGAGTCGCTGCACCACGAACTCTCAATGCCCATCTGAGTTCCTCAACTCGAGAAGAACACCATGCCATCTCATCGAACGAGTCCGTGGTCGCCCATAGTAATCCTGCCAATGAACCAATCTGAGCTGCTTGGTATGCTGCAGCACTGCCCCAGAAAGCAGCAGTATGCTCGGGACGTAGAGATCCCAGCAACTCAATGGCCGATTGTAATTTGACTCGGGCGGTTGATCGTAAAAGTTCATACAAAGACGTAGGTGTGTCTGGTGTCGTAATCCGTACTAGAGCTCGATGTAGAGCAATCTCAATGGCTACATGAGCCAGATGAAGAGCCCCATTGGCACATAGCTCTCTTAGCTGAGTACTCTGCAATTGAAGTCGGACAGGAAGATTGGCATGCCATTCCCTGAGACGAAACACCAAAGGCTTTGCAAGTTCAACAGCAGCAACAACTCCCATTTGGTCCAGGGTTCCACCGGCACGAGTAGCCTTAGCTCCGTAGAATGTGTTAATCACATCGCTCAAAATTTGACTCAACTCTATATGGCGTGTAAATAACTCCCACCCAATCACAACTGGTGAGTTATGCTCGGGATTGGTTTCCAGGTCGAATTGGTCAAGCTCGGGGTAGTCTGGCGCCGTACATGGCCGAACGTCCCAATCGCTGTCATGAATAAGGAATGGCCGTCCGTGAACGCAGGCGCCCCAGCGATCTTGCATATATAAAGCCCAAGCCAGTCGTCTTCGAAGGCCGACTTCCCATGCCGGGATCGACCAGTTACTACAGTCGATATGGATGCCCAAATCCTGAGCCATGGCAACAATTTGGGCTGTGAATATCCGATTAGACGTAGGATGCGTATGAGACCTAGAGTCAACAACACGCCGGTTCCGTTGTAGCAAGAGTAAACCAGCCTCGAGTGTGCTGAGTTTGGGTCTTCGCATGTCCTGGGCAATAGTACGCTCAGCCAATGCCTCGAGAGCCGTTGGGTCTGGTATTGACTCGACCTCACGACCGGCGAGTGAACTATCGTAAATCTGCCAGTCAAGAGCTATCAGATAGACAGCAGCCAATAGAGAAGGCGCAAAATGTCGATGTGATAAACGATGCTTGCTTATAAAGACATCTTTGTGTAAGATGGGAAAACTAGGGTGAACTATTCGGAAATAGAGGTCGACTAACGTGCGACCAAGTGGATGAACTGTCGCTTCAATAGCATCGAGGTCTGCGATGCGCATCTTTTCGGACGCGGTAGACTCATCGGGATGGACGAGGAAAACAGTCTGATAGTCCAGGTGTCGAGCAAAAGTGGAAGTTGTGGGAAAATGCGAAGGTTCCTGGTTCGAAAGATTCGGAGGGTGTAAGCCGAGCAGGACTGGATCACGATAGTCGGTGGGCCCGATATACTCGGCATGAGTCTTCAAGTCTAAACCAAGAGTATTGCTAAGAATACCGGGTCGAGTTGATTCAGCAATGTTATTCTCAAAACCCATCACTTGCTGCATCTGCGGATTGCTTTCCGCGCTGGCTGGAGTATAAGCGTCACCATGTCGACTTGAAGGAGACACTCCAGTCTCTCCTCCTACAAAAGGAGGCGAGGTTGTAGCGTTGTTTTCATCCGCTCCATCACGAGACTCATTTTGCTTTTCTCGATCTCTTTCTCGATTCTGTCTTCTTTGGCGAGGCGTTGGACCACGCAAGAATGTACAGGGTTGGTTGTGAAAGGTACATAGAACACATCTTGAATGACCCTCTTCTTTTACACAGCGCGTCTTCCTAACACGGCATGTGTCACAGGGCCTTGCGCGGGCGTTGGAGACAGACGGGACCGATGAGCCGGCGCCGCTACCGTTACCATCGCCTCTATCGTTCGGACCGATCGTCATGAAAGACTGGCCACTTCCGGAGCCGGCCCAGACTAGGTCAGATGAGCCGGCGTCGGTTTGAGGAGATTGAAGCTGAGGTAGCTGGGAAAACATGACCCCACACTGTCGGAGTCTGAGTCGGGTCAGCTTTGCTTTAGATCTGGGTCTGCATCTGCATCTGCACCACGATAAGGGACATGGGGTCCATTATCGACTGTGGGCCAATTTGATCTTGAACTTTTTGGTGAAACGAAAGAAGTTCTGCTATTGAAGAAGCGGGCGCAGAGAAGAGGGAGCGTGTTGCATGGCCGCCATCGGAGGGTATTCGTTATCACCAGTCCCATTGACGCTAAGATGCCAGGGCGATAAGGATCCATATCGGGGATAAATAGCCGTGGGATTCTCATTCTTGTTTCTACCTGGAGAATGTTAAACAATTCATCCTCTGCTATGCTCTTTGGTCTTATAATAAGTTATAATGCCAATATTATTCACCAAGTGGTCAAGCAAGAAAGTACCGGATACAGTCATATCAGCAGTTCTGGTCCCTGTATCTTCATCCTCAGTAACACCAAGGCAGCCACTGCGCCAACCAATTACTCAGACGAGTGTCCAAAATATGGCAGAAATATCGCTTTCTTTTACATTGAAGTAACTGGTGACTTTTGGAACTTTGACAATTCGATCCGTCTATTATACCTAGATCACAAGGTCCTCTGATGCCCAGTTATATGCCGCTTACATGATTGGTTGATTGGAATCCTTCTTATCGTGGATTATCAAAAGACATCTCTAATTATCTCATTGAATGTATCAAGTTCGGTGAATGAAGAATTGGCTTACGAGGCGTTTATTCCCGCGCATAACAGCCAGACACAACGTAGGAGAAAAGACCGACTTGTAAACGGTTTAGACCCGGCGATAGCGGGACTTTTCACTCATGGACTCTCGTTCCTTCCCCATGACTTATTCATCGTCTCCTTCCCCCATACGTGATTCAGACGACCAGGACTTGCCTTCACTGTCCAGCCAAATCTGTCTTCCATAACCCGGTCCACGAAGGTTTCTTATTCCAGAACTTACCTACTGACCTATCAATGCTACACAATATGAACCTATTGCGCTTCTTGATTCGCCCAACCAAGCAAGTGCATATATCGCCGGACTTCAAATCAAATTGAGACGTATTGGACATAACATTCAGTTATATTCAATTCGATCTGCCAAGCACCGTATAATCTTGTATCGACTGGGGCATTGCTTTTGGCGGCATACCATTCTGTACGTTTCCGTCAGACGTTAATACAGCTAGACAAGCTTCACAGTGATATCAAACTTATTCCCCGTCCTGTCTTTATTTACCATGGCTGCAAATGTCGAACATACTGCTAGAGGAACCGATCCGCCAGCTCCTCTGACAATACCTCAGTGGAAGGCTGCCCAGGTCACAGCAGGGGGCCTCGAACGGCTTTTGTCTATCGTCAAGTCTGAGAGAGAAGCGAACTCTACTACTCATGCCTGGATCTCGTTAGCAACCTCAGAGCAAATCAAATCGCAGTGGACGAACCTCGAAACACTTGGTCCACAGCCCACATCACTTCCCTTATACGGCGTTCCGTTTGCTGTAAAAGACAACATTGACGCTGAAGGTTTCGTTACAACGGCAGCATGTCCAAAATTTCATTCGACCCCAGCCGTCTCAGATGCAACGGTTGTCGCCAAACTCAAAGCAGCTGGCGCAATCCTGATTGGCAAAACGAATCTTGACCAGTTCGCTACTGGACTTGTCGGAACCCGGTCACCTTATGGTACTGTTCCAAACTCGTTCGATCCAACCCGGGTCAGTGGTGGTTCTAGTTCTGGCAGTGCCGTCGTTGTTGCTCGTGGCATTGTGCCCTTTTCACTTGGCACCGACACAGCTGGTTCCGGTCGAGTCCCAGCTGGATTAAACAACATCGTGGGCTTAAAACCAACTCGGGGTGCGATAAGTACCCACGGGGTTCTTCCTGCTTGCAGGACTCTTGATTGTATCTCCATCTTCAGTCTCAATGTCGCTGATGGGGAAACCATACTGTCCATTGCCGAAGGGCATGATACCAGCGATGTATACTCGAGATCCCGCCCTAATCCGAGTAGTACCTCATTACATGGATTTGGAGGCTCGGCTAATTCACTAAAGCCACAGTTGGCGATTTGTGATTCTCCGAACTGGTTCAATCATGATGATCAACATACAGCATACGAAAAGTCTCTGTCCAAAGCAGAAGCTCTAGGCTGGTCCCTTATCCCGATTGACTTCGAGTTCCTGTTCCAACTTGCACGGTTGCTGTATGACGGCCCGTGGGTTGCCGAGAGATACGAAGCCATTCGCGACTTTATAGAGGCGTGCTCTCCAGAAGACATGGACCCTGTTGTGCGAAACATCATTGTCAGAGCTAAATCTCTTTCCGCGGCGGATGTTTTCCGAGGTGAATACCTCCGTAAAGAACTTACACATAAAGTTGAACGCGCATTCGCCGATTTCGACGGTCTGCTTGTGCCAACTTCCCCAACATTTCCCACTCTGGACGAAGTCCATAAGAGCCCAGTGGAAGAGAACTCCATCCTGGGTACATATACCAACTTTGTCAACTTCCTCGACTGGTCTGCACTCGCCATCCCTGCTGGATTTCGATCGGACGAGCTTCCGTTTGGTGTGACTCTCATTTCGAATCGTTGGAAGGAGCATTGCCTTTTTTCTTGGGCAAGGGTGTGGTTAGGTGACGAGAAAAGATACTTGGGCGCAACTGGTGTTACAGCCCAGGAACCTCAGACCCTGGTACCTTCAGCTTGCCTAGACCTCATTCCTCTGGCCACCTTTGGTTCTCGGCTCTCTAGCTCTCCGCTCAACAAAGGTCTTGTATCGTGTGGTGGCAAGTTTTGGAAGAGGGGGAGAACTTCCTCTTCATATCGCCTTTATGAATTGAGTACGCCGCAAGGCGCGAAGGAGCTTGGGTTGAAACGAGTGGCCGCCAACGATTGTGTAGAGATAGAGATTGAAATCTGGCATCTCCCCAAATCTTCCCTCATTGACTTCATTTTGAGGATTCCCTATCCTCTTGCGTTCGGTTCGATCGAGCTCAGCGATGGATTTTGGGTTTGGGGTTTCGTTTTGGAGCCTTGTGGCGTTGACAGCGCTATCGATATTATCAAACATGACAACTGGAGCGCAAGTCATGTATCATCGGAGAAGCAGGTAAAGTCGTTTTCGTTATCGGATGCCATCCCAAATCGTTCTATCTCGACAATCCTCGTCGCCAATCGTGGTGAGATTGCGGTCCGAATTATCAAGACGATACACAGTATGGGTCTTCGGGCTGTTGCCATCTACTCTGATTCGGATGCGGATGCTGCCCACGTTAGCAAAGCTCATCTTGCTCTTAAGCTTCATGGATCTTCGGTCTCTGACACGTACCTAAATATGGAACAAATAATGGAGCTGGCTGCACAGTCCTCTGTCGATGCCATTATCCCGGGCTATGGCTTCCTCTCTGAAAATGCAGAGTTTGCTGCCGCTGTTGAAGATAGAGGCATGATCTGGATTGGTCCAACCCCACAGCAGATGGCTGACCTTGGGCTCAAGCATCTCGCTCGTTCAATTGCAGCCAAGGCTGGTGTTCCCGTCATTCCCGGTTGTGAGAAATTGCTCAACTCCCTCCAAGAAGCCATTCTGGAAAGTAACAAGATTGGGTTTCCACTCATGCTGAAGAGTACTGCTGGAGGTGGTGGTATCGGTCTGAGTTACTGTGAAGACGTTGAGAGTCTATCAGCAACATTTGAGAGCGTCCAACGGCAAGCTGTTGCAAACTTCGGTAACAGAGGTGTATTTCTTGAACGATATATCGCGCGAGCGCGGCATGTTGAAGTCCAAATTATCGGGGACGGCACTGGTCGTGTCATCTCAGCAGGCGAACGAGATTGCTCGTTACAACGCCGACACCAGAAGGTTATCGAGGAGAGCTCTGTGAGTTTCATTCAGAACAATGTCTTATTGGAGATGAGGGAATCTGCCATTCGTCTTGCGTCTTCAGTCAAGTATCGAAACGTTGGTACAGTCGAGTTCATATATGACCTTGGAACGAATCAGTATCATTTTCTGGAAGTCAACACTCGATTGCAGGTCGAACATCCTGTGACCGAATTGGTAACTGGCTTAGATGTAGTTGAATGCATGATCAACATTGCAAATGGGAATGCAACTCAGCTGTTCGAAACAAGCTTTCCGACCACAGGAGCGTCTATCGAGGTCCGTGTATACGCCGAGAGCCCTCTTCAAAACTTCCGGCCTTGCTCCGGTTGTATCACAGCGCTCGAGTTTCCCCCTAGCCTTCGGGTCGATACTTGGGTCAAAGTTGGCACTGAGGTCACCACCTCCTTTGATCCATTGATAGCGAAGCTTATCTCGTTCGGTTCAGACCGTGACGAAGCTACTGATAACATGCTCAACGGTCTCGCAGCTACTCGTATAGAAGGTGTCCAAACCAACCTTGAGTATCTGTATCAAGTCGTGTCATCTTCAATGTTCAGATCCGGTCAGTACACCACCAAGTCTCTAGATACGTTCTGGTTCAGGTCCCCCTCTCTCGAAGTCCTCGAGCCAGGTGCCTTGGCCACAATTCAGGACTACCCTGGTCGTACCGGGTATTGGAATATTGGTGTTCCTCCTAGTGGCCCAATGGATTCCGTCGCGTTTCGACTAGCAAATCGAGTAGTGGGCAATCCTCCCAGCGCTGCCGGCCTCGAATGCACTCTCAAAGGACCGACTCTCAAGTTCCATTGCGATACTGTCGTTACTGTTTCTGGTGGTGTTTCTCCTGTTACAGTCGACGGCGAACCCGTTCCTCAGAACCAAGCCCTGTGTATCGATGCATATCAGATTCTGAGTATAGGGACGATCGAGAAGGGCCATCGTGTGTATCTTGCGATCCGGGGAGGAATCGAGGTCCCAGTTGTGATGGGCAGTCGATCAACTTTTGAATTGGGTAAACTGGGGGGATTTGAGGGCCGCAAACTTCAGCAGCGTGACATTCTTCCAATTGGTGTTAACGAACGTCGGCATTCCACGTCCCCAATCCCCATTTCAGCTTTGTCTGACCCTTCCAGGACGTGTGACCCACACAAACACCCTCGGAGGGTATATGAGAGGGAAGAAAAGCAGCCCGGCGCAACGGGCTCGTGGGCCACAAAAGGATCTTGGGTTGTAAGAGTTATCCCCGGTCCTCATGGTTCTCCCGACTATTTCTCACCAGAGAGTGCCAAGTTTCTGTACTTGAGCGATTGGAAAGTCCACCACAACAGCAACCGTCTTGGTGTTCGTCTCACTGGTCCCCAGCCTGAATGGTCACGCAAGACTGGCGGCAAGGCCGGCTTGCACCCTTCGAATATCCACGATGCCCCTTACTCCATCGGTAGTGTCAGCTTCACGGGAGACGAAGCTGTTATCTTGGGTTGTGATGGTCCCAGCCTCGGTGGCTTCGTGGTTTTTTGTGTTGTGTGTTCCGCAGACTTGTGGAAGATAGGACAGGTTCGACCGGGTGATACAATTCGCTTCGTTCCTATCGGAGTTGGATTTGCTATTGAGTTGAAGAAGCAACTTGACCAAGTCATTGAGACTCTCTCCCCTCTTCCGATCTTCGAAGGAGCGCTTCCTGATGGAAACTCAGTGGCACAGATATTAGAAACCATCCCGTATGTCGTCGGTGTCATTGAGCACGATGGTGAAGTAATATCCGTTCGCCAAGCTGGAGATCATGCTTTCCTGTTGGAATTTGGGAATGGTTCGATATTCAATCTTCGCCACAACTTTGCAATCTTTGCTTTCTGCGAGAGTCATCAGAAAGAGTCTATCGCCGGGTTTGTAGAACTTACCCCAGGGATCTTCAGTCTCCACGTTATCTATGATCAAGGCCTTTCTCCATCCCTCGTATTAACGCGCCTTCGGGAGCGTATATGCTCGTATAAAGCCTCATCCAAGATCTCTTCGAGGCAAATACGCCTCCCTATCGTTTTCGACGATAGTGTCAACCGCGCAGCCATCGAACGATACACGGCGACGATCCGAAGTGATGCGCCCTGGCTTCCGAGCAACATAGACTTCCTAGAGAGATTGAATGGTATCAAGGACTTGAATAATGTCCTAACTGATGCAGAGTTCATTGTTCTCGGCCTCGGAGACGTGTTCATGGGTTCCCCGTGCGCAATTCCTCTGGACCCGCGCCACCGTTTGTTCGGAACAAAGTACAATCCATCGCGCTCTTTCACGCCTCGTGGCGCTGTGGGTGTCGGCGGGCAGTACATGTGTATCTATGCCGCAGATTCGCCTGGTGGTTATCAGCTCGTCGGACGCACAGTCGAGACCTGGGATTCCAGCAGCAACAATTGGTTCTTCCGCCACTTCGATCGTATCTCCTTTTATCCTGTTAGCGAAGATGTTCTTAAGCACACACCGAGGTCCGATCTTGTTCAAATTATGAACGGTGCTTTTGACTTGGTAGAGTACGAGGCGTGGCTTGGGGAGAACAGTGAGGACATTTTAGTCATCGCATCTCGGCAGGAAAAGGCCATTTCTAGCGCATCGTTTTTGGAAGAGCTGCTTCTGCCGTACCAAGTCGATTCTATTCCAAACAGCCAGCATCCAGGCCTTTCGGATGTCTCAGGTGAGCGAGTCAAGGCGACGATGCCAGGGCGTTGTTACAACGTGACGGTGAAGGAAGGGCAAACTGTTGAGAAGGGAGAAATCGTTGTAAGTTTCTTTTTCCAAACAGCTTGTGAGAAGATTACTGACCTGTTTCAAGTTGTGTGTCGAGTCCAGCAAGATGGAAGTGGAAATTTGTAGCCCTGTTAGTGGGAAGTGTCTGGCGGTGATGGTGAAATCGGGCGATCTGATTCATGCGGGAGATGACTTGATCGTCGTTGAAGTATGATAGCGGGACTTGAGAGCTCTGGTCATAGCTGCTGTGAAGCATAAGAGACGAAATTAGTAGGTCAGTTTATGATAATTAGGCCATGATTCTTAGGCCATTTATTGTTTGTGGTCTAAAGCTCACAGGCCATCGTTTCTGCTACTTAGTCACTGAGAAGCATCATGTTTTGTTGCCAAGTGTTTGATTGGTTTCCAAGTATGAACAGGTTATATCCAGTCTTCAACTTCCAGTCCATCCTAAACCTTTTCCCCTCCACCTCCCGTGGACTCCGGAACCGGTTGTGAAAGGGCCCGGGACCAGAGGTCCACAATGGGAAAGAACTTGAACGGTCCCTCGCCAAGTAGGCCATTCATGTTGCCCACATGGGTCCTCGGGAACTGCGTTCATTCCACCCACAGTTCGAGGATCCAAATCCCCCTTTGCCTAGATGAACAGTTAGTATTTTAATGGGAAGTTTCATGAAGAATAACTTACGTGCTGGGGAGTCCATTGGTCGCTTGTATCGCGTGGACGCTCATCGGCGGGAACGATGACAATATGATAGACATCAAAGGGGTTATCTATCGTACGGGATGTTGAAATCCAAAAGAGAGGTGTAGGCATTCCGCAATTTGCTACCATCCCAACATTTTCAAGGCCATCTTGTCAATGTTGGGGTGGTAGCAGAGTGCGAAATGCCTACACTTTTCCTCCCACCGACCCGCTGATGGCATGAGAAGGAACCTGTTGAAGGTAACTGACCCAATGTCAGGAGTCTTCTCGTGAGAAGACTATCTGTGCAAAATGTGGTCAGAGAGATGTTCAAGTCATGGTACTGGAAGTGCATTCACAAGAGGAGATGGAAAGGAACTTACCTTGCAAGCTTGTTCGAACGCATTATGGAAATTGATGATACCGCGGAGGTCCTCAAAGCAAACGTACACGTGAGACCCGTCGGTCTCAACGTGGCGTGCACCAAAGATCATTCCTCTGGCTTGAAGATCCTGATTAAATGTTAGAATGGACTCGAGATGTAGTATATGTGTCAATAGTTACCTCCGTAAACGCCTGTACCTCCTCAATGTCGGGAGTGGGAGTGTCACAGAGCTCAAGTCGGCGAGAAATGCCACTCTATACAAAAAGTTAGTCAGAAAGCGGTGATGGAAAGAAAAGATGAAAAAGAAACTAACCGTGCAAGCTTGTTCGAACACATCATGGAAATTGGTGATGCCCCGGAGGTCCTCAAAGCAAACGTATACGTAAGACCCGTCGGTCTCAACGTGACGTGCACCAAAGAAGGCCATACCTTTTGATGTGGTCATCCTCCGCCTCTGGAGTAGGAGTATCGCAGAGCTCCAGTCTGTGGGAAATGTCCCTCTATAGGGGGTTAATTCAGAAGGTGATGATGGAAAAACAATATGGAAAGAAACTAACATTATAAGCTTGAACGAAACGCACGTGGCCAAGTGGTTGAACGAACTAGTCAGCAGTTAGCATCGTATGATAAAGTTGCAAGAGATAACTTACATCCACAATGTATTCGGCCTTGACGAAGTTGATAAAGGCATAACCAACACTGTATGATGGTTAGCCAAGACCTTGTAAGTGATTGATGAATGTACTTACTTGTAATCGTTGGCAAAGTCAATGCGGAGGTACATAAAGTCGTACTTCCCATAAAAGGAAGAATCAACGATACGCTTTAACAAGGGCTGATCAACCTTGTTCGGAATGTTTCGGAGCATGCCCGAAACCAAGAAGGCAAAGGACCAGTGGTCCATCTGTGCAAGGTTGTCAGGAGAGCTCAGACTACTGCACAGGAAGTGCGGTCAGAAGAAAGAAACAAAAAGAAACTAACATTATAAGCATGAACGAAACGCGACCATACGAAATTGATGAAGACATAGCCAACACTGTATGACTGTCAGCAAACATCCCATAGGTGATTGACGAGTGCACTTACTAGCTCGAAGGCCGAAACCTTCCTCTAGGGAGCCCATCCCCCCTTTGCTTCAGTGTTGGGCCGAGACGATATTTAGTGCAGTCTGGCTAGGAGCAAAGTAACGAGTAGCGAACTCGTAGATCTTCAAGTAATGGATAAGTTTATCATCGGGGTGGGCTAAGTCCCGGTGGTGATAATGATGATGAATAAAGATATTTGATAATAATGATGTTGATGAGGAGGAGGAGGAGGAGTGGTAGGGTAGGGAGAGTAGATGGTTTGTAGGTGTTGAGGTATGAAGAAGGAATAAGAAGAGAGAGACAGAGATTTGGAGGAGGGAGGATATGGTAGGCAAAAGGTGGGGGCAGTTTTGCAGTGATTATGTGTGCGATGGCCGAGTAACAAGGAGGGCTAGCTGACAGAAACCCTGACGCGTTGCCGTGGTCGCGGAGGGCGAGGAGGGCGAGAGACCGAACCAATGGGATCTGCATCGAAGATTCTAGATGCTAGTGTTGGTTGGAGATTTGATGCATGGATATCTGATTCACGGTTGTGATGTGGTGGTGGTGGTGTTGCCTGGCTTGACGGCCAGACTGGCCCGTTCCCCTGAATCGAGCCACAATGATGTTGCTCGACAACCACGATGCCCAACCAAAAACTAATTGATGTTGTATCATTACTGAAATGATTCAAATGTTCGTAGAGTTCGTTTATTCTAGAATTGAAATTATAGTTAACACAACATTAAATCATGGATGCTCTGTCCTATGCCTGCACACCCAAGACACTCATTAGTTTTTCAACATGCATCACTATTTACACTCTCTTGTGTTGCTCCAAGTGTCTACCCACAATACAGTTTACTTGTTGTTGTACTTGGGACTACTGAGGCATTCTTTGTATCAAAATACCTGGTGGACGCAGATTCGGCTCAAGCTGCCCCCTTAAAAATCTCAGGGCAGCCACCACAACAATTAAAAATGACATTCCAAATATGCTTTGGAAGCTAAAACTCGACTCGTCGTTCTAAAAATGGTGGTCGATTTTTCCTATTGTTCTGGTTCGCAAGATCACAGCTGAGTGTCCGAAGCGGTCGTTGATATAACGTCCATTCACCCCACACTCCGCCAAAGATACCCACCAACTCCCCTGGTCTGACAGCTGCCACTCCCCGTAGATCGATCCATGACTTGCAGAATCTCTCTGCCCCCTCGTTTGACAGGGGTGGAGGATCGACCGGCAGCTAGGAGGAGCGCGGAGGAGCGAGGAGCGGCAGATCAGCTAGAGGTTCACCGCCCTGACCAGTCCGTATATATAATACTCTTACTCTCTCCCACCACCGACTTTTTTCTTTTTTTTACCTTATTCATGGACTGATTTCACCGGTGGTCCTTTGGAGATCAAAAAGTCCAAAGGACTGCGACGCATGTTGTCCCTTTTTATGGACTTCTGTGTTACCTGCCTTCTCGCCAGGCAGGCGGCTACCCAATTTTTGATTTCAAAACCCCCCTTTTTTCATTAAGACCTTGGCCTTGTGCCGGGACTTGAAGAAGAAACTGCTCTGTGATACTTATGATCTGTGGGTGTCGACCCGTCTTGGTGGGCTGGGTCTAGTGGGGTGTTATGCTTGTTGATATTGCGATGGAGCAATGTGGTCTTGTTCAACGTGTGCGAAAGCATGTATTCTTTCCTGCTATTATGTTGATTTTATTCTAGTGTTTATCCTCTTGTAGTCAAGTCACGTATCTTGTGATGATGTTGTAGCATCCCATCCAGTGTGTGTGCGGATGTTTGGTATTCTTGTCGCCCCCTAACATTCATAGCACAGTTCAGAAGCCCGACACAAGCGACAGTTGTAGTATTCGACTGGCCAGAATTCGTCACGATAGCAAATCTTGGTGTTTCCACTCGACACGCCTCGCAATTCCTGGCAATTGTTGGCCCCCAGCTCTACTATGGCTTCGCATGTCACTCCTTGATATTATCGCTACTAGACACTAATGACAAGTTTCGAATATTTTGTTTATTTTGCATCGGCCGTATTGTTGTTGTTCGTCGTTTTTCGTTTGCATCGTAATTTGAAGGTGACATCGTCCGAGATGATTCATAGTCCATGCGCCGTAGAATACAAACATACTCTTGATAATAATGATGCACATAATAATACATATTAAATTTGGCACATTCTCGAGTATTTCGTATTGTAGAGTTTCGAACATCGTGCAGTCGTTCCAGTTGTTTTCATTTCAGAGGGGCAGTTCTGGCGCTTCTGCGCGCGTTGACAGCTACCAAGGCTCCAGCAACATTCTCTGCTTTTCTGTTTTCTTCCCTCTCACCTTTTCAAACCAACACCAAAATGCTGTGTCGTTTTGATTTCTTTGTTACGCTCGTTTCGGACATATTTCTGTCTCTGCTGTTCTCATCAGAATATCTATTCGAGTTAGTTCTCCCATCTTGTTCGTATTCTGAACACTGAACAGTGCATTCTAACACCATCGTTTCTTCTCAGTCTACACTCATTTCATCCTACAGTCTCTACCGGAACAATCTCTGTCATTTACTTCAATCCCTATGGCAACTTTCAACCTCAAAATCAATATCCGCTATCCAACTGTCACCATGTCTATCAGAATACTACTCCTCGTTGAGGAAGGTCGTGAAATCACCATGCATCTGGGAGGTTTCGAAGCCGTTGTTGTCTACTGTATCTTGCTTTTCATCGCGCAACGCTGGGTCAAAACCATAGATTATCAAGAGGGTTGTGTCGTTCACAATGTCTGGCTCTACGGGCCCCAAGAAAGAACCCGCCATCGTATCCCTACCGCAAGGATGCTTCATATTGGTCCTCGATTCTAATTCTCGTCAAGTTCTCGTTAAATACCACCATTTTGACCGCTAACAGGAGCTAATATTGTTGGCCGGGAGTTTCGCAAGATTCTGTCATACCAGAGTCCTGCATCGCGCGGTGCCTCCAGATAGTTTTCCTTGCGACTTGAGGATGATTGAGTGTTTGGAAGACTTCATCGAAGTCATTGGATGCAGAGTTATATCACTTTACAAAATCGATTTTGGAGGACATGGCCATGTCTCCCTAGCAAGTGCATTCTACAGCATATTCTATGGACAGTACAACTCACAAGGCCATTGTTCCGACCAGTCAGGATTCCCTCCACTTTCTTGGACCTGCGAGAGGATCATCCCTGGAGCACAATCCTTAATTTGTATCCTCGCATTTACCTGGTACGTCGCGAGCAACAATAGATTCCATCACCTTATCCCTAACCGTATCCTAGGCCTTCTCTGTATCTTGAAGGGTGCAAAGCACATCTTGGCTCGTGCTAGACAAACACTCTTCCGCTAAACTAGCAGACGGACTCGAAACGAGTCAAGGCCAATATTTTTTGTTATGTATCGCCTTCAAAAGGACAATCTCCACGGACTGTTGTCAATGAAACTATGGCTTGATCTATTATGTACGGGTTTGGAACGGGATAAGTAGCTGCTTAATTCTTAGCAAGAATCAGACTCTGTTCTTCTATACAATATCGCTCGCTGTCCAGTGTTTCCTTCCCAGTTCAGTCTGATCGTCTAAATGGCATAAATCGTTTCCAAGGTGGTATATGCATCTCCTTTTACAGTCTTCCCTCAAGATAGCACTCTGCTAACCTATAGACTCGCTTTAGATTCTACGAGACCCTCCAGAAGCTCAGAAGCTTTATCCGCACCCCCAAGCTCGTTTAGTTCGTCGCCCAAGCGTCCCGCTCTCTCGACATATCCTTTATCACATAATATCGTTCTCGCAGCCTTCCGAACCTGATCAGCCGAAGGCGTGTCTGTCTTCAAGTCGATGCCTGCCCCAGCCCAGTCGACACGGGCCGATGTGTCCTTCTTGTCCTCCGATTGTCCCGCACATATCAGGGGTACCTTATGGGAAAGCGCTTGCGTTATACTTCCATATCCGCCATTGGTGATGAGAAGACACAGCTGCGGTAGGAAGAGGTGGTATGGAATCCATTTGACGTATCGTACGTTTGGTAGGTCTCCTACTCTGGATGTTACCTCTTCTACGTGAGGCGTTGCCACGACGAGGAGAAGTTGAGGGTCGTTGGAGAGAGCCTCGATGGCTGGGATGATCAACGATGTAGGATCCATGGCCAGTGTTCCTTGTGTGATGCCGACAACCCGAGGGTGAGCAACGATTTCGTCCCATTGAGGAGGCAGTTGGACATAGTCAGTCTGGATCTGGGTAACTGTCGGTCCAACGAATTTGGTGTGCTTCCTTTGCTCGTCTGGCTTGGGGAGCAGCTTGAACTCTAATGACGGAGACGACGCTTGGATGTGAAGAAAGGGGCTATAGGTGAAAGATTCGATGGGTTCGCCAAACGGTAAGTTCTCCAGCCCCAGCACTTGTCTTTGCGCATTTATCACGGGCCTCAACAGATATGGTAAGAGAATCCATTGGCTGATGAGATGATGCAGGTAATTCCAGATCAACCAGAGCAACGATGTCAAAGGGCTCTCTCCCGACACAGCCTGCGGCGCTCCCCAGCTTGACATGTACATTGGGATCACCCCGAGAGTCACATAGGCCGGGATCTCGCCCAAATCGTACAAAGCCCTCGCTCCGTATGGCATCACATCGACAAGCAGCAGATCTGGTTTGAAGCCGCCCCGCAATACCCGACGATAATCGCTCACTTGAGCGAGTAGTCGAATCTCCAGACGATGGTACATCTTGTCGAGGATGCCAGTCTCGTTGTTTTTTATTAGGGGCTCATCGACAATGGCAATAGCTTCTGTTGCGACAAAGGTGGCACCCACTGCTCGAACGCGGACTTCATTGTCGGCGCTGGTGAGCCATACTACTTGATGGCCTCGACGGATGAGGGATTGGGCCACGGCTTGCATTGGGTATGCATGGCCGGCTGGGAAGTGAGAATGAAGAAGTATTTTCATGATTTATGTAACAATAAATGTTGGACGACGTAGAGATTGTGTAATGTTAAGTCTATAATTGGGGGGGTCTCTTGGTGAGGTGTTGCTTGCTTACATGGCATCTTTTAGTGACAGTGCACTCTCTACTACGTGGGGCCAGAAGAACATGGGGTAAACAGTAGCCGGAATCTTGTCTAATTTTGGAGTAAATTGATGAATTAATTGGACGTTCAGAAGGAACTTGCCAACAGTTGATCATTAGGTCAGTTCAAAATCAAGTTTGAGGAAAATGATCCCTGTTTCTTTAAAGTTAGACTTAAGGTTCTGATACAGGATATCCAACACTACTGAGATTACCCTATACTGTGCTACCTGTACTGGCTGAAGATCTATTACGATGTAGTTTATCCATGACTCGTATTCCCCAAACACAATCATCGGGATTATAAAATATATCAAGTCTCTAATGTGCTGTAAATCAAATCGAGCTGAGCAATGTGGTTTGTTCAATATGTTGTGGTTCTTGAGAACAACATTGAATTTCCGGAACACCGAGAAAAGACCCGTTTTGATGGCCTCAACTTCCTTTCATCCACGACAACTACAGAGCGGGTAAAAGGACAGTAACAAAGACAATGGAGTTTCATTGCTGTGATGAATGTTGCAGGATGGTCACTTTAATCATGTTTTTGATAAGAATATCGCCCATTTGAGCATACAAATTATTTAATTTATGCCTCTAGAAGTGGTTTTCTCTGAGGAAACCCAAGTTCTCTTCCACATTCAACATCTACAGAAGTTGGATCTACGGCAACCACCACAAAACATCAACACCGCTTTATTCTGCTCTACCCACGACAATTTCACTTTTTACTCTCATGTGTCCTTCCTATTCCTATTAACCGCCCCATAATTTACCCCGGCATCTCACCGAAATATCTCCTTCTTCCCCTCCAGTGGCTTCGGGAACAGCCTTACGCGACGAACCGGTATGACGTGTGAAGGCCAGGGTCCAGGCCTGGAGTCCGCATTGAGTGCTCCTCTGGTGTGTGTTGACACCGTGTTTACGGGGTTGACTCGTGTCAAGTTACCGTTAGTCACTAGCATTACCGTTGAAAGTAGTGGCGCTTACTGACCTTGGCCGCATAGACACGGAGCACAGAGGAGGATCGCCGCGGCGAAGCGCGGTTGAAACATATTCAAAATACGACTATCAATTCACCAAGTCGGCATTGCAGATGGTCGAGAGTAAGTAGCCTTGGACCAGCCAGTCGGGATGAGAGGATGTCGCAAACTAGACAGCCCATCAAAAGGACAAGCAAAGTCAACAGGAGCGCTATGAAAAGTATCAACTGTGCCCATGATTTCATAACAGTTGTTGCCGAGCAAGATGTCCTTAGAAGACATGGCTTTTGGATCCAAGGTGTTGGGAACAGGATCAGGCGGCAATGCCCAGGGACAGATGTGCCGACTCAACACTGGTCGGTTTACTTATATCTCAGCGCTCTTCGTCTGTAAAGTCAGATTGAGTCCAAGAGTGTGTGTACGAAGAAGAGACGAACAATCAGAATCTTCCAGGCACAGGCAAGGAACGGCCCAATGGGGCTAGTAGGGACAGCAAAAGGAAGCTCTCGTTACGAAAGACAAGGCAAGTTTGCTCGACCAAAAGGCCTGTATACTGATGCTGATCTGCTGCCATAAGACACATATACTTTGAACTGTCCTCGCCACTAGGCATTGTCCCAGCCTTCCGTCAACTACCCCCAAGATGGGAACGATGCTGATCAGCCTCTATCCAGGAGTGCCCGTGGTGCTTACGGAATACAGAAACTGTACGCTTAGGCCGCTGGTCACACTAAGACTCGGCTACTGGCACATCATAGCGACGCAGGGACATCTACAAGATGTAGAGATATCCCTTTGGTGATCTCCCCACCAGAAACTTCGACTTGAACGCAATCGGCCTTTTAACATCAACCAAAGATTGAAAAGTGCAGAATTATCAAGCCCCTTCGACCTACTATACGTGGCTGTGGGTTCACCAAGTTTGCAGCAAGTCTTGCGCCGCTCTCGCTGGCTTTGTTGGTAAACCGTATTGTTACAGGGCTGTCGTCAAGTTTTTTCCATGCTAGTATCACAAAGGCCTCTACGTCTGGACACTTTAGCAGGCACAATGCCATAATACTTTACTCTACCCACCCCAAAGCTGGGTTGGAGGGCTCGGTTCGCACTGAGTACAGGAACCATCTTCATTCTCGAGAAGACCTCCCAGCCAAGATCAAGTTGGGCTACAAAATCAGCGAACCAATTGCAGTCTACAATCCTGCTCCTATATACTTACGTCCCCGCTGTGTTCACCGCATGAAGCCTCCTCTGGTGATCAGCCGTGATATACTGGGACTAGGATCGCGTGGCTTGTCTAGAGAAGACCGGATAGAAGCCATCGAGTACAATTTGCCTTGCGGGCCCCTGGAGCTTCTCAAGCTTCTCGGAAATGATGTCTTCTTCATCAGCCTGAATCATTGAGTAGACAACTTTCCCAACAGTATGTGCGCTAACGTCGGATAAACAGGACTCCAATACGCGATCAAGACGAACAAAGCGCCAATCTTGGCACCTCCGAAGGGCGAGTTCTTATCGTTGACCCCCTATCCAACAACCGCCTTCCAGAGTTATGCTTCAGCCGAACCAGACGGTGTCCCGTTCTAACGTAGCAGAGGAGCTTGACCACATCGTCGCAAACAGTAGGGTTGAATATAGCCCATGATATGGTAAACAAGTAGTCTTTCGTTGTTGGAAGCTTTCTTCTTTTCCTATTTTCGACCACAAAGTAACTCTGCGTCATCCCAAGAAATACGACAGTATTCATGCGTGCGTTCGTTCTTCATGCCCAAAGATAGATATTGTACGATAATAATGTCCAAGATTCTTTGATATCTACCACGTCAGTGGCCAGTCAAGACGCCGTCCTTCTATAGCCATAATAAATACTCCTTTTCTTAGTCCTTCTTTTGTTCATCATTCTCTTCCTCGTTCTTCTCCTTTCCATCTTCTCCAAACATCGTCTCCTGGGCTGAAGGAAGGTTAGCATAAGAAATCTTGGTCGGGGCGTATTTACTTACCACTCCACAACTCAGCATAAACGCCATCGCGGTCAATCAACTCCCGGTGTGTACCCATCTCCGCTACATGGCCCTCCTTGAGGACAATGATAAGATCCGAATCAAAAATAGTTCGCAGACGATGAGCGACAAAGACGCTTGTTCGTCCCTTTTCGCGAAGAATGCTGTTGATGTTCATCATGAGAGCTTGCTCGGTGTGGGTGTCCAAAGCACTGGTTGCCTCGTCGAAGAACAGCAGAGGAGGATCCTTGAGTAGAATACGGCTGACAGCAAGGCGCTGCTTCTCGCCACCAGAAATCATGAGTCCTCGCTCACCGACCTTGGTCTCGTAACCTTCAGGGAAAGACTGGATGGTGTTGTGGACATGGGCACGCTTGGCGACAGCAACGACCTCGTCATGAGTAGCATTGATGGATCCGTATCGGATGTTGTGCTCAACTGTGTCGTTGAATAGAGGAGTATCCTGGGGAACAACACCGATAGAGCGACGCAGAGACTCGACGTTAACATCACGAATATCTTGGTCATCAATCAAGACTCGACCACTCTGAACATCATAAGATCGGAACAAGAGGCGCAACAGAGTAGACTTTCCACATCCACTGGGACCGACAACAGCGACCTTTTTTCCAGCGGGGATGGTCAAGGACAAATCACGGAGAATAGGGCGGCTAGGGTGGTAAGCAAAGTTGACGTTCTCAAACTTGATCTCGCCACCCTTGGAGAGAACCAAAGGCTTCGCATCGACCTTCTCTTTAATGTTGGTGTTGACCTTTTGGAGGTTGAACAGAGTCTCCATATCCAGTAGAGACTGTCGAAGCTCACGGTAGACGGATCCAAGGAAGTTGAGAGGGACTGAAAGTTGGAAAACGAGTTGGTTAACCATGACAAGGTCGCCGACCGTCAAAGTACCCTCAGCCACACCGTTGGCGGCAAGGTACATCATACCAGTGAGCGCCGAGGAGAAGATGATGTTTTGTCCAGTGTTGAGAAAAGCCAGAGATGTCGCAACCTTGATGGAGTTCTTCTCATACTGTCCAAGAGCCTTGTCGTATCTCGCAACCTCGAATTTCTCGTTGTTGAAATACTTAACAGCCTCATAGTTGATGAGCGAGTCCACAGCCACAGTAGAAGCCTTGTTGTCCGCCGCATTGGCTTGTCTTCGGAACTTTGTTCGCCATGCAGTAGTCCAGATAGTGAATGCAGTGTAGCTAACCATTGTCAAAACGGTGAGAGCAGCAAATTTGGCGCCGTAGTTGTAAGTGAGAATTCCGCAAACCATGCTGATTTCAAGCGCGGTTGGCATGACATGAAAAACCATACTGGATAGAATAAAGCTGATTCCCTTGGTACCGCGATCGAGAGCCCTTGTCAACCCACCGGTTTGCTTGGAGAGGTGGAATGTGAGATCGAGTCGCAAAAGGTGATCAAAGACATTGCAAGCGACTTTCCGAATAGCGTTCTGGGCGACGGAAGCAAAAACAGCGTTTCGAACTTCCTGGAATACTGTCGCGCCAATTCGAGATGCGCCATATGCTAGGATCATAGCTCCAGCAACCGTCGTCGCAGTACCTCCAGCAGCAGCAACATCGATGTTCATTGAATCAACAATGCTCTTGAAGTAGAATGGAACTTGAACATTGAGGACTTTGGCGCCAATCAACAGGGAAACAGCAAGACTGACTCGGAGCTTGGTGCCCCAATCATCCTTGGGCCACAGATACCGAGTCATCTCTTTCATGATAGCCCAGTCAGCCTTGCGCTGCTCCGGAGCAGACTTTTCGACCGTCGCAAGAGGATCATTTTGTTTCGTGGGTTGCTTCTTTGCGGGAAACACGGCGGATGGCTTCGCAGTCGTGGATTTCGAGTCTGTGGGTGTCCGAGGTTGTTCGCGACGCGGGGCAGAGGTCCAGAAGGTCTGTGTTAGACCGGGTCTCTGGTGAGAGGCCGTGGATAGTCGGTAGAGCGCTGGGTTGTACCGGGGACATGCCCTCGATGAGCGCTGCAGCAATTGAGGGATCATGTTGGCTTTTGGGCTCAACGCGAGCTCATCATGGGATGTCTTGGGGTTGGTGGGATGGCGGGGAGCTGTAGACAACAGAGAAGAGGGACAACAAGGTACCGGAGCTGCCAGGAACCTACCCTTGGGAAGGAATGTCTGGCTGCAGTCCGGTAGGTTAATGTAGTTGACCAAAAAGGTGTCTGGCAACCCAAAGGGTTTATAGTAAGCAAGAGGGTAGACTAATGATGAAGCTCACATAATGTCCTACCTAAATGATGCAACCAATTGAGGCCTGAGGCAACCGATGATCGGAGGGGTGTCTATGGTGGCATTACAAGACTCTCAATCAAGTCAATTCAATTCAATACAATTAATATTATGTAGAATTTTGGAATGTATGTTGAACATTGTTTTCATGACTAGATACATTTTTAATATGTATAAAAACCGATTGAAGTACGTAAAGATAAAGATTTTGTGTCGGAGTATATAGGCTACAGCATACTACGCCTGTACTCAAGCTACCTAGGTACTAGAGATTCAAGACAGGACCAACAAAACACAACGATGAGATAAAAAATAATAAAGCAATAACAATGTGCAAGAGTTCACTTAAACTTCTTATAAAATACTCAGTTTCTCTAACCCTGCAAAGTATGCAGGGCTCGGATATCATCATTGCGCTGTTACCGTGCTTTTCATCGCTGTTATCCCACGCGAATACAAGAGTTCAGTTGAACTTCTCGCATTCAAGATATAAGTTATATGGGCTCAGTGTCTCTAAACTCGCATAATATGCAGTCTGGATACCATCGTTGCCGGTAGAGTGGCTGCTGGCACACAAAGTGATGGGTAAATCCTTAATCGCTGGTGTACTCAACGAATGTGCGAGAGTGAACAAGTCTCGTACGCAGGATGTGAGTTAACAGGTCCATACCCTTTGGTGCGCCGGGAGGTGAATGCAAGCGCACCAACGAGTGAAGGGCTCAGATCCCCTAAACCTACGGAGATTGCAGTGTTTAGATATCATCATTGCGCTGCTTACTTTCATGGTTTCTGTTTCCTCCCGATGCCCACATAACTCATCTCCTCTCCGTAGGTACAGAGGGGAGTCATCGAAGTTGACACTTGGAATGTTGTGGGAAAGTTGGCAGATTTTATATTCGTGTTATGCAGGCCTTCGCTTCACACAGCAAGCCCTGACTCTACAAATATTCCAAGATACACTTTCGATAGATAACGCAAGTCATGAGTCAACACTAATCAACAGATAAGAGGCTGAAAGGGAAGAACCGTGAACACTATTTGAGGTTCAGGTACGATATCAGCGTAAAGTTTGTCCCGTTACTGAGTGAACAAGCTCATTTGACGAAAATACAGTTTCCTTCATATCTATGAGTTAGATGTGAGCAACAATACCTCGGAAACACATGATCTAAGGTTCAGATTGACGATAGGGAGGGCTTGACATAACTCCCCAATGACTCAACTTCTAATGCATTCTTGGGTGTTGTCTTTCTGGTTAGTCCTATACCATACATGACCTTGATCAACTCTAATTTGGCTACCATCAACAGGAAATGGATTGTATTAGCCTTTCTTTGACATATACATTCACTTTGACATTCAATTTGGTTGTAATTGTTCCCTGAAGGGAAGTGGAGGGGCATCGCAGTTGACGTCGCGGAGATACTATGTGGAAGCAAATTCTTATGCAGGATATGTTCTATCAATTTAATTATGGTGAGATATTTCTTGTATTTTTCCAACTTGAAGTGCCCGTTTATATTCCATCAGAATATGAATAGTTCAATGCCAAACCAATAGTGTAGAGCTGCACCAAAACACTCCAACTACAGTGCACAGCGCAGCACAGCGCAGCACAGCCTTACAACGTACGCCAGTCAGCATAGGGCGGGTCTGGTCCATACAAGCTCAAGCTTTGCACTTGAACAACAAAATTGACAGATTACCTCAGCTTCATCACATATTTCATCCATATATTTCCAACATAAATCATTTCTATAACTATTCTACTTACTGCGGCCCATCATGGACAGCCTCGAGGCTCTCCGGGCTTACCTCAATGAGAACCTCATTCCCCACGCCCAGCGCTATCCCCTACAAGCCATCCTCGTCACAACAATAGTCCTCTTCATCACAACGAGACTCTTCACTGGCAGTCCTTCGTCCGTCAGAAAAGATGGATCAAAGACGCCTCCCATTGCACCTTTCTGGATCCCTCTCTTTGGCCACGCTCCGCGCATCTTTCTCAGTCCTTCTACAGCCTTGACGCGCTTCAGAAATCGATATGGCCAGGGTGTATTCTCTATTCGACTATTCCAGAGTATTCACTCTTTTGTCTTTCGTCCTTCTCTCGCTGCTCGTCTACTTGAGCAGCCAGAATCCGTCGCTGACAAGGAGTTTATCGCGAGACACATTATGTTGACCAATTTTGGTCTCTCCAAGAAGGACCTAGCAGCTTATGACAAAGCTGCTGCTGAAGTTCGTCAGGTTACCAAGGAGTATCTGAGCGGTTCTCATTTGGATGATCTAGCCAAGGCCACCCTCCGAGATCTCGATGACAATGCCGCCGATGTGATCTCCTTCAACAGCTATTCCACCGACCAGATGGACTGGGAGAGACTGGCCAATGCAGAGCTTTTGGAGGACATCAAAGACGAAAACGTCATGGCTGTTGACTTTTTCGAGCTGATCAAGACCTTCATCGCTAGAACTGCCACAATCTCCGTCTTTGGTACAGACTTTGTCGAGATCTATCCCGACATCTGGCCTCATCTTTGGATCTTCAACAATGCATTCCACTCTCTGGCCATGGGTGTTCCTGTCTGGGCCCCTTTCCCCAGTTCCCAGCGAGCCAGGATCGCTCTTGGAAGATTGCTTACCTTTATGCGAGAGTTCCACGATGAGCTGGAAAAGTTCCTCAGCGATGAAGAGCCCGGACAGAAATGGCAAGACTTCCATACAATCAGCCCTCTTGTCCGCGCCAGGACCGAGGTCTATCGAAAGCACGGCTTGTCTTCTGATGTACGCGCTGCATTCGACGTTGCCCTTCTCTGGAGCACGACTGTCCAAACTACTTCGCTCGTCTCATGGTCTCTGTTCGAATTGTATCAGGATCCCGTTCTTCTATCGCAGATCCGCGAACAAATCAGTCCACATGTCCAGATTGTCCAGCCCAATCACGATTTCGGAGGCGCCGTCTGGATTCCTCCTCAAATCAAGAAGCTCGAATTGGAAGGACTGTTGTCCAAATGTCCTTTACTGGAAGGCGTGTACCTCGAGACACTGAGGCTCTATGGTGGAGGATGGTCTGCAAGGTATTTGAAGGAGGATGTCACGCTCAAGGACAAGGAGGATAGTTTCGTCCTGAAGAAGGGAACGTTTGCTCATGTCATCAACGATATTCACCACTCTGATCCCAGAAGCTTTACCGACGCCAAGGTTTGGCAGGCCGGACGATATCTTGAGGACACCATCGACAAGAAGGGGGCCAAGACACAAAAGTTCAATCCGTACACTGTCGAACCATCAGGTATGTTCGTTTTCCTTCATCGACATCAAGTATTAACAACCTGTTTTAGATGGAACATTGACCATGTGCGACGACTCGGCATTCACCTTGAGAAAGGTCCTCATGTATGTCTCGGTCTTTATTTCGCTCTACGATCTCGAGCCCGCAGGAAGTGAAAGATGGCCTTCGCCATCTATTGTCAAGGGTGTGGCTTCAGCACAGCCATGGAGATCGGTTAGATTATGGGTTAAGAGACGGACGCCCCCGAAAGACAATTGAGTCACTCAAGACGAAGCAATAGGTGCACGATACAAGAATATTCTGATCTAATAAGATACATTTTGTCGGTTGTTTAAAGAGTTCCGGTATCAGTTCGACCTTTCACCCAAACTATATCCAGATACCAAGGCCTCAAGTTGTCCGCGTCTACAGCCTCCAGACTACTCATGTCTTCTCACCCACTGAAACCAATCTCACTCACTCGATGTCACTCAACCGGTTTCATGATCCCAGCCCACCAAGTGAGCCCTAGTGGGGCATAGTTCCAACCGTGTCTAGCAAAAAATATCCACAACATCAAAAAGATGTCTCGGAGAGAAGATCTCTCCCCCGGGAAGGCTCGAACTTCCGATCTCCCGATTGTCTGCAAGTAACAGTCGGACGCTTTAGCCAACTAAGCCACAGGGGATGAGTTGATTTGATGATGGCCGCTGTTGAGTAGGGGTCTATGTTGATGTGCATGATTTTTTACGACAGTCGAGTGGTCAGACTGGGTTTCAATTAAACGACTTGATTCAGTGAGTTGCCAAGAAGTAGAGTGAAGACCTAGCGTATGGTGGTGAAGTTCTATACAGTGGCAGCAGTCTTAAGGCAGATGTCATGAACATTGAGCCAACCAGCCTAAACAGACTTGTTGCAATTGAGCTGGCCTAATGTGTCATTCTCAAAGGTAGTTTTAATTGAATGCTAGTCTAATGAGTCTTTAACTAAGTATGCATCCGTTTATTGGAAGTTAAGCGCTTGTGCTATAAATGCAGGTTGTCCACATGTGGTGTGGTAACATCTTTAAATAACTCGAGGATAAAACCTTACAATTAAGGAAAGAGAAGAGCCAATTGTTACCTCCAGCCCTTTACTGGTATATAGCACGCAAGAGCACGAGTTACTTCAAGAATCGACAACTCAATGGCAGTCATAAAGAGAAAGGCAAGGCAAAAAGTCAAGTATAGACCTCAGGTGAGCAAAATGTCAGACTGGCAAAAGGTAACTCCCCCGGGAAGGCTCGAACTTCCGATCTCCCGATTGTCTATTTAATAACAGTCGGACGCTTTAGCCAACTAAGCCACAGGGGATGCTTTAGTTGCTGTTGAAATCCGATTGTTTAACAAGGCTTCTGTATCCTTGACAATCGATTTTGCGAGTCTTGGAAACAAAAAGCATAGTTCTATCCTGATTAAATCGAAGAATTAGTAAGCTATTTCGCAATTTTATCGAGGCTATAGACAATGAGAGGAGTGGTATTGTCCAATTCTATAGGCAAACCATGCTGGCTTCAAGCTTTGCCTCCAACACCTCGTTTCGATGTCGACTACCCTACACCTTTTTTGCTTTGATGCCGACATCGCTTTACCATATGACGGCCATCCCTCAAAGTAGAATGCCTTGGGCTGTGAAAACTTAGCCTTGTCTTTTCAGTTTCATAATAGTATTTTTTAAATTCTCATAATCTTACCGAGACTATCAGTGGAAACTTTCGAATCCTTCTCAGTGGCTGTGTTTATGGAAAGATGCGATCGTCATTAATAGCAGCGAATGTGGCAGTTTTCTAGAAAAATTCAGTGGACCTGTCTGTAGATTCCTCGGAGTTATCTCATCTGGAGAAGTTGAATGATAATTTCGTCATTGCTACAGTATCACGACGATCGCTTGCCCGAAATTGAGAGAACGTGATCAAAAAAGATATGTACGGGGCCGAAGATCTCGGCCCCGGGGCTTCTGTAGATTATGTTCGGGCTGTGCAGAGGCTGAGTTGTAAGGGTCTTGTAGAATTGTCATTTGCTGCCTTTGATTCAATAACTTTATGGGATAAGCGGTCTGTCCTCTTCTGCCTTGTGGAGCAGAAAGCTTCGACTTTGAGGCTCAGTTACTTCTTACTGGGACGACCAACATTTCAATATCTGGTCAGCCAATAACTGGGTGGTTTGCACTCCCAAGTGGCAAGATGGATTGAGGCACTGTTGCAATGTCCAACACGCGATAGTTCAACAAGGCTGAGAAGCATTCTAGAACTCTGTCTATCCCAACAACATGATTGCTCGGCAGACAGCTCCCGGTCATTTCCAGATCCAGATAGAGCTTATGCATGGCTGACCATCAGTCGTGTCATGTCATCTCGGCATACAGTATGGTACAGTCCCCAAGTCAAAAGCCATGACCAACAATGACAAGTGGACATTTGTGAATTGACAAGAGGCAGTGCACTCAGGCACTCCAACAGGTCACACGTCCTCCAACCAATGACATAACATATCTGCCATGACCCTGGAGCTCTGCTTTGTGTGAGAAGTATAATGCGCTCGAGTCCTTATTGGTCGAGATTATGCAGTAGCTCTGCCGAGTCTCCGTGAGCATCAAGTCCAAGGGTCATGGAAGCCAACTTCAATCGGGCGAAAAGACAGCTGCTAGCCAAAGTATCGTGACCCTTCCGGCGCCGTTACCGCCAAATAGGCTGAGTTGTACATACTATTTGCCTCTAGGTCCTGGCCTAGTGCACCATCCCTGTGAAGCTTTTAATGGTGCCAGCAGTAATACAACACGAGAAGAACCAAGAGACTGCGAGGCAGAAAAGCTGTAGTATCGCGATTCTGTCGAAGCCGCTAGAGTGCTCAGTGTTGTAATGCAGAGGCTACACTGCTTGGCCAGCGCGCATCGTTACCGGGTTCGCGACATACCGCGCGACCAAAAGGCTTGGCCATATCATGGACTCGAGCTAAACCGTGCTATTCCCACAGAAAATGGTCGATGCTTGGCGAGGACAGTTTGGTCGTAAACTCGTAGTGACAAAGATATGGGTATCAATCGAGGGGTCCGAGTACGTGTTAGACAAGTCACTAATCTGATACCTCATGTTGTGTCGTGTTGGCCGTATTTCCGTGGATTGGAACTTTATCACAAAATCACTTTCTCGTGCAGATACTTAGCGGCAAACCCAAGCCTTGCGCCCTGCAAGTCCCTGATCTTTGTGACCAATTAATGATTGCAGCCAAGGACATAGACTCCACATTATGGGGGAGCAGATCACTCCTTCCCCAACTTACCCGTGTCACCTGTTGCTGGTTGCTGGAGCTATGCTGAAGGAAGGAAGCTTTTGGGTCGGGTGTTACTTGCCAACATGGTAAGACGTCGCCTCAGGCCCTTGGCGTTTGTAAGAACCAATTCAATTCTAATTCAATCGAAACGAAGGAGGGTGGCAGTGGTCACAAACAGATTAAATATCTCCCTTCCCCCCGCCCCAAATCTCGAAACACTTTGTCTCTGATAATACCAAATCATCAAAAACATCTGATCTTTCAAGTATCACCCAACTTTCTTGATCAGTAGCAAACAATCACTACCAACTATCAATCATTCTTCTCGACTAAACACAACAAAAATCATTCACAATGTCGTCCACTGAGGGCATGATCAACGGCGGAAGCTCATCCGCAAAGGCTCCCGCTCCCGCCTACGCTCCCGAGCATACGCATGCACCTACCGAAGGCAATGGAGGTTTCGTTTCTCAGAACAAGATGTCCGTCGAGCCGCCCAAGAAGGAAGATCTCCAGCGCAAGTATGCGACTGTTGTTGAACACGAGGCCGGTACCAACGACTGGTACGGAGGCATGAGTACGTACAACACAGACTACTCCCATAGAGCCAGCAACTTACAAGCCTAGTGAACGTTCTCGGAGGTATCGTCGGAACCATGGGTGCTATTCCCTGCTGCATCATTTGTCCCAACCCTTACAAGGAAGTCCACCAGGGCAACGTTGGGCTCGTCACCAAGTTCGGAAAATTCTACAAGGCTGTTGACCCCGGTCTGGTCAAGATCAACCCTCTCAGCGAGAAACTTCTCCAGATCGATGTCAAGATTCAGACCACCGAAGTCCCAGAACAGATTTGCATGACCAAGGACAATGTTACCCTTCGATTGACCTCCGTCATCTACTACCACATTGTCTCTCCTCACAAGGCCGCGTTCGGTATCAACAACGTCAAGCAAGCTCTCATGGAGCGTACTCAGACCACTCTCCGCCACGTCGTCGGTGCTCGCGTTCTTCAGGATGTTATCGAGCGTCGTGAGGAGATTGCTCAGTCGATTGGAGAAATCATCGAGGATGTCGCTGCCGGATGGGGTGTCCAGGTTGAGAGCATGCTCATCAAGGATATTGTCTTCAGCCAGGAGTTGCAAGAGTCTCTCTCCATGGCTGCTCAGAGCAAGCGTATCGGTGAAAGCAAGATCATTGCCGCCAAGGCTGAGGTAACCACCCACGTCAAATTGAGCCTATTTCACATTGCTAACAAATCTTCAGGTTGAATCTGCCAAGCTCATGCGACAGGCTGCCGACATCTTAAGCTCGGCTCCTGCCATGCAGATCCGATACCTCGAGGCCATGCAGGCGATGGCCAAGTCTGCCAACAGCAAGGTCATCTTCTTGCCTGGTGCCAACCAGACCATGGGCAACGCCCTCAATGCCGCCATGGCCAACGAAACTGGCGAGTCCAGTGGTAATGCCTTTAGCGGGCAGCAAGACTTTGGAGGTCAGGACCCAGGTTTCCAACAGGCCATGAACGCCCGCGTCGTGGAGAACATCTAGATGCTCTCCCCTCGTGCCTTCCAATCTTGAGGTGATGGTCGGCTAACGCTTGAGGGTTTCCCGTTTCGGGATTTAGCCTGGTCTACTTGATTTCGAAAGCAACTTCGACTGCTCTCTTCTGATCTTCATCAGTGCTATGCCCCGGTTTTGACCTTCCAACTCAGCTGGTTAACCTGACACGTTTTTGCTTTTTTACCAACCCCACTCTCTGATACCCATCTTGATAACTCGCTACCACTTATTTGGTGTTTTTGACTCCAGTGTATGTATTTTATTCTTTTATTCTTCTTCTTTGGACAAAGTGGCGGTGGAACGAGGTGGTGTAGATTTGTGCTTTATTCAAGGATACCCTTTGTTTGCTCAGATGAGCGCTTAATGAGGACTAGAACTCTGGATGATGATGGATGGCTACAATACCCAATCGCTACGAATGAATCTTTTTTATCCGACTTATTGATGTACTGCATGAAATGAAAGTGCTGTGTGGTGTAATGTGTTATGCGTACAGTGGCTAGTCGTCGGTAGCAGAACAATTAGCTTCTGAGCTTTAGTGTACAAAAATAAAGAGCCTAAGAAGTTTGATCCAAATGGCATAAGCTTTCATAAATTTCGCCTCTTATGATTCTAGCGGACAATTTTTCTGGTACTGAGAGTAGTGTTGGGAATTGAAACCATCTCAAGACACAGTCTGTCGCGACAGGCTACACCTCATGGAATCAGAAAAGTCATCCCCAAGAAGTATACATGACAAAATTGGTCTGTCGGTCTATATATTCTTAACTATAAAGCAAGGAAGAAGTCAGTATTGGACTTTGAGAATTGTGAAAAACCACTAAATGCCATTTTATGATATCTAGACCAGACTCTTAGGCTATTTATTTCTGTATCCTAAAAATGCTATGTAGCTCGTAGGTTGTTTATTCTTTTATCTTAAGTAGGATCTCACTTCAGCAGTCACAACTTTGACGGAGCAAGGCAATCAGGATTAACTTTTAAACTTAACAAATTCTTTATCTTCTAGATCCCCTCTGTTCAGCCTCGAAAAAGATACATATAGGTAGTTCAGTACCCTAATCCAGCTCCTATAATCAGTGCGCACACCACCCAGAACAGAGGGTCAAGTAGAGAATACGAAAAATGAGTAAAACCAAATCACGCCAATATGCCCTCCGCCCAAACGCCAGCCAGCCAGGAAACAAGGTGCGGGCAGTAGTTGCCATGCCAGGAGTCTCTCAGGTATCACGAGTAAAGCAGGTAGGTTGAGAATTACTAATCTCGTAGCCCTACAATTGTGTCCAATTCAGCATCATCACGACTTGCGTCGTGATAAGGTACTCGGAACCATTTAGGCATCAGAGTGACGCTTCTTCTTCTTCTGCTTCTTCTCCTTCTTGGGCGTGGCCTCATCATCTGAGTCGTGCTTGCGCTTCTTCTTGCCTTCGGCCTCCTCGGGTTGAGACTTGGTAGGTGTAGCGGTAGCCTTCTCAGCGGACTCGGCAGCCTTGCGCAGCTTCTTGAGCTCCTTCTTGCTGACAACCTTGGGTGTACCATCGGCGTTCAGCTCGACATCGCCTCGCTCGTACTTGCGCTTGAACTTCTTGACAGAGATACCGGCCTCCTCGGCGAGGCGCTCGTAGTCGGCCTCAGAAAGCTTCTTGGGCTTGGCAGGAGTAGCAGCGTCGTCGCTATCGTCATCGCTGGCATCCTTCATCTCCTCGTCAACCTCCTCGATGAGCTTCTTGGCCTTCTTGATCTTCTTGGCAGGGGTAGCTGCGGCCTCGTCGTCGTCGGCAACACCATCAGCGTCACCGTTGTATCGGCGGGTCTCCTTGACAGTAAACTGTCCAGCACCAACGATCTCACCAGAGGGGGTAACATTGGCACCCTTGGGCAAGAGAGGCTTGCCCTCGAGCTTGCGGAGGTGGTTCTCGAGCTTAATACGGTTGCTGAGACCAAGGATGGCGCGCTCCTCCTCATCGGCATCATCCTCGATGTCACCAAGAGCATCAACACGGAGACCAAGGGCAGCCTTAGCAGACAGCATACGGGCGATCTTTCCCTTGTTTCGGCCGGTAGCCTGACCGATGAGCGAAGAGTGGTAGATAAGACCGTACTTGGGTGTGTCATGCTTGGTCTTGAGAGCACGGAAAAGAGCCTTCTCGGCACCGAGGATCTGGACAGTGGAACCAGGAGCCTTGGCCAAGCTGATGAGAGATCCAGCGTGGGCAATGAGGCGGGCGCCAACGAGGTAGCCAACAAGGGCAGTCAGGTTGGGGGCGATGGCGCGCATGCGGCTCTCGAGGTAAGAAGAGAGCTGAGTTCGGTAGTTAGAGTAGACGATGACCTGGTCAGCCAGGAGCTTGATGTTCTCAAGATCCTCATCGGTAATCTCGGTACCCATGCTGATCTCGGCGGCAGCCTTCATGGAGACCTCAATCTCTTCGGGAAGGATCTCAGAAAGGTCGCAGTCGGCAATGTTGGTACGCATGCCAACAGCGAGAATGACGCGAGCGTAGGCCAAGTTGTCGTTGAGAATCTTGGCCATCTCAGGGAAGTGCCATCCGTACCACTCCTTGGTTCGCATAGCGTAAACGTTGAGCTCCTTGTCGAGATCGTCAAGAAGCTTGATAGCCTGGATGATCATGGAGTCGACCTTGTCGGCGGAGAACTTGAGCTTGTGACGCGACATAGAGTGAGAAAGACCCAGGGCCATGCGGTCAAAGTTTTCCTCAAGCAGACCGGGGATGAGGTTGGCCATCTGGCCTCGAATGCCTCGGAAAAGATCCATAGTGTTGGAACCAGAGACAGGGGAGATGTTAAGATCGGGCAAGTTGGAAATGGCTGTGCCCAGCTTCATGTCGGCAACAGCTAGCGAAGCCTTCTTCTCGGACTTGAGGTCGTCGAGGAGTTGGTTGAGAAGCTCAGGGACCTTGCCCTCCTTGAGCGAGGCAGCCTCTTCGAGAGCGGTGGCGGCACTGTCGAACTTGACAAACTTCTTGAGCTTGAGCCTGTAAGGTAAAGATGTCAGTTGATGTGACTTTGGCGTCGTGCCATGTTTGCGACCGTCCAATGTTTCTAAAAAAGACATTTTCGGATGCTCAATGGCTAAGTTTTCGCGAATGAAAAATGTTCAAAACTTACATCTCGACGACCTTCTCGGGTCGGCCAAGCTCAGCGGCGAGTTCCTCATTCTTGAGCATCTTCTTGTCGGTAGCCTTGAACAGGCCATAGCTGCCAATTGTTAGCCAATGCCTTGTTTGACTTGCACCTTCCTCAATGATAGATCGAGGTCGAGGTTATCGGATCGCGACTTACCCTGCCGGCGTCTCGGCAAGCACAAAGAGCGACATTGTGAATTGTTTAGTTCCTTCCTAATAGTCTCTCTTTAATCGGTTGGCGTCGTGGCTTCCTCGCGAGGCACAGTCGGTTCGTTGAGCGCGGCTGCGGAAGGAAAGATCGAAGATAAATAAATTGGCGATGGAAAAATTTCAGAGGAAGCTTAGGAAGGACCCACTCAACTTTTTTCGGTCCAAGTTGGACTGGTACAGAAAGTGTGATGCATGTTCATCGGCGTCCGGCAGAAGGAAAGTCCGGTCCTCGTTCATCCCAGCCACACATACTCACTCCATTGCATAAAAACCAGCACAGACTTTGGTTGACGGAAACACTACATCAGAGTTGGTGGATACAAAGCCTAAAGCCACACTAATAATTTAGTCTAGCTCTCATAAGTCCCCATTTTTTTGCAACCAGCCTGCTACAACAGAACAGACTCCTGGCCACTCACGTGTGGGTCTCGATACTCGCGACGTCTAGCTTGCGTTGCGGCTTGGGAATGTTAGGCGGCCAACTTTGTTTGAGGATAGACCTAATTCATCTCCTCAACCACCAAAACTTCCACTTATTTATCAAGACCTCGAATACGATACAATAGTGCCGAACGAAACGCGACGATCCATACTACAAGATGGAAGGCCTTTACTACAACGTCAACAACGGGTGCGTCTTAGCCTGGATTGGAGATGGGAGCTTCATGCGAGTTAGTTATGGAGACTAACCCCAGTGAACAGTTACGTCGAGGGCATTGTCCGAGGCTACCGCAACAGCCTTCTCACAGGCGCAGCCTACAACAACTTGACCCAATGCGAAACCATTGATGGTACGCGACCTGACTTCATCGTCGACCTCTCGTGCTAACGACGTCTAGATCTCAAGCTTCAGCTTGGTCCTTCCTACGGCGACTTCCTTGCTTCTCTACCTCCTAACCCCTCGACCTCGGCTCTTGCGGCCAAGACGACCGACAAGCTCATCTCAGAATTCCGATATGTTCGCGCCCAGGCTGTTGGCTCCCTCGCTACATTTATGGACTACGTCACATACGGCTACATGATCGACAATGTTGCTCTTCTCATCACTGGCACCCTTCACGAGCGCGATACCCGCGAGCTGCTTGATCGATGCCACCCCCTGGGCTGGTTTGAAACCATGCCTGTACTTTGCGTTGCCACCAACATCGAGGAGCTCTACAACAGTGTACTCATCGAGACCCCTCTTGCCCAATACTTCAAGGGTAGCCTGAGCCATCAGGACCTCGACGAGTTGAATATTGAAATTGTCCGAAACACACTTTACAAGAACTACCTTGAGGACTTTTACAACTTTGTTAACACCCATCCTGAGATGGCTGGCACCCCCACTGCTGAGGTTATGTCTGAGATCCTCGAGTTTGAGGCTGACCGCCGCGCCATCAACATCACACTCAACTCTTTCGGCACGGATCTGTCCAAGCAGGACCGCAACAAGCTCTACCCCAGCTTTGGCAAGCTGTACCCTGAAGGCACTCTTATGCTTTCTCGTGCCGACGACCCTGAGGGCGTTCGTCTGGCCGTCGACGGTGTTCATGACTACAAGTCTTTCTTCGATGCCATCAATGTTGGCGGCGGCCCATCGGGACCTGGAAACATGGGCGGTGGCGCTGGTGAGACCAAGACCTTGGAAGATATGTTTTACCAGAAGGAGATGGAGATTTCCAAGAACGCATTCACTAGACAATTCACGCACGGTATTGTCTACGCGTGGGTAAAGTTGCGAGAGCAGGTTAGTCACTCGTTTTGCCCCAGTGTTTTGCATCAACTAACCTACAAATAGGAAATCCGCAACATCACTTGGATTGCCGAATGCATAGCTCAGAACCAGAAGGAGCGCATCGGCAACTACATCAGCGTCTTTTGATTTGAGTTCGTCCGGCTTTCCTTTTCAGCAGAGTTTTGTGTTAGTATAGCAAATGCGAGATCGTAATGGCAAGGAATTGTTTCCACACTGGCGCAAAGGGAAAGATGTGTTGGTGCAAAAGGCGGCATCATCGCTCATCTTTCAGGTGGCTTGTATTGTACATAAAGAGAAACAAGTTATTCTACAACAACAGCTCCCGCCTCCTCTTACAACGAGATCTGATCCTTCCAGGTTGCAGGTGTAAGGCCTAGCGTCTCAACCATGTGAGCCCATCGCTGACTTCCTCTCTCCTTACGATCCATGTATTTCATGAGCTTCTGTCGGCGATGCAACAGTAATCTTAGGTTACGCTTGTTGTGTTTGTCCTTATAACCTCGGTTGATTTGTAGGGCATTTGAGAGGTTATGGATTTTGGCTGTCAAGATGGCAATCTGGACCTCAGAGCTGCCAGTATCAGGACCAAGTCGTCCAGGCATTTCCTCCCCGAGCATAGTTTTGGGGGGCTTGTTGGGCATAAAGATGGAGTCGGTGCGGTGACGACCAAACTCGTTGATGATGCGCTGCACGTTGGCGTGGAAGCGGTCCTTTGAGCTGCCGTTCTCAAGCGACGTAATTCGGCTTAAAGCTTCGATAACCTTCTCGTGGTTCTCATTGTGCCGCTTCATCGCATCCTCCTTGGTCTCAGGTTCTATCTGCGACTCAACAGCACCAATCATGGGCTCGGTGAGTTGGTAGGCATGCTTGGTGGCTGCCTCGACCTCGGTATCCGAAAGGAAATAGTTGCGGATTCCATTATCTGTCACAGACTGGCCCTCAGTATCTCGCACGCCAGCTGTCGCAAGAGATTCGATGAACGGGGTCTTCTTTCCTAGGACAGCATCACCCCAGGACTCGTCTCTCTCACGAGATAGCTCTTCACGTCGTTGCACATTGGCGGCCTTTCGTTGCTGTGCTTGAGCCCATCGATATGGGTCTTGCTTTGCCTTGCGCTTCTTCTCGCGCTGGGAAAGGTTGGCCGTCTGGACGATGGGTAGGAAGTTGGGAGTTACGGACTTCGATGCGGGTCGGAGGCAGACTGGACAATTGATTAGCATTGAGGAAGTGCACAATTACAGCAAAAACATACGGTTCAATGAGCCTAGGCTCGGCAGCGCCGGTATTCTGGGGGGCATGATTAAAGCATCAATATGTTTCTGCTTCTACACCAGAGAACGGATTGTCGTCCAATGCCCGCCCCAAATTTTCCATGACCCGGCCGCCGATACCGTGACGGACCACAAGGTGACCCAAATGGGTCTAGCTCTCACGTCACGTGCTGATATCAACTCGGATGTCTTATCCCCGCACTAACCCTGAAACAGACAAGCGTGTTGAGAATCAGGGCTTCCCACCACACACATTTTGGCACTCAAAATTCCGTCGCGAACTTTCGGTTTTGCGACTCTTTGTACGCAACACCACAATCCTCTTCGCCGTCACTCTCCCAAGCCATCCCTTCGTCAATCCAGACAAGAGAACATATCCGTCAAGATGGCTCCCTCCAACCTGCCCTCCGTCATGAACGCCACCAGCCAGGACATCGAGACCCTGCTGGCCGCTCAGTGCCACCTCGGCTCCAAGAACCTCCAGGTTCACATGGAGAACTACCTCTGGAAGACCCGTCAGGATGGTGTCAACGTCATCAACGTCGGCAAGACCTGGTATGTTCAAAACGGTTAATTTTTTTGGTGGATTATGAGCTTCAATATGTGTCGAGACGGGGGCCTAAAAGCGCATCTTCAAATCTGGAAATATGAAGCTATTCGGAGGAGGGGTCGAGACACTTGAGCCAAAACACCACATTTTTGTCTGCAGATTCACTAACAATGCATTCATAGGGAGAAGATTGTCCTGGCTGCCCGTGTCATCGCTGCCATTGACAACCCCGCCGACATCTGTGTCATCTCTGCCCGTCCCTACGGTCAGCGTGCCGTCCTCAAGTTCGCCGCCCACACTGGTGCTACCGCCATTGCTGGTCGCTTCACCCCCGGTTCTTTCACCAACTACATCACCCGATCTTTCAAGGAGCCCCGTCTGATCATCGTCACCGACCCCCGAACCGACGCCCAGGCTATCAAGGAGGCTTCTTACGTCAACATCCCCGTCATTGCCCTCGCCGACACTGACTCTCCCACCGAGTACGTCGATGTTGCCATCCCCACCAACAACAAGGGTCGCCACGCTATCGGTGCCGTCTGGTGGATGCTCGCCCGTGAGGTCCTCCGCCTCCGTGGTACCATCTACAACCGCGAGACCCCCTGGGACGTCATGGTCGATCTTTACTTCTGTACGTTTTGTATCCAAGCTAACATAAAAACACCCACTGACTGTCTACAGACCGTGACCCCGAGGCTGAGGCCGAGGACAAGGTCGAGGAGGAGAAGCTCCCCGGTGCTGACGAGGAGGGCCCTGCCGCCATCGAGTCCGGTTTCCAGGCCTCTGCTGGCGCCGACTGGGAGGCTCCCGCCTCTGGCTTCGCCGGTGCCTCTGGCACTGCTGCCGCTCCTGGCTGGGACGGCGCTGCCGGTGAGGAGTGGGGTGCTGCCCCCGCCAACACCGAGTGGGCTGCTTCCACCGAGGCCCCCAAGGAGTCTCAGTGGTAGGGTACTGAGGCCCAGGAGGGTTCTGGCGCTCAAGCTCCCCCGGAGATTGAATGGTAAAGAAATAAAAAAAGAGGATACCAAAAAAATTCAAACAAGTGAATTTGACGCAAGGTCCTGGAATGGGAGAGCAGAAAAAGCATTGAAGGATGTGTGGATGTTGTGGTTCAATCAAACTATTCGACAAACATGTCCTGTTTCTTCTACTATCCCCCTCACCATTTTACGACAAAACACAATAACTTGCTGACCTTTTCTTACTACGAACTTTGCATGGGGATGAAAGGTTTTTGTTTTCAAAACTTGGCGGTGCTAATGAGGGAAAGATACTCGCCTCCTTTTCTCACTGGAAAGGATGGAGAGGGAAAGCCCTGCGCTGCTGAGGGGATGGACTTGATCGTTATCCTGCCTTTGTTTCTGTGGAAATTTGTATTGATGCGAGCAGAAGTCAAAATATGAGTCGTCTAAGCTGGGTTTACCCAATCAAGTGTGCCGTAAATAATTGTTGACCGTGATATTCATGCCTATGTGTTGAAGCTTGTAGTCAAGTAGTCCCGTAACATTGAGAAGGTCTGCCTTGCATGCTCGTGTATCTTGAGTCAGCCATGTATAGGTACCAAGAGCATGAGCGCAGTGGTACTCGTTCTGTTGAACGTGAGTTCAATTTCCAACCTTGTTAGGCGCAACTCCCATATATCATTCAAACCGATCAAGACTTGTCATCATCCTACTTCAGAACCATTCAACACATAGCACCAGAACCAAAGAGGCAACAGTTGTTGATCGTAGACGTGGTATCAATTGTGTAAATCCTTTGCTACATCTACTCGTTTCACTAATCCTCCAGTTTGTCAACTCCGTTGCTCCCAACCATCAGTAAACCACTTATATATCAAGTGAATCCAAATAGCCCATCCATCCGGTTACTAATTTGCCATCACTCTCCTTCCATCCCGCTCTATGAATTTAAGAAACCAAGAGTAAAAAAAGGAACAGACGCAAGTTTGACACCTGCGCTGTGCGGGTATGATTGAAATTAGACCTAGAAACCCCAATGAATTTCCTGTGAAAATGGAAACGGAAAGTAAAAAAAGAAAGGTTCCCAACTCCTTGCTGCAGTCCCAGATGCTTTGATAATGATTATGTTGTATGTAGTAGTTGAAGAATGAAATGGCTTTGTTGTGTAGCCAGTTGATGATTATACGATGTAGGAGATGGGGTATAATGTAGAGACATGCTGGGTATGCTCTTGTGATGATTTTGAGACATAGGAGATGAAACGCCGTCGAGTCGGTGTGTCATAAATCGTAATTATCGTTCCCATATGTGTGATGTGTTATGAAAATGTGGGTGATCGACATGTTTGTGTAGGTTTATTCGAGCATCTCCGAGTGGCGTCGAATATCCTCGTCGCTCAAGGCGCTCATCCAGAGACAGCGCTCTGTGATGCCCTCGATAGGCTGGAACTTGTATCGAGTGCTGGCTTCCAGCAGTCTGAGCAGTGTCTTGACAACAGAGGCGGCGATACGGCACCGCTCAAAGTTGATCAGAGGGGGTGTGGTAGGCGAGCCAGCCATCTCAGATGGACGCTGAGCGTTGTAAAGAAGGTCGTGGGTGTAAATACCAACGAAAGGGATGCAGCCCTGGTCTGAGCCAGTCTCCATCGCAGCGCGAAGGTTGTAAAAGTTGCGCATGGGAGTGACCAGTTGCTCAAGATCTTGCAGCGTCTTCAGATCCTGAGGAGAGACGTGTCGCCAGGTCTCAGTCAGGCGGGCAACCTCATTGCTGGACAGAGCGATGGTAAGTTGTCCAAGGGTAGCAAAGTTGCGGTATCGGCGGCAGTGGGTTGCGATGTGGATGAACTTGGTGATGCATCGCACTCTCTCTTCAAGGCCCTGAGTCAGAACAATCTCAGAAATGGCCCATTTGACCATGATATTGAAGCGAGCGATGACAACCTCGACACCATGGGCATCGGAGTTGCGGAGGAAATCAACCCATGAGCGAGAATCGCTGTGAGCGGCGTCTTTCCAGTTCATGTCAATAAGCTCCTTCCAGTCAATTTCATTTAGGGCGTCCTTCTCGATGAGAGTAAACTGCTGTGCAAGAATCTCCGAGTCAAAGGCCAGGATGAACGGCAAATGAGCCGAGTATTTATTGCTTTCGATGGACTCGGGCTTAGCAGCTTGGCGGTACCCATCGATAGTTGCTCGTTCCGGTACTTGAACATAAGGGGCAGTCGGTGTTGTCTCAGGGGTTGGAGGGAGTGGCTTCTGTCCCCAGACCTGTTCTTCATGCAATGAAGGAACATGGACGCAAGAAGTTGGGGACATCTCAAGAGCTTGTACCAAAGTCATAGGAGGCGAGGGAGGTTTGCGATTGGGAGGGGGTGCTGGAGATCCAAGAGGATGAGCAGGAAGCTTAACTCGAGGGACCACATTTTCGCCAAAGTCAGACTCTTCGTATTCAAGAGCATCGGCAGACATCTCAGACGAGAGATCGCTGTCGTCGTCGAGGAACGACTGGTCTTCTTCAACTGTTGGAGAGGTATCGCCCGGTTTGATACCCTCGATACTCTGTGTCTTCTCCACGAAATCGAATGAGGCGTACTCAGGGTCACCCTCACCACCAACATATGGAAGCGTTTTCTGTGGACGAGGTGTAGTTTCTTCGTCTGAGCCTTCCAAGATTGATATGTTGGTCCATGGGCGACCCTTAACCGAATCCCGTTCGAGAATTGGCACAGACGAGTAAGAGTTGTGGGAAGAACCAGTCAAGAACGATATTGCTTCAGTAACCGGCCGTTGAGGTGTGAGATGCTGGTCCTGCGACTCGATCATAGGTTCAGGTTCGCTATCCTCGGCATCAAACATGAACGTCCCCCTAACCCCAACCTGCTGCTCGTGGTGTTCTCTCTTGTGCTCAGCATCCAATATATGTGAGGCAACACTGTCACTGACTGCTCGGTTCGTCGGAGGAGGCCCGACAGCTGAGTTGTGGGCTCTTCTCTCGGGGAATTTACCTTCCAGCTTGGCCAGTGCGGACTCAATACCGCCGTCATCATCATCGTCTGGAATTTGTGCCAGTTTCTGTGCCTCTTTCTCGAAAGAAGGACGCATCGCTGGTTTTGATGAATGGGTGCTGAATAGGGAAAGATCTCGTCTCGGTTTGTCGGCAAGTTGTCCAACAGAAAAGGCTTCGCTCTTAGGCTGTGTGTAATCGATGGAAATAACCTCGCCATTACCGTAAGAACCGCGGGTGTAGGAACCTCGGCCGAAAGAACCATGGCCAAACGAATTCATGCGGGGACTTTGAATGAAAGAGCTGCGAATTGACTCAGAGTATGTTGTCAGTGACCCAACGGAATGTGACCTTCTCAATGTGTTGACAGGATCCAACTCTCCAACGTTCGTAGCGGCTCGAAGATCTCCTCCTGGGCGTCGTCGAAGGATTCGTAGGGGCTTTGGCATGGGCTCCTCAGGCTCGGGTTCCGCAACGGACGGGGCGGAGATTGTAGTGGCGTCAAAGCTCTGGACGGCAGACCGACGAACGAGGGCATTGGTAGCTGAACTACGGCGACGCAGTAGAGAATTTAGAGATCGGTGTGTTCTGCCCGACTTCAGACGGCGATGGTTCTGTAACGATACTGGGGGGTGGTTGCGTGAGCTTCGGGCTGCATTCGAGTACGAAACACGATTACCATCTTCGGAGATGGGAGCACTGGTAACAGGAGCGAGGGTGGCAAAGTCTGGAATGAATGGCGGCAGAGGATCCTCATCCAATGAAGGACGTACAAGATGCTGGTTGAGCAGGTATGAAGAACGTCTGGGTGTACCTGTGCTGTGGCCGGCCGGAGGGGTAGATGGAGGTGTTGGGTCAGCACCGGTCAGCTTAAAAGCATCGGCAAACGCTTCAACTGAAGCATTGCTGGTGGGAGCTCGGTGTAATAGGGATGGATCGAAGGGGGTCGTATCATCCACGATCACGATAGATTTGCTGCCTGTAGTAATTGCCATGTCACTAGTAGGTCGGTGCCTGTGATCATGGGGCAGGTGCTCAAAGGCAGTTGGGTCCATATAAACAGCCGCCGAGCATTGGAAATCACGCGTAGGCGTTAGAGATGGGTTAGGAGACATCGGCGGTGGCAGTCCACGACGGTCAGCCTCAGCGGCGGCCTCATCCCGTACCGCCTTCTTGAAATCTTCGACCACTTCCGCACCAAGCAAGTCAATTCTGACAGGCGGTCGAAGGAGGCTAGGCCTTTGTCGGCTCTGGGGCACAACAGCTGTTCCGGGAATTCGATTCGTCGTGGCACCTCGGGGACCAATATTGTTGAGACTAACAAGACTTCCTTGAGTAGATGACGTTCCTTGTCCTCTAGTACTGAGGGCTCTTCGCACACTGCCCAGAAGCTTCTTCATACCATGGCCAGACATAGCACTTCCAGGCGTTCTCTGCTTGATGAGGCTCTGGCTGTCGTGACTCATGCTGGTGATTGGCAACAAGCCGTTCGTAAACTCCTCTGGGTCGATATCGACAAATGCTTGGCCTGGAGGTAGCAGGTTTCCACGAACAAGGCTACCCGCATAGGGGGCAGTCATCATGAACTCCTGGTCCTTAAATGACAACTTATCCGTGCTATGCTCCCGCAGAGAATCAGTCAAGCTGTTGTTGCGTTTGTGAGCGCCCTGGGGTCGGACTCGCTTGCCAACGAGTGCGCGAGGGGTTGTTGCTACAGGTCCTGAGTGTGGATTTGAAGTGGCTGTAACGGGATGAGCAGCTAGGGGGTTTGTCTGGTGATTTCGGGCTGTTGGTTGGGCGGTAGATTTGACCTTGGTGGGAAACGAACAAGAAACAATATCCATGCTAGCCATGCTGATCATACTAACTGGTGAGGTTTGTTGTCCCTCCATAGGATCTCTTGTGAGCTGCCCATCCGGTGTACTCGGCCGAGGCTCCACTACGACGGAATCTCTAGCACGACCAGCTCGAGAAATATCTGC